TCTATACCAAGGATATTAGGTTTAAGAATCTCTCGTATAAAGACCCCTTGATTTCTAATCCAGGTTGTCCGACCACGTGATCCTTTCTTTGATATCATATCTTCAGAAACAAACCGACGGCCATTCCACGTCGCCGTTGGCAAATTCTCCAACGAGTTCTGAGTCTGAGGATCATATTCAGAAGAAGGACTGGATTCGGAAGCTATAGCGAGTTGCGCTAAGATACCTCGTGGGCGAGCTGCGCCAAAGAGCATTATACTCATCTTAAATTCACAATTGGAGATGAAGTTTGTAGATATAATGTTGTGTATACTGGTATACACGAAATAGTAACACGAGACAGGCGCGTTACTGGTACGTGGCATAGCAATGTGAGACATAACAAATACCCTACAGATTTGATCAAATATATCAAATCTAGAGCCTACTGGATTTGATTGTTTGAACCTCCAAATTGCTTCTGTTTGTTTGTTTATTTGATAGATTTATTTATTTGATTTGATTGGGCGGCTGCGCTGCAACGAGATTTCTACTAGTTGGGCTGAATGATGTATCACAAATACATATAGCGGTAACCATAAAGGTCAACAATCGCGTAATAAATACCAATGCTCATTATTAGCCTTAATTACTGGAGTAAAAGGTGGCCTTTCTGTCGTTTTCAATCACCCAGTTCTTCTCGTTTGGACAATCACGCTCCTGTTTAGCAATTCGTTGCACTTAAGAGACGAGCCGGGCAGGATCTCGAGTTCTCCTGTATCTACGTTCGTATAGTGTAGGCTTGAAAGAAAGTTAGTAATATATATATATATATCTTTCAGTTGGATGCAACGCAATCTTTACTACACTGAGGCTTGACATCCATGGCCTAACATTGGTCACGCTCGAGTCTTCAATACACTCCTGATTAGACTGCTTGGCCTTTTTGTCTTTTATTTTACTAATACTTTCATATTTATTCAAGTAATCTAACGTTGCTAGTATATATTGTTGTGACTATCGTGACATTGGACGTGTGTTACTTTGCCAGAGAAGTGAAGGAATAATTAAGTCACTGGAAGTGGCCAAGGAAGGAGAAAGAAGTGGAAGACACAAGAAAAGGATGTGAATACAGGATGTATTCGGTATATCTAACTAGAGCAGTTCCGACCATGGAACTTGGAAAGAAACAACGCATTTTTACCACAACCTCTTACCTTTTGATAACACGTGTTATTGATCCTTGAACCAACATATATAGAAATTTTCACTTCTCTGCCTAAAGGTATATGCTTGAACAGAAGGGTTAGGGGCGAAAGAAAGAGACGGAAGCGTTCAAAGTAGATTTCCCCTTTTGCGATGCTTTTCCAACCCGAAACTCTCCTACTGAATGGCCTCAAGGATGCCTTTAATTGTCCTGGCGACGGTAGTGTTCACCATGAGGGTTAGGCTTGGGACTCATATCACGGTGGTAGTGTTCGCCGTGAGGGTTGGGCTTGGGCTTCATACTACGCTCATCGCGGTCATAGTCGGCGCCAGTGAAGGGGGGAGGTTGAGGCGTGGTGTTAAACTGAACTCCATCTGAGTTTGGAGCTGTTGGTATATCTTAGTTAATATCTGCATCACTCCAGTCAACTCTATGATTACGATCCCCAACGTACCGGCAACTGGTGCGGCAACAGCCGTACTGCTGCATACGGATAAAACGGCAAGCAAGAATTTTATTTGCATTTTGGATACTGGAAAGAAGTTTGAAGTAGATGAAGTAGATGAAATAAGTTATATTTTTTCGAAGAGAGGGTAACCACAGTCGAGCGGATATTGGCTCTTTTATTTACTTTGGATATAACAGCAGCCTCTCTCTATATCTAAGACTGTATTACGCAGCAGTAATAAAGCTATCCGACGGCTGTATTGTGCTTTAGCTCTCTTGCGTCTATTGAGTAGGGTGGGTTGACCGAGATGGGTCTTCGCCGATGCAAAGGGTCGGCTGATAATTGTTGTAGATGTTGATGAATCATCAGTGGATTTACGATACGAGGCTGGGGAGTGCTGAAATGGGAAACCATACGACGTAATATCGCCGATTATACATCAATTGAGAGAACCCACCGCCCATCCCCGTGGGGAACCGCACATAGACCACGACACCCGGCTTCTGGACCCCGTATCTGTATGTCAGCGTCCGTGGGGATGGAATGTTTCAGGTATCTCGCAACCGGGTAATAGATTGTAAAGACGAAATCAATATTGTTACGTATTATTGAGAGAGGTGAACATATCATGAGGCCTCAGACTGGCCCAGGCCCGATCTAACCAACGCATTGCCCAACATCTATGGATACGACTACCTATCTTGAGCGCAACAAACCAGCCCAAAGAGCAGAGTTTACAATAGTGCCGCTCGTGGATGCATGGCAACTTCGTAATCCTACGCATGACTTTGCTCAAGGTGGCGCATACCAACTGCTGCCTGTAATACCCGGTGTAAAGAACTTGTCTCTCTTGGCTTCCAGGCATTCTTTCGTTTTTTTAGTTTCTCGCATTTTGCCTTGTTTTTGCATTTTAATTTCAACACTCTACACTAGCTATAGGGTGTATCAGTCAATCGATATGACAGTAGATAACTATTCGCCCATAAATGACAGCGACACGGAGCAAAGTGAGCATGATGCATTCTTGTATGAGTCGCAAATCGAAGGCTCTGTTAGGCGGCGCTGGCCTTGGTCTTGGATTGTTCAAGGGATTGTTCTCTGCATTTCCTTGTCGCTCTTTACAGTATCTTTCGCCTACTACCAACGAGTAGTGGTTTACAATCCACCACTTGATCCGCCGAACGTGCGCGAGCTAGGTAACTCTCTCCTCCTACTGATTAAGCCCCTCTAACCACCGTTTCGTATAGAGAGCGCGTACCAAGTGGCCTGGCAAAGGCATATTGTACAGTTTCGTGGCAATTTTTATGAACCATCAGAGTATCGCGGGCCGCCCAATCCCGCGGTAGATGCAGCGTGGGAGCGCATAGCCATTGGTAAGACCAAGTTTTCAGGGTATATGTAGCTCCAACTACACTAACACTAACAGGGGGTGTCTTTTCCGTATCGGAAGAAAAGATGCGACAGCTAGGAAAGCTGAGCAATAGTAGCGTTCGCCTGCCCGATGAGGATGGCGGCGGCTATCTAGCCGTGTTCGAGGCGTATCACCAAATGCACTGTTTGGATCTCTTGCGGCAGCACTCATACCAAGAATACTATGTCGTTCACTCCCCCAGTTATACCAAACATTATGCAAATCCGAAGAAGCTGCGGATTCACCTTGGTAATACGAATCCCCTCTGACCGAGACTCGAAGCTAACCATTGTAGATCACTGCATTGAGATGTTGCGACAAGTCATCATGTGCAATTCGGACATGCACGTCGTTACACATGACTGGGTGGACCATACTACTGGTGCCTGGCCTGATTTCAGTGTCAATCACCAGTGTCGAGACTATGAAAAGCTCCTAAGTTGGATCGACGGTGCTCGACTCATGACAAGTAAGCCTGACTTTAAATGGGCACGGCCAGAAGGTGCGGCTACCAAGCACATTATTCTGCCGGAATAGAAAGCTGTTGATGTGAATGCTTTTGCTTCTATTGCGCCGCCCATGGCAGACAACCAGCAAAACTCAAGTGTACATAGCGTAGGCCTGCAGGACCCCGATTATTATTAGAGCTAGCGTAATGGTATGTATGTAAGACGCTAGCTAAGAAGGATATGTGTTTAAACTGTCTTTGTATCTCATTAATTCTTTTTTTTTTTGGCCTGCGTAATGTGTAAATCACGCCTGCTGGAGTGGCTAGCGGGCCGTGGCTCAATTTTTCACATGACCAACGTCCAGAACATTGAGAAATTTAAAGTTATTCCATCCTTCTGTGCAAAGACTACTGCTATCAGGCTCAATTACCATGTACGACGGAAAGACATTTCAGTCCACGGCCAACAGCGACAACGGCCAGGTCTCATCAGCCACCATCTTCCACTACCACCAGCAGGACAGAATTGTATGGGCAGAGTACGCGGGAGGGTCAATCGTTCGCGGAACTCTGATTGCCACCGTGCGCGACGACAACAGCCTTGATATGCGCTATCAGCACGTCGACACCGAGGGCAAGCTCATGACAGGCCAGTGCGACTCAAAGCCAGAGACTCTCAACGATGGTCGGCTTCGAATGCATGAAAAGTGGCAGTGGACATCGGGGGATGGAAGCAAGGGCGAGTCAACAATTGAGGAGGTAAAATCGTGACTCTTTTTGTTTCTAATGTTATATATCATGGTGTAATGGGTATGCAAAGGAATCAAGTCAAGGTAGAAATGGAGCGGACTTGGTATACAAGAGCCGAGGCCCAGTGTGCAAGAGCTATAAATTAGTTTAGGATATAACGGCTTAGTTTTGTATATCTGAAGCACAACATATTTGTGGAGTGATTTGCGGCACTCGCCTACCAACCTCATTATTTAATCGCTATTTGATCGTCCTCCTTTGTATGGAATATGTCCTCTTCGATGCACACGCCCGCAATCTTATACGGACCTCTCAGGCCATTTCGAAGTATTAGCAGATTCCCTAAGCCTCCAGTCTTTATATACCCATACTCTCTCAGCATATTCATGCTACCATGAGCGAACATCTCGTTCACCAAGGCTCGACCAATTGGCCAGTCCTCTCGCCGCTCTATCGGCCGCGTCTCCCGCGTGCTTCTGCAGCTTTTACTATGCGATGCATAAGCACCGACATCCCCGCCAAACGCCACGAGACTGAAACTTCTACCAACATCACCGGCTTGCACAAGGCCGAACCCGTCTCGGATCATAACCCTGTTCGCCGTGTCTATTCGTGCTGTAGCTCCTCCCAGGGAGCTCCCACCAATGGCTGTAATAGCCTCAAATATAAAGGAAAATGGAGCTTTGATAATACAGCCGCAAGCAACGGTCACAGTACATCCCAGATTGGCTGCGCTGCCGCTGGCAAGTCGGGAGCAACACCCTTCCATAGCCACCAAATTGTAGTTCATAGACATGTTGTGAGATCGAAGCCATATTTCCGGGTACTCCCATGGTGTGCCGTGCACGCATCTTTCCTCCCAGTTTGCAGGTTTCGCGTTTGTGTCGCTGATACTCCACTGGGGTCGCAGCCTATGTAGCAGCGTTTCCCTATAGTGGACAAGATTGTTGGAGGGATCCAGTAGCGACCCTAGTATTGTTGCACATTCGACAAGCACTCTTCCCGTCTCATCAGGCCTCACGTTCCTCGGCTGATCGTTAACAGGGAGTTGTCGTTTCTTCCAGGTGCCAACCTTGACGGTATTGCCACAGTTGCAGCCCTTAAAGGTAAAGTAAAAGCTGGGGCTCCCTTGATCAGTTATCTCAATCTTCATGTACTTGCGTGGCGTTCCCTTGACGCCAAGAGAAGCTTGCGTCTTGACAACCCCTTTGTCTGGCTTCAACCGCCCCAGGTCGACGACGCTAGCAAAGCAGTCGCTACTTAGATTACTCCCCACGCCACCTTCTAGTAGTGGTATCCAGTTCCAGCCTTCTCTTTCCTTGGTGTTCACAGCCAGCTTGGTCCAGCCGCGTCCGGTTTTCAAAGACAGCTGCTTGAAGAAGTTGAAGGAGATAACTTCCAAATCGTGACCACCTAGGTCTCTCTTAACCTCTTCCGGTGTGAATAAACCGTGAAAGAGGCCTAGAAGTCCTCTGAAAATGTCACGCATCTTTTTACTCTTCCGTGGCGTCAGTGAAAAGGTGGCAAAGATATTGGCAATGCCAGCAAGGTTGTCACGCCACCAAAAAGGGCCACCGCTAATGACATCGATTTTTGCGCTTCTAAGACCGCGGACTTGGATTCGTAATCCGTCTAGGATGATATCATTCGCCTCTATAATAGCGAGAATCGAACCGACGGCTGCCGTCTGAACACGTCGATTCGCCTTGATCCAATCGGATAACGCGGCGGCCTTATCTTTGGCCAAGAGTGTTAGATCCATCCACACTGGAAGCTCGCCAAGTTCAGACACATTCACCTGGTCCACCTCCAGAATAGTCATGTCCATCGGGGCCGACCCTTCCTTCTGGCTCGGTGTATCGGGTTTAGGCTTCTCTGAATTGGTGGCGTCAGCGATTTGCTTCTCAACTTGGTTGCTTTCTAGCTTGACAGCCCACATGGCTATGTTTTTGCCCAGTATCATTTCTTCAAATGTCCAGACACGATGGAAGTAATTGTTGTTGAATAGTGACATAACATGATGAATGCAGGTGGCGTAGCAGTTGAGCACGCCCATGTCGATGCCTGCTGATCTAATCTGCACTTCGTCCAAGTCGTATTCCACGCCAAATCTCCATTCTCTTGCGTCTGCCCAAGCAGACAAGCGGTTGATGACATTGGTTGTGAGTCCGACCGCCTCCGAGGTAAGAGACGTCCCAACCATGTAAGATAGAACATGGCCAATAAAGTTGAGATCATCGCCAATCTGTCGCGGGTTCCAAACCTCATTCATTTCCAGCAAAATATGACACTGCTCCGCGCTCTTGTAGTACTCGAACATTTTGGCCACCTCTGTAGCGACTTCGTCATCGTCACTCTGGTTGATGCAAAGGCAGTCCACCCAAAGGTAGTGTATGTTGGCTTTGGCCATAAAGCCTAGAATCTCCCTGAGCCTTGTGCTCGCAATTGACAAGTCCCAGCTCACGCCTGGAATTAGACATGTGTACTTGTCCTCAGCCTCTGGGCCCCAGGTGTACGAGACAATATGATACTTGATATCTTGAGAGGTAGGGTTGAAGACAAAATAGCTACCATTCTCATAAGCTAGAAGCCGCAATGGAAGCGCCTTATCCATTTTGAGTAATGCAACAAATCTTACTATTATGTAGATTAGAGCACCGGGTATTGTTGTATAACTTGTATCGTTTTTTGGCGATGGGCAACGGAGCAAGTCTTGTCCTCTGAGCTGAGTACCCCTTCTATATATATATGGTGTTTGGGCTATTGCAGGCTGAGAAGCTGTTTGAAAAGTATACAGGGGTCTATGTCGCTGTATCTAGAGCGGCAGTAGTCTCATATGGGATCAGTGAACGAGTTGGTGGCTTACACTAACGCCCGCAAATGGTGGCGAGCGGCCCGTTCCAGGAGCCCACCTATCTAATCTCCTTGATTCTACACCAAAACTGTTAATCCCATAGGCTCAAAAGCCTCGGGGGGGGTCTTTCGGTAGGGTGAGAAGTAGTTAAGCGCCCGCAAACATGACTACGCGAGGCTATGTGCAGGTTAGCTGAAGCAGACATGCATCATTTTAAGATTAGGGACTTGTAGAAACAAAAAATAGTATCACCCTTGCATTATAAGGCGGAAAGTGTCGAATGATGGGGGGGTGTCGTTTGCGCCTCTTGCTCTTCTTGTCTTCAATCTACTTGTAGTTACGAGATAGGAAACAATGCCTCCGTATTTTACGCATTTCTGGCAGCAGCGAAGTGACGAAACTGTGTCGCCAAACACCGAGTTTTACTCGCAGCTTGTCAATCCTGGCGATGTCTTTAGCGTCCTCCTGCTCCTGGGCGGCGATGTTGTTGCTGTCGCGCTCGCGCAACTGGCTGGCAGTGGCCTTGCGCCAGTAACATTTTCTTTTGGTGCGTTACATGATTTAACCTTGCCGTGAACAAACTAACACGCCGTCCATCTTGAGTAGGGTGGGTTGGATATTCCGTCTACGCGCTTATGGCCGCCTTTTCGCAGAATAGGCTCATGCCCTCAGACCCCGATTGCAAATGCAAGATAATCAATGGTGAGAATGGCTATGTTAGGGATAATACGAGCTGGATTCTCGGCAGGATTATGCGAGATTTTGAATACTGGCGTGACCCGAGAGTAGCGCAGAGGACTGCAGACGTCTTGGACGCCAAATGGGAGGAGATGAAGCGCGAGAATGTAGATGCGCAGCGTCCCCTTCGTGCAGGTCTTATCATTTCGATATACGAGCCGTGCAAATCAGTCGCTGCTGGTACGGTGAAATCTGATTTCGTATATTGTGTTGGTTTTTTTGTTATTCTTCTACAGCTGGGCATCGCAGCTATCCCTTGGGGCTTATACGGCGACTGGGCTGTTCTGCTCATCACTACCGTCGGCACCGTCCTAGCTCTCGTTACAGGGCTACTGCCGCAGTGGAAGACGGAGAAATGGACCTGCCGAACTCATTCAGACAAGACATATATACTAACTAAAGGAAACGGCGCGCAAAATGCCATTGTTGTGCTCGGCAATGGGGCTGGCTTCAACTTGGAAGATCTGGCGTCAGGTCAAACCAACGTCGACGTTACCACCAATCGACTAACCCGCTGGTCTATTATCATACTCTTTTTCCTCTGGATCTTCTTCCTTATAGCGGCTGCAGGCATCAAGCAAAACACTTGGTTCTTGTTAGCAATAGGTGGTATTGGTATTGTACAGAGCATCTACGTGTCAAGCCGCCAGCGCCGGCCCGAGAACTTTGGAATCCCTCTAAAGTTTGTGCAAGTCATAGCAGAAACAAGAGTAATGGATAGTCTGCTTGGGGCGGAAAGGAGCTATGAGAATCTCGGGAGAGTACTACTGCCCGAGTTCTTCCCGGGCACGCTACGAGCAGAGGAGGCGGCGAGATGGGATGAGATACATGACTTGCACACTTCCAAGAAAGAGACAGTGGTGGCTATGAATTCGGACAAGAAGAGGAAGGTTACCCCTAGCCATAGCGTCGCAAAATAGCAAACGTGAGACGGTCTGACCGAATTATATTATAATTAGCATGGGCAGTTGGAAATTCTGTGCTCTATATTAAAGGTAATCGAACATTATGTTAGATTATTTTAGTTAACTTATGCAATGTTACAAGCTATGCAGCACATCGCTATTTGTACCCTAACCCTGAAAACGTCGGAGCCTCGCGTTTGAGTGCTGCACGCGGCGACCGAGCCAGTGGCAGTGCACACCACGTTGCCTTCTACCACATCCCATATATGCATCGTTTAAAAGAATGATATCATCATTGCCTAATGAGCTTCTAGCTCTTATTTTCAACTTCATCAATGAAGAGGACCTGCTAGCAGCTCTGCTTACCTGCAGACTGTGGCATCATCTCGGCCTACCTCGCTTTGCCCAAGTCCACTGCTCTCTCATGACGCTCGATCTCGAGGGGCCAAGTCTTGAGCGGGCAAAGCAAATTATTGAAAACGGCGTCTACAGAGCAGCCGTCACCATAATTGAATTTCGCCCTCAGCGCTTCTTTGGCTACCGTGGGCAGTGGCTTCGCGATGATGCCGGCACGCTTGTCTCGTCTCGACACTGGGACACCCTTCAGAAAGTCCTCAACGCCGACTACCCTAATCTCTCTAAAATTGTTGTTCTTGCTGATGAGGATCACTTCTTCGAAGAGTACTCGGGCTCGCCCATGGTAGCGACTCTGCCTGAAGTCATCGGCTTTGCGTTTGATCTCATAGCCACTGCTCGCCATCCTGTTCAATGTTGCGATATGCAACTGGTTCCTAGATTACCTATGTTTTGTTTCCAAACAGTGAACATTCCAGTGGCCATATCCGAGCAGTTCTGGTCGCGCTGGGCAAATCTGCGTTGTTTGAATCTGGACACATACACCGATGCGAGCGGCCAAGACGCAGCTTTGCTAGGGGATCTTATCATCAATGCACATCAATTAAACAAACTCAGACTAGGAAACTGCATTCAAGATGCCAGTGGAAACTTTGCCAGACTTCTGGATCGATTAGTCGCGGCACCGCAGCTACCGCAGCTGACACATCTCTCTATCGCGAGTGCCGCTTTCCAATCTCCAGATGAGCTCTTGGGACTTTTAAGGCGCTTCAAACACAGTCTGGAGCACATCTTTCTTGAATTTGTTACCATGGTAGTCCATTGGAAAGAGGCTATTGCGCAAATGCAGCAAGAGCTGACGGCCTTGCAGTCATTTGCAATTTCGCTTTCTCGCGAGACGGCCAACTTGGACCAGGGCCTGCGCTATAAGCAGATGCTTTTGTTCTGCCCGCTTTTGTATACTATCCCGCAAGAGAATCTTTCATGTTTCCATTTCCGAGAATACACGGGTAAAAGGATGTGGAGGAGATCTCTCAGTTCGGTGCAATACAAGGGACCTGACGCTCGCTGGGCACTTGGTCTAATAAAGGACGCTGTTTATACGCTCAATTCTTTCCCACAAGACTTGCGTATCTATGACCCGGATGAATTTGATCGACTGTCTTTGGAAATAGATTACTCGGAATTCGAATTCTAGCTGGCCTATTCTACTTTGTCCCGTTTCTTCAAGTGGTCTGCGGTCTAGTATAGCTGGTTTTCTTCGACGACGTGGCCTTTGGTGATGTGGACGTTTTGACTAGCAACTAGAACTAATCTTCATCGGGCATCGTAAGCTGAAAGACAAATTTGTGTAGGTTTTTGCACAGCTGTACCATGTTACGAATACCTTCGCTTGGGACAGGGCTATTGCGGGTATATGGGGGAATAAATATTTCCTGGATTCGCGGTAGCGCTGGCCATTTAAGCTCTGGCCGCGGCAAAAAAGGTGCCGGATCGCTGTGTAGCGGATCATTGGGGCGATAGCCACCAAGCGATTCAAAGACGACACGGCGAACGTTAGGGAGCGCCTGCAAGGCAAATCCTATGCGGCCCAGGCCAAGGTTGTCGGGCTCGTATTGAGCGGTGTTGCGAAAGACGATGGTGTCGAGAGCTGTAAACTGCTTCTTCATCTTAGCTATCCAAGCTGGCAAATAGGGAAATGGTAGAGTATAGGGGACATTTGCTAAAAATCTATGAGTGAGCGCGGATCGTCCATCATCCAAATACATCAATATGAACTTCAAGTTTGGCAATAAGGCAAGATGAATCGAGCTGATGAGATTTTGGTATGCCTTCATATCCCACCCATCCGGATCATTAGGGTATGCATCGCGATTGAGCCGCCCAAATGCATTGTTGAATTCAGGATCCTCTGCGTCGTGGTACCCTAAGCCACGAGCTACTCTTTTAAGATAGACAAGCCGTTAAGCTAGTTATCAATATACTTGGTTGAGATGGTCTGAAGGCTATTTGTCAATAATACGACGGTGTCAAGCCCCGACAATCAAGTCAGGTCCGTAGCGTAGTGCAATGGTTCAAAAAAAAATTGGAACACCTGACAGAATCTAGTGAGTTGTATACTATAAACAGTAATTATGTTTCAAATGTTTATCAAAATAGAGATTTATATAAAGTCGACATATATGCGCCAAGAGCTAAGAAGAAAATGAAGCAGTTTTAATCATCTACAAAAATGCTTTTTGAATTCTTGCTCGGCATCTTAGCCCTAGCTGTCTCAACTGCCTCATCTATCGACTTTTTGGAACAGAACCGCCATAGTGATTGCGGGACTCAAACGACTCTTGAGGATTTCCAGACAGTCAAATTCCTTTACGGCCTTCCTGATATATCAAGGTCCGAGCAGAATGATATTGTTATCGACACCTATATGCACATCATCAGACATTTCAATGAAACAGAACCAGTCACTGTACGTATTCTAATCAGGCTGCCTATAGTTTACTATTATATACAGAGGATCTAAAACCTTCATAGCAGCAACAAATTGATATGCAGTTTCGCCGGATCGTGGAAGTCTTTAAAGGTACTGGGTTCACTTTCAATTTGAAGAATGTTACGTGGACAATAGACAAGAAGTTGTCAGATATTCGCAACTTCAACGCCATAGCACAAGGACGCGCTCTCCGCCAGGGCACGTACAAACACTGAATCTATATTACGTCAGGTATATAGAAAATGCCGCGGGTTTCTGCCATTATCCTGTACGGAATCCCAGCCGCGACCAGGTCTTTTTGGATGGTTGCTTTCACTGGATCGCGGTGCTCCCTGATCCAAATGAGCCAGCAAGCACCGGCTCCATTACAACACACGAGATCGGGCACTGGCTATCCTTGATACATCTATTCGAGGGTGACTGCACAGACCCAAACGATTATATTGACGATACTCCAGCTGAAATGAGGGCAAAGCCGGAAGTCCCTGACTGTAAACCTAACAATACTCTAGACACATGCCCCAATATGCCAGGCAAGGACAATATTCAGAATTTCATGGCGTACATAACACAGTATGCGTCTCCATTTAAATATGCCGAAAATATAATACTAATCAATTATCCTTTTACATTACAGACCTTGCATGACAGAGTTTACAACGGGGCAGATAAAAAGAATGAAGTCTGCATGGGATACACTGCGAAAAGGCAAATAAATATGCTGCTTTGATATCGCGGTTTTGTATATAGTCTGCTGACCTATAGTCGCTGAAATGTAAGCCATTTGGTTTTGCTGTGTTGCATTTGTGACCATTGGGGCCCTGAAGAGGTATCGAAGCAGTGCGCTCAAATGACGTTTAGATGCGCCTTACTGGAAGGCTGAAGGCGTGGTAAAGATACGAAGACGCAGCCTACGCGCCATTAAGCGTATCAGACACGTCCTTCAAAATCGCATTGCCATCCACTCTCGCCTTATTCAAAAAGTCCCACGGCAGCAAGCTCATCTTTCCACTAGAGTGCTTCTTCATCATACACCTCTGCATCACTCGCAACAAACCTCCGATTTCCTCCAACTGCTCCGGCACTTCGGCGTATATCACCCTATCCTCGTCCGAGGATGCAAGCAAAGCAAGCCGCACAAAGCTGATCAGATTCGCCGCCAGCGCAGCAGCTGTCGGAGCCGCAAATGACGTCCCTGAGATGTGCGTGACAGTAAGCTTCGGGTTTCCTGCCGGTCGATTCACTGTGACGCCTTCGCCAAAGGCATACAGGATTGGCGCGGCGCCATCTTCGTCAGGATTGTACGGCGATGGAGCGCCATTGCCGTCAGTTGAGCTGACTCCAAATGCGTGATGGTCCGATGCTGGCCATGCTATTCGCTTGTTTGCACCGTCGTTACGAGTGGCGGCGAAGAAGAGCGGCGGCTTGTCTAGTTTGCGAGCGTTGGTCATGGCTTTATTGATAATGCCGATTTTGCCTTCGAAGCCAAAACTCATAATGATCATGTCGACGTTCCAAATCTCTGTAGCGTGTTTTATCGCCTGTCCTTGTCAGAATATTTTGTTCATGGTGTCCCTAGGAAAGTTCTTACATTGGCTATGTTTTGTTGCACCTCCACGGCCCATTGTTGGCTCTGGAGGTCTTTCCGGCTTTGAAAGACTTTTGCCACATATAATTCAGAGGTCGGAGCAACATCGAGTACAATTTGTCCGACATATGTGCCGTGGCCATCTATATCAACGTCCCAGTCTCTGTTGTCGTGGTCCTGGCTGCAAAAGGACTTGCATTGAGCGGCGACTATTCGACCTTCTGCTTTATAATTTTCTTGCAAAGCTTCATCAAGCTGGAAACCAGTGTCCAAGACGGCAATTTTAATAGCGACATCAGCCAGCTTCGTTTTAAGCAAGCCCTTGACATGGTGATGATAAAAGATATCATGAAGTGACTCGAGATGACGCCGCCATTGTTTGCCAGCTAGCTGTTTATCACTGTCAATTTGCTGTTCATCTATCGCCTCAGTCCCTTCGCCTTGAGCCTTCTCGTCATGCAGCTTGTGTAGCGGCACTTTATATATGCTCGAAATGGCGTCGCCCAGTGGATAGAGAATTCTTTCAAAGATATACTTGCGAATCTCCATATCCCCAATATTTGGTCTATCAAGGCTGCCTTTTCGAAGCTCATTGGGATCAATGCAAGAGAGTATAGTATTGAATAAGCCCTCTGGTATTGTGCTGGAACACAGTTTGCCTGCGACATCCTTCCACTTCTCGTACACAGCCAGAGCTGTGACGCAATCATCCTCTCCCGGAACAAATTCTATTTTGCTGCCGCGAGAAATTTCCAGTAACATGATGCCGAGAGTAAGAATGCTAGGAAACCAATGAATCTCCTCTGGTCTCCTTGCTGTCGGTTTTGTTTGCTCTTCGCGAAAAGCGATATTTAAATATGGTTTTATAATATTGAGGTATCGGGTAGATGTCCGGAAACAAATATGCGAGCTCGTTATGCTTGCTTGAAGCCATTCATTATTCATGCTGAAAATATGAAAGAATGATGTAACAAGTGTAAAGCAAAGAATAATGCGTTCCTTCATATCGATTGATGATATTTGTGAAGGGCCGTTACCAGGAGCAGGCCGGAGGAGTTGCTCCAACGACTCAAATTCGCCATTTGGTACTTTATTCAAGGCTTGGCCACCTCTTTCATATTGGACTTGCCACAACTTCTCGTTGAAAACAGCCATTTTGGGAACGATGCTGGCCTTGGCTTCATCGATGATGCGGCAAAGGTTATCCTTTACTTCGCGTGCAGCACATTCAAGGCTACCAAGGTTAGACCTTACATGTAACACGTCTAACGTAGTAAAGATACTCACTTTTTGTTCTCGAGAGCAATGTCGGTGTGCTGCCAATGCAAGGCCCCCAAGCTGGTTGGGAATAGGATACGGAACTGGGTCTTGCTCTTCGAAGGGGTGCATCCTGCTTGCGCCGCGATTTCGAAACGCTGGTACTCTGTGAGATTAAGCTTCATAGGTCGACTAATATGAAGCTGACTATTGCATTTGCATCGCCAGCTCCTCTCCAGCACCACAAACAGTGTCCTTGACGACTTGTGGGCGTTATGAACGGGATAGTTGCGCAACTGTACCGGGCAGTCGGACTTGAGCTGAGCACCAGGGGGAATCTTTTGCAGAGCTGAAAATGCATCATCAAACGCCATCAGCATCTTTCCACGCTTATTTAAGCTTTTTGAATAAAGGCGAATAATACGGCCGAGGGAGGACAACGTATCATTCGTAGCAAGTGAGCCGTCATCAGGGAGAATCTTTCGTAAAGCGTTCAACTTCGGATACAATTCGCCCGTCTTCCTCTCAAGACCAAGAAAAATACATAACTCTGCTGCATCACCTTTCCAAGACGTGAAAGCATTCTCAAGCACATCGAGCGCCGTTAAGAGTGCGCAGTTAAGATGAGTCGTCTTGCATGACGGACCGGGATTGAAATCATTCAGCGTCACGGACAACTGAACGGCCTTGATATTGAAGTCTCGGTAAAAGTCTGACTTTTCTTTGTCGGAAGGTTCAGAGAGCTCAACGCATGCCAAGATGGCCACGGCGGCAAATGTAGGGACGACTGCTGACAATAGTTCGACGAGATCATCCGTGCTAAGTGGCGGCGCCGAAGCCGCAAACAGCCAAGCCATCACTGCTGGAGGGAAGCTGTTGCGTAGTTTGAGTGAATCATTCGCTGTTCTGATACTGATGTTGCATAATTTTTGTGTCTGTGCAAACGGCGAGCTGTCACGGAGATGAGCTGGCGTACAGTTGGGCTGATCGTTGGCAGTGCCCCATGTTGCACTGTGCGGGGGTTGCGCCAAGCTGAACTAGGGACGGGCCATCCCGCAGTCTGTCTACCCGTCTACACTGACCTTCTCTCATCGATAAACTGCCTGTTATATCAGCTACCATGATTAAATTCGACAATATGAAATGTTCAGGCTGATAATCGTTCATCAAAAGCGATGGCTCACGAGTCTACAATACCACTGCTGGAAGGCGATGGGTCCCCCGCGAAAATCGAACCCGACATCGAGCTACCCGTAGCACCCAATGCGCTGCTTCTAGATATCCACACATTGGCTAGCAGCTGTGGTGATATGCTAAATAGACTCTGCAGTCAATATGATGAGGACAGTGTCTCTGCTAGAGAGGCAAGGAAGCAGCTGACAAGTTTCAATATCTGGGTAGCGTCCGTTGGTGTATTTCGAGAGGGACACCATTCTCTGGCTGCTAGGTTAAAAAACACACCTGAGATAAGCAATCATACTGAGCAGCTGCTCACAAGTCTCAAAGATGTTCTTGGTAAATATTTCCTAAAAACTGAATTCAAAGGTTGCTACTGTTCAAGGTCATTAACACTCCATTCAGACACTCAACTATCTCTCGATGAGAAAGACAATACGGATGATAGCGACTCTGATAAGTCTTCCGATAGATCATCGACCTCTTACCGACTTGGCGAGGAACCTGATACGTCGGATATGCCTCCTGCCACAGGGCTCTGGATTTCCATTCACAGCAAGATAACTAGTCTACGACAGCTTGCAATCAGACTACACCGCGCAGGAACAACTCATCGTAAAGCACGGGTAGATCGATTCATCCAGCTTGAAAGAAACCAAGAAATTTACGGTATGTGGACGAGACTAGCGTACACAATGGCCAGTCATGCGTTTCCCAAGGCTTCGACCGAGCTGCATGAGAGAATCGCAGTGTCCATCGCCAGAAGACGAGCGAAGCTCATGTATTTGGAGAGTCATAGAATCAAGAAAACTGCCACAATTATCAAAGCGGGGGATACATCTAAGAAGCCGGCTCCTTTGCAACTCACCGAAAACAAATTCAGCAAGAGTAGCTTGCGAATACCTACTATGGTAGTGCCATCACCACGGAGTACAGCAGCAAGGACCACAGCACAAACAGCGGTGATTTCACAGACTACCGCCACAAAATACCAAGCCCCAAAACGTGCAGAATCCGTCTTATCAACAAAAGTTTCCACCGATGGCCTTCCGGTAGTGCCAAAGTTTAGCGACGATCAGGCGTGGTTCGACTGCCCCTTCTGCTGCACAACTTGTCCCTCAACTGAGCTGAGCACTGCTGCGCAATGGCAAAGACATCTGATTCACGACCTGGAGCCCTTTTTCTGTGTCTTTGGATCATGTACAGAGCCGTTCACCGACGGCGAATCCTACAGCGCATGGTTGGATCATATCCAGAAGAGTCATTCCACGCCACAGTGGTATTGCTGGTACTGTCAATCTGCAACTGTACCACTACAAACATTCTCATCATCCGATGCTTTAGAAGAACACTTGAGAGACATGCACAACGACAAGACGACAGACTCTGTCCGATCGGTCATTGTCAATCACAGCATGCTAACTCAACCGCCACCTTTACACGACTGTCCGTTCTGCGGTGGTTATCCAGAAGAAATCGAAAAAGCATTTCCAGATCGACAGGGCTATGATGCAGTCGAGGCACTTGCCAAACACATGCGGGACCATCTCATAGAAGTCGCGTTGATGATGCTTCCTACAGACTATGATGCCAAAGATCAAGACGAAAACAATGATATTAAATCAGAAGCTGATCGAGGAGATGTTGAATATCAAAATGTTGATGGCTTGGAAGTGCTAGACAAGCGAGTTAGGGCTGGCGACTTGAAATGCGGAAGAATAGACTGTGACTGCTTAGTTGAACCAATTCCTTATTTCCTCGACTTTGACTGGTCTCAGTTCTCCCAGACATTTACAATAGCTGGTGACAATATGTCTGCACCCATCAATTTTGATGATCCTACATTCACTATATGGCAAATAGGGTTACCGGGTGAGTGGCAATTCTTGGATGTCCACTACGGCAGGCAACTTTGGCTAAACGTCAGTGGTGTTTACGATGATGATCCTGCAAATGATCCAGTACTTCGTATGCTCTTTGGGTCCAAGCTACTTGAAGCAGCAGCAAATCGAAAAGTGCGATACATGTGTCGGGACCCCGCCGAGGCAGGTATTCAAAGCTCACTTCAGCCAGAAGTCCCATTGTCAGCGTGTATCTTCTGCAAACGCGGCAAAATGTATAGTGAGCATTACGGTGCTGCCGCTCATTTGCGTCGCGTTCACTTCAACCCTCGGTCGACTCGTGGCCGCAGAGAGAACCTGGGGGGAACTGAGCTGCATCGAGATGGTCGGGACGGTGTCAACTGGCCGCCTACGGCTGACCTTGCCAATATCTGGTTCAGAGAGGTGTTGGTACCAATTGTAGAGCCGAGTGAAGGTTTTGCAATTTCATCGGCAGCTTATGGAACTAGTCCAATATCATCTGATGAAGACATTTCAACCACGCATATAGACAAAGCAGAGGGGGAATCGCTGAGGAAAGGAGATACCAGCCCAGACAGTATGATACATTTCTTCCCTACTGACGAAAGGGTGAATGCACAAAGTAGCAGACTCCCACCTCGCCCTTCTTCCCGAGACGAATTCCGTATTGCCATATTCTGCGCTTTATCGATGGAGAGAGCCGCTGTTAAGGCCGTCTTCGACTACATTTGGGACGACTCCGGGACCCTATACGGCAAGTTGCCAGGTGATGAAAATATATATACAACAGGATTCATTGCTGGTTACAATGCCATCTTGGTGTATCCATCTGCAATTGGGGTATCCAACACGTCTCGCATGGCAGCCAGTTGTCGGCGTAGCTTCCCAAGCATCCAAATTGCCGTTGTGGTTGGGATCTGCGCAGTCGTTCCTGGCCTTGCTGAGAATGAAAGATTGCTTGGTGATATTATTGTTAGTGAAACTATTTTACTACCTAATATGAAGAGGCCTACAGATGACGGAACCGTCCAGCAGCGACCGTTGTGGAGATACGAGCCCACGCTCGCAAGATTTAAGACGTCCGAGCTCAACACACAAGTCGCAACACGAATTGGGTTTATTTTACGTGGACTTCAGGAACAGCTTGATTTGAAAGCCCACTATCCAGGCACCGAATACGATATGTTATTTGAGCCGGGATTTAAGCATCTTAATGAAGCAAAATCATGCACGGAAGCCGGCTGTAACGGTGCGTTGATAAATCGCCAGCGCCTGTCTCTATACAGAAGAGACACCAGCGCGATCGCACACAACCTTTTAGTTCCGGATTTTTATCAGAATGGTCCAATCTTACGGAGTCCGAGTCAGACTGCATTACAACAAGCCACCCCAGTGGTTCACATCGGGTCAATCGCATCTACCAATGTAGCGATGAGGTCAGCAGAAAGGCGAGATGCGTTGTCTAGCAAAGAGGGAATTATTGCATTTGAGGTGGGAATGTCTGATATATTCAACATATTTACAGGTTTCATGATTAAGTCTGCAGCTGATTATGCTGATGGTCATCAAGACAAGAGCTGGCAACAATATGCATCTGCTACTGCTGCTGCAGGTTTAAAGGCCATTCTTGAAGAGTGGGTTCCAAGAGCAGATATGCCTTGACTGTTTAATATGCTTGTCAATCTACTTGCTCACTTTCTCCTCCATGATTATACCATACATTGAGTGAATGAAGCAGTTAGCACTATCCATTGGTAAGTAAGTATAGGTGGTTACAATCAACTAGATCGTCGGTAGCATGAGTCAGGTCGCTGGCATCCTGCGCTCCAAACTCGTTAGCAGATAAACCATGCACACTTCAAGTGCCAGACGGGTGAGATTGATAGTCTGCCGGCGTGCATGCTTTCCTCTTGTAAATCACGATTCAAACCCAGCCCCGCCTGAGGTTGTTAGCTTGGGTTTCCTGTACGGCTCCGATGGAGGCTCCCCAGACAAGAGACGATTGGACATTTACTATTCTACATCCAGGCCCTTTATGAGGATCAAATCTGTCTCTTAGGGTCTAGAAGCATGATTATGTATTATTGCGCAATATTTTCTTATTCAAACTAGCTATCCGATCTTCAACACACCTAAGGTAACTGTACATGCCAACTACAACACTGCTACTGATTCGCTGGCTTTCCAGTGTACACAATATTGACAGCCGTATCGCTCAGCACATCAGTGCGCTATTGCATCTTACCATCCTCAGTAACTCTGTCAATGATTTCACCACCAGCCAAGTTGGTCTTGCCGCCCTTGGCATCGACGGCATTGCACTCTGTCATTTTAATATTTTCCATCCACACGCCTGAAGTGCCACCTGGCTCCTCAGCAATCCACTCAACAGTCTTGAAACACAGCTCTATACCCATTTTGCCCTTGGCAGTGGCGGTGACGTTCTTGCCGGTTGTCCTGTTTCCAATGTAGACCGTACCGGTGAAGTTGCTGGTGGCTGTTAATCTAGCAAAGATGTCATCACCAGGCTTTACATCCAATTTAAGATAGTCGGGAGGGTAAGGGATGAACTCGATCCGGGCAAAATACTCTTCTTTCCCTGTGTAACCCTGGCATGTGGTTCCCGCTTGCAAAAGGGCTTCTGCAAGAGACACCATCAATACCAATCCACGCTGCAATCCCCTCAGGACGGTTGTCGGGATCGGTCTTGTGCCTGGAACAATGTGGCACCGTCCACCGGGCTTCGACGGTTTTGGGGTTTTCAACGTCTTTTGTAATACCTGACCAGGCTATATCTGTCGATCTTTTGGGCGTGGCGGCGTAAGTGTGTCTCGAACCGCCATGCGCAGGCACGGCGGCGGCGAAGCCAGAGAGCCATAGAAGTGAAGAGCCAGTGAGCATGTTGGCTTGAAAAGACGTAGAAAAGTTGGTTTTAGTTGAGTATTCGTGGATGTTCCATCTCAATCGGCAGATAGTGCTTCTTTTATAGTTGCAATGCCGGCTTGTGCTTCTACCCCGAGCCTAGTCCGACCTCGCAAATTTAACCACAACGAATCCCACGCTAATGGGGTAGTCCTGCATCCAATGCTCCCTACTATCCTAGATTAGGAAGTTCAGATGAAAACGGCTTGGAACTAAAGTAGAATTAAAGTACTACTTAGACAATAGAGTCCGTGCTTCCCGCGGAAAATAACTCTATGGTTGCGTCCCAATAGAGCAGTAGAGTCCAGGCACATACAACCCCTCCTCAGAGCTATCCTACCAAGAGCAACTCGCGACATTATACACGCTGCGATCAGGATGCTGGAGCTGTGAAGGTTAGTGTAGGAGTCTAGGAAAATTAGGCTCTATTAGTGGAGTGGGAGGCTGCGGCTGATCGATCTTCAGTTCGGCAGCAGCCCCCAATGAGTGAGTATGATCCGAACAGTGGCTGCTGGTTTGGATAGCTTGGTTTCAGCCACATAAACGTTATATCAATTAATTATTCACCAAGTTATATTATGTATTACAAGTTTAATAAAATAATAATTTGGGTATATTTCAGTGTTAAAAAAAGAAGAAGAAAAGAGCAAAGCAGAACCCCCAAAAGTTTACTGAGTAGGAACGCCAGCATAGGCTGCAATTCCCTTTGCAATCGCCTTCGAGATGGGCGATGTAACGGAAAGCCCAGTCAAGTACAAGTCTGGAGGCGTCTTATCGCCTACATTAAAGGTAAAGGACTCGTGTCCAGCGAGCAAGCCGGTAAAGACGGGAGACAGAAAGACGTCGAGGTGCGTCTTTTGGAATTCAGGTCGTTTCGCAATGACAAGGTCAATAGCAATGGGATTGTCTACCGTCAGTGTCGAATTAACGTGGTGAATAATACCAAGCGCCTGAGCGTGAGACAGCGGCGGTAACAGCGCCGAGTGAGCCACGCCCGATGCCAACGCTTCCGAAACTTTGGCGAGCGTGTCAAGAGGCGCCCTGGTGTTTTCGATGCCGGCCGTGTAAGTCTTCATCTGGTCAATGAGGATGCGCACATTGGAGTCGATGTTGTCAATGTCCTTGAGACACAGGTCGTAGATGCTCTCAGAGGCTACGGCAGCGGGTGCCGCAGCGACTGTAGATGCCAGGAGAAGCGCGGCAAATTTGAAAGAAACCATGGTGTTGATTAGAAGCAGAATTAAAGTGACGAAGCGAAATAAAAAATCGAAAAAGAAATTCCAGAGAGCGGGCGTTCGTAGTTTTAAAGTCGCAACTTACATACCGTTGGAGCTCATCTGCCGCTAGTCGTCCTCTTTGCCTTTTCTGGTAATACTCGCGATGCAGTGGGACGCCCTGCTGCCTCGGCTTTGCTACAATGATCGAGTCCGGGGTGATGCGGGGAAGATGTATTTTTTATATAAATTAGACTTGAAAAATAAAATAAAAACACCACCATGGCTTGTCGATTTTTTATTAGTGCAGTATTGTTCTTTATTTCTACTATTAGTTTTAATATATTATTTTAGCTTCGGGGACCTTCCCTCGGTATATATTTCTTGTCGTCTTTCTACTACTGCTTGCCCTATGTCTATGACAGCCATTTAGGGTATCTATAGTTGGGTGTTTGGCTAGCGCTCTTGTCCACGGAAGAGCCGATAAATAGATTAATTAAGCGGCCAAGTCTAATAGAACATAAGACTGCCCAACAAATTAAATATAGCGTACAAAATAAAACGATTTCCGCTCATGGACCTTAAATTAGTAACAGATTCTACTTATTTACATAGAAAGCGGTAGTCAGGCTATGACATTACCTTGGGTTGTTAAGGTTCTAAGCCACTGTTGGCACGGAGGCTTAGAGCTTGAGTGTTTCATACTTGAAAATAAAAGACGGGAATAAATTTAGGGATGCATACATGTACAGGTACAAGGAAATATCCTGGAAACAACGAGTTTGGTAGCTGTTACCGCCGCTTGTCTTGCATCTCCTATTGGTTGACGCGCGCTTTCTCTCGCACAGAAACAAAAAGATGAGACCCAACGCTGTTGCGCGTGTCAGGGTCTCTGGTCGGTCGTCCCGTTCAACAATCTACAAAGTCAAACCTTCAACTCCTTCTCTGGCAGCTTCCGAGTCCGATGGCTACAACAATTACCAGCCTCGGCCACACCCTTACCACCGTCGGCCCCCTTCCCACGACCTTCTCTCTGAGCGCGAGCTGCACGAAAGACCACCTGGTGCAATTTGCTAATGGAGATTCGACGGGCGCTGTCGTATTGTGGAATGATGGTCAAGAGTGCAGTAGTGGCCGCTATCAGCTGTTTCCAAAAGACGGATGTCTTCCTAGCAGATACGGCTCCGTCTTTGCTAATAACCAGGGACTTCTCCCAGTCTTCTCGCCAGCCACAGCCTGCCCTGCTGGATATGGACCCAGCTGCACCTTGGTACGAAACGTCGATACGGATACATCGTCGGTCATAGTGTGGGACGCTCTCAGCACTGGTCAAACTGCTATCGGCTGCTGCCCAAGGTAATAGCACGCACCCTGAATTTCAACCACCCTTATATTTATATACTAACCCGATACATTTCCCTAGGAAAAGAGGTTATGCTTGTGGTGGTCGTCCTGTAGATGGGTTTGGCTTCTATTACTGTGCATCACAAGCAACGCTGAAGAAACTATTACCCTCACCAACGTTGGGGACTGTCAGTCTTCGCCGCGTACCTTAACGGTTATTGCCACCAGCACCCAACAGGCTGGCTTTTTGCCCCAAATCGTTTATCTTCGCCCAGAACTTACATTTACAGAAACCGCAAGTGTCATGAGTACGGCTCCAAACACAAATTCCATACCTACACCTACACAAGCGGATTCGGGAGGCTCTTCATCTACGTCACTTGCCCCAGGAGCCAAAGCTGGTATATCTGTAATTGTGGTATTCGTGGTTATTTTCATTCCAATTGGCCTCTTCATTCTATACAAGCGAGGAAACGAACCGCGATAGGCGCTTTGCCCCCGCCAGCATATGCAGCGCCAGGAAACACCTATGAGAAACCAGAGCTTCCATCGGATAATCATATAAGAAGCGAACTGCATAGCAACCAGGCGCCCATACCCGAGCTACCAGAAGGAGAGTCTAAATATGGCCCATCCCCTGTAATAGTGGCTGAGCTGATGGAGATGAAGCTATCAGACAACAAGCTCCGCAAAGGACCTCTACTATATCAAGGAAGCCTATTCCTGGGCAAAGGAATAGTGCTTGCTAGTCTATACATTTGGATGTTAGCAGCGACATTACTTCAAAATATGCCATGTTTGTGTTCATAGACACTGAGGCACCCACCTTAGATTCATTAGTTTAGCTTGTTCAATTCAGCATACAATAAACCAAAGCACGACCTGGTACCCGGACAAAAACAAAAAAGCGATTGTTGTCCTGTGCCACTGTTTATCCATTGGCACCACGAGCCGTCCAAGCATTTCCACGATCCGCCTCGTGGCTCCCACGTTGCGTGCCTTGGTGGCTTGCTCCGTCTCCCGCCATGGAATCAATCCAATAGCCTACTGTGCGGCTATGCAGAACAGCAGCGCCACTGTAACCTTGATCGTGCGAACGCTACTTTCAGCTTGGGGAAGGGGGACACTAACTTAGCGGCTGCAGCTCGGGGACACTAGTCATAACGTACCATTCACGACATTGCTGCGCATCCTAATTAACCGACCGCCGCCTCCACACGTGTAAGCGCTACGAGATGCGGTTGTATTCGCAGCACACTGGCGTCATCGTGGGGCATTGTCTATTGGTGTAAAATTTACAATCCTTTGTCCCACATAGGGCGATCTCCCGGAAGATTTTCCTAGCCAACGCCTCACCCACCCCTGCGTCCAGTGAGGTCGGGCCGCGGAGGACCGTGTTGTAAGCTAGGTACAGGATGCATGAACCGACTGTCGCCCTATGTAAGAAGCCAATGGCCACGTCTCTGGACGCAATGTCTTTGTCTCTCTCCTCATACCTTGACATCGTCTCAGTCTACTCACTTCACTGACTACTACCCTTTCACAATGCTTGTACCCAAGACCGCTCTTCTTGCCCTCGCGCTCTGCGCCTCTGATGCCCTCGCCTTGGATCCAAAGTGTGCCCCTGGTGGCAACTTTGACCTCAACAAGTTTGTTCTTCAGCTCCCCAGCGGCTCTCCAGGCAAGCCCGACCAAATCCCCGCCTCGCGCCTCAAGGGCTGTGATGGCTTCCAGGATGGCAAGTACTTCTTCACCGATGGCAATGGCGACGGCGCCATGGTCATGAAGGCTCCTGGCGGCGGAAACTGTGCTACCTTCAACGGCGCACCTCGCTGCCGCTCTGAATTTGGCGAGACGAGCCCATGGAGCTCCAGCGCCGCTACCAACCGCTTGAAGGCCGATCTCTCCGTCAACAGTGGCAGCAGCATCTGCATTGGTCAGGTGTTCCAGTCAAACTCCAACAACAAGCCTCTTGTAAGTGGAATGCAGCTAGCGCCGTGACCATACTTTGTTTTGCTAACAATTCTTTCAGGCCGAAGTTTACTACAACAGCAATGGCGAAATTACCGTTGGTGTTGAGTACGTCGCGACCGGCGGCCAGGGCCAGGACTTAAACAAAATTGGCTCCGTCTCTGCCAAAACCCGATTCCATTACGAGATGCGCTTTGAGAAGGGCAACCTTCAGTTCTCCCTCAACGGAGGAGACTTCAAGACCCTCAAGCAGTACTTTAAGACTGACAAGGCCTTTTTCAAGATGGGCAACTACAACCAGGGCAAGGACGACACCTCCATTCACGTCTACGGTCTCTCTATTGAGCACTAAGTCAGATATAATGGGTCGGGGCCTTGTTGCCTTTCCTTCTTATATGTATATAATGTATATGTATGCCGGTATAGTGGCTTTCGTTTTACTCTTTATTTTGGTTATCCAACTACAAAAAGGTCCTATAGATGTACTTGGTAGCTAGAAAGATATGCTTAGATTTAATGATCCTATGCACTATCATGGCCAGACTTTGTACCAGTAGATGCACTCTCCCGCATCGGATCACTCACTTTCATCCTGTCTATCTAGACGACTAATTCGTAACAATTTCGTTGAAAAAGGTAATAATCTCAAGAGTCCTAAAACATAGTCACATCCTCTAACTCGTTGTCTGATATGGGATTCTAGAAACTAAACGGGATTATATACATCCTTTATTAAATATGATCAATATTGTATAGAACAATAACGCATGGTGCCCTCATGCTCATCGCATGCTCGAGGCTCCATCACGTAATCGTACGGCGCCAAGGCTATCGTGCCGCACAGAGAGCAAGCACAACAATACACACCCGCTTTTATGGCCCATCTTCATGAAAAAGACCGTGTTATGGGTTTTATGGTGGAGTTTATACCAGGACGGCCTGCCAACATCGATGATCTAGAGCGTTGTGAAGAGGCACTAATATGGCTTCACGACCTGGATATTCTTCATGGTGATGTAAATCGACACAATTTTATCGTGTATGAAAGTGTAAATGTTCGAATGATTGATTTTATGCATTCCAAACCTTGGTCAGAGGATGGAGCGGAAAGAGAGCTTCAAGAATTAGAAGCTGAGCTACAAGATATCTCTGCGCGGGGCGCACCATTCAGCGTCTAAAGTTTATTAGAAGCTAAAGTCAGTTAAAGACATGGTTGAAATAATAGAGAGATCAGTTATCCGCATAATTATAGCTATTATTCATAGTACTTATTGATCCCCACGTACACGTAAGTCGTGTAGTGTATTGCAAATCGTTCAAGTCATTTAGCATTTCAGCCTGGAATTGCTGTTCCATTTGCTGCACTCCATAACAAGACCGAGCGTGCAGTAAAAATTGGGCCCTCGACAACTCACGAAAGGCGACTTTTCGACAAAATGTTGAGGGGTGTTGATCTGGAGGCACAGTCTGGGAGATTTGGGCATCAGGGAGATCCCTATTGTCAACTTGTTCCCGAACCCATTTGCATCCTCTGCACCATGATCCCATGTCGACATGTGCTTGTTTAAGTGGTGGTAAGTGAGGAAACCAAGTCGTTCCCATTCCGTTATACTTATTGTTCACGGAGTTCGGCGCTTCACGCAGCATGCAGGGATCGTGTCTAGGAAAGCTTAATTGTGCCGAGGTCAACATCTCAAATAAAGCATATTCCTCGCGTGATATGCGTTTTGGCTCAGTTTGCGGATATTTCCATATCTCTGGGTAGTATGTCCTTATTGCTAGCTCCTCCGCCGCCCGTACACTAACTAGTAGTTGGGGTCGGGAGCGGGAAATTTCCGTCGTAACAAAATATTTTCCGGGTATACTTCTTGCTGTTGGAAGGGCCTTCATCTGCCGAGCGGTAAAACAAAAGCAAGTCCCAGCTTGGGCTCGAGGCATCACCCACAGTGCCGGTTTCGCGCGAAGACATTGAAAGAAACTAAAAGGCCCCGAAGTTACCGCAACAAGAGCATTCTTCTGAATGCAGAGCCCTCTCAAGGGTTTTGCAAGTATATCGTCCTAGTAACCTCATCTTGCTAAGAACTGCCAATGTTTCGGGGCAATGCTTTACAAGCTTCGCATAGGATGGGAGTGATGCCACCAGTTCTTATCCCTGCCTGCACGTGTAACTGATTTTAATCAAGGATGAAATATCTACCTGATCAAGAATCATGTGTACAAGTTCGAGTGGTAACTTATTCAGGTATACCAGCCCGTTCGGGCTTTGCCATTCTCTCTGGGGATAGTGTAATGGTACCTGGTCCTCGTCAGAGACGCGTGCCATGCCCGTGCTTATACGTTGCGGAGTATAAGCATATCGCGAATATATTTCGTCATCTGTGATCGATTGCATTTTTTTTTCTTTTTCTTTTCAAATGATAATACATTGAGAATAGAAAATTTGTTGTACAACAAAGGTTGGGTTAGACATTCGTGAGGAGAGTAGTCTCTTGGGTCATGGAAGTCATTCACTTGAATGGTGGGCGCGTCCCAATGTTATCACAGTGCTAGTGAAGCACAAGTATTCAAAGCGCCTCAAATAACACTGATTTTACATAAATATTCATAAAATATAAGGACTAAAGTTAAGGGGAAAGGGCAACTTATCTATAGAGCGGCTAAATATTACACAGTACCCTGCGAGTAGCCCAACCAAACAGCCGTGTGGACTCGCTAACATTGACTCGATCAGAACTTTTTGTTATAAGCTTCATACTCTCCATAGAGTTGGCTGACAATTCTCCCAAGCTCAGAAACAACCAAGATCCTGAGGGATCCAATTGTGCCTGGGCCCCAACGCGCCATATAGCGATGACACTCGGCAATGTTTTCACACAACAAGTTGCCATGGTGGCTCACAAAGTTTATGCACCAGATAAAACGTAGAGAATGCAGATGAGATTGATTTTGAATTGTTGGATATTGTACACGGGATCACTTATTACATCGTACTATCGCTCAGTCGACTGACAAGGAATCAGCGACCAGAGTCGACTCGTCCGTATCAGAATCATGACCGTCTCCAAGCAGGGTGGGCCATAAGCACAATAGGGCGACGCTGCGCTCTCATGTATAGTTCTTGAAGCTTCGGGTCGGCATCGGATCGAATAACGCTACCAATCGACATGAAGAAGCTAGCTTACTGTTAGTAAGGTGCTCTAGAGTTATCGCGCATCACAATATCATACCCAAAGGTGGCGCCAGATCCTGCCATATATTGTCCCAGAGTTCTCATAATGCCCTGGGAGCCAGCTCCGTATCTGAAAATGTTGACGGTTCCTAATACCCAGTTAGCGACGCAAGGGTTGTGTTTGCAATTGTGAAACTCGTACCGAAAATGAAACCAATAATAACACCAACGGCTGCAGAAGAAGTTAGAAATGTACACTCGTAACTGTTGTCTTAGAAAATTCTCGTACTTCCACCCATCATAGCTCCCATCTTGACTGTCGCAAAGGGTCAGCGCATAGTCTCTTCAAGCACATATTATGACACCGTACACTTGTCAAAGTTGGATGGGCCATGCTGGCCACCGGCTCCAGGAATAGATGCTACAGGAGGCATGTTTCGTTCTGTGTATGTATTGTTCCGGGCGACGGAGGGTTGCGTAAACGACGGTCGGTTTCGTTGGCGATTATTTTGGCGACGGCAGAGCTCCCAAATACATCATATCATTGGATGGCCATAAAGGATAGCCGGCAAAAGATTAATGCGAGCCGATCCGAAGCCCCTCACAGTACGGGAAGTCGGTTAGAAGAATATGGCACGGTCTTGTATATCACGTGAATAGCAATGGCAATATCGGTAAGAATACGCAAAAATGTGGAAATAATAGATATCTAGGCCTGAAATTGATTTTTTGGAACGTTTCTTCTTGGATTATTATCTTATTAGCATATATACCGAATGTGGAGGTAGCTCTGCAAGCTCGGGAGGTTGGTACGTTGGACACAGTGCCAGTCTGCGCGACCAGCTCCAAGCGCCGAGCGAAACGGGGCGTGGGCACGCCCGAACCCAACAACCTTGGCTGGATCGTCAATCAACGTTATTCCCATCATATCGACCATCCATACGCACCCTTCATCCTCAAATACATATAGGTGAGTCGCGCTGAGCTCCTACAGGGTCCTGTGCGACGCTCGACGAGATTTAGGCTCATCGCATTGAGTCCTTGCCGCCGTCCGCTTCACCGAACATTGTTCCCCTTTCACTTGTGTCGCGAGAGCGCTGCTGACAACATAACCAATCGAAACAGACATCTATTTTGCATCGCTGCATGCTCCCAACGCCTCAGACTCGAGCTCCGCGACCGATAAATTATTCCGGCAATTGATCTTGCGTCTCTGGCAGGGCTGTATGAGGAGTTGGACCGACTCGCAGCCTTCACGAGACGCGCAACGAGTTGGGCAAGGAACTGCCCGCTCCTGTCCTCCATCGCTCTCTCCTTGCGGATTTCCATCGCCTAGCTTTTCCTTATGACGGCCGTAGCGAATGCCCCAGCTTTCCCACAACTGTCGCGTTCAGCATGGAACGGAACAATTAGTGGGAACAATACAGTCAACGCAGACGACGTGCGAGGCATGTTTGCCCCTCGGAAAAATCTAGCTCGCTCATCTTCATCATCTTCAATTTCCTCCGATTCCTCAGGCACCTCCGTTGCCACCAACGGCTCTCTGGCCAACGGGGGCTCTCTTTCCTCGACATCTGACCTGAGCCAATGGTCTACTAGCAGTTTGCAGCAGAGAAAGAGACCGCAGCAGCCGACAAATGTTTGGCCAGTTAGCAAACAAGACAGCCAACAAGATTTATCCCGCTTACCCAACGGCCGGCCAAATGGTATGATGAACGCTCACGGAATCATGCAACAAAATGGCGGAGGACCGCAATCCCAGATGGGTCAACAATTACGACCAGTGGTAGCTGAGCTAGCTCCTGGACAACCAGTTCTTTATTTATTATCACTGAATGGAACTTTCGAACGAAAGACGATAGCAGTACCGTTTGCGCCTGAGAGTCTGCGCATAGGTCGCCAGACGAACCAAAAAACAGTACCAACACCCACCAACGGCTTTTTTGATAGCAAAGTTCTGTCAAGACAACATGCCGAAATCTACGCCGAACGCAGTGGCAAAGTATTCATTCGCGATGTCAAATCATCGAACGGTACTTTTGTCAATGGCACACGGCTTTCCCAAGAAAACCGCGAGTCCGAACCGCACGAGCTCCAAACCGCAGATCATCTGGAGCTCGGCATTGATATTGTCAGTGAAGACCAAAAGACTGTGGTTCACCACAAGGTAGCTGCAAAGGTTGAGCATGCCGGGTTCTTAGCTGCATCAAACAATGTGCTCGATATGAACTTTGGAGATCTCGATCCTGCGAATGGCTCGACCATGTTAAGTGGTGTCGCCATGCAAATGCGTGGGCGCAACGGATCCAATGCCCCAGTAGCTAACAATGGCCGACCCATGCACAATGCACCTATAAATCAACAAGCGAACAACATGCTTCAGCAGCGACCATTCTTCATGGCACCAATTGCAACAGATCAAATAATGAAGCGGCTCACTGCCGAAATGCGAAGTGCAAGGCTACAAGCGCAAGACTTGGGTCGTACCAATCAGTTTCTTAGCACGCTCTTGTCAAAGGACGATCTAAAGGAGCTTGATAGCCACGATGCGGCGGAAGCACAAAAACTGCAACCAGTTACAAATGGTAGTGCCGTCCCGTTACGGCCAGACACCAAGGCCAGATTTTCCGACCCCCCAGCACCTCCACCACAGCAACCTTTACCTGAAAAGCCCGATTCTCCAGCTCCGAAACGTGGACTTTCAGAGCGTCCAAAATCTGGACAGTCGCTGTCTTCACCTATCAAACAAGACAACCTCAGTCAAATTATTCAGCTTACAGAAGCACTAAATAATGCGAAGCGAGATATCGATGTTCAAGCCGCCAGAAACCGAGAACTAGAAGAGCTGCTCCAGCAAGAGCGCCAGGCTCGGGAGGTGGCGGAGGGTCTTGCCAGGCAGCTTGAGGAATCCACCACTGTACAGGTGAATGGTTCTACCAAGGCACATGACCAGCCAGAGGATACCACGAAGGAATTACCAGTGGTGATAGCGGATGCGCCAGAGCAAGAGGTGGAACAACCAGTGCCCGAAACCGTACCAACTCCCAGCGTGGATAATGTGGCTGTGTTTGAATCTCGCATCCTGACGATGGAATCCCAGATGGAGGAGATGAAGCAACAGCTCGCCCAATGGAAGCAGCGTTGTGAAGCTGCTGAGACGGAGCGAGACAGCAACCGCAAATCGTTGGAAGAGATGGTTATCCAGCTACGCGCTGAAGAAGCACGCCGAAAGGAATCTGAGAACGCAGCTCAGACCAAATCCGCCGTGCAAAAACTTCCCAACCCCTCGGCATCTACCAATGGCAGCATCACCGCAGAGGAGGCTACAGAGAAGGAGCCTCCCAGCAATCGCTCATCTATATCAGACGACAGCCCAACGTTGTCGAGAACAAACACCATCACACCGCAGAACGCAAACATGGGCTTAACTGCCCACGGCCAGCGTTATAACGCAAGCCTTCCCTATGCGTCTATGTTTGGTGTTGTCTTGATCGGAATGGGCATGATGGCGTACATGAATGGCTGGCAGGCACCGCAACCCCCGAGGGTCGACCACTAAAACCAGCCATCAATCAACATAACATATTGGTGCTTTGCCAAAACCAAGTCATGGCACACTTTGTACAACCTTTTTATTCTTCCACGATGTCATATACTTCAAATATTTGTTGCAGAACACGGGCGATTCAAGTTTCTGGAAATCTTTGGCGATGCACTTGAGCAAAGATGCCTTCAGCTTTATACTTGAAGTGTCTTTATATTTTGTTTCTTTATATGGCATAACGAATCGGCGTTTTATGTTTCTCCCAGTTTGACATTAACGAAATCAGCATGGTGGAAATTGTTATGGGGAAGCGAATGATCAGAGGCACATTGTTAATAGTTGGAACGGCCGTTAGCATCTTGATAAACGAGTTGTCTTCTGGCCCAGAGATCGTACTATATGATATATTCTTTTTGTCTGTTAGCGTATTTAGCATGCATATATGCGGAGCAATGCGAATTGTTTGCACATTTGTACTTTCACCGCCCAATTCTTGTAAATACGACTAATGTGTGTATGCCGTAGTAACATTTGTAGAGCTAAAGTGCATTTTGGGGGTTGTAGTTGACGATTGACTTAGTGATGGACGGTGCATAACACAGTGGGCGGACGGGCGGCGCTAGGACCACTCGGAAGCCCGGAACCGTGAAGTTTCTCATAACGTTGACGCATCATTTCACCCCACGGTCTGCAATCATCATCTCGAAAACAGGCCAACGCATCGCTTGAGATTGAGCTACGAATAAAGCGAAAATTAAAACGACCATCTTAATCGATATCCGACTACCTCCACGGCACAGCACATTGCCCTACGACCATACCTTGTTGCGCCGCCCGCCATGCCGACATTTCAAAGCAACAAATTTCGCGGGACCGGCGACGCCGACAAAATCGGCGCCAAGTACCGCGTTCTCATTAGCAAGAAGCCGTTTCTTACTTTCGGTCTGCCTTTTCTCGCCATTATGATTGCCGGCTCATTTGTCCTGACGCCAGCGACGGCGATCCGCTACGAAAAGCACGACCGCAAGATTCGCCAGATGAGCAAGACGGAGGAATTGAATGTGCGCCGGTCGCCGCGCAAGGTGGACATGAAGGAAGAATACTATGTAAGTTGCTCTACGTTGGAAGAAGCCACTAGAGGTCGAGACTTGTTGCTAATGCCGTGCTTGTAGAGACTTGCGGGCAAAGATATCGACAACTGGGAGCAGAAGCGTGTGAAGCGTCTGCCTGGAGAGACGGATGGTATTTTGTAAAAGGCACAAGGGGCGACACACATACCACACCCATTTGGTCTTCAATGAGCCATATTCTGCGACGCGCAGACGCTGCGAGCCCTGTCCACGTCAACATGACACAGACATGGGTGTACCAGGCCACTCGCCAACGATGGCCGTTCTATCCGACGGCTTCTATGACATCTACGACCTGACTGAGCCGCGGGATAATGACGAATGCACGGTTGCATGCGGGTTTTTGCGCGATTCGTCGCATGCGACGGCATGAAACGCTGGCGCGTTGGCGAACATGAGAAGAATGCCCTCCTAACGTGCCACGTAGACGTCTAGAAGCCGCGCAAGTGCGGATAATTGTAAAATTACATTGTATTACTAGCTGTACATAGAATTACAGGCTGTTTGAAATGGCACTCTGAGTCACAGCGCTTTTTTCTTGGTTGTAATTGCGACGTTTGCTACGTGTTCGCTGGAGTCCGGCGCCTTGTGGTAAGGCAGCAGCGAGCCCTGCAACATGGGATTTCGAGAATCCTCCGCCGCGGCTGATAAATCACTGACCCCTAGTCAGGTTCATTTAAGGTTTGCCTAATGGGAAAGAAAAGAAAGCGAGCGAGAAGGCGCACGGCTCGCAAAACAACCCGGTAAAGGTGATCTTAGCTTAGCTCAGCCTAAGTAAGTAAGCCAGAAAATAGCCGGAGGCGTTGTCGAAAGGATTGACTAGATTGGGCTGCAAGGCTTGGACCAAACGTCTTTTCAGCTCTGGTCGGTGCTCGGGGCGCAATCCACCCGGCCAAGGAAGATGCGGCTGGGTTGGGCTGCTCTGATAGCTTCTCCGCCTCAACGCCGAATATTGCGTTGCTTGGGTGCCGCCAAGGGTCTAGACGGCCAATACGCCATGGCCATTATGCTTCGGGCAGAGCCGAAACGAATTATCCGGCTGCCGACGCCCAAGAAAAAACTCAATCTTTTTAAAACAATTCGAAGAAACCGGCAAACGTCAACACGAGAAAGCAAAACCTTGGAAACGGTGACTCCGCAAGGCGAGCATGTCGCTAGCTTGGTGTTGAGAAGCCATCTTACCACTGTGATTGGCCGCCAAGATGCGGGGGTTGCCACACGGCGTCGCCTTAGCCCCAAGATAGGTCGACTCATGGATACTTGCTCAGCTGGTATCTATTCTGGCATGGCCGAGGTGCTAAGAGAGACGGCACGCATATCACCCAGAGTTGTTCGTAGAGTGCCGTCGGGAGCTAAGCTAGAGCAAAAATGGTTTCCAAAACGACTGGCAGTTGCCGGCATGACGGCATTGCCACAGGCTATCGTCCGTCCAGTGCTGTGATGGTTTACACCATGGAAATATCGGTGTAAGTGGCAAAGAATGGATGAACTCCATGATGGAAAGCCATGGCTTGTTTGAATTCAGGAACACACCGCTAGAAACGGTGCTTTCCTCACGATCTTGCATTCGCCTGCAAGGCACGGCCATGCAGGTGCAACGCTGGCAAGGAACGCATGGCGGCGCATGATGGCGGGGGACCAGGGTGCCATCACAGGACGCCAACGCTAGCGATGCAGGCTGGCTGAGCTCTACACCACATACAGACTAGTGCTAGCGTCTGGGTAGGCTCTCGCTGCGCCGGCTTTGGATTTGGAGAAGTTGGAGATGGTGATGAGCTCTGTGCGCCACAGTCAAGAGCTATGTGGTACGACAAGAGGGATTATATGGCTCGATAGATTCGGTTGATATCATTCAAACTGTCCCTTTGAATGTATAGCAAAATGATATGCCGGTTTGCGCGCCCAATGGGCAAGCGATGTCCAGCCAAACCTCCACAGATGCCAACGGGCGTCGCCCATCACCGCCATTAATTAACTGTCGTGGTCACAGGTGATCACGCATCCAATGCCACTTACATGCAAGAGGCCAATGAAACTGTGAAATTGAGATTGCGGTCACCAGTAAAAGATGACAAAGGAAAAAGAAAGCAAGACATGCAAGTGCACCCGAAACAGGTGCGGAAAAAGCAAGTATAGCCACCAAACTGCGGCAAGCCGCCCAATTCTGCGCGATGCCTTCCCGCCCGCACCCGCACCTAGGCCCGTCTTCAGCAGGCACAAGAGCTTACAAGATGGCAGGAAAAGCAAAAATTCCCGTTATTTGAGACAGGTGCATCTCACCGCTTCCACTCTGAATGGTCTGCTTGCAGACCAGAGCATCTCTCCCTTGCAGTCAAGGACGTCAGAGAAAAAGGTTGAGTGAGACATGGTGGTGCATGCGGCCTTGCTCATCACGATCGTTCACGCACACACACTTGCATCATCTTGGTCTGCACACTATCAAGGCGGTATGGGATCATCTGCTAGGTATCCTTGCGTTCTTGGTGTACATTCGGATTATCAAGCCTTCTTTTTTGACGGACTGCGGTCTTTACCACCACATTCCGGCTTTGACAAGTCGAGGTTGCCGGCATGGCGGTAGGTGTGGCGCACACAAAGTCACCCGACGTCGCTCGATTGAGCCCAGTTTGCCCGTCAACCGTCACATCGTACCTCTAGTATTGAACCGAAGCCATATTCTAGGCGCAGCTCGTAGCCAAGCAAGCTGTTTGGAAGCGGGGAAGATAGCGGGAGGGTGTAAATCCAGCAATAGATCCTGAAAATCAAGTTGAATGAGCGCAAGCAGTGCCGCCCGCTGCCCTGCTTCACCACTGTGTTAGCCCGTAGTTTGCCTTGATAAACACTCCAATGAAGGCAAAGCGGGCGGCACCCCCATCCAACATCTCCCGTGATTGGCAGGGATGAGCGAGTGATGACGCCCACAGCAACCTCCAGCGTGCGTATACTGAGTTACTTTGGTACCCCTCTCTGTTTCTTTACCTGCAGCAGAAAGTTTACCGCCCCGCCCGAGAGCCTCTCTGGCAGGCGGAGCGTCCACCACTATGCGAGTGCGGTTCGCAGCAGCCATGTCTCTTGTGCCTGTGCCTGTGCCTGGTTGACTCGCCGTTAGTGGGCGAGTGGGTTCTGATGGTGCCTGCGTCACCAGCATCCACCCACCACCACGTTTTGAAGGCTGCTCGGGCTGGCAGGCTACTGTGCGACTGTATGCGAAAGCCTGGGCGATCGGGTTGCAAACTGCGCAGGTCCAAGCCCAAGCTACTGTAGCTTTGGCGACGGGACAGGATAGTACGTGGCGTAGTGATGGCAACCCAATTGCCTCATCCATCCAGAACACCCGGGCAGCTCAGTCGGCCTGCACGGCACTGCGAGAGGAGAAGAGTGACAGCTTCCCAACCATCGTACTGGCAGAAATCGGACTGGGTGCACATCAGCCGCCACGCAATTGGTATTACAGCACTTGGAATTATCGGAAGCTCTGACCCCAATTGCCATGTGTTGCAATCGACCGGGGTTACGTGCTCGCAGGGCCGGACCAAAAACAGCTTCGTAATCGGAGAGAGAGCTCTGCTGACCTGCTGAGCGCACAAGCTAGCTAGCCTTGCTGCCCAGGTCCCCCCAGCTAAGCCCAGTCCAGCTAAGCCTGCGTGAGTGCGCTTTCGCATACTCTGTACCATTCCGGCTGTTAAGCGTGCGATGGATGACTTCTTTTGTCCATGGGTGCCGGATGGGGCGGACAGACAGAGTGTCTGATTCCAATTCTACTCTCTCTGATGATTCAGCGCTAAAGCCCTTGCAGGGCCCATGTGCACGCAACCACTTTAGAATTGGGCGGTAAGTCAGTCAAAACTTTTTTCGGACAGTGTCTCAATTCAGAAACCTTCGTCGAGCCAGTGCTGACCCAGTGTGTCTTTGCTGTGTGCTGTGCGAGAAGCCGACCACCAAAAAGGCGGAGCGGGGAGGGAAGCAAAACGAGAGCCAAGCAAGGCTAAAGTGGCGGTCCCAAGCTGCTCCACCCACACCCTCCAAACGAAAAAGGAAGCCACGGCATCGTCATGCATCCATCATGGCCCCATCGAGGCTGTCAACCCTGCTCCGCTCTTTTGCCTTTGGGCCTGTTGCTTGCAAAGCACCGACATCCGTATATATCTTTGCTCCGCCGCCTCATCCGTGCCAAGGGCTGGTGATATCGCCTCGACTAACCACGCTCCTTTACGTTTCCCTACAAAACATCACATACTGGCATCTTGCCTTAGAAGCTCTACCACTCTCTTCACTACTTACTACTCTTGGTGTGCACGGGTTTCCTCTCGCTTTGTTCACCTCACCCAAGCCTGTCAGCCAGCAATACATTCTGCCTGGTTGATAGCGCATATTTTCCACCCACTGCAAACACTGCTCTGCATATACTAGCACAGCAGCTATTCATCATGCACGTTCTTAGCATCGCCCACCGCCGCAAGTCTTCCAAGGCTCGCGACCTTCACATCCGTAAGGTTTCCTTCTCTGGCTGCTCCATTGGCTCGGGATGCTCGTTCGAATCCAACTCTTCCACATTCACCATGGTTGGCCCATGGCACGCTCGCACACCCAGCTCGGGCAGCTTCGATCCTCTTCGCTCGCATCCCATCATCCAGGCGCCTCCCCGCCTGCAAGACCGCGCCATGCTTCGACCTACTAGCAGCGACTCCGCCCAGATGACCACATTCTACAACGACCAAGAAAGCGAGGACGAATACAAGGGATACCCTATCAGTGTCTTTGACTTTGACGACGACGATGAGAGCATCTACGACGAATCAACACCCATGGAGCTGCCGCCTCTGGCCAGCCCGTCTGATCACTCCGACTCCGATGATGAGCCCAGCGAGTACTTCTTCCTGGACCTTGCCAAGCGCCCAGCTCTACCTCGCTCGCGGTGGTCCGAGTCTACCATCCAGACCATCCAGCACCTGACGCCCAGCATCAGCAATGCTGGTACTCCTGTCCCTATTGAGCAAGCCATTGCAGTGCCTCTTCCTCGTCTCCAGCTCCCCAACTTTAGCTACAAGCGCAACACTGTCCCCAAGCGCCCTACCATTAAGCCTTCGGGCAGCGTGGAAGACCTAATGAAGCGCAGCAACTGGAAGCGCAGAGGTATTGTCTTCCACAACGACGGAGTTGACGACACTGTCTGCATCCCTGGCGTCGCCGCCTAAAGACATGTCGACTCACCACCTTCCTTGAACCATCTCATCTCTTTCTACCACCCATCTCTATGATACACACGAAGCCTTTCCTTTGATACCTCTTATTTCCTTTTCTCTGGTTGTATTTCAGCATTGCATATATACCACTCGGCGTTTTGGGGGTTAGGAACAGTCAACAGTATGACTTAACACTTGGATTTTGTTGATTTATACCGGCCATGTCCGCGAAGGAGGCCTTTCATTACTTATTTTTGTAATAGCTATAGCTGCTAATTCTTACTTTTTCACAATTGAAATCGCCTTGCCTTTGGCAGCTTCATCTGATGTTCCTTTTACTTGTCCTAAAGTGATACTGTGCAAGTCGCCCAGTGTACTCGGCTTACACCGTTCGACGAAGAATGCACGCAACGGCTCTAGACGATGCTTCACGGCGTCAACGAAGAACAATGTCAGTCAGTTCCCCGTTCTAGCCCTGCACCATTATTCACGCTGTTCCATGCTAATTTCGCATGTCTCTGCCAGAGGCCCGCCTAGTTGCGCTCGTGTTCTTCTTTTTCTCTTCCAACCGGGGCAGTGTCTTGGCACTCGGACCAGAGGACCCTTGGGTGGGGAACGACGTCACTTCACCAGCGAGTTTACAGGCGCAGTTCGTATTGGCCCATACGAAGCCGTTGGGGCTAATTTTAGCAAGGCGTGCACAGTTCCTCTTGTATACTAAGTTAAATCCTTGCTAATGAACTTGGGAAGCTCATCGCAGCACGTTTCCCAAATCGTCGACGGACGGGCTTGGCTGCCGCGCCAATATGCATAGGGGATCAGATACGGGTCGATAACAGTCCAGCAATACCGCCGTGTCATTCACTTCTCGGAGATCAAAAAGACCGTTACGTGGCGGCGACCTGCCCTGGATCAAATCTGGTCGGTGCAACTCCAACATTTCCGTAAGTGGATGTGTGTACCTGACGCTAGAGCAGGCATCGTCCACCATGCGCTCCCCCATCCGGAACCGATTGATACCGATTGACCGCAATTCGATCAGAAGAGCGGTCAATATGCCAAATCAGAGGTCACCGCCTGTTCATCAGACGACTCGCCATGCAGGTTAAGGCAAAACAGTTGCTGCAAAGAATCAGCTGTCTACAGGAAAAAGAAAGCATGGCATGCAGAGTGTCCACGGGAGGCTTGCACGGACAAAGACGAGCCGGAGCGGGACGGGCCCAAATTGGTACCAGGAAAAAGAAAAGAAAAGGGCTTGCTGCACAGTTTCACGTGGTGTCTTCAAAGCAAGCGGTGAGAAACCCGTGCCTTGTCAAAGACAGGTCGTCCTAATTGAGCCGGCCATGATTGAACATGGCCCCGATCAGAAAAACGGGCTAGAACTTTAGGGGTCTACCAGGCGGTCTTACCCGCTGTAAACACTTTTTTAGGGCGCCTCCGCGGCCCGCTCCAGCCACTGCCAAACGCTCTGTCTTCCTCCAGAGGACCGCCCGAGCACTAGCCAGGCCCCTGCAAATTACCTAAATTTGGCTACTGCTCAGCTGCATTTAGCCAGGCCACAGCGCTACAGGGCTCAAACAGCCCTCAACGGTCAAGTAACAGTCAGCCCATCAGCCTCGCAGGCCAAAAGCCCGCCAACAAAGGCCCAGCGAGCAAGCACCCTTGCTTCCCGCAACATCCTTCCCCTGCACTACGCAACTTATCTTTCGATTTCGCTTTCTCGCCAGAGCGGGATGACTCTGCCTTGTGGATGCAAAGTGAACAAGTGAATCCGGCTGGAATGCAGTAATGTAAGACGCACTCGGAGCACTGGAATGCCGAATCAATTAACGCGGGCACCGAGACTGTCCATCTCGTGTCTCGCGCGGCACACCAATTTTGCGACTTTTTTTTCTGTGCGCACACACAGAGCACCAGGCGATCACTATATCGCCTGCGCCGGTCACGTCAAAGATTGGCCTGAAAAAATTCCTCGGCAGGGCTGGAGCAGAATGATGCCATTTTTGCGTCAGAATCTCACGGGGGCATCGTACAAAGGCACAAGGACAAGGTAGGTGATAATTGAATACTGAGGCTTCTACTCTTCTCCCTTGGTGCGGGGGTGGAATAGAGGCCCTAGCTTGGGGCGCTAGAGCTAGTGGTTCCCTGCTATAAAGTGTAAAATAAGCCGTAAATTTTCGCCTTCGGGCAATATTGGTTCTTGTAAAGATGTACGTACTACTCCACCCGCATAGCGGGCACCCAGCGTTCGAAACCACCTACTAACAACTTCAACAGACAGAGAAGATTAGCATGGCCCCTGCACTAAGGATGACACATGTAATCAAAGAGAAGCTACCAATTTTTTTGGCTACTCTTGTAAAGTATTTTAAACTTGGTTTTAACTTTTTACCATTTTTTGTGATTTAGTTCTGTTCAGAATTGTGATCCAAATGGAGATGAACTTCGTAATTTGCCACCCTCCCCAGAACGTACTGTTCATAGCGTCGTGTTAGTAAATGATACACGCAAGGCGCAATACATCCGGAATGATGGAAGAATGGATACATTTCTTAGGACTACATGTACATTTAGCATGAGAAATAAGTTTTTAAGTTACAAATGGTCGTAGAAATAATTACATCAGCCTCATTTACAACATATATCGTAAGCAATAACAAGCCATAGGGTAGACATATCAGTCCCGTCATTCCACCGCAAAAGCGTTATTGCCGGTTCTTATGATAATATACTAGCCCATTCGAAGTAGCCAGCCTGTGAATCTCTTCTCTTATCATCTGTCGTCGTTCCGCCGCGTCCATTGGTACCATGTTAGGGTCAAACGGATCCGGGTTCTCGACCGCCCATTTCTTCTCATTCATCTTCGCAGTAATCTCTTCCAGAATAGCCAGCTGCTTCGGTGTCGGGTTCCCTTGTATGGGTTCAGATGAAGCGCCGGCGCGGGAGCTTGATGACTCTGTCGATTCGGAAACAGATTTGCTGATTTCGACGACGTGCGCTCGTCCATATCTGGCCTCCTCCTCGGCCTCACTTTCTAAGAATATAAAGGTGCCATCTTCCAGTTCTCCGATACGTCCTTTAAACCTATCAGGGAGATGTGGTTTTGTGGCAGGTCGAGGTGTTCGTGGTCGGATTGCTTCTCGAAGATCTCGAAGAGTTCGCTGTTGGATAACGTAGCCGCTAAGGAACAAGGCGAGCGTACATGAAAGCACTATTAATTGGCCAATCCACTCGGTTAGCAAATTTTAAATTTGAATGTCAAACTCGGCGGTTGATATCAAGCGCGAGGGGAGCTGGCCGACGCGTGGGAGCCGGGGGGAATGGAATGCGGAAAGCGTACCGATGAGAGAGGTCACCAAGACTGAGACTTGTGACGAAGTTAGGAGGAGCTTCCGCATATTGTCTCCAAAATATGAAATTTATTGAATTAGAAAACCGCGAGAAAAAAGCGACCAGAGCATCGCTCCTGAAAGCTAATGCAGAGCTTGAGGCTGCGAAAACGAGAGCATCACTAGGCTTCACAAGCGCGTTGGCTAGGCAACAATCTTATCGCCAATCGTGGGACAGCTTTTGGCAGCACGTCAAGCCCCAGCATCAGCCATCTCTCGAATTTATGCGACACGCGACCAAAATAAACCGACAACAATTCTACGGATAGTTAAAATAGCACAATGTCGAAGAAGGATACTATATATGCCGACTCCAAGCGGTTTCTCGATGAGCGAGGGTCGAACGCTGCCCTTGCGCCGAACGGCTTGAACCCGGCTACGATTATGGAAAAGACTGTCAAAGACCGCATTATCGAGTCATACTTCTACAAAGAACAATGCTTTGCCCTTAATGAAGCAGATATTATCGACCGAGTTGTCGAGCACGTAAATTTCATTGGCGGCACCCACGGATCAATGCAAAAACCGAGTCCTTTTCTTTGCCTCGCTTTCAAGCTCTTGGAACTGGCACCATCCGACGAAATCCTCTCTGAATATCTAAAATATGGTGGCGAGGAGTTCAAATATCTACGCGCTCTAGCATGCTTTTACTTGCGCATGACAAGACAAGCAAAAGACGTCTATGAGCAGCTGGAACCGTATCTCGAAGACCGCCGAAAACTTCGTCGCAAGGGCCGTGCTGGCACCGCCCTCACATACATGGACGAATTCGTGGACGATTTGCTTACAAAGGAACGTGTCTGCGCTACAAGTTTATGGAAGATGACGAAGCGAGAAATTCTTGAAGACCTAGAAGTCCTGGAGCCGAGGGTAAGCCCTCTTGGTGACATCGATGATCTGCTCGACGAAGATGACGAAAAGCAGAATGGCAACGGCGGTGATTCAGACGCGCCGTCAGAGCGAGGAGATGATGATATGGATCTTGACAGAGACGAAGCACCGCGGAGTCGCAGCGGTTCGCCTTGAGAACAGAGTCGCTGGACGACAACAGTTTACCCATAATGATACCCATTGATAACGGCGCATGGTGCATTCGGTCGGCCTTTGCCGCCTTTGTTACATATAAATGACTAGACAGCATATAATATAAGTTTTAAATCCGCTTTGGCACAGGTAGCACGCGCAATCTCGTTGTGATATCAGCCTTATTATACATACTATCTACATTAATAATACATACCATCTCATTATGCGGCGCGCAAGATAGCCATAGTCTTCTCCGCCATTCGCAGCATACGGAGGTCATCCCAAAATTGGCCAATCAACTGCATACCAACAGGGAACTTCCCATCCTTGGGCCAAGCTGGTATGCTAACTGCGGGAAGTCCAGCTAGACTGGCCGGGACTGTAAAAACGTCATTGATATAAGCGTCGACGCTGCTCTGGTTTTGGAGATCGCTTAGTTGAGGTGCAAAAGTAGGCGCTGTTGGACATAATAAAAAGTCGACTTGAGGAGGCCCGCGCTTGTTATCCAACAACATGTCAGCCTCCATATCGGCAAGGTCGAATTGACGTTCCTCATATAGGGGATTGTCTAAACGAAAGATTCTATCAAAGTCTTGCTGGACACGGCGGCGCACTTTTTGTGCCTGGATAAAGTAGTTGTCAATAGCTTCAGAGCTAAGGCTGTAGGTTCCAAGCAGGATGCGGCGCTTCACCTCTTCGCCGAATCCAGAGCCTCGTGCCTCCGAGTAGAGTGTATCACCTGCTGAATCACCATTCTTTCCTCGGACTCCGTATCTGACGCCATCATATTTGGCGAGGTTGGAAGACGCTTCAGCAGGCGCAAGCACGTAGTATGCGCAGAGGGCTTCTTTTGTCGCTGGCAGGGACACAGGGACAATTCTGGCGCCCTGGGCTTCGAGCTGCGATGCGACATTTTCCCACGCCGCCTTGACGCCTGGATCTAGCTCGGCGATGTTGTACTCGATAGGAATGCCGATTGCGAGCTTCTCCATGGCTGGTAAGTTCGATGAGCATGCTTTGGAGCACCGCTGCCGTGTTGCTGTTCTAAGTGATGTAGGATCATTCGGGTCGTGTTGCATATATATACCGCTCGAGAAGATTGCGTCTTCAATTGAGGGGATGCTGTTGGCCAAGACGCCAACAGTGTCTAGAGAGTTGGCGTATGGCACTACACCGTGGCGCGAGAGCATGCCGTACGAAGGCTTGTATCCAATAACGCCTGTGTATGCTGCTGGAAGCCTGACTGAACCGCCTGTATCTGTCCCGAGAGCGATTTGTGCATCGCCGGTCTTGACTGCCACCGCGCTTCCTCCAGAACTACCACCCGCAGAGAGGGGAGCGTCCTTGTCTGAAAGCGGGTTGACTACTGCGCCGTGCATGGAGTTGACAGAGTGTGACCCCATTCCAAACTCATCCATATTTGTCTTTCCGACCACTACAGCTCCATTGGCACGGAGCTGTGTAACTATTGTAGCTTCGAACGGTGATGCATGGGAGTCGAGGATCTTTGAAGCGCATTGAGTTGGGAGACCTTCCGTCGCAACGTTGTCCTTGACGGCCAATTTATAGTTAAAGGAGTTATTGATTGGCTTAGAGAAGCTTTCGGCTAGTTTGGAGTCGTTAGTAATAATAATTGCTGAGGAGAGCGGCGCTTCGTACTCGTAGTAACCATGTGGTTCAGGGTGCTGGCCTGCCGCCTTTGCGCCAGCAACGGCCTGCTATATAATGATACTGCACTGCATGAGCATATCTTTGAGCATATTACTGCTCTTGGCCCTGATTTTCTCGACAGTGAAGCCCTCATTGTTCGTTGTGCAGAATTGTAGATGCAGAGGCTGAAGCTTGTCGTCAGTTGGCGGCGCTGGAGTTTCCGCCGACGGGGAACGCCGCACCGTTGACGCCTAAAGTTTTAGCGGGTCGCGCCGCAAGAATACCTACAAACTTGAACTTTTCCTCGATTTATTGCGCTGCCTGTATTAGAGGATTCACAGCTCCTTGTAAATCTGGTACTGCAGATTTCATTCGGTTGGATCCTTATGGCTTCGAAAAGGGACCATGGAGATGGAAGCGAGAGCGAGGCGTCTGAACCGACTTCGAAGCGGGTGAAGACGCAGACACCCAAGTCGCGACAACAGCAACAGAACTCTGGTATGGACCCGACATGGGGCCAGAAATACGTCTTTTCAAACTACGGTGATGCAACTACGATACCAAAGGGGGAGGAGTCTGACTTTGAAGACGATACCGACGCCATGTCGTATCTCATGTCTGTCAGGTACGTTGTGGTCACCCTTTAGCCAATAGCTAATCTCGATCTTGCGAATAGCTGTTTTATTTGATAAACATAAGTCTAATGGTGTCTTTAGGTCACAGGCGAACGAAATCCCACATCTACTGGTCGCACCAAAGGTCTATCTCGGGCCTCAGCTTCCCGCAGAACTTCAGCCCGCAGTCGACGACACAGCGGCCGACGACGATACAGAACCAGACCGAACTATATACACAAATGGAACAGGCGACTCCCGCGGCTGGTACGAAGATGGTGCCTACATAGCGCTACCAGATGAGAACGAGGACGAGCAAGACAGCTCATACTGGGGTCACGAGGAGGAACCGCAAGCCGAAGCACTTTGTGAAGCGTACTTTGATTCTCTTATGGAGCGCTATCAAAAATTACGAACAATCTTGAATAAACCAATACCCCCAAACGCCAAGAAACAGCTTGATTCAAAGCGCCCAACCGAAGCCGCTCCATTCGGCCGAAATTCGAACACGGTCAAGGTATGGTCAAATGTGCTGAGGAATGAGGATCCTCATCCTCTTCAAGTGGCGCTCATGTCCAAGGATTCAGTGCTGCGCGTTCTTTCTGTAATGTTAGGTGGAAAGTTCTTACGACGTGGTGAACCTTTATCCGAACGTATAAGCCATTGGCTATGGGCGCTGCTAGCAAGGTTGCCAGACCAAGGAGAGCTGAACTACTCTGAAATAGGATGGATTCGAGACTTGGGTCGTCGTGCTGTCTTGCTCAGCAGAAGCCTTGCAGAAGTGGCAGCCTTGAGAGAAGAGTGCGCTGAGAATGGCCTTGGCGTGAACGAGGGTGTGGACGGGAGTATCAGCGATGAAGATGTCGCTCCTGAAGACGGTGCAGAACAAAATGACGGAGACCATTCCAAGGAGGGAGCGGATCCAATACCCAACAACGACGAGCCACCTCATATGGTAGACCAAGGTTCTAGCAGTGACAATGAAGATGATAAGGAGGCTGCAATGGATCTTGAGTCGGACGCTGACGAGGGAGAAGTTAGCGATGACGATGATGAAAGTGCTGCCCTAGTGGCGGCTGCGAAACAACGGCTACTTGACCAACTCGAGACAGCTGCCCAGGCAGAGGAGGAACAACAGCATGCTAAAGCAGAGCAAAAGGAACATCTGCAGATGAACACGTTAGCAACGCTTTGCATGATCCTAACCGTTGCTGGAGAATGCTACGGGCAGCGGGATCTGTTAGAATTCCGAGAACCGTTCGCCGGTCAGACCTGACACGGCTTGTACAACACATGACTTCATGGCAAGAAGAACACTGGCGCATTGGGGATTCTTTGCTTCTTACATATCACGGCGCATTAGCACTTGTACTTTAATCTAGATGGACTTGTTTCATTGACAAGCTATGTAAAATTCACAATACACATGGTATACCCGCTGTTTGCTGAGATGATTGGCTCAGCACTTATATCTCCAATAACAGAAACGGAAAAAACGCCTGATACCCTCGCCCGCATAAAATTGATACAAAGAAAGAAAGCAAACCCGGCCAAGTGGTCTCGGTGTTGCAAAACATTAAAACGCTTATTCAGTCATTTCGTCAAAGACGAGGAATCCAGCATCCTCAAAGTCATCATCTGCTGATGTGACTTGTCTGTTGAGGCGAAGGGGGGTGGCATTTCGCTGGATCCTTGTGCGGGGGACAGCAATGGTTCTAGAGGCGGCATCATCGTAGGCCATGATGTCAGACTCGTCGTCTTCATTCTCGTCATAGAAGCGCTTGCGGGAGGGGCCATTGTCGGCGCTCTCCTGAGACATGGTAAGCTCAGGAACTTCGTCCAGAGCGGGCACCTCGTCATCATCATACACAAAGGAAGGCTGGGTATCGAGGCCGCCGACCTTGTTGATGCCGCAGAAGGGCAACAGCTCCCGGGAGCAGATCCGGACAGCGGGGTTAGCAGTTGTGGAAGGCTTGGTGTTGTCGGTCCAGATCTTGAAGGCGCTGGTACCGACCGTCTTGTATCCCTCAGGGACAGACTTGCGGACACGCATGCCAACGCTCAGCAAGTTAGATTGCACTGACGCCGGCAGAACGGGCTGGCGAGAGACCTCCGCAGCAGCAGCAACCTGCTCAGCGGACTGCGCACCAAAGAATGAGGTGATCTGGCGTTGGCTCGGGTCCGCCGAGGCACCGGCAAATTGACGCTTAGTTCTGGGAGTAGACATTATGATGGATTGATTGTGAAGTGAAGGCTGTTGATGGTGATGAATGGAGACAACAATGGTGCAGCAAGATGACCAAGCACTGTTTGAGGGGCAAATATTGCTTGTGGGCTATAAATATCGCCTGTTTGCAGGGTCTGCTGGGCCAGGGGGGAATGCAAAATTGTTGCTATGGAAACTCGGCGCTAGTTGCTGCTTCCGGAAGATGAATTTGGTGCAAGGGAGGCGAGAAAAAGTGTCGCAAAAATAGAAACAAAAATCCGCGACAGTGGCGAAATGCAGCAGCGATGAAAAATGGATTGAGTGGAGAGTTGTCGTGTGACGAGCGCTGGATGCTGAACGATGAGTGAGTTTGAAAGTTACAGGAGACCAGGTTTGCGTAGCAGCGATGAGCTTATGCAGGACAGAAACTGGGCTGAGAATCTGGGGGCCTTCCATTTGCTGGACAGCGGCCTTGAAGTGGAGCAGCCCGGTCAGGCCTTTTTTGCGCGTTACTGTCGCGGCTGTTTCGCGTTAAGTGGTTTTCTGAGAAGCACTGGTTGCATTATGTCAGCAGAACTCTGTCTGTTATATGGGGAGCCTCTAACAGACTTACAGACCGGCTACCTTGATAGCTGCCAGGACCAATGCTGTTTGCAATATTTACGATGGATGCTATATCGTCGTGCGGAGATTGGTTGTTCTGTTGATTGGGGCTCTTCCACTAAGCGAGACTCTAAATAACACCAAAAAATAAGTGCAATATCAGGATTGTCGTCCTGGACCCTGTTTGACAGTCTCATACAAAGATGCCTTTCCGCCTTTCTGCATTATTGTAAAATATGAAGATTGTAATTTGCCGGTTTTTAGAATACTATGTAAAATATAGCATCACTAGTACCTGTTGATTATAAAAATGAAACAAATTGACAATATTTTCTTTACGTTTGTGAGAGTCGTGCTCTGGGTCAAATGCATTGTTGCTGTCGTACATCGCCAACAGCAACTCATCACAAGCTTAGGATGCATTAGGCAGCCAGGGGAATGCCACCTGGAACCATTCCTCGCAAGACGCCTAATTATCAAAACTGATAATTATTTAATATTCGCCACTACAACAGTGGTGACTCACTCGGCGAGGATATCACAGCCTCACTACACTGTGTAGCTTAACAGATTATCATTGATACATGGTTTGCAAACACGGCGCAAGGTCATGCGTTGCTGTTGACTCACATAGCATTATCAACTTCAAATTCGCATCTTTAGTCCAACGGCAGGAAATGTCGTCGCTGTTGAAGTTGATTTTTCTAGTCAAACAGTCACTTGTTATTGTAGACGCACAAAGGCTTGTATATGTTGAAAAGATTCGTCTCAAACGTTAATGTAAAAACATATGAAACATAAATAAGTCGTGAAACCTTATTGAATTTCGCAAAGCACAGTGCCTGTCTACCCATCACTGCACTCCGGGTATGTAGCGATCCTCAAATCAGCAGTAACACGTCCTCGTATCCAGTAAATGCCCAGATACTCGTGAAAGGCTTTTCTCCAGCTGTCCACCCACTCAATGCAGTGCTTTTTATTTCCTGCCTCAACCCTCCAACTAACACTCCTTGGTACAAGGCTTGTAACGCAAAAACGAGAAGAATGATGTGCCATGCAAGATATCCGGAGAACCCAAACGCCCCTGTTCTGGGTGTCCCATCTTCTATCTGCAAAGAATGTTGATTATGTCCGGTAGGTAAAGGTGTGTCTATCGTCCAAGTCGAAATGATTTTTTGTTTTTGCAGATCCGAGATGATCACCATGAGATGAACCGCAACGAGTCGTAACCAAGGAAAGAAAACATGCTAAACGCACATTTACTTTCTTCGGAAAGAGCAACCCTCGGTCAATCTAGCCTTACCACCGGTGGGCTGGCAGAGAACGGTGGTGCATCCTTGGCAGATGACAACGGTCTGGGCGTGGGAGAAAACGGTGGTGATGGTGAAGCAGCCGGGGCACTTGACGTCCATGAAGAAAGAGCGGGGGGCGGGGACAAGGGTCTAGAGTAACTTGTTAGATATTGCGAGTCCTAGGATGTGGTGTTTGGTTGTCGAAAGTCGGGGGATATGTCGTACCTTGAGCTTGTGCTTCTTGGCCTCAGAGGCGGCAGAAGGGTTCAAAAGATCAACGGCGAGAACCTGAACATAGCATGATTAGCCTTGGAATTCCATCAATCAATTTTCCATCCTAGATATCGCAGTCGCTGGGTCCTGGTGCGGCGAAAGAGTCGTTCTGTCGTGCGTCGTGTTCTTTCGTCGTCGTTGGAGTTTGCTTCGGGTGACTCCGCCAGTTCCAGGACCGTCCATCGACCGCAATCCATCGTCGGAATCGAATTAAATGTCGCTTACCATCTTGACTGATTGTGTAAATGTGAAATGGCGTGGATGTTCTTGCGAGAGTTGGGGTAGTTGACGCAATCTAGGGCAGATTAAAGGCTCGCAAGATGGGTGAATAGAGGTAAGCGAGGAAAACTTCAGTGGACTAGAAGGGGGTTTCTGCTGGGCCCAGGCCAAAATTTCTTCCAAAGCAGTCTAGCGCTCTAGGGTTTTCCTGCCCATGTGCACGTGACGCAGATTTCCTGCATTTTCATTGGCTGTGGAGTCGTCTCCGGGCACGACAACTGCTGGATTGTTTTTGTGCAGCGAAAAATGTGGGGCCACGGCTTGCTAGGCTAGGCAGTGCGGCGGGCAGGGCGGCGTTCGATGTGGGGCTGGCGAAGCTCGGGGAAGATTCGCAGTAGGCTACAGCTTTAGAGGGCTTTCGTCATGGCGTTTTCGTAACGGTCGATCTTACATTGCCATAAACTAAACCCAATTATCTACGAAATGGCTGCGCCTGTAGACCAGAGAATATCGGTGCCGATAGGCGACCCGAATGCAGACACAGAATGGTAGGTTTGCTTCCACAATCGTTCCTAGTGAGGGGTCCCGAGCCGGCGCTAACTAGGATGTTGTAGGAACGACATCTTGCGCAAACAGGGTATCATACCTGAGAAGCCCCCAAGTCCGACACCGATGATTGAGGAAGCTATTCTTGAAGGCCGAAGACTCGCTCATGAAAACAGACTGGAAGGAAAGGACTTAGACGAGCTAGACGAGCTCGAGGACGACGAGGATGAGGACTTCTTGGAACAATACCGACAAAAGCGTATGGCCGAGTTGAACAAGCTACAGCAAAAGTCAATTCACGGCACAGTTTACCCTATTTCAAAGCCAGATTACCAGCGAGAGGTCACCGATGCATCACAAAATGGACCTGTCTTCGTCAACCTCACATCATCCATGGGCACCAATGTTGAATCCAGGGTCCTGTCGGAGCTCTGGCGACAAGCAGCCAAGGAGTACGGTGATATCAAGTTTTGCGAAATTCGAGCGAACCAGGCTATCGAAAACTACCCTGATCGCAACTGCCCCACGATTTTGGTTTACAAGAACGGCGACATTGTCAAGCAGATTGTCACCCTCGTCACCATCGGTGGAGTTCGTACAAATATGCGCAACATCGACAACTTGCTGGTCGACGTCGGCGCTGTACCAGATACAGACTTGCGAGTCGTAAAGAGAAGAAGGGCCGCTGAGGATGAAGAAGACGAGCGCTTGGCTGCTGGTGGAAAGTCCATCAAGTCAGGCAACCTTACGCGATCGACTGTTAATGATGATGACGATGATGATTGGGACTAAGCATGATATAAAGCATTTACTACAAGACTTAAAAAAAAATTAAACAAAATATCAGCCAGGACAGCATGGTTCCTGAATGATACGAGTGTACATCAAGACCCTTGAAGATTAAGGCCCCACGTTATAAACAGTTGGGGACAGCGCACGTGATGGATACCGACGCGTCGTGTAAGCGCGTAAACATAGCCATCATAACTCGCCCTAGCCCACCTCCATATTTAGATTTTAATGATTCTGACACATTGAAGGGAGCCGGTGTCGATTTCCATGGCCGAAGAACCTTCCCTCCCCGCCCTCCCCGCAGTTTCATGGGACGCGCAATCCCAGAGTTTTTCAAAAGGCTCGCGGAAGCGTCTCCGGCCAGACGTTGGAGGGCAATTGTTCTGCAGCTCTAGTGATCCCGCCGTCTTTTCGAGTGATGACGATCCTGGCTTAGACAACTACGTCGCCGGCCGCCGAAAGAGAAAATATTTGGGCTCCTGGTACAACCAATTCCCGACATCGTCGGATTCGGCTTACAGCGATGGCCAACAACCACTTCCGAAGCAAAAACGAACGCTGAGGCGACAGCTCGACAGTGGTGTTTACTTGGGAAGCGATGGAACCGATACCGATGATATGCTGGAGCTGCCTGTGGTGCCCACAACTCCCACAAGACCAATTGTCGTTCGGCCAAATCTGTCTCGCCTCTCAGAGGCCGAAAAGGCAGCCCGAGAGAAGATCCGCGTTTGTCTAGAGAAGGGTGAGGAATCTATTGATTTCTGGTCCATGGGTCTGCGGGAGCTGTCCAATGAAACAATCAGCCCTCTGACCCAGTTATCGCATATACCACAAGTCACTAAAGATGTGGCTTTTGAAACCAAGGAGCCTGAGCTCAAAATATACCTGGCTAGAAATAGTCTTGGCCGGCTCCCTGGCGCATTGTTCGACTTGACACATCTTACAGTTCTCAGTATTCGGGAGAACAATATCTCGGAGCTACCTCCTTCCATATGCCGTCTTACCAACCTGACGGAGCTCAATGTGTCGCAGAACCGCTTACAGTATCTTCCGGCAGAGTTTACCGATCTATTCCAGCCAGAGTCGAAACTGAAGAAGCTTGTTCTGTTCCCAAATCCGTTCTTTAAGCCCCAAGAAACGTTAGAGCACAGTGCCCCTATGGCGGCCACCGCTGTCGAGAAGCTCTCGGATTGGCAACCACGCTTCTTATCCCGCCACTTGGGAAATAGTCAGATCCAGACAACCACTTCTCAAGGTCGAGTGCTGTCAAAGTTCAAGTTTCCTGCATGTGACAGCTCCGTGACTCTACCGGTATTCAATGCCGACAGTGTATGCGACGAGCCTCGCCCAAGCAGAGTCCCTAGTCTTATGGAGGCGGCGGCCAGAAGCTGTGCAGATCTAGCAAAGCCTGCTGAGCTAGCACATTTTGTCCCAGAGGGATTGGAAAACCTCCGCCATCTCATTCTTCAGACAGCTGCTCAAAAGCAAGATGGCGGACTTGTTTGCAGCCACTGCCGCCGTTCACTTGTTCGGCCAACCCTGGAATGGGTTGAGTGGAAACAGCTGTACGTCACGGTCAAAAATACCGCAGAGGCCGCTTCTCCCGCCAAAAAGCTGTCAGTTAAGCCTTTGAGCATGGCCAAGGACGAAATGGCTATTCCTTTCAAGCATCTGGCGTGCTCTTGGCTCTGTGGCCCGGTGTCGCAAAAGAGCGATAAAGGTTGGGGCCAGCACGTCAAAGACTGGGTGGAAGATGAACATGAAAATTAGTCCATACTGTATTATATGTCCATATTTGCATTAGATAGTGTTATTGCATGATTGCATGGGTAGCGGGTTTGAAGCTTAATAAAGCTCTGTTTTATATATTGACTACCCTGTATGAAAATTTGAAGGCGCTGCCATGGTTGTAGATCTGGCCAAAGCGCTTTTGTGAGTGATTTTTGGTACAATTTTAATTTTTCGGGTACGTCGTCGTACAGAACTTCGTTTCATCTGTTGGATTTGTTATGTGCTGGACCGTACGGCGGGTTATTCAAGTCAGAGACTAACTTAGTTGTCTTCACTTACATTGGTGGTGACGTCGCGATGTACGAGACGCGTGATGGCAACCTCATGTGACGCTACATCGACACAGCTGCATTAATAGCGTCCTGAGACAGGATTGGGTAATCGCACAAAGGACACTACCGAGAAAATTTGCTTTTTGATTTATGAACCAAAATTCAGTCTATTTCACCAGTTTCGACAGTTTTGCTGCCGCTTTCTTCCTTCCTCGCCCAGCAGGTATATAGCGCACCGCCCCAGCGCACTAGCGAACAAAGAAACGGCGCCTAGCAGGTGCGGTTTATAGTGGATGCATCAGTGGTTGCCGCGCCGAGCAAAACAGAACCGCAACCTTTGTAGTCGCCTCATTCCGGCTGATACTTGTCCACCGTACGCCAGCAGCTCTCCCTTCGCCGCCTTGCAAACCACACAGCCCGACTAGTCCTTTACAAATATTCACTGGGGCAGAGGCACGAAACAAACGACAAACACGGTCGCGAGAGACGTTGGTGACGGCACCGTGTGCAAGTAAAACATCCCCTGGCCGAACCACCCACCGAACAAAGAGACACTCTTTTGCGTAATGACGTCCCTCGACGAGGACGCTCGACCGGTATCGCCCTCACCGTCGCAGCTTCCACCTGTACCGTCATCGCCAGTGTACTCAATAGCATCGACTGCGAACCCCATCTCACAATATAACCTCCCCGTTCCACCCGCTCCTCGCCCAGCCCACGCTATCTTGACCAAGAACGACTTAGCAAACTCCCAACAGGCATATTCGGATTTACTCGCGTCAGCAAAGGCCTACAGACAGGCTCTAGCGTCTATATCTACTGCAGCATCCGAGTTTGGTTCGGCGCTAGAAGCATGCGCGCGACTAAAAGAGTCTCGCGCTGAGCCTCTTGGCCCGTCGAGCGGCGCGAGTCTTGCGGCAAGCTTTACTACAAAGGGAGCTTGCACAGCGGATAACCTCCTTGCAACTGCCGGAGTGCACCATCTTGTTGCAAACCACCATCAAATCCTATCAGAAACCGTATATCGATCCTTTGAAGTACCACTGCTTCACGACCTCGATCGATGGCAGGCAGTCATAGATGACGAAGAAGATACATACCAACAAAAGATCAAGACGCAAGCAAAAGAAGTTAAACGGTTAGAAAAGGAGGGCATGAAATTACACAAGCAAAAGAGACGAGACGTTGCTCGATTCAGAGCGCATCTGGTTGAGCTGACAAGCAAGTTGGACGGGCTCACCACACTGCATGGCGACCATGCGCGCACGATGCTCCGCGAAAGCCAAGAGACTAGCTCAAGAATTGTCGACGCAAGCTGCAGTCTAGTACGGGCTGAAGTTGATATCTTTGAGAGCCTGGCTAAGAAGGGTTGGTCAGGTGGTGGCTTGGAAGACATTCTAGAGAAGGGTCAAGATCTGTTTGCAACTGATTTAGCCAGCGGCCAGGGAGCTTCAGGAAGCGATGGAGTTAAGCTGTTCTCTATCCTCCCGCCAAAGAGTATCCTGGCAGATACGGGCTCCGAAGGGCCACGACCAAACCACGGGCGAAGCGACAGCCTTCTTGTGGACACGGAGCGATACCAATCTCTCTCTGCAGTAGCATCTGACGTCAAACCGGGAGATGCTGAAAATGCCTACTCGACAGATTTCAACAAACCCCGCAATGCTCGACCGTTTTCGCCACAACCCATCCGCCGCATTCCTGTTGATGTGACGATTGATTCTCTCGGAGCAGCAGCAGCGTTGGCAGGTGATCAGGATGGCGCTGCCCAACAAAATCAACAAGACGATAACGAAACTTCTGAAGAGCAACCTGAAGTAAGGCAAGAGGTCGACACGCAGGATGGATCTGAGAACACGGTACCTGCAGATACTGTGGCGAACATGTATGCTCCTGATCCAGAGCCTATTAAGACGGATCAAGGAGACAAAGACGCAGACGAAGATGACGATGATCGTGGAAGGATGTGGCCAGATACCCCAGTACAAAGAGAAGAGTACGATTCGATGCCGGAGGAAGCAGAGTCTGATAACATATGGCGACGGAAATAATGAACTAGATGTGGAGAGTAAGAGGTGGGATTTACATCAACCGTATTGGATTAGCGTTGTGCTTTTTTGTTTCTTGTTTTGGCCAGTAGGATTGTATATACTCTTAATGTGATTAGGGCGGTTGGCCGTTTGTTTATTCGATTCATTACCAACCCACTTCACATATGAACTCAAGAGAAAGATTCGACTTGATTATTACTGCGGCAAGTCCGCACATGTAAAATTTGAAACGTCTATGCATACCAACGCCGCCCATGAAACTGATGATGGCAGCTCGCCACACGACTCCATACCGTCGCAGACGATGCCATTCGCTTTCCACCATGTTACCGAAAATAGTATCATACATTAAATCACGTCTCCCGATATGCGAGCAAGATTGCCCACCCCTCTTAGTCGTCCTTGTCGACGCTGCAAACGTCACCCTTGAAGAGACCAAAAGTGGCATCAAGCCACCAGATAATCTTCCAGTACAGGCTGGCGCGGTTCCAGTCAAACTCGCCCGACTCCATTCGCGGCACCTCATTGCCAATCATGCTGCCGCTGAACCATTTTATGAATGGCACAGCGCCAACAACACGCTGCATGACTGACTGCTGAGGGAGAAGAGCCTGCTCGGCAGGAAGAAGTCTGGCGCGGCGGGCTGTGGGAATGCGACGGCAGTATGCGCCATCCTGTTGCTCGGTCTCGATAGACATGGGCTCAACAGCAGTGCTGTGGCTAGGAGGGCTGCTCAGCGAGGGCCAGGGGTCGGAGGGACCAATCGTCGATGCCCGGGATGGCGACATAGTGGCCGTGTCGAGCGTTTCGCTTCGGGTATCAGGTGAGTTTAGGTCGAGCAAGCGGCTGCTGAAGGAGCTTGGAAGACCGGCGGAAGAGTGCTTTTTCGGGGTGCCGAAGCTGCCAAGACCGGCAGGCATGCTCTGTGATCGCTCAAAGTGGGATTCTTGGAAAAATTCGACATCGGGGCATGGCTCGTCCTTTGCTGGTGCCATGCCGCGGTAGGGTTCAGCGTAGACAAGGTGCCCGAGGATTCGCTGGGGGCTCGAGTAAATAGCCGCATTGCCGGCTTCGGTGCTCTCGAACGTGATCTTGACCCAGTGCTCACCGCCATCGGCGTGGTTGACGAGAGCTCGTTCTTCGGGGGATAAGTTTCGTCGCCGCGTGAAGGCAGGGTCGCGCAGGTCTGACTTGTATCGTCGCTGTGTAGAGGGGGGATCGCGAGGGTAGTCCTCAAGGATGAGGCCAGCAAGGTCTTCGTAATGGGAGATGGCAGCGTATTGCTGGTTCGCGTTGCGGTAGCCTCGCAGGATGAGCTCTACCGGCGTTGACTGGAAAGCGCGTTGGGGCGCAGGGTCGTCTTGCGCACCGGCTTTGCGTTGTGATGTCGAGTTGGTCGGCGTTGTAGCCTGGTTGTTTACCCAGTCACCGAAGAGCTTGTCGGCAGCGGCGAGCGTCGGGTTCTCTTTGGTGCCTCGAGCTGGTGTTCCTGTTCGTGAGCGAGCTCGTCGGGTCGATTTGCCAAATGAGCCAGTCTCGGCGACCGCGCGTCGTGATCTGGTGCTACCGCCATCGTTTCTGCACTCGAGAGTTAGTATGAATAGCTTGTGCAATTCGTGGCATTCGCCGGATGGGCTGCTGGTCGTACTGGTTGAAAATCATGGCGTAGGGTCTCTTGACGCCGTCGTCGCCAACGTAACATTCGTCATCGGGGACGTTGTGAAGAATTAGAGGCGCCATAGTGGGACAATTGAACAGTCTCGCTGGACCAGTAGGGATCAACGGGATCTATTCTGCGAGTTGGCGATGATACCAATGGTAGATTTTGCTGCAACAAAGCGCGTGAGTAGCGGAGACGCGATGCTGGTAGGATATTTTTTTGATGGAGCTTGGAGGTGTTGGCGTTGGCAACAGCCCCTGGGTCGTCCCCATAGTTGTTTACATGGTGTGCTGGGGCTCTTAGAACATCGACCCCAGATGATTAAACCCGACTGGAGCATAAAACAAAAGCAATAAAAATATTGTACATTCTTATCTTATCTTTTACTTGAAAATATTCGCTTATGCTAATAATAAAATAAATCTATGACGCTACATATGCTATACCCTTTACAATACTGCCTTTCGTATAAAACTTCGCCTTTGGGAGCAGTTCGCTTGCAACCCATCTTGCTGTTCTTGCATGTTCAGAGCCTTGTCCAAAGGGCTCCACTGTCTTTTCCTTGCGTGCATTTTCAACATTGATAGTTCCATCCTCGCCAACAAACGGCTCGCAGATGGCTGTATCTTCAAGGGACTCGCCTCTGGGGAAGGACGACAGACCCTCAGCTAAAGCCTGGAAGCAGATCATCTGGTCCTGAAGAAACTCATCTACATGCCCACCTCTCTCTATCTCCTCATACAAACGTTTGCAGACTTTGCTCGATGTCTGTGCAATGAAAGTGTCGATAGATTTTGCAGCCTTTGGCAATGAATATAGACTATCTCGTCCCCAACGAAGGCCATCCGCCGAGTGGCCAACAAGGAGAACATACCATCGAGCGTCTTGACCAGAGTCTTCAGTTCGCTTGAAATTTATCTCAATGTCAGGAAACAAAACACCGAGATCTTCTGCAATGCGGTTTTGAAGCTTCTTGTGAGAATAGCAAGGCGTCAGAATAGTAACATCCACCGATTTTAGCTCATGAGAGCTGGGGTATGTGTACTTTTTCAACTTTTGGCACTTGATGCTTTGTCCCTTTGGAACGGGGTGAATCTTGACAGACATGACGCCGTCTGTGAAACGACCCAGACTCCATCCACGTTTGCTAAGCTCGCATTCGAGGGTTAGACCAAAGAAGTCTCTCAATGCCGGGACCACCAGCTGTTCAAAATAGTCGTAACTTGGAGAAAATGAGGTGTTTGTCCCCCCTGTAAGCTCGAGTTCGATTGGTTCGCCAGCGTCGTTGGCTGCAAAAACTAGAAAAGGGAGTGCTGCTTGTAGAACAAGAAGGGCACTAGCGGCGGTGGAATCTGCGACAATCTTGACTTGGCGAGGTGCAAATGATGTTGGTGATTGACGAGGGGTGAATGTGACTGTCTTGGAGCATTGATAGAGGCCCTCGACCTCGGCGTTGGTGGCATCTGCTAAGAATCGAATTGCTGTGACATGCTGATTGCCAAGACCTTGATGATAGGGAATGAATTAATGACATTGCTAGAATCTGTCAGGCATAGCAGTACTTACCACCGCCTTTATTATGGGCTCTGTTGGCTCTTATATTTGTGACGGTTACAGCTTGTCCTGTGACTGCGGCGAGAGCAATCGCAATCCGGACAAGTTGTCCACCACCTTCGCCCGTTTTGCCGTCTATTTGGATCGGCCGCATGTTGCTGAGGATACAAGTGGTGCTTGCTGGATTGTATTTGACGATAATGAGCTGGTACTCGTCGAAATGGCTTATTTGGAGCTTCTGTGTTGGAGCTCAGATTTCGACTCTGTTTCTTATTTTGGTCTCAAACTATGTAGATCCGATATCTAAATCATGTACTAGATCTCTGCCGATGAAGAAAATCCATATAGCACCCATACTGTGCCTTATATTGAAGGACATAGAACAGCACTACCTCACAGTCACACACACAGAGCCTTGTAGCCCCCGCCTGCTGGCGCTGCGTCACACGGCCAGCCAGGCACCGCCCGCCTACAGCGGAGACCCTGAACAGAGGGTGACTCACGTTAGACTCGCACCAAATCGCAAGATTTATCCCCTTGATCAAGGAGAACATCCAAAACAATGGGTAGTAGAATAACAGAAGTTTATATTATAATGTTACTAGTTATTCTCGCGGCCATCACGTGACGCATATGCCACTTTACTTTCCCCAACGCTATCCGTTGGGCTTACAGGGGACTAACGCCGACTTTCGCTGGAGCTCCCGTACCTGACGTAGTATAGCCTAGCATTTGAATGGGGGCATGGAGCTGCCAGCTGTCCACCATGTCAAAAGCCAAACAACTCAAAGTAGCCAGACTCAATGGGCGTCGAACCAAGCAACAATACCATGCAGCTAGAAGTGACTTGTACGAATTCAATGGCTACCTTCAGGCTCCTAACGACAACATTGGGACCTCTGGCTATACATCGAACATCGCCTGGTACTGGTGCCTCACAGCAGCAAGGTCTTCAGTCGAACCAGTCTTACCCGTTATGCTAAAGTTGTCTTCATCCTGGATATACCTTAAACAACTCAACAAAACCGCTTTTCCAACTTCTAGAATCATGTTTGAACTCTCGTCTCTTAGCGACGGTCGACCCAGCCTTTTTCGGCGCACAATACAGCGCGGTAACCCCTGCATCGGCCCGGTTCTAAAAGCTGACAGCCAGCGCAAAATACTGGGGAAAGATGTGCATGGTGACTGTCGGTTGCAGTCCCCCGGCCTGGAAACCGTATTGATGATCTTTCCGAATCCACTAGCCTTTTATTGTGGCCTTACAGCGTTCTAATTTCCACCAACCACAGTAGTCGTCTGCTCCTCCACATGCGTGTAAGACTGCATGTCTTTGGCTTGATTGCCTTATATTCCTTCACTATCGGAAGATTCAAGGCCGCCTCGCGCGCCCCCCACGATTGGATGCACCGTAAAGAATGTAGCCACGGAATATCTTTGCTTTCTTGCAGATCAGCCTCCCCCGGAGGTGCAAATGCCGACGCGCCCATCTGTGGATTCTATTGATTTTGGGGTAGGATGTAGGACCCTGCTATAAGACGGTCGTCTGCCCCCTACCAGAAGGTTGGGTTCCTCATTATCAGAATTATCAACACATACGCTTCCTTACTACGTACTATACCGAATCTCTATCATGCACTCTGCCACATACTTCACTACGGCCGCCATGGTCGTCGGCCTTGCCTCTGCTGCTACGGCTGGTAAGGCTGCCACGAACCCCAATGCCCAAGGTGCTTGCGCTGCTACTAAGGGTGGTGCGAATGCTTGTGGCCCTAATGGCTCCGAGGCCTGGCTCAACACTGGCCTCACCAGTGATGGCTGGAAGCCTCCCTTCCTCGACATTAACAAGCTCACCCACATCAGTCTCGAGGACTACTACAAGGGCGTTGGCAAGAGCTGCCAGAAGTACGATGCGCAGTTCAAGTCTTCTGGCAAAAAGTACAACATTGATCCTGCCATCCTGGCGTTCCTCGCCATGCAGGAATCCTCTTGCAACGCCGATGAGGGTGGCCCCACGCCTGGTCTTATGCAGTGCGATCCCTCCAACTGCCAGAACGGCAAGAAGTCATGCCAGTACCCTATTCAAGACAACGTCGACTGCGGCGCTCACGTTCTCCGATCTGCGCTTGACAGCTCTGGCGGCAACGCTGTCAAGGCAATTGGCTCCTACAACGGCTGGTTCACATCTGGCTCGGGCCTCAACGGCAACAAGGGTATCACGGAAGGCTACCCATGCAGCGCCGAGGGCAAGAGACACGGCCTGCCCCAGAACTTGAACTACATCCACGAGACGCTCAACGGCTGGTTCCAGGGCTACGATATGTATGGCAAGGACGCCAACCTTGATGGCAAGTATGCTTGCCAGGGCAAGTGCAATGGCAACAACCTTTGCTAGAGAGCGGAGGATGCCCTTTGTGACGAATGTATGATATTAGCGGAAGAGGCTGTGCTGCTGTGGAAGAAAGCAGGCTAAGCAATGCACATATATAGTACAAATACACAGTATATAATATAGTACAGTATGCTAAAACAATAGAATGATGAATACAAAATCTGCTATTTTTTCTTCGTATATTGTTCGGTGCATCATACAAATTCCACACAACACCAATCATCATTGGCAATCCCCGCTGTCTTACTGGCCGATGCCGCCAAGATGTCCACATGGCGCCCTCCGATAGCTCCCCGACATGATCCCCGACTCGGCCCCGCGCTCCGTCATAAAAACAAGCCCGGCGTCCGGAAGGCTTTGTGAGCGAGCCCCTCCTCAGCTTGTTTTCCCACCCATTTTCTTCTTTTTAATTTGCTGCTCGACATTCTCTAAACGCCATTAAAATGTATCTGAGAGCCGTCCACGCGGACGCAGACGTCCGAACGCTACGAGACATCATCCGCCAGTACCCTCTGGGCATCTTGACGACCGCCATCCCGTCCCCCACCAAGTCATACCCCCTCATCCAATGCACGCACATTCCATTTTTGCTCGACCTTGAAGATGAGATGAGCGAGACCGAGTTGGGTGTTCTTCGAGGACACATGGCCCGCAGCAACCCACACGCGAAAGCATTCATCGAGGCCCTAGAAGCAAACCCTGCGGCGGGCGGTGTTCTTGAGCAGGAAGTCATGGTGCTCTTCAACGTCCCAGTGCACCACTATGTCACGCCCAAGTTTTATGTTGAAACCAAGCCCAAGGACGGCAAGGTCGTGCCCACTTGGGACTATGCTGCCTCCCAGGTCTACGGAACTGCCAAGATCTTCTTTGACAGCAAGTCGGAGGAAACAGGATCGTTCCTCGCCAAGCAGATTTCAGAGCTGTCCGACCACGCCGAGGCCAACATTATGGGCCACAAGGGAGGCGAGACAGGAAAGGAGCCATGGAAGGTCTCCGAGGCTCCTGATTCATACATTAATTTGTTGAAAAAGGCTATTATTGGCATTGAAATCAAGGTCGACAGGCTCGAAGGCAAGTTCAAGATGAGCCAAGAGCTGCCCGAGGGCGATGTTCAAGGCGTGGTGGACGGCTTCGAAAAGATGGGTACTGAGACTACCAAGCAAATTGCTGGGATTATTACAGAGCGACGGGAACTTAAGAAGGCCAAGGCAGCGGCTAAGGCGTCGGCTTGAACGGAGTTGAATAAAAAAGAAAAGAAAAGAAAAGAAAAGGACTGGTATTATAGAGTTGCATAGAATTATACACAGCGGCCAAAGACAGCATAATGTTTCTACATGGTGGACACTACCAAATGGTTTAAAGGATATCAAATCTGGTAATAAAGAGCGACTATGGCTCAGGCTAGTATCATGCACAAATCAAGAGTGAATATGCAAGGGTTGACCTAGTCGGAGGAAACGGCTTTACACGATGCCAACAAGCGGCTTGTTGTGGGTGAAGCCGTCGAAAGAGGGTTGCAAAAAGCACTGATACTGCATTTGTCAGCTCGGCCGTAAATTCTTTTAAGACATGTTGCAACTGTACGGCACATCGCATCATGTCAAGCCCCGCAACTAGAATAGTGGGAGCGATATGGGCCATCGAGTTTCTTGCGTAAGAGTACAAAGTGAACGGCGGCCCTCATCCAGACCTGGCTGCAACGGAAACTCCCTTGGTAGTTTAAGACACACAATACAATGAGCACATACACGCAGACCACCCTCGTCGCCGGCGCCTCTCGAGGTATCGGCAAGGGCCTTGTTGAACATCTTGCCAAAGACCCTTCGCATTTCGTCATTGGCACCGTGCGCGGCTCGAGCAGTCCCTTTGATGCCGCCAACATCAAGACGATCCAGCTGGACCAAGGTGTGGCTGAATCAGTAACAGCCGCCGCCAAAGATATCGAGCCCATCGACACGCTCATTGTTAATGGCGCCATTGGCCTCGACGAGAAGCTGCTCACAGTATCAGAAGAGCGCTTGCAGGAGTACCTCAACATCAATGTGGTTGGCGTTCTGCGGATCGTCCGCGCATTCCTGCCCGGCCTGCGCGCTGGCAAGCTCAAGCAGATTGTGCTCATCTCGTCCACGTCTGGCTCGATTACACGCCAGGTCAACGCCAAGAGCGGCTTCACCGGACCGTACGCCGTGACCAAGGCCGCTGTCAACATGATTGCTGTCCAGCTGCACAACGAGCTCAGCGAATCCGGGGGCTTCACCGTTATACCAGTTCATCCGGGGTGGGTTTCGACCGACATGGGCAACTCGTCCCGCGCGGGAGGAATGCCCGTCTCCGACAGCGTCGAGGGCATTATTAAAGTTATCAACGGCCTTACAATCGATAAATCGGCGACGTTCTATGAGTATAGCGGCGAAGAGCTGCCTTGGTGATGCTGTGTTCGGTGGTGGCTGGATACGAAGCGTCAATTGGGGGGGACTCTTTCTAGAATTAGAAAAGCTGCACGTGGCAGCCGATATATTACATGGATTAAATAATATGGATCCCTTTGTCTGTGATTTTTTTTTTCCATGGCAATTTCTTGGTGATGGGATTTCCGTCTGTTACGGAGAATCGCGCCATGGGTTTTCTGTGTGTGTGTGGATGCCATTTTGCCAGGTGCCAGCTACAGCACTTGCCACAGCAGAAAAACGCCGCTGTAGCTTAACTGGTTACAGCGCCCGAGCCCACTGGAGGCCAGGCCCGTCCCCGCAGCTGTCCGTTTTTGCATACTCATGACGTAGCTGGCTGCTGTTAGCGCCTTTCCCGCCCAGACCCTCCCCTATCACAGCGCTGCGGCGTGCAGCGTGTCCGCCACTAGCGCTCGTCCGGGGAGCCACAGTGGCCCCGCTACAGCCCGCTACAGCCTGTTACAGCGCCAAACAGCACCTGCGACAGGCTTCATCTGGCGTGGCGCTCCAGGTGGGTGGCATCCCGTCTCTTGCTGCACCACACCACCGCAAAGCCAGCACGACTTGTTTGCAAATTCCCATGTCGGTGCTTTTGGCTAAAAGCCTCGTCTCCCCCAGTCCCGTGTGTCCCGTCGACAAAACAAATCATCCGCCTTCTTTCGTACCTGTCACGCTCTCATCCTATGCGTGCATCACCTTCATCTCACTTGTTTCTCTGTTGCTTCTAAAGCGCAGCCCAAATCCTCGACACCACAGCGTCTCTAGCATTCATATATTTGGCGCGGTCGCGTGATACGTTTAGTGCTTTCCTCTACGATGGAGGACGTGCCCGAGAAGCCTCAACATGCTGAAGTCGATGTTGCCGACAAAAACGATGCTGTCAAAGACATCGTCCCAGGCACCGTGATGCCCGCGCTCACAGATACCACTAATATTCCCACGACAACAAAATGGGAGATCCGCGCCTGGTATGCTTACTACATTGGAGCCAATGGCCTGTCGCTGTTCAACTTTGGCCCAACGGCCTTCCAGAACTTGATTGACCAGGCTGCTGGCGGCGAGACGGGATTGCTGTACTTTATGGGCAGGATGCGCGACCCCAACTCCGTCGTGCTCTTGGCAAACGGCGTCTCGTTTGCGATCCAGGCTGTTCTTTTCCTCATCATTGGAGCATATGCCGACTTTGGAACCGGTCGACGCTGGGTTCTGCTCGTCTGGTCCGTCATTGCGTTTGCCATTGGCTTTGCCTGGTTGGGCGTGCACGATGCGAGCCACTGGGAGACGGCGGCTGGCCTTTACATTGTCGGACTCATCGGCTACCAGCTTACGCTTACCTATTGGACAGCCGCATTTCCATCCCTTGCGCGAAACACAACTTGGATCAAGGACTCTAACACGGCGTACCAGAATGGCGAAATCACCCTCGCTGAGCTCGATCGACGCGATGAGATGGAGCGCAGCCGTCTCAGCAATACTTCTTTCTTTATTCAGTCCGTTACGGAGATCCTCATCCTCGCTGCCATCGTAGGAGTCATGTATGCAGTCCATGTCGACGACGGAACGGTCGAAAGCAACAACTGGGGCCTGTCCATTCTCATCGCCTTCGCAACGGGAGTCTGGCTACTCGTCTCGCTGCCATGGTTCTTCCTTGAACAGACAAGGCCTGGAATGCGCATCCCTAAGGGCCTCAACATCGTCACTGTGGGCCTGTGGCAGCTTAAGGAGGCATTCTTGCAAATCTGGCAGCTCAAGCAGAGTCTCATCTTCCTTGCAGGCTATTTCCTGGTAGGTGACTCGCTCAACACCACTGTCACTGTCATCGCTACACTGCAAAACGCCATTGTTTCATACAATACGCTCAAGCTCACGTATCTGCTCATTGTTGGTATTGCAACGCAGGCAATAGGCATCGGTGGGTTCTGGCTCATACAGAAAAAGTTTAACCTATCTGCAAAAACCATGTTCAACGCCATCATGGTTGCCATCGTCCTTCTCGATGGCTGGGGCATCATTGGCAACTGGACCGACAAGTTTGGCTTTCACAATGAGTGGGAAGTCTGGCTGTACCAGGCCTATTATGGACTCTTTGTCTGCCCATGGTACAGCTACTCCCAGATCATGATTAGCTCCGTCACTCCGCGCGGGCACGAATTTCTCTTCTTCTCTGTCTTCAACATTATCGGCAAGGCGTCTAGCTTTATTGGTCCTTTGATCAGTAGCGCCATCATTGATGCCACTCCTGGCGGCACCAACAACAGCGCGCCGTTTTACTTTTTATTCGCATTGACGCTGGTAAGCGCCATCGGCCTATGGACCTTTTTGGATCTGGAAAAGAGCGCGAGAGAGCAGGAAGTTTTCTTGGCCGAGGAGAAGATACGCATGGGCGACTCGGAGAGCTCTAGATCATGAGTGGGAGGGTGTACCTCCGCCATTACTTTCACAATTGGGGTGTGAATCTGTACATATTTTATGACCATTTATGACGCTTGTTAGAGACACAAATAACATTCAAGGATGCCGACATGGCCATCGGCTAGTCATGGAAATCTCGTATTGATTGGGTCCTTGTAACCCATCAAGCTACATGACACTTTTTGCGGCAAAAGCAAGACGATGAAATCGGCACATCGGCCACCGCCAGTGCAGCATCTAGCTTTGGACGGATCTCGGCAGCCAGATCCTGCTGGCCCAGACGAACCAGGCACTCATGATATCCGTGCAGCGCCCAGACATTGTTTGGATGCTGATGGATTCTAGGTAGGATTTCATCCAAGCCCAGATCTTGCTCGTAGACTACTCGTGCTTCTTCCACATGGCCTTGTTCCAACAGTAGAGCTCCGTAGGCATGGCGTGCTGGCTGCATCCAACCCCAAGGTTCATCAAAGGGAAGTGTATCGTAGCGCCTGATCGACTCTCTCAAGTGTTCAAACGCCGCAGAGAAGTCGCCACTACGGTATGCAATCTCACCGTCTAACATGGCGTCAGCTACTGTCAGAATATCAACGCATTTGTTGTTAAAGATGGTGCGTGACTCTTTCACCAGCTTCCTTGTAACGGAGAACAGGTCTCGTTCAGCCTGAGCTTCTGGCACCTTTCCCAAAGCTGCAAATGCCATTCCTTTAGCGTAATGTAACAGTGCTGTTCCAACGCAATAGAGTTCCTGGTCCTTGGCAAGGGGTATGTCGATAATTTCCTGCCAAAGTCCGAATCGAATAAGTGCATGTACGCGCATCGCAAGGAATGCCTCCAGCCAGTCTGCCATTGGCGGTGTTTGGACTCGAAGCGCCTCCTCTGTGATGCTTGCGTTCAGCTTATCCACTGTTTCCAGTGCAATTTTGGATTGCCCAGAGAACATGGCGCAGTAGAGGCGGAAGTGGTAGTCGTGACTGCGATACAATGTGTAAAAGTTAAGCGGCCCTTTGTCTGCCAGGAACTTTTCATCGGCAATCATAGCATCCGTATTTGCCTTGACTCCTGAGGCGTAGTCTCCAGTCAGGACATCAAGATGACTGGGCATGTGGTTGAGATGTCCAGAGTCGGGGACGAGTCCACGCAGCAGGTTGGCCGCTGGCATGCCGTCCTCGGGATTCCGCGACATTTCGACCATGTGAATATAAAGGTGTAATAAACCAGGGTGTTGCTTGCCCCCTGGCTGGGCTATGCCGTGGTCCAGCACACGCTTGATTTCCATGGTTCTGGCCTTTTCTGTCGGCTTGCCAGTGTAAATGTCCCAGAGCTCCCATGGCGTCAGGTTCATCATGGCATCGGCATAAAGCGCACCAATGTCGAGGTCCGCCGGGAATTCAGACGCCACTTTTTCCATGGCATCGGCGTATTCCGTGTTCCAAATTGGCCACTCTTGTTCTTTTGGAGCCTGGCCCTGAGGGTATCGTTTCTGGAGGGCGTTGATAATTACCTTTTCTACCTCAGTTGCACCGGCAGACTTCTTCTTCGCTTGCTCGACAGCTTCGTGAGTTCTTTCCGCTGCTGTCTGCATCTCACCTTGTTCAAAGAGACCCCAGCCCTTATTATAGTTAGGTCCAAGGGCATATGCCAATCCCCAAAAGGCCATTGCACATTCCGGATCGTGAGCAATGGCATTTTCGAAACAGACCACGGCTTCCTCATGATGAAAACCGTAGCACCAGATGAGGCCTTTATCGAACCATGCTTGCGCCTGTTTGCTTGTAGTTGTAATAGTGCGGCTGTAGCTGCCCAGATTGTACAAGTAGTCTTCTACATGCTTCAACTCGGCCATGGTGTAGCAGCCTTATTCCAATGCTAGACTTGATATATGCAACTCCTTTTTTAGAAACCAATTTTGTATGAATGGAGTTTCTTTGTTTATCCAAAATGTGGCGGGGTGTCTGTGGTGTTGTAGTTGGCAAAAAAGAGGCCCCCCAGCCAAATCCTCAGCTCAGCAGCTTTGGCGTCAAATGGAGGGCGCGGGGCATTTCAACGTTTGCCCCTCCCCCACTTCACTTTCCGACTTCCGGAACGCCATTGCGCAACTTTTCCCTCCAACATAATTATTTTTCTCGCAAACAATCATGACGACACCACTGCAGCAGGGCAACCTTGCCCATCTTTTACCGCCCAGCTGGAAGACTCAAGTCACAGCTTGGCTTGACGAAGACACACCTTCTTGCGACTATGCCGGTTTCGTTGTAGGCGAGCAGCCTCGCACCGCAACCCTTTGGGGCAAGTCAGCCGGAGTCATTGCAGGACGACCATTTTTTGACGAGGTTTTCCAACAGTGCGGGTGCAAAGTAGAGTGGCACGCTAGTGAGGGAGACGCAGTAGACATCAGCGCCAACGGCGGCAAGATGAAAGTGGCTACAGTTACTGGCCCGGCTCGTGGTCTGCTGCTGGGCGAGAGAGTGGCTCTCAACACATTGTCTCGATGCTCCGGTATCGCAACACGGAGCAAAGAGCTCGTGGACCTGCTTCGAGCAGGCGGTTACAAGGGAATTCTTGCAGGCACACGCAAAACCACCCCCGGATACCGTCTTGTTGAGAAGTATGGTATGCTTGCTGGTGGCGCCGACGGCCACCGCATGGACCTCAGCTCCATGGTGATGCTCAAGGACAACCATGTCTGGAGCAGAGGAAGCATCACTGAAGCTGTAGTGGCTGCACGATCTGTGGCTGGCTTTTCCATGAAGATTGAAGTGGAGGTTCAGTCGGAAGAAGAAGCGGACGAGGCTATTGCTGCTGGTGCGGATATTGTGATGCTCGATAACTTTACTGGCGATGGGGTCAAGATTGCATCCAAGAGCCTCCAAGAGCGATGGCAGGGCAAGAAACACTTCCTTCTGGAAGTATCAGGAGGTTTGACCAACCAGAATGTGGCAGCATACGTGTGCAATGGTGAGCAGACCTGATCAGCGATTTGAAGAACATTTACTAACGCATTTTAGACATTGACATTATCTCAACAAGCTATATTCACCAGGGCGTCCCCCATGTCGACTTTTCGCTTAAGATTGAGCATTAGATGTAGAAAAGTACAGTCTCGAATTTAATATCTCCACTATAGATAATATATTTGTACTTATAATCACGCAATCAAACCTAAGCTGGGCCATTCTTGCCATTGCAGCATGCAACCAAGACACTGCTCTCGTTTCTAGTGCCTGGAACATCCAAAGCTGGGTTGGCCGTGAAAAAGTCTGCGGGTCTCAGGTGCAACTGATGAATCTCAACGGGCCTATCGTGATGTTAGCAAAGAGTGTATCCACGTAATCGTCGGGGCTGATACTTACATGACGGGCCAGTCTTCAACACGAGGGTTATGAGTCAATCCGAAAACGCCCCAGACGACTGGGCTGCTCTTTTGTCCGTCTGCCGAGGCGCCATCTGCCGGCTTCTCGCCGAACCAGTCGCCTCGCTTAACCATGTCGCCAACGCCACCAGTTTCATGTTGGCTCTGGTTTGTGAACTCGCCAGCAGCCCAGAGCTCTCCGTCTCGGTAACCTGTGACCCAAATGTTGTGTTGGGCAAAGGGCGCACGAAGCGATACTCTACTATTGGGGTCTGCGAGTAGCATTTGCGTGGGAGGGTTGACAAACTTGTAGGCAACATTCTTACCCGAGATGGCGTTCTTCTTTTGCGAGTTTTCAATCTTGATGCTGCGGTTGACTCGGGGATCAAGATCAATCCAAGTGGCCTTCTCAACAGGCTCTCGGACAAGATCGTAGAAGTTGCCGTATGGGTTTGTTTCAGGATTCATCTTATGAGGACGGTTTTCTTCCACCACGACCTGAGTGGTCTCGTTAGAGTACGAGTCAATAGCAGGGTCAAGTCGGACTGCGAAAATGTGTTGGTGGTTCTGGGCCAAGACACCGGGGCTAACAACGTTGCCATACTCGCTGGTCTTGCCATAGTCGATACCGACGACACTAACGATACCAGTGGCGCGGGTTTCAATGCTGATACCGCCAGCAAGATCAAACTTGTAAGCAAAAACGTACTCGTAGTTTGCAAGGGTGGCGATAAATTGCACGACAAACTCTCTGTTACGAGCGACAGCGGCTCTGTCCGTTCGGAAGTTGGTATGCTTCCATAAGATACCATTATCCTGCTCGTGTAGGCAGACTGTAGACTTGAGGCGGTTGAGAGAGCCATCAGGCTCAACCAAAAGCGAGTCAACATAGTGGATGGCGCCTAAGCAGTCGCATCCGAGCTCCAAGCTGTTGGCTGCACGACCCATACCACCATCACCAAAGTCAAAGGCCTGCTTACGGTGAAAAGGGTTGCGGGCATCTCCGTACGGAACTGTCATTTCACTAAAGCTGAGACGGTAGGCAATGGGGCGATTATCATAGCAAATGTCGTACAGAACCGCACCTTCTCGAGGGGTGTTGGCCAAGCGGAATCGCCACTTTTGCCAATTGATGAGGCCGTCGTCTTGAATGGTGAATGAGGCACCTTCAGGCTGCACGACATTGAGGGGTTTTAGGTCGGTTCTTTGAGGAATTGAAAGCAATTCGGGAATGTAGTCTGCGCTCTGAGACTGCTCAAACAAGACCTTGGGTTTATCCCCGCGGGGTGCTGGCTCCATGGGGTCACCCTTGCCACCGGTAGGAAGGCGATCAATGCGGACGAGCTTCTTGGTTTTCCAGTCCATAACTGGAATGATGGGAATGGGATAAGAGTAATGGTTTGCGTCGGCATTCTTCTTGGAAGTATCGTGCGCAAACACAAGACCCTGCATCAGGCGTGGTGGTGTGGTGCCGGGATCCGGGCTACCATATGGCCAAGGGTCGATCATGACCTCAAAGCCCTCAGGCAGAACAAATTCAGTCATGGCATCTTGGAACATGGAGTCTGCCACACAATTGTCCTGGAATTGAATAAATTCACCACTATGTAAGCTGTTAGCTTCGGTCCTGTGCAGATGCTGAGTGCATTCTTGGGCCGACTTACACTGTCATGTACGACTCACTTGGAGCGACACGAGGGACAACAGCCTTGGAAAGAACAGTGGATGTAGCCAGATCGATGATGGCCTGGCTATAATCACTACTCTCCTTCTTGATAACATCATACTCAACGACGGCGAGGCGAGGTGGTCTTGGGGTTTCATCTGTGAGCTTGCCGGCATGCTCCAGCTCCAAGAAGGGAACAAGTTCTGCCTTGGTAGGCTCTTGGCGATGCAGCGATCTAAAGAAAAGAGGCTCCGAAGGCCCGTGGCTCTTGAGGATGGCGTCCCGGGCGATGGCGAACTCGGCCTCGGTGAGCGGGGCCAATGGGTGAGGCGGCGCCGATGCAGATGCGGTCATGGCGGGCGATTTGAAGTGTAGTTAATGGCGATCAAGAGCAATGCAATGCAGGCTGCTTTACTATTTGTAACGGAAAGATCAGGCGGAAAGGAAAGTTCAACTCCACACGAGATGCGGAAGCGCTCCCGGTTTTGAAGGAGGGGGACAGCACCCCGCGGAGCCCCGATTGTGCCGTGACGGTATTTCAAGCTGCTGCAGAAAACCCTTGGCGCTCGGCTACTACCGAACTGGTGACAAGAGAGTTTAGCACTTTACGGCCCTCCACACAGCGTGCGGGGAAGATGCTAGTGGCCGACTTGCTCCTTCACGCCCTCCTGTTTACATCGAACTCGGAACCGTAAGCACACTTTGGACCGGAACTGATTCCGAGTAGACTCTCCTGCTGCTGGACTAACAGCTTCTACAGCCGAAGATGACCAGATGACTACTGCCCATTGTCAGCTCGGATGCACACTCTTTTGACATGCAATATAGTGTTGGGAAGTAAGGACTATCCCCAGTCGGGCAGCTCGCATACAAGACTTGCGTCCTCCGCAATGTTGGGAGTTGTCTTGAGGCTCCATCGCTGGGAAGAGAGCCGTGTTTTGTTAGGCGGCGAAGCGGAGCGCGGCTTGGGCCCATTCTGCGGCGTTCGCATTTAACTGCTACTGGTGCGCTCCAAAGGTGGACGGCGGGCCTTGTTCCCGTCCCGGGTTAAGGAGCGGTTCTACTTGAGGCGGCCGTTCATGCAGGACCAAACATAGGCGAAGCGGAAATAGCAAAAATCCGTAACATATGGCGTTACTGTGCCACGACTCCCATCTTTTGACATCTTGGAGACAAGATAGCCATGGCAGTGATGTTCGGTCCAACGCAGTACGTAAATATGACCTGTTAGTCACCGCCGATCAGGGACAGTTGCTTGGATGGATCGCGATGCTGCTCAAAAGGCTGACGTGCGAGGCATCGCAGATATTAGGCTGGCGTAGGATCGCTGTAGAAATTCAGAGTGTGAGCACATGCGCGTAAATGGAACTCAGACCAAGCAACTCGGTGCTTTGTAAATTCCTTGGACAGAATTTAAAATTTAAAATGAGGTGGTGTCTTTGTATGCCGATCGAAGATCTGCATATGCGTTGCGAACCCTCCTGACAAAACGACTGTCGACGGTCAGATCCGAGGTATCTGTGTTCGTTAGAAAATGAAATCGGTTCTAGTGTCCTTCATCAAAATTAAACAACTTGGTTTCATAATATTAATGATAACTGCCCAAATTCGGCAGGATACATCTCCCATGATGCGTGTGCAATGAAACGCGGCGGCGGATGGCGCACTTTATCCAACGTGCATGGTCAGTGCGGGCTTTGCTACGTCACCGCCCCTCTCAGTGCACTTTGTTTCAATGGGCCAGGTGGCCCTGCCCCCAATTTACAGGCCGTTAGCCGCTAAACAGGGTCGCGTTGCTAGCGCTATAAGCTTTTCGGTGGCTGCACCACTCAAGTGCACCAGCAGCATAACGCAATGCATGATCCCACGCGGCCGATGGCGCCGTACGATGCTGTAAGCGACAAAGACTGTGGCATTGCATTGGCGGATGGCAGACTGCACAGCCTGTCAATGCCGATTCGCGATACCTCTGCGTTGTTTCTTTTACCTCGAGAATCCTACGCCGCGGGCACCAAGCACAGCGATCGTCATAGTTGGCGTTTCAGCGGACTTTGCGCGCCAAAAACAAAATACCTAAGCACAGGGGCGTTTTGCGCTAGAACGAGGGGGCGATCGCCGCGCTGCCCCACGCTCAGCAGGTTTCAGAAGTGCTGGGTGTCCCACTGCGCACTCCAAACAGGTAGGTACTGTACCGACTGTGCACTAAAGCACAACCGCCGACCTCTGCCAGCACTGCCCAGGGCTAATTTACAGGCGGCATCGGCAGTGCTTATAGCGCATCTGGGCAGCCCACAGGCAGGTACCACCGCTCACGGACCAGGGCCACCGATGAAGGAACCAAGACCCCTATTCACAGTGCCATATTTACTTTTCGCCCGCGCACGCTTTTGCATATAACGCATTCCTCCCCGTGTCCTTGCATCCGCATCCCCAAAATACAGTCATTTCTGCTTGTGCCTTTGTTTTTCTTTCTTCCCTTCTATTTCATCTCTTCTTTCTATTCCAGCAGCAGCCTAAGTCTAGCAGTTACAATCGCTTTTTTTTTCCTTCACTCTTCCACGTGCCTATTTTCTTGCTGCAGCACACAACTCGCCCTCTGCGCCACCACACACCACAAGCTTTCGTCGTCATCGCGTACCCACTAGCGGAGCCCCTCGACCCGACTGGATAAAACACTAGATACTGCACTCTGGTTTGCTTCGCACAAGCACCAAAGCGCAGCGGCAGTAGCAACACACGGGTACGGCTAATTCAGGTCGAACCGGTTGCTACTACGTCAAATATCCTGGCATCTCGCCTCCTTGCTGTCTGATACACCCAGCAGCGCAGACGACTCGATCCTACATATCGCATTTATTCTCCCCCCTTTCGCCCACCATGCTCAACATTCGACGCTCCGTCGTTGCCGCCGCCTGCCTCCTCACCCTATTTTTCCTCGTCTTCCGCTCTCACTCCGACCAACCTACGGAACTTGTCACAGACCCGTCACAACTCGATTCGAAATACGATGGTGCAGCTCTCAATGCCGTCGGCCACAGCTTGCGAGCTGTAGCCCAGAAGCCTTTGGTCGACATGTCCCAAATGTCTACGTCCGATAAACTGAGCTACACATATCCGTACGATATCGAAAGCAAGTTTCCTGCTTACATCTGGCAAACTTGGAAATACACACCGGCCGATAGCAGATTTATGTTTCGCGAACAGGAGGCGTCTTGGACGGAGCAACATCCCGGCTTTGTTCATGAAGTGGTGACAGACAGCGTCGCTCTTAGTCTTTTGAAACTCTTTTACGCTGGCGTGCCTGAGATTCTAGAAGTCTATGAAGCGCTGCCCCTACCCGTGCTCAAGGCAGATTTCTTCCGATATCTGATCCTCTTTGCCCGCGGTGGCATCTATTCCGATATCGATACCTATGCAATCCAAAGCGCCGACCACTGGATCCCATCTAATGTGCCCGCCGAGTCCATCGGTCTGGTGATTGGAATCGAGGCTGATCCTGATCGTCCCGACTGGGCCGATTGGTACAGCAGGCGCATCCAGTTTTGCCAGTGGACTATCCAAGCAAAGCCAGGCCACCCTGTCCTCCGCGATATTATTACAAGAATTACAAATGAGACTCTCACGCTTAAGCAGAGCGGAAAGCTCAGCCACATCGACAATCACGAAGTTGTTGGCCTAACTGGGCCAGCCCCGTGGACTGATACCATTATGGATTACTTCAACGACGAACGATACTTCAACAAGGACGAGAGCAGAGGCAAGATTGACTTCCACAACTTTACCGGCATGACAAATCGCAGACGTGTCGGCGATGTTATTGTTCTTCCGATTACCAGCTTCTCTCCAGGAGTTGGCCAAATGGGAGCACAAGAAGCCGATGATCCTATGGCCTTTGTACAACACGATTTCGAAGGTATATAGAAGCCGAATGATTGACATGATTGGGATTTACAACTAACCAACATCTATAGGCACTTGGAAACCCGAAAGCGAGAGGCATATTGGTGAGCAGCAAGGCTAGAAGAAAGCTGCCACAGCTCTTGTTTCACAGACATCTTCAATCCCTGGCAACAGTGGTTAAGATGTGATCCCAGCACTGGTGCTTGGGGGATCCTATTATTTTCCGTGGCATACTTTGGCCATTTCGTTTTTTGTTCCATTCACCAACAACGCCATATTTTATATCTGTTTTATTACACTTCCTGGACCGGGAAAGATGTGCGGATCGAGGTTAAAATTATGCTCGAGGCCAAGAGCATCTTGGAGCATAGATTGACGGGTGTTATTTTTTTGTTATTTTCTATGCGTTTCATTGCTCGTTTAGGGATAGAATTTGGAGCATGGCTTTTAGACTACGTCTTTAGTGAGGAGAGAAAGACGGCCCTGTATGTACAAGTAGCGACTGAAATGCAATTCATCAGTCAAAGGACCCCTTGGGCAGCTTGGTTGTGAAAATGTTCAAACAGAAATACAACATCTGTTACTATCTACTAACTCAAGATGCCTAACCTGCGTGCTGCATACCGCGTTATTTGCTGCCAACGGAAATGCGGTGGTCGGGGATGCGGATGTGGCTTCCGGCAGTTCTAAACCCACTGAAGAAATAAGCTGGCGTAGGCATTAGCTTAATTATAGTGAGCACCAGGTTGCTCCAGCGGGCTCGGCTAGTGACCAGGTCCGCTTTTTAGCACCGTTTCTCCCCCGCACTTTGGCAATTGACACGCACGGCACGGCCCCAACCAGAAACGCCCGAGTCTCTTCCCGTCCTTGTCACGCTTCTTTCCCTCCTCTTCTCCCCTTTCCCCTCTTCAGCTTCTTCCGCTTCGGAGCTCCCTCGTCCACCTGCTCCAGTGTTTAGAGCGTGCATGTTTTCTCCCAAAACGTGATTGACTCTAGCTGCCCATTCGTCTTATTTGAATTATCTCGGCAGCTTCCGACCAGATAACGTCACCACATCTTGGCATCGTCGGAATCAAGGAAGCTCTGCCAGAGGTCCGTCAAACGAGCCTGACATTGTACACAGCACTTTATTTGTCGGATTTATCATTTCTGAAGCTCTAGTTGCTATTCCGAAGCTCCTCTACTTTAATAAGACTGCCCTCAAATCCACAATTGCGGGTGTCGTCTGTTAGTAGGGACCGCCATGCTCTCTGCCGCCAAACGATCGCTCCTCAGAACGGCGTGCAGACAATGCACGCCTAACAAGGGACTGAGAGCTGTTCATGCTCGGGGACTGGCTACGCAAAATCTCAGCTTCAGACAAGGACCGAATGAGGTAAGAAACAGCTCTCTCGTTGGTGTGCTACTATGCAAGCGACGGACAACTTCAGTTGAGCTCTACATGTTGGAAGTACTGGTATTGACTAACCTGTTCTTTAGCCTGCTCTATATACAGGGACGATTCCTGAACATTTTGCGTCGGTCGTATCAAAAAACGGTGACAGACCGGCGGTGATTACCCGCTCACCCACCCCCACATGTATAGAAACGGCATTTACCTACTATGAGCTCGACCTGCTTTCGAATAGAATTGCTTCAACATTGGCATCACTAGGTGTCCGAAAGGGACAAAAGGTTGCAATTTCTCTTGGTAATGGGCCAGAGTTTGCCGCCCTAACGTACGCCGTCTTCAAACTGGGTGCCATCCTGGTCCCTTTGAACCCCACCTTCAACGCTCTCCAAGTTGAATCTGCTCTCAAGCATCTTCAAGCAGAGACGCTCATCATTGGTGCGGTGACGGATATATCATATAAGCCTGGAAATGGACGAAGCAATGAGGATCTACTGCGTCAAGTTGTCGGTGATATTGAAGGAAGCAAGGTGGACAGCCCCAGTGTCTCGTCACTGAAACGGGTCATTGTTGTTGATAACCGCGTCAGCCATCCTGGTATTGATTTCAAACTTGATAACTGTCGAAGAGTCCTCACACCGTATAGAACACTTCTCGAAGGGACAGATGATGCTATCAAACCTGATCAACCTCTCGAACCATCTGATATCATCAACATTCAGTTTACGTCAGGCACTACTTCCACGCCCAAAGCAGCCCAACTTACACATGCTGGCATATTAAATAATGGAATTTTAATTGCACACCGGCTGGGCTTGGACAACAATGACCGAATCGTTGTCCCGCCGCCACTCTTCCACTGCTTTGGCTCGATCCTCGGCTACATGGCAACCGCAACCACTGGCGCAGCTATCCTCTTCCCCAGTCCTGCGTTTGACCCTGCCGCTTCTATTAAAATGTGTGCAGACCACTCAGCTACTGGACTATACGGCGTTGCAACTATGATTATTGCCATTATGGATGCGTTGGACAACGGAGCCATTGCCAGCGCACCACCTACTCTACGAAAAGGTATTATTTCTGGCAGCAGCGTCCCGGAAGCCCTTGCAGAAAAAGTGTTCCAGAAAATAGGAATGGAAGATTTTGTTATATGCTACGGCATGACGGAGACGAGCCCTGTCAATTGCATGACCATTGCATCCGACCCCTTCAAAAAGCGTACCTCCACGGTGGGCACGCCAATGCCTCACACGACCATTAAGATTGTCAACCCCCTCGATCGCTCCGAGATATTGCCATATAATACAAAGGGAGAGCTTGCCACAGCTGGATATCTGGTTATGGAGGGCTATTACAACGACCCAGATCGAACGGCAGAAGTCAGAGTTAAAGAGGCTGATGGCCGAGTCTGGCTTTACTCTGGTGACGAAGCTGAGATGGATGAGGAAGGATTTGTCAAGATTACTGGCCGTATCAAGGATCTAATTATTCGAGGAGGCGAGAATATCCACCCTCTTGAGATTGAGAACTGCCTCTTCCAGCATCCTGGCGTCATGGAAGTGAGCGTGGCTGGTGTTCCAGACGAGAAGCTAGGCGAAGTTGTTGCTGCATTTATTATTCCGAGCAAGGGATGGACTTTTGAGGGCGATGGACAAACACCAGGCACACAGCATATAACAAAGGACGATGTGCGGTCCTGGGTGCGCGAGAAGCTCTCTAGCCATCTTGTTCCGAAGTATGTGTTTTGGGTGACGGAGTATCCCAAGACAGGAAGTGGTAAGATCCAAAAGTTTAAACTCCGAGATATTGCCAAGGAGCTTCTCGAGAAGGATACTTAGTGGATGGGTTCAACTAAAGACGGCGGAGATGGCAGCCGTTTGGCAGCTTGTCGTTATTTTTCCTTGTATGTGTATATCATAGCCAGCTTACGTTGTTTGCTTCGCGCCGAAACTGCATTCATGTCACTGTCAAATCTAGATCTTAATTGGCGAGAAAACAAATAATATTCTATGCCATGCTCTGTATCATATCATTTGGGGGATGTGTACCAAAAGGTACCACCGAGGATGGAGCGCCAGGCTCCCAAACCACATTCGCCATCCATCCAATGCGTCCAAAAGGTCTATCGCTATCCCTTCATCGCCCATTTATGAATGCAAAATCAACGCCTCTAGGAATCGAGCAAGCAACAACAATGAATCGGCCGTAAAAGCACAAAGAAAAAAGCTTGACCAAGTGTAGACATTCCATTTCATGAATCCCCTCGCCTCAACTTATCCCAATTCTCTTTTTGTAAAACTGGCAAGGCAATAAGCCGTCATAAGAGACATATCCCGTCATAAACAATCACCAAACAAAGCCAAAACTATCCTAACGCCGAAAGAGGTGCAAAAGCAAACGAAAAGGAAATGGATAATGAAAGAACTCAAGCGGAAAAGGAGACGATAAACAAGCCAGCCGTTTCAAGGTGTTAATCAACCTGCTTCTCACAACCGATACGGCCAAGGAGCTCTTTGCGATCACTGTGTCCGGGGAGACTGACTCCAGAGCTGTTACCCTGTCGCTTCACTCCGGTTCGGCGCTCCCAGCCCTTGAAGTCGATCTCGTCTGCGCCAACCTCCTCCTCGAGAGCTTCGGCATAGATGTATTCCTCTTGTTCTTCGGTCTCTTCGCCCTCTTCTTCATCGTCGCTGCGCGAATCTTCGGCGCCGTCTCCACGAAGCACCTTCATAGCGACACGGATGATCATGGTGAACCACACAATAGTGATGCCTTGAAGCATCAGAAGTGGGCCGAGGAATGCCCATCGAACAGTGTTGTTGTAGCAAACTATGCCAGTACTGTTGAGGAAGGGCTCAACAAGGTATGAGAGACCCTCAGGCGTAGGGAACGGGCCTTTGAGGTTATCATTGGCACCTTCATAGCACTTGTTGTGTAGCATCTCGGGGGTGTGAGCATACACAGACCAGCAGATCATGATGTAGAAAACGTGACGAGCAGCGAACCACGAAACCATGAAAACGCCGAACATAATATCGCAAATGGTGGTGTACCCAGCGTACTTTAGACATTTGGCAACCTGATGGAAATTAGCAACAATAATTACTCTAAAAAGCGAGCTTCTCTTACCGGAAGGAACAGGTCGACAACATCCATGACAACTAGAATCAGATTGCCGACGCGGGTGAAGTGGTAGAAGTAGCAGGATGAGATGAGCGCAGTAGTGATAATGTGGTGACTGAACATCTGCCAGTGGTCCTTGCGGCGTTCCTCAATGTTGATGACAAGGATCTGCTGGAGCCAAAATGCCCACTGTGCTAGAACGTAGCCCTTCATGAGGCCATCCATTTCGCGGTTTGGCCAATCACCCCAGAGCTCACGGAGGTTGAGAAAGTAGGGCGAGTTGTAGTAGATGTACTGTAGATTGGTAAGCTTCGATCAAGATTCAAGAAGAAAGTTACAGAGCACGTACAACACCCATGGTCCAGAATACGCAGTAGTATACAAAGAGCCAGCCTTGCTCGCTGAAGCGGGTAAGGTCTTTGCGCTTTGTAATGCCTTGCGTCTTGCCAAGAGGAGCGAGAAGGTATTCCATGGTACCGGCTCTAAGACCGGTGAAGGCGATGATGCAGAAGGCGATGGCGTATACGTCGTCGAATCCAATGGCGTACTTGCCCGTTGTAGCGTTAAAGTAGGACAGCTGGAAGAACTTGCGTGTATGTTCGCGAGCCTTGGGAATGCAGGCATGGGCGAGGAAGAGAAGGGCGATGAGATTAACGGACAAACCTGTACAGAGAAAAACAGTTAGTCGGCCTGTACAAATCTTACTTGATTGTTGGCACACTAGCACTCACCGATTTGATTCTCAACAAACCACCTAGCGAGAAGTCTCCAAGTTGATTCCTCTTTGCGTTTGACTCTTCGCACTAGAACGACATTGCTTCCCGAAGTCTGCATATACAGCGGACCATTCATGTTGGGCGTGCTGTTGCCATTGCGCTGCTGTTGGGCCATCTTGATGCCCTTGTCGTCCGACGCTTGGGCCGGGAGTGGGCTTGTTGTAGCGCTCATTGTAAGTGAAGAGATGAGATTGGGACACTTCTCTCGCTGTAGAGTTTCAGTTCGTTGCCGAGGCTGTAGACGCAAGGGAGCGCACGAGGCGGCTTTGACAAAATTTTGTAGAGGATGGCGGGGTTAGGAGGGGGGCCGTGTTTCGCAATGACGGTTTGGATGGCGAGGCTCCGAGACAACAACGCAAAGCACAAATACGATGCGAAGAGTATACGTTGGCTATCAATTCAGCGTAGAGAAGAATAGGCCAAAGGAGATTGAGGTTGCTGCAAGACTGAAACGGCGGGTATTCCACTGAACCGAGCAGCGACGTTTCTCTGGGTACGCGAGGATATAGGTGCAGAGAGACGAGGGGCGGTGCCTGCACCGAAAGAGGAAAAAAGGCCGAGACTCAAAGATGAAGAATTGGGTCGAGGCAGGCGACCAGCAGGAGATGTTCTTCCACAGTCTGTAGATTGAGAGACGTGGTTTGGTGTAGAAGAAGACGAGGAAGAGGAAGAGAAGCAAGCACAGACCTCTGGTAGCGAGAGAAGCCAGCCAGACAAAGAAGTGGAGAGAGTTGCGTAAAAAGAGGAGGGAACAAGAGAGCCGCCGCCGCAGTGGGGATGCGCAGCAAGAGCGAGCACGGCTACAGCAGGGACTTTAGGTATTGCTGGTGCGCTGCAGACAGACACGGCTCGTTTGGGGTGGTGCATACTGGAGAGCACTATATGTGTATGTATATAGTTGAGTGACATTATAGCACATGTGCTCTACGCCATCCTCCTCCCTTTCTCTCTAGTTACCAGCAATTTCTATTTCTTTTTCTCCCCAACAGAAAATCCCAACTCTTGTTTCCCATTCCTTTCTCCTCCTCCTTCCTGCCTGCTGCGCGTGCTGCAGAAAAAGAACCGCCCCCTCGCAGCCGTGGCGCCTCTTAGCTTACCCCACCACAGGGGGACACGGAGCGCTACACCCGTGGCATGCAGCACCTGGCTGCAGCGGTCTTAAGGCGGTGAGCATGCCCCAGCCAAAAGCATGGCCAATCAATTCATGTCGCTTACAACACTGTATCGGCTGACTGAATAGCACGGTATTAGTGCCTACGGCGCTATAGCATAGCTGCAGCAGGAAAAAAAGCTGGGGACCACCACATGCAGCCCATCAATAGGTCGTGGAGAAAGCAAGACATATTCCATCATATTTCAGAAAAAGTTACCAACTCAGCTAGTATGGGTTTTCGCTGATGCGGTATGGCGAGACACAGCTCGCCGTAGAACAAGAGAAGCTGCCCGTCTTTGAATCAGCAAAAGGTACTGTAGCTATTGTAACTTGCCAGCTGATCAGCAGGCAGCTGTCCAGCGTATTGTTTGAATTCACAGCGATCTGCAGCGACCGACAAATCCAAAAGGTTATCAACTTGTAAAATGATGTAATTAAAATAAAATAAAATAAACACTCAGCATCTTTACAGCTAAGCTTCCCCATCCTCCATCGAAAATAGGTTCCAACGGCATGGCATGCACCAGCCTCAATACCCATCGCCATGGCGGGTACCTGTTTTAGCGCCTAGCGCCTGAAACTTTACTTTTCCCGCCAAACTATCGCCGCAAAAATCTGCTTAGTCATTTTTCTCCCGCCACAGTTGTTACCACCAGCCAAGCCAGGTGACGCATCAGCACCGCCACCTCAAACTCCCAAGGTGCCAGCTCCGCCGACTGTTCAGGCATCTAACCTAAAACACCTCTGTCCAACGCCAGGCTGTTCTTCATCATCCTCTCGTCTAAAACAGAACGAGAATCGGAGAAAGTTATCGCCAAAGTTGTTTTCAGGTCACGAAAAGCATGGCAGCCAACACCAAGTACCAGCCCGCTCCTCAGGACGAGCCCGAGGACTACACCCAAGCTCCTCCCTCGTACGGCTCGTCTTCTCGCCCCAACGAAGCTGAGGGCCTCTTTGCCGCTCCCCGTAGCAGCGAAGACAACCTTCCCGATGATTTCAAGGTAAGAAACACAACTCATTAACCTCTTCATAGCATCACGCTGACCCTTCTATACAGTTTGGAGGTTCCGTCGCCGAGGCCACCATCGAGATCCGCCACCAGTTCATCCGAAAGGTCTACACCATCCTCTCTGTTCAGCTCCTAGCAACTGCTGGCGTCAGCTTCCTCACCTTTACTATCCCTGCCTACAGAGATTGGATTCAGAGCCACCCTGGCGTCGTCTGGGCCTCACTGTTCGGTTCTCTCGTCTTCCTTGGCCTCACCTACTGGAAGCGCAAGTCGTACCCTACCAACCTGCTCTTCTTGTCTCTATTCACCCTCGCCGAAGCTTACACCATTTCCGTCATCGTATCGTTCTATGACGCAAGCATCGTCCTCTACGCTGCTGTCCTGACTGGTGGCATCTTTGTCTTCCTTAGTCTCTTCGCTTGCCAAACCAAGTACGACTTCACCTCTTGGGCTCCCTACTTGTTTGGTGCTCTCTGGGGACTTGTCATGTTCAGCTTCATTTTCATGTTCATGCCCCCTGGTGATACCGGCAACCTCATCTATGGAGCTATTTCTGCCGTTATTTTCAGCGCTTACATCCTCGTCGATACGCAGATGGTTATGCGCAAGCACCATGTTGAAGAAGAGATTGCTGCTGCCATCAGCTTGTACTTGGACATCATCAACCTCTTCCTGGCCATCCTGCGCATCCTCAACTCCCAGTCTGACTAAACGGGGCCTGTCCTGTCTGTCTTGATTGCTGAACTCGGATATAATTGTTCATGATTACTTGTTAATGGCGTCTCGCTCTTGTCTGGAAAGCGTTCACTTTGAGCAACAGTTTGTTGCACTAGTCTCCCATCTTTATACTATAGCACTCTAATGATACGTGATTTTTATACATTCGATGCTTGCATTAAAAGTCCACTAAAAACTAAGAAAGGGAAAATTATATTCAGACCATGCCTAACCCGCTGGCTAACACCGGACCGGCCAGAGTTGTGCATGCAAGACAACACTGTCGGACCAGCGCTCAGTTTCTGGTTGGCAACTTCCTTCGAAAAAAACAAGTGCTCTTCCTTCATATATAAAAGGCAGAGCCTAAACAAGGCTTTGTCGTGGAGGGTTAACAGTTCCACCGTCGTTTCGGTCATAGACATTTTTTGGAGGATTCAATCATGTCAGGTTAAGTGAAGGGGAGACAGCCATTCGCCATGTTGTAGCAGTGTTGTATGCTCTGATCCTTTCGTTTTGTTTTTCGAACGCACAGCAGGGGATAACACCAACGCCACGATCGCAAATAGACCAACGTCACACTTTTTGAGATGCTGCAAAATAACAAGGTTTGCGAAGAGCAATCGCTTACTCTTCGTCTTTGCCGTTTGCCTCAGAGGGCATAGGGCTTGATTGAGCAGCAGCCTCACGTTGCATACGGGCTTCAATCTCGCGGAGCTGAGACTCACGAGCCAAAAGCTCCTGGCGCTTCTCGTTAATTTCACGTTGAACCTTGAGCTCTATCTCGCGGAGCTTCTCCTCTTCACGGCGAAGCTGCTCCTCCTTGAGGCGAACGGACTGAGAGGCCAGCTCCTCGGGGTTCATCGAGCTATCAACACTAGAAAGCAATGTTAGTTAAATAGTCGTACAATAAGCAAAGCAGTAGTTAACTTACCCTCCAGGGCCATCCACGCTCTTGGAGAGCTTCTCGGTACGGTAGTTCTCGTATAAGAAGTCGTGGGTGATTTCCTTGAGGTCGGCAAGATGGCTGTGAAGAAGGGCGGATCGAATGGCGAGGAAGTCGGAGTGGCGGGGGTTGTCAACCTCAACTACACCCCAGGGGTACTGACGGGCACGGACTCTGCGACCACCGATCTCAACAACATCCTCAGAACCGACAATAGCGAAAGGCATGAGGCCACGGAGCTCAGCGTTCTCTTCAACAGTGTCTTCATCATCCTCATCAACATCGTAGGGGAAGTTGTAGACAGGGATGCGGTAGTGCTCAATATCTTCCATGACGAGCTTCTTTGATTCGGCAAGCTCAGCAGGTGTAAGGGAGTCGGCACGGCCGATGACAGGAATAACGTTGACGCGAGGAGCGAGACGCTTCATGAGTTCAATGTCGAGTTCGCGGAGACTGTGACAACCATCGTTAGCTTATAGCTTTTTTTGAGAGTTCTTCCGGTATTAGCTTACCCGTGTCCGGTAGGTGTGATGAAGTAGAGCATGGCATGGACACGGTTATCTCTGAATCGCGGGTTACGCTTGATTCGAGATTCCTCGGCCAAGATGTCATCATATTGTCGCTCGAGGTAGCCAACGATCTCGGCAAAGCTGTTATCTGGTTAACACAATGGATTTTGTTTCGTTTGCAGAATAAAACGAACCTAGCCTCGTTGTCAATGGAGTCGCCGAATCCGGGGGTATCGACGATGGTGAGAGAAATGCGTGTACCTTCCTCATCAAGCTCGAGTTCTAGGCACCAGGATTAGCTACAGGGCGAGCATAGAGGGGAAGCTAATTCTCGCTACTCACCGACTGTGACGGGCTTGATCTTAACGCCCTCCTCGTTGTGGGCATCGTGGGCATCATCAGACTCCTTGTGCTCAAGGACGTCCTTGCCGCAAAGGGTGTTGACGAAGGTGGTTCGGCCTATGCGTCAGATACTTAGCATTACGTTCATTGCCCAAATTTACACCAGTGTAGCTTCATTGCTATCACTGTGCCTTGTTTAAATTGACATACCGGTTCCTGAAGCACCACAGACCATCAAGCAGAACTGAATGCCCTTCTTGACATTCTTCTTTCTGCGGACCATCTACCATCAAACAACTGTCAGTATTGAGCCCTATGCGCTATTGAAATCGGAGGTCGCAGCTTGAGCAGATCATGACGATGCATTCGGCAGTGCTCAATCACCGTCGAATTCGGGCCATGGTGGCCGGTTCGCACAGCTTCCATCGAGGAGGGGTATCGGGAGACGCACCGTGTTGGAAGACATCTTGAATAATTGGCGAGTAGGAGGAGTTGAAGAAATATAGAGGGGACCCAAATTGGCTAAAGCAGGGCAATGGTGATTTCTCGATAAGAAAAGAAATGGCCAACTGCGGGAATTGAAGGATGCTACAGTCGGTTGCTAGAGAGAAGACGCAAATGGAGGCGGGCTGATATTTTGGGTGGACGAGCAAGGGGGGAAAGGTACTAAAAGGGGAGAGAGAGGAGAGAGGTGGCCGTGGTGGCAGTAGGAGCAGGTGTCCTGGCCACGTCTCCTGCACTTTGGGTGTCTTTTTGGAGAGGGGGCTACTTTCTAGCACTGCTTTTTTTTCAGGGGCCACAGCGCAAGCTGTTTGGCTGGTTGACCGCCCCTGCCAGTGGTGCTACTACTGGCTGACCCCTGACTGCTGTTCCCACCGTTTTCCCCGGCAAAGCTAAGCGCACCAGTTGGGAGGTACCTGGAACTGGGTGCAATTTTGGTGGCAAGAAAAGTACCGGCCCGATGGACGAGACCCGTGCGTTCAATGGATTCGCAAGTGGGCCCACGCCATAACGGGCGGACAGATTAGCCTTGATGGGTGCGAGTGTCTGTCTGTCACTGCGCGCGATTCCGTATGTTTTCAAAGTCAATTCATTTTAAGAGCGAGATATTTGGGCTTATTAGATCCGTTGGAAATGCAGTTGCTTGCGTTGAGCCAGTGAATTTGCGTCTCGCCTCACCGACGAAGAACCTCAACGCAAGCTCGCTGTCTTGCTTAGACCTTCGAATTAGGTTAACCATCCAACTCAGCGAAGGGTATTCACCTCGTATCAAAAAGTAAATAAATCCAAACTCAGCCGTATTAGTATTGTATATATTATCTGGCTTTATTTGACCTCTGGCCAATTAGCAATTTCCAGGGCTGAATCCCGAGTTCTGCTCAAGCCCTCATAAAAAGCAAACACGGACGGCAAACGACACCAGAGGACCAGGAAGCGCATATCACGCCTAGATTCGTATGTATCGAGATCTATAACGATATCGTATAAGAATCAAAAGTAAAAAAGAAATACCCTTCGCCGTTATGCACCTGGGGGGGTCTGACACCCGTGCAATAAATGTCTATGCTGCCTATCCAATATATACCCAGGGATCCTTGCTAGTCTTGCTCCAGAAGCGTCCAGTGATCCCCAGTATTTCTAAACCCAGACCAAATCTACTAGTTTATTTTCTTTTGTCTTCCCAGTCTCTCTTCTTCATCCTTAATTAGTTCGTACGCGGGTTTGAAACTTGTTTTGCTCGCATCTAATGCCAACACCGGGTTTGGCAGGGTGTTGCTGGTACCTCCAAGAGAGGTATACCCCTGGTCATATAGACTGCAGTATGGGATCTCGAGTTGGCGAATAAACTGTTGCATATACGTTAGTTATAGTTGAGGAAAGAAGATATGGTCCCCACATACATTCCAAATGTCCGCATAACACCAATCAATCATGGGGTTCACTCGCATAAATTGCGGCCATCCGTGATCTGTTGGACTGAAATGTTGCAGATTTTCACAGAACGGGTCTGTTCGTCTTGTTCCCATAAATATGGCTTTAACATCGCTCCGGTCTTGAAGGTATTTCTCAAGCGCGGCGCGCATGGGCAGCGAGCAACGTAGGAGGTCTAAATGGTATTCGGCTGTTGTTTTGGTAACAAATTCTTCGACTTCGGCAAATGGATCTTCTGGGGCAATATATAAGGCTTGAATAGGGCGGGTGCTGTGAGAGTTATTGCTGTTCTCTGTCGCTGGCGGGGAGCAAGCGAGGATGAGAATCAGCAGCACCAGGCAATCTTTGCCGCCATTATAGGATATGGATATTTCGGACGGACTAAATGGGATTGGTTAGTGTCTGTATTCACACTGATGTCTAAGACGCCAGTTGCAACGACGAGTTGTGTACGCACCTGTACTGCGCGAGAGCCTTCTCAATGGAGACCAGAGACGCCTTTGCTTGGCTTTGAGTGTGTTTTATAGACGGATCATCCGTCGGTCGGTCAAGGAAAGCAAGGACTTTGCTACGGAGGTGGGATCTCAGCTGCTCAAGCGGTACAGGTTTCGTCGGATGCGCCGTCGATGTCGTCGCTTTATTACCGTTGATCGGAGGCAAAGAGAGGGGTTCCGCCGATTCCATGGCCATGGCTGCAGGCGTTCCTACAATGGAAACAAGAATATTTTATACCGCAGGGTAATTCGGGGAATCGCAAGAAAATAATAAACCACGGTCAGCGCAAAGCGTACGACAAAATCGTGTCGGGTGCGTGGAAGTGCGGCGTCATGGCCTCGGCATCGGCAGCAGTCAGCTTGTGTGGCGGGGCCGAATTAACTGTGTTCGGTTGGCCGTGACAGCGTGCTGGCGGCGCTGTGTCCGTACATTCTAGAAACCCCGCGCTGCCTGAGACACTGCTCTGTGTGTGTGTTTTTAGTGTGGCTAACGAACAGCGTGGGGGGAAACTTGGGTGCAGAGTGCAGAGCGCCCAGCAAAAAACGGGTCAAGCTGGCACCTAATCCGGACGGCTACAGCGGGGTGGTCTGGGCAACCACCACTAAAAGCAACCCGTTTTGGGGGCATGCCACCTCCTTGCGTTGCCAGTCCCTGTAGTCATCCGACCAGACCCTGAGGTTGCAACGCGTGCCAATGAAAGGACGTTGCCAAACAGGCGAGCTCGTCACTCTGATATTCTTAATTCCTAATCTATTGCCGTTTGCTTGTTAAACAATCTGCGCGCCTTCTCGATTTTCAGTCTTCGCTGCCCATTACGCCACGGCGTACCTTTTCATTCCACTTCCCCAGCATTTTGCGCAGCACATAATCCAAGACAAGGCGCCATCTAACACCACTCGTCATCACATTACGGTCTATCCTCGGGCTTCGAGATGAACGTACGGCCGCCTCTTGAGCCGTCAAGCCCGACAGCGGTGTTGTCAGTATCGTTCAACCATGACGCTACCTGCTTTTCTGTCGGCCTGGAATCAGGCATCTGCAGTGAGTAATTCACTGCAAGTGAAACATGAAGACAAAGACTAACCGTTTGCTTTCAGTTTTTCATACAAAGTCGTGTCTCTTGAAAGCATCGCGAGGTAGGCCTGCTCGTTTCTCGATGGAGATCACAGCTGTGCTAACAAGATGATTAGATTTCAACGCTGGCATCGGCCTTGTCCAAATGATGGGCACGAGCAACTATTTAGCACTAGTCGGTGGTGGCAGGTCACCAAAATTTGCAATGAATAAGGTATGTATCCATATACTAATATATATAGATATATATCAACCTACGCATTGTGTCAAATCAAGCTAACTAGGACTAGGCCATTATCTGGGATGACATGAAAGGCAAAGTTGCCCTCGATATCGCCGCGCTCAGCTCTGTCCGCGGCATTCAACTGGGTGGTGGTCACATTGCAGTTGTTCTACAGAATAGCGTGCGTGTTTATACCTTTGCAAAACCACCGGTTCTCCGCCATGTTTACGAAACAGCCGACAATCACGCCGGTCTTTGTTGCATCTCAGAAACCCGACTAGCATTTCCAGGGCGAACTACTGGGCAGATACAGCTGGTCGAGATAGCCACCGGCAATGTCAGCATCATCCCAGCTCATTCATCGGCGTTGAAAGCTATTAGATTAAGCGCCGATGGTGAGCTGCTCGCAAGTGCCAGCGAGACTGGTACACTCATCCGTGTATATTCTGCAGCCAACTGTGCAAAGATTGCTGAGCTACGGAGGGGTATTGATCCTGCTACCATCTTCTCTCTAGCATTCTCACCGTCAGGTCGTCTCTTGGCCTGTACTTCCGACAAAGCAACTCTGCACATCTTCGACCTGCCCCTCCAAAAGCGAGCTTCCGTTCAATCTACAGCAGGAAACGACGGCGATACTGGGAAATGGGGTATCTTGGGGCGCATTCCTCTCATGCCAAGAGTATTTTCGGACGTGTACTCTTTTACTTCAGCTCCATTTGAAGTTGGCGACGAGGGCATGATCGGCGGCATCACGTTTTCCGAAGGCACGACGCTGGGCACGATACGCCCGTCAAAGGGCATCATCGGTTGGATAAACGAAGATAGCCTGGTAGTGGTAGGAGCCGGTCGCGATGCCCGCTGGGAGAAGTTTGTCATAGTTGACGGCGAGGATGGAAAGCGCCACTGTGTTAGAGAGGGATGGAAACGATATCTTGGCAACTAGAGAGCAATCATACGCGGGTTTACAATGTAGAGCATGCATATTTGGAACAGCAATGGGCAGCATAGAAATGGCGTTTACACTGAGTTTATTATCAATATATTGGGTATCTTTTCTTTACTTAAATGCGCCCCATCAATTACTTTTGTGAGGAGACCTCGTCCTGCTTCGTCGGCGTCTGTCATGCCCACGACGTTCCGAGTCGCGTGGTTGATCGCTATCATCATCATGTCTATGTCGTCTTCGCTTATCATCGTCGTAATTTGATCTTTCTTGGTGACGACGGTCGCTTCGACTCTTATCGTCTCTCTTGTCACGCCGGCTTTCGTGACCATCGCGGTGACTCCTGTGCTCCCTGCTGCTTCTGGAATCACCATGTCGAGATAGATGTTCTCGGTCAGCTGGTGACCGGCTACGGCGCCTCTCATGACGATCTTTATCTTTGCTTGATCGAGATCGGTGGCTTCGGTGTCTGTGGTGGTGGCGGCTCTCCTTCTTTTCGGCTTTTGCTCTGGCCTCTTCAACCTCTTTTTTCTTCTCTTCAATAAGGAATCCTTTCATGGGATCATCGTCGTCATGATTCTGTATCAGCTTAGCTAGTTCAATTTCTTCCGGTAGTATCGGCCGTCGCTCGTCTTCACTGCTCTCGTCGTCGGATAGAGGTTTGCCTTCGCGGCGTTGGATGTCCTCCCAGCCAACTTTGAATTCGTCTTGGTCTTCGTCATCGCGGCCCTGGTATCTCGCATGGTCGACTTTGACCAGTCTTCCTCCGATTTCTGCACCACCGAGATTATCGACGGCCAGGTCGGTACTTTTTTGGTTTTCGTATTTAAGCCAGCCAAAGCCCTTCGACTTTCCCGTCTCCTTGTCGCGAACGAGTTTAAGAAATGTGGGTTCTCCGTACTGTGAGAATATAGTAATAACATCGCCTTCCGTTAACTCGTAGGGAAGGCCTCCGAAGTAAATAAATGCTGTGTCGCGATAGTCGACATGCCATGAGCCTTCTGGGGAGCTATACCAGTGTTAGCAGCGGTCGTTGATGCACAAGCAAATCAGGTGCGCAGCGATTAACGTACATTCCATTCTCAATCTCCTGCTGATTAAGCTTCTGGATTGCTCTTATTTGATTCATATTCTATTTGTATCTTCGTTTTGGCTCTGTGACGCAAAGAGTTCAAGCTCGAACGAGGATTTTCGTCATCGCATCGCACTGTCGATCCACTTTTTGTGGCCAGCCTGCGCGTGTTCGCCGCGTCCCTACATGGGCAAACGGGTCATTTCCGGACCGGTGCTAACACAGGGAGCTCTTTCGCCTGACCACAACAATTCATTGTCACCACGGCACGACACTCAACGCAACTCTTGGTGTCATTTTTCTTCTCGGCACGAACCGTCACCTCTCTCCGGTAAACCTGGTTTTCGTCGGGAGCCTCACGATTTGGTCGCAAGCTGGGGGAAAATGCGCATGGCTTTTCTATAGAGCCCCCTGACAATCGACAAGCTCTTTAGCTACCCCCCGTGGCCGACAACAATAAAACGAAACAAACATCGCTGCCCAACGGCATAATTTAGAGTCTGTAACGTCTGTTCAAGTTTAATCGCGCAAACACCAAGCTTTGCTCTTGGACCACGACGCTGCGACATGGCGACCCAGACCGACAGGCCATCCACGAGAGGCACAGAAACGGATGGCCGAAATGGTGAACAGAAGAACTTATGGACCTCAATGTTGGGTTCTGTGGCAAGCGGCAAGCGCCTACCGGAAAAGAATCTTCTTGTCCTAGGTACGCACATAACAGAAGCCCGTCGCACAACGCTGGCATCCGCAGCATATACTAACAATACACAGGTGGTACTGCCGAAGGCCAACGCGAGTTTCTCGAGGCGCTGTCCGCTTCCGAATCAAGCAAATCACAAGACCGACAAGCTCTTCCTCCAGTTGCAAACAACTTTGCGCTAGGCTACACCTATTACGATGTGCTAGATGCCGACCAAGACGACACATTAGCCCGAGTGTCCCTATACCTGCTTTCCCAGCCATCTGGAGAATTCGCCTCTCTAATTGCCCCCCTTCTCACACCCGAAACGATCCCTAATACAGCTTTGATCATCTTGCTTGACTGGACAACCCCTCATTTGTGGTTGCGCGAACTCTGGACCTGGGTCCAGGTTCTAGAGGAGGTAATGGGCCAGACCGAGAGCAGTGCCCGTCACGAAATGGAAGACTTGATGACTTCTTGGAAAGAACGCGGCCGTGGTGGCGCTGCCCTCAACCTTGACGGCACTCCTTCAGCAACAGCCGCGGATAATGAGGGCTCCCTACCTCTTGGCCCTGGTGAATGGGTCGAGCCCTTAGGTTTACCCCTCGCAGTGGTTTGCCAAAATGTAGGACCTACCCATTTGGATACTGTACATGCGCAATCTAACTTTTATATAGGCACAAAAGATGGAATTCCTGGAAAAGAGCAAAGGTTGGAAGGAACCTGATTTCGATACTGTCTTGCAGTACCTTCGAACCATCTTGTTGCGCCGTATGTCTATTTCATACCTCCTTTTTCTTTACTTCAACACTAACAAATTACATTAGACGGTGCGTCCTTGATTTATACAAGTCAAAATGCTTCATCACAACTGCCATCATTGATTCATTCGACCTTGGGTATCACATCGCTGCTAAAGCGCGAACCCCTCAAACATAACGTCATAGACAGGGACAAGATCGTTGTCCCGCCTAACTGGGATTCCTGGGGTAAAATCCGTGTCTTGGGCGGTTCGTTTGACGCGGAGCAAATCTCAAAGGGCTGGTCTGAAGATATCAAGCTCCCCATTGGCTCGCAACCCAGAAGTTTAGACGAGCTGCAAGAACAAAAGTCGGAAGGGCGCGAAAGTGATGCAACCCTTCCCGATGAAAGCGCCATTGCCCGTTACGAAGACTGGTGCAGAGATCCCAACAGCGGTGGCCTGGCTGTTGTGGACAGTGCCATGGAAGACGGCAGCGCAGTGGGCACCGAGAGCGAAGATGCGCAAGAGTTTCTTGAGCGCCAACTCAAGATCCTCGAGGCTTTCAAATCAAAAGTATCGGAGAAGGCTGCTGACTCGTCCCTATTGTCGTCTCAGCGCCGTGGCGAGCTTATTGAAGAAAAGAGCGTCAACGAGCATATCGGGCCCGTGCAATTCAACATGGGAGGCATCCAGGTTGACGCCGATGATATGCTCCAAAGACTCAAGGACCGCAATGGCCAGGCTTTGGAGGGTGATGAAACCCCACCTGAGCCTGAGAGTCCAGTGGGCAACATTTCAAAGGAGTATGACAACGAGCAGCTTCAAAACTTCTTCAGCGGTCTCATGAATAGAACTGCGGGTGCTGCAGACAGCCCGAGGCAGTAGAGAGACACCAACTGTCGAAAGAAAATTGGAAGCGCGAGTCATTAATCCCTAATATTTTGTGTAGCTGTTGATCGCTTGTAAAATAGATACCCTTCAACTACTTATGATGAATCCTTCATTCACTTCTGGTTCATAGTGTGATATAAAACAAAACGATATCAATTTAGGGCAAGATTACTGCCATAAATAGCTTATTCTAAAAGTTGTGAAAAAAAAAGTAGCAAAAACGACGCCTCCCACCGCCGCGAGGCGACAAACTCCGGTCAATTTTGCGAGCCCACAGTGTCGAGCCATGTGATTATTATGCCTTTTGTCTAGTGGCCTTGTATTTGATCTCTGTGTCATTTGTTCCAGAACGCCCAAGACGAGCAGTGACCACACCATTCAACAGCCCAGGGAATAGCCAAGGGTGTTGAAGCATCTCAGCCTCAAAGGCATTGATCGTAGTGCGGGCCATCTTGGCATATGTGCTGTCATCCAGGAGCTGCGCTAATTCGAAGAGGTTGTCAGTTGCAACAGCGTTGATAGAAGGAAGTGACGTATCCATGCCATCCTTGAGGCGCAGGATAGCATTTGGTGCATTTGCTTGGGTACTGAAGAAGGCGCCGCTCTTGTCAGCAAAGCGTTCGTTTTGCGACTCTGAAAATATAGTTAGCTATAGAGATTCCTTTGGATGGGTAGCTTTGGTCCACTCACTTTGTAGCTCATCTGCAAATTCAATCAGAGATTCATCTCCAGAGGCCGAAAAGAGATCGAGAAGACCTCGAATCAGGTAAACGTAATCATCAGCAAAGCCCTCGGTCTGGCGCTGGCCTGCTACCCAGATTCTGTAGAGAATCTTCTTCTCAGAATCCCAAAGGTGTGGTCGAATAAAGCCTGCTGCCTTGACTGCTGCAGCAAGATATTTCGCACTAGAATCAGGTTTGGCACCCTTTGTTGCAACAGATGCCTTCACAAGGGCAGAAATCACCAGGCCGTTCCAGCCTACAACCGCCTTCTCATCTAACTCAGGTCGCCCGCGCTCTTTCTCTCTCCTTGTGTTCAGAGCTTGACGTGCAACCTCGATAGTCTGCTTGACTTTTTCAGACGTAGTCTGGAATTGCTGGCTCAGCTCGTCTGATGTCTTCACGATTCGGAGAATATTTTGGTTGACTAATTCGTCATTGGGATCATGATCCGCATCGACGTTTCCATCTTCAAGGACATTCCAATAGGCGGCAGCTACTTGGCTCGCCCCGGTCTCAGCGGCTTCAATAACACTGTCGAATTCGCGTCGTGTCCAAAGATAGTATGCTCCCTCTTTCACCTCAGTATCTCCTTTCTTAACAGCAGAGTCTGCAGCCTCACTAGATGAGAAGAGGCCATCTTTCGACACAATGGGTTCGGAAGACAGGTAGTTGGCCAATTCCAAAACAACATCGAAAAATTCGCTGGTTTCAAGCCCACCAAGAGTCTTCCAGGCATCGGTGTACAGGGACAGAAGGAGAGCGTTATCTGTAACAAGCTTTTCAAAGTTAGGGATGCTCCAATCGGGGGTAACAGAGCAGCGAGAAAATCCAGTTTGGCCGATGTGGTCATGCAGAGCACCATCGCGAATCTGTCGAAGTGTGGCCACCGCCATATCAGTACCATTTTTGCACTCCTTTTCACCGACAACATCTTGTACGGGTCCGGCGTATTGGTTAAGGCGAAGAAGAAACTCAAGTTTCGGGGGGGTCAAAAACTTCGGTGCTAAGCCAAAGCCGCCGTATACGGGGTCAAAGGTACCGGCGATGTGTGTGTAGGCTTCCTCGAGCTGGTCGAGATCCAATTCGCTAGACACAGCACCTTCCTTTTCTTCATTAAGTGAGGCTTCTGTAGCAATAGGAGCGGCGCCCCATCCAGATGGAGCAAGACTGGTGTGAGGTGCAGAGATGCTTCTAGTACCCAGCGTTCCTTCAGCGGCAAAATCTCGCAATTGAGCAACGATTTCAGAGGCTTCTTTGCGGCATCTAGCCTCTTGATCCTTCCAGATATTTCGAACCTTCTTCGCAATGTTAAGGAAATCCAAAGGCTCTTCGTCTTCCTGGTCTCCGCCTCCACGCTTGGAAGAGCCTGGGCCAGGCCAATATGTTCCACCAAAGACGGGTTCCATCTCGGGAGTCAGAAAGAGGTTAAGTGGCCATCCACCAACATTGCTGACAGCTTGAACATAATTCATGTAGACGCTGTCTAGATCGGGGCGCTCTTCTCTGTCGACGATGATTGGAACAAAGGACTCGTTAAGGACGGCAGCGCATTCCGTATTGTTGAATGATTCTGTGGACATGAGACGGCAGTCTAACGGTGTAGATAGATTAGTCTCTGTACTATTGATGATGACAGGTTAACATGGCATTCAAGAAACTTACAGTGGCAGGCCTTATATCCGATGTGTAGGAATATAAGCTTCCTATCTGCCTTGGCGAGCTCAATCGTCTTGTTGTCAAGCGGCTGCCAGGCTACAGGGCTGTTTGCGTGGCTCTTTACGTAGGTGTTTTTGCTCTCACCAGCGCGGTTAGAGAGGGGTGTGTGTTCATTCTGGCCAGAGCCGGGAGCATCGCGGTTTTGGTGCCCGATGGAGATGTTGCTCATGGCCTTGACGGCAGAAGCAGTGAGCTCCGAGACACCCATGGTGTAGGCGCGGGGGGAGTCGGGATGAAGATGGTCAAGATATAAAGAGTACAAATAAATGCGATATATATCCAGTCGATTAATAAAGCGTAGTCAAGATCTTGCGAGTCTGTAAAAGGCGGTGATGAAGGCACGCGGAGATAAAAGTGGCAAGTCGTGCAAGCAAGGCGCAAGAGCCGAATGCGGGCAGGGCAGCAAAGCAGCGCAAAAATACCCCCGCCGAGGGGTTTAGCGTTTTGCCCGCAGCGCAGCGCACCACAGGCAGGCGCAACTTGGCTCCGCCAGCGTCAGCTTGGGCGCTGCAGGTCGCCATCGCGGGGCTCTGATTCAGTGGCGGGCTCCACTTTTTCCGGCAATGGGCGTGCTGCATCCGGGTTACCCTGTATGACGTGAGGGCCCATGTTTTGTTGTGTTCCATATGCCCGTTCGCTGTAGTATAAATTAAAAAAGGCACTATAACATATATGTGGATAAATTGTTGAAACGGTTTTAATCTAATACAATATATATATATTTATTCACCCATAAATTTGTTATCGTTGCAGCCGGATCCTTTGACAAATGCACTAGAATACCGATACTCCTGCTCCTACAGCGGCTTGTGAGAAGTACACTCTCTGTTTGCCCTCCTAGGCTTCAACGCCAACGACTCAAATGGAATCTACTGTCTTAAATACGTATCTACATGGCAATAATACAAACAATTAAAAAGTAGTATAAAAAATCCCAGGTGAGAAATATTACCCAGCAACATTCCACCTCTTGCTCTAGCATCTGTTAAGCCGGGCACAGCGTCCAGTACGGCACTATAAAGCACCTGCGCTATCGATAGTAAAGTCGCGTCACGCATGCCCATCAATGTTCAGCCTACGTCAGCCACCCGACCTCCAAACGTCGCCTTTCCATATTCACAGCGACCATGAGTGATCCGAAGTATACGGTATACGTTCGAGTTCCTATTCCAAGAGGAGATTTTGTTGACCCTCCTCCGGTACGGCCCGCTGTATGACAGTTTGCAGGATACTAGCTCATGCGTCTTAGGTTAACTGGGACTCATCCAAAGACGACGACTTATGGCGTCTCTTATCCAGTGCTGGACAGCAAGAGATCGATTGTACGTGCCACATTTTGTCAAAATGAATCAAAATAACTCATGCTGACCTTTTTTGGCTGCAATAGGGAATCAAATGTCAGTGCACACGTCCCCGACACAACTCCCTGCTGTTTACTAACTAACAGCCGTTTTAGCGCGGACCGGTTCGATGTTACAGTAGAGTTTCTTCTTCAGCAAGTTGCTTATCTAACCGAGAGACATGCTTCTCAGGTTAGGGCGCAGGTTAGAAAAGCGACAGCAGCTGCCAAGGGCTCGAATGCTCCGTCGCCTGTGCCGACTGCAGAGGCAATCAACCGTCCTCCTGCCAGTGTTGCAATGAGCAGAGATCCAAGCGCTCTCCGAAATGAAGAAAATGCGTCAGCGGCAACTCTTGGCTCTGTTATAAAACCTACAGCATCCCGTAATGCATCTGGTAGCACTATTACAAAAGAAACTGGTCCTGCATCTCCCAGAATCGGCTCGGGGCCTCTCCCGACAAGGATACCATCTGATACTGCACCGAGGCAGCGACTGGGATCTCTACCGATATCATCACCATTAGCATTACCGGACAATACGGCGCGGAGTCCGTCGCCCGCGGCATCCGAACAAAGCTCAGACGAATCAGCAGAAGAGGAAGATGACTCTGTACCACAATCCCGCATTATTCGACGACCCCCCAGGTTCCAACCAGCAGAAACCGATTCTGCATCCAAAGAGGTAGAAGATGAAGCAGAGCCGGCCTTTCAGCCATTCCGATCAACTAGTGATCATAATGCCGCACAGGATCTGGCCTCCACCTTGCGCGAGGAAGGTCGAGCTGGTGCTAGGAGAGGATCAAGAGCGCCTGGACAGGCAGCCGACAAGCAACCCCAAAGGGTCGATTCCTTTGGACAATCGAATAGCTCAAGCAAAGGGCCCGTACGAAATTTGGACGCAAGTGGCGGGCCAGCAATCTCCCCAAGAAGAAAAGCAGATATGGCCAGCAATAGCCCATCCAATAGAAGCAAGGGCCAATCTCAAGACGGAAGCGAAGGCACACCAAGCATGGGTAGTAGCTTCAGCGATCTTGATGGTAATATCGCTCCTTTCTAAGTATTTAACCAACGCTAACACGAAAACAGATGCCTCCGTTACACAGTCAGCTCTGGAAGAAGCACTGGCAAGCCATCTAAAGGGTGGTGCCTCAAGTCGGTTTAGTATAAGCCAGGCCTTTCGCAGTCGATACACGCCAAATCCAAATAATTAGGCGTACGAAACCATAAGATATTACAGCGATTGTATTTTCAATAACATAATTAGCACTGGGTGGCGTTTTGACACAGACTGACGGGTTTTCATATTATTATAATGCCTAACCAGCGACAAGCGTGCAAAAATGATATTTCAATTATTATTTACCAAATTAATGAAACGTGTGTAATTGTATGACTGGGATTCACCTGTCTTCTCGGCTATGCACCGTTATCGGTGCTGTGACAACCAAGTCACAGCTGGCAAACGGAATCCGTTTGCCACTGCCAGCCTCATAAATTATAAGAACAAGGAAGATTCGTACTCCAGTCATTGCTCTTTCAACCCTATGAATAATTATTAGAAGAAATGTTTCGTCGTACTTGGGCCGGCTTGCCAGCAGATGCAGCATTTCCGGCAGATCTCGCCGGCTTGGGGTGAGTATGTCAGAATGTTGAAAAAGTGTTGGCTAACAAAACGCTGAATTAGATACTTTATTGATGAAAACGATGAAATAAAGTCTATCAACAACCCAACTGAATATTTCCGGTACCACATCAATCGTAACGATCGTATCAACTTGCGAAGACGAGCCGCACTTAGCAGTAATGTGACGCTCTCTTTTGCTTGTGTTTAAATCTAACAGAGGGACAGGATTTATTGAAGACCATGTGGCAAAGAGACTGGCAAAAAATGGTATTAAGACTCTTATACTTCCACGAGAAGCGCCAACGTCCTCACCACATTCGATCATTGCAGCTACCGAAGGATTCGAAGAGGCAATTCACGTGGTCCTTCTCATGGGCGATTCCAGTAAGGCTCTTGGGATCATCGACGAGAGATTAATTGACGGAAAAGGTGGGATCGAAAAAGGAACCGTTATCCCTCTGATCAAAGGCCTCGGTGCGTCAAGTACCATGCCCACAGCCGTGATAGTTGCGAATCCTGGGCAACTGTACTGGTGGCCAGCAGGCCGTAAAGCCATCACCGCCAACGCGTCTAGTGAGCTGCGTCTACCTTCGCTTCTGCACTTTGGACGAAGCTATCATCCAGAAATCAATGATATACCAGGACACAGGAGCCCAGAGGAACACTTGCAAAGTGTCATGACCGACACTATTGCGAGGATGATTCCTGGATTGAAGAGACTGAGTGTCATTTCTCAAGGCAGTGGTTGCGACGCAGCCCTGAAATATTTTGATACCAATTGGCAAAGTTGGTCTTCAACCTTAAGCACGATTGTATGTTGCGGCCCCACGATGCCAGCTAGTTGCTTCACGAGCGAACCATTTAAAGAATTTCTGAGCAAAGTATGTATTCCATTGAGCGTAAATCGATGTTACTAACATATAAGTAGCGAGGAAGGGGTTATCTTGTTTCAGATGCTGATTTGGACACTCCTATTGCACCAACCCACGCGCTGATGTATCCTGGATTTCCGACACTGGCCTCCGCAGAGCATCTCAATGCTTCAGCTATATCCATCAGAGCAGCAGAATCCATCATACGGCACGTCAACATACTGGCTACAGATGTGAAGTTTGAAAACCCGCCTGTGAGCATACCAGCGCTGGTTGAAGATGAAGATGAGCACGAAACTTGGGATGCGATTCCCGGCGAGGACAAGCCGTACGTTAGTACCGAATTGCAAAACCCGATAAATCGTCAGCGGCAGCAAATTAGACGTTGGAAACGATTCGCGGCAACAGGTGAAGCACCAGACGAAGATTCTGAATCTGATGATGTTCCTGTATGCGAGGGCACTGAGGATGCTGACAAGTGGTAAAGCTTTGCAATTGCGCAGTGGTATTAGGTCTAGTTGAATTTGAGCAGGTCTTTGCATCTTTTTACAATTCGGCTTTAGCACCGAGGCTCGGTCTAATATACAAGTTTGTTCCAGTATCCATTAAGCTTTGAGCCAGTTGGAAAGTAGATAATTGGGAGGCTTAATCTCCTCCAAGAGTTCGCGAGTGCGACGTATGCGTTGCGCCACGACGGCCTCTTCCGCAGCCCATCGTCCTTCGACTTCCTCAGCGCCACCGAAGAATGAGAACATACCGCCCTGCTTGTTGCCTGCTTGGCCTTTGCGCTTCTCAACTAGAGCCAGATTTGAAACCATGACATTCCAGTTTTCAAGGCCAGTACCTAGGCACTCCCGACAAGTCTTCTCCGTTGTTGGTGTCTTGTCGATAACTTTGAGACCACGGAGCTGTTCCTCAGCTTGGTCTACGCCATCGCGTGTCCAAGACACTCCGTCTTCGCGGGACTTGGAAGCGTACAGAATCTCACCAATGTAGAGATGGAGCGAAGCTTCTTGGCACTGTTCCTCCGGGCTTCGCCAAGGGGCTTGAAATCCGTCAGATTGAGGAACAGGATAAGGTGGCTGTGATACAAGGTTGATGAGTTTGGTATGAATGGGCACATTTGTAGCCTTCTTCACTGCTTTGGGTCGTTCATTAGAGAGAGACTGGCGGGCTCGCAGTAGGGAGAGATAGATTGGCAGGGCAGAGGAAAGGTCGCCTTTGCGTGCCTTGAAGTTAGCAATTGCTGTAATGCTATCAAGTACATTCGTCGAAGGTAAGTCGGCTTTTTCGTGAAGGGTGAAAGTTCGAGGGTCGAAAGGGAGCTTGCTTTGATCCAAGTTTCGAGAAGCTTCACTGAGGGCTAGCGCATAAAAGGCCTCTGCCTCTTCGAGTCTTGATTTGAATTCCAAGAAACTAGCGTACGCTAGCGCGGCTTCAATCTTTTCCCGCGGGGAAATGCCAACCGTCGCAAGCAGCTTCATGTACCAGTTGTCCGCATCGGGGTAAGCAGCTACACAGTCCTCCTCTCGCGGTGCTTTGGGATCTCCTGCCGGCACAGGGGTAGGCTTTGGATTTGAAGGGCCAATGACGTACTGTGGTGGTGAGACAACATTTCGCGTAGTATCTCGTACCCAGCCGTCGACATGCTCTGCAGCCTTGGCCGCCAGCATCATGGCCTCAAAGTATCCTCGTCGCCAGTCCTGGGATTTATTGGTGATATTGCATGCTATGAATTCGCCTGGGACCTCCAATGTGTCGTCTCCTTTGTCTGACAGCTTTTCCACCGCTTGGCCGTCGAGTTTGTCATCCTCTAGGCGAATGATTACACCACGAGAGAGCTCTAGAGCTCTCGCCCAATTGACCTCGCCATTTTGAGGGTTAAGGTAGTTGTTGGCATCGCGCAAGTATTTTCTTGTCATGTATTTCCATTCGTGAGGTGTTGGGTAATATCTTTCGAGCACTTCTTCGTTTACACATAGACCAATGACAACTGCGGCAGCCGCCAAACCCCAAATAGTCATGGTGTAGCGCGCAACGGCTTTGGCCTCGTGTCTGAACCAGCGGTTGCCAGAGGATGCGAATCGTCGTGCGATCGTCGGACTTGAGGTAGGGATGAAGACTGTCGGCAAAGCTGGTCGAGATTTAGCTGCCGTTCGCTGGGAGTAGGTCCCAAAAGGTTGTTGGTGTCGCGTCCGGCATCGCGACGCTCTGGCGTAGCTGGTAGCCTTGCTAGCTGAGGCGTTGGTTCGACGCAACATTATTAGCTGAGCTGAAGGACTACAGCTTCGACAAATTTAACAGTCGTTGCGGATCGGTGGCGGACAGGGGCGGCGATGTCGAAGCACCGCTGCATGGTATGGCGATCCGCCTCATAAATTTAGGTGACGGCACCGATGACTAAGCTATTTTTTCTAGGTATCAGAAAATTGTCTGGCGCAACGGCCATCTCTTGTCAGCCATCCATTGCGGCCCCAATCGAGCAAGCAACTTACTTTTACTGGAGAGGAGGGGATAGAGTCATTATGTCTCGCATTTTGGATACATTGACGACATCAAAGTGGCAGCTCATCGCCACGGCGGTTGCGTCAGGAGCCACCGTTGCCAGCATCATCTTTGCCTATCAAGCCCTTGAGCGGGAAGAGCGACTCTCGGAATTGAAGAACTCTATTCCATCTCTGAAGGATAAAAATCATGAAAGCAGAGTAGTGAGACTTTATTTGTGGCTGAACATACGGAATGCGACTAACTTGGAGAAACAGTTGAATGAGTTTGGAGGTTCGAGAGACGCCGCCATGGACCCTGAAGATGCTCGAAATTTGGCACTGGCGAAGAGGGCACAAAAGGGAGACTTTGACGAAGAGCTCATCCTTGAACAATTGGCCAGAAACCAAGTATTCCTGACACCAGAAGGTTTAACAAAGCTGCGCCAGTCCTTCGTTATTGTTGTTGGATGTGGCGGCGTTGGATCACACTGTACAGCGTCGCTCGTTCGCTCTGGTGTTTCCAAAATTCGTCTCATTGACTTTGATCAAGTCACTCTCAGTTCACTCAACAGACATGCTGTTGCCACCCTTGCCGATGTAGGAATTTCCAAGGTTCATTGTCTTCAGCGTCGTCTGGTGGCCATTGCGCCGTGGGTAAAGTACGATCTACGTCAAGCCAAGTTTTATGCCGATGTTGCAGAAGATATGCTCGGCGCCTGGCAGGAGGATGGGCGAAAGCCCGACTTTGTCATTGATGCAATTGACAATATCGAAACAAAGGTCGCGCTGCTCAAGTACTGCCACGACCATCAGATCCCAGTTGTTAGCTCTATGGGTGCCGGATGCAAAGGTGACCCAACAAAAATCACCATTAGCGATATCGGCTTCAGCACTGATGACGGACTCTCCCGGGCTACACGACGCCGGTTGAAGCTTCAAGGTATCACAAGCGGAATTCCAGTCATCTTTTCAACAGAAAAGACAGGCGAAGGCAAAGCGGAATTGCTGCCGCTATCTGAGGAAGAATTCTCCAAGGGGACGGTGGGCGATTTAGGAGTGATGCCCAACTTTCGCGTAAGGATCTTACCCGTGTTGGGTACCATGCCTGCCATCTTTGGTCTTACTGCCGCCAACTACGCTATTTTAAAGATCACTGGGTATCCTGTCGACTATGCCCCTGCTAAAGGACGGGAGAAGATGTATGACGGCATCCTCAACCATGTACAAGGATCTGAAGTTAGGCTCGCCGCAACGCTGGGTTTGGACCCTGTTGGACTCAAGTCACCCCTCAACATTAACGACGTGGCTTTCATGACGGATGAATTGTATCACGCGCGAAGTATCATCACCGGCATTCCCACCAGAATTGTATTGGTTCGCTGGCGTCGCCCAGACGTGACAAACATGGACATCATTGAAGGCGGCGAGCAGGTGCAGAAATGTTCCACCATAAAATTGCGAGACCTGGTCTGTATGACACGAGAGGAGGCGGCAAGGCATGAGAGGGTCATCTTTACAGAAAAGAAGCGCCTAGATGAATTGTATGATGCGGACACTATACGGAAAGTAGAAGAGCGCCTCAATGAGGCTAAAAAGTATGAAGCCTTTAGGTAGATAGGCAAGTAACCGTAAAAGAAATAGACTAATGACGCCAAATATGCACTGTATGTGGTATGGTACAATAGACTGCGGGATAATCTTTTTTGGGCCTCGTGCGCCTGCGGCATATATCTGATCATCATGACCAGAACTGATAGCCATCACATCACGTTGACCAGCGACTGCCAACGTGGGCAAGGCATGTACTATGGATGGAGGACTGACCGCATACACTATGATCACTCCTAGCAGATGACATTGCGCTGCAGCAGTTTGGAACGTGTCATTGGGGGAGTGGGCGCGGGAGTTGTGAACCGGCTAGACGGACTGCACCGGTTCCAATCTTGCAGATGCCGCCCACGAGGCGCATGTGGTTAACACCGTGGCTGCATAAGAAGCAAACAAGGACGATTGGGGAGAGCGGGGTAGGTGTGCCAGTTTGAAAGCAACAATGCGAACTGCACTTGCTGTCACACCGGAGTCAGAGCTGAAATCTATCACATTGGAAGCCAAAGAAAACTTATAAAGGTGTTGGTTCGCACGCGGTCCAAGCCAGGGCAGGGCGACTGGGCTGTGCGATTGTGAAGGATGAGGAATCGAAGTGGGCATCAGATGCGCTAAGACTCGCGATAGGCAAACCAAAAAGAGACGAGAAACGAAAGCTGAAGCTATAAACATGGATACTGTATTGCGTTCATGCTGACCGCTTATTGGTTTGCCTAGTTTTAAACGAAAGTTTCCCCTGCGGAGTGGACGCCTTAGCGGGGATGAGGCCTCCGCGACAAGCGCCGATGGCGATGCGAACTGGCGGAGTGGGGGAATTGGATTGGCAGCGGTGTGGTTGGAGATCGGTTGTCGCTTTTAAGATGGAGTCTAAGGCATGGAATTACAAAGCCAGGGCATTCTATTTTGGATTCTTCCGTGTGCTGGCAAAAGTAGGAGCATGATATCAGCCCCCATGGAGTACTGAGTGTGGGGTAGAAAGGCGATGCGGCCCGCGGGACGCATTGCTGGTATCGCACGGGATGCTCTCGTCTGAATGGCATGATCATTGGATGTGTACCTGTGTGATCGACTCTTATTGCAGTTTCAAGTGAAGACCGTTTTCTTACTTAGTGTATTAAGAAAGAACATTGGTACGGGTTTTGCGCCGTGTGACGTTATCACAGGGCATCGTGTGGTATGGTAGACTTGGCGGTGGATGGGTGTGCGCACTTGTGTGCGCGGGCGCTTAGACCATTCCCACCTATGGCGTGCATTGGGGCGTGGGAATATTTTTATCATCATGGGAAGCGGACGAGAAGGGGTAGAGGAGAAACATGAAGCAAAATCGGGCGTAGTTGGAGAAATTGTTCGCGCAGTGGTTACTGCTTTGGGTTGTGATGGTCTTGTATAGTGACAAAGAGTAGGCGGCCGGTGTAAAGGAAGAGTTGTTTGTGTCCAAGTATGCATGTCAAAGGACTGCTATGCCAAGCATTATACTTATAAAACAGGATGCAAACTGGGAGAAGCAAGAAAATCAAAATCCTAATGCACACAGTACTATAAAATGCAGGACTGGCCCCTGCACCGTTTCTTAGTGCTTATGGCAGCTTTTAACCGCCTTCGTTTCGAATTGGATGCACGAAAGCCGCCGAGTTGCAAAGTAAGCCCTGTGGTGATCCGTCCCCTGAAGTTGGGGTCGTGTAAGTTGCTGTAGTTGACGGTTAGAAGGGTGGAGGGAGGAGTGGGAACCCCCAATTCGACGCAGCGACAAGCGCCAGTGAGGTGAGGCGACCAACGCTGGTTCGCGGACTGACACCAACGACAGCGCGGACCACTATTGTGCCAAACAAACAGCACAACAACACACAGCAGCCCTGCAGGTCACACTAAAATGGAAGCCTGCTAAAATCGTTCCCTTTGGAGAAAGTCGGCGATCAAAATACATGTATTGCTATACAAGTCCTGGGGGTGGTTTGATAAAATAAAAGGAGTGTTTATAACAGGTCGCCCAGGATGCGATGGCCTATAGCCTCAACAAGCCAGTCGCGGCATGCCAGGCTCGCGTAGTGGTCCAATCGCAATTCCAATTCCCCTCTTGAACCAACAATAAAATCCTCCTCATTTCTACTCCTCTTCTCATCGCATTCCCCTTGTCGGTGCTCTCTGTTGCTCTCTGCTGCTACCTTGTCTGCCCCTCCATGCTCTCTGTTACCCCACCTGACACCAGTTAGGGAAAGGACCAAAAAAAAGACCGTGGGCAGAAAGAGACCAGAGAAAGTCAGACTCACCAGCGCGTCGCCACTCCGCCGTTCACCTTGTTCCCCATTGGCACCGCTGAACCTTTTGTTTTTTCTTCCTCCCCCCTCCCTTCAGCACCCAAACTACCCCAACTTTTGCCCGCTGTTCGCAAAGACCCCCCATTGCAGATGGGTGCCTACTCTCACCAGTCCCCCGCACGCTATATTCTTCGCCGTGCCACTCGCCAGCAATTCACCGTCCTTCGCGTCATCAAGCACGGGAGCTCGAATCTCTGGCTGAGCTGAGAAGCGCTCATACAGCCGACTCAGCGTGCCTTCACACCCATCTGCGCGACTTTGGCGGCAAATCACACAACAAATCCGCCCCCGCCATTCTTTTCCCGCACTCCAGGTGTGACGATGCAAGAGCTGGCTCATTGCAATTCATAAAACTAAATCATGGCTGATACCAAACGAGGCTGGATCAACCACGTAAGAAATTCACGTCCGGATTCACGTCCGGAAGCCTCTGACCGCAGCTTCACATGCCCGGTCTGTGCCGCCGACGTTGCGCCGGATATCGATGCCTTCAGGCAGCACATTCGCAATGATGGCCAGAAGCACGCCGCCCTTGTGGGTGACGCCGACATTGAACAGGCGTTTAGGAAGATGACGCTCTCGCCAAAGTTACAGTGAGTCTGCACATCTTTGCGCTCTGCGCTACCTGTATATCATTGCCCGCCATTGACACGTGTAAATTCTACTAGGCCTTCTGCTATGGCTTCTCGTGATGGATCTTTTCCTTCTCCTGGGCACATCGGCAAGAAAAAGTCCATGTCCCATTCGCAAGATTGGAACAACGACAAGGCAGTAGCTGCTGCCAACGCCAACAGGCACGCACGAAGGATGCAGCCGTCCTCCGTAGCCTCCAAGGAAAAGGCCATGGCTACCCCGCCAACCTCGCCCCGAAAGTCTCATGCCCGGCCAAAAACGACAAATTCAGACTTTGATCGTCGCATAGATGGAAAGAAACCTGCAGTTCGCGAGTTGTGGAAGGCGACGGATGCCCAGCCGCCAAAACAGCCGCCGAAACAACCGCCGTCTCAGCGTAAAGCTCTGGACCGCGCCGCTCAACAAGTTCCACAGAGACCCGGCACAGATGGCCCGTCTTCCTCTCAGGCCGAAGAAAACCCTTCTGGATCTCTGTTCCGTCAGCTGCCTGCATCTGTCATCTCTCAAGAGCAGCTTATAGCTGAAGTACGGGGCATTTACGCCGGCTTAGTGATGGTAGAGTCAAAATGTATAGAGGTTGCCAATGTGCAATCTGTATATAAAAGCTCATCAGCAACGTTGACCAGCGAGCAATGGCAGGCTTTGATAGCGCTTCATCGAACCTTGCTCCATGAACACCATGACTTTTTCCTGGCAAGCCAACACCCGTCGGCTGGAGAATCGCTTCGACGCCTGGCGACCAAATACGCGATGCCCGCTCGTATGTGGCGCCATGGAATTCACTCCTTCCTCGAACTACTCCGCTTCAAACTTCCAGAGTCGCTCGATTTTATGCTTTCCTTTATTTACCTGGCCTACACGAATACCGCACTGCTCTATGAGACCATCCCGGCCTTCGAGGACACTTGGATAGAGTGTCTAGGAGATCTGGCTAGATATAGAATGGCTATTGAAGATGAGGATATTCGTGACAGAGAGACCTGGACGGGTGTAGCACGTGGCTGGTATTTGAAGGCTTCAAACAATCTCCCTACAACCGGGAGATTGTACCACCATTTGGCCATCTTGGCCCGCCCAAATGCTCTGCAGCAATTGTTTTATTATGCCAAATCATTTTGCGTAGCCACTCCCTTTCCTAGCGCACGGGAGAGCATAATGACGCTGTTTGAACCAGTGTTTAGCTATAAGGCGCCGCATTTGTTAGACATTGATGCCGAGTTCATCACCGTCCACGGTGTTTTGTTTTGTGGAAAGCATGAGGATCGATTGGGTCCTGCTATGGACAAGTTCATTGAGCTGCTCCCTGATAGAATCATCGAAATTGATCAGGGTTGGTTCAAGGCTGGGTATGTACTTCGCAGCATAGTCTGCCCCTTGAAGTCTTTTTTGTCACATTTTTCATTAACACAACTTACAGGTACCATGTTGGAATTGCTTTAACATGCTCCCTCTTGGGGTATGGCGAGGCAAGCAACATGCTGATGAAGGTGATTGCCAAACCCCAATCAGATGCAACCACGGAAGAGCCGAGCATGGAACAAGAAGCTACGCAGCGTAGCAGTCCTGAAGTTTTCAACCACGCATTGGACTTTACCATCAGAATCTTCAGCCTTCTTATTGACCGAAAAGAGGATGAAAGCGTCTTATCATTCTTACACACCATCTTTACCTTTTTACACTGCATGTCTGGTTACGAGGAGGCTCTTGCGCCGTTTGAGACCAAATTTCCTTGGGACCATACGTCCGACTTTCTAAACCGCCTCTTGCAGCAGTGTGTAAAGGGCGAGTTTAAACCCCGCCTCGACACAGCGGTATTCCCAGGCCCGTTTGCGAACGAGAAGAAAAAGAGACCACTGCCAGAAGATTTTGCTATGCGCGGACTTCTCTTTTCGGAGACATATTACCCTACCGGTTGGTTTGAGGACCATGGTATGGAAGAGAATGAGAAGTACTTTGAACCTCCATCCCTGGCCATGTTAAGACGAGAACGGATTTTGTGGATTGGCAAGCGCATTGCTAGTAGAAGCAAGCGACTGAATTGGGACGACACGAATGGCAAGTTTTTGATTCCTAGTGCGGCGTGAACACCGCCGTCCTAGGCATCGGCGACATGTTTGACATCTCCTACCTAGTTTGGAGCTTAGCCTCTTGGCTTACTAGGAGATGGAAATTTTGTTTTTCATTTTCAGCTCTCCAAAAGTAGGTGCTATGACAATATCCGGGAGTCTGGGGCGCCAAGTAAGGCGTGAGGCGCAGGCAACGACTGTGGATGCCAAACGAGCTCGGCATCCTCGGATGATGGGATGTGGTGGATAACGAGGCTTCCAAACCTAATGACTTACGAACACGAGATGACAGAAAGAAGTAAGAGAAAAAAAATTGGCAAAAAGAATTATCCCGCTTCCGCCTCTTTGTACTAATACCCGCGGGCTTTGCGGACGCCTGACAGCGTGAATACGTGTATGTCTGTCAGACGGCGCACAGAGCCGCACCACAAGGCTGTACAGATAAGTGAAACATGATTTAGAATCCATAGGCAGTCTTGCCTATTTTGACGCTGAACAGTGCGTCATGTGCCTAGATAGAAAATATAAACGATTACTGCAAAACCTTCCCAACACTTGTCGAAATCAAAACGTGTAAAATTGGGGGAGCTGTACACACTCGTGTATCCCCTCATTCAGCTCCTCATCTGCCTCCTCCTTAGGAGATCATGTTACTCCGCATTGGGGAAGCATTTGGGGTAGTGAAGGGCTACGTATCAGTCATCTGATGTCATTGATCTGGCGCAAGGCGTATGCCATGGACGGCCGGTTGCGAGACGGCCACGGTCGCATAAGAGACGGATCATGTGGACGGCAGGGCAAATGTAAAAACCCCATGGCGTAGTATGCAAAAGGCTTATTTCTGTCATTATGCAGGAGCTGATACTCGGAAGGTAGTCTAGATCCTAAAGGCGGCGATCGTGGCGGGGGAGGTGGCTGCATGGCGGGTGTGCGGTTAGACTTTAGAAAGGCGAGAACGAAACGCGAGAAAACTACTGGAAACGCTCTCGAAAGTAACATGGTTCGACAAGCTTTCCCAACTAGGACGGTTGCCTCATCAAAGGTACCGCTGGGGGTGTCGCGATGTCCTGCAAGAAGCCGCAGTTGCCGCTTTATTGTGGGGAACACGTAACATACATGTATAAATAAATGCCGATGGAGGTAATTAGCCTGGTGCCTTACTATTGCAGTTTTGGGCATAGTACCGACCGCCTCACTTTCGATGGACAAGTCTGCCTTGGGGGGCCGCGCGGGGCGCACACCGCAAGTCGATGGAAACATATCGTCCAAGCAGTGGGGAGCACACGAGCCCTCTATTACTACAAAAAAAGAGAAAATCGAGTAATATGTGTTCTTGTTTCAAAGGCTAGTGTCGTTCCACTTCGTATTGCCGCCCAGTTTCTTAGTAAGGCCGCTGAGTGCTTGTAGACGAGGCACTGGGTGGGCGGCGGTGGTTCGCGTGATAGAGCGTCTGCGTATTATCATTCGTCATACACTTAGCGCCGATGGGAAATGCAACACCATAATACCTGTCACAGGCACCGTGGCCACCCACAGACAAACAAGGAGGTGCTCGTTTGTTTGTGTGTGCAGATCACGCTTAGCCACTCCCAAATGCCTACGTTTAATACCTGCAAGCAGGCTCGCTAACGTGGCCCTATAAATGGCCATGTGGTTACTGCGGAACGATGTCCATGAATTTTATACCTCATAAAGAACACCCGACCGCTACGCCACAGCTGTTATGTGTTGTACGCTTGGGGTGAGGCTTACGGCTGCCTTTGAGCGGCTGAGGACCCGGAAGAAACAGTAGTGCGAGACACGGAAGAATACGGAAGGCGATGGTCGTATTTGCAACCACTACATCCTGTGCGAGGATATCAACATGGAACGGCTGAGGAAGGCGTCGCATTGGGTTGCCTTTCGAGGGTGGACTCGAGGAGGCTGTGCTTTCTTTTTTGTTGAGTAAGTCGTCGTTTGGGATTGAATAGCATCACGACAGATTAATCGGCATTTGGAAACATGCAGAAGTTTGGTACCTGAGGGTTGACCTCTAGAAAATCAAAATCCAGAAAATGTTTACACAGGTATTCTTTCCAGTTGTGTCGCGGTGTGGGTTGTTGGTGTTGGTAGGGAGAATGATATGTTGTGCGCAGGTCTGCCTGTGTTGTGTGCAAGCTGTGTAGTCGACTGGGCTTCAGTTTCGTATCATATTGTCTATAATAATGCATATTTTGAAAGTAAACTATATAAATTTCCTTGAAGAAACTGGACGAGATCTTCATAAAGGTTAGATGCTCCTGGGAGCATAATGCCAGCTCCGACAGCGATGCCCGGTTTAGTGGATACCCGGCCCCGACGGTGGAGCTTTCGGCGATCCGGCCGGGGATGTTCGTTGGTGTTGATGAGGGGAGAGAAGGGTTAGGGTTTATGCAATGACTACACGAAGCCTGGGCACAATGGAGGTATCTACTGGCGGTGAGTCCATTTGTCTAGTCTCTTTGGTAATTTGGGAGAGCAATAGCAGCACTACGAGAACTGGCAATTTGGTCCGTCGAGCATGTTACCGCCATAATGAACAAGGTTTTGATTGTTACTGGTCAAACCAGGACTACGAAATATTCAAGAGCGTGTTAGATTGAGTATAGAATCTTGCCAGCCAATTTCTTTCTTACCGCTATTGGAACAAACCTAGGAGTCGTACTAGGAGGGGGCTTATTCAAATGGCCATGGATGTCGCCGAGGCGCTGTAAGCTGGCCCTCAGACCGCGGAGATATTGTTTCCACCAAAGAAACAATTTACCATATCATATAAGGACAGAAAAAGAAGTGACTGCTTCTATTATGAACTCGCCTACGCGAAACGGGAAGGCCGGGTACATTGCCAATATGGATTACAAGGCCATGGCGATGATACCAAGCCAGGGGCATCCGCGGCGTGCGAGAAGCTCGGCACGCCAAACAATCAAATCTTGGAACAGTCATGAGGGAATATAGCAGCCCGCGTCGCGTGTTAATTTACCTATTTGGGGCAATACGAGGCATTTGCATGGCGGCAACGCAAGCTGTTTTGGCAGAGATAGATGCCATCCAATGCCCGTGTTAGGAAAGCGGAGACGGCTTGACAGGCGGACGAGAGCAGCAATTTCCTAATAGAGGCAATGAGGTGAAGCCAGTACATGGGCGCCTAAATATTAATAAACGTATGTGAATCATATTTGAGATGAAAGGGTTCAGTGCCGGAGCCGAAGGGGGACACACACAATGTTGCAACTTGGCTTCCTAAGACGGTTTAGCGCCATAATGTCTGCCAATCAAGCCTTTCCTGATTCCGCTAAAGGCACGCATGCTTAGCGGGCCAGCACGGTAACAGGCGCTGGCGAGGCCGCCGTAGCGGGCAAATTACAGCGTTCCGGCGGACTTCCAGCGGCTCCTTTGTGGGCTGGGTTGGCGGTGGGCCCTTTCCCAATCGGGGCTATAAACTGCATTTGCGGCGTCGAGGATTCCGTATGACGCCAAACACCTAGTAAAGTGTCAAGGATTTTTTTTCTTCTTTGCGTTTCTTTCGTCCTTGGCTGGTTTATTGCTCATAATTTTTTTCCTTTTCTTCTTTGACAGTCTCTTGAGAATAAAAAGCGCTTGCTTCACTCACAACAATACCCCGATACACTCGCTGCTAGGCCCCTATAACTGCAAACCTAGTGCCCCCCACGCAAGTCCGTCTAGTTGCATTCCACCTTGTTTGCCTTCACTTAGCTTTCTGTTGCTGCTACCAACACCGTTTCATCGCCGGCTGGCGTGATTTGCCTCACAACTTGCATTGCACACCGTGGTGTTGTCTTGTCCTCCAAAAGGTGCTCATGGCATCGTGATCGACAACAACCTCCCGTCGTATTCGACATACACCTTTCACTACCACCTCTCGCCATGTCGGAACATGGCAACACGTCTGAGACGGTAGCCTCTCATGGCCATGTCTCGGGCCAGTCAAACAGCCCAATGTCGGCTCCAGCACATGCTCTGTCTAGCCAAGAAGTTGTCAAGGAGCTGCACGCTGATACTGCAACGGGCTTGTCTGTTCAAGAAGCAGCGAGCCGTCTAGCAACAGCTGGGCACAATGAACTCGACAAGAAGAAGGGCGTCCAGCCCATCAAGATCTTTGTCGAACAAATCTTCAATGCCATGACTCTGGTAACTATAAATCCAACCATGGATGGTTTTGTGTACAATTCGCTAACATCTTTGATAGGTGCTTCTGCTTGCTCTTGGTGCCAGCTTTGGTATCCAAGCTTGGATTGAGGGTGGCATTCTTGCCGGCATCATTGTTTTGAACATCTTCATCGGCTTCTTCCAGACGCTTCAAGCCGAAAGGACAATCGACTCACTTCGTACACTGGGATTCCCTACATGCAACGTCTTCCGTGACGGGACTACCATCAACATTCAGACAGCGGATATAGTGCCGGGAGACATTGTGGACCTCAACACTGGAGACTCAGTCCCCGCCGATATCCGTCTTCTTGAGGCCGTCAACCTTGAAGCAGATGAGGCTCTCCTTACGGGAGAATCTGCTCCTGTATCAAAGAGTCCGGGCATGACCTTTGCAGAGGACACTGGCCCAGGTGATCGTCTCAATGTCGTCTTCAGCTCTACTACCATCACTAAAGGCCGTGGCCGTGGTGTTGTTTTTGCAACAGGCATGTTTACGGAAATAGGACTTATTGCCAAGGCTCTGCAGGATACAGGCAAGAAGCCCGCTGGTTCCAAGTCTGACTCCGTCTTCATGAAACTATGGCGTCCCATTAAGGAATGGGGAGGCGAATTTCTTGGCCTCACTATTGGAACACCGCTCCAGAAGAAGCTCTCGCAGCTCTTCTTGTGCCTGTTTGCTTTTGCCATCGTCTGCGCAATTATTGTATTGGCTGCGAACAAGTTTGACACTCATACCGATGTTATTCTCTACGCTGTCACCACCGCTATTGGAACCATCCCTGTATCCCTACTCTTAGTTCTGACCGTCACCATGGCTGCAGGTACTAAGAAGATGCTGGAACGCCATGTAATTGTCAGAAACCTATCCAGTCTCGAAGCTCTTGGTGGTGTCACAAGTGAGTCAACTTTTCCAATACCATATAAACGAAACTAACAGCTCCAGATGTCTGCTCCGACAAGACAGGCACCATTACACAGGGACGAATGATTGTGCGAAGTGCTTGGATCCCGACCCACGGCACGTACTCAGTACAGACTACAAATGATGTCTACAACCCACATGCTGGGACCGTCTCTTTTGATGCTGCCGACCCCAAGGATTTGGCAGATGTCAATGAAAAGCACGAAGCTGCCGTTGTTTCGCCCGTTGACGAAGCTGCGGCCCACGAAAAGCTACAGCGATATCTCAACATTGCAGCATTGGCAAATCTGGCAACGCTTGAGCAGAACGCCGAAGATGATGCAAACCCTGGAGACTGGACAGCCCGTGGAGCTCCAACAGAAATTGCTGTAGAAGTCTTTGCGGCTCGATTTGGATGGGGTAGAAGTGCTCTTACACAGGATCCCAAACCACGCTGGACCCATGTAAACGAATTTCCATTTGACTCAGACGTCAAAAAGATGTCTGTACTGTTCAATGACTCTGATGGAAAGACCTACGTCTTTACCAAGGTAAGTTATTCTCCTCTGAGCAGCCTTTTATCATTGCTAACCGAAGCAGGGCGCTGTTGAAAGGGTCATTCCATCTTGTAAATACATGACCTCCGCAACAGGCATCGAACTATTCACGGACGATCACGAAAAGACTATTCTCCAGAATATGGAATCATTGGCTAGCAAAGGCCTGCGTGTTCTTGCTCTTGCCCACAAGGTCAACCCCGAAGCACTGTCTGTTGGGAGCTTTGACCATGGCAAGCCGCCCAAGCGTGATGCATTTGAATGTGATCTGACCTTTTGCGGACTCATTGGCATATATGACCCTCCTCGTCCAGAGTCTGAACCAAGTGTTCGAGCCTTCCATGGCGCTGGTATCGTCGTGCATATGCTTACTGGTGATCATCCGCAAACTGCCCGCGCCATTGCACAGGAGGTTAGCATTCTGCCACCCGAGGAAGACATGCGCAAGCTTTCAGCAGCCGTCACTGCCTCTATGATGATGGCCGCACACGAATTCGATGCGCTCACAGACGACCAAATCGACGCTCTGCCTGATCTTCCCCTTGTCGTTGCACGCTGTGCTCCAAGCACAAAGGTGCGAATGATCAAAGCGCTACACCGAAGAAATCGATACGTCGCCATGACTGGTGATGGTGTCAACGATAGCCCCAGCTTGAAGCGTGCTGATATTGGCATTGCCATGGGCTCCGGCTCAGACGTGGCCAAGGAATCATCTGACATCGTCTTGACTGATGACAACTTTGCGTCTATTCTTAATGCTATTGAGGAAGGTCGTCGCATCTTTGATAACATTCAAAAGTTCATTCTTCATGTGCTTGCTGCCAATATTGGCTTTGTTATTGCCCTCCTAACTGGTCTGGCATTCAAGGATAAGACGGGAGTGTCTATCTTCCAACTGACGCCGGTAGAAATCCTGTGGATGCTGCTCGGCACTGGTGCATTCTGCGAGACTGGTTTGGGATTCGAAAAAGCCGTCCCTGATATTCTCAACCGCCCTCCTCATAACGTAAGTTGCGTACTACCCTCGTTTTACGAATCTGTTTCTGACCAAAGTAGCTTAAATACGGCGTCTTCACTCCCGAATTCATGCTCGACATGATTGTGTACGGCTTTTTAATGGCCGGCTGCGTTCTGGGCTCCTTCACGACTGTCATCTTCGGATTTGACGATGGCAACTTTGGTGTCGAATGCAACAACCGCTATTCAGCAGAGTGCGACGCTGTCTTCCGCGCCCGAGCCACTTGCTACACCACCATGACATGGATCTTCCTTCTATTCTCGTGGGAGCTAATTGACTTCCGTCGATCATTCTTTTATATGCCTCGAGGAATCAAAGCTTGGTTTGGACATCTTTGGGGCAACCAGTTTCTGTTCTTCGCCATTACGGTTGTCTTCTTCATCGTCTTCCCTACTCTCTACATTCCCGGCCTCAACCACATCGTCTTTTTACACACTGGCATCAGCTGGGAATGGGCCGTTGTCTTTATTGCCGTTGGCATCTGGATTCTGGGTGCCGAGGCCTGGAAATGGGCCAAGAGAGTCTACTTCCGCAGAACCTCACCTCAGCCTGATAAACGCTCTGGACGAGACATGGCTTAGGCTCTTTTTGAATGGCATGCGTACATTTGAATACATACATAATAACGGCCACTAGGGCTATTGTGTTTACTCCATGTTGGCCTATCCCTTTTAGATTAGAGAGGCCGGAAATTGTTCACTGCATATTTGCATATTATTTTGTTCTAATGTGGCTAGAGTAGATATAGACAAAAAAATGTAAATGATATAATGCTTCGCTTTTGGGGGAATCAAGGGGAGAGGAGCCAGATTGTATCTACTCTCGTCAAACAATTAAAAAGTTGAGGTTAGGGTCTTTCAAGGCCTGGAGCCAATTCCTTGCGCCGCTGTCCTTGGTATCCATGCCCCATATGACGGGAAGGGCTTCCATCGCCGTATAAAGGAATCCCCAGGGACACGATACGACCAGCCTTTGCAGACGGTTCATGATCCAATCTTGGCGCGGTTGACCGTAAGCCTCTGCGCCTGCTATAAAGGTTGGCCATGTCGTGGCCTTGAAGTTGGGATCGTGGTCTGGAATCTTATCCAGGTGACTAAAGATGTCTTGCCCAAGCTGTTCTCGCAGCTCAGGGCCTACGACCTGTCCAAGCGATGGGACAGCCTGTAAGATATACAAGCATAGCGCAACCCGATGGGCAGACCCAGCATGAATTCGACTGACGATGGGAACATCCTTTAGGGATGGGATATTAAGAACGTCGCTAGCCCATGCAATCACATCGAAACTCTGAGCACGCTGCAGCAGCTCCAGGCCAGCTTTGGATGTCTCTTCACTCTGGTTCTCCTCCGGTGGTAAGTTGGCGAGTTCACTGGCGGCGTGGAGAATTTGTAGAATCTCTGGCGGGCAGCAGAAGTAGCTGTTATGAGCGGCTCGGCCAAGGATTTGGGGAATCTTTTCGGGCTCAATCTTGAACTTGAGATGCATTTGTTGAGCGACAGGCATGAAGGCAGAGGCAAGAATAAAGTAGCTATAGAGGAGTTAGTACATATTGCTAGGTTGAAAAGGAGACGGGATCACTTACATGAAGCAGTCGGACAGCATATAGTCTCGCAAAGCTTCATCAGACGCCGAGGAGGGCTGAAGCAGAGCCATGATGTTTGCAGCACCTTCCAAGTGAGCGCGCCAACCGTGCTTCCCGGACTCAATAAGCTCAATATTGACAAAGAAGAGCGCAGCGGCAAGGGCTACATCTCCGCCTAACATGTCAAGGTCTTGGATGGCAGCAGACATCATTCCTAGGGCTTTCTGTTTGGCAACCAGGGCATCGCGGAGAGCTCTGTCAGACGTTTGCTGGTAGCCAATTGCTGTGCTGGAGCCTTTTGGAGCAAATGCTATGTGTGCTCTGACTTGGTTAGACATGTGTGCTGCCGATGCTGCCACGACAACATGCTGAAGAAGAGGGTGTGCTCTCGTAAGAGGTAGAAGGGCACGAAAGGGGTTTGCATTATTCACATCCTGCGATACCAAGTCCTGACAGAAGCGATCCTTATCTGAGATACAAATGAGAGATTAGCCAAGAGCTCTTTGGCGAATATATATGCATGTTTTTTGAACTTACAATATGATAGATAGTAGCGATGAGTACTACTGAGATCTTGGAAGAGAGGATCAATCAAGACATATTGATTGGCGCAGTTTGGTTCAGAAGAGGGCGACCGGCGTCGTGCCAGCTGCAATTGGGAATCTGAGGAGCCTGTGGAGGCATCGCTAAAGAAGGATGAAGTAGTCGGCGAACTAGACGGCGATCGGACCTCCGGGTACGAGGCTGGCGATGTCCCGGGATCCTCTTGGCCATGGATGGCGGCGCTCGAGGTCTTGCCGGCGAGCTTGCCGCGACTGGCCACAGCACCGGTCCATCGAAAGAGTTTACCGTAGCCCAGGCACTGCTTACCAAGAGAGGTGCATTTGTTGCAATGGGGATAGGAGCGGTCACATCGCAGACGTTGCCGCCGGCAGTTGTGACAAGGCTTGGTTGGGGCATCGACAGGGTCCGGCATGGCAGGCTACCGGTTGCGCGCAAGCACGTCACAAGAGGGGGAAAACAATCGAGGGAGAATGGGCGAAACAGAGCGTTTGATCGCGGCAAAGAGTCTCCGCGGAACTAGGGGAAATTGGGCGCTGACAGATCGTTGCTGCTATCAGAGGCGGTGCATCCAGGGGGGTCAGGCAGGCAGCCCCTCGTTCAGCGAGCTTGATGATGCTGTTTGCTGCACTTTTTCTTGGGCTCGGCGACGGCGGGCTGCCGCAGCACGAGAGCAGCGCAGGGACTGGGACGGGACGCGGTGCTGGGAAGCGTCAGGAACGTCGCGTTCGAGGTTGTCGTTGCAGGGCAACTCAGGCCGGCAGGCAAGGCACAGGCCGAAAACGTGATGGGCGGTTCAAAGGCTGACAGGTTGATTGTGGCCCCGACTCGCCTGCGAACACTGATGCCCGCGATGCACTGTCATGAGTGTGGCGCTAAACCCGATTCGGATGGCTGCCAAGCCACACCACGCCTGAGCCACGCTGCCCACGATGCCAAAAACCGCCTGCTGAGCTTAAAATGGTCTGTGCCAATAGGCCGACGGCTCAGTTAGTAAGGCTGACGATATATCAATACGGGACATGCTCCAGAATTAGTCGTCAAAGTAAACAAGAGGCTGACGCTCGCAATTGCTCTGCTCCTTGAGAATCTTATCGCATATCCAGAGTGGCTCTACTCACCCTGACCGAGCCCAAGTAGAGTTACGAAACCGGGAAAAAGAATTACCCCAATAGAAGGGACCATCTCGGTTCCAGTAAACCGCGTCGTAGCAAGGAAAGGAGCCAACAGATATGCGATGCGCGCCGAGATCTCTCTATGCGAGCTTGCGTAGTGCACCAGCTGTGCCAAGTTCGCCCGACTACTCCAGAATTCACCACCAGCGCATCTGCACACCGCATCTAGACCATTCATGTCGCAATGCCCCTCGGAGAAAGCAAAGAATACTGGCAGTTAGCATCTCCCGGCCTGCCACCACGTCAACGCCCACCGGCAGTCGGGTCCCTGAAACACCCACCACCTCCCGGACAAATGGCGCTCCGTTTGCTTCGGTCTCTTTCCGCCTGCCGCCCGCTGCAACTGTTTCATTAGTGTGCCTCTGTCCACGGCCTGCGGTGTAACCATTCATTACCTCGACTGACACTCCGCACACTGGCCAACCTGCAATCCACCGGGGCGAGCCGTTTGTCAACGCACTCACCCGCCCACCCCCAATGCACCCTGCTTACCCTCCCCCCCTGCAGCGCCATGCCCAACTTAACGTTGATGCCTGTCTTGCATCGCGGCGGCTCTCGCAGAGCGGCCTGGCCCTTCCCTCTTGCTACCCTTACAGCGTAATTATGAAGATCACTCCATGCATAGTTCAATCACGTAGGTATGCAGAGGCGCCAGATCTGTCGGGTCCCGGGAATCAATCTACAGATGCGCCGTGTCTCTCTCACATGGGAGAGAAATGGGCTTGTTTTCACCGCTGTTGCGTTTCGAAGAGCAAACTCAGCCGTGCAGCTGTTGCTCTCACGGCGCAGATGGGGCCGCGCCGCCATCCAGTGATCTCGTTGGAGTGGCAGCGCCCGCTGAGCTTCCGCTTCCGAAGTTAGTTCCGAAGCCTAGGTACCCAAGCAAGTACATCATGTACAATATGTGTGTGAGAGAGAGGAGCTGCTATCCGCGCCTTGGCCCCATGTGGCCAACGTCAATCTGTAGCAGCCCACAATCTCCACCAGGCCCGTAATGGAAAGCGCAAGTCACAGCCCAAGAATCTTCACCTCTGCTTCCACTTGTCTTCCACGGCGATCCAATTGAGGAATTTCCCCGAGACCCCCTCTAGTCCCTGCCAATCTCTATCCCACTCAAACGTGGCCATCCTCCGGGGTCTGTTCTTTTTCTGCTTTCGGCATGACGAGCTCGTTCTCGTCAGTTACAGGCTAAATAGTGTAGTCGGCTGAATGGCCGCGCCGCCGCGCCGCGAACATCCTTCAAGAGGTTATGGCCGGCGCCTGACACACTCCACAGAGCTGGGCTAAGGCGCCGCGCTGGTGCTCCCATCAATAGAGTAGGAAAAGGCTGGAGCTGAGGAGATCATTGCATAGATGACAGGCACATGACAGCGGTCCGTCAAACGCCGACCCCCTGTGGAGGTTGATTCCATGTACTGTACTGTATGAGGTGACAAGTAAGGGCGCAGCGTCGGAAGCATTCCGCATCTGTGGAGGAGCTCTGAGCGGCGATTTGGGTTTTTCGGCAGCTGGTTTTCGGCAGATTACCAGCAGATGCTATGATTTACTTGGAGGATCATCGTCAATCCGGCGAGAAATTTATTGTCAATCTCTCTCCTGTATATCCTCTTAGGGCTAAATGGGGGTTGGTTCATAGATGCAGCCGCTGACCAGACCACCATCACGGCTGCGTGGGGGTTAGTCGAACTGTCGCCCCGACGGGACATTGTCATCCAAAGAACGTGTATCCAACGGCCGATAACTAGACCAGGAATAGTATCCTGTCATCACCATACCATGAGGCGCAGGAGCAACTCCGACGCGCTGCGTTTGTTGGCGGTATCCACCCGCGCATCTCTGCCTGCTTCTGCCTTCCCCTCCCTAGGCCATTGACGTTTTTGCGTGGACGAGAATTTATTGTTTGGAGGGGGCGTGTGCTAAATTTGCTCACAGCGGCATAAACGCCGCGCCTTGGAGGTTTAAGGTTCAATACACCGCCTCCTGACAAGCTGTCAATCAATGCCGTCGGATCTGCCGGAAACTAGAAGAAATATCCTTAATTTAAACATCGCCGCCTGATTGAGTTTGGTGTCAAAAAATGTCAGGAATTTGGTGCAATCGCGAGCCATCGCTGTTGTAAGCGGCGGTATGCGCCCAAAAACGAAAAATACACGCCACGCAAGACAATGTTGAGCTTATCCTTAGATCTCATATCACGAAGCCTAAGCCTAACAGTCCGATCAAGGGGTTTTCACAGACGAGTGAATTAGACTGGTCAAACAAAGTCTCAGCAATGTTCCAATGCACAGCTCTTGGCGATGTTGGTCTCGCCCACTTTTGCCTGACGAAACGGGTAATGAGTGCTCCTTCTAGAACTGCGTTCGACGCTAGCGTCGCCCTAGTCCTGCACACTTAGTATCCTCGCAACTCAATCTCTCCATTATCGACTTGGCACATGCTTTATCTGGCCTCATACAGAACCATTTGTCGTTAGGGTGCGTAGGCAACCGGCGTAAGCCGCCTGAAAGAAGAAAAATAGAAGGAGAATAGCGACAGCGCAACAGGCAGAGAAATAGTGATGGGCATCCCTCCGCCGATCCACGCCGAAAATCCATCTCGTATGCCGTCTTCTGCTTGAAAAAAAACGTTGGCTGCTGTATCAGCGCCGATCCACGGCCGATGGTGCACATTAGCCGCAGGGCCAGAGGCGGGTTTGCCTTCACTATGCCGGCACTTTCTCCCTGTTCCCATACGTGTGCTAGTGGTCGAACCAAGCCAACAAATTGTTTGAGGTCATGCCTGTAGGAGGTAAAAAGGCAGAGATCAGCTATTATAACAAACCCAAGACGGACCAGCTTGAGGCTCAGCAAATCAATGGTAAGCCTTTCTCGTCCTGTTTGCACGCCAAACATATTGCAGTGGCACGCAAACAGTTAAAGTGGACACTGTCCTTCGACAATCGGCTCTGGTTGCCCCTGCGAAAGTTGCAGCAAACAGAACGAGATTCGGTGCGTTCTCGGGATCCTTACTGGCCATTTGCCCGCCAAGGCCGGTACCCATCGCGGTTGGCGGTGCCAACGGTGCTCTGTGCGGACCCGTTTATGGCTTGCGGATCTCCTGGCGGTCCCATCGCTCTCGTTTCCTTTTTTGACGAAAGTCCCTGGTCGCGCGTAATAGCCAACAACTATGTCGACGTTTCGGATCCAAACACCTCCGATGTATCTAGCCCCTAGCAAACAGAGAGAAGACCACTGAATGCGCTCGCGAAGGTTGCATTGAACTCTGTGGCATACCGAGACATGGCAGGAGTCGTCTCTTTCTGCAAGCGATGGGCATGGGGAGAGTTGCGACTAAGCTCCGTGCGCCTCTGGTTAGAGTTTGGTTGCTGTGATTAAGCGTCAGTATCAAACAGGGGTAGGTCATCTGAACCTTCTACCAGCCTACTCAATATTACCTTCAAAGCTCAATGCGCGTTGCCTGCATAAGGCTATTTCTTCTGAAGTAGTCCGAGCGTTTGCGACAATCCATTAGTGAGCTGCAGCGCCCCGTTAACCAACCAGATCAGCGCACAGTCGGTGGTCTATTTCTGGACACGTTGGGTCCTGTAACCAGCAGCATTGCTAGTGCCTATCACAAAAAACTACGCAAGGCGATGCCCGTGCGCAGTCTACCGATTTCAACTTATGTCTAAATCGAGAATAGGTCTGTCTTGCGTTGCTAGTCCCAACGGCCGTTCTTTGCAAGACTCTATTTACGGCTGCTACGCCAAAGTGTGCGGTCAGACCATTTTGCCGAGATAATACTTCATCTCAGCACGGTAAGGATGAGGCACTTGGCCACGCTGATTGATGAGTGCAAACATGGGAGAAATGGCTTAAGCACGTCTGTCGATTGGTTCAGTGCTGCGTTTCAGACAAGATCTTCCAGTGTAGAGTCATTTTGAGCCTCCCTGGCCTCCCCCCAGCGTACGGTAATACCGTAGCAAGCCACACCATGGAGCACGCGACAAGCTATGAACGGCTCTGGTAATTGGCCATATCTGAAGCCATGATTCTAACGTTATTGATGTGAATCAGCAGTTGACGTACAATGTGGCGCTCTTCGAGAGGATTTAGATACACAGCTGGATGAGAGAGTGTCATCACTGTCTCTAACCTAATTGACATCGTGGATCTCGTTTAGAGATGGGAAGGCCACGCTGCATATGTTTGCTGCTCGGCCGTTTTACGGCCGTTGTCACAAGCCTCACCTAGTAAGTGGCGGATGAGCGGCAGATCCCCTGTTGAATTGCGCGTGTTTTTCTACAAGGATCTTAATTGCAGTCTTGCCAGGTTCAATGCTGGATCGGTAGACGAGACAAATTGTTTGTGCAAGGGATGGGGTGTTATGAAAAGCCACATTCTGGGATCGGCCTGTCGGAGTCTCTGCTGATGACGGAAATCATTTCAAAGATGGTCATTGCAAGACATAGTCAGCCCCAGGTATAGCAAATAGTGGACGAGTTGTCATCATTTCAATACAATGCCCCTACTCCCTCCTGTCCGTCCAAGAATGATTGCTAGTTGGCTCGCATTGCCGTCGATCACCAAACGCCGTCACGTTCGATTTCCCAACGAACATGGTCTAGTGGGCTTTACAGTAGCCATATGCTAGACAACGGTTGTACATATACATTGCGGTTGCTTTTAGGACTCGGGCTTGGCTAAGTTGGCGAAGCCAAAGACGCCAACGTGGTAGCAAAATATGCGAGGCGCGCCATCAGTTGGCATTTGTACAGTATCAAGGAAAATGCGAAATGTATAGACGAACAGCAATACTTGTATACAAGAATTGGGAAAGTGACTCCAATATTGTGTTGAGAAGAGACGCGAGACGAATGCCACAGCGGCGTTTGAGGCTGCAGACTGAAGGAATAGTTCGGGTCTTTGACGCCCCAAGCAATATTCTCTTTCAGAGTCTAGGCGGCAATGCAGGTTGTGTTTCTCTCGTTGTGGTTCAGCCAAGCTTAGGTGCTGGGGAGTCGACGACCTCTCGGTTCATTTCAACCGCCCTTCATCCCTTTAGTGGCCTTGGATGGGCTCGGCGTAAATGGCGAATTCGCCCTTGAATGTGTACAGTACCCGTCAGCACTGGGGATCGCCCAGCTGTAGTGGGCCGACAGCGCTGAAGACTGACATTTTTCCTGTGCGCGGAACGCCTGCGTTCTTTGTTGGGTCCATGGCTTGCCAACGTGATTTACTAAGCGGGCCAAGTCTCGAAGTCGAGTGATCCTTGATGCGGAAGCAGTGGGCACTGACAGCCCAGCCGGTGGCTGTGGCGTGTCGTCTTTGGTGTAGACCGCGCGGTGGGGGAAGGGGGGTGGCGTGGTTCATGTCCTCAAAAAAAGAGAGTTGAAGATGAATGAGACGAGATGCGCGCTCTTGGTGCTCAGGACCGCGCATGGGGGCTGTTTAGAATACGCAAAGTGAAGTGCATGAAAGATGCTGTCCTATGCAAAGAGGACTGTGTTGCCAGTTTGTTCTTTTGCTTTCCACGGCAAAATTGGCTGCAGCTGGCAAGACGTGTTTTGCCAGATGTCGCCTGGCTGCCAGGTGTTGGCAGTGATCACATTACAGCGGGTAACAGCCTGTTGTTTGCTTGGCTAGCAGCACCCCCTCGGCCCTCGGGTTCGGCGGGGCAGCGCAGGGGGGTGTGCGATTACCGCAGTCTCCGTTGTTCCTTTCCCTCTCTGCCTCTGTTTTTTTTCTCGGGTGGTGCTTGTTAGCTCCTCTTTTTTTTTGCCCCGGTGTGCATGGCCAAAATAAATGAAATCCATCTGCTGGGTTCGCAGCTAGTGGCAGAGTCATGCAAGACTATGATGGCCAGCCAAAGATTATCGTAGGCCTGTTGCTTGAGCCCGTTTGCGTATATGTATATCAGAGCCACCCACACACATCCTCTCCCGCCTGCCTGCATCCCAGAAACAGGCTGTCCGTTCGTCGTTTTTTATTCACTTCCCGTTCACCCCGTTCTGTATTTAGCCTTGTCTTTGTAAGGCTGCGTCAACTACGGCGAATATACAAAGCTCCCCCAACAGCCTGCTCGCCTAGCCTGCTTACTTAGGCACACCTATCGCACCTCCCTCCGCCACCTCCAACTAACACTTCTTTCCCACCCCCATCCTCATCCAACTTCTTGGACCGCTTTACTTTTTCTTACTTTAATAATACACACACCAAATCCTGCTTAGGGATAACTTCGAAAGAAGAAAAAGTTCTCTGTTCTTTTTTTATCTCCTCCGCATCTGAAGGGCCCTTTTTTCACGCGGACCCCCAAACTTCGAAACTCTGCGCTTTGATTCCCGGCATTGGGCCAACCAACAGGCGCATACTGAAACTAGCAGCACGTTCACGCCTGGTGTTGGTTCACCGTGTGCCCCTACTTTTCAAAGACCCTGACCTCGTCTGCGCCTTAAAAGACCTCCAGAGACCTTCTTCGACAAGGCCCATCTAAATTTCAACCACTCTTACTATTCTCTACCAACACACCTCCACTTGGTTAAGGCTTCGACTTATCAACGCCGCATAACTTCAATCGTATCATCCTTACTTGGCTCAGTCTCTCGACTTCAAAAGTAGTTTGATACCTATTCCACAAGCTGTCAAGCTTCATCATCACAACCTCGTCGAATAGTTTCAGGCAATGGCGTCGATAGTATCCAACAACTACTTCGACCAACACGCTACCAAGCACCACCAGTATCTACCACCACGACCTCCACCATCGCCCCCGATGGAGGAAACAACTAGATGCTCTCTTCCATCCATCTCCAACCTGTTGGAGATGGCAGACGCTGGATCTCCCAAGGCTGGTACCACCACCTCGTCTCCTCGATCCTCCCCTCGAAGCGATGGTAAGCAAAGCCCAACACTATCCAACATGCATGCGTAAGATTAACATGAAGATTTTAGCATACGCTTCCCCTGCTCTCATGAATAAGAGACGCGAACCGCCTTCAGCCCTTCCTCCATATGGCGCTCGCCAGACGTACCAGAAGGAAGGCCTCCCACCAACGCCTCCTCAATCCACAGACATGTCATTTGACAATCCTCGCTCACCACATCGCTCCCAGTTCTCTCTGACAGGATCACAATCTCGTCAGTATTACTCTAGAACACCTCCCCTGGAATCCGACCCCTCAAGGCGACACGCATATGCCCCCATCCCAGAGCCACGCCAGGCTCGCCACGACTATCACCCGTCACCACTGCAACATCAACAACTGGCTCGTGATGGCTATCATTCTGCTCCCCGCGGACACCCAATGCCACCGCCGCAGCACGGAGACAGCAATGCGGCGAATGGCTGGGAGCACCACCACCACTACCTGCACCCGTCTCAGATGGCGCTTTTCCCGCAAAGCCAAGACCGCTACATCTGCCCAACATGCCACAAGGCCTTTAGCCGACCTAGCAGCCTGCGCATTCACAGCCACTCACATACAGGAGAGAAGCCTTTCAAATGCCCTCACCCTGGCTGTGGCAAAGCCTTTAGCGTGCGAAGCAACATGAAGCGTCACGAGAGGGGCTGCCATGGTGTCGGAGCAGCCGAAGGCAATGCTCCTGCTAGTGCATACTCGTGGTCTGCGACTCACTAGAGACTCCACGGCACGTTTTGGATTTACCCCTGCCATCCATTGCCTTGGCCGTCTTCAAGGCACAAGGCTGTACTATTATGACGAAAATTTTGTACTAGCAGAGATAAGGGATCAAGGTGACTCTGATACCGCGAGGTATACAGGGCCTTGGAAGAACCCTGATGACTTTACGGCACATACGGCTGAGCTTGCGCTTTTATTTGTGGTTGTTTTATTGCTTTTACATATTGTTGGTTTGAAAATAAATAGGTTATAGACTAGAACGGCGAATTCACATTTGATATTTACATTTACACTTACTGGCTTTTGTGCTTGTTACTCTATGACTGAGAATGCATGCGGCCCTATGCAGCCTGGAGCGTTCCGCACATCTTTAGTGAGCGGCAAGGTGGGTAGCACGGCCGCAGTCATGGTCACGGTGATGGTCAGTAAGGGGACTAGGACAGCGTTGCGCGGAGCCCCGAAACGTGCGCCATCAACGCCAGGGGCATTGTGCATCGGCGCACGGGGTGCACGTCCATAACGCGGAAGACGTGACCAATTAGAATGGGCGAGAAGCGCCCTTGGCGGTCTACAATCTGTTTCTAGAGTGGGCTACAAGTAGTTATTTTTGTCTATGAAAAATGTAGCCCGATTTTGCAGTACTAGAAATAGACTTGGGACGAGAATTGTGCAGAGCCGCGATGTGTGTAAGTGAGTGGGTGGGGGAACGTGCGATGAGTGGTAGCGTGGTGTTGGGATTGGGCAATAGCACGGGAATGTTTGGAGCGTGGACGGTGGTTGGGATGACCCGTGTTTAGGGAAAAGAATCTAGAATGAAAATAGGGTCGCTAAAAAGTACAGAAGGGCGACGGCATTTGAACTCAGGGTTGCATTTCGTATACAGTTTGGTGCAATGGGTGGTATGCTGAATAGCCGATGGCCGCTAGGCTAGGCGGAACGCTGCAGGACGGACTGCAGAGTGTAACGGGGGGGCGGCGATCTGCTGGCGGTGGCAGACAGGCTAGTGAACGAGAATGCGGAATGCAGCAGTAGGCAAGCAGCGCAGTGGACCACCTGGAAAGTGGCATAAACGGAGGCAGCGGATGGGTGGGCAAGCACTATTGGGAGTTATTTTCTTTTTTTTTTTTTTAATTTTGCAGTAAAATACTCCAACGCCTTTCCACTTTTTCCGATGGGCTCAGCACGAAAAATCGAATATTGCCACGTTTTCTCAGCTGGGGCAGACCCGAGATTAGGTCGCCGCTTGCCTGTCGATGAACGCCCTGCGCCCCTCCCCGCCAAGACGAACCGGAAAGGTCCGTTTTTGGGGGGAGTGCGGAAAACCGGTGGCCGCCGAATCAAGCCAAAGTAAAGTAACTGTGAGGAAAAATAAAGCTTGGGCCATGGAAGGGCAAATGGAAGAATATGAGAAGGAAGCCCGTCGCACAGGGTGAAGCAGCATGGGCTGGCCTGTGCTTTTGTTTTCGTTTTCGTTTGACGAGGTCGACAGGGATTTTGATTGACGATATGCGACGCCTCAGTGGAGAGACAAGGACCAGACGATGATGAGCACGTTGTTGTTGCTCTGGGTCACCGATATACGCCCATCCTATCTAGCGTGCCCGCCGCTGACCAAGCGGCGCAGCAACATTAACGAGAAACCCCTAATAAACTTTCCCAAGGATTTGCATAGAGGCTTGGATTGATGAGCCAAGCCCAACTGCCTAGTCTGGGCCTGCGCGCTCCGCCTCGTTGCGACAAAAGGGCCGTTTTTTTGCCCTACTACACTACAGTGCACTGATAATCTGATGGCGGCAGCAGCAGCAAAAAGCTTCCAGTGGAGGGTTGGCTGGTGCAATCAAAAGCCGACGCGAATTGCCGACCCCATCTTACACCCGCTGCCGTACCTATTTTTTACCCTTTTTGGGGAGCCGCCGGTATTGTCAGGCGAGCATAACACCGACGATGACGTTAAGCTAGGCCAAAAACATAAACTTGCTCAGTTCATCATCCGAAGGCAAAATTTAATTTTAAAAAACGGACTAAAAAAAAAGATACAACAAGTAGCGTAGAAACCAGTGGGCGGTGATCGGGAGCCAGACTGTTGGAGCCGAGTGTTCCGCTCCGATTTCGCCTCCATTGACACACACGCTAACTGTGACGCCACGCAGACTTTATCCAGCGCACGAACCACAGCAACAAGCAAGGGCCCCATTGTGCAGTACACTGTACAGTACTCTGCAGGGCCAGTGGCTTTTTTCTCTCCTTCCTTTTCCTTCTTATTGACGCCCAATTGGGCCCCCTTTTTGGCCTCGTCTAAGCAGAGCCCCAAATCTGACAAGTCGTGGGGGACGTTGCAGTGGTGGCGCCGGCAAACCCCATTTCGCTTCTTCTACCGTTTTCTACAAGTTGTAAGCCACCCCAAGCCTCGGATTTGCACGCAGAGTGTGTCGCCCCCTTTGCCCATGACAGCGTCCTCTCACACCCCCATGTTGTTGTTTTTTAATGTAGTCGTTGTGCCATGCGTTAGATTGGCACGCCCGCCTCGCCCATGCCCGAACATTAGAGTTCCGCGGGTGGCGGCATCACAGTGCTACCGAGCACCGGCACTATCGGCAAACAAGCACGCACACGCCCTTTTGGTCGATCGACCGTTCGGAATAGCGGCAGGGAGCGACAGCCAATAGCCTGAATGACCCAATACGCCTTCGGTCACCGTTTTCTTGTTTTTTGTTAACTGTTGTCGGCCAACCCTGCGGAGTGTGCGTCTGCGGCGTCATAGTGACGGGCTTTGCCGCGCCAGCTATTGGCTCACGGCGTGGGTTTTTGCTGGACCTTTTGTTCGGTAGCACCTTTCCGAGTTGGCTGATCTGATAATCATGCGGCCCGCCGATCAAGAGTCGTTGGAGGTTTCGTTTTGCTGACACCCGTCGGGTCATGGCAGTTTTTTTTGTTTAATTGGTGTTGTCTTGGGTCGCCTTCGCCTTGCACTCCCCCTCCTTAGCCGCGCTGTGTCTGGTTTGCCACTGATTGCTTGCTTGCAAACAAACAAGACAATCATCTCGGAGTCCGCGCATCGCTATGCACTTGGCAGCAGAACCGACTGGGGGCTATTGGCATGGCCGCGGAAACCATGCATCGCGATGCCAGCATGTCTCGCCAGGGCCCCTGCGACGCTGAGCCCCAACGGCGCGAAAGCCGAAACGGATAGGTGTGCGAAGCGATCCTCTCATTCGGTAAGAGGTCGCGTGCCTTGCTTCCCAGTGCGACGCTAGCGAAGGGGGGGCGTGCGGCAAAGGGGGAAAGCCGATGCATAGTAAAAGAGAGAAACAAGGCTAATTGTTTAACACGAAACCAAGACTTCAAAAAATGAGAAAAAATTCTCTGTGATTGCAGCTTGCTTTAATCTCGTCTTGAACTTTTTTCGCCATTTGTTTCGCATTTTCTTCTTTCTTGTTTCATAGAGATCGGCCACCGGCTTCCCCTAATCGCCGTCGCATTGGGAACCCTGCAGGCTTCAACCTGCGCTGCGCGTCTTTCAGCCGCACCCGAGTCAGTCCCGTCTCCACGAAGCCCGGGACGCTCACCGAAAAACCTTCCACGGAAGCTTCCTTCAGTGTTCCACGCCCCCCTCCATTTCCCAAGCGTCTGGGCAGAAGCTCCGCGGGACCCTACGGCACACCTGCGATTCCATCGTCTATCCACAGCCCAAGACAAAATACTCGTCATTTCATGTGGGCTCTTCTCGAAGGCGGTGACAGGTTTTGTCTGCATGGCGGCTAGGCTACAAACCGTGCAGCAAGCCAGCCAGCCCTGGAATTGTGGAAACATCGTGCACGTCGTCGCCTTGCGATGGGGTCCAAAAAGAAATTCCCGCTACCGTACTGGCTGCCTATTGCTCGGTGTAAATTCGGGCTCCATCGTCTCAAAAAAGACTCTTGTTCTCTCCATCGGTCGATTCCGCCTCACAGCACGGATAGCATTGTGTTCATGATGCGTTTTCTCAGCTGAAGCTTCTGCTTGCCACTCTATCTGCTGCAGCATGTACTCGGCGTAGACTTCAGCTCCTGCTGCTGCTGCTGCTGCCTACAATACGATACGACACCACAGCAGTGTTCTATACGAAACACATAGCCCATACCATCTCGTTTGTGCCTTAAGCCGAGCCTTCATCTCAATTCAGTCTGGCGCTGCGGCTCAAAAGTGCAGTGGGGCGCTGCCACTGGGCCCTGTGCAAATCATAGTCCTGCCTAAACGGGCAAATCTGTTCCAAGCGACCTCCTCTAAGTAGCATCTTGGCAAAAACGGCGCCAATGAGCTTAGTTGTCGCTACGAAGTAACTGATCATGGCTATGCTATGGGACGAAAAAAAGAAGGAGGGAGTCAGTCGAGGGGAGTGAAGATAGCCCGAATAGCGCCAGACTACGGCCACCATCCCACAAAAACGGCACTCGATGATCCGAGTGGAGTGAGCATGCATATGTCTAGTCATGTCCCCTTGCTGCGTTGCCTGAAAGGGTAATTAGCCACCACCGGAATCAATCTCCGCGGTAGCAAATGTAGACGCTTACGAGATGTTGACAAGGCATTTACAGTGGAGAGTTCTGTATGTGGTGCAGCAGAGCGGAATAGTTGCGCTCTTGGTTTTTGATAAGTCCACCGTCGGAGATTTATGCCAGAGAGTACGACGGTGCGCTTCAAACAGTGTGCAATAGGGCAAAGTTTGTCGAAGACATATTGTTGGTTGTTGGAGTATGCCTTGGCTGTATATGCCTTGACTCTACCTGGCCAAGTATTGCACCTGCATCGCAGCCTGGGCGTGGCATAGAGCCAGGCTAACCTCGTAGCCCTGTTGTAGATACCGTACTTTGTGTAATCCCATAATCTGACATGCTGGTTCAATTCCCAATGGCATAGTTCTGTCTTTTCAGATCACAAATCCATTGTTCATGACATATTACAACAAGACTATATATTGCTGACATCCCAGATTGCCATCTCCCGTCTTGAACAGGCACCCAAATGAGACAAATAGACGAATATCATGATCATATTGTTTTGTGAAATCAGCTATAAAGAACGCATTACCAGATTTATAGCAATAAATACCTTATTATAGTCCTATCACAGGCATTTATGCCGTGTTGCCCAAATTGTAATGGCATGGAGAGCCTGTCGATGATTCTGATGGATGATCGTTGTAGAAAGAAGAATCCCCAAACAGCATTCCCAGTCGGCTACTGAACGAACTTGTTCTCCCTACATTCATGTTATCGCTTAGAAAGCAAGATCAAAAAAGGCATTTTGAGACCTGTTCGACCGGTCGCCGACTTGGTTCGGGGTTCACATCTCAAAGTACAACTTAGCGAGAATCGCGTGGCTTGTGAGCCGCTGCCCCATGTTTCTGCTCGCACTTCCTTACTATTTTTGTACAATATTGCGAATGAATCTCGCCCTGTTGTTGCAAGTCTGAGACTGCCTGCATTCCATTGTGCTGCGATGTGTTTTACAGCACCTAGATCATCGCCAAGCATACATCCTTCGACTGTATTCCCAGTCACAGAGAAGTGCTACTGACAAAAGCTTTGTCAGAGCTAAGCGGTATAGTAGCAATCCAAAACTGGAGTCTCGAGGCGCTTAATATGTTTCGCTGGTGGTATGGGCACTTGTCGAATCGGTGACAGCCATGTCTTAGCTGCGAAATCCGCGGAGAAGGTTATAAGTAAAGGCTTTGTCGGGTTTCATTACGGTATTTTTATCCAAAAATAGCACCATACTAATATTCTATTTTAAAGGCATTTATTTCGTCGTAAGCTCTTTCTGTCATTTGTGAGGATTCTTCGTCGACTGACAATGTAGACACCAGACACGACTGTCGCGACTCCCGTGCCTATAGAACAACAGTATTGGAAAATAATGACGAATTACTCATCAAATCGACAATTATTACAACATGACATTGAGAATCTAGAAATTCAGATACTCCTACTTGAAGAAAGGCTGTCGCTATGCCACAACGAAATGTTCACTTGCGGTGAGAACGAGCAGGCCGTGCAGGAAATCCAAGTCCGGATTCAGCACTTGGAAGAGCAGATAGTCTCCATGAGGGGGACACTAGACGAACGAAAGAAGCTACTTCTTACAATGAAGAAAGTTAGGGAGGACAGCAAATCCAAAGACTGAGGTGTGGGATATGGGAGAGGGAAGCGCCGGCGCACTCTCTCCTCCTCTGACAGTTGATAGCCATGAATAAAACCATCTTTCGTCGCAAAGAAAATTGGAATAAATATTTTGCAATTATCACAAGATCCTCAAGCCGCTCTTTAATTTCGCTCTTCATAACTTACAGTATTTTCTGCTCCCTCCCAAAGCCGGAACAAAGTCAATATACATATTTCACACAACACTCACTTTCACCAAGCGCCGGCTTCCATCCAACACCGCCCATCCCTATTTTTACTCTTCTGATTCTGTACCTGCATTCGCTCGGCGGCTATCTGCTTGCATTTTCCTGAAACAGATAGGCCAGAATTAAAATTAGCTTTTTTTTCTGTTCCTGCTTTTACGCGCCCAGCAACGCAGCCAGGGGCGAAGCCCACCTACGAGCTCGGCGCTTAGCCGCTGACGCTGAGAGGCGCTGGGGGCCAACCATACAAGCCCCCCAAAGAACAGGCAGGCAGCTTTTGGCGACAGCCTGCGACGAAGCGGACGAGCCAATCTGCCCTGCGGCCCGCCGTCGTTGGGGTCGCGACAATGGGACAGCTACACGTCACAGGTCTGATAAATACTGTGTCGTGGCCGTGTCCGTGCTTGTTCGCCTTGCGTTGACGTGAAACGGCTGCCTCGCCGTCGAACAGAACAGTATAAGTCCGTTGCTGCTGTTTAGTCCTCGAGGCCACCAAGAGAGACCTCGCTTTCTCTTTCTTTTTATAAATTTACTTTCCAAGCAGCCTGCTACTGCAAGCATTACTCTCCTCTGGCTCTCTTCCTCACTCGGTGCGTTAATCTGCCCGGCTAACCGTGCTTTGTCTCTGTAGAAGAGTACCGTCCCAAATCAAGAGAGATTCTCCCTTTATTTTAATCATGGCCCACGTCACCGGCACTCAGGCAAGCTCTCTTCTTTCCCTAGTCTACTATCCCACATACTGACAGACTATTCACAGGGTTGGGAGAGCCCGTGCTCGGTTGAGAACATTCGCGAGAAGCTCTTCGATGAGCAGGACCGCTTCCCAGTCGACCCGGAATACAAGCGTGCCTTAGATACTATCGAGTCCGTCCGCAAGGCCGTTGCCCAGACAAAGCCCGAGTACAAGGCTGCCTATGATGGTGGCCAGCAAACGTGGAACCATTTCATCGGCAACTTGTCCCCCGCCCAGGAACACGATTTGCAGGTCGCCTTTCTGCGTGAACAGCATCGCCAGTTCATGACGGGCAGTGATTCGGCGGACGAGATGGCCGTGGATGCAAGAGGAAAGAAAGGGTTCAAGGCCCCAAAGGAAACTGTTGGTGTCGAGGTGGAAAGGCACAGCCGGGCTCACAAGAAGAGAAAGACTGAGTATTGATGCTGTCCCTCTGGCCAGCTAGGGTGTGTGTATGTCCGACTATAGTCAGTCTTTTCCTTTCTTTGTTACTTTTTTTTGATACAGCGAGTTCCTCATCTTTCCTGGAACAAGGGCAAACTCAGTTTTGTTATTCTGTGTCGCCCAGACGCTCCTTTGTTGAACAGATGCTATATTTGCTGTCATTGTTTGTTACGTTGCAGTTTGCCCAGTAGCTCACATTCTCTGCCCGCTATGCCGGCGCCCACCCAAACAAAGCTATTGCTGTGTCACTTGCTGCTGCTGCTCTTATTTCCTTGCTGTAACTGTGATTGTTGTCTCATGCACGTCTCCCAAAGAACAGGTTAACACTGCAGCTTGCAAAACCAGCGGTATATCTATATAAATGGTTGTCAGTGTTCACCCAGAACAGTAGATGCATCACATTCACAGCAACATGGCCCAGCTTTAAATTTCGCCTTAGCCCCCTCTGCTTCCCAACTCTTTTTGACAGATCCAGCCTTCAAGATGGATTCAACGGACGAGGTTGTCAAAACAGGATCGGAGATGTTAGACGACTACCTCGCCAATCTAGAAAAGCTGGCCGAGGAAACAGCCAAGGCACGCTTTTGTCTATAGAAACCACAGAATGATGCCTCAGCTAACATTAGAGTAGGAGAGTCCAGCCAGTACACCTACCAACGAGAGTAAGTTGCCCAGGTCCAACAAAAAGAGGACGCCTCTTCCTGAAGGGAGGCCAATAGAGCCAGCTCGGGTAAGTTGAATAAGTGTGCTTTCAATACTGAACGGTTCTCTCTTTGTAGATCCCGAGTTTCCAAGCGACTGTGTATCGGATTTAGCGTACATTGGACCAACAAAAAGGTATCTACCCAGACAGCCTCTAGATTCGTTCTTTGCTCTGACATGCCGCCTATTGACGCACTAGAACCTAACATGTCCCCGTATACCCCGTCCAGCTCTTGTACATAAACACATGGTACCATTATTCCAAGAGTTTTGTTTTATATTATACCAAGGTATAGCTCCATATCGAGTCTTATCAGCTGTGACGTCAGTACGGTCACGCGCTGGAGTGTACCCTTGGACCATCGGTACTGGCCGAGTTCTCTTTCAACGTGTAATGAATACAAACGACCATTTATTTTATCCCGTCAGTATGTATTTCACCTCGCTAATCATTGAATATTTCCTTTTATTTCTTCTTTTTCATTTGTCCCAATCTGTCCTATTTGGCTGCTGCCCCGACTGGTGATGTCAGCTCGCCACTTGTACAGTATCAACAGTGTTACAGCGGCCTAAGCGCCTCGGTAGCGCTAGTGATTAGCGTCCTTCTCCTCCCACAACCAACCGTTTGATCGCTCTTGCCCCAGCTCCCTTCCCCGGCCGCCTCACGGGTTGCCTTCTTCTCTTTCTTCCTCATTTTCGCTTTTCCACAAACCATCTGCCGCTCGGCCGGCGCTAGTCTTTCCTTTCTTTGCCTCCAGCTCCTGTTTTTTTTTTAGTTCTTGTTTTAATACATTTTGCGCCTCCCTCCTTGTGGCTATCGCCGTCGCCGTCGCGTTGCTGGTGCCAATGCATGTGTCCTCACCACCTCTCAGCGCATCCACGAGATCATGAGGCCGCTACATCCGACCGACTTTGCTGCCAGCTGTCCCATATCGCAAAAAGCCCTGTCGCTTCAGTCGCCTCGGCCGTTTCTAATCTAAAACCTACGATACCAGTATCCGGATCAACCCCACACAGCGCGCCCGGAAGACAGAGCACACCCTGTGCATAGATTGTTCGCAAACCAGGCTTCGCGCCGCGCCCGCGCGTGAAGCGCGTTTCTCACCCTCTTCTCCTCCAACTATACTTGTCATCGCGATCTACCGTATATAGCGATCACCATGTCGACCACAAATGCCGTGCCGGATACCCAGCTGGGCCTCACCGCGGAGGAAATCCAGCTGCTGCGACAAGGGCAAGCTGCACTTGGTGGCTCAAATAGCAGCTCCCGCGCTGCTAGCAAGGCCTCAAGCCAGGGTCTTTTGCTGCTTGATAGCTCCTCATTATCGGCGCTTGGCCGCTATTTCGACCGCCTCATGGCCAACCTTGAACAAAATATCCAATATCTAAGCGAGCAGGCTCAAATGTTCACCCAAGTGCAGTACGACCGCGCCGGTAACATCATCGACGGTGCTGATGCTGAGATCGAGCGATATACACAGATACTGCAACAACTCGACGAGCTAGAGATGGACTTTGACCGTATAGCCAATGTCAAGGAGATTGTCAAGGGATACAAAGCCCGCGTTGCAGATCTCGAAAAGAGCCTCGAGTCAAGTGGCACTTCTAGCCGACATAAGCACTCTTCATCATCACATAAGCACGGCTCTTCGAAACACCATCACCACAAACATAAGAAATAGTCGCAGCGGCTGCGACTGCCTACATATACGCACTTCTACATGGCGATCTCAACCCGCCCCGGAACCCTCTTACCTCTACAATCTGTACATCTCAGGCCCTATTGTTATGGCCGCTAGGACATATCCAACACGCTACATGCTAGCATATCATGTAAAACCAACCAGCCACCAGAGCCCCACGGCTCAAAAGATGAACTCATGGCCTCACGGCCTGTATCTGTTTCTTTTTTTCTCTTTGTCTTCTCACGTATATTGACTACATAACTGGCCTTTTTTTTCCCGTTACTCTGGCTTACTCTTTTCGGATATTCTGCTTGAGGTAGCGTCGCTTAAGGGAATCGGTTGTATCTGGCGCTTGGAAAGGTCTGGCCTAAGATGGTCATGGGGGGATCATCTACTTGACATATACGTTCCTGTATCTTTGTTATTCTCTTATACCCTTTGCAAATGTAGTTTGCACTCCGCATTTTATTTACTTTGACTTTTCGCTCCAACTACTTCAAATTTCGTTCAAGTGACTGTTCTGTATTCCGTATTTATGTTTTCCCTTTGTCCGCTACCTAAATAGCATAGAAGATTTCCAGCAAATAATGCACGATTTATGCAAGATTTTCTGCTGCCGAAACTGCCGTGACCCTGTTTAGTCGTGTTTCGAATGTGTGCATCTCGGTCAAAACAAGCATCGTGGTTGGCCAGATGCTCTAGGCTACCCGGTACATTACGAGCGACACAAGAACAACCAACAACCAATCTTTTTGCTTGCTGTATTATTGCAATTGAATTTTTCAGGATGATTGAAAGTCAATATATTTAAAATGAATACTAACACCGACGCTTCATCCAAAACAAAGCAGGTATATAAAAATAATATGCGAGACAGGAAGGAAATATGCATGCTAGCAGAAATGAGCCAAGGCTTTGTGCAGCGTGGCAATGATTCGAAAATTTGTTTCGAACCAACAAAGAAAAAAGAATCAAGAATTTGTGTTATCCATACGGAAAAGGAAAGCATTAAAACACCTTATCCAAAGAGTGACTGTTGGTATCAGTCCATTCGCGGTCTCCGAAAGTTCAACTCCATAGCAGACACGCAACGCCAGAAAACGGTAGAAAATTAGAAGAAAAATTGGGTACTGTAATCGCCAAAATCAAATGCTGTTCAGACATGTCGGTAAAAACAAGACAGCGCGTCTTGGTGGTGGTGGTAGTGGGTGGGATATCATACTGCAACGCGAACTCGTCGTTTCAAAATTAAGACAAAAATGCAGACAACTCCGACTCTCGTTATTTTCATGTAGTTTCTTTCAGGTCACAGATGTTCGTTTAGGCTTTAACAACGCGGCGCTGGCGGTTTAGGAAAGGGCTGGGCATATCGTCGCACTCGGGGTCCCATATCGCGACGGAGTCATCCCTGGGCTCTCCAGTGGGCACCCGATCGCGTAATGTAGCTCTCTTAGGGCTTGGGTTTTCTGATCCAGGTACGTTACCACCAGACGTATTAGGTCTACCGGTGGTTCGTGCTTGCTGAAGCTCGACGAGCGTACGTCCACGGATGGTGTTCTGTACTGCCGTCTTGGTCAGAGTATCGCCGCTTATGAGCTTCTTCATGGATGGCTTGCGGGCTAGTCCGGGAGGAACAGTGCTTCCATCTGTTTGTGGAATCTTGCTGGGGCTTCGGCTTGGTGAACGGCCGCCAGCGGCTTCCGACTGGCCTGTCGCTTTGGACACCAATCCGGTGTTGGAAGTCTTATGTCTCAGACGGCTTCCTGGTAATGACTTTTGCGAGCTAAGAACTGGTCTTGTCTTGGATGTAAAGGGGTTCTTCACCGACTTGATTTGTCTAGTCGGGGATGGGATTATAACATCGTCATCGTCAGACTCAAGTAGAGTGGGCTCTCGATGAAGTTCCCAGCGGGGATCGACATTGCCTGCAGCCGCGTTGGCGGCAAAAATGTTGGCTGGCTTCGACACGGGGGCCTTGGTAGTTCCGTTTCGGCGTGGAGAAAGTGAGAGCGATGCGATAGCCATGGGACTTGGCGATGCCATCTCAACGTCCATGGGGGTTGCCGCATGTCCAACAAACATAGTCTGAGCTCGGCAGAATGGCGTACGCGCGTTGCTTCTCTTAATTTCTTTCGAGGTATCCGGACTGTCGATCGAATAATCCGTGTTATCTGTGTTTGACGCGTATTCGTCGCCGCTCGTGCCCATAGACGAACGAGGGTAGTCGGATTTCGCGCCAGAGGACTCAAAATCCTCAGCCTGGGTAGCCTCAGGCGCAAAGGAAACTGATTTCTTTTGCAGCTCTGCATCCACTCGAGTCTTGACCTCATCATCAAATCTCTTTTGCAGCTTTTCAATTTCGACGTTGACCAGACGATCAATCTCCAGGCGCGCCTTGACTTCCCACTCACGTCGGAGTGAGCCATCAATCTCGTCCTTGCAGAGCTGTCGCTCTTTTTCAAAGTTTAGAAGTCTATCGTTGACCTCTTTCTCTTTTCGTCGAAGCTCTTCCTCCTTGGTCTTGAGGGCTTTGTTGAGATCGACAACTTCCTTTTCCTTCCTCATCAACTTGACAACCGGCAAATGCAACAACTGTGCAGTGTCAGGTCTTCGATCAGGGTTCACTCGTAAGCAATCCTTAATAACTTGGTTGAGCTCAGGTGAGTAGATTTCAGGCAGAGGAGCAACCTTGCCCTCTTTGATTCGCTGAACAAGTTGGAAGTGTGTCTTGGCGTTGAAAGGCGGTTCACGGGCGCAAAGCTCGTAAATGATACATCCGAGTGACCAAATGTCGGATTTTAAAGTATACTTTTCGGCGGCACAGATTTCGGGGGACATGTAGAAGGGAGTTCCAACATAGGTAGATGCAAAATCCTGAGACTTGATCATCTTGGACAATCCGAAGTCGCCCAACTTGACGGAGTTGTCTTCGCCTAGGAATACTGCAGAAAACAGGGTTAGCATTAAAAAGTTCCAAAGCTACAACATTAAGCCATTGCGAACATACCATTTTCCGGCTTCAAATCTCGATGCAAAATAGTCATTGCACCAGCAGGGGTCTTAGGGGTAGCTGCCGCGCCCTGAGTCAAGCCCAAGACATTGGTGCCGACCTCTGGCGGATCAATACCGTAGTGACAGCGGTACAGAGCGAGGACAAGTTGGCTGAAAATGCTCCAAACAAAGCTCTCCTGCGCCCGTTGGCCCTTGTGTTGAAGATCCTTGATGACTCTTCCGAGGTCACCATTGCCACAGTATTCCATGTAGAGATGCAAATCTTGGCTGGCCTTTAAGTGTTCGCGATGGTAGTAAGCGACGATGTTGGCATGTCGTAGATGCGAGAGAATCTGAAACTCGGCGTGAAGTTGTTCACGCTCCTTCTGGGACATGCGAAGATAGGAAATCTCCTTGCGGCACATGATGAAACCATCTGCCTTGCGACGGACTTTGCGGATGACGCCGAAGGAGCCATGACCTAGGATAATACGTTAATCCAACTTACTACATTGTGAGGCAACTGCCAGCGGCAGAACACTTACCAATCTTCTCCAGAGTATCGTACTTATCCTCGGCCGACATGATGAAAGATTGTTCGGCGGCGTTGCGTGACTGCTTTTATCCCATGAACGTAGACTGAATTATGATGAAGGAGACAGCGGTTCTTCTACACGCAGCGTCGTCGTCGGAACGGAGGATTGTACAGATGAAGGCAGAAAAGAAGAGCTGCTTTGGTTAGTAGAGATGCCCGACGTTGGGAGAAGTAAAAAGAAGAAGAAAACACAAGTCAGGACGAAAAGGCCATAACACAATAGACGAAAAGAGTTGAAGGTAGCGTTTGGAGCGGTCGGAGCCAGTAGTTCTTAGGCTGGTTGGCCCACAGAGTGACAAGGGTGAGGTTGCGTAGTAAACAGCTGGTGTTGCTGGCCAGGCAACGCTGTCGACCCGCTTCTGCGCTGGCGCTGCGAAATGGTGGACTATCGATAAGCCCAGCGATTTTAGGTGGCAACTTGGCTCTGCTGGCCCGTGCGTCCCCTGGATCCGCTGCGCAACACTGCTGAAGGGCGCTGGACCTGGCATGCAGACCACTGTAAATGCTTTGATGACAACATTCTTGGACTCGGACGAAGCAACACGCATCATCACCAAAGTCCCACACTCCCCGACAAATGGTGCTTTTACGGAGGCGCGGGCAGAGGGTGGGAAATATCCTGTAAATTTTTCAAAAAACAAATTTGACTACATAATTGGTCCGAATTTATTTTTAAGCTTGCCTCTGAAGCGCTACGATGGTATTGAGGAAGCACGAGCTTGAGAGCAAGCTCGGCGAAGAGAGCCATCTCATTAAAACCGGCGTGCTCAGAGACGACAATCCTTTAGAGGACAACGAGGATTTCAATGACTTCCTATTGGCTTGCAGGCACGGAGATCTTCAGAAATGTCAAGAGTACATTAATCTGGGAATCAATATCAATGGAAAGGACAGGTTTGACTACACGGCTCTCATTATTGTAGGTGGCATGCAATCTCAGCCCGATCATCACTTTTTTTCTTTTGGCTAATAACTGCCACTAGGCAAGTCTCTGTGGCCACTATGAACTGGTTCAGCTTCTTCTAGAATCCGGTAAGTTCTATTTAGACCAGTGACAGCTCTAGTTTTTACGAACATTGTCATAGGGGCCCTGGCCGAGAGAAACACATTCCAAGGCGAGCGCTGCATTTACAATGCATTGAACGACCGCATTCGCAATCTCCTCCTCCAATACGACTTTTCCAAGAGCTCCGATCCATTTGTTTACTGGTCGTCCCATATAACTACGTTGATGAGCCAATCAGCCTCGTCAACGTCCGACATTACTCTCTCAGCCGACACCAAATCATTTAACCTCCATAAATTCCTCCTCGCTTGCCGGTCACCGTATTTCAGAAAGAAGTTGGAAGCCCAGCCAGAGACAATAACATGGAAATTAGCATCGTCGATTCCAGTGGAAGCATTGCAGGTGGTTCTGCGGTTTATATACCTCGGCGATCTTCCCCGAGAGCTTGTAGGACCAAACAGCCACGTCTCGGAAGAAGATGTGCTCAAAGGTCTTGATAAAATCAGCAAGCAGTTGGAGGTCGAACAACTTTGGGAGGCAATTTTAGGCGGCAACGATCGTAGGCTGGCGCGCCAAAGATATGAGGACGAAGTTCAGCGAGCACTTGGCCAGGTGAAGAGCTTCTTCCAGGACAAAGTTGTTGGCCACAAGATGGTGGTTGACGTTGAACGCGCTGATGATGTGAAATGGAACCATGATAATTCCATTTTCGCCGATGTGCTTCTACGAGCCGATGAACCGGTGGAAGACGAGGCGGATCAACTAGGCGAATCGACACCTCCAACAGAGCGTAACGGAATGCCTATTGGTCCCGCTGTAGGACTACTACCTGATGAGCTGCCGGCAAAGAAGTCTCGAAAAGCAGTGCTCTACCCGGCCCATAAAGCGATGCTGACTCGCAGTGAGTACTTTGCCACCATGTTTAGCGGTGACTTTGTTGAGTCGCGTAAGACGGATCACCTTCGTGTAGTCACGGTTGACTGCAGCCCGCCGGTCCTCGAACTCGTCTTGGCATTTCTTTACACAGAAAGTGCTGCATGTCCACTTGAACATGCACTCGAGCTTCTTTATGCAGCTGATATGCTCTTTTTGGATAACCTCAAGGCCAAAGCCGCTGTAGCTATTAGCACCCTTGGCAGCGGTAAAAAGAATGCTCTTGTCGACCGCACCCATACTGTGCAAGCGGATGCCAATGGAGGTCTCACCGTTGAGGTAGAGCCCATCAATATCTACGACGTTATCCATGCTGCATGGGACCTTCGCGTGCAGCGCCTGGAAGAATTCGCGGCGCGGTACCTGGCCCATCGATTGGAAGATTACATTGACGAGCCGGAGTTCCAAGAGCTCATCCGCGAAAGTGCTGACCGACTACAAAAGCGTGAAGAAACAGACACGATCGAGCTTCTGGACGATATCCGATACTATTTATCTGAGCGTTTCCGTCTGCGATTCGAAGATGTGGGTATTGAGGACATGATGGACGACGAAGGCGAGCTCAATGCAGATGCCGCTGCAGCCATAGCCGAAGAAGCAGCAAGGCAAAATGGTGTCAATGGCGCAAACAGCGATTCACACGAGGCACAGCCGCTGAAGCCAACGACTGATACTGCAGTAGAGGACCAAGATGGCGGCGCAGCTGTTACGATTGATGGTGAAGCTGCTGAGGACGAGTTCGTTTCAGACGCCATCAATTACCAGCTACTGCTCAACAAGATCGACGTCATGCTGGACAGGTTACAACTAGATGCATAGATACTTTTTTGACTAGACATTTACATAATCGTATATCATAGATACATAAAGACTAAACAAAACCCTAATTCTTTTGCTACATTAACTGGAAAAACTTGAGATCGTCACACAGTACTGAATAGATTGTAGCTTTTGCCACGTAAACATGCTTTAGTAGTCGACAATTTTGATGTTGTCTTGGACTGCTTGTGGTAGCTCCTCCAACTTGATAAAGCCCATCGAGACACAGTCGCCCCAGAAGAACATGGCACGAGATTGTGCGTAAGAAAGATAATCAAACTCGTCCAGACCCAACTGCTCTTCTGCCTTGACCGCCTCTTCGGGGGATACAGGCATCTTGTTATCGTCCAAGCCAGGAATCTTGGCCTGTACCACACCCCAGGCAACCCACATGGCACTGTTAACAGGGCGCCAGAGTCTTGTTTCGTCCATCAACTCGCAAACTTGTTGATCGGTTTGCTCCTCACGAGCGCGCTCTGCTGCTCCCCATCCGCCTGGTGGTGCGCGGGCATCGAGCATAAAGTCAACAATGGAACTGCTCGATGGCACAGCATTGAGGATAGGCGTGGTGCCTGCCGACGACGAATTGCTGTCCTGGGCAGCCATGCGTGGAGTTGAGCTTGCTTGTGGGAATTGCGGGCGGTGGTCGACATAGGCTTTGATGAATCGTCGTTGCTCATCGGGATTTGGGTACCAGCTATGGTTACAGACGTGAGAAGTAACAGGGTCGTGGTAGTTGTATGTCCACTCGCTAAAGTGGTTGGCAAACTCGAGCCCAGCCGTATTCGCTGCTGCGTACTCAAAATCAATGACAACCAACTGCTTATGCTTGTTTGCCGGCTGCAAAAGAGGAGAGCGTTCATCGTCGGGCTTGATACGAAGAATGTTGCCGTATTGAGTCTATATGAAGAGGGTTAGTCGTATCTTCTGTTGGGTCTGTATAGGCTTAACTTACGTCGTTATGAGCAAATACCAAGCGCTCAGTGATGGATTTCTTGTTCTTGTAGAATGCATTCATGTGGACTCGGTATTTCTCCACCACTTCGAGGAATCTCTTCCAGGGCAAACCGCAGACATATCCATTGGCTTTCCAGTTGTGTGCCACGGGATTACGTACAACTACACCTTCCATACCAGCTTCGTAGTTTTGGTCTAGATAGGTGACAATACGATCGACGTTCTCCAGCCATTGGTCCCAATTGCGCCACACACCTGGCCCATTCTCTCGTTCATGATAGAGCAAGTCCACACCATCGTGCAATTCTCGCATACGCTTGGCAATCTGCTTCGACGTATCAGGTTCTCTCAAATCAGACGGAACGAGAGTAATAGCATTGAAGAATTGTTCGAAGCGGCCGTTCTTGAAAGTTCCCAGTAGACGCGGACCGATCTTCTTACGAGCTAGTCGTTGCAAGACTTGCAGCTCATTCTCGCGGTCAATGAGATGCTCAACTTGAGGTCCATAGATTCTAAGCAGAATCTTTGGTGGCATCTTCTTACCATCCTCCTCTGGAAGATTTGGAGGTGGGTTGACGACATAGACTGCATTGGTAAGAGCACCGCTTAGCCTCTCAACATATATGGACGCTCCTGCATCAAGACTGACGCGGCGCCATCCTTTGAGTCGGAGAGTATGTGCAATACGGATAATCTCGTTCTTAAATGTCAGCCAGGCGTCCTTTTCTTTCTGCGTACGGACAGCAGCCTCTTCGGGAGCTTCGTTTGATTTGCTCGAGCCGGCATACTTGATGGTAAGAGTGTTATCCAGCCAGGCATCACAACTAGGTACTATTGCATCTCCATCTACGTAATCTGTATCCGAAGAAGCAGCTCGCAGGGAACCTCTTCTTCGCAACTTGTGTCGAGGCACTTTGGATGGGAAGTGAGGGATGGAGCTTAGACCCATGTGCGCCACGGTGTCTTCCAGAATCTGCTGAAGCTTATCAAGGGACATTTCGCTTCCTTGGGAATCGACAGAGTCGGATCGCGGGCGATATTTGGTGGTAGGCGAAGGCGGGTCGACAGAGTTGGGCTCTTTGGGCGGCGATATGGACTTGCGTTGGCGGTGATGAGGTTTCTTAGAACGCTGGGACGCTTTGCGACGCTCATGGTCGAGCCATTCGCTCACCTGAGCAAGCATCTTTTCACTATAATACTGGCGGCGATCGTCTTGGTGCCGGGAGCGAGACGAGCTGTCATCAACAGGTCGGAATGCTGGTGAATTTTCCGCTGACGACCTGAAGCTAGGTGCGAACTTGCCACTAAGGCGTTTGCTGGAACCGACACGGAACATCTTTGGGCCATGGAGAGCATCGTCGTCATTTTGCAGGTCGACCTCGGGCTCGGCGATCTGGACAGCTAGAGCACGTGTTAGCGGTACGTTGGTGCGAGGCAGAGTCGCAAGAAAGGCTCACCCTTTAGCGTGCCGCTACCAGGAGGAGTTCGGTCGACATCATCCTCTGACTTGAGAGCTGATCTCAAAGGTAGAGAAGAGCTGGAGCTAGTATGATCCAGAGACATGGTAGCGTCTCGATCACGCGAGCGATGGAGAGCGACGCCAGAGGCAAGCAAGGCGGGAGGGAGACCTTAGCTTAACAGAGTGTGCGTTGGTTTGTATTGATGGTAAGATGTTTCTGTTTTCCGAGAAGCTGTAGAGTCGACCCTAGGAGCCGGCCAGTGAATATCCAGACTTGTGAAGAATTGCCAGGCAAAAGTCCAAGCGACGAAAATAAGAAGAGGACGAAAAGGTGGGCAAAAACGTTGGGGGGCACTCGGTAAGCGAATCAAGGTCACTGGCAAGCGGGCGCAGAGGCGGGGCGCATGTGCAAAGGCGGGCGACCTTCAGTGGGCTGTTAGCGGGTGGATCATCCGTTGTGCAGTTGGCTGCAGTTAATGCGTGGTCCTTGCAGCGGCTACTAGCGCCTAAGCAGGTTCGCAGGGCCTGGACCATTGGGCGAACACTTGTGCTTGGGGGCGGTGGTCACGAGAACCAAAAAGTTGGCCGACTTTCCGTTGGCTTTACCCAGATGGGCTTGGGCGATTTTGGCAGACATCTGCCATATAACTTTACTATCCGTCACTGTATGCTGTGTATCAGATCTAGCTTCTACCACTATTTACTTCTTCGGTGTATAAACACTTCTCTACGACCATGGTCACCCTACTTAGGACCTGATAAGAGCCACTCTCTCGAGACATCGGCGCCTTCGTTTCGCATCGCCCACACAATCGCATCCACGACGTCATTGACGATAACTCTAGGTTTATATCGGGGCTCGGGTTCTCCATCAGTAGGCTGCCATACTCCTGTCCTCACTAAAATGGATATCCATTCTGTGCCGTCTGCGGGTGAGAATTCATTGGCACCGCGGATGTCGCTCTCCGGGTTATCGCCTATCATGTAGACTCGCTTCAATGGCTGCTTTCCCCCTTGCACAGAGCTTGCATCAAAATAGGTCAGGCGATCATGAGCATATTCGTAGGTGTTCTTGTTTGGCTTGCCGAGCGCATTGTACTGCAGTTGCGCACCGTCGGTCGCCGCAGACCACACACCCTTCAGTGCATCGAGAAATGCACCGGTACCAAATCGATTGATTGGATACTCTGTCTTCCAAAACAAGTCAAGATTGGAGATCCAAAGGTCAGGTTGTCCATCCTGCTGCCACCCGTTGTTTGGCAAAGCTGAATTTCCGTTCTTACTTGACAGTGTGCCTAGGTAACCTTGGTGAGATACCAACAGGTCGTAGATTACCTGGATATCCAATGACCAGTCTCTTGGATCGTTCCACACTAGAATTTTGTCAATCTTCAGAGCGTCTGACGCAATCTCGCGGCTGTAGGCATCCGTTACCGGCGCGGCGCGTTTGCCATCTGGTAGTGGCCTGTGTGGAGCGTGCAGGCTATTTTTGAGGTGTGCAAAAGGATACACAGCATGGTTTGCGTGGATAAGGTCCGCAGGAGTGATTGCGCGCTCAAACCCATATCTATTAAAAGTCAGTTACGTGTTGTCATTGGATATGTTTGGATAACCTACTCCATCGCAACTTGTCTGGATGTTTCTGGGTGCGAGCCAGTGATGAGGACAGTTTGATCCTTCTTGATTGAGGTATCCCAACCACGCATTGGTGTATGAGAAAGAATGACCCTATCACGGAGCACATCTTCGTGGCCTGTAAGCTGTAGTCGCTTGGCCAGTGAAGCAGCCTTTGCGTCTTCATTTGTCCCACCTCCATTGGTCAAAAAGACATAGCGAAGACCCTGGTTATGTATCTTGAGAAGCGTTTCCCTGGCTCCAGAGATCTTCTCGTGCCCTTTATATAAAACTCCGTCAATGCTAGCAGCTCTCGTCAGTCCCATTGCTTGCGATGCTGTACTGGCGAAGCTTACTCAAAAGCGAAAGCAAAGTCTTTCGTCGATGCTGAGGATCCAGGTCTGCCGGCCGCTTTCACCTGGTTTTGATTGCTGATTTCTCGATAATAGCCTGACGAGCTATGAAATGCCCTCGCGCAAGGTGCCGTACGGTAAGCAATATTGGCCAGAGGCTTAGTGACGCGCAACTGGCCGTAGAAGGTGGCGCGGAGGCCGCTCTGCAGTCCAGAATGTACCATGGTATCTATTTGCATTAGAAACACGGATAAAGTAAATTGAAATGCTTTTTGGCTCACCCAACGGTTCGTAGCCGCCAATAAATCCGTCAGCAGACGGCGTGGAGTTGATGAGCTGGAAACGAGCCGGAGGACTCTCGGGCAAGTTCCAATCGTCTCCACTGCGCGTCACTACTAACAAGATCAACAATACCGGACTTCAAAAGAGATACAAGAAACATTAGCTAACAGTAGCGGAGAAAATGGAAAAGAAAAGAGTGGTCGTTCTAGATTAATTTTCTACAGTCTCCTTCATACACTATTATACAAGTTTACAGGTAGTAAGCTACCTCTTCCAGTCCTTCATGTGGTCCAAAATGAGCTTGGCACCCTCTTCAGGAGAATGCTGGCGACCTAGGGCTTCTACAAAATCTCCTTCAGGATCCATGAGGTAGAAGTAAATGCTATGGTCGACAAGGTAATCCTGGCCAGGCTTGACATTCTGAGGTGTGCTGAAGTAGACGCGGTACTTCTTGCAAAGGTCCTTAATCTGGTCATATGTGCCAGTTAAACCAATGAAGCTGGGGTGGAATTCAGCCAAGTATCCCTTCATGGCCTCGGGGTCATCGCGTTCGGGGTCGCAAGTGATAAATAGCGAGATCAGGTTGTTGGGTGTCTTCGCTTCGACAATGTCGACAAGGCGTGCCATCTTGTCGAGTTCCTCAGGGCAAATGTCAGGGCATCTCGTGAATCCGAAGTAGACCTAATTCAAACCATATGTTAGCGTTGCTGTTCAACCCTGTTATTTGCGAACCACCATCAAACTCACCAGAGAATATTTGCCCTTCATCATCTCGCTGGTAAACTTGTTGCCGTTCTGGTCGACCAGCTCAAACTCGCCACCAACCTTGGGTCGTCCAACACCCTTAGTGGCTTCTGCAATTCTCTGTCGTTGCATGCGCTCCTTTTCATGCTCGAAATACCAAACCAAACCACCGCAAGTCGCTACGAAGAGGAGACCGGCTTTCCATGAGAACGGCTATAGGAGAACGTTAGTACTCAGCTTTAGCAACTGGCAATCAATGGGCCAATTAAACACGGTATGCTCTTACTCCAGTGCTTTGACGGCTCTTCGCTTGTTCGACAGTCTTATATTTCGTTCGCTTTTGCATCATGGGCTGTCGGATCTGATTCGATGAAGTGGCCATCGCGGGACGTGCGGTCTTTGGCTGCAAGGCATTGCTGGAGAAGCAACACTGGCACGAGCGAGCTGACCCTTTTGCAATTGTGCTGCGCAAGGCAGCCTGGGTGATTCTCAAGTGCGCCATGGTGGTACGTCTTAAAAAAAACTTGATGATGTCAAAGGGGACTTGTTACGGTCCAGAGGCATAGAAATTACAGCTCCCCCATACAAATTCCCACTTTGCCGAATATCTCCCGGCGCATTTTTTAGCACCTGCCCATCGCCACCAAGAAAGCGCGGCGGCGGACGCGCGACGCTACAGCGCCTCCACTGCACTGAAGCAAATCGCCCTAGTAGGCACGCGCCACCACTCCCGAGATCCCTTGCTAAACTTCATGTCAACTTTAACTTTCACCAAACCGTTGCATTCGTCAGTTTCATCGTCTTATTAAGCTAGGAGTCTGTTTCCAACGCATATCACTCGTCACTATTATTTCCTAACTATCAAATACCGGCGCTACAGGCGATGACCAGGTTCTAACCGCTGCCCATCTCAAACCTGATATCGCACTCTATCACACGCAAATATGGACCACACATACTCTGACTCTCGATTCGAGCAGTCAGAGGCGAAGCGGTTAAAATCAGAGTCAAGAGGAGGCTCGCCGCGGCCATCAGCTAGTGACCGTACGCCAGACAATTCATCATCCACGTCTCCCGTTCGGAAAAAGGGCGTGGCTATGGTTGTTAAGAAGGCACCCAAGCGGCCGATGGCAGGAGGACCTAAAGCAGCCAAAAAGTTTCGATCTCAGAGAGACGGTTCATCACCAGAAGAAAGCGAGGGTGGCTCTGAAGGCGGTCCTTACTGCCTCTGTCGAGGGTCTGATGACCACCGTTGGATGATCTGCTGCGAGTTCTGCGACGACTGGTTCCACGGGGAGTGTATCAAGATGACGAAGGAAGTAGGCGAGAATCTTATTGAGAAATTCGTCTGCCCCAACTGCACTGATAGCAAGGTCTTTACGATATATAAAAAGGCATGCACACTACCCTCTTGCAAGAGGGCATCCCGATTAACACAGACACCCCAGAGTGCATTTTGTTCTTCTGAGCACTCTCAAATGTGGTGGGATCGCATTATTTCAAGGCTGCCGAAAGGAAAGACAAAGAGTGGCCTCAACGATCAGCTATCTCAGGACGAGATCATGGCAATCTTAGCCAGTGACCTCTCCGAAGTAAGCGCAGAAGGGAAATGGGGGATCAAAGCTGATCCTTTTGGGTTGAGCACAGAAGGAAACGGTGTCAAAGGTACGTACTGGCGTAAATTTTTATTATACTTCCACTAACCAGAAAATAGATGAGGCTATGCCTGATCAAATAACAGATGAGGAAAGAATATTTGTCGACATGGCGTCCAGCAAGAAGAAGCAACTTGAAGATGAGATAGCCATGTGCAACAAAATGCTTACTCTAATCGAACTCGCTCAAGACCGCCGGCGAGCAGCTATTGCTGCTGGCAAAATCGGAGAGGATATCTGTGGCTACGACCAACGCTTAGATGCCGTTTCAGCAAGAGATGTGTTTAGCGCGTATGTGGCATCGCCAGAGGGGCAACTGGCATTTGAACAGTCCCAACTGGTAGACCCATTAGGCGAGAATAGCTTTACAAGAGGCATGTGCGAGCGCAAGCGATGCAAGCCACACAGCGGCTGGCAAAAGTTATTAGCCGCCGGTATTAAACATCAGATCCGCGAAATGACAGAACAGGCAGAGGAGGTTGGCGAGGAAGAACGAGCCGTCCGCGACGCAGCCGGAGAGCGACTGCGAAGAAGAATGGCTGAGGGCAACAGGGTTGAAGTTCTCTAGGTCCACAAGAGTGCTTTGTTAATTTATTTAGCTATTCGGCGTTCTGTTTCGGTAGCCTGGAGTCCTGATCGAATTTGTATACGTACTGTTAAACAAGCAGCTGTGTCGACCTGACGTATGCCGTTTGCGTCTTACTTGTTGTGAACTCTCTTTTAATAGTATATTTATTTTTTACTGTTACTTTTATTCGCAAATTTTCTGTATTTTTTGACCGTCTCGCCCTGTGCTCTCAATATTTTCTATCGTCTACATAGTAAAGCAGTTGACTTGCTAAATTGGTCAGCCATAGCGCTTGACTAACACGGCGAAGCTGGCTTGGAAGCTTCGATGAGGGGCAGATCCCGCCACTACGAGCAACCCCACCAAAGAAAAAAAAGTTGCTTATCAAGCACCGTCTTCAAAGAACAGCGCAGCCGACAACAGAGAAAAGCTTGGAATACTTGCGGCCACGGCATTCCCTCGCTTTACCAGCCAGCAGAAATTTCGGGCGCATATATATTTGCCTGTTACCGACCATCAGGCTCCAAGAACAAACACCCTACTACCAATAACAGCGCAGCCCATCGTCACCATGTCGACCGAAGACCACCACGACGAGGAGGACATGCAGGTCCTCAACGAAGATGACGCCGCCGAGGAGATCATCAACGAGGATGGCGATCTTGTCATGGACTCTGACGAAGACATCTTTCTGCAAAATGACTCCATCGCCTACTTTGACGAACCCAAAGACTCCCTCTTCACAATCGCCCAGCACCCCGTCCAGCCTTCCATTGTCGCTGTCGGTGGCTCTGCCGGCCAAGAAGACGATGCCCCCGGCGCAGGTTGGGTCATCGACACCTCATCTGCTCCTTCGAAACCAGTTTTGCCCGCCAGTTTCGCAAGCAACCCTGCCGCACAGCCCGAGGAAGGCTTCCCCCTCCAGAGCGTATACAACCTCGACGGCCACACTGATTCCATAAACTCTCTCTGCTTCACCTTTCCCAAGGGCGAAGTCCTCGTTTCTGGCGGCCTTGACGGCAGAATACGCGCTTGGACTGTCGAGGCCAACCCTGGCTCGCCGATCAAAGTCTCCCCTCTTGGTGAAACCCAAGAAGTAGAGGAGGTAAACTGGATTGCGCCGTGCCCTTCGCCTGAGAACCCCAACACAGTTGCCTTTGGCGCTAACGACGGCTCTGTCTGGGTTTACACCATCGACCCGTCGGATCCCTCCAACCCATTCCAGATTGTTCAGTCTTATTTCCTACACACTGCGTCTTGCACTGCTGGCGCGTGGTCTCCTGACGGCCAGATGCTCGTCACCGTCTCTGAAGAAAGCAGTCTCTATGTTTGGGACGTCTGGGGTGCTGCTGCTGCAAAGGGCCTTGTTGGTGACAACGGTATGAGCATCATTGCCATGACTGGCGAGGACCAGCGTTTCGAAGTTGAGGGTGGTCTTTACTCCGTTGCTGTCGATCCCAAGGGCACATTCATAGCTGCTGGTGGTGCTGGTGGCGCTATTAAGATTGTCTCTATGCCTCGACTATCGGGAGCTGCCGCAGGTGGTAAGGGAGGTAAATCGGGCGCTGACTCTGCTGGCGGCCAAATCCTTGCATCACTTCACGCTCAGTCTGACGGTGTTGAGTCTCTTTCAATTGTACTCGCATCAACTACGCCACCTACCCTCCTTTTGGCCGCCGGTTCCGTCGACGGCTCCATCTGCGTCTTTGATGCTACCCGCCAATTTGCTGTGCGACGCAACATTGTTGGTGCTCACGAGGAGCACTCCGTCGTCAAGGTCGAATTCATCAAGGACTCTTGGACTCTGACATCCTGTGGTATGGATGGTGTCGTCCGCCGCTGGGATCTCCGAGGTACTACCACCGCTGGCACTACTGCCGCAGACTCTGGTCTTATCAAGGAGTGGAAGGGTCACCGTGGCGATGGCGAAGGCGGCGGTATCCTTGGTTTTGTCCAGGGCCAAACAGGTGAACGTATCATTACGGCTGGTGATGACGGAGTCTCGCTTGTCTTTGAAGCTTAAGAAATATATGAAACCCATAGAGCATGATGACACTGTATCTTTGGGTGTCTGGAGATTACAAAAATAGTTTATACAATTTAATTGCACAATACTGAACATGTAGGAATTGACCACAATGTGGAGTGGTCATGATGTTGTCACCGGAAGCAGAGCGCATGAGGAGCGTAAGTTTAGATCAATAAAAGAATGCATTGATATAAAAAAAAGAAAAGAAAAGAAGAAAAAAAAGTCCAAAGAAAAAAAAAAGAACGTCAAATCGTAACTGCGCAAGATCCCAAGGAGTAGAAAAAAAATAAAACATCTCCTGGTCCTTTGTCTAACATTGGGGGGTATCATTGTAAATTCCAGAGCTAAACAGTTAGTAGTAAGGCATAGCGGTATTACCTGTACCGAAACGTTAAAGTTCATCAATTCGTTAATTGCGCTTCCGCGCCCACCGCCTTTGAGAGAGAATTGCAAGTTAAAATCGAATCATGGGGAAAGTGACCATAGCCCATCTTTTCTTTGGGTGTAATCAACTTCAACCGCCATGACTCGAGCCGGAAAGCATATTGGACAAACTTGTTAAAAGCCAAAACAAAGTACGCCAGATTCGGATGTTGAGTGTCCGTATGCAAAATAAAAATGATTTGCCTCAGATGAGGAACATTCCAGAGTGTGTAGGTAGAACAAGTAGTGTCAATTCAACTGTTCAATAAAGGTCCAATTCCAAAACGAAAACGCTGCGATAAATAAGCTTTTTGTCGTACAGTCGATCCAAATGTTAAAGGAGGGATCGATCAGAGGCCCTGGGTGAAGGGGCCAAAGAGAGAAGATTGTGCATGATAAATGCACAATTAGTTCTTAGATGTTGTCGGTATGATAAGGCGCTGTGATATGCGCCTTTCAACCATAACACGCGATGGCAAGCCACTCTGTGCAAGGGGAGCAGAGAAGTATCTCTATGCAGTATATTTTGTACATCTTCTAAGGTGCCTCCGAGTTGCGGATGTAAATTGCTTGCAACTCGGTGGCATTTAGTAAGGTGCAGATCCGCATTCGAATCGACTCAACTGGGTTAATTTTTGAAAACATCATTAATGCGAAGGGGGAAACTGAAAAGGAAAAGGGGAAGTCGCTTGTACAAAGCTCATGTTGAGCCGTTTAGGCGCTGGTGGTATCCTCGACGGGAGGGCAAGTGCAGAAGAGGTTGGTGTCACCGTAGGCTAGTCGAGTAGTTAGTAAACAAATCGGGGTTATATCATATCAGAATTCACTCACTGTCATCAACACGAGTAACCGTGGGCCAGAACTTCTTCTCCTTGAGGTAAGGCAGAGGGTAGGCGGCCTGTTCACGAGTGTAGGGGCGATCCCACTTGCCAGCGTCGCCAACAATGACATCCTGCTGAGTATGGGGAGAGTTCTTAAGAACGTTGCCCTCGCGGGGCTGCTTGCCCTCCTCGACCTCACGGATTTCGTTGCGGATGCTGATCATAGCATCGATGAAGCGGTCAAGCTCCTCCTTGCTCTCACTCTCAGTGGGCTCGATCATGAGCGTGTTAGGGACAGGCCAGCTCATGGTGGGAGCGTGGAAGCCGTAATCCTGGAGACGCTTGGCAATGTCGATAGCCTCGACGCCGGAGGTCTTGGAGAAGCCACGAGCATCGATGATGAACTCGTGGGCGCAGCGACCGTTGTCGTTGGTGTAGAGAACGGGGTAGTGCTCCTTGAGACGGGCAAGGATGTAGTTGGCGTTGAGCAGAGCAATGGAGGTGGCCTTGCGGAGACCGGCATCACCCATGGTAGAGATGTAAGCCCAGCTGATGGGGACGATGCTGGCGCTACCGTAGTTGGCGCTGGCAACGGGGACCTGGTTCTGCTTGTGAGGCAAGAAAGGCTCAAGGTGCTTCTTGACACAGATGGGTCCGACACCAGGGCCACCACCACCGTGGGGAATGCAGAAGGTTTTGTGCAAGTTCAAGTGGCAGACATCAGCACCGAGAGCGCCAGGGGAGGTGAGGCCAATCTGAGCGTTCATGTTGGCACCGTCCATGTAGACCTGGCCACCGTACTCGTGGATGAGCTGGCAAACCTTGCGAACCTCAGGTTCGAAGACACCGTAAGTGCTAGGGTAGGTAATCATGATGGCACCAAGGTTATCAGCGTGCTTCTTGCACTTGGCCTCGAGATCAGCGAGATCAAGGTTACCAGTGGCAGTGTCACACTTGATAGGGACGACGCGCATACCAGCCATAGCAGCAGAGGCAGGGTTGGTTCCGTGAGCGGAGACGGGGATGAAGCAAATGTCACGCTTGGTCTTGGAGTTCTCCTCGTGGAACTTGCGGATGGCACGGAGACCAGCAAATTCACCCTGGGCACCAGAGTTGGGCTGAAGAGAAGTAGCATCCATACCGGTCAAAGCAGCAAGCTGACTGGAAGTCTCAGCGAAGAGCTTCTGGTAGCCCTTGACGGAGTCAGCAAGAGCGTGGGGGTGGATGTTAGAGATGGTTTCGGTGCCAACAAGCTCCATCTGAGTAGTACCGTTGAGCTTCATGGTGCAAGATCCGAGAGGGATCATGGAGTGAACCAGGGAGAGATCCTTGGACTGGAGGTGGTGCATGTAACGGAGCATCTCGGTTTCGCTGTGGTGGGAGTTGAAGACGGGGTGGGTCAAGAACTTGGACTGACGGCGAACAGATTCGGGGAGGCTGTTGAGGATAGCCTCGTCGGACTGAGCGTAGCCCTGCTCCCAGAACTTGCTAGCAACCTCAAGGTCGGCATCAGTCTTGTTCTCAGTGGAAACGACCTGGAAAGCCTTGACGATGCCAGAGTACGAGCGAAGGTCGAAGCCGGTAGGAACAGCCAAAACAACCTCGTTGGCAGACCAGGTCTTACCAGAGCTGATGTTGTGGTGCTCGAGTTCGCGGCGGAGAGCCTGGCAGGCAACAGGGTCCTCGAAGCCGATGGTGAGGGTGTCGGAGAGGACACGGCCCTCAGGGTCGACAGAGCCGGTAATGACGTTCAGACCGTAGTGCTGGGCAGCAGCCTGGAGGATACGGGCGTGACGCAAGTTGCTGATAGCCATCTCACGGAGCTGGTTGGGGCCGTGGTAGATGGCGTACATGGCGGCCATGTTGGCGAGCAGAGCCTGAGCAGTGCAGACGTTGCTAGTAGCCTTCTCACGGCGAATGTGCTGCTCACGAGTCTGGAGAGCGAGACGGAGAGCACGGTTGCCAGTGCGGTCCTTGGAGACACCGATCAAACGACCGGGCAGACGGCGTTTGCTGGAGTCCTGAGCAGCCATGAAGGCGGCGTGTGGACCACCGTAGCCGAGAGGAACACCCCATCGCTGAGAGTTACCGAAGGCAACATCGGCGCCCCATTCACCAGGGGGGGTAAGGAGGGTCAAAGCAGACAAGTCAGTGGCAGCACTGAGGAGAGTGCCCTGAGCGTGGGCAATGTCAGCAAGCTCCTTGAAGTTCTGGACACCACCGTTGGTGTCGGGGTACTGGACCATGACACCGAGAAGGTCGTCACCGAGAGCCTTGATAGACTCGTGGGCGTCGGGAGCAGTGAGATCCATGACCTTGACGTTTATGCCGAAGCCTTCAGCACGGCCGTGCATGACACGGATGGTAGAGTCGTGGAGGAGGTCAGAAACGACGTAGGTCTTGCCAGGGCGCTTAGCACGCGAAGTAGAGACGCTGTTAAAGGACATGGTCATAGCCTCGGCGGCAGCGGTACCCTCGTCAAGCAAACTAGCGTTGGCGACGGGGAGACCGGTGAGATCAGTGATCATGGTCTGGAAGTTGAGCAGAGACTCAAGACGGCCTTGGCTGATTTCGGCCTGGTAGGGAGTGTAGCTGGTGTACCAGGCAGGGTTCTCAAAGATGTTGCGCTTGATGACGGTAGGGATCTCGACGGGGTAGTAACCACCACCGTTCATCCAGACCTTCTTTTCGTTGTTGGCGTTAATAGCCTTGAACTGCTTGGCAATGCCAGCCTCAGTGTAAGTCTTGGCCTGGATAGTCTTCTGGGGAGGAAGCATGACGTCCTTGGGAATGACCTGGTTGAGGAAGCCATCAAGGGTCTCGGCACCAGGGCCAAGCGCCTTGAGCATCTCCTCAATGTCGGAGTCGCGAGGACCAATGTGGCGGGAGGAGAAGTTCAGGTACGACTTGAGGTTGTCGTCCTGGACCTTCTGCATGGCCTTGTAGCTGGGCTCCTTCTTGAGCTCAGCAAAGGCGTTGCGTCTAGTGCGAGCATCCTGGGCCTCAGCGGAAGCCGTCTGAGAGATGCAACGAAGAGCAGCTGGGGTTCTGGAGGTGAAAGTAGCGGCGCGGGTAGCCAAGGCCACGGGGGCTCTGTTGATGGCACCACGGCCGAGGACAAGACGAGAGGCCATTCTGTCGCGAGAGAGTCAATTGAATGGGATCTTTCAATTGAGGCGGCGGGCCAGTGTGCTTGAGATGAAGAGGAAGAGAAGGAAGAAGTAGAGGGAGAAGAGGGGAGAAGATGGAGAAGGAGGGGGACCTGGGGTGTAGGTTTTTTTTTCTGCCCTTGGCTTGGAGGTGGCACCCCCAATGCAAAATGGTGTCAGTACAACGCTGTGCGAGAACCGCCATGGCCGTACTCAGCCGAGATGGGGAAAGATGGTTCCACCTACGCGGCTGGCGGCTTAAAGGCGTGCTCGCACTATGCAACGCCAGTGCAGCACTTTTTCTCGTAGGGCGCTGCAGGTGCTGGTGCATCCACCGATCGTCCGACGGCCGGAGCCTGTCGGAGCGCTGCATGTTTTGCTTTCAGTGTCTGTGTCTGTCGGTAGATATCCCAGGCCTCTCTTCTGTTTTTTGTGCAAAAAACAAAAGAGCAGCAGTACTACTGAGAAAAGCCCATTAAACTGGATACATCAACATCTTAATCTCCAGTCTCGCCCACAAAAAAAATTAACACAACTCTCTGTTGCTACCCACCTGCTCTTCTGGAACTGCCCTGTAATTTTCTTCTCCAGTGCATGACTCTCTACCCCAGTGCGTGATCTCCTGGGCCTGGCCAGGGCCAGAACAAGTACAGCGGAGTCCTAGCGCGGGGGGCCCCAAGAGAGCCTGGGCACGCTCACCGTGATGGGCGACGATATCGGACAGGAAGGCGCCCCATGCCGACGCTGAGCGCCGCCTGTGGACACACTGTAATGCCTTCCTCATTCGTGTTGGACGCTCAGGCTGCTTGCTCTTCATTTCTGGGCCAAGAAGACACGTAAATGGGACAGATCTGTGGAAGATCCCCCGAGGAGTTTCACTGTGACAGCCATCAAATATTTCTTAATTGTTATCATTTCTTTTTGGGGGTTAGTCGTCAGTGCGTCTGCATTACTCGGCACCAACACTGGGTAGCCCCCCAAATTTTTGTGTTACTATACTCCGAGGACGAAAAAAATTAGCCGCAACGGTCAAGCCTTAGGCCACAAAGGCACTTGCCCATACTGTGGGTATAGCGCATGTACACTATGCTAGGCACTGTATAGAGTTGCCCGGCCCCCTTTAGTTACGTAAAGCGTGCAGGCGACAAGGCAAAAAAAAAATTAAGCCCGATTGCTAGCATAGTGATTGTATGGAAACCACAGCTAGTCGCGACACAACCATCAGCGCTTCCCCCTCGACCAATCAACTAAACTAATACTACCTGCAACCATGTTCGGAGGATGTAAGCATGCGCGCATATCTCTTTACTATTGCGTAATGTCTAATATACTAACCGTGCCTCTCGCATAGTCGCCCCCCCTCAACAGTCCCCCGAGGAGATTCGTGCCATGGAGGCCGAAGCTACCTTCACTGTCCAGCAGGTCGCCGCCACCGCCGTCATGCTTTACCTTTGTAAGTCTACCTTAATTGTTCTTTAGGAACAGCTTTAAAAGCAACTACCTAGCCGATCCATCGGCAGGGCACGCGTCTTGATCTGTGCTAATCAACCCTATCAGCTCCTTTTGCCATCGACATGGTCAGCCGCATCTTCTAAATACCCAATCCAAACTCAGCTAAGCAACCGGGTTGCATCAAAATACGGGGAATTACAACAGCAGATGACCCTGTCTTGGAAATGATCCGATAAACAAGCACGTGGCTGTGGCATTTTCTGCTCGGCAGGAAACCATGGCGCGTTGTATCAGTATAAAACTACACAAAAGTTATGGGAATTGTATGGGATACCTCACGAGATGGGCATGAAATCTCGTTGTATGATATATTAAACCTTCTCCAATTGGTCAAGAAGGCGCATCTTTATGAATCGAATAATCTCTTTACGCTTCACTTCACTTCACTCTTTTACTGGCACGTGCGACGGCATATCAAACAGTTACTAAAACAACAAAGTAATAGACAACGTTGTCGTAAACTTTAGGTATAACAGTATGTGATACATGGCCTTTTTCAAAACAACCCAAATAGCCTTGTCTTCTTTCCAATCAGACCTGATCCTGTCGTTACGATGAGTGACGACTCCTCTCCCACTCCGTGTAATCCACACCCAAAGATTCGAGTTCCTTCTTCAAATGACTAAGCTGCTTCTCGTAGTCTTCCAGTACCTGTGAAACGATATTAGCAAAATACATAGCGTAGAATCAATCCGAAATGCACATACCCTCTTAGCCTTTGTCTGCGTGTCGTCATCGATTTCTTGTCCTTCAGACGAAGGCTTATCAAGTTCTTTGCTCAGTCTATCAGAGTAACCACGCAAGACAATCAGTCTGCTCCACAGCTCTTCTTCACGGGCTTCAAGAGCAGGGTCTTGAACGTCACGCTCTAGCTTTTGCAGCCTGTTCTTCAAGTCATCTTCATCGCCACTCAGGGCGTAGCCTCTATTTCTCAAGATCTGGACCCTGGCAGCTAGGGCGAGACATCTTTCGTTAATCGTAACTTGTCGGCGGCGTGCAGCCAAAGCTCGGACATCTGTTTCAAGTTCGTGTCTTTGGGAGATGGCATCCAAGCTGCCATTGATCTGGTGCAGTCTCGTGTTGAACTCGGAAACGGCGCGCTTCTGTGTCTTCAGACGGTCTGCTACGCCTGTATAACCAGAGCAGAGAACGGGCATAAATTCGGGGCCAGGCTTATTCTGTAAAGCTTCCTCCCACTCTCGGGGATCCTCGTGAGGCTGAGGCTTATAAAACGGGATGTGAGATTCGTCGACCTTGTTGTAGAAGTAGTGCTTGAAGACACAGCTAGGATTCGCCGGATCCCACTTGTCAGTAACTAGCTTCATCTGTTCCAAGATTGGCTTCTGGTCTGCAGAGGTAAATATTAGTTAAGAGAGCACGCGGCTACTTCAAAGCACTTCGACGTACGAGGTGTTTCCTTTCCAGGCTGCCACAATGATGATGACAGCTGTGCTTGAGATTGTGCGAGCGCTGGCATTTGCTGAACTTGCTGAGACTGTGCCATGATATTATTTCCTGCCGTAGCACCCAGTGTCTGGCCAAATGCGCCGGTGGTTTGTTGGGCTTGCGGTTGTTGTGCAAGCTGTGATTGACCAAACAGGCCACCCGTGGCCGCCGGCTTTGGTTGTCCGAAAAGAGACATCGGTAATGTTTTATATGTCGTGCTTTTTAAGCTATTTTGTCGGTCAAGGTCGCAGGATTGGCAGCTATAGTGAAGCGTCCGGTGTTGACTATCGTTGTGGTCTGAGGAAATCACAGCAGCCCAGAGCTGACAAGTCCCAACCTATCTCCAATGTAATAGTGTTTGAACTAAACTCTAGTTGTCTGATTCTCGCAGAACCTTTTTGCTATGATTTTTGCGGTACAGTTGCGGCGATGGTCGATATTTTTTTTTGTCGCTGGTCGTGTTGCTAAGAATTGAGACGCGACGGGCGCAGAGCTCCATCTCACCACCTACGTTTCTGCCGTGGCCAGCGTTCTGGGCCACCGCCGTCACGTTAAAGATTTTAGCCAATCACAGCCCTCGAATTCCAACCTCCACCGAGCCCGTCCTCCCAGACAACAGGTGCTGCTAAGTGTCGAAAACCAATCCTCATCCCCTGTGCATCCGCTCAATCAGTCCACGCGAGCGTCGTTACATCAGTTAAAATGTCTACTAGACGGTCACAGTATGTTTTATTTATTTCCATGGCAATAGCTGCCGAATGGCGCCAATTGACGCCTCAATGTCTGCCCGCGACCGTGAGTGGAAAAGCTGACCCTCGATCTTTTTACCACCTCTAGATTCCACCAGCAGGTCCTCGTCGACACGACACCGCTTCCTGAGGATATCCCTGCCGTCAAGGAGATTGGCGCCAGTTCTGCTCCCCTTCTTTCCGCTTCCTTCTTCATCGGCGCCCGATGCCGCGACTACAACGATGATTACATGCAATGCAAGACCGAAAAGGCTGGCACCGGTGAGGTGGACTGCATGAAGGAGGGTCGCCGAGTCACGCGCTGTGCTTCTAGCGTGTACGTTTCGACCCAATGCCAAGATGCCGTCTGATTCCTCTGCGAATGTTGTGTGGTGTTGGCTGGAGGAGGGCTCATATGCCTCTGCCAACGCGCCTAACTTGACGGCTGGCGCAGCGTCCCATGCGTGTTTTAGAGACTAACATTTTGATAGTATCCAGGATATCAACACCCACTGCTTGACTGAGTTCCGTGACCACTGGCAGTGCCTCAATGCTCGCAACCACCAGCTGTGGCAATGCCGTCCTTTGGAATGGAGACTCAACAAATGTGTCTATGATAACTTGGTACGTTTTGGCCGTCTCTTGGAGTATTATCTTCGTCCATCATTCTAATATGTTTCTAGAAACTCGAGAAGAAGGTCCCTGATCAGCCACCAAATGTTGTTCCTGTTGAGCTTCGCACCAAGCAGATCTTTGCTGACAACCGCATCCGCCCTGCTGACGGAAAGCCTTTCTCTGCTGGTGAGGCCAAGCAATAAATAAGGTGTAGATTTAGGGCTATGTCGTATGTAATGGGGCTAGATAAAGTTTGGGGTTGTTGTATTGTCGTGGGAAACGAACATTGTACATCTTAGGTTCACAATGCAATATCATCTTGTTACCATCCGTACTTGTTACTGTTGCGCCCGCACACCATGATAGAGGGTATGACTACATATATAGGACCATTTTGGCGTCTTTAGTGACTTGATATCGGCACCGTTGGGCTTGCAGATGCAGCAATATTGAGTACTGGTAACCAACACTACCCTATATGAGGCAACTAGTCAACCATTTCGCAATTGTTAACGCACTTGCCGTATTTCGACTATTGAACCATTTTTATTAATTTTTCTTGCTTCATTTACATTTCTTTGTGCTATGTCAGTATCAGTTGAGCTATGTTGAGTTGCAGCGTTGAAGTATATTCTCAACACCAGGTCCACCGTCTCTGACTTCCAAGAGTATGCCACGACTGCACCATGGCAATTGTACCATTACATATCCTACTAGAGTTATAAATTCACGAACTATTGGACATTATGGGTCTCATGATCAACAGATAACAGGATAATAAAATAGGACATAGTGGGTTGCAAATAGCCAGAGCGTAAGACTCGCAGTCTGTTCCCACGGGTTTTCGCACAAATCTATAAGACGTTATCTTGGCTGCCATCTATTGCGTACTTTCCAATTGGTTACGAGCGGCAAACACGAAAAGAATAACTTATACATAAGCAATGGCAATCACCAAAAGTGGAATCTTCAAGTTTTCTGTACCATCAAAGTCCTCGCCAGATGAGGTTACGTCCACTTACAGACACCGAAGCTCGATTGCCAAAAGAAGCAGTATTCAGGTCATGGAACATATTCGTACACCAAGGGGACGGGACGTATGAAATGACGTAAATGCAAGCTCGAACTGTGACAAATTCTGAACAGTGGGCAGTTTAGAGCAGAGAGCTGCGTAAATTACGCTACAGGGCATGTCGGATCTCCAAACAAGCTAGCGAGGACCCCTGGCTAAACATGGGAGCAAGTCGCTCAGGAGAGAAACAGATACCAGCTAGTTGGATAGCTCATTCGTTTGATCTAGAGGCGGCAGGTTGATGAGGCCCTAATTCACCAGGAGATGACCTGCTTCTTACGGCAATCGAATACGGAGGCGTTGCAACGGTTCCTAGGTAGCAAGACCCTCCCCCGCGGCTAATGTCTACAGTGGAAGTGCTAACCCTTAATTACATCGGGGCTCTTATCTACTTCAACCATTGGTAAATTAAACCGAAATTAAAAGGAATATGGAGCTTTGTCGCAAGCTTTATCTTCAACAGCCCTTGGTACTTACTAGGGGCTTTTCATCTGGGAGGCTACTGTTTGGGCGTGCTGTAACAAATCAAGCTACTGTCGCAGTCGTGTTGACAACTGTTGCATGTCTCTGTTACACTCAGTACCCTAGCGATCCAGACAGACGGATAGAAAGGAATCAGATGAAGCGTATGGAGCTCCAATAAAAATTCGGAGATTGAATAGTCTCATCGACGGCATGCCGACAAGTGTCTGACTATTGGAGCGGGAGCGACACTGGAATGGTTGAACCGTCATAGAAGAGGCGCTAGCAGACACATAGTGAACACCGATTGGTTGCCACAATGTGAGACAAATCTTTGTTTGGAGAGAGTAGCGAAGCTAGAGGCGAGTCTGGAAGTCGACAGATTGTTATGTTCCGAATGAATGAACGTGGCCTTGCAAGTGTCTCAACTCTGCCGATTGCAACAACAACAGCGTTGCATAGTCTTTGGTTCGGACAGTGCGGATGTGATCGCTGGCGGACGTAACGCTGCACATGTGGTTGAGCATCAAGCAACCCGGAGATTGAAACATTATGCACGCCTTATTTCTCTTTAGAGAGCTTGGATGGTTTTCGCGTTTCGCATAAGCCTCGATCGTAGCTTAACGGCATGGACCCATGGAGCTGGTCCATGTTTATTGCGGAGGCATGCGCTGAGTTTGCCATAGATTAGATGGAAAAGCCAACGGCACATATGCATGTGGATGCATGACAGAGGGAACAACAGCCAGCCGCAGAGTGGATGAGAAAGGGGACGTGTGATTAGGCGACGAACACCCCCACGTTTCATAGGCCTCGTGTTGAGGCTCCGGCGGACAGGCTATGTCGCTCAGTCATGAACCTTTTGACACAGTGTGGCCGCCCAGTTTAAATGTAAACAAGCGTGTTTGAATTGCTGATTGAAGCGCCCTCCTTGAAGGCGATTTTTTCCCTTTTTTTCTTTCCTCGTCTTTCACCCCTAATGTCGCATCATCCAGAGGATTAACACAGGGCGAGTCGGGCAACAGGCCACGAGATTAAAGGGCGAGTTTCAAGGGGAAATGTGACTACTCCGCTCAGAAAAAGGGCCCCTCGCAGAAGGTTGTTCGATGGAGCTACTGTAGCGCCACACATGGCGCTGTGGTTGGTGGCGCCACAGTCAGGCTTGCGGGCTTGCTGCTCGTGCCACCGACTGGAACTTGGGCGAGAGTCTGGCAGCCATCAGCGAATGCAACGGCGCAAGTGAGCAGATAAGCCAAGCGTATGGTTTGCGCATGCCAAACTGGTTGCAGTGCGGATTTCGATTGTTGTACGAACAGTGTAAGCTGTAATACTACAGTACTATTCTCGTCTCTTGTTGGCTTCGCATGGCACATCCCCTTCCCCTGAAGCCTGGTGCCAGGCTGCCAAGGCTCTACTAACAGTGCCTTTTTCTTGTTGCCAATGTCGCAAAATTAAAGAAGGATAGCGCTGCTCAAGGCTAAACAACCTGCCGTTTTGATGGGACGAAGCAGGCCTCACAACAGACGGCAGTTCCTAGTATATGGCACGGCTGATGTTTACAATTGCTTGCTCTGCCGAACCGCTCCCTGTTTTCTGCTGCCCTGGATGTGTTCCCTGGCTGGGGCGCTGCTGGCCTCACCCAACGGCCGCCAAGCGGGCAGTAGTTTGGGGCGCTGAAACGAACGCCCCCGAAGCAGCAAGCCAGCCTGGCCCTGCTCCCTGCTGGGCTACTCTACTGTAGCCTCTATACAATTTGTGAAATATTGTTTTTTTCTTTGCCTAACTGGGTTGTACAAAGCCATTTCTTTGCTTTTTTTCTTCTCTATCTGCCGAGTGACGTGTAGAACTGTCGATTTCGTCGGAATGTAAACGCACTGTGTTCTTCCAGTGCCCACAAAGAAGCCGTGTATTGCCAACGCAGCAGCTGGTGGTCGGCGCCAAACACATATAATATGTGCACTGTTGTGCTATACATTATATGGCACAAAGTATGCGTATGCAAGCACCGTCTGCCTTTGGTGGCCATGATACATTAGGCTGGTGGATGAGAGCGCTAAGCCAGCGACGAGCCAGCCGGCGCACCAGTCGGCCTGCCGCTAACGAGCTCTGGTCGTCACAGCGCAGATGTTGCATACATCCATCATACGAGGCGATGTACCGCATGGCGCTGGTGCTTAGCGAGAAAGTGAGCTTACAGTACAGTACGAAGTAACTTACATTGTTGGGTTCGTCCTTTTCTGGCCATGGCGCTGTTTGTCTGCGCATATTGTTCTAGTTGGTTTCCCGTTAATTGCAGCCAATCTCCCCTCCAGGACATGATCGTCTAGTGAGGGTGCCGTCGTGCCGGCCTGTGCTCCTTCAGGCCCACACTTACCCCTGCCGATGGGGCGGAGGTGGCTTCTTAGCGCCAGGGGCAAAGGCATGGGTGCGTGAGGCAGGCTCATGTCTCCGCCAATCTGCGCCAACCAAAGTGTGGGCCTGTTGGTACGATTTGCACGCCGTGCGTTGGGCTGCGCGGCTTCTTTAGCATCCTTCGGTGCTGTGTATGGCGCTGTGGTGCCTACAAAAGTCCTCTCCAGCACTTTGTAAGAGCGGTTTGCTTGAAATCGCCCCTCTTCTTGCACTGGAGCGCTCGCCTGTCCCCGTTCCCATGCCCCTCCCCGCGCTGGCAGGTCCCATTCTGCTCTGTACCTAGGGCCCGTTGCTTGTTGGTGAGTGGGAGGTTGCTGTACTGTAAACAAAGACCTGTTATTGGATCTAGTCAACACCCGTAATGCAAAAGATCCGGTTGCTGTTTACCGTTCTATAAAAAACCAAATGCCAACCGTAAAATAAATACAAAATAAATTTCCCGATTTGTTCTGCATGCCCTGCCCACGAACGTGACTGGGGTGTCTTGCAGCCATCTGGTTATTTGGCTTTCCTTGGAACAGAAGCCAACCGGCACCCCTGTCCTAATTACCTTCAACCTACCACACCCCCTACCGGCGCTTTCCCAAACAGCCCAGCGGCCCTCTTCTTCAACCGCCTCCTCTCCTCCTCCTCTTCATCTACAGCACCCTCTGCTTTCTTCAACCTTTTTTCCTACGCTCTCTATCGTGTCTTTGGCACAGTCCACTCCTTTACAGTTTATTCCTCGCGCCCTTTCTGCAATTTGCAGCACTACACAAAAGTAGGTTTGATTATTTCGTTTAATTTTTTGTCTGCCTTGTTCGCCGTGCTTCACCCGTTTGATCGCCTCCCTGCGGCTCTCCTTACGATTCAACCTCCGGCAACCGACGTCCCAAACGCACCAATCCCCTTCCGTTACATGGCCAGCTACTCGCCAAATATTTGCACTTGATACGCAAGTTGTCTAAATATTGTACTCCCGATTATCTCGTTGAACTCCGAAAGGCCATGACGTCTCTAATCCATGTTATGCCGCCGCGGGGAGCAGTCATGATGAACAACGACTCGACTCGGCAACATTACGCGGCTTCTTCTCTACTCTATGTTGAGAAATCAACCAGAGTATTGAATACGGTTCAAGATTAGGCATTTTTCAGTTTTCAGTTTGGTCGGCTATCACCAATCTGCAGCCTCCCAAATAAGTTGCACGTTGGTGCAGTCAAACGAAAACATCGGACGATGCCATTCCGGAAAGCGAGCAGAGAAAAGGTGCAATCCAATATGTATCACATCTCCAACTTGATTACGATTTGGCGGAAGCAAATCTCGACGCATCGCGAAACCAACATCCGACTCGTGGTTCGCCGCGGGCTCGTTGCACAAACCAAAGTCACCAATAACCCGGTGATACAACCCCTCGTTTGAGGCACACACCGAAAATGTCACGATGTTGCCACGATCAATTTTTTCTTTCACTTTTTTTCCCCGACTCTGGTACTACTTCCGACGCGACGTGTCGTGACACAAAGTGTGGTGGTTTACCGGTCGGGGATGTGAGTGCGAACATGTTTCACCTCACATTCCAACTCCGACGTCTCCATTCCCGCCCAAACGGTTCTCCAACCACCACCTTTTTTGGTGAAGGGTGGTGTATTGGATTGCATTTGCCTTTGTCTATTTCCATAGATAAAAGGCCATGGCCGTTGACATTATTTGCATTGCTTTGTTACTTTGTGCTATGACACCACAGACGATGTGAACGACGACTAACTCTTTTTAATCTAGACATTCTTTTCATTTCTTACCAACTTTGCAGAGTCGATCTCTCTTTTCATCATGAAGTCCTCGCTTCTTATCGTCGCTGCTAGCGCTGTGCTGGCCACCGCTGGACCTGTCAACAACGACAAACGTGCCCTTGAGGTCGTCTGGGTCGATGACATTGTTACCGTTACCGTCACCAAGGAAGTTACGCCTACCTCTTCCGTCTTCGTCGAGAACAAGCCTTCCCCCAAGCCCACCACCGAGGCCCCCAAGCCCGCTCCCAAGCCCGAGGAGAAGGCTGCTCCTAAGCCCGCTGCTGCTGCTGCCCAGCCCTCGGCCCAGCCCTCGGCTCAGCCCGCTCCCAAGCCTGCTCCCAAGCCTCAATCTCAGCCTGCTCCTCCCAAGCCCGTTATTGAGGTCCCCAAGATCACCGTTCCCGGTGTTACCGTGACCGTCAACCCTCCCAAGGACAACGGCAACCAGGGTGGCAACGACTACCAGCGAGCTGTTCTCAACGCCCACAACGGCCACCGCTCTCAGCACTCTGCTTCCGCCCTCAGCTGGAGCGACGACCTCGCCAACAAGGCTGCTGCCAACGCTAACAAGTGTGTTTTTGCTCACGACAGGTTTGTTTATTCGATATCTCATAACGTTTGAAATACAGCTGACAATTGTTATAGCTCTGGCCAGAACCTTGCCTCTTTCGGCTCTACTGGTGACTTGGGCAGTGCTGCTGATGCTGCCGCCAAGGGTGTCTCTGACCAGTGGTACAAGGAGATCTCTGACTTCCACTACTTCGGCCAGCCCAACCCTACCCAGGACTTCGAGAAATGGGGCCACTTCACCCAGGTTGTCTGGAAGGGTTCTCAGCAAGTTGGTTGCGCCACTGTCAAGTGCCCTGCCGGCACTGTTCTCGGCTTCCCTTCCATGTACACTGTCTGCAACTACGCCCCTGCTGGTAACTTTGCTGGCCAGTATGCCAACAACGTCAAGCCCCTCTCCGGTTAAATGATGATGGGATCCTTGCGCAGAGCCAGTTCTTCTCCGGCTGGTAGCACGACTGGACTATTTTGCTGATGTGGAGACGTTTTATATTTCACAAGGCGTCGGATGTGATGTTCGCGCGCTTGCAATATCTGACTGGTCTCGAGTGGATTTTTTGCAAGTTAGTATATAGCAAAGGAAAGAGCTTTCTACATCACGATTTTTTTTCTACATGTTCTTCGTTCTAGTTTTAGCAGTTGTGCTAGTCTCGAGGGGTCTCATTTTGACTCTCCTCGCCTCTGTATGTTGTGAGATTGGCATCGTTGTTAACTAGGTGGCTGAGATCCGTATCGAATCGGGCCAGTGTTTTCTTTCTTTCTTTCTCTTGGCTTTGCGATCATTGGTATGGTCAAAACTGATCGCCACATTGCTATACAGCCATTCGGAACTCTTGATATTAAAATAGGAAGTTCCTTTACAATCAACTTTTACATGAGCGCAAGTTGTAAGCGAGTGAATCGGTAATAAGTCTTGTCGTGGACGCTAGTGGTGGCGGTGGCTACTCCCTGGGCGTTAGCTTGGCGAATAACAGTTTGCAGAGGGTGCATCGCACTCACTTATAACTTGTGTGCATTGTAGGGAATGTAGTGGGCAGTTTGAGCAAACAATATCTCCTGATGAACAATATTTCTAAATATTTCGCTCTAAACGCCACAACCCGTTGTATTATGACAATGTGTTTAGCAACATCTTAAATTCTACGTCCGCCAGGCTGCGGGGCCAAGAACGCGTGATTGGCTGCCTGGATGGCAAGGACGTACGATATACAGCGAGGTTAGCCCGCAATTAGACTGTATAGATGGCACCCAGCTTGGTATTGCGATTCTTATGTTGCAAAGAGTATCTGCATATATACAGGTATGCCTATACAAAGCTCTATCCAGGCACTCTCTTTCGTTGCTTTGCGCTGTGCAAGCCGTATAAATGCCCCGAGTGTTCTTCCGAGGGTGCAATTCATAGGTTTCCGCTCAGCCCAAACTCCCCATTTCCGTCTGTATTGCTGTCGGTTTCATTGCCACTTAGAGGCAAACCCCTCAGCTGTCCTTCTGGTGCTTTCCTCCGCGGGCAGCCTTTATTACCAGTCGCAGGAGGGGCTGCTGTATTTTTTTTAATCGTTAGTGCTCTGGTTGTTTCTAGAAAAGCGGACCAGCGCTCACCTATTTTTTTCCTCGTTGCGCCAGTCGGGTGTCAAAAAGACCCCTGACCTATCACGCGCGACATGGAGCATTTGCTCCGGTAGCCGTTCGTAGTGCGCCCAGGTGCACCCCGATCAGACCGTTGCTTAAAGCAGACGTGTGAATTGGCAATTTTGGCAGTCAAAATGGGCTCCCCTCTGCTTCTCTATCACAGGAACCGTCCTTTGGGCTGGACGTGAACCTTTTGCCACCTCGTCGCCGACTCCCAGAGCGTCTACTGCCTCTGCTCGTCTGCACTTGGCCTTTTCTTCAACCTTGATAAAGGTTCCAAGTCGCCGCTAAGCTTCCGGCCCAGGCAGCTAGCGAGGCATCTCCTCTTGGAGGGCCCAGCTGTGTGTTTTATATCAGCGCTGTCGACTTGCCCACGCCGCCAACACGGACGTCTGCACCCGCTGGCTTGCCCTCGACGCTCTTGGTAGTCGCTCTGAAAGGTTCGCGTCCTGCTTTATTTCTTGATTTCTTCATAATAGCCGCAGCCGATTCAAGCTTCTCCGCCCAGCGTGTTTGTCCATGTCGGCTCTCGGCACTTTGCGCCTTTCGTATCTTTCTCAGCAGCACATGTTGAACAGGCTATTTTGAGCTGTTGGAGACCACGATTTGATGTGCACGGCCAACACGGCTCTATGCCCAGCCTGCGGGAAAGAGTACCTCGTATATGTTGCCTTTTGCCACCAGTTTCACCCTCCTCTGGTCCAGTGTCCCAGAGGTACAGCCGTCATTCGCCAGGATATGAAGGATGGGCAGTGTCCCAGCCCAGTCTGCCCAAACAGTTTAAGAGGAGGCTGTCGGGTCATGTAACGGCGCCACAAACGTCACGAAAATACGCATCTCAGCACCCAAACCGCCTTATTACCACTATTAATACTAATCACGAACCATTGCCGCGGCACTGTTAGAGCCGTTGGTTACCGGCAGAGATCTCAACAACTTGGTCAACCCCTTCGTATTTCGGCACCTCAAATTTATACTTCTCTGCAATGGCAGGAGATACGAATCTGCGCGCTTGTCAGACCATCTTGGACACGAAAACATGTGAGCTATTGTACGTACCTGCCACCGACAAAATGTCTGCCGTGGAAGTGCTTTACCAAAGGCTTGGGAGCTGTCAGGCTAACGAGGGCTGTAGGCATAAACGCGCTGCCAAGACCAGCCTTTGGAGGACCGCTTTCGATATCCCAGGATGAAGGAGCATCAACAGAAGTGACAGGTAACTTTGTTTGCTCAAGAGCCCGGATTACTGCTGGGAAAGGTTCGCGAACTTCGCCAGAGAAGCTGAAACCTGGATTCTGTCAGCCAAATACGATGATAGAACAACCCCGAGAGCATTTACGTACCGAAAATAGCGTCAACTATGTGGTCTGTTGATTCTGCAGCGGTCTGGAAGTCGTCGACGAACGGAATGTTCAAGTCCTCCAGCTGCTTTGCAAGACGCTAGTACTATGCGTAAGTGCTCTGAAGACACACGAATAGAGAGCATTAATGAGGCCAAGTACACGAAGGCCCATTATCAAAAAGAAAAGAAAAGGCAAGGGAAATATACGAAAAATGCCCTGCGCCATAATACTGCAAAACCCCGCAACAGGAACATGGATTGGGGAGCAGCTTTCACGCACGCCGTCTATAGCTATATAGACAAGGAATACGATATGATGCATGATTGATGAAATCCAAAAATGGTTCAGCGCAAAACATATTTCGAGATAAACTCACCTGATATAGTTCATTTTTGCCGCGCTTGGGGTAGAAAATGGTTGGCTGGTAGCCGTAGTAAAAGAGGTGTCTCGCCGCAACGAGGCCATCGCCGCCTTTCTACACATCAGCATCTCTTCGCTTGATATGGGGCCATATTTCTATTACCATTATTTCCAGGGCCACAAGCAACGAGGATTCGGCGTCCTTTCTGAGGCGGTTGCAGTCGGAAAACTAGATGATCACAGTTAGGTCTATCATCGCACCTAGAAGACTGCTAACGAGACTCACTTGCTTGTGATACCGATAGGCCAGCAAGCTCCATCAGCTGATCGAGAGAAAAGGCACTGCTACTCATAAGCTCCTGATCGAGAGCAGCCGCAGCTTTTGCCCCTAGAGTCTTAACAAATTGTTAGTGTGTAAACAGATTGGCGTCGGAGAGGCATAACACACACCTTCAATGCCATGCCAGATGAGCTTGTATTCTAGTAGCTCGGTAAATTGTGCTTTAAACCAAGAAATCCTCTTCGAATATTGCTTATATATATGACTGTAGCAGTCACCAACGTACGCTAGATTTTTTAAACGAGGTATGTTTGAGCAAAGTGAAAATGATGTAGTCTTGACATCATAACCAACACAGGGCATCCACTCACTGTACAGCACCTGCACGGCCACCTGGGGCGCTACTGCTAGTGGCCGAACTGTGGCGCCAAAGGTGGGCAGCTGCCACACGGGTTAATTTTCGGGTCGCGGCGAAACCTCGCTCCGCCAAATTTGACTACCTGCATTTCGACCAAGCGACACGAGAACGACCATTGCAAACCATTCCCAGCGAAACAGCAGCATCAATCACCATGGTCGTCAAAATCCGCCTTGCCCGCTTCGGGCGCAAGAACTCTCCCTTCTACAACATTGTCGTCGCTCAAGCTCGGTAAGCCTCCAACCAATTCGACACCCCGTGAAGCGCAGAAAGAAAAACCCCTTTGAGCCAACTCTCGACATCACACACGACCAATCGCTCGTCTCACGCTGTCAGAATTAATCACCACTAACCTCTTGTTTGATACACAGTACTGCTAGAAACTCGCGACCTCTCGAAGTCATTGGCACATACGACCCTATTCCCAAGTCCGACCCCCATGACGAGTCTGGCCGTCTGCACAAGGATATCAAACTGGACTCCCAGCGCGCAAAGTACTGGATTGGTGTCGGCGCCCAACCTACCGACTCAGCGTGGCGATTGCTGTCAATGGCTGGCATTCTGCCCAAAAAGCACTTTGGCCCCAAGGAGCCTGCACCAACCGCGACGGTCGAGACCGACAAGGTTCAGGTCCGTTGAAGACTCAGCTGGCATTGAATTGGCAAGCCTGAGGATTGCAGAAGAAAAGATTGGGACTGTGCAAGCGCGGAATTAGGCGGTGCTAATGTGTGCTTGCGCGTGTATATTTACTGTGCTACGATTGGGGCATTTATCATGGCGTTTTTTTTTGGGATTGAGAACGACTGTTCGACCTTTGTATATTAAACACGTGTGTAGTTTTGTCTACACGAAATAAAAATCTACAGATTAACCTTCACACAATGATACCTCTACAGCGGACCGCATTGCTTGTCTGATAATATCCAAGTTATATTCAAAGAAGGCTAATGTGTTCGGCACCCGCAGGTTCGCGAGCAACATCCGTGTAACTACAAAACACCAATGCACGCAGCTATTCAAGCCGTTTTTGTTTTAAAAAAACATGACAGAACAACATCCAACCTCTTTCTTTCGCAATAGCTCTGGCGAGCCGTTGTGCGCGCTCTGGTGGCGCGTGTTGAAATGATAAACTCCAATATGCCAAAAAGTACACTCTCATCGCAGCCGTGCCGCATTCCGCATACAGCGAAGAGAGTAAATGGTATAGTAACATGATATCCACAACGGTAATGGCGCTGCGTGCTCGTGACCGTGTTCTAATGCGAGACTGTAAAAAAGAGATTCATAAATAGGCATACAACCATGACGATCATGCCGTAGATGGCAAGACCAAGAGCCATCTTGCGTAGCACAGCGTCGTCAATGTGCTCAAGATCCCATCGCCACTTTCTGCGCCAGCGCCAAGTGTTTCGAGCAACAACGGGCTCGCTGCTGCTATCGGCAGCTTCAGCACCCTGTGTTAACGGTGCCGCATCTTCAACGTCGGAAGACTCCTCTTCGTCAGCATCATCGTCCTTGAGCAGTCGCTGCGAATGGGGACTCTCTGGATCGCTAATCTTGTAGTAGAATAGACCAGGCAGGATGAAGCTGATTGAGGTAGAGCCAGTGCTACCAACAAAAGCAAGTACTCGGTCTAAGCTGCTGACAGAGAGAGCGGTGATGTAGGCAAGGGTGAGGATGATTGTGGTGAGAACGGCGAATCGGGTGTCGGACATGGGTGCGGTGCTACCGTGATCACCACGCGTAGGAGTAGGCAGTGAGACGGTGCGTCTGTGGCCGGTTTGAGTCGCTCGATTTGGTCGCCATTTCAGTACAGCGTCGAGAGACGCTCTGCAAGGATGAACTTGCAGAGGGACGGAAAACAAGACCAAGATGACAATGGCGGCTTTGCCAATGGTGGAGCCAACACTTGTGCGGTACATCATGATGATGTTGGCTTTAACGTCATTTCCGAAGGTGATGTAGCCAGTGATGGCGACCAGGACGTAAATGGATGCTGCGCTACCAATACTACTGGCAATCATCGACACCACGTTTCCGGGAGAGTTGTCCTTGAGTTCGTTGAGAATGGAGAACATCTAGAAGAGAGGTTAGTATATATATTACATCATGTTGAAAGCCGATCCAGAAGACGTACATTTTGATGGCAAGTGTACGCAAAGACGACAACGGGAAGTGTGCTCAATGTTTGTACAGCACCGCCCCATTCGATAACGCGGATCTGGCTAGGGTCGGCATGGGGATCAACGGCGAAGTGGTAGATGACGAGGATAATCAAATAGCCGATAGAAATAAGGGCGATGATACTGGTGTATTTAAGCGAATCGAGACGGCGGAGGAAGCTGAGAGGGATGACGAGGAGCATGAAGGCTGTAATCCAAAAGTTTCGGTCGACCAGGTAGGGGACTGTGTCGGTATGCTTATTAAAACCCAGCATGACGCCGGGCATGAGATCTCCGATAATGATCATGTAGGAGACGCCGACGCCAAAGCACTTGACGGCGATGGCCAGGTCAAAGATGACGGAGGCGTTGGGGTAGGTGAGCTGTGAGAGGGAGAAGAAGGACGCGGTTCCGCGGTCGAGGTATCGTGCGCATCGAGATTGGAGGTAAAGGCCAAAACCTGATGTGAGGCCAGACCAGAGAACTAGGATAACACCGAGCATAATTCCCATATGCGACACGACAGCGGGCATCGTCAAAGTTCCCGCGCCGACAACTGTGACGTCACGTTAGCAAGAGGCTGGCAACAGACGGCGATGAATTTCCATCCGAGAAAATTGCATACTTGTATTTAATAGGTTGACAACACTGCTAATGACGGACGCTTGGCCAGCAAAGCCGGCGTCTTTGCCGACTCGTCGTCGTGTTCTGCATTCGTAGGCGTTAGCGGATGGGAACAGGTGGCAGGTTTACGGGTCAACGTTTCAAAGACCGTTAGGAGCAAGGAGCAGAGCTGGGTCACGAACCTCGACATTCTGTTTTGTGCGGCGCTCGATGCGTGGTCATTGGCAAATGTAGAATAACTGGTCATAGCCGGCGCAAAGCCAAGTTGCGCGCTGCCCGGGACAAGGAGCTGGTCGCGCCTTGAAGGGGGTGCTTGCTTGCGAGGGAGAAGAGAAGGAGTACGGAGGTACGAGGTGGAGAAGACCCAAACGGGGGACGAGACACGCTGGGGCGGCTTTGTGGGTGCGCTGGAAATACCACTGGAACAGTAGCCTGACACAACGCTGGCCTCTTCTTTTTTTCTTGGTTGGCGTTGCGAGGGTGGGCGCTCTACAGTGCGTCTCGTATGCACGCTCCAAAAAAAGGAATGTGTGTGATGGATTGCTGGGGGTGTTGGCGGAGGGCTGGGATTGGTCCGTTGCAGGGATTATGCAGCGAGAGAGATGAGTGAGAAGCGTCCCCAAAAATACAGTGGAAGAGCTTCCCCAGCAGCCGGGCGTTGCGTATATTGATGTTGGTGGATGAGGAAGAAGAGAATGGTGCATTGACAGCAGAAGAATGGATAAAAGAGCCAAGACCCGGTTATAGCGCAGCGGTGCGTATACAGCCAGCAGAACCCACACCACAGTCCTTCGTACAGCAGGTGAAAGCGTTGTCGGCGCCCGGCGCTCAGCTCAGACGGGGCCAAGTGGGGAGCGACAGCGTCATCCCGTTGCGAGCCGCTTACTGTGCGCCTCTCCCAACAGGAGACTCCAACAAGAAGACGGCAGAATACGACGAGGCTCCAGAGCATCGCTCGCGTGAAAGAGTTATGCTTTTGTAGTATAGTGATTTATATGTTCCTATTCTATATAGACAACGGTATATCTCCTTCAAGTCTCACTCGTATAAACACAACTCCATTTAAGCAACAGGCTTCTTCTCGCTCATCGCAGGCTTCGCCTCGTTCATAGCGGGCTTCTTCTCAATCAGCACAGGCTTCTGAAGCTCCTCCTTAGCCACAGGCTTTGGCTCGCCGGTTCGGCCCAAGCCGCCCAACGAACCGCCTAGAAGAGGAACTGCGTTAAGAAGGCTAGTGAGACCGCCCAGCCCTCCCTGGTATACGTTAGTTACACGTCAGGAGACAACCGGGATACCAGAATGCATTGACTTACTGGGAGACCAATCTGGGGCAATGGGGCAGCCATGATGCCGACAGCAAAGACAGAAACAGCGAGAGTGAACTTCATGTTGGCTGATGAATTCTACTTCAAGGTGGTGTAATGGATACCAAGCGAGATGGTGTAAGGCGTAGAGGACTATGTGATGATGAATTAAAGACTCCTTTATGCTGCGGGAGGCGTCCGGGTTTTATACTTGATTATTTACTAGAAGAGGCCGCAATATTCTTCTTGTCAAGTAAATCGGCCTGAGCCTTCCACTCGCTTACGTTCAATCAACGCAATGATACTGTATACAGCTGTCAAGCGGCTTCTCTACGTACCGGCAGACGTCAAAGCACTTGGCAAGGGCTCGTTGGCGTCTCATCAATCCTTCGATGCGGGGGATTACGCTTCATTAGCACTTCGGTGACCAGCGTAGGAGCATAAAAGCTTTCTTGGCAAAAAAGGGCTGCTGAAGCCATTATGCATCGCCTTTCATGAGATCAGCCCTGTGCCGTATGCCCCAGACGGGTGCTATGGTAGCATCTACTCTGCAGCGCATATGATCTGGCAGATTACCGTCTCCTTCCGGAATATCTAATGACATAATGGTATATATGGGTCACAATCTTACCACCATATGCGAAATTGTAGATGGAGTTGTAACCTGGTATGATAGTGCCAGCCTGCTATGCGACGCTGCAAGTGTCGACGTGTAACTTTGTGTTCTAAATACAGCAACATGTTATCGCTATGTCGATAAGAATGGCATCATTCAATACCAAAAGCTCCGTAGAATGAGGTATTTAGTTTGTATGATTATTGATGGATCGGCATGTTTCGTTGTAGTGATGATGCGCCTATTGAACCTAGTCCACTGTCTACGATAGTGTAGAGCATCATGGACGACAAGAATGAAAATAAAAATGAAATGAAAATCAACGAAAAGATTTAAATGTTTCTCATCATAAAAATTACAATTTCTCTTCTTATTCTACTGCAGCTCCTTGTACAGCAGTGTGAAGGCTGAGCCTGTCAAACTGGTGCTGGGGTGCGTCAACGCGAGGTGACCCACTCAAGCTTGCCCGCCCCTTCGGCTTGGCTTTGATCGATCTTCCGCAGCAACCATTCCAGCGTCACGGTATCAGACTTCTTCTTGGCGAGACTGCGAGGCAGAAGATTCTGCCACGGTCTGGAACAAACCCCAACAATATCACTCGTCATGGCCAGCCCTATTGACGAGACGACGCTGTCCACGCTCTCCTTGCTGGAGTCGCGTTTGCTTCGCATTGAGCACGTTATCCATGGCCGCGACTCTCCTACTGCTCCTGCAAGTGGCGAAGACTCGGCGTTGCAACGCATGGCAGACCTGGAGAGACGATTCGGGCTCATTACATCACGGATACGCGTCTATGGAGAACTAATGAAGATCTGTATGTGCCGCTAGCCTTGCCTTGACGAATACAATCGCCCCTAACCTTGGCCTTCTCTGCCCTAGATAACGCAAATCCCGACTTCTTTCACGCCCCAAAGCCCTCCGAAATTCCCTCACAGCTCTCTCCAGACGCTATTCGATCGATTGTACTGGCTTCAGCACCGTCATTCTCTACGACGCTCTCTGCGTTGACCGCTATTCAAGATTCGCCAATCCCAGACCCGGCCGAGAGCGCGTCGCTTATTACACTGTCCGATCGGATGAAGGCCATTGAGGCTACTCAACTGGCACAGGCCGCCGAGATGGCAGAGCTTCGTAGCCGGAGTGAAGTTGCCCTCCGGGCGTGGTTTGAGGGCGACATGCTACCCAAGTCGGACTTCATGGCGGATGTCGAAGACCGTTTCGAGCAAGTGGAAAGAGCAGTCAAGCGCCGAGAAAATGAAATCGAACGGGCAAAGGCGATTTGAAGAATATAACGCATGACGTGCGTCGCTTCACGTTCAAAATAAAACCCTACGGCGGTCAGCTGTTTAGCTTGCCACAATCACCGCTCTGAGTAGCCCCAAGGCTGGCTGTCAGCTATTAGCCAGACTATGCCTCATAATATGCTAGGCATTACGAGGATGATACAGATTAGCAAACGACAAGGGCAACATCTGCATTCATTCGCTCGCGCGGCGGTGCAGATGACCTGGAATAACTGGCGCTGCCGGACTCAGCTTGAGAGCTCAGCGGCTGTCAATATGGACGCCCTTTCGTGTCCAAAACTGTAAATATTACGATACTACGATGAATGTATATAACTGCCCACCTCACTGAGATTGCTAGGGCGACACAGAGCCGCCCAAGCCATAGGTGACCGATGTTCCGAAGAGCACGCCTTTCAATACTGTGTTGAATGCGCGGGAACCGGTGCCTATGTAATAAATGGAATCAACTAGACTATCTCAATACAAACCGATTCGGAGCTTGTGAGGCAAAACATGACACAATGACATGATTAAAGGCGCGGCGATTTGAGGGTCTGCACACCACCCTTGGAAAGGCGGGCAGATAACGATGATAGTGGCAGCACCGGAACCGGGGTGTGCGGGCCAGGGACCGGAGGTGCTTGTCAGTAGCCTCTGCCGGTACCGCCGGGGAATGTACTGGAGCGTAGCTGCCACTGAAAGGCACTAATGTATGCGCGTGGGTTGGGCGACCCAAGGCGCCAGGCCCGGGAAACAAAGGATAAGACCCAACTCCGCGAGAATAATCACCGTCCCGCCAATCACAGCAGCGGGTGGGTGCCATCGGGCTTTTTCCTTAGCTGCTGCTGAGAAGGCGGCCAGGGAGGGAAGCCTTGCATCAGCCGGCGTTGCAGAAATGCCTCCTGTCTTTCCGGTTGTGTTTGAACTGGGTGGGATTTGCTACGGATAAACTTTTTTTAAAAGTGTTGCATAGTAATTGGTAAACGTTAAAACAAACATAATTTCTGTGTACGGCGGTGAGAAGCTCTAAACCACCAACAAGAAGGGCGATATCACCCAATGGGATGGGCGTCCCAACAAGTTTCCTGGGTACCGGTTCAATCCGCCCCCCTAAAACGGCACGCCCGTAAGTTAGTGAGCATTACAGCAGTGAGCAGTGAGCAAGCAGCCCGGAGTGAGCAGTATTACTACCGGAGCCCCTCTTTTCTGGGCAAGCCTTTTTGGGTTTCACGCTGCTCCGTCATGTCCGTAAGCTCTGTTTTTTTTGCGGTCCTCGCTGGCTAGCTGCTTCATAATCTCTCTCGCCGTCCCAGCAAACTCTCACTTGTTTTCTTTCTTTCTTCCTTCAACCACCTCCTCTTATCCTTCCCCTTTCATACCAAAGACTTCGTTTTTGCAACCATTGCCCATCATGTCTGGCCCTGTGTAAGTCCTTTCATCGCTTTCCTATCCTTTTTCTTGCCATGGCCGGCTATTGCTACCATGTCGTCATTGCCCAAATTCCCTTATCTACCCCGCCCACCGAGAGCCCCGCGCCGAGTTGGTTTTTATGGGATGACCTCAATTTCCCGCACTGGGTGGCAAACATCTCGACTTTTTCGTGGTGTTTAGCTACTAGACGTGCCAATTCGCCTGAAAGTTGTCTTTAAGCCATGAATTTTCTCGCGCGCGGCTCTCGTTGTGCCCTCCTGTTTTGCCTAGAGCCCCTTGCTCATACAATCGAGCCAGTGCCCGCATCGCAAACCTCAAGCTAGGCGGGGCTCAACAGGACCCCAGCCCGTCTTCCTCTGCCCGACAAGCTTCGAATCATGCTGACAATGCCCCAAGTGCTGATCTCGGCCTCATTGGCCTTGCTGTCATGTAAGTTTTACTCCAATTCCTCCCAAAATTTCGGCGAGTTCGATTGTGCCTAATGCCACGGCGACAGGGGACAGAACCTTATCCTGAACATGGCCGACCACGGCTTCACCATCTGCGCCTTCAACCGAACTGTCTCGAAGGTCGACGCCTTCTTGGAGAACGAGGCCAAGGGCAAGTCCATTGTCGGCGCCCACAGCGTCGAGGAGTTCGTCTCCAAGCTCAAGTCTCCCCGCCGTGTTATGCTCCTCGTCCAGGCCGGCCAGGCTGTTGATGACTGGATTGAGAAGCTCCTCCCCCTCCTTAGCCCCGGCGATATCATCATTGACGGTGGCAACTCTCACTTCCCTGACTCTAACCGCCGCACCAAGTACCTTGCCGAGAAGGGCTTCAACTTCGTCGGCTCCGGTGTCTCCGGTGGTGAGGAGGGTGCCCGCTACGGTCCCTCTATGATGCCTGGTGGTAAGGAAGAGGCGTGGCCTCACATCAAGGACATTTTCCAGAGCATCGCTGCCAAGTCTGACGGCGAGGCTTGCTGCGAGTGGGTTGGCGACGAGGGTGCTGGTCACTACGTCAAGATGGTCCACAACGGCATTGAGTACGGTGACATGCAGCTCATCTGCGAGGTATGCCAGCTTGGCCAACTCTACAATCAAATATGCGATACACCTACTAACGATACTTTTTAGGCCTACGATATCATGAAGCGCGGTCTCGGTCTTTCCAGCAAGGAGATTGGTGATGTCTTCGCCAAGTGGAACAAGGGTGTCCTCGACTCCTTCTTGATTGAAATCACCCGTGATATCATGTACTACAATGATGACGATGGCACTGCTCTCGTTGAGAAGATCCTCGACAAGGCTGGCCAGAAGGGTACCGGCAAATGGACTGCTGTCAACGCTCTTGACCTTGGCATGCCCGTCACTTTGATCGCTGAGGCTGTTCTTGCCCGCTGCCTTTCCGGCATCAAGGATGAGCGCGCCGTCGCCTCCACCAAGCTTCGCTACGTCAGCCGTGGCTCTGGCAAGTTTGAGGGTGACAAGGAGCAGTTCCTCGACGACCTTGAGCAGGCCCTTTACGCCTCCAAGATCATTTCCTACGCCCAGGGCTTCATGCTCATGCAGGAGGTATGTCGCACTCCTAACTTGACCAATGACTGTAACCGATTTGCTAACACCCGTCATAGGCCGCCAAGGAGTTCAACTGGAAGCTCAACAAGCCTTCCATCGCCCTCATGTGGCGTGGTGGTTGCATCATCCGCTCCGTCTTCCTCAAGGACATCACCGCCGCTTTCCGCAAGGAGCCCGATCTGGCCAACCTTCTCTTCGACGACTTCTTCAACGAGGCCATCCATAAGGCCCAGCCTGGCTGGAGAGACGTTGTCGCCAAGGCTGCTCAGCTTGGTATCCCTACTCCCGCTTTCTCCACCGCCTTGTCCTGGTTCGACGGTTACCGCACCAAGGACCTCCCCGCCAACCTTCTCCAGGCCCAGCGTGACTACTTCGGTGCCCACACCTTCCGCATCAAGCCTGAGTTCGCCAACGCCGCCTACCCCGAGGGCAAGGACATCCACGTCAACTGGACCGGCCGTGGTGGCAACGTCTCTGCCTCTACCTACCAAGCTTAAAGTATTTTAAACGAAAACATATAATAGTGGGAAAAAGGTGCTGCGCAGGCTGGATGACTGAGCGGTGCGAAACAAAGTTGTAGTTAATGGACGTCTTTAGAATATGGTCAATGAATATTAGAAAACAAAATTATACCTGAGTTCGGCTTTGTCCTGCAGGTCGTCTGTGAATTTAATTGGGATGTTGCGCATGCAGAACAGCGATACCTGGGCTAAGGTCATTGTCTACGTAAATTCTCGGCCCATCCTGTTTTCAACGGATTGATCACATTTACAGTATAATCGCTATGAACTGATAATATGGCCGTATCAGGCATCCAATCCCTCTTTGATCTTGCCCTGTGGTTGACGATGATGCAAGGGGTCTCTATGTGAGACTTGCTGTCGTCATGTCTCTTCACGGTTCATGCCGCTGTCGATAATGTCTTGGTGTTTAGGCGCCACTTACGATCCAGGTTTCAACAAACGGTGGTTAAGACCAGTACAGTAGGCCGCTGGAAATCCGGGTCAACTACGACAGACCAAACAGGTTTCATAACGATTATAACTATGCCCGCTTGCACAGTGCATAGTTGCGATCGTAAACGCTGGGACTGGCGGCGCTGGTACGACCGATGCTGGGTGGTTTCCCCTGATTGTCGTTACCGCATTTGGCGGCAAGTTTAAGCCGAAGAAACAATAAGTTTCCCCTTCCTATCTGTCGCACAAAGTGGCTTGGGGTTGCGGCGGCATTGTTGGAGCATCCCACAGCGTTTCCACCAGTGCCCAGTGGAATCGGGGAGCCCATCAGCAGGCGACGTGAAAGGTTTCACCACGATCCACCTGCGACCCAGGGTGATTTTAAACGTTATGGTTTGCATAACGTCATGCCATTTTCGGGTGGCCGTCTACAGAGAGGCAAACATACATCGGGACACCACAGCGCTCTCAGCCAAGCTTCTTCTCCCCAAGAGGCGATGGCCACATGCAATCGGGGAGTCAGGGTACCGTGAGCCATGCTTGGCCCTGGGCCCGTCAGTCAGCGCCTAAAAGAGCACTGTTCAAAGGCGGGCGACTTGTCATGCATGGACGGCGCTCAGACACAACACGGACAAGGCTCTTTGCCTAAACGGGATTAATACGTGGCCTGCGAAATGAAGGATCTTTTTTGTCTCCAGTCGGGACGAGGCGAATCGACCCAATTGTTCGCAATGGAAGGGCATGAGAAAAATCGATATGTTTCACAACTCTGGAAGAATGGCCACGCAAGTGATGTGCACTTGGCCCTGTACCGTGATGCGGCCGTGGATGGTGGCCGCATTCCAGCGCGAGGCCAGCGGCGCGCAAGCACTGGTTTACTTAGCGCCCTGGCACCTTGGGGGACCCTGAGCGCTGTAGCTCTCCCCCTACGGGTGTCCATTGCCACACACAGCGGGCGGCCTTTGTTCGCTCCAGCCACGCCTACGCGCCAGCATTCCGGGCCCCAGCCTAGTTGACGCACGTCTGCGAGCCTTTGTCTCTGTGGGGAGGCCGGGCAGGAAAATGGAACAAAAAGGCGGCGTCTCGTGCTTCCTGTGCTATTGTACTTTTTCTTCTTGTTGTTCTCTTGATTTTCGATTATTATTTCTTGTCGACATCTTGTTGCAACGGGGTTGAAAGGACTACGCTTAGCTATTAACAGCAGACACACACTACGGCGCCCACCACCCACCCACTGTAGCAGCTGCCCCTGGTCCCCGCCGCTAAAAAAAGATCAGCCCTTCGATCCCCTCGAATCATCTTCAGCACAGGCCGCCTCGTCTTCGCTTGCCACTTTTTGCGCCGAGCTTGCCTACTTTTAACCTTTTGCGCTGCTGGATCGGGCTGCTCGCTGTGTCTGCCACACAGACCCTTTTTTGTGCTCGCTCTTCGCCCAGCCTGATCAAAATCCCCAAAAAATTAAACAGCGCAACAAAAAGGCTCTGGCAGCCTCCTCTCCTCAAACCATCATCTCTTCTCTCTTTCACATCTTTCGCCACGAAACGGAAATTGGTTCGCCAGCAGCCCTGCAAAACGTCGTCTCCCTTGCCCACGTTCCACTATCCGCTGTACCGCTACACCGTGCCTGTTTATCACACTCACACTACACTACAAAGTACCATACAGTACACTACCGCAGCACTTTGACAAGCAAGCCACGCAACCCCTGGACGCTCCTTTTTTTCCCTCTTGCTTTGCGGCCAATCAGCTCTGCAGCCTGCAGCTCTGCCCGAAACGACCCACGCACACGCACTTGCGCGCCCCCGCTCCAGCGCTCTCCCTCCGCAAAAGCGACTCTGTTACAGGTAGCCTGCCAGCGCCTGCACACACGCCACTGCAACTTGTCCTTGTACAGCACGCTGCCACTGTGCCAGTCAGCCAGCCTCGACCCGCCCATCCCGCTGCCGCCGCCTCTCCTGCATATTTTTCCTTCTCCTCTCTCTTCTCTCTCCTGAGCCCAAACCGCAGTTTCGTGGTTTCTCGACAACCAAGCAAAGGCATCGATTTAGCCGCCCTGCGACACTCGCCATTTTTTTTTTTGACAACACGGACTCTTGCTTCTCTTGGCGCCTGTCCGACTTTCCTTTTCGCTCTTCTCTTTTTTTGTCGTCTTTGGCTCTACAGCTACTTTTTGGCTCGGTATAATAGCCCTTTTGCGCTGTGCCCACCCGCCTTCAACCCAACGCAACCCGCTTCGCCTCCTCGACTTGGATTGTCCAAACTTCGACTGAACACTAGTCGCCTTTTTTATCTTCTATGCGCGGTTACGGCTCTCCCTATTCACCCTCTCTTGGAAAAATGGAGCACTCGCGCCCCTACGGACGCCGAGGCGGTATTCAGATGGGCAATGTCCTTGGTGACCCCTTCGCCCTTGCCACCATCTCGATTGCAATGCTTGCTTTTCTAATTTCTTTCATCTCCGTCATCTTGGCTCAGATCGATAACAACAACAGAAAGGCTGCTTGGACCAACACCCAAACCGGCCCTTTCCCCGACGAGTTCAACCGATTCTGCTGGTGGGCCGTCTTCTACACGCTCTTTTTAAACATTACCGTCTTCATTGTCATTGCTAGCGATGCTGTCCAGACATACCACGTTGCCGTGTCTTCGTACGCTGCCGCTGGCATGGTCCTGGTCTCTTCGTCTGTCAACACTCTTATTTACAGCTCTGTTGGCTCCCGCCAGGCTGCTGCCGCCGGCATGCTGCTTCTTGCCATCATCGACATCGTCTGGGTTTTCTACTTTGGCTCGACCCCTGCTTCGACTCCTCGCGCCTTTGTCGACTCATTCGCGCTTACCAAGGAATCTGCTATCCGCCAACAAGCCATGAGCAACTACGGCGGAGTCGGTCGTCCCGAGACTTCCAACTCTGTTGCTCCTCCGCAAATGTACACCACGTCCTCCCAGCTCAACGGCTTCGAGAACGCCTCGCCCGTCGGTCCCCGTGGAAACAACATGCAGACCTTTGCCTCCACGACTTCTGTTTCGCAGCAGCAGCAGCAGCTCCAGCCTCAAGCCGCGGTTTCGGCTCCTACACAGCCCTCGCAACCGCCATCGTCCAAGTCTCCTGGCGCCGATGCTGAGGTTGGTCCTCCTACCGAGTACCCCTACCGCGCAAAGGCCATCTACAGCTACGATGCCAACCCCGAAGATGCCAACGAGATTTCTTTTGGAAAGCACGAAATCCTCGAAGTTTCTGACATTAGCGGCCGCTGGTGGCAGGCTCGTAAGGAGAATGGCGAGACCGGTATTGCGCCGAGCAATTATCTCGTCCTTGTTTAAGCCCGCAGTCCTTTGCGCTGAGCGCAAGACTTGCCTGTCTTGACACGCATGCCAAGGTCTGTAGCGCTTAAAAAAGATTGTCGATATTTTGCCGCAGACCTCTGAATATTCTCTCCTGTTTCCTACTTTGCTTTTCCACCTTTTGTCTAGAAAGGTTGACGATACTCCTGGATTTTCTTTTGCGAACGTTGCGGGTTCCCGGATATGTATTGGATGGAGTACGCTGTTTTTTATTACCCTTACACCTTTTTTTATTTATTTGCTCAAAAAGACGGCATCTTGCCCACCGGCAATGCCTTTCTTTTCGCTTCTCTCTTTGCCTCCCTACGCACCAGCGCACATCTGCGCATGATGCCATGCTGGGACGAAGGTGGAAGATCATGGCCAAGGGCCACTAGACGTGGGAAAAACACAGTTGACATTACTTGGGTGTGTGATTCTTGTGTTTGTGGGATTATGGGGAGCCCTGATTCCTTGCCCAGATATACCAGCCGTTTTTGGCACCTGCGTTACGATAGTTTGCGTTGGGATGGGAATTTGTACATAATTGCAGGATATCAATTGATCATATAACTCGTATTAAATTACATATTGCGGTGTATTTGTCATCAAACATTGTCATAAATACATGGCATAGATATATATACAGTGAAGGAGTTTGGCTTGGGCTTATTGTGTCTCCAGTCTCTTTCGTAGCTCTCTCTCCTTCTGCATCACCTCAAGCTCTAGCCGTTCTACGCCATATCGCAGCGCTTCCTTTCTCTGTCTTACGATGCGCGCTCGTAGTTTATCTTCGCCAGTAAGCGCACGCCCACGTTTACTCTTGGCTAGCGATGAGCCTGCCGAATCAGGCTTGGCCAGACGTCCTTGTTGAAGCTCAGCGCGTGCTTTTAATGTTTCGATGCGCCGGTCTTGGCGCTCAATCTGGGCATCGGCTCGTGACAATAGCAGCGCGATGCTTGGTCCGATCTCGTCGCGTAAAGAAGCTTCGGCGGCAGCCAGTGTCGGCTGGGGAATTAGTTCATAGTGCTGTATGAAAGACGGGTTAGTTAACTGCTAGCCATTACCATCGATAACAAAGGCTGGATACAAGCATACGCGAACGGATTTTAAGGCAGTAATGAGGCGAGGAAAGTCGGACACGCCATTATCTATTGTCTCGACTGACGACTCGAGAAACCGTAGCGACGCGCGAAGAGAGGACACGCAGTCGCCGTATGAAGTAGGGCCCGAGGCCATGATGCCGGTTTGATGTGAGAATACGACTGTCTGTGTAGGGTTGAACCGGTAGTGCGCGGGTACCGCAAATCAGCTGCGGGAGATTTGAGTACCGCGAATACAGGTGGTTTCGTGGGAGCACTGTGATGGCGAGAGGCGCATGCGTGTTTGCGGCAGAGAATGCGGGTCGTCTCTCTTTCTCCTTTTTGGGGTACGCTTGTATAATCCCTTTTTGGGGGTCGCTAAACGAACAAAAGCGGAAAGACGGAATCCAGAAAAGGAGAGGCTGTCTTGGAGGTCTCGTCAACGATGGGTGCTGTTTTTGGAGGTTGCTGTAGAGAAGCGCGCGGGTCGCGTGTGGCGCGTAGGCGGGGTTAAGTATGGACGTCGCTCGTTGAGTGTACCTTGCGTGGTGGGTGCACGCTACGCTTCAGTACATTTCAGATGGAGCAGAGCCCCATAACAGGTGCCAAAAACTGAAGAAACACGTAGGTCTCTTATAAAAGGTCATCGCCTAGTTGCCTGACTATTATTCACTATGGTAAGTTACTTTGGTGCAGTAACATTTCCTTCTTTTTTGCAATACTATATCTGCTGTGTTCTTGGAATGCGGTCCGAATCACCATCTTGCTTTTTGCGAACCCTTAACGCACCACCTGAAGGAGTCATCATTCAAGGCATGCCCGAGGAGTATTATATTCCCCTTGGATATACAATATATCGCACAGACTATAGCAGCAATACAGAAGCTGCCTGGCCTGCTCTTGTCGCCGCTATAGAAAACGGAATAAAGAGAGAAGTCTCTAGTACTTTTGAAGAGTTTCGGGGTATACCAGAAGAAGATGCCGCTATTGACAAGATTCTCTCTCTCATTCATGTCGATGCCCAGTCTGATGAACCTAGCCTGGCGAATTGCAGCCTGGATCAGCTGCGCATCATATATAATAACCATGTAGGAGGCAAGCCGTTGAATGTGGACTCCTACCGCTGGAGGACCTTTCTAGTTGCTGACCAATTGGTATTTGAGGCCCTTGCCGGCGGCAAGTCTTGGGTTAAGTCAGTCGAAGTGGACTACGACGCTGCTCGCCATGATCTATCTAAACACCCGCGGTTCATGTCGCAAATGTACTGGGGCTGGATGAAGGTCTCAACTGAGAGTCTTTTCTTCCTGTGGATTGGCTTGGGCATACGAGAATTTTGTAGCATCGCACCAAGAATGAACAAGAGTCAGCATTATTCAGGCGTATATAACGGAGGAGTTGAAGACGTGGATTATTATTAGAACAACGTCAAAACGACCAACCCCTGGCTCTTAGAAATTAGACTTGTATATATATAACGTCTCACCAACTACAATTACTAGTATAAAAAACTTTGCCGATAAAGGCCACGTCGTTTCACACGCTGCTGAAGTCTCCTCCCCTGTCTAGACAAGTAAATGTCCTTTTGGGCGGGTGCGGTGTCCAATGCTCACACTCAAACAAGCAAAGCAGGCTTCGAGTATCTGGAATAGCAGACGTCACCACCTTTGCCTAAGATCGTCCCTCTGTCTTATGTGACTTCTGGGCATGCTGCATTACGGCCCAAAAATTTAGCGCTGTCTTTGGCAACAAACCCGATGTAATTTAGTGGGCTTGCCGTCCTTAGCACCGCGTTTGACGTCGCTAATCCCCCACAAAGGAAAAAAAGCTTGGCCTAGTTGAAGACGCTTTGGCCACGGTTCTTGGTTTTCTTACACTACACCAACACGCCGTTCCACGCGTCCACAATCCTTCTTCTCCAAACCAGGAATCTCCGATTTCCAAATTCAGACGCTTGATCGCCCATCTTCTCTCTTCTCCAAGCGACATATTTTCCCGCGTCTGTCTATCCCAACAGTTTACTTTGTCTCGCCGTCTCTTGTTGCTTTTCTACCGACAGCCTCGTTCTCTCTTTCTCGTCACCATGTCTCACTCGACTGCGGTGGCTTGTACGCTATGGAATGGCCTTTTCCAATGACAGCATTCCAGATACCTATCCCACAACCAGTAGGATCTTTTACCGTGTTTCAACATAATGCCAATTGTGCCCTTGGTACCGCCCTCGAGTCGAATTGGTTGGATACCATTACCTCCTGCAGGCCCAACGGCTCATGTCCCAGCAAACCCCCATTCTTCCAAGGCACTCGTCTGTCGATGTGCTAATTTGGAACACTTCTGGGTCGGGGGTTTTTATCCTACATTCTGCGTTGCTTCGATCTTCTTCCGCTCCGTGTCTCTCGAGCGCTGAGTGATCGGATCTATACCCATGGCCATCGCGAATGTATTCTTCCTGCATCCAGCCATCCGAGCTATCCGGACATAATTACAGGGTGCTATGTGAACAACAGCATCGTCCCACCGCAGTCTGATTAGCATACCTTGTACGTACGGCCTGGATGGGGAAACACCCAAAATGACTCTGAAGCCGCGTGCCGGCATCGTGAGTTTCTACTCTACCGGGGCTTCTCCCCCGGTTAGGCGAGCTTGCGAAGCCATCGAGGGATACACGATGCCTCCTTTGTCCAAGTGCCGTCGGCCTACTACCTGCTGCACCCCGTGTACACGCCCCGTGTACACGCCTCAATACGAGGCTTGCTCTCTTGGCTCCAACAGAGACTGAGACTTTTGACCCCCCAAACCAATTTGTCGCAGATTCCCATGGCAGCTCTGCAAAAACATCATAGGACTCTACTACTTATTGCAGCCGCTACCCAGTTCTCCTTCTGGCATGGTATTTCCTCGGCATCTCTCAATATAAGCGTCTGTACGCAGTCAGCGGGCTCGAAAAGAAACGATTGATACCAGCCTCACCGCGTCTATTTGTGTTTTTCTGGTCTTCAAAAGAACTCTCTACGCTGCGCCTAGGTCCCTCCCCTCACGGGAGCGGTTTCCGTCAAATGGCTGGCGTTCATAGAGTTTCAAGTATCTCAGGCGGTCACAACCATGGCATTCAGTTTCTCAATGAAGATTGGAATGAGAGTATCTCCAACGACCAAACATATCTCCTAAAATGGAACGAATCTATTTCTGGCAATTTGTCTAAAGATCTTGGTCTGTTCACAGTATCTTATCCATCAAACGGAACTATCGTATATCACCTCGCAACAAACCTTACAGGTATGGAGATGCCGTGCAGCAACCTCTGCTGGAGCACAATTGAAGCTCTGTAATATGGAGTACAGTTCGGTATATCGAAAAAGCACACCGTACTAACGCCATGTTATCACAGATTATATGGAATCTAGCTCTTGTCAATGGAAACCACACGAGTTGAATGATGGACTATATGCACTCTGGCTCTCCACAACGGATGTTGACGGTTTCACCAACTGGACGGTATCTCCTCCATGGAAGGCCAAAATAAACCAGCAACAGGTAGTGAATAATAGAGGTCCCCGGGATTACAAAGAACAACGAAGATGCTAACCTTTTCTTTTAGGAAGAACCTGTTGCCTCTCGACTTGCGCCATACATTGCTCCCATCTCAGCGTTACTCTTGATATACGCCCTCTGCCTAGGTTTATATTGGATAGTTAAGAAACGGCGTGCTAAGAGGCGAGCGGCCGAAGCTACTGAGAAAGCTGCTCGAGCGAGACGCACGAAGCAATTTAAACAGCGAGGACGCTATGCGTCGACGACCGCGCAGCCCTCGATACGCAGCCCGTCAGTCAATACGGTCACCTACGATATTTTGGAAGAAAATAATCCCCAAAAGAAAGACGAGATATTCATATATTCAGCCGCGGGTGCGAATATGCGACGTGGCTCTGATGACGTTATTGATTCGCCGTTATCCGATGCCACTCTCATTGAAGAACATGAACAAGCATTGGCTAATGCCGCTGTACGGTTTTACCGTTAGCAAGAAAACGAAAAGCGCGAGGTTGCAGTAAATGGATGACAGAAAGAAGCTATCGGCGGCAGAGAGTTGACATTTTACTTTTAGATGGCGCCTAGTAACAGCGCTCTATGCCTCACGGGACTTGTCTATTACCCTTTATCTTTATCCCTTATATTTACTGGATCGATTTGTTTATTCGGAGTTATTGGCATCAAAAAAGCAGCCGGGAAGGACCGGGTTGGAAATTCGAACTAGGAGTGGCATGGATTGGGATTCATCTTGGCGTTTGTTGTTTGGGATCTTGGGGAAAGATGTAGTCTTGTTTGCCTTGGTTGCTTAACCGTAATAATGATACCCTATGAGTATTTTCCCCCTTTAAACTTCGGTTCAATGCCTTAGCTGTGATCATTATGAACTCGTAGATCGGGATTAGGCTAGATACAAGCCGTGAAAACGACAGCGTCAATGTATGAAAGTTTGAGCGGCAATCGAAAAGGTTGATTTTATTACGATTTTATGATTACATCCATACTAGGTCTGATTTTGCTTTTAACTTAGAACACTATCCCTGTCTAAACGCCCCAGGCTATGCTTGCAGCGGCGTCATTCACACTCCTGAGCAAGCAAGCTTTTTTGTCATCAATATTTAGATAGGGGCAAGAGGCTCGCCGTCGCGAATCTTTCGGGCACCGTACTTCTCCAAGCGGATAGCCTGGATAGCAATGAAACCGCTCGTGTCCTGGATCAATCTGTTAGCTTCGGTTCCAGACGATCGTTGTCAATTTACTAGAAAACACTTACCATGGGAGAGAAACCCTCAAGAGTGTCCATGGAGGACTCAGTCTCGGAGTAAAGGTTAGAGGTCTCGCTAGAGCGGCCGACAACGAATGCGCTGCCCTTGTAGGCAACCATGTTGACCTTGCCCTCAACGTGTCTCTGGCTGAAGACGATGGAGTTCTCGAGGAACTCGCGCTCGGGGCTGAAGTACATGCCGTTGTAGAGGCAGGCAGTCCAGTTCGAGGTGACCATCTGGTCACGGATAGCACGGACCTTGGAGTCCATGACAAGGCCCTCGATATCTCGGTGGGCGGTGCGAAGAATGGTCAAGCCAGGAGTATCGTAGCAGCCACGGCTCTTGAGGCCAATGAATCGGGATTCGACAATGTCGACACGGCCAACACCGTTAGCACGGCCAATTTCGTTGGCGGCCTTGAAGATTTCCAAGGAGCCAGTGATGACCTTGTCGCCAACCTCCAGCTTGATGGGGATACCCTTGTCGAAGTGGACGGTGAATCTGGTGGGCTCATCAGGAGCCTTCATGGGATCTTTTAAAGTTAGCTTCCGCATTACAGAACTGATTCAACAAGACCAAACTTACCAACGGTCATGGTCCACATGTCAGCCTTAGGCTCGAGCTCGGGCTGTTCGAGTTCACCGGCCTCATACGAGCAGCTAATTGAAGATAAAAGGTTAACGACGGTTCTATACATCCTGTCGAGACCGAGGTGCTCTCTTAGTACTTTATACACCATTACAAGTCGCCGTGTACTTGAGTGCTGACGATGATCGTCAGAGTACAGTGGCCGCTTGCAATGATGTGTAAATACTGAACACGTTTGTAGGCACCGATTCGGAGGAAGAAGACGACGGGTATTGCTCACTGGATAAGGTTGGCATCCATAGAAAAGGGCTTGGCCTTGGTGGAGGTCACAGGAACGCCCTTTGACTCGGCAAAGTCCAAAAGTGCTTGACGTCCACTGTCTATACATTAGCATCTCTGAGAGGTAGAGAGAAGTTATTAGGGGAAACGTACGCGAATCGCTCGCAGAACTCCGGGATACGCCATGGGATGATGGTCTTTGTTGATTGGTCGAGGGCTCTCCAGGCGAGCTCGAATCTGACTTGGCTAATATCGAGTGTTAGTGTGTGATAATTTATATCCTGTCATCTAAAAACGTACTCATTCTAAAGAAGGTTAGCATACAGAACATTATACAGACCATGAGAGAAAGGGAGGGAACGTACGCCTTTACCTGTGCCTGTACGGATGGAGGAGACAGCGGTCAGTATTGGACAAACATTGGGCGGATCTCAGAACGTGGCGTGGATTGCTTACATCCGTGACTCAAGAATTCACAGTTGTACTGCTTAGCGACCTTCATCATTGCTCTGGCGATGACGGGTCTGGCCAACGATGTGCCCAGGAGGTAGGCGTCTTCGTAGAGTGCGTTACCTAGTAGCGTGCAATGTTAGCATGAGTGCCACAGGGGGCCGTACACTAAGTGATCAGGCGAACGTACATTGAACAGCGGGCCATACAAGCTCCTCTACGAGCTCCTTCTGGAGATCCTGGATGATCATGCGTTCGGCACCGATCTTGGCAGCCTTGGCCTTGACTGCTTCGTAGTCTTCATTTTGACCCTGTTATGAAGTTAGCGCGAGAAAGTACACCGATGAAACCTCTCTTTTTGTTATCGTCTCCAAGAACAGGCCATTATCCACACTGTGTGAGAGTGTATTTTCGAGTACGGACGCAGTGCTTGTGTTCGAGGCGGGGTAGCAAAATGTTGAGAACCCGGGTGCACATACCACATCTGCAAGGAAGGCCTGGTCACAGTTAGCTCAGTATAGCCACAGAGGACTCAGTTAGACATACAACAACAGTGTAGCCCTGCTCAATGAGCCAGGCAAGGATAACGGAAGTATCCAAACCTATTTACATTAGTATGGTCGTCGAGGTGATGCAGCATTATGCCGCGTAGCAAAAAAAACGCACCGCCAGAGTAGGCACTGGTACACGCAAGTTAGTCAATGGAGCGCTCAGAAAAACAATTGCCGTGATCTTCTACTTACAGACAAACTCGCTTAGAAGCCATTGTGATGGTTGATTGAATTGGAAAAGGTAAGTAAAAGGCAAACCAGAATTACTGAATGTCAGTGTAGTTTGTTGCTCCAAGCTTAAAAGGCCCTTGACCCCGCCGAGGCCGGAGTCGGTAGAGTCAGCATGAGATCTACCTAGATGGCCACTGTGGGGCCACTAAGCTGGTTGCGGCAACACGCATGATAAGGGTTGCGACCCTAGCCTATAGAAGCGCCTGTAGTGGAGGCAATTAGGCGGTCGGACCAGCTATAGAGCGCTAATTGGCATTAACATAGCTCTGCCGAAGAGCATTGTACGGTGAGTCACAATTGGGTCCCTGTCTTGGAATACAGTAAGAAAGATCTCTGGGTCGCTTTTAAGCCGTGTATTCCTTACTCCACCGCAGGTTAACGGCGGCACAAAAGTCGGATGGGGGACATTGCTTACAACACCGACGACCCGGTGAACTCTTGGTATGAGACTAGGGGAGCATAGGGCGTACGAGGAGCAGGCAATGAATATAATTAAATAAAGCAGACAAGGAATTAAAGTATACAGTAGTCCTTTATTTACTGCCCAGTTTGCTCTAGCGGCGTGGAGTCGAAATCCACTGATGCAGGACAGCGGGGTTGGAACTTTCGCTGCGCAGCTCTGTACTAATATAAAGGAAACAACGAAGTCGATGACATCCTTCTTTCCCATATCGACAGCCTACCAAGATCTCCACAATCTTTGCTTTGCTCGGCATCAAACACGAAGGTTTTGTAGAATCAGACGAGGGTGCGTCTACGCTGGTATATTGATTGTCTTTAGCCGTTGAAACTCACACAACAGAATCCCCATGGGCAGGATACCAGTCGCCCATCTTGTCAGCAATGGCTGATCGGTGGCATCGGCGGCACCACGGCGCTCACAAGGCATTAGTCGTAGAGCTGTGTATAGACTATAGAATCTGTAAAAGTATTTGCCGCCTGCCGCCTAAGGCACTGTAACTGAAACTAATCAATAGTGGCTTGATCACCCAGTATCGAACTATTACGCCACATTCGCTCACATAACAACGCCAACAGCGAACAGATATGCGCTTGTATCGTGTGCTATTATGCGAACAATTCAAGAACAACGGCTACAAGCAAGAGATCACGCCCCATAGATAAGTCGGCTCTATTTAAACCGCTCTTTGTAACTTAGTATTAAGAAATTATCAGCTGTTGTCAAGCTCCCTTAAAGTTTTTAAACATTTCTCGTTTTGGCATTCACTAGTCTAGGTTCAGTGGAGCATCTGCTGTACTATAGTTGGTGTGCCCAGGCGTTGTTAGCGCGTGTCGCCCAAACGTACCCGTGCAACTCCACCAGAGCTCAGCGACGTCACCCGCGTTCTCTCTGCCCGCACCATCTATCATCCTGCCATTGCTGGCGCCAACCCACTTGCATTAAATGGCTGGTCCAGGCAACAAGTGAATAATATATAGCATCATATATTTGCAATGTCACTCGATATATGGCCGCCAGTCTCGAGCCACGAGCTCAAGACTCAGATTCAGGAAACCCAGGTACGCCAACGTCTCCCCCAAACACCAGAAGCTGTTTGAGCTAACCCAGCCTGTGTGCAGAACCGCGAGCTAGACTGGTTCATCACAGAAGTGCTAGCTGTCTGTACAGAGCTGAAGCATGGCCTGGAGGACTGCTATGCACTGCTTGCGCCCATAGAACCCGGCACGACCCTGGTTATGAGCACGCCGCGCAACGAGCGAGTGAAGGGCACCATCACCAGAATCGGCACCAGGATTGTCAAAGGCGTCAGTACAGTGTACCATTATCACTAGTGTCATCATAGCTGCTAACTACTGATGCTGTGCAGTCCTTAAATATACAGCTGCGGACCGTGCCCGCGCAGACGCTCACTGTGTCGTCTACTAACCCCATTCATATCCCCGCCCTTGACGGCGTCTTTACCCATCTCACACAATCCATCGACCTTCTTGGCATCATCCTCTCTGAAAAGAAGCCCGACGCCGCCGCCCTCTCCTCCACACTATCTGTTCTAGCCGAAGCACTTTCGGAGTCCACCGCGCTGCTTAAAGGCCCCGCGGGGCTGATCGACTCCGACCCGAAATGGCAAACAGGGTCATGCCCGGCACACCATTTCTCACCGGCAATAGGTCCTAGTCTAAGTGTCTTTGTCGGCATTCAGGACAGCTGTATTGTGCTCTCCCTTCGAGCGCTGGAAGAGGCGAATGCGCCTGTAAACTTTGGCCTAAAGCTTGGGCTTGCAATTGGTACCGTGCGAAGGTTGGAACACGATGAGATGGATGTTACATTTCGATATGACCCTAAGGGAGACGGGTCAACCGATTTACAATCGAGCAACCAGCGCAGGTTGCCCAAACAGCCAACAAGTGCAAAGCCTGCAAATGGCATGGATGTCTACGTCAGAGAAAAGGTCCGCGTTGAGAGTGCAGACGCGTCCTTGATATCTCTTTTTGCAAAGCTTGGCTATCTTAGCCACTCTCTCGGCCAAGCAAGACGAAATCTAGCAGCAGTGATGGGTACAGAATACCAGGCGTAATTGTGATGAAGGGATAATTCTTCACATTTGCAGGACACGGAGTTTATTCAAGTCGGCTTTGCCATGAATTCGGTATCAATGCTAGACTATGATTGTACAATGTAGTAATATATTCATAAACGCCAACTGACAAAAGAAACTGGATGCTGATGTTCTATCCGCCGTATCTTCCTCCACTGTACGACACAAATACTTCAGACATACTATCTCACAGACCGCCAGGCTCAAAGGGAAACTATGCTACTGGAGACCAGGGCATGGGGATCAAGATTCTGGACTTCATGTTCTGGATCAAAGGGACAGTCTTATGGACAGTGTCGCTCCATCCCTCAACAGACCAGCTCTTCTCACGAGTCTCGCGGCGCTCTTCAAGGTTAGCAAACTGCCACAAGTGGTGGACAGTGTTCAAGTCGCCAATCTGGACGAACCAGGCACCGACACCTTCCATGACCTCACGGCGAGCCTTGAGACCGCGGCGCCAGTGAGTCTCCCACTCGAGGAGGTTGCCGGGGTGCAGAGTGTACGAACGAAGCTCAAACACACCTCCAAGCTGTCGAGGAGGGGTGGTCGGCCAGAAAGAAAATTCTTGCATGAGGGAGATGTTCTTGCCCTTAATCAAAGAGTTAAGCTTGTCGTTGAACTCGGGGAAGCCAGCGTCGTTGGAAATGGAGTGTCTGGACTCGTGATATCCCTCATACTTTTGGTACTCCCAAATATGGACTGTACTTTAGGTTAGCATTACGTGGTTCATAGCATTAAATGTCAGGCACTTCATACCAAATGTATCGGCATCACCAACCTCGGTTCGCCAGCTGCCAACCAAGTGAACCTTATTCTTGGGGTCGTTGGCGATGCGAGGATAAAAGTCGCCAACGAGCTTGACGTATTCATCAACTTTATCGGGCTTGACCTCGTGGAAGACAATAGAGTGGACGTATTTGCCACGAGCAAGCACCTGACTGAAGCTTGCCTCGAGCTGAGCCTCCATCTCTCTGCCTTCCTTGGTGCCATAGATAAGGTTGGACAATGGGCCCGACTTTCGCTCCGGTTGAGCATCCTGAGCCGTTGCGGTGGCACCTGCATCAGTCTTAGTTGCAACCTCTTCAGGGGTGGCAGAGTTCTTATGAGCATCAAACGCACGCGCGCCCTGTTCCTTTTGTGCCTGGGCAAACTGCTCTCGGAAGGCCTTCTGCTTGTTGTGGAACGCGTCAACCGACGTCTTCGAAGGGTCGATGTCGCCCATAGAGGGGGTCTTTGCTCGCATTGCAGTAGAGCTTAGGGCACGCATGCTGGAGCGGGCAGCACCGGCCGCGACCATGGTCGAGCGTGAAACACCTCTGGAGAGCATCTTGGACCGACGGGGACGAGGGTTGCGAACGCGTTGGTTGAGTGTAGGACGAAGGAGAGACGAAAGGGTTTTAAGCAGAGATCGTGCGGGGGCGACGAGAGCAGCTATATCGCGGAACACTAATAGAGCGCCGTGGTTGAGCTAGACCGTGTGGTGGAGGGTTGGCTGCTAGGCCGATTGGACAAAGCTGAAGGGTGCGTTGCAGAACGGATGCACACCCCGCACTAAGTGGTGGAGCGAGGGAGCGGCAGAGAAGAGTTTGGCGTAATTAAGCCTGCGTAAACACTTGACGGCAATTGGCTCAAGCAATTGACGACGAAAAGCAGCGGTATTTTGTGTTTTGGGGAGATGCGGGTGCTGCCGTCAACAGGGTGTAGAGAAGGAGGAGACCAGCTAAGCAGCTCTCACACAGTAAGAACGACTAAGCTTGTTTGCTGCCTCCGCTTTTTCTTACCCCAGGTGCCAGCTGGGCCACCGGCTGGGTAAGTGATGTCAATCGCTCTGAGCTATGACATCACGTGACTGTATAGTGTGAGTGTCCGCTGAACCGGCTTTGCTATTGACCTACGTACTGCTGCTATGAGCTAAGTTGTATAATTATTGCGTCTATTATTAACAAGGGCCTCAAACTTATCTCAGTGAAACCGGATGAGCGGACTGTTGTATCGCCATTAGCTCCCTTCCCGCTGTCGTTCCTTTTCAATCAATACCAGATCCCTATGCCCGTCATATTATGACTGTCCCTGTAGTATTCCAAGCTGCACAAATACTATTTAATCCATGATGCAAAATTCGGCCATTTTTGTTGATTGATTTATCAACCATGCGTTATATCTCCCTCTAACAACTCTGCTCCAGCTTGCGCTGTTAGACTACAGTGCCAGCACGTGACTTTGCATCGTCGCGCGGAAAAATCGGATGGCCCGCTTCAACCAACTGTAGCGCTCTCTCTCTCTGCCTGAGGCTAAACTGTGCAATCTCGCCGTCGAACTTCTGGCATAGCGAAAAAGGCTCGTCCATCAAAGTCAACACGCCTACGACATTCCCGCTCAACCTTTTCCTCCCACCCAACCCGTTACAACACATCTAATACCGGCATCATGTCTTGGCTCGGCGTCGCTCCCTTCAAGAAGTTCAACGCTCCTTTCTGTACGTCAATTCGCGCAGGCATCCCGCCCAATTCACCCCTAAGATGCGGCAACGATCCTCGATCTTAAACCAGACGCCACCTTTGCCGACAGCTGCTAACCATTTCTCTTTTATCTTTGTAGTGAGACCTATGTGGCCTTTCTTCGTTGCCGGTACGTAGCGAATCTGCAATGCTGCACGGATGTGCCTCGAATCAGTCGCTCTATCAACAACGACAATCACGCGAGACGACTCCCCGGCGCACCTCTACGAATTGACTCGGCGACAATACTAACAAATTGGATACAGGTGCTGTTATCGCTTATGGCGCCAACTCTGCCCAGAACGCCATGATGGCCTGTACGTAGCCCCCTTGCGCGAGGCTGATGCCGAACCGCCGACCCGATGTTGCAATGTGTACTGACATGATGGATTAGCCGACGAGTGGAAGAACGACCCCCGCAGCCCTTACTCCAAGGGTGGTGACAAGCACTAAAAAAAACAATTACAAATTACGAACCGGTGACGGAGGCGAATGCGTGGAGGAAGGAAGCATGTGGAGGAGAGGCTGTCTGTCGAGACGGCAAAGCATAGTTCTTGGTCGAATTAGCACACCATCAGCCTTTGAGGAAACTAATGTCTGATTGTATCATAGACCTGCCCTAGGGCGAAAATAGACCCCTTTGTATCGATACACTGTCATGAGCTTGTCTACATCTTCTTCGTCTGTTCTACGCTGAATGCTATGCCCAAGCCGCGGTTTCCAAGGGGCGGTCTTGCCGTATATTGTCTGACCACGTAGCCAATTGAAATATATTTAGCAGCTCGAGTCTTTCTATGAAGCTAGCACCTGGCCCGAATACGAAACTATAAAGCACGCTTCCGGTGTTGCGAGCGGAGTAAGCCATCCGTCCTGGTGTCTGCTGGATACCTCCACCGCTGGGGATGACTACCGTCGCCGAGCCTCGCAACCCACATGGGTCCGAACGCCCGTCTGATCCGAACACCAACAAGCCTAAGACGTGGTACCCCGGCGTTTTCGTTCTGCTTTTGTAGCATATATTAATACTGTTTCCTAATTATATATAGATGCAAGCGATTCGAAACTCTGCTTGCCGACTCCGCCCACTCGTCTCAAATTCTCTCTCGTCTACCAGAGCCATGGCGCCTGTATCAAGCACCGCCAATGGCACCCAGGAAGTCAAGATTCTGATGCTTCACGGTTTGTCACACTCTATTCACTGGTAACTTGGGTTACCAGTTGTTGACATATAGTATTTCATATCTAAATGCTAACCAAATATGCAGGCTTCACCCAATCGGGCCCTCTCTTCCACGCAAAGACTCGCGCGTTAGAGAAGTTGTTAATTAAGACCCTCGCCCCAGCGTCTATCTTGCCCAAGCTTATTTACCCCACTGGTCCCAATCTCCTTACCGTTGATGATATCCCAGGCTATCGCCCGCCGCCCAACCAGGATCCTGAAACAGAGCCTCCAGAGATGTGGTCCTGGTGGCGCAAGGACGATGCCACGGGCACCTACCGTTACTTTGACAACGGTCTACAGGTTGTCGCTGATACTATTGCCGAAGCTGGTGGTGTGGACGGCATCTGCGGCTTCAGTCAGGGAGGAGCCTTGACTGGAATAGTAGCGGCCGCGCTGGAGTCGGATCGGGCCATTCCTGATGGTGAGGATGGCGACTGGGCTCGCAAGCTGCGAGAGGCAAACGGTGGTCGTGCAGCAAAGTTTGCTATCGTCTATTCTGGCTTCTGGGCTGGTGTAGACAGACTCAAGTGGCTGTACGAGCCTAACCTTACTACCCCTTCTCTGCACTTCATTGGAAGCTTGGATACAGTGGTCGACGAAACTCGCTCCCAGCAGCTTATCGACCGCTGCGACGATCCCAAGGTAGTGGTACACCCAGGAGGACACCATGTCCCTATTTCCAAAGAATGGGCCATGCCGTTAGCCGGCTTTATTAAACAATACGCATCAGCAAGCACCCCTCGTGCTGGGCTGTAGAGGGAAACGACAGAACGTTAAATGCGCCAATAGACACGCTTGATAGACACATCATTTTTACATTTATCATAGATGCGGTTAGATCACATATTAATGCCCGATGTACTTTTTGCGCCCTCTTTTTTTAGGGACCAACTGCTTCTACAATTACACAAAGTCTATTCTCAAACAGTGAGTGATAGGTAATAGTCATCTAGAAACATATGCCATGTCGTCATTATTTCGAACTTGTTGGTTGAATGCGGGCCATCATCTCCTCCTTGGTAATCAAATGATCGATTCTCTCCAAATGTCCCAGCAGGCTCTTCATGTTGTAGCTCCACTCGTTGAGAACGTCATCAGCGCTTCGCGGCTTCGCAAAGCTAACGATGCGTGCAGGGCGATCAATCTTGGCATAAACAGTCTTGGAGGTCACCAGCTCGCTGATGTACTTTTCTGTCTCGTCTTCGGTAAGGTCGAGAAGCTCAGTTAGACGGCTCATTTGAATGCGAGTGTAGTACTTGGCAACAACGCGAACGTTATGCTCGATAACGCGCTTTCGAAGATCCGTCCATCTTTGATGAGCCTTTTCGTCGGAAGATTTGCCAGGCTGTGCATCAAATACATCGGTGCTGCACAAGTGCTGGCCAAATTTCTTTGCGATTTCGGGCCATCTCATGAGCTCATGAACAGTGAATAAACGTAGTAGTTCGGCATCGAGCGCAACTTGCGAGTTGCGTGTGTCTCTGAAGATGCGCTGAAGAAGATCATGCTGTTCGTTATCGTAAGGGGCGAGGATGACGAAGTAAATAATGCGTTGAAGAACCTGGGTAATGTATATGTTAGCAGCTAGCTTGCCCGTTTGAATATGCAGTCACGTACAGGGTGGAGTTTAGCAGGGTCTTCTTCCACAGCCTCCGTGTCAAGAACATGTCGGTAGTTCTTGCAGACCTCGAGGTACTTGTCCTCATGCTTGGCCAATGTAACCTGTTGCTCGTAGTAGCGCAACTTGAGATCTGTGGTGTCGTCTTCCTTGACCTCTGGCACTTCCTCGCCTCTGGCCTTCTTCTTCTCGCGCTCCTTTTGTTCCTTCTCCAGTTGCTCGGCAGTCTTCTTCGGCTTTCGTGCAAGGAATTTTGTGCTGATCTTGCGGCCGAGGATGCCTGCCTGTGTCCAGTCACCACTCTCGATGCAGAGGGCAACCTGTGCAAGAATGAACTCAGTTTTCTCCCGTCTGTCCATCGATCCAAAGGTTTCAACTTGGAGCTCGCACAAAATTTCAGTAGCCGCCTTCAAATCGCCCTGCTCTTTCTTGATATCGGAGAGAATCTTGGTAACTCTGGCGCGTTCCACTTCGACAAAGATTTTGCCTTCTGTCACCGTTCGGAGGGTCTCGATAACTGATAACTTTGTCTTGAGATCGGGAGTATCGTCGAGGAAGCCGACTACTGTTTGGACCATCTTCGTAATAGCTTGCTTCAGCTGGCTGTGTTTCTTGGACAAGACCAGGGTCTGGTCATTCATCAAGCTCCAGTCACCAGCATTCTTGCAAAGGGTGACAACAGCGACAAGGATTCGAGAGGTCGATGCGAGATCAGATGCCTAGCAACTAGTTAACAATATATCCACAATCAGAATACCACAGATGGCATTACCTGACGAGTCTGCTTCTCAAGCGCCGCGAGCTTTTCGATAGCGCCTTGAAGGTTGGTCTGCAGTTGCCATGTTAGCTACAAGAACCGTCAATTCATCGAGAATCTTCGGTACAAACCTTAGCGAGCTTCTCGGCCTGTGGTAACTGCTCATCGACCTCCTTGGAGAAGTCCTTCTCCGGCTTCAACGCTCCGTCAGACATGATGGCGGGGGTTGATGAGGGTCAGTGATGTTGCAAAGGGTCGGGCTATGGCGATCGGAGGATAAAATTGATAGCAGCACACGAGTCTATACGATTTATCTGCGACAATTATCAGTCGATCGCAGCTGTGTATTTCGTTGATTGTTGAGGTAGGTAACGTAGCGTGCTGAGGTGAGCAAGCTGGTCAATCGTCGCAGCTACACGCAATGACTGCCTGCCTACCGTCGCGAGCGCTAGCTCCACCACAAGCGATCGGTCCAGGCAAAACAGTAAATCCGCCCGCCATCACGTGTGGGTCACTAACAACATATGGTATAAGCTGTGCTGAGAAATAATTCAATATCAACTTCAGCAAATTTATAAATCCTCTAATTACATTCGTGTGTTCTTTGTAATACAAAATAGCACTCAAGAACCTGGAGTCTTTGTCGTGAACTTTGGCGGACAATGAGATAGTTGCTAATAGTTTTATTGCTATCTACTGGTCGTTTAGAGTGAAACGTTGGCGACCTGTGATGTAGCTTCTTCCACCTCTTTTGTGGTGGCAGCAGCACCTTCAGCGGCTACTTCAGGTTTCTTGTCTTCGGGCTTGCCACCAGGCTTGCCAGGGTGGCGCGATCCCTTGTCCTTAACCTTCTTGACTTTCTTTTCAGGAGGAGGGTAAGCCTTGAGAGTAATGTCTTGCCAGTCCTTCGACGCCTCGTAGGCGGCTCTGATAGGAGCTGTCAGCTCAATAAGAGCCTTTGAAACGGCGGGTTTCAGAATCTGAGGTGTGAGCTGTAAGTTAAATGTTAGCAGCTGCAGCCATATGCGTCGTCAGCCATCTCCACTTACAATATCGTTGGCGTAATCGCTGTGCATTTGTTCAATGCTGGTGTAGACAAGGGGTTCTTCATCACGTCTCTCGACAATGAACTCCTTCTTGCCACGCAGTCCAGCAGCAGGGAGCAGAACAAACTCGGTGAAAGCCAAGACACCGTTGCCCTCAACAACCTTGGGGATGGCTTCAGCCTTGCGAATCTTCTTGGTGATAGCCTCGGCAGATTCAAGAATGTCGATTTTGCTATCAGGATCGCTGGAGCTCATCTTAGCTCCTTGGAGACCAGGAACGATGGGGTTCATAATGTGTGCGCGCTGGAGGCCAGGTTAGTCGGGGGTCGCTCAATCAGAGCGTGTGTAAATCGTACCTCCTTGTAGCCAATCTTAGGCAACCACTCCTTGGCTGCAATGAAAAGTTTTCTTTGATCCATACCACCGAATTGTGCATCTACCTTCAAGTATTCTTCGTCGAGAATCTGCAAAACAGGGTAGAGAAGACCACTCAGAGGGGGGTTGTTCGATTGCTTGACAATTTCGGCACTAGCTCTGCGAGCATCGTTCTCTGATACAACCGAGGCTAGGCGGTAAACGTCCATCACATATTCAGCACTCTTCTGGTAAGAGCTTCCGAGCACGAACTTGAGCTTATCGGTCTTGACGCCGACGGCTTCGAGCACAGCGGTAATTGTGTAGCGGTAGAATGTAGCACGGTGGTCGACCATTTCGATAGGGGCTTTGAGGTTATCCAAGAAAGCATGGATATCGGCAAGAAGAATGGTAACCTCACATCCTGCAGCCAGAAGCTGGGCGATCTTGATGGCGGGAACGAAGTAGGCGCAGTGAGGGCGGCCGGTAGTAGCAGTTCCTATTAGCAAGCGATATTAGTTAGTTATAGTTGTTTCCCTGGAGATTCAAGATTTGTCTAACCCCAGTAGATCTTGGGGCTACCTCCAGCATCAATGATCTTCTCAATGATGTCGAAGTTGAGCTCTTCGGCAAGGTTTTCGCGGATGAGCGCAATGCGCTCTTCCTTGGTGGTGGGAACCACGATCGACATGTTGATTGAGTTTCGTAGTCTTGTGTTAATGCAAGGAAGGGTGGCTATAAGAAGCGGTCGAGGCTATATATCGCTCCAAAAGCTCGGTGCCGTGAGTCAGAAGCTTGAAAAAAAGAAGTGTGTCGTCGCGCCGCATTCAATAGAGGGGGAGGGGTCAATTGTGGCCTTTTAGGCTAACCCCCACTGTAAAGTTGCCCCGCCAAGGCGATGCCGCTTCACTAGTGAAAGACGCTGGAGGTTATCTGTCAAAGCCTAATTGCATTTGTTACCTGAATACTTTGTCTATATGAGTACATAATTTAACGGAAAATTTCGCCTAAATTCTCAAAACTCCAATTTCACTCATACCGGTTTTGAAAAGATATGTCAGGCCGCTTGAGTAAGACTGCCGAGTGACTCAATACGAGAGACCGACACCGGCAGCTTCTGCAACTTATCGTCTAAGAATACCAGCAATACATACTTGGTCAAATCAATCCAAAGGTAGTTACCATACATACTCCATCAATAGTGTTCTCTGAAGTAAATACTAGGTAGCCAATATTCGGATAGAAGAATCTAAAATTTGGAGCGCGCCGTCCCGGGTAGTACACCTAACTGGCGTTGTGGGCCATGTCCCTGTCTCTGCCAGAACGCTAAAAACTTCCAACCAGACAATGGACGTCGCTACTCATCTTGTCCCTGTTATAAACCAAACGGCAACAAAGGGCCAAAGTTCCATCCGCTTCATTCGAAAGACTATAGATATATTTGAATCATAGTCATCCGCTCAATTCATTATTCGGATTGCTCTCAAAATTCACGTGAATTGGCCCCTTACGGCCATCACACAGTGAACCTCACGACATGGGTGATCAGACACATTCTGGTACTGCTACTCGCAGTGCTAATATCCAGAAATTATCAAGAGTAGATGATGGTACATTACCGGAGTATTATGCATACCAACAAAAGAAGACTTACTAATCCTGCGAACAGGTCATCGAATCAAGAAACGTCCACTGACGAGGCCACCACTTCCGTCGTCATCCAAGACACCAGTCATATACGTTTCATCCAAGACACCATTTATGTCCACCGTTCGTCGTGTCAGGAAGCAACTTGATAAACCGATCCGCTCTCGCGGTGGTGTTGCACCTGCCCGTAAGAACGCGACCTTGCATTCTCGTATCGAAGCGCTGAAGCATGCTGCCGCGCGTGATGGCGACGATAGCAACGTAACGGTGACTATCATGGGAACAGGCAAGGCTGTCGAAAAGGTCTTGGCTGTGGCTGGCTGGTTTGAGCAACAAGTCGATTGTCGGGTAGAGCTACAGACCAAGACGGTGGCGACTGTTGATGATATCGTAGTGGACGACGGTGGCGACGAAGAAGAAAGTCGCGTACGGAGACTAAGCTGTTTGGAAGTCAAGGTCAGCTTGAAATGAAGGAGATTATTTGGTAAATATTTGGCGCGCGTTTTGATGGCAATAATTTGGCGTTTTTGGTGTTTTGCAGCGACCATTTTGAACCGCTAGTCGGGCTTTGAGCCAGTTTTTTTCTTCCATGGTGGCCGGCTTATTTATTTCTGTGCAAAAATATCACTTGCGACAATGAAGAATTACGATAGATTTTATATTCCAATTTATTTATTATGGATGTAAAATGGTATCGTGGAAGAAGAGTGCTTAATACGCGATAAGAAATCGATTTGCGCCGTGGCAGCATTGCTGCAAATGCACTTCCCGATGCTCCAAGAAACAAAACCTACAAACGCCAATCACTTTGCAAGCCCGCTTCCGGCCTGCTAGGTAATGCTTTGCCCGTGAAAATGCCAGTCGTAAATGCCTTTCCAATGACGCCAGAAACAAGATAACCAGCAACAAAACAAGTGGTATCAAAAATGAGATGCCTGGCCAACGCCGTGACCGTTATAATAATTACAAGAGGGGTATCACGATGGCGTGAAATTGCCACGAGTGATTTATATTACGCGGTAAGCGCTGTAGAAATCGTTAGTTTGTATAATACGTGAGACGGGTTCCAAGTTGTGCTTACTCAATGATGAGCTCATCGCCCTTCCATACACCACATGCGACCCAGAGCCCGCAGTTGACAATCTCAGCGTAACGGCGATCGGCTGCTTTGACGGTGCTGAACATGCGGAAGCTGTACTGTCTGGGATCAATCTCCTTGGGGCTTTGGGGGCTGAGGAGGGTATCGAGAATGTTGCATGGGCCAGAGAGGGAGCCTCGAGTTCTCATTTCGAAGCTGGATAATGTTAGTAATTGTGATGATATCATTGGACCAGAGTCGAGTGATTTTTAAACTCGTATGTCCGAGATGCAGATTGAAACTTACATGGCAGGTACTTGGTCGGATGTTTGTAGCACAAACGCCCCCTCAACGATGCGGATGGGTCGGTATCCCCGAGCTTGTCCGAGGTCATATCCACCAGCCTGCGAAAGGTTAGCCAAGTGCGCCAAGATGAGAAGTATGATAACGGCTAAAACGCATGATGCAAAATAATTTATGCTTTCAAGCGTGCGAATACCACGAGTGATCGCTTGCGTTTTGATGAGGTATTTGCGACTTACCAAGACACGTCCATTTCCGAAAGAGCCGGACCAAGACCCGGATGCAACGGTGATGATTTCCTTGTGCACGCGGTTTTCCGCACGGGATAATTCGGGGTTGAGTTTGACAGAGATGCGAAAGTCGAATTCCAGCGAAGGCATGGGGAACATCAGACCCGGGTTAGGGAAGTGCTCCAGCGATCGCTTATATCCTTCTTCAACGCTTTGCTGTTGCGGCATCCTGGGGCTGTCGTCTGGTGTTAGTGACTAGTTTATGTAGTTACTATGGCTTACTCGACATACCGTGAAGCAAAAAAGGCGTCCATATCAATGGGCTTGTTGCCTGATGCTGCCAACATTTGGTTTGCAAACATGGGATGCTGTGGCATGGCTCTCATGGGTGCGGGAGCCTGCCGTGTTGTAGGTGTAGCTTGTACTGGGGCTGGTTGGGCGACATGCTGCTTCTTCAGTGGTGGTTGCTGAACCGAGTCAACTGGTGCAGGCGATGCGGCAGCGGGTGCAGCAGGAATAGCGACTGTAGGCATGGAGTTGCAGTCCCAACCCCATCCCTGGGAGCCGGTCTCGCTGTTTCGACTGTTGCCAGGCGAGGTCACTGGGGTGTTGGTGTTGGTATCGTGGCGGGAGGTGAAGGTATTTGTGGTTGGCTGTGAGGAAGAGAAGTTTGATTCAGAATCAATTGCGGCATCGGAAGCCTTTCTCTTCATTTTGGGAATATTGATGTTTTGGAGATGTGGTGCTCGACTTTTATTGCATGTGCGGACTATGGGTAGGCGGCGAGGCGATGTGGGTTATAAGCCTACCTACTGGTGGCGGAGGAGGCGATGTTGGTACCGGGCGAGTCGGATGGGGGGGGAGAGGCAGGCTGTGGTATAAGAGAGCCAAGCCAAAAAGCGGGATCTTGAAAGGGCGGAGAAGCGAGAGAGCGATGGTAGCTCCGATGCAAGATGCAGGTATGGATGGGATTAATGGCAGAAGGGAAAGAAAATGAGCAATGCAAGCAACCTGGTTGCCAAGTGGGAGCGAGGGCGTTTATGTTGGATGTTGGTATCCTTGCGCTTGCTTTTTGGGGGTGTCCTGGGGGCTCTCTGGGGGGCCGTGTGCTTTGCAGCTGGCGCTGTCTCGGTTTTTTTCGTGGTGCTCTTGACTGTCAGCAGCTTAACAGGCCCAGGCCTCGCAGGGTGTGTCGGCGACTCAAGCAGCGACAAGACCAGCGTATGCAAGATTACTCTGGGCTGGTAGCGCGAGCGGGGGTTGACTGCTGGGCTGGGGGGTGGATGCTGGGGGGTGGCGATGCCGTTCGGTCTTCGGGAAAGGGGGGCGTGCAGAGCGAAGAGGGCTTGCGTTGGTTTCGGCGCGGGAAGCACGACCGACGATGACAGGTTTGTTGAGAGGCCAGGGGAACTATTGTATTTCTGGCGTGCAGTATGATGCTGATGATGCTGAGTTGGTACTGAGGACGGGGGGGGGGTCGTAGGCAGTATAGAAGGCAGTTTATGCGCAGGAGAGTGGCAAGAGCAGGATATTTAATTGTAAAGAGAACTATTCATGCTCCATATACTAGGATAAATGATGTCAAATACAGAATTGGAAATATAAAAACTAGCAGCGCTTGGCAATTGGCAGTGTTCCGTAGCCTTGGTTCTGGCCGGATAGACCGCGGACTTTTGCGCTGGGGCAGTGGTATGTAACTGCTTGGTAATGGGACGATGCCGAGAGGAGAACCACTGGAAAGTGTACTGTAAAACCAGTGTCGGTCCGTACGAATAGCACGCTCGCGGCGCTGGAGTCTACCAAGAACCCGCTGTAGCATCGCTGGACTCCGAGAGCCCGGGTGACATGCCACTATATTTCCAGCGCGACTCTGCTGTGCGGTGGGTAGTGGGTAGGACAACGTCTGAGAAAAGCGAAGCGAAAAAAACGCCGCAGCGGGCGGCGTCGGGGTTTAGCACGCTAGACCGCGGTATTTTACCCAAACCAAGTAGGCGACTCCGCGACGGGCCACTGTGACGTTACGGGTAGCTAGGCGGACTGCGGCGTTAGGAGAAAACAAGCACCGATCCGGCCCAGACAGCAATTTAGTTCATTTTCCGGTCCAGCCGCGTGCCGTGATCTTTGCGCGTATACACGCCACTTGTGCAGCCTGATGCCATTCCAAATGCCATGTTTGTCGCCGGTCCGGCAGCGTGCGTGTCGTCTGCAGTGTGTTGCCATGCTTTGCTCACGCAACGGTGGCGCTAGGCTGGGCTACAGCGCCAGAGTCGTATGGATGCCACTAAGGAGCGAGCTGGGCCAACTTGGGGCCTGATTGCCGTTTAGGGAAGTTCCCGGGCTTGATAATCGCCCCCGTCAGTACTGCCTGAGTAATTTGGCCACCTATAGGACAGCGCTGTAAGCAAAACCACATTTCCTATCGCTGACACAGTATAGCGGCCGCCGTTATATCACATCGCAGAACCCGCCTGTATTGTCAGCACTCCGCAACAGACGCGGCTGGTTGGAGGATGAGACGCTTGGAGATGGTTCGGGAAAATCTTATCGATCATCGCTCGAGATTCTTCAGTCTTCCCAATAATGCCACCGCGGCCGTGTCCAGCATAGCCACCTCCGAATACTACCCTTTTTGTTGTACTTGGTCCAGCTCACTGTTACATGCTCGTCGATCTAGACTACCTGTGCTAATCCTTTTCCGCACCCAGCAGAGCCTTGCCCGATTTCCCAGAGAGGAAATTTGGTTCCGTTTCGCCGGACAATCTAGATATGGACCTCGTTGTAAGAGTAGTAGCGTCGCGGACCGCCGAAGTAGTGCCCTATGGCCAACTACAGCGCTTGTGCTGACAGACCCTGTGCTCTCATTCGCGGCCTGGGTTCTTCCACAGCAGGCAACCAGATTTCGTGCAGCAAGCCCACCGCGATGAGATTTTCCCGCCCCAGCAAAAATGAGATCAACTGCATGAAGAATTTTCCATTTCTTGTTGTTTCCATACAATCTGACAATGCAACCCCTCGATGTGGTTACATCTTGTATCGTCGCCAGAATCTGGTTGCCTGGAGTGCGCGGTCGGCCACCGCGGGCCGCGAGCACGGATTGGCCGTCAGCAAAAAAGCACTGTTCTGGTTTTTTTAGTGCTCGCTTTAGTGGCGCTGGGGCTCTTGCTCGGTCACTGGCCTGGGTAGATCTTGCTTGCATCTCGCATAATTCCCCAACGTCGTGATTCCCCTAGGCCACATTGTCTGCGTGGCGCCTTTTCAGCTGCCTTTACACACACTGTTCAGCGCTCCGATTTCTTCCCCTCTTCCCACTATAATACAACGATGAAAATATGTCACGCACGCTACTCCGTTAGTCTCCTGCCAATTACTGCAGCTGTCATGGCCCTTCATCTTGCCAAGCACGTCCACTCCCAGACTGAATTATGCTGGATTACGTGAACCGGATCACCCGTTCTGGGGCGGCTCAGCAAACTGGACCCAAACTTACTACGAAACGACTTGGCTCCAGCTTACCGCGGTGGGAAACCCAAATCAATAAGCCGCCTAATTGGCCCAAGTGCGCTGTGAAGGGGGGCACATGCAACCTTTGATCCAACCACCGAGCCGCTCCCGCAGCGCCATCCGCGCCTAGCGATTTCACACCCCTCCCTTAGTTCTAATGGCTGCTGATGCTCTTTGTTGATGATGGCCGAGAATTCGCTGGGCACCGAATGAAACCGACCCTGCCGCTTTCTCCCGATCTCACCTAACACCCCCAGTCGCCATGCCGGTCATACAACGGTTCACCAGTGCTGCATGCAACCGGGAAAGTCACTGACATCACGGCTCTGCGCCGGCCTACACGATCGCCTTTTTGGATGGATGTGTGTTTCGAGGGCAGAGATTGGTCCGGGTAGATGTGGCGCCATGCAATACCTCATACCGCCAGAGAACCACTACCAACCCATTGCTATCTGTCCTGCTTCAGAGCGTAACAGATTGCATAATAATTTGAGAGATTTTCACCCTCGGCGGATGTGGCGCGGCCTTGTAGCGAGCATCGGCTCTGTGCAGAGATCCAGCTTACACCGAAACCGCAGAAAGCTTGGCTTAGGCCGATATGCGGCCGGCTTCCCGGCTTCGAAACACGCTGGGACACGGGCCACGCCGAAATCCACACGCTTCGACAAAATATCGGAATACCTAGCCGATAACGTCACATTTGGAAGGAAGAGAGATTGCTAGGATCTAGGTGTGTCATTCGCGGCTTTCGCTGACTCGGCTCGACCGATGGCGCGGTTGCTCGATCCAGTGGCAGCTTACTTCAGCATTGCGTCTCTTAGTTTGCCTGCCGCCTCTGAATATCCCGGGCCAGAATGGCGAGAATCTCATCAGGCAACCAAATTACCTAGATCCAGTCTTCCGGTGACATGGGCCAGCCAAAGCTTACTTTGCTGGCCCACAGAAGACCTTTACCACGGCGAATGAGTTTCCTTTAATGGGCAGCCTTACGCAGCACCATCAGACTTTGCAGGTCCCTGGGTATAGCTCTTCAGCTCTGTCCGCCCTTATCGAAGCATCTACTCCTATTCTTTGTCTGACTAAATTAGCTAAACGAAGCTTGTAAGATCGACGACTAAGATCGACTACCACCAGCGCGTCTGTTGCTCCATCAATTACACACCCTTGCAACGGCCCGATTCCTCGCGTGCCCAAATTCGTTTCACATCTTATCAAGCCCGCGTTACGTCACTGCTTCTCACCGAATTCCACCGCCAAAGTCCGTCTTCATTCCCGCTTCTGTTGCCGGCGTCAACCGGAAGCTCGGCAACCAAACACCATGACTACTCCATATTATAATGGCTGAACTTGTTTGGAATCCATAAATTTAATTGTCATGACTATAGTGGCCTACAACGGATACCTCATCATAAATGACCAGACCTACTCATTGGTATTACCTGCTTCTTTGACCATCTCTCTGGTCAGAACTATAAGCCTGCGGCATGTCCTCTCAACTACTCATCCTGCCACCTCGACACGATACACCGCAATCACGAGGCTGGCACAAACTAGAACTGTCCTTTTTCTCATGTCCCTAAATTTCCGTTGACAGCGAACTCCCTGGTCAAGAAGCCGGAACAATATGTTCCACTACAACTGGAGTGCTGTCATAGCAGGACCAATACCCACGCTGGCTTCTTGTAAGTGCGAAAACGCGAGATAAGCACGAGCGCCGTATTTCGTACTCAGATCTGCTTCCCAACAGACGCCAGCCTTGCAAAGAACCTTCAACAGAGCTTCAAACTGGCTACACCGAGTATGTACGTATAGGACTTGTACAGTGGGAGTTTTGCGGGGGTTCGGAGACGTTCAATGCGGTTCTCGCCGGCGCTAAGTAAGAAAATATCGACCCCACGAAGCTGAAGGCGCTACGGTTCTTACTCAGTTTATCGGTTTCTTGCAGCTCGGAGGTTTACACGACACAGTACTTTCCGATGGCTGCGATCTCCTCTCGATGGCAGAACAATTTTATGATACTGCCTCTATCAATAATGCGGAAGTTGCCTTCTCACATCCTGTGACGGGATGTGGATGTAGCCGATGCTTTGCAGCTCCGTCGAATGCGCCGAGCGCTACTCGGGGTTCTGGGACTGTCGCTCTTGATTTATCCCACACACCCTCGTGTCTTTTTGGAGGCTGCGTTACAAAGAAATTTGTAATGCCGCCGTCTCCAGATGGCTGCCCAGCCCGCTGGGGCAGTCTTGCTTCTTTTGCTTTAACCGAAAGCCACCACCAACGCCACGCCGCGCCTTTGCAATCGGCTGGCATCTACGCCAGTCAGGCTTTATTACTACAAACCAATTCTCCATTAGCCATTCATCAGCCGTTGGAGGCTAACGCCAAGGTTTGCGAGCCGAGCGCTGCCTGACGATCCTGTCCTTGACTGTCGCGTCAACGCGGTCGGTTGATTTCGGCGAATCTGGTGATGCATACTTTTCTTACGCCGAGTGCAGGGAGAATCGTTTTGCCGCAATATTGTCTAGCTGTGATGACAGCTACGTCAGGCTAAGCCGCTAGGCTCGTCTACCCGCCCTCTGCCAACTCTTAGATTATAGAGGTTTCACACTAACTTCACATTGATATTGCATACTTTCTGCACCTTGTATCTGCACCTTAAATGAGCGACGACTTGCACCAGTCTGTGCTGCTCGGAAAAGCCCCTTGCAGAGGCGAATGGGTACTGTACCAGCTCCGTGGCGCCCATCTACTCAGCACCCGCTGAGCGCTGCGTCCCTACCTGCACCATTGATTGGCAACAAAAAAAAATATACGATGTGGTTGCAGCGGCAGGCTGCACACCCATATTTTTAGTGTACCGGAGCCTTTCTGTGCCCTGTTCCTTAAAAGGCAATAGCGTGCGTTTCAGGCTCTGCTAGTTCGTTGTTGTTCAGTTCTAATGTAGCGCTACAACAAGAAACATAAATCCGCCTTGTCTTGGCTGTCCGTCATTGCCCAAAGCAGGTCAAATGGCGTCGGGTGGAAGCTGAGTGCGGAATTGCCAATCCCGCATCTGCACAAACGCAAAGAGGATAGCCGGCTGGGTGTGTGGCTTGCAGCTGAATTGTCCTCGGATCCCTCCTAACAGGTAGAACCACATGAACTACAAGGCTAAATGAAAGGCATCCATCTTGAACGGCCTGAGAATAACCTCTGTGATTAGCTCTTTCGTTGTTGAAGCCCGTCTTCTCCCTGCCAAATCACCTCCACGCACGGCCTATTTATCATTGCTGGAAAACAAAATGCATTATAACCATATCATTTTTAGGGATAATAGCGCCATTGGGGCTGTGTGATCGGCCTCGAGCCAATTAAGCTTCTGCAGCACCCATAAGCTTACGCACGTCATGAGGAATGTGAGCCGTGCACGCAGCGCGTAGGGCGGTCGGCGACATCATAGCTACAAGTGCGGGGAATCCTGGCTCGGATAGGTCTTGGCAATAGTTTCAAATAGCTCTTGCGAGGCTGTCAAGCGGCAGATGAACTAGTTGCAAGCCTAGATGCAGCGCAAGTCCGGAGAAAGGGGGACCAGCGCCCGATATCTCGGGACTTACAAATGTGATATTACGCAGAATGACTTGGCACAGGATAATCGTCAAGTCTAGAGCTCTCCGTCGAGGAATGAGGCGGAAGGCGCTGAAAATCTCCTTGTGCAAGAAGCCGACGGCACCAAGCTATAACCTTTCGCATTGCGACCGCTTTCCGACGAGCTGAACGTTGCGGTGCTTGCCTTGGTTCTAGAACAGATAGGGCGCCACAGCTTAACCGATCGTCTAGATATGAACTTTACATTCACAATTGCCATTTTGACTACATTGTGGGTATAGATTGGCATATTTGCAGCATGGGTTATCCAGCTGGTTGGCAACACCACCAAGACTCGACCATAAGGTTTTCGGAACGTTTTGGTTTCTCCTTGCAGCGTGGGGCAGACATTCCTGTAACTGAAATCCTTGCAGAAATACGGGTTTGCTGCGCATCAGGCTGAATAAACAGTGTAGAAGTTATGAGGATGGCTGGCCTCATGGTGGATGGTGAGGCATCTCGTACAGCCCTCGCCTGATGTCGATGATGGAGCCATAAGCAGACTAATGCAAGTATCCCCCCTCTCGTACCATTAAGCGACTGCAGGTGGCGTTGAGCTTCGCAAATGCCCGCGGTTTTTCCCAAATAGGCCAGTGTCGTGATGTAAAGCTCAGGGGGGTACCCTTGTGCTTGGGCAGCTCGGAGAGTTATTCGCCCGGAGTTGACAAGTAGCAGATCATCATGTCTGTGTTGGTACATGCCCTATCAGACACGGGACCAGGACAATCAATAATGCAAAGAAAAGTGACCGTGTGTCTGCGGATACAATAATAACACGAGGGGTGTTGTTACATGTAAGTATTAGATATATGTGACTGTTCTAAGCCGTTGGCTGACTTTATGGTCTATAATACAAAATATTAAGGCTTGAGAAGTTGTTATACACTTTTTCGTAATGGTACAGTGACATCCGCTTACTCCCCCCGTGGGAGCAGCACGAATATGACAGTTAAAGTTTTAGACTTTGTTTTCAAAGTTGCCACGCCCTGCGTCAGCGTTGGCTTCCAGCTCCTCGGCAATCTCGCGTTCGACTTCCCATTGCAGATCGTCGTTGGTTTCTTGTCTGTGGGCATCCGCTAGTTCTTGGATAAGTCGCATCTTCTTATCCTTGTGCTTGACTTTACGCTCACGCACGTCAAGCTTCATCCCCGCAATCATGATATCCTGCTTGCGGGGCCGGCGTTTTGAGGGCTCCGAGTCCAACGTGCCCACCCGGGCAGTCTTGAGTACACGGGTTTTGGCACCCAACGCCCAAAGATCGCCCCAGTGGGATTTGCGGGCGTCATGGTAAGCCAGCTTGCCAAAGCTCTTGGGGATCGTCCAGCGCTCGAGCTTGCCTTCGGGGGTGCACATGTCCATGGTAATGTGACCTTTACGCTTCAAGGCAGGCTTCATCAGTCTCGGTAGAGTCTTCATATCAACCCCGTCCACTTGATCTTCGTAGCCTTGGAACGCTGCCTCTGACGCCTCACGAGGAGACATGTCTGTTTTGCGAGCGATGCCTCTTTGAATAGCAACGTAGCTAAACTCGACTTCTCCCAATCGATTGGACTTCTTTCCTAGTAACTGAGCATGGAATTCAGGCTCGATATACCGCTGGCTAAAGTGGCAAGTATCCTTGCGTCCTTTGCTTCGCCCGGGCTCCAGGTATAAGGGACATTTGCTCTGGTTGGTGCAAGGAGCCAAAACCTGGCCTGGCTCCAGTTCGCGGTGGAATGCTGGGTTGAAGTCGGCAGGATCTAATAGCGGCTGGCCAGACTCCTGAATAATATATCTTGAGAGCAGCGTGTCTCGAACATGCGCAACAGCTTCGAACCCACGAGGGTGGGCTTTCTCCAGTACAACCAGTACACCACCCTCGGGCTTGACAATGCTCCAGAGATTGTTCAGGACCGCTTGCCTGTGATGCGCCTCTGTCTCTTGTAGGAACAAGTGTGACGCGATAACCAAGTCGTAGGTCTTTCGTTGCTGAGGATTGTTCGTACCATCAAGTCGGGATGCTCGCATTGGTCTTGAATGTTCATAATCGGGCAGCCGAGGGAGGAAGGTTGTGTTATCAAAGAAGCCCTTCATTCGATGACGAAGGCGGTCCGGACCTGTAATGACTGTTTGCTTGCCGGGCGGCTTATCGCCAGTAACTTCTCCCTTTTCTTTCAGAATACTCCATTCGGCTTCCAGGATTTGTTCCCATGCTAACAGACCGGCACCACCACCGCCTGCGTCCAGTACGCTTAACCCGCCTTCTGGATTCGCTTTCAACTTGGACTGGATCCAGTCCGATCCCACTCGACGACGGACTTCTCGGAGAATTGATAGAATCGATACATATGCAGGTGGTATATGAACACCGAGGAACGTATCCGCCTCGATTTCGGTCATGTGTCTTTGGTCGGCGGCGAGCCCAATACCCTTCATGTTATTGCTGCGACGGGCTGCTGCAACAGTGGCAGGTGATGTAGGCAAGCTAGCTCCACCGTAAGCTGCTTCGGCAGCAGTCTTTAGATGCTTCTTATTCGTGCGTCGGAGAAGTTCTTCGATTGGCTGGACTAATCGTGCTTGGGGAAGTTCCATGACAATTGGTCCTGGCTTATGGAAACGACCTTGGAGCGTCAGTGGATGGAATCGCGCATCTTCGCCTCTTCCGCTATCCTCTCTGTATTCTTGGCCATACTCAACGTCGAATTCTTCCCCAAGGTCATCGTTTTCCAGGTCTTCTTCAAGAATCGCCTTTCTTGCCTCGTGTTCTTGGGCAGCGGCTTCCTTCTCCGCCATTGCCTGCTTATGCTGAGACTGTTGGAAGTCGTCGTAGAGGCGTTGCATCGCATCGCGCTCACGCTCGCTTCTTGCAACAGAGTCAACGTATCCTGGTAGAGTTTCAACTACTTGTCGCGAGATGACATCGGTACCATGGGATGCGGCTGCTTCGTCCAAAGTTCGGTCGAGTGCATAGTTGACTTCTTCAAATGCGCCACCCTCCAGGGGCTTTAGAACCGTGCCTTCAGTATCCGGCCGAATAGACCCCATATCAGCGTGCATATGAATACCGACATCTTCAGGTTCTGTCTCTCTCAACGGGGGTCCGTATAGTCGAATATATATTGCGTATTCCTCGTCAGAGAGATAGCCCTTTGGCAGAGTGTCACGGAATCTTTGTTTGGCGTCCCGAACGACCTTTTCTATCGCCTCGGGTGTCTCGTCTTGCCGTAAATATCTCGTCGAGGAAAAGAATCGTGGATATAAGGAGGATCGATTCGAAGGGGGTAGCGTTTGATGTCGTATAGCTAATTGTGTTGGAAATAGAGAGCTGCCATGCCTGCCTGACCGCAAGCAGGCAACTGGCAGCCGTATCGAAGCATTTCGAAGGCCATTTACTATCCTCATATTTAATTTTGGATTTGCAATGTGGCACGGCGCAAAGTTGAAAGTTCGTCGTTGATGGAATCATCTTTTTTTGGAGATGGCATCACGTGAGCAGGTCACCAACATTCACGGTGATCTGATAGGCGGAATGGCAAAACGAGGTACAAAGATAGAGTGCATGATAAATTATGGAGCTGAAAGCTTTGTTTCGATATTATTAACATATGTGTAAAACTATAAATACAAATCCACGCAAAAAAAGAAACCCATGTCCCTTAAACGCCCTATGTCCATATGCCTCTTTTGCCGTTACAAATCAGAGAACGTCTTGAATTTTGTTCTGCTCGGAGCCGCCGCAGGGCCATTGCCAGGCTGACGGGTAGGAGCAGCACCGCGGTCTTTTGGGCCTTCGTAATTGACGCTGAACATGGACTTATCAGCAGCGCGGAACGAGTCGAGCTAGAGCGTCAGGGTTAGCTTTGATACTGGGGGGTTGCAAAGGGGCACGGTAACTTACGGCAAAGAGGGACACAAAGTAGAGGCCGACAAAGTTGAACAGGCCCGAGAGGAAAGCCATCAAGTTGAATGTTGGGCGCGCCGACACTCTGCGAGCAGCAGCGGCACCGCGGCTACTACCACTACTGACGCCCTTACCACCAAGGACGCGGCCCGATGACGATTTGAACATGTCCTCGCCGGTGGTGCTGCCGACGAGGTTCTTGGCCTTGTTGATGGCGGCAGCAAGGGCAGAAGGGTCGGCGCCTGTGACCGTATCGATGCAAGCACCCTTATGGAAGACCTTGAACGTGGGGAGCGATCGGACGCCGTAGCTGCCGGAGATGTCGTTGTGCTGCTCGGTGTCGATCTTGGCAAAGGCCATCTTCTTGGGCTTGCTGTGTTCCTGGGCAAGGCGGTCAAAGTGAGGGCCAATCATCTTGCACGGGCCGCACCAGTCGGCGTAGACTGCATCAAACAGGTTAGCTTGAGGAGTTGTATGGCGGGAGGCACAGCGGGTGACGTACAGTCGGCGACGACGACTTCTGTGTTGCTAAGGAGCGAGCTCCATTCGCCCATAGAGGCGATTTTAATGCTCATGGTGACTTTAAGCGTGTGTTTGGTCTATAGCGGGAAGGGTAGAAGCAGCGCGGCTTGGAACTGGGCGTTAGTTGAAGATGTTGCGTTGCGGCCAAGGCTGCGGCTGCGGCGAACAGGTGGTCAGTCCGTGGCGGTTTGGTGCCTGTGGCTTTAGCGGGTCTCGCTCGGCTGCTGGGTGGAGTGGAGGCTAACAAACGTTGACCGTGTAAGCGTATCGCTGCGTTACTGCTAACATTTTACTTGATTTTGTGGAAATTATTAGAAAAACGTTTTGATTACAGAAGCTTAGATGTGAAAAACAATATTAAATTACTACAGGTTAATAGAAGTTTGAAAACGTATTCACGAGTGGTGCAGCATCTTGTTGTTCAGACAAAAGAAAAAGTATAGCATTAAAAGAAGTAGTAAGTGTATAACCAAATAGAATAAACAATGTTACATGTCGTCGTTACAGATTTCGGTTGATGTTAGCATCTAACCCTTTATTTGTCCACGGCACCAAGCAAGATGCCGGCAGGGTTCTTAGCCTTGCCAGTGGTCGGGTCGATCTGGGATGCAGCTCCAACACCGACACCGACGCCAGCACCAATGGATGCAGGGTCAGTTTTGGGGCCGGTTCCAGCGTTGGCAACAGTGCTAGTCACAGCACCAGTATCAACAGGAGGGGGCTTGACTCCTCCAAGGGTCGAACCGACACCGTTGCCAAGGTCGTTGACAGCTCCGCCGACGTTCTCGCCCAGGCCGTTGAGAGTTGATCCGACGCCGTTGAGAGTACCGCCTGTAGTTGAACCAGCGTTCTGTCCGGCATCAGCGGCGATAGATCCGACGTTGTTGCTGGCTCCGGTGAGGGTTGAGCCTACGCCATTGGTGGCGCCATCAACTGGAGCTGTAACACCACCAGGGTTGGTAGCAGTGTTGGTCGCTCCTCCGACAGCGCCAGTAACACCATCTGTTGGTGGTGGGTTAGCCACACCACCGACTGTTGCACCCACGTTGGCACTTGTGTTGGCTGTTGCGTCGGTTTGGCGTCTTGAGACAGAGGCAACGGGAGCTGCCACGGTAATGCCAGCAAGGCAGGCGAAAAGGATCGAAGCAGCGGTAACTTTCATTGTTAACGAATGGTAATGTGTATTGAAAAAGTTGGGTTTGAGAGATAAGTTATGGAAAAGGGAGATGTGAGGCTATGATGAGTAAATCTGCTGTTTGAATGCTGGAGCAAGCCGTCCTCTTTATAGGAGCGATGATGGTAGAGTCCAAACTGCTAAGACTCTTGTACCCTTTCAGGGTAACTGGATTGCATGGTAACTTAGACAGATTAAACCCTGTCCGGAAATCAGAGTTTGCGGTTACCCGCCACACCACTCCGGCTTGTTGCCGTGGCTGTCTGGTCATCCGGAACGATATCTGGAACATTGACTCCTAAGAGTTGGTGAGCTCATGGTCTGATCAAGGCAGATCGTCTTCAAGCATAGGAATGTGAACGACTATGCTTCTCATATTACATGCATACACTCCACGTTGTCAAGTACTCCAGTCAACACCAATGTTAGCCCTGTCATCGCTGCTCTGCGGGGGAACACTGCAGTACAGATCGGAGGGGCATGCCCCTGAGACATGTCGGCTGCTTGCTCAGGCAACGGCAATGAGGACCTTCATGTGGAGCAGTTTCATCAAGAACTCTCCAGATAGCATCTGGAATGCTGCCAGGCACGTTTTTAGACTAGCAAGCGGGTCATCATCCATCTGCTAAATCTAAGGCCAAATCATGGCATCCCACGGCAATCCAGCCAGATTGCTAGAATTGGCTTCAGGGCATAGTTGAAGACTAAGTGGAAGTATGATCTCGCTCGGAATCCGCCCACTCTGAGACTTGTATGTGTCTGGCATCCCCCAAACACCGGTTCTATCAAGTAGCATAGTGATGATGATCAGCAATTGAAGAACAAACATCAGGGTCTTTCTCCTTGTGTATACAAAAGAAATAGGCACAATACAGGCTGCCGATCACTCATATCTGCGGAGCCCAAACTCACAACGCCAATATCCCGTGGCTTTTGTGATCGACAGGGTAGCCCACCGTTTGCAACTTTTAGTATAGACTAAAATAAGATTTCGGAGAATATAGCTCATAGAGCCATGGCCTGATCTAGTCTTGCAAAAGTAGTTAAAGCTATTCCGCAATTGGGATGTTAGGAATGTAGTGTAAAGGTTTACCAGCCTCCGCTTCTTCGACTTCCCGTCTCCCAGGTGCCGCAGGCTCCGAACTGCAGACATCCATTAGGTTTGTGACCTTGGCAGTAAGTGCAAACCCAAATAGAAGGTTATCCGTTTTCATGGTCTATGGGAGCCGAGACATCAACGACCAAACCAGTAGGAATGGTGCCAAGAATATTGAAAACCTGGTGGTGGCCCAAAGATAAACTTGCGCCAAGCCATCGGTACATCGAGGAAATGTTCCGATAGTGAAAGATTAGAAATCTTGAGGTGAATGATGTCATGGTTTCACACTTGATAGAACCTGCGACGGATGATGGGGCCTAGAATGTTCAGTATTAACTCCAGAAGAGAGCTTCCATGTACCGCGTCTGTTGGATTACAACGGTGGTCTATGATGAGGAACTCTGCGTTAAATTTGTCTTTGGGCTGCATGCCGGCACATGATGGTGTTAGGTCTGTTGACGGGTAGTCAAAGATTCCGCGGTTTCATTGGTCCAATGGTTAAACTGGTATCGAGTGACTTATGACATGACGGTGAGATCGAGATCCTGTTTTCAAGATAAATTGATTTTTTGCAATATATGGTATCATATGGAATGAGTATAATAGTACATTGGCTGTATCCTGGCTTGGGTACTTGCACTCGGAGTGTCATAAATCGTCAAGTCGTTAATGTTTGTTGCCACGGTCAATCTATATCCTTTTTAAGGCGCCTTCTCAAACAACTCCAAGATGGGTTTAGCAGCCTAGTGGGGTTTGTCAGTAAATATAAAGACGTGCAGAGCAATGGACAAAACGGAAGCATACATCAATAAACTTTTCGAGATCTTGGTCGAGGTTGGCTAGATCGTCCTTGCGCCGCTTGTTTTCGGCAATGAGTTTTTGCTTCCGCTTCAACAGCTCTTGGCGCTTTTGTTCGAGGTCCTCGCGTTCAGCCCGTTCGTGCTCAATTCGAGCATACATGAGCTCGTTTTCGTCGTCATTGGCTCGATCGGGGTTCTGAGCCAGGAATTCCTCGACAGGAATCAATGGAAGTTGCTGGTACTTGTGGCTGAAGTCAAAGGTTAGCATTCACTCAATCTAGCTCAGGGCATCGAGTCTACGAAGGAGAGCCGTACTCGTAAGATTCGCAAGCGCTAATCTCGCCCTGGAGATGTTTCTGCTCATAGTAGAGATTTTGCAGCTGCAGGTGAAGTTTGTCTACCTCCTGACGACGCTCGGCCGTCTGTGCTTTGGTATCGCGTGCGGCCAAGCATGCAGCTCTATGCAACCCACGGAGCTGGGAGATGCTGGTTAGCAGCAGCTTCTGGCGTTTGGCGATGTCGATGGGATCTCGTGATGCCGCATCGTGAGAGCCGTCGACTAGTCGAAGCAGCTCATGGGCTTGGTCGCGGGCCGTGTCGGAAATCTGGAGGGTAGCGACGAGCCCGGGATCGGTGACAATCTTGTCGACAGTCATGGTGATGGGCAAGCTGGATGGATTTGGCGCTGCAGCTTGGCGAGGACCTTGACAGTTGGCGTTGAGATGCAGGTTTTGGTAGAGACGAGACGTGATGGTCGCTGGTGCAGGTGGAGAGGCCCACAGCCAGCACCGAGCACAGCACCTGATTTGCTGCGAGTAGCATGGCGTTGTTTAGCGCATGTCATGCATGGGGCTTTGCCACTGGCTGCAAACCACACCCGCTACAACTCCACTATAGCCTGCGTGCTTATAGCGAGCCTGAGGAGGGCACTGCCCCTGGAAAGCCGCGCGAAGCCCCCTGTGGCCGCTGGAAGCCAAGCGAGGCAGGGCAAGGATTTGCATGTGGCAGGCCAAGCCAAAAGGTCTCACTGAGGTAATATAATTATGACGCCCAAGTAATATTACCTGGGGCAGCACTGCGCTACAAAACGAACGCGCCTGAAACTCTTTGTCACGTTCAAGTTCATTTCAGGCTTCTGCCATAATCATCATCATCATCATCTTTGCCTCTCTGGCTATTTCTTCAAACTTCAAGCGAATTGATAATTCCTATCTATTTTTTTTTTCAGCGGGGATCCCGACGCCCGTTAGTTGTTGCCGGCCCCATTTTCTCCCCAACCCGCCCCAAGGGGACTTCCAGTACCCCCCAACCGATTGTCACTAGGGCCCCCTCGCTTCCCCTGGGCCATCTGATAGGCGCCTGTCGAACCATCTTTCTGCTCACTACATCCTCCTCCTCTGCCAACGTCGGCGCCGACGACGAAAAAAGGAAAAAGAACAAAGAGGAAGCGAAAGACGATAGACGATAGACGAAGGGCATAGAGATTTGCGAGTATACACACAATAGAGAACGAACACCCGATACAGTAACCCAACTAAAACAACGCGCGAACGCCTCTCTCACCACCATTCCTGTACCACCGCCCGCCATGCCGTCAGTCAACACCGCACTCACGGCCGCCGCCTGCAGCAGGCCGGGCAAGAAGAAGGCGGCCGACGATGCTGCTGTTGCTACTACATCCTCGACCGACGCCCGCAGCGAGGCCCCGATCCCTACTCGCCGCCGTCACTCGTTCTTTGTGCCGCGGCGCTTGTCGATTGTCGAACACTTTATTGATGAGGAGAGCCTGCTCCTCAAGGTCGACCACTTCCTGTCCGAGATGGAGCGCCGCCTAGAGTTTATCGAAAGCTACGGCGATATGAGCGAGTACAGCTTCTCTCGCGCCTTTGGCACATTACAAACCGTCCGCTCTCGCTGTGCCCAAGCCTCGGAGGACGTCCTGGACGCTGGTCGACGCAGGCTGCACGTCATGGTTGAGACCATCGAGGCAAGATATCAGGAAACCCTGGAGGCTGCTGAGTCGCTTCAGGACAAGGCCAGCGTTGCTCTGGAACTGATGGAGAGCATGTTGACCGAGTTTGAGGCCAACGCATACAAGTTGCGCGACCAGAGCCTTGCCAATGCCACCACCGCCGCCGAGGCTCTGCTCGACGAGGGTCGCCGTGTTGCCAACGAGGGTATTGAGAGAGCCAAGGGCGTTGTTGACGAAGGTATCGAGCGAGCCAAGCGTGCTGCTTACTCGCTCGAGGAGCACATCCAGCAGGCTGTCGAGACGGCTCGCACCACTCGCCGCCATCTTCATTACCACGAGCTGCCTATGCCCTGGCGTAACAACCCACACATTCTTAAGGGCTACCGTTTTGTTGAGACCAAGATTGAGTGTGTCACGTCGGCATTTGGCATGTCCAATGAGTTTATTAACATTTGGTCGCACGCCATCGGACTGGTTCTCGTGCTAGCCGTCGCCCTCTACTTCTACCCTAGCAGCATCAACTTTTCGCAGAGCACCAAGACGGACGTCTTTGTAGCCTGCGTCTTCTTCGTCATGGCGTGTCTCACACTGGTCTGCTCGACCATTTGGCACACAATGAACGCCGTGGCCGACCTGGATGCCATTTCCATCTTTGCATGTGTCGACTACACTGGCATTTCGCTTCTCATCGCCGCATCCATTATGACCACCGAATACACTGCCTTCTACTGCGACCCCATCAGCCGCTGGAGCTACATGAGCGTCACAGCCTTTTTGGGCATTGGCGGCGTTGTCCTGCCGTGGCACCCTCGCTTTAACGGAGCAGACATGGCCTGGGCCCGCGTTGCCTTTTTCGTTGGCCTCGCCCTCACCGGCTTCATGCCCATCATCCAGCTCTCCTTCTCCCACGGCCTGGAGTTTGTTGCCGACTTTTACTCGCCTATCCTCAAGTCAGTCCTCGTCTACTTTGGCGGAGCCATTGTCTACGCCAGCAAGATCCCCGAGTGCTGGTGGCCTGGCATGTTTGACTATGTTGGCGGTAGCCACAACCTTTGGCACGGTGCTGTTCTGGGAGGCATTCTCTTCCACTACACCGCCATGCAGTCCTTCTTCTCTAACGCTTTCCTGCGTGCACAAGAAGGCTGCCCTGCATACTAGGCACTATGGACTTGCCAAACTAATGGTTATATGAGGGAGACGTGACTAGGGGCTCGGTTGGCATGGTCTAGGCTTGCATTTTCCATACATTGGTCCTTGCATTGCATATACATGTTTCCTTTCTGCATTGTTATACTGGCGTTTTGTGTTTTTTCTTCATTTCTTCATACATTTTACATGTTTCCTCATGCGTCTCAGTACCATGCGGAATATTCTTTCAAGTTTCATATTTTACTTTAGACGAGGCTACCGCAGCCGTTCCGGCCATGGGTTTGCTTCGCGCGTTCATAGCATAATAGACCACTGGCATGGCCAGCGTCTCATTCACTTCTTTCGGACTGACAGTAGAAGAAATGTGTTTAAAGGATCAACCAAGTTCGGTGAAGTACAAGCTTGAGGAGAAAACCTCTGTGTGTGCAGACACTTTATTTTGTCTACCGAGATGCCAGTGATAATGATACATACAATATAACGGCGTTTTGCCGCATGAAATCGTCAATGCTATGCTGAAATAGCCCATAAATGTCATAACAACGTAAAATGCAGAAAACAAAGAACAAGAAACACAAGCTTCATCAACAGGACCTGTCTGCCACCTCGATGCATCGTGCTAGAGTGCGTGGGCGACAATGTCGGCGTATATATCATCAGGAATCTTCTTAATAATACCAATGGTAACGCTCTTGATAAGATCGGCGTTTAGCTGTGGAAAGGATCGCAAGACCTTATTTGGACTGGGAGATTGCAGAATCTGTGACCGCATAATGGTGAGTTGCGCGACGATGCAGAGAATGTTGAGATGAGGTCCGTAGGCGAAAAGGAAGTCCCACAGTCGCAACACCTCGGGTAGTGGTGGTGTGCATGCGCAGAGTGTCAAAACGGACGGGAAGGCGTAGATTTCAGCTGATAATCCCTTTGCTGTAAGGTACATGGCGAGTTTCGGGTCGACTATAGCCAAGACTCTATCCACGAGAGCGAGGCCACGGTGAACACCGTCCATGGCTCCACGAATATAGGCTGGGCATTCCTTGGTGAGCAGCGAGTAGAAAGCTACAAAAGCTTCGGATTCGCTGCGTGCAGCATACAAGAATGGCGCTGCTAGGACGTTCATGCCCTGTACATATGTGCCTGGCTCGGCGACGGCTCCTGATCCTAGAGTGTGTTAGACAATGACGTCAAGATATGCTCGTATATGAACGTACTGGCTTGGGAATGACCTGATATGCTGCCCGTAAGACTCTCTCTTGGGTGACTTGAAAGACGACTGCTTGGTCTGCTGGAACGGCCTTCCTCGCGAACATCATGAAGGCGCCACGCGATTGCATTCAGCAGACGAATCAAGCTCGCCTCGCTGACACGGCGACGGAACAAGGGGTCCGTAGTCAGTGTTCGGAAAGTATCGTTTCGGATTTTCGAGTACGCTGGCGAAGCTCCTCTGTGGATGAGGCCGAGATATTCATCCGTGGGCATGATAGGCGCATCCAACAAGACCATCCAGACGTAGATGCGGAGCGGGGACTATGATACGCCATCTTGTGAGCAAACATGAAGACACGTTCAATAAATGAGAGAGTTGCTTACCATTCCATCCTCAGCACTGTTGACACCCTCGTCAATGACCTTCCAGCGCGCGCTCTCAAGAGCGCCTACATAATCGCCATCATTAGGTCCGTCGCGGATAATCTGCTGCAGCGACATTTGACCGTGTGAGAAAACCGGTTTCCTGATGCCGGATCGTCGGCTCGCGGCAACGCTGTTTGCCTGCTGGAGCATCGGCGACGTCGCATCGCTGTTGGCCCTGCCTCTGTGGCGGCTGCTGTCTTGCTGGACCTGCTGGTGGCGGGAGTTGGCAGCCGATGGGTTCCGGGTCGGCGATGCATTGCGCTGCTGCTGCTGCTCACGACGCTGATGGGAGAGCACAGAGGCTTGTGATGCTGCTTTGGCGCCAAGTGTGTGTGCAGACTGTAGTCGTCGTAGAGCTCGATGTGTTCGGGGCGATGGCGGCGGTTGGAGATCAGTGTGGACGAGGGGATGGTGCGCGGCCGAGGGCAGCTCCCGGACGGGTGACGGCATCTCGGGCGGTCTTGTGCTTCAATTGCTGGCGATGAGCCGACAGCAGAGGTTTTGTGGATGCAAAAGGGCGAGTGGTTGCTAGTCGGACATGCGGCACGCGTGCAGCAGCCTTCTCGTGTGGTGTTGCTGTAGGATGGTAGTGTTTCCCCGGCTATTCGGATCAGCTTGTCGTGCGGCTCTAGCCAAGAAATGCGACAGGTTGTATCAAGAGGCAAAGCAATCGACAAAGCACAAGCGCGCGTACCGGCAAGAAGAGGTTCCAGCCTCGTGGTGCGCGGTGGGAGAGACTGGCGTCTGGGTTGCGTTGAGTTTTAGTGGGGAGGTGGGAGGCTGGGTTTGAGTGTCTGGCGGGGGTGGTTTCTGCCACGCAACTTACACGGTGCATAGCACTCTGGTGGTTTTTGCTTCTCCAAGCTCAGAACAAATGCATCGTAAGAATATCAAAACGATAGTGAATATTAAGACGGGATTCATAATTTTGGATCATCATTTTTTTCCTCACAATTTAGCTAAAATATTGTCAACTTTGACAGGTATTCACAGAGCTTTGCCACCAATGCAACAGTAACGAGCAACCAAATCGCCATCCGGTTATCACGGCACTATTACACATGTGAAATCGATCCAGAATTTCCAAAGATGCAAAAGGTCAAGTATAACCCGTTTTACATCCCGTACATCCGACTTGGCATTGTGTCTCGGGCCCTCGCATCGTCTCGGCCGCGCTCAGTCAGTGACGACGCGAACCTCGCCCAATGCATCAAGGCACCATCCCAAATTATTATAGGGACGAACCAGCGGGATAGAGAGACCGGCTTTACAAATGCCATGTCATAATGCATATCTGATCCTCCTGTCGAACAAATCGGATTACGCCACGCCGATAAACACGTCGGACCTTGAAAGAAACCAGCGGCACCTCGCTCTCACCACCTCGGTCTTGCCGTAGCTCTCCTGCCGCAGCTGTAGCTGCATTGTGGCCGCATGGAATTTATCCCGTTTTATCCATGTCCGATGGATTATGGCAATGGCAGACGCGGCAATCTCAAATCCGTAGATCATGGATATGGTGTGGCGGGCCATTGGGCGGGACTAGAACGCGGCATGCATATCTAAAAGGAGCCTCACTCGCACAACGGCCAACGCAGAGGCATCTCGTGAGCCCTCCATTCTCCATGGGCGGTGATGCACTCCTGTCAATCGTCTGGGTAAAGCGGCAGCCGCAGCGTAGCATTCGAGGCATCCCTAGCATGTGGGCTTTGCTTTGGGGGAAAGGGTTTGCCATTTGCTCCCGCTTTCCACTCCGCTGCGCGGGGTCTGGCGCTGCCCAGGCGGACAATTCACATCCAGCGGAGCTAGAGTCTAGAAGAGCCGATTGGAACGACTGTTGGGGTTACAGCGCATGTTTGATGCGAGAAGAGGCAGCGACATCCTTCATAGAGGGCCTTGTGAGCGTTGCTGACTTGTGGTTGGCCTGTTATCTGGCAACGAAAGCGAAGCAAAAAAAAGGACGGAGACTGAAATAAATCCGAAGAGGATCAAACGGTGAGATGGAATAAATACACCGAACAAATGTAATGAGGGAACGGCTCCGTCATAGGCGTGCCTATGTCCCCGTAAAATACAGCGGACCGAGCCCGCGAATTACAGCCTACGCGACGAGATAGCTGCCGAATCGACGTCATGTAAATTTAGCACAGGCTCCAGGGCCAGTTGTAGCTCCCTCTCGGGTTAATTTGGACAGTATATTTGGGTAGTAATCATGTTGTATGTTCACTCGTATGCATGTTATAGCAGTCTCATGAAAGTGGCCGCATGTCACCGGAGACGCAGCTTACTTTTAGCTCGCCAGCTATAGCACACTATCGAATCCTTCTAAACTGTAAGAGCCTCCTGGAGCTAATAGATTCCAGCGCACTCCAGCACGCGTCGACTCACAAAAACTTTGGCTGACAAACAATCGCACGTTGCTAAAAGAAATGGGCGACGGACCACGGAGCTAAGAGGCTTCGCTAATACCGGAAGCACCGTCCTCCGATGTACCTCCCCACTCAAACTTTGCGGGCGCGGTACATCCACCCTTGTTCCCAAAACGGCTTAGAGGCGATTGCGACATCTCAGTGGGGGAGTTGCTCACTACGCAAAATCTCCATGGCCACTAAGAGAAGGCAGCAGGCGGGTGCCAAAGGGCGAGGCAACGCACATCGCCCCCGATTAACAATCAATTGGGGCTTATTTCAGCATCTTTTGCTTCAAAACTCCGGGTCGTCGCTTCCTACTTTCTTTAATACTGCATCTTCACGATTTCACTGCTCCCACCGACCTGCCGCCAATCCCGCCGCAATCTATACACCCTCGCCATACTACGCTGTACGCGGCGGCTAATAAACACCAAAACAACAAGTCACACGGTTACCTCACTGCACCAACTTCCTCTACACGTGGCCCTGCACGAAGACGCCTTCTTTTGGACCCTCTGGCTCTTCTGTTACGGCTCCTCGCGGCCATTCTCCGCAGCCGATCTACATAGTCCTGGTGTCAACCCATTCCGCCGTATCCGGGACCCTTCAACCCATCTAGCTTGCTGTAACCAGCAGCTTCTTTTTAAGCTCTCACAGCTTATATATTCTCCCTGATCCAGCCCCCGACGTCCCGGGCGCCACCTAATCTCAGTTCCGGTTTGATTTATCGCACCTCATAACAACTTCTTGGCGATCGCTGGCGGCTTGGCAATCCTTTTCTCCTCCCTTCTATCTTCTATTCTCCCAGAGGCACAGCACGATGGCTATATAATCCATCGGCCCCTTTTCCATAACATCTCCTTCTTATCAGATTGCATAGAGAGACCCCAGTACAGAATCTCTGTTCCCGGCACATTATAGCCACCCCATCAACACCCTCTCACAACGCCAAAAATGCCTTCCACATCGACAAAGGTCGGCCACGCCTTGGCAAAGGTCCTTGGTATCCAGCTTCAACAAAATTCCCGACAATATGAAGACCCTGTTACCAGAGGCGAGTCCATAATGTCCATGCAGACCGCTGAAAGCTTCGTTGAAGGACCCCCAACCACCGCCGAGTGGTTGAGGGAGCAAATCCCCTCCCAGGAGGAACTCGCTCATTATACCAAATCTCTGTTTCCTTTCATGTCCTGGATCCCTCACTACAATGCCCCTTGGCTCGCTGGAGATCTCGTCGCTGGTATCACCATCGGCGCAGTCCTCGTCCCCCAAGGCATGGCTTACGCCATCTTGGCCAACCTTCCCCCGCAGTTTGGACTCTACTCCTCTTTCATGGGCGCCATGATTTACTGGATCTTCGGAACTTCAAAGGATATCTCCATCGGCCCTGTTGCCGTTCTTTCCACTGTAGTCGGTACTGTTGTGGAGGATCTCAAGACTTCCGGTGTCGAGTATCCGGCTCACGTCATCGCTTCAGCCCTCGCTATTATTTCTGGCCTAATCGTCTTAGGTCTTGGCCTCCTTCGCCTAGGATGGCTGGTTGACCTCATCTCCATCACATCCCTGTCGGCATTCATGACCGGATCTGCGATTACCATCGGTGCTAGTCAGTTGCCTGCACTCTTCGGACTGACTGGTTTCTCTAACAGAGACGCGCCATACCTCGTCATCATCAACACTCTCAAGAACCTTCCGCATACAAAGCTCGATGCTGCGCTGGGACTGACCGCGTTGTTCATGCTTTATCTCATTCGCTTCACACTCACCAAGGCAGCCGAGCGATATCCTTCTCACAAGAGAATCATCTTCTTTGCCAATACCATGCGAACCGTCTTCGTCATCTTGCTGTACACCATGATCAGCTGGTTGGTCAACAGAGACCGCAGAGAGCACCCAGCTTTCAAACTGCTAGGTGTTATCCCCAAGGGGTTTCGGGACGCTTCTGTTCCAAATCTCGACACAAGCATGCTTTCGAAATTCGCTGGCCATTTGCCTGCCACCGTCATCGTCATGTTGGTTGAGCACATCGCCATTTCCAAGGCGTTCGGACGAGTTAACAACTACACCATCGATCCATCTCAGGAGATGGTCGCCATTGGTATGACCAACATTCTTGGCCCCTTCGTTGGTGCCTATCCCTCTACCGGCTCCTTCAGCCGAACGGCTATCCAGTCCAAGGCTGGCGTCCGAACACCAGCTGCCGGTCTCATTACTGGTATTGTCGTTCTTCTCGCCACCTATCTTCTGATCAGCGTCTTCTTCTACATTCCCAACGCTGCCTTGGCCGCTGTCATCATGCACGCTGTCGGTGACTTGATCACTCCTCCCAACAACGTTTACCAGTTTTGGCGAGTCTCCCCTCTTGAGGTTCTCGTTTTCTTTGTTGGTGTGTTCGTCAGTGTTTTCGTCCATATTGAAGAGGGCCTTTATGCCACTGTTGGTCTCTCTGCAGCTATCCTTCTCTACCGAATCATGAAGGCTCGTGGCCGCTTCCTTGGTAAGGTCCGCGTGCACTCGGTTCTTGGTGACCATGTTATTGGCCAGGATCCCAAGCAACTTGTTGGCGAGTATGGTACTTTTGAAGAGGCCGAGGGAACACCAGCTCGAAACATTTTCTTGCCTCTCGATCATGGCGACGGATCCAACCCTGAGATTGAGCTCGAGAGTCCCTATCCTGGTATCTTCATTTATCGATTCTCTGAGGGCTTCAATTACCCGAATGCAAGCCATTCGTTGGAGTACCTAACGGACTTTATCAAAGCCCGCACTACCCGAAGCAGCCCTGAGTCCTTCGAGAGAAAGGGTGATCGACCTTGGAACAACCCTGGCCCACGCAAGTCTTCCAAGAGACGCCAGGAGTCCACTGAGAACCAGCTCCCGACTCTCAAAGCCATTATTCTTGACTTTAGCTCCGTGAACAACGTCGACGTTACATCTATCCAACGCTTAATCGACGTTCGCAACCAGCTCGATACCTATGCCTCGCCCAGCGTTGTCGACTGGCATATCGCCTGCATTAACAACAGATGGACTAAGCGAGCTCTTGTTGCTGGTGGATTCGGTGTTCCCACAAACCCTAGCGATGGTCTTCAGCACCGCTGGAAGTCCATTTTCAGCGTTGCAGAGATTGGTGGCAAGGACTCTGCGGCTGCCATGGCCGAAGCTCTTAACAACGAACTCCAAATCTCCGAGACACTGGCCAAGGCTGCTCCTGCTGATGAGGAAGCTGGCATTGCCGGACCAGCGGAGTCTGTCGCTGGAGAGACTGAGAGCTCGGTCACCGCTCCATCCTTTGAGAAGCTGACTGCCGCCGGTATCTACAGACGCCGCAAAGGCGCCGTGGTAAACGGTCTGGACCGTCCTCTCTTCCACATTGATCTCACCAATGCTGTACAAAGCGCTATAATCAACGCTGAGGCACGTGAGGCCATGCGAGCTGCTTCTGGAACACAGGAAGCATGAGCTCCTCTTTTATGACTTTATGATTTTTCTGCATTGCATCGGCGTCGGGTTTCTTACTGCATATTAGCATACTCAGTTTCATAAATAGCTGCATATAGAAATACCAGTTCAATAATGGACTGAAATGAAGTTCATTTACAAAGTATTCTCTTGTTATCTCTCAAGTTCAGTGGTGACTTTTTGATGTTGTGCACAGGTCGGTGGTGGTTACAGTAGGTAGTGGTAGCGATCACCTGACCAGGCGCTATAGCAGGATCCAACCTTCACGCGTCTCGTTAACGGTCATTTCACGCAAAGCCGTAAACCACCTGTGGTATGTGATGCTAGCACTTAAGCAGAGAATAACGGATCTAGGTTTCTTAATGACTCAATTCAGATGAAATTACCCTCTTTTATGCTGGGATATTTACAATGCCTCTGGGAATCGAGCGCATCAACGCCAAAAGGTCCCAGCCAAATTCCAAGATTGTTTTTATAAAACCTTTGCCCGGTAAAGATGAAAAGGTTGCTCAAGCTTTTCTTGAGCGTATAGCTGCTCAATGCTGTATGTTTCCATTTTCCGAATCGCACGACCAGACACTTACTGGTGTATCTAGATCCTATAATGAAGCAACATCATCTTTCTGTGACAAGCTTGGAAGAATTTCCTCCGAACCGAGAGTTCGTAGGCAGAAATTTCAACGCTGGCGAAGTCATTCAACTCGTTCTGAAAAGTCCATCAAGTGGCCGGTGGCTCCCGTTTCGTTACGTGCAGATGGTCATGATGCATGAGCTGGCCCATTGCCAGCAAATGAACCACTCTCGTGCATTCTGGGCGGTTCGCAACGGGTTTGTGGCCGAAATGCAAGATCTTTGGAGGAAATCATATACGGGTGAAGGTATATGGGGTCGAGGAGCCCAGCTTGGGACTGGTGAATGGGAGCAAAATACAATTACCCAAGGAGAGACACTTCCAGAACATCTTTGCGGAGGCACATATCGGTCACGTCGGAAGAGAAAGGCGCCAAAGCTGAGTTATCAAGAGCAGAAGCAACGTCGAATAGAAAAGAAGTTTGGTAAGAACGGCGTTGCTTTGGGCTCAGACGATGATGTAAAAGTCAAGCTTGAGGGAGGGAAGAAGAAGGCCGGCAAACCTCGCGTAGCAGGCAGCGCAAGAGGTCGAGACTTGCGTGCTGCGGCTGCGCTAGCACGTTTCCAGCAAATCAAAGCAGAGGAAGAGACCGACATCAAGAATGAGATCAAGGACGAAGATAAAACAGCTAGCGAAGACGATGTACCGGATGCTGTGGATTGGAATGGCCTACGCTTGGTCGACGCACAAGGTCGCGGGATGGTCAAAGTCTGTGAAGATGAGGATGGCAATGACCCTCTTGTAAAACAAGAAATGGACGAGTTGTTTGACGTCTTCCAAATAGACGATGTTGCTAGACCGACAGCAGCAGCAGCAAAATCGACGAATCACATCAAGTCTGAGGCTATTAGGGATCGGACGTCGCTTTCTACTACTTCCGCTACTACTGCGGCACCAAAACCCAAAGCTTTACCCAGACCACACAAGGCCGCAACTGCTATTTCGATGCAAGATATTCCACCATGGCCGGGAACAGATGATGCACTATGTGCCCTCTGTTCTTTCAAAAACGAAAAGCACTCGCCCACATGCGCCGTCTGCGCACATGTTCTCAACCCTGACAGTGTTCCTGGCTCTTGGAAATGCAAAAGCTCGGCGTGTAAGAACAGTTTGTATGTGAATTCGGGGGACAGTGCCGTCTGTGGCGTCTGTGGGCTGCGTAGAGGAGGGTAGTGCGCATGTGTATAATACAGAACTAGGCAAATACATTGCAGACATTACTTCTGAACGACCGCCCCAGCCTCTACATTGTGGCTCTGAGCAGCCTGCGCGTGTGAAGTGCTGGCGCTCTCATACACCACCAAAATGGGCTTCCTGCGGCTGGGGGCGTCGTACCATGGCGCCCTCTTTCCAAGCAAGGATGCCGAACGGCGAGGCAGTAAAACGGCAATTGAGAGGGCGGTTCCCACGAACTGTGCGTTACCCCGCAAAGCCCGAGATGGATCAGCGGTGCGAGACGGCGCTAGCGCGAGGTGGCTTGCCCACTATGCTACGCTGAGCAGAGGGCTGGTGTTGCAGACGGTCGACTGGCATGCACACTGGAGTCTAATCTGTGTGCTTTTGGATCTAAAAATATTACCAGCATCCAAGGTAAAGTAGACCAAAGGCTTCGAGCAAAGTGGCTGGCATAAGCAATTGAAGTGGCAAGACATTCCATAACTGATTGACAGCTCATCCATCTCAGACACCGTCCCGTCGCCCGCAACGCCTCTGTCCCAGAGCCTCTCAGTATGTTTTGGCCATCAGTCGGAGTCTCCTCGTGGGTTGTATGAAGAGCACTCGTACCAGCTTGGTGCTCCGGAGAGGGGGGTTGCATACACCGTCACGATAAGGACTGCCGAGCGGCATGATTGGGCGGCTGGCCAAAGGCTAGTAAGATGAGCCAGAGGGAACCTTACCTAGAGCTCCCCGCTTCTGCAACGTCCAGCCCGCTTCCCAGTTGGGACGAAGGTTTGGTGCCATTTCTGGATTGTTGCGCTAGAGGTGACTTCCAGAATAGCATCACATGACGCCTCTCCATTTGGGGGGCATCCATGACGGAATATTGATCTCTGGTTAGCCTAACCTAGCGAGGGTTAGCAAGATCCCCCAGCTGGAGAGGAAATGGTTAGAGAGAGGCGTAAGCAAACGACGAAGCGACCAACCACCTCGTTGCGAGCCTGCGTTGGCATCTGGATCTAGTGTTTGGCTGCAGCATGCATGTGGCATGTGGTAGCTTGCCGGCGCAACCCATGTCTTGGCCCCCTCCACGAATCAAGATGCAAGGGTTTCTAAAGCGGGCGTTTTACCTGTACATTGATAGCTGACGTTGCTGACAAGACCACTCGTGTTATTCTAATTTCTTTGTATTCGCGCCAAGCGAAATCCACAGTAGACGGGGAGGTGCAAGATCTAGACTGGAGCTGCCTCCACCGCTGGAAGCGCCGACACGTGCTGTACCGCCTCGCCGTCATCGGCGCAAACGCCTGCGTTGAGCGTACACGCAGGCAAGGCGAAGCCGAGTCAGAATTATGTCAATGCGATCCAGGAGGATACCAAGTAAATAATCAATTGGCATTATTTATTTATGGTAATGTAGGTAGGCCTCGCGTCGTGATACCTACGTCACTCCTGAAAAAGCTTGGTATTGATCTGAGAGATGATCGGTTTCATTTTAGGGCATGGAGGACCAACGCGGCGAGATTGGCCAGCCTGAGGCGCTAGCAGCAACCAGTACAGTGCGTCATAGTGCTGTCCTGCAGCACACGCGTCCAGTAGAATACCTCCATTGGCCCCAGGGGGCCCCCGCTGGCGGAGATCCAGAGCCTGCAGATCTCGTCGTCACAAACTAAATAGCAAACCATCTGGGGCAAGGGTCCAGGTCGCAGCGTGAGTCAAAGGGTTGCAAGCTAATATTGGATGATGTACAAATGATGCAACTTGTAGATCCAAGGATCGCTTCTTGCAATGTTAGAGACTACGCATTGTAGCGTACGATAGGCACTTTGGACATGTGCCGCGCAAGTTGTACGTACACCAAGCACTCCGCTCCGCGCCTGCATACGACCAGGGGGCGAGTGAAGGCAGCACGCTACAGCTTGTAGAATATCAGTAAAATATTATGAAAACAATTGCTTCACCGGAATGTATACTATGCTCTTGATTCTTCCATCTTTACAATCATGACTCCGGCGTCGGAGCTTACTGTCAGGCCTGCCAGCTGTGCCAGGTGACAATACCCAGGCCTGGCTCGCGACTTGCGGATGCGCATCGCCACCCCGCAATCTAGCCTTTTGTGGGTGCTGTACGGCGATGGAGGGCGTACCGTTCTCTGGTCGAGCACTGTCCACACTGTAAAAAGGGTAAATGGTACTATATTTGGCACTACGATTGTACGGGACAGCAACGCAGCTATATAGTGCCGATGCATACAGTGATAAAAATTTTCAAGTATGATACTCTGGTCAGGATAATATGCACTCCTATGTCAATTAATTTCGTCTTGCAGCTGCTTGCACCCAGCTTGTTCCAGTTCTCGCCTCCCGCCATTAACTTTTTGGCAGCGTCAGCGCCTGGCACCCCCGCCCGACAGGTGCAAACCCCCCACACCCCCTGTACAGTGACTGCGAGGGCCGGCGCTGCTGTAGCCCCCACCATGTGCTATGCTGAGGAAAGAGCAACCGAGACGAGACACACACTAACCTGGCGCTGGCGCCTGCCAACTGCTAGGACAAAGCCCACGCAGGCATCCACGCCGCTGAACAGGGCACTACCAGGTTGAACAGTGACACTCTCCACTCCACCCGCACCCATCCAAACCCGCCCGCAGCACAGCACAACTGCACTGTGCCCCAGCGCCCCCGTTGGTACATTTAGGTCCTCGCTCCCCGTCCCCCTCACTCGTCTCTTATCTCTTCCCACACCACAACCTCTACTCCTCGGACGCTCTCTTCTTTTCTCTTCTTTTCCAAACAATCTACTTGGCCAAAACTTCATCTTACGCTTATTTACTCAACACGCACACGCTTTCTCTAGCGACAGCCTCTGTCGCGCTCACAGGTCGGACTTAGTGCACAGCTCCGGCCTACCACTTACACTTTCCGCAACCAGTCGCCACCCAACGCCGAACGCTTATCCTCACCACCACCACACCACCAACACCACAAAATCATCATGTCCGGCGACAGCGGTCCTACAGCTGGCGTGCCTCAGCGCCGCAGCTCAATCACCCAGGCAGCTCTCTCCAACCTTTTTTCACGTGGCCCCTCGGTTGGCAACGTGCCGCCCATTCCCGCCCCCGGCGATAACCAGCGTCGCCGCTTATCCGTCAACACCATCGGCTTATCCGGCACCTCGCCCACCAACTCGTCTGTCTTTGCCAACATCCGACGCGGCAGCATTTCTACCAACTCTAGCGCTATCGACGAGAATGCCATCGACGACGATGAGTTTGCCCCAGAGTCCAGCAGAACTGCCCCCGGCACACCCTTTGTCCGCCGCATGAGCTTCGGCACCAACAATGCTGCTGCTATGCGCGGGTATAGACCAGGCGGCGGCAGCCCAGGAAATGGTAATAATCCATCCTCTCCCCCGCCTTCATCCCAGCTCGGCCGCCGAGCATCGATTCAAAAGTCATCTCCCGCTGCCAACGCAGCCTGGCCAACGCCGGGCGGTCGTCGTGCAAGCATAGTGCTGTCTTCTTCACTACCACCACAGGCAAGCTACACCTTGAGTACAAGAGCCCCTTCTGACAATGCCGTCCCTCGAGCAGATCAGCAAGCATTCAATTGGTCTGAGCAGCTCAGATCGCGCGCCGAAAGTTCTGTCAGCGGCGCTCGGCCGTCCTTCTCCTTCGGCTCTCCACCCACCCGCCAGCAACACGACCGAGCTCGCTCCGTTTCGGACATGGTCCAGCCTCCCTCACAGGCGCCTGCTCCCCCCAAGCCAGAGCGTCCAAAGCCCGATGCGTTCCAGGAGAGAATCCTCAAGGGTGACTTTTACATGGATTGAAGCGTCATGGAGCTCTTCTGACTTCATCTTCTTTCACTGCACATACTATTCCCCTCTTGTCACGGCCAGGATGGCCAGGCAAGCTACCTACCCACCTCTTTTATAACAGCATGGCGATCACTTTTTTCCTCCTTATTCCTCTGCGCACACCCACACTCACACCGTTTGGAGCTCTTTGATGCCAGGTTTGGCTGGAGTTGGTCACTTACTCCCTATTGTCTTTGTTTTCTTTGTCTTATTTGCTGGTTGGTGCCGAATTAGGTTCGGCTTATGGGTCTGGGACTCTGGAGATTTGTTACAAAGATTGGACGCGGATGTATCGCTGTTTTTATTGTATGATTCGGGAATGGGACTCCCGCGATGTAACCGCGTAAATCTATCAGGCGGGGTTCAAAAATGATGCAATTTGTAGGTCCCCAAGATTGGCAACGCAACAGTGTGATTGACGTTTTCAAATCGCAAGTGCTACAAAAAAACAAACAAAGGGTTAAATAACTAGATATAGCTATGTACGAGAATCGAGCACGTTGTAACTAGTCAACCATGGTTCCTTTTTGGTGTACATTGTAGCAACATGTGTCAAGCATCGTATAAGATGAGCGTTTTGAGAGGTGAAGATATCGTTCCATTATAGTAGTGATAGTAGTACAGGATTTAACGCCATTGACCTTGAAATGCTGGTCCCCTTTCATCCCTGTACAAAAGAAAAGCAAAAAATATAATACATAAGAAGCGTAGGTGAGCTAGATAGAACACAGGAGTCTCGTTATTAAAACGGGAACAAGTTTGGATCAGGCAGTCCCTGGAACCCATTCATATACCATGCCTGGTTCATGGCTGAAAAGTCGTCTACGGCTCGCACGCCAGCATTTCCCGCTTCGACCATGGACGAAAAGTCCAAGTCGGAAAGCATATTCTGCGTGAGCCACGACGGGAAGCCCATGGTGGCTTGGTCCTGGCCGCCAACATCGCCGCCCATGTTAACCATAGGCGGCGTCTGGCCAGCGGATCCGCTGCTCATGGCATCACGGAACATTGGCTGCGGCGGCGTACCAGTTGCACCGTAAGACCAGTTTGCGCTGCCGTCATGGCCTGTAGCGACCTCAGAGAGCAGCTGCAGCGGCGTGTTTGCATTCGCCGCGGCAGCCGCATACGGGTTCTGCGTTGGTGGGTTCGACGGCGGCTGTGTTGTTGGCGCTGGCGCTGGCGCTGGCGCCGGTGTAGCCTTGGCCTTGGCCTTGTCGTCGGCTTTGCTGGGTTCGGGTTTACCCTGCTTGACAAACCAGCTCCTAAGCATGGCGAGGACGACGAGGAACTTGCTGGCAGGGCGGCACTTGTCGTCGGCGGCGGTGAGGCGGAACTTGTCGAGCAAAGTGTCAAGGTAGTGCTGAACGCGCATGTTCTCGCGGCCAATAACGGCGCCGAGCTCGGATTCCTGGTTCATAGCAGAGAAGTGCATCTTCATGAGCACGACAACGGCGTAGGCCACGCGGACAAAGTTGAACACGGGCAGGCAGCGGATGCTGTCAATGTCCATGGCTAGGAACGTCTCAAAGATACCTTCAATAGCCTTGAGACACGCCGAGATGGCGTTGACATGCGGAGCGGAGATGGTTTCGTCTTTGACGAAGCCAGTCTTGAGACTATCGGTGTCGAAGGGTGGACGGAGAGATTCGTTGCCGGGCTCTGAGTGAAGCACCATCTCGTGCATATAGAGGTTGAGGACGTCAAATCCTAATTTAAGAGTAGCTGTGATAAATTGTTAGTATAGCACTTCGATACGCTTGGTGATGGGTGTACTTACGTCGCATCAGGTCCTTGGGCACACTAGCAATGTATCTGTCAAGATCTCGCTCCAATACGCGCAGCGAGTACTGCGTTCTAGAGTCTGTAATGCTGACTTGCACCGACGGGTCGTCCATGGAAAACTGCACTCCCGCTTCTTCTCCCAGGTGATGCGTCCATACCAAGTGGCAGAAGTACTTGTCTGAAGGCGCCGCATTAGGCGACGTCTGCAGCAGCTCCTGCGACTCTGACATAAACGGCGTCCAGCGAATCAAGTTTGGCCGGTGCAAGGACATGGCAGTGTTGGAAGCGAGATAGAAGCACGTCAACCACGTACGGCGGGATTCAAGCGTAGTAGGGTCCGGTAACGGTGCGCGGCGCGGGTTTTCTCTCCATCCAACTGCAACGGCAGCCGACTTATTTGCTGTCTTGCGGCCAAGGCCAATGTCAATGGCCATGACGCAAGCAATGTGGATGAGCTGATAGAACTTGAGCTCCTCATAGTACTCCGGGGGCCAGTACCAAATAACTGCAACACAGAGTGCCTGAACAAGCTCGAGACTCTTTTCGCCCGTCACAATGACCTTTTCTGCAAATATGTACATGAGCTCCTTTTGCAGAACCCGCTGCAGGGAGTGGTTCTCGCCCGCAGCCGCCGCCATAACGGCATGGAACAAGATTGGTTTTGTCCGTCGCAGGTCAGCCACCGTCATTGTGGGAGGGAAGATGATACCCGGCAGATTGTGCGCCATTTGTCTCGTATAGCGCAAGAATAGCTCCGACGCCAGCTCAGAGGGGACCAGCCCGCGGTCGACGACATCGCCGTCTGTGCTTCGTGAGGGCCAGCTAGCTGGCGCCATATGGCTCGGCGGCGGCGCCCGGCTGTTATATTCGGGACCAGCCTCGTAGTCAGACGCCTTGCGCTTCTGGGTCTGTGACTTCTCGGCATGGAGCTGCGCCTGCGCATTTCGGTGGTAGTCAGAAGCCTGGGTAGATCCGTTCCAAGGAGCATCTTCAGTGGGCGCGGAGCGGGGATGTGTCGGGGAGTCGCTGGAATGACTGGCGCCTGGGGCTACTCGGGCGTGGAGGCTGGCGGTGAGAGCATCAATCTTCTTCTCGAGCTCTGACACACGGCTGTCTGTCTTCTTTTGGCGCTTTCGTGTCGGCATCGTAACCACGCAGTTGCGGCCAGCCTTCTTGCACCGTCTGCATGGGCCGTCATTGGGATCTGGATCGCAGCGAACCTTGAGTCCGCGACAGGCCTCGCAGGCCCTTGCCTTCTTCGCATCCGCATTGTCCGGGTCGTCGCCTGCTTGGTTATCGAAAGGGTATTGCACGCCAGTGCGAGCAGAGGTTGTGGAGGATGGGGTCGAGGTGTTGACTCCTGGCGATGTCTGGTCCCCCTGGCCCTGGAGCCGAGGTTCCATGTCCATGTCCACTTTTCCGAGGTGCTTAGAAGCAGTATTTATTTGAATATCGGACGGAGCAAGGTCACCAACGCCGTGGGTGGCTGCAGAAAGTGAGTCGGCCAAGAGGTGAGCAATTCGCTTGCACGGTAAAATTGACTCCCGACTGCCGACGCTTGCGACACAAGCGACCTCCACCTGCCGGAGAGCCTCACTGGTTTCCGCTGACTAACCCGATTTACAGTGGCTTGCACTAGATACGGCCAGCTAACTAAATGCGGGTGCGAGGCGAGCTGAAAGGTGTAGAATACAGTATAAGATGAGTTTGTATAGGAGTTGAGTTCACTGTATCGTCTTTTTACAATTGCCAATGCAGTCTAGCAACTTCTTTCCTTTTTCTTTTCTTCTGCCTTTTTTCACCTTCGCGGCGCCGCCACCATCTCCGCCAGGCGGCGTTCCCCACGCCCGTTAGTGGAGAGAGTCGGCGTTGCAGGGCTGCGCGTTCCGACTTCAGTGGGCTGATGCTACAACAAAGTAAATTTCACGACAAAAAGACATACTTTAGGTTCTTTTAGCTATCTGAATAGACTCATTCTTCATCAAGGTATATTACGTATGTAGAAATCTGCTCTGCTTCCATAACCAAACGCCACACCGGAAAACACAAAAAGAACATTCGCCCTCTCGTTATCGTCTAAAACATGGCGGCAATAAGGCAAAAGAAAATACCCCCAAAATCCGAAAAGAGACCATAAAAGCAAAGTTGGTAGTCCAGGTATCTAGTAAACGATTCCACCCGAGCCAGTCGGTTGGTTATCGAGTCAATTATATAGTAAGATCCAACGCCAGAATTAGGTGGTGCTTTGGCAAGTCTCTTGCATTTGCTGTGATGTATAGTCGCTCTCTTGCTCAGAGACGGGAAAATAAGAAACGAAAAGCCGTTGTAGGTATCAATATCATGTAAGAAAAACATAAAAAGCTGTGATGGTATCGGCATACCAAGTGGTATAGCAACAAAAAATAAGATAAAAACATGTTGTTAAACGCCATCTTAATACTTCTGATCATAGGCAGGAACTCCTCCAGACTGGTGATCATGCGTATCGTAGCCCGGGCGGTGGTGACTAGAGCCGCCGCGGTGCATATCCTGTACAGTAATAGAAGGTGGGAGACCGTACTCGGTTTCGTATGCGGGCGAGGCTCGTGTAGGCGCAGACATATATGCCGACGCTGAGTGGGCGAGCATGGTTGGCTGTGGTTCATATGCCGCGCGGTGCGATCCGAGTGGTGGCGTGGGAGTAGATCGGGCAGGTTCATGCCTGTCTAGTCTGTGTAAACGGTGAGGAGACGCGCTTCCAGAGGATGTAGAGGGTCTCCCGGGGGCCTCGAAGCGATGCGGATCCTCATAGTGACTTGATGGTTCACCCTCTGGTTGCAAATGTGGTGGCTCGTAGTCAGCAGGGTTGATGCCGAAAATAGCCTCAAAGTTCTGTAGGAAGAGTGCAAAGACTGGGGCTGGGATGTTGAGAGTTGGTGAAAAGACAATGCCAACATTGCGCACATTCATCTTGTTGATGTCCTGCTTGTTGATAATCTTAATCAGGAACGCTGCGAGATACTGTAGCAAAGTAAGGTTGACAAGTGGGAGCTGTTGTGCCAAGTTGCCAAGAGTATGTGTTTTCTCCTCTGTGGTAGAAAGCTCCGCTACTGACAAAAAGGCCATATGAAGCTCTCTGGTCAAGATGGTCGAAGGCAGCTCTCTCAGATAGAGCTTAAGGAGCGAGGCTATGGCATGGATATCGTAGTAGTTTTCATCCTTCAGAAGATCAATATCGCCTTCTGTGTTGAAGCGATCCCGAATCTGTCGAATGACCACATTAGATCCGCTGAGTCGGAAGATACCCTCTTCCAAGATGGCGTTCCTGGCCTCCAGATACTGAACACAGCGGTATACAACGCAGGGAAGAGGGATGTGGGCATCTGCTGGAGGATGATAGCGAGCAGCGTCAGCCAAGGGAATGCCAAAGACACCAGGGATGTGTGTTGATGTCGCTTGTGAGTTTGCTACCGATCCATTCTCACTGCCACCAAAGACGGAATCTTGACCATCAGAGGACGACCTTGTAGCCTTGGAGCCGAAGCCGAAGAAGCTTCGTTTCTTTTGCTTCTTTTCTTCTGGAACAGGAAGCCCGCCAGCCTTTTGGCCCCAGGAAGCCGCGTCCGAAATAATCTGTGCATCCTTGGGTCCTGATATCAAAATTGGCTGCTGGGGTGCAGTTGGCGGCTCAGTGGACACCGATACTGGGCTGTCATGCTCAGCGGAGCTGGATGTCTTTGGGCGTTGGGCAACCCACTGAGTGGCCTCTGCGTCTCTGGTAGGCTCATGGTGTGTTTCCAAGGGTTCACTCTCTACGACTTGCTGGTGCTGTGAGCGAGGTGCAGCGGGCTTCTTAAAGGTGTCGACATGCTGTCTGTCTTGAGCTGAAGCCTTAGGCGTCGCACTTTCGTCATCTCGGTGTTCTGTCCACTGGAGTAGCGCATCGACCCAAAGGTCACGCTCTCGATCGCTCTCTGCACACAGCACGTGCTTGATGAGTTGATTAGAGTTCCTCTTTTTAGGCTCACCGATTAAGAAGGCATGACGGTATTGTCCTTCGGCATCCTCGCCTACATTTCTCGCAGGGGAGTGCTCTTCAGCAGATTGTTTACCAATCTGAGCATTCTGGAGCTTAATAGTACCAAGATGAGGGCCACCTGGAGTTTCATAATACTTTAGGTGAGGTCCGTCAAGCACAAAGAAACGCATCTTCCACCCTCCAAAGTTCTTTCCCTTCTTTGTCAAATAGCCGCTGCGAATCGGCATCCCATCGGGTCCAACAGTTTGCGTATTGGCAACTTTGGTGGCCTTGACAGCCGCCCCTGTTTCATCAGCGTTTGGTGGTAGCGTATTAGACGACAGATACTTGCAAAGCTCCAAAGTAGTTGAAATATCGAGGCTAGTCTCTTGAAGCTCGGAAAGGTACTCGTCCAATGCTAGTCTCCGTGCATCAAGCTTCGCTGGGGAGTGCCCACTGAAGAGAGAGCGGTCGGGAATTCGGGCAGTGAATGCAGGGCATTGCTTCATACGCTGGTCAAGTTTCATCAGCGAGGCCGAGTCCTTCTCCACCCTCCAAAGCTCTCCATTATCAATTCTAGAGACAATCGCAAGAGTAAAGACTGGGTCTTCTTCCAGTTGAGTCAATGAGAGTAAACTGGCTCGTGATGGCTTCATCCTCGAAGACGCAACACGGATATCAACGTTTGGTAAAGAGTTTGGAGGGAGGAGCAAGTCTGGGAATTCGTTGACCATTAGACCCTTGAAGATTCTTGTTCGTTCAACCGGACTGGTCCTGCTATCGTTGGAGTTGTTGTGTTGGTGGTAACCGGCAACAGCTCTTTTTGCAGCAGTCACCGGAGGTCCAAATTGCGCGCTGTCAATCGATGACACCGTTGACGATGTAGGAAGACCAGCACTCGGCGGCGCTTGCTGATTGGGCTTTGCTGTACGGGAGTCTACTGGAGGTGCTGGCATCGGAGAGGCAGGTGGTGATGCCGAATGCTTCATAAAGTTGGCGTTGGGCCGGGGACTCGCAGGCAGGCCTGGGCTGACCAGAGACGGAGGTAACCCAAAGTCGAGGCCTCTTGCCACCGTCAATGTCTGCTGGACGGGTTGGTGCTCTTGTACATCGTCTTCTTCGTAATCAGATTCGTCTTGTTCCTTGGGGTTGTGATCAGAGACACCAGTCAAACTTAAGATCTCGCGCTCTTTGACATCTTCTTGTCTCGTTCGTCGTCGCCCGCGGTCTCCATGTGTCACACCATTTACTTCAAGGACATCATCATAGTCAGAGTCGGAGTTTTCAGCTGGTGGATTGGTCTGTGTCACTTTCTTCTTTTGGTCCAAAAGAAGAGGAGTCGGCGGTCCTTTCTTGGGTGGCGCGGGGAACTCTGACATGGCTTTTGGTTGGTCTGAAGAAGCCCCGGGAACCTTTGGAGGTGGTACTGAGGGTGGAGGAGCAGTTGGCAATGTCCGTGAAGGTGGAAGGCTGGCGTTGTATGGTATCTCACGTAGCTGTTCTTCGGCTTTTTCCTTTCTAGCCTGATCTTCCGCTCTCTCTTGTGCTGCATGGTCGTAGTTGCCAGAGGCGTGCTCTTCAGCCTTGGGCATGACACGGTTGGGATTTAAGATATCTTGGACCGCGGAAGGAGACTGGTGTGGCTTGTCAGCAGGGGGCGTGATCGGATATGGAGCCATATTGACCTCCGCAGGTGATCGCTTAGGGTTTTCGAACACAGGAGAATCAGGCGCAGACGCCTGTTCATCCCTAGAGGCTTCGCTGGCAACTGACGGTTGAGATCTGTGATCGCTTGTTTGCCCTCCAGCAGCCCTCAGCACAGCTGGGTTCGCCATGAACTCCTTCAGCTTGCGTCTGTACTTTTCTTTCTCCTTTAATGCGGCCTCCAGGTCCTTGTTTAACCCTAGAATCATCGCTCTTTGCTTATCAACTAGCCTCCATAGCTGATTATTTTGCTGGGATTGAGACTGTTTGTCCTTTAGCAGGTACTGGATCGCTGCCTCCGGGCTTCCAGCGGTTTTGATCAGCTCGGTAATGTCAGGCAGAGGTTGGGCTGCTTTTTGTGAAGGGGACGATGACGGCGTCTTGGGAGAAATTGCGTGAATAGCTCGGTCAATAGATGTATTCCGCATAGGGGTGGATGGTCCGCCTGGAGATGAAGTGAGCGGCCCCTCCATGGCGGAAGTCGGCGGTTGGTTCGGCTTGGGAATTGCCTTGGGAGTCAAGGGTTCTGACAGAGTCGTCGCCTCGCTCGCTGTATCAGGGAAGTCAGGCCTGCAATAGATTAGTATTATGGACAGTGATAGTCGAGAGTGATGCTGCATGCCTTGAACTATCCAGCTCAGGACTGGAAGGGTTGGAAGAGTCCGTGTAAAAGGTACCCGCCGTTGTCTTGGTACGCGACGTCGTCCCTCGAGACGGCGTGGCGCCGAGGTCTGTGTATTCACTCGTCTTGGATAGTGGGCTAGGGACAGACGGTCGTAGAGATTTACTATTGTAGAATCGCAAAAGTTAGCAAGATTCACCAGGAAAGCCGCCACACGACTAGAGCGGAAGCATCGCGCCGCCCATAAATTGTTCTTGTTGCGTTCTCAGGAAGCTAGGCTGCGCAGTCGCAGGCGTCGAATAGAGTTCCGGCGAGGGCTTCTATGCTTCCATCTGCACTCTATGGTGGGAGTATACTTTTGCCATTGCAACGCCAGAACGCCGGGCACGGGTTGCAAGGCGCGATCACCAGCGCAACGGAAGGGCAACAACAAGAGGACGTACCTTGGGCCTGATCCAGCGGCAGAAGCCAGTGACTGGGAAGTTGTGGGATGTCGAGAGGAAGATTTGTCGTCGGGGATGGAGGAGTGGAATTGACCAGCGCCTGTCTCGTGAGAGGCGTGGTCTGGCCAAGCCGGCTGTTGCGACATTGTCGGAATCGCTCGTTTGAGGGCCTTGGCCGCGGGCCAATCGGTGGAGTCGCCTGGCGGTGTTTGCGCAGGACGGTTGTGCTTGATAGTGTACAAAGTAGAAGGACAGCTAGGTTACTCTGACGGTGGTCGCATGAACGAGGCGTTTTGCCTGCGTTGCTCTGCGCAGCGGTTTCTTCCCCCTTGGGCCTTTGGCAAACGCTGCTTTGCTTTTGGGGAGGGTGGGGAGAGGAAGAGAGTGGCCGATTCTGGGTAGCGATGGCGGTGGGATTGGTGGTGGAGGAGGGGTGGGAAAGCGAAATTGGGGCTTCTGGTTACTACTGGCCCTTTTGGTGAGACTAGTAAAGGCGTGCTCTGCTCTGCTGGCGGTCTTTCGTATTTTATTTTAACAGCGAGATGTCTTGCTTGTCCTCTTTTCTTTTAGTGATGCTGCGTGTAGCGGTTGCAAGGTAGGAATAGCTTTTTGTTCTTGTTTGAACCCAGCGTTGATGAAGACAATCCTCTGGTTTGTTGTTGGCGAGCTTGGTGAAGCAACCTGGGCAAAGAGAACATGGGATGAAGGAGTAAGGAGTAGAGAGGCCTATAAAGCGTGAATAATAATAAAAAAGATGTCTTGCGCCAACAAGGGACCGTCCCAGGACAAAAGGGCGACAAGAGAAAAAGGGTCGTGAGAAGGACAGGCGGCGGTGGTGAGGAATGCCGGCGACAGGCTATTTGTCTCTTGTTTGGGGAATCCCTGCTGTGCTGCTGGCGGGCGCTGAAAGGGCGCTGGATGCTGCAGGAGCCAGCTGTGAGGTGCGTGTTACAGAGCAGCAAGCGCTGTTAATTACAGGGCTACTGTGGTCAACTCACTAAGGATCAGTGACTGACGGATTGGGAATAAAGAAGAGAACAATCGCCACCTGTTACTGTTAAACGGCTTTGCTGAAATGCTGTTACGTAGCTTGATACATTTATCTATCTAATACTATTCGTTACTACAGAAAATTTTTGTATGCCACATATAGCTATTCAATAACAGCGCCAATCAACAGAACAGCGGCCAGTGCGTCAAACAGTCCGTGGCGAGTCCCCCAGCGGTGAACATGAAGCACTGTGGCGGTCCGATTACTCGCGCGAAGGGGCCAAAGAAACAGCGGCCTGCAGGCAAGCTCTTTGGTGCCGTGGGGGTGTCTCCGGGGGAGGAACAGGGAAAGTAATAATAGCAGTCAGGGCCAGTGCATATGCATGACGCCAGATGCAAAGAGTCTCTGTCGGGGGAGGAAACTATTTTTATAATATGATATTATAGTGACATATTTATTCTTAGGTTTAATTGCCTTCATTTGTTGGCCTCCCTCCTTCTCACCGAAAAAAAACCAAGAACAGGAAGAGAAGAAAAAAGTTCAGCTGGGCGAGGCGCCGCAAACACTACCAGTCTGTCCGTACGGTACGTATAGCTTCAGTTAGTGTACTATACCTGTAATTTTCCAGGGGGTGTGGGATGGGCTTCGGCACTGTAAGAGAACACAATAACTGCGCTAGGACCAAACCAGACAACACACGACTCGCACCTTCACCGTAGAGCCCGCTGGCCACCGCCCGCCAGCAACACCACCTCTACGCCCGTGTAATTTTACTTCTTGACTCCTCCACGACCCGCCAATGCCAGCAGCAACGCGAAATTTCCATTGCACGAAAATAGCTCAGGAGGCGTGGCCTGGGGCTTCTGTGATTTACCGCTTTTTCTTTTTCTTTTTCTTTTAATTTCAAGCGCTGCCCCGAAACCTGGCCCTGTTTGTTTCTTGTCTTGATCAAATGTCTCGCCCATCGTTCTCGTAGCCGCCAGCAACAAGTGCACCGCGATGTCCATTGGCCCCCGGAATGCAAGATTTCACCCCCGTCAACCCGTTTTGCTCTGTGCCTGGCTGGCTCTCTCACCCTGGATCGCCGGCCTGTTGGCAAGCAACTGTCCCGTGCCTATTGCGCCTAGGAGTTGATTTGCACAGAGCTTGCCATAACGCTCGACATCACCCGCACGCTCCAAAGATGTGCACAAGGCCCGGGCATCATGCACGCAAGCGTTTCGTCCTGTCCCCCTTGGCACGCCTAGACCACTGTGATTTCCGTCCGTGCTTTAGTATCTGCCAACGGCTGCCCATCTTCTTTGCTGTCACTCGAGCACGTCCCTTTTCAGCTAATTGTACTTGCAGCTGGATGTGGCTTGTCCCAGAGCCCTCTGTGGCTTGTCCCTGTTATACAATTTAGAGTTTGAGCAATATCCTGTAAGTGGTCACGGGTCTTCTTGTGCGTACGGGGGTCACCAACGAGGGCCACCCACCCTCTCTCGCTTAGGTACTGGGTATATTAATTCCCTCCAGGAACTGGCAGACCAGAGCTTCCTTAGTACCGCCTGCTATCGCCAGACTTTCGCTAGTGCGCCGGGCCTGTTTCACTGCCCCTTGAACGCTGCGATCGCTAGTATCCTCCACTGCGACCACGGTCATGATTTAAATTAGCAACCGGCCAGGGGGTTCCATCCTGAGTGGGCTTGCGCCAGCAGCACGCTTTCGATATGCAACCCCTTGTGCTCCAATCAGGGCACAGATCGAGCAATGAGATGCAGCGTGTGACTTGCCCCATTTGGCCAAGGACTCGGCAATTATCGCCTACATTGGGTGGTTTGGACGGTTGCGTGGCGTAGAAAAGCTGCGGGATGCTATTTTGTAATATGTCTGCAAAACACCGACCACCGACACTGGGAAAGTTCAATGGCAAACTGGTCGTCGAGTAACCTACGTGGCAATCATTGTCCTGAATCACACATGCACACCTCGTCCAATCCAATCCAAGGGTCTTCCCTGCAACGTCGATTTGAGGTTGATTACTCTGGGGCCACCCTAGCTTAAACTTGATATCTACACCAGGGGAGAAGATAATTAACGTGCGCGCGTGAGCCGCCTTAGCCTATAGCAGCATTGATAGGTATGCTGTATTGTGCTGATAAATACAGGCACCATTCTCATATTGGCCCAGGTTGCAGGTTGGACGGTAGTTGCACAAGGCGTGACGCCGAAAAACAAGGCACGCAAGGCGACAATGAAAGCACCCACCAATTCAGAACAGCGCAACAAACAGGCTTTGGGGCGGTACATCGCCGCTCTGTCTTGACCTAGCCTTTGCGCACCACCAGGCGATCGGCGCTGTGCAAATTAGGCTGCGGGCATCTGCTTGTCGCAGCGCACGCCAATCCCATTCCCGCCACAGCTTGGCTGGCTGTGCCCAATACGGAAGGCTGCCGTTGGAGGAAATGATGGAGCTGCCCGAGTGCATCGAGACAAAGGGAACTCAAAAGACACCAGTCCACGAAGCTATTTTCTACTCTCTGGTGCTGCTATGATTGGTAACGTTTTTAAGAACATGTCTGTCTCAGGGCAAGGGAAGCGCCGCTCCGCATTCTTCACAGCGCCCCGTCGCAATAAGACGCAGAAAGTCGCCACCGTTCCAATTACGATTCTGGACAATTTCCAAGGAAAGAAAGTAGCGGTCAATGTCCGCGAGCAACATATGACAGACAACATAGACAGGAGCCGTTCCTCAGACGCGCAATAGAGAACCACTGCCTGCGCGTCCGATGTGGCCGATTCCGCGTTTCGACCCCGGACTCTGCATCGCCCGGACTGCACGCCAGCGCACGGTCTTGAAGGAGTATGAAACGCATGCCGTCAGCTCCATCGGGAGCACGAGCGCATGAGCAGCTGCGGTTTCAACGCGGTTTCAAGCACGCGTGCAACAATTACGGCATAACGCCGATGGCAAAATAGCAACAGTAGGATGACCCGTCTCGAGTGTTTTGAGTAAGATGCTCGCTCTCGACTTGTTGCATAATAGGGTGTGAGTGTAATGGGAAAAATGGGAAGCCCATCGCGTGATGTGTTTGGTCTGCTCATTATCAAGCAAAGTAGGTTGTCTTTTTTCACACTCGACGCTATCAAAGCATTTGCAGGGCGTTTCTTTAGCCCTGTTTCCCTCTTAGCTGTTGAAATAAGCCTTGCGCCAGGCTGCCCTGCATTCCCAACGGCCGTAGTACATGCTGTGCTGGGTACCATGTGCCTTGTAAGTCACAGCACCCGGTAAACCTACACCAACCATAAAAAAGACATCTTCATAGTCTGCAGACTATTCAATTCTTTGTAATTTTCTTCCTCGTTTTCTATTTCCTCCGTATTTCCCTCTCACCAAGTCTCTCTCTGCCTATGCGCCTTTTCAGGATGTCCTCTTCCTCGGCAAAGCACTGCCTTGCTTGGCCACCCGCGTGTCCAGCCAGTCATGTTGTCCCGCGCGACCACCAACGTCATGGGGCCGCTTCTGCCTTGGACTGTCACCAGGCGCAGCTCAGCATTGCCGCAATGAGCCTACGCAGCTCCAAGATTGACGTGCTTGACCATTTTCTCCCTTTTTTCATCATCATTAAATCCCTCAGAAGCTATTTTATTTGATTTATCTCTTCTATTTTCTATTTGCGCCCATCACATTATCGCCACACTGACCTATATACGCTGAAAGGATGGGTACGTCATATATATTGCGACGCCGGCCCTCGCCTACCTGCAAGCTAACACGACATGTCCAACCATAGGACACGCATATAAAAAACGTCTCTACTTGAGCAACCCTCCTCCCGATGATGTGACAAAGCGCACCCGTATCACACGCTATGTGCCGCCCGCACCGCTTGAGTGCATGCCCGTCATCGTCCCTGATCCGCCCAAGCGCTGCCCAACGCCGCCGCCAAGTCTTCCAGAGCCCCAGGTCGAGGTCGAGATTGATCCCATCGACGTAATTGCCGTCGACTTTGATGACGAAGAGGAGCCGCCTAAGTGTCCGTCAAGCCGGTCCAGTCGCGGATCCCGCAGCAAATGCAGCAGCGCCAGATCCGTCACCCGTGAAAAAGAAGTCTATATCGAGCGGGAGCGATTTGTGCCCGTACCTGTTCCTGTCCCAGTTCCCATTCGATCAGAGCCTCGTTATCATACATTCCGCTATGTGGATGCTCCTCCGCGCATTCCCTCGCCTCCACGCCTACCTGAAAGAAGGATGATTACCGACGACGAGAGGCTGAGAATCACCATCGAAGACCGACACAACTCCAGAGAATACTATGAGCGGTAATTCTAATGGCTACTCATACCCCTTATCCCTTTCAGCAGATGAGGGGAACGACTTGAAATGAGAACACGACTTTGTATTTATTTAATCCACGACAATAGCGCTATAGTCTGCAATTTACATCGCAATATATATACGACATATTCCATCCACATAAATCACTTGCTAGTTCATTCTCTCATCTATTACAACTTCTGAATCATTAGTCGTAGGTCGGCTGGTGCCTCATTCGTCGCCGCAATACCTCGGGAGCACGCTGATAGAATGGTGTGCCGATGACGGCATCGGGCACCTCTTGGCCAAACAAGTGTGACGATCTTGGTCGTGGTGTGTAATACGGTGGTGGTAGCCGTGAATCCGGTGCAAATGGGGAAGTATAAGAAACAGGGGCCGTCACAGTAGTGGATAAGCGCGGCTGTGCCACACTTCTTCTCTGCTGGCCAGTGATCCAGCGGAAAACGTTACCCAGTTCATTCATCCACCACAGGCCACCAACAATAACCAGAGCCGTAACAGGCAAGGCTACCGCCCAATAAAGCCACTGCGGGTAGTCCATATCGCGAACATCTGAAGTGTTCATGCCAAATATTCCGGCAATGGAGCTCAGGGGGAGGAAGATGATGGTCACAATCGTAAAGGCATATACAGCATTCTCCTGTCTGTCCTTGGTCCATTCCATCTTGTAGGCCGCCATCTCTGTAAGATATTCAACCTGCTGACCGAAACGGGCAAAGTCGAAATCTCGCGATTCCAAGGCGTTTGCACACTCGCGAAGAAACAAACTTCGCAACCCATGCTCGTTCATCAGTGATGGCCTCGTACCGCCAAGACCGCCATCGTTGTTCCGGTTGTCTCGACCTCCTCTTGAATTATAGTATGGGCCGACTTTATTTGAGTCTCTGCCTTTCCGGTTTCGGTTTTCAGTTTCGTACAATTGGTCCATGATCTTCTCATCGCCAGTAAAAGAATACCTCATCTCTGCAACTACGCGCCGTTGCTTCCAAATGGTCGACTTTACAGAATTAAGTTCTTGTTTGACAAGATCAATCATGTGTTGATGGGATCTTGTGGGTGCTTGAACAGCAATATCAGTGTCCTTATCCTGTTAGTTATACCCACAAAGCCGTTGAACTGCTAACTCACCAGAGACCCCAAATACTGTGAATAGGTTTGCAAAATATCGTCCGCTTTGCCTACTCTATCTTTGAATAGTTGCATACTAATCAACGACAGAATTTCCATGGGGGGCACGGTGACATTATCCGTCAGATTCTGCTTGGGAAAGCCGCGTATAATGGTGGCCATTCCGTCGTTTATGAGAGCTTCGATCTTCTCCAGGTGATCATCTTCGGTAAAGTCTCGGTCGATGAAGGTGACAAACAAGGAAATCAGGTGCAGCCAAGCCTGGCTAAATTCACGAGGCACTGTGATTTTAGATTTCTCAGACTTTGGGGCGAAAGAAAGGAGATGTTGAAAACTCTCGATTCTAGGCCAGAGAGAACTGAGGGCGGATCGGAGATCTATAAGAGCAAATCTGAGATCCAGACGGCTAGATCGAGCTTCTTGGTGAGACTATTTCAGTCAGCGTCTGTGCCTTCTATGATCTGTAGATCTGTTCTTACCTTCATAACATCCATTATTGCACCCCAAAATTTGTCGACGGTAGGGTATTGGCAGTGGGGTGGTAGGAATAATTGATACCATGAATCAGCAACATTGAAAAGGCTAACCCGGTCCTCCTGAATCTGACGCAGTTCATCATCCTTTTTCTCATCAACTACTGACGCTTGTTCCAGGAGAAATGAAAGAACATCAGCTCGTGTAGCTCGAGGGCAAGCCTTATATGCCGTTTGTTTAGCAAAAGACGTCTTTTCTTCCAAGAACAACGCCACAGACTCCATCTGGGTTCCCAGAACGTCAATAAATGGTTCTTTTCCTGTGGTTACTTCTGTTGGTATATTGACCAGGTCCAACACATGGAACGGTGAGTCTGGAACTTGCGCTGGGTTTTCGTCAACCTCCGGCCGAAGCGCAGCTTTGAGCGCTGGTTCTGTAATTAACCTAGCCTGTTCAGCATGATATTAACCATGTGTGAGCTGAGATCTTACTCTTTTTTCAATGCCAACGTAACTCCGCCTTTCGATTTGACATATCTCAGCAGTTTCGGCCAGTCTTTGGAAACGACTACCTTGCCGTGATGTTCAAAGGACAGCTTGTATGTAGGCCAAAATTCTAAAAAGTGAGAAATAAAATCCTAATATAGTAAGCACAGATCTGGTAAAACGTTTCCGACTCCCACTTACAAACCACGTTGCACACTCAGAGGCTGAGAAAGCCCAGACCACGGAACTGTCCTTTTTCACAAATATCCGACCTGGATTATCGAGTGCGTTGGGTTTACCAGCAGCAAGCTCATAAGCAAAATCCAAGGTTTCACTTTTGAAATCTGCCCGAGCCATATCCCCGCAAGTAACAAGCAAATCTACAACTGTCAGCGTATGCTCAAAACGACATGGATTGCCACTCTTACCATTATCTAACACCAGGCTCCATAGCTGAGAGGTGTGGAAGCATTGCCCTTTTTCAGCCACACCTAGCTGGCAAACTGCTTGATCCAGGTCTCGCTGGCGTGTTGTACGTGAGTACTGCTCTTGTAGTAGTGTAACAGAGGGAAAAGATGTCTTCTCTGCCACGCTTCCGAGCCCGGAGTACTGTTGCAAAGAGAAGTAAGGGAGACACATCCACCGTATCGTCGATTCTTTGACACTCGTTTCTTGAGTGGATCGGTTGCTTTGCGTGACCGGTACATCGATAGTGTGAGGCTCCATATAGCCAACTTGTTGGCCGTCAATGTTTTGTCGCGACTTCTGGCAAACGGTTTTGACCTTGATTCTCAATTTGGCAATAGCCGTTTTCTGAGCATCCGTCAAACGAACGGTTTTATTTATTTGAACCTAAAATAATTAGCACGGCACCAAGAAGCTTCCTCTAGCATCGTTTATTACCCAAAATTGGTCAATATTCATTTGACCCTGTCGTATATGCCTATAAGACAGGTTAGCACAACATTTCCTATACAAAGGACGACTTTCAACCTACAGCCACTTAAAAAGGGGACGGCTAGGGCCCCTCAGCCCTTGCATGAGCGAAAGCTGAACAAGATGTGACCCCCCGTCCTCCACATCACCACTGTAACGAGAGGAATACACATTGACAACATCTGACGACCAAGACGATTCTGGTTCTAGAGGAATTGTTGGAGCCCCCTCGAGTTTGAATGTGTTTGACGCCGAGGATGAATCACTGGCCGTCTCTGTGATTCGAGCACAGGTAAATCCAAAATCATCATAAACATCCATATCCCTTTCTTGTAGCCGATCTCGGTTAGCAGCTTCAAACACTGCAGCTTCGAAATCATCGTGGTCAGATTCTGCATAACGTCCTATTTCACAGTTGTAAATCTAAAGCCGTGGTTTGTACATCTGAGTTGGTTAGGATTTACCTGCAGTAGCCATTCGAGGCCGTTGAGAGGGTGATCTTGATCTTGATATCGCCGTGTGCGTGGGTTGCTCCGTTCTATACAGCTCTTCATGAGCGTCTTCAGGTGCATCTGTCTGCCTTTTTGATGGTAGGCTTGCAAATGTAGTTGGGATGTGGTGCTCATCCCTTTGTACCTCTACTGTCACACGGCCTCTCGGTCTTCTGGAGCGATAAAGACCTTCTCTCTCAGTTTCTGTTTCATCCAGCCCCGGTCCTCTACCTTGTCTTCGCTCTCTAGCCGGACGTTGTCTGTCGTCAGATAGCTCGTCAATATCGCTTTCACCATCAGTGTCGGATACCTCCAGGAGCCGGCGTGGGCCACGGATGACAGCCTCGACCGATGGACGGCAACGAGAGAGCGAGTTAGACCGAGAGCTTGGGGGTGAATAATTGAGATCATCTACCTATAATTCTCTTAGAAAAATTGGTCGCCAGAGCTACAATTGCGGCTTACCACATATCTCCGCCGGCGTCCACCAGACGGATACACGTTGCGGTGCCTACGCTCTGATCTTGGTCCTGTGTACCGTTCTCGCGTCGCAGAGTTGCCAAATGGCGCTGGTGCTGCCTTTTTGCGGAAGAAGGAATTTGGCTGTTGACTGTATGAGATTGGGCTCCTGTCAAGGCTTATAACAACCTACCACAGCCACGGGCCGAGCCGCATGGCGCTGACTCTCGTTAAAATCCATTCAGGGGTGCTACGTTTCAACAGAGACAAGACGGTATCTGCAGTATCAAGATATATACGGTATTATTTGGCGGTATATTCGAGGTTTCTGTGTGGTTCAAGAGTGCAAATTCATTTTACACGGTGGTGTTGATAGGGGATGGTCACCTGCCAGGAGGGGGCGCCAAAGAACAGTGCAGTAAGCTGAAGCTGTCGCTTGCCAGTGTAGGACGCCATAGCAACCAGCAGCTACTAATCATGACTCCAGGGGATTCTTGACCATCGCCGTCGCTCTTCGGGACAGAAGTTTTTACAGATCGCTACAAAGCATATTGTCCTCGGAAGCCACACACTTGTCCAAGACTCTACTTTGGGAAAAGGTCGCAGGTGCGTGGTGCTTCCACTGCATTCCAGTCGGCCAATGGCTCGGACACGCTGTGGCAGGTACCCGCACTACGACCAGCTGCGAACCCCGCCAAGCAACCATGCAATTGCGCCAACCACAGCTGCCTGTCAGCACCATCATCGGTCGACCAGTCCATCTTTCAACTTCACAAGCTCTACTCTCCACGTAGATTCCCGTGAAAGGTTCACAATGTCGGGCGTCATTTCGATAACTTCTACAGAGCAGCTGGAACACTTTGCACAGGCGTCCCAGTTCGCGGTGGTGAGCTGTACGTTTTATGCCGTTCCCGCCACCAACGCGCTGCTTCCAGCTGGAAGTGCATGTTGCCTTGATATACAGTTTTCTAACATGCTTCCTAGTTATTTCATCTACTTCCGGTAATACTGATGAAATTTTCAGTGTTTACGAAGCCCTCGCAGCTACGCTTTCCAATCCGAAAATTGTGTTTCTTGCCGCCGATCATACTGCGCACCCCGAACTTGCTACCGCATACTCCGTGACGACGAATCCTACATTCATTGTTATCCGCAATGGCAATACTATCGACAGAGTAGAAGGCCAAAATACCAAGGAACTCCAAGGCCTCATCCAAAAGCTCGCTGTGCAGGTCCTAGCAGAGCCAAGTGATGAAGAAGAATCAAACTGGAGAGGTACAGAGCTGCCCAGGGGTTACAGCGATATCAACGATGAGGTCGAGGTCAGAGGCTGTGAACTGCTCAATGCTGATGAAGATGCTGGACCTGTAAAGGTGCTCTTCAGCGCTTCCAAACCAAGCGGCCTCGGCAGTGGAAAGCCTTCTGCGCCAGACTACGTTCAGAGTGGTTCCGACGATCAGCTTTTACTGTTCATCCCATTCCAAGCCACTATCAAACTTCACACATTGCAGGTATATACTTCTTTGAGTCTTCCTCGTTATCCTGGTAACTGACAGCCACTATAGATTACATCCCTCCCACCCAGCGACCAGACCGATGTCTCTCGACCTGGCGTAATTCACATTTTCATAAATAAGCCACAAAACATGGACTTCAGCGAAGCAGATGACTCAGAGCCCACTCAGGTCATTGAGCTAGGACCAGAGGATTGGAACAAGGACGGCACTGCAAACGTACCGCTACGTTTTGTCAAGTTTCAGAAAACCAATACCATCATCGTATATGTACAACAGGGTGATGGTGAGGCTGAGACGGTACGTATTGATAGAATCAGACTTGTTGGTGAAGCTGGCGCAAAGCGTGAAATGGGCAAGCTACAGAAGCCTGGGGATCTCGAATAGACTCTGAGATTTCTTCAGCGAAAGGCTGTAGAGTTCGAGAAACCTCCGCCTGGCTATCCGGATTTTTAAGCCGTGCGTTCGAGGCCATTGGCGTTTGATGGAATAAAATTTACAATAGTGCTAAAACTGCATACAATGATATATGGGCAAAGTCTCAAGCTCCACGTCAATCACGCTTTTCACTTTCTTTTCTGTTGAAATGTCCAGCCTCCTCACGCATGACCAATGCAAGAAAATTGCCTAGATCGTTGTAGTGAAGTGGCCGGCTTGCAATTATAATTTATCTGGGGTACAGCCGACGCTCAGGTTTGTATCCATGGAATTAGGACTCGAGCAACACGGGTATATTTTCGAGCTGCACCAGCCGCACGAAGAGAAAAAAGAAAAGGAAAAGCGAAGCTTTCGTCTGGCGCACCGGAATTTTATTGGCAGCTGTCCTGCTTAGTCAGGTGTAATTGTGGTTTGTTATATCAAGATGGCGCTCTCTAGGGTAACGCCCGGCAAGAGAGCAAATGCCGCCAAACTCACATGAGGTATTGGCCGTAAAGTAATAGAAAATAATGTTTCATATTTATTAGTCCTCTGATACTGTTTGCTGCCTACCTGTATCTCATTTATTTGCTCATCTGCCTGACATACAGCTTTCTAGCGACGACCCTCCGGAGAGTATTGAACACAGGACACTGCTGACTGAGCCTATTAAATTACTCTTCCAAAACCAGAAAATATACACCCCAAAAGGATAAATGTCTGCAAAGATTAAAACCGGTCCCAAAAAATCAACTATATCAATAGAAATTGAACGAGCTACTGTCTCACCAGCAATAACGCCGTGGCTGAGAGCACAGCCACACTGAGGTAGCTAGCGCCACAGTGACGTACTCCGCCGCCATTTGGGACATGTGCTTCAAAGTTTCATGCCGCTGACCCTTCCCGATGCACTAGCACTCTCCCAACAATATTTGGTACAGCAGAATTCTTCAAGCAACGGTCTAGGGAAAATACAGCACCCTATAAAGAATGGCACATACGGCACCTCCTGACTACTGTGAGTTGTGAATGATCACAAGACTTGTCAACTGGGCTAACCACGAGTCGCAGATGCGATCCTAGAGGTCACCGAGACAGCATCCCCCGAGCGCATTCGGGATGCATACAAGCGGTTCGTTGATATCTTCCTAAAGAGCCATACATACGACTAACCCAGGTGACAGGGCTGCTCTCAAGACGCATCCGGACCGTGTACCAGCAGATTCGCCAGAACGAGCCGAACGAACACGCAAGTTTCAACTCGTAAATGATGCATACTACACACTTTCAGACCCGAAGAGGCGTGCTGAATACGACACGCAACGAAGACTATTTAACCGCGCTCCGTCGGAGGATCCATTTGCCCAAGCTGATGAAGAAATTCCCCAGCATGGCGCAGGAGCTGGTTCGGCCGATTTCTACTCTTGGGCATGGGACTTCTTTACGAAGCAGAAAAACGGAAATGGAGACATGGGTGACCGTCAACAAACAGAAGACGCGCAGTTTGGCAATGTCTTCGAGGAGATGATGAGAGATGAAGGCATGGCTGAAGGCGGCAACAATCGGCCAACAAAGCAATTCTGGAGCATCATTGGAGGATTGAGCGGTGGAGCGCTTGGATTCATTCTAGCAAATGTGCCTGGGCTGGTGGCTGGAGCAGTAGCTGGTAACCGCCTTGGAGCAGTCAGGGATGCCAAGGGTAAAAGTGTCTACGCTGTTTTCCAGGATCTACCCGTGGATGCACGTACTCGCCTGCTTGCTCAGCTGGCAACAAGAGTCTTCAGCCAGGCCCTCTAGCCATAGTTCTGGATGGCAAGGGCGCCCATGAAGCTGACAAGAGACTCTGTCTGGCCAATTGGCCATATATACCCCGTTTATAATAGCAGTCACGTAGTATCCGACAAATTTGTTTTAGAAAGATGAAAAGGATATATTTGTTGATCCCTGTACCCCGTTTTAATAAAGAATTTTATTGAATTAACTCCGTACACCGAATCTTTACCATATGAATTAGCCACTAAGGTTCGTGGATGGGAAGAGGCAGGCAAGCAAATACGTACGTTTTAACCTGTTCCCAAATTCCAAATATCATGACGCCCGATAGTATCAAATCTCTAATCCAGATCATACGAGTCGGCTTCTTTGAAAGAAGATATCGCCATATAAATCCAAAGGCCGAATTATGCTCTATCGTCGAGGAGGGGGGTTGAATCCAGGAGGGGCGCCAGGGAAGCCAGGAGGGGCAAAGCCAGCACCGCCGGGGAAACCGGGAGGGGGAGCGAAACCTCCAGGGAAGCCAGGAGGAGGAGCTATTGCAATATTAGCTTGGATAGTCATTCGCAGGAGGACCATAGTAACTTACCACCGCGACCGCCAGGGAATCCAGGAAAACCTGGAGGGGGAGCGCCTCCACCAAGGCCAGGCGCAGGTCCCTATTAAATGGTTAGCTCGTAATGTGACAGTATCAGGAAGGGATTGCCATACTGCTAATGATGGAGCAGGTGCGCCACGACCAGCGGGCTTTGCGACGCCCGGACCGGCGCTGAGAGCAGAGGCTATGCCGCCTGGCGCACTCTTGCCAAGACGTGCGCTTGGGTCTGCTGGAGGTGGTGATTCAACCGACAGCGAAACGATATATGCGCCACGGACAATGGCGAGGCCGAGTGTTCTCTTCTCTTCTGTCTCGACTTGGCTGCCCTTGTCGCCCCTGCGCTTGACACGACGGAATTCTTCGGTATCGGCGAGAACGAGGTTCATGTGCTACATACATGTTAGCATTTGGTATTCGTGGGAGGCTAGTCGATGTCGGGTTACCTTGTCGAATGCCAACATCTGGCCTGTCATCTGTCGCCCATCATTCAACGTCACCTTCATGCGCCAGTTGATCTGTACAGAGAGCTGGTTAGTACATCTAAAAAGACGCGCCAAATCCGCCATAATTGGCGCTTCATCATCATAATACGTACGTAACCGGCCTGTGTAGAGGTGTTAACAAACTGATGCCTGGGTCACGGGAGTTGCTTGACGCGAGCTTACCATCTTGCCTTGTTTGTTTCCAGACATGTTGGCTGATGAATTGTGAGCCTGTGTAAAATTCTGCTCTTGTTTCTAAAAATTGTGTTTGCCTGCGGTTATGCAACGCGACCGCGACGAAACTGATTGATGCTCCTACGAAGCTTTGGAAGCAAATGGCACGAAGCAGATGCGGTCCAAAATTTGCGGAGCCCTTCTTCGGACAAGCTCAGGCAAAGAAAGGTACATTGTCAAAGTACCATTTGGCGCTTATCCCATTTCGGATGCCAAAGTGGCCCACTTTTCACGCTGCACCATCAGGGCAGACAAACCCTCGAATTTTCCTAGCCTCACAAAATTCTCCATTGGCGCTTTGTGATCCATCACTCTCGAACACTATCACAATTCGAAGATCAACAACCGCAGAAATGGCCGCCGAAAAGTCTGGTAACCCCATGAGGGAGCTCAAGATTCAGAAGCTCGTTCTGAACATTTGCGTCGGCGAGTCTGGTGACAGACTTACCCGTGCCGCTAAGGTTCTCGAGCAGCTTTCTGGTCAGACCCCCGTCTACAGTACGTCTACGATTGCACCAGCGACAGCAGCTCTTTATTCGACTCTCCGAATAGCGAACTAACAAAGACATCTAGGCAAGGCCCGTTACACCGTCCGTACCTTCGGTATCCGCCGTAACGAAAAGATCTCCGTCCACGTTACCGTCCGTGGTCCCAAGGCCGAGGAAATTCTCGAGCGTGGCCTCAAGGTCAAGGAGTACGAACTCCGCAAGCGCAACTTCTCCGAGACCGGCAACTTCGGCTTCGGTATCAGCGAGCACATCGATCTTGGTATCAAGTACGACCCCTCCATCGGTATCTACGGCATGGACTTCTACTGCTGCATGACCCGCCCTGGTGAGCGCGTCACTCGCCGCCGCCGCATGAAGAGCACCATTGGTTCTTCTCACCGCATTAAGCGTGACGAGACCGTCAAGTGGTTCAAGCAGCGCTTCGATGGCATTGTCCGATAAATGTGACATACGTGGCAGATGAAAAAAGTATTTGGGACTTGAGGAGCGTTCAATCACGGCAAACAAGGCCAGGGAAAACGGAATAAGGCGAAATTTGTATTTATGTTTCCTATATGCATCAGCTCGCTATTATATGGTTGAGCAACGGCCTGAGAGACCGACCGGCGCTATGCCGGCTTCCTTTATCTGGCTTACAATGTGACGAAATATGACCTACCTACTTATTTCCTTACCTGACTCTATGGACAATTCGAATTGTAAACACAAACTCTGTAACTCAGCCGGTCCAACGCCGTATTGGCACATGTTCATATTCCCGATTCATATCCTGATAGGAAGAAATTCGTAGCATCACGTGACCATTGAACGTCACTCAACCATGCATGCTTGACGTTATGCTTCATATACCAATTCGTATCATCTTGCTCTTAGTCGACTATTATTCAGCGGTCTGATCATGGGTTCATCAAAATCAAAAGCTTTGGCATCTGCTGGACCTCCTCAGCATGTAGATATCCCCCAGACGTGCTATCTCTACTACTCCAAAGCCAAGCTCTCACTAAAGTTCCATCTTTGTGATGAACAGGCGACGCCAATTTGCTTGGTAACGGTTCCAGCTGGCTGGTACGGAGACCTCTTAATTCATGGAGGTCTATCAGAAACAGATGCGCCGCTGGCAAAAGCTGAGGCGACGGGGAGACTAAGAGCCTACACTACAATTACCATCTTCCCAACCAACAACGATCTACAGCCAATCTCAGAAGAGATGAGATTTCATCAAAACGGCTGGCTAGGTGCACAGGGTTTTGCCATTTCAATTACAGAAGGTGAATTGCCTGAAAAGTTTGAATGGAGAGGATCTAAAGGTGACGAGGTGAAGAGCCTTGGAGAATCATCCGTCGGGCATAAACTCGTCCGGTTAGGTAAGGATGATGAAGTTGTCGCTGTGTGGGCCGGTGCAAAGCTTAGTTTGAACATGTACAAAGCTGCCAAGTTCAAGTTCCTCAACAGCGGTGCGACCGGTGAACTTGGTGAGAATTGGGCAAAGATGGCAATCACGACGTTTATACGGATGTATCAGAACGAAATGCAAGCTGCTACTACAGCTGCAGTCTAAACAGGTGCATTTGTAAAAGGTTCTTGTGTGTATATATTGTATGTTTAAACATAATAAGTCACTGGGATTTGATGTAGTTAAAACATCGTCAGTTGGTGTGATTTAACGTGAGTTTACAGCGTAGTCAGTTGGTGTAATTTTGATGTGCCAAACAGGACAGAGCTGACGCCCGGGCACCTGGTTTCAAGTTAGCGCCTTAGGCCTCAAAGGCACCTTGCTAGCTACTGGTTTCTCAGGCACCCAGCCCCAATAAGCAGCGTAAAATGAGGCCGGAACTGGAAAATTATTGAAGCGCTCCCAAGTTTTCCGACCAAAACCGCGCAACTCACTCCTATTGGCCAGGCAAGGCAAAAGGCTCCACAACCTCCCTCACAGACTCTGTCCCGACACTGTCCTCCCGAAAATCTCCATTGCTTTCTCTGCAAAGGCAGGCACCTCATCTTCAATCTCCCCTCTCCGCAATTGCGTCTCGCTGCAATTGCTCCTTTCCATAAAATACCCTCAATTACATCCGCAACAATGTTCCGGAACGCCCTCCGCCAGTCCACGCGCGCTGTCGGCGCCGTGTCTGCTGCTGGCCGTGTCTCTGTGGTGAGTGTTTTGACGAGTTGCCTCGGATCACCGGCTTTGCATCGAAAAGGAGGTCTCGGACAGCATGCATCCATCAAGAAAAGACTTGACTTGGTCAATTGAATAGTTGGACTTGTTTTTTCAAACTTTTGGGAGCTTTTTTCGCAGCTGTTCGACGGCTCTCCTTTTTACCCCCGGCGTACAGTGGGAGCCAGCCGCTAACTTGTTTTTCTCACCTAGACCCGAAATGCCGCACCCGCCGCCATCAACGCCGCCCGCGCCTACGCCTCCGATGCTAAGGCCTCTCCCACCGAGGTTTCTTCTATCCTCGAGCAGAGAATCCGTGGTGTCCAAGAGGAGTCTGGTCTCGCCGAGACTGGCCGCGTTCTCTCCGTCGGGTGCGTAATTTTCCGACCGGTCGTGGGTTGGTCGCAGTACCAGCAACACCAACCATTGCTGGCTGCAACCTATCCATTCATATAAACAAGAGTGATAAAACTAACGAGAAATTATAGTGACGGTATCGCCCGTGTTCACGGTATGGCCAATGTCCAGGCTGAAGAGCTCGTTGAGTATGTCTTACCCCTATGCGGTATATTGCCAGGTTGTGATGGTGCTCCACCACTTCGAAACAGTATACGCTATTCTTCTTTGGTATTGTTTCTAACCTTCATACTAGGTTCGCCTCCGGTGTCAAGGGCATGTGCATGAACTTGGAAGCCGGCCAGGTCGGTGTTGTGTTGTTCGGTTCCGATCGTCTCGTCAAGGAGGGTGAGACCGTCAAGCGTACTGGCCAGATTGTAAGCTTTTACATTTGCACTTGTTTCTTTTCGCACCACTAACATCTTCTCTACAGGTCGACATTCCCGTCGGTGATGCTATGCTTGGTCGTGTCGTTGATGCCCTCGGTAACCCCATTGATGGTAAGGGCCCCATCAAGTCCACCGAGAGACGCCGTGCCCAGCTCAAGGCTCCTGGTATCTTGCCTCGCAAGTCCGTCAACGAGCCTGTCCAGACTGGTCTTAAGTCTATTGACGCCATGGTTCCCATCGGTCGTGGTCAGCGTGAGTTGATCATCGGTGACCGTCAGACCGGTAAGACTGCCGTTGGTCTTGACACCATCCTTAACCAGAAGCGCTGGAACAACACCAACGACGAGAAGAAGAAGCTCTACTGTGTCTACGTCGCCGTCGGCCAGAAGCGTTCTACTGTCGCCCAGTTCGTCAAGACTCTTGAGGAGAACGATGCCATGAAGTACTCTATCGTTGTCGCTGCCACCGCCTCCGAGGCCGCCCCTCTCCAGTACCTTGCCCCTTTCACTGGTAAGTTTTTTTCTTCTCTCCTGCATTCTTTTCTCATGGCTTCATTGTTTATTCCCCCCTTCAAACTTTGTTTGGAAGACAAATGGTGATTGTTGCCTTCTTCACCCTTGGTTTGGTAGACAAACTGTGCTTGCTTCCCTGTGCAAAGTCTGTTTGTAAGACAAACCGGTATTGTTTCCCGCTTCACGTCATAGAATGTTGCAAAGTTTTGAAGCTCCATGATGTTTCACATTTTCACACACAGCCTTTGCATTTCCAACCAATCTTTGTATGCTAACTACTGTTTTCAATTCACTAGGTGCTACTTTGGGTGAGCACTTCCGTGATTCCGGACGTCATTCGCTCGTCATTTACGACGATCTTTCGAAGCAGGCTGTTGCTTACCGTCAGATGTCTCTTCTCCTCCGTCGTCCCCCTGGTCGTGAGGCTTACCCCGGTGACGTTTTCTACCTCCACTCTCGTCTTCTCGAGCGTGCTGCCAAGCTCAACGAGAACCACGGTGGTGGTTCCATGACCTCGCTCCCCGTCATTGAGACTCAGGGTGGTGATGTGTCTGCCTACATTCCCACCAACGTCATTTCCATTACCGATGGTCAGATCTTCTTGGAGTCCGAGCTCTTCTACAAGGGTATCCGTCCCGCCATTAACGTCGGTCTTTCCGTCTCTCGTGTCGGTTCCGCTGCCCAGCTCAAGGCCATGAAGCAGGTTGCTGGTTCCCTGAAGCTTTTCTTGGCCCAGTACCGTGAAGTTGCTGCCTTTGCCCAGTTCGGTTCCGATCTTGATGCCGCCACCAAGCAGACTCTCAGCCGTGGTGAGCGTCTTACCGAGCTCCTGAAGCAGAAGCAGTACTCCCCCATGGCCGTCAACGAGATGGTTCCCCTCATCTTCGCTGGTGTCAACGGTTACCTCGACGCTATCCCCGTCAGCCGCATCCTTGAGTGGGAGGCCGATTACCTTGCTTACCTCAAGACCAACGAGACTGAGCTCATTGCCACCATTGACAAGGAGGGTGCTCTCAGCAAGGAGACCGAGGCCAAGCTCCGCGACGTCACCAAGAACTTCATCAAGAGCTTCCTTGGTTAAAATGTATCGCAAAAATCCTGTGGAGTCGTTACTTAAAGCGTGTTGTCAGCTGTGAAGAGAGAAGTTTTTCGGGGATGCTGCCGCTGTCCGGATGGACTTCTCTGGTCTTTATTTTTTGTCCATCAACATGACAGATGCAGCATCATCAGCAACGCATTGTGAATAGGAGATTTGTCGGTCGTACTACTACCACTACTACTTCTACTACTTGTAAAATAGAGCTTATAACTCAAAGATAATTCTCTATGTCCTTTGTTATTCTATATTCTTTCCATTATCCGCGTGTGTCTTGTCCGTGTCTCGTCCTGTGTTGCCGCAATCTACGTCAAGTCGGCCTGCTTCTATAAGAGACGGCAAACGACTCGTGCTAGGCGACAAGGATTTCCCCGTTTAGGCTAAGCAGAGTCGAAATAAAAATGCAAGACTGGCTTTGTGATTTCTCGCTCTTTTTGCCCTGGATGTAATCCCCCCGTTTTCGCTGTCAATGTCGTAGCATCTGTAAACCCCGACTGCTTAGCTGTCCCCATGAGTTATCATCCTCTGACGTTAAATATCACCGATCACAGGCACCGAAAGGGATAATGTATGTATGTAAATATAACAACGATAATCAGCTATCTCAACTAACTACGAGCGACTATTGAGGATAGAACCAGAACCGCACGGAGTATGGTAAGTGGTTTACGTTCTCTAGCAACTCTCCGGATAGAAAGAACTGGAGTATCTGGTTGAAGTTCGGGCCAGTCTCTCGATTCCTTGTACTCTGGTTCGTTACTCTAAACCCTGTTCTCGCAATAAGGCTTGCTGTGTCTCTTCGTCAAACCGATATCCTTCGTCGATCAGAATCTTCATTCCCCTCACCATCATTCTCTCCGCCCACTGCTCCATACGTATTCGCTCCAAGACCATCTCTGCAAGCTCGTGGACCATGTCTGAATCGTATGATGGAATCTCTGCTGGATTCGTCGCATTGTGTCGGCGCATTACACGGTGCGCAGCCGCTTCGAGGACATCCTCCACAGTATCCGTCGTCCTACCACCCTCTAGCCTGTTTGGTTCCTGCAGTTGTAAATAAGGCGTAACAGAGGTCTGACCATGCTCGTTCTGCTGGTTCAAGGGGACAGCCTCCTCTAGAATCCGTTTTGCTGTGTCCCCCTGTCGCATGAACTCGGCTGGCCATGAGTAGGTTGAGACCAATGTATATCGTTCGCCGTACAGATGCTCCATGGCCCAGCAGCAAACTCGCGATTCGGGCATCTTGATCATCCACTGGTCTTTCGGGTCCAGGTGCTTGTCGTCAAGCTTCAAATACAGAAGTATCTCCCAGAGCATTTCCAGTTCCTTCTCTGTAAAGAGATCGAAAAACATAACGAATGCTGTCACCATATCGTGACGTAGCTTGTCTCTTACAGTGGGATTCGTCCTTGCCTCTGGGATCCGTCGTGGGAGCTTCAGCCATTTCTTGATACGCAGCTGATTTGCTTTGCTTTTTCGTTGTGATTGACGTATCTGTCGTATCTCGTCCGGCGCGATTTCGAAGAGGAAAATAGCATCTTCCTCTTCGTCGTTCCCCAAACACCTGATGTCGTCTGCGTTGTAGAGATCACCTATAATAGGTTCGCGTTCAAACGGGCCACAGCCTTTCAGTGGTAGCGATGGTCGTCGTGTTAGGTCTGTGTACTTGGTATCGTGGTTCCTGTCTACATGTTAGCTTTGTAATGATCTTTGTATCTTGTTTGTCGTGTTTAGTGTTCGGGGGACTAGTTAATAAGACTTTATTCCTATGTTCTGACTTACTAAAGATCGCTATATTGTAGAATATCGTGGACTAGTAACTGTTTAAATGCAATGCGCTCCAAGAACATCCATAAGGCATTTACAATCAGTGATATTATAAGAAGAGAAAGTTACAAAGTAAGAAATAAGATACTCTTATATAATAATTGTAGGCTGCTTGTTAGGTGTGTTAGGTGTATCCCTGGTGCATTATCTCTGTCTGCTGGTGTTATCGGGACTTACAGAGGCAAACCAGCTCGGAATCTCGTCTGTTTGCCACCAGTTGCCAACAAATGGCAGTGACAACTCGCATGAAATTGTCTGGCACACTCGGTCTAATGGAGCAATCAGACCATTTCTACTCCAATAAGAATAATTTCAATACCGAGACGCGCTCAAGAGCCCAAGTGGCGACTATTTATATTAAAGCTGCGCTTGTGGGTAGATCTATATAAGAAACAAGTCTCTTCCCTAGAAACAAACCTCAAATACTATTTTAACAGAAGAAACTCTATACCTAGCACCTATCTTCACTATTCTCTTTTATATATAACTCTCACAAAACTCCACCCACACCCGAAGACAGTAACAATATCTTGCTTCTACGAAATATAGCAACCACACCGTACAGAAATCTTCCCATGACAGATGCTATGGTCACACCAGAAGTGAACCATCCAGCGGAGGCAGCGACCTCAAAGAGGCAACGAGAAAGGGACAATTCAGACGGACAGAGACCCGCGAAGAGGAGAGCTCCCATCCCACCTTACCCCATCAGTAGTAAACCGCCACACCTACTGCCGGGTGGTCTTTTGAGCGATATTGAAACTCTGCCGGAAAGTTTCGCAGCTGTAGAAGAAAGTCTCAGCTGGAACTATGATGTATTCGACTGGTCCAAGGAGAAGGTTCGCAGGGTTGCTTGGGAATGCGTAGAATTCGACATTCAACAACGGACGCTGCGATCCATCACGAGGCAGATGACTTGTGTCGCAGACAATGCACGAGCCGCATTAACAGAGATTATTGAAGCAGAAGACGAGCTACATTCTCAGCTCAAAGACGCACGAATGAGCCTGCTCGAAGCACGCGAAAAGGCAGCAGGAGCCATGCGTATTTTGGAAGAACGGCTCAATCGTTTCTTAGACGGAGTAGAATTAGCAAGACGCTCACAGGATATGACATTGACGAACGAATAGCGAGTTTATGGCGCGGAGATTCAGAAGAATTACAGAAGATCAGGACCTGGGGCCCTTAAGAAGAAGGAATTTAGCATCACAAAGGATAGAACGAATAAAGAGATTGATTCAAACAGGATTATTCGTTCCTTGTATTCGGGTACTTATTAGAGGCCCGCGTCAATTAAAGTACGTATGCTGTTCAAGTCTAAATAGCAACTCTTGTAGTTGCCGATTGGTACGCCGTGCGTCAAGCACGTTCGTGGTCATTGACTCATATAGTAGTAATCTAGAAACAGAAAAAAAAGAAGCAACGCCATCTAAGGGTTCTTTTCCCTTGCCCAAGTTCTTGTGGGAGATGGAAATTGTGAAACCTCATCTAAAACGCCGTCTACATGCTGAGAAGACTCATCTGTCGTCTCACTGGGCTAGCACTAACACTGCCCTCTTCGCTCGGATAGTACGCACTATCGGTATCGATGTCCCAAGACTCTTCGTCTTCGGTGGCAGCATCGCCGCACTCGCCATCGCCACTTTCGAAGGGCTTTTGGTGAGCGGCACGGGTATTCCAGCGCAGCGTTCTGCTGACGCTATCGAACCACTCTGTATCGGTACGGGTGACGGTCGGGAAGGGGTATTGAGAAGCGGTAATCGTAACATGGTCGCCCTGTCGCAGCTCGATGCGGCCTTTGCCGTCGAAGGAGCAGTAGGCGGTGGCACGAGAGGAGCGAGGAACAGCGACGCGTAGTGCCATGGTATCTGAGAGAACCATGGGGCGGAATGACAATGTGTGAGGGCAGATGGGTGTGAGGAGGATGGCGGGAATATCGGGATGAACAAGAGAGCCGCCAGCGGACAACGAGTAGGCTGTTGATCCCGTTGGGGTGGAGAAGATGCAGCCATCGGCCTGAACAACAGTGAGGAGCTCGTCGTCGCCGTACAGCTCGAGATTCGAAACGTATGGTGAAGGACCGCGGTCAATGACGAGTTCGTTGAGCACTTCAAACTGCTCGCCACCGATATCGCCGTGTACGTTTGTAGTAGCGCCGTTACGGATCACGGTGCACGTAAAGCGCATGCGCAAGTTAATCTTCATGCCGTCATCGCCCATGACCCGATTGAGGTGTTGCTTGTACTTTTCAAACTCAAAGGTGGTCATGAAGCCGAGACTGCCGAGGCTGAAGGACAGCACGGGGGGCACGATGCGCTGGAAGAGCCACGATGTGAAGAGGACGGTGCCATCACCGCCGAGCGTGAGCACAAGATCGAACTTTTCCGGTTGGTTCCAGCAGAGGTCGGGAGTCCAGTACTTAAGCATACCCTCGAGGCGTGGGTCGTCAGCAACCAGACCGCAGGCATCAAAGCGCCGCGAGTTGCGCAGTTTGGCGTCAACATAGACGTTTACACCCAAGTCGGAGCCATAGCGCGGCGTGCAGAGGAGCCACGATGTCAGCTCTCTCGTGAGAACGACTAGCTGGTTATCGCGGGCCTTTGTGACAATCATGATATTGCGGACAGCACGCTTGACTGGGCGGCGCTGGAGCTGTTTGGAGACCTCGCGGACGCTGGTAGCAGTCTGGACGAGGCGGGAATGGGACATGAAGTCGTCATTTTTGATCTCCTCGAGTACCTTGTCGATGTCGACAGCGTCGTCGAAGCGCTGGTGGTAGAAGCATGGCGACTTGAGGGCGGCCAGAGCCGTGGCTGCCGAAGATCGGCGTCGGAAGGAAGCAGAAGAAGAAGAGAGATTGTTGAGGGCATTTGTGAGTTGAATGGAGGATGCGGAGGGAGCGGCGGAGTTGGCGGAGAGTAGGCCGTCAAGCGAGAGGGCATCGGGGCGTCGTGGTCTTGCAAGTGTTGAGGAATCTGGAGCTGGTTCCTCCGACACGGAGAAAGGAGAATGTGACATGGTGGTGGTGGTGATGGTTTTGGCGGACAAAGGCGGGCTGGATGACTCGGTGTTGGTGGTTGTGGGAGAGATGCCGACTAGAGGGACGGCGACTGTGCGGTCGTCTTCATGCCCGGGGAGTTTGTGAATATTGAGGGGGGAGACTTGCAGGCGCGGGCTGGGAAGGGCAAGATGTTTATATGCGTCAGCGTGGCCGGAGTTATCGAGATGTCCGTCGGTGGTGGTGGTGGTGGTGGTGGTGTGGGCGGCGGACGCACTGGGGCTAGCGCTATTAGCGGCCGAGTGACGTGCTGCGGGGTTGTCTAGCGTGCTGGGTCGTCGGGTTACAGCGCTGTGTGTGCTGACGGAGGCTTCTGCCAGGGAGGGATGCAGCGCTGTGGGCGAGTAAAGGCCAGACGGGAATTGATGATGGCTCATAGTGAAAAAGCCAACAGGAAAACAAAAAGGCAAAAAATACACACAGAGTTTCCCAACAAAACAGGATTAACTCCGAACCTTTTGCACCAAGGTTTTCGGATGTTGTCTCGCGTAGGAATGCAACTCAGGGCCGAAAAAAGATTAACCCGATGCGCTATAGTTAACTCCGCAAAGGAAGGCTGCCACACACGCACACACTCAAGAAAGACTCCGAAAGAAAGCAGTCGGTAGCCGGCTCAATGCAGTTGCAGATACCGCGGAATCCTTTGGGTGCGAGTCTGTATGTATGGTCGTCCTTTTGAAAGCCGTGCGTGCGTCGGGTAAGTAATACGGATTCGGCAACGAGAAATCTGACTGTAAGGCTTGCGGCATGTCAGCTTTGTTCCCCAGAGAAATACTCATCATCCTGCTGAGCGGCTCAACAGGGACTAACTTACATCGGATGATGACAAAAGGACAAGAAGAAGCAGGCTACCAGAGCGAGCGTCTTTTGTCAGAATGTGCCGAGATGACTTGGCGGCAAGAGAAAGAGAAGAAAAGAAGAACAACAAGGCGATGCAAAAACAAGCAACTGCAATATGATAACGACAGACAAGAAAAAAAAGTACACTGGCTAGTTCCAGCCAAGCTTCCATTTAAGACGGTGTGTCTTGGGGTCTGCCTTATAAGAGAAAACAGACTACATACTGCTAGCACCAGTATCCCAGCCTCCCAGGATCGAGCTTGAAATCAACCGGCGACTTGTCGGATCAGACCTGAGACGGGCCATTTCCCCTCCTCCGTCAACAAGGCCTGCGTCGCGACGCCGAGGAGCTGGGTTTGGTGTTGTCGCAGGATGGTGGAGATGGCTTGTTGCAACGGCGAGCCTGTCGCCTTTGAGTGCGGCTCTGGGGCTGCTGCATGTGCAACGCGGCGTTAGGGGAACAGCCAGCCAGCAGCAAGTGAGCTAATCTTTAATGTAATGCAAAAGAAAAGAAACCTGGGAGAAGCATATTATGCCGTCGTGTTACGGGCGCATCGTGGCGGTTATGGGAGGCGTTTGCCTTTCCGCTCTTTCATCTCTTCTAGAAGTGCAATTGAAACGACACACGGACGCTAACATACAGTGGTGTAGGGATCTTTGCATGGTTGAAAGACGAAACAGGGCAGAGAGCTCCTGGATACGACAATTTGGCAAAACGTTCATGTTGGTAGACATTCCTTGATCACATAATTAACAACCACCAGTCCCTTGGAACACAATAATTAAGCAGTATTTTTTTTCATATATTAATATGCGACTCCATTTGTATCTTTACGCGGCGGGAGGCCTGTATTGGCGCAATCCCCCTCGCGCCCAGATGACATGAAACAAGAGCTCCTCGACAGGCGGGTTTCTCACCCTGGCCAAAACGGTACCGTTCCGAAACAAGCTGTCATCATGCCACTGCCCACTGAATACAGACTATCCAGTGCGTCGCCCTGCTTTGCTCGACAACACATGTTTCGCGGCCCGTCCCTGGTACGTCCGCCGCTCGCTCGACTCTTGCTGGCGCGACTTGGCCCCCTTTCTCCAAAAACAGGGGGATTGTCGCGGGAATATGAGGTGGAACGAGCGCGCGTGGCAGCCTTGGAAAATTAGCAACTCGTTGTTTCCGTGCGACTAGCGTTTTGGGACGCCGTATATGCGCTCCTCATGGGGTGCCTTTTAGACTGGACCTGTTTGGCAATGCCTCGTGGGTTGTTTGCGCCAATGTTATTTGTTCGCAGGTAGTATGTTCCCAAACCCTCACTTCCATTGTAAGTCTTCGGAAACCTTGGCCGCCATGGTAGCGCGGATAAAGTCCTTGACGCTGGGCGAGTCGACACCAACGTAGTCCATGGCTGCGTCGTCTCCGTCTCGGGAAGCGCTTCGAGTGCAGATGCGCTGGCCGGCATCCAAAACGCTGTTCCATTCCTCTTGGGTGAACGAACCCTCGCTCTCTGCTAGCAGCAGCTCGTTGTCAGAGGTGAAGCCCAAGACGTGTAAGCTTTCTGCCGTCTCGGCCTGTCTCGTGTCTGGGTCGGCAATGATGCCGTCCTTGCCGCCTTGCGCGGGGAGAGCGAGGGCAACAGCTGTGGCGATCCCCTTGAGTGGAATAGCGGCAGTGAGAAGGCCGAGGACGGAAGCGTGCAGCAGGGCTGGAATGATGGGCAAGTTCTAAAGGTAGGCGGTCAGTATTGAGGTTTGGAGCAGTAGGAGTTTGGGTGATGGTGATGCGTACCAGACGTGCCTGAGTCAACTTGGCGTTAACATATGTATTCTCGGGCGTTTCTGTGATTTGCAGTGTGATCTGGATGAGCGAGCGTGGGAAGTTTCGAATGGGAATCAGCTGTCGTAAAGCAGGCATCAGAATGGATTCGAGCTGTCTTTCAGCAGTGCCTAGAGAAAAGGTTCGTTAGCAATTGTTGACAAGGGCTATAAGCAGTAAAGAAGCAGAAAGAACGCACCTCCAACGCCCGCAGCTGGGCGAACATTGACGTCCAGGATAGCCTCGAATGGGTTTTCGTCTCTTCGCTGTGCTTCAATGGGGCCGTTGACGGCGGCTGTAACAGTGTATCCCGAGTACGAGAAAGCAGCAGAGCCGTCTGCCTTGGGCAAATGCGACAATTCTGCCGCAGGCTGTGTTGATGAGGCCATGGTGAGCTGTGATGTGGTTGGTGATGCAGTAGTGTTGAATGTGTAGATTTTTTTTTTTTAGTGTTGGAGCTCTCTGGATGGAGGGGCCGCTGTGGAGTTTAGCGTTTACAGCGTATAGCGGCTAACTGCATGCATGCCATTGATCGACGCTATGCTTCGGCCACGCCTGCCTATTCTCTTTTGCAAAAATAAAAGTAGTAAAACGACAATAAAGTAAGTCTGCCATGTATTTTGTAAATGATACCATTTTCGCTACTCGCAGCGTAGAGCACCACTTTCATCACGTGTGCAAAAAACCTGTCAAGGTCCTCGCCATCTGGCATCGGTGGCCATGGTGGGGCAGAGTGTGTCTTTGTCTGTCTCGCCACCTTGGGAGGACGTGTCGACTCCAACGTCACCAAAAACACCACCACATTCGAATATTTCGACATCATGGCTACGCCAAACAGCGCCGCATCTGCTCCCCCAACAGATGCTGCCAAAGAAATCCCCAACCTGAGGACGCTGATCCCCAAGCTAGAGCCCCGTTCTCGCCGCCAGCCCGCCGCCAACCGCACACCAGTCCCCGACACGCCGCCTCTGCCCAACCCGCCAGACCTATCAAATTGGACATTTAGCACACCGACACGGCGCATCCTATCACCAAAGGACCATGAAATCTTTCTCAAGTCACCCACAAGAGATCTCATCGTCGCATGGGTTTTCGGGCTCGCAGAGTCTGTCGTGGGTACGCCAGATTCAGACTACTCAGACGCCGACTTTAGCGACCAGATCAGAGCATTAGTTGCTATCCTGGACGAGGCAGAAGAGCTGGCGAAGCAGTCACCTCCGAATGAACAAGGCGGCTCAAGGTTCGGCAACAAAGCCTTTCGCGGATTCTTAGACCTTGTTAAGGAGAAGCTGCCCGCCTGGCACAACTCGCTGGGTATCACAAACCCCGACGCCATCAACGAGCTTTCCGCATACCTTAATCAGTCCTTTGGAAACCGCAACCGTATCGACTACGGATCAGGCCACGAACTCAACTTTGCCATCTGGATGCTCTGTCTGTACCAACTGGGTGCCGTCCAAAAGACAGACTTCCCCGGCCTCGTCCTCCGCGTCTTTGTCCGCTACCTGCGTCTCATGCGAACCGTGCAGATGATGTACTACTTGGAACCTGCAGGATCACACGGCGTATGGGGCTTAGATGACTACCAATTTCTACCGTTTCTATTTGGCGCCTCACAGCTTCGCGACCACAGCTATATCACACCACGGGCTATCCACCACGCCCTTACGTTAGAAGAGTTTGGCGAGGATTACATGTATCTGGGCCAGGTCAACTTTGTCAACAGTACCAAGACAGTCAAGGGCCTGCGATGGCACAGCCCAATGCTCGACGACATATCGTCGGCAAAGTCATGGACCAAGATCAACGAAGGCATGCGCCGCATGTTTGTGGCCGAGGTGCTAGGAAAGCTGCCAGTTATGCAACATTTTCTATTTGGTTCGTTAGTTCCTGCAGAAGAGAGCATGAGCCAAGAAGATGAGGCGTCCATGGCAGACGAGGATGGCGAGCACGAAGGACATGACCATGGGGTTAAGGGATGGGGTGACTGCTGTGGCATCAAAGTCCCGAGCAGCATTGCTGCGGCACAGGAGCTTCGCAAGATGGGCAAGGCAGAACCCCTTCGACGTATTCCTTTTGACTAAAGTATATACATAATAATAAGAAATAATCATATAATTAACAAGCTGTTCGTTCAACACTGATTTCAATCCTGATGCTCGGCGTGCCGTTACAAACGTCGTGAGAGGCGCACCAGTTGCGGTATTCTAACTATGGTGATTACGCATTATAATTATTTTGTCACAGAAGGAAAGAATTGGAAAATGTTTTAAAAGAGTACAGCTAGCCCGGATCGGGTTGCTTATATTTTGCTATATACTTGAATGCATATTGTTCAGAACCAAAAGACCACCATGAGCCCGTCACCCGATGGTGGATGACCAAGTTTTGAAGCAAAAGGGAATGAGAGCAACAGAAGAGAAAGGAAAAGACCTCCAGCGATTATGGACGATGCGCCATAGTATATATGGGGAGCTGAAAGAAAAGAAAGAGGAAAGAAAGCATATACCGCCACCCAAGAGGTATTACAGTAAGAAGAGCTAACAACAAGAAACTCCAAAACCAATACTGGTTTCCTTTCATAAACGTCACATCATAGAAGAGAATTCGTACCGTGAATCCGAATTAAAACAAAAAGCAAGTGAGAAAAAGTCGTGTTCGACGTCAAAGTGTGGTATCGTAGCTTTTGAAAGTGAATCATAAAGGCCGCCGTGGTAGCAAAGTGAAGAAAGGGAGTCATATGCCTGTCAGGTGATGTGCGCCTGTACGCTGCGGTAGATCATAGAATGTATAGTGCGGGTAGATTTAGTGAATGGGGTTTTCCTGAACAGGCATTGGACCAGTCTCGTCGGACATGCCCTTGAGCGTGGGGGGCTGGCGCAATCTGTTGGCGACATGGATGTCGATGAGCATCTCGACAAGGACCTCGGCATCCTTGTGAAGGTCACCCAGCTCGCGGTCAGTAAAAGTGTGACCAAGCTTGGAATCACCAGCACGAGGCTTGCGGTAAGCAGCAAAGACAATGCCGCGGTCAATCTGTTCAGAGAGACGAACGCCAGAAACAAGAGCGTTGGAGTCGATGGAGCCGCTTCGGTTGTACTGGCCAGTGTAAAAGGCACAGCCGTAGCCACGAGCAAGGTCATGCTCAGCAGCATCAGCATTGCGGTACTCGATCCATCCATCAGAGCGGAGAATATCGGTGTGGATCTTCGAGGAAATCTGAAGTGGTGAGGGAACGTGATGAAGACCGTGGGCAGCCAAAAGGCGGCCAATGAGATGTCTCTCACCGTTGCTCTCCTCCTGACCGGGCCACAGGTTCACGACGTAGACCAGATCAAAATCGTAGCGTCGAGCAATGCGAGCAGCTTCAAAAGCAGCAGCAGTAGCGGGCTGAGTTGCTCTAGGGGGGGTGAGAGTGAGATGAGGGTTGGCAGGGGAGCGCTGAGAAATAGACAGGCCCATAGAAGGGAGAGTCTGCTTGGGTTCCTCGATGGGAATAGAGTGGAAGCTCTCGGTAGCAGTATCCTCAGCGATATCATCGTCGCTAAGCTCAAGGAACTCGCGAACAAGGGGCTCACGGAGCGTGGAGCTTTCGTATGAGTTGCGGACTGAGCCTGCCAGGCTGTCGTGGCTGCTGGCATGGCGCAACTCTTGGCTGCAAGGAGGCTCTTCTGCGCCAAAGAACATGTCCTGGAACACGGACTGTCCAAGACCCTCTTCGGACTTGCAGGCACGGAGCTTGTGCTCAGGAAAGGGTGCGAGTTCGGGGGACTCTTCTGGGGTGGGTGGTGCCATGTGGGGGAGCTTAGGAAGTCTCTTTTTAGCAAGATATCCATAGGGCGAGCCATCATCCTCGGGGTCAGACGAAGGAGGTGTATCCATGCGGTTTGGAGGGATGCTCACTTGGAGTGGCGAGAGGCAGCGCGGGCTAGGGATACGCATGGCCTCGGCGGAGTCCTTTGGGCTGATGCGGATACTGCCGTCGCGACTGGGAGGAGGCTTGGGGAACTCAAAGTTACGCAGGCCGCTCATCAGAGGCTCATGTCGGTGGTGGTTGAGCGAAGGCGAGCGTCCAAGAGGCTTCTGGGAGCTGTTGCTGCTGTCAGTTGAACCAGCGTTGCGGGCATGGCCACGGAAGTCGCCAGCAGCAAACATGTCTGGAACAGAAGGCGAACGGCCGTTGGCGAGTCTCAAGGTTCTCTCTTCGCGAGCACACATGCGGGAAACCTTGGGGCGAATAAACGAAGGAGAGGGAAACTGCTGTTCAATGGCAGCGCGGGCGATTGGAGAGATGGGCTCTCCGGCGATGGGAGCAGAGCCCTTTCTCTTGTAGTTGGAGAAGAGCCGCTCGAGGCGGTCGAAACCGTTTGTCATTTTGGCGGAGATGGTTTGAGAAAGTCTGGGGAAGGCGTAGGCGAGATGGGCGAGACAGGTTTACTTGTATAATGTCTTGCGTGGCTGGTGCAAGTGACGTTGAGTAGCGGTGACTTGCAAGTGCTACGTCTTGTTGCTGAAGCCACGTCGTACGCTGACCGAATGGTTACGAGATGGGTGTCTTGGGAGGATCTGACGCAACAAGAGGGTGAGAAAAAAATGAGAATGAGATGCGGTAGCAAAAAGTGAGCAGAGGAGACTCGACTAATAAAGACTCTCTTGAATTTCTGCGTGAGGCGTTGCTGAATACCGGTGAAGAGGTCGACGAGTGTTGAGCTTTTGCGGTCTGACGGCGGGCGTGTAAGTGCTGGGCACCTGGCGGGCAGCTGGCGCAGGCTCCAAAAGTGGCAGGGTGGTTGCGTTGCAGTGACGAGGTGTTCCTAATCGGGAAGTCACACAAAAAAGAATGGCGCCGCCGGTCAAAGGCCAAGGCGAAAGGGCGAAAGGTCGGTGACGAGACGCTGAGCTGTGGCGAGAATATCGGCGAAAGAATGCGATTCGATTTCTCGTGTACGATTTTCTCGCTTTAAGGAAATATCTTTTCCATGACCCGTCCAAAGGGGAGCCAGTCTGTTTTAAGACCCTCTCTCTCAGCGGGCGTGTCTTCGCAGGGCCCCGAGGGCGACAACAAGGCGAAAAAGCAAGGGTTGCGGCCACTGTAGCCACTGTGGGGAGGCGTGGCTGCTAGTGCCGTGGGTGAAGTGGAAGTGGTGTGCCCCTCTCCGCCACAGCATCCTCCCTTGGCTTTCTTTTTCTGGGTGAGCAAGCGACGCAGCACGCAGTCCAAAGGGAAAAAAAGGAAAAAAAAGAATGACGATGCGCAGAGGGCGAGACACGGCAAACTGAAAAAAGTGACACGCTACTGCAGCCTGCAAAACAGAAGCCGCTGCCGCTGCACCTTTTCGAGACATGGGGTGGTGTCCGCAGCATACGAGGGGAGTGTTCTTTTCCAACGTCTTCGTCTCTCTCCCTCGCTAACTGGCTGTGTGTTTGCCCACAGTGCTTCTTTTCGACCTGTTTCTTTTTCGTTTGCTGCTGATTTGTCGACCTGCTCTCCACAGCGATGCATTCAGTGACAAACAACCCCACGCCCCCTCCTGAGTGCCTGGGCAGGTTTCTTCTTTTCTCAAACCGTGCCCTTTGTTTGCTTTGCACCTTGTTTACTTTTTTGCGCCTGCCAATCCTCAACAGAAACAGATCAGGTTACGGAAAAAAACATACCCATTCTCGTACCTGAATTGCGCGTCCCGGCATGCCCGCAGAAGGCTATCGACCCAGACGGGCGGGAGCAAACTAGTACCTCTAATTTGGCAGTGAATAGACCATGGGCCAAGATCTCAACCATCCTCTCTCTCTCTATTACACCCTGGCACTTCTCGGCTTCCGCCGCCACAGACAGACTCGACCAGCGATTTGGCTATCCTTGGCCCGTGCCTTGCTTAATGGGTTGATCTCCGCCGTTGACAGCGGCTGCGGGCGCACGTACTAATTGACAGCCTACAAGGATGATTGACCCTTCCCAGGGTTCCGACGGCCATCAATTGGCGTCGTTGAGGGGCTCACCCGTCACAGCTAAATGAAGGCAATGTATATTAGGCCCAACCGGCTGTAGTGCCACCATGCTCGGGACCGTTCCGCGTCGCCCGCGACTGTTGAATATATGCCCAAGATGGCTTTTGGAGCAGCGTCACAGATGCCAGATGGGTTCGCCAGTGCCCAGCTTTGTTTGCGCCGTCAACACCCTGCTCTGGCTGCTGATCCCACTGAGACATGGCCCAAAAGTCCAACGGCCAGATTAATCCAACCGTATAAGCTGGCCTCAGCTCAGGACCCTCTCCCTTCATGTCTCGACACAAACATGTGCGCTCTAAGCTCGCTCCGCCCGAAGCAGCCGAATCCTTCTTCTGGATTTTCTGGTCTTGCTCCATATCAGCGCCGCAAGCTCTATATTTTGCTTTGTATCAAAGTCTGAGCGTTTGTTAATTAGTGGATAGACATGGGGTCCCTGCGCAACCCACTGGGCTGGTCCCGAGCGTACAGTTTGCGTCAAAAAGCAAATCGGGAGTTGAATGTAGTAGTGCTGCAACCCGCCTCCACCACGTATGCGCTAGTGCGGTGGGCTCCCCCAAGAGGCTGGTTTACTTTTTCGATCTATTTTCCTCTAGTTCGGTAGCTTTGGCGCTAGCCTTGGGTAGTAAGTAGGAGCAGCATGCAACCGTATCGTTACGGCCAAGTCGAGACGATCCCATCCGTCGAACCAACCGTGCCATTTTTAGTTCTCTGTGGCGAGTAAGTCCCAGCCGGGCAAGGTAACGCAGCAGCTGCTTTTGGTGATTCCGAATTTGGCTGACTTCGTATTCCCTCTTCTCTCCCTCACCTTATGCCGTCAATATAGGACGCAAACAGGTCCCTCAAAGTTTGCAGCGGTCCTATTGTCCACTGTGCCGGGACTTATTCAGCGGATCCGAGGCCACGGCTGGGCAATTTCCTCGGAGCCTTTGAACGACCTTTTGGGAACCAATATTTCATCAGTAGTGACCAGTAGTGTACCGGCAAACACCCCACATCCTGGCAGCGGAGAATCGGATCCGTCAGCATACAGGTGCGGGTTTGCTTTCCAGCGGTAATGAGAGTGTGGCACAGATCAATGCCTTAATTTTCTTCACTGAACCTGGTCTCTTGTTCCCGCAAAGCTGTCCGCTTCGGAGCGCCTTTTGCTTCAGTTGCTGCTTCCGCTGCTGCCTGAGGTGGATGTTGTCCCCGGGAGGCTGGGGGCGCAGGCTTGGTCCTCCAAAAGCAAAACGACGCGCGCTGTGGGCGAGCTGTCACTTAGGGCTCCACGAGCTGCAACAATGCCAGCTTGACTCTTGCTGTGGCGTGCGTGGACACGCTGGGGCAAGCTGGCAGTGAGACTGCTGAGCCGTCTGCCGCGCTGGATGGCTGCTGCTACAGTGACATTTTTTTGCTTGAGGAGACAACAAGAGAGAAGCTCTCAGCCCAGTAGTGGTGCTACGGCGGGCCCATGCAGCACAGCCATCCTGTCTATCCTACTGTGCGTCCATGTCAGCTGCAGAGTTTGCCAGATGGTCTTATGCAAGGCCAATGCATCGGGGATGCAAGCAAAGTGGCTGCGCCAAATCATTAGCAGAGTGCATCTTTGCACTGCTGCCGATGGTGGAGGCGACACCTGAGAGTAGAGACACAAACAATCCGAAGCAAGCATCCTAAGCCCAGGTGTTTGGTTGAGTGGATGCCGAGATGCGGTGGTGACAGCATCTTGCACTAGAATCTGGCCCTTTCATCTGTTAGGCGAGCCAGTGCACGGTCCTGCGCCCGCCACTGGTTTCGTATATGGCAGGCAACAAAGGGTATAGTAGGAGGAGCTGGTGATGGCATCCATACTATGAGTGTATCGGCTGTGCGGTTCTTACTATTCAACTCGCCACATCTACTATACCGTGGCACCAGCACCTTGGCCGGCTTTTGGATCCTGCATCTATCAGGCCACCCACCATCACACCATGTACCCGAGGTCCAGGTCGCCGGGAATGTGGGTAGATGCACTCGATGTAGGGATGTAAGGATTCGATTCTCAACGCACAGTAGGGTATCGGGATACACGCGAGTAGTTGCTGGCTTACTCGCATACGGGATGCGTGTTGAACAAAAGAAAGCAAGTGGCGAGCCAGTGAGGGGAAAACCTAAGCCAAGCCCGACTGGTAACGTTGGCTATCTTTTGCTGCCAGAATTGCTTCTTTTGATCCGCCACGGGCGTCGCCATTGGCCCGTTACCGTAGACCGGCGCCGGCCCCGCTCTGCCGCTTCTCAGCCAGCAAACACCACGACGCCGACCACACGCTAGAGACGAAAATGTCCCAAAATTTTCAATGTATCCTGCAGGAGAAGAGTCTTTTCTCAGTCGCCAGGGTTCCGCCTCTTCCGTCTCAGGGTCTGCACCACCATGTCGCGTGTGTTTCTATACCGATCTGTCCTATCTAGGACCCTGAAAGACGGCAGCATACCATCACGAATAACGCCATTTTGAGGCAAAAGGTGTGTCGATACGTGTCGATTACAGAAATAGTAAGCGTTGATTTTGTTTGCTTGTCTTATCTAAACTCCGATATCGACTGTCATGGCTACAGCGAATACAAGTGTCTAGACCTCGGCCTGCATAGCTCGCTAGGCGAGTCCACGATTCATGCATCAAGCAACTGCCAATGGTGCGGCGCAAAGCAAAATACAGAGGAAATATGAGGAGGCAGAAACAAAAACCGCTGTACTTCAAGCGTCTTGCCCATCATTGTGCGAATAACACGGCCCTTCTTAGCCAGGCGAACCACAAAATGCCCACTTGCACCGTTGTCTCAATGACCAGTCAGAACCGTATTTGCTTTTTCCCCCGCATCCGGGCGTTCAAAGACAGCCCATTGTCTGCTGAAAGAGTGCATTTTATACAGTGGCTGAGCTAGAGTGTCAACGGCGAGGGATTCTCGAATAAAACAAGCAATATGGTGGCACCAGCCCATGTTGAGTCGCTGTTCGCACCGTGTCGGGAGACTGTCCCGAATCAGGGAGCCTTTGGCAACAAGCAGCAGTTTGTGCTTGAGGCGCCAAGTCTCTCCTAGAAGGACGATGGAAATGTGTTCCTGGCTGGCTTGTCGACTGTCTGCTGCAACGCGTGCCTGGATGCAAGGGGCAAGCTGGTTGCCCTCCATAGATCATGTATTGCTGGCCAAATCACGGACCTTTCCGCAATGCGGGTTTGAGAAGATCCTCCTTTTCTCTTTGCAACCCCCCCTTTCGTGGCCGTTGTTGCTGTGGTCGTTTTCTTATTGTCCCGTCTCTGTGGGACACACACACCAAGCAAAGTGTGGCATTGTATGATTGACCACACGCAACGCCTCACACCCTGCCAGATTGGGGGCGAACTGGCTACCACAACATCGGATCTTTGGTCCTATCTTTCTTATGCGGCGTGCGGCAACGCTAATCGTAGCTAATCAAACTTTTTAATCCAAGCAGAGGTTTGGGTGTGATTGGCGGTCTCGCGATGGCCGGTTGCTCTGTGGCGCTGTCACCATCGTGGATGGACGCATGTCTTGACTGCTCATTTCAATTCGGAAGCATGTCGCACATCAAAGCTTGATTGGCCATCAGCAAACTAAAAAATTGGCATCATACGCCCCTAACGGTCTGTGTAGTACAGAAACGCGTTATCTGCTCGCCAGTGGTCTCATCTATTGTCTATCAGCAATCCAAACGTCGCGGATCCTTCAGATCCCGAGTGCATGAGCCACAGGATATTGGCATGGTTGGGGCATCTGAGCTGCAGAGTACTTTAAACAGGCTGTATCCTTATTTTCGTTTGATTGCCTAGATGATGGTCGGTCTTGGCTAAATACTAGTCCTGGTGATTTTGAGAGCACTTTTGCTGCTCCTAGGTTTGCGTAGTTTTTGCCCGTCTGTCCCATCGTGTAGTATTTGTTTCCAGCGGTTCTAAAGCCTAGACGAGCCTTTTTCATCGTCTACTTCCCCAAATAGACCCATAAACGCGTTGTGTATTTCGTCAGTCAAATCACTCGCTTGTAAACTTCGACCTCTCTTCAGAAAGGCAAGGCGGGAGCATTCCTTGTATGTCGTTATTAGCCAAGATCTCTCATTCTGAGCTTCGGAAACGAGTGATAAAACTTACTCTTGTTATGGCACTGCCAGCAAAAGCAGCCAGGCCCAGCATTTCATCTGGGGCCAAAGGTTGCTTGTTGTCATCGCGCCAGAGACCGTCCATGTATGCCTTTCTCCAAGCAAGAAATGTTGCGACTGTTCCTGTCAAAGTATCACCTTGGCCTCCACTTCGCTTTCTACCGCCTTCCAAATCATTAACGAGCGTTGTTGATCCGTTTGAAATGTAATCTTTGAGGCCCTTTTGAATGATTGTAACGCCACCAAGTGCCTTTGCCAATGTTTCTACCTTTTGCGTGTCTTTGACGGAATCTAGAGAATTAATGTTGGCTGCTTTGCACAATCTCTCGAATTCAACGACATTTGGTGTGAGGACTGCCTGCCCATACCCTCGAATGATGTCCATGTCGGATTGAACAATCAGAAGAGCATCCGCGTCGATGACCACCGGCATGTTTCTCTCTCGAGCAGCCTTAATCACACGAGATGCTGTGTCCTGCATCAACTTATCGCGACCTAGTCCAGGTCCTACGACTAGTACATGGATTCGGGAGAGCATATCAATGACGTTCTTGGCAATCGCGTCCATATTGGTGTCGTCCTTGGTGGTGTCGTTACTGGTCGACGATGACGTTTGCCTCATGAGAGGGTGTACCATTAGATTTGGTGAATATGTTTTAATGACGGTTGCTGCCGCCGGTGTGCAGATGACGTGTGACTGTAGATGCCGAGTAAGCTAGATGGATTGATGTAGAAAGATGATGTCAGTTCGCCTCACCATATCACAGCCGAGTCTCGCGCTCGCCATAGCAGAAAAGTAGGGTGCGCCAGTGTAGTCTTGACAGCCTCCAATAACGGCTACTCTACCGAGTTGTCCTTTGATGATTATCGTCATTAGCTTGGACCCGAGGGAACCGACGGCGGGGTTGGGATGGCATCGCCTCTCACCTTTGTGAAACTTCTCCGACATGGGCGGTATGAGGCGGCGCGCCTTGCTGAGGATTGCAAATGTCGATGCGGACATTTTGGGATCTTTTGCTGACGGTAAATCCATAGTACAATTGTGTTGCGTGCACACAGATGGTTGTCGCGATGGTGACAATGATGATGATGAGCGAGGAGGCGCCGTGCTGCGAGACCAATGATTGTGGGTAAACAACCACCAACAAACACGCTGGCGCAACGAGTGCATCTTCTCAAACATTCAAGGAATCCTTTGATGAATACACACGGATAATTTGACATGTACAAATACTTGGAGTTTTTCTTTTTCTACAAGTTTAATTACAGCAATAAATGTATTCTGTTTGTTTGATAATGTGTTTAATCTTCTTGTCCAGTTCTAAACTCGCAGACATTTCTCTACAAAGTTTTGCTCTATACATCACAGATGGATTTAAATATACAAATATTGTTTGTAGTGCATTGATTGTACGTTTATATATTTGGGTTTATTTATTTTCTGATCGGAGCTAGTTTATTTGTCCCGAAGTGCTTGACATTGGTAACGGAGGATGTTCTTCGATTTGTTGAAGAATTCATAGATCCATTGTCCGTATCTCCCTTTCTGTTTCACATAGATACATCACAGGGTTCTCTATATCTAGCTATTCTTTGTTTCGTATGTTCATTAAAAACTTGTTCGTCTCCTTAGCTATCTGGCTCACCAATCGCATTACGCGCGCATGACCACGCTCTTGAACCATTAGTGCAAGCTCGTGCAGTATATGTGCTGTATGTTGTAAAGCAACGGTTGTAGCGCTTGGACTCCCGTGTTTCTGAAGTGCTCGCTCTATAACAACATGGAATATTTCATCGATAGTCTCGCCCGGTTCTGTATTGCCCGGAGCGTTCGACTCGCGACCAACTGGTGTAGCGTCGTTCGTTGGGGTCTCTTGGCCCTCTGGTTGAAGGCTTCGCTTGGCCTTCTTGGTAGAACGTTTGGCCTTGTCCTCTCTAGTAACTACTTGAGGCGTAGTACGACCACTAATAGTCTTTTTAGTCGCTGGTTTTCGGCTTCGTTTGACGTTTTTCCCTAGAGGCTCAGGCTCGTTCTCACTCTCTAAGAAGTCGAAATAATTGGGTATAACAAGACTCTTCTTCTCCGTTTGCTTTTGTAGTTGTTGTTTCTGCTGCTGCTTCTGTGTCTGCTTCTACAACTTTGGCTGCTCCTCATCCTCCTCGTCCTTGTCCTCCTGGTCTTCCGCCGGCTCGTCCATATCCTCGTCCTCATCCCCGTCCTCATCCTCCTGCTCATCTTCCTACTCCTATTCCTGTTGTTTTATCTTCTTTATAATCACTTGTTAGCGATTTTTACTACTAGCGGGTGTTACTCGCTTGTACTTCGCTAACGCCTCGCGCGCGTCTAGTAGCTGCTCTATACAGAAACCTTTGAGTAGCTTCTCGTATTTACTAGCTATACTCTTAAGTTTATCTAGTCGAGTATTTTCTTTAGAAAAGAAAACATTCGACAAGATTACCGCTAGCATTAGGTGTTCCTCTCTCAAAGCCTTGTTCGTAAGCTAGTACTTACTCGGCTCTAGTCTTGTCTTGCAAAATCTAACGAGGTGTTTATTCTTGCGATAAAAGTTGAGGTTATTAGGCTGTATTTTGTGCGCATTGTCGATTAGATATAGTTTGACTAGTAGTAAAGCACTGGTCGGGAAGTCGAGTTTCGCTTTTTTGGCAATCTGCCTGAGCTTCTAGACTGTATACTCGCAGTCCTCCGAGATGTCGTTCTTGATACGGAGATCATTTAGCGATAATAGATCTCCGTATCAAGAGATTGAGCTGCTCGAATGTTTGCAGCTCAATCAAGTTGTTATCTTTTTTGACTGGATGCAGAGATTCATGATTTATGATCTCCGCATCCACAGACTGAGCTGCTAGAGGGTTTGCAACTCAATCGAGTTGTTGTTGTTGTTGTTGTTTTTGCTAGATGCAGAGATCTGTGGTTTATGATCTCCGCATCTAGATATCGAGCTGGAAGGATTGTAGCTCATTCGAAGTGTTTTGTAGCAAACGATAGTAGTAGTGGTGGTTGGATTCTGAGGATATACTTGGAAGGAATCTGTTCGTTTTTTTATATTTCGGACTCTAGTGTAAGTGGGGAAGGCGAGAGGGAGTAGTTTCAATGCATCCTCACTTTTCGACAATAACAGCTGACTTTGCATTGTACCCCTGCCACGTATCCTATTGATGCAGGTACATGCCCAGACGAACTCAAACGCTATTCACTTCACATTTACAATTAGCCCGGCACGAAAGTCACAATAATGGGAACAATAGCAGTGATTTTAGTATAGTTTGATGTTCACATTGTTGTTATATAATGCAAGTTTTACACCATTGTACGTAGGGGCCAAAGGGACAATGAGTTCATGAAGACATGATGATGATCTGTCTAAGCTAGCTACGGTGACTGAACGGGAGGAATCGGTGTGGACCAAGCCGTGATGTGGGTGAGCCGTTCTCTACTGCAATCATGAAGACCATCGCTGAGAGAATGATCCTTTAACATTTCACAAGTAGACAGATGCAAGGCGAAAGTTGAGAGGGAACATCATCATAACATTCCTACATAACATGGTATCTCTGAAGGCATTGAGAGCCTATCCATTTCCAACATTGCCATCCGTACAAGGCCTCCCAAAGAAAAAAAGTCCGTACAACGTTTCATGAAAAATCCGAATAACCCTGGTAACCTAGCAACACAAAAAATCAAACCGCCTAGAGCGCCATCCCACCGGATAAGAGGTAAAGAGAAGAAGAAAATGCAAAGGATACGCCCCGGAAGTGAGGGTATTAGATGCTTAAAAGAAGAATATGCAATCCAGAAAAGAACCAAAGACGCGGAAGACGGGCCTGGTATATGCCATGTCTTTCGCTCAGAAAACATGCAGACGAGACATCTGCTCTGCATGTCCATTCATAACAATGAAAGAAAATAAGAATATTGTATGCTGGCATGGCTTGAAACAAAATGCTTTTCTTTTATTTTCGTGGCAAGCCTCGCACGGTGGCCTACGGCCCCGGCGTTCATCGCCAAGCTCCCTGGCTAAGGGAAAGAAGACCAGCGACACAGTCCATGTCGGGCTTCTTGCTGGGGCTGACTTCGCCGCGCATGAATCGCTCAACATCGCGCTCGCGAGCAACGGGTGGCTTGCCTGAGTCGTCGTAGATCTCAATGGCATCATTACCTCCCTTACGGCGAGGCGAAAGGCTCATTCGTGGGGGCAGCAGCTTGGGGCTGTTGGCTGTCTGCAGAACGCGTCCGAGACGGCGCGCGTTTTGAGTCTTGATGGTGCTGGGGAGAGGGCGGCGAATGCTACGCTCGCGAGCGTTGCCATCTTCATCAGGGCTGAGATTTTCCTTGTCAGAGTCGGTAGGAGACATGAGCAAGGCGGAGACCTTGACCTTGCCGTTGAGCTTGTCGGCTTCAAAGTCGTTCTCCTTGCCAGTGTGCTCCAAGCGGCCAATGCTAGAGTTGGTTCTGCTAAGACGCTGCTTCTTAAATGCGGGAGAGCTGTACTGCTGCTGCTGCTGCTGTTGTTTGCCCACAGGGGTGTTACGCTTAGAAGCGCTAGACTGTAGAATGCCGCTTGAAGAGCGGAGCAGGCTAATGGCAGCAATAGCTGAGCCGTTGGACTCGTGCTCAGCCTGGGCGGCAAGTTCATCACGCTTATCAGCGTCAGCACATGACTCCCATGCGTTGACGTCGCGAGAACGGCCACGGCCAAGACGGGGTGGAAGGAAGCTGGTGAGGGAGGAGATGGGAGGGAGAGTGACGGCAGGCAACGCGCTGTGGCTACGCTTAAGCCCGCGGTTAATTGGAATAGCGGCAAAGTCAGAAGCAGGTCTCTCAGCAACGTCCTTAGCGGGAGACGCGTCGTTGGCGATCAACTCAGCTTTGCCTTCGAGAGAAAGTGCAAGTCTGACCTGCGATTGAGAATGGCTACGCTTGAGACAAGGAGTACCCTCAGAACGAGTAGACACGGAGAGAGGCTCAGGGCCAAAGGAATCATCAGCGGAGCGCTTCAACGAAGCAGGTGTGGAGTACGAGGTACCAATGTTCCATCGGTTGGCAAGATAACCGACTGAGGAACCGGGGTGAGAGTGAGAGAGGTGTTCGTCTGGTGAGCCTTGTGATGACGATCCATCAGTGTGGCGAGGGGTCATGTCAACATATTGGTTAACCCTGGAAACAGGGCCAGGTGTGCAAGCTACCGGGCGGGGAGAAGAGTGAGACACGTCGGAGCTGTCAGCGGGGTGGACGGGTGCAGCTCCGGCGTATTGCGGAGGCAAACCGTGCTCCAACGCGTGTGGACGGTCATATGTATAAGAGTATGAGTTGATGGGGGCAGAGGACATGCCATTGACGCCGCTAAATCGGAGGGCAGCAAGCTCTTGAGGAGAAAGAGGTCGAGACTTGCGTCGATCGTTCTGTCGTCTGTTCTGAAACCAAATCTGGATATAAAATACGTGTTAGCCTAACCGCTCCAAAACAGCACAACAATTATAAAAGCGCGATAACTGAGTCCATCAATGAAACCCAGTACCACCCAACGTGTATATTCGTACCTGAACTTCCTTCTCGTTGAGGGATACGCGGTTGACAATGTCGAGACGCGCTTGCTTGTCGGGCTTGGGGTTGTTGTTGTAGGCGTCCTCGAGGATCATCTTGTCTTTGGCACTAAACACGTGTGGAAAAGGCACAGATTAGCATTGGGAAGCTCAGTCGTGTTCTCCTGGACTTACGCGGTACGCTTTCTTCGTCCCTTGGGGTGCTTCTCCATGTCCTTGGAGTCATGGCCGAGCGTGTCGAGGCCCTGGTCCTCAGACTCTTGGGAGAGAACGGTAACATTGTGTGTGGGAGAAGAGATGGAGGAGTGGTGTTCGTACGAAGGATCAGAAGAGAACGCGGCTTCTGAGCTCGACATGATTAAAGAAGTCGTGATGTTTTTTTTGCGGGAGGCCTATATGCGTGTATGCTGAGTGGATGCGTATTATAAAACAGAAGGCATTACTAGTATAAACAGCAGCAAACAGAAACGACAGACGGGCTCTGAAAGCAAAAAAAAACGAGACGGAAGAAACACGAAACGAAGAAATGGTTCTTCAAAGTATTTCTTTTCCCCGCGCTGTATATAAAAAAAGGACTGCAAGGCTGGATAAAGTGGAAGAGAGAGGAAGAGAGAGAGAGAGAGGAGGAGGGAAAGTGGAATATGAAGTGCCTCTCTGGCTGCTAAAAAGAAACGAGAGGCCGGTTACAGTTACGTGTAGCGCGCACCCGTGGATCGTGTGGCAGCGTGGACGTGGGGAACGCACGGAATGAACAGGGAAATGCAGGCGCTGTAAGTCGCTGGGCACACTGCTGTAGAGACACGCTGCAACCACCATTACAGCGCATGCAGCGTGTCTCTAACCGCTGGAAGATTGGCCCCCCCTGCCTGGTGCCCACCACCCGCTGGGGTTCCGCGTCTTGCCCACCTTCTGGCAAATCATATCGCGCCGCCTGCTGGTCCTATTCCCAAACGAGGCAACATGTCAACACGCGTGTGTGTGAGAAGCACACCAAAATGTGTGTGCATGGGTTTTAATGGGTGGGTGGTGGTGTTTTTCTTTTAGTTTATTTTTATTTTCTGCCTTTTTTTTTTGCTACGGTTGTCCTTTCTGCCTCCCGATTGTGACTCTGCTTATCCGCGACTGACTCTGCCAACAGCACACACACTCAATCAATCACTTAGGCTGACAATGGCCCCTATGTGTTTGCTCTGCTCACCTACTAGCCGCCTAGGGGACCATCTCACTTTTGCTTCCAGTGTGTGCGCGTTTGGTCAGCCAGGGTCTTAATGGGCTGGATGGGTTTTCTTGGGCGGTGAGGCAGCGCCTCCAAAGCAAGGACCCTTTCTCCTCCCATGTCCAAGATATCAATTAACCCGCCATCTAAATGGAAAACGCGCCTCACCCCTGCAAGGGCTTTTCCTTGGGCTCGCCACTTTAGCTCTGCAGCAGCTATTGCGGCGCCGTCGAGCTCTTCCTCTCTAATTACTCTAATGTTTATTTCCGCTTGTTTTGGCATCTTCCCGTAGCTTCATCGTACTCTCCAATCCACTCTCTAATTTCCGCCCACTGGTGCTCTGCCGCACATCTCCATTCCCCGTGGGCCTCGCTGGTACGCGTTGTGATGACGCCGCCTTGCCCATGCCCAGCCAAACCACAGAGCTACCGCCAGCGTCTAATTTGACTTGGATTCCTTCTTGAATCTCATTGAAAACATCAGAAGCCAGCCTTGTTTTTCTTGTTTTCAATCAGCCCAGTCCCTGGTGTCTATCCTTGTGTGCAGTGTTAAACAGTAGCCCTCCGCGTCAGACACTTGCACCATCTGACTTACACGCATAGCCCTATGATACGCCGCGAGATGTGCATGTCGCTTTTATCGGAATGTCTGCAAAACAGGATGTACGCAGCTTTACAGGGCTAGACGAGTCATATGAGCAATAAGACTGTGTTGCAACAGCTGTTTTAAATACAAGGAAATAAAAAAAAAAAACCAACATGAATCGTGATCAACCAGGGCTGATCGCCAACAGCGCTGCTATGTGCCGGGTAGTTTATGTGGGAACGTCGAGATATGGAGATATGGGAACGGGCCGGCCATCGAGCACGCGTCTCCCATTAGGCGCCAAAAAGTAGAGCCAGTGACAAACAGCTGAGAAATTTAGATACCAAGACACGGCACGGACGAAATGAATTGAAAAAAGGCATCCCCGTGTTTTATCAGGTGATACTTTTAATAAGAAAAAAAGGGAGAAAAGTCTAACTAAGTGTATCGCTGCAGCGTGCAGCAAAGTGCGTTCTTTATGTTTTGATCCCTAAGCTTGGGTATGACGGGCCATGTGCGTTTCGCTCCCAAATCTTGTTCCAGTAAAATGCCCGGACGCTTCTTTTTCGTTCCACATCATTATATGATCTCATAATGACCCCAAACGGATAAGCTTCAAACTCGGAATTCCTCCACAAAAAGACAAAGATGTATCCCAAGTACTGGCCCTCTCATCAAAATAAATATGAGGCTGCCAAGCCAAATTCAAGCGCTCCGTCCATATATCGAGGGTCGTTTACAAGTCGTCATCAGAGCCCTCATCGGGAAGAGCAGCGTTAACAGCATTGTTCATCTCCTCCTCGTACTCCTTCATGAGAGCAGCATCGACAGTGACGGTAGGGGGAGCAAGGGCAGGGGCAGCAACGAACTCCTATTTGTGGAACACATTAGCGTATATCCCCCCCAAAAATAGAAACAAAATGACAGCATATCGGAAACTTACGAGCTGGGGGTTGCCAACGAGCTTGCGGGCGAGCCAGAGGAAGGGCTTCTCGAAGTTGTAGTTGGACTTGGCAGAGATATCGTAGTACTGGAGGTTCTTCTTGCGGTGGAAGGTGATGGTCTTGGCCTTGACCTTGCGCTCCTTAACATCGACCTTGTTACCGCAGAGAACGATGGGGATGTTCTCGCAGACACGAACGAGATCACGGTGCCAGTTGGGAACGTTCTTGTAGGTGATACGAGAAGTAACATCGAACATGATGATACCGCACTGGCCGTTGATGTAGTAACCGTCACGGAGACCACCAAACTTCTCCTGACCGGCGGTATCCCAGACATCGAACTGGATCTGACCGTAGTTCTACGCTAGTTGTTAGTAAATTGCGCTTCGTTGAGGGTGTGGTGAGAGGGTTGTTCTTACGGTAGAGAAGCCGAGAGGGTGAACCTCGACACCGAGAGTAGCGAGGTACTTCTTCTCGAACTCACCAGTCAAGTGGCGCTTGACGAAGGTGGTCTATTTGGTCATCATGTTAGCCTTTGTTTGTTGTTGCGTGCGCGGTTCCTGCATGGCGGGGTCTGGCGCTCGAAAGACGGTGACGAGTTGGTGGCCCAATCTTGGGCTCTCCAGAAGCCTGCCATGCGCATCGATTCCGCAGATTTCTTCGACGGAGGAACTAACCTTTCCGGTACCACCATCACCGACAAGAACAAGCTTGAAGGTAGGCGTTTCTGTTTGCTGAGCCATGGTTATGAAGTATCGAGGGGTGTGATGTAAACAAGCGGGGTCCTGGAAAGCTATGGTTAGCTATCAATGTGCCGAATAAAAGGGCAAAAGGTTGTCTAAAAATGACAGCCTTTGTCTCTGGCGAATCCTGATGAACCGCCCGTGGAAATTGCCGTACCTGAGCAAGATTTTTTGATACGGTGGCGATGTGCTGGTACAAAAGAAAGCACGAAATGGTCAACGCTCAATGTTTTGTAGGCAGCGGGGGGGCAAGGCACTAGAGAAGGGAACGGCACCAGGGAAAGAAAAATTCAGTTACTGGGGGGGGCTCATGCACGTGACATCATTCGCCCACCGACAACTCATGCACGCACTTTCCACCCACTCAGTGGGCCAAGTTTCGGAGCGCGCGCGTCAATCAAAGCCAGTGGCAAGCAGCCGGTTTGTACAAGCAACTGTCCGGCGGCAAATCAGCAAGGTTGATACTATAGTAGGCTGGAGATGCTCGGCTGCCTTGTTACTCTGGTGCCCAAGGGCCTAGCAGCCTAATCCGCCCATATACGCCATTGACAATACTGTAAAGTATATCGTGTGGCTTTTTTCTAACAATACGATTGTTAAAAAAGCTAGGCGACGCGTCGTGAAGCGAACCGATTGCGCTGCATGGCCCTTACTTTGTCAGGTTTTCCACATCACCAAAGTCAATATTCTGCTGCTGCAGTATTCGCCATTCCTCATGCTGACATGGATTATTACATTATTTGGATATTGTTAAATGGGTAGAATGTGGCAACCAAGCATTCCTCGACCACCCCAATCCTTGCTAGGCAGTAATGTGAGCCTAAGTTCCTGGCGGTTCGCCACGCCCTCAGGCCGCGATACTTTTATAAAAATGTTTTGCTAGTGGGTATCATTAGCAGTATACTCGTATTGGAGAAGCAAAACGACCTACGCCTTCATTTCCTTGGACGCATTCAGCAAGCTTCTTGAGACCGTCATGGTTGCCTCGATTTACATAGCCAAAGTTGCGGATCTCGTCTCCGGGTTTCAGACCTGCCCGTTCTGCTGGACTGTCTGAGGCCACTGTATTGACCTTTGCGAATGGTCGATCGAGAGTTGCAATTTCAGAATCGGCTCCTCCCGGGATCGTCTCAACAGGTGCCTGGGAGCTGAGGTCATCACCGCCTGAAAGGTTGGCAAAATGTTCGTGCAAGAACTTTTCCGCCCTAGCCATAATTTCCTTGTGATCATTTCGTAACCGAATTATACGAGAACGAGTAGTACGAACTTGAATGCCGTCAACAAGTGGTCTTTTTCTACGACAAATGTAAACTTACTCTGGGCGACATCGATGTCGGATCTAGGGAAACCATCTTTTGTCAAAAGAGCAGTGTTCATATCTACCCCATGCTACTGCTATTAGCACCTGCTGCCGATGTATAACTGGATGAGAATTTAACATACTGATTCAAGGACACTGCCTAGCGCTTTAAGCTCTTCTTCAACGTTGCGTTTCTTTGCTTCGAGTTCAGCAAAGCTGAGCTTTCCTAGTTGTCCATTCGTGCCAGTAGAGCTAGTCGGACCCGACGGAATTGTTGGGGCGTGCAAGTTATTCATAGAGGGCTATAATTTTTGATGATATACTGTAATTTTCTGGCTACAGTATAAACGCTCTATGTTTCTTGTGCTGAATTACGATCAGTTAAACGTTAGGGTATCTAACTGGCGTCGTCATGGGTCCCGGTGTCTCTAACCGCACTGTGTCCAGCTTTGAGCGGGGCGGCTGGCTTCCGAACTCGCGTTGACTCCAACGCCAGAGAGCTGTCACTAGCCTGGCCTCATCAAGCTTTCCTTGTCGTGTCAATCTGCAACAAAATCCAGCATCGCTGTACCGCCCCGAAAATGGCGTCCCGTACAGATGCTCGGTTGCTCAAAACAACAAAATTTCCGCCGGAATTCAGCCAGAAGGTGGACATGCGGAAGGTCAATCTGCAAGTCATGAAAAAGTCTGGCAAGCCTCTGAGATTCGCAAACGGTGCATTAATATTAACTATTACAACAGGTGGATTGCCAATCGCATGTCAGAAATTTTAGGGAACGACGACGATGTTGTTATAGAGCTGTGCTTCAATCTGATCGAAGGCTCTAGATTCGTATGTTCATTTTCAAGATGATAGAATTCAGCTCGCTAACACCTTGCAGCCTGATATCAAGGCTTTACAGATTCAGTTAACCGGATTCCTTGACAAAGATACAGCTGGTTTCTGTAAGGAACTTTGGAAGCTACTACTGAGTGCCCAAGATAGCCCTCAAGGTGTTCCGAAGGAGTTGCTGGAAGCCAAGAAGTTGGAACTGATTCAAGAAAAGGTGAACACCCGGCAACCATGCCGACTTGGGAACCGATATGCTAACAATTGGGTTAGATGGAGGCTGACCGAGCAGCGAACGATGACCGACGACGCGAAGACCCAACTCGACGTGACAGAGGTACGGGAGACCCTAGAAGCAGGGACAGACACCCTGGCGGCCGAGACCGACCTAACGACTGGAATAATCGTCGACCCGATTTTAATAGTAATCACAGTTTCGACGGGAGAGGAGGAGGAGGTTATGTAAGAGGGAATAGAAGGTCCCGCTCACCAGGAGATCGTCAAGACTCTCGGTCTAGACCCAGCGACAGCTATATGTCGCGTGGCAGAGCTGGCCAAGCCTCAACGCAAACACAAGGTGATTCAAGACGCAGCCGACGTCATTCAAAATCACCGGGTTCAACAAGGCATCGATCTTCGAGCCGCGGTTCCCGGGATCGATCGCGAACGCCCGATAACCACTCCAAACATCGATCGAGCAATTATAGGAAGCGGTCGCGGTCACGCTCTGGTTCACGACGGGGCGAACATAGATCAGGGAGAAGAAGCCGCAGCGTTTCTTCTACCAGGGCCTCGAAATCTACCAAACGCCGGAGGTATTCACCATCTCCTAGTCGCTCCAGAGATAGCCGTAGACGCTCATCTTCGGCAAGCTCTAGGTCCTACAGCTCGAGAAGCTACTCCAGGCCCCGAAGCCGAAGCCGAAGCCGTACAAGAGACTCCCGCAGTCGGAGCAGGAGCAGAAGTAGAGATATTGGTGGCAAAGATCGGAGACGTCGGAATTCGTCCTCCGTCTCTCCTGAGCGCAGCTAAACTATAGCATTTTGATCTTCAAGGCGTTAAGGCTGTCAACGTAAAATAGTGAAGTATATGTTGGACCTCGATTTAAGACACGCATTGCAACGGGTGATAAAAAAATTAATGGTTGACTATGTTAAGTCTTGTTTTACATTATAAATCTTTCGAGTACAATTGATATCAATCCGTGAGATTCATATTCTAATACCATTGGGTTTAAATGCGTTAAGCATATGCTCTACTTCGATATGCTTAGGTTAGCAGCATGCCACCATTGTGACTTAGGTGGAGTCACTCATGTCACGGTCGAGCGCGTGCCAGGCACCAAAAATTGAGCTCTTCAAACTCCTTCGCACTCGAACGGTCTGCCCTAAATACTGGCTAATGCACACTATCTGAGCGATAAATAATACTCGAAAACACTTTGCGATCACGAATGTGAATTAATACGATACGGAAAACATCGGGAATTGATACAACAATGGCAGACAAGCCTTCTGGTCCGGGCGACATTATGCCGACACAGACGGAATACAAGAAGTCTCAAGCTCGCGTACGGGATCTCGTTGATAAAAGACGTCAGCTCGAGAGGCGCTTAGTATGTAAAACTCTTAATATTGATAGCGGAGAGCTCTAGCTTGATACAGGTGCTAACAACAATGCGATAGAATTCCGTTGAGGAGGGCATTATCCAGAAGGAGTCAGCCTACCTAGAGAACACACCAAGTGGAAATATCATTACAGGCTTTGACAATTACATGAAAGGCATCAGTGGTGCCGGTGCGCAGCGGCGCAAGACTGGCCCTATGGAACAGAACCGCGTGTTCTCGCGCTCTTCGGTTTCCTATAGACCTAGTACAGTGAGGCGACCGACAAATACTTCAAAGATGATACGGAACTAATGCAATATACAGGAGGCAACGCCAGGATCTACGCCAGCATCACACGCCCCAACACCGGTTTCTGCGACATTCAAGGATACTTCAACACCGACCGGCTCAAGTAAAGCGTCTAAAAGCAAGAAGAAGGAGAAGGAGGCTGAGGATAGCGAAAACGACACACAAACTACCAAAAAGCGAACCAACTTTGGTGCCTCAAGGAAGTAATGAAGTTGCTGGAAATACGACTCACACCAATTTACGACGTAGGGGCGTGTGGTTACTATCGCTGCGGCAAACGAATGCCATCATCGCCCAAGAGCACCTGTTAGTCAGTGTCTGTATATACCAATGACATGCTCTGGAGCGGGCCGACCAGCACAATGTTGGAAGACTCCCAAGAACAACTCGGATCCCAGTTCAAAAGTGCAGGGATGGGGTTTGGAGGGCCTCGGCCTCGGAGTCAATGAGCCAACCGCGTAGTGCGCGAGTGCACTTCCCCAGCCACTAAGGACATTGGACGATCTTGCAGGTGGTGCAAGGTGCGGATGAAATGCAGGAAATGATACACCAACAGGCCCGATAACGGGGCAGAAATGCTTCGGGGCCGCGGGGAGAGGTTACTTTTACGTATGCAACGGCAGCATTTGAGTGTTGGTGGGATGAACTGGTTCGTACCAAGCCTAGACTTGGCTAGGTTAGATGACTTGGCCTAGTGCAGATGCTAAAAGCACTGATAAAAATAGCATCATGAGAATATGACAAAACGATATGCAAGTGTGAGATTGAATCTATGCAGCGGATGTTGCCCGGTTGCGTGATTGGAGTGTTTGACAATGGCAGTAACGGGTGAAGATAAGCCATAGCGGGCAAAAGGCACGCCATCAGCATCGGTGTTCGGCCACGACCCGTGCTGTCTTGCGCAGTTTTATGACTTGTTGGTCCGGCCATTGGGTAAATGCTTGTATAGTAGGCCCCCCACCCCTGTAAGTTTGGAGAAAGTGTGAATAATGGTTTGATCTGGGAGAACCGCTAGCGTGGCGCCAGGCTCGGCGCTGGCGGGTGGAAGCGGGTTTCGCACAGGCGCATGGTTGCGGCGTAGCGGGGGCTGCTCTGCAGGCGGTGCGGCGGGTGACCCTCACTAAGGATGCTTCTGGCAGGCCACAGCGACTGCTGATGGGGTAATGCGGGGTCTGCTGGCGGGCTCTGTAAACGCCTTGTCGTCCCTGCGCCTGATTCGGCCACCATTTCTACCGCCCTCTTTCCTCTTTGGCATTGTGTCCTCTCTCCAATTTCTCTCCTCCTCCACCTACCGGGCGACAAAAGAATCTCGCATCTGCCTCTCATCCAGACAGTTGCTACTCATTGCCATTCACTTCTGCTCCAATCCGTGCCGCTTGCCTTGCATTGTCGCCGGATCACTCTTCCATGATGACAATTCAGGCTTCTCGTTTCACCCCAGAGGTGCTCCTCTCGGCGCCTCGTCGAACACCAGGCGTGCCCAACCCTTCGGGCTCCCACGTTCTCTACACGGTAGGTTTCTTCTGGCCAGCGTCTCCAATGGAGCGGCATTGACACTCCGTACCATCACTAACACTGCATGTGCTTGTTTAGGTGTCGACGTATTCGTTTGAGACGCACTCCAAGACTTCTCAGATCCGAGTCATGAAGATTGCGGATGGCAGCTCCTCTCTCCTCTCCGAAGATTTGACCGCCAGCGAGCCTTTCTGGATCAGCGATGCCGAAATTGCCTATCTTAAGGCTAGCGACAATGGCTGCACAACCCTCATGTACCAGGACGTGCACGATCCTTTCAAGTACGCTGCCCTCTACTGACTCTGTTACTGACCGCCTTGCACGAAACTAACCTCCGTTTTCTTGAATAGGAAGCACATGATTCACCACTTTGCCGGCACCATTTCCAGCCCCAAGGCCAAGATCCTGGATGGCGACCGCGTCGCCTTCTGCGCTGCTTCCGTCACCACCCCCAAAGGTGACATGTACTGGCCCGCCAATGAGACCAAGTCCTACACCACAGCCAAGATCTACACGTCTCTGTTTGTTAGACAGTGGGATACCTGGCTGACGGAGAACCACAACTCTCTGTGGTACGGTCAGCTTGAGAAGAAGGACGGCAAGTGGACGCTGGAGAAGCCTCTGACTAACTTGCTTGCCGGCACCAAGCTTGCATGCCCAGTTGGCCCCTTTGGTGGCGCCGGCGACTTCGATATCGGCGCTGCTGGTATCGCCTTCATTGCCAAGGACCCCGAACTCAACCACGCCAGATACACCAAGACTGACGTTTACTACGTTCCCCTGGCTTCATTCAATGACAAGCCTGTTACTCCTAAGATCGTTGACAGTGGTGATCTGCTCGGCTACTCCAATGCCCCTACCTTTGCGCATGACGGCAAGCAGCTTGCTTTCCTTAAGATGAAGAACAAGCAGTACGAGAGTGACAAGAACAGACTAGTCCTCGTACCCGACATCAACGATACCAGCAAAATCGAGGAGTTTTACAAGACCGAGGATGGAAAGGGTGGATGGGATCGCAAACCTGATTCCATCACTTGGAGCAACGATGATTCTGAGCTTTATGTCGCCGCGGAAGATGCCGGCAGCGTTGCTCTCTTCAAGCTCCCCTCGTCCCCAGCCAAAGCAACAGACCTGCCCACCATTATTTTCAAAGATGGTGGTGTTTCTGACGCGCGCGCTCTTGCTGGCACCAAGTCACTATTCCTTTCCACCTCTTCGCTAATTGACAGCTCCCGTTACGTCATCCTTGACCCCGAAAGCAAGCAAGTTACCGAGGTGTCGTCCAGCTCCAAGCACGGCAAGTCATTTGGCCTTAACCGAAGCCAATGCAGAGGCATTTGGTACCCTGGATCTAGAGGCTATGACAACCATGCGCCGGTCATGGTGCCATCCGACTTTGATGAGACCAAGAAATATCCCCTGGCTTTCCTCGTTCACGGTGGTCCCCAGGGCGCTTGGACTGACGATTGGAGCACTCGTTGGAACCCTGCTGTCTATGCTGAACAAGGCTACGTCGTGGTCATGCCTAACCCAACTGGTAGCACTGGCTATGGCCAGGACCACTGTGATGCCATTAAGGAAAACTGGGGTGGAAGCCCTTACGATGACCTTGTCAAGTGCTTCGAATACATTGAGAAGGAGCTTCCCTATGTCGACACCAACCGAGCTGTCGCTCTCGGTGCCTCGTATGGTGGTTATATGATGAGTAAGTCCTGATTGTTTTTGACGCAAGGTCGAATAATTGCATATCAACATGCTGACCAAACCAGACTGGATCCAAGGCCACGACCTTGGCCGCAAGTTCAAGGCTATTGTCTGCCACGATGGTGTCTTCTCCACCATTACTCAGTGGACCACCGAAGAGCTCTTCTTCCCCGAGCATGACTTTGGAGGCACTCTGTGGGAAAACCGCGAAGTCTACGAGAAGTGGGATCCTTCGCGCCACTTGCACAACTGGGCAACACCTATGCTTGTAAGTATATCAAGCTGTTGTTTCTGAATCCCACATTTCGACTAACTCAACTTCAAACAGGTCCTCCACAACGAACTTGATTACAGACTCACCGTTTCCGAAGGACTTGCTATGTTCAACGTTCTTCAAGCCCGTGAGATCCCCAGCAAGCTGGTTATGTTCCCCGATGAGAACCATGTAAGTCTTGATTTATCCACCACACAAAACTCAACCACCATGAAAGCATATTAACACTTTATTAGTGGGTGCTGAAGCCCGAGAACTCCCTGGTTTGGCATCGTGAAGTACTTGGATGGATCAACCAATACAGCGCTGCATCCGAGTAAAGATGGACTAAAATAGTAAAATACCGTAAATACCAAAAAAAGATAACAGCCTGGGCAAGCGCCTAGTGGTCATGGTTTAACCTCACCTATAGAGATACTATACCATTTTGGGTTATTTATCAGGGGGTTGGATTGCGTATGAAACATACCATACAACTAGTACATATTCATCTGAACCAAAAGAAATACTTTAATCACTGACTTGAGAGTCTCATTTTGATTGTGATCGCCAATGACAGTTAAAAGCGTCACAGTGCATATAACCAGTTATAGTGAAATTCGCACTGCCTGTGGCTCTAGCATGGACCAACTCTTCTCCACCACCGTTGCGCGCGAGCCTCTGCCTCTCGCACCACGCCTCACGACCATCTCGCTTCATTGGCAAGACACCGAATTGCGCAGCGGGAGAGAAACCTCACAAGCCATGCTTGCAAAAAAGTAGAAAAAGCAAGACTCTGCGCGTGCGGTCTTCTCTCAATCTTGCCAGCTCTGTAACCACTACCGCCATCATGACGACGCCGCCCGCCCTCTTCCACGCCTTCCTTCGGCCTGCCATTCTGCAAATCCTACGAGCGACTGGATACCACTCTACGAAGCCCGCAGTGTTAGACTCATTAACAGACCTTGCGGCGCGATATATGATGCTCCTGTGTGAGAACACGGCGAAGCACGCATCACACAATCACGGTGACAATGCCGACTTTTCGGTTGTCGAGGTACGTCAGGCTCTAGAGGACGCCGGCGCGCTGTTGCCATCCAGATGCACAGCAGAAGAGGAGTGGAGAGGAGACGACGACATCGCCGATATCGAAGAGTTCATCGCCTGGTTCTCAAGCCAGCGCATGAAGGAACTGATGGAGTTTGGCAACTCTGAGGGCGACACGGAAGCTACTGACTACTTGAACGGTGAGTGAAGGACAAGGTAAAGCGCCAGTTGCGACTCTGTACTAATTTATATGATTGTAATATAGCCCTTAAGACGAAGCACAACAAAACTGGCGACGACGCCAAGTTCCACGGAACAATACTAGGACGACCAGCAGAAGGAACCGAAGTGTTTGTTGAAGGCGGCAGCGTAGCCACTGTAAAAGAATGGGTGGCGGCGCAGACACCAAGAGCAGAGGGCGACGTTTCGTCACCAGCAAGCTCTGGTCTCAGCTCTGTAGGAGATTTGCCCAGCGATGACGAAATGGACTTGACAATGGCTGCTTGAACACCCTTTCGGACGAACCCGACATGGACGGATGCTTGACGACCTCTTCTACAACTACGAATCGACATGATACCCCCTTACACACGAACAGTCATAGATATGGCAGGAAAAGCTTTGTGCTTGCTGCTATTTTACGCCAAAAAGGCGGAAATGCTGATATACCGCCCTGAATAAAGCTGGCTTGCTCTTGGGATAACAGTAGCAGCAGTTAAAAAATAGAGGTGGCTTGTATACTAGAGAGGAAAGATTTGATTGTGCATTACATACTTTCCAAAAATGATAATAATACAAAAGATCGCTTGATTTTACAGTTAATGGTACAAGGAACCCGTATCCCTCCATATTTATACAATGCCACCCTTCTTGGCTGGCAGCAGTTCCAGTACCCCCATGTCCTTGGCCACACCAAGCATCATTCTTCTGGCCTCCTTGTCATTACCAATCTCGGTGGCGTAAAGCTTTAGCAGGTAAGCGTGCAGTGCCTCGCCTCTCTCTGGCCCGTTAAGCTTCTCTGGCTCGTCACCAGCCCACTTGAGAAGGGAAAAGTCCATATCGCGCTTCGCAATCATAAGGGCCTTGCGCAGCGCTGGCGTGTCGCTCGAGAGCTTGTGCGTACCAATTGCTAGCTCCAGGGTGAGGATATCCGAGGGATAGAATTTAAAAACCTCTTTCAAAGTCGCTAAGGCAATTGTGAGACCGGGGGAGTCTTGGAGGCGGCGGAATGAGTGCAGGATCTTTCGAGCGAGCTGCTCATGCATCGCCTCTGAACCAAAGACTTCGCGAGAAGCAACCATATGGGCAAAGAGCTTTCGGGTGTCAATAATGTGCTCCTCGACTTCTTCTGGAGCAATGATGTGTAGCCTGTTGACAGGAAGCGACTTCCAAAGCGCAGTGAATGTATGAGGGTCTGGCTTCACGCCTTGATCTACGACCAAAGTGTTGTACAGGTCCAACGCCTCGCTGGATTTACCGGCTTGGATGTAGCTTTCCAGCAGCTGATTCATCATGAATGCATCAGGGCTGATTTCCGACGCCCCAAAGAGTTCGAAAAGTTGTTCTTGACGGCTGTGCAAGTCTCGCTTTCGGAAGTTGTCGGCCATGATGCAAAATGTCTCCAGTGTAGCTCGCGGATACTCAGCAGGCTCATTGCGACCTGGCTTGTTGTACTGTAGAGTTTTCGCCTTGCGAGCCGCAACAAAGGCTACTCGTGATTCAATCATGTTCCAGCCGAGAGCCTCTGCTCTTTCCATATTGGCAGCGCTTCCAGACCGCTGCCAAGCACCGATGAGGCCGTTTAGCTGAATAGGCGAGGCCTGTACGCCCTTCGACATCATGAATTCGACTACATTGTGCGCACCGTCCAAGTCTCCGGCTCCAATAAGCCGCTTTAACCACTTTCCGAGGAAGAACTTATTAGCGACAACCGAAGGCATGTATTTCTGCTTGGTTAGATCGATTTGTCCGTCGCTCATCATATCCACAAAGGCATATAGCGCATTTTCGACTTGCCCGTTGGTGAGGAAATATGCAATGACTTGATCGTAGTCCTTGAGTTTCATTGACTTGCCCAAAAGACCTCTCATTTGTCGATACTTTTCCCAGCCACGGGCAGGCGCATCGTCTAACGTCTTCTCACACCAGGATCGGATAATAGGCATCAAGATTCTTGCATCCAGTCGTCGGGCAATCAGTTTATCAGCCGCTCGTTGCGCTTGATCCAAGTTGCCCATTCGGCAGTGCATTCGAACACCGAGCTCCCAAAATTCTTGGAAAGTCTCGGCCTTGTCTTCACCAAGCGTGGGAATATTTCGCCGCCAGTTTTCGATAGCTCTTGATTCCCAGCCCTCGACAAAGACGGCCTCAATTGTCAAGATTTGCTGAGCCGGACTGAGGGTGATATTGGCGTCACTCATGTCCCTGGCAAGCAGGGAGATATGAGATAAACGGTGCGGGTTGACAGACTCTTCCGTTGCGAAAACTGACCACAAGAAGTCCCAAACATCAATAGGTACGTTTACCCATCCTCGGGCGAGTGCCAGACGACCTGCGTGATACGCTCTGTAGACCGCGGAGATGCTAGCTTGAGAGAAGACCGATGTACGCCGTTTCTCGGATTGCGCGTGGTTGATAGCCGCATTGAGTTTCGAAATCTTGCGTCGTTGATTTAACGTCCACGGTTTCGTTGGGATGTCTGAGACTTGGCCAGCAACAGCACCGCCCGACACGCCGTCAGTATCCAGCTGTATTTTTCTTAACGTAGCTCTCACGGCGTCCACAACATCCTCTGGCAAACCCTCAGTCGCATCTTCGATTTCTTTATCAATTTGTTTCGACCTTGCTTCTATTTGAGCTGAAACATTGTCAATATCGCCTTGGTTTTTGACGCCACTCCAAAGGCCGCCCATTTGCTTGATCATATTGCCAAATGCGGCCTTCTCTTTTGGGGATTGAAGCGTTGCTTCTAGATAGTCTAGTGACGGCTTCACATCTCCAGGACCAAATGAATCCAGAGATGTATTAAAATCACTCTCGCGCTCAAGCTCCGTCGTGTTTTGGTCGGTTCGCTCAAAGTATCGGACCGTGAAGTTGTCGTCTGCCTCTTGTTCGTTGGGTCGACTCTCGGGATCCGCAGCCGATGATATGGTAGGAGGTACTCGTCTAATTGTCTTGCTTCTTCGTTCTGCTAATCGAGTTCGTCTAGTTGTTCTCATCGCTGGCTCCTGAGCTGCATGATTGGAATAGGGTGCTCTGCTCCCGGGCAGCGTCAACGGCATAGTCCCGAGACATGCTCGACATATTGCCCCTTGCCGGCCTGGTAAACCGTGGAGTAACGGTCGGCACGACATTGTTGACCACCCCGCCAATGTTGACGCAACCTTGCTGTGAAGAAGAATTATGAAGATGGAGGTTCGTCATTGGTATTGAGGCAAGGGAAAGGAGCAGCTTATCGATAGTGGGCTGAAAGTACTGACGCAACACGCCTTGCTAAAGGCGGATTTGCGGCGCTAATTTGTATGAACCCTATATTCGAAATCCTAGAAATAATTTATATTTATCAACAAATTATAAATTGTCTATTTCTTCTACATCTATGCCTCGACTGGCGACATCCTGATGCTAGGTCCAGCCCACCGCCTGCCTATTTAGTGGAGCAAATCTTTAAGCCTTTGGCAGAAAATTAATTTTTGCTGGCGGGCGGGTCGTTGAACGCCAGCAACTTTTCTCTTTTTGCGTTCCGCCTCTACCAAGAGCATAGTCACCAATAAAATCAGGAAAAGAATGGGCGATAATCAGAGCGAATTCCTCCGCTTTATGGGCCACCGGTCCTTTGCGAGACGACTCACACTCTCAACGCTTACCGGCCGACCTATTCACATCTCCAAGATCCGCAGCACATCACCTACCAACCCGGGTCTCGCTCCCCATGATGTTTCGTTCCTCCGATTACTCGAAGCAGTTACAAACGGTAGCTCAATGCAGATTTCATACACTGGTACGACAATCACATACCATCCTGGCTTGATCACCGGAACAATTCCCGGTCAAGGAGCTGCAGAGGGTGACATTATCGAACACCAACTGCCTACCAACATCACCAGAGGCATTACATATTTTCTCATGCCGCTTTGCCTGTTGGCACCTTTTGCAAAGGCGCATATGAACATTCGATTCTCAGGCCCCGGCGTAATCACATCAGCGACAGAGACAGGCGACGTATCCATCGACACATTCAGAACGGCAATTCTTCCGCTATTCGGCCTATTCGGCATCCCACCCGCCCGAATTGAGTTGAGAGTGCTACAGCGTTCGTGCGCGGGACCCGGAGGCAAGGGTGGCGGCGGTATTGTCGAGATGCGATTTGCCAGTCAAGTCCGTCTTCCCAAAACACTGCACCTTAACCGCAGCCCCGGCCGCATCAAGCGCATCCGAGGTGTGGCATACAGCACTGGTGTCTCTGCGTCCAACAATGGCCGCATGATTCACTCTGCTCGTGAAGTACTCAACGCCTTTTCCACCGATATTCACATTGCTGCGCAATACGACCAAGCACCTTTGGTCTCGACTGGCGATAAAGCTGGCAGCAAGCGCCGCCTAGGTATTGGTTACGGCCTGAGCTTGGTTGCAGAATCAAACGCAACCGGCGTCATATACTCAGCAGATGTTGTAGTCCCCCCGGGTGGTGGTGAGGTGCCTGAAGAAATTGGCAAGCGATGCGCATACCAATTGCTTGAGACGATATCAAAAGGTGGATGCGTCACGCAATCATCTGCTAGCAGCATTCTTATTTTGATGGCCATGGGTTCAGAGGATGTAGGCCGTGTTAGAATAGGTCGAGACGTCCTCGGCACGGAAGACATGGTCGACTTGGCCAGAGACCTACGAACGTTTGGAGCTAGCAGCTGGGGTTTGAGAGATGTTGAATCTGATGACTCTGGAGACATTATTATTTCTGTCAAGGGAACAGGCGTTGGTAATGTCGGAAGAAAAATTGCATAAATGATTGATGTACGTGTATATAGATATAGTCCTTTAAGCGAATCCAATTTATGCATAATATGTACAGGTTGTCTAAATAAGTCTATGGTTCAAGAGCCCCCACGGCGCCGTGCTTGTAATGCTGCCAAGGTGGAACTATAACTCAGGTTTTGAAAAGCTTGTGCCGCATTTCGGGGTATATATGATGTAGCATGTTTTACAGAGTGTATGACATGATATTCGCCCAGCAAACCATTGCCGGAATTCATGATGTCGGATAGGTGTGTTCGAGTGTTGGTGCCGTCTTCTCCTTCTTCTTCTTGTCTTGATCTGCCTTGAGCACCCGTCCGAGTATCGTCCCCAGTTTCTCCCGAAGATGGATTAAGAGGTTGTAGTTCAATATCGGTCTCGGTCTCGCCTTCTGGCCCCATCCTTGACGCTACGACGCCTCGTTCTTCCGCATCCAAGTCTTCCAAGGTGCGGCCGGCAGTGACATCCTGTGCTAGATCTGGCAGAAGAGGTTTGAATGTCTTGAGATGCAAACGTAACTTTTCTCGATCGGAATGGATTGTCAACATTAGGCATTGTAGGGCCAGTAATAATAAGTCGGCTAAGAGGTAGTATGTCCTTGACTTGGGCGGATTCTGACCGACGAAGTCGATAATGAGACCTCCGTGTTGATATCCTCGATGATAATCGGGACCCTTCGGGAGAGGGTAGAAGAGATGTGAAAAGATGCATATTATATTTGGTATGGCCACAAACAGCACTTGGACTCTGCTGGCTGGCATGAGGAAAGGGAACGCTTCGTCTTTCGGACTCAAGTATATGTATTGGCCGGCCGCGCGAAGGAGGAGGAGGATAATTGAGCACCTGTAAGTAGAATTGGTTAGCCAGGCACTTTGTGTCTGCAGACGCATGAGCAGTACGGACTCCATATAATACATTGCGCTTAACTCGGCGAAGACGAGCAGGTCAAGCGACTTTAGCAGGTGTGTAACAAAAGCCAGCTTCTTCTTCAAGCCTGGATTGTGTCGCAGCTTATCCTTCCGTCTAGCCCTGGCCAGGCGAGCTTGTGACAAGGCGCGTATTCCATCATCAGCATTGCTTGGACCCCGACCTCCCTGATACCGTGCGGCCGTGGATGTCAGCGGACCATCGCTCATGGTCGCGGGTCTCTGACAAGGCCAAGCTAATTATTCTGCATCAAGGCAGCTGGTGGTTATTATATAGCATCCCGTGTAAAAATCGAAAACGGCGGGTTGGCAAAGAACTGGCTGAGGTTTTGGAGAGAGACGGGTTTGGCGTGGCCGTTACGTCAACAGGCGATTCTGGCGCCATGTGAGCCGCCATAGACTGCTGCTTTGGGCAACTAAATTATTATCTAAGCATGCGAAGCCGCTCACCAGTGCCATCATCGACCCTGTATTATGGTATATGGGGCAAAATAATCTTCAATTGGCCCATAACTCAGGTCAATAAAATAATTTCAGCTTTTTTATTTGCAATACGCTGACACGAATGCCATTTAGCCGACCCCAGTTGGAGTTACAGCTTGCACTGAGTGAGTGTAGATCTTTGTTGTTGTTTTATCTTTTTTTTTTTTGCTCAGCGCAAAGACCCGAGTAAGGCGGCCAAGTAACCCCACCAAAGAGTGTAGTGGGATGTGCCCGCCAAATTATCACGGACGGTGAAAGTGACTCAGAGTCGACCATACATAAAACGCAACACCCTCGCCCCAGGAGCGCCGCAACGTCTTGGACCGTTCCGACAGACACAATGGCGACCTCAACACCAGCCTCTACCGGCGATCTCACCTCGCAAATCCTGCACACTCTTGATAAGCAAAGCCCAATTTTGACGGCGGACGCTTTCCCCGCCATACCCTCGCAGGATGTCAAGGCCGCCCTCGACAGACTTGGATCACGATCTATGATCACTTACGAGACCATCGAGCGTGAGGAGGCCATTCTTGAAGCAGAGGCCGAACAAATTGCTGCCCATGGTAGTCACGAGGCCCGTGTCTTCGAGGCCCTCCGCAAGGCCATGGACGGATTGACCGTCCAGGAGCTCGAAGCTGCCATTGGTGATAAGAACGTCACCAAGTTGGGCCAGGGCAAGGCTTTCCGTGAAAAGTGGATTTCCAAGAGCAAGGATGGCAAGCTCGTTGCTACCGTAGGTGCCCCCATCTTACAATTCGTATACTCGTGGCTAGCATGCACCCAACTAACCATTTTGTTTGTTTTCTTTCTTAGGCTGAATCGATCGAAGATGTTACCCGCACCCAGCTCCAACAAGTGCAGCAGTCGAAAACCGGCGACGCCAAGGTTCTCGCTGACCTCAAGAAGCGCAAGCTGATCAAGATGCAGAAGATCATCAGCTTCAAGGTTGCCAAGGGCGAGAAGTTTGCCCTTGAGATTCAGAAGGAGGAGACTGACCTCACAGCCGACATGCTCGTCTCTGGTGCCTGGAAGACGGCCAACTTCAAGCCCTACAACTTCAAGGCTCTTGGCGGTGACCAACACGCCGGTGCCCTCCACCCTCTCAACAAGGTTCGCCAAGAGTTCCGCCAGATCTTCTTCGAGATGGGCTTCGAGGAAATGCCTACCAACAAGTTCGTCGAGACCGGCTTCTGGAACTTCGACACCCTCTTCGTCCCCCAGCAGCACCCCGCTCGTGATCTTCAGGACACCTTCTACATCTCCGACCCCTTGGTTGGTGACAAGCCCCGTCCCCAGGTCGAGGGCCAAAACATGGAGGAGTACTGGAACAACGTCAAGGACGTCCACCAGGAGGGCAAGTTCGGCTCTATTGGTTACCGCTACCCATGGGCTGCTGAAGAGTCCCAGCGCCTGGTTCTGCGAACACACACCACTTCCATCTCGGCTTCCGTCCTGCACAAGTTGGCCGCCAAGAAGGGCCCTGATGGCCGCCCTCCTCCTGCTCGCTACTTCTCTATCGACCGTGTCTTCCGTAACGAAACCGTCGACGCTACCCATTTGGCCGAATTCCACCAGGTCGAAGGTGTCATTGCCGACTACGGCCTCACTCTCGGTGGTCTGATGGAGTTCATGGAGGTCTTCTTCAACAAGATGGGTCTCACCGACCTCAAGTTCAAGCCCGCCTACAACCCCTACACCGAACCCAGTATGGAAATCTTTGCCTACCACAAGGGTCTCGGCAAGCTCGTTGAGATTGGTAACAGCGGCATGTTCCGTCCGGAAATGTTGGAGGCCATGGGTCTTCCCAAGGACATGCGTGTCTTCGGCTGGGGTCTCAGTCTGGAGCGTCCTACCATGATCAAGTACAAGATCTCGAATATCCGTGAGTTGCTCGGTCACAAGGTCGACCTGAACTTCATCGAGAAGAACGCGGCCGTGAGACTGGACAAGGATTAAAATGCAAAGAAAAAGAGAAGGCTAGAGAACATATGATGTTTAAAATAAAATAAAATATTTGCCATACAAATATGACGGATCAGGGATATACCATACATCAGTAGGACCAAAAAAAGAGATAAATCATAACCAAAATACGAGACTGTCGCTTCTACGGTGATTATTATAGCAAAGCTTTGTTTTATGAATGATCTGTATTTGTTGAAATAATAGTCATGATTCAACCCTCATGTAAGGACAAAACGCCGAAAGCTTCTATTCCAAAAAGCCATGAATAATAACGCCAATAAAAAAAGCCGTAGAGCTACCGCAACGGAATATGTATGTGTTGTCGGAAGCTCGTCGTCTATGCTGCACGACCATTCTATGTCTTGACCATGAAAATCTACAGTATACAGTTAGCAAGTGAATTCTAAACAAAGGATGATGCTGGATTGAACATACCTGTGCGAGTGCCTTGCTGTCGAGGACAGCCATCTTCTTGGAAGCAATGTACTTGGATCGTGAAAAATTTCTGCTGACTCGAGGAGTGGATGTTCCCGTCGCCGGAGTGGATGTGCCTGTCGCAGAGTCGTCGGCCTCAGATTCCGAGCTGCTACTCGACGAGTCAGCAGCAGCAGCTTTCTTGGCCTTCTTCTTTTCCTTCTTCAGGCGCTTCTCCTCCTTGCGGGCCTTCTTTGCCTCCTTGCGTGCTCTGCGTGCTTCCTTGGACTCGGGCTCCGTATCTGAGTTATCCACCGACTTTGATTTTGACTTTGCCGCCTTCTTGTCCTTGCGGCTCTTTGTGGATTCGGATTCTTCAGACGCAGCTTTCTCCTTGCGTCGCTTCTTCTTCTCCTTGGTGTCCTTGGCAGATGTCTCGTCCTCGTCAACTTCAGCAGCCTTTCGCTTCTTCTCCTTCTTGCCGCTGTCCTCATTTGAGCTGCTCTCCATAGCCTTTTCTTCTGAACCAGCCTCTTCAAGCACCTTGTCGCCTACGAGAAGACCGCCGCGAACAAATCGCATCGGGCCGTACTTGGCCTCGACAAAGGCGTGCGTCTTGACAGCGAGTCTAGCCATCTGTTCGCCAGCAATGTCGTCTTCCGATTTACCGTTCAGGCGGCTGAGAACGTCGGAGAACACATCGAGACCGGTCACCTCGTTTTCTTTGGCCCGGTCGAACCCAAGACCTTTGAGGTCATCCTTGAGCAGGACTCTGATGTATGAGGCGTTGGCAGCGGTATGCAACTGTGAATGAGGGGCATCTTGGGCGCCCAAGAACTGGCCCGGCTGCCATCCCTGGGATCTGAGGGCTCGTTGTCCGAAAGTCGTCTCGTCACGAATCCATTTCGTATTGTTGGGATCCTTGTTGATTCGTTTTTTGCTGTGGGATTCAGCGTTAGCCTTGGCAGCGTACACAGATTAGAAAAAGTGCAGATTAAATACCTTTTTGACTCCTGGAGCAAGCCCATCTTGGCGATCGCTGACAGTTGCTGTCGAGTTGAAGGTTGTGGAAGAAATTTGCGGCACGGCGAGAAGAAAAGTTGACTGAGCGATGCGCCGTGGAAAAAAAAATCTGGAGGCGTGGGGTCCAACTGGCGGCGATGAGCGGGACTCCACCAGCGCCTATCATCGCCTGCCGAAGGTGGGTGTCCCTTCAAGTCAGTTATGTCACAGTGCGAATGGACTAGTTGAAAGTATATCTGTAGGATTACAATTGTCCTCAACCTATATAATGTATCTGCTACCAGTGTTCATTCTGCTTTTGCTAAAATAGAAAAAAAGACGACCTCTCCATTTGCTGCACTTCCCCCAAAAATCAAATCAAATCAATTACAAAAAACACCTAGCCGTGTTACACCTCTGTGCTATGTATTTCTGATTGTGTCAGAAAGCAGGAATCAAGCATGAATAATACAATGCCTCGCGGTTGCGAGTAAGATCCGATGCGGCGGATACTAATGCACTAATAGTCAAGCTCCTTGGAGCCGCTACCAGACACGTTATCAAGGTCCTCATAACTCTTCAGACTTCGACCTTGGACTGCTTCTCGAGGACCGCCAGCTGCAGCGCCGCCGTCGCCCCAGCGCGAGCCTCCCATGCGGCCACGGTTACTATCACGCGGTCCACGGCGATCATAAGGACCTGAGCGATACGCTCCGCGTCCACCGGACATGCTACCGCCGCGACGGATAGGACCTCCGGATCGACGGTCGTCACCACTCCAGCCTGCACCGGGCATGCCTGCAAAATGAGGCGGAAGACCACCAGGAGGCATAGGGAAACCAGGCACGCCGTTGGCAAAGTTGTGCAGATTGAAGCCGCGTGGAGTGCTGAGACCGGATTGACCGTTGGTGATGGGGAAATGCCCATTCGAGTTGGCATCAGTTCGAGATGGTGCGATGTGTGAGGGATCCGACACATATGAGTTGATGAGTTCAAACTCTTCCTTCAACTCGTCCACCCACTCTTGATGACGCTTCTCCACGTGCTTCTTCCAAAAGTGCTCCTCCTTGAAGAGCTTAGTGCATTCCGGCACCTTGCATCGCCACTTGTGTTCATCCTCTTGCTTGACGAATTTAGCAAGTTCATCCTCCAAAGCAGTATCGACAGGACGGCCGCCAAACTTGCGAAGGTCAACAGATTGAGGCTCCAAGATTTGCGCGAGCTTCTCTTCATACGTCTTCACCCAGTTATAGGCACGCTGTAGCTGCTGCTCAGCCTTGGTAGAAGTGTTGCGGAACTTCTTGTCACCGTCGGTATCCATCTCACCCTCCTCGTCAGTATCTCGCTTCTTTTCGGGGAAAGGAGCACCATCAGCGCTCGCCTGTGCGACGGCTCTGGCAGCGCTGGACAGTGTACTGCGAGGGCGACGCAAGTGTCCACCAGGACATTTGCGGGAGAGCTCATGGACGGAGTCACTCTCGAAAACGCAGAAGAGACAGAAGCTGAAGACTCTGCGCAGATACTCAATCAACAAGTCCAGCTGTTTCTTCTTGACCAAAAGGTCTTCAGGATCGCCGTCATCATCTTCCAAGGCGCCTTCCTCTTCCTCCTCATCGCCTCCTGCAGCACCCTCTTCGTCCATCGCAATATCCATAGATATATCTTTGGGTTCCCGAGACTTCTTCGTAGGTGCTGGTAGTGCAGATTTGAGCTGACCATCGGCACGAAGTGCTTCTACTCTCTCCTCTACTTTGAGAACACTTTGGAAGTCGGAACCAAACTCTTCTTCAAACTTGTTGATTAGACGCTGCGCGTTGAGAAGGTCCTTATCGATGCGCTCTGGGGCTGAGAATAAATCCCAGAGTGCCTTCTTTCTAGGATTTCCTGGCGGGTTATGCACGCCGACATGACACACAAAATCGCCTTTAGCCTCGTCTTTGACGGTCTTGCCGTTGATAGCCTCCAAAGCTTTCTCAGCAGTTGATACAGGAGGCGGGGTGGTAGCATGATCGCCATCTTCGTCTTTAGGATCAGCTCTCTCTACTGGCATGGCGGTATCTGATGCAGGATGCAACATAACCCAGCCAATGCGATGGTATCTTTTGCTGGGATTGGGATCCGATAGGGATAGCCATTTGAAGCCGCCCTCCTCTTCGCCAAGGTGTTCCTTGCAAAATGCTTCGAGGTTTTGGCGACCAACATGCGGTGCAATGGTCTTAATAAGTAGAGTAGGCTGGAACTGGTTCTCATCTCTGATATCGGCACCAGACGTAGCGACCAGATCACCAACACCAAGGATTTCATTACCCGCGGTGGCCTCACCCTCTTCCTTCTCCACCACGCCGCCAGAGCCATTGCTTTCATTCTTTGGAATACCCTCCAAAGTGAACTCGTCAAAGGTTCCCGATTCAAGATCTTGCTCCCACTGTGTGTAGGCACCGCGGCGGAATTCGTTTAGCTTGGCTCTAAATTCATCGCGATTCTCCGCAATGTAGCGTTCCTTGAACCACTGTTCTTTTTTGTGCTCGTTGACAAAGGCGCGAGCCATCTTAGTCTGAAGCTCTTCTTTGTATGTATCGTAGGCAGCTTGGATCTGTGCCTTTTCTGTTTCGCGGTCCACGCGTTCGGGCTCTCTTCGTCGGCCGGTTCTGGCTCGCTCTTTGTCGTCCTTGATCTTTTCATTCATCCTCCACCATTCACCAAAGTACGAGAATCCGACTTGATAGGGCATTCGAGAGGGATCAGCCAGGGGATTGACATTCATGCCAGGCGCGCCGTTATCTTGTCCTGGTATGTATCTATCAATGCCAGTCGGAGGTGACAGAGGGCGTCGGCGGTCGTCACGGTCATCGCGGTGCCCTCTGGGCTCATAGCGATCTAAAGGGGCTGGTGAACGCGATCGTCGTCGGTCTCTGCGGTCGTTTCCTGCCAACACGTGTTAGTTTTGTAAGGCTGACAGGTCTGAACGCGGTTTACGTACCAGGCGAGCGGTTTCGGTAGAAAGAATCACCTCTGTCATCTCTGTATCTGTCTTCGGGCGACCGGCCCGAATCGCGATATGCGCTCATCTGGGCTTGTAGCGTATATTTTCTGTCTCGGTTTGTCGATCGCAAGCTAAAGTGAAAGAGCTGTCGGTCGTGTATTCCGTCAATCGATACCTGGTTGGCGGGTGATGTTCTGCAGGGCGAAGCCAGGGTTAGAACGCTTCATATCGCTGAAGTAAGAGAAAGAGAGAAGAAAAGCCAAGAGGTGATGGTGGGCGACAGCCACAAGGTAAAGGAGAGTCAAAGAGGCCAGAGCGCGGTTTGGAGGCGGTGCTGTTGCACTGGCAATCCAGCCGTGCTTGGCAAGAAATGTCGACAATGGGTGCAACCCAAGGCGAAGAAGAGAAAGAAGAGACGGATAAAGAGGAAAAGAAAAAAAGAATAGAGATGGACGATGAAATAGTGTGCTGAAGATGATTTGGAGAAGATCGGAGGTTTGTAGTAAACGGATGAGGACAAGTAGGAGAAAGAAGAGGGAAACGAACGAGTTTAAAAGGTGGCGCGCCGAGTAAACGAACCAGCGAGTAAGAAATTGGGCGTGCTAAGACGCAACAATGCCCATTGCCAGATTTGATGCAATGGATTAGGACGCAGAGCGCAGAGATCGCCAACTGCAAGAAAGGTGATGGGCGAGGATGACAGAAAGTGGAGGGCGGCGTTCCAGAGATCGTGAACGGCAGCTGCAGCGCTGGGCGCGTCAGCCGTCGTAGGGAGTTAGTCAGGCACGCTAACTCCAAACGGGCGTAGGGCGGAGCAGGGCGCGGCTGAGAGAGCAAACGCAGGATACGAGCTGCCGACTACGAGACGCTATATTTGGTGGATTTCTGTTAGATATTGGATTCTAAAAGGAGAATTAAAAAGTATATGAATAAAATATTATAGTGTTAAGATTTTATAGTGCCTCTAAATGTCTATATGCGGTGAGTATGCACCTCTATAAATGGGGGTGGTGGTCTCTCTAAGTGCCCCCTGCTATCCAAACGCCAATGTATACAAGAAAAAAAGTAAAAAAAATAAAAATTTAGTCGTGCGCTCATCAGAACTCGGGTTGCGTGTTTTTGAAACCATAATCCCACGGTTGAGGGTATTGGTTGTGCCAGCCATGTTGGCATAAGACGTTGGGAGGAGGCTTGGTAACCCATTCGAACCGATCGCCTTCAAGGTCGTGGTTGGCAACATTATCTTCTGTGTAGCCCTTGTAGGATTTGATTCGTTTTCCATTCTCCACGCCGTATTCCACGTTGACGGATGGAACAACAGCCAGCTTGCCGTATCCTCGAAGCCACAAGTCTTTGCCAAACAGCTGTGGCTCGCCTTGATGACACTCGCCGTTGGTCGCATTGCGAAACCGCAAGCCTTCAAGGATGGGTTGCGCCGAAAACGCTGTTGCACCATTCCAGCATGAAAACACTTGAAAAGGTCGAAGCTGACTGTATCTCTTCTTGGCCTCAGTGTCGTAAGGAAAGAGATCCCAGGCGTAATCCCAACTGCCATCAGCTGGAATATAGAAGAAAGGGTTTCCAGTGAGAGTGCGGGCAACCCAAACATCATAGAAGACGGGGTGCTCGCCAGGATAGTTCCAATCCATTGCGCAGGTCATGACGGCGTCCAGATTGATGCGCTGCAGCAGCAGCTCCAGAATATCGTTGGGGCAAGCGGCGACATCGTTGATAAAGATAACCGTCGAGTTTATCGAAAAGTGAACATGATTGTTGATTAATGGTTCCAGAGCAAGATTGCGCAGCGCGGCAAGCCGGCCAATGCGATCGGCATTCTCCTCGTTCGGGTCGATGTCGGACGACTCGAGATGATAGTATACACCCATCTTTCTCAAGCCGGGTCTCATGGCCTCTAGAACATCAAACGTGCCATCCGGCGAGTTGCCTTCAATAATAGACAATGCAGTATTTTTGGGACCTAGATACTTTGCAACTTTGACAATGCTGCCCATGAGTTGGGGGAGCAGATCGCGGTTCTGATGCAAGTTGAGCGCAAAGTACCAAGGGATGCGCCCTTTGCTATGTTGTAAGTTCCTCAACTCTTTGTATCGTTTGTGGTTTATGGGGCGGCATGATATTTCGTGTTTTGTGTGTTTGCGATCGAAGATGGCGTTGAGGTAGGTGGTAATATTTGCTGGGGATAAAATCTTGCCTGGAACACGTATGGATCAGCACAATGGACGATCCGAGGGCGAACAAACGCCAGAAATTGTGGCGCCGTGCATGGAACATTCCGAGACCAACCTTTTGCTATATAATCTTTCTCGCGGTATCTGCTGGCATCGCCGAGGACTTCTTGACCAAAAGGTGAGACAGCATAGGAGTCGTCCGCCAAGCTCGTCAGTCTATCGCTGCCGAAATGAAACGTGGCTGTGACAAAGAGCAGAGCCACGATGGCGAGTATGATGTTGAGCATTCGTCGCCTCATGATGGGCGAACTGTAAAAATTGCTCGCGCACAAGGTGATTGGGCACCAGGAGACGACGCAAAGCGTTTGAGCGAGGAAAAGAGGCGAGCTGCTCCCAGAGCAAGGGGGAGGAGAGAAAAAAGGTTGGATAGTGGCGATGCAACTTTTTCTTTCGGTGTGGTGTTGGCGCGAGCAAGGGAGGATGCTGCTAAACCGGCGCAACCGCTATAAAACGGCGGAAGAAGGTTTGCTTTCCCAGAGTTTGAGTGGAAGAATCAAAAAAGAAGACAAGATTATTCTTCCGGGATCCAAAAACCCGGCCGTTATTCTTCCCCCTCCTCCGCTTGTCACTTCTTGTCATTTATCCTCATGGGTCTGGACCGCCCGTGATTGGGCCGCTGCTATCTTAACCCTGGCCGCTAATGGAAGTCGTCATCTGGCGCGCTGACAACTGGCGCCCCCCTATCGCTACTAGGGGCAAATTAAGGTAGCGATGCCGATGCGCCACTGTATTCTTAGCATCTGTTTTTGGCTTTCAGCGGCATAAGAACGGCTTCCCACTGCCGGTCAGGCTCTGTAGGCGATACGGGGCGCCCTCGTATTCCGGACGAATGCCGCCACGTTGACTACACCGAGACGGTCGCCTAGAGGTGCATTGTGGCTTTGGAATCCTACAGCGGCAGGCTTGGCTGTACTTGGCTTCACTTGGCTGCAACAGGCGCATGAGGGAGATTTTGAAGGCCAGAAGCTGAGCCAAACAATGAAATGCTACACGATAATAGTATTTGGAAGAACTGTGTCTGTTCTATGACCAAGGGCAATAACTCGTAGTTGCATCTTTCAAAGTCGTCTTATTTTTGGTTAAAGAGTACTCAACGCCAAGTTGGGGTCAAGAGCGCAGAGGAGTCTCACCCAACCCAGCTGTATGAAATCTTAGCCAAAGTCAGGACTAGTGATGATAAAATAGTATGTATATATGTGAGATCATCCGCCTCGTATCCAAGTTATGAGCGGGCCTAAGTATCCAGTAATCTTCTGCAGGGCTAACCAGCCCGAATCAACGGTGGAGAAGGGAATGACATAGCATGCATCGGAAGGGTGTCAGATCTGCAGTGCTCTCAAACCACTGGGTATTACTGATATCAGTCACCATGGAACCGTTTTGCATGGAGCGGCGACGCAGTGACATATTCTCCGCCCTGTTCAGAAAGCGCTCTCTTCTCCAACAGTTCCGGTCCAACCAAGGTCCCCGGATCGGTAGAGTAAAATTGTACATGCGCAGTAGCACCACTAGCTATAGCCATCTATTTCCTCTGCTTTCATACAGTGCTAATAATATTTACCATTTTTCCACCTTGTCTTTTATTTTGCGTTGTTCCTTCTAGAAACCCCATTCTCCTGCAGAATTGCGCAGTAGCGTAACCCCCCAAATCGCTAATCGCCCGTTGAGGTGTCCCCCGCACGGCGCTCCAGTTTGACGGGTGGTGGCGAACTCCGCCTCTGGCGGGTGACACCGATTTGACAGCTGGTGGCAGGAATGGCACACCTGGCGAACCATCACGCTCTCCGCTTCCTTGATCAATCCGAGCTAGTTCAACGCCTGTCGGGGCTGTCGTCGAATCCAAAAAATCCTATAATAAAGATTCCAATTCTTCACAGCCCATAGGCGCTCTCAAAAGCCACCATCCGTCAAACACTGTACAGGAATCATTCGCCGGGGCCGGCCGCTCATCGCCGTTCGCCCTTCCCCAACCAACGCCTGTCAACCATATACAGCCACTATTCCTTGCCCGTCTCACCCTATTTCCATCATTGCTCGCTATGAAAAGTAAGACATACATACACATGTGATTCAGGCAACAATTATTTCTTGAGATGGAGCCCAACGGTAGAGGGCGGTACAACCACGCCGTGGAATCCCTGCGGAGCACCGAGTATCCTATGCTTCAAGGTAAGACATGCAACCTTTTGTGCACCGCTATGGGCGAATGGAAATACTGATCTATATCCAGATGCAACATATCTTGACCATGCTGGATCAACAGCACCCTCCAAAACGCTCATGCAGGACCTTGCGACTGAACTAACGTCAACACTCTACGGAAACCCTCACTCTGGTTCAACACCATCTCAGCTTTCGACAACGCGAATCGATGACGTGCGACTGCGACTGCTCAACTTTTTCAATGCCTCGTCTTCGCAGTATGATCTGGTGTTTGTCGCCAATGCCACAGCCGGCATTAAACTCGTTCTGGAAGGGATGCGATCCAACTTTGATTCCTTTCGGTATGCCTATCATCAAGCTTGCCATACCAGTGTCATTGGAATTCGTGAGGAGGCGGTGGAGAGCATATGCTTTTCAAACCAAGACGTACCAACTATCCTGGAAGGCGAAAGCATCTTCTCTGAATCCACCAAACCAATGCCGACATTATACTCTTACTCAGCGCAATCACATTTAGATGGGAGGCAATATCCAATCTCATGGACTCGACAATTAAAACAAGCTCATACAAGTGAGAGGGCTTACACACTTTTGGATTGTGCATCATATGCATCGACGTCACCGCTTGATATGAGTCACCCAGATTTTGACGCTGATTTTGTGGTCTTGAGCTTGTACAAAATATTCGGATTCCCAGACCTTGGTGTCCTATTGGTTAAGAATGATGCCGCTAATATCTTCAACAAGCGAAAGTATTTCGGCGGCGGCACTGTTGATTTGGTGGTATGTTCGAAAGAGAACTGGAGCGCTCGCAAAACCTCTTTTCTACACGAAGCACTGGAAGATGGCACTCTCCCATTTCACAATATCATTGCGGCCGGTATAGCCCTAGATTCCCAAAGAAGACTCTATGGGTCCATGGAAACTGTTAAACAGCATACACGATATTTGACAGAGCGGACATATTCAGCACTGACCACTCTTCGGCATGGAAACGGACGGCCAGTCTGTCATGTTTACTCTGATAATCCTGCAGAAGAGCTATCTGGACCCATCATTGCCCTTAATCTGAGGAACCAATTCGGACAATGGACATCCTTGGAGGAGTTTGAAAAGCTCGCAGTTCTAAAACGGATCCATGTTCGAACTGGTAGCGCGTGCAGTCCAGGTGGTATAGCCGCCGCACTCAACTTGGAGCCTTGGGAGCTACGCCAAAACTTTTCTGCTGGATTCAGATGTGGAATGGATAGTAGTGCGTTGAATGGCAAACCAGCAGGTGTTATCCGTGTCAGCTTCGGAGCTATGAGCACTGAAGCCGATGCTGATGCATTTATCAGTTTTGTCCAAGAGTTCTTCCAGGAACACCATGCTGTGGTTGGCACAGGTGAACCGACCATCACATCTATACCTACTTCACTTTCCCTCAAGAGCATTATTGTATATCCTATCAAAAGCTGTGGTGGGTTTGTAGTGCCAGATGGTATGCCATGGACACTTCAACCCGAGGGACTAAAATGGGACAGGGAATGGTGTCTTGTGCATCAGGGCTCCGGACAAGCACTGAATCAAAAGCGATATCCAAAGATGGCTCTTTTAAAACCAACTATCGATTTCGAGGCTGGGGTTTTGCGAGTACGCTATGCCGGGCAAGGAGAACCCAGTTGCCAAGTTAGCGTCCCTCTGTCTGCCGACCCTACCGTTTTCAGAGGCGCCGACAATAGCATCTTCTCACGAGTTTGCGGGGATGTTGTGTCGGCACAGGTTTACTCTGACAATGCAATCCATAGCTTCTTTTCGGACGTTGTTGGCGCCCCATGTTTCTTGGCCCGCTTCCCACCTGGAGGCAAAGGGCAAGAGAGCAGACTGTCAAAGTTGTTAACAGCTTACAATAGTCCTTCAGCATTTACTCGAAACCCGATACCAGGATCATTCCCATCAGACGTCCCTTCTCCTCCAGACTCGGATAGCGAGCAATCAGACGCACCGAAACTGCTGCTATCCAACGAGAGCCCAATTTTGATGGTTCATAGCGCGAGCATTGATGCTTTGAACAAAACCATTGTAGCGAACGGTGGAATTGAAGTATCTCCAGCATCATTTCGGGCCAACATAATTCTCTCCGGACCAGGAAATCAAGCTTGGTCGGAGGATAACTGGACGTGCGTACGTATTGGTGAACAAACATTCTCTGTGTTGGCTCCATGTCGACGATGCCAGATGGTCTGCGTGGATCAAGAAACAGGTGAAAAGGGACAAGAGCCGTACCTTACATTGGCAAAAACTAGGAGGATAAACGGCAAGGTATATTTTGGGATGCACATGAAACACAATCAGAGTGCGGCTTCGAGCACTGCAGCGATACAGGTCGGTGATAAGGTACAGACGACATCATGACGGAGTCATGTGTATTTTATAGCTAGCAGAACTTCGGTTGGCGTTTGGACTGTTTTAATGTTTTGGGAACTGAACATGTTTATGTATATACTGCTGCTCTATGGTACTATACTTTGGTTTAATAGCTAGCGAATAGTTAGCAAGCGGCAACGCTTATGAAATGTACAACACTTACGAGAATGGTTCGCTATGCATCCAAAGCTCCGATGCAGTTTTGGGATCCCCTGCCATAATCTTGCGCTGGATATCTGCCGTAGCGTCGGAGACGTCGTGAATCATGGTTGTTGGGCCGCAAACAACAACACCAACAGTTGCTTGGGCCACAGCCGCGTACTCTGACACCAGAGTATAAAGATCTGGTCGTGTTGTTGAGTATGTTATTCCGGATGAAGAGATGGACGATGTGTTCTCGGAGCTGGGACTTGTGGGATCTTCAACGACCAGCTTCTTCTCTACGTCAGATACCAGCTCAGGCGCCGACGGCGACGTCACAGTATTGATAGATGAGGCGTCACTGGTCTCGTGAATAGATACCGAGATAGTAGATGCATCCACTAAGGAAGATATGCCTTGCTCCTGTAGAATGCGGTGTAATTCAACCATGTACCATTCACGCATTTCCGTGTCTCTAGTGGCGATGACAACAGCAAGCTGTCGAGCAGACCCGACCGCAATCCGCAGCCAATCTTGAATAACTCCAAGTGTGAATCCAGCACCAGAGCCTCCAGCAATGATGATTGTCCTGTCAAATCCCTCGGACCATCTCGGCGAAAACCCTCCATATGGGCCATCTAGCAGAACGGGCAAAGTTCTATCAGGCGATTTGGAAGCCAAGGTAGCGAGACGCTTGGTAATGCCGCCTCTGGGGCGTACAAAAAAGACCATTTCGCCATTGTCGGGAGCAGGTAGCGTGCAGATGGAGAAAGGGTGTGAACTCAACGCGTTGAGACCCAAGCTTGTTAAGAATCGTAGATACATGTGTTGACCAGGTCTCCATTTTGAGTTGGAAGGGATGGATATACGCAGGGTGTGCGGTGTTTCAAGGCGGATGCGAGCCGTGCGAGTGATTCCATGGTAAAACAGTGTTCTGAAAACAGCATAGAGGAGGCAGCAGGTATAAATGACCATGCTGGCAATCAAGAAGTTCCAGGCTGTCAAGGCAAATGTCGCGTGGCAAGTGACAAAGACGAGGAAGACAATGACGAAGAACATGTGGCTAGCTTTGAAGGCTTCATAGAAGCGGGCGCTATACTCTGTTAGCAGGCTGGCGAAAAATAAATGAAGAGATGATTTTGACTTACCGAACCCATCTTGTAGAGAGAATGGTGAGAATAGCCAAGCTGCAGATGGAAATGATGCCAGTGAGGTAGACACCATCTTTGGTAAAGGTAGCAAACAGCTGTCCATTGCGGGCTCGAAACACAATGGATGGAAATGCGTGGACCATGGAAAGAACAAATATGACCCATCCAATCCATCCATGCCAGGCGTTTAGTTTTTCATGGGAGATGCCAGTGACAAACTTGACTGGGCTGGCCTTGACGCCGAGGATTATGACAAAGGGCAAGCACGCAAGCATCATCCATGATGTCCTCGCGGAGAGAGGCGGAAGATTTGTGTTAGGGCCACCGAACGGATAATAATAGCCGCCTGGCGCAAGAACCATGCTGAAAAAGTAGATGAGGCCAGTGGCGACGAGAAAGATGGCGCCCAAAGGTGGCGTTACCAGCCGAGTCCCAGGGACCTGGAACGATTTGTACGCCACGAAGCGGCAGAGGGAGATGGTCCTGCGCCATACTGGTTTTACCTTAATAGATTGCGGTGTAAAACGAGAGACAATATGAAAGATTGTGAAGATTGCAATCGCAGTAGCAAGAAAGTAGACGGTAGGATGGCCGTATACATAGTCGGCTTGGTACCTGTACAAAGCGGATTAGCCTATAGTAGAACTCGGACTGTAGCGTAAAGGCTTACCAGTTAATCCAGTACGAACGCATAAATTTGCACTGGTCAGGCTTCTGGGCGCATTTAGGAGGAGTTCGTGGGCCGGAGAGGCTCAGCGGATAGTGGATGAGTGGCAGAAACCACGGCGCATTAGGATCTTTGGCCATGGCGGCGTTCCGATGCCAAGAAAGACGAGGCAATGTATACTCTTGGAGACAATGCAGCAAAAGAAAACAAAAAGGAAAAGAGAATAAGGGCACGTTTAATAGGCGGGTGTGCGCCACGGGAAGTTTTTTCCTAGCTTCCCCCACGCTCCGGAGTCGGCAGCATCAATCTAAGCGACGAAAACTCACATGGAAAAGAATTTCGAAGAAAGAAAAGGCACCAAAAGAGAAAAGCATGGCAATTGGCTGCGGGGTGGGCGCTGGTGGCAGGCCCGGGGGCGCTGTGTCAGTGCAGTTTAGGCCTTATCTGATTGGGTCCAGCGGGTTTATCTGATCCATCTGATAATCTTTTTCTTCTACCTTCTTTTCAGCCACGGCGGGACTTTTGTGCCGCCGACCGTCTTTTTGCGTCTGACAAATACACATCGTGAAAAAAATCGGAGCACGGATAGTTGGAAAGAATATTTCCTATTGATTTCAGAACAATAACAGATTGCTAGCACAGTACATATAGTGGTGGTGGTGGTGGTGGTGTTCGCAGCAAGCACTGCACAGAGGCACATGAGCCGATCGTCACTGTAATGCAACCCCTCCTGTTCAGCCTGCTTGCTAGCTTCAAAAAAAAAATTCACTGCTTCGTTTATTCTGTCCCGACAGACCTCTACAAGGCAAACCAACCCCGCTATGCCCCCACGCGGAGGAAAAAAGAGCCGCATCGTCCAAGTAGACGGAAAACGGCCGAGAGTCAGCCCGCGAAAGCTGAAGAATAGGGAAAGTGACAGTGAAGGCGGATGTTACAGTATATTCCAGGACCTTGTCAATATAATGATACTTGACTAATTCTACCGGGCGTATCATAACCCAGGCATAGCAGGACTTGTTTGTATACTCATTATCACGACCCTTTGCCGTCGCCAAGAACGAGATCTGGCGCCGCCATCTGGATTTTGGCCGATGCGATGGTGCTGCAAATGAAAATTCTGGGAATTGCAAAATTCAAAAAGTCCTAATATTAAACACTCGGCACGCAATCACCAGCATTGCCATTGCCTAATCGCGCGCTCACTCGCCCGCTAACACCGCGGTGTGGTTGCGCATCACGGAGATTATCTACATCGGCTGGAATCCCAATTACGCCGAATTGAAATTTTGCCGGGGACTGCGTCTGCTCTTATTCTGCAGCGGCTGTGGAATGGCATCCGACACAATTGATACTCTGCGCCCACTGCCGGCGAAACATTGGCGATAGCGTCCGCCTCCCTTGAAGTACACCACGCAAAGGCACTACCACTAGAATTTAGTAAAAAATCCAACCATTTTCATTTTGGCTATTCCAGTTTTCAATATGCTTCTATTCAATCTTGGCCTCCCTAGCCAATATATTGCCCTTCATTATTGCCAATCTAGTCCTTTGGAGATCCAAAAATATCAAGAGAATATAAACCGGCCGCCTCCTTGCCTCACTTCGTTTCATTATTCTCATCCCACTCAACTCCTTGCAATCAAACACTAGTCTTCAACAAGGATTATCTTACTATCTTCTAAATCACAGAATCACAAAAAAGAAATCATGCGTCTTCTTTGGTTGACGACCCTTCTGCCCCTGCTTGCCTCGGCTGCGCCCGCCACCAAGTCTTCGTGCCCTGCGCCTCCTAAGCCACCTTATGCATTGGGGGCTCCCAACACTGTAAGTAATCCTTCGATACTCTTATATTGCTTCCATTATATCATAATGTTCAATTTTTCTAATCGAAGATCCAGTCTCCTCCCGTCTTCTCCAACGCGGGCCGCAAAAACGTAGTCTACTTTTCCAACTGGTGAGCCTTGCCTACAATTGCGTCAAAAATCGAATTTTATCTAACATCTTCAAGGGCCGTTTATTCGGCAAATTATACTCCGTCTGATATCCCCGTCAATGATGTAACACATCTCGTCTATGGCTTTGCGGAAATCCAGACAGATGGCAGCGTGTAAGTCACCAATCACAAACAACCTATCAAAAACCGTGTGCTGATTACATTCAAATTTCAGAGCCCCATCAGACCCTTATGCCGATCTCCAGGCCAAATTCACTCATCAAGCCTCCAGAAGCGTCGTCAGACGAGACACCAACGATGTCAACGGCTGCATCGAGGAGATGTTCAAGCTCAAGATGGCAAACCGCCAATTAAAGACAATGCTTTCGGTTGGCGGTGGCAAGAAGTCACAGGCAGATCTCTTCGCTGCAGTTGCTAGTGACGACACCAAGCGCCAAAAGTTTGTCGATACTGTCATCTCCATGCTTGGTGACTATGGTCTCGACGGTATCGATCTCGACTGGGAATATCCCGAACAGTCCCAAGCTGGCGATTTCGTCACTCTCCTCAGAGCTACAAGAGAAGGTCTTGACAAATACGCCAAGGACAACTCACAAGACTATCACTACCTGCTGACCGTGGCGGCTCCTGCTGGCAAGGACCACTACGGCAAGCTTGACATCTCCGGAATGGACGAGTACCTCGACTCCTGGAACATCATGGCCTACGACTTCGCTGGAGGCTGGAACTCGCACGCTGGAAACCAAGCCAATGTCTTTGCTGATCACAGAAACCCCAACTCCACGCCGTTCAACACCGACCAAGCTATCCGCGACTACACCGGCGCTGGCGTTGCTCCGGAGAAGCTCATTCTCGGCATGCCTCTCTACGGACGCTCATTTGCAGATACTGACGGCATGGGCAAGACCTTCAAGGGCGTTGGGCCCAACACTGACGACGGCATCATCCCGTACCGTGATCTGCCTCGCGCCGGAGCCAAGGAATCCGTCAACCATTACCTACTGGCAGCCTACAGCTACGATACCGACGCCAAGCTGCTGGTCTCATATGATACTCCTGACAGTGCCAGACTCAAAGTCAGCTATGTCAACGACAAGAAGCTTGGTGGCGTCGTTTTCTGGGAAGCCTCTGGTGACAAGACGGGCGAAAACAGTCTGGTAAAGACTGTTGCCCAAACAATGCACGATTTGGACGGAAACCAAAACATGTTGTCCTATCCCAACAGTCGCTACGATAATATCCGCAACAGTGGCAGCAACTAATGTCACAGCGCTGGGTGAGAAAAAGACATCATGTATATGGAACGAACTTAATGACAGCATGGGCGGCGTTTTAGGAGTTTCCTCTGTTCTTTTTAAAGCATATCTGATATTTCATTTCCTTTTTTGTAATTTTCGCTAGTTAATCAAATGATTCTTTCAACAAAACAAGCGCTTAAAATGCTGCCCAAAACAGTATAAATGCAAACAGACGTAAAACAAAATCAGTAATAAACGTGTCATGTCCAACCAGTAAAAATAACAAAATAATGTGTAAAAAGAGAGTGGAAGCATATACGCTGAGGAGACTCTCGGCCCGTGTCCTTGATATCCAATAAAACAAATACATGACAACAATATTCACCTTTGTCCATACATTACACAACAGCAAGTTTCAACCCCCCGTTTAGAACAGAACAGCCAACACACCAGCTGCTACAGCCATAGCTGCACCGATGCTAGGCGTTGAGCCCATTACACCAGCAGCAGCGATAGGGACTGTAGGCTGTGGGAAGCCAACGCCGCTGCTCGAGTTGGGGTTGGTAGAGTTGCCGTTGCCAGCAGGGAATGGCGCAAGCGTGTTGGTCGGTGCAGGCTTGGGAACAATAGATGTAAAGATGGTAGTGGACTCTGCGGGACGGCCTGTGGGCTTATCATCGCCAGAGCCATCCTGAGAACCATCATCACCACCACCGTTATCATCATCATCGCCGCCATTGCCGCCATCGCCATCGTCACCACTATCACCGCCACCAGATGGACTAGGCGGGCTTGTAACACCCTCGTCTCCGTCCTGGGGAGTTGTGACAGTACCGCCAGTCGGAACTGCAAGAGGAGCCACCGTCTGGCCAACAGTCTTGACAATAGTCTCGGTGTGGTCGAGAGAGTGCACGACAGACTCGGCCCTGAAGGCGCTGGCAGAGGAAGAAGTCTGCTGGGCGGTGGTGCTTGTCGTCTTGGAAGACTTTGGCTTCTTCGTCTTGGTCTTGGCTGCTTTGCTTGACGAAAAGACGGTAGAGGTAGATGTGACAGTGACGACCGAGTCGCAGCTAGAAGAGGCGCTGGCAGCAACCTTTGAAGTCACATACTGCGTGACGGTGATGTTCTCGGTGACGCGGCAGTCTGTTCCTATAGTCTGAGACGGCTTTCCAGTAACCTGCGGGTTTTCGGGGAGAGGTTCAAGTGAGACGGCAGGCCCGCCGTTGCGAGCCTCAACGCCTGGTGGTTGCAGCAGCGTGGCATGGACGGCGCTGGATGCCGCAACAGCAAGCAGCGCGCGGTGTGAGAGAGAGTAGCGCATACTGAAATATGTGATGTGAAGGAATCCGAACACAAAAAAAACGTCGTAGAAACTAGGCGCTGACCGGCAGCCAAGATGGAATAAAAAAGGAAGGGTGGTGTTGTTGTTGTTGTAAGTGAATGAAGTGACAGACAGGCCAAGTAAAAAAGAAAGAAACTTGTAAAAAGAAATCCGGCACCTTGGGGGAAAACGACAGAAACTTGAGTCTATTAGAGAAGCAAAGTAACAAATTTCCCATCCAGTAGCAGGCGAGGGCGACAATATGTATACTAATGAGCGCATGAGCCCCCCAAGCGAAGCGGCGATGCGTTTCATCCCAACCGGTGGTCCAAGGCCAGCCCTTTGCAGATTATTAAGGATGGCTTGTCGCAGGTTCAGCGGTAGAAAAAAAAAGTTTAAACCCCTCGCTGCCCGCCTAGCCCAGAAGCTGCGACGTGCAGTGTCGGATGAGGCGTCTCAGATAGCGCCGGCCACATTGAAGCGGGCTCCCCGCACGTTGAATTCTGCAGTTTCGCCCATTTCAGCCAGAAATCATTCTTGATCGGGTTTGCCTGTTTTTGGGGCTCGTGCTCTGTGCCAGAGAAGACACACAGAGCCAGTTCGCCATAGCGTAAGGCGAGATGAAACAAACGCCCGAGCGCACGACCGAACATGGGCCTTGCTGAAAACGTGCCCTGATCGCGGGTCTAGAAGAGCACAAAACTGTAATCTGCTAATTAAATACCTTGGAAAAGGCATTTTCGTGGGGCTTGAATGGTTAGAAACAGACTCTTGTGAGACTTACTCTGAGGCTGCTAGGCTATTTAGCCTCTTTCTTGATAGCATCTGTCAAACAGTCGTCAATGATTGCCTGTGCACAGCGTACGCATGGGTGACGATGACGAGCCATCTGTTCAAAAACATCATTTTCGCCAGAGATTCACATTGTTGTAGACTTGTCTCCGGGAGAATGCGTCCATGGCCAAGGTTGAAGTCGTCGCCGAATGCAAAGTCGCCGATAAGCAAGGCTGACCAAGGGAAAAGAAGACTTTAAAAATAGAAGAAAAAATAATGGTTAAAAAAAAGAGATCAAAACAAATACAAACAAAACTAGAAAATCTTTGCCGATTCTTTGCGCCCCGTTTTACACGTTTTACATGGGACCAGGTGTCCCTGTTCATTGCCTGCCTTTGCTCTACATTTCTCCTCCTGGTGTTCCAGTCGAGTTCACGCCGTGAAACGCATCTCCAAAAGCCGAGTCTTCCATGTCCATCTGAAGATCCAGACCGTCGCCCATGCTGTCTCCATTGCCGTTGCCGTTGTTATCGTCATAGCCTGCCAGCGCATCGCCCGCAGTGTCAAGATCCTCTAGTGAGCCAAAGTCGTTTTGGTCAAACACAGCTCCTGGAGTACCTGTAAGGGGCGTCGCTTTGGCAGAAGAACCGGCGCCGGACGTCTTGGCCGGCTCAGCACCGCCTTCTGCCGCACCGTTGCCTTCTTTAGGCACCACAACCCAATCACCGCTGCCGGTGCCTTGGTCTGGTGCTGTCTCGCCCTCGGCTGGTCTGCTCTGGCCTTCGGTGCCGCCCATTGACACATCGCCACCTGCCTGCGGCTGTGGTGGTGCAGCGGCGGCGGCAGGAGAAGGAGCCATAGGATTGGGTGTGGCAGCGTTTGACTGGCCAGCCGACAGCTGGGCCTGCGGTGTCGGGAAGTTGTTGTTTGGCGTAGACATGGACGAGAAGCCCGTGTGCATCTCATCCAGGAGACCGGCTGCCGTACCGCCCATATCCATATCGGCCTCATCCATCATTAATTCCCCCACCTGGGATCCCGGCTGAGATGGTCGTCGGGATTCTTCCTCGGGGGCCGCTACTTCAGGCTCAGGTTCTGGTTCTGGTGCAGGTTCCTGGTAGCCACCTGCGGCAACTCTGTCGATCTTAGGCTTGGGCTCAATTGTGTGACCAAGGGCTGTCTCGACATCCTTGACAATTTCATCAAGCGTTTGCTTAGACTTGGATGGCGCGCTGCTGGGGCCGTCATCTTCTGTAGCATCCACACGTCCTTCAATTCGCCAAATCTCAGCGCCAGTTTCCTCCTGGAGACCCTTCAATTCGCGTTCCTTAGAGCGAATAACTGAGCTGCCGCGGAATTCCTCTAAAGACTTGGCATGCTCAGCCTTCATCTTCTCCAGTTCAGAATTTGTCGAGTCAATGTACTTGCTGACGCGGTCCTTGAACTTGTCAGCTTCGCCTTGGTCAAGCTTGCCTGTGTAGATCTTGCCCTCTGGCTGGCTGAGAGCATCAGGACCAACGCTAGCAAAGATGCCTTCCGTAAGAGACGCAAGCTCTCCAGTCAATCCGAGACCTAGATCAGCGGGGACAATCTGCCCCATTCGGTATGGCGAGGACAGAATCTCTTCCATCCACTCGTGGTTCTGCTGGTAGCGGCTGTAGGACACTTCTCTAGGAGTCAGGTGGTCAAACATGTCTCCGCGAGCAATATCCTCTTCGTCATCAAAGGGATCCGCAGGGGCCATGCTGGGAGGCATTGGGGCTGGCTGGTTAGGATTTTGAGCGTGGCGCGCGCGCTTAGTAGGCGGGCCAGTTGGGTTCTGCGAAGGATACGCCATCTGCTGTGGGACACCTCGAGGAGCCATCTGAGGCGCCATCTGGTGACGGGCAAGCTCAGGGAGCGAAGGCCAGTTGGCTCGGTCCGAGAGCATGAATTCTTTGCGTCGAATCTGGCCAGCGCGGAGGAGGAAGTGTCGCTGCTGCATTATAGCGTTGACTCGTTCATCGTAGGGAATGACGTTGGCGGGTATGCGCTCGTTGGGTTCCGTGGCGCCGTAGTGAACCAGGAAAAGGTTGGTATCGACTTGCGAGGGGTTAGGATGGTTGGGCGCGGGCACAAGGCGGAATCGTCGTCGTGTGTGAGCGGCAACCTGTTCGCCGGGGATGAAGCCGGCCTTGAGGAAGTAGATCTCGATGATCTAGGAAAGCAAAGTTAGCATAAAATTACAACTAGCATGCAGCGGCAGGGCTGCAGGTAGACATACAAGGCCATTGCCCAGATCATGCTTGTAGATTTGCTCAGGCGGCGCCCAGACGAAGCCGTCGGTAGCAAAGTTGGTGCCGAGGCGGGCCACTGGCTGCCATGTGAGGAGGACGGTAGAGTCTGCAGGCTTGTCCAGGTAGGTCCAGAAGAAAGGAGCCTTGTCTCTAGCAATCATTGGCGCATTGATGAGGAACTTGGCAACGTCCTTAAGGTCCAAGCCGGCCATGGCCGGATATCGAAACGAGGAGACGAGGTGCACATGGGGCATCTAAAAGCGCGGGGAGTTAGTATTATGTCCATCCATAGCCGCAGCTATACGGCAGAGCATTGAGAATGACGCACCAAGTCCTGGGGGACGGTGGAACTGGGGTCTTGTTGCGCCATGGTTGCGTAGTGTATGTGAAGCGTCGCGCGCAGCGACCGGGTCGTTGGCGAGGGGAGCGGAAATGCGCGCTGGTCCGACTCGGGGGCGATGCAATTGCAATTGTCGGCTGACTACGGGAGGCTGAAGATGCGATTTCCGGGTGCAGGCCGATGGTGTTGGTCCGCGTTGGTCGTTGGCGCAAAGCAGCAAAATGGCCAGCTAAGCTCACAGGTTGGTGGTGGTGGTGGTGTGCAGGAGGGAGTCGCGGCGCGCAGCCCCAAATTTCCTCGCGACAAAGGCGGCCAGCACGACTTGAGCCAATGGCCGCGTCCGGAAGGGAGAGAAAAGGTGGGGCGTGATATGGGCCGATGAGGAGTGCTACAAGAACAGATGCCGACGGAATTGATATAGTCTTTATACGTTTTTAATATTCTGTCAACAACTTAAATACATCAATAAATTCTCTATATTTTTAGTTCATTTTCATTATTTCTCAAACGCTTCTGAAAGACGAGCTGCATCCCGCCTCTCTTTCTCATTGTCCAGCACCCAACGCAGCCTACCGGATTAATGTGGATCCGCATCAACAGCCCATCCTCTATTATCTGCCTACCTCTTTCAATCTTTCTTTTCATCATATCATCCTACATCCCACGTCTCGCAGCAGGGCCGTTTTTCCCCCTTTGTGTCTGTTACAAACAGATAGTGCGTACATCCTTTGAAGCACCAGTTGGCAACTCTGCTCAAAAAGGTACGTGGAACTTGAAACAAACACCAACCCGCGCATCGTCGGAATCTCGTTTGTTCATCATGTCCTTCCCACCACCTCCAGGCACCAACTCGCTTCCTGCGCGCCCGCCCGCTAGCAACAACAGCAAGTCGACCTTCAAGCCCGCATTCGCCTTCACTCCCACATCAGTTGCCAAGCAAAAGCAGCCCCAGACATCCTACGCTGGAAACGCAACATCCTCTGCCGCCCCAACAAGCTACGGCTACGGCGCACAACAGCCCCAGCATGGCGCTTCTTACCAATCGTACCCCGCCGCTGGCGGCGCGGTGAGGGGAGCTTCTGCCCACAGCTACGGACAGCAACCTCAAAGCTATGGTGCGCAGACTTACTCCGCCGTACCACAAATCCAGAACCCGTTCCCCATCCCGGGAGCCGCACCAGCAGCAGCATCCACGTACCAGTCTGCCAACTACGACCCCGAAATGGCAGCGCAGATTGCGCAGTGGCAAAGCGCCTATGTGCCTCGCGATGCGGTAGATAAGGACGGCAAGCCGATTGCCCCCGAGCTCCTGAAAGCTGCTGATGGCCCAGTCGACCGACAAAAGACAGTTGTACGCGAAGGCGGCGGCAAGAAATGGAGCGATGATACCCTTCTAGAGTGGGATCCTTCACATCTGCGTCTCTTCATCGGCAACCTGGCTGGTGAGACTACCGACGAGTCTCTGCTCAAGGCCTTTTCGCGATGGGGATCGGTACAAAAGGCTCGCGTCATCCGCGAAAAGCGCACAAACAAGTCCAAGGGATACGGCTTTGTCAGCTTCAGTGACACCGACGACTTCTTCCAGGCGGCCAAGGAAATGAATGGCAAGTACATTCAGAGCCACCCGGTCACTGTGCGCAAAGCCAATACAGAAATCAAGGTCACCAACGTAAAAGACAAGAACTACCATAAGAACAAGAAGAACCGGGGTGGCAATGACCGTGCAAACAATGGTCAAGGCTCTCACCAGGGCACCAAGAGCGGCAGTGGCGTAACGAAGCCTGGCCAGAAGACCAAGAACGGTCTCAAACTACTTGGTTAGATGAACTGCATGGCTTCGGGGCCGGATGGTGTGCTTTTTTTTTTTTCAAAAAGCGTTTGGCGTTTCTGGTTGGTCGTTCTGGGACGGCTTGTATACAGCACTTATAGAATATAAAATAATGAACCACGATTTCTCAACGAATATCAATTCAATAATGCAGATCTAAGAACGGGGTATATCCCAACATACCTCATCTATTTACAAAATCCGCCGCCGTACTTTGCGTACCCAAGTAAAGAAATGGTAGGGAAAGAATGTGAAAAAATTGAGATGGTGCTATATTCCATCTCAAAATGGAAAGACTGATAGCCATTCGAGTATATATAGTGACAGAAAGAACCCCAGCCGTGGATATGTGAGAAACGCCGTAGATGCTTTTAGAAACGCTAAAATAAAAGGACAAAGTATGGGGTGTAAAAGAAGTTGTGTATCAGGTTAGTCGTGCGTCTTATGATGTAAATCCGCAGAGTTGGCTTGGCTCGATTCGCCGATATCAGGAGCTTGATATATAAGGCCGTGGCTTTCGTCCGAGTCATCAATGTCTGGGTCGCTGCTGGGCACAGGTAGAAAGGAGTCACCAGATTTGGCGCCGGAAACACCTGCAGCCGCATCAGCTCGCATTTTGGTGATCTTGACATAATTGTAGGCAATGATGGCGGCAAGTGTAACAGCTAGGCCAATGAAATTGACAAAGGTGAGCTTGTCGTCCAAGATGACCGATGCCGCCGATATGGTCACTACTTCCTTGAAAATGCCAGCAATGGACAGTGTCACGACTGATGTCCGCTGGAGCAGTGCAAACTCTGATGCTATCATGAGAAAGGCAATGCATCCTGGGAAGAGCAGAAAGAAAGGCGTCGCTGCCGTTCCAAACTTCTCGGCAAGTCGGCCAAGCCCGGCAAACAACGGGCCAAATCCTTCGACGGGAACTGCCATGGCAAAGAGGACCACAAACATAATGGGCGACAAATAAAAGATGCTAGAGAAGGGGTTCGAAGTGGCCGAGCTGCGAAGAAGCAGAAGCTGGGTAAGCGCCCATCGGAAGCCAGAGAAGAAGGCGGCCGAGATGACGAGGAAGAATCCTCCGAGCTCAAACTTGACCTCGCCAGACACCATAAGAATAACACCGGCTGTCATGGTAGCGATAATAGCAACAAGACGCCACGTCGGGGCCTCAAGTCGAAATAGGAAGGCAAAAAGGAGAACAAATGCAAGTGAAGAGGACTTGCACATAGCTAGCGGACAGCATGGTTAGCATGGAGCAAATCGACACGTTGAGAGGGCACATACTGTAAAATGAAAGACTGATGAAGCGCAGTGACATGTTGCCAAAACCAATATCCAAACTGGTCGCCACACCACAGGGGGCAATTCTAGTTAGATAAAACATCTTGGTCAAGCCCGAGTTTGGTTCTTCCTCATGTCTTGACCGTCCATTGTCGGACGTGCGCTTATAATCGGGGCGTAATGACGGTATGAAATATAGCACTGTCGAGGCCAGGCCAAACTGGACCAGCATATGCATCGACGTGGTAAAGAGAGGGAATTCGAAATTGAGACGGCCCTTGTCAAACATCCATTTGTTATACTATAAACACCGTTAGAACAAATCGCTACAATAGAGCCGCACAGGGACAGCATGTGCAAACTTACCAATGAAAGCGACAGGGAGAAAAGGTACCAGAGCAAGATGAGGCCGCCATTGATCATGATTTGACGCATCAAGCTTTGGTCCCCCGCCGTTCGACCCATCGGAGACGGTGATTTTTCCGGGACGATGCGCTGGTCGAGGCGCATGCTTCGCTGCTTCTTCTTTCGCTTCTCAGCCCTCTCTCCGCTCGTCAGACCCATTTCCTCATCTTCATTATTATCTTCGTCGCTGAAGCTATCTCGGCTCGTATCGTCTAGCTCAAAAGCTGAGCCGCTGTCTCCGTCGTCTTCCAAGATGCCGGGCTGTTCGGCAACACTGCTAGAAGCAACATGGCCACGGATTGGCGTGATGGACCGGCCAGGGACCTGACCGAGATGGACACTCTGGCCGTGTTGGCCGCCGACGGGCTGCATCAAGCTGCTCTTGCGCCGGCGGTGGCCCACGATAGGAGCCATTTCTATATCCTTTTGCTTGCCGTTGGCAGAGAGCCTGTTGGTACGTGTGGGAGCAGCGGGCCTGGCAGCAGCAGCAGGGGCAGCAGCAGCAGGCCGAGGTGACGGAGAGGGAGAAACGAAGTCGAGAGCGTCGTCGTCGTCGGAAGCGTCGAAGAGGTTATGCTCTGGCGGCGGCGCGAGGGGGAGCGATGAGGAGGAGGAGTTGGGAAACATTTTTTTCATTGGCCGGTGGGCGAGAACCTGCCGCCCAGAGTGTGTCTTGCGCTCTACTTGCTGGTTCGAGCGTTTCCTTGACGGGCGCCAGGGGGGTAGTGCACACAGTAGGGGCTTGGATCGCGCCTGTGGGAGCGGTGATGGGACACCAGGAGATGAAATGTGGAGCGTTGGAGTTTTGCCCGTCGCGTTGTTCTCCAACCAGACAGTTGCGGGGACCCCCTAAAAGGGAGGACCACGGTCGCTAAAATCAGGGAGTCTCAGGGGTTTTGGGGGGCCTGCTCTGTTGGTTTACTTGCCGGTAGGCTCGGATGCTGTGTTAGCAAACCGTTCAGTGTCAAAGCGCGGTGCCAAAAGGTAGAATGTACTGTGTAATTGGTCCATTGGAAAAAATTGTTCAATTCGCTTTTCCCAGGCCAGATTTCATGCTGCAAGATGGAATGCACAACGTGGCTTACAAGACGACAGAGTTACACCATTACAGTGGTTATAGTGGGCTTATGGAGCGTGTTTAGCGCATAGTTGGCCGGCTAGCCGCTTGTGTATTCCCCGATCAAAGACACCTGCGACGGGCCGAGATGGCCTATGACGACATGGTTGTCATTGCGGGTTGGATCTATGTTGCATATTCATAGCAAGATTTGTCAGCTAAGCCAGATTTTTCTGCGCTTTTTATTCATTTATGGAAAGCCGGTGTAAACGATAGTCCGCTGACAACAACGGCTGCTCTATCACTTAGACCCAACGAGCGCGGCTGACGACCAGGCACGGCAAGTAAACTTTAAAAGCGTAGACGGACAAACTTAAACCTTTATTCATTTTCATGTTTTCAAAAGTCGTAGCCATGTTAAACAAAAAACAGGAAGACTTCGCGATAGTGTCCACACAACACAAGAGGTTGAATTAGCAAAAAAAGAAAGTCCAAGCTCGGAGCCGGATTCGAACCAGCGACTTCAAGATCTGCAATCTCGCACGCTAACCACTGCGTCACCCGAGCTTGGACGTCAAACGAGACTATTAGTGTCTAAGAATAGCGCACCAGATTGCCAGATAATAAACTCGTCTAGATGTTCCGGCCAACGTCCGTTTTTTAAATTGTGATTTATACAGTGCCTATAACTAAGAGTCTCATGCCATTTCCAATGCAACTGGAGACAATAGCAACATCAATGGTTGTGATTGGTGAAACGATGAGGATACTGATAGGCCGGACGGAGTCGCGAGGGTGCTACCAAGGCGAGAGCTGAAAGAGGCTTGGTCTGTAATGTCTTTGAAATCAGACTTATGTCAGTAAAATGCACCATGACAGTCCTAATGCAGGAAACAATTAACGGCTAAAAGATCGACATGATACAACTGTTGATCTGAGCGGGCGAAATTCCGCACCCAACCTATGCCGGCTATAGAAAATGCACTTCCTCTTCCACAACACCGAACCCACCATTTGCAATTCAGCCGATGCGCCAGGCTACAATTCAGCTCGCTGCAGTGGCTCACTCGACGTAGCTCTCTCGCCTTCTCGGCTATGTCGTCCTTGATTATTGATTATGACCCCCGCGTGGCTTCCGGACAAGGCGCTAATAGGCTGCGCTTTTAGCAGCCACTCGGGCCACGCCACACTCTGAATGCGCCGTGGTCCAGCGGACTTCGCAGCGCTCTTCTGGGAGCCCACTGGAAGGGAGGACAGGGTGACAAGTTGCTCGCTGGCAAAGAGTCCTTCAGTGCACAGCTGGCAGTGCCATTTGGCATTTTATAAGGGGCTTTTTAGGTGTAAATTGTCTTAGTAGTTCTTCCTTATGCAGTTTCTTGTCCTTCTTTCTCCAACATCCGCCACACACACCACCAGCAACTGCACGTTTTGCTACCCCTCAACTTAATCTCAATGCCTTGTTCGTTCTCTGTGCGGGGATTCCCACCATCCCACTCTTCTCCACCCCCCAAGATTTTAGCGTCGGCCCTCGATTCTGGGGTAAACAGCACCGGGTTCTGCTCGTCTTTTCCTGTCCCGCCCTCTTTAATCCGAGCCTCTTCCGTCTCCTCTTTCCGTCGGCCAGCCTTTTCACCTCGTCCCTCTCCCTCGCCTTCCTTTCAGCGCCTGTTTTTCCTGTCGGCTTGCTCTTATTCCGTCTTACAACTCCAATCTCATAGTTCCCCACGAAAAACAGCACAATGGATTCGGGCTCCTCCGACAAGGCGGACGTGGAGCAGGTCCAGCACGTCCACAATGCCGAGAAGAACAACGCCGTGGCGTCTGACCAAGCCGCTGGCACCGTTACCGTCCCGTCGCGGTTTGCTCATCTCGATGAGAAGAAGATCCTGCGCAAGGTGAGTAAACAAGACGTATTCTCATTACACGCGCGCCGCCAAGCTGACTAGCACTCTCTGCCCAGATGGATATTCGCCTGATCCCAGTTCTCGCTCTGCTCTATCTGCTTTCCTTCCTCGATCGTACGATATTCTGTCCGTCATACCGCGCCACACCACTAACACAGTCCTCCTAGGTGGAAATATCGGCAATGCCAACGTCGAAGGCCTGTCGGTCGACCTTGGCCTCAAGGGCTACGAATACAACTGGTGTCTGACGGCCTTCTTCTTCACATACGCCGCCTTTGAGGTCCCCTCCAACCTCATGCTCAAGAAATTGCGTCCCAGCCGCTGGCTTCCATTCATCATGGTTGCATGGGGCGTCGTCATGACCCTCATGGGCATTGTTCGAGACTACAAGGGCCTCCTCATCACTCGCTTATTCCTCGGTGTCGCAGAGGCTGGTCTCTTCCCTGGTGTCGCCGTAAGTTTCCTTTTACAAATGTCGCCGTTTTAACACCACTTCTCACATTTTTTCTAGTATTACTTGACAATGTGGTATTGCCGCCACGAGATTCAATTTCGACAGGCCATGTTCTTCTCTGCCGCATCCGTCGCCGGCGCTTTCAGCGGCCTACTAGCTTTTGCCATCTCCAAGATGGATGGCATTGGTGGTCTTGAAGGATGGCGCTGGATTTTCATCCTAGAAGGCATTGTCACTGTTGTTGTGGCCGTCATTTCGTTCTTCCTTCTGTACGACTTCCCAGAAACGGCAAGCTTCCTCACCGAGGAGGAGCGTGCATTTGTCGTCTACCGCCTCAAGTACCAGGGCGATGTCAACGCCAGAGATGAATCTCACGAGGCTACAGTTGCTGAGGCTGAAAAGTTTGAATGGAAGTATCTCCGTCAGGCGTTCTCCGATTGGCAGATTTATGTCAACATTTTTGTCTACTGGGGTGTAGGTCTAGTTTTCCAGCAATGCTGCTCTCTTTACTCGTTCGACACTAACTAACACTAACACCAGGTTGTCTGCCCGCTCTACGGCATCAGTCTCTTCCTTCCGACTATTATTAAGAGTCTCAACTACACCAAGAGCGAAGCCCAGCTAATGACCATCCCAATCTACATCACGGCCTCTGTTTTGGCTGTTGTCAGCGCCTACTTTTCTGACAGAGTCGGCAAGCGAAGCCCATTCATCATCTCCTTGCTCTTTGTCATGGTTGTCGGTTTCTCCATGTAAGCTATCACGTTATTGGATCTATTCCACTTTCGGTCATGCACTAACAACCCACCAGGTGCCTGGCCTCCTCGAACCCACATGTCGTATACGGTGGTGTCTTTATTACCGCATGTGCCCTCTACCCAGCCTTCCCTGGTGTGATTGCCTGGCTGTCCAACAACCTTGCTGGAAGCTACAAGCGAGGTGTTGGTATGGCTATCCAAATCGGTATTGGTAATCTTGGCGGTGTACGTATCCCTGTCCTTTTCTCTCCACAGAACCACTGTCGCTGACCCTTTTATAGGCCATGGCATCCAACTTTTACAGATCAGGCGACGGACCTCGCTTCCGACTCGGACACGCTCTTGAACTTGGCTTCATCGTCGTCGGCATCATTGCCGCCTTCATCCTCGTCTTTGCATACACCCGCATCAACAAGAAGCGAGATCGCGCCATTGCCAACGGCGCGCAGAATGAATACACTGCTGAGGAGCTGTCGGCTCAAGGTGACAAGGCTGTTACCTTCCGTTACATGTTTTAGACGTTTTAGATACCAAATGCGCGTGCTTTTGTGTTTTTGTGCAAGGAAAATCGTAAATATATATTGGATAGCAATGTACTTGATATATCCGGCCTAGGAGCCATCATCACCTTTATACCGTGACTGAAGACACAATCCGCATCTTGTTTCATCCCCATCTACCCCCACGGCATCAATAGTCCAAAATATAGTCGATCCGAGGCAAAAACTCATCAGCATGGCTTGGTAGCCATTTATCCAGCCTCTCTCTGCACTCATCCAACGTAGACCTCAGCGTGAGCAGCTTGTTGTCTAGCACGGAGCACTTTGGGCACTTCCTCCTGACGACTTTGGAATGCAAGCCGTGGCACTTCTTCTCCCTGCAGTGGATCAGACCTCGGTTTTGAGCTGTGAGACAAGGTCGGACAAGCAGACCCCAAGCCTCATGCTTGCATCCATAAACAGTGCGTGAATAGATACACATTTTGGCAAAAGTTCAATAGCTTTGCCAGTTGGTTCTTCTTGGGTGTATATGGGAATAATTTGGTAGCAAGGAAGCAGAAGCGGTTGCAAAGACGTATTGCGGGTATCTGGGTAGGCACAAGAGAATTATAAAGAAGTATTAAGAAAATAGCACAGCTGAAAGGTTGAAGAGTAAAGGGTTGATGTTTTTTTTGGTCGCGTTCGAATTCACGGCCAGCCGTGTTGTTCGGTTTGATGTGTGCAGTAACTGTTGTGGCAAGACCTAAGTCCGCGAAGGTGTGTGTAAGTGTTCTCCTCTTTCAAGAAGGAAAACACACAAAAGTGAATTGCTTCTTAGTGTAGGTCGCGACGTGTGCCTTCTTTTCGTAATGGGAAAATCAAGCAGAAAAGTGACAACAAAAAGTAGGGACGTACGGTGCACTTAAATGAGCAACGCCCATGAAACACGGTTAAGGCACAACAAAGAGATGCAGCACAGCAGGACCCCAAGGCAACTGATCCTTTCTTTCTCGTAGTTATTTTCCAAGACTGTCATTTTATTTGAGCACATCCCCATCCAGTACAGCTGCGAAATCCGCGGCCCAGCACAGCCGGGTGGTGTCCGGCCCCGTAGACGAGGCATGCGCAACATTCCAGCCGAGTCGACGCAAAGTCTTCAGCAGCGAGCTGGTCTCAGGCTGAGGCGTCATGACGACACCAGTGCAGAAAAGAACACACTCTAGATCAGTAGTTGAGTCACCGTAGTAGACTGTCTCGTTTGCCTCCGACGCTCCGCCCACAACCTTCCGTAGTGCGCTCAGCTTGTGCGGAGAACAGGACATCCTGGTGCCTTCCATCATGTCCGGGCCTCGAATGGTGCCATCTTCTGCATGAATCTCGTTGGCTACTACTTCCAGTTCACCATTCTCGTCAAAGGTTTCCAAGATTCCCTGGAGAAAGGACTGTGACCAATTGATGGAGAGCACCGACGTCTTCCAACCATGGGCTTTCGCCAGCGCCAGAGTTTCCCTGAAGCCAGCGCGGATGACGATGTCGCCATTCCTCAACGCCTCCCTCCCAACTTGCCGGAGACTATCTTTATCCAAGTCTTGAAACACGCCAAGGTCATGGACCCTTTGGATCGATGCCTCTTCCACAGCCATGGATGCAGCCAGAAACTTGGTTTCCTCTTCGAGTGTCTGGCGGTCCACCTCCTTGGGAGAGTAGCCGCTCTTGTGATCTGCGTACTCCTTAAAGTACTGTTGCTCGATCCCGTCCCATTTCGGCCAAGGATCAGCTCTGCCTCTTTGGCACTGCCACCGCGCCGCGCCCTTGACCAACGCGCCTAGCGTGTCGTGTGTTGCGATTGTGCCGTCAAAGTCGAAAACAAGATGCATGATTGGACGCCTTAGGATTGGACGCCTTAGGATTGGACGCCTTAATTACTTTTTTAATTTCCGTGCCTATCCTTTGTTTTCCCACGCGGTCACGTAACCAATCTACGCGTTTGTTTGTTGCTTGTTAAAGTGGCTTTCCGTGATGGTTTGTTGGTGATGAGGCCAAGCTCACTAACAGCTGCGCCAGTGGTGTTGTGTCTGTTCGGCTTTGGTGGTGCAGCTGCCAGCTGGTGGGGCCCTAAACCCGTGAGACGAAACAGTCCTGCTTCTACAACAACCCGCGAAACATTGATGAACTCGATACAGCCACCGCTGGCTATTTTGGCAAAAAGACTCAGATTCAAAGTGTCCGGGTCCATGTGGACCGATGGCTATAGCTAGTCTTTGAAAGTTAAAACACAGGTTTGATACAATATGCAGTAGCAGCAATGGCGACCAAACGCCACGGCGAGCTGCTTTTCCCTATTAAAACGCCAGTTAACGCCTCACGTGCCCTGGATGGGCCTAGTAAAGTAGTAAGCATTCCCAGTCAAAGTTGTTCACTGCGACATGGGCAGCACATCCTCCATTTCTTCCATTTCCTCGTCTTCGTCATCGGCGGCCACTGCAGCAGCTTCCTTGGCCTCAGTGCCAGCCTTGTCTCTGTATGCGTCAGATAGGCAGTAGTGGTTGGCGAATGAACCACTCTTGTTCAGGACAGCCACTTCCTCCAGGACTGTTCGTAGATGTGCCTCTGGCTGTTGTGTACGCTGGCGCAAAGCCTTCATGGACCAGTACTGATACTCGCGGAAGCATTCGAACAAGAGATCCAAAAGCTCGTTCTTGGCCATACGAGTAGCCTTGAGCACCTCGCCCTTCTTGGGCTTGACAAGAGTCGGTGCATTTTTCTACGCCTTGTTAGTATATGCAGTTCATACATGTTTGCGACTGTCTCGGAACATACGATAAAGTTTCCAGACCAGCCAAGAGATCCAGCAGTTCCAGGGTTGATAATGGCGGACGCTGAGTTTCTGCTGATGATTTGGAGCTTCGCTCGGGAGTGCTCGGCATCAAAGATTTGCTGTGCTAGGTATCGCTCTTCTTCCTGTGCATTCCTGGGCTCGACACGGACATCGTAGTGAATCTTTCCGAAAACCTTGGTTCGTTCTAGTGTTCTACTGTCAGCGCCACGTCACCTGTGTATCTCGCATGCATCAAAAACCTACTTGGAATTGCTTTGCGGTAGTACGGTTGATACCGACTGCGGCGATCATACGTTTGCTTCTGTCCACCCTCTGGTTTGGCACGTAGTAGATGCGCTGGGATGCCCGCGTTGATGGCGTCCTGTCTAGCCTTGTTCTTGACCTTGTAACTGGGGAGATCCTCTTCAGTGAAAATGAAGTGGTTCTTGACTTCGCGGTCCAACACTTCGAGGTCGTATTCTCTAGGGAGCATCTGGTGCTCGGGGCAATTTGCCTGTAGCAGCATGCGCAGCTTGGTCACGTCCGGCCCGCCGTTCGCTTGAGGTTCGTTCCACGTGCGCAACGTGCCAATCTGCACCTCGTCATCGTCATTGAGGCGCTCTGTCAACTTTTGCCATGCCTCCCAGATGTAGCGAGGTACGCGCGCAAGATAGAGGGTTTCGAAGCTGTTGCCTATCGCGTTCTTGTCGTAGAATTCGAGGTCGCCGGCATCCTCGAGATCATCCTCCTCGAGCCCAGTAGACGACTCCTCGGGGTCGGGCTTCACAAATCCAGCATCAGCCATTGTTGTAATTGTATATAATCGAATGCGCTGCCAGCTTTGTTGTGATAATGTTGATGGCAAGATGCGGCAAGCTGGATGAACATGTGCACGCTGTCACAGATGTCGTGACGCTTCTCTGCTGCTCGTCAAGGCGTTTGGTTGGCGCTAGGCCTAATTCGGAACGGGGTCCACTATACCAGCTCAGCGGAAGAAGCTACCCGACAGCCGTGAATGTCTTTCAGAAATAGAATCTGGGGACCCTGGCTTTGTTTCGGTAATTAATTTGAGTTCTGTTTTATGCTGTGGAAATCTGGGATATTGCCTTCGGATGTTACTGTGGTTAGGAAACTGGTTGGAACTGCGTTGGGCGGGTGATGGGACGCTGATCCTGTAGCATGCCTAGCTAAGAATGAACAATGCCAGCGTCAACAATGCACAAGCTACGCCCGTTGCTAGTCCAAACAAAGGGACTAAACAGCCTAGAGAACAATGCCCAGTTAAATTGCAATTTTCATTTTCATAACCTCTATCATTAATGTAGACACAAGCCTAAACAGTAGTCCCTGTCCGTACCAACAAATAATCCGGGTTCCGTGACTACAAAGCACTGGCTCCCAGGGTAGTCCGACCACTACGCAAAACACAGTGGGGCGCTCCAGGTAGCCTCGCAGCGCACCAGCCAGCTGCGCCCGCCATTCACGGCACGTTTCCTTTCAGTGTGTCATCCACCTCGTCTCGAATCCGTCAACATCGCTTCACCTCACCCAATGGATCCTCGTCATTTGCTTCAAGAGGCCATGTAATCTTGCTTCATCAACAATACAATCCTTATTCTTCGAATCCCCATCTTGCCGCACCGTTCATGCTCCTACAGATAAGATAGTACAGGATACTCTTCTGACTGATCCGTGACGACGGCTGTCCCTTTGAGTATTCGAGTAGCCGACACGCATCTCCGACGAACCACCACCTCCAAGCATCTCTCAAAACTATGCCTGCCAAGTCTCTTGTAGACTTGGCATCTGCAGTATGCATAAAGAATCTTAAAGGCCTCGAAAGCATAGGCGATTACCTCCCTTACGCCTCCGTCCGCCATATTCTCCTCAAGGTTGACAGCGCCTACCAGTTACGACGTATCGAACTCAATTCACCGCAGCTACAAGGCGAGACGGGCGAGATTTGGCTTCGAATCATCGAAAAGGACTTCCCGCTAGAATATAAATCAAAGGGCTACAAACCGCAAAACGCATCCAAATGGTATCGCGTCTGGGAAAAATACAAGGCAGACCATGACCAGGCTCTGCAGGAGAGCGAAGAAAAGCTCCGAAGTGCCTTTGCAGGCCTGAAAGAGAATAAAGAAAAAAACACAAGCAAAATTGTCGAACGCAAATACCTGCCCAGACATGGCCGCGTTGCCACTAGAAGAGGCCTTGGACCACGCGAGGGCAACACAAGCGTAATGACCTTTGGCGGAGGCAGTCGTACAAAAACTGTCAATGGAACCAGTATCATGCGAAAGGTGCGCCGCGAAGTTAAAGAAATCCGCAACATCCATGGTTCACTTTCCAAGACGATTCGCGCGCCAACGCGGCCAGCACAGCTACGGTCTGCGCCAGTGGCCATGATAAACGAGAAGCGAATTGCTGCTCAACCTCACTATCGACCACCGGTACGCGAAACAGACCCAGCAGCTGCCTCTGCAGTCGAGGAGCATGAACAACGAGCAGCGTTCATCTCTGATTCAGAAGAGGATGACGAGGCTACCCATCATCGCTCTGCTCTCAAATCACCACCACAGCCTGTCCGTCGTCCAGAACAACGAAAGATGGGCGGATCTGCATTTGCGCGCAAGTTTGGCGGAGGCCCATCTTCCGCGTCCTCGCAAGTCCTAAAATCTCCGGTCAAACGACCTCAGCCTCCTGAAGCCGCATCACCACCACCGAGGCGTGATGATTCGAGTAGAGGACAAACCGAATCAAAGACTGCCACCAAAGTTGCACAGTACCTACCCAGACCACAGGCTTCACCACCACATGCCGACTCTCCTTCACCACCACCTGCTGCTGCTGCTGCTGCTGCTGCGGCACCGACCCAGCCACCCCGGAAGCGCAAGGCCGTTGACGTCTTTATGAGACCGAAGAAACGCTTTTGATAGGGTTGCTGTAGAACCACGTACTGTATGCTCAGCCTCTTTTTGATTTTCTTGTATTTGGGCGGGAGTTTTTGTTTCCTCATTGGGGTGGAAGTATCGTCTTGTTAGAATTATAGAAAAACACGCCAGCGACCATTTTTGCATTTAGCCACATTGGATCCATTCTCTTCTGCAGTGTTAGCAGCTGTCATGAACAATAAAACCACTGGTATCAATTTTTTTAAAGTTAGGCAGTCGCCCTTATTCGCCAACTGCGGGCTAGTTGTCAGTGCGAGTCGTTAACTGTGTTAAGATCACGGCCTCTGACAACACAGCAACCTGTTTGCAATCACTTATTCCGAGAATGTCCACACATATGGTGAGCTGACGAAGAGATGGGTAAATTCGTTACTTGGTTATTTTATTTTTGTTTGTTCTATTCGGATCTTGCCATTACCGTCCACCACGGAGGGCGAGGACCAAATGCAACGTGTCGCCGCCAGAAAGGTTGTAGTCGCCCGCAGTCTTATCGTCCGTCCTATAGCGAGTTACATGGTCAGAAAACATCGTAGGAAGCAGTACATACCCCATTATTAATGAGGACTTACATTTGCTTGCCACCGTAAATCAATCGCTGCTGTACGGGAGGGATGCCAACCTTCTCCTCGACCTTGTCCTTGATCTGGCTGACCTGCGATGTGTTAGCATGCATGATACATCTACCCGGATGAACACGAGACGGAATAATAGTCGAAAATCATCTTACCGTGTAGTCGCTCTCGATGTCGAGCTCGATCTCCTGGCCGGTCAATGTTCGCACCCTGGCGGTTGGTTAGCTGTGCTCGCTCGGAGGACGCGTGGACGGTAGACGCACTTGATCAACATGTTGGATTATGTGTTTGAATATCTGAACGTATAGTGTATATGTTCCAGGAACCTGTAGCAGGCGAAAACAGGACGGTGTCGGTGGTTGTCAAGATGATGAAGGTCGAATGGCGGGGCCGTCGCGAATGACGGAAGTGAAGGTCGTGGTGGGGTCACTTCTGCCTGGCCTTGCGCCGAGCAGGCTCGCTACGCTAGAGGCCGAAGCTATGAGTATGCTCGAGGAAGGACTATCAAGTTGATCTATTTTTTATATTTAAAAAAATAGATGCGAAAAATAAGATACGCTGCTGAACCCTCATCGAGTCTAACCAGGTATTACCATGGTGGTTGGATATGTTGAGACAAAGGTCATGATGCTTCTTGCAGAGCTTGGGCAATCACAGTATAAACGAAGCATGGTTGATCAAGACTTAATCATGACAAATGAAATTCTGTTATAATACACTCCATATAATGAGACGTACAGTGGAGATTATGGAATTCTTTTTCCCAACACACACCCTCCAAATTTCCAACCTGGCTTGGCTTATTTCTTCTCAGAGTCGTCAAAGACGTTCAGGCCGAGACCATCAGAGTCAAGCATCAATCTGTTCTTGGAACCAGACTCCTGAAGCTGCTGGGCAATCAGACGCGAGTTCTCAATCTTCTTGAGCTCGACGTAAGCCTTGTTCTTCTTGATAGCGTCACCAATAAGCTCAGCAGAGCGGGCTTCACCCTGGGCCTTGACAACCATGGCTTGCTTCTCTTGGCGAGCCTTATCGACAACAAAGGCGGCACGCTGCGCCTCTTGTTGAGCAACCTGCTTAGCTTCGACGGCGGCCGTGAATTCGGGAGAGAAGGCGAGGTGCTGGAGAAGAATACATGTTAGCCTGGATTCGCCCCAAATGCATGGGGTTTAGCGTTAGGCACTTACAGTGAGGGAGACATCATCGAGGAGAATGTTGAAGCGAGCAGCACGGCGAGACAGGTTCTCACGGACGAGCTTGGCAACCATCTCACGCTGGGTGATGAGCTGACTGGCGTTGAACTGCGCAACGACGCTCTTCAACACTTCGTTGACAATGGAAGGCAAGACGCGCTCGTCGTAGTCCTGGCCCAGGGTTCTGTAGATTTGAGGAAGAGCCTCAACCTGTGGTCTAGAGAGGACACGGCAGGTAATGTTGACCATTTGCAAATCTTTTGTACCGGTCAAAGAGGCGACGTTTCTGGGCTTTGCGCGAACGTCGAAGACGACGGGGGTCTCGAACCAGGGGATGTTGATGTGAGTACCTACGAAGCCCGATATGTTAGTAAAAGATACAACGGAGCTGATGCGAAGTATGCTGCCGCGTAATGGAACCGCCGTTGTCCAGTGTTTAGCGCATCCGAGACGCCCGGGAACTCACCTTCATTGTAGATCTCCTTGCTCACACCACCGAGTCTTGTGTACTTGATGGCACGGTGACCACCATCGACGTTGAAAAGGGCATTCGAGAAGACAAAGCCACCAGCAACCATGAGCGTACCGGCAAGAGCAGCAGCTCCTGAGCCGCGAGGCAGTCTTGGAGGAACGCCGCCACCGCGACCTCCGGTGGTTTGCTGCATTTGGCGGAGGCGGCGCATGGCCTCTTCCTGCCAGTTCGGTCCGGACATTGTGTACTGTGAAAGGATGAAGGCGACTCGAAGATCCTCGTTTCGTGCGATCGATGACGAATTCGAGATGCTGCGCTGTCGAATTGAGATGGACTTGGGGCGAGAAGGAGTGCGGAGGTTTTGCTGCAAGCTTGCGATGCTTTGCCTGGCGACGGCCTGAAAATTGGACCCGCTCCAAGTTTGGCTAGGGCGGCTAAGCCCAATCGGGCGCAGCGCAACGTCTCGACATGGTTACCTACAATACTTGATTTTGTCTCTGCTGGATAGCCCCAAAAAAGAGTCATATTGTTAAAATAAAATAATAGATAACCCAGTTTATACGGAATGAGTTGTGAAATTGCTTGAATTAAATCGTACGCGCATAGTTTTGCTCGCCGGCAACCGTGGCTGACTGCGTATGCAGCTACACTGTCATACCACCAACTCCTCTATTGCTACAGTAGTTTTCTTACACAGCGCCAGCAGAGGCAGCAGTAGATCTTGGCTTTCTAGCGTAGCCATTGAGAATACGATAAGCAGCTCTGCAATTTCTTCCCTCCTCAACAACGGCATGCACACCCTCCAAAGCCTTGGCTGCGGTTCGGATGGACTCGCCAGCAGTGACAGTGTCAACCAAGCGAAGCTCACCAGCAACCTTCTCCATCTCGCATCGGAGAAGCCATCGCTCCCAGCTCCATGCTCCAACAATGCTGCAAACGTTGGCAATGTTGTCGGTGCCGCCAATCATCGCATCGCCCTCGCAGACTTGTCCACTGGTTTGAGCTGCCATGTGCGCCATGCCCTTGGGCTTGGCACCGAGGGGAAGACAAACCCAGGCGCGACGGATGTTCTCAAAGCCAGATCGGTTAAGTCTTGAAATCCATCTCTTAGATGGGCTAGGATCATATCCAAGAGTCTTGAGAGAGAATCCAAACTCAACGCTCTTTGCCAAGCCGACAGGGCCGGCGTTCATGATGTCTGAATCCATAATGGAGAACTCCAAGTAGCCGCCTGGCTTCAATACTCTCATGCATTCTTGGAGGCAGGTCTCCCATTCATCCTCGCCATTCTCACCCACGTACTTGAGAATGCTATGAAGCTCGCGAGCATGGATAAGGTCAAACTGATTGTCAGCAAAGGGCAGACGCGTAAGACGGCGAACAGCAACCTGGCGATGGTTGGGAGGACCATGGATGTTGGAGTTGGACAGTTGGCGGATAGCCTTGGTAGTAACAGTGTAGACCTTGGTGTTCGGGAATTGCATCGCGCAGTGCCATGCCCAGTCGCAAGTAGTCTGGCCACCGAGGTCTAGGATTCGGCGCTTGTCGCGAACAAGACCATTGGGGCCTTGAAGCAGGCGAGATGGTCCCGAAAGACGTTGAACAATGGGGGCTGTGAAGAGGCGTCCTCCGTTCAAGAATTTGAGAGCCGCGACGTGCCATGCGGGAATGATCATCTGGTTCATGGCGTCAACTTCCTTTTCCCTTCGGAGCTTTTCGGGATCATCAGTAAGGACTTGGTCACCACGGACGACATTGGCACTAAGTCTCTTTTTGATAGATTGCGGGACAACACTAAGTTGATATTTGCCAAGAAGCTGGTTGAGATGAGTTTCCCGAAGACCGACCCTTTGAGCTTGAACGGCTTCATAGCGGGGGAGCTGGTGAACAAAAACATCGATTCGCTCAGTACGAACGATGTAGTCCTGGAACGCACGATAGTAGGCAGACTCCTGTCGAAACAAAGTGGATGGCAGACGCTTTGGTTCCTCCTGGACAACAGTAGAGAATCGGACGACCTTCTTGGCCTTGTCAGTCTCCGAAGCATCCTCGGTTGATGGCTCAGGAGTGGCAACCTCATCTTCAGGCTTGTTCTCGAATACCTTCAAGATGGATACATCATCCTTGGTAGTGATACCGTTGAGATATGAGCGCTGGGCGACCAACCACAGCTCGGTACGATCCAGATGAGAGAGCGCAACCTGTTGCTGCTTTCTGGCGTAGTTGGGGTCGTAGTCTACAACAATCTCTGTAGGAGCGTCTTCTTTGGAAGGAGATAACGGGGCGTCTGAAGCCACGGGAGCGGATGCAGTCTGTTCCTCTTTGATCACTGGTCGAGCGGTTGGCATATCATCCGACATGTCGTCAGGAATATACTCAATAACATGTTCAATAGGATCGCTCGCAACTGTAGCAGTTCTATAGAAGCTCTCTGCTGAGTCTGGGCGATGGGGTAGTGCAGGAACAGGTGGGATAGACTCATCTCTTTGCCATGGTAGTCGGTAAAAGTGTTCCGCTGTTGTTGAAGTTGGCGGGACCATAGGCTCTGGGGATAGAGTAGAAGGGTGCCAGGTGGTGCGAGTTCTCGGCGTCAATGTTGAAAAGAAACCGCCAGGGGAGGGAATGTCAAGTTTAGCCAACTCTGCCATGGATTGTCGGACCGGAATAGAGAGTCGTGGGGCCTGTGGTGGCATTGAGTTGACGAGCCTCGGAACGGAAACCTGTTGCATTTCTTGGACGGGGGCAACTTCATGGGCATCAATCTCAAGAACCTGCTGGGATTGATCTTGGGTCTCATCCTCGCCGTACGACAGTGCATGAAGCGTGGCCAGAGCATCTGGTTGGAGCTGAACTCCAGCCCAAGCCTCTTCCGTCGTATTGTCCTCATTACCAACAACGGGCGTTGGTGGTGCGCTTATAGTGGCCAATTGCTCAGATGTCAAACTTCCATCCAATGATGGAGGTGCGGTTGGTACGTCCTGAGATTGCTGCTTGCCCATGAATTCGAGTTGTGCAGGCGACATGGGCAATTGTGCAGAGGGTGTAAGAGGGACCGGTGAGGCAAGCTTTTTGATACCATCGAACCCTGCCCAACCTTCTGCGGTAGCATTCATACCATTGGGTATAATCAGTTTCATAGAAACTTTGGTGACATTGTCTCTGGCGAGTGTGTGACTGGCTTTGGAGGATGGTACCTGCTTGAGGCTGTCACGGCGATCGTCCTCATGGTCCGAAACATCATAGAGATCTTCAAACTCGGTGTTGTCGGTAGCGACACTCATTCGGTTCCACTGGTTAGACGAGGTTGTTGGCGAGCTGTCTCCTGCAGAGCTGCCGGAAGGAGACGATGGTAGAATGGGAGCCGACAAGAAGTTGATGCCGCGAGGAGTCGGGAAGTGGTCGCTGAGAGGTGAAAGCCAGGCTTCGATCTTGAGTTGCGAAGAATTGCCGCGAGATGTAGTCACGCCTCGTACGATTTGTTGACCATGAGGGTCATCGCTTTCCTCCTCTAAAATCGGATTAAGTTGTCGTCGCCTTCGGCCCAGCGAAGGCTCAGACGATGTGAAGCTGCTTGGCGGGAGACGTTGTGTCTGCGCCATGGTTATTTGTTTGCAGTGAAACCCTTTTTTATATGGTAATGATGGTACGAAGTAGTCGGAATCCTGCCGGCTAAGTTGCAAAGTTGTAAAAGTATTTGAAAAAGTCGACGTCCAGCGCCTAGTTGTAGATTGAAAATTGAAACGATGGGCTGCCTCGCTCAGCGAGGCGTCTATGAATCTGCAACGAAGAAATAGAAAAGACAAAAGGAAAATAAAAGGCGTCGATAAAAAGGAAAGAAGAAGCGAATAGGGAAGAGGAGAAAAAGGTATAACGGCGATCTCATTGGGGCGAGAAGCACTTAAGAGGGAGGGCAGCCCCGCGGTTTGGTGGGAGCTGTTGCATGGAGCGGCTTGGGGGCGGCGCCAAAGGCCTGTTCAACTGTATCCTTGTTCAAAAGGTGACTTATGACAAAAAGCTCGGCGCTTGCATGCTGGCATACAGTCTGGTACTGTATTGAGAGGCGCGCCGCTTGCCACAACGAGGGTTGCATCAGCAGGACCGCAAGACCATCATTGCCCAATCACAACCACTAAGCTTAGCGCCGCGCTGCCTTTTTGGGATAAGACGCATCAGCAAGCTCCGCCATCTTCCGGTGAGGTCAAATTGTGCTTCTTTGTGATTGGGCTGGTTGAGAATCCCATTCGGCCAATGAGAGGCCCGGCGGCATAGCTCGGCGGCTAAAATTCTGGCAGTGGTTGGCAGTGATTGGCAGACAGCGTTGAAACATTGAAGCGAGCTAATGCAGTCGATATGTTTCGAGAAAATAACCACCTGGGCGGCTCGCTAAATGGATGTGCATCATCGTATTCTCGCAAGCGATGTGGCGGGTACAATGCCGTGATGCAGAAGGATAGGATCTGTTCAAGAGTTCACGGTACGCATCTTGACTGTTTGAGGGCGTTGGCGTTGCAACAGCATCCGCTTGCGAAGCCTAGAGTCACATAGAAATCATTAAATCACCAGGCGGTACATCTTTGTAACTTGTTGGTCCCAATACGCGCGTAGCAAAGCAATAGCGTCATGCACGGCAGTTGATGAACCCAGTCACGGTTAATTATGTAGAAGTGAACTAAGACAGTGCCTGAGTTTCGCTGGCAGCTCCGCTGTAGCTTGCACTATGTAGGCAACCGCCCAAAAAAATCCAGCGCCACGCGCACCGCCACACATCAAAGAGCCCCTCCATATGGCAGCTTCTACTACCCCGCCAAAGAAGAAAAGCTGCATCAACAAGCAAATTTCATCTCAAGAACAATGGCAGACACAGAACAGTTAGAGCTCCCTTCAGAGCCCCAAAGCAGACTCGTAACATACTGCGGAGGTATGTAGCTAGCCGAACAAATGCCTGTTGGCAGCAACTAACAAGTAAAATCACAGTTTGCACTCTCCCTCCCGAAGTACATATCACGACTCCCGCCAATGACGACTCTCGATATGCTAACAATCTATAGTACTGTGAATATGGAGGAACTGTTAAGAAGTGCCAGGAGTGGCTGGAAGCGAACCGCAAAGACATGTACGATGTTATTTGGTCTGCAGGTGCGTTGGGCAAACCAGATGTCAACCTGTCGCGTGATTGAGCATTGAAAGGATTGGGTGCTAACCTACTGAATTTTACAACTACAGAGGCATTAGAAGCCGCCACTGCATCGCTCTCCATTGAGGCTCAGAAGCGCGCCGCCAAGGACGCACAAAAGAAGACCGCAAAGGCAGAAGCCGCCGAACAGAAGCAGGCTGACAAACTTGCCGCCAGCGTTGTTACCATTAAGAGAATCGAACGAAACAAGAAGAAGTTTGTCACAGCTGTTATTGGCCTAGAGGCGTTTGGCCTCGATCTCAAGAAAGTCTGCTATATCTACACATCACGTTCCGCCATTCGTTTTTGCTAACGTTTCTCACAGGTTGCCAAGGATTTTGGCAAGAAGTTTGCCACGGGCTCATCAGTCACGAAGCTACCGAACGGTGGTGAAGAGATTGTGGTCCAGGGCGATGTAAGCGACGAACTGGAGGAGTTCATTTTGGAAAAATACAAGGAAATCCCAGAAGACAACATTGAATTCGTGGATGATAAGAAGAAGAAGAAGGCCGCAGCCGCATAAATTGATAGATGTAACCCTTAGTTAAACGCCGTACGAATATAACCCGACACATAATCCAAAGTGTCAATGATGAAGTTAAAAAGAAAACAAGAATCCCAGCGCAACCCATGCCTGTTTGTCGTGCAGTATGCAACAATCAATAAAACGCCATAATTGTGATTCTAAATCGTTATTAAGCTCGCTTGCGTAAAATCCTTCCACTGCTACTGGTTTGTAGAGTACCACTAGTCTTCGTGGAGGTGGTAGCCTTTCTAACACTGCTGGTAATAGCTTTGCGGGCAGACGATGCCGTCGCTTTCGTGCCAGTGGGCTTTCGCACAACGGTTGTCGTGCTACTTTGGCTGGTGTCGCTCGCGTTACTCAGGCGACGTCCAACTCGAGTTGGAGGACGAGATGGTTGGTTCCTCGAGGTGGTCACTGGCCGTGTCTTGTTGCTCATTGCCGTTGCTGGTCGAGACGTAGATGTTGTGGTAGCTTTCCTCGACCCTGCTGCCCGAGCAGCCTTGGCCTTCTCGACCATGTTGGTTAGGGCGTTGATAGCTGTTGCTGAGCGTGATTGACCATTGCCCTTGAGCGGTGATCCTGGCCTACTGAGTGGAGCCTTTCTGGGCGATGTTTCGCGATGAGCAAGGCGTGAGTTGGAGGAGGTAGGTGATAGGACCTGTGTAGGGCGAACGCTGCCCATCTGCGCTCCGCGAACGCGTTTCTTAAGGTGCTCGCCATTCTCATTCGCATTCTCCTTGTCACCAGAAATCTCATGGCTATGCATTGTTAGTGACGTATTCGACACGGAAATCAAAAGAACCTACCTCAGTCGTTTCTGGTGATGTGCTTGTGCTGTCTTCTTTGGCTGGGTTCGCGTTGGATAGTCCTTTGCTGGAACTGGTGGAGGCGCGACATTTGCTGCTTTCTGTTGCTCTTGTTGAATAAACTTCATGAGGAGTTCTCCCATAGTCATCTTTCGCAGGGATGTTGGAATTCTATTTATGCGCATCTCGATACGCGAACGAATGCCTTGGGCGTGGGCGTGGTACTGAGCTCTCAGTCGTCGAGCGCGTTCCGTGACTGTACCTTGGTTAGTCACCAGTGAGGTTGAAAAGGGAACTTCTACATACCCTCAAGTTGTAAATTATCGATCAAAGTTTGTTTTTGCTGAAGTGAAATGCCAATTTTTCTTCGTTTGATTGGGCTTCGCTGTGGTGTCGAAGGACTATCGCGAATCGGTACTTTGGTAGCCATTCTCGACTTGGACTTTTGGTCAGAAACCAGCTTTTTTGACTTGGTTGGAGCCATCGTCGATATTTCTATCTACCAATATTTTTCTGGAATAAAAATCTTGGAAAATTAGATGTGAAGGCTCGGCGTTGTGTTTGTGAGGTTGCGTAGAAGCTCGAGGCGCGACTGTGGGTGTGGATCGCAAAGTAAACAAACGGCATGCAACCTTATGTAATCGACCAGGCGGTCTCCCCACCACCGCTTGGTACCTCCACTTGCCACGTAAAATGCCAGTAGTGAGATGTACCTTTCGCCGTGCTCCAGGCTGATCTGACTGACGACAGCTCAAGCTCCGACCTGTGCAGGCACACTCAACTACAACCTTGAATCCCCATTTGCCATCACCAGCAGCATTTCTGCATAGTTGCTCACGATTTAACGACCGAATTGCACCATTACATACGAAATAGGCGTCAGGATATCATTAGAATAGATCGCCAAGATGGTTCTCGAGGCGGTAATGGTCGTTGTGGACAACAGCGAGAGCAGCCGAAATGGAGACTACCAGCCCACAAGATTCGACTCCCAAGTTGATGCTGTCAATGTCTTGTTCCAGAGCATTACACAGGGAAACCCCGAATCCTCTGTTGGCCTCATGAGCATGGGTGGCAAGGGACCAGAGGTTCTCGTCACGCTGACAACAGAGCAAGGCAAGATCCTTGAGGGTCTGCACAGAACAAAGAAGAAGATTGGCGGCTCGTCTCACTTGAAGACTGGCATCCAGGTTGCTACTGTGAGTTTTCCACACTCTCTAGAACTAGAATTGGCGCTAACCGATACACTCAGCTTGCTCTCAAGCACCGTCAGAACCGATCACAGCGACAAAGAATAGTCGTGTTTATCTGCTCACCGATCGAGGAAAGCGAAAAGGAACTTGTCACCCTGGCTAAGAAGATGAAGAAGGGAAACATTATTGTTGATTTCGTCCTGTTCGGAGAGCTTGATGACGATGCGACACAAAAGAAGCTTGAGGTGTTCAACGAAGCCGTCAAGGGCAACGAAGGCTCTCACTTTGTTGTCATCCCTCCTAGTAGCAAGCTTCTGAGCGACCAGCTTATTGCGACCCCAATTCTTCTCGGAGAAGGAGCCTCTGGCGCCGGCGCCGGTATGGGTGGCGGCGATGAAGAGTTCGAATTTGGATTTGACCCCGCTATGGAGCCCGAACTGGCGCTCGCTCTGCGCATGAGTATGGAGGAAGAGAAGGCAAGACAGGAAAAGCGCGCTCGCGAAGAGCAGGAAGCAGCTACTAAAGCATCATTGGAGGGCATTGCAGAAGAGGGAGAGTCGAGCAAAAAGGACGACAAGAAGAAGGGTGACGACGTGGACATGTCCTGAGGCTATGATATTTGGCCAATTTGGCATTGTAAAATAGACATCAAGACACGTCTTAGAATGAAACAAAGAAATTAAACACTACAGAAGAGCCAGGTTGTCAATGTTTTGTATGGGGAATCTTTGTGAGTTTTGATTTGGATTCTATCGACTATTTATCTCGCGTATGTACGATGAGAGTTTGCGTTCAAACATATCACATCTGATGGGCATATCGAGCGAATAAAACGGATTCTTCATAACATAATCCGCATATAAGTCATATATCTTTCTGATTGTAACGTCGACATTCGTCTGTGTCGTGTCTGTAAAGAGGAGGAACTTGGTGCCGGTCATGGTGTTGAAGCATTGCATTCGGAAGTTTTCAGTTTCCAGCACTTCCAAGCCGGACGATGGTTCTGGGCGTATCGGTATTCCACCAGCTGGTGTCGGAGGGGCTATTGGCTTTACTGGATTTAATCTGGCTGTAATGGCGTGAACGCTGCAAGCTGTGTCAGTAATCCCACATTCTGCCACCTTGACGCCGGCTGTGCCAACACAACATGTTTGTCAACATTATAGAGAGCAAGGAGCTTACCCATGAAATGTTCCTGCTAAGACAAGGTAATCATTTGTGCTAATCGTGTTGAGCCCGCCTTCGTGGAAACTTCGATTGTATATCAGGCCTCCGGCTTTGTTAATGATGATTAGGGAGAAGACCGTCCTAGCTGCCGGTTAGCAACATAACCTTTCAAGAACGCATTGAAGTGATCGCACATGACGAGTATGTGTTTATTAGTATCGCGCACTGCCAGATATAGAGTCCGACTAGCTGCAATGGCATGGACCAGGGGTGACTGACGCCTCTGCGCTCCAGTTAGCTTCCCGTGCTGCTTTTGGTTGTAGAACAAGTCTCACCTTTAGCCAAAGACCTGCTTGAGATATTAAGGCAGCAGAATATGAAGATTATAAGTTTTGTATTTTCGTAGAATTATCGTCGTTGCCGGATGGTGTCAAGTGTCGTGGGGTCAAGTCGGCGGGATGCTGGCGACGCTTGGGCGACAAGCACGACCGCCCCACACGCAGCACCAACGCCGCCACAGTAGTCAGCAGAAACGAGGTGCGCCAAACCGCCCGCGCAAATCCGCCAGCGACTTTTCTTTCCCTGAAACCATTTCGACCTACCGACATCGCGACGCGACACAGTGTGCCAGCCATACGACCGGTCCGCCCTTGTGAATTTTAAATCGAGCTTTCTGGGCGTCATTCGTTTTTACTATTAGCCAGCGTCAATCCCTTCCGCATCGCACGGCTGCTGCCTACGTACACTGTCACAATGTCGAACAAGACATCCCGCCCGAAGCCTCCTCCTCCTGGCAACGAAGAAGCTGGCACGAATCTCAATCTGGGCGAGTTTCAGCATGTTGATACCCTTACACTTTCCGAAGCTTCACTGGTCCTCAACGCCCTGGTTGCAAAACGACGAAACGACGGCAAGAACGTCAACGAGACAGAGTGCGCACTCTTCCTTTCCCAGCAACAAATACTGTCCAAGTGTACCCTTCTAACATCAATTGATTTGCTAGGATGCTGAACCAAACTCTCACATACTTGGACTTCTTTGCCCGATTCACACAAAAGGAAAATGTCGAAGCTGTCGAACGACTACTCAGCGCCCACAAGAACCTGGCCAAGTTTGAGCGCGCGCAGCTAGGTATGGCATGGATTCGGACAAGCAGCCGCTTAACAAGTTTCTAACGCTCCATTCAGGCTCCCTCTGCTGCGAAGATGCCGACGAAGCCAAGACACTGATCCCCTCTCTGACGGACAAGATTAGCGACGACGACCTCCAGGATCTACTAAACGAGATTTCCAAGCTGCAGAACCGATAGAGCTGCGGCGATAGCAAACTGTATACAAACGTTATACCACATGTTGATATGGTGCAAGGCACGTGCTATAGACTAGTGGCGAGCACTTCCGGCTAGGCATCGTTCACCATTGCGGTATCTTCTTTTAACTCGGCGTATGGGTAAACGTGGTGTTTTCATTTATTTAGGGAATAAGGCGAAAAATAACAATCATAGTCTTTCAATAGACATGGAAATATATCAATAAACTTTTGTGAAATCGGGCTCTACGTGTGTGTGAAGAAGAAAAGAAAATCAAATGCCAATTTTACATATGCCTATCCCAAGTATATCAAAGCGTCGAAAAATAAACAAACAAAGAATACCAGCATATTTACAGTTTCTCCAACAAGATTCTGCTACCGGCGTTACCAACGGGTGTCTCAGTCTTCTTGTTCTTGTTCTTCTTGGCACCCTTCTCGTTGGCGGCCTGCTCCTTGGCCTCTCTGCTGGCCTTTTGGTCGGCTGTCTCCTCCTTAGCAGCCTTATCCAAGAGCTTCTTGTTCTTCTTAAGAACCTTTCGGACGGCATCTGCGTCTGAGAAGTCAGGTGCTTCAAGCATGGCTACGACAACGAATGATGACGGGCCAGTAGCCCACTCGATGATGTAGTCCTTGATAATGGGGTATAAGACGTTGGCAAACTCCAGAGGAGGCTGGATTTGTACGACATGGCCGGCAGCCTTGTCGAAACGGCCTCCCTGGATTATCGACTTGAGCATTCTTCCACCGAACGCAGTCTGCGAAACGTGGACCTTGGGGTTAAGGTCATCCTCGTCGGGAACTGCGTTGGGGTCTGTGCCGACAGACTCAGCAATGGCTTGCAGAGCCTTGGCCTTGTCGCCAGACTCTGACAGCATGACGTCTGTGATGAACTGGCAACCGAAGGCGGTGCTGATAAGATCACCAGGAGAAGAGGCAATCACTTCCAGAAGATGGGGCATCAACGAGGCGATGAGTTCCTGCTTACGCGTGGCGTCGTCCTTCTTACTGGTCTTCTGCCGGATCTCATGAACCTCCTTGATAACATCCTGAGCGAATGTTGATCCTGGGGGGAATAGCGATTTTGACAGGCCCTCAAAAAGGTAAAGGAAGGTGAGTCGGGCATTGGCGTTGTTGGCGGCACCAACAATGTTCTGGACGACCTCCTCATCCTTCTCACCCACAAGCTCAGGGAAGATGGACTTGGCAGTCAACTTTGTGTCATCGATAACGTCGTAGGCAGCAAGGATAACAAGGTAAGCGTAATTATCGCCAGCCATCATGAGGAAAGTATCTTTATATGTCTTGAGGATTTGCTTGCGGTCCTTGGCAGCGCCATGGGCGAGCAGGAGACATGCGAGGCGAGCACCGTTGCGGGTAAATGCCAAGTTCTTGAGCAAGTCGCCATTCTCGTCACCCTTGATCAGCTCAAAGAACTCAGTAAAATCTTCGGTTCCGGGCTCAAGTGATAGGAAGTATTGAAGCATGGCGTCGTGGAGCATTGTGAAACCGGTCATGCGCTTCTGCACAAGAGTGTTGATCATGTCCAGCAGCGTCTTCTTGATAGGGCTTTTCTTGCTAGGTTCAGCCTCGAGGATCTTGTTGAGGTCGGCGGTGACGTTGGTATCCTTGTTCATCTCCTTCAGACTGAACTCGGGTCCGTACCATTCGCGCAGGAGAATGGCCTTTTGTTCCTTGGTAGCGACAGTTCGGTAGATATCGTCCAGAATCCAAGAAGCCTCAGGGTGGTTGATGAGCTTGCGGACTCTGCCGTAGAAGTGAGGGATGATAAGATCGCGGATCTCCTCGTCGTTCTGGACCAGCAATTTGCCGATAAGGAACTTGGCGTATCTGCTCTCGGCGAGCTGGGCATAAGTGCCCTCGAGTTCGTGGGCAATTTGCTTGCGCTGCTCAGCAGTACCATACTTGATAGCAGTCTGTACAGCACGGACAGCGTCGTGCTTGAGAACAAAGTCCTTCATACGGCCAGTGATGATTTCGAAGAGTTCGGTAACCAGCTTCTGTCTCTCCTCCTTGGGAACCTTGGACTTGATTCGGAGCTTTTCCCAGATCTTCTTTGTACGGTGGACCTCATCGGCAAGAGGCTTAGCCGCCTTTCTTTCTTGAGCTAGTTGCTTCTGCTTGGCGTGCGATTCGCGGGAGGTTTGTCCTGGAGACCAAAGTCAACATACTGGCTAGGCGGCACAGAGATCTAAGATCGTAAACATACCTCGTTCGAATGTCTTTCCGTTCGAATCGTCATCGTTCTTCTTGAACTGCTTATGCGAGCGGTTCTGGCCTAGCTTAACACCGCCATCGTCGGAATCCGAGAAACTCTCAAAGTCGTCGGACCCGTTGTCTTGGGCTTCTTCAGGCTCAGCAACCTCTTCAAGCTTGGCTTTCTTGGCTTTTCCGTCAGATTTACCCTTTTTGTCTCCGGACGCCTTGCGCTTGTTGCCAATGGCAAGATCTTTGGCTGCCATGGTTGAATGTGAGGGCGGAATTCTGTATTGAACAATATGCTGCCGCTTGTAAAACTTGCACCAAAACCGTCTGGCGGCGCCTGACAGGCTATCTCCAAAATTTTTGTGAAATCTGCCAGGCGGTCAAAGTGGCGCTAAGCCTAGTTTGGCGCACCGAACCACCCCGCCAAAGTGCTGGTGCTAACCCGCCTAAACCAACCACTGTAGATTGCTAAAAACTCCATCGACAATTGAATAACTACCACAACCCGCAAGACCTAATATATCTTCGAGTCAAATATGGGTCGCGAAGATCAAGTTGAAGAGCGAGAGGTTCTCGACTCCATTTTCCCCGAAGAAATCACAGGTATGGGCATCCTTTCTACGCACATCTCGCGTTGGCGCTGCCCCTCCTCACATTCAAGCTAGATATATCCGAGACCGAATTCAGAATAACAGTTGCCTTGGACCTTCCCGATGCGAAAGAAGACGATGAGCCTCCCAAATTCATCCTAGCTGTTAAATATCCCGAGAATTATCCCGATGAGGCACCCCAACTAGAGATCCAGAACCCCGCCAATGCCGCGCCGCATCCTTACTTCAGCGTTGCCGACGATCGCGAGCTGCTGCTCGAGGGTATCGATGAGACAATTCAGGAGAACCTCGGCATGGCCATGATTTTCACCATAGTATCTGCATTGAAAGACTCTGCGGAACAAATTATCCAAGACCGCAAAGATGCCGAAGCCAAGGAGCAAGAAGAGCGAGCTCTAGCCGCTGAGCGCGAGGAAAACAAGAAGTTCCAAGGCACACTTGTCACAGCAGAAACATTTGTCAAATGGCGTGAGGGCTTTATGCAGGAGATGGAAGAGAAGAAGCAGAAGGAGGAGGAAGAGAGACTCGCTGAGCAAAAGAAGAACAAAATCAAGGAGCCCACAAGGCTCACAGGCAAGCAGCTCTGGGAGCGCGGCTTGGCTGGTAAGGGTGATGAGGAGGACGATGAGGACGTCCCTACTGAAGGCATTGAAAAGCTTGCTGTAGAAGCATAAGCTGCTATGATGGGATAACTTGTCTATATTCGAACATAACTGGCGTTGGGACATCTTTTACTTAACTCATTGGAAACAGCAATGCAAAATAATTTCCACGGTATTACGCTCATATCAGTTTTTTGCAACAATTGTGTAAGAAAAATAGAAGAATGAGAGTTTTTCGACATTTTAGTCTATCTATTATGAATCATCAATTTCATCATGTTGGCATTGTAAGCCAGCATGCTCTAGCCCTGCATCTCCTCATCTTGATCATCGTCATCATCGCTCTCCTCATCCCAGTCCTCCTCGCCCTCTTCAGGCTCACCAATCTCGGCATTGATGCTTTGGACAAGCTCAATAGCATGCTCGCCGAGTCTCTCATCCTCATATTCCTGGATATCGTAGAGCTTCAAGCACTGGGCCAGCCAGCGGCGTGCAGATCGCCAGGTGTCCTTCCAGTCCTCATTCTCAGAAGCACCGTTTTGCGAGCTCTGGGCGGCGCGGAGCTTCTCGCCCGCAATGTAAAGACCCCAACCGCCGAGGTACCAGGCCTCAATACTCTCATCATCATCCGTAACGAGACGCTCCAGAACAGTGAGAGCCTCCTCCATCATGTCGGTCTCAAGCAAAAGGCGAGCCAGGGCAATACGTGAAGGGAAAGCAGGCACTGAAGGGTCCTCGGGAGGCAAGTCCTGCCAGATTTCCAAGCTTCTCTTAAGCGCCTCTTTGGCCTCATCACTGCGCTCTTGCGATATGCGCACGTTGGCGACTGTCTGCCATGTCTCGGGAGAGCCAGGAGCAACCATCATAGCTTCGGTGATGAGAGCCTCGCAACGCTGCTCAGCGTCTTCCTCCCATGAGAGATCGGTCATATAAACTTCAGCCACGGCGCACAGAACACCACCAAGCTTCTCTTGCTTTTCTTCATACGATGCCTGCTGTTCGGGTGTCTTGCTGCTGTTGTCGGCCAACGCCTGAATCTGTTTTCTCAACGCCACAGCTCCAAGGTCGAACCACTTGACGCTGTCCTGTCCACCTTCATCGCTGAGCTCGGCCAGGAAGAGGAACTTTTCGGGTCCACCACCAATCTTCTCCTCCAAAGTGCCATCTTGGTCGAGCTTCACAGCCTTTTCAAAGTATTCTTTCGCTTCGTCGACATCGCCGAGTTCGATGCTAAGGATGCCGAGGAAGTTGAGGGCTCTGAGCTCGAAATCGCCACCGGCACCAGTGTTCTCCAAAGCATTTTCAGCTAGAGCAACGGCCTCTTCCACCTTGCCCACGTTAAGAAGCGTCTCAGCGTCGTCGAGAAGCTTGGCGGGGTTGTCGGACTTGCCCGACTTGGGCCTGCTCGGGGCCATTGTGTATTTTTTTTTGTTTAGATTTGGGTATAAAAGTTTCGATGTATAAAATATGGATATGTTCAATTATTCGGCCGTTACCCGAGTATAGCGTTTTTGAGAATTTTATTCTTGAGAACGAAACAGTTGGGCCGCGATGTCGCTGTAGTAGCCCACTGAGCTAGAAAATTTTGGAGGCGTGGTTTATCGATAACATCAGCGCCGACAGTGGGCGGCTGTAGTAACGGCCACTGATGGCGGGGCAACTTGCAACCGAACATCCCGCTTCCGATTAATAATTGTATACTCTCCAAGACACTTTGGAAATACCGCTGCTGTATTTTTGAAGGTTTACTTCGATTAATATACAATTAGCGTCTATAAACAACTATATCACAGGCAAATCATCATCTAGCACCTTGCAACGTCTAGCTCCCGCACCGACCAGCCATGTTCACAGGACTTGTCGAGGAGATTGGAGGTGTGTTATATTCTCTCTATTCAATATACACTGATGCTTATCCTATTATAGTACTCTCCAAAATTGTCAAGGATGAAGCTACAAACAGCTCCGAATTGACGATTTCAGTACCATCTGGTTCCGGCCTTCTCGCCGACTGCCACGATGGTGACTCAATCGCCGTAAATGGCTGCTGCCTTACTGTCACCTCCTTCACAGCCACCGAGTTTACTGTTGGCGTAGCCCCAGAAACACTGCGAGTTACCAACCTTGGTACTTTGGTTGAATCTGGCCGTGTGAACCTGGAGCGTGCTATTCGCGCTGATACTCGCATGGGTGGTCACATTGTTCAAGGACATGTTGATACCACAGCTGAGATCCTCTCAGTCCAACCAGATGGCAATGCTTTGACTTTCCGATTCAAGCCCCAAAAGCCCGAATTTTTGAAATACATTGTCCACAAGGGCTTCATTGCCATCGACGGTACCAGCTTGACCATTACACAGGTGAACGATGCCGAGGGGTGGTGGGAGATTATGATGATTGTGTATACCCAGGATAAGGTTGTCGTGGCCCAAAAGAAGGCTGGTGAGCTTGTTAATATCGAAGTTGATATGATGGCTAAGTATGCCGAGAAGTCTCTCATCAGCATTCTCGGTGGAAGCGATGGTCAGGCTTCCATCCCCTTGCTGGAGAAGATGATCCAGCGTATTGTCGAGCAGCACACAAAGTAGTGGCTCAAACTAGACCGAGACATTGTTAGAGCAACAGAATTTTGTAAAATAAAGCATGAAACTCACATATTCCTCTCAAACATCGCCCCATATCTCTGCGATCTTCTGACTAAGACTCTTGGTGAACTTCTTTCTGCCAACCAAATGGCCAAGCTCGCCAGATACGAGATCAATTTTGCGTTTCTTGCCCTGTTCACCAGAGCCACATTCTTGGTAAGCTTTAATAAAGCCATGTGGTGTCTTCCACTTCCTTTGTATCTCCAGAGCTCGCTCTCCCGTGAGCCCTCTGGTCGTCATAAGCATCTTCAAAAACACATCCCGAAGTGTCATTGTCTCTGACTTTGAGGCCAAGGAAGAAAATGCGGGATAAGTCACATAATGACTAATAGTTGGTTTATGCTCTCTCAAATGCTCCAACAATGGTATGTAGTTTTGGGCGGTAAGCACACTTGTTGGAATAACATGTAGCGATTGACCTTCATACTTTCGTTTCAGCATCTTTGTAATTCGTGTGAGATACTTGATGGTGTCATCCATCTTTAGCGTTCGCTTAACGAAATAGCCGTTGACAACCTGAGTCGAGGCTATGGCAGTTTGAACAGACTCCTCATATCGAGAGTGTGTGGCGGAGTCCATTGTGATTTCTTCAATGATATATATGACGTTTTGAATACCAGATCGTTTGAGACGAAATTTTTGCTCATGGAAGCGGCCATCTTTGATACTCCCAATCAGATCGTCGAGTCGTTTTCGCTCCACGATCCAGTCTAACACAACCTCCTCTCCCTCTGCTCCGTGATCTGCGAGATAGGTTGGGTTCTTGCACCGAGCTACCCACTGAGCATCTCCAACTTCGAGACTCCGCATGATGGGATCGACGCCTTGTTTTGATAATTCCTCTTGCATATAGTCCCTATCCTTTTTCGCACGGACCTCTCGCACGTCTAATAATAATTCCACAGTGAATTCTCCTGGCGGTATTACTATTGGTGTAAACTGAGGAAGACCGTCCGGATCTGTAACTGCTTCACCATCTGCGACGACATCAACCCTGTTGCTGGTCTGTTCTTCAGCGGCGAAACTGCTTCCATCGCCTCCTGTAGTTGGTAACGCTGGCATATTGGCTGCGCTAATAGATCGGCCAGACTTTTCTGTTGTGTCTTTGATACGTTTTGCAACATCCCAGCCTTCGTCTGTTAAGGCATATCGTCTAAGTGGGCGACCATGTTCATAAATCAATTCCTTTTGCAACAAAGTTTTCATTGAGCTCCAAGCAGTATAAAATTTTGTTGGGTCACTCGGTGCGGTGAACGATGAATCGCAGTTTGGTTGAGCTGCCTCAATAAGTTCTGCCTTTGTCATGCCATTCAACGAGTCTTCTGGCAAGCAGGAAAGTCCAACTATCAATGCAAATGCTCCAGAACGATATGTCGGAACGTATGACTTGGGCTGGCGCGGCTTTCGTTTTGGTTTGCTCGAGTCTTCTGCTGTAGCCTCTGGCGCATTGCGTGCGCGCCGTACTTGGGGATGTTCTGGCATAGATAGTCCATTCTCTTCGCAGTGCTTTTTCAGTTTTTCTTCCAGTCTTTCGCACAGTTTCGGCCCAAATCCTCGCAGCTGTTGAAGTTCGCTAGGATGTTCAAATGTCATGGGACACGCCTTCAGAGAGTCGTAGGCATTCTTGTATGTTGTGACGCCTTTAGAGTTGCGCTCTCGAGCAACGTCGAGCCATTCTTTAACCCATGCCAGAAACTGGGCATTTGTCGATTCCTCTGGCTCCGCCATGGTAGCGTACAACTCTTTGTGATCGGGTGCTATGGTGCTATGTGGCGTTGATTGTCATTTCATATATTCGCCTTGACCGTGAACCGTGTTGATGCGTGGTGTGACAGCGCGTCAGTGGATTCTACTTGTAGCGCCGTCCACTTTAGCGGCCGTGGTGGGGAAGCCACGCCCTGTGAGACCAGCGTGTCCAGCGGAAGGCGGTTCCGAATAGGCGCTAAGCCTCAGTGGTCAATTATTAGTAGTTTGTTAGAAACGTACTGTATTAGGAAGCATATCACGGTAAGCAGCCATGGAGTTTTAAAAAACATGACAAGTCATTCTCTATAATCTAAATGTAGTCATGAACATGCACATCCTTCCCTATCTCAAACATAAAGAGACCAATCGGTCTCAAAGCCAAGGTATCCATCCCGTCCATTTCATATTTGCAGTATTCATCTTGCAGTTTCAGTCCCATTTTTTGTATATAAATCACGCTCACCGAAGCCGTTTTGTGTCATTAGCATTTTCTTTTCACCAAGTTTGCTTTTTAAACGCCATTTAGCACATGCGGTAGTCGCACTCGCCCTGGGCAGAGCGGATCTCATCGTCAGTCTTGAAGTTGTAGGCAATGTCGATGTCGAGGTCACGGCGGTTCTTCTCGTTAGGCTTGACCTTGACGTTGCACTGAACCTCTTCGCCGTTCTGAACGGTAAGGACATCCTTGAGGTAGAAGACAGTCTGCTTCCAGTGGGTGTACTTGGTGTGGGGACCAGTCGAGAAACGGATAGGCTTGTGGCAAGCGGTGAAGTCAATGTCGAACCACGAAACAAAGGCGTGGATGAAGTCATCGCGCTTGACAGACAGAGTAAAGGGGGTGTTGAAGGCGAGATCGGCAGTGGTGCAAGTGTAGAGGTCCAGAGTGAGGACGGGAGTAGGGTCGGTAACAACGGTCTTGATATCGACGGTATCGACGAGGGGCTCGGAAAGGGCAGTCTCCTTGAGGGGCGTGTAGTCGAAGCCGTAGACGTTGTCCCAGACTATGAAGGAGTTAGCGCGGTCAATAAATACACTGATAAACATCAAAACTTACAGCCAATCTTCTCCTCCTTGTAGTCGCCATCCTCAATACCAGCAAAGAAGATGGTGGCCTTGTCGGGGAAGATCAAACCATCCTTGGCAAGGTACTTGTCACGGGCGTACAAGACGGTGTCAAGCATGGATTCGTAGAGAAGGAAGTATCCCATCCACTCAGAGATGATGATATCGACCTTCTCGACAGGGAGGACAATCTCCTCCATCTTGCCCTGGATAAGGGTGACCTTGTCAGACAGACCGTTGGCGGCGACAATCTCGCGGGCCTTGAAGATGATGGTAGACATGTCAACACCAATGACCTGCTTGGCGCCAGCCTTAGCGGCGAACCTGTTGTCTGTGTTAGTAATGTATCATTACAAGTGGTCTAGGCTTAATTCAAACATACATGGAGAGAATGGCGGTACCGCAGCCAACATCGAGGACGACCTTGTCCTTAAAAATGTGCTTGTTCTGCACAATGGAGTTCATGTAAGAACGAGTACGGACTTCGTCTTTCTATTTGAGCAAGGCAACGGTCAGTAAACTATCAGGGCCGTTGTAGGGTCAGCAGGAGGGCAAACGTACCAACATCTCCTCGTGGATGCCTGCGTTGTCACACGATATACCAGTTAGTCATTGTCTCCGTCTTGCGGTTGTATACGTATTAATATATTCGTACCGTGGTGATCGTAGCTGCAAAACAGAACCAGACATATTAGCATAGCTGTTCGCTCCGTGGTGGACATGGCCATTAAGAAAATATCAAACGTACCTCTTGAAGTAGTGCTGCTCGCTGTGCTCCATGGCCTTGAGCTTTTGCTCGGCAATCTCGACGTCCATCTTGTCACCGCTCATTTTGAAGAATGTCTGAATGTTCCGGTAGACTGTTAATGAAAAACAAAAGAAGAAAGCTGCTAAAATTAACGGCGTGTTCTATGCTTGAGCAAGAAAAGCCGGTGTCGCAAAAGAGCGGGAGGAGGGGAAAAATGCTACACTGCAAAATAGACCCTGCAAAAAAGATGCATTGGCGGGGACCTGGCTTGCTGTTTACAGCGGGCGCACCCACGCCTGCGTCGCCGAGTCGCGTTAGCGCCCTTCTGGATTTTTTTTCACTGCTTCTCTGGGCGGCTCTTCAGTGGACAACACGTGATCGCGAATCGGTGAGGCCGGCAGTCATATTTGCTGTAAGGTGAAGACGACAGAAAAGTAGTATAGTAACGGTGATATTTAGAGGAAAGAGGATTTCTATCATCCAGGTAACATGCTCTTACGGCTTCTGTACGCTATGTTGCTCTACGTCGCTCTAGCCTTTCGCCGCTAGTCACTATGTGCAGAGAGACTGGACATTCAGTGAGACAGGATGCAATACAGTCATCTAAAAACGAAGGTATATGAAATACATTATCATCATACTTTTTTAAAAGCTTCTCCTTCTAAGGGAACCAACTATCGTATCATGACTCAAGCAAGAGCGAAAGCAATAAGCTCTACAAGTTTCTTTTCCAGAAGAACAATCAACACCCAATAACGCCGGGAATGCAATATAATAAGCCCAATAAAATGACAAAAAAGGTACTTTCAACCGCATTTTACACCAACTTACACCAAAAGAACACTGTTGATGCAGCCCTCGTTCTCAGGGTTGTTGGTAACCTGGGCGTAACGACCCCAGACTACCTTGCCACCAGCAGTGACGAGACCCAACTCAGAGACGTTGACTTCGATAACGGTACCCTTGGTCAAAACACCCAGTTGTGTGTACATGGGGTTCTGGGGGTTCTTCTTGACGGAAATAATAGGAAGCTGAACAGTAACGCCAAGCTCGGGGTGAGTGACGTTGGCCTTCTTGTAACGGAGACCCATGGGACGGATGAAGCGTTCGTACTTGGGGTTTCGGCGAGTGAAATCGGGACCAACGAAGGTGGGCTTGGTAACCATGCGCTTCCACGATCTCTTGTGAGTCTTCTTGCCGGTCTCGATGACCTTGAACATTTCCTCCTCGCTAATACCACGGACCTTGGGCAGAGGCACGCTGAACTTGGCAGCCTTCTCGGCTCGCTTGTTCTTGATGGCGCTGCTGAGAGCCTTGGCGTTGGTAGGGTTCGATCGGTCGAGCAAGTAGGCGGGCATAGGGGTGTCGGGCTCCTTCTCGTTGGCGGTCTTGACATTGCGCTCCTCGTGAGCCTTGATGGCCTTCTTCATCTGGATCTTCTCGTTGTGACGCTTCTGGTGGAAAAGCTTGGCTCTCAGACCTCGCAGGTTCTGGGAATCCTTGGACTGTTTGTGACCCTCACGGGCAATACGCTTTCTGAGACGCTCTTCATGATCGAGACGGCGACCATGCAGCTTGCGCCATCTCTCCATGTACTCATTTTGAGGCTGTTGAACATGTACTGTTAGTTTTGTTTTCCAAGTAACACAGTCGTTTCTATCTTACCATCTTGACGGTGTTTTCTTGCGCGGTTGACTTTGTACTATGAATTCAACTCGACGGCAAAGAAACCTTTTGCTGGAGATGGAAATTTCAAGAGTGGAGATCTCAGACTGTCGCCCATAGAAAAAAAAAGTGGCGGTCCCGCGCAGCAGAAAAAAAAATAGAGGGACACTGCAGCGCCCAGCCATTTTTTCCCACTGAGCCCGGAGCTCGGCGCTACACTTATCCGGGTAAACCTCCCATCTTGAGCTGTCGCATGCCATCCCTAACAATTTTGGCGGCAAGCTTGCTCTACACTTCACCTCCAAGCATCGCCCAATTGGCCACCACCACCATCATGAGCAGGGCACTTTTCCGCTTCGTGCCTGAGCTGCGAGTGCTCCCGAAGCGCATCGCAACACCATCGCTATCGTTAGCCTCCAGAGCATTCAATTCCACAGCGCCCATCGTGGAGCCCATTCCCGAACGTCACGCAAAGAATGCCGCCAATCCCACGGTCAACGAGCCTCGTCCCATGGCCTTTAAGAAGAGCCATCCTGCGCCTCCGCCAAAGCCTGTCGATGATGCCACATTTAAAGACGCTCTTACGCTGCTTGCTGCCCAGCCTGGCCACTACATCACCGTCCATATCCACGGTTTCCCCTACCTTGTTCAAGAGGGCGACCAGATTCGCCTCCCCTTCAAGATGCCTGGCGTCATGCCTGGCGATATCCTCCGTCTCAACCGTGCCAGCGTGCTCGGTAGCCGCGATTATACCGTCAAGGGTGCTCCTCATATCGACGAGCAGCACTTTGAGTGCCGCGCCACAGTAATTGGCACCGAATCAGAGCCTATGCGCATCAAGATCAAGAAGAAGAGAAGACAACGCCGCATGAGACAAGCAAAGAGCAAGCATCAATACACAATCCTTCGCATTTCCGACTTATCAATCAACACACCCGACATTGAGATGACAGTATAGAGAAAAGGGGAGGATGGGAGACAGATTTTAATCAGCAGAAACTAAAAAGGAAATGAGTTCGCGCGTTGTACGAGAGCGGATATCAAAACCTCACCGATATTTTCTTGCGTCATGTATCATCTTATTCCTCGGCGTTTCGTATGGAGGCCGACATGTATCATAGTCAACAAAAACACTGCATCTAGCGTGCTTCATCTTTTAACAGTTACAAATTGTCCCTTGCAGAGAAATGATGATGTTGTAGAGAGGTGCCCTTCATCTGAAAGGCTAAAAATAAGCATTGTTTAAAAGAGGCAGTAAAAAGAAGACTAATGTATAGGCAATCGCTCGCTCATAATGCTTGCAGGCAAGGATAACATGGATCCAAGAAGCACAGAAAAAGAAAGAAGATACCAAGAAGAGGGAAAAAATACAGCAAAATACTCCAACCATTAAAGCATACAAAACATTATCCAACAAAGGCATCCAACGAACAAAAACAATAGAAAACTCCATCGCCGATAAGAAAGGTAAAAAGCAGAAGAGGGGTGGTGTCTAAAGCAATCCCCCTCTGAAACGCCTAAACAGTCATGGGATATCTTTTGTTTTGATTCATTAAGGTTTCGAAAGAGGTGCGACAGTGATGTGGCCGATAATTAGTTTGTTGGGAGAAGATCGTCCTACATCTTCCCAACCATTGCTTTCCTAATACTGGCCCAGTATGCCTGTGGCCAGACCTTCGCACTCTCCTGGTCTGTAGGCATGCGTTCGCGGCATCTGGTAACAACGCTGTGAATGATTCTGCCGAGAAGCTCCTCGTCAATGGGCAATGCACGTTCGCCAAATTCAGCAGGGTACAAGAAGGGGTCGGCATCGTCGAGGAGTTCCTGGCAAGTCGGGCGCATGTGGACGTCTCGGTTAAGGCAGCGGCGCATAGTGCGAATGAGAGATGGTGGAATAAGAAGGCCACCCAGTCCGCGAGAAGGGTACTCGATATGGTGGTCCCAGTTAATGATAGCCTGGCAGCGAGCCATCTGGTTGGCAATGTGGCCGAAAGGAAGCACACCATAGACCATCTGGTATAGGATGCAGCCAAGTGACCACACGTCGCTGGGTTTGCCGATTCTCATGAGCTTAGGGCGGCCGGGGATTCGTCCACCGCGAGGATTGTTGGAGTCGAGCAGTGACTCGGGAGACATATAGTTTGGTGTGCCAATCTGAGTCTCTCTATGGACATTGACAGTTTGGTCTGTCTGAATGGCGTTGGCAATGCCAAAATCGATCAGCTTCAACTCGCCTTTAACAAGGACAAAGTTGGCAGGCTTCAAATCCGAGTGGACAATCTGTCGGTTGTGGACTGCCTGCACGCACTCGAGCATCTCCTTCCAGTAGTATCGGACGAAGGGCACATCGAGCTTTGCATTATCGCTGTTTTGGCGGCCCATGATGACTCCGTGCAAATCGCGCTCACCCATCTCCATGACCAAGCTAAGCGTTTGCTTCTCGGTATTCATTTCATGGGCAACCAAAGTAACGACACGGCTAACGTCAGTTAGCTTCTCCAGCAGCTCGATCTCGCACTTGAGACCCTTGATCGTAGTTTCGTCGGCATTCTCGAGAGAAACACGCTTCAGCGCAAACATTGCACCATTCTCTGCGGTAACTCGGTAGACTTTGCCGCTACCACCACGGCCGAGGCAATCGAGGCGAGTATAACATTTGCCATTGACGCGAAGAATGTTGCGTCGCTGCTTGGTCTGGGCAACAGTAGCGGCGCCAGAATTAGCTGTGGCAGCGTCCAAGACAGACATTTTGGGTGGAGGTGGCTCCTGGCGATGAGGAGTGTTTCGTGTAATAGCAGCTAGAGGTTTGCGCTCGGGTGAGGCAGGACGGGCGACACCAATGTCAGCCTGGAGGGGACGGCGTGCTTTGTCGAGGTCGTCAATGAGAGGCTTGGACCATTTTGTACGAAGAGGCATCTCATTTTCCTGATCCTGGGCTGAGGGCATCTGCAGTCGGCCAACTGAAAGCAAATGACCAATGTCGCCAATCTTGGATTCCTCAGGCTGTCTAGGAGCCTCTTCAAAGGAATTGTGTGGTGATGGTTTAGCAGAATCCATGCGCACATCAAGACCAGAAGGGTTTCGTCGGTGGGCAGCTCTGCTGACAGGAGCACCAACAGGGCTTCCTGAGCTAAACTGGCGATTAATTTCGGGGTTGTATGGTTCCATAGGCTCTTCCACAGGTTGGGGAATGGCGTCCTGAGCCCCGAGCTCTTGTTCACCGTTGCCCTCTTCATCATCCTCACTCTGCCTGCGTCTACCGCGTCGAGCAGGGCCGCTCAGGAAGCTTCCGGATAGTTTTCCTACCCGCTTGACACGCATAGAGCCCTGTGGGTTTCCATTGTCCTCTAGCCTACTCCTCGTCGATGGATATCGTGAGACGCTGCCAGTACCGACGTAGGCACTGTTACGCGCAGCCGTATCAGGAGCTTCGGCTGGTTCATACTCGGCATCAACTGCAGACTTGTCCATTACAGAGCGGTCAAAGTTGGATGGGCCAGCAGAGTTGCCAGCCGAATCAAGACGACTTCGGTTAGCGGAGGAGCGGTTAGCAGATGCGATGCGAACGACGCGATTTGCCTGTGACGGGGTCTTAACAGCCGACTGGAGGTCATTTCGCTCGTCATTCAGCTTTTCCATGCTATCCTGTAGTGCGGGACGTTGAGCAGTCTGTGAAGAGGAGATGGATCGGCGTAGAGAGCCATTCGACTGGTTCAAGCTTTGCGGCGTATTGCTAAGACGCACAACGCGTTTCCTGGGAGGACTGGCGTCTCTGTTGGGGCTGGTTGGCCGAGAGGATCTGTCTTCGGTGGAGTGGCCTGCAGCAGCCCTAGTGCTGCGGCGAAGGGCACCGGCAGGAGCAGCGGTGCTGGTGCTGGCTTGCCGTCTGGTTCTTGGAGGGGAGGGGTATCGGCCCTGTTGGTAGTCGGCACCATCTTCTGGTGTTCCGTCATTGAGCAATGCTTTGGTGAGAGCGCTGAGCTTCATGGGCACGGGCATCTCATCCTCGGACGAGTCATCATGGAACTGGTTTTGAGGCTTCTGGGCTGCGGAGAGAGCAGCCTGGCTGGTACTTCTGGTGATTGTTGAAAGCGGCCGTCTGAGTTGTCTTTGGGAGGTCCGTCTGATGGGCAGACTGCCCATTGGTGTTGGCGAGGCGGTCGCCATTGCTGTGATGTGTGTGTGTAAAAGGTTGTATGTGTTGACGCGTTGTGGAGCGAGCTGGCGAGTAGCAAGAAGGGGGGGGGAGTGCAAGAGCGGGAAAAAATAGGCGATGCTAGAAAAAACAAGATATTTACGTGCTGGGTATCTGCATGATCCGACTGGTTCCAAACGATTGCTCCAAAATGCAGTGTTGTGTCGCGTTGACGTTCTTTTGCTGGGAAGAGTGAGGTTGAGTCGGTCGAGGTGCAAGTCGACGGGTATTTTGGGTGTTTGGGGGCTGCAGCCAATCACAGCGTAGCTGGTTGCCCTGGGCGACGGGATGTCTCTACCTGGCCAGGGTCTCGATTTGATTATATTTGCAGCAGCTTAGCCAAGGAAAGAGAGATTTACGAAAAAATATATATATGCAAAGGTCAACATACTATTGATTTATATCATCTCTTGAGAGTCTGTTTGCCAATATATTTACGGAGTAGCCGGAGAATGGTGAACATCCCACGGCTGTAGTGTAATCTTCAGCCCAGCCGTAGGACCTATCCATTGCAGAAGCTGCATATCTCGTAGTACATTTATTTCGAAACGACTTTTTCCCCAAGGCTTTTCGCATTTATTTACTTGTTTATTTTTCGCGTAAAAATATGGTTTTTCCTAGTTACTACTGCCCTGGTTTTCAACATCCCCTACATCGCGCTTAGTATCTCCAGGTCCACCAAACGAACATGTTGAATTCCAGCCAGACACGACCAAAACAAGACGCGTTAAACTTAATTTCCGTCAAGCGATGATCATTTACCCTGGAGCTTAAAATAATTTCTCGATTTCGTACCTTTTCGTATTTATTCATGGCTTGGTGTTTTATACAGAAGCTATCTTCCAGCTAGTATCGTATCAATATACACAGCAAAAAACACATGTAAAACTTTCACTAGCAAAACTACTGTATTCCCAGCCTTGTGGCTACAGTTCATGTCTAAGCCATACCAAATTATCCTCTCACTACAATTTCTCCCCTAAAACTACTACAATAATTTTTTTTTCATCGTCCGCTACTGTGCATGTCTTGTTCCCCAAGTTTCTGCCCCCCACGCTCCGCACTAAAGCCTCCTTCCCGGGCGGCCGGCAAGCCCAACGGGGCCGAAGCGCCCGAGTACTGAGAAACGCCTTTTCCAGGGGCGATCCTTCCAACGCCAGCCAGCCCGCCCACCTCAACCCTTGATCACTACGTAGCTATCTGTTCCTTATCCAGACATCGCCATCTCCTCCGACTGCGCCGACAGAGACTCAACAGCGCCTTCCAACCCGGTTGCTGCACAGTGCTTTATGGCAATGGCCTTCTTCAAAGCCAGATCATGGGCCAGAGTCCTGTGTCTGTCTCTTGCCGTCCTTCTCTTCGCCACCTTTGCTGAAGCATCCATTGGCGACCGTCTTCCTGAGTTCCAGGAATGTGTGCAGGTGAATTAAGCTATCGGTCAGCTAGAACAAGAAGGCAATACTAACTTAGCTTACTAGGTCTGCAAGACACAGAATTGCGACAGCACACGCGGACACTCGTCGATTCGTACGCCTCCCGACTCTACAGTCGATGTTATACTTGCGCTAACATGACAATCGAACAGCTTTGCACCGACGTCTTTTGCTCTGGAACTGCGCATCCGAATGCGACTATACTTGCCAACACATCATCACCGTTCGCCGCGTCGCCACCAACGAGCCCGTGGTGCAGTTCCACGGAAAATGGCCGTTCCATCGCGTTTTCGGCATGCAGGAGCCCTTCAGCGTCATCTTTTCCCTAGGAAATCTCTGGGCGCATTATGATGGCCTTGCCAAGGTCCGAGCCAACATCCCCGCGTCGTATACTCTGCGGCCGTTTTATGTGTGTCTGGCGTACGTCGGCATTGCGTCGTGGATCTTCAGTTCCATCTTCCATACACGCGACTTCAACGCTACCGAGCAGCTCGACTACTTTGCCGCCGGCGCCAATGTCCTCTACGGCATGTACTACACACCTATTCGCATCTTCCGTCTGGATCGACCGACACCCAAGAGAAGATCCGTCCTGCGAGCTTGGACGCTTCTCTGTATAACGCTTTACCTCTGCCACGTTGCCTATCTCAAGGGTGTTCGCTGGGACTATACTTATAACATGGCTGCCAATGTTGCGGCTGGTATCGTGCAGAACATCCTCTGGAGCTGGTTCTCCTACACCCAGTACAGAAGGACTGGCCGCCTGTGGGCAACCTGGCCAGGGTTAGTAGTTGCATGGGTCATGTTCGCCATGAGCATGGAGCTTTTCGATTTCCCTCCTTGGCTTGGTGCCATTGATGCCCACAGCCTGTGGCATCTCATGACCATCTTTCCCACTATTATTTGGTACAAGTAAGTTTACCCTACTACAGCTGGGATTCATCAACAGCAACTAACACTTTTACGTAGCTTCTTGGTCAAGGATGCGAAGGACGATCTTTCTAGAACAGAGAGACTAAAAGCATAACAACGTTGTTCAGAGATGGAAATAGCCATACAATATCCGTAGATTAATGTTCAAAATAATAGTAATGTATACAAGCCAGAATCGTCCCGAGTACTACGAGTCTGTAGATGAGGAGCCCGCCCATTTTAAAATAATAAAATAAAAACCAACAAGTGCCATGTAGCGGCGGGGCATCTAACAAAACAAACAACAGCCGGTTAAACACAAAACTGGAAAAATTCACAAGCTCCCAACTCCTCATTATATCTTCAAAAGTACACCCCGCAGGTCAGATCTCTGTGCCTCGTTCTCAGTAGATAAGAAGATTGAACCAAACGCCATAGCAAAAGCTGCCCAAATATATTGCTTTCAAGCTCAGCAACGAATTTAAGTGGTGAGCAAGTCACGGACAGACATGCCGCGCCCGCTCTGGTTGGCAGTCCCCCGCCGGTCATTGTTGAGCATGAGCAAAGCAGCAGTAGCCTCCTGATCTAGGTCGCTCTGCGGGTTGAGGGCAGGGCTTGTCAGTGTAGATCCAGGTGTGGAAGCAGTACTGCCGCCGTGAGAGTAGCTAGGAGGCGCGCCAAACTGAGGACCAAAGGCCGGCGATGTAGTGGTAGACAGGCTGTAACTGGGCTTGCGGTAATCCGTGGATACAGAGGAATACGACTGCTGGCGGTCGCGAGCATCTTGGGCGTGGAGGGCAGGGGAAACTGAGGGAGGGCGAGAGTAATAGTCCGGTCTGGCGGTGAAGGCGGGAGATGTGGTGGTTTCCGAGTCGCTCATGTCAACATCGCCATTGGTATCATCGGTAAAAGTGGGATGGAATTCGCGGATAGAGGGCAAGTTGCTGCCATCCGCTTGAGTTTGAACATCTCCATGCTGGGCTTTGAGCTTGGATACACAATCTTCAAGGTATCTGACATATTCGATAGAGGCTTGCAGAATGGCAAGCTTGTGCATCTCGCCAGTACAGGCAGGAATCATGCTCTTGAGCAATGCAAACTCTTCGTTCATCTTGCTGCGTCTTCTTCGCTCGATAAGACTGTGGGCAGTCTTTCTGGCAATCTTGCGGCCGGCAGCACTAGTAGCGCTAGGCTGTTTCTTCTTGGAGGCATCCTTGGAGGTAGCGTTGGCATCCTTTGTAGCTGGAGTAGCTCCTTTGGCGGCATTCTTTGAAGATTTAGCAGCCTCGGCGTTCTTTTCGTCCTGCTGCTGGGCTCTAGGCTTCATCTGGATAATTTTGCGGGAGCGAGTTGGGGGAGGAGGCAGAGCAAAGGACGACTCCTTTGCCTCTCTGGCGGCCGATGAGCGGCGTCGTGCCTTGACAGCTTCAGCAGCCTGCATCGGATAGGCGTTATTTTGCCCATTGTTGGCCTGGAAGGTATGTGATGCTTTGTTGAGGTCGATGGGCGAGACGCGAGCGGCGTCATGCAAGGCAGGCGGAGGCAGCTCAAAGGCAAGCTGAAGAGAGGCGGACTGATCACCATCCTTGCCCTTCATATCAGTAGACGAGCCCGGCGTCGGAGGGAAACCTGGGCGAGGCATGATAGCGGTATAATGCCCTGTATGTCAATGATGGTGTTTCGATTGTATCAAAAATAAAACAAAAATGGGCTAGCACTGAGGCACAGCTCGAAGTCTATAAGAGCGGTTCGGAGTCGGTCGGAGCGATTATCTCGCTTATTCCTTTTTAGACAGGGCAGACTAAAACCAAAGTTTGTATGTGGATGGGAATGTCTCAGCACCACGGGAGCGAGGCGACGAAACGGTATGAGGGATTGCGTTGCCGTTATCTGGGCCGGGCGGAAGCTTGCCGGTAGAATGCAGAGGAGGGGAATGGTCGGGGAGATGCGGTATGTGTCGTTGCAACAGCAGGTGAAGGCGAGGAGGTAGAGCAGATAGCGCGCGTGGTGCGGTTGCTGGTGAAGAGATTATGGCGTGTGCGTGTGAGTGTGCGGTGCCAGGTGAGAAAGTAGTAGACGAGCTAATGCAGCAGCTACGCAGGGTCGACGATCGACGTGTGCACAAGAGATTGAAAATGGCAGCAGCAGGCAGGGCACGCGAGAGATTGAAGAGGCGATGCCAGTAGCAAGACGATGATGAGGAGAGGAGAAAAAGAGTGTGACGGGAGGACGGGGGGGTAAAGAGCAGCAGCTTGCGTGGTGTTTGGGGGGCGTGTGGTAGGAGCAGACGATTCAACGCTTAATTCCAGAAGAGCGAGTCGAGGCTTGTGTTCCTGTCCTGTCCGATGCGCACGAGGGCAGGAAACCACAGGAAACGGACAAGAGGCACATGCTGGGCAGGGTCTTTGGCCGCTTGGTCTGGGGCTCTGGCAATTGACCAAGCATCATCGAGAAAATGGTCGCGTGCTCTCGCTGTGTAGGAGGTGAAGCTGGCGAATCAGAGGCCCGCATCTACCCATGTGGTTGTGGTTGCTCGATATGCCTGGTCCGCTGTGTTGGAGACGGTGGGGTACCCAGATTCGCTCCACGCCAGTACCCGCACCTGCGCTGTGCACAACGTGTGCTGGCAAAGTACCCTTTGGTGATTTGCCTTGTACTTCCCCACTCCTCCATCCCTCCTAGCTCTGTGGGCGCTCGTTTTTTACCAAGCATCGTTTGTCCCCAAAAGGGCAAGTGCGGTGTCCTCTCTGATTGGCTGCTGCAAACTACACATGGGCTCTGCGGTTGCTACTGTAGACGACCACTGTCTGCTGAGGAGCCTCTGTGACCTGGAGACTTGGTACAAGAATGAAACCGCGCAACGAGACGTGACCAAACAAGATTATTCAGGCGAGCAATTCTCGCGGCCAATGGCGTCGTAATGACCAATAAGCCACCCGAGACGGCTCTTACAGGATGGGCGCTGCTTTACTCGAGCTTATACTGGCTCTTCGTCGCTAGACACACGAGAGCCAGCTGCACTGTATAGTTATTGGCATTGTTACCTATTCGCATTCTACAAAATACTCCATAGCAGCTGCTCAAAAATATATCTGATAAAATATTCTATTTATTTACACATTCATGCGTTTTTTGTTCTCTCAAAATATATACTGCTGCACCCTCTCTAAAATCTGACAACGGCCTTGCCCTGGTTCTCGCCGCGGAGCATGCCTACAAAGGCATCACCAGCCTTGTCGATGCCCTCGGTAACCCACAGCTTGGCCTTGAAGTTTCCTTCCTTGATCCACTTCTGCATAGTCTCCTGGTGCTCAGCAAAGTACTTGGGGCCGAATCGGGGGTCGCCAACAATGAAGCCCTCCATTTGAATGCGCTTGGGCACAACCTGGCCCATGTTCTTGATGGCGTAAGGGCCCTCGGGGCTGAATGAGCTGATCTACAAGCCAAAATTCGTTAGTAAATTGTATGAATGACAGCCCTGAGTATGAATTGTTAAGACACTTACAGCACCGCAAGCAATAATGCGACCCCAGTCCTTCATGTGGGTGATGGCGGCAGAGAGCTGCTCACCACCGACATTGTCAAAGTAGATATCGATGCCTTCCGGGGCAATGCGAGCCAGAGCCTCGACTGGCTTCTCAACCTTGTAGTCAAAGCCGTCGTCAAAGCCAAGCTCGTTGATGATGTAATCAAGCTTATCCTTGGAGCCAACGGAGCCAAGCACGCGCAGGCCTTCATGCTTAGCGATCTGTGCGACAGTCTGACCAACGGCACCAGCAGCAGAGCTGATGAAAATGGTATCACCCTTCTTGGGCTTACCAATCTCAAACAGACTGGACCAAGCAGTCAGACCGGGCATGCCCAGAGGGCCGAGGAACAGCTCGAGGTCGAGGTTGTGGGGGTTGGAGATCTTCTCGAGGTTGCGTCGCTCAAAGTGTTCACCAGGGAATGCAATGTATTCCGCAATATCGAATCGTCCGCGAACAAGGTCGCCTTCGGCGTAATCGGGGCTGGCGCTCTTGACGACCTTGCCGAGGCCCAAAGCTTCCACTGGGTCGCCGAGGGTGTAAGCAGGAGAGTATGACTTGATGGACGCGTCACGCATGCGGCCGCGCATGTACGGGTCCAGAGAAACAGACTCAATTTTGATTATCAAGCCGCCAGCTGGGACCTCGTCCAGGTTAATCTCGCGGGTTTCGTAGGTCAAGTCCTCGCCAACCTTGGGCTGGCCGACGGGGATCTTGCTGAAGACGAGAGTCTTGTTAGGAGCCATGATGTCGATGTTTTTATGTGTATATATATATAATCGGATTGAAGTGTATAGAATGGAAATCGGATAGGATTCGTAGGTATTTCAAGGCGGGAGGGGGGTGACAGCGTGGTGATGGCAGAGGGTGACAATTCCTTTTTATAAAACGCGGGGCGGGCCTTGGGCCATGATGAGGCCATTGCCAATGCGCACCGAAGTCCGCCTGTAAAGTCCGCGTGGCCAGCAACTTCAAGGTGCCACCTAAATTATTAAGCTAAAACGGACTTTTTCGAGTCGTCTAGAATGCCGTTTCCTTGATTCGCAATCCCTTTAATTTGTCAGCCCAAACCGAACAATCGCAAGCCTAGTTTTCGATGCACTCAATTGCCGACAGCCCTATTCGTCTGGTGTAGCCTCGCAGCAAAGCGGGGGAGGGGTAGGGGGAGGTTTAGCCTTTGCGTAGCGTCGATTGCTCTTCAACGCGTAGACGGGATTACGTTGATCGCGATGGACTGGAATAACGATTCGAACATATCCGGATATATTTCTGTCAAAGCAGCAAATCTCCATCTCTCCGCCCATGGCCCCAGACGAGCACCAGGTGATCCTATTGTTATTTGTGAAGCCGGTCATGGAGCTAGTGGCGCCTACTGGTTAGGCGTACAAAAGCGAGCATCGGAATTCGTTCGTGTCTATACATATGACCGTGCTGGATACGGTCGCAGCACTCCTGGACAGGGTCCTCGTTCCGCATCTGTTTTAGCGGACGAGCTTTCAACATTGCTCGACCGAGCTGGCGTCCCAGGCCCTTATTTGATTCTTTGTCATTCCTGGGGCGGCGTCATTGCCCGAGAGTTCCTGGCTAGCAGAAATTCAGAGGTTTCTGGCATAATTTTCGTGGACATAATTACCGAGCGCATGTTTGACGGCGCTGTACCACCGCTTCCCGAATATCTCGTCGTTGGAGGCGAGTTTGATTCGCACCAAACCATTGGAACAGACAAGAACCACAAATTGGAGGCTGAGGATTGGCAGCAAGTTTTAGATGTTGGTTCTCATACAGGTGCTACTTGGGCTCTAGAAAAGGAATCTCTGAAGCAAAGTGCTGCAGAGTTGGCGGCAAAGAATCAGATATCCACGCAGGCTATGGGTTCGCGACCAGTCGTCGTAATAAAAGGCAATGCCACAAAGGACATACGGCTCATCACTGAAGCCGGAATGGCCGCTGGAAATGGTACGAAAGATCAGCAAAACGCCTTACTCCAATGGATGAAGAACAGCGAAGCCACAAGAGAGGCGCATCAGCGTGAGCTCCTGAAGCTGTCTTCGTGCAGTCGATTCGTGGTAGCCGAGAAGAGCGGACACAGTGTCCAACTAACAGAGCCGGATTTGGTTGTTGCAGAGATCAAATGGATGTTGTCCCAAATTGCTGGGCAATCTAATCTCACGCCAAGCCAATAAAAATACATCTGTGCCTGTTGCCATTCTTTGATGCCTAGAGCAACACCTATGCAAAAAACAGGAACAGTGTCCGCAGCAAGGCGCTAGGCGGTAGTTTCAACGCTAGGCAGACTTATTAACTTTAATGTAAAACGTTAACACACCTCGGCAACCAGTAATATTGGTGCCTTGCGCTTGGAAAACGTGTTTACAACGGCTACCACAAGGCTGCAAATAGGCACCCACATAACAACCCTCAGCCACTTTTCTCATAAATAGCTACGCCCTGCAGAGCCGAATTGAAAAATGGAAATCCAGTCAACCTTTCACATTTAATTGAGCCTCTTATAATACTCCAGCAGATTTTGCTCAACTTCAGCATGATGCGTCGAATCGGATTTGGCTTCTCTACGAAAACGTCGGGGCCTTTGATGGCCATGAAGACGGCTTACACCTCCCGCCATGTCGACCTCCCCCCTACATTTTTAACCTCCGCACCCAAAGAGCCGGTCGCATGCTCACGGATTGACTTTGAGAACTCCGAAGTTCCTGAATTCAAAGACCACAAGGCCGCCATTATATCCAATGTGCTTTCTCTCGAGGAATGCGACCAGCTGCTGCGGCTGGCAGAGTCCAGTTTCGAGCCTGGCAAGGATGATACCGACCCGGGGCCATGGAGACCCGCGCTGCTCAACATGGGGCCTGGTTGGGAAGTCTACGACAACAGAGTACGCCATAGCGACCGTATTGTCTGGGATCAGCAGGAACTCGCCAACAGAATATGGGCGCGGTGCCTGTTAGCCGACGGAGTGGCGGACTTGGTGTCGACTACACCAGACGACTACATGTCAGTCGACGGCAAATGGGTCTTTGACTGCCCAAACCCAAGATTGCGATTCCTCAAGTATACCAAGGGCCAGTTTTTCAAAGGTGAATCTTGACTCGCTGCCTGAGAAGAATTATAGCTAACATGTTTGGATAGGACATTGCGACGGCACATTCAGAGATGCCAAGGACGGCAAGGAAGTCAAGACGTTCTATACGATACAGCTGTACCTCGATAACTTGGAGCCTAGCGAAGAGCTAGTCGGTGGCGCGACGAGTTTCCTTTCCCGCGATGAAAAGAGACGAATTGCCGTAGCGCCGCTCCCAGGAAGCGTGCTGCTTTTCCAACAGAAGAGCTTGTATCATGAAGGATCGGTAGTGGAAAAGGGTACAAAATACACCATGCGGACAGACTTGCAGTACATCTTTGAAAAGGACGAGACGGACGACACAGTAGATGAACAGGCAGCGGGCACAGGAGGAACGAATGCTTGAAGGTGATACAAAATGTATTAAGTTTTAAATAATAAGAAATCAAAGTGCTATTTTCATGATACATCCGTAGAAAAAATCCTGATCCATAACAAAATTGGATAGTGCAAGGCTGTTTCCATTCTCTTTCCAGTATGGCTGCGGATGGCCGAGATCGTGTCGTATCTTTTTGTATTACATATAGATGGGCGTCACATTGCCTTTATTTCCCATTTCTCTTTTATGGTCAATAAAGGCTGGCCATTCAAGTTGCTTTTTGTTTGCTTTTTAGTTGGATCTGTTTAGATCTTGTTAGAGGGGTACTCGACCTCGGGAAGAGCAGAGAACTCCTCCTTGATGGTGCGGACGTTGACGAAGCGGAGGAGGAGGTTCTGGGAACCGGCCTTGTCGTCGGTACCAGAGGCACGGGCACCACCGAAGGGCTGCTGGCCAACAACGGCACCAGTAGACTTGCAGTTGATGTAGAAGTTACCGGCAGCGTTGCGGAGCTTCTCCTCAGCCTGGCGGATGACGGTGCGGTCGGTGGCGAAGACGGAGCCGGTCAAGCCGTACTCGGAGGTGGTGTCGACGAGCTCGCAAGCCTTGGCGAAGGCATCGGGGGCAGCGTCGTCGTAGACGTAGGTGGTGATGATGGGACCGAAGAACTCCTTGTTGAGGTAAGGGTGGTTGGGGTTGGTGGTCTCGTAGATGGTAGGCTGGACGTAGTAGCCCTTAGAGTTGTCGTAGGTGCCACCGACGACGAGCTTGAGCTCGCTGTCAGACTTGGCAGCGTCAATGGTCTCCTTGAGCTTGTTGAAAGAAGCCTCGTGGATGACGGGACCCATGAAGTTCTCGTGCTCCCAGGGGGCACCCTGCTTGATGGCCTTGGTCTCAGCGACGAGCTTCTCCTTGAGCTCGGGCCAGACAGACTTGGGGGCGTACAGGCGGGAAGTGGCAGAGCACTTCTGGCCCTGGTACTCAAAGGCACCACGGATGGTGTTGATGGCGACGTTGTCGAGGTCGGCAGTGTTGTGGACCAAGTGGAAGTTCTTGCCACCAGTCTCGCCAACAATGCGGGGGTACGAGCGGTAACGGCCCTCAGAGACACCCTGGCCGATCTGGCCGTAGAGGTTACGGAAGACCTGGGTGCTGCCAGTGAAGTGGAGGGAGGCGAACTCCTTGTGGGCGAGGACAGTCTTGGTGACCTCGATAGGGTCACCGGGGATGAACTGGATGACATCCTTGGGCAGACCAGCCTCGAGGAGGATCTTGTAGACGAGGTAAGAGGCAGCAACGGAGTTGTCAGAAGGCTTCCAGACACAGACGTTACCCATCAGGACGGGGGCACCAGCCAAGTTACCGCCAATGGCAGTGAAGTTGAAGGGGGAGACGGCGTAGACGAAACCCTCGAGAGGACGGTACTCGAGACGGTTCCAGACACCGTTGGCGTTGTGAACGGGCTGCTGGTTGTAGAGAGCCTCGGCGTAGTGGACACCGAAACGGTAGAAATCGGCCAACTCGGCGGCGGCGTCAATCTCGGCCTGCCAGGCGTTCTTACCCTGACCGAGCATGGTGGCGGCCATGATCTCGTAGCGGTACTTGCCAGCAACGAGGTCAGCAGCCTTGAGGAAGACGGCAGCGCGGTCAGCGAAGGGGAGGGCCTCCCAGGCAGGCTTGGCAGCAAGGGCAGCCTCAATGGCCTTGTTGACATCCGCGGCGGTGGCCTTGTGGTACTGAGCAACAGAGCTGGAGTGGTCGGAGGGGTTCAGCTGCTGGTAGACAGGAGACGTTCTGATCTGTGACGCGGGGAGTTTTGTTAGCCATCAATTGAGTGTGTGGAAGCGCGTTTCAGCAGAGCTCACCTCCTTGCCGCCAATAACGACGGGGACGTCGGCGGGCTTCTGGGCCTTGAGCTTCTCAAGAGCCTCAGTAAGGCCCTTGCGCTCGGCGCTGCCCTTGGCAAAGTGTTGCTGTGAAAAGGAAATGTCAGCAAAGACGTCAATTGGAGATGGCATCTTTCACAGGAGAGAGCTCACGTTGGGCTCGTTCAAGACGGCGGGGGTCTTGAAGGCAGCAAGGGAAGCAGATCGAGTCTGGATGCGAGTGCCAACTCGCATGCCAGCCTTGCGGAGAGCGGGAGCGTACATTGTGAATTGAATGAAGAAGAGGATATTTCAAACAAGTCCAAGAATAGGGAAAGATGCGGAAAGTCTTTCTCTAGAATGCAGGAGGAGGAGGATTGATGGCGAAGTAAAGGGAAAAAGAGAGACCAGTCGGAGTTGGAGTCGGAGGTGTAGTGAAGCTTAGCCAGCAAGCTCCACTCGGCTTATGGCGGCACAAAAAAAAGTTGCAACAGTGCTGGGCTCCCCCAACTTTTCAGTGGGGACCCTTGTGGAGAAGGCTTTTTTACAGTGCACGCAGAAGCAATGGCGGCTGCGAGCGGCGAGATGGGGTCGCCCAACAACCACAGGGCCACTGTGCACCAAGGCAGGGCCCCTGGTTCGCCCCTACAGCGCCCTGTTACGCAGCTGGACACCAATCCGCACCGCTATGTCCCGACTTCGGCAGCCCAGTCAACCAGGCCCGCTGCCGCGACGAGCCGCCCTGCCCTGTGCACTCCACTGTACGCTCTACAGTACGCCTGCCCGAGTCCCCCCAAGCCCCCCAAGCCCTTAGTATTCCCGTCCCGCCCACGTTGCTTAGCTTCCTTCGGGGGTCATGCCGGCGCCCGTAATTTTTTTCACTTACGCTCAAGTTCCCCGACACTACTACTCATAGTCGCCCAATTAGGGAGGAGCTTAGAAGGCTATTTGAAGCTGGCCCCAACTATTGTGGTCATCCATCGAGGATCCCCCATAATTGCGACATGCCCGCTGCTTGCCGCCCTCCAAGCTGGGCGGCCTGCGACGGGATGAATCGTTTGATGGTGCTGCTGGGTCCGAGTAATGACGAGGGGAAGCAATTGAGGCTGTCTTGAGAAGAATGACAGATTGGTTTTGACGTGCTACGGTGGTTGTGCAGATTCTTCAAGAGGAAACTAAGCGTATATTTTAACCACTACATACAATCAATCATCATCAAACCACACTAAAAATAACAGCAGCAAGAAGGTATCACAAAATTGACGAGTTCAAGGTGACGATAGGGACCATGACAGGAGCCGTAGTCTGAAATTTCGCTGCGAATTCGAGACACGAAGAAACAACAAGAACGATGATGACAATGCAACAAAACACTATGCCTGAGTAGTGGCAGCCGCAGCCACAGCCGCCGCTCGTAACTGCGGTACGCTGAGTCCATACGCCTGTGTCTTGCCTTCGGCATCGTGCTGGTCAATCTCAACATTGATGCGAATGTCCAAGCTGCCGTCATTGGCCTTGCCGTGCGCGTCCGAGGCGGAACGGTGCTCCGTACCGGCACCAATTTCACCCTTGTGCAGCTCCTTGTGGCCGTCTCTGCCAATAAACGACGTGGGCTGGGCAGTGGTCGCTTCGCTGGCGATTTCTGCCAATGGTGCGTTGTTGGGGGAGTTTTCTGTCAACATGGCAAAGTTTCGGCTGGGCATCGTGCAGTGGTTGAAGGCTGCCGTCTTGCCATCCTCGCCAGGGTCTCTGTTGAACAGGTCCAGAAGGGTCTCATCAGTCTTATCGTTGAGGTGATGGATCTTGTTGCGACGGGCCAATAGATTGGCCACAGCCTGTGGCGGTGGCTTATTGACAATGGCAGACGAGATGATGTTGGCCATATATGTGTTGTCTTCTTCCACTGGCTTCTTCATGTCGGGATTGGCATAGAATCGGCCCAGCGCTGCCAAATGCACATCACCGCCAAGAATGGTAACGCGGACGGAAAATTCGGCCGCGAGTGCCTGCAGCTGCTCAATGATTTGGCGTCGCTCGACTTTGTGCGTCTTCGCCGTGTAGTGGTCGTCAAGGTCATCGAGGAGATCTACGCTTCCGTCAAAGTGATTGAAAAAGCCGCCACCCAGACCGAATCGCCTGTTCAAAAACTTAATCGGACCAATAAGCGGGCTACGGAGGATATTTTCGAGCCATGTCAAACGCTGCGGATATATGGTTAGTGTCGGTCGAGAGAAGTGGTTCGTAGTGGCGTTGAACGTACGGGATATGCAATAGGAATTCCAAGCAACAGAATCAGATGTTGGATTGGCTGTCCGGAGGCGGCAGCCGCTCCAAGTTCTTGGCGAGCTCTCTCAAAGATCAAATCGTAGGTTTCGGGGTAGTTGACTTGATGGCGTGTTCTCTATAGTGATGTGTATGAGCAAGCTGCATATGAGTTCGGAAACGGATAGAGCAAACGTACCTCAGTTCTGGCGTCAATGCCTATCATGGCCATACGGGCACCTAGGCGGGCGTAGATATTGAATGAACTCTCTTCGACGTATGGGCCAGGCTTTGCGCCAAGGATGTACTGGTCGCCAATCTTTGGCTGTGCGACAAAAACACCTTCGAGCTGGTAGGGATCTTCTCCAGGTCCTTTGAAATCTAGTCCTGTCAGTTCTGTGGCATCTAGTGCAAATTTAATGGCATACCAGAGGTATAGGTCGACTTTGGTGGCGCAATGTGGTGCTGAAAGAGCATGTAATATTTATGTGCTGTGCCGCCAATGCCACGGAACACATCGCACTTCATAAATCTGTCGACGTAGGAACCGAATCCGTCAATAATCTGGTAATTGTTAGTGGACTGTGACACTTTCTTCTTCTATTTGAACCTACATCATGGTCATCCCAAATGTTCACCTGCGGAATCTGGCCGTTGGCGTAGCAAAACGGCGCAGTGTTGTACCACCGGATATAGTTTTGGAGATAATAATCATCACACTCGGCTCGCAACTTTTCTGAAAAGGGAAACTCGCGTCTCTTCTTGGGGTTTCCAATATCGGTCCATGGGCGGAGCGGGCCATTAACTCGGATTCCGTCGTTGTAGATCTGATCGCCGCCGCCCAGCATGACATGGAATGGGGCTCTCTTATGCTTTCGCATCACATCGTTCCAGAGAGGCGCACCACTGTATGCATCTTCGTCAGTGCCTACACTGAAACCGTTGCAAGAATGGAACATGAGGCGCATGGACTCGGTGGCGGCTGGGACGAAGAATGAATTTGTTCGAGGCTTGTCGTTGCTCGAGATGCGCATGTCCGGGAAGTCGTATTCATATTCTGTTTCTGTCGCTTTGATAGGGACTTCAATGTTAAAAACCCAGAATGTGTTTCTCTTGTCTGAGTATAATCGCTCGCCCTGTAACACGGTACCTGTCGTGACAACTGTGGTGTCGTCTCCAGCCCCTTCAGCCTCGTCGGTCCGCGCCGTAGGAGCTTCGCCAGCCTTGCGCAGATGCATTGTAGGCTGATGTTGGATTTCTGGGCCTCCGCCCTCAACCACGATAAGGACACTTCCATGCCAGCGGTTATCTACAGTTCTTCTGTAGTTGAGCAAGGGACCACAGGCAATGTCGTGGCCCGGGCTGTCGGAAGGACCGTCGATTTGGATGGGGATGTGACCAGCGCCATCCTGGCCGTTTCCTTCAACGCGGGAGCTGTTTAAAAAGCTAGCCAAAGCTGCAGTATCTCCAGACGAACTAGCTGTAGCATCGCGGCCCTCTTTGGCGTGGCGGTGAAAGCGCGATGATTCCTGGTGTCGCCAGCGACTGGCCGACGCGTAGTGGTCACTGCTTGTGGGCCGGTTGTGCTGGTCTTTGCTATCGTTTGAGTCTGCCATGCTGCTTTTTCTTTTGCCGCGTGTTGTATGAAGGGAGCAGTTTGTGTCGAGAATCCCTGGATCCGAAGCTGTGCAGGTTTGGCGTCCAGAGCTCACGCGGAGGCTATGGCAGGTGATGACGAATGCAGACGGCCAAGTTTCTGTGGCTGGCGCAAATTAGCATACACGTCGCAGAATAACCTCGTGCAGTTGTCAGTATCGGAAATCATACTAAATTATCACAACTAGCCGACGATTCGAGTAGTTAGAGCACAATTGATATAAGTTGAAACGATGCGCCGAGAATGGGAAATGTTGTCTGGAGCTCGTATTGGGGACTCCAGGCTGTTCTTATGACGCAATTACCGGGTGCAGAATGACTTTTAGGTGGCTTCTGGTTGGTGTGTCGCGCTGTAAATCTCCACCGACCGCTGGAACAAGCTTAAAATGGTACGATGGGGGTGGTTGGCCCAGCTACGCTACCCTATAAAGCGTCTACTCTGTAGGCTTGAAGTAACAAACGTACGTGAAAGCACTTGTTTTTATTTCAGTTTTTATGTAGATAGTCGTTTGCATTTATTTTGCACCATTTATTTTAGAACAAAGGTAGCGAATTGCTCCGGTCGTGAGAACATGATATCCAATCCGTAGCGAGACGTAGTAGAACTCCATAGGCACTTGGTCAACCTTATGCTTACCAAGGAATGATGGCATTCACAGACCTTAAATACTTCTCAATGGTATTCATGGTCAAAATTCAATAATTTATTAGGAAAACAGGTCTACAGAATTTTAATTGGATTATGATGAACATTAAAATCATCTACCCTGAGGAACGGGACTAAACGTCGGCCCGTGATTACTTAAGCTGCTCAACGGTCCACCGTTGTGTTCCTCTAAAATTTTCTCTCGCACGTCTCTCGAAACTTTGCTCCTTCACAAAGACCAACTAAGCATCAACAATCCGAGGTTCCAGCCAGTCCTACCTTTGAGCGACACCCCGCGCGGCGTACCTGTTACACTGGCTTGGCAATGGTTAAAAATAACCCTGCCATGCTTAATTCTCTAAATGCTACGGGTGAGCAGTGAATTTGCCAACACAAACATGTTTGTGACAGTGTCCGGGAGAGGAATGGACCGAGCCGCAACCTTGGATTGAGATGGAAACAAGACTCAAGATGATCTCGCACGAGCGTATCATTGAAAATGCTGTCTAGTTTCAATTACTGTGGTAAGTTTTGTGCGGACTGATGCGCCGCGATCTCTGCCCAACCCCGTGAGGTCATATGTCTCATATGTTTTGTGTGTGTGCAACTCGTGAACGGCATTAGTGTGTACAGCAGTGGGCTTCTTATCTGTGCTCCAATTGCTGAAGGAAACTTATTAATCGTGCCAAGATTGATGCCCTAGCATTACCAAACACCTATGCTCTTGTTTACCCCAAAGACTACGGTGCATGAAGCTATGGCTACACGCCTATTCAGTTGTGTCTATTGTTGCATGTGTGAGCTTGATATACGCGGACTACTGCTTAGGAAGAGTACACACTCTTCCTCGTCAGCAGTGGCTGGTCTCTCCCCCAAGTTTGTGCATGATTTCTAAACGAAGCCTCTAAGATTGGGCTGACAACGTCGCTTCTACTTGGAATTGGTGGCTGGCGCCAATGCGACAGTGGGCGACTAGTTCTTCATCTAAGGTGGTGAACTAGCGGAGATGCTGGTGCACGATGCGTTCCAGTCCAGCGTGTTGGGATTCATCTGATCGGAAGACTCGATGAACTAACTACCCCTCCCCTGGTTGAAACAGAGATTAGAAGGACTGAGGGCCTCATTTCGACGACATGCGGACACTTGTTTCTGCATTAGCGCACGCCGCCAGCGTGGGTTGACGGGCTGTTGCCGGCGGGGGGGCAGGGAACCCACAGCGGGAGCCCCTTCGCTGTACTGCAGTAGACCGATGGGCCACTGTCAAGGCCCAAGGCCCAAAAATAGCGAAGCTCTCTATTCAGCTGCCCAGGCTCGCTGCCCAGGATTCGGCGTACGGCTGCGTTTATTGCGAGGGGCATTGAGGCGAAGCGAGCGGCCCACCGTGCTGGACGGCGTACGCTGTGTGCCGCACCGGTCGTGGTCAAGCACCTAACAGCCAATACGTGCCGTGTCGTGGGCTACGATCGAAGCCAGTTGGCTGCCGGCAGCTCTTCCAGCGGCGCGCCAACGCATGCACATGCGCAGGACAGCCCCATCAAAAGATACCAAAAAGAAAAGACGGAATTGCATACGAGCGGTGCTACTTGTGTGATACTTTCATCAGAGACAGTCATGCCGGAAACAACGGACATGCGCAAGCCACACAATAGGCCTTTGCATGCAGGCTCTTATTAGACGGCCCTCGTTATGGCGCAAATGTCAGTTTGGCGTATGGGCGGGTCGCACGACAAGGCGTTTTGTCTAAGACTGTGCTGCACAGCTTAGGAGTCGTTTACAAGTAATACGGCGATCAACCGGGTTAGCGGAGTAAACAGCTGTTGAAACAAACTCCAAAAATCGTTGGCAACCAGGATAGCCCCCCTGGTTATCTCTCTGCCCACGTCTTTTTTGGCGCAAAATAGCCCTGTTGAGATGAGTGACGTGTCTGGTGGTCGTCTCGCTTGGGCTCTCTCTGGCACGGGTGGCCGACTAAGCCAATGGCCTCCTCTTTTGCACTCGCCCGGGGCTGAACATGTAGTATACAAAATGTACCAGCAGTACCATGGTGCCGACCGCCTGGTGGACTTGGAGGATACCCTCCTCAAAAACAGCTGGGCTGGAGAGCCATGGACGCTACGTAGCATGGGGTAAGGACAGTTGCCCACGCTTCCTGGGAGCGTTGGCGTGACGCTGGGGCCCAACGAGCGCTGCGTTGCTACTACTCCCCACAGCCCACGGTTGTTGTATCAGTGAGATAATGCGGTAGCTCGCGTCATTTGCGCTTCGGGTGGTAGATGTGTTTGTGTGTTTGTGTGCGCGCGGGATCGCATCGAATCAAATCTCCCATGAGTGAGCCCTACTGCTGTGCGGCCCCGGAACCCGAAAATAAAATCTTAGAGTGAAAGCAAACCATGTGCCTGCCACCTGCGATCAGCGCGCATCGTAATAGGATAGCGTGGCTCAGCAAAGCAGCTAATAGTACGGCACCCTCGGGAACAAGGGCAGCAAAACACCGATCCCCTTGAGGCGCTTGCCTGTGAGGTCATTGGCTGCAGAAGCAAAAAAAGGGACCTCGCTGAAGCCTGATGAGATGAGGGGGGAGGCGTCCGTCAGGTGCAGGAGGACGGGGCCGGCGTGGGTCGCGCGTTGTTTTGGCGTAAATTAGCGATTTGCTTTCTGTGATCCCTTTATCGAGTTTTGTTTCGTCACTTGACTGGTCCTTTTCTCACGAACAATAGCGGGTTTTGCGTCACTCGTGCCCCTATTGTGTGCGGTCAAGTACCTAGAGGGCTGGATACGCCAGCACAAGGGCAGTATAAGCGCCACATGACGATCGACACTACAGCGGACGATCCACCGTGTGCAGTTTTCCAGTACCATCGCTAAAACGACCCCTAAGCATGAATGGTGCCACTGAAATTAGAGGCTATGGTTAGCGCTAGCCCGTGGCGCTCCACCAGATCGGCTCCACGACAGACGACGAAGTAGGTGCATTTCGCGAACCAAGAGTCATACGATCCCGCCAGGGCCTGCTTAGCTAGTCCCCCAATTGAGGTCCAATTTCTGCTTGTTCGGCGTTTGGATGGATGTTTTACTGTTTTACTGCTTCTTTCCCATACTAAATTCCTGTTATGGTAAGACACAGCCATGGGTTCACGTTGATGAGAGACAGTAGGAGCTAGCGGGCCAAAATAGGCGATAATTTCGTCATCGGTATGAACGTGAACCGTTTCTTTACATCCCATCCCCCCGACTGACTAGTAGGCTTGGAGCGGAGCGAAATTGGACGGCTTTTGCCTTTTGCACTGGAACGGTTTGCGGGTTTCTTCGTTTAGTGTAGGCTGATTCGTCGGGCAGTTGACCAGCGCACCACCAGCCAAGGGATTTTCTCTATTCCCTTCTTTGTTCCCTTTTGCTAATGCTAGTCATCATCACTAATAGCACCAGCGCCACCTGCTACAGCCCTTTTTGATTGCAATGTAGTTTCTATTTTTTGCACAACTCTATATTTTGTTCGTCTGCAGCGCCTGCCCGGCCATTACAAATGCAGGCTGCACTAGTAGCATCGGGGGGCACTTCTTGGGTGCTGCCGATCTCCCACCCATAACCTGCGCGTAAAGTTTTTGGTCAGCGCTGGGACGGTGTACATGACACGATGCACTGTAAGCCACTGTATTCTGCTCGCTCTCGCTGGGCCCTCCCGCTGGCCATGGCCCTACGCACGCCCCCACCCCCCCTTCAGTGCACTGTAAATTTAAGTGCTACAGTACAGTACTGTACCTGGCTTGTCTCCCGCGCCGCCCCTCCCCTCCTCCAGCCAGGGCCACTGTCGCAGCCGCCATCCGGCCCCAGTAAAAAAAGCGAGACCTCACAGCGGTGCCACTCCACTAAACATCGCCCCTGCAGCGTGAAATTATCCGCTAGGCTGTTCCTCTGAGGGCGCTGGCGCTGCCCTCCATGGCTCGGCTTTCCCATGCTGCCGTGCCATTGCCCGCCCACCCACGTTCCCTTTGCAACGACATTCGTAACCCGCCTCGCTCGTTGCACCCTCGCTCCTCTTCTTTTAAGTTGCCTTTTGCTGTTTTTGTCTACCTGTCTCTTTTCTTCCTCCGAGCCTGCTTCTGACGTTTCACCTTGCTCGTTTTCTGCTTTTTTCATATACAACTCTGCACGCCTCACCTAATCTCCAACCCTGCTCCTCTCTTTCCGCCTCGTCTGCTCGCTCTTCGTCTCGTATCCGGCACAGCCAATCTTTCGCTCGTTCGACTCGACTTTACCGGTCCGCGCTACTACTCTCGACTTTGCTCCGGGCGACGATCTCCTTTTAACTCTCATAAGAATTGGATTTGTCTTCTAATTGTACCCCATCTCCTCTCCGATTGAACTGTCTTTACTCTCGAACATACCCTCCAACGCTATCGCCTTGCACCACCAGACGATATCCTTCTAATGTGCTTATAAGAAGCCTTGTTGTTTACGAGATTGCTGCAAAAGTCGTTTTCGAACGGCCGGACAGCACATATCCCGTTTTGTTCTTCTTTTCATAGCTACACGATAATCACATCAGCTACACGACTCGACGCTCGGCCATGGCTCAGGCTATCCAAGCGCCACTTCCTCCGCACTTCTACTTTGGCGACGATGGCCGCCTTCAATACGACTTCAAAGCAGCTCGTCAGCAAAAGCTTGGAACCTCGCAAGCCGATGGTTCTGATCTCGAGCTTGGCCAACTGTCCATCTTTGACAAAGAGCTTCCTGAAACACCGCTCGACATACCCGACTCGCCCGATTCACAAATGACCGAGTCCTCTCTAGATTCACGGGAGACACCGGAGATTCCAGATACTTCAGAGTTCGATGTGCCAAGCTTCAACTCTTCATTCCAGCTAAGTGGATTGCTCATTAGCAACCCGCAGACTCAGAATGAAGAGGTTCCTAGTCAGGATGATGACGCCCCAGCCGAACCTCCAGCTGCCAAGCTGCGTATATCTATCCCTAAAGAACGAGCAGCCCCAACTGCTCAGCGACCCAAGACATGGTTTCCTGGACTGCAGTTTCTCGAAGAGGATGAAGAATGCCGCTCCGCTACCTCGGCCTCTGGCTCATCATCTCCAGTAACGCAAAACGCCGACGTCCGCAAGAGCGTCGCAGGCACATCAATCAGCAGCTTTGCCAGCCTTGCTAGACGATCATGGCTTTCTCGGGGCCCCTCATCCAAGGGTAGCTTAACTCCCACTGCTAGCCCTGCCCCTAAAGACTCGACCGCCAAAGATGTCACTGATGATGAGGATGAGAAGCAAGATGCACCGAGCACAGTCGGCAGCAACAAGCGATTCTCGAGGGCCTCGGCATACTTTGGCAAGGCCATGACCAAGCAGTCGTCTCTGTTCAAGGTGCATGAGTATGCAGACTCGGACGACAGCTGCGCTTCTTCAGCTGCAAGCCTTCGTCAGCCCGGTGCTGAAAGTGTAGATAGCCACAGGTGGAGCGATAGCAACATGACCACTCCGGTTACCGACGATGCTTCCTCCGCAGATATTCCCTTGGCTCGTGACGCCCTCTGGACTGTTTTTAAGAAGCTCAACATCGAAGCGCAGTGTTTCCCCGCCAAGACTGTCTCGCAAAAGATCCAGCAGCTTCAAACCCAACTCCTACCCTTCCTCCGCTCCACTGCGTCCCACCCTTCGACCAAGACCCTCACTCCCGACGAGGTTGACCAACGGGCTACCATTCTAGATAGATGGTGGTCCGCTGTTCTGGATATGCTTGACGAAGATACGCAGCCGCCCATCCCCGGTGTTGACCGCCCGGTTGTCCTCGAAGCCGCCACTTTGCTCATGATGAGACCCGAGTGGCGCAAAGCCACATCTTATTTCCAGCCGCTAAGTGAACGATCTCCCACAGAGAAGGTACGAGCTCGCGGATGGGCCAACAGTCTCAACAGCACCGCCGAGGTGACCTTTGAGCAAATGATGCTCGCTGAATCCGCCGAGCACAACGTCCGCACCATGTTCATCAGCAACTTGATCAGACAAATGGGCTTTGTTGTTGAAAAGATGTCATTGAGACATGCTCCTTTGACGCTGGTCAACTTTGCTGGCAAGACTTGCGCCTATGCATTCTTCTTTGCACCCGGCGTCGCTGATGTCCTTGTCCGACTATGGAGTCTTACACCAGACTTAATTCGTCGCGTCGCCGATGAGATGAACCTTCCCCGCCGGGATACTGGAGAGAGTGATGATATTGTCGCGCTCTTCCCACCCAAGCTGGGAGTCTATGGCTGGACTACCCCCCGTACCCTCTGGAACACCATTAAGCAAGTCCCTAAGATGAGCGTCATGATTGCTCGTATTCCTTGGACTGGCGCCTGGGTCTCGCGATGGAAGGGTCGCGACACCGATTTGTTCTTCATCTTCTGCAAGTACTACCACATTCTGTGCGAGCAGTTCATGCCTACCGAGCTGCCTCTCATTGAAAAGGCTCGCTCCCCTGCTTTTGTTCTCGTTCAAGCTCAGCTACTCAACATTCTGGACTCTACTGTCCACCGTCAGGCCGCCATGGCCAGCCCCATGTTTGTTGATTCCATCCATGGTGTTGATGATGCTTCAGCCATGACACTCCCAATGGCAACATCCAATCTTATGAAGGGCATGGCAGAGAACCGCATGGTCGCATTGCTTAAGGACATTTTGAACGACGACGCCCCTGAGAACCTTACGGCCCGCCACACCTTTGCGGAAGCCTTTGCTGCACTGCTTAAGGCAGCCACTCTTCGTACGTCCAAGTACAACAATGCCGCCTGCCTTGCCCTCTGTGACTTGCTTGAGGAGGTCTTCGCCATCTACGACAACTTCGAGGTTGCCACCAGCTCTCCCGCTTATAACGACTGGAACTTTTGGTTTGACGTTTTTCAGAAGGTTATGAGCTCGTTGAACACCATCTCTGAGGTTCGCATGCTTGCTTTCCTCTACAGTATTTGGAACATTGCCACCCGCGATCCCGCTCGCAAGGAAGCCCTTTGCGCCAAATGGCTTCTTACTGAGGAGACCTTCAACTCGCTCTTCAACAACTGGTGCCCAATGGTCCGAGCATACTACCACCGCTTGCTCTGCTGGCGAATTTGCCGCGATGAAAAGGACAGCGACGAAGAGCCTGCTGATGACGTAGACCGTGAAGTATACGCCTTGGCCTCTCAGCGCCTGAAGACGGTGTGGTCTCACTACTTGTTTCTTAAGAACAACGCCGCGGAACAGGGCCGCGCTGGACCCTCAACGATTGCCATGTCACCTACACTCGGCAAGAGATTTATCATTATTCGCCAAGAAGTCAACTCCCCACAGCTTGGTGTTGTCATGGGATTTGACACTTTTGCTCGCACCAACCCTGCCCCCTCTGGTCAGTTAACCTCATCAGCTTCATTCGACGCGGCCACGACACCTAAGCCTGAGATGAAGAAGCGATGGTCACTGTTTGGCAAGGTCCTTTCTCGCAGTGGAGCCAACTCTCCCGAGCTGACTGCGATTGACCTGCCACGCAACAAGTCGTTTGACGACAGCCGCCGACCATCCGAGATCATCCGCCACCGCCACAGTGTGCAAGTACCCCCCTCCGCATCCAAGTCATCCAAGCTTAGCTCCAGCGGCCTCTCCTCTGAGCTCGATCTATCTGCTCCCTCGCCCAAGCCGGACACGCAAAAGTTTGTCTTCAAGTTTGTCCTTGGATGGCAACAGCAGCAGACCATGTCGCAGCGCGAACGCAACCTGTTCACTCCCCAGCTGCCAGGACCTGCACAGATGAGAATCGGCGGTGACTCCTCTACCCCCATCATCCGACCCAAAGCACGCGATGCTTTGCGAACAATACCCGTCAACGGCTTGAGCGGCCTCGTCAACAATGCAAAGAACGCTGGCGTTCTCGAGGAGAGGCTCCAGCAGCTGACCTACAGCTCTACCCCTCTTAACAGCTTGTCCGTCACCAGCAGCCGTCAGCCCAGCCGCCCAGGCTCCTCCTACAGTAACCGTTCTGGCGGCGCGTCTGATAAGACCGAGACAGCAGCCATGCTCAACTACGTGAGCGGCCAGCTTCATGATGCTCCTACAGCTCCTCTGAAGCCTGCCGGTGTTTTCGCACAGAACGCAGTATACTCTGGCCAGGCTCTCGCTGAGTGGGCTCAGGTTGTTAGTGAATGCAACAGCTTCATCTCGCGTCGCTGTGACGAAGGCATTGATCGTCTGGCTGACGTCGAGGTCCCCCAACTTGGCGTTGAGGGATTCCGCAAGCTTGCTGGTTAATCATCCGGATCACCAACTACGAATACTACTTCTTTCTTACCTTGATTTTCATTTCAGCTAGCCAACAGGCACCACACCATGACCAACGTTTACACTCAGCCTGTTTTCTTCTTCTTTTTGATTTCTCTGGCGCATGCGCTCCGCGAGCCGCTTCATGCTGCACCAACACGCACATTATTGTCATGAATCTTTAGCGACTGCTTCATCTGCTCTACACTTTTCTTTTTTTTCTGTTGACATATATACCTTTTTCTTGTCGTCTCTTACTTCTATTGCCTTTGCATACCATTCTCACCCGAGCGAGGGAATGAATGACTACCATCTACTATACCACGGATACCAGGCTCCCTTGGATGAGGACTCACGTTGTTTATTCCGTTTTCTCTCGATGTCTGCTGTTCATATTGAACGATACCTCTCTTTTTTCTCTTTTTTTCTTCATCATCTTGCTTTTATGCTAGCGATAGGACAGTTCTTTTATGGCTTTAGTCGTGTCTACCGGGCGTATAAAACCGTACACGGCGTGTACCGATATCAGGGTAATTTCGGAAAATGCATACCAATTTTGTTCGTTTAGACTCTCTAAAATATTCTGCGACGTGACTGAATCCAATTGTAGGCATAATATATATTGTCGACCTCACAAAGTCAAGCTGAGCTTTGGTCTGTGTCGTATTGGCCGTAAGGCTGGCCACTCAAAGCCCACTGCCGAAGTTGCTATGCGGCAACATAATACGTTACAAAATAATCGCAATAAATAAGATTTGAAGCCTCTAAATAGATAGAGAATTGGAAATCGTATGAACAAAGCTCTAGGGTTAAGAAAATTCCAGTTCCTGCAACTTGAATTCACGCATCAATCTTGAGGGTTCTGCTTACAGCCAAGGCGAGGTGAAATGGAAGACAATTGGCAAAGCCCCCGATCACACAAACGTCTATTAATATTAGAGACAATACAACTAACTTAAATACCCTATTTAGTATATTCTTCCAAATCAATCAGGACCGAGGGGTCGCGCCAGTTATCTACTTATAACCGCAATGTTGATAGGACAAAGCCCACGAATATTTTGAGCAGGAGCCTCGAAACACTACACACATAAAATAACAATCCACACGTCAGTGGTATAAATATATCAGCTGTTCTAACTATGTTTAAACCTGACTGCGCCCGCCAGGCCCTTTGTCGCCATTATGTGACAAACAACGCCCGCTGCCTAGCTGTAATAAAGGAACGTTATCCACCTGAATGAAACAAGCATCGCATTGATAACTCTTTTTTTCTTTTTCGCTTCCAATCCGTTTCTCGTCCATTATACACAATCACCAGTGGTCAATAATGGTTGCGCTACAAAGGCCAGATACCAAAGCAAGTTCCTCACGCAAGCGGCAATCCTCCCAGAGTTTAGACCACCATACGCCTAAACAACAAAAGAATGCCCATCCGTCCTTCCCACCGGCAATCTTCTGGGACCAGCTTTCCGAGATTCCACTTACCAAAAACGCATTACGTGAGTTAGACAGAAGAAGAGCTCTTCCAAAATCTTGCCATCCAGTTCACGACCAAAACACAAGAGTCGCCAGGAGAGACGACTATCCTGTGGAACAACCTAGTTGGGTAGACTTACAGCTCTCGCCAACATTACTTAAACGGATCCAGCGTTTCGCAATGCACGGTGGTCCTGATTTATCTACATTGAGAAGTGTATGTAATAGCCAACGGAGCTGAGAGTATTCATTATTAACCTGATCTAGTACTGGTCACCACCTGAATTCCAAGAGAACATGACACCCAGCCAGCCAAGTCTTGATCATCGCAAGACCGGCTCACAATCACTCGAGAAAAGTTATATTACTAGCACAAAAAGCACAGGGCCATACGACCGTGCATTCGAACAGCATCTCATTGATCACCACATCCTGCCCTATGGCTATGAGTATTCAGATAACAAACTGCCCCCAGAGCCTGACAATATAGGTATAATTCTAGAGGCGCTAGAGCAACCAAGACCGTCTCTATCTATATCGACATTTTCAAACGCAGATTTTCGCAAGTTTCAACAGACCAATGCGCACGCCAAAAAGGAGAGGGATGTTGTAGCCACAATTATACCCACGATTGAAGGGGAGCTTGTTGATAGAAAGTGTGTGTCTGGAGGCATTCCGTTTACAAACTTGGAACACTTGACTGACGGGACACTTGTGCCGGGCAATCCCGATTTGTTCTATGGCGCACGCCCAGAACAACTGGACAGAAATATTCGCAAGCAGCTAGGCGGGCAAATAGTCCCTTCCACGCAGCACGACCTCTCAATTATACCAAATTTCTTTCTTCAGGTAAAGGGACCTGGTGGTAGGATGGATGTTGCGCTGCTACAAGCGTGCTATGATGGTGCTCTAGGGGCAAGAGCTATGCATAGCCTTCAATCGTATGGACAGCCTACACCGATTTACAATAACAACGCATATTCTTTGACGACAATATACCACTGTGGTACGCTCAGGATATTCGCTGTTCACCCTTTGCCACCAGCAGAATCAGATCGTCAACCCTGTTTCGTCATGACACATATCAAGTCCTGGATCATGACAGGGGATTACAAGTCTTTCCAACAGGGAGCGACAGCTTACCGAAATGGTCTTGATTGGGCGAAACAACAACGAGATGAAGCGATAAAACATGCAAACACTATTGCAGCTAGCAGGAATTACAAGAAATAGGTCTAGACTATGTGATAAACGAGTCATGTGTTACAAAGCCAATTCAAGACTGAGGGATCGTGCCAATAGGCCATCCCTTTATTACGAAATACCCTACATAGAAGCCGGAAACCGCGGCGGCATTGTGACTGCGGTCTAGTGATCGTATTCGTTTCCGTGATGTACTCCGTTCGCTCCGTCAGGCCAGCTATTTTGGCTTCGATTGGTTGGAGACGGCAACTTTTGTGCCGCAGAGCAGTGAAGCTGTTGAAGAGCACTGCTGTTTCCACCTGGGTGATATGCCTAAGAAATCTGCAATGGCCGATAACAGGATACTAGACCAGTGATTAAAAGTAACTATTGTAAACTATAGTAAATAACGGTAAAGTATTGGAAAGATGAAGTGCAATAGCGAGATCTTATAGACTGGCGTTGGTCGTTAGCTCCACGAAAGAGCACAGGGCGCTGTAATAAGACCTACACGCTCGGATCAGGTAAACATACTGTCACGGCCCGCCAAGATCTAATCTCTGGCAGCTCGCGTCAGGCGTCAATTACAGCCATGAGCACGAGGTCCGGGGAACACTAGGTCATTCCGGTAAGTCAGGTAAGAGAGAGCTCACCGGTGGAAGCACCGACCCATTAGGAGATTGCATTTAATAAAGCCACCGTTGCAAACACGGGAGCAGACATCGCCACGTTCTTGTTAGCGTGTTTGCCTAGCTTTACTGGTGAGTAGTATTTGTAGAGGACTGGTATATATAGCGAGGAGGATTGTAGGTGTTTTGGGAGTTGTCTTGTTTTAAATTAAGTTTAGTCTCTGTACAGGATTGAGCTTTAAGCCCAATACTCTCTATATACGTTGGGCTTATTGAGCAAATCGGCGATTTGTTCAATGCGAATCCTTTTGGATTTTGGCCTAACGGTCAATTACGTCGTAGCAGAAGCCCTGCTTTTGCTCTTATATGACGGGCAGCATGTTTCTGTGCAAGTTTATTTTTAACTCGTCCCTTCTTTTTTGTTGTGGCTAGTAGAGAGGCGGAGTCAGCGGGATATAGCGATACCTGCCGCCGAACAGGCGCTAAAATCGATACCCGCAAGAACCAGCGGCGCTGAGCCAAGATCCGGACTCGTGTGTATTTTCAAATAATTGGATGCGAGAGGTACCGCGAAGCACCAAAAGTCGCTCGGAGGCTCTGGCGTATTTGTGTAAGAATCTCCGGATTGGGGTTTCCCCTTGTGGTTTTCCCAATCTATTACGTGAATGTGGGAGATTTTTTTCTTGTTTGTCGTTTTGTATTCTACTTTTATCTAATCGAATCATTGAGACTGCTTGAGACCCATTCTGCTACAAACAAATGTGATACTGATCATGATAGGAGGGTTGCTTCATATCTTCGTCTCTTGTATCCAGCCAAAATTGCTCGCTATAACCCTACATAGAAGCCATGGCGCATTCCTTGACGTCCAGCACTGGTTGAGTTGATAGAGCGGCAAGACAAAAGCAGCGTATGGATGTGATTGCGAAAATAGTTAGCTTGGGTGAAATCCCAACTTCGAGTTTGCCTAGTGTCTCATTGAGTTGGCTCGTTCGCCTTCTTTAAGCACTAAGAATAATAGTCGCTGGAAGCAAAAATGTCAGCGATGCTCGATGCACTGCTTGTTTTTAGCTGTGGCCTGCAGCGCTGCGGTTATTTTCCTCAACGTGACACAATTTCAAGACTTGAGGCGCTGAGAAATTTAAGAATGCCCCTAAAAGGTTAACGCTTTAGGGAAGACAAATGCAAATTATAGGCAGACATGACCTGACGAAAAAGGGCATTGGGACCACTGAGATGCTGTCGACAGCACCATCATGTCAGCTTTGCGGCGCTCCTTCCCGCAGAACTGCGTTCACCTGGGACGCTCTGTTCCTCACATCTGGTAGGTTGTTTGGAGGTGTCACGCGCAACACTTTAACGAAACAGTTCACTGCTTGAACTACCGGTATGCATCCACAGGCTTAACATACAGTCGGAAGCACCTGCCACACTAACAAGCTCTCACATAGACGGGTAAATCCTCGGTCGCCCGGGAGGGTGGTAAAAGCCACGGCGAAGAGGCGCCGAAATCGTGGCAGGACGTTACGCCACTATATTCTATATATTTAACAGATCTAAGATTTAAAATTGATTAAGAAAGCCGGGTTTTCTTTATTATTGAACATTTTTATAGTATTAATAATATATTTAAACTGGATTTATTGGCGGAATTAAAATTGTATTAATTTGTATGTGTTATTGGGTGGCCCACTCACCTATGAACCACGTTATACTATATTTCGCGATTATATTCTTTATAAGCTAAAACTATGTAACGGGTTAAGGCCCGTGGAGGACTCGGGTAGCTCTCGACCAGGTGTCATGTAGCTGTCTAGGTATTACGAGAAAAGTTCGCCAAACGTAATGCTATTGTTGACTGTTCTATATATGAGATAGAAAGAAGACAACAAACTTGAAGGAGGACAAATCCCTTTCCTCCTTCCACAGTTCACTTCTCTATTTATATACAAGGTTGTTGTGGTTCTGCCAGCTGGCGGCTTTCCTTTGCCAGCTGGCAAACACTTGTTGTTGAAACTTCTCTATTGGCCAGCTAGCAAGCGAACACTATTTCGACATTGTAACTGTCGTAAGTGTTGTGACCGATAGACTATAGAGCGATCCAGCAGGTCGTGACACCAGGGACTCATGTAAGTCATATAAGAGGCTACTCCAACCAGCTGGAATAGCCCCTTTTCGATCTCTTCTTCTTTATCTTCGGATACCCGTAGTAGTCGCTCAGCTAGTTGTCAATATACTCAGTTGAGACCATTACATATATCTAGCCATTGTTACATATGAATGTTTTAGGCTAAAATTGAGCTCTAATATTTTGGTCTTTAGGTCCTGCTACACTATCTACACAACTTACTGGGCTGACGTAGCTCTCTAAATGTCAATTGTTGTAGACTTGCTTGTGGTCTCGCGTAGACTAGCCCAACATTACAAATCGCGATTTCGGCCAACCACGAATCGGATTTTCCCGCTAAAGCGAGAGAGCAATTATCCTTTTTTAATGAAAATTGCCTTTTGTACGCAGCTCCCTATTAAAATAGAAAATCATTCAGCTTGGTAAATTTTATCCCCTCGTCCTGGCATGTTGACTCCAGCAGCTACCCACAGGATACCTCTTAGCTGGCCTCACAACCCAACGCCATAGCTCAGCCACTACCATTGACAAACCTCCACAGGCGAGCTACTAAATGATTAACCTCTTATTAATGCCTGACAGGCTATTTCGTGTTGGGCAAGGAAACAAGGAGATTGGCACAGCTTGTATCACGTGCATGAGAAGCCACCATGGGACAGGGGAGTGCGGGGTACGGCTGAAGAATGATAAACCTTTGGCTCTGCAAAACAAGATCTAGACTAGAGTTCTATTGTTAAATTTACGGCAGGGGTGCTTTCTGTGACGGCGCTCATGGAATCGATAGACACTACAGGTTCTCAAGCGTGCACTGACTTGGTGGAATTGTCCTGATTCGTGAGCTCCATCCCCCGCCCGTTCAAATAGAATTGATTAACAAGTATACGAGCGAAGGAACCAGCGTGTATCCGCCGTGGATGCCATCAATTCTGCTCATAGCTCAAAAGAACAGGCAGCATCCTCGACTAGTAGGGCATTAGTCTCGAATGGAATTGTGTTAGCGACTAAACCCTAACCCATGATTCACAAGAGTCCCAAACCCTAGAGCCTTCATCCCGCAACGTTGTCAAAGGTATTGACAATGCCAGAGCTGGATCCCACTCTGTATTCCATAGCGTGGTTGGCGCCGCTGGAGATTGAGGCAAAAGCGGCGATTCACTTACTGGATCGCAAACACGAAGGCGGGTTCCCAATGCGCCGTGGGGATGACTATGTATTCCAAGCGGGTGAAATGTGTGGCCACAATGTGATAATTGCCACCTTCCCAGCTGGCCAAGAGTATGGAACATGCTCAGCAGCTGCCATGGCGGCCCAGATCAAACAGTTCTTTCCCAACCTGTGGTTTGGACTGTTGGTTGGTGTTGCTGCTGGCCTGCCAAACCTCTCGGTGAACCCTCCGCTTGATATCCGTCTTGGAGATGTGCTTGTGGGACTATCTACCAAAGATAGTGCAGGGCTCATCGCATATGAACTCGGTAAAGAGACGGAAGTTGGTGGATTTGAACTCCTCCGTTTTGGACGAGTCTTGGCTGAGACAGAGACCGTCGTCAGGTCGGCAATTGGCAGTATTAAGCTTAAAGCGCCAAAGGATGCGGATTTCATCATTCCCTATTATAAAACCCTCAGCGACAAGCAGCATGGCACGGGCACGTTTGAGGATCCAGGCCAAGATCAAGACATTCTTTATGATGAGCGTGACGATGGGAGTGAGCGAGTTGTGCGGCGAGCAATACGACCTTCTGAAAAACGCACGCGGGTGTGGTATGGTTCCATCGGCTCCGGAGACAAGTTGATGAAGAATGCTCGGAAGCGTAATGAGCTTAGGGACAAGTACAACGTCATTGGTCTTGAAATGGAGGCAGCCGGAACGATGAACCGCATCCCAGTCGGGGTAATCAGAGGTGTCTGTGACTACGGGGACAGGCACAAGAATAAAGAATGGCAACCATACGCGGCCGCCATGGCTGCGGCGTACGCGAAGGCCGTTTTGTCTGAAATCCGACCCAAAGTCATGATGGAAAATGTGCCAGACGAAGCGGCAGGTGCCAAGGATGCCATTACCAGAAGACGCAAAGGTAAGCACCGCTCACAACGTACGGGGTACACGACAACAGGGTCTAAAGCCTTGCTGCAGAGGATGACCAATCCAGGATACTTTCATGGATCTCCACCACTCCGTACAAGAAACACTATCAGACAGCCAAGGAGGGGATGTTGAACGGTTCTGGTAGTTGGCTCTTGCGCAACACAATGTTTAAGGAGTGGCTGGACTTAAAAAAGTCGGGATTGTTTTGGCTACACGCAAAGCGTAAGTGAGAATATCCCTTAAGTGGTGGATGTTGAGGGCCGTACAATGATCAAGAGCATAAAGGCCAAAACGTCATTGAAATCGTCACTGACAAATCTCACAGCTGGAGCGGGGAAGACTAAACTTTGGTAAGTTACATCCTACTTAATTTGCTAATTGCCACCGCTGATGTAGGCAAGTGCGATGCTAATCAACAAACTAACCGACCAACACGAGGACGTGGCTTACTTCTTTTGCAGCCGCAACCTTAATGACCCCGAGCGCCAAGATCCAAAGAGGGTTCTGCGGGCGTTGATACACCAACTATGCCTGTTGCCATCCGCTGACAGATTTCCGGCAATAATCGAGGAGGAATATCGCAGAAAAGAATCCATTGGAATGACAACAGCTGGTCTGGATTTCGAAGAGTGCCATGAGCTGATCACTGGCCTGCTTCAAGGGACGGGCAAGATCACCATTGTCATTGATGGTTTAGACGAATGCTATGTAAAAGAGAGGAGTTTGATGCTGGCATCGCTAAAGAAATACGCCGAATCATCTGCTAAGCTCGTCAAAGTCTTCATATCAAGCAGGGACGATCGCGACATTCTCATCAGACTCAAAGAGATGCCAAACATAGCCATTGAGGAGCAACTTACCAAGGGCGACATGAAACGATTTGTGGAGAAAGAGCTCGCTCAATGCATCGACAACAAGGATCTGCTCTATGGAGAAGTTGAACCTGAGCTAGAGCAAAAGATCGCCGCTCAGTTGCTTTCCAAAGCTGATGGAATGTGAGGATCATGATCGCAAGCAGTAAGCTCTATCTAATGCTAATATTCTGCAGGTTTCTCTGGGTCAAGCTTCAGCTACAATTTCTCTGTAGCTTAGAGTCCAACTACCAAGTGCTCGTTCGGCTTGGCAAATTGCCAACAACCCTCCTTGAAATATACGACCAGATATTCAAAAGCATCGAAAGTAGTGCCAGTTCCTTGGAAGCACAGAAGGCCTTGGCTTGGATATTGTGCTCTAGGGAGCCGCTCCAGCCCGCGCAGTGGTCAACCGCCGTTATGTGGGCGATGGGTAGGAAGAGAGCACTCGACGATGAGGTCCCCGTCCGGCTTAACGCAGACGCGTTGCTAGGGATGTGTCGAAATCTTGTGATGTTCGATGAGCTGCAGAACAACATAACCTACACACATATTTCCGTGCGAGAGTATCTGGAAACAAAGCCGCAGTTCTCAAAGTTGATACTTGAGACGATGGCTGCCGAATCATGCCTCCGCTTCATGATCAAAACAGTCCTACCGAGGCCATCTGAAGTGGATTACCCCTTTTACAGATATGCCGCACGCTATTGGATTGACCACGTCAAGGAATGTGGACAACATGTACCCCCAGAGTTGGATACGTTTCTCGGCACCGGCGATGAACCAAGCTGGGCATATGGAGAGTGGAAATGCGCTGTAGGGTTGTTTGCACGTCGTTACGCGACATTTGACTATGCTGACGACATTGCAAACTTAACCTATCCTTTGCTTCTGGCAGCATTCTACGGCATCCGGCACACTTCCATTTGGAAGCGTGGGACATTTGATCCCAATAGATCGGACCAGCGCGGTCTATCCTTGCTCGCCCTTGCGAGTCAAAACGGGCAAAAAGAAATCGTTGAGCTACTGCTGCGGAACCACGCCCAGGTCAATCCACCGCCTGTATTCATTGATGCTTCCACCGCTCTCGCGCCATGCATCAAACGAGTTTCTTATCTTCCTTATGTACCGGTGGACAAATCACATCCCTTGTTCTTGGCCATCCAAGGTGGACATACGGACGTGGTTTTGCTGCTTCTAGACGCCGGTGCATCTTTACAAACCGCGAAAAACATCCATGTCGCTGCAGAATACGGTTCACCGGATATGCTTTTAAGATTGCTCCGAGAAAATCCTCATCAGTCAGCTTTAGACGGCCTCACTCTAAGATACGCAGCCACGAATAAGACATATCCAGAAATTCTGACGACTTGCCTTAAAAATTGTTCAAATTCCGCAATAGACGGAGAGCTTCTTGAGGCTGTTATTGAAAACCGGGGAGACCACAAGGATGTTATCAAAAAACGTCTTGCACCCCGTATTACTGCGAGGGTGCTGCTAGGAGTACGACGCTACCGGCGGACAGATGTACTTGAGCTATTGATGGAGTTGGTTCCGAATTTAGAAGTCCCTCAAGATGTGGTTCATATACTTGAACGGGATTCACCAGATGGCGACGATGATGTGGCGGCGATTTTGCGAGCTCAACTCCCTAGCGCCTCAATCACCCCTGGAGCACTCAAAGCAGTTTTTCGCACAGGATATGAAGCCAAGAATATGCTCAAAGCTCTCTTGGCAAAAAGGAGCCGTCTATCACCGGACTTTGATGCGGAAGAGTCCGAGACCAGTTCTATGGAGAGTTTGTTTCAGAGATTCTTTCAAGAGCGAGTATCAGAAGATCTGATTCTTGCCGCTGCTTATAATCAACGCGAAGGACTGGACCTGATGAAGCTCCTCTTTACAAAAGCCGATAGATCTGCCATTACAGAAGCAATTGTCACGGCTGTAGTCCAGAACGAAAACAGTGCTGTTGACATGTTGAAATATCTCCTTTTACAAGATCCAGCCATTCCGGTTACCGAGAAGGTGGTGGGAGCGGCAATGCAGAACCAGAAACACGGCCTCGAGATCATTGATGTCTTTGTTTCAAATAATCGGCAACTTCCAATCACCGAATCGGTAGTGAAAGCAGCTGCGGGAAACAAAGTTTCTGGTGGCAAAATGATAGCAACTCTTCTATCGAACGACCTCTCTTTCGAGCCAACGGAAGGAATTCTTACGGCTGCAGTCATGAGTGATAAGCAAAGCGTAATAATACTAAAGAGCCTCCTCACGCGAAGCACAACTTCCCATATTACAGACCAAGTACTGAAAGCTGCTGCAAGGAATGCAGACTCGGGCTTCGAAGTTGTCAAACTTCTCTTCGACAAGCGTCCCGGCATCATTGTGACAGAATCCTTGGTTTGCGCTGCAGCTGAGACTCCATATCAAGGTCTGCAGCTGATTCAATTTTTTCTGTCGCAAACGGATAGCATCTCCATCACTGGTAAGGTGGTCATCTCGGCATCACGAAACCGAGCTTCTGGAAACGCTATAATTTGGGCGCTTCTTGACCAGCCGGCAACGACCGCCATAGGAGTCTCTGCAATTCGTGCTGCAGCATTAACTGGCCGGGAGAGTTGGCTCCATATGTTCCTGGATAAGGCTGACAAGCGACTAATTCGGCGGCACTTCAGCCCAGTCATTCTTGCAGCCATTGAGAACGGAGATGCCGGCATCATGAGGACCTGTTTCAATTACAGTGGAGCATGGGGTGAACAAGATGAACATGGATGGAATGCAGATCTAATGGCCCATTATAAGAGAAACGAGGGCGTCCTACTGAAACTCCCGAATCAAGTCAGGCGTAGCGCCGCTTGTCCACTGTATCCGACCGCTTGGGAGCCTGATGATCTTCCAGAGATCTCATCTAACCTCACTATTCTGAAAATCACTGGTAGGTTATCAAGCACTTCGGACAGTACGTCGCAGTAATGTACAATTGCTGAGCGACATAGGCGATAATGATCACAACATACAGGTCAGGGCGAATCACCCGTTTGCACCGATTAGCACGAGCTACTTTGAAGTAGACATAATCAGACTCGACCAGCCTAAGATTCCCAAGCTAGGGTAAGTTTTACATGATATCATCTCGGCCGTTTTCTGCGGTTTGATCTGCTGTTTGCTCTACGATGTTTACTCGGCTGACTTTTGGTCGTATTCAGACATCATAAGTCGCTAGGTATAGGATTCATTGATGAATGCCTTTGGTATGCTCCAGCATACTACACTGATGATGGTTATGCGCGTGATTACTTTCTTATGCGACAGGTGGATCGTTATGGTAAAGGAGACACTGTTGGCTACGGATTGGATTGGGATGATGACGAAGCATTTGTAACAATCAACGGAAGACGATGTAAGATTGCCCCTATGTGAATTGGGAAGCGGTATTATCTCGAGACTGACTTCTCGCAGGCAACGTTGGAAACGGCATGGAGCCTATCATTTTCAGAAGGATGTTTCCTTATGTGGTCTTATACGCTAAATCTGGCAGCTGCACACTTCGGGCCAACTTTACAGGCCCATTCAAATATCGGCCGCCAGAAAGTCGACGCAATAGAGTATGAAATGGTGCTAATGCAGTTGATTGTTTTAGATTGGGTACATGGGTCTCGCTTGGCTACTATGGGGCCGGCCATGTCGAATTATAGAAATAGAGCAGCGTCGAAGGTTTTGATAGCTGTGCCAAATTATCCGTTGTACATGTTTCTATAGACTCGACGGCGTAGGTTCTACTCGCAGAAGAAAATACGATACTTCAGTATGAATTCAGGGCTGAGGAAAAGATGGATTGCAGCTTTTTCAAACATTCTAACAAAAAATGAGCTGCACGTTTTTATGATATATATTTTGCATTTTCTCGAATTTATGTTTATAATAGTTAGGGTCTTTATACAGAAGGAGAACATATGTAAAGGCGACTTAAATAATTTGATAATTATATAATATAGAAGAGGCTAGGATCTTACCTTTTAATTCCTTCTTTTATCTATATAATTATAGATATGTGTAATTATAACCGTCTTGCTTGTAATTACATAGCTTGCTCTGTTGGTTCAAGGATTAATAACACGTGTTATCAAAAGGTAAGAGGTTGTGGTAAAATTCGTTGTTTCTTCAAGTTCCATGGTCGGAACTGCTCTAGCTAAATACACCGAATACATCTTGTATTCACTCCCTTTTCCTGTGTCTTCCACCTCTTTCTCCTTCCTTGGCCACTTCCAGTGACTTAACTGTTCCTTCACTTCTCTGGTAAAGTAACACACGTCCAATGTCACAATAGTAACAACACTTGTAACTTGCATACCCATATACCCCTCCACTACACGGCACCGTCCGTAACCAAGCTCGTGGTATAATGGCAGAAACCCTGGCTCTAGAGTCCACGGCACCTGGCCGAGCAGCGCAGCGCATCTGACGATTGTGCGGCGAGAGCCGCGATGGGAGGACTTTGAGTACGAATACTTAGACGAGAGCCGAGGGAATAGGTTCTTGGGGTACCTGGGCAACGGGTGGACAAGGAAGGAAAGAGACGGCGAGAGCGACATGACGACGTATTTGCAACCAGACATAGACTTGCGCGATGTACACGAGAGCTGGCATACTGTTCCATACCTTAGACAGGTAACCAAGACAAGAGGGCTTTATAGACTTACTTCGACGGCGTGTAAACAGTAAATACTAAGCCAATCAAGAGATAAGGAATTTCAACAACTACCGATAACCAAGGGCTGAAGATGGGTTTAGTCCGAGACGGTACTGTAAGCGAGCCGTTGCGCATGCAACCTCAAGACGGCGTGCTTCCGACCACGGCAGCACCTTCGCTACGCCTATAAGATACGATTAAATACAGAAGAATTACCCCGTACAGTGCAATGCGCCAGATTAGATGAAACCCAATTTCCTGCTTGAATTACATCTTCCACATGTCAGAGTCGTCGCATCTTGGAGCCATGTCGTCCACTCTCGGTAAAGGTGGCGCATCACATCCGGTAAAATGGTACCGCTCAGCATTCTTCAACATCACCATTCTCGGGCTATGCAACTTTGCCGCGCCTGCGATCTGGGGAGGCATGAACTCGCTTGGTGCCGGCGCGTAGAAGCCATATCTCGTCAACACCGCCAACGCTCTAACCTTCTGTCTGATGGTTGTGTCGTGCATTCTCTCAAGCGCGCTCGTCAAGATCATCGTCATCAAAGGAGCCCTCATCTTTGGAACCTAAGTTTTTACCCTTAAAAGTCACCGTCCGTCCACTGACACAGGTAGACTAGTCTCGAGCATTTATATCCGGGTTTTGTTAAGAAAATGGTGAAACAAAATACAATACATTTATGTAGGACTTGCTTTTAATATGACAGGAAACGGTTCATCGGAAAAGAAGAGCCTCGTGCTCAATGCCTTTGTCATGATGTGTAAGTCGCCACAGCATGCAGTTGAGGCAGCGCTAACCTGCAGAAGGCAGCGGACATCAGTCGCCCGGGCCGGCTGACGGCTAACCGGAGCCGGCGGCTACAACGTCGTTAAAAAGTCTCTCGAACCGGCAATCGTTAGCGGTGCGCAGTGGCCAACTACAGAGCCGCTTGCTGTGGTGCCCGCCATGGCTCTGGCGACCAAGAGCATCGGGTTTGGGTTAAATATTTGTCTCATTGCCATCCGCCTTGAGACCGTAGACGATGTGCGCGTTGGTAGTATCCAGGTCGTACGAGACGCGCGACGAGCTGGTATTGGTGAAGATGAAGCTGGCTTCTCTTCGCAGGTGGTCAGTATCGTTAAAGGCTAGGCTGGCCGGCTCGAGTAGAGAGTAGTATAGGCAGCATCAAAGGTCTGGACGATGCCAGCGCTTTGTTGGACCGCGGGGGCAAGAAAGTCGTAAAAACTTTTACTGTCGTTGAAGGCTTGCGCCTTGGCCGTAGAGGACAGAAGGTTCTCGATAGTGCCGACTGGCATGGCACCGCGAACTTGGTGTATCAAGGCCATGATGGCGGCCATGTGAGGTGTGGCCATGGAGGTTCCGGACAAGGCCGCGTAGGGGGTATTGGGGAATTTGGAGAGGACGAAGCCGCCAGGAGCGCCAAACTGCGGCTTAGAAACCATCTCGTAGGTCGGGCTCCAAGAGGTAAAAGTACTTAGAGCTTCGCCCGTCTAATCATTAATCCAAGGCTCGACAAAGACATCGGCGTGCTTGGGGTCGGCAAGGGTGACTGACACTTGCCGCTCGAAAGGAAAGCAGCCCATCGTTCGCCGACCTGGGCAGGAACCATGGCGATGAACTCAGTCTCGGTGCGATAGTCAGGACCATCAAATGTCGGGCCGTCCATGTAAAAGAGAATGGCGCTAGCGCTCTTGGCCACAGCGTTGTCGATCTTTTGCTTGTAAGGACAGCCGCCGCGGCGTAGCAGCACCACGCTCTGGCTCAGATCAGGCGTGTCTTTGGGGAAGCTGGTGCACCCATCGTTAGCCACAGGATGGGCACTGAGCGCCCAGAGCGGTAAAGTCAGCGTCAATGGATCATCGTCTGTGTGGGTTGACGATGGGTCATAGTAGCCGAAGCGCTGGGGGCTGCCGTCACTGACTGAATAGGTTGACGCTCAGAGCGGAAAAGTGCTGTGCGTGTCGTCAAACGAGGCCACAGCCGTGACCTTGAAGCTGTCCGCTGTGGAACTACTGCACAATGGTACCGTGCCACCGTCGTTGTCCGTGCTCATCGTGACTGGTACGCCCTGCTCGACGATGCACAATACCACAACAGACCAGGCGCTGTCGGACCAGCCTCCAGGTTCGCCAATTGAGCATGTGATGATGTCGGCGCCTTCATCAACGGCGCGGTGAAAAGCAGCAATGAGGATGTCGTCGGCTACTTCCACTCCTACTTCCCCAAACACTCTATAGGCATGAATTGACACCTCGAGAGCCACCCCCGACAAGTTGTACGGGTTGCTGCCAGCCTGCACGGCAATGATGCCTGCCACGTGCGTTCCATGTGAATAAAGGTCGTTTGTAGGGTCGCCGTTGGACTGGGGGTTCTCGTTGATGCCGTTGCCAATGAAATCTCAACCCTTTGTCACCACGCAGCCCTCTCCGAGGCAGCCTCCAATCGCAGGGTGAGTGTAGTCCACCTGCAAGAGACCAATGGCTGTGTTAGTCGCGAGTCCCCTGATTATGTAGAACTAATTATTAACTTCTTTTTAATTAAACACAAGTTAAGAATTATTCTATTGTCGCGTATATGTTTAAAAGTCTGGCATAGGGACGATGATTAGGAGCAGCTACTGATTTTCCACTATCATGCTAAACGTAAGTTGAACCATGTCGAAGCAAATGTAGAATATTCCAGTATACTTCGATGGCCCCCGAAAATTTGACTGATTATTGAGACCCCCATATCTGCAATATATGATAAGCACTCAGCTAGGCTCATAGCCTCGCGTCTACCATGAAACTTGATCGATCATTTTATTATTTATTAAAATAAGTTTATTCTAGTTGTGCGCGATCTTCTTGCCTATACACACAAATCAATCTATACAGAGATCAAACTTTGGAATCCTCCGATATTTAAATTAGCTGTATACGAGCATTACAGGCAACGGTCAGTTAATTCACTAGTTGCAGATCGGCCATATGCGCCACTCGAATACCCGATCCGAATAGGCTCTATTTTACAACCCGACCCGAATAGGCTTTGGTTTACAGCCCGACCCGGATGCTATAGTAAATAGGCTACCTCCACGGACTAGATTTATTGAAAAAGCGAAAAACGGAGGAAAATATCTTCACTATCTTCTTGCAAAACCACCTATTCGAATCTTACTACCATGGCATCAGATGCAGACACCCAGCCGTGCGTGCTCTCCTCTAAACACATAGACTACAGTAGACTAACATACACTTACCAGTCGGCCACGAGAGACAGTCAAAATTCTCTACGACTACGAGCTGACCAATGCGCCGGGAAAATCTCTGATTGCTCTTGAAGTCTCATTCCCTCCCAACGGCTTTACTCCTCCACATCGCCATGCGGGTGCAACAGTCGTGGCCATTGTCACAGAAGGCGAGATTCTCAGCGGTATGAATGGTAACCCTCCGCAGGTATACAACGTGGGCGAATCGTTTCGCGAACTACCTGGCTGTCACCATACTGTAGGCGAAAATAACAGCACCGAGCGGCCCGCAAAGTTGGTTGCAACGTTTGTTGTTGATACGTCTGTAGTCGAGAAGGGCGGCTACGAAGCTCTGACCCAGCTAGACCAAGACTAGTGATAGAAACCCTTTATGGGTTCTCAAGGCTATTCTAATATCACACAGTGAAACTACTAGTTGAACTGAGTGGGTTGAGTCCTCCAACCGAGTCAGTTGGATACAGAACCAGTCCAGTTAACGCTCCATCCAGTTGAGTTATGGATGCCACTCAGTTGGACTGTCAGTTGGACTGGATTACTATATTTAGCTACCGATAGTATTTGCTGACCCTTAAAAAGAGTTGCCTGTAAAATATGCTCGCTTCTATCTTTTTATAATAGTGTATTTTTCTGAATATAATCACTTTACACTTCGCTACTCTGTTGTTTTTGTGTTTCTGCTTCCACCTCCGTTACCCATCGGTCTACCCAATCCTCATCAACCCATGCAACGTTAATGATCCCACACTTCGGATGTGCGTTTAGAGGCAAGCTTTTCTCCTTCATTGGCTTCGCGGGTGCTATCTTCTTCAGCGTTAGTTGGAGGGATACATGGCGACTGTAACGGTCTCAACTGAGTATATTGACAACTAGCTGAGCGACTACTACGAGTATCCGAAGATGAAGAAGAAGGGATCGAAAAGGGGCTATTCCAGCTAGCTGGAATAGCCTTTTATATGACTTACATGGGTCCCTTGCCTAGATGGTCGAGGGCTACCCGAGACCTCCACGGGCCTAGCCCGTTACAGCGACGATGAAAGGGGGTGGAAGATCAGCTCGGTATCACTCCAGCTCCCCTCGGAAACAGATCGTAGAGTAGGGCTACCCTGGATAGCCATAATACCTCTTGAATTAATGGGAGAACTTCCGAGGTAATAGAGCCAAGCGATTTCTAGAGAATAGTGGTTGTAATTCTAATATATAGGCACACTGCATGGTGCTACGTATATTATCCCCTAAATTAATCACAATGTTAAATGTGTCCTTAATATTTGAAAGAACTATACTGTAACTAGTGTTCTCTGAGCGTTTTCATGCTCCTATCGCTGAGACCACCACTTGGTTCACAATTACATAATTAGCCAGTTCAACTGCGTTAGTTGTATTAATAACCAGTTCAGTTGAAGCTTATCCAGTTGAGCGACCCAGTCTAAAAATGGGCCAACTGGACTGAATCAACTGGAAGCTCACTCAGTTGGACTGGATGAGTGGTCAACTACTAGCCTCACTGTTCGACGTCGTAGGCGGCCGGCTCACACGGTTTCACGTATTAACCTGTAATATAGGGGCCTATTAGCCCTATAAATGGCTATAACAGGCAATGGCTAGTTTATAGTAAATAGACACTAACTAAACCCTAACCCAACAACAACTATTGCCGCTTGATAACTCGTGCAGACCGCTACTAATAGCATGACTGCGCAATGTATAGAAGCGAGTGACATATGGCATGGCATAGCAAGACACGGCATAGCAAGACGCGGCAGAGAGCGACTTATCTCGGCAGTTATACGGTTACTCAGGTACAGGCATAGATCCACACCGTCCATTAGCAAAACAGAATCAAGTAATCAATTCAACCAATATAATCAACCGACACAGGATATACACACTTATTTCGCATTTTACGATGGATATATTATCCTATGCTCCTGTTAACTATAGCTGTCGAATAATGAGAAATGTCTTCTCCTAACGGTATTATCAAAGTAGTGCCTATTCGAAGTGCGGCGGCCAAGCGCGCAGTAGCGCGGGCTGAATCTGCGACAAGGCCGAATGAGATCTGCGGTCGGATGCGGCTGGGTGACATATTATATCTCGTGTATACGCCGAGCTCATATTGAGCCGAGATACGCTAGCTACTGAGACACCGGTGAAGCTTGCAAGGTTGTGTAACAGTGCAAACTCCTGTTTTAGACATGCAGTTTACCCAGTTACATCAACTTGGATTATGTCATTTCAGCTAAGTAATCGGCAGTTCCCTATAGTAATGTAATATTGCGCTGTAATACTTTGCCTATGTAGGCAGGAATAGATTCATCTAACCAGACTGAGAAACGGTAATTGCTCTCGGCCATGTCGGGAAATAAAGACGTGGTATACGTGCGGCTAGCTGAAGCCTTAATTTACTTAAATAGAAATATACTCTTGTTGATATATTAATTATGAGAAATCTACGGCAGTAGCGCGGGCCAGTGCCCGATCGCTGCGGCTGATGTGAGACACCGGGGCGAATAGCACCTTGTATGGCGGTGTGATAACAATACCTCTGACCTGAAGCAACCCTCGAGTGACCAGCTTGTCCTTTAGCCTCACCCTTGTACGGTAGAGACTGCAGCTGCTCCAGCCGTCTCGGTAGTTTGCGAGAATTTTGTCCCGTGCCGGCGCAGATCTGTCCTAAGTTGTCAACATTGCTTTCCGTACGTAGCTACATTATTATAAATTCACGCCATTCACTGTCCTTCTCTCCTTATCAACCAGCTGTTTATATTACCAATATTCGAAATTTCTCACTGTTGCAATACATTATTCAAACAGAATGCATCTACGCACGCTCGTCTTACCGATCTTGGTGCCCTCCGCGGCTCTCGCGCAAAGGATTGTAAAGGCGAGTGGCAAGATTTTGGTTTAATGCTACTTCAGTTAACAAATATCAGGGCACTATCTACAATGGGATTGACAATCAAGGTGTAAAGTATGAGATCATTACTGAGAATTGTATCAACCTCCGAAAGCCATTGTAAGTTGAATATTTCCTCTATGCCAAGTAATCGCGGAAAGCACATACTAAAATCCTACTAGATTAGACGAAATACACTCTATTGATGTGACCGAAGGCTTTATGTGCAGGATTTATACGTAAGTTGGCTTTGCTCATGGTGGTTTGCCAAAGTCTAATATACACTAACAAGTTCCAGCGAGAGAGGTTGTGATGACGAGGGGTCCTACAGGGAATACTACGAAACTGAGTTATATATTCCTGGGGGTAATGCCAAAGCTGTCAAATGTATGAGGGCAGAATAAGAGCTGGTTGCCTTGGGCGTGGTCGTGGCTGGGGATAGATGAGCAATCTTAATGAGTTACTACATTCAACACACGCCTGCACATTATCGTAGCAGAACGCCAGTTTCAGTGAACCAGAGAGCAAGCCGGCTTCTGGCAATATCAAAGACGTGGTAACTCGTGTAATGAAGCAGTAGACCAGGGCATTCACTGCGCCATAAGCGTGTAGGAGCAAATAGAAGAACCCATAAAGTGATTGCAAATACAGTGAGCTTAGGTTAACACAAACCATTTCTTTCCTGCTATCGACTTGTCTCTATTATTCTAACTGTAGTAATGAACGTCTAAGGTGCTCTAGTATATTGTGGTATAAATGTTTGTCTTTTACGCTAGCTTTAACTCGTTGTTCTATGTCCGGGCTATGCTGAATAGGATATTGGAGAAAACGGCCGGGCAATATATAAGCGTCTACGGGATTCTCACGTATATCAGCTAGTAAAACTTTTACTGGTATTTGCACACGAGGCTAAATACTGTTAAGGGGGAAATATTGCAGGACCCTCGGCTTGATGGCTTGGCATTGTCGATTGGAAATGATCGCTAGCAACATGGATTCTGCGAGTGTCAGGTCTGAGATATTGGATTGCATCAGATTCAAATACAAATCGGCGCTATAGATTAGCTTAGGAATTGTATTAGCAGCTGCAATCATGACTCTTTCGGTAATGTGCAGATTTTCATTGCTATAAGCTGTCAGGCACTCTATGTTGTTATACCGAATTGATGTTTTTGTTACTGATCGTTGCTATCAAGATGTCCTCTGTTATTGCAGCACCTGAACCCTGACAGCCGAGTATAAACCATAGAATCGCTCGCAAGCGGCTGCTTACAGCCGTGTTTAGGATGTCCGAAGTAGCCTGTATGTGCCTTGGAGCAAATTTATGGATTATCCGGAGTATGTATACCCCTTGACTGGAATTGCAAGCTGCAGTTGCAACAATATTGTCTGTAATGGCTTCGGCTGAGATTAGATGTCTCTTGAAGAAAAGCCTCAAAATGTCGTGGCTAAGCAAATTCTTCTTAACTATAGCAATAAGCACAGGTTCTTCTAGCGATAGTATTGGAGGCTGGGTGTCTTGATCACATATCTCAGAGTAAACAATTGACAGGCAAGTGCCTTCTGCAGTCACCGAAAGCATCTACACAGAGTAATATCCAATCCCTACATATAATGATGTTTATGCATGAAAATTGGAATTTTTAATTTACTCATCTCTCGCCTGATTCTCAAATGGCAGTCCACACCCTTCGCGCAACACTCCGAACAGGCTAAGTATGCTTGCATTCGCGCCTCGAGCTTCTACGAGGCGGTTGGTTGTCTTTACCAGCTCATCAAATGTTGCTACTTGAGCCCCAGCTTGACTTATAAGATCGGATAAATAGTCATTCTCCTTGACTACCATGCTCATTGGAACAGTCGGCTATATGCAACGATTAACTCCAGTACTGCTTGAGAAACTCTTTGCTTACCTTCGTGCCCTTGTAATACTCGCCCGAAAGGAGCATTTGTATCTGCTGCGGAGTAGGACTTGTATTCATAGTTTCTGTGAAGCTGGCTAGTGTCTGTGGCGCCAAACCGAGAACTTCTGAGAGCGCGAGGCCTTCGCAGAGACTTCGAATAGCAGATAGTCGAATGTAGTTTCCAATAAGCTTCAAGATACTGGCTTGCCGGCAAGGCTGGTTTCTGAGAAGGATAGAATTTTTGCATATCCTGACTTGGTTAGTTAGCCGTTTCAAGGTCAGCCAACGACTCATCGGAGAGCTTACACGCCGTCTGTAAAGGGGCGGAATCTTTCAATTGCCTCTGAGGATCCAGCAAGCACCAACGTTATCTGTCTGTGTACAGCTAGAGGGACACCTCCAAAAACTATATGGAGTTAAAAGCAGAACTTAAGCGATGGATATATCGATAGCGCACTTACTAGGACTTGCTAAGTAGTCTGCACCATGAAGCTTCAACTTGCTGTGCAGTTCGGTGGCTGTATTTGGATGAATCGTGGACAAATCCACAAACAACTTGCCTGGAATATCCGCCGTTTCAATAGCAGCATCAACAACCTGATTCACAGCTGCATCATCAGCTAGACACAGACAGATGATGTCGCAAACTGCCACAGCTTCCGCGACAGACCCAACCACCACTATCTTAGCCGCTTCAGACGCAAAGTCTACCGCCGTCTGATGGGTACGGTTCCAGACCACTACGCTCTCTTCATACTGCCCATATTTCACAATATTAAGGCAAATTGCCTTTGCCAAACGAGGAAATATTAGCACCGTATCGCAGTTTCACAGCATTTAGCTTAAGAGCAAGAGCAGGTGGCAGACAAACCTTTCCAATTCCACCCAGACCGAGCCAAGCAATGCGGGCCATTTGCTATGTAAGGGATCCAAAGCACGGCGTGGTACAGGCGATGAGCGTAAAGCGCTGAGAGTTGACTTTCTCCGAAATATCTTGGTAAAGCCAACAATGCCGCTTAATCAGTGGCGAGGGAATTTAGTAAGCAATATAACGTATAATGGGCTAGGTGCGCCACTGCGGATATTTGGCGCAGCCTGTGGTGGGATGCAATATAAAAGAATTATATAGTAGGTATCCTCCACAGAATAAGGGCATTTATAGTGCTGAATGTTCTCTCGCAGACAGAGCGCTCTAGGTACTAAATAAAGTTCAATTACTAGGCGTGGAAACTTTTCCGTGCTATACAAATAGACGGCGTGTCTGGAGGGTTTCACATTTTTTACAGATATAATTTCCCCATGTGTCTGCATATCTACAGATTTCCTTTTTAAACCGCTGCAGTGCAGTGTTTAGCGCACCGCCACCAGAACACAAACCGTAACATTTCGAGCCAAGGATGATCAATCCTACGTCTTTTATTCATTGTCTTATAATCTGTCTGTCGTCTTTGCGTGAACGACTTTTCATATATTTCCGCCCAAGTATTTACATCCCCAATCCAGCCCTCACAGGATAGGTGTGGTATTGCAAGACAGCACACTCTATTCTCAAACACAGCAACCGGTCTCTCAAGATCATTGTGTCAAGATAATTCAACATCTTCGCTTACGCCACGGTCGGAAATCGATGATCGGACTTATTCCCCGCATTCTGCGATGGTCCGGGGGCCGGGCTGCAATAGCCAAAGCAATAGCGCAGCCATGGGGCGGAGACGGCACATCTCATGCTCAAGGCTCCTTGTTCATGGAAATCGTGCCGTAGCGCGCAGGAGCCGCAAGACTGCCACCAAAAACTCTGACGAATCAGATGCTCAGGCGACTTCTGTTCTGGTGCAAGTGCACATAGCTGGTCATTTGGCTACAAAGCATCCTGCGCTCTCTTTGGCATCACATGCAATTTGGTTCATGAGCAGAGCCTGTACAAGTCGTCGACTTCATTTTCACTGCCTCCAGAATGTTGGGTCCAAAGGATGAGCCCAAATACAAGCGACCTGTCATCTATGACACTGTTCAAGAGCCCACGCTTCTTCGAGAGCTTCTAGCAAATTACATTTTTCTCCTTAATGGGCAGTTTACTATCCTCTGTCAATAGGCGCATCCTGGTTTAGCAAAAGGCAGCCACTCTCGCTCCAACTTTGCCAGCCGGATACCAGGGCGCCTACGAAACACAGCCCGGTTCGTCAATGCAGCCTTGCGCGGGACTCGAGACGAAAAGGAAGCCATCTTCTCGGTGATTCACAGGTATCATGCGTCTGTGAATGGTCCTGGCTATGATGCCAGCGATCCTGAGCTGCACAAGTGGACAGCTGCTACCTTGTTTGTGTCTACGGTTATCATTTATGGGCTCATCATGGGTGTAATGCCACTCGATATTATGGAAGCCTTGTTTAAAGGATCTGCTATTTGGGACATGTTGCTTCGAATGCCGCTAGACATGTGGCTAGATATGCTTGACGAGTTCTGGTAGTACTGGAACTATAATATCGCTACCCTCGAAATCACTGAGGAAGCACGCGAGCTCTGTCAGGCCCTCATGTATCCTTCGAAACTGCCATGAAACTTTTAAGCTCTATTGCCCATGTCCAGGCTCATCACCAGCAACATCCTACCTGGACGTCTTGCCAGAGAATACAGCCTCGAGCCTACGCCCTCCAGCAAGATTGCCTTTCAGCTACTGGCGTACGGTCTATCTGTGGGATACTACTGGTTACCAGAGTCTGTTAGACAGGTCTAGCACAGATATTATGTGGAGGATCTCAAAAAGGCTGTGGCTAAGATTCGTGACAGTGGCCATTGGGCTGGCGCGGCGTCTAATTAGTCACGATATACAACGAGGGCTCTTCATTGAGGATATCATGTAATGTAAATTGTTGCAGTGTTTTTATTGGATGAATGAAATGACTCGAAGACACTGTAAACATCCCTCAGGGCATATTTGCCATGGTATTCGGCATCACAGGATATATGTTCTCTCCGTAGGTGCTGGTGCTATTGGCATCATCGTCTTAATATTCTTGTGGCGCAAGAAAGCAGAGAAGGCGACGGCTATAATCTCTCCTGCGGAAAAGGATTAAAAGTTCGAAACCGATCCGATGGTAAGTAATGTATCTGAAATATCCTCAACACCTGTTATTGGCGAGATGAGCACGGAACACTCGCGGCAGCCTCTCACTGTTGCTGAATTGGCAGCCAATCAGTATGTAACAAAATTAACAAGCCGGTTAGATTCAAGTAGCATTTCTCATAACAGCCGTCCCGGTGCATAAATCGCCGCCTTTGGCCTGATGAGTTTGCTTTAAGCCAAATCCATCCGATTCACTCGGCCCTAGCTAACCTTGCCCATTTCTGGCAGGCCAACACTGTATCTTCTTGGATTCTCTTATATAATGCCATCTCATCTGCTACACTTGACCCGAGTGCCCTCTCAAATAGTTCCTTTCCGTCCTCCATGTGTGGAGAAACTGGTGTGCTACTAGGCTCGCTTGTCGATAGATTACTCTGGAAGATTCCTGCAGCACTCACAGGGAGGAAATCTTCGTATACTATTGGTTCGAAAACCACAAAGCCATTTCGAATAAGATACGGAAGATCGTCTGACTCTGGACGCTTTGATTTGGCGTCTTCGGAAATGCGATATTGGAACCATGCCAGGTCTTGTTTTTGCATCTCTACAACAGAGTCTGGAAAGTCTGCAAATATTTGCGAAAATTCGGGACCTTCCGCTGATGTGATACCCGCTTTGATCGCCGAAGCAAGCAATCTGTCATACAGCTGACGTCCTTTGACAGTCAGCGCTGCGCCACGTTGTTCAATCTCGCCAAACCGAGCGGTGTGGCCTGCTGTAATGGTCTTGTCACAGCCTCCTAGCCCGGGGCCGTCTGGAAATTCGATTTTTTCTTCAATAGCGTTAAAACTTGTTTGTCTGAGAAGAATCGGAACCTGTCTCTTTGGTGGGCCTTCGATATGATGCTTCAAAGGTATCTGCTGAGCACGCATAGCAGCTTGGACAGCGTCAATGTCCAACGTGCGCGGGGTGAGATGGTTGATGTGAGGAGATTGAAAGGCTACTATATCAGCCAATACTGGGCTCTCCTGGAGGAGCAGCTGGTATTGGCTATGAGAGACGCTGGCGCGGGACCTCCACCGAAACGCCTCGATCGCCTCTGCCACAAAATCGGCAGCTTCATGAGCAGTGAAGCCGCCATTAGACTCGTAGACCGCAAGTAGCGCATACATGGCTTTGGAGAAAATCTCACGCTTAGCAAGTATAGCCAAAGCTTCTGTGCGGAGACCGTCCTCTTTGATCAACTCGGGCCGTAACAGAGAGACGAAGAGGCGAAATGGATTCTTAGCCAGCTCCGCAGCGTCCCAAGCTCGAAAGCAAGTAGAGTGGACGGGGACTCCTGCTGAGGACAGATCGTAATAGCCAATGGGAGCCATATCCATAACGCTCAGTACCCTCCGAACCGCGTTCAACTCGGCTGGTGTGCCAAGTCGGATTGCCCCATGGCGCTCCAAGTTGATCCGAGCGAGATCATCAGTCGCCAATAAGCTATCGCGGAGGGAGATATTCTCTTCGAGTGTCGTATAATTTACTGTGCGAACAATAGATAAGAGTGTGTCGTATAAAGGGACCTCCTGGCTGTACATGTCCGACATGGCTGTTGCAAAGGACGAGCGAATGTCTGAAGCAGCTACATGCTGGCCCTGGGCCAAATCAGAAGTCGCGGTCGCCATAGTGTTGTCTTTGTAAATAAAATAGACTTATATATTGTACAATGTATATTTCAATACGGGAATGAATCCAACTATATACATTCGACTCTGTACCCGCGTGGCGTATCACCGCTGGGCAGAATCATGGCCAACTTGCTATGCCTAACCCGTAAAAATGCGCTCAACATGATTAAAGCGGATGAAAATGCGGGACTAAGATCAACCACCCCAACGTAGAGCACCAATCGAATGCTATTCTGTAGGCGCTTGCCCTCTTTCAAACCTCGGAAGTTCGGATCTTGAGCGCCCTCGGATTGTGTGAATGACTCGGCGCCGTGGCGTCTCTCACCATGTCTGATGCCGTGTGATGTAATTTGTATAGCGGCTTACACTGCAATTTATTATATCAAATATAAAGAATATAAAGGTAAATGATATAATGTTATTTGTTTGTTGGATCCTTCTATCGTCGCAATCTGTTTCCAAAAATCAAACCAATGTAGGCGATAAACCTGTACACCGTTCCAATGGCGACAAGCATGGCCAAGTTTAGGGAAAAGCCAGTTAGGCTGTAACCTGTGCGTGCTGCAGCAAAGTCGACATCGTACAAGTATGCAAAAGGGTTCACAAGCTGACCAAAGTAGAGTTCAGCAACCCACGTCGCAGGCGAAGCGCGCCAGAGAAATTCAGCGTGAAACTGCTTCACCTTGGCCAGCGGCGGAGCAGCACCGCACAAGATCCCAGCAACAAGCGCAATCATGGTTGCAAAGAGCGGTGCATCTTCGCGGCGGGCAACCATGCTAACAACGCTAGCCAGGCCATAAATGCAATAAAAGTAGAGCAGGTTTGTTCCAAAGGCTGTAAACCAAGGGATGATGGCGGCCGAGAGAAGCAGCAGCGGCGTAGTAAAGTGCAAGCAGCCCCAGATCATCCTAGGAAACGCTGACACCATCTTGGCCATAAAGTATGCTATGCGCGAGTGGCCAGCCTCTGACTCGCGGCGGTAAAGCAAAAGTTCTTCAGAAAAGACTTTGACACCGGGCGCAGAGCCAACTAGACCAATAGCAATCACAACAAGAAGAGCCATTTGAGGAGCAGACGTGAAATCAGCAGCAACTGAGAGAACGTCGTAGGGAGCTTTGTAAAGACCGGTGAACAAGACGCCGTTCTTTGATGCCTGCGCAAGACCGAGCAGCAAACCAGCCAGCATTGCAAGGCCCATCTCTGCCCAGAAGGTGCCCTTTGCACGATATTGTTGCAGCATAGCTCGCGAAAGACAAAGCCAAAACTGCTTGAACCTAGGAGCGCCGCGAATCTTGAGCACCTCGCCGATGGACAGCTCATGGCCCATCCTGACGGGGGCCTCTACCATGACAGAGAAGCGGTTAGGATCGCGCAACTCAGCCCATTTGTCAATCAGGCTCTCCTTGGACACTTGGCCCTGCGGCTTGTAATCTCGGCCGTTGCCAGTAATGATATCGGTGACAATGTCGCTGTGGTTGGTGTGCTCGGGGAAGTGGAAGCCGAAGCCTTCAAAGTATTCTTGCACCTTTGTCTGGCTGCCTTCGTAGATGATCTGGCCGTTTCCAAGTAGAATAAGATCGTCAATCATTTCCCAGATTTCTGCACGAGGCTGATGAATAATGGTGATGATGGAGATGCCGAGCCGAGAAATGGCCTTGAGCGTTCGCATAATGGACGAGGCAGCAGTAGCGTCTAGGCCGCTGGTCGGTTCGTCGAGGAAGATGGCCATGGGTGCTGCAGCTAGTTCCATACCGATGCTGACTCTTTTACGCTGACCACCGCTAATGACTGGCTTGCTGATGCTGCCGACGAGAGAGTCTCGCACGTGAGAAAGCTCGAGACAGTCGATAACGCAGTCGACATGCGACTGGATATCGGTAAACGACCACGACCGAGGAAGACGGATGCGGGCCGAGTGCAAGATGTTTTCGTAGACGGTCAGCTCCGGAAGTACAATGTCGTCTTGCGGAACGAAGCCAATGAGCTTCTTGTAGCGGCTAATTCGACCGGGCTGGTTGTTGACCGAGACGTGGCCGCCTGTGTTTGCCGTCTTGCCCATTAACACGTTGACAAAGGTCGACTTGCCAGCACCTGAGCCGCCCATGACAGCCACAAGAGAGCCGGTTTCAATCTTTCCCGTGACTTTCTGCAAGATTGGCGGCCGCTTCTTGTTCGGTTGGAAGATGAGGTTCTCGTAGCGGAAGGACAAGCCAAAGCTAGACGCGTCTGTTGCTCGACGCATGGAATCGACAAACTTTTGCAGCTGAGGGCTAAGCTCCTGCGTCGTCTTCTCCACGGTGCTGCCGTAGAGTTCAAAGATGGCCTCGAAACCAGTTGGCCCCTCACGGTTGGGCATGTACGTTGCCTCCATTTCGATGCCAGGCTCCTCTTCAAGCACACGGTACTTTGTACTCTTTGCGCGGAGCATAGTGAGCGCCTTGGGCGGCGTCTTGGATCGAAAGCGGTTGCGGAACAGGATAATCACCATGCCGAGGATAAGCAGAGCGTCGAAGATGAATACCAAGGCGATGGGCACGAAAAAGACTTGCTTGACGGAACCCTCGGGGCATTGGCTGCCGGGGGCACACGGAGTTGGCGCCGATGCACCAGGCTGGCAAAATGTTCCAGAAGGGCATTTGATCTGCTTTGCACCACCGGCGTTTTTGGGGCAAAAGAAGCCTGCTTGGCAGGCAACTGGCTCGAATGCTCCCATTGGCACGTACTGGCCTTTGTCAGGCCCCGATGGGATCTGGCAGACCTGGCCGAGGACGCGGGCCTTCTGGCAGACTGTAATGGGCGGGCAGAACTGGGGAAGAGAGTTGACGGTGTTGTTTTCGCCTGGGACAGCGTGTTAGCGTTTTGGGATATGCTGCAGTGACGGAGGCAGTGACTTACAGCGGAAACCGTCTAAGCAGCCCTCCCTAACCCAATGAGTCACATTGTCAAGCGTCAAGGGGATGGCGTTTGGGATAATGCAGGGGAAGGCATCGACTGGAGGATGATTTTTGAGATCCTGAAAGTTGAGCTCCCGCATTGCCCGATGGATAGAGTTTGTAAAGCCGTTGCGTTTGATGCCGGTGCAGGCCTGATCAAAGGGGCTAAGTCCATCAAACTTGGTGCTTGGTTCAAAGGTTTTAGTGTAACTGTTGAAGAGCAGAGCCGTAGCTGTATCAGGCGGGTTGGAGAAGTCGTTAAACGGAAGCTTGGCTGTTGCCGCATTGCCGTTCTTAGCAAAGAAGAACTTGCCAAGAGTCTTGTCAAAGTTGCCTTGATCGGCCGTGCAATGCCAGACCAGCTTTGGGTCCTCGCGTTTTTGAAGGGCGCAGAAGCAGGCCTGCGAATCTAGGAAGAAAGGAGCAGTGTAGTTCTTTTGTGGTGCAAACGGATCTTGCGTCTTGTTGTTCGCGTTGCCCTACTGCTTATCCTTGGCGAATCCTATGAATTGGCTTACGTCAATAGGTCTAGCTCCAAAATTGTTGGTCTCGGTAGGCCCATCTGAGTCGCCAGTGGTCGGCGGTGGATTGTCAGACTGGCTATCTCCTGAACTAGAGTCGGAGCTGCCCGAGTTGGTGCTGCCAGGATCTGGGTCAGCATCGTCGGAGCTTCCAGAGGTGGTTGTAGGCAGGTTGCTCGAGTCAAGATCGCCTAGATCATGATTGTTAGAAATCGAGTTGTCCTCAGTGCTGGGCATGCTGATGGAGTGCCACAGATTCGGCTTGCAGACTAAACGCATACATTTTTACGCAGGGAACAGCAAACGCGCTACTTAAACGAAAAGCAGGACATGCTCAGCGAGCCAGCCACTGCCATGGTCCCAGAGACCGCTACTCGATAGCGCACAACACTGCAACCTTGCAACTGGAGCGCAAGGTCTTTTCTCATTTACTGCGCTTGGTAAAAATAGCAGTCAAGAGGCGCGTGCGGGCGGGACAGCAGGGATCCGCAGCGCATAAGGGCTCGCCACGCAGCAGCCAGCCGCAGCCTCGTTCAGAGATGGACAGATTTGGGGCTATGAGCGCACATCATTTATGCAGGTGGCTGCACGAGCGAGGAGTTGATTGGGCATCGCAGCGGATACTCTCGCAAGACGAGGCTCGAGAAGGCAAGTATTCGCGATGAGGCAGCTCGCGAGACCAATAAGAGCGGCTGCACCTTTTGGTCCGTGGTTACAGTAGCGCGTCCTTCAGAGCCTGACTGTGCGGTGTCGTTGCCACAGCCTGTGCCACCATTGAGGCCAAAAACAAGCAAAGGCTCAGAGTAAACCCCCGGGACAATGAGGTAGCCTTGCTTTATATCAAAACGAAAGCTGGTACAGTGGCTCTTGGGACGGGATTGTCTGAGATTTCCGGCACAAGCACGGGTTATGAAAATGCTAGTCTCAATGGGAAGCTCCAGCAATCCGAATGCCATCACGGACAAGAAAACTCCTCAGAGTGCAACGAGGCACACACCGGCCAGCAGGGCAACGTCCTTGAACACGAACGAGCCCTCAGACGAAAAGCCTCCGGGCTGAACAGAACAGAGCCGCGAGACATCGCCAATAAGAGAGCCAAAACATCGACAGAATTCTCTAGTCAAAAGATCGACATTCAAGGGTTCAGCGCCTGTGACACCTCCTCCCAAACTCTTCTATACGTGTTCCTGATGAAGAGTGGGTGCCAATGGGCGAGCGCATGCCCTCTGACATGCTTCGGGTTAATCGTGGCTCAGAGCCTCGAACAGCCGCCGTGGACCGGGATCTTGAATTTTCAGTGATATTTAAGATGTCCGGTAGTGACAGTGGGCCTTATAGATCCCTGCCTATTCGCTATACTGGAGGTCCAGACGGCCAATGGAAATCTTGGGCCTCGTATGGAGGTACTAAATATAACCCTAAATTAATCCATTGATATATAACGTGGTTCACGGGTGAGCGGCGCACCTCACGTCATTTTTTAATTGATTACTTTTAAACCGTAATTCCACAACCAGTAATCATGGGAAAGACTTCAAACGAAGCTGACATTATTTCGGCTCTACAAGCTAGAGAGGGAGACCCAAAATTGTCAAATCGAGAAGCTGCTCGAATCTATAATATCGCCAAAACAACACTCCGCTACCGACGCCACAAAATCCCTTGCCGAGCCGATACGACTTCAAAATCTCGAAAATTGACAAATGAGGAAGAAAATACTATAATTCAATATATTTTCAATATTGATGCTAGAGCTCAGCCTCCTCGCTTGCGTGATGTTGAAGCTATGGCTAATTGCCTATTAGAGTTACGCCACGACATTCCAGTTGGAAGGAACTGGGTTGCAAGCTTCATTAGACGACACCTCGAAATCGTCACGCGTTTATCACGTCAAATCGACCATCAAAGAGTTCAATGTGAAGATCCAGATAAATATAAAGCCTGGTTTGAGCTTGTTAAGAACACAATCACGAAACATGGCATACACGAAGCGGATATTTACAACTTTGACGAGACTGGCTTTGCAATGGGCGTGATTTCATCAGAAATGGTCGTAACGAGCTCAGAAAAAGATCTCAAAAGGGGCGTAAAGCACAGCAGGGGAATAAACAATGGGCGACTTTGATTGAATGTATCAGCGCCGATGGCTACGTGATTCCGCCATTCGTGATTGTTGCTGGCAAAACCCACCTCTCATCTTGGTACGAAAACGCCCATTGCCCAACAATTGGGCGATTAGTGTCACTGAAAATAGTTGGACTACAAATGAGAAGAGTCTAGAATGGCTGGAACATTTCAACAAACATACATATAGTAGAAAAAAAATCGACAAAACGACTTCTAATACTCGACGGACACGAAAACCACCAATCGTTCGATTTCCAGGCATATTGCCTACAAAACAACATTATTACATTATGTATGCCGGCTCATTCGTCGCACAAGCTTCAGCCATTGGATGTTGCTTGTTTTCGTCCTCTCAAACGAGCATATAGTGATGCTATTAGCGATCTTATAATTGCACAAGTCACCCATATTCCAAAGAGTAATTCTTCCCAGCTCTTTACACAGCACGCAAGGTTGCTATGACCGAATCAAATATTCTAGCAGATTTTAGAGCAGCCGGGCTTGTTCCTTTCAATCCAGAATATGTGATTTCACAATTAAATGCGAAGTTCTTGACGCCTTCGCCTCACGGATCATCAGATGGGCTCGAGCTACCTTGGCTTCCAAAAACACCTAGCAACGCAACCGAAGCTCTATCGCAAACAGAATATATTGAAAAAAGAATCCGAAATCATCGAAGTAGCTCCCCAGCTGAAATTATCGAGAATTTGAATCAAATTGCGAAGTGTACTACTAGTATGATGCGGAAGAATGCTCTCTTAGAAGATGAAAACCGCATGCTACGAGAGGGCAAAACTCTAGCTGCTCAAACCTCTTCTAGGGTAAAAAGAGAACGCGACGAAGTTGAAAGTTCAGGTCGACGAAAGCGAGTGGAAACACGGCGCAGACGCTGTGGAAAATGCGGCGAAATAGGCCATGATTGCAGAACATGTGAAAATGAAGTGCAAATCATTTCTTCAGATAGTTCAGATCAGATTTTCTATTTTTAATTATATTTGGAGTTGATGCACTATTATTTATATGCCAAGGTCGGGAAGGGTGCGCCGCTCACACGTGAACCGTGTTATGTGTTTTGTCGACATGCTATTTATACTTGCAGCTGAAAATGGCAATGCTATGCGATTTAGTAAGTTACACTTATGAAATAGGCTGAGATTGACGACCCAAGTCATGACACTTGATTAATTAAAAGATGCTCATTTATAAGAATAACTAGTCATCCTCCTCCTCCTCATCCAATCGGAAATCTTCCAAGTGCTCCAACAGTTGCTTTGCATCTTCCCCTGCATCCCTCGCCAACTCCATGACCGTGTGTCCATCGTCATCCCTAATATCCAGCAAACCGACATTTCTCGGCGCAAATTCAAGCAAGGCCTCCAGAGTCTCAAGCCGCGCCGAGTTATCGTCGCAGGCAATGGCAAAGTGCAGAGCCGTACGTCCCCCTATCGTGCGCCGCGCTTTAAACATGGCCTCTGCCTGCGCAGGTGTTGCGCCCTGCAGCAGTATCTTCATCAGACTCTTGCTGTCATTACGTATGGCAATGTGCAGCGGGTACTCCCACCAAAAGGGCGACTGCACGGCGGCATCAGCGCCGCGCGCAAGAAGAAACGAGACGCACTTCATCCGGCTAGCCGACTCTGCTGGATCATCTGTCTCACAGGCAAAGTAAGACGCGTGGTAGAGAAGGGTTCGATCATCAAACAGCGTGTTGATGTCGCCTAGTGGATAATGTTCGAGCAGAAACAGCGCCGTCTCGGTCCATGAGCCCATAATGGCATTCTGCAGAGCGGCCCTGTAATGTTCCATCGATTTTATGTTTTGCTGCGACGGCTCCTGGTCTTTGGATACAGGATTCAGCATCTTCTTGCACGGCTTACATCCTGCCAGGTGCCGCTGTAGCAGCTCCGTGCAGCCCATGGTGGCCAGGAGAACCGCCATCATAATGGGCTCGTTGTCGTTATCGTCGTCCTCCTCCTCCTCGTCTTCCCACTCGAATAGCAGGGACTCGAGCGCTCCAGAGCGGCTAAGGAACCGCACTTGCTCTTTCAAAAGACGCTTTGTCTTTGCTCGTCTGCAGTTTTTCACAAGGAACTGCGGTATCTCCAGATCCGCGGGTAGTTTGCGGCACCTTTGCGCGTGGCGAAGCCAGAACTCGCACGCATAGTCGCGAAGCTGGATGCCTTTGCCTGCATCAACATCGTCTTCCATAGTGCAGCGGTTCAGGATTCGTAGGCATATCGTCAGCAGCAGCTGGTGGCACTCGCTTTCCAGGCAGTACTGCTTGTCGTGCGGCCTGGCGAGACCAGCATCGCTGCGCAGGAACTTTTCCACGGAATGATGCGCAAAGCCAACTCTAGAACAGCCATCTAGATGAGTTTCAAGGCTGTCGCTTCGGGTCAGAGTCAGTGGCGATGGATCGCCTTCGGTAATCTCCAGAAACCCATGCGACTCGCGCTGGACGTACTTTTCAAAGCCAACTCCGGCAGGTAACCCGGCTGTCGAGTCCTCCCATTCAGACATGACGTCAAAATCAAGCTTGGTTGTCGAGTATGCAAGAGCCTGGTGAAGCTCGTCGACAGTAAGCGGCCGCCATGCTGCAAGATTGAGCTGCAAGAGCTTTAAAAGAGCCTCGTTCTTATGTGGAGATGCCTTTAGAGGATATATGGCCTTTGCATAGAGCGATTCGTGGTCAGACGGCACCTCGGCAGCTATTCTCTCCGCGTGTTCCATGTTATTTTGGTTCTTGAGTATCTCCGACGTCACAAAGGTGGCCCAGTGGAAGTCGTCGGACCAATTGTCTTGCAGGCGCCCAAGGATTTTAATCCGCTCGTAGTTATTTTCAATCGCCGCCAGCCGGGCATGCACATACTTGCTGACTTCCACGCTAGTGTAGTCTTCCAGCGATATCGTCTTTGTCGGCGGCTCTTGGACGCTAAACTCGGGAAACGGTCTTCTAGAGATACATACTCTTGCGTCAATGCCAGCGGATGCTGAGTGTTCTACAAAGCTCTGCAGAAACTGCAGCACTCTCAACGGGCCACCATCGTCATCGGTTGCGTGGTCTTGCGCGTCGGAGCACTCGTCCACGCCGTCGACGAAGATGCGGATATCCTTCTCTGAAACAATTGACTCTTTGTTGTCGGAAATGATGCCTTTGATCAGCTCCATCAGCATGTCCACCGAAGCAAGCCCAACATCTTCGTTGCTTTCCAGCATGTCGCCCCATTCTCGAATCTCCGGCCAAGGCTTTACTTGAACCTGGCGGAGGAGCTGGCTGAGAATATTTCGCAGGAATTTAATCTCGGATCGTCCTGATGTGTTGCCTCCGTGGAAGAAATGATATAGCGTGATGGTGTGTGCGTCCTTTAGCTTGGAAATAATCACTTCCTTCATCAATACTGACTTTCCAGTAAACGCCTTGTCTTTTACTGTAAGCCATGTATCCGATGCATTGTGCCGAATGCCATCGGATTTATTCCATTCTTGAAAGACATCGTGATTCCATAGCCAGTCGGTATACATTCTGCTTTTAGTTCTGATTTTATCATCAGACGCTTGAGCAGAGAGGTGTCTAACAACCACTATTGATAACAAAGAAACATGTAAGCTTTTGCTTTATGCAATCAATCCATCAAGCAGAAAATCATGGAAAATCTTACATTTCAAATATCTTTGATCCGCAACTCTAGCGTTGAAATATTCCTCTTCAGCTAAACAATATCAGCACTTTGCTTCACAACATGCACATCTTCTTTACACACTGTCCGACGGCGTCCACGACCAAAGAAAAGCCTTTGCGCACGAAGCTGCCACTGCTGCTGCATAGAGCTGCCATCTCTTGTTCTTATGACTATCAGCATAGTCACAGAATCCTTTAATCACCACGCAGGGAAAACTGTCCCACGCGCCAGCTCCCTCCATTTCAAATGCAATCACCGAATCCCTCTTTGCCGTCTCATCGCGCACGCCGGCCGTCTTCATGACACTGCTGCCAGATGCAATAATTCCAAAGTGAACAGAGGGTATCGGGTCCTCCTTTTCGGCAAGCAGGCGTTGGCGCACTACGACCGTACCGTTGCAGCCAAGCTCATGGCACTGTTTGTCCTGGCTCGCCGCCTGGTCTTGCCCGTGCTTGTATTCTGGCGCAAAGAGCACATCGTGAGCCTTGCCAGGGTAGCTGGCCTCTAGTTCGTCAATATCCTGCAGCGTCTTCAAGTAGCCGAGCATCTGCGCTTCAAGCTCTCTGCGGCTTCGGAGGCCCTCGAGCTTGTGCAGCAGCGAGCGCATGTCTGCCGGCAGTCTTCCAAGATTATCCTGCATATTTGTGCGGCGCTTGAAGCCATCATCGGTGATTCGTCCAGCATCGTAATGAATAACGCCAGTACTGATAATCACATCGCCCAGAACCCTCTCGCGGTTGCGTGAATCGCTTCCAGGCACCACGCCGCAGACTCCAACGACGGCCCCCAGCTTGATTTGTGGAAAGCTCATCTTACAGGAGCTTGCTACAGACGCGGCACTTGCAACGCCCATGCTAGGCATATGAGCTAGGACGACATTGTGACGGCCAATGACGCCAAGTGTGTAGCTGTTTGGATCGCCAGCTACTTTGCCGAGGGGTCGTTGGTTTTCTTCAAGGTCGTCCCAGATGTGGTCAAATAATGCTTCCACAGCATCAGCCTCAATCGTCAAGGCACATAGAATAGCTACGCGGAACTGATTCCGCGACGTGGGACGCTCAGGCGGGATGAAGCCCGAGCCAGCAGCCATGGTGTACGTAGTGTGTGGTGGGTTGGCAAAAGAACGAGGTTGAGTTTACAAATAGAAACTCACAGAATGTAGGGGCTAATAAATAGTAGCAACATCCGGAGAAGCCTTGTTCGCCGAGGGGGGGCGGCTGGCGTTGATGATATGCAAGGGCAGGCTGTGCTTACCCGCAGGGGCCTTGAGCTGCGCGGACCAGACATGGGTCGCTCGCAAGGCTCTAGAAAGGACCGATGGGTGATTTAGGGGGTCCTTAGATGTCTCAATGAAGGCTGGGGAAATCTATTTTTAGCCTGCGATCTTGCTGCGTGCGGCTAGATCTTGGTATCCTGCACGTATGCGGTGTTGCTTCAGACAAAGACGATGTAAAACGCAAATCATGCATATCGTGGTATTCTAAAGAAACAAACGCTACACTATAAAAATCTAGTTACACTACAACAAGCTAGCCACTCTTACAAGAAAGATATCTACATGGCCAACAACAGCTGGAGACCAAACACCAACCCTAGCAAGGGCAAAACAACGGGAGCAAATGCTGCTGCAGCATTCTTCTTGCCGCTACCCGAGTCGCCTGAGTTACCAGCGGTGTCGAAACCAGTAGGGGCACTTGGATCGGCCTGTATTTGAGATGCTGCAGTGGCTGCGCCTGCGGCACCAGATGCAGGTCGAGAATAGACAACGCCAACATCCGTGGTGGGAACTGGTCCTGTAGCGTCAGGAAGCGCACTAGTTGGCGGAGCTGAGGCGACAGGAGGTTCAACACTGTTCCTGGCCGTGGTGGTAGCAGCGACAGCAGCACGGAGGTTGTCGCCGTACGTAACGTTGTCCTGTGTCCACGGCCCTTGGACCCAAGGTGAGCTTGCCATGTACCCGTCAAGAAGCCAGTCGACGCAGTACCGGTTGGTAGAAAAGGGCATGATGTAGCATCGCTCAATTCCAGTGTTCTCCCAGATGAAGCTCTGGTAGTATGGTAGAGGGTAGCCAATGGCGCCGTTGTTGTAGTTGGGACGTCCGTCGTCGTCAATGAAGAAGAGGTATCCTCCATCTTGCTATTGTTTAGGGTTGTGTTAGAAATGCTACTCATCAATATCAAAATCGGGCCTACTTACAATCCAGTCCGAGAGATCGCGTTTGCGTAGAGAAGCCATCAGGCCGGGGGGCGGCTCAACGCGCGCGTCTCGCTTCTTTTTTTTCTTGCAGTACAAGTCTTCCGCTGACCCATCAGCAAATTTTGCGGCAAAATGGTTTAGATTTTCATCTCGTGTGTTGTGGTGGCACATGCAATCGTGAAATTTGCCATTGTCTGACGGGCAAGTTTTGATGGCGCCGTGAAGCGACGCTTTTTTGCCAGCCTTTTGACTGGCTCGTAGGAGAATGTTCTTGGGAGTAATGCAGCCCAGCGTGTTCTTGACTTGATTAAACCAGATGGTAAAGTCTTGTTGCGTGTCTCGTGCGTTTTGATCGTTGAGGTCGTAGCTGCAGAGCCCCATTGCCATTTTGGGCTTGCTGTGAACGCAGTGAACTACGTGCTTGAGCACGTTGGCCTTCATGGCGCACAATTCATCATCAGCAAGGTTTTTGCCCTGCCCGCAGCCGCGATAGATGGTGCACTTTGGCGGACCAGAAGCCGCCAAAGCGAGAGGTGCCAGTGCGACGACGACGAGAGTCCAGCTGCGCATTCTTGGGTGGACAGATAGAGAGAGGGGGGGGTTGTGTGTGTGTGTATCAACAGGACGCCGGAGGAAACAAGGTGAAAAGAGAAGAACGGTTGGGAAACAGAGTTGAGGTTGCTACTTGATGGGAACCGCATCATGCTTATATATGCATCCAGGCTATACACAGATATACACGGATATACACGGCTATACACCGATATGCACAGATGTACAGTCCATGGAGCCTTGCTCCCGCTGCCTCGGCCCCTCTTTGGCGAACTAACCCTGCATCTCACGCGGCAACCAACAATGTCGAGCTGGTCTTCTTTCAGCTGGCCGCAACCAGACCACGTTTTGTTTCTATTATTGGCAGTGACTCCATGCAAGAAGATGGGGCGCCCCATGCGCCCCTCTGCCTCGGCCTCTGCTGTCGCTCCTATTCGCTGCGTCGTTCATGATCTAGTATGTCTGCAGATCCAACAAGGCAGGGTAACCCTGGACTGGACGCCTCGCCGCACTGTTGAGGGCAACGGGCCGACCCTGCCGCATCTGCCGAGAACGGGGGGCGCAACGCCAAGATGGTAAGGCATAGGTTAGTCTACACCAAGTTACATACAACAGTACGAACGATACGCTAATAGCTTTTTATCAAGAAATGTAGGAGCAATGTCTAATAGTATTAACAATGCCTTCTTCGTTACTCAATTGCTGTGCATCTGCTTAAAACAAAACAAAAAAAGGAACGAGAAAATCCGCTTACAAGCTACAGCACATTCAACCCGACCCCCTTTTTGTCGGCAGCAAAGCACAAGGCTCCGTTCAAGCTGACGGGCTGAAGGTGCTTTAGCCCCATGCGGCATGGCAAGAAACGAGCCCACTGGCTAGCTTAGTCTAGCTTGCTTCTATTCTGGGGGTTGCCTTGCAGAAAGCAGAGTGTCGTCGACATCTCCGGCGCGAATTTTCCTTTCAACAAACTGTTAAATCTACGTGGTCTTGATTGTTTTCAAAATGGTACTTGTGACGCCTTTTTTGGTTCCTGTCTTGCCTCGTTTTTGCTCTGAAATTGCTATATTTAATCTTCGATTTTACGCAGAATCGTGTAGCAGGTCAGACGTGACTTTGGCACCCAATAAAGGCATTGAAGACCCCTGCTGAGGCGGCCGGATCTAGTGCTTCGAATACTGTTCTAGGGGGCTCCAGTCGGAGTTGGCAGACCTTATTTGACGATGCCGTAACTAGTGGTTGGCTATACTAGCGCTGACGATGAATTAATGACTCTACAGGGTAATGAGTCCCGGGATTGTTGCGTTGTTGCCCACCATCTTTATTGCCTAGCACTCCAGCCTAACTTCGTCTGTTCAAGACATAATAAGTACTTGTAGTATTATTATCATTAGAAGAAAACTGAAACTATTCCTCTCGAAGGGGCTCGGCATGTAATGGACAATACCTACAAGTGCCGGTCCTTGCCTCAAAACACGGCACTCGGATGTGTGGCTGTGCTTGCAGATTTTGCCGCACTCTTGTAGGACGCCAGGTCTTGGCCAGATGCCGGATTAACTACGCCAGCCATTCCATTCTGGCAGTGGCTGGCTGCGGTCTGAGCGCAGTAGAAAACGATTGGATCGGTGGAGGGTACGGTGACTTGAAATATATTGGACTGTTACGGCCAACACACATTAGTTTTTTGTCGGTAGAAATATGCAAGCGTGCACTTACAGGTAGCATGAAGAACCTAATGTTGCTTGGTTAGCACGTGCAAAACTTGTTGATTTTTTTGCTTGGCGAAGCAAGGGAGACGAAGAAAGAAAAAAAGAAAGAAGAAAGAAGCTTCAACTTACATTGGTCGCAATGACTAGATCGTACAATTCCGCCTCATAACCCTGTGCAGCAGGATCATTACGTGACTACCTTCTGTCAAACCGTTTATAACGGCCTGTGTGATAGCTATACCCGCCTTGCGCAGGTCCAACTGCAGCAGTTTATAGATGAACAACAGCTATGTTTCGTCTCACAAAATTCACGGAAAGCGCGTTACCGTTGCTCAAGCTGACGGGCAAATCCGGGATATTTTGAGTCCTGTTTAGTGAAATAGGCTTTGATGGCACTTGTAGGCAGTATGGGAACAGCAATCCAGCCCGATCAACCATCTCATCATGCAGCTTGTCACGGTTGCTCTTTTGGTCGGGTTGTTAGAGGTAGATTTAACCTCGACATGGTGCTGGTCGTCGTGTTCCCCTTGGCTTGGTAATATCAACTGCTGAATTGTTGGTTATTACCTTGAGCTCGTCTAGTGTTCTCGGGACGATATGTCAGATGGGTGGCAGCGTCGCCAAGCAAGATGATTGAGTCTAGCGCCTTTGCAAGACGGATTGCGCTTACAATTAGCTCTATAGACATCAGGCCCAAGTAACTGATTTATTCTATTTATCATCTATATAGATGAAAATAATTGCACCCCTAGTACATACGACCATAGATACAGGAGAACTCGGGATCCCGTCTATCTCTTTACCAGAGTGCGAAGGCATCCAAAGTCAGAAGAAATGGCCTCGGAAAATGGAAGCCAGCTGCTTCCGTTTTCTGAGGCCTTGGCACTGAGTAGAGTAGTCTGTAGCGCCACCACCCAATTCGGTACCGTCTTAAACTGCTTCCTTATCCTTTTTACTGGCGAGGGACTCTTCTACTAGTTATAAATTTAACCCCTCGCTAGATACCTGGACTCCTGCCTATAGGTGTCTAGTACCAGCCACTTCGTTACAATATAACAGAAAGTAAAGAGGCAGAAGCGACTTTAAGAGGTGAAGTCAAGCCCTGCTCACTGAAGAGTAAAGAACATGATTGCGATGATTATAACCCTTTACTTGGCACAATTTACTCAAAGCACAGTCGTAGAGAACATGAAAATGGCGCAGTTAAGCATTGAGGCGGGTCAATTGCTCTCGCTGCTTGAACCTGCATGGACTGCCGTTGGCAGCCCGGCTCAGGCAGGACACATTTAAGCACCGAGGGCGTCAGCGAGGTTCTGGCGGTCCTCAGTAGAGACACCAAGGTACTGGAGGCTGTCAGAGCCCATAGGAATGGGGACGGGGTCGCCATTCTGGGCAGGGTGACCAGAGAGGACGATGGCGAGGTTCATGCAGGCCGCGGGGACGTAGACGTTGATGGCTTCATGGCAAGTCAGCTTTTTGCATACGAGCCCTTCCTTTCAGCGAGGAGAAACTTACTGTACATGTCATCATCGCCAGAGATCTCGACGCTCCTGCCCTGGTTCTTCTGGCCGTTGATCTGCTGGATGCACTGGTCGATGGACTCCTGGGAGACGCCGGGGTGGGGGTCGCGCTCGGCGAGGTAGGTGGCGGCGGCGCGGACCTTAGTGGTCGGGGCAGAAGCGGGCGCAGAGGGTGACAGCACCGCTAATGGCACTGCCAACAGCAGCGCCGGCGATGGCAGCGATGACGGGGACGGGAGCGGGAGCCATCTGGATCATGCCGACGGCGGAGGCAAGACCAATAACGACAGTCCTGGTCGAAGCCATGTTTGTGGTTGTAAAAAGGGGTTTGAGTTCAGAAGAGTGGGAAGAGTGTAGAAGTGATGGAGATTGATGCTGATGATACAAATCTCAACTTTGGGAGACGAAGGGGAGGCCTTTTATATTCGTTTTGAGTCTCAATCATCGAGGACTCATTACATGATGGTCGTTCATGTTCCATCTTTGGACGACTTGGCAGTTGACTGTGGACTACGAATCCTCAGTCGTAACGGCATCAACTCATGGTTTACAAGAGCCACCTGGCTTACCGTATATAATATCAGAGTGCGACAAGAGTCATTTCGTTGCGTAAATTTGCCTCGCAGTGTTCCGGTGTGTGTCTGGAGGAGACGGCCCATACCAGTGTCATCATCTCACCGACCCTGTTGGAGGTGAGTGATTCGGCCATCCCAGCTGGCGAGTCAAGCAACCAGATGCATTTACGGACGACTTCCGGAAATGCAAATTGCCCAAGACGAAGTTGAAGTGATAGTCCAGGGATCAGAACCGAGGTTTATTGTCGATCGTTAGCCTGGGTTGGGGCCTATGCCCTTCTCAACTCACATCGGCTGTCGGGCCATGTCCGCGCGGTATCATCCTAGGAGAGAACTACCAATATGCATCGTACAAAAGAGTGAAACGTTGGCATTGTAGGCTTCGCTGCTAGCTTGTTTTCCCAGCCTTATTCTTCTCGGCCCGAAAGTAGATTGCCAGTGGGTTTCGGGAGCGACCTACTGCTTACCAGGCCAGCGCCAGAGCACTAGACAAGGATTGGGTCAGTTGATTGGATAGAACTACCAACACGTTGAGAACGTGCTGCTCAGGTGTTGAAATCGGGAAGGATGCCTCATTCGGCAGTGTTGAGCTTCGAGCAGGGTTGCCCTCTGTAGAACGATTCTCTGTAGGTATATGTGAAACTACTACATCATTGTGAGATGTATTTAGAAGCCGTAAGCTTGAGCGTATAGCTCGAACCCTTCCACACATTCAGGCTCATCGAGAAACTGTGGTATATGCTCCCTGACCCAGTCTGACCTGGTATCAGCTGTATATTCAGCTTTGCAAAATTCCCAGTAATCAGGATACCATCCAGACTGTTGCCAGTCTATTATCGAAACGATACAATGTGGTTTTTCAGGAGAGATAAGAATATTGCTGCGATGGAGATCAGAGTGTGTGAAAACGACAGCAGAATCGTCCGGCAAGGATTGTCGGTATGGGTCGGGTATTTCGCTTGGATCGATACCAGGCCAGTGCTGCTCTTTTCCCATCGTCAACATGGAAGAAAGCCAATCATGAAACTCCTTCACAGTAGTGAAAGGACCCGCACGTGGCAAAACTCCGTTTGTAAAGACAATATCGACGAGTGGGCCTCGATCAATAGCGCCTACAAGCATTAATAGAGCTATGTTTTAGTAAGACTTAGATACCTACCCACGAAGGAGTCGACTGGAGGTTGTCGAAGACAGCGCAGCTCTTCGAGCATAGATCGCAATTGTATACATATTTGATCTCGCTCTAAACGTGACAAGACGTTCCATATCTCATCTAGCCGGATACCATGTACGAGCTCCATGAAGAGATAGGTAAAATTCTCATCTTGAGTCCACCCAAAAACCTCTGGGACTGGAATTTGGGGCAAAACTTGACGCAAGGTCCAGAGGCACTGACCTTCGGCAACATTGACCTTTGGCTCTGTCCCAAATTTCACAAGCAGTCCGAGTTCCTCGAAATAAACTGGCGGACGTTCCTTGAAGCGTTGACGAGATGGGGCTTGCTCGGCGCTCCTCGCGAGTATTTTGGAAGAGCTTGGAAAGATGGCGTTTTTACCATTGCGCAAAAAGAATGACGAGTCTTTAAAGGTGACTGATGATCCCGAGGGTAGTGATTTTGTCGATATAATAAAGTAGTTTCCCATTTTCGCATAGAAGGCTACCAGAAGCGCAGTTATAAGATTAGGCCTCGCCCGTTGGCTACCGCGAGCGGGGAGTTTCTCCGCACCAGCTTTCACCGCCTCTACCTTCACAATAACACGCAAGCCATAACGATTAACTCACTCAGCAAAACATGTCCTCAAACGAGGCAAGCCGGAAGCTCTCGAACGAGGAATATACAGTCGGTTGGATCTGCGCTCTAACGACTGAATATGTTGCCGCACAGGTTTTCCTTGATGAAAAGCATGAGCGCCCTTCGTCCACAGCCAAGCACGATAACAACGACTATACTTTAGGCAGGATTGGGCAACACAATGTTGTCATTGCAGTCTTACCGGGCGGAGAGTACGGCACAGCTTCTGCTGCCGGGGTCGCCCGCGATATGCTACATAGCTTTATCAACATCAGAATCGGCCTCATGGTCGGCATCGGTGGTGGCGCACCCAGCCCAGAGCATGATATTCGATTGGGTGACGTTGTGGTCAGTCAGCCTTACAAGGAGCTTGGTGGAGTATATCAATACGACTTTGGCAAGGCGATACAAGCCGAGCCCTTTGAAAGCACGAGGTTCTTGGCTCCGCCACCACAAGTTCTTCTCACAGCCATTAGCGGACTGAGAGCAGAATACGAGATTGATGGCCACAACATTCAAGACGATATTGATGCGATATTGGCAATCAAGAGAAAGTTGAAGATAAAATATAGCCGACCTAATACTGAGACGGACTGCCTCTACAAATCTCATATTGTACATGCAAAGACCGAAGCAGCCTGCTTGACAAGCTGCAGTGGCAATGGAGAGCACATCGTTTCGCGACCTATCCGCAGCGACGATACAGATGATCCTACTATTCACTATGGTTTAATTGCCTCGGCGAATCAACTAATGAAGGATGCTATACTTCGTGATAAATTGGCGCGAGAGAAGGGCATTTTGTGTTTTGAGATGGAGGCAGGTGGTTTGATGAACCATTTTCCTTGCTTGGTTATTCGTGGTATATGTGACTACTCGGATACACACAAGAACAAAGAATGGCAGGGTTATGCAGCCATGACGGCAGCCGCTTATACAAAAGACTTGCTGAAGCGAATTACACCGAACAAGGTGGAAGATACAAGGAAGCTTGGCGATTTGTTACAAAACGGTGCGTGATACGCATCTAATTATGGAATTCTCAATATTCCTTCTATCTAATACAAATAATCATTAGTTCTCGTGTCGTCAAATGATATCAAATCGATGGTCAAGGACTTGCAGGAATCCGCTCATAGCACCCGGATCATTGAGTGGCTAAAGTCGCCTGACCCGTCGACAAATTTGAACGCAGCCCGGGAATTGCACCAAGCTGGCACCGGCGAGTGGTTGCTGAACAACGATGTATATAAGTCATGGCAAGCTACCCAAGGGTCCTTTTTATGGCTTCATGGTATTCCAGGGTGTGGTAAAACTATACTCAGCTCGACCGTGATCACCCACCTACAACAAAACGAACATGCATCCAAAGGTTTACTCTACTTTTTTTTCAGCTTTACTGATATAGAGAAACAGTCATCCGAAAATGCTGTCCGGTCCCTCATCCACCAACTATACCGCAAGAGAGAAGAATCAAGAGCGATATTGGACTCGGTCTTTCGCGCATGTGACAACGGCGGTCGACAAGCCTCTCAAGCGTCATTACAAGAAGCCTTATACTCCATGATATTGCAATGCGGAGAAGTATGGATTGTTCTTGACGCATTAGACGAGTGTCCAGCAAGAAATACGCCCATTGCTCACGGCTTGCTGCCGTGGATAAGAGAAATGCAAACCTTGTTGCCCGCTATCCATCTCCTTGTTACTAGCCGGCCCGAACAAGATATCAGAAAGTCAATAGAAACATGGGCCGGCATAAACAGAAGCATCTCGCTTCAATCTGAGCTAATTGCAGATGACATAAATGCATTTATTCACGCGCAAGTAGGGCGATTCGACAGGTGGCAAAACCATCGTCGTGTACAGCTGAAGATTGAAAATGAGCTTACCAAACGTGCTGATGGCATGTAAGTAGTCTAAAACTACACCAGCAGTGGCTGTGCTGACAACCGGAGGTTTCGGTGGGTTGCCTGCCAAATTGACATCTTGAAGGATTGCTTGATGGCCTCTGATGTAGAGGAAGCACTAAGGACTCTCCCCAAGTCTTTAGATGAGACGTACGAACGTATTCTTGATCGGGTACGCCCTGAATATAAGCACCACGCAATACGTCTATTGCAATTCTTAACTTACTCAGAACGGCCTCTCCGATTAGAAGAGGCAGTTGACCTAGTCGCGGTACAGCCAACAAGTTGCCCTGCATTCGATTCTACCAATCGAATGCCGGTTCCCGAAGAAATTGCTCTGTACTGCTCTACTTTGGTAGTTCTAGTATACTCAACTGACCGTACTACGGTTGAGCTTCAGCTTGCTCATTTTTCAATCAAGGAATATCTGCAATCCGAGAGACTAGACTTGAAGATGGCATCATTCTTCGACAAGACGACCGCAGCTACTGAGATAGTATCGGTGTGTCTATCTTATTTAATGACGGTAGATCCAACATTATCAACCTCGGAAATTGTGCAAGAATACAGATTTGCAAGATTTGCGGCACAATTTTGGTCCAAGTTTGAGCGTATTATCGAAGAGTCGACCAGTGCGGTGTTCAATCTTACTAAAGCGTATTATGCTTGCCAGGCAATATTCAATATGGGTTACCGCATCTATCCACCAGATAGCCCATATCAACAAGTCGACGGGGATGAAGGAGAGCAAGGTGTTGTCAGTTCGCTGTACTACACATCGCTGGTTGGACTACTTCAGTCTGTGCGCATGTTATTGAGCAACGGGGCAAATGCAAATTCACAAGGTGGTTATTATGGCCATAGTCTGGGAGCTGCCTCAGAAAATGGCCATGAGGTTATTATAAAGACACTTCTCGACCATGGCGCTGATATAGATGCACTCGTGGGTAGACGCGGTAATGCTCTCGCTGCTGCCTCATCCAGAGGTGATGAAGCTATGGTACGAACCCTGCTCGACTACGGTGCTAATGTCAATGCGCAAGGTGGTAAATATGGAAACGCTCTTGGCGCCGCCTCATACAAGGGTTCCGAAGCTGTTGTACGGATGCTGCTTGACCGTGGCGCTCAGACAAATGCACATCTTGGTGGTGTCGACGGCAATCCTTTATATGCTGCAATATCCAATGGTTCAGGCACCGCTGTTAAGTCACTTCTTGCCGATGTAAATAGTATGAGTGACATACATGGCAATGCCCTCACTACTGCATCAATTCTTGGTCATGGGACTATTGCACAGATACTTCTGGACCATGGTGCGGACCCTAACGCCCCGGGCAGCATGTACGGCAATGCTCTTTCTGCTGCTTCATCTAATGGCCATGAAGCTATTGTGCAAATGCTACTCGATCATGGCGCCGAAGTTAATGGTTATGCCAATGCCCTCTATGCTGCATCGTCCAATGGTCACAAAGCTATTGTGCAGATACTTCTCGATCACGGGGCCGATACGAATGCTCAGAGTAGTATATATGGTAGTGCTCTTTTAGCTGCATCCCATGTTGGTGATGAAACCATTGTGCAGATTCTTCTCAGTCATGGTGCTGATGTGAATGGAAGGGGCGGTATATTTATTAGCGCCCTCTACACCGCTGCGGAAAATGGTCACACAGCCATTGTCGATATTCTTTTACATGCCGGAGCTAACCTGACTCATATAATAAGCTATATGAATCTACTGTCTGATGATTTAATCGAAGAAAGTACGACGGGAATTATATCTGACGATAGCTCGGATGAAGATTCATCTGAAGCATTGATTGAAGTCTTAACGCTGCTGTTATCCCGTGGGGCCGATCCGAATAAGCAAGACGATTTTGGACGTACGCCTTTGTTCATGGCTGCAGGTGTTACTGGAGATTTAGACGTTCTCAAGATGCTGCTTGAGCATGGTGCATTGATTGACATCCGAGATTACTATGAATGCACACCACTCATGGCGGCCGTCAGAAATGGACATGCTGATGTTGTCCAGTTTCTTCTGACTAGGAATGATGCAGATATCAATGCAGTAGATGTTCTGGGGCGATCTGTTTCATGGTGGGCAGCAAGGACAGCGAATGTCCAAATTATTCAGTCATTACACCAGTGCAGGCTGCAGATACCCGAGTTTACCACAAGTGGCAACGGAGATGCTGTGTCTACTATTGTGGAGAAGTGTCGGGAGCAATGCGATGTATGTTTGAGAGGAATTCCAATGGAAGCATTGTACGCCCATTGCAACATATGCCAGAGTGGCTATTTCAGCATTTGTCGGGACTGCTCCAGCCACGGGCTTCACTGCCGTGACGGATCTCATCGTCTGGCTCTACATGATGGCTCGTCCATATGTACAACAGAGTCCAGTGATGACTCTGATAGCTAAGAAATTCTTTATGAATATAAAACATGTGGCGGCAAAGTACTTCTGAGACCGCATATATCTCAATCATATAAGCCAACTCCAGTCCTGCCTTGATAAGACGCGAGATTGATATACTATATCGCCCTCTTCTATCTTTTCTCAATTACTTGAGAGAAATTATTTGTTTTTGGTGTCCAGTGTAGCTGAGCTTGTATTGAAATGCTACTAACGTCTAAAGTGAAGTAGTATTATGTCTTTTTTAGCTGAAAGATTTATGTATGAAAACGAATCCATCTCTAATACATACGACCATAGATACAGGAGAACTCGGGATCCCGTCCGCTCTCCCATAGATAAGCCTGTAATCGGCAGATTAGTAGTTGGGTCGGTGACGACCAGCGAACACCGGCTGTTGTATGTTTTTGATATTTTTTTGGACCGTGCTAGCGGCGGCCACGCTACTGGGGCTAACGGGACGGCGCCGAAGCTGGTAAGGCTAAGAGTGGCAGTGACACAGTTGCGCCATCAAGGCGACCACCACTTTCATCTTAACCTCTGCATCCAACTCTTTACTACCCGATCAGTATCATCGCCGTGTGTTTTAGCGCTTTGAAAAGGTGTATGATTGGCCCATGTGATCATTTTAAAGATGCCCAATACCGGCAAACCCAGTCTGGACTGTCACCTGTGCCGCAAGAGAAGAGTCAAGGTGTGTCCATCGTCCTGAGTCTTGTTTGATGGGCAGCCCCATAAAGACAGACTAGCTAAACTGTCTATTCTTTTGTGAACCTTTGTGTTGATTGACTCTAAATTAGTGCGATCTGGAGCGGCCTGCGTGTCGTAGATGCATCAAGTACGGTGCCGAGTGTCCGGGCTATCGCTCGCCTGAGGAGCTTGTATTTCGTCCAGCAAACCCGAACAAATCCAAGAAGCGCAATAAAGTCGCCGACGATGGAAAAGCAGACTCTGGGGCCGGGAGCACCGAACTTGTGGCATATGGTAAAAGAAACGGCGACGACTCGCCTAAGGCTTCGACGCGTGCCTGGTTTTCGTCGACTGTGAGAGCTGGAAAGATGGGAGTTCCGCTGCATGAGCACTGGTCTTCTCAGTCTATCCCCATATTGCTCAATGTTTACGAAGCTATTGACTTTGTGCATAACACATACAGAAACGCGGAACCTGACGGGGCGTTGGCATGTGCAGCACATCTATTTTCGCGGGCTTATGTGACAAACTTGCGCTACTCATCGTCTGTGGATGATGGGGTGTACGATGAAATCAATAAAGAGTTGCGGGTATATATGGGAAGAGCTTTACGGTTGATTAGCGAAGCCCTGTCAAAGCCGGGGGGCGCGATGAGAGACGATATTCTCGCAACCGTGTGGATTTTGGCAAATTATGAGGTGAGATGCGCAGATACAAAGTGCTTAGTTGGGCTATGTTTACTGATAATCGATAGATTCTCGTTGGAGCGCTTCCAGCACGAGCAAGTCCGTCTACACTTCCAGTCAGTCCGTGGCATATCCACACTCAGGGCATGTATAGCATCCTGAAAGCCCGGGGGATTGACTATTTGAAAACTGAGAAAGGCCGGATCGGCTTTTGGCCGGCATTCAACATGGTGGTAAGTAGCTGGAGCTTCAAGGGCATTAGACGTGAATGCTAACTTTGAGATAGCAAATCCAATCGCTCATATTTAGCACCGAGTCACCACCTGAGACGGATGCTTGGCTATCAGCATTTGAAGATACAGTGGAACCAGGAGAGCGGCTTACACTACGAATCTCACGCTTTATACAGGAGATTGCTAGCATTCAGTGTCGAATAATGAAGACGCTACGGAGCAAAGATGTACCAAATGCGTCGCATGTCTACCGAGGCCTATGGCAGGAACTCACGACGGCGGATCAATCACTGGCCGATTGGATTGACAAGCAGCCGCCATTCACTCACGCCATCGACCCGTACATGCGTAATATGCAGTATTCGACGCTAGTGAAGACGTATCACATTATGCAGCTGCTCATCAACTTTCTTACGCACTTTGCAGGTTGCAAGATTCCATTGGACGAACTGCTCGCAAATAGACGATATTGCTTGCAGACTATTCGGGGTGCGGCGCAAGGGATTCTTCAAAACGTGCCGTATGCAATCGGACCGCTGTCCAGAGGTAAAGACAAGTCGCCGAGGGTTCTGTTTGACGCGCTTAAGCTGAGCTGGCCGTTGGTGTCGATCTATGTTGCGTCTTCTACGGTGCTTCCAGAACAGAGCGCCTTAGCATTGGAGTTGTTGATTTTCATTGGCAAGGAGATTGGCGTGCGGCAGGCTCTCCGTGCAAAACCGCAGATAAACTTGGTGCCGGACGAGGCTATTTCGCCGCTGGACGTGGATGCTGCGTCGCTGGAGCTTCCATGGGTACAGTTGCCGTCCAACTTGTCCATTTCATTGGAAGATTGCGTTGGACAACCGCGAGTGGACACGACATGAGTGACCAGGTTTGGAGAGACGGGCGTTTTACAGATGGTGCTTAGCTAGAACTGGCTGGCCACCCAAACTAGCCGAACGGCAATATCAACATCACCGGCAGCATATGGTCTTGGCAAGAAACGGTGGCATCAGGACGAAACGGGGATAACACCGACGCAGGCGAGATATGACGCCAACATGTCGACACAATGGCCAAGGACGGGAGCAGGCGCCGGCGCTTGGGCCAGTCAGGAACCGGAAGGCTGCGGGCTTGGCGGGATTTACGCGGAGAAGAAAACTATTTGTCTTGGGATTTTCTTTTTGTAAAAAAGGATTTCTTTCGCCTTGCTGGAGTTTTGTGTGTTGCAGGGGTCTGCTGCAGGCTGTCCGAAGGGACCTCGTATTTGGTTTCCCATTTGGGGATCACCTGGTTGCTACTGGTGCTCTTTTTGGACAAGCTTACATTTTCGTGTACCGACAAGTTATTTTCTCTTTACGATAGATGGCCATATCAAAAATAAAATGAGTGGCGAGTTTAAATACAGATTCCCCATCTATTTGCCATTTCGTTTGCCACAGTACTACGGTGGTGGTGGTTGTATTTTGTTGGTGACTTATAGGGCAGTGACAGTTCTTTTTTCCTGTTTTAGTGCAGTTATAGCGGTGCACAGCCCTGGGGCGGCAGCAAATTTTCGGCCGGGCTGCTAGCAAAGGGGTTCCAGGATAGCGGTCTTGGCGCCTGACGTCATTTTCTTTTTTGCTGTTTTTAGTTCCCAGTTCTGTTCTGAATTGGATGACAATCGGCGCTTGACCGAGAGAACGGCAATTCAAAAACAGTTCCCAATAATTTATTTATTGCAAACAGCAAGCATTAAAAAGAAGAAAGCCTCACTACCGGGCTGAGCAGTGGTGATCATCTGTTTCCCATCTGGCAATAATCGGCATCTGTTGTAGTGGTTGCCCGCAAACAGCAGCTGCTGCAAGACACAACCACACAGCGGCGCGGCGGGCAGCACAAAACGCCATCGACGCATTCTGGTGGCAAAACTGGCGCTGGCCGGCGCAGTTGCAGGGGGGGGGCCGCCCCGCCGATCGGTGGAGGCGCCAAGAGCTAGTGAGCGCTGGGTGTAGCGTGTTACAGTGTAGAGCGGAGCGCTAAAGTAGTTTTGTTATAGGGGAATACAGAACCGTTTGTTGGGCGCTGACGGGCAAGTCGTGGAGTTTCAGTGAGTGTGTAAGCTTAAGTACAGAAGTAAAGGATCAGGAAGCACTATGTGGAAAATTCAAATTAGAATAGATAACAAAAAAGGAAAAAGGAAACTCCCCGGCTGCCTGCCTGTATCCTCTCCCTCCCCCCAGCAGAGACAGATGCAAGGCTGTGCAGGCGCCCTATTCTCGTCTGTCCAACGTTACAGCGCTACAGTGTGGTGCTGGAATACGAACTGGCTGCGCCAAGCTGCCGCCCCGAATGAGGAAGAAAAAAATTCAACCAAAGCTGCACCCGCACCAAAAACTCGAACCCTGTGCTCCACCCGTCGTGTGTTTAGCGGGTGGATCTTGCCCGCTGTTGTAGATAGAGAGCGCCCCTCTGGGGGACTGATTCCCTGAAAACGAAGCCACTACCAGCTCTGTTCCCGTCTTTTTTCTAATACACCACCACCACCACGACGCAACAAGAGGACTCTCTTTTTCTTCCATTCTCCTCCAAACGCCACAAATATACAGAAAGCCGGTCTTTTGCCCTCTTAATCTACTCTCGAACCCACCTCTCTTTCTCGCATTGTACATTCGACCTGCTTTTTTGCCAGCCCCTCCTCTACATAATCGTCACACGACATCAGCATGTCTGCCGCCACGCTCGCACCGCCCGTCCGCCCCAAGTTCAACTCCCTCGTCACATCAGACCGTCTGCGCGAGGGCGCTGGCCTGCGCATGCCCGCCTCGCGCGTCTCCAACATTCGCAAGGGCCGCACCTCGGTCTTCCGCGAGGAAATGGGCGCCGACGACGCCATCTCGTGGGGGCCCGACTCGTACCTCGTCGTCCCGGGCGACAAGTACTCGACACTACCTGCTCCTACTTCTTCTTCGACGGTGCTTGCAGACGACGCTGATAAAACGCCACGCTCCGCAAAGGTCATTGTCCAGGGCACCGCCTCAGATGCTTCGAAGCCGTGGTACGCTAAGCTGGCAAACCGCCCGGCTCTGACCAAGAGACTGTCTGGCCAGGGCCGCATGGCTGTTCCGAGCGTCACTCTTTCGGCGACGGAATCATAGAGAGATATACCCTCTGAACTGTTTCTTTGCATCGTATACATTTCGACAAAAACGTGCGCTGAGCAACCTCTGTCTCGCTGCGCCGTGTACATATATCACGTTTGGTGCGGTACCCGGGCTGGGTGCTGCAATCTCTTTTTGGTTCTTTTCGGCACATCATATATGGCGTTTTATTATGGGAATTAGTTTTGTTTTTCTTTGTTTGGGAGAGCAAAATGATGACTTTGTTTCGTGGGGGACGTTAATACACACATTTGCTGTACGTGCTACAGCGACGACACATTGGGCTATGGCTACGGGCTGTGCATGGCCAGCAGGTTGATCTTGCTCGCCGGGATTTAATGTGGATGCTATACACGATAGACCTTTCGTAGTCAATAATAGGAATAGAATCCTTGGATATGAGCCCACTTCTCCCGAACAGAACATAATTTTGTGAATGTACTTGATGCAAAATGGTAATGTTGTTAATTTCATGCTTTCGTCATATAAAGAGTATATAGAAGAGTTGTAGCCTATGTGTATCCAAGACGCCAGGTTCCATGCCGCTAGAAGTGAAGAGATAAAAGAAAACACAAGCCCGTCTACTCTCAGTCCTTGAGCTCATTGTTGCTCAGCGTTCCTACAAACGCCCTGTCCACAAACGCCATCCACGTCTTATTAGTCGTCGCCTTCTTGCCCTTCTTGCCCCCGCCGCCTTTACCAGCCGCATCGACACCCTCCATCTTTGATCCAGCAGAGCCCTTGCCCATGCGGTATGCGAGCTCAACCCAGCTACGCACAGTCAGGTCCGCAAGCCCGTAGTGCTTGTCGTCCCGTGTGTCGTACTCTAGCTCAAATTTGAACTTGCGCGTCTTGACGCCGTCCTTGTCCTTGTCCTTGGTCGGCTCGTTGTTCACGTGCGTCAGGTTCACAAAGTATTGCTGGAACGAGGTAAATGTGAGCGGTTGCGGGGCGTACGCAGGGCCAGGCAGGTCTCCTTTTCTGGGCTTCTCGGGAATCACTAGGTTCGGGTCGTGAGGCTTCTTGCCTTTGCCCTTCTTGCCCTTCTTTCCCTTGCCTTTTTTGCCGCCGCCGCGTTGCGCCGATAGATCTTCGCTGCGCTTGAGTTCCATGTTGAGGTCGTCGGCTGTGATGGTTTCGTTGGACTCTGCCGTGAAGCTGGAATCGTCCTTCCACACTGGGGCGTTCTCCAGACCGGTGATGTTGTATTCGAAAATGCGCAGCGTGGGCATGTAGTTGGGCACAACACTAGGACTGATGAGTGACAGCTGGTATCGCTCAGCGAACTTGCCGCCAATCTTTCTAAACTTCTTTTGCTTCTTTTGCTTCTTGGACGCGCTGATGTCGTTGTTCTCGCGTTCGTCCTCGTCGTCATAGGCTTCCTCCAAGTCGTCGAAAGAATCGGAATTTTCGTCCTCGTCTAGATCATCCTCAAAGGCATCCTCCATATCAGCCTTGCCGTCGTATAGATCGGCAATGCGGCCGGCAGCGCGGGGCAGATCAGCCCACAGACTTCTCAAGTCATACAGATAGTCCTTCTTGCCAGACGCGGAAACCTTTTTATCCTTTTTCTTCTCGAGCGCCTCCACTGCAGATTCGATATCAACCTCCTTGCTGTCGGACAGCAAGAAGTGGTCAATGTTCATATGGCCGTAGAGAGAGCCAACCACGACGTCACGGAATTGCTTCAGCCACAGCGTGTAGACTTGCCAGCAGCTCTCGTCCCAGTTTTGCTTGTTGTCTGTTTTTGCAGGTGGCACATGGCCCATCAGAATGGTCTTCATGCCGCGCTCACGAAGTAGCTGCAGCTGAACGCGCAGCCACTCCATGTGCTTGTAGCCAGGTTCGGTAGGAGATGCGCAACCATCGACGGCCGCGTTGCGATCAAAGAAGAACATGGTGTTTAAGCTAAAGACGGCCAACTTGTTGGGAATAACTTCGGTGTAGAACCATCCGCCAAATTCGAAAGAATGGCGCTGCTCCTCGGGGATAAATCGTCGCCAAATGTCGGTATATGCTGTAAGCCACTTATTGGGACCGGGGTTCATAATATTGTGAGGCAGGAAGTCGTTGTTTCCAAATGTCGGGATAATAGGCACCGTCAATCTACCATTGCTGTCGGAAAAGGTATCGACAAACTTGTCCGATAGGCGACGGTTGGCACCAAGGACCTGTTCCGTGTTACGCGGATGTTGCTCGTCACCATCATGGCGCGCGCTATCGCCGGTCCAAATAACAAAGTCTATCGTATCTCTAACATTCTGTGCCACCCACTCCAAAGTCGCATCAGCCAAGGTCCATGGCGAGTCGCATTCTGTTGTTTCGGCGCCATAAACACCAGCATCTCCCTTGCCGCGATGGCAGGCTGTCTCGGGCGTGGTATGCGGTTTGTAGTATTCGTCGGGGTGGAAATCTTACAAACAATTAGCATTCAGCAGTAACAGAGGACGCAGCAGGTTGGGTCGTTATACCTGTAATGTGAAGGAAGCGGCCCTTGAGTCGTCTCTGTTGCGCTTCCGGCGGACTAGAAAGCAGCTTCTGATCGTCGATGGGCAAGGCGGTGGCTAGCTGCAAGAGAGCCAGCAGCAGACTTGCCGAAGCTGTGATCCCGCAGCCCTTCATTCTCAATCACACGTGTATAGTCAAGTCGTAATCAAGCAGACGTCGAATTTAGTTTCCGGCCATGCTACGGGATGCGGCGCTGGGGGTACAGAGTTTTCGAGAGTGGTGCAGCGTCGTCGGGCCTGGTGGCTGATATGCACGGCTGGGAGCAATAAAAATATGTATAGAAAATCCAGCAATGGCCAAATATGTAATATGTCCTGTAAACCCAGAGCAATGCAAGACGAGAGCGGCGGGGGAAACTTGGACGTTTTTCTTGGGCCGCAAAAGCTTTGAGTTTTTGCTAGCGTTAGGTTTTTGGCAGCAGGCTGCGTCACCCGCTAAGAGTGGCTTGCAGTAGCAGGATGACAGGCTGCAGCCAATGCGAGATTTCGATGTGCGGCACGTGTTGCAGCAGATGGCTCAGCGGACAGCTTGGGATGAGCGCTGTGGCGGGTGGTGCAGGCGGGCACGCGACCAAGGAAAATGACGATGCAGGTGAGAAACACAGTATATATATTTTGTGTGTATATATAACCATTGGAATATTTTGTTTTAAAATTCCCCAATCCTCCCGCAAGGATGCCATTTTTTGTCAACCAAATCCTTTTACTCGTGCGGAACAAGACGCCTCTCCAGGGCTTGTCTTCAGGGTCTTGGCCGCTGTAACCTTGATGGTGTCATATAGAAAGACGGTTAACCGCCAGAGGTGCAAAAAGAGAGCCAAGCTTTGACGACTAAAAACAACTTTAAAACCGTTGCGACAGAAGCGATGATGGATGATGCACAGGACTACGATACGTATTATCGGTGTCAGATGCTCTACGTTTGTTAACCATGTCATCCCTTGTTGCACCAAACAAACAATCACGCCCCCGGCTGTGTAACGGTTCACAACATATCCCCATGCAGATCGAACTCGTGATATATACCTTGTTATATTCGCTCTAAACTTTTTTTGCTTTTCATCTCGGCGTGGATGTATACCACATTCCGGCCCCGTCAAGTTGCGCTACAACTCGGGGAAATCAAACTATCATGTGATATGCCGTCGTCCAAATCAAACCAATTTATAAACAATCTTTTTCATCTGTCTTCTTTTGGGTAGCACCTCAAGCGTTGCCCAGAAGCACTTGCGACTTGAACTCGCAATGTCGCCAGCACCCGAAATGTAGCGCCGACAACGCAACGCATCCCAGCTAGCCGGCAAACTTCAATCCACCCTATGAACCAAACTGCTTGACAATCTGGGCAACCTTTTGGGCGAGTTCATCAGCCTCAGAGCGAGTCGCAGCCTCGGCGTAGACGCGGCATGCGTTTTCTGTGCCACTGGCGCGGGCAAACGAGCGGGCCGTCGTGTACTTTCTAACACACTGGTCGATCTCGTCTTGCGCGCCAGGAGGGTGGCTCAGGCGGCGCTCAGCATCCGTAGCCTTGAAAAGGTCCTTGTTACCGACCTCAACGCGGACAAGGCGGTTGGGAAGATCGGTGTAGGTGGTGGACCAATCCTTGAGGGTCCAGCCCTTGTGAGCCAGGATAACTTCAACCATGAGCATGTCGGAAATGGCATCGCCAACGGTCTGGTTGATGAGGTCAGACACAGCGGCAAGAGTCTCAAGGGCGTCCTTCTGGGCAGGCGATTGGGGCTCCTTCTCACGGAAGAGACGCAAAGCCTCCTGCGAGAAGACGACAGTTCCGTGACCGTTAGCCTCAAAATAGACACCAACGTCAAACTGGCAAGCGGCGTGGTGCAAGTGCTTGACACCAGTGGGGGTGAAAACAACAGGCAGCTGCAGGTTCTTCTCAATGTAAGTGGTGCTGGCACCGTTGGCGTAGGCAGTCTGGACAACGCCGATTCGGAGGTCATCCTCTAGGCCAGCAGAGCGGACGAGCTCTCCGATGAAGGAGGCAGCGAGCGAAGAAATACGGTCACCGTCAAGCATGAAGAAGCCGCTGTCAGGGTCGACCCAGTAGTAAATGAGTCTGTCGGCGTCACCATCAAAAGAGCAGCATCGGACGCCGGGAACAGGCTTGGGGTTAGGAGGGGCTCTCTGTCTTGTCTTGACAAAGTCGGCACCGCACTGTAAATCAAGTTAGTAAACACAACCACTAGCAGACACGCGAAAACTTACATCGAGGTTGAGGACCTCAGGTCTCAAAACGTCGTCATTGACAATGTTGACGTCGAAGCCGGTGACATCCTTGGGGATAATGGCGAGCATATCCTTGAACTTGGGTCCACCAACACCATTGGCGCAGTCTACATTAAGAGGACCCTGGATCTTCTTACCGCGAAGGGCACGGACAAAAGCCTCGGACAGCTTCTCGTAGTATCCAGCCTCGCTGGTCTTGCCGTAGGACTTGGGAGTGCCCTCAGTGTTGACGCAGCGGGTAATGTAGTGCAGCTGGGGAGTAGTGAGAATCTTGTAGTCGGTGTGCTGGACATCGGTAGCATCGAGAGCGCCCTGGAGAGCTGTGACCAGGCTGTGGCCAGATGGGCGGGTATCGCGGCCATAGACAACACGGGCAGGGGTTGAGAGGTCGATCTTGAGCTGAGCGGCGAGGCTCTTGTAGGTATCGAGGAGGTCCTGGTCGGTAGGGCAGTTGACAAGCTGGGTGGCGTAGGGCTCCCAATCCTGCTCGAGCATATCGCCCATGGGGTCGACAATCTTGACACCATTGTCGGGAGCGGGGTTGTGAGAGGCTGTGATCATAACACCAATGGCCTGGCCGTGGAGCTTTCTGCTGCGAAGACCAGCAAGAAGACCAACACGGAAAGACACACCAGTGAGGAGGTCAGCCTTCATGCGGAAGCCGGCAGTACCATACTTGTAGGTCTGGCCTGCGACAATGGGGAACTTGGCCGAGGCCTCGAGCAATTTGGCGTCCATGGTCGGCAATGGCTTATGCTGCGTTGTTTTTTTCGTGAAGCTTGCTGGAGTAAAAAGGAGAAAAGCCAAGAGACGGAATCGAATCCCAAGAAGCAAAAAAACGATGAAAAAAGAAGCTGAGCCGAGATCAGACAAGCTAGATCAGGATGCGTGGCAGATGGCAGCACAGGCGGGGGGGGAGGGGCAAACTTATATGGTTGTGAGGGGCAGCGATACGAAGTGGACGTGCGTGTGGAAGGGTCGCTGTGTGGATAGCTGTCGCTGCTATAGGCTGGGATGGGAGGCTGTAGCGCAGCGCCCAGTGACGTAGGGACTTTTCTCGCTGCAACGTCAACACCACCGCCACTACTACTGGCGGGGAGGGGAAAAGGGCCGCATTAGACACACGTAACGGGTGCGCGGTATATCGCGATTGGGTTCTGCAACGAGCCCTTTGAGCTTTTTTTCGATGGGGCTCGCATTGTAAAGTTGAAAGACGTAGTTGGCTTTGCTTCAGAGTAAAAGGGCCGTCAAAGCTAAACACCAGATTGCCAAGCTTCTTCTTTGCCTTTTTTTATATGCCCTTCAGCACAACAGTAAAAAAGCTTATTCAAAATTTGCATAAATTGGTGAAAACACTCCTACCGCTGTCCATCCCCATTCAACTGCATATATCCTTCAGCATGTCGACAAAGACGACGCTCTTGGTAGCTCTGTTATTCAGTAGCCTGAGCTATGCCGTGCAGGCATTGAGCGTACCACACAATCAGACTTCATTGTCAAACTCCACAGGTATTGAGAAGCTCAATAGGAGGAACAGATGTACAGATCTGTGGGACTTCCCTATAGATTGGCCCAGTTTGTTGACCAAGTTCTTCAGCTTCTTTGGGTCGTTGCTAACAAATTGCTAGTTGGCTATGGTGCGACCTTTTTCCCAAATGACAACTGCCAAGGCGACCCTGTCGATGTTTCTTTTGGGCCCTATGTGAATTTCGGCTGTTCTAAAACATGTCATTCTATAGGAGCCGCGCGCAGTGTCTATATCGAAGCGGACAGGTACTCTCAAAAGCCAGTTCTCGAAGACGCCTACACAATAAGATTTGACAGGACTGATCGCAAGTACGAAAACGTTCATACGGACGGCCCTGTTGTACTAGGATATTCTTCGTCCAATTGTCAGGCGGCGTACCTTGTCAGCGTCGGAAAGGTTTTGAAGGGCCTACAGCGAGCATGCCACGTCTTCAAGAAACATGTCTACAGCGTGCACCTCAAACTTCTCAAGGACTGCGAATGTGAAGAATCCCGGGCTTCTGCGGATCGTTTGCAATTGCATGACCTAGACGTGGACACATTAAAAGATCTTAAAGAGACTCCGGTCCCAGAAAACCCAGACATCGAAGAGTATCAAAGCATGTTCCACCCAGACGGGCCAAAAATGCCTGTCAAACGTCCGGGTATCATCTTTCCCCCGGAGCCAAACGGCTGGCAAACGAACAAAAAAGACAAATATCGCTTTGAGGTTCCGTCGTACTGGGACAAGTGCCACTGGACGAAGGGACACGACTGTGACTACGCGGAATAGCCTGACCCGACCGTTCGGGGACGACTGCCGCTAGACGGATAGCCGTAGTTATTAGTATTAATTGTATACAATGCTGCAAATACATCACTAGCGTTCGTCACTCGGAGAAACAAGAGTAAGAAGAATAGGATGTAGCCACGAAAACCATGGGAGGAAGTCACGGAAGAATAATCGTACAACGACCCTCAAACGAGTGGCATTTTAAAGTTCTTCTAGCAACTGTGAGCTCTCGGCATAGATGACCAGCTTTATCGAGGCAGAAAAGAGACAGGTCGGGCGTTGAGAGCTCGTCGTCGCGTGTAGAGAAGAAGAAGAAGAAAGAATCGAACAAAAATTTCCCGCGACGCTTTTTGGCGTAGAAAATTTGGGTGCTCCACTGCAGAGCAGACTAGTGCCGCGCCTGGCAGGCCAGATCTCGGGCGGGCTGAGGGTGGCTGGTGGGTGAGTGTGGCGGCAGCACCAATCAGCAGCGCGGGGGACCTGGACTACGCCGACCAGCAAGCACTGAGCACAGCGATCGACTAGCTGAAATAAGGCCCAAAGCCTAGAACTGAGCCAAGGCTTAGGGGACCACTGTCACCGCGGGGCCACCGTCACATCACCCAACGTCTGCGCAGCAAGAGGTGGTAATTTGCGACAAAAAGTGCAAACGGTGCTATTTATACCGCTAGCCACATGATTTCGAATCCCTAGGCTTTGAGGAGGGAATAGGCACGCCTGTAGCTTGTACCCCGCGCCTAGCTAGTCTAACGGCTCGGCTCCTGCCGGTACGGTCTTTGCTGGTTATAAATAACGAAGTCTGAAATGCCCTGCAGTTTCATCTGATTCAGACGGTGGCTGCGTGTGCAGCTTGGGGGAAAGAATGGTGTTTATCAGACTGAAGTCCTGCTGATCTGGCTTCGCGGATTGCGTCTCTGCTTCTTCTTTTCTTCTTCTTTGACCACACTCTTTGGCTCTTGCTTCTGGCAAGCAAACACCACCCAATCTCATCTATACATCACCTCTCATCCCTCTACAGACCATCCATGGCTACGCCAACCCCGGTATGCCTGGCCAACCCGGTGCCCACAAGCCTGTTCCCCTTGGCCAAAAACTACTTTGCTGCGGCAGGGCAGGATGGCCCGCCAACAAACTACGGCGCGTGCTGCGGCGACTTCAAGCTCAAGGTGGTCGACGAGTGCTGGTCGTACTGCGAGCTACCGACCACCTTCTTCTACGGGCCACAACACATGGACTATGCATCGCAGGCGCAGGCCGATTTTCTAAACTGTACAGTACAGCATGGGCTGGACCTGGGCAAGACGACCAGGATGTTTGGCGTGGGCAGCAAAACTGGCCTGGGGGTGAACGGCGATGTCAGCGACAGGGCGATGAAAGCACTGCTTGGGATCGTCGCCGTTACGTGTATAATGAACTTGGTGTGACGGTATAGGTGTGTGGGGAGTGTTGATGGGTGTTCTATATTGGGTTGCGGTGACGATGTTATGTACTCTGATTCTCTCTCTTTTTTCTTATTCTCTTTGTCATTATTGGTATTTTTATCTAGAGCTGTAGTATAGATAGGTTCTCGCTGGACAAGGGCCAAAGAATGAACGAATAAAAATCAATTCACGAAATGACATATTCGTTATATATTAAATAATACTGTGCATTAAGTTATACAGTTTATATTCCATACATTTTGTTTTGTGTGATTGGGGGCACACTGATTGCTGAAGCCCCCTGCAACAGTGCAGCAAGATGGCGTCACCTTACCCTTCCGATGACCACACAGCGATCAGCAGCGGCTCAACAAGAGCTGTGCCTTTTCTGTATGTCGCTGCCATTGCTCTTACTGTGGCTTTATTTCCTTGTGAATTAAAGCTCGGTTATCTGTAGAAGTGGTACACGCCGTTGGAGTCTCCGGCGCTCAACTGTAGCTCCCGCACTGCGCGGTCCGCGGACACCCACCCGCGCCCTCCAACAGCCTGTGGCGGCCCACGCGGGGGTCGACAGGGCGGCTTTCGGCGCAGGATCGGACTTGGGGTAACCAAGTAAGCCAACGGGAGAGGTTAACATCTGCTTAGAATTGTACGATGTAAATAATAGAAAATAACTCGTAATATGTAACTGGGAACATAGGTCCTAATTATCGACTTTAAACTGCATATACACGCATTATAGACAGAGATAAACCCTCCGGTGGCCCATCAGCCTGGGCGCCCCGAACCCGGACAGTCCCCCCAATCGTGGGGTAGCTCTTTTTTGTGAGTGGCGCCCTTGTTCGGGCTCCGGACCCCCAATTCCACGTTGTTGAATGACCTTCTGCCAGCTGCCCGCTCCCGTGTCTGACTCCTTCCAAGGCGGTGGCTGTTTTATTATCTTTCTTTCATCCTCCTCGCCATCACCATTTAACTTCTTCCATCACTTCAGCAAGCCAATTCATAGTTATTTCAAGATGCTGGCTTCTACTCGTCGCATCGCCCTGCGACCTGTCCTCCGCAGCGCCGCCTTGACGCGCACTCTCGGCACCGCCTCTATCTTCAAGAATGAACCTGCTAAACCTTCGGTCAGGACTTCTCTCCCCGGCCCCAAGTCCAAGGATGCCATTCAGAAGCTTGATACGGTCTTTGATACCCGCAGCATCAACATGCTAGTTGACTACAAGAAGTGCAACGGCAACTAGTGCGTCCCCTCCATACACAATGGCCAAGCGAGACATCTCCCAGCTTACATACTCACAGCATCGTCGACCACGATGACAATGTGTTGCTTGATGCGTAAGTTGATGTCCACTCATCCCAATTGGTAACACACCATTTGATTAACAAGCTTCCAGGTTCGCCCAGATTGCCTCCATCCCTCTCGGCTACAACAACCCCGTTCTCGCCGAGATTGCGTCTTCGCAGGACATGGTCGGTGCCATCATCAACCGTCCTGCTATTGGCAACTTTCCTTCCTCCGAATGGGCCGACACCCTTGAAGCCGGTCTCCTGAAAGCGGCTCCCAAGGGCATGAGCCAGGTCTTCACCTCCATGACCGGCTCCGACGCTAACGAAACCGCATACAAGGCTGCCTTTATCTGGCGCCGCTCCCAGGAACGTGGTGCTGCCGACTTTACCGAGGAGGAAATCTCGTCCTCCATGGCCAACCAAGCTCCCGGCTCGCCCAACTACTCCATCCTCTCCTTCAAGGGCGGCTTCCACGGCCGTCTCTTTGGCAGTCTCTCCACCACGCGCAGCAAGCCTATCCACAAGCTCGATATCCCGGCGTTCGACTGGCCTGCCGCTCCCTTCCCCCAGCTCAAGTACCCTCTCGAGGCCAATGCTGCCGCCAACGCTGCCGAGGAACAGCGCTGTCTGGCTGAGACGGAACGTCTCATCAAGGAGTTCCACAACCCCGTCGCTGCTGTCATTGTCGAGCCTATCCAGTCCGAGGGTGGCGACAACCACGCTTCGCCTGCCTTCTTCAAGGGTCTCCGCGAGATCACCAAGCGCCACAACGTCATGTTCATCGTCGATGAGGTCCAGACCGGCGTCGGTGCCACTGGCAAGTTCTGGGCCCATGAGCACTGGGATCTCCCTGAGGCTCCCGATATGGTGACCTTTTCCAAGAAGGCCCAAGCTGCTGGTTTCTACTACCGCGACTCGGCGCTGCGCCCCAACAAGCCTTACCGTCAGTTCAACACATGGATGGGCGACCCCGTCCGTGCTATCCTCTTCCGCGGCATTCACGATGAAGTGCAGCGTCACGGCCTTGTCGAGAAGACCGCCCAAGTTGGCAACTATCTGTTTGGCAAGCTCGAGAAGTTGGCTGAGCAATTCCCCAACGAAATTTCCAACCTCCGTGGCAAGGGCCAGGGAACGTTTATTGCATGGGATAGCCCTCGCCGCGATGAAGTCATTCGTCTGGCAAAGCAGAGTGGCTTGAACATTGGCGGCAGTGGCGAGCGATCCATCCGTCTACGACCTATGCTCATCTTTGAGGAGCGTCATGGTAAGTCAAGTCCTCGTCTTTTATACTAGGTTATTTACAAGCATGCTAACATGAATCTTTTAGCTGACATTTTGGTCGATATCCTGTCTTCTGTCTTGAAAAAGTAAATAAATAGACCCAGAGTAATGAAGTTTTGAATTAATACAATGATATAACACGCCATATAGTAATTGGTCCAAGTAGATTTAATGCCCAATCCTTTGCCAAAATGGCATTAGTGGCATGGCGATATTACATCACGCACCCCACAAGACACGCTCCATCCAGGTGCTGGTACACTAAGGCTGCGTCTGCGCCTGTGCCGACTTCCGAATATGACACTCATTAGATATAACCATTAAATGCCGTCATTGTTTCTGTCAAAAATAAAGGCTGAAATTCATCACCTCTCCGTATAGAAAATCATTCACACAGCTGTTTAGATTGCCCGTATTTCAAACATGTCCAAGATCTTCATGTAAGTCAATTCGCCCCTCTTCACTACACAATCCCCTAACAGAGCTGGCGCAATACAGCACAGGAGCTTCAGGCTACATCGGCGGCCAAGCCCTCTATCAAATCACCCAGGATTTCCCTAATGCCCAGATTACACTTCTAGAGAGACTTCAGGAGGAAGCGGACAAAATTCAGCTCCAATACCGCAGCGTCAAACTTGTGATTGCTGGTTTGGACGACGCCGCCATCATTGAACACGAGGCTGAACAAGCAGACATTGTTCTCAGTAATTGACCAGTCCACTTAACTAACTTTACACATCAACTTACAAACTGGTAGATCTTGCCGACGCCAAGCACATTGCTGGTGCCCAGTCCATTCACAATGGCCTGAAGCGACGCAGTGTCAATAGTCCAGGTACGTTTCCGTCCACTTGACTACCATATACGCTGACATGAGCAGTCTTTTGGGTTCAAATATCAGGTGCTGCTCTCTTAGCAACGGCCGAAACAGCCAACAAAGAGTACCAGCCTGGCTCATCCTCCGAGACCGTCTTTGACGATACCGATGGCATTGCTGCCTTACGTGACCACATTCGCCAGTATCCCGGGCGAGCAATCGACAACTACCTCCAAAGCGTCTCCTCAACTTCTCCCCACGTCCACTCTGCGCTTCTTACACCACCAATAATCTACGGTAAAGGTGATGGTCCAGTTAACCAGCGCTCGACACAGGTGCCGGAGCTCATTAGTGCTACTCTAAAGCGTGGCAAGGCGCTCCAGCTTGGAAACGGCTTGAACAAATGGGGCAATATTCATATTCGCGATTTGGGAACCCTTATCTCCGGTTTTGTCGACAAGGCAATCGGCAAAGACTTATCAAAGGATATTTGGGGCGACAACGGAGTATACCTAGCCAGTGTTGGAGAGCTAGTAGGTCCTTTGGGCATGTCTCAAAATTCGATTTGTCTGCTAACACCATTTTGTACAGTCGTTTGGTGAGATCGCCCAGAAGATTGCTCTGGCAGCAAAGGAACAGTCGTACATTGGAGATACATCGGTGGATTCGTTGGTTGCAGCCGACTTTCAAACCGAAGGCAAGGGCTTTATCCCGCTACTCTTTGGTACCAATGCACGCAGCAGATCGCATCGTGCAACCAAGTATTTGGATTGGAAGCCTACCTCACACAACTTAGAACAGGAGATTAAGCAATGTGTAGCTCGAGAAGCAGAAGCTTTGGGTCTGCAAAAGCTAGCCACTGTGTAAGAGAAAGCCCTTGGGTTTACTGGCACGTGCCCGCCTCCCAATACCACCACTTCTATTCTTCAATATTGATGTGCCATGCAATGCCATGTACTCATTTACCTGCATGTGGCAAATCATCCTAATTTACAACCGGCGCTAATAGTTATCGTGCATGCCGCCGCATTGCTGCCCGGTCTCCTCGGAGCCCGGCCGCTGGACCCCGCCATCTGCACAGCGTCCCCGCCCCCACTATAGCTCCGTCTTCCTACAGTATACTGTCAGACCCCAACTACCACACCTTTCCCTTTCCCTTTTCTTTTCTCTTCTCTTCTTTTCCTCATTCCCCAATCTTCTGTTTTTGTGTCTTCTCATCATCACAATGGCAGCATCCATAAAGCTCACCGCCCCCAATGGCACAACCTGGGACCAACCCACGGGCCTCTTCATCAACAACGAATTCGTAGCTGCCCAGAGCGGCGAGACAATCACCTCCATTGACCCTGCGTGCGTCCCCCCTTAGCTTCGATTTACTGTTCCGTTTGTGCTAACGCAGCTCCAGTACCGAGGAAAACATCACTACCGTTCAGGCCGCTGGTGCCGCCGATATCGATGCTGCTGTCAACGCCGCCGCAGCAGCTCTGAAGCACGCCTCATGGAAGCGCATCTCGGCCTCCGAGCGCGGCCGCATGATGGCCAAGCTTGCCGATCTTATGGACGAGAAGAAGGAACTCTTTGCTACCATTGACGCCTGGGACAATGGCAAAACATACCACGAAGCCCTCGAGGTCGATCTCGTCGAAGCCGTCTCCGTCATCCGCTACTACGCCGGCTGGGCCGACAAGACATACGGCCAGACCATCAGCACTATCCCCGAAAAGTTTGCATACACGCTCCGTCAGCCCATTGGCGTCGTCGGCCAAATCATTCCCTGGAACTACCCGCTCTCCATGGCCACCTGGAAGCTCGGCCCAGCTCTCGCCTGCGGAAACACGGTTGTCCTCAAGCCCGCGGAGCAGACACCGCTCAGCATCCTCGTCTTTGCTGAGCTCATTCGCGAAGCTGGCTTCCCTCCAGGTGTAGTCAACATTGTCAATGGCTACGGCAAGACGGCCGGCTCGGCCCTCGTCGGACACCCCAAGGTGGACAAGGTTGCCTTTACCGGCTCCACGGCCACAGCTACACAGATCATGGCCATGGCTGCCAAGACGCTCAAGAACATCACGCTCGAGACGGGAGGCAAGTCGCCTCTTCTCGTCTTTTCAGACGCCGATATGGAGCAGGCCGTCAAGTGGTCGCACATGGGCATCATGTCCAACCAGGGCCAAATCTGCACGGCCACGTCCCGCATCCTGGTCGAGGACAAGATCTACGACGAGTTTGTCACAAACTTCCTCTCGACCCTCAAGGAAGTGAGTATTGTTGGAAACCAGTGGGACTCCAAGACCTACCAGGGTCCTCAGGTATCCAAGGCCCAGTATGATCGCGTCTTGGAATACATTGAGGTCGGCAAGCAAGAAGGCGCTACAGTATCGGCTGGTGGCCAGGCAGCCAAGGCCTCAGAGACCGGAAAGGGATTCTTTGTCGAGCCTACCGTTTTCACCAATGTCACTCCTGAAATGCGTATCTATAAGGAGGAAATCTTTGGCCCCGTGGTCGTCATTGTCAAGTTCTCTACAGAGGACGAGGCGCTCGCCATGGCCAATGGAACAACATATGGCCTTGGCTCGGCCGTCTTCACCAAGGATCTAGAGCGTGCTCACCGCGTTGCTAGCGAGATCGAGGCCGGCATGGTCTGGGTCAACAGCAGTCAAGACTGCGACCCTCGTGTGCCTTTTGGAGGTGTTAAGCAGAGCGGTATCGGCCGAGAACTTGGTGAGGCTGGCTTAGATGCATACTCGCAAGTTAAAGCTGTCCACGTCAACATGGGAACACGCCTGTAAAATGAATGATACGAATTTAGCATAAACATAAAAATGTATTTCAATTATTATGCTCAGGGAGAGCGTGCTCACTCTAGTTACTACCAATGCACCCGATTTCGCGGCTCCATAGATTCACCCTCGTTGCACATCCAGCGCCGTAGATTCCTCCATAACATCTGTATTCTCTCAAAAGGTATCCCATATAAAACGATCTTCTTCTTTCAAAGCACAGGCTCGATGGTTTATTATCGGTCCTGTGCTTTTTGTTGATGGCGGCTAATTATTATGGCGTTACTTGGCGATTACCCGGTTGGCTGGCAGTTTATTTCCAGCCAATCGCGGGTATATGTCGACAGACATCACAGCAAGCTTCGTAATTAGGCCCAGGTCAATTTTATATCGTCGTTTTATAGTAGACAAGAGCTTTTACCGCCCAAGTCATTATGTTGGTTGGATGGGCATCGCGGGTCCAGATTGCCCATCCGGGTTCGTGAAAACATCACATTGTGGTCCGTTTAGTGTCGTCGGTTTGGAATTTCGCGAATACTAAGATCGAGTTTAGAGAAGGCACAGACACTGGTATATCGTGGTACAAACTCACCTTGAAGCAAGAAGACGCAGCACCACTCGGTCTGCGTCCTTGTTTAACCCCCAGATATCGATTCCAAGGTCAGGATTGTCGAGATGAAAAAAACACCACGAGAACAAACAAGCATCCGATAACGTCAAGAAATGACAATGAGTACATGTTGAACTATCCTCGAACAACTCTTCCCGTGCTTCCCTACTCGCTGCGTAGTCGTATTCCACCACGGCCAGGGCCGTTAGAAGAAATCCAAAGACGAAATGGGAGAGGGGGACCGTGGTCAATGCAGGGGTCTTTTTCCCGATTTAATAATGTCAATTAAAAGCTTTCAGTAGTTTCTTTTTTTTGGTTTGGGTTTGAATGCTGGCGAGCGATTGCGGTATATTGTGCTCGCTTAAGCATCGCCCTTCCAGTAACGGGTCTGGACAAAGGGCATCTTGGCGACGGTGCCCTTTCTCTTGCGACCGCGGACGACAACGTCGACCTCGGTGCCGGACTTGTGCAGACCGTCCTTGATGTAGCCCATGGCAATGTTCTTGCCAAGGGTAGGGCTGGGGACACCGCTGGTGACGGTGCCAACAACCTCGCCGTCCTTCTGGAGCTCAGCGCCCTCACGAGCAGGAGCACCCTCGACGAAGAAACCGACACGGCGCTTCTCAACGCCAGAGCCACCCTTGCTCTTGGGGGTGAGCTGGGGGAGGATGACCTCGGCACCGTGGAAGCCACCGGTAGCGCGACGCTCCTTGGGGATGATCCAAGAAAGACCGCCTTCAACAGGGGTGATGGTGTCGTTCAAGTCGTGGCCGTAAAGGCACATGCCAGCCTCAAGACGGAGAGAGTCACGGGCACCAAGACCAGAGAGCTGGAGGCGCTCGGGACCGCCAATCTTCATCAAAGACTCGACAATGGGGGTAGTGGTCTCGAAGGCGGGGTAGAGCTTGCCGTTGAAGGAGAGCTCGAAGCCGTCCTCGCCGGTGTAGCCACCACGGCTGATGAGGACAGGGTGAGTCTTGCTGCCGTCGGCAAGCTTGAGGTCAGCGTAGACGGCGTTGCCAAAGTAGAGCTTGCTGAGGTCAACTTCGCTGGCCAAGGCCTCCTTGAGGATCTCAGCAGCCTTGGGGCCCTGGAGAGCAATGAGACCAGAGTTGTCGAGACGAGTCCACTCGACGTTGCCGCCGAACTTGCCAAGCTCTTCGTCGAGGTACTTGGTGTCCTTCTCGAGGCAGGCACCGTTGGTGACAACGTAGTACTCGTCCTCTCCGATGCGAGTAATGACGGAGTCGTCGACAATGCCGCCAGTTCCCTCCCAGAGGAAGGTGGTGAGCTTGCTCTGCATCAAGCCCTGGTTCTTCCAGTCGGAGGGGGTAACCTTCTCGAGGAAGGCAGCGGCATCAGGGCCCTTGAGGGTGTGCTGAACCATGTGAGAGACATCAAAGATGGAAGCCTGAGTACGGGTGAAGGTGTGCGAGTCGGCCAGCGACAAGTTGTTGTACTGAACAGGCATGTGGTACCCAGCAAAGGGGACCATCTTGGCTCCGTTGGCGACGTGGTAGTCGTAGAGAGGAGTCTTCTTGAGGTCCTTGGCGGCAACGCTGGAGCCGTAGCGGACAGCAGTTCGCTGGTTGAGAGCGCAGCGGCGACCGGCGACCTTGAGGGCGGTTCTAGCCCGCGCGGCCATGGTGAAGCTGTTCATCTTTTCTGTTGGTGTGTGGCGGAGAGGAGGGGAAAGGAATTGGCTCTGAAGGAGAGAGAGAGAGAGGTGAAGAAGAAGAAAAACAGAGAGCAGATGAGAGGGGAGAGTTTCCAGAGGATCAATTGAGATGAAGAGAGACAGAGTGAGTGAGGAGAAGAGGGCACAAGACGAGAAAAAAAACAGAGGAGGGACGGGACCCTCTTCCCCCAACCGAGAGCCGCGATGGGCGCAGGCGGCGTTGCGAGGTGCACCACTGCAAATTTGGTGGGGGGGCAGCGGGTATCCCCGGTTTCGCTGCTCCGATATCGACGGGCGGAGGCCAGCGACCTTCCTCTTGTGTGGTGGATGCCCACTGACTCGCAAGGGCCAGGGGGGTTCACGCGGCGCAGAGGTCGCTGAAAAAATGAGTAGGGCCTGGAGAGTTGGAGTAATTAGGTAAATTTATTGCACGCGGGTCAATTGGTGGTTCTGCTGCTGTAAGAGAGAGTCGAGATCTTGCTTTCCCTTGGCTGGGAGAAGTCTCGGTGATGAGGTGTTTGTATGTCTACATGAAAAAATAAAAAGCTGATAAAAAACTAAGAGGGCAAAAGAACAAGATTTGCCATTGCCCAGCCAAAAAAAAGACATACAATACAGTTCTATATCCGCCGTGCTCTCGCTACACCCTGTATGTGAAATTCGGTGTCTCCTTATTGCGACTCAAAGCTGTACTTGAGCCACCCACCCAGAGCACGCAAGCTCTCCCAGCGGACATTTTCGTCTTCTGATTGCATCAACTCCATCACCTTCAACTTCAGGCCCGCCTTTTCAAGCTGCGATCGCTTCTCGGGGACTTCCTTGACTAGGCAGCCGATATCGTTGCAGGCAATGGCAAGCACCTGCTTGTCGTTATCCCAGGGCTTCTCCATAATGGCGGCCAGTTGTCTGGGGATCTCACCATTTTGATATTCGAGGATTTTGCGGGCATTCTCGGCCCAAAAGACTTCGCTTCGGTGAGGGGGCGACCATCGGAGATGGCCAGAGTTGACTTCGGCAACATACTCATCAAAGGTTGTCTTAGTCTTGGTGTATTCCTCCAACAGCTCCTTGAGGTTCTCCAGATCTTCGAGTAGGTCGGCATCAGTAAGATGGCGGCTGTTGAGGTTTTCAAGTAAGCTAGGGAGTCGGGCCAGTACTGCTGTAGGAAGTAGTGTTCTCTGGTTCTTTTCTAGGAGGTTGTAAAGAGTAGACAAGATCAGACGGCTCGTCTTTTCCTTGGGCGAGAGTCGAAGGAGATGGGTGTAGAGGAGGATAATATCGTAGGCTCTATCTCGGATATCAGTACATTCTTCACTAAGAAATTTTGTCGTCACGATTACTTACTCATTAAGATCATCGCCAATCTCTTCAGCCTCGAAGCTCATTTGCCACATAACAAGCAGAACATGGTAAAGCAGCTGGAGGCCAACACCGCCACCTAGCGAGCCCTCGAATCCGTTATTGCGGCTGCTAGAGTTGCCGCTCCAGAGGCTGGCAGACGAGTTTCCGCCATTAATGCCAGCAGCAGCATGAAGGATATCGATCAAAGGGCCCATGGTCTCACTTGCTTGCTGCCAAAACTGCTCTCGTGCAATCTTGCCAAAGAGCAGCGCAGAGTACTCTTGCACGGCAATATCTTGCAAGCCAGCGTCGGTGCTCTTTGCAAGACCAGACAGGTATGTGAAGATGACAGGCAGAGCGCGTGTAGTAGCGGCAGATTCGTCGCGAGCAGAGGACATGAGCGTCGTCAAGGCATGCGCCGTCAAGAGCGCGATTGGGTCTTCGGTCGTTGTCGAGAGAAGGAGGGGTAGCAGCTGCTTGTACGGATCTTTGTTGTTGAAGAATGCTTTGGATAGACTCGGAACAGCTAAACAGTTGGGTCGTTACGTTAGCCCATATTCACAGCTGAAGGTGACGGAGGCAAGAGCGGCGTGATGCTGAGGAGGCAGACCCCGCTCTCGGCCGATGCTAAACTTACACTCGAGCAAATCTGACAGTAGAACAAGAATGTACTGAACTACATTGGGGTGCTTGGCAGCAGACTCAAAAATGCTGGTCTGTCCATCGCCGCCGACGAAAAGAGCTGTATATCCCGAAAGGCTAGCTTCGACAATCTCTTGTCGCTGCTCTGGCTTCTTAGCCTTGTCGACAGCGCGGACCATGCCAAGCTGGGTTTCGGTCAGGGTTCCGGCTCTAACGGCTCCATCCCAGGGAATAGGTCGCTGGCGGATGTTGCTCTGCAACGATGCCAGATAGGTAGGCGGATCGAGGGACATGGTGACGTTTCCGGATCAGCAAGGACGAGTAGAGCTAATCACCGGTGCCACGGCGGGGAGAGGCGACGTATTAGGGTGGTGGATGGAATCAAAACTTCGCCCCTGTTTGAATTCTCGAGCAAGGTCGCAGAAGCGTGATGGCGAGGGTCGGGGTAGAGCTGATGAGGTAGATGATGTCGTTGCTTTGGCAGAGCAACACCTGTAGCAGTTTGGCCAAAGGCCCGCATTATGGTTAGCGTTGAGCCACGTGTGGCACCTGGTTTTGATGTGTGGCTGTGCGACGTTGACAGGCAACGGCGCATGGAATGCGTTAACGGTGTCGTTTACCGACAAAAATGTCACTTCTAATAGAAAAATTTTAATTAATTATATACTGATAATTTTATTATTGTCATTATGAGATTCCCTCGTCTGTTGTTTAGTGAGGAGGTGGCTATTACCATGCGCCATGCCATACGTCACTCACCGCGAGAGCCATTAGACAGCTCCTCGTGTCGACGGCTTTTTCAAGGTTAATGGAAAAGAACCGCTAGTTTCACTAGCGACAGGTCAAGGTTGCGCATGGTACAACTTGAGCGAGTCTGCGGCTGCCACATAGCTGTTGTGGCGTTTTGATTGTCCACACAACCTACTACTCGAATGATACGACGATTATGCACTACGGACCTGGGCTGTTTCGATGTGACAAAAGCAGACAAAATAATAGTATAAATATGTCTTTAAAATACCAACAAATGCAAAACTACACAATCGATATATTTGCGTATCAATGACATCACAGGACAAGAAACACCGGCATTGATCATGCTTTCGTAGTGACTCGACGCCGTTTACCCTAGAGCGAGAAAACAGTGCTGTGTGGAGTTTGGCGTCTCCCCAGCACATCCAAGTCACCCTTGCGGCGGTACTTGAAGACCAGGCAGGACCCAGGATAAAATCAAGTAAAAATCAACTTTATCAGGAACAAAGACTCCAATTTATTTTTACGAGCGCATCATGCTTAGCGCCAGGGGTAATAAACCCTTTGTTTGCCTGCTTAATTCTCCGTGGAGCGATCCCTGTAGCGGCGCGCCTTGAAATGGAGGGGTTGGTGAGCGGGCGCTGGGAGGCTGGGAAAAAAAAGTGCTGTAGCGTCACCACCCAACCAGCCTTCGGTCTTAAAGTCCCTCCAACAGCTGCAACCCTCCATTGTTACCTCTCCCAAGTCCATTGTTTACCTTTTGTCTTTCTTTTGCATCTTCACCACTCCCGCACATACTCGACGCGTCCTTCAATTTATTTTCTTTGTCGGATATCGCGATTCCATCCTATTTTACCGTCTTCTCACTAATCGACCTCACTTACAAGTCGCCGCCCCGCCAAACAATCAGCTAACGGGCACCAAGCGAGAGGAACCAAGACACCAACATTCCAGTGTCTCCCGCATTCCAAAGGGATCTGACTCGATCAGACAGGCAAAAAGCAATTTATACGGCCTTTGCTACACCATGGCCTCTGCTGCTTCACGGCCAACAGTCGCTTCGTTCGCGAAGCTCCTGGTCGGCGCTCTCACACTGAGCTCTCTCGCCTCAGCAACACCATTTCCCAGAGATGACCTTCACGATGCAGGCTACTCATATTTGAAGCACGCAGCTTGCGCAGCCTACTGTGGCTCCGACAACCAGTTTTGCTGCGCTGCCAACGAAGCATGCACTACTCTGCCCGGCAACGTCGCCACCTGCACTGCTGTAGGCGGCTACTATGCCCAGCGTACGACTACCTGGACCGAGACGAAGACATATACTAGTACGATTGCCACTTTTTGGGCCGTGCCGCCAGCACCTACACAAGGTGTAGACTGCGTCCCACAAAGCCCAGAGCAGCAGCCCTGCGGCGCTATTTGCTGTGCTGGATGGCAGACCTGCGCTTACAAGGGCCAATGTGTTGCGAAGCCAGGCATGGATGGCGGCCAGACTATTGTTGTCACGACCAACGGAGTTGTTACTACCCAATACTCTGCTCCATACCGAGTCACAGGTACCACCACCGTTGTCGGAACCGGCTCAAGGTCGACCGCCGGCGTTACTCACACCACCACCAGCTCGGCAGCTCAAGAGACCGGGAGTAGAGATCCCGACTCTGGCAACCCATCCAACGGTGGCACAGCCAATAACAAACTCAGTGGTGGCGCTATCGCTGGTATCGTTATTGGTGTTCTCGCCGGTGTCAGTTTGCTAGGTCTTCTGTGCTTCTGCTGCATCGTCCGCGGCATCTTCCACGCCATCTTCGGCAAGAAGAAGGAGAAGCGGGTGATTGAAGAGGACTACTACTCAGCAGGCGGAAGCTCCTACTCACGCCGCTCACGCCACTCTGGCTGGTTCGGCGGCCGACCATCCTCTGCTGGTGACCGCCGCGAGAAGAAGTCTGACGGCAAGAAATGGCTCGGATTGGCTGGTGGTGCAGCTACGCTGCTCGCATTGCTCAACATGAAGAAGGACAAGAAGCCAGCACGCAGAGCCCCCTCGTCGCGCTACACGGATTCTTACTACACCTACTCTGATGCCACGACCCTGAGCTCCAGCTCTGGAGCCAGAACATCTCGCACGCGCCGTACAAGGGACAGCCGAAGCCGTGACTCGCGATCATACTACACCAGGAGCTCACGCCGGCCCTAGGCTAGCGGGTGTGAGGCCCCAGCGTATGTGCTGAGCATGGCACTACTACCTACTGTTCTTCCATTGTAAAGAATAGTATTACAGGCTGTTAACGCGGCAGCCTGACTTTGCACGTAAAAGACTGGCTTTTGAGAGCTATGCTCTTTTCTTCGGAGTTTGGCAATGATTTCACGTTTTTTGATGTTTTAATGCTTGATATTTGTACATGTTTCGAGTTTTTGATTTCTTTTTCATGACTACATGCACCGACATCTTTGAGTCAGGTGCTGCTTTACGTATATATACCTTATACCCTCTGCAAGATGAGAGAAGGACAAAGGAAAAGGATGAGATGAGGATGATGGAATGGTAGAATGGCTCTTGTTGTGGATATGCATCATGAAACCCGGTTAGGATATAGACTTGGACGTGTGAAGACGTCATTGAATTAATGTTGATGAATCTTTTTTTGGTATCTGCACTCTGCTTCCTTGCCTAAGACCCTGTTCTAGTCGTAAATCATCCAACTCTTCACAATCTCAGCACAGCGGCTATGTTCCTGTGCAGTCTTCCCATGGTCGCCGTCTATAGCAACCGTCAAAAACATGGTGGAATCACAGTCGGCCAAGACGGACAAGACGTTAGTTTTAAGTCTTTACTTTTTGGTTTATTTGATTCGTAGCACCCTTGCTACATGACATGCAATGGTAAAACCCTCGCCACTCCAGGAACCCAGAAACGCAAAAGAAACAAATTCCGTGTCCGCGGTTTTTTACTCCTCAACAACGTTGCCCTTCTCGGAAACGTACAGACCGTCCAAGAACTATGAGATGCGTTAGTAAAAAATTTTCTCCTCTGCTGAGTGGTCGTCCCGAGGCGTTTTCATAGAGACCCATCGTGGGCAAAGGTTGATATGCTCGTAGATTTCGCTCCATGTCTTCGCTCGGCTGAGGAAAATTTTCTTACCTTACGGATATCCTTGTTGCGGACCTTGCAGATCTGCTGGATATCGGCGGCGGATTGGGAGACGTTCTCGAGAGAGTTGCCGGTCAGGACAAGCTCATCCTTCTGGGCGGTAGAGACGGCGACATCGACACCCTCGGCCATGGTGACACGGTGGACGATCTTCTGGCCAATGAAGTTGCGGATCTCAACCTCGAAGAGGCCGGTCTCGGCGTTCTTCTCCAAGTTGACGTTGATGGGAAAATGGGCGTAGACGTAGCGCATCTTGTACTTGAAGCCCTTGGTGACACCGACAATCATGTTGTTGATGATGGAGCGAACGGTGCGGAGGGTAGCGACGTTCTTGCGGTTGCCATGGTGGATCTCGATGGAGATGGTGTTCTTGGAGGGGTTGCCGAAGCAGACGGCAACGTGACCGAGGTTCTTAACGAGCTTGCCTATAGTTCCAATCCAGTCAGAGGGGACATTCAAACGAGTTAAAAGCGAGAGTAGCGCATCTTCACTATTCGGAGTCGGCGCTACACAAAGGGGGGATTATAAGTTCGTACCTCGGGGGCCCTCGACGGTGACGGTACGGGTCTTGATGGTGACCTTGACTGTAAATCGCAAAGCATGTTAGCAATGTCGTTCCTTCGGCCAATTGTGTTTGCCTATGCGGTTCGTGCGGAAGCAAGTCGGCCTGCCAATCTCCTCCTGACGACTAGTCGAAGTCCTAGAAACCATCTCTTTCATGCCATTCGAGGCGGCGTGGTTTGTCGATGTTGTCGATGTCGAAGACGGGGCAGGTCGGCTTGCTTTGCACTGGCGACAAGGAAAACAAATTATATTTTCGTTTACGTACCACCCTCAGGGATCTCAAGGAGCTGTTCCGAACGAATGTACTTCATCCTGCCGGTATTGTATGGGGTTGGCGAGAGTTGGGCGTATCTTCAAACTGTCGACGGCTCGCTGCGAAATGTTTGGCGAAAACGTGTGGGTTGGAAAACTTCTAGGGCTCGAACACGTGAGGCGAACTGGCTGACTAACAATTTTTGCTCACTGAAGCGAATTTTTGGCGGGCCGGCCCCAAGCGCAAGAAAAAAGTTGAAAGTGGAGGCTCAATCCACGTGACTAACTTTTGTCGACGAACACATGCGCCACATGTCGTACGCCACAGTGTGGCTCAAGCATTCTCAAGCTCATCCATCGTGCTGCGATACGTCAGCTCTCCGTCTACTCCACCGTCAACGTCGCCCGCCAACCTCGCCGCACTAGCATTCGTCACCGTCGGCGTCCTTACTTTCTGGTCTCAGCCAGCATATATCCAGGGCAGGACAATCATTCAATTTTATTGGCGGAGTAGTTCGATATACTGTCAAAATGTCGTACTTTTTCTCAACCCCGGTCGACATCGACGTCGTCCTTCAGGACACTGACGAGCGGTCCATGGTTGACGTCAAGCTTGATAAGAACCGCAGAGAAAAGGCTCCATTGTATATGGACGGCGAATCGGTTAAGGGGGCCGTTACAGTCCGCCCTAAAGATGGAAAGCGCTTGGAACACACCGGCATCAAAGTCCAGTTCATTGGCACGATAGGTATAACGAGCAGCCGCCCCCGCCGCGACCAATCCGCTCCGTGAATGCTAATAAGTCCTGCAGAAATGTTTTTCGATCGAGGAAACCATTACGAATTCCTATCTCTCAACCAAGAACTTGCGGCGCCCGGTGAGCTACAGCACCCACAGACGTTTGAGTTCAACTTCAAGAACGTCGAAAAGCAGTATGAGTCCTATAACGGCATCAACGTCAAGCTACGCTACTTTGTCCGAGTCACTGTCTCGCGCCGCATGGCCGATGTCATCCGTGAAAAGGACATCTGGGTCTACAGCTACCGCATCCCCCCGGAGATCAACAGCAGCATCAAGATGGACGTCGGTATTGAGGACTGCCTGCACATAGAATTCGAATACAGCAAGAGCAAATACCATCTCAAAGACGTTATTGTTGGTCGAATCTACTTCCTTCTGGTCAGACTGAAAATCAAGCACATGGAACTATCCATTATCCGTCGAGAGACGACTGGTGCCGCCCCTAACCAGTACAACGAAAGCGAAACATTGGTTCGATTTGAGATTATGGACGGCTCCCCTTCCCGAGGCGAGACTATTCCTATTCGCCTGTTCTTGGGAGGTTTCGACTTGACTCCTACGTTCCGTGATGTCAACAAGAAATTCTCGACACGGTACTACCTGAGCTTAGTCCTCATTGATGAAGGTACGTTGCAAGCAGTAACCCTCGCTTAGGCGGCGAACATAGCTAACCGACTTGGACAGACGCCCGCCGTTACTTTAAGCAATCCGAAATTATTCTTTATAGACAGGCTCCCGAAGATGCAAAGCTTGAGGCTGCCGAAACTCATCAGGCCCTCCCCGCGCCTCCTGAGAGCAAGCTGCCGCAGGTTCAGGCTGCCGAGGCGTAAGCGCCAATTGGGATCCGAGGAAACCCCATTTTGTATGTTATTTGCTTTTGAGCATGAAGACTGGCGTTACAAGGCGTTTCAAGCCAATGGTGGCAACAAATTTTACCCTATTATAACAATATTAAGCAATTATTGATACTGCAAGAAGTGCTGGCAAAATGGGACTAGTATTGATCAAATCAACGCAAACACCTGTAAGCTAGTAAAAAGAGTAGATCTACATTAAAAAAAAAGGAACAGCCTATTCAATATCGCAGCTGCCTCATACAATTTCCATGACATCGTCCGCCTCAAATCCAAACTGATTATTTTGAATCGCCGCAATGCGGTCCAGCTCATCTTGGTATTGCTTCCTCACGTCCGCCAGCGAAACAACCTTGCGCTTGCTATTTTCTCCAGGAACACCTTCGTCAAAGATCCAGGCCTGCTTGGCATCGACACAGCTCAAGGCGTTGATAAGCAGGAGATACTGCCTTGTTACTGGTGTATCAAGGACGTCGTCACCAGCAAATCTGTCGCCCTCGCCGGCTAGCTTAAGCTTCTGTATGCGATCGAGCAGCACCCAAGCTGCGCCGCGGTAGTTACGACGCTTTATACGCCACGAGTAGAGGATCTGATGATACTGAGCACCGTCAACCACGTCCATGGAGCCTTTGCATCGCTTGGAGAGGAAGTCATCAACCTGCTGCTGCATGCCTGGGAAGGGAAGGGCAACGAGATCGTTGTTGTGGCTTGTGTCGCACATTTTATCGACGAGCTGTCGCAGACTAGACTGCTTCAGGGCCTGATCCTTAATGGACAGCAATGTTGTGTGAGCGAGTTCGAATTGCGATGTGGAGAGTGTGGCGTTGAAGAGGCGAGTGAGCATTTCGGCCTTGACCACATTGTTGTCGGGGCTTGCGCCTGTGAATTGCATGGCGAGACGGCCGAATTCTACGACGTACGAGTAGGCTCGCTGCGAGTCATAGAGAGCTACAATATGCGAGTAGTATCTGGCCAGGCCGCAGTTGAGGAGCGCCCACTCGGTGTCATCAAGCAAGCCGCCGCTGTGGCGGTCTAGCTTGGCGTTTTCGTTGCTCATGCCAATGGCAGCTCTTCTGAAGGACAGGGCTGCTGAGCCAAAGTCCTTGAGAGCCAGGGCGACGCGGCCCTGGACGTACACTGAAAAGGGGCTCTGGTCGCAGAAAGGTGTCAGGTCGTTTGCTAGGTCGGCTCGTTCCCGCTTGACAAGCGAGCACTGAATAAGAGATGGAGAGACTTCAATATCGCTGTCGGGGGCACAGAGGTTAGCGACCAAATCTGTCAAGCTCTTGGGGGCAAATTCGTCGCCGTTCTTGGAGAAACCCAGCAAATGGTCAACATTCGCCTCTAGAGCTGTGACTGTTTGTACTTCATCGCCGCGCTTGGTCTGAGGGGCACCCTTTACAGGCTTGAAGAGTGGTACAGAGATATCGGTTTGTGACAGCCACTTGAGCAGTTCCAGGCGTCGCAGGATACCGACAAGCTGTCTAAAGACAGCGCCGATATCAACGCGGTTGTGAAGCGCCTCATCCTCAGTGTCGAACTCGAATTCCATATGAACAAGTAAGATCAGCTGGCTGAAGCAGATCTTCCAGAGTAGGTCAAGGCTATCTCTTGTCGCAGACATGACTAGCTTTCGGCCAAACTCGGTGAGAGGTTGCTGCAAACTGTGGCCCTTCGTCGCGGCGGGTGCCAGGACGAGGTCAATGAGCTTGCCGTAGAGTTCGTTGGTGACAAGGCCAAAGTTTTGACCGAGGACATCCGCAATCTGGGCACAGTCATCATCCGTGATGCCGCGCCAGAAGCCTGCCTTGTCGGAGAAATATTGAATGCGCTCCAAGTCGGTCTTGGGCGACTCCTCAAAGAGCTCAGGGCGTAGCGCGGCGTGGCAGAGCTGAAGGTAGTTATCCGAAAACCCATCGACAAACTGCAGACCAGAGTTAATGAGAGCAGCTTGATTCTGGGAGTCTTCGTAGGGCATGCTCAAGTTATGATAGATGTGTTCGACAGCACTGCATTGGCGAATAGCGGAAACGAGGTCAGAGCAAACCACCCAGGCCATTTCAGAGTGTGCGTCAAAGCAGAGGCAAATAGCTTCACCTCGTTGTTTGTCAAGCTCAATGAGGAGCCTGTAGAATCTGCGCCATTGGCTCTCGCTGGCGGCGCGGAACTGTTCGTAGTCCATAGCGCCAGAGGAGCTTCTATCGAGAGTGGCAGTAGAGCCAAGTACGGAGCAGATGGACTCAGCCAAGCCTCGTCCCTTGCCGCTGTCGCGCGACTTGCCAAGGCCACGTTCGTAGATAGCCAAGGCAGCTTCTAGTGTCGCTTTTGTGAAACGGCCAGGCTGGAGGATGAGTTGCAACCATTTTTCTGTAACGTCTTGAGGATCGCAAGGGCCTGATGTCTGAGCTGTAACAAGGCCAGTCTCTGAGTAGACGCCATCCCACCTGAGATGCCAGTTTTGCTCCATTCTCTCTCGGTCTAGTTCTAAGCGCTGGACCCTGTATGTCAAGTTGTTCTTCCAAAGAGTCCACAGGCTGATTACACCTTCCGTCACAGAGGTCAGCGCAAAATCCGCGAGCGTCCAAATATCGGCCGATGGAGTGTTGGGAATAAGAGTAAGCTTGGGGAACATGTCCTCCATAGTGACCTTGTGGGAGTCCTTGGCAACGATCTTCCAGAACTTGAACTCGCCAGCACCAACCGGGGAGTAGGTTGCAGCGATGCGTATGCCTCGGCTCTCGCCAACGATTTGAAGTAGGTTTGACTGGGATGGATCGACTGTCCATTTGCCAATATCCTGGGGGTTTCGGTCGGCGTTGAGAAGATCTCCGGTATGCAGAATCTGGCCATCTTGGACGTTCCATATGCGAATGCGATGATCGAGGCAAACTGTCAATGCAAACAACGAGTCGTCCAGGCCAAGCGATGAAACGAGAACGGATGTCGCGGTGCTGTATTCCATGTTTGCTCGGCCGTATTTGATGGTGTGGTTGCCATGGAAAGGAAGCATGCTTCTCAGGTTCTGCTTCCAACCCTGGACGTTGAAGAAGGTTTCTTTCCATTTACCTGACGAAGCTTGTCTGCAGTTAGCAATTGTGAGTTCAGTACCAAGGAGACTATCTACTTACGATCGTCTGCGTGATTACGGTCGAATCGAATCATTCCACCATCGTTGACCGTCACCAGCAGCGTGTTGGATGAAACTGCAACCATGCGGTGAGGATACTTGAAGCCCAATCCGGCCGGAGCTTGGACCTTAGCCAGGTCTGCAAGGCCAATATCCACGGCAGTCCTCTTTCTGAAAAACTCTGGTCGCAAGGTGAATGTATAGAGGTGGCAGGACGTGTCGAGAACAAAGACGCACAGCGCGTCATGCTCCTGAGGATCGGCAAACGCAACACAGCTGGGCTGGATAGGCACCGTGAAGTGAAAGTTGAGGATGAGCGTGGCATCGAGGCCCTTGTTTTCTCTGGCAATATCGATGGCGCGAATGCTCAGCAGCGTGCCGTCCTCGAGGACGCGCCAGAGGAAGCTTCGCGGGCCATGGTGGAACTGGCGATGGTATATGGCGGACGATGACGCTAGGTTCTTTTGCTTAAATGCAGCTTCTTCCTCAGAGGCACCATCAGCAGAACGCTGTCGCTGGCTTCGAGCTTGCGCAGAGGTCGAGGGGACTCGGATCGTCACAATCGAAGCTGGCGCCGGAGGCTCGAGATTCAAGCGGGTCTCTTTGAAGAGAAACTGCGTGTCGCCCGAATCCATCTCGCCCCCTTTGATCAGATAAGCAGCATCCGCCGGTGCGAACGTGCTCCGTGTGAATCGGGATTCGTTAATTGGTCGAGGCGACCGGGCGGTTGGTGATGCACGGGAGGTCGGTTGCGTGGTGTTTGTTTCGCTCTGGTGGCGGAGAGCTTGTCGCGGTCAGAATTTCTTTGCGCACGCCAGGCACGCTGCGGCAGGCCCAGTTTACAGTGGAGCCCAGCCACAGCGAGCTTCAGGTCTCAGGTACGTACAGTAGAGCTAGCGGACGCTAACGCTGACTGTGGTATCTACCAACGTAGAGTTGCCAGTTTGGAAAGGAATTTTGACTTGTTATTAAAAGAAAAATACCAAATATTAGACAAAAAACAGAACGTTTATAGTATATGCTTATAAAGGGATGCCACGTGTTAATTATCATGCAGCAAAAATCTACAAGTCTCGTCTAAGCAACAGAACCAAGTCCAGCACCGTCCTCTTCTACATCCTCCTCGTATAAATCGCCAACAAAAAGATAATAATAGCAAGAACCAGCATTGATCATTACGCAAAGGGGAAAACAAAGGTTTGTAACAGGAGCGCTTTTATGCACTTATTTCTCTTCCATATCCTTGGGTGCAGGGTCGCCAATGCCGTCCTCACCAATGGCAAATAGCGTATCACTCTCTGGCAAGCAAGGGCTGTCGTAAATCTTGGCAATTCTCGTCTCTCCACGACCCTTCTTTAAGCTGATTCGAGTAGTACTGGCATGGGCAATAATATTACCTCCGATAGGCTTCTTGGGGTCTGGGTTAAACATGGCGCTGGGGCCGCCGTCCACCTGGGCGACGACCTGGTTGGTAATGACAACAGCGACACCGAATTCGTCGGCTAGACGTTGCAGCGTACGCATAAACTTGGCAAGATGTGTTTGACGGTTGGAAAGCTCACCACGACCGCAGAAATCGGTACGGTAGAGCGCCGTGGCACTGTCGACAATGAGGAGAGAGAAACGAGTCTCGCACATCATGGCCGCGGCTTGGTTCAGCAGCTGCAGCTGGTGGTCCGAGTTATAAGCGCGCGCGTATGCAACGTTGTCCAGAACCTCTTCACCAGAAAGACCGAATCTGTTGGCTACTGCAAGCAATCTGACAGGACGGAATGTTCCCTCGGTATCGATATAGAGACACTTGCCCTCACCACCGCCCATATCAAAAGGCAGTTGACATGTCACTGCCAGAGTGTGGCAGATTTGACTCTTTCCGGTTCTGAATTCGCCAAAAAGCTCCGTCACGGAGCCTGTTTCAATACCACCAGCAAGCAATGTATCAAGGTTCTTCGATCCAGTTGTTATCGAGATCAATTCACTTCGTCGGTGGTGCATCTCGGTGGCTGTTGTGAATCCCATGGGGACGAGTTTTGAGGCTGCCCAATCCGTTAGCACTATTGCAAATGGATATCTCGCTTCAATGTGCCTTACCTTCTGTGAGAATCTTGGTAGCCTTTCCTTCCGAAATGCCTTTAATCTGTTCCAGCATGCGCTTTGGTGTATAAGCCACGGATTCCACAGTGTTGAAGCCGCCGTCAATGATTAATTGAATATCTCGCTTTGTCAGTCCAGCAACACCCTAGAATCTTCAATTAGCAAAGGCAAGCTCTGCACAGCACCATGCTGAACGCCGTACCTCGAGGGCAGTGAGGGGTGTGGGAGCACCAGGAGCGCCAGGGCCACCGTCTTCCATCATTTGGCCTTCGTCATATTCTTCAGCCATTTTTACAGCTTGGATTCAAACGCCTGTATGTGGGAGTAAGAAATTAGAGGTGCGAAACGGGCGTGCGTGAATCGATGATTTATAACGGAGGCGAATTCACGGTGGGAAATTCTTAGACAATGTTGATGAACGGCGCGGTGGAACGCGTCGGTCCCCAGCACCAGGCACAACGGTGCAGACGCCAAGTCATGTGACGCATTACAAGAAGGGTCACCAGCATGTTGATTTCAAATCAAAAATAATAGTGCATCTCAGTATTTTGGATGGTTGAATATGGCAACAAGGTCGTTTAATTTAATTATATTTTCAAGTTTCCATCTGAGAACGAATTGCGCAATTGCTCAACGCCGTAACAGTATAGAGGCGTTGAAAATAACAGTATGTCATGCATAAGATAGAGTTCTGAATTCTTTTATGTAAATGTAATACTTAGGGTGACATCCCGCCAAAAAAAATCTATACAAATTATTAACATAGCAGAATATTATCAAATAGAGACTGGTTCTGCTTTGCCTTTCTCTGTCAACGTGCTGAGTGGTTCTCTCGAGGCGACGCAAGTTTTAGTTTATTCAGCTGAAGTTGATTACATGTCACATGGTATTCAGGGATCAAATTGTTGCAAAGCAAAAGAGTTATTATTTAGTCTATCGTGAAAGCTAAGAGTACATGGGAAACCAAGAGAAAGAAGAAGAAGAACTAAAAGTCCACAAGTGCCAGCGCCAATCCAAATGCAATGATGGTGTTAACATTTCTGTCAAAGACGATGATGATGTAAATCATAAATCATCTTGTTAGTTGATGGCAATGCGGCGGGCCTCGTGCTTCTTAGCCTTGGGGACCACAACAGTCAGGATGCCGTTGTCGAAGCTGGCACTGACAGTATCCTGTTCCACACGGGTAGGGAAGTTGAAGCTGCGGGCAAACTCGCCAATGCTGCGCTCAGTGAGCCAGTACTTGGCAGTGTCGGCAGGCTTCTGTGTTTCTTGGGGAGCGGCGACAACCTCCTCAGAGGCGTCCTTGTTGGAGGCGACTTCTTGCCAGCCGTTCTCCTGTGCCTCTGCTTCGTCTTCGTCAGCAACAGAAGCCTGGTGAGAGGCTCTGTCGTCAGCCTCAGCGACAGCAGCAGGCTGTGACTCGGTAGCGGGCTCGATATGTTCAGCGGCAGGGGTGGTGCCGGTAGAGTAAGAGCGCTCAACCTTGCCGCGGACGATCAAGGTCTGGGGGTCGCTGAACTCGATCTGAACGTTTTCCTTGGCAACGCCAGCGAGCTCACCGTGGAGCTCGTAGGCTTCAGCAGTCTCGCGGACATCAAACTTGGGCTGCCATGCAGGGACGCAAGACTTGCGGCCAGAGGTGGTGGACTGCTTGTTGGACTGACGGGCATAGCTGTCAAAGTCGTCAAGGAGTCGGAAGAGGGGGGTGAAAGAGGCGGCCTCGTTGGCGTAGAAGTTGCGGGGGAAGAAAGCCATTTTTCTGGATTGGGTAGTGGGTTTGAAAGAAAACTGCTTAATGTTGCGAGGAATTCTTCGAGTAGATACTCTGCAAGGTTGCATAAAAGAGCTTGTTAAGGTGGAAGGGGATTGTTGCGAGTGTGTGAAGAAGAGAGAATTTGGATTCAGAGGGAGAATTCATGTTGATTTATAGTTTGAAGCGGACTTCAGAATACAGTCACGTAGGCATCAGTCGAATTGCGTTGAAGTTGCTAGCAACACATCGAAACGTCTTACAAAGACATCTCGCCGATGCTGGATTTTGGTGGTGAGCGCTGGAAGGCGCTGGAAGCTTCCACAGGCTTCGATGGTGGCGGGCTCCGCGTTACTCGAGATATCGACGCCTTAAATTGTCTAAATACAGTCAGATACCTGAAATATAGTAGATTTTATTTTTAAAAGGGATTCAATCGTATTTTTTTCACCTTTCAGCAAACTATCCACGCTGTCTTCACTTTTGCTTCACCGTACCTCAGCAAGCGGCAATCAGCCCTGTAACCCACTACGGCTAGTGACGCTAGTGGCCCGTAGAGCCCGCGGACAAGCATAAAAGGACCCCTAGGGGTGACAGGGCCGCTATACCCAAGTGGGCCAATTTCTGGAGAATGACGTCACACGCGCCACCACGCTGCTCCCCCTTCCCGCCTGCATTTCAATGTGGGCTTTTGCGTCGGCAACAAGCCAGCTAAGTAGGCAACATTCACTGTATTTGTCACCGGGTGGGTGTGTGCCGAAGAAATAGGCCACTTCATGTAATCTCTATTGGTTTCTATTGCGCTCGTAATGCTTCGCCCTCAGCCACCAATGCTGTGTGCAAGCGCCATCATACCTGGCGATTTCGTCCTGCTTTTCCATCCAAAGAACGCCAGTGAAAGCGGAACCCAAGTCAGTGGTAGTGCGGTACATTATATTCCAAATGCTTTGCCTACATACTTGTATATCCACAGTTCAACGAGCTGATAGCCAACGCTAAACGCGTTTCACCAGCCACAATTCTACCAGCGTCACTGCTGAGCCACACGCTCCCGTGCCATTCTACTCATGGCGAAAGGACGGGGTGCGTAGTAATGGCATCCCAGTTTTGAGGTACAACTTGTGGTCTAATATCAACAAGTTGAAATATATATTCAATATTTATGTCGGGGTCGTATTTCGTATCGTATTTGTTTTCGCATTACGCGGCGGCCGTATTGTTTGCTGAGGCGTTTGTCTCTGGCGCGCATCTTCGCTAGTCGCAGCGTCTTGATATCTCAATTCTCCATAGTGTTTCGCCCACATGGCTTCATATGGAATATTGTTGAATTGAAATGCTTTTATGACTTGTATGATGCGTTGTTATGTTGTTATCTGGAGATTCCATCATCGCGGTGTCGCAACAAAATCAATAGCAACAGGTGGCGTGATGTCCTTGCTTCAGATCTGACGACGGCGGTATATGCGTATTTGGTCGAAGATCAATGGCTGTAACGAGTCAAGGGATTGAATCCTGGAAATGTTTCTTGCTGTGGCATTTGCATTTGCAGATGTTGAGCTGGATATCCCTGACTCTGGTTGCGATTGAACAAGGCGACAAGTTTCTGGCCCACGGACGGCTCCAATTCGGTACCGTCTCGTGCAATCTTGACTTCTCGGTTGGAATTCCATGGATTTCTCAAGCCACGAGTTCTGTAAAAGGGTAACCGACTACTAGATAGCCACTGCAAGTGAAACGGTTTGCCTAATGTTTGTATCTCTTCGTCCGCGTCGTCCGTCTTGGTGCTTTTGACGTCGTCGTCTTCACCGTCGACAACATCCACATCTTCGCGTTCAATTTCCCAAAATGTTGTTCCTCGAGTAGAATCGTCTATTACTCTTCCAGCTGGTCGTTTTTCTGTTGCTTCAGCTACGGTGGCCTTGGGTGTGTCGATCTCAGCAGGAGCTTGATATTGGGGTGCGAATTCAATAGCTGCCGCAGGGTCTTGGTTAATTGGGGATGTCATTCGCGCATACCCAAAATATTCGCCGGACTTATTGGCGGAGAAAATGAGATATACATTGTCAGCAGTCTAAATATAACAATCCAATTAGTATACCCTTCTGTTAAATGTAGTTTAGGCAACGTTACCTTGTGTGCTTCGCCCAGCGCAGCTTCGTTATGAGACTGAGTCGCCCAAATACCAGTTTGAAGACTTCGTTCCAGGTCTTCTAGAGAGAGACTCTTCAAGATGAAAAATCGATCTTTGGATGTTGGCGCAGTTGTTGTAGTTGTATCTGATGGCTCCGCTGGAGACGGCTTTGGAGGGTATCCAACCACAGGGCTGGCAGATTCGACCACCTCCTCTTCTGTCTTCTCAGCGGGAGCGGTATCAATTGAGTTGTCAGTAGAATTTGTTTTGTCCCCGGTTCCCTCAACCTTGCGAAGCCTACACACCAGTCGAATTGACTGAAACTTCGAGTCGTGTAATTTCGCCTGGGCATCAAGTGACATTTGTTCGTCTTTGAAGTTGGCAAAGGCACAGTTGCTCTTAGATATCAAGAATAGAGACTCTAAGTTTTCTGTTTCTTGACAGACGTGGTCAACCAAGTCCAGCAGTTTAGTGGCCGGGGGCAGGTTTCCGATCCAAATAGCATGGCCTGCAATATTTATTAGTCAACATATTCTCTCTTTATAGTAGTGTTACTTACCACTCTGTTTTGGCTTACGAGGTGGCCCACGAATCGAATTACTGCTTTTGATGGGAGTTATTTCTGCATGAAGCCGTTAGCAAAGGATGGTGTTGACAATCGAAGGTGCTGCTCGTACTTGGTCGGTTTTGGTGATGAGATCGGGAGCTCTGAGTAGGCTGTGAGGCTTGTTGCTGCCAGTTACTGTGCTGTTGTCCGTGCTGGTTCCTACCAGGCCTATTTGGTTGAGGGTTGGCATAAAAGGTTGGCGATTGGGGTGCCATAGGCATCTGAGTTGCGTAATACTGCACGCCAGGCTGAACCATCAAATTTGGCGGCGGTCCGTGTGGATTCATTTGATCGGTAGAGTAGTATTGGGGTAATTGTGTTTGTCCGTAATAGCCTTGGCTGGGCATCTGAGACTGTTGATTATTGTATTGCTGCATCTGCTGCATTTGTTGCATCATGGCTGCCTGAGATGAAGCGTGGAATGCTTGTTGATATCCAGGAGGCACCTGTCCTCCACGATAGTTGGTTTGAGGAAGGTCGTTTCCCATATGGCCCATCTGAAAAGCCATCTGGCCTGGTTGTTGGGATGGTTGTGATGTAGCGTCAAACTGCGAGTGGAAGGCTTGCTGGCGTGAGGGTTGGCCATGTTGCAAAGCAGATCGTTGTCCAGCGCCATTTTGTGGCGTTTGTCGTTGGGATGCACTGGTATTACCAACAGAAACGTAAGCCTGCTGTGCACTGGTCGTGCTTGTATCTGGGAGGTCCCCCATGGTAAATTGATTTCGACTAGGGTGCTTGACCAGGGAGTTGGAACAGGCTGGAGGACCACGGCGGCCTTCACACAAGTGAAAGCTAACAAGTGTGTATGGAATTTGGTTGAAAGACTCTATACGCGTACCGGGGGTATATTTCGAAGCTTTGCTTGTTCAGGCCGTTCGAAAGCAATGGTTGTTTCGTGATGCGTAGCGAGAGACAGACGGGCTTCGGAGTATAAGAGTGCTATATGCAGCTGTGTATGTATTGTCAGTTGCCGTAGAAGAGCTTCGAGTGCATTTTATTGGAAATTTGCAGGTATAGGTGTAGTGTTGACAAGGGATAGGTTGGCAGTGGTGGGAATTTTGTTCCCCGACTTGAGACGGCGCCAGCTGGTACGCTGTGTGGCAAGGCCAATCTAACCAATTAGCATCCACCACCGCAGCGAATAAGGAAATGTATCAAGTGCGGTAAGGGGTGAGGGACAAGAAGGTCCGGAGAAGGCAATTGTGTTTTATAACAGAGCGCTGCTTGCCACAGGGGGGGTCGTGGTAGTCTGGCGCGCGTGAGAGGGGGGGAGGGGCGTCGTGGATTAAGCAGCAACGCTACGTCTGCACAGGACAAAGACGAAAGTAGAACATACCAGGATTTAACACCATGGATCTCGGGTGGATGGTGGATCACTTGGGAGGCAAACCCGGCCAAGATGCTCCGGAATATGGAAGCGAGCCGATGAGCGGAAGGCTAGGTCGAGCACACCGCTAGGAATGGATGACGAAGGGTGGAAGAGCTGACTACCGGATATCAGAATAGCGCAAGTTCCAGTGGTAAAGTATTGTTACTGCCTGTTGGGCCTTGGCCGCAGACTATTGAGTGGCGTAATAGCAGGAAAAGGTGTTTTGGAGGGTCTGGGGGCCGCGTGCTTGTGTAAGGCAAAGAATGTAACAACAGCGTTTAGCGAAGGTGAGGGAGTAGGATAATTGAAAAGGAGAGAAAATGATGACCTAAAAAAGAATATAGTAGCCAAATGTCGTCTTTTTTGAAGTCGAAAGAAAAGAGGGAAAGAAGAAGAAGAAGAAGCGAGATGGCAGCTAAGACGTCGAGGCGGGAGGCAAGGTTGCAAAGCCACACCACTATACCAACGCCAGTCACCAATGCCTATTCTTAATTTTTGGGGACCTCTTTGCACTCGCCACACGAGGACTGATCCAAGAGCTGTGACTTTAGTAGTTGTGTCTCCTCCGAGTTTAAAAAGAGACAGAAAGAATACACTGTGAAGCCAAGGTAAGGGCACGCCGGGGAGCCGCCAGAACACAGGGGTCCTTCGGGGCACCGTCGGTGGTCGTTTGGGTGCCGATGCCCTGTTTTCTTGTTTTTTTCAGTGCAAGGGCCGCTGTGGAGTTGCGGGGGGTGTCTTTAGTGTGCGTTCCGATTCGGGAATCTAAGTCGAGGGGAAACATGCTGAGCCACAGGTGAAGGTGGGCGCTATTCACCCCAGCACAGGCGGCAGCCGTGGGGAACACAGCGCCCAGAAAACCAAGTGGTAAAAATAAAAAACAGGTTGCGGTTTAAGCCCAGCGGGACGTCTTTTTGCCACCCTGAGACACTCTCTGCTCTCTATCTCTGCCCGGCCGAGAAATGCCAATATGTGCGGTGACGTCCGTCCCCGAGAAAGCCGGTGCGGGCGTGGCCACTTTGCCGAGCTTGTGGCTGTATGTACGGCATCTCAGTAGCATTCTTCTTCTAAAAAAGAACTCCTATCTACGGCCAGTAGTCCGCAGTCGGGCAACAGCGAAAGGGTTAGCAGGCCCACGCCAAGAGCTAACAGCCTTGTTATGCTATTCGGGGAGTTGTCAATCCGGTAGGCTTCCTCACAAGGCTATGCCGCCAGTGAATGTATTCTCATCAGGTCTAGCCTCAATTCAAATACATTGAGGAAAACTTGCAATTGTAGGCCAAAGAGGCATCCCATAATGGCGTTGCAGATCTGCTGTTGTCTCTAGCGTATTGCGTGTGCCAATGTGCCAACGATCACAAGGCTGATGAAAACGATGACTTCAAGACGGGATGACGTACGACATCAATTTAAAGCCAGGGCCGGTGTTGTAACTTACAACTGTGCCTCTCTCTTTAGGTACTTAGCGCTGCTGTACGTCGTTGTTTTTAGGGGTCCTTGCCACCCGGGTTGGGATCTGATCGGCGCCAATAACGACGCCAGCTACGCCCGGCTGTTGTAGTTGCCGATGCACAGTGTGTCTCAGCCCATAAGGCGGTGCCCAACAGCACTGGAGACGCTTTGGAATCGTGCCAATTCAAAATAGTTTGTAACTGCGCTTTAGATTTTCTTGATGGTTTCAATACGTCTAACGTGTAATGCTACTAATAAGTGTTAAGTAGCCAGATGTTAATTACACGCCTTTTGAACCAATATGCAATATTGCGCAGGACTTTTCCCACCAGCCACTTTGTAGTGTTTATATGTCAGCGTTCACAGGCAATAGAGGCTGTAGCGAAGCTATTGAATGTGAACCTAGTTACTGCATTGCAAAGCAGTGGCGCCCGGTTAGACACCAACTTTGAGGACGCATTTCCCTTTACTCTCCTCTCACGGTAGAATTACATAACGTATAATTTTTACAAAGGAGGCGCGCGTCAGCTGAGCTACGGCCCAGCATATGTGTTTGCGAAGAGTTGATAGCATGACATGTGTATTTTAACATACTTTGGCCAATAAGAGCGCAATAAGGGCGAGAGCCGCCGCAATTGGACGGAGAAGCATTGAAAGAATAAATTAACAATACGATGACGCGGCACTTGCAATCTTGATTTCAACGTCAAAGTTGTATGGTGCGCGGAGTCTCAACAGCACCTAACGGTTAGGGTGTGGCACAGGACCACAGGTTAAAGCCACGATTGGAGGCATGTGTACGAGGCGGCAAAGTGGTTCATCCACTGACGAGGTCTAGAACGACGGATGAAACTCCTGAAATCCTTGATTTTACAATGGAATGGCATTCTGGGCAATTGCTTGGGCTCAGCGGCCGCTGTAGTGGCTACCTGCAATAAAACTTTTGTGGCGCAAACAGGGAAGAGGGGGCGTGTCGTTGGAAAAAACGGGCTAGCGTGGCTGGGTAATTGCTAAGTTGGGAAGTCCCGGATAGAATGCTCCGGCGACATCGTGGCTGGTGCCCGTCAGGAGCGGCAAGGACAAATCATGTCTCAGGCCTTGCGAAATTGGGGCTTTTGCCGTGACTGGTATTGCGTGTGCATCTCCACGTCCAAGTTTGTAGTTTTGGATAATTCGTCTTCTGTGGCCGCAGCGAGAGAATTTCAAATCACATGAGACGAGATCGACGTCAGGGTCCAGCGGAATTAGCGACAGTGTGGTTACAGGCTATTGATAGCCAGGCGCAGCGGTGGCTCTGTCAGCACAAGTACCTGTGTCGGCTACATAGTTTCTCAGACCCACGCTCATGACAGCGTTCCACTCTACGAAAATCCAAGGGAGACTGGTTTGGGAACAAATACGAGTCGCGAAGGAAGGGTACGAAAAAAAATTGGGAAACCCCAATACTTTACACGAGATAACAACGCCTACCGATGCGGGCATACATACACTTACCGCGGCAACTAACAAACTCGGATGCACGGTCCGCGCGTCTCTTGGCCAAGAAACTAGACGAAATGCTGCTGTGGCACATGCACGGCTTAGAGCTGTCAAAAACATAGTGCATGGGGATTTCAATGCGAAAGGTATCATGCAATTGCAACGTAGGCTGTAAATCCCATGGCGTCTGTGTGCATTGGTGCTAGCCGGACGGGAGAGCATACGTCACGATCCCGACGCTGGCGCAGGCTCTCCCAACGATCGGCAGAGGCAACTGCCCTGAGAACGTAAATCAAGCTTTTGGGGGGCCACACGCCAGCTGAAAAAACAAAGAAGTACATGTGCACAGTTTCATTGCGTGGGGAGTATGCATCGTCTCATGGTACCATTTAATTGCCGTGTCTGTTGAGCCCGCTGCTTCTCATGATGCTGGCGCTGCATTGCGTCCTCGGGTAACAGCATTTGGTGGCAAATCTACGCTGTGTGGCTCGCCGATTCGGAGAGACGGCACAAAATATCTTGGCAGATGGTGCAGATGCTCCGGCGGTCCCGCGAGAGGGGATTCAATACACATGTTTGTAGTTAGAGGGTTGTTACCAGATATTGTGAAAAATATATATACACTTGGCAATGTTGCTGTGGACTGGTATAGACGGTGGAGGGGGCAGTTCATGTTGTATGGGGGCTCACGTGGGCGATATGTAAGACCTGAGGCGTCGTCTTCAATTTATCTAATCATTTAATTTGGATCCTTTTGGGTTCGAATTGCGTAATATAACAATAGTAAGACTTGTAGTCAAGCTTAAGCTCGTATGCTGTTGGCAATGTCGGATGACGACGATGTATGCAGTCCAAACCCGTTTCAATTATACAGAAACTAGACTACACGTTGCTAAAAAATATAGGAAATCGCTAGGCAATTATATAAATAAGGAAAAGAGCACATTACATCCACAGAACCCACCAAACATAGACAGTCGCAGTAATCTATTCGGCTACAGGGTAGCCCGGTATATAGGACGTGAGATCCCAACGGGTAACAAATAGTGGATGGAGTATTAGCATATAATTCTCTCTCTCAAAAAAAAAAACGAAAAAAAAACATACGCAAACAGAGCCTCGTATTGAGACAGACGGGATATTGCGAGAGTGTTAGGAATATTGTAAACATCATGCATCGTTCAATAGAAAGGTCTCTAAGGTTGGTAGCTCTATCCACGAAAGCTATAATACAGGATTTTCTTTGTTCTTCAATTCACTGCCTAGTCCTTCTTAAGATCAACGAAAGCCTCCTCAATACCGTCCTTGGTGATGATCAACATCTGCAAGGAGTCACCAACCTCAATATGACGCTCAGCAGCTCCATCAAACGCATCCTTGATAATAGTCTCGACCTGCGGTCTGTCCAAAGGCTTGCGCTCACGCTCCTTCAAGTCGTGGCCAACGCCGCTACCGGGAATGTATTGGTTCTTGAAGTTGACCTGGTTATCAAGGAACGGCATGATCAAGCTGCCCGCAGCACCACCAGCACGGCACTGCTCACGCTCGTAACTGCCAACGGGATCATATGAGTAGACAGCACCCTTACCCTCCTCGTCGAGGCCACCGAGCATGGCATGCGTGTAGTATGGGAAGAATCGCTTCTGGTATAGGATGGTAGATAGGCGCTTGGCGCAAGCGTTGACGGACATGGGCTTGCCGTGGCGGTAACGGTAGATCTTGCAGATAGTATCGAGTCGGTCGCGGAGGGCCTCACCATCGGCAGCGAAGCCGCAGACGGACAGGACTATCGTGGCGTCATCCTGTGACGATGATGTGCCACCAATCTTGAACACCTTGGGAACCATGCGTGAGTTGATGCTGTAGCCGCTGGTGTGGCGGGTGTCGCCGGCCATGATTGTGAAGTCGGCGCCGGCAATGGCGAGCGTCGAACCGCCGTTGTCGGTGTATCTAAACCAGTTGTTAGCAGTGCGTCTGGGTGTAGACAGATATGCGGCGCTACGCACGGGTTGAAGCGATGCTCTCTGTGCTCGCCATTGGTCTTGGGTCCGTCAGCAAAGGAGTAGTTGGGGCCGTTCATGACGGGGTTTTGGCTGAACATGGCTGCCATGGTCGCAAGCTATTGCAGATTCTGCACAAGATTGATGCGGATGTGGATGGCAACGGGTTGGTGGAGGGGATGGAATCGAGATGATGATGACGCTTTTGCCTAGACGTCGTCGAGCTTGGAGGTTAGCTGGAAGCTGGGGCGCACGCGTCCAGTTGGCAGCCTTAGCTCCCCGCTGTGATTGGTTGACGCCACAGTTGCAGCAAAGAAGGCACCGCCACACATGGACAAGCAGGCGCCACACAGGTCTCTCTAGCCTATGCTCTCCAAATACGCGAGGAGAATAAAAAAAGAATATTATTAAAATAAACGATACCTTGCACAGGATGGAGAGAATACCGTGTAACTTCATTGGAATAACATCAATAAGAACCTAAAAGCTACCAAAGCTGTTGTCATTTTCAAGATGCTCGCTGTGATTGGCTAGAAACCCATCTGAATTGAGATGACTAAGAATTGTACAGCGCTGTACTGTAGTGCCCCAACCCCAACGGTTTGCAGTGGTCCGCGCCAAACAATAGCGCATGTGGGTGCTGCCGAGCCCGCTGAACCGCCTGAAGATTGGCTTCTGGAGAGGGGGGTGGCGTCGGCGTGTCAAGCCCCCTAGCAACGAGACCTCGGTAGACGCTGCCACTTCTCCGCATCGCATGCCTTTTGATTGTCAACGGCAGCCTTGCTCGCCGTTTTTCTAATTTATTTTTGCTGGTTTTCAGGACAATTTGCATCTCTTGTTGCTCTCATAATCCAAACTAAACCACCAAAATGGCGCGCAACATTCGCGCCAGAGCTCTCGAGAAGATTGCGTCACTGTCTGCCTCGAGCACCAACACCTCCTTTGACAAGTCCGACCTTGATAGACTTTGCCGAGCATGCCATTCAGGCAATCGTGGACGAGAGAATGGTGCGGCAGGATACTCCAATAAACAGGGAGGCTCTCTAGGCCGTGTGCCTATGGTAAGAGACTGAAGCATCGCCCTAATGACGATGCGCTATGCTGTGATGCTAACTGTGACCCTTAGTCCAACCGCGAATTCGAGGTTCTTGTCGCCCTCTGCAAGGCCGCTCCCAATGTCACCTCCGCTGCCAGTGCCCAGAAGCTCTCTTTCCAATTGATTCCGTACATTCTGGAGGCGCATTCGCAGGCATTCGTTCCCTCGCCGTACTTCCGAAACCTTCAAACCTCGCCCTCCGAGTCGCTCGCTTTCCATGTTACTGCAGCTCTGCTCTCTCTTGGTATCAACTTTGAAGAGCTCAAGGAAACCGTTACCGATGGAATCTGGGCCTTTACCAACTCTTGCAGCAGGGCTACTGAGAGCGTTTTGTCGCCTTCTTCGACTCAAGGAGAGAACGCCTCCGTTGCCGACGCCATTCGAGCCGTTAATATTGCCGTAGCAATTTTGGGTTTCCTCGATGCCGCATCCTCCCAGGCCGACTTTTGGAAGGCTAGCAGTCGATTGGGCCTCATCCAAAAGGTGAGACAGCTTCTGTCCGAACCTTTCATGGTGGCTCTTGAGACCGCGCTGTCGACCATTCGAAACTCACACAGCGAAGATCGCGAGCTTAAGGAGTGGAAGCGACAGCTGCGCCAATACAATGCTGCAGGCAGACCTTTGGGTACCATGCTTCTGCAGCGAAGCTTCATGTGGCTTGTCCTCGCAAGCACTTCTCTGATGGTTGCCGACGGCCCTGAGTTGCGCAAGGCCCATGTCCTCGACCTGCTTATGGATGATGAGACCAAATTCCTCGAGGAACAAAACGGCGCTCGCGTCCCTGACGCTCACTCAATTGAGCTCCATGCCAACTTTGCTAGCGAGCAGATGAACTACATCGAGGCTGGTGCTGACTTTGCGCGTCTCGGATCCGCGTCCCAGCAGAAGCTGGCCTATGCAGTCAAGTCTGCGGCAATGGTGTCTTACCTCAACTGCTCTCTGTTGAACGAAGATGCTGCTGACTCGGACGTTCTCTTGGCCTGGCTCCAGGAATCTCTTGATGACCCTACGCAGATGGATGACGAGACCCTCGCCGCTACCGTGTTGCGATGCTTGGCCCTGATTTGCCGCATCACGCCCACATTTGCCCCAGTTGTTAGCCGGGTTCTCCCTCGTTACATTGTCCAAGCTATCCCTAATGGAGATACTATGGATGTGGCCTCCAAGAGCCTCGGTTCTGTTCTGCAGATGCTTTCCAAGGACGCTGTTATTAGCACGCTGTACTCTTTGGGCAATGTCTTGAGCCCCGATACTGAAGGTACCATTGCTAATGAGATGAATGGCGCTAAGGATGGACCCAATGCCGTCTACCCTCATCGCAAGTCTGTGGGAAGTGACCTTTCTTTCCAGATGACTGGCGCCGAAGACACTACTGTTGTCTACGGAAATGTTGTCAAGGCCATTTGTGGTATTGCGGAAGCTCGCCAAGACGAAAAGATCACCGCCCTTGCCCAATCTATGCTGGTCCAGAAATTCGACAAAGTCAACGGTAGCGTTGACGCCCATGTTATATGGGGAGCTGCTTATCTTTCCCTGCATGGTGGACAGATGGAATTCCGATCCCTGCTCAAGCTATTCAACAGAGTCTGCCACACTGGTGTGATTAACAAGCAGGAGCATATACTTGCCGCTATCCAGAAGGGCAGAACACACATTGCCAGCAACGTAAAGCGAGACTCTCCCTTCTTTGACATCTTCTGGGACCATCTTCTGGAAAGTATTGTTGCCTTGGGTGATGGATACTCTCAGGGCCATGCGAAGGAGTCCGATGTCGAACTAGCTGCTCATGAGATTGGCGAGCTGCTCCATCCTCTCGCAGGTCTCATGTCTAAGCATGACATGAACGCAAACCCACTAGGTGATGACGAATCGTACTCCGTTCTGCGCGACGCATGGTTCAATATTGTCGTTCATGGATTCAGCACTTCCACAGAACGCGGAAAGAAGTACATCAATGACCTTCGACTGATTGCCGTCCACTCGCCACCTCTTGTTGCCGAACAGCGTGGCGAACAAGTTGAGAGTGATATTGAACTCAACACGGTTTTGCGACGAGGAAACAGCAGCGAGCGCGAGTCTGCCCAGAAGAAGCTTCTCTCTGAGCTTATCCCAACAAAGGCTTCCGACATTCGCAGCCTCAGCTATCGCAAGGTCATCTTCCTGCACGCTGCTTACCTCGTTGAGAGCCTGCGTGCTGACTCTGGGGACTGCACCAAGGTGATCTCTTACTTCCTTGAGCCTAGCATGCGCCGAGCTGAAGTGAAGAGCACCATGGATGGTGTCACGGCTGGCGTCATGGACAAGTATCTCCGCCGCACCCTCAGTGGTAACGACTCTGCCTTCTCTGCGCAGTATGCTGCAAAGCAGCTAGCGGCAATCTTTTGTCTATGCTGCCACCGCATTGAGCGTGTTCAGCAGGCTGCTTTCACCTGCGCAGACCGCATCCTTCGCGACGTGCCCTCGGCGCTTTGCTACCGCTCATCGCTTTTTGCTCTTTTGGAGCTCCTCACTCTCATGTGGGATGGTTGCCTGGAAGCCGAGACAGACTCTTACTCGCCTCGCTCCATCTTCACCTCCGAGCGTGGAAACGTGACTGTCAAGTTGTCTGATGACTACGAATTCCGCCGTTGGACCCTGGACAACTTTAACCGCAAGGCCAAGGTCTGGGTCAGCTCTGCCATTAACCTGGCCCCTCTGGACATCAAGGGCCTGCTTCAAACCTACCTTTCCGAGTTTGATGATGAAGGTGCCTATGGTCATGTCTCCATGGGACGCTCCTTTGCGCTCGAGCTCGGCTCCTTTGTGCCCACCACTGACAACCGCCTGCAGGCTCTCGACAAGATTGGTGACTGCAGCATCAACACCGCCTCGGATTTTACCGCTCAGTACACCACTCGCCAGGAGTATCGATATGGCGAGACGTTGCCTGACCGCGGCACGGAGATTATGAGCTTTATGGACGCGCGTAGAAAGCCGTCCTTTAGCCAAAACTCCGTTATGGAGAGCGCTAGTGCTGCTACGGCTCTCGCTTACCTCGAAGCCCGCATTCTTAGCAGAAAGACGACTTCTTTGGACGAGGTTCGAGATATCCTGCGTCGTGCTGCTGCTCTGCTCTGCCGAAGCGAGCGTGACGAATCTGCTGTTGCACGCTACCTCATCAGCATTCCGTTCTCCATCTTCAGCAAGCAGTCGATTAAGCTCGGCGCTTCGCTTTGGCTTGGTGTCATCAACGAAAACCCGCTGCTTGAGCCTAAGCTCCTCAATGGTATCGCACAACAGTGGGAGTTTACGATTACCCGCAAGGTTGGCCTTTTCAGCCCTGCGTTGACGCACCCGGATCCTTTCTTGCTGAAGGAGAAGTTCGCACCTAGCGAGCTTGAGCAGATGGCCAAGAAGAGGCAGCAAGTGCACGATCTCCTATCGCCCCATACCCGTCTCTTGCAGTTCTTCGTCAGCCATTTCAATGCCACGCGCCTGTCCAGCCCTAACATCCAGCGCGTCTTCTTGCGCATGATGGACCTTACTCTGGACGCCCTCAAGGACTGCACCCCTCACCCAATGGCTCGTGAGGTTCGCTTCTCCATTGTACTCTTTGGTCTCAAGCTCCTCCGCTCCAGCACTGCCATTGGAGCCACTGCTCAGTGGCGCCTCAAGGACAAGATCTTGTCTGCTGGTCTCAGCTGGTTCCGCCACTCACCGCGATGGTCGTTTGGAGGCAGCCAGCTCCAACTCAAGACTGAGGTTCGTCTGCTAAACGATGTTCTTGCAGGCATGAAGGCCGTCTCATTCATCGGTGCCCACACTGTGGGCAGCGTCAAGTCTCTTCACACAAAGGAACAGCTTCTGCAGATTCTCTTGGAGAGTGAGCAGACCAGACTCACTGTTTGGCTCAACCCTCTCGGCAAGCAAGGACACGGCAGCCACTTGCAGCCCATCCACCCCAAGTCCATCCCGGAGTCTGCTTTGCTTCCGTTGGTGCGCACGGCTTGGTTCCAGCACCCTGCCATCGCCATTGAACTCGCCACTAGATTCCAGTACCCTCGCTTGCACAGCGATGTCAGGCAACTGGTTCTCGGCATGCCTGATCGCGCAATCAACGAAGCGGACGCCATCCCTCTAATCTTTGGCGGTCACCTTCCCAGCGATGTCAGCTCGCAGCTTAAGTATCTGCTGTACTGGGAGCCTCTCAACCCCATCACTGCTGTCACCCTCTTCATGCCTGCGTACAAAGAGCATCCTTTCATTATGCAGTATGCCATGCGCTCGCTGGAAAGCCATTCGACCGACGTCACGTTCTTCTACGTACCGCAGATTGTCCAGGCGCTGCGCTACGACTCCCTCGGCTACGTAGAGAGATTTATCCTCGAGACCGCGCAGTTCTCGCAGCTCTTTGCCCACCAGATCATCTGGAACATGAAGGCCAACTCTTACAAGGACGACGACGCGCAGGTCCCCGACGACATCAAGCCCAAGCTCGACGGCGTCATGGAGAAGATGGTCAACAGCTTTGTCCCTGCCGATCGCGAATTCTACGAGCGCGAATTCTCCTTCTTTGACGAGGTCACCGGTATCTCCGGTAAGCTCAAGCCGCTCATCAAGCGCCCCAAGCCCGAGAAGAAGCAGAAGATTGAGGAGGAGCTGCGCAACATTAAGCTCGAGGTCGGCGTCTACTTGCCCAGTAACCCTGACGGTGTCGTCATCGGCATTGACCGCAAGTCTGGCAAGCCGCTCCAGAGTCACGCCAAGGCCCCCTACATGGCCACGTTCCGCATCCAAAAGACGCTCAACTCTGGTGATTCCGACGAGCTCGACGACCCTACCAGGAGACAGGACAGCGACGATGACGACAAGTCTCCCGCCACCATTGAAACATGGCAGTCTGCCATCTTCAAGGTCGGCGACGACTGCCGACAGGATGTGCTGGCTTTACAGATGATCTCGGCCTTCCGGGGCATCTTCCAAAACGTGGGCCTGGATGTTTGGGTGTTCCCGTACCGCGTGACAGCCAGCGGTCCCGGATGTGGTGTTATCGACGTGCTTCCCAACTCCATCTCTCGAGACATGGTTGGCCGTGAGGCTGTCAACGGACTCTACGACTACTTCATCTCCAAGTACGGCAACGAGGACTCGCTGCGCTTCCAGCAGGCCCGTATCAACTTTGTCAAGTCCATGGCTGCCTACTCCATCATTTCCTTCCTGCTGCAGTTCAAGGATCGCCACAATGGCAACATCATGATTGACGATGCTGGCCACATCATCCACATTGACTTTGGCTTCTGCTTCGACATTGCTCCTGGTGGCGTCAAGTTTGAGCGTGCTCCCTTCAAGCTCACCCGCGAGATGATGGCCGTCATGGGTGGCTCGACCACTCACCAGAGCTTCAAGGCCTTTGAAGAGCTCTGCGTCAAGGCCTTCCTTGCTAGCAGACAGTACTGCGAGAAGCTTGCCCAGATTGTTCTGCTCATGATGGACAGCGGCTTGCCCTGCTTCAAGCCCGACAGTGTCAACCATTTCCGCCAGCGCTTCGTCATGGAGAAGAATGATCGTGAGGCGGCTGATTTTATCAAGGACCTCATCAAGAAGAGCTACTCTAGCTACAGTACTGGCGTCTACGATCAGTTCCAGCTGCTCACCAACGGCATCCCTTACTAAACATGCTTGGGTGGGATACTGCTCACAAGTTGTACTTGACCGATTGCAGTTCTGTTTTCATTCTTTTGATTGTATTTCTTATTTTCTTTGTATTAAACAAAAAGAGAGCGGCTACTTAGTCCAGCCAGTGGTATGCTCGCTACTACGAGCTCAACTTTTGCTAATTCTAATACTATTGAGATTTTTCTTTTTAATTCCAAGTATTTTGCCCGCCACACATTCTCCCCCGTCGCTATTGTATGCAAATATATGTGTTATGAATTGAGTAGTATGTTCGATATGGTGATTGTACAGGGAGACCCGGCGTGTGTAGGGCGTTGCCGTCTATGCAACTGACTGCTTTTGAATATGCGTAGGCGCGTTGTAACTGGTATAGTCGACGTGGACGAAGGCTCTGTCAACAATAGGCACGGACTCGAGGAAATATGTAAGAACTTCACTGAGATCGTGGCTGTCCTTGAGAGGCGTGATGGCAGAGAGCACAATGTCGACCTCCACAAAGAGCTTGTCACCAGCGTGATACGCGCGCAAGTTCTGAATCTGGCGAATAGCTGTGGCGAAGCGCATGGTCAGATAGAGGAGCAAGTTTCGCTCGTCAGGCTGTGCCGAGAAACCAGTCAAGTTGCGAACGTGGTGAGCAGAGGTTTGGGACCAGGTGAAGATAACAACGAGCGACAGCAGGAGACCACCCGTGGCATCGAGCCACCAGACACGACCATAGAAACCAATGATGGGAAACAGGATAGAGCCAATGTTGAAAATGACGTCGGTCTTTGCGTCTTCGGCCCTAATGTTTATGTTAGCAAACAAGTCCACTGGTATTTGCTCTTTGCATGGAATACGTACAGAGCACGGACGCTGGAGTTCTTCACCAAGCGGCACCAGATCCAGCAGCCGCCTTTGATAAAGACGGTGCTGGCCATAATGATGATGGCGGGAGCACCAAGCTCAATGATTTCACGATCAGGGGAGGCGAGGCGCTGGATACACTGCAGAGTGACCTGGCAGAAACAGGTAATCATGATGATGGAAAAGACGAGAACGCCAATGGGCTCGAGTCTATGAGAGCTGGTTAGTAGATTGTTTCACGTATGATGAGAGCACTCAATGCATACCTTTTTCGGCCGACGGGATAGCTATGGGCATCTTTGTGACTGGACGAAATCAGGCGCGTGGTTGTCCAAACAATGGCGGTACTGAGGAAATCAAGAATGGCATCAACAAGCGAGGCAAGCACCGACATGGACGGGACGGAAATAATGACAACAATCTTTCCGACCAAGAGGACCACGTTGGCGATGAGGTTGACGTAGATGGCCAATGTGACAATGGGGTCATCACTGTCAACCTCGGCGTCTTCGAGCCAAGGCAGAATAGGTCGAGGGCCGTCTTCCAGGTCCACATTGGGGCGCTTGCTAGGAAGAGGTCTGGCAACGTTTATTTCATGATCACTGTCGTCTTCATCATCCTGGTGAGCCAGCAAGGCTAGGTTCTCGGACGAGCGGAAGATGTCCTTGGGTGTGCGTTTGGCGGGCAGCGAGTTCTTGACGGGACCGAGGTTAGGCGATGGAACGGTGTTCATCGTGCCATATGAAGCTGCAAGCTGAAACGCATCGGATTGACCAAGCGAAGAAGAGCTGGCAGAGCCGCCACCGTTTACCTCTTCTGTAATGGTAGCAGGCACGTCGAGAGGACGGAAGGCAGATGCCTCTAAGTCGACCGAGTATTCGTTGAGAAGTTCGTGGGGAATCGAGGAGTCAAGCAGACAGTCAATGTACATGTACTGCTGAATCAGATCGTTTGTTCGCTCGTAGTATTCGCGGCTAGTGTATCGCATTAGCGAGTTTCTTCTCACGAGGTGCAGGACTGGCGAGCTCTGACTTACATTGCCGGCGTCATGTGCGCGAGCTCGTCTTCAGATTTCCAGTATCGCTCCCAACGGTATCGCGGGTTGCTTTTGCCCAGCAGGTTTATGCTGCGAACCTGGGGGCCGTGAAGAATCTGGCTAAGACGAGTCTCATCTCTCAACAGAGCCTCAATCTCGTCATCATCGGCAGGTCGGGGGTTGCGCGGACGGCCTCTGGCTGATTCTTCATCGTCAGAGCCATAGTGGCGGCGAGACCTGCTCAGGTTTCGCGGGCTGTGAAGGCTCTGGTGCGATCGGCTGTGCATGAGGTTGGTCAGAGTGCCGGTTCTGGTGTGCAAGCTGGATGGATAGTGGCCATCCTCGAGAGCGACGAGAGATGACCGGCGGTTGGATGAAGGCGAAGTCATTGCGCTTAGGCTGCGAGTCAAAAGAGAGCTTCAGGTCAAAACAACAACGACAGCAGAGACAATGGACAAGGCGCGATGATGAACAAGGCCTTGAACTTTTGGCAACCTGTCAGGAAAGGGCTTCCGTGGCGGCCTCCGCGTTTGGTTGCGTTGGAATGTTGCAGCGGGCCAAATTAGTTTGCGCACGATGACACTGGTCCTAGTCGATCTGCTGTGACAGGTGCACCACGGGGCAGCTTAGCAGCAAAGCCAGCAGGTAATTCGAGTCTTGGCACAAGGAGAGTATCGCGTAGAGGTAGAGTTTGATGTTTTGGAGATGGAAGCCGACTTTTTTTCCTCGGACTTGTCAACGGTTGAGCCGAGTAGTGGATCTCACTGCCAGCCAAGATTTGGAGAGATAAGCCTGTCAGAGCGCCACAAGGGAGTGACTTTAATTCTTCTCCAGGGGCTTCGATAATCTAGGTGCAACAAATGTCTGGTCGTCAGGACTTCTGTGATGAAGCTTGAAAGTTGAGAAGTGAGGGATTGGTGAGCACCAAGTACATGTCAGATCCTGTCAGAACATTTACCGCCTCTCTGCACGCGGCGATAAGCAATCCTCGCTGGCGCCCTCTACTATCCAAGCTAACGCCACTAGCTTTGCACAGGCGCGTCGGGGAGCAAGACCGAAGAAACGTGCAAGTAAGCTGTGAGGTTGCTCCCCACCCACCTAGAGTAAGATACATGCGAACATTATGCAGCAACAGCCAGCCACTTCTGTAACAGCGGGCGAACTACTGCGACGCCGTGGGCTTGCGGGGTGCATATTGTTCAACCAACAAGATGTCGCCATGGCATGCAAGGTCTGGAGATTCGGGTTTGGTACCGTCGCATTCCAGCGCTGACACCGAAACTCAATATGTTGCTTCGCTGGCTAGCATGCATCTTCGTCATGTCTGCTCATTTGGTGGGTCTTATTCTGCAGGATGCTGAACGTGGCGGCTCTACAAAAAAACTCAACTTGAGGGATTCGGAGGGGAGAGAGGACAAAAGGGTTGTGGTGCGGGTTTTGCCTGAAAAAAAGGAGCTCTCGGCCGCCCGTGGTTAGCCATTGGCGCACCAAGCAGAATACAAGGCAAGCCAGCCGACCCCTGAAAAATGAACTTGGAATAAGAAGCCAGGCAAGTTCACATCAAGATGCTCCGAACACTGGGGACCGATCTGTGTCACCGCGTGGCACGATGATTCAACGATGTTGACGGGAATGCTCTGAGGCGCTATGTCTTATTGACGCTAAGCAGATATCCGATTGAAATTAGACGGAGCTGCCTTGCCTGGGACAAACACATCGCGCATCGTATATCATAGACAGCACCCAGCGAGGAGCGTTTCTTCATGAAAGGCTGTAGTATGTTGCCACCCTCACTCTCAGAGTCTAAAGCAGATTTCTGGGCTCGACGGCGCTGACTGTAACTGAAAAGGGCCGAGGTGCGGGGCGGACCCGAACATCGCCTCGCGTTGATCGGTGGATTCGAAAGAAATCTTGGTTTTCCAGTAGTTTTAAGCTGCTAGCGGGGAAACTTTAGCTCTGGTATTGTGCTAGACGACGCTAAACCGTCTGGCATATGCCAACATTTACCAGCTTCTGCAAACTCGACATATTGCTGAGGCACCAACTCGGCGCTATAATTGACGGCCTAAGACATAATATGTGATTTCAACGGCGACGTCATTGGCTGGCCGATCCAAGATTGGCTGGCTTGCCGCATCTGCATTTTGCAATTTCGCTGGCGCAGGCGCGGTACTCATATGCCGCCGGCCGGTCAAGCAGGGGGCGAGCGATTGGCTGCCATCAATCAGAATCTGGTAATCGAGTGGTAAGGATGTTGTTCGGTGTATATGTGGCTTATTTCGAGCCATTCGTCTGGGCTTCGCCATCACTGCTGCCGATTTATTAAAGTCTGAGGTTGTCAGCGCTGATGATACAACATCTCAATATGTCTGTAGATGGTATGGTCTGCAGGAGTAGTGCTTTGATAACCAATTGACGGCACACCGCACTGAATCAACCACCTTTCATCAGGCGAGGCATTACGGCAGACCCAAGAGGTTTGTTTTTTTTGGCAAACAGCCTCAATGTGATCTCGGCACACAAAGAACGCTTCCTGGCGCAAGCCGCGCGACTACTGGAAAGTCGAAAGCTCTAATCAAGCTGTGTGCAACGGTGTCGCGGTCTGCGTTTGATACTGTAACCATCGACAGGCCCATGCAAACAAGGTCCCCCTGCTGTTTGGCCGATTTTCTTTGACGGTGGAGAGGCAATGCCTACCTGAGGCAACAGTAGAAATTGCAGAGAGCCTCGCAATACTCCTTTAAGACGGCGTCCGCCCAGCCCTGGCCGTGTCGCCCCTCTAATTCCAAAACGCAGGCATGGGGGCTTGCTGAAGCTGTAGTGCAAACGTGGTCCCCTAAAGCAATGCCCCTGACGGAGACGACGACGGGACGGGCGGTGATGCAGCCCAATTTTTTAAGGGTTCTGGAGAAAGAATGGAGTCTATATTGGATGGGGCTGATGGTGGCATTGGCATGTTCTCGGCGGGCGGTGGAAAGTAATTGTGTTTGTGAAAGAAGAGTGCGCAGCTGGAAGGACAGAATTGGGTCTGTATCTCAGAAGCACTACGGAGCATCATCAGCACACACCAACACACACACGCGCAGGAAAAGAAAATTGTCCGATATGCAGTGTACCAGACGCCTGTTCAAGCTAATCTCAGTCATCGATAGCCAGTCCATCTACATCACTCCAGGCTTAAAAACAAAAAGCCCGCCTCGTGGCGCGGAGTTGGCTGTCTGGTTGGCTAGAGGTCGCGTTTTTCGGGTGTAATTTCGGCAGAGCCCACCCTGAGGCCGCCCCCCGGGTAGTCTTGTCGCCGGCCGCCTGGGAGAAAAGATTGACAGTAGGCGGTTAACGGACTTTGCCCAGACCCTTAGAACCCGCTGCTTGCAACAGCAGAAAGCGTCGCTGGAGGCGAGATTGCAGTCGTAAGAAATACTCGATCAAGTTAGCGAGTCCCTACTCTCATTACGTCAGGGTGGCCCTGTAAGAGTAGTGATGGACATGGACGATGCAATCGATTTTCTTTCAACAGAGTTGCTGGGATTAGACTGTTGGAAGAAACCTGGTAATACTGTACAGCTTATCGCCTTTGTTACCATTTTGGACTCTTTTCCTTTTTCCTTTTTGCCTATGCATTTCATCAGGGCGGGATTTGGGATAATTTCATCTGCAAGCACCGCCGCCCACCCTGCATAAACAGTTACGCATCCTTCGCGTTGCTTTTTTCCTTGTTCTCTTTGTCTCCCGTATTCATTCTTGTTTACAGCCCTGTGCTTCATGCACGACGTATCCCGATAAGCATTCTATTATCCATTGCATATCGTGTCCAAGCGAAGACGGCATCGAGCCACCAAGCAAATCATTTCCCAGAAATAAGAAAAAAAAAGGGACCCTGCACCACCCAAGCTGAGAAAACTCCATTAGCGCCGGCCCTTGCCCCATTCTTGTACTTGCATGCGCCTAACGCAGCCACCAATGCCCGTACAATGGGCTGTGCCTGGCCAGCATTACCAGTCTACCTGCAGTAAGAGCAACAATGACAGTAAAAAGGAGTGTGTGGCGGGTGAAGGTTTAAAATAGAGGTAAAAAAAGAAAAGAAACGAAAACCAGAAAACGGGCGCCACGCTGTTCGTATTGGGGCAACCGTCTGTTATCCCTCCCTCCCTCGGCTTGATGGATGTTCCATAATCCATTATCATGGCGCATTGCCAATGCAATTCTTTTCAGTCTGGTTTGGTTTTCCAAGGTAAAGCACCATTCAAAAAACAAATCAATGGTCAGCAGGTAGACACGATACTGAGGTACTCGGCAAAGTTCCCTTAACTTCATCCACTAGCGCTGCTGCTCTTGCGACAATCTCTGTGACATGTGCGTGCGTGCGTATACGCGCTAACGTGCAGCATGTACTGTACTGTATGCTCTGTAGGCAAAAAAAGGCACCAGCACTCTCCACCCACTGTGGCCACGCTCCACTGGCCACCAGTCGCCTCACCCGAAGCACCCGCCGCACCGGCCAGGCCCGCACCCACGCCAAAAGGCAGCTCCCTAAATTTACAGTACACCAGTAGTGTACCTGGCCCCATTGTCTGCTCCTTTCCAACCCGCTGCCCACCGTAGAGCACGGCCCCTGGATCCTCCGCCTGCGACGCTGTAGCCTCGCCCACTGGCTTCTTTTTTTCGCTCTCCTTCTTTCTTCCCCCTCCCCTTCTGCACCGAGCCATAATCTTTCTTTCCATTTGTGTATTTTTGGGAGATTTTCTTTATTTTCCTTGATAATTCTTTTCTCTTCCTCTCGGCCCTCCCTTCTTTTTTGGATCTCCCCGACATTCGTTGCTCCTTTCTTTCCGTTTCCTTCTTTTCTGGATAACACAAAAAAGACGTTGACTCTTGAGGCTACTCAGAGTTGCATCGCCATTCCGCTCGCTCAGCACGCTTGACTCGCAGCGCAAAAACAAGAACAAAAAACGACTCTTACCAGACGAGATAACATCGCTTGTTCCCTCTCTCGACCCCGAATCGAACTTCTATCGAGCCATCTTGTCGTCAGGCCATCGCTGCTCTCGATTCCCAGATCGGCTGCAACTCCGGGCTGTCTAGACCGGACGACGATACCACCAGAAAAAAAAGCATAGCGACCTCTCTGGTTGCTCCCATCGACTTTCTGTAAGTCTTGGTTAGCCGCTGTAAATTTTTCACCTGCTGTCTTGGTTCTTTTTGGCCCAGTGTCTTGCTGGCCAATCTTGTTCCTAATACCCGCCTCTCCTGGTGCTGGCCTGTCATCGCTGCGTTGTGGTGCGTGGGCTCTTTTTGTCTCAGACTACCCGCCCAGGTCTTTACCGGCCCCCTATGCACCGTTGTCGAGCTTGGTATTTTTTTCCCAGTCGCTGAATTCCTTTCCTTCGTTGCTCTCATTACTACACATACCCAGCAACGCTGTTGCTTGCTGTGCGCACACCATTGCTAGCTCTGGCGGCTTGTTTGTTTCTTGGTTGCTAACCCTTGGTTTTTTTCTGCAGGCGGCCTTTGCGTGCTCTATAATTGCTTCGGTGAACTTCTTTCAACGCGCAATTCATCTCGCTGCGACCGTTGAACCATATTTTTACGTTCGTTGATTTGAATTCAACAGCTTTGTGGGACCTCGTATTCCCAAGGCCACGCCGATCCAACTCAGTACGAACTGATTCGGGCCTCGAGCGACTTTGATTTAGACTGACAAAGGCGCCTCGCTTTTGTTTTTAACCTCGTTGATACCTCACGGCTCCGTGGTCTCGCCAAATCACCAGTCAAAATGGGTCGCTTTTCCGTTGGCTTCCGCCGGAAGTCTACCATTGGTCTCAACGACGTTAACGATAATGCTGTTCCTCCGTCACCATCTTTTCGTGTGATGGAGAGACCTGATGCGGTTCCTGCACCGCAGGTGAACGCCCGATATAGCCAGACGATGCATGCCCCTAACCAGGCGGCTCCCATTTCGTACCCTTCTCCTCAGTCGCCCATTCGACGTAAACCCACGGTTACTGACAATGACGATAATATGTTTGCTGGCATGACTGGATACCGGTAAGTTAGCTCCTTTTCTTTCCTGCGAAAGGCAGAGCCTTTTACCCACACTCCTCCTAAAGCTTCTTGCTAACGGACTGAAAGGGGCAGCAATCTTTCCAATACTACAAAAGGCACCTCGACCGATAACTCATCAAGACACAGCAACGCTTCCACCGCGCCCTCATCTGCAGACATGGCTCACCAGACGGACGAGACTCGAAACTTTAAAACAGCCACATACGAGACGCAAGGCACGGCACCATCCCGTGGAGCCTCCACAAAGTCCATTAGCGCTTCGCTTTTCAAGGCCAGCCGTACCTTCTCCTTCGGATCGAAAAAAGGCAGCGTCCCACCTCCCAAAGATGAGCCGCCTGTCCCGGATTTGCCTCCTATGCTGAACCTTGCCGCGAATGCTGGCACAACGCCGACCGGCACTGCCAATGGCCCAGCGTCTCCTTCTCACGCGAAGCCTGGCACCGGTAGCACTGAAGGTGCCCCCATTGATCTTGGCTCTGATTTTAGCGCCATGTTCGACGGTATGCAAAAACGAGAAAGTGTAGCAACTGTTACCAACCGTGCTCCAGCTACGCAAGGCTCGCGCCACACTGCAACGCCCACTAGCCCCGTAGCCGAAGACCGCGCCATGTCCTTCCAAAAATCACCTACCCGTCAACTGGGCGACTTCCAGCTCTCCAGCGTGGCAGACGATGATGCTAAACTGCTCCAGGATAGCGTCTCTGCTATGCGTTTCCTGAACCAGTCCAGCGAAAGCGCCTCTCCATCAAGCTACCGTGGACAGAGCTCGTCCCCTGCCTCCCCGATTGCGTCTTCCTTCCACAAGGAGGACAACATGTTTGACGAAACCTCGTCCCGATTTGCCCGCGTAACACACCGATATGTTCCACGCAGCCCTATTGTGCCCAAGAACAGAGTCATGACCCCTGCGCAGTTCGAAAAGTATCGCCAAGACAAGGAACGAGGTGCTAGCCCTGCAAAGCCAACCGCCACTGTCAAAGCTGTTGCTAAGGAGGACGAAGACGACGAGGAAGTCAACTACGATGATGAGGAAGATGAACATGAAAAGACAAAACAGCAAACCCTTCGACGCCGACAACAAGAAGCCCAAATGGCCAACTATCGCCAACAAAAGATGAGAGTCGCTGGCGAACCGTCTCCAGCACCGAGCCGAGCCGGTATGCCACCATCGCTGACCACTCCTCAGTTCAACGTTACCAAGACGCCGTCGCCTAATCTCCCTGGCGCTTCCGATGAGGATGATGATGAGGAAGTACCTCTGGCACTGCTTCAGGCCAACGGCTTTCCTAACAGGAACCGTCCTGCAAGCAGACTTAGCCAGATTGGTCCCATGAGGCCTGTCCAGCCACCCAGCCGCCCAGCTTCTATTATGGGCGACGCTCCTTCAAACGTGGCTGCCCGCCGATCATCAACTCTGCCCGCCTTTGCTCGAAACCTCCCACAAGACCCTTTCGCAAGTGGCGGCCGACCACCTTTGCGCGAAACTGTATCGTATCACGACCAGCAACCCAGTCCTGGCCTGCTCCCACCTGGCGGTCTTGTAGGTGTTATTGCCCACGAAGAACGCTCCAGAGCTATGCGCCGTGGTAGCCCGAACATCGACGGTGGCCGTGGCCACTCCACTAGCCCTAATATGATGCAGCAAGGATTTGATCCCGTCATGGGCATCCCTCACCAGATGATGTACCAACAGCCTGCGATGCAAGGCAGCGCACCTGCTCTCCCTCAGAGCATGACCCAAATGTCTATGGGTGGTATGCCCATGCAGATGCCAATGATGCCAATGATGAGCCCAGGTGAACAGGCTCAGATGCAAATGAACCAGCAGATGCAGCAATTCATGCAGATGCAGATGCAGTTTATGCAGATGATGGCACTCAACCAAAACGGCGCCTCCCCGCAAGGCATGGCTCCATCCCCAACTCAGTACATGGCTACACAATCTATGACAGACCTGACTGCCCGCCACTCCTTTGTTGGTGAGCCACAACCTGAACGCCTCCACCCAGGCATGCGCACCATGAGCATGGTCCAACCTAGCTCCGCTTCCATCATGGGTGGAATTGCTAGTGGTGCAGCTTCTGTCAGAGGTATGCCCACTGGCTACGCTCCTTCCATTGCCCCCTCTGAGCGCAGTAACATTGGTCTGCCAGGTCGATACCGTCCAGTGTCTCAAGCTATCCCAGCTCCTCTGATTGGAGAGGCTACAAACGCAAACAACTTCATGTCTGGTGCCAACACCACGGGACCAGAGCCTCTCAAGACGAGTCGTACGAGCGCCAATATCATGCCCAAGGCTTCCGCTGGCTCTGACGAAGAGGACGATGACCAAGCCTGGGCAGCCATGAAGACCAAGCGCGAGAAGAAACGATCCATCTGGAGAAGCAGAAAGAGCAATGCCAACGACCTCGTAATCTAGACATCCATCAATGGATTGATTCTGCGATATTCGGCAACGTTTTATACCATATCATTTCCTATCTCACTTTTTTTTGTTTGATTTTTTTGCAACTACACCTTCTTCTGCGGCCTCGCGCATTTGCCTTGATGAGATATCAAGGCCAGCATGTTTGCTTTATTCGCACCTCTTTTATTTTATTTTTTGCAGCAATGGGCCCGCACTTGGGAATTTTGGATCATTTTCTATCTTCTCCTATTACATATTTACTTAGTTGAAGCAAAATTGTGGCCACGGAGGAGTTTCATGGGGCTTAAAGGATAGATGAGGCCAATGAACGGCTATAATATAACTAATTTACCCAATCACGCCTGTGTCTCCTGTGAAATACTGAGCAACCGTGAACTAAACCAACTATAAGATAAAGCCAATTAAGGATAGTTTTATTATTCTGAAAGCTTTGTATTTGTTGTCATTTATTCATAGCTCTGACGGTTTAGCCCTCAATCTTGCCCGACGCCCACTCGTTACGCTTGACACCCATCTCGACAGCAGCAAGGCCCCAGTCCTCACCATGGTTGTGTCCTAACCCGTCAATTCCAGCACGGGCTTTAGCTTGCTCCTCTGTTAGCACAGTGAGAACGCCGAAGATGACAGGAATGCCGCTATCGAGCTGAGCACGCATCAGGCCTTGGGATACGGCGTCGGCAATGTATTCAAAGTGCATTGTCTCGCCCTTGATCAGGACACCGATGGCAATAATTGCGTCGAAAGCGCCGGATGGGGTCGCCGTGGTTGTAGCTGTAAGGTCGGTCGTGGAAGCGGCGAGCAAGTCCGTGGCCGAGGCAGCGCCGGAGGCAGCCTGTTGGACTTGGGCGGCGGAGAAGAGGCTGTGTAGAACGAGTTTCCATTAGCTTTGGTTTCTAAGATCTTATTCTACAGCACGACGTACCGCTGAACAGAGATGGGAAGCTCCCATGCGCCAGGGCAAGACTGGACGCTAATGTTGGACTCCTTGACGCCGCATTCGAGCAGCTTGGCCTTTGCGCCGGCGACGAGGGGATCAATTACCGTCGCGTTCCAGCGCGCGTGGACGATAGCAATCCGCAGGCTGGAGCCGTCGTGGTGCTGGGGGGCAGGGCCTTTGAGAGAAGACATGGTGGTGGATTGGTGTTGTTGCTGAGTTGGAGAAATTCGGGGTTGTCGGAGGAGGAAGAGAAGTTAAGCTTGTGACGGCGGTTGCGTGGGATTGCTAATGGCGGGGTGGTGGGGTGGTTTGTTCTGGAAGGTCGGACTTGGAAGCGCCGCAAGAACTAAGACCAGGTCACCATCTGGGCGTAACGAATGACGCATGTTCAAACTAGGGAGGCTCACAATGATTATCACAAAGCGTGTTGAATGCACGTGATTGTTTTTGAAGGTTAATCTATGCCAACTGGCGACAGTTGTCAGGTCACACTGCCTGGCAGTGCCAGATGCAAGTTATTAGGTGTCAGTTGGCCACTTGGCAACCCAGCTTTCTTCATGTTTGATATGCTTGCTTTTCTAAATACATTCAGGAATATAAAGCAAAATGGTGATCAAAGCCCTTGACTCTCAGACAACTAAGCTTCTATGCTCTACTGTCAACATTGTGTCTTCTCGCGATATTGTCAAAGAGCTTATCGACAACTCGATTGATGCCGGGGCCATGAATATCCATGTCCATGTTTCTTCCAATTGCCTTGATAAAATTCGCGTACAGGATAATGGAAACGGCATTGATCCCCTGGATTTTAAATACATTGCCATGCCGTCTCACACTAGCAAGCTCGACACCACATCCCAACTGGATCGAGTTGGTAACAAGAGCCTCGGTTTCCGTGGCATCGCTCTAGCTAGTATCAACACTATCTCACGTGTGGAAATTATAACAAAGTCAAAATCAGCTCCAGTAGCTACCAAACTCACTATACGACCTGGATTGGGAGGCTTTACAACGGCAAAGGTCGTGTCGTCTCCCAAAGGAACGACGGTCGTAGTACAGGACATTTTTCAAAATGTACCTGTTAGGCGACAACACCAATTAAAACAGAGTTCAAAATTTTTATTACAGATAAGGGAACTGATCAAGTCTTTTGCCTTGGCTCACATAGATATAGGCTTTTCCCTCAAAGTCTTTGATGATGGTGGGTTTCCTTGGCGATGTGTGCCCAGTACCCCAGCCAGTTTCAAAGAGACCGCTATTCAAATTCTTGGGAAAGAATTAGGAGCAGCCAGCAGTGAACATCAATTTATTTGTCCTACAAGCCTCCAGGATGGCAAAAGTGGCGAGCAGAAGTGCATTTTGCATGCAGTACTCCCAGATCTGTCGCAAATGCATGCTAAATTACCAGAGGCAGTCTACATAAGCATTGACGGGCGAGGAATTACGGCTACAAAGGGACTAGGAAAGGCATTGTATGAGAACTTCAAGGGCCACTTCTCTAAAGCAACATCAGATATGGTCCTTACAACTGACCAGAAACCATTTATGTGCCTGAACATATTGACAACTAACGTGCCGTACGACGCGAACCTTACCCCAATGAAGGATGAGATTTTGTTTCCTGACGAGGAAATAATCAAAAACGGATTCAATAGCTTGTGTCTCAAAGTATACGGACATTGTAAAGGAATTGTGGCGGACGACGCCGACACTGATATTCGAGTCTCAAACCACCAGAAAACGACCAAGATCTATGCCAAGTTGAAGACGGACTTTGTGGTGGATATGGCGTGGAAGAAAGATGAAGATGTATTCGAAAGTGACGGAGAAGGAGAAGCACTGGAACTAATAATACCTTATATGACTACCCTTCCGAAAACCACAGACCGTACGCTCCGTCTAGGACAGTCACTGGATAAACGCCGCAGAATTGAGGACTATTTTACTTCCAAACCAGAGGAATTCCAAGTTCTTTCAGAGAACAATGAGCCAAGGGAATGTAATTCGCCGTGTACAAGCTCTCCTATTCTTCAGGCAGGACGCAAGGTTCTCCAACCTCTCACCGCGTCTTCGATTAACTCCATGCAAGAAGAAGGAGGTTGTGAGACGGAGAATTCTGATACCGAGGAGGAATCCCATGGCTCACCAGAATCACAGCTACTGGCAACCAACATATCACGGGGTATGATAATGGAGACGCCAACCCGAATTAGAGGATCCAATCTAGGACTACTCACTGGCTCCGCAAGTAGAGCTGAGCGCATAACGTTCAGCCCATCGCCTATGCTTCAGTCACCACCCCCTTCTGTTTCCCGTGGGGTTGCTCGACCTAGGCGCGAGATGCCAGGCTTCATGTCTCTCACTCGAAATTCTCCGATTCGTGTATCTAGAGCACCAATGCTTACGGGAACAAGGTCAGGGGGCTTTCAACAGGGCCTCGTTACGCCTGTCCGCCGGACACAGCCTACTAGTACTCCCAGGTTCCGTCTATCAGAGGCTGTCGCTGGTAGTAATACAGATAGTTACGATAACGATGGTTATTTGGCACCATTGCACACGCAAGCCCGTCAAACACAGCCTATGCTTTTGAAGTCACCCAAACCACGTCCGGCCACTGACACCAGCGAGGGCTCGGACAGCAGCTCAATTGACGGTGACGAATGCGATCTAACCGATAATTCAGAGCTAGATCCGGCTCGTGTACTTAGTAGTTTGTTGGCAGTGATATGTACGGATGTTTCTGCCATCAAAACCCATATGTGGAGGGTGGCTAGTTACGACAGATTCGTCCAACATGGACTGGTGGCTTTTGGTGAGCAAAGGTACGAGGCAGAGGTATTGGCGGAGCTAGAGGCGAAGATTCACCGCATTATTCGACTTCGTATGCAGTAAGAGCTTGAGCTTGGGTTGCATGATGCATGTTGCTAGTGGAATGCAGATGGCAGAAGGTGTTTGGAAGGAATTCGAAACAAAGTCATACATTTCAGCCGTTGACGACGCCAAGCCCTTTGCAGTATACACAGAGTTGTGACTGTACGGAGCCGAACAGTAGGAAATCCAGGTTGGGGCCCATCTCGTATTCTTGGGCGGGCTAGCGCTCCATGGTGTCTCGCAAGCGGGCCACGGCTGTCGATTTGGCGACGGGGACTGGGTAAAAAGGAAGAAGCCGTGCGCCCAAGCAGAATGTATGATCCAATGGGATGTACGAGGCGCTGCGCAGGGCAGCTGTGGCTGCATCTGATGGCGAGGGTCGAGTGCCAGCGTGTCTGTGCATGCTTTACACCAGCAACAGGCGGTGGTAGGATAGTATAGCTAGAGGGAATTACTTTGCTCTATTGATGGAGAATCATGTGCTACGATGGCTTCTGGTGATAAAGAGTATCTCGGTCTCAGCACCCAAACAGTGAACAACCATCGTAGCGAACCCATCGTCTTGTACAGCACGTGTTTCAGGCGAGCCGGGCGCAGGAGACCGACCCCCGGTCCCTCCCCTGGCCGTGTAGTCCTTGTGCCGCGCGCATCGCCAGCCCAACTAAAAAAAATCGCATGGTGCACGAATACCACACCACAACAGAGGCTGTGCAGCAAGCCCACTCCAAAGCAAGGAGGCCGCGCACTGGGAATCCGAATCCCGGAGAAGAAGGCTGCGGCGGGTGACTAAGACAGCGAGTGGCTATATATTACTGGAAAATGCTAAATAATGGATAGAAATGGTAAACACAAGATGCGGGCCGGTCCAGACGTCGCTCAGGTCTGCGCTTTTAGTCAACTGTTTTAGCTGGCCAGCAATCAGGCCATGAACGTCATGGCTGCTGGAAGGGGGGCGGACCTATTTCCGAACACCCGTTTAACTGGGGGCATTCAGGCGCTAAACCAGCTGGAGCCAACAGCAGATGGCGCTAAAGTGCTCTGTAATTAAACTAGCGAGCCGCTGGAGCGACGGCGTTGGGTACCGTATGCGTGGTGGGTGGTCGCCCACTGGGAGGCCAAGCTGTAGTGGGCGGGACGCTGTAATAGCAGGCAGGTAGTGGAGCGTAGCCTGGCCAAAAGCTCTGCGCTACGAGGAGGAAAAAAAAACCTGGTTTCTGGGCAGGCTTGCTGATTGCACGCCCGATTTTCCACTCTCAGGCTCTCCTCCCCATCTGTGCCTCTTCCCTCTTCTTGCATCCTCGTTTTCCCCAACTCTTCGCTCTTTGGCACGGCGCCTGTAATATTTTATTTTATCACGACTGCTACTCTTTTCGACATTTCTCCTTAATTCTAGTTTTCTTTCCCTCTTCTCCGCCCTAATTCAACTTGCTGCCTGTACTATTTGACGGGCGTAATTCAGTCCGTCATTGCCTCACTCAGCACACTAGCCGCCAAACCGACGATTCAACAGCTTCTTCTGCCGCCAACGCACCTCGCGCGCTTCTCCGATCGAAACCAAACGATACGCCGATAGAAACGAAGCTTGCGACGATAATCATGCTCTCCCCTTAGGCGGCGCCCTACCTCAACTGACATCACCCAAAACCGGCCCGCCTTCCTCTCGCCGCGTCCTGGGCACCGTTAACGTCATGCGCAAACCAGACGCACTCGATACAATGACACGCTCACATACACTAAACAAGCCGATACGGGTATTGGGGTCATGTCGAAAATATTCAACAATTCTCGTGGTACTTATGCTATGCCTCGTTACCCCGTCGCTAGTTTCTGCCGTCCAAGTCGACTTCGACAACTGTCTTGACCCAAACTACAAAGACTCCAACAAGCTACAATTCATGCCGCTTATTGCCGATGCAACCTATGTGATTGACGGAGACAAGCGAAAATTCTTCTACCAAGCATGGTCAAACGTGACAGGTTGGGTAGACGGAAACCCACCTAATGGAGGCCACTTACCACCCGACTACTGGGAAAACACCAGTAGGACGGAGGGGAAGATCGCCAATGGAGAGTATAAGGCTACCGTCATCAATAGCATTGATTTGCTGATGACTCGCCCTTTCAGCTCCCCCGCGGGCTTCTGTGAGACTGGTATTCACACAGACTGCCCCGTGGGGCCAGTATTCAATCATACGCAAGTCGATCTGCGCAAAGCACTGCCATCATTCAACTTTACATACGATTTTTCAGGAAGCATTGCATTTAACTCATTCGCAACGACTATTCTTGTAAAGCCCGGTTATAAGAATATTGTCGTGGGCTGCGTTTCATCAGTTATTACTCCTGACCTCGGCTCAGCAGCCGCTGCCGTGCAGTTTGTGCCGCTTGCTGCTCTTTTGGTTACGGGATTTGCGGTTATCTTTGCAGGCATGTACAGCCCCTGGGGATCTACCGACATTTTCCAGTGGACAACCAACTACGGACGCGATGCAGACCAGCTACGTCTCATCACTCCCGGCTTTGGAGACTTTTTGCAATATTTACAGTTTATTGTCTTGACTGGCGGTCTCAGCATATCATATCCTGGCTTTTACCAGCCTGTTGTAAGCAACATTGCTTGGGCTTCAGTCATGTTTAACGAAAGCGTCGTCACACATAAGCCTGGCTGGCAGAGTGTCCAGGATGGCATCTACGCCTACGTTCCAAACACACGATATGGCCTGCATCGACTGGGTCAGCTTGTGGGCATGCAAGATGCAACCGATATATGGGCAGGCATGATGGTATGGCTGTGCATTGTTGTACTGTGTGTCTTTGTGATTGTTCAGCTGGGCTTCTTGGCGCAATGGCTTTACCGCCGTGTTAAGCAGGTGCCTGAAGAAGACTTACGATCCAAAAACATACCTTTTTCTGTCGGCAACATTGTCCGCATTGTATTCAACTTTCTTCTGCTACCCATTGTCGCACTGTCAACGTTCCAGCTTCTTCTTGCTAGCGAGTCACCGCGCTTCACGGTAGCCCTCGCCGCTGTGACGCTGGCCGTCTTGATTGGCTTGGCGGTCTATCTCCTATACTTTATTGTTGCGACAAAGCCAAAGGCCGTGTTATTCGACGACTTGCCAACAGTACTACGACTCGGGCCACTATACAACACGTACTCTGACGAAGCTGCTGCTTTTGCACTTGTGCCGATAATTCTTACGTTCCTTCGCGGAATCGCAATTGGTGGTTTCCAGTTCAGTGGTATTACACAAGTGGTGATGCTAGCCATTTGCGAAGTCATTTATGTCTTTTCTCTTCACGCCTTCCGCCCCTTTCAAACACACACGTCGATGAACGCGTACCATACCGCATTTGGTATTATGCGACTTCTCGGTGTTTTGCTTCTTATTCCTTTCATTCCTTCGCTCGGCCTTACCGAAGGACCGAAAGGATGGATTGGGTATGCAGCGCTTATTGTCCATGCATGTGTTATCTTCTTTGGGTTCTTCTTGAGCGCCTTGCAAACTATTGTGGAAGTCGCGGCCCGTCTTCTCGGTGCAGGTGGCGACAACGCCTCTGGGCTTAAGCGAGGTGGTCTATCCAAGATTTTTGGTATGCGCCAGCTGGCAAAGAGAGAAATTCATAGACCCGCGCCATCAAGGGCCAGTCAGCTGTCAACCTCAGCCATTGTTGACCCGTCCAGGACGGCGTATTCACCTGGCTTGGGCGTTAGAAGCAGCTCTGGCTTGAGTATCGGCCTGTCGCCACGTAATGTCAAACGGAGCAGCTCTGCACTAGACAGCCCTGACGTCTACTCTACACATCGGACCATGGATAGCCCGACATCATATGTCCCCGGAACGCCTGCTGAGGATAGCACATATTCGTTTATCAACACTCCCAGTACCAACAGACCTGGTATTAGTCTCACTGCCCTGAAGGCGGCTGATCCCTGGTATCGTCCTCCACGACGCGGTACTCAGACGGCTGGAGATAATCTCTTGGCTGACCAGCAGCGCGTCTCCCTAATTATGGATAAGCACGATTCTTCCTTGCCCACTAGTCGTGGTCTTGGCCTGGATCCCGAGAACGGCGATATTGGAGCCGAGATTTCACGAAATGGCACGCCTATTGCACCAGGAACGTTGGGGGTAAATCCTGCCATCAGCTACCCCCCGAACCAGCCGGACTACGCCACGCGAGAGGTTGACTTTTACTATGGAGTCCGAGGCCCGGCGCTCAACTCGGACCATCTGGGTCGCAAATTGGGTACTGGTCCAGCCGACCCAACTGGCCCAATCGCGACAGCAAGCAGCTGGGTCCGAGGTCTCTTTGGTGGCAAGAGTAAGGACAAGAGTAAAGGATTTGAGGTGGTCCGCAGCTCCAGGATGCCCAAGGCTGTTGCCAACAACGGGGGCTATGGGGACGAAACACCGCCAGAGGGTATTCCTATTGCCACGGGAGGCATACGAACTGGTCCTATTGAATCTGACGATGATGAACCTGTGCCACAAAAGTCATCCCATCGACCAGCACCCATCGTGACCAACTTTGAAACCCTTGAGGACGAATCTGACGGGCCTCCCCCCATCAGCCCTCTGACCGACGACGCCCCCGATATTCCACGAAAGAGCTCTAAGCGAGACTCTCATTTGGCACCGAGGGGCCATACTCCGACGTTGAGCATGGTTGAGTCTAATTCACAGGGTGACCGCTCCTCTAGAGATGAAGCCGCTATATATGGCCACAAGAAGAGCCTCTCTGCTCCTCATCCCGCAGCACCAGCACTACCCACATTACCATTTGAGCGCTCCGCGTCCAAGAAGCAGCGATCACCTAGGGGGTCAACCGCCATATTGGGCGAGCAGGATGAGTTTACCAACATTGACCTGGCCACCTTGTCTAGCGACCGACCCGCCAGTTTTGGAGTTGTCAGACAGCACGGCATCAGCCGCGTTGACCCTGTCCACCACGGTGCGGACTGGGCAGGAAGTTCAGCCGAGCTTGTTGACGAGAATGGCAATATCAAACGCAAGTAATAGAACGAGCCGGCAACGTTTTGAGTGTGGAGTGTGGCATGAGTGTACAGCCGCATATCATTCTTAAACTTTTTTTCCGTGCGTGGAACTGAACGCTGCGTATAGCAGACTCTCTTTTTATGTTTTTTTTTCTTTCTGGGGTATATCATAGACGGGGTTTTTCGCAAGCGAAGAAAAAATCGGCAGCTATCGCCGCTGCATCTGGAGCAGCCGCAAGACTAGCGAGGGATGTTTATTAGGGCATTTTTGTTTATTATTGGATATTTTTTAAGTACATGATGCTGTCAGCGAATAACAAGCTATTTCACCTTTTCTATACAACCTGCGTAATGTCTGTTCTCTGTTCGTAGAAGCCATTGATGATCTATAGTGGATATATTGGTCGTCTTATCATACAAGGTATAGCTATACGTATATATATGTGTGTATATGTGTGTGTCTGTACGTGCACATCGTGTGCTACTACCACAATCCCACAAGTTTAACTTTCAGGACTCTTTATTTCACCGTCATGAAGCCAATGCCAGATCGAGCTCGAGCAGCGGCCTTCCGCAACGCCTGGTCCTCAACATCAGTCCACTGCACGCTCAGCTCATCCCACTTGCGGCCTGGTGTGTTGTATTCTTTACGCCACTGCGCATGAACCTGCTGCAAGGCCGCCATGGGTCGTGGGTCGCCAGAGCCAGAGTAGAGCAGCAGTGCTGTGCAGGGCGGCAAGGCGGCGTGAATGCGCGAGATACGCTTTGTCAAGGCACCAAGGGCAGCCTCGAGGCTTTCCTTGGTTTGTGATGCTGGCGGGCCGCCGTCGCTGTTAGAAGCCGTTTCGACGCGGTGCGTGTTCCACCAGCCCTGCAGGGCCTCGAGCTCGCGGAAGCGCGCCCATACAAAGTCTGCACCACCGGCCTTGATTTCAAGACCATCCGGATCACCAGCAACGGCGCGTAGTACGTTGACAGCTACATCTTCGTCAGACTTGCAGCCGAGGCGGTATGTAGCACCGCCGCCGTAGCCCTTAGATGGGTCTCCCCAGTCTACGGCAGCTGAGGTCTTGCCGACTTCCACGCCACCGAGGGCCGCATCGCCGCCCTGCGCCTTGTATGAGGTTCCGGCGCGGGCTAGGCGGCGGAAGAGATTCTCACCGGCGGCGTCGGAGGTACCCCAGGCTTTGCCCTTTTCGCACTTTTGCTTGACGAGGTCGAGGCAGGTCTTGGCGTCTTCGATGGAGTTGTGGCCCTCGGCGCCGCCCTTTTGGATCTCGCGCGAGAGGTACTTCTGCGCAAGGTATTTGAGAGAGGACTTGAGAGGGGGCCCGCGCGGGTGCGGGAACAGGAGGGAGGTGTCGACGATGAAGGGGTGTGTGAGCTGCATGGCCTTGGTGTCGGACTCGAGCGAGTGGCCGAGCAGGATGGCGCGCGGGTGGAGGATGGTGAGGAGTTTGGCCTGCACGTCGCGCAGGGTGGTTGTCACGGGGGCAAGCATCTCTTCTGTGATGCCGGAGTAGCGGGTGAGGTAGTCGGTGATGGGCTTGTCGGGCTTGACGAGCTCGTCGAGGACAAGCTCGCCGGACCAGTCGACGATGCTGAGGCGTGTGAGGGCGAATTCGTTTTCGCCAGTCAGGCACATTTCACAGTCGAGTGCCAGGACGGTGCGGCCGGCGGTGATACTGCCTTGCTCAATCTCGGCCTCGGGCACGTCGCCGTCAGAGAGACTGTCGACCTTGGTGGCAACCCAGCCGTCGGGGAGTTTGAAGTTATCTCGAGCCGCGCCCTCAGGCAGCAGCGCAGGATGTACGAGGTAGCCGTTTTCTTCGAGCTCAGATGCAGTGGCAAGGTATTCTGTGATGCGGGTGCGCTCGTTTTTCCAACCCTTCGGTTCCGTGGCAGACTTGACGCCCTTTGCGCCAGAAGCCTTGTCCTTGGGGACCGGGGCTGTGAGGAATGCCGCCATGGGCGAGTGCATCTTGCCGTGCTTGTCGTCACCGGGAGTCTTGACGGGCCATAGGTGAGGAAACATGTCGGCAAAAGGCTGCAGCACTTCTGGCAGCGTCTCCTTGGTTAGAGCCCGTGGGTAGTAGTCGTCGGGAGACCTGGCGGCATCTTGCTGCGCAATGCGCTTCTGTTTATCTTCGTCATATGTCGCAAAGTTGACATTGGCGTGGAACATGGCGTCTTCAAGGCCGGGAACCATGAGGGCGACAATCTTGCGAAAGGCAGGGCGATGCGTCACGGCAACCCATTGCGGGCCGGTGCCGTCGGCAAAGATGTATGTGACAAGATCGCGCATTTGATTCAGATTGATCTTGGACTGCAGACGGGCATTGGGAGAGAAGGTGATGCCTGGATAATTCTTTCCAGGCTTAGGAACCTTCTTTTGCTTCTTGTTAGGCCGCGTCACTGTCTGCCATTCGCCGCCGCCGTCGTCGTCCTTGTTGTCGCCGGCATCGTGCGGGCTGGCACGCTTCAAGCTTGAGGAGCTTCTTTCGTCTCCATTGGCGTCGTTTGGCTTGAGTTCGGTCGCCATTGTCGCTGTTGCGCCGTCGGAAGGCGGCTGCTCTGTGGAGGGAATCGCTGTGGTGGTGTTGTCTGGGTGGGCGTCGGGGATGCCTAGGAAGCCGCGGGCAATCGTTCTGGCGCGCTGGAGTTTGTCTTTGAAGAAATTCACCATGGCAAAGATGTTGGTTCGAAGGTCGACCAGGCAGAAGTCGGGAAACCGGAGAACCACGCAGAGGCTGAAAATGCAGAGCAAAGTCAAATTGAGGCCGCTGTGTATATATTTTTCAATCACCGCCCCACATTGGCGATGAGCTTTCCTAGAACGGCAGTCTAGCTTGTGCTGTGTCTAAGAAGGCACTTTGAGAAAAATGCTTCATAAATATTCTAATAAATAGTTTAATAAAATATTTCATCGGATTTGGAATTACTATATAGTAGTGTCTATTTCTGATTCTTGGGGTCGAAATCGCTTTCGAGCACCTGCTTTCCGAGCTGCGCAAGCGTATCCAGCTGCTTCACCACAGCATAGTGGAATAGTGCCTTGCTTTCATCGTCGCCAGGAGATTCTTGCCATAGTCGAATAAGGGAATTCTCTTGCTCTCTGCCAGGTAGGTTCTCAATCTCGTAGAGCATCTCGGCTGCCCCATTAGCCACCTCCCATTCCATAAGTCGTTTGTCTGAGGCGCCTCGAAGAATAATGACAAGCAACATCTGGCACAGCGAGACCTGATCGATTTTCACAAGCTTTTCGATAGCAGATTCATACAGAGTGCGCTCTGGCGATGTAGAGTGTTCTGCGCTCTGCTGCTTTGCTGCCAATGGTGCCGTATTCGAAAGCAGTTTGGCAATGACAAGGAGCGCCCTAGCTCGCGAGGGGTGAAAGACGGCTGGGAAGCGGAACGGATCACTCTCGCAGGCCGAGAAGCAAGCAACAAAGAGCGCATATGCAAAGTTTTGCTTCTCGGAATATAGAATGGAGATCTCCGTGAGGATGTTGGCAAGTGGTGAGACAGCCCAGAGGTTTTGATCAATAAGCTCGCGGCAGGCTTCGTATTGGTCCTTGATGGCCTTTTCCTTGACTTCAAGGTTTTCAACCTGTGATGCCAGCTCTATTGTTTCCAATGCCTCAAGAGGAGCATTTTGAGAAGTCTTGACGGCAACCTCATTCGTGATGCCGTGGTGTTTGCGCAGCTTGGTATCCCAGTCATCAAACCATGTCTTGTTGAGGTCCGCGCTAGGCGATGTGGCACAAGCTTGATATACGTTGAGGTCATCCTTGCAGCGAGGGCACTCGCATTCAAAAGTGTATTGCGTCAAATTCTCTCGTCGTTTCTCAAGAGGAGTCGTGTTATCTAAGCGCTATTAGTGTTGTAGATTCTCGATTTTGCTGTATGGAGCACATACCAGTGTATGAGATTTCAATCTCGTCTCCAGCGGCAATGTCGCCTTCAGCTCTCAAGATGGCTGTTCTGCCGACAAACTGTACGAATGCGTTGGGTACACATGAGTGGTTCACCATAGCAAGCGCAGGTTCTAGGAAGACGCCATGATCGCCAATATCAGCGTCAAATCGGTGGAAGGCGTTGGTGTTAATCTATGCCATAGCTGTTAACACATGCGGTCGCCAAGATACTCCACCAAGAAACGAAAAGTCTTACCTTGCAAAGCAACTCTGTAGCTTTATTGACTGTATCTCCCTCGGTGCCGAGACCAGAAAAGGCACACGCTGCCATCGCCATGAGCTCCCAATCTGCCCATCCCGGTTGGCCTCGCTTCTGAGCAACATGGCCCTCCAAGTCTGCCAGGACACCGCCATCGACGCCTTGTGTTAAAAGAACCTGAAGTAGCGCTCTGATGGGCGTCGGCATCTGCCTGCGCTGGGCAACTGATGATACGCTCTTAGACAGAGTGACACATTCTGCTTTGTGGACAGTCGTCCAATGGGCTGTCTGGCATTTGGCGTCGCAGTAGTATGCAACGCGGCATTGCTTGCAAGATCGAGGCTTTCCACGCTTGAAGCAATAGGTGCATATATCAGAAAGACTGCCAGATGAAGGTAGAAGAAGAGTAGGGTTAAAGACGGCGATGATTTGGCCAGCTTTGATGGCGGCGGTTGTGTGGAGGGCTCTGCCTTTTGACGGATGCGACTTGAGGGTGAGCCCAGCAGGGATTGAGGGCGCCATATTTGCTTTACTTTGGTGTTTGCTTAATTGAATTGCGTTGAAGCGGAAATATCGTGTTGGTGACAGAGGTTGAAATTTTGAATCGCCGATTTGGCGGGGCTGGCCGCTCCACTGTAAAATGTGTAACGGGCGATGCGCATGTGAAGTACAGCGTGCCTCCAGAGGGACCTTTAAGCGAAGCAGCCACTATGGGCCTATAAAAAGACGCAAATTGACTATAAACTATACAATTTTACTTACAAACAGTGAGAAATTATGTTTGACATGTGTTCAATGTTTTGGTTTTAAGCGTCGTCTTTTGGACACTCGTCTATCTTGCTTCGCTATTCTATACTACCACCACCACCACTTAGTGTATTTGTTGTTTTACACAAATCATAATATTATAGTTCCTGGTGTATTCTGCTGGCTGGGCCACCCTTCTTGCGGATAGCGCCAAGCTTATTCGTCAGGTCGCGGCTCCAATGGCTCTTATCGCCTTTGTTGGCCTTCGTGATGCGGGCAACGTGGTAGTCCCAGCATCCCTCTTCCACGCGGAACGCAGAGCTGGCGCAAGACTTGTCATCCAGCTTACCACGGCGAGGCCACTCGCCAAGAGTAGCGCCCATGTCCTCGTCTAGGAAGTTATCAAGTGCAAGCTGGCCAACCTTGCGCTGGGCACCTGCCCACTCCTTGCCTTCGGGCAAAAGGATTTGCTGAAGCTGGCGCATTCCGCCGCTCTCAAGAAATTCCTTGCGAATCGAAGCATCCTTGATAAGGCCATTAATTGCGGCAACCTTGGCCTTGAGCTTGGCTGCGGAGGCTGTCGACTTGGCCTTGTCACTGATGTCGCCTGGTGTCAAGCTGGAGTAGAGGCAATCGCGCAGTAGGGTCTTGTCCTTGGGGCATGAGTGCTGCATAATGTCCTTCCAATTCTTGACGACTTCAGCCAAGGACGAGGGGTTGTTTTGCAAGCTGCCAGACAAGATGGAAGCAGCCTGTTGGTCTCGGGGCAAGGCACCGTCAATGGATGCTGCGCTTTGGTCAGCCATGAGACAGAAGAGCGACTTGACTACTTCGGGATCCTCGGCAATCTTGAGACCATAATAAATATCATGAGAGAGCTCTTCCATATCCTCCAAGAGGGCATCAAAGCTCTTTTCACCAGCAACAACGCCCGTTTTGAGCATGGTCATTGCTTCGTGAAAGGAGAGTGCTTCATGCTCAGGGCCCTTGACTTTGCCAACTGCCTCATATTGAGGAGCTCCCTTGGGAATAACAGGCTCATCGATATGCTCTTGAGGTTCCACAACTACCATGGCCTGGTCTATAGGCAGGCCTTCTAGCGCCGGGTCAATCTCATCAGGGACATTAATCTTGGCCTCCTTCTTGCCGGTCCAGATATCCATGCGGACATGGAGTCCTTGGGGCAGCTGTTGATCATCATGAACCTGCTGAAACTCGTCTGTAGCCTCAAAGATACGGGGGTAACAGTCCTTTGGGTCATCCGTGTGGCATATCAAGTCCGGGGTGGCGGCGGGCTTGGAATCCGATGCCGAGACCGGGGAAGACAGGAAACACAGAGCAATGCTGAGGATGAGGGCAAAAAGCAAGACCATAGAGGAGGTCGGTCTGGTGCATGAGCGTGGCATTGTGCGTATGGGGGATTCAGTGAGAGAGGCTGTAGATGTGTATAGGGCTGGGCAGCCTGCAGGAGGAATGCAGAAGAGGTTGGCGACTCTCAGCTGCACAATGGTCGCGCGTGAGAGGAGCTGGCGCGTGATTTTAAAAAGGAGGAGAAAAATTAGACAATGCGAGAATATAAAGAAAGAAAAAAGACTAGAATTCTTCCCACGCTCCGTCGCTGCGCATTAATTATACAAAGATTGGCGGATGAGTCAAAGTGCCCTGGGCGAAAAGGACAGTTTTTGCTAGGCGACCTTTGTGGAAGGCGGCAGAAGCAGTGGCGCGTAAAAGCGGCGAGCCCAGAATTGCCCGATACGGCAATCGTGGCCCAAAGATGCGCAGTGGCAATCTGTGATTGGCTGCGCGGGGCTGACTGCGTTGAACGGCTATTTTGAAACAAGCCAGCTTTACATCTTTTCTGGCCCAAATGAAGAATAAAGTTGATTTCAATTTGGTAAGGAAAAGAGAACTTGAGTCTATTTCAGCAGTGCTGGGCGTACTACTGTGAAACAACATGGGCGCTCTGCAAGTGACGTCATATGTACAACTTACCCCTACATCAATCGTCTTATACAACCATGCAACTGAAAAAGTAAATGAATGTGCGTGCTCTGCAAAAACATGCCAACAAGTCTTACAATACTACTGAAAGAAAAATTTAAAAGCCCAAATTCGGGAAATCCAGAATGCGTATCGACGCTCGCATTGTGCAGAGAGGCTGGCGAGCGTGTGCGCGCTGGTCCGCCCACCCGCATTCCAGTGTGTGTCTATGCTCGCCAGCCTCCAACTGCACTTTTACAATGCGCCATGGAGAGGTTGGATATGCTCGTCGAGATATCTCAAAAACTATAAGATTAGAACTTCGTCGCTGCTAAACTCCAACCCTTCTTCTCTCCCCACCATCACTCATCCCAAGATCACGTCCTCTTCCTGCTTTTCTCTACGGCAGAAAGGATCTGGTTGGCAACATCCTATCACCCAGTCTCTCTATGGTACGAGAGCTTTACTTTATACAACCTACTATACGATAATATCTTCGGACAATGCTATTCAGAAGCGCACTATTCAACATCGTCGTCTTCGCCCTAGCCGCCTCCGACTCTCTCGCTGCCCCTGTGGGTGAGAGAGTCCAACAAACTCAGCATCACATTATGCACGAGATGGTACAAGTCTCTGGATCTCTCTAGTTTCCAGAAACACCCATCGAAACTTCAATAACTTCAATACACAAAAAAATGGTCTGCTAACAAGGTGTGCTGTGCACTCCCTTGTCGACAGGGCTTTGTCCCTGTCTACGGCGTTTATATCAAAGCTAGCCTTTGATGGTAATATCTTTACGGCGTTTATTTGGCTGGACCACGGATGGCGTTCATTCGGCGTTTTTTGCTTTCTACCAACCATCAGCACTCATTATTACTATCAACTATCGTCCGACTGGAAGCGGCAATCATTCATTACCGAACATCCCTTTTAATTCTCGCCATTCCTTATCCGAAATTTGCCACTATACTACGATGCGCATCGACCTTTTTAATCTCACGAATATTCAACTATCGACTTTCTAATACAATTAATATCCGATAATCGATACTATTTTAACTATTAATATTGTCAACCTTCATTATTATCCGACATCAATATTTGCCAACATTCACTATCCATCTATCACTATCGCCAACATTCATTACCGACAACAGTCTTACTACACATTCATTATCCACTCCTATTTTTCTGTTCAACTTGGAACACTTCTTTGCTGGATAAAGAGACTGCGTTTTTTCGGTGGAGGGGCAGGCACCTCCTGGAGCAATTTTGCACTGCCGAATGGGCTACCTTTTACGATCAAGATTCTATTTACACTGGTTGGCCGGAAGGATCTTCTACTTGAACGGGACGGGCTCTCACAACATTTTAATACCGAGTCGCTCTTTTACAACACTATGGGTATGGCTTGCTTCTATCTCTTTTCTGGGTAAGGTTTTCAGGACTAGGTTTCCTTTTGGGATTGGGTTGGCTCTTCTGTATCATCATTTTCAGATGACGGCGTTTGACGGTTACCGGCGTACGGTTTCAATTGGGATTGGGACTAGGATTGGAGTTTTGGGTATTCTTTTTCCTTTGGCGTTCCGGTCTTGAGTTCTTTTCGCCTTTTGGATGGGCTATGATTTCGACTTGGACGTTTCTTTATGTATTGGAGATTATTTCTTACTTTTGGGTATTTCCTTTTTCTCCATCTCCTTGACAGTTTATACGTATACTTAGCCTGCTCGGTTTCCAATGTCAGAATCAATTTTATCAAAGTTTCGTCGCAAACAAAAACATGCCTTTTCTTGTTGATTAATATTGTAGATTTCATCTGGCCATCTCTATGCAACTCTGTATAATTAGCAGCGTACTGTTCTGTAGTGCTACTTTTAGTGGAGGACAGCCGCTAACTAACCCATCCCCGCCACCCCCAGCCTAGCGCCTCGCCAGGGCCTAGCCTAATCTGGCCAGTGCGCGTGGGAACCCCTGGCTCGGGCTGCCGGGCTCTCGCTTTGCCTTTGTCGCATTTCACGTCCGCCCTCTTCCCTTTTGTTCCTTGCATCAACCATCTCGCCATAACGCTCCTTTAGTTTTTTCTCATTAATTCTGTTGGCATCCTTCCTTTATACCCTTTATAGTTACCAACGATTCAGCGTACGACACCGCCTAACCGACTTTACCACGTTGCACCGAACGGCGCCGACACTTCCGATCTCTCTCTTCTCCCCCCGTTATTCCCATCTTCGATCAACGACACACACACACTCACACTACTCAAGATGCCGTCGCCTCGCCGATTACGCCTTCTGGTGCTCGCTGCCATCGTAACAGTTGTATTCGTTCTCTTCTACACGTCAGGAGTCGATTCCGGCGAGGGCAGCTTCATGGACAAGACCCTGAAGGCGATGCACCCACAAGGCCAGAGCATCATCAATACAAGGACAGGAGAACAAGCAGGACACATTCCGGCAGACACCGATGCCGACGGCGATATAGACGCAGATGATATCAAGGCCAAGGAGGATCTCAAGGCTTCGCTGCAGAAAACCGAGAAGGTCGCGCTCGACAACGCCAACAAGAAGTCCCCCGTCAAACCCGACCCCCCAAGCAAGGTCGTCGGTCAGGGCAACTCTCGAGACGGCCAGGCAAAAGATGTCAAGCCTGCCGCGGACGATAGCGAATCCAAAAACGATGCGGTCAAGGAGGCTACTGGTCCCTTTGATGCCAAGAAAGAACTAAAGCGTATTCTCGACAAGGCACCAGGTAAGACTGCGTTGACAATTCTTCCTATTTCACTACACGTTACTAATGTGGTTATCTCTAGTCGTTATTTTCTCAAAAACATACTGCCCTCACTCGAAAAAGGCCAAAAATATTCTTCGCGAAAAATATAACATTGACCCTGCTCCGTTCGTCTTCGAGCTTGATCTAATCGATTCCGATAACGCTTCAGCGCTGCAAGACGAACTCATGGCTAAGACCGCCCGCCGTACAGTTCCCAATATCCTCATCAAGGGTGTTAGCATTGGTGGTGCCGATCTGGTGGAAGAAATGGACAGGAATGACGAGCTTGAAGAGAAGATCCGAAAGCTTGGCAAGCCCAACGTCAAAATCTCACACCTTCTGGAACCAGCTAGTGGTCATCACTGATTGATATCCCGATAGCTGAAGAACATTTTGCTAGGATTTGGTAATAGTATTTCCTGCTGGGACTGAAACGTTGGGGGTTCTGCTCGTTTCTCGCGGCGTTGGGGAAGGACACTTATAGTACATGACACGGGGGTCAACATATCGCAGTTTAATACACGACATTTCTAATTATCATTATTCCGTCATCCAGCAATGAACACTCTTTTAGCTTTCCGTCAAACGTCAGAGAGATCGCCAGTACTAAACGTCAGATAACAAATACTCTTCCCGGGTAGCAATCCTGTCCTTTCGCCATACCCGACTGTGTAGGTGCATAATAGGCGAGATGAGGTGTCCTAAATAAGCCTTAAATTGTGGCCATGTGGATATTTTATCGAAACGTTTTATCCGGGTGGTTAAACGGTATAAGTGCCAACACAATAGCTTCAATGTAGTACGATTGCCTCGTCACAACGTCCTCAGTCAACAGTCCTACAGAGCCGCCTTGGTGCTTGGAGTTTGTCTTTCCATACAGCAAATCGTCTGCGTGGCCTAATTCCATGCCTCCCCTCACCAATTTTGCGGTCTCCTGGGGTAAAAAGTACGCCGAGGTTCTCGCTTTGCCCTCTTTCCCCTCTCTGTTGACAATGGCCATCCAGGCAAACGATTGCAGCAAGGTGCCCTCCCAGTCGTCCACCCCGCCTTCTAAACCAATCCAATAGTCGGCACGCGGCTGAAGCTCTTTGGCGGAGCGGGCTCTATTTAATGCTCCTTGAAGGGTCTCTCTGTCTGAGAATGGCTGGTCCGGGACGCCAGAGGGGACGCTGAGTGTTTCATACTGAAATGTTGCCGTGGGGAATACGCGCGCGAAGGCTTCTTTCGTGGCAGCAAGCTTAACTGGGTTTTTGGACGCCACCACAACTAGAATAGGGGCTTCTGACATGGCTGCTGCTTATTTGATGGGGATGGGATGAACGGCTGAGAAGATGTTTGTACTGCGGCCGAGTATGAAAGACGCAGGTGTCACGTGGACCACGGAGCATGCCCGGAAGATCATCACGGAAAACACTTATAATAGATTCTGGGCTTTTATTTCAGCTGCTACTAGTAATTAATGACTCATAGTAATTAAAGACGGAATGTTTAACAGTAATAATTTCAATGTAAATTTGCAAATTTTAGTAGTAAATTAACGTTGCTAGCTGAACAATTTCACGCATCTTCTTCTGTCCTTTCCGTCGGGTTTGCCATGAGGCTTTCAAATCTCCGGCTAGGAATTGAAAAGAAGATACCGTTTGCGATAAGGAAGATGAAAGCTGCCAAGAAAAAGGGCAATGCAAGCCACCCGCCCTTTAGCTGAATGCCCAGTTTATACACTGCAGTTAAGACTGGGCCAGATGTGGCAATACCAATATTCTCCAGGACGCCCATGGTCGTGAAGACAGTAGCCACTCTGTCACCTGCAGCTTGGGAGATTAGACCGCGCATAGCTAGTTCGTTGCCGCTTCCAATAGCGTATATGACCAAACTGGCGATCAACGTTGCCGGGGTAGGTGACAGACCTACGGCGAGACTGCCCACCAATAGGACAGCAAAGCTTAGTCGTACAAGCCACAAGTCCTTGCCAATCAACGACAATCTCAGATTTTTTCGCATATACACACTTGCCGCTGGCATAACGAGCCCTGTCATGACAATAGCCACACCTATCTTCAACGAATCCAAAAGATTGGCCTACCCTGATTAGTAAAACAGCTGAATTATTAGCCGTATCTTGCACGTACCTCTTCCCATTTCCATCCAAAACGTTTCGTGGCGTATTGAAGCAAAATAGCTGACATAGATTTCCCAAGCGTGGTAAACATAATGACTACTAAGCAAGTGCCTAGCAACTTGTTGTCCCAGAACTGGTATCGTACTAGGGCAGGCAACTCCCGGTGGGCGCTCTCAACCCAGGAAATGTTGGATCCATGTGACGGTTCGCTATCTTCTTCAGGAACCAGATGGCTGGCTGCCTTGGCTGTAAGTTGTCTTGTCTCAGGTAGAAAGAAAATTAAAGGTAGACTGAGTGTGCATAGTGTTACCCCTACGGAGACACAAAACCAAGGGCTGATTTGCATGGCAGAGTACGCCAGCGGCCCTGAGCACATCATCGCCCCCATGGTTGCACTGCCTGCATAGAAAAAGATGATAGACCTAGTTCTGTTAGTTACAATTCGGGGCACAAAGTTGAGTAAAATGTAGAAGCAGAACTAACCTGTTTTCTGGAGACGCCACGTCGTTGATAATAGCAAAAACGGTCGACTGCAATACAACATTTCCACCACCAATCGCGGTGATTAGGCCGGTTGCCCATATCCATCGAAGGTCTACATAGTCTTTGAAATATACTGGACAATGTATGAGAATCGCGCTGTTTGCTTGACGCAGGGCCTAGGTGGAAAAATACGTACTGATGATGAACTGCACGGTAAACATAAGAATGACGCCAGCGAGTGCTAGGAAGAGGCTGATCCGTCGGCCCAGAGAATCGGCTAAGACGCCGTAGGGCATGGCGAAGAAGACGCCAGGCAAGAGAAGAAAAGTGGAGGTCCATGAATTGAGGGTTACAAGCTCTTTCTGGATATCGTCGCCTTTGCATCGTCCATCGTTGCCCACCGTGATATCGTGGTAGTATTTGCGGCAGATGGCATCCTCAAGAAGCTCCATTGTCGGCGCTACAAACATACCAGCGCCAAGGTCGGCAACGACAATAATAATAAAAGTAATAAGCAGGACAGTGTTTCTATGCCTCTTGCTCAATGCTTTTGATTGTGGCATGTCGTCGCCATTTTGATTAAGCAGAGGCATCTGCTCGTCGCTGGCCGTTGCAACCATGATGAAGGTGTAGCACTGCTGCAGCAGGCTGATTGATGGAAGCTGGAGATAGGGGTGACAATGGGGGACCTGGTGCTGAAACTAGTGAGTACCTCGAAGAATAAAAAGTTGAAGCATCACAGTTGAGCCGCAAGTGCGCGTCGCCAGCAAATAAGTGACGTAAACGTCAACTAAGCAGCAAAAAGAAATGGTTCGTCGGGCTGTAAACGCCATTGGCTACAGCCATATTTTTGCACTCCTCTCAAAGGACTCTCAATTGTGTGAGGCCAGCCTTGCTTAGGTGATCGACGGCCTCGAATCGGGACGCTACGTAAGCCCGGAGCTGGGACGCGTACGCTGGAACGGCATGGCGTGACGCTAACGGACTGTCGCAAGAGCCCGTGGAGGGGAGCGTAAGGCCGGGCGTTGCCATTTCCAGTAGTCTGTGGCTGCGCTAATGGCGTCTTGAAGCCCTGCTACAGAGGGGCGCCTCGAATGGGCGCATTGGGAATGGAAGCTTGATGGTTGACTTGGTGGAGTAGTAGCTGCGTTCGTTCAAGCGCCGGACTCTTCCAACAGCCCGAGACCACCCGCCAGCTGGCACACCTGACGACGACACTTGGCGCGCAGTGCCAGAGTGCCACTGACCGCGAATCTCCCGGCGACATTTTCTCGTCTCGCTGCAGTATGCCATTGATTGGCTGCGAACTCGTCACCTTTCCTTTTACGTTCAGCGAAGCTTTTGTTGGCGGGGCCATGATGACTTCGGAGCTTGACCTAGCGTTCGGCAAATGTCCGCACGCCGGTATGACTGACCGCCAGGCTAGGTAGCCTTGCGGCCATGTATATAGCGAGTTGATCCGCATGCTGAACAACGGCCCATGGACCTCTTTGTCTTAGAGACTATGTCGATATATCCATAATTCCAAGACTTGATCTTAGCCTTGTTATACAATGGCGTCTATCGGTGACGATTCGTTTGGCCCTCAACTGCCAGGCGTCTTTGACTTTACTCTATGCTTTGAACAGACTATCCTAACCATTCTCCCGGCAGCCATCTTCATTCTTACAGCACTATGGAGAATGGTAAATCTCTGGTCTCGTAAAACATGCACAGCATCGCCTCTATTGCTGTTAGTGAAATTGGTATGTTTGGGAAGGCTGCGTGGCTTGTATAAGTGGGTAACTAATGCTAATGCAACACCATAGGTCGGAGTGGGATGTATTGGTGCTATTCAGCTCAGCGTCATTGCCCTTTGGGGACTTCCATCAACAAGTCGAACGGCAGCGTCAATCCCAGCCGCGGTTGTTGCGTTTCTGGCAACAGCTCTGCTTGGCCCATTTATCTTTATGGAGCACCGTCGCTCGCCCAAGCCCGCTGCCATTGTCAGCGGTTACTTGCTGTTGACTGCCATTTTGGATCTTGCGCAGGCGAGGAGTTTGTGGCTTCGAGGCAGTGCCAACTCGTTAGCAGCATTGTTCACTATCTGCATCGTTTTGAAGGCTGTCGTTCTTGCCTGTGAGGAGTCGTCCAAGTTGGTTACTACAGGCGAAAAAGAAATGTCTAAAGAATCCCACGCTGGCCTCATTAGCCGTAGTGTATTCTTTTGGCTAAACCGCTTTTTGTTTCTCGGATCCAAGGTTACTCTTGGAGTTGGCGATATTGGCAGTATCCATTTCAAGTTCGACTCTGATGCGCTGCTTCTGAAATTGGAAAATCAGTGGAACGCTAGTATGTACTCGGGATACTCAAAACTACGTCCGTGCTAACAAATTTCAGGCGATAAACAGGGAAAATACAGCCTACTACTATGTACCTTCAAGGCTTTTAGTGGCCAGTTCTTGGCTGGTGTTATGCCTCGCTTGCTATTCAGCGCTTTCACATTGTCGCAGCCATTCCTAATCAGCACAATCGTCGGATACATCGAAGAACCTGCTGAAGTAAGAGACGTTCAAGTAGGAAAGAGCCTAATCGGTGCCACCATTTTAATTTATGCTGGCATGGCCGTAACCAATGGTCTCTACCACCACATGACATATCAAATGACAACAATGTATCGCGGAGCGCTTGTCTCACTGGTGTACAAAAAGACCTTATTATTGGAGCCAACTTCAATTAAAGAATCAGCACCGACCACGCTAATGAGCACTGATGTTGAAGGAATAGCTACTGGTTTAAACCCGATTCATGATATCTGGGCCGCATTTCTCGAGTTGCCCGTAGCTCTGTTTCTGCTGTATAGGCAGGTCGGAATCCCGAGCTTATTCATTCTCATCCCTGCAATCAGTATGTTACATTCATTGTGCCCGACACTGGTGGCCCGTTTATTAACAGTCAATAGTCACTACGCTCCTTGGCGGCATACTGTCACCAAAGCTTGGCCCTGCCCGCATCATTTGGAATAGAGCGATCCAGGAACGTATTGGAGATACTTCCAGCATGCTTCGTCAAATCAAGGGTGTCAAAATGATGGGATTAACCGAATACTTTCACAACAGACTGGCGACCCTGCGTTCCGATGAGCTTAAACGCTCCGTCAAATTCAGAGTTCTGATTATTGCCTTGAACACGCTCGGTACGTTCAACCGCGCTACTACATCATTAAATTTGGACCACTAACGCTAGCCACAGCAACCACAACGCAATTGGTCACTCCTGTGATCGTCATATTGGCCGCTATTTTCTGGTCAAAGGCTGATGAGGGACTATCCGTATCGGAAGCCTTTACCTCACTCTCTATTGTTACAATTGCAGCCACGCCCATTAACAACATCCTTGTGTCTATGCTCCAGCTCTTCGGAGTTGTTGGTTGCTTCAGCCGCCTACAAGAATTCTTGAAGCAGCCTGATCGAAAGGACCCGCGACAATCAATAATTGGTTTACAAATGTGCGATAAATCTATCGCCGCATCCGAGGGTACAATGAATAACGATGCACCCGCTATGGAGATGTCAAGTCTGTCTGATATTCGCTCTGGTCAACAAGACACTGTCATCCGCCTTACTGGAGCCACCTTTGCAGTTACCAAGGTGGGGGATATCTTGCATGATATTACCATGGAAGTTACACGAGGCACTCTATCAATGATTGTTGGAAGGGTGGGTTGCGGCAAATCATCTTTGCTCAAAGCCATGGCTGGTGAACTGGCTCTGACAGCAGGAACCGTTGAGACCTCCTCGGCAGAAGTTGCCTATTGCGATCAAACCCCATGGATTCCTAACATCAGCATTCGTGATAACGTGGTGGGCCAATCCATATTTGACGAACTTTGGTTTGAATCTGTAGTCAGCGCATGTGGTCTTGATGAGGATATCAAGCGCTTCAGGAACGGTACCAGCACGATTGTTGGCTCTGGTGGTAAGTATCTTCAACTCGAAGACAAATATTAAGGTCTATTGACTAACACGAGTTTTCTTAGGTATTTCGCTGAGCGGAGGCCAAAAGCAACGCTTGGTATGTGTTTCTGAGTTTTTAAAATCTATAATGGCTAATCATTCATGTAACTAGGCACTCGCTAGAGCTGTCTATGCTCGCAAACGGATCATTCTGCTCGACGACGTTTTTAGCGGGCTAGATAACAAGACGTCAAGAAGGGTTTTTCAGCGACTCCTATCAACCGATGGGCTTCTACGCCGCGACAACCGGACAGTCGTTCTTGTGACAAACCATCGTAGGTTACGCCGTGTAGCATATTTGACCAAGATGCTAACGTTTTGTCTAGTTGCGTTTCTCCCAGCTGCGGATTGTATAACCATGCTTGACGCAGGACGAATCATTCATAACCAGGCTGAATATAACGCGTTAGAGCCATCAGAATGGGGTGTCCTGGACAGCGACGGTGCCAGCTCCAGCTCTGACCTTGATGACGATTATGACGAAGCCACGTCTACCGATCAATCAGAGGAGAGCAAAGCAGAAGCTAAGACTAAAGAAGTTGAAGAAGTCTTGGGTCGTCAAGCCGGCGACTGGGCTTGCTACAAGATATACTTTAAAGCCATGGGATGGATCACGATGGGCATTGTAATCCCGGCGACACTGGTCGGTGTTGTCATGGAAAATTTGCCAAGTAAGTCAACTGCTCTGAAAATTTTACCTTTTTCTAACATGCATAGCCGTCATGTTAAAACTATGGACGCAGAATGGTGGTAGCAAAGACACTGGCCTGGGATACTTAGGAGGCTATGTTGGATTTTCTGTCGGTTCTGTCATTGTGATCATGTGTGGGCTCGGGTAAGATTGTTCCTCAGCGATGGGAAATGGTGATTCTAACATTTTGCAGACATTATTTTATACATGGTATTCCTAGATCCGCCAACAAGCTGCATTTGATGCTACTGGAGACCGTCATGAGGTATGCTATATAGACTATTGAAAGATTGATAGTCCATATTAACATATAAGCAGGGCCCCTCTTTACTTTTTTACTCAAGTTGACAATGGCGTCACTCTGAATCGGTATGTTCGCGTTGATTCTGCTTACTGCGCTTTGCTAATGCCTGCCGATAGCTTCAGCCAGGATATGAGTCTGCTTGATCAGGCGCTTCCAATGTCGTTTTTTGCGACTCTGGCACGTAAGTTTGATGCATCGTTGTATGATGTTTCGCATTTTCTGATCGAAATATAGTATCATTTGCTGCAGCAACTCAGGCGGGCATCATTCTCTCAGGCTCGTCGTATCTCGGGGCTATCCTCCCAGCTGGTATCATTGCGCTTTATTTGATCCAGAGATACTATCTCAAGACTTCTCGACAAATTCGATTTCTGGACCTTGAAATGAAGTCACCACTGTACACGCAATTTTCCGAGACATTGGCTGGCCTATCCACCATCCGCGCATTTGGATGGTCGTCGGCATCCAGAGTGGAAAACAGCGCCCGATTGAACACTTCACAAAAGCCATTCTACATGCTCTTCTGTATTCAAAGGTGGCTGCAAGTCGTATTGGATTTATTTTCGGGCTCTATGGCAGTTGTACTAGTTACCTTTGCGTTGATGATCCCGCAATCCTCAAACGGCGCTGCGCTGGCGTTGGCAATGGTCAACATCATTTCTTTCAACTTTACTCTTTCCAATGTCATCAATTCCTGGACTCAGTTGGAGACATCACTCGGTGCTATTGCAAGACTGAAGTGGTTTATGGAAAACACCCCCCGGGAGCAAGAGCCAACAGAGGAGGCAGAGCTGCCTAGCAACTGGCCATCCAGCGGTGAGATTGAATTCAAGAATGTCACGGCTTCTTACAGGTATGTCCAACAGGGTTAAATGCACAGGACGATAAATTCTAACCATACGAATCAGCGATGAGGGAGATGCCGTTCTCAAGAATGTTTCTTTCAAGATCAAAACAGGCCAAAAAGTTGGTGTTTGCGGTCGATCTGGAAGGTAAGAACCAACCTGGAATATGATATTACTAAGTCTTGTACTAAAAAGTCTGCAGTGGCAAATCATCTCTTATCTCTGTCTTGGCCCGCTTACTAGAACTCAGAGACGACGCCAGCATTCTCGTCGATGGCGTCGATATTTCTACAATCCGACGGCAGACACTGCGCAGTCGTCTGGCTGCTCTGCCCCAAGACGCTCTCTCCCTCTCCGGAACCGTGCGGCGCAACCTTGATCCCAGCAGCGCGGTTCCCTCTGACGAGATGCTCATAGCCGCTCTTACAAAGGTGGCTATCTGGTCTTTTATTGAATCTCGAGGTGGCCTCGATGCATCCATGGACGAAGTAGGCCTGTCAGCTGGTCAGTTGCAACTCTTTAGCCTGGCAAGGGTCATTCTTCGTGGCAAGGAAACAGAGGGTAGTGGATCGGTGGTGTTGCTGGACGAGGCAACAAGCAACGTCGACAGACGAACTGATGACGAAGTACGCGCAACACTCCGAGCCGACTTTGATGGGAGAACAGTTATTGAAGTAGCCCATCATTTGGATATTGTGCGCCATTACGATGTCATCATTGTTCTCGGTGCAGGCGAGATGCTTGAGATTGGCAGCCCGGATGGGCTCCTAGCAAACCCTAAGTCTGAGTTCTATGCGCTTTGGGCAAGCAGGGGACTATAGAATGGTGAAAACATTTCAGATTGACAACTTAGCTTATAATTAGCACTTAATACGAGTATGATTGAAAACACACACTGCGCCTGAGAGGGTCGGCTACGTCACCAAGGTGAGTAATGCGTATGCTTGCTGCCCAACACAGACGACAACCGTGCGCATTATTGGGTTAATATTGGTAAACTATTTGTTCACTGCATAGCAAATGCAACGATGGGCCGAATTATAAATGGCTGCATAAGGCTGTGCGGCTCTGTCGGCAGCAAGCCGAGATCCCGCTTCCGTCTCCGCTTCCGTCTCCGTCTCCGACGCAGGTGAAACCTTGATTTGAGAGGCAAGTACACGGACAGAACAGTTATATAGACTCACAGCCCAACTCAATCCAATCACGGAAATTCATCAAAATCACATATCTATTCATTTGGGTAATTTTCCAAGTCAACAATCAACCACACGATGTCTTTTCCCACTACACAAACAGCGCTCGCCCTGACGGGAAAGCGCAAGCCGCTCATCACCACAACTACACAGGTCTTCGCTCCCGAGGAAAACGAAGTCCTCATTAATGTAAAGTGGACTACATCGACGCCACTCGATCTGCATCAAGCAGATGGCGGGCTCCTCATCGCTGCATACCCACGTCTCTCGCATGGCGGCGGCGCGGCGGGTGTTGTTGTCGCGGTTGGCACAGGTGATGTCAAGGGTCTTGCTGTTGGAGATGCCGTGTCTACCTTTGCATGGCACGGCGGAAAGGAGGCCAATCATCAGGAATACATCACTGTCCCTGCCGACCTGGTCTCCAAGATCCCGCAGGGCATCAGCCTCACGGACGCCGTCACCGTCTCCGTCAACCTCGTCACAGCCATCCACACCATCACCAAAGACCTCGAGCTCGAGCTGCCGTGGCCGCGTCCTGCAGACTGGACACCACTTCATTCTCAAGACCCCATTCTAATCTGGGGAGCAAGCTCAAGTGTTGGCTTCTACCTGATCCAAGTGCTCAAGCACTGGGGCTACAGCAACGTCTTGGCCGTAGCTAGCGGTAGACACAGAGAGGCACTGCTTGCGCTGGGCGCTAAGCAAGTCTTTGACTATACGAAGCCTGGCGCAGTGGAAGATATCAATAACGCTGCTCCGTATATTCCCTATATTGTCGACTGCATTGGCTCCGTCGAGGGCACGCTGAAGCCGTTGACCAAGATTGCTAAAAAGGACACAAAGGTGGCTGTTATGCTTCCAGCTATTCTTCAGCACGCATCGAGTAGCGAAGCACCAGAATACGAAATGGACATTGCCAAGGTTCTTCCTGAGGCATGGGCCGAGGGTGTTGTAAGAAGAGGCGTGCGCACACACTTTTACACTGATGTAAGTATATCGACATCCACCGAGAAGGACAAATCCGAAGAGAGCTGTGCTAACATGGCTATAGAATGCCTTCTTCAAAGACAAGATGCAATCAGAGATTGTACCGACACTACTGGCACAGGGCGTTGTTAAGCCCAACAAAGTCCGCATTGTCGAGGGAAACACCATGCTGGAGCGCGGAGAAAAAGCGCTGGCATTACTGAGAAACCAGGCTGTCAGTGGCGAGAAGCTGGTTTGGAAAGTATCCGAAGAGTAGGAGATGATTATTTCACGTATTTACGAATCATGGGAGGTTTGCTTCAGTAAAACGTTGTCCGTTGAGGAGTCATTGCTACCTCGGGGCCTGTATTATATAATAGCCAAATGAACCAATCTGATAAAATCTGAACCGAAAAAAAACGCCGTGAAACCCAAAAACGCCTTGTACCCGAGAGGGAGATTGGTCTGACGTGGCTGCCTGCTGCCCAGGGCCTTCTTTTCAGGAAACTCATGTCCTGTGTATATGTACTCTCTACACCATTCATAAACAATTCATACAATCATGTCTGCGAGCCAGCGCTCTTTAGATGGGGATCGATACGTCGCCGGCTAGGAAGTGCTCCATGGCGTCGACACCGACTTGGGGCGTCAGCATGAGGCGAGTAAACTCGTCCATGTCGTCAAGGCGGCCGTACTGCCAGAACTCCTTGAAGTCGAAGTTGCGGATAAAATACTGGGGCTTCTCGCGCCAGGCCTTGTAGAACTCGACTGACGATGTGGCCTCCCAGAGGCTCTTGGACGCCGTGAAGCTGGTGGGCGCCCACATTTCCTCGGGGGCATCGTCCTGACGCAGCAGGACTTGCAGACAGAGGAAAGCCGTGCACACGAGCTGTGTGCGGCGAACGGATTCGAGAAAGACCCAGCTCTATAAATACACAGGTTAGTACATCATGGTAACAAACACTAACAGTGTCAATGGGATTAAAAGGAAACGTACCTCCCAGCTCTTAGGGGGTCTGTCCCGCGATGTGCAAGAGCCGCCGCCTAGCAGCTCGGCCTCGGCCTCGAGCTCTACAGCAATAGGTCGAAGCTCCTTCATCCATGAAAGAAGAACGCTGCGCTCTCGATCAGCGGAGGCGCGGAGACTCAGATCACCGTCAAAGACGCGGATGACGTCAAGCACAACGAGCGCCTGGACGCGAGCAAGCTTCTCGGCGTTGGTGTTGGCGTTTTCGCCCTCGCGGTGGATAAGCACGGCCGAGTTGGCAACAAGCTTCATGATCCACGACTTGTTCTCTGGGGTACTTGTAGCGTAGGCAGAGGCGGCGGAGAAGGCAGAGAGCATGGTCTTGGGCAGCTTGCCGGCCCAAAGCTGCGGGTGCATAAAGGGCGTAGCGCGGGTCTTTGCAAACACCTCGTGCAGACTCGAGATCTCCTTGACCATGAAGCCAGCGCAGGTACGAGGATCATGAGCCTCGGATGGGTCGACACCGATGCAGGCATCGTCAGGTTTAAGGAGGGACAGGTCGCGGATTGGCGAGGGTTCGATCTCAACGGTAGGGGCAGTGGGGAGAGGGTTGAGCTGCATCTTGTTGCTGGTCTCGGTAAAGGCCGAGTTGAAGTTGAAGAGAGAAGTGTTGTTGGCGTTGGAGCCGGCGTTCATAAAGTCGACAATGTCGAAGTCGAGCTCAGGACCAAGAGGCATGTTGACGGTCTGGGCAGAGGGCATGTGGTGATGGGGGATGTGGTGGTGATGCTGGGACTCGGGGCTTGTCTCGGTGCCCAAGCTCTCCATATCAAAGCCCATGTCAAAGTCCGGCATGTCCGCCATCTCGGGCGAGGTGCCACTGGACTCGGCGGTGCTTGCCGCGCCGGAGATGGTAGTGGTGGTGCTGTCTGTCGCGGAGGTCATGGCGGAGGGCGGCAACTTCTGGTACACGCAGTCAAGGCCCTTGGCAGCGCACCGGGTACACCGCGGAGATCGCTTGTCGCAGCGACGCTTTCCGCGGACGCAGGCGTTGCAGCTCTTTTGGCGAGACGCCGCCGAGGCCGAGGCGTCAATCTTGGGCATGGCGTACGCATCAGCGGTGATGCTGGTATTAGCGAAGGCGTCCATGCTGGGTGGGTGGGTGCTAACGGGGAGCACGGGGAGTATGCGGGACGGAGTGGTGATTATAATAAAAGAAGCGAGGAGTCGCGTGTGTTTTCCCTTGACAGCGGCGTCTTGTGAATATGTGTGTGTATGTCACCGAGAGTGGTGGTGGTGGTGGCAGCTTGGCGGAGTTCGCTTGCGAAGAAAGTGCAAGACGATTAATTGAGCAGCACACGCAACAATCTCGTGCTGAAGACTTGCCAATAAACGATTGTAACGAGTTGAAGGGAAAGTGAAGATGGTAGAAACGAAAGAAAAGGAGGACACGTCGGACTTTGGCTGGATGATAAATGAAAAGCTGCCTCTGTGGCCACAGAGCCTCCTTGGAGCTGTGGAGGGAAAATCTCCAGACAGAAAAAAAAAGCGTACGTCAACACAGTCAGCACCGCTAAGTGCCGCCGCGAGGCTCCGCAGTCAAGTTTACAGGGGACTGCAGGTACAATACAGCGGGGCTACAGTGCCCTTGGAGCGCTGTAGAATACGCTTTTCAGGGCTTTCAGGTGGACGGACATGCACCGTTAACTCCAGTATTGCCCCACCGCGTGATTGCCGTTTTGGGTAATATCCATCGCTGCGCACCGGGTGCCAGACGCATCGCTGCGTACAAAGTCCGCAACTCCGCAACTCCGCCATACTGGATAGACCGTATAGCGGTTTGTAATCGGCGCATGAAGACGCTAGTCGCGCAGTTCTAGATCTGATAATCGTAAGGCTTAGCATCATCTGCCGAGCTGTCACTGGATTCCGGCAACGGGTTAATGCGCTGCGTCCGCTGGCTTTTGCATCTATCCCGTCCCCGCGCATTGGCAAGATACATACGTTTCCCACATGGCCTGTTTCCTTTTCACACCCGGCTGTTTCTGTCGCCAGCTGGTCGTTGCCTGGCGCCACGTGATTTCCACGGGCGATTTCCTCCTCTTTGTGGAGCGTTTCTTTCCACGTGCGGCGGGACCAGCCAGGAGGTGAACGACACCTCGCCAATGCGCCGCGCCGCCAATTATAGAAACATGTAACAAAGTGTTTGGTTCACATCAATGCGAGGTGTGCCGTTATAGGCTTCGATTTTTTGGTTGCCCGCGGACCCCAATTGCCGCAAGGATGAAATGCAATTACACAACTACATAACCCTCCTTTGCAGAAAACTAAAACCGTTTCTGCAGCCTCCAACAGGAACAAAGGAAAAAAAAGAACCCTGCTCTTTCGAAACAGAAATAGGTACAGTCCCAAGAAACCCCCAAAAATAGAAACAATAAAACAGAGTAAACAAGAAATCAACAAGAAATCAACAAGAAACATTTTTGTGTGTCCATGTCGCTGCGAGCCGTGGGCTTGTGTCAAGCACGGGGTATATATACGTTTTCCCACAGCTCGCGCAATCGTTTGACAGCAGCTTGGCCCTCATTTGAGGAACGCTTAGCAGCTTGAAACAGAATCGAGTATTCGTGTTTGTAAAAGAGAACACCCTCCTACAGAAAACACTTGGACAGAGGGAGCATAAAGGAAATACGAGGAAGCTGGATCCTGTAGTAGAGCTGCTGGCACGCACGCCTGGAGACTCTGGCTGGTATAACAAACAAGTTGGAGCATATGCTCCTTTTGTGTCGCGCGGCTGTTGCTCGCTGGGTATGGCGGCTATTGTCGGGCAAGAAAAGTAAGAGACAGAGAGGACAAAAGTTTAAAAAAAAAGGGTTGGTGAGGGAAAGAAAGCTGGGATGGTGAGTCAATCCCTAGATGCGCAAATGGCGGATGGCGTCGATGGTCGTGAATTTGCTTTGCTCGGATGTCGTTTCAGTCGTATCAGATTTTTGTGTGTAGCAGACGTCTAGTTGTTGTTTTGTACATGTGTATGATCGCCTTAGTACCGGTCGTTGCGGTATCCGTTGGACTGATGAGGAGCATCGTACTGCACACCAGTCATCGAGTCTGGCCCAGGAGGTGGAATCGCGTTGCTAATGGATCGCAGTGGCGGCAGTTCGGTACCACCCGTTGTCGGTGCATATCGATCCGGAGAGTACGATGCAGATGGAGCGGGCGGCTGTTGTGAATGGGGAGGAGCGGTGGATGCGGGAGCTGGCGGAGCGGGAGCAGGAGGAGCAGCGTGTCCGGATTGGCCAGCGTGCTCACGAAGCTGGTTCATTTCCATACGAATGGCGTGCATCTCACGTCGTAGCATCTCGTTTTCTGATACGGCGGTGTTGTAGTGTGACTGCATAGCGCGCAAGTGGTCGCCCTGGCGCTGGTGCTCGGCAATGGCTGTTGGCGAGAGTGGGTTAGCTATGGCTAGTCTTACAGGTGGTGCTGTGGGGGGTTTGTGCAGTGACATACCTTTGGTGAGAATTTCCCACTTGGATGCCTTGGAGCCGCGCTCTTGGGGCATCAAATCTCGCAACTGGTCGAACAATTCCTTCATCTCGGTTCGGCGTTTTCGCTCGGCAAGCTTGTGGCTGACACGCAGTTCAGGGGTGCGGCTGTAAGGCTGGGCGCCAGCACCGTTCTCGGCCTGCAGGTCCATCAACTGCTTGTGCTGCATGCTGTGGTGGTGGACAGAAGGAAATTCTGACGAGTTGCTAATACGGGCAAATTCACCGCTGTCTTCTAGTCTACGCTGGCCGGCCGGTAGTCGGGATTCGGTAGTGAACTGGCTGCTGGCGATAGATTCGGTGATGCTGCTACGACGAGAGTCTTCGTAGTGAGCAGGGCCAACGCGCGTAATCTCTTCTTCGGGGAAAGCCCAAGCTTGACCCTTGGTAGGTTCCTGTGCTCTGGCAATGGTGCCTGTGGCAGGGCCAGTAATGGCGGGTGCAGTTCGGGCAATCTTGGGCTCTGGATTGCGGTCGGCGCTGGGTTGGTAACCGTTGGAGATGCGGTGGACGGCCAAGGCCTCCAGTCCCGGTCGGGGGTTACGCTGGTTGTGAAGCGTGTTTTGAATAGACGTTGTCGACTGGTTGTTGCTGGCATATCCGGAGCCCAGGCGCATGTCACTTAGGCCCTGGTTGATGCGGCTGTCAACGCTCTCGCGGCGCATGTTTGGGTCCATGGGAGCAGCAAGCTGGTTAGGAGCTTCAAGCGAGCTAGGGCGCTCAAATCGACGGTCGGGGCCACTGGGGCTGGTTGGCGACACCATCGCAGCGACGCTCATGTTGGCGCTGCCTGGCGACATGATGTTGGTTTGGGCGTGGGACGTGGTCGGCGAAGGGGTCTTGTCGGCGGTCGAGGATTGGAAGGAGGCGCCGGGGCTAAGGCCGTTTACGTTGAAAGATGCAGCAGAAGTATCTGTGTACAAGGACAAAGGGTTAATACAAATCAAAAACCGGTCGTCGGTTGGGAAAGAACGTGGCCACAGCATGGAAAGTGTTGAGCGGGTAAAAGTGTGGCTGAGGGGTATCGACGGATTGGGAAACACCTACGCTTGGAAGAGGCTTCGGCGGTCGAGTAGAAGCCGGAATCGCGAAGCTGAGGTAAATGCTGAGCAGCGGCAGCGGCCTGCAATTGAGGCTCGTCGCGGTTCAAGATGTTGTTGAGACCGGCAGCGTTGTTGGTCAGTGGCCTGGGTTGGGCGTCCATGGTTGACATGGTGGAAGAAGCGAAAGAGGGCTGGGGAAAAAACGTGGTCGGGGGTGGGCTAGCGATGGCGGCTTGCTGACTCTTGTTGCGCTGGGCAGGGCCCCAGTTTGTGCACGCTTGCGCTGTAGGCGGCGCCTGAAGGGGTGTGTGTGTGGGCGGGAAGTGGACGGGAGGAGCTGAGCGAGCAGGCGCCAGTTGCGGCAATGTGTAGCGATGGAGGGTGATTCCGGTTGGCGATGAGTTTGAGAAAAACACAAAAGCGAGGGTGAGATATATTTCCGCTTGGTGTTTTTGTCCCTTTTTTTCTCCTGCACTCTTTTAGGCGGGATGGCTGTCGGGCTTGCCGGGAATCGGTTGTCGCTGACTGGGTGAGCAGAAGCAGCAGGTAGGCTGGGGCTCTCGGTGAGATGGGCTATCAATCGAATCGGGGGGCGGGTTTCAAGAGGCCAACAGGTAGTTATTCCATGGAATCCGAGTAGGAGTCGTCGCTGGCAATCGAATTGCGATGTCGACGGCGGATGCTGGCTTTGCGCTGGTGACCACAATGTAAAGTTTGGTTGAGAAGGAGGGAGAGGATGGGTAAGTAAGGCTTCGGGGGGGTAAAACTATGTAAGGTTTTTTTTCTTTTCTCCCAACTCGTTTTCTCTGATGCAGGCCACAGCGTTGCAATAAAGTAATAAGGCAGAGAAGAAAAAAGCAAGAGAGACGACTACAAGAGGGTACCAGTAATTGGGGGGGAGAGAAAGGTACACCACATGTACTGTCTGTAATAAGCTCTGGGGGTGGCACGCCCACCACGAGTGGTCTACTAATAAGGCGTATGAAACGAGACGTTACCACCGAGCCGACGCAAGAGGAGACGATTGGAATTGGCGAAAGGAGACAAGGTGCATCACCACGCGGTGGGCCTGGGGGGCGTGTGGTTATAGTGTATGGGGCATGCTGCCAACGTGGTGGTAAGTGCGCGGGGGCACCCAGCGTGCGATGCGAATCTGCTGCCGCTCCGGGCGGGCATCGCTTTGGGCTTAGCGGCCAAATTACAGCGCCGTGCAGTGCAGCGCAGTGGCACCCGGAAAGCGAGACAGGCTCCCACACTGCTGCTGCTCTGCTGCTGGTGGGCGGCCACCACGAGCACCCCCTGCTGAGGCCCCGGGTAGTGGTACTCCCGCTGAACGCCCACCCCGTCTCTGTGCGTCTGGTCTGCCTGTGCAAGGCAGCCGCATTTTTCTTGATGCTGGTTTGGCTTGCTGGGCTTTTTGTCGTGCTTGTGCTTGTATTACTGCCCCCTCTTTCTGTCTCGCCTGCCGAGAGATTGAATCAGCACATTGCAGAAGTGGATGCTACTGGTTTGTGGCAGGCGAGAGGGACCACAGCCAGTGAGTTGGGCCAGCCAGCACGAGATTACAGAGGGTGAGGGGCCACTGAGGGGGCATCTTAAACACCAGTGTCTAGCGCAATCCTACTATTATGAAGTACTGTACAGAGTATAGACAGCCTGATTTGATGGTGGTGTAACAGAAGGTCACAAGCACAAGAGCCAAAAGATGGGTATATCCCCGAAATGAGTACAGAAAAGCGTGCTATATCGTACAATGTCTAGACAATATCTAATTCTAGGCTATTATGCCCTCTGCAAATATCAAATATCATGACGCACGAGGTGGCGCCTGCAGTGGCTGTCCTTTTTTGTTTTATTCCTTTTCATCCTCTTCCCGTTCCCTGTAAGCCTCTCCGCCACAGCGTGGTGATAGGGTACTGTACCTAGTGTGCTTGTTGTCGCCCCCGTCTGGCCTGGGCTGCTGGAGGGCAGCGCACGCGGCAATGTGTTCTTCTGCTGCACGTTGTCACCCGCCAGCGGGCCATGTGCGAGCCACGCTGCGCAGCTTTTAGCAACAACAGCAGCAGCCAGCGGGTGGGGACCCTACCCTCTGCCGAAATGGGACCCCGAAGCGAGCGCTGGAACTGGAGCACGAGGCCCGCTAAACATGGGCTGCTGTGGTGCTGGTGGCCCGCCGGACGCTAATGTCCCAGGCCGTATGTGACCTGAAACTACAGTGATTGGCAGCGCCGGAGAGAGCCTGTTGCACAACCACTTACCAACACAGTGGTTTGCAGTACACTGGCCAATGCTATGGTGGTAGCGGGTTTGTCCTCGTCTTGGGTAGTATGCCGTGGTGCAATTGTTCCCTAATTTCTTTGGCAAATTTTTATTCTCCTTCCTTTCTTTTCCTGGGCATTGATTTCTTTTTTTGGAATTATGAGGAGCACCACCGGCTGCAAGTCCTCGTTGATCACAGCCTGTGCTTTAATGAATGGTATGGTTGGTGGACAGTTGTAGGCATATGCATGTAAATTGTGCACAAGCTTTCCCGTTGGGGGTTTATGCAGCCTGCAGCACTGCAGCCAGCCACCCAATTTTTTTTTCTATTTTGACGGTGGCGTCTAAGGTTTTCTTTTTCCTTTTTTTTGCCAATGCTTACCAGCGATAGCCGTGATGAAAGAGGCGAAATATGACAAAATTAGCAGCATATGCATCAGCTTGATGACCAAAAGAAGATGATGATGAAGAGAAATAATACGAAATAAGAACCACTCTACGCTCTCGCGTTCCCTGCCACCAGCTACAGCAATGGTCCCCGCCTGTCAAACAGCGCTACCCTGACCAAGCCCACCAAGATCGTGGGTTTGCCACGCGGCACCCTCCTCCCACTTTTCCGCTCCCCCAACGCCTGCAAAGTGCGCTGAACCTTTTTTCCTAGTGCTCACCACCTCCGCCATCCAAAAGCCACCAATCCCAGAGCCGCAGTCCCAGCACCAAGATGACCGGATCTGTCTTGGCCCAATTTCCGTCGGAGGTTTGTTTCTGGTTCCCGAGGACCTTGCTACAGAAAAGGAACCTAAATCTTACCTGACTGAACCTAGCATGCCTCCCTAGCCTTCTTCATGGTGCATCGATAGCGCCAACGATATCGCTATTTTAGTTCTCACCGGCTTTTGTAAAACACAAGTCTCGACCAAGCCATTGCCACGAGGCCAGCCTTGCTGGAACGCTACCCTTCGCCATTCGCTTCCAACAGTACATTCATCCACATCTGGGCAGAAATAGAACACGTCGTGCCAGCCATTTGCTCATCCGCAGATCCATGACTGTAGCCATGACCATGTCCGCGGAAACGTAGCCATGCAGTTGGACACAGCCCGGATCATGACGCATCGTCTTGTTGCATCACTTTGCCGGCCGGACAGCCAGTTATCACATAGCTGGATCCTGCGGCAGGTAGACGTTTGAACCAGAGGGCAGACATACAGGCAGACAGGCAGGTATTGCCGGGGACAGCAACCTGTGCGCACAGTGCATCAAATCATATGCTTGTGTCGCACTCCTTCTTTCACCTTGCCAAATGGATTGTCTTGCCCAGAGTGGTTGACCGAAGGACAGGGTCAGTGTCCGTGTACTGCACCGCTGTAGGGCCGAGTGGTGGATCCTGCTAACCGCGCTGTTCCTACTGCTGTTGCTGCCACACAGACCCCCATCTCATCGACCGCAACATGTTCCGAGCTTTGGCTGCGCCGCATATGGTGCATTAATTTTACAGGACCAAATGGCACAGAATAGCCGCAAAGGATCACAGGGAAGAAAGAGTTTCCGTTCGAAGATCCAAGCCGCCTGGCTTGTTGCCCAATGTAGGGGAGTCTACCCTGCCAACTCCATCTAGCATAAGCCAAACCCAGTGCCCGATCTGGACGCAAGTGATGCCCTTGTCGTATTGGCTCGGACAGGGCCTACGAATGGGGAGCATCCCGTGCCATTCGACTCACGCCCATGATCTTATCATGAACCCCGCTGAATGTAATGGGCGCCTTGCCTACTCGGTGAGACAAGACCGATTTGCTTTCGCCCACCGTTGCTTTGCCCTGCTCGGCGATATTACATGCGGGATGGTTACCAACAGGCAGCGGCCGAAACGGCGGCCGAGAAAGGGGCACGCTGCGCTGACAAAGTCAATCGCTACTCGATTGGGAGGTCGGCAATTGACACAACCAGTTCGAGCCGGCGATGGATTTACTGAACAGATCGCACCCGTCTCTTAGAAGACATGTGCAAAAACATGAGTCGTTGTCAGCCCATTTGGTACGGCGCAAATACGTGCCAGACACATCTGACAGACCACCAATCTGCCTACGGGCGTTTTTGTGCACATGGGCCGAATACCTCTTACTAACAAAACCCACTGGCACCCTTGCACACCTGTGAGCCTGTGCGAAACGGTTTTGGCAAGCATATGCAGTGATGAGCTTTTAGTCTTAATTGGTCCGGGGCCCTGCCGCATCCCTCGATCTGCGCTGCAATGGCTGAGTTGATGCTGGCGGTCCGATGGGTCTCTTGCATCTCCTCAAATCAACCGGCATGGCAACCAGGCGGTTACGCCAATTGGGCCGCAGCAGCATCCATACGAGAAAGCTCAGCTTCGCTTTGGTACCCTTTATGCCAACTCGAGCCTTTGTTGCCTGTTCCACTTGAATTGACGTTGTGGTGGACGGGACTGCGACTTTACACGGGCGGTGTGACTTGCTACATATCAATAAGCAGCTTGCAGGGCTAATTAGGCCTTCCGGTGGGCGGAATTCACGGCGAGATCTTGCAGTACGGATCACCAGCCTCCTCCAATTTCAACAGCTTCTCAAGCGGGGAGAGCTGACGACACGCTTACAATCTTCTAATTCGCTGCTGTATTACCCCAGCGGTAGACCTTTCAAATTGAACCCTCGTTCTAGCTCCGACAATATGGCCGAACGGCGACGCGGAAAAAGGTCCGCTTTTGTGTAGGCTCGGCTGTCTGTTATTGATTGGGTTTGCGTTCCTGGCTTTCAAGAATTGCTTTTTTGACCTGCCTGATGGCGCAAACAGGATCCTGCATGGCCACGCGACGGTAAAACGGGTGCTGTGCTTCCCGTGCCACCAGGCGGAGCGTCAGCTTGCTTTTTGCTTCCCGGCCTCGTGGCGTCGTCAATTAAGCAAAGCAGACGTGCAGTGTTACAGTTCACTTGTAATGGACGTCACTTTATTTTCTTTTTTAATTATATGATGATGGGCGTGACCCAGATTATTGGGTGCGTTATTGGATATTAGACACACGCCAGACGCCAACGTCGTGGATACCTGTTCGTGCCATTATGGGAGAGTCGGTTTGGCTGTTAAGCACCAACAGGGTATCAGTATCAAGCGACGCCTCACCCTAGGACAGTAGCCTGTGAAAACGGACCCTGGCATCGACTTGGACTGGAATGTCCTGTCACGTTTTCACAGCGGCCGGCAACAGTATGGGATTGGATCCGACTGCGAAGGCCGTGGCCATGGCCATGGGGCAACAGAAAAACAGGCCATGTCTCGGGCAGGTTGTTTCAGTGACCCAACTTGCCGCCTATTGCCTCCACAGTCGTCCAAAACAGATACCCCCTCTCTGCCCATTTTGTTTCCACGTTTGCACCTTGCGAGAGCTCGTGGCTTTGAAAGATGGCTGAACACAGCGGGGGCCAGGCTGCTACAGTTGCCTCCACGCATACCTGCGAATCCTTTCTGGTTCTGAATTATTTGGAATAGCGACTGAGATTTCAGAGCAATAGTGTGACGTAGTCTGATTGGCCTTACTGTTACGGTTTGCGGCTTGCCAGGAACAAGCCATAAGCCTATCACAAAAGCAAACACAACGCAAGTCATGCTTCATCCACTGGGCGTCACCAAACAGCCAAACTATTGAGCGGCACCCCATCACGCGCATTGCCATCGTTTCGCTGCATAAAAAATAAATCAAGAAACGAATTTACCACGGTGCCACCTCCACGTATTGCCAATAATTGGGAAGCCAACCGAGGCGACGGCCATCAGCATGCAGGTACCCCGATGTGCCTACCACAGTTAGACTATTCCTAGAGACTGGCCCGAGTTTGTCACGGTTACGGCATGAAAGCCGCTCAGCCTGTCCTTGTATTGACTTTCGTTTTTTATCTTTGCAAGTATGCAAAGCTCGTTGTCAACCGCCAGTTAGACCTGAACGCTATGTAACCATCCAGTTAAACCTTGCGTCAAACTTGATTGGCAAGGCGTGTGCATCGGTGCCGTCGTCTCACTAGCGCCATTCAAACCGAGATATCGAATCGGCGCACGCACCCGCTCCTCGCGATGCGCGCCTCAAGATTCCCGCTTGCTCATCAATCGTGCGAGCGCGGGTAGCATTATCATATAAGCATGTTGCAACATAGATTAACTCCGCGCAACTCTCAAAGCTAAATAGGCTTTCCCGGCCCAGACGCCCATGCGCGCGGGCCGCAACCAGAAAAAGAAGCCGAATCGTAAGATGTCCTGCTCGAGCCGAGAAAGCATCTTGCCTCTTCTGTGCTGCTGTATTGTACGCCCCCTCCTCTTCAAGCTAAGCAATCTATTCCGTCTAGGGGCTCCAGGCTGTTCAAAAGACCCCTCCACAGATTTTTTTTTTCCCTCTCAAAGGATCAAGCAGAAGGGTGGCATGTGCTGTACTGCAGCCACGCCCTAGCCTACGACAAAATTCCAAGACATGCGCAGCAAAAAGCCGTTCGCCTATCCACCAGCAAGACATTTACGACTCTAAAGGCCCCCGAAAACTGACCTGTAACCCCCGATTGTCTTGCCTGCCTTTCCCAGATGCCGCGTGTGGCAAACGTGCCTGTCTTAAACACCGGCTGGCTGGTAGTGGTGGGTGGGTATCCCGTCCCGATGAGCTTCGGTGTTTGATTATTTACGTCTGTGTATGTGGTTTCATGAAACGGCCAAATTCCCATGTTTTTGGCACATACAGATCATCTTTCTAGCGCCCGTGTTGTTGCCACCAACGCCCCTGCCTGTGTCTCCTCCGCATCGTCGGCGGGCGAGACACGACTTACACAGCGACAGGCTGCTCTTTCCAGCATACGGCGGGGAAAGACAGAGAACCCTGGAGAAACATGCAAACACCCCTCCTAATGTCAGGGTAGCATATTCACCATAGTTACACCAGAAGCGCCTGAGCTAGGGAAGTCTAGCGGGTTCAGCGTTGGGCCAAATGGGGGTATCACATGGATGTCTCACAGGCCGCCTTTTCTTCTTTCACGAAGAAGGGTTGTCGGGACGGGCGCTAGCTGTAAAGGACGTTCTGTTTACGGGTTTAGCGGGCAGCTAGCCCGTCCAGAACTGGGAACGCTGTCAGGTGTCATATTCTAGGGATCGTAAAAGACGCTGGGAGTCGTCGACGTCGGCCTGTACGAGCCGCGGTGGGGTGGTGGATAGAAGGTTACGCTTTGACATGGTGATGATGGACCAGTAGTGGCTGTCGTACGAGACACATCCCGAGCATTCTCCTTAAACAGCATCCATTCACTCCTTGGAGCCGCAGTAATAGAATTTGTCATGTGAGGAACACTCAACCCGTTGACGCAACACTTGGACGATACGCAAACCATCTACGCAATCACAGTACATGTCACAGTACAACATGTACAGTTTCTGTTTGTGTGTGTTTGTGTTTGAATGCCGAGGTTTTTGTGTCATCTATAAACCAAATAGCCTAAGAGGTAAAATGTACAGCGGGAGCTCAGCCCGAAACAAAGATATCAGGAAATGAAAACGACGGAGTGCTCAAGGCTCCTCCCCGTATATGCTTAAAAGAAAAACGAATGAGTGAAGCAGAGTACGATATGCTTTCTGAAAAAGGTAACAATAAAAATAGGTGGTAATGAAAGACGCCTCAGCCTTCCTCTTGCTCGTCTTTTTTTGTGGTTATCGTCGTAATCATTATATTGTCTTTTTGTCAGTCTAAACTTTTACTCTAAAAGTCAAACTCGGGGCGGAAGACGTCAGGATCAACACCGGGGACCGTCTTCTCAGCGAGATCCCTACGGCCCATCTGCGTAAAGACCCTGCGCAGGGTATCGTAGAGAGTGCTGCTTCTGTTCTGCGCCGACATGCGGTCAAGCGTCTCGTCGACCTGGGCAGCATTGCCCTCGCCGAGGATCTCGTAGGCCTTGCTACGGCCCGACTTCTCAATGGACTTGTGCATCTCGAGGGCAGCAAGGAAGTGGCAGGCGGCTTCCTGGTGGCAGTTGATGTTGATGCAGCTGACGCCGAGGTTGTAGCGGGCACGGACAAAGTTGGGGGCAATCGAGAGCGCCTTTTCATAGGCGTCAATGGCCTCCTCGGAGCGGCCGCTGTTGGCGAGCGTCGCGCCGAGGCGGTTCCAGAGCAAGTGAAGCTGCTCCTGCTGGTTGGTGGTGCCCACCTCGGACGAGTGCAACGCGGACCGGAAGCAGTCGACGGCCTTGTCGTACTCTTCGGCGCCGTAGAGCAGAACGCCGAGTCCGACCTGGACGTCGGGGTCCATGTGCTCGCCGTCGGGGCTGAGTTGGGCGGCCTTGATGAAGAGGTCGGTGACCTTGTCGTGCAGCTGCTGGCGGTCCGTGAAGCCCATGTCCGCGGCGGGATGCAGGTCCTTGGGGTCCAGCACGTTGGGGTACTTAACCGACAGCCACCGCTCGAGCGTGCGGTACGCCGTGGAGTCGTAGCCCTCGTTTGTGTAAGAGACGGCGAGTCCCATGAGGGCCGCCAGGTTGTTGGGGTCGAGCTTGAGGGCTTGCTCGAGGGCGCGGATGGCAGCGGTTTCCTTTTCGTTTTGCGCCTGTGCGGTGCCGAGATAGACCCAGGCGTCGACGTGCTCGGGGTTCTGCTGGACGGCGGCTTCAAAGGCGAGGGCTGCAAGAGAAAGGTTGCCACCCTCCTTCATGACACGCACACCCTCCTCAAAGGCGTTCTTTTCGTCTTGGAAAAAGTTGTCTTGTTCGAACAGGTAGTTCTCAACCACTGGATCGCCGAAGCGGCCCCAGTCGCCGAGACCCTGGAAATCGGGCATGACGTCGTTGGTCCATTGCTTGTCGAAGGCGTCGAAGTCAAAGTCACTAGCAGTATCATTCTCAGCTTGGATTCCGCGCCAAAGGGATTCAAAGTCACCGAACTCATTAGTTTCCGAGGCAAGCTTGTTGTCAATGTCGTTTAGCTCGCGCTCGCCGGCCTGGGCCTCTTCGTCTTCTTTGGCCTTTTCGGCGGCCTCTTTGTCTTGCAGCTCGAGCTGCGCAAACTGCTCTTCCCACTGGTTCTCATCAAGCTCGACAAGTTTGCCCTTGCCTTTACCCATCTGCTGCTGCTCGGCGAGTTCCGGCTGCATCTGCTGCATCATGGGGCGCTGGTAACCCATCTGCTGCATACCGCCATACATCATGGGCCGGTGCATCTGCATTGGCATTCCGCTTTGCATAGGCATGCCAGTCTGCTGCATGGGGCTGGCGCGGGCCGAGGAGGCCTGGCCATTGGCTTGCTGGAAGCGGGCAAACTCCTCGGGGTTGAAGTGAGCACCAGGCGGGGGCTTAAAGGCAGACTCCATGCCAGGCTGTGAGTTGAAGTCGGCCGCCCATGATGGCGACGCAGAGCTGGCGCGCATGGGAGCATGCTGCATCGGGTTCATGTGAGCAGGGCCGGCCTGCATGGGGAATTCTTGTTGAAGGCCGGGGCCGTTGTTGAGGAATCCGTTCATCATCTGTCGAAGAAGGAGTCAAGAGTTAGCAGAACCATCTTCGTTTACCAAAGCACGTGCTGTTGCCTGTGACATTGTTTGAGAGAGAGACATTACCTCATCTTGGGGAGCATTGGCGGCCTGGCTGCGGAAGCCGTTCATCTGATTGGGGCCTCTGCCGACGAGGCGATCGCGCTGTAAGGTCTTGTCATCTTGGACGTGCTTCTGGAACTGGCTCAGAGGGTTTCCGGCCGTGGAGCACTCGGCGCCACCCATGAAGGACATGATGGGCAGAGAGTGTGAATGCGGGGGACGAGGAGGAGGAGGAGTGGCGAGAGTGTTGGTAGAGGCAGAAAAGCAGACTAGTGAAGAACAATAGGATACAAGACGATTGTTGTAAGGGTGAATAATGGAAATGGACACGATGGAAGAAGGAAAAAGGGAAGCGCGGGCTCGAGAATCAGATGGAAATCCAAAAGACGGGGATGACGGAGTTTCTGGCTCGGTTGGGGCCGTGGGGTGCTGATGCAGTGGTGCCGAGGCAGACGCCGGCCCGCCAAATTTACAGTGGCAAGCAGCGCCTAAAGCAGCCTGGAAGCCGTTCTCCGACACACTACTACAGAGGTTTCCGTCCGCCCCGCACGTGACTGCGGGGAGACAGCCGGCCGGGACACCCATGCAGATTGCGAGCTGTTGTTATCGATAACAGTTTTTATCGGATAGCTGGGTTTGGTAGTCGATATTTTTTTTTCCCTTTAGTATCGGTACCACCAACAACAATTATCACCACATATCTGATAATTCCTCACACACAATGCTTCGCACAGTGTAAGCCCTCATTTACGACTATTGACTTTAATTGTCACCGTTTCCATTCTAACCCCCTTCTAGCAAACCTCGCAATGCCCGCTCCAAGCGAGCCATGGAGAAGCGGGAGCCCAAGGCGGTCGAGAACCCCAAGACATGCCTGATGCTGCGCGGCAACAGCTGCTCGCAAGTCGTCCAGGACGCCCTGACCGATCTGTACTCGATGCGTCTGCCCTTTGTCAAGAAGTTCACCAAGAAGAACGCCATCCACCCCTTCGAGGACGCCTCGTCGCTCGAGTTCTTCTCCGAGAAGAACGACGCCTCGCTGCTCGTCTTTGGCTCCTCGCAGAAGAAGCGCCCGCACACAATCACCTTCATCCGCACCTTTGGCTACAAGCTGCTCGACATGCTAGAGCTGCACCTCGATGCCGACAGCTTCCGCGCCATGGCGCAGTTCAAGACCAAGAAGTTTGCCGTGGGCATGCGGCCCATGGTCCTCTTTGCCGGCACGCCGTTTGAGAGCCCCGTCGCCAACGAGTACACGCTCGCCAAGAGCCTGCTGCTCGACTTCTTCCGCGGCGAGCCCCTCGAGAAGGTCGACGTCGAGGGCCTGCAGTACATGGTGTCGGTGACGGCCGAGGAGGACACGGGCGCAGATACAAAGCCCGCCATCCACCTGCGCGTCTATGCCATCCGCACTAAGCGCAGTGGCCAGCGTCTGCCCCGTGTTGAGCTTGAGGAGATTGGGCCCCGTATGAACTTCCGCGTGGGCCGCTCGCGTGAGGCCGACGAGGCGATGCTCAAGGACGCCCTCAAGACGCCCCGTGGCCTGGAGGAGCGCACCAAGAAGAACATCACTACGGACGTTATGGGTGACAAGATTGGCCGTGTCCACTTGGGCAAGCAGGATCTCAGCAACATGCAGACAAGAAAGATGAAGGGTCTCAAGCGCAGCAGAAACGACGACGATGAGGATGGCCTCATACTCCACGAGATGGACGACTCCAAGCGCTCCAAGCAGTAAGCCAGCGGGAGCACTGCTTGCTATCGCCAGCATTTTTGGGTTTAGTTTTGCGGGATTCGTGTTTTGCTTTTGTTTTCTTATATCTATCAATCAATCCATCATGGCTTGGGCGTTATACGGCGTGGCATGGAAAATAAAAAGGAGGCCTTATTTTAGTTGTCTTCCTTTGTTATTAAAAGACAAATATTCTTACACACATAAACTTTGATTCTGATGTCCTCTGTCGGCTGCTTGTGATATAAACACCGTAATATTATTTTGCTACATTGCAACCACAAACGATATGGTCTAGTTACGGCAAGGAAATCATGCGCTTCTATACAGCAATTCATCGTCCATATCCCACCATAAATAAATGGCTTGCACCATCTCCAACTTTTTCCCGTGTACATTTCTCCCTTTTCCCAGCCATTGGGCAACACCTGCTTCCAAAACAAAACTTTCCCAATGAAAAACCGCCGTCGTAGCTGCCATCTCGTTAAAAAAAAACACTAAAACGCCAAGTAAGCCCTCATAATGACCCGGCCATCAGTCATCACCAATCGCCGGGCTATTGATGAACCAAAGAAAACGCCCAAGTCATGCCATAATTAGTTCTACACGTGTTGCGTCGGGTGGACTGTTGCGCACCGTCCTGTACAGCAAAACGAAAGAAAATGAAGAAGAATTCTATCCATGACTTTCATCTTAATCCAAGGGAACCTCTTCGTAGCCCAGCTCGTCTGTGACGGACGCTGGCGGCGAAGCAGGAGACGCGGGCACGGCATTGCCCATCTTGGCCAGCAGCTCAATGTGGCTCATCATGGTCTCCATCAGGCCCTTGTCTCCCTCTGGTCGGACCTCGCACTCTGTACCCCAGACGGAGGCCGGGATGTTGCCGTCTTCGAGAAGGGAGATTCGAACCGGCCACTCCAGGTGCTTCCACCATTTCGACCCAGGCTCAAACAGGCCAATGATACCCATGACTTCTCTGCGCGACACATCACCAAGCCACCAGACAGGCTCCATGCGTTTGAGTAGAGCAAAGAAGCAGGCCAAGATGGCGAGGGCTCGCGGTCGCTTTTCCGTCACCATTTCTACAAATCGCTTTGAGACGGTGGCGGGGAAGGCGAGCGCCGCGGGGGGATACGGGTTCCTATGCGCCCAGTTGAGGACTGAAACGGCGTGTGAGTAGGCCTGGCTGGAGTAGGCTGCTTTTTGAGGGTCTTCTGTGCCGACTTCTGCTGCCATGTCGTCGAGTAGGTGCGCAAAGAAGGACTCGCCGCCCAGAGGGTTCATATTGAGCTGGAAGCCGGGCTGTGATTCAATCACCATCTTGACGGCAGCACTGTTTCGAATCCATTGCCAAGAAAGCGAAACCACCGTCTTGACGCCTTGGAAGGCGTGAAACCAGGCCAGAGGCAGGGTGTAGGACGTCTTGGGGTTTCCGGGGACCGGGGTCGTATCGCCGTCGTCCTTGACAAAGAGACGCGACGCACTGGCGTGAAAGGCAATTAGGGACGACGTCAAGAAGAGCGCTTCGGCATTGTCGGCCGTGATGCCGTTGGTCAAGGCCATACCGTATTCTTCCAGTGCGTTGGCAGAGTAGGCGTGGCAGGCGTAGACGAGGGCCTTTTCTTCGGGGTGCATCGAGCGCAAGTGTAGCGCGGCGACGGCCAGCAGGGCATCCGTCAGATAGGGCTTACCAGCAAAGGCAATGTGCGGAACGTCGTGTAGCCAAACGGTACCTGAAGAGTCTGCATTGTTGATGAGTGTCTTATATGTGTTGGAGGTGAAGTGGTGCCATAGGCGCAGTTCCATCAGTCTGTCCACGGGGCGTTTAGACGGCGGCCCTGTCGGGGCAGGCATGCATTCGGAGAAGACGGGAGAAATCTGAGGAGGCTGAATAGGGGATCGCGGCATGGAGTGTTTGGAGAGGGGAACGGATCGGGACGAGTAGTTTGTCGGGCTGCCAGCGGACGAGGCGCCGCCGACGGAAGTGACGGAAGCGAGCTCATCGAGGACTCTGGGGTTTTCGAAATCGCACGAGACGCCGTGTTTTACGCAGTTGCCACATCGGGGATGGACTTCATCGCACTGGAGACGGGAGGAGGTTAGCAGCGAAGCGATTTGGAGGCCGGCAGCAAATCATCATAACGGGAGCTCTGTCGGGGTAAGATGCACAGGCATAGGGGGCAGGGCCAGAGGAGGGGAGCGGGGAGCGCACCTTAATTTTTCTATTCTTGCACCTGCGACAGCCGGCGCGCGACTTTTTATGAGATCGTCTGGGAGGCATCGCCGGGTTTGGGCGCGACAATTGGCGGTCGTGGTGGTGAGTCGGCGAGAGGAAGGCGTGAGAACGGGTACTTTGTAGGGGACGGTTGAGCGGCCCCAAGTGCAGCAACAGTTCGCAAAGCACTAACTAGAGCCCGGAAAAGGCGGGGAGGACGAGGAAGAGAAGGGCAGCAGCTCTAACGTTTGGGGGCAGGCCAGTAGCAGTGAAGGCGTTTATCAGTTGCAAGGCTAAAGCCGGCAAAAAAAGAAAGCAAATAAAAAGACAAGACAGGCTTCTGCAGGCAGCTGGGACTAGACGAAGCGGTGACGAAGGAGGCGGCGTTGCCAATTGGTGTGGTGGTTGCAAGCAGCGTGAATGGGCGACAGGCGCAAAAGGGGAGGCGAGCTAGAACATGAAGTACTGCAGAAGAGAGAAAAAGAGAGCGAGAGAGAGAGAATATAGCGTGTAAGTAGGGCGGGTTCGTTTAGCTGTGGTGATTGGTACAGCTGCTTATCCGCGTGGGTTTTCTGTTCCTTTTTGTCCTTTTTTTCTCTTGTAGGCGGAGAAGGAGGGAAAACGGGGGCGTGGAACTGGTGGGTGAGGGGAGAGAGAGAAGCTTCAGTTGGCTTAAACAAGCGACACAGCACCGCCGGGGGGGTTACTGTAGCAGGTAAGATCTGGAAGAAGAGTAAGCAAAAACCAGACACGAAAGAAATAAATAAAAAATAAGAGGGAAAAACAGGAGGTGGGGAAGACAGCGCAATTTGAATAATTGTACACCAGGAAAAATATAAGCATAAAATAAAACACACAAGAAGCCTTATCCAATTGGGGAGAAAAGCCAGCGATGCCGCTATATGAGAGAAAACAGGGCAAGGGACAGCGAGCACCACGCGGCGGCTTTGGGGGGGCAGCTCGCTTGGGTTGCTGTAGTGGGGAAGGAATGCGCTGTTACGTGCTGTGCTGTGCTGCAGCACCGGGTCCCTGCAGCATGCCGCCGCTAACTGCTGCTGCCACTGCATCCACTGTAACCGTAGCCCGATGTCCCCTAGGGAGCCCACTAGGCAAGCCACCAACCCCAGCGGACACCCACCACCCCTGGAGAACGGCGTGCGGCGGGCGGCGGGCCAGCGTGGCTGTGCACAAACACGGCGTCCATTGGGCAATCAATCAGTCCAGTCCATTGCGTTCTGTGTTCCTGGTCGGAGGAATACAAAATGAAACAGAGGAAAAAAAAAGACGATTGCGAAGAATGAATTAGTGTGCGGCCGAGTACGAAACTGCAACGATGGGCAGAGGTGCCGTGGACGAATCCATGCTGTAAAGCACGGCAACATACAAGACAATCAACAAAGACGAAGAAAGACAAAAAGACAAAGAAAAGGATGCACCGATATATATATATATATATATATATATACACACAAAATATATTCTCTCTACTGCCAAATTCTCGACTCATCTCCAAAGTGCCACCCAATCGCCGTCTTCATGCCCAGCATCGCCAACCCTCCAATCTCCTCACAGCGCCGACATCTCCATCCGCATCTCGTATTCTTTTTTTTTTTTGTTTTTTTAAAACCAACGTCTTCGTTTTCTTTTTTTTTCCCGCGCAAAACCCACCACCCACCAACCAACCCCACACACCCGAGAAAAGGCTGAGCAGCCTCCAAAATCGTCATTCAATCTACCCGTCGGCCTCGCATTTCCGCCGCTCTACATGGCCTTCTTGTCCAGCACCAGCTGTGTCAGCTCGTCAATGCCCTGGTTTTGCAGCAGCAGCATGTCCTGGAATCATTAGCAAAAAAAAAAAAAAGAAACACATCCAATGACATCATTCAACTCACCACGATATACGTAGGCAGCCATGTCGCTGCAAACCACACAGCCCCGACATTCGCGCCTCGCCAGACCACGCCGCGCTTCCGCGTCAGCCTTCCCACGACATCGGGGATAATCGACGCGACGTACTCGTCCAAGCTGCCGCCTGGCGGCCCTGCCTCGCCCCTTGCCCACCGCCCAATGGTCCCCGCGATGCCGCTGTACAGTGACCTCTCGGGCAGGGACAGCGCCGGCGCGTTGGCGTGCAGCTTGGTGGCTACTGTGCCTGTCATGATGCATCCGACGTGGACGCCAAACGGGGACATTTCGAGCCGCAGCGTCTCTGAGAGGATGTGTAGTGCGGCCTTGGCAGATGAATATGTTCCTAGGTGATGTGTTTTGTTAGTCGTCGTGCTTAGTGTAGATGTAAACGTACCTATCCACGGCGTGTAGACCTGTCCGCACGCATCGCCAATGTTGACAATGCGGCCCTTGCTGGCAATCAAGAGATCTGAAAACGCGTGCACCATGCGAAGCGGCCCCCAGACCATGGCGTCGTGCACGCTCTTGGCCCGCGCAATGTCTACATCGAGGAGTGGCGATGCGTAGCCCAGCCCGGCATTGTTGACCAGCACATCGAGCCCCTTGCCGTGCTTTGTTACGGCCGTGGTGGCTGCAGTGATGGACTCCTCGTCTGTCACGTCTAGCTGCAGAATATGGACATTGTCAAGATCCTGAAGCCGCGGCGGCACCTTGGCTGGGTTGCGCGCCGTCGCGAATACAAAGTGGCCTTGTTCTGCGAGCTGGGCGGCCAGAGTGCCTCCGATGCCCCCGTCTGAGCACCCTGTGATGAGGACGACCTTGGAAGTACTCATTTTGTAGGGTACTTGATAAGAAGCTTTGGTGGCGACAGCAGTGAAATCAGACGATATAATCTGAGGGTTAGTGTGTAGACGAGTGCGAGAGTGACAGTAGCGCGATCGGATACAAGACCCGCACCAGTGTAGGTTGCAGTATCAGACCGGGCGACCGCATGGTACAACGAATACTTTCAAACATTTAATCTGCCTTTATTCTTTTTTGTATACCCTATTTTTAAATTAAAAAAAAATCGGAGGGAATGGCATAATTTCGCAACGGCGCTTGCTCACGGTTATCAATGATGTCTCTCTGCATAATACGCATTCCTCAGGGACTAACATCGTTTATAGAGCACAACAAGAGGACCGAACAACAGCTAATAGAGAACAGCAAGATTTAGAGTCTCAATTTCACGTAGTAGCATTCATCGAGTATCAAAAACTATAGCACTAGTAGATAGTTGCCTTGGGACAGACCATCACAGAGCAGCGCTTTAGCACGTCAACACTCTCAAACTAAAAGAAGAAAAACGGCACAAAAATAGGGTTGTCTAAAGAAAGCTAACCGTTGATGTTGGATCAAGGAGAAAGCCTCCGAGGCGGCGGTTGAGCGTCATCCGAAGGCGCGTTCAGCAAGCACCACACTCTCACTGCTCCCATCCGTCACAAGACAGATGGATAGCAGAGAGTATGGTGCTCGTGTATCCTCACGCCAGTCTACATCTTAGACCAGCGCAGGAGAACAGCTGCCGCAATCACGGGAAGAACGCTCACCAGCTCACCAAGGCCGGCAAACTCGGGCGGGATACGTGCATGCACAAAGGCGCCCGCGGCAAGAAGCACCGCAAACGTATTGTACACAAAGCTCCAGCCAAAATTGAACTTGATCCGACCGACAGATACACTGCTAGCAGCCATCATGCTGAGCAGGCCCGACAGTCCGGGGCGCATGAGGACAACATCGGCGGCAGTTCGTGCCACATCGCTGCCCTCGTGCATGTGCACGCCAATCGTGGCCTGCGCTAGGGCAACGGCGTCGTTGGTGCCGTCACCGCAAAATACAACTACGGGCTTCTTCTTGTCCGGGCCACTGCCGAGGAGGTCGCTGATGTACACTTGCTTGTCGCCGGGCGAGGCGCGTGAGCGTATGTTGGATGGTGCGATGCCAACCTTGGCCGCCAAGGAGCGTACAGGACCGTCGTCGTCGCCAGAAACAATGTGCACGGTGACGTTTTTCTTCTGAAGCTTGCCAACCACGTCTGCGGCATCGGATCGAAGCGTATCCTCGAGGCCAAAAACGGCAGCCAATTCACCATCAATAGCAAAGCAAAAGATGGTGCACTGCTGAGAGAGGAGTGGTTTGACGGCTTCGTGCTCAGAAAGGCCTAGCCAGCGCGAGTTGCCTGCTCGTAGGACACGGGTGCCAGCCTTGCCTTGGATTCCCTTGCCAGCAATAACCTGCACGTCGGTCGCAGGGGTGGCAATCAGGCCTTGGCTCTTCAAATGGGTGCTGATGGCGGTGGAAACTGGGTGCTTGTTTTCGTTGACAAGGCCGAAGAGGAGCTCGAGCGATGCGGTCTTACCAAGAGAGACTTCAGAAACAATGGTGAGCTGGCCTTTGGTCAGTGTGCCAGTCTTGTCAAGGACAACATGGGAAGTCTTGTAGGCTGTCTCAATGGCGTGGGCAGACTTGAAGATGACACAGCGCTCAGCCGCAATACCGCTGGCAATCACGACAACCATGGGGACGGCGAGACCAATGGCACAGGGGCATGACACAATCAATACAGTAATGGCGTAGGTAATGGCCTGTACGAGAGCGTCAGATGCCGACTTGCCCTGGACGGCCATACCAACAACTACCCACGTTACAAACGTAATGATGGTTAAGCCAACAACGACGGGCACAAAGTAAGATGCCACCTTATCGGCTAGTTCTTGCATCTGGGGCTTGGAGAGCTTGGCTTGGTCAACCATGCTTGCAATGTTGGTGATGGTATTGTCTCCAGGAAGGCGATTCAGCTGTACTGTTAATACGCCAAAGCCATTGTTCGTACCAGCCATCACCTTGGATTTGGGATGCTTCTCGACGGGTAAAGCCTCACCCGTGAGCATAGACTCGTCCACTTCGGACGAACCCACGAGCACTGTGCCATCAGTTGGGATGCGCGAATCGGGTAGAACCCGGAACGCGTCGCCGTACTGGAGGAGCCGGGCGTCAATCTCGGTCACTTGGGTGCTGTCGTCTGGGCTAACGAGTAGAGCGTTTTGAGTTTGCAGGCCTCGAATGGAGATGGACTCGACGGCCTTTTGGCGAGCAAGCGCTGCCACATACCGTCCCACCATGATGAGAGTAACTAGAAGCGTGCTCGTCTCAAAGAATTGGCCAGTAGCCAGAGGCTTGTTGGCAATCAGGTAGCCAAACGAAACAACAGAGAAGAGGTAGGCAGCGCTGGTGCTCAGGACAATGAGCAAATCCATCTCAATAACCCTCGAGAAGATGAGAGCTTTCAGCGCCTTGGGATAAAAGGGGCCAGCAATAGCCACCTGGACAATTGTCGCCAGAGCCAACGAGGCGGATCCGTACGCAACCTCTCGCTCGGGCAACGGGGCCCAAGCCAGGACAAGAACTGGGATCGTGAGAGCCGCGGACAGCAAGGTCATATAGCCAACATGGCGGACGTGCTTGCTACCGGCTGCCAGAGCAGGATCGGCGCAGACCGGTGCGAGCGAGACATATCCGTTCCAGTGTTTCTCAAAGAGGTCTCGCGCGCCGACAATCTTGGGGTCAAACGAAACGCGGACAAGGTCATTTTCAATAAGTGACATGCCTATGACTCCAGTAGGCCAGGCTCCATTGACGAATTCGGATGCAGAACCGTCCACAACAACGTCCATGGTGTGGCCGTTGCTACTAATCAGCTCGCATTTGAACTCTGTAGTTCGCTCAAGGTGCTTTATGACACGGTCGACAGTAACTTGCGAAAGTCGGATATCAAACTCTGCGCGTGAAAGCACCAGGCTCGTCTTCAAATTGGTCACGCCTTCGAGGTTGGCAAGCGTCCTATTGAGCTTCGTCTCACATCCCGTGCAAGTCATGCCAGAGATGGACAGTGCCACGTGCTCGGTGCCTTCATGCTGCGCCTCTAGACTTTCCAATGTTGCGGTCATAGCAGCCTTGCTGGTGAAGGAGGCGGGCCGCTTGGTCGGAGTACAGCAGTCATCACCCACACAACTGTCCCTGGACACTGGCCTGGCTTTCTTAGAGCCACAAGCTGGCGTTTTGGTTGATGGCGGCTTGGTGGAGCGTGGACAGCACCCATCAACGGACTTGCGCACAAGGGAGTCTCTGGAAGTACGGCGGCATGACTTCTTCTTGGTTCGTTGAGCCGAAGCAGGTCGGTTGGGAGCGCAGCATGATTCTTTACCAAGGGCAAGCAAGGCGCGGCAAATGCAACCGAGAGCTTGGAGACGCTCAGCATATTGCTCACGAACAGATCGGCGGTGGTCGTCACAGGCCTTGGATCGTGTGGCTCGCTGCTTCGAGGCAGGGTGAGAAGCGTTGGCTATGATGGTTAGCAAAGAGTCGTCATTTGTTGTAAGAGTCATAATAACCTACCCTTTTCGAGCCACTCAAAGTCCGAGAACTCGGAACCAGAGTCGCATTCGCGAAGAGCAAGGCGCTCGAGGCAAGATTCGTCGCAGCAAGGAGACACTTTGCCCCTGCAGCAGTCGGTATCGACGACGTCCTTTTTATCCGAGGCCACGGTCTTGGTGCAGGATGCGCCAGGGCCGTCGCAGCAATCGTCTTGTACCGACTCAGAGGCAACGGATTCGTCGCAGCAGCCATCATTGCAAGCATTGGGCTTACTAACGGGAGCAGTAGCAGCGGGGCCTTGGTCACAGCAATCGTCTGATTCCGTAGTAGCAGCATCGCCACAGCAGCCCTGATTGCATGAGTCGACATTGGTCTCTTGCCCGTTTGCTGGGGCACAGCAGTCATCCTGAACCTCTTGTTCGGATTCGATAGAGTCGCCGCAGCAGCCGTCGTTGCATTCGTCTTTGGCAGGCTTGGCTAGAGTCGGTTCTTTGCAACCGCCATCCGCACACGCGGCGGCTGATTCGGTAGCCCCCATGGAAACTGCACCACCACAGCCGTTGTTAACAACCCTGGGGCTTGGAATAGCATCTTGACAAGTTCCAGACTCATTGCAACAGGAATCTGCAGCAGCAGAATTGGAGGTAGTGATAACCATGCTTTGGCGTTGAGCTGGAGCAGAATCCACGATGGTCTGCGGGGATGCCTTTACAGGCCCTCCGCAGCAAGACCCAGCCATTTTGATTCTCTTTGATTGGCCTTCTTACTCTAGAAAAGAGAAAAGAAAACGACAATGTAAAAAAGAAATGGACAAGCCTGTCTTGTTCGAGTGTGGTTGATCAGGAATCGTGGCAAGATAACCGTTCTTTTCGGTGGGTGATGGCCCCACCAGAGTGTGTCACTTGCGGGGAGGCAACATCCGCTGCAAGGTACCACGATCCTCTATTATATCTCAACTCGGGTAATATTTGTATTTGTATTTCTATTTAACTGTCTATTCACTGACGCCAGGGCATTCGATTCCACGAGAACAGCCTCTCGTAGACATATCGCACATCGACTACCACGTCTGTATCTTGAAATGACGTGACAATAGCTGGCCGAATCTTGTCCGCCAACTCTCGCAGCGTCTCTTCCCATTTCTTTGGCGGGATCGCATGCAAAAGATACTCAGAGTCAAAGGCCTCTTCTACCTGGTTCACATTATGATGATCATCAGGCGCATCGGCATCGTGAAGGATGTGTACCTCTAGGGATGATAGTTTTGGATAGTGTCCCAAGGCTTTATCCCTCCCTAACCTGATGATGTCCGGGACTGCCTTGAACTTGTCGTGCAGCCGCACCGTAAGTGATGAGATGTTGTCCGGCAAAATCCTGACGAGACATGCATCTGAATCCAAGTAAGCTTCTTTGTGCCAGTGCTTGCAAAAGAGCTCCTCATCAAGGGCAAGCGTTTTGAGCGTAGTGAAATCTTTTAGCCGATAGTCGATAAGCTGCTCGCTTGCGAACAACGGAATCTTAGCGCTACTGCAGTATATTTCTAAATGCTGAAGCGTGCCCTGTGTAGAAGCAATAGCGTTACATAGCTTCGTGGGTGAAAATAGTGTTGTTGGAGTGAACTGATCTGGGTATTTGTGTCGATATACGAGCTTTTTTAGTCGTGAGCAGCGCTGTAGCATGTTGGATATCGCAGCGATCGGCGGGGGACTCTTTGGCCGTGCGCATGGATCAAAATAGATCTCTTGGAGCTGTGGAAGGACTGACCAGCTAAGCTCAGGAGGCTCGGGGAATAGGTCGGGGTCTTGATGTGATCGTGGCTTCATACCTCGAAGCATGTCAAAAAAGACAACTCGAACATTGGGGATAGCACTCAGCATGTATGCTACACTTTCCAGTCCAAGACTCTCCTCTCTGTAGTGAAATGAGCTGCGAAAAACGACGGCATTCAGGTGTGAAAAATGGTCAGGATTGCCTGCAATAGCCTGTTTCAAGTAAGGATATGTAAGGAGAAGCCGGCCACTACTAAGCGGATGGCTTCTAACCCAGGATCTGCCGTCTTCTATATCTATCATAACAAACTCAAGCCTCGGCAGAATTGCAAAGTGTAGCGCCGTAAGAAAGCTATAGTATGCTGCCTGAGATATCATCATTGTATATCCTTCCTGGTCGCCGATGGGCGTATCCTCAAGATACTCGAAGCAACGCTTGAAATTTACATCATCTCTCGGGCCAAAATCATTTTCCGAGTCACGATTGTTGCCATCTTCTTCGAGGCCGAACTTTTGGCCTAATTGAATAAGGTAGACAGTATCTTCCCTGCTGTATACTGATGGGCTAGACTTGTAAGGACTTCTGTCCGCTTCGTAGTACCTGGCAAAGACTCTGACACTAGCAGCCAGATCTGGGCGCGCGATGACAGCCTTGAAGAATGATGTATAGCTTTTGACGTCTGGATAGTGATAGAGGATAGGTTGCGCCATCTCTTTTAGGGAGTGGCACGTCTCGGAGAGCGCCTTGAGCGCCTGAAACGGCGCGCCTGCAGGTGCAAACAAGGTAGCGAATGGCGACGCTGCGGGCTGGCAATGGCGACAGAAGAGAGTGCATATTTTGTATTGAATCTCGGAGGGGAGACCAAGAAAGGGAAATGATGACGCTGGCTGATCGGTAATGGTCATTGTGATATTCTCTTAACATAACAAAATCCTTTTATAAATGCCTTTATTTGTCAGCATACTACTTGTCCGTTTCAATCTTTTATTTACAGCCATTCCAAGTACAGTAGCATTGTCTATACCAACTACAGTAAAACGCCCGATGCTAGCGGCCGCCATGGACGTCAGCTGAAGGGAGGATTTCTAAGCCAAACTCGGGCCATCAGCGCAGCGGGGTGGATTGTTAAGCGGTGAGCAGCGGCTGGGGAAGTTCCAGGGAGCCCCGTGCTGCACCACGGCGTGCACTGTAAAATCAGAGGCGGCAACATGCGCTTTAGAATTTGCCATCCTTCGACAAGTAACACAACGAAAAGAAAATATAAATGGAAATATATTTCCATGTTATTTTTTTTAGATTCTAGATATTATCATATGTTCCTATAAAAATTGATTCCCTTGTTTTTTTTTGGTCCTCTCTTCCTCCTGACAGGTCCCTCGGACAGCGTACAGCGGATTTCTAACAGCAGCTGCGGAATGGAAGATTCGGGATGGGCGCGGCACGGCTGCATGACAAAACAGACCTTCGTAATCACGTCAACGGCAGAAGTTCCGCCCACGGCTCGGTCTTAAGAGAGAAAAAAAGAAGACAACAATATATAAAAGAGCGAGAGGCCAGTCCCATGTATTATTTTGCTTAATTGTATTTCCATCTTTTCCACTACCATCACCTCGCTTTCCCCCTCCAACTTTTTTTTTCTTCTCAGTGACATCATCCCTCCCCCCTCGCTCCGACAACCGCCGCTGGATGACACCATAATTAAGGTTGCCCTGCGATTCATCCCACCCACTGAAAACGACGTCTTTTTTTAGTGGAGCCTCCGCCGCTGAAGCAAAAAACGCCCGCCTAACAGAAAACGAAGCGAATCGAACAAGTGGACAAAGAGAGAACGAATTTTTTTTAATTTTTTTTTTTTTAAAAAATTCTTGGATTCTGTCTTTGTAATCGGTTCTCCATCTCCCGATTTTGGCAAGCCTCGCCCCCTGTTGTACTTAAACAGACAAGCCCCATCCAAACCAAACCGGTCTACATCGCCATCATCACCACCACATTTTCTCTTTTTTTTTTGCTCTGGCAAACGCATCTGCTCAGCTGACCAATCTGCATTCTCCCCCAACCCGGCAATCGGAATCTACCGACATCCAGCGCCCTTTACGGTAACCCTTTTCGTCCTGGTGCATATACAACGTGCATTTCATCACCACTTGTTCTATTGCTTCTCCAACAGCTACAGAAGTGCGGGTACCGTCGCTTCGGGAAAAAGACCCCGCCAAAGCCGAAACCCGAGTTGGAATTCTTCCATTTCTAGAAGGAAAAAAAATAAAATAAGAGGAACTGGAGCCGTGTCCACCAGGGTCGTTTCACACCACACAGCTTTGTTGTCATTGACTGCCCCTCCCCCTCTTCTTCTTCTTCTTTCTTCATACGCACGAGCTTTTCTTCTTCTTTACACCTCCAAAACATACACACACAACACACACAAAATCACAATGACCGCCAGCACCTCCAACGGCACCTCTGCTGCTGCCCCCCGTGGCTTCGGCACCCTTGCCGTCCACGCCGGCTCGCCTCACGACCCCTCCACCGGCGCCGTCATCGAGGCCATCTCGCTGTCCACAACTTTCGCCCAGACGGCCGTGTCCAAGCCCGTCGGCGACTACGAGTACTCGCGCTCCGCCAACCCCAACCGCACCAACTTTGAGCACGCCGTCGCCGCCCTCGAGCACGCAAAGTACGCCCTCGCCTACTCCTCCGGCTCGGCCACCACCGCCAACATCCTCCAGAGCCTCGCGGCCGGCTCCCACGTCATCTCCGTGTCCGACGTCTACGGCGGCACCCACCGCTACTTCACCCAGGTCGCCAAGGCCCACGGCGTCAAGGTCACCTTTACCCCGGAGATCGAGGTCGACATCAACGAGCACATCACACCGGACACCCGCCTCATCTGGATCGAGTCCCCCAGCAACCCGACCCTGCGCCTCGTCGACATTGCCGCCATTGTTGCCGTCGCCCGCGCCAAGAACATCCTCGTCGTCGTCGATAACACTTTCCTCTCTCCCTACGTTCAGAACCCGCTCGACCATGGCGCAGACATTGTCGTCCACTCTGTCACAAAGTACATCAACGGCCACTCGGACGTCGTCATGGGCGTCGCCGCCTTCAACTCCGACGACCTCTACCAGCGCCTCTCTTTCCTCCAGAACGCCATTGGCGCCGTCCCCTCGCCCTTTGACTGCTGGCTTGCCCACCGCGGCCTCAAGACCCTCCACCTCCGTGCCCGCGAGGCCACCCGCAACGCTACTGCCGTCGCCACCGCCCTCGAGGCCTCTCCCCACGTCATTGCCGTCAACTACCCGGGCCTCGACTCCCACCCCCAGCGCGCCGTCGCTATCAAGCAGCACCGCAACGCCATGGGCGGCGGTATGCTCTCTTTCCGCATCCAGGGCGGTCACGCTGCTGCCGAGCGCTTCTGCGCCGAGACTGGCATCTTCACTCTCGCCGAGTCTCTTGGTGGTGTCGAGTCGCTTGTCGAGCTTCCCAGCAGCATGACCCACGCTGGTATCCCCAAGGAGCAGCGCGAGCTTGTTGGTGTCTTTGACGATCTTGTCCGTCTCAGCTGCGGTGTCGAGGATGCCGACGACCTTACCGCCGATGTTCTCCAGGCCCTTGAAGCTGCCGTCACTGGCAAGAGCACCAAGAACGGCAACGGCGTCCACTAAAGCAACAGGACACCTGTTTTCGGCTGGTCAAGTCGTTTGAATGCCTTTTTGCAATGAAAATTACATATACATAGAGAATCATGGGAACGATGCATGATTGGGTCCAGGTTGATCAATGAGTCTTGGTCGCCTTCGTTTGCTCCGGTTTGCTGCAGCTCCACCAGGGGCATTTTTCGTTGTTTTACTTATAGACATCGCCTCATCAGGATTGGTTATTTTTGGAATATGACCTTGAGTCTAGTCGTCTTTGATTAATACACTTTTTTTTCTTTGTCGCCTTGCAGTCCGCCCAAAGTCGTCCTCATGTACAACAAGTCCATCTCGCACATCATCAAGTTGCCACCCTCTATCATCCTCGTAAGCCCAGACCTAGATACTATGTACAGATACAAAATAGGTAATCTTATAGCGATGGGATACAACCCTGTCTACATACCGTTTTCTTCTGCTTCTTCCCCATGATTGTCTTGTTCGTCATCGTCTTCGTCTTCGTCACCATCAAAAGCCGCCCAGGCCGCAGCTTCGTCCCTCAGACCCAAAGCTACTTCCTGCATCAGGAGCTGCGGCTGCGTCATGGCCCATGTTGCCGGGTTATCATTCTCGTCCCACGCATCCGACGGGTTATCTTCACGGTGCTGCACCATGCGTGCCCTCCTGCTCAGCTCTCGGCTGCCTTCGTCGAGCTCCTTATCTGTGCGCGCCGCAAGACTGTGCAGCTCGTTCATCGCGTCGTGATTCACATTGGGATAGATACCGTCTAGCCGTTGTCGCCAGCTTGAAGTACTATTTTCAACAGCCAACTGATAGGCATTAACATCGTAGTCTTCAGGGCGGAGCCGCTTTCGCTCCGTCAAAGGCATCTGTGTATCTTCCCCGCAGCTTAGATATAAGACCGGCTCCTTGTGTCGATTGACAGGTTGTCTAATACCAGTGACTACCTCCACAAATCGCTGCGATAGGTTGCGAGCCATTCCGCACGGATCATAAAAGTCAAAGTCGCTCATCGGCTCTTGTTCGTCTGAAATATATACGTGATAGCCAAGAAAAGCAGCTCGACATATCCGCAACTTCGTCAATTGGTTTCGTATATAAGGGGCAATGTAGCTCGAGGGCTCCTCTGGTATATCATTCGGCACTCCCACCCACAAGCAGGGTTCTGCGGTAGCCGTCTGGTGTATTTGTAGGGAAACATCGTTGAGGTACAGCTCCTCAAGGGTGTCCTGAAAGTTGGAGCAGAGAGAGACGAAGAACGCAGGACTTAGTTCTACGTGGCAAAGCTCAAGACGCACCAGCGGCAGCTCAATCCTAACGGGGATTCGTAATCGTCTAGCGTCAAATTCTTGGATATCCATGTGCCATATCTTGGACACTTTGACAGAACGGCGCTCAGCCCTATCATCGACGGCTTCTGTAATGCAGAGGGTCTGTAGCTTCTTAGCCTGCTGTATTGTGCCCCATAGTGCCGCATGGAAGCGCCTTGACCCGTCTTCTCTGGTAACATATCGTCGGAGATTCAGGTTGAGTGCTTGGATGGTGCTAAACACTGTTCTAATATTCCCAATGTCTATCGGGTTGGTCCAGAGGTCGCAAAGGGCAAGATCCGTCAGGTTTTCAATCACAACAATATCCATGCTCCATGAATCACGCTCCTCTACCTCGTCTGTCGGGCGCGTGGCAAACGCCTTGAGTGTGTTGGCGAGAATCATGGTCGTGGAGCTGGAGCTTGTTTTGACCACTTGTATCGGCAGATTGAGTCGCAGTCGAGAGACCTGGCGGCAGTTGTCTAAAATCGTAACAAGCTGTTTTAAATAGTCTTCTTCTGTAAAGAACTGTTCGTTCATGCAATAGCGGGCGACAAGCATATCGCAGAATGGTTTCATGGACGGCAGGTTGGCTATAGATCGTAGAAAGTCCACCTCGGCTATCACGATGTCAGCGTTAGCCTGCTTTTCAGCCTCTTTTTCTCAACTAGGATGTCCTTTTACCTTGATCTCTCAAAACCATAAGGTCAATGCATATGCTGTGGCAGAGGTTGCCTATCGTCTTGAGAGCCCGCGTGACAGGTTTCGGCTTGCCACTCGACTTGCTAAACTTCGAGTGTTCGAGGCCGATTGTATCGCAAACATATGGTTTAAGGATGAGGTCAAATTCTCGACAAACTAAACGCATCTCTAAAGCTTCATTTTTAGTACAGAGGCAGATTGTCGCCACGATAATGTCTTCGATAAGCTCAGGCGGTAGTTTGTCCATGGCAGTCAACGCAGGCAGCGCAGCTGCCGATTTGCCCTTTGGTGATGGATTATCTCCTCAGTATCATCTAGCATTTGAGTATTTACAGAGACGTCTGTCGATCCAGAACTGGCCTGAGGTGTACTATGGTGAGCACTAGCAGCTGTAGTGAGGTTGATATGTTCAAGTAGGGCAAGTGGGGTTGACCGTTGTGCGACACCGCCATAGGGTAGTGCGTACGAGATGGCGACTATCATAGCTACAGCACGTTTACGATAAAAATAAATTATAGTTTTAGTACGAGGAAATTATAAACACCCGTCTAGAAGATATTAGCCGCACTATTTTGAGGAAATTACAGTAGTGTGCCCTGACCAGCTATGTTTTAGTTATTCTGAGTGATTCACGTCTATCTCAACTCGCCTACGGAATAGTATTTCCACGCAGCATACCTAATTAGAACAGCATTTCATTGTCATAAATTCATTACATATGACAACATATCTATCGTTTAGCACAGTTACATCCATCGTGCTTCCATCTAAACCACCGATGACGACCTTCGATATCCTCGTCCTCCGAATCGGAGACACCGTTGGTCCCAGGGCTTATCGACTGCCACAACGACTTGCGGTTATCATGACTAATTTTAACAAAGTTGGTTCTGTTGACATCGCCCATATCGGGTAAACGTGGATGTATAGCCCTCATCTCGAAGAGCACCGGCTTGCAAGTGTAATAGTATTCAGCAAACATATCCGTGAGGTCGTCGCGCCAGCATCCATCCGGTTTGCTGTAATGTTTATCCTCCATATATATTATAGTGAGGGTTTTGAGACAATCAAAGTCGAAAAGGTGTGTTGAGTCAATATCTGTTCGCCTAGGTCCTGCCACCCAGAATTGGTCCATGTAAGAGCATTCAACCATCAAATGGCGGATAGTACGGCCATGAGGGGTTTCTGCAAGTAGTTTGAGGAGGTCTTGCCCAATACGTATGGAATCTATATTAAAGTCTACCCAAATGTATGATCGACCATCTCGTGCAGGCTCGTGGAACGCTTTGATATAGCTGAGGGCAAGTGTGCGGCGAGCTTCGTGGCACGCGTGGAGTACTGCTGGTGACTTGGTAAGAGAACGCCATGTTCCATTGCGAAGAACAAGGACAACGTCCCTCGATTGAGGAGATAGTTGCCATATACGATATCGCAGTTCGGCGGGAAGCCTATTGAAGAGGTGGAAGTCTGTCATGTCTTCAAGAGACCATCGTGAAAGCTCGCTACTATTTCGAAGTAGCTATCATTATGGATACGGTGCTTTATCTCGGCAAAAGAATTATGCTCGTAGAAGAAAAAGTAGAAATTAGGACGTGGTGTAGAGAATAGTATCACGATTTGATGACGTTGAAGAGACGAACGCGTGCTTTGTGAGCGGTGCATCCATCCAGCATGCTGGCTACTGGAGCACTAAGCCAGGGTCTGCAAACACTAGTGGCCAATGGGCAACGGGACACCCACTAAATGAGGTAGACTGTCGCCGCAAACATACAATCAGAAAACAGCCATTGCAATTGGGCGAAAACAAACATGTTGGTTGCTTTTTAGCGAAGGCCTGATGTTACTGAAGCTGATTTCTACTGTAAGCAAGCACTAGCAAGGGAGAGCGATTGGATGACATCATTGTTCGTAGAACGAAGCGCTGGCTCACCAAAAGGAAACATGGGGTGCATCTTGCTAGGGACGACGAATAATACAGGCATTGTTCTGGGCAAACACAGTGGATACAGGAGCATGGTTGCTGGTTGGGGTATTGGCAAGGGAGGTTTAAGATGAGCATCATCTCGACACGAGGCAACGCATCGGGCAGTGGAATGCTGCGAGCGAGAAAATCTCCATGATGATCTGGGTTATTTCCGCTTGGCTGTCATGGGCTTATGGACATGCTTGCACTCTGCTGATGTTACGATTATTTTTTTTGTTGAGAGAGAGACTGAGGTTCTTGGTGGCGTGTATGCCGAGAAGCCGATTTTTGCCAGCGCCGCTCTATCCGGCGCGCCAATGGTGGACACAATGTATTTCCTCTTTGCCGGACGATGCCAGGATTTTGGACTGTGTCACAGTAAGAATAGGCACACCCAATGGTTTCGTTCTGGTGCTCATTGTGAAACCGCCCGGCAAGCATTGACAGCGGGATGGGGGGAGCAGGACATCGTCATGCCGCCCAGCTGTGACATCTCACTGGAGCCAGCCTGCTCTCTGGCTCTGGGACGAGGGCGCACAAGATCCAAGACAGCGTGTAACGGCCCTATGCGGATAAATGAGCCGATAGATGGCAGCTGTATAGTACGAGGTTGGCTTGTGCGGTGCTGCAAGCGAGAGGCTGATTGACTCGAGCAGTGGCTGTCGATCTTGGCGAAGAGCTCTGTATCGAGATGGCTGAAGCAACACGGCCACCACCAGCACCAGAAACCATGAGATAATACAAGGAAAGCAGTGCCTGGAGGCTGGCTGGTGGTGTGTTTGCCTGTCTTTTCAGCCACTATTGTACCTGCACGTGCTGACGGTTGAGACAGCTCCCTGCCCTTACAATGCGCTCGCTCTGGGCCCCCTCTAGTAGAGGGCATTGATTTGATTCAAATGCGACAAGACAAGCGTCCAACGGAGGTCTTGACGCACAAGAACTGTTTCATGGCAGCGGCAGAAAATAGAACCGTTTGCGCAGCTGCGATAGTCTCTGGCGTTAGCCGCCCAGTCTTTCGCCGTCTCTCTCTCTCAGCGTGGGCTGGTACTATTGGAGTGGTGGCTGGCGGCGCGCGACAGGGTTGCTACGGCGGTGGTGGCCCACTACCCAATGCATTGTCGAGAGAAGGCTGGCACGATGATTACTGAGGATGCTGGAAGATGTGCCTGGGGGCCAACTGCACCACCGTTGAAATTTCGCAGGTACTGGTCTTTCTTCCCGCTTTTTTCGGGGGCGAAATTTTGTGCACTGGGGACTGCCGTCGGCAAGGTTTCGATGCGGAAAGTAACAGTAGCAGCGACGCGTAGATTCTGACTCGATGCGACAGATTGACGGCGAGAGCGATTCCTTGTTTTTTTTTGTTCGTCTATTCATGTCTCTCGTGGCGCTGCATTCATCGTGTCCTCCTCGTATGCATCTGAACGAAGGCGGCGAAATCGTCGCTGGAAATACGAGAGGCGTGGGGGATGACGGAACCCGTCGTGCAGTAGCTCTGCAGAACGGTGGCTGGCGGCGTTGCGGTAGGGCCAAGAAGGACAAAAGACGCTATTCTCCAAAAATCCCATGGCGGGTTCTCCTCTTTTTTTTTTTCTCTGCCCTGGGTTCTCCATTTCAGTGGACACTGACTGAGCCAGGTTCTTTTTTTTAGGGCACTGTGAACTGCTATTGATGTCATTGTGCTGCAGTTGGCGGCGCAGTAGCTCGTGACAGCAGTGGCAAGTTTGCCGAGCAACGCGAAAATGCAACATGGTGCCTGACAATAAGCCCGCATTCAGCAATCATTGAGAAAATGAGAATACAATTATAGATAAAAAGGGATATCAGAGCAGCAAACGGCCTCCTCTCCCCGCAAGCATCGTGGTCGCCGGGCAAGAATGTCTCGCCTGTGACCAAAAACGGCATGAAACCAGCTGCATTCCAACCTCTTCTTTCCATCGATGCTGCATCTCAGCGCCGATGCCGAGGCGACCAGGGCACTGCGCTAGGCCATTCTCCAGCGCCGACACAATGCTTGCCAAGCTCACAGTAGGCCTAGCGCTGTTTCTCCAGGCGCCGTCGCTGCCCCCCAACTACCGCAAAGTGCCGTGGCGCTCTCTTCTCTCGGCCCCCCCTGGCACTGGTTGCCCTAGCGCATTATGCGCATGGCGGCCCAGTATGTACTGTCCATCACTGGTGGTGCCGCTGTCTGGACGCTAGCAGTCGACCCCTGCCCTGCACCAAGCTCTCAGCACACAAAGGCCCGCCACCCCGAAAAAAGAGTCCCATGCGCTGTTAGCGGCTCCCCAGCACCCTCTCCAGCGCCCCCCAGCACAGGCACCTGGCAGCCACCCAGGCCCTCTTTTTCCCTCCGTCCCTTGGGCGCCCCCAATAAAACCACATCGTCGCCCAAGCTCCCCGTCCACTTTCCCGAGTCTTTTTTTTCCTTCTGCCCTCTGCTCTTTCTCCCTCACCTGCTCTCATCTTGCCACAGGCTTCCCATTACTTTACCCGCTTACTCTCCGACACTGATTAAGCCTGATTGCCTGATTGCTCTGCATCATCAGCTTGCTATCTCCATCATCACTTCCAAACAGAACTTACTTTCCGTTCCACGCGCCAATATGCTCAGCAAGGTTGCCGTCCTCGTCGCCCTGGCGTCTTACGCCACTGCACAGATCCCCGACTACAAGAGCAGCTTGGACATGCTTCAGGGGCTTGATGTTAACTCGATCGACCCTGGAACTCGCAGTATGTTCATTTCGCTCACGGAGAGCGCCGCTGTCCCTTGCGTTGATTTTTGCTAATTGCCCTGTTCAGACACCATGTGTATCGACCAAATTATCACTTGCGGCGTTCTTTGCAATAACAACAACGACGCCAACACTTGTGACGAGGTAAGCACCTCTACTAGCCGGCGCAATGTGACCAAATGATTGTTCTATCGTTCCCTCTACTGACACGAATTCCTTCATAGACCACGCTCCAGTACACCTGCACTTGCTCTTCCAACCACTCTTCTCCCGCTCTTCAATACTATTCCCAGACTCTGCCCAACTCCGTTTGCAACTTGGTCACCTTCCCCAACTGTATCAACAAGTACACCGAGGACCACAAGATGCAAGAGCAGTGCAAGCCCAAGATCCAGGATGTATGCGGCAAGGCCACCTTCGGCAGCTCCGCCAACCCTACCAGTGCTAGTGCCCCTTCTAAGACTAGCGGAACTAGCCAAGACGGTTCTACTGTTAGTACCTCTAGCAAGTCTGCGTTTGCTGCCCCGACTGCTATCCCTCTGGGTGCCGCCGCTGCTGCCGGTGTCGTGGCTCTCTTCCTCTAAGCACTACCCGCTTGGCTCATTTGACGCGACGCTGCGTGAATGAAATGAGAATATCTGCACGAGCGGCTGGTTTATCACACTAGCCGTACCCATTTACTTCTTTGTACCGATTTTTATGCCAGCCAGTACACTTATTGCTTTCTTGCGCGACACACGACATAATACCTTGACGAAGCAACCGAAGAAAAAAAAAGAGAGAAAGAGAGAAGAGTCTGAGGACTACGACGCCATGAGCGAGAGAAACCCTTATGATGATTGAATCTGTTTGTGGAGAAGGCCAGGACAGCCGCCTGCCGCTGGTCGTGTCGACGCAATTGCACTATACCCATGTATATCCGTGCCAATGCTCGTTCACGACGGCTCTGGCTGGCGATTGGCGATGTGTTTCGCATCCTGGGCCGCTGAAAGGAGGCGAGTTGTGTTTTTATTGATTGCTTTTAATTTTATATCCACCTTATGCACCATAGCAAGGCGAATAGGAGTAGGACAGATGGGCTGAGAGCCCTTTTTAATTGATACCTTGTAACAGGCACCCCACATTGTTTATTATCGTGTATTTTGTCAATGTCTGTATCCTTAGTATTTGAGTTTAGTATTCTCCTGCTTAACCGTTGAATTTATACTTGCCTAATTTGGCATGTATGAAAAGTAAAAAAACCGGATTTATGTGGATGAGGCGCTGATCCTCGCGGCGGATGGAGATCCATCGTCTTCAGCCACACACAGTTGTCTGGGGAACTTGGCCAGTGCGCATTCCAAGCATCACCATCACCGTTGAGTGTCTAGGGTTCGCCATATATTGTCTATCCTGCTACTGGCGTCATCACTTAGAGCGCCCTTTGCGACCGCGAGGAGCGTTTCCTCGAGTTGTTCGGGTGAGCTGGCATTGAAGACGAAGCAGTCACCATGGCTTCCATCCAGCGCAGAATGCGATGCCATCCATCGATAGGATAACTCTGCGGGGCTGATGCCTTCATCATACGCTATTGTATTCCACGCCTCCAGAGCATCGAGGAATCGTGCTTCGCGAAGGTATGGTTTACAAGTGGCCGAAACAGAGCCTAGGTTTGTAGCGAGTTGACGGGCCCGTGCTGCAGATTTCCCGAGAAAGCCTCCTGCCGACGGGCTATAACCATAAAAAGATATTTGAAGGGCTCGCAATGTCGGGATTAGCGTCGTTTCTTTCGCCCGACTAAATGCATTATAACTGCCCTGATAGACTGTCGGCAGCGGATAGCCATGCGCCAAACAATGAGCATGCACAGCTTCCACTTGGCTGCTAGAACAGCCCGATAATCCGAACTGATGAAATAAACCGCGAGAATAGACTTCATTTACGGCGCCAAGGGTCTCTGCGAGCGCTGTCTGAGGATCTGGTCGGTGGAGGTAGAATACGTCGACCTGTTTGCATATGCTAACGGTTAATATGGAAACAAGTTCTTTGATAGCAGACTGAGATTGAAAAATAAAGGTCGATATACCTTTTTAACACCCAATTTTCTGATACTCTCCTCAGCAGAGTGGACGATGTTGTCTCGTGTTGCCCATGACCCAACTGCCTCCGTAAAGGACGGGGGACTCCATTTTGTGTCGATGGTGAATGTTTTTCCGGCTTCAACTTTGCCTAACGTTTCTTCGGAGTTACGGTAACTCTGAGCCGTATCGATTTTACGCACGCTGTGCTCGGCAAGCTTTTCTAGAAACAAGCTCAGGCTCGTCTCTGGCATGAAGAGTGGCTTGTTTCCAATGCGTGTCCCGCCAAAGACGATGCTGGGAGGTTGGTGGGGCATCTTTTTCGAATTCGGGTTCTAGAAGTTTACATATGATACAGGGCGTTAATCAGTCTGTTCCCCCAGTTGAGCCGATTACTGTGTCATGGCCGTTGTTCGTTGCAAGTGCTGCGCCGCCTAGTGGACGTCTTCTCTGTGAGATATGTCGCCGAAGAAAGCGCCATCTCTGCACCAAACAGCGAGTCGGCCTAATACTGCGCCGTTTGCAATACCCACTAAGAGACAACCCCTGTGAGGATTGTGCGTATTGTGCAAATCATACCGCTAGTAAGGCTACAATAGCGGAGTGAGATACCCGCATGGCTTGCAGGGCTGCGCCACGCGGTCGGCTCGACTTTCTAACGATTAGACGTCATAGGCTGTCTTTTGGTGCAGTTTGGAGATTTGGAGAATTTTGGGGACGGCCATACTATTGAACCGTACTTGATGACTACGGTGAGTATCTCGACCATGGGCCTTATACATATATAAGAGGCAAGAATCTTGTTAGTTTGACTGGACAGCCACCATTACATCTTTCGCAACAGTGATTTCTTCAACATACCTTTTTCTTCTTTTCAGCTCCCATCGTTTTATTCATCTTCAAACCATGGTTAGCCTTACACTTATACTTGCCTTTTTGGGCACAGCTCTCGCCAGCCCTACGCCTCAGCGGCCATCTGTGACCATCAAGAATGGCACCGTGGTGGGCAGATCCGCCAACCAAGTAGACAGTTTCATTGGCATTCCCTATGTTCAACCTCCTGTGGGAGATTTGCGTCTTCGCCAACCTCGATCCATTGAGAAGCCCTTTGGAACCCTTCTTCTTCCCCAGGTAGCTCCAGCCTGCCCGCAAATGAACATGTCCAGCGTTGATACTACCGGTGTCGACAAGCAGGGAGCCGCCATCATCGACGAGCTCTCTGCAAACTTCACCGGTACCTCATCCGAAGACTGCCTGACGCTCAGCATCCAAAGACCCGCTGGTATCCCTCTCGACAAAAAGCTCCCTGTGCTCTTTTGGATCCATGGTGGCGGCTGGTCCATTGGTACGACGCAGTGGTACGACGGAACCGCTATTGTTCGCAAGAGCGTCGATATGAACGAGCCTGTTATCTTTGTGGCGGCCAATTATCGTTTGAATGCCTTTGGGTATCTCCACGGCCGACAGCTCCAGGAGGACAAGAGCACGAATCTCGGCATGCGCGATCAGAGGAAGGCCATGGAATGGGTAGCCGAAAACATTGGTGCATTTGGCGGTGACCCCGACAAAGTCACTATATGGGTAAGTATAAGCAACAGCCTGTACTTGCGAACAACAAATGACTAACAATGCAACAGGGCGAGAGCGCTGGCTCGGCATCTGTTCTCGACCATATGCTTGCCAATGACGGCGACCACCAGTACAATGGCAAGCCTCTTTTCCGTGGCGCTATAATGAACTCGGGCTCAATTATCCGCACGCAGAATTCCACCTGCAGCAAGGCTCAGGATGTGTTTGACGGTGTTGCAAAGGCGTCTGGTTGTGACCCAGCTGAAAAAAACGTTCTTGAATGCTTGCGCAAGGCCCCCTTTGACGTCTTCAACGCGGCCATGAACTCGGTGGACAACTTTATGACGGAGCGCAGCAACGATCTGGCCTATCTTCCTCGACCTGACCCCTCGGACACCTTCTTTGGGGAGTATCCTGAAGTTTCCATCGCAAAGGGCAAATATGCTCGAGTGCCCGTCATCATGGGCAATCAGCAAGACGAGGCAACCGTCTTTGCAGTGGCGCAGCGCAACATTGTCAACTCGACCGAGACCCTCGCCGACTTCTTCCACTCATGGTTGCCGTATACAGACCGCAAGACCATCGAGCAACTAATCGACACTTATCCCGATGATCCTGCCGCTGGACTTCCCGTCGATACTGGGTCGCAGTACGAGCTGTACCCGCAATTCAAGAGAAATGCTGCCATTCAGTCCGACCTGACCTTTATCATGGGCCGTCGCGAGGCTCTCTCGCACATGGCACATGCCATCCCCGCCTGGAGCTACCTTTCTACGTATCTTCATGATTTGCCCCAGTTTGGCACGTACCATATTTCGGACCTGGCCACTCAGTTCTCGCTCAAGGTGAACCCGTACGCGGGCGAGAAGATGGATGCTGCTTACATCCAGTTTGTTAACCATCTGAACCCGAATGGGCGGAACTGCCCCGAGCAGTGGTGGCCAAAATGGGATAACAAGCGTTTGCAGATGGCAGAATTTGGCAAAGATTCTGTGAAGATCACAAAGGACGACTTTCGCTGGGAGAGCTATGAGTTTTGGAAGAATCATGGAGCCCAGCTGCGCCAATAGAGGCGTTGATTTCTTTTGAACGCTGAATAGATTGATAGAGACATAGACATGCACACATTTATAAAGTTTTAATGTTTAATTTACTATACCAATCCGCTAAACCCATAGTTTCGCATGGAATTAAATTGTATTTGACAGAGACGGCCATCTATTCACCAAGATTCTCGCAGTAATGAGCATACTCATGAGCATATCCTGCCCAAGAGCCATGTCCACGACTGAGAGATCCTCCCTCAAAGGGGTCCATTGCTCCTATTTCCTTTGACCATGCCACCATTTCTAAAAAGTTTGCGCTGATTGGGGGCGCCTGTCGACGGCCGCTGAGCTGGCACAAGGTCTTGTACGGTGAGTGGATGTCAAACGAGGCCCAAAAGTTGGGGCACACGAGGATAGATACATCTTTGGTCTGGGAGTTTTGCACAATAGAATAAAGGATCGGAAGGGTATCGCAGCGCGGCTCGTGACATGCTAACTCGATGCCCTCAAGCGGGTTCGCCTGGCCGCAGCGCTGGCCAATCTTTGTGTAAAGCTCCTTGATCTGTTCGCGCGCAGCCAAGTCGGTCCTAAGAAAGTATTGCAAGAGATCACCTTCAGGACGCCGCGTCAGATAATCAAGAGTTCCTTCGGCGTATCTCTTGCAGCTTTCGGCAGCTTCTCGGAACGGCGTCTTGAAGATGTCGCAGGAACCCGTGTTTGCTGTGGAAAATCTGCACAAGTTAGCAGGCCGAAGAACGTAGACTGCATTTACAGAGGGCTATTTACTGTATGGCGCTGGCTCCTTCGAGGATTGTGCCGTTGGCTAGATATGTAGCTCCAGTGAATTCTTGTACTGCTGCCCCGAGGACGACGGCGCTGCTAAAAAGCAGCCTTAAGACCGATCTTGACATATCTCTGGCTTTTTGAAAAGAAAATTAAAGAGCCTTTGGAGAGATCGGAGAGTAGAAGAAAATGAAAACAGGAAAGAATCGAAACTCAGAGCGTGGATAAGCTGGTACCTTGCGTAATGTTCCATCCGCAGGTCAGAATACAACCATGCATGTCTTGCAATGAACGATTGTTTTTACGTCACACTCGGTTGCATAAAGGCATCCTTTGGGAAATTTATACAGGGCCTGTATGTCTCTATTGAATTGCATGGTCGTTGTAAAAAAATGATGTAGAAGATATAGTATTCCATATGGGGCAGAAGGTGTCTTGTATGAAGGTAGTAATCGCATGTTTTGTATATACAGTAGGGCTGGCGATTTTATGATGCATAGTACATGGTATTGTTACAATAGTTCCTGAGAATTCCGATGCTGTACAAGAAAAATCAGGGTCGCTTGGTCGGAGGCTGTGGCATGTCCTGTTGAGCTCGTTCACGTTGCCTTAGATCGGCAATCTTTTCGTCAATAAGCGCGATATCAACTTCGACTTTGAGAATTTTGTCATTCATCATGTCGAGATATTCTTCGTCTGTCAGTTTCTTTAGCGGGCTCCATGTTCTCATGAAGCCGCCACTGTCGTCCTTTGGTGCGTTTTTGGATGCTTGCCAACGGTAACCAATGCCTTGTCCCACGAGGCCGATTACACCGTAAAGCAGAGTAGATGGTAAGATTTTTGCAGGCCCCCCTTGTGAAATGTTAGCAGGTAAATAAATTTGATGAGGTTTGACGTACGAAGCGCGCCAGATAAGGCGCCTGTGATAGACCCAGCAATGGTGCTAGCTTGTAGCTTATCGAAGGGCTTGAGCTGGTCTTCTTGCTGACCAAGAGCCTTTATGGTCATCATTCTTGAGACTGTGATATAACAGTTAGAGCTGAGCATTGTGTGATGGCAAAGGTAAGTGACATACACCAGAAGGTTCCTCCTAGAGTGAACCATTGAGCTCCGGAGACAAAACCACCTCTCACAGGGCTGGTTTCTCTAGCAATGGATCCGGCAATACCAGCTACAACACCGGCGGCACCTGCATATGACAAATGTTAGTTTGATAGGTTCGACAATAAAAACCAAGAATGAAGCATATACCTGTCCATGATCCGAATTGGAGGGGTGGCAGAAGATAGTCTTGGGTGGCTGATCCCTGGGTAGGAGGCTTAGGAAGCCTTGACGCAATGGCCGGCGGTGTAGGCCCTGGTATTTGCGGCGTTGCCATGGCGGTTGTACGTGAGAGAGCTTGTGATATAAAGCTGACGAGGTGATGAAGGCCCCTTTTGGCGAGGTGAGGAGGGATTGAATGCGTCAAGTATTGGTTCGTGATGTGCTCTTATCACGTGGTCATTATCCCGTAATTTGAATTTAAAAATACATGCAATGCCAGCAAACGCTAGTCGAATTGCGTCGTGTTGATGCAGACAAGCAACAGGCCTGCAGTGTTGTTTTCTTTTAGGTGTAGCCTTTTGGAGGGCAAAGAAAAAGGTGGAGGGATCTTTGGTGCTTGGACGGTTGACTAGTGAGGCTAGGCCCGATGTGGTTTAGCGTCATGGCACGCTTCCACGCTTGGTAAGAAAAAAGGAACCCGCCCAGTGAGGGCCACAGCGCACTGGGCTGCACCGGCCAGGCCCTGAGGTGCGCTGGCACTGGCCTTGAACAGCCGCTAAGTAGCCTGTCGCACTAGTGGCACACTGTGCAATCGCGGGCCCTTCTTTTTATTTTTTTTATTTTTTATTTTTTTGCCCTTTTGCTCTTCTTCCGCCTTCCTTTGGATTTTTTGGTGGGCCACGCAAAAAAAAAGAAGAGCAATTTTCCCCTTGGCCAGCCCACACTAGACGCTACAACCCCCCCAAAACCGACATCCCGCAACGCTTTGTATCGTCGGGGTTCTTTTAAACAATTCTAGGGAAATTCCGGCTGTTTGTATTACGACACTCGGATTCTTCACTGCTAGCCTTTTACTTGGTCTAGCTTGTCTTCGTCTCTATTCTCCCGCTCTTCCGCATCCGCCTCTGCGCGCCGTCGATTCAGGAATCGTAGCGCGTGGTATTTTCACTCTTCGTCGCAATCATGGGTTCGTCAATCGTGGCCTTGTGCTGCTGTCCAAAAATACTAACTGTGTCTTCTCTGCAGCGCCCAAAAAGAAGGAGCAGCAGAAGATGTCCCTGGGGGACTTTCTGACTGCTGATTCTGGTTCGTCCCGCCACTTTACCCCTCCCCCTCGACTGCTTCTTTGTGTATTTCGACAGGGCGAAAACAACGCAATACGAAAATAAATGGGAAAACAACATTCGCAAAATATTCGACTTACTGACTTGGTTGTCTCTACAGGTTTTGGTGGTTCTTGGGCTGACGAGGTCGAGGAGACATACGGTGCGTAAATATATATCCCGTGGACCCGGCAAACCGGATACACCACCCACGTACCGTCCAACCAACAGCTAAAAACTAACTCGACCGCAGTCACCGGCACTCAGGCTCTTCCTCCTTCCGACCGACCCCGTCCTGGTGGCGGTGCTTCTGCTGAATGGCAGAACCGAGGTATGCTGCCTCATCGATGCACTCTCAGCAAATGACGGTCAAGGGCTAACTTGCTTACCACAGGATTCTCCTCTGTCCGCGAAAACATTCCCGCTCAGCTTCCCGACAAGCCTCCCTACACTGCCCATCTCGGTAACCTTTCCTACGATGCGACTGTCGAGACTGTGACCGAATTCTTTGAGGGCTGTGAGATTGTCAGCGTCCGCATCATCGAGGACCGCGAGATGCAGCGCCCCAAGGGCTTTGGCTACGTCGAATTCACCGAGCTCGATGGCCTCAAGCAGGCTCTTACTCTGGATGGCCAGTCCTTCCAGGGCCGCATGATCAAGATCAAGGTGGCCGATCCTCGTACGTGCATTGCTGTTTATTCATGTGACAAGTCGTCTTGACAATTTACTAACACACATCTGCGCAGCTCGTGGCGGTAACGAGAGCCGTATGGACTCGAGCCGTGACCTTAGCGACTGGACTCGCAAGGGCCCTCTTCCCGATCTTCCCGGTGCCCGCAACAACCGTCAGAACGACTTTGGTGGTGAGCGCGAGCGTCGCCCTCGCGATCCTGCCTTGGACCCTCGCCCTGCCCGCGAGATCAACTGGGAGCGCCGTGGTCCTCTTCCTCCTCTGGAGGGTGAGAATGCTCCCCGCGATGGTAGCCGCACCCGTGGTCCTCCCGATGGTATGGGTGATCGCAGCAGCTCTTTCCGTGGCCCCCGTGGTGGTGCTGGTGCCAACTGGGGTGAAGGCCGCCCTGAAGGTGGCCCTGCCGGTCCCAAGCCTGAGCGTGCTGAGCGTGTTGCCAGTGCTGCTGAGAAGGACTTCCAGTGGCGAGACCGTATGCGCCCCGAGGCCGCTGCCAAGGGTCCTGAAGGCGCTGGCCAGGAGTCCCCCGTCGACTCTCCTGCCTCTCCCGCCGCTCCCTCCCGCCCTCGCCTGAACTTGCAGAAGCGTACCGTCCCCGACGCCGGTGATGCCTCTGCCACCACCCCTAGCGACTCCAAGGCCAGCCCCTTTGGTGCTGCCCGCCCCATCGACACTGCCACTCGTGAGAAGGAAGTTGAGGAGAAGCGCCAGCAGGCCATCCAGGAGAAGCGTGAGGCTGAAGAGAAGGCCAAGGAGGAGAAGCGTGCAGCCAAGGCTGCCGCTGCCGCTGCCGAGTCTAAGGAGGGCGAGGAGCCCAAGGAGAATGCAGAGGGTGCTGAGACTCCCGCTGCTGCTGAGGGCGGCGCTGAGGGCGCTGAGGCCCAGGAGGGCGAGCAGAAGCTCCCCGTCCGCACCCGTGAACCTCGCGAGCCCCGCGAGCCCAAGTCTCGCGCTGCCGAGACCGGCAACTGGCGCTCTGCCTCTGGCGATCAGCGTGGCCCTCGTGGCCCCGGTGGCAACACCCGTGGTGGACGCGGCGGTGCTCGCGGTGGACGCCGTGACGATACCCGGGGTCCCCGTTCCAACGGCGCCCCTGCTCAGCAGCCTGCCGCTGCTGGCGCCGCTCCTGCTGCTCCTGCTGCCTCTGGCGACAAGGAGGGCGAGGTCACTGTCGACGAAGATGGCTGGACCACTGTGACCATGCCCAAGAAGGGTGGCCGCGGTCGTCCTTGAGCAAACGAAACAACCCCCCAACTTACCACCCCTCGAATAAGGAGTCTTGTAGCAGCAACGAAAAAAGAGAGCAACGAATGAGAAATACAACGAATCTATGTACATGTTTCCTCTGCGACCCTTTCATCATTGCCCAACACTTTTGCATGCATGCGTGCCGCGTTTGCTGTTTCTCGCGGAATGGAATAGCGCGCTTCGTCTATCTACCTGATACCTTTCACCACTACTTTACGAAACTAGAGATGTTTTTCACTGTTGATTTACTTTCAAGTCTAATTTCTGTTTTTTTGAGCCGGAGCCCATCGCAAGAGGGGAAAAAGCTAGGAGGAGACATGGGAAGGAAAAGCTACTGGAAAACGTTTGTCGGTTGTTTTGTTTGGTCTTTTTTCTTCTTCTACTGGTTTTTGTTGTCTGCTCCTTTTTGCAAAAAAAGTGTTCCTCTTACGTTTGTGACATTTCTCACATCAGCCGTCTCTTAAAAAAAGAATGATTGAAATGAACCGCATGCTTATCACTGTTTGTGTTTTATGTTTTGTTTTGTAAAGTCATGTTTGTTCTTAAGCACCGAGAGAAGAGTTGTAGGAGAGCCTAAGACAAGCGAAACAAGACTATCGCTCTGATATTTTAAAGCCAAGACTCCAGATACATGAGAAATGCAACGATTGGTTACATGGTTTACATAGCATGGCAGTATTTCGTATAGGACATACATCATGAACAATCTTTCTCTCCCATCACCCCATTTTTACAAGTCCTTTGTACGCTCCTCCGACTCCTTGATCCATTGTCGCACAGCCTCTTCGTCTCGCGGCTTCAGCGCAATCTTGAAGGGCTTGGGGTCCGTTGTCAACGAGGTAGGCTGAGCATTGCACTCAATAGCATCCATGAGCGGTCGTGCGCTCAGGTCGTCAGTCTGTTCGATGCGGAAAGCAGTAAGAATGCGCACATAGGCCGTGAAGAGCTCTCTGTTTGCGAGATGGGAGCCAGCACACATGCGCGACCCAGCACCATATGCGTAGTGCGGTGTGCCAATCTCCTTGTCGTTGAGGAAACGCTCAGGCAGGAACTCGGAGGCCATCTTAAAGCGCTCCTCGTCATAGTCGGCGGCGTAAGCATTCATGAAGAAGGTTGTGCCCGCAGGAATGACGGTACCCTCGTAGGGAATATCGGTAATGTTGGTGCGAGGGAGGCAGATGGGAATGACGGTCCAGTAGCGCAGTGTTTCCTTGACGAGAGCGGTGACATAGGGGACCTTTTCTTCCAGGAGACACTTCTCCCATGCGTCGCCCTTGGGGTATGCTTCGTTGATGGCGGCGAGGGCTTTCTCTTGTATCGCTTGGCCCTTGGGGGTGGATAGATAGGCTAGGCCCATGATGAGAGTGCCGGGGACGGTGTCGAGGCCTGCAGAGACCATGGTGAGGCAGATGGACTTGATTTCAGCTGGAAAAAAAGAAATTGTTAGTTTTATTAAGCCAAGAGAAAACAAGTATGTGCACACATACCGAGGTTGAGCTTTGCGTCGGGGTCTTTGAGAATGTTACCCGTGATGCAGGGCTTATCCGTGCCGTTGGCGATACGCTCTTTGAGATCGTTCAGCATGCGAGTGAGATAGGCATCACGGCGAGCGCGGTATGTCTGAGCCTCTGTATTCTGCTTGCTCCAGAGGCGCAGCAGCGGGACGTAGTCTTGCCAGTTGTTCGAGGTGCTTCGGAAGTTGGAGATTTCGCGCTCGACGTGGGTGATTTCATGGAGGAGCTCGCTTTGGACATTGCCGTCGATGCGAAAGCCGTAGTTTAGCGTGAGCGAGGTGTTGAGGGCGAAGCGTGCCATGTACGGGCTGGGGTCGACATCTCGGGTGCCACCAGCACAGTCATTGAGCAGCTCTTTGATAGAAGCAGTGGACTCAAGATCAAGGATGGGCATGTAGGACTGTGTCGCAGGTCGATTAAGGGCTGTTGCCGCAGCCTTGCGTCTGTTCTTGCACGATTCGTCCCATGGTGATGTGCCAATGGTGAAGCCCTGCGATGTGGACACGACCGAGTGGAAGGTATGGAAGGTTGGGCGCGAGATGAGCGACGACTGGTGCGTGATCCAGAAGTACTTGACGCTTTCGTAGGAGTTGACAAAAATGACGCGCTGCAAAAAGAAATGGTTAGTTTTTTTTGGAGCCAGCACGCTGAGAGGTAGACGTCCCTTGTTTCCGAGGCGGGTTTGGAAGACGGGGCCGTACTTTGCGGCCCAGCGACGGGCGACACGGGCGTGATCCGTGCCCAGCTGTATCAGATTGCCAAAGATGGGGATTCCCGGAATCTCTGGCAGATTCTTGATCTTGGGCACGTCGGTGGCGTTGAGGGTGCGCAGGATGACAAAGACGAGCGCAAGAGCTGCGATGCCGAGCACTTCATACGAAGCCATAGCTCTGCTCTTTTGGGTTCAATCTAAAAAGCAGGCCGTGTGAGTGGAATGCAGGCGTGTAGATGTGCTGAAGAGATGTTGGTCACAGACCCCGTGAATCGATTGCGAGAAGAGTGCGTGCTGAATGAGCGCCTGGGAAAGAGGCCACAGCCGATCTTTATACTTTGGTCATTGGTAGGTCATTCCGCGGCCTCTGAATGGCTGATGTCACCTCTGTCTTGGGCTGGGGGAGGGGTTAGTGTGGTATGCAATGCGGTAATGCGGGGGAAACGGGCGGTGGCTTGCGGGTTACAGTGGAGGATGGAATTGGGGGAAGAGGCCACTGTGGTTCGGGCGGCCGGAGAGGCGCGGATAGTGATATGGCAGTTGGAGATATATTTAGATAGTGGTTTTATTTTATATGCGATTTTGCGTACATTTGTTTAGATGCTCGGAGTATCCTCAACACGACGGTGTAAGTGGTGTGTTGTCGAATACCATGCTGCAATGGCCACCAGCACCACTATCGCGCTGGGTATTTTCTAATTCAATATTGTATATGCAGTCCGCAACACAATTAGACAACTTTCCTATTTTCATTAGATATTACCAGGTTTATTTCCACGCGCCGTGTCCCGGCCCACGGAACGGTGCTCTGCTCTCGGAATTCTATTTCCGCCCCGGCACCCAACTGCGGGATCCACTGCGCCGGCGGCTTCGGCGATGACGGCGGACGCTCGGAAGCTCCCATTCGATTTCCGCCACGGCGAAGCAACGGAGACGTCGGGTTTAAGTACGGGAATTGTTTATCAAGCATAGTGTAGTAGGTTATTCTGCTCCATGGATTATCCACGGAGGAACTTTGTTAGTAAAGAGGCAACGGGTTAGTAATAACTCGACTGATAGATAATCGAGTCGGTTACGTTGCGTTAGTGTGTGACTTCTGGACAGTTAGTTACTTCTACGTTCTGCCACGACAATCTACGACACGTTCTTGTTATATACATTGGTGGCTACGTTATTCCCTAACAGCTGCTAAAAAGAGAACTTACGACGAGCGATACCACAACGGTTATCCACGAAGGGGAAGAAGAATCTAGTGGGAACTTTACTTGTTCCAATAACCCCTTACTGTAAATGTACTAATAAGGCGTTAGTTGAATGAATTTCGTGTATACAGACCTTGGCGATGCGGATTGCGGAGTAATACCGTACGCCTTCAGCAGTCGGTGCCGTCGTATGGTCACCTATATTTGTCCGCCGCCTGCTTTCTAATTCCTCTTCAACATTCTCTTGTTAACTTGCATCGCTGAATCGCTCTAGCAAGTAAGCCTGCGGAGAATAAGAAATAACGAAGAATTCTCTGCTATTTTTATCATCGAATATACGCTCGATCATTAGTCGTGAATGCATGTGACGATACTTTCGGTTTCCTTGATGAAGAGGGCCTGTGGTTTCTGTGAATCCCTGAGGGTGGACAACGGATATATCAAGAGCACAGTTCGCTGCTCTCAACCTCAAAAATTCGTTAGTTGCAATCTCATCATTCCCCAAGATATACAAGTAAGCCCCTCATGAGTAGAGCAATTGAAATCATCGGCGACGCTCTTGCCGCTGCTTCCGAACCCCCAAGCCCCCTTTTCGCAGATTTTGAAAGATTCAAGCAACTTCGGGACAAAATCAACTCACTAATCCCGCTGCGAGCACATGCAGAACGCGTTGTGGCCAACATGGCGCTCTCTGACACGGCAGAGTCTAGAGCCGAGCTCGAGGACGCCAAACAGAACCTGCAAGACATCGCCCAAGAGATTCGCACTACTTGGTTAGAATCAGACTTGCTGTTTGAGCAAATGATTAATAAATTGCCCAAGTTAACGAGCGCTCGGAGTATAGATGCTCAACAATAAGAAGGGTGACGGAGTATAGTCACTAGGGAATAAAGGTCTGCATATTCCGAACATGGATAGGCTCGTAGTATTTGGTAGAGATATTACCAGATACATAATGAATAAATGAAAAAATTATAAATCGTGTTCATCTCTATGTTGTGGTGCTATTATTAAGGTAAAGGCTGGAATGGCAAGTTGCAGTAATGCTCCACGACAACCTGTACCGAGGAAATATGCTCAGGCTTTATACTTTGTAACGCGCTCAACAGTTTATATACACCGCAATTTGATCGCTAGTACTTTTTGCAGAGCACAAAACGGTCTGCTCCCGGCGGGTATCTCGTTGCACAGCATAGGCGGACGGGCAGGTGTGTTGCCGACCTTGTAATAACAAAACAGAGTTTGTGTAATTGAATGCTTGTAAATACTCCGGGAATCACATTTCATTGCTTTACATGACCGGACCGTAAAGCAGATCTATGGCGTTGTCTAGCCACATGAGCTTTGTTGGTGACCCCAACGCCCATTCACTGCTAGGTATTCTACAGCTAAAAGGCGAAGATATTTCTCCTAAAAAGCCCCCAAAAACATATTTGGGATTACACAGCCGTCCAATAAAACCCCAGTGCAACCAATCTGATTAAAAATGGCTCGTCCACTAGCGGCGGTAAAAAAGAGGGAGATCTTCGAAATCATGCATGATGAGTACACCCAACTCAAAAAGGATCTGGACGACGTCAAAGAGACGTTTTCTGTCACTCACAAGGAGCTAGTAGACCTAGAGAAATGGGAAGCAAGCGGCGGGACTACTTGGGAGAGCACAAGACAAAAGGCGCAGCTCCTCAAATCTTTGGATGCCACTCGAGAAGAGAACAAGATGCTCGAGGACAAGAAGCTGGTGATGCAACTGGATGTCAGTCGGGCCTACGATTCGTGGTGGAAGACGTATCTGGATGAACAAGAGGAAAATAGACGATTACAGTTAGCAGCTCTGGAAAAACCCAAAAAGCCAGAGAGACAGGGCCCGCGAACTCTTCTTCCAAAGCCGACTGAAGAGAGCGACGCTCCATCACAGCAAGAATCGCCGGCATAAGTTTGTATGAGGTCTAGTGCAAGATCTCCGATGATTGTATCTACTTGTTAAAGAAGAAGGAGAATAGATGGTTTCAGAAAAAAGGCTAACGCGCACAGTCCAGTGTTTGCTACCCGTGTTAGCCTAGCCCCAACTACTAGTCACTGCTACTAAGATGGATATTTGTATAAAAGTGCGCTCATCTACCATGTATTAAAAGAGATTTATTTGTTTGCTCACACGAGATCAAAAAAAGAAACAAGGCAGAATCTAAATACAGCATCAGACAATATACGACTGCCAACCAACCAATACCCTACGCAAGGCAACAGTACAACAACCCAATATGCCTAATCAGCCACCTACCTTTGACGCAACCATCCAGCGACTTCGACGAGAAGTGGCCCTTATACGATCCAAGATCTCGTCATTAATCAACGATCGCGAAGAACTGGCCGCAAGGAAGCGCTCGATTCTTCTCAAACAGGAAAGAAAGCCACATCCGATGGACTGGGTAGCGCTAGAAGATGAGCTGGACATGATCAAGTTTCGGTTGAGAGTCGTTCTGGAAGAGATCGACAAGGCGTACATTGAGCTCGCGAACAAACAGTCTGTTTTAAATGTTGTTGATGCCTGGGCAGGGCCGCCTGGAACCACGAGGCCGGTGTAGGTTTGGGCAAGAATAGTGTGGTTGTACGAAAACAAAAGGGGAAAGGCGTTGGGTTTCAGCAGAATGAGGCTGTGTTTAGGTTTCAAGAGAATTTGTTGCACTGTGCTACGTCATGAGGGAACCGGTGAGAAGTAAAATGGGTTAGTCACAGACATGCGAGACGTATTGTTTTATAGCTGGGAAGGGATTAGACTGTGTTTGTAACTCAGACAAAGGCACAGTGCATGAGTGAAAAAAAGAAATACGATTCTTCTATACCAGCACGCAGCTAGCTCTACATCATTAGTATCACGGACAATCATATATACCCGCTTACCACACAAATTGTACCTCGCTTTCCCAGCTGTCCTAGAGAATATGCTGTCATGAGAGGCTATTAGAGCAGCAGTGAGGCGTCTGCTGTAAAAGCGCAATGGTTAGTATCAAGCATCGCCTATAAAGGATTCCCTCGTTTGTTGATGGAAGAAGATATAAATACGCCCAACAAGGCAGCTTCGGATTAGCTTCTATTTCTCAAAACAAAAAACAACAAACCACATCATTGCCAAAAACCATGAGTTCTACCACTGTTTTATCCCAGATTGCTCTTCTTGAGGCACAAGTACGAGAGCGGATGCAGGATATAGAAAGCGCTGAACTGCAGGAATATCAGCTCAACAAAGAAATCGCAAGGCAGACGGGAAGATTGGCCCGGGCCACACGTCCGGATGCCCTGAAGCGGATCGAAAGCGATATCTGTGCGCTCGAAGTCAGGCTGGTGGAATTGTATGCCGCCAAAGAAACAACGAGAACCGAGATTCGCAATCTGCAAGACATACTGACGAATCTGAGGCTGGGAAATGCGCCCTGAATGTTGTCGGCGTCCATCTTGCAGGAGCGATGTTTCGTAGGAATCTAGAGCAATGAATCGCTGTGATCTCTTTCAAGGGTGACTGTTTCCTGGTGTTGAACGTATGTTGAGGTGTCAGTTGTAGATGATCTTACCGTAGAACTAGCAGTGAATCCGTCATGATCCGTGGCGTGTATTTAATAAAACTAAACTACCTATATTCACTTCGTCATTCTCGCAAACATAACAATTCTTCTACTTATCCTTCATCGGCTTCCAATTTAATATCTCCAGCCATCATGAACAGCGTCGATATACTCATCCAATTCGCAGCCGAAATCACCCGACTCAATGGCGAGATTGAGAGATACACGGCTGACCTAGAAAAACTGCAGACGTATATGCAAACGCTGCGTGATGAAAAGGAAGTGTGCGGAGACTCTGATACTGAATACCTGGACAAAGAGATAACAAACACGGCATTTAGTATGACTAGCCTTATGCGTGTGATTGCCCAGCATCAAGTCAACGTCACTGCAATGGAGAGAGAAATGCGCAGGATAGCTCGGGCGTAATACATGTGCAAGTGCCACTTGGGCCGTAGTGCTTCTTCTTTTTTAACAGAGCCTAAGAGTACACAGCATAGTTTGTGGACAATGACTTTAAAAATATCCCTACAAACAAGTACATGCTGCAGTTCGTCAATGATACTGGTGACCCGTGCCGCTGTGAGGGACTGAGCCTGATTACGATACAAGACCAACGCTGCTTAGTAGTTAATTGTCTTACATAGTACGAGAGATGCATAATTACAACAATCCTAAGGTTAGATACGGGGGACCATAGCTTGGATGCGGCCCTGTAGCTTCTGCCTCTGTCCAGCAATGGAAAGGTTCTGTTAGCATGGTTTCATAGACTTTTCTATATCTAGGTTTTCAATATCTGCATCACTGAATGATTCTACTTGCTGTTAGTCGCTGTGCGTTGTTGTGGGATTCCTGTCTGGAGCATCACATATTAATAGGTGACCGGTAGTTAGAAACCCTGATTACTGGCCATGTTATTGTGCAATGTTTCGAGATGTCGATGATTCATAGTACATTTCTGCAACGTATAAAATAAGGACGTCCGCCAACTGCAGCTACACTCCTCGTCACCCACACTAAAATCTCGCCGTAGCCGTACTATGGAATCTCAACAACAGCCACAACAATCTGCACAAGGCCCAGAAAAGGGTAAGAAGCCCGCAAAGGGCAAAGCTGGCTGGTCAACTCAAGAAATTCTCGCTAAAAAGGCCAAATTGCCCCTTCTAGAGGCGGTAGAGCAGTACAAAGATGTGCGAATACTTACAAGTCAGGCAATTGCAAGTCTTGCCCGCCAAACCATCCGTATGTCGGCGCAGTGTAGTTGCCGGAATGAGGTCACGGACGCCGCTCTGGTCACACTGGAGAGAGTCAAGACGTTACAGGAGCTCTATCTTGCTCTGATAGTCTGTATGGATGATGTACTGGTCAAAGGGAAGATCATACATCCGCCCGAAACCCAGACGGAGCCGGTGGAGATTCAGCGCGGTATCTTTCCCATCTTGGAAGATGAGAATGAAGAGTAATAGAGTAGCATTTAGCAGTCTATAGCCTGTAGAATTGCGATGTGTGCTGATAAAGTAGGAGCTTTGGCAGATCATCCTTCTACCATAGTAGCAGCCCATCTTCATGATATATAAAACTATACCTAGCCATCCCTCAAAAAAAAAAAAAAAAGAAACCTGTCTTGTATATTTCGCTGCTCGGGAATAACGACAGCAACCCGTGATTAAATTACCATAGTCGTAGTACAAAATCCGCCGATGCCGTGGCTGCATCACACAACATATAGTCCATCACCAACAAAAACAGGATTCCCTGCTTCCCCAAGGTTCGGTATTACGATGGATCACGAGGGTTCCTCAGCGTCTCGCCACTATCCGCCGTACATCTTCAAAAAGGATGCTCGCGGCGGTCTACTGACTTGATTATCTGCAGACTCTCTTCTGCCCGCCTACCTGCCTCTCTCTCTTGTCCTCCCCGAAGACGACGACAATGTCGGATAGCAGCAGCAGCATTCACAGCCAAGTCTCCCAGGTGCTCTTCCACGGCATCATCGTCCTCACCAAGTTTGTCACCCTCAACGAGGAGCTGCACGCGCTGGGCAGGCAGCCGCTGCAGCAAGACTGCGATAACCGCCGCTGGGAGATGCTTGCTTCCGAGGCCAAACGCCACATGGACAGTCTGACCGTGTTCAAGATGAAGCTCGAGGCTCTGCTAAGTGCTATCGATGCCCATATCGAGAACGGTGGCGAGTGGCTCTACGAGCAAGAGAGGAGCGACTTGCTCCAGGTTCTCCGCGATGTGGAAGAGACCCTCGCTGAAGGCTAACACATTAACCAGAACGACGACAAAAAGTTCAACTTTGGCGGTTTGCTGTCACAAGATTGCTGAGGCTGACCGGGCCCTCTTTTTGCAGGTTGGTGTCGCATAGACCGGTCAAGACGCCCAACCCAGCCGGTAGCACAGTCTGTGGATAGGGGCGAGATGCGGTGGAGGCTAGGTTACCTGTATTAGTATACACCGTATAAACGGTTTTGTACATGATTGTATGGTATTGTAATGTTGTATTGTATGACTCTTTGCTAAGCGTCACCTGCTCTTTTACCGTCTTACTATGCCTTGAGTACGACGACTCACAGAGCACAGGCTATTCTTCTTCGAGTATAAATTGTGTGTCCATATCCTCTACTCCCCCGTGAATTTTCTATTCCGTTGTGAATCACAGCACAAAAATCAATAGATAGCACAGTAGCAAGATAATGCAGAACACGGAACACGAGTGACTAACCAACTAACAGTATACATGGCAGTGAATTGAGGGCAGCTTCTGCTCTGTATAATAATTTAAAAGCCAAACAGCCCAACCCAATGGCTAATTCGTAGAATATTTGTACAGAGAGCTACTAATCATCGTACCGAATCTTGAATTCTTATCACTCAACCATACAACACAACAGAACACATACCACCATGACCGACTACAAAGTGCACTTCTTTCGATACAGCGCCGTTGACGATAACTTTGACGGTAGCAAAATAGTCATCTTTGTGAGATCGTATCAAACCGTATTCAAGTTGCAATACCACTCCCACGTTTACACAGGACAGCGCCTCGCCTTCTACCAGCGCTGTCTCCAGCTTCTACGGGAGCACCACGACGACGAGACAGAACAAGACACCATCAACATGCTCGTCGCGCCTTTTAAGCCATGGATGGATAACATGGCACTAGCACCACCTACCATCACTCTCCTCCTCCACGACTACCTCTACGTGGCCACATACGTCTTCAACGCTGTCGCCGATACCAGCACGCCAGATGCCTTCAAGCCCGTCTCCAAAGGGCCCATCTTTGGCCGTGCCTATCCTGCCCGTGGTCTAGAGATCACAGCTACACACCACGACTCGCTCACATGGTGTCCGCTATTCACCTCTAAGGAGGTGCAGCTGCCCGAAGCGGAGCCCGAGGCAGGGTACTTTGCGTGTCTCGAGAGCCCTAACAAGGTCCTCGTCGGCAATACCATCTGCAACTTGAAGCAATTCGGCGCTTATGAAGTCGAACACGAAGCCAAGACTACCGAATTCGATACATATCGTAAGATAGCCCAGGCCCGTGCACGCGGAACACTCCCCGACACGTTTCGCATCGCCCGCTTACACGGGCTAGTAATGGACGATAGGGCGTGCATCCCGCGGGCGATGATGGCGTCTCGTGGAAAAGATAAGGATCGGCACTATCGCTTAATCGGCATGCTAATCGAGCACATTGATCATAGATGCACGCTCTGGGACGCGGCCAGACAGACAAGCTGCACCAATGAGCAGCTGCGTACGTGGGCTAGCGAGCTCGGGGCCATGGTGACGCAGCTGCACGAGGCAGGTATCGTTTGGGGAGACATTAAGCCTCACAATGTGCTTGTTGATGCAATGAATCAGCTTTGGATTGTAGATTTCGCTGGCGGCCACACGCCCAAATGGGTGGATTATGTGCACAAGGGCACCATGGCCGGCGATCTGCAGGGCCTGGAGCGCATCCAGAGTTGGCTTTTCCGACGGGAGAAGTGAGAATAAGTGAAATGCCGTGGAAACCGTGGATATGATTTGCATGCAATAGAGTCCAATTTATCCGGAGACAGATAGACAATGCAATAGTCTAGATCAACGCCGGTTAGTATAGTCAAATAGTAGCCTCTTACAAATCACGGCTCCTTCAGCTGCAGATCATCCAATATTTGTGCTGCACCCCAGATTCCCCCGCACTCTTAAACCTGGACTGATTGGAGGGGTAATCACTTGATGGCCCAATTAAAGGCAGGTGGTATTCGCAAAGAGCTGACGATCCTTTAGCGAGCCGAGGCCCATCACCACAAAGAAACACCAAAGCAATACGCAGCGTTGCAACGAGTCACACTAGTGCAACAACTAGTGTAAATTTGGCGTCGGGCTACTATCAGACTAAACACAAATTAGGTAAGTTAGCTACTTCAACGGCAATGAAGCAAACAAAAAGGCCCCCAAACAGGATTTCGCTTTGGCTGCAGATTCGCGTTGACATTGCATCCCAGGTTGGGCGACGTTGGCAGACTTTAAAAGAAGCTAGTTGGCGCTTCTCATTTGGACGACAAATTAGTTATTGCTTTCCTTCCCGTACAAAGTTCGTTCTTGTCTATTATCACTCCCTGACATACAGCGTTCCGAAACCAAACATGTTGGTTAACGCTCTTGCTGCTCTGGGCTTCGTCGCCACGGCCACTGCCGCAGCTCTTCCATCGTCTTGCAACAGCTACAGTAAGCTTCGTCTTTATTTTGGCCGTTTTTGGTCGTACTGTTCAAAGGCTGATTCTAGCCTCGTCTGCTCTTCTAGCGCTCGTCAATGCTCGTGGCACCGGCGAACGCCAGGGTGAATCCGTCGGCTTCAGGACCATGAACGCAGAAACACTTGCCAAGATGAAGGGCGGCAAGATTGTAAGCACTCGTTTCGTATAGGACACCATGGAAATCCGCTGAATTTTGTGTTTTCTTTTCAAAAGTACAACGTTGTCTATCCGGCCGGCCTCGATCAAAACTCTGCAAGCGGTACCGAGGATGTAAGATGACCGCATCTAGAGGCTACTTCACAGCGCTTACACAAATCTAGCTCCTCAAGCACGTCCGAGATACGCTTACATCGAATCCATCTGAGTGCTTCATCCTCGAAGGCTACTCCCAAGGCGCCTCACTCGTCGTCGATGCCCTGCCCAAGCTTGCTGGTGCGGAGGCTGCCGCCGTCAAGGGAGTTTTTCTCATTGGCGACCCCCGCCGCAAGGCCAATCAAGATTGCAACATTGATAGCAAAGGCGGTACCAGTAACAAAGATTCCAACGGTTTCCTCGTGAGCCGTGGTACCATCCCAGACAACTGGGTTCCCAAGACCCTCGACGTCTGCGCTCAGGTGAGTCAGCCCCTCAAACAGGACAGACTGGTGTAGAGTGAGCAGTAGTACTAACATGAATATTGTATGGCAGGGCGATGGAGTATGCGACGACCGCATCCCAGGTGTCATCACTCCGCCTCACACTTCATATCCCAGCGACGCGACGGTGCAATCTATCGGTGAGAAGTTCATCACCAAAAGCCTTGCGTAGTATGTCGATCTTATTTAGGGATATAGTGTTTTCCACAATTGTACATTTCGTCTTGTCCACTTAAACTGTGTCTTTCTCTCTCAATCCTCCTCCGACTCAGATGCCTCGGAAGAGTCAAACTCTACCGACCCAATCTCTGATTCTGAACTCGGCAACTCATCCCGGATCTCTTCACCTTTTGCATCCCATTGGTTCAATGATTTAAGTCTGCTCAGTCGCCCATCTGTAGCATCAAAGGCGAATATCTGCATAGAGGGGAGTGAATGCCAAATAAGTCGCACCATCTTTGGCCGTTCCATTCTTCCTGCTAGCGTAATAGCTCGATCTTCAAGAGCAGCTCGAACAGTTAGAAAACTGCTATGGTTGCATCGGGCAGGATATTGGTAGGCAGTCTCCTGAGGCGTCATGCCAGAAAGGCTAAGATTGATTATGACTTCCTCTAGGTTGCTGTAAGTGCTATCCGGTTGTATGCGCAAAATCTCGGGACATAGTAGGCATGCCCGGCATCGGAGTCTGCGTAAGTGTGGTAGACGCCTGCTGATGGCATCGCAGAGATGTAGTGACTTGTTTCGACGAGATGACAGGGCGGTTCCACCAGTGTCTATATCGAGGCAAGTTACACTTTCTATCGATATCATGTTTTGTATGGTGGATATGCTGAGGTAGGCTCGTCGAGACGCTCTCATGCCTGCGTGTTGCAGCTCCGGCATGGCCTCAATCGTCAGGCTTTTTAGTCGTATCGATTTTCGAAATAGTGCAGATAGCCTGTCCAGGTTCTCGCCTAGTCGCGTCGTCCACTTTACCACGTCCCTCAAGTTGGCCTCTGGATATAGAGAGTCTGACTTGGCTGCCCATTCATCGAATCCGCAGAGCTTCACCTCAAGCGCGTCCGTATGTCTCTGCAAGCCATCGAGCGCGGCTCCTTTGACCGGCCGCGAGTAGATGGTTTCAAGCGATTGTGAATTCAAGATGACGTCGTGAAGAAACACGGGCCAGGCCAGCTGGTGCCATTGTTTGTTTATAGCGAGGCGATCGACATCCTGGGCGAAGAAGTCGGAGTCGATGTACCGCAGGATGTGAAGCAGGATTTCTGGCGGGAGATAGAATAGCGGCATTGTGCTACCTGTTATTAAATATTTTTTTTGTGTTGTCTAGTTGTTTAACTCTCGCAGCTGCATGTATGATATTTGGGAACTCTGGTGATGATGATAAATGACTCTATATTGATGGGGAGTGTTGGTGTAGAAGACAGCTTTTGTAAGGCCGCCCGCCGAATCTGGTTAAGGCGCTGGTGGCGTGAATGCGGTTCACGGCCGTTCACGGCAAGTGGAGCGCCTGCACGAGCGTAAACCGCCACTGTGGGGGAAGCCAGTATAAAAAAAATAGCAGCCAGGCCCACGGGCACTAATAAGAGAATAAACAACCGTGTATACAAAATACTGACCAAACAGAAAACGATTATCCTCACAATTCTAGTAAAAATTCTAGAGAGTAGTAAAATAGAAGACAGAGAAGAAGAATATGCTGCAAATATGTTGTTTTCATCATAATTTCATATCGTTATTTACGTGACATATATGTTATGCATAAGTTATATACAAAATGGTATGAACATAACCCTGGTTTTCCATCTGCCTATTTGGCGAATATATACATTTGCCGTGAGTAGATGCGGAGGCAATAATGCTGGTGCCACATGTGCCCCTAACTTTCCCTACTCTTCACTTCTTCTTCTTTTCCCTTTTTGTAGACACTTAGAGACCGGCGTTGGTCTTGATGAAGGAGCGGATCTCCGAGTTGGCAATGTTGGTGTAGATGCCGGGAAGGCCAGCACGGGCACAGCCCTCACCCCAAGAGACGATACCGTAGATGGTACCGTCCTTGACAAAGGGGCCGCCGCTGTCGCCCTGGCACGAGTCCTTTCCACCCTCGGGGAAGGCAGCGCAGATCATGCGGCTGGTGATTGCGCCGTTGTAGTCCTTGTTGCACTCGTCGTGGTCAACAATGGGGACATCGACGTACTGGAGAGTGGTGGTGCCGTAGACACCCTCAGAAGTGGCTCCCCAGCCAGAAACAGTGATGAGAGTGCCAGTGGCAGCCTCGCTGTTAGTGATGCTACCAATGGGCTGGACAGAGTCGTTGAAGATGAGGTCCTTGGACAGCTTCAGGATGGACACATCGTAGTCGGTGGCCTGCGCGTTGTACTTGGGGTGCTGTATGAACTTCTCAACCTGGTAGCGGTCACCCTCGTTGAGGTCCGTGGCGCCGACGCGGATGCTCATGGCCGAGGCAGTGAGGCCGTAGGTGCAGTGGGCAGCGGTGAGGATGGTGCGCTTGTCAAGAATGGTGCCGCCGCAGTGAGGGCTGTTGTTCTTGTTGAAGTTTGCCTGGTAGGGGAACTGCTGGATAGTGCCATCCTGGCCGCCAACAATGTTCTCACCACGGCCGGTGACGGAGGGGATGGTCAGGGCAGCAGCCTGAGTGAGGAGTCCGAGAACAGCAACCGACTTCATGTTGACAAAGTGTGTTGTAAAAGAAAAAGGTAAGGAAAAGAGTAGCTTGAGAGTACTAGACAGTGGAAGAAGGTCTGATGCGTCGAATGGAGATTCTAGACAAGAGTAGAGCGGACCATCGAGGGCTTTTATAAGTCTTGTTGGTGTTGGGCCGTGTGGGCTGAATTGTTCTCGTGATAGAACAATGTGCGCGCATTGCAATTTCGCCTAGTCCTTCTCCATCATGTCCTGAAAGGGTAGGTGTGATTGTCTTCGTCAAACTGCCTCGGACCATGTGGACGCCATTCTGACAGTACCGGCGGGCGGTACGCGGAGCACAACCCTGTGCTGGCGCCACCAGATGCGCCGCAGCGCGGGGCACTTCGTTTCAGGATAAGGTTAATTCAAACCACAATGGAAGGTAGTAGCGGAAACTCCATGCCGCAAGTCTCGGGAGCACTACGGCGGGCTTGGTGTGGCCACCGCCGGGTGTGGTGCAGCACCGAAATACCGGGTGATGGAAAACGAGTCCTGCAATAGCGAACGTATGACAGCGGCAGTTAGACCATCGTGGGGTTCGCCCTGAGGGGCCCCCCGCCTTGATAGTGACAGCGGCTTCTTGAGCTTACTATTCGGGCCTAGTGGACAGCACGCCCCTATCTCGCTAAGGACTGACACAGGATGCCGTTGTCAGCCACCGTCATATGACAGCTCGCCATCGGCACACTGCACAAGATCCAGGAGATAAACACCAGACGCACCCCAGCCTGCCGGCGCTGTGGCGCAGCGCGATCAAAAGACCCTATTTCCCTTTCCCGACGGTCCAAAGTAGGCAGGTATTATTTTTGAGATCTACACAGCTTCAGCTGCTCTGCATTATCAAATTCAAAAGCTGCCTTCTGCCAAGCTTTGATCGTCGTGCAGTTGCAGCGCATAAAGCTTCCATACGGCTCGCTTGCCCGGTTTGGGCATTGCCGCCGGCGAAGAGGAGTGTAGCTCATAACCCAAATAATAACTACCTGCTTAAAGTATATGCGCCATTGCGTTCTTTTTACATAACCGCGTTACTATTTCTAAGTTTACACGGTGCCGCGCCGCCGCCGCCTCTGCCGGTTGCTTTGCAGCGTTCGCAGGTCCTGCCATGCGCAATGAAGAGCACATGCAGCGGGTACTTTAGGTGATCTGGTACTGTGGCATCGAGGTGTTCCTGGGCCTGTTCTCTGGTTGCTTTTGCCGGTCTCCATCCCAACAACCCGGTTAACCGATAGACATGCGTATCCACGGCAAAGCTTGGACGCTCGAGACAAAATAATAGTACACAGCTTGCTGTCTTGGGTCCCACACCGCCATAGCTCATCATTTCGCTCATAGCCTCGTCATTGGTTGCTTCAAAGAGGTGGTCAAGCGAATACTTGCCGTATTTTTCGTAGACTTGCGTGAGCAGGTTAATGATGGCTTTGCTCTTGGTGACGCTGAGGCCGCCAGTACGGATAGCCTCTTGCAGCTTCGGCTGACAGCCTTTGACAATAGCCTCCCAGTTGTCGCTACTTCCATAGACTGCATCCATGCTCTTCTTCGCGCGTGTTGAATTCTTGTTGCTGGTGTTTTGTGAGAGGATGGTGCGGACTAGAGCATCCAGAACGGACTGTGAAGTACCGCACCCGGCCACATCTTTTGGAGCAACTTTCTGCGAAGGTCGAGTGCGTTCTCCATGGATACCAACTAGAGTGGCATGCACCAGTTCGCATTCTTTAGGTGTAGGGTGGGCAAAAGTTGGGAAGGGTGAGTCGGATGAAGTGAGGATTGTGTCTTCTGCCAGCCCATGTTCTGACTTGACAGGCTCCTTAGTATCGTCACATACATCTCCTTCTTGTTCCTCCTTTATCTTAATAGTAAATACATTGCCCAATTCTTCCTCAGTTGGCTCTGTTTTAATTGTTTTGGCGCCGATTGTTGATTGTGCTTTGGTTATGCGCACGTGTGACCGCAAGCTGTGTCGGGTAGGGGCTGTCTTTTGCCGCTGGGCTGCCGCTGATCTCGCCATATTCTCTTTGAACTGTATATTGGGTATCAAGTATAAAGGCGGCCACTGTAGATAGAGGTGGTTGAGTTGTGCAGCTTTAATCGAGATCCAAGTGCCGAAGCGTGAGGAAACAGGGGCAAAGTGCAGAATACGCTTTCACGCCACGCTACTGTGGTGGAGCGGTTTAGTGCTCGGCCCGACACGGCGGTTGGCGATGGGGTGTCATTGGCTGCGATCTATGAGGGAGGAAAAGCGAAAGCCAAATGCTGAAGCTAGAATATGCCAGTGCAAAAAATCACAATTATAGTGTAAAATTCCCAATAGTATTTCAACCAGTCTGCTCTCTGCACTGGTTCACTGCTTGTCAAAGTAAAGCTACGTGGCTGGCCTTTATCCTTGGGGTTGACAGGCACGCATTGCGGATCTTGACAATGAAACCATTGCATTCTGAAGCAAAAGCATCTCTTGATGCAACGCCCAGGCTTTCTTAAAGAGCAATTGACCACGCGACCTGCGAAAATGGCGTCTCAAGATGTATCGCGGACCCGTGGGTGAAAACGGTTAAATGGTCCATCGTCGACGTCAACGGCGGCTCATCTTGAGATTGCATTTAACCATCTTGGCGCCCTTCATCGTGGCTGTTGTCTCTCGGAGTTAAGCTCATGGCCTACAGTAAGCTCTAATTCCGGCGAGATAGAATTTAGAAACCCGAGGCGAGATTCGTCCCCAAACCACAGCACTGCCCCCGCGCCTAGTCCGGCGGGCAATGCCCAAAATGGATCCCGAGCGACGAGAGGCACGCGACACCACGCACTGAAAGAAGATAAATTCCGGCAGGGACGGGAAGCAGGGGGAGGAATCAAGAGATTTAAAAATAAAAAATATAACTAACAACAAGTAGGCTGGGGAGCAAGGGGCTGGGTGGTGACGAGTAAGTATGTCCAAGACTGGATAAAAACCGTCAAAAACCGCCATTTAGACCCTAGTGGCTGGCTGGCTGGCTGATAAGAGCCGCTGTAGTGACTTGGAATGCTGCTCTCCAGCGTCGCCGTCCTTGGCTCTTGCAGCAGTGAAACAGTGGTAACAAAGAGGCTGGAAAGCACCGCTGCAAACGCACCAAAGTAACCAAGCAAAATGCTGGTTTAGCAGTGCATGCCACCCAAAGCAGCCCAATTTTTAGCGGCCCATGATACCCATTTACAGGGCCCCCAAAAAGCTAGCCGGCAGAACATGGGGCTGCCCCACCCGCCCTACTGCCGGACCAACCAGACGCCAGCAGCTATCAACGTGCACACGTACGCTTTCTCCAGGACGGACCAAAGACATCGCCTCCAGGCTGTGTTTTTATTCCAATTGGCAAGCCAAACATAGAGCGCCGGAAGGGGGCGTAGCACGTTGGTCCCCAAATTGTAATGCGACGTCAGGTTGGTAATTGCTTTTAGGGGCTCGCGTGTGTCATTCCCTCATTTCGCCGCTACTTATTCTCTCCACATGCCATTTCTCTTGTTGCTTTTAACCTACGCTGTCCTCACCTGTGAACTAAATTTTGGTTCTTCTGCAAGGATCATAACTCTTTTGCTACTACTTCTATAACTTGGGATATAACGACGTGGACCTGTTTTCGCAACTCTCATATCTCGTCAGTGCTTCTGCTTGCCCCATCCACTCGATCACAATGCTGGCACCCATTGCTGCGGCTCTGGTCGCCCTGGTTTGTCCAGTTCACCACTTCAGCTTCTGCAACTCTGAGATACCGCCTCTTGTAGACGCTACTCTAGATGAGCTTCGTTCCGGCCTGGCAAATGGCCGATTTACAAGCGTTGACCTGGTCACTGCATATATCCACAGAATCAACGAGGTCAATGACCGCTTACATGCGGTCAACGAAATCAACCCCGACGCCCTTTCAATAGCCGCACAGCTGGATCTGGCTAGAAGGAGCGGAAAATCAGACATTGGGCCTCTACATGGAATTCCCATTCTGATTAAAGACAGCATTGCAACCGCCGACAAGCTCAACACCACTGCTGGATCGCTTGCTCTGCTTGGATCGACTGTTGCCGAGGATAGTACGGTAGTGGCGAAGCTTCGCAAGGCTGGTGCTATTATCCTTGGCAAGTCAAACCTGTCGCAGTGGTCTGGCATTCGCGGCTCAAATTCTACAGACGGGTGGTCTGCATACGGTGGTCAGACGCAGGGTGCCTACTTTGAGGGCATGGACCCGGCCGGCTCATCATCTGGCAGCGCCGTTGCCGCTTCCATCGGCCTCTCCTGGGCGACACTGGGTATCGATACTGATGGCTCTCTCATCAATCCCGCCCACAAGAACAACATTGTTGGAATCCGGCCAACCGTTGGCCTTACCTCTCGTCACCTCGTCGTGCCTGTTTCGGAGCATCTCGACACCGTCGGTCCCATGGCTCGTACCGTCAAGGACGCCGCCTACCTTCTCCAAGCCATTGCAGGCGCCGACAGAAACGACAAATTTACTAGCGCCTCTCCCTACGGATACAATAGTCCTGACTACGTCGCTGCTTGCCGTACCTCTGGCTTGCAGGGCAAACGCATCGGCGTCCCCAAAGGCATGCAGCGTATGTGGTTTGATAAGAGCACCATTCCTGCCTTTGCCGCTCTCAGCGATGTTCTTCAAGTTCTCCGCGATGCCGGTGCTGAGATTGTAGAGGACATTGAGCTGCCTGGTGTTCGGGATTTGATGAAGGAAGACAAGACGTTCCGTGAACTGATGCATGGCGACTTTGTAGCCTCGCTACCCAAGTACCTCGATCAACTCAAGACGAATCCTAACCACATCACGTCGGCTCCAGACTTGCTGGAATTTACACAACATACAGAACACGAAGAATACCCTTACCACAATACCGAGTCATGGAGCAATGCAATCGAACATGGCGACAAAGTGTCGACAGCATGGCAAGAGGCCTTCAACCGCCAACGTCATCTCTCCGGCAAACTTGGTCTCACAGGAGCTCTGGCGAACCACTCGCTGGATGCCCTCATTATGCCTACTTTCCTTGCTTCCAAGATTGCGTATCCCAACGGATGCCCCGTCATCTCTGTGCCCCTCGGCAAGGCACCAGCCTGGACACCGACCATTACAAACTCCCTGCACACTTTGAACCTAACATCACCAAACCAGCCAATTGGTCTGGCATTTGCGGGCTCCCACTGGTCTGAAGAGTCTCTGATTAGCATGGCATATGCATTCGAACAGCGAACCCTGCGCCGGCAGCAAGTCACCCCTTACCTTGCTCCTACAATAGAGATCAAGGATGTTCAGCGAGGCGCTGGTGACCAAATCAATGAACTTTGAGGTGCCCTGAATATGGGTTTCCAGTTGCAATCGGTGCGAGTTCCACCGTAGCCAGCGTACACTTCACCATTTGTATTCTTCATTGTCAAATGTATAGACTATGTATATCCCTTTTTTGTTTCGTTTTTGGGTTTGGCGTATATAGAGTTAAGATTCCCCCTGCTCGTGTCGACGGAACTGACACGAAACATGAGATTTCATTTACGGTATCATTCGGAAAACAAGATGAATATATTAAATTTTCAAAAGAAGAACATATTGTTCCCCTTCAAGGTAACGGGCGCAGCATAGCCGGTGTTTGATCTCTTGGTCTAGCCGGAATGCCATGTGCTCTTGCATTCGCCTTGGATATGTTGAGTTTCTATTGTATTTACCATCATCTGCAAACCTCCACTGCAATTTGTTTTGTATGGCTGGGGATATTCGTGGCAATATTCGTGGCACTACTATTACGGCGGCCAAATTTCGAAACGCATCGGTTGTTGTTTGCTGTTTTGATGGCAGCTGGCTGTGGCCAGCTGTCAGGTGCCAGGTGTCACGCAGCTGCGGCTTGTTTCTCGTCTTTTTTTTCTAGCATGATTCCATTGCTTTCTTCCAGCTACCTCGTCATCAACATATCGTTAATCTGACAATGCGATCGCGAGGTGTTTGTAGATTTCCCCACAAACTACGCTGCATGAAGAGTCAGGCCAAGAAGTGTTTGCCAAATCAAAGCGCCTGTCAGTGGGCAACAGACTACAAAGGTTAATACTTCCAGAGTGTTCACGTGCTAGGTGAATTTATTGCTTACATATAGTAGCACTACTATCACTCTAAAGTCGTAACCAAGGTCATGCAACTGATTCTCGCAGGTCCAAGCTTTCCCAGCAGTGGAGATCCCCCACTGTTCCAAGCAAGTTGCGATTAGTTGTGGAAAACTGTTGAAAATCCCCGCCTCGGCGCTGTAGCAAATGATACACCGAGAGCGAAGGCTTGATCTTGCAGCAGCGCAGCACCAGCACCAGCAAAAGCTAGCCTCCGACTGTAAAATTACGGGCTCATTAGCTTCTCGGGGTGGGCTTGGTTCGTTTGTGGGATTCTAGCTCGGCTCCGTGTCCCGCGGCGAAGCTTTTCCTTGTTCGGCCCTTCTTTTGTTCTCTCCCAGTTGGGTCAACCACGTTACATTGGGGTATAGTACGCAGCCTTGCATGCGAAGTCACTGCCTATGGCTCTGCATTTGACGGTGAGGGGAACACAGAGGCCTCGGGCACTATGGCTAAATATGATTGGGCAATCCAAGGCCAAGATGCAGATAAGTAAGCTACGACAGACAATGTTGAACTTCTGTTAGTGGCTGAATTGTCCTGCGGGCTGCCTGCTGGGAGCTCATTTGTAACTGCGCTTCACCCGGACTGGTTTAGCGGCATGCGGAGTGATAAAGAAGCGAGAATATGCACCTCCACGACACACACTGGTTTGCCGTCGCAGCAGCTTTCGGATCCAACGGGCAGCGGGGTTGCTTCACAAAGCTTTGGCAATACCGCCAAAGGCAAAAACAAAAGCGACTCGGGCCGTTTGAACACTCACTCTGCTAGAGATTTCTCGGCCTACTGTAGCTTGAAGCATGCTTGGCTTGTTTTAGTGCTCACTATTGGGAACCAAGGTTTCCCCGCTCAGAGGATGCGGCGCAAATGACCTGGCTGACTGCCGGCCTACGGTTGCCCGTAATTTCTCTTGCACCTGGGCCAAAATTTGTGGCGTGCCGATCGATCGCGCGGGCTGTCTCTGACGACCGAGCTTTCAATGGAGCGCAGCTCCCCGAAGGTGCTGCTAGCGTAGCACGCGTCCTCCACATCCCCGTGTAACTCGGGAGACGCACCTTTTAGGGATTTGGACAATGCTACCTTGATAGTGGGACGCCTTGGTTCTTCCCTCTGCCGTCTGCCTCTTAGCTGCAGGTCTTCTCCAATATTTCGGCGCTATTACAGGGATGACCGACGAAAATATTTGGCCCGGCTAGTGGCAATCGCGGATGGGGTATTGTCCTTGGCCCTGTCAGTCCTCTGAGACAACAGGCTCTGCCGCAATGGTGGCGCGTGTTTAAATACCAGCTCATCCCCCCAGGCCCAGGCCATTGGATTGATTGCTTTGTTTTACCGTTTGACCTGATCTTTGTTTTCTAAGCATCATACATCATGAAGTCATTTGCCGCTCTCGTCCTCCTCGGACTCATCAGCCCGTCTCTTGCTCTCCCCCAGCCCGAGGCCGCCAAGCGTGCTCCCGCTCCTAACCATGCCCGTGCTGGAGAGGTTCGCAACGCTTTCCAGACTGCCTGGAAGGGTTACTACAAATATGCTTTCCCCCACGATTCCCTCCTACCCCTCAGTAACGGGTTTGAGGACGACCGGTTAGTATTGAGCTGAATTCGTAGACCATCTCCGCCGTCCAGTTTCTAACCAGTACCCAGCAATGCTTGGGGTCTGACTCCCTTTGATGCGCTCTCCACTGCCATCATCATGAACGATGAGGAGATTGTTAACCAGATCTTGGACTTCGTTCCTTCCATCGACTTTTCGACTACCAAGAAGGCCAACGATACCATTTCGCTCTTCGAAAGCACCATCCGTTACCTTGGTGGCATGCTTTCCAGTACGTTTCACCACCACCAAGTTGTGCCGTAAACCTCCAATTGCTAACCACCCGATAGGCTACGATCTTCTCAAAGGCCCCTACAAACGCCTTGCCCGCGATCCCAAGAAGGTTGATGCGCTGCTCAAGCAAGCAGCCAGCCTTGCTGACTCTCTTTCCATCGCTTTCACCACCCCCAGTGGTATTGCTGATGGCTATCTCGTCCTCAACCCCGCCCCCAAGAAGAGCGGCGCCACGACCTCCAATCTTGCTGAGATGGGTACCCTGATCCTTGAGTGGACTCGCTTGTCCGACTTGACCGGTAACCCCAAGTACCGCCAGCTCGCCGAGAAGTGCGAGAACCATCTCCTCAACCCCAAGGGCTCTCCCGAGGCCTGGCCTGGTCTGGTTGGTACCGACATCAGCGTCGCTACTGGCGAGTTCGTCAACAGCTCTGGTGGCTGGTCTGGTGGTGCCGACAGCTTCTATGAGTACCTCATCAAGATGTACTTGTACGACCCTAAGCAGTACGGCTTCTACAAGGAGCGCTGGATCGCTGCCGCCGACTCCACCATTGCTCACCTCGCTTCGCACCCCAGCACCCGTCCCGACCTGACCTTCCTCAGCCAATTCAACGGCCAAAACACATACCCCGTTACTGGTCACTGTAAGAAACCCCGTAAAGACACACCAGGACTTCCAACTAACTGATTCGACACAGTGACCTCGTTTGCCGGTGGCAACTTCATCCTTGGTGGTCTGCTCCTTAAGGAGGACAAGTACACCAAGTTTGGCCTCGCCCTCGCCGAATCCTACTTCCAGACCTACAACCAGACTGCCTCTGGTATCGGACCCGAAGTCTTCCGCTGGATTGACCAGACAAACCCTACCTCCAAGCCCCCTGCCGACCAGGCTGACTTCTACAACAAGGCTGGCTTCTGGGTTACCGGCGCCGACTACGTCCTCCGCCCTGAGACCATTGAGAGTCTGTACTACGCTTACCGTGCTACTGGTGACAAGAAGTACCAGGATCTTGCCTACCAGTGCTTCAAGGCCATCCTCAAGCAGTGCCGTGGTGGCTCTGGCTTCTCTGGCATCAACGACGTCACCAAGGCTGACGGTGGCGGCCAGGACAACTTCCAGCAGAGCTTCTTCCTCGCTGAGGCGCTCAAGTACTCTTACCTTATCAACATCGACGACCAGCCCGTCCAGGTTCGTGCTGATGGCAACCAGTTCGTCTTCAACACTGAGGCCCATCCTTTCAAGGTCCGCAATGCTTAAATGGAGCTGCGGTCGAATCAGAAACAGATATATGAAAACAAAAAACAAAGGCAGTACATAATGCAGTAGTTATATCAATACGAATAATGATTGGCCATGATTTATCGTCATCAATTTAGCCAGCAACTTACGACTCTGATGCCATATGGATTGCACACCCGATGTGAACTTTTGCTATAGGATCAGCGGTCTCCCCTCAAACGGGTGCGGAGAAGCTGCTCGTGATCGGCAATGCGCAAAGTCCCCGGGACCACCTGGTTGCATGATGCAAGTAACTATTGGAGAGTTGGCACTGCAGCGTTACAGTGCCCATTGTGACTGATCCTGAGAGCGCCTTCCCCGAGACAGTGCTAAGCTACAACTAGGCGTGGGAGGCGCTAGTGTGGTGCGCTCCGGTCGAACTTGCGCCGAGCTTCTCAACGCTTTACAAAGACTTTCAAGTGTAGTGGCATCTACTTTTTCAACTAGTCAAGCGGTTTTCATAAGACATTTTGCTAGGCACGACGCACAGCAAAGGTCGCGATTATCCACTGGTGATTGACGACCAACTCCAACTCAGTTGCCCACTGTGTTCCCGTCTCGGCTCCAACCTGTGCCCACAGGTCTCTCCAGGCGTCTGCATCCAAAATATACTTCTTCCACTCGTCGCCTTTACCGCTGACTCCTTGGTTCTTACCAAATATTAGGACGTCTGGGTTATCTAAGTTGAGCAATTTAATCATTTGCTTGGCTGCCTTGATTTGATCATCCCTTTCAAAAAGATGGAAGAAATTTGCGGCGTAAATAATGTCTATCTTGCCGTGAAGTCGAACAGCGCTGGGGGCATCCTTGAGCATGTCTGCAGCGACATATGTGGCTTGGCTAGTGTCCTTGTCGCGGAACAGGTCATAGCCGATGTCGAGGAAACCAGGTTGTAGATCAATGCCATAGAGACGGCGAGTTGGGATGCCGTGCCATGCAAGATAGCGGATGAGTGTTCCCAAAAGACAACCAACCTCCAGAAACGCCTCGTTCGACTCTGGATGCTGGAGCCGTGCGACGACAGACTGAAAGCGTTGGTCATCGAGCGCGGGACTCAGATTAAGGAACCAGAACCTGCCAATAGCGCCATAAGGGAACACATCCCATGCCCGCTCTCTCTGGTCAAGAAGAAGATGGCTTTAGAATCGGGATTTACAGGCGGGGGACATCTAAAGTCTCTTACAATGTTGAATAGATGTGCATCCGCTTCATCAGGCGCAAACTTGGCGTACTGTTGCACAAGCTGGCGGCCAGATTCAACTTCAGGTGGGACATAGTCAATAAACGACGCCTTCTTGACCTCTGCTGCAGTCTTTTTCATGTCATCCTGCGAGGATTGAGCCATTCTTTCTTATTCTTTCACTGAACTGTTTCGTTTAGTAGATGGGGAAGAGGGGACAGAGCGGAGCCTTGGGGCATCGCCATCCACTGCAGCCGTAGCCTATTTTTCTCCCGGTGGTCACCGCGCTGTAGGGCGTACAACGAACGCATGGCTACTGTATTACAGCACGCTGTGGGAAGGTTGTTAGCAACAAAATGCCCCTTGAGACAAGCCGGCGCGTAACACTACCCGGTGGATATCGGCGTGTATGGTTTGGCCAAGTATCTTCGACTGTACCGTTCAACGCCAACTGTTTGGGTAAGTGTCTGTTTGAGAAGCAAGCAAACAAACATGCGGGGAAAGGCGGAGACGTTTACTGGATCAGCGATGCAACCGAGCGACATTGAGCAGAGTTTTTAGGGGGCATGGTGGTTGTGTTCCCACATCCCTCAGTAAGGGAATTGGTCCCTGCCGCTGGCCCCGCTGCGTGTTCCTTTTGTTGCCGTTGATTCACGTTGAAAAGTTGGCGAAAAGTTGCAACTGAATCCAGCCCTACGTTCGACTTAGAGAACCATATCGGAATGTCCCGAATAGGCTAATTCGGCCAACAACACAGCCTCTCATTTACCATAGTGCGTGAAGCTCCTACCATTCTGCAAAAACACGAACCAAGCGAGGGCGCCACCCGACGGATTAAAGGCCTCGCTGATGGCCTGTCACGCGCCCTGTGCACAATTTCTGAGTAAAGCCAGCGGGGGCCGCTCATACGGGGCCGGGCAGAGACGGGCTTGGAGAGCGCCACGGCCGGGCCAACCTAGGCTGGCACTAGAGGTGGGCTACTTTTATTTCCTTGGTGGCTGCGAATTGGCGATCGAGCATCGCTTGGCTGAGTTGAATCTCTTGAAGAGGGAGGACAAAACTCTAAAAGCGTCACCATAACGACGTCTTGCTTCCACAACATGGACGCGGTTCACAAAACCTTAGGAGCGCAACAGAAGAGAACCACGAGGCCCATTTTGCTAATTCGCGGGGGTCAAAGGTTACGTTTTCCCCGCACGACAAGTAAAGAAAAAAGGGTAAGCCCCTAGCGCCATACTGTCAGCCCCTGTATATTAGCGGCATCCACCTTGCTAGGCCCGCCTAGGCTAGTCTGGGTAGGGACTTGCACCAAAATCGCAGGTAGCACAGGGACCCATGTAGAGAAAATGGCTTAGTGGTGGGTGTTCGGCTTGCCGACAAGAACGACTGTGCAGAGCGGCCGAGGCCAAGGAAGCAAGAGACGAGACGAGACGAGGCGCGACGAAGGCGTGGGATTGAGTAGAGGCAGGCCCAATCATGACGGCACGATGCCAGGGAGCCCAATACAATAATAGAAAAAAGGTGAATGACAGTGGCATGACCACAAGTACACCAGGCAAGAGTCGCGCAAACGGCTAAAGGATATCCGCTTGGAGCAGGGCCCCCCACGAATCAAGCCGCCACAAGCCTATTCCGACTCGTACGGGCAGCTGCTTTATTCGTGTTGTTGCCACTGGGGTTACAATTTGAATTGGACTTTTTTCTCGGGCATCCGCTCTAGAGGGGACTTTGTCCATGTAAACTAGTCGGTCGAGACCAGCAGCAGCCTTCTCCGTTTACGGCAGCCCCGTCTATACATACATATCCCAGCCATTTCCCCAACTTTGTTCGCTGCCCACTCCTCTGCCTCCCCCAATTCTCCTTACACGACACTCGGTGCGACAAAAAGATTACAGCCATTGGCGCAAGACACCATGGCGAACAAGACGGCTGCCGAGAACATTGAGGCTCTGCCCACGCCGCCCACCAACGATGAAACGGATAAGGTTGACAGCGTGACGGTGGAGAGCAACAACTATGCAGACCAGATCCCGCGCGAGATGATGGAGTCGCTTGCGCCTAACGGCGAGGAGGAGTTTATCCGCGAAAAGATCAACACCATGACCGAGGACGAGGCCATTGCCATTGTCAGCGAGTCCCTCGAGTTCCACTCGGACGATTGGAACTTCCCTGCCGATATGCGGACACGCATGCAAAAGGTACTGCTGGGTCCCAAGATCTATGGCGAGTACTACGACCGTGACCTGCGTATCGACGCCACTATGATGCGATACTCGTCACCGTATCCCGGTGTTCGTGCTGTCGCATCCCCTCTAGACGACGAGACCGTGCCCGTCGAGACAATCCGCGCCTACTTTCTTGGTATCGGCTGGGCCGTCATCGGCACCTTCATGTCGACCTTTTTCAACAGTCGTTTCCCGGGCATTGGTCTGGGTAGCTCCGTCATCCAGATCCTGTTGTATCCCTGCGGCATGCTGCTCTCGCTCATTCTGCCAGACATTGGCCCGACCATCTTTGGAACAAGACACTCGCTCAACCCGGGCCCGTGGACCTTCAAGGAGCAAATGTTTGCAACCATTACGTTCAACATTGCCATCTACACAACCAATAGTTACGGCATGATTCTCGTTCAGCGCTCCCCGCGCTTCTATGGCCTCGACTACATCACCTTTGGCTACCAGCTGATGCTGACGCTGTTTGTGCAGCTCATGGGTATGGGTTTCGCCGGCTACCTGCGCCGTTTCAGCGTGTACCCCGTCAAAGCGTTCTGGCCTACGCTGCTGCCCATCATTGCCATGAACCGAGCGCTCACCAAACCGGAGCCGCGCGAGCGAATCAACGGCTGGACCATTTCGCGATACAACTTCTTCTGGGTCGTTGCCGGTTCCATGTTCATCTACAACTGGTTCCCCGGCTACCTCTTCACCGCACTCTCTACATTCAACTGGATGACGTGGATTGCGCCGCAAAACTTCACACTGGCGCTGCTGACTGGCTCGCAGATGGGCATGGGCTTCTTCAACCCCATCACCACATTTGACTGGAACATTGCCACTTCGTCGTACGCCGCCCTCGCGCAACCCTTTTACGTTACTTTTACCCAGTACCTTAGTGCCATCCTCGGTGGTCTCATCATCATTGCCATCTTCTACAGCAACATGTTCTATACAGCCTTCCTACCCATTAACTCCGCCTCGTCCTTTGACAACACGGGCCAGAGCTACAACATCAGCAAGGTGGTTGTCAACAACAAGCTCGACAAAGAAAAGTACCAACAGTACTCACCCCCTTTTTACTCAGCTGGTTACTTGATGACCACGGGTGCCAACTTTGCATTTTACCCCGTCTACTTTCTCTACATCATGGTGAATCAGTGGAAGACAATTGGTAACGCATATGTCGACTTTTGGCACGGTCTCCGTCGCGGAAAGAGCAACTATGATGGTGCCATGGATGTCCACAGCCGAGCGTAAGTTTCCCTCCCTCTGTTCTTTTCTTGTTTTTTTTCTTTTGCTTTTACTTCCCATGACAAGTTGACTAACGTGCATCGTTTCTTCTACTAGCATGGCCAAGTATAAGGAAGTCCCTGACTGGTGGTTCCTCCTCATCCTTGTCGGTGCCGTTGCGGTATCTATAGCCTTTTTGGAAATCTACCCCCTTGACGTGCCCGTGTGGCTCGTCTTTGTGCTGCTCGGTATCAACGCCATCTTTGCCGTCCCTCTGTCCTTCCTTTCTGCCACAACCGGTACCAACCTCGGTCTAGGTAGCTTAGTCCAGATCATTACAGGCTACGCCTTGCCCAACAACACCAATGCCTTCCTCTTTGGCCAGACCCTGGGTTCCTGGGCTTTAGCTGGATACTCGGACAACTATGTGCAGGATCAGAAGCTTGCCCACTACTGCAAGATTGCTCCCCGCGCCGTGTTCCGCTCGCAGATCGGCACCATCATCATAACCTGCTTTGTGGCTGTTGCTACGCAGAACCTGATTTTCACCAGCATCCCCGACGTAAGTTTCGCTCTGTATATCTTTCCGCTTGCTCTAACCTGTTATGCTAGTTGTGTGATCCCCACCAACCCCAACGCTTCACCTGCCAGGGCGATGGCCAGCCCCTATACCTCAACTCCCTCATGTGGGGACTTCTCGGCTCCGAGCGCATGTTTGGAAGCGTTTATCCCATTTTGAAATGGTGTTTCCTCATTGGCATCCTCATTGCCCTGGTCTTCCTTGCTGGTCAGGGCCTCGGTCCCCGCTACTTGCCCGGTGTCAAGGAGAGCCTTCGCAAGAAGCTCAGCCCCAAGACGTTTGCCAGACTGGACCGCACCTTATTCCCTTTCATTGCATCTCTAATGTGGCTCAACCCGGTGCTTGTCATCCAGGGTGTCCAGCACTGGGCCCCCTTCAACCTCTCGCACAAGACACCCGGATTTATCCTGTCCCTCATCTTCATGTGGTGGATGCCCAAGCACCGCCCAGCCTGGTGGTCCAAGTACAATTACGTGCTCTCAGCGGCCCTGACTGCCGGCCTAGCATTTTCCGCCCTGATTATGTACTGGGCCATTGGATATCATCCCGTTGAGCTCAAGTGGTGGGGAAACACTGTTAGTGGTGCTGGTGTGGATGGCAACCCAAGGGGTCTTCTTCCGCTGCCTGAGCGTGGCTACTTTGGCTTGGAGAAGGGTAGCTTCCCTTGAGTGGCCTAAATATGTACGTTTATGAGAATTAAATCGCAAATAGATGCCAGGCGTCGTTTGTTTTCCCTTTGACGGCAAAACGGATTTATGAAACGAACAAGAACAATACAGTTTTAGAAAGAGTCCATTTAGCAACAATATATAACCCTTGTTTTTGATTCATTAGTGGCTGGTTTAGACAGAATTACCAAAGCAGTTATATTCCCCCATCAAGCTGTCATGGAGTGCCGCCATCATTTCTCAAGTAACTCCTGCATCAACTTGTTTACCGTCTCCTGTATCAGAATCATAGCTACATTCGAGCAGGTTTCAAGATTGTCAAGGCTGGCTGGTCGTCGGGCCAACAGCAATCCTTGAGATAGTTTGGCAGAAATTCCTGTTGTTCCAAAGAATAGCGCCCCAAGCGCACGATTTATGCCGGGGCGGCGCTACTGACGGGGACAAAAGCGCCTCTGAATTTTTGGGGGTCACTGACAACTAAAACTCCGATTTTATAGTGGCTGATTAATAGCGCCCCTCTCACATTGGACAATGCGGGGGACCGTCGGATATGAACTTCGTCTCCACGCTGTCAATTCGCAAGCGACATAGACTCTTCTCCACCTGTAGTATTCCTGATCATCTCACTCTGGCAATTTGCTACAGTAATGATGGCAGCCTCTCCTCTTAGCGACTTGCTCTCCAAGTCATCGATCGACTTGCCAGCATATGAAGAGCTGTATAAGCACTTCCACCAAAACCCGGAGCTCTCCGACTTCGAGGCGCAGACTGCTAAGAAAGTTGCCGAGGAACTTGCAAAGCTACAAAGCTTCAAGATTACTACTGACATCGGCGGGCATGGAGTCGCAGCCGTGTTAGAGAATGGGCCCGGTAACACGATCCTGCTGCGGTCTGACATGGATGCGCTGCCCGTGTTAGAGACCACCGGGCTGCCCTACGCGAGTAAGGCTACCATGGCGGATGCCGAAGGAAACATAAAGCCAATCATGCACGCTTGTGGGCACGATATGCACATGACATGTCTATTAGCTGCGGCGAAAATCCTGATACAGCTCAAAGACCATTGGCAGGGCACGCTTGTGCTCATCTTTCAGCCTGCTGAAGAGAGAGGCACTGGTGCCCAGGCTATGGTGGACGACGGATTGTACACCAAGCACAATATCCCGGTCCCAGACTTTGCGTTGGGTCAGCATGTTGTTGCGGCTCGTGCTGGCAGCGTAAAGTCACGAATAGGGCCAATCATGGCTGCTGCTGATAGCATGAAGATTACCCTCTCTGGCAGAGGCGGTCACGGTTCACAGGTAAGCCTCAACCAATCTCAACTTGTTCCATATTGACCATTATTAGCCTCATCGCACAATTGATCCTGTCGTCATGGCAGCCCATATCGTGGTTCGACTTCAGTCTATTGTTAGCCGCGAGATTGATCCCAGCGACATCTCAGTCCTGACAGTCGGAAGTATCCAAGCTGGTGATACGGAGAACATCATTGTTGATACTGCTGAGATTGGAGTTGATATCCGCAGTGTAAAGCCCGAGACCCGCGAGCAGCTGCTTGCTTCCATTCGCCGGGTTGTTGACGCCGAGTGTCAAGCCAGCGCTGCTACAGCGCCTCCGGTATACAAGATTACGCGTCATCTACCGCTGACCTCCAACGATGCTGGCATGATGAATACGCTCAGCGGCACATTCCGTGCTCATTTTGGAGACTCTTATACCTCCGAGATGGATACGCAGACGGTGTCTGAGGATTTTTCTGTTCTCGCCACCTCACAAAATAGGCCCTACGTCTTCTGGCACATCGGCGGCGTCGAAGGTACGCTCTATGATCAGAAGGAGGCTGAGGGTCGTCTGCTGGATGATATACCGGCGAATCATTCGTCCAACTTTGCACCAGTCTTGGATCCTACCATGCGAACGGGTATCGATGCTCTAGTTATTGCTGCTCTAACCTTCTTCCAGGAGAAGCGCTGAAGGACGGTCTTGCACGAGAGCAGTATTATTGGTCTTCAATCATATGCACTTTGTAGATTTGTACTCGTATTGGTGGAAGGAGTTGCCAATGCATTGCAGGAGTTGAGACGCGTTTGTTGGAGTCTGGTGCGTGAGGTGTCATGGGAAGGTTTTGTTGGAGCTGTGCTTGTTTGAGTACAGCAGCAGCGTGTTTTGGCGGGGTATGGCAGCTTACCCTGCACCATTCAATGAAGAGAGCATAATCGCCAATTCTATGTTTTAAATTGTGGGAAAAAGTAGAAAATGCATATAATATGTGTTTTAATTTCCTTACATCGGTTTGGATTATAATTTATCGTCTACTCGGACTCTATGCGCGGGTTTGTTATGCACCAGTGTCCGACATCTAAGCTCACTGCTACCCCGCTACTCCAGACCCTAGCTTCTCAGACTAGCGTTCCTGTCACGACTGCACCAGCGCACAAACTGCTAGCAGCCGCGCAATAAAATATTTTAAAAACTCGGTACAAATAAATTGTTACCATTTAAACTGATAGATTATTATTTCCTTCTATAATAATACCTCCCACCCGACGGCACGCAGCTGTCATACTGAACCTCTAGCAGCTGTCGGCCGCCAAATCGGGCCACACACCTTAGACCCTCTCGGCGAATACTTTTTCCCCACGCGAAAACTCTTGGCACGCACAAAAACGACTCTAGCCATCAAACCACCATCACCAAGTTATTACGTGACCCGGCTTCAAGGCGACCAACCAGATCAGCCCTCATCCATCTCCCTTTAATTGTGAGTGCGCCCATAGATTCGACTATCCCGACATCCCGCCGCGCACATTGGCCCCCGGTTTCGCCTACAGCTCCCGCTAATATTTTCCATTTCTCACCTACAGCCATTATATCCACAGTCCAACATGGCGGATCCCGAAGTTCAAGAGCGCCTCAAGAAGCTCGCCCAGAGCGGCCGCATTGGTGAGTCCCATTAACTAGAAGGACAATTCGGAAACGGTATAACTAACAGATGTTCTTCTAGGGTACGTAATCTAGCTTCCACTTTCCTCTGACGAATCGACGACGACGATGATATCGGCGAGACGACACCGTGTACCGGACTAGCTAACCATTGTGATGCATTATAGTGGCAGCGCCAAGGGTACCCCCCGCAGAAAGGCTAAGCGTGCTCCCGCCCGCTCCGGCGCCGACGACATGAAGCTTCTCTCTACCCTCAAGAAGCTCAACACCCAGCCCATCCAGGGCATCGAGGAGGTCAACATGTTCAAGTCCGACGGCAACGTCATCCACTTCGCCGCCCCCAAGGGTACGTTATATCCGCATACTGTTTGATGCACAGTCATTGTAGCTTGGAAGGATGCCAATGAAGCAATGCTATTCGTGCTGCAACACCGTCGTCTACATTCGCTAACGCTCGTTTTGTCTACAGTCAACGCCGCCGTTCCCTCCAACACCTTCTCCATCTACGGCAAGGGTGAGGAGAAGGAGCTTACCGAGCTCGTTCCCGGTATCCTCAACCAGCTCGGCCCCGACTCTCTCGCCTCCCTCCGCAAGCTTGCCGAGAGCTACCAGGCCATGCAGAAGGGCGAGAAGGGTGAGGGTGAGGATGAGGACGATGATGAGATCCCCGAGTTGGTCGAGGGCGAGAACTTCGAGAGCAAGGTCGAGTAAGGATACCTCATGAAAGGACACCTTACCCCTACGCTATTCGAATAAGCAAAAATAAATGAAAATAAATCAAATCTAAAGGAACAAGCGTTGTCATCCTTTTTTATGATCAAAAGGTCTTTTATTATATGCGGTTATGTGTGATGCATCTCGAATGCTACTGAACAAGCAATATCAGCATGTGCTACTCATCTTATCATAAAATCATCATATCAAGTCATGGCGCCATTTATAATTCGAGCGAGAATGACGTATCGCCCTCGTTTCTCAACCAGCCTGTGAGCGCAAGCCGCCAGACATCCCCCTTCACTCGCCTCCGGACGTCTAACACTGGATTTGATTTGAACGATTCATAGTCCCTGGAGAACAACTCCTGGTGAAGCTCGTCTTCGGGGGCAAGCGTGCGCATGGCACGTTCCGCAGCTGCCCACATGAGTCGGCGTGATGTTTCGCTGGCGGACTTGCTGGTACCAAGTTTGCGCCCTTGGATAATTCCGTTGATTGTAGACTCTTCTAATCCAGCCCTGGTCCAAACTGCTGCAAGGTTGCTGGCAGATATCTTGGCCGCCCTGGATGATACCGATCTCTTGGAATACTGGAACTCACGCGTTGTCGTGGCTATTGTAAACGGCTGAAACGTGTGGCTGGTATCCCACATCCTATTTTCCAAGGCTGAGAGTCTCCCTGTAGCTGAAAACGCTCTTTGACAAGCGACATCAGAAAACTGAGACTCTGGAAGCACCACTGTGTCAATGTAAGCGTTCTCGGGGGAGATAACCACTTCGGTGGCAGATGACAGCAAGGAGGTGAACTGCTTCAACGACATTTTGTCTGAACATGATTTTGAGAGTGTGACTGGCGCGTCATTCCTGGCAGGTTTCCGGCGAACAATGCCAAGTCTTGAAAAATAAGCTCTCCCAGGCAAGTCATGGGGCTGATCCTGTGGTAGATCCCAGGACGTTTCATCATCCTGAGCACCCATTGTTAACTCCATGCTTGCATCACCACCTATTTACTTGTTAGACTACGCTGCCATGGTTCCGGTTTAGCAGACTTACATGGAGCTTCTGAGCAATACATGTGAAGCTTGACGGCCGGGTCAACGACGTAGGCCTGCGTTGATCTTTCGCCAGGATTCGAGGACGCTTTGTTCCTTGGGAGAAGAATCGAATCATTGGAGTTGATGATTTCATCCAGTAAATACCGATTGAAAGCTCGAATCGCCAATATCTCGGCATGCCAGTCGTGTAAGACAGCGCCATTCGCACTAGCCATCTTTGTTGCGGGAAGGCATTTCATCCCAGTACTATAGACAACGACGTGTTACTTGTAATGGAGGATTTATTAGAAGTATCGATAACACTTACGCCAGAGCTAAACACTCAAATTTGCCAGCTTTTTCTGCGACGATGCCGCTCAGCGGAACCCATTCGTGCAAGCCATTGTCACGGATAGCCGGTTTCCGCTTTACTGGCAGCTGATCAAAGCAAGAAAGAACTGCCTCAGCAATTGCATCTGCTTTAGGACTCATTTAAATTATGCATACATAATTTATTTTCGGATCTGTATTTTTCACAACGTATATACAGACAGACTTGAGTTTGGCTCACAAGAATGGCTTTCAGACGCATACAGCTTGAGGGCCCCACTTTCGCTTCGATGTCTAAAAAGCGTGTTGTATCATTGGCCAGCGAAAACGACTGGGCCCTTCACGTGATGCCAACTCCCTTGGTTCGCACTTTCTCGCTTGGCCCTAGACTGCTTAGGTAATAAAGACACACACCACCAATTTGCGAAATTTGACTCTATCGCGGGTCCGAGTCCCTCCTCGACTTTTCTGTCCTCAGTACTAACCTCCAGCACCTTTTTTGTCGCCACACAGCACCCAACCGCGACAAATATGCGTACCTACGAAGATACTTTCTCTGGACAGAGAATCTACCCTGGCAAGGTACGACTAATTCCTAAGAAATGATTGCGTTCTCTGCGTTTGAAGGACCCGCGAAACAACCGCCCTCGACCATGTTGCCGTTTGCCTCACCAGAGGCCCCCGAGACACGAATTCGGATATCGATGCCCTTGAAATCGAAAGACAGCACGGGAACAGAATTTATTTTCAAATAAAACGCCCCTAACGTGTTACGGATCGACGACATGGCCGATTGTGCAAGTTGTAATTCGACATCGGATATCCTTCAACGCCCGAGAACTGCAAAAGCAGACAATGCGGCCCCGAACTTGTGTTTGCTAACGAATATATGATTACAGGGCAAGATCTTTGTCCGCGGTGACTCCAAGGTCTTCCGCTTCCAGAAGGGCAAGTCCGAGTCCTTGTTCCTCCAGCGCAAGAACCCCCGTCGCATTTCTTGGACCGTTCTCTTCCGTCGCCAGCACCGCAAGGGTATCTCTGAGGTACGATTCTCCTCCGTTCGACTGCTCCCTCCTCGCTGTTCCTGTTAAGGGTCCTATTACCCAGATTTGATATGGTGGATGGTATTCCAACACAGGACACGAGACGGGAGACGAATGGCATACAAGCTCGGGTTATACAGTACTAACAACCACTACAGGAAGTCGCCAAGAAGCGCTCTCGCCGTACCGTCAAGGCTCAGCGTGCCATCGTTGGTGCCTCTCTCGATGTGATTAAGGAGCGCCGTACCATGCGCCCCGAGGCTCGCTCTGCCGCCCGCGCTGCCGCCATCAAGGAGTCCAAGGACAAGAAGCAGGCCGCCGCTGCCGCCAAGAAGGCCGACAAGGCCAAGCTCGCTGCCACCAAGGGCGCTCAGCCCAAGGTCAGCAAGATGCAGGCCAAGGGTGGTGCCGTCAACAAGCCCGCTCCCCACTCCCGATAAACGGTTCGCCTGTTAATGGGATGAAAACGAAAAAAATTACTTAGGGGACGCTTTGTTTGCATGTTGGAGATGTTTCTTTTGTGAACTGCAAGAGAAGGGAGTCCGTGGTTCTTGTGTCTTTCCGGCCGGTTCTTCTACAAATACGGGTGCATGGATTGCCATAGGGTACATTGGTAGTTGAGCATTACGTGACATGCCAATGAAAATGTTTAAAACATAACAAAACGAACCTGATATATTATGACGGTGTCTGCTTCTTGTAAAGTTGTGAAATGCTAACCCCCGTGACGAGTAGCAATATGTATAAACTCATGCTGTTCGACGGAAAGTCTGCGCACCATTGGCAATCTCTGGACCTGTTCAATTAATTTCAAACATAGGACATAATCATACGGGAGGCAAGTTTACAAGGCGAAATAAAGTCTATCATTATTGCCGTCTAGTCTAGTGGGTAGTTTTCTTTTTGTCTATGATAAGATGGGAAGGGGTCATTAGATGGACATGCCGATTGCATCAATGGCTTTACAGCTTAGCAATAACGGCATCGGCGCCAGAGACGCTGACACCGCTGGGAGCCTCCTCCTTCTCGGCGTAGGTGACCTTGCCGTGGTCAACGACGATGGCGTAGCGGGCAGCACGGGGACCGAGAGTCCAGCCGAGAGCAGAAGAGAACTTGGTCTCGTCATCGGAAGCGAAGATCTGTTTAGAGAGGAGTACAATGGTTAGCTTTGTTTGGTTGTCTTTGGCACATCCCCAGAGACCGGGAGAGGATGGTCGTAGGAGGGGAGGGGACGTTGAAACGTACAATGAACTCGTCGTTGATCTTGTTGGCCTTGCCCCAGCCAGACATGACGTAGGCATCGTTGTGGGCAATGAAGACAACCTGGTCGATGCCCTTGGCCTTGAGCTCCTCAGCCTTGGCAATGAAGCCGGGGACGTGGTTGGCAGAGCAGGTGGGAGTGAAGGCGCCGGGGACGGCAACAATGACAATCTTCTTGTCCTTGGCGACTGTGGTGGTGGTCCTCTGGTTAGCGTGCTCCAATGGCAATGGCTATTGCTGCAACATACTCTCACTGGCGTTGTACTTCTGGGGAATGCCACAGGCGCTGAACTCGCTGTTCTCGGGAGAGGGAGCGATCCAGGTGAAGCTGACGTCCTGGGGGAAGCTATCTCCAACCTTGAGGGCAGACATGATGGGCGATTTGTGGTTTGGGGTTGTTGTTGTGTGAGAAGAAGAGAAGTGTGTGGTGTTGTTGGTAGATGGAGTTGGAGAAAAGGTTGGGATGAGCGTGACAATTATAGTAGCAATTGGGAATTTGGAATTCAAAAGTTATGGCGCAATGAGGGGCAGCCCGATGGAGGGGTTCACGCTTGCGTGCGGCGGCGGCGGTACCTGGAAAAATAAGCCCCGGAGGCGTGCGCCTAAGCGCTGGGGGCCGTGGCAAAATACAGTGTAAGTAGTGGATACACACTGTAAATAAGCGCAGGAAATATATTGGGAATACAGTGCACATTGGACATCGGACTGTGCGGGCGGCTCTCGCCGGGTGTGTTGATGTCATACACAGACACTAAGGCCGCTAGGAAGGTACTGTAGTCGCTCACCGCAGAAGCCACTGGAAGCTTTGTGAGCGTGATTGACCTGTAAACGGATATATCCCTTGTCTATTCAAGTAATATGTACCATGCGGCCCGGGCTACGGAACAAGTGCTAGAATCATCACGCCATGTTCTGCTTTTGCTGTACGTGAATTGTCGGAGGGCTCGGATATCCGAGTTGACATCGTCGGCAGAATCGGAGTACGCACCCTGATGTCCACTGTCTTTGCTTGGTGGATGCGTTAACGGCAATGGCTCTGTGTGTATCAAATCGTGATATTGGAGGGCGATTCGTATTCGTGATAAGATCCAAGCATGGTGAATGCGGCTAACCGATCCGTTTTATAGTGCGACGGGTAGAGGTGTGGCTTGCAACACTCGGGTACGTGACAACTGTTACTGTGCATTAATATACTCATATAAAAGCGCACTCAAAGTAGGTATATTTATGGCAAAATGTCTGCAAACGTATAAACCATATATTAAAATAACGACTGTAATATAAAAGCGGCTTGTTTCTTGGTTACGCGTAACCTAGGCTCATAATGATGGTTATATTGGAAGATCCGACAACCGTGATGGAGGCAGAGTACTCGGAATTCGACTGGCCAATAATACTACACTATTGATTCGTCTCCGTTGCTTCCAAATAAATAATTAATGACTACTCAAAGCTCATCTTGCTAGGTTCCGTTAAAACATAATGACAGCCTGCTCCCTTTCTGTCACAATTTAATTGCTCTCTGTATGGATGTCGGTGATTCTTGTTTATCTTAAGAAACATCAGGCAGCATGAACACCATAATACTTTAAAACGCCCGAAGGGCGTCAATTCTTTCAGTGCATCCGTTATGTGCCGCTGGTTCTGCTTACCAAACCTCATCTCAAGTATCGGCGGCATCATAAGAGAAATCCCAGGCATATAATAGTCGCCACTATCCGGGATAAACGATACAAGGATCTTGTAAATAGAAGCCTGGTACTATTTCCCGGTTATCCGTGGACTTATAAAGCTATGGTCAACGTCCCGACCCGGGGACTGCTTTGTTAATGATATAAGCGAGACAATGCTGTGCTCCTCCCTGCATATTGGCATCGCGCCTAGGACTATTTTTGGCCCCAGAAGTGTTTAATGTTTGTGTTCCAGGCTTAATGACAAAATTGTCTCGCCTATTTTTGGACACATTGCTCTTCATCTCGTTGGCAAACTGTCTTGTTTGTATGACCAACACTCTCCTCCGGCCTATTCAGGTCTTGTAAGCCACGTTCGCCAGGGGTTACGCTTGTTGGGCGACTACAGATGGGTCTCCTGTGGCGTCTGTGCCACCAATTTCGCTTTTTTCTTCATATCTGGCAGGCAGAGAGGGCAGACTGCTGCAGGTCCCCCCTGGCGTGCATCCTGGAGGATCGTTCGGCTGGGATCTGACAGACCAAGCGAAATTGGAGCCTTGCTCTCTTCACGAGGGGATGATCATTAACCAGTCAAGACACCACGACACGAGCTACAGTCTTTGCAGCTGGTTGATCGGCACAGAAGCTTTGCCTAGTTGCCACCGACCAAATGCACGAGATCGGTAGGTTGAAGAAGATTTTCTATTCCAATGCTCTTTTCGTCAAGCCACTGTTGTTGAGGTATATTCCTTCCCCGTGTAACGTGGACGAGAAAAGAGAAGACAGCGCATTGTTTCCTTTTTTTTTCTACCAGCACGTCTACATGACATGGGTTCTACAACGACTCATATATCATATGCGACCAACTGTAAAGCAAACAGACATGCTATATTTGCCGAAGTGGCCAGTTGGGCATTGGTTTGTGAAACTTGCCCGCATGCTGCAGTCGAAGTTTTGCTTCTTTTTCACTATTTTTTGCAAAGAATTCCTTTTGATGCGGATGCTCTGCCTGCGTACCGTATTTTCTTTTTCAGTGGCGGCGCCCGCAGGATGCAGCCACGGAGGCCCACCAGCAAATTCATTGGTACGAGGGCCTTGTGTTGCAAAGTGGATGACTCGGATACTTTGCCAGCTGCCTTTTTGGACGTTGTGTTCAGTAATGCAGACTTGGTGAATAGACTCTGTTGAGTTTGGGGGCTGGTGATCTTGAACAGGCTCAAGAGAAGCCAACATCTCTTGCACCAAACATGGCTGCCCGGCAGAGTGTAAACCAACAATTGGTTTGTTCTCCCCAGCTACTAAAATACAAACTTTGATAAGAAGGGGCATTCCGTAACAGCACCTTCGTACAGTAAAGCTGTATGGAGCCCGCCGAATGGCTCTGCGAGCGCCTACGTAGCGAATATGCTATGGTTGTCTCCTGAAGTTGGTTAATGATCCATGACATGTATCAAAAAGTCAGACCTAAACCAAATATTATTGCTTTTGAGAGCTTATATGCCGCCTCATAATGATTCTAGATGTGACATTCAACATATCAGAATGGCACTGAGACGCATCGTTTCTGATTCAGATATTTTTAGCAGACCACGTTTGATGACCCAGTTCCACGCAATATTGTCTTGCATCATGCCATCTAGAAGGACTTACCTGCTTACTTATTTGCATTGTATTCTATATGGCTATTTGCTTTTGCTATCCAATATTCATGCGCCAGTCGTTGCTTTTTGCGCAAGCGCTGCGGCGCCTAAGAAATATAGCGGGGGGTTGGCCCGACATGCTGCCAGTCGTGCCAGCTGCGCCAGCTGCCGACAAGGTGGCACTGCCATAACTAGGGAGAATGGTACTTCTCTCCTTTTTGCCTCTAAAATACAAACTTAATTTGTTACTATCGGCAGAGAAGTAATCCGAGAGCAAACTCAATGTTAAATTCGCTTGGCAAATGACCGTGCGCGTCAACTGCCGGTGTAGCTCAGCTTGCCAGTACTAGCAGGTGAAAGCGTGGGAGCAAGGGGAGTGCCACGCCATTGTGTCTTTGGCGTGCGCCACTTTGAGACATTCCAGAATACCCAAAGATGATATCCTACTACTCTGGAGACAGTTGCCTCCATTTGTTTGCCTTTCCAGGACCTAAGAAAAGCAAAATTGCACCTCTGGACTGCTGGACCCTGTCGGCAGCCAAGGGCCATTGTTAACGGCGGCCAACTTGACGAACTGCCCCGCCGTTAGCATTTACAATGGCTCAGAGCTAGGGCCGACTGAGAAGGAAAAGAAACCGGACCAATAAAAGGAAAACTGGCTCAATCACATAATCGGCCTTACGAGAATACCGACATCAATGTTTCTAACCGACTAAACAACCCCGCAGCAACAGTGCACAGGCTTCGCGCTAGCAACATAAAGTAACCACGGTGAAACAAGCCTAGTCGGCGAAAAAGCCGCCATGATTGCCAAACAATAGATTGCCGCTTGGACCTTGAGGTTGCGTCCACCGTACCTGGAAAACCAGCAGTTGGCCAAGTGCTGGATCAACCACCACCCCATGATCTGTGACTTGACATCGGTAGCCGCACAGACTCTCAAGGGTGCTCTAGTGGCTGCGCTACTACCAACCGCTCAGACTACGCTAGCGGAATGAGGAAAAAGTAAAGAACATCACGGCGAAGAATCTGTCTTTCGGCATAGGGACCGAGACTGTTTGTAGGAGATCCTACTCTGTACCTAGCTCTACAACTTGCCATAGAGCATACCGTCTTATTCTATACCACTTTGAACACGGCGATCTAAATGGCGTCCACTCGACTTGCATCCAGGCCACTTGACACCAATAGGCTGGACAGCGTTCAGCCACTATCTCCTCCATCACCTGCATCAGCTGTAATTTACGCAGCTTTTCGGTCTTTTCGGTGGCTTTTTTCGGGCGTCTGGACCAGAAGCAGCTTGCAAAACTGCAAAACAAAAGCCACCAGAGGAGACAAGCTGCACAAGAGCGACAAAAAACGGGCCGCACGGCGGGCACAGAGGAAGCTTGAGCCACAACCCACTATGCAATGCGGCGCACACACCTTTCACTGGGGCAGCCCACCACCCACCATGAGGAACAAGCTGCGATTCGCGAAGCTTGGTGTTGAAGGAAGCAGTTTGACAAGGGTACTGACTTGAGGCGTCCAAGATGCCCATTCGAACCAAATGTCCCGCCATGATCCTACGGCTATGTACGGCTGCTTACCTATGCCGATGACGAGGCCGGCCGGACGGACACGGCCCAGGTTGCTGCTCAAAGCAAAGACGAAAGAAATATGGCAGCAGCTACTAGTCTACTGCCGTAGGCGCAGGAAGTGAAAAGCATGCAGGCGTTTGCCACTATGGCCAACCCATCCATGCCCAGGGTCGCATCCACAGCGCTCTGTGGTCGGTGCCACGCCGCTGTCAAGTGCCACTCACACTTAGACGCACGCCAGGGGGGCTACCGTTCCACCCACCGGCGCCCGATGCTCTGGGCCCTCTTTCTTTGCTTTGCCTGGCCTGCGCGCCGCTAATACTTCTTTGCTTTTCCGTTTCACACGCGTTGAATACAGCTAAGCGATGGTGCCTACCGGGCCCAGCCCCGTGGGTCTGGGTTGTGTACTTTGCGAGTCGGCGGAACGCCATGGGAGAAAACTTGGGCGACTTACACGAAATACTACGCTCCCGACCTGCTGGCACATATATCAAGCCCACCTGCATCCTCTCCCGCCATGATATGCTTCGTTCTCAACGCCTGATTTTCTCTCCTTTCCCTTCGTCTCACATATACCTCGTTGGCAGTGCCACTAGAGTTCTAGTGTGAGCGTCTATAGCCTCGTCTACTCTCTCATTTGCTTTCCTTCCCAAGGGTATCTCATACCACCACAGCCACCCATCTATCACCATGGGCGTCCCCATCACCTACACCCGCCCCAAATATGTGGAGGCTACCGCTTTCCGCAAAAGCCAGGAGTCTCTTACTCCCAGCACCGAAGGCTCTGTCAAGTCCGGCAGATCTGGATACTCTGCCGGCATCCCGGACTCTCTCGCCTTTGACAACATCATCAATGGCGGAACATGCCCAGTAAGTCGCCTCCCCTCTTGGGAATACATTTTGAGTTTGGCGTGTGAGCTAATAAATGTACAGCCCATGACAGTTCGCGACTTCATGAACTACCTCATCTACATTGAGCACTCGGCCGAGAATCTGCAGTTCTTCCTCTGGTACAAGGATTACGCCAAGCGTTTCGCTCAGGCAGATACCGTTGACATTGCCCTCTCCCCAGAGTGGACACAAACCATGGAAGACGACGCCATTGCCAAGATCCGCAAGGACAATGCTGAGAAGATGCGAGCCGAACCAGCTATCGCTGCGGAGATGTTCAAGGGCACCGACTTTGAGAAGGGTGCTATTGATGCCCATTCGGCCAACCCCTTCACTACGCCTCCTCGCACTCCTCGTGGCGCGGACGACAAGGACTCCATTCACACTGATCCCTCCATGCCCCCTTCTCTGGCTCAGACCTACAAGTCTCAGGCAAGCGAAGCGTTTTACTCAGCTGGTGTTAAGACTCCTTGTAAGTTTCCACTTACCATTCATACAGTATACAAGACATGAGCGACTAACAATGATAGTCACCATCCAACCTTTCCGCGATGAAATCAACCGCATTATTTCCACTTACATCATGGATGGTGCTCCTCGCCAGCTCAACCTCTCCTCTTGGGAGCAAAAGGCCACCGTCCAGGCTCTCTCATGCACTACCCACCCTACTGCCATGCGTCTCCTCGTCAACACTGTCGAGTCGTCGCTCCGCCGCCAAGCTCACCCCAACTTTGTTCGTTGGTCGATTTGCAACGGCAACCCTGCCCGTGTCTTCTTTGCCCGCGCTCTTGGTGTCGGCCTGATCCTTATCGGCCTTGTTGCCGGCGTCCTCATGGTCCTTGGTGGTGTTGCTCGCGGCTACCGTGCCATCACGGCTGTTGCGTTCGTGCTCGGTATCAGTACACTTGTTGCCGCATACAAGGGTATGTGTGTCGTTTTGCACGGCATGCATCACCGCCATGTGCGCCCCTGGGAGCTGTTTGTCCATGCCGAGGAGGAGTCCGAGTATGATCTTGGCAAGCGCAGCTTCGACTCGTTTGGCTCCAACAACAGCTACGAGGACGAGCCGTGGGTTGTCAAGTACGAGAAGCGTAATATTGTACGCAAGGTCTTTGACCGTGAGGTGTGGATCAAGGAGCCTGCTCTGCGCCAGATCCAAGACACCATCTTTATTCAGGCCATTCTTGCTTCGTTGCTGCTGGGCGGCGCGTTGACGGCCATCTTTGTTGCTGTCCCCAACGCTCACCTCTTTTAAGAGTGAGAGCTCGGGATTGATTTGAACGATACAAATGTATATTTCTTTGTTTTCTTTTCCTACTGGGAATATAATTAGGAGAGACCGGTACAGGATGTTTTGGTTTTGGTGTTTCTCTGTTTTGACCCCTCAGGGCTCCCTTTCTTGTATATCTCGCTCTTCAGTACACAAAATTTTGACTCGATTTTCTACTGCAAAACGAAGATGTAGCTTACGGTGACTTCTCATTTAGGAAATAGTTGTGACCGTACCTATGTTGCGAGGCATTAGTCCTAGCTTAGTAGAAGTTCGGAGTAAGCAATGCCCCTGCAACGGCAAGCCTTCATCGGGGTTCCGAATACCACCAGGAGCCTGCCCAATGTAATCCGGAGCCTGTTAATTGGCTGTCCGGTAAGCTTGCTGAAGGATATACCCTCAAAAACAAGGCGAACACCATCTTGTATGTTCCGAAAAATACACAGTAGGAGAATTCTTGAAAACCCCGAACAAACCTTGGCTACGCTCCGTTCCCCGCGTCTGGGGTTTCGGCTCGTCGGCCGGGGAAAAGGGATCATTTTGTTAGTATTTGGCTGCGAACCCACGAACAACCTCGGGATCGCAGTGGGGCGGGCGGCTTCTCAGCAAAGGGTGCGCTGACTGTGTTTGTGCCTCGCTGGAACGACAAGGCGCTACAGGAGCCATCAGCGTCCGTTTACAGGCCCTGACAGCGCTGTAAGACGGTGTCTTTTTTGTTGGTGGTAGCACTTTACCACCCGGGGACCCGGGGAAACGGCACCCAAACGGGTTGCAACACAGCGGATTCGCCTATCGATAATGACGACAGCTGCGTCACTTGCGCCAGCTGTGCTTGCCAGGTGCGAGAACAGTGGCAGGCCGAAATTAAAATTCCCCAGAAAAAATAAGGACCAAGTGCCCTGGCTACCCCCCAACAACAGTTCTTATCAAGTGCATCACTAGATTTCAACCATTTCCCCCCTTTCCACTCTCATCTCGTTTCTTCCTCTTCTTCTCCTTCTCGATCCTTCGCTTTTTCGTTACTGACCAGCTTGCTTGCTTGTGTGGTAATGCGCACCCGTCGCCTGTCATGACGCCTGCAACCACTGTCGCTCCCCCCGCCATCTCCGGCGACCCCCCCTCGGAGCCCCGAGCAGATGCTGTTCAAGCGCCTCGGTTGGTAACGTCGACAGAAGAAATTCACAGCTCGATCCGCAAGCCTGGCAGCGTCAAGATCAATGTGCAGGGCGCATTCATTGTCGATGCCGAGAGCACCACGCCGCAGCGCACCAATAGCCTCGGGAACGGTCGAGGTAGCCCGACACATCACGAGACGAGCGACATTCGCTTGCCCAACCACACAGGCGGTGTCAGTCACATTGCCGTCGATGTAAGTTCCATTGTGTTGCAGAGTCAAAAACGATGAATGCCAATGGGTGTACTAACTCCCTGATTTCAGATTGGCGGCTCGCTCATCAAGCTTGTCTACTTTTCGCGCGAGCTCCCCTCGACAGACCCTGGTGGTCGACTGAATTTCCAGCTCTTCGAAACCGACCGTATAGATGACTGCATAGAATTCATGAAGGATCTGCGCGACAAGCACATTGAGCTTAATGGACCCAGAACCGACGAGCTCGTGGTCATGGCCACTGGTGGTGGTGCTTATCTATTCTACGACAAGATCCGCGAGGCCCTCGGCATTGATGTTTCTCGCGAGGATGAGATGCAATGTCTCATGATTGGCCTGGATTTCTTCATCACCGAGATCCCGCGGGAAGTTTTTACCTACTCCGAAACAGATCCTATGCACTTTGTCACCCCGCGCGAAACCATCTACCCCTATCTCCTGGTAAATATTGGCTCCGGAGTATCCATGCTGAAAATTACCGGCCCGCGGAGCTACGAACGTGTAGGAGGTACATCGCTGGGCGGTGGTACCCTCTGGGGCTTACTCTCGCTGCTCACAGACGCAACAAGCTTTGACGAAATGCTGGAGCTTGCTGGTCAAGGCGACAACACAAACGTCGACATGCTGGTGGGTGACATATACGGCCAGGACTACGGCAAAATTGGTCTTAAGAACACGGCCATTGCCTCTTCCTTTGGTAAGATTTACCGAAAGAAGCTTGAGGCCAACGCGGTGCAGACAGAGGGTGAGACAGGCAGCGAAGCTAAGCCTAACGGCACTTCCCAGAAGAAGCCCGGCTTCAACGACAGCGACATTTCCCGATCTCTTCTCTATGCCGTATCAAATAACATTGGCCAGATCGCATATCTGCAGTCGCAGCTGCACAACCTAAACGACATTTATTTTGGCGGCACCTTTATCCGCGGCCACCGACAGACAATAAACACGCTGAGTTACGCCATCAAGTTCTGGAGTAAGGGCTCCAAACAAGCCTACTTTCTCCGTCACGAGGGTTACCTCGGCGCTGTAGGAGCCTTCCTCCGAAGACAACCCAAGAACTGGGGCCGACGAGGCAGTCTGGAAGGCATGGATGAGCTACAGGAATGGCGCGCGCAAAGAGTCGCAGCCGAAGCTTCTACCACGGTATAATATCGACCACGCAAGACGTCTACCATATGCATAAACACACACACTATTCGACACGCCACACACACATACAACGCCGAGAGCCAACATATATGCTATTTAACGAACTGCATTTCATCAAAGCAATACATTATATACAATACATGATCCCTATAGCACAAGCTTAGGAGAAAGGAAAACCGCAGACGCGAGGGGACACACTAGGACGCATATCATTTTCGCGTATTTTATACCACCATTCTATAGGCGCGCATTTGTCTTTGATTTTTGATTTGAATTATTTCAAGGAATTTCTATTACAATCCAAGCCCATCAAGTCTTACTGGAGAGATACTACATGCGACTAAATATACAAAAAAGGGCTCGGCTGGCCTCATTAGCTATGAATAATATACACGAAGAGCACGCTCTTCTTCTTCTTCTTTAATTCGATTCGTCACATGCTCATTTCTTGTCCGAGATGCTCTTGCTCGCTGCGCTCAACTCCTTTTGTAGGTCCTCTCGCTTGGGCACTTCCATGCCCATCTTTTGCATCAGCGACTCCATCATCTCCTCGACCTGCTTCTCGTCTTCGGGATTCAGCAGGCCCTGCCCGGTTTCTCTATGCAGCGCGGCCTGCGTGCGCTCACGCAGCTCGCCAAGGGAGCAGAGGTCGCAAGCCCACGCCATGCCGCCCGTCATGAGCACGCCAAACGCCGTGACATTGAGAGTGGCCAGACCAAACGCCTGCACGGCCAGCATCGACTTGTCGCCCGAGTCGAGGGCAGCAGCGGCCATGTCGTTGGATGCGTGGAAGAAGCGCGGGATAGACTCGCGCTGGCGCCGGATCACGGCTCGACGAGTGACGAGCACCGAGGCGGCCATGAAGCCGGCGCCGGCGAAGAAGAGAGAGAGCTGCTTGATTTGGCGCTGGAGCGGGGTCATGGCGGGCTGGTGCGAGGAGGGTAGCTGTAGGGGCGTTGTAGGCGGTAAGGAGAGGGGGGCATGTTGTTTCGGGGCGGCGGCAGCTGGTGATGTCGATGTGGTCGGGGGCAGAGAAGAGGAGGAGGAGGATGGAGCTGTCGTGGTTGTTGTAGCTGTTGATGATGACGGCGATGCCTCATCAGGCAGGATAAGCGCTCGAAGCAATTGCGCGAGCATCGTGGCAGCGTTAATGTAGCGGCAGTGGCAGCTGGACGATGCGCGGCGTGAATTGGCAGGTGGTGTGTGGGAGAAGACAAGCGTGGTCGTTGATATTTTTTTTTTGGAGTCTTGGGCACGAGATGCAATAGCGTCCCTGTTGCGGTCCCCTGAGACAAGGGCCATAGTGATTGGCTCAGTGTCTTTTAACGCCCGACGTCACACCTTACAGTGGGTGGGCGTACATCCTAGTGTTGGCGGGGGTGGTGGTCCAAAAACACCAGACAACCACTTCACCATCTTTCTTTTCAGTCACGCCATTGGCACGCCTGTCTTTGTTGCAATAGAGGCGAATAACAGCAAATAGAATTTATATCAACCTCTGAAAACTAAAACACAATATTCTCTGAAAATATGCCGAAACCAAAAGCTGCCAAAGCACCACCGCCACCAAAAGCACCCACGCAACAGTCAAAACCCCCATCATGGCCACAGTTTAAACCTCCCTTGCCTGTGGTCGACCTCGAGCTCGTTCCAAACCCATCGACATCAAAAATCATCACCATTTCATCCTTTTTTCCTCGCTCTCTGTGTCGAGACTACGTTAGCTTCCTCTCGTCACTGCCTCTCGTCACGACACCTGGGAAACCCAAGCGTGGCGAGGCCGTCCGTGTAAATGACCGTTTCCAGGTAGACGATGCGGTGTTTGCGAAAATCTTGTGGGAAAAGACAGGGCTAAAAGAAGTACTTACCAGTGAAGAGTACACCGAGACGTGGTACGGAAGAAGCATCTGTCCTGACCATCATTGCCAACTCGCCCACTAACCGACTTGTCTTGTAGGGGAGGTGTACCGATTGGTCTGAATCCAAATATTCGCATCTATAGATATTCCAAAGGTCAATATTTTGACTGTCACTGTACGTTGTATGTTCTAATATTGCCCTGATATAGCCAGCTGATGTGCCATAGATGACGACTACAACGACGTAAACCTTAACATTGACGGCAGTCTTGTGGCAGCACGCACAACATGGACCTTGCTTCTCTATTTAACGTCTTCTGCAGAGGGTTGCATTGGTGGAGAGACGGTATTCTATCCTCATGATAGACAATCTGCCAAAGAAGAAATTGCAGTTGCACTGGAGACCGGCACGCTGCTTCTGCACAAGCACGGTGACGACTGCCTGCTGGTACGTAAAGTCGCATCCTAGTTTTTAAACTCCAAAATCACTAACCTAATCCTTTGTTCAGCATGAGGGACGAGAAGTGAAGCAAGGAGAAAAATGGGTTCTCCGAACAGACCTCTGCATCCGTCGATAAGACCCCCAATCAAATTCTAGGCTGCGGCCGTCTTCTGCCTCTGCACAGATTTGAGTGTGCTCTTGAGTGGTGTATAGTGAATACCATTGACAACCCGTCCCATCTCAACATGAAATATCCATGGGAAGCTTGTCAGGGGCGGCCCAAGGTATGCAAGGACCTCATGATCAGTGTCCACGTCAAGTTCCGATTCTGGTGACTCACCAGCAGTTTTTGTCGCCTCTTTACCGTCCAGAGATTCCAGATAATCAGAAACCTGATCATGTGTGACTTTGTACATGGCTGCCACAAACCTCCCCAGGTCCCAACCAAGTTGCATCGCTGCGTCTTGGCAACGACCGCGAAATGTGTCTCTTAGTGCGCCAAAGTCTCGCCCAAGATCTTCTTGTCGTTTATAATCAGTGCCTACGGCTGGTTTGGACATTGCCCAGCCGGTAAAGACTTCAAACTCTGTCTCAATATGTCTCTGTGCCATTAGCCGTCGGATTGCAACGTCATATTGGCCCTTGAGAACGGATATTTCTCGCAAGACTGCCTCATCATTCCCAGCAGCGTCAAGAACCCTCTTATCAAAGTTGTCAGATCGCTCTGGTATAAATTCCACCTTTTTGTCCGCAATCTTGTCGTATATAAGCCCGAGGGCCTTTTGCGATCGATACGAGTTCCTCTTCTCCATAAAGTGTGGCCACTGTCGAGGTAACAAGTGTTCATCCAGTTGCGCAGCAGTACCGTTCTTCTGATAGTCCACAGCGATGGAGTGTAATACTGCCAATTTGAGACCTAGAACGAGTTAGAAATGACGCAAATTTGGCTTGAGTTCTTACATTTTTGAGACTTTGCTCCTTCACGTTCCCGGTCTGCCCAGCATAGATGGGCATGTGCAATGAGTCCGAGACGGTCATTCATGAGAAACTCGACAAAGAATTCCTTCAAGTCATCGTTCGTGACCGGACGGGCTAACTGTTTGGGTGGCGCAGGTTGGTAGTTCATTGGCGGAAAGTTCCATTCCTTCGGAATCAACCGCGGATCCCAGATGACAAAGTAGTCGTCACCATCCAAATCTCCGCCTGAGAGCATGCTGGGAATATCCTGATCACCGATGGATGGGAATACAACCACATCTCGCAAGTGATGTAGCGCTGGGTTGTCAACTGCCTCAACGATGCGAACATCGCCGACATGCAGCGATGGGTTTCGTCCTACCACACAGACTCCTTTTAGAATAGTCGTTGCCTTTGATGGGTTCACAATGTCGGTCATTTGTAGAAAGATCTGGGGGAGCTTCGAGACATCTTTGGACCTGCTGCCCTCGGTATCCTTTGAGTGTCCGCGCAAGGTTCCGGTTTCGTCAACCACACCGAGGACAAAGGCGCTCTGTTCAATATGCACGCGAGCCTTTTCTCGAAGGTGCTTGAGGTTCCACGTTCGCCATAGCTTTATCAAATTAATCACAAATGGATCTTTCTCAAAACCCCCATTCAACATCTCCGCGACAACCAGAGAGGATTGAGTCTCGTCGACAAATTTGGTCAATAGTGGCAAGGCAGAGCCCATATCCTCTATAGCGGCATCATAGAGGGAGATGTTTTCTGTGAGGATATCAAGAAACGTTTCTTTCTTGACGCCGAGATTCTCCAAAATCACAATCGTCTGGCGATTGAGAGTCGCCGTGCTGTATCCCGAGCATCGGAGGACTTCCAGACGATTGAATGGAGCTTTAAACTTGACTTGTGAGTTTCGAATATGTACCTCCATCTTCTTTGCCTTAGGCCAAGCCGCAAGAACACCCTTGACACCGCCCATTCGAATCTGAAAAGCAGATGGAACTCCCCGGTCGTCAAACCCGAGATCACTGGCAATACAGCGAGCAAGAAACGGTGAGATTATGCCTACACCGTCCGTAAAGCAGTATTCGTCGTTTTCAATGTCACATTCTTCAAGAATCTGTGGTACAGACAGGCCTTGAATCTCGCGACTTGTCGAGAAACACTGACCAAGTCGTGCTCCGTATTTCGCAACGTTGCGAATGTGGTCAAAGGAGCCCATCCACTGTCGAATATCGTTGCAGGATACGTGTGAAGTAGAACAGAAAAATACAGCACTGGCCTCTTTAATCTGCGAGGAGCCAAAAACGAGGAACTCGTACGTTCGATCACCGATTCGGATGCCCTGGTCTAGTGCCCTCTTCACGCGCTTCCATATATCCTTCAAAGAGCCTAGGTCTCTACCAATCCGCTGTTTTTCAGTTTCTTCCAAAAACTGTACTCGCATGAATCTATCGCTGATGTTGTCATATCTGCGCAACACGCGGTTTGAGCTCTCCACGTTGGGTGGATTGAGCCGCAATCCTGTTGGCGTAACATGTACTTTTTGTACAATGGCGCAGTACTTTGGTGGTTTAGCAATGAGAGATGTATGTGATGAAACGTCAATCTCAAATATCTTTAGGGGATCGACGAACTGGGAACCCTTTGTGACAACATAATCCAGAAGGCGTGTTGCCTCTTCCATATCCAGAGACGACAGCTGCGTCAGGAAAGTGGTGCCCACGCTATACTCATTGAAATATCCTCTGCATACACAGACTTCCAAAAGATATCTCACTTGAAAATCGAGATGTATTAGTCGCAGAAATAGCTGTGAGATGAGATGAATAGACGGCCTAGGTGCCAAAGAGATCTGTTCGTCCAAAAACTCCCACATTGTCGACCGGTGACAGATATCAACATTCTTCCTTGATATGCACAAGACGTTCAAGTCTCTCAAGACGAGTTTGAAATCCATAAGCTCTGCGATTTGACTGTCGGCCGGCAGAACCAGTCGGATCGTCTTCATACGTCCTGCGTCAAAGAAGCTAGAATCGGGTAGATTCGTGTAGGTAGAGATGGGCAGTTGCTGTAACAAAGACCTGTCGTCGCATATATCTGTTGTTCGCACCCACGAATTCCACATTTGCCTAGTTCCCTGCGTTTCCAATACGGCTTCGTCATCCTTGTAGTAGTACTTTGGAGGATGTGGGAGGGGCAACACGAGAGCAATACCGGCATCGGTCGTCGATTCGTACACTGCCTGGATCGAAGTAATAGGTATGCTGGCTCTGTAATATCGTACTCGCTTCTGTTTGTTGATTTCTTGGGTAATGTTGAACCATACGGTGAGAGAGCGTGCAAATGTATCCAACTCGACAATGAGATGATGTGGTTCCTTTGGCGCAATACTCTTGGCAACAAACATTTCGTCCCGACCTACTAAGCTACCAAACTGTAGGAGCTTGGGATTGAACACCACGGCTGACGGATAGGCCCTCTTTGTTCCTTGGTTGATTGTACTGTGGTGATGGAACAGATCAACACCAATACGGAAGCATTTGCCATTGGCCGCGGTGACTGATACGCACTTCCCAGGACCCCAAAAAGGATCACTTGGAGGGGGCTCAAATATAATCTTGGCCTCAGCTGTTATTTTATCGGGTCTTTTGTCAAACACCTCTATCCAAGTGATGCTGCCGTAATGTGCAAACCAATTCCAGACATCTCGGATCGTGGTTTTGTGCGGGATCCTCGTCAGGCGCAAGGATACCATTGGCTTTTTAACGCATGTAGCTGCTGTTTTCTGGGTTGACTCCAATTGAAGTGTATTCCCATTCCCATTGCCTAAACCATTGACCGTCATGATGATGACGTTGCCGAGGTGCACGTAACAAGGATAACTCAGGTGTTCACTTCGAACTCGAATTGGATTGGATCGAGAAGAAGAAGAGGCTTTGGAAGAATCGAGAGACCTTTTGGATGGTAGAATCTATAGTTATAGTTGTTCGAGATTGGATATTTGTTAGTGGCTCCCTGTATTGTTTCCTACAACATGCTGACAGCTGGCAGAAAACCAGAGCAACCAGTGCCAGTTGGCACCACAGCAACACCTTCAGCTTTTCAATCATGTCCCAACAAATTGTATTTCTTGCTTGCAATCAATCATCTACGTCTATCTGCATTTCTACTATTTACTTGCTCTACTTCTTCGTCGACATGTTTGCCGGCCCAGCTGGAGACCCAACAACATCCTGTCTCGTCAGTTTCTTCTCTTCATCCTCCAGGCCAGGAACATCCATAATCTTGCTAGGATTCATGATCCATTTAGGATCGAGAGACTGTTTTATATTCTTCATAACTCCGAGCGTCTCTGGACCAACTTCTAGCAACAAGCTCGACTTCTTGCCCCAGCCAACGCCGTGTTCACCAGTGCATGTCCCCTCCATCTCAAGAGCACGTTTCACCATATCCTTGACACATTTCTCCACCTTGGCGTATTCGGCCGCATCCTTTTTGTTGTACATGATGCTTGCGTGGAAGTTGCCGTCGCCAACATGCCCAAGAATTGTCGCAAAGAGGCCGAGGCTCTCTAGATCCTTCTTAGTGATCTCAATAATATCGGCCAATCGACTAAACGGCACCGCAACATCCGTGCTCCCTGTTGATTCATTTTAGTATCCACATTAAGCGCAGGTAGTTGATTTACTTACAAACATCTTCGTTTTCCTTTCGGAGAGCCAGCATGGACCACAGCGACTCCTTGCGCGCCGACCAAAGCAGCTTCTGTTCGGCAGCATCTTTTGCAAATTCAAAATCTCCTCCATTGTTTTTGGCAGTAATGGCACGGACACGGTCGATATTGTCTGCAACACTCGAGGCTGTTCCAGAAAACTTGAAGAATAGAGTTGGCAATTCTCTCCACTGACGCGGGGCGGTTGAGCCGCTCAGGTTGATAACGCGCATTTGAAGTTCGTCCATTAATTCAAGGCATGCAACAGGAATCGCAGCTTGCATTACGCTAGCAGCCGCGGCTGCAGCATCGCGAACACTGGGAAACGTGACAACAGCCACGGAGAATTCATCCGGAATGGCAGCCAGCTTCAGTGTAGCTATTACATATGGTCAGCGTACCATATCATTCAACTGGGAGATAACATACCTTCTGTCACAAGGCCTAGAGTTCCTTCAGATCCTATAAACAGCCCATTAAGATTATACCCAGCAGATGACTTTCGTGGCCGCCTCTTTGTCTTAATGATGCGTCCATCAGCTAGGACAACGGTCAGGTTGATGATCCAATCTTTCATGGTTCCGTACCGGACCGCGTTTGTACCCGAGCAATTGGTACCAATCATGCCACCAATCTTGGCCGTTGGCCCTGGATCGACGGGAAAAAAGAGGCCGCTTTCCATTTCTGCCAATTTTGCATTTAAATCTTGCCAGCCAACACTAGGCTGAACAACAATATCCATGTCGTCCTTGTTGAACTTGATGATTTGATCCATGAACGCAAAATCAATGCTTATACCTCCATGTGGTGCTGAAAAGTTACCTTCGAGACTGGTGCCTCCTGAATATGCAATGACAGGGACACTATACTCATTACAAGTTCGAACGATTACAGACACGTCATTTGTCGAGCGCGGATAGACAACAGCAACGGGTAGCCTATCGGGATTGACGGTGGACCATTCAGAATACCCGTGTCTGTGGAGGTCCTCAGGATCAGTTGATACCATTTCCTCATTGCCTAGGGTATTTCTAATATCTTCAATAGCCTATAAATGTTAGCCATCTCTACCAATATACAAGATTGTATTTGTCTTACTTGCTCCATCTCGTGTATAGACGCGTATCGTCGGGCTGATTCATTGGCGGCGGGACTGGTAGAGACCGATGGACTTGATGATTCGGTATTATAGCGTTTGGTATTGCCAGCACTCGCCCACCCAAGCACTCCTGATAAGAAGGCGACGCCAGCAACCGATGCTCTTGTCCATGACTTTGCTCCAGCCCGCGAGGCAGCGTCAACACTACTGGATGCCAATCGGTGTCGAGATGAGTGGAAGGCCCTATGGTGGCCAATGATTCGCCTCACAAACGGCGCTGGAACTCTCGTCCTGTAAAACATCTCCTGTATTTTTTTGGTTTGTAGAGCGTGGTATAACGGTAGCCTCCGAGTTCGGCTTGGTAGTGCCATTAGCTTGTGCGGGGTGGCACTGCATCCACATCGCGGCAAGTAGTCCGGCACAGATCTGGACACCAGAAAACGCCGTCTGTATACAACGTTCACCGACATATAAGACTGAAAACAATGGTCAAGTTATGGGATATTTTGTTGGAATTGTTATGTTTTTTCATATTTGCCTAACGGCTGGCTATCTTCAGGGTGTTTATATTCCCTACATAACTAGAAAGCACGTTTCAAATCCGAAACTCCTGTGCACATGCCATTCACTTTTTATCATCTCATCAACAGCGCTTCAACACATCAGCCACAGAAACTTAGTGGGCGATGGTGGCAGCACGGCGGCGGTCACGCTCCTCAGCAATGGTGAGCTTGACACCCTTGCCCTTGGGCAGAGAGATCCAGGGCTTCTCGTCACCAATGACGAAAACGTTGCTCTCACGGGTAGCGAAGGTGTTGTCAATAGCATCCTTGATGTGGACGATGTTGAAACCACCATCGTGGCGCTCACGGTGGGTGATGACACCAACACGACCCATGTTGCGACCACCAGTGACCATGGCGACGGCACCAGTGTCGAACTTGATGAAGTCAGTGATCTTGCCAGTGGCAAGGTCGATCTTGACGGTGTCGTTGACCTTGATGGAAGGGTCAGGGTAGCGGATGCTGGAAAGGCATGGTTAGTCTACAAGTTGGATATGGTTTACGAGGGGCTACATCAATCACAGCCGTCAGACGGCAAGCCTTTGTCTAATCGGTTCGTGGGGTTCATCCTCCGCTGTCACGCCACTACCAAGATCTTGTGTTTTCTGTCCTGTCAGCATCCTTTTCACACGAGGTGATTTTGACGCATCCGCAGACAGAAAGACAACAAAAAATGGCGGCGCAACAGCAAGAGAAGTTCTGCTACGATCGAATCGACCAAAGCTTGATCCAACGGCTGAATGATGTCTGATAGAACTCACGTTCTGGCATCGTGCGTGACCAAGAATGGGATTCCGGCACGGCCAAGCTGGACGCGCTTGACCTTGCCGAGCTTGTACTCAGCCTCCTCGGCCTGGATGCGGTGGACGGTGAAGCGGCCCTTGGTGTCGTAGATGAGACGGAAGTTCTCGCCAGTCTTCTCGATGTTGATGACGTCCATGAAGCCAGAGGGGAAGGTAAGGTCGGTGCGGACCTTGCCATCGACCTTGATGAGACGCTGCATGAGGATGGACTTGGTCTCGCGGTAGTTCAAGGCGTACTTGAGGCGGTTGCGGATGAAGACGATCAAGGGCATGCAGTCGCGGTACTTGTGAGGACCGGCCGAGGGCTTGGGGGCGTAGACACCGGACAGCTTGTCCAGGAGCCAGTGGGAGGGGGCGCTAAGGCGCTTTTGGTGCTTCTTGCTATTGTCGACGGATTAGCATTGTGGTTGGCGATGCTTCGCTTGTCGTAAGGCGAGCAACGAGACAACGGCCATGGCGACGACATTGTATCAAGATAAATAGCATCGAGTCCAATTGTTCGTTTCCATGTCGTTTCGGGTGTATCAACTTACATTCCGCGGGCCATTGTGACGGTTTGGCTGTTGGGTTAGTCGTGATGAACAAGTCCAAAATTCTCGTAGCGGAGACGACGACGTGCGAAATACCAGGGGCCACAATCTTTTTTTTTCCTCGCTAAGGCCATGTCGGGCGATGGTGGGGTTTCTTGCCCTAGCACACAACCTTTTCCGCAGTCACGGGATGTGGCACGTGACTGGGAGTGCATGGACGCCTCTAACCTCTAATCTCCAACAACCCCTTCCCACCGCGGGATCCACTTGCCAAACTTGGCTTCCCAACCTTGTCAAGGTCTTCTCTCCACTCTCACATGTAAAATGCTAGATGAGGGGCGAGAGAGAAGATGGCAAGTTGCTTGACTTGACACATGTCAGACGCGTGGTGGGCTATAATGGCTTCATCTTATTATTCCTTGCGAGCACATCGGATGACTGCAACGTTGATGTGAAACTGCGGGACACATGCCCAGGTAGTACTATTGAGAAGGGGGTATCCTAAACTAAACAGGGTCTCTGACGATTCCCTTCTATCCTATTAAACAAACAAAAAAGGGTATGACAAAATGGGTAGCACAAGCAATGTTGCCATGCCAAACATCCCATATGAAAAGGAAAAAGTACAGTAAAATCCAAAAGTCTATATCAAACGCCAGCTCCGTTCATGTTGAAAAAAGTGTTCCGTGTGTCCAGGTCTCGTGAAATGGTTATTAGTCTGCTGCATACTGATGCAGGCTGGGGTGGTGTTTCGTAAATGCAGTGCAAGGATATCATGAAAAAGTTTTGGTTCATGTAAGAACCACATCTAGCACTTGAGAGTGTAGTGATCGTAGCGGTCTCGGCGAATGTCCAGGCCAGTAGGGGAGGATGGGCCAGATGACGAGTCTATGCCGTGGCGAGAGGAGCTCTGTACCATTCTAGAGTCATCCAAGAGCAGACGAGAGATGTCCATCTCGCCACCCATAAAGTGAGGACCGGGAACATCACCAAACTCAAAGGCTTGAGAGTGATGAGCATAGTCGCCCGTATCCATGGCGTGAGCTGGCCAGCGAGGAGCGTCATCGCGAGATTGGGGAGAGCTGCCAGCAGCGTTCGCCTTGGAAGACTTGGAGCGCTTCAAGGTGTGGTCAATGTTCATGTTGATAGAAGGCTCCATGACATCGTTGCCGCGGGTGGACTCGCGTGTCTGGAATGTACCCTTTTCAATGCGGTGGTAGATGGTGGGATACTTGTTTCGGACGCGATCGCGCAGGTCAGTAGGCTGGCGACTAGAGAGGTTAAAGCGAGCATCTCTCTGAATCTTAGTCCAGGCAGGACCGTAAATATCAAGGCCTTCGAGGATCTCGCGATCATCCTGCTCGGTAAATGGGCGGCGCTCACGGCGATGTGACTTCTTAAAAGGGCCATGGATGCCCAGTTCGGCGAGGTCCTCCATGTTCTTACGGTGAGCACGGCTTTTCTTCTGCTTGCTGGAAGAGTCAGACGACTTTTTGAGGTCCTTGGGCCGTGATTCCTCTTCAATGAGAATGTTTTCGGAGTGTAAGCCCTTCTTGGAGGACGACTTGGACTTGCTAGACTTGGAATCGCGGCTCGCCTTGCCCGAAGAGCGCAGCTCATCGGGGCAGCAGGTGCGGAATCGGTCTTTGAGATCGCCGGCGGTACGCTCGTTGAAGTGAAAGTCGGGGTCTTCCAAGATGCTAGTCCACTTGCCGACACCATGTCTGTTGACACCGAGCAAAAGATGGTTGGTCTCCTCCTCGGACCACTTGCGTCGGGGTTTCGTAGCTCGCTTGCGTCCCTTGCCGTTGGAGCTCTTATCAGTCTCGGGTGACGATCGTCTGCCCGAGTACTCTTCGGGGTATCCGTATTCTTGCATGGCGATGTGGTGAGCGTCGGCTTCGTACGTACTGGAGGAGATGGGTGGGAAGAGGGCGGCATGAGGTGGTGGCTCGTGTAGGCCGTTGATGATGGGTGGCATGACAAGGCTCTGTTGCTGAGAAGCCTTTTGCTTCTTCATGGGCTGTGGCAGCTGGACAAATTCGTCTTTGCGCTTCTTGTAAGTACCGTCGTCTTGGCTGTCGGGGCTGCTGTCGCGGGTGTTGGACATGGAGTCGCCGTTATCTGAGTCGTCGAGTACCATGCTCAGCGGATAGCCAGCCGAGTTGGTGGTGGCATATCGGCCGTCTCTGGACCGTTGGTCGCGGTCGAACGGAGGCAGAGGATGACCACCGGGGCTGCGGAGAGGCAAGGCATGTAGAGGTGGAAGGTCGTTGTTGGCAAGCTGGGGAGTAGTAGACTCGTTCAGCAAGTGAATGAGTCGAGGTTCTATAGTCGCCATCATGGGCTGTTGGTTGTGGAAGAAGTGCTAGAGCAAAGGTAGAAGAGAGAAAGATGGTGGTATGAGAGCATTGGACTGTGCCGAGGGAAGATGAAGCATGATATATCTGGCAGAGGGGGAATGGGCAGATGATAAAGAACGAGTGAGCCTTGACTTTTTTGGAGGTTCCCACTCGGGTGGCCCTCGGTGCTTTGCTCGGATTATGGACCCATGAGCGCAGCAAGCATGAGGGAGCCGAAGGTGAAGGGCCGTTGGAGGTCTGGGGATGAAGTTTGGGGCGGACACGTGAAATCGGCTATCACATGGGAAAAAAGGCCGTAGGCAAGAGCACCGCACCAGCGGCGGCGCCAGCGGGCGGCCAGCGAGCGGGGGCACCACCACCAGCCCTGAAGAAGGGGGGGGGCGAGGTGGGTAGAGTGAGCTGCAGAGGCCCAGTGCTACAGGGGACCCTTCAGGGCAACAAAGCGACGCTACAGGCGCCGGCTGCCCGCTGAGCTGCCCCCGAAACAGCGCTAGAGCCGCCTGCAGCAGGGTGCTGCCAGCGGCGTTGTCCGGCGTTAGTCGAGATGATTTGCCTGTCCAACGCCGCTTTAGCAGCGATGAAACGGCAGTCGGCTGCAAGCCACTCGGCATGGACTGATGATGGGCGCGCAGGAGCTTTTCTCCAAATTCCAATCTAGGAGGGCCTTTTTTGGAAAAGGAGGGCATAATAGAACGGAGATTGGCTGGAAGAATAGGCAATCAGCTACGATGCAAAAAAACATAAAAAGCCATAACGAATGCAGAGCAATACAACGCAACGCAAGAAAAAAGGACCGCGGCGCAGAGATGCGCAGGAGACTCGGGCCTCGCAAGTAACCAACGGAGCATTATGGAAAGCTTGTGCTTTGCACTTTGAGTTTCGACACGCCAAACTTGACTCGCTTCATGTGTCCGACATGATCCGATCACTCACCCATGCTACTACTGTTTCTGCTGGGTCCGTACGCCTGCAGCAAGAGGATTCCCTGAATGTACTGTTGCGTATCCCTGGTTGGCTCTGACGCTATAACAAAGACACCGCTCGACTGTCTGCTATAGCCCACCAAACGCCCTGCATCTTATCGAACATCACCATGGGCTTAACAAAAAAGCAAAACACGGCTGCCGGCTATTCTGCCTTGGAGCTGTTCCATTGGATGCTCTGGACTGCTGTGGCTGCATCCATGACGGCGTGTCACTGCAAGTCGTTGATACCTCGACACGACAGGCCAATTGCAACGACGTGGTAGCGATAGCAGAGGCAAATGCATAGGCGAGACCTGAATCATGGTCATCGAAAGCCCCAATGCCAATGCCAATGCCTGTGATCTGGGGCGCAAAAGAGAAATGTTTTTTGGCAGTGCAATGTCCGAAACCTGACGCACGCTAACGCTAGGAAGAAGACCGAAGAGCAATACGCAAGTCCCCTGGCTGTTTCTTTCTTTGTCCTTCTGTCCTGTGTCTATTTTTTAATTACAATGCGGCGCACTGATCCTGGCGCGTACAAGCACGATGAGCTCCTCGTCACAGATCGTTGGTGGCATGTCAGTGCACATGTTAGAGCGGCAATGACACTAGTCCTAAAGAGGCAGAGTCGCCGGTCGGCATCAATCGCACCCTCCGTCTCCGTCTCTCCGACCGCTGTAAAAACACGAGTGGTCGTGTCTACAGCGCTGCACCACCACGTTGAGACCACTGAAGAGCCCTGTGTCACCTGCTGTAACACCGCTGTAGGCGCTGCAGCACGCTTCCTCTCTGTCTCTGTATTTGTCCCCTATCGTGCAGAACCCGCCCCGCTCCCTTTCTCCTCACCCGCAAACGCAATCCGCAACCTGCTCAACGCAAGCACGGCCCAACAACAAACGCCGGGCGTCTCTTTTTGCCTTTTTCTCCAATCGTCTCACTGTCACCACTTGTCACTGTACCGACTCCACTACGCCTACCCCGTTCCCGGCTCACCGTTCCCTATCGCCGCGATCCAGCTCGCCTGGTTATTGTTGCTGTTGCGTAGTGCCCGTTCGCTTCCTGCTCCGCCTCGAAGCTTGCTTAATACGTTTGTTGAGGTCTATTCTTGGCTCCGCTGCTCCGTTTTGCGCCGAACCTTTTTCGTCTCCAAATTGGTACTTTGGTCACCCAATCGACTCGCCGCCGTACCATCGTAACACTGCGATCCAGCCTGCCCACGGCCCAACTTACTCGTGCCCATTGGCTCGCTATCAACGCCGACATCCTTTTCGCTTGACGCCATTCTTTTTGATATGGCAGCCAGCTTACCCCTCTTCCCGAGGGTCGTCTTTACCATCATTGAGCCTATCTCCTTGTAAGTCGGCCCACGCCTGTTACTGCTGCCACGTTCCCACCCCTTTCAGCTGGCTAGACTCTTGTTGTATGCAGCCCGTCCCAAACGACGCCTGCTGTGGCAAGAAGGGTTGGCAGACAGCAATGGCGTCCAACTCGTTCTCCGTGAACTAACGACTGGCGGCTTTCTGTAGAGTTGCTGGCTTTGTAGGAGCTATCCGTGACCCAGAATGGTTCATTGCTGAGCAGGTGCCCCAGGCGTACCCTGTTGCGGCTTCACACAACAGCGTGGTTGTTGCGCAGCAGCTGGGCAACATGTATTTGCTCATGTGCTTTACAGGGCTGGCCGTACTGATGACAACTTCGGAGATCAAAGTCGTCAGAAGCTATCTGGTGGCTCTCTGGCTTGGAGACGTTGGCCACATTGCTTTCACATGCTTGGCCATGGGCCAGGACAAGATGATGCGGCCGCATGAATGGAACGCCATGGCATGGGGCAACGTAGGCTTTACGGTATGTCCCGACTAGCGCACCGTTTTATTTTTGATTTTGCATACTAAGCCTGTTGCTGTATATAGCTGTTCCTGCTATTGATGCGCTCTGCGACGCTGCTGGGATGCTTCGGCAGCGTCAAGGAAGCTGTTTCCTCGATAAAGAAGCGCAACTAGAGATTCATGCTCTCTGTCTGGAAAGCTTACCTCGGAACTTTGTTCTCTTACTTGGTCACAAGCGGTGGATCAGAAGCGTATTATGCCAGGGCCCCCATTGATACAGCCAGCCTTGCCGATATCAGACCCAGGCCTATCGCTCACAGGCGCCCCACGCAAACTGACCCGTGTTGCCATGTTTGTAAACGATAGTGGCGTGACGAGTGCCGGAAACTTTGTAGCTACAATCCAATTAAGTTGCGTCAACGCGGAACGCTGTTGGACGGTGTAGCAGATTAAATGCACACACCATTCAATACCCGGGTTCCGCCATGTAATGTCAAACACAGCATGTAATGTCTTTTATCGCTATAAAAGATAGACCAATCTCACTACGATAAAAAGACACTCCGAGGCAACATGTGGTTCTAAAAATCAGTGGCCATTTGCATTCTTGGGGCCAGAGGATAGAGACACAGCTGCCGTTATAAGTCGCTTTACGCAACATCCATTGACACACTCCAGATGTGGTCTTGAGGAATGTTTTGTGTACTACTATATACCTCAAGACTATAAATGGCTCAAAAAGGGTATGGTATTCAGGGGTGCAAAGCAATTGTAAGATTTCTGACCCAGGTGCAAACCTAAAATATGGGATTTGGATAGAAAGCGTTTCGGGTCAGACTTGGCCTGATGCTAGGCGCTTTTAGGGTGACGCTCTAGGGTTAGGGGGAAGCCTAGGGTTAGAAATCAGGTTAGGGCCACAGGTGCATCGGACCAATCAGATGCTGCCATCTGCTGACATAACGCGCGCGTGCCGTGTAATTAAACCCAACCTTAGTCACAACAACACCGCTCTGGGCTTGCTGCCAATAATTCATCAAGACTGCGCCATTTTATTGCGAAAAGAGAATAATTCAGCGCCTTTTCATTTGCTCTTTACCGTGCTGTCATCCAGAGTAGCCCTGCATCATGGAAACGCGCAAACGTGGCCGCCCAGCAAGGGCTCCGCCATCAACTGCGCCCGTGGTGAGCAGAAGAGGGCGCCGCCAGACAGAGGACGACTCGGCAGGCGAAGAAGCAGTCATTCCCACTGCATCTGCTCCAGTGCCTCGCCGAGGAGCCCCCAGAAACGGACCATCGTCACCCAGTATTCACGGAGGCCGGAGAGGAGACGGCTTGCAGTCAGATGACGACTCAGATAGCAGCAATGCAAACGTCGAGGCTAAGGTCTCCAACACGGGGGACGATGAGGCGTCCAAAGAATACCGCCAGCTTATGAGACTCTCGCTGCCTGATCTTGCACACAGCTCCAAAGAGCTGCTCAAGTTCTTTGCAGCCAACAGCAACGGAACATTGAGTCCCGTCAAGGAGAAGCTGCTACAGATCAAGCGCCGGGCATTCTCCAGCTCGCGTGAGATATTCGACACGGACAATTCTCCAAAGCTATTTCTGGACTGGACTTGGTTTGAAGATATCCACTCGGATGCCGAGGAGATCGATGATGATGCCAATGCAACCCTCACACTCTCCAACTTGGCCGGCTTGGTGAGCACGCTCTACGCAGTGCAGCACGATGATGCCGTTGGTTTATCTTCACTAATATCCGAGCTGGACTCATCTTTCCCTTACCTATTTGGGGAGGATGATTATACAAAAGTCGAGGCAGATATTGCGCTATCCATCCGAACGGCACGTTGCATCTTTGCCCTCAAAGAGAACAAGGGCAAGAACAGGAAGCCAGCACAAACCATCATTGCCAGCATCTTCTGTGAAGAAGATGCGCCAGGAGATGCAGCATTGCAGATCACAAACGGGCCTTTTGTTCAACTTCCAGGAATTAACGAGTATCTGGCATCGGAGCTCCTATCTCGCCGGGCAGAGTCCATCTACCGGAGTGCCAGAACTGACAAAAAGGGTTCATCAATTGATCAATTGGAAGCGATGTTCTCCACACCAGAACTTCTTTCCGAGCTGCGTGAATGGGCTATGAAGTCGTATAAATCGATCATTACTGCGCCCGAAAACAAAACCTCCAAGGCTGCCGAACCTGCACCCGAGGTTGAGGCAGACGCTGACGCGGGGCAGAGCACTCCAGAGCAACACGAGGAGGATTCTGCTGGAGATTCACAAGACATGGCCGTTGATACGCAGCCAATTGAGCGCCCTGGCCTTGGGTAGGTCCACCAAATAATAACAATTGCGAGACCGCTACTAACAAAGGGATGTACACAGTGCCTCCATCTTCAAGGGCGTCCAGAGTGTTACAAGCCTATTCACATCACGATCCGCCGACCGTCGACACACCATCGGGCCTGGACCAGACGCCAGCCAGCAAACAGCTCGCGAACGAGTGACCCCGTCGAGTCTCAAGAGACCATTTATTGACGACGATGAGGATGACGACGATGATGGTGCCTTTGAAACAGATAGACGCCCCATCAACCAGGAGCGTCAGTCTGCGCTGAGAGCAACCCATTTGGCGCGCCGGCCGCGCATCAACGATGGGCTGTTTGTCGAGCAGAGCCGGTCCGTCACGCCTCTTGCACACCAGATGATTCGACCAGCTAGCTCCGAGGTCAGCCCCGTGCTGGCACAGATGCGCCAGGACAAGCGCGAGGTGATGCAGCGGGTGCGGGAGATGAATCAGACGGCGACGGTAGAGGACGAGGTGATGCTGCAGGCGCTGGCAAGGCAGCACCAGGACCAGATCAAGCGGCGTATCCCGTGGTCAGACCACGACACGGAGCTGCTGATTGGGCTGATCCAGAAGCACAAAGCCATGTGGGCAGAGATTGCGCGCAGCGGCACCGACCTCTTCGAGACGCCACGCAACCAGCAGGCGTGTCGCGACCGCGCTCGCAACCTCAAGGTCGACTTTCTGCTCGCCAATGCCGTCCTGCCGCGCGAGTTTGACAGAGTCGCCCTCGGAAAGAAGGAGGTGGAGAGGATTGTGCGCGCGCGCAAGAATCCACTGCGCGTCGAGAACGATGTTGATGATGACGGCTATCCCATTAATACGCAGCTTGTGCTGCAGTAGCAACAGCCGGGTGCCCCCCGATGAAACCGCCATGTCTTTCTTTCTGTTCCTCTTTTTTGTCTCTTTTTTTTGGAAATTGCGAAACGGGACGGTGTACTATATAAATCTAATGAATGCTTCGTTGAACATGTTTACAGCGCTCTCTCTCTATCTATCTTTGTTCTGCGTGTATTCAAGCTCTGCGCGATAGGTCAATGACAAAACAACATGGCATGTAGAGCTATCACCCGCTCACCATTATCTGATGAGCCCCTCCCTGTCGATGCATACATCCGGGAGCCGATTCATGATTTGTCTTCCCCCATGCTAACACATCGCAAGACACGCTCCATTGGGACGGGGGGGTCTTTGCCCACTGCAGAATGTCTCAACCAAATACCGAACCCCTCCACATGCTATTTTTGTCTCTCGAGTAGTAGGAATGGCACGTAATCTAATTGACCCTGTCTTTCCCCCTTGATTGCCTGCAACGGCGATGAAACAAAAGGTTGTTGTCCAAACGGGCTGTACAACAAGAAAAAAGAAAGAAAAGGACATGCTCGCCGCATGTCCTCCTACATTCATCATCGCCTACCAATTACTCGCCCAAACTATCGGCTTTTCTTATTTCCATTGCCCGTTATCACGTACTTTTTTGTCTTTTACTGCTTCCATGTGCGCTCTCCGTCCATGCCACTGCCAAGTCTGCTTCGTCGACATGAAGTATCACCTGCTCGTGCTCTGCGCGCAAGCAAAGCTAGGGAAGCGCGAGGCGTGTTCGTCCGTCCCGGCCTCGGCAGTCCCTGTCGCCGGCGGCATTTGCATAGGGTGTTCGCATCGCGGGTCATGAAGACCAAACGAGCAACCAACAGACTAAACAACAGGTGATAGTCGAGAAAGCCTTTGTGGTTCCGTCGCATGGTAGGGTTGGCTAGCAGCGCGAAGTACACGGGACTATGGCTAACAAATTTACCAGTGTTTGCAAAACAACTCCAGATTCCGACGACTATCCGGAGCAAACGAGCAAACAACACACAACCCATGCCCCCTCCCCCTCTGTCTTCTACACAAGCGGTTCGGTCAGCTGCATACATGCAAGCAAGCTACTGGGTGTAAATCCGAGAGCCGCTTGCAAGTAATGACCAGGGCCGCTTCCAAGGATATAGCCAGGACATCCGTTGTAAGTAACGTGATGCATGGCATTGTTGAGTCGGCTCTCTTCTATGCATCATATAGGCTGCCCGGCTCAATCTGCATGTATCCGTCAGATACAGCCACGGCCGAGGCACGTCTCCATCTCCTCTTTTTGCAGCCACTCTGAGTGCCATTGGTAGTCGCTGCTCTTTAGAGTGAAAAGAACAAGAGTTAGGTGGATGCAAAAACTGCCCGGCTGGTTATAAAGGTCAAATTCGGAGAATGGTTTTATATATATCCATATATATGTAGATGTAGATATATTTCTAGGCCGTCCGCCCGTCGTTAGACCACCCAAACAATTACAAACACAGCCAGGCACACCTGCTCATTATCAATACCGTCTTTTTTTTACGGTCAAGCACATTGCCTCGTCATCATATATCACGTCTTTTCACCATGGTCAATATATCCAACCTGTAGAATAAGCACTTACATGACACAGGTCTCCTGCCCACGCCCCCGTTTTCATGCAACACGCCCCTGCACTAGTCCGTCCCAGACTGTCGGTTTGCGCTATACGCCCTAAGTGCAAACTAAAGTTCAATGGTGACAAAGCTAATCGCGCGTCTATCTGGGTGTTAGAAATGGGTTTCTTTTTATTTCCGATGGGCAAATCCAACAATTAAAAATCTACAAGAAGTGTAGTCGCCGTTGCTAACACCAGCGCCAGCGTTTTACCTCCTCAATTATACAGTCACCCTTAATGCAGTGGTTAGTTAGATGTTACGCTGCACATATATATTTCGTTTAAAAATAACGGCATGGGTGCACTGAGCTAGTGCCTTTCATAATTTATCCATCTTAGCCACAGTAGTTACATCCTTTGCGATTGCGTTCTTCGGGCTCAACTGCCAACGTCACGCTATTGCGTTGGCCCTACTCTATCCCAATAACTACCAAACCCACAAACACTGCAATTGCTCTTAGCCCTTGCTTAGTGCATTCCTTAGTGCAGCCACCTTTCGTCGGAGCCGCAAAAGGCACTAAATGCAACTAGTTCCGGCGCCTTGTTTGGCTTTTGTCGATCCGCCTCATTGGGGCGTCACGCCACTCCAAGCTAGAGCAAACTGAGCTTCGTGCTCGCTAGCCAAAGCAACATGCCGTCGTCAGCGTCACATCAACGGTTCTCACGAACCCTGCTCGCCTGCACGTCAACCGTTATGGCTTCAACAATTAGCTGGACGCTATCACACATTGGGGAGGCGTTGACTCTATGCACCTAGCAGACCTGCTAGAAACCGTTACAGTAGTTCTGGGTGCATCAAGACTTGTTGCGGATGGAATATATTGCTTGCTGCACACTAAAAAGGTCTAACAACCAGGGGGGTATTTTACCGTATATGTAAAAGTAATAAGAAGATTTCACATTCCAAAAAAAAGGGCGTCCAACTCCCGTAGCTCCCATGAGCTCGCCACTTTCTCGTACATTTGCTCCAAAGCAGCCTCAAAAGGCTCAATAAACGTGCTAAGTGTCACCAACCCTCTTCAACATCTTTTTCCTCGCTCTCGATTCCTCGAGATTGCGTGGTAGAGCCTGCGGAAGTTTCTTTGTTGCTGTTGAGGAGGATCCCAAAAACTAAACGTTGTAATAAAAAATCAGACAAGCAAAACAGGGCAAACCAGAACAAAGCACAATAACCAATCCGTATAAACAGATAAGCAGTCGACTCTCAAAGCCGAAAGGGATTGGTTTCGCAACGACCAAACTCCGCTCCGCCAACCGTTCCAAAACAAAAGACACCAGTGCCGAATCCGCCAGGTCATGTATGCGAATAACACAAGGGAATAGAAAAGAAAAGGGTCGCCTAACCCCCCTTCAAAAGTAAAGGGTGGCAGGGAGAAGAAGAGCAACAAGAACGCAGAGAGAAAACCATCCAGGTCAAAAGATCAAACGCCAGCACCGCGAGGTGCTGCATCCAAATGTATAAGCTGAGAAGCCCTCAGCGCGGAAAAGCTGCAAAGAAGAAAAAGAAAGAAAAGAGGGGGAATATCATCAATCAATACAACCGAGTTGCTAGTAAGCTTTCTCGGCTCTCCGCTGCTCGCTTGGACCGACCAGACCATGGTCTGTCAAGCTTTAGTGACTGGGAGCTTGGCTTCCATTGGCTAGTTTTATGTTAGTAAACTGTGTCGTATGTCGTGTATCGCAGATGACAACTCACATTGGTTGTACAAGTTCTGGGCACCGTAAGGCGAGTGAGGCTGGTAACTCGAGTACATGTGGCTACCACCGTACTCTTGCATAGGCGGTTGGCCAGAGGGCGGCGCAGGGTACTGATGGGAGTAGCCGATGGGAGGCAGCTGTACTGGCCGCGAGCCAGGGTACGATGAGGGAGGCTCATGTGCCTCTCCAGTGGCCCGCTGTCTCTCCTCCTCAGCCTTGCGCTGAGCGTCTTCTTCCTTCTTGCGCGCCTTCCATTCCTTGCGGATTTCCTTGAATTCTATCATCAAAACGTTAGCCAGCTAGTTCGTGACACTCAGAGGTTGATTTTTTTGGGAGAGCAATAACGCTTACCTTCTGGTGTTCGCTTTTGTCCATGAGACTGCATTGTAACGTGGGCGTTCAAATGGTTCAGAGTACCATATGCCTTCTCGCAGCCTTGGAAGCCACACTTGTACATGCGCTCAATTTCCTCATAGCGTCTTCGGGGGCGTTTGTGTTGCTGCGCGCCGGGAATCGGGACGAAGGAGTAGACCTGCGCAATGGTTAGTATTTGCATAATAAAAACATTGGCTTCAAACCAAGCTGGGGGGGACGTACCTGGCTAGGGCGCTGTTGCGGCGGCTGGCCACCTTGAGCGTAGACAGGGTGACCACCAGGAGTCATGGGAGGGCCATGTTGGCCATAGGCTCCCCATTCTGGGCGCGGTTGACCATACATGCCGCCACTGGGATGAGGGTAGCCGTGCGACATGTCGGGGTTGGGCGCATAAGGGGAGTGCTGGCCATAGGGATATGTAGGGCTCGGCGCCGCGATGGACGGATCTATAGGAACATCGCTGTCAGAATTGACGTGGTGGGCTTGATGGCTACGCCCATCCTGATGGGACAAAGACGGACTGTGCTGTTGCGCCATACCGCCACTGCTGGAGTTGCCGGCTGGATGGTATGAACGCTGACCTGGTTCTGGAAAGGATCCTGAACGCGCCGACGTAGGATACACGCCGTACTCGGAAGTAGGAGTGGCCGATGCGGGATAGCTCGAGTCTTTTTGCACAGGAGGGTACTGAGCAGCAGCAGCAGGATGTTCTGCGGAGGAGCCTTCGGATGGGGCGTCGCCAAAGGTGCTTGGATAGGGCGATGGCAAACCTGTCTGCGAGTATTCTGGAGCAGCGCGATCCATAGAGGAGGAATTACACGTCGGCTCGCTTTTTTCTTCGCGATAAAATGGGACGGCCAAGGGTTGGTGGTAGTTGGTGGCGGTCTGGTGAAGACGCAGTGACTAGCGACGGCAAAGCGTGGCGGGGTGGTTGGTTGGTTGGTTGGTTGGACGCTGCCTGCTTCGGTGTGCGTGCGTCTGTGTGTGTGTGCCGTGCGTGCGACTCGGTTCAGCAGCGCGTGCGGTCAGGGAATAAAATAAATGATGAAGAAGAAAATATAGTAATAGACCGCAGGCGGCGAATATGAATGCGACAGAAAGGGTGTCGAGGAGGTGTCCAGGTTGAGGATTCGTCGCAAGCGGCGCGCAAACCAGTATATGTTTACTGGCGCCGGTTGTGGAAGGAGTGGCGCATGGAGAGGAGGGTTATTGTTTGGGGGGCGTGTGGTGCAGAGGCCAGGCACTAGACTGCGTCCTGGAGCGCGCTGATCTTGCTGGGGATGGTGGCAAGGATGGGGGCTCGATCAGTGAGACTAGGCGGAAGAGGTTAGAGCGAGGGAGTTAGCTCGGTGCAGATTGGGGGAACCAAGCGCACTAATATAGTGCGATATCTCTGCTGTGGACTCTGCCGAGCGCGACCAAGTCCAACATGAGTCTAGCGCCTGACTCGAGAGTGGGTGGATGCGTTAGGGGGGGCGTGTCGCTTGCTGCAAAAAGCCCCCTAGGTCGCCGTCTGGCTGCTGTACGGATTCAGGGTGCCGTCACCACTGAAGCTGAACTCGACGGAAATGGAGCTTGCACCGTCGGCAGATTACTGCCATTTGCTGCCGAGAACAATTTCTGGTTGAGCGAGACGTCGAACAGCTGATGGCGGTGATAACACCGACACTGAGGTACCAGCATCGACATAGACATCAGCATCCCCAGCACCACGAGCAAAAAATAACAAAACAACAGCCAGCAAGCAAGCAGCATTACCTGTTGCAGTAGTGCTGTAGTAGTCGTAGTAGTAGCACCAACAGTTAGTTAGTGCACACGCGCCAGTGCCAGTGATTGCCTCCTTGCATCCAAGTACACCAGTACCTTCCAGCACCGCCAATTCTAGGCGCCTCAGCGTCTGACTGACTGACAGTGGGCTTCAAATCACCTGTACGAGTATCAGTGTGTGTGGGACGGTGCCAAATTCCCATCCATCCAGCCAGCCCAGCCAAGCTCGGTTCCGAATTTCTCAGGGGCCCTGGCTCCCTAGTCTCCCCCAAATCCACAGCACTGGGATATGGGATGTGGGAACACTGGGTCTTCTGGCAAAGAGGGTGTGTGGGTTTCCTTCACTCTCCGCAAACTGTACGACTTTTTGGTTTTGGGTGCCAGATAGATTGGCTTCAAGATCGGTGCTAGTACTGTAGGTGCATGGTGCAGTCGGAAAATAACGAGTCTGTAGTCGATAGTCAACTTAAGGCGGTAGCAGATGCCATCGACAACCAAGTGCAGCAGTGACCTCATCCAACTACCCATGCAAACAACTATGGCCAATGTGACAAGGATGGCCCAGAGAGGCATAGCAGATACTCGTACGCTGTGAATGAGCACACCTGGCGTCGGGCACTCGACATCTACTGTCTAGCGGTCAGTCGGTGCAATTCACTGTTCTTGTTCAAGGCTCCTTGCCGTCCACGCCATATGGCTAGCCGAAGTAGCGTATTCAATACACGTGGGAGATGCTTTTCTGTTCTTCATGAGCTGACTCATGAGGCCGCGGTTGGACCTTGCGATTGAATAAGAGCACAACGAGCAACGAAGAAATCTGTTTGGCTTTCCTGATTAGGGATGCAAAGAAGAAAGGATTAGTCCAATTACTCCATACAACCCAGCCGACATGGCAGATAAAGCACACCCACAGAGGGGCCACCCCAAGCCGCGGTTAAAAAAAGAAGGTTTTGCGAAGGAATACCACCTTGGGCAATTGTGATTCCAGAAGTTGAAGCGGGGTTGCACAACAGACCGAGGCGCAACTGCAGCACACCACTGGCAACTTTAGCATGACGAACCGCCCAAGACGGTGAGAGAGGAACGGGTCAAGATGGGACGAAGCAGAAGTTGACCTGTTGGAATTTCTCCCACGCCGCGAAATGCCCAATCGCCAGCTGGCACTTTTCGCACCTGGCGAGCAGCTGGCAGGCAGCTGGCAGACAGGTGGTCATTTCCATTAGCACAAGGAGAGTGGGTGGGCTTGCTTCTGTCTTTTTTCTTCCTCATTCAACATCGTCGCCTACAGATGCTGTTTCTATCCAGCCCACCCCCCAAAAAACGACATTGCTCTGGGTGTGACTCGTTCTCTGCTGTTGGTCCGCTGGAGCTGCCGACGTCTCCCCGAAAGGCCAAAGAGCAGCACGCCCACGCCACCTAAAAAAATGTGGCGGCAATTGCGGCGGGCCCCAGCCCCTCACCAGCCTGTCGGCGCTGGCGACACCTCTGATGTAATGGCTGTTAGCAGCACCTGGTTTCCTCAATTACCTGCTTTCGGCCGTCCCAGACAGACGGCCATTGCCGGAAGCTGCGATACCGGAACCACAGCGCTGTTACTTGGATGTGTTTACGCTCACCCGCTTCCAATCAAGCCAAATGCTGCCGCAGAGCGCCAACGTTGTTCTCCTCACTCGACTCGCTTCCCCGTACTCTACTATACAAACTTTGGTCGGTAGTCGCTGCGCCGTCCCAGCACTCTGGAATCGGCGCCCACCACTAGACTCTAGTGAGCCTTGGGGAACAGGCTTAACTGGTGGGGTAGTGCAGTAGGTTTGGCGCCAGCGGCACATCTCTTTAGTGCCATGGAATGCACTCGTTCGTGCCAATGTGAGCCACACAGATCTGCGGCCTTTTTGGCACTTCCCCAGTCTCTCTCTGTTCGCTACAACCACCCCTTTTTGGTTAAAGGCCAGGGGGAGCGGAGGGGGGAGGGGGGCAAATTTTCCATTCAATGCGCCCGGCTCTGCGAAAGCGAGGATACAGTACAATCCTCCAGTGAAAGCTTTTCTTGCCCTTGCCAACCCTACCTTGCGACCCGTGCGGGCTGCTTTACTTGCCTTCTGTCAATTACGCCTGTTGGGGTGGCTTTGCGTCGCCATTTGTGCATGCTCAAAGATCTCCTTTGGCTAAGCCCAAACCGCAAGCTAGCGGCGGCCGTTCCCATACTAATGTCCGCTGGTGCATACCCCATGGTTCACGCCAGTGCACACTAGTCGCGCTTCCACGCGATCGCCCTAAACTGATGTGGTAAGAGAACTGCGTCGCACCATCCCGACGGCTGCCCGTTTTACATACGTCGTCTCGAACAAATACGACCAACGCATCATACGTTTGGAAAGACACACTGGACAATAAGCATCAGAACACCCCCGCTACCATCACAAGAGAACAGAGGACCACGACTCGCCTACAGGGGGGAAAGATACGCTGCTCCCCACTGCTCTTCCACATCCGGACAGAGAGTGATTCTGCAATGGACGCAGGTGTAAGGCAACCGATATCAACCAAACCTGCCCCGAAGAGTCAACAACAACAGAGGGCATAGCCTTGGTGTCTTTTCATCTTCATTTTGTTCAACCCAGTATCTCAATATGTCCTTTTTGCAATATTTGGCTGACCCTTTGTGGCAATTAATCCGTCAATCAAGTGTGCGCGCCATGAGCCCACAAAAGAGGGGTGCCATTAATGAACGGATTCAGCAGCTGTAAATTAATCGCAGAATGCAATTCAAGCCCGGGAATTCAAATTATTTCCGCTGTTTTAACAAAGCGCCTTTTTGTATGGCTGCTGACCGCGTTTTTTTACTAATGGCGGCTGGTTGAAAGTACAGGTATAATACCCGTGGGCCTGTGTATATACCACAAAGGGCGATCCGGTCTCCAGTGGGTTAATAAACAGCATAGGCCATTCGCGTAAATATTTGGCGCTAATAAATGTCATGATCTCGCAGGTAGTTGACAGACTTCTTCAAGCCGCTATTCAAGGTGCATGCGAAACCTGGGGTAGCGCCCCTTCTGGACCTGCAATCCTACCTTGTTGCTTCAAGCCCCACGGCGCATTGGGTTGTTGGGCGCATGCGTACAGTACAGTAGCCATTGGTGTATACACATGTCTGCCAGGTCAAAGATCCGACCTAGCTGATGGTGGTCTGCGTGCTCGCACTCACAAGCAATCGTTCCTCTAGTGAAAACTAGTTGCAGGAACATGGCCTTCCTCACGTGGGAATGTCCACCATTTGGGAAACAGGGTGGACGCTAGAGACTGTGGTACAGCGATCATGGCTAAGATCTGGAATACTGGTACGCTACGTCTATTGGTGATCAGAGCTCCGCGGAGGTATTACGTACCGAATGAAAACCAACACATGGTGGCCACGGTACGCATAAATATTCCAACCAGAATTATACAACTACAGTCAAGCAGAAAAGCGGTATGCTATTTTGGCACAAAGCCAACGAAAGAAGCGCGACTGGCAACATGGAACAGACAGCGCCAGACCGTCCAGCCACGGCACGCGCGTGTAGGGTACTTGGTCTCGAAGCAGCCGAAACAGTACCCGACAGTCAGGGAAGCTGGGTTGCTTGCAGAGTAGGCGTGTCGTTAACAGGTGCAGTGGGTAGTGGGGGCTCTTTTTGTCTCTTGTAGTCTGCATCCATCCCAGGTCCACAGCTTTTCAACCCTGGTCGGACAAGCACCGAGCGTGGAGCTGAGATTGTGCCGTCCAAACCATTTCAGTCAAATGCGACTGGTCGAACTGGATCTCGATGCCTTGCGCTGCCTGCTGGCTCGCTTTGATCGGGAGACTCTTGGCTGCTATACCATAAACAGGGCAGATTCTTGCGGCGCACGCATAGGGGGGCACGCAGAAGACAGGGGATGGCCGTACAAAACAGACGGGCTCGACTAACAGACAGACACCTCTCTACTCGACGTGAGTAAGTAACTCAGCAGCACCTATAGTACTCAACGGCAGTCTCTGACGAAAGAGGGCGTGTGTTCCAACCCAGTGGGGCGGGCTACAGCGGCGCTCACGCCGCTGGAGACACTCGACCAAGATTGGGCGTTGCCAGCAAGGCTTCATTGATGTAAGCCGCGTTGTAACACTCTGCAGGGTGATGGCAAACGAAATAGAATCCAATGTATTCTATTTGGAAGCATAGGTTGAAGCTACGGTACCATTCCACGTGCGACAAGTGTCAGGATTGGCGAAACTCGGTTGGCGGCACTGTCTTCAGGAACGTGCGGAGCTAGGGCAAAAGCCATGAGCCAAATGCGCTGATGGGCAGAGACAGTGGCCCGTCATGATGCCGCTACAGGGGGCTTGCCATCACGCTAAGCGGACAATGGCACGGGGGAAACCAGAGCCTAACCAACGCCAGCATTAGCCACACCAGATCGCGGGGAGGGAGGGGGCAAACTGCTCACAGTGCAGTAGCACGTTTTTTTGGTACTAAATGCCATTGCCACTAACGCAGGTTTGGAGATCTGCCCGCCCTTTAGCTTGACGTCCTCCTGGACACTATAGACAACGATCCCTGGGTTCTCTTTGCTTTTCATGCTATTTTTCCCGCGACAGCCATGTAAAAGTAGAGCGAGATGAGTGTTGCAGTCCAGGCCGTAAGACTCGCCTGGACACGGCAAACGCCGAAGGAGGCGGTTGGAAAGTTCAGCAGGTTGTGAAGGATGTGGCCCCTAGCAGGCACATGGGATGAGAAGATTACGACATAAAAAATGTCCTTGCCCCGTCAATGTTAGGGAAGTATTTTGGGGTTGATGGTCACGAGGATGCTGGGCTTGTGCGGGGGATTATCCTTGTCGCACATCCAAATGGACACAGCGTGGCCACTAACGCCAGAAGCTTTGCTCCAAGCCAGCCATTCCGGCCTAGCAGGGTCATCGTTGGTTGGGTTGCGCGTCAAACGCCTTGAATTATACGCGAGGCTAGAGAATTCAGAGGGTAAGTATTGGTGCCAGAGGATAAGGTTCTCCAACGCTTCGTAACGGGTTATGTGGCATCTCACACAGAGTAGGTTTCTGCTGTCGAGGTGATGGCATCGGCTAGCTGACCGCCAAGCCCAGGCGATGTACTACCTTCTGGGAGTCGGATAATATACCAATTGACGTTGACTATAGTATTCAATTGCGCTTCTTTGTTTGAAATTGCCCATTTCCAGCGCGCCACACCAAATCTGAGCTCCTCCCACTCAACAACGACTACGGCTTTGGACGCAGCCTGTACAGCTTGGTTTCCTGTGGCGTTGCAAAGCAAGATTGCTCGTGGCTTCACGCTGCTGCCAATCTCCCACATGGGCCGAGAAATGATGCCACGCACCCTCGCACTTTGAACAAATCCACTCCATTTCACGATTGGTTCTGCAATGGGCGCTGGGGCCAACGCTGCCTGCCCCAATAGTATGAGAGTCCCACTGATCCATTGTGCACGCCCCATGTTCTTATCTTGCAAAAATTAGTCTAACATGGTTCCCCTCGCTTCAGAGCGTTAGCTTCCTTGTGTCTGAGAACTGTAATGTTACCGAAGATGTTAAAGAGCTGCGTCCTTGTGTGGACACTGGGGCACTGGCCAACTACAGACGGCTCTTACTGCTGGAACCAACAGCCATCAATGTGTTTTGCTGGCATGCTCGAGCGCTGCGAGCAACAGCTGGGCACAAGGAGAACAAGTGAAAGGCAAAGCACAGCGTGAGGTATGGTGGAAGGCATCTACTAGACACGGCGAGCTGGGCGTCTTACCTTTACTGGCTGTTGTCAATAAAAACAGCGGCGCACAGCATCCCGCGGGAAGCAGCATCCTTAGGCCTTCCTGGCATGCTGGTTTACTGATGGTATCGCTAAAGAGCCGCGGCATGCCCAGGAACTTGGATTAGCAGAGCGCAACGTCTACTGGCGCCGCCTCGGCCCCCCTTCACGTCACTTTGGCTAGAGGAGATGGCATCTCTATTTTTAACCGTAATGCCAAATTCAAATACCAGAAACCCTTGCTGTACTTCGTCGAGCGAGCAAGCGGCGCGGCAACCTTTGAGCCGAACATTTTCGGGAAGTGGGGAGCGAGCCAATCAACTCTACGAGAAACACACAAAGGATGGAATCCAGTTGCTGTTGAGTAATCCAGGGCAGCAGACAGCGCTGGAGGATGATGGAGCTTGCCGTCGGCGGAGACCAATTTTGCTTCCACTGGAAAACCTGCTGGTGTGATGTGGTGTGGTGTGGCAGAAGCGGCGTGCATTACACCCGAGGAAGATTATGCCTGCCCAGGTTCGTTATGCATGGCTTTCGGGCGGCTCTACTGTAGGTCAGCAACGCATAGGCTGCTTGCTCTACAGACTTCTATTCACTGACACTCTCATAGCCGATATTGACCGCAACAAAATCTAACCTATCCGGATCGTCGCAGCAATGCTTTGTCTAGAAACCCCGTGTAAATGCCCCCAGTTCAGACAAGCGTTGGCCCGGCCCGCCGGCCAACAAGTCATTATCCGCGTTGTGCTATTGGAGGCAAAGTCTTTGTCCGTGTTGGTTTTTTTCATGTCATTACGAAATCCCATCCAAGGAAGCCTCCACACAAATCTCGCCAAAAAAGAAAGAAATGCTACTGTAGCACCTGAGATCCGTCCCTAGCAGCACGCCTAGGGCACTGTTATGCTGTACCTATCCTGGACACAGGCGCACACCTGCATTGCGCAGGCCTGGCGTGACCAAAAGACTTCCGCTGTTGGACTACCTGCGCCACAACTAATACTGGGCAACTGCAAGCGTCCTGGGTGGTACCAGTGATCACCCATGTAAGACGAGTGGCGGTATGGCTATTCCCGCTCCCTACACGGCAGGAACTTAGTTACTCCCACCAGGGCCATCCTCTATGGTTGTGGTTTGTCCATGTCAACCTAATAACGTATGATGTAATTGGCCCAGCCAAGGGTACCGGTGAGGCCTGGATCCCAGCTGCAATATCTCCCCACTAGCACCTAGTTCCCGAGAGCGCGTCAATGCTGGAGACTGGTTAGCTGCACTGATCAGCGTCTTGCCGTGGCCTGTGTTGCATTGTAAACCGTAAAAGAGGACAGAGCTCTAGGTAAATTCTGAGAAGGGCAACGGCGGGGAGTAGCCGAGCCTGGCCTAAGTCTACGGCCCTGTCGTTTCTACTGCTTGCCGTCCGTTCGTCCATCATGACAGAAGCGCACTCTTTGCTGTTGCGACGCAAATGGAGAGAGAGGAACCAAACCCATGCCACCAACATGGAGGTTACCCGTTTTGGCAGACTAAGGGCCAAGAAGGGTTCCCTAGAAATGGCTTGCTGAAACGCTACAAGATGATCTGTAACATTTGTCAAGTCGACTTTTACAAGATTACTCTTATCACATGGCACTTCAAGTCTACGGGGACAAGTTTGCTATGCCAACTTGAATTTCAAACAACAAAACGCAACCTAACTAGCGAAACTAAATACTTAACCGTAGAGATCAAACATGAAGACAAAAGAATAATCGTAAAGAAACACTCATCATAATATCAAATCCGCACCCTAGTCCTCCGACGGTCGAAAACTGTTTGATGTAAGGAGACGGATGCTTGACAATATCACCGGGGAGAACAAAGAGAGTACACAGGGAAAAATAGAATGTAAAACAAAGAACTTTTGTGTTTCTTTCTTTTGGTCTATTCTGTCTCTCTATTAGTTATCGAAGAAGCTCTTGTAACCGTCAAGGTCTAGAGTCTTCCACCTCGGTCAGGTACTCTGAAGAGTAGAGCCCAAATATAAGTGTCAAAATGGCAAGTCAACATAAGGGTACTTTTCTTCCTCTCATCAAACACCAATAAAGTCTCCCAACTAAGGGAAGGCTAAACGAGGTGAGGGACATGTCCAGCTCCAGCAAGATCAATCCATCTGGATATGGCGATACTTGCCAAAGGAGCATGTCAATGTTCTAGAATGCAAAATGTGATACAGACAAACAAAAGCAAACAAAATAGCAAAACGGGAGGGAGGTCGGAGTACCTTGCCCGGGCCTGAGTCCTCTACCAAACGCCAGTAAAGTGTAAAAGCAAACCAAGTCGTTTATACGGTGCAACATAATGTGCTGACTGCCAGGAGGCGGTCTACTGCAAGTACGAGTCGACAAACTCTGGACATGTATGTGTCTTACCAGCGTCTGTTGCCTCTACCAAGGGGCTGGTTGTTGGCGTTGGCTAGAAGATGTCGAGTCAGTTGTGTGTTGGTGTTTGCTGATTTATCGTCGACGAAACCCACCTCTACCACCGCCGCCGCGTCCGCGACCCCAGCCTCCCCAGCCACGGCCACCACCGCCGCCGAAGCGAGCCATCTCGGCCAAACGGGGATCAATCTGCTGCTTAGCCTCTTGCAGGACTCCAACGAGTTCGCGGGCTTGCTTCTGGTCTAATAGAAACAGTTAGTACACTGCCAACGGAGAGAAAAAGAATCGTAGAGAAAAGACTTACTGTCAGTGGTAAAGAACGTGATGGCGGTACCATTGGCACCAGCACGACCAGTACGACCAATTCGGTGGATGTAATCCTCCGAGTTGTTGGGGTAGTCATAGTTCAAGACGTGAGTGATGTTACGGACATCTTAACAAAAGAAAAATCATCATGGTTAGCACAAATCACGGGCACAATAGCAACAATCTTTCCGGCGAGGGACGCGTGAAAGGGCAGGTATGTCCAAAGCTTCCATGGGTTACGGGACATCTGCTTCTTTCAACCCTTTTTGAGAGCCAGAGCAAATCCAAGAGCGGCCAGAGCCATCAGGTTCCACGGTATAAATATGGCATGCAGTCAACTGGGTCCTCGGGTCAGGGAGCCTAGGGAGAAACGAAAAGTCTAATCAAGTCATCGAAGTCGACTTCTTCCTCCGCGCTCGTACCACATGCAAAGAACGGTAAGGTACGAGGGACAGAAACGCGAGTATAGCTCTACAAATCAGCTATACAAGTGAATGAGACTCCCGCCATAGGTCGAGGCGCCAGTGGACACAAATTCATATTACGCAAGGATGGTATGATCAATGGTGGCCCTAGAATAGACACGAGTAAAGTACGTCGCGCAGTTCTCTGCGAATTCGCCTTGCTTTCGAAATAACGGGACGGAAGGGAGGGGGGAGGGGGCTGTACTAACCGATACCACGAGAAGCTACATCAGTAGCCACCATGATGGGGCTCTTTCCAGCCTTGAACTGGTCGAGAACCCAATCACGTTCGTTTTGCTGCTTGTCGCCGTGAATGGAGAGGGCAGGCCATCCATCCTGGCGCAGGAATCGAGTAATTTCGTCGGCAACACGCTTGGTGCCAACAAAGATAAGGATCTTGTTTTCCTTGTTGTCCATGACCTTCTCGAGGTGCTTAATCATCTTGTCGCGCTTCTCCATCTCAGTGCAGACCTCAACGATCTGAGTGATTCTGTGGTTAGCGGCAAGATCCATAGAACCAATGTTGACCTGGATGAAGTCTTCAAGGAAGTCAGCAGCCATGGCACGAACTTCCTTAGGCCAGGTAGCAGACCACATTAGGGTCTGACGATCGGGACGAATCTGCTCAATGATTTTGCGAATTTGGGGCTCGAAACCCATGTCCAGCATGCGGTCAGCCTCATCGAGAACAAGGTAGGTAACACGGCGAAGGTTGGTCTTGCCAGCCTCAAGCATGTCAATCAAGCGACCAGGTGTGGCAATGCAGACCTCAACACCGCGCGAGAGATCGCGGATTTGGGGACCCTTGGGGACTCCACCGTAGACGCAAGTGTTGCGGATACGAGAGGAGCGGCCAAACTTGGTGATTTCCTGCTGAATCTGAACAGCGAGCTCACGAGTGGGGGCAAGGACCAGAACAATAGGGCCATCGCCAGGGGCGAGAAGGGGCTGCGCGTTGATGTGGACAATGGCAGGCAAGCAGTAGCTTAGGGTCTTGCCGGAACCGGTTTCGGCAATACCGACAACATCGCGACCAGAGAGAGCCATGGGCCAGCCTTGAGACTGAATAGAGGTGGGGTTAGGGAAGCCTTGAGCCTTGACTTCGTCCATGACATAGCGGGGGAAACCAGCCTCATCGAAGGTCTCAACGGGCTTGGGGATGTCGCGACCAGCAACAGTCATTTGGCTCTTGGCGCGGAAGGCAGCGACGTCTTCAGCTGAACGGTTGGTAACATCCTCATGCTCCTTGTAGAAGTCCTTCTCGAACTTGGGAAGAGCAGAAAGATCCCACTCTTGCTTCTGGAGACCAGAACCGAGGGCACTCATGCGGTCGCCACCGCCGCCGCCGTAGCCACCACCATAGCCGCCGTTGGAGAAACCGTTGCTGTTATAGCCACCGCCGTTGCTGTAACCATTGCTGTTGTTGTTGTGATAGCCACCACGACTGTGAGAGAAATACAAGTTAGTAACAGGTTTCGTGCTGTTGTCTGACGTCTCAGTGAGACAGGCATCTGGTGACGAGACTGGAGGACGCTGCCACGCCATCAAACCAGAACTACCAGTCATGCTGATCCATCAAACAAATATAAAACAATAACTCACCCTCCGCCGTAGCCACCGCCGCCGTTGCGATCGCCGCGATCACCTCGGTCGCGGCCGTAGCCACCACCACCGTAGTTACCGTTGGGACGGCCACCACCGTATCCGGACATGTTTTGTTTGTTGGGTCGGAAAAAGAAAGTCGGGGAGAAATGCGAGAGATACTTTTCAGTATGCGGGATGTAGAGGGCAAAGGAGAATGATGGAAGGGAAGAAAGAGACGAAGGTGAGATGGGTGATGAGTTGATGAAAGGGAAGGGTTTTCAGACTTTGGTCGCCCAGGAACAAAACTTTTTTGGGGGGCACTGCCTGGTAGGCAAGGGACGGAGCGCCCGTCTGGTTGCGCAACGAATTTTTTTTTCTGCCAGTCGCCCCTTCCCTTTCAGTGGCCAGACTGTGCCAAAACAGGCTTAGGCGCAAACTCTACCAAGGCGGTAAAGGTACTCTCTGGATGGATCAATATGGTTGGCTACTCATGATTTTTATATGGGGCCAGTGTTCTAGTGCCAAAGATACCCTACACATAGTCAACTGGTTTTGCTCTGATGATTTTATAGGATTATATTTGTTTTGTGATAGTCCGAGTGAATATATGCATACATGATGAGGAATACGATTATGATATATGTTCTAATATGAGGTGCGTATATGTTTTGGTTTTGCTGGCAAAGCTGAGGATTCTGGCAAACAGAATTGCGTTCCTTGACCACCGAACTATGCGGGCGTCATCAGTACACAGCAGTGTCTATGACTTTTAATCCGATTAAATGTAGCCTTAAATTGATTTTTAGAGGTTCTGCTACAGGAAACTATCTAAAATTCCATGGGTTTCTCAGTGGTCGGCTTGACAGGCTTCCACTGATAGTGACGCCTCCTTGTCAACCCTGGTGTTGACCTCAGTCAGGAAGCCGAAGCTTCGCTGCATTTGATAAATGGTGATATAATTGTGACAAAAATGAACCTAAACACGAAACGGAAAGCACCCACGAATAGTTTACAGTCTATTCTCGAGACACATCGCGACCAAAAGCCTTGGACTTGAGCCAGTCAAGAATGACAAGAACGCGGTTACGGGCTGCAGGCGGAGTTGTTAGTATATCAGATCGACTGTTCGGATGGCAAGATACTTACTGCTAAAGCACATAGAGAGATACGCGCTTCTCCAGAAAAGGTAAGTCATGCTACCGCCAGTAGCAAGGTTACCGTTCCACCAACTGACGTCGGCAACAGCCTTTTCGCTTCCAATGTAGGCCAGACTGCCCTGGTGACTGTAGTGGAAAGGCTTGACGTCCTTAACGCGGCGCAGCTGCTTCTCAAGATGCTCAATTTCGCGGGCGGTTTCGGCAGAGTTACCAGGGTTGAGGTTCATGGAGCTGCTAAGGTCGTGGATACGCGATTCAAGGTTTTCCGTCTTAGCCATGTTGTTAAAGAGTCCACCCAAGAAGTTGCCCTCCTGGGAGGCGACCTGGGCAGTAGGCGCATAACCGGCGACAGCGCAGTCACCAATGGCCCAGATGTCGCGAGCTCCTTGCACGACGAGGTACTCATTGACTGCAAGGCCACGACGCGAGTTTTGCTGGGCGGGAATGCGAGAAATCAAATCCTTGACGATTGGACGGACGGCATTGCCAGTGGCCCACACAAGCAAGCCGTAGGGGATGACAACACTCTGCTTGCTGCCGTCTGGGTTAGTGATTTCGGCCTCGACTGTGGTGTCGGTGACCTTCTTGACCATGGTCTTGGTCTTGATGTCGATCTTCTCCTCGCGCAGCGTGTTTTCTGTGTAGTCAATAAGCTGCTTTGAGAAGGAAGGAAGAACATTGGGAAGAGCCTCGATCAAGGTGACTTTGAAGCGAGGGCTGATTTCAGGAATAAGCTTCTTGATGTCTTCTTCGAAGAAATCTTGGAGCTCGCCAGCAAATTCGACACCAGTAGGGCCGCCACCAACAACAACCATGTGCATCAGGCGATTGACCTCTTCCTCGCTCTGGCCCTTGAAAGCGGCCGTCTCTACACAGTCCATGATCTTCTTGCGGATGCGTTGAGCGTCGCCAATCTCCTTCAAGAAGCAGCTGTGCTCTCGAACACCGGGAATACCAAAGGTGGCGTTTTCGGCACCAACCCCGACAACGAGCATGTCGTAGGGAATTTCGGTCTGCATTGTCTTGCCTTTGATCTCGGAGTTGTCGACAATGGTGACAACCTTGCGATCGGGATCGATGGAAGAAGCATCAGCTTCATAATATTTGACGGCACGCTTCTTGTGGCGAACAATTGTGCGGACAGGCTCCATGATGGATCGGTGCTCAATTGTACCTGTGGTGCACGAAGGAAGCAGGGGCGTGAAGAGGAAGTAGTTACGAGGGGACACAACAACGACATTGTAGTTTTCGGTGTCGAGCTTCTTGAGGAGCGAAACAGAGCCCCATCCAGTACCTGTAACGCATTAGTTGGTGAAAAGTTGTATTTCCTGGTAGGTGTTGATAAGCTTACCGAGCACGACAATGGTCTTCTTGGTAGGATCCTGCTCGAACTGAGGCTCCGGATTACGATCATCATAGATTACATAGCAGGTATAGCCAAACACACCGATGACAGAAAGATATGTGAGTCGCCACATCCATCGGAAGGTCTTGCGAATCTTGCCAGGCTTTCTCTGAAGAGCGGCGTCAGCATAAGCTCGTCGGAATGCGATGCGACCGGATGCTCCCAGGCGCATAGTAGCCCCAGCTGCGACAGGTCGCGCAGCGCATCGAGTGGCCATTGAGTTTGTCGACGATCTGGATATGTTTGTAAAGGATCGAGTGGCCATGCGATTCACCGACGTTAGCTGAACGCCGGGGCGAGCGAGGGCCGCCAACGTTCGTGATGAGGTAGCCATCGTAGCGCAGAGCAGATTGCTCCAGTGACGAGCGCGATAATCAATTGAGAGCCCAGAGGCAGTGAGGAATAATTCTCCTCAAAGTCTTACCGAGAATCAACGATGAGAATTGCAACTTTGGCTGGCGTGAGGATGGTGATTTGCAGATAGGAGAAGGTACACGAAGAAAAAAAAGCCAGTTGGTGGTGACTGATACGGCCTGTCAAGGGCAAATGGGTCCGCCGATTACGGGTCGCCTCGAGTTCCGCTTTTGGAGGTTAAAAAAAAAAAAATAATGACGCTGCACTGGGTCAAGCCTAAAAAAAAAATAACTGATAAAAGGAGACCCGCGCCAATGAAATGCTAGAAACGAATTGATAAGAAGCAGAGCGAGTAAGAAGTAGTGGAAATGGTAAGCTTAAATTGGCTGGGCAACTTTGCGGCTTATTCGATGCTTAGTCGTGGTAGGGTCAGGTTGATGGTAATACACCCTTGGAGGTAGGGTCAATTATTTTTGGGGAATGATTCTACGGAAGCTGGCCACGTTTTTATGGCTACAATCTTTGCTATTGTACAAATAATGCCGTGGGCGGTGGCCATCGGGAAACCTCTGCCTCAGCCCGTGATCCCCCGAGTATTCGGCGTTGGAGGACGGGGTCTCGGGAAACCGGGATCTCTTGTGAGAAGGACTGTTGGCTGCACATGCCGAGGGCAGATGGTTAGAGAGATCTTGGGGCTAAATGCTCAAAGGTCATTGGAAGACGGACGTTGTCGCCGCAGCCACGACATATGATGAGTGTAGAGGCCAGCCAAGGACGGAGGCGGCGAGGTGTTATATGGCGGATACCAACTATACCGGTGCGGAAGCGTGACCAAGTGCATTTACGGTAATGACCGGACCGTCGTCAGCGAATAGTTGGCGTCTCTCTTTCCAAATGCGCGGTTGAGCACAGATCTTGTCTTTGCGCGGCGAATAACCTTGGTAGGTCCACCGCCCATGGAGAGCTGAGACATAATGCTCGCAGTTTAGAGGGATGCGCAGACAAGCGAGCTGCATAACGGACGCTCAGTAAAGCTTCGTATTCAAGAAAAAGCTTGTCCAAACTTAGCAACGGCACGACTGCCATATAACCTCATCACCCAGCAGAGAAATAAGCCCTGCTCAACAAAGGGCTTGTCCAAGGCTGCCAGGGTGGTGGCGACGAGGCTAACAGCTTTGTTGCTAATTACAGCTCTCGCGATGGCAATTAATAGCATCTCAAGTAGCCGGGGAAGCTTTCTAAAAAGGGTAACCTCGAGTCCTTTGCTCTATTTTAGTCAGGACATTAGACAAGGCCACCAGAAGCTCGAAGCGAGATGTCCAAATGTGGCGAGGTCAAAGCGGCCATGCCCACAAGGGGGCCTCGGCCACAGCCTTGACGAGGCCAGCTTCGGAGCCCAGTGTCTGCCCTTGGCCCAAGTTAAGAAGAAGAAAATCAGCAGCAGACAGATGAGACCGGCAATTTTGTGAACCAGAGTTCCGGTATGGATGTAACTGCAGCTGACCTTTGTTGCGTGTTTCGACTACTGGTATGGCTTGTTAGAGATGCCGGTGAAGCCTCCTGATTCTCGCCTTGTGGTGCTGGCCAGTGCTGCCAGGTGGCAGCGTGCCAGGCCCGCTAGCTGCTCAAGGCGGCAGCTTGTGCTGTACCATGTGGTAGCATCTGGTTCCTGGGCTGGGCTGTGGCCTCGCCCATTGGGGTATGGTGCGAGTTCTACTTTTGGAACACCCTCTTCAGCACAGCACTTGATTACAGCGCGCAGGGCGCCGCGCTAGGCAGGGGTTTGGTGTGCGCTTTGACACTAACAATGGCGCTAACAATGAATGGCGAGGCTGCAAGGTTGCTGGCAGCCACTCCAAGCTGGCCAGGTGGTGGGCACCTGGCCAGCGCCCCACCCGCTCTTGCCTCTTGTGAAACTGGCCGATCCCGTCGCCTGCTGCTGCAAACACCATCACCCAACATCACCATCAGCGCGGCGTGCCCCAATTCGGACTGAGGCGCCTCCGCCCGTCGCTAGCCTAATGTCTGTGCCCTGCCAATTCGGGTTAGCTCGCCAGAGCCATCACTTTTACTGTAATCAAAGTCTGCAGCAGCCAACGCAAACCAGCTTTGGTCCGGCCGCCTCTGGCCCCGTCTTAACCATGTACAAGGCTGCACGCTCGTCCCGACCACCAACCCTGTTATTTCGTTCTTTGTTGTAAGCGAGGGGGCCATTGGCACCGGTAGTTTGGATGTCTCCTTGTTTCCTGCCGTCTATTGTTTGACTCTGCTCTTCGGGGATAATCCTGCTTTGTGCAAACGCTTATGCGCAGATGATCGCCAACCCTGCCTGGGTTTCTTTTCAAGCCGAAGCGCCGTGCGTTTGGTCGGTGTCTCCCAACCCCTGCTCACTTAATGCTTCCTCTGCCCTAGCGTAGAGGCTAAAGAATCAAGGCACCCTCTTACCCTCCTAGGCCCTTGTCTTCGCTAGCATCCGGCTGTGCCCATCAAACGCCTCCCACACCTTTTCTTATAACTCTTTCCACTTTTCCTACCTTCTTCTTAACCTTCTTTCCCCTTGACCCCATCCTTGGCAAAGCGGTTTCTGTTTTACTCCCAAACCTGCATTGTTTGGCGCCTTTATGCGAATATCGCCAATCACTGTTTCCGCTTGGCGTTCGAAACAATAATCTGCTTACCGCCCCCATCGATTGCATTACTTATTTATTTATACCCACTTTGTTTCTTTCTTCGACTTATTCCACCTGATTCTTCGCCACATATGGCTTGCAACTAAGCTTTTGTATAATAATTAAACAACAAAGAGGTAAAGATGGCACCAAGACAACTCGCCGCTCTTGGAGCCTCTTCTACTCTACCGTCAACAAAATCCACGTTCCTTGACACGGCACCTAGGCACGCTAGGAAGCTATCAAAGTTCAACGTCCGTGGATCAAGCTCATCGTCATCATCATCATCATCATCATCCAACAATGGAAAAGGCAGCGCCTCTACAACAGAGCACAGCTCCAGCTCCGACTCTAGCTCTAGCTCTAGCTCTAGTTCTAGCTCTACCCACGGAGGTGTGACCACCTCTTCCAACGAGAACGCAGGCGGCAGTGGCGGCTCGGACGGCCATCCAAAACCAAATGGAGCAGCATCAACTCCATCCAAACCAGCCCCAGAAGGCAAAACCCCATCAGAAGCAAGCAATCCTCCCCCCAAGGCTGATGATAAACCAAAGGAAGAGTCTTCTACCACCAAAGGCCCCAGTGCAAACACCACTCCGGGTGGAAAGTCACCTGCCGACACTCCTGATGGTTCCCAGTCCAAGAACAAACCTAGCGCCCAAGACACTGGTACCAACGCACCAAATGCTGCTTCCAACTCCAATGCTGGAGGCAAGCCTAGCGGCCCTCCCCAAACCGCCAATGCCAATGCCAATGCCAATGCCAATACCAACGCCAATGCTAACACCGTTCCAGGCGCGCCACCCGTTGCCAATTCGGCTGCGAGCGTTGATGTACCGAATGCTGCTTCGAGTTCTCACACTGGAGGCAAACCTAGCAGCGCTCCTCCAATGGCCAATGCTAACGCTAATGCTGTTGCCGTGCCTGGCCAACCACCCGTTGCCGATGCGGCTGCAAGCGTGGATTTACCAAATGCTGGCTCCAAGGGCCAAGGCAGTAAACCCTCTAGCAACACGCCCGCCGCGTCGCCACCTACCTCCAACAATATTGCTTCGTCTAATGCACAGGCGAACGCTAACGGCCATACCAATAGCAACGCTGCTGCCAACTCCGGCTTTGGAGGTAATGATAACAACAAGGCTGAGAGCAGCGCCTCATCAAACCCAAATGGCAATGCTGAAGGTGGCCCCCCTCCTACCAAATCAAACATAGCGACATCCAGCAGCTCTAGCAACTCTGGTAGTGTCGGTGGCTCCAAACCACAGTCACCCGATGAGGACGACCCAAAGCCACAGCCACGACCAAACCCTGCACCTCAAGCTGCTGCTGCTCAAAGTGAGAGTTTTGGATTTGGCAACTCTCATCAGAATACTCCAGCTGTGAGCTTTAGCTCCAGTTCCAGCTCCGGCCCTAAAGCCCAGTCGTTTGACGAGGAGGATTCACAACCGCGTCCACGGCCAAACCCTGCACCTCAGGCTGCTTCTCAAAACGAGGGATTTGGGTTTGGGTTTGGATTTGGGTTTGGCAACTCTCATCAGAATACTCCAGCTGTGAGCTCCAGCTCCAGCTCCAGCTCCAGCTCCAGTGCCAGCCACAATGGAGGTGCTCCTGTCACAAGTTCATCTAGTGCTAGCTCAAGCAGCAACGGCAATGTACCCGCAACCTCGTCAAGCAGCTCTAGCGATGGAAACTTGAATTCTTCTACATCTACTTCTTCTAGCCACAGTGAGCCTGCACCTCGCCCTGCTCCACCACCAAAACAACAATCATCATCATCATCGTCATCGTCATCTTCATCATCATCGTCATCGTCATCATCATCATCATCGTCATCGTCATCGTCATCGTCATCGTCATCGTCATCGTCATCGTCGTCATCAACATCCCCTGGAGGTCTGGTAGGAAGTATTGTTCATGGCGCTGAAGATGGTTCACGTACTCAGGCATCTGCTGGTGCAGTAGCTGGCGGACATGACCTTGGTAAACCCGGCGAGATAATTGGCGGTATCGCAGGAGGTGGTATTGGCGCCGTCCAAGGCGCAGGACAAGCTATTGCAACGGCTGTTGTATCCATCGGAGGCAAGAAACCCCCCCAACCGGACCCAGCTCCACCTTCTCCTAGCGAGAATGCCCCCCCAAAGCCCGACACCAAGTCTCCCCCCCAGGTATGTATGATAGCTTCCCTCAGCCATACCCTACTAACGCAACGTAGAACTCGCCACCAGCATCTGGTGAGAAGCATGATCCACCCAACGGAGGGAGTAACCCTAACAACAAGGGCGACGGACAATCAAACGATGGTAAAACATCTCCCGGCACTGACGGCTCTAGCGATGGAAGCAATACTAGCGGAGGCAAGAATGGTGATAATCCTGGAAAGTCGAAAGGGGATGAAATCATTGCTATGAAGTCTCCTGGCTCGGGCTCTAAGGTTACGAACCCTCAGGTTACCATGCCTAATGGCCAGTCCGCCGCTCCTGTTCCTGGCCCCTCACCCACAGACGGTAGCTCGCCGTTCAGTGCGATTCGCCCTGACCCAGCTGCTAGTACTGGGGAAGGATCTACTGGAAGCACACAGCCTGGATCATCGACCGAAGACGGACATAACGGAAAACCCGCTAATGGAACACCTGCCAATGGAATACCTGCCAATGGCAATACTCCCACTACTGGCCGTCCCCTCCCAACCCAGACTGATAGCCATGGTCACCTTATCATTGATACTGGCTCGCCTGGTCTCAGTGGTAACGCTCAAAAAGCCATCATTTCAGTTTCTGTTATTTGTAAGTTATATTTGTGCCTGGCTTGAAGCTGTATACTAATGGTGACTGTGTAGTTGGATTTCTCATGATTGCCGGTCTAGTCTTGTTCTTTCTTCGTCGACGACGTCGCAGGAACTACCGGGGCAGTCAATACAGTGCTGGAGACTCGTGGCTTATGGACCCTGAATCACGATCAGTATCGCATGGCAAGCCAAGCAAGTTTGGTGCTATTGCTGCTAAGATTCCCCTGCTTGGTGCCCGTCTCTCCAATAACAAAGGATGGAACAACTTGGGTGACGGCACCGCCGACATCTTCGATGAAAAGCGGGCTATGGTTACAGCTTATAACGGCCATGGTCAAGCCACGATGGCGGAAACCACTGGCGGCATCGCCGTTGAGACCACATTTTCCCGAACCAGCGAGGTTGATGTGAGCAAAGCACCTGAGCCAGCACCTCCTGTACCAAAGCATATCTTGCATGCTGCCAAACCCACAGTTCCTGGTGCTGTACCCGATGCGACTACATTCACTTTCCCTACCATAGCTGTGACCGAATCAGCACGCACCAGTAATCTGTCATCGCTATCATCTGGTTTTGGCGATGGTGACATCATTGTCCCGCCTGCTGCCGTTAAGCCGCTCCCCTCTCCTCTTCGTCGCTCTAGCCAAGTTAGCAGCTTGAGTGAAGAATTTGAACCCAACTTGATTCGCTTCAGTCGGGTCAGCAGCATCACTGATGGCCATTCCGTTAGCCGGGAAACTATGGTTTCTGCGGTATCGGCACTCTCAGACGACACCACCCCTCGTTTCAGAACCGTCAATTCATGGGTTCGACACCAAACAGGAACATCCTCCAAACCTTCATCGTCGCAGGGCAATGATGCGTCTACCCCACTCATGCCTAACATCCCTCCTGAACAGCAGTACAATATGATGCGGCCAGATGGTCAGGAGCCCAGACGAGTAGTGGACTCGCGGGGCGACTACATTGGTTCAGCCATGTGAAGGACATCTCTGCTCAAATGTATATTGACCAGTAGGAAAGGACTAGGGATCATTTTATACTTCTAAAAGATATAAGACAGCAGAAATGGATTGTAGTAATAGCTTCTTTGGACCAGCGGGCTGGCTCCTACGTGGAGCTAGCCCGTCTGTCTTTCCCTCATTTACATATTTCGATAAATATTATACATATATAGCCTTGTTTCTATACTTGAACCTTTTCATCCTAGATTTGCGATTGTATTGCTGGAAACATCTCCCAGAATCCGATTTCCATCTAAGCAACAAGGTTAGCTGTGACGATGTACCAAGTGTAACATTGGTGAGGGGTGCTCTTACCCGGGTAGCATGAATAAATATTTGAATCAATTCTTCTACTCTTGCAGGAGAGCAAGTGCGGATATGGGTTTCAATGAGTTCTACAGAGTACGTCAGCACGGATTCAGTCCGTCCACCGGGACGGGGGTGACTTACCAGACCCCAATCTAACAGCCTCTGTATAGTCCTCGGCAGCATAGTTTTCTATCCACGCCCAGTATATGTTCGATTTAGAGTCCTTCACTGTATCTTTGTGTGCTAACAGCATTTGAGCGACGGCGCCATAGCCGAGTAAGCATGGCGCCAGGGCCATCTGCAGCGCCAGCCAATCTTGGCTCATGCCAATATCTAGAACATAGCGTGTATACGCAGTGCAGGCTAGAGGCCGTAGCTTTAATATGACGTGCAATTTGAATAAAGGAGTGTGAGACATACCTTGAAGTTCTGTCGTGGCGGCGATTTCCGCCTCCGAGATGCCAAATGTCTTGCAGTAGCCAATGTGGAGGTCCATTTCACGAGCAATATGATTAACAATTTCAGTAGACTGTTGGATTATATTAGAAAAAGGTGTTGAATCAAGAGACGTATGCTTACCCTTGCAATGTCCTTGATATTTGTTGACTTGTATGCTGCTAAAGCGTTGGCTCTGGAAAAGTGAACCTACAGGAGAGGTACAGTCAGTATGGAAGCAGGATTCAGAACGAGCAATGTTGCCTACAAGATACAAGTAGTCTTGAATAATGTATCCCTTGAAAGAATCAAGTGGCAAAGAGCCATTGCCGAGGCCCATCACGAATGGGTGGTAGACAAACTCATCCCAGACTTTGCAAACATCAGCTCTGGAGAGGAGGTATTCCATAAAGTAACCCCTTAGTGCTAGGTTAGCAGTGATATATAATGTTAGCGACGTCTTAGTACGTACGGAGAGAATGGCAGCGAAGAGATGGAATGGAAATGGTTTAGCGGTCCGTTACCCTGTCCAATGCGAGGTGCCGTCTTGATACCAGCCTCGACGTAGCGACAAGCCGATCTTACGGCGCTGGGAACGTCCATCTTGTTGGAAAGGTTGGCAGAGATGGCAGCTGAATTCCATATTAGCAAAAATTAAATGTCTTACGTCTTGCTAATCACAGAGGCGAGACTTACAAGCAAGCGAGCAGCCTGTTCCATGCGTGCTCGTGCTCTCTTGCCACGAGGCCTGAATCTTGACGACGAGGTCCTCGGGGCCAACTAAGACGTCAACCACGAAGACCCTGTCAGCATCAGTTTCAGCGGCCGTTAGATCGCTTTTGAGGGGAACATGGCCGCCCTTGACGAGAACCCATTTAGGACCGAGCTTTTGTAATTCTCTGCCAATGGCCTCCATATCGGCGACAGATTTGATTTCCGGCACAGGACGACCATTTTGCTTGAGAATAAGAATGGCCTCGGGAATATTTGGCGTAAGCAGAGTAGTCTGTGGTAATAGATGCGTAGAGAGGGTCTGCACGGCGGACTGAGGGAGCAGTTGGCTTCCGGACGTGGACACCATGACCTGGAGCGTGAGTCGATGTTTTAGATTGTCCATGTCGATGACTTGACGGGTTGGAAGATAGAACCTACCGGATCGACAACGACAATGGGCATGCTCAGCTTGACAATCTTTTCCGCTAGGGCAATGATGGTTTCTTCAGACCCAAGCATGCCTATGCATTCCGTTAGCTCTTCCATGTAACCAATCTCTGGGGGAGGGAGACTGACCAGTCTTCAGGACATCAATGTCAATATCCGCGGCGACGGCTTCAATCTGGCTTGCAACAAAATCCGCCGGCACAATATGCACACCAGTGACGCCCTTTGTGTTCTGAACGGTCAGCGCCGTAGTGGCCGTCATGGCATAGCACTTGTGAGCCGCCAGGACCTTTTGATCGGCTTCAAGACCGCTGTAGCATGATAGTTAGCCAATTGAAAACGCACATAACCAAAATATTCTGGTATATATGCGAGGGACAAGCAGACAAACGTACGCGCCGCCAGAGGGATCCGACCCAGCCACTACCAACACCTTGCCCATGGTTGTCATTGTTTTCTGAGAAGCTGTGGTTGGTGATATAATGGAAGGCATGACAATGAGACAATAAGCTCCAATGAATGCTGATCCCTAAACATACGATGTTCAGGATCGATATGTTTAGGAAAAAGAATTCAGTGAGATGGAGAAAGCAAACGCACCTGGCAGCCAGCAGTTCTGCCAACTGTTTATCACTCAAGTGCTCGGAGGGGGTGGGGCCGCGCTGAGACGTAGTGCCCTATTCACTAAAGGTGGCTTGAGAAGTATCACCATCGTTCACCAGTTCGTTTCATCATGTGGGACTTGAATAGAAGTATCGTGGATTTCAGAGCTATGAGAATAGGCGGACTCTTAACTCGCAATACCACCTCAAAGATACTGTAAAACAGCAGTGGTCATTAGAATGGTGCAAGATGCGGTGCCAAAGGCCGGTCTACCAAACCATCCTCTTTCATAATATCATCCGCAGGGCTGCTCGTTAACTATAAATCAGGAATATATATATCCAAACACCATCCCCCAATGCCAAAAATCAAAACAATGTTCATTCGTGTATATCCACTTGGTCTATGCCTCATTATTTGCCCAGTTTCAAGGGCTGTGGTACCATGCTCTTCCGAGAAAACTCTTTCGGCTCGCTCACGCTCCTTTGTCGCTCTGTTCTATCGTCTTCAGAACTGCTTTCGCCGCTCTCTTCGCTACCACTGTCATCTTCGTCCATGGCTTCTGGCTGGCTAGCGGCTGTTCGTCTTGACACTCGACGTTCGCTTTCGCTCTCATCGTCCTCGTCCTCTTCCTCGCTGCTATCGCTCTCCTCTTCACCAAAGACAATTCGCCGCATGACTTTTTTATCAAACAAGTCTATCGCTATGCGACGCACGCCAAGCAAGTAGTGGTTCCATTCCAAGAGCCCCATAACCTTCTTGAAGAATTCGGTGCTCCCAAAGGCACTGGGCTTTCGTTGCTTTAGCTTCTGCAAATCAGTGAGCGCCTTCTTGTAGAGCACCGTGTTACCAAGATCCACAATCAGCTCGAGGATCCGCTCGTTGATCTCCTCGTCTGTTTCTAAAGCTGAAACCTCAGTCCTCTCAAGTGGTGGTGTGGCTTTTCTAATAGCTGGCTGGTCTTCAATCGTTCTTTGACTCATCGGCAGGCTAATAGATGCCGGTGCAATATGCTTCCAGGACTGCAGAGAGAAGAGCTTGGTGAGGTCCTTGGGAAGACAGAAACCAAGTGAGTTGCCCATTGGAGATGTGCTTGCATCCCAGCCATACTCTGATATCATTTCTAGGCCATGCGATGATCGTGAAATGAGGCCGAGGACGAAGAAGGCCGTTCCGCGCAGGCTCATAACTTCATGATTTTCAGCCATCTCGACAATGTGTTCGACTACGTCGCTATTCTCCAGGAATGGAGCTCCAAGTTCCATGGAGCCAACGTTGCCCACTGCCCAAAGACAAGATTTAACCTTAAGAATAAGATCAGCGTCTTCAGACTGCATGCCATGATCTCGTATGGTGGAGGCGAATTCGTCAAAGTGACCTTTGTCCCGTAAAAGCTTGCAACCTTCTCGTGTCCGTGTTAACTCTCGGTAGAAGTGAGGCGGCATTTGATTGTCATTGAAGTCTTGTTCCATGTCCGGATCGTGAAAGACGCTCGTCCTGTTGGATTGATCATCAGGGTCAGCCAAAAAAGACTTTGCCAGGCTCGCTTCAATAACGCCGACATATGTATCGTTCCTTCCAAGGAACCAGTCGTCCATTTCATTGCTGATGTAATCTAATCCGTCCAAGTAATGGTATCCGATTGATGTTGATAGGAAACGGAGCAGTAGCGGTGCACCAATCTCGCCTAGGTGATCCAGAGATGGTCGACATTCCACTACATGCTCCAGATACAACTTGCGATTGCAGGCCTTTTCCAATATTTTCACAGCTGTTGCACAAACGTCGATCTCAGGGTCATACAGCTGCGTAACAAGAAGCTGAATAGCCCACTTCGAGTCGCTTAGGTCGCCAAATGCGTTGGTGGCGACAGGACGGCGAAGCGTGCATTTATGAAGCACATCCGTAGCATAGATACGGATGTCCTTGGTGCTGCTCGTGAGAGCCTTGGATAGAAGGACCCTAGGATGGCCTTGGAGAGAATAATCAAAGTTGGTAATAAGCAACTTGATCAAGTCCAGTCGCTCTCTCATGTCGATAATGTGGTACATCATATTGAACATGCGCCATCGCTCTAATAACATGAGACCTTTGGGATCAGCTGTTAACACTCCCAGCATGGCAAAGTAGCCACCACAGAGAGTGTCCGTTAGCCGATCTCGTTCAAAGAGGGGGAATTGTGCGGTAATGCCACTTGTCTGAACAAATCATTAGTACATGGGATATTAGGGCTACAGGTTTGGTACTTACTGGATCGCATTGGGCCAAGCATTCAGCAATCTGCCGCAGTAGCTTGCTGTCTGCTAGGAATCGAACTCCTTCTTGTGACTGCAAAAGGGAATGCATCAAGGCACAACCTGCCTTGACATACTTTTGTGTATTGCGCGTGTTTTTGATTTCTGCGAATCTGTACTTGAAGGGTCTGTAGAAGCTAATGAGTCGCTTCATAAATTTGGACGCGCGGACAGCCTCCTCTAGTCGTTTGCCACTTTGAAGTGGACCGTCAATGATCTTCATGATAACCTCCCAATCCCATTTGGCGTAATTCGAGCTATTCAAGACGCAGCTGTCCATTAAGAGTTGTCGAAACGTCGCGTCATCAAACACTACAGCGGTGCTGACTTTAGGCTGAGTTTCCAGGGAGGCCAAGTTTTTCATCGTTTCGCTGGACGGTAAGATACCAGCCATGGATTCTGATGGGGCGCTTCTGTAAAGCGTTCGACTGACGCTACTAATTTGGTAGACGATTCCTGACGCGATGAAGTGGTCATCATTACCAAATTGAGTGGCAGCAGCAAAGAGCTCTGGAAGAAGTTGTAACGAGGCGCTCCAAGATGCCGGTAGCAATCGGCTCGCCAGCTTGAGAACTTCACCAATCATCAGTGTAATTTTGCGCTTCAACATGGGGTCCTCTTCTGTTTGTGCAATCTGCAACAAACAGGGCAAAAGGCCAGCCTTGATGAAAACTGCCAATAAAAGGGCATTGTAGTGTTCCACGAAGTTTTGTTCGCCGTTATCGTCCTCATATAACGTGGCACTCTTGCTCTTTGTGTTTCCAGACTTGAGATTTGTTACTCTGCCGTACGTCGTCAGTCGCCGGCCAGCCAGAAATGATGTGGCCCAAGCGGGAGGTTTGATTCGAAGGATCGTAAATAGCAAGTCTAAAACAGTTTCCCTAATGGATTGCAAAGGGAGCATCATACTCATAACAAGAGATCGAACAGTTCGAAAGTCGTGCATGCATAAGGTCATGATTCCAGACCATGATCTCATTGCAACGGCAATGGCTTTGCAGCTTTGTGCCATCATTGCCTCGTTGGTACCCAACGGGTCGGTAAACGCTGTGAAGAGAGCATCAAGACCATATTCTGCTTGCAGATACACTCTCTTTTGAGGTGTATCAAGTAGAAAAAGGAAAGCCGATGTTAAACTTTCTGGGGCTTTGTAGGACCCTTCTGCGAGAGCGTCCGTCAACGGCCCAAGACCGCCCGATGCAACTACTAATCGTGGATCGCGCACAAGAATCTCAGCTAGGGTTTCCAGGCAGATTGGCCGTAACCGGTCGATATTGTGATCGGCTGCCTGCACTGTGGAGCGTCGGTCGTCGCCTTGCTCAGCTACAGCAACAATCGTTCGGACAATCGCGCGTGAAATCTCCTTGACACCTTCTTTCACGTCTAGGAAGGCTCTGACGAATTTGAGAGCTTGCTCACGCTCAACATCAGCTTTGCGGTAGTTGTTGAGCGACCGGACGACTAGGTAATCCGTATTGAGGGATCGAATCTTGCGTAATGAGCTTACATCGGAAATGGCGTATCTTGTGACGCGATAACCGGCAGCAACTACCTCACGAGATTCGCTAAGCAGCATCATCTGCATGCGCATGCCGAAAACAGACCATACTAAGTCGTACTTGAGCGTTGGGTGCCGCTTGAACAGGCTTGCTAGCGCATTTGCACGGCTGACATAGTATTCAGGCATCATGCCTTCGACTTCAAGAGCTTGGAGAAGCTCTGCAAGCAAAAATGTCGGACTCTCGGTCGATTCGTCGATATCGGACTCGTTCTGAGATCCAGCATCGCTCCCTGGCGATTTTGAGCCGCTTTGCGGGACGCTTTCGTTTGTCCAGGAACGGGCTGGCGTCACCGGCCGAGTTCGCATAAACTGTGCATCTGCTATTTGCTGTCTGAGGACCTTGATGCGAGAGTTGCTCGCGGCCAACTCTGCCTCTACTCGCACTCTTTGTTCGCGGGCTTGCTTGGCCTTTTTGATGTTAAGAGCCTCAAGCATGTTCTCGCTACCTTCCTTGATCTTCATTTCACGCTGAAGGCGGTCACGGAGTGAGGCGAGAGCAGCTTGGTTGATAGTCGCATTATCATCTTCATCGACCTTGTCCATTATTGTGCCTGTGTAATTCGATGTCAGATCCATTCGGCTGCCGGCTCGGCTGGAGAGCATTTGGCTACGCAGCTCGGAACTGAAGCTTCCTGGTGCGACGCCAGGTGCCAGGCTGCCGCCCCGTGCGGCATGCGATGCCATAGAGGAGGATAGATTTCGAACATTGCCATTAGGGGGCTGGAGGCCGGAGTAATCGCGGTCGAGGCTGGTTCTGGAAGGCGGGATCTGCTGTTGCGTGGGCGGTTGGGAGGCCGTTGCAGGAGTCCTCTTGCCGGACTCTGTACCGTTGGCCAGCATTGGGGTGACTTGGGCCGATTGGCCGCAGGTGGGCGTACGCAGCCCTTAGCAGTCGAGGTGCATTCGTTTGCGGCAGACTGCAAGATTGCGCCAAAGTGCTTGGGCCGGCTATGAAGCTGAGCTCATTCGATGCAGCTGTGTGGCTTGTTGGTCGATCGACGAAGGTTCGGAAGCGAGGGCTCGGTACGACGCGCGCAAGGCTGTCTGGAACTGCAGAAAAGAAGGCGAAAAGCAAGAAGAATGGCGGCGGTCGAGACGAAAGGACACGAGAGACTGAGGTTGTTGTTGGCGTCGTCGTCGTTCGTCGTCGTCGTCGGCTGGCGAGAAGAGGGGCCGGTCCACACACGCGGCCATAGTGGAAGCCAGAGTACGCTTGGTGCCTGTGGTCGTTGATTTGCTGGGGTAGTCACGCCTGTCGCTGGAGCAAGCTACGCTAAGCTAGCGACCACCAAGAGGAAAAGAAAAAGAGAAATACCGAAAGAAATGCTGCGAATAATGAATGAAAGATCTATATTTTGATCCTCTTGTTTTTTTATCCATGGAGTTTACGGACCATCTACAGTATAGGAGCTTTGACGAAACAAACTTCTGACAACCGCCTACACTATCATTAATGTTCGCCTCTCCTTTCGCAGGTTTTCTGCAAGTAATAAGCGGTACCCTAAAGATCCTCCGCTGTACTTGCCAGAAACAAGCCCACCAACTGAATACTTCCTATTGTCCATTTGCGTTGGCGCTCTTTAGAGCCTAGCCACCCACCCACACTGCAGCAGCGCTAACTCTGGACCTTCTGCTCGGGCACGCTAGTGTCAGAAGCACCAGCAACTGTCTATACATACATCACAGCTACGCTAGATTTGGGGTTACAGGGCTGTATAGAGGAAAAGTGTAATTAACTGTTGTAGATTGTGAGCCATTCTTCTGTCTTCGATACCCACCACAGGAACGGGCGTTGCCGTCTGTCATGTTCCCCGGCAAAAGAAATCAAGCGGAACGAGTTGTCCAATCCAAAAGACAACAACATAAATATATAATTTGAAAAATAAAAGGTAATTCTCTCTTTATAATAAAACAGCCGTTTGATCGTGTAGATGCCTGCCGTTGGTAGATTTTCTTGCCTACTCGGCTCCGCGCATGGCGCCACCCACGTCGACATCCGCCGTTGGCCGTCGGCGGGCTCCGGTGCAGTGACAAGCTAAAAGACGATCGGGTCCGAGAGTTCTTGTCACTGCTTTCGTCATTTATAACCACGCTGATTCACACTGGTATCATTTCCCACAATCACCAGCGCACTCTTTTCGACTATCCTGTCATTGACACATATACATTGTATCTTGTATATCTCTACACATCCAATTCGCAGTAGAACTGGCAATACCCTCTGCCACAGACACCGACTACGATAACAAACGAGCCCACCCACGCTACTCAGCTACCTCTTACTACTCTTTTCTTTTTATTTCTCATAACAAAATGCCATCTCTAACATCGGCCCGCTATGGCAAGGATAATGTCCGCGTCTTCAAAACCGATCGCGACGCCAAGACGGGCATTCACACCGTCACCGAGATGACAGTGTGCTGCTTGCTCGAGGGCGACATCGAGACATCCTACACCCGCGCCAACAACAACGTGGTTGTCGCTACGGATTCCATGAAGAACACCATTTTCATCTTCGCCAAACAGCACCCTGTCGATCCGCCTGAGCAGTTTGCAGCCATCCTCGGCGACCACTTCATCCAGACCTATCCGCACATTCACGTTGCCAACATTGACGTAACCACCCATCGTTGGAACCGAATCGCTCTAGATGGCAAGGAACATCCCCATAGCTTTGTCAAAGATGGGAATGAGACGCGCGTCACCAAGGCTCGCATCTCCCGCAAGGATGGCATCACTATTCAGAGCGGCATCAAGGGCCTCACGGTCCTCAAGAGCACCGGGTCTGCCTTCCACAGTTTTGTCCGCGACGAGTACACCACACTTCCAGAGACCTGGGATCGCATATTGTCGACCGAGGTAGATGCTATATGGGAATGGAAGACGTTTGCAACTCTTGATGCTGTCAAGAGCTCCGTCTCTAAGTTTGGCAACGCCTGGCAGGTGGCTCGTGATATCACTCTGCGCCGCTTCGCGCAAGAGAATAGCGCTAGTGTCCAGGCTACCATGTACAACATGTCCGAAGATATCCTGGCAGCCGTACCGGATGTAGAGCATGTTCTCTATTCCCTGCCCAACAAACACTACTTCGAGCTTGGTAAGTCTTGCAACTCGCACCTGACATCGAAGTTTAGTCCCATGCTAACAAAGTTGGTAGATCTCAAGTGGCACAAGGGTCTCAAGAATCTGGGCAAAGATGCTACGATATATGTCCCTCAGACAAACCCCAACGGTCTGATCACCTGTACCGTGTCGCGATCCTCAGGGCGCACGTCGCGTCTGTAATATGCCGTCGTGATTGTTGCTGAAATACAGCTGTACTGTTCGCCGCGGCTCCTTTTGAGCAACGCATTGTAGATATATAGAGTAGCGGCGTTCCTCATCGCCTTTTAATTTGTTCTTTCACTGCCAGATTTATGTGTCCTGTTTCTGAGAGTGATGAATAGTCCATAGAATAGTCCATAAGAGAAAAGTTGGCGAGGCATCAGGTATGCTGTGATGTTGTATTGAATGAAAATTCGACGGATGCTATGCTACCATTTCCAACAACAAAGAATCGCTATTGTTACAAATTATACAAAAGGGATCGCCATTTACAATTCCCTCGTCCCAGGTGAAACCCAACTCTTCATATCGTACGCGCAAAATCCAAGTACACGACCGTAATTTTACAGCCTCTTCTTATCGTTTTCGCGCAGTTGCTCTACCATCTTATCCCAACCTTCCTTGCCGACTTCGACACCACCAAAGCGGATAATATTGTCCTTGTATGGGTGAGCATCACCCTCGAACGCTTTCAATCTGGCCAATCGCTTGTCGCGCAGTCTGTTCTTGGGCAGCATACCACTGACAGCTTTGCGCAACACTTCACTACCACCGTGCTTCTCCATGAGGACGTCCATGGTAACAGTTTGCAGGCTACCAGGGCGGGTGTTGTGACGGTAGTACGGCTTTCGCCACATCTTCTTTCCTGTAGTGTGTAGGGCTGCGCAGTTGGTAACGACAACGTAATCGCCGCAGTCGGTAGACGGGTCAAAAATAGGCTTGTGCTTGCCCATTAGCAGGCAAGCGATTCGAGATGCCAAACGACCCAGTGACGGGGGTGTCGTGCCTGCTTGTGTGGATAAAGTAGAATGAGGTGTCGAGGCAGATACTTGATGCCATGCTCTGGAATATGCCAGTCGGGTCTGTGAATTGAAGAAAAGAGCGCCGAGGTTAGTAAATATGGTTGTGAAGATAGCATTGTGGCCATCTCCTGAAAGTGTAGGACTTACTAAACCGACGGTTTGTGACATGATGTAAAAGCGCGCGGGTGCTTGTTTCCCGCTGACGTGTGTGCGAAGAAGATCAAGATAGGCTTTCACCAGCTCCGTTCGCAAAATTCCACGCAATTGCACGACAATGGCAGGTTTTACCAGAAGGTCATTGGCGGCGATAGTTGGCTTCGCAAACTTCAGAGGATGTTGCTTCGGTAGAAAAAAACCGATGACTAAGGTGCGGTCACCTGACCATCGCCCGCGTGCCGAGCGCACCTTATCGCTTCAAAGTACCTCAGCACTATTTCCACTGAAGCCGAGGGCCGGGCCAGCTTTTGTATTTCAAAGCATGTATTAATTGTATTTTTAAATTCTCCAGATTCGGCATTTTCGTTATAACATGACAATTGCCACCTCAACATTCAACCGAGTAACATTTGCAGCATCCGCCCTATTATTCACTGGATACGCTTTTCGCCAGCACAAGAAAGCCGCTACGCCGTCGACTCACAGTGAGCCCAAGCCCTGTAGCGACCGCCTTACGACCGCTCATCGCACAACGCTGACCTCCACTGTCGTTGCAGACAAGCACAACGCCATGACAGCCGAACACAGTTTTCAGGTACGCTGACCACCTCTTGTCATAATTCCAGGCATAGATGCCTCTATTTGTTATAGAAGACAGAGTTCTTTGGTTAATTCACACACCAAAAAGAAATTACTTTGTCTTGAAACCACAGGCGCTGACGCATCCCCTCACAGACCCTCTTTGCGGTACCGCTCTCCTGCGACAGCTGTATCAAGTCCGTCTCAGATGCACTATATCAGCTGGGTGGCATTACCAAAGTGGAGGGAAACCTTAAGGACCAACTGATATCAGTGGAAGGATCAGGTACGTGCTTCAGCGATCCTAATGTGGAATCCCTGGTGCACATCCCACTAACCATGTTTGTCTTGCGACAGCTGCACCATCAAAGATCGTCGAAGCTATCCAAGACACAGGACGAGACGCTATTCTCCGTGGGTCTGGAGCCTCAAACAGTAAGTTCACATCCTCGGACAATTTCCCATACCAAGGCGCCGGGTTCAACTTGTTTCTGCGCCACAAGCCCTCACACAATAGAGCCGCTGGCACATATGCTCACATATGCTATTCTTGACCCGTCTGATGAAACCCGGGAGCTCTCTTGAATAATGTAGTCTAACAGTTCTCTAGGTGCTGCCGTCAGTATTTTGGAAAACTTCGCCGAAAATGTGCCCTCACAACAGGATGAAGGCAATCCCAAGCGCGAAGTGAGGGGTCTAGCTCGCATGGTAGAAATCGGATCCGGCAGAACTCTTGTAGACCTTACCATCCGCGGCGTGACTCCAGGAACATATCATGCTACCATTCGCGAATACGGTGATTTGAAGCAAGGCGCAACTTCTACAGGGCCTGTATGGGCCACCGAAGGCAACAAGCAAGAGCCGCGCGGGTATTTAGGCACGGTTGACGTTGGGAAAGATGGCAGCGGTGCAGTATTCTCAGACCATGCATTCCAAGTATGGGAGATCATTGGACATGCAATGGTGCTTACAAGACAGACAGAGGAGCAGGCTCTACAGAATGACGAGGACACAGTCGTGGGTGTCGTTGCCCGAAGCGCCGGCATGTGGGACAATGACAAGACCGTGTGCTCGTGCACCGGCAAGACTCTGTGGGATGAACGAAAGGAAGAAGTTGCAAAAGGAATGTTGTAAAACAGGGAGCATAGTAGGCGTTACGGTTGGTTTGGGGGCGGCGTACGAGCGAGCGAGCGGACGAATGAGCGTATAGATAAAACGAGTAAGAATGTTAGCACACACCTCTACGTAGTACTAGTTGTCTCCGTCCCATGATTGACCACGCCCATCATGACCAAGGAGGCTGGCTCATCCCCTACAAAGGTTTAATATCCCCTAGCGGCGCGTAGCACTCAAACGACGCCGCCTTGCAAGCGCTTTACATGGATGGGTAGAGTGGTGTACTAGCTCCTGAGACGCGTAAGGCAAGATTGAGCCATCCTTGTGGCAAAAATAGACGACACTGATGGTGCCACGGAAGATGTTCTAGTGTGCTAAGGGCGGGATTGGCGGCTAGTATCACCAATGAAACTCGGAGACTAGCAGCGTCGGAATTTATAAACGTGACCTCCCAAACAAGAGACCGCCTTTGCGAGACGTCCGAGCGGAGCGGCAAAACAACCGATAGAACAGTGATCGTTACAGAGCGTTCCGAGGCAGCTGTCAACGGAAAACGTGTGATTGGAAGGATGTCTGTGACATGGTGCAGCAAGGGCCGGCATTCGAATCGAGCAAATAAGAACTCAGAAAAGATCAACGTCTGCCGCCGAGGAGCGACCCGAGCGTAGCGCTGTGAGGCGTTGTGTCACTGGATGAAGACCTGAGCAGGGGTTCATGTGATGACGTTGCCAGAGGTCGGAGATGAAGATGCGGTGAAAACTGTCTACACAGACACAAATTCTCCTTTACAAACGAAAGGACATGGAGAATGAGCTCTGTGGGGGGTTCTTTGCCTTTCTTTTCCTTGTCACATGGCGCTGAGTCTGGGGTACAGACGGCAGGGGTTGAGGACCAGCAGCTTACAACTAGATGCACAGAAAAAGTCAGGGTTGGTCGAAAAGAAGCATCTGTGTTTGCTTGCTGCACCTCGGAGAACGTCCCTTTTGGGGTAGAAAATTCAACTAGACCGTGTACTTTTTTTTCCGTCACCCAGGTCCCGGGGTTTGGTTGGTAGCCGGGATGCTGGGACAGGTACGGCCCGTGTAAGTGCTTCCGATCTAGTGTGGTGATGGACCAGCATCCCTGCGCTACACTCGTCGAATGCAAATGAAGGAAGAAATTGGCGTAGTCGGCGCGTAAATTCCTTGGCCTGTCATTTGTCAACGGAGCCCAGCGGATTTATTTTTATCTCTTTCCTTTTCCTTTTCGAGGTGGGAAATGTCAGGGGGCTTGGTAGGAGGCTGCAGGGTCGCCGGCGGTTAGAGAGGGGCGACGGGGGCCAATCAGAGGGCGAGGATGCTGTTTCGGGTGCAGGCGCTGGAAACGCTGCTTGGACGGGGAGCAGTCGGGCGGTAGGAAAATAGATGCGGTGAATGACAAAAGCAATGATGATGGTTGAGAATGCTGAATAAGGACATGCAATAAGTTGTTTTTGTCATGTGGTGAAGAAAGCAAAGGGAAGTAAGCGTGCGGATGGCAAGCACAGGAGCCGATGTAAGTGGACGGTGTTAAGCAACTTTACAGTGGGGGTGGGTGGCCGAATTGACTTTGAGAAGCCCACGTTTTGTCTCGATGCAACAGAACGGGTGCCGAAACCGAGGCGAAGAAAGAGAAAAGAGCAAAAGAACGAACAGTGCATACTCTGCTGGGCTGCTCCAAAGGGGCGCCGACATTATGCAGGCGTGCTGGCCAGCCCTCGTCTAGATCTTGCCAAAACGCCATCTCCAGCCATCTCTCTTGTGCATTGTCTATCTTCTTCTGGGCTGCCACATTCCTCCTGACTCGTCGTTTTTGTTCTGTTCTGTTCTCTTTCCATATCAGTATGGTAGGGGACTGTGAAGGACTACAAAAGACAGAGTTTGCGCGGTACGGCCTTGGCCGCCCGGGTTCCTGGACTAGCCTGAAAGTCTGTTTTCTGGACCCTCCATCAACAAGACTATGTCCTTCTTTTTTTCTTAACATGTAGAACTCTGATAATGATAGATGGGCAAGCCATACAAACAAAACCCGTGAATTGATCATAAAAGAGCCCACTTACAGGAAATTTCGGGGTATAATGAACGGAGGGACGCCTGACATGGACGGTTCTTCATGCGCATCGCCAGGTGGGACACGGTAGTGGGCGCGCCCATCCGCCACCAAAGCTCACTTTTCGTCCGCACAGGCTTGATAGCCGCAAAACGAGGCGAAGGAAGCTTAACGCCTCGCTCTTTGGAAGCGCTTTCTCGTCATATTTTACTTTCGTCCTGTGACATGGTGGCCACGGTGATGGGCGGCGGCAAAACAAAAAAACGCCAAGGAAGAAAAGGACGAGCCACGGTGAAGCAGAAGCATATGCCCATCGCCCCAAAGGGACGTGCAGCGCATCAAGCCAAAACGCTCTCTAACACGACAAAGCACGCCCCCCCTTGCTGGTTGATGCGCCGCAAGTGAGAGCATGGACGTGCTCTTTGCGTGCTGGCACTCATCCTGATACTGTCGCTGTAGCAGCCCCCCCAGCGGGAAGAAACAAGTATCAGAACAGAAGGGGGGAAGAATAGAAACGCGCCAGCGCCGCAGAGCGAGTCGAGACGAAAAAAGCAGGGAATAGTAGGAAAGAAGATGCTCCCCTTTTAATTGCCCGTTTGCCTCCCGGCTCTTCATTTGTGTCTTTTTTCGTTGTCTTTCCCTCTCTCTTCTCGTCCCGTAAGCCACACCTCCCGCCACGCCCTCTTGCGCCGCCGTCCACCAGCTCTCTGGAGGACATTCTCGCTCTCTCTTCCCAATCTGCGGCCTCGACTTTCATTTGAACTTGGAATAAAATTCCAATAAAGGGAAAATTGCAATTACGCCATCTTTATCTGCTCAGTGCTTCAAAGCTGGTCTTTGTGATTGATCCAGCCATCGCCCATTCCCGTCTCTACCGTCCTACGCCAGCCGTTCGCTCATTCAGTGCCAGTACTGCGACTCTTACAATCACTACTACACCAGCGCTGTTGATTCATACCGCCTTGTTGCTCTTATAACTGCTCTTTCAATCTGAGCAATCTACAATTCTTGATTTTGTCATAGTCTCGGACTTGCCTACTGCTCTCAGCACCGACTGCAACCTTGCTACGTTAAAGCGCACCGTCTCGCTTGCAAACACCACGGCATTCAAGAGTCGAACCAGGCCTCGTTCCGCCAAGGGGAAAAAACGCCACAAACGGTGTGCAAAAAAGGAAAAGCAAGGAAAAAGAGAGCCTCTCTCTCACACACGTCTTCAGCCATCTCGACATCTCACGCAGCCAAGGCACGCTAAATATCACTAGAGCCCGTTGCCCAAAAAGAAAAGGCCACCCCCCGCCGCCCAGCTGCATGCCACACGCTGGTCACCCACTGCCGCCCACTATTGCCCACTACCACGGCCTCTCTAAGCGCCCGGCTTGAGCCCCTGTCACCACACCCACACCTGCCCCTCTCTGTGTCCGCTAGTGCCGTGGCTCACTGCAACTCCTCTTCTGCGGCCGCTTTCCCGCTCCTCTGCTTTTGCTTCCTTTTCTTCCGCAAGTCATTTTGCGTTGCCGTCTGCTTTTTTTTCTTCCCTCTCCCCCAAAGGATATTGGGTTCGCAACCTGTTGTTGCTCTTCTCTATTTACACGAGTTGGGAACATTTGCAGGTTAGCAAATCACAATGTCGTTGAAGCTTGTACGTTTGCCCACCCGGTGTTCTGTCTGCGCTGCTAATGCTCGTCTTGGTAGGAAATCGAGACTTGGGTCGCTGCCCTTGCCCGATACGATAACAATGAATTCGACGACGCCCTTGTCGAGTTCGACAAGATCACAGATACAAGCAAAATCTTGTTTAATATGGGCGTAATTCACGCTACGCTGGGCGAGCATGAAAAGGCTGTAAGTGGAATTCAAACCCCAAGACTGTTTGTCCATCACTAACAAGGCACCCGCCACAACAGGTTGAATGCTACCAACGCGCTATCCGCTTAGACCAATACCTCGCTGTCGCATACTTTCAACAAGGCGTCTCAAATTTCCTTCTCGGGGACTTTGAAGAGGCCCTCGCCAACTTCAACGATACCCTCCTCTACCTTCGCGGCAACACTATGATCGACTATTCTCAGCTTGGTCTTCTCTTCAAGCTCTACTCATGCGAGGTTCTTTTCAACCGTGGCCTCTGCTACATCTACCTCCAACAAAAGGATGCCGGTATGCAAGATCTGGGCTACGCTGTCAAAGAAAAGGTCGTTGAGGACCACGACGTCATCGACGAGGCTATCCGTGAGGAAGCAGAAGGCTACACCGTCTTCTCCATCCCGGTTGGTGTTGTCTACCGCCCGAATGATGCGAAGGTCCGCAATCTCAAGACCAAGGACTACCTCGGAAAGGCCCGTCTAGTTGCGGCCTCGGACCGAGCCAATGCCTTTACTGGCTTCGCTGGTGCCGAGATTAAGAACTCTGTAAGTAAATTAGTCACGCCCATGCCAACGGTATATGCTAATGCCATGCAGCTCTCCAAAGCTGAAAGCAAAGACGACCGTCCCGCCGACAACATTTCCTTCGCTGCCACCAACCTAGTCAAGACTGACATCCAGTCTCGACGTCAACAAACGGATCCTCCCATGAGCAGAGGTGCCTTCCCGCCTACCCCTCCTCCCGAGGAACGTGGCCCCAGTCGCGGCATGTCAGTACGCAACGGTGGCGGTAGAGCCCCTCCTGCTAGACTTAACCTCGACACACAAATGGCTAGCCGAAAGTATGAAAAGGCTATTTCTCCCCAAGACAGCGCAACCTCAGCCAACAGTGCGCGCCCAACCCGATCAGCATCGTCTGCCACCTCGGGTAGGGCCTATCCTAGTCGAGAGGACATCCAACCTGCTCCTCTCCAGCGCAGACCCACTAGACCAATCCCTGAAGATGATCGATACGAAGACTCTTATGGCGGCCAAAACCAGCGTTACGGTCGTGGTTCCCGTTCATCAGCAGATTCTCGCGGCAGCCGCCAGGCATCTGCATCACGCCGTCGTCAACCTCGTCAACAGTACATTGATGAGGAAGAACCCATGGCCTCTGACTATGAAGATGGTTCCTTCGATGATGAAAACTTTGACATGATGCCCCGTCCCGGTCGTCGCGCTGGTACCGGGTCTGTCAGCTCGTCCCGTGGTGCTTCCCGCCGACCTATCGAGGTCAACAAGTTTCGCATCAAGGTCCACCATGAAGAGGTCCGGTATGTTGTTGTCGGTCCCGCCATTGAGTTCCAAGACTTTTCAGACAAAATTCGCGACAAGTTTGCATTGCGCCGCCGATTTAAGATCAAGATCAAGGATGAAGATATACCTGACGGTGACATGATCACCATGGGAGATCAGGACGACCTCGACATGGCTCTTCACAGCGCCCGCGACGCTGCCAAGCGCCAGCAGAGCGACGTTGGAAAGATTGAGGTTTGGATTTTTGACGTGTAGATACTCGCTCTACATGTTTTGCTTTGATTGCAGCCTTTGCTTTTTGTACTCTTGAACCATCTTATACCCCCCACCTATCCGATGCAGCGGTGCTGAAGCTCTCGCACAACCCTCCCGCTCTTGGGTCCTTGTTTGTTATTTCCTTTGTCAAAATCATCACGGAGTTTACTATTGCGCTTTGGATTCCAGCGCCCGTTCATTGTATCACAAGGCTTATCCTTTGCTACACTTTTCTTTCCCAGCGCATCTTTCTTGGACAACTGTTATGCCTGGACAGTTGGGTACCGATGGCAGCAATGCCGTATTTTCTTGAGCAGTTTTTTCCCCTTTCTTATACTATTTATGACGTAATGGCAACTAGGCATGTAAGACTTTTTGGATCTAGCCTGTTATTAAAAGAAGACACCTTTTTCTCGCGCTATCATGTTTCCTAGTACTAATACATGTGACATTAAAAATTACATATATGATCTAATTCCTCAATTCAGCTCTGCTAAGATCTTCTGGACGGTGTTCAGACGCCGACACCATTCGTCACGGCCCAGAAGCATAATCATGCGCCCGCTGCTTTGTGAAACGACGTCAATACCTCCGGCACCAACTAGACGCAACACATTATGGATGGTGGTGCTCTCAATACCTTTGGGCTCCAATCGTTCGCGAAGCGCAGAGACTGGGCTTACTGTTGCCCTGTCCACCCAATATTCCCGATTGGAGACCACTTCTTCAATAGCATCTATAATGCGAGAATCCAGAGTGGCATGGTGACTCTGTAAGGAGTTATGGTACACGGAGTTGGGTACACGCCAGAAGAGGTACGGATGTTGGGATATTAGTGTTTGAGCATCTTGGAAGCCGCCGTCACGGTTATACAAAACACTGTGAATATAAGACGAGGCAACGGCCTGATCTCCAGCGAGCTGTGGAATGAGAACTAGCGGTGCCTGCCCGTGCCAAGCTGGTGTGCCTTCTTTAGTGGCAAGATGAATCGCTGCAAGCGTAGGTTGGATTAGATGGTGATCGAGGACTTGCGTTTCAGTGGCGGAGAGCGCTGTATGCGGCTGTTTCAACAGTAGGTCTCTGTATTTGGAGTTGTAGTGGGCGAGCTTGGGATAGTTTAATTTGATGCCGCCTCTTGTGAATTTAAACGTGAGCTGCCAATATCGTTAGTTGCTACTGTTCTCTGTAACCAATCACGAAACATACTGCGTCTGATGCCTCTTGAATAGTTCTCGGCGGTTTTGTGCCCGCCGAAAAGGAAGAGCCAAGATTTGCCAGCCATGCCAGCAAAGACATTGGGAAAACGTCGCCGTTTTTGTAGTGTGAAATACTTGCGCTAGCATTGCGCTTGCTGAGCTTGGTGCCGTCATCATTAACAAGAAGGCCGAGATGAGCAAAAGTAGGAACTTTCCAACCGAACGCTTCATATAAGGCAACGTGCTTGGGCGTGGAGATGAGCCATTCTTCACCACGAATGACGTGGGTGATTTGCATCAAGTGATCGTCAATCACGTTAGCAAAGTGGTACGTTGGATAGCCATCTGACTTGATCAGAACAAAGTCCTCCTCGCCATCCTTCTTTTGAAACGGGCCGTAGATAGCGTCTCGTGTCTTTGGGCGGCCAAACTTATCGCTGCGGAAGCGAACAACATGGGGCTCGCCGTTCGCAGCCCGGCGCTCCGACTCAGCATCATCGACAGAGCGACAGGTACCAGGATAAACTGTTGGCTGGCCAGCTTCGTGAAGCTTCTTCTTCTGTGACTCGAGTTGCTCTGGAGTGCAGAAGCAGCGGTAAGCGTTGCCTTTGTTAATGAGCTCGTTGACGTGTTCTCTGTAGATGGGGAGCCGTTCCGACTGGCGATACGGCCCATGGGGACCACCACAGTCAGGACCTTCGTCCCATTTTAAGCCAGCCCAAGCAAGGTCTTCTAGTAGCCTTTCCTCTGCGTCGTGGACAACACGGTTCTGCATCATATTAGCAGGGGAGCCACAGACTCAGCTTCGTTGGCGACCTACTTGATCGGTGTCTTCAACACGCAGAATGAAAGCGCCGTTTTTGGACGCACGTGCAGCAACGTTATTGAAGAGTGCAGTTCTCAGCGAGCCTAGATGGACATATCCTGTCGGAGATGGTGCGAACCTGGTGCGAATTGGCTGATCGGTGCTCTGGCCAAGGACGATTCGTCCCGCCGCATTGGGAGACGCAGCTGCAGCACTTTGCCCGCGTTTCTTGAGATTTCGCAACGCGCTAAACCCTTTATTCGGCGTTGAATCACTTTTAGATGACCCTTGTGATGAGACAGGAGGATTGGTATGCGTTGAAGGGGCTTTATCATGAGATGAGCAGCGAAGCGTTGGTGTGATGTGTAGGCGTCGGTGCTGGGTGAGAAGCGTCGGTAATTGGATAGGTTTTCTGGCACATTGCGACATCTGCGCTGCGACAAGTCGGCATTGGCACCTATAAGCAGACATGGCGCTATCTGCTGCTGGTGATGTTGCTTTCCCCCTTTCGCAGATGCTGCTTGTGCCAGCTAGCGTAGCTGGCTGTGACTGTCTGATGGCTCTCGCCAACGAAATTTCCCAGGTGGCGCTAACGGTCCCCTAAAAAAATTAGGCCGTCCAGCGGCTGCCACAATGCCTAAGGCCTTCCCCCACAGTAGACCGCGCAGGCCTCTGCCAATGACGACAGCGCAAAAAAAAGTGATGGCAATGAAAACTCGATGTTGGCACAGAAGGCACTTGCATCCAGCCCCGCTAAAGATTTTCTACAGCACGATTTGCCGCTTCTGATTTTTCGCTTCGCAGCTCTTCTGGTCCACGCCGATTTGCTTTCAATATCCTGCTTTGTATTTTTGGAATATAGTTTGGATATAGCTTCTCCCTTTCACCAGCCATCATGGATAGCGGTGCAGCAGAAATCGATCTCTACGGTTTGTCCTGACTCTCTTGCTGCCGATGAGGGGTGAAGTTGCTAATCACGCTTGTTTACAGAGATCCTGTCAATCGAACGAGACGCCTCGCAAGACCAAATCAAGAAGGCATACCGAAAGGTTAGAATCAGCTTGACAAGGCTAATGACGTCCTTTGCTAATAAGCTATCTGCAGGCTGCGCTCAAGTACCACCCCGACAAAGTCCCCGAGGAACAGAGAGAAGAATCCGAAATTAAGTTCAAGGAGGTTAGCCAGGCTTATGAGATCCTATCCAATGAAGAGAAACGACACTTATACGACACACACGGCATGGCTGCCTTCGATGGACGTGGTGGTCCCGGCGGTCCCGAAGTTGACCTCAACGATATCCTCTCGCAGATGTTTGGATTCGGTATGGGCGGACCGGGTGGCCCAGGCGGTCCTGGAGGCCCTCGCAGACCCCAGCGTGGCCCAGATGAAGAACAAGAGTACAAGGTGACGCTTGAGGAGCTCTACCGCGGCAAGACGGTGAAGTTTGCTGCCAACAAGCAGATTCTATGCACCACTTGCAAGGGCTCTGGCGGCAAAGAAAAGGCCAAGGCCACCTCTTGCGAACGCTGTCGAGGAAATGGAATGGTCGAGGCTATCCGTCAGATTGGACCGGGCATGATGCGTCGCGAGACTGTGCTTTGCGACCATTGCCAGGGTGCTGGGCAGGTTTTCAAAGAAAAGGATAGATGCAAGAAGTGCAAAGGCAAGCGCACTACCCAAGAGAAGAAGGTTCTTGAGATTTACATCCCCAGAGGCTCTATGCAGGGTGAGCGTATCGTCCTCGAAGGCGAGGCCGACCAGTACCCCGATCAAATACCTGGCGACATTGTGTTTACCCTAGTTGAGGAACCCAACGACACCTTCAGCCGTCTCGGAAACGATCTCTCTGCCGAGCTCAACATTTCCCTCAGTGAGGCACTCACCGGCTTCAACCGCGTGGTTATAAAACACCTTGACGGACGCGGTATTTCCATCGCGCGACCACAGGGCAAGATCCTGCGACCAGGCCAGTGTATCAAGATTCCCGGGGAGGGTATGCCTATGAAGCGGGGCGATGTCAAGGGAGATCTGTACCTCCTCGTCAACATTGAATTCCCCGAGGATGGCTGGCTGCCTAACGATGCGGCATATGAGGGCTTGAAGAAAACCCTACCACCTCCTGGTCCACCTATTGTAGCCGACGAGGTTGACGAACTTGAGTATGAAGACGATGTCGATATTGACAAGGTTCGTAACTGCTTCTGCTATTGCGGCGTGAATTTAATGACAAAACTAACATACTACAGATGGGTGAGAACTCAGGAGACCCTCGCTTTGGCGGTGAATGGGATGAGGAGGATGTTGAGGACGGTCAGCCCCAATGCGCAGCTCAATAAACGCCGACCCTCCTACACTGAGAGACGAATTGCATATAAAAAGATATCGGATGGCTATTCTGTCGGGATTTCCGGCGATAATAGACGATGGAAACCAGGCGGGCTAGTCGGCCGAAGTAATGAGTGATGAGGATGACACAAAAAGCATAGACCAAGGGGACGAGGAGTATATGAACGGAAGGCGAAGAACGCACCACACTACCTAAATGATGTTATTGTTTTTCTGCTGCTGATTAACTATATTAACTATTGAAATGACCTTGCACACTACTATGTTCTAGCCAAGCACGAGTTTCTTAGCTGATAACCTGGCTTTCCTTGGCACGCATTTCCCTCCACTCGCTCTGTAGAATGCCCATGCCAACATCATCCCAAAACCGCCCATCGTGCCAGAGAGCCTGTCGTTTGCGGCCTTCTTCCTTAAATCCAACTCTCTTATACATCTCTATTGCCCTTAAGTTCCACTCAAACACATTTAACTCGACACGGTTCATGTTGGCGTACTTGAACGCCCAGTCCAGGAGCCATGATACCGTCTCAGCACCGTATCCCTGGCCTTGGTACTCTTCTCCAATTAGAATACCCACCGAGCAACTCCGATGGTGGGTCATATCAAGACCTGTATGCTTCAAGCTCACACGTCCAATGGGAATCAACGTCCTTTGGCCGGCCGGTTCCTCAGAATCCGTGTTAACGACGACCTTATTGATAACGACAAATAAGAATAGCTCCTGGAGATTTGTCACTACTTTGTCGTGATATTTACGATCCATAGGACCTTTCAATTGAGGGGTTCCTTTAATCCATGATTCTGCCTGGCTGTGTATTTGGAAGAGCGCCTCATCGTGTTTGGCGGCGTCGAATGACGTAAATTCAAGGTTCTTGGAACGGTACGGGTGCATTGTGGAGGTCTTTCGTTAGTGAATACTGTAAAATAATTGAATATAATAGCTGTTGGAAAGAAAATAGTAAAGAGGAATATTAATATTAATATTTAATCACAAGTACGCTAGCTCCAGGTGAGTCATAGCATACTGCCGTGGTCTGCAAGGCCACGCACAGCCTGATGCTTCGTCACCCCCACCAAATCTAGACCAAGATCACCGTGCACACGTCACTGCCCCTCCTCATCTGTCATCCGAGCCTCCGTCATCAACGCCCTTCTCCGATCGCGACCACGCAATGTCGAACCGCAAGGGCGTCGGAATCGCTGCCTTTGACCGGTCACGGCTGACGTCTGCCCATTTTGCCTCGCATGGCTCCTCGCTGCGCGCCAACAACGCGCAAGCGCTAGAAACGCAACTGTCCGTCTTCCGATCCCTCTTGCAGCAGTTCGCCCAGACGCACGCCAAAGACATCCGATCCGACCCAGCATTCAGAGCGCAGTTTGCACGCATGTGCACTGCTATAGGTGTTGATCCCCTCGCTTCATCATCCTCGCAAGCAGCAGGCTCTTCGTCAGGGCAGAGCTCCGTCTGGGCTCAGCTGCTGGGGAAATCGGTCAACGACTTCTACTTTGAGCTTGCGGTTCGGGTAGTTGAAGTTTGCGGCGCAACACGCGGCGAAAATGGCGGCTTGATTGGTCTCAAAGAGGTCCGGGACCGCGTCGCGCGTAGCAGAGACATCGCAGTGTCGGGCGACATCACCGAGGATGACGTCCGCCGCGCGGTAGAGACCCTCAAGCCTCTGGCCGGTAGCTACAGCATCGTCACGGTCGGTCGTAAAGAATATGTTCGCAGCGTTCCCCGAGAACTCAGTAACGATCAGGCATCTGTGGTAGAGGCGGTTCAGGTCCTTGGCTATGTGAGTGTCGGCATGCTGCGAGATAACTTGGCCTGGGAGAGGGCACGATGTCGGACCGTCATAGACGATTTGGTGGCTGAGGGCTTGCTTTGGGTCGATAAACAAACAGGAGGCGAATGGGAGTACTGGAGTCCTGGGTATATGGTTGATACTCAGGAGCAATCTGCCGCCGTGGGAACCTGAAAGAAGACTTTGCGACTTGCTACCACAAAACATACCCGGCCATATGACAACACAGTCATGTATGGATCTGGCCCAACGGCTGTTTCGGAGTCATAAATGGTCACAAACTCCGCGTCCATTGTCATACAACCCTACGCTCAAAACTTGTATGATAACAAGGCTACATGAGCTACCTGTGGTCCTTTGCAGCATGGCGCTGAAAATGCGCATTGAAGACTGCTTGTCGATCACCGACGTAGGGAGACACTGATTAGAGATCAAAAATAGATTAAGTCTTCAAAGATAAAACAAAATAAAGTAGATTTATACAAAAGACCATGTGCAAAAGTAAACACGTCATATCCTTCACGCCAAATGAACATGCGACCTAGTGAGCCGCGTCTTGCGCTGGCGTTGCCCTTGCTTGCATCAAAGCAAGGCATACGCAGCATCTATAGCTCAGCCAGCCTTTCATGTAGATACAGATCATATATTTCTCCATCCATATTCCTTCCATACTCCCACACCTCTAATTAAGTGGAGATTAGTAGGGAGGGTTGGGGCCCATTGGGCCGCCCATAGAGGGAGGGTAGTCGTCAGGACGGCCACCGCTCATGCGGCTGTCGCCAAAGTGCTTCTTGCGGAGAGCAGCAAGACGCTTCTTCTTGGCGGCTGTGCTCATATATGTGCCGATAAGGAAGCTGATAATGTTGAAGAATGGTACCCACATGTTCTCGGGGAGGAATTGCTGAGCAAAGGCGAGGGCCAAGGGGGACACGATCCAGGACACACGCATAACTTTCCAGAATGTGACCTTGACCGAGGCACGGACCTGGTGGAAGGTGCGGGCACCAGCAACGAGGGACATGGCAACCAGGTATACACTGTTTTGAATAGGAGCAATCTGAACGGGCATAACATGTAAGCGGATAACCATTGCACACGATGAAGACATTTACTTACGACAAGGTTGCTGAAGATGATCTGCAGAATCTTAGCCTTGAGCGAAGTGCGGCCATGGAAGATCTTCTGCATGAACCAGATGAGAACGTGGCCCATGGGTGCGCTGATCAAAGCGCCATATGCCGCCATCTTAGGGACTCGGCTGGTGAAGTAGTTGCCGTGCTTGTTGCGATCCTTAGCCAGCCAAGAGGCGACAAGCTCCTGAAGGCCTGCCAGCGTACCAGCAGTCAGCATCTTGGTGCGGAGAGGGTTGGACTCGAGCTGCTTAATGTAGGCCTAGAATTCACAGGACGTGTTAATATACAGAGAAATGAGGGGTGGCCGTACGGCTATGCTTTGTGCACTGGCAAACGCGCCGACCATACTGGCATTGGGATTGAAGTTAGGAAGACAAACCGCAAGGTAGCCCTTGGTGCCAGCATTTTCCCTGCCACCAGTCAAGGCAGTGCCGACCTTCTCAGCAAAAGGATGCTTGCCGCTGGTTCCTGGGATGGGAGCATTGGGAGCGACGCGTTGGGCAGCGCCCTGGGCGCCGCCCATGACGTTCTGCGTCGTCTGCTGGAATGTGTCCTGCTGAAACTTGACCGACATAGTGGGGGAACTTGTACTCGAAGGACACTAGAAGAATTCGCTGTCGCAGAAAATAATGGGTTCTAGAAAGGCGAAGAGAGTGCCAAAGTTAGCTATTGTTTCAAGATTCCTAAGGTAGAGGCGTTGATAAATCTGCGTATTGTTGGCAAGTGACAATGCGGCGAATGTTGTTTACAGAAGTCGTCACTGGCAACACCGAGGCAGAGGTGGTAGTAGCTGGGTTTTAAAAAGGGGGGAACCAGCAGGTTAACTCAATAAAAGCACAATACTAACCGGCTATGAACAATTGACGGACAGGAATTGGACGAAAATAGCGAAGCTCCTTTGTTCTCAAGAATGTTGTATTCGGGAAAGGCGGAGAGGGGAGTAGCATGAAGCCGAGGGAAAAAGAGAGACGCGCCTTGGATGCACAGGCATTGACCACGCCATAAACAGCGCCTCTTTAGCGGGCTGTTTCACTGGACACAGCGCCTGAAGGAGCCCGCCGACTCGCGACATGGGGGATGCCGGTGGAGCCCCGATGCTATTGCGTCGCTGTGATTGGATGATGGGCTATTGTTCGCCATAGCAACCGCGATAGGTGCGCTGGGAGGAATACGTAAACAACAATGGGACGTTAGGGAGGGGAGTCCACACCAAACCGAATTGGGTCAAAAATATGTTGCTATATTAGGCGTAAGCTATAGACGGGGACTTGGTTTGGAACACGATGGATCGATACTCAGAAGAGCGGTTGTTAGTTGTGTTGTCTGTATTCAGCGGTACAGATGCAGTTAGGTGAAGCCCGCAATAGACGAATTGCACTAGCTTTAGCAACCATGCGCAACGTAAGAGTATAACTGACAACCTCTCGCTTGAGTGTGTACTGGCGTTGCTATTCCCGGTCTTGTATGTCGTAGTAATTATGCTTCGTAGTACCATCACTCGCCCATTCTTGCTCGTAAGCCCAGGCAAACGGCAGCTGCCTGGCATCTGGCACCTGGCAGATTTCCTTTCACCATCTTCTAGACGCGACGCGTCCTCCCACAGCGAACTGTACGCATCCGTTTGCGACAGTGCTCTTTTTTTTTTTTTTTAAAAAAAAAAAAAAAAGAGCAATTTACTCTACGGAAACACCTTCGCTGGTGTCAATATTATTCTCTCTTTAGCTGGGTGGACGTCATAATGCTGACGCATTCGAGACTGCGAACGGCATACTTGTTCCTTCAATCAATAAAATCAAACGTTAACCCTCTTCGCAACTGATATTCTTCATTTATTATTCTACTTCTGGTATTTCGATGTATCAGATGCACTCTTAGCATCTTCAGTTCAAACGATAACGAAGATCCGTTAGCCAAAAATGGACCGCATGGTGGCAACCCAAATCCCAAAGCAGTCCTTCTTCAAGCCAACATGCACTCATATTACCGCCATTCGAGTCTATGGCGGCGATAGGGTTTACGAAACATGCCGCCAACATGGAGAATTGGGCTGGTTGTACCAGTGTACACAGGATATGGAGGAGCGTGTTAAGACGCAGCTTCTACAACGGTATCCGAAGGGAGCTCCTCTCCAAGCAACGAAAGGGGATCTTGAGACGTTACACTCAGAGCTAAGCTACATATTTGACCTGGAGCATGGCAACCCTCATGACGGACTAAGCCGTGTGGAGAAGTTAACAAACAGAGAGGCATCTCGATACCGGCCGGAGCAATTGGCCAAACTGGTACGGCAACGTCAAGAGGTGGGCGACATATCTTAGCTTTTTCTATTTCACGTTCATTGATAAATTAATATGAAGGCAGGTTGAAGAGGCAATCAAACGACAGCTGAAGAATCGAGAGGGAACAGCTAATCTCCCATTTATGCCAACACCTTGCCGGCACATGGTCTGTCAGCGATGTCGCCCTATGATGAACGGACGCAGCACTATTAGCCTTGATGCGGCGGCTCTCGGGAAAGCTCTCCCTACCGCCGTAATCGCGTGCGGATTTGCATGGCTTGACGGGATGCCTATCATTGACGCCAGCGTTATCAAAGGCTTTCCACACCAGCTCCCGAGGCGAGATGGCACCCTCCAAATGTCGACACCTGCACTATTGCAGCTTTTGGAAAAGGAAATTCAAGAGGGCCAAGCGTCTGGAAGCCCTGTTCAACGCCTTAAGGTACCACTTGAGCAGCAGCTTGGGTGTTTAAAGCATTCTCCGGCATGCGAAAACCTTGCCTCAATTTCCAAAATACAACAACAGCTGCACAGTTCCTACCCGGTCGCAGGAGGAGGTCTGGTTTCCAAGCCAATAGAGGCCAAGGACTCTCTTATGGAAGTCGAGAGTGCTGCAAAACGACGCAATCAGCCTGTGTGGTCGACAGTGATGTCGAAGCAACTGAAGGCAGTGTCCATGGATCAGTCCAACCAGGGTAACACTACGCACCTGAGAGACATTATTACACATGTATGATGGGGCAGGCTACTTTTTGAGTTATTTGTTTTGTTTTACTACAGAAGGGGCATCCACCAGCCCTCAAGAATTGTATAAGCGCCACGTATCACATTAGTGCAATGACAATCCATTATACCAGTGCGCGGTGCTAGTCCATAACAACAGGCTTTGTGAAATCTTCATGTTTTTGAATTTCCCCCTACCCATGGCTTGGGCCGACCCTTATTAGCCACGGAACCAGCGGCCCACCATGTTGCTAGCAATGCTGCCCGCCAGGCTGGTCGTACCGAGAGCCGAACCAGCGAGGTTCGAAGCCTGGCTGAACTTGTCGCATCTAGAAAAAGCAAGGGTATTCATAATCGTTAGAGCCAAGGCAATGACTGTTCAGATCGAAGTTAGCACATAGTCACAGAGAGTACGGCATGCACATGAAGCGGTGCATGCCTGTGAACCACTTACAAACCAGCGGCAACCAGAGAACATTGAGGCGCGCAATCGCCAGAATGGCCATGGCCACCCACAGCGCTGGCTGGACATACATTGCCAGCCAGAAGAAGCGACTATCGGTGGCATTGATGACCTTTATTCCGGGCTCGCTGCTCTCAAACACCCATTTCGAGTCTCCCGTGGCGGGATCTACTTCGTTCCACCAGCGCAAACCAACAAGACGGCGGCCAGCAATGTTCTTGAGGTAGTAGAAGTCGGCGGCTAGAAGGAGTATCGTAATGATGAAGATCATGGTCCTGCGCAAAGAGAAAGATGTTAGCTACAAACTAACGGTACCTGGCGCGCATTGGTGACGCACATGCTAGAAGTAACCCAGAGGCCAAAGAAGTAGACGGCGATGCTTGCTATTAAGTTTAATACGTTAGTGATTGTCATGGTACAGCCATAGCTGGTATTGGCTCTGTCAAAGGGCTTCCGGCTACGCGCGGACGACTAACATATTCTGAAGGCCAGAAAGGTAAGAAGTGTGATGGGATGCGAGCTAAGTTTCCAGCTCAGCGAGCCGGGAAGTGGCTGCTGGGCTTCTAGCTGGGCAGCGTCCATTATTTTGGAGTATAGATCGCGTTTTGTATTGCGGATGGCCCGGGTTAGATCAAGACAGAGTGGTCGTGTTCGCGACGTTCGCCTCCCCCTTTCATCAATCGTACGTGCGCGCGCTGTCGGTTGGCTCAAAAGCTAGGACAACTGCAACAAAGGGGCGTCTTGTATAGGCAGCAGCGGGATTGAATCGAATTCTAGCTTGCAGTGGTCGTCGCGATGTCGATAGAGGGCAGTGTCGTGGGGTGGATGCGCAATTGGCGGTTGCTGGCAAGTCGTCGTAATTATCTACGTGGAAGCAACTCTGGTCGCAACGGCTGTGGCTTTGGCGTGGCTCGTGCTGTGTGGCGCGCTGTAACGCGCTAACCTGAATGGGCGCTGGCGCGGGGACCTCTACAGTGCCCTGTAGCTCCAGCTGGGGCTCGCTGAGCGACGTCACTGGGCACTGTATATAGCCTACTTGGTCCTTGAGCTACCTCTGTTCTCTGACCCTCCATCAGCATCGCGCGATTCTGACTTGGCCCTCTCCGAATATCGAATAGAATACTCCCTCTTTTTCTTTTTACGTCTGTGTACCCGCCATATCACCAATTCGCCCATAATGACTGCCAGATCCGCGTCGATTCTTCGTCGCTCTCTGCTTTATGGTATGTAACCACTCACAAATACGCAGCAAATAACACTAACAGCCAATCCACAAAGTCCCTGCGTCATCGCAGAAGATGCTCACAAAGTCGCTGTCTCTCACATCTGATAACATAACATACGACCTAGAAGACTCGGTCACGCCTACAGCCAAACCCTCCGCGCGCCAGCACCTCAAAAACCACCTTTCGTCATTGACATCACACCCACCATCCATTTCAGAGCTAGCAATACGCATAAACGCTGTATCGACGCCTTTTGCTCTACAAGATCTCACAAATCTATGTACTAGCGACATGGTTGATGCGGTCGTTGTACCTAAAGTCGAATCGGCAGCAGACCTCTCCTTCGTTACGGATGTTATTCGACACGTAGCGCCTCAACGCCACGTTAACGACAGTCAAAATCCAATCAAAATCATTGCTTTAATCGAAAGTGCTCGCGCAGTCATGGATCTCTCCGCTATTTGCCAAGCTTCTCCGTACCTAAGCGGACTCATATTTGCAGCTGAAGATTTCGCCCTCGACCTCTCCATCACCCGCACGCCATCTCTTACCGAGTTTCTATACGCTCGTTCCGCCATTGTTACTGCTGCTCGCGCATTCGGTCTACCAAGCGCCATTGACTTGGTTTGTACGTCCTTCCGCGGTGAAGAAGGCCTCCAGGCCCTTCGACAGGAATGTGAAGGCGGCAAGGCCATGGGTTTCAACGGCAAGCAGTGCATTCATCCATCACAAGTGGAGGTAGTGCAAAGATTGTATGCTCCTACAGAATATGAAGTAGAATGGGCTGTCCGTGTTGTCATTGCGGATGAGAAGGCGGCTGCGGCTGGTCGCGGAGCATGGACACTGGATGGCAAGATGATTGACGCACCAGTCAGTGGCAAAGCTAAAGCCATAGTTGCCAAAGCTGAACAATGTAGAATGGATGTTAAGTCACTCCAAAGCAAGTGGAAAGACCAGGAACCAGAGTAGAAGGCGAATTTGGAAGATATTCCTAGTTATCATCATGCTACCCAAATCGTACTATGCAAGGTAATTACGTCTCCAAAAGTTGTCCAGGCCTTCATTGCGTACGAGAGCCGAGGGCTCTAATCTAGAATGCCTTGAAGTGCAATACAATCTATGGGTCTCTTGATTATGTCCCAAAGTACCAAATCTAGCTTCCATGAATCGCCAATCGTCATCTGTGCTGAGGTCTTGTAGTATCTGTTGATCGACGCTTGCTACAGAAGCCAGTGGCCCATATTGAATGCTCTGCACTCTTGAATTGTATACCTTGGGGAAGTGAGTTTTCTTTGTCGCCAATTGACTTTCTGCTGCGGATAGCCCGCGTAAGAGATGTGTATTCCTTTCCGAGTGGTCAGACGTCTCCGGAACACAGCTCGCATCAAATTTGAAATCAGAACGCCGTTCAATTTGCATCAATACCTCCCATGAACGGGCAACGCTTTGAGGGTGGGATGTGGTCAAGTCTTTTGGAATGCGTCTGTCAGTCGGACGCTCCAACGAACAACGTCTCTTCGCATTTTCAGCCATGTTTCCAACCATAGGGGATATTCTAGCAGTATTTGGAAATTCGGGTGTACATCTTGCCCTGCCTTGAACAATATCATTTAGTTTATCTTTCCTCTGTTTCCATCTTCGTTCTTGTTTATTACGGCTTGCCTTATTTGGCGAATCTTGTGCCTTATGGATGCCGTTTGGCGTAGCATCAAGTATTTTATGCTGCTTAACGATCACTTCTAAAAAGGGCTCGTCACTTTTAGACAACTGGTGGTTGACAAAAGCAAGCGACGAACGTATAAAGGGGGGCCGTTCTAAGTTTGGCTTCATCTAAGCGTCGATCAGACACCGACACCGACATGTTTCTTTCTCTTACGTACTGCCAGTCTGTTGCTTCTAATACCGGATGGCACGAAATTATCCACCACCTTCTTATACAGCTTTGTTCGCCTCTGTTGCTCCCTGTAGCGGTCGTTTCGCGACGGGTACAAAGGTTCATCATGACGCTTGTCGGTGTCGTAGCGGTTAGGTCGGGTCTTCTTACGTTTTGCCTTTTCGAATTTCGAGTTTCCATAATCGTTTATATGCCTTGAGTTTAATATCGGTAGGCTCTCAGCTGCAGTTGATTGTGGTTCGTCTGGCTGCAACGACAAATGCTGAGGACGGGAAACCGGGGGGGCATGATCATACGGTAGATCATGCGCTCCATTCAAATCACTACCTGTTGCTAATTTTCCTAATCCGAACGGCTCCAGTGTACATTTCGAACTCTCCCGGTTGTGCACATGATCAATATGAGTGTTTTGTAGACTGTCTCGGTCGCAAATACCTTGCTGCTTTGTTTCGTAAACTCCGTGGTCCGCTGTCGCGAGCCACTGATCCATGAACCACTGCTTGCTAACACCTCCAGGCGAATTTAATGACAGCATGGTCAGCGGACCCCTAACTTATCCTAGGTAGCGTGATGAGTGCTCTAATGTTCCGGCCCGAGACGTCGTAAAAATGAGCCTTCGTTCTCTCAACGCTACGCAACAGCATCGACAGTAGGACAAGCTGATTTTCGATACCGAAGAAACGTTCTTTGAATGGTCGAAATTGGTAATGCTGACTGTTTACTAAGGATCAATAAGCTGCCAAGAGCAGCAGTAGTCTTTCCTCCCCGCATTAGCCCGGGAATTGAATTAAGAAGGAGCACTGCGTTTAAGTAGGACGCTAATGGGACGATACCACTTGCTTCTTCGGGTATTTTGATCCGATCAGGATAGCCTCGTAAACGAATGACGACAGGTACAAGTCACTTGTACTTGGCCAGGGTTGGTGCCCTCGCCGCCTGGTGATTGGCATGCTCTCCGCCATCCCCCGCCACCCAACACATGAATGGCATGTGCAGGGCGTTGATCTCTAGAATTGTTGGACCGTTTTGGCGCAGGCCCCATGTCCCTGCTAAATTGGTTCTAGATACGAAGCAGCGGGCGGCAGAGAGGCGATGGCCGACGACATCGTAGTCAACGTGTCTTGTATCGAAGACGGCAGTTACAAGTCTCATAGCATCAGAAAGCGCCAGATCGCGGATGCAATCTACAAGTGTCACAGTGCTTCGCCTCCTGATGTTGTCTCATATCGCCAGACACTGTAGGCAATAAAAGCTGTTTTATCCTGGCACAAGAGTCGGCGAGAGACTTGTGTTTCGCATTTGTAAACCAACTCCCATGTTCTACAAAATCTGAAGATATTCGGCTCTCAATCCCCATGCTTACTTTACACAACGCCTTTTGGCAGTGTTGCTGAGTTTTAAACGGTGGTGGTGAGCTATTTGAACTCTCATTGTTGTCTATGAAGCCAACTGGGGCGGTAAGGCCGTCCCAGTCGGATCTGGAAACATTGTTCAGTTTACTTACTCCCTTGGCAACGGCTAGATATCTGCCGGCTTTATAAAAACGACAAGAAGAGAGACGGCGCAGAAAAGAATCACGAGATTCACGTTCTACTGAGTATCTAAATTAGTCAACAGCATCAGAACTCGAGAGACCCGGCTTTGGAGTACCGTTCTGTGTGCAAAACACCAGCCCCCAAGTGCGTTTGTTCGGGCATGCATCAGCCGAAGAAGGGCGGCGGCGCCGTTACAAGCAGTGTAATTAGCGCATGGGCTAAACTGGATAATTGAGGGTCGCAGTGTCGATCCCCTGCAAGAACTAATAGTACCATTGCGCTTGCGAGGAACCAGTGGATAGCATGGCGTTCCCCCAATCCACGGTTAGTGGCACCCTGTTCCACTCTGGCGGTGCCGCTACCAAAGCTGGTGGTGCATTATTTAGCTCCAAAGCAGCGGGAGGATGCTACCAACCTGCGCTTTTCCGGTCGTTTTGCGGGACAAGCGAAGGCGCTAGGAACCTGCCCGTGACTTCCAAAGATAAGGCAGCGGAGAGCAGACATGCGAGGCCCAGTGTTGCGCGCGCCGTCGTTTTCCAGAGTCCAAGGATAAGCCGAGCGCGCCAGATGATGCGAGGCTTGGGCTCGTTGACATCGTCGCCCAGCCGCCCCTCCACACAACCTGCAGCTTGCAGCTGTGCGTCTGCAAATCCACAACCAAACGGTCTGTCGGGGCCTGTGGCGACATGGTTGCAGGCTGCATATGTGCCGTCTGACCCTCTGTGAGATTTTGTCTGCTTGGTCTTGAGCAATGTGGCAACGCAAGCCGGCAACCTCAAGCGCCGCATCGTCGAGCTGGGACCGAGCATCCATCGCGCTAACCCCCATAGAGCCACTAGAGCAACTCGAGTTAGCCACTGTTAGCGTTGCAAGACGCTGCCCAACAAACCGAGCAGGCGGACAAGCCCCCCAAGCCCTGTTGGCTCAGAGCGGCACCTGCAGCCGCAGCTTCGTAGCTCGGTACCCAGTAGGAGCCCTGCCGGACCTTCGATCAGACTTGATGGAGTGGCTCCAACGTTAGCGCAAAGTACTTGCGACCTAGTCAAACTAGGCCAGCTAACCTTGCAACTTTGCCCCTCCCTGAGTTGCCGTTGTTCTCCTGTTTTCTGGCCGCTAATGCTGACGCTGTTGGTCCATTGGGAGTAGTATTTAGTCCTTCCTCTTCCAATTTTAATTGCCTTCCGTCGGAAGGCCCCTATCTGCAACTCATGAGTTGCCAAAGCGCTTAGCCCGGCTGTTACTCTAGACTCAACTAGAACCAAGACAGGCAGGTCTGTGTTTTTTTTAGTTTTGGGGAGCATCGAAAACACGAGGTTTGACTTAAGTCCGTAAAACAGTGGCGGATCTCTTGTCTCTTATTGCTCCGCGTGCTGCTAAGGCCAACTGAACTAGACCCTTTCTATACCTCTATCCTCATTCGGTGTGCGGGCTCGTCGTTAAAAAGAGGGAACAAGTACATGGTACACTGCCCTTGTCCCTCTTCCCCTGTTAAGTTCCCAAATCGATTTAGACGAAACCCTTCCCTGTAAAATAACCTGCCACTTGTTGGAGAGCCTATCCCACCAAATCTTTCCCCTCTACACCACAACCGGCAAGCTCTCTACTTTTGCTGGTCCTCGTGTTTCGGCATTTTCCCTCGTCGGATTTCTAATCTCTTTTTACGCCATTTCTTCCGATTTGCGCACGTGCATTCCCAGTCGTTCCCATGGCGAAGCTTTTCATCGGGTTTGTCCCCATTGTCGTCCGGTCGCTGTCCATACCCCGCTAACTAGCTTTGAGTGGCCTCGCATGGCACACAGAGGAAGCCACCTTGCGACAGAAGTTTGAAGAGTTTGGTGAAATTGAGGAAGCGGTAAGCCAGCCTCGTAGCCCATCCTGGTTTCATTCACCGGCTCTAAGAGGCAATATCGCCGTCAGTTGGCGAAATCTGTTGCGCAAAATTGCTAACCTTCTCGCCAGGTGGTCGTCAAGGATCGCGACACTGGTCGCAGCCGGGGTTTCGGGTTCGTTCGCTATACACAAGAGGCTGACGCTCAAAGCGCCATTGCTGCCATGAATAACGTAGAGTATGCCTCCACCTAGCCACAAAATCAGCTTTTGTTGCGCGACATGTCTAATAGGCTGCAGATTTGACGGGCGAACGATTCGTGTCGACAAGGCCTCTGACAACGGGCCCCGTGGTGGCTTCGGTGGTGGTCGCGGTGGTTTCGGCGGTGGCCGGGGCGGCTACGGAGGTCCTATGCCATATGGCGGGCCTATGCCAGGATATCAAATGCCTCCGCCCAATATGTATGCGCCGGTTGCATACGGTCGAGGATACCCGCCTCAGGGATATGCCCCTGGACCTGCTGGTATGTTTTCTGACAGTAACCGGGGGCTTTACCAGCTGACAACTCTCAGACCAAGGCTACGGAGGCCCTCAGTACGGATATGCTGATCCCAACCAGCAACCTCAGCCTCAGCAGCCCCCTCAGCAGCCCCCTCAGCAAGGTGGACGAGGCTACTAATGATATGACGGCAGCAATATCCAAAACGCTTTTCGTAAATGAAGCGACGGCAGGCAAAATACCCTTCTTTTTCGTGCTTATGTTTCAATAGCATCAGTGACGTACGTAGCAGGCTACGATTTGGAAAATGAGTTTCGTCAACTGTGGTAGCTGATGGTTGCGCATGCCGAGGGCTGGTTCGAACAGGATAGACTGTATTCTGGCGCCAGAGGCGTTGGCGGGAGGCTTTTTGTCGATGGCTTTGTTGTGGTTTGATTTTGTCATCTTGGCAGGTTTTTATAATACTCTTTGAATTGTCAAATCTTGTTCGTTTATTCCAGAGACATGGGGAGCTGTGCCATAAAAGTAACATCACATGTGTGTGTATTGGCGAATCAATAAGCTTCACTGCAACGTGATTTTCTTTCCACTAGGGACAAATAACCTAGAGGTCCTGGTTAAATGTTGATGAATAGCAATTCAGCACATGAGGGCGTTTCTGCGTTATGCTGAGGCGTCCAATGCTCTGACTCGGTTTGCAAGATCTGTAATGTGTTCGTCTGTACTTTCGGTCGATAACTCATCAAGAGCCCGGTCAAGACCAAGGAGGTAATCTTTATTTAACCCACTAGGTCCTTTGCTCGCATGGATATGACGAGCGAGCTGATCAGGTTCCTGGGGCCCCACGAATTGGGCATTGTCGGGGGTTCCAATGTAGACCAGCGTTTTAAACGCCTGGGAGCCATCTGCCGGTTGAAACGGTGTGAAATGTATAGAGTAACCATTGATTTCGCGAATATCAAGGTATTCTTTGACTTCGGCGACACGCTCGGGCAAGATTCGATATGCAACACCCCAGACCTTGGAAGGTGCGGAGTGATATGTATCATCCAACGATTCCCAGTAAGGCCGCTCTATCAAGGTGACAACGCGCCCAGGCGCCTCAGGGGTTCCTCTATGATCCTCACTAGACACTTCATGGTAAGTAATTCGAAGTCTGAATCAAAGTTTGCTGTAGGGCTGGTTACCTGGCCTGGAGACTGTTAGCGCACAAAACGGCAGATGTCACTAAGAGGGGGGAGTCAGACCTGCCAAAACCGACGCACATAACCTGTGACATATCCAGGGATTCTTCTGTCTGTGAGATTTTTTAAAACGGCCACGGTCAGTCATTCGTCTTTCACTGATTGTAGCACGAGGCCAAGGTTGCCGATTAGCAGTTAGCGGGACGGGGCTTCGGGGCAAATACCAAAGTGAGGTGGTGGCTTCCAAATCAGACTTCTGCCACGTATATTAGAAAATTTCGGTCTTTAAATAATATCTGATAGTACAGATAACCTGGGTGGTGCGTACCCGTAGCCATACAGCCAAAATTCAGAAACGGGTTGGTCCGAATCATCCATTTCTGCAGCTTCTTGTTGCCAGCCTATGGTTGTAAAGACGATGGAGAGAGCGGCAAGATTCGATCTGGGTGAAGTGGCGACGTTCGAGCCGGCTCAAAGCTATGAGGTTGTCTATGGCAAAGGGCACGATGAGCGGCGGACAAAATAACCGTCTGAACAAAGAAGGGTGTTGTTTGGTTTAAGGGATAGAGTCCAACCAGCAACTCAGACGAGCAATCGACTCGCCCGCTGACTAAATTACTCGTAAGAAACAGAAGCGGAGCCTCTCGCTGGATTTTTGCGGGCTCTGACAGGGCTAAATGGAGCCCGAGTTTGAAGATGGCAGTCCCGCTCGCCGAGACGGGCCTCCCTTAGCGTTGCCACTGCAGCGGTGGTGTCTAGTCTAGGTGGCCTACCAAGGTAGATTTGTGTGTCTGTGATAGCCGCTTGATCTGGCTCAATTGCGTGGTGTTTGCAAGGCTACAGACGGGATGGCTGCGCCAATGCAGCGGGTGCGGCGTATATCTAAACAATAGGGTTGGGCGTGGAACGCTATGGAGTTATCTCGGCATTGAATAGTTCGGGTCGTCTTCAATCTCACCCGTGGCTGCATATTCCTAGGTTAGTATAATTGCAACCCTCGATCCGGCGCCAGCCTTGGATGGGAGTCTGGTGTTTCCGGTAAACTTGCCATCAGAGCTTTGACCTTGCCCGCCACCAAAACGTGACACTAGGCCAGGTCGTTGTTAATAGACCGGCTGTCACGAGGCGGCAGCTTGAACTGGTGGCTCTGACAAAGAGACTCTGGTGCTGTGCTAGGCTAGGCACTGCTATGTTGCTGCTCATTGCAGGACGTCAGCGAAAGCTACACGGAACCTGACTGGGTAAAAAAAACAATAGGAAAAGAATACAGCTTAATCCAGCACCTATGATAAAACAAAACATTATTCCAACAACTATTCACACGTCACCAGGGGGGCCGTTGTTGCCGATGCCGCGTAAGAATAAGCGGACGAGCCCCGCCATCCGTGACCAGCCTTGGCGCTCAGGACAACACTTCAGCCTCAGCATCACAAATTTTGTCTCCTTTTCCTTCGTTTCTGGTCCCGATTCAGACATCTATCCGCTTCCGACCTGATAATAGCCTTTATTATTTGTCTCTGGAATCCCGCAAGATGGCATACAATCGCCCATATGACGAAGATGCCCTGCCTAGGTATGTCCTCTCTACCCCTCTATGACGTACCATTCTCTCAGGGGGATTGCGAGACGAGTTTATTTTAGAGCTTTGGTCTGACACATTATATGATTTCTAGGTTTGCAGAACCGAATGAGGTACGGTATACCCCTCTTTATTCATCCAGCTAATACACGACACCAAAGCGCTGACATTGTCTAACTGTAGAAGCCCGGAGCTGCGCCGCCACCTCCTCAACAGCGCTACGAGAACAAACCACCACCGCCTCTTCCTCAAAATCAATACTCGTCGCGACCTCCGCAGCAAACTCAATATCGTCCTCAGCAACAGCAACAGCCGCCGCATCCACAGCAACAAAATCAAGCTCCGCCTCGGCATCAGCCATCCCCAGCATACCATCAACAGCCCCCATCCCAGTCTCCTCGCCCGACCTATCAAAATGCTCCTCCTCCGGGAAGCTCCTCGCAACGCCCACCAGCTCAGAGTCGCCCGGTGCCTGCTTCACGCCCCCCTGCATCGCCAGTTGTAGAATCAACCGAGGGGACGGATCCCACCTTGCTTCCTCTATTCAGGGCAGTGGACAAAGCTGGCACTGGGCAGCTCTCTGAGAAGGAGCTTTCTGCCGCTCTCGTAAATGGTGACTGGACAGCGTTTGATGTGCAGACTGTACGCATGATGATTCGAATGTTTGATTCCGACCGTAACGGCACAATTGGATTTGACGAGTTTTGCGGACTGTGGTCCTTCTTGGCATCCTGGCGAACTCTCTTTGACCGCTTTGACGTTGACAAAAGTGGCAATATTTGTCTCAGCGAGTTTACAGATGCCTTGATTGCATTTCGTTACCGCCTAAGTCCGCAGTTTGTCGAGCTCCTCTTTCGCACATACGACAAGCGAAATGAAGGCGTAATGAGTTTCGATCTCTTTGTACAGGCATGCATCTCCCTCAAGCGTATGACAGATGTCTTTAAGAAATACGACGATGACCGGGATGGGTTCATCACTTTAAGCTTCGAGGACTTTTTGAGCGAAATCCTAAAACAAATGAAATAAAGGGGTTTACACACCAGTTGGATTGAACATTATGTTGCCCAACTCAGGGTTGAAAACTAATGAATAATGAAAAGGCAATATCAAGCTAGTTGAATTCACGTTATAGACTGATCGAAATCTAATATTACTATTCTAAAGTATGTATAAGTTACCCATTATGTATCATTGAGTGCAGTGTCCGCAACAAGACACCTACTATTGATGTAATTCACAAGCAGGCCACCCAGTCCAAATACTCTATACGTATAAGCTTTAACCGTTTATTTTTAATAGACCTCTAAAAGTTTGTATATAATTTACAAGATACTAGATTAACTATTGCTTCATGTTTAAACTATATAGAGAATTAAACTGGAGTTTATAAGAAGAATAAAATAGATTGAAAACAGGCGGCTTGTGAATTAGGTCATCTACTACTCCCAGGTCTGCAAAACGAACTTGTGAAAAGGAAAGGAAAAAATATACAACAGAATGATATAATCACATAATCAACAAGGTCCGGGAAGCCATTCGAAAGAGCTCTGTGGTGTCGGATAGAAACCCTGCGGTAGAGGCGGTACGGGAGGCACCTCGTCTTCATCCCAGCTTTCACTGCCTGATTCCTCCAACTCACATACACCTTCACTAGTCAATGTAACTGACTCTCCGCTGCGTAAAAGCAATGCTTCTGTTGGCTTAACTGATGTTGTAGATCTTGTGCGGAAACCAGGCGAATGTGAGCGACGATGGTGATGAGTATCTGATAGACCACTTGCTGAGTCTACCATATCCTTGACGTCATCCACATCGTATTTAGTTCGCCGAGGAGATTTAAAGTCCCCAAAAAAGCCTCGCGTAAACTTGTTGCCATCATGGGTGCTGATGCAAGCTCTGGCGCCCAATGTTGAAGCGGTTTGCTGGGCTGTCGACATACCTTTACTTGGGGTATTGCGACTCCACCATGGATAGGTAACACTGTCAAAACAGTGAAGAAGTGCTGTGAGTGGGAGCACTGCCTGTGCCAGCAAATGTGAGGTTGCGTATGGCTCAACTGCGCTATACGGGATGCCATGTGGTGAAAAGATGACAGAAACGCCACGATCAGGCGCAGTAGTGTCCAAATTGACAATGGAGCGAGAAGCGCGGAGGTTTCCCATGCTGACCGAACTTGGAAGCGCGGGAAGACAGACACTGCGTTGCCTAGAATGAGGTCGCTTGCGCCTGGTAGATAGATCAGAGGCTGAACGAGAAAGCGTCGATCTGGGGAGAGACGATGATCGAGGGGCCCATAGGGATGTTGCCGTCGGGGAGATTGGAGAATCGGAGTCGGCAAACGATATTACGGACCTCCTCCGGCTATCATAGCATTTGGGCGGCAAATATGTAATACCAATAGCGGCCTCTTTCTTGTGTACCAATAAAGCAACAGTTACTTCGCCACAAGCGCCGCCCATGATTGGCGATGGCACCGGGATTCTCAAAATATTGTCGCCTTTAGTTTTCTTCTGAGCCATAAATCGACTCTGCCAAGGCTCCATCGTTCGTATAATGCGAGGATCAAAATGGTTCCAGCTCAATATTCGCTTAGTAACTTGGGCGTCGCCGAGGATCATCATCTTGGAGCTACGGCGAGGCAGGGTCTTGAGCGTCTGTTCGTTGCAGTGGTCATCTTCTTTGCTGCTAATGATGATGAGGTCTGGCTCGGGGATGTCGAGGATAGAATTTATGCATAGCCCTTGGTGATTTGTCCTGACAGACTTCTTGGCCGGAGTGATCCACGGGTCTAGAAGGATGCGGAAAGGGCGCGGAGGTTGTGTGCCTGGGACAGATTCCGGTTGAATGGGCTCCAGAGTCAGCAGAAACGCCGAGTCTGAGCTCAGCTGCTTGATTGTCAGCGCCATGGGCCCGATTATTGCTCACTGACTACAGCCGTTGAAGATGTTGGGTGGTAAGGGTTTGGACCGATCTGGAAGGGGACAAGTGGTACTTCATATCACCTTGCGCCAAGATCAGGCTCGTCTCTAGGTGGCAACGTCAATGATAAGAGGGATTCAAGACACTCGAGCTGTCACACAAGCTTAGCGTTCCAGAGATTCGGCAACTAGCGTACCGCATGGGCTTGGGGACAATGATGTGCTTGCACTGGTCGAACGTCCCCGGTGCCGAGTAACCTATTTCGGAGACGAAGCATGCGATCATAGCTCTTGGTGCCCAATCTGAAACAATTTCACAGTCGGTCATTGGCTGGACCATGACTACAGGGCTGTATGCTTGGTGGCTAAGATTATTCATTCCAGCAAGGATCATGGTCGAGACGAAATGGGTGTGCCGCCCGATTCCTCATGGTCGCTGGGAGAACAAGACCCAACTTCGCGGGCCCGGTATCATTAAGATTATATTATTCTTATTGTCTTTGCTACGAGACTCACGGTATCCTCTGCCAGTGCTCTCGAAGATGGAATTGGTTGTAAATTAGTGTCAACCAAGGGTATCCTTTGTGTCAACAATTAGCCAGCTACACTCATCCGCGAGACAGTCATATCCCGAACAATGGGCTGCACATCGGTTCATACCTGCTTCGCGTCTCTACACTTTAAAAGAGGCAAGGTTGTGTTGGCACATATCATGGTAAACTCTAGGAAGAAACGCGTCGTCACGAGATCATTCGGTCAGCATGGCGCATGGCGGTGCAGTTTACCACTAAATATGTGAAAGTGTGGTTAAATTAATGAACGTTCGCAGGACCATCACGCGTTTCTTAGCATTCATGTGATGATTCTATTGTCAAAAGTCCATGGGAACAAGGATGCCCTTTGTTTTGACGTTGGGAATGGCATTGACTCGGGTGGGGCCTTGCATCAACAACAAAGCTACCCGGCATTTACAACGGATGTGTTACCCGAACAAAGAAAATCACTTTGAGAGAAAGGATAAGTATTAGTGTCAAATATTTCGCTTTGTTTTCAAAAATTACGAGTATTGTTAAAATATTTTGAGGAATGGTAAGCAAATATGCTCGTCACGTCCAAGCAGAGGCGCTGGCTGTGTCTTTGCCTCGAGTTACAACCTACAGCTGCCCGATGACCTCCCAGTAAACCTTTACACGGGCAGGACAAACTCAACTGCACCGGCCACTCCGATACTCGGGGCCAAGTTTTTTCTCTTAAATTTTAGTTTTTGCTACTTCCAAGTTAAGTATCGAGTCCAGAGCTAGTTTCTCTTCGTCGGCCGGAAATGGCAGCCCTGCCGAGTGCTGACGGCTCATTTGTTGGCCAAGGTGGACAGTCAGCCCCGCCACGAGGCCAAAAGCGGCAACACCCACAAAGAGCTCGAAGCTATCGATAAAGATACCAACGACTTTGACAGGGACTGTGATAAGCCAAGCAGTAACAGCAGCAGCTTGCATACGATGGAGAATGCCCAAAGGACGATTGTGTAGAGATCGGATCCGACGGCAATGCGGCCTTGAGCTACTGCTTTTTTCAACCTTAATACATAATGTTTGGCGTCGATTTTTAAATTGCTGTTCTAGCCGAGCACGTCTTCCTGCACAGTGTGACCGCCTTTTCACAAACAACGCAGACGGCACTGGTAGCCCTTCCTACTGTCGAATACATAAACACAGTGTAATACGCTCTGCAGATGCCAGTTGGAAATGTCAATTTGAGCGTTAGGTGCGAAGGCGCCCCAAGCCCACCCCACTGGGGCCCAAGCAGCAACCACTTGTTGCGCCAGGGCTCCACTGGACGAGCTGTCACTGTGATCTTGTGTTGCTGCGCAGGGCCACCGTTTCAACCACGCTAGGGAATACACGATAATAATACTGGACAAAATTGCATAGGTATAACCGGATTCATAGTGATCTGATGTTATGTATATCAATAGCAAATTTCTTTTGCTATTGAGCGAATGTCTGTGAGCCAGAGCCAAGGACGATGTCGTGCCCGTTGTTGTGTACCACCCCACTCTCAGTTGGCTGTTTGGTGGACACAGTGCTTAAACAAGCCTGTATTTGTATTTTTCCAGTGCTTGACTCAATGCTCGTGCCACCAAAAACAGTTGTACACTTTTTGACACCGGCCACACCGATAGAGTCGAGTCAGGATGATATCTTCCCGATTGAATGATGTCTTTCGCGAAAGTGTAATCTCTCATAGTCTAACCGGTTTTTCACTTTTTATTTTCAGCGTTGCATAGTACTAAGCATCGCCAAAGTGCAATTGGTTATTGGTAGGGCCAGCTGACGGTAGTACACTCTGGCGCGAGTCCAGGCAAGTAACGAGAATGACGCTATTGGCTGGCTGGCACCGGACAGCTGGTTAGCCGGAGGGAGGTGAGCTTCTGCAACAAATGGTGTAGCGTGTAGGATCTCTTCTTTGCTTTTCGCCGGTTTTCGCGCCTTTGAATTATTTGAGTTAGCTCCCAAGAGATCTAAGCTTCTAGCTGGCCACCTTAGATTGTATCTGTAGATCAGCATACAGCATCCGAACTCAATATCGAATCCAATGGATGGCTGTCAATACCACGTCCCTGCCTCGCCAGGCCAAGCAAGGGCAGGAAGACGAAGAAGAAAAAAAATGTTCCTTTTGTCTTCGATTAGTTTTGCCACCCGCACTGTGGCTGTACTACACACGCCCCCCACAGGGCACAACGAAGGCGGAATCCACCGAGCGACCTTCGCTCCAGGTGCTGCACCACACCAGCAGCTGCCAGCACGCAAGGGCACCTAAGCCGGAAGGTTTACCCAAGATTCATATGTACACTTCTACAGTTTTGAATTAATGGGTTGTATTTCAAGGGAAGCCATCCTTAATTCCAACCGCATATGGTGTTTATTTTATGATACACTCGGGGTCGCTCAGTGGCCAGGAGTGACAAGCGGCGCGAGATAACTAGCTGTCAGCAGCCAAAAAAATAAACTAAAAAAAAAGTGATGTAGCTAGCTACTGCTACCAACCTGTAACCGGAGCAGTAGCAGAATCTCGCACACCCCTCCCCCGTAATCTAGAGCGCTTCCAGCGGGCTCATACCTCTGTAATCCAGTGGTTTAGTGGGCGGCTGGCTCTGACAGGGCGTCCAATAGAGCCAAGCACTGTGCTGGACATGGTGCTCCGCTTCAGCTTGCCGGAAGCGTTTATTCGGTGACGCTCCGCAGCGCCAGCCAACGAGAAGCGCTGGATGCTGGACTGCTGACCTCTGTTTCGCGGGCGCCGCTGAGCTGTCATTGGTGCTCCCGGCTCACTGTGTAGTCCTTCTTGTAGCCAATGCGAGCACCGCACTGTACACTGTATTGCAGCCAAGCCCCCCCGAAGGCCAGGCACTTCTAGTTGGTCCAACAGCTGGTGCACTGTGCTGACCAAAGTACCTTTTGCCTAGCTAAACATGACTCCTGCCCTGCGCTGCAAGCTTTCACGACCCCCCACACACCCTCTGAGCGCCGCCGCTGCTGTTCTGGCACCAAGCTTTTTTTTCTGTCGCCCTCTTGACTTTTTTCTCTCTCACAGCTTCAAGCCCAGATTTTTTTTTATCCTTTCTTCATCTTTTCTTCGTCCTTCCCATTAACTCTTCTCTCATTGTTTCTTTCGATCTTTTGCTTTTTAACCACCTTCATCCTCAGGGCTGTCCAGCTTACTATCAGCAGCTTGTATCAACCCCAAGCTACCTGTATCCCCAGCTCCGCTATAGCTTCATCACTGCGGACCCAAGCACATAGAGCCATACCCGCTCGCCCGCCGCCACTCATTGCTGAGCACCTTGAAATGCTTCAGCCCTTTACAGCTTCACAAAATATCAAGTCTCTTATCCGATAACCAGTTTAACTTCCCACCAACGCGGTACCTCACTTTTCAAATATACCCAGTTGCTTCACCACATGGTGGGGTCAAAGATGCCGCCCAGAACGTCACTTACCTCGACGTTCTCCGTCACCGACGCCAACAATGAAGTTGTGTGTCCTCTACGAAACCAAGATGGCTCGAATTGCCGCAAGCGATGCGTCGGAGTAAGTTCCCTTTTTAGATATGCCTGCCTTTCAACCTGGCTATGAAATATGAAGAGCTGGCACTATGTCAATGCTGCAATGGCCGGCTCGTGACCTCGGCTGTCACTGATGCAGTTTTGATCCCAACACCTTTCAACATCCAATACAGAAGAGACATAGCTGCTAACATGAGCCTGCTTCATAGGAAAAACGATTCCGATCTATGCAAGAGCACATCCGCCGCGCCCACCCAGAGCACTACATCCCCAAGCTCCCTGCGACCGAAGACAGCTTCCTTCTGATGATCAATACCCCTCCACATGAACGCCCAAACGACCAGTCTCCAACCTCCGCCCCGCAAGGTACGTTGCAGTTATTAAACATATGAATTATGGCGGTTTTGGCTTACCATAATTTTATGCAGGATTCCGGGACCGCCAAGTAACTTCCAACCGTGGTGATGACTATTCGGCAACACCAAATTCTATGCTCGGAACTGCCAGTGCCGCTGCCGTTTTGGCCGAGTTGCATGGCATCAAGTCTGAGCGCGATTATGATACAGACGTACGTATATGCCACCCAATTATATTGATGGTGACTGCTATATCTCTCCTACCAACACTCATCGCACTTTCAATGCCATAATTAGAAGACTGACATTTTGAGGGCATAGGGCTACCATTCTGATGTGGACGGTCGACATAGGCCTAGAAGCTCGATTGAGCTTCCTTCATTTCATCAGATTTCCCACCACGACATTACTAGTGATCCATTCTCTGGCCAACGCAGGGATATTTTACCTTCTCTCATGTCTACCTCCCCGCCTGAAAGGTCGTCAACCCTTCCCCCCATTCATCGCCAAAGCGGCCCTAACAGACCGCGTAAACACTCTGTGACGAAGCGCAGCAAGGAATCTTACCACAAAAAGAAGAGCAGCCTGCACCGTAATGACTGGTTTCGCCGTATTCAGGATGAGGATATTATGAGACCTGGTATGGATCGCAAGGCTCTTTCTATGGAGCCGTCAACCGATTTTGGAAAACGCTGGGAAGACCTTATTGATGCTGCTGACCAAGCCGCTTCCGCAGCAGGCGATATTGAAGACCGCACTCCTGTAAGTTGAAAAATGAGAACACAATGGATGCGAAGTTGCTAATGCGGTTGCCCTAGATGCCTCAATCTCCAGTCTCCATACAAGGCGGCCCTCCCCCGCTAGCAAGCAGCCAACAATTTCAGTCATCAAACTATCAGGCATCTCCCCTACAACAAGCACTCACACCACCCTCCTTTACACAAGAAGAGCCGTTCCCATCTGTTGAGAGCGGCGATAACTTCCATATGGGTTCCCGTGGGCTAGACTCATCGCCTACCTCCTCATCCCAAAACACGCAAATCTACTGCGCGGCTTGCCAGAACGTCTCTCTACTGAAGCGATCATATGCTTGCACAGAATGTATCTGCGGATTTTGCGCTCCTTGCGTCGAAATTCTAATGGCTGAACACGGGGCTCGCCGAAAGTGCCCTCGATGCGCTACCATTGGCGGCCGCTTTAAGCCATTCCAACTTGAAATCAGGTGAATGATTTCTGCATATGAAACCTGTCAACCTCGCTCGTTACCTTCTTGGCTCGTTCAGAGTGAAGGTCTAGATCCATCCTTCACGCATATTAATGTTTGGGACCGACATTATTTCGAATCGCCTACTTCCCGTTTGGCTCTTCTTCCTTCTTCTCTATCACTCAATCAATTTTCTTGCTGAGGTCCAGCTTTTGAAATGCTTCTGTTTTGATTCCCTACAGTGTTCGGCTGACTTGTTTTGCTACTTTCTTTTCTTCGCAGCCAGCTTATCCATGGCGCCCTTTACTTCTTGTTTTCGTTTCCTCTTCTTGGCTGTTTTTTTCTGGACGGGTAGCTTTGATTTTAATTAGGCTTGGGATATCTGTGCTTTTCTCGAGGTTCATTCTCGCAAATGGTGTTGCAACGGGATTTGTTTGTTCTTGGTTTCCTTTTACGACTGGGTTCGGATCGCTTCTTTCTGTTTATGTTTGCTGTTTTCCTTGGATGGCTCATGATTGGATGCTTGCTGCCTTTTACTTGTTCTTTTCGGATTCAGGTACACTCGTTTTTTTGTTTTTGAGTGACTGTCTTTCCTCTCTTTCCTTTTTCTTTCTGTGTGGCCTCAATCGGACTTGGCTATAAACGGGATTTTGCATGTACACTTCAATGATGTGTGTTGTTACTGCCGGAGTTTCTCAATTATAGATCGTCTTTGATGAAATTGACTTCTTTGCTTTCTTGGCTGAACTTCACCATTTGAACACTTGCTATGTAAGAACAGTACAACTTTGTAACTGAAAACGCCCCAGCGCCGATGCAAATATGAAACACGGTCTTTATCTCTGTTTTCCTCTTTCCTGCGCCATGAGAAGCGCATTTCGGACAGCTGTTCGGTTGTTTTTACTACCACCGAGCTTGGGTCCCTTAAGAACTTCCTCGGCAGCTTGCTGGGCTGCGGATGCACCTTTGGGTTGGTTGATGGCCGGTCTACGGCGGGCATTTCGCATCGCCAACTCGTCCATGTATTGGCGCTGGAACTGCTCCGCCATAATATCATCTGCTGACAAGGTTTTGCCACTCGCTGATGAGCCTGTTTTGTTCTGTGCCGCTGGCACATTATATACGTCAACTATAACCAATGTTAGCGCTTCTTGGGTAGAGAAAACTGGTTACTGCGAAGACGTACGCTTATTCTCGGTTAAAAATGCTTCAACCAACTGGTCTCGCTTGATATCGTCGCTACCACGGCGGTTTCTGTTGCGCCTTTTCGGCTTTTCTGGGCTATCCTGACCTCCAAAGAGTCGTTTTCTATCGATCTCCCTCTTGGCAAAGTCTTGCTGTGATAAGTCCACTTCGAGTAGCTTGCCGCGGCTAGCGGTTTGGCCACCAGTTATTGAATTTGTCGCTTGAAGGCCCGAAGTATTTGAAGATGCGGCGTCAGGGGCCGTCACATGTTCAGTCGTAGATCCGGCGGTGCGACTGGAGAGGCGCGATTCGATATATTGTTCCCTGTGGAGTGTTAGTAGCGTCGCCCTGTCTGCGCGGATAGTCACTAAAATCAACATACATGTGTTTATCATTTAGCTCCATAGCTAAGCCCGTCTGGTGCGTAAACCTATCTGGGATACCTTTTGCTAGCTCTTCAGGCTGGCGCACAACCAGGGACTGCTCTCCATGCGCGCCAATCTGTGAATTTGCCGTGAAGGACACGCCTTGCAGCCTTCCGCGCCGCGCATTGCGTAGCTTAAGTGCTGCTTGAATAGCATCGCCTTCATCCTCTTCCCTGTCCCCTTTATCGGTTTCTACACCTTGTGCTTCCACGGGCACACTGTCGCTAGGCCCTTGGTCTGCCGCGTGGCCAACGTCCTCCTCCACGCGCTGTCGATATGCCTTGCGCTTCTTGCCGACACGGAAGCGAACAGGCTCTGCGCTGGTAGCGGGGTCGCCTTCCATTTGTGTTTGGCAGAGATGGGAGTGCCTGGCACAGAGGCTCGCTTTGATGGGATGCGGAGACGATAAAAGTTAACGGAAGCCAAAGTGACGATGACTGTCGCCAAAATAAAAGTGGACCGCTGGGTCCGGATCTTATCGCCCGTCGCCTGTGCCCCTCCATCGCCGACGACGTCCGTGGGTTGCGTCTTGGGTGCATCATCAATCACACGAAAGAAATGGTGACAAGGGTAAGTTGTACCGTGTGCGAGCTAATTCAATTTATAATATTTAATACAAGATTTAATATAGATTTATTTTGTCGTCTATGGCGGCACCGTTCAAGGTATGCTCAATGGCGAAATGCCGCTTGCTCGATGCTTTCATTAACGGATATCTAGGTGTCGGATTTCGGTACCATGCTTCTTGGACGCTGTGTCTGCTTGTATTAATGCTAATTTCGATAGATACTTTACTCGAAAAAAGGCACAACTCCATGGAATCACTGGTTGGTGTCGCAACACGACTGATAGCAATGTATGACTTATTCTGGCACGTTTATATATACGTCGTAATTGACGCATTTAGGTCGAGGGCGAAGCCCAAGGAGGCGATGAAGCAATGGTAAAATTTCTCAAGGATTTGCACACAGGGCCCCAACACGCTGTGGTCGCCAAAGTGACGCAAGAGGACCGCCAGACGGTAGAAGGGGAAGATACCTTTGCCATTAGGCACTGAAATTCCGTGGGTTTGGCGTTTGAAACATGGACAGATTTTATATACCCGCTGCAGCTATGCTATTGCTATTTATGAATTGGAAATTGAATGATTATGTCTATTAAAACCCACGTCCTCGTCGTTTGATGACTGGCTTCTTCACTGCACCTTGCGTCACAAACTTCTTTCCTTCACCAACAGCCTTTTTCTTCACTACAGCACGTTCTTCTTCGGCCTGTAGTCTGTCCTCCTCGCGCTGCTTGTCTTCGGCCATTTTCGCCTCGATTTCCATCTTGCGATTAAACTCAGTCTCTGTGATGCGCTTGTGGCGTGCAGAATACCCCTTCTCTTTGACAGAGTAGAAAACGCCGCCCAGATCGGCTAGCCAGTGTGGATCGACGGCTGTTACCGTTGAGACGTAGACTTTGGACGTAAGGATGAGCTCATGATACACAACGTAGTCTGGGGGGTGACCCGCATACAAAGCGCTGGTTGGGTGAAGTTGTACAGGCAGGTTTGTGCGTAGATTCACATACTCGCCAGAGCCCTTGTACTTGGCAGCTTGATGGTAGTATCCAGAACAGATGCATTTGCGGATAACGTCCCAGTCCATACCACAACTGATCAACTTCATCTTCTGCATACGAGCAATGTCAAGTAGTTGATCACGGATTTCCTTGGCACGGCGAAGTGATTTAGAGTGAAGGAAGTGTTTGATGCACCATCCGTCCGAAAAGCCGTTGGCCTTCCATGCTGAGTACACCTGTAGATAGGTCAAGTGGTCAGATTCATGGACCCAGAACTTCTCGCGTTGAGAATCCGCTTCGTCCTGCCGCTCCTTTGGCCGGTAGAAGACGTTGGGAACCGACAGCATAGAGACAATCGTAATCATTTCTTCTGTGCAGCCATATTGCTCCGCCGTGACGAGCAGTTTAGCCATGGAAGGGTCCATCGGGTACGAGCTCATCTTGCGACCAATATCGGTGAGTTCACCCAGGTTGTCCAAAGCGCCAAGCGCCCATAGATCGAACATGGAGGTCGAAATGGTATCCTGCGGTGGCGGGTCCATGAAGTCAAATTCCATGAGGTTCTTGACACCAAGACATTTGAGCATTAGTACGGTGTTGGCGAGATTTGTTCTTTGGATTTCGGGAATCGTCTGCATGTAGAGCTCTTCCTTGAACGCTTTCTCAGTATATAACCGGAAAGCTTTTCCAGGTCCCGTTCGACCAGCACGACCAGATCGTTGTGATCCGTTGGCTTGTGAGATGGGTGTAATCTGGAGGGTGTCCATACCCATTTTCGGATTATATACTTTCATCTTGGAGTATCCGGCGTCGACCACGTACTTGATACCATCAACAGTCAAACTTGTCTCGGCAATATTTGTTGCGACAATCACCTTCCTTGTCCCCGGCGCAGCCTTGTCGAAGATTTTGGCTTGCAAATCCGCGGGCATTTGACTGTAGATGGGAAGAATGAGAAGCTTTGGCGGATCATTGAGGGCATCTAGGCGCTTTTGCACAAGCTCACACGTAATTTCAATATCCTCTTGACCCGTCATAAAAACGAGAATATCTCCAGCATCCATTGACACGTGAATGGCAAGCACTTGCTGCACGGCTTGGTCAACGTAGTCCTCTACCGGAGACCTATGATACATGACATCGACCGGGAATGTTCTTCCCGGAATGGTGAATTCTGGGGCTGATCCAAAGAAGTCTGAGAATCTCTTGGCATTCATAGTGGCAGATGTCACAATAAGCTTGAGATCTCGGCGTCTTCGTAGAATCTTTTTAAATAAACCCAACAAAATATCGGTATTCAGCGCCCGTTCATGTGCTTCATCCATAATGATACATGAGTATTTGTCGAGATCCTGTTCGCCCAGAGATTCCTGTAGCAAGATACCGTCCGTCATGTACTTGATAATAGTGTCCTTTGTCGTATAGTCCTCGAATCTAATCGAATAGCCGACAATGCCTCCAAGTTCAACTTCCATTTCTTCAGCCACACGCTTAGCGACACTCATTGCTGCTACTCTTCGGGGTTGTGTACACGCAATCATGCCCTCTTTGCCATAACCGTCCTCGTAAAGAAATTGTGTCAACTGTGTGGTCTTTCCCGAACCTGTCTCACCAATAACAATCGTCACCTGGTTCTCGCGAATCACCCTCATAAGGTCCTCGCGCACAGCGAAAGCCGGGAGGTATTCACGCTGTTCGCGCAGAGTTTTGCTCTTGCTAAAGTCACTCGACCCTCCTTCGGCTGACTTCATGTGTTGACTGAACTTGTTGCCCTTCTCTTTCATCTCGCTCTCAGTCGCCGTTGGCAGAGCACTATCGCCATCCTCCTCTTTGGCACCCATGATATTTCCCAGGGCAGTTCCCGTCAGACTTGTCGCATCCTTTGCCTGCTTTTGTCGCTCGCGCTGCTGTCTGGTCTCCTTGACTACTTTACTACCCTTTCGACTAAAGACGGCCATGTCGCTTTGATAGTCGCGCACTGCAGGGACTGGTTCCAGTTGTTTTGTAAAGATCGTTCGACCGTCGAGGAACGGGGGGCGTAAATCATGTACGAGCAAATGGACGCGGGTCGCTTCTTGATCATCAAAGTCTGAGGCCATGTCGCGTCGTTGGGCGACACCAGAAACCAGCATTCGATTCGTCTCCCACGCATCATTTTCTTTGCGTCGCTGTTCTTGACGAGCATCGAACCGGCCGACCATCTTGTCTGCTTTGGCCGACTCCTCCGCTTTAGCGGCCCAAGGCGTAGTCTCGTAGTAGGCAAACGGGTTATGAGTATCGTCGCCGAAGGCATGGCCACCAAACTCGTCACTGCCGTACCAATCTCGATCAAGCGCCAGCGCATCATCGGGATTTAATTCTGTAAAATCGTGTTCCTGTGTCTTTTTGGGCGTCGGAGCATATCGTAGCTGTGATCGTGGTGTTGAGTCGCGAGAGTCGTGTCCGAATCTGGAGCTGCTACCACCCTCGCCGTCCATTCGCCTTCTTTTGGCATTGAACCCATCATATTCGCGATCGCCAGACATGTCAAGAAAGTACAAAAACTAAAAAAAAAGACTCCTCCAGGACCGGTGACCGAAGATGGCGCAGAAAGACCCTGACTATGAAGCCGCGGATGGAGCGTGACCCCCAGCGAGGTTTTGCCGGACTTGGAATTTTTATCGATAAGCCCCGCTGAAATTTTTGGCGGTGGATTTCGCTGCAGAGAAAAAAACCCAGCGACTTGAACATCACAGTTGTTATACTCCAAATCACTCAAGATGTCTATGATTACTGCTGCTCAGTGGGTTCCTAGAGGCTTTGCCGCCCCATTCCCCCAGAAATATAAGCTCGACGAGTCCGAGTTTGAGAGAATAGCTGAACTCGCCAAGCTGCAGCTGGACGACGCCGAAGAAGACCTCAAGGAAGCTCAGGACAATGGCGAGGGCGAGGATGAGGAGCATGAGAACGGCGCTGGTGACGATGAAATGAAAGATGACACAGAATCTGGAGCCCAGACTACTGTAAAGTGAGTGCTTATTCTACCAGAGACTGGCCTACGCACTAACATCCAGCTCTCAGTCTCGACGATGAGGACCTGAAGAAATACAACCTTGACGACTACGACGACGAAGATGCCGAAGCACAGCAAAATGTTGGCGAGACAAAAGGCCTCAGCATGTTCGGTAATCTGAAGTCTCTGGCATTCTACGGCTCTAACGAGGAAGATCCTTACATTACACTCAAAGAAGACGATGATGCTGAGGACCAGGAAGATCTCCAGATTTTGGCTACTGACAACCTTATTTTGTCTGCCAAGGTGGAAGACGAGCTTGCCCATTTGGAAGTTTATGTTTACGAGGATGAAGGCGATAACCTATACGTCCACCACGACATTCTGCTTCCCGCCATTCCCCTAGCCGTCGAATGGCTGGACATGCCCGTCAGCAACAATGGAGCTCCCAAAGCTGACAAGGGCAATTTTGTTGCCATCGGTACTATGGACCCCGATATCGAGATCTGGGATTTGGACACGGTCGACTGCATGTACCCTAATGCTATCCTTGGTGCTGGCGCCAACCCTGATGCCCAGAAGAGCAAGAAGAAGAAGAAGAAGGGCAAGAAAATGAACGACGAATACCACGTGGACTCGGTTCTCTCGCTCGCTGCCAACAGGCAACATCGAAACCTGCTCGCGTCTGCTTCAGCAGACAAGACTGTCAAGCTCTGGGATCTCAACACAACAACTTGCGCCAAATCATACGCATACCATACCGACAAGGTATGCTCACTAGCCTGGCACAACACCGAAGCTACTATTCTGTTGAGTGGTAGTTACGATCGTACAGTGGTCGCCGCCGATATGCGTGCTCCCGACGCCAAGGCGCCTCGCTGGGGCGTTGAGAGTGACGTTGAAAACGTCCGCTGGAACCCTCATGATTCCAACTACTTTTTCGTATCTACTGAAAATGGCCTTGTTCACTACTACGATGTGCGCAATGCCCCAGCCAAGCCTGAAAACACCAAATCTGTCTGGACTCTGCAGGCACACGACCAGGCCGTGTCCTCGTTCGACATTAACCCTACTATTCCGGGATTCATGATTACTGGCTCCACTGACAGAACTGTCAAGCTGTGGAATATTCAAGAGACTGGCCCATCGATGGTTGTTTCTCGCAACCTTGACGTCGGCAAGGTATTTGCTGCCAGTTTTGCCCCAGACTCTGAAGTCAGCTTCCGCGTTGCCGTCGCTGGCAGCACCGGCAGCATGCACGTCTGGGACACCAGTACCAATGCTTCTGTCCGTAAACTCTTTGCCGATAGAGTTCCAAAGCAAATTGAGGGCGAAGAGCTTGTCGAGGACAAGCTTGTTGGCGTCGAAGATGACGAGAGCAGCTCCAGCGACGAGGAGGAAGAGGAGGGAATCCCCATCGGCTCAGATGATGAGGAAGACGATGAAGATGAAGAGAGTGAAGAAGATGACGATGACGCCATGGAAGGTTAAACAAAAGTTGGATTGTGATTATTGCATATTTCTCTTATTCGGGAGTTTTCTTAGCACGTAATGATGTCACTTTGGAGCCATTGGACCAGGGTAAAGGGTTGCAGGGGTCGCCCAATATAGACAACACAACATAGGTATCTAAAAAAAAGAAATTCAGGCTTGACGTTCTCTTTGCGTAGTACTGGTTGATGTCATCAGCTGCTGCGCGATGTACCTAAAGGCGTTGCATATGCTGCAAGCAAGTTCATGCATCTTATCTAACATCATGAGCCTCCGACTGCAGACAGATAGGCAAAAATGGAAGCCTCCCAAGGGATCTGTCTCAGAGCACATCTAAGCCCCGCTAGTCTATCTCGACATTCTAACGGCAGTCAGATTTGAGCTCTTACGTATGGGTACGACGGGATGCCCTTTTTCATGCGGGCGTAATGCTTCGCTTCGGTGCCAGCCTGGGCGTCTTGTGGTTCGTCACTGCTGTTGAATTTGTAACAACCGAGGCGGAGCTGGATCCCATAAGAACAGGGACGTAAAGTTCATGCGTAGCTGGCTGGTAGTGGAGCTTCTAGAGCCTCCCTGGCCATTCAGGCTCTTGTGGTGGTCGGCGCATAAATATCCTGAAACGCAAGGGGCTTGCGCGGGCTGTGCAAATGGTTGGGTGAGAAGGACGGGATGTTTGCAGGGCTACTGAAACGAGGCGGAAGTACGTCGCTGAGAGGCTTGCAAATCAGGAGCTCTTGACTGTTACAGAAAAAGCGCAAATCAAGGGGGATATGCTGGTCATCAATATTTCTCTCTGCGTGGTCATACTGAAGTATGAATATTAAGTGACCAATATGCGGCGTAGGCCGTATCATAGTTGGCGAGGGTGTTGTGGTAGTGGGGAATATTGATGGCATTGGTACCAACCGACAACTCTTAGCGACCAGTTGCCATTCTCTGGCGCATTGGCGAGGCTGAGAGGTTCGATGCCCGTGAGCGGGTGGGTGAACCAAATTAGATGACTACTGTCGACGCATAATATTTTCTATTCTTGGGCGTTTTAGATTTCCGGGCGGGATGGTATAACGGATCTGGGTTGAGGCTCCCTCTGCCGTGAGATGAGACAAGCGCCGGCGATGGTAAAGGGCAGCGTCGTTCGACACCGGATTGTTCGCATCGAAGACGCCGTCTCTCCTTCGCCGTCTCCTTCCAAGTTAGTAAGGATGTCCGGCAACATCAACCTGGCCCTTTACGCGTCTTGTCAAATCCTAGTCACACAGCATCGCGAACACACGCTCTGGGGGTGGGCCGGACCCTTCACCCACTCACCAGCTTTTCAAGATTGGTGATATGAATGTGGTTCAGTGGTAAGGGCAAAAACAACAAACAAGTAAAAAGGAAGCATACCAACGTTCAGAAGCTGGTAGGAAATTGGAGCAACCATACAAACCGCAGCACAAGACAAGAGGCAAGCGAGACATTTGGTCCGCATGTGCGAGTGGGATACAATCACTGAGCCCCAAACAATGGCCAACAATGGCGCCACTGGTATGGTATGCAGCCTTTGTTGTGCTCCAAAACAGAAAAGACTCGCCGTTTTGGATGAGCGACGACAACATCACCATTACAGTGCATATCAATAACATACATTGTATCAATGGAGAGCATACATTGGCGCTCCATCCAAACGGTTGTGCATTCTTCGCGGCGATTCGCAACGTCGTTCAAATATTGTTATTGCCCTGGTGTCAAAGCGGAATTAAGGGAGGACACAATGACCGGGAGAGGTACACCACGGCAGCGTCTTCCGAGCAGACAAGCACGAACGCAAGCTCGCGTTACTAGTAGATCAGCCTGTGACACTAGCCTAAAGGACGGCGTACGCGTGCGTTGGTCTGGTTTTGGGTGGTTCATGCGTGAGGCCGATGGATGCGGAGGTACTGTACAAAGCACCAGCGGACAGCCCACGGATCAGCCCAGAGGCGCTTCCTGTTCCTGGCCCCAAGTCGAGCGGTGCCTGCGCTAGCCAAAAGATGGAGGGCGCCTCTTGCCGTGTATCGAATACATGAATCATCATATTAAATAGTGCGTTACAGCAGGTACTCATGACCTTTGCTGCCCGACGATCGGCTTCTTTTTCCCTTCCCTTGCCACTGGTCTGGTCGTCCCACCGCACCGCTATTGGCCCAGACCCATGCTCGCCACCCCACCCACACTACGGTGGGCGCTAGCGATTCGTTGACAGAGGCCCTCTGCTCCACTGCTTTTGTTGCCTATCAGCGCCTGGTAAAACCCACTAAGTGTCCTGGGGTCCACGTTTTTGCCTGCCTGGCCAGGGGGTGGCAACCACTGGGCAGCGCCGGAGAACCCAGAAGAGCTGCCCAAGTCAGGTACAGTACAATCCGCAGGGCAGGCTGTCCACTTCTTTTTTAGCGACTAGCAGACTTTGCTGGGGTACACTATCAGAGCCTGGCGCGGCTTGTGAAAAAGTAAAAAGTCTCTCACCAGCCATAGACTGATTGGTCTTCTTCTTCGATCTGCTTCCTCTTCTTCTTTCTCTTTCCTCCAACACCATCACTTTCCTTTCCATCCGTCGACGGACAACTTCAATTTTCTGAGCATCGCTGGTTCTCTGCTCTTTCATTCCCTCGGTCACACTACCACAAACACACAGACACCACCAACACCTACTACTACTACAGTACCCATCACACCACTGCCCATTCTTTGGCCACGCTCTATTATTGCAACCCACGAGACATAGCGCTTCGGCCGCCTGCAGCATACCAGAACAGAAAAGACGAATATCAGACTTTTTTTCTTTGTCCCCAACGGCATACCAACAAGCATAACTCAAATTAGAGTTTACTTTTTGCGAAGCCCTCAAAAAAGACAACCTTGCCTTGCCACCCGCACGCTAGACAACCGGTCTTGCAGCCCGCTGTTGCGCCCGGTCCACCCCAAAAGTCACCCTTCATTTTCGCTCTGACAGTAGTGCTCAGTGCCTTAACCCCAATCCATCCTTGCGCAATTTCCCCTTCGACAGGCCGTTGACCGTTGCCTTTCAAATTTTCTCTCATTTTATTTTCATCTTCGATTCGCCTTCTAGTCGATTTTTTATTTCTAAAACCGGCTCGATCAACTTCGGTTTTTTTATTCGTCGCCAACAGTCGCATCCCATCTGACCTGCTCTCGGCGCTTACTCTCTCACAACCCCAAGTCACCTTCCGCCTTGGGTAAATCCCGCCAACCAGTGCACTCCCCGCCTCCCGCCCCCCAAAATACAGGTCAGCGGGCTACCACCACCACAGGCAGACGCCAGCAAACAACCCACGGCCCTTCACTCGGTCGGACCCTTGTGCAGCTCACCAGACTCCAGTCAATCAGCAGCCACCTAAAACAGGTCGCCGCAACGTTCACTTTGCTGCTCACAGACACCGCCAGATCAGCGCCGAGATATCCTGTCCGTTCGCTAGCGCTGAATCTTGGCTGCTACCGCTCTTAGGCCTCGCTGCACTCCTTTAGTCACACGGCACCACCTCCACAGGCCACCCTAGCTGCCTGTGCATTCCTATCTGCGTTGCACCCCAGGTTTTGCTGACACCGAGTCTTTTTCCGCTTTCCCAGTGTCTGTCTTCCTCCAAAACCCTGACTTGCTCTCTTCCCTTTTTTGTTTCTGGTAAGAACAGAAGTCTCTTGTATTAAGAAAAGCAAAAGAAAAGAAAAGAGACATTGCATACACAGAAAAATGTCACTCTCCAGAGCCTTTACAACTCGCCGCATCAAGCTCGGCGGCGATGGCGACGGCCTACCCTTCCTGCCCCGTCGCAGCAACACCACAAAGAACGGCAGCGTCGACATGCGAAGCAAGATTTCTGCTCCCGTTGAGCTGATTCACACAACCAACATGCTTTCGTATAACGCCCCCGATCTTCCCAACTCAGGCCGCATCGCCTCTGGCTCTACTACTACCAGCAAGTCAGAAGACGACTCCGACTCGTTCAACACCGACTCTACACCTCCCACAAGTCCCGATGTCGACCGCAACTGCTCTGTTTCCCCCGAGCCCAACCATCTGACCTGCTACTTCGAGCCCTCCAACAACATGGCCGCCAAGATTGCCGCCCCGCCTGCTATTCCCCAGCGCTCGCCTTCACACACCAAGAAGACATCGTATGAGGCACTTGCGCGCCAGGCTCAGACCAGTCGTATGTCGAGAGATTCGGAGAGAACTGTCTCGTCGTCGTCTCGCAGCACCGGTTTCTCTCGCTCGGCTTCAACCTCCACGCAAGCCTCGTCGTTGTCGCAGCCCGAGACGCCGCCCAGCAAGACTATGCCTTCACTCCCTGCTTCTGTTCGACCTCCCAAGAGCCTTGCTAGAGACCAACATCCCTTTGGCCAGGAGCTCGCCCAGGTTTCCGAGCTCGCTGAAGAGTTTGGCGGCAGTAAGCGCTCGCGTGCCGCCGATGATGAGGAACGATTCCTCGAATCCAAGGGCCTCGTCAAGTTTAGCGCCGAGGACTACATCTCGTCGCTCCAGAGCTTGACTGCGTCATTCTTCCCCGAGCTCACGCATGCGCCCCAGTCTACACCTCTGTGGATTTAAATTGCTATGGGGAGCATTTTGCTCAGCTTGGCAACGGTACGAATTTAACGGTCTTTTAATGCAACGTTCTGCTGTACATACTTGACGACGCCTTCCGCCATGCCTTTTCTTTCGCCAATGCTTGCTCAAGACAAGCATAGCAGGGGCTGGCTAGGAGGACTCACGACAAATTGGTTTTGATTTTCAACATCACGCTTTCACTACTATTTCCTACTGTTTATTGTCTTTTTCTTTTTCGCTTCGTGGTACTCTATGGTTCACAGGTCCTGGTATCGATCGGGCATACAGGGTTATACGGATTTTACAGGTTGTTTTTATTTGGACGAGCGCACCCTCCCTTGGTCACTGCAGCAGTTTGCAGTGCGGACGAGGTAGATTTTGAGGAGCCGTCAGGGAAGGAACCGGCGTTTGGCAGCATCAGGGCACTCTAAAAGACGGTTCGCATGGACAGATGTATACTGATGAAATGTATATGCTATAATGTGGACAGCGCCCAAACTTTTCTTTGTCTTTTTTCTCATGGGTCCAGACTAGGAGCCTATCAATCTCATTTCATTTACTCTTAATTTTTTCATACTCTCGTCTTTCCAAGTGCATGACCGTTCATAGTCGGGTGGCTGGTGCAGATGTCTCCGGTTTGATACATGCTCGCAATGTCATGACTCTTGGTGTACTCACTCTGCACGTGTATAGTTAACGGCTGCCTCTGGCTATCACTGTCTCATGTACCATGCTTGACTCTGACCGTTGCCCTTTTTGTCAGAGCGTTCGTCAGCAACGTCAGCGACTACATTCCAGTGTTCGCCCTTGGCAACCAGGATATGTCTCAGCCAGGTTTTTACCGAGGATCCAGCTTGATCCATTTTCCATCGTTAAATTTAGTGACTTTATATGTAGCAGTGTAGAGGCTGAAGCCGGCGATGGTTTGAGATGACTCTGATGCCATCGAATATGGTTCTGTAGCATTAGGTAACACGTTGATATGTTCACGCGATCTCTACACAGACAATACATTTTGTTTTCTACCAACCGAGTTTCTAGGTCCGACGACCGGTTGCTTATTTTAAATACAATTTTATAATTACTATTCGTCGTCTTGCCTCATATTGGTCTCTAGGGTGGCACGCTGATGACTGTACGTAACAGCTATGTGCGGCTCGTGATGCGGTGGGGGTGGCAGCGAAAGATCGCCAGATGTCCCCCGCACAGTTCGATGACCTTACGATGACAAAACTTGGCAAGAAAAATTACAAGAAAAAAAGGGCCGGGGTCGCTCAAGTAGTTAATTAATGTTATAGATAAAAATGGTACATTAAATTTTGTAGGACTGATACTGAAACAGAAGAAAACTAGAAATACAGGGGAAAAAGACAAAGGCGAAGAGAATTGCTGGGAAGGTCGTTCCGCCAATACAATTATATACAAAGCTCGATAAAAAGAACCGAGTCTGGGCCGCCCAGAGAAACAGTAAGCCTCGGTCGTACAAGCTCGCAGGCATATTGGTCATCACCTTGCGCTGAGAGTATCACAGCCCAAGCGTGCCTGGTCCTACGCCAGCCGCCACGAGTGAAATCAAATCTCGCCAAACACGCCGAAAAGATGTCTTTTTTGTTTTCGCAACCTCCAAGGTGCACAATCACCCAGATGCGTCCTTCAACGAAGCTACTGGTCGGCGGCCATCTATCGGTTCAACGGCCTTTACCAGGTCCGTAATCGTTACGAGCTTGTAGCCATCGGCTTTGAGCGCAGGAATCAGCTTCTGCAGCATCGGCACCGTCCACTTCCGTCTATCGTGGCAGATAATAATAGCACCAGGATGGGCCATGCTCTGTATATGCTTCGCGTTGACATCTGGGTACGGCAGCTGCGGATCGTGTGGGTAGACGCTGCCGAGGGTGATGCGGAAGCCCCTGTTGCCCAGTAGGTCTCGCATGCGGTGGTTGAAGAAACCCGAGCCAGGTCTGAAGTAGTTATTCGGCAAGATCTTGTTCTCGGCTGTATATGCAGCAACAAGCTTCTGCTTGACCTCGTTGACTTGTTTCTCGAGCTCTTCGTTGCTGAGCTTGTGGCTCGGCTCGTCGTGCATCGCGTGGTTGCCGAGCTCGTGGCCGGCCGCAACCAACTCCCGTAGGATCTTGGGTCCTTCGGCACCGTTGCTGTCTACCTGGCTGCCAATAACGAAAAAGGTCGCATGCACCTCGTGCTCGAGCAGCACCTTGGCAATATCGCGGGTGTACGACGAGGGCGCGTCATCAAAGGACAGCGCCATCATCCGTTGCTTGACGCTCGGTTCTTCAAAGAGTACATCGGGGTATTTGGCGCGCATATAGCCTATGAGGAAGTGCGGCGGCTTGTATATGCAGTAGAGCGAGTAGAGCGGGATAATGAGGACGATGGCGACGACGGCGAGGACAGCTAGCGTCGTCATTCTGTTGCGTCGTACGCGGCGGCTAAAGAGCGCCGGTAGACGTAATATGCTCACTCTCGGCATTCGATGGTGATTCTTTAGGTTTCTCAGGCAGCGTTTGGGCGAGAGCGCTGTCAGGCCCAATTGTTCTAGCTAGCTGGCTGGAGGGGCCGTGAAAGGAGGTTCCTTGTCGATGACGGGACCGTGGGTATCAATTGGGTGAATGGCGTTGGCAGTCGAGTGAATGTGATTGGATGAGATGCTGTTCGAAGCGACTGTGTGCTTCGGTGATTATGGTTGTTGGTGTAGAACAGCGCACGAAAAGAAAAATGTCACTGTGAAGAGGTTCCCCTTTTGCGCGTCTGCTGCGAGGTTGTTCTTTTTTTTCCCTTGGGCCATTTGCGCCCAAAGATAGACAGACAGGTGGGCGGGCGGTGACAGGGTATCCGCCCAATCTGGCCAGTTGCATCACTACGGCACCAGGTATAGCATGTCCTATGAATGATCTTACAAAACAGACAAAATTCTCAAGAGCAGAGCAAAAAATCCTTGATTCATTATTTCTTATTTAGAGTGCAATTAATGACTTCTCGCTCCGAGACTTCTCCCTGCAGGGATGCGAACGCCTGTTCAAAGTCTCTCTTCAGATCCTCTACCCCCTCCAGACCAATGCTCACTCGTAGGACTCTTCTATCAATCGAGTCATCTGACATGGCGCGCCATTCAATTAAGCTCTCCACACCCCCCAAACTGGTCGCATGCTGAAAAAGACCCAGTTTGCTTGGAAGCTTCCTCGCCATATCCTCCGTCTTCATCCAGATGGCAAACACAGGCCCCCAACCATTGGGCATCTGCTTACGCAGCCAGCTGCTCTCATCTTTTGCTTCCGGTTGGAGACTGGCATGCTGTATACGCTCAACTGTAGCAGCAGCAGCCGAGGATACATCCTCAACGCTCTTCGCTAGCCACTCTACAACAGCCGTTGCAGTTGTGCTCTGGCGTATAAGGCGAAGCTCAAGAGTTCGGATAGAGCGAAGGCCAAGCCACCCTTCAAAACTCCCCATAACGGAGCCCAAGAGCAACCGGTCCACAATGAGTCGAGGTTTCCAATCCTTATGCTTCGGATTGATGGTGAGCGTGCCACAGAGCATGTCCGAATGACCACCAAAATACTTGGTTCCGCTGTGCATAATCACGTCCGCATCATATGCTAGGGGATCTTGCAGAGGTGGTGGCGCAAATGTAGCATCAACCGTAAGATATGCACCAACCCGACGGGCCTTGGCTGCGTAGTAGGCCAGGTCTCGCGCCTCACCAGTCGGGTTCAGTGGCGTTTCGACATGGATGACATCTCCGGCCTGCAGCTCCGACTCGTCGCAGTCGAGAGGAAGCTTCTGTAATCCGTTGAGTCTATTCAGGATACCAATGATTCCATGGCAGCCATGATATCCTTCAGTGATGGAAATGCGCTTAGGATTGAGATGGACCATCATGGCGTGGAAGGCAGAGAGCCCAGATCCATAGGCAACAGTCTGGCCACCGAGAAGGGATTCCAGCAGAGCCTCAAACCGGGTTGTATTGGAGTTTGTCAGGCGCGAATATACATGGGAGTCTAACGGCGCATTTTCCTATGAGATTATTAGTACATATTTTTGCTTGCAGGACGAAGCTCTTACATCGATGTTCTCTTGCACAACAAGCTTATCGGGGTCGTCATTGTATCTGAATGTGGTAGAGACGTGCATAGCCGGAGCGACAGCACGGTGAGAGGAGATGCCATCGTCAGCATGAATGAGTAGAGAAGCCAAGCAGAGATCCTTGGTTGCGTCCGAGGTGACCATTTTGTGAGTATATCTGTTTGCGCGCCACTGAAGACTGGCGCGGAGTTTGGTCTTTCAAATCAAGGGTTAGATACGCTGAGGGTTAGAAGTGGCTGCCTTTTTATCGTCTGTGTAATGTTAGAATAAATATGGCAGTTCGTATACAGTTCGTCCACGGGGGAAGAAGAATATGTTATCGAAGGGCGCGCTGTCGTCCCCACGCCGATAGCGACCAGCGTAATCTTGGCGGGGTACTTCGGAGGCGCCATCGGAGCATCAATGGCGGGGGCTGTCCGCGGGGTCGGCTTGGGGGGCTCCGGGGAGTGCAGCACTTAACGCGATTCACGCTTACAGCATTTCGATAACTTTGAAAACGATGAGAAGAACCAAACCAAATGAAGGCATTATATCCGTATTATTAATATTATGTATCTCGCGCGTGGGGCGGCCTGCATCGTTAAAAGCCACCCCCGCGAGTGAGCATAGCCACCGCACATCTGTAACCAGCCATGCGCATGTCTAGAAATTGCAGAACATCAAAAAAAGACATTATACATCGTAAGCGAAAGTGTATTGTACCGAAACAGACCGAAACGCCAGACATGATCCCCAAAGAACGAAGGGATTCGATGAAACAAGGTGGAGGGAGCCGTCCTTTGATGGATGAGTGAACCACAAGTTAGAGACCAAAATTGACTAGGGTTCAGCAGGAGCGGTCGCTTGCCGTTCAATATGACCAAGTTCGGCGCCTTGTCCACTATGACCGCGCTTTCGGCCGAGAAAACGTGTAACGGCTGGCGCAGCGCCGTCTTTATCGTGTGTATCAGCTAACTTGGCGAAGAACCCCTTCTTCTTGGTTGGTATGGCGGGCTCATCGAGTTTGATGTCCTCGAAAGATTCTTCTGGTGTGGCTGGCTGTTTCTCAATATTGCGCTTCACTGATGGTCGGTGACGAGGGAAGCGATTAGAGTCAAGGCTTTGGCGAGTAACAGGGTCATGAGAGAGAACGGGCGAGCGGGCTGAAACATCCTGGACAGTAACAGTTAGAAGCAGGTTCTGGGCCTAGTTGTACTCTCAACAACATACAAAGGATCGGCGATAAGAGTCAAACGACTCTCTGGATATAGAAAAATGTTCAATATCACCGAAACTGCTTCGAGTTTCTATAGACGCTCGGGAAGACAAGTGTTTGCGAGACCAGTGTCCAAGTTCTTCATTTGGCGACGGCTGCGTCAGACGGTGAGCGTTTGGCTACATACTGGGCTAGCAAAAGCCAAGGGCTTTGTCAAAGCAGAGTGAACAGCACCTACCGGTAAGTAAACACCACTATCATTGACGACTAGAGGGGGAGAAACAAGCTCATTGTCAGTGGTCATTGCATGTCAGACAAGGCCAGCACGGCCATTCAAGGGTTCATAGGGTCCAGTACTCACCGCTCATCTTATACTCTCCTACATCATGGCTTATATTGGAGCGAATGCTTAGAATAGAGGATGCCTTTGAGCCAACCGTATCGACACGTTCAAAACCAGGATGCGGCGAAGTCTGGCTCTGGTCGGCGGCGCCGGTGGGAATGACGACACCAGGACGGCGGGCAAATGGGTTGCGCATCGGCATGTCGGCACTGGGGCGTGCTGTAAGCAATAGGTGTGGCTTTGGTAAACGTATGGTAAAAGAAATAGGCTGTAAACGGACTGGAAGGGCCAATGCAAGCGTAAAGTACAGTAAAAAGTGACAAAATACTAGTGAAGAAGCCAAGTTGGGCAGCTGTGCCGAAATGTCAGAAAATAGTTGGCACAGAGCAACTGGGTCGCCGAGGCAAGAGGAGGGGCGGAATTACTTGGGCCGTGTTCCCCAGGGCGTTCGCTCTTAGCGGCGTATTAGCGCTGGCTCTGCCCACCTGCTCCCCCAACACCTAGTCCCTAGCGTCATGGAGCCTGTTTGTTCGGACGCGGTAGAAGAGCCGATGTATTAGACACGCAGAATACCAATAGTCTTAGCCTTGATAAAACAAAGCCCAGATGATATTCCTCATTAAAAAGAATGTTCCGTTAAAGTTCAATTTCATCACAGCAACAACAGTTCTGGAGGGCATGCCGCCAAGTTGTCCAAAGCGTAGTAAAGGTCACTGGCCGCCCGCTGTTTTTGGACGATGCAGCAGAGGCTCTGTGAATTTAGAGAAACCCCGAGAATACGGACTTAAAGAGTAAAAAGATACGCAAAGTGCCCAAAACGGAAGTCAGCATCAATTATGTCCACAAACAATGTCCCAATCTTGACAAAATGTTGGCCGCCATTGTGCAAGCCGCATAAGAGCCACGAAAAGCGTCTCCCTGTAGTCCGCACTGCCAATGCTGTCACGTTGTCCAACAGTGCGATCTCCATGTGAGGGCACAGTGCTCTCCACCTGTTTGCGGCAAACGATCGCCACACCTGCTACGTCATTGTTCGAGCTATTGTCCGCATAATGTTGGTGTGTCGCATTTCGGTAATAATTGGTTCTATACGTCTGGTTCATCTTAGTATATTCGGGAGGCTAACATTGGCAGTCTGACATTACCACTAGGTTGCTAGTACCGAAGTTAGGTACAGATACTTGTATAACTTGTCAAGTGTCCCACGGTCAAATTAGGGGAGCCAGTCGATTCACCAACGAGTAGACTGTCGCTGGACTTGAGCTGCCTAATAATAGCATCACTTGCTTTGGAGGTTTCATATCGCAGATTGGTGTATATACAAAGTAGCACAGAGTACTGTTCATAAAAATTCACCAACTAGCATGCATACACAACTACTATGACTTAAAGCTCCTCGTCGCTTGATAACCTTGCTCTGTGATGGCCAGGATTGTTGAGTCTGAAATAGAATGGACAATCCATCTTTCACTAGTGACATAGTCGAGAACTAGAATCTTCAAGTCAAATCAGCCCACATAGCCACTGGTATAGTTACATCTAGGGCAAAATCTTAGCCAGACTTGGCAGTATAGCCGTGAGATGCCAGAAATACCTAGCGATTCTCGAGAATATCTTTTGAACAATGAAGCCTAGAGAACTTTGAAATTCCAACCATTCTGTATTCCGCCAGATGAGGGCTGCACCTCTGTCTCAACTACGAATGTCTCTTATCAACAAAGTGCGTGCTCAACCAGGCTCCCAAGCTGGGCATAACGCTTCCATAGTAATCTGAGCTGCCTGACACCTGCGATCCCTATTTTATACTTGATATCTTGACATTCGAATACTTGGGGCTACATTGATTAATTTTAAAAAAAGGTATGTTGCTTCATTGGCGCCAGCGGCCAAGCAGCTTTTGCCATTCATCGTCGGTGATGGAGTGGATATCAGGGTAGTATGTATACTTTGTTAGTCAGGAAATATAGATATACAAAAAGGACAATACCATCTTTTTACTTAATAGAAACTTGGAATTATAAATTGCAGGCACTTTGGTTATTTCTGATCATTGTCATGTATTCGTCTCGCTAAACTAAAAGGTATCATGAATCTGCTGAAATGTACATCACTGTTGACTAATGGTTAGCAATCTCTCCATCTGCAGTTTATCTAAAGACTCACCATTATTTCCACGGACAAATGTATCCCCATATTCCCTGCGCTTTGTGCCATTGACAAATTCCTGTGTTTTCTCGAGGGCAATGTTCATGTAGCCGTCGACCGACTGAAGTTCGCCTATATCCCTCAAAGTAAGACGCGTTAGCAACTTCATGTGCACCTGGATGCTTCGAACTGAGGTTCCAAGTTTCGCATAAACGTACCCTTATAGACCACACCCGAGTTGAGCTTGACAATGACAGCATTGCCGATGATTTCGCTGAGAAAGCTGGAGGGGTCCTTGCCCTCGTTCTGGCCACCGTTCTCCATTATTCGGTCCGATTTTTGTAGGATATATATCTGCTTTGGGTGGCTTATATAATATTTGATAGCCTAGATGGTAGTATTGTGCTGCGCTGCGATAAGTTGTCGCGTTGATGGACGCTGCGCTTCTCGAATGTCGTTGTTTGGTGGATGGAGTTTTTACGCAGGCGGCGGGCATTCACTGGTGGAGTGCGTTGCAAGGTGGTGCGGGGCGCCACCCAATGCACACCTACTGTGAAAGAACGCTGGCAGAGGGGGACTACTGCTCTAGCGCGTGTACAGCGTAGGCATATATTTCTTTGGGCGCGCCCGCAACTTCGATTGATACGTTCTGTAGCTGCCATTTTATCGCCGACCAGCGTTTTGCACCACTTGCACATTTTTCTTGGCTATTTCCGCTTGGTGCAATTTTTGCTCTTAGTGTTGCCTCCGCATGGCTTCTAATTTGCCATCGCTTCTTCTGTCCTCGCTACCAACAATCCGATTGCCATGGCTGACGATGCCTCGAAGCCAATCAAACTGCCGTTTGCGCCAACCGCGCTCGGCAAGCTTCCCTTCAAACCTCGCCGAGACTTAGTGCGCAGTCTCTCAGGCGCAGAGCCTCTTCGAACAGAAAGCAAGTCAACTGATCCCGCTTCGTCCAACAGAAATGCCGATGATGCAGACCAAGACCTCGACCTATTCAAGCGCGGGCGCGAGATGAAGTCCAAATTGGCTGCTGATAGAGAGCGCGAAGCTCGAAAGAGACAAAAGAGGCTACAGGAGGAAGAAGAACGGCAACTTGAGCAGCAGCTCTCAGAAAGAACTCGCGAAGCCACAAGCAGCAAGCCTGCTCCCGCTCCTCTCGCGCAAGTAACCAGCATCGATTCCGACGAGGATGCATTCTCAAGGTAAACAACGTGGATATATTACTCTACCGCCTCTCTAACACACCACCTACAAGCCCCGGAAAAACGCCGCCCTCAAAACGATCTCGTCTATCAACCCCGCCAACGCGCGAAACTCGCAGCAGTCGCAGCACACGATCTCGACGCATCCTCTCCCCGCCCGCTCTACAGTCCCCGACGCCTGTGCACATTCCTGTCTCATCCAGCACAATCACCATTGAAGATTCGGACTCTGAATCTGATGTGAAGCCCATACAACGACCAGCTCCGCCGCGGCGCTCTTCCACACCCGACTTTTCTCTTGCGGCTAACGATGTTGACGACGACATGGCCGAATACGTCCGCCGGGCACGCCTCGCTAAAGAGGCTGCGGCCAAGGACAATACGGCCAGCGACTTCGCCAGCGACGCATTCTCATCACCTGCGCCGCAGCGCAAAGCCGCTGTCGAGATCGTTCTTACGTCCAGTATACCGGGCACACGTTCGTCTGGCGCCAAAGTTCCCTTTGACAAGCCGCTTCGCATTGTCCGTGACAGCTGGGCGGCCTTACAGCGTAAATACGGATGTCCGCTTCCGAGCGGCCTAAGCGGCGATGATGTGATACTGACGTGGCGGCGCAAGAAGGTATACATGTCGTCATCGTTGCAGAGTTTACACATCCGGCCGCTCCCCGATGGGCGGGTGGGTGCTGCCGGATCCAACTCTAGTGACGGATTCAACGAGACTAGAACAAGGGTTCATATGGAGCTATGGGCTCCTGAAGACTTTGCACAGTGGGAGCGCGAGGAGAAAGCACGCCGGCTCCGCTTGGAGGATGGCGACATGGATGACGAGGACGATGGAACCAATAAGGCAGAGGAACAAGAGCAGTCTAAGCTGCGTCTTATTCTTAAGCCGCGGGACTTAGAGCCATTCAAGGTGGCAGCGCATGCAGAGACGACAATTGGCGAGCTGCTGCTCGCTTTCCGCAAAGCGCGCAATCTGGACGATGATACAGACATAGCCTTATATTTTGACGGAGAAAAGTTGGAGGAGGGTGACACTGTGCAAGATGCGGATATTGATGACATGGACACGCTAGAGGTGCACATAAAATCTGCCTAAACGCAGCGGTGTGTTGGGAACTTTGGCATAGCATAGCACGGCGTAGGAATTGAGATTTACTTTGAATAGCGCAAGTACCTGTCAGACATCACATAGAGGCAAAACTTGAAAACTTATTGAGAAATAAGAAGGCCTTTGACCGATTAATTAAAGCTCTACGCGGCCTCTCGCAGCGGAGCACCCTACATGTAGTAAACGCCTACAAACTCCAGTCCTGAATTCTCAAATCCTTTTGTACAAGGCCGCCATCAACACCAATACGCCAAAGTGAGCATATCGCTTGAAAAGAAAAGAAAAGCAAAAACAAATCAAAACTCCTTGAGGATGAATTCTGCTATCCACCCGTGCTGTGAAGTGGACACCAAGGTTTTAAAACAAATGATAGCGGTAATTGGAGCCTCTAAGCGTCGATAATGTGGCTCATGTTGGTTGGCATCGAGGATGGGGATATGGTCTCTTTTAAAGGTACACCCTTTTCCGGTGTTGAAGGGAGCTTTGCGGCATTGGTATCTGAACCAAGCGGCAAGGAAACGCAGATAGGAGACGTATTAGTAGCCAGGTTCGCCTTTTCCATGATTTTGCCATCGGATGCACGGCTGACAAGATTTTTGACAGATTTGAATGGCATAGGCAAGGGCTTGGGAGTAGCACTGCTCTTAACAGGCTGCTTAGGCTTGCGAGCACGTGGCTTGTTGGCTTTGACGGTCTTGTCTGCCGGCTGCGATTTGCCAAAGAGGGTGGCCTGTTTTGTTGTTGTGGTAGCTTTGGCGGCGGCGGCTGGCTTCGGACTGGGTCGAGGCGTAGGAATAGCTTGCAGCTCTGATATAATTTGCTGTTTGACCTCTTCCTGCTCAGGGCTGGATGAGGATGATTTGCTAGTCAAGGATACCTCGATATTGGATTTGAAAGCGCCTTCTTTGGGCATAAGGTAGTCATCACCAATCTCGCAATCCCACGGAGGAAGCTGGACGAGACTAGCAACATCATCGCACTTGGCCTTGACAACAAGATCCCAGCAATCCTTAAAGTCGATACCCTTGGGCTCAGGAGATGGGTTGATCCAGGCTGTGAAGCCATCCCGTCGGCCACGCGTGACTTGGCACAATTCCTTTACTAGTCGGCGGGTCCCTGGTACCTTGAGTGTAGTTCCAACAACAAGGACGGCATCCGGGCGAGCGCGCAGATCTGCACTTGAAACATTCCCAATGGCTTCTTCGTCAGGGTTAAACTCGTTGTAAAGAACGAAGCGAGGTCGAAGGCGGCCGATGCCGTGACTTCGTTTACCACCAAAGTGGGTGCGAACAGCGTCGTTTTCTTTGCACGTCTTACAGAGCGGCGCCTCAGGACCGTCAAAACGAGATTCATCAAACGGTGAAAGCTCACCACACTTTGTACAGACCATATTTTCCAGCCCGCCATGCAGTTGAACTGTGGCAGGCCAAGGACCTTTGAGGTTTAGTGGAACCTTTGTGGCAAGCGGCGGGAGGTTGGTATCGATGCAGTCAATATTTTGTGAATAGAGCCGTAATAATCTGCCCTCCTTGGCCAAGGATGCAAGCAGCTGGTGGAATGGCGTAGCCTTTGCGTTTTTGGACATGGCGACCATTTCACGAACCATATTATGGAATGACTGAGTGGATGAGTCGTGTTTATACACCGAGGCGTCAAACAAATGTTTGCCCGAGGATTTGACGTTGTGCTGCTTCTTAACCTGGGCAAACATGCCATTGGAAGAACGGAAGTCAGGGATACCTGCCGAGACCGACATGCCGGCACCAGCAATAACGACAATCTTCTTCTTCTTACGAAGTTCGGCCGTCAAGCGGTCCATTTGCAGGCGGTCTTGTTCAGTGTATTCATCCTCAGATTTGAGCAGATCGAGGTATTCGGTAGTGCGCTCCTTTGGTGTTACAGTACGCCTTTTCTTGGCGGGGCGGTCGCGGTCGCTGTCTCCAGAATGCGAGCCATCCAGTTGGCCCCTGCGCTTAGAGCCCGAGGTACTCGAAGTCATGGATTCTGGGGGTGAAGACGATCGACTGCACGGGCTGTCGAGGAAAGCGTTGAAAAGGGATGGGCGTGGCGACAGAGGCGGAGAGTTTGTGCCGACGGACGACAGCGGACTCGAACACTCCATGTTGGGTGAAGTAAGAGCTGGCTCTCCTAGTATTGGTGGTGGTGTGGATGCTGGCGGTTGGATGGCCGATATGGGAAACAACAAACGAATGCGATAAAAATTGCAAGAGCGAAATTAAGCGGAATCCACGAGTCCTCTAGATCATGGTGATACAGCGGCTGTAGGCAGAGCAAAGGGGCGGAGAAAAACAGGTGCTGGTGAGAAATGCGTGAGCCTCTTTTTACGGGCAGGCGAGTCAAGACGGATTTCGACGAAAGCGTTGGCAGAGATAGATGTGTGAGCGGAGAGCGACAGTCAGGCCAGGGAGCGTCAACAGAGGATAGGCGGCTCTTTGTGCGCTGATGCTGAGACCGGGTTGGGTTTGGCGAGGGGCCTGGAAGAGAAGATGATGGTGAAGGGAGAAAGAAAGAGAACGGGCGAGCGAACGAGCGACCAAGGACAACAAGCAGAATGGGATCGGAGGGGGCGGTCGCAATAGGCCAAATGCCAATGGTACAAATTGTGCAGTGCTGTCTCGCGGCGACAAAGGCAAAGGCAAAAGAGAAAGTGGGGAAGGCGGAATGCAAGGAAACAAGGAGGAATCCGGGGCGGCCAGTTCGCTGAAGTACAGAGAAAAGCGCTGTTATTTGGAGCGTTGTTATTGTGTGGGTATGTGTTTTGGGGGGGCTATATGGAGCCTTGTTGGCGCTATCTGGAGCCGCCTTGAGCAACGTGAAGTACAGCCGCGATATTCTCGGTTTCTCATCTTCCCATCGCCCAGAATTTAAGCACTATCCTCCTTTGCAAATGAAATGTCTAGGATTGCCTTCGTTTGTAATTTCCATTTTCCATTTTCCCCGGCTTTTGCTCACACATTCGTCCCATCCCACAGACTGCTTGGCAGGCATCATGTGCATCAAACTTTGATTTCTGCAAGCCATCGTCACTAGGCGTTGGCCAGATAGCATCCGATCCTGTGGCCACGGCTGTAGAAAAATCTTTGTAAATAAGTGAGATCACTCTTAAGTAACCCGTTCGACACCTTTTGTTTCATATTTTGTCCTTATCCCGTTCGCCACTCCCTCCAGCCAACCGCTATACCCGTCATTTAGTTCGCCCTGCACGCCCAAAATAGGACTGCCCCATATCCAAGCACTTTCCGAAAATGGACATGCACTCACCGTTGCTCGGAGACCACTGTGGACCCCTTCATCACAGCTGGCCCGTTCAGCAACCGTACAGAACCTTAGGCACCCTTCACGGGTGTCGGGCAGAACCATTGGCGTCGTACGTCTTTGGTATGCTTTTTCATGTCCGTAATGTAATTTTGTTGTAAATAATCAATATATTCACACGATTCGTGGGTACCCGGCCTGGCAGTGCGTGAATCTTCAGCTGCTGCGGGCTCACCCCTGATTCACAAGCAGCCTCTAGCCACTACATTGATGTAGCGTTCACATGATGGGACGAAAACCTGATGAAACAAATGATGCAGATAGATATACAGTTGGTCTAAAAGAAAAACACTATGATACACTATTTTTGGGTAGAATTCACAATTCTTACCAAAATTTCCACCATTTAGCACTCTCCTCCTTCTCGTCAGCCTCTGTCTTCAAAGGAACGTCAAGCTTGACCTCGATGATATTCTTGCCGTCTTTCCTCTTCCCGATCATGGCGTCGCTTCTGCTTATGAGCTCCATGCCTGCAATACCCGCCGCCATGCCAGACAGATGTGACGCAACGTCCACCTTCAACTTGGCCGTCCGACCGAAAGCCGTGAGTTGCAAGGCAAAAATCAGTGCTAGAAACACAATGCCATGAACACCATCCTGCGGCAGGCCAAGAATCTTAAAGCCATCCATTCTATGTTCCCAAAAGTAAGCGGAGCAGAGCCCCAATGTCGCGCCTGATGCTCCCAGCGCTGTAACATTCAGCCAGCCACGTAGTGTATATGTTACCAAACTGCCCAGAAAGCCCATCGCGCCACATGACAGGTATAAAGCTAAAAAGTTGGCCCGACCAATTTCGTCATGCAGATTTGTTCCAACAAACCACAGAGGAACCATGTTAATAAATAGGTGACTGATGCGCTGATGCGAAAACATGGCTGTGAACATCGTCGTTGGCCGAATCGTGGCAACTACGACAAGCATATGCTTATTGAAGAGCTTCCACAGTGGAGGGATTCTCCAACCAATATATACTACAGCATTGGCCGCAATTAGCGTTGCAACTGTAGCCCATGAGGTTGGAATATCTGGAAAAAGCCTGTACTTGGCTGCAGGTTCCTCGTAGACCAAGGCGATACCCGCAAGAAGGGAGACTGCGAGAGCAACTAGCGCAGCGGATGGCGCAATTCTCTGCAGTCGGCTCATCTGAGGAGGTTCTGTAATCTCTGACTGAGCTTCTTCGTAGTACTTGACAATTTTTGGGTTCCTAATCGATCTTGCGTATTCTTCTCGCGTCGCCAGCGGTCCAGCTTGTGCCGCCTCCTCTTCAGCCAGCTTGGCCTTTCTTTCTTCTTCCAATGCATCTTCGCGAGCTTTCTGTTTTGCTTGGTTGCGGGCTCGAATTTGGTCAAATGAGCTCGCTCCATAAAGGGGGTCGATCTTGAACGCCTCGGCCTGGTCCTGGGCAGCCCCTGTTTCGCCTGTTTTCGACTTCTCAGCAGCTTTAATAGAATCCTTTTCAATCTGCTCCAATTCATCTTCGGCTCTCAATCCAGCATTTCGGATTTCTTCTATCGGGACTGTCTTTCGTAGGTATGCTAAAGCAGTAGCCCTCTGCTTATGGGTGAACTGTGCAGTGTGAATAGCATATTGGGGGTCGTCTAGCGTCCCTGCAACTCGTCGACCATGCAAAACGCGTAGCAAGTGATTAGCCGCCGGGGCCGTGAGCTGCTTGTGAAATAATAAGTCGGTTGCTGCTTCTTCTAAGTCCTTGCTGCGAAATTGCAGACCGACTTGGTCTTTGTACTCTCGCGGGAGTTCCTCATAGTCGCGCAGGATCTTGTGAGAGAACAGTGTCCTTATAGCGCCGCCGTGTGGTACTAAAAGCCGTTTTTGCTGTGGTTTATATGATGTTATAGAATGTAACTTTCCTCTCGCTATCGATTGCGACGAGAAATTTATCCATCGCAAACGTGTTTGAATCGACAAGGCCGGTGTAGAGACTGTCGGGAGGGTGCGACGAGCTGCAGTTCGCATTAGAGTTTGGCGGGCCTCGGAACAAAGCAACCCGCTCATGGTGATGGGTTTAGAGCCACCGATAAATTACTGTCCTCTTCGTCAGACTAATAAATTGTCGGTGCAGTACATTCTGGTTGCGCAGGATGACGTCGTCAGGAGAAGTTGTTGGAGAGAAACAGGGCCCGCTCATTTTTCTTCGGTTGCAGCTGGCCCTCCTCCGATCCGCCCCCACCAAGGCTCTAGAAAGTTGCCCCTCAACCTTCGTCAACTCAGTTCTGCCTGGCATCTTCCGTGCTTTCTTTCGATCGGCTTTCCTTTTCCCTTCGCTGAATATCCGACGCTCAGCAGGAAATTTTAGGCTACCAGGTCTGGAAATCTGACACAATGTCCGCAGATACAACCCCGATCACACCAGCACGCTTCGCTGTGGCGCTCAAGGACCTCTCTATCGGCATGCTACACGTCAAGGTTCTTGAGATTCGCAACTCGATCGCACATCTCCAATACTCCAACGCCGAACTTAAACCATTCGCAGAAGGTCTAGCTACAGCAATGCCCGAGAACGAGAACAATCCTACAACTGATGGCACACCAGACCAAGACTGCATCGATGCCATCAAAGAAAATGAGCAGGTTATTGACCGCATGATGGAGCGCATAGCCATCATCCGTGTAGAGGTCGAAGAGCGCGGTGCCAGCTGGGAAGAATTCCAGGCAATTGGCGATGCTCAAACAGAAGTTGGGGCAGGCGACGACAACACCAACTCTTCAAATGCAGATGGGCGGCATTCAGCTTGGACAGATGGTACTTTTCAGACTGGAATTATAAGAAATGGCCAAGTACATAGAGATCAAGATGCTGGCAGTAGGCAAGGTGGTGGAACATTGGATGATGATCAGTTACGCGCTGCTATGGACGAGCAGCTGCGAACGTTGGGCGATGATGACGACGACAATGGTATGCATCTCTAAATTGTGCTTTGATAAAAGCACATGGCGTTTAGGAGTTTTAGTTTGGAAAATCCTTCGACAAGTCAAATGAAAGATTACTATTGTTGAGCTAATGGGAACTATGTTCCTTATCTAGCACTATCTATACATATTATAGGGGCCAAACTATGAGACTGTCCCCTGGCAGTGGTTTGTCCGTGTCAGAGTCGTGGAGGGTCCGAGACGAGGACGACTCTGGGCTGGGCGGTAACAGAGAGAATTAGCGTAAAAGAGACAAACAAAGAAAAGCAATAGATAAAAAGTAGTAAAGATAGGTATGGTATAATAGTTTGGTAGATATAGAGGTAGACGAGAGAGAAAGTATAAAGAGTTAACGAGTATAGTGTAGTCGCAGGAAGAGGTTTGCGCGAGTATGTTACAGAGATAGTATTTTAGGTAGAGAGATCGTAAGTTAGTACTCTTGTATGTTAGTAAATTAAGTAGTTAGATAGCTAGTTAACTGCGGCGGCGCCCATTAGGCCCGGTAAACAGCCTCGTGAAGGCAAATGAAGATAGGATTAAAATAAAAGCATGAACTTTATATTTACGGCTAGCCACTGGTACCTAAGCTGCTGAAAAGGGAAGTCTATAACGGTATGGCTAAAAGGAGGCATGCTCCTATCAAACGGATAAGGTGTGTAAAAACAAAACCAACAACGGACAGCTTTTCTGTACCTGATGAAACAAAAAGAAGAACAATCCGTATAGTTAAGAAAGGAACGTGAAGAAATGGTCAAGAAACACGAGTATACGCCGAGGCCGTGCAAATCCATAATGCAGAGTCAGTTGAAATATTCGCCAATAATGCTAAACCAAGAGTAGTCAATAAGTATGGGGAGACAGCCCCTTAGCAAGGGTTCAAGAAAGGTCAAGGATGAACAGGATGCAAGATACAGACATCAGTCGGAATCGTCGCCAACAGGAGACGTCGCGTCAAGCCTGGTGCGCTTAGATCGCGACTTCTTTGTCTTCTTTGAAAGTTCGCGGTTAGCACCAGCAGCATCAGTGCTGGGTATAGTTTCCAGCTTAGGTCGCTGAGCAGCGTGGTTAACCGTGAGGCTATTGGACAACGTCTTAGCCATAGGAGGGGCCGCAATGGGATCAACATCGTCGTCATCAGCATCCCAGCCAGGAGGAACAGCTAGTGGCCGCATTCTTGGGGTTCGCCGACGCTCGTAGTGGTTTTCGAGGGTATCGTCGGATCGATCAAAGGACATGCTTCTGCTGCGTGGAATTGTCTGGTTGCTGCGAGTAACAAAGAGCGAGTCAATCAGTTCGGATTCGGTGGGCTCGTTCCTCTTCTTCTCAGACGTCGTTCGCGACATGCTGGCATCCTCTCCCACTAACGTCATGCCACTTGATTTGCTGCCAGAGCTCACGGCCCGGCTAACAGGGATCTTGCCTTCCATGACCTTGGCCGAGGGTGGTGGCTGCAGCATCCACTTGTGTGCATCTTTATGCGCTGGCTTGCTGCTGACCACAGGCGGATGGAAGTCATTCACAGGAGGGTTTCGGGGGGTAGTGTAGAATGCCCGTCGCTCCTGTTCACTGACTTCCTTGTTACCCAGAGCTGACTCTACTAACCTGCCGGCTGAGTCCTTAGCTTTTGAAAGAGCATCCTTGATTTTATGTCCCGACCACTGGCCCCAGAGTTCTTCGTCCTCCCTTTGGTAGCCCTTTTTCCTATTCCAGTCGCTAGGAATATCCTCTTCGTCTACTCTGGTGATGCTAAAACTGTCTCCGACGTTGATGTGTTCCGACATACTCGGCGCTTGACTTTCTCGATCTGAGCTACTAGTGAGGCCTCTCTGGCTCGAGTTCTTGGAAACTGATTTCTTGGGAAGGCTCGGACCCATGTCGATCTCCTCCTGCCAGTATGGATTTGTATTGAAAGGCGACGGGTGGCGATAAAGCCCTGGTTGTTCTGTCTCCAACTTTGCCTTCTCTAGCCTCTCTTTCTTTGCGATATCTCTAGCCTTTTGCCTGTGCCGAACCTTTGCGCATGGTGTACATGCAACAAGGTAGAAGATGGCGGACTGTAGAGCGACTGGAAACGACATGATGGCGGTTTGTGCTTAGAAGACCCCCGAGATGGGCCAAATCTTACGGAGGCCAGGACCTAATTGCGGTACAGACTGTGTTTATCTGGGCTCGCGTGCAGCGTTGGCGCCGTTATTGCGACTGGATATTGTCTAGATAGTGGTAGTCGGCTGGATGTTGGCCAACTTGGTGGTCCAGTTGGGGTGTCGTTGTCCTACACGCGTCTATGATGCACGCAGGAGTAGTTTCTGTAAGCTTATCGTGTCGGTTTGTAAGGCGATTGGAATGAAGGAGGGGTCACTGGACGTGGGTGGCGGCGTTTGGTTGGTTATGTCTGAGATGTCGTTTAATGGGGAGCGATTAAAGGGGCCGATTGGGTGATGCGACTGGATCGGTGCAGAATCGGTGGGCGGGCGGAAAGAGGGTAGAAATGAAGGAAATATCGAAACGTCGGTCAGGATGATAAGAAAAACAAAGGGAAAAGGAAAGTCGGTCTTCGGAAGGAAACAAGAAAAAAAGCGTCGACCGAAGTCAGACTTGGACGAGTGAAGGATTAGGGAAGGAGGGCGTGGCCAGGCAAACGGCCAGAAGATGGAGGCAGAAGTCGCCTAGCCAAGGTACTTGGATGGTACGCTGTGGGTAACCAACAGCGTCGCTTTACAGGGAACGGGGCGCTGCGATGATGCACTGGCCGATCCGGAAGCCCACGGGGAGTTGCCCTGGAAGTCGCTGTAGGTAGCTTTTTCAGGGCTGCCGCTTAGTATTGAAGGGGTATTTGGGCATAGATAGCGTCGTATGAGCGGCGACAAATGGCCATGGGCTTATGCACGGCCAATGGGAGGCGGCGCTTGGGGCCCACGAGGCGCTGTGGCCCAAGAGTTGAGCCACTAGAGGTGCCGTATTACAGCGCATGGCGGGTACAGGTGCGGGGAGGAGAAGAGAATCGAAACGCAGGAGCTCCGTCAAAATGCAAAATTGGCTTTTAGCAATAAACTGCAAAAGATGCTGTTCTGGTGATAGCATACGCGCAACAATGTATCATCGTCAGTCAGAGAGCCAGCAACGCCGGCTCGCGCACGTAGCTGTAGTGCACCCCAGACCCTGGAAACCGGTATTGGACACTGCCACAGTCGTAGCATATCGTCATCCAACACAACGCACGACTCGACTAAGCAGCCGTCGCTGGGCACCCGCTCCTGTGTTACAGCTTTGACCCAATCCGCCCTCGCATAGACTAATAGTGTCACAAAAATGGAAACAAGGCGAATAGTGGCCAAAAATATGCCCACAGGCCCTGGCATTCAGTCTACGCCGCTAGGCTGCGCTGTGGAACATCTGTCACGCGAGCATCTCCTGCCTTCGAAAGAAGGGCGCCACAGGCTGACGGAGGAATATAGTTGGCGTTCCGTTATGCATACTGTACATAGGCTTTTAGTCTTGCTTGCCCTAGCTTTACGCATGCGCTGTATGCTGCAGATTTTGGTTTGGACTTTGAGGTACCTTGGTGCATCGTATAGAAAACACGCAACCTTGTCACCCATTGCCTTTTGCCTTTGTCACCCATTGGTGGTCCATGTCTACAGAACCAGACAGCCTCGATTTGCCTGGCCAAAAGTATCAGATACAGTTCTGCAAAGTGACAGTTATGTTATGATATCCCACGTAACAAACGAGCCATCGTTCAAGCAGGAAGTATTTTCCCTGTAGTCGAATTCATGCGATGACGCTGGATTAAAGTCCAAGGCACAGACAGAAAGACACTACACCTACTCCAGCACCTGGTAGGTGGCCGCCTTCTGTGGTAAACACCCGCAACTGCTGTTAGCGCCTTGCTGGCGTATTATAGAGGGGTACAAAAAAGTGGCAAGAGCGCCATCGTCGATGGATCCCTGCTCCGCCGCTTTGGACGCTGAGCCATCACCACGGTAAGCGAGGAGCCCACGTTTTACAACTGGCGGCCAGCATTCGCTCTCTTATGCCGGACTAGCGCATTTCATCGATTCCCATGATCACGCATATACCAGACCCTGTCCGAATGCGGTACTTCCAATCGCATCAATCGGCAATCTCAGTTACTGCACACGCTACGCTCATTGGTCTGCGAGTGGCCCAGATTCACCAGCAACGTCCTCGACAGTGTAGCATCGACAAGGAGGGTTGGTGACATGTCCGCCTTTAAATCCAATCACCACAGCACGCGGCCCATCACGAGACTCGCATTTCTGTGCCTCTTCGCTGTATACATTTACATAGATTGAACTCAAGTCAATTGAAGTATCTGACGTAGTCGTCTATTGCTCTCCAGAACGCGCCAGGTCTCCCTCCCTATACCCCAGAACCTTGTCTGCTTCTAGATGTCACGAGAATGGCATAGCGAAAGAAAAAAAGAAGACGAAAAGAAAAGAAATAAAACAAGAATGGGGAAATAAATACCCACAAGTAAATAGAAACAAAACGAAAGGCGGCTCAAATCAGACAAGCAAGTAAGCGACAGTATCTGTCTATGTCACAGTAATCGCATGCTTGATATTGTTGATCCTGTCCGTAGACGCATTTTCGGTGGCCAACAAGGTCTTTTGACTCTAATTAGCAGAGGGGGAAATCGCGGCTGAGATATGGCGCGTGTGTGGTTGGTACATATAGTACAGATGCTGAAAGGTAGTTCATCGTAATCAGGTGTTTTAGAGGTGGAGGCGAGGGATTATATTCCAGACCGTGACATGTTTGCTTAAACATCCCACTCTTCCTCTTCCTCTTCTTCCTCATCATCATCGTTAGTGAGAGCTGAGAAAGCGCCGAAGTTTACTTTCTTAGCGACGGTGGGAGCCCGAGCAGCCACAGGCGCAGGGACAGGCTTCGTGGCCTCCGCCACAGCCTCTAGCGGTACCGCAGCCTTTTTCTTTGATGACTTGGTTTGGACAGTGTTCCACTCATCATCGTTGTCTTGCTGTTGTACTACAACGGGTTCAACTGGTTTGGCAGCCGATTTGGGCGTTGTCTTAACCGCCACAGGTACAGCGGCAGCAGGAGCATCCACCAATTCAGAGGTGTCGAGGGGTGTGTGGAAGCCGTTCGTGGGAGCAGAGTGACCATTTGGCGAGCCCTGCTTCCAAGCAGATACAGCAGCATTAGTAAACTGTGATCCATCCTTGGCAGCACGTCCGTCAGCAATGCGAGCAGTGCGGCGCTGCTTCTCTTCCAGGACCTTGCGGTGTGCCTCAGCCTCGGCAGCCATAGCCTTAGCTGCCTCCGCCTTTCTGCGGTTCTGTCGCTGTTTCTTAGTTTCAACCTTCTCGGGAGCCTTGGCCGTCTTCTTCTTCTCCTCCTTAGGGGCAGTGCTGGTGAGTCTCAATACAGATGGTCCGGCAGGCTTAGCCTCAAGCATGTCATCCACACGCCCGGCCTCAGCTGGGATGTTGCCTTGAGCGTCCTCAGGCACATCGGGGGAGATCTCCTCCGGCTCGGATCCGGCGATAGGCTCGTCGTCAGTGGGCTGTGCTGGTGTCTTAGGGGCGGCAAGCTGGCTAGCCTTGGACTGCTTCACAGACTTTTCTTTCTGCTGCTTATTTTCCGACTTCTTGTCAAACTTGGTGCCCTCTTTAGCCTTGGCTAGCTGTAGGGCGAACTCCCGCGTAGCTCTGGAGTCATCCATAGAGTCCTTATCAGCGCTAGAGCTCGCAATTTGCGGCTCAGGAGCAGGCGCTGACGGTTTACTGGCAGTTTCATGCGCTTCTTGTGCAAATGCAGCCATTCTCTGCTTCTTTTTGCTGTCCTCCTTGGGGGCTTCCTGCTGTGAACCCTTTGCGCCACGAGCAAGACTGCGCTTGCGCGCCTGCTGCTGGGATGAAACATGGTAGACAGCATAACCAACACCAAATAGAGTGGCATACCCTCCAAGAGTGTAGAGATAGCTCATACTAGTTTCCGCCATGTTGATTAAGTGCGAGTGTTGATAAGAGTCGATCAATAATGTCGGGGGACGATGGGGACGTTGCGGACTTTTGACGTCGAAATATCAAGGGGTGATATACGGTCGAGTTCGATCAATAGATGGAATTACAGCAGAGCAAGATGGGCCTCGCTTTTGTTCGATGAATCGAAAATCGGAAAACAGAAGCTATTTGCTGAAGTTAGATGGCAATCGTGTGGTGCTCGTTTCGGGGTAAGGTGGCTACCTCTTCGAAATGCCGTGTGCGCGTGAGACGAGGCAGGGGCAGTACAATGAGACTTTGCAGTCGTAAAAATAAAGTGAAATAATGGGACAGAGGTTAACGAGATGGATTGTCCACAAAAGAAAGGCGGCGTGAGAGAGGATGGACAGGGAGTGTGAGGGTTGGAGATGAGGCGAGGCGTAAAGTGTGGTTCGGAAAAGACGAGCCAAATAATATGGTGCAAGTCAGAGTTGTGGCTACGTCGCCCAAAATGCGCAAACACACACAGATTGTGGAGACTTGCGACCCCTTTCACCCACTAAAGCAGTGCCTGTTCTGGTGGTGGTGGTCAAGGGACCAATGCTGGCAGCTGTCATAACATAAACTTTGCCTCTGCACGTAGTTTATATTTTACGATAACTTTTCGCGGAGAATTGACACTTTGATAGGAATGCTTCGTTTTTTTTTTTAACTTTCCTTTTTTTTTCCACTGCTTCACAAACTTTCAAGTACGTCCGCCGTAGAAAGCTTCACTGCCAAGGGCTGGTCGTGTGCCCGGCGCTAGTAATTTCTCTCTACATAGCGAATAGAAGTTATGTCGTCTCGGGTATCTCCAACCCCTGGTTTCGTCATACAAAGGGCGAAACTAGGAAACAGGCACGCCTTTACGAGTTGTAGTGGCAGCCTTGTCGAATGTGAGCGCCGGAGGCTACCATCCAGGCTGGTTTGCACCCCACCAAACCGTCGGCCAGTGAGGGGAAATCCATCGGGGGACTCCGTAATTGAAATTTTCCTGGCTATATATGTTTGACGTGTAAGCCATCACATCTCTATCCTTGTAATACGCAATCCATCATTGTCATTATATTTCTTCCGTTGACTATTCCATATTGGAAAATCGGTTCACCATGTCTCCCAAAAAGAGAATCATCATTGATACTGATCCTGGTAAGACAGAGCTTAACATCCATGCACAAGAGCATACACTGATACCGCCAGTCAGGCTGTGACGATACGCTGGCCATGCTGCTAGCCCTCAGCGCCAATCCAGAGGAGCTTGAGGTTGTCATGCTCTCGGTTACCTATGGAAATGTGCCTTTGGATGCGTACGTTGTGGAATCGTGACATTATCTTGTCTCAACCTGAATACTCACCTTCGTCATTAGCTGTTTGAAAAACACTGTCGCCATTTTTCAAGTTCTGGATAAAGAACTACAGTGGAGACGGGAAAATGGAATCGAAGAAGGCTTCCCAGCCCTGAAAACGTATAAGCCCATCATCGCTGCTGGTCCTTCTCATCCCTTAGAAGATGAGGAGCTTGTGGCTGATTACTTCCGTGAGTCACCTATCCCATGCATGTTGAAAGGAACAGCGCATTAACGATCCTAGACGGACTTGATGGACTTCATAACGTCCATGCAACTCATCCTCATCTGGCTCCAGAAGGTGACGTCGCCAAAATTTTCGATGATCACGCCAGTGGAGCTGCAGACCACAGCAACTACTCCAAATACTTTACACCGGCGAAGCTGCCCGCCCATAAAGAGATTCTCCGTCTCTTAAAGGAAAATCCTGCTGATAGTATTACAATACTTGCAGTTGGCCCTCTCACTAACGTAGCACTTGCCGCTTCTGAAGACCCCGAAACATTCCTCCGCGTCAAAGAGGTGGTCGTTATGGGCGGCGCCGTTGCTGTGGAAGGAAATGTAACTCCTGTTGCCGAATTCAATACCTTTGCAGATGTCATTGCCACCGCACGTGTGTTTGCACTCACCTCACGAACTCCCAACTTCACTTTGCCTCCCAAAACTGACAAGACCACCCTCCCACCGTACCCTGACAAGCTATCCCGACAGCTCAACTTGACGCTGTGCCCTCTTGATATCACGACACCCCATGAGATTGGCAGAACCTACTTTAACTCCGCCATCAAAGAACGACTTGCCGCCGGTAGTCCTCTCGCGGTGTGGACATCGCATTTCCTCTCAGGGGCTTTCAGCACGATTGAACGATTTTGGCACGGTGACGGAGAACCTGGTCTTTCCCTACATGATCCTCTTACTGTTTGGTATATGCTATGCCGTGATGATCCAAAGTGGAAACTCATGCCGCAGCCAGAAGACATTCGAATCGAGACTGAAGGACAGTGGGCTCGAGGCCAGCACATTGCTGACAGAAGGGGTAAACGTAAGCCCGCCGTGGATGCCGTGGCCGCTTCACAAGACCCTTTGAACGATCCTGAAATTATTGCGTTAGACACAGTCAAGGGCGACGAGATGGGTTGGCTCAGCGTTTTGAAGGGCAACCGCGTCAACCGCATCATCGAGTCACCTGGGGAAGAGTTGTTTAGGGAAGTGATGATGCAACGCATTTTTAACCTTTCATAGATACATAGAAAGTACAATAGACACATAGTTGATCTTGACTTGATTATTGTAATCGGATAAATAGCTTGCTCATGTTAAATGTAAAGCCGTTTGGGGGGAAACTTAGACCCAACGCTATAGAAGAACGCTGAAGAGGAAACGCGCCATAACGCCATAAATATAATCCCACAGATGAAAGAGAAGTGCACATGCCCACAAACCATATATTTGCTCTCGTAGCCAGACTCTACAAGTGCTTCGTGGTTCCAATGGCAGCTCCTTTAACCTCTGTCCAGTTTATACTTTCGTCAAGCTTCTCATCCACTAAGCCGATCGTACATACATTATCACCTCGTACGAGATATACGCCGCGTGGCTCTTCGATGGATGGCTCGGGATCGTCTGGTGTCCGGATAATTCGTTCCGTAGAGTCGCTGAGAACCTGCACAACCCATCACGCGTCAGCAACTCCCCAGATCCAACTCTGCAGACTATATATAGCTTACCAGATTTGTAGAATTATCGCATGCTACAAGTGTGCCGACCAGTATTGTCGAGTCCGCGGTGACGATCAAGACTTTCTCTGCAGCGTGCGGCGTTAGCACTGTCCCCAGAAGCGAAGCATGGCGGCCACATCCTACACCTCCAAGCTGACTTACTGTTAAGATAACCACCAATAGTCGCCATTATAAATAGTTATTATTGGATTGTATAACTTTTTATTTGCGAACGCAGGGTTGGAGAGGACGGTGTAGATGCAACAGGAGCTACGGCTTTGCGGGTGAGCGTTTGGCGTTGAAGATTTTGGCGGGGTACGGTGGAAGCTCAACCTAGGTTGGACTGGAAACCCGTCTCTTTTAAGCTTATGGGATGCGCAATAGGACGCGAATTAATACTACACAGGGGCAATTGATGAATGCTGGGCATGCTTCGAAGCAGACTTCGGCATAATATCTAGTATTACATTTCAGAAGTCTCTACTAGCAAGGACCTTCAAACTTCATGTTCGCGTACGTCACGCTCCACCTCAAAGCCAACCGGCTGCGATACAGACGTTTGTGTCCCAAGTTAAATATACTACAAATGGGTTCTTCCTCACATCGCCAGTCAAGCCAGCAGAAGTAATGAAAAATGTAAAGAGTTCGCGTCGCCTGGAGGCAGTGTAATACCAGGGACACTGTGGGTTGGATCATGCGCAAGCACAGAGGAAACGACCCGAAGACCAAAAATAAGAATAATCAATAAGGGTCTCATTTGAGACCTTTCAGAGATTAAACTGAAAAGAACAGATACTACACTTGATCTAAGCCAAAAGGCAAAGAGAGCTAAAGAAGAAAGGAAAAAAAAAATTCTAAAAACCGTGGGGCTTCTGTGGACTTTTATAGAGTCTCGCCCGGGCGGTGAGAGTGCTGATGGGCAGAATTGTACTTTGCTCGAAAGACTTTGACCAATCAGACGCCGTACCTGAGCGTGCGGCTGGCTGGTTGCCTAGCGCTGCCTAGGCTCCCAGCCAGCCGTAGGAACCACGATCCTTGCTTCTTGTCATATTGACCGCTTCAAAAGGATTACACGCATGTGTTGAAAACTGGGTCATCTCCCAATGAGAAACCATGGCCCGTTGAATCATTGCGGCTGAGTTGCTGCCTATGGTTGCCAGATACAACAAGACACATGTCTCCATTCTGGTCCGCCCACGCCGTCGTCACTCTCTTTGAAAGAGGGCACATAAATTTACATGTCAGGGGTATTTGATTGAATAGACACAGCTGAAGCTGCTTTTTCTTTATGAAACCCCGGCTATACGCCTCAAGGCTGTGATCAAGCTACGCCAAATTCATACCGAATACGAAAATCAAATCAGTTTTCCTTTCCAGGTATCTGTCTATAAGCAACCAGATTATAACGCCGCTTAGTCTTTCAATACAAGAGACCAGTAAACCCCCAAAAATAGATACCGATGTTTGTTTAGTCCTCAATCAATTCGCCCTCATCTTCTGATAACCGAGTCCTCTTCTCCGTTCTCTCGGTATCTGCAGGGCTGTCGACACCGTCTTTACGTTTCGCTGGCGACTGGAGTGCGTACGCTTCTCTGGACAGTTCCGCACGCGAACGAGGTTCTGCGTGCCTGTGGGTATCGCCATTAGGCGGACGAGGGCTACGGCTGGCGCGGTCCATTGGAGTAGCATTGCTCGAAGACAGTGTCTCCGTCTGGCTCAGCAGCGTATCGCCTCGCTTTCTGGTGGCCTCCAGAAAGAATGCTGGGGACGATATTGATGGATTCTGCTTTCTAAGCGGATTTTCCACGTAAAACTGGCGCATGACCTCGATCGCGCTGCTGCAACGACCCTCGTCACCATCCAAATATCGCCACCATGGGTCCCCGCGAACGTCTTCAATTTGTTGGTTTGTATGGATGCTGGAAAAGAATATTGCGCTTATTGCGACGTCCCTTGCCTCAATGAGTAATGGCAGGGATGTCAAGCAAGCATCGTTGCAAAACGACCAGGCCGCTTGTCGAAGGACTTTGTTATGTACGATGCCCAGCTGCCCCAGAAGCTCAAATAGATGACGGTAAGGATTGTCAATCATCAGGTCAAAGGTGAGCTGCTCCAGCATGGTCTCCTCGTACGTCAAAATACTATCTCTCCAGCGCCAATATTCTTTGCTTTGTTCGTCGATTATCAGTTTTGCATTCTTCTGGGCGACTTTCGCGACCGCTATTATAATGTCTTTCGTTTTGCGACAATTCTCTTCAACCTTGTTTCCAAGGAATAGAGCCGTGGCGGCAATATTCTGTCCATTGAAGATTAGCAATGCGAGGGACACAGACTGTGCCATACGTGACTCACATAATGGTGGATTCCACCCTTTTCTTGCACCATGCTATATCTCATATAGAATCTATGAAAGAAGACGCCAGCGACCCAGAGCGTGATTTGTGGCAAATCCAGCATTACGCCAGCTTGGTAAATAAAGTTGACGCCTTTGGCACGACGCAGTCGCTCTTCTTCCAATGAAAGCCCATCGATGACAGATGGCGTGCTTAAAACTTCATTAGAAGTAAATGACCATTGGTTCGGATCTGGAATTGGGGATTCCGGTCGCGATGCTCGGGGAGATTGTGTTGCAGAAGCTCTGTGTGGTCTTGGTGGCGAAGTGCGGGATGAGTGTTGAGGGGGTGTAGGGGCGGCCGGGGGGACCTCCCGTCTGCTCGAAGGTGAAGTTGAACTGCGTTCTTGGCGATTATTTGGCATGTTTGGAGGTTGATAGCCCTCGCGCGGCGGCCGGTATCTGTCGATGCTTGCCATGTCGGCTCGGCGAAATCTTCGTGGCTAGTAATCCCAAACTCTGGGTTCAAACGGTACGACTCAAGGGTTATCTCGACTAATGGAAATATCTTTCGGGTCCAATATTTGGGTAACAATGGAATGAGAATGGCCGTTAGTTGATACGTTGCTCAAATGAACTGCTTATGGTGACGCGCGCAACAGGCCGGTGGCGGAAGGGTAGTTAAGCGGCGCATCTCCAGCCAGAGCCAGCCAGTCACCTGATCCCGGCCTTTTAACGCCAACAATCTCAAGATGTGGTAGCACGACCACCAATAATTTAGGAGATCGGAGAAGCATTCATTTTAAAAGGGGTATCTATACTCCAATTCCTAAAATATATTACAAATCTAAATTTTATATCGGCTCACCATCATTGCGGCCCCAGAGCTTAACACTACGATCATTGCCACCACTAACAATCCAGCGACCATCACGGCTGTAGTCGACACTCGTAACTGGGCCAGTGTGGCCGTCGAGTGTCTTTATCCACGACCAGTTATCGGCGGAAAATATCTTGACTTTTTGGTCGAATCCGCTGGTTAGGAAAAATGTGCCGGATTTCTTGGGGATCTGGGCGCCGTTCTCATCGACGCCAGGTGGATTGCCATCCAACGGGTCATCGATTCCCTTAAACCATCGTACATCGGAAACAGCACTGTTATGGGCGCCAACACCACCAACTTTTTGAACTTTCCGAATATCCCAGCATTTGACCCATCCATCCGCAGACGCCGTTAATACTCTATGGCCGTCGGAGCTCCAGTCCAAGCCGTAAATGGGCTTGATGTGGCCATCATGTTTTCCATCCAAGATCATAATCGTTTTGCCTGAACGTATATCCCAGATTCTTCCAATACTATCTTGACCGGCACTGGCCAGTAATGAGCCATCAGAATTAAAACTGACTGCATAGACACCGCGTGAGTGGCCTTCTTGTAAAAGCACTTCCGTAGTGGTCTCGACATCCCAAAGCCTCCACGATGTATCATCAGAGGCAGATGCGAGATATTTGCCAGAGGGATGGAATTCAACCCGGCAAACACGTTGTGAGTGACCGCGTAGCGACGTCAAAGGTGTATCCTGGTTCAGAGACCACAGGTTGACGAGTCCCTCTGCGCCGCCTGTGGCAAGATTCAGAGAATCAGGGGAAACACCAGACTCGGACAGTGTTGCTCCAGGAAACCATGACATACCACTTACTTTATTTGTATGCCCACGGTAAGTCATCTTCTCTGTGAGGTTGGGGATCGCAACAAGCTTCACTTGTCCACCCAAGTTGCCCACGGCCACCATCTCGCCGTTGGGTGAGATCCTCGTCATACTAATGTTTCGTTCGCCTACTATTTGACTGCCTTGTAGTTCAATATCTTCGATTCTTTCTTTCAATGTCTTGCGAAATTTGATGTGCGTTCTAAGAGGAATCTTGGCCTCCTCCTTCTGAAATGCGGTTCGTCGTTTTGCGCGCGGTATCGAGTATTTCGCGATATTGGCTCGTGCTTCAACTAGACCAGGGCCACCTGGTGTGTAAAATTCCTCTTCTTGTTCTTCTTCTGCGCCTTCATCTTCGGCATCGTCCATAGTAATGTCGCCGCTCTCTAGGCCCGCGAGCTCTGCTTGAATTGTCATAAGCTCACGCAAGCGGTCTCTACGGTCGCCTGGGCCTTCTCCAAACAGAGTCATAGGCTCTCCCATTTCTCGTAGCTTAGATCTAACTTTTCCATCGTCAGTTGGCACAGCCATCGTGGCTGCCAGGCGCTTTCGATTGAGCTGGTTGATGATAGCTGCCTTATCTGCCGAACCGCTAGCGCCAGCATCTGGGATCGCATAATTGTGATCCTCGGGGATATCCATCAAAGATACTCCTGACATGGGCTCATCTTCGACGTAAGCCCGCCGCGATGGATGCATCATCGTGCTGGTCACAGCCGTGTTGCTGGCAAGGCGTCGCTCAGATACCGTAGATCGTTGTTCGGGAAGTGAATATACAGTGAAAAGGCCACCAGTATATTGGCTTGGCGAATTTTTCGTTATCAATTCGATACAATGGTAGGCTTGGGATCTGTCGATTGTATTTGCTAGGCGGAATATAAGGTGCTCGATGTTTCCTTGCAGACGCGAATCACTGGGCGTTGTATTCTGTGAAAAATGTCGGTTGTACTATTTATGTGGAGACTCGTCGCTACCCTGGAATTATACGGTGATGCTTTAAGCTTAATTGCGACAGTCTCCGATATTTTGTTTTAAATATATAAACTGGTTTTAATGCTGTTTTGTAGTTCCCAGTTGTCTACTGAATGATTTTATCCGCTAGTTAGGCTCCAATTCCATCAGATGTGCGCTTGTCGGTTGCCTGGTGGTGGAACCCGAAGCACAAGAGCTCTAAAACGACATGTCTCAAAGCAGCAGCATCATCAACGCTATCAAAGGAAATCACCTGGGTTGAAACCAATTACACAATAAAAATTCAAAAGTAAAACATTTTTTGCAGTGAAGAATTTACTTGGTCCACACACTCTCATCCGTCTAGCGTACTATGGTGTCCAGCAAGCATAACCAGTGCTACTGTCTCAGACGTGAGCTCTGTCTACTGCACGACAATGGCGTTCTTAGCAATGTTTAGGATGCATCAAAATGGAATGGCACGGCTAGCCATCATCTGTATGCGTTGCCTACAATTGACGCTCGCTATAACGATGTCTGAGAACAGCAATCCATCTCGCCCACCGAGAGCCCCTGTCTATTCAATCCACCTGCCTGCACAGGAGCGGCCAATGATGGCATAACGTCCCTTCCCCGCAAGCCGCCAATGGGGGCCCACCGCTACAACGCGCTGACAATGCAGGCGCTGACCACCTGTTAACAAGATTTTTTCCCGGCTGCAGAAGCACACCCAGCCAACCAAGAACCAGGCTTTGTGCATACTTTTCTCCGCGGCACGTCGCTCCCTCTAAATTTCTTCTCCCTTTCAACAATCACCGTTCTTAACAGCAGCCACCACCCCTTTCGCCGATCGTATCAAATGACAGTTCCTCAACAAACCTTCTTCTTCAAGTACCAAATGCGTGTTACCCTCCAGCTCGAATCTCTGCTTCCCGTCCAAATTGAAGTGCGCGCCGATCCTGAGCGTCGCCGTGGCTCATTTTGAATTCTAAATCGCGCCGCTTGGGACGATCCATAGAGCGGTGCCAACTAGAATCGTATTTGGACGAAAAAAAGTCACGACGATACCCAGAACAACTTACCTTTGCCCTTTAAATAACAGCGCGCGCATACCATGATAAACTCTTCGCCCAACCAGCCTATCCGGGCGCCTGGCAACCTCGTTACTCCTGCGGCCTCCGGCGACGAGGATTCAGACGGCGGACATAAGGCTGGCTATATCACGCCTGTCAAGGCTCTCCAACGAGGTCGTAACCGTATCGACGATATTGTGAGCGCCAACTGCAGCCCAGTTCTCCGCGCCAACCCTTCACCTACCATGTCTGGCATCGCCAAACTGCGTTTGCAAATGGATCCTCTCAGCCTGGACAATACATCTAGATCCAGCTCTATTACCCGCGCTGACCGGGCTATCGAGTACGCATCTGATGGACGCATCATCGACAGTAGATCGCAGAGCCGCGCGAGGAGTGAGGCTGGAAGTGAGGTAGCATCTGAAACTGGCTCCACCAGCTACGAGGTTAACCTGGAGCATGACTTTGTTAGTGAAAGCGTCAGAGAAAGAGGTGGTCTAATGGAAGTGTTCGAAGGCGGTCTCCATCCAAGACGCAAAATGACGTCCGAGGAATTCGAACCTCTGCGCTGTCTTGGCAAGGGGACATACGGGACTGTGCTCCTAGTCAAGCAAAGAGCTACAGGCCGGCTGTATGCCCAAAAGCAGTTCAAAAAGGCTTCGCTCGTCGTGCACAAGAAGCTTGTGGAACAGACCAAGACAGAACGTCAAATTCTTGAATCTGTGAATCGCCACCCATTTGTTGTGAAGTTGTTTTATGCCTTCCAAGATCACGAAAAGTTATATCTCATCTTAGAGTATGGCCAGGGCGGTGAACTCTTCACACATTTGAATACCGAGAAGATGTTTTCCGAATCTGTAGCGGCGTTCTATATGGCGGAAATGCTCTTGGCTATTTCCCACTTGCATAACAACCTTGGAGTGGTCTACCGCGATTTGAAACCAGAGAACTGCCTATTGGATGCCGAAGGTCATCTTCTCCTCACCGACTTTGGACTATCTAAAGTCGGTGTTGAGCCCACTGACAGCTGCAACTCGATCCTGGGCACTGTGGAATATATGGCCCCCGAAGTCATTCTCGGCAAGAAATATGGCAAACCAGTTGATTGGTGGTCCTTTGGAGCCCTGGGTTACGACCTCATGACTGGAAACCCCCCATTCCGTGGCCAAAACCATGCTAAGATCCAGGAGAATATTGTCAAGCAGAAGCTCATCATGCCATACTTCCTCAGCCCTGACGCGAAGGACCTTCTGACAAGACTTCTTCGCAAGGAGCCGAACAAGAGACTTGGATCAGTTATGCCCAAAGATTTGCAAACACTCAAGGGCCACCGCTTTTTCCGCAAGATTGACTGGAAGAAACTTGCCGCACGCGAGGTTGAGCCTCCTATTCAGCCTATGATTACAGATCCCGAGTTGGCAGAAAACTTTGCACCTGAGTTTACAGAACTTTGCTTGAGCCCTGTGATTACCAGCACTGATGCATGGGCTAGAAGCCTTCCGCGCGATGACCCCTTTGGCGGATTCAGTTTCGTGGCTTCTTCGAGCCTTCTGGAGAGCAACAGCTTTCCCCTTATGACAGGGGTTTAAATTGTCTTTCATGATGACTTGCAATGCAATATCCGTGGACAATAAATTGGCTTCGAAAAAGGCTGGTTATATTTTAGACTATCGAATTATGACGCCAAAAGCAGATGAACACTTGGAGCGAAGACGCTCAGTAATCTTTCCACTTGGAATACAGGTAGACAGTACAGCGCTGTACAGGATGACGCGATCATAGACCACATAGACTAGCAACACTGATTGCGAGGAAATGGTGAAAGAGGAACGATGATGAGATGAAGTAATGGAGAGTTTGAAATGAGTTGACGAGAGCGATGCCATACATTTGAGTTTTTTTCCTGTTACCGTATTTGAGCTTTGATAGATATGTGGAGAGTATTCAAAATATTCTCGTGTTTTCGTTTTCGTTTCACAGCGTAGACTGCTACCTTTCAAGTATAAATTGACAGAGATCATCGGGTTTAGAAACTGGCGATGCTGCACGGAATGCGGGTTTGCAACTGACATTGAAGTCGGCAGTGGCGCCATCGGGCACTGGATTCCAAATTCGGTTGAGCGAGGACCATCTCCAACTCAAGGTCCGGCATGTGAAGGAACTGTACATCGCTTTCGAGGTAATGATGAACTTTTACTTGGCAACTCTTACAAAATGGAAGATAGATGACGTGTGCATCTATTCGTAAGGCTTTATCATATATATATCGATCCACTGGTAGCGGATATAGGGCGAGAGGCTCAAACGACACGGAGAGCTAAGCGACGGTCTTTGTGGCGGATCACCTTAGTCGCCAAGCCCTCCAGCCTAAGTTTGAGCTAAGGCGGCCAAGAATCCCATAGAAAAAATAGCTTCGGTCGACGCGTAAGAATTTATCCGTTGATAATCGGGTGTAGCGTGAATGCGAACTCGAGCCTGATAATATATACTTATCGTAATGCGTTGCGTGTTGGCCGTAGGTGATGGTGTTTAAGTGGGAACACGCTGTGGAATTGGACCGTGTCGGTCGGATCGATTTAGCCGCACGCCGACTCAACGACTGTTGATGTGCCATCGCTGTGCTGACCCCGATGGAGTTCTCCATTGTGCTCCGCCGCAATGGAGCAAGCCAAGATCTCCATGGGTTGATTTAGTTATCGACATATCGTTATCGTCTTCAAAACCCGGCTATTTGCGTGACAACACTGCCACATGAGGGGGCTGAGTTTGCCTTTCTCTCGACGCAGCACCTATTGTCCCGAGTGCACCATGAAAGTAATGCGGTCCCAAAGGAACTTGCAAGGAGCCTAGCAACATTTCGGAAAAAATTAATGACGGCCACGGTCCGACAAACGCTGGGAAGTAATAGAGAAACAGTGGGTATAACACCAATGGGACGGGATGAAACGGCATCAGTATCTGCTCTGCATACTCATGCTAACGAGGTCCTTTACAAATAACAGCACAAAGAGGAAGAGCCATGAAATTCGTCTTGGCAGCGAGGCCCCGCTACCAACGACATCGAAAAATCGCCGATATCTGATTCCATTGACGTTCATGGTGCCCGCCGCTTGCAGCACGAAACCAACTAAGCCCTTCCTTCTGTTGCCCTCGTGTGCGTTGCAAACAGGGACATCTAAAAGTACCAGGCGCTGCCGCTTGGCACCCTACAGTACAGTACAGTACTACAGGGATCGGCAGTGGGTAGTCAAGCTTATCCCGGGCACCCACATGCGCTGAGACGGGGGCGGCCAATGAGGCTCGGGTGGTTTGCAAGCCGTAGAATGGCCACCCCTCACCCCCAGAATTTGGATTACCTAGGTACTGTACTCAACCTACAGGCGTTTTTAGCGCGCTCACAGGCCGTTAGCTCCGCTGACAAACACGACGAAAAAGAAGGGTTTCCTTTTTTGCCGTGTTCTTGTCTGAATCATATCAATCTCCCCACTAGGCGCGCCCCCTACTCGGTCGACAGTGCACCCGAGCCGCTAACGACACCACCTCTCCAGAGGACTGCCATCTAGACCCCCAGCATGGCTGGCCACCAGAAGCGCGCCCTGGGCACGTCCCGGATGCTGGTGTTTCCTTTCTCCCCCTTCCCGGGACTTGTCGTCTATTCCTCCGTCTCTTGAGAAAAGGCCAAACTCTATAATACACGTCCCCCCCGGCTATACCGTGCCAACCCACGCCGTCTCTTGGCGAAAGCTCTTGTTTCACTTTTACTTTATCCTCTTCCTCGGGCGCACAACGCCTGCATTGTCAGCGCTTCTCTACATTACGTAGCCCTGTTTCGCCAATAATAAAACGACACCGGCTTCGCAATTCAGGCTTTGTGCTTCGCATTAAATAGGACTGAGCCTCACCCCGGGCCGCCTTCAAGTTGCCCCAATTCACCCTTTTGCCTTTCCCCATTAACTAGGATCGATACCCGCGCCACTGGTTAGTCCAAGTCAAAACCATGACATTTACTACAAAGTCGACCGCATTTGCGGCGGCAGCCTTGTTCGGTAAGTCGGCTGTAATAGCGGACCAGGCGTCTTGGTTCCAAGCTAACATGAACTTCTCGTTTCTAGGGTCGACCACATTGGCGGCTACTTCGAGCTATTGCCCGCGCAACGATATTAACAGCGGGCCATGCTACAGCTGGGGCGTCCCTGATGCCAGTGGCAACATCTATTTTCAGATCAAGGCTCCTGCTACGTATTCCTGGGCAGGCCTCGGCATCGGCTCCAGCATGTCTGACGCTGATGTTTTCATCATTTACACAGATGGCACAGGCAATGTTACTCTTAGCCCTAGGATTGCTGTCGGCGAGACGTCTCCGCAACAGACCACTCGAGATGACTTGACACTCCTTGCTGGATCCGGAGTCATCGATGGCCAGATGGTTGCCAATGTTAAGTGCACAAAGTGCCCCAAGATTGCCAATCTTAAGGGCGTCAATGACTGGATCTCTGCCTGGAATACGGGTGGCCCTCTAAACTCTGCCAGCGTCACACAAAGGATTGCCTACCACACCCCTGGCAACCATGCGGCCTTCCAGCTCGACTTCTCCAAGGCACAGATTTCGAGTGACGCGAACCCTTTCGTAGGCGGCGGCGAGACGCCTGTGAGCAATCCAGGCGGCAACAATGGCAACAACGGCAACAGTATTGTTGAAATCGCTCCCACGACGAGCCCAATGGTATATGCACACGGTATTATCATGATGATTCTGTTTACAGCCATGTATCCACTTGGTGCCGTACTTATGCCTCTCCTCGGCAACTGGATCATCCATGCTTGCTGGCAAACCGTTGCCATCTTCGCCATGTGGGCTGCCTTTGGTATTGGCTATGTTATTGCAAACGGTGCAGGCCAGGTATGCTTCGACGTCCTTTAATCTATGTGAGGTCTTACCACTAACTCCTTAACTAGTTCTTTAAGAGTACGCACACGCAGCTCGGCGTCTTCGTCTGCGCGCTGCTAAGTATCCAGCCTCTTTTGGGATGGCATCATCATCAGATGTACCGCAAGCATCAGAGACGCACCGGGGTAAGCCATGTGCACATCTGGTACGGGCGTGCTATTATGATTCTTGGTGTCATCAATGGTGGCCTCGGTCTTCAGCTTGCCAACACCAAGGGCGCTATGATGTACGCGTACATTGTCATGGCTGCTATCTTTTGGTCGATATATATTGTTAGCGTGGTTTTCAAGACTCTCAGACCCAGCCAGACGAAGCCGAAGGAAGTTCATGAGGGTTCGCAAGCCAGGCATGCATAGAGAAGCACGTTAAAGTACAGGAATATAATGCACGAAAGGATACGGACGGATATGAGGACGATATGATAGATACCACCGATTTTAAATAGACTGGGCTCTCCATCGTTGGATATTTACAGGCGCGAATCCCCAAACTAATACCAGATGTTCAGGAGTAGTGACCGAGATACTATTATACGTACATGGAGATATGTGAGACTCTTGACGTAAAGGTTCGAAGAGTCCGCGTTTCGGCGTGAAGCTCTGCCGCAACCCCGGAGACGACGGTGAAATTTGTAATCAAGGCCCTTTCCTGACATGACTAGCCAGAGCTGTGCTTTTTGAACTCTAGTGTTGTCTCTAGTGTTGTCATGTCAAAGGCGCGCCGCCGTTTGATCCCCCCCCCCCTGGATGACAGGAAGTGGAGTGCGATGCACGATGGGCGTAGATGACAATAAAAGTCCCAAATACAACCCGCATAGTAGTTGCAAAATGGCAAAATTATTCAATTAAATCACACTTTCAAAAGAGCTTGAAAGAAAATCTTTATAATATATTTATCATGAGCCGTACGACACAGAGCCCGGCAGGCAACACCATCAAGCTGGCAGCAGTGCAAGCTTCGCCGGTTTTCCTCAACAAAGCTGCCACTACTGAAAAAGTATGCGAATTGATTTTGGAAGCCGGAAAACAAGGTGCTGATATAGTCGGGTTCCCGGAAACATTCGTCTCTGGGTATCCAGGCTGGGTAGAACTGGTCGCGCTATCCACCAACCTTGCAAGTTCGCTCTTCATCCGACTTTTTGACGAGGCCGTTGAAGTCCCAGGACCAGAGACAGATGCCATCAGTACCGCTTGTAAAGAAGCTGGGATATATGCCATTGTTGGTATTAATGAGCGCAGGGCCAACACTACAGGCACCCTCTGGAACACCAACCTTTTCTTTGGAAAGGACGGATCACTGCTGCACAAACACCAAAAGTTTACTCCAACGGTGGGAGAACGACTCATCCATGCACCAGGAACTACGGGGAGCAAAACATCTATATTGACGGACTTTGGACCGGTGAGCAGCCTCATCTGTGGCGAGAACGGCAACCCGCTCGCCATTTACAGCTTGAGCCTGGATTATCCAGTGGTACATGTCGCCTCGTGGCCGCCACATATGGCTCTTGGCCAGATGTCTGGCGATGTTGCAAAGCTCTTCTCCGGATTCGTTGCCTCTTCAGCCGGTTGCTACGTCATCAACGCTGTTGCTGTAGTGGATGATAAGGCTATTGATGAGTACGGCATTGACGACGAGATTAAAGCGTATTTGAAAAGGGAGCAGAACCACAGACAAGCCAGCATCATTGCACCTGGAGGAAAGGCAGTTCCGACATATTCATCCCACTCAAATGAGTTGATATTTGCAGACGTGGACGTTGCCAACTTGAAACGGTTTAAGTACGGACTAGTGAGTTGCTATGCCTGGGGATATACAACGAATAGACACGCTAACCTGTCGTTGCAGGACTTTGCCGGCCACTATAACAGACCAGAGGTGTTCGCCCATCATTTTGAACAGTATTTGTAGAAAAGGCATAAAAAAAGAGAGAAATTACTACGACAAGTGTTGAGTCGCTTTGCTCAGGCGTAGTGTCTGTATAAGTCAGACGACGCTGGGGCTGGGTCTCGTTGAATTTTGGCGCCCACCAAAGAGCTCAACCAAGTATGTAGAGTTACATTGTGGTAGGTCTTCACAATCACAGTACCAGATCATAAGAATTTAAAATCATCACATGATTATCTTTTTTTAAGCAATGGCTGCAGCTCATTTCATAGTAAACCTGTTTTGTAGTCTTAGTGCAGCTTCGACACTACCTAAGCGCCATCATCACGTGACTGGCGCGAACCTGAATTTGTAGGCCATACCAGAGGGTCCCCCAAAAACCTGAGGCAGCAAGTTCTCCAGGAGGGAGAAAGACTGGAGGACATCACGATTTTCACAAAGCCCTCAGTGCATCTCATCTCCAAACCAACGGGTTCCCATTGAGCAACACCTACACATTCACAATGCTCAGCCAATTGTCCAGAGCCACGGTAAGCCCAATTCCTTTATTTTGCATTCTTTGCAAGCGCACTGCGGTGTGCTACGTCCTCACGATTCCAAAAATGGCTCTCGGCGTGCTAATCCAGTTTATGATAATAGCGCGCCCGCTCGGTCGTCGCCGCCTTCTCTCGCCAGACCCGTGGCTTCATTGCCCCCACGGTCTCCCGCAGAGGTAAGTGCCTTCTAAAATATATCGAGATGCTATTTCATCTTCACTTGCTATGGATGGCGCCGCCCGACAAGATTAAACGCTGCAAACGATGCGTGACAAAAAGATGGCTGGCAGGCCTACCGACGACTCCGCACTTCTGACGCTGCACATTGAAACGCCCCGACCACTCATTTCGATCCGACATAAGCAACCTCGTTCAAATTGCCACTACGCAATCCGTAGAGAGCTGTCTGAAGTTTCTCAGCCCGCCGAATCGTTGCAGCAGCCATCCATTGCGTGACATCTCGCAGCTGTGGTCCGTTCTTGTGCTAACCATCTCTTGCCTTAGCCGACTTCGTCCAGGAGCTCTACCTCAAGGAGCTTAAGGCCTACAAAATGCCTGCCGTTAAGGCTTCCGACGCCGAAGGCCAGGTTCAAACCTTCACCCTCCCCCAGACCCCCAAGTCTCCCGAAGAGGCTGACCTCGCCAGCAACCTGAAGGAGTACGAGTCTATGGCTGTTGAGATCGAAGGCCAGGATGCCAACGCCGCCCAATCCGGATCTGCTGCTCTCCCTGACTGGCTCGAGGCCGAGGAGGAAGAGTCCGCCAAGCACTAAAATATACCCCGAAACTCGCCCTTGCCTAGCATGGGCTAATATAGAGGAGGGGTATGATTGTGATTGGGTCCCAGTTGGGAATACGAGGGGGAAGCGAAAGCATAAGGTACGCTCTGGAAAAGCTGATGGTTTCGAAACGGCATCCAGCTCTCCAGCGAGGGCTATTATACGACATCATAACCGAAGGGTGGAAAGAGATATTTGAACGCCTCTGTGCTCCCACTTCATAGCAGAGATTGGGACAAAGCCCACGGCGTACTTCTCAGACCGGACCTCTGGACGTTGATAGGAAAAGAAGCGGAAAGAGAATTATTAAAGGGTCTACTTTGTTGGCACTTGAGCCACAAAGCTGTATTCTTTGTTGTACATTTTTTCCTCCAAGACGCAACCTCGAATTGGGTGTAGGAATTATTCGTTAGTTGTTTACTATTTTCATTTTCTTTGTCCGCAACTCTATTGCGAATACACAATATTCACACATGCATTCATGCAAAACACTGGTGCAACTCGTAGAAAGGCATAGATTAGTTGCTTTGCTCGTATAGCAGATCTGTAATAAGACTATGGCCATCGTGCTCGTCCACTGGACATATCTGTCGAGTGTGCCAAGTCACGAAGCTCTGTTAATTATCGATCAGAGGCGTCGCAACATGCACTAGAAGCGAAACAAATCCAGAGCCCTCTGCTGAGAAGGTTGACATCTTGAGTCAACAGAGAGAAATTTCATTAATTGAAATATGGGAGGACTACATGCTTATTTAGAGAAGAAACAAAGAGCTCTATACAAATAGAGCAGGATGCAATGAATGAAAGAAGGACCATTTCCCCAAACGCTTCCGCAATTTTCCTGAGCACCATCCAAGCGCCTTTTCTGCTACACAAGGCAGCAGGTACGAACACAGCCTGTGAATCTGCTTCCATATCATGTTTCTTTATTGTAATTTCCAGCCGTTGCGACATTTAGCATATATATATGTGTGTTTGTGTGTGTAAAACCAAAAAATAAAGATGACGCGCATCAAATGAAAACAAACCCTCCCATGCTTCCCAACAACGCCTCACACCCTGTACTCAAAGGAAATGAAAGACTGGATCACTAGATTATACGTCAAAGTGGCTACCTCCGACCATTTGTTCGTCATGTGACGATGTCTTCACAATGCCACTCATGCGATTAGCATTTCGCAAGTTTAGGTCATCTAGATTGTCCCAATCGTCGTCATTCCCGCCAGAACGATGGTGATGACCATCATCCATGTCTTCGTCATCACCATGGAAACGATCACGCATATGGTCGTCTAGGGCACTCTCGTCTACAAATGTGAAGCCCTGGAAGTTTGCTTGCACAGATGGAGAAAGAGGGGTGGATGCAGCGTAACCTTGAGCCAAAGCGGCGGCTCTCTCATTTAAAGACCCGTTCTGCTCCATCGCTGTTGTAAACTCCGGGTCAAAGTAGGAGACATCAGTCTCCGACTTTAACTTGGGTTTAAAAGGAGGCGTGATTCGCTTTTGGGCAAGAAGGTTCCAGTCAATGTCATCGAAGAACGGGTGACGCTTCAATTCTTCAGCATCATCGATGGCGCCGAGTCTATGTTTGGGGTTTCTGTTCAGCAAGCCCTTGACAAAATTGCGACCCTCTTGTGACAAAGTGTCTCTTGGGAAACGGACTTTGCCGAATGCGATGTTCTTGTACATTTGCTGTGTATCCTCAGCATAAAACGGACTCCATCCACAGCACATTTCGAATACCAAAACACCCAGAGACCAAAAGTCTACCATCTTGGTATAACCAGACTCATCAAGCAGAACTTCAGGAGCCAGATATTCTGTTGTACCGCAAAACGTGTTGGTAGTATCATTCTTGGTAAGGTTAGCCTTTGAAAGACCAAAATCGCAAAGAGCAATATGACCGTTCGCATCCAAGAGAATATTTTCAGGCTTGAGGTCACGGTAAACAATGTCATTGTTGTGAAGGTGCTGAATGGCGAGTATAAGTTCAGCAATGTAGAACTTGGCTCGTCGCTCATCAAAGCGACCTTCCTTTTGGAGATGCCAGAAAAGTTCACCTCCTGACATGTAGTCTGTGACGAGATATAATTCGGATGGTGTTTGGAAGGAAAATTTGAGACCGACAATGAATGGAGAATCAGTAGTAGCCGTTCGAACGAGAATATTTCTTTCGCCAACAGTATGTGCGACTTCCTTCTTCTGCACAATGACCTTCTTTTGGAGAACCTTCATTGCGTAGATACGTTGGGTATCCTTCTTGCGAACCTGGTACACTTGGCCAAAGGTACCCTTGCCTATGAGCCTCAAAATCTCAAAATCCGTTGGACCAAAGTGTTTCTTTTCTGTTCTTTGGTAGAGCGCCTCGACATAAATGTCACCAGTTGGCGCATTTTCAGCGACGGTATTGGCATGGCCTTGTAGCGGAAACCAGCCTCGAACAGGCAATTCTCTGTCCTTGGGAGCCTGAATATTTACGTGACCCAAGAATTCTTCGCCTGTAGCACTATGGTCATATACGGAAATATCGACGAGGAAATTGGAGTCCACAACATCGCTAGATACGCGTTAGCTACTTGAGGATGCTCATACTGACGTGTTTAGTGACATACAAGACTGCTTCAGCATCCCATTTGGGGTTGGTGAATAGCTTATTTACCGATCGATTACGAAACGTGTTGTAATCAGAAATACTGGTATTGCTGCTTTGGCGACTGCGCATGGGAATTGCCATGGGTCTTCCGGAATCGCTGGCTTGTCTTTGGATTGCAATGCTACCAGTGGCAGTAGGGGTCGCGCTGAGGTTTTCATCATCTTCAGATGGTCGGGGACCACCAGAAATGAGTTCACTGCGTTGGAAAACAGCAACAACATAAGGGTCTCTGCACTTTCTCAAGCCGCGAGCCTCGGCAATTTTGATTGTCAGTTTACCCTTGGCAGCTGGAGCTTGGGCACCTCCGCTTCGGGGTGTCTGAGTGCCGCTCTTCTCGGCACCGTCGTTGCTAGCCGCTGCCTGAGGTTCTTTTCCCTCTGACTGTGACGATTGAGCAGCAGATAGGGCTCTTGTAGGGGTCGGCGGGCCGCTCTTTGGAACAAGACTTCGTGTTAGCTCTTTCAATGTATCAAATGAAAACCACTTGCTCGGTGTTTGTCCTGTGTCTGGATTTTGATATTGGGCATCTTGTGAAACGCGAGGGACCAACTCATCCGCAGCTGTTACGGAAGGTACTGTTATGTTCTGCTCTGAGGCGCTGGAGGTGTTTGCCGCGACCTTTTCGGAAGCACTGGGCGTTTGCACCATAGAGCTTGCCGATGAGCAAGGGTTTGAGGTAGGAGGGGTGGGATATGCGTTCGTGGAAGACGAGGAAGGCAATACAATTGCAAGCTGAGTGCTCACAACAGCTGGAAGAGATGATGTGCTGGCTGTCTGGACAATGCGCGAGGGTATGCTATTCAACATGCAGCCGTCCTGCGCTTGCGGCCTGCTGCTAGACGAAGACATCCCTGAGTTGGATGCCAGGTGTCTCTGGGTATTGGATATAGGGGCAGAAAGAGGGAGGCTAGCAAGAGAATCTTGACGAACCTGGCCAAAGTAGCTCATAATGCCTGGGAGTCGTTTATCATGCGGGTCTGGCTGAGGGGTCGCGATGCCAGATCCTGGGGTGTCGGTGCCGATGTGATCGATGTTATCGTCGTCAGGCGGGGCCGTTCTGGTGATGTGGTTAATTTCCTGCATCATGGAGGCTTAATATCCTCAATGGGAGAGGACAAATGGATAAGATGTGAGGAGAAGAGAGGGAGAAGAATTTGCCCAGCTGTGGGACAACGCGGGGAAGAAATGCGTTGAGGTGGATAGTGGGAACGCTAGTTCTTGACTACCAGCCAAGCGGAGTATAGAGGGGCTTAGTCGTGCAGGCAAGGTATGCAGGGCAGCACCTTAAATTTTGAGGCGAATTGAAATGATTTGGGCCTGCAATCGCTGCAAAAAGTAACGCAATGCACCAGCGACTGGGAGACGCTGTCACCGCGGCGGCTTTGGGAGGCGGGGGATAGTCGGAGATTCTTGCGAAGAAGAGCAGAGCGATGTGGTCCTGTCCGTGGGCAAGGGCAAATGGGAACCTGTGACGTGCTTCCGATTACAAGCAAGGATGGAATTCGCTGCCGTTGGTCCGATTCAGAGCCTGGCCATCATTGCCAACAGAGCCCAAAAATCTTCATTGAGCGAGTGCCCACGAAACTCCTTTGCTCATATGCAAAGTTTTTCATTGCTCCAAGTCTTTTTTTTGAGGGCAGGCTTTCTGTCGGCACCACCGTGCCGCCTGACGAAGACGCATGTGGAGACGCTTTTTTTCTTCAGTCGCCGTTTGATACTCAGTAGAGTACTCAAGCTTTGGTGCTGCAAACAACTTTTTGAAAAGTGTGGCTGGGTGTGGTGCATGATAACACACACCAGGGCCTGGTAATTTAATGATTCTGCACTCAGTAGAACTTGAAAAATAGCAGACTGTGGTCATCAGTGCTGATTTGGCCGGGACTGTACGTCGCAAAGCCACGCTGAAGAACAGGCGAGGCGCCGTTTTTTTGGGACGAGTCAGGGCTGTGTGCATCCTTCTAGAAGCACAATCAGCGGAAGAGAGACTATGCTTGGCTTGTGCTAAGCTCTCGCCACCTTGCATATGCGTTGCGCTGATATCGGAAAGTCTCGCAACCACAACGATAAGTTGTTTTTCGCCTCCAAATCGAGTCAGATGTTGTGTATAGACCACGTTTAGGATTTTGTCTGTGGTTGAGTCGAAGTAGACTGGCTGCTATTGCTCAAGTAATTGGTGAACTGTGGCACAATATCACGACCCCTGCACACCATTGTTCAAAGGAAAACAATGACTGTTGGTAGCTGTGTCTTAAAGGTCATGTAAAACTGGTGTGGACAATGTCAAGCAAGCGGTGGCTGACTTCACCCGCTAGGGTGACACCACTTTGTTGCAGAGACATTGCACTGTACAGCAAGCATTCCATTTGACTCCAGCCCTCCGCAGGTGTATGCAGTGACACTCGTGGGGCTCTGCGAGCCTCTCCGTGGCAAAGTCAGAATTGTTGGTCAAGGATGGTACCAGAATGAAGGCTAACATGTCCTTGTCTAGTGACAAAGCTCTACCACCGGCACCTCTGCCAATGCGCGCAACAAATGGTATTATCCCCAAAGTTGCAGAGTGCAAAGCTGTCGCCTCCATAGGATACCAGATGCACCCAGTCGGCCCTGGCCGTGATAGCCTTGTGAATCGTTGTAGTGGGGAGATGAAAATATGGAAAGATAAAGACAAGTGAAAATCGTGTTACATACTTTGACATCATGGCCTGGGTGGCTCGACGCAGTAAGTCGAAGCCACCGCCATTGCTGGGTTGGTTACCTTCGCTGCCCGCCATGATAGCCGCTGCTAAAATGGATGTACTCCTGGGTTGTCGATAATAGTTTATTAATTGCGAGCTTGCAAGCTGTTTCTGTGTTCAACTTGACCAGGCAGTTAGTTGGAGGCCGTAGGTCGCTTATGATGCTATAGGGCGATGACGGATCGGGGGAGAAGGCTGGGGCTTGGTCGTAGACGTGAAGTATTGAGTCGATATTGACGTTGGAGGAGATTTCCCAGAAAGAGGGGGAGGGAGGATTAAACAAAAAAAACCGAACAAGTCTGGAAATTTGGCGGTGGTGGAAGGCTAAAAATTGGAAAGCCCAAGATACGGCAAAAAAAAAAGGTCTGAGCTGCTGGAAAATAGAAGTTGGAGAGGAGGGGCTGGCTGAAGGAGGGGTTCGAGTGCCAAATAGGTGGTGATGGGGGCGTCAAACCACTGTATACTGTGTCCGTAATGCTGAACAGGGATTTAGTAGCGAGCCACCCTCGCAGCCTGGGCCCAGAATTTGTTGCGCCTCCAACGCACCTGATTAGGGAGGCCGCTACTGAGGAATTTGGGTGGCGACAGCAGCTTGCCCGCTTCTGACCAAGCAAGAATAGAATGGTGAAACAAACTCTGGCTTCTACGGGATTCCACCCAACCTGTATTTTGTAAGCAGCAACTATTGTACTTTATTACCAGTCCGAGTAGCATGGCAACCAGGCTGAACTAAAGCCTGCTATGCTTGAATAAGAGCCATGACCCAATATCCTTTTGGCTTTGTGACGGTTGCGGTCATTCCGCCGGGGCCACCAGAGAAAAGACGCCAAAGAAGCCCACCCAAGCAGCCGCCTGCTATCAATGACGCAGCGGGTATCCGCCTGAGCAGGCAAGTTCCCGAATCAGAACCCTGGCACATCGTCGACTTACTCGCAGTAAACTCTAACCGGCCCTCTCCCCGCACCTCAAACGACTTGGATCTTTTAGATGCATGAGGGATTTCTCTGGCGTTAACCTTCGTCAGTTAATATCAGCATTCCGCGCAATTAGGCACATGGGCTATTGTCACCATGAAGACCATGCAATGCGGGTCGCTTTCGCGATATCGCGCATCACCATCTGGTCTCGATGCTTCGGGGACATGTAGATATCGTGTCTAAGACACAGCTAACCTCGGGCCAGGTCTGTCTTTGTAATTGTCATCCCATTTGTATAGACAAAACACCGTAGTAGCAAATATGTCCACACAACCAAATAGTAGCCCCCACGATTAGGAAGTACCATGTTGGTCGATCAAGTAACCGACCACGATTTATGGACTGGGGCCACTTGGACTAATTTAGAAAGCTCGTAGTCGATACTTTGATTTTTAAGGCAGCAAACATGATCCCGTAATTGCCGGACCTTAACATAATGCTGTAGGAGTCAGCCACCTGAGCAAGTTGCTGTTTGGGTGTGCCCATGAGCTCTATTTTACGTTGGAAACCAAGAGGAATTGAACAATGTTCATGCGGCCGTTTCTTCATTCTTGTATTTAGAGAGCTTGATATCCAAAAATTTAAATGATGGCAAACATCGATTGTACCTGAACCAATGGTTGTGTATAACTGGCCAAAGAAGCAATCAGCATGGGAATTCAGAGGTGCATATGGGTTCTCTCAGATATAGGCAACGGATGTCTGTTAATTGCCAATAAAGACACTATTTCCAACCTAGCCACTCGGGTCATGAGTTCTCTCTAGCAGCAGAGAGCAGACTGTGCCATTTGTCCTCCGTTTCAGATGAGACAATAGCGGCTGGTTTTGTAGTGACAGAAACAAGTGTTAACGGGTCAGGATAATCTAAGAAACAGGTATAAGTTGGAAATAGGCATATGCTAAAAGAGGCTTTGGGAGCTCACCAAGGCTGCAGTTTCCGTCGGTGAGTTTCGCGAGCAGCGTTTCTCTGTCGCCCTTGGTTCGTGCTGCTTTGCCGGTCTCGGGCGTTGCTGGATCAGCCATTGTGACTCTTGGATGACTATAGTAGGCTCTACACAGGGAAATGCTATGTTTACAATTATCAGATGGCAATTGAAGCGGCGTTGAATGCAAAATGTCCAAATCAATCGAAGGCTGTTACATGGAAGAAGCCGTGGCAGCCTTAAGTTGCGCTGCCCCTCGTCTCACGTACTGCCCCACCAGGTATTTGATCCCACAGGTCGAACTCAGTTACCTCACCACGATTACACATCTGAGCGACGTTAAATTTTTTTCATCTCCAATCCCGTAACGCCCGATAATTAATTGCAGCTGCTGATTTAATACATGCTATACTATCCCGTTTTATAACGTCACAGCTAGAGCAACGACCACCATCTTTGTAGAAAGCCCTGGCGCCCGACGGTGCCGTACCTATCGATATGCCAAAATCAAGGGTCCCGGACGCCTGGGATGATGACGATTGGGAGACCCAAGCTGATAGAATTATACCGGAGGAAGTCACATCGCCAGGACCACAGGTACCGTTGACCAAGGCGGCACGGCAAGCCGAGCACCAGGCTGCCAACCGCAAGCTTTGGGAGGAAGCGTAAGACACTATCGTCGTACAGTAATGTCAACCTCACTGACATTACCCAATGTAGCAGCGAAACCAAAGAGACATTCCATTACTTAGAGGCCACGAATAATGTCCCTCTGTCTACAAATTTCAAGCCACAAGTCAAGGTTCTAAGTCGCAAACCCGTCATCGCGAAGCGGGAAACATTGTCTGGCATGGACCAGCTTGCACTTGACGACGGTGGTGATGAGAACAACAAACAGCCGACCCTATCTGCAGAAGAGATTCGAGCCAAGCAAAAGCGTGATCGTGAAGAAAAGCAACGCAAATATGACGAGGCGCGCGCAAAAATCTTTGGCGAATCAGTCCCTTCATCGAGAGGATCTTCACCGAGAATGGGCACCACGACACCGCCAAGGGTCGATGGCCGAGGGAATCAGCGAGGGGTAAGAGGCCGAGGTGGAGGTCAAAATGCGAAGGTTCTCGGCTCTAATACCAGCAAACCCGCAAATACGGAAGAATTTGAGCCTCGGCGGCAAGAGTTGGTGCAGGCTGGTACAACGAGAGAGCTTTACGATCCCAACTACGCAACGAAAAGCGACACAATGCCAAAGAGGGAGGATGGTTACACATCACCACGATATCAGCATGATCATACACCAATACGTACCCCCCGGGGTCCTGATGGTAGTGGGCGAGGAGGTTTTGGGTTTACACGCCGCGGGGATTGAATCTTCAGAGAAGAGTAGTATTGAACGCTGTGTGTTCAAAACGCCATCTCATGCAATAATGTTTATATATACATACATCTACCAACCACCACCAATTTTGCCAGCCAGCTGAACGACACGCTCAGTGTCAGTAGCTCCTTTACCAACATCGCTAATGACTTCGCGGAACGTTGTAAACACGAGTTTGTCCAACTCAATGCCTGTCAGCCTGGACCAGTGTTTCAGGATATCATTTATGTACAAGGAAGATATTCCTCCAACCGCGTTTTGGGAAGCAGGGCCTTCATCAATCATCATCTCATCAGCCGAAAAGTACGCCTCATCTACCTCAGCTAGCCATTCTTTCTGCTCCTGGGGGCCGGGTTTGCCAACGATGCCTTTACGCTGCATGATCAGGTCATCATCAACTTTGATCTGACCGCCACCATTTGTGCAACCGCCGGGACACGCCATCACTTCAACATAGCTGTATTCCAGTGACGCAGTTTTTCCTGTTGGCCTGCGTGCGCTGCCGAAAGGTTTTCCTCCAGGCATCCGAGACGGTCGCGCAGGCTTTAAACGACGGACAAGATTTTGAATATTACGGAAGCCGTAGTAGCGAGCAGCCTTGAATATCGGCTCACCGTTGACGTCAATAACGTATTCTACAACGTCAGCGTTTCGTCCGCGGTTGATCTGGATATTAGCCCCCGGTGTAAGAGCTGCTTTGCTCTGCAAGATATAGTAGAGTAGTCCACCAGAAGACCCTGCAACAGTTGAGGGACTCGAAGCAGGGTTAGAATTGAATAATAAGTCGTGTAGCTTGGAATCTGGAAATGTAGGCGTCGGTGGGATTGTAGATACGTCGCTAGAAAGGTCAAAGAAATTGAGCCCGCGACTGTTGGCCAGCATCAAGATCTCCTTGCTTGTTATAACACAGTCAACATCCCGAACACCTCGACCGGGTAGTCCAGATGCGGCCCAGGTCTGATCTGTTAATTCTTCTCTGCTAGCCTCCAGTTTCTTATCGAAGCACGGCATGACAGCAACATGCCAGATTCTGCTTGGAGGAATACCGAGCTTTGCGCTAAGAGACGTTTTCACAAGCGTGCCCATCAAGGCCTGTGGTGATTTGACTTTTGATAAATGTGGCAGGACATGAGGATGTGTCTTCTCAGCATAGCACACCCAGCCAGGACACGACGACGCTAGGATTGGCTGCGCAGGCGTCGCTATTTGCCTTGGCGTTGAGCCAAGAACTTCCTCGGCACCAAGCACAAGAGTAGCCTCTCTGGCGATATTTGTATCCAGAACCCATGTGAAGCCATTGTTCCACTTGCCGCCTTGCATCACACCATCAGGTCCTCGGAGGAGGTTTTCCACCATATGGCCAGCCTGCTTTGCGGATACGCCTGGGCCACACGCAGCAGCTAAGTTTGCTCTCGTTTGTGGGCTTACGCTGGCCACAAAAAGTTTTGAGTCTTCATTCTCCAACCCAGCAATTGAGTACTCCCCAGTTGCGTCAGGGCCAATGAGTCGCAACGCTGGCGCGGCGTCCAGCGTATTCAGAACTTCAGCATGGCTCTGGAGACTGACAAGTACAGCTTCAGCAGATGTGACGCAGCCGGAGCATGCCAAGCAGTCGGTAAGACTGATCTCAGCTGGGCCGACCGCCGGTTGTATCGATGCGGGGTGTTGGCCGTCAAGGATAACTTCTGTTTCGTTGGATAGTTCGGCCGGGGCGGCGGGTAGCGTTTCGATGGGCTTGATGCAGGCAACGCCGGGGGATATGAAGTCGTTGAGGTCTTCTGTCGAGAGAATGGCCGACATGGTTATTTGCGCTGCGCGCCGTTGTGCAAGCGTACTTGGCGTAGAATCAGTACGAAAAGCCTAAGCAATATCTGTACATCCGCTTTTGGAGGGGCAGTGATCGGAGGGGGTGTGGGAACGATGGCGAGAAGTACGGCGAGGATGTGAGAGCAGGGTTCTTGCGCAATATTGACGTGTTCTCTATTTATAATTAACGCCGTGTAGATTTTTCGAGGATTATGATGAGTAGGTAGCGTGTTCCGTCAAGGTTGGTAGCGATGCTTAATAAATGGTGGCGTGCCCAGTCTCCAAAAAAAGTCGGACCGCCACACTAATCAGCACCGGGCGATTGAAAATAGGACTGATAGCGCCCATTACGGCCTGCGAAATCGGCCCCGGTCACATGCTACTGGGCTTACCAATGGGGTCGCGTACTACTGTAGTCACGACAGCGATAGGAAAACCAACAGAGTAGAGTAACCTAAATATGAAATTCGTCCGATCTAACTCATTTATGATAAAATATTCAATAAGCGCCAGAACTCCTAAAACACATTATGTCCTTTTCCATCCGCACCATGCTCCAGCACTGGTTTATGCAGCGGTAGCAGAGGTAGCTCCTTCCGGCTTCACCTCTGTTGATGGTTTAACACCGTTTGCTTTTGCATCTGTAGTGGCCGTAACATCTACATCAGCCTCTCCAGAGAGAATTGCAGCCCGGCGATCATGCCAATCAACCTCGCTCTTAATGACTTGCGCAAGAAGAGTTTCTTTCTCAAGCCATTCTTTATAATAGACATCCTCCCAAAGTTCGCATTCCTTCTTAAGTGTATCACTAACCTCTCCTGCCCACTTGGATTCCCAGTGGCATTTGCGGTAAAGCTTGTCGACAGAAAAGGCGAGTTCATCGGCGGAGAAGAGTTCACTTGTGAGAGCAGTGAAGTAGTCAGCATTTGCGTCTCCAGCGCCACTGGAATCATCCTCCTGACCATTGGTATGAGACTGGGGCGTTTTAATGATGATCTTGAGTTTATTGTTTTTACTGGCGGGTCCGGCTTGCATCGATTTAGGAACGGGATCGGACGGCCGAAGAGCCTCTGTTTCGTGAACGGTACGCATGTGTTTCGCCAACGCGTCAGATCTGGTGAATGAGCGATCGCACTCTTTTCTATCGGTTAGTAGTTTGTTTTAAAGAAGATATAGACACGGGTAAGGTACCTGGCAAATAGCAATAGAAAGGCTTTTCTCTCGTGTGGCTACGCATATGCGCCTTCAGGGCGTATCCGCTAGCATGTGCCATCCCTTTCCTGTTGCAGCTCTTCCATTCGCAAGTGTATTTCTTTTGTCGGCTCTCGATATGGCTGTTGTGGATGTGTTCGACCAAGTTGTCCATGTTGCCCTGGTCGCCCGCGTCGCAACCGTCCCAGTCACAAATTGTTACTTGGTCTTGGAAGTCTTCTTCATCCAATCGGGCATTGAGTGGAGAAAGAGGGATATCGCCTGAGGTATCTGAGGAGACACTGGGATAATTTTCCCAGACATCTTCTGGCACAGGCTCCGTGTCAGGATCGCCCTCGTTGGCGACTGCAGATGACGCCCGAGAGCCGATTTCCACCTTGAGGCGCTTGGACGGGCGGGATGAATTATCATCAAAGTCGCGTGTTTCATCATCAAAAGCATCTGATGATGCCATTGATGAGAGTGGCGAATCGGGGGGGGAAGGACTGCGAGCCATGATGTCGCGTCCGGCGCTCGCGGTATCGCTGTGTTACAGAGTACGCTGGAATTGCGACAATGCCGCTTATGAAGACTTCGAAGGACCCTTCGAGGCTGTGAGCGTATCTGTTTGATGAAAACACACTGTATGATGATGGTGGCGCCGATGTTGGAGGGAACTGTACAGGTGGTGAGGTTGACGAGAAAATTACGACTGCAAGGGGCCAGCCGGCGTTGGCCTCTACTCTGGCGTCCTGCGATGTGGAGGTGATTGGTTGTATTCTGGCGAAGCCTTGGGAGTGGGCCGCAGGGCATCTGCCACGCAACAAAGTAGTCAAGATAAACCATTAACTTAGCTCTCATTACCTTGTAATTCTTGACTGGCAACGTTATTCATTAGTATGTATCGGGTTTTAAGAAAGACAATTCTATTGGGTTTTATTCTCTATCATTCAGTTTCAACCCCAGCTTCAGAACTGACCATCCACAGCTACTGAAGGTTCCTGGTCGTACAAATTGACGAGCCTAACCTGCCCAAAACCTAGTCAAAAAAGACACTAAAAAACTTTTTTTCCATTTTCTTCAAATCATTTGCGCATTAAACTTGTTTGAACCTAAGCGGTGCCGTTACTGGACACAATCTTGCGTCTCTCCTTGACGGCGTCGGCGAGCGTCTGTAGTACTGAGACGGTGTCATCCCAATGGATACAGGCATCGGTGATGCTGACACCATACTCGAGACCATCTCTTCCACTCTCAGGAACCTTTTGGTTACCTATAATTGAACTGTTAGTGATATAGATCTTGTCAGAAGGACTCAGAAGCACCCAGTTACGAACCTTCATTAATGTTGCTCTCAATCATGAGGCCCATGATGGCTGTCTCGCCCTTGGCAATCTGCTCCGCGACAACGCTGGCAACCTTGGGTTGATTCTTGTGATTCTTGTTAGAGTTTCCGTGGCTGCAGTCGACCATGAGGCGCTGAGGGACACCCTTCTTCTCAAGGGCTGCCTTGGCTTCGGCAATGCTCTGTGCATCAAAGTTGGTGCCTTTTGTTCCACCTCGAAGAATAACGAAGCAGTCCTCGTTACCCGTCGTACCAACAATAGCAACAACACCAGGTTTTGTGACAGACAAGAAGTGATGGGCATGCTTAACAGCGCCAATAGCGTCAATAGCCACGCCCAGCGAGCCGTCAGTGCCGTTCTTGAAACCGACGGGGAAGGATAGACCGGAGGCCAGCTCACGGTGCAATTGAGACTCGGTGGTACGCGCTCCAATGGCACCCACAGAGAGCAGATCAGCGAGGAATTGGGGGGAGATGGTGTCGAGCATTTCACTAGCAATGGGCATGCCCTTGGAAGTTAGATCAACGAAGAGCTGGCGAGACATGCGCAGGCCCTTGTTAATCTGGAAGCTACCGTCGATGTCGGGGTCATTAATCAGTCCCTTCCAGCCAACAGTCGTACGAGGTTTCTCAAGGTAAGACCGCATAACAATGAGGAGCTCGTCCTTGTGCTTCTCTTTCTCCTTGAGCAGCAGGTCGCAGTAGGCCATGGCGGCCTTGGGGTCGTGAATGGAGCAAGGGCCAACTACGATAAGAAGGCGGCCATTCTTGTCGGTACCATTGACAACTGCAACGGCCTCGTTTCGGGACTGGATGACGGTCTGCTTGGATTCGGCTGTCTGTGGGATTTCGTGCTGGAGCAAGTCGGGAGGGGTTAGAGGGTTGTAGCCTTTGACTGTAGAGGGGTTAGCGATTGATGAAGCTAGGAGCCTGGACGGCGCCGGGCGATCGTACTTCTCCAATCCTCAGAGTCGGCCTGGTTACCAACGTTTTTGTTTTCGATGAAGAACTGTGGTGATCACATGTGAGTAAAAGCCCGCCATACTGATGGCGCCTTTGGCGGGGTGATTGAGTACATACCGACATGATGGCGGATATAGATGGCGACAAATTTAGTTGGTAATAGCTGTAGCAACAGTCTCAGAAAGTCAAGAGTAGAGAGATGCCGCAAGATAAATAGATTTATCGAACGCGGCTGTGGCTGGTGAACGCTTTGGGCTTAGTAGAAAATAGAATGATTGGCACCAAGTGGGAGAAAATTAAGTTGGGTCTGACTGGTGGTGAGCGACGTCGGAGAGAGGGGCAGACATGAGTCGATCCATGACTGGGTGCCACGCTTTAAAATTGGGCACGGCTTGGTTCTTACAGGAAAGTGATTGCAGCACATATCCACCAAGTTACACTAGGCATTAATATTGTCTAATTTGTATTAATTGACGCCTATTGCGGGTTTATTTTGAGTCAATGAGCGCCGTTGTGTTGACAGGCCGCCTTTGGTAACACCGCTAGCGCATTCACTACGGTAGAAAACCCCATCTTACAATGAGGACATCGTTTAGTAGCAAGGTGTTCACAGGGGCGATCTTGTTTGCTAGAAAGACACCCTCGTACAGGACCGTATTTTCTGGGATTACTCGGTCATCGCGCTTCGCTCTTTCACTTTGATGGAGCGAGCTAATCAGAGCCGGGATGACACTACGTCACGATGCTTAATCCACGCTGGGTCCACCACTGTCCTTCACAGCGAATAGAAGTCGGGCGATTTGAAGCATGCATACTTGTCCTGTTCAGCCTCTCTGTAAAGCTGTTTTACTTCATACCAGTCTAGAGATCAGCTTCGCCTGTATATCATCCTAACCCTAACGGAGTCTGTCAGATTAACCGGGTCGCCATCTCCTTCACCCGAGCTGAGGAGACAGACTCCAAAGTCAGCCTCTTCAAGCCCCGCATCAAACTGGTGCAAGAACTCGGGGTCTTCCTCGTCTTGCTCTTGTCGATTATTCTCATCTATTTTCCCTTTGTATCTCGTACTACATACGCCTACAGCCGCGACATGGTTAACGCCACCGAGTTGCCCGTGGAAATAATCTCTGCTATTTTCTACTTTGTCGAAGCCCCCAGATTACCAGGAACATCAGCAGCTTCCTCAAGAACACGCCTCGGTCAGTACGTTGGTATATGTAAAGCATGGCAACCAGTCATTGAAGAAAGAGTATTTGAGTTTATACGCCTGAACTCAGCGCGCGTGAAAGAAGCAAGTACAATATTATGTCGGCGATGTCGGTTCATTCGACAAATACAGCTTACCGTTCAGTTACATGGATCCCGTGCTGAAGATGTTTTCGTACAATACAACAATGCCGTCGTCCATCTGTTCGCCATATTTGCGGACAATGCTACTACTCGTCATAAAATCCCTTTACCGCCGCTGAAATTCCGTATTTCGTGCTCCGAATTGAGCATTGGCGAGCAACAGATATACCTCGGCGACATTGGCCATGGCCATCCTCCAATGCGTATAATGCCATCATCGTTTGAAGATATCCCAACGATACAACAATTGGACGAACTCCACATCGAGTCAACTTCAATGCTGGCATACACTGTGTTAGCTGCCATGTGTCGCATTAGTAGCCGCCTACCCAATTTGCGCGTTTGGAGCTTTGTTGTACCTGATGGAGCTACACCACCCTTATCGCATCTTAAAATACGTTCGTCATGGAATTCCACAGTTAATGTTTAAAGTACCTAACCACAGTTACTTTGTAGGACTCGAATTGGGGCTCGATCAACTCCCAACATCTCTCGAATCGTTCCAATTCTGCTATCGTATACCTCCTGACCAACTAGACACAGAACAACATCAGTCCTTAAGCAAGAGCCTATACCAGCTTGCCATGAGGCCCGCCATGAGATTATTCCACATCAATGGCCCATTTGAAACCTCTCTGATTGGAGATTGGCCTGGTTTGCCAGGCGCATTTTCTGAAATGACAGAGTTTGTAGTATCGATGAATGCCGAAACCCCATCTGGCGTGCAACTCCTGTTACCTGAAACACATGATTTCGTTCCACAGGGCAGAGATACGCGCACCATACAATACAACCAAAGAACAGAAACCTTGTATACTGGCAGTGACTTCTCGATTGTTAACGAGGCTGTCATGAATCCGATTCTAGTTCGAGCAGCAGCCATGGCAAGCAAGATGCCCCGCTTACAAAGGTTCTCAATTCAGCTCCTCAGCAGATACACTTTCAAAGTCGCATACAAACACGGCCATCTAGCGGTACACAATCACCACTTATATATACCACCACCCGACGTGCTACGCGCTTGGCACTCTGCAACGACTGCGAACCTTGGGCAGCACGAGGCCTTGAGCGTTATGATAACCTCATCAGGTCACCGGCTCCCTGATTTCAAGATTGGGGAAACATAAATATCACAAAGTTAATGAGTAATTATTATACAATCTACATGATATCAATGTTTAGGATTTTGATGTCCTCTTCTGGCTTTTCCTTGTACGTATGTACATTTTCAATTTTATGAATCACGTCCAAGCCCTGCGTTGCACGTCCAAATATGGTGTGCTTACCATCGAGCCACGGCTACAGCAATGATTAGCACATCAAAACATCCCGAGCAAGCGGAGAGACTTGAAACTTACCGTCTTTTCGGTTGTAATAAAAAATTGACTGCCATTTGTATTGGGGCCAGCGTTGGCCATGCTGACGGTGTATGGCTTGTCGTGCTTCAAACTACTGAATTCATCTTCAAATTCTCGCCCCCAGATACTCTCACCGCCTGTACCGTCGCCCAGCGGATCACCGCACTGAATCATGAACTTGCGGATAACACGGTGGAATATAGTATTGTTATAGTAGCCGCGCTTCGCATGGGTAACAAAGTTCTCCACAGTTTTGGGTGCAGCATCAGGGAACAATCGTACGCTGATATCCCCGTAGGTGGTGTGGATAACAGCAGCAGTACCCGTTTCTACCTTTTTGGGTCCAGCGTCCTTCTTGCCGCCCAATTGGGTAGGCTTTTCATTTTGAATGTCTCGAGTGGACTTAGAAATATCCTCATCGTTGGTAAACATGTAAAAACGGACTTTGCCAACAGCGGTGCCAACCAGTATCGGGTCGCGGGCTTCCGATTCTTGCAGCAGAGGATTCGCAGACGCCCCCATTTGCACCGATGTAAGCCCCTTCTTTTGAGGTTGGCCTTGATAGATGGAAAGATTTATAAGCCGTAAGTTTTCTTCTCGAGCATACGTCTTCACCACCTGGTTGGTATATGTGTTGAGCACCTTAACGCCAAGCATCGAACCATATATCAAGAAATTTCCCGTCTCATCGAAAATGATGTTCGACTTATTCTTCAGCGTTGCTGACTCCACGTCTCGCTCCTGGGCCATGCGTCTACCAAACTCGACAGCATCGACTTTCTGACTTTGTGCGCCGGCCTGCTGCATTTCCTCAAGTGCTTGTAGCGACTCGTCATAGGTGCGATGAAGCTTTCCTGACGCAAAATCAAACAGGCGAACCTTGCGGTCCGGGAACGACATGGACGCAAAAGTCTTGCCATTTGGTGATATTGTTATACACGACGGTATTGTTTTTGCCTTCTTGAAGTCAAACAGATTTGTCGAGCTCTTGTACTCAAACACATTGTCCGGTTTATCGTAGCCCCCGCTCGGTCGCCAGTACTCAATCATACCGTTCTCGTCTGCGGATAAGACGCAGTCATAAGCGTCATTAAAGGCGATGATATGTACCGGGGCTCTGTGTAAGCCCTTTATCGTGTGTATCGCGTCTTCTCGCTCGCCGCGGCCGTCGTAAATGTGTATCAAGGGCTTTGCACCCTCGGAGACCGCCAGCAAAGGAAACGATGCACCCTTCTTATGCACCCAACAGACGCATTTTGGCGTATAGCCCAGCGTTAGCATAGACAGCAGATCGAAAGTTAAAACATCAAAGATCTTGACAGTATCGTCGGCACCCGCCGTGGCAAAACTACGCCCGTCCAGGCTGACAGCAACGGATTTGATTTCGCCATTGTGCGCGCGGAATTCTTTGACAAACTCGATACCTTGTGCGTCTTTTTTCCAAAACTTCACCACGCCATCTATTGAAGACGTAATCAAGAAGTCCGTTAGCGGCGTCCATGTCGTAAAGAGGACCTGCTCTTTGTGCATGAGGGAGCGCGAGTAGCGCGGCGATGTGGGCAAGGCCGCGATATAGAGCTTCTCGTAAGGCAGAACGCGGCGTTTCTTCTTGGGTGCAGCTTCGGAGGGGAGCTGAGGACCCATATCGTCATCATCGGACGAAGAGTCAGAGCCATCTTGGTCCTGGAAATCCTTGTGCGAGCGCTTCTGTGCGCGCATCTCGTCGTCGTCCGCCATGGCGTTGCAGGTCGAAGGGGGGCAATGATATTGGATCCGCGTGATCAGTTCCGAGTCGTGTCAGGCTCAGTATTAGCCTTGGTTGTTGTATTTTCTGGCGATGGTGCTGGCAATTGGGCCGCTGGATGTTTTGCAGCTTTGGAAACTCGTAGTGGAGTTTTATTGATGCTCAGCAGCTAGCAGCTCATTTTTTTGCCCACTGCTGCGGCTGCGGTGGCGGCGTTAGCGTGGCGTGGCACTACTGTGGAGTGTACCCGGAAGCGGCGTGACGTCTTGCGCCGATGAAGCCGCTTCGCTGTGCAGCTTAAAAGCTTCCACTCCGCAGCCCCCAATCGCCTGCGCACCGTAATTTTCAGCTTCCAATCTGCTCCTGTGCATAGCGACGTTTCTCACTTTTGAACACCATGAAAGACCACCCCTTCCAGTTCTTCTCGGCGCCGTCGCGTGGTCTGTCGCTAATCCTCCACATTCTCGGCACCGCTTCCTTCGCTTATAGCTTCCACTTCCTGTACAGTTGGGAAACGCCAGTCGCTTATTCATATGGCTGGTACTTTCAGTTCTTGACAATTCTGTCTCTTGGAGCCTCAGCGGTTGCATTCGCTGCCGGTCTACTTGCTGATATCACTTCAAGCCGAACCTTGTTCTCTCTCAAGAACGCCATTTCCACCGTCGCCACGCCGCTCGAGTGCCTTATTACAATACTCTACTGGGGGCTGGCTGCCATTGATCCAACGCTTGTCACTCCTCCAGAGTATATCATTCCGCTGGATGTCGACGTGAGCTTCCACCTCGCACCAGCTGTCTTCCTTGTTCTCGACCACCTCTTCTTTAGCCCCCCATGGGGAACGTCCGGTGTCGTTATGGCCCTCTACAGCACATTTGTTGGCTTTTCGTACTGGTACTGGGTTGAAATTTGCCAAAGCACAAACGGATTGTAAGTAATTGCTGCAATCATATATCTTACCAGGCTAACAGTTATAGCTACATCTATCCCCTCTTCGGACTTCTTTCAACAGAACAGCGGGTGGGTCTCTTTGTCGGATCTGCGCTTGTGAGCACAATTTTGTTCTTACTCATTCGGTCTCTGCACACCAAAATCAATGGGCACGTTATCAATATTGACTGGTCTGCCAAGAACTCAATGAAGAAGACAAGCTGAAGTTGCATCTCTACAAAAGTTCCAATTGAAAAGGATACTGGGGAAATATAGCATTGTATTTATCTGAGCTTTCATGTGAATCTATCCATCGTACCAGATTCAGTTTGTGCAATCAATTACAGGTTGGATCTGACATCAACCGTGTGACGTGATTCCATCATCATCGTGCGGTTCAGTTCTGAAACCTTTTGCGCACCAACTGTACCCATGGTGAGGTCAGCATCGGCTAGAAGGCCAGCCAAAACAGCCTGTGCACCCTCTTTGCCGTTAATTCCAAGACCGTACACCACAGGACGTCCAACGAAGACGGCTTTGGCCCCTAAGGCGAGTGCCTTGACAATGTCAGCACCAGTGCGGAATCCCGAGTCGATCATGACTGCCGTTTGACTTCCAACGGCTTCAACAATCTCAGGCAAAACATCAAGAGTGCCAGCACCGCCGTCCATCTGACGCCCACCATGGTTGCTAATAATGATGCCGTCCACACCATGCTCCACAGCCAACCTAGCATCATATACGCTCATTAGACCCTTGATAACCAGTGGCCCAGTCCAGTACTTGCGCAAGATTTTGAGATCTTCCCAGGATTTGCTCACTCCAGGGAAAATTTGTTCACACCAGTAGATACCGGCCATGGTCTTGTTCTCTTCGGGGGTATCACCATCATACTTTTCAGCAAATTTGCGACGGAATACTGGGTCGTGGAAAGCCACCTCGTTACCGATACCAACGAGAAATGGCGTTGAAGCTGTGTCCAGATCACTAGAACGCCATGCCATTGACCAGGTGTCGAGAGTCACAACGAGTGTGTGGAAGCCGTTGTCCTTAACACGCTTAACGATAGATGCAAGGATTTCTTCATCAGAGGGCCAGTAGAGCTGGAACCATTTCGGCGAGTCCGGTACCGCAGTAGCAAGCTCCTCAATATTGGATGTGGATGAGGTACTCATAGTGAATGGAACGTCGAGAGCGGCGCAAGCCTGAGCTACGCCAATCTCTTTATCATCATGCATTATACCCTGGCAACCAAGTGGCGCCATAAAGACGCAGGACCCTTCATACAATTAGCTTTAAATAGGTCATTGTGGATTGTTATACAAACGGTATTTATGACCAAAAAGAGTCACGCTCATATCCCTTGGGGTCGTAGGCTTGAAGATTCTAGGAATCAAGTTCCAGCGGCGGAACGCCAGGCGGTTGGCATCCATAGTAGCGGACTCGCTGCAGCCTAGATATACATAATTGTAACCATCCTTCTTCATTTTCTCAAGTGCTTGGGCTTGAAGCTTGTTGGGATTTGTGGTCACAACGGGTTTGTTTCCCATCAAGATGCCTTCCCGCAGGATCTGGGCCATGTAGTCGGCGTACGGTGCAGGGCCATTGCTCTCAGTAGCAGACTCGTCGCCAGGAGACATCTTCAGCAATGTAATTCAAAGTGTGAGTATGTTGAATAAAGATATTTAGATGGAATTTCGGCCTTGGAAAAGAAAATGAGAGCACGCGGACGTTGCGAATAATAAAAAGAAGAGCAGGCCGGCCTTGTTCACTCGTGCCTCGGTTCAACAGCTACAGATCCAGGACAAGAAAAGGCGGAGGTCCCCACACGGCGTTTATACAGCGGCCGACAACCACAACCCAATAGTTCTCCAGCCACAATGTCACTGTTCGTAACAGGTACTTGCTGTGTTTAGGAGAACCATGCGTTGGGTATTACAATACAGAGTCCTGCAATCGCCATGGAATACGCTCGGGGGGAGCTATTCCCATCCCTGTGGTACTACATACAGAAGATGACGCATAGTAGCCTTACAGTATAATGGGCGAAGCTCTCATCTTCCAGCAGAGTATTTTAGGTCTAATATTTGTTCAAGAACCCTGTTTGGGAAGTAATTTAAATAAAAGATGGTATGTATGGATCGTGAGCCAAAAGGGAAGTTCGTCATTTCCCTTTTTCTTTTTTTCTTTTCTTTTCTTTTCTTTTCTTTTATTATTAACTTATTATATTTTTTGTTAGCGTCGAAAAGATACAAGAGAGCGGGGGATGTTACCTACGCCCGACACTTCGTACACATTGAACAAAGAATCTCACAGCCTGCTTCTGATTCCTGTCTAGTTATTGGTCCTTTTGTTTACCCAGCCAAAAGCTGCTTGTCCAATGGCAACACCTTGTAGGTACGGCGGGAATTTATAGCGGCGCCTGTACTAGCTACAGGAGGGTTAAACACAATGCGCGCGCTGAATACAGACGAGGGAGGACCCCGCGAACCCCACCAACATCCAGCCTAAAACTTTCGACACGCATGTTGCCCTACATCACGGCTCCGTTGGATTTTTAATCTTGCTTGGACACTCACTACATGTACACTCGCTTTTCTAGCCATTCCAACTTCTCTAAACCACGTCTATAATCCTATATTCCTCCCTAAGACACAATGGATATTGACGATATCCTTCGCCAAGTCGATCCATCGGCAGGGGGCATACCCCAAGAAACACGCGATCTCCAGGACTTGACGCGTCGCTGGGTCGCTGAGCGCTCCGCGCCAGAGTTATTAGAGTAAGGAAAAATACGATACATGGTAGATACAGCCATCATCGCCGTTACCATGCGCTGACTGCAACCACAGATGGTCTACGGATGGTCTCTTTGAGCGCGTCAACGACAGAATAAAGGCACAGATCGAACGAGTGGAAGAAATGACTGGCGACATGGACCCAAAGACAAATTTTGCCCTTATAGTTATACAAACAGAACTCGAACGTTTCAAGTTCCTTGTAAGGAGTTATCTGCGCGCAAGAATAGCAAAGGTACTGCTCATCCTTTCAACAACCCAGTCCAGAATGCATGGTGCCAGAATATATATCTAACTCGCATATAGGTTGACAAGCACACACTCTACTATCTTTCTTCCGAAGCCCTCCGCTCGCGACTGTCGTCTACCGAGCTGGCATACGCTACACGCCATCAGGCCCTCGTCCACAACCACTACCTCACGTCCTTCTTGGCGTCCTTTCCCGAAAAGCTCCAGAACCTTAATGATACAGCCGGCAATGTTAGCATGATCGACCAGCCTGATCTCGAAACCGCTGTATTCGTACGCATGCTGATAGACAAAGACGTATATGGCCGTGGAACGGATGCCGACAACGTTGTTGCTGCAGAAAATGGCGATATCTTGATCATGCGTTGGTCCAGTGCGAAGGATATGGTGGATGCTGGAGACGCAGAGCTGGTTTAGAACACATATAATGAGCCGGACCTAGGACGACGAGGATACCGTGGCGATGTCCTATTCACGACGTTACGATAATAATACATAGAAAAGAGTATACACAGATCACTGTGTTACACCCTTCCACGAAAATTTATAATATATAGAATATATTATGTCTGTTCATATCTCCAAATCTATACTTGCAAAGAAAGCAAAAGAAGAGCACAGTTTCTCCGTCATCAGTAATATCACAGGTCTATCGCTGGCACGTCGCCACTCTAAGCACGAATCTCCCACAAGCGAATCTTGCCTGTGTCGTTACCAACGGCCAACAGATCACTTTCCCGAGAGAATGCGACTGTTGTGATTCTTCCGAGCGCAGTCTGTTCCGTAGGCCAGTTTCGGTAGACGGTGCAGGTAGGTAGATGTACCAATTTCAGTGCATCCTTCTTCTCTCTGCTTCCAAAGGCAAATAGCTGGCCATCAGGTGAGAACGCCATCACGGTAATCGGTGTTACAAGCTGCTGAAAGATGCGGCGAGGTGTCGGCTGCTCTACAATGAGCTTTGGTTGGTGACCCTCTGCCTCAGCCTCCGCCTCAGCTTGCTTCTGTGGGAGTAAGAGTTCAAGACGATCGTAAATGTTGGCAATGCCCGAGTTGGATCCAACAGCAACCCAGCGGTCGTCTCCGAGTAAAGATGGGCCTTGGTGACCGCCAAGAGCAAGAACAATACCGCCGATGCAGCCGTCATCTTGCCAGACCCCGAGAAACGTGCGGCTTTCCATGCTGTATTCACCAACCGAGCCGTCCTTGCCCAAAATAGTCAGACCATCACCAGTGCTCCACCATGCAAAGTCTGCAATACCATGACGGCTGGACAGTCGGGCGGATGCAATCCACTGCATAGATGCAACGCTGATTATGTTAATTGCACCACCGCCCTTCCTTGATGACGCAGCGATGGCCATGTAGCGCCCGCAAGGACTCAGCCTAAAGCGCTCCATAGACTTGTGCTCGAGCTGATGGCCTTGAATCTGCGATGTCTTTTGCACGATACCAGACGGTAGATCCCATGTGTGAAAGTATTTTCTGCGGCCACTGAACACAATTTTGTCTCCCTTTGGGTAGAGAAATTCAGCCTTGCGAATATCAACTTGCTTAACTTGTACAGATGTGAGTCGAGGGTTCGGGGTCGGCTGTGCATCGGGGGCAATATGATGGAGATAGAGGATGGACGCGCTGCTCGCCGACAAGAGAACAGGGTATTCGGGGTGGAAGGAAAGGCACTCGACAGGCGACTTGTGCTTGTCTGGGATCTCACGAGTACGCTGGATATCGATAACTTCCGGTCGCAGGCGGTGGTGTTTGACCTGGTCACGCCCAGTAAGGCGGTTAATGTCGCGGAGGAACGCCGCCATTGGCTGAGCCGTAACATCGTCCTCGTCGTCCATGTCGCTGGCCGATGAATCTGACGCTGATTCTATCGTTGATCGGCGCCTCTTCACTGGTCTACCTTCTGCGTGCTTGGCCCATGCCGGTGCTGGGTTGAGGCGGACAAATTGCTGGCGCAATCGCTTGCAGTACTCTGTGCCGCTGACAAAGTCCTCGTCTTCGGCGATGCGCAGCTTTCTGAGCCGGGTGGCGCTAGCCAGAGAAACGGACAAGCGATCATCATCACTGTCGATCCAGGCAGGGGCGTTGGGGTCTTCTTTGGGCACTGTCGCGCTTCCTTTTTCACCTCCAGAGACTCCGGTGTCCAGCATGAAGAGGTCATTGTCGGCAACCTCTTCGAGGTCGCCAGTATCCTCTTCGCCGCGGAGGATCAGGTTGCCATTTTCATCGTAAGTCGCGCCAAATCCCTCGTCATTCCTTGCAAGCTGTGCGCGGAATCCGCTTATATCTCCCAAGACGAGTTTTTCCAGCTCTTCCTCGTCCGAGTCTTTGTCGAGCATGGCTGCCAGCTTCTTTTGCTGAGGCTCATCGTAATCGTTGTCGGAATTAAATGATTCAACAGAGTCGCTATCACTGAATTCCCTTCCAGGAGCCTCGTTATCTTGTTGTGGCGGCATTGTGTTGTGATGTGCAATTATGAATGGTAGGCGATAGACGATCTCGCTGAAAACTTTCTTTTGCCCATGGTAATTTTTGGGGCCAGCTATTGCAGCCTTGCGATTTTTTGAGGTGGGGTGGGGGCTGCTGGACCAATCATCGTACTGAATCGGCGCGAGGCTGGCACGGTCTTGTTGTAGGTGGTTTTGTGGAAGTCTCAATGAGGAGCATTACAACCAAGGATAAAATTAGTATGTATTAGTGGGGGTCGGTATATATAAATTAGGTTTTCGCGGATTGAAGCACTTCTTGCTTCAACGTGGCCACCTTGGGGCTGACCGATCCAGGCCACTGTAACGACAAAACAGCACCCTTCTGGGCGACGTTGATCAGCCTATCAACCCGCCCGCCCTGAGCCAGTCCAGCAACTAATACGCCTAGGAAGGTGTCACCGACTCCGTTAACAGATATAACTTCTTCCACTTTTTTGGCAGCTGGGAAAAGCCTCATGTACATGCCACCAACTGAAGGATGGGTAGGTGGTGCTCTGGACAAGATGTATTCTTCCTCATCTCTGTCGCGCAAACGGGCATCATCTTTACTTAAAATAGACGTCATCAAAACGCCTTGAGCCCCTAGTTTTGTGATAACTGTAGGAATATACGGTAAGAGCTGCACAGATTGGAGCGGAACACCGGCGTCCGTGAGGGCTTGGCCGGCGATGTGAACAAATTTATCTCGAGCACCTCGCATGCCGAAGGAGTCGATAATATCAAACCACTCGGTAGACTCGAAATAATCGTTTTCCTGCGCTGCTTGATGCATAGCAGCCAGTTCATACTGATTTGGCGAAGCGAGGGTGACGCTAGGGTCTGGGAAGATCCGCAGCTTGTGAAGACCCCTCTCTCGGCAAAAGAGACCGCGAGACTTTTCCACCGACACAGGCTCGAAAATGACTTGGCTTTTATTCTCTCTTCCAGCCTGGAGCCAAGTGCGGAGTTGTTCAGGGCTCCAATTGCCATCCGTGACAAGCCACTTGGGTTTAGTCTCGGCCACCATGGACTGCCAATGGTGGGGTAGGGGATGATCCTTGAATATGTCCATATCCGCCATAGCTATAACCAGATCTTTTTTGCCGTCGTTTACTGCGATATACTGAGCCGTACGGGTATTTGGGTGTTCGTCAGTCGTCAAGACCTTGACTCTGGTGGAATCCAGACCAGTCGACCTGAGAGTCGATAGAATACTTGTTCCAGCGCTGTCACCGTGTTAGCCAGCTTCGATCATTCGAACCAAAGGAAGATAAGCAGAATCAGTCTCTTACACATCATCACCAACTAAACTGCAGAAGGCGACCTCCGAATCGGAACTTGCGTAATGGGCAGCGAGGGCAACATTGTGACCAACCCCACCAATCGATTGGCTAATACGGGCAGGGTTGGACGTGTGTCTTTGTGGTTCAACCTGTCCAGACTTTATGCTACCATAGTCGCAGTTAAGATCGATGGCCACGGAACCCGCGACCAGGATGTCTGCCTGCTTACTAGAGCTAAGCGATGTATCATGTGCGGTCTTGGTTTGCGATACCTTGCGTTGTGAGAGGATTGGTGTATTTCGGTGGCTATCTACTCTATCAGATCTTTGGTACAAAGCAGACAGTCCTTCAAGACACTTACAGCTTCTGAGAGGTACCCGAAGTTAACATGCGGGAAAGTTCGACGGAAATCTTTGTGGCACGAATAATATTGGATTTGACAAGAGCCATGTTAGCGACGACCGCGCGTTCACCAGTCAGCTCTTTGAGTCTACCAAGAATAAACGGAGTGTTCTTGTTGCCTGTGAATCCCTTTTCAAGAGCTTCCGTCACTGCCTGTTCGATCATGGACTGCATTTCGGCCTTGGGAATTCCATATTCCTCGGAGATTGGATTAGCAATAAGCATACCAGACTCAATATTGAGTTTCTCTTGAGCGAAGATCATGGCAGCAGCTTCCTCATCAGTATAGAAGGTTGAGGGGCTCGTTACACCGCTGTCTCGGGCCCAGAAGGCAGGGAAGTCCACGTCGCCCTTTCGGCCATCCGCAAACGTAGAAACAAGGCAGCCTTGTGTCTCTAGGAACTCAAGCGTGCGTGGCAGGTCCAAGAATCCCTTGCAGCCACTGCTTACAACAGCGACGCGGGTTCTCCCAAGCTCAGTGAGATCGGCGGATATATCCATGGAATTCTCGCCACCGCGATGCACACCGCCGAGACCACCGGTTCCAAAAACGCGAATGCCAGCCAGGCGGGCAAGCAGCATTGTGCCGGCAATTGTTGTTCCGCCGTGGATTTTGCGACCTGTCAACCCCTATTTAGAAGTGTCAGTTGTTGCAAATGCCAAGTTTTAGTAATAAATATAGGCACTCACCATGCCAACAAGGTAGGATATATCTCGTCGAGACACTTTGACAGCAGAGCCCGACTCAATCATTTTGACTATATCTTCATGCGATACGCCAACCTTGGGGACGCCATCAACAATTGCAATAATGGCAGGTATTCCCCCATGACTTCGGACTAGTTGATCGTGTTCCTGTGCTAGCGTCTTGCCCATAAAGCCGTGGGTATAAATGGTAGATTCAAGAGCAACGACCGGCTTATTGGTAGCAACGGCATCGGAGACTTCTTCAGAGACCCAAAGTAGATCCTTAAGCCCTGAAGGTGATGAAAAGGCCCGTTGGGAATGTCGGCTGAGACTTTTGGGGGTCAGAGGATATGAACCCAATGCCATTGATGCTGCTCCAGGCACGAGTTTATAGAGGCATGGCCGCGTGAGGACGGCGGAAAGGCGCGCCGTCTTCATATGTGGCGGATGTTGCGTCGCGTAGCTATCAATGGGGCAATTGCTGTTTTGAAAAGCTCACAAATGCTCTCTGGTAAGAGCTGATGGTCAAGTGATGAAACTACGACTTGACAGATGACGAGAGGGGAGAGGAGAAGTTGCGAGGAGGCGTTCCAGTTTTGTGTGGAGTTGAAGCTGCTGCAAGAAGCTTCCACTGTAGGGCACGCTTTCCGGCGCTTTCGGGGCTCCATTACAGCGTGCTGCGGACCCTGTAACGGCGTCTGGGGCATCCGTTGGCAGCTGCCGAAGCTATGGTGTAGGAGATGCACAGCTGCTTGCAATTAGTGCTCTGAGTTTCTATAGGTGAGTAGAATCAGATCTAACTTATAAATCTACTGTATTTTCCGGTTCCGGACATGGCCGGGGTGAATCGTGACGCCGCATTGGTAGTTGTCGATGTCCATCGGCTTGGGCATCACCCGATAGCAACTATTCTTCATAAACTACTATGTCCTCCATATAATTTTAAGTATATGCCAGAGCGCTTATGGAAGGCCAGTCGCAATACCGCTATCCTCCCGTCGGCAACACACAGTATAGCCGACCATCCGTTGCACCAATTCACATGTCAGTCCAAAATACACCCAGAGTCCGGGAAAGACAAATATAGCCAAAATGCCCAACCGTAGAATAGCCGTTGAATATACTTTTTAAATATAAATTGGTATTTATTTCAACCGAAAATTACTTCTCATTGGACTAACTGTCCCCCATTTCGCGTTGCGCCTGGTTACTCCAAGTACGCCACTCTGCGCTCCCCCGCATTGCTTCTGCCGAGGCGATTAGCTTTACCACTGTATCTGTAAATTAGCACCTTGTCCCCCAGATTATAGCATATCGCTCTCCCGTCACCATCTCGCTCGCCAAAGATAGCGAAAAATCTTCAGACTTCAGAATGCCTTTCCACAAGGGTCTCCTGCCTCGTGAGGGCTTCTTCGGAGATGTCATTCTGCGCCTCATCGATCGCACACTCTTAAACCCTTCTCTTCTGCTCCCTCTGATTCTCTTTGCCCGATACACCAAGCGTGGGCATAACCTGTCCGTGGTCCACGAAAAGGCATATGGCCGCATCAAGAAGCTTTTCTACATCAGCCTAGTCAAGTCCATTAGCAAGTACATCTCAGGCAGGGCTCGAGACAATTGGACTTCGGATCGCTATGACTGGTCTCGCGAGATTGTCCTGGTCACCGGCGGTGCCGGGGGCATTGGTGGCGCAATGGTCAAGTTTTTCGACGAGCTCGGCATCAAAGTCGTGGTTATTGATGTTCAGCCTATGAGCTTTAGAGCGTGTAAGTAACGACACCTTTGCCTATGTTTTGCTTGCTGCTCAGTTACCGCTAACTTCCTGACAGCTCATCGCGTTCACCACTTCACCTGTGACATTCGTTCGCCAGAGAAGGTGAACGCCGTCGCTGATGAAATCCGAGCCAAGGTTGGTCATCCTACTGTTCTTATCAATAATGCTGGCGTCGCCCGTGGAAAATACATCCTTGATGCTGAGCCTGGTGATGTTCGCTTCACGTTTGACGTCAATACCCTTGCCCACTACTGGCTTGCAAAGGCATTCCTCCCCAACATGATACGTACCAATCATGGCATGGTGGTTACCGTTGCTTCATTGGCCTCTTGGATCACTGCTCCTAAAATGGTTGACTACGCCGCCTCCAAAGCTGCTGCTCTCGCTTTCCATGAGGGCCTTGCCTCGGAGCTTGCCACCGTATACAACGCCACCAAGGTGCGCACTGTCGTGGTTCACCCCGCGCACACCAGAAGTGATTTATTCAAGGGATTTGATCAAAAAGACCCATTCTTCTTCCCCACTCTCCATACAGACTCAATGGCCGAGGCTGTCGTCAGACAGGTTCTCACTGGCAGAAGCGGGCAAGTTGTACTTCCCACTGCAGGACGTCTTGTGCAGCTACTCCGTGTAGTCCCCGATTTTGTCTCCAGCAAGGTCCGTAATGACGGCGCGCATTATATGAAAGAGTGGAAAGGTCGACAGGTCATTACCGATGTTGATGCCGACTTTGAGGGAAAGGAAGCAAGTGAGAGCACTGTGCTTGTCGGTAAGGAGTAGATATCCTGGTTCGTTTACATTAGCAGTGTGAGATACGCAACTTGTCTTTTTTACTCTTTTTCGCTACCTCATACATGTATCGCTTAAAATCACGACTAATACAAACGACAAGACATGCGTCGCATTGGCGCAGTCTACTTATTGGTCAAATTAAGCCTTGCATTAACTACTCAAGTTACAGGGTAATGAACATTTACATTTTTTGCTATACTAGTGTAGCCGTGATACGCGTCGTATTTTTGCCTTCCCTCTTCGAATTACTGGAGGGTGGGCATGTGGACGGTAGCCTTCTTAGCGACAGCATCGTTGGCAGACCAGAAAGAGGTAACAGTCTTAAGCTGGGTATAGAAGTTGATACCAGGCTTACCATAGAAGGTGCTCGCACCACCACCAGCAATACTCTTCTTGTTACCAGTGAAAGAGAACATAGGCAGAGGAACGGGGATAGGTACATTGACACCAACCTGACCGGCCTCGATGTGGCGACGGAAGGTCTCAGCGGTGGCTCCGGATCTGGTGAAGATGGCAACACCATTTCCGTATTCGTTCTTGTTGATCAATTCAATAGCATCGTCGATGGTCTCAACATTGAGGCAGACAAGCACGGGACCGAAGATCTCCTCCTTGTAGCAGGTCATATCGGGTGTGACATTGGAGATGATAGTGGGACCAATGAAGTTGCCGTTAGGGTACTTGGCGGGCTTGAAGCCGCGGCCATCCAGCAGGATAGTGGCGCCTTCCTTCTCAGCACTGGCAATGAGACTCTCGATGCGCTCCTTGCTGTGAGGAGAAATGACAGGGCCGAGGTCAGCGCCGGCCTCAAAGCCACCGTCGACCTTGAGAGCCTTGGCTGCCTCAGCAACTTCAGCAAGCCATTCCTTTGTCTCGCCAACCATGACAAGAGTGCTAAGAGCCATGCAACGCTGACCAGCAGCACCAAATGCGGCACCGACAACGCTGTTTACGAAATGGTTCTTGTTGCAGTCGGGGAGCACAGCAGCATGGTTCTTAGCACCCAAGTTCGCCTGGACACGCTTACCATTTGCAGAGCCACGCGTAAAAATGTATTCGCCAGCCTTGTTGCCACCAACGAAGCTAATAGCCTTGATAGCAGGCTCATCGAGGATGAAGTCAACGGTTTTGTGGGCACCGTGGATGATGTTGACAACACCTTCGGGGAAACCAGCCTTAGCGCAAAGCTCAGCGAGAATCATGGCAGCTCCGGGATCCCGCTCAGAAGGCTTCAAGATAAGAGTGTTTCCGGTAATGGTAGCCATGGGAATACACCAGAGGGGAATCATGGCAGGGAAGTCTGTACGAAGTTGTCAGTACATCTGTATTTTGATGGCATTATCCAAATCGGCTTACTGAAAGGGCAGATGGCTGCAGTGACACCCAATGGCTCGCGATAAGTGCGAGTTTCCATGTCTTTAGCGACTTCGAGGACCTCGCCTTTGAGCAATTCAGGAGCGGAACAGGCAGCCTCAGCCACCTGAAGGCCACGGAGGACATCGCCTTTAGCATCGGCAAAGGTCTTGCCCTGCTCCAGAGTGATACTAGCGGCAAGACGGTCCCAGTTCTCACGGATGAGAGCGACAAACTTGAACATGATCTGCTGACGAGCGAGGACGGTGGTCTCTTTCCATGAAACAAAGGCCTTTTGGGCACTGGCAACAACGGCCTTCATTTCCTCATCAGTCATCTGCGGGACGCGGGTGATGAGGTTATTGGTAGCAGGGTCTGGGAGATCAATGTACTTGTCAGTCTTGGACTGGACAAACTTGTTGTCGATGAAGTAGGGTGTATCCTCGGGCGACTGGATCTTGTCGTGAGTGCTGGGGTAGTTCGTAGCAGTTGAGGCTAGGGCAGCCATCGGTTTCAATTGCTGCGCCGTAGCGTGTAATCGCCTGGCGGCAATGGCAGAAGCCTTGGAAGCCATAATGGGAGTGGCAACAGTTGAGCGAGAGGCAACGGACGAGACAGCGGAACGGCCAGCGGTAGCAGAGACGCTTCGGGTTATAAGTCGACGCATCTTGAGCGATTGTGAGCAACTCTCGTCTTTCTATGCAAGATAACGGTTGTTGGAAGGGGAAGAGGAGGAAACCCACAGTTTGGAGGAGAGATATTTAAAACCCCAGAGCCCACAACTTTGTACTTCGGGTGCTTGCTGTTCGGCCTTGCTGATGGTGGAGGTGTCCTGAAGGCGGAGGAAAGGATGGGTGGATTGTTTAGCCGGCTGTGGGCGGCGTGGGGGAGTGACCCGGCTAACGCTTGGGGTACTGTAGCGCGCCCAAGCCTAGCGGATAGTCCGCACATACGTTAAGCCGAGACCCCAACCACCAATAAAATGTGGGTCGCAAAGCCGACGGACTCCGCGGCCACTCAGCAACTCAACCCGATCCCGGAGCTCGGCGGTTAAGCCGGTACACCAACCGTAGATCAAGTTGTGCGTTCATCCAACTGCCGACAATGCCAATGCCAATTGCAATGGTAGTTATTATCACAATTGGTATATGCTAAGAATAAGGACTGTGTTTAAATTTAAATTGTTTTTAACTGGATATTCTCTTTTACAAGGGTTGCTTGTGAACTCATTGGCGAGCCCAAAGGCCAGCCCGTCTAAATACAATGGACGCCAGACTTTACCAGCTTTCAACGGCATCCTTGTTGCCTCGACTAACAAACGTGTCTAATAAAACAGACACTGTCATCAGCACGCAGCAAGTGTATCTGGATATTCTTTTACTTTTCGACATCTAGACATCCGTTTCATTTTGCTGTGCATCTTTACTTCGTTTCATCGTTGTAAAACGACCACCTCCACACACAAACTCCGGGTAATCGCATTTAAGCACGGCGCTTCTTAGCCTCCTTGGCCTTCTCAGTGCCAGTGGAGACAGCCTCGGCAGCCTTGTTCTTAACGTCCTTAGCCTTGGCCTTAACATCGCCAGCAACCTTCTTAGCGGGGGTAGAGCCGCCGAGTCCAAGGAGACCAGCAATCAAAGCAAGAACAGTGACGAGGACAGCGGCAATACCACCAGCAACCTCGGGAACGAACTTGATGGCCTCAATGGGGCTGGTCTGGGCAATGGTAAGGAAGAGATCAAGCTTCTCGCGCACATAGAGGACAGGGTCATCGAGGAACTTGAGGTCGTTGGGGGACTTGGGGTCCTCAGGCTTGGGGATATCAGCATCAGCCTGAGCCTTCTCAGCGACGTGCTTGAGCTTGAAAGACTCTTCAGCAAGCTTGTTGGCGTCCTCAACGGAGTGGCCAATGTAGATGTTGTCGAAGAGGATATCGTTCTGCATGGTCCAAATCTCGAAGCCAACCTGTAACACGTGTTAGTACATGATCATAAATTTCACGCGTAGAAAATGGGAAACTTACAGCGCCCATAGGCTCAAAGTTGGCGGGTGTCTTGTCCTCGTAGAAACCAGGGTTCTTGATCTTACGAGGAGCCCAAACACCCTTGTAGGCGGGGTTGTCAATGTAAGGGGCAACCCACTTGCCCTTGTAGTCGGGGTTGCTCTTCATGGGCTTGGTCCAGGGACCACAGCCAGAAACATCGGCACACTTGGGGTTGGGAACTGTAGGAGCAACAAAGTCACCGTCCTCATCATCATCCCAGTCAGCGGGCTTCTCGGCCTCAGGGTCGGGGATAGTGAGAGATTCGCTTTCAAGCCAATCCTCGGGCTTGACAGCCTCCTCATCAACAATCTCAAAGGGGGCATCCTCATCCCAGTCTTCGGGCTTCTTAGCCTCGGGGTCAGGGATGCGGGCTTCATCAACCCAGGTCTCGGGCTTCTTGTCCTTGGGGTCATCAATCTCGGCCTCAGGATTGACAGGGGGGGTAAAGTCCTCGAGCAGAGTGCCGGTCTTGACCTCCTCGTTGTTCTGCTTCATGACGTAGGTGTTGTTGGGGTGAACAATGAGGGTGTAAAGCTCGGTGGTCTTCACAATCTTGGCGGTAGGGGGGGAAGAAAGGTGCTTCTCCTCGTACTCGCCGGTCTTGGGGTTCTTGTGGTTGAAGATGAAGTGGACCTTGTTATTGTGGCCACACTTGTCTGGACCGAACATGATGACATAGGGAGTGGTGTTGGAGAACTCTTCCTGGTGAAGAGCCTTGTTGTCGCGGAGGAGCTTCATGTAGGCACCACCGCAGTCAAGACCATCTATGAAGATACGTTAGTTGGTTGCGTGAAACACAGGCTGTTAAATTGGGTATAACTTACTCTGAAGCTTCACTTCGTACTGAACGACAAGAGTCTTACCCTTGTTATCAATCTTCTTGGGGAACTTGGCGGAGATAGCGTGGTGGGCAGCGGGGTTCTTGACGACAAGACCTTCGTCACCCTCCATGCCCTTGTACTGGTGAGGCTCCTCCACTGCCCACTGGCCAACATAGGCCCATTCTTCCTCAGTTTCGTCAGTCTTGGCCTTGCCAGAGTTGTCCTTCTTGGCAGTAGAAGCCTTCCATCGCTTCTCCCAGCCCTCAGTGAACTGCTCGAGGAAAGGAGCCTTGAGTGCGGTAGGCTAGAAGAAAAGTGTACGTTAGCAATTGCACGGCAGTCCGAGGCGACGGTCGGGGAGGTCAATTGACACTTACAGTGAACTTGGGGAGCTCAACAGCGGCAGGAGAGGCCTCGGCCTCTTCAGCGTTGGCAACGCCAGCCAGCATGGCTGCTGACATGGCAGCGGCGACAGTATTGAACTTCATTGTGTCGAGCGACTTTTTAGTGTAAAAGCCAGGAATGGAGCGGAGGCGGAGTGTATGAAGAAAAAAAAAAGGGTATCGAGTTAGGGAATCGAGACTAAACAAAGCCCAATACAGCTACAATAATAGGACCAGGCCTAAAATCTGCAATCGTGGAGAATGTAGTGACAAGAGGGAGAGGTGAACGTGGTAGAAAGTGAAGATCAGGGATGTAGCGGGTTGAAGAAAGAACAAGAAGCTGCCAGCCGAGAGGACACGTTGAAGCTCCGAAGCAGCCAAGGGCCTCCAAAATTCGGGGGCAATGCGGGGGCCGGTTGGGGCTACTCTGATTTTAGTGGACTCTTAGTGCTGGGGCCTGCTGAAGACGAATGCAGCAGAATGGAACATGGCTACCCGGCACAAGGCGTGACGTGACCACAGGACGGAAAGCTCTGAGAGAGCAGTATTAATATGTTGTAAAATAAGTATAATCTATCTTCTGATTTTTTTGCTTTCAGTTATTCAATTGTCCTTGTCTCTTGTGAGCTGTTTGTAATATTTTACGGCATCACTTGCTCGCGTCTTTGCTGCCACACAATTTCTATAGCAACTGCGGAGGACCCTCACCAATGGCGACCCTGGCGATTGCTATCAATGGCCCTGCCAAGTGGGTAATTGGTCCATTAGTCAAGGAGTCTGGAAAACTGACATACTACTCAGCCGCTACCAAGGTTAGCTCCACGTGCCATTATGTCCGCGATTCAATTAAATGCCATTGCTGACTCAACAGAGAATTAAGTCACACGCTTCAAAAGTTAAGTTTAGAACCGAAACCTATTGGGTCAGACAGCGCAAAACTCAAGTTGAGTCACCTGTCTGTCCCATAGATTTAACTAAGCGCCACCCGCAAGCATCGGTCCGAATCTCGTGGATCGCCTTCGCTCTTCCCCAAACGTGCTTCGATCGCCGAGGACCATACAACAGCGTGACAAAACTGGTCGGACTGCGCATCTTAATCTCGAAACCAAGGCTGCGTATTCCCGTGCCAAACATAGATAGCTAGCACGAAACCGTTGTTTTGACGTAGCTACGTTTACGTGCCAACCAATTGGGATTACCGCTCGAGATGTGCATGTATGTAGCATTTCGTTGACTTACATAAATGCAAAAATTGAACTTCGTAGACCAACAGATGGAACACAGTGAATATGCATTAAACAGCCAAAGCCAGTCCGTGTATTGTTTTCTATTTAAAAGACAATTTCAAGAATTCATATGCGAAGAGAGAGACAGCCTCCACGTCACAACGTTGCGGTTCCTACTGTGCAACTTGGCCATCAATTCGTAAGCACAAACTCAATCACCGATTTAGAAAGCAAGGAGCGCAGCAAGGGCACCAACGAAAGCGCTGCCAACGACGGGGTTAGCAGCGGCAGAGTGACTTCCAGAAGCAGCGGCGCCACTAGAGGTCTGGGAAGCGCCGTTTCCAGATGTACCAGAGGGCTTCTCGGCACCAGTCTGGGATGCACTAGCACCACCAGTGCCAGCAGACTGAGAGGCACCGTTACCACCAGCACCGGCAGACTGGGAAGCACCAGCTCCGCCAGCACCACCAGTGGGAGAAGCACCGTTGCCACCGGCGGCACTGGACTGAGCAGCACCGTTGTTTCCGTTGGAACCACCATTAGCACCGCCGTTAGCACCTCCGTTAGCACCACCATTGCCGTTTCCGTTGCCGTTTCCAGCACCGGGAGCACCGCTGGGCTCAGGGGTGCCGACGGAGCTCTGGAAGTAGTACTGGTACGAGCAAGAAGCCAGGCACTTGCCGTAGTCGAGAGTAGCCTGAGGAGAGCCGTCGCCCTGCTTGCACTTCATAGCGCAGTCAGTGTTGGAGTTGGCCTGGCCCTCGTTAGGAGAGGGGACCTGGTAAGGAACAAGGTTAGCTGACGGGGTCTCGGTGGATGCATATACCCAGAGAGTATCGAGCAATTGGTAATTGCCTGGTAGCAGAACTAATTCAAGGATGATTGCAGACAAGGGAGCTACCCAGCATTTCCAGGGAAGGCTTGCAAACTTACACCGACACAGTGAGCCTGGCAGTTGACGTCGCCGGCGCCACAGTTCTTGAGGCAGTCCTCGACGGATGCGCTGGCGACAAGGGCCATGGAAGAAGCGGCGATGATGGTAGCGAAACGCATTTTGGCTGGTTGTAGGGGTATCAAAGACAAAGTTGGTTAATGAGCGTGAGTTAGCGAGTGAATGGAAACACAAAAAAGATTTTACAGAGGCGTAAACGAACAAACCAAGCACGCGCACCGGCGGCAGGATGCGGGCATCGTTTATTTATGACTGCAGGTTCTCAGGCGCGTGAATCTTTGAGCCGCTAGTCTTCAGGGGTGGGAGGGTGCGAGCCTAGTGCAGAGGCGCATACTTAGCGTGCCCAGCATGTTTCGCGTTCCTGAGCACAGTACTGGTTAATTCCCAACATGTCGACCTGCCGCTGCCGCTGCTGCCCTGCATGAGCACAAGAAATCTTTTCTTCTTTAAAAGCAAATCCCGAACATGCATGCTTCCTTTTTATGGCCCTTGTATTCTGTATATCGTGCTGCAGCAGGCTCAAGGGTGTATGCTGCAGCCGGTCTGGGGAAGCGCCCGTGATGTTAAATGAGCATCCCACCTTTTTACAACAGCCCCGATGTTTAGCGAAATTACGAGCCCGAGGTTGGGCGATCAGAGTGAGCTGCATACACGAGTGGGTGTAGCACAGCAGGGCCAATTATGTGTCGCGAATGCGTCTTGATCAATGAGCGGTGCGTCAAAGGATGCTTTCTTACTCGCAAGGCAAGGGAGCGCTCAACGCAAAGTGAAATCGAGGATTGAAGTCGCCCACTCCTCGACCATCTTGGCGCTGTAGCCACCCGAATGCACTGTACTAGACGGACCGTCGGCTAGGCTTGTCGTGCCATTCGCCCTGTGGCCGTTTGGTATGTTGCATTTCCGCCTCCCGTTCGAAGATACCCGCCTTCGGCTACGTTGACGATGGAGTGTGTTCAATAGTGCCGTCCCAGCGACAAGTCTCAGATGGAAACCTTCTTATGCAGACGTTTGGGTCTGTTGCGGTGCTCAGTGTATGAGACATGCGGAGAAGGGGAACGCATTTCAGCGGCGCGAAGGGCTGGAATGCTCTATCTAGAGCATTCTTCGCTCTGCATCGTTTACAAGAGTGCGCTTGAACGGACGCGCCCGTATTTCCAGGCCTGTATTCATGTTATTGCCAGTAGCTGTTCCTTGTACGCCACGTCGGGTAGCTTGCGGGGTTAGATATACGCCGTATGAGGAACAGATCGACCAGGCGGGCTTTCTAACTCACAGTAAAATACACGCACCATGCTGTACAGTAGTTCTTACTTCATTAAAATAGGCTGGAGTGGATATTGAGAATTATCTACTTTGAGCCTTCCTTGTAGTGTGTTAACCAACAGAGAGAGACAGAATATGGTGGTTCCTAAACAATATCAAAGGATGTAGTTGTGCATATTGTGTACCGCACCTAATTGACCCAGCAAATCCAGATTGAATTATTCGCTTATGCAGCTCAGCAAAATGAATAGCCTGGCACCTACCAGTCGCATTCACCGCAAAGCTGGCCAAGCACCCCTCCACGTGCAAGCCGACATCACCACCTTGCCCCACTACTATGTCGTATGGCGCAATGCTGGAAAAATCAGAACCTCTCGTTACAAATAGCTACCTTTGTAATCGAAGCAGTTGAAAGCAACAACATATCACCAAAAGATCTAGATTTGGTAAACTACCATCACAATGGCAACCACCGAGGCGGATAAGCTCATCACCTCCGACGACCCGAACCACCCCGCCAACCTCATCCCTTCCCTCTGTGCCAAGTTCTGGCACCTTGGCTGGGTTACCGGCACTGGTGGTGGCTGCTCTATCCGTAATGAGTATGTATTTCTCAATAGGCGCGATGTAGCCGTACCGGATACAAGCGCACCTGTATCTTTGTGCTGACGTATCGATTGCAGCGACAAGGTCTACATTGCACCGTCTGGCGTTCAGAAGGAATTGATGAAGAGCACCGATATCTATGTCCTCTCTCTTGCCGCCCAGAACTCTACTTTTACCGACCGTACATATCTCCGCTCCCCACCATGCTACAAGCCTTCACAGTGCACTCCTCTATTCCTTGCAGCCTTTACGAAGCGTGGCGCTGGCTGCTGTATTCACACCCACTCACAATGGGCAGTCCTCGTAACTCTGTTGCTTGAAACACAGGGGTCTGGGAATGAAAAGGTCTTTGAGATCAACAACATCGAACAGATTAAGGGATTTGGCCGCGGGATGACGAAATCAGGCAACCTGGGCTACCATGATACTCTTCGTATTCCAGTCATCGAGAACACGCCCCATGAAGAAGACCTCACTGAATACCTTGAAGCTGCCATGGAGGAATATCCGGATACATATGCGGTGTTGGTGCGACGCCACGGTGTCTATGTCTGGGGTGACAACGTCCACAAGGCCAAGACACAGTGCGAGAGCTTGGACTATCTCTTCCAACTCGCAGTGGAGATGAAGAAGCTTGGTATTCCATGGACTAGCGAGATTGCCCGTATTGGCCCTGACAGGCCATAGAATGCTTCATGCATTGTTTGCATAGGTTGGGAGTTGAGTGATTTAGCGCTGGCGTGGTGGTAGCTCTGGCGGCAGTATAAAAGCAAAATGAATGGTGTCTGAACAGACAGGACAGAAATGGTGATTTTTACATATATAGTGACGAACCAATTGAATTTAAAATAATTACGGTGCGCCTCTACCACGCTTCCCTATGGGTTTAAGAACATGCCTTGTATGGTTATAACTCATCCGCGATACGTGTATCTGATTGTGCATCGTCGAGACGTTCGGTAGCTTCGTTTGTGGCCGTCTTAACAGCGTCGTCTACAATCTCAACTATCGGGAGGCTTTTATGGTCCTCATGGGTATCGATTGTCGGTAAATCTTCACCGGGCAAACCCTCCACCTCTACTTGTTGCTTTGCGTTTAGCTCGTGAGCTCTGGCAGGAGACGCCACTGGCTTCGCTGGCGCTACAATACTTGATACTTTCCAACCCACGCCGAACAAGATACGAACAGGGAAGAGAACCAACCACCAGATGGGCCCATACAGCAAGCGACGGAAGATGAGCCAACCAAGAGTTACCATCAACATGTACATGGCTGTTTGAAGATACCAAGTGTCGCTCTTTTGAGATTTGAGCAAGGTGCCCAAAAGATCTCTTGATTTGACCAGCATTGTATCCAGTGAGCCATATGATTCGTCGAGCTGTTTCAAGGCGGCCGATGACTCTGTTAAGGTTTGATGTGCAAACTCGCTTCGTGATAGTTCTGAGGCGATGAGGTCATGCGTTCGGCGCAACGCATTTGTGACATTACTACTTGCACCGACTGTTTCTTGATCAACCTCAGAAAGGCTCGAGTGATTGTGCTGTTGTGTACGTCGTCGTAAGATCTGTACAGGAACTGGGTTCGATGTTTCTTCGGACGGCTCGTCGCTTGTCGTCGTTGCTGGCTGCGTGTAAGATTTCATAATAAGCTGGCGCTCGAGCTTTTGCGCCTCTGCAATATTCCTCTTAGCAGTGAGCCTTGCCTTTCTGAATGATGTACGATGGCTACCACATTTGTTAGTCCTAAACGGCGTCATACCATGGTAGACTGGCGGCTCACCTTGCTAGCTCCTCGCTGACCTTTCGCACGCCCTCTAGTAACCTTGATTTATTCTCACCATCCGCTCTAAGATATCCGATGTCTTCCTGCAGCAATTCTTGGTCGTCTGTAACAATTCGAAGAATAGAAGTTATTTCTGAGCTCAATTCACCGCTGACGCTGTCCTCCTCATCGGTACCCAGCGGCACTGAACCAGGCTGGAACTTCAGTGTTTCGAGTCGATCGATTAGTTCGCGCAGTTGTGCAGTCGTTTCTTGCAAGGCTGTCAGCCTGTCATGTAAGATGTCAAACGACATTTTTCTTTAGGTAGTGATTAATTGTCGTTGTTGTAGATCTAGTGTTATGTGGTCTGACCTGTGCTTCTCCCAAGCTGTCCTCTCCTACACACGGCAACCTATGTGCCCATCAAAACGGGTTTATGCATATGACGGGGCAGCACCTTGATTTTCCTGACATAGCCTTTTTAGTCCAGTCGCCAGCGTCGACCGTGCCAAACCAAATTGACTGATAAAAATAACCACCCAAAATGATCACCAAGTTTATGACGGAGGTCACTGCTAGATTCAACCCGTTTTCTGCATGTGCAAAACCTGCTCGCCTGTTTCTGACATTCCTCCCCCCGGACGCGCGCGCAAATGGCACCATCATCAACACCGCACTCCTACCACGAACATCGACCGAATCTAGCTCAGTTGCTGTGAAATTTAGTATGTTTCGAAGGATGAAGCTATTAGTACGGTGGCTAACTAATGTATGTAGAGGACGGAAAAGAGATGAAATTCAACTGCGAAAAGCTTAACATTAAGGGGCTGGTTGAAGAGGTTGACCGGCATTCGCGCAAATTGCAAAAAGCGGCCGATCTCACAGACTAAAACCAACCTCGACTGTATATTATCACTGCGAATGGCAGTTTGCATTTCTGGCGTTTCGATAATGAGCTAAAGGTAGGACTACGAAGGATCACTGGCCGACGACGGCGACGGCGATGTGATGTGTATTATAACAAGAGTCGGTGATATTAGGTGTATATAGTAAAGGGTCAAAAGTCCAATTTTACTTTTATTAATATTATGAACCGCCGGGTAGTGGTTACTAATGGTTTGCCGATTCTGAGGGATCCCCTGAACCTTTCAACATGCTTTAAGCAGAGGCACCAGAGATAAAAAACCACTTGTCGATGGAGCTGTCAATCTTGGCAGGAGGAAGCTCCTCGTTGGCGGGCAGGGGGGGAAGCTGATCAGCACTGACACGAGAAGGAGAGTGCTGGACGGCAACGTTGGTAGTGGAAATACCACCGGGCTGGACCTTGCCGGTGATGAGACGTTCCCAAGCCTCAGAGCATTCACGGACAACGTCCATGGCGTAGCTACGATTGGTTAGAATCATTACAAAATGCGTGGGAGGTTTGGTACTCACGCCTTGTTCTTGCACTCGCCAGTGAAAGCGAACTGGTTCTCAGGCTTGCCGTCAGGGATCTTGTAGATGCGGAACCACTCGTTTGTGGCACGGAGAAGGCCAGGCAAGTGGCGCTCGACATCCTCAACATCGTTGAGCTTGGGGGCAAGAGGGTCATTGACATCAACGACGATGACCTTCCAGTCAGTCTCGTCCTCGTCGAGGAGAGCCATGACACCGAGGACCTTGACTTGCTTGACTTGACCAGTGTAACCGACGAGCTCACCGATTTCACAAACGTCGAGAGGGTCGTTGTCACCCTTGGCCTTGGTCTCGGGGTGAGCGACGTTGGGGTCCTCCCATGTCTATGAAGGAGTCGATGTTAGTTTTCCATCATTTCCCCGGATTGTTCAATCGGCGGTGAGACGTACCTGGGGGAATGCACCGTAGTTCCAAAGGTAGCCCTTGTGGGGGAAGCAGTTGCGGACGAAGCGGAGCTTTCCCTTCTTGGTGTCCTGCTTGATGGGGTTAAGAGTCTCCTCCTTGGAGATCTATACAGACACGAGTCTTGGTTAGCATTTGGTTTAGAAGCAAAACAGAGCAACGTAGCAGAATCTCGCCAGGATGCGTCATATTTGATGGGACAGAGTCCTAGATCCGAGGAACACGGTAAGGCAATCTTACCTCAAGCTTGGCGTTGGACCAGCGGGGGATCTCGACAACCATGTTCAGGATAGTCTGCTCCTGGTTGGCATAGAGAGGAATGTCATGGAAAGGAGAGACGGGGACACCATCCTTCTCAATGTAGACACGGTGCTCCAAGGTATTGGCAGCAGCCACCTTGCGGGTGGTGTATTGGGAGGCCATTGTAGATAGACCCCGGGTCGATTGATGCACAGAAGAGCTCGTGAGGTGACGAGCTATCTGGGCAGTTCGTTGGGAAGAAATTTTGGCGGTGATAGAAGGAGAAGAGGGGGAGGTTGTGGCAGGCGAGAGCAAAGACTGTCGAGGGGAAGATGGAGGGGGCGGGGCACGCTGACCCATTGTTGCTTGGCCTGTGGCACACCGTCGAACGGCGGGCACTGTAGAAGGTACTAGCACTGCGTGATTGGCGGGCCCATGCACTGAAGATAGGCGGTGCAGCGGCAAACAGGGTCGCTGTGCCGCCAGTCGTGGCGAGCAAAACATGGAACCAGAGGCGTGAGGAGAAGGCGGACGCGGACGCTAAGGGGATTATGACAAAGAACAAGGGGTGGAATGAAATGGGTCGGATTAAGATGCCGAGGGTGCAGTAAGTGGCGATAGATCTTCAATTGGCGCTGTTTTCACTTTACCGCCGCGCGACGATGCAGATGACCGAGGCTTCAGGAGATTCTGGCTGCAAAAAGATGGTAGGGAAAACGCCGCTGGTACGGTACAGGGAAGAACGCCCAGGCAGGCAAAGTGCTGGAATTCCTGCCTCAGAACGCCAGAACTGGTCCACTGTAAGCAGGGCTAGGGGGCGGAAGGCTGCTAAAAGCCTCAAATTGCGCGATAGAGATAAGGGTAGGGTCGTAAAAAAACCTGGCACGACTGTACGAGGGACCGAACGGAGAAGATCGGAAGATTTTGAGCAAGTCGGTACAGCCGGCCGGTCGGGGTGGGCACTCTTGGATCCATGAATGGCGCTAACGCTAAGGCGTCATTCACACGCTCGTTGCCCGTTCGACAAGACGAAAGATGCCTATAGATCTCCGTGTACGTCCTACCCGCAAAGGCGAGCCAACTTACCTTAACGACCTGGGAACCCATTTCTGGCCCATTGTGAATGATACATGTCGCTGTTGAGGAGTTGGCACGTAGTTATACCAGTAGACGCGACCCTCGACGAAGAATGGGTGGCATCTTCGTTTATGGAAGCTCCGCCCTATATTTCCGAGTTCATGTTTGGGTGTACAATTGACATATCGCAGACTAACATAAATAAAATATTCTTATTTGTAATAATTACTTAAAGCAAAGACCAAATTCAACGGGTGGGGAAACACAAGCAAACACAAGCATAAACAACCGTCTCCAGCGATTAAACATGGTATCTTCAAACTCAACTCGTGGTAGATTAGGCGTCAGCCTTCTCCTCGATTTGTTTGGTACTATCTTCCTTAGCGTCATCAATCTCATCCTTCTCGCCCTTAGTGTAGGAAGGAGCGACATCAAAAGACTCAGAATCCGGTCTCCAATCACGAAGATCATCCTCTACGTCGTTGAGCACTTGACGGGCTTGCGCCTGGGTAGCAGTGTCATAAGCAGGACGAGCATCACCTGGTACAACGGGAGTATCATCGAGCAACTGAAGAAGACGACGTCCATGCTTGGCGAGGATAATTTGTTTCTCAGCGCGCTCAATGGTGGCAGCAAATTCGGCCTCGTATGCTTCTTTAATCTTCTGGCGGGTCTATCGGCCTCTGTTAGTGAACTTTTGTACCGAAGTGCTGCTCTGTTATACTTACAATGTTCGTAAGTTGGGCTTCAGCAACCAGGTTCTCTGCCTCAGCTCTAACGAGCTCCTGCTCAAGAACAACTAGGCGCGCACTCTGAGGCTCCTTGAGTTTCAGCTTCTGAATTTCGTCGGTAATCTTGGCCTTGCTATCTCGGCTTGGCTGAACACTCTTTTCCGTGTTGCGGATAGCCTTAAGGATGCTTCGAGAATCGTCAAGGGCGTGAGCGTAGCTATCTTCTTGCTCACCAATCTCGCTCAAAAGAACTCCGACCTTGTCAGAGATGTCGCTGAGGCCATCATCGCCAGTTTGCTCGCCCCATTCTGACAATTGCGTAGCGATTGAGATTCGTTCGCGGCATGCGGTCTCATGAGCAGTTACTAGGTTATTTTCCGACTTGATGAGCTTGAAAAGCTTTTTGGAAAGCTCAGGCTGAACGGTGCCTCGGAGAGAATTGAGGCCAAAACCTGGCATTCTGTTGCCTCCAGAGTTGTTCGAACTCTTGGAGTTGCCGGAACGGATGGAAAATGCGCGATTCCTGTTAGAGATGTTACTGTCAGTAACGGAATGGCTATGATCTGCACTGTAATTTAAAAACAGGCGGCTAATGGGGGTTTTGGTAATATACCACGCCATTCCTGTCGTCTTGTGAATGCTTGCCTTGCTGAGGCAAGCAAAGCTGGCATATCCATAAGAAGGACCTCGAAGCCCTTGGGCTATTATGGGGCAACGTACATAGTGTCTGAGATGGATGAGTATGGGTGCGTGGGTTCTTTCTTCTGGTCTATTTTGGCTACGTTAGCTAGGCTCTGTCTTGACGTACGGTAGCTCGTAGCGTGACTGTCATTTTCGTGCCGCGCAAGCCGAAACGGAAGCTGTAACCCGATTGTTGACAATGGAAGGATGGGAGATATGGTGAACCGAGATCCTCACTTACGAAAAGATTTAAAGGGATAAGATGTATCGCTTACCAGGGCTGACGGAAACTTAAGAAGAACCAGAAAAGCCACGATGTCAGGGCTGTGCTTAGTTTTTAAACAGATCGGGGATGATGGGGAAAACAGGGTGGAGAGGAGGGGCTATGTTATAAGCCAAATACCCTGCTTTGACGCCCAGGCGAATTTCCACAGCCAGCTGTGAAAGGTTGTAGGAAGCATTTTGAGTAAGCCAGGGTAAAAATGTTTGAAATTATAATAGGATCTAGTATTCAGTTGCACCCATAATAATATATTGTCATACAGCTCGGGAATAAGTATATCGTGCTCTGTTGTTCCAAGGACGACGCTTGAACGATGATGTCATCGTTGATGGTACGCCAGCGCATGCTGCAAGCAGATTTCTAGCCAACCCCGCCACTGTGGTAATACTGGCGCAGAGCCGTAACTTTATTTCGTCATACACAGATGCTGTTGATTCATGCTAAAATTGCAATATCAAATACCAAACACAACAATGTAACTAAATAATAAAACAGAGAGCATGGTACGAAGCTGCAGCCAGTTCGTGTCGTCAATTCTGGCATAATGGAGTTGCGGGTAAACACAGTCGACTGACTTCAGTTACGGACCGTACGATACCGCCAGTTGCTTCCCCCTCTTCTTGCGAGGGGAGGTTATCGAATTAGCATCGGCGGGTTTCATAAACCACTTCTCCAGGCCTGTAGTAGCCGGCCTCGCCTATTCGAGGCGAGTGAGACTTTCTTGTAGTTGAAATACTGGTGTAGCTAATATGTGGAGAGCGTGACGAGCGATGATGATGATGATGATGATGATGATGCTGTCGATATGGCCGTGCTGGAGTTATTTCTTCTCGATAGTAATAGGTCGTCTTTGGCTCCGCTGCGAAACACATGGTACCAGGTGACCGCTTTGGTGAGGTGTATTTGTAGGTGGTAAGTTGCTGTGAAGACGAGAAGAGAGGTTAGACCTGGGCCTGTCGACTTTAATGAGAGCCTGAAAGACTATGCATGCGCTGAGATCTATGCTTTTCGGCTATGAGAGCTTGCACAGCCCAGGGCGGCTTACGAGGCGCACAGCCCTCAGTTGGCTACAGAGAACGCCACTTTGACGCCCGTTTTGGCAATGTGCTGTGAATAGAAGAAGAGGGATTGAACCAAGTCAGAGCAAAGTCAGCCAGTTAAACAATATTGATACAATTGTACAGTATTCTATGTTGTACTTTTCTTTAAACAATCCTATTTCTTTTTGCGTTGCAAAGCTTGCAACAGCCTTTACTTTTTCTCAAATCCGACACGTACTGAGCCTATGACCCAGGCAGATGCGTACATCGCCAACATACTCAAGAAGATGACAACAGGCTTGCGCAGGGCCGATGCCAATGTGCTGTCATATGTGATGATGACATGACGGTCACGGAACTCGTCGACCAAGTTTTTAGCCTGAATATTGACTGAGGTTCTACCAATGGTATCGAGATATGTCTTGTGAATACCAATGGAAGATGCTGCGATGGAGGATTCGGGGATGTCGACTGAGAATTTGACATTCCTAAAAAATGAGTTAGTATAGTAAAAACAACATATCAGTAGGAGACTAACTCGGCGCCCTCAGGTAGAAGGACACGAAGGTTGATCTGACCATATTCTACACCTTCAGCCTGCTTGGGACCCTCGAGGAATGGAACGCGGAGGACAAAACCGTCACCAGCAGTCTTGCGAAGGAGGAGAGAGGCATCAGAGTTCCATCCGACAGTGAAAGGATAGTTCCAGCCGCCGAAAATTGGATAGCGTGGCTTAAGCTCAAGGAGCGCCTCGCGCTTGTTGCTTCTGAATCTTGAAGTCGAAACGTTGCCAATTGTATCGGTGAAGTAAGGATCAGCGCTACCGACGTGAAGGGGCATCTTAATCTCTTTGAGAGCAACACAGGGAGGGTTGTAGAATTGGGTCTGTGCCCACTTGGCTCTGTTAAACTGGCTGGAAAGGTTGGCACCACGGTTGTGCAGCATGTATCGCTCCTCGAACGCGACGTTACCACCCCAGTGACTGACTTCAATTTCACGTTCGAGAAGAGACACGTGGGTGACTGGCTTGGTGAATTCAAATCGGACAGAGGCAGCTGAGACGGCTCCAGCTGGCTTTTCTCCAAAGGGGCCATATGTCAGCTTTGTGCCTTGCTTCTGAGGAGACTTGGCGTCACCTCCGCTAGCTGCAATGGTTGTATAGTCGGGGATGGTTGCAGACGCGGCTTTGACCTCCGTCTTCTGCTTCAGGGTCACATATGCCGAGGGCGCATATGCAGAGAAGTCGTGAACGAGGAATTGCTGCTCGTCTTGTTTAACAGAAGCAGGCAATGGCCGGTAAGCTTTGAGGCTGAAGAAAGAGATGCCCAAGGTTTGTTGAGCACCAGCCTTCAACGGAGTAGGTAGGGAGATGCGGTAGTACTGAACGCTGCTGTAGTTACAAAGGTTAGCACTGGGAGATCGTTCAATCGGACAATATTATGAAGGGGTATACCTCTCCGTGTGGACAGGCTCGACCTTGAATGCAGCAGAATCGACTACCTTGCGATCCTTAGCTTCGAAGCCACCTACACGGGCGATTTGCTCCGTAGTAAAGGGGACATAGTATTCCGACTGCGGTTCCTTCGAAACGTTCTCAACCACAACATTGAGTTGTTCCTTAACGTAGTTCTTTTCGAGAGAGATGACGTGAACGAGGTTGGTATTCTTGAAGACCTGAGGGGGCTTGAAGTCGGCCGGTAGGGCGTCAGTTGACAGGGAGGCGGCGAGTACTTGTGTCAACAGGCCCAATAATACCGCGGCTGTAGAGTATAGCTTCATGGTGAGCAATTGATGGCGCAATGGCTCATGAAGGTTTGTGCCGCGATAAAATGTGTGTTAGTTGGATGGGATTAACGATGGACCTCCTTGCGGAACAACTCCCCAAAGGCACACGTTGCTCAATTGACGGGGTGCTAACAAGGGTGAGCTAGCCTGACCAATCAGCACAATGCTGCCAGTGCCTGGTGGGTAAAGGTTCTCCCGCTTCCGGTGCGGTGGACCTTCCGTGAGTTGCAGGCTGATAAGCACTGGAGCTGGAGAAAACGAGAGCGACAAAATAAACGCGAGCCTGTAATGAGATGATATTTAGGTATCTAAAAGGATAAATAAAGCAAAGCAACTAATGTAGGCACGACTTTAATAATTCTTCCATGCCCAATACTGGATCTGTGTTGTGGAACATTTGCCGCCATTTTGGGTGTTAAGTTGATCGCCGGACTCGCAGTGGAGATACCAAGAGCTGCCCAACAAACAATTTTGGTGCTGGGACTGAGACGTTCAATTTTTTACTGTATGAAAGTAAACGGCAAGAAATATGTACGCGAAATATCATTGCCTACCCTATATATATAAACCTCAAGCTTTATGGGATGAGGTATATACAATGTTCTGGATTTCCATTTCAATGGGCACCCAAAAAGGGTATGCCTAAAGCTGTGTTGAACCACTTGTGCCACTAGGCCACTAAAGATAAGCTTGCCCTTCCCACGTCCGTTTCTGTTTCAACCGTCTGCATCTACACCCAACAAAAGCCTAACGACTGCAGTTCTTCAGAATCTTCTTGGTCGTTTGGCGTATCTCTGGTACAATATATCTCAACTCGCACCGCCTCCTATAGCTCAATAGCGGTTGCCGTTGTCAATTGCTCTACGTCATCGACCCCTCCAAAACCCCGCGACATCCTAAAGCGTTATCATGGTTGGCCTTGGACCTCGCCCTCCCCCCTCTAGAAAAGGTTCGCTATTATCCATCTGGTACCAGTCGTCACTCAGGTTTGAAAATCAACCTGTCTTGATGATTGCCCATATTTTAATATGAGACGACTTAGTCACGTATAGCACTTGTGGCGTATCCGGGAAAAGTCTAGCAGCGGGCACCTGACTGCTGTGTTTTGTATACCGAAACTTGAGCTAACAATACACTTACAGGGTCGGGGACGGAAATTCCGAAGGATCTTCTCAAGGAAATCCGTCAACTGGAGGAGATCTTTACCGTACCGACGGATAAGCTGAAGGCTATCACAGAGCACTTCATTTCTGAGCTTGCCAAGGGTAGGTAATCTTGAGTCGTACTATCGCTTCCTTGCTGCTAATTCTTGAAACAGGCCTTAGCATTGAAGGCGGTAGCATTGTAAGTCCAATGACCGAAACGGCACTTGTTGAAACTAACCCAAACATAGCCGATGAATGCGACTTGGGTGATGTCCTTCCCTGACGGCTATGAAACAGGAACCTACCTGGCCCTTGATATGGGAGGTACTAACCTTAGAGTTTGTCAAATCACTCTTAGCGACCGAAAGTCTGAGTTTGATATCATTCAATCGAAGTATCGAATGCCCGAAGAGCTCAAAACTGGCAAGAGTGATGAACTCTGGGAGTACATCGCCGACTGTCTGAACCAGTTCATCGAAACACACCATGGTGAACAGAAAGACTTCGATAAACTTCCCCTCGGCTTTACATTCTCATACCCTGCTACTCAAAACTATATTGATGAAGGTATTCTGCAGCGTTGGACCAAAGGCTTCGACATAGACGGAGTTGAAGGAGAGAACGTTGTCCCCATGCTTGATGCGGCACTTGCTAAGCGAGTAAGTTGTGTAGACCTTGTCGATAGGGGTCCTGTGCTAATCGATTTCAATAGGGTGTTCCAATCAAGATTGCAGCATTAATCAATGACACAACTGGTACTATGATTGCATCCGCGTACACCGACCCCAAGATGAAGATTGGTTGCATTTTTGGAACCGGTTGTAATGCTGCTTACATGGAAGAATGTGGCCATATCCCTAAACTCGCTCATATGGGACTCCCCGCAGACATGCCTATGGCAATCAATTGTGAATGGGGTGCATTCGACAACGAACACAAAATTCTGCCTCGTACCAAGTACGATGTTAGTATCGATGATGATTCGCCTCGCCCCGGCCAACAGGCCTTTGAGAAAATGATTGCAGGCCTCTATCTTGGAGAGATTTTCCGTCTTGTCCTTGTTGATCTGCATGATAACAAGGATATCCACATTTTTGAAGGTCAAGATATTGCAGCGCTCCGCAAGGCCTACTCTCTCGATGCTTCGTTTCTGTCTGCTGTTGAAGAGTAAGCGCATAACTAATGACCCGCCAGTGCTCTGCTAACCACATCCTAGGGACCCTTTTGAGAACCTCCAGGAGACATTTGATCTCTTCAACTCCAAGCTCAATCTTGTTTGCACTGCGCCTGAGCTTGAGCTTGTTCGTCGTCTTGCGGAGCTCATTGGAACCCGTGCCGCTCGTCTATCTGCATGCGGCGTTGCAGCTATCTGCAAGAAGAAGAATTACGAGACTTGTCACGTTGGTGCGGACGGGTCAGTCTTTAACAAATATCCTCACTTCAAGGCACGTGGTGCGTTGGCACTACGAGAGATCCTCGACTGGCCTGAGAAGAAGGACCCTAAGGATGAGGACCCCATTGAAATTCTTGCTGCTGAAGATGGTAGCGGTGTTGGAGCTGCCCTAATTGCGGCACTGACTCTGAAACGTGTTCAGGCGGGTAATCTGGCGGGCATTTTAAAGCCAGAGAACTTTCAGTAGAAAGTCCGACACTTTTTGAAGGTACTTAGTTGTCAAAATAGAGACTACAGACCACTTAAAATAACGATAGGAAGATGCGATTGTCTACAATGATATCTCTAGCAAGTTCATTTCTGCGTGATACTTTTCTTTTGGCAATAAAAGGAGGCAAAACCGACCAACAAAACAAAAGACAGGAAGACCACCCAATGCGTTCATGATAAGTACTTTTCAGCCCATAAATGTACAAATAGGCAAGCGATATTCTGTAGATAGCAATACGGTTAGTATGCAGTATTCCTAAGCTGGGATCGGGGTAGTATCATCTTACTGTTTAACGTCCAATAACGTCGTCGCACACCTTGCCAGTCACCTTCACCATCTTTATCTAGAGCAGACATGTCCACATTGCTGACCTCCCACTGGACATCTAGACCAGCTTCAGAGCACTGCATCTCCACAACCTTGGCATAAACATCGTAGCAGACTTGTCTGTCAGCTCCAAGGCCATTGAAGAAACTGAACCGGCCCTGCTGGTCCATAAGAGAGATGATACTCTCTGTAAAGAAATTTCGCAACTCCGCATAGTCTTCACCAAAGGTGTCGAAATAAATAGCGTCATAGACTTCACCCTTCTCAACCAGGAGCGGGACAATATCTTGCCATCGACCAGCATGGACCTTAAAGGCACCATCCTCTGGGCCGCTCTTTTCCCATTCACTGCCGAAGTTGGTCCTACCTGCCGCAATGTGAGCGAGGACACCGGGATGGGCTTCGATGATATGATGACGAGCCGGATTCGTTTCGGCAAACATGCCGTCAATAATTCCCATACCGAACCCGATATTAAGAATGCGCTTCCCCGGCTGGTTGTCTGGTAGCAAGGCTTTCACAGACTGGCGCATGATATCTGTCTCCCATGCCATCATGACACCGTTAAGGTCTGCGTCGAGAAGCTTGTCGCCGTCATAGTTAACCGTGGATTTGAGATATTCTTCGCTAGTAACTTGTTTTTCTCCTGCGTCCGGGGGGACGAATTGATCCGCCACAAAGGAGGGCTGGCCATCCACCACGTCGGACGGATCGTCGATGGCGTCTGGCGCATCCTGTTCCATCTCTTCTGGGGCTGACGAAAGTTGCTCGTAGCCGTCCATGAGGGCAAACAAAAGTTCAGCACGAACGCCAGCATCGACACACATCTCGTAGAGCGAGGTGCGACCAAGGCGGAGCGCTACGCAACCAGGCGTCTCATTGTTGGAGTCAACATCGTTCCAGATGGCGCCAGAAAAGAACAGCTCCTGGACAATTTCCTTGGCTTCTTCCACACAACCTTCCTCAATATCACCCTCTGAAAGAACTCGGGTAGTGTTTTCGGCCGGGCCACATGATCGAATGGCAGCGTGAAGTAGACTTTCGCCAGTCTCGGGGTCTTGTGCGCTTGACTGTTCGCTGTCGCTCAAGGCTTCTTTAAGGGCGGCAAGATCGCGAGCCCATGCCGTAAAGAGTAGTGTTCGATTAGGTTCCGGGCAGGTTTTTGAAACCCTAGATTCCAGTGAATCGTCTATTTGTACCATTGTGTTGTGGTTGTCGCGTGCCAAATACTTGCGCCGACGCACCGGGTACAAGATTCAGGAAAAGTTGATCGCGGCGGGAGGTCCCCTGGCGGGGCTGCTGGTGCACGACGCTGGCGCCGTAGTGCCGCTTGGTTGCCCTCTGACACAACAGTGGGACTTGATTGGGAGGGGGGGGGGGTTCTAATTTTTTTTTTGAGCTTTCAGTGGTATGTTGAGCACTGGAGCTTCAGGGAGCATAGCGTGGGGTTCTAATGCACAGCACCAAGCCGCTCAAGGGACGGTTGTAAGCTTGTGGCGCTGCACTGTCGTGGACTTGTACTGAAGGATCGCATCTGGGCTGGTTGACTGAAAGCGACGCAAGGCCAGTGTACTCCTTGTGGGGGTGCAAGCCACTAACTTACTGGGCTTAGGCTGGCTGCGCGTGCGCCTGGGCTCGCCGCAGGGTTTTTTAATGCCCCTCACCACGTTGCAACACTGTCTCACCTGATTCGCCAATTGACCAACCAGAGCCCACCCTGCCATTCTAGCCCGGCTGCAGACGCCTACAAAGAGGCTACTGGCCACCGTCTACATACCAGCCAGCCCGCCGCATGCGACGGTCTTCGCCAAGCTATTGTGCATAGTGCGCGCCAATTGTTTTCCATCCACGCTTCGTCTCCAGTACCTTTTCACTTTTGCACACCTCGGATTTTTTGCTTTCTTGTTTTGCCTCTAGTCTTTCCAACTGCAAAGGTGAGCGGCCGATCTCGTCAATCCGTCTGATTTATTTTCTTCCTCTTCCCCTCTCTCTCGCTCTTCTCTTGCTTTGAAACGGGACAATACACGGGATCCCGCCCCAACACCATCACGACAGCTGCAATTGCTGTAGTTTCCGCGAAGCACAAATTTATAACTACAAGCAAATACGGCTATTGGGACGTCTTGGAATGACCGCATGCTGATCATCAAGGATCTCAGAAATCAAGACAAAAGTTGGCGATCGCATTCGAGACGAAAATTTGTTGCCCGTCCAGGTGTCGTCGTCATGAAGTTCGGAGAACAGCTGCGCTCCAGCGTCATTCGCGAGTACCAATGGTACTACATCGACTATAATGGTCTGAAGGGGGAGCTGAAGAACTCTACCGGCCCCATCGGCGAGACTGGCGGCAAGCAATGGACCGAAGATGATGAAACTCGCTTCGTGGGCCGCCTTGAGGCTGAGCTGGAAAAGGTGCATACTAAGCAGCAGGTAAAAGCCATGGAAATTGCTCGCCGTATCGCTGTCAGCGAGCGAGAAGTCAAGGACGTTGTAAATCGTCTGAACGAGCGTGGGCTTGGCGATGAAGGTCCAAGCGAGGAGGAGTTTATCCTTCTGGAGGAGGACCTTAGCGACATTATTGCCGACGTCCATGACCTTGCCAAGTTTGTCCAGCTCAATTATACTGGCTTTTACAAGATAATCAAGAAACACGATGTAAGTTGACATCCTATCAATATCCCATATACCATGGCTACGCTAACCACTTTCTTAGAAAATGACCGGATGGTATCTCCGCCCTGCTTTCGAAACGAGACTCAAGGCCAAGCCCTTTTACAAAGAAAATTACGACAGCTCTGTCATCAACTTGTCCAAGCTTTACGATCTTGTACGCACTCGTGGTAACCCAGTCAAAGGCGACAGTGCTGCTGGCGGTAGCCAAGCTAGCTTCGTCCGTCAGACTACCAAGTACTGGGTCCATCCTGACAATGTCACTGAGCTTAAGCTCATCATCCTGAAGCACTTGCCTGTCCTTGTATTTAATGCGGGCAAGGAGTTCGATCCTCAGGATTCCGCCATTACATCTATTTACTACGACAACCCCGACCAGTGGGATCTGTATGAGGGCCGCTTGAAGAAGACAGAAGGCGCGGAGGCTATCCGTCTTCGCTGGTACGGCGGTATGCAGAGCGAGACTATTTTTGTTGAGCGGAAGACTCACCGTGAAGATTGGACCGGTGAAAAATCTGTCAAGGCTCGTTTTGCTATGAAAGAGAAGAATGTCAACAGCTATCTCAAGGGCGAGCTTCTGCCCGCCGCCATCTTCGAAAAAGCTCGCAAAGAAGGCAAGAAATCAGAAAAGGCTATTGCCGAAGATGAGCGACTTGCTTCGGAGATTCAGTACTCTGTCTTGAAAAAGGGCTACAAACCTGTCTGCCGATCCTTCTACAACCGAACAGCTTTCCAGCTCCCAGCTGATGCCCGTGTCCGAATTTCTCTTGATACCGAGCTTACCATGGTCCGCGAAGATAACTTGGACGGACGTAAGCGTACCGGAGACAACTGGCGCCGTATGGATATTGGTATCGACTATCCTTTCTCACAACTTCCCAGTGAAGATATTGTACGCTTCCCTTATGCTGTTCTGGAAGTAAAGCTTCAGACGCAGATGGGACAGGAGCCTCCTGAGTGGGTACGCCAGCTCATCTCTTCCCACCTCGTAGAGGCTGTCCCCAAGTTCTCCAAGTTTATACACGGCACTGCTGTTCTGTTTCCTAGCCGTATCAACTTGCTCCCTTTCTGGATGCCCCAGATGGATATTGATATTCGCAAGCCTGCTACCCATGACTTTGGTATCCAGAGACCTGGGCTTTCGGGGACTAACACGTCCGACGACGACGACGAAGATTTTGATTCGGACGATGATATTGCTCCTCCTACTCGCGCAGGTCGTAATGGCGAGCCAAGCAACCCCAGACGTGCCATCGCTGCTGACACTGAAGGCCAAACCACCGATGGGCCAAATGCCAATGAAGACTATCCTATTTACGACTCTGATGACGAATACGATGCAAACTACGAGCTTGAGGAAGCCCGAAGAATTGGTGGCTGGCATTACTACGCTGCCCTCTTCTCTGCTAAGACTCATGCTTTGGGCAACGGCATCGCTTCCGTTGCCAGCAAGGTTATTCCCACCTCCCAAGGAACCCCAGTACCTCGCAGTGAGAGAAACAACCGCCTCTTTGGTGACGGTGAGATTGTCTCCAAGGCTTTCAAGGCCCCACCAGGCAAGAAGATTTACGTCCCTGTTCGCGTCGAGCCCAAGGTTTTCTTTGCTGCGGAGAGAACTTTCCTCGGCTGGCTCGAGTATTCTGTCTACATTGGCACCATTGCAATGACACTATTAAACTTCCGCGACCACCCTACGCCTGCATCCTTCTGGGTCTCCGGAGTCTTCACTCTTCTTGCACTCCTGAGCTTGATGTACTCTCTTGGCACCTACTTATACCGCGGTGATGCTATTCGCAACCGTAGAGCTGCAAAGTACTTTGATAAATGGGGTCCCACGAGTCTCTGTCTCTCTTTGTTCGTTGCAGTTGCGATCAACTTCGCCTTTGAAGGACGCGAGCGAACGTATTGGTAAATTATGCCATAGTTTTAATTCAACAAGGCGAAACTTATATTGTATTTAGCATTTATCTTCCATGGAATTTACATTTTGGATGGTCGCCTTGATTGCTGGGCTTGTTGTAATCCACTGTCCATTTTCTCTAACAGCAATAGAAAGTACCAAATATTCATTACTTAATATTTTCAGTTTATATAAGGGCTCCAGGTAAACTACCCTTCAGCAGTTGATCAAACATTCTGTTAAACGCCTCAGTCTGTCCACTCTCTTAATCAATTCCCATAAACAAAGTCAATCAACCCACCCAACCTCGCCCATGTGCTAACAAAATTCGGTTCTCCTTGCGCCATGTTCCGTGTTTAGAATGTACATTACACAATAGCCGTAACTCTTCGAATACTCCTTCTCGCACCATCACCGCTGATGGTGATTGCATTTTCGGATTCGAGGGCTCTCATGGCTTCGGTAAAGTCAGCTTGTTCAATGGGGACGCTGGCGCTTTCGCTGAGCTTCCTTGACACATCAGTCCATCGAACAGTATTGCCAGATGCAGTCAGCTCGTCCAAAAGTCGGAGGGTGGCTTCCTTGAGCTCTGCCTTGCGCTTTCTATCCAAAGCACTGGTTCCTTCGGTCAACAAACTCATATCAATACGACCCTGCGAATCGGTAGCAGCAGTCTTCAAGGCGCTTTGGATAAGACGGTTAGCCTCGTGAACATCATCCTTGGTGACGACTTCAGACAAGCGCATCTTTGCGTGAGCCTCAGAAAGTCGGATCATGCTCTCAAGCTGTCTTGTAGTGGCAGTGATTCTCTTCTCAGCCGCGCGGACGTCTTGGCCCAGGGCGCGCATTGCAACGTAGCAGTCAACCAACTCTTGAGCTGCCTCCCGGGAGATAACGGGCTGGATGTTGGATTTGGCATATGAAATGTACATAGTAAGGAACTCGACAGGAAGGATATCAGTTGCAGAAGGTGCTGACTGGGGTTTGTCCTCCAGGTACAGGGAGAGCAAATGCTTTGCTAGACGACGATCTGCCGTTTCATCGAAACGGTCGAGCATCAGATAGACAAGATCAAATCTAGAGAGCAGCGTAGGGGGAAGATCAATATTCTGAGGGACGGAGAGATTGGGGTTGTAGCGACTGCCGATAGGATTGGCCGAAGCCAGGATGGATGTTCTGGCATTCAGAGTTGTGATGATACCAGCCTTGGCCACTGACACAGTCTGCTGTTCCATGACTTCATGAAGAACCGAGCGAGTTGCGTCGGACATCTTGTCAAACTCATCAATGCAACAGACACCACCATCAGAGAGCACCAGAGCACCAGATTCGAGAACAAGCTGCTTAGTTTCCGGATCACGGGTGACATACGCCGTAAGACCAACTGCAGATGAACCCTTGCCACTGGTGTAGATACCACGAGGCGCGATCTTGTGTACGTATGATAGAAGCTGCGACTTGGCAGTAGAAGGATCGCCACAAAGCAGCACGTTAATGTCGCCTCTGTACTTGGGGCTGCCTCCTTTTTGAAACGTCTTGTTGGTGCCGCCAAAGAGCTGCAGCAAAACACCCTTCTTAACATCATCCTGCTCGTAGATTGAAGGTGCGAGAGAGCGCGAAAGCAAATCATAAATATCCTCACGCGCGGCAGTCTCCCTAATCTTCTGCTCATCTTCAGGACTGATAACACGAGTTTCATCCAACCCTTCAGCAGCTTCTGCGTCGACCAAGTCTTCGCCTTGTACACCAAGAGTAGTAGGATCGGCTCCCATCCTCTTCTTGTCGATTTTTTGTACATGAAGGACGTCCACGTAGGTTTTGTACACGCTCTTAATAGCACGCTGACGAGGATTCACACGAATAGGACTGACACGGAAGATACCTGTCAACTCTACACGGTCACCAGCCTTGCAGAAGTCAACAAGTTCGTTATAGACGCAGACGGAGACAGAGTGAGGCGTTTGACCGGCAGGTACAGCATCTGGTGTCTCTTGCAGCTTGATAACTTGTTTATCCTCGAAGGAACAGCGGTTGTGCACTATTTGCATCGAGTTCTTGGAAGCACAAATTTGACGAGGGCACTCGGTTGGCTCACGGATTTTGCCACGATCGAGGCCAACATTGATAGAATGGTGACAGACATTGCATCGGAAGAAAGAGTCCTTCATATCTGGGATAATCGGCGTCGTTCGGATCACCATACCCTTGATGCAGATTAAACGGTCCATATCTATACACTGTTAGTTGTGCTTTCTTTGTAGCGATTACAAATATGAGTGAATACCTGAAGGGTTGAGATCTCGAAGGTTAATTGACTTATCAAGACCAAAAGGTCGGACGATGTAAACCGAACTGGCAATCTGGTCTTCAAGTGAAGGTTGTGGTTCATCTGCTGGGCGAGGTGTAGCCGCCTCATCTGGTCTGTCCGAACTGGGAAAAGCAGGTTCGGAGCTCTGCGATGCACCGTGGCCAGCACTACTCTGAGATGGTTTGTTGGAAGCAGACTCGTTTCTGGCTAACTCGACCATCATATCGTGGATAGACTGATCCATCACAGGGACAATTTCTTGTGGATATGCCTGCATTTGGTACCACAGCTTGCGGGTTGGAGGGAACAACTTGAAATCTGAGAGGTCGACGTTCAACCTCGTAGAGCCCAATAGAAGCATATTTTCAAGAGCTTCCCAGTACGGCTTTGATTCGGCTTCTGGGGAGGCCTTAATTTCCTCATCAGTCATGCCATCGCGATACATGCGGTACTTGAGCGTAAAATTACGCAGAAAGTCCTTGAAAGCGGCGAACGTATCGTCGATAGAGACTGTTGTACCCCAAATTAAGCTTTGGTCATTGCCCGCTGCCGGGTCAGCATCTGAGGTTTGTGTGTTGCGGTTGGGAAAAGAAGCAGCCTCGGATCCGTCACGAACAACGCGGCCAGCGTCGTCGAGGATAATTCTTCGAGGGGCGCGCGGTGTCCTCAAAGCATCTGGGTTGACATCACCGCGCTGGTGGGATGCGGAGCTTCGCGCTTCAGATCCAAGAAACAAGCCACTGCTTTCGCTTCTTAACTCGGACTGTTGTCGTAAAGACCGACCAGGGCTGGAGCTAGGTTCGTATCTGATTGGTGACGATTCTGTAATAATTAGTCTGTCTGTCAACTTCAAAATACCCCAAATAAGACCAACGTACCACCCATCAATATGTTGCGGTTAGCTCTAGGCGTAGCCTGGTCATCCATGATCGACTGTGTGTCGCTCATCTGTTGCAGGGGCGAGCTAGGAATGGGACCACCATTGCCCGTGCTCTGGCTGTCGGTCATCTGGCGTAGTGGTGATGAGACCTCACGGTTAGTACCATTCTCTCTATCTCCACGACCCGGTGATGAGGACTGGAAAAAAATTGGACTGGAGGCAAGGCCTGGTTGAGAAGAGGGCTCGCGAGCGGTGTTTGCTTCCGACTGGCGGCCATTGCGGCGAGGCGTAGCCGACTGAGAGCTTCGCTGCCGGCGATGGGAAGGCGATGACATCGTTACTTCCTGGACAGATAATGACAAAAAAGAATGGTGTTGTCCTTTGCAGAGGAAGAAAGCTAGCGTTGCGCAACTGGGGATGCAATATTTGAGGATAGACGAGGGGCAAGGGAGCGGAAGTGGGCTCTGCCAGGCGCGTCACGGTGACCTGGACGCGTAAAGTGGTTTGGGGCGCGACTAAAGAGGTGAGGTGGTCCGTGCAGACGCGTTTGGTCAACCCGGCCCCGGCCAAAGGTTATGCCGGCTTTTTGGGACTAGGCGGGGCTGTTGACGGAACACCTGTCCCAGGATGAGCTTGTAGCGTGGGCCAGGACGACGGGGTTGCCTTCATCGTTGCCTTCTTAAACTGACGCCAAAATGTCTCCCGGAATGACCCTCTTCTCCGTCCAGGCTGTTCTAATCCTGGGCACTGAGGATGGAGCGAGAATATTCTCCAAATACTTCTCCCCTCCCCACGGTATGCCCCCTCCATCCCCCGCTTCGCCTCCTATTGTGTTTTCTGAACCTCGCATGACTGACCGGTGCAATGAATTGCAACTAGATTCTGGCTCGAAAAATCCTTATCCCGATGCCAAGTCGCAGAAGGCTTTCGAAAAAGGCTTAATCGAAAAGACTGCCAAGCAGACCGGAGACATTATCCTCTACGACAACCGCATCGTGCTCTATAAGCTCGAGTCCGATGTTATGCTCTACGTCATTGGCGCTGCCGATGAAAATGAGATTCTTCTATATAACACTGTGCTCGCCTTAAGGGACTCTCTTCACCTTCTCTTCAAGTACGCCACAACACTTGGCTCTACAATCTGCGTAGAGGTGATACTAACAGCTTGTTTCTAGGCAATCCGTTGATAAGCGTACCATTATTGAGAACTACGATCTAGTTTCTCTTGCTATTGACGAAATTGTTGATGATGGTATCATCCTCGAAACAGACCCCACGATCATTGTCCAGCGCGTCAGCCGAGCCCCGACACAAGACACACCAGTTGGCCGCATTGACCTGAGCGAGCAGGGCGTCAACAATCTAGCACAGTACGGCAAATCGAAATTGGCTGACTGGCTGCGACAAGGTCTCTGATAGCGATGAATTTATTCTTCTGATCGGGTGCGGCTACGATTTTGGGACGAATATCAACTTTCGGTTCGTCTGGGAAGCGCTACGCGACGAATGACGATAAAATGTACGGTGTAGAGACGGGATGACACAAGACATGGCTTTCTTGACACGCCAGTCACGCTAATGATGTGTACCAAGAATTCTCTTAATAAAACGGGTATAAATTATATATGAGTCGTTCACGAAATCTATGACCGTATTTCTGACGCTGCCTTGCGTAGTCTGTTCATCACCGCTGCAGCAATATCTATTTTATCGTCTATGCCTTCCACAAAAATAACATCTACCCCTAGGCTGTCCAGATCTCGCAATGCAGAGAAAAGCCCTTGTGCAATCTTTCTTATATCGCTTCCTAAGTTGACGTCAATCACCCGGCTAGTCGTCATTCCCGATTTGCTGCGTAACTCTGCAGTTGTGACTTCGTACAGGGCGTTCTGAATGATTTTGTGGCCGTTCACTTCACTTGTCCCATTGGTTGCTTCTTTGGCTACCATTTGTAGACCGGCTCCGGCTTTCCAAATTCGAGTTCGGATAATTCCAACCTGTTTACAACCAGCCCTGCTCGTGTTTAAAGTCTCTGCCAGATCTTCTGCTGTAAGACCTGTCCTGCCAAGACTGACGCTGTCTTCATAGAGTATAACTCTCGCTTTGGGGCTATAATGCTTGTATTTCATACCAGGTGCCCTTGGTGCAGCTTTTCCCACTTCACTTTGATCTTTATACGCTTGCGCCACGTTTTCCCATCCCGGACAACTTCGAATCTCTTCCAAGCTGATGCCTCCCGGTCGCAGTATAACAGGAGGCTCACACAAGCCGTCAACGACTGTACTCTCGACACCGACTTGGCATGGCCCGCCATCAAGGATAAGTTCTATTCGACCATTCAAGTCGTGTTTGACATGATGAGCTGCTGTCGGTGACGGCTTAGTGGAAGCGTTTGCTGAAGGTGCAGCTAAAGGGACGCCAGCTAGCTTAATGAGAGACAGTGCAAGGGTTGACGACGGCATGCGAGCTCCAAAAGTAGGCAGCCCAGCCGTCACTTCGGGTGCAAGTTTGGATGGCTGGGCATTTGGAAGTAATATTGTAAGTGGTCCAGGCCAAAATTTGTCGATAAGAGCTTTATACATGGTTGGTATAGGGTCTTCATCGGGCGTGGTGTTTTGCAGCAGCCCACGCAACATTTGCAGGTCAGACACATGAACAATCAGGGGATTGTCGGAAGGTCTCCCTTTTGCTGAAAATATTCCCTTGACGGAGGTACTTCGCGTTGCATCGGCACCCAATCCATACACTGTTTCTGTTGGAAAGGCAACTGGTGTATCGTTTGTTCGGAGGTATTCGCCAGCGTCCCGCAACGGCCCGATGACGTCTTCAGCAACACCATTTACAGACCATTCATGCAATCTTTCTACCCCAGCGGCATTTTTGAATTGACCGTAGAGCTCTCCAGGTCCAGAAACCTTGATTATTCGTGTTTCCATCGCAAGGTGCTGCGGCGATCCAAGAAAGAGCTGCCGTGTGAGGCGTGATGTAAGTGTGCGGATATCGCTTTGAAAAGCCAGATTGACGAGGCTTTGGGGTTAAATTTGAAATTTGATTGTTCAAGATGATACCATTATTCGGGATTTTGGCGGAAGTGATCTTGTACGTATGGACAGACTGTGATGTAGTGTGACAACGTAAAAAAGCTGGACTCACTGAGTCACCCAAAAATTTTTTTTTTTTTTAATTTTTTGTTTTCTTTCGATATCTACACCATTGCCTAATCGGGGACGTCACACTACATCTTCCGAAGCGGGAAGCGGGAGCGGCTGTCTTAGCCACGTAGCGTATAGATTGAACATCTAAATTAGATTTAAATGCAAGCGTGTCTTATTACAATTTGGAAATATAAGCCCTTTTTTTCGATCCTTATTTGGTTTCGAACAGACATTATCGTTACCCTACAATACTGATCTCTAACAAAGCGGGGTTTCTCTTCCGTGTACAAAGTATTGTATTTAGATTCTATTGTTTAACCAAACCTCTGGCCTTTTTTCGTTCCTCATCGGTAATTACCCATTCGATGCCATCATCGTCGCCGAGCGCGATGATCTCATCCCACTCCTCGTCCTCCATGTTGGCAACCATCATGACTTGGGTGACCTTGTTGAACACCTCTCGGACCCTGTAGTCCCCTCTTGCGACAGTGTCTACAATTCCAGTGAAATCACGCTCAATGCGGATTGCTCCATAGGCACTCGTCTTTCCGCTGGAGCTTAAAATCCTCTTCTCCAGTATCTTAGACAAGTAGCTGGCTGTCTGGTCAAGGAGGCTGCTGAAGGTCGTTGGAGTCATCAAGCGCGCGATGGGTTTCATGAGCCTGTCCCAGCCTGATTCAAATCTCCGGGTGACCGTTTCAAGTATATCTCCTTCCTCTTCCCCGTTTTGTTGGGCATATTCTAAGACCTCTTCTTCCGTCCATGAATAGTCTGCATCACGAAATGTGTCGTTCAGGATAAGACGCAATCGGGTCCGAACGACCTCAATGAACAAGCGATGCACTCCTTCATTCAACAGCTCTGTAGATTTGCTAACAAATTTTGATTGTAAAGCATGCAGTTCAATGGCAACAGAAGAAGCGTCCTTTTCAAAACAAAAAAGCTTCTGCAGCTCCTCGGTCGGCTGAGCGCCGTTTGAGTCGGACGGGGGAGCAATGATTCTGGTGCTAATGATTCTCGATAGATACTGGTTCGCCATTTCCAAGCTGTTGATCAAGACCATGAACTGTATGATCTTGTCTTCCGGTGGAAATCCTCCTTGCACGGTCGGTTTTGGATATGATTCGTCCCGCATTTTTCGTTGAATCATGCCAATGAAGTCACCCGAGAGCACGCGATCTACGGATGATATTGTAGAGCTCAGAATAGTTCTCTGTGCTGTTGAAACTGATTTTTCGATCACCGCGTTGACAATGTACATGGCATCATCAACGGCAGAAATGATGTAAGGAGTATTGCCTTCAACCTGTCTGTTAAGGTTCAGTGTAAGGCCACTCGGGTATTCATCTAGCTGAAACGCCTTTTCAATCGAGCGGCGGAAGAAGAAGGTCATCATCGTGTTATAAGGCGTGGTTAGCTTGCTCCCTATCTTTTTGTACAGATTAGATTTGGTCATAGCATCAGCTAAAACTAGAGGCGAATCCGGCTGATTGGGATCCTGATTTACTGTTAGAGTAGTTCTGCGTCAAACGGGGGACTCTCCATGCTTACCATGCATTTAGCCGATACGAATCGCGTGTAGAATGACCAACGCCCTAACATGACAGCAATCTCGCTAAGGCGGCCATCGACCTCCTTCATATCAACGCCTTCATCTTCGCTTTGTCTCGAGCTAGCCACTCCGCCCACCGCTGGAGAGTTGATTCGGGGGGTGCCTGCTCTTGAGGGCTGCGGGAGAAAGCTTTGAACTAAGAATGAAAATGGATAACTCTTGACATCTGTCATAGTTCGCTCTATGCGGCGTTCATCTGTCCAGGTATCGATGATAATGCCGCCCTGCACGTCGGCTTCCATCTGTATTCGCTCAATCACGCGTACCATTTTGCCGGCGCCATAGTGCCTTTCAACGAGGCCACCATGACTGTCGACAATCCTGGCGATATTTTCAAACAGGGAAATCAATGCATTGGCATAAAAGAACCCATTTTGTCGCGTTTGCCCGCCAGCACCTTCTTTAAGGGCGCTGCGGGCCATGCCAGCAACGCCTTGACATACGTATCGTCCGTACACATCAAGACCTGTGTCGGCTCTTCCAATGAGGGGAAAAAGCTTAAAGAAGCGTGTTATCTTGAAGCCATCAGCGTCTGCCGCTGCCTTTTCAAATTCACGGAGAAACAATGCGCACAAGCTTTCCTTGGCGTTCTCCAATGTGACCCATGGCGCATCAGGCACCTCAACACTGGGCACAATGCTAGCAGCGAAGGCGCCTTTTATGATATCTTCCGGAATGTTGCTTGATCGAGCCAGGTAGCTAGCCGCCGCCTCCCAGTCTTGAGGTGCGCCCATGGAGCCAACAACGCCATTGATGCAAGCCTTTAGTTCCGCAACCTGTTCGACGACACCCAGGGTATCATCTACTCGAATCTTTTCCAAATCCAGCCACTTCACCTTGCTGCTTAAGTCACCAGCCGTATTCGCTGCCGAAGACAGCATGTCGTTACTGACAGAGCGCGTGGCAACGATTTGAGCACTCAATCCAGCTCGCAAGAGATCCAATCGGCCCAAATCGCGATTTAGGTCAGTTTGTGACGATACTAAAGCATCGAGGCGGGTTGTTAAATCATTTTCGCGCCCGTATAAGCTGGTTAGGGCGTCGTGGAGGGTTGCGACGTCGGATGCATCGGCGAGGGGGGACACCAAGATCTGGGAGCCTTTCGTCGGGATAGCGTCGCTTCCTCTGCGAAGGGTTGTACCGTTGGGTAGCGCAGACATTGTCGCAAGCTCGGTTCACTGACAAGGCTCATTATCCGCCCAACATCCCTTTCCTTGTTGTTGTCGTCGTCGTTCGGCTGAGCAATGCTGTGTTCATGGTGTAGTGGCGTATTTGTTGGCGGCACAGGCACAGCATTGACGTGGTCCGACACGCTACCCCACTATAGCAACCGAGGGGTGACGGTTGCTAGAACATGAGAGAAGAGGCCCAACGTTTAGTTATATCAACATATAAATAAATAATAATCTATTAACAAATCTAATATAACAAGGTTACATCTTTAGTACACTCGTAAACCCATCGTCTCGCCAGTTCCGCAACTGCTGTGTCCTGCGGCCATTAGACAGCCTGGCTATAACCACTGTTTAGTCGACGTTGGCCATACTTGAGATGCTTTCTGATTTCATCAACCCAATAGACAGTGCTGCAAAGTACCAATAATCGGAACAAATCCCCAAAAGTGAGGGCTTCGGTCTGGAAAACCTCCTGCAGCCACGGCAGGTAAATTACCAGCAACTGGCCAACAAGACTTAGGGAGACAGCCCAGTTGAACAGGGTATTCGAGAAGAGGCCAACTTCGCCCTTCAAAACCGACTTGGTCTCTGACCGGCAGGCAAGGGCATTAAACATGTCGAATAGGACAAAGCAAGTAAACGTCATGGTAGTGTCCCTACGGGTGACTTCACCATCAGCCAGCATCTCACGGCAATAAATAAACATGGTGCCAAACATAATGATCGCTGCAGATATAGAAACTCTCTTCATGACACCTCGAGTGAGCACTGCATCATCTCGTCGTCGTGGAGGCTTGTTCATGACGTCGTGGTCGACTTTTTCAACCCCTAGAGATTGAGCAGGTGGTCCGTCCATAATAATATCTGAAAGCCGATTAGTAGCTGCAAGTCAAGTGCTGCATAGAGTAATAACATACTGATCCAGAGAATTTGCATAGCATTTAGAGGCGTCTTAAAACCAAAACATGTGCAGAGGAATACAAGGGACAAACCCGCCGCGCTGGTAGAAAGCTGGAACCTAAGGAAGTTTTGTATGTTGTTGAAGATACCTTTGCCTTCTTCGATAGCGCGGAGGATGGTTGAGAAGTCATCATCAGTTAAGATCATATCTGCGGCCTCCTTTGCGACGTCGGTTCCTTGACGGCCCATAGCGATGCCAATATCTGCTTTCTTGAGCGCGGGTGCGTCGTTGACTCCATCACCGGTCATGGCAACAATGTCACCTCTTGCCTGTAAGGCTTTGATGATTTTGAGTTTGTGATCCGGGTTAGTTCGTGCAAAAATGGTTGTGTGTTGAATAGCGTTTTGTAGCGCTTCATCTGTCATGCTATCCACCTCATCGCCGCGTAGTACTGGCTTAATGGTTCCTTGACTGGCAGATGCTTCAACAGGGGCAGCGATAGTCATGCCTAACTGACGTCCAATTGCAACAGCAGTGGTCTCAGCATCTCCAGTAATCATAATGACACGGACACCGCCGCGCATTAGTCGTCGGATAGATCTACTGACACCTGGACGGGGAGGGTCGCTCATTCCTACAAGACCAGCAAAAGTCAGGCCTTTAAACGCATCTTCAGAGACATAATTTGATGGATTTGGAGAGCCTGGCGCATCGCCCTTTTTTGTTTTGGACATGAAAGATTTAGAGACAAGCCCGCTGGCAAATGCTAACACTCGCAGCCCTTTAGCAGCCATTGTATCGGCTTCAGACATGGCCTCTTTGCGTCGAACGGAATCTAATACGATTTCGCGACCGTTTGTATCGAGATACGTATCGCATGCAGCCAGGACCTTTTCGATGGAGCCCTTCATGTAAGCGTAATCTTTGTCGGCCCTACTTTCCGATTTGATCGTGACACCCATCCATTTACGATCGGAGCTGAAGGGGACTTCGCCAGTTCGCATTCCAAAGGAAGGCCGAGCATCATGCTCCCCAAATCGATCAAGAAGGTCCATCATGGCAACATCGGTCGGCTGCCCAGACCAACGCGTAAATGAAGGAGTATTCGAGCGGCCCAGTGTAGAGGACATGATGGCAGTTGAAGCAGCGCCTGTACCTGCATGGTCCTGTGTTAATCTAGCATCGTTGGCGATGTTTCCGATGCGGAGAATTCTAGAAGCCACAGAGCTAAGCTCACTGTCGGCATCTTCAGCTGTGGAAATGACATCAATCATTTTTTCTGCTCCGAAATGCCACATTTCAGTAGTAGTCATATGATTGGTAGTGAGAGTACCAGTCTTATCGGTACAAACCACATTGACGGACCCCAATGTTTCCACTTTAGGCATCCTTCGGACGATGGCGTTGTGTTTTGCCATGCGATGAACACCAAGAGCCAGAGTAACAGTAACGATAATGGGGAGGCCTTCAGGAATGGCAGCCACAGCGAGAGAGATGGAAATGGTGAAAATTTCAAGCATCTTTTTGCCTTGTAGCAAACCAACAAGCGAAATAAGGCCAATGACCACAAATGACGCTTTGCTTAGTTGTGAACCAAGCTCGTCCATAGAAAGCTGTAATGGAGACCTGGGGCTTTCCGTCCCTGAAACGCTAGTAGCAATGGTACCAAATTGTGTTTCTCCACCAGTGGCGAACACAATACCCTGACCATGACCAGACTTAACGAGGGTACCCATGTAGGCGATATTCTCCAGCCCGTTGTGCGTAGCTGAATCTTGAGGTGACGCAGAAAAGGAAGGTTGGGGGAAATCGAGATTCTTGGATGTATAGGATGGGAGTTTGCGGCTTCGAGCTGCATAACCGATACGGACTGGGTTAGTTTCGCCCGTTAAATTTGATGCGTCGATGCTGAGGTCGGCGCACTTCGTAACTCGGATGTCAGCAGGGATTCGATCCCCGGTGGTGAAGAATACCAAGTCACCGGGAACAAGCTGAGACGCCATGACCTTTGTCGACCCAGCATCTAGGGCTTCTTCAACAGGTGTATCAGCTCTGCTGTTACCAATTGTATCCCCGATTTCTGTAACGCCAATGCTAGACAATGCGCCAACCTTCTTGCCTGTTGCCCGAACCAGATGTGCGTAATTGGGGACCAAGTGATTAAGCGCCTCGATGGATTTCTCCGATCTATATTCCTGAATGAATCCAACACTGACTACAATGGTCACTGCAACGGTAATGCTCACGGCGTCGTCCATGTTCCCCAACACCAGAGACATGCCGGCCGAGACAAGGAGTAGGATAATTAGGGGCTCTTGAAATTGTTTCACGAATCTAAGCCACAAAGGTTCTGGTTCTTCATGGGGAATTTCGTTCGGGCCATATGTGCCTAGTCGTTGGAGAGCTTCTGTAGGTGGGAGGCCTTGTGTTAAGGATGTTCGTAGTCGGGCCGCCGCCTCACTTGGGGTCATAAGGGAGTAATCGTCGGCAACGTCCTGAAGAAGGTATTAGATTGGGTGGAATCAAGGAGATAAGAACATATCGACATACTCTCGCATGGGAAGATGTGGTGCGCGCGTGTGTTGGCCGTGACGGAGGGAGACTGTTGGTATCCGTCGCATCTGATGGGAGGCCAGCGATGTGAGGGATACTAGCGACTGGAAGGACATGGCCATTTTCAATCGAACGTTGACCAGCCCATGAGGTGGTCATGACTGTTGCGACTGCGTCGCGTGGGCGACAGGTATTGATGCTGGAGAGTTTCTGTTGCGTGAAAGCTGTCGAGGTCACGAACTCATTCGGAGCGCAGATCGCCAATCAAGGCGCGTGTCTACCAGAACGGAGGACAGAGGGGAAATTGGAGTGTTGTTATACTAGAATCCGTCTCTTGATAGGTAAGTTGCCGTTTAAATGTCTGATCTGAAGCCTCGTATGGATTGTGTTGTTTGCAAAGACGCAGAAAAAAGACCAGTAGTGGAAGTTGTGGTCCGTCGCTACTTGGAAAGGTGGCTGCATACACAGAAGTAAGGAGGTCGCTCCCGAAAGAGTGGGGCATAGGGGGAAGGCTAAGGTAGGAGTTTGTTGAAAGGCCACTTGTTTTTGCTGCCGTGGCTGCACAGGCAGTAGGAATGAATTGGATAGTTATGTAATGCTAAAAAGAGAGAGAGTTACAGTTCGATTGATCAACACAACCTATAGAAAAATCCCTTGTCCCAGGGAATCACAATTGGTAGGGAGATTGCGCCAAGCGCCAATCACAGCCGTCAACCTGTCTGTACAGAGCTTTATCCACTGGAGAAGGCACCACTAAGCAAACGGTGAGACGTCTCCGCCGCTTTTACCTTTCTCACTACGCAAACTTGACCCTGTGCTTGCCCATACGCCAACCGGCCAGATTCACCACAGCCCTAACCAACACCCAGACTGCTCGACCCTGTTTGTATACGAACCGTATAAACAGAACCGCTCTGCACCAGCACGCTGTCATCCTGCACAAGATCCCGTGACGAGGCAATCGACTAGCGTATGCCCCTCACTGCCCTACCACCCACTCGCTTGCGTCCTCCGCCATCAAGCAGCATCTTTGCTCGCCACCATGTCTAACCTATTTTCCGGAATGTAAGTCTATTTTCTAAATCATCATATACATCATATAGCACCAACATACAGCATTTGACATGCGTTCTACCTGTCGTGCAACCTTTCGCCCGCGCCCCTGAGACGTCCTTGCCTCCAGTGCGGGGCTCGATGCGGTCAACAACAGCAAGCGGTCAGAGATACAAGCAGAGGAATTCAACAGGACAGTAACCTCGTCAGTTTAGAGCTTCCGACCAACTCTCAATGTGGCGTTGTACAATGCCGTGAATCTAGCGTATTTGCTAAGATCGACGGACTGTGACGACTGCCCTTGATAACGAACTTGCCACACGACAACACGCCATCCCAGCGACTATTATATATCTGCGGATTTTACCCACGCGTGCTACTGCATCTAGATTTGCCTTGCAGCTACAACGTGTGACTAACGTATATTGTTTTCAATAGTAACGCCCGATTTAGAGGCGGGGCTAACAAATCGCCCGGACCCCAAAAGAGCCCAAGTCCTTCGAGTAGCGGCCCTCTCCCGCCTCCAGAGACACAGCTGCCAGGAAGCCAGTCATCATCAAGCATAGCGCCGAAAGTACCACCTCTCCCCAACTCGCCTTCTCTCGCCCAAACCATCGGTATGGATGAATCAAGTGGCTCTATTCAGAGCGGCGACGACATCATCAACTCGTACCACCTCCCCCGACCACTGCCGCTTTGGCTCAATGCCAATTGCGCTAAACACATTGTCAAGGGAAATTTCATGACTTTGAGTGCCAGGCCGAAGACTGTTGAACAAGGAGAGTGGGTCGCCCATCAGAGTAAGCTCTTAAACGAAGCTCCATGCAACAAGCTCGATTATGGCCAAGCTAACCTCGGGGCTTAGTTGTCGAACACTATCGCAACTTGTGGAACTTTGTCCGCGTCGTGCACGAGAAAGAAGATGATGGCTCTACAATTTGCAACTCGGCTTCGTGCCCTCGAACATCTGCTGGAGCGTATGGCTAAGCCACCCCCCGGCCTTTGACCGTTCAGTGTGGCTAACTGCTTGGTAGCAATCATTCATTCACTTGGCTTAACAAACAGCGTGAACCGGTCGAACTCCCAGCGTACGAATATATGACCTTAATGCAGAGATGGATCTCTGGCAAGATTGATGACGACCGCATGTTTCCCACCGATCCCCAGGGAGTGTCCTACGCACAAACTGCATCGACTCCGTCATCAGCCTCCCTCTCACAGCTCTCTAACCCTGGAGATCCTGAGTGGTTTGGAAAGCGATCTGGGTTCCCCGAAAACTTCATCGAGGTCTGCCAGATGATTTTCCGCCAAATGTTTCGCGTTTACTCGCACCTGTACTGGTCTCATTTCACAGAGCCTTTCTATCACCTCAACCTTGAAAAGCAGCTGAACAGCTGCTTTTCTCACTTCATTCTTACAGCAACTGCCTTGGATATGCTGCAACAGTCTGAGCTTGAGCCAATGCAGCCTTTGATTGATCTTTGGGCCGCAAATGGCACATTCCCCCCCGAGTCCAAAGCCTACGAGTATGCCAACTGCCGCGCAGGTGAACGATTGTTGCAATTAGCTGGTATTGCACAGTAGTAAATGATAGTCGCAACAGCCAGGGATATTGAAAAGCGGAGCGGATTTGAACTTTGAATGAAGCTATTAGAAGGTGATGATAAAGATGCAGAGTAGCTGATGCAACGACTACCATATATATTTTGGCGCTTCCTAGTAGACTTATCTACCGTGTCTGGAGGGATCCCCCAGAACATCCTACGACCCTATACCGTCTATTTCGAATGCAAGTTATCTGTGCCCTCCATTGATCATGTCGTAAACGGACTTGAGATCGGTTGAATGAACATTAATATGTTACTCCTTGAGCACACTGGACTTTGCGCATTTGGTGAGGCATATTACACAGTCGCTTCATGCTTCGCTGCTGTCTAATTCAAGCTGTTCAAACGTTGCGGAGCTTGCGTGACAGAGTTGAGATGTTGATCATACGTTTTCCCGATGTGTTCAACTCCAAGAATATACCTACCAAGCTGATCGAGTATCTGAAAACGTTGGCATAATCGCACATTCAATCTTAAAACTATAATGAATGTCGCTCTGTAGCCTCTGGACGCATTTGACATCTACTATGCTGGGATGTGTCTTAAAGAAGGCGATTCAAAGGGATTTAGTCATCGCTTGGACTCTCTGTTTCTGAATTTTCCGAACTGGAAAGCCTCGCAATCGTATCTAGCGTAGAAGCAACTGGATCATTACAATGAGACCGGCGAACTACGATCATGTCTCAAAGGTCATCAGGAAACTAAAGGCTGGCTTTATCGGAACAATGCTCAGGCCGCTGCGAAAACCGATTCTGAGCGCTTACCATTTTTCTAAGTGAAGTGGCGAGTTAGCGACACATGCCCTCGAGAAAACTACCTCTGGCTTTGCCAACCACCTGTAGCTTGGGTCGTTACAAGGCTAGCTGACTTTGTCCACCGCTGCCCAGGACCCCAGATTGATGAACAGATTCATAATTTTACTTGTTGGAGCGGGTTGTAAACCAAAAAAAAGCCGATAATCCACATGCTCCGCGATAAGCAACATGGGGCAGCGACCTTGTAGGGATCAAAGCCAGTCTTGGTGCCTGACGCTCAACATAATGAATGACCTCACAGTTGGGAGCCAGATAAATAGAGAAGAAAGGAGGGATGGAAACCTGACCAAACAGAATACCGGAGACATGGCCGCACAATATGCGGCCATGTGCTTAGTGTGATATTCGCCAGTGTGGTTGGCTGGCTGGATGCAGCATGGCTGGCGGCTCGGACGAGACATGTGGCGGGGCACCAAGCCAGGCAACGTCGGCAGATTAGGACGCAAAAGCCCGCAGGCTGGCGGATGGTTGAAGCAGAATGGTACGTGTATTGAACGACATCATTGTGGCCGTTCAAAATGGGGGAGAGAGAAACATCGTCTGACAAGTTGAGCGAGCGCGGTAAACCCTGCGGCAGATCTGGCGGGTGGTGAGGACCACAAAGGCACGCCATTCTGGAAGGCTACCCCGGCTAGCATATGGTAGGTAGCATGTACAGTGACAGCCCTTGCCAAATGAAAGTAGACTGGAGGGGATGGAAAGAATTTGCAGGTGCCGCTAAGGATTGGCTGTATGCAGTATCTTGTCCCTCGAGGGTCGTGGTCAGGCGGTGGCGGTGACGGCCTCCATGTCTCACGGTTACGATGCAGACTATTGCGGCGCGAGAGGTCGAAAGTATCCCCACAGCGGAAACTAGTGGCCAGGATACCTAGTCTTGGCTTCAAGAGGCGCCACAAAGCAATTGTCTTTACGTGCAGCGCAGCCATCACGGGAGAACCAACCCAAAGCGGTAAGACCGCTTTTGCACAACCAGGATGGGCGACACCTGACGGGCCGTAACGCCTTGCCTGCCAAACAAGCTCACCTGCTTCGTCTGGTGACTGACAGTCAGCTTCGCCTCGGATTGCGTGGGGTTACAAGCGCACAACGATTGTGAATCGGCTCATTTAATGAAGGTAGTCATGCTGGTTGATGAAACGACCCAGCGCGTTAAGAGAACCACAGCTTGCGAGCCACCATCCATCCCACAGGAAAGCTTAGCACTATCGTCAGCATCGAAAGACACCAACACCACCACTCTTCCCTGATAACCCAGCAGAAATTACTGGTGCACAACCAAAGTAACCCCATATCCTGTAGCTTTCGCCCGTTACCATCCAAAAGTCGCCCCCAACGGGCAAGCTGCCTTGGAGCCAGTTAGCGCCCACGACCAAGCCCGTCCATCTCGGGCGGCGCAACGCCCATGATCCCCCAGCCACCCCTCTGGGCCTTCCAAGACGGCCGCTGGGGTGTACCATGCCCTCGCTGAGAATCGCGTCCTATAGCGACCATTTCTGCCCAACGATAGTATTGCCCTTAGAAGCCCATCTGCAGCATTTGGGACAGGTCTCAGAGTTGAGCCTTTGCGGCGTGCCAATTGTCGCGAAACAGCCTTTTAGAAGTCACTTGTTTGTAATTCGCGTATGCTAGTGCAAGTCTCCGGAACTCGTCCGCTGCGGCGAAGCGTTTCCGGCTTTAAACATGATTGAACTGACTAGTTCATGATTCAACCGGCAAGCCAGAAGGCTCTGGGTGTCTTCCTTGACAACGGCGGTGGATATGCGCTACGTGCTTGCGCGGCGCCGCCGACAAGCTACCTTTTGACTAACAAACACAGTGGTAAGTCGCATTTTTGTTTCGCGCCAAGACAGGGCCAGACAGACTCAAAGACAGTGGCCCATGCCCAGATGGCGTCAAAATGCTACCCTTTGAATACTTGCAGCGTGGTAGCCCAACCGTACGCGCTTGTTTTGCCAGCCCGTTGCTGTTTGTACAAAGGGCTACCCATATGGAGTGGACTCACTAAATTACTTGTAGAAGCGAAGACAATCGCTTTGGTTCCAAGCAGTAAAATGTCCCGTAGTGGAGGTAGGAGAGCACCAAAAGGGATAGGTCTCCGGCGACGATTGATACATCCGGCCTGCCCTCTACTCGTGGGCCACCCAAGTCCACTAACGATAACTCTTGCAGGGTGCGTCCATATCTAGTGCGGGATATCACCTAAACGACGTTGGAGCAGGTTGCCTCGTGGGATGGAACACTGCCATTTAGTCGTGATTAAACAGCGGTGACTACAGGCAGTCTGTTTTCCCCGCGAGGCAAGACATATTGTGAAGTCTAGGCAGAGATTTTGTGCATATGCAATCTAGGTCTTGGCGAATGTGCGAGAGACTCGAGCTGATCGCAGTGAACTGACTTTGGGTCTGGCCCTTTTGCTCTGGTTTCCGAATCTAGCACCGTCGAGGTTTCGGATCTGACTAAAGCAGGCCGCAGACATTGCTCCCTTGTACAATGAGTTCGAGTAATTCCCTACCTGATTCGCCGAGAAGCCATCAACCACACAGAGGAACAATGATGAGGTACCATTGTCGAAACATTACGGGTCGCCGTAACCGGCCGGAGGAGAGGCCATGCCCGCGACGGCTGGGGACATACAAAACACTACGGCAGCAGCCTAGCTGGAGAAACCAGAGACTCTCTGCTTTGAATATTGTTCAAAAGAGAAGCACGCGCGCAAACAGAACTTTCCCGCTCTTTACCTTGAAGATATCCCCCCCTGATCAAGAAAGCATAAAACTAGCACCACCACTGCTTCTCCGCTCTCTGTCCAACCCGGCCAACCAGCATCTGCACGAAGCTGCACGATCTCTGCACTTGTGCTGCATAATTTGTGCTCATCAGCAGATTTATCCCCTGCCTTGGTCTGGCGTAGCCAGGCGTCCCCAGGCTCCATCCGGCTAGTGCAAGCTAGCCCAAGTGTGGTGCAGAACTGGCGCAACACTGCAGGCGTCAGCGGCCTATAGCAGGCTGCACATCATTCACTTCTTTCGGAGCAAATCGATCTGCTGCGTCTTGCATGCTTGGTACGTTGCAGGCTTTTTCTGAGTCTTTGTTATTGTAATTTTTTTTCCTTACACAAGCTGGTCATGCTCGTTTGGCTCTGGCAGACGAGGGCAGACTGTAGCCTGCTCTAACTCGGGACAGTGAGAGCGTAGAGCGAAAGAGGGCAGATGCTCGTGGCAGCCCAAAGTCAACGCTGTAGTGTAAGGGCCTGCCTGTGGAGGCGCTACACCCCCTCCGCTCAAGTCATGCCCCCTCCCTCTGTGGTCTCCCACCACCACCCACCCTCTCTAGCTGTGGGTTTTCTTGCAAGCCCCAGCCATTCTCCCACCCCCCGCCCCAGGTGCAACTGATGCTGCTCAGCGCTTCCCACCTCCCAACACCTACCTGCCGCAAAACCCACGACTCCTCTTTTCTTCCTTTATCCCCCTCTTTCTAGCACTCTTCCTCTTCTACATCTTCCGCAGCTCCTTGCATCTCGCTTTCCCCCAACGCCCCTGGAACGGCAACGGCATTTTCTTTATACTTGGCTCGGCTTCTTTTATTCCTTCTTTTATTCCCTCCGATTCCGACTTCTTCGTCTTCATTTCTTTTACCTCCCCACACTTGCCCTTCACCTCGCCGTCCTGAGAGACATACACTTTTTAGTCTTCTTTTCATCCTCTATCCCCTTCTTTCCAGCCTCTCCCAGCCGCCGAATGCCTTCCGTGCTCTGAAATTATTTTTTCTCCCGCCACCCGGGCTCTCCTCAGTTGCTAACAACGCTGTTGACATTGTAGGATCAGTTCAAGGCCCCCTTCAGCGCTTCCTAGGATCCCCTGTTGGTTCAGCGACGCCTCCGCTTTTCCCACCATCAGTCGATCCGCGCATCTTGGACTCACTCCACCTGCCAAACTCTTTCATTGCCAGGTTCATTGTCACCCATGCAAGCCTTCCAGCCATCGGAAACTCCCTCCGTCGAGTCCTCATACCTGCAATCGCTTAGCAGGAACAACGCAACCGCCCTAGAAGACGCCATCTTTGAGAACTACAACGCTGACAGTCTTGAATTGTCGCCCAATATGGATGGTAGCCGCCGCGAGTCCTTTGCTGCCGGCCCTTCTCTCTTCTCCCCCAAGTCAGAAGACTGGCAAGGCGTTGATATGCAATCTATCCCTTCCGGCAACCCCTTTGTGGACCAGCAGCAGAATGTGAACGTCACTAGCTTTGGCCAAGGAGCGACTCATGAATTCAACCCGCAGGCAGCCATGTGGCCTATGCGTGGCAATGTCTCTGGAACCTCGCCACAGCAAGTTGAAAACATCACAGAAATGGACCCCACGTTCCAAATGATGGGCGCTACAATGTCATTCAATCATCCGAATATGTTCACGCCCGCAACAGGCCAAATGAATCACAACATGGCTGCTGCCATCGTACCCAAAGAATGGAGCCGATCATCGCATATGCCAGCAAGGGAACAGCAAACAGCCCAGTCCATTAGTGATGCTCGCCAAGAAGGTATCCGCAAGCGCAACACTCGCTTCGAAATCCCCCCTGAACACAACCTTGGCAACATCGATCATCTTATTGCTCAATCCACTGATGAACATCGCATCAAGGAGCTTAAAGCTCAAAAGCGTTTGTTGCGTAACCGCCAGGCTGCTCTTGACTCCCGGCAGCGTAAGAAGCTACACACTGAGCGTTTGGAAGATGAAAAGAAGCAGTTTAATGCAGTTGTGGCCGACATGGAAGTTGAGCTCAATGCTGCCAAGGCGGAACTGGAGCGCCTCCGCCGTGAGAATCAAACTTATGTTGGCTACGCGGACAACATGGCAGCCCAAAAGGAAGAAATGATCCGCGCCCACACCGTGGAGGCTCGAGAGCTGCGCAAGAAAAATGCCCTTTTGACGGAGCACATCCAACGCCTTGAAGGCAATGTTACCACACCAACTTCCCCGTCCAATGCTTTTGATGCCGGAGACTTGAGTGACATGGCTATGCCTGGCAACTGGGACAGCTCAACATTTGCGGCAGGGAACTTCACCTCTGGTACACTCGTCGAAAAATCAGAAACCACAAAAGTTGACACTGCTCTACCTACTGCTGATGTCGACCATGACAAGGCGTCGTCTCAAGGCGGCCTTCTCTTCATGCTTTTCCTTGTCGGCGCCTTCGTCATGTCTAGCAGGTCTGCTAACCCAACAATCCCTCGAGCATCTGAGGATATCCGCCAGGCATCTGCAGCACTCCTTGACACCGTTTTGAGAGATGCAGGTATCACCCAGCTCGCCGATACAATTCAAGCTGCTGGTCCACAGCCCTCAGGTGTGAACTGGCAAAGCCCTTCTGCTCCAGTAGACACTTCATCGCTTGAAGGCGCGGCCAATAATATCCTTCCCCGCACTGGTGATCAGCAGTCGTTTGCAATGGCAGCCGAACAGTACAGTGGGATGAGTGATCAAGAGTTCCTCCAGCACCTCAATCCTCCACAAGACCACCGGGTTCCCAACCAAGGCCGCAAGAGTCTAGCGGAAGCCCTTGAAAATCTGCAACAGACAAGTAGACAAGCCGGTATGGCTGAGGTCTACACTAGAAGTCTGCTTTGGAACAAGGTCCCCAACGACGTTGTTCGCAACTTTGCGAAGATGGTTGTTGAGGGTAGCCACGGACCACAGACCGAATAGCAGCAATGCAACATAATGTCATGAACGAAAAGAGGACAGCATCTTTGAGAGCGACAAAAACGACCAACATGACAACGAAAGAATGACGATATTTCAACGATAATGAACCTTTTAACGGCTTGTTTCTTTGTTTCTTCTTCCTTTAGTGCGACATTCAACGTAACTGTGCGATTTATCCGCTTTTTGATCACTTTTCCTGTTTGTGTTTTTCGGAGGATATATTTGGAATTCGCATGGTTTTGAGGGCTGTTACGAAAGTCGGACCTGAACCTACTACACAAATGACGACGCTCTCATGCAACCTACATTATCAGACAAGCGGCTCACGCACCCACAACTTTGGTTGTATCCAAAGTATCTCAATCCAAGGTTGAGTTTGTTCACCACCATTTGCGAATTTTTTTTAAGCGAGGATAGCAAGCGAGCATCTGATTTCTTTGTCTTTTTACTGGGTTTAAATGGACTTTTCCTTTTGATTTATTCAGTGGAAATACCCCCGTGTCCTCGCGCAGCGAGGGCCGGACTACCGTGGGCTTGCAAGGGTAGGCTCTTGGTATTGGTATATCATATGATTCTTCTGGAGCATATTTATTCGTGCGCTTCCAAAAGAACGATATACAAGAAACGCACCGATAATACTTCGGTACGATCTAGTGTCATCTCGATGGCAACTAAACGCCTCTGAAGCATGTTGGGTCTGCTTTTTCACCAATGGACATGCCATTCCAAGACACGACGTCTTGCCTCTCTACTCTTTAACGACTTTGATGATTTTATCTTGGACAACAAGAATGACCAAACTTTAGTATTTTCAGCTACATAGTTTTATTCCTAAATTCTACATTCATTTCATACCTGTGTTGCTGCCCATCTCTGTGCGAGCGTGACAGTCTTAAGCGGTTGAAGGCGACGACTATGACCTGGTAGACTGGGCTTGTTCCTAGCCTTCCGGGCGGTGAGAAATAAACGAGGGCCAATGTGCTTGAACCAGTCACATTGGACGCCGCTAATACCACGCTGAACCGAGTTGTGGTTGGTGAGTTGTCTCAGACATGCAGCGAACCTGGCCCGCTGCATGTCTCTGGCCGCCTGTACGCCATCTGGCTACTGCCAAAGAGGTGGCGTAGTAATGCTTGTAACCGGCGTCGCTTGAGACATTCCCTCTACAGATAATTATGACGCAAGAAGCCTATGTTGCCACAAGTGTGCTCTTGGAGTGTGCGATGGTGGGCGGCGTTACGTTGCGCCACGCGTGATATATCGTATTTAGTTCCTACCTTGAAGAGTTGAGGCGCCCCAGGCATACTTCACGTATCGTCTGGCTGAGCGGAATGGACCCCTGACCTAAACAATGGCTGCATGACCTCACCTGCGTATGCATGAAGATGGCAACACGGGACTGCAGCGTGTCCTAAGCGATTCAAGGGACCATTTCGGCGACGTATAGATTTTACATGGTAGAGGGACTTGGTGCACGCGGTAAGAGATTTCAGTGTTGAAATGGTAGGCTGAGTGTACATCTCGTGTCTGCCTCCTTTTTCTTCGTTTTTCTCTTCGTCTATCATCCATGCCGCCCACAAGCCATTACTTCTTCTTGCCCGGTTGATCGTACTTTTCCTTCCATATCCTAAAAGAAATACGGTCAGTTACGTAGTCTGGCACTTCCGTACTAGTAGAGCGTACCAAGTATTTCCTATTGTCTTGTGGCCTGCATTTTCTGCTAGGCGGTAATACTTTGCCGACATGTACTGTAATGCGAAAGATAGAAGTTAGCTAGAAGCAATAGCTTATATAGTAGAAAAAAGGACACATACCTTGTCTTTCTTACAGCCGAAACCCTCCAGATAACACCAGGCAACTTCGTTCATCGCATCTGCCCAACCCACATGTTAGCGGTTGTTTGGTATGCTGTAACACAGCAGCTGCTTCACTTACCCGTGTCTCCCAAATTGGCAGCCGTTTCGTAGTACTTGAGTTGATCTAGGTTAGCATGAGAGAGCTCCGCACAATCTATGATGGGAGTTTCTACCTGTTTAGCAGCGACCGGGTCACGAGGGATACCCCAGCCCTGGCGGAAGCAGTTTGCCAACTCAAAAATGGCCAGAACCAGTTCACCTTTGGCCGCACCTCCCTTCTTCATACCGGCCTGCAACGCAAGCTCTTCCACAGAGGCTGCGTTGGAGGCGGCAGCGGACAGATACTTGACCGCGCGTTCGGGGTCGGGGTCACAGCCCCAACCATGGCTATTCGAAGAGTTAGCAACAATCAACTGAGTGTCTTGGTAGAAGGGATAATTGAAATTTACCGAAGTGCAAGACCATACAAGACCTGGCTTAGGGCATTGTTGGTGCCGCTCTCGTCCGCCAACACACCAAACATCCTCGTTGAGTTCTTTAAATCGCCAGCTTCATGTAGTCGGATAGCTTCCTGAATATTGGCGTCAATAGCCTTTGAAGACACCTGGGTGCTTGCGCTTGGCGATCTACTCAGACTTCCACCTCCTGGGCGTAGCCCCCTGCCGTCATCTAGTCGCAGGCTAGCCAAGCTATCGGATGGAGGCAGCGGAGGCACTGGAGGCACAGGGGAGCGATCAATAACGGACCTAGTGCGTATCAGCTCATTCTGGCCAGCCAGGATGGTGGCTCGCTTTTCCCACTGCGACTCTAAAGCGTCTTTATCTCCTGGGTCCGTCGGTGCAATGTCCGGCAAGTTGTCGGGCACCAGATCCGACGACTCTGGCTGACGGCTCAGGTGAAGCCGTTGAGAGAGTCGACGACCGGTGCTGTCTTTGTGTGAGCTAGAATGATGGCTGGTATGCGAAGAGACCGATGACGCCCTAGACCGAGAGCGTGAGCGGAACATGTCCATACTCCGCCGTGTTGATTGCGCCTTGGATGAGGCTCCGGGCGACAGGTGACTACTGTCACGCTGGTCATGGCCGCCAGGGACATGGATGATGTCCTGAGAAACAGTATCCGTCCTGATGAAAGTAAATTCTGGTCCTGAATCTCTTTCCTCAAATTTATCGTGCGGTCCATGCTCATCCACGTCGCTCTTCTTCTTCAGCATATCTCGTAACCCCATGGCGGCCTGCGGGGTTTGGCTGACGACGTTGTGCCTAACAAATACCAAGTAATTCGATATTCTATGCCTAAAAGGCAAGCAAAATGAAACAAATCCAGTGGGCTGTATGAGAGGAATGGGCTAGGACGGTTTGTAAAGTCTCAGTTGAGGTGCGAGGCACGGTTTGGGGGAACGCTCTCGTATGTGTCCGGCTCTTTGGAGGGGTGCGGCCAAGGCTGAGCTGAGCTTGGTTGATTGGCGGGCACCAAGGCTCTAGCTCGACTACGCCTCCCCAAGCCCGGCGCGTATACAGCGCGAGCTATGTGCCATATAGTGCTGTTGTTTGCGTCCGTACTGGAAGAAAGAGCCTTGGGTAAACTATTTTGCCCCCTTTATTCTCAAGAATAATACCACGGCTTACCGTGCTTATGTTACAGGTGAAAGGTGTAGTAGAGCGAGCTTGCCTCTGCGTTTTCATCGAAGCTAACGGCTGTGAGTCAAACGGTTCAAGACGGCCAACTTGATACAAAAATTTATTCTTCTCTATTTATTTATCATCGCATATTATTCTGGGATAATCCTCCATTAAGGACCAGGGTATCTGTTTGTAACGCTTCTGCCAGCATTTGGTCTTGAGGTCTTCATCCACCGTATCTTCACCAATAGTTACTTGGAGTATCAAAAACAGTCGCAATCCACCCAGAGTCGTCGCTCAGCATCGCATGGACTAGCTTCAGCGTGCGTGTTACACGCTGTGCAACGCGTCATGGCAGAATATAGGCTTATCTGTGGGAGAACATTTGGGTCTAAAGGTTAGCAGCCTACATTGCAATAAAGTCCTGGCCAGTCTCGACATCCGAGTCGTCCGAATCTGGGCCCATGAATTCTGCGACGGCGTCTGAATCCACATCGTCGGAATCGGCAGTGTCATCGTCACTCGAAATATCATTCATTTCCTCATCTTGGCTTTGCTCTTCTTTTCGAAGCATGCTTGCTCGCTCACGATGCAGCAGCTTACAGCCCCTGGTACTGCATTTTCCAGTATTGCTAAAGTCAGGACATTCAAACACATGACGGTCTCTGCAGCTGGCACCCTTTTCACAGTATCCACGAAAGCCAAATGCTTCACAGACTGGCGCATTCGGCGCTGCCGCAGAATGCGTGTACGGACAGTCAGGTTTTACACAGTTACCCTTAGCAAAGTGAACACAATTGGGCAGACGCTCTGGGCTAAGGTCGTGCGACAGATCGCAAGCATTGCCATGTACACATTCGCCATCTCGAAGGAACTCTTTGCAGAGGGCAACCTTCTTGGCGTCGTGGGTATACCGACATCTAGGGCCTTTGGGACATGAACCTAAATCGCAAAGTTAGTAACAGTTGGCGTAGGGGACTGGTGAACAACTCTGATAGCATGACAATATGCCAGCGAGTGCATATAGCGAGTAAATTACCAGTTGTTGAAAACGTTTTGCATAGCACGTCAGTCTTCTTAATAGTACCATATCGGCTTTCCAATGTTAGCATTGTTTGCCTGAAGTGCAAGCAAACGCACCGATGATCTCTCATAACTCTGTTGGCAACCAAGTTGCCTGTCTTGGTCCTGTGAAACCGAACGCCGGCAATAATTGCCGTCTTGGGGGTAGTGGGAGCACTCTCTAGGTTATCTTCGAAGGAATTAAAACTAGCACAGGGTTTTCGCGTTGATTTGTTACCAAACTCACGAGACGAGCGAACCAGCTTTTTGCCTCCATCGCGCACGATAAATTTGATGTCTTCGATCGAAATTTCCAGATTCGCTCCTGCTCCAGAATTGACAGACGCTACAGTCACATTTTGTGTTTGTAAGAAGGCATTGAATCTGGACTTCTCTCCAGCATATTTCTTCTGTAGCTTCCTTTGCCTTGTTGCTTCGATAGCTTTGGTTCGAGATTGCGACTGTTTCTCGTAGACGCTAGCATTTATCAGCTGCCTGTGGCGATCAGTTTTCGACACCCAGCCAGTGCTTTCCGTGTCTGTGCTCGCAGCTGGTGAAGATGTGCCGTTCGAATTTCCCTTGGGATTCAGGTTCAGGGTTCGGTGGTGGTGAGGTGTTGGTCTACCAGCTCGATAGCCGCCGCGGCCAGAGGATGCGTAATACGGCGCCGATCGATAAGTCTGATCTATGTACTGTTAATGGGGTGAAATAGCTGGAAAAATGACCTGCGCGCCCCTACTCCTGTGCCTGGTGCCGTATGGATTCTGGGATGGTACAGCAGCGGTGCTTGATCGCTGGTTCTTGTGGCGATTGATTTGGCCTGTCGTTGTTCAGTAGGCGCCTAATAGAATATGACAAACGTACCAGCTAGTTGGCCGATGCGAGCGAGGAGCTCCTTTTGTTCGTCCGACATCACTAGTCTTCTAGAGCTTCCTAATTTTGATTAAGGTGAAACAAGTAACAATGACGCAAGAAAGGAAAGTTGTTGATGAAGAGAAACAGATGAGGGTCGACGGTGGCGTGCCTGCGTTAGGTAAGCCGATTGTAGACGACTGTCACGCGTTATGCGACCGACCACATCACACTCACAGCCAGCATCCCTCCACATAAGTTTGCTGCCAAAGCTTGCACTTTCCCAGTAACCTATGGAGACGTCAAATTGAATATACCATAAAAAACTTCAATAGCAGCTTCAATATCGATATATCAAGCTTCCGGTATGGCTAGCTGGGGGCTGCTTGATGAGCGAAGCGAGTCAGACCTTCACAAGTCACGGCTGCTCAACGTTGAAGAAAAGCCATTCAAGCGCATTACGAAACGCCTAACATCGATATCCTCCGCAATTAACGGCCTATCTACCGCAACAAGTTCCAATGATCAAGCTGCAAGCAACTCAACTCGCGAGCTTCAAGAAGACCTCACGTTCGACTTCGCAGCATTTGACAGCAATATAGCACGACTCCAATTTCTTCATGACGCGAATGAACGAGAACGCCAACGATACGAAACAGATAAGAAGCGCATTTTAGAAGAATGTCAGACGGTGCGTGATAAGAACGCGGACCTGCGTGAGCACTTGGACGGAGCACTGGCGACACTTTCTCAAAGGAAGAAATTCGACGAACTTGCTGAAAAAATTACGTTAAATCGATTGCTGCGACCACGTGAAGACCAGTTACTCAGCTTAGCGAAGTTGGAAGAAGAATGCAAAGAGCTGGAAAGAGAGAGCGAAACCTACAGTGTTACATGGCGCGAGCGTCGCGAACAGTTCAACAGAATCATGGAAGAAGGCATGATGCTGCGCCGCCAAATTCGAGACGAAAAAGAAGAAGTCGACCGCAGAGAGGGAATGAACGAGGACGCTGATGAGGATGGTGAGCCGGACCGTGCAGCGCCAACACCAAGAAACGAGCAAAGCGGCGGTGCAACTCCACGACCTGATTCAGATAAACCGGACGATTCAAAGGATAACGAAGATGGTGAACCAGATCGCTTGAGCGTCCCAAGTGCTTCTAGATCAAGAAATAATAGCCACGCAGGCAGCAGAGAAGCTTCTCCTGCAGGCCTTAAGAATGGCGACAACGATGAGGACGAATCAGATGAGGGAGAAGCTGATGAAGAACAGGAGGCTGATGACGTTGAAATGACGGATGAAGTTACGACACATCCTGCTACTGAGAAGATGGAAGTCGATGAATAGGTGATTACTAGGCTCCCGCGTGCGTATTTAGTGTGGCGTCCTCGGGTTTATTTCTTGTACAATAGCAAATAGAATTTTAATACCCCTTGCCCGGCAGGTTAAGAACAACGACTCTCTTTCAACATCTCCTCTCTTACTGCTATTAATCTCATCATGTTTAACCAAGCCTAGCGTCTGGCCTGATGGCTATTTAAGCAGCTGTAGCCTGAGCAAGAATCGCCTTTGCTGCGTCGAGCTCTGCCCCCGGAGACACAGTCTCATCGGCTGCGGTAATCTGATCTTGTAGTTTTGCCACGGCGTCTTCGATTCTCTTCTTTAGAGGACCAAAAACGGCTCTAGTCTGTTCGGCAGCAGTTTGCTAGAAAAGACGGTTCTCGTTAGCCACAAACGAGACGTTTTTTAGTCCGGTTGATATACGCCATACCTGTTGCTTCAACATATACGGAGCATTTCCATCCTCATCATCCTTTCCGCTCTTGATCTGCTCCTCAAGGGTCTTAATTTGCTTCTCTTGATCGGCAAGTTCCTTGTGGTACGAAGCCTCTTCTTTTAGCAAGCGCTGGACAGATCCGGTCGCGATGGCGAGAGCCGATGGGGCGGGCATGGCGCAGTAGGTGGGTTATTTTAAGTGTTGGATTGATATTCGACTTGATTACTGGCGCCGACTATTATAGGTCAGGTCCGGACTGGTATGTAGTTTCGTGATGACGTTGATAACTGGTTCGTAGAGGGGGGCAGGCACCGCGGGGCAATTGCAGTTGGTGGACCTTGAGCACGCCAACGACAAGCAAACTAGTTCCATACCAACAGACAACATCGCCCAGTCACACAGCATGAAGTATCAGGTCGTCGCTTGCAAAGAAAAAAATAAATTTCAATTCATTGAGCTTCACTCGCGTTTATGCGAGTGAAGGACTATTCTACTACAATAAAAAGCCAACTACAGAAACTGCCAGATGGCCTATTCCGCCGGCTTTATTAACCTTTTCCTCGACCCAAGTCATACAACCAAAAGGTATCTCCAAAACGCCAAGAAACTCCAAGCCGCAGAATGCGCACTTCGTATCAAATAATGGAAACTGCAGACAAATATGAATGAAGCCATGCCAGCCACAGCTACTGGCGTGGTCTAACCGGTAGACACATGCCGAAATGACAGGAAAACACGACAGTGAGCGGCGTTTACGCGCCGACAGCGACGGGCTGCGCAGCGAGGGGGACTGCTTCCGCATTATCCTGGTTTGCAATCTCACCACCAGCTTCACGCTCCGCCCAGTCTCCCCACAGGCCACGTTTACCACGAACGCGAATGGCATCGCCCAACTCGGCTCCTTGCTCAACCTTGATGGCATCCTTTGTGGCTAGTACCAGGCATTCAAAGAACATCTTTGTAGCTTCGGCCTTGGTTGTTTCTTTCTCTGGCAACAAATCTTGGAAGACAACCGCAGACGTGGTTCTCTTTTCATCATTCGTCGCAGCCTCAGAGCCGAACAGGTCACGCAGAATATGAACCGCGTGCTTGGTACCGAGAGAAACAGGGCCGCTATCAGCAGGGTGCACTATAGGCATTGTGGTTTCGTCAAAGTTGGGCATTGGGCTACCCTCGCGATCGCCGCCATCGTCACCAAAGAGGCCGTCATCGGCAGGAATCTCGAGGATGGTGCCGTCTGGTCCAATGCTGTGATTTGCAATACCATTACCATCAAAGCCAAGTTCGGTATCATCGCCAAAATCGAGACGGGGAGATTTCAAGGCAGATTCGTCCATGGCGTTTTCGCGCTTGCGCTTAAGATCGCCACGTAGTGCATCTAGTGAAAGCATACCACGCAGTTCTGGGGCCCAAGCTGAGCTACGGCCACCCATCATAATAGAGGAAACAAAACCACCGCTGCGCTGCATGTCCATGAGTGCAAGCATGACGGGGTCACGGGGCAAGAAGGCAGCTTCCTTGGTAATATTATGGCGATCAGCTTGCTGTTGCTTGATGTGCGTACTAGATAGTGCAATCTCCGAATCAGGCATAAGAATTTTCTGTTTTCTGGCGCGCTGAGCTGGGCGGCGGACGATTGTAGTTTCTGTATCCTCCTGGGGTTCATACAGGTCTCTTCCGATGGTTGCAAATGCGGCGGAACCATCTTTGACGAGGTCCTCATCAACATCAGACAATGGCGATTCAGAGATTCTTGCACGGTTTATCTGGCCGACTGCGGACATATCGGGCATTGCGGACCCATCGCCCAGGTGAAAGTTGATATCATCATCGCCCATAAGAAGATCACCCTCATTATCAGCAATTCGGATATCGTCGCCAAAGTCGAGAGCGTTAGACATATCTGCACCACCTTTCAGAGTAGTCGCCATGTCGACTTCGCTGAACACATCGTCGTCGACGCCCAATCCCATAGGGGCGTTACGACCCATTTCGATGCTTTCGCTAGGTCCGCCATCGATGTCAAGACCAAAGTCCAACTCAAGGTCCAAATCAGCCATAGGAGCTAGCGCGTCGTCGTCCATGCCGCTGTTGGCACGTAAGAACTGGCTATTGTCGAAGTCTTCTTGTAGGTTGATATCCCGATTGTTGGCACGGCCCTTGCGGCCAATAGGCGTAGCAGTGACATCCTCCATTTGGGAGAGAAGCCAAGAGGCGTCAGGAGGGGGTGGCAGCTCCATGTTGTCATATGGCGTAATTTTGTCTGGGAGAAGTAGAGCTTCTCGGTTCGAGACTTGCAGGTTAGAAGCCAAATCGTTATTCCCACTAGAACGAAAGGCCTGTAATTTACTTGTTAGTTACGCATAAACGAGCTGAGTATCGGATAGAACAAACCATTTTAATCTTCATCATAGCCTCGTTACAGTCGTCCAACAAGTAACGCGTCTTTCTCTGGTAAATTCGAACAACACCAAGCAATAGCTGGCCAGAGAGACGCAGAGCCATCGGTGCTTGATTAGGCGTTATAATAGCCTCAACACTGTCTGTCACGTTCGACTGTAAGATGTGGTTCTTGGACAACTTGCGTTCGAGATTGGCCGAGAGCCAGACCCGGGCCAGTGGCCCGGATTTCTGCAATAGAGTTTCCGAATAAAACATGATGTCAAGTTGGGTGCCACAATCAAGCGGGGAATGACCGACTCAAAGAGTTGTGAGCCGTGCTGAGCGGCGATGGCGGATGATGGGTTGCGATGTCCTAACAAACACGAACCAGGGGCGCGTCCTGGGGGGGTAAACAAGCCCCAAGCGTGAGATGGCGTGCTTCACGCGTCAAAAGCGACAAAAAGACTCGGCGCAGGGGCAAATAAAAATAGAAAACGGTGTCGCCAAGTCGCTTGTGATGATTTAGTGGTGCGGAACCGAGTAGAAACGAAGCAACGCGCGAAAGCGAGAGAAGCGACGCTGGTGATAAGTGATGGTGTTTGGGCAGCATAGAGCGGACCTGGTTCACCTTGGGGAACATAATGACCTTGCACGCAAAATAGCGTGGCTGGGGCATTGCTCAGTGGCTGACCAGCCTGGCCTGCCGAGAACGTCAAGTATGCGGCGCCGGAACAAATTTGATCCACCTATTCGCAGCCATGAGCAACGGCGCTAGTCTGTTTTGGGAGGTGCATCCGTTAACAGGTCCAAATGCTGTTTCAGCATCTTGTGCACAATATAAACCATGAGCAGCTACAATTATACTCCAAGCTAAATGAATCGCCCCTAAGGGTACATTTCTTTTATGATAATTTTGTGAGTTTTATTAAAAGAGACCGACCTCATTAAAGGCATGAAGTGTCGCTTGGTTCCACCTTTGATGCTAGAGCATGAATGTCTCTCGTAAGCCAACATAGTCGAAAGTTAGGGGACGTTGAAGTGATACTTTTATTAAATAACTGAAAATAGAAGCCTTCCATTTGTGCTCCTATTTTTGCATCATCTACTTTCTAGATATCTTCCCGGTGCATGTTGCATAGTGATGACAAGTGGGCTCTGTTCTCTTTGTTCAGTCCCACTTCTGCTCAGGCACCTCGATCGTAGCGTGCAATTCTCTGTCGTGCATCCTTCTGCCCCTTCGATTGCGCGTTTGCAACTCTGACCAATCCAACCACAATCGAGTGGCACGCTTACACCATGTCTGATTCCGATGAACCTATCGATCATATTGATGAAGAGGGCGATGACCTCTTTGGCGACGACGATGGCGATGCCCAAGTGTCGGCTCCCAGGCAGCGCGTTCTCGAGGACGACGACCTGGCTTCTGACCCCGACGAAGATAGAGACGCAGGCGACTATGGGAGATACGATGGTGACGCGCCACAGGAAACACACGATAGGGTTGTAATGGGCGTTACGGCATATCGACATCGCATTCCGAAGCCCAAGGACGGTGCGGTAAGTTGCTTGCGTTGGCTAATACCATCCCTCTACAACCATATACTAATGATAAATTTGCAGCTTCGTGTGATGCGCGTACCCAAGTTCTTCAAAATCATGCCCCAGGAATATGTCGCTGATAGTTTCGAACCGACCGAGTTTGATATCGACAATGCGAAGGCGGAAAACCCAGCCCACGTTGCCCGTGTTCGTCGCGATGCAACAACGGGTGACTTAAAAAGCAATACGAATATATACAGATGGAGTGATGGGTCTGTAACAATTTCAATTGGTGGTGAGCAGTACGAGATACAGAAGAAAGCTCTGGCTCCAGGCTCGGGGCAAGACTACGATGAACTCAAAGACGGACACTACTACGCCGCAGCCGCCGAGTTGACAAGTAACCTGTTATTGACAGTTGGCCATGTCACGGAACAGTTTACTGTTCGGCCTAACAAAGCTGTTGGCGATGATGCACTGAGTGTCTTGGCGCAGCGCATGGCTCAGGCCAGCAAGCAGGTCAAGGAGGAGGACATGATTATCCGCACCACAGAAGACCCCGAGTTGCAGAAAAAGCGTGCAGAAGCGGCAGAGAAGGAACGCGCAACTGCACAAAGACGGCGCGAGAATGCCGCGGCCAAAATGGATGGCCTTGGTCGTTACAGAAGTGGCGGCCTCTCCATTGGTGATCTGGAAGGCGGTCGTCGCGCTGGGGGCCCTCGCAAGAGGGGCCTGCCTGGCACTAAGCCAAAGAGAAGACGACCTGAATATGACTCGGATGACGATCTACCACAAGGCGTCGGCCGCCAAGAGGAGTACGATAAGGACGATGGATTCCTGGTTGATAGTGATGATGAAGAGTTTGAGAGTGGAGCGGACGATGACGATGAAGAGATGCTTGACGACGAAAGACCTTCTAAGTCAAAGAGGCGACGAACTCCAGAATCTGGGGGAGACGAAGACATGGATGATCACGTTGAGACGTCAGGAAGGTCCAGGCGCCGCAATGTAGTGGACGACGAAGATGAGGAGGATTAATCAAGCTAATCAGAACGATACTAATATTCTATTAAAACATGCAGTGTAATAATATATAAAGAAGCAGTTTTTTTTAACAGTCAGAGTACCCAGCATCAAAAGGGCGGCCAATGCCTTTTCTGTTGATGTTATCGAATCATTGAAACTCTACAATTTCGCTCCAAAATATTGAATCGTTCTTCGAATGTTTCTCCTGTTTGCAGCCCACAATGTCGACAAAACAAAGATAGCGAATTGTACATCGATGTTGTTCAACCCGTTGATGTCAAATAAAATACACCCACTTCGTCCATTGTCCAGCGCCACCCGATGTGGACAGCGCGGACGGTAGCGGCACGGATTGCCCGCCAATGCACCCCACTGTCACTTTCCGGCGTCATATCCATCACATGTCTGGCCACGCACCCATGCCAGCAGCCCAAACCTTCTCATCATCACTTCTTACCTGACCACATGTGTGTGGCACCAGCCCAAGCCCTTTAGCTCTTGTGTATCAATCGCTTTAACACCCCCAAGCAGCTATCAACCTCGCTAGCCAGCAACCGCCAAGGGCCGTCGGCTGCGCAACCATCTACCTGCCCCTGCGCCGTGCTATGCCCTGCTGAGCGGTGATTGTTGTGGTGAGACTCTGACCCACAATCCTGCAAGACGTCCTGCCTGTGACAAGGCATCCTCGGCAATCATGGGTGCTGTCCTGGCCGTCTGGAGGGTGGTAGTAGAAGTTGTTAGCTTTTGGAAAAGAGTACGTCGAAGCACTCCCGTCCCGTCTTTACTTCCCTGCCTTGTATTCCTGTGTCTGCAGCCATGGTGTCGCCGCAATGCTAACTTCCACAAAGAAGCTCTTCTCATGGTACAGCCGCAAGAACCCAGTCGAGCTTTGGCTAGACTTGCTGCGCAACGCGGAGACTTTCGACGACTGGGAAGAGGCAGCCCTACACCTCGACAACCTGCTCGGTCTTGATCATTGGTGAGCTTGTCATACTTGTAGCTGAGCACGCGACTAACATGTAAGCGCTTCCGTCCAGGCGAAATAATCCAACTTCCAAATATTACGACTGGAGGCTCATCACCGAACGGCTCAACTCGTTAGCAGAAGCAAGAGAAGAAAATGACTTTCAACAACTCGTCAATCTTTTGCGGTCGGGGCTGGTTCGCAACCTTGGCAACATCACCGTACCTAAGCTCTACAACCGATCCTTCTCTGGTAGCAAGTATCTGATCGAAGAATATATCGCCCAAGTAGCGGAGACTATCGAGGATATCAGCACGCTACCAACAAATGCAATACCACTCGTACACGGAAACGAACGCGCTCTTACAAATCAGATGAAGTTGGACTTCTTCCATGACACTCGACAGGCTTTTGGTAGAAGTACACTTGTTCTCCAGGGCGGCGCCATATTTGGTCTATGCCACCTTGGTGTTGTTAAAGCACTTTTTCTGCGCGGACTCCTACCACGGATTATAACCGGGACAGCAACTGGCGCTTTGATCGCCGCTTTAGTCGCCATCCACACAGAGGAGGAGTTGCCCCGAGTGCTCAATGGTGACGGCATTGACTTGAGTGCATTTGCCTCAAAGGCGCGCACAGACAACGGCAACCGATCTTCGTCGCAGTCTTTTCGAACTCGGTGGAATACACTCGTGCGAAGACTTCGTCGGTTTACTAAAGAGGGATACTTTCTTGATGTTACGGTTCTTGAAGACTGCGTCAGAGCCAACGTCGGTGATCTGACTTTCGAGGAAGCCTACAATCATAGCAAACGAGTTTTGAATATCACGGTGGCTACTGAAGGTCAAGCAGGGGTTCCAACTCTCCTAAACTATATCACAGCTCCCAATGTTGTACGTCTGCCTCTATCCGCGGAATTGCTTGTTGCTAACTAGGATTAGCTCATTTGGACAGCCGCGGTTGCATCGAACGCTTCTACGCAGACCTTTTATGGGAAACAAAAAGCAACGATCCTTTGCAAAGATGCGAATGGAAATATCGTTCCATGGGCTCCTGCTAACGCTACCGATTTTCGACATTGGTCACACGCGTCGTACTCAGACCGAGATTCGCCACTACGCCGCATCGCCGAGCTTTTCAATGTCAATCACTTTATTGTTAGTCAAGCCAGGCCCTACCTAATTCCGTTTCTTCAGTCCGATATGCATGGCCCATCAATGGTTGAAACGCGAGGTAAGGTTACACAATTATCTGCCTTTCTTGTCCGTATGGTTGGCCTCGAATTACGGCATCGGCTACGTCAGCTGGATACTCTCCAGCTCTTACCCTCCAGTATCCGCCGATTTTTAGTGGACGAGCAAGTGCCTGGCGCTTCCATGACTCTGGTACCCGAGATCACAGCATGCGACTTTATACGGCTTCTGGAAGTGCCCACGCGAGAAACACTCAGCTACTGGATTTTGCGCGGTGAGCGAAGCGTTTGGCCGGCGGTTGCCGCGCTGCGAATCCGCTGTGCTGTGGAAAATGAATTAGACAGGTCGTACCAGGTTGTGAGAAAGCTCAAGGCTGGTGATCTACGAAGAAAAGGCAGCATCTCTATCGCAGGAGACGTGCAAAAATGATGGCTATGCCCGCATGACCAGCTTACAATCATGTATCGCACCTCAGTGCCTTCAGTACTGAGACCCTATTTGACTGGCATATTACATCAGAGGCGTTTGGAGTGTTATTTATTTATTTATACCCAGATACCAGAAATCATTGTCCGCAACGTTTATAACAGAGGTAGATTGCAAATGCTAAAGTTCATCCGAAATGCTAGTCTCGGCCCGCACGAGAACGCATGCATCATTCCTCCATTGAGATCTGGTGCCTATTTCTCCACTGTGGTCCATTAAGGCGCATTGGTGCAAAAGGGCAGATCTGCGACGCCGATCGAAGTCCAGCGCACGGCAAATCTAGAGATTGGTCACTGCAAGGGATGTAATATTGATCGGCCGCTACAAGAACTGAGGGCAATCTATTTTGGGCAACACGACAAAAGCAATTGCACGGTAGAGGAGAATCGCAAACATGGTGGTTCGTCATAACCGACGCAGTGGTTCATGTAAAGGAGAATATATTTAATATGCGCATCTCACGTATTACTACAGATACCATGGGCAACTCTGAGGACTGATCCAGACGCCACCTTCGGCAATTGGTGAATAAAGCAAAGAACTCAAGGATAGAGATCAAAAGGAGTGAAGAGGTGTACAAACCTGACCCATCGGTCGAGCGTATCCTGGGGCGAATACAGCGCGCTAATAGCTCAGGGTGCCTGACCCCAATAATGTGGAAAGAAGGAGAAAATCCAGTCGCAGAACGCCTTGCACTAGCTGTAGTCATGGTTCGTTGTTACTGAAAGGTTGGTTGGGGAAGATCTCAAAGCTTCAGAAGATGCCGTTTAGTTAAGGAAAACCATGGCAGCAGCAGCTCCGGCAATGAGAGCGAAGGGAGAGAGGCTGGCGGAGCCGGCAGCACCGCTACCAGGGGTTGTGTTGGTAGGCGAGGTGGTGGCAGAGGCTAAGATGAGACGTTAGTGGTATGGTAAGCAACTCAATTTGGAGCAACATACTCTTGGAGGCGCTGCTCTTAGAAGTGGAGGAGGCGCTAGTCATGGAGGAAGACTCGCTCTTGGTGGTGGACGCAGAGCTGGAGCTCGTGCTGGAGGGGGCAGAGCTAGTGGAGGCAGCAGAGCTAGACTCAGCGGAGCTGCTGGTGCCAGTTCCAGTGTACTTCCAGACGATGCTGTAGTTGTCAAGCTTGCTCTTGTTGTTGATGACATGGAAGTTGTAGGAGCCGGAGGGGAGGCCGGTGAGGGTGACATCGTAGGCGCTGCCAGCGTAGTTGGAAGTAAGGACCTTGACGTCCTTCTTGGACTTCTCATCGGGGCCAGACTGGACGCTGATGGTGCAGCCGTCATCACAGCCCTTGAGCTTGAGAGTAAAGTCCTCACCCTCCTTAACGGCGAAGTCCGTGTTGAGAATGGCGGGCTTGTCGGCCTGGGCGAGAGCGCCGGCAGCGAGAGCAATTAGGGTGAAGATGGAGGTCTGCATTTTGAAAAGAGGTTCAACGAAAGTAGGGAAGATTGTTTTTGATTCTATATCCGAAGTTAGCAAGTTGACTCGATGCAAGGCTCGCAGAGCCGAATGGCCCAAGTGGTAGATACAACACGCCGGATCTGCAGTCTAGGCGTGATTGCATCAAAACAAAGATTGGCCAGTGGTGATACATGTCCAACGAAGGCATTACGTATAACATTGAGCGAGGACTTACACAAAAAGGTATAGAAGCGCAACAAAAGGCACGAGTGAGAAAGTAAAGCGAATGGCGGTTGTGGAGAGGAGGAGAAAGACTGAAATTACTAGAACGAGGATGGTTGGGGGTAATAAAGGAAAAAGGCACAGCTACAGTAGCAAAAACACTACAGAGCAGCACGGCGGAGGTGTGGGACAGGGGTGTGTGTGCTAGCTTCAGGGGTGGCGAATAATGCGAACCGTGGCGGGCAACTTCAGCCAAAGCCTCGCCTGGGCAGGTTTAGCGGGGGTTGCCCGTTCGCTGCCACAGCACAGTACTGGACATGCACTCTTTTCTTGTCTCTTGTTGTAATTGTGTATTGGCTTGCAGGGCCTGGTCGCCCGGTTTCAGTCGTTGGACAAGGCGCTTTAGTTGCTGCTGCTACTGCTGCTGCTACTGCTGCTTATTGAGCAGGGAACGCCATTCGCAAAGGTTAAAGACTTTATCCAAACAAGCCTTCTTCCTGCCTATAGATGGCCAGCTAAATGGCTAATTTAACCATTCTTTTACTTGTTTCTCTTTTTTTCTGCATTTACTTGCAGCACATTTAGGGTTTCTAAAGGCTATTTTATTGTCAATTTGGCCGCAGCGACATTTTGCTTTTCCCACATCTGCAGACCCAAATTACGTCTTGGGCAAAGCCGCGCTCAAGCGGAGCGCTACTAGGAAAGCCCAGGTCGGCACAGACACCCTCTCAGATTCCTTTCGGGGCTGTAGCGTACCGCGTTGGGCGGGCCAGACGGCGAGTCGGCGTGGCGTTGAAGTCGTATTGGCATTCCACGGCTCACAAACGCCAACGCTCGCGCCTGCTGTGCAAACACCCCTTTGGCTGCATGCCTGCCAGTGGTGAGTAAGACATCTTCACATCGGTCATAACAGCTAAACACTCGGGTCATGGATCCGTATGTCGTGGTTAGTGCAATCACGTTCCCCGTGCCCGTTCGCCATCCCATTCTCTTTGTTACGTCTAAGCGGCACAATGCGGAAAGAGAGGACGCGCCTGGCGCGCGCTGCTTAGCGCGGCATGAAGATCATTTTGCAAGTAGAAGCAAAGCCGTGCATGCCCAGTACGCGCGGTCGGTTCGAAGATTGAGAGCGCACCGTGACCATACCGGCCCAAATTGACACGGCCAGGGATTTTGATGGCTACAATAAAACATCTGCTAGGAAAGCTTGATTCTCAATTTGCGGTTGAGTCTGTGATGGATTTGCACTAAGGAGTCCGTGATGGCCAGGTCCCATTCAGCGTTCAGACACGATGCGGCGGCCGGCAATCGCTTAGCGGTTAACCTCCGCGATTAATCGAGCTGCATGTTGCAACAACCTCGACGTACTTTCAAATGACACAACTTCATGAAATAGGTTGAATTCACATTGGCGGACTCACGACGGAGGTATGGCTCAGGGGACCAACAAGGATGGCAGCTTCTCCACCTCGGCTCGCTCACCCCCTGTAGGCCGCAGAGTAGAAGACAGTCCGCCACCAGCAGTTGTCAAGGGCCAAACCTCCTCTACATGGTCCGTCCCCTTCTTGGCAACCATAGTGCAACGTCGACAACGGCTGATAGTCACGGTGGTGAGGCTATGTATAGCTGCCAGTGGTGGCATTGCTGTAACCTGATGGTCTTGTGCCCCGTCCTGCTCTTTTTGATGGGTCGGCAAACCTGTAATGGTGATTGGGCGTTAGGGAAGCTGTCAGAATTGATTCGGAAGCGTCTTGGCACCTCTAATGCTTCAGTTGGCGCATATCATAACCACGACCCAGTTCTAAAATTAATCTTGTCACCTGCACGATGGGCAATGGCCTGAGAATATTGTCACTTGATATATTCGAATTAAAAAGACTGTTCCGCGAAAACGCGGTTTTCTGCAGGCCTAAATTAAAAAAAGGCAGTAATTGCAACTAGACAAATGAAAGAGGCAAGTCATATTCTCCCAACAAGACACGGAGAACAACAAATCAAGGAGTGCTGCTATGTATTCGCAGCCATCCCCCAACCGTTCCCATTCTAAATAAACTCTTTATTATATATTGATAGAGGGTGCCTCTCCTGTGGGCTCATTCCAAGTAGGTCTTGTATGTAGAGGTGGCGCATCCCCGTAATCCAGATGCATATTTAATGCTCAAGGAGACGGAGAGAGCCCTGAACGACGACGTTCTCGAGGATGGAGCCAGGGGGGATGTCGATCGTGCTGCCTTCTGTAGCAACGATAATGACAGTGCCCTTAAGAGTGACACCGCGACCCAGGTTGACGGCACCAGTAATAGTGAGATGGTCAAGCTCCAACACCTTAGGAATGGACGGGATATGCTTCTGAAAGTCGGAGACCTTCTTGAAATCGCTACCGAGCTTGATGAGTGGCGCGTCTCCGAATCGAGCGGCGCTCATCTGAAGTTGACCGTGCTTAAGAGTATAGAGATCCGACTTGACAAGCATGAGATCGGAGCAGGTCTTGACAGGCAAGAAGCGGCGACGGGGAACGTTGACGCCGTGTGCATTCTTGAAGTGGCGAATAGCGGCACCAACAGCAGTCTCGAGTTGAATAATGGAGATATCCGACTCACCCTTCTTGTCACCAGGGATGGTCTTTCCGTTCGGGATGATCTCCATCTCAAGCTCATCGTTCTCAACAACACGCTTGATGGCGTGGAGGTTGAGCCAGATGTTGTTCGTGTTGAAGTACTTGAACTTCTTGATCGACTTGAACTCATTGACATGCTCCTTGGGGACCTGAGCAATTTCAAGAAGGCGAACAGAGCCCTCGTAGTCGATAATGGTACCACCCTTAACATCGGCCTTGGTCTTGTTGGTCAATTCCATAATGTACTCAGCCTTGGTCTCCATCATGTGTTGGAGGATGCGGAGATCAACCACGCCACCCAAGTTATCAACGTTGGAGAGGAAGATAATCTCAATTCCGCGCTCAAGAAGCTGGTCAAGAATACCAGAGTTGTAGAGGGACTCGAAAACGTCACCGTGGCCAGGGGGGTACCACTCGCTAATAGAGGATTTGAAGTCCTTGGGAACGGGAAGAAGAGAATCCTTATAGATTCTGGGGTATCGGGACTGGTTGAAAGTGAGGATATCGACGTTGTGTCCTTCATACTTCTTGATGATAGCAGCAGTGTCGTCGTTGGTGTTGAAGGAGTTCATAAGAATGAAAGGAACGTTGACGTTGTATGTGTGGTTAAGGTACTCAATCTGACGGACAGAGAGATCGAGGAAAGACGACCCGTCACGAACTTCAATGACGGACTTGGGGCCAACGCAACCCATAGAGGTACCAAGACCACCGTTGAGCTTGAGAACAGCAAGCTTGTTGAGGAACTGCACAGACTCGGAGGTGGCAAGATCCTCATAATCGACGACCTGGCCTTGAGCAGGAGGAGCGATACGATCCCAGTCACTGTAACATAATCAGAATTAGACAATGGGCTAGTTATAAATGTGGCATGTTGCTTACACGGCATTGCCCTTGGCTTTGTCGTTGAGGTAGCGGCGGAAAAGAGCAAAGAAGTTATCCATCTCGGTCTCGAAGAGCTATTTCACCGTGTTAGAAGCCATAACTATCTTCAGTCAGTTTTCTGGGCGAGACTCACCTTCTTCTCCTTAGGGTCCTCGATAGTCTCTGTGAGGTTGGTCAAAGCGTTACGCATTTGGGCGGCAGCGACGTTGGTGGAGGTGTTCTCGAAAGCCTGGGGCAGGTACATTAGTATGGATTCCGGACCAGTATATGGCAATGCATGAAGAAAAGAAATATGCTGTGTTGCTAAGAGCATTGATGGGAGACTGCGCGCGGGAGAAGTGGCTCAGCCAAAAGAGCGATTTGAGCCGCCAACGCTCAATTGCCAGCAATAGCAGTGACAACCCGTTGTGATAAGCAGAGGGGGTTGCACTACACCAACGGCATTGACGCATTGACGCCTCTTCATCAGAATCTTCTGGAAACGTTTCTTTGCCAATCAGTTGTCCAAATATTATTTGCTCTAAGGTCAGGCCAAGTGCTGTCACCGCCTACTTGCACAGAGCAGTGACGAGCTACCAGGCTAAGACGCTCAGGAAGGTAGCACAGCACCGGACGATTGAAGCAGAGCCAACGCTGGACAATGTAGGGAATATGTATGAAGAATGGAAAGTAACTCACCATGTGGCTGCGCGTCTTGCCATGGTGACGCTTCTCGAAGCCATTGTTCTCGTCCGCCTTGAGGTGGGAGGGGATGGAGCTCTTGGGGGCGGCCATGATGTAGAGATGCGAGGCTCAGACAAGAGGACTAGCTTAAGGAAGCAGCAGAAGAAAGATGAGGAGATTCTGGGTTTGGAGGAAGGAATCTGCCAATGGTCCAGAGGAGGGGAATGAAGAAGAGAAGATCGAGGAGACAATCAAGGAAGGGGAGTAACAGGAGATGATGAAATATGGCTTGGGGACATTGGCGGGCCAATCTTTTTCGGGCCTGCTTTAGGAGGGGGCAAAAGGCGGGGCAGGGCAGGTCCCAGCAAGCGCGCAACAGAGCTGTTGAGCATCACCGTGAGCGAATGGGAAGGGTGGGGGAGGGTGGGTGGTCAGTGCTCGTATCTCTGTTCTTTTTTTTTGCTCGCGCTGTGGCTAGCGTACAGTTGGCGGAGTTGAGACGCTCTTGCTAAGCCATTATAGAGAGGTTCCCCTTTCAGTTAACACACTATCACATCCCAATGTCAGGTTTAATCAAATAAGTAACAACAAAATGCATCAGGTTAGTAGATTGGTATAGCGGACCAATGTGGTTTGTCACTTTGTTCTTTTTTCTTTACAAACAAGCGGTCCCTAGCAGTTGTCGTAACTAGCGAAAAAATGGAAATCGATCCTATAGTGGCGCTGTGTTATGGTGCGTGTTGTACATAAAAGCCCATTGCACTCAGAGGCAAAGGGGCAGCCGTACTACGCTTTGTTAATTATTCATTTCGCTGAATATCGTCTGCACTGCCCAGTCCTTGTTTACGCCGTCTTTGGACCTTGTGTTTCGTCCCCCTGGCCTGTACTGTTGCAACGTGGGCTAGCTTGTTTATTGCAATTTCTACATCCCAGATGCCCGAGCCGCTATCCTTTGAACATCGAAGTATCTAATCAGTAAATTACCGCGAAAGCAAGGATCATCATCAGCCCTCTCCTCTTCTTACCAGGACTGTTACGATATGAGGCGGATCCCACCCCGGGCAGCTTGGAATGAAGCGAGCCAGGCCCATTTTGGCCCCTGTATGTGCAAGCGCTTCTCCTTATGGAAAGGTCATCAATTCCTGGGGCCGAATGGAAGAATTAGGCCGCCAGTGGAAGATTCAGAAAAGCGGTCTAAGGTCTGAGCAATGCCAATTGGCTACTATTGCTGTCTACTATTCATCGTGGAAGTGACGGCTGTGCCGTATTCGGTACAGGGCGTTATCAAGACCCAACAAGGCGATATGGCGGCTTTTGATCCCTTAGCCGATAACAGTCGCATCGTTTACGCGAGATGTGCTGAAAAAAAACGTAGCACACCCTTCCCACCTTGGCGTTAGGCTAAGTTGCACTAAGAACAGCGGTTGTTGGTTGGTTCCGGCTAGATGGAAAAACTGATGCCCACGGCAAAGCCGTCTTAGAGGCGCCATCGAGTGGCGTTCGTCCAGACTAGACTTCGTAAAGCGCCATACCTTTTTTTTTTCGCAATACTTCGAACACTACTTGAAACTACTAACGAAGAAGACGCTGGTTGTCGGCCCGCCCTGACAGCGGGATGTTGTTTGCGATATCGTGATATGTCAAATTCCTCAACGTGAATCGCGCATCGGGCATAGTGAAATATAACGCATAAGTGCTGCTTTATTGGGCCGCAGACAGGTCCCTCTCTGACTTGATGACATGTTTAATGGTCCTAAGCTGCGCCCCCACCAGCGAGGTCACTGTGTACGCAGCCTCTTTACTAGCGGTGTTAATGCGTTTTGACACGGAAACCCACTGACTTGGCTATCTGAACAACGATCGGCAAGGGAAAGGCAAGAAATTTTTCAAGGTCCGATAACATTCAAATACCGTTTAGAAATTTGTATCTCCTTGCCATTGAGGTTGGGAGACCCCGTACGCATGCTCCATCCTAGACACCATCACCTTTCTTTCACTAGCAAAAGGACGCACCAAGCAGCGAATCATTGCCACTGCAGGACACGTGGGGTTCCCAATTGGCCACAGTAGGCGGCCCGATGTTCCTGGTTCAGTGGGTAAGGCAAACGGTGTGTTTGCCCTGCCACCTTGACTGTCGACGTCCGTTCTCCGAGACGCCCAACAAAAAGGGAGAACAATACGTTCGCATATATCTTGAACCTGGATTCTTCATCAATATAACGACCGGTAATCGACGAGGTATTATGCATAAAGTTCATGCACCAGCGCAGTTGCCCCATTTCGCCCACGACTTGGCCATCAGCGTTGTCGACATTTCCTACTAGCACTGCAATGCTCCCATTCACGTAAATACAATGAAGGAGCTTAACACCGTACAAATATTCCGTTCCATAGTAGATAAAATATGTCTAGAAACAGTTTATATTAACCCTAGCAGAAAACCCCCGTGAGTCTGGTTCTATCAGTAACTGTCGCCCATAGCGGGTTCAGTTAGTCAATCATTATCATTCATACACGCGATTTATCCCTCTAGGCTCGTTTAGGACATAATCTAGTGAGTCTGTATATCTTTTCTTTCGTTCAATATTTTAACGAAGACGAAACGTGAATCCGTCTATTATCCTGGCTATTCTCCCGGAAGAAAATAGAACACCTGACAACCTCATATCGGCTAGTTTCGTAAACTCGGAGGCCGTCGTCTTCTTCTCTAGAATTTACAACAAACGCCATACCATCCACAAAACTAGAAATCTCACCATATACTAATCCCATTTATTCCCCCAAGTCGATAGTTTTGCGTTATAGACCCTGGCTTGCTTGTACTTGATGTTACTTTCCTTAACGCCAATGGCTCGCGCCAGTATAGTCTCTTGGCAAAGTGTGCCGTAAAAGAAATACCACATAGGATATTCATTTGGATCCGGGATAGGTATATTAGGCAGCCGAAAATGTGGTAGCGTTGTGTCCACTCCAACGGTAGGGTATCGAGAAGAACTAGATATCTCCTTGGAAGCGATAGAAACTCTCAAGAAGGTGAGTTTGGTGTTTCCTTTCCATACTTCAGTGAGATTCTTCTTTCGTATACCAGTAAGTTGGCAAAATTGGACGCTCGTTCCGTCCTCATCAATACCAGGAAGTGTCGGCAGTGGCTGCGCCAAATTCAGAAGGCTCTGGATCGCTGAGCCAGATGGAATAGAATGTTCCAACTTAACAAGATACACAGCCTTGTCATTAGCTGATTGAGAAGGTCGTTGGTAGTGTGAACATCAGTGGTTAAGACTATACTCATAGGATTCTATGTCAAACCCTTGAGCGACTGTCTTCCTTGATAGAATCCCAAGCCAAAGTTGAAATCGACCTTCGCGAAAGATCCATACGCCATTCGCTAATTTCCTTAATAGCTTCTATTTCGGAAAGTTCAAGAAGATCTTGCCAGCGCTGAATAGTCGTGGTCGAAATATTATCCTTCTTGTCATAGCTGTCAGACTCTACAGCAGTAGAGGCAAGCGCCTCACAAGCGGCAAGTAAATCCATACAACTTCCAAATATATTAGCTATAATGTAATTATAAAACTGCTCAGTACAAGTATCTTACTATAATAATATGTACCGATAATTTTGAGCGCTATTGAAATGATCGCGAATAGGGAACAGTTTAGTCGGCCGAGAGTATTCCAAGATCGAACATCTAAAGTGGTGAGCTGAACAGAACCGGAAGAGAAAGAAGGTCTATGTAGGTACATGAAACATCTAGGTCTGATTTTAAGTCTTTCCTGGATAGAAAGTCTTTAGCAGCCCTACTCTTTAAAAATTTAACTCCCAAGTAAAGTTTTGGTAAAAGCCGAACCTTACTTCCCATAAATGAACAGTCTAATCATTATGAAACGATTTCGTCAGGCCCAGCAATATACCAAAACGACGCTCTACTACTCTTCGACGAATAATTGGGGTAGAAAAGTTAAATACTTTGTAGCCGAAGCACTTCACTCTCATTGCCGGTAGATCCCATCCTGTAGTTCAAGAACTGGCCTTTGCTGAAGTCCATCCACGCTATCAAACATTTTACGTAATTTTATTCAATCTTATCATGCCTTTGTGCACAAAGCCATATATGGAGACACCCCTCGTAGCACCAACTATGCACTACAGTAGATGGGCTTCACGTCACAACTCAGTCCCCGTCAAACAATGGCATACGGAAGCACATTAGAAAGAGGGTTTGGTCATTTATTCGGATTTCTTTTTATGTAGCAAGGCTAAATCTAGCTTAATCTGCCAAACTTTGGGTTTTCATTCTCAGCTCAACGCAGGAGGCATCCGCGAGCGGAATGGCAATAGGCTTTTCGAGGCTCATGTTAAGCTGCCATCCATTAGGTACCGCGACATGTGTGTTCTTCAAATGATCGGTGATTCGCTTCGCTAGGAGCATACTTAATGCTTCTAAAGTCTCAAAATATGATTGTGACAGTTCCTTTGGAATGTTAGCTGAGAATAAAAAGGAGTTCCATCCACTGTATGATGCGCTCACCTTCACGAAGACCTCTTCAAGCAAGCAGAATGTATCTCCTGCATCATCCAATCCGTCAATTTCAAGGTTTGCAATAACGACTTGCTTTGCCAATCTTTCATTGCTGTTGACACCTATAAGGGTTGGAACTCGCAATTCGCGCAGCTTTAACGACTGTGTTCTAGCTGATACGACGACTCCTCCATTAATGCATTGAAACGAAGCAGCTGTTGCGATACTAATGCCATCTCCGAGCAGTGACGCCTTCGGTAGATCGGCAACAATCTCCAAGCTAGAAATCGTAGCAACGTTGAGGAACGGCTGTCCTCCAACAGGCTGTTGCGGTACTCCGAATGTATCGAACCCGCTCAGATCAATCCACACAGTATCTAAAACATCTCTCAAAGATCTATCCTTGGGTTCCTGTGCTATTCGATTGAGAATTGCCAAGATTGCCTTTGCGAGAAGACCATAATGCACGGTATCTTCAGAAAGGTGGTCGGTTGATGATGATGACGTGAAAGAGCTCTGAAACCCCACGCTGGCTGAGATGGTGAAGGGCTGTGGCCGGCTAGAGCGACCCCATGCGTCATGAGGGCCTGTTATAATAGATCTGAGATTCTTGACACGCACCACAGAGGTGCAAGTAGCGACGGAGGCTGAGAGGTCTTGAGAAAAGACGAGACGAGACGACGTCATGGCAAGGGACGACGGGCACCCTGTTTGCGACTGGGGGTAATTTTAGTGGGAGGAAACTTTGGTTCTTAATACACGATCTCGTTCTAGCTGACTGGCGCTCATTAATTTTCTCAATTATCACGCTGTGATGGCAATGAAGGCGGTCATTTGGGGACACCAGTTACAGCGAAGGTCAAAATGTGGTGGTGGGGCCAAAAGACTTGAGTTGCTCCCTATCCCAATGTGCTGAGCGGCTCAGTTAATGAGTAATTTTGCATTCATTGTCACTTTATGTGACATTCAACCCATTATAATCGGCGTTCTCGATAACAAAATTGAGATACTCCCATATTATGACAGTTATTGGAATATTGGGATGAGCAGCCATAGCTGCGTATACAGCGTTGGCGTTGCTCACGTCGTTACCCTGCAACAGTCGTGTATGGTTAGTTGGGCACATAGGCACAATTCTTCAGCCTTGCTGAGCGCTTGATCCAAACAGAAACATCCGCTATCGATTATCTAAACGACTAGTCCAATTTTATAAAGTGCATATTAACCCCTGGTAACCTAGCAAACACTGTACGGCTGTCACGCCCTTTATCTACATACAGGCTGCACAATGTGCCATTGTGATGGGACACTCATCTACGCTACTAGACAGGCATTTATATTAGACTGGCGTTTTCGGGACTATGTCTTGCCGCGGCACTTCACATGGATAAACTGGTCACAAATGTGATCAGCAGCCTGGATCCCGTCTCTCGCAGTCATTTCCGGCTCCAAACACCACGGCTAAAAGCCACGACCGAAAATGTGGAGATAATAGCCAGTAAGTTACTTGGTCGTGTCTAAGAATCACCCAATATCCATTTTCACAGCCCGCTGGAACAGTTCAACAGAGGCTTGTTTATATTAGCCCCTCAGCGGGTCAGCTCTATGGCAATCAGAGGTGTATCTTGGATTTCGTACTGAATGTTAGGATTTGATTTAACCTAGAACACATAAGAGCTCGCCAAAGGCGCGTAGTCCGACATCCAGACCGTTCACAAACTCGGCTTTTGTTGTTGGATGGATCGTTTATGTCAAAAGCAACTGGTCTATCGCGTTCGTCCAACGCAGAATAAGGAGCTTAAACGTCCTGTAACTTTAGTAATTATCTGGATTTGAAGCAAAAAACAAATTTAACATTGAAGACTAATTCTGTGTCCGAAAAAACCTCCTAAGTAGCAGGAGCAAAAAGATTGCGCTGCCAGAAGTGAGGTTCGAACTCACGCATCTCTCGATAATGGTGAAATTAAGTAAAACTTAAAACCATCGCCTTAGACCACTCGGCCATCCTGGCTATAGCACCTAGCATCTCCGTTATTTTATACTATAATGCAAAGGGAAAAATGTGGGCCGCGCTCGTGCTGACTGAACATTAAATGTTCGTCGTGGTGTTGGCTATGCTAATTATGCAGCACTTGTAACAACGCCTAAAACATCATTAGGACTATTTTAAATCACATATCAACTCAATGGAGACGGTTGGAGCAGACTCTACGGCGTCCCCAGTCCCGACTGAATCCAATTTGCCCGATCTCACCGTTTATCAAAGCAATCCGCTACAACGCGGCTCAACGAACGTACAACACGCAGCGAACAGCTACTCCCAAATAAGATCATTCGCATTTTGCAACCTACATGTATATTTATTACCCTGGTAGAAGCAGTCGAGGAGGACACAGTGCCAATATTATTGCCCATAACAATGGTTGGGGTGTTTGTATTGAGTCACGCCTCAGGCGATGCGGGGGTGTAGTACCGTGGGTAAGGCGCTCAGCAATTTAGCTGCCACCCAAACTCGCGGCAAATGTAATCCTAATTGGTTGACGCTAATCATTGCTCTGAATTGACCTATCCCACAGGTGACTTTTTGGTGGCCACGGCCTCTGCCCCTGTTTGACCATTGAGTCACTGATTTTGGTACCTGCAGATTGAAAGGTTTCAACAGTGTGCTTCGACCACCCCATGGTCTTACCCAAAACTGTTGCATTAGGAGAAATCTGTCGGTATGAGGCGGTATGTGGGAAAGGCATGGGAATTCGGAAAATACTTTACCCAACGGCAAACGTCTTCATGATGAGTGGCTTCATATACTACTAGCAACTCTCGGTGCTGAAAGCAAACCCACCTCGCAACGAGGCGTAAGCACCGAAAGCCCCGACTTGTTCTTCTAGAAGGCCAAACGGCTGACAGCAATTATCCAACTGGTCAAGCCACGCCTACCCCACGAAACCCACGCACGCACGTCCTTTGAGGCCCGAGCGACCCAGAATGGGCGAAATGCAGCCTTCATTCCCACTTGCATCACCTGCACAGAAACTGCGACAACAAAACCCATGTAAAGCAGGCTTGGCTTTCTGCGAACAGACCTCTCCCCCGGATTTGACTAGGTCGCACCCGTCTCGTCTAGGACTGTGGGGAACATCTCATGAATCATCGTCACCGCCATCTGAATCAATAAACAGGTCAGTTCGCTTTTTGATGGTGTGCAGGATAGTCACTGTAATCAATCCTCCGAAGACCCTCTGAACTGCGAAAGACATTACCGCGAGATGGTCAGTTGGCCGAGCCAGGCGCTTTGACAACCATAAAACGCCCCAACTATGTAGAAAAGGGTGTAAGGTTTCTTCTCTTTGTTGAAGCGGCTTGCATTTTGCATAGTTTCTTTGAGAGGCTTGCCTGGTCACGCAGTTCGGCTCTCACTCGCCGAGGTCCCTGCCAAGCGCAGTGACGGTTACCTAGTCTAGCATGTGTTAGCGTGAAGACAGGGGCCGCCCGTCCTCTAGCTGCCGAATGCAACGGTGTTTTCCAACGCTAACAGATCCTGGTAATGGGTAGATCCTTCTGGTTTGGGGGTAGTCTATTTGCTCGTCCGTTTCACAATGTTGTCGTCACAATTGCCCAAAGAAAAGACGACTTTCAATGCTATCAAGCTATGTGACTGGTGGGATGGTAGAAGCGAATACGACCAGCGACTGTCGATCAGCGCACATGGTGAGGCGCAAATCCTCGCTGCAGCCACTGCAAAGTTTAGGGACGCCGGCTGCACAAACACACTACCCATCTGCCCCACGATGCCTCCCGCTTTGGTTATCTCCTCCGCGGGCAATCTCCACCGGATTTGCTGGACTGGTAAGCTTGGTGCTGCGCGCAACCAGCGTGGATGCCATGAACGGATTGCAGGCCACTTCGGGTACCTTTTCTCAGCCAAGCTCAGGTCGCCGTTGTGGTGCCATATGAAGTGGCAATATAACACCAGGCGACGCATCAACCATTCAGCTCCGTCGGTTACCCAGCCGAAACTGTGCTTTGCCGCCGACCGACTCGCGGGTTGCGCAATTGCCCAGTAGCTAAATCTTAGTGGCCAGTGGCCTCTATGAAGACGGGGCGCCGTAGTTGGCTGATCTCCTCAGCCGTCAATTGTGGACGCTAAACCTGAACTAAGGATGCTCGTTGGTCGTCCACCCTGGCCACTCAGAGCGTAGCATTCGTTTACTGCGATTTCACAGGTCGGACCCGGGTTTATTTTCAGCACACATCTCAACGATAATCAAGACTTACCTCACTTTTGCTCTGATTTATTACGCCAGTGGCGTTGCCTACGGGCAAAGTGAATTGTGACTCGCGCGTGGGAGCCGCCTGGAGGTGTGGCTCTTGAGAGCCTGACTTTACACTGTGCTCATAGCAGCCCCCTCTAATGCATGCAGTTGGTTGAGAAAGGATAGAAAATCTTGATGGCTCACTACATGGGATGCTTCCAAATCATGCGTTTCCGACGACAATCTCCGTCAGAGTGCAGGCTGTGACTGCTACTGCCTCGGAGGGGTCGCAACCTGCATCCTCTTGGTGGTCCATGCATGTCTTAGACAGCATCGACCATTTTCCATTTTTGGGCTACTGGAAGGTGACTAGAAGCCTTCACAGAGCCGCAGGTGAGGGACACTATTCCGCTACTCAATGCGGTTGGCTGGCTGTATGCCACGGCGCTTTCCCGAGGAGGATATGCACTCTTTTTGTCGGACCTACAGTAGCTAAGCTATCAAGTCTTGTCAGCGCTACTCGCCGCTGGAGGTTCCAGCTAATGTTTACGAGTTAGATAGCTGAATGTGGCAACTCTGCAATAATGGCCTTGCCCAGACATGCGTCGTGTAGTGACGAGTACAACGATTAGCTGAATACGTAGTGTACAATGTTCTTTTGTAGTAAATAGGTACAGCGTATTAACATGTGAGATTTGCCATTGGAAACCGAGCCATTGATCCGCATAACCAATGTTCGAAGCCACCACATCCAGTAGTATCAGTATGTTGGCTTTCGACATGAGGTTGTAACTTCAGATCGCTGTTATAGTTTCTTATAGAAGGAAAGGAGCATGGATGGCCTGGAAAGCCTTGTGACTAGTGCTATAGCATTGGGCGTAATCCTGCTATAGGCTTATCTGTGTTGAGCAAACGCCCGATACTAGCATCCTGAACGGCCCAACCTGGATAGTAGCCCCGGTGGATACGTTACCACCACACTGGTACACTGTCTGCAATCGTTCTCAATGTTCTCGAAGCCTCTCAAGCAGACTTTAGAGAGCGCCGTGACTAACCACTGGGCTATTGTGACGATGAAACCAGGGCTGGTGCGGGTAGTTTCATGCCTTCAGCCTGTTTGCTTTTGGCAATGTTTGTTGGCCGACACAGCGCATTGTTTGGAACTGCCGGGCTACCCAAAAATAGAATATCCCAACCCTCTAATTCCGAAAGAGAGTTTTAGAATTGGTTATATTTGTGTGAATCATATCTTCAAGAGTTATGGGATGAATTGGCGTTTGCCTGTGGGCGGAGGCCGGACCCGAGGCGCATGAACCACTAAGCGGACCAGCAAGGTAGCGAGCGAGCGAGCACCTGGAACATCGGTGCGCTTCTGACAAAGACACCCAACCCTCTAGGGGCGTACAGATGAAGCAGCGGGGGCATTAAGGCAACGTTATAGACGAGCCTGACAAGAACGTCAGAGCCCATTGCCTGGGTGGCTTTTCCTTGAGTCCATAATTGATGGCTGTATAGACCCACTGGTAGCAACTAGTATTGGTTTAAGCCGTACACACTGGGTGCTGCCAAGCAGACAGTGTCCTGCAGATTTTTTTTGCTGCCGCCACTCGCTCTGACCTGCATCGTTGCCTTGCCATTTCTGGTTGAATGCTCAATAATTGTAGCCTGCCTCTGTAGCCGTATTCGACTGCATATTACACGCAGCATGCCAGGTACGTGATGCAGAACAGCGGAGCACCGCCGTGTGCTGCGTTCCACTACCATGCGCCGAAGAGCCCCGTCGCCCGTCTTCCGACCACTTGGGGTCCAGGAACCATCGACTTGTGTTTGCGAAAAAAAAAAGAACTCGTTCCGTGGCTTTCTGTAGAAGCCTCTGGTCCCCTGGGCGGGCCGTACTGTACGGCACAATGTGGGAACAACGACGCCACAATAAGGCACGACACCTTGTCGGGGTGGTTTAGCAGAGCGGAAGAGAAACGCAAACACCAGCCAGCGTAGGCTGACGGCTCCTGAACGAATAGAGTTGCCCACGTAAGCACTGCTTGGATACGCTTTGCGTATCTAATGGCACTAGAACCAAAAGATAGAGAGGACGATGCTTGAAAGTTGGTGTTTCTTGGTCGTTCGTTGCTGTCTTCTTCTCCTTCTCCTTGATTACAAAACCCAGTATCAATGACCACTGGCAGCGCTAAAACGAGGGTAGTTGACAAGCAATTGGAACAAGCCAAGAATTTCTGGAGCTTGAACTTGTTATTGACTATTAGAGCTGGGCTCCGGTGTAAAGAATTCAAGTACCAACAATGTCATGTCCAGGCATCCAATGAGCCCAAGTCACCTTACCTACCATATCCATATCGCGAGCGGCGAATGGAGGTCTTGAGATCATTCCATTATCGTAAAACACAGAGGCTACCCAGTCACTTGGTTTGTCTTACCAGCGGCACAATATTGTATCGACCACGACTGGGTCTCGTCTTGGACCTGTCATGCTCCAGCGCAAGGCTCAGCCCCTGCTCTATCAGTTATTCGACCCCAGCTGCTCCCCACAGAAGCTTGACCCTCTTGAAGAACAATGGCTTGGGTACGGTGGTCCACTGGTGCGTGCGCTGCACCAACCCACACATCCACTACGCGAAAAGCCCCTACTGTACACGACGCCTCTTGAAGGGGCAACTGGCGCCGGGAGGGGGTGGGTGCCACAATGGCAGGGGTGCCCAGCGAGTGCGTTTCTGGCACTGTACGCACCGCAGCTCTAGACCAGCACCACCACCGCCCACCTCTCCCACGCCTTTGGATTTATTATAAGCATGCGCCGTTGCCGATTCCCCACGTTTTGGAAGAAAGAAATAAATGATGTTTTCTGCTTCCCTACGACGAACCCCGGCGAGTGCCTGCAGTTAGTCAATCTCTTAGGAGTACAATACCAAACTGCGACGCTGTACTTGGGCCTGTCCGTCAACCTAGCACACGACTGGTATACGCTCTGCATAGAGCTCACCCTTCTAGACTCAGCAAACTCCAAGACTCTCTATCAACAAACATACTAGATCCCCAAGGTCTGGAGTATCGGGACAACAACAGTCCCATATTCGCAATAACTGCAACATACAGCGCTTTTCGCTATCCAGCTCTTGCGACAGCCAACCAACACACACCCACCGTCTCAGCCTGCGATTGAAACGATACTTGTTTTCAGCTTAGCTTTTCATCCGACATCTTTTACTTAAAGCTACCGAAAGCACAATGACAGACCTATTAAAGTTGAATCTGTGCCCACCGCCCTTTTTAGACAGCCGAAACTTCACAAATAGTGATGGATGTAAGACACATTTGGCCATTTTGTATCCGCGCGAACAGCTATACTTATCAAGAGACAGTCATTCCTGGTCGACTTTGCGAAGAGGTGGCACCTGGGATCAAATGCTGTCTGCCATGCCCGTTGACCGACTGGGTATACCCAGACAGCTTCAACACCTTAACTCAGGTGGCTAACTGGGCATCGGCGGTCAGTGTTATATGCCTAGTTTTCCTATTATTATCATGGGCTTGTTTGCCAGTTGATAAGACAAATCGCCACTACTTGAGTATTTGCCTTAGCATAGGCGTGCTTCTTATGAGTGTAAGTTTTGACTCGCGCTGTCTGTCTACCACGATCGCTAACTGTTACAGCTCGGATTCGTAGTCCCTCTAGCAGCCAAACCAGACCAATGCTTCGACGAAATTACGCCGCATAGCATGAGCAGCAGCAAGGTCTGCGGTGCTTCTGGCTCTCTTCTTATTGTAGGAGGCTGGGCTGGAGTTATGTGGGCATTTCTTCGATCACTGTCTCTCCACCTACAGATTTGCTGGCAAGTCCTTGTTGGACGCAATTTTATGATTTTTGCACAGTTTGCAGGCTGGGGCGTACCTCTTATTGGTATCACTTTGGCGCTCGTCTTCAGCGGTGTATCGTTCCGCTTCGGCCCTACCTGCCACATCAACCATCAAAATAGTTTGGCCGACTTATGGATCCCGCTTCTTATTTTCGCCGGCATCACTGTCGTTTGTACATTTGTAACATTTGGTTACTGTGTCAAAGTATATCTCGCATCCTTGGCCGACTCAGCGGAGTCGACAGAAGGTTCCAACCTGCCAGCATCCACCAACAGCATCCGAACAATGACACCTCGCCAAGCGTATCGGCGGGTTCGCCGGGTTATCGCATTGCAGTGGAGAGGGATTGCCATCGTTCTTATTATTGCTGCCGACGTGATCTTCTTCTCCATTATCTTCGTTTTCCAAGATAACGTCGTGCAATCGGTTAGCACAAATCCCAAGAAGGCGCAAGCTTGGATAAACTGCTTGATTCAGAATCGTGGCCAAAAGAACATGTGCCTCGAACAAGCAGGGTCGCTAGCAGTGAACGAAGCTACTGTTGGAGCCGTGCTTTTACTCTTAGCTGTAAGTCGAGCTGCATTGTATCCTCTATATCAGCCTACTAATAATCGTCTAGCTCAACGGCGTCTGGCTCCTCTTTCTACTTGGAAGATGGTCTATGGTTACCGGGTGGATTGACCTACTTAAGCTACCTTTTACAAAGGGTAATAAGAAGGAATTTGTTTCTGTGGATGCTCGAGCCGAATCAAAGCCTCCAATGACCTCGTATGAGATGCTGTCGAGGACGCCAAACTCACTGCCAATAGCCACAAGAAGGCAGGATCGGCATCCAACCCCCGACTATTTCAAGCATGACGCTCGCGGCTACACCAATCCTGGATCATACTCTAGTCCTCGTCCACCACCAAGAACATGGGAGGCACCAAGGCAATGGGACAATAATCCCCAACAGTGGGTAAACCAACAACAGTGGCATACTCAGCAACAGCGATCAGCAAGCCCGACCACTACCTACTCAACAATGAGCCACGCCACGGAGTTTACTGCGAGGCCAACAAACAGCACTGACGAACTTAACCCTCTAGGCATGAACAGGATTTAGATTCCTCTGTGACAACATGCATTGCTGGGTTGGCACTGCAAAGGAGTGCTACTATCAGCATTTGGGCGGATTGTCATGGGCAAGTGGAGTGATATTACACCACTCGACTTCACCACTACTGTACATTTATTCTTTTTGTTCGTTTTCTTGGAGAGCGAGGCGCTACTGGACGGAAATTATGTGTTATCTTTAAAATTCCACGGTTGTTAAGCACTATTTGGTTGTATTTATTCTTTATATCTTTCATCACGATGCTTCAAAGTGCACTTTACAACATTGAAAGACCAAAAGTGGCACACCAAAGTGCTTTCGATTTACTTTGTGGGACACTACTCTTGACAGTTTTAAATATTCAATGTTGCCGAAAGTGACGCCGTTTAGCTTTGCCATTACCTGCGTTACGCTCTGCACTAACACGGACCACAGCCCCGAGGTACAGTAGCAGCGGGTATTAAGCTAGCCTGGGAGTACGGCGGCTTGGCGCCCGTCAGACTTGGCTGACAGGATCAGGTGTGTGGTCAGAGGGTGGTCAGAGGGTGAAACGGAACGGACAAAGGCGAAGGAGCACCAAGGTAGTTGAACCTGCGCCCAGCTGAAACGAAGCGAAGTACGTCATTGTCGCCGATTTGGAGTTTCTAAATGACATAGGAGGAGACGGGGGATAAATCATGCCAGACCCGCCACATGCATTCTACCAGAGCCAGCAGCTGGCCCGGCTATGCTCAAGCGTCAGGCGTCAGGCCAACAGTGGAGGCTATGGAAAAAGCCGCTAAGTGGGTGCACGTTGTCTGTGGAATGGCGATAGACTTTGCCATGGGACCAGATAATCCGCTTTCGTTGGGCTGTTGCAGGTAGCATTTAAGTTCTAGCTACTTAGCGTGGGGACTGCCAGCCTAGTTGGGCTCAGAGTGACCTATATACCGAGTACCTGCACTTGGACTTTTTTCGGCGACGGTGGTTTGTCCATCACTCTACCTGAAAGATTAATATTACCATCGCTGGCATCTCTGCTCCCAGAACTATTTATTCGATCTTCTCCAATCCGAAAACTACGCAACACCGTTGCTTGAGGTGTCTAGGTCACTTGCGCGTGTCATGAACACTGGAGCGTGATGCGCCCCGAGTGATCCGAGCCATAGCGCAGACACCGCCGGCTCTGCCGCGGCGGCCTTCCTACGAAGGAAAGTCCGGGAGCGACGGACGCTATATATTTCAGGCGCCATATCCCTTCAGTTCTTCTCATTTCTTGGCCCTCAATAGCCAAATTTCTTATTGTACCGGTTTTTAATACTGGTTTACCGTTATGTCGCCAGGCGGTGGTGGGTCAACGCCGCCCGCGCCAACACCCAAGGGGCACACGACCGAGGCCGAGCGTCAACCTTTACTTGCCCACAACCTACATCACCTTGACTACACCGACCTTCGCCGAAATCTTGTCGAACGACCATCAATAGCCTCCTTAGACGCCGAGGAATCTCTACTAGAAAGCCCAGTTCTGTCACGATCTGAATTTCTGGAGAAATTTGCACCTGTAGACCCTCAGCACAAGAAGTTCTCCAGGCGCAGGATGATTGTCCTCGTTTTGGGGCTCTGCTTTGTCGCCTTTGTATATTATGTGTGGCGCAGGGAGCTATATCTCGAAAGCCCTTGGTTGCCCGATTTTGAAAGCATCGAATTCAGCAAGAAGCCGTTACCCGAGCCGTTGCGGCGACACCTCGTCTCAGAATATAGCCTTCCGCTCCGAACCAAGGGCCGCGATGTCGTGGATGCCGCCGGCAAGCGATTCAAACTGCACTCTGTGAACTGGTACGGTGCCAGCGATGAACTGTTTGTCCCTGGCGGGCTCGATATCCAAAACAGAACCACAATTGCGAAAACTATCAAACGACTGGGATTCAACAGTGTGCGAATGCCGTACGCCGACGAACTTGTCACGACCAACCCGATCATCAGCGACCATCTTGTCAAAGCAAATCCAGATCTTGCTGGGCTGCGCGCCTTGGATGTCCTCGAAGCCTCTGTTACAGCGCTTACCGACGAAGGCATAACTGTCATTATGAATAACCACATCACCGCTGCGACCTGGTGCTGTGGTGCCAACCCGTGCGATGCTGGCTGGTCTAACGATCACCTAGGCAGTATATGTCCTATACGACAGACCGAGGAAGACTGGATTAGGAACTGGGAGACAGTTATGGTCCGATATATACATAATCCGCTTGTGATTGGCGCCGACTTGCGCAATGAAGTGCGCGGCCTATGGGGAACCATGCCCTGGAAGAAATGGGCCGCTGCGGCCGAGAAATGTGGAAACCGACTACTGAAAATGAATCCTGACTGGCTGATCATAGTTGAGGGCACAGAGTCAGCCAACGACTTGACGGGTGTTGCGAAGCGTCCAGTTCAGTTGGACGTGGACCATCGACTTGTTTATTCAGCGCATGTATACCAGTGGTCTGGATGGGGTAGCAAGGATGGGAGATTTGGACAGCGCAACTACGAGTCGTTTAAAAGGACGATGCGTGAGAACTGGGGCTACATCTTGGAGCAAGACATCGCACCTGTGTGGGTTGGCGAGCTTGGCGCTCCTCATCGACCAAGTGTGATGGACCATACTTATTGGAAACACTTATGGCGCTATCTGAAGTCTATAGATGCGGATTTTGGATATTGGGCCATAAACCCTCGGAAACCGAGTGGCAACGCTTACGAGTCTTATTCTCTTGTCAGCGATGACTGGGTTACGCCTGTTTTGGACTACCGGATGAAAGATATGCAAGATTTGATACGACTCGAACAGCAAAACTAGACCTACCTGCAGCGATCGATTTAGGATTCTGAATTTGGAGTTTATGAGTCATTCTGTTACAATAGTACTTGGGAGATCTTGGGACACTCGGTGTTTGTTTTTTACCACATCTTTGGGCATCATGGCCACGGTTACTTGCTTCTATTCATTCATACACCCAGACTATATGTATATATTAGATACACCTAGATATCCCTTATTTGGTCACATGTTTTGTAAATACAGTTAAGAATGAAGTGCTCTTTATCCTCGCCACTCGGTGTGAAGGCTACACTGTGGCTGCGATGGCCCCACCCACCAAAGACCGCTGCTCATGACCGTCAACACAGATGTCTCCACGCTCTCATCTTTTAACAGCTGCATCACTTAGTATCACCAGCACGCATGCCAAGGACTTATGATTGGCTATTGCACCTGAACTTGTATTAAACTCGTATGAAAACAGTGCGCCGTTGTGAACATGGAAACACCGCCCAAGACAGGGCCAGACAAGCGAAAGTTTGTCCCTGTCGACGTTGGCAGATGCTACAGGCAATCGGCCGCAGAGAGGGTAAGCTATCTATAAAAGACTACGTATTAGCCTATTTACCTGAAGTAACTGACTGAAATTGTATCAGTTTGGGCCAGAGGCCGAGAAAGCTATCCGCGACAGAGAACGCATCTCACAAGGCCTGCCAGCCTTCAGTTATGATGATCCTGTGCTTTGGCCGACAAATATCATTGAAGATGAAGCAGAAATAGTCGCATCTGTATTCAAAAAGATACCTTGTATGGCGGGCTATCGAAATAACTTGACGGCACTATCACACAAGTACAATGTATGTTTTGTCGAGCGGAAGCAAACACAAGAGCGCGTATTGATACACGACAGCTTTATTTTTCAGCCTATCAAGGGCAGATATTTGTCTATGTTCCAAGGAGTGTTCCTCGACAACGCCTACCTGCAAATCCTGATTTACGACTATATCCAACACCCTCTATGGTTGCTGCTCACATCGATGGCTCCTTGGATATGTTACACCCCCACGTTATTAACCACATGATTACTGGGTTTCTGGGCGACGAGGAGATCGTTGTAGTTTCTTATGACGATGGTGACGTTACGGCTTATTATACAAGGACTATTTACGATTGGATATCATTGAATGGGAGCACACCACTACCTCGGCCGACGGGTACGCGGCTGACGGTGCTCGAAGAACCGCCGTCATTCTTCTTCAGAAGCAACGTAGGAAAGTCAGCATGGGGGCTGGCTATACACCGGCAGTCTCATCTTATTGCTGTTAGCTCCAATCGCGCAGAAGTTACTGTGTTTGCTCCAACACTTGCCTCGCCAACATGGGGAGATTTCGTCAAAGCACCGAACAATAAGTTGGAGGCCAGTGTTCGTGAAAGGTCAGCCAATTACCGTATAGTTATTGGGTTCGGGGATGAAGCCGATAATATACCGAACATATCTTTTCTCGATGATTCTACGGGAGAAGCTACCATGATATGTGCCATTGACATCAATGGTCTCGTATGGTTTGGCGATATTTGGCGGCAGATGGAAGGTGTGCGTCATATTCCGACTCCTACGCATCCACTCCTTCGGAGTGAAGAATTTTGGCCGCAAAAATCTCGGTAAGATTGCTAGCTCCTCCTTCGGCTTGGAAAGTTCTCTGGCTAATACATTACAGAGGCTGGGGTATTCTTCCGCTACATGATCTTGATTTTAAAATAGTCGAAGATAAGCGACAGCTTTTTGGGCTTATACCTTCTGTTTCAGTCACGCCACCAAGCCACAAGTGCAATCAGCCCGTCTTGAACATTCACGAATGTGTCAGGGCGGTTCCGAACAATCCATGCCCTGTTAGGGAGATGCCATTGACAATTCTCTCTGCGACTCCGGAAACGATGAATATGAGCCTCGCTGGACCTAACATTCTACAAATGCTCTCCAACATTCTAGCTCAGAATGACTTGAATCTCGATAGTGAGGAAGGGGAAGAAAACGAGACATCCTCGGCCACCAACTCCGACATGCCAGACAACGACATGTCGGATGTCCCTTTGCAACAGCTTCAAGGTCCTCTAGCAACAATACCCTCAATAGAAGGGGGCCATTACATGACTGAAGGGCAGACTGTGCCGGGCACAGCTAGTGATGAACCCTTCGAACACCCAAACGACGACGACTCTTCTACAGAGGAGGACGACAACGACGCGGCGGGTGTATCTTTGTTGGAAGACGAGCACGTTACCAGCTATGAGCCTGATCTTGGTTTTGAATATGAGTTCGAAGACGAGCTAGAGGAAGAACTCGATGAGGATAATATTGATGTCGACGACTTCTCCGACAACGGACATACTTTTGATGCGTACAACGAGTACATTGACGACAATAGTAAGTCAAACAGCAATGAGGATACTCCGGACAAAAGGTTTACAAAAATGGCAGGCGAACCCATGTTTGATTCAGTAACTTTGAGTCGTGATAATGCAAACCAAGACTTGAGCGATATGGTCTATATTCCATTCAAAGGATATTGTTCTCCATTACCTACGGACACACAACAATTAGCGACATGGCTTCAACGCCCACAAGAAACAAATCGATGGCCCGCAGACCGGCAGACAAACTGGGAAAGTCTCAAAAGGCGGTATCGGATTCTACGCACATTTGAGAAGGATCTCGAGCTGCGTTCTCTGGACAAATCAGCATCAGCCTCGTGTGCAAAGGAAATGGCAATTCTTTGTCCAGACGCTGTTACATTCGGCCACTTCCAAGACCCTCTCCTTCGACCATTTTTCCGAGCTTCTAGCCGATTAAATATGCTTGCACATGTTCCTGAATTGTCAATAGTTGTGGTGGCTTCTCAAATTGGGCGGGTTTTGCTCCTGACGCCTACTAAACTACCGTCGGCTGAAGAAGACAACGGTATCGTCTGTCTCTACGGTATGCGACCAGAGTGTATACTCCCTCGAGAAAGTGACGAACTGCAGCCTCGCAAAGCTCGCCGACCTTTGCATGGAATGGCTATTGCTCCAATCCAAGAAGAACACGGCATCCGGCGTCGGGCCATGGAAGAAGCTGCCGCTCCGCGTCGCTTTCGACTAATGCTGCATTACCGTAATCATGATATTCTAACCTACGAAATTACGCGAGAGGAAGAGACGGATAAGCTCTGCATATTTTGAAGCCATCGGCCACCCTGCAGTTGCGGCTCATGTTGTGCCCGTTTGCTGGACTACGCAAGAAGACAAGATACTCTTGCCAAGTCTCACCTACGGGATGAACGCGTACATGAATGGTATTAGTTGCCTTTTGTCCTTTTTTAAATCTTTACTAATCTACCTCCTCCAGCTCAATTCCAACCAGTCTCCTCCCTGCTCAACCCTTGGTGTGTAGCATGCACAGAGCTCAGAGCCTCATTTGGACAAATACCCAACCAAAGCGCAGTTCTCAAGCCATAATTAAACTTAATTCATGGGCTATTATATGGATCATTCACATATGCAGTTTAAATCTACTGCAATTTTTGGCAGTATTTATTCTTATATGCCAAAGTACACCCTTTCTGTCGCACAGCCCACAGCCGCAAGCCATTATGGTAGCCCTCGGAAGACAAGAGCACCGTGATTGGCCTGGCCAGGTATATTGATAAGGCTAGTAGGAGCTGTGGAGGGGCGTGCGATTTTTGGCGGAGCGCAGCAGATCTTGTGGGGGACCAGCCGCTTGAGGACAATTTTTGCTCTTCGCCGAGACTGTTGCTTGGAATTGACTGTAGAGGTCGATCTACCAGTCCCGGTTCCCCCCGCGTACTCACCTCAATCCAGAGTCACTCGGATACAAGGATGTGACCTGATGACGTTCAATTGACCAACGCAATGAGACTTTTAAACAAGGCCGTTCTGAGGATGATGCCGCCAACATTTGAGGGACGGTCTGTCCCTTTGTCAATGAAGGACCACCCTATTACTTGCCTTGTCACTCTTCGAGGCTTGATCTTGGTTCAACGTATGGCAATGCCCTAAAGGCACGGAATAATGGACCAGCAAATGATACCCAGCCGAAAGGCGGACGCTCAGCCTGGCAAAGACGCACTGGTATACTTGACCAGAAACTAGCGGAGAGGCTCTGCCGATGCCCAGCATAACCAACCAGTCGCCGTAATGGGACGGGGGTACGTTAAATGGGGAAATGCCTCGGGGGTGTGTGTACTAAGTCCCTAGCCAGCATGTGAAACGGAGAACTGAACTCTCGCTTCGTTAAAGCTGTCCCTGATACACTGAACCGCACACGTATGAGACAAGGTGTTATGTGCAATTCTCTGCTTTTTGCTATCCAAGATATTGTTCGCCACCGAAGAGCAATTTTTTTGTTTGTTCTGTCTGGGGTAGTCGTCGCAGAGCGGGTGCCCAACTACCACTTGGCTTGGACGATGCTCCTTCGCCTCTTCTTCTGCTCAGGCCCCAAAGCGATAAGTCCGACAAGGAGGGAAATGGAAGCATGGCTATTGGTCGAGCCTCTAGCTAGCCGGTGGTGGGCTACCTTGTTCCAGTCACCGTTTCGCTCGGGTAGGCCAGGGAGGATGGTCGTTGGAAATTGTCACATGCGATGCAAGTCCACTTTAGGCGTATTCATCTCTGCACACAGGAGAGAGGCATCTAGCGTTTTTTTGTTTCGTTGCTTGTCCCGCGGAACAAACAGGATGGACAGAAGCAACGGCGGGGGAGGGCAGGCCGGTTTTATAGCCAACAGACAGGATCGTTGAGAACAGAGCGAACATCGCGTTGCGATAATACATCAACATGAGCCATCATTCGGCGATGATAGGCAATGAGACGCCAGTTCTGGCCGGTGCTGGTGGCCTAATACCAGTCTCATTGTGCTGGTGGTGCTGGCGCCAGGCTACGAGAAGGAGGGGGGTGTAAACGAGGAGGAACTGCGCTTATCTAGCGAGCGCTGAGGTCATACCACGCGATTGACAAGTTATTTTCTGCGCGCCAATGACGCTTACCCTTCCATGGCACCCCCAAGTCAGGCGGCTGTGGAGGGAGCAGCCGGCCCCGGTATTGGCAGTCTAGGGCGCAAGAGATAGGGTCCTTTCGGGATCTCTGAGTGTGGGGGTGGGCTCAATGCGCTAAGCTTTCTCATATCTCTGCGAAGATATGGGGCTGTGATTGGCTGGTGAGGGCCTCAAGGGGGGTGGCGGGGGAGGGCTGTCTGTCCACTAAATCTGTCAGTAAGAAGGCCAGGCAAAAGTTGGGAACGCGGCTGAGGCAAACGAGGGCGTGTTCAAGCATAAATATGTCTTTTCCACTCCCCTCATTCGTCTTCTAGGCCATGCATATATATATATTAATTAGAAATCATTGGCATCTGGGTTGATAGTAATAGGGAAGAGGGGAAAATCATTAATGCGGAATTTTTCGCGTCGGCTCCCGTCCTGTCGTCGCGTGGAGAGCCAGCACTTCACGCAAACGTTCCCCGCCAGATGGGATCGTGCGGAGTGCATAGGTATCGCGTGAGCACAACGACAGGCTTCAGATTGACCAAGTTTGGCATCCCTCTAACAAGCACAATATATTACAATATATTACAACAGAGACGAGACCTTCCATGTGTCGTCTTCTCTGTCTAGCAGGAAAACATCCCATCCCATGCATGTGCGGCAAAAGGATCCCGAGACCTAGACCCGCGTGTCGTTTGTTGGTCGCTCAGTGGTTTAGAAGGGCCACGTTTAATATCTAGCTTAAGAAGGTAGTAATTACCAATTCTTACAACTCTGTCAAGCGTTGCAAAAGTGATAGAGCTCATGCACCTAGTACTTTGTAAGTGGAATCAGTGGCAAGCATATGAATTTGTACCCTGTGGCATTGCAGTGGTGGTGGCCAAATTAGGCAATTCAGGGGATGACACCAGTGGAGGAGCATTGGTGTCCCGTGTCAGGCACATCGCAAGTCGCCGGACCGAGAATAGGTAGGGAGCAGGATGTGGAGAAATGTCGACAATCGTGGTCATCGTGGCCTCTATTTTGCTATTTTCCTGCTCTTGTATTGCTTTTGTGCGCATGTTTAAGCCCGTCGTGGTGATTTTGGGAACGCTACGGGCCTGCCGCGATGCCGCCCACAGCTGTTACAGGTACCGATGATCCGACCCAGCCAGCCCCCAAACTCTCTTTTTATCTGCTTAGTGAGCCTATCTTGCCCGCTGCCAGTCCCAGCGGGCTTCCATCACAGCAGGCGTGTTGGTTGCCAACACCAGCCAATAAGGTCTCACGTCCAGTAGCCTGGCAATGAATTCGCTTACGTATTAAGCATCTGGCTAATTTCGATTTTTTGGCCTTTTTTTTAAACCCTATTTTCGTTTCTGTCGCCCGTTCTCCCCTCGTCCAACACAGCCCAACGCCTATCGCGTGGCGGGGAACAGGCTGGTCTGGGGGAACCCACAACCACTATCAGAGGTTGCTCACTAGCTGGCACCCCCAAACTTGTGCTTGACAGAGACACTAGTCCCACACCCCTCTGCCAGCTGCCATCTTTCCCTTATCGCCTCTCTCTTTCGGTTTCGGGCTTTCCATGTGGTAGTTTCTTTCTTTTTGCCAAATGTCAAGGCCCAGGCCAAAAAGCCTCTACCGTCTGTAGACACACCCCTCTCGTTCTATCCTCATCGACCCGGCCAAGCTAACAGCCCAGGCCTAGGCGCTGCTACAGCGAGCACAACCGCTAGTCATCCCCTTGTCATGCTCCTTTGCCCGTATCGCTTTGCACCACTGGTGCACTGCCGGTGTCGCATCTCTTATATAGATAAAATCCGCATCCACGCCTGCTCCCACTCTTAAACTCCCTTTTTGTCCTATTCTCTTTTCTTCGTCTCCTTCCACCTCCCTCCCCTCGCGCGGATTTCTTTCTGCTTGGTCGTTTCATCATCTACGGCGATTGTTTTTAAGCTCAAGGGCCTACCTGGCTTCCCCTCGCCTTATCTACACTCCAATTCTCTTGAAAATCTGTCGGAACTATTGCTTAATAAAAATATTCACAATGGCTCCTTCCATTTTAGGCACTGAGATGCCTAGGAAGAGATCAGACCCTGAGATTGGCAATGACTCTAGTAGGTAACACCGTAGAGGCACTTCCTATCTTGACGCTAATTCCCCCTTCTCCTGTACAGCAACACACAACCTCAATCAACCATTTCAGTCCGGTGATCAGGCTTTCATTATCATCTGTGCCTGTCTGGTTCTCCTCATGGTACCCGGCGTTGCTTTCCTCTACTCGGGTTTAGCCCGACGCAAGTCCGCCCTGTCCATGCTCTGGGTTGTCATGATGTCCTTCAGCGTCATCGTTTTCCAATGGTATTTTTGGGGCTTTTCCTTGGCTTTCAGCACAACTTCCAACAACGGCTTCATTGGTGATCTTACACACTTCGGTCTCAGACAAGTCCTCGGCAGCCCTTCGGTGGGCTCAGCACTGATCCCCGCGCTTCTCTACTCTTTCTACCAGATGATGTTCTGTGCTGTTACGGCTTGTCTCACCATCGGAGCCGTTGCGGAGCGTGGCCGTGTCGTTCCAGGTATGGTTTTCACTTTCTTCTGGGCAACCCTGGTGTATTGCCCGCTGGCATTCTGGGTATGGAACCCCAACGGATGGGGCTTCAAAAACGGTATTCTCGACTATGCTGGCGGCATTCCCGTCGAAATAGGTTCTGGCCTCTCTGCTTTTGCCTACTCTTGGGTCCTTGGCCGACGAAACGAACGAATGATGATGAACTTTCGACCGCATAACATCTCGCTTATCACACTCGGAACGATTCTGCTCTGGTTCGGATGGCTGGGATTCAATGGTGGTTCTGCATTTGGTGCCAATCTGCGTGCTGTCATGGCTTGCTGGAACTCATGCCTTACGGCCATGTTTGCCGCTATGACTTGGTGCCTTCTTGATTTCCGCCTGGCTAAGAAATGGTCTATGGTCGGTTGGTGCTCTGGCACAATCTCTGGTCTCGTTGCTGCCACCCCTGCGTCTGGTTTCATCGACCCATGGGCTAGCATCATACTTGGCATCGTGGCTGGTTTATGTTGTAACTTTGCTACCAAGAGTAGGTACCTTTTTTCATGACTCCAAATGGCGAGACTTACTAATACATTGAAACAGTCAAGTTCCTGGTTGGCATCGATGACTCTCTGGACGTGTTTGCCGAGCATGGCATTGGTGGCATGGTTGGTCTCATCTTCAACGCTTTTTTTGCCAGCAAGGCTGTTATTGGTCTCGATGGTGTGAATATCAACACTGAAGTCACTAGCGGGTTCATTGATGGAAACTACGTCATTATTGGATGGCAGATTGCTGGCATCGTTGCTTCGTCAGCGTACGCCTTCGTCATGTCCGCAACTATCGCAAAAATCATTGACATCATCCCGGGTTTGAAACTCCGTGCCTCGGAAGAAGCTGAGCTTCTCGGTATGGATGACGATCAGCACGGCGAATTCTCCTACGACTACGTCGAGGTTCGCCGCGACTTCCTTGCCTGGAGCCCTCATCGCGAGGACCCTGCCGGAGACGGTGAGATCATTGAGCCACAGCATGGTATTGCTGAGCATGCTAGTTTGGTCCGACCTGCTAGCTCTACAATGCTCCCCGTTGAGAAGACATCTACTAGCCCCTCTTCGGTTCGCGACTTCAGAGAGAACCACGAGAACACAGACGTCGCGTCGATGAGGTCGTCGGCGCAACAATCGGAAAAGCGTGATTAAAATCTGCTTCATCTCCTGCATTTGCATTTGCATATGATTATTTTGAGGGTTCTTTTTGCATTATATGTTGTTCTAATTCTTACAAAGACTCATGTCCGCACAAGTTTTGGTGGACGATATTGGAAGCGGGTGTTTTGGCGTTTTGTGTTTTTTAGGATCGGCCAGTAACTGGGCCTACTGTTTTATTGACGGCATTGCCGTCTGATAGATTATCACCGATGCAGCAGGTGCATGGTTAAAATGTAGAAAATTTGGTATGCTACCAATCTTGAACCTCAATATCTTCCGCCCTACAGACTGCGTCAGTGAACACGGGAATATGTGTACAGGTTACATTCAATGTAAAAGTTATAAATTACAGAATATAGACAATCAAATCATTCATTTGGCACACCGTCCGTCACTCTTCCATAGCGTTCAGCAGGGTAATCGCCAAAACACGCAAAGTCAAACTTGGCCTTCTTGGACATTTCCTCTTGTGCCTTGATAAAAGCATCTAACTCACACCATCCATCCTTTCTCGTGATATCACACTCTGGGATACTAACACCCAAGGGAACAGTTCTTTGGTTAAGCACAAAGTGGATATACTTTGTTTGGCCTCCACGCAAATAACCGTCCCTATTTGGCGAAACTGGCTTCGGGGTTTGGATGATTTCCATGTCCAACCGGGCGCCAAACGGCGTCACATGAGCGACAGTGAAGTTATGAGGGCCAGGATATTCTGTCGCTGGGAGAGGCTCTGCAAATTGACGCAGGCCAAAAGCTGTAAGAATTGACACGATATTTGTGTCGTGTGAGAAGTCAAAATACAAGGTCTGGTTCAGAGGGAATGTTTCCTCGTTAGAGTCCAGTGTGGTGTTGATTTGGGAACCAGAGTAACCTAGAGTATGGTTTTTGAGACGAGCAATCACTTCTTGTTGGTAGCCAAGACCCATGGCCCTCTAGACATATCCTTAATAACTGACAGTAACGACAGGACAAATTGAACGGTACTTACGCCATTGGGGCTATGAAACGCATTGCTGGAAGAAAACGCGAGATCAATAGAGTAACCAAAATCGCGCCATTCCGTGTACGTGAAGAGATCGCAGAACTTGCTAAAACCATATGCTACAGTCTCGTACGGACACATAGTTTGCGCATCATACACGTCCTGAGCAGTCCACTCAAACCCCTTGGTCAGAGCGTTGAATCGTTTCGTAGCTATGGCATTGTTAAAACTTGGGCTGAGTATTTGGGAATCTCTCTATGAAGACGAACCATCTTCCAGATAAATATCGATCCATGTACCCCTGGCTTCGTTGCCAGACGACTTAACATAGGCATTGGGGCAGTTGAGTTCACCAGCGAGCGAATTGTTAAAGTGTTTTTCTTCGATGATGACTTCAATCGTTGCATTTTTGGTCCTGCGCGCCACGTTAGTAAATGAGCATCGCCACATAGGATATCAAAATATTTACCACTCTAGGCCGAAGAACCCAGCAAGCCAATTTTCCGCTGACTTGAGCATTCGGTCTTGTGTCTGTAGAGCCAAGAATGAGTGAGCAGGCACATACGAAGAACCTTAAAACCAACTAACCGTGGTGCGAACAATAATTTTGCTGGCGGGGTTGTACAGGCCGCCGTACATATAGCTATGCAGCACACCTTGGAGCTTGTAAGCACAAAAATCCAAGCCGAAATAGATCGATGTGATTCAGTCTTACCAGAGTTATACAGCTCCTGGCGCCCTCGGGGCACGAGAATCTCAAGCCCCAGGGCATACTTCCAGTCGTTCAGAAACTTGAGTGAATGGTGAAACTCGACTTTATCTGCAAGTTCAGCTAGGCGATGACCCAATCTCTCTACGCCTGTACCGGTCGTTGGGTACCTGGCGCCGTGGCGGGACAGCATCTGCACTTGGACGATCTCAGCACCATCTGGGATAGGGTACTCGTCGACGCCAAAGCCGGGCGAAGGTGCATACGGCGACAAATAGCCCATCATCTGAAAGATGCTCCTATTCCCTTCCTGCATTCCTTGGATCGGAATTGCCGTCTGTAGTGGTTCGTTGGGTACAAATGTGGCAGTCGGGTCAATAAGCCTAGTCTGGGCAAGAAATGCGGGCTTGCCAGTCGCGGTTGGACCAGCCCATAGCTGTGGTGAGGTCTGAAAATACTGCGGCACCTTTTCTGGGGCACATTCGTCTCGATGATGACGGCTTGGGAAGGCATACGGTAAGGAGAGATAGACATTAGAAGCAAAAAGTAGTAAAACGCATCCAGCCAAGACGAGGACCGCCGTTCGCCGTTCATGGCCGACTGGTCGGTGTGATTCAGGATTCACAGGGCTGCCTGCCTCTCCGTCATCCGCATTGGATGCATGCGATGCATCTTGTTCAACTGCGCGATAGCCACCAGAGTCGCCTCGGGGTCGCTTTGTAGGCATGGTCGCAGACTGGTCGTGAGTGGATATAAACTAGATAGGTGATTTCTAGTATGTCATACGCCTGGCTATATTGATACTCGTGTAGTTATTGTTTGTAGCTTTGGGTCCAGCGTCTGCGTGGCTTTGATATTCTTCTCAGAAGCAGCTGGTGTTGACGGTGACGCGACTAGCGGCCAGGTTGGTACAACATTCTCCGTGTGGAGTTGGCGGTTTCAGTGCGACACTGTGTAGTTCATACTGTGTCTTACCATCCCGCAAGACTCAAATTCTCTTGCAATAAAGCCATTATTAATTATTACGAGCGATCAGTACGGTAGGCCATAATGCAAAATCATATTAGACGTGTTGAACGAACGTTGTTTAAAGGTCTGCCCAAATCAGTAGCTTGGACGATTTTCTCATTACACTGTATGCAAAAGTACGGATATCGACTGTAGCTATGGCTATCGTTTAAATGACCATCTTGGAGGGACGCCAATCCGTTTCATATAATTGGCTCACATAAAACCACGGATTCTCATATTCGTGGCGTTGACGAAGGTGAAGCCAGGAAGTCTCTACACTCATCATCAGTGGACCAAGTACAACTAACAGACGACGGCCGTCTTACCATGTCTTTTAATAAATTCCCTTGATTTATACACAAAGTGCATCTGTGCCTCGCTCAATTGGGCAAGATGTCGTAATTCTTGATCTTTGCACTTTTCAGAGAAGGGATACATCCCTTTGTTGCAATAGTGGAAATGAGCTAGCAAGATATTTGCTCCTGGAGTCTAGTTAGTAAGTGAGCAATGCAGTGTTCAGATGATGGCCCTACCAAGATGGTATTCTTGAACCTTGTGCTCTCGTGCAAACCGACGCTGTAAAGTGAGCAAGCAATCAACCTCGCAATTGTCAGTGACTCGTACCTTCATGCCATGTTTCTTAGCGTAATTCATGTCGTGTTCAATAATTAGGGCCGTATTGTGTAACAAGATGAACTTGACCAGATACATGACAAACCAATTTCCTTGCTTGTTTTGAAAGATGGTGTCTTGGAGCTTATCAAGCAATTTTCTTCGAAGCTTCGACTGTATGTGATGAATCAAGATGACGTCTAGCTGCGCTCCGAAAACTGGAGGGATTGGTATTTTACCAGGGGTTGGGTTAGTTATATCCAAAATATCATGACGCATCCCCAGTTTCTCTTTTCCTATGATAAAGGTGGTTTTCGTCGATAACCGAACTGACATCCATAGTCTCATGGTCAAGTTAAGGAGGTCAAGCGTGTTAGGTAGAGTGTCGTGCCGGCGCGATAGATCCACTGCCTGTTGGTACGTCCTTGAGAGCATTCCATCCGGAGGGCCCAGTATAGACATAAATGCGTCATCCATACACTCAGAAATGTATCTCTCGTAAACATCTCTTCCTTCCTCCATGTCAATCAAGGCGTACGGGGGTACACGGACGGCCATCTTCTGCCCGTTGTAATCCCATGTCCTCTCAAGTTTATCCCCCTCTTCAGGTACGAACTGTCTCACACGGAATTGAACTCCATTATTTGAATATCCTTCGCAAATGGTGATGGTCTTGATCTCGGGTGATGCCCATCTCTGGATTGGATCCGATATGCTGTTATTCCATCTCTGTGTCCATTCGTAACCAGGGACCTGCCCTTGCTTATACAACATTACATCCGTGATCTTGTATCTCAAGCAAGGAAACCGACCTGCTTTGATACCAGTAACCCTCTTACACGTAAGACAAGGTCCATCTGGTTCATCTTCGTTTGCCTCACACTAGATGTATATCAGCATTAGTTCGCGATATCTTGAGTAGCCAGTAACGTTCATCGACTAGAACTCACTCGAATACGTTGCATTCGACACCGGATACAGGAACCACGCTTTCTGGTCTGCGCAGTCTGTTTCCGAAGCAAGGGATCCTTGAAGGGTCCTCGTTTCCCGCTTCGTATCGAAGCTTGTCCATTGTTTTCTCGCCCCGAATAATTTGGAGCAATGGGCGTGTGGATATTAGGGTCCAGATCACCACCTTCGTAATAATAATTTGAGATATCAAATTCGCGATTTAACTCATTCGGCGGAGCGGCGACTTGGTCATATCGAGATTGTGTCGCATAGTACAGAGTTTCGGAGTGCCTGGATTCACACACATAGGCAGGCGAGAGACCAGTTATATAATTCCCTGGAGCAGCCAAATGTCTTTCGGGTACTATATCCATGGGCATATCCTTATTAGCAGTCATCTTGATGCCTCTGGTAGCGTTATCAGACATTGAAAAGCCTGTTTCGTGTCCGATGCAACTTGGCGGCGAACTTGCAGGGGGTTGTGCGGCTATTGCAATTGGCTGGATATTCGGCTCATTTTCATTCGTAGAGCTCGAGTTTGAGCTAGAACATTGATCCATTGGCATTATGGAGTTCTCATCGATAAATTCGTCGACAGAAATAGAATTGTAGCATGATTTATCGCTTGTTAGGAACAGGTCATGAAGGTTATGCCCTTCAGTGCCTTCGGCTGTACCCTTTTATTAGCAAATGAAGAAAGATCCACAATCATTAGGGACTTACTCAATGACTGTAAGTTACCGAGTTCTTGATTATTATACAAGTACGGGAAATCAGCATACTTCGATACTGAATATGGGTCGTTGAGAATAGGTGGTCCGGCAGTGTGCGAGTGAATGCTGACTGTGGCAGTATTGTCGAGCAATAAACGTGACAGTGGTGATAAGGACCTATCTGTAGGCAATTGTTGGAGATGGTGTAGATTTGGGCCACTCCATATATTCCAACTCTCTGTGGGAAGAGTCTCACTAGAGTGTGTGATACGCCGACGTTTAGGACCTTGCACCGACTTTTGGCTTGCCAAAGTATTACCGGCGCTTAGATGCGTCTCGGGGTAAAATTCATTTTCACCGGATGCATCAAATATCTCTGCCAAAGAAATAGCTGGATTTTCGTGCATTTCTGGATCAAACGATGCCAGAGTATCGCAGCCTGCCTGGCTGGTAGTAGCGAGGCTGATGTGGTGGCCACTCCGGCGCTTTGGTGAGGTGTCAATAGCCTTTACCCATTAGCAACATTCCGTGAGTTTCGTTTTAATATTCAGAAGTGCTTTCAAGGTAGCCAGCCTTTCGTGTAACATTGCTAAGAAACGACAATCCGAGCCTGATTGTCACTTCTTTGGGAATTGTGAAGGCACAATTTGCAAAGACTTTGCGGTATCTCTCACAGCTAGGGAGGGAGGGAATTTGGATAAATATGCATACCTCTCTATTGTTATCCAACGTCATCTTCTGATACATTTCTTGGATGTTAGGATGAAACCGCTCGCTTGGTGCTCGTCAATGTATGCCGAGGTACCACTGTCGGCGGCAAGGTCGTAACCAGATGATCCCGGCACTAGGAATAAGTCCGTGTTATAAAGAATCACCGTGTCGATTGTATATGGAATATTCTGCGAATTCACTCCCGAATATAGGCAAGGGAATGCAGCTGTTGGGTATTTTGTGCTGTCTTTCTTTCGATTATTCGATTTCTTTGTGCTGTCCCCTTCGTTGTCAATCGTGGGCGATCTGAGCAGTATTGTGAAGGCGGTCAGACAAAAGACCTCGGAATAATCTTCCTGACAATATGTTGTGTACTGCTACGCGAAAAGGGGATACCAGTGGCTCAGTGACCAGCTGTTTGCTTCGGCAGGTGGCAGTACAAGAGGGAAATGCATAAGACAGGGGATAACCTGCAGGTTAGAGAAGAATCCGCCACTTAACAGATCAACTCTAGATTAGAAAAATAAAAAGAAGAAGGGGAATTGTGGTGCAGCTCAATGTCACAATAGCACTGGAATCGAGGCTGAGGGTGGCCAGGAGCCGGTGAGGATGCGAAGGCGAATTTGTAGTGTTGAGCCGAAGAAAAGACAACCAAACGCCACATTTAACCAACACGGCACTAGAGAGGCCTATGAAATGGCACTGAAACACTTGAGTAGGCGCAATTTGCGCCATGCAGAGTAGGAAATCCTATTCTTTGTAACTCTTCAACGGGAACCAAATAACGGAAGTGTCGGGTTCGGAACACGAAACAAATAAAAGCACAGTTAGTTTATTCATTGCTTAGATCAAACAGTTATTTGTTTTGATGCCGAGTTGAGATGCTCATACACACGCATGTCGTGAGCTACGGCGAATAAGCCGACCGAGGGCTCCAAGGTTTGCGCTGGCCAGATGACGTATTCTCACGTTGCCGCAGACGAAGCTACCAATTATAATGGTGAATTTCTATCACCTGAACAGTTGGGAAATAACTTGGTCTTGAGATGGGCGGCGGCCATGAACGATTGGTACCCGTCATCAAATGAACTGTCACATGTGCTTAGAGTCGGGCAAATCAGTCACGTACAAGCGTTCAGTGGCGAATACATTTTCAGCCAAAGGGATTGTCCTAGAATTCTCGTGAATAACTTCAGCTGAATCCTCCGAAGAGCCTCGACAGCGACGCACTGTAGACCGCAAGAGGCAGGCTGCAAGACATATTGCATGATTCGAATAAGCGGGACCGGTGAGAGATGTAGCCAATACGATGCGACAAGACCCCGGCCACGAGGGTCTCAAATGGAGCCAACTTGATAGCAGGGGCCGTTGAAGTGGTGTACAGTGAAATGCGTCGGGCCGTTGGAGCGTCACAAAGGGCAGCAGGCGTTTTTGGCAACATGCGCCTTCGTGACGGAGACTGACCCGGGCCGGGCCAGGAAGCCAAATCCCCTGTCCTCCTCATCAATTACGTGAGGTAATAGGCGTTTGCCGGCTGCCGGGTCATGCCAGGTGCCAGCCAACTTCTTGCCAGCTGGCACTACGCGGACACAGGTGCCAATCTCTGGTTGCCTGGTTTCCAACAGCCACTAGTCCCCATGCCTTTTTATATTTCCATAATACACGAATTTAATATGCCTGGGCATTTCTGGTGCAAGATATTCATATGCATAGCGCCCCGCGTATTTTCTCGTCGAGCGAAGTAAAGTTCCAACCTTCTTTTAACCGTTACAGTTCCCGATACCCGTTTCACGCTAACGGCAGCAGCCGAGCGCTAACTTCAGTGGAGCGTTTCCACCTCCATCCGTTGCGTTGGGCATCCACTGGTTGCCTGAACATTTAACCAAGGGCACTGAGAGCCACTGCGTCCCGCGGCCCTAATGCTTCAACTATGGTCTTACTATCTGCCGAGTTGCAGACATTAGGTTGCCGTGACCCGCTGTAGGAAGTGCAGAATTCAGCGCCCACGATAGGCATTAACAAGTCCGAAAGAACCTTTCTCTGTGCCGGAATGTACTTTCCAGGTTGTGCGTTGTGGAACTTTTGCGGAAAACTTCTTCAGCGCCAGGCTCTCATCGCAGCTTAGAATCTTTCACCTGGACTCTCCTTCAGTAAGAGATCCTTGGGGGTAGATCAGTATGCTCCAAATCAAATCAATTAACTATTCGATTATATGTCGATTAGTGCTCTTTCAAGATGGAAACCGTCGACCAATAGCATTATAACTGTCATCATTAACTATAATTTCCACGCGCGGACCACCGAATGTCCATCTAGAAGTTCCGTTATCTTTGCATCGATACACCCCTCTTTAAGACTCAAAATGACATACACACAAGCGATTCGAAGACATTCTCGTCGGGCAGGCCGTCTGCAGCTGGCCGTGTCAGTCACCATGCCAGACTGACGCGTGGCTCTCGGAGGAAGCTTCCGTTTTCCGGTGGGGCGATTTAACAATGCCAGGGATAGCTTATATCGTCCTACAAACTTGTCGATTTCCCCAATCACCTCAAAATTAAGTCCACCAAAAAGGGGCCGTCATCGATCGGATGCAGAAATTGGTACACCCGCTCACACCAACTGGCGATGGCAGAAGCAGCGGTCTATAAGCATAGTTCGTGCACTGAGTAACTATATGATGTGATACAGATCAAACTTACAGGCAATTGTTGCCAGCTCGAGACCCAATCCTGGCCATGTATTATGCGCTTTGCCGGGCGAGCAACCAACCGGTTGTGGTGCCCTGCCGTTTGCGAACGTGTTTCTCGGGTTTGTCCGTTTATTTCGAAACTCTTCGAGTATATCAAAAAGTATAAAGGCGGCGTGTATTGCTACCTGGCCCCTTTGGAAGCTCAAATGAAACTTACATGCTACTAAGCATTTCACGCCTAACCACCATGGATCTCAGCACTCAAACAACCAAGTCTGCAATTCTCCCCACAGCTGCATTCTCGAAAACGCACCATAATTATGACGATGAGAACCCTGAAAACAGCGAGCCACATTGGGAGAATTCTATTTTGAATCCAAAAAATCGGATAGAGAGTCTCTCACCACTTCCGAATCCTCTCTGGCGAATTGACGCCGTTGCTAGTAATGGAACCGACTTCTTCATAGTCCCGCTATTCATGGAAAACTTTCCATATCTACGCATTGGATTAAGTATTCCCGAGCACACGAAATTCTGCCGGCGACTCCAAGAGGATTTGATGATGAGCGCTGTATTCCACATGCGAGACAAGGTCCGAATTAACAACCTTCCGCTCACCCAGCATCTTCTCCGAATACTTCAACACTGGACTCTCTCTAATCCCAATTTTGTCAAAATTTACCAAAAGCTTCCTTGGGGATCGTCTTTGGTTGCTGAAAGTATCCCTAATGATGTCAAATGTGCCAAGCTCACGATCACACCCTCTCACCATGCCGAGCAACAACTGCTGACGGTTGAAGACCTTCAGCTTTTTTGGGGACACGAATTAGATTTACCCGAGCCTGTTGACATCAAAGACCTCCGCTACGAAGAACAGCTTCATGATAGCGTATGTGCTGTCTGGATCTCGCACAAACGTTACGCTTTCAAAGCCGTCACTACCCATACCAAGTACCTGTATAACGAACTACGACAGCTACTCTTGATTACTCCTCACGATAATATCATTTCACGACCAAGACATTTGATTGTGAAACCCAGTGTGTTCGGTGGCGAGCTGCTCGTAATTGGATTTACGCTCGATTATCACAAGTTGTCCTGTGCACGGGATCATCTTGGATTCTATCGGCGGCAAAATATTTCAAGTCTAAGGAGAGAGGTAAATTGGTGCTTGCAGATAACCTCGGCACTTATTCACCTACGCGAGACTCGCGGAACATATTATCCTGATCTCCGTTTAGACAATATCTTGCTCAAGGACAACCTAGATTTTGTCATGGTGGATTTTGAACAGCGCGGGGTATGGTTTGAATATGCTCCTCCAGAAGTCAATGCAATCGATATTATGTGTACGCTACAAGGAGATTCATCTCTAGATGAGAGGATTCGATCAAAATACAGATCCATCCTCGAATCTGTGATCCCAAACGCGGATATTCTGTTACGAGCTAATGAGTATTATTACTATACCAATGACGGGTTTAACATCCCTTGGCTCGCTTTGACAAGCAAAGAACGCGAAGCTTGTGAAGTATTCATGCTTGGCCGTTTGATGTGGTGTATCTTTGAGGCTGCTTGTGCCCCTCATAGCGGTTCCTACTGGGTTTCTTATGCGCACGAACTCGACTTTGACTTTCCTTTGTATCGTGCAACACCGCCAGCAATTAGAAATCTCATTGATTGGTGCACTCGCGGCCACCGCCAATGTCTGAGTGATGTCATCTTCCGCCAAGATGGGAGGGTAATCCTTCGAGAACATCAAGGCACGAACGCGTCAACTCCACAAGAGGTTCAAGAGGCAGCGTATTCGTTTTGGGAGAAAGAAGTACAGGAAGCAGAAGAATGGGTTTCCGAACGATCACGTCAAATCCAAGCCGGAACCTGGAACGAAAACTACTACCATCGGCCGAATCTTCGTCAGGTTCAGCATGAACTCATCAAATTCAATGAATCTGGGTTGGGCATGGATTGACAACAAGGAGATGTGGTACTGCCCCTTACATATTAGAGGTTCGTTTTTGTAAGTCACTACAACTCCCCCAAGATTTCTTCCCTAACATTTTTTGAAAAGTTTAGATTTAGGTGGAATCTCGCAGATTCGATAAGTGCGTTTTGCAAATGTCACATCATTCATATTTTTTGGCGAATGAAGTTGCTCTCTAATGCACTGGGTTTAATTAAGCATCTAGAGATGGCGTGAAACAACAAAGAAAATACATGGTCAAAAGGAAAAAATGGGAATCAGATAGATTTGAATTCATAATATGTACTAGAAGTTTCTTTGAATGCCGAAGAAGAATTGTTAGAAATTTAACAACGTGAACGAGTGTCATATATGGCCGTTAATCGGAAGGCCCAGGGCGTCTGTTATGTGCCTTTTATCTGGCCCTCTTGATCTTAGAAGACAGCATAGGAGACTGGGATGAACGCTTCCTGCCTCCGGCTGACGGTTTCCCCGCTCTTTGTTTATGCAAGGATGAGTTCAAGACTCTAAACTTGCTCACATACGTAGCCGGGGCTCCATGAATAGCGATTTGCTCAAGGATGGCTTCGAGATTATGCAAAAACTGGCTTGCAGCGCCAGGAATCAAACTAAGTTCGCCCACAACAAAGTTCTGGTCTGTGTCGCCAATGAGTCTCAAGTACAGGTTCCTGTCGTGCCGGTCCTTCCCAGGGTGCGCGTCCTTGTTTCGGCTCACCACGCTGGCGAGGATGTGTGTAAGAGCGCGTGCGGCACAAAGGGCCTCACCGGCTGGTAAAGGGTCATCTTGCGCAAAGATGTAAGAGCGGATTATTCGAATGACTCCATTAATATGCCGAGATGCCCATTCGACATTCTGCTGTGACTCCGTTGATATTTTGTGAACTCCAAAGAGATCAGGGGATGCTGGTGGACTCTGAGATATGAGGTGGTAGGACGAGGCAGAGTAGTTATCGAGATCGCGAAGAACCCTGTCAATTCTTCGAGAGAGTTTCATGAATGGGTCGTGAATGGCGTCGTTTGCGTTGGTTTTGGAGAGGACATATTGGAAAAAGGCGGCGTTGTCAAGTAGCATGCGAAAGACAGAGTAGTCGAGATCCTGGGGCTGGATAATGTCCTCGCCAACGACGATGGGATAATCGAATATGTCAGGACGGTCCATGTCGTCGTGGAAAGATGATATAATCTCTCGTGAGTCCTGGAAACGGCCATCGTCGGGGCTCATCAAGTACCCGTCTTCGTCTATAGAGTCGTCATATCCCACTGGCTGATTCTCCGGTTGCAAGTGCTGGCACCGGAAGTCCTGCGCAAGAACATCAAGATGATAATTGACGAGATTTTGAAATGGGTCACCCATCTCTTCTGCGTATCCATTAGAGTTCATGGTCAGAGGTTTGTTGTGGTCGTGGTCGTAGAGAGTTTGCTTAACCAGCTGATCTAACAGCCAGAAAAGATGCTCGCATGTCTCCCCCCCGGTTCTATTTGTATTACAAGAACACATTAGACGCTCGGATCCAGTGCTTGAAGCCTTGATCCGGACAGTTCGTGTGACCAACTCTGTCATTTGAAATGCGTAAGTGTCGTCCATCCTCCTGCATTTCTCGATGGCGATCTTGGGTGGCTCATTGAAGACGTCTCGAACCGCATTCTTCGTTTTCTCGGAAAGCTGGTCAATTTTATACGTCAATCTAGTGGGAGACTGGACCGTTGAAGGGTCTTCGTCATTTTCCAGATCAGAATCGTGATGAAGTTGCTCTTCAGGATTGGCAGAGGCTTCCTCCTTGACAACAGTGTCGTCGGTGATTATTGAGTACGGAACCGGCATTGGACGAGCCCTAGATCGAGTGGTCGGTGGCATTTGACTAATTTGGAGATTCCTGAGAGCAGACACGGGGGGGGAATTGGAAATGGCCGACATTGAACGCCCAACCCAACACGGGAAGGCGGTACAAAGACGCTTTTGATGTACAGCTTCCGAGGGATATTGCTACTCCTAGGCGCGAAGTAAGTAGCTTGTAGTTGCCAAGGAAAAGGTGAGGTGGAATATGGAAGAAATGCGGGAAGCCTCGGGCAGTGAGACGAGACAAAAGAGATCGCCTGGGGGAGGACGCCTTAGTTGACAAGACGAAGGTCAATCCACCAAGTGTTTGTCGACTTGGGAAAGCGCAGGACTAGGCGGGAAACAAGGCAGCCGAATCCCTAAGATGGAACAAAGGGGAATTGTGGCTGAAGACCAAAGAAAAGGTTGGTTGGTCCACGGTGTTGCGGGTGGACTGTAACTTGTCGAGCCCAGATTGGGGGTTACGCCGTCAGCCTTGTGTCCTGGGTAATGCCACCGCTGAAGGAAGGAAAACAAGGGAAATAAAGTGAGGAACAAAAGATGTCGACGTAGAACAAAGAAAATATTTCACTGTAGGTTATGGAGGGGGGCGGAACCCAAATGGAGGAAGGGCACGCGGCGGCTCTTTTATCACGGACAGAAGCGCGGAGCAGGTGAGGAATAAGTCAACTGGGCCCTGGGCCATGCCTGCACACCCCTCCCCCCCCCCTCCCCCCTCTTCTCTAATGCCTATCCAACACTCGCCTCTCCAAATGAAAGACCAAGGCTGTGGGCTGTTGGCTGTTGGCTGTTGGCTGTTGGCTGTTGGCGCAAAAGACTAGGTAGCAGGTATCGCGGTCTAGGCGACGCCCTGGGGGCCAAGTCGGGGGTCAAGCCCAACTGTCCCGGTGCCATCACACACGTAGTCTGTCAATGCAAGGGAATCAAAACGCGGAAGAAGGATTGTTTGCCGTTGTTTTATTTGCTGCCAGCGTTGAGTGTCGGTTCCATTTGCACCCCAGACTTTGCCTGTATTTTATTCTTGCTACTGCTTTGGACCAAGTGCGGTGCTTCCCCTGCAGCTCGCCAGCAACCAACCGCAGCTCCGCGCTCCTTCTCCCCACCCCTCTCCATTCTGCCACCTACGCGCTTGTCAAAAGCCTGCAAGCCTCCTTCCACATTGACTCCAGAGCGGGACTAACGCCGTTTGGTGTAAGCCTTGCGCCTGCACGGCTATCCCAGGCCTGTTGCTGATCCCATCTCCAAAGGCAGTCTTCTGGCCTGCAGGACAGATTGCGTCTTGTGCGTCCTTTCTTCCTGCTCCCTTTGCAAACACTTCCCTCGCCATACGTCACCACAAGAACGCAGACAGGACTAGTGGCCAACACAACCACATGAAATAGATACAAACTGGCAGCGGCTACTGGGCGCAGGACAGGCTGCGCGCTGTTGTTAGCTCCATCTCCATGTCTTTGCGCAACAAAGTGGGCAGGGAGCCAGACTATTGGTCACAGCAACAGCCACACTCCCCTCTAGGCCATGCTCAGTATCGGGATAAGATTCCCTCTCCTGGTTTGTCTCTCTCTCTCTCTGTTTTTTTTTGTGAGATCGCAAGCGCAGGAAACAATGGGCCGCAGAGGGCGTGGCAAGCCTCCATCGACAGCCCGGCCAACCTGCCCGCGGCCCAAGGTTGAACGCATCTGCCTGGCGAATGCAGCAGCATTTCATCTTGCATCTCACCGGATCCGACAGTCTGGTTGTCATTCCGTATTCCTCATACTTCATCACCTGTCATGTTTTGCACAGATGTCCCTCGCCTCTAAACCATGGCCGTCGCATACCATTCGCCATTCTCAGGAGAAACACATACTAAACGACCCAGTATGCCGGGTCCGAAAGGGGGCGTGCCGTTGCGGGCGCCTAATGAAGGGTGTGGCGTGTGGAGCATCCATGAGTGTATGCTTGCTAAAACTCCAAAGAAATGAATGGAAAGAGGGAAAGAGAAAAGAGGGACGATGTTTTCGTTGCTAGCGTCTAGCTGATACTAAGTCCATATAGGGTTCACTTACTACCCAGGTATGAATGCGCCAACACAGGCGCTTGGGGGAGGTGATGCAGAGCAAGGCATTCTTGCAGCCCCGTTACGGCCCGCGAGCCACGACAGTACGGCGCTAAACGCCTGGTAGGGTTGCTCTGCTGCTCGCGCTTGCCTCTGCTGTACACCTTTCCACGACTCCTCACGTTCCGATCGCTCCGACTGGTTACAGTAAGCCATGCTGCTATAGAGTCAAATGGCAAAGCTGTCCACAAACTGCTGTCCTTAGCCGGCAAAATGCACTAACTTACAGCTGCCTTTCAAGGACTATTGGCTTTACACTGCCGTATTTATCTGCCATCGCTGGGCAAATTGGAATCTGATCCAACATGGAGTTGGCCGTCACCCCTTGCGCTGCCTTCTCTTCCACAGTTGGACTCATCGTTCGGCCAGCCCATTGCTCGAAAGCCACAAGCGCCGCTTTTTGCCTGTTTGACTTGCTAGCACGCCTATCATTTCTACATCCGCAATCGCTCCTGGCAGCTCGCTCGGTTGCATCATGTCTTGATTGGGGGCGGCTTGCACAGACAGGCCCCCTTCAGCACCAACTGTGGGCTGAGCTAACGGCTAGCGCCAGCACCTCGAGTCACTCGACTGACCAACAGCAGTGAGAGAAACAACAGCCTGGAAAAAAGGCACCCATAATGGTTAGTTACGGTTTGAATCTCCATTTCTGCAGTTTCTCATATCATCGATGGATGATCCTCTATTAGGTTGTGTTTTCTGCTGGCACCCATAGCACCACCTAAACTACCGTGCTAGCTTCGCTTTTGCACTGGCAGCTGATCCTCCCATGCAACCTTACAGAGAGGCCGCCGTGCGCTACGACTGAGCACGCCCGGCGCTTAGAGAGATGCTGTGGCGTATCAAGCAGCGTCAAGGTGGGTGGAGGGCAACCAAGCGCCCCGTCGCCATTCCCCCACCCCCTCCCCCCAAAAAAGACAGCTCTCCTGGCTTCCACCAGCCATGCAGTCGGCCGGATGCAACTCTTTAAAGCTCCCCTTTTTGGCGGCGCGAAATGCTTCGCTTCAGGTGATCCTAGCTCAAGTAGGAAGGCCCTGTTATTGCGGCACCAACCAGTCTGTCTGAAGGCTAGCAATGAGTCTTACTCGGCCCTTTGGTGATATCAGTCGCCGTCGAGTCAGATACCGGTTAGTCTTGCATCTTTCTTAAAGTATGAATCACTTAATTCATCACTACATCACAAGATAGCGTCAATAGCATGCGCAGTGTCCCAGGCTTTCGGTCTACAACATCAGCCTCAACCTCACGATGGTGCTGTGTGGATGAAGACAACCCACCCACAAAAACCGCCACGGAAGCGCTCTGTCACATCACAATCCTCTCTACAAGGCTCATAAATGTTTACAATAGCTTCGAGTTTTTGATAGATGCGACCCTCAGCTGAGGCGTTGTAACCTTGGCCTGATTGGCGGCCATCACCTGGCGGTTTGCTCTGCTTACCAGGATGCCGGCGCTTAAATATTGTACTTGCCAGAATATGGTATCAATCCCATTCCTCCGGCTCTTCGCATAGACCGCCTCACAAATACCATGCAAGCGCTAAGCAATCCGCGCTCAAAGCTTTGGTCCAACACCAACAATGTCGCAGCGGACCACTCAACCCTGGGCACAATCAATCATGCCCTGTGTGCACAGGCCGATACGAGCCCGATATCTGCGCTAGGTCTGTGTAGCATATACCACCCATTTCTTCGCGTAAAACATTCAATGACCTCTGGATAAATGCCCATGGCCATGTAATACTTAGAAGACAGGCGTAGAGTTGACTACAAGTCAATCGCCATTGCCCATTATAACATCTAAATATTTCTCCATTATCTTTCAAACCCCAACTTTTATTTCTTAAATAAGAGCAATAACGACTTGTCATATTCCTGATCGACTTGATCCTTCTACCCTCTAACTATTGTTAAATTTCTTCTTATTGCAAAGCCGGACTCTAAAGAGCGTACGCATTTTTTGGCAGCGGCCAACGGGTCATGAATGTTCAGCCTGGCCCATTCTCATAGCCACTGGCCCTGCGTCAGATGATATGAAATGACCATAGCGTTGGGCGATAGAAGGTGGCAGGCTGAGTACCCTGCCTTGAGTAGAGTCCTGTGTACACCCATTATACCTCCAGCATAACCTGACACAAGAACCGAGTCAATCTGCCTCGTCAGTCATGATCCAACATCACTCCCCTGCTGGTGGTGTCTGTCTAGATACACAACACCTCCAATGGCCAAATATAGAATACGTTAAAGCACATTGACGCCCCTCCGTAGAGCCATGATGGAAAGGAAAAATTAGCCTACCGTAGATTATCTTCGTTGGTCCATAATGGAGCGCCATCATAAACCGGCCACCTTACTTTGTTGGCTTCGCCTAGAGTGGCTACAATCAGGAGCTGTCCTCGACGCTTTATTTCCACGGGTTACATCTACACCACATACTAAAGAGGCATTTACAATTCTGCCGGGCCGCCAGTGCGATCAGCAAGTGTGGTAGGGCATACATTGACATGAACGTAGAGCGCAAGTAGTCTTGTATTGGAAGGGGCCAACGGCCAATCCCAAAATAACTGTCATTTCAAAAACACCTGCATAAAATAAAGAAAACCGACGTGAAGAGAGCGCAGCAACAAAAAGAGTGCGGCAAATAGAATAACAATAAGATGCTCCCGTTGGCGACTTGACGTTTCGTCAACCAATGTCCGAACCGTTATACAAACATCGATGAAAGCATATTGGCAGGCCCGATGTCGCAAATCTTTACCATCGGCCAACGTAATGCTTCAAAGCGAGTAGAGAAGAGTGGCGTGTGTAATCGGAGCTTAGCCCAATGTTGTGCCCAAGTTATCAATGTTCGGATCATGGGGAAAGGAAGACACAGATGTCGAGTAACCAACGTGTGCGCCTCTGCCATAACCACAAACATAGGATATAAAGAAATCGACTGTATTGAGCCGTCGCAGTGGCAGTCGAGCTTGGGCAGCGCGGCCGTAGCATTCATACGGCGGTCACAACAGGGCGCCGCATGTTTTCGACAAAGCGAACGGAGCGGGGGCTAGTTGACTCCGTGGGAGTCTTGTCGATCGCCTGCCCATCTTTCCTCAGAATCGTCTTCGGATCGGAGGAGATAGGTGGAGAGGTTGACAAAGACCGGCCTGCAGAAGACGAGGAAGCCTTGGTTCCTCGCAGACCATCTACAGACCGGTCAAATTGTCAATCTATACCATGCTGCTTCTTTAGCTGCGCTAAAGATTCGCGTCGTGCATCGAGGTTCTCTTTTGATTTGGCCATCTTATCGGGCTGGTGGTATAATACTACACGCTGCGGGTTAGCTCACGGCATAAATCAGGACATATCGGCTGCCTGAGAACTGACCAACGAGATAGCGGCTCTGGAAGTTGAAGCCGTTTAGTTTGTCGCAGGCTTGCTTAGCATCCATGACATCCTCATAGACGACAAAGGCTGTACCCTTGGTATTACCGGCAATACCCTGTCGAATTTGGCTATGCAGGCTCACGTTAGCAACAATGCGCACTCATTTGCTTAAAGGCATAGCCCGCGGAAGCACGGCAAGAAACAGCCGGGTTCAAGACACATCAAAAAGGGACGTCGGGGAATCGCGTACCGTATAGGGCCGAATTTTCCAAAGAGATCGAACAACTCTTCTGGCGTTACGTTGTAGCTGCAGATAGCGTCAGCGTGCATTCAAGATCGGGCATGGCATCGGCAGCGAAGGCGTCTAGTTACCTCAGATTCTTCACGAACAGAGCTCTGCAAATGACATAAGTTAGCGGTAGTCCATTGTAGAGGCCGTTTTTTTATCTGCAGCGGTGGTCTTTCTATTTTTTGGTAACCATCCCGACCGTGAGCCAAGACCGCGGGTCGCGGGGATGTCTCTTTGCGCAGGATGGTGTGGCGGCCAACAGGCTGCAGACTCCGTCGGAAGATCGAACGTACCGATTGACGTCGGGTGCTAGTTTCCCGCCTCGACTACTCATCTCTTGGATGATATTCTGGGGGTGTAATCAGTGACAGATCAACGGGAAATGTCGGGCTAGAGAGACAGGCGATGGGCGAAAGGGCGAAATGAGGCACTAGGGGAGAGGAGCCTTTTGCTGGGGACGCTGAGCCCTGCCAGAGTCGCTGCATTCTACGGCGTTGTGGTCACGTGATGGGTTAGTCAGAAAGCCGCCGTTGGTTATTACTGGGTCGTGCGATGGGAAAAAAACGCAGGCAGCCAGCCGTGAGCGGTACTGCTAGAGAGGAGTGCTAGCAGTGCGAATTTTTCACAACGGCACAGTAGGTCGCTCACATAGTGAAAACTTCTATTAGTGGGCTCCCCCAATACAGTGTTCTCACTGTGGTTCCCCCACTCGCCGATGCACCAGCCAAAATGGCCAGGTCATAGGCGTGTGTAAGAAATCAATTCGACGCCGTGAAACCCCAGTTGGCAGCTAATTCTCCCAGCGCCGCATTTCAAATAAGGTGGAGAATTAAATCGTGCTATCGGTCGCTTTCCATATTTTGAGTGATTCCCGCCAGTCTCATGTTCACCCGCGTTGAATCGAATGCCGATACATCCGCCAATAGTGTCGTCCGAAGCAAACTTCACTCTCGGACATACGAAAATAAGCAGTGCGTAGTCGCCGAGGACGCCTGTAGTGTTGGCGTGCAAGTCTATTGATACGCTGTCTGAATTTTCACCAGTGCACATGGCGCCCTCTCATTAGATAGAACCGTCGGGTCAAGTTTCGTATTATTTCGTATTTGATACACTATATTCTCTATTTACATATATGCTTCGTCGAGATTCAAGTTGGAAAAGTCGGCCGCGACGAGATAGCCATCTTCGCGGAAACCTTGGAATATTTTGAAGGTCGGGGTGTCCTTGTTGTGAAGGCCATGATTGAGATAGAATCTATCCATGACCTTCACTGCTCCAGGGATAAAGGTTTTGCCAACTATGCCTTGCTGTGGCTGAGAGCAAAAATCCAGAGCTATACAGATGTAGTCAGCTGCCGGCTTATAAGGCGCACCATCGAGGTGCGCATTGAAGCGGTCGGCAAACTTTTCGGGTAGAACTATATGTGAGGTTGCCACTCGCCAAACCGCCTCGTGCTGTAGGAATTTGCCGATATAATACAGAATAGTAAGAAGAGTCAATTCGAGGCTCTTGAATGGGAACTGTTTCAGGGCGACAAAGTCAGCCTCTGGGGACGGGATAGGTCGATACCGGGGGTCTCTATAAAGACCCGATACCCTTAACCACGTATCCCAAGAGGTTTCCAACCCTTGAAACCGGTTCCAAAACTTTTCCAAGTTCCCTTCAAGATCATCAATACTTGTCGTATTAATAACATCTTGTGCAGATTCCAGAAGCGTTGGTACATCGAGGAAGATATCGCCAGCTAGATGGTAGGGGTTCTTAGGGATATTCTCAAATGGAATTGTCTTCCATTTCTCACTAGCCAAAAATGACGTTCTTTCTGTGTATATTGATGCTGTAGTCTAGAATCTCAGAGTTTAGCATGGACTGGTATGGCAAACGATGAATACCGAGAGTTTGAAAAGAAGAAGCTTACCAGAGTTGTTCTGCAGCATTGGAAGAGAAGACCCAAATCTTTCGACTGAAACATATGAGGTCCCAAAGCTTGCATACATAGTTCCACCCCAGGGATGTGGTCAAGCCATTCCTGTCTCCTCCTACCCTTAACATGAAGGTTTTCCTGTGCACCCATCATGCAGACATCCGCCATGAGGAAGATCATAACTGTCAACATCATTTCTTTCTTTTGCTTTTCGGTAGCTGTGGGTGATAACTGCTTGCGCAGCAATGCAAGAGCTCCATTACCCATCATTAAACTCGTATTGAGCATGGAGCGATTCGACGTATTTTGGCCAACAACCTTGAGACAAAGAGCAGCCGATGCCATGCTGGACATGCGGTTAGCTCGGTCATTAACAGCTTGAGCTTCTAGCCATAGCTCAAATAGTCTGCTTGTGCCGCCTGCATTTTCAACGTAATAGCTTCGAAATCGTTGCCAAAGGCCATCCTGATAAGCGGTATTAAGCACGGAAATGGCCGGGCGCTCAGTACCTCGCAGACGAACAGCAGCTTTGGATACATGTGTTGCCACCTCGTTTGGCTTCTCTTTCTCGTAGTTGACGAAAATTAGGCTGCTGTCATATGTGCATTCCTTGTTCCGCTGCACGCATGTCGTGCATGCTGGGCGCTTATAATCACACTGGTTGTGGGTTAGGGTTTGTATGTGTTTGTTGTCATTTCTCAATGCTTACTTTGATCTTTCTCTTCCTACAGTTTAAACACCGAGGTTTAAGAATGGGTTGTGGGCTCATGACTTCATCGTTTGGAACGCACTGGGTGACATTACACCTGCCACCCGTGAGATTGAACCTCACACCGGCAATTAGGTTGAGACGGCGGGGTTGCCACGTGACTGTGCCATTTCGCATTTACACCGGCTACCGTATATTAGTCTTCTAAGCTGCATAGCATAGTTCTGATTAACACCATGATTACTGTATAATTCCATTGTATGGAGTTATTTCCATATTCGGCAGCAGCCCTACAAAGGAAGCGTGTACCGTATGCGAGGGAATGGGCGTCCAATGTACTGTTCCATGTTCCAAGTGGGCTAGTGGGCTGTGTGGCTACAGGGCAAACGGCTCCCTTGCTTAATTACTGAAACAACTAGAGACAAGAAAGCTTGCAGGCTTGTTGTTTATAGCACTTAGTGCTTCAGCCCATTGGCGAAGGACTGTGTGGTGACCCCTGCGTGTAATACTAATGTCTCGCCATCTGGAACGTAGGAGCATTGAAGGCTTCGATGCCAACAGCCAGACTTCTCTTTAGTTGGGACGAGCGATGGCCTGTCAGCATGGTGAGAGCTGCCCGCAGCTAAAATTTACGCGGAACTGGGTGGGCTACTGCACGGAAAAAGTAGACAGAGCACGGCCACCAGCCGGCAATGACTTATTTGACGATGCGCCGCACGATGTGTAGCCATATATGGAGACAGTTGATGGCCATCAACACCTTTAAGGACGCCCAATTATGGGGTGAAGGCTTGCATAACTCTTATCTCATTCGCGCCATACGGGTCCCCCCCCCCATGGCCATTACGACTTCGTAACGAGCTGGATCCAACGTATCGTCATTACGCACCGTAAAGACTGGGTTGGCGAAGCTGACTGGCGGGTGGCTGTCAGATCCAAGTATCTCTCCCACCTGGGGCGGTGGGCTCAGCGTGTCGTGGGTTGACTCCCCTCATCCAATAAAAGCGGGCCGCCTCCTCCTCGGCATGCGCGCCATGGGCAAAAAGGACACAGTTGCTGGTCTGAAGCCATGGTTACAGCGGGTGGCAGCACAAAACACACGCTAAAACAGGGTGCCTGTAGCGGGCGAGGGGGCCAAAGCGAACGAAGACCTCAAACAAAGGCTAGCAGTTGGCAGTGTATCACCGGCTGCTGCACCACCTGTATTCGCTCTAGAATATCAAACAAATATACAGTAATATAAGTATAAATAAGTATATATCTAGTACCCTTGCCCTTAAAGCGCATAATACCATGTGTTCTTGCTTTTGTTGTCCTGCTCTTGCGAAATTCCAACCTCAGTGGAATTCCAACATCCATACACCGGCAGCTTTGGTAGCGCCTGTCCCCGCCTTTAGTGCATCGCTTGCTCCCAGCCACCAAACTCTCTTGCCTGCCTACTCTGGCGCGTCTGTGCCTGTAAAGCTAAGCAAGCTGCTACCTTGGCCTTCCCTCCAACCCTAGTGGACAGCAGAGCACCGCACGACATCTACACCTGCACAACTCTCCCTTCAGCGGCTTCTCCCCCTTCACCCAACTGTCCGCGGTCATCGACTAGCTATTTTTTTTTCCTGCATCGACTTCATATCGTGCATTTGCGAAATCGCCGCTGCCGTCAGCAATAAGTCTCCAACCACTACCGCCCTCCGCCAACATCACGTCCACGATGTCGCAACGTGGCCCATCCGGCTACGGCGTCGGCGGCCCTTCGTACGGTGCTGCTCCCTCATCCGACGATTCTAGCGGCAACTTTCTTGACCAGCTCAGGCCTTATACTACCAAGGTTGAGGATGTGCTCGAGTCCGTTAGCGAGCCCGTCAAGCCGTGAGTGACACCCTGGCCATTAGCCCTCGCTGTGGTAGCTTCTTCGCACCCGATGCGAGAGCACCCAAGATCGTAGTCGACACCCCGGAAGCTAACCTGGCATCTATATCGCAGCTATCTCCCCGCCATTGGCCGATTTCTGATCGTTGTTACTTTCCTAGAGGATGCTCTCCGCATCGTTACCCAGTGGAGTGACCAGCTGCTCTACTTGCGCGAGTACAGACACAGTAAGCCGAATTTCGGGATTGTAAAGCAAATGCAATCAGTCGATCCAGCACAATCGAGGCGATAATATGAGCTAACTCTTCCGCGTAGTTCCCACCGGAATTAACCACATCTTCCTCCTCACCAACGTCATCGCCATGATTAGTTGCTCCATTCTCGTCATCACCCGCAAGCACTCTGACTACGCCGTCTTTGGTCTCATGGGTGTCGTTGTTGCTCAGGCCCTCGGCTACGGTTTGATTTTCGACCTCAACTTCTTCCTCCGCAACTTGTCCGTCCTTGGCGGTCTCATCATGGTCCTCTCTGATTCATGGGTACGCAAGACCAAGGCTTTTGCTGGTCTCCCCACATTGGACGAGAAGGATCGTAAAATGTACTTCCAGCTTGCTGGCCGCGTTCTTCTAATTTTCCTGTTCATCGGCTTCGTTTTCAGTGGCTCTTGGAGTATCTGGCGCGTCATTGTCAGCATTTTGGGTGCTGGCGCTTGTGTCATGGTTGTCGTTGGTTTCAAGGCCAAGTTCAGCGCTACTCTCCTCGTTGTTATCCTCAGTGTTTTCAACCTCTTCGTAAACAACTTCTGGACTGTAAGTATCCGCTTGCCAAAATTACCTCATTGTAAATCTAACCCAGATCCATATAGCTTCACGAGCATCACCCCCACAAGGACTTTGCCAAGTACGATTTCTTCCAGATTCTCTCCATCGTCGGCGGCCTTCTTCTTCTTGTGAACAGCGGCCCTGGTCAATTCAGCATTGACGAGAAGAAAAAGGTTTACTAAAGAAGTGGCACGGACGAGAGAACAGTCTTAACTGTAAGGCTGTTGCAACAGAACAAACACGCCTCTAACTTCTTGGACAACTTTAACGTGCTACGACTCTCGAAAACTCTTGGAACTCCTACTCTGTAAGACATAGTGCAACAACCCGGGCTGAAAACCAGTGTACTCTGAATAGGCAACCCGCCTTTTGTTTTAACACGAGTATCCGTCACAATTGCAGTCTCATATCTCATATATAGAGATTTTCTCATCTTTAATAAACAATGGATCAGAATTTGAGATCCGTGTTCATGAATATTGCGATGTGTATTCCTTAACAACAGCGGTGCATGTTTGATTACATACACGTGGTAAGCAAAAATTACGAGTATTTCTATGTTCCAACAAAAACATTCCGAATGTACATTTACACCAATTTTATATGTAATATTCATCTAAAAACTTGATATATATAACGTATTTATACCATCCGTGATAATCTATAAAGAAGGTAGTTTTAAAATATGTATAAAAGAATACTTAGAAGATTGACTAAAAAGGAGGGTACATGCAACTTTTGTTTATTCGCTGTAGCTGCGAAGCCTTTGACTACTGTTCCTTCGTCCTAAGAGTATTTACTAGAAATTACCAAAAGAATCAACAATTGACATCAACCTACTAGTCTGGCCGAGCACGATAACCTTGTAACTTAAACCGCAGCTAACCAAGTCGTGGCTTATTCGGCGGTCGTCGTGCATGGTGGGGGCGGGACGCTAATCATGCATCTCGTGCTGAAGCTGCTTGCGCTACCAATTTGCACGTTGTCAGGTTTCTGTTTGTTCTCAAACTCATCCCGCTGTTTTACAGGGCAGAATACCTGTATATAAGCACACAAGCTTGGTAAAATATACCAAAACAGTGCCCACATCAACCCCGCGGCCATGGCTGAGGTTGTCGGCACCGTCATAGGGGTGGTTGGCTTCTTTGGTCAAATGTTTGACGGGTGCGTCAAGGCCTACGGCTACTTCTCAATGGCTACGCAGATGGACACCGAGAGCCAGCGACTTATGTGCAAGGTCCGTATCGAGGAGATGCGTCTTGTTGTCTGGGGTCGAGAATGGGGCGTTGCAGAGGGCAAGCTAGATGCCCATCTCGACGTCGAGAAGAACCCGCAGCTGCGAGCGCTGGCGACGCAGATTCTGCAAGAGTTGCACAGCACAGTGACAGATTTTCGCAAGTTACAGGAACGGTATGGCCTCGTGGATGCCAACGCTGTCGATGGTGAGGGATCCGGCGGCAGCAGAAGCAGCAATACATCGCGAGCCAATTCTATTTCCTCGTCTGTAGGAGCCCTACCCGAGAAAGGAAAGAAGGCAACCGAGAAGCTCGGCCTGAAAACAGAGAAGAGCTGGAAAAAGGACGCTACGTTACGAGCTAAGTGGGTTATTAAAGGTGTTTCACCGTGTACCAGGACCGTTTCTTCACTTACATCGGCTAACATGTTGTCCAGATAAGGAGAAGTTTCAAAAGCTGCTTCGTGATCTAAAAGGTTTGTACATATAATCATATTCATGTTTAATACCATCTTGAGTGACTTACACGCGTTGCAGACTTCAACGACGGACTAGAGAACCTCTTCCCACCCTCCCAACTCCCTTCCATCCACCGTGCATGGACAAATCGCCTTCTAGACTCTGCCGAGCGCGATCTTGCCCAGCTGTCACTTCTAGAAAACGCCTCATCTGGCATATATCCACAGCTAAATGCTTCAGCCAACCTCAAAAAACTGCGCATTAACCTCGACTCGAAACCCCAGTCGGCATTCAAGCCCACGTTTGCTCTCAAAGTGCCTCGCGCCGCTCTTGAGCTGAGCACCCCAGATCCAACATGCGCCACAACCGGCATAGTGAGCGGTAGATGCCACGCCCGGCATGAACTCGTTGGGGACGTGGTGGTTGAGTGGGTGCACTATGATGCGGATGAGTTCGAAGAGCGCTTTGCCCACGTGAAACGGCTCGACGATCTTGCCAAGATGATGCATTCGGCCTCGTCATCTCACCCTGACCTACACTCTATCGACTGTGTAGGTTACACCGATGATAAGGTCAACGGGCGATACGGTCTGGTCTACAATGCACCAGCACCGTCGTTCTCAACACTGCATGCCCTCATCTCGTCGTCAGACCTTAAAACTCCAGACCTAGACGAACGCATCAAACTTGCCAAGACGCTCGCCGTTTCTCTCTGGTCTCTCCATTCGTTAGACTGGCTGCACAAGAGCCTTTGTGCGTCGAATATCCTATTCTTTCCATCTGCATTTTCCTCAGCTGCGCAGTCTTCAACAGCTTCGGCCGCTCTTGTGCCCGACATTTCATCACCGTTTCTCAGCGGCTTTGATGCCTCACGCCCAGACCTGGACATTGCCCTGTCTGTTGTCCCCAAAAATCCATCCATTTTAGACTTGCATCGCCATCCTGATTCTCGGCGGGGCACAACCCCCTACTGCAAGAGCTTTGATATTTATAGCTTGGGTCTGGTGCTTCTCGAAATTGGCTTATGGAAAGTCCTTCAAACATATCACAAACCTCATTACTCGGCTGAGCGATGGCGAGACAAGGTTGTTCTTGCCGTCTTGGTCCCTGGCCTTGGAAGTAAAGCTGGCCGCCGATATAGAGATGTCGTGGAAAAGTGCCTTAAGGTTGGCCCCGACGTAACCAGCAGCGATGCTGGTAACTTGATGGAGGAGGTTGTTACAGCCCTAGAAAGTATCCGCGTTTAGGGTGTCCATATAAATGGAGATGCACCAAAAGTCGCCGAACTTGAAAAACACATAAAATCTTATGATCATAGATTTATAGAATAAAGTACTGTTGAGTTCATGCCAATTCGATACGTTATATGTAAATTGCGTCTCGAACAAGACGCGTATTCCGTCCGACGAAGCGCTTTGGAACCCCTTCTCGCCATTAAGACGAGCATTATAAAAAACGCAAAAGAGAAGAAAAATAGAAAATACAGCATAAGAAAACGTGGTTACCCAAATGCCCAAAATTGCAAGCAAAACGCAACCCAAAGAAAAAGCAATGCATCAAAACAATATCGTAAGACTCCGTGCTCAAAACACCAAATCTCCATCACACCCTTCCAACCTTGTCAAACATCTCTTGTTGCAAAAGCAAACAAAAACAATGCTGGGCATAGCGCCTTTTCAAAACTCTCAATGTCCTTCGAAATGCACATGATTGCAGGCAAAACATGAATACAATCGTACAACATCGCGCGTGTGAGTCGTTAGGTCATTCACAAGTATCATATCGCCAAATTAGACTGCCTCGAAGCTACGTCGTCGGGGTCGTACTTCCTATGCCCCCGAGACTTTGCGGGCTGTAGTAATCGCCGTGGCAGAAGCTCCGCCACCGATACTGCCAACACGGCCGCTGGTCTTGCGAACACCGGAAGACTCCTTAACCCGGAGAGGGGATTCAGAATCGTGGCGTCTGCTGCTGCGAATTTTTGACATAGACGCAGGAGTGCTGGCGACACGGTCAGTAGTCTTCGGCCTACCAGCTCCAATATTCTCGGCATCTCGTGACGCATCGTTATCAATCGTATAGACGGACGACACTGTCTGGCTCACAGCACGTGATTTGCTTCGACTCGGAGATGCAGGAGCCTTGCGATGGTTCCGAACGCGTACGTGGACCTCTTCATCAGAGTCGGCGCGGGATGCTGTCGGTAGAGCATCTACGTCCTGGTGAACAGCGTCATCCTCTTCAAGAGTTGCCTGGAAGGACGTCGATCTCTGATAAGGATGGTGACGATCAGCACGAGCAGTTTTGCGGGGCTGGCCGGGTGTTGGGGCGGGAAGATAATCTTCCTGTGTCTGACCGTGATTGTGTCTCTCGTGGTCAACTTCGCTGAGCGGTGTACGATTCGAAGGGCTGCGGTTGGGCGGCGTGGCCTGGCCGGCACGCAGTGCCGACTTTTGTATGGCGCGAATGGGGGTACTGGGGGATGGGTTGGAAGCAGCTAACTCTCTCCTCATTCTACGCTCAACGCGCTCCTCAATCCACCATTCTCGGAAGGTGCCTTGATTGAGATGCAGCCAGTGCTGCTGGGGTCCTACAACCATGCCGGGTCGCATAAAGCGCATAAAGGAGATGATCTCGTCGGCGGTAAATCCATGACGGTAGATGAGATAGGCACCGATGAGGCAACCAGTTCGTCCAAGACCAGCTTTGCAGTGAACTGCGATACCCTTCTTCTTAACGGTGATGGTTTCGTGGGCCAAGCGGATAAACTTGCGTACAGTCGTGAGGGGGGGGCACGTTCCGTCATCGAAAATCATGTCGAGATGCTGAATACCCAGTGCCTCAAAATAGGACGGGGAGTAAAGATGAGAGTTGAGGCGAACAACCAGGCCAATGTTGCGCTCCGAGAAGTGGCATAGTACATTCTTGAATGGCTGGGGAAGAGTAGGGTGAGAATTGACGGCGTCGAGATCCCGTGGTAGCAGTGGGAAGAGTTCTGAATCCTCTGTAATCTTGGCAACCGGTGTGTGCTGAGGAGACGCAAATGCAAGAAAGTTGGGGGTAATCCAGTTGAAATCGCCATGCTCGACGCGCTCATAGCGCTCGTATTCGTCAAGATCAAAATTGTCCAAATCAATACACTTTTCCTCCTTGGCTTTCCAAACACCGTAAACAATGTCTTGGACGGTAATGCCATAATCAGCCTGGCTGTATCCGGCATCCCGGAACGGCATCAAGGGAGGATCAACTTGAGCGATTGGTGCGAGGGCTAAATGAGGTGGCCAGTTTTGGATCAGCACCATATAGCACGCAAGCATGCATGCAGCATTGGCGCGACCTGTACAAAAGAAGAGTTAGCCTGACACGTGTAAAGCTGTCGCATATCAAAACATACTTCTAGGATCAGCCGCGCTCCAGAATACAACGGGACGGTCCTTGTTCTCCTTAGCACCTAAGATGTCGTGGAATCGAATTGCAAAACGATAGAGGTGGCCGATATGTAGAGGTCCGAAATCATGATGGAAGGCATTATAGAGAAGTGTATCATCGACAGTGAAATAACATGGCGGGTTCTTATTGCTCAACGAAGGCGTAGACGAATGGGCACCAGCGCGGCGCTTTCTAGGCGTCTCCGTTGGACCAGTGAAAGGGGTGTCTGCTGTTGGGGGATGAACGTAGGCAGCAAGATAGAGCCGGTCTAACAGAATAGGTTAGTCGATATAATTTTTCTTTCGCCCAAGGCAGCCCTCGATAGCTGGCGTTTGCTTCCATCATGATGCCGTGAGTAGCAATAGTAATCTGACTACACCATCATATAGAAGTCATTACATCGCTCGGACGCGCAATCGTCTGGTAAGAAACACCCGAAGGATTATGGTAATGATTGCGTACAATCTGACTTACCAGGAATATATTCGACAATCTGTCCCATGTTTTGGGAAGACCGATGGTAGGAAGGCGCCATTGCAACGTGGCTCGTAATCCGTTCTTCGCTTCGTAACAACGAGGGAGCCGTTTCGACAGTGCCAAGTTAAAATACCGTTTCTGAAGGCTGTTGAGTGTAGTCGGAGCGCAATGTTGATGTTGTTGGTTACGCACGAGACCACCGCGAAGCGCTCAATGCTGTGGGAAATAGTGGAAGAGGGACGGGAGCTCGACTATGCGTCACTTGACGATAGGAGGAGGAGGTTTAAAAAAACACAGGGCGAGATGTGAAAGGGTGTTTGTTGTTGTTGGTTGTTGGAGGACAAGAGAGGATCGGGGAAGAGGAGGATAAAAGAGGAGCCCAGCGTTGTTTTGGTCTCTGGGGGGAGGCGTGCTACTGTAACTTAGCTACACCTAGCAATAAATATTATGTTTTGAGGCAGCAGGGGTGTGTGGTGTGCGCCAAAAGAAATCAGTGGGGGGCCGTAACAGGTATTGCCCACGAATCTACCGTGAAAATCTTGAGCGCAAAACAAGAGCCCTTTCAATCGACTGGCAAGCTTAACAATGTTTGTGTTATTACCTTGCTCGTTGCCTCCGCACACGGCCGCCTAAACAGTAGCCACGCCTCCAAAACACTTTTGCATAACAGCGCCGGTATTGTTGTGGGGGGCGTTGCCACAGCAACCTATATGGGACTAGGCTCGCCTGCGCCACGCCGAGCAGTTCAAGCTCAGCATTAGCCACACTATTCAGCCCCTCCTCCCAAAACGGCGAGAGAAAAACCCAGGGCATCACAGCGGTACTCTGTTCAACATTCCAGTCGCGCTCCGTCCCCTCGTTGTATTACCCTGCGCATTCTATTATCTTTTCCTCTACCTGCCACCGACTTAGGCGCAACCTTTTTACCTGACAACCCTTAGCAGCTACCCCAAGGCCCTTCTAGATTGTTGGTGTTTCACAAGCCTTTTCGCCTCTACCCAATGAGTGGCCCACAGGATTTCCCTTGCTCAATGTAAGCCTATACACCATCTGATGGACATACTGCCAACCAATCACCTGCGACGGTGGCATGGGCCCTTTAGTGACGTAAATAATGAATGCCGTGTCATTGCTGTTTCCCGTCACTCCTGCACGTGCTATACAAACCCTTCACTACTACACTGCTACCTTGTTCTATATTCCATCCTTGGGCAACTTCCCATACGTCGATAAACAAACATGGACAAGCCTCTCCCACATCCTACTCTTTTCTTATAGACAATAGTTGCGGATAAACCTCCTTCTAACACTGTATACAGAGAGCTTAGAATACCGTTCCCTGCAAAGCGACTCGCAGTGGCTGCGCAAGGCGCGATTAGCGTCGACCCAGAGCTATCAGGTCTCGTTCACAGGTCCTTCGACCTTATACCGGCCTTGCTTGAAACAGACTCTCTAGATGGCGCGCATATTCTTAAGGTCGACTACCAGGCTACAACAAATCGAATGCTTCGTGTGGCAGTGAATTCCTTTATGGAGAGTCTGCGACTTGTCGTCGAGGTTATGGAGACCTTGGACTCGGATGTTCTGGCACACACTAACCCTACTAAAACGGTCCCATGATTTTTATGACAAAAAACTTAAATAGATAAAGCGTTGGATCTTTAAGCTTAAATTATGTGAACGTTTATCTTGTTCGTTCTTGATCATGAACACAACTTATTGCCAGCAACCCTCCTAACTGTGAGCGTTCAGTTGCATCTGGGTATTATTCCAATCCACCTATCTCCGTTAAGCTGCCAATATGCATAATGCAGCGTCTATTACTCTGCCTACCAGAAAATCCAGAAAGAAAAAACATACAACATTGTTCAGTACATGTTGAGAAGAAAGAAACACCAATTCATACAACGCCGTAGACACAAACCTAGCTCAAATCCCAAAAAACAGCCCGACCTGAATTACGCCAACAGGGAAACAGTCTCTCCATGCCCTCCATTACTTGCGTTCACGAAGTGGATGCCCCAGCCAGGCCTTCAAGCTTCTCCTTGAGCTCTTGCAGCTCTTTCTTCAATGAGCTGTTTTCTTCTTGTAGATTCTTCATATGCACGATTGCGTTCTCGACGACACTCGCCTTGCTGCTCTGCGCATTGGCTTGTTTGGCATCCTTCTTGTCGTCACCTCCGTCGTCGCCAGATCCGACAGACTGTTTGTCAGGAAGGAGGCCAGCCATAATTTGAAGCGCCGAGTTGATACGATTTCTACGACCTTGCTCTGCAATCTTGTGAGAGGTCCGTTTCGAGGTCAAGTTGGTGGACAGCTCGCTGGGATAGGAAACGCCAGGAACGTTGTTTCCTTCGAGAATATTTTGATAGTTGGATTTTGACATGAGTAGACGCGAGGTATCTTCGGCAGACATCCCGGGTGTTCCAGGTATGAGAGGCTTGATATTTGGCGAAATTCTGGGCAACAAAGCCGGAGAAACCTGGACCGAGCTGGATCGTTTCCTGTTGTTGCGGGCTAGAAGTTGGGGGGTTCGGCGAGCCTGGGGTCCAGTAGATCGCGGCCCCAGTGAAGGACTTTGATTAGCAGAGTGTGTACCAGGTGTGCGGAGGCCAGGAGAAGCCAGTTGAGCGTGCATCGAGCCCATCGAAGCGGAATGTTCGATGCTGGGCGATTGAGGAAGAATACGAGTGTTGAGGGGCGCAAGAGGTTTGTTGGAGACCGATTCAGGCAACTCAAGAGATTCTATATGTTCAGTGGCGGTGTCAGTCTCCATCTGGTTTGCAATGGGCTGTTTGCCCTTTGAAGCTGGTAGCTTCATGAGCGACGCAGGTGTGGCCGGGTGAGGTTGTCTGTCATCACCGAGCATCATTGGCGGCGCAGAACCTGATCCACTCTGTGCCGCAATGTAAGGCGATTTGCTGTTGGATCTACGAGCCGGGACTGGGGGCGGTGGCATATCACTGAGGTTTTCGGGCGACACAGATGCGTCTTCAGACCCCTCAGTGGAGTTGGCAGGAAGTGGCAGGGAAGCGCCGATGTCCATCTTCATGTTGCGCTCATCTGCCTCGCTTAATATTTGTGACACAATAGCAGGACTGGGGCCTGTCTTTTTGCGCATAGGCTTGGCGATGGGTGAATTTTTGACATTGGTTTTCGATCTGGCCTTGGCAGCGTTGTTCTTGCGCGCTTTCTTCGCCAAATCTTGCGTATTTTGAAGAGAACCTCCGAGGACTGGACCCTCCAGTTCCATATCAACCGGCGAGTTATGCGAGTTCGTTCCGGCATCATAACCAGCCATACCGTCATGCTGAGGGACCAGGGCTGGAGACGTGAGTGGACTAAAGTACGACCCCGGAACAGTGAACGCATTGTCCATGTTGAAATGGGGATCCAACGGTGTTACAGCAGGAGAAACGAGCGGCGTGAAAGCCATCTAATAGGACTAGTCAGTAATCAAGAACGTCATTTCGGTAGTCTTTGAAACAAAACATAACTCACATCGTTTTGCTCACCGTTACGATGATAGCCTCTGTCGTACCCATTACGATTGCGCTGCTCGACAGGTGAGTAAAACTGCGCATTACCGGCTGCCATCTCGAGGCTCTGTGGAGTGGGAGGGACAGAGTTCGAGTTACTGAAGAAGGCGGCCTGTTGCTGCTCATGGATCTGTCGCTGCTGCTGTTGGAATTTCTGCTGCTGCAGATACTGGATCTGCGCGTCAATGTTGGAGATGGCTTCACCTGGTGCCGCAGGATTCATAATATGCGTAGCCGTCATGCCCTGGTGTGTCTGTGCCGTCGTCATTGCAACCGCGACTGGGTTCTGTTGAACCATGCTGTCGGTGCGGGCGATCATGTTGGATACTTGTGAGTTTCCCATGATGGCGTCGCTGGCCTGATTGCTGCTCTGGAAGTTTTGGAAGTCGAACTGCATGTTGTCGGGCATGTTGTTCATGCCGCTCATGTCGAGGAACTGGTTGAACTCATCATCATGGGTGGAGGCCATGTGCTGGTCCTGGCCATCCCAGGTAGTAGAGGCCATTGTAGGGCAGGTGCTGCGCGATGGGGAGATGCCTACAGGCTCCGCAAGGGTCGCTTAGAAGAATAGACGTCGCTGCGATGATTAAGCAGACAGTACAGTAGGGCGTGATGGAGGCCGAGCTCAGGTTATGAAATTTCCCTGACGATGCGAAAAGCCGGTCGCGACAAGGTGAGAGACAAAAGCAGAGGATGGTCGCTGCTGGGAATTCACTGAGGTGCTAGCGTTGTTTGAAACAAGGATGCGCTGCTCAAAAGAATCCTCGCAGTGCGTATGGCGCAGTGTGTGCTTTCGTCGGCTTCTTTTTCGACTCGAATCGGCGAGGACAAAAAAACCTTCTTTGATAGCGTGCAAACTAACCACCGGGTCCGAGTCTATTGATGTAGCTAGAAGGGCGCTGCGATGCAAATTGTTGGCAGAGGCGGCGCTGAGCCCGGTTGCGTCCGGTGCGACTTGGTCTCGGTTCACGGGATTCCCAGAGGGGTGGTCGTGGGGGGTCGATTCGGTGAGTGGTTGAGGCAGTGGTGGTGCTTGGGAGCGCGAGACACGGAACGCCTCAAGGCTGCAAGACAAGAGTTTCTGGGTGAAAGCAAGATGACAGCGATGTCGAAGGGATTGTGCACTCGTAGAAAAAGAAACTCGGCTGGAAGAATTGATTATGAGATAAAAACTGACTTCAGAGCAGGATGAAATGAAATATGAGCAGAAAAAAAAAATCGGGGTTTCGGCCGACCACAAGCGCAACTGGGCGGAACGGGGGGCCGCTGCAAACACAGCCCTGGAAGGATCCATCAATTGCACTAATTGCACTGGAAGTCCTCAGTGCCGTCAAGCGTTGGTGGGCGCAAATAGTGGGCTGGCGCGAGTCACAAGCTAAAGAGCCCAACACAACTGACTTGGGTCGAGCCACTCTCAGCGGCGCAGTACCTAACAGTAGGCCAGAGAGGGGTAAATAGGCCATCTCTATCCTTTTTTTTTTAAGCGACATGCTCACCATTAACAAAAGAGGGTCTCTAGTAATCTACCCATGCGCTACCAAGAAGTGGTGTCCCTTCGCTAGTGCACCCCCGTTCGGCCATCGTAAGCTGTTGGGGTGATCTTAAAAGATGAGAAGGAAAAAATTATGAATATGTGGAAATTGAATGCAAAAATAGAGGAAGCGCCGATTGAGACTACCGCCCATCCAGAAACCATACCTTTTCATCAATCCAGATGCGAAATCAAACCAAGTCTCTCATTCGTCGCAGAGCACCCGAAGCCCGCAGCTGCGCGGGTAGGAGACCCGTCGGATATTGGTGACCAACTAGCCCATGCCGAGCATTCTTCTGGAACCATATCTGCAGCAGCCCAAACCGCCCACTGGTCACCTGCAAGGTCGCCTGTAAGGGGTTTAGAAACATTTATATCGGCCAACTTCAACTCTAGTTGATTAATCAAGCTCCAAATTATCTACGAAACCGGCAGCAGCTATGGAACTAAACTACTCAATTCTAGAAACCAACAAATAAAAGAGAAAAGGAAGAAACGTCTTCCCAAACAGCGCAAGCTTCACGACTCGTGCAGCCTCCACCGAGAAGACCCTCCCTGGCCTTCCTGTCAGTGTTTACAACAGTGCATTTCAAAGGAGTAAAATACAATAAAACAACTACAAATTGCCATGGAGTGAGCTGCTAAATTAATCCCCGCCGCTAAGCCGGGACTCGTGGACCATTTGTTCAAAGACCAGCAGCTAACCACATTAGCCGCTGTCTCCCCCGAGAGGGCTTCCCAATGAGACGCTCATAACAGCGCGCCGTCCAAGCTGCATCGGCTCAGCTGATAATCTTCAAGCCTGTCTATCACGCTGATCCGCGTGCGCAGCTTAGCCGAACTGTGGCTCCGTCATCTGCCAGCCGCTTACGACAAGCTTCCAGTGACAAGTCTCTTCTCGCGCAACGCTTCTGTTATCGGGCAACTACAGAGTAGCCAAAACACAAACATTCGCCGGTCCACTCTGTCTACTATAGGTCTCATTGGGCTTTTCGCAGCTCTACCCCTGTCGTCGGCCAACTTTTATTGCCTTTTCTTCGTTGGTGCAGGCGAGTCGGGTCGTAGAACAAGTCGAGAAGCGCCGCGCGAGTGATGCAGTAAAAAGCAGTTCACCGAACTTGAGCAGGGGACAATTGATGACATGCAGAGAGCTGCATGACTCGACGCTCAGTGTTGGAACAGTCGCGGCCCTCTACTGCACAACACTGTCAGAACAGAGTGAACTAAAAACCGTTTGGCGCAAGCCTGTGTTAAAGCACAAGCTAGGAGCCTTACTAGAAACGCTGTCTGCAAACTATAAATGGGTGTATTTTGCTGCATATCGTGTTTGTTACCAAGAAGTATGAGAGTGTCCTCGGCCAAACTATGTACATTTTCAAAAATAATTGTCTGCCAAAGCCACACCACGCACCGAGTGAACTCCATGTGAACATTCGCATTAATACCAGAACCGAGGAAATCGAAAGACAAAAAAAAGGTCTGAGTAGACAACGCAAAGAGCAACCAGGTTGCACAAAACGCAGGCGGGCCACCCAGCGCCCCGAGGAAAAGAAACATGGGCAACAAGAAAATTGGGTGTCTAAAATGTACTGAAGCAGGATATATGAGACGTTAAGCGACTGAAGGATGTGGTTGTAATAATAGCGAGCAAGATAGAAAGATTGAGACCAGAGTATGTCCAAATGGCAGTTGGGGGTTATGTCATGTTACATGGTTGATGGTTGTGCAAGATGTTGTGAAGAGCTGTGATATATACATCAATACAGCCATGACTGTGAAGAGTGCATAGCCGAAAGCATGGGCATCAGCTATCCCATTACGTACGAGACTGATCGCCCAGGTTCAACCAGCTCATATCAGAGGAAGCCCCGGCCATCGCAAGTGGAACCTGCTTAGTGACTTTTGTTGCATTAGAGTTGACAGCACTGGCATCACCGTTTGCAGGTGCTAGCGCAGTGCCGAATTGTCCACTGTGTGTGTAGGAGCTGCTTGGTGCACGATTCGCACCCCAAGGCTTGGCCGAGTCTGTAGGGTTCCAAACTTCATTTACACTCTCAGGAATACCGCTAGAGTAGCCAGACGCAGTGGACACGGGGGAGATAGGGCGCTCAATCGTTCCTGACATGCCTTCGGCAAAGGGCACTTTTCCGTGGAACTGCGAAACAATCGGGCTGCCAGAAACAACACGATTCATGCCTGGACGCTCGTCAAAGCTGAGAGGTGGCACTGTGGCAGAGTCCTGAGTTGCCCGCTGCGTTGGTACCTGGCTGTTGGTGTTACTCAGCGCTTCTGAATAGCGAGAGCTCTGCTCCGATGTTGCTGTGGTTCGTTTGTTTCCATAACCAAGTATTTGGAGCGCGCTTCCGCCGGACCAGTACTTATTCCAGCCAGAACTGCGGCGTGTACCATCTGAGCTCCCTACAGGGCCATTGCGGACGAGATTTCGGGGCTTTGGTTCTACTACCGAGGGGGCAAAGGCAACGCCCTTATCATCCGCGCCATCAAACATCGGGTTGGTTGTAGCCTGAGGGATTGGTTTGCTAATAGTACTCTTAAATTGTTTGTGCAGTGAGCTAATAGAGCTTCGAAACGAATCTCGCTTCTTGGAATTGCCAGGCTTACTCGGCCCCATACGTCCCATCATGATGGCAACAGACGAATAAGACTCGGCGGAGAGCTGTGGATTGTGCCCACGGTAATGGGCAGGTGACGCTGATGGTTGCATATGCTTAGCAAAAGCGACAGTATCTTTCTCCTCAGGATTGATCGTGTCATCTGCGACTCGAAGGCGACGCTGCTTATAACGGCGTAGCAAAAGCAAAAGTAGGCCCAAGAGTACCAAGAAGCCAGCAATGGTACCAAGAGTAATACCCAAGATTGCATTGGAGCTCAGGCCAGATATCTCTGGTTGCTCGCTTGTAGCATTCCCCGTCGGTATTGAGGGAGCCGTTGTGCTGCTAACAGCAGTCGAAAATGTGGTGGAGGAGAGTGATGTCGAGGTGCTCAGAGGGAGAGAGGCGGTTGAGGTTGTGTCGAGAATTTTCTGTCGACCATCAGAGAAGAATGATGTCGTGTTCACCCAACCTCCATCAGCAGCGTTGAACATGGCGATGGGCTTCTCACTATTGCCGCCAGAAAAGACAATCATGCTACCATCCAAACTCTGTGCCATAGCAGGATTACTGCGGGCGGCATCCGGAGCGACGCCATCGTATGTAGGCCAAGTCGCGAGCGTAAGCCCACGCTTGGTAGGGGCTTTGGTGGCCGAGGGGACCGGTACTTCTGTCGCCAAGCGAACAGGTTTTCCAGTTGCGTCTTGTAGAACAACGCGGCTAAACTTGTTGGGAGATTGGCTCAAGTCAAATTGAAGCAAACTTCTAGAGTTGTCGTCTCCTGCAACGATAGCGGCACGCATTGGTGATTCTGCAATAACAGGAGCGGCCATTTTGATACCGAGATCTCTCCAGGCGTTGGTAGGTGATTGTTCGGCTGTGGTAGGGTTAATGGCATACACCGCACCATTGGTAGCAATCATGGCAACATCAGCTGGGCCCCACGATCCGATTACAGGATACTTTGCTGGTGGTATCGCCTTGTTCTCAGTACCAAAAGCCCTCGCAGTGTGACCTTGCGTTGAAAATATCCATGTGGAGGTGGACGCCTTGCCATCTACACCACCACCATACAAAACGATTGACTTGGTGCCGTCCCTTACATAGGCAGCCCCGTGGCCTGTCCAGTTCTTGAATGGTGTCTTGTCGACTGTGATAATAGACCATTTCTTTGAGTTGTAATCGTATTTCTGGAGGCCAGGATAGTCTGGTCTGTCGGGGGCGTTGCCGCCAATGACCCAGAAACTATCTTCAGTGCCGACACAAACACCGCCATTGACTTTTACTCGCCCAGCATCGTCTATAGTTTGCCAGTTGCCGCCTTCTTTAAGAGGCAGAGATAGGAAGGTGTCGTGAGAATATGAATATAGTACTGCTGCATTATCCTGGCCGAAAATCGCGGAGCAAGCTTTGTCCAACGAAGCTGGCGGCTTAGCCGACATCGTCGCTATATGTTTGAGGTTACTGCAAGATTCCTAGTAGAGGTTAAGAATCTAGATGTGCATGGCGACCGGGTAGTCTCCGTTGGTATCGTGATTCTTGTTATGAGATCCCAAATGGGTTCTATATGCTCCGTGGCTGAAAAGAGTATATAGAGGTACCTAGAAGAGGAATACACTTCGCGCACTTGTGGTTGGTTTCAGGCGTTTAGAGAAAACCAGGCCGTTGCGATTCGAAACAACAAAAGGCCGCGTAATACCAGAAAGAACAGTCTAACTGTGTATTGTTTACGTTTCTCACGGCCGTTATCGAAACAGACAAGAGCCTCGAACACAGCGTGCGAAAGAATGGCGAGACCTGGAGAGAACCAAATAGGTGTAATAAAGTGGAAAAGAATAATGAGGGTCGATTCGTGTTCCGTATGTCAAGGTAACAAAGCGTGTAAATAGTCGAGCTATAAACCGGATATTCGGGCTATTTCCAGCGTAGAGAATGGAATGTCGCGGCCAAATCGTAGGGTGGGACGGCGTCGGATCGAAAAGGGGAGGGTGTATCTCGCTGGTACACTAGCCAGTGCTAAACGGAATATAGACAACTAGTGCAAGATGGACTCTATCAAGGCACTGAAGAAAGTATCGCCAGAATGCGAAGCAGAGAGAATAAATGACTGCGGGTAAAGAGGAGGAAGAGCAGAGGACCAGCAAGAGAGGTGTGGGAAAGCTGCAGAACCATTGTAGAGCACTGAAAGCAGGCTTGACTGGAGAGTGGGGAGCAACAAAACCACCTGTGAGAGGGCACTATGCAAGCCTGGATCCCAGGACGGAAAGCGGGAAAGAAGGGGACGCTGTGCTGTGATTGGGCCTTGCTTGGCGCCTTGGGTCAGGCAGATCCATCCCCTCCAGGGGTACGGAGAAGGTGGCAGGGGGGCAAGCCCCTCCCCACCTGGCAGCCAACCGCTATGCCCCGGATGAGTATGCCATTCCTTCTTGCAGCAGCTAGCGCGTTGAATTCCGGTGGGTGCCTCATGCCCTGCAGCAACCCAGCGGCTTCTGTGTTGCGGGCTGGAATAGGAGGCGCCAAGAGGAACAGCTCTCAGCCCCTTGTCAATGATGGGCGCACTGTACTGTACATGGAACACGGCCAGGTTCTCTTTTGCACGAACGCAAAGGGTTCAGGAGAGCCCCAGTCTTGGCTATTGTTTATTTTATATTCCTTCATTTATACATGTTGGAGTTTCGACTATTCTATTACAGTGTGTATTCCTTTTTTTTTCGCTTTAAAAAAAAACACTTTAGCGAATGAATCGGCGTGGCCTCACGGTTCGGCCCCCTACCACTAGCTCATAGGCAGAGTTAAGCACCTCCCGGTGCTTTGCACCACACCACGCCCTCTGTTCAGTCGTAGGGTTGTTGTAGTTCTGTTGGAACGAGATGTTAGAGCAGATCGCGAATAGTTGACAACACCAGGCCGTGCCAGGATATGAACTTCGCGTTACTAAATTCGACGCAGTGGGTTAGTGCTTCTTTGAGGATGCAAATCCACGGCTCAAGTGATGATTTTCTGCTGACGAGTACACAGTGCGCTGTTCATATAGGCCCTTGACCATATAGTGGCGATAATATGCAGCACAAAGGCGCCCCTGTTTGCAAGAGCACCAGGGGAACACTTTGGTACAAGCCATTTTTTTTCTGCCGTTCCATAGTTTGGTTACAGTTGCTCACAGGCTGGTTGTATGCGCCACATTTCTTTACATCGCTCGTACTTATTTATGTTTGCTCTGTCTGTTGCATAAATTGCCCATGCTTGTACAAAAACGGTGAGGTGAAGTGGCACCACAGCATTCTCACGCCGTACGACACGCAGCGAAGTTGGGCGACCATCAAAGCTTGTTGATCTGCCAAATCATACCCGAATGATATCTTCTACCTGTCCATCAGCTAATTGTCCTGGTAAGAAACCCGTCCTAATGTCGTCATAGGCAGACCCTCGGGAAATGAGCAGACCACCATTTTTGTCAGCCTCCAGTCTTCTTTACCTCCGTCTTCCACTTCGACTGTGGAGCCTCACCCACCAATCACCACATCAGGTGGTGCACTGACGTTTGCCCGTGCACGCGCCAGGCTTGCGTCGTCCTGAAACGCGTGGTCCTCTTTCTTCCTTTTCTCCTTCATGTGGCTGACAGCTCAGGGACCTACATCATTGCATTCCGTTGTCGTTCACTAGCACTACTAAGTCTTCAATACAATATACATTGATAGACGGAGCTCCTTCACCGATAAAATAGCTCACGTTGTAAACAGCTCTGTTTTGTTTTATTTTTGTTTTTTGTTATTGTAATTGTTTATCGCCTTGCAACGCAACCAGCATCAGAGACATGCAAACTGATGTATAACTTTTCCGAGACCGAGCTCCCGAACAATCCTTTTGAATCAGCCATTACTTTCTTTTTGTGCCACATTACCCGCTGTGTAGCCTGCCGCCCTTCATTCTGTGTACCGCGTCGCCGACGTCAGAGTTGCTCTTGTCGTTCGCACGCCGCAACTGATTTTATACTATCAAGTAACCAGGCTGTTTCACTGGTTTACTAGCTTTATCGGTGCGTATACACGCTTGAGTTGTTACCGCGGGTTGCCCGTTACGCCACGTAATAATATGGCTATCTGATAAGCGGCGTTGGGGCTGAAGCAGCAAGCGCTCGTTGAAGTTAGCGGTGAACTGGCCTGCGATAATATATCAACTGCCACCAAACTACTTGTCGTAAAAGTAGCCAGAGGCTGTATAAATAATGAGATCACATAGACCTTAGCTTTCGTTTTATATAACTATATAAGCGATTTAACTCTCACTACGCGGTCGGGTAACACTTAGACACAAAATACCCTACATGCCGTTTACGGGGCGTGGGGGGGACGGGACGATGATCGCGAACTGGCAAACACACTCTATTGCTATAAAAACCGTCAATAATCTAATGCCTGAAAAAACTTGTAATTTGTTGGCTTCATACATCATCCGTTTGTCTCTTGGGATATTCTCCAAGTGGAGGCTGCATTCTTCGCTGTTGCTCAACTATATAATGATACGGCGTGGCCGTTCGATATTTTACGACGTGCGTGCGTAACACGACTAGCCGAGACAGACAGATATACAAACAGCTACATTGACAGACCATGTATTATAGACATAGTCACGTCTCATCACAGTGTGAAAGGTGGTAGCTGGTATCTTGTACAATTAACAAACGGGCTGTAGCTCGCTATCCGCCAAACGCCAATAAACATGAAGACCAAACCCTGCCGTGAAGAGTGGTATTATACAAAACGTAAAATAACTATGTATCTTGTATCATTTCAACATCCTTATACACCCCCGTAAAATCCAATCGTTTTATGTCACCCAGAGTGACATGGTGGGTATCATTATTGCTGCACTGCGAATGCATCAGCTGGCAGTTGTGCCTATGAGATGTTAGCTTGGAATGTACCCAGTATGCTTTGTTTGTTGCCGCACCTTTTTTTCATTGAATATCACTAATGCTTTATCAAAATCCCAACCGACTTGCACGAGGCATAGCTCAGAATACTGAGCAACCATACCGGTTTGCTTGCAGAGTTCCGCAATCATCGCTTGATGCTGCTCTTGGGATGGAGCTTCCTGAGCTGGTGTGGGAGCTACAAAAACGTTTGGTAGCGGGCTGTAAGCTCGTAACGAGAGCATATCGCTTACTACCCGAATTTCTCCATGGCCGGGCAGACCGGGGCCGAGAATAAAGGTTCGCGAGAAGCTGCGCTTGCCAATTGTGCTGGTCTTGGCATCATGCTCTTCGAATTCACCGTGAACGGAGATGATCAGCCCATCCACACCCATAGAATTGTTACCCTGAGGATCAACTAGGCCGGGGAGAGGATGACAGTCCATAATATATTTGCTAATATCATCCTTGATATTAGGGTGGCGAGTGAATGGCAGACCCTTCCACAAATCGTTGATGGTTGCCGCGCCCTTGAAGAGGCGTTGAATTCGTGCATTCTGGTTGTTGATTTTGACCAGATTTCGCGAGAACTTCAAGTAGGCTGTCCAAGGCATAGGAGGTGGTGCATCAGGGTCTCTGACCGATCTGGTGTCAACGGCTAAAGAGAATTGGCTAGTCTCATCATACAACCGCGATGCAAGACTTTGCCTATCGCTGTCGTATGAACTGAAAAACTGTAAAAGGAAGTTTTCTCCGATGCCGTTCACGTCACGAAAATCGGGACCACTCTGTGGAATCGGTTTTGGGCGAAGTTCTTCTTCCCGTTGCGCAATTTGCTCAGGTGTTCGAACTTGTATTCCGTTAATATTTTGTAGTTTCGGAAACCACTCCAGCAGGATCGTCTGGAGGTTTGGTTCGGCTGTTTCGATGGGGTTGCCTGTGAGGTATACTGCCTCGATTGACTTGAATTTGCCTTTCCACCGTTCGAGTCCCTGAATACTGGCAAGCTGATTGCCACTCAAGTCCAAGTTCTTCAAGTCAGCAAATGTGGTTGCCAAACCCTCCACTTGTGTGATATCATCAATGCTATTGCTGGCAAGGCTGACACTTTCAATCGCGTCTCGTTTCTCCTGTGCTGTTTTGAAAAGGCCTTCGCAAATAGCCATCAGCCCCTTGAAAGTTCTCAGAGCACGATCCCGGTTGTCAAACATGCCCAGGGTGACGAGTTCCGGATCTGTAGCCAGAGAATCGAGTTTGAGGAGTTTGTTCGCGCCAATATAGCGCTGGCTCAGAACAGATTGGAGTTTAGCCCGTAGTTCCTGAGTTTCTTTCGACTCGGTAGCTTTATTGGGTTGACCGAGACTATCATTTGATTCTACAACTTCAAGTTTTTGACCGGCGAAGACGAATGTGTTGACTTTGAGTAATTCGACCGCATCGTCCGCACTGGCTCCGATGAAGACGTAGTCGCCAGCAACATGTGACTATGCTTCTGTTAGTGGTAGGGCCTGGTAAAGAGACCCGGGTGCCAAGTTGACATAGCAAAGGGCTCATGAGAAAAAAAGAGGTGTCTCATGAATGCGAGTTGAGAGAGTTGGGCGAGTCCTCAACGCAGCATGTCGACATTAGGCGGACCCTGGGAACAGTCAGCAGCATAACATACCTTTTTAATTACGACTTGACGAGTTCGTCGTCCTTCGATTAGTGATGTGGATTTGCGCTCCATGAAACTTAGGAGATCCTTGAGACCCCCGTCAGGGTTGTTTGCAGCTTTGCTTTGCTTCATTCCATGTACGCGTAGGTATGTCAAAGCCCCTTTGCCCTTGATGGCACCCTTGACCCGTGATGCGAGATCTCCAGACTGGCCGTTGGCGAGATGTTTCGCCATATTCTGGGCGACTTTGGAAGGCTTAATGCGTTGTGCTGCCCTTGTTGTTGGGCGTCCCTTGGAGGCGGCACCATCTGTTCCAGCCTTGCGTCGAGCGCCATCCATGTCCATGTCTCCATCGCCATCGATCTTCGCCTTGCGTTTTGTGATGCCTGCTCTATTCGTGGCTCTAGCTTTGGCAGCAGTGGGTTTCGCCTCGCGCGCACCGGATCGAGAAGCGCGGGGTGCCATGTTTGGAGTTGTGTTGTGTATGACAGAAGTTGAAAGTTGAAAAAGCTAGTAACAGAGAAAAGCGTGTTTTCGGCGCCGTAGGCAGCAGGCGCCCCACTTTCCTGTTTCGGACGGTGTGCCTGATGAAGGCGAGCGTTGGTCAAGCGTCGCTGCCTTAGTTTTCTGAGTATCGCCGGTGTTAAGAACAAGAAAAATGCTGAGGAGACGATATGTATTTTGAAATTAAATGTTCAATTCCGAAGGCAAAGTATATAGAATCATAAATATAGAAGGGTATACTCCTGTAGTAAGTAGACGATGTTGTCCTTCATGCCTCACGTGATATGGTACACCTTTCGCGTCTTGATCGCGGTCGCCGCGCGTGTTCTGCCAGGAGTGCGTGGTTCACTGACGACAAGCAGTTGTTTCTTCACCGCAACACACTACCACCGTATATGAGAAAATGTATATACTTACCGAATCCTTTAATACATGGCATTGAATGTCAATATGGACTGTGGAGACTTCGATTTTGACGAGGATGTCGCTGATGACGATATTCTGGGGGCGTTTGCTACCCCAAACAGGATCACGGACAATGTGTCCCAGCGTGCCCTTGATGGGCCTTCCCAACACCAGGCGCAGCAATTGAGCAACGGAATTACAGAAAAGAGCCATAGTACAAATTCATCAGTCTATAGACCAGGGCTGAATCGAACGGGCTCAGGCGTGTTTAAGCAAACAACGTTATTTGGCAGCACTATTTCCAACAAACCGAGCTCCGAGTCGCAACCAAACACAAGCAGATTGTATCGGGCTGATCTCAACGAAGTACCGAGTCACCATAGCCTTGATTTAGAAGCCATGGAAACCTGGGTTTATCCCACAAATCTTGGCGCCATTCGTGACTATCAGTTCAGCATCGTCAAGAACAGTTTATTTAACAACACACTCGTTGCGCTGCCGACCGGTTTAGGCAAAACTTTCATTGCCGCGACAGTTATGCTAAACTTCTATCGATGGACTGAAAATTCGAAAATCATTTTTGTGGCACCAACAAAACCTCTTGTCTCCCAACAAGTCGAAGCCTGCTACAACATTGCGGGCATCCCACGGTCCGAGACAACACTGTTGACCGGCGACATCGCTCCCGCTCTGCGCGTTGATGAATGGAGCAATCGAAGGGTATTCTTCATGACGCCACAAACACTCCTGAACGACTTATCTCACGGGTATGCTGACCCGAAGAGCATCTGTCTGCTGGTCATCGACGAAGCGCATCGCGCCGTCGGAGAATATGCTTATGCCAAAGTGACGAAACTTATTAGGAGATTTTCCAACAGTTTCCGCGTTTTAGCACTGACTGCGACCCCTGGTTCTAAAATTGAGACTGTACAGGAAGTCATTGACAATCTTGGTATATCTCATTGCGAGATTCGAACCGAAGACTCTATCGATATACGTCAATATGTACACGACCGTAACATCGAGACTATGGTATTGGACCCATCCGATGAGATGAACCTAATTGGTGAGCTATTCTCAGAAGCACTAAAACCTTTGCTCGACAAATTGAGTGCTCAGAATATCTGGTATGGCAGAAGTCCCATGGCTATCACCGCATTTGGATTGCTCCAATCGCAGAAGGACTGGTTTGCTACACGGGGAAAACATGTGAACCAAGGTATTCAGTTCATGATGAGAGCGATCTTTGTAGTTTTGACGAGCCTTGCGCATTCGATCAAGCTGCTAAACTATCACGGGATCAAACCCTTTTATGACAACATGGTTGACTTTCGTAACGAAACAGAAGACAAAGGAGCCAAGGGCTCGAAATATAAGCGACAACTCATTGAACACCCGAGTTTTCAGGATATGATGAATAAAATTAGCTTCTGGATACGGCAGAACTCCTTTGTCAGCCACCCCAAGCTTACGGCTCTGACCGAAACAGTTTTGAATCACTTTATGGACAGAGGAGAAGCATCTGGAACCCGAGTGATAGTATTCAGCGAATACCGAGACTCCGCGGAAGATATTGTGAGACAATTGAATCTGCATCGGCCATTAATGAAGGCGAGTATATTCGTTGGCCAGGCCGATGGTAAACGTGGAGAGGGAATGAAACAGGCACAACAAATTCAAACCATTGAAAAATTTCGGAAAGGCGACTTCAACGTGTTGGTGGCAACGTCTATTGGAGAAGAAGGTCTTGACATTGGCCAAGTTGACCTCATTGTTTGTTACGATGCGTCCGCATCTCCTATCCGCATGCTGCAACGAATGGGAAGAACTGGCCGTAAGCGAGCAGGAAACATCGTGTTACTTCTCATGCGCGGAAAAGAAGAGGACCAGTTTGCAAAATCAAAAGACAACTACGAGAAAATGCAAAGCTTGATATGTGAAGGAAGTAGATTTAACTTCAGATTCGATCTCTCGACCCGTATCGTCCCCAGAGGTATCCGGCCTGAAGTTGATAAACGCCATATCGATATTCCGGTGGAAAATGAAAAAGACCAGTCATTGCCAGTACCAAAGAAGAGACGAGCCCTGGCTGGGAAGAAAATGCCAAAGAAGAAGTTCCATATGCCGGATGGCGTGGAAACTGGATTCCAAAACGTCACAGACTTGATGGTTGCAGCTCGTGAGGCTGCCATGCCACGGCGGAATCCCGAGTTGGACAATTTGGAGCCTTGCCCGAGTGTGGACTGTGTTATCTTGGACGAAGATGAGGCTAAAGATCTCGAACGTTCTTATCGTGACCTACCATATACGAGCAGTGCTATTGAAGAGACCGCGATGCCAAGCATGACAGCACATCCAGAGTTCCAAAGGACGCTTACACCCACTGTTCATGTTCGACATGGGCTGCGCACAAAACGCTGCGTCACGTTGCTGCGCAGCATTGGTACCGATTCAGAAAGCCTGGTACGAGACTGTCGAGACTGCGATACCAGCAATTACCTAGAAATTTTTGCAAAGCCATTTGTCAACTCCGATGACGAATCCGAAGCAGGACAGAAAATAGATTGCCAAACATCAACGGATAGGTATGGCGGAACATTGAAACGCAGGCTACCTGAACATTTTACAGAATTGGATGATAACGATTTGGAGGACCACGACTATGAGCAAGCGCCTAAGGATCCGCAGCCAGGTGAGATCAGCATGATGAAACCTGGTAAGGCAAAGGCAGCGAAAGCGGTCAATGTCTCCAAGGCGGTAAAAAGGTCAAAAGAAATCCGATATCATGATGCCGATTTGCAAGAAGGCGAAGAGATTGGATTAACAAGGCGTATAAAGCGTTGTTCTAAGAAAGGGAAGAAGAGGGACAAGGCTGCCAAGGTTAGCCATTCGATCAAACTCGACGAGATTGGCGATGACTGTGATCGAGACTCTGATGAGCTTGATTCTGACGGATCCGACTTTGGGTCGGACCTACTAGGATTTATTGTGTCGGACAACAAGACAGCATCTAGCCTTCAAGGTTCACCAGCTCCATCACCTTCTTATAACAACGATCAGACGCCTAACACAAGAAAAGAGAAGCCTTTTTTTGTACCAACGGCATTTTCTGCTACACAAGAGAGCGACGATATGCCAGACGTCGACACGCTGGTGGTTAGGAAAGGCTCGAGCACCTCCACTAGGCCGACGAAGAAGCCGCCAGCTAAAAGGGCTAAGAAGCCTTTCATGGATGACTCTGATAGCTCTTGTGATGATGATGAATTTGACAAATGGCTTAATTTGTAAAGAGCGCTGTAGATTATTTCCCTCGAGTGCTCTGTGGCCAATGTGCCAGTTGCAGCTATCCAAGGAGTAAGCTAACGGCAATGCTTGAGCTGAAGTCGGTAAAATAAAGAAGCAAGTAAATAGCTTTGAGAAATTTAAATAAAATACAAAATACCCACCAATTAATCTACACCTAAAATTTGCTCGCCCCGATCATTGAGTCTCGTATGCGGTTCGGCTTTTGCGTTAACTGAATCCTTAGGCGTCCAACATTTTGCCGTCAAAGTCCGCGGCGCTAGCGTCATCACAGATTCCAGTCGCAGCATAGTCCCCTCATCGCCACACAGTCTTGACTATCTCCCACTCGCGAAGCTCGTCGCTTGGTAACTCATCCAAAACCGACTATCCCATCACTATTTTATTTTCGCCTGCGTACAACTCTCTCGCCATGCTTATATGCAAGGCCGCGCCGGCCCTCAAGTTTGTAGGGACCGTGTCTCTCGGGCTACTAACGGTTAGTCCAGCTGTCGGCTTGCTTGCACGGTCACCCTGATCGTAAATGGCACCAATACATACACTATTCAGACTAACCAAGGCGCCAACTTCCAAATATAGGGCCTCTCCTACACCGTGTCAAGCCTCACCCTCCCATCGCTTCTCCATCTCCCGTCGTCGTCGTCCGCATCGCTGGCGCTCACGGCGCTCAACGCCTCCCTCCAAACGCCGATTCGAGTATTGACATCTCTCGCTGCCATCCCCTTTCTCTTCTCCTTCGCCTTCTCGCCGCGCCGTCTTCGACACCCTTACCTGCTCTATACCTCGGTCCTCGCCATACTCTCCGGCGTCGCGCCAGCCTTGCTGCCCAAGCCTGCTGCTGCAACGCCACGCAGTGTACCTGCTAAGAAACCCGTGGCCCGCGCCCGAATGGAATCTAGCTACGAGGTCCTGGGTGACGTTCATAGCGAAACTGCGAGCGAAGAGGAGATTGATGACCTGCATGGCGACGAGGTTCGAACGCAGCTCGAGAGCCTTGCAACATCGTTCGTGGTGCGTGGAGGACTCTCGGCAGTTGCATTTGTCTTGGCTGTTGTTGGAATCTGGGGCGATGGCGCTCCTCGTGTCGTAGTTGCTTAGAATAATTTTACAAGACAATTACTTTGCAGCTATTCCATGAGGAATACATCTCTTTACCGTGACGACTGCCGCCAACTAACGCACACAGAAGTGTTTCATAATATACAGCTATGAATACCATTGCCTTCATTAAAAGGTTAAACTAACATACTCGAAATACTACTCCTCATGCGTAAGCATCGGCAGCGTGTTTGGATTTACAAACTATGCACTTGGGAGGCTGGTCGCCCGCCACTGGCAAAATCCATCGTCCTGCGCTGCGCTCCAAGTTTGAAACGTAGTCTTCCTTCTTTGAGTCGTCTTCGTCTGCGGGCTCGGCATCCTCATCGTGTCTGCTTTCAACGCTGAAGTACCTTGATTGAGAGTGACTCTCACCTAAGCGACGCGCCACATCATTAGCCTCGTTCAGACTCACAAGCCGGCGCTTGTTCTCCGACTTGGCCAGTGTTGTCCGGCAAATATCCCAAGTCACTTGTCTTCTGACATTGTCATCGGGTACTTTGTTGTCGTGAGATCCAACATTCTCAACGCCGAGGATGACTAAGAGCCTGGCAAGTATCTTTGGCTCATACTCATCTCGTAGACTAGTCGACTCTTGTAGTCGAAGAAGATCATCCCTTTGCTGGGCACTGTTTTTGGTATCTGTCGAGTGAAAGTGGTCTGGATGCTGCCTGATCAACTCCGCGACACCCGAATCATCGTCATTATAACGGTAATAAGAGTTTGGCCGTTCAAAGGTTTTGCTCAAAACCTTTTCGTGAGCAACCTCAGCTGGAGTCCTTCCCACTGCATTTTCCCGAACAAGGAGCTCAGGGTTGAAATCGACTAGCGCTTGCACCATGTTGATGCGAGACGTCATGACTGCCCAATGAAGACAACTCTCACCACCACTGTTGAGCTGATTGAGCTCCTTTCCTCCCGAGAATTTCAGTATCATCTTCAGCATGCGATTGTCCTGAGAAAAGGCTTCACTGCTATTATGTTGTCCAAGTCGCGACATCCACTGTTGCAACGGAGTGTTCCCGCCGCTAGCTAAATTGGTCCGTTGCATAAACAGCTGCGATCTCAACTCAGGATCCAGAAGCTTGAACACAGCTTCAACTCCACATATTGGGGCGCCTTGAGCCAACAGAACGTGCAGGATATTTTCACCAGAGTGGTTCTTCGTGGATTGATCTGCTCCAGCTTTGATCAGCTGCTTGATGGAATCAATCCTACCAAAGGTGCAAGCCAGCAAAAGAGGAGTAGCACCGCTGCTTGTTTTCTTCTCCAATGCACTTGGGCATGTTTGGATGAGATACTGTACAACCTCTGACGACGCCTCGCTGGGTTCGCTTAAAATCGCACAGTGAAGCACCCATTCATCTAGCGCATGTCAGTGTTGAGACCCGAAAGGTACATCAAAGGAAACTTACTATCGGCGCCGAGCCACTTGGAGATTGCTAGATCAACGCCCCCACGGCTCTTTCGCAAAATATCAAGCCGTTTATCTTCTCTACCCGCCTTGGACTTCGCAAACTCGGTAAATAGGCGATGTGGAGCATCGCCCATAAAGAATTCGACGCTTTCAATACAACCTCCCCTTGCAGCATGGAGAAGAGGGGGCGTATTAGACACTTCAGTTCTCACAACCATGTTGCGTCCGGCGGTTGCCCAATCATTTCTACCGAATGTTAGCGTAAAATTAGTGTACACGACAAATGGAATATCGCACCTCTTTTTACCGTAAACTGTTAAGCCTTGGTAATAGCGTGGCTTCTTCTTAATCTGAATACCACTCTTTTTAACCAAATGGTCTAAAGGCAGTCCAGCACCGGTGCGTTTGATGATATGTCTGAGCAAGTCAACCTTTCCTTTCTGAACTGCGAAAATAAAGTCATCCGCTGGGAATGTAAAAGTTGAGTCTTGTCCTTCTTCGTTTCCGTCGTCATTGTTGTTGGAATTTGAGTACTGTTGGCCAAGTTCAATGAGAAGCTTTAAACCCACGATATCGTCCTGCTCCAACACCTGCCGTGTAAGTCGGCATTGTGTGTCCCCATTCAATTTCCTGTTGTCCAAATGTAGGGAGATATTGAAAATTCGGGTAAGGAGTTCTACGGGCTTCGTATGAGACTTGACTTGGATTGACACTTCTCCGACGTTGTCAATGGTGAATGGCTGATTCAGCTTTTCAGAAATAATGTCCTGATCAGACTCCTCGTCGGATGATTCGTAATCCGAATGTTCATATTCGTCATCGTCATCACCATCGTCGCGAAGTTTGTAACGGACTTCTTCTGTCTCTTTTGGCGACCACTGGGCTTGGATAACCTCTAAAACGCGACGAGTGGCGTTGTGGTGCCCACGCAAGAAGGCAATCGAAAATGGCGTGTTCCCATGAATATCTCTGATGTCCATCTTTAGAGGCATTAAGGAGCCATTTGTGCCCCATGGTTGTAATGTGAGTTGCTTGATACGCTCTGCATCGCCAGACCAAGCAGCATCCATCCTAGCGTCTTATTAGCTTCATTAGATATCGTTGTGTGCAGCAAGAGACTTACAGCTCCATGTAGCCTTCCAACCGATCTGGGGTCATATCCGAGTCGCCAACAAACTGGGGCGAGAATTGATATTTCTCCAACTCCTGAGGAAGGCCGTAAACATTGTCATATCGGTCAAAATTATCAGAATCTTCACGACCAGAATACTGATATTTTGGATACAGCTCCTTAAAGCCTTTCGCATTCTTGCTAACCAACATCAGCTCAATCTTTTCAAGCTCGCCGATAGCGGTCTTGATGGCCTCTGCCTTCAAGACTTTACCAGCCGCTGTTTGTTGGTGCTTTTCTTGCAAGATGTGCTTTCGTGTCTCCCATCTTTCCTTCCGACCGATGAGATCACGGTGGACAAGCCACTTCTTGTACGAATCTTCAGGTTGGACTTCCAAGAATGCCTTGCAGTCGGCCAGAGCGACTTCGCAGGTCACTTCGGTTTCGCTATCCTTGGGTTTATAAGCCCTCAACTTTCGCAGTGTGCGCTGCGCAAGATCCAAAGCAGATTCCGCTCTCTCCCAAGTTTGAAAGTTGTCGTTTTGAACGATTTTGTTTCCAGTCGACGTTAGGGTGTCTGGATTGACACCTCGGTCCAGGAGCTGTGCTACCAAATCTGCGTTCGCATGGCGAATTGCAGTGATAATAGGTTGCTCGATAGAGCTAGCAAAATGACGTTTGTTCACCTCAAAATTGGAAAGATCTCTATACATTGAGCCCAGCTTTGCCGCCTTAAGCCAAGCCTCGAAGTCTATGTGTGGTGAAGCGCCAGCTGTAAGTAGCTTCATTATAACAAGACTATTTTCTGACTCGATTGCTGTTTGTAGAGGCGAGATTGCCGAAGGGTTCCAGGAATATCCATTAAATGCAAGATGATTAATGGCAGCTTTTACAGCAGTCTTGTCATTTTCAAGCAGCACGTCAATAGCCTCCATCTCGTTGTTGTCAACGTATCGATGAAACGCTGTCCAGCTATTTGTATCAGCTTGGGAAGAAATTGCACCAAGCTTTAAGAGAAGCTTCACCATTGAAATGGCTTTGCTCTTTGGTAGCTTCAATGCTAAAACAAGTGTCAGAATTGCCTTATTGTCATTTTCTTGCAGGAATTTGACGGGCAAAATGGCGTCAGCACCATACTATTGGAGGTTAGCTTATGTTTCAAAGAAAGCAGGATTTCCACTTACATCGCATAACAATGATACAACCCCTTCATGTCCCCCAACTATGGCGAGATGGAGGGGCGAACAGGGCATATCCCATGCCAGAACGTCAATGTTGTAGTAGTCAGGCTCATCGTGAACTTCATCTGGGCCGATATCTTCTTCACCTGCATCCGCTTTGGGAACCTTGACGAACGATGCAGTAGTAATAGACATGACATCGATATCGGTCTTAGAATCAACCATCTCTAGGTCGGAGTCTTCATCGTCGCCTGGTATGCTGTGCTCATCATCATCTCGAGCCACGGCATCTTTGCTATCCTCAAATTGGGCCTCATTCTCAATGCTCCTTTCCATTAGTATTTTGACAATAGCAACATCTCCTCTAGATGAAGCTAGGTGCAAGGCTGTTCTTCCATCAGCAAGGCGGGCCGTCAGGCGTGCACCGTGATCCACTAAACACTTGACCGTGTCTGCGGTCGAGGATGTCACTGCAAGATGGAGAGGTGTACGCCCTGTATAGTCACGCTTATTGATATCCGCACCCTCCTGAGAAAGCCAATTGAGAATGTCATCAGTGTCGTTATCAACGATGGACTGACAGAGTCTGGCGGTATTGCCAACATAAGCCATGTCAGTCCAATCCTCCTCAGTCAAGGGATTAAACGAACCGATTTGCTGTCGACCAGGATCGTCAATGAGGAACGAGATACTGCCAGAGATATAAATTTCGGCCTCTTTCTCGGCAGTTTCGATTTCATCTTTTGTGGAGGCAGTAGGGCAGGAGCCGCAGCAATCTTCAATTACATCTTGCACTCGGCCAAAGAAGGCTGGATGACGATGAAGATAGACTTTTCGATCTTTTGGCTGATTCCATTCCGCATTTAGCAAAAGATCTCTGGAATAGCATAGCTTTTCAATCTTCTTGGCGTTGAACTTTTGACCATAGGGAATGGTAAAGGTATGGTAACTGCTGACTTCCTCCTCAGATAACCAGTCGGCAACTTCATCCTCGTAGTTGCTTTTGATGTCGCCGAATTGGCGGAAGTGATTCCGGTAGAGAGTAGGTCGGCCACGTTCCTGCCGTCTCTGATTCTGATACTTCTCACGAACAGATGTTGTCGGCAATCTCTCCAAGACCAAGAGTCGAGCTAGTCCCAACGTGCGTTGAAAGCTGCGCTCATAGATTGTAGGATCAATACGTGATCGATCCAATTCCGGCCAATAAATCTCAAAGTTGCGGTGTGAGTACTTTGAAAGGCGATTTTCATATGAAGGGCTGCGGCGGCTTAGGTCGATGTGGTTGATCTGAGTAATGAAGCTGCCTAGCGCACGAGGTGTGACATAAACCTGTTTGCCATCATAAGCGCCACCAGCGGCGTCAATGTCAAATCCGGTTAAAATTTCACCAATGGACTTGTACACGCGGAGAACAATCTGTTTCAAAGCATGAGCTTTTGTGACGTGAGAATCTGAAGTTTAGACATACCTGAATATGACGAACTGGGTACTGGCTTGCAATAGTCACTGCATATTTGGTTCGTACAACGGTAACCTCGTGAAGTACTGAGTCGCGGACTGCTTGTTCAATTTGCTTCATCTTTTCGATAGCTTGTTCATGTGTAAGACCGTACAAGAACAAATCCACATCGGATGCTGGACAGAACTTCTCGTGGTAATATTCGCGGAGCTTGCGTTTGTTTACGTTGAATTCATCTGGCACGGGCAGTAGACAGTTGACGACAGAAGAACCAGCGGCAACAACATTGCTCCAATCCATCTCCGTGAGGGACGACTCAGAGAAGAGATTGAAATTGTGACGGAATTCTTCAATGTTGGCAACAGTGGCTGGAGTTCCATTGGCCCTCCTTTTTTCAGCGGGAAGTTCCATGACATATCGAGATTTCTCCTCTTCGGTCTCAACTTCCAAGTTTCTGGCACGCGTGGTGATGCGGCTAGTGTCACTGGTGAAGAGGGGTAGGAGGTTGATATGAGGGTCGGCAAGAAGAGGATTTTGACGGTCCTGTGCGAACACTCCTCGGAGATGAGCCTCATACTGACGGAAGGGGGCTAGAATTTCCGTGATGGGCGTTTCTGGATGATCTGCGATGTAGGATGCGAGCTGCTCTGGTGGGCAGGGGATCTTTGGAAAGTGTGCCATGATGAGGATGGCGCGTGAAGCAGTATCAAAATAAAAGTCGACAGTTTGGATAGATGTGGTTGGCAATTGATCGCAGAGCAGAGTTGGATATAGTATATTGGTCGATGAGGAGAGCGACTGAGGGACCGTTATGGGCTTTTTATAGGCGATTGCGTCCGAAACTTAGTGAAGCAGCGGATACCTTCAATTGGAGACGCTTCGAAGTGCCGCCTAATTAGTTAGCCGACTTTTAACTTTATTGTTGGTATCCTACTGGTGATATCGTGAATCTTGGCGTTTGGGCTTGAGGCTGAGCGTCACAGGTGTGGCGGCCGCTAAGCCTGATGCTGCCTGGACGCGACGAGGGGCTGTCCTTTCCTAGAGCTGATGACAGGGCATGGGGCCGGTAAATTGCTAATGGGGCCAATGATGCCTAGATCGTCCCCCGTATTAACTTATGATTGAAAGGAATTGGTTCAGAGGCTGTGGCGGTCAAGAGGAGCTGTGTTCACTACATCGCCTGTATGGTAACTCAGGCCACAGCTGCCTAAATGACCCCGTACCAGGTTGCCACGTGATTCGATATCGCAGAATACATCATTAAAGTGTCTTATTTCCACGCTAAAATGTAGCATGCTGAGTGAAACTATTTAAAGGGAACGCCTTCTATCAACAAAAAAAACAAAGCAAGGTTAGATCGCTTCTGCCAGAGCTCCACAGTGCCCGGGTATCGTCAAAGATGCTATGCTAGTGTAAATGCAGACGGAAACCATTCAAACTTTTCTCTCATTATCGTAAATATCGTTACAATGCTTCTGATCCATTTCGGCGTTTGTAAACAAGTACATGATGGTAACAATCAGTTTACCAGCTGCAGAGACTGCGATGGCGGCAGCGGAGCCAACATGTCGATAGATGCCTGCACCCGCAAGCGAACCAGCAATGAGGGCTGCGAGAAAAGCAACTCGCCTAGTTCTAGGACGGTTTTTGAGGACAAAAAGGTCCTTATCAATCATCAAGTCCACCCACGCTGCTGTAGCCATGGCTGTGCTGATTTCAGTCATGGCTAGACTTCGAGACTGAACAACTTGACTGCCAGATGCAAATGCCAACAAGCCAATGACAATTAATGCGTATGTGCCTTTCTCTGCAACCCCGAATTGATATTGCATAGCGGCAGCTCCAAAGACTAGTCCGGCTTGTATCAGATTACAAAGGAGCAGCCACCATCGCTTTCGGGGGCCAATAAGATGACTCAGTTGCCCAGTGAGCCATCCAGCGCCAAGAAATAAACCCAGTGCAACACCAATGTTGGGGGTAACGAACATTTCACCATTAAATTCCGGCAGGATCAGGGCAAGGCATAGAAACACCGTATTGCCTGTTTGATTCGAGGCAAAGCAGTGGTAGTCAGGGAATGTCGTGGCGTCTTTAAAAAAAGATCAGTACGGCGTTGACGTCTCAATTCAATCTTGGGCCAAGATGTACCTTGTATTCCTGTACAGAATGTCAAAAGCAATAGCTGAACCTCGGCAAACACTGTCGGTCTGATATCATCGTTTAAATGGGACGCTATTTTGCGACCCATGTTCGCTTCGTGAGCATCCTGACGGCCGTTTTCGTTGGTTTCGGCCGGAGATTGGCAATAACTGGTAAATGTGTATGATTCACTCTCAGAAGCCGACATATTGATTTCTATGTGACAGAATGATTTGCGACTATACAACACAGCAGAACAACCATCGTCGGGCGATCGCCCGGTTTATACTACGTCCAGCTTTTGCCTTGACCGACATCCGGGTGCCCACCAAGAATGCCTAATTGGGTTCCCGAGACGTTGCATGGCGCCTGAAACAGAAAATTTTCTGTATAGCCCTGAAAGTTGGCACTACGACACAAGCGACGCATGCCCTGCCTTGATTTGCCTTCTGTTGGCCTGAGTAGCCAGATTGAACCAATCACGCTCAAATCCGACTTGTGTGTGGGCTTGACTCGGCTATCGGTGTCCGAAGAAACTGTGAGCCGGTGGCTCCACCGATGCCGCCGACAGCCGTCCAGGGTTGGCGTTCTATGTTTTTAGACACAATAGATGACAAGAATAGCCATACATTAACAGTGACAAGTCGAGTGCCAATGTATGCTCGGCTTTGGTTTCATTGGGCAGCATTCGCATGGCACACGACCCATCTTGTTCCGCAACAATTGGTGACAAGCGGACGCAGACCCGCAACCGTCAATTGAAGTTACGTTCATTGATAGATTATATATAATCTGGTATCTATCCTTAAAGTTTTGAAGATGGAATCTGGAATAATTGACCGATGGGGGCGCGATCCTGTCCCGGCTTGAATCACTAACAACAGCACGCTCAGATACGCATTCTAGCCTCTGTATAACTTTGATTGATGCGAAATGAAGAATGAATTAAGCTTGAAATATATATATATATATACATATATATGTGTGTGTTGGAAAAAGCAGTCTTTACATTGAATTGAACTCTTTTTTCTATCTTCCATGCCGTTTACAAAACTTTGGTGCTAACACACTTTATGCATCACGTGCTTTCGCATCCGCTGACTAACGGGACGCGTCTCGACGCGGTGCACTGGTAGCCTCCGCCACTCCACCCGTGAGTGCACTGTAGATCACGCCGTGCATGTCAACCATGATCGTGAGGACTTGCTTTGGAAAACAAGTCATGAACAACACCAATGCGGCATAAACAAGCGATAGAAACAGTTAATCGAACGTTATAAACGGCTTCATGACTCGCAATAACCTTACAGATCACCTCTCTTGGTTATTGAACAACGTCTCACTCACGAAGCCAACTTGCCGACCTCTGTCTCGAAGTAACGCGCCTGCGAGGGGCATATCTCAACAACAACCTACACATTGGCAGACCTCGTCGCAATCCCGAGACCTCTCAAACACATGTAGCCTATTGCAAAATAATCTACAAAATAGTCGTCAATCTCGAGTAGATGCCCCAATAAACGACCAATCACCAGTGGAGGAAGCGGAGGAGAGAGCACTCCCCGAACGAGAAATAATGGGACGTCTCACTTCCAGTGGCAAGTCGAAAAAGCCAACTCTGATCTCACAGCAAGCAACATTTCCGACTCCGCGATCTTTGGTATTTGGAGAAGCCGCTGGCTCCTCACACAAGCAGATCATATCCGGTTAGTATTTCTCGGATGCCAGCATGGCAGTGGTCATGCTAACTACATAGAATCCTCAACTACCTTGTCGAAACCCCTACAATCACCAGCTGAAGGCAAACTACCAAAAGCCACTTCAGTAATATCTAGTTTAGGCTTGGATCTAAACTATTTTGACGACGACGACCTAGTCTGCATGGATTTGACTGCCGATACAAGTCTTGCTGATCTGTCGAAAGATGCATCTTTTAAAGACCTCCCGCGATCTGCATCAAAGTCCACGAGAAAGGCTACACCGCTATCAAATCGGGGAAAGAAGAGAAAAAGCGCCGACTTTGCCGAATTCGACATCGATTTGGACAAGATGGATGAGCCATTCGCGGATGTGTACCATATCCTGGGCACCGAACCCCCGTCATCCACACCGCGAAAAAAGCAGAATATGAACAATCCGGCCGGCACAGACAGTGGTAAAGCTGGAAAGCTACTGACACCTGGCTCTAGGCGTCCTTCAAGTAGCTTACCGCAATTAGACTCGGCCGAAGTTAGATCGTCACCTTTGCAACGTGCTGTGAACCGACGAAAACAAACAAAGGCATCTGGAACTGATGTTATGGCTCCAACGGTCAACACTCCAGCCCCTGAACCGGATGTAATACCAGAAGCAAGTACGCCTACTTCCAATACCCGAACTGCACGCCACGCTGATCAAGACGGTGTGGTACCTGACTCCGATGACGAATTTGTAACTCCACCTTCCCAAAACCATCCAAGCAGCAATCTTGCAAATTTCGTCGACCTCGACGATAGCTCTCTGATCGAGCTACCCCATCCTACCAGCTTAAAGTCAGGATCAGCGACGTATGGCCTACAACCACCTTCAGCCGAAACAGCCAAGGCTGTTGTGACTGGGGAAGACGCCGCAACTCAGGGTGTGCTCCCAAACTCGAGCCAAATGCCAAGGATATTATCCCAGATACAACAAAACCCTGAGGTCATTGAACGGCGGGTAGCACATATTGATACCCTTGTCCAACAGAATGGCGCGAAGTTTTTGCAAGCAATTAACGAACGCTGGCCAAAGGAGAAACGTCATGAGATCAAGCTTGAAAAGGAGCGTCTACTGCGTCAACAGCAGGCGCTCAAGGATGTTGCGCCATCTCTAGCAGCATACGGAGTGCTTGCCCTGAATCGAGAGACGCTTGTTAAACAGATCGCAACCTCTTATGCTGAGGGCATCGATACAGACGAAGACGAAACTCTCCTGGACACATTGACGGATGAGATTGAGCGAAAGGAAGCTGACCTTGTTGTCGAGCTCAAGTCCTGTGGCTTGACAAACGTTGACTTGGAGGCCTTGATTCGACCGCCAACGGCTTCAACCGCCGAGTCAAGTTTAGTGGTCATGGGCACTCAGGCTTCACCAACAACGTATTTAGTCAATATGTCGCAAACATCGACCATTGATATGCTGCCTGCGACCCAAATAGTTCATCAAACACAGCTACCAGGACACTCACAACCGAATTCCTCACGAGATCTCAATTCATCAACGCAAGCCATCACACGCGGTAGACCCGATGAATGGCAAGATAAGCCTTTCCCGCGAAACACTTCAGGCACTGCAGGTTGCGGGCCATCTGTTACATATAGTAATGATGTACCCGATGAAGACGATTTCTTTTCGGAAACGGAACAGGATCTGATGCCACCTCCGCCGAATACAAACCGGGCACCAGGAAATCTAGTGGAATCTCGGCGCCATGATGAATTTAGCGACTTTAGCGATGAAGCTGATATCCTCGCACTTGCTCATGATTACGAAAGCCGCCAATCAGGGAGAGATGAGCCTCACCAGCAAAGAATTATTTTTTCAGAAACATCAGGCAATAGTATGGCCGCCTCTAAACCCAGGTCTATGTCCAAAAGTGTGACACCTGCACCAGTGGCGCAGCCGCTTATCCCTCCAGAACTCATGCGGCATCCGTGGTCTCCAGAAGTTCAAAAGATTCTCAAGGATAGGTTCAGAATGAAGGGGTTCCGACAAAATCAGCTGGAAGCTATTAACGCGACGCTTGCTGGCCAAGACGCTTTTGTGCTTATGCCTACCGGAGGCGGAAAGTCCTTGTGCTATCAGCTTCCAGCGGTAATCCGGACTGGGAAAACAAGAGGAGTGACTATAGTGGTTTCGCCATTGCTCAGTCTAATGCAGGATCAAGTCCAGCATATGAAGGCTCTTGGGATTCAGGCTGTTGCCTTCAACGGCGAGTGCTCAGCTGACTATAAGAGACAAGTCATGAGCGCTTTTGACGAACGAAGTCCTGAGCACTTTGTGGAGCTTCTCTACGTCACCCCTGAAATGGTTATGAAAAATGGAGCTTTTAATAACGGTATGCAAACGCTATATCGCAAAGGCAAGTTTGCACGTCTGGTAATCGATGAAGCCCATTGCGTTAGCCAATGGGGCCACGACTTTCGTCCGGACTACAAGAACCTTGGACAAGTCAGATCTAAATTCCCATCCGTTCCAGTGATGGCTCTAACGGCTACTGCAACACAAAACGTCATTGTCGATATCAAGCATAATCTTGGAATGAACAATTGCCAAGTATTTTCGCAAAGCTTCAACAGACCGAATCTATACTATGAGGTGCGATCAAAGGGAAGCAATCCAGCTGCAACTGACAGTATTGCCGATCTCATCAATTCCAAATATCGTAACATTACAGGCATTGTTTACACGATTTCACGAAAGCAGGCGGAAGATGTGGCTAGCAAGCTTTGTGCGCGTGGGATCAAAGCAAGGCACTACCATGCAGCAATTGAGCCCCAGGAGAAACACGAAGTGCAAACTGCTTGGCAAAAGGGGATTGTCAAAGTTGTTGTTGCAACGATCGCTTTTGGCATGGGTATTGATAAACCAGATGTTCGGTTTGTGGTGCATCATGGCTTACCCAAGAGTTTGGAAGGCTATTATCAAGAGACTGGTCGAGCAGGTCGTGATGGAAACCCTTCGGATTGTATTCTCTTCTATGGCAAGGGGGATATAAGAGTCCTCAAGAAGATGATTGCTGACGGAGATGGAAATCAAGAGCAGAAGGAGCGTCAAATGGTCATGCTCAACCGTGTTTCTGCTTTTTGCGACAACCAATCCGACTGTCGACGAACAGAGGTTCTCCGTTACTTTGGAGAGGACTTTGATGCCTCACAATGTGGCAAGAGATGCGACAACTGCCAGGCTGGGTTGGTTTTCGAACAACAGGACTTCTCTGAATATGCTATTGCTGCCATCCGTGTTGTCCAAGCACAACACAAGCTTACAGCCAACCAGTGCGCAGATATTCTTCTAGGCAAAAGGTATCCGAACAATGAAGACGAGCTGTCGGACAAGTTTCATGGCATGGCAAAAGGACTGAAGAAGCATGAGGTTGTCCGAGTGATTGACAAATTGTCGGCAGAGAAGGGATTCTATGAGGACAATGTTGTTGGGAATTATGGTGTGGCCATTCAGTACCTCAAGATAGGCTCAGCTGCAAAGTACTTCTTGGCCGGTCAGCGGAAACTAATGCTCACTATTCAAGTTTCCGATAGCAGCTCCGCTAAGAAAGGGAAAGCGAAAGCCAAAAAGGTCACCACCAAAAACACGAAGGATGTTGACTCGGCAGCCTTTCAGTCCACGTATGTTTCGTCACCCATCGATAGACGCAAGGCTCGAGCCAGAAAACAGCGCATAATTGATGGTGTCGATGAGTTTGAATATGCGTCGAATGGATACGCTGATAACGGGCTTGTTGTCTCTGATGATGGCGAGGAATATGACAGTGATGGTGACGACGGATTTGATGCTCTGCCACCACACCGGGCGGCAAAACCACCGACGAAGTCAAGGGGTAAGCTGGCTACTGGTATGCTTATCAAATCTGGAAAGCAGCTCAAAGATCTATCCGAGATTCACCAGGATCTCGTCAATGGGTTTGTTGATGAGGCAAGACAGATTGAGGAACATATTCGGAATAAACGAGGCCTACGGCGTCCACTCTTCAGCGAAAACGACCTTCGCGAAATGGCTATCAACTGGACAGTGACAATCGACCGCATGAGCTGCATTCCAGGAGCCGACCCAGATAAGATTGCTGAGCATGGCCCCAGACTGATACCTGTTTTAAAACGCTATCATACCATGTATCAGGAAATCATGGGCGACAATGCAGCAGAAGAGTCTATTCAAGACATTGTGGACCTAATCAGCTCCGATTTTGAGATAGACGATGATGAAAAAGAGCCAGACGACCAAGAATCACATTATTTTAGCCGACCAGAGGTTGCGGCTTTCCATGAACGTCTGGAAGGTCTCAATAGCCAGCATCAGCAAGCACACTCTGAAAGCCAAAGTAGGAGCAAGCGGCCTTCATCTGGCTATGGAAGTGGCCGTAGTTCCAGAGGCAAGTTCCCTGGTAAAAAGTGGTCACGCAAAGGAGCTGCAGGCGGTGGCGGTGGTATAACAAAACGCAAGACCAGTGGTGTTTCGACGGCTGCCGGTGGTAGTAGTAGAAGAGTAACGTTGTCAAGAACAGCAACTTCGTCATCAACTTCAAAAAGAGACGGGAAGATTGTGATTAAGAAGAATGGGGGTGGCATCGGCCTGATGCCACTGTAATGAGATATGGTTTCAATGTTGGCATTGATATGGCAGCAGCGTGGAATTTCAATCCCGTAAGAACATGCATTTATAAGGAGTCTTTTGTTTGATTTAACCAGCATACCTGGTAAGGGCCGCGCTTAGAACTATGGGAAGTAAAGACGTTTTTGCACACGGCATATGGAGAGGCGTAGATAGATACCAACCACTGGAAACGGATCATTAGGAGTATATTACTTTAAGCACATGTGTTGTAGTGAGTAGTGAGTAGTGAGAAGCAAATAGTCGATATTATGTTCCATTAAGTTTGTAAATATTATCCTCACTGAGTACCTCCAGTTCACCAGGATTTGAAAATGTAGCAAGTAGAGTGACGTGAAAAGAGACGCGCTGTTCTCAAGGAACACCATAAGCTAGGCCAAAACAAATGGGGTTGGGTATACGGAGAACGATATGAAAAATGAACAAGCAGGCCGGAGTAGAAGACTCGGTGCAAAGATTGCAGAAGGAAAAGAGAGATATTGTGTGTGTAGCGCAACAGAGAAAAGGGAATGCCAGGTCGTGTCCATGGATCGTGGCGAGCGTCGTGTGGCCCTGATAACAAAAGAAAACAAGCAACTTTTGTCGCTGTAGAATGTCGATAAGGTGGGTAGGAAGAAAGACAAAGGGTCACAGAAATCACTCAGAATCGCCATCGAGGTCGAGAATCCTTCTCGGTGGCTGATTCTTTGCGCATACCCAGACGACTCCCAGGCTGAGGGCTGGACCTGCCAGCGCCTGCATCGCGAAACTTGGGTTGAGGGAGAAAGCTGCTGCGCCTGGATCGACCAGGGGCCAATGCACTAGATGGGCGGCTTGTTGAGCCTTCATCAGCAGCGGAAGCTGATGGAATTGGCTGCATTGATACACGGCGGTTTCCGGTGAGGGCCGCGAGAGACCTTTTCGAAGTTAATTTGGGAAACGCAGGACACAAGGCGATGTTGCACTTACTGGCCAGGCGAGCCTAATCTATCACGGATGGCAAGGCGTGAATTGCTACGTCTAGACGGCGTGCCGTCAACCATGGGGGATTCGGAAGTCGCTCGGGGAGCCCGAATAGTCGGCAGTTTGGACGAGCTCGCCGGGGTGACGGCCGAGACAGACCTTTGTGTAGTTGGTGTTCTTCGTGATGTACCGTGCGGTGAGGGCATGACTGGAGGATCGTACGGAAAGTCGACATGTAGGTCGTTCGTGTTTGTGGAGCCATTCCATCGTGGGCGGTGGTCAAGGGTTGAAGGAGGACGGTGGGTGTTGCTGGGGGGAACGGGAGTAGAGGCGGATGAGCTTGGAATGGTTGAGAGGCGAGCAAACCGTTTAGCAAAGCTGCTCGCAGGCGCGGGGATGGATGAATGTCGTCGGGATGTTTTGTTAGATGGTGCGAGAGTAGGCGTGTGAGGATCGAAGCCAAGGCTAGTCATGATGACGGAAGAAGGCGGAGAGCTGCTGGGTGTATCACGGCCACTCCCAAGAGTCGACTTGTCAGCGGAAAGCAAGCTTGACACAGATTCGCGCAGCTGTGTGCTCTTGCCCTCGGCAAGCATGTCTTCAACAACAGCATCCACCTGGTTCATCTGTTCCTTCAAATTGCTCCATCGCGATTGGATGTCATTATGCAGACGCAGAATCTCTCCATTGACGGTCAGTCGATCCTTGACGCCTCGGTCGATAATCGACAAAACTCGTTCAATTGCAGGCCCATAATGCATCTTTTTAGCTTCGTAGCTTTCGACTTTCTTGGCCATCGCAGGCGGATTTGTGACATGTGCGTTGGCATCCATAGCTTCTTTAAGTTTTGCAAGAGATCGTTCGACAGACTCTTGCATCTTCTGGGCTTGTCTTCCAGCGCCACGGAAGACAACCACCCATCGATCTTCACCCAGCTCCTTACGCAGAGATTCGGCATCATTTTCCAACTTCTTATAGCTGCCGTCCAGCCCCGTGCGGCGCATCTCCAATTCTTCGCATGCTGTCGGGAACATCTTCTCCGCCCTTGCTTCAAATACTGATAGACGCATGGGAAGAAAGTCTAGGGACGCGCGAAGTGGCTGCATTCTAGCAAACAGAGCCAGCAAACTGGAATCATCTGCAGAAAGGCCAGAACTACTAGCACCAGACGGCATGGTTGGTACAATAGGCATGCTAAGTCTGTTCGCTCTGGCGTACGCAAAGGCGGGTGAGTCATCCCCAATTGCATCCAAATCGTCGAAATCCGCATTGTCGCCGACAGTCAGGTTTTTGTGCCTGCGTTCCTCCATTTCGAAAACAAGGCGGCTAAGCTCATCCATTTCGCTCTGAATATCGCCCAAAACTGTATTCCACAGCTCTTCCCATTCCATCGCAATCTCTACTTGCACGCGAACATTGTGCAATGACTTTCGAATATTGGTCCATTCATTCACAATGATTTCCATTTGAGCCACTGCACGCTCTAGATCTGCTGTCGGTACTTGCGGTATATCTCCGCGCTGTTGCAGTCGCTCGATTGCGCTGACATAGGCATTTATGAGTTCTTCGAAACGCGAAATGGCGGTTTCCACATCATCGAGTCCTTCCCGGCCAGCAGCGGCAGCCCACTCGACATCGTCTTCGCTATCAAGGCCACCAATTACTTCGTGAGCTTTAGAAATCCAACTGCGGAGTTGCTCAGCGGCATTTATAAGCGCCTTAGTAGCAGCTGAGGCTGTCGGAATAGCGGAAACTTTGCTTGACAAAGACTCGGCATCGGGTAGCTGCAACGAGGTTAGCTGTGCAAGCTGGTTCGCAAATGACGCTCTCGATAGAGTATAGATGGAACCAGGCCGGTTATGTCCTGGAGTAAAGTAGGAGCTTAACCCAGGAACATATTCATCAGATACCTGCGCAGTGGCTGGTGGGGTAGTTTCTGTGACAGGAGAATCCTTCGGAGGTGGGATGGGGGGCTCTGAGCTTCGTGGCTGGGCCTGCTCAGTAGCTATTTGTCTCGCAAGATGCTCATTTCGCGTGGCAAGTGTGGCCTTTGTGCCGTTACCGTTGGTGTGATCCGGTAGGCGGTATTTTTGCGTATCCATGGGCAGTGGCTCAGGAGATTCTATTTCGGGGAGCTGTGGTGTTTTGTCAAGTAAAGGTGCGGCCTTGAGATTGGGCTGACTGGCCGAAGACTTGAGAGCAGGAGAGGCGGTGGCCCCTCTCCACGGGCGACCGCGCCTAGAGATGACCGAAGATAGAGAGCCTGCAATGTGTTTTTCGTCGAGTTGGCGAAGTTGCCTTGTGTCGAGACGGCCAATGTTTTCTTGGAGCGGTGTGGGTGGCTCTGGAGAGCTCCTTTTGGACGGACCGAAACCAAGGGCCTTGAGGCGCGCAGCCAAGCCAGGTGAGGTTTTTCGAACTGCTGGTGCTTGATTAGAGGGCGGCGCTGCAGGCGCGGTGAGATGCGGGAGATTTTGGTCTAGCTGTGGTGGGATTTGAATGTTGCTAATGGCCGCAACTGGTGTTGGAGTATCACGGTCCCTGCTGCTACTGCGGCTCCAGGAGGAAGTACCGCTAGCGGGTGAGGTGGAGAGCTTAGCAGCACTGCTGTGTGTGGAGTCCGCGAGCGAGGACGCGGACCAGCTGGACGATATACTGGGCGGGCACTGCAAAAGGGATGAATCGCTGGGCGAGACGTCGAGGAACTTGAGAGTATTCCCATGAAAGTCTTGGGGAGCACGTAAGTCGTTGTGTGAGAAAGGCCTGTACAACCGATTGTTGGGCAAATGGGCGTGGCTGCTTTCGGGATCCAAGGCGACGCTCATGGGCCGTGATTTGGTAGGGAGCGGAGGACTCGGTTGGGGCGGTACTTGGACCCTCAATTTGGTCGAGGTGGTGCTGTTGGGCTTCGTCATTGGCCTGTTTGGGCGGGGTTAGAGGCAGAAATAGGTGCGTCGCGACAGGTGAGACGCGCTATAACGCGCCCGAAATCGAACAATAGGAGCCCCGCTAGAAAAAGCAGCCTGGAAGGTTAGCGAGGAGTTGAGAAGGGGTTGGTGGTTGCAACAGGCTCGACACCGTAAACAGTAAGCCGAAATGTGACAAAACACGCAGAGAAGAGTATGAGATGAGTGAAGTGTGAGGGGGAGAAAAGAAAAAGACAAACAGGCGGACACGGCAGCCAACTGTCGCGAGAGCGTCAAAAGAAAGGAACGGCGCAGCTGGCGGCACTGTCAATGACAGTGGGGGCCGGCAGGCTTGGCCGGCGGTGGAAAGGTGGGAGTGAGGTGCAGGCACAGGCACACGGCACTGTAACGGGAGCTCTAGCGGCAGGATGCAGAAAGTCAAGGGGAGAATTGCAAGTGACAAGGAAAAGTTGACGAGAATGGGCAAGTGAAAGGCAAGTGAAAGGCAAGTGAAAGGCAAGTGAAAGGCAAGTGAAAGGCAAGAGGATATATCAAGACAAACAAGTAAACAGAGTGTATGTTCTGCTTTGTTGTTATCGAGATTTGCTTTTTTACTTTCCTTTGCGACACCCTTCTCGCTACTTACCAGATTCGTCGGTTTTGCCCTTGGGATAGCTTCCCTTGGCTAGTTGTTGCACCCCATACGGGAAAAGGGGGTTGCGCGGGAGATGGTCGCTGTGCCAGCAGAGACAGGGCGTAGTAAGCGCTGTGAGAGAATGGAAGAAGAAGATTTCACAATAGACAGTATCAAAGCTGGTAATTGGGAAATAAAAAGAAGTAGAAGAAGGTGACAAGAGATGAAGGAGGGAAGGATGTTGGCAAGATTAGGTAGGGTCTGCGATAGTCGCTTCGCCGCCAACGCCACTGGAAGTCAGGGTATATCTCCCAACGCGTAAATCAATCAGTGGCAACGAGACAAGCGCTGGTCCCTATTTGTCTGGGCCAAAAAAAAAAGAATAGGCAGTGAGAGACCCTGGCGAGGGTAAATTGCGACAGCCCATGCTACCCCTGCCAGATTTCCAAGGCGCCTTATTCCTGTATAAATTTTGGTGTGGCAAGCACCTCAATGGACGTCTCTCCTCTATAGTTCTTAAGCGGATCTCCATAATCTATCTATTCAAGTATGTCGATTTGCTTTGCCAAGTTCAAAGGCGTAGAATTGCTGTAGGCATCGACGGACCCAAAATAGACCGTGATTATCTCTCAATCTCTCGCATTCGCGACTGCCACCAAGCAGGAGACCATGGCATAGGTTGCGTTTGTGGTAGTGTTACTGCACAGTACTGTTCCAACGGCAAAGGAAGAATGCCTTGGTTCTGGTTCCCATGGAACCGTTGCTTGGGTAGTATTTCTAGTCAACGGCCTGGAGTAGTTGCGGCACCCAAGACGACTGGAGAAAGATGTTCGCTTCAACTTAGTGGCGTGTGAGAGTCCTGGCTCGTTATGTGCCTCCTAACAGAAAAAAAAAAACAGTAGCTCCTACATAGTAGCAAAGGATGCCCAGGCGTGTCTTTGATATCTCCTGGAAGGGCCGACTAGGATGAATGTCTCGGATTATTTATTAGTCGCAGCAGCACCGTGCGTGGAACTGGGCGTTTGCAATCGGCTGGTGCAAACCCACTCTGGTTCTCTTGTGCAAGGGGACGCCTGGTGGTTGTTATAGTCGGCAACATGTCTGCATATGTGTTCTCTCTCTCATTTATAAAAGAAACAAAAAAAAAGGCAGCGAGAGATGGAACAAGTTGATACCTTGCCTTTCGTAGATTACAATTCTCTTTTCTTCTCAAACCACCATTCTTTACCCCTTCTATAAACTGTGGGACGCAGCATTCCTCTCCCGTCTGCCCCTGGCTGCTATAGGCCAGTCACGCCCCTTTAGCGGCCGAGTTAGGCACATGTTGCCCTGGGATATGAAATCCAAGCGCAAACAGAAGCCCAGGACATGGGACTGACAGGCGGAAGCATAGGCATGTTCTAGAGGCGACGATACATGTGGTGTTTATGTATAATGGTATTATCGTGTTGGCAGCACCAATATCTTCGCAACTTCTTGTCCTTGTCCTTGTCCTTCTTGTTCTTCTTTTCTCCTGTGCTGATTACCCTACTTGTTTGCTGTTGTTTGCGGACTAACAAAGTCCGCAAAGGATAATGATTTAGCATTATATCCGCCCAGAGCATACTTTACAGTTCTTCAGCACCAGCCCTCCAAACCCCTGGCACCATCGTGTTTCGGTTGTGGGGTAGTACAGTAACCAGAAGGTTTGGTCCCTGGCCGTCTGCAACTGAATCCGGCCGTCAGATATCTGTTTTCCCTTTGGAAAAAAAAATCAAGTGAGAAGAAAAGCAATTTTTAACAGAATATCTCTAACTATTGATAAGCCTTCTGGCGGCCTGCTTGTGCCTGAGCGTCACAAGCCTGCACAGCAAAACACAAAGCCCTTTCATTGCGGCTCCGCCAAATCTCCAACGCAATTTCCAACTGCACCAGCACCAGCCATACCGCGACGACAGTGGACTCATTCACTGGACAGTCCTTTCCTCGGCCATCTTCCTGTCTCCGCTCAAGGACCAGCATAATCCCCTCCCCTCTCCCGAGGGAACAACGGGTATAATTCAAGCGGCTTATGAATAGCCAATCTTCGTTGCTTGGCCTGATTTGCTTTCCCAGCGACGCGCGATCCGTTTCTGCTTCATCTGTTGTCACTGCCCACAACAACAACCCTGGTACCTGGTTCAAGACGCAACGCTCCCTGAAGCATCACCTACTACACGCCTTTCCGATCCAGCCACGGGTACCCTGTCGACACTGTTTCCACGCCTCCCCCTCCGCCTCTCCAACTTCTTCCACAACATCATCCCATCTGCTCTTCCACAATCAAAACTGCTGTTCCAACTACCGGCCCGTGATTCCTTCAGCTCCTTCATTTACTCGCTCACTTTCCACCTGCTTACCTGTTGTGCTACGAGCAAAGCTACACTGGTACTATCTGCAAACCAGCGATCGATTCCGCCGCCACCACCATCCCTCGCGTCTCCTCGGTCACCATAATCAGTACCACCCCATTCGACACAAAAGCAGCAGCCCCGATAACTACACCGTACTTTTTCTACATTACACCATCTCGTTTGTTCTCTTCATCGGCATTTTGCAGCAGCACCTCGTGCAACACGTAGCAGAACACCTGCGTTCTATGGCAGCTACACACAACCAGGCGTCTCCCCCAGAGATGTTGCCAACCCCGCCCATCGGGGCGTGCCCAGAGCTGTCCCGGTGCGTCTCAACATCTTCATCACAATCACACGGCTCAAGCACGGATGGGCCGTCGAGAGAGTCTCTCGGCAGCCACCAGGCTGATTCTCGACAATCGTCGGGCTCCTACCACTCGCGGAGATCCGACGCCTCCGTCCAGTCCGTCGGAAGTGCGTCGCACAGCGTCGACTCTAAAGGCCGTCGAAGAGGATACATGCGCCCACAAGGTACTTATTTCGCCGCTAGCGCCCGGTCTCGTGAGAGTGTCATGAACCTAGGCAGCATTGCCCATCTACAATATTATTTTGCACGAACTGGTCTCCTTGATGGCAAGGGGGGGCAGTTAGCCAGGAAGAAGCAGCCTAGAGCCACGCTGGATATGGCTGCTCTAGAGGGTGATGCCTCAGCTCCTAAGATTGTTGAATCTGACGCCGATGCCGAACCCTCATACACTTTTATGGGCACTGCTCCAGACATGACCTCCAACGACTATATAGCAAGCGCAACAATAGGCCCGACACCAGACGAAGATGACGACGACGACTGTTTCGAAGACAGTTTTGCAGAGTCCGACCCAGGTATGCTTCCACCGACTGTGAGCACATATCATGAAAAAGAAAAGCATCTGCCGAAGCCGCCTTCAATCGACGAGTTAAAGGAGGATCTAATAGCATCACTGCATGAGGCGGCAACAACTTTGCGTGAAGCTGAAGCTAGAAAAGCGGGAACCTATGAGGGCTCATCCAGCGACGCTGATACTGTCAACATGCCCGAAGAAAACACCCAAGGCTGGTACGAGCTGCAAGGCATGCGCATATTGGATGTCGTGACGCTGGCCATCCGAGCAGCAAAGATGTACTACACCGCACATGAGCTCCCTGACCGTCTCGATTCTATTAAACCCGAGAAGCAAGTTCGTTCCGATTTGCTAGCGGTGATGGAGGTTCTGAAGCAGATGGCCGTCCGCGGCTTCAAGGGCGGCATGAAGGACGACGACATTAAGACCATTCTAGGATGGACCGACAGCGTGTTTGACATCCTCAAGAAGGAAGAGCAAATCGAAGCGGCTGAGAAGCTCGAAAAAGACAGTTGGACATGGCTCGAGGGCGACTGGACTGGACGCGAATATGAGCGCGAGCGTGCGTTTCTTATGTCCATGAGCCCCGATGCAGAGCCTCTTCCAGAGTGGACACCAGCCAGTCTCGATAGTACCCTACCCACGCCATTCTTGAAGAGCATGCAGAATGGCCTCCGTCTCGTTAAGTTGCACAACGCTGTGGTTCAAAAGTCCAGGCGTCGCTTCGGCGCGATCCCTACATTCCACACGGACACACAAAAGCCCTACCGCAGTGCAGACAACCTCCGCTACTGGGTCAAGGCGGCAGAGCTGCGCTTCGAGATTCTCATCAAGATTGACGCCTTGGGTATTGTCTATGATAATGGCCCCAATGTCTGGATGGACTTTGAAGTGGCCCTTCTCAAGTGGTGCAGTCTTGTTCGCCAGGAGATTGCCAGCGAGCTTCGCAAAACCTGAAAGACCAATACACCTATCTGCTGCACCTCCATTTTTATTTCTTCAAAGCTACCACATTTTAATTAACGAAATCATGGCCACTGGTGAAGGAGTTTTGTTTTCATCACCATCAATTTGCTGCATTTCCTTTGTCGGGTTTTTCATTCATTAGGATATACCTCTACTACTTCTCCGGGCACTTTTAGACGATGACAGCCTTCGCATACTATAATACTCACCATATACCCATAGCATTCATTACCGGGTTACTTTATCTCATGGAATGCACAATTTTAGTACTTCATGGCACTTTCACATAAGGGGTCTCATTTTTCTTGGCAATTCTTTTTTTTATTTGATCAATATGTTTTCGCTATCTAAACATGCTCCTACTGTACTCCCATCGCTAATAGCAACAACTCTGCACAAACGTTGCATCTAAGTATCGCTTTGTTTGTTTTTGTTTTTTTGTAAGTGCATTCAATTTCTCCAACACCCATGATCAAAGCTTGCTATACAATAGCAAGTAATATACAAAACGAGCAACTTGTCGAAAAGACAACCCTCAGGATTAGTTGATATCAACCTTTCGGATCTCAGTCCACTCCTTCTCAATCTTAGGCACTGTGACAATCAAAACGCCGTCTTCCATCTTGGCAGTAATGCCTTCTTCATCAACATCGTCTTTCTCGCTGACTCCTGCGGGGGGGAGCTCAATCTCTCTCTCGAATACACCAACTCGTCGTTCTCCGTTATGCAGCGTCTTTAGGAAGTCTTCGTCCCCCGGACGATGAACGACGCCAGACACGCGGAGCACATTTCTTTCGGGGTCCCAGCTGACTCCAATGTCCTCCTTCTTTGCGCCAGGGAGGGCAAAGTGCAGAACGTAAGCCGTGGTCGTGTTGAAGACATCCGTGGGGGGAGAGAAAGAGTTGGTATCTGAAGGCTGCGCTGCAGAGCGGTAGCGTGAGGCAGCATCACCCATGTGGCGGAAGAAAGGGTGGTTGGCAAATCCGCGAATAAACGCTGGCATATCGGGAGGGCCGCCGGCGTGGTGGTGACGGCCGTGTCCACGTCTTCGACCGCGGCATCCGGCTCGGCCATGGCGGCCGCGAGGAGCCCAGAAGCTGCCAGCACCGTAGGGAGGAGGGTGGAAGGCATCTTCGTCAGGAGTGACCTCGGCAGGATCAGGGCAGTCTTCTTCGAGTGTTGCCGACCTTTCTTTTTCGTTGCGGTTGTTGCTGGGCTCGGCGTCGTCGGTCATGGTCTGGTCGTCTTGCTGGGGAGCCTGACCGTCTTTGGGCTTTTTGTGTTTAGTCTGTTGCTCTTCGTCCTCGTCATCAAACATCCACCAGGGATTGAACGGACCGAATGGGCCGCGGGGAGGGCCGTGGTGGCGATGATGAGGGCTAGCTCCCCAGGGTCCGTGACTGTTGAAGGGAAACGGGGCAGATGGGTGATGATCTACGCCACTTCCTGGGGCTCTGTGGGGGTTTGCATACTCCCAGAAGTTGAAGTCGTCGTTGTGGTTGTTGGGTGGCATGGTGAAGTGTAAGTTGGCAGCGTGTAAGTTGGTGAAAGGGTGGGTGGTGGGTGAGGGGGTATATATTCAAGGTAATAAAAGCAAAATGCTTGCGAGAATATTGACAACTTTATGCAAACGAAGAAGGGGAACCCTCGACTTATATGCTTTTCAAAGAATGGCTTCTCGGAGATAGGCGCAACGCCGAATAGACGTAGTTAAGGGTAAATCAGGCCGCCTTCTCAGCCGCAAGGCAGCCTAAAGAGTGACGAGTATCTCTACATCGAATCGTCTAGATTGACGAGGGAAAGAATGACGACTATAGCAGCCGCGTAACCAATCACCTGCCTAAGCAAACGCCGTCAGTTGTGTGGCACGATGGGAGGTGTACGACACGTATGGAGTCATCCACCTATTTGGAGGGCAGGGGGCGTTTTAATGTGAGCACTCGGGAAATTTAAGTAATAGTCACCCTGTACGTGGCCTGCGTCTAATAGCAAACGTCTTGTCTTTGGTCTCTTACACTCGGCCATTTGAACCCGGGTTGAATCGCTTGCCGCAATATGGGGTCCAATTTGGTGCTTTGTTGTTATTCTATTGATGAAATATCATTTAGCCTAGTTAGCGAGTGCCGCAATTGTATGAAGAATTGCTCCTCTGGACAAGATGTTAGCGCATGTCTAGGGAGCAAGCCAGTGGCAAATGAGGTGACGCGGTAAATCATATGCCTGCGCGGCTCAACACTGGTGCAGTTCTCACTAGCGCTTGCTCCGGAGGCGCTGACGCGGCGGCCCGGCCGGGGCATCCGCCGTTTAGTGGACGGTAACTTACAAGTGGAACAGGACGTTGGTAGAAGTCCGCTGTGCCTGGGACAACGAAGAAGTGATGACAATACAAAAATGAAGAGCCGCCAACAAGCCCCATTAACAACCTGATTATATTCCTAACCATATCTTCCATAGGCGAACCTCTCCGTAACCTGGCCTTGCACACTGCTGCGACAAAACACAGACTTGTCTATGCATTGTTGAGCGACACCACCTGCTACCATATGACTTTCTAGGTTTCGCACTCACAAGGGGGTTTTGGTGGTCTCTAAACTCACTACAATTTACTACTTCTCGTACAAAATAAGCTCGCAATGCCTGTTCTGAACGCTTCGCCTTCGTGTCACATCCCGGACTTGAAGGTTCATGTACAGCCAGTGTTGGCTACTCTGACGTCTAGTACTGCCATCTGTTCGCCAGCCAAAGATGTGACCATAAAATCATATAAAATTGCCAAAATAAAAGACGAGAATAGTACACGACGTGGTATATAAATTTAGGATATATATTCTCCTTACCCAGACCCGCTTGTACTCTCGCTCGTTCGTCGTCGCTGCTTGTCATCTGTCGTGTTTGCAAGCACGCCACATGCCTCTGATTGGCTGCGCACGATTTGAAATGCATCATCGGCAACCCACCCCCCAGGAAAAAAGTTAACGCTGCTTCTTTTGCTTACCACGGGTTTTCAACAGCTCGCCAATTACCGCACTTGTAGTCGCTAGTATATATCAATTCACAATGGACGCAAAAGTCGCCTCTCTACGTTCGTCAATTAGCACTCGCCCCCGCCGTCTTCCTGTCAGCTAATTGTTTTCGTCTCCGTAGCTCCCGTCCAGCCCGCCGCTGCCACGCCATCATCCGACAACGCCGCTCGCCCCAAGGTACAGATCCAGAGCACTGCCCGAAAATTGAGTACCAAGCTAATCGATTTCGGTAGCCCTGTTGTGTTTGCAAAGAGGAAAAGTCGAAGCGCGACGAGTGTATGCTTTTCTCCAACGCCAAAGACCCTGCTGCCGACTGCCAATCCTTCGTCGACAAGTACAAGGCTTGTATGGCCGGCTTTGGCTACAAGGTCTAGGCTATACGTTTCGCTGTTCTGACACTTCTGGAAAGTTTTTCGTCTTTGCCATCTTCGTCTAGATGCTTCTTTTGTAACATTACGATAATCTCGGCCGGTTCATTATCACTCCAGCCACTGTAATATTATGTATCATAAGTTCTCCTCTTGTTCAACATCCTCTCCCTGGAGAAACAGTGCTAAATGGGTTTGTTTTGTTCAATGGCCCTTTCTCTACTTTTGTAGCCCATCAGCATCATTTCCTCCACCTTGTCCATGGCCCTGCTTATCTCAGCAACAACTTTCACCATGCGTGTTTCAATCCTTTGCTTCTGTTTGGTAAGATCAATAACCATATTCAGCTTCTTAACCTGCTTTTGTTGACTGCGAGAATATCAGCATTGAATTTTGACGTTGCGCTGAACCTCAAGCACGCACTGTTGGTGCTGCGCCTCTCGCCGGACCCTTTCCACACGAGCTTTGATTCTGATAAGTTTTGTGCTACATTTGGAAATAGCTTGGCAAATCCGTTTATCTCGACTCTGTTTCAACTGTTTCGTGTTAGAACCTGGTGTAATCATTCTTGAAAGTTTTGAAAACAGCTCACTCGCAGTATACGTTGCTGCATTTGCACCGCGGCTGCGCCAGAATCTTCTTGGCTCCCATCAGATAGGCTTTCCTGAACAGGCATACTTCGTCTGGGTCTTGTCATTATAAATATATGAGATACTTCCAAGGCACACTCTGTAATGTCAAGTAATTGATGCCCAGCGTCAATCATGGCAATCAGAGAGAACACACCACCTGACACCAGCGCAAACATGCGTTTATTTGGCAGCTGCCAGCTGGTGCCAAGTTTACCAGCCGGCGGCTGCGAGCCGCTGGAATACTTGCAAAAACATCACTCATGACACTTTGATTATAAATTCACTCAATACATATTCATGATTCCCCTTTTGGTATTATCATACATCATCCTTGTCAAGGTTGACAGTTCTAATTTTGTTTATGGCTCCCACCCCCTTATCTCGAAAGTGCGATATCGTCTATTCTCAAAATCATCTTGACAGTCTCAGCAGCCAATTCAATGGCACTAGTGCTGACAAGAAGAGGCTGCAAGACATTCTCCTTGGAGATGTTAGAGTTAACGCCACCGGACTTGATAGAGACGCCGGCGCTCTTCTCGCCCATTTCGTGGCGGTGACGAAGGTCTGTGACAACCTTGATGCTATTAAGGCCGGCATTTTCAGCCAAAGTAGTAGGGATGACCTCCATAGCATCGGCAAATGCTTTCCAGCAAATGGCCTCCGTACCAGTCAGGCTGCGGGCCTGTTTGGACAGCTGAGCCGCAATCTCGATTTCAGGAGCACCGCCGCCAGCAATGAGAGCCTTCTTCTTGACCAAACAGCGTACGACGCACAGAGCATCATGGAGACTGCGCTCGGCCTCCTCCAGAATCAGCGAATTGGCACCACGAACAACAACGGAAACGGTCTTGCCAGTGGCCTTGGCACCAGTAACCTTGACCATCTTCGCGCCGTTGTTGTCAATCTCCTCAACTAGGTCGGCGGTACCAAGCTTATCCTCGGTGAAGGAATCAATGTCGGCAATGGGCTTGCAGCCAGTAGACTTGCAAATGAATTCGACTTCGTCCCTCTCAATATCCTTAATCGCCATAATACCAAGTTTGGCCAAGAAATGCAGCGCGAGGTCGTTCACAGCATCACGAAGAATGGATTTCTGGATGAAGAGAACGTTGCACTTGGCCTTCTTGATCTTCTTGGCCATATTAAGGAGATAGAGGCGCTCCTCCTTGACAATCTTGTCCATCTGTCGATAGTCGTTAACTTGAATAGTGTTTTCCATCTAAAGAACATTAGCTTTTTTGGTCGCCAAGTAAAGTAATTTGAAATAAGACGTACGTCGGGCTTGGGCGGGCTGAGCTGGAACTGAATGAGACCAATCTTGGCTTTCTCCACGCGGGCAGGACCACCAGCGTTGCGCAATACAGGCTGGGTCAGGATGAGGCCATCGGTCAGTTCGCTGTCTTCGATGGTACCACCAACTTTCTTGATGATGCGAATGTTGTTAAGGTCGACGTTTTCGGCGGTCTTAATATCAATCGTCTTGGTGACAGCGTTTACGGCCATGGAGCCGAGCAGGCCAGAGTATTGAGAAACAATCTTAGAGGAAAGCGAGGTGTTGGCGGCCTGGAGAAGAGAAGAAGTATCTGACAGGGAGATGGGCTGCGACATGTCGTGAAGAACCTCAACGGCAGCAGCAGCGGCACGCTGGAACGACTCTGAAATGACGGAAGGGTGAATACCCTTGGAAAGCAGACGGTCAGCAGCACCAAGCAAGCTGCCGCAAATAACTACGACAGACGTAGTACCATCACCAGCCTCAATATCTTGGGCGCCGGAGAGGTTGACAAGCATCTTAGCAGTAGGGTGCATGACAGACATGCTCTTCAACATCGTATTACCGTCGTTCGTGATAATGGTCTCTCCTTTACCGCTTCGAATCATTTTGTCCATTCCGCGGGGGCCGAGAGAAGTCCGGATAGCATCAGCCACAGCTGTTCGAATAGTAAGCATAATTAATATAAAAAAGAGGCTGGTGCGGTGTCATATGTATACCTCTAGCAGCAACAATGTTGGATGATCGAACGGCCAACGGCTTCTCCTTGTCCTGCATCACGGTTAGTGGGGGAGCTTAACAGCTTGCAAGTCAAGCTCTGCGTACTCTGAATGTGGCATTGCCACCTTGGCCACCAGATGCTACTTCGGCAGACATGGTGATATGTTTTTGTAGGTATAGAGTTCCGCGTGGGTGGTGTTGGTAGGCGGCGTTGATGATGTTCGAAAGCCTTCGAGGGGCGGCTTGGGGGGGTCGCTGGAAGCCTGGGCCTGGATATCCCACCTTCTGGTCCTGCCCTACTCCACCGTCAATTGGCACCTCGAATTTTTGCATGGTAGAATCGGCGGTGGGGATTTTCCACCTTCCGCCACCTTCTATCCGCCCACGCACCAAAGCGGACTAGCGCGGCAGTACCACTCAGTAACATGGACCACATATCGAGCTCTCAGGCACCCTGGGATTACGGCATGCTTCGTTTGCCTACGCCGCCCACCTTCGACGCATCATCAACCCCAGTCAACAATCAACGCTACGCTTTGTACGGCGATACAGAATTCTGTCTGTTTATTTGCACGCATATAGTCTGAGGATTCAAGAGTCACACGTAGCGCGTTAATTCCGCGCCTTTCGTCATGGTAGGCAGCTGTTCCAATTGCCAGCGTGGACGTTTGTGCTGACACCAGGACATAGCCTTCCGCAACGGGCCAGAACTGGGAAAAGTACCAGAAGAACTTCGCCGACGATGAGGTAGAGGAGAAGAAAATTACACCTCTCACCGATGAGTACGATATACCGATGGCTACTGTACACCCCAGTGCTAATAACAATGACTAGGGATATCCAGGTGCTCAAGACCTACGGCGCTGCTCCGTACGGCACGTCTTTAAAGAAGCTCGAGAAGCAGATCAAGGAAAAGCAACAGAGCGTTGACGAGAAAATCGGCGTCAAGGTAGGCCTCTTTGGCGCTTGGGGACGATGCGCATACGCTGACACCTCTCTAGGAATCCGATACCGGTTTAGCACCACCACATCTATGGGATGTCGCCGCCGATCGCCAACGAATGCAGGAAGAACAGCCCTTCCAGGTTGCGCGATGCACGAAGATCATTGCTGACGAAAAGGGAGACGAAGCGAAGAGCAAATATGTTATCAACGTCAAGCAAATCGCCAAATTTGTCGTTCAGCTTGGTGAGCGAGTTAGTCCTACGGATATCGAAGAAGGCATGCGCGTTGGTGTGGATAGAACCAAGTACCAGATTATGCTTCCTCTACCCCCGAAGATCGATGCCAGCGTCACAATGATGACAGTCGAAGAGAAGCCCGATGTTACATACGGCGACGTGGGTGGCTGCAAGGAACAGGTCGAGAAGCTCAGAGAGGTCGTCGAGATGCCACTATTATCACCGGAACGCTTCGTCAATCTTGGCATCGACCCTCCCAAAGGTGCTCTTCTCTATGGACCCCCCGGTACTGGCAAAACCCTCTGCGCCAGAGCTGTTGCCAACAGAACAGATGCCACCTTTATCCGCGTCATTGGTAGTGAGCTTGTTCAGAAGTACGTCGGCGAGGGTGCTAGAATGGTCCGCGAGCTATTTGAGATGGCTCGTACCAAGAAGGCCTGTATCATTTTCTTTGATGAAATCGATGCAGTGGGTGGAGCCCGTTTTGACGACGGCGCTGGTGGGGACAACGAAGTACAAAGAACCATGCTGGAACTGATCACACAGCTTGACGGTTTTGACGCCAGAGGTAACATTAAGGTCATGTTTGCCACCAACAGACCATCGACCCTCGATCCCGCGCTGATGCGTCCTGGTCGTATCGATCGTAAGATCGAGTTCTCATTGCCTGACCTCGAGGGCCGCGCCAACATTCTACGCATCCACGCCAAGAGCATGTCCGTTGAGCGTGACATCAGATGGGAGCTAATATCGCGTTTATGCCCCAATGCTACGGGCGCAGAATTACGCAGTGTGTGTACGGAGGCTGGCATGTTTGCCATTCGAGCCCGAAGAAAGGTGGCCACAGAGAAGGACTTTTTGAGCGCCGTCGACAAGGTTATCAAGGGTAACCACAAGTTTAACTCTACGGCGACCTACATGCAATACAACTAAAGCGTCTTCACTTTTGTATTTTACGTTTAATGTACGATCAAACATGGGGTTTTGGACGACGGCTTGCGATAGATTTACGGTAGATGTAGACGCAATGGTAAATCCACCCTAACTCAGGCATCACGGCAGCTTTTTATGTGATAATTAGTGATGCTGTATATTGCTATTATTTCCAATACTCTAACACATATCCGGTATATTTAAAAGAGGACGTGCACCTCAACGATACAAATGATGAAGTTCCAATGAAATGCTGGCAGATGATCCTAAACGCTAAACAAAAACAAAGAAAGAAAATGGCAAGAATCAGGTACTAGAAGGAATTTTCCCTTTACAATACACATCTTCCAATACATAAATATTACAAAGAGCAAATCGTTACGTCGTAAAGTGTTCGCGCTGTCCTCAGCTAGGAACGCTCCGTGTTCGATAAGCAACCCAAGCAGATCACTTCTCCTTCCGCACCGCGCTCTACACAGCAGCGGCTACAAACAAAGGTTTGATGGTCACCAGCATTCCAACTTGTCATGTCAGTGCTTGGAAATGTCAGCAGCTCATCATCCCCTTTATCACTGACGTGTCTATCGAAGTTGCTGTCGCCATCTGTATCTTCCATATGGAAGAAGCGAGACAACGCCTTTTGTTCTGATATGATAGATATGTCTTCATCGGATGTGTTGCGGCCGTAGCATTGACGAATGCAAACAAAGCATGTACGTTGATTGCACCCCTGGCATTCTGCAAAGGAGTCCAGGTCTGACTTCTTTGTTGGGCGTCGGTAGCAAATATGGCAAGGAGACAGGTTCATCGACATTGTGAGGTGGTTTGATTTCGTGTATACGTCGGCAACATTATGTGGTGTTCGATGTTGAGACGATCGACGTCGGTGGCTGGGCGAGAAGTCTGCATGCAGCAGGGTGCCGTCGTCAACGCCAAACTTGGTACGTTTCGAGAGCGGGAGAATCTTGCGGCTACCACCAGAGCTATTAAGATACCCTGCCGACTGTAAAACAGCAAATATAGGGCCTTGGTAGTCGCCGTCGTGTCGCCGGCGCTTGCGTTGCGACTGGGCGTCCTGGCCCATGAATGGCATGTCGTCACGCGTCCAGGTATCCGAGAGAACAGAGATCGTGGTGTGAGATAGGTAGGCGGTATTTCTATACTCTATCGATTTTCCGTGTCTCCATAGCAAGGCTCCCAGGATACGGCAGCTAAGAAATCAAAAGAGTGCAGGAGCTCTAGAAGAAAGAGAGGGAGGGACAACAAATACGGGAGACACAGAGGTTGCAGCCGCCGCTAAAAAAGATGTCGGCACAGTGGGCCCTCGCTGTGGGGACGCTGAACAGTTTCAGGCCAGGCACCAGCGTCGTCACTTCACTTCTAGCAGCGAGGACACAGTAGGCTGCCTGCTGTACGGATTACTTATTTATATCTTATCGAATATCAAGCAAAATAAATTGGCCGTAAAATTTGAGTCCTCCTCTTTATTCCTATGAACAACATAGTCTATCCTAGTAGCTCTTTGCCGCTGCTCACGGATGACTAGTCCTACTGCACGAAAAGGTTTAATGGCAGAGGGCCTGTTGTGCATTCTTACACTTTGGATAAGCAGATGATGTTCTTATTTTGGCGTCAACGTCTCAGCACATTTGGAGCGAGTGTGTTTTCAATAAAATAGCCTGTTTTGGGCTTATATTTGACTAAAACACCATCACTCACCATGACTACGTACCTTGCAAACACGCCCTTCATGGGCTATGCAGGAGTAATGAGCTCACTTGGAAATCCACCAGGCTGTGGCGTTCGTTGGACAACAGTATAATCGGAGTCATCTCTCGCCTCGAGTTAGAGGATACGCATACGAGTTAGACTCTCACAAAACAAACAAAATGTGTACGTCATTGGAAGAATAAGACAAAGTAAAGGTATTGAAATAGCTTTCATCTGATTTACACTCTAGCCCCAGCTTTAAAGCCTCATGACGCAACTCCCAATTTCCTACCTGCCTCCACCAAACAAAGAAAAAGCAGCTTTGGGGGCGACTAGTTATACAACGAGGCACAAACGATACTTTTATCGGCGGACCTTGGTCTCGGCAGGAGGGTCGTAGGCAAGCTTTCTCGACTTGAGCCAAGCCCACTTGTAACGCTTAACGTAGACGCTGAGAGCCCAGAGGGTGGCGGTAACAGCAAGAACCTTCATACCCATCTTCTTACGGTCGTCCATCTCAGGCTCGGCAGCCCAGTTGAGGAACTCGACGACGTCCTTGGCCATCTGCGAAGTAGAGGCGGGAGTGCCATCCTCGTACTCAACAATACCGTCGTACAGAACACGAGCCATAGCAATACCGGTACCGGGGAAGTAAGGGTTGAAGTTCATGCCAGGGGCAACCTGGGCGCCGGCAGGAGGCTCATCGGGGTAACCAGTCAGCAAGCTGAAGATATAGTCGCAGCCACCGTGGCGGGCCTTGACAATCAAGGACAAATCAGGGGGGAGAGCTCCGTTGTTGGCGAAACGGGCAGCCTCCTCGTTCTTGTAAGGATCGGGGATGTAGTCGGCAAGCTTTCCGGGGCGCATGGCGATCTCGCCCTGCTCATCAGGCTCGCCAGGGTACTCGTTCTCCTCAGCAAGGGCCTTGGCTTCGTCGACAGTTAAGATAGAGCCGACAAAGGTGCGGTAAGGGACACGGGAGAGAGAGTGGCAAGAAGCGCAGACTTCACGGTAGACCTGGAAACCACGGCGGAGACTACGCAAATTTGGTGTCAGCGACATTCGGTGATTGGTAGGCGTCAATTGGGCATCCTAGAAACTTACGCCTGGTGATCATAGGTCTTAAGCCACTGCTGGTGAACCCAGGGGTACTTAGTGGAGTGAAGACTATCAATATATGTTAGCATTGGCGCGTTATTGCGACATAGGTAAGCGAGGCTATTTATGCCGCATCCCGAGGGAGGCATCGCTGTGCAGAGCCATTCGTTATCCAATGGGCGATTTTGAAACGTACCCTTCATCGGCAGGGGCAGAAGCGTGAGCTACAGAGCCGTAAAGGTGGTAGTACCAGGCAATGGAGCCAACAGCGAGGGTGGTTGAGGCGGCAGCCGCAATGTTGAGGCGAAGGGGAGATGCTTCGGCAGCAACACCAGAGCTCGTAGATGCGGCACGCTAGGAAGAAATCATTGTCAGCAACATGTCTTTGTCTCATCGGTTGCATTTTGTATGCCATTGACGTGTTTTATAGGCCCAGCGTTGGGCGGAGGCAGCTTCCTCGGCTGTCGAGGCAAGCTGACGGGTTGTCGAGGAGGTCGTACCTTGGAGACATTGACAGCGCCATTTCGCAGCCCATTGAGGGCGCGTGTCGAGCGCAGACCGGTTCTTGCCAACATAATTGGCAAGCTAGATCGAATTCGAAAGGTGAACCGCGATCGGGGCGATGGGGGAATGTGGTTCGATCTCGGAGTCAGAGGTCGAAAGGGCTTCAGCAGGAGAAGTTATGAGTGTCGAGAAAATCCAGAGTTTCCGAAATGGGCCGACGCTGATTGGCCAAGGTCACGTGGTTTATTTTCGTGCGAGCCCATGCACCGGCACCAGTGGAAATTCCGACCCGTCACTGCGTTTGGGCATCCAGCCAGCGGTCAGAGCCCGGCTCCACTCTTCATTTGCGGCTGCCCAGGCAATAGTGCCAGTCTAGCCACCAGGTGCTGAGTGGTGGTGACTGGCATTACAGTGGCTCAGCCAAAGCGTACTGCAGCTCATTCTTCTCTGCCCCTCCCCCACTATGGCAAAGGCATCAAAACCTATTCTCCTTCCCACCCACACACCCTTCAACGCTGTGCCTCAGTTCGCTTACTCTGGGTCTTGTGCTTGACAAGGTGTACCTGTCCTGTATTTCTCCCCATTAATACCGACTCAAAATGGCCACTACCAAGATCTTTTCCATCGAAGGAAAGAGCCTAAAGCTGGACACCGCCGCCGATCTCGAACCTTACGTTGCAGAACTCCGTGCTCAGGAAGATGTAGAGGAAGTTCGTCTTTTGGGAAACACACTGGGAGTCGGGGCTTGCAAGGCCCTCGGTGAGATCCTCGCCACCAAGAAGAACCTCCGAGTATGTACCACAGCGTTGCTCACCCAGTCCCTCCACCGCTAACACGCAAATATCCTCCAGGTCGCCAATCTTGCCGATATCTTCACCGGCCGACTTCTCAATGAGATTCCCGAGGCTCTCTCATCTCTTCTTACTTCTATCCTAAACCTTCCGAAGCTGAATACCATCAACCTTAACGACAATGCTTTCGGCCTAAACACCCAGGCTCCTCTCGTCGCCTTCCTAGCTGCCCACGTTCCTCTTCAACACCTATATCTCAACAATAACGGTCTCGGTCCCCATGCCGGCATTCTTATTGCTGACGCTCTTTCTGAGCTTTACGCCAAGAAAGAGGCCGCCAAGAAGGATGGCCAAGAGGTGCCTGACCTTGAGACTGTCATCTGCGGTCGTAACCGTCTTGAGAACGGCAGCATGAACGCATGGGCAAAAACCTACAGTCTCCATAACAAGATCCAGACTGTCAAGATGGTCCAAAATGGCATTAGACAGGAGGGTGTTGCTCACCTGCTGAGCGAGGGTCTAAGCCATGCCACTCAGCTGCGTGTCCTTGATATACAGGATAACACTAGCACCCTCTTGGCTGCAAAAGCACTCGCTAAGGTTACTCCTATTTGGACTGAGCTTCGTGAACTTGGCGTCGGTGACTGTATTTTGTCAGCAAAAGGTGGTGTTCTCCTCGCCGAGGCTCTTGCGCAAGGCAAGAACACCAAACTTCAAACACTTCGCCTGCAATTCAACGATATCACGTCCAAGGGCGTGAAGGCACTTGCTCAAGCTGCCCAGGACTCACTACCTGCCCTTCAACGTATTGAGCTCAACGGTAACATTTTCAGCGAAGATGATGAGTCTGTTGTTGCCCTGCAAGAGCTCCTTGATGAGCGCAAGGAGAGCGCTGGTGGTGATGTTGTCGTTGAGGACGAGTGGGGCGTCGACAGTCTCAGTGACCTGGAAAGCGAAGATGAGGACGCAGAGGATGATGACGATGAAGAGGAAGAAGAGGAAGACGTTGAAGAGAGAGCCGAGAAGCTCATCAGAGACGCAGAGGAAGCCCAAGAAGAGCCTACTGTCCAGCTCAAGGATCGTGCCGTTGACGAACTCGCATCCAAGCTCGATAAGACTTCCATTTAGACATGACATGAAACGTTAAAAGAGGCGAGCATCTGCATAGAAAGTTAATTATATATATATATTGGATTTTATGAGACAAACGATATAGTTTGTGCGCTGTAGCTAGCAACAGCAATACCCCCGTATTAAAAAGATGCTGATTAGAAAGTTGTAAATGCAAGACGTTAACATATGCACAATGATTTTGGCTATTATAAGGTATGTCACATGCTCGAGAAGCGATACTTGAGTAGAACGACTGAAAAGTCAGATGGACAGCCGTCAAGTTTGCAAAGAATCAACGGCACAATTCCATCCGAACAATACACAACATTTCCAATGGGTCGTTTAATATAGTTTGTAAAACCAGTATCTGGTAGAACAAATCTTACAAAACAGATGTATTGTATATTCCATATATGGGTATAAGCGGAGAGTTTTCTCGCAAAACAAATAAACGTAGCCGCTCCAAAACCGCATAAAAACAAAACTATGGGTATCACTGATGCGACCTTTGGCAATATCACTTCTCCAGCGATTACAAACCTGTGAATTCAGGTCTTCTAAATCTCAACAAGCCGATATCTGCTCAATCACCACATCCATGGCATTCTAATCCAGCCATAGCCACATAGGCGTTCGTCTATCTAGTGATATCTCGACGCCTATTATGACTTTGATATTGTCATCCTTCCTCATTGCATTTCATCCATTGCATCGTTTGTGCTTCCAGCACCTCTAAAATGTTCAAAGGCACCATACTGTGTTGCCATTTCCATCTGTTGTTGTTGGCGGAGATAGTCAGCACCAAGGTATACAGGGTCCATCGCGCGGGAGTATTTGGATCCGCTGTGAGGTGAGGCTTGGTGGGTATATTCGCTTTCCGTTTGCCGGTTATCTTCCATCATCTCTTCGTAGCCAGACATCATATAGGGTTCAGTGTCAACAGTGTTCTGGAGCCAGCGACCGTCGTTGAGCTGCTGAAGGTCTCCTGCTGAAGCAAGAGGTACTTGTTGCGACTGCTCGTATCTTGCTCTGGCTAACTGTTCTTCCTGTTCAACACTAGTGCTGCTCCATGCTAGTGACGCTATGTTTTCAGCGCCATTTGGGGGGCAAATAGCCCAGAGCTCAATTAGCCTCTTTTGCTGGTCCTCGTGGGCTATACGGAATAGTTGAAGCTGGGAAGGAGTAAGCACACTGGGGTCCACGCCATGTCTCTTGAGAATAATTTCGGCAACCACCATGTCAGTTACTGCAGGAAGAGACGAGCGACGCTGGGTTTCGCGCTCAGGTTGAGCTGATGTCTGAGAGGGTGGTTGAGCAACATGGGACGAATGAGTATAATGTTGGGATGCCGAATAGATTATCTGCTTCGCAGGTGACGGTGGTGGAGGTTGTTGGTTCTGTATCTGTTGTTGGAGAAGTTGCTGGTGCCTCTGGTAATCGGTCTGTTCCTGAACAAGCGCGGCTTGTTGTTCGGGGTTGAACGTTAGGTTGCGGGAGAAGAGAGAAATGAGCTCATCAGGAATCTGAACTATTGTCTGAGGGGCAGACTGAACGAAAGCCATCTTCTAGGACGACATCAGCACCATATCACAAAAGGCGAACCACAGATAATACCGTTCGTAGCGGCGCAATAGCCAGGATTCGGTGTAAGTGGAATGGCGGTTTTAAAATTAAGATTCACAAGTAACGCGGAATATTCGATCGATGAGTGATTGAAGATGCTAGGTCATAAATATATGCAGCAGTATACGGGCAGTTTGCGGATTCTCAGGCAGAAACAGCCCTTGTTGGGTATCAACCGTAGTCACGAAGCGATGAAACGACGCGGTGTGGGCGGCAATAAAAGATGGTGAGGGCTGAGCGTCCTAATAAATTAGATTGATACTAGGTGAAGATATCAAAATTTTGAGTCTGTATATAGAATACGAGGACGTGTTTCTTTCCTATCTGCTTTTTAGTTTTATTTTGTAGGAGCGAGGAAGGCGGTGGTGGGAGGAAGAACGTAGGTGGCCTGTCGTCAGCGGGCGTTCACGGGGGGGCTGAGGGACCCTGGTGCTCCTGTCGGCCGAAGAGCACGATGTGCGTTCAGGCGTGCGCAGGGGCAAATGACGTCTGGGATCGTTTAACCTGACTCTTTCTATGGCGCTTGCTTTCTAGACCATCGACGTTTGGCTTTTTTAGCTACTCTGCGTTTTACTTTTAATTTGCGCCGGAAAAGGCTGTCCTCTGTTGAGTAGAGAATCACGACACACCGCTGTTCTCGGCGCCGGAGAATTGTGAGGACGAAGACACTCTAGTATGTTACAGTATTTGTCTGTCCCGCAATCTTACGTTCGACTCTAACTTAGCTTCCACCGTCTCCAAAAAATTGTTGGGAAGGCTACAACGTGATGGAGGGGTACATGTGTGGCTCATGTCATGTCAGGGGAGGGGCGGTCATGTGTGCAGCTTGTTACGCAAGACCCAATGGATTTTGTCGTAGCGCCTCAACTTTGAAACACGTCACGAGAGAGAAAATACAGCGATAGTTTGGAATGGACGAGGATTCTCATTATTTACGAACGGGATAATATTGGGGTAATACTAATGCCGAATGTTCTTTAGACCGTGCCTCCGACCGTGGTTGTCGAAACAAGCCTGCGTTTTTTTTAACTACCCGTAGTTGTTAGAGTATATAAAATGCGCCCTTACAACGTGTATACAATTAATTGATCCCAGGTGGTGTTCTATTCACACCTGAGGGTAGGCATACTCAATTGGGAGTTCGTGATAGGCAGCAGGGCTGATTCCCAGATATTGCCACTTACACCCGGTGCTCCTTATAGAGGCTGTAGAGACAGCATTTCCATATGAACCCATATTGTCAACGATAAGAATTGGTGTATATTATGTACAAGTAGCGGGAGGCAACATAGAACTTAGCATATAACTATGGAAGTCTCTAAGATTCCAGCATATTCCGCGACGATATTCCTATAGGGTGGTCGTATAGACAACTACACTGACTCCAGAAGGCGTAGTTAGGTCAGTTATTAAGGTTGATACTTCCAAACGAACAAACCTTGAAAAAAAAAAGGAACACCAACCCCGACACACTATTGACTATAATAAATTTATTCAATTATAACTATAATTTATAAAAGCATATATTGTACCCAGAAATCAGATCTCCTGGTTTATTGTTAGCTGGTTATCTGGCTGTCCCACAGTTAGATAGAAGATACACTAGCCACAGTCGAAAGCCACATGTGGCGTCAATCATTCGACGCCTCAGGCAGCTACGAGCTGCGCACGATTGACGTCCAGCCAGTGTACGCAGCTCTCGGGCTGCCTGGTGCTTGGAGCTCCAGCCAGCCAGAGGACTCGTAGACCACAATCCTCGCCATCGTCATCTTGCCCATCCAACGCCGCCAGTTTCTTGACACCCGATTCCCAGCGTCGCCAAGGATTGGAAAATAAGTCAACGCTGCTAGAAACATCTCAAATTAAATCCAATTCATCGCGAAGATGGTAAGCCCGCCCGCATAGCCCAAGCTGCATACTTCCCGCAACAAAGCTAATCGCCATATCGCCCAACCATTAGACGTCGATAGGAACCGGTTACGATCTTCTTAATTCCATCTTCTCCCCCGATGGCCGCAATTTCCAGGTCGAATATGCTGTCAAGGCCGTAGAGAATGGAGGCACGTCGATTGGTATCCGCTGCAAGGACGGTGTCGTCCTTGCCGTTGAAAAGGTCGTCACATCAAAGCTGCTTAAGCCTGGGGCCAACAAGCGCATTGCTTCAGTAGACAGCCATGCTGGCGTCGTACGTATCTCCCGCAATGCTTTACCAGCACTGCTACCTGCCAATACTGACTCTTTCAATAGGTATACTCAGGTATGATCCCCGACGGACGCCACTTTGTCGACCGCGCCCGCGACGAATCTCAGAGCTGGAGACAAAACTTTAAAACACCCATCCCGATGGCTGATCTTGCTTCTCGTATGGGTGGCTATCTCCAAGCGTACACCATGTACGGCTCGGTCCGACCCTTTGGCATTACAGCTATCATCGGCGGTGTCGACACTTCCGAAGAGACACCAGTAGACGGCGAGGTTGGTTCTGGTCCCGCATGCGGTGCTGGCGGCAAAGTCCCTGGTAAACACGGCGGCCCGTTTCTCTATATGATTGAACCCAGTGGTATGTACTGGGGCTACCACGGCGCCGCGACGGGCAAGGGCCGTCAGGCCGCCAAGGCTGAGCTGGAGAAGCTGGATCTCGCTTCCGGTAACATGACACTGGAAGAGGGAGTGAAGCAGGCCGCCCGAATCATCTACGTGGCACAGAAGGACAACAAGGACAAGGACTTCGAGCTTGAGATGACGTGGATCTCTGGTGTTGATGGTCCAACCAAAGGCAGACATGTAGAGGTGCCGAAGGAGTTGAGAGAAGAAGCTGAAAGATTAGCAAAGGCTGAAGACGAATCGGATGATGATGAGGAGGATGAGGATGAGAAGAAAGATGATGATAAGATGGAGGAGTAGAAGTGATCTTCATTTAACGTCCACACAAGAATAAAAAATAGGCAATCTGTGTATTATTACGATCAACTACGTGCATGGTGCTGTCGATATTAACGCAGCCATACTGTAAGTAAAGTATGCACTAGTAGTATAGGAGTTCATAATCTATCGAATGCACTATAGAATTGTCAACATCCAAGATAGCTAACATTATACTACTTTTCTGGTCTATACTATACAAATGTCTTGTGCCCACAAAAAGTACATGTTTCGTTTTACGAAGAACGAGCCTGCGAAGCATGATTTTGACACCAGTTATTCCAGTCCGCAAAAAAGGAGCTTTGCAGCTGTGCTTCACCAAGCACCCACCGCGACTGCGTACTGGCATACAACGCAGCAACTTGTTTGATGCTGGCTGCATCAGCAGCATACATGGCTGAGGCAAGGATCAAACTTGCGGCGCTGGCTGCCTTGGTGTATGCGTGCGAGTTGTCTTGGCCAGCAGCGTCGTGGATCTCGATGAGAAGAGCGGGCAAGTCCGTTTCATTGTTAGAGTCCATGGCATCTTTGCTATTGCGACCCTTCTTGAGCCCTCGCTGGTAGTTGAGAATAGTCTCGCAAGCGCGGGTCGCAAGTGCCTTTGTGTTTGTGGTGCGCATCAGATTGAGGAGCGGCGATAGCACTGCAAATGCGAGAGGCGAGAGAGCCTCATTCTTGACATAGATGTCGAGGAGGTCAAGAATACGGTGCTTAAAGTTGACGACGGATTGTTTAGCATCTTTCTTTTGCTTCTTGGTATCGGGCTTTGCTTTGACACGATTCTTAAACACCTCTGAAAGCTTCTCATCTAGAGCAAGCATTTCGGAGTCGGACATGTCACCATCTGAAGCCGACGAGATGGCATCCATGTCTTTGTCCAACCGGTGACTTCTGAGAATGCTTCCAACGAGATCGTCAAGTTCTATCGGGCCGTCTTCATTAGAGGCATCCGCTGCTTCCTCATTATCGTCATCATCGTCCTGATCGTCACTCTCCGAGTCTTCATGATCGTCCGCTTCTTCTTCGTCGAGGTTTACGAATTCTACATCGGACCCGATGTCAATATCAGAAACATCGTCGAGATCAACAACATTGTGGTCGTCTTCATCGGCATGCTCTTCATCGTCGTCATCTTCCTCTCCGGATACCGCCTCATCAATGTCCATGCCGTCCTCTTCTGTGTTGAACAATTCACGCTGGCCTTTGGTGCTTTCCCCAGAGGCCAGTGGATCAGTTAACAAAGAGAGGCCATCGGCAGTAATTTGGGAAGTAAATGACTCAAAGACTTGTTGAGAGACTTGTCTCATAAGAGAAGAAGGACGCGCGACCATGGCGAGGAGAATCTCAACCAAGAGCTCGGAACTTCCGGTACTCTTATCGCCCGCTTTGAGTCTGGTATCATATTGCTCCAAGTCTTGAAGGGCTTGGAAGGCATCTGGATCCTCGTTATACAGCTGGAAGATAGAAATTGCGTGCAAGGTCGCTAAACCTTGAGCAAGACTGTGGTCAGCTTCTGTTTTTGATTTTCTCTTTAACAGCCTTTGCATGCGGGCGAGTGCGTCCTGAGCCGCTTCCTTTACATCCTCTTCCATTGGAACGGACGTTGCGTCAATTGCACCAATAGCATTACAGAATGTTGAAAGGTCGTCAGCACCACGTGTGAGCTTGGCTAGGCTAGATTCCAGCCGTGAACGACACTGTTCACGAATTTGGTCCGTTAGTATAGCTGCGGGTATTTCTTCTGGCTTTGAATAGGCAACCCTTGATAATTCTTGGAGGAAGAGGCCGTATGAAGACAATGAGCCGGTCTTTTTATCGTCATCTTTCTTTGGTGTCGTAGCAGCACTCAGTGCTTTCCCTAGGTAATCAACATAACAACGGAGAGATGCACGGGATTGTGCTTCATCATCTCCATCGAGAGAGGAGATTAGTTTTTGTAGAGCACTGAGAACTTTCTTCTCGTTGGTTTCGTTTATGTTCTGGAGAAGCTTATCTATCGTTTTTGTCGATGTTCGCTGATCAAAGTTATAGGCGCCGAACTTGCCAAGCAGGTTTTGGAGTATTGTTGGTAGAATATCTGGAAAAGCTGTAGCTTTTAATTCAATACACTTAAGCGACTTAATAGCAGCTCTGTGCAGATAGCGATCTTCTTTGGCAGCTTGGTTCATGAGACAAGTCATGAAGTTTTTGCCAAACAGCTTATTAATTTTTGTCTTTTGGGATTCAAGGCCTTCCAACATCATTTGGAAAATCATAAATCCTTTGAACTTCTGTCCATCAGTAGCAGTCTTGGTGAAAAGGCTGTCATCAACCACTCGGCCCCAGAATTGGTCAAAGTCGTCTGTCGATTCTTCCTCTTTGCCATAATGCTGAAGCAGCAGGTTCCAAACAAAAGGCAACTGGGCGCTCCAGCTGCCTTGTTTATTTCCTTTTTCGGCAGTGTCACTCGTAGTCTCACTGAAATTCTCTTTGAGGACTACAGACAAGTCACCAAATGATTTGGCTGCTAGAGGGTGTTTCCAAGGCTTGACCTTCAAGTCCTTGTATTTCTTCAGGGCGACAATCCAGATTGCAACTCCTTCAGGAGTCTTCGCCATGTTAGCCTCCGCAACACTTCTAAGTGTATTTTCGGCGACTTGTTCTGACATCTGCTCAATGGCTTCAACAATGATCCAACCGCACTGAGAGCGAAGCCAAACCTTCTTCGAAGCAAGGCGCAGGATTGAATCCAGTACATTATTCCATCTAGACGGAGACGAAAAGAGAATATGGGATCGAACAAAACATTCGATACCAAAGAGTTGTCCAAAGTAGTGGTCTCGTTCTTCTTGGCCAGGAATATTCCCTTCGGGTTGTGTCTTGTCTTTGAGGAAACCCAGAACAATCTCAAAAGTCAACTCTGGATACCTGGTCGCCGCAATATTATCCTTACCAAACAATTGGGTTAGGATTTCGGTTATTACTAGACTGAAGCCGAGCCTAGAAGCGTTACGGCCACTGGCAAGGCCTCGGAAGAGACGTCGGTTGAGATGTCGAACAAGTACGGCTTCGGAGACGGGCTCTTCGCCGAATAAGGACGATATAATGCAATCGGCAGCTGCAATTCGATCGGACTCTTCTTCACTGCCCAGAAGGTCATACAGCGAAGCCTCTCGCCGGCGCTCATCGCCAATGGGAGATTCGACGAACGGCTTCTTAACCAGCGTTGGGATAGAAGGGCCGATATTGGCTTTGGCTCTCTTCTGGTTCTTGGTCTTTAGGGGTGCACCATCTTTGCCACCTCTCTTTCTTTTGTTGGTCATTTTATAACAATTCGTAGACCAGTTTTGGAATGATATTCGTTGTATGCTTCACTTACAACTAGAGCAGCCCATGGCCAAAAAATCCAAGATGCTTATTTTCTGCCAGGACGTCCCGCCTGCCTAAATCGAATGTTCTACTGTATTGCCAGATTGGGCTGAACACGGGCACGTGACTACGCGAGGCGGCTTGCTGATGGCGGGGCCCTACGCGTCAAGTCTGTTTACTCTTTGTTTACTTTGAGACTAAAAAAAAGCCGACGAGATGCATGAAACGACAATGATGAAGCTTAAAACACCACAATATCGAGGGATGACAATAGATTGATGGTCTAGTTCAAATAGACATTATCTCTCAGTCAATGTGATTTTCAAAACTTATGGATTTGTCTCCCTTACTCAAGTCCACAGCCGTAAAAGCAAAGCAGAGATGCATAAGCCGCACTCCCGAGTGGTGAGTCTCAGCAACACCACCCATGAGGCGCTGTCGCAGGAGTCCGAGCGGGGTAGGTGCTGACTACTGATAAATGACACCGGGGGTTGATTGGACAGTGAACATGACAGGGATATGCATGATTCTATACCAGTCGACGAATGAGCGAGTGTAGTTTGCTTAAAGCCAGCGGTAAAGTAAACAAAGGAAATTGAGGAGGTTGCAGCGATCTTCCTCAACGCTGCATCATTGGTTTGACCCACTTCGCAGCATCACATTCAGTGCTGTGTGTAATTTTTGTATAGGAAGAACAGAGGGTCTGGCCTGGCAGTCCGTCTGAGGTGACTTGTTCAGATATGCTCGCTAGGTTCCCCGCTGACCAGCTCGGCGTGATTTTGAAATTTGCGCTGCATCCTTCAACGACGTCTATGATTGCACCCTTGGCAAAGCGAACATAACCTTGCAGACAAGCTGGGTAATACGGTATCGTCACGCATGTATATGGAGAGGGCCAGGTCTATGATGAAAACGAGCGCGTCATAGACCAGCCGCGCAGAGCCCGGTGGCCCCAGAGTACCTAGGGACCAATAGGGTAGCCATTCTGGCGGCCTAGCTCTTCTTCCATTATCGGGGTTTGGCGACGATATCAGATATGTGTATGGCAAATTAATGGGCCTTATTGGCCAATTGGCCCTTGACAGCTTGACGGGTTGATTGTCTTGTCAAGGTGTCCTCTTGCTTCACAACGTTGGCCCGGTTGAAAGGCACCGTGGTATGCGGCAAGCTTCCTACGCTGGTAAGCGGTTGCGCCACGTTTTCCCTCCACGGTTGGCCTGGGCTGTGTTGGAAAATCATGACCTGAAGAAGGCAACGGAGTTGGACAATCATATCGCCTAACGCGCTCAGATATAGTAGTAGTCCGTACTGGGTGGCATTACTCGCGCTGAGTATGCTACATTGACAAGCATATTTGACCGACCAGTGCCACCGAGCGTAAAATTAGATCGATGGAACCGATTGCTCTATTTTGGTGAGACCACCCTCGAAAGGTTGCTGCTGAATCGGGGTCCAGTACTAAGGGCATCTGGAATGCCATTTGTTACCCCATCCAAGTTGAGTGTGAGAGCCTGGTCCTGTTACCCCGAAGTAAACAATACCACCTCGCTGTCGGTGCGCGGAAAAGATGACAGACTGGCCCAAGCTCTGCATAAACAATGGCTCGATAGTCTAGCCAAACAGGGTGTTGATCAACTAAGAAGAAGGCTTGCGCAGCCTCGCATCGGCTGAAGACGGGGGCGGACAAGGTACTCTGTGGCATCGTCAGGGAAACTAGCGAGGGCGTCGTGTTGGAAAACAGCGCCGCCGAGGGAGAGCCCGACCTGTCGTTCTGGTTCAGTGTGTATGAGCACTAACGTTAGTACCGAACTACATGTAATCAGTGTTTTGTATGCAGGTCTCAATCTGTAAAGGGATTCTTGCGGCAAAGTCATCAGCGTAATCGACGACGTTTGTTTTGTTAGACACTAAAGGGAAAGGGACCTCATTTCCCTCCAAGACTTAAGCGCTCGGCGGGAATCGAACCAGATCCTCATAGCAAGGGCACAGGAGTAATTTCGTGATTATGCCCTGAATGTCTTGTAGGAGTCAGCAGCCGAGACGACAGCTCGTCTTATTTTCTTTTGGCAGCGCGAACTGCTCCCAGACAGCGAGAACGAGGCCCACGTCGGCGGGGCTGCGTTGCCCGACCTCCTCTGGTCTGTCTCACCAGCGGGCTACCATACATTTTTTTTTATCCAAAAGGGACAATGCCAATGCCAGTGCAGCGGGCCTCCCATATTAGAGCACTGGGTGGTATTTCAAAAAAGTGAGCTGGCATTGGAATCGAGCTTTTCTGCCCCTGGTGCTGAGAATTGGTTCTACTGGTGTCCGATTTGGCAATGTTGGTAGCTGTCTCGCGCTCGACGGTTCAGCCGGACGACTGGAATCTCCGCTCACCCCAAGGCAGATGACCACTTCAGCAGTGTTCGTCGATGATGCAACCAGCCGCAGAAGCCAATTAACGCTCTCAGGACAAGGGTTGACAAGCGCCAAACTGGTTTCTGACGTGCACCAATTGTAGGCGTGGGCGGGCGACATGGAGTGAGCAAGGTCTCGTCGCAGGTGTCCCAAATGGGGACGTGGAGCGGATCAAAGTAGGCACATGGTACGGTAACTGGGGCAGCCATGCAAGACGAGAGCCACGAGTGGGCGGGATATCCCTGTGGCCTAACTCCGCCAAAAGGAAGCAAAGAGAATGAAAAAAGCGACAAGTAGTTTGCAGTCTCTCTGGGATACAGCAGAGTCTGGCAATCGCCGAAGAAGTTTTAGTACTGGGCAGCAGCATGCGAAAGCGCAGCCCCACCAATCCTTCTACTTTGGAGCTGTGCTGCGGAGCCTTCGGAGCGTAAAACCCACATTGTGCATGCCTTTGTGATATTACTGTACCTGGCAATAGGGCGGAGGATGTATGGTGGAAGCAAGTAGAGGCGATCCCAGGGTTCGGAACTAGCGTGGGAGCCCAGAATGCGCGTGCTTGAAAAAAGGGCACACTGATGCATCTCCCGGGCAGCCAAAGGCGCCGTTCTGCGCTACGCCAAATGCATACGCCCCACCCAGGTACGCCTGTTCTCGGTGTGGTATCGTGCCGCTGCGGGCGCCTAACCACAGCGCAAGCAAGCTCCACCACAGGTACCTCACTATAGTGCCTGCCGTGCCACTGCAGTGGGCTCTCGTCAGGGCCCCTCCAAGCAGAAAACGACGGCGCCCGCGTACCAAATCACCCCTAACAACGTCCATCTCCATCCCAGATCCTGGGCAAGCGTCGAATGGTTTCCCGGTTGCACGGCCATTCAAAAGTCGTTTGTCCCCTCATCCTCCCAGCTGGCTTCAAATTTGGCCATCCCGACGGCAAACATATTTTTGTTTCGCACCTCACCCAGTCCGGCACACGCAGTCTAGGTAAGCTGCTTGCTTTTGTCACCAAAGCACGCCGTCGATACAAACTCTTCTCTCGAACCCGGGACTCGCCAGCCGAGCTGACTGCTTTGACGGACGTCTTGCTTCTTTGGACATCGCCATTTATACTCTCCAACAAAGCAATTTGGATTCCCGCCCGCTTTGCCTCTATTTGCTACAGTTTCTGTGCTGCCTCCAGCTACTTCAACCCTCTACCTCGTGACGCAACCAGTCTTGCTCGCGTCTTCACGTCTTCACGGTCTCCTCTAGACTACAAAATCTTCTCGCCACAAAATTTTGTTGCGAACGTGATGCCCAACATCTTTACCATCCAAGCCAATGTACATTGAACGAAAATAACGCCTGATACACGAAAAAGAAAAGAGGAAAGACAACAACTACTGTCTTGCAACCTTTGGAAACGCTCGAGTCGTGCACCCGTAGCACCACCATTCCTTCGTCAACACACCAAATATAGACTCGGCGGCATTTATATTCAAGCCTTTCGAGTCTTCTCTTTGACCTCAAACCAATAACCATTATCTGTTGATCCGAGGTTATTCTCAACGTCTGTTGAGCACTCTCGTCCTTCTACCATTACTATGGAAGCCTCATCGCCATTGGCGGCTTTGCATCGCCCTATGGCCCCGCCATCTTGGGGTGGCCGAGATCTCTTCCGAGCTCATGCTCATTATGCAGCCCCTTCAGCTGGACCTGTTGCTAGCCTGCGTGAACAGCTGCATCGCAGCTCTGATTATTTCAACTCCAAGGACATGATGGGTTCGTCACCAGCTGCGAGTCTGGCTGCCGACCTCTCGCAAAATTTTCGTTTGGATAACGATGCCAGGTCCGTGTTACTGATGTTCAATGCTAGCTAGTCTATTTCTAACGAGTCTACAGCCCAAAGTTCCCTACACCCCGCCGTGCTCTTTTCACAGCAACAATGATTGGTGGCCTGGAGGGCAGAGGTGAGCACCTCGGATCTATAATAGCCAAATACCATTCTCTAACAACTACAGCAGACTTTGTGACTACTCCACCGCTGCCGCCTTCTTCCCCTGCTCCCATGCTGGAACAGATGGAAGTTTCCCCTCTACCTCACAAGACTCCTTCATGCAGCATTATCCGCGCTTGTTCGCCCACTCCCACGTCTACCCCAGGTGACGAAGAAATGGTCCTCGACTCTCCGGCTCCCATTGCCCGCCATTCATCTGAATCCTTGCGACCATCCTTTATTGAGTAAGTCCAGTCTGCCGCAGCCTTTGGTTTACCGTATACACATAGCTAATTCTTTGTAGACGTCGCATTGCCGCACCTCGACGTCCATCTCTTACGCGTGTGAAGGGGCACACGTTTAGTGCTGGGGCATCTAAGTCACACCAAGAACGTCAACTGCCCCCTTTCAGATTTGGTTCCGAATCTTCCTTTGGGGCTTCAAGTTTGTCACTTGGAGAATGTTTTGATGCCGAGTCACCTCAGCCAGAGACTCGACAACAGCAACCATCCGACAGCCCTTGTGCGCCCATTCCCTTGGGCCTTCGTTCTCGCCCTCAGTTTCTCACTGGCTCAAGCTCACGTCAAGCCTCCCCTGTCAACTTCCATGCGCGGAGACAATCCAATCCATTCTTGAGGAATCGCAAGCAGATCCGCCGTTCTCTGAGCATGTTTGAACATCCGGCAGATATTATGAAGCCTAAGCCACAGGTCCCTGAGTCTCGTCCGTCCACCCTTAAGTGTGTAATGGATGTTGAAGAATCCAATGAGCCTGCCCTGCCCCATTTTCTTTCTGAGGATCCGGCTGATACAATTCCCCGCATCACCAAAGAAACCATGTTGGCAGTGTTGGATGGCAAATTTGCGGATCGATTTGACCAAAAGATGGTTATCGACTGCCGTTTTGAATACGAGTATAGCGGTGGCCATATCGACGGCGCAGTTAACTACAACAACAAAGAACTGCTTACCTCACAATTGTTCCAGACTCCGATGGCTGGTCGAACACTACTCATTTTCCACTGCGAATACTCCGCCCATCGTGCACCCCTGATGGCTCGCCATATCCGAGCCGAAGACCGCACCACGAATGCTGAGTTCTACCCACAGCTCACATATCCCGAGGTGTACATTTTGGATGGCGGTTACAGCGGCTTTTTTGCCGATTACCGCAGTCGCTGCTTCCCCCCTGAGTACGTAGAGATGTCTGATGAGAAGCATCAGCGTACCTGCGAACGTGAGATGGGCCGTCTAAAGTCACGAAAAGGTCTCAACCGTGCGCAGACCTTCGCTTTTGGGCAACGAGAATCATGCGTAGACCAGTCACCAACAGCTCCTGGCCGCCCAATTGCTAGGCAAACGTCATCTTTCAGCCCTGGCGCTTTTTCTCCTGTGTTTGGTGACCGAACTCACGCTCGCCGCATGGCTTCTTACTAAGTCAACGCCGACGTCAACTGCACAGCCTACTCACACCCTTCGCTCACTCAGATCTTCTGCAGCTCATTCTCCCCCCTAATGAGCGTGTTAATGATGGACTCTACCTCTCCCAGCATATCATCACGGCCTGACACAGGCTCGTATACGTGTATTGCATTAGCATTTTTCTTCCTATTGGCAGCTATTTCTGCATAGCCGATCGTCTAACATCCTAGGCGGCCTGCCTAATTCATATCACTCCGTTTCGAAGCCCGACATTGCCATACGTCGTGGTCCTTCGTCTACGTCTGAGCATGCACCTTTCTGTCGCTCGCACCCTTTCCATTCGCCTCCCTTTACAGCATCATGAATTTGGTTCGCATTATGACATGTTTATGCCAGTCGATAAACATTGTCTTGTGGGTTTGGCTAACGACTACACATATTTTGCATTGGTATTGCATTTCACTATGCATGTCCTCCTTCCTGTTACATTACCTTTTTTCATGTTGCGCATGATTTGCGCTGTCTATACCCATTTTCTACGACCTAGTTTCTCATGTCTCCTTGTTTTACTCTTTTTTTCCGCGAGGGCGATGGCTAGACGGGTTGCTGGTTCTTTCGCTTTCTTGTGTGCTTACGATACATGCTGCTTTCTTTACCGGCGTTTTTTGATTCAAAAGGGGATGGGACAGGTGACTGTGCATTAGCCAATTAGCCTAGTCTCTTGATAGTGAGGTGACATTCCTTAGTTGGTAGCGTTGTACGAAAGAAATTCAACTTGCATTCACAAAGTTTCGCACGTGTTGATCTAAACATCGGAATAGCCATGCTCTCGTCTCGGCTACAGCCACTTTAATCTGTTCACATTTCCTCTATTGTCTCAGGTCAGGGGTCTCTGATGGGAAGGACCCCTGCGGTTCACGTATTCGAAAATGGTCCCTATATCGTCTAGCTATGTAATCTACCGTTCATTCCATAACGCCACTACTATGATTTGCCCGCAAAAAAGGAAAAAAAAACAATTGACCAAGTGAAGTTCTCTACTCGGCCGTAAAGTCCCACTCTTTGAATGCGTCTCGGACTACTGCAACGTCCTGTGTTTCTTCTTCCTCCGTTTGCACGCAGTCCTGCCAAGAGAGCCGGCTCTCTAAGCCAAGAAGCTTTGCTAATACACGACGGGCAAATTGCAAGTCAAATCGTGTGTCTGGCTCGAGGGGCATGAAGATAGACTTAGTCGTTTCCATGCCCGAGCTGCCGGCAGCCCATAGCTGAACGTGAAAGAAGTCGCCGGAAACGGCGCGCTGTTCTGGTGGTAAATCTTGGGTAGAAAATTTTGGATATTTCAGGTTGTCTGCTTCCACCTTGAAAGCTGCCTCTGCAAGGCCCTCCTCAATCATTTTAGCTGGCACAGCCATTGTTTGCCAGATTAGGTGTACGTTGCGGCCACGACTAATCTCCCATGTTACAGCTCCAAGCCTCCTGTCACTTTTGGCTGAAATCATGTGTTGAAGGGCTTGGCGGAAACGCACCATCTCTTTCAAAGTACGTGCTGCCTCGGATTCCGAAGCTGTGATGTCCCCTATAGCCGCAAGTGTCGGAGCGTGAGGCAATGGGATGATGATGAAGTGGCCGGGGAACTTTAGACCATACTCGGCAAAGGTAGTTGCTGTTGATAGGGGACCTTTAGCTGTGGTTGTGTATGCATCATCACCAATGGTGCAGCACATGTGTGCTGAGAGGTTGGGATTGGATAAGCAGAAGAAGCATTGATCTGGTCCTGGAGGAGGCGATCGCTGTCTCTTTCTCTTGTCGCGATGCCGATGATCACGGTGCTCGGAGCCGAATCGACTAAATGAATCATCGGGCCGTCCTCGTTTTTTTTCTTTCCGGACAAAAGGAGACTGAGTAGTGCCGGGTGGCAGAGCGTCGTCGGCGTTGTTCAATGTGAATGCGTATAAAGCCTTGGCCTTCGATGCATTACCAAACGGTGCCATAGATATGAATCTCGTAACAAACGTATCGGCTTCATTGCCGCTTAGAGAGTTTGAAAATGGTTCACGCTCGTAAAAGAATGGCCCCGGCGACGCAGACAGATGATACCGAGGCTTCAACATGTCGCACAGCTCTGCTACTGTGCTTGAGGAAGCGACAACAGTCTGGTTTTCAGCCTCGAGAGTGACTTTTGAACCTGACCAGATATTTTTTGGCCACATAGAAGTAAGCAATATATCGGCTGTATTGGCACCCTTCAAGCTCCTTGCATCGTCTTCGGTGTGGAACGGTAGATACTGTTCTTGCGATTTGCCTGCGCTGGACGTTTGGTCCAGGAAACCACCTAGCGCCACTATTCTCAAACCTTCCGCGGTTTTATTAATGCTACGCTTCCCAAGAAAGTGTAGATTGGCGCCTATGTCTTCGTCTGCCTCGATTTTGGCCGCGATCCGATCGGGTAGAGCGTGTTTGCCGACGGTGAAGTATGTTGGCAAAGGGAACTGGAAGGTGCCACTGACGAGCGCATCTAGGACCTCATCACTTGTCTCCTCTGCAAAAACATCACCGGTAAGTATCGCAAGTGAGAAGTTATTCTTCGAGTGCAAGTTCGTAATCTTCTTGATCGCGGCTTCGAATTGGCCGTTGAGACTGCCTAAAACAATGCTGTGTCGGAGTCAGTTCGTCTGCAATAATAAGGCGCAAAAAAATTAAAATATCAATATCAAAGAAATACTTACACCTTTGGAGCCGTCATGGTCAATTTGTTCTATATGGATGGCGAAATGAAGAATCCCCAGCTCAGCCAAGGTGATGTAGCTGCTGCGTGCGGCGAGGAAGGTCTCTATCTGTGAGACACTAATGGCAGATAAAATCAATGCGACGAGTGTATGATTGGCTCCGTGCTGGCAGTTGGGCTCCACCTGTTGTCTTATCGGTTTTGCCGAGTCTCTGCCGGCCAAAAAAATTAAGAAAGTTTTGGCGGGACCAGCAAAGTGCAAGAGCATGTAAGGACGCTGGCCAAAGGTTTTGCAATTCGCTGCATTGCTGTCAAAATGCCGACGAAAAACACAGGACGCATCGAAAAGGTGCGGTCGAGGAAGAATCTGACACCGCACCAAAAAAATCACCGCTGGCAATCCTTCTCCAACAAGATTGCGCTGTTCAGCTCACTGCAGCCGCTTCGTCGTGTCCGCCGATATGACCTCGACAATGAAGATCTTTCTGCGACCACTTCCTATTTCCGAAATGGCCTGGACAAGTGGTCAGAGCTCAATATATCAAAAGGTTTTATGGATTTTAGGCGAAAAGTCTCCCCTTTGTCTGATAGCTTGGCCCAAATCGTGCACTTCGAGACCAAGATCATGGAGCTGCTCGCTGAACATATTTCACAACAGGACAAGGAATCTCTAGAGCCTCTGCTCGAGCTTCTGACTGCATTTGCACACGATCTAGGAGCTAGATTCGAAAAGCACTATGGACAAAGTCTCGAGCTCATTATTGCAATTGCGGGCAAGCCGCAAGCCGTCGAAGTTATTGAATGGACGTTTGGTGCAGTTGCTTTCCTGTTCAAATATCTGTCCAAGCTCATTGTGCCCAATTTGCAGCCAACATACGATGTGGTATGCGTCCTAATGGGCAAGACTCGCCACGCTGCCCACATTGCTCGTTTTGCTGCCGAAGCAATGAGCTTTCTTATTAGAAAAGCCGCTGCTCCGTCGCATCGAGAGTCGGCATTGGCACCTCTTGTCAACCATATCCGATCCGACATATATAGCATGGTGGATGACAAGCAATATTCGCTGTATAGGGACGGCATCATGACCATGTTTGCTGAAGCTGTCAAGGGAAATGAAGGAACAGTCCATTCCGCCGGGCCGGCAATTCTCACAACGCTTATTGATTCGATCCCCGACACAGAGAAGCACCTTGAAGAGAAGCTCCTCTGGACCGATATGGTATGCGGCGTCCTGACCAGTAGCATACACCACTGCCGAACCGAAACTTTCGAACAGTACGCCGAATCGATTCAAAACAAAATTGATATCTCGCTTGAATCGTTGGACAAGGCACAGGATCCTTGGGCTGTTGTTCCTCTTATTAAAATCTTAGGGACTATGGGCAGCGTTAGAAAAGGCTCGAGGATTACGGACTGGCCCCGCCTCATTAGCCAGACGGTACACTGCCTTGGATTCCCGGCCAAACAGTCTTCCGATGACCTTACCTCAGATCAAGTAAACGCCATTTGGGGTTCGGTTATGGTCAATGTTGCCATGATATGGCACAACGCACCCGTTGATGCTCTTATATCTAAGATGTCGGCTCTATTACAAGCTTTAACACGAGAACCGTATATGAGATGGTTTATCCCATTCTGCGCTTACTTTTGCGAGCTTGATAGCCGCCGGTTTGGCAGTCTCTTTCGCCAGGATTTTCAGAAGTGAGTCACAGAAGCCAATATAATTGACATCAAAGCTAATATATGGTCAGGTTTATTGCTAGTCGTTGGTCAGATGGGCCAAACGAAGACACTCTCTGCGTCTTGCTTCCCGGTATGACTGAAAATCGAGCCTTTCCTTCAGCCGGAGAAAAGGATTGTCTGAAGATCCCGCAGAGCTGGCAAGATCAAATAGTGTCAAAGTTTGAAAATTTGGAAATATCACCATTCCCAGAACGCGGTCCTTATAATAAGGATCCCCAAGTCTGGCGTGATAAATGCCTTCCGAAATATGCGGCGCTCTTCCGAATCCTCGAAATCGCCTCTCTCCACCCTTCAACCAATGCTCGTATTGCAGAACTACTGCTCCGGAAGCTAAAGCTTGCCCTCCGACCCTCTGAGTCTCTCGCGTCTGCTGAAGTTCACTTCATCGTTAGCCAAGGGTTCCATTCTTATCTTGGAATGAGCACTGCAACTGCCACTCTCGATAGGACGCTTAGTCCGCTTCTAAAAGCAGCAGTCCCACGATTCGCACGATCTCTGGGCTTTTTACAGGGATATCATCAATATACATCGAAAATTGGGCCAGAAGCCGCTGAGGTGCTGCCATCCAGTGACTCCGCAGTATCCTGGGAGGAAGATTCTACTATCAAGTCTCTTGTTGGAAACCTTTGGTCTTCAAACCACGACATTCGCCTCGTAACTTTGCAGGTGCTTAGAAACCTAGGGGCAACATCAATGAGCATTATCGACTTAATGATCGAGGTTGAAGAGATGCCGTTAAGCCTTGAGAGTACCAGAAGTATTGCTATGGTACTCCGCAAACTCACCCAGCAGTATGTGGCCCTCGAAGAAAAAGGGTGGCTTTCTCTGGGTGTTCCCGCCTTCTTATTCGGCATGCTTACCGTCAAACTATCTCCAGTCTGGGATGACGCTGTTGAGTGCCTCAAGCAAATCGCGGAATCTAAAGATGGCGAGAGGGCCGTATGCGAGATTGGGTTCCAGTGGCTTGACGTACCATCGCCTCGATGGACCCCAAAGCAGCCTGATTCTGATACCACCTCCAAGTTCTACTCAGATTTTGAATGCACTAGCATCAACGGGCTTGTTAAAACTGCTAACAAAATTTACGAAGACTCAGTCCACGCCAGCGATGTGATGCTTGCCGTGTTTGATGACGCACAAATGCTCACTGATACTTTTGCTGAGGTTTCACGAGGCAGAGCATTAAGAGTTTTCAATGCTATACCTTCAATTGCTGAGCGTCGATCACGTCAATTTGTTCCGCATTTTCTGAGCTGGGCTGCTGATGACCAATCTCCCGAGGATATTGAGGAAATGGATAATTCTGATGAAGGTGCTACTTGGTCTCTGCAAGACAGAAAAGCTCTCCTCGGGGTATTCTCGCAGTTTGGAAATCCAAAGGTACTCTACCAGCATGAAAAGGTATATGAATGCCTTTTACAACTGATGGAGAACGGTGATATTGAGGTCCAGAAGCTTGTGCTCAAGGCAATTCTCTCTTGGAAGCAACCGGGCATCAAAGCCTACCAGGAAAATCTTGAGTTTCTGCTAGATGAAGCCCGTTTCAAGAATGAGCTCGCCGTGTTCCTACAGAATGATGAGCTTATTAAATCAGAGCACCGAGCGGAGCTCATGCCTGTTTTGCTCAGACTCCTTTATGGTCGTACAATCTCGAGGAAGGGTGCTGCTAGCGGTCGTCACGGTCTTCAGGCTACTAGGCTCGCCGTCATCAGAAATCTCTCTATTGAAGACATGGGCGAATTTTTGGCCATCGCAACCGGAAAGCTCAAGGATGTCCGTGTTGGTCAAGAAACAGAGGCTGAGAGAGAAACTAAGTTTGCCGAGCCTCTCATCACTGTGCGCAAGCAACTTGGTTTCCTTAATATGATTTCTGCCCTTATCTCGGAGCTCGGGAATAACGTGTCCCACTATATGGACCGTGTCCTCAACCCAGTACTTTACTGTTTAGTGTTTGCTTGCAGACATCTGCGCGAGACTATGGATGTCGACGCTGAGGATAATGAACAAGAAAAGGTCAGCAACCACTCATTGCTGAGGGTGGTTCGATCTACTGGTATCAAGTGTCTTATCGCTCTCTTCCAGAACGCTCAAACCTTCCACTGGGATCCTTACCATGATGTTATAATTGAAGAAGTAATTGCCCCCAGAATGGACAATCTTCCTGCCGAAACCACTCAAGGTATTTCGGGTACTATGCAACTATTCTCTACATGGTCAGTCCTGCCTCGTGCGGCACTCTTTTTAGCCCCTCACTCCACCCATCTTCCTGAAGGCGTTTTGCCCAAACTGGTTGATTGTATCGCCATTGAGAAGGCGAAGGATGAAGTCAGAATCTGTTCCCTCGAAATTTTACGGAACCTGGTGAAGGTGGCTATGGCTCCTGCTGCCGAGTCGGAGTTCAATGAAGTCATCAGAGCCGAGCTTCTCGATACAAATGTGGACAAGCTTCTTATTACTGTCACCAAAGTCTTGCATGAGCAAGTAACTAGCCCAGCCTTTTTGGAGTCATGCGTCGAAACGATCTTGGCATTTGCACCCATTGTCTCAAATTTGGACAATATTCAATCAGTCTTGACCATATCCAGTTATCTTCTGAATCAACCACCTCGACGTGTTAGTCCCAAGACTAAGGGCAGAATTCTGCTTGTGGTTGAAGGTTTTATTTCATCCTCACAGTTAGCTGTTGAACCCAAGCTGCTGAACGACGTATATGATACACTATCATCCCTGTTTGGCTACTTTAAAGACAGGGAGAACCGCCAGTCACTGTGCCGTGCCATTACGGCGTTGTCAAGGCAGGATGCCGAGGTCGCCAGCATTGCTAACTATTGTGCCGACCTAAACGCCTTCAAAGAAGGTCGTATCGAAGAGCCGGACTACGACAGACGCCTGGCTGCATTTACTGCCATCTCCTCAGCAAGAGAAATGCCACTTAGCCCCAAGCAATGGCTCCCTTTGTTGCATAACATGATATTTTTCATTCGTGTTGACGAGGAATTCGGTATCCTCTCATCCAATTCTGCGGATGGCATGCGCCGATTGATTCAAGATACGGCCAACTCGACAGTTGTCGAAAATAGGACCAAGCTGGAGAATTATCTTAAGTTGATCTTGATACCTGCTATCCATGCAGGAGCTCGAGAGACTTCAGAAACTGTCCGCCGAGAAACCTTGCGCGTTTTTGGATTCCTTATTTCTACCTTACCGAACTGGGAGCCTGTCGCAGATCTTAATGGCCTCCTACAAGGACGCACCGATGAATCAACTGAACCGCCTTTCTTTTTTAATATCCTCAGCCCTGCTGTTGCTAGACAACTCGAAGCAATGAAAACCCTTGAGACAGCGAATGAATTTCAAGAGATGAGTAGCCAGAGCCTGGCACACTTCTTTATTCCGCTCTTAGAACACTTCATTTTTGATAGGCTGGACGGTAGTGATGACCAGGGACTGGGTGCGCAAGCTATCAACACTATTGGCTGCATTGCAAAGTCACTGCAGTGGAACCACTATCGTACAACGTTCCAGAGATACATCAGCTATATAGGATCAAAGCCTGAACTTCAGCGCCAAACCGTCAGGCTCGCTGCCAAGTTTGCCGATGCACTCGAAGCATCACTGACAATCAACTCTGATACTGATGATATGAATCTTGACGGAGATTCTACCGAACAACTAAGGAAGCAGCGGCTCAGCGTCACTGTACCGAAGCAGGATCAACTGAATCCAGAGATTCTGAACTCCTTTTTACCCACTCTTCTCAAATATCTACATGAGAAGGATGAGTCTGAAGTTAGTTTTCGTGTTCCTGTAGGTGTCATTGTTGTCAAACTCTTAAAGATGCTCCCGGAAGATCAGATGGAGCAAAAGCTGGCCGGTGTTTTGACCGACATCTGCCATATTCTTCGAAGCAAGTCGGTTGAGTCCAGAGATATGACAAGAGACACACTCGTCAAGATTGCTGTTGTCCTTGGATCCAGATACTTTGGCTTCATTTTGAGAGAATTAAGAAGCGCTCTGACAAGAGGATACCAGTTGCACGTTCTTTCTTATACCATGCACTCTATTTTGCTAGCGACGATCCCTATTTTTACTCCTGGCGATCTTGACCACTGTCTCAATGATATTGTTACTGTCATTATGGACGACATTTTCGGAGTTGTCGGGCAAGAGAAGGACGCCGAAGGGTATACAAGCCAAACGAAGGAGATCAAGAGCAGTAAGAGCCAAGATTCAATGGAACTTGTGGCAAAAAATGCATCGGTCAAGCATCTGGTTGATTTGGTAAAGCCTATCCAAGCTATGCTGATGCAAAAGGTTGACTTGAAGATCGTGCGCAAGATTGATGCACTGATGGCTCGTATCTCTGCGGGTCTTCTTCAAAACTCTGCCGCAGAGAGCCGTGATACCTTGGTGTTTTGTTACGAGGTCATTCAAGAGGTTTATGCCAGTGAGAAACCGGAAGCTGAAGTTGTGATTGATCCGCGCGTTCGAAAGTACCTTGTGCAAAGGGGTGCGGGTAAGAGTGGCGATCGCGGCAAGACAGCCAAACATACGCACAAGTTGATTCGATTTGCCTTTGACATTTTGCGGGCAATGTTTAAGAAATACGACAGCTTGCGCAATCCTGCCAATATTGATGGTTTCCTACCAATTCTAGGCGACATATTTGTAGGGGGCGAGGAAGAAGTCAAGACAGCTGCATTCCGTCTTATGACGGCGATTGCAAAGGTTTCCATTAATGGCGACGATGGCAAGAATATTTTCAAGGTTGCCGTGAAAGAGGCCACGAAGAGCGTTTCTATGTCTAGTTCGACAGAAACAGACCTATCGCAAGCAGCCATAAAATTCCTCGCCGTTGTTCTGCGTGACCGCAAGGACATTGATATTAAGCAGGCTGCCGTTGATATGCTCTTGGTTAAGCTGAAGGAAGATTTCACCGAGCCACTCTACCGCCATGTTACGTTCAACTTTTTGCGTTCAGTCCTTGAACGCCAGATTGAAACCGCTACCGTCTACGATATCCTCGATCATGTCGGCACTGTGATGGTCACCAATGATGACAAAGACACGCGTGACCTAGCGCGAGGAGCTTTCTTCCAGTTTGTCCGAGAATATCCCCAAAGAAAAGCGCGCTGGGCTAAGCAGTTGAACTTTGTTGTGGCAAATCTCAAATACAAGCGTGAAGGAGGCCGAATTTCCATCCTGGAAATGCTTCATCTGCTTCTCACGAAAGCTTCCAATGACTTCACTCAGGAGATTGCTTCGACCTGCTTCTTGCCGCTATTTATGGTCCTAGCCAATGATGAGAGCGATAAGTGCTGCATGGCTGCAGGGGAACTCCTCAAGGAGATTTTTCGCAAGTCAGACAGGGAGCATACTCAAAAGTTTTTGGCATTGCTTCGCACCTGGGTTGAGAAGGATGACTCTTCACCTATTATTAAACTTGGTCTGCAAGTCTTTGGCTATTACTTCGAAACTAATGAAGGCGCGGAAAAGAACCAGAATGATTTTAAGCTCATTCTGAACAAATGCCAGGCAATTTTGGCAGAGGAACCCGATGATGTCGATAATGAGCTTCTGACAACGACGCTCAACAACATTCAGCTCTTGACAAACTTGTTTCCGAGCCGGTTGCTCATCACTGAGAATGATGCCATGTGGGAAAATGTTGCCAAGTCTGTCCAAAACACATCCACTGGTGTCAGACTACCTGCTCTTCGCCTGATTAGTACGTACCTGGCTGATTTTGCGAAGAATGGCGCAGGCGTGGCTCCCGGCCAACCTATTGACGGATCGTACGGCCTGACGCTTTCTATTGAGAACATGCAGGAGTTTGTCCGCCGTGGATTTTACGCCTTGGGCGGAAGCGAGGTTGATGAAACGGTAGCTGCAGAGGCTAGCCAAATCCTCATTTTCCTTGGCCCTAGGTTGCCTGACCTGGTTGCTGAGGATGGCGAAGTTGCGCTGTCTGATGCGGAGATTGCTATTAATGAAGGCGTAGAAGATGCTGACGGTGCTCAAGAGGATGATGCTGCATCAACGAAGGAGAAAGATCTTGGTTATGTGTTCCGTCGCTTGTCACATATTCTGCGAAAGGAAACACCGCCCCGTGCCTCTGCATTCTTGTGTAAGGTGTCCGCTATGGAGATTCTTGAGACAGTCTGTCGCCGCATTTCAGATGACCGCCTTCGCCCAGCGTTAAAGGTTGTTCTGGAGCCGCTGTCTAACTTGACGGATCCGTCAATCCCGGTGCCCTTTAGCTCGGACGAGCTGTTCAAGACCAAGTATGAAGGTGTTAAGACTAGAGCTCAGATTCTGATGGACTCGCTCCAGCGGAAATTTGGCACGGCAGAGTACAGTAAGGTTCTACTGGAGATTCGCGAAGCCGTTAAAGCCAGGAGACAGGAGCGCTCAAGCAAGCGCAAGATTGAAGCCATTGCACAACCTGAAAAGTATGGCAGAGATAAGCGCAAGAGGTTTGAAAAGGATAAGGCACGAAGAAAGGTGCGCTCTAAGGAGCAAAAGGAAATGCGCAATTCGTACAAGAGATGGTGATGTGTGTTTTGCATTGGTGATGCGGCGTACAATGGCGTCTTTGTGTTTATTTCATAATTTGGTTACATCATTAGCATATAGTTTTCTTCATTTCAGAAGAGGAAGCATACACAGCATATAAGTGGATTTGAAGCATGTCATACACTACAGTGTCTCGCTATTGCAGATTTTATCTAATCGCCTTGTGACATCTACCAGCTGGTGATGGCTACCAACCCGCCAGTTGAAAAAAAAAGAGAATGACTAAGAAGAGAACTTTTACCATGGAGTTGAAAAAAAAGACAAAGAACCCCAGAAACGCCGCGTTTGTGCTATAATGTACAAAATGCACTGTGTGGTATGGTACAGGTAGAATCCCACGGTAGGAGCAAAGCTCCCACATCTGGGCAGTGGTACAGGAAGATTTTCATGCGCTGGATTTTCCTGAAATTTCTGTCTTGGCGGCTTCTTCGGCATACTTCTCCTCAGGCCAAAACTCAATATCGCCATCTTCGCCTAAGCTACCCCTCTTGACGAGCTGGCCCTGCTCGCGCATGATGTCTTCGATTGTAACCTTTCGATCGCCAAAGATGTTCAGGTGGTCGCTGATGACATGTCGGTTACGGCAGCTCGGGCAGGTGATAAGGATAGACCCCTTGTGGTAACCCTGCTTGGAGATGCTGTGCTGCGATCGGTTGCTGCATGGCTTGCAGGTAAAGCTGAGCTGGTAGTAGGCGTTGTCTAGGAACGGGCGCTTTGGTGTCGTTGGTACGTTCTGGTCGCCTGATGCATCCTTTGTTTGAGTAGCAGGAGATGTTTCTGATACTTTTCGTGGTGGTCTGGGAATCGAATGTGCGGCGCGCAGGAAGACTGGATTACGCAGCAGACGGATTGGTGTTTGGAGAGCGGCACCGGGGATTGCGATACGTAGGAGAGGTGTGGCGAGGGCTTGTACCATTCTAGACGCCATGCTGTGCTCGTGCTATGGTGGTGAAGTTTGTATCGCTTGTCGAAGGATGTTTGTTGGACGTGGGTATCAACGATGTGAGAAGACAAGAAAAAAAAATGTTAGGGGAGCCGCAAAGGAGAGAATGTGGCGATGTCACTTACCGATTTGTGGGGCTCCGTTTTGTAGTCCAAAGGAGGTTGGAGACGTAGACAGAACACTGGGTGGAAGAAGAACAGGTTTATTAGTATATATAAATAGAACACCTATCGAAGTGAACGGTAAAAGGAGGGATTATATTGCAATCGCCAATATTTATTTTTCTTCTTACATTTTAAGCTTTCAGTAACAGAAGATGTGTCGAACCAGCCTACTACAGGAGTCGAACTCAGACATCTCTCGCCTTCAAGATATATTCTAGACTTAGTAAATTAATTCCTAGTACTTAAAATGGAAGTTTTCTACGTATCATCTCTATCCATGATCGGGTTAGATGTTGTACGGATGCTGTTTGTCGTCCTAAATCGATTGTGAAGAGCAAGCAATGTGAACATGACAGACGGTATTCATACAAACAAGTTGTACGTCAATATATACGGCCTATTCGTCTGTAAAATCCATACATCTCTTTTAGCCGTTGATGGTAATTACTTCAAAATCCTATAATTCTATAATGGCTCTGCCGTTCTCTTGGATCATCTTCTCCGCCATTGTGAGCACTGTGTTCGCTGTTACAGGTGACCTGGAAATAGCCTTTGCAGCATTGAATCAAGCAAGGACGCTACAAAATCTGCAGCCTTTACTATGGAGCCCGGATTTGACAGCCTATGCGCAGTTTTGGGCTGACCAGATGGGGAGCGGCTTACAATCATTCCAGCATGCATCGGGCAAGTTCAGGCCCGATCAGGGAGAGAATCTCTTTGTGCAGCAATCCTCACAATGCGATGTAGCATACGATTATCCTTTCCGAACAGCCATGAATGCATGGCTTGCCCAAGCGTCTTTGTACAATAACCAACCGATCACGGGACATGAAGCGTGGCTGCACTGGTGTAAGCATCACCAAACTGGTGACCATGCTAAAGGGGCAACCGAGTGGCTAATAAATGTTGTATCCTAGCGCAATGTTTATGGTCTACCACTACCCAGGTTGGATGTGGTAGAGCATATAGCATCTCGGAATCTGGCAAGATCTTCGTCGTGTGCCGATTCTTCCCCGAGGGCAACGTGTAAGTGAACCAGCGTGCTTGGCAGTAGTAGGGAGATGCTGAGATATTATTAGTGTTGGCCATAAACCGTTTTAAAAAAAAAGATCGTTTTCTCCCCTTTCCTACTTTGGCTACCGTACGTTTGGATGCTCGGTGGACATGGAGCCCTTAGTGGGTGCATTGACGTTGCGCATGGAAATGATGAGCTCCGGAAATCTATAGCCTCTTTATGACGGATAGCATTAGAGCAATCCGATACTCAACAGCAGGCTTCTGCATCTAAGTTATCTTTTATTATACCTCGATTGTGTTAACGAAAGATTTACTCAGTAGAATACAGGGTGGCGGGCGGCTCCCTCGTACTAAGTTCCTCATTACATAAGCAGCCGCCCTACTTGCAATTTGCCTGCCCTTGTGCTCGAAAAACCCACCCTGTCTTTCCAGCGACGCGAAATTGGCTGCTCCAGTCGCGACTCCAAACGCCTTTGCAGCAAACCCTCCCATCGCCAACTCGCTAAGCTTCTATCGCCAAGCATCGCCAGCCACGTGTACGCATCAAAACAACTCTGAGTACCTGATCAGACACCGTCCCTCACGAGCTGCGGCGATTGAGCTGATAATTGACGCTGTCAACGCTGCCCCGAGCTCCCTTTGCGCCCAGCCATCTGCCTAGATTTGCCATGCTTCTCGCCATCACACACAGTACATAATGGATCGAGCAAAGCCCCAGGCGTTTCAATCGTCCTACGCGCCGCGACTGCGCTCCTACAACAATGCGCTCCTGACCCCAGTGATTGCCAGCGCGCCCAGCGCTAACCAGCACTCGAGGACGACTAAGCGCGGCACCACCATGATCAACTACGCTGAGGATGGATACGACTACGATGACGACGACAGTGACGACCCAAGACGTCGACTTACCGGACTCCGCAGCATTCGAAAAGAAGATTCTACCAACAGGCAAGATGCTACCGACAAGGCTGGGCAGGAGACCTACGAACCCGTCCGTGTTCAAGGCATCTGGCGTGATTGGATGGGCAAGACTCGATCCGTTAGAAGCGATCAACAGAATGCTGCCCAAGCCAATCTGCCATTGACGCTGATTCCGATCCGCATAGACCTCGACGTTCCTCAATTCATTCCTCAGCCCGCCTTCCCTCCACCCGCTGGCCCAGGTGTTGATCTATCTCTTCCACAATACCGCCAGCAAGAAATGACGGTACCTTATAAGCTGCGAGATATCTTTTGCTGGAATCTCCACGAAACACTCATCACTACCGACCAATTTGCACAGACACTCGTGCAGGACCTTGACCTACCAAACAAAGCACACGCAGTAGCAGACATAAGCAAGCAAATCCGTACGCAACTGGAAGAATATGCCGGCGTTGCCCTGCACCCACTGTTCCATGCGGACCAACAGAACCAGAACCCTCAGCAACCTCTGCAATCGACAAACCAATCCCAAGCTGCGCCTATTGCCAACGGTGCCAACGGAACCCCCAAGCCTGTATCGCGGCCCGACACGCCGGCGCAAACTGCCGTTGATCCAAGCACACCGCTGCCGGCCGCGCCAGCAACCGATGCTGAGGTACCAAAGGTCTCGGCAGAAGCCACAACCATCACGCCCGAATCAGAAGACTACAACCCCGACGACACGTACCGGTGTATCGTCAATCTTAACCTCAACATGTCGTCTATGCTATACACTGACAAATTTGAATGGTCGCTGCTACATCCCGTCGGAACCGCTGAAGCCTTTGCCAAAACAACGTGCGCCGATCTCGGTCTGACACCTGAGTGGGTGCCAGCAATGACACATGCCATATACGAAGCAGTTTTGCGGCTCAAGAAGGAGGCTTGCGAGGCGGGCGGTTTTGTCGCGGGCTGGGGCGGCGTCCAGCAGGAGCTACCTAACGACGCAGTCCTAGGCAACGAAGCTGGCTGGCGTTACGATCCCGACAACCTAGCGGGCGACTGGGAACCCAAAGTCGAGCTGCTGACCAAGGAAGAGATGGAAAAGCGTGAAGGAGACCGCGAGCGCCAAGTACGCCGGCTGCGCCGTGAGACGGCCCGCTTCAGCTCTACAACAGGTATGCTTGGCGGCACGCCCACAACAACAGGCCCAACATTTGAGCTCGAGGAAGAGCGCATGGGCCGCGGCGAACGTTCCAAGAAGAAGCGCCGCTTCCGTAGTCTGAGCCCAATTGCCCGCATGGGTACACCAGGCGTGCGAGGAACACCCGATGTTGGTGGCTATGGAGGCGGCGGCGCGCTGACAGACCAAGAACGACTTGCCTGGCGTTGCGCTCACTGCCGCATATGGGGAACTAGCGTCTGGGCTGTTCGTGACGGCCCTGCCGGTCCAAGAGTGAGTTCATCATGTTTCATTTCGCCTTTGTCGAATCCTGCTAACAAGTCTCTTTTCGCTTGTAGACACTATGTGCCAACTGCGGCTACCTGTATGAACGCGACCGCACCCTGCCTCGCCAGACGCGAAACTTGCATCTCCAGGACATTCGGGCCGGTTAAAGAGCTGTGACAAGCTGCAGGAACGGTGTAGTTTACCCACAAAAGGTGATGATTTTTTGTTTCGGGAATCCAAGGGGCTATGGGGTGTTTTGCTGTTTGCTGCTTTTGTCTCTTTTTGTGTTGTCGTGTATCAAAGGCGTCTTATGGGATATGTAAAGCTGTGCAGACATTTCTCTTTTATTAAAACCAACCTACGAAATGAAAGTTATTTACTGTATGGTCGCGTTTACGTCGTATATTAGGCATAAAGATTGCATCCACCAGGTTCGACAGCAACGGTAATTGGTAGATTTCAAATTCTGTATTAGGATTTTTTATTCTCAAGCTATATATCCTTGCGCCAACATTTCCCAATACTCTTCACTTCCCATGTCGCCGCTGCTGTAGCCCTACCGTGGAGGCCCACCGTGCATCATCTGGGAGACATTGATGCCAACCCAGGGTTGCTGACCCTGCATTCCAACAGGCGGCATCTGATTTTGATATTGGGTATTCGGCGCTGGCGGCATCTGCTGCTGGATAGCTTGCTGCGGCGAGCTGCCTGTTGCTCGCCTGCTTTGCAGTCGCGCGATTGTGTCCTTAGAAAGCTGCTGGAAGCTTTGTAGAAGCATATTTGCGTCTTCCCAGCGTTCAGCATACTTCATCAGCGTCTGTGGTATGCCTTGCAGACAGCCCAGACTTTTCTGAAGCATCTCTGCGGGTGTTTGCGCCAGTTGGACATGGCGCCTTGGCATCGGGGGCGGCGGTGGGCAGCCAGGACGAGTAGGCGGAGCCGGCACGGGCCTTCCGGAGAGGATAATGTCTTCAGAGTCGCGAAGAACGGCAAGGAACTGGTTGCCCATAAAGTACACCTTGATAGCGTCATGGTATGTGTACAAGGCGCTGTTTAGATCCATGTGTGCAATGTCGAACATGACGTTGAGATACTCTAGCGCATATTCAAAGATGAGGCTGCGAGTATAGTCGGTGATTTGCGGTGCCCGTACAGACGGGGCAATGCAGTACACGTAACTGTAGCGTAGCTCTTGATCGAACATGCGTCTTATTCCCGGTGGAAGTGTAACGGGAAGCGAGTCACTCCATTCACGCATATCGAGACACATCTGCCACAAGAAAGAAGATGGATCGGCTAGTGGGGTTGAGTCAGATTGGTAGAGCTCCTGGTACCAAAACGACTGTGCTCGTCGTAATTGGAAGAGTAGTAGGGCTGGATCGGCTGACTGAGGGCCAGAAATAGGGCCAGTTTCAGAGGGTTTTCGGCTGAGATCAGGCTTAGAGTTGATGGAGTGGGGAAAGGCAACATTGGTTGTTTCATCCGTAAACGAGAATGTACGTGCGTGAACCATGCTGATTGCCCTGTAGTGCTGTTAGTATAGTCTTCAAAAGCCATCTATGCGGTTACCAACCTGTCCATCGCATATGTACAGTAAAATGTACGTCGGCGCATGTCCAGCGAGGTGCGGTCCAGTGTAGAAGATGGCGGATCTTGGTGCAGGCCAAGGTCAATAATGGCACGCGCGGTAAAGCCGATAAGGTGCCATGCATCGAAATGAGCGGGATCCAGCATCGAATAAAGTGTCAGGAGCAGAAGGGATTGAACCTGACCGACATTCCCGGGAACAAGCGCACGATCAGCGTGCTGAAGCGCTTTGGCCAGGTATTCAACACCAGTATCATAATATGAATCGTGGAGCGTCTTGCTCTGGGCCGTTGAACCAATAGCAAGCACCATGTACATCAACCAGTAGTCAGTGTCCTTGATTGGACGGCCATCCTGCTTGTAAAAGTCGTCAATTACCGTCCAAAGGGCTGTTTCAGAAAAACAGGGATAGAGCGTGTAGATGTTGGAGAGGAAGTATTGGACGATTGAATTGATGGCCTGTCGTGGAGGAATGTCAATTTCGACGGATGGCGGGACAGGATCGTTGAGCGTCGCGGCTAAAACGAGTCTTGCAAATGTCATGTTGCCGGAAGTCGGTTCGAAATCTCTGGTAGTGGCATTTACAGACCTGAGGTACATGACATGTTAGTATCATTCTCGAAGGACAGCTTTCCACGCGCTTGCTTACATGAAGCCAAAATCGGAGACAAGGGTGTTAACGTCTGAATTCTCGCGTGATCTGGCAGCTTTGCGATGAATAGCATCGCGAATAGATGCCAGGGAATCACGTCGTTCGCTACCGTCATCGGGGCTTGTCGTTGATGTTTCAGGTTCGTGATTGCCGACAGATGCCTTTCGGGATTTTGCATATTGCAGGCGGCGCTCGAGCTTCTCAATGCGCAGTTCGAGAGCAGCCACATAGCTGTATCAAATATTAGAAAGGGATACATGGATAAGTCCGTCGACTGTTTATGACTAACCTTCGTTCTTTCCCCCGAGCAAACTGATCATTTGCCGACGAACACTCGTCTTCGCGACCAGCTTTCTGGCACGCAGTGCATGCTGGTAGCTTGCCATCGCACTGTGTATGGTGTTAATAACCAAAAACCTAGGACTGGAATTGTTTTACAAACCTTGACTTTAGCGGTGCGACCTATACGTTTATTAGCGAAGGCATTAAAGACAGGACACTAGAGCCTACTCACATCGTGAACAAGCCGAAATAGGGCGCGACACTCTTAGCAGCGGATTCCGGGAAAAGCTACTGCGGGGCATGATGTATTTGTTGAAAGAGAATAGGATGGGGAGACGAGAGGAAGGGCGCGGGAGGTTCGGATGGCTGAAGAGCAGGAATGAAGAGCCCGGCGTTTGGGGCGAGGTGTCTTGGTAGGAGATTTACCAGAACCCATGTAAATCCAGTAGCAGAGAGACGAGTGTTATTGGAGCATCAAGGGAGTCCGAGTTGATGAGGAGAAAGGTATTGCGCTCGTAATGTGAAGCCGAGAATATCGAGATGGGTCTGGAATGGCTCTGAGCGGGCGAATGTCCACGACGGCTGTGTCGAAGAGGGCGAACTCTTGTGCGGGGAACCGTTGCTGTGTATGGCCACAATGTGTCAGGTGCTACGGAAAGTGAGGGAAGGGAAGAATGGGCAGTGGATCTGTGAGAAGGTGGAAATAGTTCAAGAGTTGTCTTCACAGTTCCCTGGGGATGGTGGAATGGTGGCGTGGAGCAAGTTGATGAGCTCGAAGTTGACCAAAGGTGGGGTTTTGTGATTTACGCAAGGCGAACCCTTTGCTCTGGGGAGAGAGCAGAGAGGCGCAGAGCCCGCACCCACGCAATAGGCGAAGGCTTTGGTAGAGTTTGGGGGGCTTTGTCTAGTGCTGGCTGGTGGGGCGCTGACTGGGTTTCGATGTACCTTCGATGCTTGCTCTGAACAAGAAGCCCGAGTGGCGGGGGAAGGGAGAGGCGATTGTTTTGTTTCGGGTTACATACAAAAGATCAACATAAAGAGTGAAGTGAAAATGCGAAGCAGGACCCGATGGCAATGAATACAAGGGAAAGGACAGGAGTATAAACAATGTAGCGTAAGGTGGCATCTGGTGCGCTTGCACCGTACTCGTACACGCCATTGGTCCCTGTAGACGCTGCACCAAGTGACAAAGGAAGAAAACCGCAAGGACCCTTAATGGTTCGAAACCCAATATAATCGTCATCCAAAACTGAAATATGAAGACCAATAAGACATTGCTTACCCGTACTGACCCAATTGATGCCTATTTTCCGATCTGCTTTGCATTGGATATATGCTGTCATGGCCGGCTCAGAAAGCGCCACTCATCCATGAATCTCACTTTGAATGCACGGCTTCGCCCATATTGGGAGCATCATATACCGCAGGGGCATACAAAGCTATGGGCCATTGTATCATTTTGGATCAAGATGGAGGCTTAAATCGGAGCCTGGCGAATGCTGACATGCCACTTCTACTGGAACGTGAGCACTTTTCGGCGGTGGCCGCTCGCGTGGCATGCTGACGTTTCAGAGCCCTAGTTGGGCTATATTCTCCGGTTTAATCAGAGGGGAGGGTTTATTTACGCAAACAGATCTCGCATTTCTGATGCGCTGACTCTTATGACTGGGGGCAACGCGCCGTAGTACCATCGCTGGTCTACTGCAAGTTGGCTTGTCGCTGCGTCCAGGAGGTGTCCATCGTTTGGCATTGAAGCAATGGACAAAGAAGCGTATCTGGATATATCCATACAAGTGCAACATCCGCATCCCCAGCGCATCCGTCCCATAGACCATCCTGCCTTTATTTTGCTGCGTCTCTCTCTTGTAGCGCTGGGACCAAACGAAGCCAGCAAGAACCCCGATCTGCACCGCACTGCCCAGTGCGGCCCCCGTGCAGCTTCAGCGGGTCCGTTAGCGTGTACAATGAATAAGCAAAAGTTACAGGTAGACTCGTTTTTTCGTCAATCTTTTAAGTATTCTTTTATAAGTTGTATATTTTAAAATTACCTTATTTATCAATCTTTGTAGAATATCATGTATAGTATGTGTATATGTATCGAGTTTTTAGATGAATATTGCATATAGAGTTTGTGTAAATATACATTCGAAATGTTTTGTTGGAACAACGACTACTCGTAACTTTTTGCTTCCCCAGTGTAGCCAGCCTGAACGGAGCCACCACCACCCGCCCACATCACATCCCGCGCATGTGGTGAAGATGCCGCAGTTTAACCTTTGCCGCACGGCACACACGCACACAGCCTATGGCCGCTTCTTCTCCACACCCGCATTGGTTGCGCTCTGGTTCCATCGTACGTTGAAGCGATTCAAAGCCCCAGTCTTGGCCATCGTATCCAGCTTAGCCCTCTGTAAATCCCTCGGTGACTCTGCACCACCCTTGAATGCCATCAGCTCCTTTGCTGACTTGCCCTGGGAAGCGTTTTTACCTGGCGCATCGAGCAGTCAGCGTCGGTAACATAGTCCACGAATCATTGCCGTTTCACTCAACTCCCAATTTTTCGGTAGTCTAGATTAAAACAAATACTAAACGATGACACGTCCACTCCATTTGCCTTGCTATAGAAAACAAAGTATAATAAAATTTGCATCCGTGCTTTCACACAAAAGCTTCGCTAGTGAAGCAGCACCTGTAGATGGGCGCCGTCGTCTCACCTTGCTCCGCTAAGCCCAACTGAATCGCTACCAGCAACAACCCGCTTCCGCCACTCCCACCGTTCCTGCGCTCTACACCACCCAACCCACAAACTTGGCATATCCGGAATCACCTGCTGGTCGCCAGTGGGCTAAAACCAGTGCCATCACCATATAACTGATCGCAGGAGACAATATTTTACAATGGATGCCGCTCACATATTTCGACAAGGTCTCGGCACTGTGCCTCCCCGCCAGATTCAAACCTTTGACCCATACCAAGGTCAAGGCTACGAAGCCGACGATTTTCTAGATGGCGACAGTTCCGGCCAGAGAGTAGCACACACATTGACGGCCTGCTGTAGGTGTCGCCAGGTTCGTTTGAAATTAATGTCACCATCCTCAGAATACATACTGACGCTGCCGCTGTAGCGAAAGACGCGCTGTGATCCCTCACTACCCCGCTGTCGCCCATGCGAGAAGGCTGGTGCCATCTGCGAATATCTCGACGCTGCGAAGGGGCGCAAAGTTAATCGCTACTACGTTATTAAATTGCAAGACAAAGTCCGAGCTCTTGAAGCGGAGCTTGACCAGTACACCGATGAGGCTACCGACTACCCCAGCACCAACGAAGACATTGTCCGCCCCGGAGGCATGATTCGCCTCAGCGTCAGCGACGAAACGCCCCGGTATTTGGGCCCTAGCAGTGGTATAGCCATGACGCGTCTGCTTATGGAAGAAGCCAAGCGCTATACAGAGACCAACAGTATCTCCGAATTGATTCCAGAAGTGCGAGCCAGGCGCCAAGCCCGTATGCAGTCTATACAAATGACGGGTACCCCTAGCGGTCATAAGAAGAGCTATCCGATGATCAGCGAACACCCCGCAGAAAGCTTACCGACTCGCGCTATGGCGACGAAGCTTATCGAAGTTTTTTGGAAGAAATGTAATCGTCGCGTTGGACTAGCCCAAAACTTCAACCTTTTGCTAACGTCTATCAGGTCAAATTATGTGGCCCGCTCTACATGAAAAAATGCTACATCAAACCGTTGAAGATGTATACAATGGCGATGCTGATCACGTCAAAAACTTCATCGTCCGCATGGTGTTTGCCATCAGTCTGCAAAAGCTAGATACGCAATACGCTGGATTGGCTGATAGTTATTATCAAGCGGCCATGAAAAAGTTTCAAGACGTGCTTCGGCCTAAAGACCTCAAAACCCTACAGTGTCTAGTTTTAGTCGGACAGTATTCTCTTATAACCCCAGCAAGCACCCCAATCTACTATGTCATCGGTCTCGCCACAAGAATTTGCCAACAAGAGGGCTTGACAGACGAGAAAACAATTGCGACAGGTTACGGCTTGAACGCCGAAATCATTGATCTTAGAAGACGCTTGGTGTGGATTATTGCAACGATGGAGTTTGGACTGTCCTATTATATGGGGCGTCCAACTGGATTTGCCAAGGGCGATGACCGCATGGATGTCCGTTTCTTTGCCACTGTCGGCGATGATCTCATTAGCCCAGATGGTATCAAGGAAGGCCCACCATGTATTCCAAAGGTTATGGCAATCCATTTCTACAAGATGCGCCTCTATCAAGCCGAGATTCGTCGTGCTCTTTACGAAAAGAAACGCGCTGAACCTACGAATGATGCTCATCAGTGGTTTCAGAATATGGAGGCAAAGTTGAAAGACTGGCAAGACAGTACACCTGACAATTTCCCCTGGGCAGTTACCTGGTAAGCTATCCTATTTTGTTTTGTTTTTAAGTATCAAAGACTCGCTCAAGCTGACCAATGATAAGTAGGTTCTCTGGATTTTATGAAGAACTGAGAGCTTTCATGTACCGTCCCTCACCGCAAATCCCCCTACCCTCACCTCGTGCCGCTGGTATTTGCTACGATAGCTGTGCATACATTATTAACCTAACTAAGAAAGAGATGGAAGTTGAGGCAATCGACATAACTTGGGTGTTTCTGGTTAACCTCTGCACAACGCTCAACACACTACTTTGGTCTACGTCATATGACGATGTTCGCGAGAAACATGCCAAAGAAGAGGTGGAAGAGCTTATCAATGTCGCTGTAGACTGCCTTGACCAGTGCTCGGAGCGCTGGCCTGGAACATCATCTGCATCGCAACTCTATGGCATCTTTACCAAGGCATGCCTTCAAAGCTATGAAAGTAAAGGCAACCGCGAGATGCAAAACATCTTTTCTTTTGCGAGCCCCTCATCAGCTGGAGACCAACACGGTTCGCCTCAAACATTTGTGTCTGGCGATGGCACCAACCCATTGCCGTACCTAAACCCCCCCAACTTTGCCTACGTCTTTGACTCGCCCCCTGAATCTATGGCAACATATACCTTTGACCCCAACTTTCCGCCTCCTCAACCCTCTTTTCGTTCGAATTCCATTTTCTGCAACCCAACTACCGATAGTAACGGCCGCCGCTTCTCCTACTTCCCACCCGACTTTTCGCAGCCGCCTGATGCCTTCCCAGACGACATGTCGCGTAACTTTGGCAAACTTGAATCGGATCTTGTATCTGTGTCTGAACAGATGAGTAGCCACATCCCCACGCCGCCAGAGTCTATGGGCGGTGGGAATATGACTGGCACGACGCCGAGCACAACCTTTTCTCCTCCAGCTATGGCTACGACTCTCGCCGAGGCGTCAGTCTCGATCCCCATGCTTCCTCAGGCGCGCAATACACCACCTATGAAGCATATGGTTGCCAAGGCTGATCCAGCCCAGAGAGACCCAACGTTTAGCATCGCACCCCAAGTCAGCGCAGCCACTCAGCAGCGCCCGCTACCCACTACGGCACCTATGAGCGGCGAATGGTTCTCTCCTCTTCCCCCGTTTATGTCTCCGTATAACTTGGGTGGCGCAGCGCCGCTGTTTGGCGCCGACACTATGTCCTCTGGCCCCAACTTTGGCGAGGTCCCTCGCAGCGGCATGAGCTTTGGTAGCCCCACCGACTTCAATGCGCCGTTTGGCTTCCCACAGGCGCGCCAGGGCAGTTTATCGCAGTCACAGCAGCTAGAACTCATGAATGTACTGGAGACGGAAGGCATGGGCGAGATTGACGCATACCTGAATGCAGGAAACGGTATGCCTGGCGACGGTCGATGGTACTAGCCGGCCATTTTGGCATTTTCTTTTTGTCTTATCGACTTCGGTAGGGACAGTGCCCTCTTGTTTGGTATACGGAGTACATGTATGTATGGGTTTGGGAGAATAATACCCTTGTGGCGTTTTGAGATTTAGCATGGGCTTTGTTTTCTTGTCGAAACTAGTCAAATGAAAGAATACAATGAATATTGGTACATATATAATAGCCCATCGACTGGGTGTATGCTCTATCAAGGAGTATACCACTTTTTAAGACTCCTTTCCAGATGTGTCAACTTCTCTACCATCGCTGCTCGTCTTTTTTGCCCTCTTCTTTCTTTTCGCTGTCCCACTAACCATTGGAACCTCACGTATCCAGCGTGAGACCCAATATGCTCTATCCATACCAGATGAAGGATTACTGCGTTCGTCGCCGGACCAGCGTCGCAAAAGTTTTGTAGAAACTCCTCCAGAGGCGCGACCTGCGCTAGATGTTGGAGGCTCCGGTACGGCTCCTCCCAACTCTTGTGTTATGGGCCGCCCATTTCGGTGTAGGTGTTGAGATACATCTCTACCTACAGAAAACATACAGAGCGCATCCCATGATTGATCAAGTTGGATCCAGTTATCGGTGAGATTCAGGATTTCGATCCATGTTCCGAGCGCGGCGGGCTTGATGCTTTGGAAGATAGGATATCCGTTATCCAAGCGTACAAGACGGGCTACCATAAGGGCATGCCGAGATATTTCCTTTGCCGATGTCTGCGCTAGAGCATGTGCAATCAGGAAACAATGCAAGGATTCGATAAGAAGAGGATGGAACGTTAGCATCTCTGTCAAGGGGTTAGAGTCTAGAGGAGGCAGGTCCCCTGGTGCAACAGCCTCAAAGAGTTTGGAAACGGGGTATATGGTCGGAGGAATCGGAGGTGTTGCAGGCTCAGATCCCCGGTAACGTGTGTTGTTTATAATGGCGTCCGCGCGGAGGGCCATTTGCGAGCTGTATTGAGGTGGCCATTGAGGCGAGTAGTCTAGGAATGAAAACAATGATAGAAAATCACGGATTGCCCGCTTTGCATATGTCTTGACTAGCTTGCGTGGCTCCTCAAATCGTGACTCATGGTCTGCTATGTCATTGTTGTTCGAATCAGAATGTTTTGGTAGGCTACCGACAAGGTTTTGGCAGGCGAGGTTTAGGTTGTATGAAGCACGGTGAAAGTATAGTTGGCCTTCTAAGCTGCTGGGCTGCTCTTCTTCCCGTATGGGTCTGTCACCAAATAGTTTGGGGTTCTGCGGAAGGTCTGTAGCTTTTGACGCTCCTGTATGCTGCGAGGATTGGAATCTACACATGGCGAGGGCGTCGGTGATGTCCTGAATAGCACCTGAAAGGTCCATTTTGAAAGCTCGGACTACCGCTCGAGTACGAAGCAGGGCAGGCTCTCGAGGTGATTCTGCTATAATATCGGTAAGAGATTCAATAGTAGTTGAGTCGACCAAGTTCCGCGACGGTATTTTTTCATGGAAGAAGTGGACATATCTGGCGTCAAGATCACTTGGTTCTCTCTTCAACACATCTTTGGCAACATCCTCCAATATTGAAGACGACTGCATTATGCTGACACTACTGGCAATTTCGTCAATTTTGTAAGCGCGGCTGAGTTTCTGCGTTGCTTGTTGCCTCATTTTGAGTATCCTGGCTTTGCTGAGCTTTTCACCAAAGCCAGTAGAGCTTGCTGTGGGAGATGGACCGAACCCACTGGCCGCTTTGATGGCCAACTCAGTTGCATCATCGATCAATTTTCTGATTTTGATAACGTCAAACAGCAGTGCCGGCTCGACGTGGCGGGGTAGCGGACTGTTGAAATTGAGACTGCCCAACAAATCCAGTTGTCTTGTAGTTATAGAGAGCCATGCCCCATTGTAGGCAGAGATGTATTTCCAGTGTCTATCCTTTTATTAGTAATTGTGAAGCATTCTGAGAGAGGCTTAGTCCACCATACTTATTTCGGCATATAAGTAATGTCGAATCGCCTTGCTGCCTTAGCATGGGCGTGTCCGAGGACGAACTGAGACTACTTTTGGGTGCATGACTCTTTAGAGAAGAATTTGGCGTATCCATGGTGTTATAAATATATGATAATTGGTCTCAGCCTTCTCCAGAAGACTGGCAATTCTGCCTAGCTGCTAAAAGGCTTTAGAGCTAATTCATTGTACTTATAGTCATTGCTGCGTGTAAGGGTGCTGGCCAGCCTTATGCTATAATTTATTTCGTTCTTGCTTCTTGAATGTGGTTATTGATGGTATTGCGAAGGTCGAAAGAAGCCTACTGTTGATACAATATTCAACGTTGATTGTGAAAATAAAAAAAACGACACTGTAAACCGCGACGGGAATTGTTTGCAGGCGCTTTGCGACGGGCGTTGGAAGGTGGGGCAGCATTGGACAAAGTATAATAGTTGGTACTGTAGTTGGTAAGGAGCGGACCCCAAGTGACTCTCAAGGTAAAACGATAATAAAGTGGTGTAATGGACAATAAAGGTAAAAACTGGCAAATGATGACTTAATTCGTCATGTAATACGTATTCTTAGTAGTTTTCTTCTATTTTACAGCTCGATAATTCGGCTGGGAAGGCGGAAGATGTCGTCGCATAGTTGATGCCCACCCCCCCCCCCCCCCTCTTCCCGTGGCGCTGGAAAATAAATAGCGTTGCGTCGGCCAGAAGCTTGTGTGGCTCAGCCACCGCGTGGCTGAAATCCACGTATGTCTCCCAGCTTGCTCCCCTTCCTAGTCACAAACCAGCAAGTCCAATTCGCATCTCGAGAGTTGCCTCACACTCAACAACAAGACCGTTGACGAAACATCTGCATACATACACATCAAATAGCGAAGGAAACCACCACAAATAACTGTATTACTACAGCATGAAGCCCGTCGTGAGCGCCGGCCAAGCTTGGTCCTGGTACGTCATGATACGAGCTGCGCTGCTTCGCGAGAAGCTGCGAACTAGGCCTGTATCTAACTTGACTTCTAATAGTACTGTTGTCGCCGCATTTGGCATTCCTATTCTGAGTGTTCTAGCCATTCTATATAGAACGGGCCACGAAGAGTTCACAGGATCGACCGACGGCCCCAACCGCGATGAGGGTAAGGTCATGGCTGGCAACATTTTTATGGCTGTGATTGTGTATGCTGTACGTACCGTTTGAGGGATATATTGGTTCTTACGCTTCACACAGCCGACCGCTAACTAATATTTCCAGGGATTTGCCGTATTTTGTGGCTTCCAGGGCATGCTACACGTTCGAGAGAGCCGACGCGGAGCGATTGCTTTATAACTTTCACACGATCGGACGGGTACAGATAATTCATTGGCGTTTTTATGGAGTTATTGATTAGTGAAATTCTAGAAATGAACGGCGGAGCCGTCTTGGCTTCGACTGTCACTGGTAGCGCACGGCCTACAGATGGCGACACTTTAGATGTACAATTATACACCTTTCTTGCACACATATCTGATTCTTGTTGTGTCCGCATATATGCCATTTATATTGTTGACTATTCACCGTATACTGCTCGTTATATTGAGGACATATATTGACCTACTGTGCCTACTGGACAAGGTGAAATACGCGCCAAGACCCGGAAACAGGCGCTCGTCATCGTCACCATCCGCCACTCGCTGGGCACGACTGAAATCCCCTTCGCTGACCCTGTCAACGGTTTCAAACGTAGCCCAAGGTACTAGGTAGAGGCCCTTGGCATTAAGAGGATTTGGCGGTAAGTTTTTGACTCCTACAACAACTGCTACATGCTGTTGCTTTTTGCTGCCGTTCTGATGGTGTATGAGTAACTCCATAACACCAAGAACATGCGGCTTTATAATGTCTTCTTTGCGAGGAACTTTGGTAAGATCAAAGCTAATAATATAGTTATCTTTTCCACCAATGTCGTCAAATAATTGCCACCATGGGGAACGAGAAAGTACCTCGACATTCACCGCTGCGCTTGACCCCGTAGATGGCTCTGGCGAGAACAAGATACCACCTGGTAGCTTAGACGTCGTATGAGAGAAAGGAACATATATCTGTTTCAGCCGCGGTTCTCGGAGGACAGCATCTTCCTGGAACCCCACGCTGCTGCACGTAGACTCCAGCAGTTTTGCTACTTCAATGGGGAAAATAACACGGCTCATAAGACATTGAAGAAGATAGTCAGGACGAATTCGGACAAAATCTTCGAAGTCGTTGTTACCGCCGAAATGAACCGGGCAGATGGCTCGTTGGAGTAAAATGGCCGGTATCAGAGCCGTAGTTGACTGAGGCCGCTTCATTTCGAAGTTGAGCAATGCTAAAAAGATGGTCCCCGATTTATCCCCTGGAAAGTTTGTGATGGGAAAGTTCACATGAAGCCCTCGATTTGAAAGAATAGCTTCGCGTCTATTCACACCAGACGTGTATTTCGAGAGTACTGGCAAGTAGTCATCAAAGTGTCCGAAAGCTTCAGGACCGCCTGCTAGGAGACCGCTAATTCCAAAATTCGTCTCTGAAATCCAGGCAAATATGGAGTCATCGTCTGTGGATTTAATGATTTCCTCTTGCAACCTCCGGAAGGCTTTCTTCTGCCCTTCGCCATAGAGTAGGGGCATGTTGATGTCAAAGATACCAAGGAGACAGTATGCCACGTCCTCTGGGCGTGTAGTAATGCGCTGCGCAGCCCAGCTCATTTTTTGAGCCACTGAGAATTGTGATAGATGTTCATGAAGGTAGCTTTGTCGATCTATCGATTCGTCGTGGAGAAACTCCGCGGGAATGCGTGTTACTTTCTCAATTTCGGCGCGCAAGGTATCCCTTGATCCTATTTCTACCCAAAATTCATCATAGAATACAACTGATACAGGTGAGATAAGCTCTTGGAGTGTCCAGCCTCTTGTGAACCAACGACTCTGGTGGAACAAAGGTTCAGTGCCGTCTCGGATGTCTGACAACAGGGCAATGCAAACACCAGCAGCAGCGTACCATTGGAACATGGAGTTAATTGCTTCGCTCAGCTCTGCGCTACTGGATTTGTCGATGCAGCAGGTATCAATCCAGACGTACTCAAATCCTCGAGCCTTTGCTGCTTTACAACATCCTGCTATCTTGCGCCATCCCGCCCGCACATCGTCCTTCGTTGCGCAGAATTCAGCGTATGAGATTTCTTCTTGGCCCCAAGTATGGGAGAGAATAGCATACGGTGGAATGTCGTTGCCAATAAAGAATTCGAGGCGCAAATCCTTGATGTTCAGTAGTCTCATTATAGAGGGTTTGAGTCGTCGGTCCTTTGTCTGGAGGTATGTGGGAGACTTGCTGTAGGTGGAGGTGGCGTGTGCGTGAAGGTGCTGCAGTTATGGTGGATTCATGAGGTGGAACAGTACAGAAAAGATGCAAGGAAATCCAGGCATGAGACATGAAGCGAAAAATCCGAAGTAAACAACTTGTAAACTATAGAAAACTGCTGTAGTGCGTAATCGAGCCAATACCGTAAAGCGCGTTTCACGTCTCACGTTTCTAATGGTGTCATCTCCAGGCGCTTCATCAGTTGCTCTGGAACTTGGTAGGGCCGCTCCAAGGGCACTACACCAAGCTCAACCAGTCTGTGTAGGCTCATCTCTGGGTTTGTATCAAGAGTATGTTTTAGTTTCTGAGCACGATCAGTGACATCGTCGATTGAAACAATCCATTTTGTTGCCCAAGTTTCACTTAGACTTGCTCCGATTCCGATCTGGATGCTCCGGTAAGGCAACATCTTGAGAGACGGCGTGCGCTCTGGATCCCATTGAATTCTGACGGTTCCGGGGGAAACAGTCTGCGCCTGAGATGTATGGGTAGAAAGAGTGCCGTTTTCGAGCAATGATAAAAAGTCTTCGTGCTTCATCTTTAGCGCTAAGATGCGGGCTTGGCCATGATCCTTGTACGAATAGCCGGCCCTATACATCATCCATGCCCAGCTTGGTTTGACCCAGGTCATTCTACCAAGTTTGAACTTTGGCGATGCATTAAGTTTCTGTTCCCGGACCGCGGCGTCTGCAATGTCACGAGAGTATGCCTGGTAGACAGTGATAGTATCATTGTCGAAGTCGGCGCGGATTTGCCTATAAGGGTACTGGCTTTGCATTGCCATGCTGTCAAGTGTAGTATATTGTCGCCTGATGACTTTTAATTACAAGGATATGCATCGTCCTGATGAATCAGTTGTGCCTCTGTTTATGTATATGTAGTCTCGCCAAATGTGTAGGGCAACTATGAGTCCTTGCCGGAGGCTGAGGCTGTACGCATCCATGCTCTGTCGGTGGGCACTGCCTGCCTCCTGTTGAGTTTTGGTTTACCGTGCTGGGTGGCGATGCTAAAACACAAAACAGACGCCAAAGGACTGTAACCAAGATGTTATAAAATTGGAGCGCAGAAATATAATAACTCTGTTCTTTTTTTTCCTTTCCCACCAAAACTTTTCCACACTGGCCTCCTGCTTCTGTAGTTGTTTGCACGCTTACTGCATTGACACAAGCTTAACAAGCTTGGCGCCACATTACGCAACCCCACTGAAGGCCAACCACCGATGTCATTTGCACGTCCCACCGCTTTTAAGCACTGTTGCTTCCCCCCAACACAACTATCGCCCGCTCTTTTTCTGTAAAGAACCGCGGGAACCCGTGGGCCTGGCTTTTATTGTTGCTTTAGATCGAGTAAAGAGCACCACATAGCCTCATCTGCCGCCCACTCACCAGCCGCAGCCCTTCCAATCGTGGTGGGCGGGGACGTCGTAGGACTCGCGCCAGATCGTTACCCAACACGTCACCCTCTACAACAAAGAACGCGAACGAGCCGGGAATTATAACATTGGGGTTTACAGGCTGCCGTCCTTTATGTCTACTGACGACTCTACCCCAGAGATGGCAACCGCGGTGCCTGAGGTACAGGGAGCTACTCCAGTAGCTGAGGCGCCAGAGTCTGAAACAGGCGCGGCCGCCAAGGGATCCGAGTTGACGAACCTGCTAAATGCAGAACCGAAAGATTCGAATAATACTATGCAAGAGGCTCTGCAAAAGCACGACCAGCCGATCAGGGTTACCACCCCCCCTCTTCAAACCACCAAAGAGCTGTCACAGAGTGACGACCCTATGTCAGCCTCGGCCATCACCATTAAACCCTCGAACCACCCACATGCGCAGGATAATGGCACCCAATATCTTACACCGCAGCCGTCCAGTTATGTTGATCCAACCCCACCGACTCCTATGACTTCCAATCCACCATCTAGATCTCCTTCCGCTACCGCTAGATCCACCAACTCCGACGATGCGTCTCCCTCAAGGCACACTTCAGACCGCGAGAGCAAGCAACCTCTCAGCGATGACGAACATGAGCCGACTTCCCAATCTGAAATTCAGAATATCATGGCTCAGTTCAATGAGTTTGGTGGTGGGCCTGGCGCGGACGAGGTAATGAGCCCAAGACTGGAGATTGCGTCACCAATGTTGAATGGCCCGGTACAGCATCCGCCGAGAAAGTCAAGCCTAACTCCGCCTGGACCATCTATAACAGAGAAAATAAACCAAGACGTAAATGCTCTGAGGATATCTACAGATGTCCCTACTTCTCAAGAGGCAGCTGAAAGTCTTGCAGCACCCCCAGTTCCGCCCAAAGACGGTACCCTTGGCACACCGCCGCGGCGTAAAGATCAACGTGACGGCTCTTTGAAATCGCCGACCTCTTCTCATTCATTGCAACGCCCACCGCCACCAGAACCTGAGCCCGAACCGGCCCTACCGTTTGATTTCCATCGCTTCTTGGAGCAATTGCGGAACAAAAAGGCAGATCCCGTAGCTCGATACTTGAAATCGTTTCTGAACGAATTTGGCAAACGGCAATGGATGGTACATGAACAAGTCAAGATCATCGGTGATTTTCTCGCCTTTATTGCTAATAAGATGATGCATTGCGACGTATGGATCGATGTGTCTGACGCTGAGTTTGATAATGCTAGAGAAGGCATGGAGAAACTTGTCATGAACCGGTTATATTCGCAAACGTTTTCACCTGCCATCCCAGCCCCAAAGCCCGTTCCTGGAGCGAAGCCACGGAAAAGAGGGGGGGATCCGCCATTTGGCCCTGGCAGACGAGGCCAGCACCAAGAAGATGTGGAACGGGACGACATCGTGTCTCAAAAGATTAACATCTACGGGTGGATCAAGGAAGAACATCTGGATATACCTCCTGTTGGTGACAGTGGACGCCGGTTCTTGAAACTGGCCCAACAAGGTACGTTATGTATAATCCGCATTCTGCTACATTGCTGACACTATCAGAACTCTTAAAAATCAAGTCTTACCGAGCCCCTCGTGACAAGATCATTTGCGTTTTGAACTGCTGCAAGGTCATCTTTGGTTTGTCTCCGTAGCCCGTGCTGAAAGAACGCTTGCTAAATTTTGTCACAGGGCTTCTTAAACATAACAAATCCGATTCTTCGGCAGACTCATTTATGCCGCTTCTTATATACGTAGTGTTGCAGTGTAACCCCGAACACCTGGTATCAAACGTCCAATACATTCTGCGCTTCCGCAACCAAGACAAACTGGGCGGCGAAGCGGGTTACTATTTATCCTCTCTGGTCAGTACCATGCATATTTCTTTACTGTCGTTTTAGCATGCTAACCTTTTACAGATGGGTGCTGTCCAATTTATTGAGAATATGGATCGCACATCACTGACCATCACGGACGAGGACTTTGAGAAGAACGTGGAGGCTGCTGTCTCAGCAATTGCTGAGAAGCACCAGGCTCTTTCACCGATCATCAGACAAGCATCTTCGTCTTTCAGTGAAAAACCTCAACACCACTCTCAACCAACGACTGCAGGTTCTAGTGAAGGGATGAGTTCATCTCCAAACGCGACGAAAGAGCATGAGAGTGATATAACTGCACCCATAACAGGTCTTTTACGTACAATTCAACGGCCTCTCACTACTATCGGTCGTATCTTTGCGGAAGATGTGTCCTCTCCAGCTCCCGGTCTCGCCCCAAGTGCACCGATTTACAACCAAGCACAAGCCGCTCAGGATGTCAACCCAGAGCCAGTGCGTGATTCTGCTCGAAGGGTGTCGAACGCATCAAAACATTCGCTATCGGCTGAGGAAGCGGCCGCGAGACAAGCAAGTGCGGAAACGGCCGAAGCCCAGCGTCTGCAGCGAGCCGAGCACTCCAATGTTGTCGAGACACTGGCTGGAATGTTTCCAGACTTGGATAAAGACGTCATCAGTGATGTTGTTTATGAAAAGGAAGGACGGTGAGTTTATGCAAATGCCATAACTAGTGGTCTGAAGTGCTCATTTCTAACGTGACTCTAGTGTTGGGTTGGCAGTTGATGCGTGCCTAGCACTGTCTACATAGAAGTCAAAACAGTATAAAAGGGTGTATACATTATGTTAATGAAACCCCTGTCTTTTCATTTTGACGAACCTGCCATCATGAGCGCTCTTGCGTAAATGGCCTAGGCCTGTGCTATTTCGTTTGGCGCTTTCCGGCGCAGACTAACCATGCTCCCCTTATGATTGTGACTGTATTCAGTCTTCGCTGTAAGATTCGAGTCTGTGATATCAAATGCTTTGGGTGGCTTAACGGTTGGTCAGTTGTGTCATGAACAAAATAGAAGTGAATCCGCGTACTATTGGCGACGTTTCTGTTTTAGCTTTCTTGAGTGACCACTGTGCCTTCCTTTTAGCATGCATAATGTGAATAGCAGTTTCGAGGTTCATACCAAAGTGTAACACACGCAAAGGCGTAAATTATATATCAATGGCCCTATGGATTGACATTAATACATAGTTCTAGAGTTCACAGCTGATCTTGGCGCCTGTACCTCCCCCGTTCATGGAGAGCGTCTAACTATGGTGCAATGGGGATGCATTGCTCTCTGCTAGGTACGCCTTTCCGTCGACAAAGCCGTGGCTTCTTAGCGGCGTTTCACAGCCGTTCTCTGCATCGTTTGTTGAGAGTTGAGGTGCTCTATCAATACCTTGTCTGTTTCGCCCCATGTTATACCTGGTTGGTCAGCTTAAAACTATCTCGCGGACAATCCCAATTCAAGAATAATATCAACTACATTTCCAAGTTTTGGGGACACTGAACTGGAACCACATGATGATTATTGGCGGAGCTTACGGAGATTGTAAGTAGTGCATGGTGGCTGCCGTTATCAAACACGACCAATACGGGGAGACGTCAACTAAGTTCAGCCGACGAAATGTCGTTCGTATCAGTGCAAAGCCACGCTTCGAATAATAGCGAAGCAGAGCTCGCTTTGGTTATCGTTCTGAGACGTTTTATATAAGTACTCTCTGTAGTGTCCTTGGACTCGAAAGTAGTTGTCAAGGGTCACAAGTTTCACGTATCGCAGCACGGAGCTTGATCATTGCTAAACAAATAAGTAAAATTATACCACCAAGAATTTAGTGGACAGTATATATTTATTGAATATAATGAACAATAATTCATGTCAAAGGTCGAGCATCAATCGCAGCAATCCGCTCGCATGGGCGACCACGTGACTGTTAGGCATAACAATAGTAACACCAACGAGCTCCTCTTAAGTTTAATTCCAAAGCTACGCTGTGTTCAACGTCAGCCTCTAATTTGTTTTGGCCATTTAAACAGTCGTAATTGTTCAACGAGGATGACATAAACGGCCCAAAATGACTGACTCGACGCCGCAACCGGCGAATATTCTTCGTGGACACAAAGCTCAGATCCACGCTATTAGCTTCATTCGCGACAATGACCGTCTTATCACAGGAGATGCAGACGGATTTATAGTAACGTGGAGTTTAGCTATTATGCGCCCTGTCGCAGTGTGGAAGGCTCACGAGAGTGCTATTCTTTCCATTCAAGGCTGGGGTCCAGATAAGCTCATCACGTAAGAACGGCGCTATCGAGCCTTGAGCAGCTCAATGCTAACCTCATAATATGCAGTCATGGACGCGACCATAAACTCATTGTTTGGAAGTTGGATGAAAAGAGTTAAAAGGATCTCAGTTCAGACCCGCCTCTGGAAGAAACCGCACAGCCACGGCCTCATCCATGGATTGTACACGTGTTGGATGTGAACGCGATGAACTTTTGCCCATTCGCCGCCTGCTCTACATCCGCATCGGTAGAGAGCATACATACCTCGAGCGAAATACTAGTCGCTGTTCCAAATGCACTTATTTCGGAATCTGTAAGTTGGCTATTCTAACATTGGGAAATGTCCACTAATTTCTTGTACTTTCTCACTTTTAGGTGGACATTTTCCACTTGCCCAGCCAGCGCAGAGTGCACACCGTGAACTCGGTACATCAAAACGGCATGGCGATGAACCTTTCGCTGTTCTACAAAGACAGCAAACTTGTTCTTGTGGCTGGGTTTGAAAACGGCTGCACGTCCGTTCATGTGCTGAACGAGGCGGAGCAAGCATGGACCATGACTTACCGAAACCAGACACATTCGCAGCCGATACTCTCCCTGGATATTCAGATTGACTATGAATTTTACATTGCATCCTCGGCAGATGCCTACATAAGCAAACATCCTATCCCACTCACACCACAGACGGTGCTCTCCACGAAGGGCGAGGCTTTGACTTCGCCACAAATTGGCCCGCTCCCAGCCGGCAGCTCAACAGAGCCTGCAGACACGTTTGCGCAAATTTCCGCAAGTGACAAAAATACGCATACGTTTTCTCAAAAGGCTTGGGACGAGCCGATCAGGGTGGTAAATACTAGACACTCTGGCCAACAGAGCTTAGCTGTTCGGTCAGATGGCAAGATCTTTACTACAGCTGGCTGGGATTCCAATATTCGAGTATATTCATGCAAAACTGTAAAAGAGCTAGCTGTCTTGCAATGGCACACTGTCGGTGTGTATGCCGTCTCGTTTGCTGAGATTCTCCCCGTACCAAATGAACCAACAGCCGGTGAGACTTCTACGGACTCGGGCGAGATAGTACGAGGTGGGCAAGAGCACTCGAGTGTCAGGGAGCGACGCCTGCAAAGGGTCAAGAAAGCACATTGGCTTGCAGCCGGAGCGAAAGACGGAAAAGTTACCCTTTGGGATATATACTAAAAATCTTGCCTTGTTCGTTTACAGGGATATCGAGGCTATTTTGGCAAGGTGCACAGCCAGGCTGTTCTCTAACCCTGGAAACATACTTGCCACTACAAATCAATACTGAGGCTTGTTGGTGACTGACAAAGCTGCCTTGATAATCATCGCTTGGTTGCTTGCTTACAAACTCCGCATAGAAGACTTGCTGGTGTAGAATCGTTCAGAGTACATCCGATCAGGCAAAGTATACCGCACTTCGATGGCGCCTTTGCAGCCAGCTCTCGGAGTTGTCTCCGAGATGTCGCCGGCAAATTTTAACAATTACATGCGGAGCAGCCTCAACACTCATGGACCACTAATTAAATGCCGCTAAACGAAGACCAAAAGAGAACAGGCGCGCTGTAATTGATGGTTAAGGCTATTCCGTTCGTTAACCAATACCGATGCGAGCTTAGAGAGTGACTCACGACGACGCAGCCGCGATTAGACGGGATCCGTTATGCTAAGGATAACGCGTTATGCACGGCACCCAGTCTTTTCAGAAGCCTAGGAGGCAGCAAGAAGAATTCTTACAAATCAAGTGCGGACTAATTTTTCTGCCATGGAGCAACTAGATTGCGAGATTCTAATGCTAATAGAAAATCCAGCGTTTAATCGCTTTCCCGCTGACTTTACAACACTGGAGTTGCGTTCGATGCTTACGGCCTATCTCCGCCACCAAGCTCCGCAATCGCCATGCGGACCTAGCGCACCGAGTAACCACCCTCGCTGGAGCGCCTCGTCATGGCTGCAACCCTTCAGCCTTGCGGACTTAGCGGACACCACAAGACAGGGGTGGTTGAACGTGCGCAAGCGTTATGCCCGAGAGCCACGTCCCTTACAGGGCTGCGCGGATTTGCACGGCAGTGCTGATAAACTTATTCGACATCTTATTTTTAAGGGCCGTTATCACTATTATGTACTTAAACAGCGTCATGTCCTCCTCGTTTAGCGGACGAAAATCACAGACACACTTCATACTGTTCATACCTCAGCCTTAAAGCTTACAAGCGCGCTACTTTGTAACCAGTCCCCCCAAACTTGGTCACCATGACATCGGGAAAGACCAGTCTAGAGGTCCCTAGACCAGAATCAGGGTTCCACACCTCTGTTGCATCGACAGTTGCTGGTGATGACTATCTGCACGAGAAAGCACATGACACTACGGACACTGAAGTCGAAAAACAACCAGAAGACGAGGTGTCTTCCAAGGCAGACGATGCTCCCGAAACCGAATATCCCAAAGGCATGAAGATGTTCTTCATTGTCCTTGCCCTCGTCCTCTCCATCTTTCTCCTTGCGCTTGACATGGTAAGTTCTACAAAACGGCCCTTCATCTTGAAACCGACTAATATGAAAAAAAAATCTAGACTATTGTTGCCACAGCGATTCCCAAAATCACCGCCGAATTTCAAGGCCTGGATAAGGTTGGTTGGTACGGAGCTGCGTTCTTCATGACTGTTGGCGCTTTTCAATCAACGTGTAAGTCGGCCTTCACTGACCGGGCCCTACGACTGTCCGCTGACACATTCCATAGGGGGCAAAATTTACAAGTTCTTCCCTCTCAAGATCTCATTCCTAATTGCAATCCTCATCTTTGAAGTCGGATCAGCCGTTTGCGGCGCTGCTCCGAACTCGGAAGCCTTGATTGTCGGCCGTGCTATTGCTGGCCTGGGAGCTGCCGGCCTTGGCGCCGGAGCATACACCATTATCGCCTTTGCTGCTCCCCCAAAGAACCGCCCAGCTTTCACTGGTATCCTCGGAGCTTCTTATGGTCTGGCTAGCGTCATTGGGCCTCTTCTAGGCGGAGCCTTCACCGACCATGTTAGCTGGCGATGGTGCTTTTACATTAACCTGCCCATCGGTGCCGTCTCGGCAGCCATCATCTTCTTCTTCTTCCAGACCCCCCCCGCGGCCAAGCCCGAGGAAGCTCCCCTAGTAGAAAAGATCCGCCAGATGGATCCCCTGGGCATTGTGCTCATGATGGGTGCGACTGTTGTCTACATCCTGGCTGTTCAGTACGGCGGCATCGCCCATCCCTGGAACTCCTCCATCGTCATTGGTCTTCTTGTCGGGTTTGTTCTAATCATTGCTGCATGGGCTGTTCTTCAATGGTCGCAAGGCGAGCGCTCCATGATCTCTCCCCGCATTGCTTCCGATCGCACAAACATCATCATGAGCGCCTTTGCCTTTATCTTTGCTGGAGGCTTCTTTGCTGCCATTTACTATATCCCCGTCTACTTCCAGTCTGTCCACAACGCATCGCCTACTATGAGTGGCGTCGATAACCTCCCGCTAATCATCTCCGTTACAATCGCCACAATTGCCAGCGGCATCATCATTTCAGCCATTGGCTGGTACCAGCCTATCCTCATTGCTGGTGCCATCCTAGCCACTATTGGCTCTGGTCTCCTATTCATGCTCGATAAGAACACATCGACTGGCAAGTGGATTGGATATCAGATTATTGCAGGCTTTGGATGGGGCCTGTCGTTCCAGATTCCCATGATTGTCGTACAGGGCTCAGTTGTTCCCGAAGATCTTGCTTCGGCGACTGGCATGCTCATGTTCTTCCAGGGACTCGGCGGTGCCTTTCTGGTATCCGGTGCACAGTCGGCCTTTCTCAATCAGATGGTCAACTATGTGACTTCGCATGCCCCCGATGTCAGTAAGGCCACTCTCATCCTTACTGGTGCCACTGCTATCCGTACATCATTCCCTGTCGAGCAGCAAGGCGTTGTTATTGACGGCTACATGGAGGGCCTCCATGCTGCATTTGCCTTGTGCATTGCTGCATCCGGCTTTGCAACTCTGGTTGCTTTCGGAGTTCGCTGGAAGAAGCTCTATCCGGAAAACATGGCCGCTGGCGGCATGGCATAAATATGCTGATGCCTTTGTCATTTTGTTTTCTTCAACACTGGAAATTATTGGACTACGTTTAGACTGGAATTGGATTAGATTTCATTTGTACTATATGAGCAATATGTAGTTTTAATGGGTTGCTTATTTTAATTATGTTGATGGCAAAGTCTAATGTACAAGGCCTGTATGGCTGGTGATCTCATCTCGTGGATGGCTTGTCGACGAAACGACGACGTGTTAGGGTTTTAGCTGAAATATTGTGCGGTAAATTAAGCAACTTCTTTCAATCCACGGAGAAGATAATGCCAAACAATTACAGCACTTTGCGACCTTATAAAAATCGCCATAATGTCGCTACGCCAGCCAAAAGCAGTTCATGCGTGGCGCATTTATGTCTATGGGTTGTTATTCATTACGGAGCTGGACTGCTCTGCAGGGTAGTAGAGGCATATGCAGCCCGGACATGCAGAAACGCTCATGCATTGAGGAAGCATAATGAAGTGTATTTTCAAACCAATAAAAAATCATCTATAAATTCGTCGCTGTGTACTATTTTTCATGAATTGGCAGCAGCGCACTGTATTTCTCGACAAATAACTTGCTGACTCATCCAGCGACGATGTCCAACTTATAGCAGCCTCTCCCACGCCCCTGCGTCCCAAAATCTGCGGCGCACAACCCGTCACGACGTCCGGTTTTCTTTCTCACCCCGAACCATTGGACTATAAAGAGCGGCCCACGTGGGCTATTCTGTGTCTAAATCAGTATCTAACACACCAGCTGCTGTCCTTGCCGGTACTATTTACATTTACTACCATGATTGGCGCCAACGGACCATCGCTCAGAGCCGCACGTGCTGTAGTCACCGGCGCCGTCTTCTTCACGCGTACTCTACGCACGGCCCGCGCTGCCGTTGAAAAGATTCCCTCGACGTCTATCTCAGTGTTGCGCTCAGTAGAGTCCGTACGTCGATGGCGACAGCCGCACATGCTGAATCAGCGCAGCGTCGGTCTGGTGCCGACTATGGGAGCTCTACATGAGGGCCATCTAGCTCTGATTCGCGCCGCCGCTAAAGAAAACCACCACGTTGTCGTGAGCATATACGTCAACCCAGCCCAGTTTGGAATTAAAGAAGACCTCTCTTCATACCCTGTTACCTGGGAGAGCGATACCGCCGCATTAGCGAAGCTTGATCGCGAGCTGGCTGACGATGGCAGCAACTTTGGACGTATCTCTGCCGTCTTTGCGCCAACGACGCCTGAAATGTACCCGTCTGGTTTCCCGGGACAGGAGATTGACAGCAAAGGCAGCTTTGTTACCATAACGCCGGTTGGAGAGGTGCTTGAGGGAGCAAGTCGGCCGACCTTTTTTCGCGGGGTGGCGACGGTGTGTATGAAGCTGTTCAACGTTGTACAACCTGAGCGCGTATATTTTGGCCAGAAAGATGTTCAACAAACTGTGGTTATCCGCAGGATGACAGGCGATCTTATGCTCCCCACAGAAGTCATTATCTGCCCGACCGAAAGACAGGCGGATGGACTCGCCCTCAGCTCTCGGAATGTCTACCTCGGTCCGCGACGACGCAACGTGGGAGTCACGCTCTACCGGGCCTTGTCGGCAGCCGAACAGACTTACAAGGCTGGTAAGCTGGATCGTGCTTCCATACTCGGCGCTGCCAACGAGGTGATCTCCCAGACACTGGAGGCGCAGACCAAACTGTCGGCAGCGGAGCGGGCGCTGTTCGACGTGGACTATATCTCGATGGCTGATCCAAACACTATGTTGGAAATTGATGCTGTTGATCCAGCACACGGCGCGGTGCTGAGTGGCGCTATCAAGATGCATTCGTTGACGGAGACGCAACGTGGCGAGGATGTTGGGCATGCGGGCGGCCCTCCTGTACGACTTATTGACAACATTATTCTTAAACCCGTCTCTAGTTAGTGACATAATCTCTTGACTTGTATATGTATATGTATGGTATGATAAGGAGAAAGAAACAGAGCAATATTTATATTTCATCGTACATATCTGCAATTACATCATTATACACAAGGTGCTTTCATTGGAAGACGCTTGTCACAGAGACAAGCGCAAAGGGAAGTGAATATCAAGGGCAAGCAGGTTACTAAAGCTCACAGGTGCGACCGCGACTGCATCTTCCCTCTTTTCTTGGAATTGCGGATGCTCTTTCGCACGGCTTCCTGCTCTTCGCGACTCAGACGGCTGGGGACCTTGGACTTGCCGCCTTTCTCAGCTTCTTCCGCCTCATCAAAAAGCTTGCGACCGAGCTCGTCTGCGAGACGTAGCACACGGACGCTAACCGTGGCGCCATCGCGGCGGTTTTTACCCTCACGGCGGCAACTGGCTACCTTCTCGACAAAATCCCACAGCTTGCCTTTAGGGAGCAGGGCACCAGTCTGCTGATCGCGAGGCGAGTGCCAGGAACGGCCGAGCTGCATACGAGGCGGGATCTTGGCGTCTTTGGACTTCACCACATAGACCATCTGGTCCTCTTCGAAGCGACTGTACGAGTTTTTGAGGGTTTCCTTATTGACGGCTTCAAAGTAGGACAAATCACCCTGATGGTAGAGGGTTTTACCAAGCTACCACTCTTTGTTAGTGTCGTTGGCAAGGGTCACGGGATTTGGTGGTTTTATCTTACCAGTTGTGCTGAGTTTTGAGCTTTGCCAGATTCGATCCAGACGTCGCCATTCTTGCCGAGTGGCGGCGTGAGGCCCATGAGAGACACGGCCGCCAGCCAGCTTGCCTCGATAAATGGCCAGACAAGGAAACAGTAAAAATCGTAGTTTTCGCGACCAGCCTTTCTCTCGTCGTCAGACAGACCAATCACCTTTACCTTGCCGTGTTCGTCACGCTCAAGGCAGACCACGTTATCGGCCTCTAGACCCTTTAGTGTCTTATCCAAGTTGACATCTAGACCGGCACTACCAAAGATAAATTCGCTCCTGAAGAGTGACGACAGGAGCAAGACATAAGAGCGCAACTCATCATATTCTATGGTTTGCATAGACGGTCCACCACCGCGCTTAACGCGAGTGTACATGGCGGCACTGACGAGCGCCTCGTAGATGAAGAGATGAATGGTCATGTTGCGGTAGAAGGAAAGCTGGAAGCGGTCAACCGCGTAGTAAGTAGGTTCAGCTAGGCCATCAACAACGCCTACCAAATCTTTTCCGAGGACCTCCAGACCGCGCTCGATGATTTCAGACAAGGGGGCATTTCCAAAATGAGCCACCCTGCCACCCTTCGCACGAACACGAGCAGTGAGCCATTCGACTCGGCGCGTCAGCTCCTGCTTGCCAACACCGCGGCCACGCAGCGTCAAGAGGACGGTTCCGATCAACGCAGTAGGCATAACAACGGAGACGTCGTTGATATCGCCGAGAACCTTGTATCCTAGCGTCCGAAGAATCTTCTCTCGGACGGCGCGGACCTCGGGATTGCGATGATCTGTATCAAGGCCGCGAGGAACAGAGGGTAGCTTTGATAGCTGATTGTCTACAAACGAACGGAGACTCCACGGTTCATGGAAACGAACATCGACACGTCCCAGCTTCAGCGATAGAACTGAGGATCCGCCAGACAAAAAGTCTGCCAAGTTCTCCTTCTTCTTTGGGACGCCAAGAAGCTCAGTGACGTATCCTTCGGTTTCAATTACTTTGTCGTACTGTGTGGAAACAGGACAAATGATACAGTCATTGACACGGCCAGACAGAATGCTATCCAGCACAAAGCTCAGAATACCGAATTTGGGAGGCAGCAGTTTGCCCGTCCTTGAACGACCACCTTCAATAAAGCACTCAAAGTTGTATCCTTCCTGAAGGAGGGTATCAATGTACGTTTGAACGAGGGTCTGGTACAAAATATCGTCGCCAAACGCTCGCCTAATCCACATTGCACCAGCATGCTGCAAGAAGCTACCAACCAATGGGAAGTTAAGGTTATCGCCGGCGACAACGACTGGCAGTGTAAGACCAAGACGGTAGCAGATGAGCTGGAGCGAGACGTAGTCGACGTGAGATCGGTGGCTAGGCAAGAAGACAATACTCTGCTTCTTCTTGGCGGCCATGTCCGCCACTTGGCGAAGACGGAGAACCTCTTCGCTAGAGACATGAATGCCCTGATGATATGCTCTTGTGAGAAGCTGGGTGCACATATAATAGGCTCCACGAATAAATGCCTTGCTCTCCATCTTGCAAATCATTTCATCCGTGATCTTGTCAGCCACCTCTTGAAGCCCAGACTCAAGAGCGTTGATTCTCTGGACTCGCTTGACCTGGTAATCACTATCCTCCTTGTTGAGCAAGCCTTCCTTTTCCTCGACAGCGACGCGACTTTCGGCAAGCTGTGTGATTCGGCGCTGCAATAGGGGAGCGGATAAGACGTTAGACTTCATATTTTCGGAAAATCCCGAGTAGAAAACGGGTTGCCCAATGACTCGATCGTAGGCGCGCCATCCCTGTCCAGATACATATAAAGAAACTTCACGAAGAAACCTGTAGAAGAAAAAAATCGCTGTTAGCACTGGGCTTTCTGGGTAGCCGAGGACACGGGCACGCGTACTGGAGTGGCTCGGAGCGGAAGGAGGCAAATTGGTTCATGAGAGCCTCTTCTTTGCCGCCTATGTTCTCATCTTTATCGTATCCGCTAGGCTGAAAGGTGATTTCGTCGCCGAGAATTTGGAGATCGGGTGCAGAGGTTCTCGCCCTGTCGGCGTTGTCCTCCTGGTTTGCCATTGCTTGCTGCGTCGGCTGGTGTCAAGAAGTGGACAATTGGGTTGTTGTTAGTGGGCAAGCTGCTGCAACAAATACAAATAATCACGCCAAGTTTGAGAATGGCATGATGGGGCTTGCAAATATAATAAACAGATGACCCTTTGTTGGGATGAATGGACTATAGCAACCGAAAAAGCTGGGGGAATGTCGTCTGGGGGAGCCGGAGGCGGCCAAAAGGTGGGGAACCCGTGAGCCGAGGCCATGTGAAGCGATGCTACAAGCAGGCGCGGCTGGCACTGGAGCCCCAGAGGACCTAAAAAAAAAACTGGGCTGCTGCAAAATGCATGGTGACGAAACCTACTAGTACCACGACCACGACATTTTCTTTTGTTGAGCAAGGCGGGCGCTAGACAATGCTGGCTAGATTCATTCAGATACTACAATAAAATCTGCGCGTTTCAATCCTGACGCAAACTCAGCCAATTCCCCCCCCCCCCCCCCCCCCCCCCCCCCCCCCCCCCCCCCGCCGTCAGCATGTCAGATCCGACCGATGGACGCCCAGTTAAGGCACTGCTCGCACGAGCACACTCTCCTGCAAGCGCCGAGCGCCTCTATAAAGACAAGATTGAGCATCGAAAACTGCATCTACGAGCTACTTCTCCACCACCAGCCGTTCTGAATGCCCGAGCATCTAGACGGAAAGCTAGACAAGCAGCCAAGGACAAGAAGAAACAGCGACCCAAACCTCTGTCGTCGCGGCAACAGCGACAGCTTGGGCTCTATGATATTCCGAAAAGCGGGCAACGATACGAAGTATACGCACCTCTAAATAAACTTTGGCAAGGATACGCGAGGGAGATTTTGGGCTCAGACATCTACATTGGCGGTGCCCCAGCAGCGGCCAAGCTCTCCAGCGCCGAATTCCACGGTGCAGAAGCTGAGGTCGTTCGTAGCAGCTGCACAGACCGTGTCGGAATCAAAGGAATTATTGTCCGAGATCGCAAGTTTGTATTTGAAATCTTGACCATGACCAAAGGACTTAAGATCGTCCCGAAAGAAGGCACCACCTTCCGCATCGAAGTTGAATATCTGCCTAGGGAGGGCCAGCACGACGAAAGGTTTGCGTTTGAGGTGCTTGGAGACCAATTAATTATCCGGTCTGCGGACAGAGCAAATCGAAAGTTTAAGCAACACTTTCTGAAGAATGTGTAGAGGAATGATGGGCACAATACTGCAGGAGAGCTCTGTCTGACGTTAGGGAAGAGCTGCCGCAAGTTCCAGGACCCTTACCAAGTCCTGGGCCACCGTACAATTGGTATAATTATCTACGAGAACACGAGCTATTATGACCCTTTAATGTCAACCTGTCACTGCCTCCTTCCCCGTAGTGTCTTTCTTATACTAAGCAGCCGTTAGACTGAGGCTATTGCATAGCGACGTGTCTCAACCACGAGCAATACCTGCTAGTGAAGCATAACAATCGCCACTAGTGTACACGCTGCCGATGCGCTACAATATCATTCGCGTAGCTACTCAGTCGTGGATAACCATCTACCAAGGTGAGAGTGTACGGTCTAGTACTAATGTATATTCACGTAGGCACTGCCCTTTGCGTACAGCTAAGCGGAATTTGCTAGGAATAACCTTAGACGGCCCATATTATTCAGGCTTCCCAAACCCTGTCTCCATTTCCCTTCAAACTAAGGGTAGGACTGTCCGGCTAAAAATCGGGTGACCTGACCCCTTGGGCGACAGGCCACTTGTCGGGCGCCTTCAGCGGGTTTAGCGGGCTTGCACAGGGCCTGGCCAGTGGAGTAGGGTACAGTATGGTGCATGTACTAAGCCTGAGTTTTAGCCAGCGCTACATTATGTACTGCGGGCTTGGTATTACCTAAACCATTTTTGCTGGGCCTTGCTGGTTTTTTTTTACCACCACCACCACCAAAAGAGAATTGTAAGAGCAACCGCCAAACACCAAAATATCTACGGCCGTTTTCGCCTTACCATCTGTCATCTCCAATCGTTTTAACAAGCGTCATCTTGTAAACAAACAGTTTTTGTACTGCATCATCAACTAGCCTGCCTGCCACAGCGCTCTTGCATTATTTTCCGTGCCACCATCGACCGGACCTCTATTTATTTTCTACATTTTTTCTTCAAAGCCCCAAAATTCACCACTTCCGCGGCGCTGCAACCACAATCCAGCCCGCAACAAGCCATTGACAATGCCGACAACTTTACCCTCGAGTTTCGCCTCTGCCGCCGCCGGCCAAAATGCCAATCGTGATGCTAGAGGCGGACGATCTGATGGAAGAGGTGTAGCTGGAGCTGACTGGTAGGTCCTCCCTTGTGCCACTCCCGGCGAGAGCAAATCTGCATCACGTCTGCGCAACAATCTGCAGCTTGCTGCTGCAAGTGCATAAAATTACACGGCCTCAAACCAATGGCCAGTCGCAGCGCTTCACTTTCTCCCTTTTTATTCCCTTTGTCTCCGTGCTTGCGCTGCTGCTTGTCGCTGCCTAGGCACTCTCCCTGCCACGTGCATCCTTGAACTAACGATTTTCCCTGTAGGTCACGACGTGACGGCCGTTCTGCCAATGGCACAATGACTTTCCGACGAACTTCTACCACGCCCCAAGGTAACTCGTCCCACCTCCCCCCGCCGCAGTCCGAGGCGGCGACATCGACGCCAACCGACATCCAAAGTGCTCCCCACTACGACCTGAGCTCCGCGCGTTACACGAAAGAAGACCTCCTCCAGATGTATAACCATCAAAAACCTGCCGATCCATCGCGTCTCTTTCTGTCCGGATGGGATCCTAGCAATATCAACGGCTCTAGCGGACGTGGTTGGGGCAAAAGCAATGAAAACCATGTTCCCCAAGAACCTGGCGCATGTTGGGATCAGAACGGTGAGAGTACACCTCTCGGTCTCCAAGAATTGTCAACAGAAGAGAAAGAGGTTAGTTAATACGCCCCCATATAAGGACTGCCAACTGGCCTTCTTTTTCTCAAGGAACTTTTTTTAGGGCGACCGCGATTTTCTAACATGATCTGCAGGCGTTTGCAACCGATATCAACTCGCCACTGAAGCCCCCGACTCAGAATAAGGAGGGCCATCAACAAAGCGTAAACGGCCGAAAAGGTTCTGTTTCCCAGGGAAGCGGGACTACATACGGTGTTGCATCTCCCTCGTCGATGCAACGCCCCTCAACCAGACGCCGAGAGACAGGGGACTCGAACCCTTTTGGCGCAGGCGGCCTTGGTTCTCCTACATCCACACGCTTAGCACGAGATGATCAGCCGGCATGGCTTTCTCGGAGAGGTGATGGCAAGGATGGAGAACCTGAGGATGCTGGTAACGATTCCACAAAACCTGTTACTGGGAACCTCATACGGTCAAACACTGGCGGAAGCGCGGCTCTTGGCTCCATGTGGCCACCATCTTCTGCCAGTGCATCTGGTGGATTTGGAAACTTCTCCATTGGTGCCAGTTCCTCGAATGCCGACAGACGAGCTGGTGCTGGTGCCAGCGGGAGTCGCCTTGCTCATCTTATCCCCAAGGATGGCGCTGACGGCGCGAAGTCTGTTGAGTCGCAGCAGAGCCAGAGCTCGTGGAGAACTCGACCACGAACCGATACGGATCCCTTCGGCGACGCAGAGCTCTCAGGAAGTGCCATTCTAGGTGGATCGCAGGATATCGGATTAGCTGCTAACCGTGCTGGCACACTGGGCACTCCTGTAAAGGGTTCTGCTGAAGACTTTGGCATGTCTGGTCTTAACATGAAGGACAATGACGATCCTAACAGCCCTGCCGAAACCAACCCGTATCGCAGTCCCCACGCTGACCGTTATGAGCAAGACTCCAGTGTAGCAGAAAAGTCTCAAGGCAGTGGGCAGGCCGAGCAGTCTGCAATGTTCAGCAACTTGCCTCGAGCCTTTGGTGGTGGCGCATTCGACGGTAGCGACCGAAGCCAGACATCGAGTGTTGGAGCAAAAGCATACCCTCTTGGTACACTCTCAGGATGGCCTGCCCCTGCTCCAACCGGAACCCCAGATCGTGAGCGTCCTAACTTTGGCAATGCCTTTGGAAACGCACTATTCGGCAATGTTGGGGATTTGCAGTCTCCCGCATTGGGTGGCCTAGGCAATGTCTTCGGCCCAACCGGTAGCGCCGGGCTCGGTGCTGGAAGTATTAGCCGTGGAAGTAAACTTGGTTCTCTGTTCCCCCCTGCCATGCAAGCCCAAATGCAAGCTCATGACCATGAGAGTGCTGATGGCGCTGACCTGCGTCACAACAATTCGCTCGGTGCCATTGGTCGAGGCGGCCTTGGTGGCCCTGCTCGTGAAACTGATAGCCCCATGAGATCCGGTCGTGGTGTATTTGAAGAGCTTTTCCCTGCATCAGAGGCCTCTCGTTCCCACGGGTTTCCTGGAGATGCCACACCTGGTGGTACTATTCCTCAATCCTTTACCCCTGTGTCAGGTGGCATGCCTTTTGGTGGTGCTCACGCTGAACCGGCTCCTGGCCAGATCAGACAAATGGTCATGCCGGATAGAATGAGATGGGTTTATCTGGACCCCCAAGGCCAAGTCCAGGGCCCATTTACTGGCCTAGAGATGAATGACTGGTATAAGGCCAACTTCTTTACGCCTGATCTTCGCGTCAAGAAGGTCGAAGACAAAGAGTTTGAGCCTCTTGGCCAACTCATTCGTCGCATCGGTAATTCCAGAGAGCCTTTCTTGGTTCCGCAGATTGGTGTTCCTCATGGCCCGCCTTCGCAAAATGGCCCGTTCACCGCCAACACTGGCGCTGGCGTAGTCCCTCCCTTGAGCGGCGTTTTCCCCAGCTTCGGGAGAACCCTCACTGCTGATGAGCAGAACAACCTAGAGCGACGCAAACAGGAAGAGCAGTACATGATGGCGCAGCAGCGCGACTATGTCATGCGCCATCAAGCCATCAACAAGTTTGGCCCTGGTCTGCAATCCCATTCCAGCGCCCACAGTCTTCAGAGCCAAACCAGTTTTGGTAGCATGAATAACCCCATTGGCATGCCTCCACAACCTCATGCCATCGGCTCCAATATGGCTCCTGGGTCATTTGGAGAGCATGGAGCCCAAGGTGGCGCCCGGTCAGCGGCGGGAAACGGTGAGCTTTTTCGTCAGGACGAGCTAGCAAACCTGTCTGCACCTGAGCGGCAAATGCTTGCCAATCTAGAAGACGCAGCTAATCCCATAGGTTCGGATCGTTCCGACCTCCCTCGTCCAAGTGAGCTGGCAGAGGATGGTGAAGGCTTCAAAGGTCGCCTCCAGGAATTCGAAGGTCTCCGAGCCCAGCACGATGCGGAGCAGGTTGCTGATGCTGTGGCCGAGGAGGATCAGATTCAGCAGACTGCCCATAAGATTTCAGCCAAGGGTGCTGGTGATGATTCTCTATCGCTCACCGAGCAAGTTCAAATCACGCAGGCTGCCGCTGCTTCTGCCCCGGAGATGCCTGGCATGCCTATGCCCTTCCCCCCACCCTCATCCACGACTCCATTGCCCGCTCCAACTGCCCAGCGTGCGCGTTCCAACTTGCCTGAGCAGTTTAGCCGCTCCCAATCTGCCACCCCTGAGGTGGTTCAGCCTCCCCCAATGGCCCCCTGGGCGAAAGATATGGGCAATGATGGACCCAAGGGACCTAGTTTGAAGGAAATCCAAGAAGCTGAGGCTCGTAAGGCAGCCAAGGCTGAGGAACATGCAGCTGCTATTCGCAAGGCCGCCATGGAGCATGAAGATGCATTGCAACGCGAGCGCGAGCGCGCTGCGGCTGCGGCTGCCAATGCTGCTGCGCTGCCTGCTTCTAGTACGTGGGGTCATGGTTCTCCAGCGTCTGCAGGCACTCCTTGGGCAAAGCCTAGCGCTTCCAAGGGCGTTGCTACTGGCCCAGTGGCCAGCCCTGGCCCCAAAGGCAAGACATTGGCTGAAATCCAACGCGAAGAAGAGGTTCGCAAGCAGAAGGCCAGGGATATTGCCATCCAGACCGGAGCCCCTCTTCCCGGATCCAAGAGCTTCGTCAGCCTTGCTGCAAAGGCTACTAACAACGCTACTGGTCCTGCCGCAATGGCACCACCTCCTGGTGCCGGATGGGCTACCGTTGGAGCCGGTGGAAAGGTCAAAAGTCCTGCCAGCCCTGCTACTCCAACTCGTGCCTCGGTCCCAGCTCCTGTTAAGCCGGCTGTAATTCCTGCGGCAAAGTCGAACCCCAAACCTACTATGGCTCTCGCTCAGACCAGCACCGCTTCTGCCATTGATGAGTTCAACAAGTGGGTTCAGCGTGAACTATCACGCGGTATTACTGGCATTGCGGACAGTAAGTAACATAGGATTATTGTCAGATGTGGCCACACCTACTAACAAGTCGTTTTAGTTGCCAGCTTCCAGGGTACCCTGAATGAGCTTCCACTGGATACCGGTCTTATCGCTGATGCAGTCTACGCTACCTCTACCACTATGGATGGACGGCGCTTTGCCGACGAATATGTCCGCCGTAAGAAGCTAGCGGAGAAGGGCGTTTTCGAAAAGAACGCCGGTGTCGATAACCGTTCTACCAGTGGTGGTTGGTCTGAGGTTGCGAAGAAGGGTGGCAACGCCGCCGGTGCACCAGTCTCTCGTGAGCCTGAGAGTGCTGTCATGGCTGGTGCGGCTTTTCGCGTAGTCTCCGGCAAGAAGAAGGGCAAGAAATAGAGTGATAGCTCTATTTATGATGTTCTGGAATCAGAACCCGCCTGAGGCAGCTTCCGAGCAAGCTGCAAACTAACTAATTTAACAAACATGTAACAAAAAGAAATGCGGGTATTGGGTTGCTGTTTTCACAACCAACCCCTCGCAATATGTACGACTGCATTTATGTACGGAGTGATGGACTTTTGGCTAGCGGGGGGGTTTTTTTTTTGACGGACTATGAAGGCGGCTACGAGGATCATGCCGTTTTGTATAACTTAACCAATAGAAAAGCGAAAAGACGAGGTGAAAACGGTAGCGGTTCTGTTTTGCGGCAGGCCGATGTACTTTTAGGAATCCATCGGAATTAATACTGCCCACAATACCTTACGTGTGTATCCAGTAACGAACATAGGTGATAAAGTCATTGACTGAGTGCTTTGTGACGGAGTAAAACGGATGCTTTTATCTATATGTGTTCCAAGACAACACAACCACATCAATCACATAGCTAGTCTTGCCTACTTATTCCTTGGATAACTTGAGCCCCTCCATGAGTCCCTCCAGTGTCGCCCAACCCTCAGTATCTTGCCAGTTTTGCTTCGCTCTGCCCATGACGCTGCGGACTGCACTGCGTGCCTTTCCGCGCCATCTGGCGCCAATCTCCTCGACATCTGGCCCCCAGTTCTCGAGCACCGAAACAAGCTCATCTGTGCGCTTGACAACCTCCATCCATGCGGCCTCGTCCTCTGTCCAGTCCGACCCGGAAGACTCACCAGCCAGCAAGCTGCTGCCAGAGGATCCAAAGGCAGCGCGCCACGCTCGTTCGGCAGCATCGATGGCACCGTGGTAATCGCGGTGCCAGGCGCGCAGGCGGGACACGATGGACCACAGCTCAGAACGCTTCGTGATGAGCGGCGCAATCTCTTCTTCAATCATGCGAGAGATGAGGCGCTCCGTTGTTCCGCGTGGAGGCTCGTACACGTCCGTCTTGGAGTCGCGGGCCTTGAGTAGGACTTCGCGCTGGAGCAAGACGTTGAGAACGTCGGCGTTGACGGCGTCTTCCGTCTTGCGGATGCGCACGATTTGCGTCATGGCAAGGACCATATCTGCAATGGCGGGCGGTCGCATACGTGCCGCCAAGGTTACAACATTCTCCCAGATGCGCCAGTTGTCATTGGCGATGGAGGCGCCCTTTTTGAAAGCGGCCAGCGCCTGTGCAAGGAGCTTAGCTGGGTCGCGACTGACGAGCTTCTCGTCCACGATTGGCACAATGGTGTCTTCGTCTTCATCTTTCGCCTTCTCGATGGTCTTGTGCTCGGGCGCTAGTGTCTCGCCGGAAGCCAGGACTTCGGCACAAAGACTCCACAGCGCGGAGCCCAGGTTGCTCCACGTCTTGGCGTCCTCGCCGCCAGCTTCGTCGTTGGCGCTCCCAATGGATCTGGTAAATGCTTCGGCCGCGTCTTCGAATCGGTTGAGACGAAGGCTAATGTCACCAAGACGACCCCACATCTCAGGGTTCATTCGATTGACGGCAGTTGCCTTTTTATAGGCCTCCTGGGCCTTGGCCCATTCTCCTTTTCCAATGTAGTATTCGCCAAGAGAGCGTTGGGCGCGACTAAAGTGGCGGTTGGAGAGCTCCCATGCACGTTCGTAGTGGTTTGGATCCTGTTCCAAGTCACCCAGAATGCACCAGAGGCGGGCAGCGTCGGAGGGAGGAGGGCTGCGTTCAGGGCCGGCAAAATCAGCAGGCTTCAGGTGTGTGACTTCGTCGCCGATTTCGTCTTCGTCTTGATCCAGACTCTTGGCTACATCCGCCGTTTGCCCCGTTCTGTAGAAGAGCCTCCAACGGACGATACCGCGGGCTTTATCATCGCCACCGCTGCCTCGTCCATCGTCATCTTGGGCTGCAGCAGCGCTAGCAAGGCACAAAGCAACTTCAGCCCACAGGCGGAGGCGTTGGAAGATTTCCTGTGCCGAGATGAGGGATCCTACACTAGCCCAAGCGAACGCAAGTTCGGATTCAAGATGCCAGCGGGGAGGAGTTGACAAGGCGTGGATATAGCGTAGACGGATATCGGCTGGTGCGGACTCTGAGGCAGTAGGGGCCGGGAGGAATGTGGTAGGGATATTGGAGGGGGGAGCAGCTGTTTGCTTATCTTGTCCAGGAGCTGAAACCTCAATGGAAGGCACATCAGCATGTTCGCCTTTGGATTTTTTCTCAGATGCCTGAGAGGCGTATGTTGTATCGGAGAGTACTTGATCCGCGAGTGCTTGTAACTGTAGAATACCACGCTCCATAGTGCGACTTCGATGGACCTCGATTCTGGAGCGTACAAGCAGAGCCTGGGTGTAAATCTGCCAGTTTGTTGATTTATCAGCGATTACACGGGTTGCAAAGGGCAGAATCTCTTCGGCCGTTAATGAGTCGACTGGCGAGAAGGCATCCTTGAGAGTCGCTTCGGCGAGGAGGATGATTTGGTCAAGAGGGTTAAGTTGGGGTTGGTTGTCAGGAGCCAGAGCAGCCAGCGCAGGAGGTAGCTCGGGATTTGACTCCTCTTTCGCAGTTTCACCCGCTGCTGCAAACTGGACTTCTTCAAGCAGGGTATCGTTGTTAAGAGGAAGAGCTTGGGGCTTGGGGGTGTTGGACTCAACGTCGTTGTTCTTGTCGTTGTCGTCACTACTGTTGCTTTTGGCGAGAACAACCATTTGGCTGATGCTCTTTTCTTGGAACCTCGTTCTCTTACCAAGGGCCCCTGACAAAGCAAAGGATAGCCCACTAGTTTGTGCAGCCTCTTTAATTGTTGATTTGGCTAAATCAGATCGGCCAAGCAGGATGTAGTTGTTGGCAGATTCCAAGAGATATTCGACTTTTTCATCAACATTCCATGCCTCGTCTTCAGCCCATACATCTCCGCCCATGATCCTTGATCTGACCGACTCCATGAGATCGAGAATTTGCTTTGCCAACGTAGGCAGCTCACTCCACTGTGAGCTCTTTGTAAAGTTTGCACCGCCAAAGCTGGGCTGGGCAATCAGCTTGTAATGCCAGGCGTGGATTCGCAGCCTCGTCCATGATAAACTATATTTTACTGATTCGCCATCTGGTCCAGTAGGAAGAGTAATGGTATCCGTCGACAGAGACGTAAGGGCTGTGGTGAAAATGTACTTGGCGAGACAGAAAAGCTCGATGTAGGGAATATGTGGATACGGAGCAAGTCCATCAACCGCTAGATATTTAAGACAAGCTCTGCGCATATGTGACAATGTACATGTCCATTCTGATGCGAATTTTGTCTCTAAAGATTCAATCTCCTTGGAGGGGACCACTGGGCCAGTCACATTGATCTGGAGGAACAGTTGTAGGGCAGCTAGACCCAGGGTGAAGGCCTCAGCAGTTTCGTCTTCAGATAGTATGTCGCTTTGTCGATTTTCCGATGCAGTTTGGTCAACTGATTTAACCAGAGCCGCTATGAGGCGGCCGGAGAGAAAGCTTTCGTTGATTATATAGATCGCATCGCGCTGGCCTACGGAGGCAGTCTGGTTGGCGGTTTTCTGACTCATTTCGGATTGCTTGAGCCTTGATTCGTATTGTAACCTCCAACAACTACTTGAACAACGTAGCTTATTGGCTCGAAACCTCAATCAATCGGGGGACCCTCCTCGAGCGTTAGGTCGTTGATGGAAGCTTCGAGAGCGGCGGGGCAAGGCTGGCAACGGTTGGTTATTGCACCGCTGGAATCCGATAAATCGTCTAAATTTCTATTTGCAAAGATCAACTGGCTAGTCTTCAGGTACAAATCGTCTTGCACCTGTCTCTTCGGTTGACGGGGAGCTGTTCACTGTTTCTTGTTGACATTGGCGGGGTTGTGACGAAATCGAAACTTTTTTTTGCCTTATCGCTGTTATCGCGCGTTGATGTCCCCCGCCAACGATTGTCGTTGGCCGCAAGCTGATTCTTATAATAGTAAAGCAAAAGAAAAGAAAAAGTTTTCAACAACTTATATAATCAATTCAGATTCTCTATTTAGGTAAAAGTATATCTATCCGCTTTGTGAAATGCTCCCAAGTCTAAAATACACAAATCACAGATTACTGCCTACACCTTCTGTCCTGGTATAACATGCCATTTCAAGTATTGCCATAATTAGAAGAAGAGCAAAGGCAAAAGATTGAAGCATACTAAGTGATCTAATTTAGCATAAGGATAATGATGGTTTGACCAATTTAAACGCCCCTATACATGCCAGCATCTCCATAAGCCACGGTAAGATGGGATGTTACGGTTCGACGCATCTATGAAAGAGTATGGTTACGAGATCTTTTGGGACTATGCTCACGGGGGCCACCATTCGGCGCTTTTTGCTGTACTTACTGGGAATAATTGGGTTATTTTCACCACTAGTCCATCCCATCTCATACTCTGATAACCTCAGCGGAGACTTTTGCAAGGCTCTCGGGTATCGTTCGGGACCGCGACGGCGGGTTTCCTAGAAATGTAAACATAATGGTTTCCTATTAGGGACTAGAATTAGTCTCGGCTCTCGTGACTTGCATTTGCGGCGCAAACAAACTTGGTGCATTAATTCCAGAGCTTGCAAAGGCCCTTTTGCCCTTTCGTGCTGTGGTGGAATCGTGTCATGGTTGACGACAACCAAAACGCTGGCCGCTCAAGCCCAGAAAAAAAAGTTCGTATAAAGTTCAATGCGAATCGCCTCTTTGTTTACGACATTTTTCTGTCAAAAATTCCAATGTCGGTGGTTGAATCCTGGTACGGTACCGTCATGTCGTCTGACAATCGATAAGCGCCAGTAGCTCTGACCACTACATCATCATCAGAACCTTTCTTCCCTTTTGCTTATTACCACGCCTTTTCCGCCGCTAGAAAGCCTTCCGCAATATGTGATTCACAATCCAATAGCTTCCGTTGCTTCCGATCATATTTCCCTTCCATACACTCAACAATGGTGCACAAGTCACAGGTCCCACGGTCGTGCGATCGGTGTCACGCCTCCAAAGAAAGATGCAGCCGGCCATCTGCTGCGAGCAAGTGCGAGCGATGCGCACGTCTCAACTTTACATGCACTTTAGAACGCAATACCAAACGCCCCGGACGTCCTTTGATGTCTGCTACCACGCGCCGTTGCCGCACTAGCACACATACGCCGACACCCAGCCCAACGCTGCTGGCAACGGTTGAAGACATATCCAAGAGCAAGGCTTTCGATATTAGTGCATCTGCAGCCAAACTTATTGCTTGCATAGGTGATAACCGGGTGATGGGCCGATATGTCATCGGACCTAGCTTTTACGAAACCCATCGGCAGTATCTCGTCTCGACACTATGCGCAGCGCCCCAGCGTCTCGCGGATTCCTATCTGGCGGCGGCGGCATGCCAATACGACGACCACTACCAGCCCGGCGGCGTATCCAAAGATACCAATAGCACAAAACAAGAATACATATTTGCCTCGTCCGCTGTAGCAGCATTACGAACATTTACAGTGAGAAATGTGGATGACATGCGCGATTGCTTGGTGCTTGGTGGCCATATCGTTACATTTGCTCTGCGGCTACAGGTTGCGGATTCACGCAGCATATGCCAACGAACGTTGGACCTTATTAAGCCTATCTACGAGGATGATGTCATAATGCAAAGTGCCGATCCAGCCGTCACTGGCTTCCTTACGTCTCTCGTTCTCACAGATGTTGCCGAGTCGTTGCTCTGTTGTCAGCCGCCAGCTTTAAGATACCGGAAATCGCTCACAAATGCTCCCGCAGATCGCTACGTTGGCATCTCGACCGGCCTGCTGGGTCTCCTCTATGACCTCGCAGTGCTTTCATATGAAATGTCATTGGATCGGTCCAACGCGCGAGCTTCACACGCCCATCAGACGGCCATGCTGAAGCTAGAAAGCCTCGTTTCAATCTGGGAGCCCGAGATGCCACAGGGGTTCATGTCCCAGTATACGCCAATGGAAATATCCCACATGATTTGCCAAGCTGAAGTGCTGCGGACGAGCGCACTGCTCATTTTACATCATCTTCGGCATCCTTTCCGGCGCCAAGATCCCGTGGCAGAGGCCATGTCGTCGCAAATTCTGAACTTGCTGACGACGACTAAATCAGCCACACATTCAGTACCGAGATGCATCGATTTGGCCCTGGCTATTGCCTGTCTCCAGTACGCGGGCCAACCACGAGCAGCGGACAAGATGGCGCAGCTATCGCCCATTTCCGGATACTCCGACATCTTCCTAGAGAGATCAACTGCGATGCTAGCCGCTTTCAACCAAGCATGGGGCCCCAGCAGCGAAATATACTGGTATGATCTAGGCCGCATATTTCCCCTGCCGCAATGATTGGCTTCCGGTGGAGATTTTCTCTTGATTTGCCAACTTTCCCACCCCCAGATGCCGAGTCGGGTGGCAGTGCGCCACTAGCGTAAGCGAACCGGGAGGTTTGGTGCAAAACCCCCCGGAGACCGGCAATCACTTATAAAAACAGCTTGCGTTGCATCACAGCAACAGCAGCACCCAAAGCATCCCTTGCGTTTTCTTTGGGCTTGAAAATCCGACCAATTCTTCCAATATGTTTGCACAAATCCTCCTCAACCTCGCCTTGGCCCTCTGGGCAAGTGCTACGCCTGGCTCCAACTATAATGTGAGCAGCGAATTCGCCCTCGCACATGGCTGCGGACCAAAATGCCAGAGCAACATCGCTGCGGCAGACATTGAAGATCTCGCAACCTTCGGCCCAGACTTTGACTTTGGCTTTTACGAAACTGCGGCCAACTTTACCACATCGAAGGCGGGCGATCTGCTCAAGTTGAAGCCGCTAGACCCTCAACCGCTTCAGATCCGCTCAGGAACCACCATCTTCCGCATCCAATACACGTCTAAAGATCTTGATGGTTCCTTGGTCCCTGTAACCGGCTTCATCGCTCTCCCCTATACCCCTGCTTCCCATCTTGACCTGCACGGCAGGTATCCCTTGGTGGCGTTTGCCCATGGCACCAGCGGCATCTACCGGGGCTGCGCGCCGTCCAACGGTCCTGGTCTCTACGACTATGACTCCTGGCAGCTGCTCGTGGAGCGTGGGTATGCCGTCATTGCGACGGACTACGCAGGGCTGGGAAATAACTATACTTCCCACAAGTACATTAGCCTCACATCACAGGCGGCCGACACATACTATTCCGTCATGGCTGCCCGTCAGGCTCTCGATATTTTCACCAAACAATGGGTAGCTGTTGGACACTCGCAAGGCGGCGGTGCTGTCTGGAAACTGTCAGAAAGCGACTTGATCAAGCACGACAAGCATTTCCTCGGCTCAGTGGCAATCGCACCTGCAACCCGCGTCTGGGATATGTTTCTCCAGATCTTGCAAAAGAAAGGCTCTTTCCTTGGTTACATCTCCTACCACGCAAAGGCCATGCAGCGGTACATGCCATCATACAATCTAACCATTCTTGGCGAACCGCTGTTGCAGCGTATGACTATTTCCGACACTGCTCAGTTGTGCTTTTCGGGCTTGATGGGTCTGAGTTCTGATCTCCTCGCAGAGGAAATGGTCTCTTGGGACGGTATTCGCCGCGACGCGCCCTTATACCTCGAGTGGCAAGACAAAATGGCACCTGCTGTGAATGGTACGCGTAGCTCTCACCCTCTCCTCGTGGTCCAAGGCCTCAACGATACGTCGGTGCTACCCGAAGTCACCAGGACGGTCTACGAAATGGCTCGCAAGGCCGGTAGTGGGATATCTCTCTCGGAATATCCTGGTATGGAACATTCTCCAGTCATTGCAGCTGCAGCGGCTGAATGGCTTGCCTGGGTGGACGCCCGGTTCAAAAACGAGCCGCTCAAGCACCAGGGTGCCAAGGTCCAGCACCCCTACAACTTGGCTCTTGTCAAGGCACCCTCTGAGGGCTTTTAACTTGGTTGTAGGAAAACGGTACGATCCAATTGCAATGTTATTAGTAACCAACTCCTTATGTAGCTAGATGTCTATGTTAAATAGATGCCGCCATATATATAAAATACAATGCAAACCTCGCTATGCAAACACTTTTTGTTCCAGTTGAGAAAGTTAGTTAGCCTCATTTCGCTTTTTGGCTTCTGCCGAGGCAGCGTCCCAATCGACGCGTAGCAAAAATGCCCCCTCAATGACAATAACCCTATTATTGATTGTTAGCAGTGCGCTCCCCCGTCAAAATGTCAGGATTGGTCAACTTACAAAAATAAAGCAACAGTAACGCCAGTCCATAAAGCCTCTAGCTTCCAGCCAAAGCTGGTCATGAGCCATAGCGAAAGCGGTAGGGAGACAACATAGTATGCAAAAACGTTTGTTGGTCCTCCAATGGACTGTTTGCCAACACCGCGAAGAAGACCATTCATGCCTGTGGCTACCACGTCGACGAGCTGCATAGCGCCAACGATAGGCATGACTCTCGCTGCCAGTTCGATGACTTCGGATTCGCTCGTAAATACCCACGGGATGTAGTAGCGCAAAGAAATGTACAACGCGCAGATAACCATACTGACGAGCCAGAACGCGATGATTGCCTGAAAAGAGAATTGAATTAGCATCGGCGTGACCAAGCACGACTCAATGACAGCACTAAAGCGAAAACTTACAATTCGAGCAGCTAGTTTGGCTCTGTCGACAAGGCCAGCGCCAATCAAGTTGGCAATGCGGGTAGACGTCGCGACGGACATGGCAAAGGGAATCTGGAAGGAGATGGCGGCGCTGCTGCCAAGGATGCTCTGGGCGGCAAGGTAATCTGTGCCAAAGCGGCTGGCGAGAAACGTCATGATCTCAAAGGCACCCCATTCGGCCAGAACCATGGTCATTCCTGGAAGAGCCAGCCACACCATGGGGCCCCAGTTGGTCATGGCGCGCTTGTCGAAACCACCCCAGCACTGGCTACCGTTGACATAGCGGATGTAGAGCACGAGCAAGAGCGCAAGCAAGTTTCTAGAAAATGTCACCGCCAACGGGGCCCCAATATACCCGAGTTCGAGCTTCCAGACAAGAAGCCAGTTTGCGATGAGATTGAGCGGCGCTGTAATGAAGAGCACGTAGCTGGTCTGTCTGAACATTCCCTGAGCCTGTAGCATTCGCTTACCGGTCTCGTAAACAATAGTTCCCGGGAGCGACAGGATCATGACCCTCAAATACAGACACGTCAACCTAGCCGTCTCCTCATTGCCAAGGAGACTGGCAAACAGCGGTTCTGACATGTACCAGAAGATGCTGACGGGGACAGCGCAAGTGAAGAGAAGCAAGGTCAGGCGTTGGCAATGCAGTCCAACGAGGTGCTTCCGGCCATCACCAAAGGCTTGTGGGCAAAGCGTGTCGAGGGCTGTCGCTAGGCCGAGAAACGGTGCAAGACAGGTAACGCCCGTCGTCATATTGGCCACTTGCAGAAACAGTTAGCATTGGTTATAGTCTGCGCGTGGTGCACCACTTACAGGCAACAGCGCCAAGTTCGACTTTGCCCAGTCGACCAGCTGCAAAGACGCTCATAAAGTTAATGGAGTACTGCAGGAAGAACGTAACAGCCATGTTTGAGGACGACGATGCCATGACTCTGACTTCAGTCCACCACGCCTCGACCACAGTCTCGTCCTTGAGGGCATCTGTAAAGCTGGGATCTTTTGCTGCAGCAACTCCTTGCGTCTCTTCAACACATGTATCTTCGTTGGACATATATCTGGCAAGCAGCGGGGTGCGTTCATCGCCACGCTCTAAGTCGCTGACGGGCGGTGACGCCTGCTTGGGTGATGGTACGCCCATTGTTGACTGTTTCTGGTCCCTTTTTTATAGTTATATTAGAATTATGGCGCAAAGTAGTGAAGAGAAATAACAATGAGACGAAATTCACGCCGTACAAGTCTGGCAAATAAATTATCAAGCGTTGCAGGAGGGAAGAAGAGCGAATGACGAAAAAAAAAAACGGCGGCTGAAGGATGGCGCATAGTATAAAAAAAGAAGTCATTTGTCAGTGTCGCTTTTTTTTTCGGCCGGTGAGTCAATGAGTGGGGGACTTGGAGATACGGTGTATGCGATCACCTAGGGCGAAATGAACACTGTGATGTTTGCCGTCTGTTTATTGATATTACACGAGTTTTAAATAATACTAGGCTATATAATGCCCTACTATTTGAATAGAGGAATAGCTTTGCTAGTGATTTCCGTAGTCCTACTTATGAAATTTGGCTGTTACATTGCTGCAAAGGCTGGGCCCTGCTCTATTTTCGTACTGTGCCGCCATGTACTTCTGCCCGCTGTGATTCACGGCCACTTTCACGGTGTTGTCGGTTGCCGCCTGCATCCTCCGAGACAAAAAATCCAGGCAAAGGATACGCGGAGTTGGCGAAGAATAGAGAACAAATGGGGAGGTTGCGGACTACGCCCTGCATAGATTACCGGTTACAGGCGCTGCGTTTCTTAGTCATTGCTGCGTACATTGTTCTTCTTGCTCTTCTGCTCGAATAGGCCTATTAGGAGTCATAAGAACATCCCAGACACTACCTTGGACGAAAGGGGAAAATCTCCGGTCCTCATTGTCTCAATATTCCCTGTTTAGAGGTCGTTTTTTGCTTATGTCTGGGTGGTACAGTCCTACAGCGAACTTTGTCAGCCGATGCGTTGTTGTGCAGAACAAGGCGCCGGATCTGCAGCGTGCTGGATAGTGGAACAATTGAATCACGACCCAGCCTTTTGCTTTCTTTGTTTCATTTCAAGATGTAGAATTAGCCGTCGCCCCTTATTCTGTTTTTACGATTCTGATTGTCTGACTAATTTTTGGTCTGTTGTTGCTGGCCAGCCTCCGAATTCGACGGTCCACACGTCAACTTTAAGACCCCAGCCGTTCGAACTCGGCACCCGCCCGCCTACCCGATATCCACAGCGATCGAACGGCATTTGTTATAAGCTTGTTTGTCCAACTTTGCAGCTGTCTAAATTGGCAATGAATTTCTACCCATGTAATACTCATCACAGCATTCGGTGTGCAACCCATATCTTCTCGTCTCCATCCATTGTGGTTAGGAAAAAAAAGGAAGACAAAAAATGAGCTCATGAATTACATACTCTTATTCTGAGAGGGACAATATGCAGAATGTGACGGCAAATTGTGTGACGCTGGTACTCCTCCGACTACGCACCATCTTTTTGGGTTAGAGTAATCATCATCACTTTATACACTACCTGGAATAGACAAGAACCGATATTGGTGAGGTTGTTCCACTAGACCAATAGACAATATGGTGATGACCCAGCGATCGCCAGGCCCGCTCTCCACGTAAACGTTGAGCAAACTGCCGCGGCAGGGGTCTTCCTCCGCCCAATTGCTTCTCTGTCCATCTAAAATAACATTCGAGTGTCATTTAGATATTGGTTATACAGTGCGTCTCAGCTCGCCAAGTCATGGCTGCTCACTGCCGATAAACGGCCTGGATGTGATGTGCTCAGCCGAACACACTACTAGATACACTGCCGTTGGGTCCAGCGCCGGTCCAGACCCTTGGCCGGTTACCGGAGAGTGGCCGTCACGATGTCGAATCTCTCGATAGCAAACAGCTGCGGTTCGATGAGGCGTTACCATTGTCGCATCCAAAGTATTCGGCATGTATAAGCGAACAAGAGCCATCCCGAGCTATGTCCGCAGTCTAGCGATGAACAGCCTCCCACCATCACGTCCCCCCACGGCGGCTGACTGGTTGTAAGCTAGTACAACAATTCGCTGTGATGTACGATCACGCCAGTAGATTTCACGCAGAGATTACGCTGACTGCTGTTGGGTACCAGCAAAGAAAGCTGCAGCCTGACCTACGAGAAGGACGGACAAGGCGGCCTACAAGCAAACGTACACTAACTTCGCTGCAAGTGGTGTGTGAGAAGATGGCGTCCGAGGTGGCTGTCTCAGACAACTTGGCCGCGACGTTTCAATCAGGCGGCGGCGCGGGGTACGTCTTGGGCGCTGGCACTAATAGCCCGTCCACGAAACGCCACAAGGTAAAGTATATCGAGCGACGCCAGGCAAAAGTCGATAAATGGTCTGGCGCGTACAGACAGACAGAAGGCGGGCTCGAGATGGGCGGCATGCAGGCTTCCCGGCGGTGCAGCCAGTACGCTTCAGTGGCTGGCTTGCAACGCTAATGCAGAGCCAACAGTAGTGTGCTTTTGCGAGGAGCCAGTGCTGGTGCCAGCCTCGCACGGCACGCACACCTGGGACGGACGGCTTGGTTGGACAGTGGTTAAGCCGAGCGCAGACTGTCGAGTGGGACTGTGCTATTGTGGCCAAAGTGGATGCGGCAACATGCGCTTTCTGGGAGATAACGTACAGTGCGAGCAGGTGGGGGTGTCTGTCCAGATGGTGACGTCAGAACACGCGCCTCTGCAGGCGGCGCAACGGGGCGCTTCTACATCCTTCAGCCTGCCTGCGAGTAATTGCATATGGGCGAAGTCAGAGTCATTCAGAGTTTTGTATTATGACAGCCCTTGGCAAATAAAAACGGCCATCTCCGTCCTTTCGGATGTCATTTCGTAATGCTTATTGACGACAGAGGTTGGGAATGGGATGGAAGAAGGCGAATAGGACAGTAACCTTGCTTGCGAATACAATAATCAGACCAGAGACAAAAGCCTCCGTCCTAGTCATGAAGAATTGTAAGGTGGCTAGGGTCAGGCTGACACTGCGACATGGGGGCAAGCATGGTGTCTAACACTCCAAAACGTTGCTCATGTAGGCAGTGCATTGGTTGACGGGAGCCTGACATGATGTCAGTATTTACCGAATATCCACCATGTTCCCGCAACTACGAGAGACACTGGCTCGTGGATTGAATGCATGTAAACCGCGAGACCCTTTACTACCCCGTTACGCTCTCTTCACAAGCTGTTAGAATGCAGATGCAGAGCCTGGCTTGTCCCATAGAGGTAACTTATCTGCCACTCAATTTGGGGGACAGATCTAGGGACTTGCCCCAGAAGAAGGATACTAGATAGGACGAGTAAAGGTGGTATGATTCTTATCAACAAAAACGAATGTTAGCCCGTTAAACGCCTGGTGCTTCCCAAATGGCCTCTCCCTGCTATTCGTTTCTAGCATGGCGCTCTTGGCACCGCAGAATTGGACCTGTTGTTCTAGGAAGACATGCCACCGTTGTTCGCCATGAGGTTGAAAAGTCCGCGGGTGGATTTCGCATTCTCGGTGCTCAAGAGGTCTGGTCGGAATACCCAATCTGGAGCCTCCCCGAGGATGCGCCACAGGCGGCTCAGAACCCGCCTTTCTCGAACCTGTCTGCCCCCGAGCAGGCCAGCTTAAAAGTAGTCCCTTTTTGGAGAACGTTTTGCGTAGAAGAGAATATACAACCAGCGTCAAGGCAAAAAACCTAATGCACGACTCTTCTACTACATTGACTATCCCCAACGGGCTATTTCCGCCAATTGAGCGAGACCCAAATGCGAAAAGCCTTTTTCTCAGGGCCGTGTGTGTAAAACGGAAATGGGCTGGTTCCACACAGTGGGAAAGTTGGTGCCTACAAAGTCGCAAAATAGCGTCGAGCTAGCGAGCGCCCGACCCAATTTACAGGGGGACTCCTGTGGCAGCGCCCCCCCCAGCGCTTTTTACGGGCAGTTTTTCAGCGGGAACGCAGCTGTGACGTAGACGGAAAGGCTGGCGGTCAATCGAGATTGCACAGAATCCGGAGAGGCCTGTCCGGGCCAGCCAGACGGGCGGCAGGCGATATGCCATGCGCTGGCGATCCGCTGTCAAATTGAAGCCAAGCAGAGACTATAATAAAGTGTGCAAGCTTAGAACAAGGGAATACATACAAACAGGAAGAGTAGAACGACAAGAAAACATCAGAGGGAGGGAGGGAACCAGTAAAAACTCACCGTATTCAATGGAGCCCCCGGCGATCGTCTGCACCGTCTTGAACCGTAGCCCAGCTGGCGACGGTTGGTGACTGGCTGCTTTCGACAGCGGGGCTATGCGCCGCAAAAGCACTTTCTAGTGGTGCGCTCCAGGGCCCTCGTTAGTGGCGCCAAGGACTGAAAAACAGCGCTGTGACCAGGGAGTCCCGCTTTCGAACCTCAGCGCATGGACAGCGGCGCCAGGGCACTGTGAGCCGCACAGTGGGCGAGTCGCTTCCCTGTTTCGCTGGGGGGACATGCGAACGGTTTTGCACCAAAAAGCCACTGCAAACAACTCACACGCCCCCCGTCGCATGCGCACAGTACAGCTCGTCTGCGCCTGTCCTGTCACCTATTTCCACTAACGCGAAAGCCAAAAACCCATCTTTGGGGCGGGACATGACGAAGTTGTGTGTGTGGTCTTTTTTTCCTTTTTAATTCCCTTGCCGCCCAAGCCTTGCTCTACGCTTCATCCTCCCACACCACCCACCACCAATACGTATAATACTCAGCCTTCCTCCCACCCACCCACTTTGGAACTAAGTTTTGCTTCTCCCATCTTCATTCTACTCCCCTACTCACTTTGCTTGTGACAATTGGGACTCGAAAGCACACTGCTTCTCCATGACGAACTCAAGATAGCACTGCGCTCTGCTTTGTTTCCCGTTGCTGGAACCTTGACCTTGCACACCTCACGTGCTCCTCTCCACGCAAGTCGCTCTACCTCTAAATCGACCCCCCAACACCGCCATCATGGGTAAAGAAGAAGAGAAGAAAGCGGTCATGGACCCTGATATGGGTTCTACCGGCTCGCCGTCTGACGACTTCGACGACGTCCACTTTACTGACAACGCCGACGGTCTGCACAGACGGCTCAACAACCGCCAGATCCAGCTCATTGCGATTGGCGGCTCTATTGGCACGGCGCTTTTTGTCTCTATAGGCACGGGTCTTGCCAAGGGCGGTCCTGGCAGCTTGCTGCTCGCCTTTACGCTCTATCCCTGCGTGTTGGCTCTTGTCAACAACTCGCTGGCTGAGATGACTGTCTTGTACCCCGTTTCCGGCGGCTTCATTCGCCTAGCTGGACATTTCGTCGACGATGCGGTCGGCTTCATGGCTGGCTGGAATTTCTTCCTCTATGAAGCCCTGCTGATCCCCTTTGAGATTTCTGCTCTCAGCACGGTCATGTCCTACTGGAGTGACAAGATTGCCGACCCTGGCCCAACCGCTGGCATTTGCGCTGGTGTCATTGCTTGCTATGCGTAAGTTCTTTGTCAATGGCGCATATATACAAAACAATGTTTTCTAACCATTTTATACAGTGCACTCAACTTACTCGCCGTTCGCGGCTACGGTGAAGCCGAGTTTTGGCTATCTGGCGGCAAGGTCATCCTCATCTTCATTCTGTTCTTCTTCACCTTCGTCACCATGGTTGGTGGCAACCCCCAACACGACGCATACGGATTCCGAGCATGGTACGAGCCTTCTGCATTCCTCGAATACCTTAGTACCGGCCCCAAGGGCCGCTTCGAAGGCTTCCTCGCCTCGCTCTGGAGTGCCTCATTCGCCGTCGTTGGCCCCGAGTACATTTCCATGGTTGCTGCTGAGGCCAAGCGCCCGCGAATCTACATCAAGGCTGCTTTCAAGACTGTCTACTACCGCTTTGGTCTCTTCTTCGTCGGCTCAGCTTTGGCAGTTGGCATCATTTTGTCTGCTAGAGATAAGTCACTCTTTCAGCTTGTTTGGCCCGTCAAAGGTGGTGTTGGTCCCATCATTGGAGAACCATACCCTCAGGAATTCATGCCAAAGGAAGGAGATCAGATCTCGGGCGGCGCTGGTGCTGGCGCATCCCCATACGTCATTGCCATGTCCAACATGGGCGTCAACGTACTCCCTCACATTGTCAACGCCCTCATGCTTACCTCCATCTTCTCCGCGGGCAACACCTACACGTATTGCGCCACCCGCTCTCTGTACGGCCTGGCGCTGGAAGGCCGCGCTCCCCGCATTCTGCGAAAGACGACCGCCGCTGGTGTTCCCATCTACTGCTTTTGCATCGTCATGGTGTTCCCCTTCCTCTCTTTCCTCTCTGTCAGCTCTAGTTCCTACACAGTCATTACCTGGCTATCCAGCTTGATCACTGCAGGAGGTATTATCGACTACCTTGTGGTATCCGTCACCTTCCTCTTCTACTACTCGGCTTGCAAGAAGCAAGGCCTCGACCGCAACTCGCTGCCCTACACCGGATGGTTCCAACCGTATGGCGCTTGGATTGCTCTTATCATTCAGAGCATCATTGTCATCACGTATGGTTATGAGGTATTCCGCGTACCCTTCACGGCCGAAGCTTTCTTCAAGCAATACACTATGCAGATTCTGGCTCCCATTCTCTTCTTTGGCTGGAAACTGATTCACCGAACCAAGTTCGTCAGGCCATCTCAGGTTGATCTTGTCTGGGAGCGCCCCATTATTGATGCGTACGAGGCGAGATTCACGGAGCCCCCAGTTGGCTTCTGGAGAGAGATCCTTGCCTTGTTTGGTTACAAGAAGGCCCGAGTCGCCCGAATTGAGGGCTAGAGTGGATGATACATGATATTTCGATTGTGCTTTACTTTTTCGGCGAACACTACGCTACCATTGTTTACTTTTATGATACCTTTTGTGTCTCTATGCACAGATTCTGTTATATAGTCGCGGAATGCACCGCTCGTTCAATCCAATTTATGTTCATGACCCAGAATGACAACAACAACGCCCTTGTGATTTGGTGCACAGCAGTCGTGAATGGAACTCTACCGAGGAAAGACACGAGACTAAGAAGTCCGCCCAAAGTTGTAAACAAAAACTATCTAACAATGACAATGGCTCTGGTAACCCCGGTCACGTGACACATGTTTAAATCAGCGTGTGGTTCTGACTCCATCGTGTAATTGAATAACGCCTGTGGAGGCATTGCCTGGATTGCCTTGCTTGTTTGATATTTGGTTTACTTTGCAAAAGGAGTTTGAAATATTAGAAATTTGGTTTGATTGTCTATTCATGTGCTTTCGTCTAACCGTCTACCTCCATTTTATGACAGTCTTAACTATTTTTTCTTCAGGTAAAATTTTACCAGGACCTTGAGTTTTGGTGGAAGCGGACAACCAAAAAAGGAAAAAGAACAGAAGAGAAGGTTCATGACCCCAGAGACCATCCCGATACAAAATCCGTCAGCGGGAGTTCCTCCTTCCCAAAGCCAGCTTTTACAAGAGGCTCTGTGGTCCCTTTTCTCAGCCTATTTCCTCATGGCCTTTTTTCGTTTCCAAGTCCGATGTGAACAACCATTGACCCGTGAAAGTAAAAGAAAAACACCAAAACGTGTCTGCAACTTTTGTTTACCGTATCCCGCAGTGATATGACAAAGGAAATAAAAGGCTAATTAGCAAAAAAAAAGAAACGAAAATGAGAAACGAAGAAGAAAAGGATCTATATGCGTTGGTTTATATGCCGGGCGATAATGTTTAGATGTCATCCTCATCAGAGAAGACCTCCTCACCACGCTTGCGACGAGCCATACGCTCCTTCTTCTTCTTACGGGCCTCGGAAGAGGTCAGCTTAGCCTTCTTCTTGGTGCTGACAATCTTGTTGCCCATGGCGTCAAACTTCTCCTCCTCATCGTCATCGTCGGCCTTAAGACGAGGACCAGAGCCCTGGCCCTGAACCCAGTTGTGGCCGGAAGGAGTCATCTTACCGTCAACGACGGCCCAGACTTCCTCAGTAATATCCTTGGTGAATTCGGCAGAGTGGGTAATGATGATAACACCACCCTCGAACTTTCTGAGAGCCTTGGAAAGGGCACCGAGAGAGTCACGGTCAAGGTAGTTGGTAGGCTCGTCAAGGACGATCAAGTGAGGACGCTGCCAAGAGCAAGCAGCGAGGACAGTCTTGACACGCTGGCCACCAGACAGACCACGCATGCGGGAGTGAGAGACGAGTTCGGCATCAAGACCGAAGTTGGCGCAGTGGGCCTCAATCTCCTTACGGACAAGAGGGCGGAACTGACCAGAGGCGAGGGCCTCCTTCATATCGACATCGGCAACCATCTTCTGGTGAGAAGCGAGAAGTTCGCTACGGGGCAACCAGACGTTGTCGGCAGACATCATGGGGGTCCAGCGCTCGTTCTTCATGCCGACGTTGTCACCCAGAGCGAAAGAGCATTCGTACTCGTAAGAGTTCTTGAACTTTCTGCGGGCGTTGATGCCAATGACACGACGCTGGGAGCCCTCAATCTTGAAGATCTTGTCCATGGCCTTCTCATCATCTTCGGTGATGATCTTGTTGGCACGGTCCATGGTCTCACGATCCTCACCAGTCTGGAAACGCCACTGGATGTACTCAGAAGGAGTCTTGTCCAAGTGATCATCAATGTGAGCGAAAGCGTGCTGCTTAATGTAGGCAATACGGATGTTCTCGTGCTGGTAGATCTCACCAGTGGTGGGGATGAGCTCACCGCAAAGGACGTTGATGAGGGTAGACTTGCCAGCACCGTTGGGACCGATAACGGCAATACGAGAACCGAGCGAGCACTGGAAGGAGATGTCGGTAATCTGGGGCTTTGTGGTACCAGGGTACTGGAAGGACATCTTGGTAGCACGGAGAATGGCCTTGGCCTTGGTCTTGACACCCTCAAGGAAACCTGGCTCGGGGAAGGTGAACTCCATCTCGGAGGCACCAAGCTCGTAGTAAGACTTGGCAGAAGGAACACGCTTGACGAACTCCTTCAGGTTACCTCTGTAGCGCTTAAGCTTGAAGCGCTCGTAGTGAACAATGTGCTGGCAGACATTGTCAAGGAAACCGGAGTCGTGGGAGACGATGATGGAAGTGCAAGGGGAGTTGATGAGGTACTCCTCGAGCCACTTAACGTTCTTGACATCCAAATGGTTGGTAGGCTCGTCGAGCAACAGGATATCGGGAGCCTCGAAGACGGCACGGCACAAGGCGAGCTTCATCTTCCAACCACCAGAGAGGGCAGTGATCTCACCCTTGATCATCATCTCGGTGAAGCCGAACTCGTTGAGCTGCTTCTCGACGTCAGCCTGGGTGTTGGTGACACCAGCCTCGGCAAGCTTCTTCATGGTCCAGTCAATGGTGGTCATTTCGGTATCAGCAGAGTCCAGGTCGTGCTCGACGAAGACAGTCTTGACCTCGCTCTGCTTGGGGAAGCCCTCGACCTGCTCGTTGTTGATGGCGCGCATGAGGGTGGACTTGCCAGAACCGTTGGGACCGCAAAGACCGTAGCGCTGACCACGCTTGAGGCGGAGGTGAGTCTGGTTGAGAAGAATCTTGGCACCGTAGGCAAGAGAGAAAGTGCAGTTGCAGAGATCCTCACCCTCTTCCTCGTCAGCCTCCTTCTCCTCTTCGGCAGCGGCGCCGGGGGAAGCCTTCTTGCGGATCTGCTCAATGATGGCCTCAGCGTTGTCGGCGCCAGTGATGACGGAGACAAAGGACATGAGGTTCTCGTTCCAGATGGCGCTCTCAAGCTCCTTCTCATCGACGATCTGACCGGCAATGGCGGCAATGTACTCGACGACGGGAGCCATCTTCTCAAGCTGAGCAGCGTACTTGACGGAAAGAATGTCCTTGACCTTGGGAAGGACAACGTTAAGAGCACCGTCGTTCTTGGCCTCGGGGATGACACCGTTCTTGATGTCACCGACACGGGTAAGGGTGTCGAGGGCCTGCTTGGTCTTCTCACGAGCCTCGGGATCGGCAAGGTTGTCGTAGTTCTTCTGGAGACCGGGCATCATCTTGGGCAAGAAAGGAGCAACGATGTTGGGGTCGTCGACGAGCTTGCACATGTTGTCAACAATGACGGCAGACTTTCTCTTGATGGCAGTCTCACGCTCAGCAAGACCACGATCAAGGAGGGGAACCATGAGGGCAAGGGTGGGCTCCTGGACCTCAGTGACGAAGGTGGTGGCACCGAGCAAGTGAACAGTCTCGGGGACGTTCTCAGGCTTAGCGATACACTTGATAAGCTCAGGAATGAAGCGCTCAATATCTCTGTTGACAATGAGCTGGCAGATCTGCTCCATGGTCTTGTAGGCACGCTCCTTGACCTCCTTCTTGGTATCCCACATAGCCTCAGAGATGACGGGGATCAACTCAGGGACGCGGAAAGAGAGGTGAGCAGGGGTGGAGACGACAAGGGCGTCAATGAAGTCGAGGGCGACCATCTTCTCCTGCCACTTCTGGGCGTTGCGGATGGACTCCATGATGGGGCCAAGGGAGGCCTTGACGGCGTTGCCGTTGATGGCACCACCAATGGCAAGGACAGCGGCGGTAGCAGCGGTCTTGACGGGGGCAGCCTTGTCACCAACAGCAGCGAGAAGCTGGGGGAGGACAACGGCGAGGTAAGGCTCAACGTGAGCAGAAACCTCAGAGTGGGAGGCAATGGCCTGGAAAGCGGCGCAAGCACGCTCACGGGCAACGGCATCCTTCTTGTTGGTGAGGTCCTTGGTAAGGTTGTCAATCAGCCTGAAAGTGGTGTGGTTAGCAACTCATTCACAAAAGGCGAGATTCTATTTTCAGTGCTGCAGCTGCTGGCTGTAGCCCACTGCCAACCACCAAATTATTTTTTACACCGCAAATTTTTGTTGGCGGGGTTGGCGGGGCTGGATATGCGTAGGGGCAAGCACTGCAAAAAACACCGCTTTGAGGCCACAGTAGGCCCAAAAAAAGGCTTGGTGGGGGTTTTGTCTGCAGTGCAACAGTGGGCTGCTTCAGTGGTCGTAGCGACCATTGTTGCCCCCTGTGACGGCGAGGGGCAGGAGAGAGGAAAAAATCTCTGCCCGCCAGCCCACCCGCCCGCTCTGTCCCGCCGAGGGGCAGTTTGCGAGATAAAAAAGTGATGGCAGTGAACCACCAGCTTTGCAAAGGAGCAGAGAAACAGAAAAAAAAAGAAGACAACTTACTTGGTAGGGACATCCTGATCCTCAATGCGGCCGTTGACAAAGGAAGCAATCTCCTGGGAGGACTCCTTGATCTCAGCAGCCTCCTTGGAGACGGTGAGCTTCTGGAAGAGCTCGTCAAGGATCTTGACGGACTGAGCGTTTTCGGAAGGCATGATGGGTATAATGGGGTGTATTCTAAATTCGGATCGACCGTTCTATCGTGTAATCGGAGAAAAAGGCCCGTACAGGTTCGATGGAGGAAATCGAAGTCTGTTGCTCTTTCTGGCGAGAGAAGAGAGGGGGAGGGGTATGTTCTTTTTCCTGGAGGAGGGGAAAAGAGAACAGAGAGTAAAAAGATAACCTGGTGTTTGTCTGGAGGAAAGACTTAACCAAGTTGGAAAGCAAACAATAACAAAAGCGAAGGAGTTTTTGTATTGAAGAAGAGGAGGGTTGAAGAAAGAAGGAAAAGAGAGGAGGACGAGGCGAAAGTAGGCGGGCGCAACTTTTTTTTAAATGGTTGGTGTCCACAACTTTTTTTTCCTGCGCCGGGTGCTGGTGTGCAGTTTTGCCTTTTTCTTTTTTCTCTTTTTTTTTTTTGAAAAAGTTTGCCCCTCCAAAATCTACTACCAGGGCAAGGCTTATCGGCCGTACTGTGAAAATGGCGCTAAGCCTAGAGAGGTTATAATACAGGGCGGTGAAACCTTTTTTTCTTCCAGAATGCGCCCCGAGTCAAAAATTTTCTTCTCGGGCTGTGAGACCAGCCAGCCAGGGACCGGCCATTTGCCAGGCGGTGGTCAGAAGTGTTCCCCAGAATCTACAGGCCAGATGATGGCCTGCTCTCCCTTTTTTTTATTAAAATTCCACGCTGAATCGCGGGGAGAGCGAAGCGTGGAAGACTGGGGGCCGAGCGTGGGATAGAATTCTACTGATGCTATTGGTTTTCATGTTGTCTATTTTAGTGTATGCCTTGTCCCTTGGACCTGTCAATGTTGCGGTGCTTTCAGGCTTAGCCATAGCGGTGTCTCAGCGCTAACATCTGATAGATATTGTTGCGTGGCGGCGCATAACAAAAGGGTTATTACGCAGGTAATTATTGCGTCTCCCTACGATGTCTCACTCTGCTGAGAGTGTCTCCTCTTATTCAGTGCCCTTTCTACGTCAACAAAGCAAAGCGCCGCTATCTGTCGTACTTCAGCCAGCCGTGGCAGCGAGTAAGCATGCCACACATGCGCAACTGTCTGTCCGAGTCAATCTGCGTCGTGCAATGACGTTAAAATAAAATAAGCACAGTTCAATACTATTTCCATTGTTTGAATTTAGCATTATACTCTTTGTTGCTTCAATTTTTTTCAAAGTTATTTAAGAAAAAGCACAAAGAGATTTTCATTGGAAAATCTTCAGGCGCCCCCAAACTTTGGCGACTTCACAGGACAGCCAGCCACGCTTCACCACTGGGCTGCCCTCTACCGGCGTAGGGAAGCCGAGGCGGTGTCGGGAGGCGACGGGTACGTTGCGTCGGGCAGCCCGACAACAGCGCTGAGGCTCAGCAAAACTAACTTTCCGATAGCTTTTCTTGCACTATAACCGTCGCTGCCCGCGCTAGACCTGCTTGAGAAGATGTTACTGCCCGGCAGAATTTTTTTTTCTGGCCGCCTTCTTCGGCGTTCCATTCCGGGTGAGTCTCTAGGCCACGTTGTAGACAAAGCGGCCTTTTCACTGGCTGCCGCTTAGCCAGCCCGCCAACAAAAAAAAAGACCATCCACCAGATGACGCACCGCCGGTACGCCTGTCATATGTGCCACTGCCGGGTTCTAGTCAGCTTGCAGCCTGGTATGTATTGGATGGTGTGCCACCAAGGGCCATCAGCCTTTCTTCCAAAATGAAATAAGACGAATCTTAATCTAGCCTTCTCTACAGATGTAGGCTCGCGGCCATCGCGACGCTCCCAGCTCCACAGGTGAAGATCTGGAGCACGGGCGTCGCGGGGCCCCATAGTCGAGGTACCAAGACGGATACCATCGTTGGTGGTCAATGAAGCCAAATTAAATTGTAACTAGCTTTGACGGTTCTTACAGTCGTACACTTTGCTTCCTAAACAGTGTTTTCATTACTGCTGGATAGTCTCGGTCACATCCTCCTCGAAACCCCAATATCAAATGCTTTTCCGCCCCCGACGCCGTCGCTGTCCTTCATCTCACACATGAAACTGTTATTTTTGACCTCCCTGAATTCATAAGGCTTTAGCTTCTCTGTTGTCACCTGCTTAGCTCTTGTTGGAGTCCTCTTTCAAGCTGACAATCCTGTTGAGAACAATTTTGTCGTCGGTGGTGTCCGAGTCAACAGCCTAAGAAGAAAAGGTTAGCATAAGAGTTGGCTGGCGAAGACAAAAGGAGTCATAAAACATACAAAATAGGCCACACGGAGACCCTGGAAGCGGATACTCTCAGGTCCACCCTTGCCAAGTTCACTTTCACCTGCGGCTTCAGGCCAAGGCGCACGAGCTTTAACTTCATCAAAGCCAGATTCAATGACCGCATCAGGATAAACCACTTCACTGTCGGGGTTGAGGTCCTTCAAGAAGCCACCTTCAACATCATCGGGCTTCTCAGAATTGAACAGTGGGTTGTGGATTCTGGCTTCGACCTTTCTTGAGCCAGCAGTACCGACCCACTGGATGTATGTCTTGGCCTTCTTGAGCTCTTTATCGAATACACCACGGATTTCTGTAACCTTTCCGGTAGACTCATCTTTGGTGAACGAGGTAGCCTTAACAGGATACGGTGCGTGGAGAAGACCAACAGACTTTCCAGGAGCCAAACGGAAGTAGTCCTTGCTGTCGACCTCACGGAAATCAGAGCGATCGATGTATACAGTAGGCGTAAAGCGAACCTTGTGCGAACCCATCTTAGGGTCCTTGGGAGAGAAGGGTACATCTAGTTCAAGCTCTTCAGCATCTTCAATAACCAAGGGGACAGGATCAAGAACCATCATAAGACGTGGCACAGTCTTTTCAAGATACTTGCGAATGCTTTGCTCGAAACGATGGATAGGGATAGTGGTGATGTTGGTCGTAACTCCGAGCTCGTTTACAAACTCAAGAATAGCACCAGGAGGAATTCCGCGTCGACGGATACCAATAAGAGTATACAGTCGAGGATCATCCCAGTCGCGAACGTGCTTCTCTTCCACCAGCTTCAGGATTTTACGCTTCGACAAGACGGTGCCAGTCAAGTTGAGACGGCCATATTCTCTCTGCATAGGTTCGTACACACCCAGATTTTTGTTAAGCCACTCGTATGAGACACGGCTAGCAATAAACTCGGTTGTGCAAAGCGAGTGGGTGATGCCCTCGAAACTGTCGCATACGCCGTGAGTGAAGTCGTAGGTAGGGTAGATCTTCCAGTCGAAGCCTGTTTTATGGTGGGGGGTATCTGTCTTGATTCGGTATGCGGCAAGATCCCACATCTGGGGGTTACCATCGCTAATGTCCTGCTTCATACGGAGGAAAACCTCACGGGGCTTGTACTTTCCATCACGCATGTCGCGGAACTTGGTCAGATTTTCTTCGACGGACTGATCGGCGTGGGCGCATCGGTATCGTGGTGTTTCGCCCTTTTCACCGCCTCTCTGTCGTTTAATTTCTTCATCTATACGATCCCCATGTTAGAACACAACAGAAATTGGTCAAATTCAGTACAGCAACTTACCCTGGCAAGCACAGACGTATGCTTTGCCCATTCCAATGAGCTTCTCAGCCAGGTCATAAAGCTTTTGGAAATTGTCACTGGAGTGAGTGATCTTATAAGGCTTAAAACCGAGCCACTCTACCATGTCAAGAATGGCGGTAAAGTATTTCTCTTCTTCCTTTTCGGGGTTGGTGTCATCGTAGCGCAGGTAGCAAACACCACCGTGGTGTCTGGCAAATCCAAAGTTGACGGCAATGGCCTTGGCATGGCCGATATGAAGATAGCCATTAGGCTCAGGAGGGAATCTAGTAACGACATTTTCGCTGGGTCTCAGCTTGTAGACCTCATCGAGAAAACCCTGCTTGAACATAGCATCAGGGTCGACGGGAGCCTCTTCAGCTTTGGGCACAGGAGCCTTCTTCTCGGCAGGAGGGGCAGCAGCTTTCTCAAGGCGAGCCTTTTCCTGAGCAGCCTTTTTCGCACGCTTCTGCATGCGCTTCTTCAGTTCGCCCTTGGAGACCATCTCGCCCGTCTCTTCGTCGAGCTGGAGCTTGGCGACATTCTGGGCCAGTTCCTCCGACATGGCGGCGAATGTTATACAATACGATCGGTTCGTGGAGTAAATGAGAAATTGGTTTGGGGATGTTTTGCGGTCGTCAAAACCTCTCGTGGAAATGCAAATGTCGAATCGAACCGTGGAGGTGTACGAAGAGCTTTTGCGAGAAGGAGAGGTCAAAGGAAAAGAATTTGGTGAGTCAGTAGTGAGGTGGTGGTGGGGTTGATTGCTGCCCCTCACCTCTCGTGTGACTGGCAGTGCTTTGCTAGTAACACCCGTGGTCTCAGCAGAGTCAACTTTCTCAGCAGTATTCGTATTTGATGCCGCCAAGAAGGGTAAAAGCGACAGTGCAAACGAAATACGTTTCTAAATATAATATACCACTACTGAAGGGGACTCTTTTAAAGAACGGTCAAGGCAGTATTTTTTCCCCCACTGACACCACCCCGCCTGTAAACCATGCTTCAGCTTGTTGCTGATACGAAAAGGTGAATAATGAAAGACGACAAATGAAGTCTTCATAATAAATGAAGGCGGTTCAAGAAAAGCAGCAAGTCTACCATTTTCAAGCAGCGATGAACCGTGGCAGTTTAGTACGCCCAGTTAGAGCCTCATCCGGAACGTCAACAAGATTCTAAAGCTCCTAGAACTATAATTGACGTATTTTTCAACGAGTGCTCTAGCCAATTATCAATAATATCAACTGTATATAACGTCAGGGGACTGCAACATGTTACACGTAGGTTGCACATCAACGTTAAAGCATTCAAAGCTGAGCAATACCGCCATCCCGCGCATTTCACCGAATAGAAAATTGGCTATGCGTATTGATTTTACATGTACCGACAAGATATAATTCATACCTTCCCACTAATTAATATCAGGTCTATCTAACCTGCTGCTCCTGTTGGAACACTTTATAATTGTCTGATGCGATGTATATAGATCACGTGATGCACTTTCCTATTCAGGCACAAGTTACGTCGTCTATACAGAAGCTGGAAGGCTTCTGGCGAAGTATATTTTGGTAAGTCAACCTGCTGATGTTTGTCTTTATCAATACAAATCTCTACAATAATCACTCTTCAAGGTAAATGAATGGAGCGCCGTCTGATATGGCAGGGTGAACAAAGGAGCTCTCAATGTCGGTGTTTCAATTTGCAGTGCTTGTGATAATTCTTTTCCATCGTAAAGGACTCTTTGCATCCATAAGGGCACAAGATGGGATACACATCGACTTGCCACGCTTGCAACCTATGTTTGGAGATGTAATGCTCCCATACTTGTCGTTCTCTACTAGACAGATGACCGCAGAACACGCACTTCCACGGCTGCTGGAACCTTCCACTCGGTGTTCTGCAAGTGGGATTTGGTTCAGCGCCAATAGAAATTCCTTTGTAGAATAAAAATCTTACCTGGGATGTAATGATTGGCCGTTGGGTGGTGGTTGCTGGAAATTGACATGTGGTTGGTGGATGTTGATGCTAGCGACTGAACCAGTAGGGCTTGCTAAACCGGGATTGCCTTCTGTTTCAAGTTTGCCTGATAATTTATGGTTTTCCAACTGTTTGGGTGAGATATAAAGCCGTGGGTCGCTGCTGGTGAGATGGAATGTGAGCGGAGGGATATCTGGCATAATCCCGACGTCAGAACAAACTTCATCATACGCCATGGATTCTACGCGGGTCTGGGGTGTGGCCGTTGCGATGCTTGTCATAGCTGAATCTTCTTCAACGCCATCGTCGTTAGCCCACCCATTATCTACGGCTGGATAACACATCAAGTCAAGCCCGTTCTCTACTGTGCGAGAAGCCTCGTCTAAACTTCGCGGCGTCATATCTCGCTATGTCCACTTTGTTGAAAAGGGTAGTGTTGAATAATGTGTGTTGGAACGTTCAAAGTAGATGTAATAGGTTGGGGTGATGTATGAGAGTGGTTCGCGAATCGGAACTGTTTACGACTTTTCCCTGTCGGACAAAATCATCTACAGTAGCTGTTAGCTACATTGTACACACATAAAAGAAGGCATCGATATAACACTATACATATTGTCATGTCTAGTTTTATCGTTGTCCATTTGAGTGGATTTATGCCGAGAACCGTAGACCCAACAACTGCATGTGTACTACGCTGCCATCCTATGTATTGTTTCAGACAACGGCATATCTCATGCCCGAGATTGATGGTTGTTTAAGTATTCTTAGCCGAGGAATATGTTAGCCGTTAAAACTGGGAATATTGGAAGAGACAATTTAGATCTCACCCAGGCATTCCTACAAACGAACATTGTGCTATGCGAGGCTCGACGCTGAGCAAGTTGGCCAACGAGTTACACAGCGCCGAGAGCATAAAGTGTCAGGCCCGCGACTCTCTTCTCCGAGATGTATAAGCAGTGAAGCCAACATTTGGAGTTAGACAGCCGCGGGTTAGTTGGAAGTTAGTTTGGGAGTGGGTTGGTATTTGTTTGGTTGAAGAGAAGAGAGGAGAATTCTAAAAGCCGATGATCCGGGCCTACCTGTTAGACGTGTACACCCTACAGAAGGCGGCGTTCACGACGCCAGGCAAGACTGGTACTACTATCAATGATATTTTGTAAGCCCAGAGTATCCCAAAAGTCTTCTATGACGTTCGAAACGACTCTCTGAAGCTCTCTATGCCAACTTCAGTATCCACTTGGGCGGCATAGAAGACCTGCAGTTGATGGAGCTGGCTACACGGTCATTCACCAGACGCTACGTTACCGGGCTTTCCAAGTGTATCGAGAAAGATGCGCCTCTATTACATGTGCAAAGAACGGAATGGGTGCATACGAAGGAAATCGGCACTCGCCTTTTTGCACCCGAAAAAGGCGGTGGCTATGAAGAGTTTAACCAGCGGCCGTTGCCAGACACACTCGTCGCATGCTGTACCAACGACGTACGCTTTCTACCACTCCTTTGGAAGAAATACAACGACAAGATGGGAAGATCTTGGAGGCAAAAAGTGCTTGATGAATCTACAGCACGAGTGACGCTGTCACAATCCAGGGATTTCAACGGCAAAGGACAGCACATGGCTGTAGCGCCAGCGGGCTGGTAGTGGAGGAATACTGTCGCAGAGTAGTTAATCACCGTAGTTCTTGTTTGGCTGTCTGCGATTTTGACCGATATTTAATATCAAGGAATTCTCTTAAAAGTGCGGATGCCATGGTTCGGAATACTGGCTTTTTGATGTTGCGTAGGGCAGACACTCTTACCCACGCTGCATAATGAGCAGCAACCTGCACCGCCACTCACCAACTCCATCATCACCAGACAATCAGCAAACACCGATCAACCAAGACTCAAAGACGCAAACATGGCGCCGATCATCATCACCGCAAAGCATATTCCCAGTATTGCAAACTTATATGTTAGATCCTTGCTAAAAGCGTCGACTGCGATGCCAAAAAGGTCGCCGTCTGTGGAGGCAAACGCCACTGTTGGCCTCTACCGTGGAGACATCACAAAGCTCGAGGTGGACGCAATTGTCAACGCAGCGAATAACTCGCTACTAGGCGGTGGCGGTGTCGATGGAGCTATTCACAGAGGTGCTGGGCCAGAGCTGGTAGCAGAATGCCGCACGCTAGGCGGATGCCCGACAGGAGAGGCACGCATTACACAAGGCTATGAATTGCCTGCAAAACACGTTATTCATACCGTTGGGCCGATATACGACAGCCCAGAAGTAAGTAGCAAGTTTCTACGCGGGTGCTACAAAAACAGTCTTCAAGTCGCTCTTGAAAACAATCTTGTATCCATTGCCTTCTCGGGCATTAGCACGGGAGTCTACGGGTATCCGAGCGAAGACGCGGCGCAAATTGCGTGTGAGACGGTGCGGGAGTTTGTCGACGAGAACAAGGGCAAGATTGAGCAGATCATATTTGTGACCTTTGAGGAAAAGGACGTCGCAGCTTACAACGACATGATTCCGTAAGTCGACTGTGTCTTGATGTAGCGAGTTTGAGCTAATACGTACAGACTCTACTTCCCACCAGCGGAGAGGAACTAGGAGCCAATGGTATGAGATAAGGTTAATTATAGGAAGACCTCTATATAATAACAGTATGGCGAACGAGATGAGATAATACACTAGCGTGGCGAGAAGGCTCATGCGTTAGCGCCATTATCAACCGACTTTCCCTTGTCTCTCGATGCAGTGGGGGGATCCAGCTTAGAATCAGACTCCGTCCCTTTGTTTAGCACAGCTTTGCTAAGCTCCGTAATCAGTGTCTTGAGCTCTTCAACCTCCTTGCGAAGCTTTTTCACCTCAATGACGGCAGCGTCGTCTTCAACGTTAGGTTTGACATTGGCGCACGTCTTTGACCAGCCTTCGGCCTGAAAATCTAGCTCTTCTTCAAGCTGTTCCCATTCTTCAACCACATCGTCATCTTCCTCTCCACGCGCCCTGTTGCGGCGTATTCTCCATGCTGATCGCGTTTCCAGAAAGGCTGCAACGACGAGTAACGGAGAATAGACAACGCCCATAACGCAGTCATTTGTGAATTCGTACGTCTCCTTAGCCATCCACCATTCTGTTAAGCCAGAGATAACAATTTCGATTAGATTAAAGGGTGCAATATAGACGTTTTCGTCGGGAGCGCGGACAAACTGCATCGTCTTCTGCGCGAAAAGGGCAAGGTACTCGTCATCGGCATTTTCATAGATGTCCTCGTATGCTGAGTTATACAGAGCGATGAGAATGTTAAGAAGGATAATCTAGAGAGTTGTTAGCAGGTGTCTGAATGGTCAGAAGATGTAGGTATACATACCATGACAACGAAAGTAAAGAAGTAGTACAAAATGGTTCCCCACGGGTGGCCAAAGTTCTCAAACCCTTCAAACTCAGGGCTTCCCATGATTGCTTTGAGCATGGACTCTACGATGAAGTACACATCAGAGGCAACATTGTCTTCAGCAATGTCAAGTCCTATAAAGGCCTGAAGAAAGCCAATAATGACGACAACGAGTAGGGCAAAAAAGATAACTGACTCCTTCATCATCACTTTGAGAACGACCAGCATGGCTCCAAAAAATCGGAAGCTGTCGAAGTAGAGCAGTAGACGAATCCAAAACATGGGAGCTGTAAAAGCAAGCATGTTGTAGCTAAGAGTGCTGTAATGATCATGGTCACGGCGATTCGTTGTACCAGTAAGAGCGTACACTCGAATGGCGAAAGACGCAGTCAGGAAGGAGTATAGTGCCGCGTTTAGCACATTCCAAAACCCAATGATGTGGTAGCCTGCTTTATAGACCTTGACAAGTTCGTCACAGATGTAGCCCAAGGTAAAGATGTACAATGCCACCTCTGCTCCGTCGAGCTCGCCCGTTGGATTCACAGAGTTGATGGCTACCGTATAGAGCGCAAGATAGAGCAGCGAAAAGAGCAACTGTGCGGCGTTTTGGTACCGAGGGGCTCGCATACGGTCCGGGTCCATGTGAACGAAGAAATTGGGGTTGTCCTTGTTACCATAGTCGACAAAAACGGAGGGGTCATTCTCATCCTGAACGAGCCAGCCCCTCCAGAGATAGTTTATGCATTTCTGGTAGCCTGATGAGCCTATTACGCGAACTGCGTGCAAATCGACAGCTTTCTCGATAACGTTAACAGCAGGAGTCGGAGCTCCATTGGACAGGTAGGAATATCGGCGGAGCAATATGCAATGCATGAGGTAGTGGAGATCTTCCTCTCCTTCGATTCTGCATACACTTGTTAGCAATATATTCATTGTAATCTGGCATTGGCGCTCAATCTTGGCTCACATTGCTTTTGCGATTACTCCGCACGCCTCGGCTCGGAGATTATGCAAGCCTGCATCCCAAAGTTCCACGTTTGATTCGTGGCGAAACCATCGTTGGTTGACCAGTAAGCAATACACCTGTTCCAATTAGCATAAGAGCAAGCACCATGGCCGTTCGCAACACTTACGACGCATGCGCCATGGTCGCGGCCACCAGCCTCTTTGGCTGCCTGCACAACCTGCTGCGTGATAACGCGACTGTGCGGTGTCGTGATTCGAGACTCTTCCATCTCACACGGGATACATTCTTGAACGAGATGCCGTAGCCGCAAACATACTTTGGTGACATCCGTGGCGGGGATGGCCGACGTGAGCGTGATGGGCTGAGAAATGCCTATGGAACAAGGTCAGTTGCGGGTGACCATCATTATGGTGCAATGAATAAGAATGCTATCAATGCTTACCAGCGGATCTCTCCTCCTCGTGGAGGAGGTTTTGGGAGCTCATTGAGCTCGGTGGTGGTGATCGTGTGCTGCTGTGTTGTTGAGGCCTCCAACTGAGGAGGGAATCCAGCACCACCTGGGAGAGCCAGAAAAGAAAACTGGAATCAGTGCCTGTCTCTGTGTATTTTGAGGCGTTTGTATTGGCAATCTTTCAATCAATCTGGCTGTCCCAAGATGTAATATGTTGAACAAAGACGGTCGGAAAGCGAAGAGGTTGGCTAGCTGTTGAAGGTGCCTGACGTAAACGAAAACGGCGGTCATGCGTCTGTTCAGTCCAGGGGAGTGGGCCTACAGGCGATCCGCTAAAACGCGGGGAAAGCTCCTGTAATGCACAGCTCCTGTATTTTTTTAGCCGCAGCCGAGACCACAGGGCCGCCCAAAAGACATTGGGTATGACTTAATTTCTGTATGTAAATACGATCGTTGCGATCAAAGGCTCTTTTAGGGTTATGGTGTTCATAATGAATAAGGCGCAAGCCAAGAAACGACCAACAGAACCACGCGTGTCTGCAATAGCCCGCCACAGAAAGCCTGTAAATTGTGGCGCTCTCTGCTTGTCCTTATTCCTGCTAGGCGAAGCTATGTCGAACCAAGTAAAGGAAGCGTGAGGGACGCTGTAGATGCATGAGTCACTCGCTTGGGCCTTGAGGTGTTTGTTCTTTCATACCTGTCGCAAAGAGTAAGGTCGCCACACGGCCAAGACCGCTCGTTGCCACGATCCAGGTAGTTGGTTCACGCAAACCGTCATCTGCGGCTGAATACCCAGGGCCCTGCCTTGTCAGCGACAACACAGTCGCTAGGCTGCCTTGCCCATGCAAATGCGGTCAACGCCCAAGTTGCGGTTGCTCTGACTGGTTGGTCCAGCTGTGCACATCCCGCAGCTCGATGCCTCACATGGCATGCGTGACCGTAGGACGCCTACGGCAACGGCCCGTTGGCGCTAAACACCCGTGTGATTGGGCCACTTGGTTTCACGGCTTTGTGCTCGCATTGACTGAATTTGCCAGACCTTTTCTTTATGTTCAAGTTTGTGATTGTTTCTCAGCTGCCGTGTCTGTGTTGCGGAGTGAAAGCAAAGGTGATAAAAAGGTGACAGTGGGAGGCGGCGGCGCATTATCTCACAAAGGGCCAGCCTCACTTTGGCACACTTTATCCGATGCAGAGCGAATAGCGTAGCATAGTAGTCGTAGATCCGAATCGACGACAATGGGTCGCTCCCTTTTGTTGTTTTTGGCGCCAACCTGAAGCTGGGCGACCCAGCTGGCTGCGTACAAGGCGCTGCGCCAGACCTGGCTGGTCAGGCCGCCAATGGCCGCCAGTTCGCATGCGTGCGTGTCTGCCTACGCCTGCTTTCTCCTGGGTTGCCTGGAATCTCGGGTTATCTTTCCTCTTTCCCTTTTATTTGGGTTTCTTTCCGCTTCTATTCGATAGTTAAATATAGCCCTGCATCCCCTTTCGTTTTTAGGCCTACATCGTGCCACCAACACATCCTCATATTTCTGCGTTGCCCTCTAATTCGCTTAGAACTTGCCCTTCCTGGTTCATTTTTTGTATTCAGAACTTTCTACTTGACGGCTTTGGATATTTTTACATCCGCGTTTATTCTTGAGTTTCATCATCGCTTGTCATTTACATCATCGTTCTCTTTTTCTACCATCGTCCTAATCGACACGAACTGCCTGCACCACACCCACCTTTAGCCTACCTTTGGCGTTGCTCGTCTGCCAACTAGCAGAATGGATAACGAGACAGCGGGAGTCGCTGTACGGGAATCACGAGCTGATGCCTCTAAGATTACGCCCCAGGATGTTTCTAGAATCAGCACCTCAACTACTGAGAATGCACCAACACCGTCTTCCTCTCAGAGAAAGGCCTCGCCAGCTGTCGAGGTGGATAAGAAGAAGCCTACCAAAGCCAAGCGCAAGGAAACCTCGCGAAAGAAAAAGAAGACAAAGAAGCGAAAAAACTTCTTCTCTCCTCAAGATAGTGATCCGTCCCTGGACGCTGTCGATGAAACTTCGGAGAGCTCAGATAGCGACGATTCCGATGGATCATCTGAAGAAGATCAGCCGGTCAGCTCGAAGCGGGATCGCAAGGCCAACGTAAGACGCCGCCGCAATAATCGTCGCAAGATCCGAAAAGACCACAGTCATAGCGTATCGGGTTTTTCGGAGAGCTCAAGTGAAAGTTCTAGTGAAAGTTCGTCTGACAGTGCTTCCGACCATAGCACAACACGACGCAGAAACAGGCGAAAAGAAGCGAAGCAAAACGACTTGATACAGACATTTCAGCGGCAGCTTAGCCAAATTCAACTTCAACTTAGTCAAAATCAAGCTCAGTCATACCTGCCCCCTCCTCTGCCACCGCCTCAGCCACTTTCAGATCCTCTAGGACTCCCGCCACCGCCTCCTCCGCCTGCAGATAGTCGCCCGGTGCGTATATTGCCGCCAGTAGGGCGAGGTCGACGGGGACGTGTGTCAGATGTCCATGACAGATTCCCTCGCCGCCGTGGCCTTCCTTTTCATGATCGCTGGCGAAGTCGAAGCAGAGGTCGAAGCGAGGAAAGAAGTCGGTCTCGCAGCTACAGCCGTAGCCGAAGTCGAAGCTGGACCCGTTCTCGAAGCTACAGTCGATCAAACAGCCGCAATAAGAAAAAGCCAGCTTTCAAACGCGTCGACTGGGTTTGGGATACAAAGCTTCTTTGCTTCAGGTTACAGAACACGGCGAAGCGGACCAAGGATACCCGATTCGACGGCTACGTATTTCAGGTCAGGCGTCATTTCGACTGTAAAGGCGTGTACCGGCACACCGAGGTCGATATCAAAAGCAAAGAGCTCCGAGACTGTCTCAAGGAAATCATCGGCGACGTTCGTGGAATTAACCTCCATGAAGAAGTCCCCAAGATCAATCCCAACATGCTATTTCTCTACTTGGATGATTTTCGCAAGCATTATCGCATGCTCAAGACGACGGAGGTTACTGGTAAGACCAAGAAGGAGAAGAAGCAGAACCAGAAACTCCAGAAACTCAAGGCCAAGCAGCTGAAGGTCCTGCTACAATACCTACGAGAGGATTACGCTGAGATTGAAGAACAAATTGAGAACCTCGTAGAAGGTGGCATCATCACATTTGACTTGCTGTGGGCTTTGTGGAAGCCCGGGACTCTTGCATATACCACGACATATGGAAGCGAAGATGACGCTCGCGTGTTTAAAATCGACATGGCAGAAAAGCATTCGAGCATTATGAGCGGGGAATTCTACTGCATCGAGGGCTCCTATCTGGAGCACAACGGCAAGAACTTTGGCTACGGCACTATTGGTCAAGAAATCCCTGCTTTTCGAGGCACTCGAAAGATCACCAGCCTTCCCTGCTACCCGCTCAAATATCACGAAAAGGAGGCACTGCTGCGCACCAAGCTCATTGAACGTGGTAAGAAGTTTGTGTCGCTTTGCGGCGTGCACTATAAGAGTTACTCCGGCATGGCATATGTCAAAAAGAAGGGAGACGTTTTAAAGTACAACGTTCAGACCAGTCGGATCATGATTGACAGTGCTACATTTAGACGCATCAACCCAAACTATTCTTCATCGGCCGTTCGTTCTCGTGGAAGGCGCCCAATGGACCATCTTGACTTTTCAGATGACGATTTGAGCTCCTTTTCTGACAGCCTGAGCATGCGGCGAGCTTCCAGAAAGGACACCTCCGTCAAGATTGTGCCAGAAACTTTTAAAGACGGAGAAACGCCTAAAGTGGTAAGCGCTTGCGACGAGGCAGACAAGAGTGATGAAAAAGATGCAAAAGCAAAGGTGGAAAATGAAAGTGACGAAAAGGAAGAAAAAGAACAAGGGCCGGATTGGACAGATGAGGATTACCTGCTAGCCTCCCCTGTGATTCTAGGCTTCGCATTTTCAGAGAAGCTTTGGCTTGAATTTTCTGTCTCTGCTGTTTCTGAGATTGAATGGAACGACCAAGCGTGGGATTCGCTGGTACTTGAATCAGAGACCAAGGATTTGATCCAGGCGCTAGTCAAGGCGAGGAAATACCATGGCTCACAGACCATTGACGATGTGATCCGAGGCAAGGGCAAAGGCCTAGTGAGTAAGTGACTTTACTTTCTTTTCTTTTTTTGTTTTTTATCATGGTTTTGAATTCCGAGGCTAACAAATAGTAGCGGTTCTCCATGGGCCTCCTGGCACAGGAAAGACACTGACGGCAGAAGGAATCAGCGAGATGCTCAAATGCCCTCTCTATGCTGTTTCGGCTGGAGAATTGGGCACTGACGCACGTTTCCTTGAAACAGATTTACAGCGTATCTTGGACATATGCCATACCTGGGGGGCTATTCTTCTGTTGGATGAAGCAGACGTGTTCTTGGAAAAGCGAAACATGCAGGACGTGTATCGCAATGCCCTAGTCAGCGTCTTTCTTCGCCAACTTGAGTACTTTCAGGGCATCTTGTTCCTAACGACAAATCGCGTAGAGGTACGTTCAGCCGCTATGAGGAGTTCCTATGTAGAAGTATTGCTAACTCTTTCTATAGACTTTTGACGACGCATTTCGATCCCGAATCCACATCGCCTTGCGCTACGAGACCTTGGACGCCAAGGCCAAGAAGACCATATTCAAGATGTTCATCAACAGGGTGGTGGCGCATGGCAAAATTGAGGTTCAAGACTTTACAGAGGAGCATTATACTCTTCTGGCAAAAGAAGAGCTCAATGGACGCGAAATCAAGAACGTTGTTGGTTCGGCCCAGGATCTCGCTTTGAACAAAAAGGAGAAGCTGGGTATGAAGCACATCCGGCAGGTTCTTGACGTCCATGCCAAGTTTCGCCGTGACCTTAACGGAGGAACAGGTTATGACGACGCTATGAGGAGTTATTTTTAAACGATTTAGCTATGGCAATGGGGATGATGGCATAAGCGGACGACATCCAGACTGTATTTTGTTTTTATGGAAGCGAGTGTGCCTTGAGGAAGAGATGAGTTGGCCAAATTAGCGTTCATTTTCAGTTAGCACTAGTACACATGAATCATTAACGAAAGAGCAAGAGATATTTTTAGGATACTGCATCCTGCTCCCGTGTCCGACAAGTAACGAATCCGATGCCCGTGCAGCTTGCGTGTAAGTGAGGCTCAGTTCTGGCTGAATGAATACGAGACCCAGCGGCTCCACGGGTCCACGGCAGGCATCTGCACATGAAACAGGGAGAAGCGGTTGTCAAGACAGGGGGATCCGTTTTCATGGCTGGGTTTGTGTGAAGATCCAATGGTATAGAAACCGGGGCATACTGCGCACGGCTCACACAGCTATACGATGATCCGTGAAGATCGGAAGAATCTAGAATCGCAAGCAGCGGGCCCCCTTTCCTGTTTTATTCTGGGGCACCTTGCATCAGCCTCCATGGGACTTATCGCCAGATATTGCTGAGTTCCTTGTACAGTATTGGCATTGGCATGTCACTGGCTGCCCTTGTGCTTGTTGCGGGAAACCAGCAAGTATACGCCAGACCTGGGCCATGGCATAGCCTCATGAAGCAAACCCTGGGTACGAAATATAGCAACGGGGAGGTTTTGGTCAAAAAAGGAAAGAAAGGAGAGAAAAGAATATGTCTGCCTATACACAGTACGAGCTACACACTGGCAGCTCTACCGCGATGTTCAGGGATACCCAGGGGGAACGAGACAGGCAAAGGGCGGTGGTCAGAGATTGTAGGACTACCATTGGGTTCTATTTTGTTTTTTTTAAGACTTCTTGTCCCTCTTCTCTAACAGCTGTCTTGTTTCTACGGCTTACCAGTTACCGCAGCTTTGCAATTGGCTAACTAGGGACGTCTCGCGGGTGTAGCACGGGCGAGTGGATAGAACCACCACGCAACCAAGCAACAACTTAGATAGACATGGGCAGGCTTGCTTTCACATGGCCTAGGAAAGACCAAACTGTTGCATGCACCAAGCCGGGTGTGTTCCAATTGGTCCTTTTTCAATGGGCAGGCAGCGCACAAAGTATAACGCCATGTTTAGGCGTATTAGCTCGGCCAACGCTTGGCCAGGGCCGCATGTGAGAGTAGTGGCAACTCGCCTGTAGAATCAGGCAGCGCCCGCTACACCTACTACCAGCACTGTAGTTAGTAACGGTACTTACTGTCCAAGGGTACATCCAGCGCCTTGGCCACACCAGCACAGCAGGTCAGGTTGGTACAATGCTGTACATGGTAGTGAGCGCAGTACAATTGGCTAACGGTGCAAACAATAGTGCAGTTAGGGGACCCAAAACGCCCAGTCTCCAGTGTAAAAGACGGAGCGTATGAAAAGTCGACAGGTACAAGACGGTCTAGACCGCGGTCTTTACCCACAACCTTGGCTGGCGACTCGGCATCACGTGATGGATCATCTTTGGTATGGCCCGCCCACGTAAGCTGGTGCTGGTGTCCAGTCTCGGAAAAAAGGGTGCTGGTGTTCTTCTGCCTGTACGGATAATTGGCGGCTAGGTCGGAAAATTTTCTTCACTTGTAGTGTATTGCGAGGCAACAACCTGGTCCTCGGGCCGGTCGGGTCTGTGCGAGAGAAGAAAGAAGAAGAAAAAAACGAAACATGCATACACGCAGAGTGTAATGCTTGGGCCGTAGTGGTATGAGGTGTTTTAGTTTTTTGTTTGGTTTATTTTTTTTGTTTCTGCGCCCGTTGTTGGCCTTGGGTGTGATGTTGCAACGGTTCATTTCCAAGGGCTTACTGTTTTAGATGAAGGATAATTTAGTGTTATTCATTCCAAACGCTTGGCTACGGACCGGGCAGCAGCACAGCACTCTAGCCAAGCCTGTATGTAAGTCTGAATGCCCAATGGGTAAAGCTGGTGGATTTCCCTTTCATGTGGCCTTTGCTTCTGGTTCTTCTTTCACTTACAGGGCTTCTGTCGCTTTACGCGGCACTGCCAGCCACGGTGGAGTCTCGCCAACAGCACGCAACAGCGCTTGAGGTGGATAACTGTAGCGCTGAGCGGCCGCTAAAACAACGAAGAGTTTTCTTTGTTCTCTTCGTTTATCAGTGGTACTTTACAGTACATCAGGCGCTGTGCCAATAGTACGCTGTGCAGCATGTACTGTGCTGCACTGGTGTGAGTCGTGCACCTACTGTACCATACGACCAACGCGCCAGCATGGCGTTCTGAGATGCAACTTTGAAGTTGCACTAGCCAAGTAAGTAAGTAACATGGTAAAAAGCGGTGTTGTGGTCTGTAAGGTTTTGTAATCGGATAGATCGATTGATAAACTTGACGCATGGTTACGGTATTAAACCTTTTAGCTTTACAAACAGACGGGCTGGTAAACACGGTAAAGGTAACGGTGGCGGCGCAGATGCTTAAATGAATCACTAACTTTCTGGTTTCTGCCCCCCATCGAGATCAAGTGCTGCTGCTGTGGCAGGTATCTGTCTCCCTGGCTAGGCGCCTACCTGCTGTAATACTTTACCTGTTAAACTGCACTGTACGGTACCGATGCAGAGATACAGTGCGTATTGCATCAGTTACAGCGCCTAGGACTGGTTTACAGTGGCCACCCGCAAGGTCTCGAACATGGGACAGGGCTCCACGCATCGGGGGACGCTATCCGGCCAATCACAGCGCGTCTGTTCCTGGAGCCAACGCATGTTGGGCGCCAGTTTCGACGGGTGGGGCCTTTGAAAAGTCGAAAGAGCCACCCACACCTCCCAGGCACAGACAGCAAGGCGTCAAGAGGTACATACCTGGCCCGCCCGCCGCACCACGCCATCTCAGGTACCCCATCGCAGGTACCTCCTCATCGCCAGGTACTGTACTTGTCTCTCTGGGCGTCTGCCGCCTGTCCACTGGGGTACCTACTTGCGCTCCCCCCCCCCCTGCGCGCTGCAATCTCCCACTGGGTGGCCGCTCCTTTATTACTTACCAGGCGCCTCCCTTCTCCCATTTATTTCCTTCTCTTCCCCTTCAACCCAAGCCTCGCGCCAACAGTCACTCCTTTTTCAACCACCACGCTCCTTGCGAATCGATTTCCCTGCAGAAAGCGCTTGACGCCTTCTAGCTATACGCTCCTTTAAACCAACCTATCGACTTATTTTCTCGCTTGCGTGTTCTGGGAATACCACGGAAAATACAGCCTCCTCCAGTCAACACAACAGTACAACAGACACTAGCATCTCGTAACCGATTGACCTTTTGGACTTCCAACCAACCGACATCATGAAGTTCTCTACCATTGTTCTCGCCGCTGCTGTCGGCGTTTCTGCTCACCCCAGCGCCCACGGCCACCGTCAGGCTCACCGTTCCGTCGAGGCCCGCGCCGAGAAGTTTGTCATGAACAAGAAGCCTGCTCCTCCTCCCGCTCCCACCCCCAAGGAGGAGCCCAAGCCTGTTGCCACTCCTTCTCCCGCTCCCGCTCCCGCTCCCGCTAAGCCTTCTCCCGTCGCCCAGGCTGCTGCTGCCGTCGGCAACGCTGTCGGTACTGGTCTGTCCAGCTACGCCCCCTTCTGCGGCGGCCAGAAGCGTGCTACCGTTGCCCAGATTGGCTACAAGGGCAACACCGGCATCAACAACAACGCCTGCAACGTGATGGCCATCAAGAGCAACATTGCCGACAAGTACAAGTACGTCCTTGAGTTCAACAACAAAGGCGCCGACTCCACCTGCGCTTGCTGGAACAAGATTGGTCACAATGGCGGCATCAACGGCTTCTTCAAGGGCAACGAGGCTCTGACCTTCTCTATCGCCTCTGGTTCCACCCAGTTTATCGCTGTCGACGCCAACTCCCAGGGTGCTTGCGGCTGCAGCATTGGTGGCTCCGTCGGCCTGACCAGCTTTGGCCAGTTCGCCGGTACCTGGGCCGAGTTCGACTTCGAGAACCAGTCCAACAATGGCTGGTCCGGTGCCGATATCTCCTGCCTCGTTGCCGCCAAGTACGGACTCGCCATTCCCGCCATGAAGGTTTGTGCCACCAGCGGCGGCCCCTGCTCCACCATCTTTGCCGGTGGTGCTGGCGACAACGCCTACACTGGCGGTACCGAGGATCTCGACGGTGTTGGTCTCAACCTCGCCCCTGGTCCCGTCCACCTCAAGGTCACCCTCAACTAAGGAACCCCTCGTTGGCCTTTCTTTTTTTTAGATTTGAGTAGAGATTGGTGCATACCCAGAAGTATATTTTGTGGCAACCTTTATAACATCTTTTTTACCATTGACGAGAGGATAAGGAGAAACAACTTTTCTTGACGCCCGTTGGGAAAAAAAAGTTGAAAGGTCTTTTTTTTGCGGGTGTTCAAGGGCTGCAATTCACGTATCAGCAATTTGGGTCTTTTTTTTTTCTTCTTCTTTTAACAAATTGGATTCTCTTTTTTATGAACTCTCTTTCTTCGTAGACTCTGCGCCAGTGATGATGAATCATGTATGTCTCGACACACCGTTTACTTGGAGACCAGGTAGGAAGGTTTCAACGGTTTCCATTCAACGTGTTCGATACGTATCAGCGTAGATGTAACGGCGGGCGCAAAAGGCCAGGTCTGCAACACACGGTCTTCACCTCGCCTACAGCACCCTCGAGGCTACGAAACAAAATACGGGTTGGTTGACGATGCGACAGTTGCCGTTTGGTGATGCACCGCGGTAGTAAGCGACTGCGACTCACTACATTGGTAGAGTCACATAAGACATGTCTTCCTGTCTCTGTGTTGTCTAGTAGAGCCGTTGGCAGAAGGATTCACTCGCTTGTCTAGATCTGGTCCCATCTTTCAATATTTCCAATTGCTTTCTACGGCCACGTTGGGCTGCGCAACGCAAGTTGGGTTCAACGCTGCTTTCCCATCCGCCCTGCGGTGCTACGTATGCTGTTTTCATTTCCCGCGCAAGCCAGATGGCAAACAGACTTGAGAGACCAAAAACCAGAGATTGAGAAAACCCTGCACCAAGTAAGAAGTACCGCGCTCACACGACACAAGTACCGCAGCGCAGTCGAGTCGGTGTACTTGGTCTACTTTGTACCGACGCCATGCTCCGCTGTAGTGGGTGGTACAATGCAGTACATACATTGTCATGTCCGTTTCCGCCCAGCGCTGACTCGTTAGTCAGGTCGAGTCAAGCCCTGCGAACTTCCTATTACGGATGACAGGACTCCATGGCATTTGCCGAAAAAAAAGCTTGACTTAGATGCTAGAAGGGCGGTAGAAGTACACTATTACTACTCTGGTGTATTTTACATGCGGAGAGTATTTGGTCGTGCTCTTTGTAGATGTCGGGTCAGTGTATAAGTCTACGGTGCGCCAAACTGGACAGGCAGCAACAGCAGCAGCAGCATGGTGTTCTGATGTATGGCAATTCACAAAGCAACTTGCTGCTTACAAAGGAACCATTAATACCGACAATGACCATTCCCAACTACAGCGCCGGGGAACCAGTCGACAACTTGCCGCGGCGACGTGCAAGTGTGCGATTGGGCTGCTGTAGTGTGACTAACTGGTTTGGGCGGGTCTGCGGCGCTGTGGTACCTGCAGCAGTACAGTACCTACATGTACCTGTAGTTTGGTGCCTGACGGGCACTGAAGAGATCTTTTTTTTATAGCGCACACGGCGGTTCGGTAGTGCGGTGAGAGAAAACACACGTGAGACTCTTGGTCTATGTATCCGTACTGCTCTAAAAGATGGCAGTTATTTTGTAGCGTTAGTTGTGCTGTCCTTGATTGGTGGTAGCTTTGAGGCGGATGGCTGGCCTCTGGGTGGTGAATGAGTTTTAAGAGGTTTATTATAGTAGTGAGTACATTTAATTGATACTTGGTTGGATAATCCAATACCTTATTTTTGCTTTATAATGTATTTAAAGATAGTATTGCCTTCATATTTTGGTACTTTTATGGCATTGGAGGGGACATTGTTTGTTGGTGCTGGACGGCTTACATGACGGAAATAGCGCCAGATTGGTTACCTCCACAAACTTGGACCTTGTAGAGTGCGAATGATGTAGTTGGCCACTCCTTCCATGTATAGAGCAAGGTTAGAGCTGTCTTTTGCTATAGTTATGTGGCTAAGTGTATATAAATATGGTTTTTAGCTTGAGCAATATTTCACCCAACACTAAATAAAACTGATTTCGCGGATCTGATATTCTACGTAGAGTGAGAGATAATGACGGCGTGGTGTGCGTGTAGCAGTCGGTACAGCAGCCGCAGTATTTAAATTTCCTTTTAAGAATATTATATATATACATATATATAAGAGAGATTGCCAAGGCTGATCATATAGATACTATTTTATTAACCGACTACGCATATCCTTGAAAACAACGTCTTGGGTTGCCTTTGCCTCACCTCCAGGGTAACTCTGCGACTCACCAGACTGGGCTTGACTCACTCTCTTGGAATTCTTGGTGGAATCCACGCGACCCCAACGGCTCTTCCCCATCGACGCGCTCGTCCCATGAGCAAAGAGGCAAAGACATAACTTAATTACGACTAGCAAAGCGCCATTTTTTTTAATTCCTTTTTAAAGTTCAAGACACACACACATGCGCGCGCCATGAGCCGCCGCTGACTGCCCTCCAATCACCAGCACAGATCGGCCCGGAATGCGGCCATGACGCCGCATCTTCACCACGGCCAGCTGCCCAATTCCACCGCTCTTCCAGATGATGCCACCGACAACTACGACCCAGAGAGGCAGGCGTCCATGCTTCGCAGCGTCGATGCGCACATTGCCCTTGCCCACTCATGCCTCCCCGAGCTGCAGGCCCTCTATCACCAACTGAGCCAAACCACCAAGCTGCCTGCCCTCAGCGGCCTACCGTCCTTCACACAGGCTCTTCGCGATGGGCTCTCGTCGCTGCTCAAGCTCCAAGCGCAGCTGCAGTCGTCCTCGTCTCTCACAACTGACGCTCTCACCGCACTTGCGCAAAAGATCGACCCATGCATGACTGACATATCACACGCCGCTACGCACTGGTCCATCCTGCGCCGCAGCACCGCTCTTGTCGCCGTCAACCGCACGTTCCAGACCTCTGCGCAGTCGGACCGCCGCGCCAACATCTCCAAGTTCAACGCCGCCGCCACGGGCCGCGAGAAGAGCCAGCTGCACCGGACCCTCAAGGAGCAGGCCAAGACCGAGGTCGATGTCGTCGCCGCCGGCGCCGAGTGGCTCTGCATCCGCTGGATCACGCGCGACCGCCTCGCCCGCCAGATGACGGACAGCGGATGGTCCTGGGGCGACTATAGCCCTGGCGACGTCGTCGACGAGGACGAGTGGGAGGACATCTCGCTGGCCAAGAACATCCGCAAGCTGGTTGCCGCCGCGCGCATGCATCGCCACGAGTACCGCATCCCCAGGCTGCATATTGTCCTGCCCAAGCTCTCGTGGCCCGACGACGATGTCGACATTCCCGTCCTGCTTACCAACCTGGCTGCTATAGACTCTGGCGCAAATATCACCATCTCGCACGCGGCGTCGCCCTTTCTCACGGCGCCTCTGCCGCCGCTCGCCACATCTCTCAGCAACCTGATGCACGATGACCTCGCCACGCTCACACCCACGCTAAACATGGATCACACCATTCTCGTGGACCTGATCTCGGACCTGAGCCATGCCCGGCTAACGCCGCAGCCATGGCAAGCACCGACTACGCGCGCGCAAATTGCCGACGAAAACACGTCTCCGGACGGCGTCATGCTGCGCACGCTGCATCCCATCCTGGCTGGTCGCACGCTTCTGTGCACACGGGAAGCAGCAGAGCACTTCCACGACATGCTTGCCACCGTCGGCACCTCTACGGAGCGCCGCCGCGGCCGCCTGCTTGTACCGCTGCACCAGCCTGAAAGCGGCATGGATAGCGCTGCCGTGCGGTCTGCGTTCCAGGAATTGTCGGCGCACACCATCCCGCAGGACATCCAGCTGCCTGTGAAGATGCTCCCTGATGATGAGCGCTGGGACGTGGCGGCGGTTTGTGCTGCCGTCGAGAACGGCTCACTGCCTGCTGTGGCCCGTGATGTTGCAGAGAAGGGCGTCGGAGGCGGAACCCTCAAGAGCAGCAAGCTGAGTATCTACATGTACGGCTGGTGGAGCGGGCATGCGACGCTGACGTCAAATAAGGAGATCAAGGCACATATGAGCACTTGGGTGGAAAGAGGCCGGACGGCCGACGACGAAACTGGACCGCGTATCTGGTGCGTGGGTGTGACTAGGAATCTGCTGGCAAAAAGTGCCGAGCCGCCCCCAGGATGGACACCCGGCCATGAAAATATAAGTGAACGTGGGTATAAACCAAATTCATAATGTGTCTGGCATGGTAAGATGAAAGACAGGACACGCACATTGATACGTACATGTACATATAGTATTGCTTCATTTACAAGACATAGCATATAGACGGAGGGATATGAACAGCATTTTTTCTAATGAAACATGAGTCATATTCACAGGAAATACACATAAGAGGACCGTTGCCACTCTCGGTAATCTATTCAGCGCAAGCCAAGACTTGTCTAGTCGTGGGCTCAGCTGCCGTCGTCGATGTCGTAAACACGACTTCTACCAAAAAGTTGACCACTCCCGTTTCCCAGACCAATGCACATGCTCCACAGTCTACCTTGCTTGTCATTGTTTCCGTCGCAGTCCAGATAGTTCGGGTTCCATCCTTGGGGATATACGGCCCGACTGCTTGGCTGATGGTACAGGTTGGCAGAGCGTTTCCTTTGGGAAACTCAGTATAGGCTATTGGAGGTGGCGGTGCGTAGTAGTCGACTGTTGCAGATGGCTTGATGGTTGAAGTTGTACTCGTGTTGCTTGTCTGAGCGCTGCTGCGACAGACAAACGCTGTCTCTATGGCTGGTTTTGTCCCAGTAACGGTCGTGTTGAACCGTACTACAGGTGGGACACCCAATATGCCGTAGCTGGTCACGATAGAGCCGCAACCAGCGCAATCGACGCTCTCCGTAACGGTAGTCGTTTCTGTATACAACGTACTAGTCGGGCCCCAGACCAAAGTTGGCAAAGGAAAGACATATCTTGTGCAGTCCGTTTCCACATCTAGAGAAGACGCTTGTCCAACGGTTGGTGCTGGAGCATTATGGCGGATTGGGCCAATCGGTTGCGCTTCAGTAACAGGTGCTTCGTACGAAGTATATCCAATTTCCAAACTTGGGAGGCAGTGCGTTATTGTCGTGGTTGTAGGACTTGTTGCTGTAACATGTTCCACTGCTGGATCTTGCGTGCTGGTATAAGTGTAGTCAGCTATCAGAGTAGCCTTCTCAACCGCGACACAACCGCTGCAGTCTATTGCAGAATAATCTGTAACGGTCGACGAGTATTCAGTCACTGTTACGGTTGACAGTGGCGTGGCCGCTGGTGGCGATAACCCAAGCGTTTCGACAATTGTTACTGTGCATAATACACCCGGTTCAGGAGGAGGTATCGGATTGCAGAGGGCCACGCTCAACAGGCTACTTGCAATACACCTCGCTGAAAACTTCATTCTTATTTCTTGTATATTGATAAGCGTGAGATTGACCCAACAATGGCAGTCAACCTCTTGGCTGACGTCGCGACCTTGACTCTGAGACTTGGGACCAGGAGTAAGAAACTTTAATAGACTGAGAATTGGGTACAAAAGTGAACGGTAGAAGAATAGCACAAATTATAAGGTAAAATAAATCCTAGGAGATAGATGATGAAAAAGGAACGAAGAGTTTGAAGGTCTAAAGTTGCAAGGTTTGTTGCCATGACTTGTTGTGTTGGTCGCTCCTCCTCAACATTCCAGTCAACACCCATACATAGCAAAATGATACAAGCTGCTTTTCTGCAACACCATTCGATTTGGAGGGAATAGCAGTAAAAAGTCCATCAAATCGTTATTAGGATACAATGGTACTAATGCCATTATCATATTTCTTCCCCTGTTCCTTACTTGTCGGACCAGGTCGCCCTTCGGCGCAGTTTCATCTCCTCCTGAGCGATTGTTGTGGACTCCTGCTAGCCTGAAGCGGTTGCAGATGGTGCGCATACGGTTCTGCTAACTGTGTACGGTGTCGACTCGCTGACGTAGGTCTCGATAATCTCTAGCGGACATCCTACCAATGGTGTGGTAATAATCCTGACATCCTGACATCCCTTACAATCTACCTGTACCTCAATGGTCTTTTCGGATGGATAAATGTGCGCAGTTCCATCCCACGAGCATACATCCCAGAACGGCGGCGTAGAGTACGACTGAAGAGTATGGTAAATGGTATGGACGCAGGTTGTTGGCGCTGGCGTTGTTGTTGGCGACAAAGATGCGGTCCCCACAGCAAAGTTGCCAACAAAGAATAGGGTAGGCGATTTCATGATAGAGATTGTATCAAGTATTAATAAAGAGTGATCGATGGGGAGCCAGTTGCCGTAGATGTAGGAGACAAGAGCCGCTGCCCAGGTTGGCTGCGAGCACATAACATGTCTCGTGGTATATCGACATGGATGAACGCCTTACCCACTTCAGCAAACAATTGTAGCCCGTGCCGATTGATCCGAACTAAATGATGTCACAGCAGGAATATGGGGGCTGTCTCACCCCTCTCCTTTCGTTGGCCATAGTCTTATCCCATCGTCTTCCGAGGAAAGGAGCGACAGGTAACAAAGGCATGTAGCCGAATCTATGGGCAAACTCCAGGGTTAAAATCGTCGAGATTTGGCATAATATTCATTTGCCACCAGCCTGATTTCCACAAGGAACCATTCTCCCAATCCAACCCGCTGTTCCAATCCATGCTAAATGCCGCCATATCGTCATTGTAGTCGACTACACCCTCTACGTTTGCATTTTCACCCATGATGCCGGCTTTTTCCGCAAGGTCTGTCAAGATCCCTAAAGTCAGAGTCACAGATTCTGTGCACTTGTCTATCATAAATTTGGTAATGGCTTTGGCATCAAGTCCCTGCGCAAGCGCATCAGTGTGAGCCAGCAGCGCTGAAATAAAGCAGTGCTCTTTGACGGACGTCTCTCCCGCCTTTATCCTTTCCAACGACCAGGCCTGGAAGCTCTCAAGATGGACGCGGAGGTCATGATTTGTCGCTGCAGGAAACAAACCAAGTCCGCTGGCTGAGGTGCCACGCTGTTCCAACAGCTCGCGACTGAGGATAAAGAGGGACAAGGCGGGAATATTTCGAAATACGCCCGTTCCAGCAATCGCTAGTCTCCTGAAGCTGGCCACTCCAGGGTCAAGAACTTCGTTGGGGCTTTTTGTACCGTTGAAACCCCACATGGACGAGAGCTTGAGAGAGCTACTGACGCAGATTTGCCTCGAAAAGTAGTATTTTGGGTCATCAAAAGCCTTGGTCACCACTGGCATATGGAGTGTATGGAAGAATCGATACAAGAGCATCTCACCAAACAAGACATGGCAAGAATTAATAGGTGCTGTTGCAGTAGGTGAAGGCTTCTTCCCAATCAAGCTGTTCATCTTTGCTGAAAACTCCTGACAAGTCTCAGAAAGAGTCGTGTTGATTTCCAGAGTCCGATCGTATGACTCAACAGAGCGGAAGTTGTTGACATCATTTATCAGTCTCAGACGGAATGGCAATGACTTGGCTAATGCAATGAAAATCGTTGACTGAGTAAGGGCGCTCTCGGAAGGGGGTGACGTTCTCGTTTTATCAGGTTCGTCGTCGAGCTGCTCATCATCGAGATTGGCAGGGAGTTCAGTGTCGTAATCCAGCTCTGAGATGAGGGGCAACCCCCCGGCCTCGGTAGCAAACTGCAAGTTTAATTCCATAATAGTAGCCCATAAACGTCGTCGCATTTCTGCTGCATAGGTAGTCATCTTGGCTAGGTGTTTCGGATCCCGATGGAGGCCCATGTACATGGCGTTGCGAACAACTGCCCCCGTGAGCACCCAGGTCAGGTCTTGACCAAGTCCGACGACGGATTTGCAAAGAAGTATCAGACACATGATTTGGATGCCTTGCAGAGTCAATCGACTCTTCTCTGGGGGCAGCATGAGCCAAACCTGTGCCTCACGTACCCATTGCATCGCTGTTGGTTTCCAGTCATCTGAGTCGTCGCGTACAGTGCTTCCAAGGGCCATGCAAAGCTTGATTAGTAAAACAAGAGCATCTGTTGCAGAGTTTACATCTTGCCAGTAGCGCTGATAATCGGCGCGAAAGGTGGGAATGTGGACAATGCGGAAGATGCCTTCAAAGGTGTTGATGTAGTTTTCTACCAGCACATCTGCATCTTGGCGGGAAGGCATATTCTCTCCCAACTGTGTCGACAAGATAGGTTGAATTCTCTGTGCCTTGAGCTTTCGTCCCAACAACTTGCACTTATGCAGAGCCTGGAACAGCTCGCCTTGATCCGCCTCTTCATTCACCAACGTTCCGAGTTCTTTTGGAAACATACTGGCCCCGTTCATCCAGTGACTTTGGCCAAAATATCGTGTCTTGGAAATACTTCCTCTAATTGGTGGGGTAGCTGCGTCTTGTGAAACGAGAATGCAGCCCGTAGATCGGAAGCCTAATGCGTGGTCTTGGCTCTGCTTGACCTCTAGCTTGTTTGCGCCGACTCTGGGCCAATTGGTATGAGACACAGTAGTGGCTGGCGTGGCGATTGACGTGTGAGTATTCGAAGGAGAGGAAGAAGAACCAGGAAAAGGCTCAAACGACGGTGTTATATAGTCAGCCGAGCTCGTGATGGATTTACCGACGGCTGGGGCGAGTGGGCGAGGGCCTGATTGGGCTTCAGAAGTAGTAGCCTGTCTTGATTTCAATGCCCTTGATTTAGGGATATGTGTAGAGACATATGTACAAGTGTGATTTCGAGCCTTTGTACAGTTGTTGCAAGGAGACTGCGTGTCGCATTTGATCTTTCTTTGGCGGCAGCGCTCACAGGCAACAGCAGGCCGCCGTCGCTTTTTGGTGGAAGCAGCAACGGAATTTTCGGGGGCCATGGCGACGGTGAATAGAAGAAACGGGGATAAAGTATGATTGGAAATGTAGAAAAGGCCAAAATATCAAAAGACAAGGGATGGCGCGAGAAGAAAGAGGCGGATTAATGCACTTGGCAAGCCTGGTCGCCTGCTTACACCGGTAAGTCCGAGGGTGAAGCGGCTGATAAAATGACATGGGGCTCTGATTGGTGGGCAAGGTCGAATTTCCCGCGTGCGGACATAACCTCTGCATTGCACGCCCAAAAGCCCGCAAGGCGTTAAGCACCGTCTAAGTGGGAAGCGGGAAATTGACAAAATGGCTGCGTAATGGAGCTGGAAATCACTGATTGATAAGAAAAATACGAATAAATATATTTGTATATAAATTAACGGAGAGAAAAACTTTGAATATAAATATTTCCACATTGCCACCTTCATCGTCCAGTTTACATGTCATCCAACATCAACAACAACCACTTGTGATCCAAAAATGTCATCTTCTGCACCCACCAGCACCTCGTACGAGGCAGATGTGCACTCTTCTGATGGAAAGTCTCCCGATTTGGAAAAGGTCCAAACCTCCGATTTCCCTGATGGTGGTACCAAAGCCTGGCTCGTTGCGGCCGGCGCTGCTGTCGCCATGTTTTCGACCATGGGCTTCGTAAACAGCTTTGGTATCTTCCAGTCGTACTACAAAACCAACCAGCTTCCCCATGAGACCAACGACAACATTGCCTGGATCGGCAGCATTCAAGCATGGCTCATGTTCTGCACGGGTATCGTTGCAGGCCCCTTAACCGACCGCTACGGCCCATGGGTAAGTCCAACCTGTCTCTCGATGAGAAACTCACATGCTAACTGCCTTAATAGATTATTCGCCCGGCCGCTGTGGTCTATCTCTTTGGTATCATGATGACCAGCCTCTGCACCAAGTACTGGCAGTTCATGCTCGCCCAGGGCATCGTCACCGGAATCGGCAACGGCTTTGTCATGTTCCCTACGTTTGCTGTGGTTCCGCAGTGGTTTGATAAGAAGCGCGGAGCTGCTCTGGGTATGACCATTGCAGGATCATCTGTTGGTGCAATTGTGCTGCCTATTCTGCTCTCCAACTTGCTCACCCACACAAACCTTGGCTTTGGCTGGTCGGTCCGAATCCTCGGCTTCTTCCTCATGCCGTTCTTGATTTTCGCCTGCTTGACGGTGAAGAGTCGTCTACCACCCCGCAAGACTAGATTTCTCTTTCCGGAAGCCTTTAAGCAGCACATGTATGTGCTGCTGATTTTGGCTGCCTTTTGCACCATGGTTGGCATGTTTGTGCCTCTGTTCCTCATCTCCTCCTTTGCCATCACCAGGGGTGTTGATCCATCGTTGGCCTTTTACCTTGTTGCGATTCTCAATGGCGCATCATTCTTTGGCCGTGTTATCCCAGGCATCATGGGCGATAAGGTGGGCCGCATAAACGTCTTCGTTGGTGCAGCACTAGCCACAGGAATCGTTTGCTTCTGCTGGCCTCATGCGTCGAACACAGGAGGCATTATTGCCGTGGCTGTTGTATTTGGGTTCTGCTCAGGTGCTATCATCTCTGGGTTTTCGACAGCTCTCACTCTTTGCGTTGAAAATCCCAAGAACATGGGCACCTACATGGGCATGGGTATGGCTCTGGCGTCCTTTTCATCCATCCTGGGACCCCCAGTTGCTGGGCACTTGCTGGACACTTATCACGGATTTAACCAAGTGTCGTATTTCGCCGGAGCTTTGACCATTGCAGGGGGATTGTTTGCTACGGTCGCCAAATACTACTCGCCCGTTGGCCTCTTTGGCCGTACATAGAAAACATGACCCTACCACGACGCTGGATTTTGTGATATAGATAGAAACACCCCACCCCCGTTGAACATAAACATACACAACTTGATGTAAAATATAATGGAATTGAAACATTTCAAATGCGACTAGTAATAAAAAAGGAAGTTATCTGTAAAGTAGCTAAGGGCAGATCCATAAAGCCACATAGAGAGGAGCTCCTCTGGAAATCTTCTAGGCTCAAGTACAGTATTAATCAATGTTGTCATTGTACACGGGCATCGTACCCTCGTGGTTATTTTTTGTCTCTAGGTAATGACCGGTTTGCTGTTACCTGTCGCACCGTAGATGAAAAGCGCCAGAATTCGTCTGCTGATATTATTCCCCGCTTCCTGGTCTATAAAGGTATTGTGTCCTACACCATTATCCTCCTCCTGCTCCGATCGTGATTTGGTATTTTGTTGTTTACAGGAGAAGCTCGAGAGGGTTCTCGATGACCTTCTTGAGCTCGCGGATCCATTCGCCACCAACAGCACCGTCAACAACCTTGTGGTCGAAGCTGGCGGTAACAGTGATCTGGTCCTCCCACTCGATGCCCTCGGTGCCGTCCTCGTTGACGGTGGGGACAGCAACCTTCTTGGTAGTGCCAACAGCGAGGATGGCAGCCTGGGGAGGGTTGATGACGGCGGTGAAGTGGTCGACAGCGTGGTTCATGCCCATGTTAGAGATGGAGATGGTGCCGCCCTGGTATTCCTCGGGCTTGAGCTTGTTGTCGCGGGCCTTCTTGGCAAGCTCCTTGACCTTGCTGGAGATGGACTCGAGGCCACGGCCCTCAACACCAGTGACGATGGGGGTGATGAGGCCAGTGGGGGTGGCGACAGCAACCGAGACGTCAACGGAGGAGAACTGGCGGATGGAGTCATCGCGCCAGCTGGAGTTGACGGCAGGGACCTTCTTGGAGGCGACGGCGATGGCCTTGATAAGGAAGTCGTTGACAGAAAGCTTGAACTGACCCTCGGAAGAGGCATTGAGAGCCTGGCGGAGCTTAAGGAGCTTGCTAACAGACAGAGTGCTGGTGACGAAGAAGTGGGGGTTCTTCTGGGTAGACTCAAGAAGGCGGTTGGCAATAACCTTGCGCATGCCGGTCAGAGGAATATCCTCGTAGGCAGCACCAGCGGCAGCAGAAGCAGAAGCAGGGGCGCTGACGGCCTTCTTGACGTCCTCCTCAGTGATCTTGCCACCCTTGCCGGAGCCCTTGACGGAGGCGAGGTTGACGTTGTTCTCGCGGGCGAGACGGACGGCAGCGGGGAGAGCATTGGGCTCACGGTCGAGCGCAGTCTCGAGAGCACCACCGGAAGAAGCGTACTGCTCGGGCTCGGGGGCGGAGGAGGGAGCAGCCGGGGCAGGCTCAGCAGCCTTGGCAGAGTCGGCGGCCTGGACGGGGGCACCGTTGCCGCCAGCATCCTCGATGGTGAACTTTTCGAAAGCGGAAACGTCGGCGCCCTCTTCAACAAGAACGGCAATGGGCTGTAGACAGATATATGTTAGCGATTGACTCCAATTGGCACTTGGTGATGCCTGCTGGAGGGTGGGAAGCACCGGGCCCGTCGAGGGACACTGCTGCTATTACTTACGCTACCGACGGGGATGTCCTTCTCGCCAGACTCACGGAGAACCTTGGCAATGGTGCCCTCCTCCTGGAACTCAAAGTCCATCTGGGCCTTGTCGGTCTCGATCTCGACGAGGACGTCACCAGGGGCGATGGCATCGCCGGCCTTCTTCTGCCAAGCACCGATGTTGCCAGCGGTCATGGTAGGGGAGAGGGCAGGCATCTTGATGACCTGGTGGTCGGGGAAAGAGGCATAGTAGCGGACAACGTGCGAGGAGAAACCCGTTCGCAGGGCGCTGTGGGTAGGGGCGATAATTCGCCTTCTGAGAGCGGCGCTGAGCATGGCTGTGAAAATGTCTCGTTGACGAGGTCGGGGCGGGATTATGTCGGAGAGGAAGCGAAGCACGGCGGCAGGCAAAATAAAATGCGAACGAGCCGAAGCTTAGACAGCAATTGATTAAAAATAATCAAGAAACAAAAACACCCGAAATAAGAACGGGAGAATTGCTGGTGTCGCGCGCGGGAATTGATGACAGAGCAGGAGAAAGGAGGAGGAGGAGAGGCAGAAAAATAAGAAAGATAAGACGGGACCAGAAAATGCTTTGGGGCAACGCTGTCCGGCCTGGCGTCGAGATTTTGCGTTGAGCTCTGCTGAGCTTTTTGCTGTGGTAATTTTTGGGGCCTTAGGCCACTTTGGGTTTAGCGTGGTCGGGGCGTCTACCGGCGTTTAGTTTGGGTGATTTGCAGTGGTGTTGTTGGGTTGGGTTACTTTGCTCCAGGGCGTGATGCGGGCGCTGTAGCTGGCGGTGCAGTGGGTTCTGGGGGCGCATTTTACAGGGGAGTGCTGTTACTGGTGCTGCAGGTATTGGTGGGAGAGGTTAGTGCACGCAGATAGGGGAGCATGCCCCGGTAAGTGCAAGTGTTGTGTACTTTTTTTTTGGGCTGCGGGCCGGTGCCGGGCGCTGCTGCACGCTGCACGCCGCGCCGCTGGTTGATACAGAGGGGCCTTCTCCGTTGGTCTTGGAGGGCAGGCTCCAGTAAGAGTGGTGGGGACTTGCAAGTAATGGGGGACCCAATCTCTGCGTCAAGGCAACAAAAGCACCTCCCCCTTTATTTACCAGTGATACTAGGGATGACCACCTAGTATTGTGTGCTGTGTATGGAGGTGTGCTTATCGCATAGCAATTGATAAATACAGCGCAGATTTTTAAATAAAATAAAAATGTCAAAATAATTCACACACTCTACACAGTCTCTTGAGGGTTTCTTTTCCTTTTTAAAATGTATATTTTGTGCTTCCTTTGTGCCCTCCTCCCCTTTTGCCTATGCATGCCATGGCGTATCGTGAATAGTGGACACCTTTCCATGACCCTTCTTCCACTTTGCCCCGTTCGTGCACCTGCTGTGGCCGCGTGTCAGGGCGAGCTCTCCCACCTGTCGGACCCGCGGCTGTGGCATCATAGCCCCTAGACGGCTTTGCGGCTTTCACCTGCCACCCGCTGCAACCAACACCACAATCCAACTAGTCTGCTTCAATAATAGCATCGTCAGATATCTCGTAAGAAGAGTCTTTCATCAACGGCGCAGACCAATCACAGCGTACACGTTTGTTTCTTACACCGAGCCGCATCCGAATCACTTCGGCCTACATCACCAACATCCCACCCGAATGGACGCTCGCTGCGCCAACGCTCCGCAATGAGCTCTCATAAATTCGTCCTCACCTCGCTGGAGGCTATAGCGAATTCTAAAGATGCCCAGAAAAACAAAGCGCTCGCAGATTCCGCAAAGGCTGCCATCGACGCCATCAAAGAGTCGGATCAGTTGCCCGACCCCGAGATCGTGTTCGCCCCTCTCCAGCTTGCTACTAGAACCAGCAACGCTCAGCTGACCACGACCGCACTCGATTGCATCGGCAAATTAATATCATACTCCTACTTCTCCGTTGATGGCCCAGCTGAACCCTCGGATGGTGCCCCCGAACAACCGCGCTCGCCCCTAATTGAACGGGCCATCGATACGATATGCGACTGCTTCCAGGGCGAAACAACGGCGGTCGAAACCCAGCTGCAGATTGTGAAGTCGCTCTTGGCAGCTGTTCTTAACGATAAAATCATTGTTCACGGCGCCGGCCTCCTTAAAGCTGTCCGCCAGGTCTACAATGTCTTCTTGCTCTCTCGTAGCACAGCCAACCAGCAGATTGCACAAGGCACCCTGACACAGATGGTTGGCACCGTCTTTGAGAGAGTCAAGACTAGACTCCATATGAAAGAGACCAGACTAGGTCTCAGCAACCTTAAGCTCAATGCCAGCAATGCTGCATTTGATGGCACCACAGGAGCAGATGACGACGAGTCTGGAGCTGCTAACGCTGCTGAAGACGAGGCCGACGCTGAAGAACAAGCATCTCGTGGAACCGACAACGGCGTCAAGTTGACACTTAAAGATCTCGAAAACCGCAAGAGCTTCGATGATTCGACCCTCGGTGACGGTCCTACCATGGTGTCGCATATTAAACCAGCTGCCAAGGCTGGGGACGATGACTCCGACGACGAACAACAAGGCGCCTCTGGCAACACAGATGAAGACCTCGACGAAGAAGACGAAGTGTATATCCGCGATGCCTATCTCGTTTTCCGCTCCTTCTGTAACCTATCAACCAAAGTTCTACCTTCCGACCAGCTCTTTGACCTCCGCGGCCAGCCCATGCGCTCCAAGCTCATCTCTCTCCATCTTATTCACACCCTCCTCAACAACAATATCACCGTTTTCACCTCACCACTTTGTACTATTAAGAACTCCAAGAACAATGAGCCGACAAGTTTTTTGCAGGCTATTAAGTTTTATCTATGCCTGAGCATTACCAGAAACGGAGCCAGCTCGGTCGATCGTGTCTTCGATGTCTGCTGCGAAATCTTTTGGCTCATGGTTAAGTACATGAGACCGTCGTTCAAGGTACGGAATTGTGGCTCCCTTAATCGTTTCCCCATGCTAACTGGTCACAGCAAGAGATTGAGGTTATATTAAAGGAAATCTACCTTGCACTGTTGTCCCAAAGAAACGCGCCGTCGACGCAAAAGCTCTACTTTATCAACATCCTCAACCGACTCTGCGCCGACCCACGAGCCCTTGTCGAAATCTACCTCAACTACGACTGCGACCAGAGTGTGGAGAATATTTATCAGACCATCATTGAAGATTTATCCAAATTTGCAACTGTCCCTGTCACAATTACGCCTGTAAACGAACAGGCCTACGAAGAATCACGACTACGAGCTACTCCTGCAAGCGAATGGCAGCTCAAAGGAATTCTTCCCCCGTCCTTGACAGTAGCTCAGATTATGCCTCAGCAAGAGGCCGAGCCTGATTATCCTAAGGAGTATGCCATGAAACGCGCTTCCCTGGAAGCGTTGGTTGAGGCTCTTCGCTCGCTAGTCAACTGGTCTGCTGCAGTTCGACCCGACGTCAACACGATACGAAAGGAGGGAGCTGATTACAAGGCGTCGACAGACGAATTGCGTGCATCGATCGATCCTACGGCAAGTGAGAGCAACTCTCGTATTGAAACTCCTATCCCGCCATCTACTCCAGTTCTGGATGACGACCCTGCGCAGCTGGAAAAAGATAAGGCACGCAAGACGGCGCTCATGAATGCCATTCGGCAATTCAACTTCAAACCTAAGCATGGTATCAAGATGTTGATCCGCGACGGTTTTATTGCTAGTTCTAAGCCTGTCGATATCGCGGCTTTCCTGCTTAAAGAAGAAAAGCTTGACAAGGCTCAGATTGGTGAATATCTCGGTGAAGGAGACCAAGCCAACATTGACATCATGCACGCATTTGTTGACTCGATGGAGTTTACTAAGAGACGCTTCGTCGATGCCCTCCGCCAATTTCTGCAGTCCTTCAGACTGCCCGGTGAAGCCCAGAAGATTGATCGCTTCATGTTGAAGTTTGCTGAGCGCTATGTCCTAGGAAATCCCAATGCCTTTGCAAACGCCGACACTGCCTATGTGCTTGCTTATTCCGTTATTCTTCTCAACACGGATCTGCATAGCAGCAAGATTGCCAAGCGCATGACAAAAGAAGAATTCATCAAGAATAACCGCGGTATCAACGATAATGCTGATTTGCCCGATGAATATCTTCTGGGCATCTACGACGAAATTGCCGGCAATGAGATTGTTCTCACCAGTGAAAGAGAGGCTGCGGCTGCAGCAGGCACGGCCCCTGCTCAGACTACAGGTCTAGCCGCTGGTCTCGGTCAAGCCTTTTCCAACGTTGGCAGAGACTTGCAACGCGAGGCGTACATGGCCCAATCCGAGGAAATCTCACTCCGCTCCGAGCAACTGTTCAAGAACCTTTTCAAAAGCCAGCGTCGAAATGCAGCCAAGACTGGACCCAAGTTCATTCCAGCCACGTCCTTTAAGCATGTCGGCCCAATGTTTGATGTTACTTGGATGTCACTTTTCTCCGCACTCTCTGCGCAGCTCCAGAGGTCTCATAACATTGAAGTGAACAAGCTCTGCCTCGAGGGTATGCGCCTTGCCACCAAGATAGCCTGTACCTTTGAACTCTCAACACCCCGTGAGGCCTTTATCTCGGCATTGAAAAACACAACCAACCTGAATAACCCGCAGGAGATGTTAGCCACCAACATCGAGGCGCTCAAGGTCATTCTTGACCTTGCCCAGACGGAGGGCAACCTCTTGAGAGAGTCATGGAAAGATATTCTCATGTGTATTAGCCAACTCGACAGACTGCAACTTATCTCTGGAGGCGTTGATGAGAGCGCCATTCCAGACGTCTCCAAGGCCCGCTTCGTGCCACCCTCAAGAACAGACTCTGACCCTCGACCATCAACATCTTCTCGAAGACCCCGTCAAAGATCCGGCACCGGACCTAAGGGCTTCTCCACTGAGATTGCCTTGGAGAGTCGCTCAGACGAGGTTGTTCGCAGTGTTGATCGCATCTTCACAAACACAGCCAATCTCAGCGGTGAAGCCATGGTGTTCTTTGCCAAAGCCTTGACGGAGGTGAGCTGGGATGAAATCAAGGTGTCCGGCTCCAATGACTCCACGCGCACCTACAGTCTGCAAAAGATTGTCGAAATCAGTTACTACAACATGAACCGTGTCAGATTCGAGTGGAGCAATATCTGGGGTGTTTTGGGCGAACACTTCAACCAAGTTGGCTGCCACAACAACATGAACATTGTCTTCTTTGCACTGGATTCGCTACGACAGCTGTCGATGCGCTTCATGGAGATTGAAGAGCTCGCTGGTTTCAAGTTCCAAAAAGACTTCCTCAAGCCGTTTGAACACGTCCTTGCCAACTCTCACAACGTTACAGTGAAGGACTTGGTTCTTCGCTGTCTTATTCAAATGATCCAGGCCAAGGGCGATAACATTCGCTCTGGTTGGCGAACTATGTTTGGCGTTTTTACCGTTGCCGCTCGCGAGTCCTATGAGAGCATTGTGTACCTTGCGTACGAAAACGTTTCCCAAGTGTACAAAGAGAAGTTTGGCGTGGTCATTGCCCAAGGAGCCTTTACGGATTTGATTGTCTGTCTAACTGAGTTCTCCAAGAACCTCAAGTTCCAGAAGAAGAGCCTCAACGCCCTTGAGCTCCTCAAGTCTATTATTCCCACAATGCTCAAGACACCTGAGTGCCCACTCTCTCAATACCAGAAGAAGAGTGACACTAAGACAGGAGATGATGGCGATGAGGGCAAACGGGTTGTCCCTCGTACCTCAGTCGAAGAAGGATACTGGTTCCCCGTCCTGTTTGCGTTCCATGATGTACTCATGACTGGCGAAGATCTCGAGGTCCGCTCCAACGCACTGGACTACTTCTTTGCCGCTCTGATGAAATACGGCGGTGATTTCACACCTGAGTTCTGGGACATCCTATGGCGGCAGCAACTGTACCCCATCTTCATGGTGCTACGCTCTCGTCCTGAAATGTCCAACGTTCTCAATCACGAGGAGCTCTCTGTTTGGCTGTCAACAACAATGATCCAGGCACTTCGCCAGATGATTACTCTGTTCACACACTACTTTGAAGCCTTGGAGCACATGCTGGACAGATTCCTCGAACTACTTGAGCTCTGTATTTGCCAAGAAAACGATACTATCTCCAGAATCGGCAGCAACTGCCTGCAACAACTCATTCTGAAGAACGTTATGAAGTTCACGCCCGCTCACTGGAACAAGATTGTCGGTGCCTTCTGCGAGCTATTTGAGCGTACAACCGCCTATCAGCTCTTCACAGCCGCCAATGTGGCTGGCCCAGGATCCTTGTCGATTCCTGCCTCGAACGGTGTTGAGTTTTCAGGAGGCGTCAGCCCCCCCGGTGACGCCCCAGTTGTTGACGAGAAGTCTCTAAAGATCAACGGCGACAATATCAGTGTGATTTCTGATAGTGACTCGGCCAACCGCCCCCTGTCTCCTCGTCCATTTGACGACGAAGCCCGACGAGGTTCTGTTGGCGGCGAGATATCGGCGCCGCTCGAAGAGTTCAAGCCCAACTCGAACCTGCAGCAGCAACCCGTTGTGGTGACTGCCGCGCGCCGCCGGTTCTTCAACAAGATCATTTCGCGCTGTGTACTGCAGCTACTCATGATTGAGACTGTCAATGAGCTCTTTGGCAATGATACAGTGTACGCCAACATCCCGTCTAACGAGCTTCTGCGCCTGATGGCGCTCCTCAAGCGCTCGTTCCAGTTTGCCCGCCGCTTTAACGAAGACAAGGAGCTACGCATGAAGTTGTGGCGCGAGGGCTTCATGAAGCAGCCCCCCAACCTGCTCAAGCAAGAGTCTGGTGCTGCCGCTACGTACATCTCCATCCTGTTCCGCATGTTTGCGGACGAGAGCCCCGAGCGACTGGGCAGCCGGCCTGACATTGAGGCAGCGCTTGTACCGCTGTGCAAAGACATCATTACAGGCTACTCGAGCCTCGTTGAGGAGAGCCAGCAGCGCAACATTGCTGCCTGGCGGCCCGTGGTGGTTGATGTCCTTGAGGGCTATGCTACATTCCCTGAGGACGCCTTCAAGTCACATATCAATGCCTTCTACCCACTCTCCGTAGAGCTCCTTACCAAGGACCTCGCGCCTGACCTGCGTGGTGCGCTTCTCACTGTGCTGCGCCGAGTTGGCGAGGTTGCACTCGGCATTGAAGGCATGACAAACGTCGAAGAAGCTCGCAGGGCCAGTGTTAGCAGCTCTGCTGGTGGTGGTGGTGGCCCTGCTGTGGACGGCGTAGAAGCCGCCGCTCGCAAGATGTTATAAGCTTGCAGGCAAATATTTACTAAAGAAGAAGGACTGAAGACATAATGCCAGTGTATATAGGCGCTGGATGGAAAATATGCTTTGGCTGTTAGATCGAATTTTGTATGTACCACATGCATGAAAAAAGCGAGCGTTGCGATAGACAATAGCCCGCAATGCTACAATAATTGAAATTTCTATTGCCCATTATTTACTACGCTTGGATAAATCGACGAATATTATCGTTTGTATATCTTTTTGGCTGCCTAGTTCAGTAACTTTGCAATATATTCTCGTAGTGGCTCAGCTTCCTCCTCTACCGTTCGGTCAGGTAAAGCCAAAAGAGCAGATTTCAGCTCCTCATCACTCTCCGCTGCCACCTTGACTATCTTCTTTACAATTTCGTCTTTATCTGGTGTTGTGACCCTTGTGACCCTCATGATACTGACAAAAGTTTCGAAAAAGTCGACGACGCTAAGGCGCATAAGAATGTCTTCCTTGTCAATCATATCGAATGAAGCCCATTGCAACAGCCCAGCACCTGCATCCGCATGCACCGCAGTGAAGAAATCAGGGAGCGGCTGTTGTGTGATGGCGCGGAGGTTAAGAGTTGCCAACCGAGGAAGAAGACGAAGCACTCGCCCTTGAGAGAGTGACTGCTGATTTGTCGTACGCGGCGATTCTGTGTCTTCCGGTGATGGCGAACAGAGTGAGACTATTAATGTGAGGAACTCTCTATTCGACAAGATCATCTGCCAAAGACGGCCGTGGCCCGGCACACGGCGCTTTATAACTTCCTGTCCGGTGGTGCCGTTTATCGTCGGGGCGGGCTGGGCCTCAACAATGTCGCAATCTGTTTCAAGCAAGTCACCGAGTACCCTGGCCGCCTTTTCACCAACGCCAACATCCTTTGCGTCCAGCCATCGCCGTACCAGTTCCTCGACAACCTCTGGTAGGGTGCTGAGGATGGCGGCATCGGCGGCGGTCTTGGCTGCCTTATGGATGATGGCTAGGGCAAGAAGGTTGGCTCCAGGGAGAGGCGAGCTGAGGGCCGCTAGAATGGATTCCTGGTCGGCAATTGTCAACAAGCGAGTAAAAGGTAGTGGGGATAGAAGCTTGATTGTGATGCTAAGGACAGACGTGGGATCTTGGGTGGTGGTTTTGAGGATGGCCGTCAGAGGACCAAGAAGTGTTGGTAGAAGCGGCGGGATGTTGTCCTCTATAGACTGGTAAGCAGACGTCTCTCTTGGTGAAAATCGGATCTACTGTACCGGTGAGCTGAAGCTCGACTTCGTCTAGCAACCGGGCATCAATTTGAAGGCTGTCGTCTTCTTGAAGCTGCCGCAGATGGGTCTGCAGCTCTTCGAGCCGGGCGATGGGAACATTATCCATAAGTGTGGGCACGATTGGGTTTTGCTGCATCTATAACTGGATATACTGTGTGAGTATAATGGGCAATCTTTCCGCGGCGGTGATTGTTGGTGATCCTGTCGACGGTTGAGGTTTGTGGTGATGTAGTTGTAGTTTTAGTGACACCCCTCCAGGCAGCGCGGGGCAGCGCAATCACTGTTTCCAGTCTGGTGGGCCAGGCACCACTTGCTCTCGACAGCCACCTCCTCGACTTGTTACTATGACGGTTTTTGGTGGGAGAATAAATTACTGTCATGGCACTAGCATACAACTAGTGTCTATATATTGATAGTATTGGGATAGTATTGGCGCTATTTTTTATGCACCGTAGACGAAATATTTACGCCGTTGGTTCTATTATAACTGATCCTCCGCCAAAGCATGCCGCGTCGTTCAAAATATATTTCGAATAAATCCCCAGAACCTCCTGTCATGCTCGGTTTGGTCAACTTTTTCAATCTCTGCTTCAGTTGGTTCAGCAAATTGCTGCCTCCGCCACTCTCGTGTATCAGGAAAGATAGTGAGGTGTTTCTCAAGCAACTCCTCAAACGGCTGATATAATGCTTTACCTTCCTCGACGCTGGTGGGCAAATATGGACACTCTTCCACACTCGAATAAAAGACAGCGCCGTGCTGTTGAAGAATCAGAGCTCTTTCATCCATTGTGAGAGTCCAAGAAATCGCATGATCTAGATCGTCAGGCTTGTCAGGGAAGACAAAGAGGCCAATTTGATCTGAGGGCCCATCCCAACCCGACTGGTCGTTGTTGTATCTGGCGATCCAAACGCCTCCAGAGCTCGGGTAGGCAACTCGGATTTTAGGTGGAAAGTCGTCGTGATATTGAGACCCATTGTCGATTTCAGATTGGTGTCGAGCATAGAGCTCCCAGTCCGACCACCAGTGTCCGCCAATCTGCATCAGCTTTACAGCCATTAGATCTTCGTCATCGCTGGCGGCTCTTACGGTATCATGGGTCCTAGGAAGCCCAATATGCTGCATTAGAACCGCATCAGGCTTGGCGAATACCACACCACCAATCGAGGGATATGCTACTACATAGCCGCCGCCAGAGAAGAGCGAGGAGCGCATGTGTCGATCTGGTAAATCATATTGGCCAGAGCCGGGAATATCCATTATACAAAAGTCTACCCCATTCCATTCGGCATCTTCTATGTCCGATATCGCCTCCGCAGGTTGATCTGCTTTATGTTGTATCTCATCATTGAAGCACCAGCATAGAGTGAGGAAGAAGAAGAAGAAAAGACCGAGATGCTGGACGCGTGTGAACAACTTGTCACACATGGCTGACGTTGTTTTGGTATTTTGCAGATAAGAAAAACAGAAAAATAATGTTGTCGAGTAGAAGCAATACACAGAATATATTTGGCACACGTGTCCATCTATCAACGCCTCACCTAGTAAACGCCTGCCTGCCAACTACTATAAGCAAGGCTCTATTGTGGATGTTCCACTATCACAGGCGCAACGGCGGCCACCACAGCACCACAAATTTTAGCCAGTTAGTTAGTCTTTTAGCGGGCACCACAGTTGCCTCAACAGCGCCTTGCCCCGATCCGACGCCGCTTGAAAAAAAAAAACTCCAACCCCAAAAACTAGTCAATATCGTCATTCCAAAACCGTCACCACCACTTTTTCTCACCACAGCTTCCGTCGATTTTCGCCAAACACAGCAAGCGAATAATACCCACGTCTTGGTGCAAGACAACTTAACAATTCATTTGCATGACTCCTCCTACGTCTTCATAGCCACAGCGTTTCCAACATGTCCAGAGGCGGCGGACGAGGTGGCGGCCGTGGTGGTCGCGGCGGCGGTCGCGGAGGAAGACCCGTGCTTCCCTGGGATACTGGCGATGAGCCAGATGCCCGTCCCTCTGAACTCTTTCCTGTGCGTCTCATCTCCTACTTACTCCATCCTCATACTGTAGCTAACTCTTTTGTTCGCAGCCATACCTAGTCCCCTCTCCCCGCCAACTCTCCACCTCCGAATCCGACGCCGTCCACTTCATGCTTCTCCTCCGACACCAAATGCACTCCTCTCCCCTATACACATCGAAACGAGCCTCTGTGCAAGACCCGACAGCACCGCGCAAGACGTACGGGCAGGCGCAGATGAATGCAGCCTACGGCGTCAAGAACAAAGCGTCACTCGACCCTTTCACAGCAATGCCGACATACTCGCAAAAGTTTGTCCGCGAGGAGCGCGCCCTGCCGGACTGGTCTGGGCGCCCTATTTGCCGCGAGTTGTTCCCTGCAGAGCTGCTCGAGACCATTGATTCAGCAGCAGGAGGTGCACGCAAGAAGCGAAAGCTGGAGCTGTCACGGGTAAGCGCGCTGCCGAACGCCGAAGAGGCATTCGGTATGCCCGCGATCGACGGCGACCTAGAAGATGGTATCAACGGTACTAGCGATGGCAAAAATATCCTGGAAAGGCTCGAGGCCATGCCCGACGACGAGGGCGATGAGGCTGGTGGCGAGCTTGACGAGGATGAAGGCGGCGAGGAAGAGGAGGAAGATGAAGTCTACGATGATGAAGATGCTGGCGATTACGACGCAGAAAACTACTTTGACAATGGTGACGATATAGGCGATGATTATGGCGATGGCGATGATGGCGAGGGAACGTACTAACATGTTCCTGGCGATTTGTAGATATATATATAAATGTTGCAGCTGGTGTCACCTGCGCTCGTCAAACACACTTGGGACGAATCCTATGGCAGGGACCAGACAAACATGGCTCATAGAAACGGCGTACTACTTGTCTTTTACTTTTAAAATTTGAACGTCTATTTTCATAAACAAAAACACATTCACTCTGGATGCAGCTGGTGATTGAGCGTGTAAGGGTTTGCACTTTTCTTCTTGTTTTTGGAACACCAACCCGAAGACTCCTGGGAATACAATTACATAGATCATATAAAAAAATGCGTCCTATCCATATACCAAACTCGCTAGCCCTCTAGTTGCTCATGCCCATCGTGTACAATCCGCTGTCCAGAAATCCAGCCTGAAGCCTCGACAGTCGTTCTCTCGTGTCGGCAATTCTGCCTGCCTGGACAACAATGGCGTTGCCAGTTTCTCTCAGAGCAGATAGGATCTGCGACAGCTGGTCATGGACACCTGCGCTGCCGTTACCGCTGCCGCCAGCGTTGCGGTCGCGGAAGCTTCTGATCTGCTCGTACAGGCCGTTTTCAACGCCGGGCATATCGCGCTCGATTTCGCCGCGGTACTCATCCAGGCGAGTCTTGTATTTCTCGACGTCGTCGCAGATACGGTTGAAATATGTGATGAGATCCTGAGCATTGGCATATGCAGAGGAATCGCTTGAACCGTTGGCCTGTGTGGAGGATGTACCAGCAAAGAGTCCGTTTTGGTGGTAATGACTGGGAAGCTTGAGGTTGTCAGTAGCCTTGAAGGATAGCTGAGCGTCGGTAATGTTCTTCTTCGTAACATCTTGTAGCGCCTTAACAGTCTGAATATCACGGTTCAGCGCGTCTTGGACGGTCTTGAACTTGGATTCAACAAACTTGACATCACGAGCAAGCTGTTCGACATCCTTCTCATGCTGTGGCATGAACTGGCCAATCTCGTCCTTCATCTTGATAACCCGCTGGATACCCTTGTCGATAAGCGCAACTTCATCCTGGATGGGCTTTGCAAGGTCGTCAAATCGCGATCGCGGTCGTAGTGTGTCGTAGTTTATCTGAACAGCGGAAACTTGCGCTGCAGGCTGCGCAGGTGCTGCTTGTGATTGCCCGCTTCTCTTGGTTAGTCTCTTACGATACATCATAGCTTGAGTTTACTTACAATAATCCTCCAGTGGCAGGTTTGGCTTGACCAAAAAGACCGCCTGTGGCGGCTGGTTGTGTGGTTGCAGCGGCACCACCAAAGAGTCCGCCGCCGGTTGCTGGCTGCGCTGCTGGTGTTGCTGCCGTTGTTGATGCTCCGAATAATCCTCCGGTAGCGGGCTTCGCCTGGGTATTACCAAACAGACCGCCGGTTGCCGGCTGAGCTGCCGGTGTAGCTGTGCTCGCGCCAAAGAGGCCGCCTGTGGCTGGTTTTGCTGCTGCCGCACCAAAAAGACCACCTGTGGTAGCCGTAGCCGCCGGAGCCTGTGTTGTCGTAGTTGTCGCGGCTGCTCCGAATAGACCACCGGTCGTTGATGCTGGAGTGGTCGCTGATGCCGTTGCTCCAAACAGGCCAGTCCCAGCGGGCTTCTGTTGAGCAGCACCGAACAAGCCACCTGCTGATGCCATTCCACTAGTATATATGTCAGTATTGTTTTATTTTGGACCAATTCCCGTTAGCAGTATGTCGATATGCGCGAAAGAACCAATTCAACGGCCTGGCGCGTTCTGGTGATGAAAAAAAATCGTGGGTGCTAATGTTACTCACCCTGTATTCGCAGCACCGGTATTAATAGTTAGACCTCCAGGGCCACTAGCTGAACGCGCCAAAGACATATCAGGACTCGATTGTCCTGAGATGGATTGATCGCTAGGTAAGTCGCGATTGTCGTTCTTTCGAATTCAGGTTGAGTGTTGATGGTTCAACTTCCAGCTGTAGGAAAATGTGGAGCTCTGCTATCGGCGCGACGAGGTAAGGCAAGCTCTAGGCGCAGCGGACCGGAGAAACGCCGGCGCCGTAATAGTGCAACAAGCTTCAGTCTCGCAACCAACCTTACTTTGCGGCTACTTCCTGTCAAAAAGAAATAATTCTGTCGTGTCGCGTGTTGCCGACCGACATCTTCATAAAATGGATATGGACGAGGACGACGATATCTATGTTCCCGAGGAACCCATAGTCAATGACGACAAAAATCAGCCAACCGTGACCAAAACCGACAACATGGACGAAGGCGACGAGGACGAAGGTGCAGCTATGGACGAAGACAACGATAGTGACGACGATTCGGTATGTTCGCTAGTTTACACAGTTCAAGTAGCCATACTAACTTTACGCGCAGGACATTGACATCATCACCGTACGCAAAGACGGCACAAAAGCAGAGCCTCCATCGTGAGTCGCAGCTCGGTTAGTTGATTGCTGTCATAGACTAACCAATGTACGCTACCACAGACAATCAAAATACAGCGATATCAGAAATATTCCCCAACGTACCACATCAAATGATACGCCAGTTCAAGCGACGCCGACCGAAGACGATGGCGACGACACAGCTGCGACAACAGCAAAGACGGCGGTCAATCTCGCTGCGCCAAGTGCAGATCAAGCTTCTGCTGCAGCATCGAAATCTACGATTGATATCAATGCCAATCCTATTTACCCAGCCGCAGGAAAGCCTATAACACAACTGAATATCGACGAAGGTACGAACTAATCACCCTTATGACGCCAGTATAGTAACTAATAGTATGCACGCTAGATCTCGGAGAACACGAGAAGCCGTGGCGCAAGCCAGGAACCGATATCACGGATTATTTTAACTACGGCTTCGACGAATTTACATGGGCTCTCTACGCCGCTAAGCAAGACACGGTGCGCGGCGAGTTTGGCGCTGATGCGTTTGCGAACAACAATAAGAAGATGATGGACGACTTTAACAACATGATGATGATGGGTGGTATGGGAATGGGTGGTGCCGCCGGCGGATCTGGGGCACAGGGTGGCAACATGCAGACCATGGAGGGTATGCCGCCTGAGATGCAGCAGATGATGCAGCAGATGATGGCATCCGGCATGGACCCGTCGCAAATGGATATGAGCCAGATGTTCAACGGCATGCAGAACGGCGGCGCGGCCGTGGGCGCTCAAGAGAATAATCAAAACTACACCCAAGGCGGCTACGCAGGTAGTCAGCAAGGGCAAGGCTATGGTGGTAGCGGAGGTTACAACCAAAACATGGGTGGTGGTGGCGCTCGTGGAGGCTATGGTGGTGGACGCGGCCGCCGCGGTAGATGGTAGATATATCCAAGTCACCATTAGAAGCCAGACAGGCCGTTGGGGTCCAAGTGTATTATTCAACCGCAGGCTTACAGAGCTGGATATCAACAGACACGTTGGAACCATCACCACCATGGTCTCATAAAGATAGCGTGATGATGTTACCGGAGTTTAGTAATGAATAATTTTTACACAGTTATCATAAATGAAATCTTTCGATAGGGTTATATTCTAAACTTTGGCCACCGTAGTCTCCTAGGTGGTATGAACTAATAGTGGAATTTCCATGGGACCTAGACTATTCTACCAAGACCAACAGACCACACCTAACCATCCTCAACCCATCAAATACAACCTAATACTTACATAGAGCAAGAAGAAACCTTGAAGTATATGCTGCTCATTAAATTCCCCTCAATATGAGGGCTTAATCAAGTCTACAGGGTCTCTATAAAATCCAACTTCCATCTAGGGTAGGCCACGGTGACCTGGACACGCGAAACTAATCAGCGTTCGCTTGTAGGGAATCTGGGGGCGTACAATTTATGCTATAGTTAATATATCGAGATTATAGTGCATGATAAAGGGAATTGGCTAGTTTACAGTCTACCGGCCAGAGACGTAACGTTACTGAGCCCCCTGTCACCTCCACACAGCTTGTTACCAATTTCGGGCGTTGAGCTAGAACCCATGTGGCGCCGGTAGTAAACCTTCCTAAAGGGGACGTGGCACCGGACCAGGCTGGATTGACGAAACTCTGGAATCAATTTGTTATAGAGTTTGTGGCCGCTCATGGGCTTGTTTCAGATGTAACAGTGCGGGGACTGCAAAAGTCATGGAGGACTACATCGTGGGATAGAGGCGCTATTCTCCTATGGGAGCATTAGAGCTGTAGCATATTTCGATAGTTCGGTTTGGGAGGCGCATCGTGGTAATGAACAGTAGATAACGATGCTAACATGTTATCTATTCGTTTGAAAAGTACAAAAGTGTCATAGTAGCAATGGTCACCAGACAGTGACGGCGGCACGACTTGATACATCTATGGTAGAAACAGATCTGTCAGTCGGGCACTGTCGTGGCACTGCCAAGTCGGCCACGTGATGCTTCACCGTTGACATATTTTGGCTGTTTCTTTCCCTATTTTGTTCTCTCTGTTCATGAAAAGCGCATAGTTAGGGAGACCTTGTCGCTTATTCGGCACACCTTCACCGCTGTGCGCTCGTGCGCATGCATCGTGAGACACGCGCCGCGGGAATCCCCGTCTTTCCAGCAGAATGCAACTCAGCGTAAAGGCAGGCCACCTCTTGTTCATCGTCAGCAGCGCATGGCTTCATTATTATTTTCCCCACATTGAACTATCAACGCGCAACCGCCTTGTGCTCATGGTAGTGGTGGGCAGATGTAACAGGGCAGCCCTTTGTCACTGCCGATGCTTTTCGCCTCAAGTGGAAAGATAGCCAAGCAAGGCGCCGTCTCATCTTACAGCGGGCATTAAACCGTGCGTGCAGCACACTTCTGCAGGGGCACAGCGTGGGCAAGCTATCCAGTTGTGGCGCTGCATGACCCAAGAAGGAAACTCTTTGAACTCTGACGCCGCAATTTACAATAGGAGACATTATTCTTCGGCGCGTCGGATCCTGGTTCTGCTTGGACGACAAACTACTTTGTCCCCCCGTCTAGACCGTCAGCGTGGAGTCGCGCGCCTTTTCTGCCTAACAGCCATGAGGGAGTTCTGCCGCAATGCTTCTTGCAGAGGGTTGTCTGCCCATATATTGCAACGCTCACACGTTACAGTGCATAGAGGTATACCAGAAAATCTGGTAGAAGATACAGTCGGGTAAGCTTTAAACAATATCCGAAACGTCCGGTTCGGCGCGAAGGCTTCGAAAGGACCATGGGTGATGGATGGCAGCGTTCACAGAACATGTCCTAGGCCACATCCGTGCCAAACGGGCCCCGGACATCATCTGCACAATATGCCGCATTAACCCAAGCATTACGATGGGCTTCTTTTGGGAATTGCGAGTCAATGACTGCGAACAATTAACTGGGTAGGGGATTTTTTTGCGGCCGTACCGATCCAATCAGTGGCTGACCATGCTGTGAACAAGGATGCAGTTTGAGATTACAGGGACTGCTCGACCATTTTTTAGACGCTGGACATGACTATGAGAAAAGGCAATCCCACCAATCGACGGCGGCGCATGGCTGTTCATCTCCCGGATTCAGCCAAAACTGGCCCCACGCGCGGGGACCGATTCCTCCAATGTGCACTAGAACATCCCCACAGGAAGCCGAACAGTCGTTCCTGAGGGGCAAGCCACCATCTGGTTCTGGTATCCCAGCTTAGGAGAGAGTGTTCCAACCGCCATTTGGCACCTTCGGTTATTGGAACAAAGTGGAAGGTAACCTTGAGGTTACCAACGTAAGGACTGTGCATCACAGCTGCGCGACTAAATAATACTCAAGGGTGGTCAAGATAGTTTATCCTTTGTCGACGCAGAAAGGGTCTGCTGACGATTCTTGGGCTTGTACCTGACATACTATGGATCCACAAACCGCCGATGTGTGGCCGTAGCGTTGGGGCCGGGGATTGGCTCTGTTCTCAAACGGGGAGTCATGTCCACCCCCGAATGCCAAAGCCGGCATTGTCCTACCCCAAAAGGTGGGCTCTAGAAGCCTCATCCGTTGCTTCGGTAGGACAAATTGTGGGAGAAAGCGACCTCTTTGGATCCTCCCGGCTGGTCAAATGTTAACTCGCGTGGAACTTGACGACGACATATACTCAGCTATTTTTTTTGTTGTAAGCGAGATATGGCTGCCTTGTTCTCCTATTGGATCACTAGCGACGCGCTATCTGCATGACTTCTGTATCGCCCGTGCTTGGCCGGATTGCCTATCGTGGCATGGTGATCATCTAGCACATGCCCCTTGCTCTCAGGCGAGAAAGCATTAGGCGCCTGGTCAAATTTCAGCGTGCAGCGGAAGTAACCTTGAAGCCATTGTTCCGAGGACCGTCCCAGTCTGGCGTTTCGGGCTGTCAGAGCTAGCGATAGTCCCCTTGTGCAAGTCCCACGCAACCGCCCCATGCTCTCCACCATGAGCCCCAAGGTAACATGGTTCAACGTCACATACGACTCGTTCAATATGATTCGGCCGGAAGCTAATACTTGCGGCGCGTTGTCGGTGTGGTGGAGAGAGCACAGATGTGGACAAGAGTCCTTCCGGTAGTCTCAAGAGAATATATAAACCCCATGGTTCTCCCACGACTCGAAGCGCTTGACTCGGTAGCCCTTAAGCCAACCTTCAACCCCATTCCTTCCTTTACCTACTCCTTGAACTCTTGGTCCTTGCTAAGATTATTAGAATCGCACTCCTTAGCAGCACTCAAAGTCTAACATCGCAATGGCTCCCTCATTGAGCACACTTTCCGTCGCCGGCCTTTTGGCCGCCGCCGCTCCCGCTATGGCCGGCTTCAATGCCGGGTCTGGCAAGAACGTTGCCGTCTACTGGGGCCAAAACTCATATGGGCAAGGTACCGGTAACCTTGCTCAGCAACGCCTCAGCTACTACTGTGACAATGCCAGCATTGATATCATCAACCTGGCCTTCATGAACGGCATCACTCCCCCCATCACCAACTTTGCTAACGCTGGCGACCGATGCACCCCCTTCGCAGATAACGGCAATGTCCTCTCCTGCCCGGAAATCGAGGCCGATATCAAGACCTGCCAGAGCAAGGGCAAGACCATCACCATCTCTCTTGGTGGCGCAACCTACACACAGGGCGGCTGGGGCAGTGCTGCCGATGCCCAGAACGCTGCCCAGCTTGTTTGGGATATGTTCGGCCCGGTCCCCTCTGGAAAGCAGGTTGACCGTCCCTTTGGTTCTGCCGTTGTCGACGGCATCGATTTCGATTTCGAGTCCACCGTCAGCAACCTCCCCGCCTTCGGAGCCAAGCTTCGTGGTCTTATGGATGCCGCTGGTGGCAAGAAGTTCCTCCTCTCTGCTGCTCCCCAATGCCCATTCCCGGATGCCGCTGACGGAGCAACTCTTGACGCAGTTGCCTTTGACTTTGTCCAGATTCAGTTCTACAACAACTACTGCGGCGTCAACAACTTTGCCGAAGGCTCCCAAACTCAGAACAACTTCAACTTTGATACCTGGGACAAGTGGGCCAAGGGCAGCAAGAACCCCGGTGTCAAGCTTCTTCTGGGTATTCCCGCCAACACTGGCGCTGGCGGCGGCTACACCAGCGGCTCCAAGCTCAAGGCTGCTTTTGACTGGTCCAAGCAGTTCAGCTCCTTCGGTGGCGCCATGATGTGGGACATGTCCCAGCTCTATGCCAACAACGGCTTCCTCCAGGAGGTTGTGAATGATCTTGCCGGTGGTAGCACCCAACCTCCCCCCACTACTACACCTCCTTCTGGCCAGCCTACCACTACACCTCCTTCTGGACAGCCTACCACTACCAGCAGCCCACCTCCTACCGGCACTGGAGTTCCTCAATGGGGACAATGCGGTGGCCAAGGCTACACTGGCTCTACCCAGTGCCAGGCACCTTACAAGTGCACCTACGGCTCACAGTGGTGGTCTGACTGCCGATAAATGCTCTATTCTCGCTGACGAATAGATGCAAACTGGCACTCATGTCTCAGGCTACTGCAATCAGGCTGTAGGGTTGTCGCATCTTGAACCAGCCTTTCTAACATTCGTTGCACATATCTTCTTTTTTATCTCTGTCTATTTTGGAACTTTCACTGTATATATTCTACATCAAGTACATACTGAACATGAAACTTTGAACATAACACAATCACGCTTGCTTTTTGATGAAGATGTAAACATGTCATGAATTTGGTATCATATGCCGCACTGGCTATAATCTAATGTAAAACAAGGAAATGTACAGAACGCCCGCCAACACAACCCACGTTGAGCACTTTTATGTAGGGATGAAGTGCTGAGAGTCCTCGCGCTGCTGTTCAAAGGACTGAGAAAAGGCAGCGAGACCAGCAACAATGCCAATAGCCATGATGAAAACGGAAATGATGGACCACACAATGCCCCAGCACTGAGACGAGCCGCCATAGCGCTTAGCAAAGACACTGGCGTCAGACGAGTTGACCTTGCGAAGGATCAGGTCGTCGCAAATGTCCCAGACGCTATAGAGAGACGACATGACACCGATGAAAAGGACGACAAATCTTAGAGCCTCGGCGTGGACGATGAACCAACAGGCAATGAGCAAGCCAACAGCAAGCAAGACAGTCAACACCGTCAACCAGTCACGCTTGCCCCACCACAGAGTGAGGAGGAAGCAGACACCGAGGACGATGCTGGCTACTTTGGAGGCGACAATGTCGAAGCCGCAAAAGGTAAGAAGGGCACCGATAAGCGAAGAGCCGAGATATCCAGCAGGCAGAGTGATGGCGCTGATTCCGCCCACCATCTTTGTCACGCCGCCTTCGTTGGGGTCCAGCGAGATGGACTTGACGCGCCCGCCTGTCATGACAGCTGTGATGGCGTGGCCAAATTCATGGAAGGCAATGACGAGCATCTTGAAGGGCCACAGGATCTTGTTAACGTACGGCACGTTCCATAGAATAGCGATGACCACGGTATACGCCGCGATGACGCCTAGCGTAACTGCCTGTGTATGTGTCGGGTTGTTGAGATCGCGCGTAGCCTGTGTATGTGTCTTTTCGTGGATAGCGAGGAGGGATGATGTGACGGGGTCGACGAGGACCGGCGAAGGAGCCATCGTGATTGGCCTGTAGGTGAATCGGAAGCCGAAAGCTTATCTGAGGTTGAGAGATCGCGGGGAGTGGGTAGCGAGCGAGTGGGCAGGTTTGCTTGTTCAGCGCTGCGTCGTTGTGTAGGTTACTAGTATACAAACGCAAAGGCGATGATTCGAAAAAAAAAGAAGGCGAACGAGGTTAGAGAATGGGGGTATTGTAATGGAAAAGGAGGAAAAAACAAAGATGAACAAAGCGATAACCGCCAGTAAGGAAAAAAGGACAAAGCGCAGTTGACGCGGCGCAAGCGAGCGAGTGGCGCAGTCACATTCCATCGCGATGCTGTGATTCGCTGGAGGGGCAGCGCCGCAAGGGGCTGTGGAGGGCTGGGGCGGAGTGCCGCTGCTATTTTTAACGGGCGACGTCATGAGACAGTGGAACATGTGCTGGCCGTTGGGAGCAGTTTTTAGCCGGTAGATTTTAGGGGTTCGATGGCGGGTTTTAGCATTTATGCAGCAATTTTGCCATACGAGAAGATGTGGATTGAGGTTTTTGAAGATCGGTACGGCAGTGCTGAAGCTTGGGGGTGTTTTGTCAGTGGCCAGCTGCTGCCCGCCAGGTTGTTTTAGCCAACTGACTGCCGTGAGGCTGGTGATTGGTGGTCTTGGACCCCCTAAATTGTGCTGCTACAGAACAAAAAGAAGGCTCGAGCCGTCTGGCTGCGGGGATAACCGCTGTACCAAAATGCAGTTTCACAGCAAAGGCACCGCTAGCACAACAGTCAGAGTACATGGAAAGACCCACAGCAGCAAGGGTCAGGCTGGCCAGCAGAATGCATCGCAAGCGAGGCGGGGGAGCATATTATGTGTTTATCTTTGTGTTAGGCTCTATTTTCAAAGAGTAAAGCTGCCATAACCTGCTATTCTGTATCACAAAGACCAGATAACTGCTAGTCGCTATGACTGGGGACTTCCTTATACGGCAGGCCATGATCCACGATGCAGATGCCATGGCCAGAATCAACATCCTGGCACTCAACACAAATGAGCTGTGGCAGTTTATGATGAAGGATGTCGAGCCCGATGCACTCCAAGAGTTCGTCTCACAATCATTCAGGCACCGTCTATCGAGCGCCACGAATCTATACTTTGTCGTAGTCCAAGCACAAACCCTGTAAGTGGCGTGGCGTGCGCTACTGACCTGAACTATCCACAGCTAGTCAACACTCGAGGGACTTACTAGTTTTTCAGACAGATTGTTGGTTGTGCTGGATTATCATTGCCCAAGTCTAGCATCAGTGCAAATGGCAACAGCAGCGAAGTAGCAGAAGACCCTGAATGGCCACCGGGTATCAACAGGGGGCTTGCTAATCATTTCTACAACGAAATTCTGAACCAAGGGCAGCGATATGGATTCGACGCTTCCAAGGACGCATGTAAGCTTCCTTTAGGTTTTTAGAAAAGTGTATTATCTCTTCTAACCGAATAAAATAGGTAGAACCGGAACAAATATCCATCCAGACTACCACGGACAGGGCTTGGGTACGCGGCTGATCCAGCACTGCAATCGCTGTCCAGAGGTGCAAGGAGTGAACTTGTATGTCGGAGTCAATGATGCTTCTCATGGTATCTTTCTAAAAGAGGGTTTTGTTGAGCTTGGGCACATGGACACCCTGTTAAACAAGTACGGTGGTCCGGACCTTGTGGTCCGGTCAACCTCCTGTTATCGCCCAGCTCATCAATAGACGCCTGCCTATCCACAATCACAAACTATCGAGCGTATGCTACCCAATTCATGCGCTTAGGACCCCGTCGCTATTTTTTGTTTAGAAAGACTATAAATATATTGGGAGATAAAAAGCGTACTATAACATTACTTATTAATGGCTGGGCTATTTTATATCGAAGGCTGGGAATTGTTCAGCTGGCAGCCACCTGGCAAAAAGGCCCCCGCATTGGCCGTGGCTTTGGCATCGCGAGTAGAATCTTGAATCCAACATGAACAAAAGAAAATTCCAACACCAACAATGTTGGACATACCACATTCAAGAGAGACGGTGAAACTTTCGTTAATGGATACAGGCGCTGTACGGACGGAAACAGCGAGTTCGTTATTCAAACCACACGTCCGTGGGTTTGACACAGTCACATTCAAGTTGTGGGCATTTCTCATATCGCATGGCGACACCCATGTACTCTTTGATCTAAGTATTCGAAAAGATTGGAGAACCGGCCTTCCACCAGTCTTTGACCCCTTTGTAGGCAATTCGGATGCGCATCCAGAGCCCGTGTTCCACATTGACGTAACCCAAGATGTCTTTGACGTTCTCGATGCTGCGACACCACCGACCATCAAACCAGACACTGTTTCCGCCTGTATATGGTCCCATCATCATTTTGATCATCGCGGCGACATTGGAAGATTCCCAGCATCGACCCAGCTTGTAGTAGGACCTGGAGTCCACCAAGCATACCTCCCAGGCTACCCGTCCAATCCCGAGAGCGAGTTGGCTGAGACTGACTTTATGGGTCGCGAGGTTAGAGAGATGTCGAATGCCGAATTTACATTAACATGTGGGGGATACGCTGCACACGATTATTTTGGAGATGGGTCGTTTTTCCTATTATCTTCGCCTGGACATACGACGGGACACTTGTCAGCGCTGGCACGAGTCACCAGCGACAGTGAGGACAGCACTTTTGTCTTTCTTGGAGGAGACTGCGCTCATCACTGCGGCGTATTTCGACCGTCCCAATACGTCCCGCTGCCTGAGTCCATCACACTGGGAAACGTTACCTATACCGTAGAAGAGGTCAGGAGCATTCATCCAAAGGGGTCTATGGTAGAGCCGTTTCTTCAAGTTGATGAAGAGCCAATGTGTGAAGATCACGCAGCTGCCGTGGAGAGTGTTGAAAAGATGCAAGTCTTTGATGCCCAGGATAATATCCTAGTATGTATTGCGCACGATGCCACGTTGAGGCGACATCTACCAGTCTTTCCAGAAACGTTGAATGGCTGGAAGCAGGCCGATTTGAAGAACAAACTGCGATGGGAGTTTCTTCGAGATTTTGGAATTATTGGTGGCTAACCTCGTCAAGCCCTATTAAATGCCGGCATAACCGACAGTACAAAGCCGGTCTGATTACGAAACTCGGCAACGCAGATATCTAGTGGCTTCTCGAGTGTGTCTCAGTCGGTAGTTGATGGGATCCTTCCCAGGTCGCTCCAACAATGCCATTATGTAGGAGCTTGACGGTTAGCTAATACATCCAGCCACCTGTAAGCTCAAAGTGGAAGGTCACTAGAAAGATACGACAAATGGAAATAAGCCATCGTTACTAGCGTACTTATTAAGGTTTTAAGCTATTCAAGCTTATTTTGACAGCTGAGGCGCAGAGTCCTCGCACAACTACCCCTAGGGCCGGACTTCAGTGGGCGGCTTCGCCACCGTCAATAATTATTTGGAAACAAAAACGTAACGATTCGTTCAGTCTGCGGGGGAATGGCGTCGACTCTTCTGTTTCAGGCTATACAATCGCTCTGGGCCAAGCCGCGTTTTACCTGAATAGGCAGCCCACAGCCCGCCAAGCTATATAGCTCCCAAGCCCTTCCCCGCAGAGCTGACAGCTCCCCTTGACAACGCACTGCTTGAGCAATGCCAACAATATGCTTCTGAGAAACAAAGATTACGGTACACTAGCAACAAACTCTGCAAGTTTACTGGAGGCAAAAAGTTTCATCGCGCATGAACCAGTTCGCCGAACCACGATGTGCCGTTCCATCGGTAGCGACTGCCAGCTGTTGCACGTGCTTGACACGGTTATCTTGATCTAGCTGATGTGCTTTCGAAATAAGATAAAATGATAAATGCCGAGTTGCGAATAAGCGAGCCACAGTGTTCGAGGCACCTAGTAGGCCAAGTAGCCAGTGATCAAAGAGCGGGCTTCTTATCGTGGCTTGCGCTTGGCTGACTTACACGCCAACCAGCCACAACTATCGACATTTTGGCACGCCTGACCATAGCCAGAGTCTGTCAAGCGCCCCGGCTAATGTTTTACACCGTTCTTTATCGATTGAAATCTCCACAGAATTCCGTTCCCAACCCGCCACCCCAGACTTGGCAGTAGCCACTTAGTAAATGGCTAAGCCCGTCTGGAGAGTCGCTTTCGCTGCGAACTTGTGGAGGCAAACATTCTATAACGTAACATTCATGTTTCTCTTACTGAATACAACACAAAACCCATGAATATTCTAAACCCAAGCCAGTTGGTTAGTCCCCGGTCTCCGAATCAGACGACAGTGAGCGATGGGGGTAGGAACGGTCTGGGGCCACTGGCTGACGGCTGGGGCTTGGAGTGCTATCAGTCAGTAGCTGTTTGTAGCATATTCATCATCAGCCTTCCCGAATGAGCTAAGGCTGAATAGCCATGTGCCTAGAACCTCACGGCCTGATATCAAAATCGCCCACACGAACTGTCGTGCACGAGTGTGTCAATGTATAAATATGGCGGCTCTCCCCAACATCACAGGACTGAGCATCATCATAGCGATACGCCATCACTCTCCAACGTCTTTTTCTTAGAGTACATCATGAAGCTTTCTACTCTTCTTGCCGTTCTGCCCCTGGCTGCAGCCAGCCCCATTGAGCAACGCTCCGAGCCTGCTCCTCTACTGGTCCCCCGCGGTGCCACTGCCGAATCCCTCATTCCTGACAACTACATTGTCAAGTTCAAGGAGGGCAGTGCCCTCTCTATTCTTGAAGATGCTATGAAGCTCCTCCCTGCTGGCCATGGAGTCGAGAAGATCCAGTCTATCTTTAAGGGCTTCAGTGGTAAACTCAACGCCGCGACTCTTAAGCTGATCCGCAACCACCCTGATGTAAGTTTTCTCAGTCCTTCACACACACATACACACGTACACACATATCTATATAGAGCCCTCCAATCTAACATGGATATCTAGGTCGAATACGTTGAGCAGAACCAAATGTTCCGCACCGACGGCTACGTCACGCAGAACAACGCCGCCTGGGGCCTCGCGCGTATTTCGCACAACAACCCCGGCTACAACAACTACATCTACGACGACTCTGCAGGCACCGGCACCTGCGCCTACGTCGTCGACTCCGGCATCGATGTGAAACACGTTGAATTCGGAGGCCGTGCCACCATGGTCGCCTCGTACATTGGCAACTACGCCGATACCTGCGGCCACGGCACTCACGTTGCCGGCACCATTGGCGGTACCACTTACGGCGTTGCCAAGAAGACTAGCCTCTACGGCATCAAGGTGCTCGCCTACAACGCCAATACCGGCCGCTGCGAGGGTCCCAACGACGGCATCATCCGCGGCCTCGAGTACGTCGCGACTGATGCCGCCCGGCGCAACTGCCCTAAGGGCGTGGTTGTCAACATGTCTCTTGGTGGCGACTATTCAAAGGCCTCCAACGATGCTGTCGCTGCTCTCGTGCGAAAGGGATTCTTTGTCGCTGTCGCAGCTGGCAATGGCGACATCTACCAGAACCCCATCGATACCCGCTACGTTTCTCCGGCCTCTGAGCCCCTTGCTTGCACTGTTGCTGCCAGTGACTCAAGCGACAGAATCGCTTCCTTCTCCAACTATGGTTCTGCGGTGGACATTATTGGACCTGGTGTTGGTGTTGTGTCTGCTCGCACCGGTGGTGGCACCGTCTCCATGTCTGGAACGTCCATGGCCACTCCTCATGTTGCTGGCCTTGGTGCTTACATGTTGAGCTTTGGTGTTGGAACCAGCGGCCTCTGCGAGTATCTCCAGAGGGGCGCTCTTTCCAACCGTATCTCTGGCGTCCGCTCTGGCACCAAGAACTTGCTTGCACAGAACGGTGCTTACGCTTAAATGATATGACCTTTAGTGGTCAACCAGGTAGATATCAATGCACATCAGAGGAGTATACACAATACATATAAAAGAACTGTAAATCAGGTATATAGCTTCAATTACATCTTAGGCAACGATTGTTTTGTATTTAGTATGCTGTTGATTACGTGCTATTGTCCAAGTCTTCCAGTATCATGTGTGCAGCCTTCTCTGCAATGGCATACACTGTCGCCTGTAAGTGAGCACTGATTTGCAAAGGCATAATACTGGCATCCGCAACACGAAGACCCTTGACGCCATAGACACGAAGGCGCTCATCGACGACACCAGCTTGGATACCTCCACGACCACCCATGCCACAAGTTCCAACTGGGTGCCAGTCAATAACGGTATTATTGATGATCCAGTTTCGCATCTTGGCGTCGTCGCCAATCACACCGGGACCAGGGGCAGCCGGGCCGCGAATAATTTTTGATAGGGGCTCAGTCTTGACAATCTTGTCAAGGAAGTGAGAGCACTCAAGCATGACATCGACGTCCAAATCGCCATGTGTTCCAGAATAGTAGCCAGGATCAATCAGGGGGTGGCCTCCATCCTCTTCACCCTTGGCGCGGATGTGGACTGAGCCCAAGGAGTGCGGATACTGGAGAATTTGCAGCATGGTGCCGTACTTTTTGCCCTCTTCACCCTTGAAGAAGACACTCCAATTGCCTAAGTCGAAAATGTATTCAATTTGGCCCGTGTTTGTATCACCATTGAATCGTTCATTCATGATTTTGGCCTTGTCTGGGTGCCATGCGGTTGATTGATTAGCCTTGGTGTTCATGGCTTGCAGAGTTTCCCGCGAAGCGATTTGTTTTAGTGGAATGTAACAGATTGAACAGGGCAAGATAGTCAATGGGCCGCATCGTGAGCGCTTGTATGCCTCTGCTGCGGCTGCAGCTACCTGGGAATCTGTGTTGAGGTCATCTGGGTTGGAAAGAGAGGGGTCGACTTCAAAGATTGTGGTCAACACTGGTATATGTTAGTGGAAATCTAGATGCAATGAATAGTCCAGTAAATGGGAACCTACTGATATGATCCTGGAGATTCTCTCCTACCATGGGACTATCTACAAGGACCGGGACGCCAGCAGCCTCCAAAATATCACGACGACCAATTCCAGATTGTTCGAGCACCTGCGGAGATTTGGCACTTCCAGCAGAAACAATTACTTCATGCTTGGCCGATGCATGATACTCTTGTCCATTCCATTCAAAACAGACTCCAGTAGCCTGATGACCTGTTTCATTGCTTGCCAGGTTGATGTGCTTGACGGATGCACTAGTGATGATGTGCAGGTTGTTATTAAGTTCAACACCCGACAAATATGTAGCAGAGTAGGAGCGTTCATAGACCCGTGGATCAACAGTATTAATGTTGGTCCAAACGCCAATGTTAGAGCCGCTGTGGTGCGAAGGGTTTGTCTTTACGCCGAGGCTGTTCAAGGTGTCGTGCCATAAAGCGTGCGATGCAGAGTATTCTTCATTGTACGAGATTTGAACAGGACCAGATGTTCCGAATACGTCTGGGTTGTGAGTGACATCATACTTTTCTCGAAGCGCCTGAGATGGAGGGTGAAATGTTTCCGACTTTTTGAAGAATGGTCTACCGGCAGTTTGAAAGATTGTCAGAGCTTCTTCCCTTTGTAAAAAAGTACCATTCCGCAGAACCTGAATGGCTTTATTATTACTTACAGTAGGCTGTCCCATCCCCAGCCCAGGTTGCCAAGCGATTCCCAGGCATCATAGTCTTCCCGACTAGCTCTAACCCAAGTCATAAAGTTAAGCGCACTCGTTCCGCCAAGGACTTTGCCGCGAGGCCATGAGAGGCTTCGCCCGCCTAAGCCAGGCTGTGGTGCTGTTTCATGGCACCAATCATGTTTACCACCGAGCGAGCGGCCGTAGTAAGCCGGGATGTCGATCAGCTCTTCCCCGAGAGCAGCAACGCCCGCCTCTACCACACCTATGGTGAGATTACTCCGTTCAGCAAGGCGCGCTGCAATGGCCAATCCAGCCGTGCCGCCACCGATAATGAGATAGTCAAACGGCTTGGAACAGAAGTCGTCTGCCGAATGGACGATGGGGAGTGCGTGTGCCATGGTCACGATAGTTCCCTTCTTAGGCGCGGGGTTAGCAGGAATGAGCTCTTACGCGACCGTTGAAGTACAGAACGAATAAAATGCTGGGTAATTATTGCGAATAGGCGTGACCTGGGCAATTGCTCCACAAGCCGCGGAAAAGTGTTTATAGCAACCCACAGTGAGCTGGAGGGGCAAATCAACAAGCTGCTCTGTACTGTACTGTAAGCTGCAATTGCGGCGTTTTGCCCGGCGATGCTGGCGAGTTGGATACCAGGCTAGGACAAAAAGGCCGCCAATGAGATCAAAGGGCGGGACAGTGCTCTTCCAGGCCCCCCTGTTTGCTAGGAGGGTTTGGTTAAGCCGTTTCAGATCGCTGACTCGGAGCCAGGTAGCTTGTTCGGGGCGAGCGGGAAGAGATTGCCTGGATAGTGAGACACGGCGACGGCGGCAGTCTCTTCCGATAGAATGGCGCAATCTCCCGACTGTTTCGAAAACCGTGCATCCGCAACTATGAGCCCTCCCTGTACAGTTCTCGTTCGGCTTGGCTTTGTTTGGTGATGGTGGCGTCGGTAGTGGAGTTGCCGTAACAGTAGCTGCCGTCACCAAAATAGAGCGCCTCTTAGCGGCCGGGGAACTTGCCCAGCTGTCCGTGGACTGGATGGTAATTTGGCTCGAAGAGATTGGGCGGGGTGGGTGGAGGGGGGAGAATACTGGTAGCGGAGCGTGTCCCGCTAGATGTCCACACCAATCCCAGGTCGCATGTACAAAGAAAGTACTACGACTTGCAACGGAGTCAACCACAAGTAGTAACGTAATTCACAAAGCGAATGGCTCTCATGAATTCTTTTAGCAGACAAGCTTCAGACATTGAGCTACGAAATGTATACTCCAGGAAGCTCAGTGATTAATAAGTTTCTATCTTGTTTATCTACCACTCGCTGTTGTAGCTTATTGACGTCTCAGTTTGACCAAAGAAAGCTACCTTTAAACGTATCGGTACTATTTTGAATATGATAGTCAAACGCAAAATGAGCCATTAAGGCTTAACATGGACTTGCCAATATTATATTATAGCAATTTACTTACAAAGATCTACCAATATTATCGATTGTAACCATATCGCCACACTTGTGCTACATGTCCGTCTCGTTTGATGTTGAACATCTGCTATTCCAAGAAGCTCGTTCAGACAAATCAACACATTTAGGGTATTCTAAACAAAGTTCTGATGGCTCCCCGCTGTAGGTTCGGTGGCAGTGCACGATACGGAGTACTGTAGTACGGACAGTCGCGATGGAGTTAGATCCCGACAGCCCGTACGATACAGACAATCTTTACTCTTCTGATATATTGTGTCTAAGCGATAAAGTTGTACGCTTACAAATGCATCTGCTGGGCCTCGTCTGTAACTTTAGCGATGCGAACATTTTATAGTAGATAATATCGCCCCAAGAAATCCGCAGCAGCCCCACCAATGGGCAACTGATGAGCAATCAATCACCTGATGTTTCGTGGCGAGGATTTATGTTGTTTGCTATGTTGTTGGGGTTAAACTCCGCAACCGAAGGCTGTGAAGGCATAGTCCGCAGAACTGTAAATCGGCAGCCCTAATAACCATCTTCCGAACACGCGTATAGGCTATGTTTGGTTTACCTCTGCTGTGACGGTCAGTATATTAAGGCACTTGCAAATATTTATAAGAAGCCACAAGGACAACCCAGTGTAGATGATAGTTTTCATTTAATAACCACACTCAAGAAAATATCCCAAGAAATTTCAAAGCTCTACCTCTACAATGACTACAATGACTTCTAAGCTCGTCCTGGTTTACAGCGCCACAAGTCGGCAAGGCGAGAGCGTCGTTCGCTCGCTGCTAGACAACGCATCGGGTGCCTTCAAGGTCCGCGGGACCACCCGTGACGTCAACTCCGACAAGTCCAAGAGCCTTATAGCACTTGGTGTGGAGATGGTGTCGATAGATGCTGCAGGAGGATTAGAGAGCCTTGGAGCGCAGGCACTGGCAGCGTTTGACGGCTGCTGGGGGGCCTTCATCAACATTGATTCATACAACCCAGTAAGTTTTCACCATTCATTATATCTTTGCTTGACAAAGCAATATAATTCCACATGTTATTACCTCTACTAGTCTAACTTTGGTGGTCGATAGGTTATCGTGGCCGACGGCGGCCCATCTGTGTACGACTATAGCAAAATCGTCGTTGACGCTGCAGCAAAGGCGGGAGTCCAGCATATTGTCCACAGCTCTTTGCCACCTTCCAGTGAAATCAGTGACGGCCTCATATCTATTGACTACTTTGACGGTATTTCTCAACCCTCCCGCCAATTTCTGCCTTTTTCTCTGTCGCCTGTTTCCGCCTTATCACAGTCTAATGCTGACGCCTGAGTGTAGACAAGGACGCCATTAATACGTATATCAAAGCCAACCCGCAGTTCCGTACCACAACCGCCATAAATGCGGGATGGTATTTGGAAAACTTTCTCGATAAGCGCTTGACGCCTGTCATTGGTGGGTTCCCCTTCACTGCCGAGGACGGCTGCTTGATACTGCGACTGCCCAGTTTCGGCGGAAACGGATCTATGCATTTCGTAGACATCGAACAGGACTTTGGTGACTTTGTTCACGGTGTGCTGGTTGACCCAGAGGTATACAATGGCGCGTCCATTCAAGGATTCAGCGTCTTGGATACACCTGAGGCGCTTGTGCAGGCATTCACTCAAGGTTAGTAGTCAGCCGCGAAACGGCTCGAAGCCTTCCCTACTGCAACTACAACGGTGTGCTAATTGTGATGTTTCTCGTTTACAGTCACTGGTAAAACAGCACGATACGTCGAAATAACACCCAAGGAATTCTCTACTCACGGTTCGCGTGGCTTATTGGCCATGAAGAAGGAGATTCTCTATTGCCAGTATAATGGCGGGCTGTTCTATGGTGAGCCATCCGATCTAGGCCCGGCGGCAACACTTAAGGCTATTGCAGCAGAGGCACGCGGTAGACGCCCAGTGGCTTCGGGCAACAGTGGGTTGTCGAGCGTGCTTGACTTTGTGAAGCAGCATTTTGCCCGCGATTCGTCGCTCTCTTAGTTAGTTCGCATAATGTAAAGCATTTGACGCCGAAAACAGGTGTACAAAAGTGAAAAAAAAATAGACCGCTGGGTCTGGGAGTATACTGTTGCCAGGACTCGCCAGTTGGCTGCCAGCTGGCAGTTCAAACTTAACACGGCTACACCTGTTCAAAGCAAATGCTGTGGCGTTCTTCGGGGAGCCACCATCACCACCACTGTCTCAGTCGCCATTCAAGGACGCAGGGAGAGAGCGAGTCAAGAGCACTGTACTTCGACCTAGCTGCATCCGAAGCGTTTTAGGCTCCGCGGAAAATTAAACATGATACTTGACATAAGCCTATCATGATCCGCTGCGGTTCGCCCCGGGCATCACGTTTTGCTTGCCGCAGCCCCATCCATCCATATCTGCCGCCACATGCTTTTGCCTCGATCCCCCTTACGACGTGCATTTCGCGTGCATCAATAGTCCGTCTTTTCTTCTACTGTCACTTTTTTGGACTGATCTTCAGAGCCCACGCCCGCGACCCCCAGGCTCCGTCCGGAAAATGGGTCTGGTCATCTCTATTTGTTCAGTGGCGTTTTGGTGGCTGCCACGCCTTTGGGATAATATTTCTACGCTAATGTGAATTATTGGGGGCCGGTCCGGCTGGCTGCATCTGCCGCTTTAGCCCCAAGCCGCGAAGGGATTGCGTGACTTGTGGGATTTTAGACTTTGGCGGCGGCGGCGGCGGCGGCGATGGCCAGTGCACGTCCATCCATCGCATCGCGCATCTAGACAACTCGGGAGGGCGCGAGGCCGTTTGTCTAGGAAAGGTCTTTTCGGAGGATGCAATCCGGTTCGCCCGGCGGCCGCGGAGATGCAGACTCATGCACCGCCAGCAGATGCCGCTGCAGAGACATTCAGGCTAGCAAAGGTGGATGCTTGCCGTGGTATGGGCAAATGGGAGGGTCAAGGTGGCTACGACATGGGGTGGACCCAGAACTATTGCTCTCGGTCTGCACAACCGCGATTTGTGGATTCGGAGCATTGTGACGCTACGACGCTACGTTGGCACACATGCTTGCTAGCCTCCTGTCTCGCCTCCTCTTCCCTAGCAATCCGCCCCTCCACGTAAATCTCTTCGCCCAGCGGTTCTTGTCTTGGTTCTTCAACATCACAAACAACCTCAGCGCAACCCTAGCAAACCCGTCCAATAGCATTTTACGTCCTACCGGATTCGAAACGTTTCTCTGCAGGCGACGAATTCTTCTGTCAAACGAGTTCCTAGAATGGTTGATCAGATGCGTGGTTGAGATCGCCGCACTCCGTCTATAGCTGCAGTATATTCAGCCCGACCAACCACGGCGTCTGTGTACGAATTTTCCTTTCCTGTCCAACCCAACTCACAGCATTGCCGGCCGATGCGCTTCTTCCCAACATGGTACAATTCAGTCAACAAACATTATTAGTAGAGTCATGGACTCTTTTTGGCTTGGGTGTTCTGGTGGTTATCTGCCGAATGTAGGTCTCAAAACCCGCCCACTCGGTGCCCGTCGCCTTGGCCAACTCACTAACTTGACTGTCTTACAGGGCCTCGCGGCGCATGAAATTAGGAGCATGGAATAAACTTGGCCTCGAAGATTATTTGATGGTCTTTGCACTGGCCAACTTTGCTGGTGTCGCATATTCCATCAATGAGGTTGCAGCCAACGGCAGCAGCTATCTTCCAGCGGAAACAGTGGCCGGCCTTACCCCGGAAGGGATTGCTCAGGCTGTATATGGCAGTGTCATGACGTTTGTACTTGAAATTGTCACGATCACAGGCCTTTGGACTATCAAGACGTGTCTTTTATTGCTCTACAGCCGAATCACGTAAGTCAACTGGTCGACAATGTCTTGCCCACCTCGTAACTAACAGTGATATAGTAAGGGCGGACTTCACCGAGAGCATATGATTGTGAAATTTGTCGGTGTATTCTGCTTATTTTCTTATCTGTTGGTTATGCTTTTGTTCTTGTTTTATTGGTGCCAACCCATACGGGGATACTTCCTCGTGCCGTACGAGCAAGGTATGTATCTTTCTCCTACGCGCTCTTTGGAAATTTGTTGCTAATCCCTTCGAAGAACAATGCGCGACGTACTACCATCACCTTATTTTTGCGACGGCATTTAACATCCTAACCGATCTTATGCTATTCCTAATCCCCATCCCAATTATTATTCGAACAAGCATGCCTGTTCGACGCAAGATAATCCTCTGCTTCATTTTGGGGCTCGGTGTCTTTAATGTCAGTTTACCGTGTCATGTCATTTTACAGGGACCATGTGCTAACACATCCATCAGATACTGGCATCGATTTTAAACAGATACTACAACTTTACATACGACAACTCGTACGTCTTCTTGTACTGGTATATCGCCGAGATGGGCGTAGCCATGTTTGTTGGTAACCTGCCGCTCTGCTATCCTCTTCTTCGCCTAGCGTTGGGCAAAACGCAAAGTTCCAGTCACGATACGCCACCATATATCGTCACCATTGGCAGTGAACGCAAGAGGAGACCGCGAGGTCGAGATGAAACCATCCTCAATACTGTTGGAGGCACACAGTGGGACAAATTGGACGAACAGGAGCACGCAGTTGATGCTCTCAACGGCGAGAGTACACTGGTACACTCTGAGAGGGGTAGTGAGATTGAGCTGGTAATACAGGGGAGATGCCATGGACATCACCACCAAACAACAGTCAGCTCTCATAGTGCTGAAGATCAGCGCTCTAACCACAGCCCGTCAAGTAGCCGAGATGGCAGTAACGGCAAGGAGAATATAATGGTCGTCCGAACGGTGGATGTTTCCACCTCGGGTCGCCACAAGTAATGGCTGAAGCCACACAATCAAAATTACTGTACAATATGGAATAGGGATACAGGGACATTCATCAGCATGCGCGCTTTTACTCCGGTCTTGTATTATGGGACTGCAGAAGCAGCCAGCGCCAGTAGCACATGGATCTCAGTGAACAAGGTGTTGCTATATAACGACATTGTTTTGCATATTTGGTTTTGAGACGGCCAATTAGATAAATAGGTATGAATGAAAAATATACCCGGACAGGAAAGGCATCAATTGTTGCCTAGTAAGCCATTGTACTCCACAAGGCCGAGTGACGGTGACTAGATGGTTTTAACTATTAAGCACTTGAGACAAGAAACTACCAGCTGAGGCGAGATTCTTGTCGTCAAGTTGCCGTAATCGCCCCATCCAGGCAATTACCTGTACCTGTGTTTGGAGCTTATTCTGCAGAGAGACCTCAGTCTGGTAGAACAAAGCCATGCCTTCATCTTCCGGAGGGTGACTGCGCCTTAGATGGAGCAATATGAATAGCTTTGCAAGGTACCAAAAGTTAAGAGGATGTACAAATCCACGCTGGATATCGTTTTGATAGTCCAGTTGTTTTCTTGAATCCCAATTCCGTCTCCAAGCACCGAGTGTTGCATTGATTTGCATAATAGCCATCGATGCGTATTGCGAGACGAATTTGTCTACGGAACTGGCGACATGCTCCCCCGGGAAATTTTGGCGCAAAAGATTGGAAATCATTGGTGCTGTAACTGCTTCAGGGATGATGCTGTCCGATTCAAGTTCCTGTTCTAGTGTTCGGACGAGCATGGAATGAATAGCCATGATGGACTGCAGCATGCCTCCGTCTGAGGCTTCAAACAGCCATGCACTAGACGGAGGTGCTAAACGAAGCATCTTCAATGATGTGGTCAGGCTAATGCTCTGCGGCCGCGCTTGTAAAAAGTGTAAGCATTCAGAGGCCGTGCCTGCTGTCCAGCAGTCGTTGTAGCAGGGGCTGGATAGTGGGTAGTTGAACGGTGAGACATGAGTTGCCGCTCTAGCAAAGATGCTATTGCCAATGCTGTCGATGAAGATGTAGTGGGATAGCCTATTTAAAGTAGTTTAGCACAGAGTGATGTTTCTTCGAGGAGGAGTTGGAACAAACCTTTTGCGCATCTCTCGGGCAGCCCAGCTTGGCCAGTCAAAGGATGTGATATCAAATTCGTAATAATTAGCGTCTTTGGTAATTTGAAAAAGACCTGCTCTATCTGCCATCTAGATTGTGTTAGCGTTGTACATGGAAATGTCAGAGGCTAAAGATGACCAACAGAAAGAGTGCGGGCTCGATGTACCATGGCGAAGGAGTACGCCTGGGGACTTTTTGTAAGAAGCAAAATCTGACATAGTAAGCTGTTGGCTTGAATAGATGCCAGCGGGGGTTTTGTCATTGCTCGTTCATGCTGCTTATATTAGTATGCGCAAAGGTAGACAGTCCGGTTTAAAAGAGACTAACTGCAGAGTGCTGGAGCAAGAGTAAGACGTGGATTGCTCCTTGGATGATGGCTTCGGGAGGGATAGCATTATGCGCATAGCATGCACCTACTAGCATCATCGCTGTGAGAAGTTGTGGTGGTGTAGTGGTAATATTGAACGTTGGCCGGTGTATAAGTGCTTGAATAGATTCAAAGTGGTCAAAGTACGCAGTCATGCAGCTGTTGAGGGTCTCTTGCGTGATGAGCTCGATCAATGCGGATTGGTCGACGCCGCTATGGAAGCTTGCAATATATGTTTCTATCTCAACACATTTTGTAGATGGCGCATCATTCATGTGGTGAAAACGACTTGTGTCAGGCTCGTTGGTTTCTGTTATTGGGGCATGGCCTGTTTGAGTGGCTATGGGGTCTGGCGGAAGCGTCTGGCCATCAAGAACGGGGAAAGAGATGAGTGCATCCCAGTCGATAGTGTCGAAGATGCTCCCGCTTGTGGTGGGAAGCAGATCGATATCGGCTGTGGCTGTGCTAATATCCTCCTGGAGCTGTGACATTGGTAGAGATGAGTCGTCTTTTCCGGGGCTGTCGTGTTGACGAAAGGCTTGGTAGGCATCTTCGTAGCCGTCGCGAGTGTAGGAACACGCCATGGATCTCTTTCTACAGTTTAAGCACGGATTCCCTTTATCGCATTTGTGTCTTGAGATGGCGCATCTGTCACAGGCGGACTTTGTTCGCTGCCTCGTTGTTGGAGGTCGTGTCTTCATCAACTCTTCTGCCTGCGAGCATATCCGGATATGACGCAATAATGCGTCGCTTTAGATTATCTATTAGCACTATCCAAAGAAAGGATCTCGTTAATAGTACCTGCGCGTCATGCTGCTCCCACATGGGCATTTGTACTTCTTGGCACCTTCGGTATGCGTCAGTGGATATTCGTCCAGGGTATCAAGGGGCCACTTTGCTTGCTCACTTTCTTTAGAAACATATCCTGTCTCGACGGCTTTTGGTCTAGAGCGCATATTTTTAGTACAAATTATCCTGTTTCTGTAAGATGAGGCGAGATGGCGTGCATGATGGATGGTGATGATGAAGTCAAGTGGATTAGCGACAAGGCTCTGGAAACGGCGCTCACTTGGGTTAAACTCCGCCAGGTCGTGGTAAGACTGCTTACTCGCCGCGTCACAAGAAAAATCGGCTTCTATATCAGTTACAAAAAAATGATCTATTAAATTTCAATATAGTCTAATTCGAAATCTCTTTGCACTATGTTTAGTCCCAATCTCCAGAATCAACATCTTGGACACCTGACGCCAACAGCTCGTCCATCGTCCACGGCTCATATTCATATCCTGGCGGGAGGTTGGTATTTTTAAACCCTGAACCGCTAACAAGATGGTTCAAGCAGGCCACCCAATTGTCGTAAACGTATTGCTCGGGGTCATGGTTGCTAAGCCACCGCCCGATGGATTTGACTGCCATCAGTGGATTCTGTCGGATAGCGTCAAATGAATTCGTCGCCCATTTCTCTCTATTCTTGAAACCATTCTTTTGCGCACACGATGTTCGCTCGAATCTAATACCGTTAGCAAACTTGCATCACCCGTGATGAACATGGTAGATGGACGTACCGGAGACGGGTATGGATTCGGGTCGCCAAACTAATGTTTTGCTTGCCGGCGAGACGGAGACAGGCGGCTAGAGACTGACCATCTTCCATTGCCTGGGTGGCTCCGTTTGAAGAATTCGGAATAAAAGAGTGAGCAGCGTCTCCGATTTTAACGATGCGGCCACCCTTGGATGTCCACTCTGGGTTGGGGTCTCGAAACGTCAACTTGTAGTCGGTGATGGAGCCGGATGGAGTCAACTGAATAATCTCAAGGCACCTGCGATCCCATTCCACTTCTGTTTCCGAAAGTGTAGCCATTACATCGGATACACTGAGTGTTTTGGCCCACGATTCCTGAGCGGCGCTGCCAGTATCCTAGAGTTTGTTAGCTCACGGTACCAACCGTTCTCAATGGTTTAGACATACCACGTGTGTAAAGAGCCAGGTTGTAGTCTCTGGAGAAACTAAGATAATCATGGTACCTTTAAGAGAGAGGTATACTTCACAATAGTCAGGCTGCCCCGGTCCAAAGGTGTAGATGTTTGAGAGAAAGCTGTTCTGTTTTAGTAGTGCTGTAGGGTATGTGACCCTGTACACGGACTGGCCACTGCTAAAAGCTTTGATTTCTTTTCCGTTGGTAATGGCGGTGGCCTTGGTGCCAATTCCATCAGCGGCGACGACTAGATCCGCTTCGAACCGTTCGTTCGACTCAGTCACGACGAATGCCCGTGTCCCATCGTCCGATTCGCCGTATGTGGCGACCTTCTTGGAGAAGAGGACTGGTATCCCCAGTGATATGGCATAGTCATACAGAAACTGTACAAGTGTTGTACGACTGATGGGGACCGGTCGGTAGTCTGATTTCTCCGAGAGGTGGAATGGTCCGCCAAGTTGCTTCCCGTCGTGAGCCAGCAAGAATAGATCTGGCCGGTAAATGCTGTCACGGTATGTCTGCATCATTCCTGGCCACTTTTCAAACTGTTTGGTAACAGAAGGACCTATTCCAACAAAGTCACCTGTGATTGTTAAATGGTTGTATGGTACATGTATTATGAAGCTGTACTCACCAACGGGTTCAAGCTTGTCTCGGCTTTCAAGCACAGCAACAGAATGGCCTTGGCGATAGAGTTCGATGGCAGTGTACAAGCCACCGGGCCCGGCACCGACTACAATTGTGTCAATATTCGAGGGGGTTTCGCGAAGCATGGTAGAAGAGTATAGTGTATTGGTTGTAAAGCTGGTAAATGTTGAGATGTGTTGGGTTTGGGGATATCATCGTTGCTTGTGTCGAGGGGCCCAGCCGGAATTTATATTCTAAAAATTCGTACATATCTGTATATACATGAAAATATGCATCGTCATTTTTAGAACCGATTTACCGTCGGCTGACATCGGTGGCGCCGGGATTGCACGATATTCCGCGTGTGGTGGAAGATATCCCGACAACGTGGTGGATCTTATCCCGATGGTGGATGATGCCCGCAGCCTGATTGTAAATCATGACGGGATAGCCATCGTATAATGGCTACTCGGATTAGAAATGCTCCAAGAATTAAAAAACAATGGAGAGGAAAGCCATTTTGTTATTTCTATAAGTACTAGAGCAGTTCCCTTAAACAATATCACTTTATCCATTCAACACACCATCCCATCCACATCTTACACACTTACACCTACAACTCACTATTCTTTTCTTCACTATGAACTCACAAACAAACTATCTCGTCTTTGGTGGAACAGGTCGCCAAGGAGGCTCCGTTATCAACGCTCTTCTTGAACCTTCAACCACCGTTTCCCCATCGCAAATCTACGCTGTTACAAGAAACACCGAGGGCGCTTCTGCCCAACGCCTAGCCGGCCGCGGCATCAACCTTATCCAAGGGGATCTCATCAACTCGCCCAGCATCATGGAGGAATTGGTTACACGTGGCGTCCAGCAATCCAAGACCGTCGTCTATTTTGCACAGGCCCACGGCCCAACTGAAGTGGACGAGGCCAAGAGCTTGATCGACGCCTCTGTGGCCTCGGGTCTCCAATACATTGTCTACTCATCCGTCGACAGAGGCGGCAAAGAGGCATCAGACCGAGACGCTTCATACTGCAAGACATTTTCCGACAAGTTTCTCATTGAAAAGCACCTGGAAAAGATGACCAAGGACACTGCTGTCGATTACACCATTATCCGACCTACCTGGTTCATTGACAACGCATCTTGGGGCTTCCCAGGTCGTCTCTCCATGACTGCATGGCGCGACGTAATGGGCGGCAAGAAACTTCAAGTCACAAGTACCAAAGACATTGGCCGCTGGGCAGCTTTTGCTATGCTTCGCCCGGACGAAGCTGCGCTCAGGAACAGCGCGCTCAGCATCGCCAGCGACGAGTTGACTTTTGATGAAATGGACGACATCTTCAAGCAAGAGATGGGCAAAAATATCGAGGTCATGAATGGCCTAGTGACTAGAGCTATTGTTTGGATGACGACAGATTTGAGAACCATGTTTGGCTGGATCAAGGAGAGAGACTATGGTGCTGATATGGTGGAACTGCAAAAGCACATCAAGCCCTACACGTTTCGCCAGTGGGCGGCTGATTTGCGAAAGAGCCAGAGAGTTTGAATTTAGTCCACTGTTTGTATCATAGTAATTGGGTAGCAATGAGTAATTTTCAGCATTTGTTTTATTGTCCGCAGGACTTCCAATGCTATGGTGGTTGCGCCAGCAAATTAGGCTCTTAAGTAGCCGAAGTAGTCTGCATATTACAGCCTTGTTTTGTGAAGCATTGACCAATAACTATACAGTTATGGTTATCCGAGGTCCCGAAGGTGCTGCATTCTTGCGCTTACTGAGAGCCAACGGTGGCACGTAAATGCTGTAATATGCTTCGACACCAGGTCTTCTATACCCTCAACATGTGATCCTAGAAACGATTGATACAACAGTGTTCTTTATATCACAGTTGTTCAAATAGATGCTAATATTGTTAGGATAGCCTCTATAGCATCATCAACAGGGACCTCAACGTCCGTACTGCTGGGGCAAACCTCTGTGTTGCCCACTATAACAACAAGAGTCCCGCCATTTGCACCCGAATTCTCTCCTCCTCCAGATTGTGCCAATCCTGGTGGTTTCTTACCTCCTCAGGGCTCTGGATTGCCTGATCAATCAATCACGCTTTATGACGGCAACTCCTGTAGCCCCGACCGTTTTGCATCATTCTTTCTGCCAACAGCGTATGCGACGCCGTGCATTATTTCGCAGGGTTCAACCACAGCCGCCACTGCTATGCCAGTCATTTCGCTAGCATCCGCCTGTCCCAGTGGATATGAAAACAAATGCACACTCGTGGCCGCTGGAATTACTGCTGTTAACCCTGAACCTCCAGCGAACCTGGTACTCAATTGGCCACTGCTTGATAAATAAGAAACAGCATATGGTTGCTGTCCAACGTATGGAATGATCGAAACATTCTTAATTATACAAGCTGACACGGTCTGTGTAGTGGCTTTACTTGCGCTGGTGTTGGGCATTGCCAGTCTCGTTTGTCCCCAGGTACCATCTATACAAGCAAGTCGTGCGGTACATTGCTGGATGGGCGCATCACCATACCTGATGCACAGATAGGCTTCAAGCAAAGCAATCAATTGATGTATATGCACGTTGTGAGTACTTCTTCTTCTTCTTCTTCTTCACCACAACCACCACCGCCAGCCGACCAGCCGAAGCCCGAGAATCAAAATTCTAGCACCGAATTAAGTGCCGGGTTCAAGGCTGCCATTTCAATTGCGTCTGTCTTGGGAGTCATTATAGCAGGAGTTGGAGTCTACAAGTTTTACCGACATCGACGGCGAGCGTCAGGTACAAACGATGAAGAAGGCGGTTTACCAAAGGGAAAGCTAGAACTGGAGGGTGATTCGGAACAATCTTGGACAGTAAGAGAGGCTGATGGGACACAAAGACAGGTATTTGAGATACCTGGCAGCCACGCACCGGAGCTACCGTATGATGCATTTGCGGCAGTTGAAGTTGATGCGGACAACCAGGATCATGGCCGTGGTCGCGTCAGCCAGGCAAGAACGCCATCAGGCATGAGACGGCCGAGCACACAAGACCCAGGGTCACTTAGACGATATTCATTCTGAGTGGAGATAGACATGGGCTGATGCTTGGAGATGCCCACCCATTTTCCCACGCTGTCGACTCTCTGTCATGACGGAGATATATAACCTTGCCGCATATATATATTGGCCGAGGGGCACAAAGGCTCGGCGACGTTTGCTAAGCCAAATTAGCTTCCAAGCAATATGCATGCATAGACACCCTGCTGCAGAATTGTCATGTCAAATATTGCGACAGTGGAGATGTAACCTACAGGCTTGACTGAAGAAGTATCCACCGTTCTTAACATGCAGTAAGACGTTGCTCTGAATCCCACAAGAATTGTGGAATGGTAATTAATTACAGTGTGAATAATATGCTAACAGTTTTGGCCCACGTAGTAGCACTAGATCGATAGTCCCCTCCCGCAACGCTACATTGACCCATGCTATGCTGTGTAACCTGATTGTCCTCTACTTAGCGGCAACTTATAAGATACGTATTCATCCTTTTAAAATTCATGTTATAAAGTATCATAATACCTAGTATCAAAGCTCATCTCCATTATCTGCGTGACAGGTAGCGTCTTCAGGCCACTGGCAAGCATCCGATTTTAGATCATATACCAGTCGTCCGACTGGGGTACAACGGTCAGGCTCATTTGCACAATTAGCACAGTTACGTTCCCATGCTTCAAGAGTAGCATCACAGGATATATATCTTGTGCAGTCGCTTGGGTGCAGGTAATTTCCGGGCTCTTTATCGGAGCAATCGAATCACGGAACCGGCCGATATGCCCCGTCTTCTGCCGAAGCGCTATAACAGGTCAATATTCAAGTCAAGGATATGAAGACAATGAAGACCTACAGCATGGCCAGGAATCCTGCCGCAATGATGGCGATTTTGCTATACATGTTTATCTATAGAGCGGTAATATCGACATTGTATGCGAAAATGAAGAGCATGGCATGAAGAGGGGCTTGGTAAACATGAGGGGTAGCTGAATCGAAGTTGTGTCTCGAATATATACTGCGATATGTTGAATCTGCTGGCGGCGGTAGGGAAGTACTGAATAATTAGGCGCCGCGGCGTATCATGATGCTCACGATAACCGTTGCTAGGCGTCAAAGGCAAGTCTCAGTCTAGTTCAGCCTGACAGCGGGCTCACAGTACGCTAAGTTAGCGTATGGATACGGTGCTACCACATGTGGCTGTCTGACAGGGAATGTACTCGTCCACTTTCTACACTGCCGAGGGGAGACAGCTGTGTGGTGGATCCTACAGTGTCCAACTTGTGGCGTATATAGACACTACGATAAGCGTTCCGCGGGGATGCAAGGTAGCTGTGGCTGGCCTAGTCTTGATATGTGAGCGCAAGTGGCTGAGGCAAACTGTCCAGCGAGCATTCAACACCAGCCCATATCCAGCCCAGCGCAGCCCGCAGAGACTGTCCTACACTACCGTACGTCGTCTAGCAACATAGCAAGCCAGCAATGCCACCGTCGCGATGTAGCGGGTCGTGTTTCGTTACCTTGTCGAATAGGCGGTGGGGTGGAAGAACAACAATGGAAGAAACAAAGGAGATAGAGTGCTCAATGGTGGGCCTCGTCGAGAGAGGAAGCGAGGATTCGACGGCGTGGGCCGGAGCCAATATCGCCATTGAACGATATGCTGTATGCATGGACGACGAGCACATGGCCCATCACCATCCAGGTCCAATAGTCTGGGATCTTTTTTTTTTGTCTCATAGCGTATGCATGCCGACGCTAAGCAGTAGCAGCAGCGTGCAGCGCCGATCTGCCAACTTAAGCTATGGTTTCTAGTTCGTGGCTTCTAAAAGAAGAAGTCCATCTCCGAGGGCCCCCCTCCTCTGCCACCCTTGCCACCTGGCATTGGTCCACTGCCAGGTGGTGCCAGCTGCCAGCACGGCGCAAAAGCCAGCGGACAAAGTTGTTGCTGTTCTGTGTTTTGCCTTCTCCACACCTTCCAGAGCATAGTGGCAAGCCCCGCCGCTCCGAGCCGCAAAATGATGCCTGCTGCCATTACTCGCCGTCAGCCAAAAATCCCCGATAAAAAGAATATAGAGGGGCCGCCCGCTTCCCGCCGCTTACGTCGAAATTGGTATGGGTAAATTTAATACTTTGGTGCAGCTGCAGGGCAAAGAACGACAAGCCCCGAGCTTGGCGTTCGTCCGCCCCCGAATCGCTGGGTTTGGCGTCCGCTAGCGTGTTTTGCCAGCGCCACGCCCGAACGCCAGGCCACAGACAGGACGGGAAGCCCGCAGCAAAAGAGGAGAATTTGCAAAGTGAGCTATCGACTTTTTGTGCACTGGCGACAGGAAAAGCCCGGTACAGTATAGCTGGGCGAGTGAGGCTCGTTCTAGACTTTGTAATTACTTGCGTATGGCGCACCGTTCGATTCCAGACTCCTAAATTAATGGCCAACGCAGAGAAGAATCCGCTATCCGCATATTGCAAATCATCCGCCTCCCTGCGACGTTCCCACTCTCACTGCATCCCTCGTCTCCTCCACCCACCACGTTTTGCACTACGAACCCGGACATACCTCACCCTTTTGGATGGGCTAAAAAAAGAGGATCAGTACTTGAATTACTGTAGATCCTGGTTCCCCAGTTGCAAATTTCAGAAACCGTTTTTATTCCTTTTTCTCGAACAATCCCCCTGGTCGTCGGTTGCACTCCTCTCTCTTCTCGCGTCCCATAAACTGTTTACATCGGCGCATCCGCCCTTTTGCCCAGCCTGTCTGTCGCATTGCATCATTCCGCGCCGAGTTTCATCCAAAGAGGGGGAGAGAATCTGTCCTGCCACACAACGCCTACCTACCTACTGTGTCTCTCTTCGGATCCTCCAGACGCCGCTTTGCCGCATTTTTTGCAATTCGCAACAACCGCCACGGTCCTCTACCTCAATGACACAAATCTAGCCATCTTTATCCTTTCTCCAATACATCCTACGTGCCAATCTGCACGTTAGGAACACATCCACGCCTCACAATGTCTGCACACGACGATATAGAGAGCATTGCCGAAAAGGGCCACCACGCCACATCCACAACACCAACATGGAGCGACGCCTCCTCCAACACCCAAGCCCCGCGACCGTCGCCTCGCCAAAACACTCTCTCCGCCAAATTTAGTCGCTTCAATACCAGATTAGAAGGGCTCTCCGGCTTCGAAGTCCGGGGCATCAGCCGTGTCCCTCTTGAGGAGCGTCACAAGGGCTCCCGCGGCCATGACCTACAAATCTTCCTTCTCTGGCTCAGCGCCAACTTGTCTGCCAACAATTTGGGTGTTGGCATGCTCGGCCCCTTAGCCTACGGACTCGGCTTCAAAGATTGCATCATGTGCATTCTCGTCGGTACCTTTATCGGCTCCTTGTCCACTGGCTACGTCGCCACGTTCGGTCCGCTTTCTGGCAACCGTACCATGGTAAGTCGCGATCGTGTTTCTTTTGCTACACTCCCTCAAGTCACGGCTGCTAACAAGAGTTCCGCGTAGGTCGTTTCCCGGTTCTTCATGGGATACTGGCCATCCAAAATCCCAGCCTTGCTCAACTTGGTACTTATGGCTGGCTACGCCGTGCTTGACGCCATCATTGGTGGCCAGATCATTTCTGCCGTCAGCGGAGGCTCCGTGTCGATCGTCGTCGGCATTATTATAGTTTCCATCCTGGCGTGGTTAATTGCCGTTTTTGGAATGGCTCTCTTCCAACGTTACGAAAGGTTAGTGCCACTTTGGATCCCGAAGGCTGATAGAGGGGCAGCTCGGTCCCCTCAAACCTTAAATCTACCAGAAGTGGAACGATGGCATCCGCTAACTTTTGCGTCATCTAGATATTCGTGGTTGCCTCAGATTCTAGCCCTCATGGTGCTTATCGGCTCCGCTGCTCCAAACTTTGACACGGAGACTCCATCCACCGCCAGCGGCGCCAGACTTGCCGCCGCCCGTCTTACGTTTCTCAGCACCTGCTCGTATATTCCCAACTCGTGGACGGCCGCCGCCGCCGACTTTTACGTCTATTACCCTGAAAAGACCAACCGTATCAAGGTCTTCTGGCTCACTGTTGCTGGACTCTTCGTGTCCTTTGTTACCGTCTTCACCATTGGCATGGGTCTTGCGTCTGGTGTTGCTTCCAACCCGGCCTGGGCTGCTGCTAATGATATCTCATCGGGAGCCCTGCTCGTAGAGGGCCTGGCGCCTCTCAAGGGCTTCGGCAAATTCATCGGTGTCGTCATTGCTCTCGGCGTTATTGGCAATTCCACGCCATCTACCTACTCTGCCGCCCTCACCTGCCAGGCTCTTGGCCGTTACGGCCAAGCCGTTCCCCGTTGGGCCTGGGCCTGCGTCCTTGTTGTCGTCGAGCTCGTCCTGGGACTTGCGGGTCGCGACCATCTTTTCCTCATCTACCAAAACTTTACTTCCATCATGGGCTACTGGATTGAGTTCATGTGTAGCATCTTCCTGCTCGAGGAATTCATATTTCGCCGCCGTAAGGGCCAGTGTGACTGGTCTCGCTGGAATGACCGCTCCTATCTTCCCGTTGGATGGGCTGCTCTTGCCTCTTTCCTCTTGGGCTGGCTAGGAGCCGTCCTTGGAATGAACCAGGTCTGGTTTGTCGGGCCCATTTCCACACTATGCAACGACGCCGACGTTGGCATGTGGCTCGGTACTCTCTTTACCATCGTGACATTCATTCCTCTCCGTCACCTGGAGCTTAAAATGATTGGACGATAAGCATAAAAAAGGACGATGCGCTTATGAGCTTTATGACCCCAAGCATTAGAGTTTCCCTGTTCATTGTTTTTGCTGCATATACTACTGTACATATATTATACCTAGAGTTGTAAATACAAACTTGATCACATTGCAAAAGACCCTAGCTAATATGTGAATGAACATTAATATCTACTTATTATATTATGTACGATTATTTAGTAGGGAAGAGTGCTGGCCATCTCTTGGCCATGGCCGCGACGACGTCCTTGACTCTACGTTTCTGGCACCCAGGCCCGGCATCCCAACCCTTCATCTGCCAGTTAGTCTCAAACTTGCGAATATCCGTCGCCATAGCTGTCTCGTTGACAGCCTTGTTCGAGTCGCGAGCATCATGGAGATAGGTAATAAAAATCTCCCAGCGAGGGATAAAGTATCCCGCAGTAAGACCCGACCAGGCCTTGGCCGCATAGTCGTTCAAGTACGTCTGCAGACCCCAGACGGTAATCTGTGTGCGTGCGTCAAAAGCAATGGTCTGCTCATCACCAATGCGCTTACCCCAGACGCGCGCCGCATCCAGCCAGCGCGACAAGCGGAAGCGGTCCGTAGTAGACAAGACCTTGTCCAACCACGATAGCAGATCAAGCATCTCGTTACCAACCTGGGCAATCTTATCGGCAGGCGAGGAGGCATTGTACGCATTAACCAGGCTGGCAAACTCAACGCCAAACTGGTTCGAAATAATCTGGCGTGCAACGTCGACAAAGTCGAGCTGGAATGCAGGGACGTCCCAGAGCTTAGGGTTCTCCGTGACAGCCGCGTGCATCAGAGACCATGCCTGCATTAGGACCTTGGGATCGTAGTGCAGCGCAGTCGGATGGGGCGAATGGCCACGGCGATCGACTAGCCCATGCAGCGTGGGCGACATTTGGTAGATGGACACGGGGACCTGGAAGATGCCCGGGTCGGTCGAGTTGTACACAGTGGTGCGCATCAGCTCCCATGCCTGGAAGAGCGACTTGGGGATGGTGGCATTTGTGCCGGCGTAGCGCACAGCGGCCCACGACGCGAAGTACGACTGCGTGTCAATGGGGTGAGCAGACCACGCCTGGTCAAGCAGAATGTCGTAGACAATCTCGTTGCCTTCGTATCCCTCGGGCGTGAGACCCATGCCGACCATGGACTTGGACTGCGCGAGGGCGTCAATGGGCGCCTGGGTGATGTTTCCAATCTGGCCCTCAAGAGCCATGTTCTCGCCAAAGTCGTGCAGCTCGCACCAGATCCACGGGCGGCCCGAGTAACCCTGCGTACGCTCCCACTGGGCATTGCTCTCGGTGAAGAGGTCGAGGATCAGCATGCTGTCACTCTTGGTGTCGGGACCAGATAAGTATGCATCAATCTTGGGCTGCGTCCAGTAGTCGCGGCTGGAGTAGAAGAGCCAGCCTTGCAGGAGCCAGATGGACGCGGGATTGGCAGCAGTGAGACCGGCGTATGTGTTTTCCGAAATAGACGAGAGATAGGCAGGGTCGCTCGACGACGGCGTCACCTCGTTGAACTGGTCGAGGGTGTAGACGTTGGTGACGTTGCCAAAGGCGTCAATCTGCTTCTCGATGAACAGCTTCTGCAGGTCTGTGGACGTCTTGTCAAGCGGGTTCAGGAACGACACCTTGGGCGTGTTGCCTGGGAAGCCGCCCCAGTGGGTGGTCTTGATGATTTGCGCGTCGGGTCGGATGCGAGGCAGAGCGTCGGGGACAAAGCCGGGGAACGCAGGGAGCACGGGGGTGATGCCCAGCTCGACCATGCGGGCGACAATCTTCTTCTGCAGGTCAAACTGCTGGTTGATCCACTCCATGGAGAGCGGCTTCTCAATGTCCCAGGTGCCGTGGACATTGCCGAATCTGTTCCAGGCCTGGAACGCCGGGCTGCTGAAGAAGGGGATGATTTCATCGTCGGTCAAGCCCAGCTCGCGGAACGAGTCGAGGTAGATCTTCTCGTAGCCCACCCACGCAAGCTGGATGTTGACACCACGGATCGCAGCCCAGTCAATTAGGCGCTCCCAGTCCTCCCAGGTGTACCACACAAATGAGTAAGAAAAGGTCACCGTGTTGAGATTGTAGCGCCACGGAACAACACTGGCACCCGTCAAAGGCTCCTTGGGGGGCTGGAGGCCCGAGGGGATTGTCTGGTGAGAGTCGACAAACCATGCATCGTCATAGTGAAGGACTTCATTAGCATAGTGGCGGAGACTGAAAACATGAGAAATGTTAGTGAGGTTCCAGTAATTTGCGAAAAGAGAAGGGCATCGGGTCACAACGTACCCCTTGGACAGTGCGCTAAGCGTCGTTCCTTGGACCAGAATCTTGCCGTCTTTACCGGCAGACACCGTGTAATTGTCGTTCTTGGGCGGGTTCCAGCGTGACCAAGTCTCGTGATGTTCCGTGAGCACAATATCAAAGGCATCGGCGTTGCCTTTGAAGAGGCGATCTGCTAGGCTTCGAATGCCTGCAACGGCATCATTGTTGCTCTGAGCGCCAGGCAAGGCGCTAGCCATGCCAAACGTCAGCGCGGCCAGGCGTGTCAATGGCTTCATCATGCTGGGCGTGGTGTGAATTGGGCGACGCTGGGAAACGGATGCTGAAAGCAAAGCAAAGGCAATTGACGAAAGAGGTGGGCGGCGGCGAGGCTTTCAAGGAACGGGAACAAAAGCCGGCGCGCCCAAGTGTTTTGGCACTAGAGAACGCCACTAAAAAAGCCACTGGGGCCGCTGACGGAGGGGGGCTTCCAGCAGCGCTACAGCGGATCGCAGCGCTGTAGCTTGGCATCCAAGAACCAAGTTACTGCACGGCAGTTTTCTTTAGTTCCGCCTGTATTTTACCACCTCCCTCATCCAGTCCACCGCAACCGACGCCCGGAGCAGCCCCTTGTGGCGCGATTACAGGCCTTGATTGGATAGCCTCGCGGGGCAGGGCTGCTGACGCTGCTGACCGTGGCGTCGTCGACAAGGCAAGGAGGAGCACAATAAATAAATGGGGGTCATATAATGCAAGTAAAGGTGCGTATTATGAAATGGGAACAAGAAAAGAAAAAAAAATATAAATCGTATATACGGTAAAAGTTTGCAGCTTCATAGATGTATCGTTCTAGAGTACGCTGCTGATGTACACATAAAGTACGCATAGCGTTTGCTAGTAGAGATATATCTTTTGAATATAGGTATAAGTTGTTTAAAGTATAGTTACTGATTAAATCGAATCAATACAAAGAACCGCTCTTATTATTCGCTACGGTATATGCTTTTCATAGATCGATATATACGCATTTTTATACTTCCAATCTGTTTTGGACGGGCTTACAGCACACGGATGTGCTTCTCAAACTTCTTGCCCATCAGAGTGTGCACCTCCTGGACAACATGGTACGCATCAAACCAGATGTGCTTCTCAGGGTCACTGCAGAGGTTACGCTCTACGCCCTCGCTCTTGTATACGCCCGTCAGGCATGCCGTAGGAGGCTCAAGATACTTCTTCTTCACGCCAAACTTGGCAGGGTTGGAGTAGATGCTACGGAAAATCTCGGTGATATCCACAAAGCCAGCCTTGAAGGTGGTGCATCTGTACTTGCGCACCAGCGACTTGAGCTTCTCCGTCAGGGCATCGTTGTAGGACTTCACGTTGGCGGTCTTGTAGTAGTCCGAGTTGTAGGTGCCCGGGAACTTGGTAATGTCGTTGTAGTTTGCCACGAGGACAGCGCGGGCGCCGTTTGCTCGGAGAAGGTCAATGTGATCCTTGATCAGGCCGGCCACCTTTTCAGGCGACGCGGTGTTGTCAAAGAGAATATCGTTGGCGCCAATCCAGTGCACAAAGATATCGTTGGGGCGGACCTTGTCCTCCTTAAGGAACTTGGCGATCTGATCCGCCGCCGAGGGCACAGGGATCGTCGAATCGGGGCCGGTACCACCAGCAATGTAGGTGTTGTCTGTAGTAGCACCGCCGGTAGCAAGATCGAGCAGCTCGAGGCCTAGGTCTTTCGCAGCTACTTCGTTCCACTTGGGCCCGTTCCTAGGAGGCGTCGGTTAGTATTTCATTGAAACGCTTTCGAGGAACACCAATTGGAGCTGCTACAACTTACGAGAAGGAGTGGTTGTAGTACGCCGGGTCGACAGGCCACTTGTGGTCACTGGCAACCCATGCACCATTGCCATTGTCGCTAAAGCTGTCACCAAAGACTACCAGACGCGAATACTTGCCGTCGCGAATGGCGTGAGGCAAGGCCTGTGTAAGTGTGACGCTGAGCGCGTAGGCGAGGACCGAGTTAAATCTCATCTTGGCTGGGCGAGGATACAGTGATATCTGCAAGTCTAAACAACAACAAAAGGATTAAACCACAATCATTGTTTAACAGGAGGATCGAACCACGTCCTTAAAATATTCAAAGCTACTCTCCCAGAGTTTCCAAGTTTGTGGGGCGAATCTGTTTACTAGCCAAGAGCTTGACTATTTAGGAAAAGCTTGCGGGTGATCCGGGCTCGTCCGGTGTCATGCATTAGCGCGTCTTACACCAATCTTGCCATACCAAGAATACGACAGTGCCGCTGCAAGTCTTGCCCTGCGTCTCGCCTTTTGATGCACGATAGAGGCTATGGTAGCGAATCATGATGCGGGGATGCTGCGAACACAAGCCGTCCCCAGGTGAGTCTGTCTTTCTCATCGTTGCACATGCTGCATGTTGCCCGAATCGGGAAAGACCTGGCGATCTTTGGTCCGGTCTTTGAATCCGTGAGGTGCAGGAAGAGACTTTTATTGTGTACTGGCATGTGCCGATGGATCGTATCTGTACGCCAATTCGGCCGTGCCACACCGGTTTCTGTCCCGCCTCCTTTTCTCTTTCTCCCTATTGACACAGGCGGCATAGCCTACGGGATTGATTGTCCCCAAGGCCAGTAGTGCTCTTGGGATAGACGGATCGTGTGCCGCAAGTCCGCGCGTGTCGCCCATTAACCATCAGAGGCGAGACACATCCCTACGAAAGATTCGTCGGGAATAAGCGAATCAAATGGAATCACCTGAAATGGTGTCATCGGCTCAAAAAGAAAGAGGCTGTATTCACTGCTTATTCTTCCTCATCTGCTGCCTGAGATGATTCCCCAGGACGAACAACTGATAGAATGCCCAGAGCGACAATGCACAGTCCCCCGCCAACCCAAAGTGATATACGGGCATGCACGCTAAATGCAGCAAACCAAACGATTGCAGCTACAGCCACAGACAGTGCTACTACAGCCGTGACGATCGCATTTGTCACCGCCAGTGTCTTGGACGATGTGATGTTGGTAACGGCAGCACGCAGGGCCATCAGGCTTCCAATACCCAAGGAGGAGAGTACGACTCCAACAATAAAGACCGGTTCGTTAGTAGCCAATCCCAAAATAAACACGCCAAAAGCCTGCGCAAGTATGCTACCCCTGGCAAGCCATAAATCTTTCAGCGGAGCTGCGATGCCTCGCCTCGACATGAAGAAGCTACAGAGCGGCAACCCCACGAGCATCACGCCGGACTGTATACTTCCCTGTAATAGTTCTATTACAGCGACGTTTGTAAAGTCCCATTGATACCGGATAGCCCCAAAGATGGCAAGCAAGCCAAGGGAAGTTGTCGCAAAGCCCGCGCAAGCTGTAGCTGCAAACAAACCGGCAGCATAGACCTGATTGTCACCAAAGTTAGGGCTAGCCTCTTTCACCAACCTCCAGAACCACTTCGGCGAAGAATTGGTAGTGCTTTCCGGTAGGATAAGCTCGTCAGAGTCTTCTGTCACGGCCTCGTCGCGAGATTCAGGAACGAAAACGGCAGTGATGCAAGCCGCGACAAGAATGCCTAAGCCGATATAAAGCGACAGCCAGATTCTTTGCCTGAGCATCGCAGCCACAATAAACGGCGAAATGAGATTTGACAGCATAGCAGTGCTTCCTAGAACAAAAAGAGCGACGGCCCTGTTATGTGTCAGTACAATCGTAAGAGGCGCTTGTCCTCCTTCTTACCTCTGTGGTGCTGTTGATACATCGCAGGCCATTGTGTTCAGCATCGTAAAAGACACAAACGGGCCGCCGGCAAGAGTTGCAAGACCTGTAACCAGCCAGATAAATTGCAACGGGATGGTACTGTTCGGAAACCAAGCTACGCATTCATTGCGGTTAGTGTCCAAACAGCGCATAGCAACGACATCTCTTCGCAAACTCACCGATCGAGATCTGCGCCGCATGCATCACCACGGACGCTGCTATCGACAGGACCAAGACCCATTTCCTGCCCCATGTATCGGCCAGCCTACCGTACGGAACAGCAACCAAGCCGCCGCACACGGCCGCCAGCGCGACATTCACGGTCGTTATGGTCACCAGCTTCTGCTGCACCGCCATCTCCTTGCAGACCGAGTCTCGAAACGGATCCGGCACGTCGGGGTGAATTTGTCGACATATAGCGCTCTCGTAGAGCACAGCGATAGACGTGGTTAGGATTCCGCCGGCCAGGTTACTGAGGAACGAGACGATGAGCGTGATGGCGAAGATGGCGATGCGGCGCTTGCTGAGCACAGCTGGTGCGCGGGGGATGAGCGGTGTTGTTTCTGATGGCTCCGACATTTTTAAAAATCTGTGGAAGAATATATGTGATGCATTAGATATGTTGGCGGAGGAGTGTGTTGAAGTAGAAAGTGAGCTGAACTGGAGATGGCATTGATGACTGGCAGTGGCTTGATCTGCTCTGTCGGCCGCCGTAGGGTAGCTTCCGTGTGGGATGTGGCCGGGCAGTCCATGTCTCTTATATGCTGGGTAAAAAATAAAAATATAATATTTTAAACACATGAAAACATGGTTTGCTATATATAAAGCTCTAAATTGTCATAATTTCTTCATATGTGACACGCAGAACAAGAAATGCGCGTTAGGCTACGTACTACGTACCGCCACCAATATCATGTACTGCGCATCCCCAGCACAGGATAGACGACACGGTGGTGTTGAAAATACAAAACATCCATAGTACAGACTACAATTCGTCTAGTAATCATTGCCCTCCAATCATACACCGCTTCTTCCTCCTTTTCGCATCCACACACCTTACCTCCAGAATCATCACTCATCCATATCGGCTACATACCCCACTGACATCATCAACTTACACCACCACTAGTGTACTTTTTATAGCCGTCCTCCCCATCTGCGGTCCCTAATCATTATATCTCGTCAACCTTTCCAGACAAAATGCCTTCCGACGACATTATCCTCTTCCACTACGAATTCTCCCCCTACGCCACCCGTGTACGGTGGTACCTCGCTCTGCGCGGCATCCCTTACACACAATGCGTTCGTCACTCCTCATCTTTTCATCGTCTGTCTACCCGTTGCTAACAATGCCTTCTAGCTTGTATCAAATCAGATGCCACGACCAGAGCTTGAGGATCTCGGCATCGCACACCGACGCATCCCCATCCTCTCCATCGGCCGCGATGTCTACGTCGACACTCGCCTCATCTTCGCCAAGCTAGACGAGCTCAAGAACTACCCTGCCATCACCCCTACTACTCCAGAGCATGCCCTCATCATGGATCTCTTGTCCGAGTACATCACCGATGCGGGCGTCTTCACCAAGATTGCCGACATTCTGCTTGCGTCTGATGCGCCGATCGCGCAGGATCCCGCGTTTATCAAGGACCGCGAAGACCTGCTTGGCCATAAAATCGCCAAGGAGGACCATGCACAGATGACATCATCCGGGTTGATTCGTCTGCAGGAATTCTTTGGGCGATTGGAGAATACCATCTTGTCAGACGGCCGCATTTGGCTGTTCAACACGCCGAGTCCAACGCGAGGCGACATTGAGGGCATCTGGCCCGCACTCTTCCTCGCTGGCATGGACGGCGTGTTGCCAGAGGACAAGTTCTCCCCCAAGATCTTCCCCAAAGTCTACGCGTGGATCCAGCGCTTCAAGTCCATGGTTGACGCTGCGACAGCCCAGGCTCCAGAAATCAAGTCTCTAAATGGCGCTGGGGCGCTGGCGAGTGTCACAGGAACCGATTATCACGATGAGCTTGGAAGCGTGGACCCTACAGACTTTGATGTGGCGGCGTTTGGCATCAAAGCAGGCGATACCGTAAGCTTTGGGCCTCTAGACTATGGATGTACCCAGCGGGACAAAGGTAAGCTCCTGAGTCTCAATGCTCAGGAGGTGGTCCTTGACGTGGCTACGAAGAATGGCTCGTCGATTCGTCTTCACGCGCCTCGTCACGGGTTCCAGCTCCGTAAGGAATAAAGAGGACGGCAAGAGGACGGGACAGGCAGTGATAGAAATATGACCGAATGAATGCTATGAAATTGATTAAATAGTGTGCCGTAAATGATAATATGGTGTTCAACTCTGTTTTGGTTTGCTCCCTTGATCATCCTCCCACTTGCGTGCCATGTTGATCAGGTTGAGTCCTGCCGCTGCACTCTGTCCATCCTCTACCTGCTTTGTCCAGAACTTGTCGCTATCAGTAATCAGGACTGATCGACGCTTCTCGCGCTCAGCAACAGTCAGGTTGACACCTGCTCGCTTGTTCGCCTCGATCTGCTCCAGGTATTTTAGGCGTCGTGCATAGCGCTCGTCGCGCTCCTTGCGGATCTGCTCAGAGCCATAGCGTTCAAAAATCCAGCGTGTGATAGCTCGCAAGAGAAGCAGAATATGCTCGCTGACAAAAATGGTCAAGGGCAGACTAAACCATGACTTGGTTCCAAACGTGTCCGTTCCAAATAGATGCACAATGGCGGCTGTAGAAATGCTGCCGACCCAAGTAAGAATCTCCAGCGACATGACCCAAGGTCCGACGCCATCGGCTCGCGCAGGAGCTGGTCGCTGGTGCTCGATACAAATCTTTGCAAAGTCGGAGCGTAGCTCAATCCAGTTATTGATGAGGAAGCCAAGAGGGATGAGTGGCCACACTGGCGAGAAGAGTGCAAGATAGCCAAACTGGAGGACAAGCTCTGCCATGTCTTCATGAACGTTGTACTGAGCAAGTGTTGATTGATTGCGGACGCTAGCGAGGAATTCCACTTCTTCCTTATCATCTTCCACCATGGTAAGGAGCATAGCTTGCTTGGAGTACTTGCGTCTGTAGCTGCGGTACATTCCAGAAAGTTTGTGCTTGATCATGGGCATGATATTCTCTTCAAAGAAGCTAGAGAGCTGGCCAGTTAGAGTGAGTGCAATGACTTCGTTTCGCAGCTTGTCAGCATCGGGCGTAAACTTGTGAACAACTACTGCGCCGTCAAGCTTGGGGAAGAAGGTAACCAGGGTCTGCTTCAACCATGGAACAACTTCGTCGCCGAAGGGAATGTAGACAAACGCAACGAGCAAAATAGGCAAATAGTTGGTGATGATGTTCAGCATGAAGATCTTTTGCGTCATGGATACTTCATGCACATCTGCCGTCCTGTGATTTTCATACTTTGTGAGCGTTTCTGCAACACTTTCCAACGCCGAGCTAATGTACGGGATAGCGACAGCAAGAAGAACAGTAGGCACATATTCCAGATAATTTTGGTATGGGCCATCGTAAGCTTCTGAAACCAGAACCTCAAGGGCAAAGACGGCGATAATGATAACACCTAGCACCGCCGTAGCAACAAGAATGAATGGGACCTGTAGCGACTGCCGAGCAATCTGTTTCCATTTGGGGAAGAAGTGAATGGTTCTTCCATGAGAGTCAATCATGGTCTTTTCGTATTTGAATTCCGGGCGGTTAATCTTGCTCTTATGCACGCCGCGCACATCCCATCGAATACTCAGGTCGACCTGTTGCAGCTTCCAATATTCCAAAAAGACGCTGCACCAAATACTAGTCAAGATGGCGTACGACAGAGAGTACTTGGGGAGCCACATCCAAGCAATGACACCCGTAGCTGCCGGGAAAAGGAGAAAGATGAGGTAGTTTTGAATAAAAGCAAAGTAAAACGCCACTTTTGAGCCAAACAAATCTCTGATCTGGTCGAGGTCTTCCACTGTGATAAGTACTCTCCTGCTGAGGTGTCTCAGGAGAGAGTTATTGACGGGCTCATTGTGCAGTGGGAAAATGGACTTTACATTTTCCCACTGGCCGACTTCGGGGGTGATGCCGGCACCACCCATATCTTTGGGCCAATGGACCAAATGGTAGACTGCTAGCAGATCTTCTGCCTCGAATTTGCCTTCCACAATCGTGTCTTTGTCGCCGCCCGGATGCGTTTGTGTGATTGAATAGAGCCAATCCTTGACGCGCCCCTTGTAGACATTGTTGCCAAGCAGAACGCGGGGCACCTTAACAAAGACGAGAATCGATCGATCGTAGCCCGGGCGGATTTCGGTATGCAGACCAGCTGCTTCGAGGTCGATGAGAAGTGTTTTGAACTCCTCAATTGCTGTATCGTAGTCTGAAGACGCAATCGCCCCGAAGTCAGCAAACCGTTGGCCACGGAGGGCAGTGGAAGCTTTCTTACCTGCGTCGCCAAAGTCGTAATGGATGACGTACTTGTCATTGTATCGCATCGTAGACTCCATGTTCAAGCTGGGGTATAAAGATGCCATTTTGACCGAATTTTCAGCTCTCCATCCACGCCTAGAAGCGAAAAAGGTTTGGCCAGCGTTGCAGCCTGTGCGACGGCGTTGAGGTCTGCAGTGTGAGATTGACAGGTTAGATCCGAACAGCCGGCGTGGCGTCGCGCTAACGATGTCTAGGGCGCACTGAAAGTAACCTTTAGGACAGCGAGCGTTGCCTCTCGCAGCAGTGTGGCACGGTGGGCTCGTGGCTTGCTTCCAACAGCAAAGAAGCCAATTTCCTTTAGGTGTTGGGCGCGAGAAATGTGTGTGAGAGAGGGGAAGAAAAGATCGAATGAGAAAACAAGGCTACTAGTTGCCGGCCCGTCACAGCTGGCGCAGCTGGCGGATTGAGCTCCACCACCGCCCAGACGTTTTGTTCCCGCCAGGCCCGCTACGTGGGACGCCCTGACGTATTGAGTGGCTACAAAATGCCCCATTGGATTCTGTTGGCATCAAGTACGGTGTGATTAAATCGCTTGTCGACCAAACGCATTCATTAATTGTACATTGCTGCCAACTGGATCTACTATTCTTAAAAATGACAGAGGCCGCGCCTTGACTTTAATTTGAGGAACCTGACAGGTGTCCAGCAATGGTGAGACTAGGCAAGATTGCCGATAAGGGAGCGCCACAAGCAGGCAAACACGCCGTGTCTCACCTTTTTTGTTGAGCTTTCTCATCTGTTCTGTTCCCTTTCAGACCCTTTTCTGTTTAAACTGCCGAATTTTGTTCAGACGTATTATATACCAGGTAGATGGGAGGTTCTACATGGAAACTAGGCTGTATTGCTCACTGCTAGCGAACGGTTCACCAAATGCAAGTTTAACGGTAATGAAATTTGTTATTCTATATTTTCTTTCCCGTACTAGATACTGTAAAACTCCAAATAGGCTCCCATAACACAAAAATCAAGGAAAGAGCATTTAGTTGCCCTCAGCCTGCTTGAGGAGACCCTCGAGGTTCATGCTCTTGGGGCGCTCAATGGGGAGGCCGAGAGCGCGGTCCCAGATGAGCTGGGCAAGGGGACCCAGACCACGGGAGACACCAAAGGTGGCAGTGTAGTAGAGGGTCTCGTGGAAGCCGTAGTGGTGGAAGAGAACACCGGAGCTGGAGTCGACGTTGGGGTAGGGGTTCTTGGTCTTGCCGTGCTTCTTGAGGACCTCGGGGGCGATGCGGCTGTTCTTCTCGACGAGCTGGAAGACGGGGTCCTGGGCGATCTCGGGGCGGGCGGCGGCGTAGTCCATGAGGGCCTCGAAACGGGGATCGGGCTTGCGGAGCACGGCGTGGCCGTAGCCGGGGACGACACGGCCGGAGTTGAGGGTGGACCAGAGGTAGTCCTCAACGTCCTGCTCACTGTAGGTGGCGGGGATGTTGTCCTTCATCTGGAGGATCCAGCGGAGAACCTCCTGGGCGGCAAGGCTAGAAGGAGGAGAGTTGTTAGCGAAATGAACTGTCATAGCAAGACCACATCAGACGAATAAAAGCAGGAAAATATAACTTACCCATGGAGGGGACCGGCGAGACCCTGGAGACCAGCAGAGTAGGAAAGGAAGGGGTCGCTGAGAGCAGAGCCAACCAAGTGGGTGGCGTGGGCAGAGACGTTGCCACCCTCGTGGTCACCGTGAAGGGCGAGGTAGAGACGGAGGAGGTCCTGGAAGTTCTCGTTCTTCTTGCCGCCCTTGCCAAGCATAGCAGCGTAGTTGTAGGACCAATCCTGGTCGAGGTCAACCTCAGCGGGGAGAGCACCGCCGCCGTGGTAGGCGTTCTGGTAGATCTTGGCGGCAATAGTGGGCAGCTTAGCCAGCAGGGAGATGGAGTCATCAAAGGTAGGCTCCCAGTAGTCGGCCTTGTTGAGGCCCTTCTCGTAGGCCTTGGCGAACTTGGACTCGTAGTTGAGGGCAGAGACGGCCATGGCGAACTGGGTCATGGGGTGGAGGTCCTTGGGGAAGTCGTCGAGCATCTTGGAGACGAAGGCGGGGATCTGGGCCTGCTCGGCGAGCTCGCGAGAGAACTGGCGGATCTGGTTGGTGGAGGGGACCTTGCCGGTGAGGAGGAGCCAGAACATGGCCTCGGGAAGCATCTCGGTGCCAGTCTTGCCCTTGGGAAGCTCCTTCTGGCAGTCCTTGATGGTGCGGCCGTGGAAGCGGATGCCCTCGTTGGCGTCGAGGACGGAGCCCTCCCAGACCATGGCCTTGAGGCCACGCATACCGCCGAGAGTGTTTTCAATCTTGACCTCGCCAATGACCTTGTCGCCGTGGGCCTTGACCTTCTTGAGGAGCTCGCGCTTGGCAGGGATGACCTCCTTGAGGGTGGTCTTGAGATCGGGTTCGGCGGTGGAGTAGGCACGGACACCGGAGAGAGCGGCGCGGGTGGCCTTTTGGACTGAGTGTTAGCTTTTGTTTGTTCAATTGGAGTGCCATGATTTCTTGGTGGTTGGCAGCAATGTCGTGCTAGCGTCCCAGTTCCAATGAAGCCGAGGCGGGGGAAACGTACCTGGAGCGAGCTCAAGGCTCGGGTGGAGGCTCTAATAGACATGGACATGATTTCTGCTTTGGAATTCTGGAAAGTACAAGATGGAAAGTCAGATGCCGAAGTTGAGAGAAGAAAGAAGAAAAAGAAACGGAGGGAGAGAGGGAGGAAGAAAGCTGAGACGGCGCTTCGGCTGAAGCCCCGAGCAAAAATAGCGTGGGGTTTCGCTTTCGGCGGTCGGAGCAATGACCCTTGCCGCCAGCACGGTTGCCGATTGGAAAACGCGGGGGAAGCAGGAAGAGGACGAGGACGAACCTGATGGGAAGTAGTATAATCAATCGAGAATTTGCAGTCTCGGGAATAGCTTCACTTCAAGAGACGAGAAAAATAAAACAGTGAGAGAAAAGCAGCTGACCGAGCCACATATGTTTTTTTTTCCCTTGTGCCTGCCCGCCAGGTTGCCGTTGGTTGGGGTTTGCCGGCTTGCCAGTGCCAACCGAGGAAAGCCGGAGCAGCGGCGCTGTTGATTGGCCAATTGTGGTCTGCAACGTTGTTGTCGGCTTAAAAAAAGATGGGCAGCTTGTTGGGGGCGATGCACTATGACGATAGAGCAGTTTGAGGAAGACTGGAAAAGAAAGACGAATGAATAGCAATTGAGTGATTTTAGTGGGCTCTATTTACATAATTAATGGAAAAGTATCACTATGAATTTTTTTTAGTATGTTGGAAATATCTATGAGACAACTCGACGAATTGGAATGTAGGCTCTTTTCACAGCGCTGCCCGTTGCACGATTAGCGGAGGAGAGGATCTTGCCACTGGAAGATGCCTCACTGTAGCGAAGTACCCTCGGCATACACCACAGCCATCAGCATGACAAGCACTCACTCCCATGGACGGTGATCTTAGCTGTTTCTCAAATACATAAATTCTATCTATTAAATATTTTAGTTGCTATAACCCCAATTGCCTCTCTTTTTCTTCTAATACCATAATTCGCTCCTCGCAGTCCCTCCGGGTACCGCCCGTCTGCTACATCGGCGCACCGGCTATACCCCAGAGCCCGCCTACCCGTTGCTCCCCTCCTCTCGGCTTAGCCCACGGGTTTATCGTATTTCCTCCACCACGCCCGAGCTCGCCACAGCATCGTTTTCTCTTCTCTGCCGAGCCACAGCCAACAAAACCGCCACGAAACCATCCGAGAGCTCTCTTTCTCGTCCTCACCTCACCCTTCTCGAATCTCTTCGTACTGCTGCTATCAGCAAAAATGATGCGACGAGCCCTCTCGCGAGCCCCTGCTCCCAAGCGAGTTCTCTTCTCTGCCACCCGATCATCCCCAATCGCCGCTGCCCGCGCCATCTCGACCTCCGCCGTCCGCATGTCTGCTCCCACCAACATGTTCTCCTCTGGCATCCCAGCCCAGGACTCCTTCCAGCTTCTGCCCGAGTCTCTAAAGGCCGGCGAGGCAGAAGATGCCCTGTACGAGGCCCAGCTCAAGGAAGTCGAAGCGTGGTGGGCGTCCCCTCGTTACGCTGGCATCAAGAGACCCTACAGCGCTGCCGACGTTGTTTCCAAGCGCGGCTCTCAGCGCATCTCTTACCCCAGCTCCGTCATGGCTGCTAAGCTCTTTGACCTGATCCAAGAGCGCTCTGCCAAGGGCGAGCCCATTCACACACGTACGTTTGATCTGCTGTGAGCCAATCTACTTGCTAATGAAGAAACTAACAATCACCTCGTCCAGTCGGAGCCATTGATCCCGTTCAAATGACACAGCAAGCTCCCCATCAAGAGGTCCTCTACTTGTCTGGCTGGGCATGCTCGTCGCTCCTCACATCGACCAACGAAGTCTCCCCCGACTTTGGCGACTACCCGTATAACACGGTCCCCAACCAGGTCCAGCGTATGGCCAAGGCCCAGTCCATGCATGACCGTAAGCAGTGGGATGCTCGCCGTAAGATGACGGCCGAAGAGCGCGCCAAGACACCTTACACCGATTACCTTCGCCCCATCATCGCCGACGGTGACACTGGTCACGGTGGCCTGTCTGCTGTTCTCAAGTTGGCCAAGCTGTTTGCCGAGAACGGTGCCGCTGCCGTGCACTTTGAAGACCAGCTCCATGGCGGCAAGAAGTGCGGTCATCTTGCTGGCAAGGTCCTCGTCCCTACCGGCGAGCACATCAACCGCCTCAATGCCGCCCGCTTCCAGTGGGACGTCATGGGCTCTGAGAACCTGGTTATTGCCCGCACCGACTCCGAGTCTGGCAAGCTAATCTCCTCGGCCATTGATGTACGCGACCACGAATTCATCCTTGGTGTCACTGATGCATCAATTGAGCCTCTTGCCGAGACTATCCAGGCCATGGAGGCCCGTGGTGCCAGCGGCCCCGAGATTGACACCTTTGAAGCCGCCTGGGTCAAGAAGACAACCCTCGTCACCTTTGACGAGGCCGCCGTGGCTCACATGCGCAGCGAAGGCGTCGCCGAGGACAAGATCTCTGAATACCTGTCTGCCACACAGGCCGACCGCGACATGGGCATTACGCGCCGCCGTGCCCTTGCTGCCCACTACTCCAAGACCCCCGTCTACTTCAACTGGGACGTCCCCCGCACCCGCGAGGGCTTCTACCACTTCAAGGCCGGCATGGCCGCCGCTACCAAGCGTGCGCTTGCCTTTGGCCCCTACGCCGATCTGCTGTGGGTTGAGACTGGCGACCCCAACGTCGAGGTGGCCAGCAAGCTCGGCCGTGCCGTGCGCGAGGTCTTCCCTGGTAAGGGCCTGGTGTACAACCTGTCGCCGTCGTTTAACTGGATGGCGCACGGCTTCAGCGAGGAGACGCTCAAGTCGTTCATCTGGGACATTGCCAAGGAGGGCTTTGTGCTGCAGCTTGTTTCGCTGGCTGGTCTACACACCAGCGCCACCATCACCACCGAGCTGGCCCGCGACTTCAAGACGGACGGCATGAAGGCATACGTCGATCTCGTACAGCGCCGTGAAAAGGACCTCAAGTGCGATGTTCTCACGCATCAGAAGTGGAGCGGTGCCAGCTACATTGATGGCATCCTCGGCGCCATTCAGAGCGGCAGCTCGAGCTCCAAGAGCATGGGTGACGGCAACACTGAGGGCCAGTTCAATTAAGCTAGCTATATAAGGGATGGATGGTAAAAGAAAAAAACGGAGGAAGACCCTTTGGCGCATTTGAATTGGCGTTTTATGTTTTTTTATATCCTTAACATTTCGACTTGTAGAAAAAAGACACTGCGAAAGTAGTGATATATAATGGAATTTTTATTTTGTATTATTAAGTGAACGTGGTTCGTTTTTTCTTTGTAGAGCCGCAGCATAAGTCATTATACATGGAACAAGACGTGTTTACAAGGAGTCCTTGGAAGCGTTGTTCTGGGGAGCAGCAGGGGCAGGGCCCTCGGGGGTAACGTAGGCCTTGCTGAGACCGCCGTCAACAACAAAGTCATGGCCGTTGACGAAGCTAGACTCGTCACTGGCAAGGAAGACGACGGCGTGGGCCTGCTCAACGGCCTCACCGAAGCGGCCGGTAGGGAAGTGGACCTCGCGGCGGTTACGCTTGGCCTGGTCGTCACCGAGCCAGTCCTGGAGGAGCGGGGTGTTGAGGGGAGCAGGGCAGAGGGAGTTGAAGCGGAATCCCTCGCGGGCGTGGACCATGGCGAGCTCGCGAGTGAGGGCGAGGACGGCACCCTTGGAGGCTGTGTAGGCGAGCTGGGGAGTAGCAGCGCCCATGAGGGCGACAAAGGACGCCGTGTTGATGATGGAGCCCTTGGTCTTGTTGTTGCGGCGGAGGGCGAGCACAGCGTGCTTGCAGCCGAACCAGACGCCCTTGACGTTGATGGCCTGGGTCAGGTCCCAGATCTCCTCGGGGGTGTTGACGGCGTCGTCGTCCCTGGCGTGCATGATGCCGGCGTTGTTGAACATGATGTCCATGCCACCCCAGGCATCGAGCGACTCAACCATGGCCTTGATCTGGTCTTCCTTGGAGACGTCACATTGCTAGAAGCATGTATTAGCTTTGTTATTGTGGTTTTAAAAATGCAAGAGAACAAAAAGGTTGTAAACGTACGACGACCTCGACGCGGGGAGCGTTGGGCACAAGCTGCTTGACCTTGGCAAGGGCCTTTTCGAGGGCAGGAGTGGAAATATCGGAGAGAAGGACGCTGGCACCCTCCTTGGCGAAGAGGATGGCGGTTTCGAGACCAATACCACTGTTTGGAAAGACAAAGTGTTAGAGCCTAAGTTGTGGCATGCGGGGTGTTGAAGGAGGGAACATGGCATCTTACTTACCCAGCAGCACCAGTGATGATGGCGTTCTTGCCGGCAAGGCGGCCAGTAGGAGCAGCAGCAGAAGCCATTGTGTGAAAGAGTTGTGTTGAATGTGATAGGATCTGAAGAGATTTGGTTATGGGGAAGAAGGAAACAAGAAAGATGGTAGAGGGATGGCGGGGGAAGAAAAAGTACAAAGAAAGAAGTGGAGGGGTAGCTGTTCTTCTTTTTTTGGGGGGTCACCGGTTGTCTGGATTCGGTGGACCGCGCTTCGCTGTGCCGTCACTGCGGGCAAGCCAGCCGCCTGGAGGTAATAGTGCTATTATGGGCAGTTCAAAAGGGTGGGCGGTAACCGTGTGTGGGGGAATAAAACGCCAACCGCCCGTTTAGCGGCTCAGCTTTTGTCTATCGTCTTTTTCTGAATTCCTTCTTCGCTTGTTCTCTCACGTATTACCGACTTGGCCGTTGTTCTCTCGGCATCTCTTTCATCGGCTTTCCCTTCCCAGGGGTCCTCTTTTAGCTAGTGGGAGCGCTGCCGTAAGCCGCCTGCAGCTAACTGCGGCTTGCAGCTCCGTAGTGGTGTGTAACTGTCGCAGAAGCTAGAGCTACAGCGCTTTTACAGTGGGGGTGGTGGTGCAGATTCCGAGAACGGCGGACTTTCGGTGTCGGTGCGCGCTGCCGGAGCCGGAGCGCGGGGTCCTTTTTTTGTGTTGCTCTGGGTTTGCTGCTGGCCCGTGCCGCGCTGCCACTTTTGTATGGGGAGACGAGCCCCGGAATAGTAGCCGCGCTGAGGCCAATCGAAGGGAAATCTCACGATGGAGGTGTTTGGAATAAGCCGGGTCATGTCGACTATGTCGAGAAACAAAATAGCCGAGATCGGTATATACAATGCGTGTTTAGCAAGGTAGGCAACGTGTAAACCACGCTGGCAGGCTCAGCCGCGCTCCCAAGGTGGGCGGTGCCGGCGTGAGAGCATCTCGAGCCGCGATGATGCGTTACGCCATATAAGTGACACACAAGACGAATGAGGGAGGAATAGAAGGCCGCGGAAATATTTCGTACGATGAGGATGGAAAAGGAGATTGAGCTCTTTTATTTTCTTTCCTCGTCATTGGGAGTGCCAGGCTGCGAGCGAGGTTGCACGGCCGCGCCCTACGAAACCACCGCTAAGCCTCGCTATGCGAGATTGCATCCATCACCAGAGTCGCAATCGTAGAAAAAAAGCTCTTCTAGAAGCTATGCGCCGCACGTGTATTGGAGAAACTCTCCGCCCCTTGTATGGAGCTAGAGAGCGAAAGGCGCAGCTGCTGACCATGGCGTTTTGCGCTGACTTTGTCATCTTTGTGCAGTCGGAATGCCCGCCGGTGTGCGCTCACGGAGCACCGCATCGTAATTGAAGTAAGCTCCAGCTGTGAGGCGTGGGCTGATTGCTTGCTGGTGGTGGGAACGGCTAAAACAGATGGAGTAGCGCGGTCCGCCCCAAGAAAAAGGCGACCAAGATAGGCGCAACAAGGATTCTGGCACGCTGCTTTAAGATGTGGATTGGGGGACAGGGAAGCTGACGGATGAGATGGTAGGCGCGCTTACAGTGGCTAAGCAAAAAGTTACAAGTAGTCCATATGAATTTCAACAAGCGCATTCCAAATGTATATTTACATAAACTTTATATGTAAAATCTACCTTGGAAGATCTATGCCTATTTCGAAGCAACTTTTGCTCTGTTTCTTTCAATTCATGAATGCTACTCGTCACCCTATCTCTACCCCGTCCTGTTCTTTTTAACACAATCTGCGTGCGCTGTAGATCCCCGTCTCCCCCCACCCAGCATTCGCTTTCTGCAAAAGCTGTGCTGGGCGTAAAGCAGCGACGGCGCTAAACCCAATCGGAGCACCAGCCGCAAGTCGTCACTCGTGCTCTCCTTCCGTTCCACCACTTCCGCTGCCCCAGCTCTGCTGCTGCCGCGCTCTTGCTTCGCTTTTCTCTTCTTTGTCCCGCCTTTCCCCGGTTCTCTTCTCCTCCTTTCCACTTTGTTAAAACTAAAGACACATCACAAGTCTAATTCCTTCTTCTTTATTCTACATTACTATAACGCCTGTCTCTGACAACGCACGCGCACAACAGCAACCAGCTTTCGCTCTACCCACACCCAAAGCCCACGACGTCATGCCTGAAGGCACCACATTGACGGCTGCGCAGTTGCCGCAGCTGCTCGAAAATGATACACGAGTAAAGTTGGCCGGTGTAGATGTCGACGGCATGCTTCGTGGCAAAGTTATTTCGAAGAAGAAGTTTCTTTCCATTGCCGAAGAGGGTTTCGGCTTCTGCTCCGTCATCTTTGGCTGGGACATGCACGACAAGACCTATGCCCGCGAACTCAAGATTTCCAATGCTGAAAATGGTTACCGTGATTTGCTTGCCATTCCGGACCTGAACAGCTTCCGCCGAATCCCTTGGGAAGATAACTTGCCCTTTTTCCTTGTCAGCTTCTTCGACCCCGACACCAAGGAGCCTGTGTGCGCTTGCCCACGTGGGCTTCTCAGAACGTTGCTTGATCGCATGCGCACCAAGGGCTGCGGCGCCATGGCTGGAGGTAAGTGTTCCAAAAATATGCCACGCAGCGCATCCTATTGCGATTGCACTTTGTACACAACAGCATGAATAGCTACTAATGCGTCCCAAAAACAGCCGAGTATGAGTTCTTCACTTTCAAAGCCCCCGACGGTGGATCGCCCGCCGCCTTTCTTCAGCACAACCTGCCCCAGAAGCTACCTTCGCTGACCGAGGGCATGTTTGGTTACTCGTTAACCCGACCTCTCCAAAACAAGGACTACTACTACGATATTTTCGACTCTTGCGAGGCCTTCAAATGTAACATTGAGGGATGGCATACCGAATCCGGCCCTGGTGTTTTCGAGGCTGCTCTTGCTTTCGATGAGATTGCCGAGATGGCTGATCGCGCCAGCTTGTTCAAGCTCACAGTAAAGGGTGTCAGCACGAAATACGGTATTACTCCCTGCTTCATGGCCAAGCCCAGACAAGGTCTTCCTGGAAACAGTGGGCACATGCACATTTCCATTGTCGACACCGCTGGCAAGAACTTGCTCGCGAGAGAAACCAAGGACGAAGACGCTGAATGGGACGATATTGCCTACCTCTCCGACGTAGGCCGTCACTTTTTGGCCGGTCTTTTGGAGGGTCTCCCGGATATTATGCCCATGCTTGCACCAACTGTCAACTCATACAAGCGCCTCGTCGAGAACTTTTGGGCACCAGTGACTGTGTCTTGGGGTCTTGAGCATCGCGCCGCCTCCATCCGTATCCTCACGCCCCCCACCTGCAAGGCTGGAGCCACACGATTCGAGGTGCGTGTACCTGGCGCTGACACCAATGCCCATCTGGCTCTTTCTGCCATTCTGGGTTGTGGCTGGCGTGGTGTAGAGAAGAAGCTAGAGATTCCTTGCCCACCTCTGGATAGAGGCGCTGAGATTGGCAGTGGGCGAGACAAGGGCGAGCGCCTGGCCAAGAGCCTGAAGGAAGCTACTGCCAAGTTTATGCACAAGGACAGCATCGCCCGTGAGGTATTTGGCGACGATTTTGTCGACCACTACGGTGGAACTCGTGAAAATGAGTGCCGCTTGTATGACGAGGCCGTGACAGATTGGTATGTTAACTGCATTTTTATCTACAATGGGCACATGCTAACCATATGAGCAGGGAGGTTCAACGATACATCGAGACAGTCTAACGAAACGAAATTGTACAATAACTTGTCGATTCCAGTTGTAAGGCGAAGTTGATCTACACTATCAATTTTTCTTTGGGAGCTCGTGGAGAGCATATGATATGACAGGGACATCACGGGGGAGGCTTTTGTTTCATCGTTCACCAATGTGTACATACAATTGATCAACATCGATCTTAGCAATGAAGAAATATAACTATACTTTGTTTGAAAATAACATAAATCAGCAAAAGCCGCCCATTGTTTCCATACTGGCCCTAAACTGAGAGCCCTTGACTTTCTTTGAAAGATGTTGCAAATTGACCGCCGACAATAAAAGCAAAAGCACGCACATAATCATCCTATACAGTACACATAATACATACACCCACCACACCGTCATACATTACATCAGACTTGGGCGTGGTCTCCTACGCGAACCAAACCTCGCGTGCGGACCGCCGCCGTCGTCGCTTGGGTTCCACTCCTCGGGATGAAAGTCTGGGTTTCCATAATGTGCTCTATTCCATATGCTATTTTTAAAAGTCGCCGTGGTCACGTTAAACATGGGATCCGGCAGCTCGTTCTGACAGTCCTCGTAGTCCAGCTGCAGCGCGCTGAATCGTATATTGCAGCCCATAGGCCTCACCTCGTCCATTTTCTTCTTCTTTTTGTCTGTTTTAGTCGTCGCTATTGCCCCGTAGGTCCAATCCTGGCCACCATCAGCAAACGCACAGCAGGAGTCGTCCATATCTGCCATCGATAGCAGGCCCGGGACAGTCGTAAGATGAAAGTCGGCCGTAGCAAAGGTGCGGAGGCTGTGCGGCGCGGGCATGGTGGGGGTCGCCGTCATCATCATATGGTTAACCTGCACAGCGAGATCCTGGTTAGAAGAAAACGGCACTTGGAGGAGGAGGAGCGGGGGCAAGTCACGATAGAGGATATCGTAATGATCGGGCCGGAAGAGGAGATGTATCGTTTCGTGGTGCGCCGCGGCCTGGTCGTCGTCGGGAAAGCGGTACATGTTGGGCGCCGAGCCGGGCGTGCGGTCCAGGTAGGCGATTTCCAGGACAAGGTCAACGGGCTTGACGAGCACGTTGGCGAGGCCGATGATGCCGAGCTGGTCAATCTCGCGGTCTACGGGCTCAATAGTGTTGGCGCAGTACGACTGCACACCCGAGCCGTCGGGTACAAATGGATCGTATACGTCCGCGTTGGCCTTGAGGTATGTGGCGGCAAGTAAGCGCAGGTAGTAGATGAGGGCAGAGGAGGTTGCTGTGTCGTTCCATCGTTCCTCGACGAGGGCTAGTGCGGCTACGGGGTCGGCAATGATGGGCACCAGGTCACGCAGCATCCCGATGGCTTCGTCGGCCCAGTCCTCGTAGAAGGTGTAGCCGCCGACAGAGCCGAGCATGGTGTTCATGCTGGTGAGACGGGCGACTTCTGATTCTAGTTTAGTGCTGTCACCGAGGCCTGCGAGCTTTTCAAAGTATGAGAAGCCGATAGCTAAAAGTGATGGAGTGTGTTAGTTGAGTTGCTAGAGGTAGTGGTGAAAGGGAGTGATGGCTATAGTACCTCGCCAGCCGCAGTTGCCGTCGCCCTTGATGGGTCGGTAGCTGGAGTATGTTTGTGAGATGGCCTATGAGATGACGTTAGTTGTGCTTGTGAAAGTATACGGAAGAGTGTCGGTGCGTACTATTGTCTTTTCAACGTAAACGGGATCTGCTTTGGCATATTCCTCGGATATGTCAGAGCTGGGAGTCTTGGGGCCAACATCTGGACCCTAGGTGTACGATATCATGTTAGAAAGCTGTATCTAGGTTTAGGTACTAGAAAAACTTCAACAAGGACATACTTGGATGTCGGGACGGTACTCTTTGGCGGCTTCTTGCTGTGCCGCCATACCATGCGGGGCATTGTCCGAAACGCCTTCCATGGCTGGTCCAAAATACCTCTGGTCTGACTGAAGCTGCAACAGGTTGTACTCTGGGGAATCCTGGATGGTAGCTGCGGTAGAAGGCCAACTGGGAATGTTGGCCAACAGCGGTGATGGTGAAGGTGAAGCTTGCGCAATGCAACCACTAGCTGCCAGCTCGTGGTGGTGTTGTTGTTGGTGGGGGCGGGGACTGTCCACGCAGCCGCCACAGCGACGTGACGACACAGCATTATCACCTGCAGCAGCGGCGGCGCCCACGCCACGGCCTTGGGCAACCATTGGGCTCTCGTCCTGTGAATTCAGAGCACACAGGACACTATCAAGCCGACTATTGGCAAGGTCCACGCCAAGTCCTAGCTGGTCCCAAAAAGACGACGGGAGGGATTCCTGCTCGTCGAGTGCATGTGGGCTGTTCCTAGGGAATGAAGAGCAGGCGATGCCCTGATACATGTTGATAAGGATGAAAATAAAACCAGAAAGAGAAAGTGAATCTGCTGATGAAATCAAATGGTCCGTCTTAGAATACTGTGTCTAAAGACGCCAGCAGACAGCCAAAAGTGTCCGGCCTGGATCGATGCTGGCTCGGCTGGCTCTTCTTATTCAAGGCTTGCTTTTTCAGAAAGCTAACAATTGAAACAGAATTCTGAGCCAGGTTGATCAAGCGAAAATACTTTTCTAAAAGCAAAGAAAAACAAAAACATACAACGCGACGATCAAGCGATGCTGGTTGTTTCAGACAAAACATCTGGTTTAAATGTTCCCTGGAGCTCGGCTGGGATGACTGGCGTGCACCCACGGCACAGACTGTGCGACGATACTGCTGCTGAATCGTCCCGCGTCTTTTGCGTCTTGTGGACGAGAGCACGGCATAGAACGGCGCGCGATACGCACTTGCAAGAGAAAGGATCCATGTCCATCGTGTTGGTGGCAAGCCCGTAACACACGACCGACTACGAATTGCAGCTTTGTTCTTAGCAATGACTCGTTAAGCCTTTTTCAATGTCAGTTGAACCTCTGGCCAGCTCTCCTGTGGGCGTGTGTGTTGGTTTAGTGCGACGTGACTATGCGAGCTCTAGTTCTCAGAAACAGTCGCAGTGTCTTCCTTTTTCCCAACCGTGTTACCATCACGTGGGGATTCGTCGTCTATTCGAGCACCGGATCTGTATGCCTGCATCCGCTGTGCTTGAGCTGCCTCCCCCGTCTCATATCACCCGTACATGGCTGGCTGCATGCGCTGAATCAGACACGCACATAGTGCTGTATGCTGTGCACCGCGAGTTGCTCTGTTGTCTCCGCCACACGTCCCCTGGCCTCGCTTGCTATGGGCGAACGACCCTATGTGACAAGGCAGATGCCCTTACTGTAGCCACCCTTGGAGCGTGGTTTTAGTATTATTTGGTACATATGCTGTGTTGCGGCGTACAATCAGTAGGCAAATGCAAGCTGGACGCAAACGCATGAGTCCCAGAGATTACATTTTTACTATAACTTCTACACTATGCAGACGTAGAATTCTGGTATTTAGTTCGAATCTAGAAAGAACTCAAAACATTCATCCGCCCAAATTTGTATCAACGTCGCTGCTACACCATGATACCGGGCGTGGGGTTTAATTTACAGCACAAAGCGGAATAGATACTTTATCAGTCTCCATAATTAAACTTATACATGTCGTGATGTTTCATTAGACTACTTTCTATGGCGTCAATGTTATGCTCCCCGTCTTCATGCCATGTCCCCTTTGCGCCGCATTTTGGTACTTCTCAACTCTAACAACTGATTTTTCGCCTAAGCAAGAGCTATTCTCTCTTTGCCTTTCTTGCTTCCAGGTCCCCTAAGCAGGCCACGTAATCCTCCTCCACCCATGGGAGAATCAAATATTGTCTCATCTCCTGTGGACTGCTCCAAAGCTCGGAAGCCTTCGCCCTCGCGGAGGACTGCGCTAAAGAGCGTCGATATCGAGCTTGTCAGACTCTGCAGCGTCTGTGTCCTCTCTGCGTCGGCATCGGATGTGATTTCCAGAATACCTTCGCGCTGGTTAATCTTGCCCTTGATTTTGCCATCGATAATAAGAAAGCCAAGGATATCTTGGACCTCGGGCTCGGAGATTTTCAGCTGCTGCGCAAGACGGGACAAACGCATACGCGTGTATGGCGCAATGAGTTTCAAGACACCCTTTGTGCGCATATTTCGTGTGACTTCATCAATGTTTTCAGCAATAAACGGGTCGGCTAGGATATCTTGATTGCCTTGCAGAACCTTTTCGTAGGCGTGAACGTCATCTCGCTGGTAGGCGTCCACGAGTTCCGTCATTGCCGAGATACGCGGGTCCGACTTGTACGGTTTTGTTTCCTGTGAGTCAAACGGGTTGATGTCTGACTTCATGAGCATAGTTGTAAGGAGAAGATACTTGAGTACCTGAATACGCTGCAGCGAGCCAGCCTCGTCGTAATTGCGAAAGGATTCGAAAAAGTCACTCTGTGCTTCTTTCCAATTTTCTTCGCTCATGTGCATCTTGCCACCGCATTCGCGGATGATGCCCATGACACGTGGATGTGGTACGGCTGACTTGACTTTCAAAGCCCGCTGATAGAGTGTCTTGAGTTGCTTGTTATTCTTTGTCTCTGCGAGCATTTGAATTTCCAAGGCATAAACTTCGAGTGAATATGTACCCTTGTTGCTGTCATCGGAGCCGTCTTCATTCTGGCATGCTGCGTGCAGCTCATGGAGCTTCTTTGAAACGGCCGAGTATTCTTTTCTGTCGAGCATGAGCTTGGCAAGTTTGATGTTGGTCTTCAGCCACAGGCGTTCGTTGTTGGTGCTTTGGAAGCTCTGAAGGGTGAGAGAGTAGAATTTCTCCATGCTCTTTACTGCGTCCTTGCCATCTGCACCCTTTTCTATGTAATCGAGCATGTTGTTGATAGACTTTTCCGAGTAGTTTCGAGTGACGGCCGACTTGACGTATGTGAGGAGTTCTTCGAAATGATCTGCGGCCTGGAGCAATGATTAATACACTACATCAACACTGTAGAGCTAGCACGCTTACGCTGTCATATCGGCTAAGCTTGAATTCAAGCTTGATGGCTTGCTTCAGGCCCTTGAACCCCCATTCACTCTTCTCTTGCTCCAGCGCTGGCATCCCTAGAAACTCTTCTATAGCTTCTTCAGGGTTGCTTAGCTTAAGCTGCTTCGCACTGTAGTATTTATTCTCGATATCGACATCGCCGGAGTCTTCGTCATCGTCTTCCTCGTACTCAAAGTCATATCTGCATCACGTTAGCTTCGAGTGGTGATAGCTACGGCAAGGCGGGGCGGGCGCACTGTTCCTCGTCGGATTCTTGCATAAAATCCTCGTCGTCCGACATTTTGGTGGCAGATTGTTTTCAAGAAGGGGGGCGTCTTGATTGTTGTCAACACACTCGATGTTGATTGTGTCAAGGCTGCGCCGTGCTTGTCGTGATGGTGAAGCAGGCAGATACGGTGGGGGGATGCGGGGCGACGCCAATGTTGGCCGCAGGTAGCAGCGCCGAGTTTAAGGTATAGATTGTGACAGTCGGGGTTAGGGTTATTGTCCCAGCATCGACGTAAAAATATTTTTATTGATTTATATACAAACTTTGTTGGCGGTATTGATATTCCAAACATATAATACCAGTTTATTTGAATATTATATACAGATAAAGTTTATGTACATACAGTTTACTCTACACCCCGTTCGGCAGTGGGCCAACTGGGGAAGGCCTCAGCTGAGCTACCGGCGAGCAAAACGCCACTAGTTCGCAAGCTTGCGCACGCATTCGTCATCTTCCACGCAGAACGGTCAAAAGCCGAGCGCGGCCGCAAGCCACCAGCCTCGCTTTCCTTCGTGTTGACGTTCCTTTTCATATTTAGTCTCTCCTTTCGGAACCTTTTTGCAGCACGGTCTGCTGTTGCAATTGAGTCACCGCTCCGTCCCTCACTCTTTTGAATTCCATTGACACCTCCGAACACTTTTGCACATATCAACAACAACAACAACGCTCTTTAAACAACATCACCATGGCAGCGCACGACGACGACGACTTTGCGGGTGCTATTGCTGGCGAAACGCGACCCCTCCTCGAGCGAATCGACCCAATTGTCTTCCCCGACGACGATGACGACGACAGCTTAGATCCCGTCGAGGCTACGGATCTGCCGGCCGAATTCGTGCCATCTCTTGCTTTCCAGTGGAGGGTTAGCCTCACAGCCACGGCCATTGTTACCATCATCATGGGCGGCCAGCTTATCATGAACCCCGCGACGCAGGAAATTATGGAAGATATCATCTGCCACGACAAATTCCCTGACCACACCATTGGCTCATACAACCCGGTCGACCCTCGCTGCAAAGACAACAAAGTGCAAGACGTGCTTGCGATGGTGCGCGCTTGGTCTGGTGCCGCCGAGATGATTGTTCGTAAGTCAAGATAAGACGCTGTGAACGCCTTGCCTATGATTTGTGTGCTGATCAGTCCCTAGCGCTGTTTGTCCAACTCCCATTTGGTGTTGTTGCGGACAAGTATGGCCGAAAGCCTGTCATGTTTAGCGCCCTGGTTGGCGTGCTCTTCTCTATTTCGTGGACCATCTTTGTTTGTAAGTTTGTATTTGTACCAGGCCGGGACATTCGACTGCGAGCTATAAACATACTGACCATATTGATAGTGGCAAATCCACTGCGATTCTCCGTCTGGGCCACCATATACGGCAACATTGCGTACTTGATTGGTGGTGGCGGTACCGTCGCCGTAGCCATGTGCTACACTGTAGTAACGGATGCGATTCCGGCAGCAAACCGATCCACGGTGTTTTACTACATCATCGCCAGTAGCCGCATCATCACCGTCCTTCTCACTCCGCTTAGCGCATACCTTCTTAACATTGACCCGTGGATGACGCAGTCCTCTGGCTTCATCGTCATGATTTCAGGGGTCTTCCTGACACTTATGTTGCCGGAGACTCTTAAACTCCGCCAGAAAGCTGACGACAAGCGCCGTACAGCGCGAGATGTGTCCACTGCTCGCCCTCTAGTGACGACGCCGGAACCAGGCGCCTCGTCCAGCACACTTTCCACCTTCATCCGACGCTCCTGGAGCTCAGCAAAGAATGATATGTCGCATATTTGGCACTTTCTTCTCGGTTCGAAGTCCATCATGGCCCTGATTGTAGCCAGTGGATTCCTCTTTCCGGTCCGCATATCCTTTGCTCAGGACGTGACACAATACATGACCAAACGATACAATTGGACATGGGCGGAGGTAAGAAAGGATCACCGATTAAATAAAGTCCAAGATCTTCACTAACCCATCTTCTTCTACAGGCTACATATGTCATGGGAATTGAAAATGCTACCGGTGTCTTTGCACTAATGGTCCTCTTACCCATATTCGGCCACCAGCTTACCAAGCGAGGCTACAGCACCTTGAGAAAGGACCTCCTGATAGCTCAAGTCGCCAGCGTTTTCATAGTATTTGGTACAGTGCTAATCGCCTTTGCTTTTGTACCGCAAATGGCAATCGTGGCACTGGTCCTCTACAGCTTTGGCGCCGGCTATGCGGCTGTCATCCGATCTATACTCAGCATGATTGTAGAGCCACACACAATTGGCTCCCTCAACACTGTACTTGCCATGCTCGAAAGCTCATTGGGCGCAGTATTTTCACCCCCTCTGGGTTGGCTACTGAAGACTGGGTTCAACCTAGGTGGTGTTTGGATGGGCCTACCCTACTTGGTCGTTTCTGTTGCCGCAGTGGCTACTATGCTTTTGACCCTAACTTATAGGATCCCCAAAAGCTTTGGTCAAATATAAGTGTTGATGAAGTAGTATTTATTTGCTGATGATTTAATAAAATGCGAAATAATATGCGAATACCGGCAGAAGATGCCTCTCAAAAAGTAACAGCTTCGACTTAGAGCCATAAGGCAATTTATCTACATCGTACTTGACCTCTATATAGCCTTGCGTGAATAATATTACGAAACACGAACCTAACTATTCGCAGGATAGCAATGCTCGGATACATTTTCTCCATACTGGTGCGGAGAAGAACGAATCGCGGACTGGAGACCTTATGCGGGGAATTCACGAATCATCGACTAGGTTTCAGTGGCACAGCTCTTCCGTATTCCGCGCTGGGGTGCTCAACTTAGTTGGTTCGTTTAGCCCGGCCGATGCGGGCTATAGTCGGTTCTCGCAATCGCCCCTGGAACTTTTGTTTTTAACCTTGTTGGAATATGCATGCCACGTTGCAATTTCTTTTGAGAATGCATTAAATTCATTGAGACGTGAAACTAACCCAATCGTAGTTCTCTTGACTAGTATAAACATATAGATCGCAAACCGTGCCAAGTCTAAGGCGGAACCACTGAACCGCCACTTTACAACTTCCAACATCCACTAAGATACACAGGCGAAACAGCTGATTAAACGGTTTGCTCTGCTCTAAACAACTACATTGCAGTAACTGTATTAAATGTAGAATCCTACATCCTTTTGTATCGTCGGCAAATGTGAATTACCTTTCCTTCTGGTTCCATGTGATGAGTACCGCACACTGCTACCTTCCTAATTAGGCAGGATCTCCCCGTAACGATGGCAATGAGATTTGGCTAACTCTCGCTTTTGATACGCTATTACCAATTCGCACAAAATATATATAGCATTTAGTATCCGCTTGCTCCGGTCTTCTTTGTCTTCCTGAACATCGACGTCACTGCCCATACCAAGTTTGACAATGCTCGCCACTACCCTCTCCCTCATCGCCCTGGCCATGCCAGGAGCGTCTGCTATGACGCAAGCCATGGAAGTCAAGCACGCGCTCTCTTCCGTCCCAGCCGGCTGGCAGCACAAGCATGCCGCTGCCGACGACGCAAAGCTTACTCTGCACGTTGGTTTGAAGGAGAACAACCTCGACAAGCTGCAGGAGCGTCTGCTTGAGATCAGCGACCCTTACCACGGTGATTACGGAAAGCACTTGACCCGACAGGAGATTGAGGCTCTTACTCGCCCCAGCGATGAGACCATCTCCAACGTCCAAGCGTGGCTCAAGTCTCACGGAGTGACTGTTGATGGCCCTGTCAACAGCGGCTTCCTTAAGATTCGCGCCACTGTCGAGCAGGCCAACAAAATGCTCGATACTACCTATGGTGTCTTCCATAACGAGGCCCGAAACAGAAGCTCGCTACGCACTACTAGCTACAGTGTGCCCGTTAGCCTGCGCAAGCACATCACCACCATTCAGCCTACAACGCTGTTTGCCAACATGGTAATGACACCAAGTGAGGGTGCATTGGCAGCCAGAGACAATGCCAAGGTTGACAACCGTGCTGCTGGCACCTGTTCAAACGGCGTCGTTACTCCCGCTTGCATCAACAAGTCGTACAACATCACCTACACTCCTACCAGCAAAAAGTCCCTCCTCGGTGTCACTGGCTTCTTGAATGAGCATGCGTCCCAGAGCGACCTAACCAGCTTCCTCAAGACGTATGGCCCCTCCGGCTCTGCAAAGGGCAACTTTTCTGTTGAGCTCATCAACGGAGGCACCACGAGCGACGTTGGTACCGGTGAGGCTGACCTTGATATTCAATACACGGTTGGACTTACCTGGCCCATGAAGAACGTCTTCCTTTCCACTGGCGGCGAGCCACCATACGACCCTAGCCAGGACAACCCCGATAACGGCAACGAGCCGTACCTCGATTTCCTCAGCTACTTGGCTACCAAGGATAACATCCCCCAAACCATCAGCTCGTCTTACGCCGATCAAGAATTGACTGTCCCTCAAGACTACGCCGAGACAGTCTGCACCCAGTTCATGAAGCTTGGTGCTCGCGGTACCACATTCATTGCCGGCTCTGGTGACGGCGGTGTTAGCGGTGCTCAACAAACCGACTGCCACCAGAAGGATGGCAGCATCGGCTTTGTCCCTACTTGTAAGTTTTGACATATCTAGCGCTTACCTGCATTTTGCTAATATCGTACTAGTCCCCTCCACATGCCCTTGGATCACCTCGGTTGGCGGAACGAACCCAGGCAGCACTGAAACAGCTGATAGAATTTCGACTGGTGGCTTTTCCAACTACTTCCCCACGCCCGACTACCAGGCCGCTGCCGTCAAGGGATACTTGGCCACATTGGGCAACACCAACCAGGGTTTGTACAATGCATCAGGCCGTGGATTCCCCGACGTCGCTGCGTTCTCCGAGGGCTTCCGCATCGTTCTTAAAGGTCGTGACGTCGGCATTGGCGGTACCAGCGCCGCGACTCCTACCTTTGCCGCTGTCGTAGCTCTTCTCAACGACTACTTGCTCTCCCAGGGCAAGCCTACTCTCGGTTTCCTTAACCCCTTCCTCTACAGCAAGGGAGTCGCTGGTCTGAAGGATATCACCAGTGGTCACAGCTACGGCTGCGGTACCAATGGCTTTTCAGCAGTTAAGGGATGGGACCCCATTACTGGTCTAGGAACCCCCAACTTTGGCAAGCTTAAGTCCCTTGTCTAAGAGGCGGTCGATCTTGGGACAAGTATACGTACAGAGGTGACTGTCACATGTGCACATAGACAAACACATAAGTAGATACATATATATACGTAAATATTTACATCCAACTATATTCCAAGCTAATCATAGCTTATATTTATTTTATGCGAATGGAAAGTGATTCTTGTCTGCACCGTCGGAAGCACGTAATGCCACAGCAGAGCCACAATGTGAAGTTCAGCTCAACAAACGCATGCCAAATGTTATTAGATGCACGTTCAAGGTATGTATTCAAACTTTTTAAGGCTACGTCCTAAAAAGCAAATTTGAATAAAATTCGGTTTGCCACCAACCCCTATATTTATTCAATGTGGCGGATTTTCTCTTGTCAGCTGTTTCTTTCATAGGCTTAACACGCCATCATGTCCATCCCCATGTCAACTTCACCAGACTCGACGGCAGCATTTCCGTTTTTAAGACTGCAACTAGATGTTCAAGCCCAAATATGTGGTCTATTCTGTCCTCATTGTCGAAATGATCCGCTGCCCCTGATGATATACGAGTCCGACTCTGAGCAGAAAACATTGCGAGCATTATCACAAACTTGTCACCTTCTGAAAAAATTGCACAGCCTCTTCTTTTCCATTGCCCATATACACGACAGCATGGACGATTTATTCGACACATGCGCAAGCACCCTTATCTAGCACAGCATGTGCGCGTTTTCGCGCATCACATGCTCTACTGGGACGAGTTCGGTCACAGAAGTTCTACGGACAAATTGGATTTTGCCTATCTAAAGAAGCTCGCCTGTGAACTTGATCTCAGTGTTCCGAATGACCCTAACCATGACTTGTTATTTGAATATCTCGCAAATTACTCAATGGAACAAGACGTCTGTTCGTCCTATAGATTTCTGTGGAAGGCTCTAGATCAACTGCTAACAATCTACTTTGCTATTTTGCCAAACCTTCAAGTTGCAGCAATGGACCTATACGACGCGAGTAACTTTGGGCGGTGTATACACACACCGATACTCTTTCAGCAAACCGATACCGGATACTTCTACTTGCCATTATTTCTGGCCAGGAATCCGTTAGCCCTAGATTCGCTAAGGGCGATCGTCTTTCGATACCCTGCACATTGGGCCACAGATAATCTGGGGTTGGGCGGAGTGGACTTTTTATTCTCCTATATTGCAAATGTTCGCAAGATACTTTTCGACCCTCTTATTGAAACAAAACCGGCTACCGAGGGTGAATTGATCCAAAAGCACTCGGAACTGTCATAACCAGCATTGCCATATATCCAGGAAATCTATTTTCAGCCATGTAATCGCCCAAGCCCCCTAATTCCTTATACTGGGATTCGGAAGATGCTTGACAAATGCACCTCATTACGGAAATTAGCATTTACTCAAGGAAATCGGCAATTTAACAGTTCAGGGTCGCTAGAGTCATTCAGTCCCAAAGATGCCGTCAGCACTATGGAACCTGTAGCATCTACACTAGAAAGGCTCGGACTATTTTGCCCTGCTTTGTCATCAGACTTGGCTATATCTTCCCTTTTTACTACAGAGCTACATTTATTCTCGAAGTTAAGTATTCTAGACATTGATGAGCTGATATTCTGTCGGCATTGGGACGATATAACAGAGCCGCCGACCTGCCTGATGGGGATGCTACCGTCCACAGTGTGCTCCTTTAGGCTGCGGCTGCATGATAAATATCGGGCTGTTGAGGATATTATTCATCTCGGAGAGCATCTCAGCAAACTCGAAACAACGAATTTAACCCGAGTAATGGTTATAGTTCTATATGACCGTACGAGGGCGTCTTATCATTTTTACGATAAGGACTACTACTTGGGAGCAATTGAAGGAAAGAAACTGCAGGCGGCTATACAAGCACTAGCTCTGAATATTCGTCCAAGTATTATAGACGCATTCCGAGCGACCAAGATCATGGTAACGGTGGAATATGAAGATGCCCCTTTTTATACGGGTATGTTTAATGGGGACCGCTTACAATATAACTGTTACGTTGATACATACCGAGACACGCTCGTCCAAACAGCAGTCCTTCTCCTTTCTAGCTTTGCGTAATCAAAAGAATTATAGACTGCGGTTTGTCTTTTTATTAAATGATTCTTACTCAAAACGAAATTAACTATGTTATCTTTCCAGGGCTGCCAATTTCATCTTTGTCTCGCCAGCCCAACTAGGCCTTTCCACAGCCCAGTACCTGAACAGAGCACTGCCACTCATGCTAAATTCTCACTGTTACATCCCGAGCTCAGAAGACGCGGTTTCAACTATGCACTATTGCATCTCACGCTACTGCCCCACAATGTCGATGTTACGTTTAACCCGCTATTTCTATAGAACGGCGACTTTAAGTCAAGGGCGTTTCGGTCCGATGTAGCTTGGCCCAAGTATATAAGAAATGGTATAAGACAGATCGGTCTGGCTACGGGAAACAGCGCTCCTCACACGCCAGAGCCTGTTTTCTTTAATACATATAGGACCGCAAAGATGTACTCCTCCTACACCACGGTTATTGCTGCGGCGCTTATTTTCGCTGGCGCATCGCCAGCGATTGCCCAACAAGTTGTCAGCGACGCTCAATGCGACTGTTATCTCTCCGACGGCCGCTTCCCAACATACTTTAAGAATCACGGGTTTTGGGACTTTCGGTCTCTAGGCCAGTATGCCAAGGTACCCCCTGTTATCCAGACTTTAGACGGCAATAAAAAGGCCGATTTCACCTCACCCGTGTTCAACTGGGACTCAGACTTTGCCAAGTTCTGGGGCCCCCAGCACTGGGCCAAGAATGAAGATACCACCTTCCCCATGGTCAACTCGTTCAACAACCTGTATATCGAGAAGAACAACAATGGTGACAGCGACACATTCATGACGATGCGCACATCGAGGCTACCCGCGTTCCAAACGGCTGCGGAATTCGAGTCGCAGAGTCCTCTTGACCATGCCTCTATCCGCATGCTGGCCAAGACGCACGGGTCATCTGGTGCCTGTACCTCTGTTTTCACATACAAGGGCGCCAACCAACCCAAGGATGTCCAAGAGTGCGATATTGAGATGCTGACACGCGACGATGCTCACTACATCCACTACACAAACCAGCCAGGCGTACTGAACGGCGATGTCGTCCCGGGCGCAAGTCGCAACGTCACTCTTCCCAACGGTCTGCGATGGTCCGACTGGGTCAAGCACCGCCTTGACTGGACGCCAGGTCGCACTACATGGAGTGCAAATGGCGCCGAGGTGGCTTCTCAGACCTTCCAGGCGCCGCGAGACCCTAGCATTGTGCTGCTCAACGCGTGGAGTGATGGCGGAGAATGGACGGATAAGATGCCTGAGGGTGGTGAGGCGTACCAAAACGTTCAGTGGATCGAGATCTTGTATAATGTCGCAGATAAGGCTTCGTGCAACAAGGTGTGCAGCGTGGACAAGAGCCCTGTGGTGGGCAAGCCCGTTTTGCTCTAGTGCAGCCAGCCTCGGTCACGAGAGCTGCGATTTCTAGTAAGCTCAATTATCCACATATAACGTATATAGTTTATATGTATATAGTACATGTGTATATATTTCATGGCGTTTCTTAGGTTCCTTTGCTTTCAGCCTCACGGGACCGCCTGTGAATCCGCCTTGTCGCTAGTCTAGCACGCGCCGCTTGTGGAGCAACCGCCACCAGGCAGCAGACGCAGTATTTAAGCTCATCGTCACATCACCAACATCAACAGCGTTGGGTTCATCTCGTCCTACCATCGTCCGCCAAAATGTCTGTATACGGAGCAAAACTCGTGTCCCTCGAACCCCTTGTATGTCGAGCTCGTTTTCCATGTACCTCAGCACGCTGACAAACCCCCGCCAGGACAACAAAGATGCCCGCTGGGTCACGCTCAAACGGTATTATATCTAACGCCTGCACTCTGTCCGCCTGTGCTAACCAATATCATTACCAGCATAAACTACACCGACCAGCAAGGAAAAGCACGAACATGGGAAACAGCAGAGCGTCTGACTCGCCCGGCTGGCGGCGTCGACGGTGTCGGCATCCTCGCCATCCTCTCGAAACCTGATGGCAAACACATTCTTCTTCAAAAGCAATATCGCCCTCCCATTGATAAAGTTACCATTGAGATTCCGGCAGGCTTAATAGATGAGGGTGAGACGCCTGAACAGGCCGCCGTTCGCGAGCTTCGTGAAGAAACAGGCTACATGGGCAACGTCGCAGACGTGTCACCCGTCATGTTCAACGACCCAGGCTTCTGCAACACAAACCTGAACATGGTGCAGGTAGACATTGACATGAGCCTTGAGGTGAATCAGAACCCGGTCCCGCAGCTCGAGGATGATGAGTGTATCGAGGTGTTTAGTGTCCCTGTAGACCGGCTCTGGCAAGAGTGTTGTGAGATGGAGAACAATGGTTATGGTATTGATGCTCGTGTTGGAACCTTTGCGCAGGGAATCTTCCTTGCACAACGCCTTGGCCTCTGATTGTATAGACTATAGAGTGTACATATACCGTGTGCAAGCACCTAGGAAATATACTACCTATGACGGCGTAAGTCACGCATGCGCGAGATTGTAAAGGAAGATATGACAAAACTACAAAACTACAAGAAATAGTCTTACAATTTATTGCAATTTGCTATACTATTATAATGTTTATATATTACTATAAGTTAACTTATCTAAACTAAATTGAAAATATACATCTAAGATCGCCCCCAATGGCCATCCAAATGGCCATCCAACCCTCTTCACGCAGCCACTACGCTGTACTGTACCTGGTACACCCCCCCCACCCCCCCCAAAAAAAAGTCCCCTCAGTGGGGGCGTTTCGGCAGTTGACCCGCACTACTGCAACCCCTGTGGACATTCAATTTAGCAAGCATGGCTCCTTTCAGCATCCTTTCGATGAGCCCTCACCTGATTGGAACAAGTAATTTCAGCTGCTACCTATTTTTTTATGGCCACGGTCGCGAGCTTCAGCAATGAGCGCCTGAAAACAGCAATCAACTCGCCTTGCTGTTGTCCGCCTTGACCAGCGCCTTGTGCTTCGACGCCACAAACGACGATGATCGATGCCGAATCTCTCCACGTGGAGAGCAAGCCGGAGCGATTTTATGATGATGTGAGCCATGCAGCTGGAACACCCTCTTTCGCCGAGGATATCCACGATGCTGCTGCCCAAGAGCATACGCTCTCCCTCTGGCACGCCATCCGCCTTTATCCAAAGTCCATTGCCTGGAGTCTGGTTATGTCTACGGCCATTATCATGGAGGGTTACGATACCATCTTGCTCGGTAGTCTCTACGCACAGCCGGCATTTGCAAAGGCGTATGGTGTCCCAGTGGGTGATGGCACATATCAGCTCGTTGCACCCTGGCAGTCCGGGCTCAATTCAGGAAGCGCGATTGGCCAGCTCGCCGGACTACTTATTGCAGGCCATCTCAGCGAGCAGCTAGGTTTTAAAAAGACAATGCTTGGTGGGCTATTTGCTTGCATTGCGCTCATCTTCATTACTGTCTTTGCGCCAAACATTACAGTCTTGCTGGTGGGCCAGATTCTCTTTGGCATTGCCCTCGGCATCTTTCAAACTATTCCATGCATATACGCACTCGAGGTCAGCCCAACAAGTCTGCACGCCTATCTTACAAACTATGTCAACTTTTGCTGGACATTTGGACAGATTATCGCGACGGGCCTTATGCGAGGTGTACTGTACCGAACAGATGAGTGGGCATATCGGATCCCATTTGCAGGCCAATGGTTCTGGCCGATTATTCTGATTCCTGCTATTACATTTGCACCAGAGTCGCCTTGGTGGCTTGTACGCAAAGGCCGTTTAGCAGATGCCAAGCTGGCGCTGCAACGACTCACCACAAAGACGGCGGTTGGATATGATCTCGACAAGTCGATTACACTGATGGTTGCCACGACGGAGCGTGAGAGGAGAATCAACAGCGCCACATCGTATTGGGCATGCTTTGCAGATGCCGTCAACCTGCGCCGCACCCTCATTGTCATTGGCGTGTACATTGCGCAGATGCTCAGTGGCGTGTTTTTGCGCGGCTATTCATCTTACTTTTTGATTCAGGCAGGGCTACCCGCTGATCAAGCATTCAACCTGTCCATTGTCAACTTTGCCGTGGCTATATTAGGCGGCTTCTGTTCATGGATTCTACTGCCACTCTTTGGCCGCCGGTCCATCTTCCTCTGGAGCTTTGTGCTCATGCTGATCTTGTTGGTGATTGTTGGCGGCCTAGGTGTCCCCAGTGTCCCAGCTGGTGCTGATAACCCCTACGCGCGAACGATTGGCGCCATCCTTATTGTTTCGTCGTTTCTGTACAACTGCACCATGGGCCCGCTCACGAATACACTGTGTGCAGAGTTACCGTCAGCTCTCCTACGAAGCAAGTCACTAGCCCTTGCGCGCTGGGCGTACGCATTCTGTGCCATCATCTTCGGAGTTATCGTTCCATACCAACTTAATCCTACTGCCTGGAACTGGGGCGCCAAGACAGGCTTCTTCTGGGCCGGTGGCTGCCTTGTTTCTATTCTATTTACCTACTTTTGCCTACCTGAGCCAAAGGGCAGAAACACAGTTGAGCTTGACATTCTATTTGAGAAGCGTATTTCTGCTCGCAAGTTTGCGGAGACCAGGGTTGATTTGACGGATGCTATGCTTTGAGAATATGAGGCGTACGATCTGGTATCGATCATAGTATACTGTCTTGTTGATGAACCAAAAGCGGCCGATTGTATATATTTTTTCCTATACCCGACAGAGCAAATGTGTTGGCCATTTTGCCATTTGCCTCGTCATATTCTTTGTACGCATTAGACACATTTTCACATTTTCATGGTGTCATATTATTAAGCGGTTATAGAAATCTGAGCAATTAATAAATTTTATACATGTATAATCCAATACTACATATTTGGATATTTTTAACATAAAAATGTGCATTTCTATCCATTCATCGCCTTTATCTACATGGAGATGATGCGGCTCGCCGCTGCTGACGTCAAGCGGCGTAGTGCGCATTCCTGTTTTGGCAAGCGTCCAAATAACCTTACGTCGGCATACGTTGCCACTGCCCCTCCACATCTACAATACCCCTCTTGCCATCTCACAAACTCATCAATATCAAATGTTAAAGAAGCAAACTGTACACATTATAGAGAAAGCCGATTTATTAGAGCAGTCATTCCACTTTCAAGATGGTCGCCATGATTGCTTCCCTCGTCAGCTACATCCGCGACCTTACAGCAGCCGAAAAGGCCATGATTGACGCCGCCGATGAGCCATCCTACAAACAGGGCGCCAAAGACGATGCTGGCTTCTACAATCCTTCGCCAATAGATATTTTTGTCGTCCAAGAAATGCTCATGGCCCACACCAAGCTGCCTCCCGACGTGATGGACCTTGTGCTGGATCTAGCGGAGTACTGGGTATGCTCCTCGTCCAACCTAGACTTCACACAAGGCAAGAATGTAGCGTCCGGTGGTGGTAGCCACGAGGATGTCCTCATGGTAAGAATAATTACCCAGTGCACTTTGTACTTCTCAAATACTAACCTAGTTATAGCTGCGCACCTTGCCTATTGGCTTAGTTAATGATCACGGCGGCCAGTTTAACACCTGCACCTGGAATTCGGACGAAGAAGTGGAAGAATACAATCACAGCGAGGTTTGGCATGGCAAGACACCCGAACCTATTCCAATTGAAAGCCCCGTGAACCGCGACGCTTATGCAAAGCTGGCAAATTACCCTCTACCGCGTCTGGTGAATCCAGTGCGCAAGGTGGTGTTCAACATTCGCAGCCACGACCAAGGTTGGAGTGGCGAACGCGGCCAAAACCTCGGACCATATGATGCTTCATGGACATGGTTTGAAGCTGGACTGGAGGTTCTGGAGAAGGATGGCGCAACTGGAGAAACCGCAGACCCTGGCCAGGACTTTAAGCTCAATGACGCGGCTCTCCGATCGGTATATCCCACGTTGACTGAAGGTGAAACACCGAGCCTTAACTTCCGGCTAGAGCCTGCGCCAGGGTGGCTTGTCCAGAAGAACAAACGGGCCGTTCCAGCATCACAAGACCATGAGATTGTCTGGAGCTATAATGACTACACGAGTGAAGATTCTGAGGCGGCTGTGGATCTCAAGGCTGCTGGCAGAGGCGGCGCAACAAAGAATGGAGAGTTTGTAAGGCATCTAGCGGTTGGAGACGTTGTCACCCTTTGGGCAAAGGCTAGATTTCCAGGCTGGGCAAACACAGTCGAGAAGGCGAGCGTATCAGTATATTGGGCAATTTAGATGCATACTCTCGGAGTCGGTTGGGTAAGGAAGTATTGCCAAGGGTAACTTGCACTCTACCTTTACGTTCTGATTCTACAGCCGCATATTTCGGTCACCGTAGCTATTATTAATAAATCATTTATTTTCCCCATTTTCATTATATCGCCTATTTAATATTTAATAATAAGCTATCCTTTACGAAGAAAGCATCCAGCGCGGGGAAAGGGTCCACACACTAGAAACTACCCGAGAGTTCGTCAGGCCAAACGAACCTCCAGTAAACTCCCAGCGAGATAATTATTACAGGAAATTATCTAACATAATTAACAGCAATCAACTGTCTCACTGTGACATGTCAGTAATAGGTCACCATTTTTCGTGCAGCGCAAAGGTTTATTTACTGATCGAGATACTCTTGGCTGTACGGACCCTGACCAGTGGCTTTCTGTATAAGAAATACTAGGTCACTGCGACAGCTATATAGCTTGAATGTCTTGATTCGACCGTCACTGTCAAAAGTTGCGATGCACGTCTCAGCGAAAGAAGGCAGCACTTTTCCATGGATGTTATAGTCATTGGCCAGTTCCGTATAGACCCGACGACTTGCTTCGTCAAAGCCCTGGCTAACAACCCGATACTTGGAGAGGAACTGGTCCTTTAGGATATCTTGCAGATGCTCGACAATTTCAGCGTGGCTGCGAGCGGGCGTCTTATGCTCTCTCATGCTTCGGAGGTATACCTCGCAGTCGCTTGCAAATAGAGCGGCAAAGTCATCGAAGTCTTTGGTGGAGGAGTCGGTGCGAAGTGTTGCATACTTGGCATAGAGGGTGTCTAGCGCGCTTTGTAAATCTTGTGTAGAAGACATGGTGGGTGTGGGTAAGTGAAAATGTATAAATATTTAATTTCTGAGCTATGGGGGTTTAGGATGCAAGGTAGTTGAAGTGGTAAGTAGCATAGTCTTTTATAGTTGCTGGTATATGACATTGGGTTATGATGCATTGGTCAGCCTGACCAATCGCAAAGTAAACGTCAACTCTGCGGCGAAGGATCGCTTACCTGAGCGGAGAGACGCTGATTTTCCCAGACGTTCAAAGACAAGACGATGTTTATTTGTATAAACAAAAAACACTGTTATGTTTTAGAATGTTTGAGATAAGTACAAATTCTCTACAGGTTTTTACTTTTTTTAAGGTAGCACAGAATGTATCTTTACACATAAATACGTTTATATGAGTGTGTTTTGGCCGTATTTGGGGCGTCCCGAAAATCAGACACCTTCCGCTAAGGTATGTGGGCTAAGTGTACGCTGTACAGCCTTCTATCATCACTACACCCAAAAATGCAAAATGCTTTCGCGCCAAAATAAGCTGCTGTCCTCTAATTCTATAAATAATATACCCAGAATTCTGCCTCTATATAAAGCGCAATCATTCACAACATCATCCGCAATGACATCACGAGACATCCCGATAACTTTACCCAACGGGCTGTCTAGAGACCGTCTCGATGCCTTCAAACCCTTTACAAACTGGATGAAGAAAATGGAAACTTCTTTTTCGCTACAGTCCAATCCATCCCATCCCTTCCACGCTGATCCGTATACCGTACGCTCCGTTACCGTGCAAGCATACGACATGTTTGGCCCCCGCATCGGCTTTCTCAAGCTAACCGCCCAGGTATCCAACGCCGCCGGCGAGACATTACCTGCTGGTGCATTTCTTCGTGGTCCAAGCGTCGCTATGCTTGTCATGCTGGTACCAGAAGATGCGGTCGACGAGAGTGAGCGGTATGTTGTCTTGACGGTCCAGGCGCGCATCCCCGCGGGTAGCCTCGCGTTTGTTGAGCTGCCGGCCGGTATGGTGGACGATGAGGGCGACTTTCAAGGCATCGCGGCAAAGGAGATTGAACAGGAGCTTGGTTTGACTATTAATGCGGCAGAATTGACGTGTTTGAGTGAGCTCGCTGCCCCTGCGGATGGCGGTGCGGAAGACTTGCCTAGGGCCATGTTTCCCTCGGCAGGTGGCTGCGACGAGCACATCACCATCTTTAGCTACGAGAAGAAGGTGCCGAGAGATACACTGGCAAGTTGGACTGGGAAATTGACGGGTTTGCGTGAGTCTGGAGAGAAGATTACGCTGAAGCTCGTCAAGATGCAGGATCTATGGCGAGAAGGGGCCCGAGATGCAAAGTGTCTGTCGGCGCTGGCCTTGTGGGAAGGCCTCCGGAGAGAGGGAAGGATATGAATCGTTATTATTATCCGTAATGATATCATACATATACATGTTCTCCCTAGTTGATCAATTTACCCCTCCATATTGGGATCATCATACTGTAGCCGATAACAGTTAAACATCCCTCGATAAAATGGTCCACCCTCATATTCAACGGTAGCTTTGATTGTGGTATTTTGAAACGCAGAGATGATACGGGGCCGAATTGCATCAGCTAGCGCCTGTATTGCCTCCATCTGCTCTTCCTCACTGACCGCGTCCAGGTACTGTTCCTCTTCCAACGAAGGATACCACATTCTGAAGCAGTCGTATATCACCAGAATTCTTAGTCGTGTCAGAGACATATCTGTCAGGCGGCTACTTGTGAGCTCGCCGAGATGTACGACATCATTAATCGCCCGATATTTGTCATGCATCCGCAAAGTAAAAGAGTAGACCGAGGGTGGTAAGAGCTCTACTAGGCAGTGGGGTGGTGCAGCAGTGCCTAACCAGTGATGACAAAATACCTGCTCGTCAAGGTCGAGAACAGTAAGGCGTGTAAAGGCATGAAGCTCATCCGTCAGAAGCGACGACTGAGCTAAATTGGGAATCATAGAATGGCCACAGAATAATACAAGCCTTTCAAGCGTTGCTGCTACCGGGCTCAGCGTGTTAATTGCTTGCTTGGGATAAAATAGGAGGGATCCCTCTTCTTTCCACAGGCCGGGGTCTTCGTGTGAGAAGGACACCTTTTGCAGCGATGTGCACTTCTTCAAAAAGTTGCGAATGGCGGTATATGGTATCTTATCACCAGCAGCTGTTTGAGATAGAGTATATCCGATTCGTTGATGTAATTGCGTTCCCAGCTTCTCGACCAATGCAGCTTTGTGGTCGGCAAATACGCGGACATGCTGAGCAAGATGGGCGTATCTTCTCATATGCCGAATGAACTGCCCGTGCCTACGAGTGTACGGGCAATGGAAGTACATAGGTTGCGCAATGTCCTTTACAGCGCGGCACGTCTGTGAGAGTGCTCGCAGGGGTTTATCCCACATATCATCCTCGTATATAACGAGGGGTGGTGGGTCATTACGGCAATGGGCGCAGAATAAACCACATATCTGAACTTGAAGATCGTATGGGAGCTTGAGGAAGAATGGAAACGTGGTTGGCTGGTCTGGTAGTATTGGGACGGCCATTGTGACCGATGGCTATCAACGAGATGGATGATAAGCGTGTATAGCGTTGATGTTTGTTATTTTACACACCAGAAATTACTGGATCCAAATAAAATGTGTCAAGTCGTTTGCAGGAAAAATTGTGAACTTGGCAAATGAAGTTTGCAGGCTGTAACCAACGCGAGGCTGTGATGAGACGAGGTGAGACGCACGAGTAAGATAGCCGGTGCTGTACATTCAGGCAACATAGATGCTTTAGCAAAATACAGATATTAGAGAAGAAGCAACTCAGACATGCAATATACGCTTTTTTTTTGTTTAGGACATTTTCATAGCCAGCCCCAGTGTGAGACGCAAACATCCATTAACACAAACTTGCCAACATGCTGTGCATACAAGTCATCCATTTCATACATTAAATATGCCTATTATACATCGTTGTTTGCTCAACCTGGCCATAATCTAACCAAGAAACTTGCGAATGTTGCCGCCGATATTCTCCAAATCGAGCAAAAAGGTATCGTGACCAAATAAGCTCATATCCTCGCCCAGTTCAACATGCGTCACGTTATGGTTGCCCGCCTGTCTCAGCGATTCAGCAATCTCGCGCTGCTGCCACGCCGGGAACAAGATGTCGCTCGCCACGCCCATAACCAGCGCCGGTGTGTTAACCAGCGGCGCAAGACCTTTGACTAGATCCTTTGGCGGGCCCGTCTTTGCAAATTGTCCAACCTCCTGCTCCGTATGGACACCCGTCTCCTCATACGGCGTCTGTGGCAGCGTCAAGCTACACGCTGCATCGCCCTCTGCTGGCGCCACAACACCTGCTTCCATATCCTGCGTGCGCTGCTGGCGTCTGGCTCGCGCAGCCAACTGGTTCTCATGCCCCAAATCAAAGATATCCATCGCTTTGCTGACATACAGCAGACTGTTGGGGTCGTATGTAAGACACCACTTCTCGCCAGCATGGTCGAGATACGTCTCAATCAGGAAATCCGGGCACAGCGCAGGCGGCTTGCTCGGGTCAGCTCGGCGGCGGCCAAAGCGCTGCTCCCATTCAGGCCCGGAGCGGTACGTGACGGTAGCAATCTCACGAGCAAGCTTCATGCCTGCGTGCGGGGGCACCTTTCCATAGTAGAAGCCACGGTTCCAGTTAGGGTCCATCATGAGCACTTGGCGCTGCGTGTGGCGCATGGCAACGCTATACGGGTGCGAGCGGGCGCAGCCAGAGATGGATACGATGCGGGACACGCGGTCGGGAAAGAGGGTGCCAGCAGCGAGCGATTGCATGCCGCCCATGGACGACCCGACGGAGGCGTAGAGCTTCTGGATGCCCAGGTGGTCCAGCAGGCGGAACTGCCCACGCACCATGTCCTCCATGGTCAGGATAGGGAAGCGGGTGGCGTAGCGCTCGCCATTGCCAGGGTCGATGCTGCCGGGGCCAGTTGAGCCGTAGCAGCCGCCAATGACGTTTGTGCAGATGACATGGTACTTGTTTGTGTCGAGCGGGCAGCCGGGGCCGATGAACTTTTCCCACCACCCAGGCGCGGGATTCTCGGGTGTTGAGTGAGCATGCGACGACGCTGAGAGGCCAGTGTGCAGTAGGATGGCGTTGGACTTATCGGCATTGAGAGTGCCCCATGATTCATACGCAATGGTGAACTCGGGCAGCACGCCGCCCCAGTCGAGGACCATGGGCTCACGGCAGTGGTACTTTTGCGTCTCACCAGCTGTGTAGGACGGCTCGGGGCCGGAAGAGGAAGAGAGGTTTGCGGAGCGGGTTTCCAGAGCGTCGAGACATGGGAACTGCATGGCTGGGTTGGACGCTGCGCCGGAGCGGAGGGGGCGTGAGGTCGTAATGGTTCGGGCCGCAGCGCCTAGGCGGACGAGCGAAGGGGTTGAACATGGTCGGAGGGAGGTTGAGAGCCTCCGGGCGGTGGTTGCGAGGGACCTGGAGGTCCTCATGATGAAGCTATTAGTGGTGGTGATGGCTCTAAGACTGGTGTGTAGTGTAGATAAAGATGATGGTGGTGGTGGTGATGAAGGATAGAGATGCGCCAATGGAGATCAATTCGGCATATCAATTCCAAAAGCTATGAAATATGCGACAATTTAAGAATAGATTAAGGTGGAGGAGGGGAAGAAGAAGAATAGGAATGACGTTTTGGTCTGCTTAGAAACCAGCGGAGCTTTGTTAAGCGGGTTCCGGGTTGTCGCGATTCGCACACCATTTCACGTGCTGCGGGTGCCGACCGGCCGGCCGACAGCGGAAGCCAGACAAGAGACGTATGTATGCAATATAAGTAAATAAGAGTCAACGTGTGGTATCAATTTTTTCTCCAAAAAAAACTAAGATGAACTAATAGTAAAAATAAGACTCGCTTATTTATCCCAAAAAACAGTAGATTATCCGAAATATAAATCCGCAATGGCCAGTTAGTCAGCCCCCATCCGAAACCAAACAAAGTTGTATCCAGTACAAGAAATAAGAGTATATATATATATATAAGTCGTGGCCGCATTCCATGCCATGGCAAGACGAAACGAAAAGAAAGCAAAGTGAATCAGTCAAAAATGAGTGTGTGAATGTGTGAGCGGTTGAAAACGAGCGTCGCTAGATGAAAGTAGTTTGAAACTCGGCTGTCGTCGCGGAGCGCGGCGAGCGAATGGACGGCTCCGTGGACTTTGTAGGCGAAGGCGGCAGCGTAATGGGTGGTGGGCGAGGAGGAGCCTTCTTTGCCTCGACTCGTGTGACGGTGCCTGTCGGTGTAGTAGGTGTGCTGCTGAGCGAGAAGAAGTCGCTGGACGACGGTGAGCTGACCGTCTTCTCGAGCGCCAGCTCAAAAGCCGATGCGAAGCTGTCCTCTGCCTCTTCGAGAGACAGCTCGAGCGACTTGAAGGTCGATGAGATGAGACGGGGCGCATCGCTAGACGGCGATGACACAGACGGCTTGATCGTATGGCCTGACGATGCGAGAGGTGCTGGCATAGCAGATCGGCGTGGCTCGGCGGCATCCACGCCCAAGGAACCCCAGTTGGGGACGGAGAACTCGGGGCGCGCCGGTACCGTCTCGGCTGTCGCCTCATCGGATCGCGGAGGACGGCGCGGCGGCTGGCGTCCGCGTGGCAGGCTGTTCTTGGAGCTGGGGAAGATGGACTTCTTGGGCGGGCTGGTGCGCGGCTTGTCCATGGACGACTTGGGCGTTGTCTTGGGGCTGTGTGCTGATTCGATGGACACGGTGTATGTCATCTCGGGCAGGGCGCCGCCAAAGGGACTGTTGGATCGCAGCGCATCCTGGGCTGTGGGAATGGTGACGGCCGGTCGTGTTGGGCGCGGTAATCCGACTACGTCAGAGTCCGCACGGGGACGGAAGTCAGCAAGCGTGCTGGCAAGATCCAATGGGTCGCTGCCGCCTCCGGCCTTGGTTGAGCCCTTGGAGAAGCTGCGCTGGCCGGGGCCGTAGGATGTTGAGGGCCGCTGCGGTATAAGAGGGCTGCGGTGCTCTAGTGCTGCAGGCATGGGGAACTCGAAGGAGTTGACGGATTCCAAGATGGGGAGCGGCTGTGTGGGTGACGTCCTTTGCGTCGGGGTCGCTGCATCTGCCTTGGGTACTGATGGAGTTCGCTCCTTGGGTGTCGGTGTAAACGGTACTTCTGAAATCTTTGGTGTAGGCACCTCTTCGGTACTGGCAATCTGCGGTGCGGGAAGATCGATTGTCGTCTGGCGGCGCACTTCTTCCCCAAAATCAAAGGCAGCAAAGTTGCCAGCAAAGCCTTCCGTCTGCTGCTGCTTGCGCATCTTGGCCACGTCGTCAGGGCTAGCCTGAATATCTTTGGTGAAGCTGCGTCTTCTGGCAGAGTGGAACATGGTGGTGTCGCGTCTGGCTGGGACGTTTCGCACAACCGGCGAATCCCAATGGTCATCGCTCGATCTGGTCGCAGAAGGAACCGGGCTAGGTAAAGACGATGCAAATGATGTGCTAGGGCTGAGAATGCCGAGGCTAGACGGCTCAGATATTGTCAGCGGTAGGGTGCTGTCGCCGTTGCTAGAAGCTGGCGGCGACGGATATCCCGAAGAAATCTTGTGTGTTGCGCTCTTCTTAGTTGTGGTATCGGCAGCATCCTTGTCGTCGTCAATAGATGTAGTCTTAACGCTGAACTCTATCTGGCGCATAACACCACCCTTTGGTTCGTCACTTTCAGGTTGCTTCGCCATGATGGGTTCTTTGCAAAAGTGTACATCGAGGGGGTTTACCCATTCCTTGGTGCGCGAGGAACCAGCGGTAGATGGCCGTTCTGGGAGGCCGACACGCACGCCAGGCCCGGCGAGTGTAGGAGGGAGAGGTAGATTCGCAGAGCTATCGGTAGCCCAATGTCGCAGACTGCTCATGCTAGGTCTTCGTGCTGAAGGCATTGAAAGATCGACCATGGAGGAATTGGCACCCATGCTGAAAGGAGTGCGGAAGCTGACTGGCGTTCGCGTGGAATATGAAGTCTCGGGCCGGGGAGGGTTGTTAGTGTCGCCAAAATACTGGCCTCGGCCGAAGGAGTTTTGGTCGACGCGATTCCATTCTCTATTTTGACGCTCCAGGCTTTGCTTCCTGTTGTGGCACTTGGTTAGTTTACTGGCAGGATTGGACGATATCTCTGCATTGTGGACGTACTGTGATTTTTTGTCCTTGCTGCCAAACTTGAGGCCAAAGAAGGACACCATGATGGCGACTATGAGCGGCTCTAGCCGTTAATCAGGACAATGTTGTCTGTACTCGTCCTATCAAGGCCAAGTCAAAAAGAAGAAGAAAAAAGTAGCAATCGAGTTTAACAGCTCAATATGCCTCGACCCTGGGCTATGGAGGCTTAGTCCGTGGGACAAGGCAGTGGCGCTTTTAGCTGCAGGCGAGCGGTAGCCACTCTAGACTATTGCGTCCACAAATGGGTTTGCGGCGGAACACGAACCCCAAATATTGGGTACGGGAAGTAAGCAAGAGCCCGTTTACAGAACAAGAAAGCTGTCTGCGCGCAATGCAGAGCGTGAAGCAATTCCGAGAGTGTGGTGTGTTTGTCGTGGAATGAGGCGTTGTAGCAGACGTGCCGTGAGCAAAGAAGTCGCGAAATCGCAGGCAGAGACTAATGTGCCAGACCCGAAAGAATATAGTTGAAATAAGTAATTAAAAAGACGAAGTGCATTCGGAATTCTTGGCTGTGTGCTGTGCAAGAGTCGGGGAATCGAAGGATCAAAGAAGAAGAAGAAAAGAAGCAAGAAAGGCAAAGCAAAGGAGCGTGTTGAAGAGTCTGGAGGGGAAAAAAGCCAGGAACTCAAGATCGAGGAAAAGAAGAAGGAAAGAAATGGAGAGATGGACAGGGAGTCAAGAAAAGACATTGAAGAGCTGCGAACAAGGGACAAGGGCGTGTACTCTGGACAAGATGTAAAGCACAGTACAGTCCACAGTGAGCACCGCGACTAGGCAGAGCAGAGGGGCAGCTCTCAGCACGCAAGCAAGCAAAAGAAAGCCGCATGTCAAGCTCGACGGGCTTAATTAAACGCTCGGGTCGTGACGCTGGGGCGGGTCCTCCCCCCTGTGCCGCGATGGACAGGTACCCCGTACTGTGTGTAAAAGGGCCTGCTCCAAGACAAGCCCAGCACAATCTACAAAGTATAGTAATTGGCAACTTATCAAAAGAGTATAATTTGCAGATGCAGGTGTTAGACGAGCTGGTTATTTCATTTGCGTAAGTCTATGCAAACATGTAGTCACGTATGGCACGAAACTATAGTTAACTACATTGTATAGACTAGGTGGTGCAAGCCCGCTACTATATCCAATTTCCAGCGGATGGACGATCTCTGTCACGCACACCCGTCTGGCTTATACAGTCCACAACACAGCGCACGATTTACTGAATTGCCACGGAACCGCTCTCGTAAATATAGATGCACACATGCTGTAATCTTTTTGTATTCGAATTCACTCGGCACAGTGCGCGCATCCTCTTCCTATACCCAGCCTGGCCTGCCTCGCGTCCCAAAAATCCAGGTACCGCACTGTATTTACTGAGCATCTCGTAGCGCACCGCACCCCCACCACACCCTCACTAAGCCCTTTTTCAGGGGCAAGGCAGGCCGCTGTAAAATGCCCCAAAGCAACCACTTTGCAGACTGCCCCATTGGGCACTAGCGTTCCTCGCGAAATTGCAATTTTGCATTTCTGGTGCCACCCCCGGAATCCCAGGCCGGCTTCACCTTCTCGTGATTCGCAGCTCGACTTTCCGCCAGCAAGGCTCCCCCCCTTTCTCCCCAAGTTAGACAGCATCACGCTAGGCTAGAATCTCTGCAGGCAGCTAAAGCACCCTTCAGCTCTTGATTGCGCCGCCCTCACTGGTTCGCGCCGCGCAGAAAACGGGACCCCTGATCGCTCTGTGCCCCTCCAAGCCACAGCAACCCTGGCAGACAAATCGCAAGCCTTGAAAGCCGGACAGAACCCTGGGAGGGGACACCACCTTAATCCTTTGTAGAACCAGCCTAGCGGCTCGTTCAACCAGTTACAGATCTATACGCACTAACCATGCAATGAGCAGCAGCGTACGCCAGCCTGTCCTAGAGTTCTGATTCGCATTGGACTCGGCCGCCACCTAGCTCTATATCACGCGCTCGCCCACTAATACAAAAGAGTGGTGAAATACTATGAGAAAAAAACGGCCAATGTCTTGCATCTAGCACACCACTATCAGTAGCCACCAACCCATTTCGCAAAGAAACCGTTTTTGGCTGCCTCTCCCTTGCATCCCAACCGTACTGTACCGGCTGGGCGTTCCTATGTTCGTTCGCCAAGGGATTTGCGTTCATGCGCCCCTTGGACGAACTGTATACTTTATTACTAGAGGGAGAAAAAGGGTTCGTTTCGTTAATCACAGAGCGGATCGCGCATCCCATCCCACCTTGACCCCCGGCGCAGCCATCCGGCCGAGAGGCGAGTCGCAACCTCAGGTGAGCCAGACTGCAATTAACGCCTGTCAAATAGCACAAACACTATAAACAAGGGAGGTTCTACTGTAATTAGTGCGGGGGGGGCGGATTTCTTCGCCGTGGGTAAACCTCGCCTCCTTCGTTTCAATCAACGCGGCATGCGTCTTCCCAGTACTGCTGCCGCGACATCATCCTTTAGCCCCGGCGCGATACCACCATAATTAAATTGCCCGCGATGGTATGCCAAAGAGCACCGACCGCAATGCGAAACACACTTTGCCCTCTTTGTTGGAATCAGATCGATCAATTTACGCCGTCTACTACCTAGAGTATGCTTTCCCTGTAACCAAAACGCCAGTTGATAAAAAAAAATACAGTCGAAAAAGATAGTCCCCTTCTTAGAGCGAGTCTAGCAGCTTTCGCCGCCTGCGTTCCACCAGCTCGTCCTGGACCTCTTGCAGCGTCGGCAGCGTCATATCTTGGCCATCGCCTCCATCACCCGGTAGAGACTCCCATCCATCAGGAACATCCTGTGGCCCATTCTTGATCAAGTTCTGCACAGCCAACCTCTCCTTCTGTGCCTCGTACGCGAGCAGCTCGTCGTCCTCCTCGTCCGGTGCGTATCCATAGTATGCCGCATCCACTGCTTTTCGTAAATCTTTGCTTTTATCTAGCGGCTTGTCGTCTTTGCCTTGCGTCTTGGCCGCTTCAAAGAGCTCCTTCACGCCAGGCAGCTCCTTGGCTCGTCCAAAGTATCGGTATCCCTTGCCGCCGCCGGGTATCTCTTTGCCCTGCTCGTCGTACACTTTCCCGCCTCCTCGCATGTAGTTTGGTCCGCCAAGGTTTCGTATTTGTACTTCCCACATGTGCTTTTCACGCATCAGCTTGTTGATTTCGTCGTTGAGATCGCGGATCTGAAAGTCGCTAAGAACGGGTTCTTGGATACGGGACACCTTGCGAGAGATCTCCTTGAGCACTTGGCCGCGCCATTTCTCGCAAACCGGGATTGTTTCGACTTCGGTGATGCGCTTTGGGCGGCGTGTGCGCCCTGTGTCGATGATGCCGAGATCTGCCGCCTGTGCCTCGCGGAAGCGAAACAGCATCGACTGCGCCTTTTCCGAGTTTCGCGCCTGTGCATATAGTTAGCATACGACTCATGTATCATAGGTCAGAATGAATTGACCATTTTGTCTGTATTTATCCCGATGCGATGCGGTGCGCCGTGTTGCGAGCGGGTTGCCGGTGCAAGATGTCGAGTTTTGAATGTCGGTCGGTCGTTTGAATGCGGCGCCGCCCACGTCGGCGGAAAAACGAGACTCCACACAACCACTTCTGGCGCACGCGCGCTGCCAGTAGCCTCAGGTGCCAGCCAGCAAGCCAGGATTCAACCTCTATTCATAAAGCCCCCTTTCACATTCTCGCTACAAGGCCAATTTGCAGGCAGCGAAATCTCATCCAAATTGTTGGTGTGATGGCAATTTGATGTGCTAGCTATGCATATACAGCTTCATTTGCACACAAATCTTTCCCTGGTAAGTAGCATCTGCTCTGTGATACCACGCGACACAACCACCCATCAAAGGGCGTGGAGGAGACCGAGACAAATCAGAGACAACAGGAATCGCCCTATGCGGCTTGTTTCTGTATTGTTGAATCAACCTACAAATCAACCTGCACTGATGATCGCACCGTCGTATCACGACATTTGGGACGCCTGCCTCGTTACAGACTTTGCGTCTGCTCGGAGCCTGACGCATGAACACCCGTAAAGAACAGAGATCTGAGCAGGCATCCCCTCTCCCTCGTCAGCTAAGATCTAGCTTTCCTCTCCGATACGCCCTTCCCGCACCGATGACTCGTTTGCAAGCTTCAACTATAGCCGCCATGACCGACATCCAGTAGCACATACGAAGCAGTCACTATCACAAACATTCTGCTCATGAAGCCACAAAACACATATAGTTTTCAATCGGAGCAGGCTGGAGCTTGTTCGACTCTGTCATCAGCGGAAAGACTACAGTGTATTAATATGGGAGGCGCAGCATTGGAACAAGGTCGACAAGGTGAAAGAGATGATAAATCTGCCCTGGACGAGCCTTACAACCTCGCCAGGGTGTGTACATACCAGCCCGGTGATGACCACGCGTCCAAAAAGCCAAAGTTGCAGACAGCAGCAGTGCCTCGCCGTCTCTTTTACAGGGGACTCCGAAGCATAGATGACTTGTTATAGTCTCTAGCTGCGTGTTGCCAGTGAGAACACAAGAGAGCTAATCTGAGGGCAACCGAATCGAGTACAAGTAATGAGTGTTGAGCATAATTAAATAGTCATTGTTAATGCAAATCCATTCAATGGTAATCTACAAGTGTGCAAAAAGTTTTCAACTGGGCATATCCATTTTTTGAGCAAATCCCAACTGCCCTCTCTCCCCCACTCTCAAGCTTTTTTCCCGGAAACCTGAATTTTATACATCTTATTGCGTCTTCTTCGTCTTGGATGCCTTGCCGGTGGGCTTGCTATACATCCAGAGGGCAGAAAAGCCGACGAAGCCAGTAACGGTGGCGAAAATGCCCGAGATCCAGGGCCAGGCGCCAGAGATGACGTAGCTGCGAGGCCACTCGTCGTGGGCCATGTGGCGGACACTGACGGTGCGCTTCTCCTCGATAGAGCTAAGCAGCGGGCGCTTGTAGTTGACCATGAAGTTGAAGATGCCGTGCTGATCGGGCAGAGTAAACGATGTGCCAAAGACGGTGGCGTCGCCGTTCGTCGCCTTGACGGGCAGGTTGAGTCTGTGGAAGGGCGACAGCATGGAGAATTCAAGCTGCATCTCATCACCGGCAGGCAGGATAAATGGATGCCAGCTATCGTAGGAGTATTCGGAGACGGAAATGAGATAAGACTAAAGAATACATAATTAGTACTTGACTAGCTTGTCAGCGGCACAGGTTGCTTGCACTTACAACATCGTTCTTGATGCGGTACAGGCTAGGGTTGACTTCGGCATCATCCTTGAGGTGGTGCTCGACGCCATTGACGCGCAGAATACCAATCTCCTTGAAAGCCCAGGCGGACAAGGTCTTAGCAAAAGCGCGGTTGTCGGCCGCGACAGCCTTGCTGCCAGCCTTGGTAACCTTGGCTCCGAACCACTTGTCCTGGAGCATCTCGGCGGAACCAACCAGCGTAACACGGGCGTTGTTGCGGGCCTGCGCGGCAGAGACTAGCGCAATCTGGCTACCCGCAGCAAACAGCTCGTCAGCCTCAATCACATCAAACTGTTCGGTGGGGTTGTAGCTGTAGGCGGTGGCAGGGGCGCGGAGGATAGGAGTCAAGAGTTGGCTGTTTCCGAGGACGTGGCCCGCAGCGTTGGGCACGGCGATCACAGAGCCCGGCTTCTCAAAGTAGTTCTTGACATCGGGGCGGATAGGGCCGGGGGCATCGAGGACCAGCACACGGTGCTCGTCGGGTGAGGACGTCGAGTCGTAGTTGAAGTGGTCGACAACGGTACCGGTACGCTCAATGGGTAGCATAATGTCGAGCTCGCTAAGAAGAGAGACAATCGATGTCGACGTGGGTGTCGTGGAGGACATGGCAACCATAATGTTTCCTTCGGCGTTGACAAAGTCGAGCAGAATGTTGGGAGTCAAGTTGGGACCAAGACCTACGGCCTGTTAGCACACTCAGCCGCTTATACAACCACATATCGTCCTACTCACCCTTGACCTTGGTAGGCAAGAAGACCACATGGTCAAAGTTTCGCTCGCCCAAGTTAAACAACTTAAACTTGTCGCTCTTTGGTGTCTCGTATGTAATGTCGAAGCCACGATCTGTTTGCCATCACCGGTTAGCTTGCCGCCCACACAACCAGCACCATCAATTGAGTCAACATACCGGCCAAGTCGCCAAAGAATTGGCTATATGCGCTCTTCTCAGCAACATCGTCCAAAACAACGAGCAATCGGCTGCCCGATGTGCTCACAGCAGACGCCACGGCCGCAAAGGCCACGGCCACGATACTCGACAACAAGCGCATCGTGAAGAATTTTGTCAATACAAAGGCGTAAATGGATCGAATCAATCAACAAGTGACACGGATTCGCTGCGCAAAGATATTAACACAGCGGCTGTTGATATCTCTCCTGTGACTGGATTGAGGGAGCTTCGCAGGGGAGCTTTGCATTGGCGCTGCCCCCGTCTGGATACGTAGCCTTCATGTGGGGCCCACTGGCAAGCGCAAGCACACATCTCCCCATACACACCAGTGAGCGCCCAGCGCCAGCACCAAGAAGGGTGGAGCCAAGATAATCCGGCCCAGAGAAACGACAAGAGGTTTTTCCGGACAACGCCAACCAACAAGCTAGCAACGACTCAACCTCTCGCCAAACATCACGACATTCTCCCCCGCCGATTCTCCCCCCCAATTCCGTCCCAGTACGTTTTAATTTCCGACGCTTGATCTGCGACCATAGCGACACAGCATCGCATCAGCCAATTGTCCGAATTTGTGGCGCAATCTCGTCTAACGCTTTCGCTCTACAGTCATGTCCGCCGCCGCCGCTCCTCACTTCTGGGCTGCTCCCCTGCGATACTGCGCCTGGGCTGCCCGCGAACGCCCTGCGTACTTTTGGTCCGTCGTTATTGGCGGCATTGGTCCCGCTGCCATGCCTTTTGCTCCCGCCATTAGACGCGCCTTTGGCGATGTCGACCCTGCTCCCATCCCCGTTACGTATCCCGGTATGTATATCTTCGAACGCCGAGTTGTCTAACGACGAAATAATCGGCACTATATCGCACATATGCTAATCTACAATTGCTATGATAGTCCCCACGGGACCCCGAAAACAATTGACCGGCTACGATGACGAATAAGCAATGGGTATAAAATGAACCAGGTGGAGGAAATGGAAAAACAACCCGAGGGGTTCTCGAATGCTAGACATCTTTCTTTATTTTAACCAGCGAAAGCACCGAAAACACTTCTACGGTTTGAGCAGGTCCTGTATACTATGTGGGCGTTTCGCAGCTGGGCGCCTCTCTGCTCAAGCAACAATTCAGCTGCAACTAGAAATGCATATCAAAATCAGATATTTCTTTTTGTCCTTCAAAAAATGCTATATGCGTGCTAATCAATAATTTATGCTGCTTATGCTTATAAAACAATAACGTTTGCGTATCCTAACAAGCCTGGATTTAAACCGAGCAACACCGTTCCTACGCTTGTACCGCGCCAGCCTTGCCACGATGCCGCCCTATCTCTCGCGGTTTGCAAAGTTCCATTCAAACTGGGATGCGTTAGTGCTAATTCCACGATGCAAAACAAAACAAAATCACTTACCACGCGGCCGTCCTCATCTCCCATGTACAGACATTGAGGTCGGGGGCTGATGCAAGTAATGCCAGCGCGGACATTCTCGGTTCTATCCGTTTTATAGTCGACGTGGTCGAGCCTGCGCAGCAGTTCCAGCGTCCACTTGCCTGCCGACATGCTTCGTCTCCAGACATTGACGACACCTTTTCTATGGCCAGTGAAAACTAGATAGTTCTCCAGCCACTCATTGCCAGCTCCCTCGTAAAATGCACAAGAGTGGACATAATCGTCCGACTCCTGGCAAACATTCTGCTCCAGTAAAACAGCTCCATTGATAGAATACAAAATGACATTCGGACCAGAACAAAGCAAAATGTCGCCAGTAACGTCGTTTATACGCGCGCACTCCACTTGGCGAACCAGTGGGAGCTTGCGGATGAAAGCGAGCTGGTTGAGATCCCACAGCAGGCCTTGCCCATCTGCCGATACTGTGACAAAGGTGCTGAACGCTTTGCTAACCGCGATGGCCGTGATGGGGGTCTTGTGGCCAAAGAGACTAGATTTGGGCGCGAGTTCCACAGGCTTGCCTGGCGACGTTGACACAGTATATACGGATACTACGCAATCCTCGCCAGCAGTGATGAGCGTCTTGGAATCTGCAAAGGCCGCGCAAGAGATTTGACCGATATGAAGATTCTCGAACAAGCCTGCAGGGCGGCGATTGTCGCTGAAGAAGAATCGTACGGTATTATCAGCGTAGCCCCATTCAAGATATTTGTCGTATGGAGCAAGGTGTAGACGGAATGGGGAGGCGCACAGCAGTCTGTCGAGCTTCGGCGCATGAATAATAGACGTAACTCTTTCATGGCACTCAATTAGCGGACTGGGCAGACAAGACAGCGAAAATACAGTGGTATCCAGTCGTCTGGTCGGGCAGGTGACATTTTCCCTGGCAGGATGAGCCTTGGAAAATACCTGATGTGGTGTCTGGCCAAAGTTGTGAATAACGCCCGCGGTGATAGCTCGTTCGTTTACATCTGTAATACTGTCGAGATTGCTCGCGCCGGCATACGAGAGGTAATGGAATACATTGAGATTTTGCTCCGCTGCCTCGCCGCGCTGCTTGCATCCAAACACCAGATCGATCCATTTGTGCAGGTTTTCACTAACGTAGGGACTTTCCAGAGCTTCTCTGTGCTTTGCAATAAAGATCTTCGGATCCCCCTTGGCCCAGGGTGGAAGGACCACATTGTCCACCTTCAAGCCGGTGCTTTGCTTTCGTCCAAAGTCATACCCGTTCAAGTTTGTGAGGAATTCTGGGACACAGAAGAATTCTGGAATCAGCTCGCGGACGTCAGTCTTGTTGCGTGACGATGCAGATGTCCATGCATCAGGAATAGACTGGAAGAGGCGGTCCGCATGATCGAAGCTATCACCTTGGAGGATGAGGTACGACTGCACAAACGGCGGGAGACGGATAAGGTAGGACGAAACAATCATCGCTGACGAGTAATGTGTACCGTAGTGGAACGGCTCCTGTCCAATCTCCTTCAGGGCACTGTAGGTTTCTCGGAAGCCGCGAACACGTTCTTCGGTCTGGGCTCCCATCGGCTTGGATAGGTCGCGGAATGTAGTAGGGTCTTCCAAATCCAAGTCTTCGCTGGTATAGTCTGCCAAAATCCATGGGAAGACCGGATACTGCGTGAGGTCATTGAATGTTCTTCCAGCCATGGTATTCACCATCATAAGATAATGAAAGTTGGAAATCTCGCCCTTTTGCCACCGCTTTAGAAGAGGGTTCCACGAAGACGAGTTGAAGAGTGTTCCAAGTTTTGATCCTAGTCCTTGTGGTGATTCGTCGAAGACCTTAAGTCCTTCCAATCTCCATGCATCTTCTGGGTTTGGCAGCGAATGAGCAGCGTTGGTGTGCGGTGCCTTGTTTAGCAATTTACCAAACAGTTCATCACGAACAGTAGGCGTCATGGCGGTCATGAGATAGCTTCGGCCGTCGGTAAAGAAAATCTCGATGGCGACGTCTCGGAACAGGAATCGTCGCTTAGAAATGCTGATAAGTTCAGACCATTTCCAGCTCCGTGATTCTTGTTCACGATTTCCAGCATTCTGTTGCTTTTCCAGAGTTTTAGCACCGGTAACAATGCGAGTGAAAGGGTCACGTTCTTCGGGGGGTGCTTGCCAGACGTTCACGATGTCGCCGCTCAGGCACTGGAATACATTGTCCATCATGTAGAGAGAATCTTTCCCAACAATCAGGATACCTTCGCAGGCTTCGAGACCTGTAACGCGAGAAACGTTGTAAGCGGCTTGGACATGATCGCCGTGATCAAGACGACGCATAACCTTTCGATTCTTATCTTCAAAGTTCTCGTCCACATCTTGAGCATCGTTGGGATCTTCAATAAGCTCGAAATCATCATCAGCGGCAGATTTCCCATCTTCATTAGCTGTAGCTAAGGATGCGGTGTTTTCGACAGCTGGAGCGGCTGTGTCAATCTTAAGCGTCGGTGTACTGGTGCCGGTGCCGTTACCCTTTGGTTTAGGCTGGTATTTTTGCTCTTGTGCAGAATAGTCAGGCAAAAGCCGCAGGCGCATTCGGTTGCGCCCTTCAGTTCTATCCAGTTTCCACTTCAGGCTACCTGGTTGGCTGAAGACGGCGCCAGGGCGTCGGAGATCTCGCTCCATCTTTTTATACGCGGATATCGAGAAGGTGAGATCATCTTGCTGATCTTGGACAATGCGCTGGTACTTGAAGTGCTCAGTACTGTATATGCTCTTCATCCAGGCAGAGTTGCTAACTTCGTGGTTGGAGAGTAATTTGTCTCGCGCCAAGTCTTCTGCGTACAAGTATCGCAGTCGCTCCTTACGCTTCAACAAGCGGCCCTTTGCCGTTTCAGTTGTCCGCGTATTCTCTATACTAACAAAGTTTTCCCATGTTTTAGCCATGCCTCCAAAGAACAATCCGTCCAGGGAAGGACGGTTATTGTCCACCCACTGCAGGAAGGTGTCATCATCAATTTCTGTGAGCTTCATAAAGTCTGTGCAAAGCCGCCTTTGATCAGGTGTAATGAATGACCTTATCAGATTAACCGATTCGTCTGGCTTTTGCACAATAAGGATGCGCAAGAAGTTGGCTGCAGCAACGCGTACAGCATGCCTTGTGTCGATGAGCTTGGTGTACAACTGATACCAGAATAATTTCAAGTAATCGTCATCAGACGCGAAACAGCCGAGGATGGACATTTGCCAATATGCCAGTTTGTTCATAAACTCCATTGCACCAGCCTCGTTTGCATTCTTGCCATCGAGATCGGAAAGCTTAAGAAGAACGATCCTCAGCAGACAAGTGCGAATCGAAACAATAGACTGGCTGCACAATCGGACGCTTTTGAGCACTGCAACATCAGGTCGTTGCAGATACTCAAGAAGCATGCCGCTAAAGTCAATCAAGAATTCAGCTCCATCTATAAACCACCCTTCAAAGATTGCTTCAGAGAAGTGCACACATAGTCGCGCGAGATTTGTAATCATGCGCGGTTCGCAGAGCATTTTCTGGTCTGACAGAATCTTCTCTGTAGTCCTTTGCAGAATATCTTTTAAAATGTGTGACTCAAAGTACGCTTGGTGTTCTTGGAATCCTGGAGGCACTTTGCTGAAAAGAGCAAATCCGGGAAACTCTTTGCGTGAAAAGATTTGGTCCATAAAGACGTTGAGAAGCAAGTCTGTAATGCCTTGGACGATGGCGTTGTCTTCGTCTCCTGTTGGACGCATCATCTCACCAGCCTCGTTTGCTTCTTCTTCAACATGTGCTGTAAGAAGGACAAAAGATGATGCACGTCTCAGGGGTGTTCCTTTCGGAGGTGTGCTCTGAGGTGTTGTGTTGAGGTTTACACTGCTTGTCCTGACGATTGGGGTAGCTGACGAAGCCTTTCCTATGGGTCGGATAATGACATCGCTTCCATCAAAGTTGAGCATAGAATCTCTTGAATTTAGCTCAACATCGGCAGTAACGGGATCTGTGCTGACCATGACTGGGTACAGGATCAGCAGAATAAGTCTTGTCCATTCAGAATTGAGAGTAAATTCTTTAAAATCAGGAGACTTTTCTTGTAATTTCTGAAGAAAACCAATGATATTCTGCAGCATTACAGTTTTCTTTTCTCTTGTAAATTCCTCATTCAAAATCACTGTGCCATGTTAGTCTATACCGATGTTGTAGTGCGGCGCTTCACATACATTTGGAATGAAGGGTTTCAACTAAGCTGTCTGCTGTCGGCGCTAGCTCAGGTGCAGCTGACCCTCGTCTGCCCTCCGGTTGGGGTGTTGGCTGGTTGCTGTTTCTGATAATCTCATTCAACCCAGTTTGAAGCATAGATGTTATGATAATGATGGCATCTGGGTATACAACTTTGCGTTTCTCGAAGACGTTGAGCATATCAGAAAGATTGAGCCTGTTCTGCAAGTCCAGATTCGCAACGTCATATCCGAACAGGATGCAAAGGGCAATAATCCACAGCTGTGGTAAGGACCAAAAGCGCTTGATCCTGTTTGCCGTGATCGTAAAGCCACCTGATTTGCCAGCAAATTTTGACGTGTAAGCAGAGCCGTGAGATACAAGCAGCCTTGCCAAGATTTTGCATCCATGAGTGACGATGTCGGGGTCATTCTCATTTAGTAGATAGAGTAGCCACTTGTAGAAGTTAACACAGATAACGTTGAGAGACTGAGATGGGAACGAACCTTGTTAGTGACAGTCTTTGCGAACTTCTTAATATGGTTGAGATTGTCTTGTTCGCATAGAATCTCGCTATACAGACTGAGAACTCTGGAACCCAGTTGACGCCTAGTCAGGAATTTGATGCCTCCAGGCGTGCTGGTTCCACTTCCATCCCCAGTACCTCTACGGATGAGGTTTGGTGTCGAAGGCCTTGATATGGCAGACATGGGCCTCGACGTTCTTGATGTGGATGAAGATGGTACGTGGAACGCGTACGTAATAAACAGTGACAGAGACCGCATGACCTCTGGGTTCAAGTTAGACTTAACAAGAGTCTCAAATGCGGCCATAAAATGTGGCAAGACAGTTTCGGGGACAGCCTCTCCCTTCATTGCATCCAACAAGCGCTTCACGATTCTCATTCGCACGAGCCGGCGGCTGTTAAAATCGTGGTGTTTGCAATTAACAGCAAACGTAATGAACTGCTTGTAGTAAAGTTCCTGTATTCTTGGAGCAGATCGTCTCCAAACATCAAGGTCAATCAACAGTATTCTGTATGCCAAGGGATTCACAATCAGGGAATCGACTGGGTTTGTATGCTTGTAGCCAACAAAGCCCAGAATCAGGCTCAGGACACGGAAAGCAAGACTATCGCGCTCTTCTGATGAGAGCAACAGTCTTGGAATGATTGCGTCAGTAAGAACTGCTCCTGGGTACCCAATCTTGAATCGAAGTAGCATGGCCAAAATGCCATAACCACCATCTCTTTCCATAGCTTCGCTATTTCTCCAGCTGACTTGGATGGAGTGGAACATAATTTCCAAGGCGCGAACAGTTTCATCGGCTGTCGAAGCTCTTTCTAAAAGTTTTAACGCGAGAGGTGTAAAGCCAGCCAGGCGCCAGAGATTTTCGTCAAGATACGATGGCATCACTACAATCGGCCGTCCTCTAAAGGACGCAATGCCTTGCGAGCGAAACAAAGAGTCTGTGATGTTTGGCACAGCACAGTTCATTGCTAGCGGTGTGCCTTCTCGGTTGGATGCGGCGAACAAACTCCGAGCTGATGCTCTAGGCAATGATCGGAGGAGGCCGTTATCAAGGTATTGAACATTTTCGGGGAACGTGGCGGACGGCAGAATACTAAGCAAGAGCTTAGATTCGGGGACGATAGAGCTAGCCTTTTCTCGGACTGCTTTCAGAATATCCGAGGCTTCATCTTTCCCAGGATGAACTATTTCATTCCGCAGCCCAAGTTTCGCTGAAGCTTCGTATGTTTGGAATCCTCCTAGCGTATCTTGGTAGTTTCCATGATACTGGGGACCGAGTCCATAGTGTACGGCAAGGTAGTCGTCACTTAGAACCTCCTCAAATAGATGTGCTGATGCCAGGGACCATCTAGAATATACAGAACCCTTACCGGCCTTACCGGCAAGCTCTTTAGGTGTGCCAAGAAAAGCTTGGACAGGGTTCATCTTGTTCTGGCTCGAGTTGAATGCAGTAAAGTTTTCGTTTGTTGTAGTAGTAGACACTGGTGGTAACTGTGGATAGTTGCAGCGGGATTGTTCAGTGAATTCGCCATTGACGTATAGTGATGCTTTGCTGGCTGTTAGCGCCTTGGGCCTTCGATGAACAACAGCAATATGATACCACTGCTTTTCTTGGAACACTGTCGACTTGAATCGAATGCTGGGCCTGTTGGAAAAGACAGAGGTCTGCAAGATAAAGTTTTGCGTATCTCGCTCCAGATACATCAACACGAAGCAGCTTTGGGAGGTATCAAAGGCTCCAAATAGTGTGGTGTGCGTGTTCGGATCGAACTTATCAATCCAAATCCAAGCCGTGAATGTATATCCTTGGCTAGTCTGAGGTGGAAAGGGTCGCGGTAAACTCGGCAACTCCAGTGATGAATATCCATCCATCGAAAGATCGAATTGGTAATATGACGGGCCAGTATATTTAGACATTACTGACAAGCAGAACTCGGATGCTTCGGCACTTGAATTGGAAAGAAGAAACTGTGTATCGGCTGGTTTGTTGATGCCCAGATACATAAGTAATCGGCAAATTTCCAGGGCTTTATCCTTTTCGACGCTAGTGAGTACAAAGTCGGTCGAAAATGCTGCTCGAAGCAGCTGAGACATGACACCAGTGTTGTGTATCACGTATCGATTATACATGAGGACAGATGCCGCGCGCAAGATGGTCTCAAGGACTAGCAGTGACGCTGGGCTGGTTGTTGCACCTTTTTCTCTAGGATTTGACATCCAGAAGCTCACAATTGCACGCAAGATTTCGGGATATTGTATGACGGTGTCTCTGTTTACCAGCTCGCCAACCTTTGGCTCGATCGATTCAATGGACTTTGACAGGACCAGATTCCACTGTTCGTCAGCGTCATCTTGGGATTCGGGTTCGCTTTGTCGTTCGGTATCTTGTCGCAGCGTCTCGCCAATAGTCTGGAAGAGCAAATCGATGGACTCATCTCCAAGAGCAAAGGCGAAGAGCTTTCCGTACACGTAACAGCTAACCCACGGGTTAGGTTCCGCGCCACCAAGTCCAATGCTCGCAATCGCTTGCTCTAATGCCTCCCAACCACCACCCTCAACCTTGAATTTGAAGAAGCGTCTATTGCCAGGGTGCATGTGCAAGGCGGCAGCAAAGACATCCAGAGCAGCGCCGAGCAATTTGAACAGCGCAGCCATTTCTTTGCTGGTGCGTTTATCGGGGTTATAGAATCCAGAAAAGCACCGTAGGACATGGAAAACTGCTTCGAAGCCACCAGCATGTCGAAATCCGTCCTGGTGGTCCATTGCTGCTGGGCCAGACATTTGGTCCACCAGCTTGCGCAGGTCCTTAACCAGCCTAACCGTATCAGGGTAGCCATTTGGTTGGATCCCCGATGCTGTATTGTGTGAAGTAACACTGATCAGAGCACGCATCAGCTCCACAGCCTTTGCACTCTCGCCAGTAGGGTTGGCTGAGGCGGCCGTGGACGAGCGATGGCGTCTGGTGTTGGGAGTTGTGCTGTCCATTGCGGCGAGTCTGCTATTTCATAAGGAGAAGTGCAGGCTATGGCAATGCCCAGGCAACCCCCATCAAGGGACCAAGTTTATAGTTGTAGATGTCGGCATCGAGCGGCGAGAAGTCGGTGTTCGAGTCGCGCGTTGAAGCTCTCGCGCGGGGCAACGTTGGTACAAGCACGCTTTGCGGGAGATAGTCGAACCGATACCTGACTGGCAGGAAAAAAATTAAAGACGCGGTGTAGTTGAGGATCGTCAAGAAAAGCCAAAAGAAGAAAACGTATGCCGCAAATGCGCTGAAGCAAGAAAGTCGTCGACTACAAAAAAAAAACAAAAAGCAACGTTTGATGCTGATGCGTACTGGGCTGAGTACGTTGCAGGTGGGTGGTGCTCCAAGGCGAGCCTTGTTTAAGCGCCTACGCCAATTGGGCGAGCTTACACGGGCCGATCCACCACTGGACGAGGCGCAGGGCAGGTTGATTCTACGCATGGACTCTAAACAGAGAGACTAGGTGATAAGAATAGATGGAGCATATTGATGGTAATATTGAGAGTCGATTCTCCCAGTAGCAATTTTCTTCGAAAAAAAAAACCCCCGACTTTGTGTTTTTCCTGCTCATAAACTTCTTCACTGTCATCACAAGATCGTCACCTGAAAAGCATATCCCTACGTCATACCACGGCAACGCTGCAAACACAGATATTTCTCAGAGATAGATCAGGCTTCCACGTAAATATGCGCTTTTAATCCAACGCATGGCTATACTTTCCCAAGGGCTCGAGCGACGTTGACTTTCTTCGGACCGGCGGCTGGGGAATTGGGATCGAGTCGCAAAATCTCTTCCGTGAGGGCGAGGTTGCTTCGCTGCATAAACTGCTGAATCTTTTCTGGCTCAATTTCCCTGTCAATCAGAGACATACTGATCTCGTCAGCCACCGGAATCATCTCATCCGGCATACTATCCGGAGTGCATTCGGCGCCAATGCCCCAGAGATCCCAGAGAAGCATCTCTTGTTTGTTCATAGCTGCCAGATCAGATTGTACATTGACAGCAAGATACGGGAGCCCCTTGAAAGCAACCGATTCACCGATAATGTAGTTGCTAGCATCAATCTCACCAGACCGAGCACTGAGCCAAGCCTCTGAACCGTTCTGAAAGTCGATTCCAGGTCGGAGATCTAGAAAGTCCACTTGCTTCCCATACGCGTACTTCTTCCAGCCAACTGGCATATCCGGATCAACCAGTCTCCAGCGCTTCAAATCTGCATCCCACATTTCAGTAACAGTGTGATCTATCATCTTGCCAGGAGAAAAGTACGCTGCCGACCCGATTCTAATTCTAGCCGGAATGCCCTTCTGCCTGAGAATGGAGGCAAGTAGAAGTGCCGAGTCTCGGCAGCAGCCCACGGTTCGCTCATCGCTGGACCGTTTGGCAGTGAGAGATGGATTGCGTGAGAGAATGCGTTCAAACATGACACCTGCGTATCGAGTATGAATTTCATCAAGCCTGTCGGGTCGCACTTCCGACCTGCGCGCTTGATAATGAAGACAGAATTGAGAAACAATGTCACGCAGCGACGCAATATCTGATGGAAGTGCATTTATGGCTTCCAGTAACTTAGGATCATTACCCGGATCCGAAAGGGGGCTCTGTGAAATCCAAAAGGCTGAAGACATTGTTGAAATATATTGTATGAAACAGTGATCTTGATTTGGCTGTTGATGAAGGGTTAGTGCCAAGTTCAAGTCGTTGTGAAACTCGGGCTGAGTCTTATACCCAGAAATCGCATGTTGGAAGGCGTAATATGCTAAGGGACATTGGGGCGTGAAGGACCCGAATCACGATTCACGAAAATTCTAAGCGGGCTGTAGAGTGTGTTCATACTTATATGCACATTACCTGGTACTGTTCACGGATCCACGTAGCCGCGTTTAGTCACATTCTGCAGCTGTTCTTGTCCTTCAACAGTATCAAATAAGAAGAATATGAGAATCTGCGGTTTATAAAATATTCGCTCGTATTGGCCAGCATACGAAACGGGCGCGAGCTCTCTCCGTGGATAGACCCGTGTCGCTACCCTACGCATAGGTAGCTTCACGTGTTGCACTTCACCATTGAACATACATGACACGAGTCCTGTAGCACATTAGCATATCCGTTATTCTTCTGTTAATCCTATTCTTAATGTTTTAATTAAGCGAGAATGGTTTACAAAGGATGGTTAGTTTTGGCGGTCACGGATTGTCTCGTTTCGGGATGACAACGCGTCCTAATTGCAAAGCTGCGAGCGAATAGACACGGCCATTTGTCAACACGGGGGAATACGATGACATCACTCGCTTGCATTGTTGATGGCCAGAGTTGTCTAACGTACTTCAACCCAAAAGAGTTCATGAGGGAAGGCTTGCCACACTCGTGAGAGCGCCCATTCACTTGCTGTTTCGGAGGACAGCGGTCGGATATTCCCGTTCCCATGCACGCCATCACAGATTTGGATGCCAGCGTGCCAAATCTGGATGGGGATCTCCAATAAAAGTTGGCAATTGCTGGTAGCCAAGTCTGTGAAGCAGTGGCCGATCTAGTCACAGCCGTTGTGCTTCTCCGCTCTCCCCCGCAGCGCCTGCACCGGCCTGACGTACGCGCGTGGCCAGAGCGCACCTGACGGCAGATCAGGTGCTGTGGCTCTCCACTAGCGAACAAACGAATAGAGGCGTGAGATAAGGGAGACGCGGTGACCGAGTCTCATAGTCCGGAGATCCCTGCCAGTAATTCACATCTTTTACGATGCAATTTGTCGCCATGGTGAGCGTGACTCAACGATTCATGGTCGAGAGACATGCGTCCTGTCCCAGCGATCCCGGCTTGCAGGCAAGAACATGGGATAGCTCCGGTTCTAGGCGGCTGGGGGGCCCTGGGCTGCTAGCATAGCCTCTCACGATGCGTGGGCCTGGTACGGCGAGTGAGGCGGCTGGAATGGAGCCGAGTTAGCCTCGAGTCGTGTGACGCTTGGCCATTGTTGAGCGCCCGCAGGCTGAATCGGTGTTTTTTGGGGGGCGTAGTTGCATGCTAAGAAAGGCTATCAGTAAGAATGGCAACATAGACAAAGCCGAGCGATGGGCAGAGAGGGCTATCTTTGTCCGCAAGGTTTATCGCGTTTCCTGCTCGGCCCTTGTGGCAAAAGGCTAATGATGATCACTGTTTATGCTATTGCAGGCCCCATCATCACCTTGACGGCGGCCTTTTCATCAATGCAACGCCGGGCCTAAAACAGAGGGGACCCTTGGGGTCGGGCACAGTGGCCTGGGCCGGCTGCGTGTGTTTGGTTGGTGGTGATGGCTCGGCGCAGGTACCTGGAGAGCTCACTGTTTCATCAGCACCAGGTGACTGGGCATAAGTGCACGGTTCCGGACTGCCAAAGGTACATGTTGTCACTGTACTAGATACTTAGTTATCTGGTGGATTCCGTGCTAAATGCAGGTACTCACTACTTCCACAACGCCACCAATATAGGAACCTGCTGCTTTTAGCGGGCCTGTTGCTTTGTTTAGTGGCGGCTGTCCCCCCAAATGTCGACACATCGACCGCCGACTGCCAGCTGCGCCAGCTGCCTGGCCTGGCAAAGAGCTGATGCGTCACTCGCCTCCTCCACACTTCCAAACCCAAACTAGCGCAGCCTACCCCAGCTCGCCCTCCCGCCGCCGCCCTTATCACCTCCGACAACCGCTCTCGTCATCCACCTCCGCTTCTTCATCATCTACCCTCTTCTTCCTCTCTACATCTGCATCCCTCATCCACGTCTTTCCATCACAAAAGACGTACCCTTTCTCTGTTTTTGTTGCTGGCAACTCGAGCTGCAGCTTGTTTTTGTCCCTGTTCCACACTCTCCAAGGTCGCAGGTTGACCGACGCTTCCGTACTCTGTTTCTGCCTATTTCTCGCAGCATCACCATCACCATGAAGTCCTTTGTCACCGCCCTGTCTGTGGCCGCCGTTGCCCAGGCCTCCATCAAGGTCGGCACCATCCATCACGAATCCGCTCCCATCCTCGAAGCCTCCAACGCCGACGCCATTTCCGGCTCCTACATCATCAAGTTCAAGGATCACGTGGATGCCTCCAAGGCCGACCGTCATCACGGCTGGATTCAGAGCATCCACGAGGCTTCCAACGACGATCAGCTTGAGCTCCGCAAGCGTGGTGTGTCTGATATTTTCACTGGCATGAAGCACACCTACAACATTGGTGACTTCCGTGGCTACGCCGGCCACTTTGACGACGATGTCATCGAGCAAATCCGCAACCATCCCGACGTAAGTTGACGTTTGCTTAGTGCCCTTTCTAACGTAGACACCAAGCTAACACATGCATATAGGTTGAGATGATCGAGCGTGACACCATGGTCCACACTATGTTGCCCGCTGGCATCAAGCATGCTATTGCTGAGGACAAGTGTGACGGCGAGGTTGAGAAACAGGCTCCTTGGGGTCTTGCCCGTATCTCCCACCGTGACACCCTCGGCTTTAGCACCTACAACAAGTACCTCTACAGCGGTGAGGGTGGTGAGGGTGTTGATGCCTATGTTATCGACACCGGTACCAATACCGAGCATGTTGACTTTGAGGGTCGCGCCGAATGGGGTAAGACCATTCCTCGTGGCGATGTTGATGAGGATAAAAACGGCCACGGCACCCACTGCTCCGGTACCATTGCCGGTAAGAAGTACGGTGTTGCCAAGAAGGCCCGAGTCTATGCCGTCAAGGTCCTCGGATCTAACGGCTCCGGCACCATGGCTGATGTCATCAAAGGCGTCGAATGGGCCCGTGACAACCATCTTGCCCAGGTTAAGGCTGCCAAGGACGGTAAGCGCAAGGGCTTCAAGGGCTCTGTCGCCAACATGTCCCTCGGTGGCGGCAAGGTGAACCTGCTCGACGCTGCTGTTAACGCTGCTGTTGACTCTGGTATCCATTTCGCTGTTGCCGCCGGTAACGACAATGCCGACGCCTGCAACTACTCTCCAGCTGCCGCCACCAAGGCCGTCACTGTTGGAGCTTCTGCCCTGGATGATTCTCGTGCCTACTTCTCCAACTACGGAAAATGCACTGACATCTTTGGCCCTGGCTTGAGCATCAAGTCCACCTGGATTGGCACCAAGTACGCCGTTAACACCATCTCCGGCACCTCCATGGCCTCCCCCCACATTGCTGGCCTCCTTGCCTACTACGTCTCTCTTCAGCCTGCTGAGGATTCCGAGTTTGCCGGCCCTTCGCTCACTCCTAAGAAGCTCAAGGACAGCCTCCTCTCCATTGCCACCGAGGGCATTCTTACTGATATCCCCGCCAACACACCCAACCTGCTTGCCTGGAACGGCGGTGGCTGCTCTGACTACAAGAAGATCATTGAGGCTGGCGGCTACAAGGCTACCAAGGGTGCCAAGGCGGCCAAGGCCAAGTCTTCTCCTGCTGCATCCATGCCATCCACTATCGAGGAGCTCGAAGCCGCCATCGAGAACGACTTCAACATGCTCTCCGGCAAGGTCCTTGGCGGTGCCAAGTCTCTCGCCAACGAGGCTGAGAAGCTTAGCCACAAGATTCAGCACCTTGTTGAGGACGAGATCAACGAGTTCCTCTCTGAAATGAACTAGGGACGATATTGATCAACGAAGAAATGCCCGCATGCGTTCAGCATTGTCATATTCTTGAATACTTGAATTTGTTTACTTAGGCCATAGTGCCACGATTGTGTCTGTTTATCGCCTGCCGGCTCGTTTTTCTTCTTGTACTGTTACTGCATTGATTTGTTACTAGGATTGGAATACATGGAATAGGCTTCTGCACTTCAGATAAATACATTTTTGCATTGAAATCAACAAATCAGCCGTAGACTTTCCGACATGTATGACAACAGGTAGTCTTTCCCGACAGAATGTTCCTTCTCTGTGTGGTTGCTCCTGCCTACGACTTGTCAAGGTATGGTATTGTGGCAGTCTCACGGTGCGTCCGGCTATGGCATAGTTTTGCCATCTTAACACCAGCAAGCTTTAACCTTTGCACCAGAAACAACTTATCTTACATTACATCTAACAGGAACTAGTCGAAAACGATGATTCGAAGAAATAGCAATAAGAAGAAGACATCCCGGCCTTTGGGAAGAAGCAAATCCATGAACTGTGTAACGAACAATAATCAGCTCCGTAAGGCCGCCATCGACCGAGACGCCCATATCGCCGCGGCTCTATCATATCGACAAGATGATGCGAGATGTTTGCAACAAACCGACTCAGAGTCGTGCCGGCTCGTTCGTAGTCAAAGTTTTTCACGAGGTTCGAATACAACATCGCCACATGCTGCGAAGAATTCCCTTGCAGAAAGAAGTCTACGCCGTCAGCAGAGCGTGAGATTTGCTGGACCTCGTGCATGCCCCAGAAAAGCCATTGCTCCACGGGCAAACAAACAGCTCAGAGCCATTAAGAAAGAAAATATCCAGCATCTTGCCGGCAGTGATATGAGCGAAAGGAGCTTTGCAAGTTCTGGATACTTGTACCAGCCCAGTATTGCCACTACTGAAACTCGCTCACAACAAGGCGCCACCAAGCAAGGCTCACATCTCAAAGCTAGGACAGAATTAGCATCACCTGGAGCGAAGAGATTGAGAAAATCACAGTCCATGGTGGCATCGCGTCAAAACGCCATGGTCCGTGGCCAGGGGGACTCTTATAATAGACTTGAGGAATGGCTGCAGCCAGACAGAGATCTATCCTTATTCCGAGCTCGTCAACAGGCGAATGATTTTGCTGCTCGCCACCTTCATAATACAAAATCGTTGAGCCATTTGAAGACTATGAGTGCATTCTCATCTGCCTATACATCAGATTCGAGAACTGAGCACTTTGATTCACCATTGCAACTATCAAGAGACCTAAGAGGCGGTGTATCACACAATAAATTATCATCACAGGGCCTGTCATTGTCTCGATCTAAACATCAGAGAGCTAAGAGTGCCACAGAATTACCACGGTCCCTCAGGAACAGCAGCAATGATACTGATTTTGTTTCTTCCACGCTTTCGTTAGCCACTACAACAAATGGCAAATCGACGGGATTTCGATATACAGCTCGCAAGGTATCACGATCTGTCAAGACAAAGCTGAGAAGCTTTTTCAGTCGACCAAAAGAGCGTCCTGTCGTTTCTCTCAACTCAGGCACTGAGAGCGGCTTTAGCCCAGGCATTTATGACGATGAGCCCACATATGTATCAAGAGTTAAGTCACATCTACCTTCCTTGCATTCTATCTCGACAGAAAGACGCCCATACTCTCGTAGAGGAAGTTTAGAGAGTATTGAAAGCGAACTGAGACACATAGAAGGTGACAAGTCCCGCGTCACAAGCTGGACAAACTCGAGCACTTGCGCCGAAGACATTGCACAAGACCATGTCCCGGATAGGATAAAGTCAAGACTCTCTGTTATCAATGAATCTGTATTCAATCTCAATAGCTCTTCGCCCCCACAAGCGGACCCTAGAGTCACGCACTCGATACGATCACCAACTGATAATCAGCAGGTCTACTCGGCCCTTATTCAAAGGCTTGATGAAATGAACAAGTTGAGGCGGGAGTCGGAGTCGAATAGCACAGGTGCTCATGACGAAAATGGTTCTCTAAAGAGTTGGAAATGCCAAACAATACGCTGCGTTGAGAAGGATGATGTCTTTCAAGACTCAACTGGTCACAATATGCACTCTCTTCAGCGTAGATCAACCACAGATCTCCAGGGCAACATTACAACAGAGCTAAGTGAGGGCAACGATGAGCATGCAAGGGATTTTCCTTGTGAGCGCCCTGTATCACGGGTTCTCTCGTCAAGATCGTCCGCCTTTTTCGGTAGTCCTTCAAATCATCTCTTTAGGACACAAAGTCCATATCGGCGAGCACTACAGCAGAGCATGAAAATGCAACAAACAGACGTAACAAACACGGGCGCCAAGTATCTAAGTACACTGTCAACTTTAGTATTACCATTAAGACGGGCAAGTCCTAGCAACTCAGAAAAGGATACGCGCTTGTCTACGACCGACTCTGTATATTCTCGTCAGTCCGCCGCAGTTCACACAAAGTGGGAAGAGACGCCAGCGACACCACAAAGGGAAAATAAATTGGACGGGGATTCCGTTAAAGAATTTGTTACTCCACCTCTACAACCAATTAATAGAATGCAGAATCGGCGTGAGGTGTCGTCTGCAAGTTCTGTTGAGTGGAAAACATGGCTAAGTGCCAATGTCTCTAAGCTCGAGACACCCCCGGCTTGTTCACGCAGCCCTGGTAGACTGTTTCTGGGAGAGTTTGATGTACATGGCCACATTAAAGAGGAAACGGAAATTACTGAGGTGAACGAGTCACCCGCGGAGACACCTTCACCGGCTGCTGTGGTGGGTAACCGATTCTGTTCAATTCCGCCATCAGATACGCCCTTGCGTTGGTCGACCACTTCAACGAACACTCCAAAGTCCTATCCTATATTTACAGATGAGAACCTGGACCCTAATAAGATAACCCCGTCCAAGATAATTGAAGACAATAGCGAGCCATTCTCGACGCCGCAGGTTGGCCTACGCAATGTGTCTTCATTGCCAAACGTCCATGGAAATTCGCCACTGCCACGCTTATCTCACTGCTGGTCACCCAAAGTCACTCCAGGCATGAGCCCAAATAGAAACGATAAGAAGTGGTCAACTGTCCGCGCTGCCCGTCAAAATGTTAGCTCGGTCCAGTCCAGCCCAGGCTTGACAGCCGCCATTGAACGACAGTTTGGCAAAGCGAGAAATAGCTCTCAAGGATCCCCTACTGTCAAATCTCCTATATCCGCCGAGCTCGTTACAACTCCCAAGTCCAGGCGGAGCTGCTTATCAGAGTTGGATGCCCAAGCGATGGGCAGCAGGCGCATGGTTGATTTATTCCTAAGCAGCCGTCAGAACCGAGTGCGGCGCGCGTCTGAGTCCAGTAGCGGGAGCGCTGCAGCTGCGTTTGTTTAAATAGAACAAAGAGTACGGATAGTTGAAACTAGTCTTACAGTAGGAATAATGTATATCGTAGGGTCTCTTATCGAAGGATGTGGCATTCAGCATTTACCACTGGTGGACAATGGAATCACGGCTTGGAAACAAGGGTAATGAAGGGAAATAAAGGTATATGAAATCGCTCTGGCTCTATGCGCTATATGCTATGCATTCATTAAATAATCGTGAATAGTAGTTGTTTTGTGGTGTCATTAGGAAGATATTAGGCCAGCTCTGTCGAGCTGGAGGAAGGGCTGACATGAACCTGCCAGAGATAGCCGAGGTCCTTTGGAAACTCACTCTTACGGGCCGGGCTTACCCAGTGGCCGTATTCTTCATGAGTGACCTTTTCGGCGAGAATACCAGCAGTCTTGCCGGTATCAATATGTTCCAGGAACTCGAGGGTGACGTTGGCATAGTTTCGAATGGCAGCCTTGGTGTCCCATCGAGAGCCTGTGATGAGGCTGAGCAGCATCGGTTCTAGAAGTGGTGCGTCTGAAACGCTAGGATGGGCTGTGCCCTTGCTGGTAAGGAACCAGGCGATGCCGGTGTTGTTGAGGGCTTTGAGAGTGATGTTACGGACAACAGAGAAGTGAGGCTTGCCAAAGAAGATGGCTGGCTTGCTGGACCACGACTCGGAGTTGACGACTAGAATAGGGGTGTTGATGTCTTCGTTGAGGCGGCCAGACTCCTTGCCTGCATCTAGAATGACGCCTGATCTGAAAATAGGGTTGGCGAGGGCCTGCATGGCGAGCGTGGCGCCGTACGAGTGGCCAGCCATGGTCAGGTTGCCAAAGTCTAGGCGGTTGGCAAAGCCAGGGAGACAGGCGCCTTCCTTTAGGGGGTTGCTGGCGTGTATGTCGTCGCCGTTGCCGAGGTGGAGGGACTTAAGAACGTTGTATGTCTCCAGGACTTCGGCTTCGCGGAAGTTGAGCTGCTCCTTTTTCAACTGGAGTGTCTCGATCCCGCCGAGGTCGGATTCTTTAAAGTGGAGGAGGATACGGTCGGGTTGGTTGAGCTGGCGAATGACGGTGCCAGGGCAGGAGCCGTCTCTGTGCTCGACGGCGGCGACAATGTGGCCATGCGAGGCCAGCTCGGATAGATATGCGGTGTAGTCGGTCTTGGACGAGGCCATGCCATGCGAGAAGATTGTGACGGGAAAGGTGTCGCGCTCGGCGGTCGGGGGAGGAGCGAGAGGAGCGTCGACTTGGGCGGGAATGGATACGGGGGCGGTTATAATCCATAGGAGAAAGGTGAAGATGGGTCGGAAGATGAAGTTGTTGAGGTGGGCAAAGCTGGCGTATCCTTGGGCGGTGACGCTGAGCGGCTTCGCTATCCATGGGTGGTGCACGTTTGTTGTTGTGCCTGGTGTAATGGGATAATATATAGTAAAGAGGACAGTCTCTAGCTCAAAAGCCGGTCGACCTGTTGTGGAGAAGACGGTTTCGCTTGTTCGTCGGGGTTCTTTGAGCGCGTATTCAATGTCGACGGCGCCTACGCTATACGGTCCTGTAGTGGTTGTAGGGAGATTCGAGGCGAAGAGTGGCGAGCGGCGGATGAGGCAAGTGAGGATATAAAAGACGGTAATGCAGAGGATAGCGATGAGGAACTTTGTCTGCCACGGTGACTCTTCGACAGAGCGAGCCACGGACGAGACGTGGCGCTTGATGCGGGCGGTAGCCGAAGACGACGACTCGACTAGCCATCGCGGCTGCGTTTGTATGGGCGTCAGTAGCGGTGAATCGGGTGAGGCTGCCTCTATATCGTCGCGATAGGGCTCGAGTTCGACAGGTATTTCAGAGGCCATTGCTGCAGCGAATCGGTACGCCCTCGCAGCGTGGGCGGCGAAGGACGGCATCAAGGGTCGGGCGGCGTCAATTTGTTGTGAGGATGAATCTGTCGAATTTTCGTGTTCAGCTGTAAATTGACAGATGATACTGGGCGACAGGCGAGAAAAAAGGAAGAAAGCGAGAAGCCAATGCGAGGGATGTAGAAGAAGAGAAAGAGGGTGAAGATTGGCGAATTGGACAGAACAAGGCGAGGCAGCGCAGCCAATGGCGGAGAGGCGGATTGGCAGGTACGAGTACGAATACACCCACTAAAGGCGACGCTAGGCTATTTTTTCCTGCGCCAGACAAAGGCGCTGTCCTGGACGGGGCTGCGCTAGCACGAAACGCGGATGCGAGTCACAGTGACACCATCGGCCCACCCAATCAAGTTGGTGCTGCTGAACGAGCAAAAGTTTCTTATTTTTAATGGGTTGGTCTTTTTTCTTTAGCCCCAGCGCAGGCTAAGCCACTGGGCGATGATGTTTGCGGGGCCGCGTGCAGAGGTGAAGAATAGAGGAGTTTAGGATAAATTGGGTTAGGTTTGAAGAACGTATTTTTGCAGAATGGTAAATTTGGTGTAGGTTTTGCTGGGAGAGAGTTACAGCGTGTACCGGAAAGCTACGTATTACTGTACCTCTATGGTTGTGGTTGTATTGAAGATTCTGCAGGGGCTGTGAAGAGAGAGGCAGGGTTCGGCGTGTGTGCGGTGCCGCAGCGGTAGCGGCAGCAGCTGAAAATAGACTGCGGTGCGGGTTTACAGAGGCCGCCGGACAGGCGGTTGCGGTGGCCCGTTGGACATGCATCGGCCGGCTCGACTTCCCAGTGGACAGATAGATGGCCCGGGGGTAGGGGAAAGGGTTACAGGGGGACGGGATAGGGGAGCAGGGACAAAAGTATTGGAAAAAAAGGAGACAGGTTATGGGAAAAGAGTCTCTCGTTCTTTGGGTAAGCATGTTGGTTGTGTACGAATCTGTTTGTTCACAACGGAGTTTTGGGTAGGGCTGTATTTGACAGGCTGGTATGCTAGAGCTGGCTACAGTTAGGAGTGGTGGTAGACTGTCGTGGGCGGACGTTTCGCTGCTTTGGGCCTAGTTTTACAGTGATCGGCTCCGCAACTGTTTGATGGTCAGAGGCAGAGGAGGGGCAGTGAGGGACAGATATGCAGACAAACTATAAATGAATATAATCAAAGATGGAGCATGTAATCGATGATTTTATTTTATTGGCATTTTTTAAGCATCTAATTTATAATACGTTGTGCTCAGTATATGCTCTATTGATAGTCTCGGGGATTAATACACATAGCAACAGAACCCAATTTGCTAGACAGTATCCTGAGCACTCGCACAGTCCTCTGTGAACAAAAGAAAATGATATAACTATGGCGGTATGTTCATAATTATTTATACTATTCAAAAACACTTCGTAAATCTGTTAAAATCGCGGAATATATCCCCATCAACCGTGGAGCACCAACTCTAGGGTAGCAACAGCATTCCCATGTGCAACGGCACTCTCACGCCCGTGTGGACCCCTAGAAGAGCTGCCTCGGCACCCCACGACCGCAGCCGGGCCGACGCAAGACTCCGGCCGGTCTACGATGCATTAGATTCTCTCGCCATCCTCAACCTCTGCTATCCCGCACCGGCTCTGCTTCACGCTTTATAATCTGCCATCCGAATCCATAACCCGACCGTCTGAACCTTGTCATCGCCGTATTACTCCTTGATAGTCACCAACCACCGCCACCATGTCCGCCCCTCTCGCCGCCTACTCGTCCTACGAGTTCATGCTCGTCACCTCCCCCGCGCCGTTTGTCGCACACCTCGAAATCAACCGCCCCAAGAAGCTCAATGCCTTTTCCCAGCAGGTGTGGCTCGAGTTTGGCCGCGTCTTCCAGCAGCTCAGCGAGGACAGCGATGTCCGCGTCGTTATCCTGAGCGGTGCCGGTGACCGTGCCTTCACTGCCGGTCTGGATGTCCAGGCCGCCGCTACCGACTCGCCATTCTCCGGCGATAAGCAGGAATTGGACCCTGCGCGCAAGGCCAAGCTGCTTAGACCGCACATTGACGAATTCCAAAGCTGCATCTCGCAGATGGAAAAGTGCGAGAAGCGTAAGTCACCCAAATCTTGCTACATCTGGAGCCTTGTTTTGCTAACGAATATCGCAGCCGTCATTTGCGTCATGCACGCCGTCTCCATTGGCCTGGCCATCGACATCTCTTGCTGCGCTGATATTAGAATCGCCGCCGCCAACACCCGCCTCGCGGTCAAGGAGGTGGACATTGGTCTGGCTGCCGACATTGGCACGCTTGCCCGCCTGCCCAAGATTGTCGGCTCGACGTCATGGGTCAAGGACGTCTGCCTGACTGCCCGCGACTTCTCGGCGCAGGAGGCCCTTGCTGTGGGCTTCGTCAGCCAGGTGCACGACACAAAGGCCACAGCTATTGAGGCTGCCCAGAAGATTGCTGTCTCGCTGGCCAGCAAGAGCCCCGTCGCCGTCCAGGGCACCAAGGAGCTGCTCAACTACGGCAGAGAGCACAGCACCGCCGACAGCCTGCGCTACACTGCCATCTGGAACTCGGTGGCTCTGCAGGGCGAGGATTTCCCCAAGGCCATGATGAGCGGACTGGCCAAGACGAAGCCTACCTTTTCCAAGCTGTAAAAAAAATTGTCACGATGTACATGTAAAGCGAGTTCTTTAAAAAATAGATCTTTTCCCTGATTATAAAAACTTTTTCTTCAATTCATAATTCGTAAGAGTCGTTGGTATATGTACAGGATGGTTGTAGTTATTTACTCGGATCCAGATTCGTCGACAGGTGGGAGGTTTTCCTTTAATCGCTAGAACACGGCCATTCGCGTTAGCAGGTGAGGGCGAGCTGAGAGAAGGGGCAGAAGCAACGTACGTCTTCGAGCTTTGACTTGAGAAGGGCGACCATGTTCTCTTTAACCACGACGCGCTCCTCGTCAAGATCCTCGATGATGAAGTCGTGGTTGTCGCTGTCAATGTTCACGATGATGGACTTGATGGAGGGATCGCATTCGATCAAGACGCCTGCAGTGGCTGTTATTAGCGGGCGTATTGTAGCTCTCGAAGAGTTGGACATACCTCGGATGGCACGAGGCATAGTGTACGGCGCGGGTCGAGGCAGCAAGCAGCAGCCTGTACAGAATCTCGATTCGTGATGGGATGGTGATCGTGACAGGCGTGCGGTCGGAAAGCTTGGTAGTGGTGGGGCGGGTAACGTGTAGTGGTTGGTTGGTTGGTGGCAGAACTGCAGGAGTGGCTGTCAGCGCCTGGAGCTGGCTCGGCTTGCCTAGCGCTAGTGGTTACAGCGGGTGCAGGCGGTTGATTGGCACACTTTGAAGGGCCTCCAGGATTGTGACGGCACAAGGACGGGACCAAAGATAAAACGGGTTTGGACAAAGGTTCATGCCATGACAAATGCGCCAAGCGTGCATAATAGTTGCAGCTTTTGGGGATAAGCCACTATGGAATCCTGTCGGCCAACATCCGCAGCTGGCGATATGCTGTCAGTTGCGAATGAATTATTGGCAGTATGGCTATTGTATGGACCATGCATGGCAACTATTGCATCTACAGTAGGATCGGCCAACGTGCTGCCAGTATTGCTTTTTTCCCTCTGGGCTTTTTATCGTAGCATCGCTGCTGTCTTGGTCATGACGCATGCTCACGCGATGCTATCAAGGTACCAAAGCCAGCCAAGCAGCGCTGAAAGGGCGGGGGCAACGGCCGCGTGGCCACTGACTTGGGGAACCTGCAGCATCTGAGTGCCGGGGCGACCTGCAGCCGGTTGCGGAGAGTGCGCCTTATTTTGGAGCAAGGTGCCTTGCGCTGTCTTGCTTCAGCGCTTGGCTCCCCCCAACGGATCCCCTTCTGGTTGCATGTTTACAGGGCCTGCTGGTCGCTGTAGCTGGCCGCCCCACTTGCTGGTCAACCCCCAATGCCAGGGCAGCGGCGGGCTGGCTGCAGGCTGCTGCAGACGCTACCGAACATGGCTGCGGCAAGCTCCCCCAAACGCACGGTGTTGTGACTGTTGTGGTGCTGGTGACGTGCGCGATTCGCCCCGACGGATCCGCCCTCACGTTAGGACCGCCCTCTTCTCCACGTTTTGTTGCTCTCTTCTTTTCTTCTTCAATCATCCATCTCGTTTTTTATTATAGTCTTTTTTATTGGTAGAGCAGCCCATAGTATCACCATGCGCTTCGCTACTTCTGCCCTTGTCTTGGGCGTTGCCTCTACGGCCCTCGCCGCCGATAGCCAAAAGGTCCTCAACAAGCCCTCGTTCGGCGGCCTTGGCCTCGATCTCGACTTTGACGTCTGGTCCCGTCCCATGAAGAGCCTCTGGGGCGACATCTCGGAGGAAGCAAAGGCCACCTGGAACGAAATCAGCCTGCTGGCCCCTGAGGCCGTTGCTGCCTTCAAGGAGTCCCTCAAGCCCAGCGCTCCTCGCAAGATCAACCGCAAGCCCGACTCCCACTGGGACAGCATCGTGCACGGCGCCGACGTCTCGGGCGCCAATGTGGCCAACAAGTTCACCAAGGAGCGAAAGCCTGCCAAGATTAGCGGCAAGCTCGAAAACTACTCGCTGCGCTCGCGTGCCGTCGACACCGTCAAGCTCGGCCTCGACAAGGTCAAGCAATACGCCGGCTACCTCGACGACAACGACCAGGACAAGCATCTCTTCTACTGGTTCTTTGAATCCCGCAACGACCCCAAGAACGACCCCGTTGTCCTCTGGCTCAACGGCGGCCCTGGCTGCTCCTCCATGATGGGTCTCTTCATGGAGCTTGGCCCTGCCTCTGTCGACAAGAACGGCAAGATTGTCCACAACCCTCACTCGTGGAACACCAACGCCTCCGTCATCTTCCTTGACCAGCCCGTCAACGTCGGCTACTCGTACGGTAGCTCTGGTGTCGACAACACCGTCGCCGCCGGCAAGGATGTCTATGCTCTGCTCACCCTCTTCTTCCACCAGTACCCCGAATACGCCGAGCGTGACTTTTACATTGCTGGCGAATCCTACGGCGGCCACTACGTCCCTGCCTTCTCCGCCGAGATCCTCTCCCACGAGAACCGCAACATCAACCTCAAGGGTGCCATTATCGGTAACGGCTTGACTGACGGCTTCACCCAGTACGCCTACTACCGCCCCATGGCCTGTGGCGAGGGTGGTTACCCCGCCGTTCTCGACGAGCAGCAGTGCCAGTCCATGGACAATGCTCTGCCTCGCTGCCAGTCCCTCATCAAGTCTTGCTACGACACCGACAGCGCCTGGACCTGTGTCCCCGCTGCCATCTACTGCAACAGCCAGTTCATCGCCCCCTACCAAAAGACGGGCCAGAACGTCTATGACATCCGCGAGGAGTGCAAGGACACCGAGAACCTCTGCTACACTGCCACCAAGTACATCTCCGATTACCTCAACGACCCTGCCGTTAAGAGCGCTCTCGGCGTTGAAATCGACACCTACCAGAGCTGCAACACCGACATCAACATGAAGTTCCTCTTCAAGGGCGACTGGATGAAGCCCATGCACCACTTCATCCCCACCCTCCTCGAACAGATCCCCGTCCTCATCTACGCTGGTGACGCTGATTTCATCTGCAACTGGCTCGGCAACCGCGCCTGGGTTGAGCAGCTTGAGTGGAACGGTCAGGCCAAGTACGCCAAGGCCAAGACCTCCAAGCTCACCGTCGATGGCAGCGACTACGGCAACGTCCGCAGCGCCCAAAACTTCACCTTTATGCAGATCTACCAGGCCGGCCACATGGTTCCCTACGACCAGCCCAAGGCCTCCAACGACTTCTTCAACCGCTGGCTCCGCGGCGAGTGGACTGCGTAAAGCATGTTCGACCATACGAGTCTATAGGGGAAATCAATTGTACACGCATGCTGAGGGATGACTTTGAATACGTTTTTGGTTGAATTAGAATGCAACTCTGCTGTTTGCTTCCTATTAGTTTAGTATATATACATCTATACACATGTTGTTTCAATTACTGTTTCTGTGTCTGTGGACTGTGCCAGTAAGTATGTACATGAAGGGTTCTTTATCAGCTACTGCAAGCTCTCTCTCTCAAAAAAAGCGATACAGCTATTAATTTCACGAATCTGTTTCTTCAGCAGGCTCTGATTCCTCTGCAGCAGCAGCTTTGGCGATATCATACAGCTCGTGCATGGAGTCATGGCCAATCTTTTGAAAGTACGCATGGCCGGGATTCTTGAGAAACACTACGATAATCAGCCGCAGCAGGATGCATGTCTCCGGTGCGTGCCTTGCTGCACCGGCCTTGCGGGCCGTCTTTTCATCCAGCTGTGCCATGGCCTCAGCAAAAAGCGCTTCCCATCGCTCAAGTGCACGAAGCAGCACGGGGGCCCAGTTGGACATGATGCCCATTTGAAGTGCAAATACGGTGAGCGAGTTGAATGCTAGAAAGACAAGGATATAGTTAGCGAGGCATTCTATCCGTAGCTTCAAACAGAGGGCTATTACGTACCAACCGTCACGGTGTACAGCGTCTCAATTGTCACTCGATTGGCCACCATGCTGCCCGCAATAGTGAATTTATTATCCATTAGAGCGGATATGAATTCTCTGATAGACGTTGGTGCCTTGGTCGCTGGATATGCAGTTGGCGGTTGCAGAGCCTCCAGTTGCAGGATATATCCCGTTGCGTCTGGGGCATCCCAGAGCGTTTGGTGGCACGGAAAGCTGGCTTGCACTTCGCTGCCAGCGACAAGAGGTGGGTAGTAAAAGCTCACGGCGTAGTGCCAGTCAGCCAGAGCCGCCCATATTGCCACTCTATCATGATGTTAGTGGGTTAGTCCGACTTAGATGGAAGTTGTAGGGATGGACTTACCGGACAGTAGTTTCCTGGTAGACAAAGTCTTTCCAATCTCGGCCTAGAGAGTACTGCTTAGAGAAGAGCTCGAGGCCGCGGACGGCTGCAATGAGCTGTGGTAATCGATACAGTCTGCCGCGCTTTCTGGTTGGCGGGTAGTTGGTTAAAAACATTAGATAGGCCATCATGATGCCGGCCTGCAGCAGCTGTAGCGTTTCGGTAGAGGGAGGGGTGGATGGTGGCGGAAGTAGGGAAAGGGTGTTAATTTTGCTAAAGATGTATTCTTCAATTGGATATGAGAACGATCTTGCTAGGTTCGTTTGTTTGGATGGCGTAGAGCGAAATGCACCGCCCATGATGACTGCCAGCAGCAACGGGGTCGATGTGTTTTCATCGCCAAAAGTGGAAGGATGGATGATGGGGAAGTGGACATGACCGAAACGAAAAAAGGTGGCTGTAAATGCGCGGATACTCTCTGGGTTGAAGATGGATTTGGCGTCAGTCATGTCAAAAGCAGTCGCGGCATCCTCTGGCAAGCTCTCTCGGACACTCTCCAGTACATCGATGAGCGAGTCGCACCGTGCTTCAAGCCGTACAAAGCCGTCGTCAGTAAGTGCTGGAATGGGAGATGATGACATAGAGAGAGAGAGCATGTCAAGGTCTTCGTCTGGCGAAAACGAGGCCAGCATATCATCCAGCATGGACTGGTACTGTTCAGGAAATAATGTCGCAACGTCTGCAAGATCCTGCATGTTGCGCATCTCGTCGTACTGGGCGCGAACATTGGCTGCATCCTCCGACACAACCTCGTTTATGGAGCCGTCATTGTCTGTTGCTGCAAAATATTCGAGCATGATGTTCTTGGACGGGTCCATGAACTTTTCTAAGAACGGGAGCTTGGTCTCGCCCCTGCTGGATCCCGACGACACCGTAGCGTTGCTACTCAATGTGGACGCTGGACTGACGACAGTCGATGGCGGGGTGAGATTTCTGCTGGGGGCGTCCGGTATTACATGGCTTGATACGGCATCTTCCTCCTTTGACTTTCTTAGCGCTATGTCTTTCGGATACTGGCATGCCAATGACCGTGTTGTACAGCGAGTGCAAGGGCGGCCGCCGTCGCATGCCACTTTGCTCTTGGAGCAGTGAACACATGCTGAGCTCTGACGCCCTCGTTTGAGCGGCGCCGAAGAAGTGGCTAGGCCGTGCCGTCCAGCGCACCAGATGCGATGTCGTTTGCACACATCACTAGCGGGGAAGTTTGGTTAGGACCTCAGTTACTGCTAGCGTACAAGCCACAGCTAGTCTTATCAATAGCTCTTACCTTCGGAAAAAGGATGCCTCGCAGTGTGGGCATTCGAATTTCTTTACTTGCGTGTCTACGGCGCTGCGATTAGAACAAACGGCCAGCGTGTATAAGTCGACTGGGAAGAACAAAGGTTATACGTACGGGTGGCTTCATGGCGGCGCAAGTGTGTATTGCGCTGATACTGCTTCCCACACGTTGCGCACACATACGCCTTGGCGGCAACTTCTGGATCCCCGCTGCTTGCATTTCCGAGCGCCATGCCTTGGAAGGATTGTGGCGGAAACAAGGTTATCGATTTGGGACTCGATGCGAGGCAGGGATAACAGTCATTGGGAGAGTGCGGGTGGTGAGAGCCTGAGGCAGCCAATGGTACATAAAACCACTACAGTACGACGATTGGTGTAAGCGATGTGTCGCAGAGTCAAAGGAAAACGCAAAGAAAATTTGTGAATAATATTGTAAATGTTGGTATGATTTAGTAAACGTTTTCAATATATACTTAGCAAGTTATTGGTTTTTGTTTCGTGTTGTGAATCCTCTACTATTATCCTTGGTGCAACAGGTAACCAAGAACTATGCATTCAGATGTACTGTGCATATCCAACACGGACAGCCCCTTATTTCGGGAGTTGATAACAAATACATTATAGTATATTAATTATATATATAAGAGTTTTCTTTATACAATTTATACATGTCTTAGAGGCTGAGAAGCACAAAGGCAGCGATACCAACCATCATTTGCTGGCTAACAGAGAGATGAACCGATGCCGAAGAGTGACCTGGAGCAGAAGACGCGGCGCCAGCAGCACCAGAAGTCTGGCTTCCAGAGGAACCGCCTGCATTGTTACCAGAGGGGGAGGACGAACCCTTGGGCGAAGAAGCTCCGCTGGGTGACGATGATCCGCTCGGCGCAGAAGAGCCGCCGGACAAAACAGAGGAGGCGGCAGGGCTAGATGTACCCTTGGGAGCCGAGGATGACTTGGGGCCGGATGGCGGCTTGGGACACGAGTTGGTGTAGACAAACTGTTCCGGACCGCCCTTGCATGTCTTGGCAGCCTTGGGGTCGAACTGGCCCTCAGTGTACATCCAGCAGCTTCCATCCGAATAGGGCGTGTTGTCGGGGTTGTGTGGGTTGAAGACGACAAAGTTGCAAGACTCCTTTCCGGCACACTGACTCAAGCAGTCGGATGCACTTAAGCTCGCACTGCAGGTGGAAAAGCAATCACTCGGCTCTGGGTAGCCACAGACAGAAGCAACCGCAGAGGGAGTGGCGGTAGCTGCACACGCGCCAGGGCCGTTGGTAGGAGTTCCTCCCGTGCAAGTAGGCTCCTTGTAGACGGAGTACGTTGGGTTGCCGCAGTTGGTGCTGGCCTTGGCGGGGTTGTAGGACTCGCCTGGGTAGACCAAGCAGCTGCCGGTACCTGTGTAAGGGTTGCCTGCAGCAAAGATGACGAAGCTGCAGGGCTTGTGAGCGTTGCAGTAGTCCCAACAGTATTCTTTGGAGCCGGCAGCGACGGAAAACTCGGAGCCGGGCTTGGTGTAGTCACAGATTTTGCCGATGAGCTCGGCGGAGCAGGTTGCTGATGGCGCGTCAGCGAGGACAGCCGGCGCGCTGACAAGGGCAGTCATGGCCCAGAGAGCGTTGAACTTCATGATAACGAGTGACTGGTGTAGGAAAACGAGAGTGTGGATGCAAAAGAACAAAATAGAGAACGGTGTTGTGACTGGGAATATGCGTTGGGTTCTGTAAGGCTGCGCAACGGGAACTTCTATTATTGGTGGGGGGCCAGGGACCTGCCAGTTTGGGGAGGAATAAAATTAGCCTCAGGCAGTAATGTGAAGAGGCTACCAAATATTGGAAGTGTAATTAAAGGCTAACCATTATAGCGCTACATGGATCTATGTATTGTATTTACTTGCGATTGTATATACCTATTTAGTTTTGTTTCTTATGGCGGCTATAGACATTAAGCAGATTCAGCGCACGGTCGATCGATCCCCCACAGGGATAAAATCAAGGAAAAGACACGAGGAATTGCTTGGGGCCAGTAGAAAATGTGGAACTTGATCTGCATGAAAGAAAATACTAAAACAGGCAGTATCTGAAGAAAGGATACTGGTTGGTCTGTCCGTCTAATGATCAAATCTAAAATCTAGTCGCTTATTTCCCTCGTCCTTTGTCGTCGCAAGATACTCTAGTTTCTGCTCCTCGGTCATGGCGTTCCATTTTGTGTCTCTCGACTTGTTGCGGTATACATAGTATAGCTTTGTCAAGAAGTACAGGACAATATTCATAAACAGAATCGCAATCAATTGGCGATTGCCTCTGACATAACGGGGCGCATCATCTAGATGGATATTAGTACACTCAATTGCTAAATACTGACAAGTACGCAAAAACGCGACATACCTTTGCGATAAATGTTGGCTGATATGACAGAGCCAGCTTGGACAAACATGTTATAGCAGGCAGCAGACACTGTCCGAGATCGAACTGCATTTGAATTGCGAGAGTTCCAGGCGACTTGAATTGGGTGGGCTGTCAAACTAGTCAGCATACTGCACGTCTCATCTGTTGGTTGTTGCCATCTTACCATTCGGATAACTTAGCAAAAGGGTTAATATCACCCAAAAGACCCATCTATTGATTTCTTGTGTATTGACGACATTCAGATAGATTAGGAAGGGGACTGCCCAGATTTGGCCCAGGACTGCCGACAACGAAAGCTGACCGATCCGCTCTGACATGTATGTCAGGCCCAACATTGTAATCACTAGACAATGTTAGTATAGGAAATGTGCAAATGTACAAACGATAAATATATAAACTTACTGTGAAGAACTGTGTATGGAATTGTCAACAGATTGGTCACAAAGGTATCGAAGCCTATACCTCGAAGCGTCAAAGTGAGGTATTGCGTAGGAGGCGTCATTGGGATCTGGAACACCAGGCCAAGAATATACAATGGCCTATATAGACATTAGAATAAAGTACGAAACAATGTCTCGGGGCACTTACCAAAGATCATAATCTTTCAAGCTCTGCCAAAGAAGCCTTGGGGTGATGGGCTCTCGGTTATGCATAGAGCTTTTGCTAGGGTCCTCTCGAATAACACGATTCACAATAATTTTCTCCTCCCTGTATTGCGTTAAAATTGTAGAAAAATAGTAATCAGCAAAATTCTGACTTACGCCTCGTTGAACCAGCCATCTTTACCACGGAACCAACTGGCGGTCTGGCAAGGGCCTGCTGGCATCAGCACCCAAGACAACAGTCCAATGACCAATGTCAACAGTCCCTACTACTATTAGGTCTAGGTCCCCAAAAGACTGAAAAGTCAATTACCTCGATGAGAAAGAGCCAGCGCCATCCAGCCAGACCCTGGATACCACGCATATGGAGTAGACCGTAGGCGAAGAGGGCCGAGAGAATATCAGCAAAGCTCATAGCTGTCCAGAACCAACCGAGGCGGACTGCTAGTTCGGCATGTTTATAAAAGTATGAAAGATAGATGACAACCTGAAAAATCTTAGTAAGTTGCCGAAAGCAACCCGTTGAACGAGATTGAGAACTCACGTCGGGGATAAAGCCGCCCTGCAAGACACCGAGAAGCACTCTTGTCGCTAGGAATGAGCTTCTTCCCGACAGCCAAAACTGACCACCGGCTACCAGACTCCAAAGACTGATTTGCATGGGAATCCATCGATCTGGGCCCATCCATTTGGAGACAAGTTGCGACGGAAGTTCGGCGACAAGAAAGCTCAGTCGAAAAAGAGTATTGCCAAGATTGTAATCTGGATTGTTAATTTCTGTCGTGTCTAAGTTCGAGGGAACGCTTACCATCAGTCGTGAGATGCAGATCGGGCAGCAGATTGTCTGTGAGTGCTTGCGACAGATTGGCGCGGTCCAACTCTAGAGCCATAAACATGATGCATGCCCACAACATGATGTAAATGTCCACTTTACGGACTACTTTGGCTTCTTCTCCCCATGTCCATCGGAATAGCGGGTCAAAGCGATGGCGGTTTTCCCTGTAAGAATCGAGTGGTTAGTCCATTGAGGAAAGTTTTAGCTATCTATTTATCCTTACCATGCATCTGGAGGTTGGTATTTATCCGCCGTATCTGGATCATCAAAGACACTCGGCTGGGCTTTCCGTTAGCACGAACAATGCCACATGTACGCTATATACCTACTAGTGTTGCGATTGCGTCCTTTGAAGTTGATGTCGATCTCTTGAACCATGAGCTTTTAGTTTCAGGCGCTACTCCGAGTGCGGGAATGTCGCTTGAGATGGAAGAAGCAGAGGTCAAGGAAGTATCCTTGTCCTTGAGCGGGTTAAAGACGGTCGCCATGGTGTAGTATGTGCCTATGCACCAACTCTACTATTTTTCGACGTGTTTATCAATTCAGTTATATTTCATGTGATTTAAAATGTCTTTTATATAAAGTGTGCAAACTTTACACCTCTTACTTTCATGGACAGCCTCGAACCCACTTACACGCAGCGCCGCTGCGGAATCACACCATCCGTGGAGTCTATGGCACGTGTGCGAGCTTGCCAACAAAACGGACAATAATGATTTGAAATAATCCAATCTCAATTCCATCTCGTATCCTCAGCTAGCCGCTATGTGCCAATAGCAGTTCTTGACCATGCGAACCAAACTGAATGTTCGTGGGGTCGATGGCGCAACCAAGCGGGGATGTGGTGAAAAGCGGCTACAGTATGATATTGTTACTACGACACCACCAAGCAAATATATGCCACCCCGCACCGGATTTACTGGCCGTTGCATTCTTACATTGGGCAGCTGTAAGCGAGCGAGGCGCTGTTGCGACTTACCAGCCAAAAGCTCGTCTTGCGCCACCAGCCAACACGCGATTGGGAGTAGAGTGCGGATTCAGGCGGAAATACAAGGCCGGATAGCAGTAGCTGGCGATATTCTTGGCTTTAATTGCACCATACTATTCCCATGGCGATCATGAAATCCATTCGAGGCCATGCGATTGGATGATTGCCTATCGGAGAGACTGCCGGCTATAAGAAGTCTTGGCTCTCCTCGAGTTGTGACATTTATACAGGGCCTAGAACAAGCGAAAACGCAACAACTCGTCAAATTAAACACCTATCAGACAACCATCTAAAACATGGCACCGGCAGTAACAGAACAGCTGCAAGCTGAGCTCCCAGTGCACCCCGCCAAGTTGCAGGCCCAAGCGCGCCAACCAGTTCACACCACTGGAGTGCTTGACACCTTCAAGTCCTTCGATGTGACACCTGTAATTGGCCGAGAGTTCCCCGAAGCAAAATTGGTGGACTGGTTGAATGCACCCAACTCTGATGAACTAATTCGCGATCTTGCAGTGACCAGTACGTCGGTGTCTACCCATTGGCTTATATGATAGCTAACAGAAACACAGTCTCGGAGCGGGGTGTCGTCTTCTTCCGTGCACAGGACGACTTGACGAACGATCTCCAGAAGGAACTTATCCTTCGTTTGGGCAAACTGACAGGTAGACCTGAAACCTCTGGTCTGCATATTCATCCCATCCTCAACTCGGAGCGCGAGCTGGGCGGCAGCGACCCCGAGATCAGCACCATTTCGTCGGTCCAGCATGACAAGTTTTATCGACAAACAAACCCGGACGAGCTAAGCCAGAAGAAGCAAAAGACTGCTCAGTGGCACAGCGACATTGCCTTTGAGCCCGTGCCAGCCGATTACACGTCCCTACGCTTGGTCCAACTTCCCAAGACCGGTGGTGGTAAGTTTTTATTTCTGCGGCAACTGCAGTTAGTAACTCAAGCTAATAATAATACAAGACACTCTATGGGCATCTGGTTATGAAATCTACGATCGCATTAGCGAACCCTACCAGAAATTCCTCGAGTCTCTCACGGTCACATTTGAGCAGCCTGGCTTCAAAGAGGTCGCCAAGAAGTCCGGCTTTGAGATCTACGACAAGCCTCGGGGCGCTCCGGAGAATGTCGGCGACGAGCTAAAGGCGATTCACCCCGTCGTTCGCACAAATCCCGTCACTGGGTGGAAGAGTGTTTTCCCTGTTGGCGGACATGTCAAGCATATCAACGGTGTTACCCAAGAGGAGAGCACGCAGCTTCTCGATTGGTTCCTCGATATTGTGTACAAGGGCCACGACCTGCAGGTCCGCTTCAAGTGGGAGAATCCCAACGATATTGGTAAGAGAAGAAATTGTTATTCTATTTATTCACTAAGTGCTAATCCGTCTACAGCAATTTGGGACAACCGCAGTGTATTCCATACCGCCACGTTCGATTATAAGGGGCTCGGCGATAGATTTGGCAACCGTGCTGTTGGGTTAGGCGAGAAGCCGTACCTTGATCCTAACAGCACATCTCGACGTACCGCATTAGGGCTGTAATTTAGCACGTCTATCTAAATTGAATGGAAGATCTGAATAACAACTTTTGTTTTCTACACTTAAGAGACGGTTCCTTTGTCTGCTACTTTCGCTGTCTATCAGCTCCTCTAAGAACCTAGACCACTATGGTGAAATCGCTTGTAGACCTGCACAGGATAAAGGGGATGTTCCAAATTCATTGAAAATTTAATAAAACGTAATTAATCTATCAGATCTATATGAAAATGCCAAAACCTGCAACGCCGTCTAACAATGTACTTATAAAACGTCACACTAGTTTAGTGTGCCTCAACAGGCTTGGCCTTGGAAGCCAAATATTCCTTGCTGAATGGATAATCATTGTATCCTTGCTCGGCCAAGTTTGTAAAGAACGTGTCTCTGTTGTACTTGTTCAGCTCCACGCCGTTTTGAATGCGGTAGACCAAGTCAGGGTTGGAAATAAAGTGCCTTCCGAAGCCGACAATGACATCGTACTTGTTGTACTGGCCTTGCAGAGCGGGCTCGGCGTTTTCGGGAGTGTAGCCGCCTCCGACAACGACTGGCGACTGGTTATCCCAAATCTTCAAGATGAACTCCAAGGAATCGCGGCCATCGTCGGCGCGGGCACCAAAGACGATGAGAGGATCACCTCGTGGCTCAACAAGCGACAGGTAGGCAAGCTTCAAGTCTAGCTTCTTGAGCTCAGATACGAGGTATGTATAGTCGCCATAGGCGTCGCTCTTGGTCGTTCCTTGGAAGTCTGCGAATGGCGAGAGGCGAAGAGCTGTCTTTTCGGCTCCGATGGCCTTTGCAACAGCCTTGACGACTTCAATGATTAGTCTTGCGCGGTTCTCGATGGGACCGCCCCATTTGTCTGTGCGCTTGTTGGATGTCTCGGACAGGAACTGGTCAAGCAAGTAGCCGTGGGCACCGTGGATCTCGACGCCATCTGCACCGGCATCGACAACCCGCTTAGCAGTATCAGCAAAGCTGGCAATTGTGGCCTGAATCTCTTCTTCCGTCATTGGGTTAGGCGCACCCTTGGCAGGATCCAAAACAACGTCGCTGCTCGACTGGTATGCGTACCCACGCTTGCCAATATAGGCAGGGTCGGCGGCGCGGCCAACAGCCCATAGCTGTTGGAAAAAGACGGACTTGTTCGCGTGGACGGCGTCTACTACTTGCTTCCATCCCTCAACTTGCGGCTGGCTGACGAACCCGGGAAGGTTAGGCTGTCCTTCTTCGCGGTGGGCAATGCCGGTGGCTTCTGAAATTATCAGGGTACCGGGCGCCGAGGCGCGATCGCCGTAGTATTGGGCCATGCTGGCGGTAGCGACATGGTCATTGTCGTTACGGTAGCGTGTTAAAGGAAGCAAGGCGACTCTGTGCTGGAGGGTAGAGTGGCCCAGCTTGATTGGCTGGAAAAGTTTTGTTGAAGACATTGGAGCGAATAGATGTGTTGGCTAAGCTGAATTTATGTGTGATGTGTATATAGACTGATTCGTGCTGAGGATTGAGATTATTTTAAGAGACAAAGGCTGCAAAGTGATGAAGGCTGATGATGGTCCAAGATATCCCCGTTTCCACCTGGATTGTCTTGGTCATTTATACTTGATCTGGATCCCTCCAAGCTATATTCGATCCAGTTCTTCATCACACTAGCGGCGATTGGGGGCGTTCCACCATTATTCAGCCTATGGGCACTAAGCGATGGCGCCATCGAGATTACAAAGCCTGCCCAGATTATTAAACCCAATTAAAAAATCAATGCGTAGTGCCTGTGGATAAAGTAAAAAAAAAGTGGTTACCGTTTCGTATTTCAAAGCTTGGGAATATTTCTTCCACTTTCTCCATTTGAAATCTCCGTAGCATCCTATTTGTACGAGTCAAATTAACCTGTAGCGGACTTTGCGACGGAGTTTAGAGGTCACATCACGGAAAAGCTAAGGGTAGTATATTGTATGACGGTGACATTGGTGCATTCAAAATAATTCATTCTCGTCTTGATCTTGATGGGTACAAGGCATCGAAAAAGCTGTTGGTAAAAAACGAATTGGTACAAAGTTTAGTGTAACAGAGGACAACTAGCGCACTTCAACCAACTAACCAACTACCGAACATAAATTTACCAAATTAGTATTAATTATCCATTTACTACATTAATATTGTTTGTTAGTTTTAATCAGTCAAACGCCCAAACATGGTAACTATTTGACTTTGGACAAGTCGAGGAAACTTTTGGCTCTAAGTGTATTCTCAACTATTGTAAGAACTGCACAAACGTTTGTCGGGTTTACAGCAGCCCAGTCCAGGCCTCCTACAGCCCTCTGCTAGATAGGCAACATCTCTTTGCCCAGAAGTACCAATTCTGTCACGTTGTATAGGCGCTCGGCTGGAAAAATGGATATTGCACGGGGATACTGGTGCCCGTTCAAGCTGGTGTGGCTGCGTTGGCAGAATTGCGGGGGGTTGTACAGGACCGCCTGTGTACTCTGGTGCGACTTTTATGAGTCCAAGTTGACGTATTTGAATTTGAATTTGAATGTAATAGCATATAATACAAATATTATATATATATATATATATATATATATGTGTGTGTGTGTATGTGTGTCGCCCATGATCCTTGCATTAGGTGTAAAACTAATATCGCTACTTGAATCAGGCCAAGCCGCGCCCTATTTGCCACGAACAACACCTGTCTACCCTAGTTGCTTTTGATCGTATTGCCAACCCATATCCGACGCACTTTCCTAGTTATAGTACCAATGCGTAATAGGCACAATAAAGTCATCTGTAGTGCAAGTCGAGTTCTTGAACTCGTCAATGTCGCAGTCAAGGTCGATGATTTTGTGGCCACGATAGGCAATCTTCTTGCCATCATCGCACTTGAGCGACGCATAGTTGTCAATGCCATAGCTAAAGTTGGCCTGGGAGCTCTCCAAGTCTGATCGTCCCACGAAGCTGACGTGGGGAGGGCCAAGGTTGGTACACAAGTAGCCCTTGCCAATCTCATGGGTGCGGTAGCCCATATATTTGTCGTAGCATACATTGTCGCCGGGTAATGTCACAGTAAGATACTCCCACGGTCCGAAGCCCCAAGGAGGCTTGTAATTGGAGCTGCTGAGACCCGTAGAGCAGACATTGACGACGGAGCCATTGCATGGTGCTGGAGGTGGCTCACACCAGTTGCCCTCGCCACCGCAGAGGCATCCCATGGTGCCCTGGTTGCCATGGTTCGACGTGCAGTCGACGCCATGCGAGCCGTTGTACCATTTGAAGTCGGTGAACTCCCAAGGTTCAGGCAGCGGGCAACCTGTGGGCTGAGGCATAGGCTGAAGGTCAACAGCGGCTGCGAGCTGGATGAACATGCCAGCGGCGGCCCATAGAGAAGTAGGAAGAATCATATCTCTTGTCTTTTTAGATTTCTGTATGGTGAAATGTAATGAGAGAGGCTGGGGAACTAAGGGATCTTTATAAGCACAGAAAAAAAATTGTCGCCGAAGAACACCTTGGGGGCCGGCGGGTTTCGGGCCGTGGAGATCGCCTCGGCCGTGGTGTGTGATTGAGAGTGGATATTGCTAGCGAGATCAAGCATCAGCTTTGGATGCTACACAGACAGTCCTTTTTCGTCCTTACATCTTGCGTAGACAGCCGTGTTGTTATTGATATATGAAACAGGCGACGCTCCCAGAGCTCCCTAGCTACTCAATATATTGCCACAGATTGTAGGGAGTACAAAGAGTAGATCCGATCTCAATATGCGCTCACACAACCCCTACCCATGCATATCAAAATCCAATTTAATGAAAACTTCACGCCTCCTCTGCCCCAAGTATCAAAAATAGAAACATACAACAGCCGGCGTTCGCTGGTTGTCACTAACCACACTGCTAAGTTGCCCATCACAGGCTTATATATGAAGGTGTATCCACCTTTCATCGGGTGGATTGTACCAATATGTATGACCCTTGATGGACAGCGGTGTACAGCTAGGTAAGCTTTGCTTCTGTTTCCGAAAATATCATATTCTGAATGTCCAGCGCTGCAAATGAGTTGGAAGGATGTATTAGACCCGCAATCTGTGTCTTTACATCAAACAATCGTGTGCGAATATCCTTGGGCATCTTTTTAAATGGCCGAGGCTGACACTTTCAGAGTGGTGCTATTGCGCTTTTGGGTACGGTGGTTTGGAAATAAACCAATTTCGATCACTTGAGAGGTACGTATCTGCATTTTAATACAAGTCGGTTTTTAATTCCTTATTTTCCCAATTTTCCTTAGTAACTGTGATGTCTTGCAGCAAGACTGCCCGCTGATCGGGCGACAACCAATGAACTCCGCCATGGCGTTTTTAACGTCTCGCTGATTACCGTGGCGTAAGAAAACCCGGCAGCAGCATAAACTTAAGCTGACCACCGGCATTCCCTCGCATCATGGCGCCCAAGGCCAAAAAGAATGCGACTACCAGACCGATTTCCACTGTAAATGGTCCCATCTTTTTCATGTATTTTCTTTCCAACTAACAACCGCACCAGGCTCGACGTAAGCAAGTCAGGCAGGCCCAGAGCACATATCGAGCACGCCAGCGCTCGCTTCTCAGTGACTTAAAGGAACAGGTTGCAAACTTTCAGGATTCTTTTTGTGCTATAGGTCAAGCCGTGAACCAATTCCAGTCTCACCTGGCCCGGCAAGACCCCTCGTCGGCAGCTACGGAGCTATTCCAAAAGGCGCAACAGTTATGCTCCGATATCTCAGCGCAGCTTCAACGGTGCCGTCAGGATAACATGGTGGGAGATAGCCAAGAGGAGACAGCCAGTGAAGCACCCGAAACGCCTCATCAATACACCATAGCATTGCGATCGAAACCAGCCGCATCCCATACGCAACAACCTTCATCTGACCCCCTGCGCTTGTTCCTAACTTCACGGAATGGGCTTTTTCCGTCATTGAGCTCAGGACACATGGTCACGTCCTCCGAGGTGCAAAGGCAACTTACGATAGACTACCCAACCACTCCCTTCACACGGCGCTTATTTTATGACTGTGCCGTTGCTGGCTATTACTTTCTCAGCGACTTGACTCTCTCTGACGAACAGGTTTGGCCAAGGTTTGGGATGTCGCTGGAGGGTGTGCCGAGGCTTGAAGTTGTCGATTATTTCCAACGTGTACTTGCCACTACACACTGCACACCTATACAAGATCCAAGGTTCCCCTTTTGTTCCGTTGGAGGAGCTGGGACTCACTTTAGTCGTGTGCCAGGTTCTTCGGCACCACCGCACCTACAGAATCTTGATGTCTTTAGGGCAACGAATGGCTTAAGAGTGATTGAGGACGCAGAAGAATGGTTTGACGTCATGGATGTCGAGGGATACATGAATTCCATGGGAATCAAATTGACAGACGACATGGCCCTTCTCGCCCCGCTGCGCAACTCATTGCTGGATGCAAACTTTGAAGACCCTGCGGCGCTGGGGGCGAGCGAGTCTTCCGGTACATCCATCATTATACATGAGAAAACCTTTATAAATGGTACGTTTTGTCTGAATTCATAGGGTTGACTGCCTCTTACACAGCACTAACAATACCGAGTAGCTATGAAACCGTTCACTGTATCACTGGGCTGCGCTGCCGGGTTTCGAAAACAGGACGTTGAGAGAGTCGTATGGAACACTGCACGGTTCATCCGGAATTAATCTATAACATATGTTGAGAGCAAAGATAAAACTACGACTAAGAAACCCACGACAGCATGATTAACTCTTTACACCCTTTTGCGCGACCACCGTCGTCAGCTTCCCATTTGTTGACTTCCAGGCTGCACCACTCATGGCTCGCTCACGCCAAAACCATACACTAGCTATTACTGCTCCGGGACCAATAACAGCAGAAGCAGCCAGGATTCCACCGATGGCTACCAGAGGCGAGATACTTGACAGGCCGAATCGGTAAAGATCCCACATGGTCACACCACCCCAGATGAGGAATCCCAAAGTGCACAGGAGAAAGTCGTACTGGAAGAAGATAAGAACACCATGGCCAATATCCTTCGGTGCGAATGAGTCGCCACTGGGCAAGAAGATGCGTGCCAAAGAGAGATCTTTCGACGTAATGCAGTTGAAGACTACTGTCAAGTGGACAGCTGCAGCAATCATTCCTGTGATTAGATACATTGTCTTGAAGTTCTTGCCCGTGTCTGTGCTTGTATGCTTAGCGCTGGGCTGCAATCTGCGGATAATCCACGAGAATAGCCTGGTGATCAGGCCGATGACGACTGGCATTGGCTGCCACAGGGCGATTGCGCCTTGGTGTAGATGCATGTTGGTTGTGGGAAAGAAGAGGGAAAGAGAAGGGAGAACAAATCCGACGATGATAGCAGGCAGGACGGCTTTGGAAACTGACGCGGAAATTTCCCGTTCCTGGCGAATATAGTAGTTGACGTGGCCTGCCGCGTAAAGGCTGAAGAAAAAGTACAATTGGCCGACGAAGCCAATGCCGCCAAGTTGGAATAGTAGGCCCCAGACGCTCGGTCTATTGCACGTTAGCTTCATGGAAAGAGTTTTTTCAGCAGCCATGACCAGACTGAAAACGACTTACATGGCAACCAATGTCAGGCTATTCCGCGGGCGGAAGCCTTCAAGAGTCATAATGGCCAATAGAGGAACCAGGGTCGACATGAAATACATTAGTTGCACACTCTGCTGTGGACCTACAGCTCCATTGACTGCTGGGAGAAACATGGTTACGAGGAACCCAAGCAGCTTGTCGATTCCCGCCGCACCAGTGTAGCTGCGGCGAAGTGGTGCATCGCCTCCGGGAACGACGCCTTGGACGAGTGCTTCACGAATCAAACCAAACGTGCCATTTGAATTGCCGGCAGTGAAAAGAAAATGTCTTGCAACAAGCGCAAGTAGCACATAGGTTGCCAGTAAGAACAGAGTCACTCCCCGTGCACGCGACTTTGGCTGGCGCAATAGTTCGTCGTGATACGGAACGGCATGTGCCTTGATCTTGTGAGGAAGGGTGTTGAGCGACGGCGCCGGCGCATAGTTACCGATGAAGCGAGTCATCATCATCCATCGGGGTATGTTGGGAAGAACCTTTCGCGCGATAAACTTCTTAACCGGCGTTTCCATGCACTCCACGCTCTGGCGAGTGTGTGCCGCCTGGACAAGTGTCCATACACGATCTTCTCGCTGAGTCTGCGTGGCTTTGAAGGCTTCGACGATTCGTACCGTTGAAAGAGGCTTGTCGGGAGTTTCTTTCAATGCGGCGACGAGGTTGTTGACGAGACTGGCAGCGGTTTCGATGGCGTTGTTTCCGCCCTGGCCGGTGAGCGGCTCAAACTGTTGACAGTGACAGTTAGTTTAGTCTTCATTTAATGAGAGTATTCCTGTATGATGAGACGCACCTTGTGGCAGGAATCGCCAACCGTCACAATTCGTTCCGAGTACCATTGCTTGTACACGTATTCCGGCAGAGTGGTGTACACGGATGCAGTCTTGCTTTTGTAAAGATCCACAAACTTGAGTGTGGGTGTGATCTGGTCGTTAAAGTGCTGCTTGGCAAAAGTATACTCTTCGTCCTTTGTGAATCGCGGAATGTCGTCTCCATAAACCGTCTTTCCTAGGTTTCTAACAAGAAACCAGTAGGTCTTGTCCCCCGGTCCACTGGGCACCAAGTACGAAAAATGCTCGTTGAAGACAGAGGTCATTGTTCCCTTTTCAATACCCTTAACTCCCTCAGAGATGCCAAATATACAGACATAGGTGCAAGGTACCTCTGTTAGAGAACCGTTAGTAGAAGCAAATGTTTGGTGGTTCCATGTTGTTACGCACCTTGCTGCTCGGCAGCGTCCACCCATAGAGGAATCTTATTTTGTGCGATTCGCCACATTTCACTGCGAACCTTGGAGTGAATACCATCTGCGCCAATAACAATGTCTCCGGTAAAGGTTTTGCCTGCAGCGGTTGTGACGGCCACGCTGTTAGGCAAGTTTTCCACCGTGACGACACGCTGCGAGGTCAACACTTTTGACTTATCCTGGATTTTGTCATACATGCTTTGGATGAGCATTCTGCGGTCGAGAAATATGATAGGATAGCCGTATCTACAACAAAGTTAGCTCAACTTTACAAACCCAGCACTCTTGCGGGCGTACGTACTGGTCGACGATGGTCTTGGTCAAGCCACCCAAGGTGCTTAGCTCTTCACCGTTGGAGTCGCGGAAAATAACTTTATCGACGGGGTATTGTGCTTGTTCCAAAACAGCATCGGCACAGCCAAGCTGGGCGAGCGTGCGCATGCCGTTCGGCTGGATGCTGATGCTGGCACCAACTTGGGGTGCGATCTCGGGGTATGCCTCAAGCACCACGAAGTCGATTCCATTTTGCTCTAGCATTAATGCAAGAGAGAGGCCGGCAACACTGCCGCCGACAATGACGACTTTGAACTGTCTTGGTGCCATACTGGAGAGTGATGAATGTTATCAAAGGCAGAAGTGGTGGCTAAAGAAGGCATTTTCTTCAGCACAATTGGCGATCAGAGATTATTTATATATCTAGACCATTTTAATCTATTTCTTTTCCTTTGCATGTGTCTTAACAAAAGTAGTAGCAATGTCCGGCGTGATAGCGTCATCCCGCACCCGGAGCCGACAACATTGGTCCGGTGGGGGGCCGTGATAGCATCATCACAATTCTGGTCGGCACAATCCGATGCCGAACAACAAGGCCACCTCTGGGCCGCATAAACGCGCACTCAGCGACGAAAGAAACTCGGCATATTAATGCCAAATATTTCGTTAACGTACCTTTATGGAGCGATATTTTTTACGTTTTAATTGAATGAATGGTGCGTTCCACTACAGACTTTCGTGCGCAGGGGCTGGTGCAACAACGGTGAAAATACTGTCTATATGCTCCCTAAGATCCCATTAAACACTTTTGTGCTAGCGTTGATTAATAGTAGCGGTAATAAAGATAGTAATAACAGCTCGCAATATAAACGCCCACATAGTGATTACAGGTCTAAATGAAGCGGCTCGTTCATATAGCCCGGAGTTCCCTGGTATTTATGGCCGTCTTTCTAAACTATTCATTAAGTGACTGGTGCATATAATTTCAAGCTACAAATTTTTCGCTACAAATACCAATAGACTATAAACTTTTATTACAAAAACAATTTTTTTTACACAACAATAAATAGATGACTTATGGTACTATGCAATATACCTTGGATATTTACCTGCGCCTTGCGCCGCATCATTGGACTGGACTAGCCATCGCTCTCAGGAATTCATGACCAGTACACTCGTAAGCGGAACGCAGCTACACTAATAGTAAATGATTTAATTGGATACCAGGCAATATTTGTACTATGCAGTACCCTATGGTTTAAGTAAACTCTGAATGGCATGACCTCTCCCCACTCTGTCCGGTCTAGATATACCCGGAGCTAAGCGAAGCAACCCAAGCGAGCAAAGATCACTAAACGACGGTGGAGTCGACCATCGAGATGCCGAGGCAAATCAATCGTTCATATCTATTTATATCCCGTATCAATTGAAGCAGTTGGCGAAAAAAGGACCAAAAATATCTACTTGCTCAGACATAATGATTGGCTGTACATCTCTTTTGACCCTTGTTCTCGCCCTCGTCAACAATGCAAGTCTTTGTCTTGCAGACGATACGCAGGTCGCCAACTTTGACATCCCGCCGTCTGTAGCTGCAGCACACGATTGCGATACAGTATGCCAGAGGCGTCTCAATCTCACTATACCTGCCGACCGTGATGCTGTAGGCTTGAAGTTTGATGTGAACTTCTTTGCCACCGCCTCCAACTTTTCCGAGACGGAAACGAAGCCCGGCGATGTCTTGAAGCTGCAGCCAGTTGACCCCAAGACGCTCCAGATCAACGGCGGTGCTACCGTCTACCGCTTTCAGTACGCCTCTTCTGACTATGACAACCGCACCGTTCCTGTCACCGGCTTTATTGCCTTTCCGTTCACGCCACATATGTCGCCGGACACTGAAGACAGCTCAAAGTATAGACTCGCTGCCTTTGCACATGGCACCGTGGGTATCTTTGCTGGCTGCGCACCGTCCAATGGACCCTTGCTCTATGACTACGGCACCTGGCAGCAGGTATTGCAGCGTGGCTATGCTATTGTCGCCACGGATTATGCTGGCCTAGGCAATAACTATACAACTCACAAGTATCTCCATCTACCTTCTCATGCCAATGACATCTACTACTCCGTTGTGGCTGCACGCAAGCTCTTTGGGAGCTCGCTGACAGACAACTGGGTTAGCTTTGGCCATTCGCAAGGAGCCGGTGCGGTGTGGAAGCTTGCGGAGAGTATGCACGTTCGTAACGATGCCTCCTATCTGGGAACTGTGGCAATTGCCCCTGCTACATACCTCGCAACGCAGCTTCTCGAGGGAGCTACTAGTCTAGGTAGCGGTGGCGTGACAGGCATTGGCTTTTTACCTCTTATCCCAACTGCCGTGCAGCGCGTTATTACAGAATACAAGCCATCGATTCTCACGCCAGTCATGCAGAATCGCGTACAGATGGCAACTAAGGCACAGCTCTGTCTCGAAGGCATTCTTGGATTGTCAATTGACTTGAACACAACTCAGGTGATTGATATCAGTGGCGCCGCCAAGGATGTGCCCGTCTTGCAGCAGTTTCAAAACATGACTGCTCCAGCGCAAGGCGACCACTCTCCAGCACCAATTCTTGTTATTCAGGGCCAGAATGACACTGCAGTATCATGGAAGGTGACGGAGAAAGCCTGGGGCGCATCATGTGCAGTAGGCAATGAGGTTCATCTCCGTGTATTTCCTACACAGGGGCATCGGCCAAGTTTGACAGCGGGAGCGCCTGAGTGGCTGGCTTGGATGGATGCCAGATTCTCAGCGCCAGTAACCAAATCTTGTGCGCGAAAGGGATGCACAAAGTATACTCGAGAGCCATTTAACTTGGCGTTTGTACGTGCGCCAACAGACATTGATCTGAAGCCATATCTAGGCTAGAAAGCGAACAGACCATTCAATACTATATTTTGGCTCTCTACCAAATTCCTCAATTGGTCCCTAACCTTGTGATTCTCGCTATCCTGAAAACACGGTTGTTAGACTGCGATACAGATGTCTAATCACTATCATAATTGAGGCTAAATTATACAAAAGCAGCCTGTGATAATCGCAGCCCATCGGATGACTGTCACTGAATCTAACATGGGTATCATACTCACCACTGTTGCATAAGCTACTCTAAAACTAGTTACCTATTTTAATGCTAAATGAAGTAGATAGGGTTTCTGGTAACAGGTATCGGCGATTAAACAGCTAGCTGCTTCACTGTTCCATCTGCAGAGCAGCTTGTGAATCGCCATCGACGAGAGTTCCACATGGGCACACCTTTAGTAAAGATAGTCTTGACGACACCACGAAACGGAGGAAAGACGTCATGCCATATGCCGCCTTCGAATTCAACTGTTTCCATGTTGAGCAGGAAAACGGGCATGACGTTAAAAATAAACCCAATGCTCAATTGTTTCTTACCCGCTGCATCAGCAATAGCAAGAATATCGATCGGCGTCTCCGGAGTATGGTATTTTGCAAGACGAACAATTGTAGGTGGCTCTGCCGCAAGGTGATTGTGGAGCGCATCTTTGAATGAATCCATAATAGCGACGAGCTCTGTGCCAACAAACTTTGTATTTTCTCTCTGCAAATATTCTTTGAATGTTTTCAGGCCGCCGCGAAACGTGGCTATTCAGGCACCAAGTGTTAGCCAAGGGAGGGGGTGCCAAGGTGAGTGGTGGACAAACCATGTTCCTGTACAGCGTCATCCATTAACCCCTCCTTGCCGGCAGCTTTCTCAAGCGCTGGAAAAAGTTCGGTTTCTTCATAATGATGATGCGTAGCGACACATTCTTGCCATGCCAGTGCATACCCGATAAAATCTGCTTCATCTTCAGGCTGTATCCGCGGTGCTTGTTGGTATATACTGTTGAAGCCGCGGATAAAAGAGTTATGGCTCAGAGCCATATGAGACGCTTCAATGGTAAAGACATCGTCCTAAAATAACATTCATATTATTGTCAGTACTTCTTCAAAGACCTAGTTCTTCATATATCCACCTTTGCAGTCTCAAATTTGGGAGTAGCTAATAAAGGTAGCGGAGTGTTGGTGTACATAGGGGCGGCCGAAATTCCCGCCATAGTAGATCGTAGATTGAGAGAATGTTGAGAAACTGATGCCAATGGTAAAGAATATTGATGTGATTGAAATCATTGTTAATAAATAAGAAATAAGAAATAATGTTTCCGGGTTTCCTTTTAGTATAAACACAGACAGAACGAGAATCAAAGATTCAGGCTGCAGCCTCGTACGCATAGCCAATCATATACTACTCATAATAATCGCACGTGAAATGCAAGTTAAAATCTATTATCATCGTGCGGAGACTTCAGCTAAGGTTTGATACTGCTCTATCAAGGCGACTTTCTTAAGCATCTAATATCATCTGATTTGGTACTAAAATACAATACCAAGACAACAACTCCACGCAACTGATGCAATGTTAGCTGGCTACAAAAAGCTCTTACATACAAATAAGGTTTAAATATAGAGAGGCAAGGAAAAAATACAAGCAGTTTTTTGTCGTAGAATCATGCTTTTGTTAATGTCTATGATGTACAACGGAGTGTGGCTCTAAAACTTGCTAATAATAAGTAAGTCTTAGCTATTTGGTGGAAAGAGTCTTCACGGGGGCGTGCAGTATACACAAACCACGGCAGATATCAGAAAATGTAACTAAATTAATTTAAATGTTGAGGTCATTTAATATGAATTATATATATATTAAATTGGCTTATAAGTGGGTGCTGGATACATATGAGTAGTGTAGTGAATATTAGGCCTATTGGATCACGCTGCTATGTTTTTGAGTAATGAGGGTAGGTTGTGTCCGCGCTAACCACCTTCCACATACCGAGAGAACGACAGTCCTACCTATCAACAAACCACCACAACTATAAGCCATTCTTAATACCAGCTCTAAAAATCAACACTGCTGGCTGTTCATGAGATGGCTTAGATCACTAAGCCTGCCATTGTAAGCCACCGTTATCTTGGCGATCTTTAATCAATGTTGGAGTGATCCGCAAACCGCGCCACCAACGTAGCTTGGCAGCTATTCCTAGATGAAACGGCGCGTCTGTACGATTTCCACGCCGCGAGATACTTATACATTGAATTTTTTTTAACAAATATTGTATTAAATTGAAGTATATAGCTCAGAAGCCGAGACTCAGTCTTCTAGTCTACTTGTAGGGCCAGTGTCCAGGACACAACCCCACTAGTGCAGAAGAGAACCAGCGCGTTGAAGAATATTCTACACAGAACCGAAAATGTGCGGCAGGCTCAGTGTAACCTTGACTTTCCTAGTCAGGCAGCGCCACAGCCCCATCTTTACAGCAGATTGTTTTTGGGGGTCGCGGGGCCCCATGAGAATACACGAGACCGTGCCGAGCGCGAAGGAATAGAGTTTTGTTAACAATGGCTAGTAATTCAATGGTACAACAAAGAACCGTGTAAAATCACGTAGCAACGCGTAAACTTATACCTTTCAGCTATAGTGCTCAAGCTGGTGGAAATGTACAATGCCGAGACATATCTGCACTCTGACTCAATCTCTATCATACCCCGTAAACCATTCCAAACAGGAAGGTCACCAGGAACTATTGTGATTTCCACACAAATTACATTTTAACGCGCGATATTATTAATTAAATGCGCACGTACAGTATATTAAGACGGTAACCTTCCGTCGCCTTTAGCCCACAGATCAAAGCCGTCTGCCGCATAATTGCTTTCCACGAACCTTCGGTTGTTGTTTCCTCAATATGCCTCTTTTCTCGACCATCCTCTTTGCCGCGTTGGCCTCGGCGTCGCCATTGAATAGCGCACTTCTCACGAAGCAAGCTCTTTCTTCGGTCCCCGAAGGATGGCAGCGTGAGAATGCTGCCGCGCCCGCCGACCACAAGCTGGACCTCCATATCCGCCTTCGCGAGGAGAATCTCGACCGTCTGCAACAGCGCCTGCTCGAGATCAGCGACCCCGGTCACCCCGAATACAGGAAGCACCTGAGCAAGGACGAACTCGATGCCATGACGGCTCCTACCAAGAACACTGTGGACTCAGTGACCCAATGGCTGGCCTCCAACGGCATTGCAGCAGGCAAAATCCAGAGCGGCTACATGAAAGTCAGCCTCACTGTTGAGCAGGCTAACAAGGCGCTCGGTGCCGACTACGCGGTGTACAAGCAAGGTACTACTGGCCGTCAGGTAGTACGCACCACTAGCTACTCCCTTCCCAAGGATGTCTACGACGCCATTGCCATGATCCAGCCTACCACTCTCTTCTCCGATCTTGGCGCAAGCACCAAGGGTTCCAAGGTAGTGAACCTTTCGAATGTTAAGCAACCTGCGAAGGTCGCAGCTGCGCCCGCATCTTGCTCCAACGGCGTCAGCACCCAATGTCTTCGCGACAACTACAACATCAAGGGCTATACCCCCTCCAACACTACTACCCTCGGTATTGCTGGTTTCCTCGAGGAGGTGCCCAACTTGGACGACCTCTCCTTGTACGTGCAGGACTACGACTCAGACCTGCCTTCTGCCCTCCCTGTGTCTATTGTTAGCGTCAACAACGGACCAACTGCTGCTGGGGGAGAGGGCGAGGCTGATTTGGATGCGCAGATTGCCGTGCCACTATCGTATCCCATCAACATTCTGTACACCTCTACCGGCGGCAGACCTCCTATTGTTGGCAGCCAAAAGAATGACAATGAACCCTATCTTGAGTGGCTCCAATACGTCATTGCCCTGAAGAACCCACCCCAGACCTTCTCTGTATCGTACATTGATGAGGAGTTTAGCGTTCCTGCCGACTACGCCGATTCTGTGTGCTCGCAGTTCATGAAGCTTGGTGCCCGTGGTGTCAGCGTCTTTATTGCCGCTGGCGATCACGGAGCTGGTGACACCAACAGCTCCTGCAAAAATGGCGTCGTCAAGAAGTTTTCCCCCTTGTTCCCTGCTTCATGCCCCTGGGTTACCACTGTTGGTGGCACCTACGGTTTCGGCGCCGACGAGCAGTCCGACCACGATGGTGGCAGCGGCTTCTCTAACCGCTTTGCCGCCCCAAGCTACCAGACTACCGCCGTCAACGGATACATTAAGACGTTGAATGGCAAGTTTGACGGCCTCTACAACAAGACTGGACGTGCTTACCCCGACGTTGCCGCCTTGTACGAGACGTACCCAGTCTACCGCAACGGCGAGAAGAAAGGCTATGTTGGAACAAGTGCTGCCGCCCCTGCCGTTGCGTCCGTCATTGCCTTGATCAACGACTACCTCGTCAGCAATGGCAAGGCTCCTCTTGGATTCCTTAACCCCTGGCTGTACAAGACTGGCAAGCAGGGCTTCAGAGATATTGCCAAGGGACACAACAATGTGTGTGCTAACAAGGCCGCCTTTCCCGCCGTTGAGGGTTGGGATGCTACGACTGGTTGGGGTGTTCCCGACTTTGGAAAGCTTAAGAAATTGGTTCTTTAAGGTAACAATTCGGTATATACATGTACTAAATTTTGGATATGAAGTAAAGTGTAATATAAAATTGATTACGTCTAAATTGCAGTTGAGTAGGCGGTGTCGAGTTCTGTGACTATCAAAAAGAAACGGCCTTTGTAGATCTGTCAAGTCGCGGTTTCAGCAAGCGAGCAGAAAGGAATTGAAAAATACTACCATATTTGCTTGCCAGGGTCGACACCACTTCAGAAGGCATCTACTCTGCCGAGCCAGCAGCACCGACGTCGCTCAAATGCCGCTGTTTGGTAGAAACAGCTGGGTAAGAAAGTAAACGGCCCGAAGCTCTGACCATGCAGCGCTCCTCTCTCAGCGCCAACCCCGTCCGAATTAGCAACTCATTGGTGAAGCCACCCGCGCTTACAGAACCCTCAATGGCGGGCTTGAAAGCTTGACCAAGTAAACATCTTTCATTATTGAAATTGTAAGATGGGATTTGTGCCTAGCTCCTGAATATCCAGACAACGCACATTGTCCATCGGCAAATGTCCGCAAAACCCCACGCATTAGGTGGTAGCGTGATACCTGCCTGATTAGGCAATGAATAAGCTCACTAGTCTACTACCCTGACCACCGAACGAGCATTGTTTTACGTCAAATATAACAGCTAATGAATGAGCTAGAAGATGGGGAAGCTCACTCCAACAGTCCAATGGTCCTAGTAGGTAGGGTTGCAATCGGAGCGAACGTGGAGAGGTCTAGATTAGTAGCGCTTGCAGGCCCCAGAATAATAGGTATATAAAGGGTGCCATTGAGCCTAACACTAGTCTTGGAGTAGATTTCGTGGAATAACTCAACTATCAAGAATCAATCGTGAAGAAATGTTCAAGGTCCTCCTTCAAGTTCTTGCTTTGGGCCTCTTGGCTCCCCAGGCATCTGCCTCCCCCATTGCCGCCAGCAACCCGCCGTACAAGGTTGTCAAGACCACAACCAACTCGTATGGAGATACTATTGACTGGGTCATGCGAGAGTCGCAGGGCGCAATTGCTACTCCTCCCCCAGCAGAGCTCCTGGGCAAGCGTGTTCTTGCAGAGAATGTCACCAGCCTGACTTTTGCCCACCTCATTGCGCAGCCACAGAACCAGGGACCTGCTGGCTCCGTGCCCGTCATGCGCTCAAGTGGCCGATTCCCAAACAAGGTCGCCAATCCTCTACTCATCAAAGATGCGGGTGCGCAGCGCCGGGCCGTTGGGGACCATTACTATGCCAATTCGGCCCAAAACGTCGCAAACCATGGCGGCGGCGCCGACTTTAGCATGTTCAACCCATACGTTGAAGACAACGACGACTTTTCCCTGATTCAGGTTGCCGTTGCCAGGAATGTACAGGACCCCGACTATGGAAGGGTTGTACAGACAGTTGAGGCTGGCTGGATGCACTACTACGACGTTGGCCAAAACTCCAACGCGCCGTTCCTCTTCACCTTTTACAACACCGATGGCTACCATCACCAGGCCGATAACCTGGGTGGCTACAACCAGCAGTACAAGGGTTGGGTGCAATACGATTCCACAGTGCATCCTGGCTACCGCTTTAGTCCCATCTCTACGATTGACGGCGAGCAGCATGATTTGCGCATCCAGTACTACCTTTACCAGAATAACTGGTGGCTCTACGTTGCTGGCAAGGCTATTGGCTACTACCCTGCCTCTCTCTTTAGCCAGAAGCAGGCTGCCAGCAAAACCCTCTCTTCAGGCAGCGACAGTATTGCTTTTTACGGCGAGGTTACTACCAGCAGGGCTGATGGTACTAACACAGACATGGGCAGCGGCAACTACCCGGACACTGGATACGGCAAAGCAGGATACATCCGCAATATCCAGTACTACGACACGTCGGACGCGCTTGTTGGATATAACACCAACCTCGTAGCCCAAGACGCCAACAGAGGCTACAAGATTGCCCCGTTTTTCAACTCTGGCAAGTCTGGCTGGAACAGTTACATGTTCCTAGGTGGTCCAGGATCTGATGGCAAGATTGGAAAATAAGCCAATTTACCTGGGACGCAGTGGAGAAAGGGAAAGAAATTGTACATGGAGATATAAAAAGTACATACAAAGCACAGCACGTATATATCCATTCATGTTAAATAATGGTTCCATGATTATGAAAAGTGATGTACCGAGTAAAGCGAGTCTTTTTGCTCTTTTTTTTCCCTATCCGTGTGTGCGCAAGATAAGCTGAAGCAGGCTCGCAGCTACCGTAGTGCAACCTTCTATATCTAGTTAGCTGCATTCCCTGGTGGTGGTGAGCCTTCATAAGCAGTGACCACTGAGCAACGCACTCTGTGCATTTCGGCGAGTTTCGCAGTATTGCGAGTTAGGGAAGGTGGTGTAGAAACGTTCGATGTTTTGTCGGTGAAATTTTATGTCCGCATGACCAGTAGTTTTAAAAACACGTAGGTAACGCAAATGTGCAGTGCGTGGTGCAATTCTTAGGTGGGCACGGACGAGGTGTGCCACTTGATATGCCAGCTAAAGTTCTTTTTGTTGATCAAAATATAAAACTAATGGAGGGACATCTGGCCGACAATTACCCCTTCTTCTCTGGCCGGTGGTGACCAGTTTAATGATTTTTTCTATTATATTTGAATCTGTCATGCGGACCTTTCACAGGGTACGCATCTGTTCAGGGTAGTCTCGAGCGGGGTTGGAGACGTAGATTCCGTTACTTTGTTTTCTAATTCGTCGCTCTTTATCTACAGGACGATTTCTAGATATAGACATTAATACTGACTATTAATATTAATCATTGTGATAACCCGAAAAAATAGAAGACGATACTCAATATTTTTGCTTTAGCAACGTAGTCTACGCCTTTAGTATAATCAACAAAACATTTGGCACCCCGCTGCCGCGAGGCTAAACCTAACAACAACTACAGTAGGCCGCTAAGTTAAGACCACTTAGCGGATACTTCTTCTAGTCAACTGCGGGACCAGGAATTGACATCTTTATATATACATATATATATAGGTATTGACTATTCCTATCATGACGTCTCGTGAGGTAAAGTAAAGCGAACTGGTCCACAGTGTGTCATATCGTTCCTTAATTACTGATAATCCAACCCAACAACAGGCTTCCTCCGATACGAGCCTGTATATTTGACATGGATGGGCTACTTATTAACTCCGAGGACATTATCACTCAGGCGATTAACGAACACCTTGAGCATTATGGCCGACCGCTCTTGACCCAACAGATCCGAGCCCAGCTTATGGGTGTTGCAGGGTCATCTGACAGCGAATGGTTTCATAATTGGGCTAAACTGCCCATCTCTCGCGAAACATCCGCCAGCGAGCTTAGATCACGCATGCACGCCCTCTTTCCACAGTGTGAGCCACTGCCTGGTGCGCGAGCTCTAGTCGCAAATCTCTCTCACGCCTGCAGCATTGTCTCAGGAGAGAGAATCCAATTGGCATTGGCATCTACCACGAAGAGTTCATCGTATGCCCTGAAAACATCGCGACCTGACACAAAGCAACTACTGGATTGCTTTCAATCAGATAGGCGCATCCTAGGCGATGATGTGCGGTTGCCGCCGGGCCAGGCAAAGCCACATCCAGCCATCTATAAAATTGCCCTGGAGGCATTGAACAGCAGTGAAGGTTTGAAAGAAAATCCTATCCTGCCTAGCGAATGCCTTGTCATAGAGGACAGTATACCTGGCGTAGAAGCAGGTAGACGGGCTGGGATGCGGGTGGTTTGGGTGCCGCACCCCGCACTAGCCACTGAGTATGAAGCCAAGGTCGACTCTGTTTTAGCAGGGCGGACAAGTATGTTTAACATTGGCAATGATTGGCAGCTGGGAGAGATTCAAGATGGTTGGGCGGAGAGTATACCGAGCCTGGAGAAGTTTGACTCTAGTAAATACGGTATAACTGTAACAACGGAGTGACATCAAATAAGCAAAATTTATATGTTTTTGAAAATGAAAATTACTTGGTACTATAAGCTTGAAATATGTTCTAGAAGATATAACGTGGTAAAATGTAATAGCATCAATGCGTACAGCCAAAATGTAACAGAGGGGGTACCGTACTTGCATGGCTGATCATTGAGACTGAAGGCGAATTCGCACCGAACCTAGTGAGCAAATTATAACCAATGTCTTCCTTTAAATGCCTCTCTTTGTCAGCGCCTGATTCAAGACATCCCCGAAGACGGCAATGTGCGGCTCCTTCATCAGCGAATCGTGGTCGCCAGCAATGTTGTGAATGTTGAGCTGATCGCCCGGCTCGACAAAGTCGGCCCAGCCCGGCATGATGTGCGATCGCCAGATCTTGTATGATTTCATCGCAGGAAGCGCGTCTGCGACAAAGACATCAAGCATCGAAACCTTACCAAAAGGTTCGTACGCCTTGGCAAAGCCGCGCATCGTGTCTTCAACCTTGGCCCATCGCGCGAGCCAGACAGGGTTGATTTCCATCTCTTTGAGGAGCTTGGGGCCCAGTCTGTCGCAAATGGCATTGAAGAATTCATCATCACTCAGCTAGGTAAAGGTTAGTAAGAGTAATTGACTGATATGCGGCGACAAGCGCGACACGAGTACTTACATGATCCGTTTCTTCGGCAAACTTGGTTGCAGCTTCGGTAGTAAAGCCAGCGGCTGCGGGCAAGAAGTGAACCAAAATGGTTCGCCCGCTAATGTCACCCATTTCGGTGCCCATTCGAGGCGGCGTGTCGATGCCTGAGATGAAGCACATCTCCTCGCCCTTAGCCTCAAAGCGCTTGGCCATTTCAAAGGCCAACATGCCGCCAAAACAGTAGCCCATAAACGCGTACGGACCCTGAGGTTGCTTCCTCTTGATGGCGGCCTCGTAGCAGTCGAGCATGTCCTCTAGGGATTCGACAACGGGCTCTGCTTTGTTCAGGCCGCTTGCTCGGAGAGCATAGAGAGGTCGATCTAAGATATCGTTAGCAAATAATCTGATAAAAACAAAAGTTTTTACATACCGGTCAAATAGGGGATCAAAGGCACCCAGCAGAGCGTCTCGCCACCACCAGGATGGAACAACCAGAGCGGGTGCTTGCTGCCGGAGGAAGCCAAAGGAACTACGGGATCGTAGACGGCGGGTGCCTTGCTGAGAGTATGCAGAGCATCCTCGAGCCCCTCAATGGAGCTTGTACTCATGACTACAGCCAGTGGGATTTCATGTTCCACAGAAGGCAGAGCTTCCAGCTGCTTCTTGATGCGCATGTAGCCAATACTATCAACGCCAGCGTTGAAAAGCCCATTCGGGGTAGCAAGCAATCGCCTGGGCACTTTGGCGTGGGCGGCAAAAATGTCCAAAGCCTGGTGGCCCAGTTCAGACAGATTCAAATCAGCGGTATCATCATTGAGCGACTCATCCTCCTCCGCCGGGGCTGCGATTCTGTACTTGTCAAAGCGGCCATTCTCAAACGCCGTTCTAAGTTTAGCACGGCTCAGCTTGCCAATGGTGCTCTTAGGAAGTTCCGATCTGGGTAGAGGAATGATTTCCAAGGCTTTTTGTGAGCAGACGCGAATAAGTGCCTGGTTAATAGCAGACAAAGCCGCATCAATGGCCTCAGACGGCGCTGTCTGATCATCGGTGGGGTTGAAGACAACGACAATGCCTTCGCTGCCACGGGCTTCGTTGTAAATGGGGAAGATGGCCGTGTACGACATATTGAGGCCCGGAACATCGCTCGACTCAATGGCATGCTCAATCTCGAAGGAGGAATAGTTGTTGCCGTTGAGGATGACGACTTCCTTCTTTCTGCCGACAATGGACAGATGGCCACCAGCGTCGACAATGCCCAGGTCGCCGGTATCGAACCAGCCGTCTGCTGTCATACAGGCTTGGGTGGCAGTAAGATTGTTGTGATAGGAGGGGAAGACCATTGGGCCTTGAAGCTGGATGGCACCAGCGCTTCCAGCTGCTACGGCGACGCCCTGGTCATCGACGATGCGCATGGTAATGGCCTCCGGAAGCGGTTTGCCGACAGACGCAAAGACATATGCGTGCTCAGCATCATATTCGGGACAGGCTGTGTTGTAAAAGGCGGCAGAGCAGGTTTCACTCAAGCCATAAACGGATGTGATGCAGTTCTTGCGCGCCTTGAGGAGCTGGAGGATGCCATCCGTCTTGGCGAGCGTGGCCGTGCGGCTTGCTTCACCACCACTGAGCAAGACACGCAGCGCACCAAGGTCAATTTCGTCATTGTTATTGGCCGGGTCAAATTCTTCAGTGATGGTGGTCAGGAAGAAGTTGGGTGCAAAGGTGTATGCGATGCGGTGTGTGCTCAGTAGACGGAAGAACTGGTCTGGCTGAGTGACGACGTCGGCGGTCGCGACGAGGATTTGGGGTGAGCCAGCATACATGGCCTGCAAGTGAACTTCGCAAAAGTTTACAGAGTGGTCAAAAGCTAGAGAGGAAGAGATTAGTAGCTATTTCTAGGCAAGCAGAGTGGGCTTTATGGGGAAACTTACTGGTCCAGCTCATAAACTTGGTGTCGGATGTAGTTGCGTGAAAGCTCGTCTTGGCTTTGACTGATGATATAAGCTGAGTGTGTGTGAATCTGACTCCCTTGGAATGGCCAGTGCTCCCCGAGGTGAGAAGGATAATAGCCAAGTCTTGGTCATCTACTGCAGGCTGTAGGACGACTTGGGATTCAGCGGCATCATCGCGATGGATTCCTTCCACGGAAATTACATTGATTCCTTGAGGATCCTCAAAGATGGGCAATGATTTTGCTGCCGTGAATACAGTTGGCTGCTCAAATGTTTGCGACAGGTTGCCAAGCTGTCCTTGTAGTGTAGTAGCATCGTGGGAAAGAGGGCTGATGATGAAGGGGACAGCGCCGGCCGCTAGGATGGACCAGCACCACTCGACATTATCGCGATGATTGGTAAAGTAGAGGCCGACAATCTGGCCGGACTTGAGGTGTCCGGCGGAAACAAGACGCTTCGCATTGTTCTGTGGGCTTTGTCAGTAGTTGTAAAGCGACGCGCAACAGAGTATATCTAGCTTCTGTGATGAGCTTACCGTGGCAGTTGTAATCAATTCTCCATATGAAACGACGACCTTGGGATTCGGGGCAGAGCTGTCATAATATTCAAAGCCCTTGTCCGGGGAAGTTTGCTCAGCTTGCTGCAAGAGTCTCCATAGAGTCAAGGGTGTTGTTGAGGACGGCATGGTGATGGGACAGGGAGGGACTGCAACAACAAGTGTAGAAAATGTACAGATGGAGATGGGGATAGAGAGAATGACCAAGTGAACAAAAAATAAAAAAGCAAGGGGAAAATGAAGATGTTTAATGCGGATATGGAGATGGCGCTGGGGTATCAGGAAGAGGACGTGCTAGAGCAGCAAGACGAATACGAGCGCTACAACAATGGATGTCACCAGGAGAAGAGAAGGCTAAACAAGAGGAAGAGTGCCTGAGGATTAAATGGGAAAGGATTTTCGGTAGCAGCAGATACAAGATTGCAAACAAGTAGAATGTCTAAGACTAGGCCCGGGTCGGTCAGGCCGTGGCGCTAGAGTGCGGCCTCCTGAGAATACAAGACGAAAGCAAAAGTAAAAAAAAAAAAAAAAAAAAAAAAAAAAGAGGCACAGAGCTCGGCAGTCGCGCTTGTGCTCTATAGGGATCGCTGTAAAAGAATCTACCATCTCCGTATCGTGGTAGTGTGCTGCTTGGCCAATGGGCCATGTTCTTGGGGGTTCCTTGTCGCTGGTCCCGCTGCAAACGGCGTACCATTGTGAGGCAGTGGGGCAACAAAGAAGGCGCAAAGCCTTACCAAAAAATAATAATCGGCACTAATCGGCTGTGGACCGCGCCCTAAAAAATAGACTAAAATATCGAGAACTAATACACAGGGTCCCCCCTTTTGTTTTTCTTTCTTTTGCGGCGAGTTCGTGCTAATGCCGTTCTCATCCAATCGACCGGTAACGTCGTAGGTCCCAGTACCACTCAAAGTGACAGTCAGAGCGGGTGCAGTGAGACAAAGATGCTGTGACGCAGACAAAAGAAATAAATGAAAATATTTTACTGGTCAGGATCTACACGGTGATCCCTGAAGAAAAAGAAGGAAAAAAAATTACACCTATACCCGTAGTGTGTGTTGATCAAGAGGCCTCAGTCGATTGGATAAGCGACGGTTTTGGATTTGCACCAGGTACCTAAGCCGCTCTGGGACCATGCTAATCTCGGCATGTAGGCCGAAGTGAGAATCTCTTGCATATTTTTGGCGTTTGGATGCATGAGCATGGGCATTGAATCATATGCATAGGATATAAGCAGTCCTCAGTCCGTCGACATCATCACAGTGGCCGTTTTCGTCCAACTGTACAAACAGACCAACCCATTGTCCTATTTACACATTCCTTTCAGGGATTTTCCTTTTCATCTCATATCCATTTGTTAAAAAGATACCCGGAAGCCATCTTCCACCTATCACACCCACCACATACACCATGAGCAAGCCACTCGAGCTTCTTGTCTTTGGCACTGGAGGTACATTCTTTTCATATTTTTTCTCCTCATAATCCATTATACACACATATTGGACAAAATAAAGATGCAGCAAATTTCTAACATTTGTTTTCCCATCCCTTAGCAGTCGGTTCGGTCTTTGGTTGGCGAACGGCACAGAATGCAAACGTCAAGCTGTCAGCAATCTGCCGCTCCAACTACGAAATAGTCAAGAATCGCGGCCTCACTTTCCGTTCTAATATGTGGGGGACTGGTTCCATGCGGCCGGTGCGAGTCGCTCGACACTCCAACGAATTGAGCCATGTTAAGTTCGACTACGTTGTGTGCGCCACCAAGAACAAGCCTCAAGAGGAGCATGCCCTCATGAGAAGTCTTGAGCCTCTCTTGTCCAAAGACACGACACTTGTTCTCATTCAAAACGGCGTGGAAATCGAACACCCCTTTCGAAGAGCCTTTCCCAACCACACGCTCCTTTCATCGATATGCTTCGCCTCGTGCTCCATGCAAGGTAGCACCGTCTTGCAGCCCGCCAACATTCGACCTCACGGATTCCACGTCGGCATACACGGCAACGGCAATACGTCGGCCAGCAAGGACGAAGAAAGACTACACACATTAGTCGGCCTGGACCCCAAGTTCAAGGCAGTTGACAATATCGCTGCCGAGCGCTGGGCCAAGATGGCGTGGAACGGGGCGTGGAATCCTGCCACTGCCCTCTTTGGTCTCGAGACGCAGGACATCCTCCAGCACAGCCCTGCCGGAACTTCCCTTGTGCGCCAGCTCGCAAAAGAGGTCATCCAAGTGGCCCAGGTGTATGGCGTGGAATTGCCCCCCAACTACGAAGATGAGATCATCAGGATGACCGAAGTCGAGGCTTCCATTGCGCCATCCATGTTGCAAGATTTGCGCCGTGGACAGAGAATGGAGGTCGAGACGATCTGTGGTAAGTGTAAACAGCTCATTGACGAAAAAAAGCAAAAAATAAATATATGAAATGATAAACGCTGACAGCCGGCTTCTAGGAACAATTTGCCGCATGGCCGATCAGGTTGGGCTTCCTCACCCAGCCATGGCTACTGCATACCGCACCTTATCCGAAATGAACTTGGCTTGCGCTGAGACACCTCTTCCCGCACGTCAAGACAAGCCGGCGCTCAATATGTCGCAGCGGATTCGTGCCAGCGTTGGGGCTAGGATCGGGGCTAGGATCGGCGCCACTGCGCCATCCGTGGGCGGGCTGGGTATGCAGCAGCAGCAGCCACACCAGATTGCAGCTTAGCTGCAGAGTACACACATAACAAAACAGCTGTATATATTTCAATGAACATAGCTAAGAAAAATTGTGCGAAAAATATTAGAAAGAGAAAGCGAGAGAGAGGGACCTTGGCTAGCTGGCCTTGCCTGAGGCCCTCGGAGAAGGACGTAGAGAGATGGATGGGGTGGGCTGCAGGAAGCCGCACTCCACAATCTGATTGAGGCCACTGCTACCCTCTTCGGGGACCGTTTTGTTCTGTTTTGCGAGGCCGAGCAATGTTACTTTTCCTTTAGCATATACCCAATACCATTATGTGAACGGGGCCATGGGCCTCGACTGATTCATGGGCTGTTTGGATACACTGCGTATATCTTGGGAAACTCGTTTAGAATTACGATACCTTTAAAATGTATTTTTGTTTTGTATTTTACGGATAAGTTATAAGTGGTCCACCTTGCCGACTTTTTTTTTCCTAATACGACGCTACAACGTGCACTATTTGCTTCCACGTTAGTACGACTAACCGTGTAAGTCGTAGCAGCTCGTAAACACGTGGTGGAGGGTAGTAGTACCAGAGACATGTAAGACCAAAAAAAATGGAGGTGAAAACCATCTATGGAAAGAAGAACGAAAAGAAATTTGCATCCAATTAGATGAATTCCAGAATGACTGTGCATGACTAGGTGTGCTAATCTGGTGTGCGGCCACGGCATCGCCCGCCTGGCCGATTCACGTTCATTCACACCATCAAGATTCAGTAGGTAGGTGCTAAGACCGTGCTACCAATCCCTTTATGATAGTCTAACGGTGAGATGTATTTCTAATTCAAAGTTATCCAAAGTCTTGCGATTCTAAAATTGCGCGCCTCTGAATTCGACGGCAGTGGCTCAGCAGCTGCACCCAAGTCTTCAGTTAACTCGGAAATCACTTCACAGCGGCACGGGCTTGGCAAGTTTTCCCACACATGCAAAACCGCAGCAGATGAAGCCCTCATTTGCATAGCGTGGAATCCAGCCGCCCTCGCTTCGTCTACCAAATGACGTGCTAATCTGCCCATCAGGCCCTTCCCTGAGTAGGTTGGACTGGTGCTCGTCCCGTTGCGCATGAGAACTTGGCGCAATCCAGTAGGTTTCCAGTCTGCTGGGTCTCTTGCATCAAGCTCGTTGAGAATTTTGTTCTGCTCAGTAATAGCTGGGATGACCAGTGTTAGGCCCTGTGGATTGACAAGAGGGGGGTCATATCCGTCGTATGACAATGCAATAGACACGAGGGGGAAGTCCATTTGCTGTAATAGCTGCTCTTCGGTTGCCTCCAGGTTGTTGAAGTCCCACAGTAACTGACCTTCGCCGCCGTGTTTAGGTTTGTACTGCGTGTCAAAGACCCCATAGGTCCAACCAGAGGCGATGCAGTGGGTGATTAATCCGTCGAGGGCATCAAATCCCTTGTATGTCCGTGCCACTAGATCATCTGGGTACATGGCGCGCCATCCGGGGGAGTTGAAGATGAGACTGTATATGCGGAGTGCCTTGGCCCAAGCCTTGTGTTCGGGTCCTAGCACGCGTAGTTCATAACGCGACGTCACGTCTGCGGTTGTCATTGTAGAAAGATAATTCCGACAAGACAATATCGAAGTGAATTATCTGGCAGTCGGTGTTATGAGCGAAAGTCTATGTGTAGTTGAACAAGACGTTGGTATTAATACGCCTCTGAGTCATTTTATCGCCGAGCCTGGTTCTAATGCCGAGCCGGCGGGTCGGAGAGGTTAACCATCACTATGATACTGTATCATTTTTGCAAGGCAAGAAAAATAATGTTGTGAAACATTGGTCGGCATAAAAAATAAACTAACTTCTGCTCCCCCTTTTCAAGTTACCAGTGTACCGACATATACCAAATTGTGCTTTGAATAGGCGGTCGCAGACGATCGTGCCTTAGCCCAGCGTATACATATTCGGCGTATAAGACGACTAAGGTAAGGTGTTGCTGGCGTATTGTATACGACGCTCTACCCGAACAATGGATTGGCTTTCTGTGGAATAAATTGTGGAATCATTTGTAAAACTTCATGTAAATTGTCACCGCGCAACACGCGAAATATAATTATAGTAATTGTTATGATAGGTCGATGATGGAAATTATCAGAGAGGTAAGCAGAGAAATGGTGACGGCCTCGAGAAAATGTACATAGTTTATGCATCCTTCCAAGACAAGACCAGACAACTAATGAATGACGAGTCTGTATTATATTCATGCCACTCGTTAAGAAATCGACGAGCCATAGTTATGGCTTCTGCCACCTCTTCGAGGTCTCCAGCCTCTGCAACCACCTCCGTAGGCACTTCGAAGTACTGCCGACCTCCCACATAAAAGAATCTGCGCTCGCCTCGCTCATAGTCCTGTCTGTAGTTTTCAACAAAGGGTGCAATCTGCCCAGGCCCATCAGAATCATCATCCTCACCCCAGAATCGCTCTTCGTTCGGATCCCAGGGCTTTGGATTGAGGTACTTTGGATCGACTACGATGTAAAAGATTCTCAACCCGTGCCAGAGCCATAGCGCTCGCCTGCATATACGCTCACAGGGCCAGAACTTTTCGACTTGTTCAGGTCCTGGCCAATGGAAACCGAGGGCATGAAGCTCTGTTGATCTTTCCATATTATGCCACATGTATGGCCCATGGCTGCACGCTAATTGCCAACCTGCACGAACGATGACCAAATCAGAGCCGCCATCGATTTTATGTCGTAAGTCACGAATCGAGATTGGAAGTTCTGGTTGACTGTATTGATAGGCGGCAATAGCAATCTTTGATGCCTGATGGCAACATAGCAGCAATGACGATAGCGTCGTGATATGATCGTTACTAGAGCGCCCGTTGTATGTGGCATTGTAGAAGTGTACGCGCCATAGGAGGTTGTCACGATTGACAGTGCCGTCTTCATTATAATGAATGGGCTGTATTATCGGGATGATCTCGTACGCAGTGGGACGTGCAACTGGTATCGCGGCTTTCCATATTATACTTTGAAGTTCGACTGGAAGTTGTGTAAGTAACGGGAAGCCGACCACCGCGTTTGCGGAGGCTGCAGAACTTTCGACCGTAGCATCGACTGCTGTGTCTTCAGTCGAGCTGCCATGTACTTGTACAGCGGGCTGATTGGGTGGCCTAATAGCCATGGATCGAAATTTATGTTGATCGTATATATATTGCTGAAGCTGGGGCTTTGTCGGAGCCATGCGCTCACCCCTGGCGCGCTTTTCCGGACTATCCTTTTCTCTCGCCATGTTTGCTGTTTAGATTGTTATGTATTGAAGTGAAAGGAAGATACAATTAATTTTCAAAGCCAAAGAAGAAGTCTTATTTTATAATGCATTATGTTCTATTAAGCAGCACACGTTTTCACGGTTAATATTTCGGATCGTGCAGCACTCGGTCCTCTTGGCTCGAAGGCGCAGCCCCGCTTGGACCTCTTCCAACTATTTGGCGAGAACAACCGTGATGCGGCTCTGCGCGCCAACGACTCTGTAATCCCAACTATAATCACGAGTGGCAGTTTTTTTACATTAGACACGATATTCTTTTCTTTTCTTTCTTATGATTTTACTTTATTTTTTAAAGTAAGTTATTGAAATTTGTTAAACATAGCGAGGAAACACCCTTGTTTGATCGTAGCTCAAGCGCAACTGAAGAGGATCCGAGCGCGATCTTCTGCAGAGTCAGCCTTACCACATCGCGGACTGTAGCTATGGGGTCTGCCTTGGGTCTGTGTGTCACGGGTCCACATACGCCATGTGCAGACTAGTTATTGCGCAAAGGTCTGCTAGTGTTGTCGGTTGTCGTCATAAGTCGCTATTTAGACATTCTGAATCACAGTATACATAAAGCTTACTATAAGCAGGCGAAATATAGGAAAGAGAATTTGAATCAATGAGTGTGCTAGTTAATGAGCGTTATAGTAGAATATGGTAAATGAATGCTGAATGCCATCATAAGAATGAGTGTGTAATGTACCCGCGTACAAAGCATCAGTTGAAAACTAAGTGAATGAATAGAGGTTGCCCACCCACTGGCCTGCATGTGAGACGAGCACGCACAAAACAGCATAGTGGAATATACAAACTAGCTTAGGCGCGGTACTTGTTCCAGGAGCTCTTCATACGGACAGCCTGTCCCTTGGAAAAGGTAGTGCGGCAAGATCCGTAGGCCATGAAGTTGTTGATGGCGTCCTTGCCCGGACGGTTGGGGCAGGTATCCTGGCCTGGCTGGCAAGCCCAGCTCTTCTTGCAAGCAGGAGTGTCCGCTACCATATCACCAGCGCCGTTACATTCTCCCTCAAAGGTGTGCAGCAAGCCCATCCAGTGGCCAACCTCATGGGTGGCGGTGGTACCGGTGGGAGCTGTAGCAGTGAGCACGTTGCATCCGTCACGGAAGAACGCATCAGTGTTGGGGGTGACCTTGGCTGGGTAATAGCAGTACCCGTTGAGACCCTGAAGGTCCTTTTGGAAATAGAGGTTCAGAGTCTTGTAGTTGCCCTTGCGAAGCTTCTTCTTCATGGCCAGGTCGTTGCCATTGGACGCCCACTGCTGGTTGATGGTCCAGTCGGTGCCCTTGAGAGAGAACTGGAAGCCGGTGTTCTTGTAACCATTGTTGAGGTTCTTAAACTGCTCCTTGACAGTTGCGGCCTATTCAGTTTATAAATATTAGAAGAGGGTGTTATACGAGATGTGCGCGGAGATTGCAACTTACACTGATGTATCCATCAGCAACCTTGTTAGAGGAGGCAACCACGTGGATATACGTGGGGATGGTGATGACGGCCTGAGCAGCGAAATCGCTATCCGCCATGATTGTCTCATTCGCCGCCATTTCCTGGAGGGCAGATAGATGTTCGTTGCTGGGAGAAGGCGTGCCGCATTCAGAAATGGCCAATGGGTCAAAGGCACCAGCAGAAGCAGTGGCAGCCAAAAGAGCGATGTAGTTGATGATGTACTTGACAAACATGATGAACGATTGACTTTTTTGTTCTGGTGTAAAAGTGAATGAATAGTAAGAGAAGAGAGTGTTGATTGTATTGTGCCGTGTTGTATTCCTTCAAGCAAGGTAGACCAACTTGTCCTTTTTATACTTTTCTTACCCCTTTTCCCTCACGCTCAGTGAGGCCGCCATTCATGTTGTAAATGTATTGTTCGCTCCATGTGAAGGGCTAGAAGCCGTTCTTTCGGATTACAGCGTTGTGTGGCGTCACAACTCCGTCAGCCTGGCTATACCCTATACGAATACATCTTGCAAGCATCAGGACCCCAAATATAGTGCTAACGCCGATTGATTGGATCAAGGCTATGGGGGCCTTGTAGAATCAGCCCTAAGCCTTGACGAGCCTTGACGTGGCCAGTCATATTAATAGTTCAAGCGATGGCGTCGTGGCTGGTGCCATCACATGTTCGGCAGCTGGATGCAGTCGTATTGCTTGACGGGCAACATTTGCGCCACGCGCTGGCGTTGGGGGCGTATCTGTTCCTATTATTGGATCCAGCGGTCTAAGGCTGAATTAAACATCCGGAGTGAGGCGCAAATTTAGCTTTGCCATCTTTATGCTTAAAAGTCGGTTCGTATGGCTGCCGGCCAGGCTGGGCATGGCTGGGGCTGGCAGTGCCTGACCTCTGCCACCCACCATGGCAGGCAGGTCGAAGAAAATCGCCGTGCCTGGATTACGGCAGTACCTTGGTGAGCCTGCAGATATTGCCGTAATAAATAGTATCAGGCGTTCGAAGAGGGGCGTACCGATCACGAACCAAATTGTCCGCGGGGCAGCATGCAGCTGTCCAGAGTTGTGGGTGGGATGTTGCGTTGGCTTCGAGGAGCTAAGTTACTAGTTCTTGCTAAAGAAAAGTTGATTACTTAGTCTAGAATTATTATAGTGGTAAAGAATTAAGATTTAAATATCAAACCATATTCTTTTCACGGAACGGAAGAATTTATAGACAATTCGACGGCTCTTCTATAGAGTTAATATTGTCTTTTCGGCATATTTTGGTCACTTGGAGTCAGTGCTGCTGCAGGCCTTCGCTACTTTGAACTATTTTGGTTAGCATTGAAACTGCGTGGTGCAGAGACTCCAACACCGCCAATGCGGCCACGGTGAGAATCTGAAAGGGAGCAGATTATTGTGGTATCTCCTTGGTTTCAAATTAAAATTTGGTGTACATCACGTAACTTAGTAGGCTTCCAATATGCCGGACTTCAAGGACGTCATGCAGCACAATTCCAAAGAGTCTTGTTGGATCATTATTGGTGGGAATGCATATGATATGACCGCCTTTGTCGACGACCACCCTGGTGGTTCGGATGCGATTATGCGGTATGCAGGCAAGGCAAGACTATCTATACATTTTCTACTTTCAATTACATATGAAGCGCATATTGACCATATTGGTATAATACTAGGACGGTACAGAAGAATACAAGGCCTTCCACTTGCCTGGCACCATCGAGAACCACACTCCCTAAAGGTGAGCCTTTAGTATTAGTTATTTTTGCATACTGACACATACATAGACAAAGATCTCGGCCCTGTATCTCATCTACCAGAATCAAAGACAGCGGCATCAGCCAACACGGAGACCCAATCATCCCCCATCGATATCCTACCTCTCTCCGCTTGCCAATCGCTTGAAGATCTCGAAGCAGTCGACAAAGCGCGTCTGTCTCCGCACGCAGCAGCCTACTATAACAGTGCTGCCGAGTCAGTGACTTCATTTCAGCGCAACCCAGCAGGCTGGGCACGCATTGGCCTAAGACCCCGTGTATTGCGTGATGTTTCCCAGGTATCCATGTGAGCTAACATTATGGGCTGCGACCTCAGCTTACCCGTATTCATTGCCCCTGCAACAATGGCAAAGCTAGGTCATGAAGATGGCGAAAGGTGCCTTGCTCGTGGCGCGGCAAGGATGGATATTGCACAATGTGTATGTATCTACTCAAGTGTACCTGTCCCGGATGTCATGGAGTGCTTTCGTACAGATCCCCATCGTCGCGACGGCGCGCTTTTCTTTCAGCTATATGTTCCGAAGGACAAGAATGGAGCTAAAGCACTTATTAAAAGAGCCAAAGAGCTTGGCTTCAAAGCCCTTGTCGTTACGGTAGACTCTCCGGTTATTGGCAAACGAGATAGCGACGACCGCTTCAAGGCACTTCGACAGCACAGCTCTGGTCAAAGCTCTGGTAATGTAGTGCTGCCACCTTTACCAGGACATGGGGCTCAGATGCTGCGAGGTGTGCATTGCTCAAACTTTACATGGAGAGGCCTTGTTTGGATTCGGCGTGCTTGGAGCGATCTGCCTATCGTGCTGAAGGGAATTCAGACCGCGGAAGATGCGGCGGAGGCAATGAAGCACGATGTGCAGGGGATATATCTAAGCAACCACGGTGGAAGACAGGTTGACTACGCTCCGATTGCAGTTGATACATTGATAGACATTCGACTGCAATGTCCAGAAGTTCTTAAGAAGCTGGATGTATATGTTTACGGTGGCGTCATGAGAGGATTAGACATTCTCAAGGCGCTGTGCCTCGGTGCTCGCAGGGTAGGCATTGGCCGTGGCTTTTTATATGCTCTCAGCGCATATGGAAACAATGGCGTGGTTTCTGCTATAAACAGTAAGTTCTATCTCGAATGCGCAAATATTTGCGGGTCATAGTGAGCACCCTAGCTAATAATTGGCAGTCTTGAGCGATGAGCTCCAAACCACTATGCGCCTGCTAGGCGTCACCAGTCTTTCTCAGCTCAGCGAAAACTATGTAGATATCTCTGAGATTCTATCACAGCGACAGCATTACCTCCGGCGGCCTATTCTAAAACTTTAATTGAGCTTGTTAAGAAAAGCACACCTGTGCTCTAATAGAACGGCATTTTAGGATAAAAGTTAATATAAAAGGGAAAGATACTTTGTATTGTTTAGATACGATCAAGATATGCATTTGGTTACAAATTGTCTCCCTCGCATTAGTGTGTGCGGCAGAGTCTTCCATCTGCTTGTGGTTGCCACGCTTCGCTTCCCACAGTGGTTGTTCCATAAAATAATGAGGTAGGATCGTATTTGCGTTTGATGCTTAAAAGTCTGGAATACTTGTCTCCATAAAATGACTGCTGCCAGTTCACCTCATAAACATCCGCCTCGTTCATGTACGTGCCGCTGTTGGGAGCAACCTTGCGCAGCAGGTCAGCCCATCCGTGTGTGAGACGGTCATCGATAGCTGCAGCGGTCATTTTAGGGTCCAAGTCGAAAATGATGAAGAAGATGTCGGCGTCGCGCCATGCTGAGTTGACGGCGTTGTTGGTATTGCTACCTCTTTTCACATTGATAGTCATTTCCTGCACGCCGCCGGTTTCAATGGTAATGTTTCGAATCACCGACTCGAAGCCTTTGAGGTTGTTCTGTATAACACTTCGGGGAATCAGGCGGCCACCGAGGTGACTATCGGTGTCGCCTCCCTCGGCCCAGTCGAAATAAGCATGCCATGCTGAAAGGTATCCTGGGAATGTGGTTGCGTTGGTGACATGTTTGATACCCAATGAATCAAGTTTCTTGTGCAGCGGCTCGAGAAGAGCGAGGACCTGATCCCTAGTCTGGGTGGGTGAGAACAGCGGTAGCATATCAAAGTGACTCTCGTTGTACTGCGTGTAGCTGTATCCATCTGTGTCTGTAATGTTGGATGCCATACTATGCCAAAAGGACATTGCCTCCCAGAAGTCGTTAGAAGCGCTCGCTCTGTTGCTTTTGTCAAAGCTCAAGGTAGTAGCAACGATTTCTCGGTCAGGAAAGATGCGGTATGTTGCCGACCAGACAACAGCATAGCCAGGGCCACCACCGCTTAGTGCCCAGTACAAATCTTCGTTCTCATCTGGAGCTGCTCTGATGAGCCGACCATCAGCAGTGATGGCTTCAAATTCCAGAGTCTGGTCTGCTGCCAAACCAAGCATGGTGCTCAGAGGGCCATGGCCACCACCAGCAGTATAGCCACCAGCAAGGCCGACAGACGGACACTCACCGCTCACCATCATGTAGCCGTGCTTGTCAATAAATTCGTTGGCCTCGCGGACCTGAACACCGGCGCCAACCTTGAGTGCGGGGCCATTGTACGATTTACTTTTGTAGTTTTTGATCAGTTCTTTGGTCTTGAGGTTGTGTGTCCAAAGTGAGAGGCTGCCAAATGCTGCAGATCGTCCCAGGAAGCTATTATCATTTGCGTCAGTACAGTCTGGTTCCATGGAACAATTATTTAGTAACCTACTCGTGTCCAGTGTTTCTTACAACAAGACGCACGTTCTTGCGACGGGCAAAGTCGAGTCCAGCAGAAACGTCCTCGGGACATGTTACATTGATGCTGTATTGAGCGTAACCGCCAATATCGCATGGAGCCTCACGTGGTGTAAATGGATCGCACGACTTGTTTGCAAATGATGAACTCATGATACCTTCGACCAGAGTGGTCTTGAAGAAGGGATCGCCCCATTTCGATTTCAGCTCGGCACACTGTGCCTCGTTGTAGGTAGGATCGTGGCAGACATGGCCGACTGGCACGGTTCGAATCAAATGGCCGCGAACAGTATGGTTGAGCGAGGCCCAATCATGATCCGCTGGCCATCCAGCATCGCCGGGAATGTAGCGGCATGACGTTGTGGTTGCAGCAGCAGCTGTTGCAATAGCAGCCAATGTTCCAAAGGTAGCCCAAGTCATTTTTAAAAAGAAATAAAAAAACGAAAAGAAATCTCCTTCGGGCTGTTGGCTTTCAAGCTATGGGCCCGACGGACCTTTATGCAAACTAATATGACAACAAGGCTTTGGAAGTGGGCCGTGATGACCGTGGGCAAAAGTTCCCCGGCACCCATCCATCTGCTAGAGCCTAGTTCGGCAGGTAGAGAGTACGCAGCCTCGCAATTACTCCATAACCGGAGGGATTAGCTCGAATCGCTATGCTAGAATGACGTGGGTATTCGAATCACTAACTGTAAAGGGAGAAGTATCCGAGAAAAGCTGGAAGCATTGTCGTCAGCTATGGCTGGTCACTCACACTTTTTTTACTACTGAAGGGTGTAGTCGTCGAATTGCCACAACAATAGATACCCTCGCACTAAACAATTGAGACAACTGCTATTTACGGGTTGTCATTGAACTAATTCATGATCTATAGATGTTCTGCCTACGAGGCCCACATTTGAAGTTTCGATGTAAATCTAATTATTCCGAAAATTGAACATTTGACTGATCTTCGTATTATTTGATCCGTAAAGATGACAGTAGCAGACATTGCTTTACACTACTTCTGAACCATCCGACGGGATTGGCTGGTTCAACAACACGTATACCGCACCCGCACCAGGAGTCTTAATTGAACATCCTACAAAGATGTATCAGATCTCTTTTCGAATTATGATTACGTAAATATCTCGTGTACCTCAGTTGTCTAGTTCCAACCTAACATATGAATACCTATATTGGCTAAGCCTCAGATTGTAAGGCTGTAGAACACGCGAAAAGTAAGGCTCGGAGTGCAATGTGATTGTGGTGAATGCGGGGTACTACTTAAATATTAATACTTAGGCTTGCCTAGTATTATCTTCATTTTTTATCTGTTCCGTTCCTCATCATTACCACTATATTCTTGAGTACTATGTCACCGTTGTTTGATAAAGAGTTGGCGGAAACGCTCTGCAACTTGGATGTGCCGCGAGAATTCAAATTTTCTCCTGATGGCAAAAGTGTCGTGTACACTACATCCCCATTGTACGGTATGCACAAGGCAAACATAGATTCTCGACTATTTGGCTTGCGTCAACAGCTGAAGCTGGGTCTGCACGGAAGCTCACCACGGGCAGCTTTTGTGACCTTGCTCCCCAGTGGCACCCTGATGGAATTCAAATTGCATTTCGGATCGTGAGAAGTTAGGGGACACGAGAGCCATCTATACATTGCGGCTGGATGGTGGAGATGCGGTGCGTGTATCCCCTACAGCGGACAAGGCAACAATCGGCCCCTTCATTTATGCTCCTGACGGCAAAACTATCGCATATCTTTCACAGGATGAGATATCCAAGGAAGAGCTAGAGAAGCAAGAGAATAGTGAATCTAGCCACAATGTTTGGGGTACGCCGAAGGCATACACGCGCTTGCGACTGATGGACCTACAAAGTGGACAGATAAAGTGCCTATCGGACGACAGTCAAGATGTTCGCGACTTTACCTGGAGCCGACTTTAACGCCGGTGTTTGACCCTGGACAGTGGCTAAGACAGACACCCGGGGTCGACAGGCGAGTGCTCTATGGGAGATAGCTGCGGCAGTAGAGGAGGCGAAGCGGACGGGTGAGATGGTGATTCCTCCAATACTTATCCTACATGGCGAAAAGGATACTATAGTCCCATTCACGCAGGCAGAAGGATTGCGGCGTGCTCTTCCGCACCACAGATTACCACATGAGTGTGTGGGATACCCTGGGCAGGGCCATATAATTTCACAGCAAGCATATTGGATAGACATGCTAGAACGGGTGGCAAGATGGTGTGATTTATATATTAGCGGTGATGATAAGTAGATAGATATCAGTAGCTAAACATGCGAACTAAGAAAGTTATATCCTTGGAGGACAGCCTTCCAACCATCAGACTGCTTTTCGGTGCTTGTATCGCAAATGTGTGGCGCACCATGCACCAGCTCCAAATGTGCCTCGATTCCCTTGTCAAGCATGGCTTTGTAGGTATTCCAGCTCTGTTGCCATGGAATCAAATCATCCTCTGTACCATGAATCAAAAAGGTTGGCGTGTTGTATTTTGCCAAACGGATCTGCGCCAGAGGGCTCGCTGCTTTTATTTTCTCAATGCTTGGTTGTGGTAGATTTTGCCAGTCTTTGACGGTTGGATCGCGGAGAGTAGCTGCTGTATCCGCCATCGATTCGCTTGGCAGTCCGTCTAGAATAATAGGTAAGGTTTGTGCCTTCCAATTCATGTGAAGAACAATGCGGCATCGAGGGTCACTGAGGATGCGCTTATCAGATAGTGGTTGCCAAGCCGTGACCTGTGTGTAAGACGAGATAGGCTTCTTCTGAATAGCCTCCAAGATATCATATTCCAGACCAGTGTCCGGGGCTCCCACTGGTTGTATCGGGTGCTGCCACCATGGATCCTCATAGTTGGTCGGACAGTAAAACGCCAGAATGGCCTCCGGCGGCTTCAATCCTCTCTCCGGTGCGGTCCAGGCGAGTGACATGGCCAGCTGACCGCCTGATGACCAGCCAACAACAACAACCCTGCTGCCATCAAGGTCCCAATTGCAATAAGGATGTAGATTTGGTAGGGTTTCGCGTGCCCAATGGAGTGCATCACACACATCGACCATAGGACCTTCCAAGAGACTGACTTCAGGGCAGAGGCGATGATCCAGGCTAACCGGCAAGAAGCCCTTTTCTAGGAGTAGTTGGGTTTGTGCAGGTCGAATGTCTTTTCTTGAAAACAGCACGTGGCTACCTCCGTGGATCATCAATGCTAAACAAAGGGATAAGTTAGTGTCAAGGTCAAGATATTGTAGCGCCGGCAATGGCTCCACCAGACCTACCAATGGGCATCTTTTGGCCAATGCGTAATTGAGGTCGAGCGAAATGATATATGTCTGCCAATAGCTCTTGGTCTCCGATTCGTTTGTAAGTAACAGTATCTACCAAGACTTTCTCGGTAGTCAGTGGTGTTGTTTCGACTGTAGGAGCTTGTTTGGCAGGAATGAAACGGGCAGCCTGATCCTCCAAGGTTGGAAATGCAGCAATAACGCGCACCGTTTGTGATTCAGGGGAGTTGCCCTCCGACCAACTGACATGACCGAAGTTGGCTCTCGTCAATGCTTGCTCCCAGTCCGCAATTTGCTTCAGAGCGTGAGATCGCCCGTCGTTAAATCGCCACCAGCCGTCCAGTACACCGAATATCATGTCGAGCCAGTACATTCGCTTGGTGATTTCCACTAGGCATAAGGCACCATCTTCACGTACCATCTTCCGTAGATAACGCAAACTTTGGTAAACGTTTGCTGTTGCATGGACGCAATTGGCACCAATAATACAGTGGAAATAATTCTCAAAGCCCACCGGAACTAAGGTCTCTTCCAAGTCCAGTAGCTGAAATCGCATATCAGGTGGACTTCCGAATTCTTTCTTCGCTGCCGCTACCAAGGATGTAGATATATCCGTAAACACGTATTCAAACGCAATACCATGGCGCCGAAGATAGTCTACGACATATCGTGTTGTTCCAGCTGTACCGCCGCCAACTTCTAGAATTCGAAGAACTTGGTTGCTACTTTTGAGGCTATTCGCAAGCCCTAGTAGAAACTCGCCAACAAGGAGGGTAGCAGAGCGAAATAGCGGCCAGAATTCGTACATTACTTCCAAAGTCTTCTTAGTTTCTTTGACTCCAAAGAGCACCTGTAGACCGGTTTGTTCTCCTGCCAAGCACTGCGCAAGGCTGGATCCGACAGCCCTCAAAAGTTTGTAAGCTGTATGATGTTGATGATGGTGATTGGACATCTGTTGATAGATGGATTCTGACGATGTCAGATCGATGGGGTGCGCACTCCTAAGAAAATCGACATGTGCTACATCGCGCGAAATAAGCTTGCCGTCTACAAGGATTTCGTATAATAGGTTCATCAGCTGTGTGTCTTTAGCTTGAACTTTTATGCACTGAACACTTTGACCATCCCGAAACGCCGATAAGTTACAGTTCAGTGCTGACAACGCCTCTACAGCGTAGGCAAGAACAAGTTTTTGCAACTCAGGGTGTACATCCGACCAAAAGTGTAGCGCTTTGGTATGTTCAGCGTACTTGTCATAATCATGCCTGACATTTTCAAAGGCTTCTGCTGCCGAAAGTGCAGCCGGCACAGCCAGCACATTCCTCGATTCAATGCCATGTGGCGACCGTACTTCAATATTTCGAGTTTCTTGTTCCGGAGAGGTCAATACCTCGGTATTAACCGTGGCACTTGTTATCTCAAAACTTCCTCTGCTGGACGGGGGTGTCTCCGTCACATGAGAGCTGTCACTCGAACCGCCCAATAGAGAGTCTATATGACGAATAAGGGTTCCAATGTTTGGGAATAATAGGAAGCTAGCCAAGTTGATAGTTACTCCCAAATTCGTGTATAAATGATTCAGAATCTCCGTGGCCATTAGCGAATCTATGCCAAGGTCTAATAGCTCATGGTCGTCTTTGATCTCGTCTACCGCGAAATCAGTAATGTCCGCCAAGATTGCTAAGATATTTTGGCGATTGCTGTGTATTTGTGGAGTATCAGTATTTGGTATAGATTCGGTTGCTAGTTGAGGTGAATTCTTTGGAGTTGGTTCTATTGTGGCTTCGTTTTTGATGAAGGGCGCTGAGGCCAGGGCAACATTAGCCTGTGCCTGCGGCAGGTTAACTCTTTGTAATATGCTCGCTAGCAGCTTTCGTGGCATGCTACTGAAGCGACATCCGAATACAACCATAACGAGTGACTTGCTTCGCAGATCAAAAAGATATACATCTGCAACTGTAGATGCGCCTTTGCCACTTGAAATATCATGGGTATTAGAATAGGCCACCCATTCGCAGGCATTGGTATGAAAGCTCGGTCCAATCTCAATACGCTCGATGTAGTTGCATATTTGGACATGTGTTTCACTCTGATTATGGAAATAATTGATCAGGAATCCGGCAATTTGCATGAAGCTCTCAATCATGGGTGCATCAAAGACCGGCAGACTCTGCCCATCGCCCTGATCGGACGGAATGGTAATATCGGCCGTTGCTTCGTTTCCAGCACATGCAATCCGTGTTATTCTGTGAAAGACGGGGCTATAATTTACGACAGATTTGAAAGCTTTGTAAATATGGCTCCCCTGCATCATTTGCAAATTTGGTTGGCGCCCTATTGCGTCACACTGGCGCAGCCCTGTCAGAGCCTCGTATCGTTTGAACTCCAGCGTTTTGCGTGCATCATCACGACGGACCAGATATATCACACCCGTGGTATGTGTTTGCATGTCTTGTCGAACGTCGCCTCGTTTGCCTATGCTGCTCTTGATCGAAAACCTCCAGCACAACGCTGCACGGTCCATTCTAGTAAGCATGAGCAACACTTCCCGCGAAGTGTCGGTTCCAAGAGGGGCTTCCATTTGCAAATCGTCCAGTCTGGGAACATAGTCGACTTGTAGCATATCTTTTTCTAACTGGAAAGCCGCTGAACAAATCATCTCAAAATATAGAGATGCTGGGGCCAACGGTTGGCCGGCCATGACATGGCCATTCGCAATGTTTTGGTAGCGCTCAGAGTCCCCATTGATACGGAATACAGCTGATTCGTTTGATTCTGAGTTTTCTAATTGCAAAAACGAGATTAACGGGAGAGGTTTCTCTGCAGCCATGACGTCGGATGAAGAAGCCGCCTGACCACCTCGACTGTCTCGTATATAGGGTAGCCAGAAGTTGGCTTTCTGAAACGGGTAGGTCGGCAATTTCATTCGGGAATATTCGTTTGCTTGGCATCGATGGAAGGGCCAGTATTGTGTTTTATGTTTAGCCCTCCATAGAGAGACAGTCGCGTCGACGAGTGACTTTTGACCATCGACACTGCAGAGCTTGGGTGACAGGAAGTGATGCGCTGTCTCAGAAGGTGGTCCGCTGCTCAACTTAACTAGTTGCATTACAGACGAGCCGCATCCTGCTTCTAACCAAGTGATTCGCGGACCAAATCGCCGCTCCAACGAAGAAATAGCGCTGTGGAAGAAGACTGGATTCCGAGTAAGTTCCACTGGAATCTTGGAGTTCAGTGTTGGGTCTCCCTCAGCAAGATTGATCTCCATCCCGTTGCAAAGTTCAATGTGTATCTTGGGCGGCAGCCAAGTCACCCGATCAGCTATCTCCTGAAGATGGGATATAATGGGATCTGCAAATCTTGAGTGAAAGCCGTGGGTTACTTGGAGCCTTTTCGTCGGTACGGACGGGTGGCGTGAGTTGATATATTGTTCTAGGAGAGCCATTGTCGTATTAGATGCGACAAGCACATGATTAGATGGCCCATTATAACACGCGATTTCGATGCTTCGATCCTCCCAATTATCGGTATTCTCTTGGTAAGCTTGGAAGTCTCGCAGGATTTGTTCTGTGGCAGCGCGGGTTGCTCCAACATATAACATACCACCCCGCTCTTTACCCCAATAGTTCTGTATGAGCAAGGCTCTCTTTGATACCAGCATAATAGCATCATCGAGAGAAAAAGCCCCAATACTGGCAAGAGCGGCAAATTGGCCAAAACTGTGTCCTACCACACCGTCTATCTTCAGGCCGCACGATAGCCACGCTTGAGCTGACGCATACTGCAGCGCAAAGAGGCTACAATGTAATATTTCCAGATTTTCGATAGGCTTGAGATCAAATATAGCCGGATATATGCTCCTTGACGTCTGTGCTTGAATAATCTTGTCACACAAATCAAGGTGGCTGCGTAGAATTGCATTTGACCTGTACACCTCCTCATTTAGGCCGACGAAATCGCGTTCCTGGCCAGCAAATACAAGAATAATAGGTTTTGTTTCATCGGTGGTTGAGATGGCGCGCTTTTTTGGCACATCTATCTGCAATGTGGCAGCCTCTTGGATCTTGGACTTTAGATCTGAGAGGTCCATAACGGACGCGGCGAATGTAATAGGGAGACTTTGGTTGCATCTTATTGCGACATTAAAGAGCAATGTTCCCATGGAGTCGCTGGGATGGCCTTCTATCCACTTCAACAAGGCTTCACAGGTGCTGGATAGGCTTTGGCTTGTGGTAGCTGTCAGAATTAGTGGCCAACAGGTACTTGGAACTGAGCTGACAGCTTCAGCCTTTTTCGGCGTCTCCATTTGGAACAGCTTTGGTGCTTCCCGAATTAATAAAGCGGAATTACTGCCCGCCGCGCCATAGCTATTAACACAAGCAAGTCGGCCCTGAGCGTGAGTATTCCACGGCACAGGTTTCTTGGGTATGGCCATGTTATCGGGTTCGAGAGGCGGAATTTGAGGATTCAGACTGGTGTGACTTGCTTGTGGTGGTATAACACCATGTTCCATCATGAGAAGGACTTTAATCAATCCGGCAACACCAGCGGAAGCTTCGGTATGTCCAATATTCCCTTTGATAGAGCCGAAGTGCAACATGGAATCTCGTTGCTTCCCAGCAAATGCCAGCCTAATACTTTGAGCTTCGACTGGATCGCCCACTCCCGTTCCAGTACCATGTGCTTCAATGTAGGTCACGTCGCCCGGCTGCACGTTGCCAAGTTTCATCACTTTTCGAAACAGTTGTGTTTGCGACTCGGCATTTGGGACAGTGATGGGTGTCGTATTATAGTTCTGATTGGCTGCGCTGCCGACAATGACACCCAAAATGGGATCCTTGTCACCAATCGCTTCAGCCAGTGATTTAAGTAACACAACGCCAACGCCTTCACCACGGCAGTATCCATCAGCTGCTGCATCGAATGGCTTTGATTGGCCAGTTGGGCTTAGGAAGCCAGCTGCAGCCAGATTCTGATAATCATGTGGGCTGGTAATGATGTTGGTTCCGCCTGCAAGTGCTCTAGTGCACTCTCCTGACCATATCGCTCGACAAGCTGTATGGACAGCTACAAGAGACGAGGAGCATGCGGTGTCAATAGTAAGAGACGGCCCTGTCCAGTTAAAGTGATGGCTAATAGATCCGCTTAGAAAGGGCCGTGACGTTCCGACAGTAGCGTATGCTGTAGGTGTATGGCATGAGACGTTGTCTTGGTAGTTATTCATGGCAGCACCAATAAAACAGCCATAGTCAGTTGTGCTTGTCGTCGAAGGATCAAAATGACCTGATTTCTGCAACGCTGTGTAGGCAACCTCAAGCAGCACCCGCTGCTGCGGATCCCACGCTAGTGCCTCTCGACTCGACTTTTCGAAAAGAATATTATCGAATGATTCGGAGTTTGACAGGAAGTTACCCCACCACCCTGATGATACATTCTTGTCCTTTTCTGGAAGTTGAAGTCGGTGCACATCGGCTGGCTCGGCCACTGACCTGCCCTCGAGTAGTAGGTCCCAAAGCTCGTCTACTGTGTCCGCACCAGGAAACCTGCCCGCCATACCAACTATTGCGATGGAATGCGGCGGGTAATGACTTTTCTCATACCCTATGTCTATGGGTTCGGTATTATGGGTATTCGGATTCGCCATACTGGCACTCAATACGCCGGGCTCCTGTGCTGAATGCTCTTTGGCCCGGTCCATGTTGATAAAGGCGATTCTTGTAAAATGTCAGCAGAAGAGCTATCGACGATATGCATGACAGTGCGTTTCTTGGGTAGTATTTTAGGTATCAAAGGGCTATAGAGCGGATCTAAAAGAGAAAAAACGCTCATCCGCTCTCGCCGTTTGTTAATTTATGCCGGCAGTCTTGGTGTGGCTGCATATACGAGTGGTACGCTGCACACAAAACCCACTTCAACAACGTCACTGAATAGTTTAATTTAATTCATAGGACCTATTTTAGTGCTGACTAGTTCGGGTTAGACATGTGGTATTTAAATAAAAGCGAGAAAGGCTAATCTTGAACAACAACCCAAGTCCGTGAAATGCTACTGGCGGTGGAGCAATGCGCCACAGCCGTTAGCAAAAACCAAGTGCCGACCTCATGCGGCTTGTGTTGGCACCACATCACTCTCCGGATAATTCCTGTAGATGCCCCAGTCATATTTCTGCCTCTTGTCGGAAGCGAGATAGGCCGCAATATTGGGCCGAAGCCTGACACAGTCCCAAAGCTGAAATACGGCTGTGTATTTGCCAGATTTTTCAGCATGAGCCATAACGTTAGGATAGGCAAACTTTACGCCATCAATGCACTAAGTAATAAATAAGAAGTTGACATGAGATGAAACGTCATCCGAATGGGGAAAAAAATGTTACCTGAAAAAGCACTATATCCGCATAAGTGAAGGTATCTCCCATCAGCCACTGGCCTTTGCTCTGCTCGAGCACAAGTTGCCAGTAGGCCAAGTGTTTCGGGAAGCGGAGCTTAAGCCACTCTTTGTTGCGGCGGATACTCTCGTCCTTCTGATCCTCGTAGGGGAGATCAGAGACAAGAGGGTGGTGGTTGTCATGTACCTCATTGCTGAGACCGTCCAGCGCGGTGAGGGCTAGGGCGTTGACGCGATACTCGTCGCTGTTGGCTGCAGACCCCGCAAGCCCGAATTTCTGACCGAGGTACATGAGGATGTTACTCGTCTGCGAAATTAAAAGATCGCCATGCTTTAGCATAGGAGGGGCATAGTACGGCGGGTTGTTCTGATGACCCTTGAGGTGCTCCACGACAGCCTGGCGGGCGCCGGCCATGCCGAGCGAGCCCGTGTCTGAGTAGATGACATTTGCTTCTGCAAAGAGTAGCCGAATATGCTCGCCACGACCAGGTACGCCTGTATAGTAGACGAGCTCATAAGGGGGGGTACTACTGGCCATGTCTGCTTATGTTGAAAACTATAATTTTTAGCCTCAGTGGATTCGGAATGCGCTGGGGTTGTCCAGCATGCTACTTAAAAGAAACGGGGAAAACGGTCAAAGCGCACAGATGGCCAGCCTTATTTGCTTGACTGTATGACGTAGCCTTATATATTGGGACAGGTACTGGGATTTATTAGAAGGGCCTTCCCTATTAGCTTATAAACAAAATTGTCTAGAACCTAATACATGCTGCCATAGGTGTACGAGAGCTCAAGGTCTTGTCTGCCTAAATCCTTACAACGCAGTATAGACGCTTCACGATCCTGTTTAGCACTGACAATTCAAAGCCATTTATATCTATAATCTAATAGACGAACAGCCTCATGGCAATAACCAATATGTGAGTGCTGTGTGTGCTGCCCGCACTGATACAGGACCCCCGCCCTCGTGCATGAAACCCCTCCTGCTCTAACAGGATGCAGCGCGGCGGCTATGGTTCTGCTACCGTTACTTTGTTTTTGGAATAATGAGTAATCTTTGTCCATGATGCCCGTATCGTTTCGAAAATACTTCAAAAGAACGCCGTATCAATCAGTACCAGATGCTGCTTCGGCAAATGCGGCTTCGCTGCCCACACATGTGACGCCAACAATGGTGCAAGCAACCATTGAGGGTGATACGGTATCCGATGAGCAAGCATCCCATCAGTTACCTGTCGAAGTCACTGATATGATTATTTCCACTCAAGAACTAGCATTATCAGCTGTTTCATTTTGGGATCGAGCGTTTTTGGAGGTGAAGAAAGAAAACTCGAATTTGGTCGACGAATACGAAAAACTTCTTGAAAAAGAGCTCTTGAGTTCAGACGATCCATCCAACACCACTGAAGAGTTGGATACAGATAAGCAAAACCACCAACAGAGGATGCGACAGTTGGTTGAGCTTGGCATGCAGCGAATGGAGCGCAAAACACTGAGCTACACGATCGCTGGGCGCAAGGTCATCGTTAAAGATCAAATCGCGCAATTCAGCGAAGCTGCTCTCAAACTGAAGTCTGTCATCGCTACTGCAGTCAGTGTATCTCCATCAGCATCGATTGCCGTGGCAGGGGTCAGTCTTATTCTCCCCCTCTTTGTAAATGCAAGTGCTGTGGAAGCTGCAAACAAAAGTGGCTTTAGCTTCATTGCTTCTCGAATGGGGTTCTACGCTGGCCTAGAAGAACATTTTATGACGGTAAAATCTTCTACTACAATCAAACAGGCGACAGAGGATGCTCTTATTAGCTTATATAGAGCTGTTATTCTATTTTGGGTGAACAGTACCATCAGGTTCTACAAGGGCGCATGGGCAAGAATAACGCGCGATACGCTGAGGCTAGATGATTGGAAAGCGATGGCGGATGGCGTTAAAACAGCCGAAGAGCAGTTCATGAAATATTTCAAGACGACCATCGATATGTCTCTTCAAAGCAGTCTTCAAAAATTGGAGCGTCAAGCAGAAGATAGTTACGAAGCTTTTCAGCTTCAAACCACAATTCTGGGAAAGTTATCTACAATAACAACAGATACGAACGAAAAGTTAGACAAACTTGGACAAGCTTTCGACAAACAAGCAAAACAACAATTGGAACGATTGATGGACGAAAAGGACAAAGAATGCCTGCGGAATCTCAGCGCCACGAATCCCCAGAAAGAGAAGGTACGAATTGAAGAGACTAAGGGAGGCCTACTTCGCGCGTCTTATAAGTGGATTTTGGAGAACAAGCTTTTTAAACAGTTCATCGACAATTCCGAGATGCAACTCTTGTGGATTAATGGCAGTCCTGGGAAAGGGAAAACCATGCTTATGTGCGGCATTATAGATGAGCTGAAAGCGACACATGGCTGCAGTATATCATTTTTCTTTTGCCAGAAAACCGAACCTGAACTAAATAACATGGTATCAGTCTTACGGGGGCTTATCCTAAGTATGGTATTGGAGAACCCAACATTGCTCTCACATGTTCGATCCGAGTATGACATTTGGGGAAAAGATATGTTCGAAGGTAGAACAGTATGGGCGACCTTGGTTGGGATATTTAAACAGTTGATCCAATCGCCGGAGTTTCGAGATACAATTGTACTGATCGATGCTTTGGACGAATGTATTGTTGGCCAAGACGACCTTCTGAATTTGATCAAGGATACTTGGACAATACAGCCACGTATCAAGTGGATTGTATCAAGCCGCTATGAGAGAAATGTTGAGAAGAAGGTTCTTACCCAAACACAGAATTCCGAATTACGCTTGGATCTAAATGCTGATGTAATCGCGGAAGCGGTCTGCATATACATCAAGCACAAAGTTGATGAATTGGCGACACAGGGCAACTATAGCGACGATCTCAAATCAAAAGCAATCCTTTATTTGGTCGAGCATGCTGAGGCTACCTTTCTTTGGGTCGCTTTAGTCTGCCAGGAGCTGACGAGTGTCGAAGATTGGGAAGTAATGCAAACATTGTCCAGCTTCCCAGCAGACTTGGATGGATTTTATGATGCCATGACCAAAAAGATAAGCTCATCTAGATATGCTCATCAGTGTAAAGAAATCCTTACTACAGTCTCATTAGCATATCGTCCGCTACGCCTCACGGAGCTACAGATGCTTACACCCTCTCTGAAGCCACTTTCAACAAATAACCAAGAACATTTGGTTAAAACGTGTGGTTCATTCTTAGTCATCCGGGAAAGGATTGTATATTTCATACATCAATCCGCAAACGACTTTTTGCTGCGAAAAGCACCCCAGTATCTGTTTGCGCTGGGGACTACGCGGCAACATTATTACCTCTTTCTACGTTCCATTGAAATATTAACGGACAATCTAAAGCAAAATCCATACAGAATTCAGAGTCCTGGTACTCTAAGAAGAGATGTGATAAGACCTGACCCAGATCCTCTTGAACCCCTAAGCTACGCCAGTACTCAATGGTTCTATCATTTGGGTGAGAGCGAAGAGTTGATCAAACAGTCATACAATGAAGTATTTCTACATAATGGGGTTATGGTCCGCTTTTTACGTGAGGTCTACCTGTTTTGGCTTGAAACATTGAGCTTACTTGACGCAATACCTGTGGGCATGGAAGCAATATCAAAATTGCAAGCTGTGGTTGCAAGTTATGAATCACTCCTCAAGGATGAGACAAAAGATTTCTTAGATCTGACAATTGACGCGGATCGCTTTTTACGATACTCGGCAGCTGCCATTGAAGCGGCTCCGATGCAGGCGTATGCTTCTGCTTTACTCTTTAGTCCTACTAACAGCCTGATACGACGCATATATTACGAGAAACGGACTCCTAATGTCCAGCTCAAGACTCCTGCTCGAAATGACTGGGATATCTGTAAACAGACAATTGAAGCTCATGCCGGCTGGGTATTTTCTGTCGCTTTCTCGGGCGACTGTCAGAAGTTCGTATCGGGTTCTCTTGACGAAACTGCCAAAGTTTGGAACTCAATGACTGGGAGTTGTTTACAAACCTTTACGGGCCACAGCAGTTGGATCAATATAGTGGTCTTCTCACAAGATGGTGAGAGAATAGCGACAGGCTCTGGAGATTACACCATCAAAATATGGGATGTAACGTCTGGGACTTGTTTAAAGACACTTACTGGCCACACGTCCTGGGTTAGCTCAATTATTTTCGTGTCCAATACCGAGCTTGTATCAGGCTCGACGGATGGGACTGTCAAAAGTTGGAACATTGTCTCCGAAACCTGTATAAGGACAATGCAAGGGAGTCGCGATTCAATTCCCACTATTGCATATTCTAGGCGGCAGGAATGGATCATCGCTGGATGCGGAGATGGTAATGTTTTGATTTGGGATAGATTGTCTGGGGACAAGGTACGAACGGTCAAGGCCCATGATAAATTCGTGTACTCTGTTGCAGTCTGTTACAATAACGAAAAGTTTGTTACCGGCTCTAGCGACATGACAATCAAAATCTGGGACATTCTCTCCAATACTTGCATTCGAGTACTCGAAGGCCATGGTGGCCCAATTCATTCGGTTGTCTTTACGTCAGACAATCACAGAATTATTTCAGGCTCTGCAGACACCACTATCCGAATGTGGGATATCGCATCTGGTAAATGTGTACAGGTCTTTCGAGGTCACAGCGACGCAGTCTATTCAGCTGTGATTTCTAAAGACAGCAAAACAATTATCTCGGGATCAGATAAGATTATCAAAATCTGGGACGTAATGCCTATGGTTCATACACCAGACAGCGACGGGCATCGCGCGAAAATTAACTCTATTTCATTGTCCATGGATGGTAGTAGAATGGCATCTGGCTCTGAGGATGGATCTGTGAACGTCTGGGATGTGACTTCGAACACACTGATACAGTCGATATCTGGTCACGATGAGTCAGTCTACTCAGTAGCCTTTTCCGATGATGGCCATTATATCCTTTCGAGCTCGAGAGACCGAACGGTCAAGATTTGGGATTTAGAATGTAGTCTCTGTTTCCAAACTCTGGCTGGCCATTCTGGATGGGTCTACTCGGCCACTTTTTCTCCAAACGGCCACGCTGTAGTATCCGGGTCTAGTGACAGAACGATTAGACTTTGGAACGCGGCTACCGGTGTATCTGAACAAGTACTCAAAGGTCACAAAGATTGGGTGCGTCTGGTCATATTCTCTGATGATGGCTCTAAAGTTGTGTCTGACAGCGAGGACGCAAATATCAAAATTTGGGACGCGGCAACGGGGACATGCCTACAGACGATACCAGGACAAAATGATTGGGTCTTCTCCGTGTCATTTTTGCGAGAGAGGTATCGTTCAATTATCCGTATTGATTCCGAGGAACCTGAATCAGATTATTGTGAGATAATTGACGGTTGGATAACCAAGAATGGACGCAACATGTTGTGGCTGCCAACGGAATATCGAACTCAGGTATATGCTGCAGAAAAGGCATGTATTGCGTTAGTATCCCTATCAGGATGGATTATGATGGTAGAGATTATATAGAGCAATATTTGGTTCAATAAACCTGTGTTTATTTAGTGGTATTGTTACGGGACTAATATAATTTTAGACACATGTAGTATGAAGGGTAGATAACGTGTACGACACATCCAGCGCTATTGGCTCTCACTACATCATATTTTGATTCTGTACTGGGTTTTATGAAAATGTACCTTTACAAGGTAGGCAGATCATCAAACACGGAATAATCCGCGCCAGGCTGATAGCACCTCACCACGGGTGCCTCGTCAACCTTAGCCTTATACTCATCACGAACTTCATCCGAAGGCAGGCACTCCGGGTAGATTCTAACTGGCACACAATCCGTCGGAATAGTCGCGTTGGTGCTAGTGTCGAGGTTGTACAGTCCAATATGCCGGACCATGTTGGTCGAGTATCCCACGCACGCCAGAAACTGATCCTTGGGAACAGCATGCGACGTAGGGTCAAGCAGCCCAGAGAGAGCAATCTGCTGCTCGCACAAACAGCCAGGCGTAAGATACTCGACGCCGCGCTTGTTAGAATCGTAGGGGTCATCGATGGCGAACAGCAGGTCAAAGTGTCTGGTTCCAATCTGCATCTGTGTGCTGATGTTGCTCATGCCTAACGCGTACTCTTCTTGCGATCCCACAGCAAAGTACGGGTCTGTCTTGTCAATATAAGTGTGTGGGTTCAAGCGCGCTGTCCACCGACGCACGTGGTGGTTTTCAAAGTACGACGGATAGACAAACCAGCGCTCGACTGAGGGCGTGAGGTCAAGCGACTTGTTGGTGACATGCGCCACGAGCTGGAAAGCCTTGGAGAAGCTAAGAACGGGTTCGTTGGGCAGGGGCACAGTGGCCGCGCTGGCACTAGGCAGGGCGCTAGTTATCCACGCAAAGGCAATGGTGGATAGGTAATGCATTTCGACAGATGTTGTACTAGGTAGCAGAAGGAAGAAAGGGAGAGGGGACAACTCGAAGAAGGGCCGAGAGAACAACGAAATCTGTGCCGTAGATCGGACATGAGATGTGGCGGCGGCAGTTGACAGCTTATATACCTCGCTTGTGCTGAATTATGACGTCTAATCCAAATTAGTCTAGGTGCATCGAGTCTGCCGTACCATGGTAGCATTGCACACTAAGCGCCCTTGTCACCGCTTCCTGCGCTGTCATGCATCTCTCGCTACCACGGCCTCACGAACACTCTGCCGCGTTTGAACGATCCATATCGCTCTGTCTCTGTGCCCTCCTCTTTGCCACCGCTGGGAGAGAAGAGCATAGAAATGGCAATTGAAGGCTAAACTTTTGGCACGGCCTTTAGCTGCTTGATTGTAGTCTACGGCGTCACTAGCATAGGTGACATTGCGAACAACGATTTCAGCGCCATGGGCTGACAGAAGAAGATGCCATCCTTAAACGATGGATGACCCGCGCTCAGTTATCCATGCAAAGCCCTGAAGACGGCCTCCTGAAGTCTGCAGCTCAAGCAAACAGAAGGATCGAGAAAGCGGCATACAGTGGGGGCTGTTCCGCCAAGGACAGCCTTGCTGACGATATGTAATAAGCAGCGGCCCGTCTTGTCGCATATCTCTGTGTGTTCTTCATTGTTCTTCGCTGCTCCAATTCATACCAATCTCTACGAAAAATGAAGTTCACACTCTCTCTGGCCGCTTTCATTGGCGCCGCCCTATCTTACAAGCCCTGCGATAAAGGAACACCTTTGTGCTGTTACGGCAACGATCAATACCCAGGCCCTCATTGCTATGCTCTAGGTGCGTGCTCGCTTCCCAGTGAACCGTCTTATATACAACATACGGCTAACATGTTTGTTACTCTCTCGCAGAGAACAAAAACCCTGCCAGCTATGATGACTTTGCTGCCGAATGCGCGACACATGGCGCAGTGGATCCGCGCTGTTGCGACTTTCTCACCGGCAGCACTGTACAGCTTCAGTGCACGCCTGCGAACCACGCTGAATCTCCAAGCTGTAGCCGGTAATAACGACTAATGTAGACTAGAGGATAAATTAATTGCATTTTGATGATAAGGTACTCTGAGCTGCAGCGCTCGCTGCACGACTTGCTCCATACATTATATATGTTCTGCGCCACCCACGAGTCCACGCCATTCGCGAATCAGCTGTGCCATTCGCAAATAGCGCAGGCCAATAAGCCGATTCGCCAATGGCACAACTAATTCGCCAATGGCGTGGATTCGTGGGTGGCGCAGAACATATACCAATAACATAGGTGCCCAACTACTTGCTTTAGACATTGCCCAATGGAACCAAAAAGGAAAAACACCTGACGTTTAAAGCCTATGAGGGGGGCTAATGAATAAACCAATACTCGTATAAAAGCTTGAAAAGTATACTGAGGGCCTCAAGCCTCTGATGAATAGTTCAGTAAAGGTCTCGTACAAGCTAAGCTATAGGAAGTTGCAAGTTATCATCCGGCCTATACCCTTGATGCGTAAAAATAATTATTCGCTATTTTCATTTAAATAGCATTGCCCTTTATCTCCATGAGACCCTTGTCGCTAAACGTCTTCTCCTCCATAGCATTTAGCACCTCCCACGAGTCCTCGGACGTTGCCCCCATCAGCCATTCGATCTGCTCGCCGGCTGAGGAGCAGAACTCTGCGCCGAGAGCAATCGATTCTGCACCAAAACTGACGAATTCATTGTTTTCCACAAAATCATCGTCTTCGTTCTCCTTTCGAGAGACCCAGGCGCCAATGCGCATGCCAGCGGCTGCTGCGGCGCTCGTCGAGACCGTGCCGATACGCGCGGCAGACATGCTCAGGGAAGCTCTGGTGCCCTCAAAGGGGTTCTTCAAGTCGGAATATAAGTGGGCATTGCCACCTATTTTGTCCTTGGAGCTCTTGGACAGATAGTTTAGGAAAACACGCTCCGTCTTGGGCTTCTCCTCGCGACTGAAGATGTAGCTGACGCGCTGAGCACGTTGCTGTGGCTCCCATGTCGCCGACATGGTGATGTTGGGCCCAATCACGGGGAGCTTTTCCAACTTATCCGTCTGTCGCCATACGTGGATATTGAACGTACAGCTGTTACGGATGGCTAGCGACGAACCAGGGGAGAAGAAGCGATTGCCGGCAACGACCGGAGCGGCCGTGAGGGCAACAAGAATAGATGCTGCTTGGATGATTTGCATATTCAAAGATGGGTAGACTTTCAAAGAGCCTTTACACAGGTGTGGTGGGCGACCGCCGTTTGTCTACTATATATCGTGGGTGTACATGGACTTGTATACTATTTTTTTCCCTTTTTACCTCATATGTTTTGACTGTGCTTGTTTGTTTCACGTTTTGTCAACGTTAATTCCAATCTTCGTCATTTTATCAATCGTCTTGCCGATCGCAAAGTTTTGTTACGCTACTCTTTCATGGTGTCGCATCCAACAGTAGTGACTTGGCGCGGCTCTTACTATTGTTGTCTCAGTCTCTGTACAATTTAGGTGAATTGATTCAGAGCGCAACAGGTTGCAAAAGATATGCCACTGGGATTTTCGGCACTTTTAATATGCATTTACCATATGCTAAGAATACATGCCCGCCCGCACAGTTATATATATATGCAAAAGCCGTGACGAGTGCAGACTCGAAACGAGCTTCCCGTCTACTACAGTGAGCGATACTTCACACATCATAAACAAAATGGCTCTAAAATCGATTCTCACGATGCTCATCGCTGCCACGGCAAGCAACGCCTTTTCGGTTGATCACCTGCTAACTGGTCGATCTCTTACCGAGGACATTGCGGCTCCCTCATCTATAGTCTTCTATAACAACTGCACCCACAACATCGAGATGTGGAAGCAGGGAGGCTCTACCAAGGCATTTAACATTGCTCCCCAATCGGAATACTTTTTCCGCTTAGAGCACGGAGATCTTGATACCCCCTCAACCACGTACCAGTTCGCCCCTCGCGGTGCTTCAGAGGAGGCTGGCAGACTTCACGTCACCTACATGTACATTAGAAATGGAACCATTGCATACGGAGCTGCCAAACTCCACTCGGTCCTTGGTGACCCATTCAATAACACCGGACTATCCCTCGGCATGACGTCGAGCTGTGGCAGCGGGCCTGGAGGCGCGGCTGCTGCAGGGGCTGGCCTCTGGGTGGCTGCTGGAACAGGCTGCCAAGAAATAGGTGCTGCCTCGTTTGCTCTCGGAGCTGGCTTTTGCGTACACAATGGTAACAAATTTGACGGCGACAACAATAGAGCTGCGGCTGCTGCGGCTGCCGCAGCAAACACAGGAGGCAGTGCGGTTGCGTTTGCTGGTGGTGCCGCACCAGGTGCGGGGAATATCATGGAGGATAAGTCTGGTTTACCCTTTGAGCAAGATCTGCGTAGTCTGCTCTAAGCCACTATTGATGCTATTAGTATTAATTTTAAGATCGATAAATAGTAATATCTCGGTTTTGTGTACATGTTTCCATCTTTCTGTGCCTGGTATTGAAGCGTAATACGCTCTGCGCGAGTCCAGCATACCGCGAAGTTGTCAATACAGTCAGGAGATCATAGACGCTATCCAGTTATTTACTCTAAATATTCACTGATGATAGCTAGTGCTAGTGCAACTGCGGTCTTTCGTCTTTTTTTAATTTACCTTCTAGCGCTGTTGTTCAAGGTGTCACTCTGGAGACGGCGATAGAGGTCACATACCATAGAGAATATAACTCCATCGATGCAAATTTTATTTTGTTGTCTAATATGTGAAGCGTAATAGAACTTTAAGTCCACGCTGAATCCTACTTACATCCTCTTTTTCCTTTTTCTTCTTCTTTTTCTCTTATCAAAGTATTCGGGGTTGTGCTACTACTATGCCCTGGCTAAGATTACGTCTTACTTGGTGATAGACTTCTGTTCAACAAGCGCGTCAAATATTCTCCCTAAAATATGCATTAATCTCAATAATCTAAATTACGAATATAGAGTTTCGCAACTTGTTACACTTATTTTAAGGACTATCGGTATTGCTCGGTGCAGAACGCTGGCCGCTGTCAAATCTCACGGGTAGTTTTAGCGCGCCCAACACAACCATTTTTTTCAGTCTCTTCCAGAACATGACTCTTTCGCCTGCCCGCCTCTGTCTCAGCTCCCCGCACACAAAAAAAAGCTACCTACTTTTGTTTCCGCAAATTAAGTCAAATTAGGCATGGCGCCACTGGCGTATCCCCGAATAGGCAGGTCGGGGGCTGTTCGCCCACCCCCACGCGGCGCCATTGACTTTCTTTTTTTCTTCTTACAATGTTTTGTTGCTATTAACGCGTGGAATAGGGAGTCCATAGATAGCTGGGAATGATGGCATAGCAGCGTGTGCATTGTTGAGACAGTTCGACCGTCAACATGATCTGCATATTCTAGATGTCAACGGCAAAGGCAACAACTTCTCTCGCGACAACAGACGGTGCATGGGGCAAGCAGCGGCCACTCCCACCTCCATGACTCCAAAAGTCCCCCAATTTGCTGGGGACTTTGCATGACTTGGGTGCGGATCTTATCCTGTCCGGCACTGGCACAGCAATACTACGGCCCCGAATCAGCCTAGTAATACCACACACAATGAGCCCTGGAACGCCCACTTTTGCGGAGGACCTTTTGCGTGGTACCAAGGTCTACCAGAAAAGGACTCTTCGTATATGAAGCCTGGGGTCTCCGCATGCCCCCTCTAATTGCGTCCGTTCTTCTCTTCCTCTGTCCCAAGTCTTCTGTTTGCTGAGGAATTGACGATTGGATCGAGTGTTACGAGACCGCCCCCTCCTTCATCATGATTAGCTCTATGATCCGCGCCGTTGTGGCTGGCAGCGCCATTGCCGGTGTTGCCGAAGCCGGACGTCTCAGTGTCGTCGCCCACGATGGCCTAACCCGCGTCAACCACGGCGCCATGATGCCTGGCCAGAACAAGGCCGATGCCGATGCCTACTGCTACGGCCTCTACCCCGAGTCGGTGCCCTGCCCCATTGTCGCCACTACCTTTGACCAGCTCATCGACCACGACAAGCCCGAGCTCGGCACCTTCAAGCAGCGCGTCTGGTACAATGCCGAGTTCTACGCTGGTCCTGGCGCCCCTCTTCTGCTGAGCACGCCTGGTGAAGGTGCTGCCGACCACTACCAGCCTTACACCATGAACCAGACGCTTGCCGGCGCCTACATGCAGGACCAGAAGGGTGCTGCTATCGTCCTTGAGCACCGCTATTGGGGAGACAGCTCGCCCTACGACACAATCAACGCCAAGACGCTGCAGGCCCTCACTCTGGATCAGTCGCTCCGCGATCTCGTCTACTTTGCCCGCAACGTCGACCTGCCCTTCACCAACGGCACCTCCCACCCGGACAAGTCGCCCTGGACGTTCCTCGGTGGCTCGTACCCTGGCGCCCTCGTCGCATACATGAACAAGCTCTACCCCGGCACTTTCTGGACTTACCACGCCTCCAGTGCCGTCGTCGAGCCCATTGGCGATTACTGGCGCTACTTTGACCCCGTCTCTGCCGCTATGCCCGCCAACTGCAGCAAGGACTGGAAGCTGGCGATCAAGCAGCTCGACACGATGATGGATTCCCGTGATGCTGCTGGCCGTACGGCCCTCAAGAGCAAGTTTGGTCTCGGTGAGCTCGCCGACGACGACTTTGCCTCCACCCTCCTGGCCCCTCTCGACTCCTGGCAGGGAAACAAGTTCTACACCAAGCCCAAGGACGTTGTCCTCTACAACCTCTGCGACTACATTGAGGGTGTTGGAAACCACAATGAGAACAACACCGTTGTGCCTGGCGCCGAGGGCGTTGGCTCATGCAAGGCCCTTCACGGTCTGGCCAAGTACATGCGCGAAGTCTTTGTTCCCAAGGGTCCTTGTGACGGCCAGGACTGGCCCAACGGCAGTCTGCAATGCTTCAATACCCACAACCTCACCAGCCCAATCTACACCGACCGCACCGTCCGTAACAACTACAACCTGCAGTGGTTGTGGATGTGTTGCAACGAGCCGTAAGTCTTTCCTCGTCACGTTCACTTTATCTACATAGCAACCCCATTACTAACTAATTATGCAGTTTCCAGCACTGGCAGGCTTCTTTCCCCGGCGACATCGGCATGGTCTCCAAGTACTACACCACCCAGATGGCTCGCGACCAGTGCGCTCCTCTCTTCCCCGACACCGACGGTTTCCAGTACGGCCTGAAGCTCGGCCGCACCACCGAGCAGATTGTCGAGAAGACCACCGGCTGGAAGAACGTCAACACCACCCGTCTTATCTACGTCAACGGCGAGTTTGATCCCTGGAGGCCCGAGACTGTCTCCTCCGATGAGCGCCCCGGCGGCCCCCTCCAGTTCACCGATGATGTCCCCGTCTTTGTCATCAAGAACGGCACGCACTGCGCCGACTTGAGACTTGCCAGCGCCAATGCCAACTCTGCCCTCGCTGCCCAGGTCGCCCAGATGCGCAGCATCATGGGCAAGTGGACTGCCGAGTTCTACACGGAGAAGGGTATCAAGCGTCCCGGCTTCTAAAGTGCATGTCATTGTCACATTTGGTATCACTTCATGTATATATACAAAACAGAACGCACATGGTTCCTAGTCAGGATAAACGATGCGACGATATAAGGCTTGACGATTGCATGCCACCGCAGAAGACGATATATATAACTAGATGTATTAATCGTATTGAAATACTATATTCACCTTGCAAAAGTAAAAATCCCTTAGAATGATAAACGTGCCCATTTTATGACTGGCGCCCGCCGGAGATGTACCTTGTGCCAACCGAATACGCCGTGCTGTACTTACAACATCATGGCGCCCGCTACGACAGCACCAGCGAGACCCACGACAGCAGCCTGCTGGGTTACGCGAGGCATGCCGCCCGTCGACACAGGCGCAGCAGCGCTCGTCTGCTTAGCGGTGCCAGAGGGGCCCTTGGTAGCTAGCATCGTAGCATTGGTGGTCAAGAGAGACGCGCCCGAGGTGATTGTCAGCGGTGAGAGGCCCTTCTCCGCAATATCTGTATACGTCGAAACGATGGTCTTGGTCTTGCTGCCAATCGCAATGGTGTTGGTACAGTAGGCAAGGTAGCTATCAAGGCTGCAGATAAACTGTTCGACACTGTTTCCACCCCCCACGTTAGTGTGCGACTGCGTAAAGACAGGTCATATAACTACTAGACTTACGTGGTCGTGGCGTTTGTGGCAACGGTCAAGCCAGCAGACACTGTCTTGGGGCCCTGCAAAATTGTCAAGCCACGCTGGTCAGAGCACAGGTTTGGTGGCATAGAAGTCGTAGCGGTGGTGGTACAGTCCACAGTATACAAGTTTGCGTCGGGTCCAGCAGAGATGACGGCGGCGTTGAATTGTACGCCCTCAATGGGGTACAAAAATACCGTAACCACTGGCTTGTCAGCAGCAACAGCGCCAGTGACAGATGCGGCGAGCATGACGCTGAGCGCCTTCTTCAAAGAGTTGCTGACCATGGCTTGCTGATTGGAATGATAGATTGATGTTTCGGAAGGGCAACTTTTGCAGAAGCAGCAAACATCGTTGCTAGATTGGCACAAGTGTGCTGAATTATATCCATTCGTCCAAACTGAACAAATCGCCAAGTACACAAAACCCGATTCCATCTGTTACATTAGATGGCCCCCGTCCTTGGCAACTGCACTAGTAACGTGTGCGACCCGTTTCGGTGAATATCGGCATAAGTCGGGCGCGGCTGAATCCAACCAAGGGGCGAGATGGTCAGCAATTAGTATAAACTTGGCGTCCTGAGATATTTTCTACTAGCGTCGCTATTATCAAGATATGCGCGAACAGCTGTAAGCACAGACCGGCTGAAAAAAGAACGAAGCCACAGGGGGGAAGAAAGATGAAGCAGGTATGTAGCTATGACGTCGGTGTAAGTAAAGTAGATGGTATAGTTAGAGGATAGCGAGAGATTGTACAAGATGCCCCGGGCCAATTGAATGTGTATTATATGAATCTAGTCCAGTTGAACAAAATAATAATGAAGAAAAGAGGATACGATTTAATCATAATTGGATAAGAAAAGAAGTCTCAATGGGTGCTGCTGGAGCTCTAAAGAATGTGGCTAAACCACCACGGGGAACCGCTTGCGCAGCTTCTCGCCCTTCCAGTACAGCGCAAAGGGGACAGCGATAAAGGCTGTTGCAACAAAGGCGAGAACGCTGTTTCCCCACCCAAGGCCCAAATTCTTATACAACCCAGCGCTGGCTAGCGGCAAGAAGGATCCCATGATGTTGCGTAGGATTGTGACGGCGCTGAGTGCTGAAGCAGCGCCCAAGGGACCGAAAATGTCGATAATGTATGTCTGAGATGACGACGTAATCGTAACTACACCAACGCCAGCAATGGCCGTGCCAATCATCGGAACAATCCAGTGCACGCCGTACTCTGTGGTCCAGCCGTAGATGAAGGTGCCAATTGGCACAGTCGGCGAGAGGTACATCATGAGAAGCAGGCGTCGCTCGGCCTTGTACTCGCCCTCCGCGGAACGAAGCAAGCGGTCACTCAATTTGGCAAATGTAACCACTCCAATGGCACATCCAAAGCCAACACCAAGGTAGCTTAGGCCAGAGATGCCAATACTCCAATGGTAAACATTTGTGTAGACAAGTGGGAAAGTGGCAAAGAAGAGCATCGATGTGCCGAAGACGAAGGCAATGTAAAGCGCCAGGATGACCAAGATGGGTGACTTGATAAGGAATGTTGCCGGTCGAATTAGAGCCTGGGCGAGGAGTTTGCTGAATGGCACTTTCTTTTCACCGACTGCCAAAAGATCACTGTTGCCTGTTTCTTTTCGAAGTCTTGTCGCTTTGGCCTTGAGAATGGCGACCGATGAAGTTTCGCGCATAAAAATAAATGATGGAATGTAGACGGAAGCAAACTAGTTTTCAGAACGTTAATATGCAAAAAATACGTGGCGCCGTGAAATATCATAATGTTGCACTTACAAGAATCAGAATCAAGTAAAATGTCCATTGCCAGCCAAGATCTTGCGTAACAAATCCACCTACAATTGGACCAATGACCTGTTATTCTCAGCAGTTAGCATTCATGTTGATACAGAACTCCCAGGAAATAGTTGAAAAGCTTACCGGGCCAAGCAATGGGCCAACTGTAAATAGAGCCATTGCTGTGCCTCTCTCGTCCTTTGGCAACAAATCCGCAATTGTACCACCTCCAGTCGTCATGTAGCAAGCTCCGGCCGCGCCAGTTAACAGACGAAACGCAAGGAACATACCAACATTGACGCTTTGCGCACAACCAACAGTGAAGCCGAGATAGAGGAAGCCGCTAACTCGATAGATGGGGATGCGGCCAATGATTTCCGACAGAGGCGCGACAATCAGCGAGCCTACGACAAAGCCGAGCGAGGCGATTGTGATGGTCAAGACCTCAACAGTGGAGTTGTGGAAGCCAAAGTCGCGCTCCATAACCGTCGCGCCTGGTGCGAACATGGTCGTTGCCAAGTTGCAGCAGAGCACCGAAGCGCTAATGAGCCCGATATTGATCAACTTCCATGATTTAGACCAGTTGCGAGGGTTGGCGGGATCCGCAGGACCATCCCAGTCCACAACATTTGGATCTTTGGTCGGTTCAGGTGTTGAGTCGCTGTCGCGAGGACCTTGCTCGAGATCATTGGGCTTGTTGGCGCCAACACTACCATCGCCGGCAGGCGGCGCTTCATGAGCCTTTTCTGAAGTCATCAAGAAACGCTTGCTTCAATTCAAAGCTAAGTGAGCTGTGTAGTAGATGGGTAGTTAGGCGAGGATGATTAGTAGCTGCCTCGATGCCGGATGAATGGGCGAGAGCTCGATGCTACTTAACGGAGTATATCGGAGGAAACGAAGGAGCGAATACGTCATGCCTGCACGGAGATATCAGCGGACAAAGCGATGAACGAGAAAAAAAGACAAGCCAGGGAAAACGGAAACAGGGGGGACAACTCCGAGTATGCTGACTACGGTGCAGCGTTGGGCAAACAAACAACCAAACCAAGCGGTTGCCTTTGACGGAGGTATCGACGGAGGCATCAACGGAGGTATTTGTGCATGACCAACGTCGTATTAGACGGCCGGATCAAGATACATTTAAGCCCTTTGGTTTCCCCCTTGTATAGAGACTTGGCTAAAAGATTGTCGAATGCCTCTTTTATTTATTACGCAGCTATGCTTGGCGATGGAAATCTGCCAGAATCTCTTCTCCTGCAAGCCATGATGAAGCCCATCTCAGCCCACCACTCCTTCGACACAGCCGCACGCACGCCCATGGCGTATTCCTTCGCACGAAAGCCGGCACCAAGTCCGACGGCCATGCTTGGTTTTATTGGAGGATTGCATAATTTGGAAAGCAGCCCGAGTCTGCAGCCAACAGTATGTCGATATTGGCACCATGCCGCATCCAGTAAGACGAGGCGCCATGAGTGCCGGACGAATCGCGATACCACCTCGGCAGGATTCAACGCCACGGTGCTGCTGGTGGTGCTGCCATCGGCACAAAAGTCTGTAAGCACGTTTTCTCTTCCTTTCGTTCAGCTCACACCCATGCCTTGATGGTGTGCATGCCATGCCATGCTTGCGTTGCAGCGTGCCATGCGGTACAAGAGCACCCGTTAGCCTCGTGGTGCCCACGGCCCTTTTTTTCGGTCGCCACTACTCGGGGCCGATGCAACATGCGCCTGGTACGCGGAGCGAGACGCGAGGTTCTCGAACAAACAAAGAAGACCCGCCGCGACATCGCCATTTCCTCGCTGCTACGGCTAAGCGGCATCAACCGCGGGTTGCCGCGCATATACGAGATCCGCGTAGACAGGTTTCAGGAATGCCAAACGACTGCTCACGGAGCGGAGATCGGAGAAAGCCACAGTTGTGATTGTAGCCAATCGTTGCGCAGCGGCTGATCATGGAGAGGTGTTCGTCGTCTTACTTGGTCTCCATGGAGCGTAGGTTGTTTCATCTGGTGGGCCAATATTTAGCATAAACACCTAATCTGTGGCGCGGCGTGTTCTGTAGATCATGGCGTAACGACCCATCTTAAAGCTAGAAAAAAACAAAGCGGCAGTTCGTAAGTAAGCCCTTCAGCGAAAGCAGCCGCGGCCCAACTGGGCTCATCGTACGGCGGTAGGAGAAAAGCGAAATCACCAATATTTCAGTTAACTCTGAAAAAGAAAAATTAGGGGACCAGATCCTACAAGGCTTTGAATCGTAATGCCATCGCGAAATTGGACCTTCCTAAAGAAGATGACCCGATATCCAGCAACTGGCCTGTACTCGGTGTCGCATCTTACTTCCGGCATGGCCTTTGCAGGGGTGGCTTACACGTACAGCCTCAAACAGGGTTTGGTCGATCGACGGGGGCTGTTTACAGCTGCTGCTACTACTGAAGCCGTTGCTGCTGCAATCTAGTGCACGCTGCATGCCTATGGGGGACATTTATATTGCACGCCTTCGTCCTTGCCATTGGGTAATTGGAGGCACCGTTGGCTACACCCAAGTCTTGAAACATCTTCTCTCCGCCATCACTCACTTCTTCTGCAATATACTCATAATGGTCTCCGATTGTGGCAATGGCGGCAATGCATACCTATCCTTGCGGTTATCGTGTGATCGGTGCCGTTTGCAAAAGCTAAAATGCTCCGTGCCGGCGGGTGCCAAAACTTGCCAACGATGCACGCGAGCTAGAGTCCCTTGTATATTTGGACGCAGATCAGCATCGTCGACAAAGAACTCTTGCAAACGAAAAGACAAAGAACAAGACCGCTTGTCCACTCCTCCATCCCAAACGTCAAACGAGACGGACGCTGGTATTATCACACCTCCTGTCTCAACTGTGTCGACCATGTCGCCCCCCCTTCTCCCATGTACCAACTTGTCCAACGTCAAATACGATATGACGAACGATAACGGATCTCTCGGTGACGATACAGTATCGATGAAACTCCTTGGAGTAAATCTCGATTATTCGAAAGGGGCTGATGATGGATTCACATTCGATTGGTTACAGCCGTTTGACATGGATGCCAGTAACACGTTCGACGTTGAGCACGCGCAGACCAATTTCACTTTCGAGTCGTCGCCATCGAGCCTTGGTAGCTATCAAATGCACCGGCTACCCACAGATGCCATGGTTGTAGACAATATTGCGGCGACCAGCCTGTCCGGAGACCAGCGTCTTATGTCTCTTGTTGCTGAGATCCAGCAGCAACTATGGAAACTGGAACAGCTCCCGTGGAATGCGGAAAGCAGCCAATGCAGTTTAGAGACGTATCCAATTGGCAGCATACTTGACCTATCACGGCAATTCCGTGATACGGTCGAAGTGACTTTTAACAACGCAAGTCAGAGCGGCGTCGGTGGCGACCATCACACCAATAACACCTCTCCTGCTGCGCCAACCATTCTCCTGGTCATGTGCGGTTATATATGGCTTATGCGCCTTTACAACATTGTACTTGACGATTTCAAAAGACATTTAAATTACATACCAAGTGAACAAGGTGTGGAAGTGGGGGCCCATGGGATCGGCAATCGCGCCGTCGCTGGCGATCTTGGAGGCGGGAACACCACGCCTGGTGGGACTAGTACGCTTCGCTGGGGAGACTTGACTAGTATAGATGCCGCCATTGGTCTGCATCAAATGTCTAATGCTGTTAGAATGATGTTAAGTATGCTTCAAGACATCGAGAGCAAGCTTGGTAACGGCGCTGCTGCCGCTCGAGACACAGCAATGATTATGCTTATCAACTTGGGCAGGATGCAAGAGAGCAGCTCCGACGGATTTAGTCAAAAAGCCATCATGGTGAAAAACCTTTTGCGCGAAAGAATCGGCCTATAGAATAGACATACAATAGATATTGGCGTTGTTATTGAAGAAATTGACTTGTGTTTCGGTCAGTGGTTAAGTTCAACGATGATCCGGCTTGTGTTGCTGAATGGTACATTTCGTAGAGCACCTTTATGTCATAATCGGTATTGGTACTCTCGCATTTAATTAATATTTTTCTCTTCTTCTTTTTAAGATAGCTGATATGATTTCTCTGTAAATGGGAACAATAGCGATGGGTCTATTGCCCCAGTAAGATCCACGTAAAACGATTCAGAAAAATCGGCGACGCAATCTATTCCAAATCGGTCAGCGTCAGCAGCGATGTATTCCGACGTATGGCGTCAGATATTGTACCTCGGTATGCATCCCACGCCTCTTGTTCCATGTAAAAGTTATTTATAGGAGGAACGGGATCCTCGTCCTGGCGAGCTTGTAACCCTAGTGCTATGCTAAGATGGTGAGTAGCTTCCTGGGCATCACGCGATACGTTGCTTGATTGCAGCCAAGTTGGGTACGTAGTTCGAAGAAGCGATTCAATTTTGGCATCAAGGGCCGAATCAACCGGAATATCAGGCGCTGTCTTGGCTAGTTCCAGGTAATAACATAAAACGCTAACGGCGAGAAGCATCGGCGACTGGATCAGCGGCGACTGGGTATGTTTGACAGAATAGAGCCGCCCGGCAGGCCGCATTTCTTGATCTAAAATTTGTTGTAGTTCAAGTGTCTTCATGGCGGCCGCCACACAGGCGCTCCGCGAATGGTCATATTCTGCATGCGAATAAGAACGAGAAAGGTACTTTCTGTGCAGCCAAATAACCAGGCGATGTATGGCGAGTTGAAGCCATATCCGTGCCAATAAAATGCGTGGCGATGTTGCGAATGATTGATGTAAAGGTTGCCATTGGAAGACGTGTGGAAGGTCTGCGTTTGCTTTCTGAAGCTTCTGATTCATTTCTAGAATCTCATGATATGATGGTTCCTCGCCTCCCGAGACAAGGTCCAGAACCTGTCTGCTTGTATTGTCTATGCGACTTCTCGCAAGGTTGAAAAGCATCGGAGTCACCTCCGTCTCTGGCCGTGACGGTCGAATTTCGAGACTTTCCATGCTGAAATCTTCATCAAAAATATTTCGAGGCTCTGCCGTATCGTAGTCTTGACTTTTAATCAACCGTGGCAGTCCCATCCGAACAGACAGGCGAAAATCGAATTGCATGACGGCTGCCCACACACGCCGCCGCATTTCTCCATCGAACGGCGAGATGTTAGGGAAGCGGCTAGGGTCTCGATGATATCCAAGACTGACTGCAAGCTGTACAATGTCTCCGACTAAGAACCAAATACCACGCTCAGTATCTGTATGAAGGAATACCTCATTGACACAATGATGTAGTAGCGTTTCTAAAGCGTACTTGCCCCCGTTTGTATACTTTCCGAGGATTAAGCACTGAGCCGCACGCTCGTGAAATAAACCCATAAGATGTTGATTATCAAAACCGTCTAGGTTTTCCGATGCCTGCATACTCCGTAACGTGATGCATATGACGCTGAAGAGCAGACCGATCCAGTGAATAGAAACATCTTCTGGATTCTGCCAGAATGCTTCGTACTAGATGACATTAGCCATATAAACCGTAATATAAGACCTTTAATATAATACCTCGCGTTGAAATTGGTTACTATGAAGAACCACTATTGTGTCTTATTAGTTAGCTAGCCGAATGCTGAAATCCATATACGCACAGAGTAGAGGGTTCTTTTCATTAAAGTATCGCGCCACGAGACGGTCTACTAGCGACCGCTCTGGGAGCGAAGCCAATATGTCGGCTCTTGTGACATAAACAGGTTGGTAGAGCAAGCGAGGACCTGGATTTTGTTCCTCCACTGCTTCATCGTCGGCAGCCGCTCTTCTTTCTTCCTCTTCCATTTCATACTGGTTCTTGAGTTGCGAAATACCGTCTAGAACTGAGGCCCAGTGGCTGCTGTCGACGTACTTTGTACTTCGAGGGCTTCCACGTATACTGGCAAGTTCTGAGGCGGACTTGTGTGCGGTTGGTGAGCCCATATCACGCGGTTGTGTCCCTGATGCAACTGTCACAGCTGGCGCAGCTGGCGCAGCTGGCACACCTGGTATAGCTGATATTGGCCGGACATGCTCCTGCGTAAACTGCTGTACATGCAGATTGCTCAGCGCATTCATATCGGTAGTTGCATTAGCCCAGTTGAGATCATCGCCTGTATTCTGCCACGATAATGTTTCGGTCATCGGTCTGTTGATCGAAGTGCCAGGTGGGCTATGAGCATCCTGTTGTTGTTGTAGGAGAGAGCTGACCAGGCTTTCAAGCTCCCTGATGCGGTCGCCTACGCTTGACGCGCCTTTTTTCTTTGAGCCCTGCGAGTATGTGCAGTCCATGGCGATGCCCCTACTAACACATGTGTTGCAAGGTAATTGGCGATCACATCGCACCCTGTCGGAAGATTCGGAATGATTAGAGTATATCTTTTAAGACCTAAAGACTCAAGTAAAGAGAACAAAATACGTACTTGCGACGCCTACAGAATGTACATGACAATTGGCGTTTGTCTCGCCGCCTGTCCCAAGGCTGTGCTGGTTCTGTTGGACCATCTTCGTGCACCGAAAGATTGTCGATGGGAGGGGTATCCAGAGACATGTCTTTGGAGGAGCTGCTCTCTATAATATATAGATAGCCTTAGTGTATATTGGACTAAGGTTCTCGGCCAGCATATGATGACTAACGTCTTGCTGTCGTTGGTGGTGGTGCTGGTTGGTTGGTGATGTTGGATGATGATCCGCGTGGGCTGAAAGTTAAAGTTGGCCAGTGGCGCCAGCCTCGCAAAACATCCTAACCAACCCCGCTTCAGAGCTCGACTTGGGCAAAACAAACTCTTTGCGGCCCCGGAGATGGAACTTTCTCGATTTGCGGTCGTGTCTATGGACCAATTTTCTTTTCAGTTCATAACTAGCTACCATTGGCGTCTTATGCCGACACATTACTAAGACGTGGGGATCAGCGAGAATGCGACAACGCGTGCCATGGCTTGGAGGGCCATCGGTTGACTAAGGTATCCGCTGGGAGTTTATATTTCGCAGCTGAGCATCATGTATGCTATAACTGAGTTCAGAGATTCAAATGACACCAAAGGCAAAGGAGTTATGTGAAGCCGACTCGCCTAACCATGGCCCAGAATCAACATCAATTGGAACTTGAAGTGCCTCATCACATGTCCTTCTCAAGAGGCACTATTTGTTGGTATTTTTGATTACCGAGCCAAGGTCCGAAGTCTTTCTCGATTGTTTCAGCTTTTTCCACCATAATTAGATAAGTGCACTGGCCGATAAGTATCTGTCACCGAGTTGTGCGGCTAAAGCCATGTGTGCGAGGCTGAAGCCGAACTTGTCCGACCTTTTCCGCCAGGGGATCCGCGGCTCTAAGAGCCTCCAACGGTGGCGAGTGTGTTATTATTACAAAAGGTGATTTAATAGCTTGCTTTACAATGGAATATTAATTTTAGCCGCTTAATGCCTCATCAATTCAACATTTGAGATCGATATTTCTCGACTTGCCATCTTCAACACCTTAACATCTTCCATCTGGTACCAAGAATTCACAACATAACTCTAGCAAAATGCATTCTGAAATTGAGGAATCACGAATTGCTTATTACGAGAATGGTCTTTACACCAAGGCGGCTGCTGGTCAGCTTTGCAAGGTATGATTCTGTCCCACCAAATCACCAAGACACATGGCTTACATGCTGGCATCGACAGGGACTCGTTCTGCGACTCGTTACAAACCCGCTGGTAGTACAGATTGCCAAGAATGCCGGCTTTGAAGTCGTGTGGATTGAGATGGAGCATTCGACATATTCCATCACGGAAGCTAGCGTGCTAGCGACTGCCACCGCATGTGCAGGCATGACACCCATTGTCCGAGTGCCCTACCAATGCGGCATGGGCTACGTCCAGCAGGTGCTGGATTCAGGAGCTCTAGTTGTCGTCTTCCCCCATGTCGACAACGCTATGGAAGCCCGCGAGGCGGTGAAAATGTGCAAGTTCCCGCCACTAGGCAAGCGTTCTGTTTGGCTGCAGCAGGCTGCTATTGGGCTACAGCCCTTCCCAGTTGAACGTATAGTGGAGGAGATCAACGACAACGCCTCTGCTGTAGGTGTCATGATTGAGACCGCAGAGAGCATCAAAAATGTGGATTCTATTGCTGCGGTTGAAGGCGTTGATATGCTCATGGTGGGATGCATCGATTTGTCGGCAGACATGGGCATTCACGGCAAAATCCACAACCCTGAGTTTCGCGAGGCTCTTGAGGCGGTCAGCCGAGCATGCAAGAAGTACAACAAGGTCTTTGGCTTGGCTGGTAACTACAGCGATCTTAAATTCCAGGACTGGGTTATTAACACACTTGGCGTGCGTGTCTTCCTCTGCCAAGTAGACTCATACATTTTAGTTGCCGGCGCTAGGCAGTCGATAGCAGCCACGATGAGCTTAGACAGAAGCAAGTTGCCCAACTAGAAACCAGAATAGTTTTTTTTATTTATAGTTAGAGACGAGAGTTTCGAAGTAGATACGTTTCAGTGGTAACGGCGATTGTACACGTGCTTGAATAGAAGAAATTTATGCTTTGTTTTGCTCTACTCGGTTGCAAACCATCTCCTTTACAGCTGTCTACATCATTCCACCATTTGGTTCCTCTTTTATTTATCTATAAATTGGCTCTTTAATCATTTTATTCGTATTTAAAAGTGAAGATGTCTCCGTTTCAAAGTTAATTCCTTTGGAAATATCTTCTTGGTTGAACTTGTGGTGTTGAGTAAGTTCGGCATTTTTCGGTAAACGTATTTCCACTACATGTAAGTCACCACATCAGTCGCGATGCCTTAGTTCTTGATCCTTTTAAGGCTTAATTTTTAACTACGAATCATTTAATTGAAAATCCTTTGAGCTCTACGTTTAACTTTTACCCTGTAACATCATGTCTCTATTTGACCAAGTCCCAACGTTGCCGCCAGACAATGGATTCGCCTTGTTAGAGGCATTTCGTGCGGACCCGTTCGAAAAGAAAGTCAACCTCTGTCCTGGAATCTACCAAGACGAGTCTGGCCAAACTTGGACACTGCCATCAGTAAAGAAGGTTTGTTTTAAAGCCATCATATCCCGATGATCTTTTGAACCTGTGCTGTTCGTGGACGCTGTAGTAACCCTGTTCTAGGCCAGAGAGACTCTTCTTGGAAATCCAGATCTGAAACATGACATTTCACCTCTGACTGGGCACCCTGCTTTCGTCTCTGCAGCGCGTCGGATCGCCTTCCAAGATGCTCTGGAGAGCCGCCATGTCACCTCAATGCAGACAATTGCTGGGACTGGCGCCAACCATATCATCGCGCAGCTGTTATCAGACGTAGCCACTCCCAAGACCGTTTGGCTCTCTGACCCTAGCTGGGAGAACCATACTAAGATCTGGAGTCACGTCAATTCAAAGATTGAGCAACGCTTCTACCCCTACTACAATACTGAGACATTCGCTCTTAACGATGAAAGAATCCTAGCCACTCTCCAGGAACACGCTAAGAAGGGCGATGTTGTAGTCTTACAGGCATGTGCCCACAATCCCACTGGTGTCGACCCATCGCAAGAATTCTGGAAGAAAATGGCTAAGCTCTGCCATGAAAAAGATATCTTCCCTGTCTTTGATCTAGCCTAGTAAGTTATGATAACCTATGAAGTGACTTCAAGAACGCTCAGGCTAACTGAAGTAGCCAAGGCTTTGCGACCGGAGATGTGCTTAATGATGGGTGGGCTATCCGTTATTTCGCTGGTTACGCTGGTGGCGATATCGAATTCGCCGTAGCACAGTCGTTTTCCAAGACATTCGGTCTCTATGGTGAACGAACGGGTGCGCTTCACGTCGTTACACGTTCTGAGGAGACTGCAAACAAAGTGGTTGGCGCTTTGAAGAAGATTTGCCGTGCTGAGCTCACGTCTACGCCCGGATTTGGTGCCAAGATTGTTGGCACAATCATGCAAGACAAGGAACTAGAAACACAGTGGTATCAAGATTTGAAAACAATGAGTGACAGACTGCAAGATATGCGCAAGAAGCTATACGACCAACTTACAAAGCGAAACACGCCGGGGAATTGGGCGCACTTTTTGAGTGATGTAAGTATCTACCGCCTAGACTAGTCATGGCGTTGCGATAAATTTATCATAGAATGACAAGCTAACGCAAACAGATTGGAATGTTTTCCATGACTGGGCTGTCTCCGACGCAGCTCGCGACTCTTCAAGACGAGTACCATATCTACATGCTACCAATGGGTCGGCTTTCATTTACCGGCTGTAAGTACTAATATGAAATAAATTACATTATTATCTGCTAACAACTCAAAAACAGTGACTAGTAGCAACGTAGAGTATGTAGCAGCGGCCATTCACACAGTTTGTTCAGTTTGATTTGGATGCGATAGGCATACTTGACTTTGCATATAGGAATACAATAGAATTATGAAAATTAAAGTTCGCAGTTCATAAATAGTGTGTGCATGGTATAGTGTGCGAATAGCGAAAATTGCCGATTAATTGCGACCCGTACGACTGCGGCTGCATAGAAGGTCACTCGTGCGGTCAACAGTAAGCATAGTTTTCCAAGTCGATAACTACGACTAGAATAAGAGTGAAATCATATTCAGCATCTCAAACTACACGATATTCTATTTGGTATATCAGTTGACAATAAGGATACGTTATCTGTACCATGGTTATTTGCCCTAACACTCTGATCACACGCGCCACTACTGGCCATCTGTGCCGGGTATGTCCCAGGAGCTCCAAAGTGAGCATCAACTAACACGGTACGATAGGCTTTTGGTATCAAGTTGAGCGCGAATCCTGCTGTTATTCAGATTGCTGCAAATTCAGGGTTTGATGCTTTATTTATCGATTTGGAACACTCTACGCTCTCTATTGATGATGCCAGCCAACTCTGCTGGTCTGGATTGCAAGGCGGAATCACACCGTTTGTTCGAGTCCCTGGTGAGTGTGGAAGCGGCCTTGTACAGCGAGTCTTAGATGGCGGTGCCATGGGTATTATCTTCCCACACATGAGTTCACCAGGTATGTTTAACTGTCACAAATTTCAATATACAATGCTATGATGCTTATCTGCTACAAAGAACAAGCAAAAGAGGCAGTCTCCATCTGCAAATACCCCCCAATGGGCCGACGATCTATGACAGGACAATTACCCGTGTTTGGGTACAAGGCCAACGCAGCGCAGACCGTAATCCGGCATAGCAACGATTCCGCCTCATCTGTAATTGTTATGATTGAATCCAAGAAAGGTGTTGATTGCGCGGCAGAAATCGCGGCCGTGGAGGGTGTCGATACACTCCTAGTTGGGTCCAACGACCTGGCTATTGAGCTTGGCGTCCCCGGAGACTTTGAATCGACTGAATTTCGATCTGCACTGGAAACAATCAGCGAGGCATGCAAGAAGAATAACAAGATCATGGGACTCGCAGGCATTTACAACCAGCCCAACTTTCACGACTGGGCTGTCGCCAAACTTGGTGTACGGTTTATACTAGGTCAGCTTGATGTTGGACTCATCGCTGCAGGCGCAGTTCAGTGCTTTGCAGCTTTGCCGGTTGCAAAATTACCATAGCATGTATACGGACACAGCTTAGGGGAGTTGTATGGCTGACGACGCAGTTGCCTTCGACACGCTACCCAGCATAGAACGAGCAATATAGACCCAATTTGGTTTACATTTAATTCTATCATTGAATAGTATGAATACTAACTTGCTGCAAATTTTTGGGAGTTCCGACCTGAGCCGCGGCTGAAGCTGGATGTGCTGCCGGAGGGCATCGGAGTGTTTCGGCATCGCCACTTATACTCGACGTCGCCTGTAGTATCACATCCTGCTGCAAGGCTGGATCTCGACTGTTCATCTTTAAGAAAATCATGCCCTTATCCATTTTAAAGTCACTCAATACGTCCTTCCGCAGTAATACTACCCCAACAACTTCAACAATGGCTGTTAAGACTCAACGCGCCATCATTGGCGGCCCTAGCAATAGCGTCTATGTCTGTGCTACCGCTCCCCTTCCCGATGACCAACTGCAAAATGACGAAATTGCCGTCGCTGTCAAGGCGGTGGCATTGAACCCTGTGGACTCGAAAATGGTTGGTCCGTTTGTCACCCAAGGTGCAACGCTTGGCTTCGACGCTGCGGGCGAAGTCACCGCTGTTGGAGCCACAGTCAGCAAACAGGGAAACCTGAAAGTTGGCGATCGTGTTGTTGTCGCCATCAACGGCATGAACTCCAACCGTCCCAAGATTGGTGGTTTTGCAGAGCACACCGTCAGCTACTCCTGGGGTGCACTCAAAATTCCTGATGACTGGAGCTACGCTCAGGGCGCTGGAGCCATGGGTGGAAGTGCTTGGTTAACCGTTCCTTGGGCTCTTTTCCATACTATGGGACTACCAGCTGGACCAGAATTTGAGCCTCTTAACACTCACAGACCATCTCCGACCGGACTGGCACCGAAGCTAAACATTCTTACGAAGCATAGCCCTGGCGATGGATCTCGCCCATTGACAGCTGTTTTGGTCAATGGTGGTGGAAGTTATACGGGAACATGTGCTATTCAGCTGTTGAAGCTTGCCGGCTACAGGGTACTAGCAACATGCTCCCCACGCAGCTTCGACTTGGCCAAGTCGTTTGGCGCAGATGCTGTCTTCGACTACTCTTCTGATACTTGCGCAGACGATATTCGCGCCTACACAAACAACTCTCTCCGTCTCGTTCTAGACTGCATCTCGAGCGTTGATACTATGCGCCTGTGCTACGCCGCTATGGGACGTGCTGGCGGCCGATATGTGGCATTGGATCCGTATAGCGAAGACATTGCTACTTCTAAGCCTCTTATCCGTAACAACTGGGTTGTTGGCATGGAGCCTTTGGGCGATGAAGTTGGATGGCCAGCACCCTATGGTCGACCTGCGAATCCCGTTGCGTTAGACTTTTGCAAGGCGTGGAATCCCACTATGCAAGCCCTACTCGACCGCGGACTCATTCGTATGCATCCGCAGATCGTACGAAACACAGGATTGGATGGAGTACTTGAGGGTCTGGAAGACATTCGCACCAAGAAGGTAGTTGGCCAGAAGTTGATTTACACACTTTAGTGCTCTAGGGTGGCTAGTTAGTGGTAGATAGAAAGATCCTTTCTTACAACTGCAATAATATTAAACAATTTTAGAATCATCATTGTACCATACAAATATTATCTATAAATCTAAATTTCAATTTAAAGAAGACTAATTTTAAAATGGTGATATAACGACCCTCAAAATATCCCAAACAGTACGACAACGAGTATGACACTTGGGAAGCTGCCAGACACGTGGCGACCACATGGAGTTGATAATCCCTTCTGACACGTTTCGTGTCCCTTACTATTACTTTCTAGAAAAGATAGTGCACTGCGTAACGGTTTTCCAGATCACCTTGTCCCTGCAGGAACAACGTTGTGCTGCGCATGTCGCCTCTTGTCGGAGTTTTTCGGCACCGCGCAGAACGCGTTCACCTCCACAGGCCCTGAAGATTTTGGGCAGTGGTGCGCTTCAGCTGAGCTTCAAAGCAGCAGAAAGTCGGAAATAGCAGTGACCCGAGTCGATTATGCCATGCACAGCTGTGGTCTCGACTACTGAGTGGCAGCAACTTCGGCGAGCCGAACATACTCAGCGCCCGCAATAATGAACGCTAACGGATACAAACGGTGTCTGATATGTTTAATGGGGCGAGTATTATAGTGGCAATAAAGGCAATCTCAGACCACTTTGAAAGAGAAGATTGGCAGCAGCGTCGAAAGCTTTTCTCTCAACGTTGTACCTACATCGCGACAGCTTCAACACTACCTACTGTCTAGTTTCATTCAAGAAACACTCCACACGAATATCAAAAAACAATCTCACGACGAAATTGCTTTTCTAATAGATATAACTCGTTATATCTAATTGATGCTATCATAGGTCTTGACTTTCACAAGTTCACCGTCACCACGATATACACACAATGACCAACGACGAGCCTATTGCCGTGATTGGCATGGCCTGCCGCTTCCCCGGAGGTGCAGACTCTCCCTCTAAGCTCTGGGATCTGCTTCAGTCTCCACGACACCTTTCTACACGGGTTCCCAGCGACCGCTTCGACATCACCGGTTTCCACCACACGAATGGCTCCCACCACGGTGCCACCGACGCTACGAATGCGTACTTTCTCGAAGAAGATGTCACCAAGTTTGACAACTCCTTCTTCAATATTCAGCCAGCTGAGGCTGAAGCTATTGATCCTCAGCAACGTCTCCTAATGGAGACGGTCTACGACTCGCTGTAAGTTACGAGCAGACAATGATAGCAAGTCATACAACATAGCTAACACGTGCTAGGTGTGCGGGCGGACAACAAGTCGAGAACCTGCGAGGATCAAACACAGCCGTCTTTGTCGGTCTGATGTGTGATGATTGGTCACAACTTCTGAGCCGTGACTGGGACTTGATGCCCACTTATGCGGCGACAGGCGAGAGCCGCGCCGTTATGTCGAACCGTATCTCCTATTTCTTTGACTGGCACGGCCCTAGTATGACAGTAGACACTGCCTGCTCATCGTCATTGGTTGCTGTTCACCAGGGCGTTACTGCGATTCGAAACGGCGAGTGCTCGATCGCCATCGCAGCTGGCGCAAATTTGATCTTGTCTCCTGGTAAGTAGCCTGCGTCGTTGATATGGTCATATCTGACACAACTGTTCCTATTCTAGGCATGATGATTGCTGAGAGTAGTCTGCACATGTTATCACCTACCGGAACCTCCAAGATGTGGGATTCCGCTGCCGATGGCTATGCTCGAGGTGAAGGCATTGCTGCAGTTGTTCTCAAGCCACTCAGTGCTGCGCTAAGAGACGGCGATCATATTGACTGTATTGTGCGTGGCACTGCAGGTATGTTACTACGATGACAGGATTTCGTCGTACGTGTGCTGACGCCATACTGTAGTCAACCAGGACGGTAAAACGACTGGCTTGACCATGCCCAGTAACATCGCACAAACCGCGCTTATTCGAGACACTTATGCTCGTGCTGGCCTTGATATCCACGATCCCAAGGATCGCCCACAGTTCTTCCATGCACATGGTACCGGAACGCCGGCTGGTGATCCCCAAGAGGCCGAAGCTATCTCTAGGTCGTTCTTCAAGGACGGTCAAAAGGCTGACGAGAAGCTGCACGTAGGCTCAATCAAGACCGTTATTGGGTAAGCTGTCACGATTGATTATTGTACTTCTTCGCATATCTAACAGAGTTTCAAGTCATACCGAAGGTTCGGCTGGTCTTGCCAGTTTGATTGGCTCTGTCATGGCCATGCAAAAGGGTATTATCCCACCGAACCTCCACTTTCAGACGGTCAGCGCTCGGGTAGCCCCATTCTATACCAATCTCCATGTTCCTACAAAGGCAACACCATGGCCAGAGCCGTTACCAGGTCAGCCGCGTCGAGCCAGTGTTAACAGCTTCGGCTTTGGTGGCACTAATGCTCACGCTATTCTTGAATACTATGAACCAAAAGAGCCTAAGCAGCAAGCAAAACTGGCTGCTCTCGCAGCGCCACTGCCAACTCCTCTGACCATCTCTGCCGGTTCGCCAGCGACATTGACGGCGATGTTGGCCGATTTGAGTACCTATCTCAAGGCCAACCCAACCACAAGCATTGAGGACTTGGCTTACACGCTGCAGATGCGCAGATCCACACTATCACATCGCGCAGTTATCGTGGCATCTAGTGCAAGCCAGGCAGTTGATAAGATTGACGGTCTGCTAGCTGATGTAGCCAGTAACAAGGCCCTGTCTACTAGACGCCACGATGTAGCCAAACCTAGCATTTTGGGCGTGTTTACTGGTCAGGGTGCTCAGTGGGCGCGTATGGGTGCTCGTCTGATCGAAGAGTCTCCCTTTGCCGCGCAGCGTATTGCAGAACTGCAGAGAGCGCTTGCAACGCTCCCATCTGGAGATCGACCAACCTGGGCCCTTAGTGCCATGCTGCGAGCAGACCAGGCCTCTTCCCGTCTGGGAGAAGCCGCCATTGCACAGCCTCTTTGCACTGCTGTGCAAATTGTCCTCGTCGACCTGATTCGTGCGGCGGACGTCAAGCTTCGTGCTGTCGTTGGCCACTCGTCGGGCGAGATTGGTGCAGCCTACGCCGCTGGATTCTTGTCAGCCGAGGATGCAATTCGCGTCGCATACTACCGTGGTCTGTATGCAAAGCTGGCTGGTTCGCCTTCTGGAGAGCCAGGTGCAATGATGGCCGTTGGCACTAGCTTTGAAGACGCCACAGAATTCTGCCAGCTTGACGATTTCGTTGGTCGTATTCAGATTGCCGCTCGCAACTCTTCGACTAGTATGACTCTTTCCGGTGACCTAGATGCCATTGAAGAAGCCATGGAAGTATTCCAAGCCGAAGGTAAGTTTGCCCGTCAGCTCAAGGTTGATACGGCGTACCACTCCACGCACATGCTGCCCTGTGCAGCACCTTATATCGCTGGATTGACCCGTGCTGGATATTCTGTGGCCGAAGGGAATGGCACTGAATGGCTCTCATCGGTCAAGGAAGGCAGCCCTGTGATGACCAAGGCCGATGTTGAAGACCCCCAGTACTGGGTTGACAACATGACCAGCGCCGTCTTGTTTGCACCGGCCATCAACGCGGCTGTCGCCAAGGTGGGCAACTTCGACATGGCAGTTGAATTCGGCCCTCACCCTGCCCTCAAGGGTCCAGCTTTGGATACCATTGAGGAAGCTATGGGCAACAAGATCCCATACACCGGTTTGTTGGCTCGCGGAAAGGATGATGGCGTCGAGTTAGCCAATGCCGTGGGTATGATCTGGACAACGTTGGGTGCATCCTCTGTAAAGTTTGATGCCTTCAGCAAGAAACTGCTCGACACCCTCGGTCCCAAGCCTCAGCTGCTTACCCACCTACCGACATACCCATTTGACCGCACCCGCAGCTTCAGCGCCTTGACGCGCTTCTCTGGAGCTCCACGTATGATTCACGATGCACCAAACCCCATCTTAGGTCGTCGATTAGTTGAGACTGAAACTGCCGATGGAATCTCTTGGAGAAATGTCCTGCGCCCATCCGAGATTAAGTGGCTTTCTGGCCATGGTCTTCAGGGTCAGACTGTGTTCCCTGCCATGGGCTATGTGTCAATGGCAGTGGAGGCTGCAGCCATTGCGGCTGGTGATCGCCCTCTGGGACTCGTCACACTGCAGGATATTGTGATTGGACGCGCCATTGCATTTGCAAACGAAAATATTGGTGTTGAAACGAAAGTGAGCCTGCAAATTGAACAGGATGCTGGTGACGAGTTGACAGCTGTCATCACGTGCCACTCCGGTCTTCCGTTTGACCAGGCACCGTTTGTTCTCAACTTCAAGGCTACTCTCCGCATTGGCCTGCACGAACCATCTCACGATACATTGCCTGCATCACGCTTAGACGAACAGCTCAATCTTGTCAGCGCCGCCCCTGACCGTCTGTACTCTCAGCTTAGCAACCTGGGCTACAGCTACAACCCTCCATTCACTGGCATTCGCGAGATCGAACGCAAGCTAGGATGGGCCAGAGGAGACATCGACGATGAAGCTGAGCAAGGTTGGGAGAACCAGCTCCTTGTTCATCCAGGATGGCTCGACTCTGCGGTTCAGACCGGTTTCGCTGCTTACAGCCACCCTCACGACAACCGTTTCTTCAACTTGCTGGTGCCAACAGCCATCCAGTCCATGACCATCAATCCGTTCTTCTGTGACAAGACGAGCACTGCGCGCCGTCGAATGCATTTCCAAACCTCAGCCCGTGTTGGCGAAGATTCTCCTATGCTTGTCGATATTGACATCTTTGCCGGTAATGAACCCGAGCACCAGTATCCATTCGTCCAGTTCGAGACGCTCAAGGTGATGCCATTCGCTGCGGCTACAGCTCGAGATGATGCAGTGGTGTTTTCACGATTCAATTACCGATCCGCGGGCCCCAACGCTTATCTCGTTACCGAAGGAGACGACCAAACAGTTCTCACCGAGACCACCGCCCAGGACAAGGCTCTTGACCGTGTTGGTTTCTATTATCTTCGACGACTCTACGAGACCATTACTGTCGCTGAAACCGAGGCTGCGCTACCACATTTCAAGGCACTCTTAGAATATGCAAAGCGCACGATGGATCTAACAGCACGTGGACAATGCGCAGCCATCCCCCGTGAGGCTCTCAACGATTCTTCTGCATTCATCCGGGCCTTGGTTAACAAATATTGCGACTGTGCTGATATGCAACTTTCCCAAGCTGTTGGAGACAATCTCATTAATGTCGTTCGTTCGGGAGAAAGCATACTCGAGCATATGACTAAGGACGGATTGCTGGATCGCTTCTACGCTGAAGGATCTGGCGTCAAACTTGCAAACACATGGGTTGCCCGTATTGTTTCCCAAATTAGCCACCGTCATCCTCACATGAATATCTTGGAATTGGGAGCCGGCACTGGTGCAACATCAGGCCGTGTCTTGGAGAAGCTTGGCAATGCATTTGACAGCTACACCTTTTCTGATGTTGATGCCGAGGTTGTTGCAAGCGCCCAAGAAGCGTTTTCTCGCTCCACGAATGCCGACCGAATGGCGTTCGCTGTATTCGATATCGAGAAGCCGGCCGACGAACAAGGTTTCACGTCAGGTGTTTACGACGTAATTGTTGCATCCAATGTTCTACACACAGCTGGTGATCTTGACAATACCATGGCGCATATCCGCGGCCTGCTTCGACCTGGTGGTTATCTTGTTGCGGTTGAGGCTGTCAGTCAACATACAGTATCCATGAACATGATACTTGGTGGCCTTCCCACCTGGTGGAAGGGGGCTGCCACTGACCCAACCAGACAAGACGGGCCTTGTCTCACTCTTGACGAATGGGATGCCGTCGCAAGCCGCTCTGGATTTGACGGAATTGACTCTCACGTCCCGGTCGCCAACCCTGAACAAAAGTTCTCTGCCTTTGTTTGCCAGGCTATCGATGACCGTGTCAGTAGCTTGCGAGCACCGCTTTCCTCTACCACTGCTGCTGAGGGTAACCTTGTTGTCGTCGGAGGACGTACCGCTGCTTCTTCAGACATTGCTCAGCAAGCCATCTCCCTGTTGGAGTCAAGATACGCATCTGTTGCGCATGTTGCCCGCCTAGAGGATCTCATTGATCGCGGACTCGCACCTGACTCTTCAGTACTGTCAATTACCGAACTCGACGAGCAGTTCCTTGAAGTCCGTACAGAAGCCAAACTCAACGCCCTCAAGGTGTTGTGGCGTGGTGCCAAAAATGTGCTCTGGGTATCACGGGGCTCTCGTGATGAGCGTCCATACTCATCAATCATGATTGGTCTTGGTCGTGTTGTTCGAGTAGAGTATCCCAACGTGAACGTCCAATTGCTCGACTTTGATAGTGCCACCGAGATGACGCCTGAACTGGTCGCTGAAGCCCTTGTTCGTCTAGAGCTCAGTGGCATTTACAGCAAACAGGGTGATTCCCAGTCTAGCCTGCTCTGGACCCACGAAACCGAAGCTCACTATGTCAATGGCCAACTCACCATCCCACGTTTGATTGCTGACGAGGAACCAAACCGCCGTTACAACACATATCGCCGTGCAATCAGACAGGATGTACAGCTCGAAAAGTCAACTGTTGCCATCGAGTCGGCATCTAACGGAAAGGAGTTTGAGCTTGCTGTAGTCTCACCCCTTCGCCAACCTCCGCCAGCCCCTACGCCTGGTGCTATGATGACACTGCAGATTGAACAGTCACTCCTCCATGCCATAAAGATACACGACGCAGGATACTTATCTCTGGTGGTAGGTAAGGACGTGTCAACTGGTAGCCGATTTGCCGCATTGAGCAGCACATCTGTTGAGTCGACAATGCAGGTACCCGTTCAATGGACTGCTCGTGTCCCTGACTCCCTTACTTCCGATGCCATTGCTAGCTGCATTATTGCTTCCGGTGCATCTCTCATTGCGCAGAGCATTATTGCAGCTGCTCCCCGATTTGGCACACTTCTTGTTCATGATGCAAACGATTTGTTAGTCGATGTTCTGGCCAAAGAAGCTATGCAGGAAGGAGTCCGTATCGCATTCACGACTTCAAGCAAGGAGCTGCTGGCTGCAAACTCACTCCATGCAAGACTCTTTATTCATGACAAACTTCCAATCCGCCAATCACGCAATGTACTACCATCGGATGCATCATGCTTGGTGAACTTTGCGGCGCCCGAATCTAAGAGCTCAAAGCTGATCCATCGCCTCGTTGGAACGAATATGCCAACTTTTACAGCTTCAAGCTTTGTGCGCCATGCGCCCAACTTCTCACCCAGCGCAAATATCGACGAACTAAGCGCGCACCTGACAAACATTTGGCAAGCCGTTTTGAAGAAGCAGCGTGTGGCATCTTCTGCAACACAGAAGAGAGATAAGGAGTCTATTATCCCTCTATCAGATGTCGCTGGGGCTCTTGCAGCTGACACTTCTCTACGTGTTGTCGATTGGACCGCAGCATCTTCTGTCAAGGCTTTGGTTCGCCCGATCGATCATGGCGACATTTTCAGAGCAGATGCGACGTACTTGCTCGTGGGTTTGACAGGAGATCTCGGCCAATCTCTCTGTACATGGATGGTAGACCACGGTGCGCGTCATATTGTCCTATCAAGTCGACGACCCAAGGTTAATCCCAAGTTCATTGCCGGGCTCGCTGCAAAGGGTGCCCATATCAACGTCATCGCCATGGACGCCACTCGTCGCGACTCATTGCGCGCAGCTTATGATAAGATCCGTGCCGAAATGCCACCAATTGCCGGTGTTGCCAATGGTGCCATGTTGTTGGAAGACAGCCTTTTTGATGATCTGGAATTCGCTTCGTTGGAGCGTACGTCGCCTCCTAAAATCGAGGCTTCAGTTCTTCTTGACGAGTTGTTCTACGATACTCCACTAGACTTCTTCATCCTTCTCACTTCAACATCGCAGGTAGCTGGTAATGGTGGCCAATCTGCTTACGTTATGGCCAACCAGTTCATGAATGCTCTTGGTGCTCAGCGCCGAGATGTCCGTGGTGTTGTGGGGTCGAACATGGCTATTAGCTTTGTCGTCGGTATTGGATATTTCGAACACGCCGAGCATCTTGACAAGGACTACTTTGTGCGCCTCAGCTACCGTGGTATCTCTGAGAGAGATCTCCATGAACTCTTTGCTGAGACAATCCTTGCTGGACAACCTGGCAATGCTGGAGTCTCCGAAGTGGCTTCCGGTATTGCACCTTTCCGCAACGGCCCTGAAACCCACGCATTTGTTCTTACCAACCCCAAGTTCAGCCATCTGATGATTAACGATGTTGGCAGTGCTCAGGGATTGCAGGGCGGTGCTAATGGAGGTGGTGGTAAGTCGGAGAGGCCACGAAACCGCCTTGCATCGGCTGCTACGATGGCTGAAGCACAAGAGATTGTTCGCGAAGCATTTGTTGAAAGGCTCAAGCGAATCCTGATGATTCCTCAGGGTGATAGCATGGATGAAAAGTCTACATTTATTGAACAGGGCATTGACTCCATCATGGCTGTCGAGGTGCGCTCTTGGGTGCTGCAGGAGCTCGATGTCGACATGCCCGTTCTGAAGATTCTCGGCGCTGACTCTACAGTTGAGGCCCTTCTTGTTGACATGATGAAGAACATCCCGAAGAGCATCTTCGATCCTGAGAACATGGGAAAAAATGCTAACGCGGCATCCTCAGCCCCTGCCGCTGCGCCTAAATCGTCAGCTGTCCCCCCTCCTCTTCCGAAGGTTTCTGCCCCTACTACTAAGAAGCCTGCAAGTCCCGTTACACCCCAAGTGAAGAAGCCTGCAACAACTACTCACTCTTCACCATCTCCTGCGGTATCCACGGCGTCGCCAGCGAGCTCGTTCAACGGAGGCAGCCCCCGAGGCGCATCTACTGCGCAATCCGAGGCCGACACGCCCTTGGAAACCCCTCTTGAGAAGGCTGACCTCGTACTAGCCGATGATGCCCAGCGGAAACAAAAGATTATTCGTGCGTTAGAAAAGCAACAAGAAGACGATCGCCGTAAGCGTATTATCGCCTCCTCTACAGAGATTATTGAGCCGATGAACTCTGGGCAGAAGCGTTTCTGGTTCTTGCACCATTACATTGAGGACCCGACAACATTTGGCATGACCTATCAATTCCGCCTCCAAGGCCATATCCGAATTCACGATCTTGCTAAAGCAGTCGAGGCTGTTGCCAAGCGCCACGAAGCTTTGCGCACTCGCTACTTCTGGTCTGAGGATGGTACCAAAACTCCGATGCAAGGTATTCTGTCCCAGAGCTTTGTCCATCTGGAGACTGCCAATGTTGCCTCTGAACAAGATATCGTCGCTGCCTTTGACGAATTAAGGAATCATGCTTGGGATCTCAGCACCTGGGGTCAACTTCGACTACGACTGCTCTCGCTCTCTGACAAGGTGCACTATCTCGTTATGGGAGCCCACCATATCTCTATGGATGGCCATAGTGTCAACATGCTGATGTACGACATCAACAATGCCTACACTCGCGGATCTGGTCGCCCACTGCCTGTTCTTCCTGAGGCTTCGCAGGCCCGCTCCTTCGGCAAGACCCAAGATCTCTTGTACTCAACAGGCAAACTCCAGCCATCTCTTGATTTCTTCCGTCGCACGCTTTCAAAAGTCGACCTTTCCCGCCCTATCGATCTCTTCCCATTTGCCCGTACCAGTGTAAGAAGTCCTCTTGTCCGATACAGCAACAACATTTCGAAGATTCGACTTGACCCTGAAACAGCAGCTCGCATGAAGCAGCTGGCTCGTCTGAACAAGTCGACTCCATTCCATGGTTATCTCAACGCTTTCCGCACTCTTATCTTCCAGCTGCTACCTGCAGACGCAGCTGATAACATTGTTATCGGTATTGCTGATGCTAACCGAACAGACAGCAAATTTATGGGTAGCCTGGGCAATTTCTTAAATGCGCTGCCACTAGGTGTGGAACGCGCACTGCCCAGCCAGTCTTTTGGTGCGGGTATCTCCCAAATTCGTGACAGCATTTACGCTGCGCTGCAACATTCGGGAGTTCCTTTCGACGTTCTTCTCGATGAGCTAGCTGTACCTCGGTCCAACACCTATCCTCCAGTTTGTCAACTCTTCATCGACTACAAACTAGTCACTCGAGAACAGGCTGACATGAGATGGGTTGGCTGCAACGTTAGCGGCCACGAATGGCAAACCTCTCGCAGCACCTATGACGTCGGCCTTGAGATTGTCGAAGATCATGAGAGTGCCCTTGTCGTTTTCCACACCCAGGATAGTCTCTACAGCAAAGAAACAACCGACCTGCTCCTCAGAACCTACGTCAACCTCTTGGAACAGGTAGTCCGCCAACCTGGTGAACAACTCCTTGTTAGCAAGTTGGACAGCTGGAGTGCGAAGGATGTCAACAAAGCGATTAAACTTGGTACCGGTAGGCTACATTTGAGAATATTCCAAATTTCGCGACGCTGACTATTTTTGCAGGACCAACCATGCAGCTGAACTCGCCCGCTACCGTTTCCCATCATATTGATCAAGTCATGGCTGAGAATCCCAACAGCATGGCTGTAGTTGACGGTGATGGCCGTACCCTAACCTATGCTCAACTAAACAACAGAATTGAGACTATCGCTCAAGGTCTCCTCAACAAACTCCCTGATCAATCGAAGACCCAATCTGTTGTCGGTGTGTTCCAATCACCTGGCACTGACTGGATGGCTTCGCTACTGGCCATCCTACGCGTTGGTGCTGTCTACCTTCCTCTGGATCTCAAGGCGTCAGTGGCTCGTCTTCATGGCTTTGTTAAAGCTGCGAAGCCAGCTGTTATTCTTGTTGATCAAACAACGCAGAGTCTCACTCAAGATCTCAAAGCCGGCGACTCCGCCCAGCTGATTAACCTCTCCAGTTTACCAACGCCGAACCATACCAGTTGTACTGTCTCCGCATCGCAAGCTGACCGCCCAGCATACATGATCTTCACTAGTGGTTCGACTGGTATCCCCAAAGGTGTTGTCATCAAGCACGCCAGTCTCCGCGCTCTCGCTGAGGGCTACATACGTGAGTGGAACATTGCTACTCACGGCCGCGCTGTTCTGCAACAATTTCCTCTCACTTCTGATGCCTCTATGAAACAAATCTTGTCCGCCTTTGGTACTGGAGGCTGCCTTGTGGTCGCCTCTGCAACCCAACGTGGTGATCCCACTGAGCTCACGCGTCTCATGGTCGATTGCAAGGTAACCTTTGCTGTCGCTACGCCCTCCGAATGGAGCATGTGGTTCCGATTTGCTTCAGACAACCTGCGCAATTGCACATCCTTGACGTCTGCATGGTTCGGTGGCGAACGCACGCCTCAGTCTCTCATCGACTCGTTCCGTGAGCTGCGCAAAGCCAACAGCAATCTACGTGTTTTCCACTCCTACGGACCTACAGAAGCCACCATTTCAACCGTCAAGGCCGAAGTTAACTTGAATGATGCCAAGTTGACTCTCCCTATCCCAAGCCGCGTTCTACCAAACTATGCCGTCTACATTGTTGATGATCAAATGCGCCCGGTTCCTCTTGGCGTTCCTGGTCAGATTCTAATTGGCGGTCGCGGTGTTGGTGAAAACGAATACCTTAACCAGCTCGAAGTTACTGCCAAAACATTCATCCCAGATGTCTTTGCCAGCCAGGAGACACTTAACCTCCCTGGTTGGGGACGGGTATACTGCACTGGTGATTACGGCCGCCTCAACAATCAGGGTCTTCTTACTATTGAAGGCCGTGTTGCCGGCGACTCTCAAGTCAAGGTGCGAGGCTTCCGTGTTGAGCTTGGCGAAATCGAAGGTGTCATCATGAAAGAAGCTGCAGGCTCTCTCGACGCTGCTGTAGTCACTCTCCGCCCTGGCGAAGGTGACCACGATGGCCTGCTTGTGGCTCATGTGGTTGTAAGCGAACAGCACCGCAAGACTGACACAGCAGTTAAGAGCGTGGTCGACAATTTCCGCGATCGTATCGTCCTCGCTCTGCCCCAATACATGGTTCCTGCAGTGATCGTGCCTCTCGATGAGTTACCTCTCATCACAATTGGCAAGGTTGACCGCAAAGCCCTCCAGGCTATGCCACTCCCTGAACTCATCGTCACCAATGGTCAATCCAACAGCGCAAAGCAGCCATTAACACCTGCTGAGCAAAGCTTGGCTGACATTTGGGCCACAGTGCTCCCACAACACGCAGCTGCCCACTTGACAGCCGAATCCGACTTTTTCCTTTCGGGTGGTAACTCGCTTCTCCTCGTCAAGCTTCAGGATACCATTAAACGCCGTCTTGGGGATGCACCACGCCTGTCCAATCTCATGAGCTCCCCTACCCTCGGCGGCATGTCCAAGCTCCTCGAAGCTGCCTCATCTAGCGGCCCTGATTGGGATGAGGACATGATGGCTGATGACTTGGTCCTTGTCAACCCATCATCCGCCGCCAAGAGCGACTCATCTGGCCTCCATGTTCTGATTACTGGTGCTACAGGTTCTCTTGGCAAACACCTGGTCCCTCATCTCGTCAAGGATGATCGTGTAACTCGCCTGACAATCCTTGCTCGCCCTGCCCAGGGTCGCAATTTGGATTCACTGTTTTCCAACCTCGGCAGCAAGATCCGCGTTGTAGCCACGGAGCTACCTGTTCTCCCTACCGATGCCGAGATTGGAGATGTCAATGTCATCTTACATGCAGCTGCGGACCGCAACTTCTGGGATGGCTACAGCGCCGTCAAGCCCGTCAATGTTGACTCGGTCAAGACCCTCGCTCAGCTAGCCACTCGCACCGGTGCTACTCTCCACGTCATGAGCTCTGGTGCTCTCAGCAACTACCGATCAGACAACGATGACCAGCTCCCACAGCCCGACGCAGGTGACGGTTATGTTGCTTCCAAGTGGGTGGCTGAGCGATACCTCTCCGATGCTGCTCGCCGTTTTGACTTGCCTGTATCTGCTCATCGCCCTACCAAGGCTGCCGCTCCTACTGATGCAAACGCCCCGATGACACAGACGGAAGAGGATATGGTCCAGAGCATCCTTGACAATGCTCCGCGCCTAGGTGTTCGCCCAGACTTTTCTCGAATTGGTGGGCCAATGGACGTTGCTATGGTTGACGAGGTTGCCTCTTCCATCGTTGCTGCAGCGCTCAGCAACCAACGTTCCGCCAGCCACGCTCTTGATATTATCAACTATCCTGCCGACTCTTCAGTCCGATCCGAAGCCATCGCCACCAAGGTTGCTGCCCTCATGGCGCTACCCCAGCACCGCGCGACGAGCCTGTTGCCTGCCGTTCCCGTCTTGCACTGGGTTGGCCAGGCTAAGCGTGCAGGTTTATTCCCTTGGATCTTCTCAGCACAAGAGCTTGTTGTGACTGACGAACAAGGCCAGCAGGCCATTTCCAGGAGATAAAACTTTTATGATGCGGATAGGCGATATGGCGTTATGAATCGTTGTTGATTGTTCAGCTGTGCTGCAATACAACAAACGAGGTTTTTTCCCTTTATTTACGCGCGTTTTATTTCTTTACTTCTCAGAGCTGCTATTCATCTCTTCTATGTTCGTTTTTGTTTCTGTTGATTTCCTTGGTCTCTCTACTTGTTTAGAATTTCCTAGTCTTTTCTTTTTCTTTGTTTCTAGTTTAGCGTGCAAATCAACTTTCATAATTTCTTTCTATATTCCACGTAGTACTTCTTTAAATGGATCTTTTCTCTGCTATAATTACGGTCTTCTTAGTAATATCGCATTAACCTGAAAACTGAAGAATTTAAACTTAATTATAGTTATTTGTTGATATTTAAGGTTATTTACAAACAACCCCCATTCCCATGATGTAGCCCGGATTCACAGTTCGTCCTAGTCTTCGCATTCACAAGACAGCGGTTCAGCAGCATCATCCAATTACTTAGTGCGTTACCAATTCGATATCGTATCTTCCGTAAGTTTCTGCAAATTTAGTAAACCATTTACGTTTTCCATTAGAGTTAAACCCTTCGAGCTTTGGGCTCGATCCGAAGATGTCCGACCATATCCGGGTGCCTCTCCAGCTACCGAAAAGCACCGAGTGCGACCATCTACATCGCCTTGCCGTTCGCCGACAACGAACGCCTCAATAGAAAACGAAATATGATATCTATATGCCGCTGCGCAGATAGTTGCGTATATTATCAATACACTTCCAACTCTTCAACATAGTCCTGCGACTCGCTATCCTACTACTGTGGATTTATCTCTTCATTGCCTAATTCAACATCACAACACCAGCTCTCATATAATCAAGAAGCAACATGACAGCACAAAGCACATCCTCGCCGGCCGAGACGCGCGCGCGCATTGCCAAAATGTACCGCGACGTAGCTGCGCCCTGCATGTCTGCCGCTGAATTTGCCCTCATCAAGAGCATGATCGACTTCAAGGCATTTGACGTGATTCCCGAGGAAGGCGATATTGCCATTGCAGACATCGCCACCAAGGTTGGTGGTACTGAGGAGGTTCTGATCCGTATCACCAACTTCCTTGTCGCCCGAGAGGTCCTCGCCTCGCCTGCTACCGGCCGCGTTGCCCACACACCGCAGTCACTGCTCTACCGATCGGACCAGCCCACTGCATGGCTGTACATTCACATGTTCAACAATGCCCTGCGCTCGTTTGCTCAGCTTCCTACCTTCTTTGCCAAATTTGGCCTGTCGTCGCCCAAGAGCGTCCGCACCACCCCGTTGGGCCTGGCTCACGGCGAGGAGGACAAGCCGCATTATGAGATCATCGTGGATGACAAGTCGGTGCACAAGGGCTTCAATGAGGCTCTGGGTGCTGTGGGCGACATGTATTCGCTGAAGGGTGTCTATGATTTTGGTTGGATTCGCGAGGCGCTGGACGCCAACACGGACAGACTCGCTATTGTAGATTTCGGTGGTTGCCTTTTTATTTTTTTTTGGGATATCGTGCGCAGCAATGCTTACATCCCAGCTGAGCGTTGTGCCATCTTGGATTTGCCTCAGGTTATTGAGAACACGCGCGCCAACGTCGCCAAGAATGACGATGAGCTGCAGCACATTGGTCTCATTCCTGGCAGCATGTTCGAGGAGCTTCCTGAGAAGGCTCGCGGTGCTTGTGTCTTCCAGATCCGTCGTGTTCTCAACGATTTCCCTGATGAGGAGGTCGTCAAGGCATTGACCAACATCCGCAAGGCCTTGGCTCCTGACTCTCGCCTGTTGATCATTGAGGAGATGCTCAACCCCAAGATTCCTCTCAACACTGGCCTTGACATTTTCCTGATGATGGGCGCCGGCAAGAGACGAAACGCTGAAATGTTCAGCAAGCTTGCTGAGCCAGCTGGATTCAAGCTGAATGCTGAATTCTCCAACGTCAATGCCGAATTCGACGACTTTGGCGTGCTCGAATTCATCCCCATATAATCATATGATGTTATGTATACAGAAAATTTGTACCTCAAAACAATGTTTATTTATTTATTTATTTTAGCCTCTTACTTTTAGTATGGCTCGCTTGTCGTGGTGGTATGTGATGATGCCACTGTCTGCCCCGAGCACCTACCTCAAATTACGCGTTGTAGAGTTTGTTCGACTTTGTGTGTTGTCTCGCACTTATATGAGTAGCAAAATAATAAAACAATGACCTCTATAATAGTTATAGACGTCATAATGGCCAGCGTGGTAAGGTGTCGGAAACATGGCACCACGTGATACGGTGGTGGCTGATCCATCTTATCTGATCAAAGTAACTTGTACCAGCTCGCGCTAATACGAAGAGTGACCACCCCATGTCCCACATCGTAACCACAAACATCGCGTCCATTCCCCCCTTGAGCCTCAATTTACTTTTAAACTACGCATACGACAAACTTCCACCAAACACAGCCCCAATATGATGCAATCAATCCTTGGCTTGGCCTCTGGCGCCAACTATTCCTTCTTTGCTGTACGTACACATTATTCCTATACACTTGTATCCAGACGGAATATTAATGTGCTCTAGGTTCCCGCGGCATTTCTTGCAACTTGCATCGCGCCACACGGCTACGCTATTCTTTCCGCGCGAAAGCATTATGATAATGCTCGACCTCGAACATTTAACGAAGCTGTAGCAAACGACGAAGAGATTGAAAAGCCGGTAAGTACCTTTGCCGTATATGCGCGTTACAAAAGTCACCTAGCTAACTTTGATTTCTTATTTAGATCAGGCAGCGAATCCTCCGTGCACAGGCTGCATCTGACAATGGCATTGAATCCTTTGGCTACTTTGCTTCTGGTGTAGTTGCTGCCAATATGGCAGGGCTGAGCAACGTAAAGCTGAACCTGCTAACATATGGCTATGTGCTTACTCGCATCTCTTATATCGTTGTGTATATTCACATGCAAGAAAACCGAAAATACCACTTCTTGCGCAGCACTCTCTGGGAGACGGCGTTTAGTATTGTGGCCGCAATGTGGGTGATGGCTGGCCTCAACATTATGAACAAGTAATCATCGCGGCCGCGATATTCTATTATTATTATTATTTGCCTGATATAGTTTTCTAGATATTTGTTGACGTTCACTCATAAGAAGTAAATTCAAGGTCTATGAGCCAGCCTGCCAGCGATGAGGCCTCTGGTCTGGATCGTGCTTCCTCTTCTGCAGCCGCCTCTGTGTATATGCCTGTCGTACGCAGTTCGTCATAGAATTCCGCCCGCTGAATATACGTGAGATGCTCAAAGTTGTACTCCCTAGCGAATTGCCAGGGACTCTTGCCCGCATCATCAAGAACATCCACCCGTGCACCAGCAGATAGAACATATTTGACAAGATCGATGTCACCCTTTCTGATGATGTAGTTCAAAATAGTACCGTTTGAGTTGAACCTGCGACTCGCCTCTGATGGGTTGTAAGACCTGTTGTCCCATTCAACTTCTTCATTCACGTCCAGCCCATGGTCGATGTAGAGCTGCAAATGTGCAATGCTTACAACTCCCGGCCATAATCGACGGCTCGACTGACCGATTCCCCACATACTTGTACCGGATTCAAGGAGGATTCGAGTACACTCAGTAATCCGGGCAACGATTTCGGCTTTTAAGGTCGATTCACTATGAATGTGTCTAACATAGCCCAGAGTTGCGTGCAGTGCAGTACGTCCACAGTCTTCGTGGCTTTGTACCTCGGCGCCATTTTCGAGCAAATATTCAAGTACTTCGGTGTCCATTTGTCTTGCTGCATGCCATAGAGCCGTACGCCCTTGTGCATCTTGTAAATTAACTGGCGCTCCCACTTGTAATAGTACCTTGGCCACTTCCAGAGGATAGTCGCGCGTCACCGTTTGCATAACTGTTTGTGGGTAGTAATAGATGCCAGATTCGAAGCCTCCAGGATGGAATTTCGCGCCGTATTTCGCCAAAAGCCGAATAACTTCCAAGTCCAATATGTTCTTAGTAGCCACAGATAGTGGGGTGGTGCCTCTCGTAGTTTGGTAGGAAGCGTTGCCACCGTGAGCCAGGAATTCCCGAAGAGTGTCCATGAGGTTAACAGAGGCTGACCTCTCTTTCCACTCATAAAAGGGCCGTTGCAGCAGTTTTAGCAATGGCGTATCTCCATCCTCATCCACATGGTCTATCTCCGCACCGGCATTTATAAGACATTTTGCAACATCCGCGTTTGAGGCGTAAGCGAGGGCCGTTGACGGCGATGGGCACCCGCAGCATCCAAGAAGGTAGTTTACAAGGATGGTCGGCGTTTTACTACATACTGCAAATTGTAAAATGTTCTTATCCCTGCCAACACCGAACAATGGAGCACCACAATCCACCAGTAACTGGCAAACCTGGAGTAAGCTGCCTTTGGGTATATGATCAATGGCGGTGTGAAGTATGAATTGAAACTCGTCGCCAGCGAGATTTGGACGATTTTGGAGGAGTAGAGTCAAATGTGCCACCTTTTTCGAATGCAAAACAGCCTTAATAATGTCTGATGATAACGGCATGTCTTGTAGAAGGAGGATGACGTCTTCCAGCCGGTTGAGCTTGTCCCGCGTCTGTCGATAAATCCCCAGCCTTTCGTATAGACACCCAAGCATCTCAGCCCATTTATGCGGAGGAATGCCTTCTCCTCCGCCAGCTTCTTTGAGTGCCTTTGCTGTAGCGATTGAACCATAAAGAAGTGCAAGTATTATCGGTGGAAAGTGTTTCCGCTCATCCGGGAACGCGGGCACGCCTCTTGCAAGAAGCATATTGACAATGTCTGTATCACGGTGATAGATAGCTCCTTCGATTGGGGTCACGCCTTTTGCACGATTGATATGAACAAGATCGATTCCCGGCAAGTCCAAGTATCTGCGGATGACGGCGATATTGCCTTGGCGGATAGCAGGTGTGAGAGGATGCTCGCAATCCTCCTCAATATAGCCTCGTCCGGTGACGACTTTCTCGAGCAATTCCTTGTTTTGCAGCAGTTCGTCGACTAGCGCAAGATGGCCGCGCTTAGATGCCGAGCATAGAGTGTACATGTTTGTATAGTTGCCGTGTTTTAGCACCTCTCGAAAGAGGTCGACATCTCCTTTGGACAGGGACCATTTAAAGGCTCTATCAAGAGCACCAGTCGCTTTCCATAAAGACGGTTGAGAAACGGCACGGAGTCTTTTGGAGACCAGACAGAGTGAGCAAACGGTCGGGCGGTCGGAAATGCTATTAACAATTTGCTCCAGAATCTCCGTTGGAAGTGCGCCTAGAGTTGAAGCCCCCATCAGATCTGCCGGTAGGTGAGTTGTTGAAAAGACGTAGTAGCAGTTTAATTGGAATTCAACCGTCTTAGCAGTTATGTTTTAGACAGATATATAAGTTGAGGGCAGCCTGTACATCGATGAGTCAACATGGAACAAGGCTGTGCTGGCCTTGTCCAACGGGGCAGGTTGCAAAGCCCATATTTTTTTTATCAGTAATAACTGAGAGTGCATTTATATTATTCTTATTTTAGAAACTATTTTTTTTTTAAAAAAAAAAAACGCAGTTCAAGCATGTGTCTATGTTCAGCCTGTTGGAATTCTATGCGTCTCTCACTCAAAGTCTCTCACTCAAAGAAGATCGCACCACTCCCCGGCTGGCGCTAAGCTGTTTCTAAAAGCACAAGAACCGACCATCACTATCAGCAAAGTATTACGATTTTTGGAGGCAGCGATTAAACAATGTCAAGTATTAATATGAAAAAATATAGCTATACGCCTTTTTTACATCACATAATCAAACATTAAGCATAACACACTTGGGGAGCTGCGTCATAACAATGTGCCGGGTAGTTTACAAATGGGGAGCGGATTCTGTATCCGTAACTTACAACTAGGAGAGCTCCTTCAGAATGCCATGTCCTACAACAGTTTGCACAATCAAACATTAATCATAGAATAGAGCACAACCCAAAGTCCCAGTCCACTCGAATCCAAAAAATTCACCTTTAGTGACATGTATGCGGGGACGACTGCCCACCCTTCCCTTGGAAGTAGCCTCGTCGTGCATCACAGCGCCGTATACAACAAAGCAACGCCTCAATGCCTCCTCCCCCGGATTTCTGACCATTGTTGAAGGTCCTAATCACCCAATCAAGTCCCGTTGTCAGCTGCCAAATTGTCCAGATTCCCCTCTTTCCTACCCTCCTTGATACTAACTTGCCTCGGATTGCCAACGGCTGCGCTGTGGATCTACAGTCTAATCGCTGTGCCTGTCCCGAGGCATCTTTGTTTTTCGCCTTCGCCCTCCCCAACAAAAAAGGCGAAAAGACTAATACGGCGCAATGGGTTGCGGCTCAGGGCGTGGGCGGCGCAGACCGGGGCGTGGTGCCGCAGAATCTGCCCAAACAGGTTGTAGCGTGAGGTGGGGCGAGCGGCAAAAAATTGTTAGTGGATATGGTGGCGGAGCGTAGTGAATTTTATCGCGAGTCCGGTTCCGCCCCAAAAGAAAAAAAAAAAGGGCCAGGGACGCAGGCATGGATTTAAAGTTGTGACCATGGTGGAGGGGAGGTGTGTAAATGGCTATGCTTTGGGAGTATATAGCATTTATGAAGACAACGTAGTAGATGAGGTCTTGGGAAATAAAATATTGTTGTTATAGAGTATAGTTATAGTATCGTGTATGTGTTTTTTATTAGCTTTATATTCTGTTGAATATTGACAGTGACTGTTGTATAGTAAGAAGGCTGTATGTTTGGACTTAGAGCAGCATGGCGTACACTTACACAAACTGCCAACACTATACCGTGATACAGTACAACGCGCTACAATAGCTGCGCAGTAAAAATGGAATTGTGCCCATCAACAATTGGCTGTACTATTTCCATTTATCATATTAATTATCTTTTCTGCCCATTCGCTCTCACATTACAACAAAGACTTGCCCGTCGTCAATTGCTACTGCACCCTTTGATACACCCCCCCCCCCTCCCTCCACATCGCCAGCCGCGTCTCAACTCAGAGAGATTCACCAGGCACGCGCGACTTTTGTTCATTTCCCATTGTTTACATTAAACCACACCCATCTCTCTGCATCCCGCTGCCCATTTTTCCTGTCCGCATATTTTCCTACAAATATTCTCCATCTACACTGCCCGCCGCCGGACTGCGCTTCTAGAACCCGCACACCCACTTTTCGCATCGTCCCAGACGCTGCCCCATCGCTTTTTCAACACTTTTTTAGCCCGGCTACTACATCGGGGACCCGGAATTTTTCCCAAGCAGCCGCTGAACCCTGACTGGCTCCAATCGAACAAAGGAACTTTTGAGCTTTTCTTCCTGCTGGAGCTGTCACTTAAATAGTTTCCTCTCCCGATTTCCTCCACACTCTTCTTGCCCTTTCACACCTCTCCTCCCTCCATCTCTTCGACTTACAGGACCGTTTCAACACACAACGTCCATCCCGTCGGTCTTTATAGAATCATGTCCGAACTCTTCAACCTGGTGGCCTCGTGGCCCTCTGCTGAGCTCTTCAGCCTGCCTCCGTTTGGCGGCCCTGCTGCCTTGACGCCAGGCGATGCTCCCGCCAGCATAATGCGCCCTTTCAACATCCCGCATGCTCTCTTCCAGGGAGCCCTCGATGCAAAGGTGCCTCTGACCATTGCTGCCACATACGCCATCACGGCTAAGCTGCTCAACGGCTTCAACAAGTCCCGCAACAAGCAGCCCTGGTCCATCAGCAAGACACGCGCCTTCCACATCTTCGTCGTCCTCCACAACGTCTTCCTCGCCGTCTACTCGGCATGGACCTTTTGGGGCATGCTCACTGGTCTGCAGCGCACCCTCAAGAGCCCCTTTGGTCCCGGTGGCGCGGCTGCCACGGCCGACAGCATCTGCCGCATCCACGGCGCCCCGGGCCTCGGAAACTCCGTCTTCTACAACGACAACACCAAGACATGGCAGACCACCGCTCCTGATGCTTCTGTTGTGCTTATGGACGGCAACGGCCTCCCTAGCACCCAGCAGATGGGCCGCATGTGGGCTGAGGGCCTGGGCTACTACGGCTGGATCTTCTACCTGAGCAAGTTCTACGAAGTTCTCGACACCTTCATCATCCTCGCCAAGGGCAAGTACAGCTCGACACTGCAGACCTACCACCACGCCGGTGCCATGCTGTGCATGTGGGCTGGTATCCGCTACATGTCTTGTCCCATCTTCATCTTTGTCCTGGTCAACTCTTTCATCCACGCCCTCATGTACACTTACTACACGCTCACGGCCTTTTCGATCAAGGTGCCCATGGGCGTCAAGCGCACCCTGACCACCATGCAGATCACCCAGTTCATTGGCGGTGCTTCAGCTGCCATGGTCCACTCTTTTGTCAACTACTACGTGCCTACTGCTGCCTCTTCGTCTACTGGCAGCCCCAAGGCTTCGCCTGCCGCTGGCTCCCGCAACCGCGGCAGCACCTCTGGCACGGCCACTGCGCTCCAGCCTTGCATTACCACCCGCGGCGAGACCTTTGCCATCTGGCTCAACGTCTTCTACCTCGCTCCTCTTACGTACCTCTTTGTCAGCTTCTTCATTAGCAGCTACGTCAAGCGCTCCAACGCCGCCAACAAGATCAACGGCAAGGCCCGCCGTCTCAGCAATGTCCACGTTGCCATGGCCGAGAAGGCTGGCTGGGATGCTGCCCGCAGCGTTGAGCGTGAGGTCTATGGTGGTGAGCAGATGATGAGCGGCACTAGCACGCCCGTCACCAGTGAGGCTCCGGCCAAGGCTTCGCCCACCCGCACACGTCGGGCGTAAGTGGAGGCGGCGCTACTTTGCTGCTGCATGCCAGCAGCGGGTTAGTTTCCCCTTATACTTCGAGTGCTACAAACTCTTCCACGATGACCACAAGAAAAAAAAAGAGAAAAAAAGAGAGACGAAGAATGGCAACGAATAAAAGAAAAAGAAAAGAAAAAGCATAACGGTTTTTGCTTTGATGCCTTCTTACGTGGGAAAATATGCAGTCTTTTCCTTCCCCCTCCCTCGCATACACGACCGGCGTTTTGAGATTTCTTGGCGCATTCTGGGTTGTTGTCGCCAATTGGCACGGCTAAGTGCATTGGAATTCCAGCTTCTTTATATATACACATCCATATATGAATTCTTTACCATCTTTTACGTATCGCATTCATGAAAAAAAATACAGAATATATAACAACACTACCTATAATACGTGTACTAATATCCAATCTTATCCTTTCTCGGTTGTTGGCTCACGCTGGATCGCTACCGTTTGGGCTCGCTCCGCCCTGGCTGAAACGATGCGAGAATGACGTACTACTGGCGGAAATTACATCGTTCAAGTTATAGCATGCGGACGGATAAAAAAAAAGCCCCTTTGCCAGTTTTCAAGTGGATTTCGGGGGGGGACTGACTGTACAAAGTCTCTGCGCCCACGGGCCTTGCCCAATCAGCGCCCCCAGCGACGGCCAGGTAGTGGGTCAGTTGACTTTTGGCCAGCCTCGATGCGTGGCCGCTCCCCTAAATCTTAAAAAGCCCTTTCTTCCTCTTCTTCTCTTCATAACAAGATAATGCCCAGGCTTCGCTGCGTCTGCGCTCTCCCGACCGATCTCTCCCTCTGAACTCCCCTGAGAGAAGCAAAAACTATGCTGCGCAGCGGCTTCTTCCAGCGCCGCAACCTGCGTGTCCGCTACGCGCTGGCATTTATCCTGACCATCAGCGTCCTCCATATCGTGCAACTCTGGCAATGGGAGCCCCCAGCACATAACCTGCACCAGACCACGGGCATACAGCCGCGCGACCTCCATATCTTCACCGACAATGCCATCAACAACACGGCCGTCATTGTCCCCGTCAACTCGGGCATGCTGCACTTTGCCGAGAACATGCTGTGCTCCCTGAAGCAGACCGACTTCAACTCGTCTGCCCTCATCTTCTGGGCGCTGGATGCCCAGGCCGAAATTGAGCTCAAGAAGCGCGGCTACAACACCTACCGCAACCCGGCGCTGTTTGGCGTCAGCAGCGACGTCAACACGCACGGAAACACGGCTGCCTACAAGCAGATGATGCGCGAGCGGCCCGTCTTCTACGCCGACATCCTCACCAGCGGCATCGACATCCTCATGCTCGACGCCGATATTGTCTTTTGGGATAACCCGCTGAGCGTGGTCCCGGCCGCCGATGAACGGGACTCGGTCGATATCATATACAGCACCGACGCGCGCGAGTTCTATACCGATAAAAACGCATTTAGGGATAACCTGCGCCGCGGCGGCTACATGCCCCCGATCTGCAACGGCATGTTCTGGATGAAGGCCCGCAAGGAGACCGTCTCCATCTGGACCGACATGCTGGCGGCCTTTGAGGCCTCGTGGTGGAGGCTCGGCCTGTACCGCCTCATCTGGTTCCAGGACGACCAGCGCGGCGTTGACGTGCTGCTCAACGACGGCCGCGCCAAGGTTGTTGCGCCCTTCCCTACGGGCATCACGGGCGACATGGTGATCAACGCCAACGACGAAAAGGCCCTCAAGGTCCGCCTGCTAGACCAGGCGCAGGCTGTCAATGGCCACCTGTTGCTGCTGCGCGAGAAGTCGTACGAGGCCAACCTGGCCAGGCTGCGCAAGCAGGGCAAGGACCGTCTCCTGGCTCATATGAACTGGTCGACCGTGACGATTGGCAAGGTTGACGGGGCCAAGAAGAAGAACATTTACTATTTAGACGACCAGGGCAAGTGTACCCTCTAAAAAGCGGTCGAACCAGCGAAAAAAGAAATCGGACAGTTGTCATTTTATAGCATACCAGATCGGACCATGTCGATCCAGGCGAGCGACATATCTTGGGAGGCGTTTTTTTGTCTATAGAACTTTTAATACTAATCGAGGCTATTCTTCCATATCACGCAAAAGCTACGAGCAATGTTCCAAGTGCAGTACATATCCCAAACTCGCGGATCGTCCAGTACCTGCCTCCAGGGCAATAAAGTACTTCCTAGTAAATATGAGCTTATTCGTAGCATACGTTACTTTGGACAAAAATAGCAACGTTATACCCGGCTTGTTCCGGGGAAGGATCACCTACGCCAGTGTTGGGTAAGTTAGTGAGCCACATCGGGCGCCGTCACAGCGCTCCACTGCAGACTCCATACAAGCTCGTCGCCTGATCTGGCTCGATGACTCTACGACCACCGGGCATAAGTAGGCTCCCAAATATTATATAATGATTGTTTATAACAAAAAGCAACCTGTGTTTGCTCTCTTTGGTATTATGCTTGCACAACGATTTACAACACGTTTTATCAATCTTCTACTCTACCCACCTACATAAACAGTTCTTCTACCTAAGTTTGGCACACAGCAGCCATGATCTGCGATGAATTAGGCATCATGTTTTCCCAGTTCGCCGTGCTGGGCATATGGTTATTCGCTGCTTCGCGCTATAAACAAGCACCGACTCCCATGTTTCACAACCGAGGGCCACTCCGACGCCCGGTGCAGTTAGGTCCCGGGCATTTAGTTCGCGCGCTGCCTCGCCGTTTCTTCAATGATCCCGGTATGCACTAAATCGAATAATGGAAGACATCAATCTAATCATGACGACAGCTCCCATTCCAATCAGAGAATATAATTGACGATGTTTACGACACGTCCACCGAAGTCGAGGTTAATAGCAGTGACCAACAAAGTGGCGCTAAACTTTTGTTTTGTTCTCTCTTTGAACCCAGTCTCTGAATTATCACGGAAAGTTCCGTCGTAGACAAAATTTGGCAGCTAACCCGTCTAATGCGGAGCCAACTGCTTATTGCTGTTGATTCCCAACTTGATGATCTACTATTACGCTCCGTCGAGTGGAATTGCTGGCACGTTTTGTCGGCAACGCAAGGTATTAACAAATGCAGCCATTGCAAATTCCAGGCCGCTGAAACTAATTTATTACGTTTATAGATTCGGTGTACGGATAATACGCGTGAGCTCAATATTATGTTGCCCGAGCATAAAAACTGGCTCTAACACCTCGCTGTGCCCCAGACCACGATTCAGGACACAGCAGATGGCAATCAACGCCAATTCCAAGGCCTTCCTGAAACTACCACTTTTGTAAATAGCAGTGGCATCAACTACAATAACCAGAGGTGCCAATATGATATAACTATACTTGCCAGGTTGGATCGATATTCGTTCTCCTCTTTCTCGAGCAGGCGCCGAGATTGCTAGGAACTAAATTGGAGACCCCTTTTCCGTTCTGTCGCGACCAGTACTGAGCATGATCTCATTATCCACCCCTCGCACTACTGCGTTTGCCTTTGGATCTGGCTTGGGCCTTCCGCCACTGTCTTGCAATTCGGTTACTTCTTCGGGGCCGTGGCCGTCGTGACATTCGCCTTGTCTTGGGTGGTTGCGCTGGCTTGCCACTCTGTTGCCGTGGAGGCTCCGGTGATGGCTCACGCACCGGCCAGAGCCAAACACACATGCAGAATACATGCCAGGCTATCAGACTTAATGCTGTAAATAGGTATCCTTGTTGTTTCTCTGCCGAGTACATGGTTACGCTCCCACTTCGTAGCCAGATACGTTGGGCAGCAATTCCGTGCACTTTAATTACTGAAGAAATACATATTTTTACCCACGCCCAGAATAGTATATCAGTCGTCCTTATCTTGTTAGGGACCGGAGAGCTTGACGCCTCTGCTGGCGCTCTGTCTTCCCATCTCGGCTCAACTTAGACCAGTCGGCTCATGTTCGATGTCAGCGTTTCCTTGCAGAGCAGTACCGGTACATAGATATCTTCTCATAAAGGTACAAAAGGCTGTTCAATTCTATTTATAGATATTGTAGAATGAAAGGGCTGGACTATTTGTTCTTAGCTTTGTTCTTGGTCGTCTGGCGCTGTACACAGACCCCCCGTGTTCCTCTTCTCGCTGAGGCGCCACAAAAAGGCTTCCTTTTCGATCTAGTAGCTTAAAATTATTTTTTGATTTGATTCCTTACTATTTATAGATATTGCTAATGGGTGAGTGGAATACTGGCGCGGGTACTCTGCCGTCCACCTTGATTTGAGGCTGTTTGCGCCCTTGTGTTCTGGAGTAGCACACAGACATATCGTGTTATTAATATGTTTTGCAGTACAAATCCAACAGAATACAATTCTGAATCTGCCTGTGACCTCTGTATGGCTCTTTGAAGCTGCACAATCTGCGCCAGTCTATCTACCTTGAGGTCTGGGTTTCGAGAGGGATGGTGCTCTTGTACGAAGTCCCAGATTTCATCGCAATGCGATTGTATCAATATGAGGGTCAGTATTCCTCTGTGTTGAGTTGAATCTAAATCGTCCAGTTCCATGTGAAATGCGCCTTCCTCCTTCCAATCATCGGGAGAGACCAGGGCGCTGTGGCTTTCCCGTGCCACCCTCGTTTGTTTCCCATGTAGGGGGGCCGCTGTCGAGATGGAATTGTGACTGTATGTAATATTGGAACATTCGCCGATGTCTAGATAGAGGCAGGGGTGTAGTTCTGGAGCCCACAGGGATTTCTGGCTCTACCCGGATATCTAAATAAATAACTAAGCTACAGAAAGAAAAGATTGCAGCGTAGTAAAACGCATGAAAGAGAGCACAAGCAAAGAATGAAAGGAAATCACAAACCCAGAGATTCCTCCACCCATACACATTCTAGCAACGCCCCTGTTGTCGCTCGTAGCGCGCCACCACGATTGCACTCTGTAGTTTGTGGTAGAAGCCCGACACCGTCTGAATGTCCCTTACTTGCCGTTGGAGAATATGAGGCTCGTCACTGTGGTGAAGTGCATGGAAATGCTGCAAGATCGCATTGTCCCGTAGGCTATGCCGAAGTAACAACCGTTCCATCTTTACGCTTCCATATTCAAAGATTCGGGTATACAACTCATGCCGTCTTAACTCGCTGATGGAGTCATCTGCAAAGTCAGCCATCCAGCCAGGGATTGCCGGTGGTGTGTCGTCGTCGCTGTCATCCGATATGGAGGGGCTTCTTGGTAGGACTACTGGGGCTGGTCTTATTGTTCGGCCTCTGCGACGGCGGGTTGGTTCAACTCGTGGTCTACTGGACGGAGATGCCTCTGGGAGGGGTTCGGGATGCCGTCCACTTCCAGTAGAGCGACTTGCTCGGCGAGCGCTGTAAGTCTCTGGCGTCAGGCTAAAAGTAGGAGATGGAGCACCCGACGATGACGACTGTGGTGATAAAGGCCTTGGCGGTGATGCCGGCAATGTACTTGGGCCAGCCACTGCATTTGAATCCAACTGAGGAGCCTCAGACGACGATGAAGATGCGGGCGACGGCGTCCGCCGCCTCGGTCCCCCCTCATGCCCACCTCGTTCGCTTCTTCTTGCTACCTTGCCCACGAGTTCTTCTTCGCTTAACGTAGCTGGACTCTTTGGACTTCTTTTTGAGACTCTGTTTTTTGAAGTCTTCTTCCTGTGAAGCATGCTTTCAACAAAGAACTTGACCACTCTGCCACCTGCAATTCGAGCCACGTATTGTGAACCTTCGATTGCGTCTGAATGGCTGGCCAGCGTGATAACCATGCAATCGGGGTCTACCCCTAAAATCTCATCGATGAGCGAAGTCATGCGCTCCAGTCCCTCTGTATTGACGTGACTAGTAGTGCTGTCAATAATGGCTATCTTAGTCCGCGTTGCATAATGTTTAGCCAAGCCTTGAGCAAGAGAAAACTTTTGACGCTGTGTTGGGGATAGGACAAGATTTGAGAACTTAGCATCAACACCACCAGAGTTCCGAACTATGTCTGACAATCCCACTCCATGGAGGACTTTTGTTATCAAAGTGAGCCTTTCATCCATGTTGTCGTCAAACAGGAAGCGGATACCATCAGGGTTGAGAGCGGCATCTGCTCGAGTAGGATCAATGATTTCGTCAGTGAGCAAGTTTTGACGAATCGAACAAGACGGGAATATAACAGGGGATTCCGGTATAATGGTAAAGATCTGTTTGAACTTGTCACGGGGGATGTCCCGAGCTTCGATACCGTCAATTTTGATGGATCCTTCATAAGGGAGGAGTAAAATCATAGACAATATCAATGTCGTTTTACCGCTATTTACAATGGTCAGTAATGTTCTCTCTTCGTTTATATGAGCCGCGTTCCTAGTACCTTTGGCGTGGTCCATATATTGCGGCCTTTTGGACGCCCTCGAGTCTAAAAGTTGCATTGGTAATAACATGGTTATTAACCGCGGGACTAGCTCATAAATTAGCACAGAAGATGACAAAGCCTCAGGGTCAACTAACTTGTATCCAATAGAGACATTCTCAAACTCAACGAGACCTTGAGTTGGCCAGTTGTTGGGCAGCGCTGGTTTCTGCCCTTCCAGCTCTATCTGAGGAGTGGTATAGATGAATTCTTCAGCTTTCTGAAGGTCAAGCATAGCCATATCCATGTTATGCCATTGCTTGATCCTGCTGGGAAGAATCTGGACTGTATAGAGAAGTAGTACTAGTACTAATCCGGCGAGATGAGGATGAACATCTCCATGGCCCAGAATGTAAGCAAACGACGTGACAAGTAACAGTGTAGACATGTCTGCCATCATTGTCATACAGGCCTCCAAGGAATCGAGATTGTATGACACGATCTGCGTGTTGATGATAGCTTTCCGCACTCGTTGCATATGCAATCGCTGCGAACGGAAGCATTGTAGATGAGGAACACCTGTGACTGTCTCGGCGAAATAGCCATGCAAGTCGTCAGTTGTACTTAGCTGTAAGCGTTTCAGCTGTTGTGCAGCATAGCAGTAAAGGTTCCGGATACCACATAGGGACGATATGATGCCAACAGCCATCAATAAACCTGATTTGTGTACTGAAGACATTACGCCGAACATATGTATCATTGTCACGAAACCTACACAGTCATTAGACTCGGAATTTGCTAGTGAAATTTGCTACTCACTGTATGCAACTTGGAATACACTGCTTGGTAAGGCCCTTGTTGTTGTGCTGATACTCTCATTGAATCTAAAAACGGTTTAGTAGGTCAGTCGAGTCAAGAGTACAAAGCTACTTACAAGTCAATCGCCAGTTTCAGTTTACCCGAGCTCAAGGCAGGCATTGTTGACCTTCGACACTTTGTATTAGTTGATGTCTTCTTGCTAATCGTTCTGTGCTACAGATACAGATAGCAGCCAGATGCTTTGTCGTGCTTACCCGATGATTGTATGAAGAAATCTATCATGAAGCGACTGTGCTGCCTTGGTAGCTAACTTCAGATTAAATAGGCTGCTACTAGTTAATAAAATTGGGGAGGTGGATTGTGGCGAGTGCAAATAGACCAAACTTACTATCCACTGAGACCAAAGGCAAGTCCACTCAAAAGTGTCAACGCAAAGCACCGTACAAATGGAAACTCGGTCGGTGCGACATCGCCAAGCCAGAAACGAAGGTAAACGACTATTAATCGTAAATAATTGAAAAAGAAAGACACAAGTAACATGAAAGTGCCTAGATACTTACGGGGTGTAGCTTCCAAACAAGTAGTAATGAAGAGCATCAGCAGCCAAGCAGCAAGCAGCAAGTAATTGAATTGTCGCAGATAGACTGAGTAGGAAATCTCTTGATAATTAGATGGAACAGAAGACACATTTCGCAACTGAGATGCAATGCCCTCCGGCGCTGGATGGTCACCTGGTGCCGGTAGGTGTCTATTGCGACTCTGGTCTTGATCGGCATTGTCTGAGTTCTGGGGGGGACGTGGGCTGCGATCCATTGGGGTAAGACGTCGCACAACGTGTCGATGCTCATTTATATGTAAGATCTCGCGACAGAAATCATAAAATGGTTCTAAAAGAAAATTAGTTTGACTCTGGAAAAAAAATTTGGCCTAGTAACTTACCGGGATGTGATGTTGTGACGAGAATAGTTCTACCTTTGGCCAATAGTCCGCCCGAGGCAAATAGCTGGGCAACTAAGCGCCTTGAAGTTATTGGGGTTTGATTGCTTAGAAAGTCGTCTAAAATAACTACCGGAGCCCGCGAGTAGACGGCTCTAGCCAGTGCCTATGGTGATGTTAGAGGAGTTTAATATCCCTAATGACATAACTTACAAGTCTTTGTCGAAATGCAGGTTCCATGTTCGTTCCGAGTGACGTAACAACAAATTCATCACCATTTTCAAGATATGTTATGTCTTCTGTTAAGACACAGGCTGTCATAACGGAGGTGTACCACGCGTCATCGTATGCATTATCCCCAATAATGTTGTGACGGACAGATCCGTTAACAAGCCACTCATCTTGACCACAATAGGCAATCACTGAATCTTGTACAGTTATAATGCCTTGCGTTTTGTGGGCGCGACCAATTATGCCTCGGACAAAGAGAGTCTTCCCACTACCTATCGCGCCAGTAAGAACCGAAAGGCTACCACGAACAATTGACAACGACACATTAGTCAATATGGGTGCTCGATCCGCAACTGGCGCGAGACTGACATTTTGGAATTTAATCGCTGGCGTGAAACGGTTTTGTTCTGCAGGTTCAAGATACCTCATCGGTGTGGCTGAACTCTCAAGTGCTGTAGTGCGCAGAAGAGCCTCGACCCGTGAACAAGATGATATAGCCGTTGCCCAGATCTCGGGGATTTCGAGAACTAGCATTAAATCTTCAGAGAACCAGTAGATTAGAGCAACGCTTTTAAGAAGAAGAGGAATATTGTCTAATTTCCCACTCCTGAAAAGGTCGCTTCCGAAGGCGAAAATTGGCGTGATGGCGTGTGTGGCTACCACTAAAAGAAGAGCATTAGAAGAGGGGGATACTGATAAAAGTACCAGGCTTACCGAATGTAAAGCGAAGAGTATTTTTCTTCATATACACACTTCGACTAGTAGCTTCAGCTTTTTGTAATCGATTCAGGATAAGCGTTGTAAGGTTAGTGGCACCAGTCATCTTCGCGTATTTGATGCTTTGGATAAGCTTGGCGCTCTCAGTCACGCGAGCCTTAGAGTCTTGACCCCATTGCTGTCGACTAACTGCTACTTGCTCTCCCAAAAAGCCACACAGTATCACTGAGCCTAAGGGAAAGGTAAGTCAGAGTAACGACAGCTAAAACCAAGCAAGCCACGTACCAAGAGCTGTAAGTATTGCTGCAACCATGTTGAGACCGATAGATTGCCATAATATACAAGAGCAAAACACCGCACTAAGAAGACTAGTGCTGATGTCTTGAAAGTCTTTGACACAATTCTGTATAACAACTAAATCGTTGCGCAGCAAAGAAAAGTCTGCGAATTTTGACAAGGCTTGGTCGGAAAGCGAAAGCAGTTTGTTGAATGATGTCACGGTGATGAGACCTCTGAGACGAGTTTTGATCTCAGCATCAGCAGATGCAGAAGAGCCTCGCATCGCCTTAACTTCAATTAGCAAGTAATCCATTGCAATAGATAGGAGCTTAACAAACCATCAGGCCCAAAAGAAGGCAGAACATTTGCAACGTCAGCTGATAAACCTCCACTGAATAGTTAACTAAGGGATCTGTCTCGTTGTACCTCAATTCCAGTGTTCTGATGAAGCGCTCAATCAAAAATGCAAGACAAGGGTTCAAAGCCTTCACAATAAGTGCTGAAATGCTACCGCGAAGAAAGATTGACCAGTGAGCTTTGATAAATATCTTCAACAGAGCATTTTTCTTTTGTCCGTCTACCACAATTAATGGTTAGATTGATTTGTTGCGATTGTTTAGCGAATATACAATGAGTTGTTGCATACCTTTTGCCCAACTGGTTTGGAATCGTTCGTTTAGAGCAAACGGGTTACTTGCCTTGGGTGGTTTCATCAACATGTCCAAGGTTAACTCTCCAGCTCTAGCTCGACGTAAGATTGGAAATACCCAAAGGAAGACTGATTTTGTCCATAGCCCAAGGGTATCCTGCTCTTGGAGATGTTGTCGATTTTCCTCTGGAATTTGCGACCATTTTGGTTGCTCGTGCAGAAGAAGGAGACTAACTGTGAGAATTATAGACGCAAGCTCAGGCGAAGTGTTGGGTGAAGAAAGCCAAAATGATCTAACTCTAAGAAAAGTTTCCAGGGGTAGATGGACACTTAGCAGGAATGATGGAGAAGGAGAAGAACAGTGAGACACAAGAACTAAAAGACAAAGCAAAGCAGACTCCAAGAACTTCATTGCATGTGTGGACATAGTCGACTGCGATGCATCATTAGACGGCTTTACTTGCAGCTGCAGTGCCATCAAAGTGCCTGCGATAGCCTGTATATTGTTAGTGTGTTCTATCTTGAGTAGAATACAACGCAACCTACCAATTTGCTCAGCAACTGGAATTCACATCTGATGGGGATATAAGTTCGGCGTTGTGCTAGCTGGACAAGACTGTATAGCGCAGCGAGAACAAAGACTGCTGCAGACAGCAGGCTAGGATCACCGTATAACAATGCCAAGAGTGGAGCAGCCTGCATTGCGCTGAGCAATCGATTGCCAGATTCAAAATCGAACATGATTGCAACTACTGAGAAGGAAATCAAGCAAGAAAGAAAAAGAACTGTGATCTGAATAATGGGCGGAGGAGGGAACGCAAGCCATTGAAAAGGCTTGCTGGTAAAACGGGGCCGCCCAACACCATGCTGCAAGCGCTGCCTTCATCACATCACAGTGGGGGCCTGGGTGGCACGGACTATGGACACCACCAGTGGTTTCAGAATCAAGCCAGCCGCCACCAACAGGAAGTTAAAATTGTCATTAGTATCAATTTTCTCTATATACTGAGCTTGCAATAATCGCTGCTAGGAAATACATGCAATCCATAAAAATTGCACCATATATGCAATATGATTAAACAGAAGCCAGGGCAAAGGCGCAACAGGGCGGACAGAGGCAATCATCTTCGCCCATGGCGCCTGTTGTCGTCAGAAGTCAGGGTATCGTATCGTAGAGCGTACTCTATCCGTCAAATGAACAGTTTATGAATATCTGTCACCACCGCCATAATCGGTCTGTTCTTGGGATCGCTCAATAATCTGGACGGATCTCTCCGTCTCTGGGTTGACCAGCAGAGGACCTGTGACCTGGGCGTTAGCACGGAAGCGCGGCACAAATCAGGCTGTGAGAGTGGAGAACGCACTAGCAATCACACTGCTGATGAGGGGTATTAATGTGACAAATGTCCACTTCATACTGTCTGGTTGGTTGGATTGTGCAGCAAACCGCTCTGTCGGGACGGTTTGTGTTGGTGGCGTTTAAAGTTTATGGTGTTGGTTGTTGGCTCTAACCAACCTGGGCGGGGGTCCTAGCGAAGTTAAAAGTGGCTAGTACACCGCGTAAGGGGGGGCAGCACGGCCCGACCGATCATTTCACCACCGCGTATTAGCGCTCTTCGGTGGGTATTTACAGCGGGGAGGGCTCCATTTCCAGCGGGCCCCAGTGTCACCTCCAGCGGCTATGGCTTACTCGGCGCCCTCTAGCCAGGTGCGCCAGGTGGCCCAGGTGGCCCGCCTGGCGCTCGCTCCCAAACAAAAAACATGAGACTGAAAATCTACAGCGCCTCGCCTACCAGATCGTGCAACCTCCACACGATGGATGATTCACAAAACAAAGCGGAATTCATCTCCAAGAGGTGTCTCAATTTTATTCTTCTCCATCTCGATTCTTGTTAAAGTTTCGGCCGCGCTTCTCCCCGTTTTAATTCTTCGTTTCATTCAACCCATTGTCCCGACGGGATGACAACATGACTCGGCCACATGACTAACGGAAAAGTCGTCAACCAAGGAACGCCATTGGATCTTTTGTTAGCGTGGATCCTTCTCCTAGAACTTGCATTGCTAGCGACCAAACGGTGGGTGGCGCCCCGACAAAGCACCGACCACGACCTCCATCACATTCGCTAGCCTGAACTCTCGTTGGGCACCGGCCGAGGCCCAGCCTGATTTCAAGATTTGCGAAATGAAATCGCCGCCCGTTGCGCCCTGCAGTGGAGAAAGGAGGGGTAATCTCGGACCACACCGTGTCCCATGCAAGTCATGCCTTAATGCCCTTTTGTTTGTGGGCTCGGTCAACAACGGATGGGATAAAAGTGGAAAAACAGACACACGGAAGAATGGCCATATTAACAAGGTGGGTGGTAGATGAGCATTAGTCGCGCGTTTACGCAGCTCATACCATACCACACACTGATTACATTGGGCACTCAAGGAACAAGACTTGTCATACCAGCCGAGGTATCTGTCAGTGGTACGTATGGCAAGAGCGCAGACTTGCGTATATCGATATCCACCAAAATTTCGAGCCTTATATCGATATCCACATAAGCCCAACATCTTATTTGGATATCGATATATCCAGTTTGATATCCATATAGCCACATAGCCACTTTAGCAAGGTTGATATCCATTTAAGCCACATCTATTTATAGATTCAATGTCAATGTGGCGGTGATCTAGTCTAGCAAGTCTTCAACCTCCGTATCCATGCCGAATTCTACAGCTACGCTCGAAATTACACCCCTACCGCCGCGCGACTTGGGAACAATGATACCTTCCCGTATCCAGTTGCCCACACACTCCACCTTCGCCAGATTCTCGCACGTCATGCGCTCTCTATCCCAAGATAGCGTGCGGCGCGCGGATGAGAAATGAGACTCTGCGTCAGATGATTCAGGAGGAATGGAGAGGATATCTATTGCCATACGAGAAAGCCGCGGGTACGCTTTCCTTTGGTCTGAATGTAGCCACCACTCGAGCGCAGTTCCGGTAATCCGGGTGGGAGGAGCACAAATAAATGTTTCGAAGTCATCGGCATCGCCTACTATCGGGCCAGTCACCGCTATATCACTTAAGAGCTCATCCAGCTCGTTACGCTGTCTGCTAGTAGAAGAAGGCGCATCTGTAGGAATCTGTAAATCAGGGCTCGCCGCAGACTTGTATTCTTCTAACCAAATTTCGCGAGCGGCATTAACGGCAGGAGCTTGCCAGGGCTCTTTCCAATTCCGTTCAATGTATTTTTGTCTCTTCGAAGGATCAAGCAGGAGCGCCGCTGCATACACTGGCGTCTGGTCTGACAAAGCGTAGTATTTATTAAGCACAAACCAGCCCATGTCGATACAGTGGACCATGTGACGATCCAGCGTTTCCTGTGAACTATAAAGTTCCTGCGTGTTAGAGACAAGAGCCTGTTAGCAAAGGCTACATTAAACAGAGACACAATGATTATTTTGACTAACTTTGTATTTTCGTACTGCCGCAATAAAACGTCCATGATGGACAGCGATTGAGATAGCGTGGATCCTGCTCCTCCGGCAAGCAACGTGGCTGAGGCAAACGGTTGCAAGAAACGGTGCGTCCGTTCAATAAATTCCCACTCGGACGCTAGAAGGATATCATCTTGGAGCTCCCTGTCATGGTCAACCAGAAACTGCTTCACTCGTGCTTGATACCTCAGAAGATTATCGAGCAATCGATACCACGAGTTCCAACGTGTCGCATTATCTATGTCGAGTCGGAGCTTAATCTCATCATCCCACGCAGCCGAGTGAAGCGTAGATTTACGTATCCAAACCGCAATATTATGTACCTTACGCAGTGGCGCAATATGCTGCCATCCGGTGAAGTTCTCAAGTATACGGTTGCCATTTCGCGAGAGCCTTCTTTGTTGATCTGTCTGTTGTTTGCATCGATTCCTTAGTATCGTGCAGCGTGTCGTAGAATCGGGCGAATAGCTGGTCGCTAGTACTATCATCCGTGGTATTAAGAGCTGCAATAAGCGCCTCTTTAGACGACGCTTGAAGGAACGCTTGAAGGGAGAGATTAATAATATGGCCGATACAGCGTATCCGACGCTTCGAGGGATCAAACGACAGCTAATAATAAGGTAAGCATAACTTCAAGAATAAAGGTAAAATAATTTTACCCCGTGGTCCCGCCTAAGCCGAAGAGATAGGTAAGATAAGCAAGAATCGTTAGACGTCGCATTGTCTCCAACGTGATATCCTACGTTAGACGCAATTCCATATCTCTCCAGCGTGTCCATAATGAGAGAGGCTTGCGTTTCGCCACTATGGCTGTAGCGGCATTCCGGCATCGCTAGAAGCGCCCTTCGTAGTTGATGGTCTTTATCAACCCATCGCGCCGACACAGCCAGTGTTCCATGGCGATGAGGCGATGTCCAGAGGTCAGACGAGATGTGGATTTTCGAAGTAGCAGACTGAAGATTTGCCCTCAGCTGAGAAGAGTAGAGGTCGTACGTGGCATCGATAAGTCGCATTACAGGACCCCGGCTGATTATCAGAAGGTCTTCGATGGCTGGGTTAGCCGCTAGTATCATCTCTTGCATCTCAACCCAAGCGATTGCAGAGAAAGAGAGTCGGCGGCGTGTTATCAAGCCGATGATTGCATCGAGGTAGCGATCGCCATACCTGGGCACATAGTTATGGTTATATTAGTGGTTATGGTTATAACCATAACCATACCCACAATATGGTTATATTTGGTTATAACCATGGGACCCCAGTGGATATGGTGATAACCAAATATAACCATGGTGGCGTCTTAGTATTAATTAAGGGGCGAAAATTTGTAAATACCTCATATTGACTGCGCTCTCCTCCAACATCGCCTTGTAACTATATGCAGAAGGGGATAAATCATCTATCTCCCAATCACTGTTATTAATGGATGCTTTCCTTGCCCATTACGAGCGAAATAAGCTATACTATTCTCAGGAAGACCATCTTGATCCTAGAATGGTTCGCGCTATTGAAATGGGCTGGTTTGTTCTTGCTAAATATTACAATATGACTGAAGAAGTACCTGTTTATGCAGCTGCTCTTCTCCTCGATCCCTCTCGTAGAGCAGCATATATTCGACAGAACTGGCCAGATGCTTGGGTTCAGCCAGCTATTACCGCTGCTATGCAACTCTGGGAGGAGAATTTTAAGGTAAAATCTATTACAGATGATGATCTATCTACACCCTCATCAATACCACCACCGGAAACCCCTCTAAAAACGCATGGTATTGAACTTGATCTACTTCTTAAGGATGTGGAAGTTATTACAGCAGATTTGAGGGAGGATGATTTCAAGAGCTTCATCGATTTACCGCCTTTCCGTATTAATTGTAGTCCTCTTGAGTGGTGGAGTCGTGCAGAGCAGAAATCGCGTTATCCACGACTCCATAGTATGGCTATAACGATATTATCTATCCCAGCAGAGTCATCTGAGCCAAAGAGAGCCTTTTCTGGCTCTAGAAGGACATGCTCATGGGATAGATTGAGCCTCTCATGCCTTAACATTCAGAGAATAGAATGCATTGGCAGCTGGATATGAGAAGGCCATATTCGTCTCTCTAAGCTCAATGGCATGGGTCTGCCAATGGAGGATGCAGCAGAGGATGAAGACGATGAGCTACAGGGTGAGATTCTGGATGAAATTGGGTGGATTTAGGGTAGTATTACTTTTTCTAGCTGACTAAGATTTCTATGGTTATAATATGGTTATGGTTATTGGTGGTTATGGTTACCACCCTTGTGGTTATTAATGGTTATGGTTACAGCCCCCTGAATAACCATATTTAGCCATGTGCCCAGGTATGCCAGAGAGACTCAGCCTATCATTCGCAAGTTAGCATCACAACATGATTTATAGATGGTTTTCGAGGTGTACTACATGGAGATAGAATAGCAGGTTTTATCACTGGGATAAAAGCAGCGTTTGAACATGGTATGCAGCCCGTGGTAGTCCACTGGGCAAGAATGGTGGTGAGTTTCTTAAATCGACATTGAGTAAAGGAAAATAGGGTATCTAAATGTAGCATAAATGGCGCCTAGATATAATATCAAGCTTTATAATTCGATATTAACAGAATCAATCGTCGTGGCCGATACCCCCGCCATCAACGTGACTAACGTCTCTGGCAGAGCGCCGAAAACCGTTACCATTAGGGCCGCCAGGGGCTGTGAGCTGGTCAGTCACGGAAAGCAGGTTACATGGCAGAGCAAGGACGACGTACCAGCCTGGGCTACGGTAGCGACAAGGGCAGCGAAAAGAAGAGCAAACGGCTGCATGGCGGGTGGCAGAACTTGTGTTGGTTTGTTTTTAGAGTTTAATGGCGTAGGCCAATCCTGGCGTCCGAGCGGGGAAGCCTGTGAAGATTTTTGGGACGGGGCAACCAACGGCCGATACCTGTCCGCGATCCCGTGTTGCCTAGGCCCCTGTGCGCTGCGCTTGCCTATCTCTATAAGGACTCTGCTATGATGAAAGGTTATAGATCTAATGGAAAGCAAAAGGCCTTTATCCACTTTAGCTCGGAGTATCTTTGGATGATTAAAAAAATTATAGCTTATATTCTACGTCCCTTTTTTTTTTGGCTTGGTGGCAAAAGAAGCAAAAGTAGCACGAGGGAAATATCGCTGGGCGTTTTTTTTTTATCTTGCTGCGGCGGGCGCCGCGGGAATCGGAAGATCAAATACTGGGCTTTTGCCTTGAGCGGCGCCAGCGCCATGACGCAGCGTAAACACAGTGGGGTTAAATCAAGTAGCCTTGCGTTGGATGGAGATGGCAGGCCGCGGCCACATCGGCCCGGCTTGACCCTGTCGGCCTGATTGGGGCCTATTTGAGCTGGGAGGTGGGGTTTCATCCTATGAGTTTCTTTCGGGTTCTACGTCTATGGCACGGGGATAAACCTTTCGATCAAGGCTGAAGATATCGTCAGGTATGGCTTTTTCCGAAAGGCTTCGCAAAATTTTGGCTAGAGTAAGCTTATGGTAAAACTTATTGAGCCTGGTTGATATGGCTTCGGGTGAGAGCATCCTGTAATTATTATATAGGCAAAGCTATGACCACAGTCTGCAACGCTGGGGGGCCAACCAGCCTTTTGCAGAAGGCCTGCGGTTTTTGATTGGATCACTGGCGAGTCAGCCTTGAGCCTTGTGCTTGGTGGTAAGATGTAGAGCAGTATATCAATCTCGCTGCCCCAAATATTGCATGTAAAATTATCTTATAAAATATAGTTGGCTGGAACAACATGGTCACAGCGTATAGACAGCCATTTGCAAGGGCTCAAACACGCGCAAAGGGCGGCGGCAGAGCAAACGGATTTGGCTCCTCGCCATCTAGCCACCACACCCACCTGCACTCGCGAGGCCCATCGTGACCGAAATCCAGCAGCCTCGTGAAGTTGCCAATCTTGAAGTACGGCAGATGTCTCTTGATTCGGTAAATTTCGATAGGCTGGGCCGTCTAAAATTACATCATGTCGCCCCGCGGCAAGATAAACGACCATCAAGAACGAACAGCGCACTGTGTAAATGGAAACGACAAACAGCCAGGGATAACTACTTGTCGAGCGACGTTTTATGGGAAGATAGTCAGGAAACCAATTTTGCTGATTCGTTCCAGTCCGCGAAGTTCACTCGGACTGCATACCAACTCTGACTAAAAAACTGAATTATCCGCACAAGTAAAAGAGCTATTGATGCCATTGTCTGATGCAAACGTGTCGAGTAGCCCGCGCACGGAAGCCCACGTGCCAGTCCCGTTCATAAATAAAGCCTGAATAATAAGCAGGGCGCTTACAATAGCGAGGGGGATATTTCTAGGGGTAAAGTTTTTCCCGCCAGTTCCGATAGTACCAAAAGATGCCGCTAATGCCAAAAGCAAACCACGAGACAAAGATTGCAGATGAGATGGATATTATAGAGTCGAAGACGAGGATGGCGTTAGCAACTAAAAAGCATACCAACCAGAACGCTGTCGCGCAGCTAACCCAGATGCTCCACGGCGTGGCCGAATTTTCCGTAGCTCGATGAGTGGCGTTGAGGGCTTGCAAGACGAGCAGGTACATGTATTTGATGGCAGTGTGTCCAAAGGCAAGGCCCGTAGCAAGCACAGCAGGCAGAGCGGCCCCGAAAGCAATCCGTGCTGGTAGGTCTGGCGTAGATCCCAGAGCAGGCGAGCGTACAAACTGACCAGAGAGACAGTAAATTGGCACAGTAGTAACAATGTATAGCAAGACAGAGCTGATCTGCAGGACGGCAAGAGCTGGGGCAAAATCTTTGGATGGGTTCCTCATTTCCGCCATGTACGATATGTAAGCGACGTTTCCTGCAAAAGCGTAGCATATCTTCAAACAAGCAGAGACCCCTGCAACGAAGCTCGGCCGGCCAACAACTGTGATCTCCCTTGCCCAATCAGCGGATGTCCCATTTGGGTGGCCTGCAACACCAAGGCCTATAATAGCGATAAATACAGCCATAAGAATGCTGGTTGTTGATATCACCCCGACTTGAGCCACAAACTTAAAGGTACGCGGTAAAGACGCGGCCCAGCAGACCACCGTGGCAAAGGCGGATAATGAGACGGTGCACATGGCATGCCTAGTTACTGAGTTGAAGATAACAGAGAGTGTGACTATGACGGGGCTGCACGACATGCAAAGCTTGAGCAACAAGCCTGTTGCGACAACGATTTCGAGGGGGCGGCCGCCAACGATCTTGGCCATCTCCGCCATGTTGAGGACTTGCGGGTGCCATCGGTAGAACTGGAGCAGCTCGTACGCTGTTTACCAGGTGATTATGCCAAGACCACAAATGGCAATAAGGCCTGGGACGATGCCGAGAGTGTGTAGGGTGATAGGAAGGGCGAGAATGCCGAGCCCGACATGGTTTGTGAGCAGGATAAAGAGAACATCCCACCGACCGAGGGTTCGGAATGTGTACTTGCCACCATCGAATATTTTGAAAGTTTGCTGATGAAAATTCCGTCTCACTCCGTGAAAGCTTGACTCTCGGGCGCTTCCCTCTATTTTATTATTGCCCAATATGGTGTCAGGCAATACAGAAGTCAATGACATGGCTGCCGTGTTATCGGACATAGTGCAAGGTATGCCTGGTGTGTTTAATGGAAAGTGTTGGTAATGCCGATAACTTACGACACCCTTGTACCACCAAATTAGATACCCGCTACTCTTCTGCGCAATAAATGTAAACTTATGTACTGTTTGATATATCAAAAATGGTCGATTCTATGTAAATCTCTGTATACAGTCTGGGGGGGTATTATATGGCAATGGCAATGGCCTTGCCGCGCGACGCTTAAATGAATGGGGGATAATCAACTTCGTAATGTCATGGGCCACCGCTACCTACAGCTCGTCCATCATCATCATGCCCTCGAGCTCGCTTTCCAAGCTATCAAAGAAATCCTCCCGGCTTGGAGGGCGACGGCTGTCTGAGCCCTTTTTCGGGCCTTGCTGGCGAACCCGCTGGTTTAGACCAGCGGCTTCATTCACAATGAGCCGCGCCACGTTCATACCCATCAGAGCGCTCGTCTCCATGGTCGAGATAAAGCTTTCAATGCCCGATGTGTAGTATACGCCATCATTAATAACGACGTCTTGGAAAGTAACACGTGGGAGCTCAATAGGATACGAATGGAACCAGTGGGCGTAAAACCACGAGATGGCTGGGACAGTAGTAGCCTCGTTCTTGGTGCCAACAAATTCGGCAGGAATATCAGCACCAAGAAGCTTCTCGAGGAACTCAGGCGTCACGGCAACCGCGGAGAAGATTTTGTACAGGTACTCCGTAGCATTGGTGCCTGGGTTGGTAACAGTCGAGAGTGTGCTGATCGAGTAGAAGCCAGCCCTTCCTACACCCTCAGCCCCCTGGTGGCCCTTTTCATTCGGCCCAAGAGTCGTGTAGACGTTGCGAGGCGCCTTGCTACCAGGCTCCAGTCCAAAGAAAGACGGCTGTAGGGCAAAGGGCGACGTGAAGAGCGTCACATGGAGTTTTGTGTATGAGACTGACTCCATGCGGTGCCTAACAACGCCGGTTCCAGCAGTCATATTGGCAAACTGCCATGGCGTGGCAATCACGACGTCATCAAAACTGGCAACAGACGCGCTATTGTTCGTAGTGGACAGCATATATCTCGGCTTGGCACGCGACGGATAGTGGCGCTTTTCAAGGACAATCGACTCGACGGTAGTGTTTTTGAGAATCGTGGCGCCGCTATACTTGACCATGTTGTCAAAGATTTGCCAGTTGCCGCCGTCTACCGCCATGGCGCCGTCCGTCGCAAAGGAAACCATGGTTTCCAAACCGTGGATATATCCCAGGTTGGAGGCGTAGTTGACTCGGGTGGCCGCCTGGATGACTTCGCGGCCAAACTTGGCATCAATCTGGTCTCGGTTAGTTCATGCTCATAACCAGTCAAGTGATTCTTTTCAATACATACCCCGTTTTCGGCGAGGAATTGCTCGCCCGTGGTACCCGTGGCGCGCTCCAAGCCCAGCTCGTAGACACGCTGGGTGAGCGATCGGAAAGGAAAGTAAGGGGGCTCATAGAGCTTGAGAAAGATATTGACGACATTCTGCACAAGCTTCACGGCTCGGTATGGTGATGTGCCGTATTTCCACCACATACGCGTGGCATCCCACCACCAGGACGCGCCGCTCTCGCTCTGAAAGACGATGGTCTCGCCGTCCCAAATCGCCGTCATGTCTCCAGGCTCCGACGTCTTAAACTGCGCCAGCGGCAGTTCAAATCGTTGTGCAGCATTGTAGAGGATATGATTGGCGTTGACAAAGATGGACGCTCCGAGTTCGACGGGCTGTGCAGGGTCGTCGTATGCGTTGACAGTGAGTGTGCGGCCGCCGATGCGATCCGACTTCTCAAAGATGGTGACATTGATTGCGATATTTTCTTCTTCTGCAAATCGCTGCAGATGATATGCGGTAGACGCGCCAGCAGCGCCAGCGCCTGCACAACCGTTAGCTTCCCTCCCTGCAGGTGCTAAGTGAAATATCACAATCACATGCTAGGCAAACACCAATGTGATGCGCAAGACGAAAGAGACGACAGCAGCAAATTATTACAACTTACCGATGACTGCGATATTTCGCACCTGCGTCTCACGCGGGTTTTTAGCCGGCGGCGCCGACACTGCAGCAAGACTGCTCTGGGCGCTGAGGCACAAAACAGCCAACGCCCATTGTGGCGACACCATCGTGACGCAGGTTGCGGCGATGAACGAATGGAAAACGAGTCGGGTAGGTATGTACTAGAAAGTAGGTGCTGCGATAGCAATGGGAGACGAGTAGTTAAAGGTCCATGAGTAGATGAATGAAGAGAGTGAAAAGGAATGGCGATGGCAAACAAGTTGTTGTGAGAGAAAGAAAAAGGTTAAAGTGAGAGTTGAGACACGACGCAGACAAGACAAGGCAGGCAGCTGGCAAAACCCGGGGGCAAACACGGGCCGGCTAGTGCTGGGCCGCTGAAAACAAACAAAACGCCACGGCGATTGGCTGGATCGACAACGGCCCACTTTTCGCTTAGGCGGGGTATCATTTGTTGTATGCACACGCTGTAAGTTTCTTTCTCTCCGACACTATTTAAAATGCTGCTTGCTTGTTTACAATAATGAACGATGTACTTTGTGTATACCAGGGATTTCTTTTGGCTTATTTTTGGAGAATTGATGGTATTCAAATTAACCTGTTACTTTTTATACTACCCCGGTAAAAATCGCACTCGCATAGATGGCACCCATTGTGAGGAGCACGCTGCTGCTCCGGCCTGGCCTAACAGCGCCACTGATCTTCTTTTCAGACGAAGTGCCGTTCCCCTGATGATACGGGTTCGCCACCAGTAGAGGCGGCTTTGTTTCCGTCTTGCACAATACTAGACCTAATTAGCAAACCATTGTACCACTTCAAATGGGTCCAAAAGGAAAACAAACTCACCAAGCTGATCACCATGATATAGGCAATCGTCTTCACTGTAGGTGACCTGATTCCATGCGCTAACATCCGCTTCCAAATGACAATGGGAGTAAGTATCTGTGGTATTTGCTGCTGTGGATATACATGCGTTGATGGAAACATTTCCCTGGACCTCGAAGAGTTGTCCATGGCAGACTTGGGAGCCGTTAACAAAGATGCAGCCACTATTGAGACGCTGGGTCGTGCGCCGTAATCGTTAGCGCCGTGTTTGTATTCAGGTACGAACCTGCCAAACGGCATCCATCCACAGTAGACTCACAAAGAAGGTCGCGCCAGCAATGCCAGCGCTGGCAGCAGCAAGCAGGGATAAAGAAGTAAATCGCATAATTGCGGTCTGAATGAGTGAACCAGATAGAAAAACTGTTCTTGAATGCAGATTTACAACGCATAACCCACAACAGAACGTGCTCTTCTAATAATATATGCTCAACCCACTGGTTCCATCTCTGCAGCCTCGTGCTAAATTAGGAGGTTCGCCGATACCCACACACTAGCGATGCCTGACTAGCCTGTCCTGGGAGCGCACAGCAAACCTCGTCATGGAGCACTCCAACATGGCCCACGTCACCTGTTGCTAAATTTGGTGCAAAAACTTGTGAGAAACCAGGTTTGGCATCGCTCCTCGCTTACCGTTGGAGGGAGCCTTCTGCAGCTGTGACGTGTTGGGTTGTGTAACTAGCACCGGCATCGTTCTAACTGTCACTTTGCAACTTATAGCACAGGACCAAGATATGAACACACACTCAATCTGAGTTCAACTAAAAGTACATGGGTCGTATCAAACAAAAGCCATATCAGTTCAAACGCCATCCACCAAGTGGGTATCCTCCAGCCCTAGAGCTGCTAAAAAAAACATTAAAGACAAGCGCAAGACGTCATGAAGAGAAAGCAGAGCCTTCCTTATCCAGAAATGCAACTTTTCCTTCCTCTATGCTAAAAACAAAAAAGAAACAAAGCAAAGTAGTAGAAACCTTTGCATTATTGATCATCAAGTAGGAATCATCGTAGTTGTCGTAGTTATCGTTTGAGTGTATCATGGCCTGGCAAAGGCGAAAGTATATCTTAATCCTCGCTGCCAGAACTGCTCATGTCATCGTCGCTCTCTGCTTTGCCTGCAGTGGCAGCGGAGCTCCCACCTCCCAAGACAACCGGTTCAAGGCTCACGCTTTTGCTTCTCCTAGCTGAGCCAGGCGCGGCTACGGCACTGCCGAGAGATGGTCGTTCATCACGGTGTGGCGCATTAACACGGCGCAGGATGTCCTCGCGGTCCTGATCGTACATCCCTTCGCCAGTATCGTCTTCTGGCGCGTCCCCATCCTCATCACCACTGCTAAGATCTACTCCGTCGGGATAGCCGTCTGAATGATGCGGGTTGGCTTGACGGCTCATGTACTCATCCGATGTTGATGACACAAAGCCCTCATCCTCACAGTCATCCTCAAAGTAGTCAATTGCACCGCTAGACGCGTCGCTACTAAAGGGTGGGATGAACATAGCCGGTGGGGGTAGAGGCACAGGCGCAAGTCGTTTAATACGCCCCGACATATACTCAATCTGTAGAGACTTTGTGTCCTTTGGCAGAGGCGTATGTGCTGACCTAGGAGACGAGGTACTCATGACGGCTAGTCGCGCAATCATGCCATCTGTCGCATCCTCTGATTGTAAGCGGCTGCGATTTCGTGTTTTGTATCCATCAGTAGGGCGGCGGGTTGTTACAAACACCATGAAGTGATCATCAGGGAGTACACCACCGAGACCAGACGGTTCAAGTGGGCGGACCTCAAGATACTGCTGCTTGTCGGTCCAGCTAAGATCAAAATCACTTTCATCGCCTGCTGAGATTGAACCATCATCATCTACATCCATCTCCTGGGCGACCGACCAGGGCGGGGCTGGTGTTGCGAGCGGTCGATAGTTGAGCGACGAGCCAGATGCGGAGCGGAACAATTCAGGTACATGTGTCGATTCGCCATTGTCGGTCGTGCGATCTGTTGTCTCCCGACCCGTTGACATCATATACGTTGTAGGAGACGCGTCGCCAGGATCGCCTGACAAGTCTGTGCAGAATGGAGCTCCGCTGTAGTATATAATTGCGCCATCCAGGCGGCGCTTCTTGCGACTTGTTGTCGCTCCGGAGCCGCTGGGGTCATACTTGGAGTCGGCCGCATTACTCTCGTCCACTGGTCCAAACGACGAAAGTGTATCATCCATCGAGGTACCACTGCGCGATGAACCCTTACGGGCAAACATGGGCTTGTAGTGGAAGCTCTCCGATGATGCTGAAACGAGCTTCTTACTGGAAGACCTTGAATCTCCGGTGCGGAGACCACTGTTTTGCTTCTTGCGCTTTGTGGGACGAGTAGCATCCTCGTTGTTGTCTGTTCCGGGGCTTTGGGAGCTGTCACCCGAGGTATCGCTACTCAGCTTGGTGCCTTCGCTACCACCACGCCAGCGAATCTTGCGGCCATCGGGTGAAAGCTGGAACTTCGTAGAGAGTTCTGTCACTGCTTTGCGTACAAAACTTGGTGTGACGTTAATCATATGCAGTTGGGCAAGGTTGCAGAGTAGGTTAAGATAAACCCAGCCCTCTGCGTCTGGAGCTACATCATCCACATCTGCAGGTTGGCCGGGGACGAGCTCCGGGGCGGTTAAGCCTAAATGCTGAATGTAAGCCATATTTTCCGATGGAATCTGAACGCGATCTGGGTCGAGATCGTTGGGTCGGGTCGGGCGTTGTTCAGGTAGCTCCTCGCTAGACGGTGATGAATTCTGGCCGCTTCCATTCCCACTACCGCTACCACTGCTAGCTTCCAGACCATGGCTGTTCCCGGTTGGATTAACACCACCAGACTCGGTTCGGTCACCATTGGAATTGGAGGAACCATTGTCTCGGGACCTTGACTGTTTGTTTCCTTGCGTTTGGCGTGGGAGAATGCGAGCTTCGCGGGATGCTTCAGGACCACCTGTGCCTGGCAAGGCTGATGGTTTTGTCTGGCCACTAGTGGTCTGCGCGCCAGGCTTCGACTGGTTTGCTCGGGCGTTTGGCTGTTGCGGTTTCGTGTCGTTTATTATGGGTATATCAAAAAGAGCACCTTTACTATTGTCGGATACGGGTGCTGCTTGTTTGCCTTTGTTACGGGCTCCATTTACCTTGCCCGTAAATAGCTGTTCCAACCGGCGGACTACAAACCGCTTTCGATCCCGGTCTGTGAGAACCATGTGTTTGGGATATAAGCCTTCTGGGATATCACGAAGGTAATTCTCGACTTTTTGGTCATTGGCCTTGGCTCGAGAGCGCGACATGTGTCGTCCCAAGGAGGGGCCGGAGGATGTATTCCCAGTTGACATGGATGCGTAGGCAGAATCGACAGGTCGATTACGACTTCCAGAAGACGATGTTGCCATCTTGGAGCCCGAGCCTGAGCCAGATCCAGAGAGTGCATTGGCACGTCGAGAAGATACCTTTTGGCGAGACGAAGAAGGTTCGGGAGACTCTTCCAGCCCAGCGGCGAACTCACGGAGGGTTGCTTCGAGCTCCCGCTTTTTACGGCTTGGAAGGCCATGAAACTTAATTTCGAAGAGCTTGTCCTTACGCAGAAGGTCTGGCCCTTGTTGTTTATAGTGCTTTAGTTGTTCTTTGAGATTTTGGATCTCAACTGTGAGGTCATCAATAACGCTGCGGTAGTCATCGGCGCTACTGCTCTGCGCCGTAGCCAACCTAGCGGCTGAACCACGACCAGGGTGTAGCAGTGACCTGTCTTCATTTGAGGACTCTGATTCTTTTTGAAAAAACGGAGGGTCAACTAATACCCAAAGGTTAGAGTACACTAGAGCGGAGATAGTCTGGGCAATTACTCACCATCCATGGCATTGGAGTATGTTGCGGTAGGATTCTCGTTTGACTGGTCGAACCACGTCTTTGGATCACTCTGCGTTGTCTCATGGCTCTCACCCATGGAGTTTACAGGCGATTCATCGGACTTACCGCTGCCGCTGCCACTAGCAGAGAGCTTTCGAGCTATATGGCCCTTTCCATTTTGGGCGGGCGGTGATACTTGCACAGCGATGTGATGGTTCTGAAGAGTAACAGACCGTTCGGGAGACACCCGGCGTGGTTGCGGGTGCTGTGACGAGACGTTGGCCCTTGGTTTTTGGCTGTTGCGTCGTGGCATGATAGTGGACTAATATCCTCTATGCTACGCAGAAAACTGTCTTGTCTCTCTTCAGAGAGTAGTGAACAGCATTCTTTGCCACTTTGGTATTCCTTGCACGCACAGTTGTGCGTGCAATAGTCGAGGAAAGCTATATGATAAAGCTGCTGCTCCCAATACCAACAAGGCGGTTTACGAGAACCGCCCGATGGTCAAACAAGGCGTATTCGTCGAGCACTTGGCGAAAACGCTGCCCTGGTGATGGAGGGGCTGGCGGAGGATGGTTGAGCTTCGTGGTTTTAATTATCGTCGTGCTTACTCGATCGGAAAACTAGATCGAATACGACGCCGTCGCCCGCGGTGTGTTGAGAGTGAACAAGAGGCGGCCGGAATAAATGTCCGAGGTGGAAAGAAACGACGGTAGGGCTGTTGTAAATTCGCGGCGTAAGGAGTTGGTTGGACAGAGTATATAGCTGGGCGCAGGTTCAGCGTTGGAGATGATGCTAAGATCAGTTTGGCGTTTTGCGCAGGGATTTGGCGTGGGGGATGGGCTGTTGTGGAAGTTGTGATGTCGGGGTCAGAATGAGTTGCACAAGAAAAGAAGACGGTAGACGTGTGCTACGAGAAGGAGCAAAAGATGTGTGATGCACCAAACAAGGCACGCAGCCGACGACTTTGCCTCTGGTGGGGAATGGCAGTTGGCGGAGGTGATTACTACGACCACACCTGTAGGGGTGGCCCTCCACTGCGGATGAGCACAATCCGACAGAACCACACGTGGGTGACCGTTGCGGTTTGTTGGTAGAAAGAATGGAATAGAATTCTTGCAAAAATATATTTTTGCTCCAGGGCATATTCATAGATCCCGTGGTGCCTTTGCCTCTAGATTAATGCCTATTGGTTCGCGGTGTGGTGCATCGTAGTGATCCTCTGTTTCGCAGCCGTTGCATTGGCGTCGTCCACAGTGTCGGGAACAAAACGGTCTGGGCTCCTGCACAAGCGGACATCGAGGTATCGCCAGGTGCATCGAAGGCATAGGAATTAAGGGTGTCTTCCATTTTCTGCTTCGGCAAGCATGGGTGGCGCTGGCCTTTGCGCGCTGCGTACCCGTAACCCTACTTGGGCGGATTGTAACGGGGATCTCAGAATTGGCTGGGCCATCGAGCCACACACACTTGATGGGCCGATGGATGACCAGCATGGCTACGTTGATGATGACCAGACGATGCTTCCTGGCTGAGCTGGGAGCCGTTCTCGTCGGGCTGTTATGCCGCGCAGGTGAAAATCGTAACTTGGCGAGTTTAGGTTAATTTTTTCAACCGCCTTGCACTTACTTATAAGAGTACTAAGTGGCTGTTATTCTGTATATCGAGGCACGTCTCTCTTTGCGATTCAGACATGCTTGCTAGATCCTGTGTTAAATTTAATAAATTTAATCCTCAGGAACACTACCATGCCCTTAATTAAACTATTTTTAATTATTACCACTTTTCTTTTTTTTTTCTTATTGTTTTTCCATGTTGATATTGTAGCTTGCGACTGTTGCAATATGTCGATGAGTCCCAATATATGACGTCATGTTGGATTATCGGCCAACCGGTATGCCTTATGACGAAAACAAAGACACCACAGCGCACAAAGATGGAAGAAAAATGGACGCGGTGCTTCGACTAAAGACTGTTATGGAACCGTTTCTGATATTTTCTTGTCTACCGTTGTAGTCAAGCCGAAGCTTGCGTATATTGGCTGTTGGTGCATGTTGGCAATGACGGAGCATCACCCGGCGACTACACAAAATCTAGTCTTTTATAAAATGTATTTATGAGTATGTGGGCATACAATCGTAGTTTATACATATCTTAAAATCTCCAAGAAGACCAAGTTCATCACATACACGAACTAGTTTCGCCCCAGATACCCTGATATCGAAGCCAAAGCATCTCGCTTAGATGCAGGGACGCACTGTCTAGTGTGCTAGGACCACCCCACTGCACTCTACACAGACACTTCCGCTCCACTTTATAGCACTCCATCAGCCAATCAGCCCTCGACGATGTTGGACCCCTAATTTTCGATCGCGAAAGCTTGCAGCGGTTCTGGGGATCGGTGTTCCTTGGGAGCTGAGGTTAAAGGCCTCGATGCTGTCGAGACCGCCGATAAACTTCGCTTTGCTCTGTATAAGTGTGGTGGGCGTGTGATGTGTTTGTGGCTGTTGCACTCAATATAACATTCGTATTGTTTTTACTCTATTATTAAATTGCTTTTTTTTCTTTCATTTTTAATTTTTTATTTACTCTCTGTAATTAAAAATTTACAACACTCATAGCCCGGATCGCAGTTCTCCGACCAGCCATCGGCGCCCTTCCACAGACAGTCTTGCTCTACATCGAACCAGCCATCGGCCCCGACTTGGACTAGCAAATGTCTCAATATAAACAAGACGGTGAGCAGCGAAATAGCCGATGGTAAAGGTATGCAGCATCTGCTTTCTTGAGAAAAGTTTTTACATTAAATAATATATTTACTGAATTTCCCTGTGTCATCGCTTACATAATTATTGCTGCAGCGATTTCTGTGGAATGAGTCCGAATATCTGATATAGCTTATCGTTACTCAACTAGAACAAATACATATTAAACTGGTTTCCAGCATTGGGTAGTTTAGCGAGTTGACAGATCGACCCCTGCTACAGTACTACTAAACTAAATCCAGTAGCCTACCACATGGGCCATGAGCTTCAATTGAACCGGATGGCTACCAAACTCGGCCTAGGCAATCTATATAACCGGAATCTACATAATTAAATATAGCTATAATACCACTGGAATCTTCTCATAAATTCAAAACTCACAAATTTCCATCTTGGCTTCGGCGATTGTTCTGAATCTACCAGCATAGGCCTACTACCCTATACCAAAATTGTAAGCTATTTTGGTGGATCGTACCAACGATCACACTGAAGTCGTCAAGCACCGCTGCGTCTAAAATCATCTCTCATACTCAAAGTACAACAATGTCAACTCCAACCGCTTCGTCCATTCGCCCGTAAAAATTATATCATTTCGGCCTCGCGGCCACTTTCATACGGGAAAATCGCACTGATACCATCGCATCCCCCGCCAAATCGCCAGAAATGGCAGCCTTGGACGCCACGGCTGCGCTAGCTCCAACTTCGCCGTCTTCTTCCTACCGGCACCCATATCCTCGCCTAGCTATTCTTGGTGGCGGTATTGCTGGTCTCACACTATCCATTGCCCTACGCAAACGGTCCATCCCGCATGTCCTCTTTGAAGCAACGCCAGCCTTTGGCACAGTTGGTGCCGGCATCGCACTCGGCCCCAACTCGACTCGTGCGATGAGCATCATCTCTCCGGAATTGAGAGCCATGTACGAGTCAATGGCATCGGGAAATACATCGCCAGAGAAGCAACACGTCTTTGCTGATTTCCTGCTCTCAGAACCAGGTTTAGGTCAGAACAGAGGCTTCCATGGCGCCGAAGTCGGTGGTGGTAGCTTTGTAAAAAGCTCAGCATACAGAAAAGAATTGATTGATGGCCTGGAAAGCATGTTGGATAAAGACTGTATAAACTTGGGTATGAGGGCTACGGCAGTGACGCGAGACGGAGATAAAGTCAAGGTGGTCTTTCAAGATGGTAGCGAGCATGTGTTTGATGCAGTGATTGGATGTGATGGTGCCAAGGGCGTCTCAAGAGCAGCGGTAGTGCCGCCTCAATATGTAGACGCCAAGTACTCCGGACGATATGTCTACAGAGCCTTGCTTCCACCCGGTAAAGCTCAAGAGATTTTGGGTGATATTATCAAGGACGGCAAGATTTTCATCGGGCAAGGGGTTTACTTTGGACTATATCCACTTTCTAAAGGCCGCTATAACTTCCTTTGCGGAACACAAAAGAATATGGATTGGCCTGATAAACAGTGGACAAAAGGGGTCACAAGAGAGGAGATGCTCGCGGACTTTGCTGGTTGCGACGAGCGCCTCCTGACCTTTCTTCAGGTATGACTACGGTTTCCCTCTAAAAGGACTGCAGCTAATAAATTACGTAGTATGTCGAACCTGTTCGATGGGCATTATTCCATCACTTCGATACGCCAACCTACGCTTCCTGTCGAGTTGCCCTAGTTGGCGACGTGGCCCACGCCAGCACACCACATCAGGGCTCTGGCGCTGGCCAATGTTTCGAAGATGTTGCTGTGCTATCGCATCTGTTGACGCTTGTTGCAGACAAGACAGACTTGGATATTGCTTTTGATACATATGACACCATTTGTCGGCCCCGCGGACAAGGAATCGTGCACACGAGCGATGAAGCGGGGAGGATCTTCACCTTTACACAACCCAAACTCGGTGACGATATCGCCGCCATTGCGCAGAATCTTCAAAGTCGGTTTACATGGATCTGGGAACATGATTTGCAAAGAGATATTCGCCGCGCGGAGGAGGCATTCACGCAGCGGAAAACTAAACTCGAAAATGGTGGTGGGTAATTAGGCTACATCGTAGCCAAGGTGTATTAATCTCTATAATGAATACAAGCAGATCATGAGGCTCGCTAGTAAAAAGAATATGAAAATTCAAACCAGATTTAGACGCCGGAATCGTAAAGTCGACATGTTTTGAAACGAATGAGTAAAGGCTGAGGAGGAGCATATAGCCGGGCAGAGAAATCACGGCCGAAGTCGGTCAATTGATATCACCACTCCATTTTGTGAGGCACCATCTGATGATTGCAGTTCCATATCCTGTGGGTATGATGAGGCAGCCGATGCAACGACTACTGATTTTGCCGAAACGGAGCCATGAAACCGCGAGTAACCTTCGTCACCGGGTTCGATGATGGTCTGGTCTTCCCAGAAGGAGTGAATCCATGAGAAGCAGGGTCGCATAACGACTAGACTAGCGGCGATAATGGCGACATTCATCTCGATGGATGCCGCTGTGGTGGACGGAATAAGAGTCCATGTCGTATCTGTGTGGGATTTTGTTGCTGATGTGGCAATAAAACTGAGGCGAACAATGCTGCAGGCCGTATCACTATCGAATTTGTTAGAACAAGTCTTGTACTTTGAGTGGCTGGATAAGGCACGTACACAAGGCCAAGCAGAATTAAGCCGACAAGCTGCGTGATTTCTCGTTTGCGAAATCTTGTCCGCAGAAGCAACGGCAGGGGAATGCCGATGAGCAGCAAGCTGGTCAAGATATTGGCAGCTGCTGTTGAGTATAAGAATGCGCCATTGTTAATGCAATATCCTTCAGTCTTTGGCGCCCAGGATTTGTAGATAGGAGTACAGGCAAAGACCGAAACAAATGTTGCGGCAGTATAGTAGCCAAAGACAATGATAGCGGTAAAGTAGTTGACAGCGCGAGAGAGGGCAACGGAGAGCGATTCGACTTGGTCAAGAAGGTCGTAGTAGACGAAGAAGAGAGATAATTTCGTGAAGAGGATGGATATTTTGAAGAGAACTTGGCAGAGCCAAAAGAGCTGTTGATTGTTAGCACTGGCTCCGTCGCACGTTAGCTGTAGAGAGCAATGCGCACCTTTAGAGGAGTCCCCGCGTGGCGGATAGTTTCAGGCAGATCGGCTTCGTGCCAGCCGTAGCCGTATTTTAATACGCCTGTATTTGTTAGTCGACTTGCATGTACAACCGTACGACTGGTTGCGGGTTTCTTACAGAGTGCGTCAAAGATGGAATGTGTCATAGACGCTACCTGTATTAGTTGGTCAAGTTAGCTGCTGTTCTTTTCTGCGCTGCGCAGAGAGAGCGAGAGAGGGCTGAGAAGCGTCGACGTACTACTGCGAGCGATATACAGACGTCTGATATTGTGAACTTTTGGCGACTAAATCGAAAAACAACGCGCAACAGCACGACCAGAAAGGCTGTTATCCCAAACGACAGGCAGGTTCCAAGCAGAATCTGCCCGCGCGGGGGCACAGGCTGCCGACTGAACTCTTCTTCGTCCATCATTGTGTCGGATTCCTGCACCTCTGGTTACAGAGGGCTTGTGGTGATTTCTTTATGAGCAAATAGGCGATTCCATGAAGCATACGGCGTTAGCGAAGCGAGGGCGTGGGCGAAGGTGTTTTTGCGATATGCTTGGAGATGACGAGAGACGAGACACAGTCAGTCGCTAGCCACCATTTAGCGAGCGAGTCGACAAGCAGCTAACGTCCGGGTGCGCAGCAAGGTGGGTGCTTAAAGAAATTAGAAAAGAAAAGAAAAGAAAAAAAGAACCCAGAGGATGAAAAAAAAGGAGACCAGGATAGGCGAAGAATGAGGCGACGGAGAAATAAAGATCAGGGACGGGCGATCAGAAACCACTGGGGGGGGGCTGTCCAGTGGAGAGGTCTTGACACGGCTGAGACAAGATGGATGTGCAAGCGAAAAAAATGCCGCCAAAGGAGCGGCGACGTGGAATTTCTTTTCTTTTCTGATTTCTGACTGGCCCCCAACAGAGATGCAACGCTATGACGAGACACCGCCAGCGCGGCACACACACACACATATCACCGCGCTAGACCTTAGTCGTATTCAGTTACGACGGGACGATCTGTCCCCCTCCCTCCTCCCCTGCGGCACACAATGGCCCGAGTGGCAGTCAGAGTTTCTTTCCCCAGCGCAGCCGGGGGTCAGTTGGTTAAGGTCGCAACACCACCTGCTACTCTGTAATAGCACCATTACGCGGAAGCAAAAAGGGAATGAACAAGCCCACTTGCGCATTTCTATCGCATTGCGACGCCAGCGGAGTTGCTGCAATCCGACAGAGCCAAGAAACGGGACCACGGGAGAGGCGTTTTTCTACAGTGGCGCGCGCAGGACAGGGCTACGGGAGGTGGGCGGCAGCGATCCTGACGCCACTATTGTAAGTTAGACGCTAAATTTTAATGGCGAACCACTCTTTGTACGCTCCGCCCAGTGAGAGCACCTCCCTATAGCACAGTAGGCTGCTACCGTTGTTATGCTGACTGCCTTAGCGGGTGTCGATCAAAGTCTGTTTTCAGTGATGGAACGGCCTCGATGGGGGCGGTAGCCATGGTCGTCGGATTTCCGTGGTTCTTCAAAGAAAGAAGAGGCCAACGATGCAAAGATGCGACGACCCGTTGATTTCTCTCCCACCTCGAGCGGAGAGTAATTGGCATCCCCGCGGGCTCAAAGCAAAAGACAGGCACACTGTTTCGTTTGGAACTCAAAACGAACGTCATTTTAATGACATAGAGATAGACCAGGGCTTCGCTCACCAGAAACCGTACGATTGCACGAGAGCCAATTTTAACGCGCGGCGACCAAAACGGTCGGCGGTCCGTCCCCCTTGACCCGTGAAAGATACCCACTGGGCTCATTTCTGAGAACCCTTGCGACGCCTGTCCTGTGCGCTGAGCAGTGGAGTCAGCCAATCGTTGCTGACGGATTGCTACTGGCTGAGCTGAACGGGGGGTTCATGCCGCTGAATGAAGTAAGGGTCCTTTTGAAGAATTGCAGTTCGCGGATCATGGTGATCTTCAGCCGTGCCTGCAGTTCGCAACAGGGGATGAGCATCACGGACATCGCATGGCCAATCGTTAACGGCAGGCAAGCTGCGTGTGAGTTAGCGTACAATGGCCAGGGGCTGCTTTTGCTTTTATTTGGTACCCTGTATTTGACAAGCTTGCCGCTCACGAACGGTTGTGATATCTTCGGTGGTGTAGTACCTTGCGTTGAACATTGAGCTGAGGTGAGACGGTTAGGGCATAGCTAGTAAGAAATGTGGCTGTCAGACGGTTGAGTATGAATTCAATATACACTCTAGTTGCTCTAGTTGCTGCAAATGTCCAAAACGTGGTATACGATATTGTTGGTGTTCTATAGCTGCGACTCCATCAGCTGAGATAACTTCCCGCGGACGTTTTTCAGCAGCGTTTCAGGCCGACCGGCTTCGACCAATCTCCCCTGCTCCATGACCACCATAATATCGGCATCTAAAATAGTGTGCAGGTGATGTGTAACAATGATCTTCGTATAATCCTTAAAGTCCTCCTTTAACACTGCTTGGACAACACCTTCTGCAGCGGAGTCGAGATTACTCGTGGCCTCGTCAAGGAGAAGGATACCCTCATTACGCTTCTTTGACAGAACCAAACGGGCCAAACTCAACAGCAGCTGCTCGCCACGAGACAGGTCATCTGCATTGACGGCTTTGTCAAGCCCACCCAGGCGCTCGACCAGGGCGCCTAGTCCGACCCGTGCCAACGTTGAACAGATTTGGTCGTCAGTGGAGTTGTCTTCAGGGTCCACGTTGACACGTAAGCTTGCTGGAACAATCAGCGGGTTCTGTGTTGCTACAAGCAAACGCTCTCGAATGGTTTGGCGAGGTAGAGTGGCAATGTCGACCCCATCGATGGAGATGCTGCCCGAGTTTATCTCAACCAGCCGCAAGAGTGTTGCAATGATGGAACTCTTGCCGCTCCCTGTGCGTCCACAGATGCCAATTGTCTGACCTGGCTCAACATACAAATTGAATTCGTGTACCCCAGACGTAGTATTCTCGTAGAAGGCGCTCACGTTGCGGAACTGGATCTGCCCTTGTGCCGGCCAGTTAGTATCAGGCACGGCACACTCCTCAGGCTTGTCCTCCGGCTCTACAGCCTCTTCAAAGCTCTTTAAGCGCGCAATAGATCCTAAAGACGTTTCCAGCATTGTCCAGCCTCCAAGGAAATTGGACAATGCTGCACTAAAGGACAACACATTGTTTAGTGAAACACCCAGTAAGCCTGCACTAGTCGAGCCACGAATGCCAACTGCCAATCCAACAACGAGAACTGCCTCAGCTGCAACTATGAGGTCAAGAACTAGACTGAGCCAGCGCTGCATGCAATATAATGAATAGTATGGCCGTTGAGACTCGTCTAGAAGTGTAATGTTGGTTGCCTTGAACCACTCAGTCCAGCCAAATGTGCGGATTGTCATCAGCCCAGCCACTGTTTCAGCAAAGTGTGTATATAGAGGACTTCTTGCCTCAATATCGAGGATACGTAGCTGGCGAGAGGTGCGAATATAGACATTTTGCAGCGCCCAGATGGCGAGGATCAACAACGGAATTGTTGCTGCCATGTAGGAAGAGCCAGTCGCGACTAGAGCGGCAGCAGCCAGCGCCGAAAACAGATTCGTTATGCTCACAAGAACACCAGTGGCCAGTTGACCTTCAATAATGGTCATGTCTTGTGTGAATCTGTTCAAAAGTACACCACTGTCAGTGTTGGTGAAGAGCGCTAGTGGTGCGTTCATGACGGTTCGTAGCAAAATGGCGTGAAACTTTCGAGCTGTTGACGGTGAGATCCGGATAATTATTGCCCAGACATATGCGCCTGTGGAGAAGGAGTTTAAGAAAGCAAGAGCAATGAAGACGCCGATATAAAGCCCAATCTGGGTACCACCAGCATCGGTCCACCACTTGAGCCAGATTTGCGCGAAGCTATAGCTAAACACGTTAATGGCGGCAGAAGCAAGGAAAAATAGGCCCGGAAACCAGTGAACGTGGCGAGAGTAGTATTTGTAGACGGTCAAGTCTCCAGTGGATCGACTCAGGTCGTTGATTTGCTGCGCACGTTTCAATTTTGCGTCGTCTGGCTTAGGCGAAATCTCATGAGTTCCTACAGCATGCGAAGGAGTGGCGTTGTCGCTCGCATTTGCCAGGTCCAGTGCTTTGGCGTCTTTGGTAGATGACTTGCCAATGGTTCCGTTGTTAAGTAGGAGGACTTGGTCGGCATACTTTAGAAAGTCGGCTACAAGACTGTTAGAACGGAAGGTATATTCTGGGTAATGAGTGGAAGCTTACCTGTTGCTGTTGTCAAGATCGTAGTTGTTCTACTTGCCTTCAGAAAGCCGCCTTGTCCAAAGAGAGCCAAGAAGACTTTTCGCTGTGTTGTCCAGTCCAAAGCAGCAAAGACATCATCCAGAACCAACAGTTGTGGTCGTGAGTACAGAGCACGCGCTAGAGCAATGCGGTGCTGCTGTCCGCCGCTTAGAGAAGAGCCGTTGGAGCCAAGCTCAGTCAAGTCTCTGTCCTCAAATAGGCCAATATCGTGGTTAAGATCACATACTTCCAGGCATTTCTGGTACCTTGCCTCGTCAAAGGGACAGGCATTTGTGACAGGGCCGATGATTGCCGCTCGAAGGGTAAGGTTTGGCAACCACGGCGATTGTGAGCAATACGCAGTGCGACAGTCTGATATGGTCAAGGTACCGCCCTGCTCAATAGGCAATTCACCAAGAAGGGCCTTTAGCAACGTTGTTTTACCAGTAGCAACTGGGCCTGCTAGAATGGTCAATGACCCTGGAGCAACTGAGAAATTGACATTTGTAAGAATTGGCGCTGTGTCTGGTCCCGGCCGAATAGAAACATTTTCTGCTTGAACAAAGGCTCGAGAGGGCTCTTTGTTTGCAGGGGCAAGCTCCTTTAGTTCGATCCCACCATCAGCAGAAGAATCTGATGTTGAAGAATGTAATCCTTGGAGGTTGCGTTGGTCAATCTTTGGCTTGAGAAGCAAAAAGGCTTGGATGCGATCAAAGCATCCAAAAGTTGATGCTGTTGAGGGAATGGCGCTGACAAGCTTGGCTGTAGGATCTGTCAAGAGATGGATAACAGCCAAGCTGGAGAATGCTTGAACTGTATCAAGCGATGCTTGGCCACGGGCAAGAGCTTGGCCGGCATAGATGGCAAATGTCAGGGCTGGGGTAAGGGCCCAGGGAAGATTTTGGACTACGTTTTGCCACAAAATGCTCCATCGAAATGCAGCCATTCGTACTGTCTCCTCAATGCGATACTGCTGCAACATGGTTTCAATAGTGCTCTGCAAGCCGAGCATCTTCACACCTTTCATACCGGCTAGGACTGCCGAGGTGAATGAAACACGGGCCTGAACGGCGTTTACCCAGACCTTTTGTTTATTACCGATGGTCTTGCTGACCTGTGCGCCTCCGAGAAAAGCGACTGCCCATTGTTAGAAAGTATCCTTGAAAGTAAAATCATAGTCATGCACTTACCAATGACAAGTATAATTGGGACAACGGAAACCCAGCTTAGTTGAATCGATAGGAGGATGATGCCAATGATGACTTCGATTGTCTGGGACCAGATCTCATTCAGCTCGGGTAGAGAACCTGCAATACGATCTATATCTGCACTCATGAGGGTCAAGGTGGCTGAGTTGTTTCCATCACCATCACCAAGTAGAAGAAGGTGGTCATAGATGCAAGACTCGGTGGCGCCACGGAACATGGTGATGAAGCGATACATGATCTGGTGGTAGTGGAGCTTGCAAACGGCAAGACCAAGATAGATGAGGGCGGTGGCTCCTATCAACGTGTAGCCGATAGACTTCGTTTCATCCGTGACAGGCTCGTCCAATAACGTCAGGGTTCTGGATATCAGAAATACTTGGGCAAATGTCAGAGCGATAACCAGGATTCGTGGTACGGCAGCCAGAGCCAGAGGCCGCCAAAAGGTTCTTAGAACGGTGTATGCAAACTCGAATCGACGTTCTGGACGTCGTCGCGCTAGCCATGCGTCGTGCATTTTGCGGCTAACGTGGACTCCCGACAGTGCGCCGTCCAAGTTGAAGAGGTCGCCGAGAGTCAGCCTGGATCTGAACCCTTTAATAAATAGCGTATTGAGCCAGAACTGGAAACTTCGGTTGACAATTCCAGCTATAGCTTCTGGTGGCAACTGCTGATACTGTTGTTGTAAGATACTCTGCTTCGACCTTGCCTCTAAAAGCAACAAAACCGCTTTGCTCGCGAGTCTTGTGACAAAAAGAGTAGCAATTGGCACGCTGGAGCCAATGATCCATAGTGTTCGAGCTTGAGCAAGATCGAGCAATGTGGAAAGAGCAAGGTATGTACTCAGCACTGTCGATGGCCTAAGTGATCTCGCATCTTCGAGGGAGGCCAATATTGGAAGCAAGACTGCCACAGCAAGGTCTACAGCTGCTGCTGGGACGGCGAATTCTGACGAATGCGACTGCAGGCGGCTCCATAGTGCTAATAGTGATATCTGTATGGCGGCGTAAACAAAGGCGGCAACCTGTAGAGCAAACAGTTAGCAAAACCAGTCTGCGCGTGCACCTGATTGCGCGTATCCCTTACAAGCTTCAAGTTCCGTGACAGATTGGGCACTGTCTTTACGGATTGCTTGGACAGATAGACGACTCGTGGAATACCTGCTACCAAAAACAGGCCCGCAGGAATCAAGCCAAAGATTGCCTGTTCAGCAGCAAGCGTAAAGTCGAGGCTTCTGCTATCGCAGTCTGGGCTAGCAACGACTTTGAAGCCGTGGCAATTGGACGCCATAGTTTGCACCGGAGAAAATTGCCCTCTTGAAGCCTTGATTGGCTGGTTGCAAATGCGTCTCTTATGTGTATTGCGTGATGAATAGCGCAGTGGGAGATTAATATAGAAAAGAGAGAAGGCTTCGCCCCAACACGAACGAACAACCCCAGCAGGCAGGCGGCGTGACCTGCCAAGCTTACCTAAAAGAAAATCTGGGGGACCCTGAAAACCCGCAAGCTGACATTTTACACTACGCTCAACATACAATGTCACATCCGCCAAACTGCCTTTTTCAAGTTTAGTTGCATTAAAAAAAATAAAACAAGTCAGTTTATTCATCAAAATTTATCCAGCTAACTCTGCATTTCTAGCCAGATGAAGGCTCCCTCCCATTGCTCGACTTGCTTGACCGTTTCAATGGCTTCCTCTCCGTCGGCGTCAATACAATTTGAGTCACTGGCCGAAGCGGCGCAGTCCCCACCCCAGCCTGATTCCATGCAAATCCCATCGGCCAGTGCTACGTTAAATCAAAAGAGGAGCAGACAAGGTGACCGATTGGATGCGGCGATTGAGAGAGACGCGTGTGACCAACAAATACCTACAATTCGCTGGTTTCAACTACAAACATAATAAATCGGATGTCGGCATTAGCAAGTAATTGGCTATAGACTGTGGCATGCTATACAGCATCCATTGTCGTCCGTAGTAGAGGCCGAGGTCTTCGCCAAAAGTGTCTAAATCCACAAAGCCTACCTCAGGCTAATTGGTTCTCCATCCTTCTCAACAGCCTGATTCACGCTTGGTTTTGCTTCTTTTTTTCTTCTTCACCATTCAAACCTTCGCAAATATGATCCGGCTACCCTTGGAAATCGTCGATGCTATTATCGATAAAATTGATAATGAAAAGACATTTTCAGCTGCAATCCTATGCTCTCGATCCATATTCAACTCTCACGTTGGGCGTTTATACCAACTCAACGATGAGAAATGTGCAACCAATGGCAACCTAGAAAGCCTTGCTAACGGCTACTCGACACATGCATGCGACTGGGCTTCTCTTAATGGCCAGCTTTCTACGTTGAAGAGAGCAAAAGAAGCCGGAATTGTCATTTGTGACCTACAGCGCCTGAGATGGGCTGTTGAGGGCGGACATATGGCAGTGCTACTCTATCTTTTGGAGCAGAAAGACGATGCCATAGATATCAACTCACGTTTCTTGGATGGCCTAGCGCTTTTGGAATGCGCCGTGCTGGCTGGAGAGCTGGAAATAGTCAAGCAGCTGGTGGCTAGCGGCGCTAGCATAGAGTCCAATCCGAACAAGGAGAATGCGTTCCATCTAAGCGTGCGGGATAGACATTGTGATATCTCTGATTTCTTTCTACTCAAAGGGATGGATCCGTCGCTGAGGGGTCCTAATGACATTACTACGCTGAATATAGCAGCAGGGCTAGGGGACGTGGACATGGTGAAGACGCTGCTCGCGGCCGGAGTACCAGTCTTTTTTTTTTATGTTATTTTGTTTTTCGAGATCTACACGCCGCTGTTTGACGCCGCTGAAGGCGGGCACGTACAAATTATGCGTATACTTCTCGTACTTCTCGCTCATGGAGCTAGTATTTCAGCCACTCGGCTTTGGGGATTGACTGCTCTGCACATTGCTGCGCGCAATGGGTACACAGAGGCAGTGAGGATACTTCTTGACCACGGCTCCGATATTAGCGCTGTTGCGCACCGTCAGCATACAGCTCTTGAACATGCCGTTACCGGTAGACACTTCGACATGCTTGAACTGCTTATAGGCCGTGGCGCGAGCGAGTCAGCCGGAGACGTTGCCCACGCGCTTAGAATTTCAGTTTCTTTGACTTTTGTACAAGCCGCTGAATTTCTAATTAAAAACGGTGCAAATGTCAATGAGATGCGATACGGTTGTGGGGTTCTGCATCTTGCAGCTGAGGCTGGTAATCTGGTGATGATTGAACTGCTGCTTCGTCATGGTGCCAACATATCTGCAAGGGTCCCCTATGGCAAAACTCCGCTGCTATATGCTATTGATGCCAATCAACCTGCTGCGGTTGAAGCCCTGCTTGCTGCCGGTGCTGATATCGAAGAGCCACATCGGGATGATTACGGGTGTCGGCCGCTCGGTTTCGCCGCCTGTAGAGGACACGATGAAATTGTTCGTATTCTTCTCGACCATGGCGCCGATATGGAGGCAAGAAATAGCGTTGATGCCACAGCAGTGGTATCGTTGGCCACTGAGGGGCATGTGTCGACCATGCAGCTACTCTTGGAACGAGGTGCTGATGCTAGCAGCCGCACATCATTAGGATACAATGCACTTGAGGCAGCCACGTGTGATGATGATCTTGAGATGGTTCGTCTCCTGCTACAAGACAACATACATAGACCACAGCCAAAACTTCAGCTCCATGAGGCCTTCTATTGGGCCTGTAATGGCGGAAGGGTAGCGATGGTTGAGCTGTTTATCGAGCAGGGATGTAACGCCGCAACGGATGGTTTGCCATCTGGATTACTAGCAATGCATGGGGCCATGTTCAGTGGCAACGCGGAGTTAATTGATTTTCTCCTTGAGCAAGACGAAGCAGACATTGACTGCCGCACGGCTCTCGGGCGAACGCCGCTATTTGAGGCTGCAGAAGGAGGAAAATTGCCTATGGTTGAATATCTCCTGTTAAGAAACGCCGACCCTGCTGCCAAGGATGTATACCAGGCGGCGCCAATCTTTGCAGCCATGCGCAGCGGGCATTTAGAAGCTGTAGAGCTACTTGTGGAAGCGTGCCCAGAGTCCCTGTTATGGGTAGATGGGTTTGGGCGCACCCCTGTGCAATGGGCAGAATTGACGGGACCGGAGCAGCTTGTAGCCTTCACAAACGATTTGCTACGGAGGCATGAGTTGTCATATGCATTAGAGATATGCGTCAACTCGCCATTTGCTTTGCCGCCGACCTGGGATCCGGAGAATCACTGGTGCGCTGTCTGCACGCGCAAGGTTGACCATCGAATCTCGAACATGAATTGCACAGTCTGCCTGGATGGCGACTTTATCATCTGCAACGATTGTGTGGGCGAAGGCATGGTGTGCTTGGACGCGGCACACAGATACAGCATGTGGACTAATAAGGGCACTGATTGTCTCTTTTGTGCAAGATCCCTAGGTGCCCGATATCGCTACACCTCGTCGAAGTGAGTTGGCGGCAATTCTCAAATGAATATATGCATTGCGACACTTGCTTTATTCTGTTCCTACTAACGAAGAAACAAAAACAGATAAAAATCAGTTCTCTATATATCCCGTGGACAGAATAATACTGTTGCATATAAGAGGCATTACGGTGTTTTATATCCAAGATGCATAACATTTACTGGAATAGCAGACAGCCCATGCATTTCATAACTGCTCTCCACTTTCATGAGTTCTGCTCATTTTCTTCGGTCCCAAATACGACCAAGCCCCTCCCGCCGCCGCCGCTCTTTTCCGCCTGCAGATCCCCATTCGCCCACATCCCTTTGCCCACCAAGCCATCCACTAAAGGAGACGCTAACGGGCAAATTCGCTTCGTTTCAGCATCCTCTAGTGCCCGCCACGTCCTTCCCGGCCCCCACTGAAGCCCTTCGTCTAATGAATCTGCCGGTGGGTGGCGGCGAGCCAAGTCCCAGCAAACCCTGCATCTCCTAGGATCGACGGGCTCTGCTGCCAGCGCAATACTGCACCTTCAAGGTAACCCAACCTACGTAGCTGGTGCTGTGAGGTGAAAAGGAGCCTAGTGGGAAAAAAAATTGACGTCTTCCCACCCACCCAAAAGCTTCCATAGAACATTCTTTTCTACTCCGCAATAGTCTCATCTCCCAGCCGTTTTGTTCCCCCCCTGCTTATGTGCGTTGTTTTACCTCAGCTCGGAACAATACCTTTTTAGCCTTTAGAAACTTGTTGATGCACACGAGGTTGCATTTGTGTACCACGCCGTCGATATAATGGCTGAAGAGAAGCTGCCCGCGGGAGCGTCCGACGCCAGCACCAGCTCTGGTATGTATCCCGCCCGTGCCGAGCCGTGCCGCAAAACTCTAAATCCCAGCCCAAGCGCAAACTCTGTTTCGGTTTGGCGATCAAGGAAATAAGCAGGTACTAGATGCTAACCTCTCTCTTCCCATTATAGATGCCGCTGTGAGCGACGTTGATAACGCTGCTTTGAATCGTCGCGTCACCAGAAAATGCGACATCCGCCTTGTGCCTATCCTCGGCGGACTTTACTTCACTGCGTTCCTGGATCGCGTGAACATTGCCAATGCCAAGCTCAATGGCTTTGAAGCGGACTTGCACATGCCAGATAATGGCTACAACACTGCCATCTGGATCTTCTTCCTGTCCTTTGTGCTGCTGGAAGTGCCGTGCAACATCTTTCTCAATTGGCATCGCATGCAGCCAAACTACTGGCTTGGTCTGATGATGTTTCTACTAGGTAAGTTAATCTACACCACATATTCGATTTCAATGCGAAATATTAACATCGAACTAAACAGGTATCGTGTCCATGTGCCAAGGCCTCACACAGAGCGCAGGTGGCCTCTACGCATGCCGCTTCATCATGGGCGCCTTGGAAGGTAGTTTAGGACCTGGCGCCGCGCTGCTCATGGGTCAATACTACCGACGACATGAGTTTGGCCCGCGATTTGCGTGCTTCTTTGTCTGCGCGCTCGCAAGTACGGCTGTCAGCAGCGTAAGTGCTTCTTGTATATCATTGACTAGCACCTCGCCTTTTCTAACAACTTGTCATTTTCTAGTTTCTTGCATACGCGATTGGTCATATGGAAGGCGTTCACGGCATCCGCTCCTGGCGCTGGATCTTCATTCTTGAAGGCATAGCAAGCATACTCTACGCCGCCCTGTCATTCTTCATTATTCCTCCGTTTCCCAAAGACGCCAAGTTCCTCACAGAAGAGGAGCGTCGCTGCCTGCTCGAACGCCTAGAGCGTGAGCGCGGCGGCGAAAAGGTCTCGATGCGAGACATCAGATGGACCAAGATTCTCTTCAACTGGAAGGTTTGGCTAGCGTACGTCACCTTTTCATCACTGTATAGGTCATTCCTCTTGCTAACGCTTTGCACAGCACATTCATCTACTTTTGTGGCGACCTGTCATCCTCCTCCAACGTCTCATTCTCTCCGACAATCCTTACGCAACTCAACTGGAAGGCGTCGCAAGCGCAGATTCACCAGATCCCCATTTACTGCGTCGCAATTGTGACGTCCATTATTGCGCATATACTGTCAGCCCGCGCCGGTGTGCGATTCCCGTTTATTCTTATCGGGTGCTCTGTGTCGCTGATCGGCTGGAGCATCCAGATCGCGCAACTCACCCACAATCCCTCTGTGCGGTACTTTGGCCTCTTTATGATTTCGGCCGGCGCTTCCTTGACCATGCCACTGTCCGTCGTATGGTTGAACAATAACTTGGAGGGAAGACCAGAAAAGGCTGTTGCTGCTGCACTTCAAATGGGCTTTGGCAACAGCGCCAACTTTGTTAGCAGCAACATGTTTATTAAACGCGAAGCACCATATTACTGGACTGCCTTTACGGTGGGAACTACATTTGCTGTTCTGGGCATTGTGGCTACCTTAGTTTGTGCCGCTCTACTAGCGAGGGAGAATAGAGCGCTGGATGAAAAGGAAAAGCGTGGAGAGGCTACAGATGGAACGGAAGATGGGTTCAGCAAAGGAACCAAGTTCAGGAATACACTGTAATGTAGACGAGTATGGAATTTTTGTAACTGGCGTTTGTGGGAATCAAAAATGGCACAAGGTATACAGGATGCAGGACACTGAACATAGACTGAAATCATACGTCTTCATCAAAACAAATACTCTTATTCATCATCTGGCCTCATCTAATGCAGTGTCTATCAGTTCTTTCTAATCATATCGCTAATCTATGCCTCACTTTTCTCTTTTGCTTTTCTCTAACCACTACGCCGCGCTCCCCTGTGTGAAAAGAAAAAACAAAAAGAAATCGTCATCATCATCAAGTGTGCTGGTCACATCTTTAAGCAGCAGGTCTCTTAAGATCCTTGTTCAAGAGCGACTCGCCAGTCATCTCCTCGGGCTGGGGCAGACCCATGGCAGCGAGGATAGTAGGGGCAACATCGCCGAGAACACCACTGCTCTTGCGGAGGCTCCAGCCCTCGGGGGCGTTTGCCATGATGAAAGGAACAAAGTTGGTGGTGTGCGAGGTCTTGGGCTTGCCGTCGGCAAACTTCATCTCTTCGGCGTTGCCGTGGTCGGCGGTAATGAACAGAATGTAGCCCTCCTTCTTGCATGCCTCAAGGATCTTGCCGATAGCCTTGTCGGTAGCAGCGCAGCCAACAATCGCGGCCTCGTAGACACCGGTGTGGCCAACCATGTCGGGAGGAGCAAAGTTGTTCATGACAAAGGGGAAGCGCTGCTCGCCGAGACGCTTGGCAACCTGGTCAGCGACGCCGTCGGCAGACATCTCTGGGGCAAGATCGTAGGTGGCGACGCTCTTGTTGGAGGGAACAAGATCTTGATCCTGGTCACGGATCTCCAAGGGGAAGACCTTTTCAACACCACCGTTGAAGAAGAAGGTAACGTGGGCATACTTTTCAGTCTCAGCAATGTGGACCTGCTCGCAGCCCTGCTTGCCGAGCCATTCGGCCAGGACGTTGTCCATCTTCTGGGGCTGGAAAGCGACATCGAAAGGATAGTCGCCCTTGTAGCGGGTCATGGTAACGAGAGCCTTGAGCTTGGGCATGGTGAAGTCCTCGTCAGGGAGCACGGAGGCATCAACGCCACCGAGAACCTGTGTGATTTGTCGTACGCGATCGGATCGGTAGTTGAAGAAGAAAACGGTGTCGTCATCTATACAAAGTATTAGTACCATCGCAATTGGAATCAGTCGAGATGCATACCCTTGATACGGCGCTCATCGCCACCAACAATGATGGGAGTCAAGAACTCGTCCTTGTCCTTGGCGCCACCCTTCTCGTAGCGGGCCTTGACGGTAGCAACAGGGTCCTCGGAGGCTTCACCCTCACCCTTGATCATGCCCTTGAGAGCAATCTCAACACGCTCCCAGCGCTTATCACGGTCCATGGCGTAGTAGCGGCCGACAACGGTGGCAATCTCACCGACTTGAACCTCCTTGAGGTAGTCGACAAGCTCCTGCATGTAGCCAGCGCCGGACTTGGGGTCGGTATCACGGCCGTCGCCAAAGAAGTGGATGTAAACATGCTTGACGCCGTAGGCCTTGGCAGCGCGGAGAAGGGCGTTGAGGTGAGTCTGCTTGGCGTGCTACATGGTGTTAGTTACAATACAAAATTCACTCTGCACCATATGAAACTTACAACACCACCATCGGAAATAAGACCGCAAAGGTGGAGTCTACCATTGCCGGCAGCGGCACCCTCAAAGGTCTTCTTGATGACCTCGTTGTCGTTGAGCTCGTCCTTCTTGATGGTCTGGTCAATGCGGACGACATCCTGCCAGACAACACGGCCAGCACCGATGTTGAGATGGCCGACTTCAGAGTTGCCCATCAGGCCCTCGGGAAGACCAACGGCCAGCGAAGAAGCGTCCAGCTCGGTGAAGCCGGTCTCGCTCTTGGAGAGCTCGTCCATGACGGGGGTCTCAGCAGCAGCAATGGCGTCGCCATCCTTGGGAGATTCGGCAGAAGGGATACCCCAACCGTCAATGACGACTGTACGAGCGCCAAACAAACATTGTTAGCCAACCGACCTCTAAATAGAGCAGCATGTAGCAGAAAGCGAGGATATAGTCGACATTGTTGGGTCGCTGGCGAAGGAGCTCGTCGTCATTGCCGACAGACTGTAGTTGCGGGAGTGGCTTGTTGATTTGCCGTCGGTAATTCGATGACACAGTCTGTGGTCTATTCGATTGACGCGTCGGAGCTCTATCGGGCGACATCTCCTCGATTGCGGGCAACAATGACGACGAGTGATGACGATGGCGGGGCATTGGGGAGGAGGGGCTGGACGTACTCAGGCAAGCCTTGTGCTCAGACTTGGAAAGGGTAGACATGATGAAATGATTTCGCAAACAAAGCTGTTTGGAAAAACAAAAAAACGTGAAGATGAAGAAGACAAGAGAAACGGAGGGCGAATGAGAGCTGCGTGATTTGCACGTCCTGTCTTTTCTGTTATCGGCAAGCTTGCTTATCTTAGGATTTTTTGGTGGGGTTGACATGACGTTGGGGGGGAGAACTGACAGCGCACTGTACCGTCACGTGGGGCGGCCTCAGTGCTGTGGTGGGCGGGCAGGCAGCCCAGGTACAGTGTGCGCGGCGCCCGATAACCCGATTGCTCCAACGCCAACCAAGCCTGTCACCACCAAGGCCGCCAACGTAATACTCTTATTCACATATCTGCGCAGCTCTTACGATATTGCGACAACAAATATCCCCTACAAGCATTGAACGCTACCATTGTCCCACAAAGCTAGGCTAAGCCTCGTGTTACTGCGCCCAACATGACTGGCCAACCCCTCGCCCTTCCGCCGGCGCTGTCACCAGACTCTCTTGATGCTCTGTCAGAGCTGTCTCTCGTCGTTGCCAAAGTCCGTGCAGGCATCCAATCGTCCGCCTCAGACCCGCCTCCCACCGCTGCCGGCGGCCAAATCTCTTTCAAAGATCTCCCTGGCGCGACCGACGCCCTGAAACACAAGATCCAATCGGCGCGCTCACAGGTCAAGGCGCTTCCCGACATGGACAGAACAATAGAGCAACAGGCTGCTGAGATTGGACGCCTCGAAGAGAAAATAAAGTTGCAGAAAGACCTGCTAGAGCGGCTACGCGAAGATGGCGCCAAGCTCGGCAAGGATGTCGACAAGATGGAGACATAGTATCACGGACAAAACTTTGGAGTTGAGCGTGCATGGACGGCGTTTTGTATTATTATGATTATTATTATTACATTCTTGGAGTTATGGGGATATACCAAAATCTTTTAGAACGTCAACAACAGTACCTTTGCCTTCGCTTGTGACTGTCGCCCATTTTGTATCGTCTACCATTTGCGCCTCGGACAGCGTCGTCCAGTTCGGGCTGTGCGTCGCCTTTAGCCATTTGAAATCGTCTACTTGCGACCATTGATTCTTTTCCTTGTCGTCTGCATCCGTTGTCTATATTCCATCTGTCAGATGTATGTTTTCAAACGTACGTCAAAGACAACTTACGTAAAAGGCGGGCAATGGCGCAAAGCGCATGCCTGAACAATCTTCAATAATGGGATGGCTTGTGCAATACAAGTATATGTCCACGTTTTTGCACTCGTGAATACGCACTTGGTGTGCCACAATAACCAACACACTGTCAGATACACCTGTGATGTGCACTGGTCCGGCGACACGGCCTGCCACAACCACGGACTTTTTCACATCACGCATGGCCAGACCAGGAAATGGCCGTGTCTTTGTCGGTGCAGTAAAATCAACTACACAATCAGAGATGCTAGTCAGGCTACCTGCCGCTGTAGCCTCTGAGCCAGACTCTGGAACGATAACGTGTACGCCGCTTTGGTTGGTAATTGAGATTTGCTTTGCAGCGGTGAAGCTTGGGAGCCGGGCATTTGTGCCTGTCGGGCGTGATATATCCCGGTTATAGTCTTTCTCACTGTCTGCTTTAGCCGCCGCTACAGGACTGTGTGTTGAATTAAGCAAGGCTGGGAGCAGTCGTGGGTCGTTTTGCGGTTTGCCCATGTCAACATGTTGGACAGCAGCAGTAGTGCGTTTAAATTGGAACCGCGATTTTGGTGCAAGAGCCGCTCTGGTCTCATTTAGTTTGTCTTGGATGCCTTTAATTGCCTAGTTTTAATAATAGTTAGGCTGTAATTGGTAAGGCTTATCGAACAATCACCTACAAGAGAGTATTGGCGGCGGTCATAAGATGGTGTGTCTTCCGCTACATCTGCAACTTCATTTTGAAGCTTGGAGATGCCTGCCAGGACAACATCAATAGCACCTTGCCTCTCGCCAGCAATCGATGAAGTAGATTTTATCTGCTCAATCTGGTCTTGTAGTACTGTATTTGTTGCGCTTTGGTTAGTATCAAGACATTCTAGCAGACAACAGGGTATCCCGGGTAGGGTGAGTGTGGCGTGTACCTGCGACTTTGGATTGAAACTGCGTATAAAACTGCTGCTTGCTAACCATCTTGACAGCCTTTTTAATAATCTGTCGCCGGGGATGGAGTAGTAGTGAACAGGCTGAGTATGTGTGGCGCACGTGAAGTTGGATGAGAGAAGCACCGTCAATTGAGTTCGCGACCCCGCCGAGGGGCAGCATCCACCGCCCGCCAGCTGGCACATCTACGTTATCACGCGGACCAAGACTTTGTAACTTCTAAAACCCCAATTCTAAAACAAAATTATTCTTTCTGCTAATGCATTCAAACCACGTTTAATCTCATGCATAACGGACCAATCGCACGTTGATTACCGGATTGGGCCAGTGTAGACATCGCAAATTTACCGAAAGCATCACGCCGGCTGGAGTGGAGCGGCGGATTCCTCATTTTGCTCGCCGAAGTGACTCAAGATACCTTCACCAGCTTCATTTACCCTTCGACGAGAAAACCAGAGAATATAAAATCTCGCTGAGATTCCCTTCCGACAGCCAATACGACAACTCCAACTATCACATATCACCCTCCAAAACCTTTACAATGTCGCCAAGCAATAACGCCTACGACGGGCTCTCCGAGGCCGTGGCCGCAAGCTTCCACTCCACCCGCCTGCAATATATCCGCCCCGACGAGAACGACGCCAAGTTCCAAGCGGTGCATCGCGAGATTGAAAACGATCTAAACAGCCGCTCGCTCGCGTCCAATAAGCTCCTCCGCCCAACGGCGCCGAGTGCCATTGAAGAGGGCTTCAAGTCCTTTACTGATGCCCTGCTCGGCGTAGCCATTTGCCTGCAGCCCTCAGAGGAGGCTGCCGACTGGAACCCCGAGCATGGCCCTACTATTATTGGCACAATGGGTCTGGGCTGGGGAGGTGTCTCTCCTGACACGGCACATAACCGCAATGCGTCCATGGGCATCTCGCTTATTAAAAAGTACCAGAACAAGGGCTACGGCCGCGAGGCTATCAACTGGATGATTGATTGGGGCTTTTCGTATGGTGGACTGCACACAATCTCTCTCACAGCGGCCGAGTTTAACCCCGCCGGTCTGCATCTCTACAAGTCGATAGGCTTTGTGCAGGAGGGCCGCCGAAGAGAAGTGTGCTACCTGAATCGCAAATTTTATGATGAGATTGATTTTGGAATGACTGAGGGAGAGTGGGAAACACTGCGCGGTATCAACAAATAGTCAATTCAAACCTTGTACAAAATTCACATTTGGAATAGCGCAGGCGAATTATGGTTCAGATTAATTACTTGTATATAATCGAAATCAATGATAAAAATACTTGGTATAATCCATCTAATGTAACTCCTGGCATGCACTTCAAACCTATTATGTATCCTTCTCTTCTTACGGTGCGGTTTGCTTTTCCGAATGAGCTGGTTGCGGCTGCGACGCGTGCTGAACGGGTGGTGCCTGGTCACCGGGGCTCGGAAGCTCAGCACTGTGATGCTGGATGTATTCCGTCTGATAGTAGTGATCATCATATATCGGCAACTGGGCAGTGTAGTATCCGAGAGGGGCTTCATGGGAGGTCAACTCCGAAGGGGGCGACGGCGAAGTCTGCGGGTTGACTGGCGAGGGTGTGTAAGCCGTATGCTGTGGCTGTTGTTGCTGTGGCGAATATGCCTGGTTGTATGATGAATGGTCTGGAGTGGCGTATTGCTGCGGAGGATACTGCTGATACTGCGGACCAGCATACTGTTCGTGATGCACCTGATGATCTGTGCTAGGCTGAGGAGGAAGCAGAGGGGCTCCCTGGGCAGCCTGTTGCGTTGCGATCTCCTTGCCCTCCAACTGATGGGGCTCATCAGTGTTTTCCTTGGGGCTACTTCGGAATCGGCCTTTCTTTCTCTCTTCGGCCAATCTCTTGCACGTCCAGATGAAAGTGCCTGTATACAAAAGCCTGTTTCCTTCAGTTAGCCTGGTCGTCGTGTAATCCTTGGCGTGCCGCATACCAGATGATGGCACCGATACCTGCCGCAGCAGACATCAAGATCTGACCATTCTTAAACAAGATCGCCGTCCTTGTTTCCAGTTGTCGTTTAATATTGCACCATGAGCTGTTGATGAGACTTCCATCGTTTTGGCAGTTGGTTGGATTGACGGGAATGACAAACCCAGCACGGCGAGCAGCCGTCGCTGCAAAGGTGGCAATCCACATAATCCACTGGAAGCATTCTAACGAAACGACGGCGATGATGTGATAGTACGGTCGGCATTTGTTAACCTTTTCGGTAATGATGAGGTATGCGGTGATGATGAATGTGAAGAGGGCCTAGAAGCGTCTGTTAGCTGCGCGCCTTGCAAAATCTCCTCAGAAAAGCATACTTCGGCGATGCAAAGACCCAATTCCTCAATGTAAACGCCATGAATAATCACAGCAGCAATACCAAATACAAGCAGAGCAAATATCACTTGAAAAACGCGGGCGACAGTGATTCCCCACGGCGTGTGGAGGATCTTATCCTGGTTAGATGCTGCTGATTCGACCATGATTTAGATTTCGCTATTACACTATGTAAAGAACGAGTAAACTAACAACTCCGCGACACAGGAAAAAAGCCCCCCCTTCTTAAGACCTGGCGCGTAGCCATCCTATATTTATTTATCCTAAGCGACAGAGACAACATGCCATGGCTGTCCGCCTCACTTACATGGCCCAGACCGCCACCAGGCGCCACTCTATAAGCTGAATAGTGGTCTCTGCAGGTCAGCCGCAAATTTGGGGCCCCTGTGAACCCTGTAAAGCGCTTCCAACTACGGCGCTAATATTGGATACTGGTCAGGGCCTCTCGCGTTTTATCAGAAAGCGGAAGCTAACAAAACGGATCGAGATGAGCCGCCCGTGGATGGGTGGTTCCGTCGCGACCATGTGGTTGCAACTCTCGCTACCGCGCGGTGTACAAAGGAACGACGCTGCCTCTTCTTCTTATCTTCCGTGACGGCCTTGTGTATTCTTTTTCTGGCTTCGATTTCTTCTCTGTTGTTCCAACGTGTGTATAAGTAGTCCTTGTTGACTTGGGAGTGATTCTTTGTTAGCTGCTGTGTTTTTCCTGCTTCTGACTCTGAGTTGATCACTCTGGTGTCGCCCGTTGGGGACGTCACGGTGATTTCTGGCATGGCAGGATGCACCCCAGAAACTTCAGAAACTTGTTTCATGGCCTGAAGTCTGTGTACCTCCTTTAAGTGCGGCGGCAACGTACGCGAACGTACAGCTCCACGGCGTACAAGTCCCGTCGGTGGGTTGCTGCCTTTCATGTCCCACTGCAGAGACTTGTATTGCCGACTTGGCTGTGTGCATGTGATTGACATTGTAAAGTCGGGGTTAGGAGAAGAGCTTGCTGCACGTGGAGTGATGGGTTTAAGTTTTTCTTCTTTTTTTTTTTCGTATGATTGTGTTCGTATAGCTTGACAGACATTGGAAAAGAGTCAGATGCCATGGGTATATATACCATGAGCAAGTAATAAGGTTGCTTTACTAAGTTTCTTCAAGAGAAAAACTAGAGATATTCGAACGAAGCTAGAAGTTTCATTTGGAAATTTCTTCTAGAAAAGGTTAGACGGTCAGAGCATGTTATAAAAGTTTAGACGGTGAGAAGATGTTAACAAAGTTTCGACCATCAGAGTGTGTTAAAGAAAGCTCATGTTACGTCCCCTGGGTAATGTAAGCAATAGGCAGAAAACATTAAAATTATGTATTATCGAGTCTACAAACTCAGTGATATCTTGATTTTCCATTCCCTGTAGTACGTCGCGTTAAAGGAGGAATATGTGGCAGCTCAAAGGGCTTCTTTTGCGGCGTTTCAGCATTCATCGCACGCCACATCTCCCAGACAGTAGCCCGTCGTGCGGGAAGCATACTGTACTGTAAGCTATATAGATTTCTTCTATTAAGCGGTGGGACAAATTGACCGGTCAAGAGACATAAAAAGACCTTGGGTGAGAGGTAGTGCTTGCGGATGCGGTTGCCCATTTGAAAGTATTGATAGAACATGGCGCGGAACGAGAGTGGAACCGACTACAAGAGGATTAGTGGGAACGGAACATGATCATAGCAGTAAAATAGTTACCTTTAGATAAATGACGGATGTAGGAGGTTCATTCGACGTCGGCGCTGGCTTGTACTCGTGGGTGTCTCGAAGCTCGAAGCGGATGCCACCAGGGAGGCGTCTTGCGTCTTTGATTCGCAGCATCAGTGCAAATAGCGGGAAGTGGTTGAGACATGAAAGCATGGTATCAAATCCAGCCTTTAAAGAAATAATAATCATGCGTGCAATGGCGAAATTGAGGTAAAACACCATGACTGTCGGGAGGAGGAAGAAAAGTAGGGTGAAGAGAATCGTGCCCACAAGGAGCTGGTCGAGGTCGTAGTCGCACGAATCGATACGTTCGCGGAGAACATTGTGTTTCTTGCCGCGGAAGAGATGGAAGAGGGATTGTAGAATGGTCAGCTGCCAGTGGTATATGCGCGCTGATGCTAGATAAAAGGAGTAAATGTGGACGGTGAGGGCTGATAACAGGTCGGAGAACATGGCTAGTGGCATGCTTGCACCAGCAAACGACGAGAATCCGATAAACCAAATCATCTTTGGAAGCGCTGGGCTCAACATCTCGATGCAACTGGACCAGTAGTCAATAACCCAAAGGAACAGGTCACCGAGGAAAGCTGCCAGCTCGCCATTGAGCTTCAAACCGGCCGGCTGACCCATCAACCAGGAAATGCTCGACTGCAGCGCTTCTACTGTGTATCGGCGCAGCAAGTCGTTAATCTGATAAGCCAGGAAGTCCGATTGTTCAATGATGTATGAGCCAACAGCTATCCCGATGATAACGTCGTTAGCTACCAGCCACAGGCTGTTGTAGAAGCGGATATAGTCGGGATGACTCGTCGTAACGCTAGCCCAGTCCATTTTGCGCTGGCGTAGCGTCAGGTATTGCATTGGCCAGTAGCAGAATTGCTGGAGACGAATCTCAATTTGCTGTGCTGTTGCCGAAATATCTTTGAGCGCCGAGTAGCCTGGCTTAATGCGGAACTCTAGGATGCTCAAGAGAACCTCTGCCATCACGCGTTGGATGAAGAGAAATATGGCAAACGTCTTTCGGATAACGGGGAAAACGTATAAAACAAATACAGACCACATTTGCATGAGCACATAGTTGCGCATGGTGGCTGCAGACTCGGCGACTCGCTCAGACACACTAAGGCTGCGCTTCGGTCGCGGGCCGAGATTGCCGACATTGCTTTGGAGTGTCTGCTCAAGTTCCCAAGACCAATTGACCTGGTTGACAATCTTTGGAAGAGCCTTGTCGCGTGCTGATGCGGAACGGTCGAAGATGCTATGTGCCTTGAGCTTCTCTACGAGCTTTCGCTTCACGGCTTTCGCCTCCTTTTCGCGAGTCTCCTCCTTGCCGTCAACGTCGTTGACGTCGCCTCGCTCAGAATCAGAGGCGTACCATTTGTCACCCAAAGCGAGCGCTATAGGCTGCAAAGATATATACTGCATGCCCCTCGGTCGTGGCCGGTCGTATAGGATCAGTTGGACACTAGACGCTTTTGCGCAGGTAATACGTGGCTGTTTTGTGCCGGTATTGGTCGCTGCGCACACCCAAGATGGATCTAAGGATATCTGACTTGTTGCATTCGAGACGCCGAGGACATGCATCGAAGGGTGACCACACAGTTCGTAGATGCGAGTCGGATTGTGCGGACCGTTTCGGAAGAAGCCTCCCGACTTCAAGTGAAATTCGACATTATCAACCTGATGACTGTTAGCTAAGAAAAGCGAAGGGATATGTAGAGTTTCTTACATCAACGTCGTCAAGAATGGCGACAACAAAGACATCGAGGGTCGAGTTTCTCCATCCCACTACAACGCCTGGCCGATCTGATTTGGCAATGTCTGTCGGCCAAAAGACTCGCATTAACCCATCATGCTCAACCATGGCATGCGAATTATGTATATAGTTTCAGTGCATGAAGCGCACTAGAAAGATCCTCGTCGTCGGAGCTGTTCGCGGGCAGATACACTCGATCCGGGCTTCTGGGGGTGCTGTAACGGGTTAGCAGGGTTGGCCACTGGAGTTGCATAGTACAAAGACGAACCAGATGCGTTTCTTTTGTGGCAATAAATGCTACAGGAATAACAATGGCAGCAAAGAGCAGCGTCAAAGCAATGGCACCTCTAGCAGAGCGCGTCTACAAGTCGCAAAGGGGTTAGCGGAAGCTTGTCTCTCGGTGGCCAGGGATACTACTCACCACAACACCGTTGTCCCAAGCAAAAATGGCTAGTTCATAAAGACGGGTAACAAGATCCCACCGTGCAGTCGTATATCCAGCAACAAAGATGCCGAGTGTGAGAATGGAGAAGGGGTGCATAGGGGCGTTGTGTCTACCAGCGTAGCCGGGGCGTCGCCCTTTACCGCTTCTGCCCGTTCAGGCACCGTTGGTCGGGCGGCGAGACGTTGCCTTTGTACAATCCTGCACAAGGGCCAGCGGATAGTGCACGGTGCGGTGATATCGGGTTTGCAAGTCGAGGCAGAGTGTCGTGAGGCTGTGTTGACGAGATCGTGTTTAGCTGGCATCTGGCGGCAGTCGTAGATTACGGCCCCTGTGATTTGCTGCCAGACCAGCTTTCGGCGGGGCAGTCTTGCTGTGGCGGTGTTGTCATAGTGTGGCGGCTAGCAAGGTTCGATACTCTTGAAGAGAAAAAAAACTTATACTCAAGCACAACATATTAAATTAAATTATTTTAAAATGTTAAACGGTTAATTACTACGAGGATATCATGTAGCTACTACTGCCAATTTGTACACTGTAATAGAGTTACTGGTATCTGTCGACAATGGAGAATACAGGCGAAAACACGGCCTGCTCGGATACTATCACATACATTTCTACGGTGAATATAGGGGTATTGCATTCATTTCGAATTTGAATGTTTTACTGCAGCATAATGGCAAACCGCCTACTAGAGCTTCATATAGTAGATTGGAGTTTATATGTACATTTTCGCCGCTGTTGCATTCAGACGAACAGCGTCATTATAACACAGAGTTGCAAACACGTCTCATTCTGTTGGGAGTCAGTATCCAGCTATACATGGCGACTAGATAGTAATTAGAAAAAAACTCACTTCGAGGGGCCATTAATCGTGTATCGTTATCCTTGTTATCTTCCCTTGCGTCCGCGACCAGCTTGTCAACCCCCCTTTCCTTTAATGTAACCTGTAATGGTCAACAACTGCCGGAATTCGCAAAGTCATGGTCTACTTACAGTCAGACACTTTTGATAATCTTTGAATAGTTCGGCACATTCATTATTGTCCTTTTCCTGGCCACGGAGATACTCTGTTAAGCCTAGAGATTAGCACTGAGAACGAGGTCAGGTCCGCATTACGTACTCTCACTATACCACTTCAGAAAGCAGGTATCGTAGCGTCTACAGACGGTTAGAATTATTGAATTGCATGATTTCATAGATAAACTCACTCTTTGACTTCGTTGCATTGAGGCGCGAGGGATGCAGACATGTTGACGGTGATGATGAAGCAGCAACGTTTGCAAGCCAGGTGGCGATTTACGCAGAATTATATGTGTCTGCAGACCAACTTATCAAAACGTGAAAAATTGTCTGGTTTACTTTGGCCAAAATTTAGCTCAATCTGGGACACCAAAGAAATTTGGCATTATTTTATTATAATTGAATACGTCCGTACTTCAATATTCTTACCCGCACGACGCAAATCATCAGCCTTACTGACCATCGACATCGCCGCCCTCAGGCCCCACCAGGTTCGACATCTAGAGCTCGTGCCGGTTTCCAATCAGCGCAAAACTCAGTAACCAATACCCAACACCACAATGGGTGATCATGATGAAGCTCTGAGCAAGCCTCAGTACTGGGATGATCACTACGGTAAATCAGACGGCGAGAATCCCACTCACGAGTGGTTCCGCACCTTTTCTGATGTGGAAGACTTTTTCCAAAAGTTTCTGATTCAAGCGCCGGGCACAGCACCCGCAGACGATCCTGTTATTCTCCATCTCGGATCCGGTGATAGTGTAGGTTTTATAAGGCTTGACAGTACTGAGCCACAAACTGACAGCCCCAGGTTGTACCGGCTGAGCTGCATGCCAAGGGCTACCGCCACCAAATATGCGGCGATTTCTCCACCAAGATCCTAGATATCATGACGGAGAGGCATAAAGAGCTGTCAGGAATTACGTGGAAATGGATGGACGTGCGAAACATGACTGACACGCAAGACAAGTCAATAAACGTTGCCTTTGACAAGGGCACTCTCGACGCCATGATCCACGGTAGCCCATGGAGCCCGCCTGACGATGTTAAGGACAATACGAGCAAGTATCTTCACGAGGTACACAGAGTTTTAAAGGATGACGGCGTCTTTCTGTATGTAACATTTCGCCAAGTCCATTTTATGCGGCCGCTGCTGATCGTAGACGGCCTCTGGGACTTGCAGTTGGAGACGCTTGGCGGAGAAAACGGTGGTTTTGAGTATTTTGGATGGATTTTGAGAAAAGCAAAAAAGCAATAAATACAATAAAAGGAGTAATTGATACCGGTAACGAACTTAGATAATGAAAATATATAGCGATACATATGTTATTCAGCCCCAGCCTGTCGTCGCTTGTCCCGCCGCCGTTGACAGCCAATGACGTTAGCAGGCCGCCGCCGTTTTCCGGACGCGTCGCGACAACATCCCACCTTGAACTGCCATAATCATGCCCGGCACACCAGTCTACCATTACAAATAACAAAACTCGCCAACTATTCAATCATTGACGTCGCAAACAGCACTAGAATAACATCATTGCTTTTGCGCACAATTAATCGCTCAGAATGGCGCCCGCCAAGGAAATCGAAGAGGCCCTCATGTATGGCACCTTTGAAGTATTCACAGCAGACCCCGACAGCACTACAGTCAACAAGGTCCGTCAGCACGTCGAAGAAAAGCTGTCTCTAGACCAGGGATTCTTATCCAACGACGATTGGAAGGGCAAAAGCAAAGAGCTCATTAAAGAATACGTGGTACGTCTGGCGCATTGCGCACTGTGACAAATAGACTAACCGCCACCACCTACAGAGCAAATTGCTTGAGGGATGGAAACCAGAGCCGAAAAAGGAAGCAAAAGAGAAGCTTAAGAAGGAAACAAAAAACGGAAAGCCGAAAAAGAGCAAGTCAAAGGCAAAGATTCAAGACTCAGATGACGAAAATGACGACGACGATGACGAAAAAGAAGAAGCTGTGTCGCCCAGCAGAAAGCGCAAACATACGCCCGACAATGACGATGACGAAGATGGCGACCAAAAAGTAGACGAATCGGACGAATACTCAGACGTAATCGACATTATACCGACCAAGCGCAAGAAGGGGTCCAAAAAGGAACCCTCGTCTCCGAACAAGACAAAGCCCAAGAACCAGCCAAAGAAGCCATCTGGCGATGAAGACCCTCTGGACAGCGAGATCAAAAAACTACAGTCGCAGCTAACGAAATGTGGTGTCCGCAAGATGTGGCACAACGAACTCAAAGACTATCCCGACGCGCGGGGTAAGATTCGCCATCTGAAGCAGATGCTCACGGATATCGGCATGGACGGTCGTTTCTCGGAAGCCAAAGCGCGCGAGATTAAAGAGACACGTGAGCTGCTAGCTGATGTAGAGGCCGCAAAGGAGATGAATGCGCTCTGGGGCGCCGAGGGCGAGGGACGAGCAAGTAGGAATAAAGGACGTGCGAAGAAGATTGTGGATAGCGCGAGCGAAGAGGACGAAGAACAGGACGACGAAGACGAGGAGGTTGTGGTCGCGGCAAAGAAGCGAGCACGAGCTGACTTGGCTTTCCTGGGAGACTCGGACTCTGATTCAGACTGATGAAATGGTTTAGTGGGAAAGCGTGGTGTTTGGGCGTTTGGGCTGCTTTTGCCATGTCTGTCGGTGTATTTACGCGGGATGAGGCACGTTTGGGTCAGGATGTATAGTAAAAACGAATAATATCCATGTATTAAGATTTTGATTATATGCGCTTGTTTAGTCAGACCATCCGCGGTAGACAATTCTGCTTCCGTATACTGCGCCCTTCTTCAGGACCGTCATGCCTCGCCAGGCATCGACATTGACGGCGTTGGTCCAGCGTCCTGGTTCGCAGCAGAAGGCAGAGCGGCCGCCTCTTGCCGGGAGGCCTTCAATTTCGGGGACGTTAGTAAAGTCGCCCGTGTAGAACTGGAAGCCTGGCTCCGTGGATAGCACGTCCAGATGGATGCCTGTGGACGGGTGGAACGCGCGCATGTTGAGGCGTAGTGGTTCGTTTCTTGTATCAATAGGCACGCTGGAGGGATCCGTCACGGGTGTGAAGCAGTGGTCGATGCTAGGCTCTGTCGCGCCGAGCGTAAATGTCTGTGTCGTGTCGATGCCTGGGAACGCAGTCGGGCCCGAAGTAGGAATACCCGTTGAGTCCATTGGTAGATGGCTGTTGGTGCCGAGGGAGACCTGCGTGCCTGCAAAGGACAGCTCGTTGGTGAGGTTAAAGTACGAGTGGTTGGTGATGTTGACAGTCGTCTCTTCGCCATCCAGCAGGGTGGCTTCATACTCTATGGCGAGGATGGTGGCTGTCTTTCCGTCAATGATCTGTGTGCCTGACGTGTATGTCGCTTTGACCTCGACTGTTCCTGGGAAGCCCTCGTCGCCATCTGGACTGATGAGTGTGAATTGCACGCTCTCGCCTCCTTGCAGGTTATCGACGCCAGGGACACTGCGCACACCAATGGGCACAGGGCCTTTCCAGATCTTCTTGCCCCAACCTGACTTGCCACCGTGGAGCGTGTTGTGGCCGTTGTTTGCAGCGAGAGCGTACGATTTGCTATTGAGACTTTGGATAGTGGCGCCAGCAATACGGTTTGCGACGCGGCCAATGGTTTCGCCGTAAAAGGGCGAGTTATGCGCCTCGTAGAGCTCCTGTGTAGGGAAGCCGTGTACGAGATTTATTCCGTTGACTCGGAAGGCCTGGATGATGCCACCGAGGGGCAAGATATTGATTGTATCGTCCGACATGGCTGGTGTGATCTTAGTTGTTGTTGTGAGAAGGTGAAGAGGATGCGGGGTGATGAAGCTGGCGATGGTGGGGGAGATGACGTCGTGAGGCGTATCGGGTAGCAACAGTCAGTCACCATGACATGAATATAAAGGTGGAATAATGTGGTAAAAAATAGGCAAATATGCATTAGATGGTATTCTTTATGAAAAATATTTGAGAGACTTTAAATCTCATTCCACTGATCCGCCCTCAGCAGACATGGCCTTGCCCCCATACCCTTCACTCTTCTTCATCGTTGCCAGCATCGTTGCTAGTAGAGATTCACATGCTTCCTGTAGCCTCATAGGCCCTTTATTCAAATCTTCGGCTTCTCGAAGTCCCTTCTCCAATAGTGCAATAGCTTCTGCACGGTGGCCGTTGCGGTATTTGAGGCGCGCAAGAAGGCCCAAGGTCAGCACCGTATGTTGACTTGTTGGCCCAATAACTTCGCGCTGTGCATTGTAAACCTCTTCTGCCATTTCTTCAGCTTCTTTGTAATTGAATAGGGCGGCAAGCGCAAAAGCCTCGTTATACCGGGCTCCCAATGTTTCTATATGCATCGGACCCAACAGCTTCGTGCTTATCTCGACGCTCGCCTTGGAGATGCCTGCAGCCAAGCCAAACTGATCCAGGCTCGCATATCTAGTAGCGAGATTTTTGACCAGGATGAGAGAAAGGACATCGTGCTTGTCCATATTTCCTTGGCAGGCATCAATGAATCTTTCGGCGGTGGCTTCCGCCTCCACTGGTTGGAGCTGGTAATCATAGATGTTGATCAAGTTGTCAAAGCCTGCTAGTCTTTCGTATAGTGGTGTATGGGGATCGTGCTGTGCAATCTGGTCTTCTATTCTATTAATCAACTTTGATGCCAGCATATTTGCTTCCTCCAGCTTGCCCTGTTGCCTATAGAAACGGAGTTGATCTATTTCAACTCGGGCAGGAGGAGGAGTGCTTGCGTCGCCGTCTTTAATATCAAGCTCGTCAATGCGCTCATACACCAAGGCAGCTTTCTCCACGTCACCATGTATTAGATAGGCATTGGCACACCCGTGCATGAAAATGAGTGCAGTGGAAGGCTGGTTATTGCGAAGGGCTGCCCTGGCCATTCTATCCGCGAATGCTGGTGCTCTTAAATCGCTGTGCTCTATCGACTTGACTAGATATATACTGGCGACGGTGTATTCGTACGAGTAAACATCGTCATCCGTAATTCGGTCATTATCAAGAGCCGAGTCAATGTGAAACATTGTGGCAGAAGCCAGCTTCCAAAATTTTGCATCTTCTCGCTTTGGGAGATGGCCGCATACCTGTTCTAGAAATGTGTGTTTTGAGTGAGCCAAATTGTTTGAAGCAGCCAGCCACTTTTGTGCGCAAAATTGGACAAGAGAATGCATATCGCAGACATCCGAGTCAAACTCAGTGATAACCAAAGAATAGGCCGATAGAACATCCAAGTTGTCGTCAAGAGTGCCATCGTCAGGGTCAACAGAATGGCCCCGGAGGAATACTTTTGGTATGTTGGTGTTGTGGAAGAAGCTCATCAGAGAGAGTAGGTTTGCGGCGTCAGGGTGTTCCTCTTGTATTTGATTCAGTGTTACTTGCCACGTTGTGATTATAGAATTAGAAACATTTTCGTTGCGTCGAATATCCCCTGAATCAAAGTTCAGTAGTGTGCTCTTGTCTCGATTGCTCCGTTGGAAGATCTCCAGATATCGAGAAACTGGTATTCGGCGACGGTTGATATATGCCACTGCTTGGTTCATAGCAAGAGGGACAGATTCCAGTATTTTAATAAGACTTCTCCCATCAGCGTCGCCAATCTCTCGCGTAGCCTTTTTTCGAAGAAACTCCAACGCTTCATTACCGTCCATCACGCCTAAACGCTTGATGGCTTTCTCCGTGCCTGTCAGTCTCTCAGCAACATCTAGGGAACGTGATGTAATTAGAATCTTGCCCAATGCTGATTTGGGAAAATATGAGGCTATAGGGCGACTGCCACTGGAAAAGAAGGTATCCATATTGTCCGCGTTATCGACAATCATCAGCCATGGCTTACTCTCAATTTGCAGACGTCCGCGGACAAGTTCCATGATATCTGCATTTGGGGAGCTTCTATCTTCAATGGATAATGCATTCGCAATGTCTCTGAACGAATCTTCGATGCTGTTTCTTGTGGCGCCATGAACCCAGAAGACATGTCTCTCAGCGGTCTGCTTGTGTACTCTGTACGCATATTCAATAGCAAGCTGGGATTTGCTAATGGCTATTTTAGTATAGATCTTTGATCGTTAGACTACCAACGTACCCAAAACCTCCAAGTCCAACGAGAGAGAACCGCGAATGCGGACCAGTGTCTTGTTCCTGAAGCCAGTGTTCAAGTGCCGGACGGTTAACATAATCTGTATCTTGATAGTAAGGAACCAAAAAGCTGGTCTTTGTTTTTGGACTCTGTTCTCTTTGCGCCAGAGATATGTTATCCATCCTGTTTTTTATTTCTATAATCATGCTCCTAGTTTTTTGTTAGTCATCAGTGCGATGTGAGTCAGGGCAACTTACGTTTGGTCAATCTGCAGACCGCTCATAATACTCTGTTCATATCTTTCGAGCTTGGCTATTGCTTCCGTAACTTCCTTTTCTTTTAGCGGCCATTCCAAGGCACGCTGTCCCAGTCGACGCATCTCTGTGCTACTGCCAGCCTCTAGCACACCGTATATCTGCTCTAAAGTCGTCTGACAGTCGCGAAAAACACTCTCAAGGCCCTTCGATACAATCAAATCCTCGACCTTTGCTGAACTAACTAGCATACTTGCTTGTTGGAGGATATTGTTCAGATTGGCAAGACGCACCCTCAGCCGCTCAATATCCCGCTTTGCATGCTTGACGCTGATCGCGTACTGCGAGCATTCCGTCAATATTTTGGCAGACACGTCCGTTAATTGTTTGAAGGGATCCATTATGTATAGTGCTATAGTGCTTTGGTAATTATCAGTACAACTGACGAAGGGACGTTTGGTAATATTGTCATAACAGCTAAGCCTCAGCTGCAGCATCATGTCAGGTGATGGATGGGCTGAGGCGCGCTCGGCTATTCCACGAAAAACACCGGCATCAACTCAGGTTTAGTGACATACTATCTTTATTGAAGAAATTTTAGTTAAATATTGAACTTAACCAAGATAGGGACGATTTTCCTATTTGTTAAGCATCTAGAGATCGTCAGGCCAAGCTGGAGTCGACTTGCTCTTCTTCTTCTTCTTCTTCTTGTCCTTTTTAGACGCGAAAGGAGCCCAGTAGTCTTCTGTCTCTTGTTCCGGCTCAGGAGGGTCGTCTCTGAGTTTCCATAGATCATCTACTATCTCATCGATCTTCACTTCATCGACCGGCTCGGATATCGGATGACTATTACAAGCAGAGACCTCAACGATGACCTCGTCGTCATCGGTTCCCTCCGGCCCATCTGAATCCATAGGCAATTCCTCCAGCTTACCCTTGTCACTGGCTTCGACGTACGCGTCAATATCACTCGGTTCTATTATAGTCATCAGACAAATTGATCTTTTCCGCGTCCATGTCTTATCTCTTATTAGCAGCGAATCAATTGGACCGGAATGGGCGGGTATTGCACTTGATGCAATGGGCATAAAACAAGACAAACTCAAGGCTTACCATTTGCTCGCAAGCTTGCAAAAGCCTTGCAAGTATCGCCACCTTTGCCCAGAATCCTCAGCTTTGTTCTCAATTGCTCGCGAATGGCGCGAGTTTCTGTTGTTTCGCTGGCGACACGAGATATTTCCGAGTCCGCCATCAATGAGACCGAGAGCGGGCTTAGAATCCCAGTCAGTTTGGACACTAGGCAGGTCTCAATCACTTCGACTGCAACGTCATCAATGAAGCGTTTCATTGCAACCTAAATCTTTGTTAGTTATAATAGTTAAATGAAACAAGAAGGTTCCGCTTATACTTTGTAATATGCAGTCACACAATCAAGCGCCTCTGATGCGGCTAGCTCGTTCATATCTCGACCCTCCTCCTCCATAAGAGAATCAAGTAGCTGAGTGAGAGATACGCTTGACCGATGGTCAAAAAAATCTTGATTGTCTTCAAGCTCTTCTCCAAATAGCTTTCGAATCGCCGTCGTTGATTGTCGAGTCCGTCTCTCGTGCCGAATCTTTTTCAACGTTTCAGTAAAGTAGTGGTTGTATGTGATGGGATGGCCCTTATGGTGCGAAGCTAGTAGACCCGAAAGCTTATCAGATAGTTCCAAGAAGATTTTGTCCAGGCTAGGATAAACAATCTCCTGGAGAACAATGTTGACTGTGATTAGATCCGCAACATGGGCGATGAGATGGGTCATCGAGAGACGCACTGCATTCCAAACACTCTTGATGTGATCTTCCACAATTGTCTTCCAGGGGAGCGACTGCTCTCGAAAGAGATCCGAAACAATCATTGGGTTGAATAAGCCGGGAAGCTCTCTGCCACGATCGCGGTCAATCATGGCCATTATCTTCTCAATGTATCTGCTGCGTGGCATGGCATTGTCAGTTTTGAGAGCCTTAGTATCCGAGTTCAAAACAATGTTGTAGCGTTGTCCTCGGCGGTTCAAATCATGAGCAAAGTCCTGGTTCAGATTTTGGACAAGAGCACGAATTCGCTTCTGATAGCCTATGGTAGACATGGACTCTCCAAAATAGGGATCACCGTAGTTGCCTTCAACGGCACTGTGTACCAGTGACTGAGAAGCCTGACTGATCTGGATCAGATATATCCGCTGTTGGTGGATGGTATCCCTCGGATGCCCCAGCTTGAGTAGCTGCGATTGACAATCTTTGGACATTGTTTCAATTTCATCCATCAGATTCGGAAGTTCAGTAGCAATCTGTCGCACGAGGAGATTGCTTAGTCTGTCTCGGAGCGTTTTGATCCCCAACTGTGCCGCAGGAATCGAAGTCCAAGATCCTGTTGAAAAGAATTCCATTTCTTGTTCATCTCGCTCGGTAAGAGTCCAAGCTTCAATGTCGGTGTCTCTGTTTCTTAGGACATGCCATCCGAGACGAAACTCTACATCGCAGTTCTTTGCAAGAGAAACAAACTGGCTCTCATTTCCAGAACCTGGAATCAAGGTGTCAGGTTTGGTTATAACACCTAGCGTTCGTTTGCCTTGCGGATCAGCACGACGAGCAAGACCGAGAACAACTTGGTTGGCGTAGTCATTTTTGGCAGAGACGACAGCTAAGATGACCGAGCGAGGCTCCGTCATGTATCGTTTGACCACATTGTTAATGAGCTCAATGTCCGATGCCGATTGATTCTTGTTTTCGGAGTGAATCAAGCCAGGCAAGTCAACAATAGTGAGATGAGGTCGCTCTGGGCCACTGATTTCGATGCGAAGTATATCTTCGGAGAAGGATTTGGCAGTTGTCAGAATTCCCATAGCAAGTTTGGCGTTTTCAACAAGTTGTGGAAGCTCAGCAAATGAGTCAAGCTCTTGTCGGAATCCAGATAGGGATTGTTTGTCGTCCTCATTTCTGGAGTGATGAGGCACAATTGACACAGTGATGGCCTCTGCAACTGCCTTGCGGAGAATGAGCTCAGTAGGGAAGCGAGTACAAACGCTACTCTTGACTGGGAACGGGACACCTGAGATGGCTTCCAATACGGACGATTTGCCCGATGATTGATCGCCACAGACAATGATCTGTGGTAGTGACAAATAGCTGCTAACGCCCTCTGAGCGTAGGGAGTCGATAACGTCAAGAAGCTTGAGCTGCTCGGTAGAGCACAGAGAATTAAGGCCGGTGGTTGAAAGGAGTTTGACAGTCATGTTGACGATTGAAGTTGAAGGGGTATTTTGAATGAAAAGAATATGGTTATGAATAGTATCAAAGATGAAAATCTAATTGACTTCAGGGACGGGCTCAGTGATGAGAGTCTGCGCGAAGCAGGTATTATATAGCCGAGAAAGTTTTCCATCATATACCAGACAAACGGAGCATAGCTACAAATTTCGGTATATATTTTGTTAGTAACGTCATGTATTCAAACGCTTTGCAATGTATATCAGCAAGAGACGTAAATTGCGAGCTACGGTATGTGGCGGAATGGTCGGCCTCCCGCAGACGCCCTGCAAGCTAGCGGCAAGACACCGTCTGAAATTCTTAGTGTTAATCTGTAGTTTCCTACATCGTTTTTAAATCTAAGAAGTTTAACTTATATCACTGTATAATTGTAGAATTATTATAAGAATATTACTTAGCCGATTCCAAATATACTCACTGACAAGAGGGTTGGTTATGTGTCGTTGGACACACCAATTTCGACATTTGTATCTTGCAAACGCCGCCTCTATAGATTCAGCCACCAAGACTTGAGCCAATAGGAATAATCTATTGGCACTATCCGAAGCCCACTGGAAGTGACATATAGTCGGTCAGTAAGGTACGGCCAACCTGGCGTCCCGCCACCGAAAGGTGAACGCAGCATTCCGAGTGGGTTGAACCGTCTGTATTCTCTAACCTAGTTTCTCATACTGTATACTGCAAATGCACAAAGTCGCCTCAAATACGCGAATCGTTGCTCCGAAAATCCGCTCGTCTCCCCTGTTGAAAACTACTTACCGACATACAGTCCCATTTAGAAAATGTCCGAGGGGTACGCTAGTTGGTGTGTGTCTATAGTGTTACGGCATAGAGGAGCCTTGTCTTTGTCAAGGTTATACAGGGCCAGTCACCTCTTGATTGGCTTCAAATACGCTGTATTCCTTAAACGACGTGCATCTCGGCTGCAAGCTTGACGCCACGGGCGCCTGGTTCTGTAGCCACGCCGTCTTATACACCACAACCCAGCCAACAACAACAACTCATAAGCCCGAGATGTATATGCAGCTGCAGGAGAAGCTGGCTTTTAAAGCAGGCTGTCCAAGACAATGACCTGAGGATGCGTCGTTAGGCAGACTGAGAACCTTGGCAGGTTCACTGATTGGATACTGCCGCCATTGCCTCCGAGAGCCTGACATCGCGGATGCTCTATCAAAGTCTATAAATACTGGCAACATTCCCACCAAGTATCGACTCTTTCTCTTCAAGCTTTCAATATCAAAGTCTTCCTCTTCTACAATCAACAACATCTTTACTACAGACATCTTTGTCAACCTTTTCAAAATGAAGTTCTCCACCATCATTACCACCGTCTTCTTCTCCGGCCTTGCTGCGGCCGCCAGACTCTCTCAGGCTGATGCTGAAGCCTACTGCGGTGACCTTGGTGTTATGCCTGTCCCCGAGGGTGCCAACCCCGACACTGTCCGAACCTGCCTCGAGCACCCTCTGGGCTCCCCCAAGACTCCCCAAATTCTTGAGAAGCGTGACTGCTGGTACGGCAAGAAGAGCGGTTGCTCCAAGGGCTACTGCTGGAAGACTTGTGGCCAGGGCGGCCAGTGGTGCTGGACTGCCAACGGCGACGGCTCCGGCCCCTGGATCACCTGCGGCAGCGATGGTGACTGCAACGAAGGCCAGTCCTGCGGCGGCGGCGGTTGCAAGGCCTGCGGTTGCTCTTGCTAAATCACGAACAACTCCGCTTTTTATCTCTAGATAAAAGGTATATAACTTCCATAGAACTACAAGTCAATTGATGCTCTGCATCGTGTTGTATGGACATTCATGGTTCTCAATCCGGGTGGTCGCGTGACTGTGTAAACAATTACTCTCCAGTAGCAAACATATATGAGGTAATATGAACAGGCCATTCCTGTGGCTTTTGGATTATTGGATTTCCATAGTAGCTAGAAAAGCACCGATTGGGTAGTTTGCCGGGTGTAAACGTAGTACCGACATGTGCGTGCATAGATGCATCTACACCAATATCACCCCTCTTCTCCATGCGCGACCCAGCCAGTTCAGCCCAGCCTTGTCAGACCATACGCAAGAGGTTAGATGCATCATAACTGCAAGTGACCGTGCATTTACTGTGCAATAGCAAATGGTTGCCGTGTTTCTCGCAGGCACCGCCTCCTCTATAGCACGGACCTGCGTATCGGGCAGCTTGCTTTGCTTGGAGGGCGCTTACCGTGGATTTACGCGGCCGATAATCTATTTTATGTAGGTACAACATACTGGCTTGTCTAATAAATTCAAATGTAGCGTATTTGATTATATGAGCAATAGAATAGTTGTCTCTATAGGGCAACCAAGCCATAGGCACAATTCCATGCTTCTCAAATATAAGAAGCCCATTGGATGATCAACTTCACAAAGCGAATACCTCATTTTGGGCTTTTCGATGTGTCGATCGGTCATAGTAACCCGCTTCTATGCCGACACGGGGTACTATCAGTGCTTGTATAATCTGCACGACGGCATGCATGGCCCACCGAGAGCCTTGCGATATAACACGATGCGACTGGCCGAAGCCCCCGTCGGCGTGCATCTACAGCTGTGGCTGTGATCCTGCGACAAGGAGCTTGCTCTCGGACATTGCCTATTTCTGATCAACAACTCGGATTTTAACTCTCCGCGAAACCGGGCCGTCTCCATGGCGTCACTGCTTGCACCCTGCGCCCTGGGGTTGGCATTAGGCTCGGACCATTGTGGCTACCTCCCGGCGTGATCCCCCGCGCGACCAGCCGGGCAGTCGATGATAGTTGGAGGCAAGGCACCCTTTGGCCGGCACGTCGCAGTTGTGGCTGCATGTTTGTTGCCTCAGAGCGGCCCATACTGCCTGGTTCCGCGCGCCGGCATACTTGGGCTTTGCGCAGCCTGCTGCCATTTCTGTCGGTATTATGTGACGATAGCTCGTTTGTTTTCCTGTATAGCACAAAAGCAGGCTGAGCTACTCTACCTCCCAAGGTTTCAGGATTCTGTACGAGTGACATACCAGACCCCGGGTTACTTTACTTCATGGAGAGTTTAACACAATAAATGACTTTCTTGGCGTGTGCCAAGATCTATTACAGATGATTGAGCGGTTAGAGTCGGCAACGACGACAGTATCTCAACCATGTAGCTAGCTATATCAGTCTTTAATCAATTAATTAATGAATTAATGAATTAATGAATTATAGTCAAAGGGAACTTTTAGAGATGCAGCTTGTAAAAAATCCAAAATATATATAGTGTTTGCTGGATTAAGTCGGGTTTATTTCGTGGGTTTGTCCAAGTGCGGATTGAACTGCATCTGGAACACATACTGTGTAAATACCCTAAACTCACCTTGTGATACTATTACAGCAGTAAAGTGTGATATAAAATTAAGTACATGCCTTCCAAATTACGGAATTGCCGTTTAATCTCAATTGGTTTCCTCATCTGCGTTATCGTCATTGCACTCTGTAAAGCCCCCCAAACCAAAGTCTCGAGCAATAACGTCATCGTCTTCAAAGTATGAAAACGCCGCTGTAGTAATGTAATCATCTTCTTCTTCCTCTTCAGAGTCGCCCTCAGCGCCATGCTTATATATAGAGTGGTCAGTTTCATCTTCCTTTGATTTCACAATGCGGCCTCGGAGCTTTGAGTATCGAAACCGCCGAACCCGATACGCCAGAACGACGTCTTCGTTCACAGCATCACTATAAGACGACTCAACCTGGAGATTTCCGGATACATCACCCGATATCTCTACCCCAGTTCCTGGGGGGCCAAGGCCAACCCCGGCTTTGCCAGATATTTTCTGTGACTTGCTGACAGATCGGACAATGGTGCTAGCGATGGCTAGCCCAACAACCAGATACACAGGGGCCGTAAAGACAGATTTTCCAATATATTCTGTGACATTCTCGGTTGAAAACAACGTCTTTGCGTATTCTTCGGACGGGCTGAAATGTTCCGCTCTAACTTTTGTTGCCTCAATTGAGTCGCCTTTGGCGTTGGACCACTCTGTACCGACATCGGGTGATGCGCCTATGATAGCCGCCAAAACGGAAGATGCGTCCAAGTTGAATCCAAATCCCTTTTCAGCAGAGTCTTTAATGCTTTTGCTTATCTGCTCACGCTCTTTGATGATATGTCTTTCGTCAATAGCAAGCACTTCCCCACGATTAAGTACGTCGATAACATCATTGGGCTGTTTTAGAATACTCCCAAGAGGAAGATCCTTCGGATCCAACGATTCTTGTGGAATAATCCAATATTTTTTGGTCTTGTTATTGAACGGCATGGCCAAAACTGAGTGTATGGTATAGAGGCCTTTCCCACCAAAGTAAAGTGTCTAGTGGGGGTGGCTTGTACACCACGATCGTTTTCTATGCTCTTCACTCAATATATTGAGTGAAGCGTTGTGTACAACAGCTGATTGTAGAAATACAAAAGATTGTGTTTATGTGGAAATTGCATTCACAACGGCTGAGACGGGGCGGGCCGTGCCTCCACCATGATCAGCTGAAGAGGGGTAGAGCGAGACTCTCCAGACAAATATATCAGCCATTACAAGCACAAACTCATGGGCATTGTCTTTGTTATTGGCGGCCATGGTTGAAAAAAATATACAATCTACGACACCGTCCAAGGAACTCACACTCTTTGCCGACAAAAATCACATCAGTCTCGGCCATGAAGATGGTAGAGGTGCTGCCATGCACATAGCAGTGTGGGAAGGCAATCTCGCCATCGTAAAAGAGCTGCTAGCGTTATATCGCCAGTCTTGTGTGAATGCAAAGGACAAACTTGGCAAGAAAATAGGTCGCACACCGTTACATAACGCCGCACAACTCGGGCGTAACTCCATTGTCATTGCGCTTCTCGACAATGGTGCCGATATAGACGCAAGGACAGTATACAAATATACAGCCCTCGGTCTGGCCGCCCAAAATAACCGGGTTGAAACTGTGAAGACGTTACTACAGCGTAATGCGGATTTGAATGCTGCAGTGAATTCCAACAACAGAGAATATGGAGACGGCATGACGGCAGTCCATCTCGCGGCGAGACTGCAATCACCGACTATTCTCTTACAATTGTTATGGCACGGTGCAAGGACAAACATTACCACGGTGAATGGCGATACTGCATTACATTTTGCTGCCGCCGCTGGGTCGGCTTCGTGCTATTTCTTTCTTCATGTCCATGGGACGCTTGGTCCTGAAAACAAGGAAGGATTATCTCCCAGGGATATTGTATCAAATCTGAAGAAGCACGACAAAAAGACCTTTGACGATATTGCAGTATGGCTTGCGCTTGGTGACAAAGATCAGTTTTTGGCGTGCGTCCGTAACAAGACGGACAACCCAGATCTTCTTAGAGCTATTCACACGGCTGTCGAAAAGGAGAGAATCGGTGCTTTAGTGTATCTATTGCGAATAGATCCTGAACTGGTCAATGCCAAGCATCCTAAAGAAGGGCATTTGCCATTGCATGTCGCCGCCAAGATGGGACACAGTCGAGCAGTCGATGTCCTCCTCCGACACGGAGCAAAGGTCGATGCTAGGGCACCTCGAGACTGGACAGCATTAATGCTCGCTTGTCACCATGCGCATGCGAATGTGGCAAGTATCCTCTGTAAAGCAGGCGCTGATACGGCGCTGAAGAACTCATCTGGAGAGGCAGCCGTCCTATTAGCGGCAAAATCTGGCATATCGGTTCCAGAGCTTCCACCGCTATTTCGCTATGTGCCTAGTAAGAAGGTTGCTTCGCCTAAACCTAGAAATGATCAAGACGGCAGCAAGCTTTCAACGCCAGATAAGGCACCTCGGAGCAGGACACCGTCTCCTAGTTGGCCAGCAGACACGGATTATCGCGCTCAAGGAGAGCTATTCGCTATGAGTGATGCTCAGGAAGTTGGACAATCAAGCCCAGAAGGGAAAAAGTAAGTTTTCCTTTGTATGACGAAGTTGTCAGACTCCAACCATCACACCATACTAAAATATTGATAGCCCCAAACACATTGACAAACTCTTGACTGAGTTAGAGCGTACATGGTATAACAGAATCCAATGGAGCCCGGAAGATGACAGTCAAAGAAATCGCTATCCCGAGCGCTCTGGACCTGTAAAGATTGCCATTCTTGACTCCGGAATTGACCTCCAACATGAAGACTTCCAGCGTCCGGCAAAACGACGAACCAAGGTTGGGATAGAAACCGCAAAACAACTACCAGAAGAGGCTCAAAGAGCTAGAATAAAGGCGTACAGAAACTTCATCGGTCGCCCTGGAGAGGAAGACGACGTAACAGACTCAGTAGGCCATGGGACACACATTGCAGGAACCATCATGGCAATTGCTCCTCGTGCGCATTTGTACATTGCTAAGACAAGCACAAAGTCGGATCAGCGAACAGCCAAGAAAGATGAGAATCTAGAAGACGGGGTACGGCGAAAGGTCCGGCGACCCATTGAAGAAGTAAGAGATACATTCATGGGCCGGGTTACAGTAGACGTGCAGCTAACGTTGTACTAGGCGCTGAAGTGGGCGATAGAGCAAAATGTCGACATTATCAATCTCTCGTTAGGGTTTCCTCAGGAGAGCTCATACGAACTAACCAAGGCGCTGCGCGAAGCACACCACCGAGGCATCATTGTCTTTGCTGCGGCGGCAAACCATGGGAACCGTGACGCGATTGCTTGGCCCGCTCGTGACCCGGACTTGGCGATATGCATCACGTCGGGCGATGAATTCAATAATCTTTCGCGGTTTGCACCAAGCGGCAACAATAGTCTTCCTGTATTTATAACCCACGGGGAGGATGTATGGAGTCAGTGGCCCACGAACCTCGGTGGCGGGTTTCGCCCAATGAGCGGCACCTCGGTATCGACCCCGATTGCTGCCGGTATGGCTGCTATGATCTTGGCGTTTCTCAATACCACTAGTTTATGGAGTCCTTCTGAGAAACGCCAATGGCTTAGTCTTTCGAAAGAGGATCACCTGCGGAGCACTAGAGGAATGCGCCAACTGTTAGAGCACATGTGCCGAGAGCGGGCTGGATTTCGAGTGCTCTCCCCAAAATTAATGTGGGAGATGAATCGAGATGCGACCTCTATACAGGCACTGAATACTATTGCACAGCCCTTCCATCAAAAAGGCTGAGATGATAGGAGTAAATATATATACTCTCGCCTTTAAAAGTACCATAGCATGAGACATGTAAATACAGAAATATTATAATAGCTCATGACGACCTGTAATGTCTTTTGTCTTAATAGAGATATTTACACATGTTAATTAATTCAGAGTATGTCTTTCTATAAAAGGTGTGGTGAGTATTTATTATACAGTGGACGATCCTTTGCGTGTCCGGTTCATGAAGATACTTGCGCCGAAGTCTGCCTTTTTACCTCTGCCACTGCGTCGCGGAATAGCAAATCGGCATAGGCACGGTGAAATACCATTACTACCCCAGGGCCCACTCTCTTATCCTGTGACGGATTGCCAGCGACGCACTCAAGAGCAATATTGATCGTCTCATCCGCCCCATCTTCTGTAGGTTGACGGTTGAGGCACAGACGATGGCATCCCGAGAATCCGCTGGTTGGCGACCCAAAAGCAACATCTACTATACTGTCAGATGATGGCTTAGATCCATCTGCAATATTAGAATGAACAACTTGGAAAGCGTTGTAAAATGTTGTTGGCGGCCGCGCGATGTGCGCACTAGAGAGCTGGGAGACCTTCGATATAGAAGGGCTTGGCGTCGCGGGAGATACTCCTATAGTAGAGAGTAGTCAGTAAGCTGGCCAAGTATCATATAATTTCGTATAATTATTATTACCTGGAAATGGTCCCACTCCTATGTTAAGTAACCCAAGGGCAATGCGTTCAGGACTAAATACCCAACCCCCAAAGAATCCCCTGAGAGCCGCACTGAGAAGCATCTCATCTGAGTAACTCGCGGCTTTGTCCTTTGGCAGTCTCAAGGAAATAGATCTTGAATCTTTGGCAAACCCATGGCTCTTAGGGTTGATCAACTTAGTGTAAGTATGTGATGTGCTGAATGCGTCGGAGACTGTGAGACTGCATTTCAGACTTTTTTGAGGCACCGTCGATATGCTTCTATATGCCGCTACAGTGTAAGCACCGATAGCTATGGCGACCGAGCCGCAGATGATACGCGGAGTGCTTATTCGTAAAGCCATTTGGTTTGTCTTTTGTTTTAGTATATGTGTCTATAGTAAAAAGATAAACTTGTGAATGCGTGGATAGTAAAGATACAAATTGTCGAAATGAAACGCGCTGGGCAGTGAGGTCATTGCTATTTATTCAGCCGCGCCTTCGCATACGGAAGTTGTCGGAACGAGGCTGAAGGAGTCATACCTGGATGCCCAGGCGCATGACCACTCAGAAAATGAAAGAAAAGTGAAGCAGCATTGTGCTCAGCATGAGGTGTAGCTGGTGATTGCTGGAAGCTCACTGCACTCTCTTGGTCTCGTCGTATTTGCTTTGCAGTACAGTACCAGTGCAGGACATTGGTTTGTTTGTGTCGTTCAGCCTTGAATAGGCCTTGTACCTTGTTCACTAGCCCGCTGCCTGTATTTTGCGCTGTTTCTTTGCAACTTTCCGTCCAAGTATTTACTGCTCCCTTCCCATCTTTTTTCATCAAGCAAGTCTTCTACGAGGTTTCCCACAATCAAACGTCTGTCATTCTCTGCTGGTTTTGGAGACAGCACGAAAGGGTAAAGGCGGGGAGTAGACTAGACCAACTTCGCGTAATTGCTTGCTAATGCTGGGCATTAGGCTGTTTCTTAGCGCCCATTTCACCTTCCAAATGCGCTTTGCCTGCTATTGATTTTAGTCAAATAATATATATTTCATTATTTCTGGAATAATTGATTAAATTTTATAATGCTGAGGCTATCTACTTCACACATAGGTTTTTGAACGTGAAGTCAAGCACGAGAACCTCATTTATCCGATCCCTCAACGCAGAGCAAGATGAGCAAGGGGCTTTGCTAATTATGATGCTAGATCGCCGATTTCTCACCTGCCATGAAAACAGCTGTAGAAAATCGTCTTTGGTAGACCCAGCTGTACTGATATAATTCCGGAAGAGATAGTTTCTCCTCACGAAAAAACACATTAGCTGTGCCTCCGCATGTGACGCATTAAAGCTCCCCAGTCTACCAATCTTGTCACCATAATGCGGCTCAAACTCAAACCCAATATCATTCGCAACCCTAAAATTATCATCACCACCCCAGTACCCTTCATTCAATTTTTGCTTAATTATAGTCGATTGGTTCAGTGTTTTCTTGATTTGCTTCGATATATCATGATCATATGGAATTACGCGCGATTAACGCCGTGTCTCTTCAAAAGTAGTCGATTTGCTTTATTTTGGCATGATCGGTAAAAATCATGCCCTTTCACTTACTATTTAGTTCAATTCAAAGAATTCACCTATATTTTATTATTATATTCTTTATTTTATATAATTCGGTTTATATACGCATGTACAAGCCAAAACATCTGAGTTATCTTTGATTAGGCTGGTCCATATATATCATACCCTTAACTGATCGAAGGAAAATCCCCGCAATTTCGTCCCAATCATCGTTAGTAAGAGCCTTTAATCGACTATTCGCTGATATCGCGGGATTATGCGGTGTATGGTCTTAATAAGAAGTCAGTATAAGTAAAGAGTATAGTTTACACTGATACTTGGTTTATTATACAGGCGCATGCAGGTTGCCTCACTCAACAAGTCGCAGGACGGTGCAATGACAGAATATGTGAGCCACTGTGGCACCTTGCACCCATCGCGAAGCAGTCTTCGCAGACATCGAAGTCACCGCGCGAACAAACTGCGCACTTGTAGTACGCGCTACCTTCCAAAACAAATCGAGTGCAGATGTCGCACCACCGTGATGACTCGCCAAGGTCTGCCGGTCTCGGCTCAGCAGACAAGTCATCACTGTAGATCTGAATGCCTGTTTTCTTCACGAATTGAAGCACGGTTTCTATGACTTGAGCATTTCCGCTCTTTGAAGCCCACCAGAGCAAGTTTCGTCCAAAATTGTCGCGTAAACCACCAATATCGCATTTCGTGTCAAGAAGGTAGCCGATAACTTCCTCATGGGCATTTCCGATGGCGGCAAATAAAGGCGTTGCACCGTAGCAGTCTGTCTTGTTAAGTACATCCTTATGAAGCAATAGATAATCTGCAACATCCGTATGACCCCTCGCACACGACCAAAATAGCGCTGTGCGTTCATTAGCGTCAATCGCCTCAGCATCAGCTCCCTCTTCTAATAGTAGTCGAGCTACTTCAAGATGTCCGTTCTGCGAGGCAAGATGTAATGCTGTCCATCCGTGTTTCTGCAAGGCCGTGACATCTGCCCCCTCCTCTAACAGTAGTCCAGCTACTTCAAGATGTCCGTTCTGCGAGGCAAGGTGTAATGCTGTCCATCCGTCTTCTTCCACGGCCGTAACGTCCGTCCCTTTCTCTAAAAGTAGTCGAGCTACTTCAAGATGTCCGTTCTGCGAGGCAGGGTGTAAGACTGTCCATCCGTCTTCCTGCACGACCGTGACATCTGCCCCTTCCTCTAAAAGTAGTCGAGTTACTTCCAGATGTCCGTTCTTGGAGGCGGCATGTAATGCTGTCCATTTGGCCTTTGTAATAGCTGTAACATCTGCCCCTTCGTCTAAAAGTAGTCGAGCTACTTCCAGATGTCCGTTCTGCGAGGCAGCATGTAATGCTGTCCATTTGGCCTTTGTAATAGCTGTAACATCTGCCCCTTCGTCTAAAAGTAGTCGAGCTACTTCAAGATGTCCGTTCTGCGAGGCAGCATGTAATGCTGTCCATCTGTCTTCCTGCACGACCGTGACATCTGCCCCTTCCTCTAAAAGTAGTCGAGTTACTTCCAGATGTCCGTTCTTGGAGGCGGCATGTAATGCTGTCCATTTGGCCTTTGTAATAGCTGTAACATCTGCCCCTTCGTCTAAAAGTAGTCGAGCTACTTCCAGATGTCCGTTCTGCGAGGCAGCATGTAATGCTGTCCATTTGGCCTTTGTAATAGCTGTAACATCTGCCCCTTCGTCTAAAAGTAGTCGAGCTACTTCAAGATGTCCGTTCTGCGAGGCAACATGTAATGCTGTCCATCCGTCTTCTTCCACGACCGTGACATCTGCCCCTTCCTCTAAAAGTAGTCGAGTTACTTCCAGATGTCCGTTCTTGGAGGCGGCATGTAATGCTGTCCATTTGGCCTTTGTAATAGCTGTAACATCTGCCCCTTCGTCTAAAAGTAGTCGAGCTACTTCAAGATGTCCGTTCTGCGAGGCAAGGTGTAATGCTGTCCATCCGTCTTCCTGCACGACCGTGACATCTGCCCCTTCCTCTAAAAGTAGTCGAGTTACTTCCAGATGTCCGTTCTTGGAGGCAAGGTGTAATGCTGTCCATTTGGCCTTTGTAATAGCTGTAACATCTGCCCCTTCCTCTAAAAGTAGTCGAGCTACTTCCAGATGTCCGTTCTGCGAGGCAAGGTGTAATGCTGTCCATTCGGCCTTTGTAATGGCCGTAATATCTGCCCCTTCCTCTAAAAGTAGTCGAGCTACTTCAAGATGTCCGTTCTGCGAGGCAGCATGTAATACTGTCCATCCGTCTTCCTCCACGGCCGTAACGTCCGTCCCCTTCTCTAAAAGTAGTCGAGCTACTTCAAGATGTCCGTTCTGCGAGGCAGCATGTAATGCTGTCCATCCGTCTTCCTCCACGGCCGTAACGTCCGTCCCCTTCTCTAAAAGTAGTCGAGCTACTTCCAGATGTCCGTTCTGCGAGGCAAGGTGTAATGCTGTCCATTCGGCCTTTGTAATGGCCGTAATATCTGCCCCTTCCTCTAAAAGTAGTCGAGCTACTTCAAGATGTCCGTTCTGCGAGGCAGCATGTAATACTGTCCATCCGTCTTCCTCCACGGCCGTAACGTCCGTCCCCTTCTCTAAAAGTAGTCGAGCTACTTCAAGATGTCCGTTCTGCGAGGCAGCATGTAATGCTGTCCATCCGTCTTCCTCCACGGCCGTAACGTCCGTCCCCTTCTCTAAAAGTAGTCGAGCTACTTCCAGATGTCCGTTCTGCGAGGCAAGGTGTAATGCTGTCCATTTGGCCTTTGTAATAGCTGTAACATCCGCTCCCTTCTCTAAAAGTAGTCGAGCTACTTCAAGATGTCCGTTCTGCGAGGCAAGGTGTAATGCTGTCCATTTGGCCTTTGTAATAGCTGTAACATCCGCTCCCTTCTCTAAAAGTAGTCGAGCTACTTCAAGATGTCCGTTCTGCGAGGCAAGGTGTAATGCTGTCCATTTGGCCTTTGTAATAGCTGTAACATCTGCCCCTTCCTCTAAAAGTAGTCGAGCTACTTCCAGATGTCCGTTCTGCGAGGCAAGGTGTAATGCTGTCCATTTGGCCTTTGTAATAGCTGTAACATCCGCTCCCTTCTCTAAAAGTAGTCGAGCTACTTCAAGATGTCCGTTCTGCGAGGCAAGATGTAATGCTGTCCATCCGTCTTCCTCCACGGCCGTGACATCTGCCCCTTCCTCTAAAAGTAGTCGAGCTACTTCAAAATGCCCGTTCTGCGAGGCAAGATGTAATGCTGTCCATCCGTCTTCCTCCACGGCCGTAACGTCCATCCCCTTCTCTAAAAGTAGTCGAGCTACTTCAAGATGTCCGTTCTGCGAAGCAGCATGTAATGCTGTCCATCTGTCTTCCTCCACGGCCGTAAGATCTGCTCCCTTCTCTAGAAGTAGCTGAACCACTTCTAGATGTCCCTTAAAACAGGCTGCATGTAGAGGGGTCCGGCCGTCATCACTTGTAATGGTAATGTCGGCTCCCTCTTTTAGTAGCATCGTGACTATTTGTAAGTTGCCTCGACTGCAGCTCACCGACAAGGCGGTCGTACCTGACGGTGATGTCCGATTTATCTCGCATTTGTTTTCTTTCAGGAGCAACTCCACTGTTTCCCTCAAGCCGAGCAACGACGCATAGTAAAGGGGATTCGGTGCTTTAAATTCAGTTTCGTATCCTCTTTCCTTCGAATTATTGTTGTCTGTATCATACCACATTTCCCACGCACGGTACTGCTCGTTACATTCGCTGAAAAAGCTATTGGTGAGCTGAACCATATCATGACTAGGTGTTTCGCTCACAGCTGCGTGTTGATACCATGAGCCTGCCGCATAATGCACGAACGACATCGTGGCCTGGTTAGCCCCGTCGCGTGGCCTTTTCCAGACGCTCGGAAAGTCCACGTAACGAAGACACATCATAGCAAGCATGTTGCTTTGATTTGCTTCATTTGATCTCCGCAGATGCTCATTGGCGGCGATGATGCTGGCGTCATTAGACATTCTGCCGATGAAGAATTCTTTCACGGAAAAATGGGCGAGATGCACAGTGCTAGAACCAATGCGGGACTCCGATGCCACATTGCGAATTTCTATGAGGGATCCGCATAGGCCGAGGATCTCCCCATCAATGTAGTCTTGATCAACGGAGTCTGGCATCTCACCCATGGGGAAATCGGTGTTGTTCTCGTCAATAAGTAGCGCCTCCGTGACCTCATTGATCGTGAGTGGCCGTAGAGCAAATGCGGCCCAGCGTAGTAAGGAAACGGCACGAGAGCTTTCTGTCTTCGGAAGGCTCAGCAATCTCTGCCAGTCTCGATCGTAGAGGTGGTCCAGTCCAGCAGGTGATGCATCGATAGCGGCTTCAAGTTGCTTCTTATTCTTGCCACTCCGGAGTGACGGCTCCAGCATCTTGATCCATAAGAACTGCCCATTGCAGCGGCTAGCAAGCTGCAAAGCTATATCATTTTTTATGGTCTCAGGCTTGTTTTGCAGCTTTTTATCGACAATGCTTCTGGAATATAACGCGTTGTCGGCCTGGACAAGGTCGCAAGAGATCTTGAAGTCGACCCACCTCAGGCCCTCGCTACGAATGATTGACTGCCGTATTTCAGGTTCATCACGACAGACAATTAACAACCGCGTATTTGTAGCTTGAACCGCTCGCTGAACGGTCTCTAGAAACGTAGCCACAGAAGTAGTGTTGTCTGTGTCCCATGCCTGACCTATTCCGGCACATTCATCAAGTCCATCCAGAACAAAGGTACAACCTGGAACGGCGATAACAGCCTGGCGGAAGATTCTGAGAATGTCAGCCCGCTTGGCTACTTGGCTGTCGTGGGCTTCCCATTCCTTCCAGGCTAGCTCGAACACGGTTGGGTGTGACAGCAGCTGAGCGAGCCATGACCGCACTGCCACGAACGAGTCTTTGTGGCTATCAAAGTCAGATGAGAAGAAGAAGTGCGCTGGCGTTATGTTGAGCGTGGAGCGGAGGTGTTCAACAACCCTTGCGCACAGGATAGTCTTGCCAAAACCTCGTGCGCCGTTTACCCAGAGAATTTTGGCCGACGCTGCGGGGAAGTCAGGAGAAGTCCATTCGACAAACAAGCCCTGCTCTAGAATCCAATCACAGGTGCCATCTACTCTCCTTTGTACCGCGTCGTCAAAGAGTTCGTTGTTGATATCACGGCCGAGCAGCCAGGCGTGCACCTTTTTCCGTGTCTCCGCTGTACGAGTTAACGGTGTCCGCGTTTGACGGCAGAGTACTTACCTTCAAAATCCTTCTCAATCTTGGCTAGAATCTGGCCCAGTTTGACAGGCCATGCGTCCTTGCCGGCGAAATTGTCTGCTGAAGGTGGTCAAATTGCGTACTGGAAAGGCTTCAGGGAGACACGTACCGTCCACATATCTGAAGACATCGTTACCAGCCCTTCGCTCTGTACGATTCGTATCCTTCACAACATCAGGAGGTACCAGGTCGTGAAGATCTTGTACAAGAAATCCGAGCATCTCAACCTGGGCTGTGCATTTTGCCTTATCCCGCAGCGCCCACTTCACCCTCTGCCGTCCTGACTCAGAATGAGTGCTGGGCTCGGCCTGGGCGCGACCGCGGGAAAAGAGCGTATACTTCGTCTGCCCCACGCTTGCCCTGGCGGCGGAAGAGAATACGCCGTCTCCGTTGGTGCAGAGGCTCTCGATGATGGCAAGATGCTGGCGGACCCTCGAGACTATCTCAGGATTTTCAAGAGCCTCGTGGTGATCCGCTTTGTTGTCGATACCGACAGCCTGACCCCATCTCTTCATTCGTAGTTTTTGGGCCTCCCAGCGAGAGCCCAGTGTACGAGACTCGTCGCTGAAATGTCTCCAAGAATCAAATCGATCAACGGCATCCAAGCAGGCACTAAACAGGCCGGCGAGCCCCAGGACTCCGACTGCCAAGCCAACAGGTTCCATGCTTGGAAGTGAGCAAAAGGCACGTTGCAAAATTCTGATTTAGAGAGCGCAGAAGAGACCGGCGAAGACAACCTGGTATTCGAGCCCTCCTCGAGTTGGGCAGGCAGAGCTGCAGGCAGAGCTGCAGGCTTACTCAGGCAGCCCAGCTATGCTTCGTGTGCTGGCGGTAACCGCGGATTGTCTTGCGTGGCAGGTTGAGCAGATCCTCCGACGCACAAATTTCTACAACAAACATTCGGAACTCTGCCATTTTGCATGTTGAGCGTTCATTCATAGCCACTTTCGACGCCGATTATCTACTTTTGTATGGCCGCCATTAGCTCAAGTATTCACGCGTAACCACATTCTCAAAAAATACCTCTTGGTACTGAGTAAATAATAGCACACACCCTAAGGCAGTCCGTGCGTAGATCCGGCATATACTAGCTAACGTGGTTCACGGGCGAGCGCCGCACCCTTCCCGACCTTGGCCTATAAAAAATAGTGCATCAACTCCAAATACAATTAAAAATAGAAAATCTAATCTGAGCTATCTGAAGAAATGGAATCTACTTTATTTTCACATGTTCTAGAATTATGGCCTATTTCGCTGCATTTTCTACAGTGTCTACGCCGTGTTTCAACCCGCTTCCGTCGACCTGTACTTTCAATTTCATCACGTTCTCTTTTTACCCTAGAAAGGGTTTGAGAGACTAGATTTTTGCCAGAATCTACTGTAAGTGTTCCTCCACTTTGTAGTTGTCTTTTTGTGACGCGTTTCCGGCGTGAGATTCAATTGTTAGCCTCTCGTAGCATACGGTTTCCATCTTCCAAGAGAGTATTCTTCCATATCATACTAGTAGTACACTTCGCAATTTGATTCAAATTCTCGATAATTTTAGCTAGAAAGCTGTTTCTATAGCTCCGGATTCTTGTTTTAATATATTCTATTTACGATAGAGCTTCAGTTGGGTTACTAGGTGTTTTGAGAAGCCAAGGTAGCTCGAGCCCATTTAATGATCCAGGAGGCAAAGGTGTCAAGAACTTCGCATCCAATTGTGAAATCACATATTCTAGATTGAATAGAATAATCCCAGCTCCTTTAAAACCTCCCAGAATATTTGATTCGGTTATAGCAGCCTTGTGTTCAAAAACGTTCAGGTCGGTATTTTCTTCATATACCTCGCAGTAGATAACCCAGTCTATCGTATATACTAGGAGGATTTGTACCCGTTTACTTCGATGGACGGGTTTAACCCGGCGACGTCGCACTCCTTTTGGGCCATGAATCTTCTTTGGAATTACCAGAGTAGGATCACCGCCGCTTTCATCTACGCAGACAATAGTGTCTATGGGGTACTCCGATCGTCTCGCCAGGTAATCCTCTCGAAGGACCTAGTCTCGCCCTGGGGCAGTATCCTCAGGAACGTGCGATCTTATATTTTGTCATTTCATTTCCCGCGCAACAGTTCGTTCGTTCAACTCCACTCCAGACACCTCCTTAAGAAAATCAGCCATGGCTTGATAAGTCATTCCAGAAGATTCATCAGGCTTTGCCTTAAGGGCAAGCAACATACTCGCCGTAATTTTCTTCGGTTTGCCAACTCTGTCACGAGGAGCATCGATGGCCCCATGCTTTAGAATGTTGGCGCGAGCGTTGCGGACGCTTCTGTTGGAGCAACCAGTGATAATGCGACCTATGTCATTATCGGTAATGTTCTCCTCACCTTGTAGCTTACTTATGATAACACTCTGCAGCTCGGCTCTTATGATCTTGGGGAGGTTTGGGCCCATCTGAACACTGTGTTTTTGACAGAAGAACGAAGAAGGGACATGTCATGGACTGTATTATTGCGTACTTTAATTTATTAAGCAGAAGGTTTTGTATCTACCAATTGATAGGAGCTGTGCGTGGCGCGTAGTGGAATTTGCTTACATCGCGCGGTTGTAGAGACTAGAAATCGGCAGTATTAAAGAGCGATGGGATTTATGATCTAGCATTAAACTTGTAAAAAAATGAAGTTCAAAGGCCGATATATCTCTACCAAAATCCATGCATCCCATAATCTGGGGGTTATTTTCCTAACAGTCGCTATACAGCCTTAGTACTGTTGAGGGCCAAGGTTGTGAGCGTTGTCGTATTCATAGCCGCCTCGTCTGCGTCGGGCTCTTCTTCCCTGGCGAGCTTTCCATGGCCGTTGCTGAATTGGGCCCTGCTCGAATTGATCTAGAGGGTGAAGACGGAAGGCGAGGCCCAGGTAGATTACAACCACCACAAACTCCTCAATGACGGCCATACAGACATGGACAAGAGTTGAGCCACTGTTGGTCCTGAGAAATACGCCGCTGTGGACAAAGATACTCAAAACAGAGTAAGCAAGTCGCACTAGCACAAACGGCAGTGCGACACCAATTGCAGGGATCAGAATCTTCTCATCCTGAGGTAGGGCGTCGCTGTATGGAAGCATCTTGGCGTAAATAAACACCACAGCAACATATGCGGCTATATATGCAACGGCACCAGCATAGGTCCATGGCGAGACGCTGGTCAATGAGTCTTGGGACGTACTTTCTATGCCAATAATGACACAAATACTGGCTACCAGCATCACAAGTTGGACCAGTCTAAACAGCCTGATGGATATTTTGACGGAGCCAGTTGACATGTTGACAAAATCAGCCCTATTCATGGTTAGCCGAAGTCGAACATGGAGTAACATCGACGATAGACATTGGGTACCTCACTTACTGACGCGACATCATACCGAGAGTTGCCATGAGAAGAGGAGTAAGGCCAATGTGGTCGAGGATTGTAGCAGCGATAATTAGACCTGTGGAGTTGTTTGCCAGAGTGGCTAGCTGGCAGCCGCTGCCGACAATGCGGAAGAGACTGAGTGTAAGCGTAAAATACCATCTGTAGCATATAGTTAGAGTTCTGATTTTTTTGGACTATCAATAAGTATTGGAATAAAATACCCTGAACTTCGACTGAATCCATGCTTTTTGCACGCCAGGAATGACAGGACGATGGCCGGGATGTAGACAGCAAGCTCTACAATAGAGATGATAGTGTTGAATGAAATCCCCATGATGTCATGCGCCACAGGTATAATTATAAACAATTTTTGTATGCAGTGCACCGAGTTTAACAAAGGAGATGGTTGTAAAGATGGCCATTTTTCTCTGCAGGAGCCAGGAACAGCTTGTGTTTATACATGCGGCGTCAGGCAAAGGCCTCCCAAGAGAGACCCACGAGATGAGCCATGGGGCTGAGTTGTATGACGAGCAAGTCTCAAACATTTCCTTTGCGAGACAGATTGAGCGTGTAATTTTGGCCAGGGCGGCAATCCTTCCGTTGCTGCGCATCGCCGCCATTCGTAGTGCGTCAAGGGCATCCTGTGCGGAAGTGTATCCGCTACATCGTCGCAATAGCGCGGAATACAGCATGGATCCAGGCGCGGAAATAACAAATGCTTCCCAATCGGGTAGGCCGTCGGACTTGCGTGCGGCTGAGATGCGCCCCCGAGGCTACCGCATCGGCGCCTAAATCGGGAAGCAAACAGCGGATGGATTTTCGTCGGTTTCAAACTTGTTCTCTTCCACGCACCAACATAGACAACAGAAAACATTTCCAGTTACGGCTCCGGGAAAATGGGCTTCTGCGGGCGTCCATCCCTGGCTTGCCACGCGTGCCGAAAAGCCCGTGTAAAGGTACCATTTACGTTCCCCCCCAGGCGACATTATCCATGGGACGACTGACCAAGACAAAAACAGTGTGATAAAAAGAAGCCCGTATGCGGCCAGTGCATGCGCAAAGGAATCGAATGTCCAGGCTATAGAGACCCCTCAGTATTTGTCTTCCGAGACCAAACCGCCGAAACGGCGAGAAGGGCGGCAAATCACCCGTCAGACGCTTTAATAGAGCATCAGTCATCTGAGCTCTCCATGTCCAGAGATACATTAAAGCGGCCCAAGAAGCCCCCCATAGGATACGCCATACCAAGGCCATTGCCGGTTTCCATCGAAGCCGCCGCACTCGACCACTTCTTCAAGTTTTATGCTCCTGTCGGGGCTTTGAAATACTTGAAACATCTCAGCACACACTTTGCCACCTGCAGTCAGCCAAAGGCAGCCCTTCTTGCGCCTGCACTAGCAATCTTTGCCCAAGAGCTAAATCAACCCGCCTTGAAACGCTTCGCCATGATGCAGTATTCGGCGGCTGTGCGAGATACGAACCATGCACTATCGACGCCGGGCCTAGCTACAGAGGATGCAACACTCGGTTCTGTGATCCTCTTAGGTCTCTATGAAGCCTTGACATTCGACGGCAGCAAGTCTCCCACAAACTGGGCCAACCATATAGAAGGGGCTCTGCAGCTTGTGGGAATGCGCAGTGATGCACAATTTGATACTACACTTGGCCGCGCGCTATTCATCGATGTAGCAGACTGTGCCCGACTCTCCTATCACAAGCGACTTATCCCTGTACCGCCATCACTGGTACGTCTAGAGAAGAAGCTTCGGAAGGATGGCCCGCTCGAGGGCGATATGTCCCATATTTCGGATGGCATCGCGGCCATGATTGCCGGTATGACGGACAAGTCGTCCGATAGATACCAGCCAGTTCGTGTGGTTGCGCAGGGCCGCTTACTAGAGCTTGAGATTCGCAGGTTTACCGAAACACTTTGGGACATGCAACCATACACTCAGCATCCGGATGCGACGGCATACAACGGCATCGCCCATTCATATAAATCGGCGCACGGAGGCCGCCACTGGAACGGGCTGCGTCTGATGGCCATGTTTGTCAACAAGTGGATTTGCAGGGCTGCCAATGAGGCCATCGCGGCCCAGCTTAGCGGCTTTCAGATTTGTGCCGTCTCAGAGATGACGGGCATTATCGAGGCTGCCACAGGTCAGGTCAATAAGATGGCAGAGGATGTCTTGAGTAGTATTCCGTTTTTCAAGACGCAAGCAGAGGCAAGATGCAGTTCTGTAGCGTTTGCTAGATGGCTCATTTGGCCGTTGACTGTCGTGGCTACATCGACATTAGTTCCTGACGAGGCCCGTTTGTATGCAGAACTTCAGTTACAGAGCTGCAAGGAGGTCGTTGGAATCAAGCAGGCCGAAGGCGAAAGTGCAGAGCCAGCTAGACCCGATGATTGGTACGTAACAAATATTTTTTGTTCCTTACAAAATATTAACTTTTCCCAGGCTGCATCCATTTATTCACTCGTAGTATATATAAAGCACCTCTTAGCTATAGGGGATGGAACATTCTTCTCACGCCACCATCATAGAAAAAGGTGTAGCTGATTCCGCCACGCATTCTCTAATCCCCGAAATATAATTATAAGAATAAATAATAACCACCACTTTTCAAAATACAATTAGTTGAATCCCGTATGTTCCTCAAATATTCTCCCCATTATACCCTTTTCAAACTTCATCAGCCCTAGGCGGGATTGGGTAAAGACACACATCCGAAAGCCGCCCGTAAATCCGACAGAGCCCCTTCATGCAAGGTGTTGCCTAATTCGGTTGCTGTCAGAATCGAACAACAGGGGACTGCAGGCCACTCTCTCTGTCTGATTGGGTCGCCTAATGGTTTGATTGATAGGCGGTAATAGTTCGAGCTCCGCGCCATACGCTTTTCCCACTCCCAACTAGTAGGGCTTTCCCGTTCAGTCTCCAGTCACGTCATAGCGAGACTTTTATCAACAAAAGCAGTATTGCAGAATAATCATAAATGAAATTTCTAATTGTATTTAAATCTATTGTACTTGAATTGCGTGGCTGGCATGAAATGGGAAAATATACAGAGTAGGAGGGATATATGCTTCTAATAGGTCAACAGCAGCTTCTGCTGGTTGTACTCCCAAGCGCTCAAGTCCTTGTACTTGGGTGCTTCGTTAGCGGGTGTGAATTGCGACAGTGTGCCGACGGGTTGTGTGCGGTTGGGCTTGCCAAAGTATGCAACAGAGTAGCGGTCATCCAACCACTCAGGTAGGTTCTCGGGGAAGACGACGCGATGGCTGGCCGATCGGAACTTGTCGTTGGTCCAGCGCGCCAGGCAGTCGCCAATGTTGATGATCATCTCGTTGAAGTTTTGAGGGGGGATGGGGAAGTATCGTCCAGGGTCGTCCTGAGCCTCAATCTCCAGACCGCCCGCGTTATCCTGGAAGAGTAGTGTGATGGTACCGAAGTCGGTGTGTTCGGAAATTCGCTTGGCTCCCTCACGGATCTTGGAAGTCTCGCCGCCGGGGTAGTGGTTCAGGCGCAGCTCGGAAGTGTTGTTGTTGCAGAGGTTGAGGAGGAAGTTGGGCTCAAGATCAAGACCGATGGCGAGGGCTCTGAGGATGTCCTGGTGGACGCTGTGGCAGCTCTCATAGAAGGACTCCATGGATTGACGGAATCCAGGAATATCGGCCTCGTTGGGCCAGCGGTTGGGGTACAAGTCGTCCTTGACGGGTCCGATGTCGAGAGATTCCTAGTCAATGGTTAGTATGACAAATTGCATAAAACAGGGTGCGCAATAATAAAACATACCTTGACGTCAAAAACTTCAGTCAGCTCGCGGCTACCCTTTTCGAAATCCTTGACTCTGGAAAGCTTCTCCTGGCCGACGTAGCTGTAGCCGCGGTGAGGGTTGGGCTCAGGAGGGTGGGCAGCAACGTTCTTTGCCTCAAGAGGCATGCCAAAGAATCGCTTGTTCTGTATAGTTGTCCGTGGAGTTAGCTGAATGCCCTTTCAATATTATTTGGTGAAAAAGAAACCCATCTTACCCAGTCGAAGATGTCGATGAGTTGTTGATCGGTAAGGCCGTGGTTGATGAGCTTTACAAAGCCCAGGTTGCTGAAGCACTCCACCAACTTGACAGAGAACTTGCGCTGTGCAATAGCATCACCGTTAAGAAACTCATTGAAGTCGAGAGTGACGAGCTCGTATTTTGAAGAGGCAGTCATGATGAAGGAGGATTTTTTATTTATACAGATGCGTGGTAGAAGTGAGAGGTAGCTTCAGGGTGATTGGGGCGAGGAAGACGAGCCTTCTTTATACCAGAGCGACGAGTATGGGAAACCCGGGCCATTGCTGCAAATCGCATGCATGCAACAAGGTGCCATTCTAGGTGTCAGTCAGCATCTTGTCTCCGTTCGATTATGCCGGTTCCCTGAGCCATGCAGCAACAAAGACGACTTTTCCGCTGCACAACATGAACGAGTGACACTGTCAGCGTCGCGTAGAGATTCCGGTATGCTATAACGAGCATTAGCGGCTTACACGAGGCTCGGTTGGCGTGCTGATTACGTTGGCAGGCGCCCACCACCCTGTCCATCGGCTTACGCAAATCCCGTGCGGCACTTGGACTTGTTATAAAGGGTTCAGGCTATGTTCTCCACAGATTTGTGTATAAGCCGAGCGGTATTTCTGCTTATCTACGGAGTCCCTCTTGCTAGGCTTGCCCTGGTAAGACGGAGCTTATGCTGCGTTCATACCACTGCTCATAGCCACTAAACCTCTCCAAAGTTCCCCCCCACCCCACCCCAATCCCGACGAATAGGTTTCCGATTGTGGGCATGACAGCCGTTGTTGCTGCCTTGTGGAGGCTACGACTGGCCCCGTGCGCCTGTCATTGGGTGACTATGAGCGGGAATTTTGCCCAGGGCAACAGTGTCCAATTTAAAATTAAAAAAATTAAAAATTAAAAATGGACGCTACTGCTATAGTAGAACAATGTCTGCAGCGGAATCCCTATTACAGTAAGTGTTATGTTCTCATCAGCGGATAGGTAAGCAGTGACAGGCTTCCGGGAGAAACACCGCGTGCACATCCCCTCGTGATGCAGAACAATAAGAATGGATTCTAGAATATACCTTAATCATTGTAAGGCTGTATGCCGCTCCATCGGAATTCATTAGACTTGTTTTTATACATTTTATCTACCTATGCGGCTGCTTTACTGCGGCTCTAGACCTCAATTCCGATGGCATTCACGCGGTTAGACTGGCGGTAGGATTTTGGGCATTTTTTAATGGCAAGGGCATATTTTCCGTAATAGTCGTTGGAATAGGTATTCTCTAAATGTTTACTCATACGGAAATGTTAACGGTAACAGAGTCCTCTATTGGCAAACCCACAATTAGGTGTCATCAATGCCGACGGTGTGGGCAAGTAAATCCAATTCTTCCAATTCTTCTATACCAATAAACCGTCCCAATTATACACCTGCATTGTAAAAGTGAACAGCATAATTCATTTCGTAGATGTCTGAGATGGCCAGAAACTATTACGCAAAAGATTGTGTCAATCCTGGTATCATATAAAGTGCTACTGAGTTGAGCTTCCTAATCGAGATGCAGTTCACAGCAAGGATAGTCGTGCGTAAAGTCTGATGTAACATGACAGAAAAAACATGCGTCTTCGTTCCAGATCAATATTTAATGGCTTGTAGCAGTCTTATTTTTGGCCAGCCAGCCGTAACTATATACTTTAACTACTACACAAATGTGAAAAGTCGTCTCCCAGGAACCAGTAGGGTTACATGTGCCCTTCCCTCGTCCTATTCCAATTTGTGAACACGCTCCATTCCGAGCCCTCAATATTTTACTTGCCTACTCCTGCACAGTTGCCAACAGGGGGGCACGTTTCGGATGAGTTCTGCACGACGTCTGGGCCAGGCTGTGGAAAGACAAGATCGCAGAGCTCCGTAGTGCCGCATCCGTTGTTAACGTTGGCGGCAAAAATAGGAGGTCGGGATGCATACGGAACCCCGGAACTTTGAACCGATCTTCCACTTGGGCCACGTGCAATGGTTACATGTGCGCAGTTCATGTACATCTCACGGTTGCCAACCTTGTTGAACCAGGACCATGCAAAGAGGGCATCGCCGATAGGCAGGTCGGTCGGAAGGGTGTAGGTCCAGTTTGGCTTCAAAGGGCAACCACCAATCCAAGATTGAATGACGGTCCAAGTTGCTCCTCTGTCGTAAGAGAACGAGACTTGGCAACTGCCACCTTCGTGGGTGGCAGAGCCTGTAACGGACAGGTTGTAGGTCTGTCCTGGGTACCACGTCACGACTGAGGGACCTTGAGGTGTATCGAGAAGGTTCTGGTATCCCTTGCAAGGGTAGTTGTCACCATTTGCATCGAGAGGACTAGTCATATCGTAGTCAATGTCGGTTGTGTATGGGTTATACTCTGAGCGGAATGGTGGAGGCCATGTCATTTCCATGTGAGCCGTGGCTGTGACGGCCAGAGACGTCAAGATGGCGATGAACGATTTCATAGTCGATATAGTTGATCGAATTGTAGCTGGAGAGATAGATGTCCAATAAAGGTGCGCTGGTGAATGAGGTGTTGAGACCAGTAGGAATGAGCAATGCCATCACTTATATATACCTTTTCAAATCGTTACAATAATGGCTTGTTGTTACATCTCATTGGAATGACATCATACGCTTTTGATTTCGTTATATACAAAACGCAAGCCAACCCCAACAAGTAACGTTTGATCACAGAACATACAACAGTAGGCCAGGATGATCAAAATATTCGGCAGTAACACTAACCATGGCACTTGCAAAGCTTCAACATACCGTTCCGTAGCATCTGATTGTACCTATTGTCTATCCAGTGTAGTTCATGTATAAATTGGTCTCCTGCATGCTTCGTGCAGGTGCTACATTAGAATGCAACAAACCAGCGAAGGTGTGCATCTGCAACATGCTGCCCCGTGGGGGTGGCGCAAACGGATTGCCATGAGGTGACGTTTGGGCTGAAAAAAATAGATGAGCTTTATATATGGTAGTCGGAAAATCAATTACTGGATTGGAGTCATATAGTGTTTAACCCCGAGTAAGAAATCCACCTTTTTAATAGCAATGTCCGCCCACCTGGGTGACCTTGGAACCAGACCAAGGGTTTTGGGAGACGGAGGGCGTTGCAATACTTCGTCAACTGAACAGAATATATTTCACAAATTCAAGTTAATAATAGGTCGACTCTAAAAATCTTATACCTAAAATATGAAATTGTTTTATTTTACATCTTTTTCGAATGTTTCAAGCGCTAAGCAAAGGTTCAAGATTTGCTCCCTCTCTAAGGCAATAGCTGGGTGGTGTGGCATTTATCGACAAAACACCAGTGTAGACTAATTTACTACCTTTTCCACCATTACCACACTCTAAAATATCCTAAAAATATCAGTTCTTTCCTAGCCTTTATTTTGGATTTTTTTCACGTATGTGCAACGCTTACGCATGAGTTTAGCGCTTTATACAGGGTATCATTTAATCTGGCCCCCCCCCTACCAGCTGGCACCACTGCCGAGCACCTGGCACCAGCCGCCCGGTCGATTAACGCGGTGCCTGACGCGAGTGGGGCCGAAGAGCAGGCGGGGCTCGCTCAACACTCTAGCAGCCAGCGTCTGCGACTCGGCGGCACGGTAGCAATGCATGTCGACCTTGCTGACCTGGCAAGATAACTGTCTGTTTCAAGTTTTTGGAGGTGAATCAACCTTTTCTTGCACCGATTCATCGTTAAACTTTTCCAACCAAAATAATAGAGTTTGCCACCTTTCTTTCGCTAGATCGTTTCACCCCCCACCCTTGGCACAAGTCATGCCCTTCTAAACTCTCCCCCCTCCTCCTCTCTCGAACCTGAGTAGCCGCCCTGGTCAACTACGGTAGCCATCATAGCCAAACCACCAACTCCCATTACAGAATGGCTGACTTGATGCACGGCACACCTAAACGGAAACGAGACGAGCAGCAGACACCCCTGACACCTATTAAATTCACCTTTGACATCACAAAGGAAGAGGCCGCGGAGGATGGCGGCAGCAGCCCGCGGTCAAGCGTGGCTCATCGGTTCGGCGGCCTAGAGCTTGGCAGCACTGGCTACCTTACGCCTAGACAAGAGCCAGAGAGCAGAAAGCGTCAGAAATCAGAAGATCCTTCTGACACCACACCACAACTACCCGAACAGAGAAACTTGTTCGCCTCGCCGCGCCCCGCATCCCTTGGAGCGGTATCGGCATCTGATATTCCTAGCTCCAGCCCCGAAAGAGGCCGCACAAAGACTACTACGCCGAGAAGGCGCACAAAGAAGAGAGCAGGAACTCCTCCTTTGCGTTTAAAGCGGTCACCCGTCCAAGAACATAGTGATGCTGATGCCGATGACGAGGCTGATGCAGACATGGAAGTGGTTGACCCGGTACGAGCCTCGCTCACTTGGCATGAAGACGAAATCACTATCTATGACCCTGATGACGAGGACGATGATGGCACCGGTATCAACGGAGTCGGATTCAAACCTACGCCTGCTCTCGCTCATGTTCGGGCCATGAAGCGCCAGCAGCAAATGGCGGAGTATAGAAAACGCGAGGAGAGCGAGGCTAGGGCTAAGAGGAACCAACGAAGACGCGACGGAAGCTCTGCTAGCAGGCATGAAGATAAGCTTGCCGCACGAAAGGTTCGATTTCTGGAAGCAGAAAGGCACAAACTTGCTCTCACAACGGGTTGAGGGTTCTATCTGCAGGTTTGGAGTTTTTGGGTTTACGAAATGGTTTGCATAATGTCTTTTTTCTCCTGGAGTTTCAACATTTGGAAATTAGCGTCCGAGTTTCATTTGTCTTTTTCCTTAGTTTCGCAGCTATACCTTGGATGACGGATAGCCACTCTCAATGTTTCCCCTTTGGTCGGAGTCCTGTCTGGATTCCTAACATGTTATGAATGAATGCTATTATTTTTGATATACATCTTACAGTATTCCTCCGAGACTCTAATCCACCTGCTATATGTACATCCATATGTTCTCCGTTTAATTTCAACGCTTTTTAATATACAAATAATCATACAGCCGTAGCCAGTACAGTTACCAGAACTTGTACCAACGATGTTCGGCCTTTTTGCGCTCCTCTTCTCGCTTTTGTTTGGCCTCTTCCGCTTTTTTGGCTTGCTCTCGCTTCTTCTCGGCAACAACCTCAATGGTGCGTTGCATCTGTATGCGTTCGGCTCGGCGCTTGTACTGGCAGTATTCGTACGAAGCGGCACTGCCCAAGAGGAAGAAACCGACGGCCCAATTAGCAGCTTTTCCAACATTTCCTATCAACAAGAATTAATATTTTGCACGCTCCATCTCGAGCTACCATTCCTACCTCGCATAACGAAGCGCAGTCCGCCCACTGTTGCACCTGATGCGATACCAGTCAACAGGCCGCCTCGTGCACAGGGCATCTGGGCAATGTTGCCAAAATCTTCCTTCTTAATGGTCGATACAGCGGCTGATATCGTCACTGGGCCACTGGGTGTTGTGCTCGGGTTCTCTAGTCGCTTCTGGTCTTCGGGTTTGAGGGGTTCGGACCAGACCTGGAGCGTCTTCTGGTTCGAGCCGGGTGTGCCTCCAGCAGCGCCAGCATTGCTGTCTTGTGGTGATGAAGACATCTTTTCGGTCTCTCTTGACATTGTCAGTATCAATGGGTTGTTCGAGGCGCAAGGCAGTCCTGCGGATAATTCGGGTCGTCGTCTGTCCAAGGCTGTGACGCTAGACAAATTGTTGCAAAGTCGTCCTTCAGCGAGAGTGGAGCTGCGGCAAGGGTCGCGTGTGGCCACAGCATTCGGCCCAATGAAAGCGCTGTAAATACAGTGGCCTTCAGTGGCGCTCTTTTGGTGGATGTGCTGCAAAAAATCCATTAAACTCGGCGTGGGGCAGAGCGTGTCGCGACAGCGCGTCGGAACGCGTCTCTCATTGTCTTTGCCAGCCAAGGGTTGCAAGATTGCTAGGGTTAAACAAACCAACAATCAAGCACCAGCACCAGTTTCATCTGCGACTTGCTGGACGCCATTCCTTTCCCATTCACGATCATTGCCGATTTACCACCGTAATAACGATTAGGCAAACCGCGCTGCACTACGAATTCACGACTTGCTACGAAATACTCCTCTCTTTGCTCCTAATGACGACTAGATAAAGCGAATTGGTGCATCTCTACGTGACTATCCCAAGCTTCGTGCTTGACACAACCCTCACCGAGCGGCACGGCCTACACTATATACACACGCACATACTCACACAATGCCCAACACAAGTCTGCGGCGCCCGCAAAAGGGCTTCCGCAGAGGCGGCAAGACTGCCTACCATGGCGGCCGAGGAGGAGCCAGAAGCTTTGCTGCCTCTTCCAGAGCCGAAGGCACTTCTGCTGATGAAAGATGGGAGCGCACACGGCAAGCCCATCTCATTGACGAGACTATGGGATTTGCCAGATTCGAAAGCGGGAGGAAAAAGGAAGGCTGGCTAGTCAACGTCCAGCCGACTAGCTTAGAGGACGATCGCAATCAGGGTGGCCGTTCCGCCCTGGACTGCTACTTCATTGAGCTCGACGGCTCAACATTTAAAGCCACGGTAGAGTACGAGCCTTACTTTCTGATTGCTGTCAAGCGCGGCCATGAATCAGAAGTCGAAGAATGGGTCAAGCGCGTACCTGGCGACGGTGTCGTCAAGACAATACGCAAGGTGGAAAAAGATGACCTCGACATGCCGAACCATTTACTTGGCTACAAGCGCACATTTCTGCAGCTTTCGTTTTCCAACGTCAGTGATTTGATGTCTACCCGACGAGATATCATGCCAATCGCAGAAGCCAACAAGAAGAACATGAACGCCATGGATGCTTATGCCGAAGTGGCCACGGCCAACGCGAATGGCAATTTTGATTTGTTTGACGACGCCAATCAAGACGAAAAGCCCATGACCACCTCTTATTCCGACGCAAGCGACTACATTGTTGACGTCCGCGAATATGACGTTCCCTACCACGTTCGAGTAATGATTGATAGGAATATCCGTGTTGGAAAGTGGTACTTTGTCGAAGCCAAACACGGTGTAACAAAGCTTGTTCCCAACGAAGAGCGCTCGCTACCAGCTGATCCTGTCGTTTTGGCTTACGATATCGAGACAACAAAGCTGCCGCTCAAGTTTCCTGATGCAACAATCGACCAGATTATGATGATTTCATACATGATTGATGGCCAGGGCTTCTTGATTACCAACAGAGAAATCATCTCCGACGATATCGGTGACTTTGATTACACACCCAAACCAGAATACCCCGGCCCATTCATGATTTTCAACGAAGCCGACGAAAAGGCAGTTATCGAGCGATTCTTCCTACATATTAAAGAAGCACGACCCACCGTTATTGCGACTTATAACGGTGACTTTTTCGATTGGCCATTTGTGGAAGCCAGAGCTAGCGTCAACGGCATCGACATGTACCAGGAGATCGGCTGGAAGAAGGACAGCGAGGACCAGTACAAGTGCAACTACAGTGTTCACATGGATTGTTTCCATTGGGTCAATCGTGATTCTTACTTGCCTCAGGGTTCTCGTGGTCTCAAGGCTGTCACTGTCGCCAAGCTCGGTTATGATCCTGATGAATTGGATCCCGAGCTTATGACCCCATATGCCCAGGAACGACCTCAAACTTTGGCAGAATACTCAGTGTCCGATGCCGTGGCCACGTATTATCTGTACATGAAATACGTCCATCCCTTCATTTTCTCCCTTTGTACTATTCTGCCGCTGGGCGGCGATGATACGTTGCGCAAGGGTACTGGTACACTCTGTGAAATGTTGCTGATGGTGGAGGCCTATGTTAAGGAAATTGTCCTCCCAAACAAGCATATTTCGCCGCGAGAGTCGTTTTGGGACGGCCATCTGCTAGATTCAGAGACTTATGTTGGTGGTCACGTCGAAAGTATTGAAGCTGGTGTTTTCCGAGCAGATATTCCAGTCGACTTTGCCGTGGATCCAGGAGCCGTGGACGAACTGTTGCGTGATATTGATGCCGCGTTGAAGTTCGTCATTACTGTTGAAGAGAAGAAAAACCTGGACGACGTTGAAAACTATGAAGAGGTCAAACAACAAATTGTGGCCAAGCTCACCGAACTCAAAAACACACCGAATCGACATGAACGGCCTTTGATTTACCATCTTGACGTCGCCTCCATGTATCCTAACATCATGACGACCAATCGTTTACAACCGGATTCAATGATTTCGGAGGCTGATTGTGCCGCTTGCGACTTCAACCGGCCTGGCAAAACTTGTGATAGGCGAATGCCGTGGGCATGGAGAGGTGAATATCTTCCTGCTAAAAGAGACGAATACAACATGATTCGACACGCTCTGGAAAACGAAATGTTCCCAGGCCGCACTTTGCAAGCACCGCAAAGGACTTTCCAGGAACTGTCTGCTGATGAGCAGGCTGCTCTAATTCGCAAGCGTCTCCAACTCTACTCACAAAAGGTTTACCACAAGATTCACGACTCGACAACTATTGTTCGTGAGGCTATTATCTGCCAGCGTGAAAACCCATTCTACATCAACACTGTGCGAGACTTCCGTGACCGTCGATATGATTACAAGGGAAAAGCCAAGGTCTGGAAAGGCAAGACGGACGCCTTAAAGTCTGCAAATGCTTCGGCTAGTGAAGTTGAGGCGGCTAAAAAGATGATTACGGTTTACGATTCACTTCAGCTGGCCCACAAGGTCATTCTCAACTCCTTCTACGGTTATGTCATGAGAAAAGGTTCTCGATGGTATTCCATGGAAATGGCTGGTGTTACCTGCTTGACGGGTGCTACTATTATCCAACTTGCCAGACAGTTGGTCGAGCGTTTGGGCAGACCTCTTGAACTGGATACTGATGGTATTTGGTGCATGCTGCCCGCAACATTCCCAGAAAACTTCGCCTTCAAACTGAAGAACGGAAAGAAGCTCAACATTTCATACCCCTGTGTCATGTTGAACCATCTTGTACACGACAAGTTCACGAACCACCAATATCAGACACTTGTTGACCCAAAGACCTTCAAATATGACACTCACAGTGACAACTCCATCTTCTTCGAAGTCGATGGACCTTACAAAGCCATGATTTTGCCCACTTCGAAAGAAGAAGACAAGAACTTGAAAAAGCGATACGCTGTGTTCAACGACGATGGCAGTTTGGCAGAACTGAAGGGTTTCGAAGTTAAACGTCGTGGTGAGCTCAAGCTTATCAAGATCTTCCAGCAACAAATTTTCAAGTTTTTCCTCGACGGCAGTGATTTAACAGAGTGTTACACAGCCGTTGCCAAGGTGGCGAATCGCTGGCTCGACGTTCTGCATGGCAAGGGCTCGACACTGGCGGATGAAGAGCTCATGGAACTGATTTCAGAAAACAGAAGCATGTCAAAGACGCTGGAAGAATACGGATCGCAAAAATCGACAAGTATCACAACGGCCAAGCGCCTTGCTGATTTCCTGGGCGAACAGATGGTTAAAGACAAGGGTCTGAACTGTAAATTTATTATCTGCTCGCGACCCCGAAATGCGCCTGTTACAGAGAGAGCTATTCCGGTGGCTATCTTTGCGGCCGAAGAAACTGTCAAGCGAACATATCTAAAGAAGTGGCTGAAAGAAGATCCCACCGACACAGATCCCCGCGCTCTCCTCGATTGGGACTACTACTTGGAGCGATTGGGCTCTGTGATTCAGAAGCTTATTACAATTCCTGCTGCCCTGCAAAAAGTCCGCAATCCAGTTCCACGTGTACCGCATCCCGATTGGCTGCAAAGACGAATCAATATCAAGGAAGACAAGCTCAAGCAAAAAAAGATGACTGATCTATTTGCCAAGGAACCTCTAAGTGAGATTACCAACTTGAATGGCAAGGCCCTGGATGACCTGGAAGACTTTGGTGCGAAGCTCTTGAAGCCCAAGAATACAAATGCTGTTATTGCTTCGTCACAGCCAGCTCCAACCGGCCAGAAGCGCAAGTCCCCTGATCCAGCTGCGCCTCAGGATCCCATGGACGCACTTCCAAGCGAAATGCCTAGCCCATCCGACGACTATCCTGCTTTCTTGGAGTACCAGAAGCAAAAATGGAAGATTCAGAAGCAGGCTCGTATCCGCCGCAGACAGCTCTTTGGAGACCGACGAGGACTCACTGGATCCAATATCCAAAACTCATTTATGAAGCAAGCTCATTTAACCTTCATGAATACCTGGCAGCTATTGCATCTAAAGCAGACTGATACCCCAGGCATTGTCACAGCTTACGTGCTTATTGATGCCAAGATCCATACCGTCAAGATCAAGGTTCCCCGCCAAGTCTTTCTCAACTTGAAGAGCAAGGATTTGCCAGACGTCGAGATTGAAGGTTGTGAAGTCGAACAGGTCAACTATACGCTGCCTAACGGCCACCCGTCTACTCACCTGTTCAAGCTTACAGTCTCTGAGGACGTTTACTTTGACCAAGCTGTCAAGTTTGACGTCTTGTTTAACCACCCGAGTGTTGAAGGTGTATACGAAAAGCACGTGCCGCTTAACATTCGCGCCGTGCTGCGTCTTGGCAACATCTGCGCTATTGATGAGAAGCAGGACGCTGTTCTCGGCAAGGGCCTCGAGTCTGGCTTCGAACTGGGAGGATTGAAGCGACCTGCAAAGATGCGAACATACCTAGATTCGTCCCCTCTTGCGTACATCTACATCTCTCATGTTACGGCAGGTGACCGTCAAATCTTTGGCATCTTTTCGACAACTGGCGAGCGTGCTAGCATCATTATCCTGCAAAAATCCAAAGACTCCAATCAAGACTTGCCAAACATTGGAAAGTTGTACAGCGAGCTGCTCGCCAAACGAGCTGAAGAAGCTGCCGGCACAAACTGGCAGGACTGCTTCACCTACCAGGACAAGCTTACGTTTAAGGTGACCCAAGTGACGACGCGCCGCAAAGCGCACTTGGAGATTGGCGATGTTGTGAAGCAGATGCGCAAGGATGAATCTCGCCCGCAAATGCTTGTTATTCAATCGTCGCAGCGCAATTTGCTTGTTCACGATGTCCCTGTTCTAGGCGAATTCCCTGTTCTCCCTCTCAAGTATGATGCGGCAGACAGTTCGCTGCCCCCGCTGGGATGGCAGGCAGTTATTGCCCGTCGCTTACTGGGACATTACCTCGGCGTCGGCTCGTGGATCTTGCACTTGACGGCGCTTGCTCGCCATGGCGATGTTCCTCTGTGCAACTTGGAGCGTGATGATCCTCGCTTCCTAATCGATATTGCGTACGCACGCCGACTGCAAGCAAACGGTGTCGTGCTTTGGTGGTCTGCCGGTCCTCGACCTGATCATGCCGGCTACGAAAACGACGATCTTGTTGGCCCTCTGGATTCGGTAAAGATGCCCAGCGTCAACAACGCCGGTACATATTCGTCAGTCTGCATTGACATGGATGTCCGCAACTTGGCAATCAATACCATCCTCACATCATCACTCATCAACGACTTGGAAGGAGCAGACGCAGTGTCCTTCAACCCGTCCGCTGAAGGATCTGACAGCTTAGCGTCAGAAAGCGCCTTTTCTAATGCCTCTGTTCTGGTCCTTCGTGAGATGGTCAAGGCATGGTGGACCGAAGCTTGCCGCGGCAGCACCATGGCAGACGTCCTTGTCCAACACTTGGTGCGCTGGGTAGAGAACCCCGACTCCTTCATGTACGACCGCGCTCTGCACCATTATGTGCAGATGATGTCCCGCAAAGCCTTCCAGCAGCTCATGGGTGACTTCCGCCGTGTTGGATCGCAGGTTGTGTTTGCCAGCGCCAACCGTCTCATTTTGCAGACTACCAAGGCCGAAGTTGGTAACGCGTTTGCCTACAGCCAGTACATTATCAAGTCCATCAAAGGCAAACCGCTGTTCCACTTCATTGATCTTGAAATCAAGGAGTACTGGGACTATCTGGTGTGGTACGATGAGTTCAACTACGGTGGCAAAGGGTGTGAGCAGGTCTCTGAGACGGAGACACAACAGCTCGAAACCATTATGCACTGGCAAATGTCCACGTTCCTCCCAGTGCGCTTGCAGCCCATCTTCCAGGACTGGGTTATCGAGTTTATCCATCTCATGCACAGCTACAAGCACCAAGTGACCACCGATCCTGACGGCACGCCTCGCCTCACGCAACTCCCAAACCGCGACGGTGGTGACAGCGAAAACACACAGCTTATTCTGGGCAAGCCGTACGAGAAGCCACTGAAGAAGGTTATCGTCGGCCTCCTGAACCAGCACAAGAAGGAGATGCTGCACCCTGAACTTGCCAACGACTACTCATTCCCGAACCTGCCCGGCTCTCATCTCAAGCCACGCTCTCCTATTCTGGAACTGGTCAAGTCTCTCATGCAGGTCCTGTCTCTGGACAAGAACATCACGCTCGAGGCTCGCTTACTGCGCAAAGAGCTGCTGAACCTCTTTGACGTCCGCGAGTTCTCCAAGGAGGGCACCTTTGCCAACCCGTCTGAGTCTCTCAAGCTGTTCCAGGTATCGTGCGACTCGTGCACCATGGCTCGTGACCTGGATCTCTGCCGCGACGAGGACCTTCTTGCATCAACAGGGCCCAATAGTACTGGTGTCTGGAGCTGCACGTACTGCGGCGCCGAGCTGGACCGCGTGGGCATTGAAGAGCGCATGCTGGGTATTGTGGAAAGCTGGACTGTCGAATGGACCACGCAGGACTTGAAGTGTGCGCGATGCGGTGCGCTGCGACTCAACGACTTCATGGAGCACTGCACATGTTCAGGGTCATGGACAGAGGTGGCGAACAGGAAAGAGATTAATGCTAAGATGGTGACCATGAAGAGAGTGGCCAAGTACTATGGGTTGAAGATGTTGTTGGACGTGGTGGAGAGTTTGCAAAAGGCCATGTAGAGACGCCTTTCTTTTATTTTTGGCATTCATGGCGTTTTGGGGAGTATATTGCATATCACCATACCATATAGAAATGATAACTTTTATTCACTTTTTTATTTCACAATATATGTTCTATATAAACTTTTTCGTCTTCTACTCGTGGCTATCATGATATATATGCATAAATGTCATGGGACACAACTCAGAGTTTCATCCCATCATGCCTCCTCGAGCCATCTTCTTTGCACGCGCTCCTTTGCGGTTATGGTTCGCGCGGCTGCTTTTATTAGCTTCCTTGTTGCGTCGAGCGGCCTCTGTGCCCTGATCACTCGGGGCACCAGCAACATTGCCGCCTCTACCACGACCGGATCCTCCACGGCCTCTACCACGACCTCTACCTCGTGTAGAGGCATCTCGATCGCTGTCTTCGCCTTCACGCCAAGCAGTGCGCTCAAGTGTATGCTGCTGTTTACCGTCAAAGGCATACTTGGCCTCCAAGCGGCGCATTTGCTGTGGCGTGCGGGCCAACATGACGGCCCATCCTTCGATGGCCTCGTCTGTCATGCCTGTATCTTCGCGCAGCTTGTTACGCGGTGCTGAGCGGCGAGTGGCGGAGTCACGGTCAAAGAGCTTCGGGCTGGAGAGATAGGCGCGGAATAGGGCCTCTTCGCTGGCTTCGTTGGCGGAGTCGGCTTCTTGGTTGGTCGAGGCGTCGACGGTGCCACCGACATCGTCGGCATCGTAGGTGTCGTCGCGCTCGTCGTCGTCAGAGTCGAATGCGGCGAGGGCAGATAGAATAGCGGCCTTTCCGGGAGCAGAGGTGCGGTCGCGGAGCAGCTCATCGGCTGTCTTGTCGGGGCGTTTACCGAAGGATATCTTTGACGTGTCTGCTGCTAAGCGGTCAAACTCGTCGTCGTCAAAGATATTGTGGCGTGTAGGGAGCTGTGGAGGAGTATTGTGAGGAGCAAGATCAGGCTTTGGTGGCGGTTCGGTGGTTGAGAGGGGTTCGGAGCGGTCGAGGGAAGCAAGATGAGGAGGGAGAGAGTCGCCGAGGAGATTGGAAACGACTTGCTCGACATCGTTGGAGTATTCGTCGAGGCATTTGGCAACGAAGCCGCTGCCGAGGTCGGGGAACAGGTCTTGCACTTGGGTGATGTGGCTCATTAGGTGGATATGCATCTCGGCATCCACATCTTCGGACGATTGCTTCCCTTTGCCTTTGTCAATCTTGCGCTTGGTGAGGCGTTTGGGCTTGATCATGGCGCCCTTGATGAACGGCTCGAGAGCATGGATTCTATTTTTAAATGTGGATGTAGCTACAGTGTGTTCTTCAGCCTTGCGGAGGATGATTTTGAGGATGGGCGTGGATGTGACGAGTTCTGGGACGAGGGAGTCGTTGATATTCAGAGGGCCGATTTTGTGCTCGTCGGCCGCTTCTTTGAGAGCAAAGAGTTCGTCGCTAAGCATGGACCATTTTGGCGGCTCTGTTTCTGTCAGACCAATCAGGCAGAGATATACGGTGGCGATGATGACTTTTCGTAGAGGCGGGTTCATGATTCTGAAGCCGGCGACGAGAGCATCAAAAAAGTCGGAGCCAGCCAAAAAAAAGATGCAAGCTTGTGGCGAGACGTGCAGCAGCGGGTTGAGCTGTGTCAACTTTTCTTCCACCATTTTCAAGTTTCCCTTCATGCCCGATTCTAAATGCGGGATGAGGGTGCGCTTCAGGACAGAGAGGGAGGACTCGAGAGGGATCGGGCTGCGGGTAAAAAGTGACGAGAGGACGGGCGCGACGAGCTTTTTCGGATATATTTTTGAGAAGTTGGTGACAAAATCGGCAGATATAATGGTAGAGGATGTTGTTACTTGTAATAATCGCGATATTAAGACGAATACAGCTTTGGAGAGCTGTGGCGATGGAGCTGGAGAGGGCGAGGCTGCCGTCTCCTTGACGTACGAGACGACGAATTCGATTGCCGATTCGCCTTGGCTGCGCAATTGGTCATCTGCAAGGCTAGTGTAAGCTTGGGAGAGCGAGATCCAAGCTTCAGAAAGCGTCTTCCACTGCGAAGACGAGAGATGTTGCCGCCACGCTGCTTGCGGGTAAGGCGCAAAGAGAGGAAGAACTGTCATGATGCGGGGAGGTCGGTCTAGGTGAGAATTCGAGGGGCTGCGGTGTTGTAGGTGTGGTTTCGATGTTTTATCTATCCATTCCGGGCTGTTTTGTATTTTTTCGAATATTTATTGGGCGTGGGTGGTTTGCCGCGGGGGAGTCAATCCGGCGTATGATTCACACTGGAAGTGACAAGCGTCGTCAGAGCCCCGCCAAAGCTGTTACGAGCTGGAGATGGGGTTGTTAGGTAAGCATGCGGACGAGATCTAACGGGCTGGAAGATAGTGTGTAATTATTATGAAAATTAAGACTCTATCAAATCGGTTAAAAGGACATAAGGTCACTCTCATATATACCAATGAGCTTGTCTATTATTATATCTGGCTCTGTTGGGTGTGAGCGTGGACAGCCGCCCTGTATTACACGTTTACTGCGTGAGCCTCTGCTGCAGCCAAGTCCGTCGACATAAGCTCTAAAAACTATTTTAAAAAAATTTATATTGTCTCTAAATATGTAAATGACGGTTATAAAAAAATAGGATGCTATTTTACACTAGTAAAAACCGTCTAGACTCTCTCATCCTCTCGCCATCTCACAAGCTACTAACAACAACCGACACTCGGTACGTACCTTTTTTTTACCTACAGCCCACCACCCAAATAGGCTTAGCGCCTCGCACAAAAAAATTTCCCCACCAAAGGAAAAGTGCCTGGCGAACATCGCGGCGCAACTTTGACCTTCTCTTTTTTGTTTTTGCTCTCCAACCAACCAGCCTTCATCACTTTGCCGAAACGTGCAACTCAAGTTCACCAACGTTCGAGTCGTGAAGGACCGCTTTTTTCAACCCCAACAAATCAATCAAGATGTCTTACAACAAGCCCGAGAAGGACCTTGGCGAGGCTCCCGTACGTCGATTTCATCCCGTCGTCCATCGTCGTCTCTATTCGAGGCAATGCGGCAAAAGGATACTAGGTGTGAAGAAGAATAAAGGTGACTAACCAGTATTGCGTCTGCAGAAGAGCCACAAGATCCGCATCACCCTCTCCTCCCGCAAGGTCCAGGTCCTCGAGAAGGTCTGCACTGAGATCATCGACCGTGCTAAGAACAAGGACCTCCGCGCCAAGGGCCCCGTCCGCCTTCCCACCAAGTGCCTCAAGGTCACCACCCGCAAGACCCCTTGCGGTGAGGGTTCCAAGACCTGGGACCGCTTCGAGATGCGCATCCACAAGCGTCTCATCGAGTACGTAGTCTCTCTCCGCCAGAACAGACCACCGTATACTAACCAGGATTACTTTTTACAGTCTTACTGCCCCCACCGAGGTTGTCAAGCAGATCATTGTCAACATCGATGCTGGTGTCGAGGTCGAGGTCACCATTGCTGCTTAAGTGCGTGCGATGATGGCGTGGGAAGCGGTGTCTGGCTGTCTGTGCTACTGCGAAAGCGGCGGGCGTGCAGCCAGGCATTGCGAGGAAAAAAGGGTACTCAGCTTTAGTAGACGTAATATCAAACAAGTTGGTATCGAACTTCTGTTGTGCTTTGCTTCGAGAGGAAACGGGATATGTTTTTGCATGCTAACGGAAGCTGGCTAAGGATCGTTTGTATTTGACTATGTGACAAGAGTGACAAGATAAACGACACTATACTCCTCCAACAACAGAGACAAGGCAATGCTAAGCGGTAAGAGCCCGCCGATTGAGACGATATATTTATATGTTGTTTGCAGGCTTCGCGTATTCTTTTCGCCAAGTGAAGCCGATCTGCTGATTTCCATTGGCGGGGCCTCAAGGCTGTCAACAGCCCCTGAAGGTCTTCTTTTTACCGGCTACAACGGCTCGGGAGCTGCCTAATTCGGAGGCGCTGCCGGCGCCTTTTTCCACTAAATGGTGATTAAAATTAAAAAGAAATGCCTGCGCGTGGGGTTAGTGACTTTTAAGAAAGGAATTTGCAGCTATAAGATGATATAGAAGCCCTTCTTGGCAAGGCTGAACACTCTTCGTCATCCTCTCGCACCGTCGTGTAAAGACGCTGCCACACGCTCATTGTTGATTCACTCCGTTTCAGTTTGTTTGCAATTGCGGCTGCAAATCATAATGGTGCCTCTGTACATTACACTGGTCAACCTTCTGCTCAGCAGTGCTGCTGTTAGCGCGTCCGGTGTTGACGGACTGCACTCGCTCACAGTTCTGGCCCCAGGAGAATCGCCAAAGCCCAACCCATTGCCAAGCTCCAGCAGCCCGGCTTCAACATCTCAGCTTCCTTCTCCAACTTCGCACTCTGAACCTCCAGCAACACATACAGAGCAACCAACCAAGACCGATGAGGATCCCTGGGCATTGACAACCGTCTTTACACAACCGACTGATTGTCTGTACGGCATTACGCAGTACGCTGGGTCGCTGTCCACGCTGGACTACTGGCTCAATATCCCATTTCCTGCACCGGGCATCACTCTGACATCCTGTTTCCCCCCTGCTCTGGTGGCCAGCGTGACGGCCTCGGAGGATCAGCCTCCGTACAATCAGCTCGTTTGCCCGTACAAATGGGAATCGTTTGACTACAACTCAACCTATAGGATATGCTGCCCTCCGTACGTCCTGTCTTCTCCCACTCTGGGGGGTTGCCACAACTCTTCTTGTATTCTAATAACAAAATAGGGATTTCGGCCTTTATGCCCCCGGCATTATTAGCAGCAATACAGTTCGGCCTGGTCTCGGCGCGTGGTGCACATCGTGGGCATGGCCTGGGACGCACGCTGCCTTGACTAGATACTTTACGGACGGCCACTCGTCGGTGATAGACACGAGGTTGGGGTCTTCGGAGAATTGGCTGGTGCAGGCTACTGCTTTTGATGGTTTTATTTCTGGCAGCGGGCCGCATCATGCGTTACCAACAACAAATGGACCCAAGCCGGCGATTACTACTCCAATGATTACTACTACAACGAGCAGCGGCTTCGCGATGCCAACGGGAACAGGCCCGACAGCGCTGGGCATTTGTCTTCCAGTGCTAGCCAATGCACTCTGGATGGCTGTCATATAATACTGTACAAAGTATAGATCAAATACAGCACCCTGTACATCACAAGCAAATATATAGCCAGGATATTGTAGATCGCGCAGCCGACACACCGCTTTGCGCAAGGTATACTGCATTAGTAGCCTCCCAACACGGGTATAATGAAGCACATGCAACCTTCTTTTTCGCCAATCACCATCGCGTTGCACCGCACCGCCTCCGACCAGCGCATGTTTCCCCATGGGACCGTGCCAGTGAAACACGCGCTAGCGTCTAGCGGGCGGGCTGTGCTCTGACCTTTTGTTGGTGGGTTTGGCTGGGGCTACCACAGCGGTGTCTAATTATAGCCTGGGCGGCTATCGTAGCGCGTTGGTTGCAAGCCTTTTCCAGGCGATGGGAAACAGCTGTGTTGCGATCGCTATCGCAGGCCGTCCTTTGCATTTTCAACATGTTTCTTGTCGAAGCAGTCAGATACCTCCTTCGCCGTGATGCTTCTCTCGGCTCCGGCCTCCTCCGGGTCACAACGGGCCCCCTTGCAGCGCGGCCAGCATCCTGGTGGCTTCTTGACTTACTCGCGCTCGCCAAGATGGCCGCTGAGAGATGCCCACTATTGGTCGCTGAAGAGGTCCGAGCGATGCACGATGCTCCGCGCTGTGCCACCGCCATGTGCTCTCGATCAAACCTTCGCAGCCTTGTTTGCTCACCTGTGGCCGGCTACAAAGGCCGTTGGGCTCCCGGTTGCAATCATGGACCGATTCCGTTTTGTTTTGAATTCTCTAATTCTCTTTTGTATCAAGATACCCTGACGATTTTTGTTTTTTTTTTTCCCTTATTGTCGATCATGAAGTTTCTTGTGTCAGTCACAGCCTTTGCGGCTACAGCTGCAGCAGGCACTATCAGCATGCCCAAGGCGCGAAGCTCCGGCTCAGAGGGCAATAGCCACTCACTTTCTGCATATCCAGCTGAGTGGGTTGGACCACGACTCCTTATTAATACCACTTTTGGCACACCGCCGCAGACCGTTCCCCTCGCCATCGACACTGGCAGCAGTGATCTCTGGACCAACATTGTGGGAGGCCAATGCCCTGGAAAGGTGGCTTGTCCCCAATGTAAGTACTTTGGGGGGGGATAACCCAATGTATTGACTTACTAACTCCCACATTTAGGGGCCGTTAAACAGTCGACATCCTTCAAGAGGCTGACTAAGAGCGAGCTCGATGGCAACGACACTTTCGCCATCAACTACTCAGGTGCTGCGTATAGCGTTGGTGGTACAATGGGCAAGGATACCGTTGGTGTTGCTGGCATCACTATCAAAGACCAGATGATGGGCCTCGCGGTCACCAACAACGGTTTTGCCTATGGCTTTCTCGGCCTGGGTTTCAACACAACTGTCAGCACCCGATTTCGCAAAAAGCCCGCAACCTTCCCCACGGTGCTGGACAACATGGTTACGCAGGGCAGTATCAACAGACGCGCCTTCAGCCTGTTCCTCAACGGCACCTCCAATATAGGTACCATTCTGTTTGGTGGCATTGACAGCGACAAGTACTACGATAACCTGGCCTCTCTACCAATGGTCATCGATCCCCTGTTTCCCCGGCTACCCATCGACTACAATGTCGAATTGACCGGTGTTGGCAGCCCCAACATCACCGGCCTCAAGTTGTCCAAAACTGCTGTTGTCCTAGTCGACAGCGGCTCGCCTCAAGTTCGTTTACCAGTAGAGCTGCTTCCCCCCATCTACAAGCACTTCAACGTCCTCAACAAGAATACCAGCGCTGATATCGGTAACTTTGTCGACTGCGCTGAAGCTAGCAAGTACGAAAACGACTTCCTAGAGTTTGCCTTCAAGGGAAAGACAATCAGGGTGCCTGGCTCGGCCTTATTCAAGGACATTTACGACGCCCCCGGTATTACTTCTGAGAAAAGCGTGCGTGCGAAGCTAGGCAGTGACGTCGCGAGCTGGAAGAGGGTCTGTCTCTTTGGCATTTCCTTTCCTATCCCGGGCACCTCCTTTCTCCTTGGTGATCCTGTCCTTCGATATGCCTACACCGTCTTTGACCAGGACACCAAGACCATCTCTATGGCGCAGGCAAATTTGAACTCCAGAAAGGAAAACGTGGTCGAGATACCCAAGACGGGCTCTATCCCCAAGGTCAAGGGCGTTTCTTGTAAGCAAAAACACAACCTGATCCCAATACCGTTTCTATAAACCAAGACTAACTTTTCTTGTAGCTGGCGCCGTCAGCGGCCTTGTCCAGGCCCCCATTGCCATGATGATTCTCGGCACCGTTGTGGCCTTGTTCGCTTAAAGAGGGCGGCGCCACCCGCCCTAACTAAGCATGTAATTTTTGTAACTTAGAGTAAAGAACCATATAATGTAGATGAATACCAATATGACTCAGCACCACGCGCATTCTTCACAATCATGTGGATAATAATAGAACAATGCAAAGGCAAAACAAGGAACCGTGCAGAAGGTACCCGCTTCTGCCTACATGCGCCCGCTTCATTAGCTTTGTGTCTGCGGTGAGTCGTTCCTAATGGGGCAACTCCAGAGCCTTGTTTGTGCCGTTGGTGCCTCGGCCGACGTAATTCCTGAGCTAGGCGTCCATTGTTCACAGACGAACAACAGGGATCCTGGCAGCCTCGCTGTGGACGGGATTGATTAAAAGGCCGCTGTATTCCCGCGGGTCGCAGTGGTTCGCAGCCCGCTGTTGAGACAAAAAATTAACTTGGTGTCGCTCGCTTTTGTGTCACACCATCCATCGAAACATGAAGGCTGCTATTTCCGTTGCGTCTGCCTTGGTAGGCACTGCTGCTGCAGGCACAGTGTCTTTTGATCTTCAGAGACAGCCAATACAGATACAGACTGCGCCACATCACACTGATCTGCAAATCAAAGCCAAGGCTTCTGAGGTGTTTCTCAAGGTAGACGACGTGCGGTTCATTGCCAATGTTACCCTTGGAACTCCCCCACAGATGGTCCCTATGACCATCGACACGGGTAGCAGCGACATTTGGGTCAACAGCATAACCAACAAGGCATGCGGCACAATCCAGAAATGCCATGGACAATGTGAGTACTTTGCGTTTGCTAGTTTGTGGTGAAGACAAACAATAAACAAAAAGTGTAAGAAGTTGTATACTAATGCATATTCGTACAGTTGACTTTGAGGCTTCCAAGACAGCCAAGCACCTTGACAAGGACGAGCTCAATGGAAACGACACATTTGACGCCCGCTACAGCACAGGCTACATTGGCGCCAACGGCACCTACATCAAGGACCTCATGTCCTGGGGCGGCCTAGAAGTCAAGCAGCAAATCTTTGGCCTTGCCAACAACTCCAACATTGACAGGAACATTCTGGGTCTCAGCTTCAACACGTCTGTGGGCAGCATCTCCCGCCAGGAGCCCGCCCCGTACCCCACGTTCCTTGATAATCTTGTGGACCAGGGCACCATCAACAAGCGAATCTTTAGCTTGTACCTCAACGTCAGCAAGGCCGAGACTTCTAGTCTACTCTTTGGCGGTGTCGACACAGAAAAATACTACGACGGCCTCGTCGAGGTGCCCATGGTGCCCACCTTTATCCAGGATGTCGTCAACCAGTACGCCATCATGATGGACGGCTTTGTTGCCAAGGGTATTGATGGCGCCAAGGAGCTCAAGGAGAAGAAGCTCGTGATCCTCGACAACGGGTCACCCTTTAACCTGCTTCCTGCAGAGGTTATCGAGCCGCTAGAGAAGCACTTTGGCACCGTTGCCACCAACGACGGTCACGTCAACGGCACCTATGTCAACTGCGATGCCGCGAAAAACCATGTCGGCGTCAACTTTGCCTTCAAATTTGCCGGCAAGACCATCTACTTGCCCGTGGAGGATATTATCCTGGATCTTTACTCCAAGACCCAGAAGAGGGCTCTGCAGCGCACTATTGGCGATGCTGCTGCCGACTGGAACGGCGTGTGTGTACTTGCCTTCCAGAGAGAGTACTCTGGTGTCCCGCTGCTTCTTGGCGATCCTTTCCTCCGTAACGCCTACGTCGTGTATGACCAGGATAGAGAGACTATTGCTCTTGCGCAGGCAAAGTTCAACTCTAGCAAGTCAAACGTTGTAGAGGTCGCCAAGAATGCCGGCGTCCCTACCAAGAAGGGCGATGCTAGTAAGTATAAGCCATATTTTATATATTATATTCGCCAAAGGCTAACTGTAACGCAGCTCCCAAGTACATCATCAACGGCACGGCCCCTAGCGATAGCGACAAGAGCGATGACAAGGGTAATGGTGACAAGGGTAATGGTGACAAGGGCAACGGCGACAAAGGAAACGGTGATAAAGGAAACGGAAAGGATGACAAGGGCAAAGACGGAAAGAGCAGTGCTAGCGGTCTCCGTGTCCCCATGGCGGCTCTCCTCATGACTGCTGCTGCTGCTTATCTGCTGTAGATTCAGTATATAGTATAATGTTGTACATGATGATATTTATAGCTCGGTAATGTTATAATTCCCATATGAGCCACGACATTTGAGTCGCTCTTGATTTCAAAAGAAAAACATAACAGCATCATTGAATAAATGCAGAACCCGCTTAGGTGATAGGCATTCAGGTACACCTCTATAGCATCCACAGTATAAAGGCAGTCCAAATAGTATCATGATTGATTAGCGTGACTCGGCCGAAGTTACCCGTCGAAGAATGTGGACACGCCGCCAACGGGTCCGGGAACCAAGAAGAATGGATTATTGCCTTTGTGGCGGCTTGCTAATTTCAGGGCCAGTCCACCTAGTTTCAGTGCCTGACTAGCGCGGGAATGACACCGTTAACAATTTTTTAATAAAGCCTCGTCGGCGGCGCAGCCCTGTCTCTTTTGACTGTTTTCCAAGCCAACTTAACTCCGATCTTTACTTTCGCATAGTTGTTGTCTTGCAGGTGTCATGAAAGGCGTGTTTGCCAACGTCCTGCTGGCTGCTACAGCTACAGCAGGCTTTGTCTCGCTGGATCTATCCAAAGAGGCTCGTTCTGTCGCTGCGCCTCAGCAGCTGACCTCGCGAACACATACCCGTGAACTCGAACGACGCAAGATCACTGAAGGCTTTTTTTTCGACAGTCATTTTGGATACATGATCAATGTCGAGTTCGGCACGCCGCCTCAAAAGGTAGCCCTGTTGGTCGACACAGGAGCCAATGACATTTATCCGCATACCGTCAAGAAGTCGTCGTGCGACGCTATAGCGCCTTGTCCCGGGTTATGTCAGTATATATGATTCCAAAACTGTAAACAAAAATGCAATTCTAGTACTAATACAAGGCACAGACAACCCCAATGCATCTAGCACATATGCTATCGCCAGTGGCAACGACCTTGATGGAAAATCATTCTTCAGAAGTTTTACGCCTCAAGGATCACTCAATGGCAACTATGTCAAAGATGTCGTGTCTGTGGGAAGTGCAAAAGTGCAGAACCAGGTGTTTGGTGCCCTCACTGATACATGGATTCGTTTCAATATATTTGGCCTCGCGCCTACACCACCAGCCCCACGCTCGCCTGACGACGCAGAGTACAGTAGTCATGTTTCCTTCTTAGACAATCTTTACCGGCTAGGCTCCATCAATCGCAGGCTCTTCAGTCTTTACTTGGCGGGAGGAAGTCTGCTTCTCGGTGCCGTTGACACCGCCAAGTACTACGACAAGCTTGTTCCGCTTCCCATGGCCCCTGTTTCGAGTTCCAAAGACGGCCATGTCGATTATCGCGTCCAACTGTACGGGCTGACTATGCCGGGCTTGCGCTCTGCTCTGGAATTCGAAGAGACTGATGACTTCTTGCTCGCATCAGGCGCTGATGGGCTATATCTGCCACCAGGCTTTTCGAAGCTCGGCCCGCTGCTCGAAGTCTTCTCAGATACCCAGTTCGGAAATCTTATTGACTGTGACATCGCGAAAAAGAACAACTTGACCATGCAGTTCAAATTTGTAGGCCTCGACATCACTGTTCCTGGGTCCAGTCTTGTTGGTAAGCGGCTGAGCGAAGAGCAAATAGCTGTGTTGGACCCAAAGCCGCCCACGCGAACAAAGGAATGGAACAGTTTATGCCCTTTCAAGGTTCGGGAGCAATACCCTAAGGGTCCACCTATCTTGGGCATTCCGTTCCTCGAGAATACTTATGCCGTGTTTGACCAAGAATCGCGGACGGTGGCGTTGGCGCAGGCCAAGTTTAACGAAAAGAACACCAAGATTGTCGAAGACGCAAAGTCAAACGACTTCCTTCTGATATCCAATGAACCCGGTAAGTGAGCCACCCAGGATGTGCAAATAAGTGAGGTTGCTAACAAAGCCATCATAGTGCCCCAGAGCGTCAGGGACGGCTCGGCCGTTGCTCCGCGTCCTAGTCAGCCAGCGGGTGACAAGAATGGCAAAGACGATACCGGTAAAGGCGACAGTAATGACAAGAGCAAAGACAATAAGAACAACGGAGCGGCTGTGCGGGTATGTGGTGGCGTAATGATCTCGGCGGCGGCAGCAGCTGCCGCTATTCACTTGTAAATCATAGCAGTAATAACAACACGAAAGAGGATTCTCCTCAGGGCTTTCACCGCATCACATGAGTCATTTTTCAGGCTCTATCGTATTATAGCACCCGATTTAACCCCCGAAATGCCAAACGTGTTCCAAAAACGACAAGGAGAGCCGCGCCGTTGGCATGCGCACATCTCTCGCGGTGTCGCGCTGGCTCTAATCGGCGTTCTTATGATTTCCATGAGGTGCCCTTTTTGTACATCTGTGCGAAGATTTCCTTTCATCTGTTCATTGTATATAATACAATACTTTATGTCTGCGTGGTTCAGCCAGCTGTAAATGATGCCGTCAGCCGTGCATTACATCATACCCCGCGCCGAGGATATAGCACACATCAGGCTGCGCCACCACGCTTGTCGAATCATACCTGCATCATCACAACATCATGAAACACGAATACGTTGCTTTGAATTCGATCGCTGAGGGGACATCGTTGCCCACTTCGACATCGCCCAACATTCGACCTCTCGCGCTTGATGGGCCGCCGTCAGCCGTCCGACAACACATCTCTGACGTGCTACATTACAGGCATGAAGTTGCGCGTGAGAAGGCTGATGCTGTCGCTTCTGTGTGGCAACTCGGACTAGGGTTGAATTACCATGGCTTGTCATCATTGGAAAACTTTAACGAGCGATTCGGCGAGGAATATGGCGGGGCGCTTTATACGTCGGCAGTGCTATCGAGAGAGGTTGCTAGGAAGAAAGCCGTGGATTCTTTCATTAACGAAGGACGTGTTGGGGCTTGGATTTTCTTTGCTGTATTTCTGGGATTTTGGGCCGTGGTTGGTTTGGTGTGGCTTTGCAGTTCGTAAAGAACAGACATCTGGTGTGATGCCGTTGGATATCTTGGGGCGGTTACAGACTATCCATCGTATTTCGTAATCCATCATGTTATTCCATCATCCAGTTTGAAAGCCCATGTAACGAGCGAATTCTCACAACATTGTGACGTTGAAACAACTCGCCTACCGGTTGCTTTGGGCACTCTTCCAGCTTCGTAATGTCGTTTTCTTTGCCCTCTGGGTCTAGGAGTATGGGGCTCCATTTGGCGTTCTGTGCTCCTTTCACGTCTTTTGAAATCTCGTCTCCAACGTAGACTTTATACCACTGCGACTCATCTAGCGCACCACCTCGAGAGGTGATGATATGCGAGAGCATGGCATCTGCAGCAGTAAAGATCCGCTCATCGGGCTTCTCGACACCAACGTCGTAAGACATACAATGAAAATCAATATCGTAGTTTCTGTCTACCTTGGTAAGGGATCCGTAGCGCAGCGGGCTGACATCAAGCCCTAATGAAGATAGTATACTCGGCACGCGATCATCGGAATTTGTCACCACGCCGATTACAACGTCGTTAAAGGCATTTTTATTCTTTAGGGAGCGGATTGTAGAAACAAGACTTTCCTCTGCCGAATAGCCTTCGTTTGAAGAGAATCGGTGCAAAAGACGCGGAACGAGAGTCGGTGGAAGCGGACCTGCGACAAATGGCGCGAATGTGCTTTGGATAATCTGTGTACATTGGTTAGCTTGTGTGGAATTATAAATCAAGAGATCGCACATTTGTCCACCATTGAGTAGCTCCAAGACCCGTAGCTTTGCCATAATTTGGATGTACTCGTCGCTCATGCATAATAGCATCCATGAGTTTCACCTGGAGCTGCTCGTCGGTGAAGTTGGTAATACCGCACTGGCGCGCTACTTCTGTATATTGCGCGGCCACGGGGGCTTTTGGTGAGAACAGCGTTCCAAATGCATCAAAACATAGCAGCAAATTTCTTCGAGCCATTGTTTTAGGGGCAAGTTAAGATCATGAGTTGCAGGACAAGTGATGTGAGTGGAGTGTGGGAAAACATGTGCCGTCATGGTTTGGGTGGATCGCGATAGACCCACTGGAACGGAACGGTTCGGCCTTCCCCATTGTAAGTTCAGGCTTCATTTTGGTTGTAGCCATATTCAGGTAGCAGAGTTGGAAAAAGAATCGGCCATAGCTTGAAAAACTGATTTTGCAAATCCCCCTATAAATATGTTAGTGCGGGCTTTGCATACAAAAAGCTAAGCACGTACCATAAGATCCTGAGAAACGGTAGGGGTATCGCGGTCGTCTCCCCCATACATTGCATAATGTGTAATCTCGGTGTGTATCATCGATTTTTCTAATGCTATCCCAGAGCAATCGATTATACCTGGAGTTACATATTTCACGCTAGGGTGTGCTCTGGATAGCAAATCTACCAAGATAGACATTTCGTTCTGAGAAGGTTGTCTGTCCGCTATCACGCGGCTACCTAGGATGCGTTCGGCGGTAGGTTCCAGTTGTCGTGGCAGCGGTATGTTGTGGATGAACTGAGGTATCACCATAGATAGTACATCGATTGTGTCGCTAAGAATGTGCGGCGAGTCTCTGTCCGGCGTCCTTGAATTTGGTGTGGCAAAGCTTCTCCAGGTCCGGGCAAAGCGAGCGCGTTGGAAGAAGAGCCTGTCCTCCCTCCAGGGCCAATCAAATTCCCGCATCCCAAGATATTTATCATGAGCATAGACTGTTAACATGATGCCCAATTGGAACGATTCCATGTAGATACGGCCGCTGAGAGCGTCACCTGGGTTAGGGTGGTGGGAGTAAAAGTAAAAACTTCGCCAGAGAATATCTGCAGCAGCATCGGAGATTGTTTCCGGGCCATGCGACGTTCTAACATGATTATGAAAGCTGTCTTTATTCCAGTCTTAATAGTAGCATCTGTCAGTTTCATTCGTGAAATAGATGTAGTGGTGTGCATACACTTGGCTTCATTTTCGTCTATGATGCAGAATTTGTCAAAGATGGATTGGATCTCAGCCCTATTCCTGCTATTTGCTCGACTGAGGAAGAGCTTGGTCAGATCACTAGTAACTGATTCTTCACAATGGTCAGCTAAGAGAAGCGAAGAGGTGCATACTTTCGACCGGCCTCACCATACGTGGCGGTGTCGAGATACTTTTGAATCTGCCGGGTCTGTGGCCAAAAGGCCATGCGGGTTGCTGTGTCTATCAGAAATTCCATGACTGCATTGGCTAGCTGTCCACCAACCTTGTGAGGAGCCCAGCACACTACGTTAGTCTAGAGACAGCCACTGTGGAGGACAGGGTCTTCCGTGATGGCAGGGCTGGAGCGGGCCGTCCACGGTGCGGTGGTGGTGGATGTGCGGGATGGTCAGTGTGGTGGTGCCTGGATGGGGGATTGTGCCTGTGGTGCCTGAACTCACCAGCTCCAGTGGCGTGGCGCCCGCACGCTAAAGTCCGGGGAAACGCCGCCCGGGCCAAGCGGCACCCACGCCGAAAGCAGCAGCACAGCAGCTTTTTCTTTCTCACACTGCAAGCGACGAGCAGTTATGCAACGACTCCACTTCTGCGCTGGCACAGCGCTCACTCGCTCAGCAAGTAAGATTAGCAGCACTCGTTTGGCGCTCCGTGGTGACTCCACTGGCTAAAAGACCACCAAAAGTGTAATTTCCCGGCCCCTCTCCGCCCTCTGATGGCTCTTGTCGCTGCCTGTAGCGCTGCAAACCGCACTCCGTAGGCCCTCCTTCAGCACGCAAAGGATGCTGCTCCAGTGACTAAATACACTGAAATATTGGGATCCCCACCTGACACCTGACACGCCCACGCCGTATTGGCTCAGCCCAACCCAACCTACGCGACCGCCGCCGCCGAGCCCAAAAAAAAAAGGCTACCTTGTCGGAGCCCACGCACGCTGAGTAGTGTGCACTGCCGAAAGGAGCAAGAGGCACCATCCCCGAAGCAACCAAGCTCCTTCTCTTTCTGGGCAACTGGCACCTGGGCTCGCACGCACCCACTGCGCTCTGCCAGCTGGCAACCCTTTTTTTGAGTCTGGCGCATCCGGCACAGCTGCCCGCCATCTGGCTCCCAGCTGGCACATTTTCCCGCTCTCCCTTTGCGCGCCGGCCCAGTGCCCTCCCCCCCAAAAGGCTCGCAGACACTGTCCTTCTCTGCTCACTTCTGGCGTCCGTCCCCTTCCCAAATCGTTTTCCCCCCCGAAAAAAAGCTGCTCCCCCAGCCCAGCCCACTTTCACTGGCCTTTCCCCTTCCCGCCTTTTTCTTCCCTTTCCCTTTTCTTCCACACGCCCCCCAAAAACCCAATCGTGTTCCATCGCGACATTTTTATTCTTTTTTTAATTCTTCCCGTCTTTTCTTTTATATCTTGCGACTAGGGGAATAGTCTCATCGATATCCCTCTTCCCTTCCTTTTTCTTTTATTCCATTAATTTATTCGCAAAAGGTACGCCCTCGAATTCTTGTTTAATTTGCCGACTCGGTGTCTCGCTTTTTGATTCGTCGTGGCTTCTTCACTGCGCTTGTCTGCTCAACACGCGCGCGACCGTCCCCCTTGCGGCCAGTCGAAGCCTTCGCCCAACGAAACCCGCGACCCGAGCCCTTCGTGTCTCGGCCCCGTCGAAAACTATCGTCTACTTGTCTTCTCCATCACGGAATAAATCCTAACCTCTTTCTTTTTTCGTCTTCGATTTAGACCGCGCTTTTTGCTCGTCGCGTCGCTAGCCTCGTCGCAAACATCCTCCCCGACTCCCGCGTCCGCATTTCACCCCGACATCTTCGTCGCATCCATCGTCGCAATGTCTTCTACGCGCACTCTTCCCGCCAAGAGAAACCCTCTCCTCTTGGAGAATATTCCTGCTTGTATGTTCAATCGCAATCCCCTTCGCGAGTGTCGGTCACACCGCCCCAGCCCACACGCGATGCTCTACCTCGCGCGTTTTTCGCTAACCAGTGCTCCCTCCAGATGAGGACCTCGTCGAACGCCGTCGCCTCGGTCAGACCAAGCTCACACCCAAGGTTGTCGACGCGGATGCCGCCGATGTAACGCCCACCGATGCTTTCGACTATGCTCACCTTCGCGCTCCCTTGAAGAAGGGCATTGTCTCCGGCATCTTCAAGTCCAGCCCCAACAGCTATTTCCTGATGCGCCGTAGCTTCGACGGTTACGTTTCCGCCACCGGCATGTTCAAGGCTACCTTCCCCTACTCCGAGACGGTGGAAGAGGAGGCCGAGCGCAACTACATCAAGTCGCTGCCGACCACCAGCCACGAGGAGACCGCAGGTAACATCTGGATCCCTCCTGCACAGGCCCTCGCCCTCGCCGAAGAGTACCAAATCGGCATCTGGATCCGCGCCCTGCTCGATCCCGCCGAGATCCAAAACTCTAGCCAGTCTCCTTCCAAGGACATCGCGTCGCCTCCCAAGTTTGACGTTAACAAGGCTCAGCCTCACCTTGCCGCTCCCATCACCACCACTGGCCCTGCCGCCAAGGGTTCTCGTGCCCGCCGCTCCGTGAGCCCCAGCAAGAGCAAGAAGACGCCCGCCTCCCCCAAGAAGCGCGTCAGCAAGAAGAAGGCCGCCGAGGCCGAGGCCGCTGCTGCTGCCGCCGCCGCCGAGTCTACCGTTCCCAAGTCCGACTTTGCGCCCAACGTTGTCCTCCAGCCTATTGCTGCCGATGACGAAACTGTCAAGGTCCACGTCGTTGAGGAGCCCGTCAAGGGCGCCAAGAAGGAGAACAAGAAGCAGACGGTTACCGAGGTCGAGCTTCCTCTGGCAACCGCTGGCCAGCCTCCCAGCGCCGAGGAGATCAAGCAGATGATGGACACCGCCGCCGATATGGTTAAGCAGCAGCACGAGGACGAAAAGGCCGGCAAGAAGAGCCCCGGTAAGCCCGAATCTGCCAAGAAGACAAAGCGCAAGGCCACCGAGATTGCCGGCCCCGAGCCTGGTGAGGAGAAGACTGCCGAGAAGACCAAGGAGCCCCGAGCAAAGAAGGCCAAGACGGACGCTGAGATCCGCAAGGACAAGGTCCGAAACCGCGCCCTCTGGGGTATTGGAGCCACAGTTGCCGTTGGGTACGTATTTTCGCTGCTGCCATTTGCCAGCTAGCCCAGCTAACCTTTGTTGTTAATAGTGCTGCTGTTCCTTGGTTGATGAACTTTTTGTAATGGTCGGCAGGGCACGATATCCTTATATAGTAGGTCTGCACGCGGCAGACGCGATGGAACGGCGTACCAGTTTTTGTTTTGTGCTTGAGTTTGGTCTACCTTTGTCGTTTTTGTTTCTTGGTTTAGTTTGCGTCGCTTGTCTTACGAAATTCCCCCTCTACACTACGTCCTCCCACCCCCGTCGTCCACTTTATGCTGCCGCCGCGAGCTGGTTCGCTAAAGTTGAGACTAAAAAACTACATGCTCAATACCCCCCCGTTCTTTATATTATAGTTGATGAGGCAAAGCAATGCCTGGCGCTGCCGAGTGTTTGTCTGCCAGGTGTTTAGGTTCCAGTTAATATTTTTCTTTTTTAACAAATTGGTTATTACAAGATATGATGTGTTGATGCCGTGTGTTCTGTAGTGTTCGTTGACTGTTGGTGTTGCATGCTTAGAGTATGCTACTACACAAGGTAGTTGAGCACCAAATGTCTATGCCAGAGAGTCTAGCGCGACTCAATGCCGTCAATTAAATACCAAGAGAAGGCTCAGTGTTATTTAATCCATTCTTTTATTTTGTGCGAGCTAATTGACTAGTTTTGCTGCCCGTGTGTGAATGAATGCATACACATTTGTTTGTAAAGGGTAGCTCGGCTACACCCCGCCTCAATGAGGAAATAAACGCTGTACCTAACAAAGGCTGGAACTTGAACATCAGCTTTCTAGAATATGGAGCGCTTCGTTCTAAAAAAAACGTAATGACAAAAAAGTCAATACCGATTGATAAATTCAGAGTGAGTGTGTAAGTAACGATACACAGATCGTATTTATAAGTCGGTTTGTAAGTTTAAAACGAAGAAAGAATACAAAAGGATATAAGAGAAATGCAAAACGGATATTTGTATATATTCGTATATATGGGTTATTCGTAATATTCATGTTATCTCTCCTGACTAGCATACTGCCGGCAATTCACTCTACAGTGCCTAAACACAACAGTCGGACGCACGCGGAACACCTGCTTGGCCGCTTCGCGAACCCACGGATGACTAGGATCAAAGCTATACCGCTCCATGGAAATAGTAGGCCTGGCCCCAAAATCGACGACAATGACTGGCTTCCACACGGTCCCCGCGGTACGGGGGTCCAAGGTTCCGTCCAGCGCATCATGCAACCACAGCTGCACCATGAGCACCCACTCGACGAGTTGCTTCCAAAGCGCGACATCGGACGCAAACGCTGGAGACATGAAATACTCTATTTCTGCCGCTGCAGCATCATCAAGGGCATCTGGCAACCTAGTAACCTCAAAGAGGGCTTGGAATTTGCGTATGCGCTGCGTATCGTTGTACGCGACGCCATGCACCGGCGCGTCACCGAGCAGGCCAAATAACCCGCTCTCCGCTGCCTTGCGGTCTAGGATATGGAAACCGACGATTTCGAGTACCATTTCCACATCCTGTGGAGGGTCAAGGAATGCCATGAGATAAGCTGCGGCGGCATTACCAGAGCAGACGTGCCGGCTGGTCTCTACCGTCGGCCAGGGGAAGCTGCTGTTGGTCGTGTCACCTGCTGGAAACGTGCAAAACGGCTCGCCCATGACAGAGATGGGCATGTTCAGTTCACTGGCTTCAAACCCGAACATTGCGTGAGGGTAGTCGCTGCGGTGGTCGTCCATCCGTGTGTAGTATCTCGTCCAGAATAGCTGCACCTTGTCCAGTTTAGGCTGCACCCAGACATTACTGTTCGCGTCATAATCTTCCGTGTATCCTTCAGCTGCTCCGCCATCCTCGACAACTTGCCATGCTTCCTTGCATACGCCCTTGATAATGGGGCGGGCGTTGGGCTGTATCGGCGTCCTCCAGGCCTGGCATGGCTGCTTTGTGCGTAGATAGTGCGTTTCAAGCTTATCCGTTGCCACGAGGCGCCGCGGAAGGCATAAACCCCAAATTTGCAGGCGAATCTCGATGGGCAAGTTGGAAAATTGCGGGAAATCCATGCTGCCTTTCTTTCTACACCATTGCAGGATTCCTGATACGAAGGCTATTGTAGCCTAGACCTCGTGGTACGTCTGCATATGGGCTGCCCGACAGTAGCGCTGTCTGGAGAATGAACTAAGCGCAATCTGGAGGTATGGCCATCCAACAGACGTGGATTGGCATCGTCGTGGACGTCCTGCTTTTTTTTCTTCTGGTTTCCCTCTTCGTTGAGGTTGGTGGGTGTAAAGGTTAAAGTCACCAATGTTGTGTGGACAAAGCATAGTCTTGTTTTTTCATGGTGGATTTCCCTCCACGCATAGTCTTATCATCGTATTGGAGAAGAAATAATACAACTATATATATCTATTGGTACGAATGTGGCAGTGAGTGTATAAATAATAGAAAATTAAATATAATTAATAATGTTCTTTTATTGCTTGTAAAATTATATCAGTTAATGTACAACGTATTTAAGTCTGTGGCCTGTAACGTACAGGGAGCCTACCAGGTATAGAGCTCTGTTGACTACAGGGGAGTGTCATCTATAAGCAAACAGAACACCTTTTATCCCTATTCGGGCTGATATATGAATGTTGTTGGTAATCTAAAACTGTCTAAAGTCCCTTTAAGAGAGTTAATCACTATCTCGAGACGCTCATTTCATCCACCGACTTGGGTAATTCTGTAATATAGGAAGAAGTTAAGAATTAAACCTACTGGTCCAAATCTCTTTACATAAGTTGCGCCGGTTGCGTAAATTGCCGATTTCTTTTACTTTAGATTCTTTTGGATTTTAACTCAACGGTCAATTACGTCGTAGCATTGAGCTTCGCTTTTGCACTTATAGAGCCCAGTTCTAGTATTGGAAACTCGTAAAACCTACTCAATGCCAGAAGTGGTATTAAATTATACCACTACGTTTGCTAGTATTATACAGATTAGACTATTTTCCTGTCGATATTCTTCTTATCTCGGAGCCGCGCCGTGCCGTTGCCGCAATTGTGCATACGGCCTTGTTATTGGACGCAGAGACTGACGACAGCCGCTAACGGATTGCGACATCGCCAGAGCCGCCGCGACCAGAGCGTGCACACGTCTACCACAGCGGCAACATGTGTATCTAAATTCAATAGTATGGCGTGATGGCGTATGGGCTTGCTATTAAATCGAATTGTCTGCTTTGCGTGCGATGCTGCCACAAAATTCATTTTCCCTCGTAAATACTCTTTTGTACACAACAGTTAGTAAACAGCAGCCATAAGTGACCAAATAGGGATACAAATCATGTCAGACGAGACGAAAGAGGTATCCTCCGGAGGGGTCAGTGAGCAAGCTGGCTCCGTGGTTGACGACGGTATCAACGAGAAGGCACTTCTTCGAAAACTCGATGCACGACTGCTACCCGCCGTCGGTATCCTATATCTTCTTTCATTTTTGGATAGAAGCAATGGTAATTCAATTATCAAATTAATATAAATGAATTGTATTTTGCTAACCTCTAGTTACAGTCGGCAATGCTCGCATTGAAGGCCTGATCACTGACATCAACATCAGTCCGTAACACCACCCACTACCCAGTGTTATCTTATGCTGACCTGCCATAGCTGGAAACCAGTATCTCACCGGCTTAACCGTTTATTTTATTGGTTATGTGCTATTTGAGGTACCTATTACTTGGCTACTATTCTTAAATTACCCCTGATCTAACACTGACAGATCCCGTGCAACATCGTGCTCAAGCGGACCAGCCCGAGACTATGGCTTCCGACACTTACCATTGCATGGGGCATTGTTGCCACTCTTCTCGGTGTTATAAATAACCTTGCTGGATTCCTCGTCGCTCGATTCTTCCTCGGCGCGACTGAAAGCGGCCTCTTCCCCGGTGTGGTCTTCTACTTCTCCATGTGGTATAAGCGCACGGAGCGAGTATACCGAATCTCCCTCTTCTTCAGCGCAGCTTCTCTGGCTGGCGCCTTTGGCGGGATTCTTGCTTATGTATGGACCTTTTGAATTGCTACTTTTCAGCCAATCCAACATACAGGACTAACGAATGAAAACAGGGTATAGGCAAAATGCGCGGTGTGGTATGGGAAAACGGATGGCGCTGGATCTTTATCTTGGTAAGTAGCATTTGCACGTCTTATGTAACCTTTTTGGGCTGATTTTGGAAATAGGAAGGTCTAGCCACCATCGTTGTGGCCATTGGTGCATACTGGTTCGTCCAAAACTACCCCAAGGACGCCAAGTTCTTAACCGATGCCGAACGGCAGCTCATCCACGACCGACTTGCTGCTGATAGCGATGCTACACACAATGAAGAATTCAGCTGGGCTGGAGTTACCCAGGCCCTTCGAGACCCAAGCTGCTGGCTCTACGGCCTCGGTTTCCACACCATGAGCTTACCCCTCTACACTCTGTCTTTGTTTTTGCCCACCATTATCAAAGACCTGGGATATACAGCTGCTGTTGCCCAGTTACTGACTATCCCTCCCTATGCACTGGCTTTTGCTACTACACTCGGAGTCGCTGTGTGGTCTGAAAAGGTAAATCGTCGTGCGCCGTTCATTGCAGCCTCTGCGAGTTTCGCAGCAATCGGCTACATAATCCTCCTTGCCAACCGTGAGCCTACTGCTAGACCGGGAGTCTCGTATCTGGGCACAATGTTTGCTGCCGCGGGTATTTATCCAGCTACAGCTCTTGTTTTGTCATGGCCCGCTATGAATGTCTCGGGACAGACAAAGCGTGCGACGGCGAATGCAATGCAAATCAGTATTGGAAACTTAGGAGCGGTTCTTGGCACACAGCTTTACCGGTCAAACGATGGTCCTAGATACATTGTTGGCCACAGCATGGCTCTCGGCTATCTTGTCGCAAATGTAATTGTGGTGCTTGTCTTGGCTCGAAGACTAAAGAAGCAGAACGAGGAGCGAGATGCCGTAGTAGCAAAGCTTGATCATATTGGACAGGTGGAGAATTGGGACGGAGACGCAGACAAGCGCTGGAGGTTCCAGTACTAAGTATTACGCATAGAATATCGTAAGTTTTTCACAGGATATATAGTGTACCAGCAGCCAGAGTCATACAGCATTGTATTCGTGTTATCAAGATCTAGTTGTACAAATTGACACACCCTTAACTTATTCAAGACGAGCTGCGTGCATATCCAGGGAACTGCTTCAACTGGCTTTCATCGATTTTCGAGAGTGTTGGGCAGGCCAAAGCGCTCAGGGTATCGCCTAGAACGCTTGTGAGCTTGGCCAAAGGAGCCAGGAGCACATCTGGCTTTGCCTGCGCCGCAGCCTGGAACGCAAAACAGGCCAAGTTATTGCCCTGTAGTAATGTGGCGCTGTTTAACAGGCCGCCAGTCAAGTCGGCGATATTGACGCCGGTAAACGTGTTGGTCTTGCCGGTGTTGCTGTTTAGCAGTTAGTTTTATAGTGTCCTACGCTGGTAGCCAACTAAAATAAGGTTAAACTTACCCTCCGATATCGAGGAACTTAGGGTACAAAAGAGCCGCATTGAGCAAATCCTGTTGGAAGTATGGGATGGTGTATGGGTACTCTTTCGCACGTCTATACCAGTTGCTTGGGATGCGCTCATACCCCTGCTTGGCTGTATAACTGCCTGATGTGCCACTAACACCGAACCATGAAGCAATATTATCATGGCTCAAGTGACCAATAGGATTCTCCGCGCTGTGATTGGCCATGAATCGGTAAATGAAGGTGTACGCAGCAGGCTGGACGGCCACACCGGTGAATGGGCCGTTGAAGAAGTACGGGTTGTTGGCAATCTGTGTATCAAAGCGAACAGATCGGAATTTTGTAAGCGAATCTAGGGTCACAGAGTCGCCAGGGGACATGTCAATTAGCTGCTGAAACTGGTTGACCTGAGTCTCGTAGTCGTTTCCAGTTTCGTAGAGATCCGGCCGTGTTGGTGAAGCATCCGACTCGTATCTATATATTCTGTAAGCAATTGCTCATTCTATACCAGGGACTATCATATCCTGGTACATGAGATAACCTACTTGTTATGTGAGGCACTGATACCATTTCCACCACCAAGGAGGCCACCGAGAGAGGCTGGAGGGGTACCTCCGATGCTCCAGGCGAGGCCGGAGCCGTCAATGGCTGCACCCAAGACGGAGAGGAAAGCAGCAAGATCGACGCCCATACCAACAACTGTCTCGGTGGCATCTACAAACTGACCAATGGTAGCATAGCCATTTCTAGGTAGGAAGCCGTGATTGGCAAAGGCGTTTAAGCCAGGACACGGCCCACGGAGGTCGTTTGGGCCGGGAGCCTGCCACTCATGGCCACTTCCCGGGCCGACATCAATGTACTGAGCCTTTGCGTTGAAGATGGGGATGGGTTCGAAAAGGGCCGTGGCCCCGTCTGCCTTGATAATCTGGCGCTTGTCAACAGACTCCATAGCGTTGGTCAACCGAGCCAGCAACTCGGGATGCTCCATTGCTCGCTTCATAACGTCTGCGGGGAATGCTGACGCAGTTGTGGCCAAAAGGCCCAGTGATAGAAACTGCAAAGCTTGCTTCATGGTGAACAGAATTGGGAAGAACAATAATTACAAAGATCAAGAGAATAGGAGACGGGGACAGCGAGTCGCCAGCGTAGCTATGTACTTCTATCAGAGGGTGACGGCGGGCGCTAGCCATGCACGTTTGACGCCCTCCACTACAGCAGCAGTGATGATCATTCAGGATGCTTGATGTCATGACTGTCGAATTCTAGAACGTAAGAACCGAGCTTGGACCATAACGTGGCTCGGTTCGGAAGAATGTGCGTTCTGGGGCATGTGTGTATGCGAGCATTGGTCAACGGCGTCGGATGTCAAAGCCCCATTCAGCCGAATATGGTAAAAGCTACGATCCATCCCATCTCCACACTAAATTCCCCAGACTATTCAGACGCCAACTTTGACAGCGGGAACTGTGGCGCGGTTGTGGCCAATCCCTGGGGCTATGATTGTAATTGCCCAGCGGCGAAAGCCGCGCTCGGATAACAAAGCCAATAGTCATGTTTCAGCCTCTATTTGCTCCTCCACCTCCAGCATGCGACACACAATACGAAGAGTGAGTAATGGTCGTGATGAATATGTTTTGGGAGCTAGTCACATCATATACCCGAGCTGCATGAGTGCCCAGCTGGAGCTAAGCGTCAACTTGTTAGCGTGCGAACTCGCCCAATAATCCAATTTGGGGGCAAAGGATGGAAGACCGGAATAGCATATGATTGGATCTTTTGCTGGCACACCGATCGCCAACTGCCGGAAACCAAGACCATAGCCTATATCCTGAACGTGCCAGAACTGAACCCCGAAAACGCGCGGGTCAAGTAGCCAAGCCAATAATTGTATCCAGGCAGCGTGTCGCTTCTAACATGGCAAAGTGGACAAACACGGTAATGTCTGCGGGTGCCGCTCATGCAGCAGGGTCCCTCGAAGATGCTAGATGCGCGAACCCTGGCACGCATAGTTAAGCATATAATGCTGAGAAGAGATATGTTTCCGGTGTATTGCCGAATTATTATACTCTGCTGTTATTCCTATAGTATCGACTATTATTGTGCCAGAGAGTACTAAGATAACCGGCTACACAGTCGGGTGCAGTATGTCGACAGTAGCTGACATCAAGGCAGCAACCACTGCGTGATTTGAAATACTTGATTGTTACCCATTTATCCAACAACTTGAAGAGGATCAGATCAGCCTAGCCAAAACGTCACAACAGCGGGTGTTCGACAGACAAGGCAAAACCGCCACCCATGGCTTCGGACGAACATGCCCAGAGCGGCAGGTGGCGTGTGTTGTGCAGAATGGGCTGCATCTGCACGAACCAATCGTTGGCCAATGATTAGAAGTCTGCTGTGGTGCTATGGATTCCTTTGAAAGCCTGGAAGCGTCCAGATGTCGTCTAGTCCAGCGGTATACATACAACAAAGCGTTAGTATTGAGAACGTGAAAAAAACGTGCGCATTGGACAATGAAATGCTTCAACGTTCCAAAGGAGGTTGAGCGAGATACAGTTAGCTCGGTGCGTGGCTGGAAGAGAGTTTCACTGTAGTTTTCACTAGTGGGCTTCGGGTTACCTTAACCGCCCTGTACTCTCTCCCTAAAGGCCCTGTGTAAATTGCCCAATAGGGATTGAAAATCCTAGTACAGAAAGTCAAGCCACTCATATCTGTGAATACGTGTCTTCGATGAACTGCCTTAACCGCCCTGTGCGTTCTCCTTATACGCCCTGTGTAACTCGTCGAAGCTTTGAAGACTCATATGAAAAGCAAGACATCAGATGGAACGAGATCGAAACGCACCTCGAGAGTCTTGGAATCCTGTTCAAGAAACGAAATGACATAAAAATTATACTAATTATAGATGTAAAATTCACCGAAACGTCCACTTCGGTCGGGAGAGGACCAAAGCAACGAAACACCATCACCAATGGTATGAGGGCACAGTTGTCTGCAGAAGCTGTATTCAGAACCCGGTTCTACAAAGCCCACCTATGCCCGTCGCGAAATTGCAGGCAGAAATCGATGCACTGTTTAATTGTCCGAGGAACCCATCACGCAATCGATAATACTATAATGAGTGAAGCGTACGACGAACTGAAGAAGTCGATAATGCCTGAACAGAACTTTGAGGACTTAGATGTCACCTCCTTTTCTCACCGAATTTGTAGCAAAAGCTTACGTGCAAGCAAAAAACGCAAGGCTGACAAGGAGCCTGGTTGCAGGGCTTGCACGTATCGTACCGTCAACTGTGGTGGTGGGCTAAATGAAATTGTAGCCATCTCTGGCGACCCAAAGCAGAAGCTGCAAGAGTATGCCACGTGGGATATGATGGAGCTGCGGAGTGATAGATGGAGAAACGGCATGGAGCGGGCGCATGAATATGCCATGGAGCAGCTTTTAGACTTATACTCTGTGCAGAAGCATCCAGAGTTCGTTAAAAACACAATGGTTGCACAAGGTGTCTATCTAGGCAGCGCTCTACGCTTCATTAGCAACATTTCCAGATTTATTGCTGCACAGGAGGAAGAGCGAGGAGGGGAGGAGCCAGACAATGAGCATTAAAGCAAGATAGACTTGGTATATTTAGTTTTTCTTTTCTATTTTTACCAATTTACTGCCGCCACCGAAAGAGATGATCAAAAAAAGCATTGCACTGTGCCAACGAGCTAAGAACAGGGCCGTTGAGGGCGGGACTACGGCAACAGACCTGCACCGTGAATGACCGCTACGCTAGCATACGGGTAAGAACCCAAAGTGTGCTATTTAGGCTGCCCATACCATTAAATGTCGCTCTGCTTGCCATATCATCCACAGTTTCCCAACAGAAATTCTTGCAGTGGTAGCCGGTGTAACTAGTTGTCTTGAGATTCATTTGGCCGGACCTATATGTAGTAGAAAGCAACTTTAATGTCATGTGATGCGCATCAAGCGTCTCGCTGCCTTGTGCGGGGAAGCGGCTCTGGCGTACTTGACTACGCGATCTGCCATCGTCCCTCTTGAACTAGAACGAAAGAAATGTCTGGCGCTGAGGTCATCGGTCTAATATCAGCTATAATTTCAATTGTTGAGGCTACCATTCAAGTCAGCAACGCCATCAAAGATGAGGCTGGCCTACCCCCAAACTTCAAGGCTTCCGCAACAAAGCTTCCACTAATCACAAAGCTTCTCGATGATGCAGAGAGATATGTCAAAGGGTCGAACGAAGAGTCTATCGCCTCTACCTTCAAACCAATTTTAACAGATTGCGAAGAGAAAGCCAAGCAGTTGCAGCAACTCTTCGACAAAGTAGTCCCAGCAGAGGGCGACTCGCGAATGCAATGCTACCTTAAAGCTGCTCGAACGATTGGCAAAGGTGGTCGGGTGGAGACTTTGATGGCTGGTCTCCTTGATAGCGTGCGGCTGATGGCGACCAACTTTCCGGACACATTCACACCGAGGGGACAAGAGAGTTTGGCAAAGGCGATTGGCGAGGTGGCTGAGATGGAGCCATCCTTGCCTAATGACTTTGACACCAAATCCTCCTTTGTTCAGCACGGGAATGGGGTGCAGAACAACAATTTTGGCAATGATAATAGCAATATATCGGGCAGTCAAAACCATGGCTCGGGTACAATGTTTGTTGGTCATAATATTGGTATGCCGCCCAAGCCATAGATATCTTGCCGTTGAAATACTTAACTATAATATAGTTGTCAATCATCCTGCAGAAGGGAAGATCCAAACTAGTTTGGCTGCCTTGATGTGTGATTCAAGTATGTCTGGACCCTATCCTTATACAGAACAAGATCGCAAAGCGTAAGAGCTAACAGACACAGGTCGGTGGGGCAACAATTTCGACATTACTTTTAGTATGTCTGAAGTGCCCAGGATCCGGAGCTTTGTAGCACGAGAAAAAGAAATTGAAGAAATGCATCAGTCGCTCAGCTCTGGTACTGGCCGTCGCGTAGTCGTCCTCCAAGGACTTGGTGGCATTGGCAAGACACAAATTGCTGCAACATACGTCGAGCGATTTCAACAAGACTTTTCTGCCATATTTTGGATTAATATGAGCGACGAAGTGTCTATTCATCAAAGCTTCGTTACAATGATGGAACGGATCTTAAGCCAGCATCCTGTTGGGGGCGGGATCAACGCACTAAATCGACAGAAAAGCAACGACGAGGTCATTGAAGCTGTCAAAGTCTGGATGAGCTTACCACACAACACAAAGTGGCTCCTTGTGTGTGATAACTATGACAATCCAAATTTCAGCAACATTACCAAGCATGGGGTAAACATCAATCATTATCTTCCCATAGCATTTCAAGGCTCTATTATTATCACGACTCGAACATCATTTGTTGATATCGGACACCAAATTCCCATAAGAAAACTCGAATCAATCGACGACAGCCTTATGATCCTAGCGGCGAATTCGCATCGGCACCACTTGCATGATGGTAAGTAGTCTACCGGTATAGCAACATTTGCTAATACGTCCATAGATATAGATGCAAAGCGCCTTGTTAAAAAGCTTGATGGGCTACCACTTGCAATTGCTTTGGCTGGACGGTATTTGGAGCGCTCTTCAATGAGCCTCGCTGACTACCTTCAATTCTATAAGACGTCATGGGCAAGTCTCCAAGCAAACACTCCAAGCTTGGGATCTTACGCGGATCGCACGCTATGCACGACGTGGCAAATTTCTTACGAGCATGTTCAACAGCACAATAGTCTTGCTGCGCATTTACTTCGATGGTGGGCGTTCTTTCACAGGGAAGACTTGTGGTTCGAACTCGTCCAACACGCCTCACGCGAGGGGCCAGAGTGGGCACATGATCTTACCAATAGGCTACACTTTGATGCCGCTATGGGCAAGTTATATGATTATGGATTTGTTGAACCACATCCTTCCAGCAACGGTGTAGGCGAGTCGAGGGGTTACACCATTCATGGCTGCCTACATTCGTGGATAAGTCATGTATTACACGACAAAGAGGAGAAGGATATATCTACGCTCGCCTTTACATGTATTGCGTCACATGTTCCTACCAGTGAGGATGACAAGTACTGGGTGCATCAACGACGTCTTATATCTCATGCAATAGCTTGTTCCAACTCAATCCAGAATAGCTGCGAAGATTTAAGCTGGGCCTTTTACAAAGTTGGAGGTCTTTTCAAGGATCAAGACAAACTGAATGATGCCGAGAAGATGTATGTCCAAGCTCTAGTAGGGTATGAGAAAGCATTAGGTCCAGATCATACGTCAACATTAGACATTGTCAACAATCTAGGGAATCTTTACAACTCTCAAGGCAAGATACATGATGCCGAGAAGATGTATCTACGAGCACTTGCAGGGTATGAGAAAGCATGGGGTCCAGATCATACATCAACGTTGAATACTGTCAACAATCTAGGTCTTCTTTATACAGATCAAGGCAAGATACATGATGCCGAGAAGATGTATCTACGAGCACTTGCAGGGTATGAGAAAGTATGGGGCCCAGATCATACATCAACGTTGAATACTGTCAACAATCTAGGGAATCTTTACAAAGCTGAAGGCAAGACGAACGACGCCGAGAAGATGTATCTAAGAGCACTCAAAGGGTATGAGAAAGCCATTGGCCAATATGATATTGCTACATATCGACCGGCAATTAATACCATCTTGAACCTAGGCATCTTACGACATGAGCAAGGAATGCTCCTTGATGCTAAAGACCATTATCAGCGCGGGTACGATGGCCTTTTCGCACTGCTTGGGCCGGCTCATGCAGATTCTTGCTTAGCCCTCAAGAGACTTGTGGAAGTGGATGATGCGATTGCTAGAACCTCAAGTATTAAGCAGACAGACTAGATAAATATTAGGTACAAGACGTTGTAGGGTTGTCCTGCACCAAGCCGGGCATGAATCCTGATTCTAGTAACTGGTGGCTCCAGTATTATCGGTGCGGTGTTACAGTATATATGCAGCATTATTATATTGTAGAACATCAAAATTCCGTGCGTGATATTTTGGCTATATCTCTTCGTCCAATTTCCAGCATCTAAACTGGACGACTGAAGTGTACTCATTGACAGCGTGAGTGATGCCTCGCACCATAATCTGGTCTCTGGAGGAAAAAAACAAATAGTGTCACTTTGTTTGTGTATTTACAAAACAGTAAGCCTCTACGAAAACAGACTATTTAATTTTAGTTGCTGTGAGTGTGATGCGGTGGCCAGCATGTCTAAAGTGAGCCTCTGCTAGGCATGCATGGGCGCCGACTTTATCAACACACCACTCCAAGTAAAGTTTGAAATCCGTTCCAATAACAATCTTGTTTTTCCTCCAATGCCTTTTGATGAACTTCTTCAAAACAGAGGAAAACTCCTCGATTGGGTTGAAATCTGGCGAGTACGGCGGCAGATACATTACCTTCACGCCTGCATCCTTACAGATCTGCCTCAACTCCTGCGTATGACGCCAAGATGTATTGTCTAATCACGATTATAGACCTTGGGTCGGGATATGTGCCATAGAATTGCAATAACTCAAGAATGAAGTCATTGTACAAAGCACCGGTTGTAGAGCCTTGGTAGACTCTTCTAAGGAGGATACCGTCTTGTGTGTAGGCAGGTAGGATATACCATCGATTTCCGCGGCCAAATCATTTTATCTGAGTAGGGGCTGTGCCTTTCGGAGACCAACCCAAATGTCTAAATCCGATTCTTCTATCACAACCTGATTCATCGACGAAGACTATACGATAAGAAGGCTCTTTCCCTATCCTGTATAGAAGTCGGAGCGAATGTCATCATCGCGCTGCTCTGCGATTCTTCGCATTCTTTTACGATTCCAGCTGATAGATTGCAAAGCCCGACCAATGGTGCGCTCAGACACTTTGTCCCCAAACCTTTCAAACAGGATGTCAACCATTTCGTCTCTATACAAATCAGGCTCTTCAACGAGTAATTTAGAAAGAAATTATTGCATTGGTTTCGATACTCGACTACGGCGAGCGGTCTTCCGTCGTTTGGGCATGTCTGAAAGCCCTTCGCTGGACTGCTCTAGTGCTACACTGAGCCTGACGGGCTATAACATCAGTGGCAAGGCATGCAAGAAGGAGAAATTTAACTAGGCCACGTTGAGCAAGCGAAAGATGTGGTGCCATAGTCAGACTTAGATAGATAAAGAGCCAATTTAAGCTCATTTACTACAACTCAGGGTATGTAGGGTGGAAGAAATGGGACGAAAGCGACGTCAAGGCGTTTGGGGCAGCGCCTCTGAGCATCAAGCAGGCCTACAGCAGACCTGTCTGGTTCGTCTGGCCCTAGCTGTGCCTGGATCACATTGCGCCGCGCTCCAGGGGGACTTGGAGGTACATAACCGGTTCCTCGCACTAGGCAGCCACCATCAAGCCCAGTAAATCGTTTTATAATATACCTAGCAGAAGTCCGACACTCGTTCCGCATTCTACTGTAACACCCCCGCTACAGAATTGCTTAAATGCAACGAACAGCGGCACAGCGGTATTTACTACGAATGGAGGGCCATTGTATATGTCGTTGTAAGGTTATTGTATTTCGCGAGTATCAGTACGGTTGTAACGCTACCTGTATCCACTACCAAAATATTAGTTATAAAAGACTGTCTAATACCAAATGAATTCCTATAGCGGAATGGACGCAAAGAAAGGCTCGACCAAAGCCAGAAATTCGTTAGGCTTGGATGCAAACACCACATGGCCAGCTTCAATCCTCTCTAGTCTGGAACCAGGTATATTCTGCTTTGCCAAGTCATCCGACCCGGCGGGAAGCGTTCCATCTCTTGTCCCCCAAATAATCAATGTCGGCACCTTGATCTGGTCTCCTTGGCCACGTAGATCGTGCCCTTTGGCAGGGAAACTGCGCCACAGGGACGCCGCAACTTGGGAACCTTGGACAGTCTTGGCCCGAGCGATTGCTCGTTTAGAAATCTCTTGGTCGAGGTCGGATTCAGCTGCCATGTACCGAGGCACCATGGCTGGCAGGATCCAGCGCGCAAGACCCGGTGTTCCCAGCGCCTTGCAAAACAAGCGAGATGTTGCACTCCATTCCAAGAAGCCGCCGTTATTCACAAGGACTAAGCCGCGAACAAGCTCTGGCTTGCGGATTGCAAGGCGTGCGGCTGCGAAACCCCCAACAGAGTTTCCAATAAACAGAGCTGACCCGAGCTGTAGTCGAGACATGACCTCTTCAAGAACATCAGCTAGTGCCTCTGCAGTAAGTCCGTCCAGGCTGGGAAGCCCCTTTGATTCGCCATGCCACGGCCAGTCAAGTGCCAAGACTTTGTATCGCGTAGCAAGCTTGTCGACGATGGAGGCAAAGTCTCGGCTATCGTGCAGTGTGGCGTGTAAGAGAACAACAGGCGGGCCGTCTCCCTGTGTGGTGTATACCACGTCGCCGAGGCTAGTTTGGATGCTGGGCATGATCAATTAGGTGGCAATATAAAATTGATTTATCTGCATACATATATGTATATGTATAAGTTTATTTGGGGTTGTCTCTCCTATAGCTATATGAGTGGATGGGACTGCATCTCCTATAAAAACATAAATGGCAGTGTGAACTGGACACGCTGGCCATCAATAAAACGTAGACACGTAATTTTACCGCCATTATATTTCAGAGTGTCCTTCGAATAGATTTCCCTTTTGGGGGCTCGGATAATGTGCACATGTGAGCCACGTTCAGCTCGTCGGAGTTTGCGGATGTTGCGCCACCAAGCAACGTCTCTGTAATACATGGACATTTAGCAAAGTGTATACGTAGATGGTAAATATACACGCAGAGCAGTATTACATAAGATACAGCTAATATTATTTTTTAAGTGTTATTGCTAGTACTATATATATTGATACGTATACCTCTACCATCGCCGCGCCGTTTCGAATTATTCTAAAAGCCGGCCAATCGTTTACTTGCAAACATATCAAAAGAGCGGCGCTGTGCTGCTAAAGTTGGAGATGTGGCCTAGTGACTGTTGGATCATACGGTAGCCAAGAGTAGGCGCATTGCCGTACAAATGCATGCCGCCAGCGTTTGCAATAAAAAACGTTAGGCCTCGCTCCTGGACATATCTTCCCACAAACCCCTTGGCTCCGCGCGCCTCAGTGTTCTCGTTCCAGTGATCTGGGATAGAAATCGGCTTGACCGGGTAATTGTGGAAGCCCTGCTCGCCACCCCAGGTGACGTTTTGGAGCTGGAAGAGTGTACCGTTGGCAAAGCGATTGTATGCGAGTGCTCCGGCGCCGATGATGACGTTGTGTGTCTTGTCAATGACTCTACCTAGCGTTCCGTCGCCCGCAGGATCCGTGTAAATCTGCGTCAGGTGGAAGTTGCAGCCGAATTCATACGACGGCTTGTAATGCAGCGCGGCGGATACGTCAGGGCGTAGGTACCAGTTTTTGTTGGCCGGGTTGTAGATGTCTAGCTCATCGTGATTTCCAAGGTGGCTTTCCAAGTACGGGCATCGGTCGGCAATGTTCTCACCCGTAAAGCAAGGGTTGGCATTGTGTAGGCTCTGGGAAGTGTAGGAAAAGTACTCTCTGTACAATGGCGGCTCTGGGAAGGGGACCTGGGGTGGAGGGAACCGAAAGTACTTTTCTGTGTAGGCTGGCTGCGGGCCTTTGTTGTAGAGATCGTTGATGATCTTCATTGTATCGTCGTCTGTGCCCAAAAGTCGCGACCAGGTGTTGAAAAACGGTACCATGGGATATTCCTCTTGAAGCAAGAGGCTGCCAATGTTAGGGTTGTTGAGTGTCATACCTTTGAGGTCAAAGTAGTCTTTGTTTTCGTCATCCAGGAAACTCTCTGCAATGTACGGGATATACTGGCCACCGTCTAGCTCTCCGTGCATAAAGACCTGGTAACCTTTTAGCTGAAAGGTGTCGACAAAGTTCTTCCAGGAGCCCTTGAACTCGGCCGCCACTTGATCAGTGGGCTCACTCAAGCTGGCTGCCTTGTGCGGTGCATCGACATATACTACATTTGTTAGGTTGTGCCACGTATATAGATTCTTAGCTGGTCGTGGTGTTCCATCCTTCCACAAAAAAGGGCCGTTCTGCGATATCGCGTCGGCCTGGGGGGTGCAGCCAAGACCGTCCATCCAGATGGCAATCTCGTCATTGACATCTGTGTCTTGGGACGGTAAGAACCAAAAGTAGACAAAGTCAGTCTCATTAAGGTTGGACGAGACAGGCAAGTGTCCAGCGTAGGACTCGCCGATATCGAATGGCACGTTGGGGATACCTGTGCCGTTGACGGCAAACTTGGCCGACTTTTCATTCAAGTACCGAGGCTTGCTCTGTGCCATTGCCAGCGCTAGCGAGCTGGCAACGACAAATGCAATGGAGGATGCAAACTTCATGGTACGATCGGAGCTTACAGTAGGGGGCAATGGTGGCTAACATACGGGAGCAAGTGGCGACCTGCTTTCGAAGTCCAACGGACGGGAGCTTTTATAAGCTGAATGAAGGCAGCACACATCAGCATCTGCGATGTAACCCTGCAAGCATACCCACCCAGCTCGGTTATGGCTATGCGAGATTATACAAGACACAGAACCAATAGAATTGAATTACCGATCACACGTAGCGGGTGTTCTATTTGTATTGTTCCAGATAAGGTCCACTATGTGTTGATATTCCTGATGTAGACGCCCAGAATCGGGTGAGGCGGCGATCGTGGCGGCGATCCTCTGATCATCGGCCGATAACAGGCACACCTCGCAACGAAAGCTGAGACACATCAAGTTGTGTACAAAATGAAGCGCATTTTGAAGAATTAATTTATACTAGTATCTAATTACAAGATGTAATAATCTACCAAAGCTGTTCTTATATACTTTTCTTTTACGAGTTCAGCACGTAAAAGCAACGCGACTCTCAAGATGCATTGTCTACTCCATAGCATACATTGGACTCCAATTAAGGGTTCATGGCAGTGATGAGTCTTCTGGTCCACGAGTAGTCGGTAGCCATCAAGTTGTTGTTGCCAAAGGGAGCGCCATCACGGTCAACAGCATAAGAGAAGAGATCAGCCTTGGTAGCGCCAGCAGGCTGCCAGTTGGCAAACTGGAGGGCTCTTCTCTTCTCAAAGGGCTCTGGGGTGTCGTTCCAGCGGTTCTGGTCGTTTTCCTCGTAAAAGGTAAACCCAATCATGTATGTACTGCTTGGACGTGACATAGGACTTGTACGAGTTCCAGGTGTTGTTGAGGCTGTTGATGCTGCGGCCGTACGACTGAATCAGCACGTAGCTGATGTAAGGGTAGACGGCGCGGAACAGGGCTGTGTTGCCGTTCTGGTTGGTATCGTAGATGAGCAGCATGTCGGTGCCGGACTTGGGGCCTGGTGTTCCCAGGGTAAATGTCGAGCGGTCATTAGCTAAAAAAGGCTTGGAGTCATGCGGGCATTGTCATATTAGATGCCAAGGGAACTATGGGGAACTGTACATTCGCATGTGTCCCTTATTTGTAAATGGAAAAATGTGGTAGTTGTACATGGCAGCATAATAGCCAAGCATATCTTGCTTGTAAACTGTATCTGTAGCAGCAGACTGCTCATCTGATGATCTTTACGTATTGCCAATAGAAGCAGCATATACAATATGATGTCTGCTTACTTGCGTGGATTCTGCAGACTCCCCGGTACAGAAGCCAAAAGTAACGTTTCTTCGTGAGATATGCACGCATTGTCCTGATCGGGTCTCCTCCCCAGTCTCGCTAGGGCTCGCATTGTTCGTCTGATGTAGCTAGCGTCATGTATGACCCTGTATGCTGGTCCACTTTGCCGATATTCTTCGCCAGGTAAATATTAGCATCTTTTAAAGACGACATGTATTATATACTTGGTAGGGCTATACTCGATTATGCATAGTATAATATACAGCCTTGCATAGGATAGCGCGCCACTGGATGCTGTATTTACATCGCCTCGGCTACTCAGCCCAAAGTCTTTGCGCTGGGTGGAGATAGACAAGGGTTAAGAATAGAGGGGGGGTGAGCTAGTGATGTAGATTGTTGGTGATGAAATTACATGTTCAATACACTAGTCCAAGTAAGATTGGCGCAAACAGTAAAAGATTGAATATAGAGTGTGTATTGTTATACAATCGCTTATAGCAAGACGACTGGGAAGGGTGCGTCGTGACGTCTCCTATATGATACAATACATATGCTATATGATATCTACGCGTATGAGTATGTATAGTATACTATCATTAATATATTCTATATCCCATTGGTGTTGCTCTCAGCTTTACCAGGCTGGTGCTTTAAAGTTTGGCTAATTTTTGTTGTTGTAGTAGCACTATATATCGAATTTACTATTTCCCGCTGCCAGAGCATAGCCGGGCGGCATACCACGCGATCGGCCACTTAAAAAACGGCCTATCGTGTTTTTTTCGGTAGCATTTTTTGGGCGGGTTACTCGCCTCCCCGCAAGTCTTCCACCCGCCCGCCCCCAGGGTTTTCTTCTCCGCATTGCCGATGCCGAGCGGCAATGGGCGGCTTTGGCAGCGTTGTGCCCGCATTACCACCTACACCTCAACGCTGGTAAGCCGACATTTGCACCCAGCTTCCCACTCCATTGCATTCTCACGCGAGAGATATTTCTAGAAAAGTAGCTACATACAGCAGCTATATCCAGGTGCGTTCCTCTGGTAATCGACGAGGCCCAGCCCAACTACAGAACGCGTCAAGCTAACCAGCCGATCCATCCAGACACAATGAGGCCGGCAATTTCACGAATCGCTCTTCCAGCGCGCCGACACTTTTCCGTGTCGGCTAGACGTCTCGATACGTATGCCTTTGTTGGTCTTGGCCAGATGGTTCGTTCTTTTTTTGCTTCTGAAGCCCGGTCACCAGCTAATAGTAGACACCAACTCTCTAGGGCTACCAAATGGCAAAGAACCTCCAGTCTAAGCTTACCTCCAACGACACCGTTACTCTGTTTGATATCAACAAGGATGCCGTGGCCAGCCTGCAGACCGAGATGAAGGCTGCCGGTGTCGGAGCCAAGGTGACCGTCGCTGAGAGCGCCCACGATGCCTCCAAGGAAGCTGTACGTTTACATCTACCAAGTAGTACAGTTGCAGCGTGCGGAGAATGTTGACCAACCGTGTAGGACACTGTCATTACCGTTCTTCCCGAGCCCAAGCACGTAAAGGGCGTCTACGAATCCATCCTTACGTCGTCGCTACCGCAAAAGAACCGCCTCTTCATCGACTGCTCGACCATCGACCCCGGCACGTCCCGCGCTGTCGCCGAGTCCGTCGCGTCCGCCAAGCAGGGCGTCTTTGTAGATGCTCCCATGTCGGGCGGTGTCGTTGGTGCTACTGCCGGCACACTGACCTTTATGCTCGGCGCCGACGAGGCCACTGTGCCCCGTGCCGAGCCGACGCTGCTGCACATGGGCCGCAAGGTGCTGCACTGCGGCCCTCAGGGTACCGGTCTGTCGGCTAAGCTGGCCAACAACTACCTGCTTGCCGTCAACAACATTGCCACGGCGGAGGCCATGAACCTGGGCATGCGCTGGGGCCTGGACCCCAAGAAGCTGGCGGGCGTGCTCAACGTGTCGACTGGCAAGTGCTGGCCCAGCGAGGTCAACAACCCGGTCAAGGGTGTCGTGGAGGGTGCTCCGGCCGGTAGGGACTACAGCGGCGGCTTTGGCGTTGCTTTGATGCGCAAGGACTTGAAGCTGGCTGTTGGAGCGGCTGCTGAGGCTGGTGCTAAGATGGAGCTGGCTGATGCGGCAATGGGCGTGTATGAGGGTGCTGCTGAGCGAGAGGACTGCAAGGGCCGTGACTTTTCCGTCGTGTATAGATATATTGGTGGCAAAGAATAGATTCTACAAAGAAAGATAAAAATAAATAGGAAACTTGCGGTTGGTTTGAATGTCTACAATGATTGATGACCTGAGTTTGAGAGTCTTGATTCGTTGGTGTGCTGTGCTAGATGTAGTTGTAGCGTATGTGACGTTGGCTGACTGTGATATATACTGGCGATAGCTCCGCCATTGTGCTTATTTCAATATAGAGCGGCAAGTGTTGGTCCTTAGTCGATTGGGATGTCGGTGCTGTCAAGCAGATATTGTGTTAGTTGGAGGGGTGACGGTATACGCCTTTGTCTGGTGGTTGTTCAGCAGTCTGCAATGGGCTCTACCATCATCGTATGCAGTTGATATTGACCACTCTCTAGAAAGAGTATGACGTGATGGAGAGTCCAGATTGACGGAGCTCCGGCGGAGTTGAAAAGCAGTGGCGGAAGCTTAGTTTAACTGCAACCATCAAGGAGACACATGCCAAGCCATTGTTTCTGTAGTGGGGGGGAAGGGTGTCAGTGCCTGGCTGCCACGTTGTCTGTGGGTGCATTTGTGTTTCTTCCATCGTTGTTTTTTAGCGGTATTCTACACTAACTAGGCGCTAAACTGCCACTAACCGTAGCCCTATAGACGCTGTATTTCCATCGCCTGTCTATCCAGGCGTATAGTTTCTTTCTTCTTCTTTTTGGTAGAGATATTGTACTCATATAAAGCCTTCCGTATAAACAATGCTTATTTTTTTTTGTTAATCTACTCATTCTTACTCCATCTCCGCCGTTCCTTATCAGCGGGCTCCCCTATAATACCAGATTTTTTCTGCGTGCAGGATGCCGTTTTTGATCCACTGCGCGGGGGATCCTCCTTCCGCCCTGTGCATCTCCATATAAACAATACGCGTATCCGGTGGGCCACGGAACGCCTCCCATCCGGCTGGCTGCAAAAGACGAACGCCCAGTTCAGCAGCCTGGTTTTTTGGACTGTGCCAGGGCCTCTTACAGAAGAAGGAAAATTGAAATAAAATACAAGAAAAATACTTTAATGCAGTTATAATGTATGACTTTACGTTAAGATCCAAGGGTACACTACTTGGCTTGTTCTGGTATCCCTCGCAGATCTCAACAATGACAGCTCTCGCTACGGAAACAATGACGCTTCACTAAAACCTGGGTGCCCGGATGGCCCGGACTCCCTCCCCCAAATTTACAGCGGTCCAAGCACCCACCACGTTTTCCCCTTGGGCGCTGACAGGGCCACCCACCCCCCCAGCCAATCCTCCGGGCCGCACTGCCAATTACTCGCTGAACGAGGGAACGAGACAAAGACGCATCCACAGCGGACCAATTGTCCCCTCCGAGCCGCAAGCCTTGTTTTTTTTCTGCCTTCTTTTATTGGTAATAATAGGTTAGCTGACGCCATGGGCTATTTCTGTGACTTCTAGAAAACCTTAATAAATCAAAACGGCCCCGGCCCCTCCTTTCTGTGCTGTCAGTTTGACGTGCAATAGCAGCAGCCCGACAACACCACGCACTACGAAGCTGGCCATACTCCGTCATCATGGACAGCATCATGCACGTTGCGCGTGCTAAGAACAGCGTCTCGGCAGCCGACTGCCGTGTCGAAACTACAGTCCTCGGATACTATCCCAACTTGGGCTCGGGATACTTCTTCACCATCATGTTTGGCCTCTGTCTGATTGGCACTGTTGTGCAGGGTGTGCGCTTCAAGACATGGTCGTATATGGGTGCGCTGACTTGCGGCCTGATTCTCGAGACAGCCGGTGCGTTTTTCTCCGCCTACTTTATTGTCAAAAAGATCTGGGACCCTGATATGGTTCCCTTTTATTTTATTTGCTGTGTTATTGATCAGTATCACTAACTGATTATCGTTGTGATAGGCTACGTTGGCAGAATCCTCCTCCACAAGAACCCGTGCAACGAAGGCGCCTTTGAACTGCAAATCTGCGCCATCATCCTCGCCCCGACCTTCATCTGCGTCTCCATCTACCTGACTCTCAAGCACGCCGCCGCCGCTCTATCGCCGTCGACATCCCGCATCCGCCCCGTCTGGTACCCGCGCATCTTCCTCCCCGGTGACCTCTCGTGCCTCATCGTCCAGGCCATCGGTGGCGGCATCGCCGCAGCGGCTGGCCGCACCAACCGCCACCTCCAGGAGTCTGGCAACAGAGCCATTATTGCGGGTGTTGTGCTGCAGGTTATTGTCCTTGCCATCTTTGGCATCATGGGCGTTGACTACTTGGTCCGCGTGTCCAAGTACATGAAGACGGACAAGGCTCGCCAAACGGAGGGATACAGAGTCTGGAACGATCGCAGGGTTCGCATCTTTTTCAGCTCCGTTAGCGTTGCCTACCTGTCTGTCCTGATCCGTTGCATTTACCGGTATGTTTTTTTCTTTGTTTTCTTGCGGCGTTGCTTGTCGTAGTGTGTGAAGAAAGCTCTATACTAACTCATTCCTAGTGTTGCTGAAATGGCTGGCGGTTGGGGCAACAAGATCATGCAGGATGAGCCATCTTTCCTTGTCCTCGATAGCACCCTTGTGCTCGTTACTGCTGCTCTGCTCACTATTTTCCATCCCGGAATTTACTTCCCTCGCATGATCAACGGAGGAACCAAGATTGACGGCGACCAGCTCATCGACGGCGCCGAGCAGGAGCGCAAGAACTCGCCCCACGATACCTCTGACGAGGGACCTCGTAGCGATGTGTAAGATGTTTGCAAAAAGGAAGACATGTCATATGGTCGGTACGGCGATTGCATTATTTTTGGATTTGTTTTGGATTAGACGGCGTTTTATAGACTGTATTTACATTTACCCACTGCATATTGCACTCCTCATTTTATCACCACGGCTTGTCTATTGCTGCTGCAGGGTAAAAATGTCCATGGCATTATTCATTATAACGTGAAATCTCTATTGTATACCAGATATGCGCGCTAAAATGCTCATGACGAAACAAGTCTATCACCTTCGCCTTCCTCATCGGCTTCCTCTTCATATTCGCTCTCCTCTTCACTCTCTTCCTCAGTTTCCTCCTCGCTTTCCGTTTCTTCTTCTTCATCATCATCTTCCTCCTCCTCACTCTCTTCTTCGGCCAACCAGTCATCCAGGGTCTTCTTCCCCAGTCCATCAATGGCAGGGCCCTTCGCCGGAGCAGACTTGGCGGCTTGGTCCAGCATGTCACCAGCGGGCATGGCACTTCGTGGGCTGTCGTATCTTGAGCTGGCAGTTACTTCTTCTTCGCGAAGCTTAGGGTCTGGTTCCTGGCCAGCTTCAACCCATGGTGGGAGCGTCTCATATCCACGTAGCCCGTGGATGCCACCACCACCCTCTAGTACAAGTGTTGATGAGCCTAGTGCAAAGCCCTTTCGTGATTCGGATGGGCTAGGTGCCTGAGGAGCAAGCTTAGGCACAAGTAGCATCAGCGTGGCCAGCTGGGGTACTGCCAACAACGCCTTGAACATTCTCGCTCTATCACGCAAATCGTACGAGACATCATATCGCACAAGCTGCAAAGTGTATTCCCACAGCAGCTGGGTCGGGTGCGTCTCAGTCATGGTCATCTTCTCGTCGCCTTCAGAGGCCTCTAGCTTTGCCTTTTCCGCTTCGCGGTTCACCTGATGCAAGTGGACCTTGGCAGCAAGAAGCAAAATCTGGCGCTTCGCTTCTTCTGATTCACTTGGAAAGTCTTTAAGTAGGATGCGAAGAACATCAGGTGCAATATTGTCTTCGCCATTCAGTCCAGAAAATTCGCCGACCAGCCAGACAATGGTTGCTCTTGCTCGGGGGTCCGTTGCAGAGTCTAGGTTTTGTGCCAGCAGAATGACCGTGTTGCCGTGGCTATCTGGGTCTTGTTGAATAAGGTGTCGGATAACTGTCAGCGACTCGGCGGCTAGAGCTCCGTCCAGGCTGGTAATCTGGCTAAGCAAGAGCCGCAGACATCTTGACGAAGTAGCCTTGTCAGACTGTGCGCATCGTCCAATGGCGCGAACGGCGTCCCTGACAAGGCTCTTGTTGGTTCCCTTTGAAAAGTGTTCCAATTCCTTCAAGATGAGGCTCTTGACATGGTTTGGGCTGTACGGGAAGATGAGAGTAAGGATCTCAAACTTGAGCTCCGAAACAGCAGCTCCATCCGTAGATCTAACCAGGAAATGGCTAGCGTACTTGACAAAGTCCTTTGGACGCATGAGGCATATTGAAACAATGTTGTAGAGCGCCAGCTGCTGAATGTCCTGAGCACCACGCATTAAAGCAATTAGCGGCCCTATCGCCAGCTTGACGTAGTCTTTTGTACCAATATCGACGTAGCATCTCACGACGGCAATTACAACAGCTGAGTTGCGGCTTTGTAGCAGGGGCTTTATACTATTCAAGAGGAATCGTAAATCGGGATCAATCGCATTTTGTGTATCGGTGGTCGCCTCGTCATAGAATTCGTCACTGGTATTCCGCACCTCGGCTTCTGCTTTCACTGCTTTCCTTCGCGGGAAGCATTTTCTCGCATACACAGTCATCAGTCTCAGCACTGCGAGCTGGCTCCATTCGTCCATGTCGACAAGCTTCCGTACCAGCCCTCGGTAGTTTGGGTGAATCAAATCGATCCTCTCTGGGCAAATCTCCCGGAACGCTGCCACCGCCGCACCAGCAACAAAATATTGCTTATCAGCAAGCAGGGTGGTTAGATAATCAATGAGCTGCGGCGACTGTGACGGGTCGAGGCAGTAGCATTTAGGGATGGCGAGGGCAGCGGCCTTTCGAACATGCGGGCTCATGTCGGCGACACCCTTTTTGATGGCAAGCGATACAATCTGGCTAATAACTGGTACTCGGATACCAGCCATCGTCTTCAAGGCGAGGGCGCGAACCACGGGGTTGCTGTCGGAGAGCGACTTTTGGATGGTGTTGATAGAGAGCAGCGCAAGATCGGGTTCCTGCTCGGCATGGTGGATAAGGTAGATGTATACGAGCTTCTTGATTTCGATATTGGGTGAGGCGACGTTTTTCACGACTGAGGAGAAGAAGGGGAGCGTCTTTTGGTTCTTGTACATCATCTGTAACCTGTCAGCACGAATTCGCGGTTTACCAGGCTGGCGAGGCTACCTACACCTGTCACACGGCGCAGTCCGTCAAGGATATCGCGGTCGCTTCTGCTGTCAAGCAGCTTTCGCATCTGGTTTCTATCCAGAAGCTTCGTGGAGCCAGGTCGCATGTTTCGTGTAGCCTGTGCGGCGTCGAGGGTAAGCTCGCGAGCTGCAATGGTTAGCTTGGAGTAGAGGATAGTCGGGGGCGGCAATCAGACGAACCCGTCTCCATGAGACTGGAGATTTTTGCTATCGACTCCATGATCTTGGCTTTTAAGGGTGCAGCAGCGGACTTGGAGAGAACTAGAGTGCTGCTGCGCTGAGCACGCGGGATGTGTTGTGTGGATGGAGAGTCGGCCACAGCGAATGACGTTTACCAGAGAAGCAGTGCTGGTGAGTGGGGGTGGGGCAGCAGATGGGCGAGCCAACATATGAAGAACGATTGGGGCACGGGATATATGGATAAATATATCTATAAAATATTAATAATCAGGATTACTCATTTTAGAATCAGAATCGTTTTTGTAATTGTAACAAGATATTGCGTTCGCATTGGAAGTTGACATCTTGCGCCGCTTGTCACCAAAAGGCCGCTTATAATCCACCGTTTGAAAGACCAATGCCCAGTATGCGTACAGTATAGCTTCAATTCAGATTCATATAGCTTCTAATAAGCTAAATTTCTCGTATGATTGCCCAAATCCTCTTGAAACACCCTCAGCATACCTACACCGGAGACGGGGGTGGCGTATACGCAGCACACAAGTCACACAGCGTCTCAATACGTGCTCTCACGGTAATGGCATCAGGACACTGGGATAGAGTTCCAATATCGCAAGGCGTCCATCCCTTGGCTGCAAAGTGGTCGCATTTAGTGTAATGCCAGCACAAGAATTCGCACATGGTGTCTGTCAGCCAGGTGCTCAATACAATAGCCAAAAAGGAATGTTCTTCCTTTTCCTTTTTAATCGGATTCAACTAATAGGGTCATAAAAATTGCTTTATATTAAATCTAGAATTATTCCGGGAACAAGGCGGTATATATGCCCATCTAGCTGGTGCTACCATTCACTCCAAAACACCACTCCACCGCCATCACCACTCGTGTTGACCTTGCACAAACCACCGTTCACAAACACTCTTCTGAAATTGCAGGACTCACCCCAGCCAATCAACATGGTTCGCTAGCAATGACCAGCCCGCCAACCCTTCTGCCTTGTGCCTCACCAGTCGCACTGCTCAACCGCCTTCTCGCACAGCACAAGTTCCCCACGACCATTGTCGTGTGCTGTTCACGGCAAGACTTCATCGACTCGCTCGTCTCCGACGCTAGATTCAACGCAGATGCATCCGCGCGTGATACTCTCCTCACAAAAACGTCTGCACAAGTCAGCACGTCGCGCCATACGCGCACAGTCTTTGCGCCAACAGTGTCGCATCTGCGCGCGGCGCTCACGACACTCTGTCCATCGGAGACGGTAAAAGCCCCGCCCAATGAGGACGATAATCCAGCCAAGGAGGAACCGTTGCTCGTTGTTTACGGGTTTGTCGATGTCCACCGGGAGAGCGCCGAGTGGTCTGCGCAGGGAGCCAGTACCTCTGCGGCGGCCGTGGTCGAAGCAGCTGCAAGGAACGGCCTCCGCGCTGCAATCGTCGAACCGAGTCCAGGGAGCTATGATGAAGTCATGCCGCTGCTGGCAGGGACTATGCAGCGCGATGATGGCGGGTGGAATGGACGCTGTGTGACGGTGAGGACTGTCCTCGCCAGATGGTTCACCGAAGAACGGGAAGCACCAGGCTCTTCATAGATACTAGGCCCGGGCAATCATCACGTTACGACTGTACAGAATAATGAGTCATGCACAGCATTTACTATAATACATATACATCGTTTCATATCCAGATGGCCCGCAAAAAATCACAACTCCTTGTATGGTATCAATCATCCCGTCCGCTTGCAACGCCAAAATCAAAACCTATTTTCATTGCGCAATCGCTTGTTCCATTTCCGTCATGTAGAGCTTGACGTGCGACTCCATCTTCAAGTACTCGTCATATGCGCTGTGAACTTCTCGCTCAATGTTCTCCTTCAGATCAAGCATCTACAGGCTGTTAGTACTTGGTTTTACTCTTGTCGGTCACACGATACATACCTTCTTCTGTGTCTGTTCAATGCGCACCCGCTTAATCTCCATCTCTTCACTCTTTTCCTTTTGCTCTTCGGTAAGCTTCTTATGAATCTCACGCAGCTGGTGCATCTTTTCCTTGGCCTCCTGAGCCTTGGTAGCAGCCTGCTCGCGCAGCTTTTGCGTTCGTTGCGTCCATTTCTCCAACTGGCGCTCGAGCAGCGTCTCAGCACGTTCCACTTCTCTGGCGTTATTGCCTCGCTCTGAGAGGGCTTCTTTTTGTCTTGTGCTTCGAATCATTTCCTCTTCCTCCCTTGCCAACTCAGATGCAATGTCCTCCAGAATCTTAATGCAAGCCGCAACGTCGGTTCCAACAGTGCCAAATGTTTCGGATGAGGTCTGTAGCGCTCTTGTTCTCGTTTCGAGTGTGCGGATATGCGATGTATCGTTGTTGAGAATGTTTTGGAGCTCCGCAAGGCTGTCTTGGAGCGACGCAGGGCTCTGCAATACGTAGGGGCGCAGTTTGTTACTCTCGCCCTTGAGCGTCATCTTTTCCTGCGTTTTCTGTTCCAGAACCTCCGCTAGCTCGCTCTTCTTCAGCTTGGCATCTTCTAGTCGAATCGAGATCTTCTCCTGTTCTCTTTGTAGCGTGAGCAGGCGCTTCTTCAACTCTTCGTTCCGCATCGTCTTCTCCTGCACTTCTGCTTCCATGGCCTGTCGATTCTGCTTCATTCGCTCTAGACGCTCTTCGTTTTCCTTGTTTTCGCCATACATGGTCTCGATCTTGAGCTTGGTTGCTTCCGAATGGTTAAAGTATTTGTCGACGACGTTGGTCTGTGCCTCTCTGAAGCGAACAAAATTGATCAGGTAACTGAAGATTTTCACAAGACGTTCATAGGTCGGTTTGTATAGATCGGTGAAGCTAAAGTCTGTGATTCCGCATTCAATTAAGAGCTTGCGTAGCGAGGCGTAAAAGCCCATCAGGTTGCGCGTGTCGATGGGAATCACGTCTGCATATTCGCCGCACACTTCCTCCGCCGCAGCTCGCATAGCCGGTTCGACAGTCTCACGCGTCGCATTGAGAAGAAGTTCGGCAAACAGTTCGAAAATCTGCTGCACCTGTACTGGGTTGGGCTTTTGCATATCTGCAACCGTAAAGTTGATTCCGATTTCCGTAATGCAGCCCGCAATCTCCGTGTCGGGCAAACGCATGTACATGTCGGCTTCATTATCTTGCTTTCGTGTTCGGGTTTGCTGTTGCGCATTCGGCGCGATGCTCATTCTTGGTTTAAACGACATCGTCGTGCGTCTATTTCTGTCGCTTGTGTGTAAATACTGTGAGTTGCGAGCCGTTGGTGCACCCCGCGATAGGCTGTAGGTAAACACTTTAAAGTGGGTTGCTGCAGAAACGCGACGCGACATCACCACCACGTGATGCTGGTTCAAGATGGAGCATATATGGTCCATGGAGAGCTAGATTAAATCTGATATAAAAGAACGAAATTAGAACTTACTGGTCTAACACTTTTAAATTTTCTAATCAATTTATTAATGGTGTTCAGGTGTAGACATAAAACCATATCCCATGTCTGGTCCCAGTGCCTAAAAGCTATTGCCTAAAAAAACGTTAATGTATGCGCCAAGACATATTAATTTAGACAGATAATCATTGCTGATATCTAGCTTCGTTTGTACGCGAGTGGTTATTCAATCGTACATAATGCATAGTGCGTTGTGCATCATATTGTCATTGGTTGGCGTCACATCACTGTGAGGCACAGTACGGATTCCAGCAAAAGACAAGTTTAGTATTGGGAATATTTTTTCATTAAATGCGTCCTCTATCCTGTACTTTTGTAGTGTATTTACGCGGAGTGCTTCTGGATCAGCTGCTGGAGAGCGCCGGGGTTGGCACCAACGAGCTCGTCGGCTCTCTCGCCGTCCTTGTAGATCAGGAAGGTAGGCATGGCGCGGATGTTGAGCTGGGCAGTGATGTCGGGGATCTCCTCGACGTCGAACTTGAGGAAGTGAACGTCCTTGAACTCTTCGGAGTTGGAGTGCCTGTTGCATGTACATGTTAGCGATGGTATTGCGACAAAGAGGAATGGTGTGCAACATACTTTTCCAAGATGGGGGCAATGGCCTTGCAAGGACCGCACCACTCAGCGAAGCAGTCGACAAGGACAACCTTGTTGTTCTTGATGGCCGAGTTGAACTCGTCAGCGCTGTAAAGAAACATGTTAGCATTGGAAATTGTTGAATGGATGCGGGGTGGGCGCTGCTCCGGGCCGTCGGCGCGAAAGAACGAAGCTTGTCGCCGGCGGCCAGAGGCTCGCTGAAATGGGGCGAAACGTACGTCTTGACAATGTGGACAGTCATGGCTGGTCGTGTAGCGTGGAAGAATCTGGTGGAAGCAAAGGGCAGAGATCGGAAGGTCGAAGTGCGAATGGCGCGAGAGAGCATTGTGATGCAAGCGAGTGGAGGAGGGGTGGCCTGGCTGCGGTATATATACGGACTTTTTTTTAGGGAGCGGTGGTGTGTAGTGGTGGTGTGCTAGAAGAACAAGTACAGTAGCGGAACAGCTGCAGGAAGAAGTTTCTAGCGGCGTGGGCGGGCAGCTTAGGGGCGTGTGGGGTGGATTTGTCAGGGAGAGGGGATGACGCAATTTAGCTGGCTGCGGGCGATTTTTTTTGGAATACTTTCCAGGCTGGATCGGAGATCTCGGCCGGCATTTGCTGACAATTAAGCGGATTGGGAATGCGTGGCTGACAATTTCGATAACGGTCTGATGCATTTATGGCAATGCCTGTTTAAGCCATACCGAGATGTGGAATTAATTAATTCGTTCGCATTGTCATCAAGGATGACTAGATCTTGGGACGTCACATAGACAAGCACAGCATGCGCGTAGACATCAGCATACACTTAGTTCTACGAGGTGTAAAACTTGCATATGAAAAAGAGGTCAATAACAAGTTTCATTGACGAGGTACACAGCAAACAAAAATTGCCTTATGCTATATGCAAAACAAAACCGCCACGTACGCCATGCAAAGCACTTTTGCAGGTAGTGGGCGTCAAGCATCATAAATCCAAAGCTGAATATATCAAAGCAAGCCCGCTGCCGAATCATTGTGATAAAACCATTTGCCATGCCGAAACAAGAGAGGCCATATAGACCAAAGAATCTATCTAAATGCACAGGCCGTAGATGAGTGGGCCGCATGTGGAAGGGGAAAAAGTAAATGGGTATATATACGTAAATGGAACATGATGGGAATTTGAGAGTGTTGAAATGGAAACGTGTTGGTGATGAGCGTAGATGAGCCGATATGACGAATGCCAGTTTTTTTCGAGATTGTGATTATCTGGTTTTGCACAGTGTTTTTGTGTGTTCTTCGTCTTTTTCATGTTTTTTCATGTTTTTTCATGTTTTTTGGTGGTTTTTGCCGTATTTTGCTGAGTGACATAGGGAATAATTTTGAGTTTCTTCCTTTTCAAATTGTTTTTGTGTTTAGGCATCAGCATTCGTTAAATCGTCATCGTTTTCGTCATTTCCTTTACTGCTTCACTTCACCATTTGTTTCAACAGTCTTCAGGCCGCCGCCGCTTCGACGCTTGCCGTCGACAGATCCTCGTGGTGTAATATCGAGGAGCCGGGCACTGCCAGCGCTAAAGTTACGCGCGTGGCCTTTACCCATGTTGACGCTGTGGGCTCGTTCTAGACTGGCAGCTTCCACTACACTCGGTGAGATGGGCGAGTCTGTTCCGCTATCATCTCCAGAGTCGGTGGTGTTGAGCAGTCCGTGATGGCTATGCATGGTGTTGCGGTCCCCAATAACCACATTGGGCTGCGCTCCAACGGTGCCCCATTTAGCTCCTTCAGATGAGACTCGCTCGTCATCACTGCTGGGGACTCCCTCACCAGACAATCTTTCTTGTCCGCTGCGGGTAGGGGTGACGCGCGAGAGATACTCATCGTCGGTAATAGCCAGGTCTTCACGCGTGCTGTTAGATAGCGACGTGCTGGATTGGCCAGCTTCACGGCGGTTGGCTCTGGCGATGCTATCGCGGAGAGCCTGAGACCGGCGGTTACCACCTCGTCCAGAGAGCCATGAGCCCTCAGAGTCAATCGAAGCTAATGAAATCGACATGTGCGGGTCAGATGAATTGGTGCCCGATAATCGGTTTGGCATGGAAGTATGCATTATGTTCTCAATGGAACGGTTGGGATAAGCGCCTCCAGGCTGTGGAATGGGGATAGGTTGCGTTTTTATCTCCGGGCTATTAGCCTCAGCGACGCTGGGCAGTGGCGGATCTGCCTCTGGAGATTGTACGCGAGAGTCAGGCGGCGATAGCGGGAAGTCGGGAAGATCTTCACGGAACCTTGATTTCGTACGCTTTGGCATTCCGCTGCTCGGTTTGTTAACAAAGGGGCTAGCTCCCATGGTCGGCAGGCTTGTCGATTCTCTGGGCAGATCCTCGCCTTGAAGCTTTGCCAATGCTTCCGCTTGTGCTTGAGCAATGGATATCTGTGACTGGGCGGCTGCAAACTGCATCTCTTCACGGGATGTGTTGGAGAATGATGATGGACCGCCAGAGTTTCGCTTGCCGCGGTTGCCCCATTTCAGGAAGAAGCTGAAAGAGCGTCGAGTGCCGTGTGTGCTTGCGTTGGATTCTTTTCGAGGTGGATCATAGTCATCACCACTGCCAATCTTATCTTTATCCGACGCAAGCGTAGACTTTGACCGTGATTTCTTTGACCGAAGGAAGCCGGCCTTCGAAGGGAGTTCCGGTAGAGGGGTTCCCATCTCTTGCGCGATTGCCACAGGCTCGTTTGCTGGCGCTCGTGGTTCTTCTGACGCATCGACGGGTTGAAACGATTCCAGAGGTGAACTTCTGCCTCCGGTCTGGTCCTCAACAATAGACATGGCGTTTGGAGATGGGCTGTCGCGATGCTGAGATGAGGTGACTACGGCAGAAGGAGGGTCAATACCCAGTCCAACAAGTTCTCGCCCCAAGACCCCGCGCTCATGGTTTTGCGGGGGAGGGGTACCAGATTCGCTTGCTTCACGGATTTCTTGCTTGGCGCGCTCTGCTTTCCGGGCAAGCCTTCGCTCCAGCTTTTCCTGGTCTATAACGCGTTGTCGCTCACGTCGTCTATAGTCACGCTCCATGAGTTCTCTCAGATCGCTTGAGTCGAGGCCATCCGCGAGATCATCCATTCGCTTAGATTCGTCTAAGCGCTCTTCTTGGATTGTCTCGCTAGCTCCGGGCTTTCTAGAGGACTGTGAGCGTACGGCGCTCTGGTTTCGCGAAGCCTGTCTCTGCGACGGTGTATATCGTAGAGTTGGTCTCGGCGCAAGAGAGCTGAAAAAGGGAACCTTGTATTCCGTGGAGTCCAAGTTAGCAGCATTGGCGGAGTGGAACGACATGGGAAGCGACACATCGGATGGTTGGTCGCGCCAGCTCGCTGTTGACTTGTTGGTTTTGCTCCGTTTAATAGAATCTCTTCGGAGTCGTTCTGCGGGCCAGATATCTTCGACCGGGAGCTGGGGCATTTGTGCGCTCATAGCTTTAATCTCTGCCTCTCGCTCATGGTCTTCCCTGCGGCGTTTGCTGCTTTTGCGCCTAGCAGGCTGGAGATCGCTTCGTTTGTGATATAACGTGGGTACCCGTTCAAAGGGTGTCGCTGAGTTGCTGTTTGCTGGAGCCTTGCCTGTTGCGATTCGCTGAGCAAGGATAGCATCTTCACGGCCAGGCGAAAAGCTGTAGGTGCGGGCGCGGCGTTGCAGCTTGGCGGGTTGAGAATTCTTCTTTTTGGAAGCAGCGCGAGCGAGTCCGCTGTCCTGTCGGCCTCTAGGAGGTATCGCATCGCTTTCGGTAGCGCTGCGCATGCGCTTGCGCACGCTTTTTCGGCGGAATGGCCAAATGGCCATGTTGCGCAGTTTCTAAAGAACACTGTCGGTTGTGCAGCTGTGCGTTTGTACGTAACCAAGTTAGTACCTAGCCGCCTCAGTGGACGTATCGTGAATCGTTGGACTTGAATACGATGGGTAGTCGCGCAGCATGGTCAAAGCGAAGAAAAAAAAATGGTATTTTAACGTTGTGTTACACAGGGAATGCGCCGTTTCGCAAACAAATCGTAGGTGAGGCGAGGTCGTTGAGGTCGAAATGCGCCGAGTGTCAGCGCCTGGAATGTCGCTTGGGCGGTCAAGATCTGCTGTCTGGAACTGAGAGGTGGCGTAAAGCAGGAAGCGACATAAAATTAGACCGATACACAAGAGCGTTTATTCTTTTTCGTAATCGATGTATGCGGAACGCAGGAGTCGATAAAAGGCGTCAGGATGCAGGTTCTCTAAGGGTAATGAGCCACAGGCGATGATTGGGCTGGAATGTAATTAAACGTTGAACCCTGCGATCGGGCTGGACAAGACAATGAAATTGTGCTGTCCTTGTACTCGTGCTTTCGGGGAAAGGAAGGGACAAAAGACAAGAGTCTTTTTTTTCTATTTCTTAATCTTGCGTAAAGAGAAAGAAAATTAGAAGAGCGTTTTAAGAAAAGCCTCCTGGAGCAAGTGAATACGAGGAGAGTGATGATGAATCGGGCAAAGAAAAGATGCTGGGGCGATGCAGAGAAAGCAAAAGTACAGGAGGGTCCGCCGGCAGTGGTGCGGGTGGGCGGGAAGCTGCAGCGAAGACAGGCTGGCGCCGAAAGAGGCGCTGAGCGTCTTTCTTGGGCCGTGGTGGCAGCGGGTGTTCCCACTGAAGAAAACCTGGCAGCGCCCAAAACGGCGTCCACTCAGCCCACTCTTCCCACTGTAGAAATGCACCCTGGTCTTAACAACGGGCGTGCTGGTGGAGCCACATGGAAGCGGGCACACTATGTCGCAGCATCGGTAGGTACCGCACTGTACATGAACAGGGCAGCAGCCAAGCAAAAGCAAACCATGCACGGACGGCAGAGAAGAGAAGCACTCCGATGGAGACAGGGCCTAATCCAATTGACAGGAGAAACATTGGAAAGCCTATGGCACACACCCCCTGGAGCCACAGGACGCACACACTTTAGCCCCAGCAGATGTCTGGCGACTGCCCTCCAGCCATTCAGCGGGCATGTGTGCACAGCGAGAGCCCGCCTGCTAACGTCATCACTTCCAGTGCGCGCGCCAGCCAATACGCTCATTGCACACGCTCTGGATCCCTGCCCAAATTCCACCCCAGTCTAGCCCAAGTCGTTTTCTCGTATCGCGCGCTGTCACCCTTTGCTTCGCCCTTTATTTACGAGGTCATGGGAATTTAGAGTTGTAATTTTACTACGGGTTAGCTAATTTTGGCCAGCTGCCGGCCACTGTCCGCGAAACTATCGGCAGTGCCACACCAGCTGCACTGCACTGCACCATCGCTACTGGAAACCTGCGCCGTCTGCCAGCTGCGCCAGTTGGCGACTGGCTGGGCGGTGGAGAAGCAAGCACTGCACAAAAGATGGTGTGGCGAGACAAACCAAGGAACCAGAACCCAGCGACTGCAAACCAATCGCCGACGAATGAGAGACTCTGGACGCCGCCTCCATTGAGACGACTTGTGATTTGTGACAAATGGGCCGCCTTCACTATGTCTGCCATAAATGCCACTGTGCACTGTACAGTCCCTACCTGAAGTCTTAGACTCTTCTCGCCCCCCTCCCCTAACATTAATGCAACAGGCAAGGATCACAGCAAACATCGACTGATCCAACATGCCTTAGTTTCCAGTTCGGCTAGGTCCCCTCGTGTTCTGCGAGACGCCGCCTATATGCGGGGCCTGTTTCTATGGGCTTTTGTTTCCGCAGAGGCGCAGGAGCGTATGCATTTTTCAAAGTTATGCCAAACAACCGTCGATCCTTTCGACGCCATGACGTCCGTCGGCCACCAGAGGCTATTGTGAGCCCATGGGAAGCTTGAGCCACGCCACACAAGCCAGGATGTCGCCCGCGACCAGTTGCTGCCCCCCTCCCTCCTCTCCCCCAAATCTGCAGGCTCCAAGCCCAAGCCTTGATGGCACACTGCCGGCCAAGCTGCCTGTTCGAACTGGTAGCAGGGCCGCGGACTCTGGTCTCATCGCGCGCGGGTGCCCTTGAAATCAAAACAAAGCAATTAAACGGTCCAGTCGCATTCAATATCTTTTGCTGGGGCAAGCTAAAGTGAAACTTACAATCCTCCCTCGTCCCGAGCCGGCGGGATCGGCAGGCCCTAAACTTTCGGTCCAGTCCAGACCTCACAAGGCGCCGCAGGTACAGATTGCTCTCGACCAGTCCGACGAGAATACCCCGCAGTTACTACATCGAGACAATCTGAGCTGTCGGTGTTCTCAAGATGTATGTCTGGTGCGAAGCAAGGTGACAGTTGTCCAAAGTGAATAAAAATGGTGAATTGTGAATCGGGGACAGTATTATCTAAATGCTGGTAAGGCGGCGCGCGCTGCAAAATGAGCGGCCTTCTAATGCCGTTCCGTTCGCTCTAGTGGATCCAGCGGCGCGAGTCTAGTCTATAACGAAATCTTGATCTCTAGTCTAGTGGCCTTCTAATTTGTCCTTTGAAGAATCGGTGGATTCACTTAAAGTTGAGGCCTCACTTAAGGCGACGCTCAACATTCTTTCGCTTGTTGACAAAGTCGGGATAGAAGAGCGTAAGCTCAACACCGCCGCTTACAACAGCGTCCACTGCTTCAACACCCAGCATAAAACTGTTTGAAAGGTTAGCATTGTGGTTCTATGATGGAAACAGGAAGCAGCATCGTAGCTTACCTATGATCCTGGTTGCCGACTTCATACTTCCAAGAACCGAATCTACCACGTGATAGAATGTCTTTGCCCCTGAGGTACGGCTCAATCTCGTTCAGAGCACCATCGCGCTCCAAGCTGGGTGTAGGATAACCATGGTCGAAACGGCGAACATATGTGCTAACAATCTCGTCATCCTCATCCAGGAGGTCGGTGGCAATCATGGCCTTCATGCAATCCTGGAGAATCGTTTCATGGTTGACTGGCTTGAAGGACGACTCTGACACTTCTAGCATGATAGACCAGTACGGACCAGGCTGAGGGTCTTTGGACGCAGCTGGCTGTCCATTTGCGAGAAACTTTGTGGGCAGCTTAACATCAGCTGAGGGCTGGTTGAAAGGCGAGTAGTTGGAGAAGATGGTGGCGCGGTAAAACGGGCAATCATCCTGTACAAAGTAGAGCTGCGAGATATTAGTAGGCTTTATCAAGTCGAGATGACAAACGTACCCAGCATTTATCACCAATCCTCTGAGGTCGAGCACCACGGATACCAAACCCAACAACATTGGTGCTGGAGTAGAACAGCGGCTTGCACATCTTTTCAAGCGTGCTGTCATCTGCAACCTTGGCGAACTGGTCAACGGCCATGGTTGAAATCAGAGTTTCGTACTGGATCTCCGATCCTGCTCTAGTCAGCCCATGTTCGACGAATACTCAGAACACACACATACCGTCTTGAAGCTTGGCGATTTTCTTATCCGTGTCAATCTTCACCACAGCACTACCGGGGCCGTAAAGCTGCTTCTCTTTGGGGAGAGTCTTGGATACGGCCTTCCAGATGCCGCCAGTTCCATCGCGAGCTGGGAACTTGAACGTCGCATTGGGACCCCAGTTGCCTGCAATCTTGTTGAGAATGGCATTGCGAGTAAGCAACTTGACATCAGGAGCAGCAACTCGCTCTCCAAGCCAAGTCGCATTCATCTATACAGTTCAGTAAATGGGCCATTCACCAAGAATTCGGTTACATACCATCGTAGTAGGCACCGCCCAGACTTTGAAGTTGTAGGGACGCATGAAGATCTCCGTCAGGCGTATGCCGACATTGCGCAGATTCCACTCGTCAAAGTTCTTGGGTTTGTCCGCGGGAGAACGAGCGCGAGCCTCTAGAGCAGCGTCGAGCAGACTTTCGAGGCAGCGGGCCTGCTCCTCCTTGGAGAGCGCTGCAATGTTGTTCTGGAAGGGATATGGAACCCACTTCTCGTCAAAGCGAACATACGAGATGCGCTGGTGCTCATACCAATCATCTTTTTCGGGAAGGGCTTCGTGGATGACGTCGTCAAAGTACAAGTAGTGGGAGAAAATGACGTGTCCACCGACATCATACAACTGGCGATGGTTAGTCGGGCTTAACAACTGACAATCAATCAACTTACAAAGCCCTCGGGTGTGGTGTCGGTAGAAGCAAGGCCTCCAGGAGTGTCATTTGAGTCGACAATGACCCACGACTTGGAGTTCTAAAGACATTTAGCATTATAACGGTGCGTTTTGGTCAGTAGAGCAAAGAGACTTACTAGTTGGTTGAGTCTCTTAGCGGCACCGAGGCCGGTTGGCCCAGCGCCAATTACCAAGACATCGACGTTCCTTTAGACCGTTAGAAGTGGTTCCAATTAGTCAATTCAGTATACGTACTTTGTTTTGGACATTTCAAAACTATCTACAGATATACAGTGTAGAATAACAGCGCTATTGGTTGTCAGGAGAATGGTTGGCCGACCACAGCCTTGTTTGTTGGACCCCTCACAGCCTTTATAGGAGGGGCTTACGAAGCCTCCTAACACATCATACATGCTCGGCGCTGGGAAGAGGTCCCTTTATTTCTCTACTTAGATACAGTTTTTGAATTTGTGACCATCTTTAATATCTATTTCATGCGGTCTAGGTATCTCCGTTGGTGGCTGCGAACTATTGAGCCTCCCACAATCCCACGTGCTTGGACCCAACCCGGAAACCCTCTGCAAGCTATCCATATCCATAACGCCCTCTTAAAACACGACAGTATTTTGTCAAATAAATCATTCTTTAATTTGCTCTTAACTACTATCATGCATAGCTGTCTCTAGGCTCCTACCTTCTTTTTGGTTAAAAGTGGCGGATGCTGCTTTGGCCTTTCTGTTCAACTCTTTAACATCGTCGGTGGACTTGAAGAACGGCCCCAACTCTGATGCCTTGCTTATGATCGCAAGTGAATTGTTCTTCCACGCTAAACACTGTAGCGTGCGTTCTGCCAGAGACGAGTGCTTCACGGTGATGATGAAGAAAACTGTGCCTCCAGTAATAAGAGTAACATGGAGAGCTATCCAGCCCCATTGAACAGAGTATATCGGCTTATACAAGCCAATATATCCACTAGTATTTCTAGGCCCATACAATTGAGTGGCACCGCCGCGAGCACCGTCATTTCTTATGGCGTTGGTCATACTCTTTGCAAGCAAAGCAAAGTTGGTTTCCAAGATTGGCTTTTTATTGTTCCAGAGCCCGGCCCCTTTTGATGGAAGGCTGTCGGTTGCATAGAAGGCAATGTTTGCTTTACCTTGGGGTATATCAGATGACTTGAGTGCCAAGGTGATACCCTCGCCATTGCGAACAGTGCTGACGTTGGCATCACTTCGGAATGTTTGTTGAAAATAACCGCTAATGCTGGCCACGGAGAGATCTTCGATAGAGAGGATAATAGAAGTATTCTTTGGAGATTTCAGTTGGAGATAGCTTCGCCGAATGTTTGAAACCACGGGGTCGAATTCTAAACTTTGAAGCTCTGCTTCACTTAGGATGCCCTCCTGGGATACGTATTTAGGTCTAAACGAAGCAGGGTCGCGTGCAAAGTCTGTCTGCTCAGTATATGATTCCTCCATGGTGGTATTGACCATGGTAGAAACTATGTCTTTGGCGCAGTAGTACAGAGCGCACTCATTTGCAACGATGGGAAGGTTTGGCCAGGTTTCCAACGGGTGGTAGGATTCAGTTGAAATATTGCGGCTCAAGTTGACGTGGACCGCTGTCATGGCCCAGATGAGCGTTTTTATATCCCCCATAGCTACCGTTTGGCTGGCATTACCGGTCCCGAAGCCCATCATCGACGTGGCAGCGCCGCTACCACTACCTCCAGGCAGCAATAGATTCGGGGGATGAAGACTGAGATTATTTTCTGAGTTGGCCAAATACGCTCCGTTGGGAAGCATGTATGCTGAATAGTTATACATGTTGTCTAGACGTGCCCAGTTATCGTATCTCTTGAGCTGAGACGTGAGGTTTGTGCACCTGTGGCAAACCCCCAAGGTGGTAAATTTGTTCCACTTACAGTTTCCACTAGGGCACGAAACTTGCAAGCGGCGTTGGATTAAGCTTGGGTCGCTAAAGAGGCTGTCAAGAATGGCAGTCTCCATCTCAATATCCACCAACGGGGAGATTTTGTAGAAAGGTTTTTCAATTCCAGGCAGCTTTGCGGTTTGGTTGGTAAACGTCCAAGTACCCGCTGTATACGCCCGACCGTAAGCGTTTTCTATGCTTTCATGTGGTGTCTCGAAGACCAGAAGTGTGATAGATTGGAGTAGTTGCTGAGAGAATGGGTCGATCGCCACGGCAAAGAGCATCACGAATGCGCCGAGTCTAGCAATGTTCCTGAGGTGATGTGGTTTAGCGAAATGATTAGGCAAAGGTTCCAAGAGGCACTTACGACATCGGTCGGCGGAGCATAACTGAAAAAGCCCCCCATGCGCCGCGGCTTGCCAGATCAATCTTTTCAAAATCGAGCATGATTCGCTTCTCTCTGCTAAACAGAATCCATTTCCATTGGCCTAAGCATGATCCAACGACGGATGAGAGACACGCCTTAAGTACAACGGACAGTACAGCGATGACGGCGTTGAGCGTCACACTGTGCCATTGGAATACTGGTTGCCCGTCGTACACTTTGAGAAGTGCAATCATGGCAATAAGGGCTGCAATGGAGAGCACGATGAAGAATGCTTCCGTGACCCACGGCCAGCCATTCTCGAAGGCCGACCGGCTCCAGTTGCCGTCCCGGAATCGCATTCTTTCAGTCATTATTAAGTCGTTGCGAAAGTTATGAGAAGGGATGGCTAGAGCATGTGTACGTCAGGCTGCCCCTTGAAAGATATACCTACTGATCGGCAGTCAGCTTGTCATTACACAGCCTTGCGCAACCGTCCATTTTCAGCTTGCATCAAACTTGGAATTAGGAATACCAAGTCACATGGTACCTCAATTTATAAACTAAAAAAACTCACTAACGATTCATCTATTAAAGCGAGAGTGTATACCAACATGCGAAACAACTGTGATCGTCTATACTGCATACTGCAGAGTACACACTAGGTGTGTGTTGTGGCTGGGATCTTGGGCATCCCAAGTCGGATCTCCCTAAATATACCTAAAGAAGAAGAATTTGGGTCAGTATTTATAAAACATTATACTTAACCCCGGATTATAGGCAAAAACGACCGGCCACTTATAGGTAATGCGGCTCTGTCCCCCAGAAAGGCTGCGGAGAGCCTTGTTACCGAATTAGTCACGCTGAGAATAGAATGTGGTAGAATTGTAATTAAAGACATTCACGATGAGTGTCCAGAAAGTTTTCGGGTGAGTGTCAAGACTGTCGTCGTCTTTGACAGCGACACCGGCATTTCTCAGTCACGCCGGCTTAGATCCTAAGGGCGCCCGGCCTTGCTAAGCCGATCGCGGCAAATGCCCCGCCGTTGCATATTTACCCCAGGTCAGCCCCTCCTCCACTTGACAACGTCCGTCTTCGATTAAGACTCAATTGTGAATAATTGTTGCATATTACACCGCTTGTCAAAATGCCAAACAATATCGTTGTCGTCGGGTAAGTCTTTATCTCTTTTGCAAATAGAGCAGTCGCTAACCCATCTAGTGCCGGCGTGAGCGGCCTTACGTGCGCCATGCTGCTAGCACGAGACAAAGCAAACACTGTGACGATAGTTGCAAAACATATGCCGGGAGACTATGATATCGAATACGCATCGCCATTTGCCGGTGCAAACGTGCTTCCGTAAGACTCCCACACCTAGACCAGCGTTAGCGCGTCCTAACTTGAAGTAGCATGTCCGAGAGAGATGGCAGCCGATGGGAACGCCGAACATGGCCAGAATTGAAACGCATTTGCGAGGAGCTTCCTGAAGCCGGTATTCATTTCCAAAGTATGAAAGCATCCATCTTTTCCACATGCTTGTACTAACCAGAAAAATAGAGGCTATAGCGTACCGCCGCGAACGCGACCTTGATCCCGCTCACAATGCACTGCCCATGGATCCTCTCTTTCTTCATGACCCATGGTACCAAGAGCTGCTACCCAACTTCCGTGAACTCAACACCGACGAGGTCCCGGCCGGCTATGACTCTGGTTGCACCTTTGACAGTCTCTGCATCAATGTGACAACTTACCTCCAGTGGCTGCTTGGTCAGTGTCTGAAGAACGGCGTCGTTGTCAAGCGGGGCATCATCTCGCACATTAAGGAGGCCAAGAACCTCAGCCACACTGGCTTACCCGCCGACATGGTCATTAACACAACGGGTCTCGGTTCATTGAAGCTCGGTGGCGTGGAGGACAAGACAATGGCTCCATACCGTGGGCAGACGGTGCTCGTACGCAACGAGTGCACTCCGATGTACGTCACATCTGGTACTGATGACGAGCCTGCCGATTTGTTTTACCTTATGCAGCGAGCCGGTGGTGGTGGAACCATCCTTGGCGGAACATACGATAAGAACAACTGGGAGTCGGTGCCAGATCCCAACGTTGCCAACCGCATCATGGAGCGTGTCGTCAAGCTTTGCCCGCAAATTGCTGACGGAAAAGGCGTGTCGGGATTGAGCGTGATTCGACATGCTGTCGGTCTGCGCCCATACCGCGAAGGTGGTGTGAGAATTGAGAGGGAGACCCTAGATGGCGTCGAGGTTATTCACAACTACGGCCACGCCGGATGGGGATACCAGGGCTCTTACGGCGCTGCAGAGAGAGTCATTGAGCTTGTGAACGAGGTTCGTGTTGCCAAGGGCGAAGATCTAAGCGGGCAAGCAAGGTTGTTTGTCTGGGACGATGGAAGCAACCCTGCCTACAACCTGTAAGGTAGACTATTCTGTACATCGACTTTAGACAATCGCGCTTCTGTCGCGAACGCGTGCTCTTGGCTAGTCTTTTGCCAGCTGGCGGCCAGCTGGTGCAGCCGTCGCGCGTCCGCGACATACGTAAATACACGCATATATTAAAATGCCAGGACCTCGATGGTAGAAACCTGTAACTAAATGACAGTCACTACAATGTCTTTATATCTTAAGAGCCCCAGCTACCAAAAGTACAAAGAATTCTCGAAACGGCCCCCTGGTCTACCGCCGTATGCTCACACTCAGCGAAACCAAGTGATACTTTGCGTTGGTGAGCCAAGGTGTCGATACGAGATTTCGGCAGGCCAGTACTGTCCTGCAGAGAAATTCTCATCCTACCCGGCGTTGAAACGCCATATTCGCACCCATGGACTTGAAGTCGCAAAAGGCAAGCGTGGGACTTATTGTCCATCCGCCAGATGGCGTTGATTCTCTGGTATAATCAGCTCATTGAGGTACTGTGTAAGCTATAGCCTGACAGTAGGAAAATGTATTTACAAATAAATAGCACTATGAAATATCAACTTTCCTGTACTCAGAGAATACAGACGTAGAAACAAAGGTATGACGCTCTATTGATTTATCGGCGGCAGAATGTTAATCGACATAGGGTAAAGCAGACGCCCGTGAACAGCAGGGGGATACAGACAAATAACTGACAACTTAATTTCTCTCTTTTTCCTTCTTACACCGTGTATTTGCATATTCTATTATGAATTCATAAATTTCTCAAATAAAGATATCATCCCTGTGTTCCTTTCTCCTCTGTTCGTCAGTCGCGCACAACGTATAAGTGAAGTGCCCCAGCCTTGCGGACCTGGAAAAGCGGGCCACAACCACCCCTTTTGGGCGACATCTCTTCAACGGCCACAACTCAACCTGCTCAGCAACTTCCAACAAACGGCATCTTAGCAAACACCAACGCTACACCGTCGCAATGGCGCAGTCAGTCGTTAGTCGGGCATACAGCTATGTCCTCGACATTCTCACCGGGCGCCACCCGCTGTCCTTCCTCCTGCCCATTGGCCTGTGGCTCATGGACGCGGTGCTAACGTGCATGGTTATCTGGAAAGTTCCATGTACGCGCAACCCCCCTTCTGCCGTGCTCTTATCTTATATCTAACTTGTTCCTTGTAGATACCGAAATCGATTGGGTCGCTTATATGCAGCAAGTTGCCCAATTCGTAGGCGGCGAGCGTGACTACACCAAGATCAAAGGCGACACCGGACCCCTCGTGTATCCCGCGGCACACGTCTACACATATACTGGCCTATACTATGCTACCGACAAGGGCGCGGATATCCTCTTTGCGCAGCAAATCTTTGCCGCCATCTACATGCTGACGCTGACAGTGGTGATGCTGTGCTACTGGAAGGCCAAGGTGCCGCCATATGTGTTCCCGTTGCTTGTCATCTCCAAGCGTCTGCATAGCATCTACGTGCTGCGTTGCTTCAACGATGGCATCGCTGCGCTCTTTTTCTGGATTGCCATCTTCTTCTTCCAGCGCAAGCAGTGGTCTATTGGCGCCCTAGCCTACTCGTGGGGCCTCGGAATCAAGATGTCCCTGTTGCTCGTTCTGCCTGCCGTCGGCATCGTCCTGTTCTTGGGACGTGGATTCAATGGCTCTCTACGACTCGCGTGGCTCATGGTCCAGCTGCAGCTCATCATCTCTCTCCCCTTTATCGGCGAGAATTGGCGTGGCTACTTGGCCCGGGCCTTTGAGCTCTCGCGCCAATTCAAGTATGAGTGGACGGTCAACTGGCGCATGTTGAGTGAGGAGACGTTTCTTAGCAAGGATTTTGCAGTGGCATTGCTCGGTGCGCATGCTACGGTTCTATTCATTTTTATCGTCGCTAGGTGGCTACCGCCCTCAGGATACTCCCTTGGAGCGCTTCTCCCCGCCTTCCTCCGTGGCAAGTCGCCCCTCACCGAACAGGAAGAGCTGGCTGTGTCTCGCAAGGTGACGCCCGAGTTTGTCATGACAACTATTCTCTCAGCAAACCTAGTAGGCTTGCTCTTTGCCCGCTCCCTGCACTACCAATTCTACGCATATCTGGCGTGGACTACGCCGTACCTCCTCTGGCGCGCCTCCTCCAACCCAGTTGTCGCGTTCCCTTTGTGGTTTATCCAAGAGTGGGCTTGGAACGTGTTTCCCAGTACGGATATCAGCTCAACGGCCGCAGTCAATGTCATGGCCGTGACATTGGTACTGGTGTATTTCGGTACGGCAGACGCAGAGCCATCAAAGGAAGAGGTTGCGGCCAAGGAGGCCAAGGAAAAGTAACCCTGGAAACCGGGTCGTAGGTTCTCTATAATACAAAAGGATTTTGTTTTCGTCTCGTCCTGTTTATTCGTCTTCTGAGTCGCTCGGAGGCATCTTGCCCACAGTGGATTCCTCTTCGCTGTCGCTCACATCGTAGGCTGCCTTGCCAAACTCTTTTGGCCAGTACGGCATCTTACGCCACTCCTTCTCGCCGCGAACGACATTGATGATCTCGCCCGCTGCTCGCATTTCGGTGCCGTCGGCCTCGTATCGCTGTGCAAGCACAAAGCCCCCGCGCTTAATCCAGATAGTGTTACGGAAGCGGTCGGCCAGCTCAAGCAAGAGGGTCTTCTTGTTGGGCAGCTCACAGGTGAAGAGGTTGTTGCCTTCTGGCTTGATGACGCGCGCGAGCGACTGTGTCGGTGTAAGAGAGTCGGGTGGCGAGATGGTCTCGTCGGCCGCAGCAAGAACGTGTCGTCTACCCATGGTTGGCGGTTTGTGGCGGTATTTGTTGTATTTGGAGGGGGAAGCTGGGCAAGGCTAAAAGAAAAAAGTCGGGCACGGAGAAAAATAATGTGTGCGGGCTGCAGCGCCGGGTTGAAGTAGCGGGGCAAATCAATCGGTGGCCGCCCGCTAACAGCCCGCCTGCCGCCTGGGGCATGTGGGATTCTTCCCTCATGAAGCATCATAACCATGGACCGCGTCTTTTCGTTTCCACGCGACGACTTTGAAAAGGGCGTGGTGGTTGGCATTTTTACTACATTGGTGGTAATTATTGCCGCGTCTGTGGTTCCCGCAGTGCGCAGCCACGATGTGTACTCGCTGGTGCACTGGAAGCTACATGTGCGGTCACCGCTGCAGCCACTGTGGATGAACATTGGCTACTGGTAAGTCGTTTTTTGTTTCTAGTCACATGGCATTCTGCTCATAACCTCAGGACCAAGGAAGCAGGACGTCGAGCTGAGACTCTTGAAGACGCATGCATGGCATTGCTGCGGGAGGTCTTAACTACCGCGTCTCTATACCCATGTCAGTCGACAGACGATATTTCCATCTTGGATGTGGGATTTGGTTGTGGCGATCAAACATGGGAGCTAGCCCGGTGTCTAAACGCCGGCAAACGAAGCATGTTTCGATATGTTGGTATTACCGATAACCCCAAGCAAGTAGCCTTTGCTCAAAGGCGCTTGGAGACCGAGCTCGCCGCGACAACTTGGCAATCGAGGTGTTTGTTTAAACTATTTCGCAATGATGCCGCCCAGCCAGAAGGTTGGAATGAAGAGCTCTGTGGCGAATTGAATGGTTTCACTACATCAAATGAGTCCTGGTTGCTCGGTCTCGACTGCCTCTACCACTTTTCGCCGTCGCGCGAGCCATTATTCCAGTATGCAGCCCGCAACATGCACGCCAACTTGATGGCGTTTGATTTGCTCTTACGCGAAAACGCATCATTTGTTTCTCGGGCTATTGTATGGTGTATATGCAAGCTAATAGGCTGTCCTACACGCACCTTCTTAACGAAACAACAGTACGCTGCCCAGCTTGAGGCTGCCGGCTACACAAAGGAGACTATAATCCTGCGTGACATTTCATCGGACGTGTTCCCAGGGTTCGTGGCGTTTATGGATGCCCAAGAACAAGTACTGGCCGAGTACGGCATCAAGCTTGGAGCATTAAAGGTGGCCAAGCGAATCTTTGGGTGGTTTGGCACATCGGGTGCTATCCGGGCGGTGATTGTTGTGGCTCGCATTCCGGACAAATAAACAGATCTGACAACAAATATAACATAAAATACATTCTCTTCTACCAAATTTTCTTATTACTTACTTTTTCTCGCTTTTTGGTAGGTATATGGGCGCATCTCTTGTTCTAATATATGGTCTTGTTACCCCATCGGAGCTACCCAATCAAGTAAGAGGCCCGCGAACGCCTTGCGCGCGCCCAACTACACCGAACCCGGTGGTCTCTGCTGCCCTTACAAATCAGAATTATTTTTCATCAGTGCTAACACGAGGCTTCTGCACAGCCCACTGAGTCGACAGGCGATCCAGAATCGTAAAACTGGAGAAAACAGCACATCGTCAAAATGCTAATGGGGGTCCGATGACGGTCAACAGCCCGATTTGTAGTTTGTGGAGAAGTGCCCATCCATACGCAGAATTTTGGTATTTATCCAACTCTTCTTCTTCTTCTTCTTCTTTCATCTCCTTTCTCATACTCGCTGTTGTTTTATTCTCTGCAGAATAATTTGGACCGTGTACTATCTGTCCCAGGGCGGTCTTCTCTCCGCGGTATCCAATACAACCCTCCAAAATGGATCCAGTGCTGTTTAAGAACCTCGTCAAGGTGCAGTCTGCACCAGCGCGGCGGACGTCGACAGACTCGTTTGCGCCTCTCACACCGGCCCAGACTTCGCCTGAAGCCCAGAAGCGCGATGCTATCGAGTTGCAGGCGGTTGCGCAGGGCTTGCCGCTCGGCACTATCCCAGCATCTGCCGTACCTGTGCCTGTACCTGCACAGGCAGTCGATACGCCAGACTTGGAAATGAGCCGTCCTGCATCTCCAACTGACCTGGCTCGGGTGATTCCGAGTCTGTCTAATCCGTCCAAGAATTGGTACAGACTGGCATCTGCGTGTCTGTGTAACTTTACAAATGCGCTGAGTGACGGCGCCGCCGGTGCTCTTATCCCATACATGGAAGAGTATGTCGCATTCTTTTCCTTCTTGTTATAATTCAACATATTTTCTTGTTTAATAAACTATATACACTGTTTCAACATAATAACTCATTACCAGATACTATAAAATCACATATGGCGTCGTGGCCCTCATCTTCGTCGGCCAAGCTGTCGGCTTCCTCGTCAGCGCCGCTCTCATCGATACACTCCTCAATCGCCTAGGTCGAGCCCGGCTCCTCGCACTTAGCCAAGTTTGCTTTGTAACAGGCTTTCTCCCAGCTGTATGTACGGCGCCGTTTCCTCTCGTGGCCATTGGCTTCTCGCTAGTCGGCTTCGCCATTGGTGTCAACGTTGGAATTGCCAACATCTTTGGTGGCAGCCTGCAAAACGGGACCTTTATTCTCGGCCTTGTCCATGGTTGCTATGGCGTTGGAGGAACAACTGGCCCGCTCATTGCGACAGCCATGGTCACAGTGGCCCAAACGCTTTGGAGCAGATACTATCTGTTGACAGTAGGTATTGGCGCCATTACAATTGGATTGTCAACTTGGTCGTTTTGGGGATATGAAAAGGAGCCGCTACATCAAATGCCAGGCCCGGTGGACGGACAAGGCGGTTCCGCGATTCACAAGATGCTGGCAACACTGCGGTTGAAGGTAGTGTTGCTTGGTTCACTCTTTATCTTTGCATATCAGGGTGCCGAGGTGTCCATCTCGGGCTGGGTCATCTCATTCTTGATTAACGCAAGAGGAGGTGATCCTGGTTCGGTCGGTTATGTTACTGCTGGCTTCTGGGCCGGCATCACTATTGGTCGCTTTGTGTTGTCGGGGCCAGCGCAAAGAATTGGCGAAAAGAAGTTTGTGTACGGCTTGACCATTGGAGCGGCCGCTTTTCAGCTCCTGGTCTGGTTTGTGCCCAATATCGTTGGTGAAGCTGTGGCCGTGTCCATCGTTGGATTACTACTCGGACCGGTCTATCCTTGTGCTGCAGCTGTCTTCATGAAAAGGATGAGTAGGCGAGAGGCACTTCGCGGAATGGGCACTATCAGCGCCTTTGGAAGCATGGGTGGTGCTGTCGCCCCTTTCATCACAGGTTTGTTGGCGCAAGTCGCCGGAACCTTTGTCCTGCATCCCATTGCCATCTTTCTCTTTTGTGTTATGCTTGTCTGCTGGTACTGTATTCCTGACGAAGAGAGAAAGGACGAATAAAGTGAAGGAGATGTTGAATTTGGTAGTTAACCATGCCGTCTATGGCGTCTAATTCTATATACAGTTACTATGAAATTCAAAAAGAAAATGTGCCCTTTTAAGTCTCTAAATATATGTTTGGTTGGTCCATAGTCTCATAAGTCATCTAAATGCGGCCCTTAGCGGCGGCCTCGACAGTCGTCTTGCCAGCAGCGATATCCTTGCAAGTTTGGGTGATGCTAGTCCAGTCGCGGAATGTGACAAATGGAATCTTTTCCGTCTCGCAGTAGTCAACTAGGTCCTTTCCGGCCTTGGCAAATAGTAGGTCGGTTTCTCTGGCAGCAGAGAGATCTGATACTCCGTCGCCAGCATAGAACATAGTAGGACGGTTGGGAAGCGACGAGTATTTGCGAATTTCGATAGACTTGTCGTGTCCGTGGATACTGTCGTCGTGGAAAGTGATTCTCCAGCCGCCCTTTTCGTTAATGCTCTTGCCATCACGGGCAGCGACGTCGTTGCTGACAATCTGAATGTTCCATCCAGGGCCGAGCAGGACATCGAGCAAGGCGCGGATAATGGGCTGCATGCCACCGCTAAGGATGACGATGGGGACGTTGTTGGCCTGGGCCCAATCGTAGAACTCCTTAAAGCCGGGGTCTAGGTTGACGCTTTCACGCAGAACCTGGATGCACTGGTCGTATGGCATGTCAATGCTGTCCATCATCTCCTCAAAGGACTCGCGGAAGTTAACTTTGCCCGTCAAGACATCGTGGTTGCCGGCAGCGCGCTTCTCACGTCCAAAGCCGTAGTTGTCAGTCATGTAGTCGTTGGAGTCGGCCGTGGTGATGGTGCCGTCAAAGTCGGTAAAGAAGATGAACTTTGGGTCGGTGGCCATGGCCGGTGTTTCGGAAGCAGTTACAGAACCCATGATGAGAAGCAATGTGTTATGCGGCTATGTGGCGGCGAGTATCGAATCGAAGATTTGATTCAATATTTTGTTGATGGAGGGGTATGGAGGGGCTAAAAGGGAAGCCCGAAAAAAGGAAAAAGATTGGCTTCTGGGCGGGATGACCTCATTACACAGGTACCAGTTTCCACAATTGATAACGACGCAGCCACTACAACAGCGCCTGTAGGCCGGTTCGCTATAGCGGCGCTACAGTGGCACGTTGACAACGATTGGCGCTGTAGGGCCCGCTTGAAGGTGGGCGCCCGATTCCACTAGCCTGGCGTGCCGTCGTGTGCCGACACCGGCTTAACAGCTGGACGGCTCAAAGCTGTGGACCCCTAGCAGCAAATGCTGGGGGCATGAAATTCCACTCAACAGCCACTGACTCTGGTTCCATCACCGCCAGCAAACGCAATTGAGGGACGTTGGCTGCTGCAAAGGGGCCAATTTCATACGGCCTTGACAATGCAGCACTTTGTACGGCCAGCATCCCGGGTCGTCCGCGGCCATACAGCCAGGCTGGGCCTGGAACGAGGGTCTTTCTTAACGCGGTCAACATCATCGCCAACCCCGATACACGCACTCTATAGCTCAAAAACATACATATCCGCACGAAATTACTCCTCTCAATCTCCTCCAAATCCCAATGATACCACAACGACACCATCCGAGGCCAATACGTCGACCCCAGCAGACACCAAATCAGCCGTGTCGACGGGCAAGCTTCCCTCAACCATGGAGAAGCAGCGCAGCGCCATCAATCGGAAATTCAGCAGTGTCATGGACAATGTCCAAGCCCGCGTGCTAACCGCTTCGCAAACGCTCAACGATATCACGGGATACACATCGATCGATGCCATCAAAGCCGAAAATGAAGGCCTGGAAAAGGCCCTAGCCGACGCCCAAGAGCGTGTCCGGGTTGCCCGGCAAACTTACAAGTCCTCCAACTCCAAACGAGCGGCCACTCAGCGCGAGGTCACCACACTACTAGCCCGTAAAGATACCTGGTCACCCGTTGATCTTGAGCGTTTCACCGAGCTCTACCGCACCGACCACGTGCTTGAGGGCGAGGTGGTTGCAGCGCAGGAGAACCTGACCGAATCGGAGGCCGATGAGCAAAGCCTCAATCAGCGTCTCAACGCAGGCATCTTGAAGCGATACCATGAAGAGCAGATCTGGAGTGACCGGATTCGCCGCGCAAGTACATGGGGCACGTGGGGCCTCATGGGCATGAACTTTGTGCTCTTTGTGATCCTGCAGTTCTTTGCCGAGCCTTGGAGACGAAGAAGACTGGTCAAGGGCGTGGTTGAGCAGGAGAAGCAGGTCCTGGCGGGTGTCCGTGGCGATATGGAGGCCCTCAAGACCCGGCTGGAGGAGAAGCTCGACAGCCTGGCAGCACTGTCGGCCAAGACCGAGCAGGCTGTGCCAGGCGACGCGGAAGCTGTGAGAGCCACAACAACATGGCAACAGTGGCTGCGTGATCCAAAACTGTGGCAAGAGACTGCTACGGATCTTTGCAGCGAACGTAAAGTGAATATGACGATGCGGGATGCGTCAGTCCTGGCTGCGGAGGGAGCCGCCGCGGGTGCGGCGCTAACAGCAGCAATTGTGCTGTTAGTTTTGCGGTCATGATGGAGGGAGGCCGCCTGTTTATAAATGTATACTATAATGAGACTTATTTACTATGTACTACTACTTTTTTCCCCGTTGTTTTACATTGCATCATCTGCTTTGGGCAGCAAGATTCGCGAGTGACTGCGCCCCTGGATCGCCATGTCCGTGGGAGTGGCGCAAATCAGTCCTCAACAAAGTTGTGCTTGCTGTTGGGAGGGTAATTGGATCACGGTTATAATGCCGTGTTCGTTTTCGGGATATTTAGAGTGTTCAATCTATCATAGTAAAGTTTCTCTGGAAATCGGTTATCGGCTTTAGCGAGGTTGTTTGTTTGCCCATCACGTGGAGTGTTTCTCCATCTGACGGGGAATACGGGCCGATGGTACGTCATAGTTCGTGAAACTAGAGGCCGCCCGTTGCAAAGAGGGGCGGCTTCTCTCGCTGTCGGTATTGGCGGGAAGCTTTGCGAGGGCTTGCGAGCCTTTTGTTGGCTATGGAAACGAGTTTCCATATTGCATCTGGACAAAAGCCGATGTTGGCTGAAGCAGCTGTGTGTGCTACGAGGTGGTGGAGCGGAAGGATTCGGCTGTAGGGAGCGATCTGCAAGTGAGATGCGTTTGGAGGCGCTGCAGACGCAGGCTAGGATTGTTTATCCTATTCGTTGGGGGTGCCGTGAGAATTATTTTTCTGTTTTTTGGTGCGAATACCTACCCTATTAACAACCTTATACGGTGGATTATCTTATCCGTTATTGCATTTTTATCAAAACTCTGATCGAGACAGCTTTGGTTAGCCATGTTGGCTCTTGTATGTTGGCAATTGACGCTTGGGCGTCGCTGGGGAGCGGGATGTTGCACCGCTATACAGCACGGTGATGGAATAGCCGATGACGGCGCATTGTAAATGCCATGTCTTCTGTGTTTTGCATCTACATGACATGTTATGCTATAGTAAATAAGGTGTAAATCCTAACAGAATGTTGATTTCCCCATCCGCTAGCTACTGTTCAGTGGCTGATGTTTACCCTACACAAGGCGTCTGATTCTGCACGCGCAGGCACCAGTCAATGCATGGTACGTCACAGCAGGCGGCCAAAGCACTGGTTGCGGGGCGGCACGATAAAAAAACAAGACACACCAGAAGCGGTGATAGGAAGTTTACAGAGGAAAGAATCAAAGCCCGCACAAAGTGTATATACGAATAAAGATAGTTTAATGCATATTTTATAAATGGATAAAAATGAAAATTATTTTATTCATTTTTAAAATGTCCTCGTGAGCATCCTATTCCTCTGCGCAATACCAACACCTGCTGTTGTCTCATCACAGCCCACCACTACGAGAAACAGAAACCCCGCCCACCACCGCTAGCACGGGCGGGCGGGGGCGAGGGACACGCTCCCTCCACTAAGGCCACTGCGCCCGCGGTCACTAAACACGCCAGCAAGGAAAAAACACAGCCTACGAAATCCGCCCCAGCCCACTGACGACATGCAAAAACGCAGCAGCCCACCTTTTCCCTCCCGCCAGCTGCGCCGCTGCAACCTCTCCTCTTTCTCTGCGCCGCACTAACAAAACCACCACAACACAAGGAGGCGAAAATCACCTGCTTTCTTTCCTTACCGTCTTCCTTTTCTTGCCCGCACGCGACACCGGGCCTGGATTCTGGATTATATTGCCCGTCGTATAATCTGAGCCTCTTTCTCCCCCGCAGACAAAACATCAGAAAGCATATAGTCCGCTGCCTGCCCAGCCGGTCTGTTTTCTCTTTTGCTCTGTCTCGTCTCGCCTAGCCTCCCCTTCCCCTCTTCTCTGCGACACTGCAACCTTGGTTTCTTGCGTCAACCGGTATCCTCTTTTACATTCGAAATCGGCTTCGACATCCTCGGCTCGACAAGAAGAAAGAAGGAATATAATCAAACGTCAAAAGGAATTTCCTCTTTCTCACAAGAGCGACCTTTTTTCTCTTTTTTTTCTTTTGCCCCTCCTGCCCACGTCTAGCGCGAACGTATCGCGCTGCCTTGTTAGTTTGCCATGAATGACGAACAGACCATCGCAACCATCCGCGAAAAGATTAACCGCGAGAATCTTATTATCAATGCCGCCACTACTATGCAGGGCCGCACGGACAACGAAGTCGTGCGGTCCAGGTGCGATTCCCAGATCAGAGACGCCCGCCGCAACCTGCAGTTCTTTGAAGAGAAGCTCCGCGAAATCCAAATGAGAAAGCTTGGCCAAGGCGTTCAGAACATGGGGGTCGGTGACGGCCCTCCTCCACCACCCAAGGACTCCAACGATATGCAGTACAGCGCCATCGGCGGCCACGGTGATATGATGCCCTCAGGTCCCCCTTTCAACCCCCCGCCGCCTGGTCAGCCCGGCTTCACAACAGCAAAGCCAACCTTTACAAAGCTCGGTAAGCCTTACAATTGGTCTAACATAATCCTATGTTAGAACTACCCTGCTAACACACACTGCCAACTCTCACAGACCTGATTAAATATGACACACCGTATCTTGGCCCCCGCATTCAGCTCATGCTCTCCCAGCTGCAGTTCAAGCTCAACGTCGAAGAACAGTATCTGAAGGGTGTCGACAAGATGGTCCAATTGTATGGACTCGAAGGTGACAGAAAGAGCAAGGCGGATGCCGCAGCTAGACATGTTGAGAGCAAGCAAAAGATTCTGCTACTCAAGCAAGCCCTCAAGAGATATGGCGAGCTTCATATTGATATGGATAGCGCAGATGCTACCGATGGTGAGTGCAAGATCGATTTGAAGAAGCTACTACGAAGCTGTACTTTCCTTTTGCTTGTTTGTGTGCTAACCTAATGGGATTTAGACGACTCGATAAACACACCCAACTTGCGAAAGCCTCTCAGCGGTCAGTTAGCTATCCGCATTGTTGCTATCAAGGATGTCGACCATGCCACGACGGGCCGCTTCTCTCGCGGTCCCGAGACATCCGTCTCTATCAAGGTCGAAGACAACGTCATGGGCCGCACCAAGACATCCCGAAACGACCGATGGGAGGGAGAATATCACGCCATCGATGTCGACAAGGCCAACGAGGTCGAGCTTACAGTCTACGATAAGCCCGGAGAACACCCCATGCCCATTGCCATGATCTGGGTTCGCATCTCCGACATTGTCGAAGAAATGCGTCGCAAGAGGATCGAAGCAGAGATGAGCAGCTCTGGATGGGTTTCTGCCGACAGAATGGGCAACAACGGACAGCCCCAGGGTGGCCAATTTGGAGGCATGGGTGGCCAGGGTCAGTATGGCGGTGGTAACGGCGGCTATCCCCAACCGGGAGCCGGCGGTCAGCCTCCATACGGCGCTCCTGGTCCTCAGCCTCAGGTCAATACTGGCCCGATTGACGGCTGGTTCAACCTCGAGCCTGCCGGCCAAATCCAGCTTCAGCTCAGCTTCATCAAGCAGAACAAGGATCGCCGCCAGGTTGATGTTGGTCTCGGCCGCAAAGGCGCTGTTCGCCAGCGCAAGGAGGAGATCCACGAGATGTACGGTCACAAGTTTGTCCAACACCAGTTTTACAACATTATGCGCTGTGCCCTCTGCGGCGAATTCCTCAAGGCTTCAGCCGGTATGCAGTGTGAAGACTGCAAGTACACATGCCACACCAAGTGCTACCCCAGCGTTGTCACCAAGTGTATTTCCAAGAGCCACGGCGAGCAAGATCCCGACGAGGAGACGATCAACCACCGTATCCCACACAGATTCCAAGCCTTCGCCAACGTCACCGCCAACTGGTGCTGCCACTGTGGATATATCCTTCCTTTGGGCAAGAAGAACTGCCGAAAGTGCACAGAATGCTCTCTCACTTGTCACGCCAACTGTTCACACCTGGTACCCGACTTCTGCGGCATGTCTATGCAGGTGGCCTCTACGATTTTGAAGAATCTCAAGGGCATCCAAGGTGGAAGCAAGGTCACCAAGATTGAGGGCAAAACGCTGCGCCCCGGTGCTAGTAACCGCCGCAGCAATGCCACTCCTTCGCAACCCCAGCTTGCACCATCAACTAATGAGGCTGCTGAGGCTGCCCGGGTTATGTATCAGAACCAGCTTCAGCAGCAACAGCAGCAGGATCACCGCATGTCCCAACAATCCCGTCCTGTGCCCGCGCGCGTCCCGTCTGATAATCACAGCCCAACAGCTGCAGCTGCAGCCGCAGCCGCCATGACTGGTCTTTCTGGGCAGCAACAACAGCCGCAGCAGCAGCAGCGACCAAACCAGCCATATGGATACGGTGGTAACTCACAATACCAACAACCACCACAGACCACATATAACCCTAGTGACTATGCTCGCGTCGATAACGCCTACAGCCAGCCTCCACAGCCAGCCCAGCGCCCGGCCCCGGCCCAGGCTCCGACACCGACGTCCGCTGCTCCTCCTACACTCCCGCCAATGTTCCCTCCTGCCAATGCTGGTGCCAGACCTGACCACCAGGCTCCTCCGGCATCCTCGGCCAACGCGATGCCTGTAGCCCGCAAGTCCGATCTTCCGTCGGCAACAGACTCTGGCACAGGCATGCGCATTGGCCTCGACCATTTCAACTTCTTGTCCGTCTTGGGTAAGGGTAACTTTGGCAAGGTCATGCTTGCAGAGACGAAGCGATCAAGAAGACTCTACGCCATTAAGGTTCTGAAGAAGGAGTTCATCATTGAGAATGATGAAGTGGAAAGCATGAAGTCAGAGAAGCGTGTCTTCTTGATTGCCAACCGCGAGAGACATCCTTTCTTGACAAACTTGTCAGCCTGTTTCCAGACCGAGACCCGTGTATACTTTGTTATGGAGTACGTCAGCGGTGGTGATCTGATGCTTCACATTCAACGCGGCCAATTTGGTGCCAAGCGAGCCCAGTAAGTAATTTCCAGTGGCAAAATTGCGTACCGGCTCCCAAAAAAGATGTGTTTTCCAACTAACCGTCCACGCCTAGATTCTACGCCGCCGAAGTGTGCTTGGCCCTCAAATACTTCCACGAGAACGGTGTCGTTTACCGAGACTTGAAGCTTGACAACATCATGCTGACACCCGACGGCCACATCAAGGTTGCTGATTATGGTCTGTGCAAGGAGGAGATGTGGTACGGATCCACGACCGGCACGTTTTGCGGTACGCCCGAGTTTATGGCGCCCGAGATTCTGCTGGACAAGAAGTACGGCCGGGCTGTCGACTGGTGGGCGTTTGGCGTGCTTATCTACCAGATGTTGCTGCAGCAGTCGCCATTCCGTGGTGAGGATGAGGACGAAATCTACGACGCCATTCTGTCCGATGAGCCGCTCTATCCCATCCACATGCCGCGCGACTCGGTATCCATCCTGCAGAAGTTGCTTACGCGCGAGCCCGATCAACGCCTGGGTAGCGGCCCTACTGACGCCCAGGAAATCATGGACGAGCCCTTCTTCCGCACAATCAACTGGGAGGATATCTACTACAAGCGCATTCAGCCTCCCTTCCTACCAACCATTAAGAGTGCTACTGATACTAGCAACTTTGACTCTGAGTTTACGAGTGTTACGCCTGTTCTTACACCCGTTCAGTCTGGTATGTTTTCTTTTTCCTTGCTACTTTTATTCCCGCAAATCAGACACCGTGACTAACACACCCTTCCTTAGTTCTCTCGCAAGCCATGCAGGAAGAGTTCCGCGGCTTCTCCTACACTGCCGACTTCCAATAGCGAGCCTGACATTATCCGAGATTGCGTTTTTCGTTTTGCTTTGTTTCGTTATTTTCCTTTTTGTGTATCCATTGTCCAAATGTAGTCGTTGTTTTTGGACTAGAAAAGCTATCAACTACCCCAATGGTTTGTGTGTGTGTGTGTGTCATGGAGGGCGACCTAGAAAATTATAATGCTGACGGGGGTTCGGGGACGAGTGAGTGAGTGATGAGAAGCATGATTTTATGAAGGGGATGAGGTGCATAATAGCAGAGCGGGTGCAGGGGACGCATACTACATGATGATGAATCTATTATTGAAGTTTTAACCTCGATCTGTTCTGCCACTGAGTGATTGACTATAAAGGATAGAGACCTGTCTCGTGACATACAAGTGTCATTATCGTTTACATACACAATGAGCAATGCTGCACCAGACAGAGTTATTGTATCGTTTGACAATTTTTTTGTTCAATTTGGCTGTTTATATAAATCTACTCTCTCCACCTCTAGGGACTCGTGGAGGCCGTCCACCATAGCGATATGGGATTAGTTGGTGTACTCCTTCTGGAGCAGCTTGGCAATGGTGTTGAGCTGGATGTTGGAAGTGCCTTCGTAGATGGCACCGATCTTGCTATCACGCCAGAACTTCTCGGCAAGACCCTCACGGACAAAGCCCATACCACCCATCCACTCAACAGCGAGGCCGGAAACGCGGCCGGCAACCTGGGAAGCGTAGAGCTTGGCCATGGCGGCGTCACGGACAAAGTCCTCACCAGCCTCCTTCTTGCGGGAGGCGTTGTAGACGAGAGCACGGGCGGCGGCAATCTCAGTGTAGCTCTGGGCAATCTGGTGCTGCATGCCCTGGAACTCACCAACAAGGGAGCCGAACTGCTTGCGGTCGTTCCAGACGTACTTGACGGCGTTCTCGAAGGCGCCGAGGGCAAGACCGGTCATCTGGGCGGCAATACCGATACGACCCTCGTTGAGAAGGGAGATGGCGTACTTGTAGCCGTGGCCGCGCTCGCCGAGCAGGTTCTCCTTGGGGATGACGACGTCGTCAAAGTTGAGGACGCAGGTCGAGGAGGCGCGGATGCCGAGCTTTTTCTCCTTCTTGGCAATGGAGAAGCCGGGGGTGCCCTTCTCGACAACAAAGGCAGTGATGCCCTTGTAGCCCTTGGAGGGGTCGAGGTTGGCAAAGACGATAAAGACCTCGGCCTCCATGGAGTTTGTGATCCACATCTTGCTGCCGGAGATCTTGAAGCCGTCGGCGGTCTCGGTGGCCTTGGTGGCCATGGCGAAGGCGTCGGATCCGGAGACGGGCTCGGACAGGCAGAAGGAGCAGACGGTGTTGGTGGCGAGCTTGGGCAGCCACTTCTTCTTGAGGGCCTCGGAGCCGTACTTGATAAAGGCGGTGTTGCAGAGGGTGTTGTGCACGTCGACCATGACGGAGACGGAGGGGTCGGCGCGGGCCAGCTCCTCAATGCCGATGATGGCAGAGGTGAAGGACATGCCGGCGCCGCCGTACTCCTCGGGGATCTCGATGCTCATGAGGCCCTGCTCAAACAGCTGCTCGACAATGACGGGGTCCATGGCCTCGGCCTCGTCCATCTCGCGCGCGCGGGGGAGCACCACTTCGCTGGCAAACTTGGACACGGCCTCGGCCATGGCCGCCTCCGTCTCGGAAAGGTGAGTGATGGGCGTGGGAGGGATCTCGGAGATGTCTACGGGTGTGGCGGACATGCGGGCTGCGGTGGTGGAGAGAGGGCGGCTGGAGAATGAGTGTTAGCAATTAAAGGGCAGGGAAGCAATGTAATCGTTTTAGGATAGGGAATAAAGCAAACTTACGCAGCGGCGCGGGCGACGGAGACGCCTCCGCGGGCAGCCATGGGAGCGGCAGCGGCAGCTCGGGGAGCAGCAACGCGGGCAGCCGCCATGGCAGGGCGGATTGCTCTGGTGAACCTGGAAGACATGATGGCGTGTGTGTGTATGCGCGGAGAGGACGCGGATTGATGTTCCTGGAGAAAAGGAAAAAGAAGGAAGCCGTGAATGCGGAAGAGAGGAAAAAGAAGAGAAAACGCCGGTTGGAGCGAGTGAGCTTAAGCCGGCGGCAGTGCAACGGGTAGGCCTTGGTGGGGAAAACTAAAGCCGAGCAAAAAGAGAAAGTGTGGAGTTGCCGAGGGATTCTGGGGAATTGGGCGGCCGGGTTTGATGCTGTGTAGGAGCAATTGGGGCGATATAATTGGGTTTTCTGGTGATGAAGATGCTGACGTGGAAGCAACGAAGAAAAAAAAAGTGCGTGTGGCTTTTGGACAAGGGGAAAAGAGGGGGATGCAGCTAGTTGGCACAACAAGATGAGAGAAGGGTAAGGGAAGTTTGGTGGTGAGAGACGGCGAGAGACTTGGCTGATGTCTGTCCACGGTGGTCGTGACAACCACTGGAGTGTACGCTTGGCGGGTGAGTGTAGCACTAGTACAGGGGGGCCAACCGCTGGGAATTGGCATGTGAGATGCACTAAACCCACTGTAAACTCTCAGTGCCAGTGGCCCGCCGTACGCCATGTCTTGAGCAGCAAAAGCAAGGAGCAAATAGTCGCGGAAGTCGGAGCCCCATTTTTTCCGAACGACTTTTCGAGCCAGGAGAAAACACCACGACCACCAAGCAGCGTGGTTCGATCTCCATCGACATTGCCATTATCTACTCCAATTGGGCTGCACAGACGCCCAAACAACAGCAAAAATGGTCGGCTCTATCGTCCGCCACCTCTTCTCCCCCGCAACTCGTCGCTCCCTCACAACCGCCGCCGCCGCCGCCCCCCTCATGCGCCCTCGCCTGCCGTCGTCGACGCCGTCGCCATCTCTCATCCTCTCCTCGCTTGCTTCGCGCTCCTTTTCCACAACGACACCCCGACCCGCGACGATAAACCAGGTCCTCAAGGGCTGCCGAAAGGGCAAGCGCGCGCGCCACGCCGTCTCCCCGGCCCTCTCCAACAACAGATGTCCCGCGCTCAAGGGCGTCTGTCTGCGTGTTGGTGTCGTCAAGCCCAAGAAGCCCAACTCGGGTGAGCGCAAGACGGCCCGTGTCAAGCTGTCCAATGGCTCGGTCATTACGGCGTATATCCCCGGCGAGGGCCACAACATCCAGCAGCATAGTGTAGTCCTTGTGCGTGGTGGCCGCGCGCAGGATTGCCCTGGTGTCAGATATCACTTGGTCAGAGGAGCCATGGACTTGGTGAGTGCCCAATTGGAACGAAAACTACGCTGTATGAACTCTTTTTTTTGCTAACTATTTTCGCAGGGCGGTGTTGCCAACAGAGTGTCGTCTCGAAGCAAGTACGGAACCAAGAAGCCCAAGAAGGCCACTGTTGGTTAGACGGTAAAATTAGGGACGACTTTGTACAAACACCCCCAAAAGACTCTCATGTATTATAAACCAGTTTTCTTTTGTTCTTAGCATATCACTGTATAGAAAAAAGCCCTATGCATGGAAAATGTTCATCAATTTTTTGTATTTTGAGATAAAAAGCAGCAACCCATTGATTCTGAGTTAAGTGCCGAGACGTGATATATAAATATATATGTACATGTACATTTGGGTAGACAGCTTGTCCGAAGATGTGGAAATCAAAAATTCTAGCGAGACGCCTTTCCCCACAGCATACAGCGGACAAAAACAAAACAAAAAAACACACTTGCAGTCCGCCTTGAGCCTCTTTACGGATATGCATCCGTCCATCCGGTCATGGACTGAACCCTCTGAAGCGAAACCTCCGCCAGGGACGTTATTTGGGCTCGAGTGGTAGTGTCACCGAAACCGAATACCAAACGAAAAGAAGCACAGTAATTGAAAACAAAAAGTATGGGGCATAGCACTAAATGTCCTGCATCGCAGCAACACTTAGTTTGCTTGCTCCTCCCAGCCATCAGGCTTGGGCATTCCGTTCAGCTCAAAGAACTTGGACGTGCAAGAGTAGCCCTTCCAGTCAAAGTTCTCCTTGGGGTCACAGTGGCAGCGCAGATCAAGACGCTTCTGCTCACCAGTAGGGCAGTGAGTAAAGGGCACATGGAAGTAGGCAATGTCGTTGAAGAAATGAATCTCCTCCTTCTTGAGCATCAGGCCGGCGGCGATGGAGTGGACGGGGGCGTCTCCCCAGCGCTCGTAGAAGAAACCACCGTCCTTGTCGAGAACGTTAAAGAAGTCGGTGTAGGCCTGCGAGCGGAGCCAGTTGAGGTCACCAACCTCAAAGTTGGACCAAAAGTGGCATCTGTTGTACGTCTCGCCGCCGTCGTCAGACAGGAACTTCATGGAGTTGTCCTTCTCAATATGCTCGGGGAAGTTCTTCATAAACTTCTTGGTGCTGTCCCAAAGTGTAGGGATGGTCTCAATGTATTCGTACAAGCTAAGAACGAAACTGTACTTCTTCTTGTTCTCAACCATGAAGCGGAAAGGATCGTAGTGGATGTCGCAGTGAAGATCAACGGAGGGCTCGACACGCCAGTAGTAGTCGTACTTGAGCATGTGCTCCTGGTGGAAGAAGAAGCCAGACTCGAAGCGGCACATGTGGCGGTAGCTGATAGAGTCACCGTAGATGATCTTGCGTTGGGCCATGTCCTCGCGCACCTTCTTAGCCTTTTCCTGATCGATCCATTCGGGGAAAGACCAGTGCTTCTCAGGGATGACATCGTAGTAGGTGTTGCCAGAAACAAGCGAGGTAGTAACCTTCTTGAAGGACTCGTCAAAGGGCTGGTCGTTGATAAAGACCCAATCGTAGTTGTAGCGGCGGTTGAAGCGATCCTCGACTTGACGGATAGACTTGGCTATCTCCCAGATGTCGCTGTTGCGGGCAAGGGTGACAAAGGTGGCGTTCATGCGAGGGCCCTTGTTGATGGTGTTTAAATCATCCCATCCAGGGTCCGAAGGGCTCATGGCCATGGCAGCATAGTCGGGCTTTTCAACAGATGGCGCGGGCTTCTTGTCGACAGGCTTTTCCTTCTTGGCATCGCCAACGGGCTTCTCGGCAGGGGCCTGTTGCGGGGGGGTTTGGACGTTGGGATTGGGAGCAGCGCCGGCGGGATTGAGGGGCACTGGGTCGTACTTTGTGCCGGAGACGAAGTAGATGACAACGAGACACTAGATGGGAGCAAGGCGAGTTAGCAGGCGCAAGCGTAGCGCAGGAGACAGATGGATGAATGGACGCACGAAAAAGGCGATAACTATGTATCGCACATAGCGGGCGTTTCCCCCAGCCATTCTAAATGGCGAAGAACTGCGTTGTTTCTCCTGGGACTGAATTTTGGCGTCGACGCCGTGACCAGCGCGGTTCGGATGAGGGATGCGCGGCGTGCTAAAGAAAAGGAGACGTCACCAGGTGTTGGTGGTGGGCGTTGCAAGGCGACGTGTAGAAAAAAAAAAGGTGGCTAAATTGACAAAGGAGGAAGAAAAGAAACAAAATCCCGGAAGTAGCAGAACAATGAAGCTTCAGGATGACGGGTCGTGATGAAAGAAGTAGAAAAGAAAGAAAGAAAAAAAGAGGAAGTTTTGTCTTGGGAGGAGAAATGGGAATACGAGAGAGAAGGAGAGCAAGAATGAACGTTTTGGGGGGGAAAGGGAGTGGGCTACGTAGCCGTGCGCCAAGGGGACACGGAAACAAGTGGTGCGAGTCTGTCTGGTGGCGTCACAGAGTTGCCCACAGTGGGCGGGTGCACTGTATTGTGGTGTGCTGGCCAGTATATCTTGTTTTCCTGGAGCAGCACTGTAGTGGGCATATGCGGGTGGTGCGAGGTGGTGGCGCTGTGCGGAATGCTGCCAAACGTCTTTCTCAGCGCCCCCCAGCAGCAGGACGGGTGCGAAATTCAACAGGCGGCGCTGTGGGCCCCTGTAGCTTAACGAGGCGGGCGGACACGCGCCTTGAGAACACGGTACGACAGGCTAGACACGAGGGATAGATTGGCATGTGGATTCCTATTGGGGGGGGAGGGCATGTTTTAAACTTTGACTCTATCTTCATTATAAAGGCATCCCTAGCGATTCGTTCTTATCTTGTATTTTGGGTAAGAGACCATTCCGGCACTTGTTTTATTTTGCTTTGCGAGATTCAATCTCACTTGATATGCAATATGTGAATTCATTTTAGCATAGGGGGGAAGGGAGCAATCTGGGAGATTGGCCACTGTAGTAATCGTCCATTTTTATGCTATGTTTGTATTTTAGCGCAGAATCTACTGTACAGTACAACAAGCCCAGAGGCCGATCACCAAGTGGACACGGAGCCAGCATCTAATCTGGCTGCCCCTGCGCGACATTCACACCGTGTTACGCGCAGAGAGTAGAGCCCATGGCCACGTTGTATTGCGGCAGTTTGGGTGCCTGTCCTTGTGTTGTTTTGTTCTAATTCATCTTTGTCGATGTCTTCCTTTATAGTCTACGCCTCATTGGATACATCTCGTATCTTGTCATGTGCCCCCTGATTACTATGTCGTCGCAAGGCTCGCTCGCTGCATATATCAGACACCAGGCTTGGGTTCAAAGAGATGCTGTCGTTTGCCCTCCCAGATTCTACGCTACGGCAATAGAACTGTTGTGCGCCAAGGGCAAAAAATGGTAGAAAGGTCCCTGAATCGTCTTAGGCTTTCAGTCCCGTCTTTTTTTTAAAACATTGTCTCAAACTTCACCCGGTAAGTTACTATTTCCTGAATGAGAAGCCCCAAACAGCCGCACCAGGCTGCCACTGTGGCTTGTTGCGCCGATCCACTGCAGACTAGGAGAACAAAAACTGGTCGAATACAAGAACATAAATGGCGAGATGGCCACTGGAACAAACACAATGCGAATTTAACAAGAAGATGAACCACCACAAAGTAAAGCCTCTATTAAATTCCCCCCAGTTCTCACAGCTCCCAACAGAAATTAGGTGTATGATCCGGAAACAATGCTTACCGCAACGAGTTTCTGAAGTAGACCAACTATACTACAATGAAGAACTGCCTACGAGCCAGGTTTGCAATACATGGAGAATGATGGTGCGCAATGCTACAATGCCTATTATTGGATCCGTTTGCCAAGAAACCCGTCAAGTGGCTAAGCACTATGGCCACTTCCAACAGTTCGACCACCAGTACGATCCAAGATTTCCTATGTGGGTGCAACCGCAATTGGATACGCTGCATCTCAACCGGACTCGACTTCGCTATGTAGAGTTTGGCAGCTTGGATGAAGAAGGTCCATTAAGTTCATTCTCTGACGAGGCAGCGGTCAAGAACATGGCGACGTCTTTTCTGGGATGTATTATGACGGAATTCCCCGTCTTATATACGTCCTTCTTTAAGTATCATACACCGCATGTGTCAACCGGTAAAGTTGTTGCCAACAGAAATCTTGAAGCGGCAGATATTGTGGAGTTTGTTCCACCAGACTCACATATTTACACAGTCTTCACCTCCATTAGCATACATATACCATACTCGGAAGGGCGCCGATCTGGCTTGTTTGGACTCCTCGGTGATGCCCCGATACAAACAGTGCCTTATACCGACGAAAAGCAACTACATGCCTATGGAGCCCTAATGCAGGAATGCTTACTAGACGAAAAGGATCCGGCTGCTATAAAAGAAATGACACATGTCCTCAGCGACGACTTTCGTTTACAAGTGGGAGAATGGAAACGTGCGGCGGAGTGGTTGCTCCTCGCACATATGTGGCGCCAAGACGTCCTTTCAGGTAAACTTTGTGCAGACAAGGCTGGCCTTGTATGGAAGCCTGCAAACAATCACTCAAAACGAGACAACAACTATCTTTATGGCAGACGCAGCCTTTGATGAGGATGAGCCGTGGGTGCAAGAGGCTAGAACAAACCTAGTAAAAATTGAACCACTAGTTATGTTCCGGCATTGTTTAGAAGAATGTAACAAAGAAAAGAGGTAAATAGAAAGAACGTTCAATTTTGGAAGGTAGTGGTATATTCTCCATCTACTCTTAGAGCAGGATATATATATCTAATAACGACGGCCATTACCGATATCACGCCCCATCGCCCAAGCATGGCCCTTTTACTTTATGCGCTTGGCACATGCTAGCAAGGTCTCCATCCTTGACAACGCGTCCACGGTCCATAGCCACGACGCGATTACAAATATCTCGCGCCAAGTCCATACGATGGCTTATCAGAATAAGCGTACAGGGTCGGAGCCGGCTCCGGAATAGGTTGCGCAGCACCCTTCGCAAGTCATGGTCTAGATGTGCATCAACTTCCTCTAGCATGAGCAACCCGTTCATGGAGTGGTACCCATCGTCCAATTGGCGCTGTACAAGCACCAAGCGTGCCAGGCCAAACAGCGTTTGCTGCCCCTTGGAAAGCTTCCAGGGCATTAATACTGCATCAAGCCCGCCATTCTCTTCTAGCCACTTCTCAAGACCAACAAGTTTCAGCGCCTCCACGGAATCTTTATCGCGAAGGCGCGTATTAAGCGTCATGTTTTCCCGAATGGTCCGGCGTCCGGGTAGAAATACATTCTCAAATGGAAGCGCAAGGATCTGTCGCCGAGCCTTGTCCCGCCTCAGCTGTGATAGCCGCTTGCCATCTACACGGACATCGCGTGCGCCCTGTAAGGGGTCTAGCACTCGTAGTAAAAGATGCATCAAAGCCGTTTTGCCACTAATCGTGTCAGCTGGGTCCAAAGTCAGTTGCATATGCCGCACAGAAAAAGTCTTACCTTCCAGAAGGGCCAGTAATAGCCACCCTTTCTGCAGAGTTGACATTCAGTGTTAGGTTGTTCAAGGCGAGAGGGATTGGCGGGTCGCCAGGCTGTTGGTTGGAGGCCGTGGTTGTCCTAGTTATTGCGTGTTAGTTGGGTCTCGCCGGTTAAACGGGTACAAGCCGCTTTAATCTTACGCGTAAGAAGCCGAGATGGATTGGATTTTGACCGAGCCCGCGGGCCAATTATACCCAGAGTAGTCGCTAGTCTCCCCTTCACTCTCAGGCTTCACTTTGTTCTCAAATTCCAGCAGTCGTCGCAGTCCTCCCATGGTAGCCTCGGCGGATGAAAAACATTGGAACATGTTGGGAAAATTGTCCACGGCGCATACCAATGTAATCAAACATGTTGCTGTAAAGCCCGATTGGTCTCTTATCCGCAGACCCGTCATACACAACACCATGAAGACTATACCTACTAGAAGTATAGCTGCGCCTTGCGCCCACTCCTGGGCGAGAGCCACAATGAATGTGAGGCGTTGAGATGCATCGGCAAGGCTCTTGTGGCGCCGTCTTTGGTCTCCAATCCATCCTGTACTCCGTATTGTGCTCAGGCCGATATTCGCATCAAGGATCTGCGTGCTGTGTACTGTTAGCACGGAATGTCACATTGGCAAATATTTCTACTTACTATATCGTATCTCGTGATAGCAGCTCTCCCTGTCGCAGTACTCTCAAACCCCTTAGGACCATCAATTGAAATTGATACAGAATGAATACAACAATGGGGTAGCAAAATACCACCCAAGGGGAAGGATAAGCAGCAGCTGACATTGCTCCTAAGAGGACACAAAGGTGGATAATCATATTGACAAATGTAGGGGCTGGAAGCCTATCCGCAAAGACAATATCTTGGGCAAAATAGGATAAAAGAGCCCCTTTATTGCATTTTGCCACAAAGTTTGGCGATGCTAGACAAAGCGTTTTGATTATCTGTTTGTGGATGACTCTGCTCGGTGCCGAGGCCATACCGGTTACCACCATGGCACATATGGTGGCGAGGAGGATTAGCTCAACCCCTCGTATGAATCCATAGTAGCAGACATAGAAGGTTTTAGAGCCGTTAAAGTGAGGATATGTCCACAAAGACAGCCATATGGCACAAAATGCCGCCGCGAGCATATATAGAGATGCAAGGAGAAAAACTGCCAAACCCCAATCATTGTTGGCGGGTTCCCAGTAGTATGAGGCAACGTCTGATGTATCATTTTCCAGATATATCTTCTTAGGTTGCGGCTTTTCCTTGGAAACTTCGACCTTTCTCCTGCCCGCACGTGGCCAGTAACGCGTAGTGCTGGCCAAATCAACATGCTTTACTCGTAGAGGTGTGCGATAGGACACTGCCATATCGAATATGTATCCGCCTCGCTCTAGCAGCAGGTTGAGAGTGCCTTGCTCTTGAATCACTCCATGATCGCCCAGCGCAATGATGTGGTCTGCAGATGTAACATGGTGCATCCAATGTGTGACAAATATAACAGTGCATCCTCGTTCAGTGAGTACACCTTCTGGACCAAACACTCTTGCGAAAATTTCATCTTCCATAGCCAAGTCCACCCCGTTTAGCGAGTTGTCCAGGATGACGAGTTCGTTGCCAGCATATATAGCCCGAGCCAAAGATATACGAGCCCTGAGCCCTGTACTGAGAATGCCAGTCTGATCTCCCACCATGGTATCGTGGCCCAAGGGTAGGCGAGCGGCATCATCTTCGAGCATAGTAGCCCAGACTGCCTCATCGTATCGATCTTGATTGAAGTTGGAGAAGCCGGTAATGTTTTCTTGGAATGTAGCATCCATAATAAATGGCGATTGCGCGCAGTAGGAGGCGGGTTTGTCGTGGAAAGGTGTTTTGATGCTACCAGTAGCAACTGGTATCTCACCAAGCAGTGCAGTGCATAATGATGATTTGCCAGATGCGCAGGGACCAACGATCATGGTCATGCATCCACGGGGGATTTTTACACATAGTCCATTCAAAACCATTTCGTCCTGCGACCAACCAAACGATGCATCATGCATATCAAAGGCAACTTCAGCATATGGCAGCTGAATTTCCTCCCTCAGCGGTGTGCGGTACGATGCTTGCGGTGGAGTCTTCAAATAGACCAGTATTCGCCTGTATGAATTAACTCCGCCAATTATGGCTGGTAATGATTGGTATAATGAAGCAAGAGGTGACAAAACCGACACTACACCCAAAACTGAAGCGTAGAGATTGGTGATGTCTTCGACCTTGTGTGTGAAAATGAAAGTAAGAGATGGCAGAAGAAGGGACGGAAGAAAGCCCATAGAAGTTGCTGCGTACATAGTCTTGCGGCCCTTGGACCCGACGTGAATCTCATCTTCGCGAAGAGCATGGATATATAGCGACGAGTCTTCAGATGTGATTTGTAGGCGCAGGGGGCGCAAGTTGGTGATTGTCTCAATCGTCAGCCGCAGACGATCTTGCAGCATGCCGAACCACTGGAACTCACGGGAATTGAGAAGTCCAATCATAAGCGCAAAAAGTAGAGTCGTAGAAATACAGATGACGAGTGGGATGAAGAATGCTGGGGTCAAATACTCTGACCCTACCCAGCCAGCAAGGAGGACCTTGATAACGCTTATCGAGGTGGTCTGTATAGCCCGAGTAGCCTCTTCGATAACCACCACGTCGGTGCTCAACATAGTCATGGCGATTGCATTGTCGGTTGTAGTAGCCGTCAACGTTGTCATCTTGTCAAAGATGAGCTGCGAGAGAAACGCCCGGGTCAGCGCCCCTGCACGCCGATTGTAGTATCCAGTATAGCTTGTAAATATAGCGACCGATAAAAATATACTCGCACAGATGCTAGAGAATATGATTCCTTCATTCTCATACTTGATCTGTTTCTTGTATAGTCGCTCCAACAGAGCTACCACGTAGACGTATTGCGCTCCCTGCAGGGCCAGCAGACATAGATGAGGCCATATTGACAACACGAAGTGCCAAAGTAGGTACGCAACCACTCTGAGGGAGATTGATAGTGGCTTAAATAGGTTGTATCCCTCAATAAGCGAACCAGATATGCCTGGTATGTCGAAGTCGGCCCATTTTCCCCCGTTGTCAGGATGGGCTGGAGCATATCCCGATAAGTTTGATAGACTCATCCAGTGCGATATAGCAAGGCTAACGAAGTCGGTAGCGGTTTCTATCCTGCGCTCCATTTCGTCCCAGAACAGCCACGGCTGTTGCGTCAAGATGATACCAATCAACTTGATACCAATCCCAGCTAGGGCAGTGCCGTAGGGCAAACTGTAATGCTGTGAACAACTGGTGGGATAAACTGAAGGCGTTGACCACCAGATACACATAAATATTTCAAAAATGGATGTAGTAGTCAGATATGCAGTCAGCAGCGCTGATGGTCGGACTTGGCGCACCTCTTCGATGAGAGATACAATTAACACCAGGATTGCTGATGGTCCAATGACAACGGCAGCCGGATTTATGTCAAATGCAGTTATCATTTTACCATCTCCTACCTTTAGCATTATCTGTAAGACGTTTATATACAACCATATGATAATCATGAACTTTGCCGGCAGGTTAGCAGTGTAGAGAGTGACGAAGAATAGCCATTAGGGCTTACCATTGGGAGTACTCTTGAAGTATGTCGCTTCGTTACGTGGAGCTTTGCAAAGCACAGCTCAAACAAACGTGCGATAGCTAATGGTACGAATAACAATGATGGAAGAGCCAACATTATAGGCGGGCCCCAGCAGGCGAGGTTGTCGCCGCCAAGAAAGCGGCCGAGGGCCGTCAGCCCATTGAAGACATCCATCTTGAATAGATAATATGTATTGGTTGATTTTATTCATCAGTGACGGCTAAAACGAGAGCAAACATTGCTGTTTTGCCTGCGATTAGGCGAAACGTTGTTGGTGATTGAGCCTCTGTTGGTTGGATCAGGCTGAGAGGGGCAGTTGTTCCAGATTGGAACCGTTAGCCGCCGAGCACTGATGCTCATCACGTGCTAGGTGCCAAACAGACAACCACCTTCACCTGAAGAATATTACAAAGTATATGTAAGGAGACTCAGAGGTTATAGAAGATTATTTGGATGCCGGCTCCTCATCTAGCGAAAAGAGGGCCTTTGTTGACCATCGCCACTAATTAGGTGGTGGACAGCTACCCCAGCGGGAGTTTTGCTGGGACCCAACGTGCGCGCAGCAGCTGTCCCCATAGTGCTGTGACCGACAGCCCCCATAAGAAATTACCGTTTCCAAGAAACAGCATCTACGACAGCATCAACTTCCAGCGACATCAGCACGACAGTGCGGACACAATATACGCCCTCGAACGGTGCAGAGACCCTTTTTTGCAAGATCACAACGCGCCGATGAACGGCATGAACGGCAATGTGCCGGGGGCGGGCATGCCCATCCCGACGCCAGCAGGCCACCAAGCAGAGCTTAACTATATCTACAGCATGGTGGAGGAATTGAGCAGACAGTTGGCGGACAATCGAAGAGTTACCGAGGAGATCGTCACAGGGCTTGGCCGCGTACGGAATAAGGCCAAGGTGCAGGCTCTCGACAACGGGCAGATGATTGACTCGGCAGCCGAAGAAATCAATGGTATTAACTGCCATCACCCCTAGCGGCCCCTATAATGTTGACTAACATTTTTGAAAATTTAGGCCAGGAGCGAAATCTCGATACCCTCATCTCCGTCCTTACCGAATCTCTAGAAAAAGCTAAGCACTCCCGCGACCAAAACGCAGCGCTGCTGTCACAGTATGCCAATGCCCTCGCGGCCATGCTTAAGCAATTCCACGAATATAAATCAAAGCACGTTTCCGACGTAGCGTCATGGCATCGGTCGTACCGGGAACAGCTAGACGAGGCCCGCCGTGAGAACAGCCGGCTGCGCGAGCAGATCTGGGAAATGCAGTCCCATGCTTCCCGCGCCAATGACGGCCTACGCCAGTTCCGCCAAAAGTACGACGAGGACGAGAAGAGATGGGACGCCAGAGTAGAAGATATTGCTTCCAGGCAGGAGCTGCGCTTCTGGAAGAGGATGGCAATGCCGGAGCTGGGTGATGAAGATCCGTACTGGAGTGGTGACGACGACGTCATCGACGTGGCAGAAAAGATGCGGTTAGCGACATTGGACGCGCGAGCAGCACAGGAACAGCACCAGCAAATGCTCATGGAAGAAGAAGGAGTTGAGGGTCATATTTTAATTGGCGGTATCGCCATGCAAAGAGACGAGGTGACGGGTACTCCAGTTCCCGTCCCACCACCGCGACCTCTGAGCGCCGGTTCTAGCACAGGATCAACTGGATGATTAGAACCATTTGCTGAGATACCTGCTAGTAATTGTAACATATGGGCGTTCTGGGGAGCACTGTCACTTTTAGTCAATCAAAGACCTTGTAAATTCCAGCCATTCTTGTGCTTCACATCTCCGTGCAACCACCAATCAACATGCTCGCTTCTTCGTCTCTCATGCTATACACTTTTCATCATCTATACATATTATACAACTTAATAACCGCCCTGCTCTCGTCGTCTGTCTCCATCTTCTCCATCACCGCCCCCGCCAGCAGCAGCGGCGCCAGCTTGTTTGATGCCCTCCTCGTCGCCTCGAAGCTTTGCAAAGTACGCCTTGATGTCCTCTGCGCCAATAGCCTGTCCACTGTTTGCAAATTGCTGAAAGAATGGCTTAAGCTGTTCCTTGAGATGGTTATAGGCCATCACACCTTCGATTGCTCTGACGCGGTCAACGTTGCGAAGAGCACTCTCGCCGCGCTCCAAAAGACTGCCGCTACCATTGGTCGAGCCTCCATGTTCTGACTGCCCATCATCAGACATGGGCGGCTCATATACCTCTTCTTCTTCCAGCAGCTGCGGATAATTATTGAGTTTTCGATAGCAGTCTCTGCAGTGGCAAAACTTTTCTCGAAACGTATCCTTGAAGAAGAGAGAGAAGTGCCCCGAGGGCCCATCTGGTAAATTCACCAATTTACAACCCAGTGTATCCTTGGCAGCATCGGCACCTTCTGATTTGGCTGTCGACGGAGCATTATCATGAGGGGGTTCGCTTTTAACGCGTTTGGTTGCATGCTCTTCGTCAGCATCGTCTGCTTTCCGTTTTTTGCCCCCTTCAGACTCTGTATCCGCAATAGACTTGCTCGCGTCGAGGAAGACAGGTGAGAGAAATCCTGCAGTTCCTGCATATTGTTTAATCCAGGGATTTGATTCGACGCACTTGTAGCAGATAAAACCTTCGAATGCATCTTCGTCTGGAAACCCAGGAGGCATCGGTGGTTCGTCCTCGGCACCAGCAATAACAGAGTCGTCGTTTTCTTCAGCAATAGTGGAAAGCCCTTCTGGGTTCTTTTTCTTTTCTTTTGCAGATTCCATCTCCTCATACCACTTGGGCCCTTTGCCAACAAGACAGCCGGGGTGATACCAGTCCTCGCCGCAGCCTCCCGTCTCTTGAGTTCCCAAGCCCAAGCACTGGAACATGGTACCCTTTTGTTCAAATGGATCGTAATCGCATTCGCAGCCACAGAATCGGTTGCGGAAATTTTGGTTGTACTTGTTGTTGGCATCGGGTTCTTCAGAGTGAACGTTGCCACGGGTATTGGTTTGTGCATTGGTTCGCAAGGTACATGGAGCCGTCGCGGGAATTCTAGATGTGCCGCAGTCGCAGGTAAAGTTGCGCTTTTGGAAGATCTCGACAAGCGTGTGCTCGCCATGGCACGAAACGGAGCAAGCATAGCACATGCCAGCGGGGACCCAGGAGGGATCGGTTGGAGTGTCGGGTGCAGGGTTACATGTTAAACATGCAAAAACATTCTGTCTTAAGGGTCCGAGAATCTTGGTGCAAGTTTCGATACTCTGTACACGAGGTGTTAGCTTCGAAGACGGGTAGGTTCGGAGTGTCGCATACATATGGAAGTGCCTCGCGTGCGTCTGCTTCCAGGAGCTCTTGGTCGCGCAGAAAGCTAAATTTGAGATTAGCATGATAGTTTTGGAAACTTAATATCAACTTGTACATACTCGGCTGCTGTTTGCGAATCATCAGACTTGTTGGAGAAGCTATCGCGACGCGTGGTGTCGTCACCAGGCTTGGAGCCTCCAGCTTCACTTGACATTGTTCTACGAGTTGTGTGAGCCGAATGTGCTCAAGTTGCAACAAATTTGAAGATCACAATCAATAGATTGCAATAGAGTCTTCAAGAATTGACAACTCAAGCAAATACTACTGATGAAACGATACAAATGAAGATGGTTGTTAGTGTGGATGCAGAATCGCAAGTTGGTAGCTGGGACCGTTGGCTCCGACGTCAAGCACAGTGCAGGTCGACGTCAACGGTAGGCCACTGAGCCACAAAGCACTGTGCAGCCACGATTGTCAAAGACAACTGAAGAAGGGACTACTAAAATCTTTATGAAAGCCTATCAATCTCATTAGCTCTTTTTTTCATTCTATCATTGCCTGTGGCTCCATCCCGCGTCAACCACTCAACGCGACCCGGCCCAAAGCAGCTTAGTGGCACTTTACGCGTGGGCGTCTCCCTGACGCGTCAGGTCGCGTTTCGGTGGGCCAATCAAGCCGCCTTGCCCTCCTCTGGAGCTCCCTTGTCTCTCATCTCTTCCCACTTTGCCCTTGTCTCGTGTCTAATCCACCGCTTTCCCCTCCAAACCATCGATTGAAAGTTGCCCAGAACAAATCTACACGTCTTTGCCTTCTCCAATAATTTGTGGTCAGTTCAAAGTGAGTCTAGCAAAACGTAACTCACAGAGCTAGAGGTGAACCAACATGAGGTACGAGATAATGCATTGCTGACGAGAGATGGTTCCTTCTAACCCGTATCACAGTTCCCCGTTGAGAGACAACCCGTCCTCTGCCAACCGTGGCACAACTCCTCGAGCGAGTCGCAAGCGTTCGCGCACTGGCGGCGACGATGCTTCTTCGGGCATCGGCTCTAGTCCTATGCCGTCTTCCCCGCCCGCAGACTTCCATATTGCCCACGGCGCCGATGACGATGACGAAATTGAAGAGGCTCCTGAGATTCAAGATGATATTGACGAGCTGGATGAGATGGCTGATGATGATGTCGATCTGTTTCGCGACGGCTTTGAGGCCGATTACAGAGACCGCGAAGGTGACGAATATGAGGACATTGGTTTAGACGATGATGGCGAATACGATGTCATGGACATTGGCTCCCGTCGCGTGCTCGAGTCTCAGCTCAACAGACGAGACCGGGAAGTGGCCCGCAGAAAGAGAATCCCCCAGGCTTTCCTGCCCGGCGATGATGAGGACGGTGATATCGACTTGACCGCTCAACCCCGCCGTCGCCGTCATCATTACGATGAAGATCCCGATGATGCTATGGAGGGTGATATCATGGAGGAGGAGCTGTCACTGGAAGCTCTCGGAGATGTAAAGGCTGTCAACCTTACAGAGTGGGTTGCCATGCCGTCCGTCCAGCGCACTATTAAGCGCGAATTCAAGGCGTTCCTCACCTCATACACTGACGCCTCTGGTTCTTCCGTCTACGGTAACCGCATTAGAACGCTCGGTGAAATCAACGCTGAGTCTCTTGAGGTCTCTTACGACCACTTGTCTGAAAGCAAGGCCATCTTAGCGTACTTTTTGGCCAACGTGCCCGCTGAGATGCTCAAGCTCTTTGACGACGTCGCCATGGACGTTGTTCTCCTGCATTACCCAGACTACGAGCGCATCCACTCGGAAATTCACGTCCGCATTTTCGATCTTCCCGTTCATTATACCCTCCGCCAACTTCGTCAATCCCACCTCAACTGTCTAGTCCGCGTTAGTGGTGTTGTTACCCGACGCAGCGGTGTCTTCCCTCAGCTTAAATATGTCAAGTTTGACTGCACCAAATGTGGTACCACGCTTGGTCCGTTCCAGCAAGAGTCCAACGTCGAAGTCAAGATCACATACTGCCAAAATTGCCAGTCGCGAGGCCCCTTCACCCTCAACTCTGAAAAGACCGTCTACAGAAACTACCAAAAACTCACGCTGCAGGAATCGCCTGGAACAGTCCCTGCTGGTCGTCTGCCTCGCCAGCGCGAAGTCATCCTCTTGTGGGATCTCATTGATCGTGCCAAACCTGGTGAGGAGATTGAGGTCACTGGTATCTACCGCAACAACTATGATGCCCAGCTCAACAACCGCAATGGTTTCCCTGTTTTTGCAACCATCCTCGAGGCGAACAATGTTGTAAAGTCCCACGATCAGCTCGCTGGCTTCCGCTTGACTGAGGAGGACGAGCATGAGATTCGCAAGCTGTCGCGCGATCCTCAAATCATTGAAAAGATTGTTAACTCCATTGCTCCCAGCATCTATGGTCACAGCGACATTAAGACTGCTGTGGCGCTCTCCCTCTTCGGTGGTGTTGCCAAAACTACCAAGGGTCAACATCACATTCGTGGCGATATCAATGTCTTGCTACTCGGTGATCCCGGTACAGCCAAATCTCAAGTTCTTAAGTACGTCGAAAAGACGGCGCACAGAGCAGTCTTTGCTACTGGCCAAGGTGCTAGTGCTGTCGGTTTGACGGCAAGTGTCCGCCGCGATCCCCTTACGAGCGAATGGACTCTGGAAGGCGGCGCTTTGGTGCTTGCGGACCGAGGAACTTGCTTGATTGATGAGTTTGACAAGATGAACGACCAGGATCGTACGTCTATTCACGAGGCAATGGAACAGCAAACCATTTCCATCTCCAAGGCTGGTATCGTCACTACTCTGCAGGCCAGATGTGGCATTATTGCCGCCGCCAATCCTATTGGTGGACGCTATAACTCAACAATCCCCTTTTCTTCCAACGTGCAGCTTACCGAGCCTATTTTGTCTCGTTTCGACGTTCTCTGCGTTGTCCGTGATACAGTAGAGCCTGAGGAAGATGAGCGTCTGGCACGTTTCATTGTTGGATCTCACAGCCGCAGCCATCCCCTGTCTTTTGAGGGCACTCAGCAGAATTCTATGCAGGCCGAGGCAAGCTCTATCCCCGAACAAGAATCCCAGCGCAAGGAGCAGGGGGATATCCCACAGGAGCTGCTCCGCAAATACATTCTGTACGCGCGTGAGAGATGTAGCCCCAAGCTCTACCACATGGATGAAGATAAGGTTGCTCGTCTGTTTGCTGATATGCGTCGCGAGTCGCTAGCTACGGGTGCCTACCCTATTACTGTAAGTTAACCGCCAGATTTCTGTTGTATATGTACAAAACTAATACGGTTGCAATAGGTCCGTCACTTGGAAGCCATCATCCGAATCAGCGAAGCCTTTTGCCGCATGCGCCTATCTGAATTCTGTTCCGCCAAGGACATTGATCGTGCCATTGCCGTCACTGTTGAAAGTTTCGTAGGCAGCCAAAAGGTTAGCTGCAAGAAAGCGTTGTCTCGTGCCTTTGCCAAGTACACACTTACAAGGCCCGGAGCCAACTCTCAACGTCGCGACGGACGACAGGCTGCAGCTGCGTCCGCCTAAGCGGTTTCTGCTCTTACAGACCACAATAGAGATGGGATTAGTCATATATGTAATGTGAGCTACTTATTGTTTGGATTGGGTAGGGGCAAGTCTGGAAAGGTGTTTACTTGGTTTTATACTTTGTGACGGTTTGGCGCAAAAACGGTGATGGCAACGTATTAATATACTCCTTTTATTTATTTATTTTTTGCTTTTTTGCAATTCCCTTGTACCGTAAATAAGGTAGATTCAGTGTTGAATAATGAAACAGTGTACTCTCTTAGAATTGTTGAGTCTGAATGATATGTGTCATCGCCACCTTTGCAGGTCGCGAACCACCTGACGCAGCCTTACGCTACTTTTTAAAACTAGGCAGTTTCGTTGCACTCTCTTTGCTTTGTAAACACTTCGAAACTGTTCTTTAAGTTCATCTGGATATTAACCACGGCTATGCCTGTTGCTTTCACCGTCGCGCAGCATCCTGCAGTGGAGTTCAAGCGTCAGGCTGCGGAAGATGCAGACAGCCTTTTAAAAGGCGTAGGCAGAAGCCACACCAACAAGGCTTGTCGCATCATTCAAATCGCCTTCTCTGCGCCTCTATCGGGCGAAGAGGCCGTGTCGCCTAGCCCAAATGGTTTCCTCTGGGCCAGCGTGTTTGCCTATAGCAATCATCACCATCTCGTTCTTCGACCAGAGGATGTATGGTTCGCCATCCTCTCTCAGCTAAGCTTCTACATCGATGCTCATGCCGAGGAGCTCAGGTCATTCTTTGTTGAGCATGAGGGTCAGGATAAGATCTTGTTTGAGGGCCCTGGCCCTGTTTTCGAGTTCGACTTCGCCATCGTTTCCCAAGCTCTCGGTGCGATGATGGCGAAGAAGATGAAGGACACCGCGCTGTATGACTGGGTAATGCCTTCGCTTACAACTACGACGGAAAACGACAAAGAGTGTCGCGTCAGTTCTGTTCATGGGTGCCATGCAAAAGTACTTTTCCTTCGAATGCTGCACCATGTGTGGCCTCCCCTCGGTAACTCTGCTAGGCGACGTCGAGGATTGGAAGGATATTCTGAGCAGGTTGGACAGGCTTCCACAGCTAGGAGAGGAGCCTACGCAATTTGCAGAGATGCTTACGCCGATTCTTGAGTACTTTGTACTGTCCTTTGAACAGCCCCAAAGTAGCCAGGTACAAAGCTTCTGGGAAAATATTGTCCATGAGGATAATATGAGTGGCGGCCCGTATTATTCTGGTTGGATTTGTGCCTCTGCGTATTGGAATGAGCAGGGGAAGGCATCTTACCGACGACAGATCAATGCTAGTCTGCGAGGAGTCAGCTATCCGTACATCAACTCCTCAGACATCCCTCTCGGATTCGCTTCCGTCCCTGTAAAACTTCATACCGAGCCTGAGCTAACCGAGTGCACCATGGTTGCTGGTTCCATGAGTATTCGGGCAAGGTCTACACATCAAACAGGGGATACTGTTCAGCCAGTGTCAGGGTGGATGATGTACGAGGATTGCGAACTCCCAGCGCATGAGGTAGAGAGAGGACCTCGAGAGGCGCGAGAGAGTCGCAAAAGAAGGGATGCAAAAAATGATGGATGACTTGACGAAGAAGATAGCGAAACCTTCTAACCGAGCCGCTTGGACAGACTGGAAGAAAAAATATGCGGTTTAGAGCCCTGCCTGCTTACATGATTCTTTGGTAGTTAGACGAAACTCGCTTGCTTTAATTGGATATAGTTGCTGCTTATCACCAATTGAGCCTCAAGTTGTACGCCTTGTAATTACCCAAAGGCAGACTCTGTGCCGACTCTTGCCAGACAGAAAGGGTTAACGAGCGTCCGCCTTCATAAGGCCTTCACAACAGCCTGATCATGTGAAGTTTTTGCATAAAGATCCGAATCAATGCAAATGTCGCCGCCCCTGCCCCCCATCGTTCCCATCTCCCAGCCCGCTGGTTCCCCTTCGGCTGCGCACGGATGCCCACAGAAGCGCCACTCTATGCCACATGTGGAAGCAAGCTTCAACAGGCTTTGTTGCGGCGTTGCTATTTTTAACGCATAGGCCACCGCGCTAGCCTGGTCGCGCTAGGATCCGCTGCGGGCGAAATGTGATGGCCACTGACGGGCTGGGTTGCCATGCTCATCACACGGCTGCCAAGGGCCTGCTTGTGCGGCCCGCATGTCACTGGCATAGCTGAAGGAGGATGGGTGGAGAGGTCGGAGTCGCAGGAGAGTACAGCTCATTGGTGATCGGCGGGCATTCTTCTGGACGTGGTGCAACCGAGATGTTGGACGAGCTGCTTCATGTTGGGAGTCGCGATGCCAGTACCCAGGGTCTCCCCCTCACAATGCATTGCTCAGTTCTTGATGAAACTTGCAGGGGGTTTTATCCAAAAGCCTTTTCCTCTGGTTTCTCCTCTGTAAAAGGGGTAATTCATGGGATAAGCTGGAGCCTTGCTGGACAGAGTCGAGGATATGGGAGCCCAGCCTGGTAACAGCCCGCCATTTCCTTTGGGCTTAGTGCGTATGCAGCATGCACGCCGCCACCAATTTTAGTATGCAGCGCGCGCTTCAACACTTTGCTTGTGTGCAAACGACATTTCGGCGGGCGTCGTCAATTTTCTTGTGTCCGCGGCTTGGAGGGGACCCTTGCGTTCCCAGCTTGACAACGCGTCTTAGACGAGGCCCAGAAAGCCAAGGCTAGCCCTACACTTTGCTCGGTGCCCGGCTTTGTAATTCTATTTTTGAATAAAGTTCCCATATCTTCCAATTGCTCCCCTCTTTGCTCTTGAAATGCTTCTTGTCCCCTCGTGTCGCGTGTAAATCGCTGTCCAGCTTCTCACCATTAACACACCAGCCCATATACAGTCCACCATTACTTCATCTGCTATTGTTCAAACGCCCCCATTTTATTTTACTCCATCATATAAACAAGAAGCATTTCTACCGTTCATGATTCTCTGTTGGTAGTGAGCTGCTTTGTCGCTTGAGCTCGTTGTCGCCATGCCCCAACACAAACGCAACTACTTCCCCTTGGAGGAACCGAGGAGATCCATTTCTCCCCCTTCAGATCGCATCACTGACTTCGGTTCAGTTTCATCAAACTCTACCTCAACTCGAGCATCTGGCAAGGTGGCAGCACTGGGTGCTATCTCAACCATATCGGAGGAGATGGCGGATGTCTCCGATGCTTTGGGCATAACACCAACGCGGGAGCGGCCATCCTCGGGTTTTATCAACAGAGTTCCCGTTGGGTCCAAAAGGGAGCCTGCAGGTTATGCTGGTCGACACTTTAGAGCATTCTCCCCTCCCTCAGAGCCGGTGATGCAGGAGGTCGTCATGCAGGATTCGGCGCCGACGCCTCGCAGTGACGCTGTCCTTTCGCCAAACGAAACCTTGATTGGACAAAGTTCTCCCCGCCGATTTTCTAAACTACCACTGAATTTTGCACTATCACCATTTTCACGAGCAAATGGCATCTTCAGAAACCCGTTTACCAAGCGGCAAGAGGCGGTAGATCAAACAGACGATATTGAAATAAACACGTCCTTTGCATCCACGGAAGTGGCTGACGAAACACATGACGATGAGGCCTTGCACAATGGCTTTGGTAAGTATAATATCTCCCCCTTGTTGAAATATGTGCCTAACTCTTCTAGGCCAACCGCCAGTCCACTGTTCATCAAGAGAAGACGTTTACCAGCATCGTCGCCGCCGCCTCCCCATGACCATATTCCTCCTTTCCATTTATTCTACAGTTATGAGTGCACTCTGGCTACTTGTTGCCATTATCCAGCCTCGTTGGGGCCATAAAATCTCTTCGAAGGCTGGCTTGCAACCGTCGACTGCGACCCTCATTACGGCCCTCATCGCCAAGACCATCGAAATCTCCTTTGTCACTGTTTTTGTGTCCTTCTTGGGCCAGGTTCTGAGTCGTCGCTCTCTGATCCGCAACTCAAAAGGTACCACATTGGCAGAGATTACCATGCGCAACTGGGTCATCCAGCCTGGCTCGATTTTCATTCATCTTGAAGCAGTAACAAAAGCGGCCGGCTCAAAACTAGGAACCATCTGTGTCTTGGCTACATTGGGTGCTCTCTTTTACACATCTGCATCTGACGCCTTGATTTCGCCAAAACTCAAGTTCGGGGCAGCAAAGTCTCAAGAGTTGTCGGGATACGTGACGGCATCGTATGCCAATGTCCAATATGTCAGAAAAATGTGCCCATCCCTGCTCAAAGACAGTGATTATGCAGCCGCCGAATCTTGTGTAAACGCAGTTTTCTCTGGTCAATCATATCGCAACCTTATTGACTTCATGGGGGTTTGGGACGTGATTAACACCAATGGCACAAGCGATAAGAAGAATCTAAAGGATCGCCCATCGGGTACGGCTCAATTATACGGAAACACAACAGTTCGCGCATCTTGGATCGAAATAGAGCATTCCAACGTGACGGCTAAGGCAGAGCAAACTGGTCATCTCGTCAACAACGTCACCATGGCGCTACCTCACCCTGGTGTTGTCGAGGCTGCTCTGAATCCTGTCAACAGTATCTTACAGCCAGAAGAGCTCTCTGGAGTGGGAGAATATAATATCAAAGCTGGAGTCGTCTCGCCAGCAGTAAATGTTCTCTGTGTCGACATGTCGATAAAAGACCTTGCCCCTCTAGTATATACCTCGTGGCCAAATGCCAATACCACCAGTACGGGAGTCGGAAGTCAAAAGATTGGGTGGCCCGGATGGGAGGGGGAAGTTCCAGCCGCAGTCAATAAGACTGGTGGAAAGGAGCTACTCAATCGCACTTCAGTGGACGACATCTTTCGCTGGGGCCCGAGCTACGGTCGTCGCCCACCAGTTTTCCAACTTCTACCAGCTGATTTCAACATCATTACCAACGTTTCGATATTTCCAGGCATTGATTCGGTATACTTACTTTCCAAAGGCGGGCCGTTACAAGCCAATTACACCCTCTGCGAGGTTCGTTCTTGGCTTTCACCCAACTGCTCTACACATTATTCAGTCTCGGGAACCGAGGGTAGTAAGCTCGAGGCGAAGTGTGAAGATCCAGAAGATGCTGACAACTACTTGAAATCGTTTGGCAATGAGAAGCCGACTTGGCCTGCCCCAAATAACGATTGGAAGGTAAGATTTGCTCGTACGCATGGCCTCTTTGCTGACAGCTCCACTAACTACATATCTCTAGGATCTTGCAAAGCAGTGGATCTTGTCAGCGGACGTGAACGGAGGAACGGCGAATGCAAACGCCTCAAACGCTCGGATCTTAAGCCAGCTTGCTCTTAGCGGGCCATCGCTTCCGTCGTATCTTCCCTCCATCGCCGAGGGATTAGCTGTGTTTGCTGGTTCGGCAGTACTTCAGGGCACCATCGGCTCCCCATTTGTTCACTATTGGGGTTTTGACAAGCCAGGTAATATTCTTGGAGAACCTGGTGTTCTACAGAAGTTTAATGCGACTGTTTCGACACAAGAATACACCAGTGGGTATACGGAAAACTGGAAAGGTATCTTCTTTCCCATTCTGATTATCGTCCTGGTATTGAACATCATGTGCTTGTTCTACTTTTTACTCAAGCATGGCCTTGTTACCGACTTTACGGATCCTCTTAATCTCTTTGCGTTGGCATTGAACAGTCCTCCAAGCGATAAAATTCAAGGAAGCTGCGGAGCAGGGCCTCGTCACCACGATCTGGTTGTGCCGTGGAGAGTTGCTTATGCCCCAAGCGTAAACCATTATTTCTTCCGTGAAGCAGGAGGTACTTCGTGGGTAAATCGATGGGAAAAGTTCAGGGACGAGAGAGAAGCATCCTTCGGAGTGAAAAGCGTGGACGAAAACTACAGAAGACTCAGTACTGCTAAGGGATGGTTTTAAATGCAGTTGTTACAGTCTGGTAGATATTTTTATAGCGATTCCTCTTTGTTAGCGTTGAATATACCCATTTTGTTTTATACCCAACGCTCGGCGATTAAAGAAGCTGTTGACACGCCGCCAGAGCCTTCTATATTCGGCCCGAGCATGGAAATAGACCAACGGCCCGAAAGACGGGTAAGGGTTGTTTATTAGCTGGCAGCCACGTCAAACCCAACGTCAATGCGTCTTTTCCACGTAATCTTGTTTCTGTTTGAAGGATCTCGAAGACAGTGAGCTTCTTCCCAACGGTCTGCATTGTCAACTCCGGTGGACCTTGTACCCTGGCTTGTCGAGCCACATCGCTCCACAAAGAGACCGAGTGCCGGCCACAGGAGTCGTCGGTCCGACCACCTTTGGAACAGCCACCACAACAGGGTTTGCCTTTGTTGGATCGTCCTTTTGCGGTTATTCGAAATTCTAGGGGTAATAGAGTGATACACCTTTTCTATGAGTTGAAAGATGCCTGAGAGATGCAAGGCATTCTAGATTACAACAGCCATTGCACCAGGTGGTATCGAATGGTTCCATCGTAATCTTGGCCCTATAACTATCCCCGCAGCAATGCTCATTTAGGTCAGAGGATTCCGGGGCAGGGCTACCATAATCGGGGTTTTGGCGTCTTCCGTCCGTTGGCCAATAGCCTATTGGGGGAATATAATGAAGTTTGGGACATCGGCCCCTGCCACGTTAAACGCCGTCGTCCACTCACACACCAGGCGTCTGTAAAGACAGCCAGTGGCATGCCGCTTTGTTGCAAGATGAGCAAGCAGACTTTGCTTTCATTGTGTCGAACCCTTGGAATTGGAACTTTGATCAAGCAATCTCACGATGGGCTTGCTGGAGCAACGGCTGAGACAGCCCACCCAAGAAAGCAAGCGTCTGGTATGCACAGCTGTAAGCTTATGATACGCATGTCTGTAACGCCCTTTTTACTCCGAAAACTAAGTCCTTTTCTTTCTCTGACTTTTTGGAATCTTTGGGAACGGAGCCTCGCCGCATACAAAGCAGAGACTTAATGACGGAGTCAGCGACTCAGTGGCGTCTGTCGGGGTTAGCGCAAGCCACCAAACTTCAACCACCCCGGCAAACTTGTATGCCGCCAAGTGGAGCGCATCGTGAGTGGCTTGATTTGGATGTTCCTTGGCTGTTCTTGTTATCAGAAAAGGGTTTCGTGAGAGCGTGAGGTAGGTTTGCAGGGGACGAAACTAAACACTCGTGATAAATTCAATGACTGGGTGGTGTGTCATACTTTTGGCAGCTGGCGCAGCTGGCACAGCTGGTGGTCATTAAACTGCAGTGACTTTGCTCCAGTACTTCCGTTTACCAGATTCTGCAGAATCCTAAACATCACTCCCAGAGTTTGTCCAGATACAACAGTCAGCACGCTATGGGGGGAGCGGGCCTACAAGACGGTGCATCATTTCCTGGCTAAGGTGTCCAATTACAAGGTTACTTCCTTGCCGATGACGCTGGTCATAGCTTTAGATTCGCGTCTCGAAAAGTCTGAAAACGCGGTCCTTTTCCTATCTGAAGGGCTCCTATTTGTAACGCCTCAATCAGAGCAGATCAATTCGGCCTGTCCGAGCTGTAGTTGCCATACTGCAGTTCATATAGCCGCAATACAACATGTCCCGCTGACTTGGGGCTAGCTGGGTTAGCCCAATGGATCGGCAATTTGGTTTCGCCATGAGAACGCCGTCTCAAGCTCCAGCGCCAGCGGCATCCATGTCTCCGGTAGAGGGGTGTGGTGGATCCGGCCCTAACTGTCTGCGCAGGGAAAACAAATGCAAAGCTGGCGTCGAAGATGTCGCCGATACACTTGTGCATCGAAGCAGATGAGGCTATGGAAAATTATATGCACGCAGTCGGTCCGTAAAGATATGCACCCATCACCAAATCAATTGAGTAACTCGAAAAGCCTCATTCGCTTGCCAGTAAGCTCCGGACTCTATTTTCCGTCGACGGCTAAGATGGAAGCTAACTAGTGTGAGAGGCGGGGCGTGCAAAACAAATGCTAGTGCTGCACCCCAACATGGTGGCCTCCACAGTGACGAGCCCACTCCAAGCCGATGTTGGTTTGCCTTTCGGCAGCGACGGGGGCCAGTAAATGATGCTTTCGTTTATAAAGGGCCCCCTAGTCTCGCTCCTCTTCCGATCTGCTTGTCTGTCCGTTTAGCATCCCCATCAATTGACTTTGTATCACGACGAGCTGCTCTCCAACAGCATCTCCTCCATCAACCATGGGTCTTCTTGAAAAGGTCCCAACAAAGCCCAGCGCCGATGCTGGCAAAACATGGCCAGCTATTGCCATGGGTTTCTTTGTTGCCTTTGGTGGCATCCTCTTTGGGTTCGTTGACTCCCAAGGCTCAGTATTCTAGATCAATCTCTAACTAGCATATAGCTATGATACGGGAACCATCGGAGGTATTCTTGGCATGCCCTACTTCAAAGAACACTATGGCACATTCGACGAAGCAAACAACACGTATGAAATCTCGACCTCGACAAAATCCGCCATTGTTTCCATCCTATCTGCTGGAACTTTCTTTGGATCCCTGTTTTCGCCTGTTCTGGCTGACCGTCTTGGTCGCCGTCCTGCGCTTATGATTTCTACCTGGGTTTTCAACCTAGGTGTCATTCTTCAGACGGCTTCGACCTCAAACCCTCTTTTCTTGGCCGGTCGTTTCTTTGCTGGCTTCGGTGTTGGTCTTGTATCCGCTTTGAGTATGCATTCCCCCACGGACACTTTGGAGAATTGATGAACTAACCTGTACCAGTCCCTCTGTACCAGTCCGAGACAGCTCCAAAATGGATCCGTGGCGCTATTGTAGGCGCCTATCAGTTCGCAATCACCATTGGACTTCTCCTTGCCGCGGTTGTCGATAACGCTACTCAAGAACGTACCGATACCTCTAGCTACCGTATCCCTATTGCTGTGCAGTTCGCTTGGTCTTTGATCCTCTTCTTCGGCATGATGATCCTTCCCGAAACACCCCGATACCTGATTCGCGCCAAGCGCATGGACAAGGCTGCCAAGGCTCTTGCTTATATGCGCCGTCTTCCTGAAGATCACCCTGTAATCCATGAAGAGCTACACGAGATCAAGGCCAGCTACGACCATGAGATGAGAGAATCGCAGCACACAACCATTCTTGATTGCTTCAAGCCACCTATCCTGAAGCGCCAGCTCACAGGATGCGGTCTTCAAGCCCTCCAGCAACTCACTGGTATCAACTTCATCTTCTACTACGGTACAACTTACTTCACAAATGCCCAGGTCGGATCACCCTTCACCATTACTATGATTACATCCGCCGTTAACGTCGCAAGCACGATTCCTGGCCTGTATCTGGTAGATAAATGGGGTCGCCGCCCCATTCTCCTCGCTGGCGCCATTGGCATGTGTATCTCGCAACTCATTGTCGCCATCACTGGTACAGTATCCACTGGTCAATACACTGCGGGTGACATACTACCCGAGGGAGCCTTTATTGGTAAGGTCTTCGTCAAGGATTTGGCCACCCAAAAGGTCGCTATTGCATTTGTGTGCATCTACATCTTCTTCTTCGCTTCGACTTGGGGCCCTCTGGCTTGGGTTGTCACCGGCGAGATCTTTCCCCTCCGCACCCGTGCCATGTCTCTCAGTCTTACAACCGCAACCAACTGGCTACTGAACTGGGCTATCGCCTTTGCGACTCCCTACCTTACTGACTATGGAGCGGGATCTGCCAACTTACAATCCAAGATCTTCTTTGTCTGGTTTGGCGCCTGCTTCCTCTGTATTGCATTTGTATACTTCATGATCTATGAGACCAAGGATCTCACGCTCGAGGAGGTTGATCTGTTGTACGAGGATGTCAAATTTGCTCCGAAGTCCACTTCGTGGACTCCTCCTAAGGAGTCTTGGCAGCAGCGCAAGAGCATTGCCGAGCAGCACAGCAGCAAGGCCAACGAGACGAACCAAGAAGGTCCTGCTGATCACGTCGAGGGTGGCTCTCCTACTGTTGGAGGCACAGACACCATCTCGCCCACTACTATGGCCTAAACGCCAAGAATTTCTCACTTCGTATTTGTACTTATTTAGGATTTGATATATGCTTCTATGCAGATATCTGATCAAATGAAATATGATTTTTTTCTTGTATCAATTGTTTGTACATTACGATGCCCTTAACCACTACATTGGGGAATAAAGTTACTAGGCATGGATGAGAGGCGTCTTACAAATGTGACGCGGTCTATGTCATTGTCACGATTGTCTGTTCAGCCAGTAGCAGTCTGTTAAACTGACTTACCTCGCCAACTCTATTGTTGACAAAATCTAATGACTTCAGCCAACTCGCTTGCTCGCACGCGTTCACTCGCATCTGCTACGCATCACACAAACACACACACAGAGCTCACTCACTCACTTCACCATCAACACATCAATCGCGCACAGCTCAGCTCGATCAAACCATCCTTGTCCACACTAATCTCGTCCTATAGAACAGAAAGGAAACAACATCGCATCCCCAGTTTCTTGTCCATCGACAGGAATATTAATTTTCTTTCTTTTCTTCTAGCACCACTTCTTTTCTCTCTAATCCAGGATTGCGCATATTTGGTCTCTCTGGTCGTCGCTGGGCAATAAGACCACCAAGTTGTGGTCAGCCGTCAGAAAACAACACAGAGTGGCAAACTCAGCATCCGTTTCACCGATACATGTATCTGCATCATCCTCTACTCATTCCCATTCCTTGTCATGCGATATGTTGTATCGTGCTTCATCCCCAGAGAAATATCTGCCTTTCGAACAGTGGGTAATCCGAGAATAAAACCGTGTTCAATTGTCGTCGCCATCATTGGCCGACCCGCTCACAACTTCGTCTGCTTGGTATCATGTTGAAAAGGAAAGAAAACAGTGTCATATGATAATCTACGCCGCTATTGCGCGCGACGCAGGCATCAGTGCAGGTCAGCAGCGCACCTCGCGAGAGCCAGTCTCAAGGTCAAGCGCTGCAACCCCATTGCAAAAACTTCCTACTGAGAGTAGGTAGGGAAAAAAAGAAACAGAAGTAGAACCCAAGGAACATAAAACATAAAAAAAAGCAAAAGAACCCAAAAACGGCAGTTGGCCGATAGATAAAAAGTAACCAGAAGATAACATATTCTTCGGTAACGAAATAAGACGAGATTTCGCAGTAGCTCTAGATATAAGAATGGCGTTTTTAGAATGCCACACTGTTATCCAGAGAAAGCCGCTTGACCCCTACATCCATCATTCCATAGAAAGAGAAAGGGTTGGACAGATGGAATTGCCTGTCACCGCTTAGGCGACGGGGGCAATGGGGGCTACAGGCGCGGCGGGGGCAGCGTTGGCCATATCAACATCGCTGGGAACCACAGGAGCCTCGCCGGCGGCAGCCTTCTGGGGGCAGTCGCGCGAGATGTGGCCGGCCTCACCGCAGCCGTAGCAGGTCTTGCCGGCAGTGTTGAGAGGACCACCGTTAGGCGCAGTGCAGTCGCGAGAGATGTGACCGAGCTTGCCGCAGGCGTAGCACTTCATAGCCTGAGCCTGGCAATCACGGGCGAAGTGGTTGGGACCACCGCACTTGTAGCAGGTAGCAGGACGAGGGCCGCCGGCAAAGGCGCCGCGACCACCGAAGCCACCAGCGTAACCGCCACGGCCCATAGGGGCACCACGGCCCATAGCAGGGTTGGGACCAACGGGGTTTGTGCAAGCGCGAGCAAGGTGACCGGGCTGTCCGCAGTTGTAGCAGCGACCTGAGGTGGCGTTACCAGACAGGCGGAGGGTAGGGCAGTCAGCCTGGACGTGACCAAGGCCCTGGCAGTGATAGCACTGCTTGGCCTCAGTGGTGCGGGGAAGAGGGCAGCCGTTAGACTCGTGGCCGGGCTGCTTGCCTATTTGACAGCGATTAGCATTCGCCGCGATAGCTAAAGATCACAAGACTTACAGTTGTAGCAGAGACGCTCAGAGGAGGAGCAGACCTCAGCGTAGTGGCCAACGTTGCCACACTTGTAGCAGGCACGGCGAGAGAGAGAAGACATGTTATGGTTGTCTAATATGACGTTGTTAGTATAGAGCGCTTGTCAATATTTGATGTAAAAAAAAATGAACACAGTGTTGAGGGCAACGCCACTGGTGACACCACGTCGCCGATCGGATTGCATTCTGTTTTGGTGTGCTCAAGCTCGATACAAACACTTGTTTGTATGGTGAAATGAGCTTCATCACTATTATCGTCATGTCCGTCGCTCAACTTATGCAAAGCGGTGACCCCGGGACCAGCTGGTGGTTCTAGGCAAGATTGTGGGAGTGTGATGAGGGGCTGCGGTCGAATGCGGTTCAGCCGGTGACCGGGATATTGGGCGAATATGAATTGCAAATTGGGCAAGCCATAGGCTTGGCACCAAGAGGAAATATAAAATGCACATCGATCGAGAGTGGTGGTGGTAAATCGTGCGGGATGATTCCCAGTCGCATGTCGGCAGCGGGACAGTGCAGCGCAAAGCAAGGTGGTGACGACACAGGGCAAAAGTCGGCAAGGGACGATGACAACAAGGGCAACTTACGAAGAGAAATTGTAGAATGTAAAAGTAGAGAAGTGTCGACTTGGGAGAAAGATGAGATCCAAAAGTAATGTGGGATTGCACAGGGAAGAATGCGAGGGATTGGAGAGGAAAAAGTTTAGAGAAGGAAAAAGGGAGATTATCGCAGAGAAAGAGGGAGCGTGACTTAGCCCGATCTCGAGCTGTCTGTGTTTTAGCGGGTGCCAGTTAGTGTGCTGCAACAGGCTTTCGCGGGGGCGACTGAAAAATTTTCATGCAACAAAGCGGCGACCCCTGCGGGACGGGTTGGCAGGTCTCAGGCGCGCTAAGTTTGCAGGGGAGCAGCGCGAAGTGGACGCTAAGCACGCTTGCGGTACGCATTGACGGCGAAAATACGGGGGAGGGCGCTGACATTGATAAGAAGTAGGATGAGACGGCAGGTCCCTTTTTCTGCAGAGGGATACTGTACTGTACAGATACGGTAGCAGCAAGGCACCACGCCGCTCTTCTACACAGCACCAGTGCTATTAACCTTGGCAAATGCGACAAAAACGTGGGGAAACCGAGCGGTTTGCACGTGCTTTGAAACGAAGTAAAGGACAATAGTGCTCATATTAGCTGAACAATTAAAAAAACAAAACAAATTGACTTGTTCCCTTTGCGTTTATGGCATCTTCTCAAGATGCTTTCTTTAGCCGTCAGTCACCCTTTGTGTGCTTACAACCTTGTGCAAACTAGTTGTTGTGGCATGACCAATAAATCAACTGTATCATATAACCGCATCTGACTTAAGAAGCTATCTTGTATGTGATATAATTAATGAATGAATAGGGAAGAAGCCTTCAGTGCGCCGAGAATAGCGCAATAAACAGTCCTCCCGAAAAAAAAAAATGTGCCCAAATTCGCATGTACAACCAATACACAAGTGGAAAACGATAGTAATCCGGTCACCAAGAACACGAAATATGTGTGCCCTTTCTAACCATACGCCCACTCACTCTCTACACCCTCGTTGAACGAGGGGTCCCATCAACCACCCAAGAAACTCCATCGTCGCTGGCGTACGAAGGCGGACGGCGCTTCTCATTGCCGTCAGTGCGGTTCGCATCGCCTGGTGCATTATCATTACTCGGTGTGTGGCTTTCAAAGTCGCCCTTGTAGCCCTTCTTTTCGTCCTGTCGTTGCCAGTACAGTCGGGTCGGGTCCAGCCGCTGCGTCGTCCGTGTTAGTGGCCGAGGACAAGATAGTAGTATTACTTGATTTCGAAAAAGAACGAATCAGGAACATGTTGATAGAGGAAGGCAGGCCATAGGCCGGGGTATTAACTTACGACGCTCTCTTTCCACAACCCATAAGCAGGAGGTGTAGCCTTAGTTCGGCCAGCCATTACCTTCGATCCGAGAGCTTCCTCATCCGAGCGCATCGTGACCTTGATCGGACGGTGAGGGTAAGCATAGGGGCCAGCGCCCACTTTCGGAGAGCTCCCTGCTGAGGAGATGACAGGTGATGCTCGATGGAGGTGACGAGTAGCATGCGTGCCGCTGCTGTTGCTGCTGTTGGCCATTTCCCGGCGGTGGCTGCGGACAGCCAGGCACATACGGGTGAAGCTGTAACAGAAGAAAGCGGCGGAGAACAGCATGATGACGAGTAAAAGTATGGGAAGTGCGCTTCCAGATTGGCCACCTGCGGTGACACCAGCGTCTAAATAACGATATGTTAGTATACACAGCTGGTTAACTCTCATGTCAATGTAGAAGACTCACAAACACCAAGAAGACCGATGAGGAAAATGAACGACACAATTGATTGCAGCAATGCAGTTCGGACCTTTCGTGACTCAGGCCGCGGGATGCAAAAGAGCAACTTGCGAGGCTTTGACGACGTAGTAGCATTGCCCTTCTCAGAAAGGTAGTTGTCTGTGTCGCCCAGCTCTACATCTCTCAGTTTCGATCTCACAAAGGCCCTAGTTGGGGGATCGGGCAGGCGGACTTGGCGGATTGGAATATTGCGCTCGTAGATGGGGCGAACAGCGGGAGCCTCTCGAGCGTGAGGCAGGCGACCTTGTCGACGAGGAGTTTGTCCATCGCGACTAAGGGCAAAGGGTACTTTTACACCTCTGCGGCCAGGATTCTCAGAGCTGAAGCTGCTTCTGCCACGACCAGCATCTGGGGGCACAGAGCCGCTTCTGTTAGCTGAACTACCGGGGTTACCAGAGCCACCGACGCGAACAATATCCAAGCTTCGCTGTTGTGTTAAAGTGCGGCCATGGACAGCAAAGTCGGGATGAGGTGCTGGGAAGCGAGGGGGAGGCTTGTCTTGCCGATAGTTTGCAATAGCGTCAGGCAATGAAGACGTAGAGGGGCGAGGAGATGCGGATCGGCTTCCAGGCAGAGATAGAGGGGCGGGCACAGCAGCACCCATTGCAAAGGAATAGGAAGCATCTTGCTGTTGGCGAGTCGATGCCATATCTTCGCGGGCTTGGGCTCGGCGAAGGAGATCTGCGCGGACACGCTCCATGCGATCGTTCCCCGCAGGCATGATGAAGGCTGTGTGAAATAAAAATCAATATGTTTTCCGTTTGAAATAAGACAATTGAGTAAAATTGTGAGAGTCGATTAGGCAAGAATGGAAGAGAGTAGCGATGATATAACAGGTTGTGTATAGTAATGCAGTTGGTATAAGAAGCGAACCAAAGCTGCCAGCAACTTGGAGATGAAAGAAATGCAAGACCGATCTCTACTCGATGACCATGCCAACTAAAGAGGGCAGATGGTTAGAAAGGGCGATTTTAGAAGACAAATGATGCGTACTGACTTCTTTTATTAAGCTTCGTAGTAGGCAGACTAAAGATATCGTGCGGTCTGAGCGGGCCTGCGCACTGCCGTGTCAGATTTGGTCCGTTCACCACCGTTTTAGCAACACCCAAGCAGGCTAGACCTGTCCTTTTTGGTGGGAGGTCTATTCTCGAAGTTTGAGTGATGGGGCACATTGTTTGAGGCGTGCCAGTTGTTTGGGGTTGCGCAGATGGCGCCGTTTCGCAGAGTTGCCAGTCCGCCAGTCATCATTGGCTAGCAGCGGCTGTCCGCAGGCAGACGACGGTTTCGTTTATTCCTGCGGCGAATCGGAGCCACCTGTTTGCGCGCCATTAGATGATTTCTGCTTTCGCCTTTGGTTGCTTTTGTTTCCCAGTCGCGCTGTTTTGTTTTACTATCGATTCGATGGTATCGCAAACGAAAACTCCGTGATGTGCACATGATGAACGAAAGCAAGTAAACTGCAGATCACATTGCGCGTGGCACACTGCATACGGTTACACAGTCATGTTTAATATATCATAATGCGTTTCATTTTCTAATTGTACAATATCCCGTCTATATGGTCAGGTATGCCCATCCGCCTCCCCTTTGCCGTCCTAGCGATGCCGTCCTGCAGACACCGCAACTTCCCGTTGCACTGCCGGCCTGTGCGAGCGAGTATGAGTATTAGCGGATTAGCTTCTACGAGGCGCACGTTTTTTTCTTGTTACACAAGTATTCTCCCTTTCGGCCGTGATATGTTTTGATGAAAAGCGCAGGGTGGAATGTAGCAAGTCACCGTAGGAGGTACGTGCACTCGACCAGTAGGGCCGTGCCCGCTTCAATAGACATAGCACAAGGCATGCGGCGCAACGGCCCAAAAAAGACATAAAGACCAGCCTATTCGTTTCATTGTGTTTCAAGGGCTTCCGCTTGTTGCTCTTCTTGGGGGGATTATGGCGATATTCCTTCAGCGGCGCAAAGCTGAGGATGGTTATGTTTTGGAGGTGCAGCTCCAAAGTTTCAAGGAATGACACCCGGTCTTCACTTCAGCTCGCCGAGAATCATAGTTCGGTCAGATGAAGCAGACAAAACTAAATCAACAATATTAGAAACCAAATCAGAACAATAGACGTTTTAGAAAGGGGCAAAGGCATGTGTGGAAACTTACGAATCGGCTCCGCGTTGGGTGAGAACTCGGCGCAATTAACGGTGCCTCGGTGGCCAGGAAGCTTGTAAAGAAGCTTACCAGTTTCACTTGACCAGACCACCACTGTACCATCGCCTGATGCGGCAGCAATCTTCTTTCCATCGCTGTCCCAGCTAGCACGCAGCAGATTCTTCTCACTGCCAACAGTCGCGCCGTCTAACGTCCGGATATGTCGCTCAGTAGGCGCAAACGGGCGAATATCCCACGTCCGAACGGTGGAGTCCATAGAATATGAGAGAAGTGACTGAGAGTCAGGCGATACACGGAGCGACGTTACAGTATCGCCATGGCCTAGCATCGAGTATACCACAGCCTTTTTGCGGAGATCCCACACTCGAATGTCATTGTCGATGCCTCCTGAGTAGATTTCATTACCTGCAGATGATATTGCCAGGGCTGTAATAGGAAAGTCGGTCTGGATATAATCAACGGCGTGCTTGCTGCGTGGATCCCATATTCCAATTGTCGAGTCGTCGCTACCACTTACGAGCAGTTCTTCACCACGACGGCTAATATCCATTGTGTTCACAACCTCTTCATGTCCAATATATCTTCGAATCCTAGTGCCAGAGGTGAGATCCCAACTAGCAAGATGCGTATCTGCTGATGCGGAATAAAGAATCTCGGAATCGCGAGACCATTGTAAGTCGAGAATCGCGCTCTTGTGACCTTGAAGGACGCCATAGTTTTCGCAGTCGCCATATGTTCGCCATAACACTATGCCAATTAATATTCGCTCTAATACCACTTTTTGTATCACCAACTTACTGATAGTTCTATCCATGGACCCAGATGCTATAAGATTGCCAGTTGGATCAAACTTGGCGGCAAATACTTCGCCCGTGTGCCCAGATAACTCCATAACCGGTGCTTGAAGCGCGCTCGTTCGTGGGACCTGCTAATAATCAGAAACTGTATATAGTATTTCCACGCCATTAATCCTCACATTTTGGCTGTTGGACGCATTTAGACGCGCCAAAGCGCCATTGGAGGCTGTCACATTCTGTCTCTTAACGAGCACTTGGGAGGATGGGTATCCATCCGCAGGGCGCTTTTCAGCCGACATATTTTAATATATGTTGGTAATAGATATTATGAATGTATAATCGCAAAATAATCCGATCGGCTGTCACTGTGTGCTTCGCAATGTCGAGATATGGTGTGGGCAAAATTTCATGAAGGAGCTCTCTAGCCTGCGCAGAAAATCAGCTAGTCCTATTGGCTGTCGCCGGGCCGTCGATTGTTCCCTGTCCAGCGCGCCCCTACTACAGGCTACCCACCAAGTTGAAGCTCCCGAGCTACAACCACCAAGTGCATATCTCCGTAAACCCGACGGATTACCTACGATACTCTGAATAGTCCTAGAGGCTATTCTATTCGGACACCTGAGATATTTTATTTCACTTCGTTGTAGCAATATCCCAGCCTGTGCACTGCGACAATACGAACCACAACACCTGCCTGGAAGACCCGCCAAACCAACCTCACCGAATAGCTATGGCATCGAGTAAAGCATCTCGCGTTGGCGAGGAGTAAGTTCAAAATTCTCACCGGTCCTCTTTGTCTGTCTAATACTTTTGTAGGATTTGGAAGTACGTCCCGACCCCGATTGCATGCCAAAGTGTTGCACCTAACCAGTTATAGGACACGAATCGACAAAGTAAATGCGGAATTAGTAACTTTAACATACGGCACTGTTGTTGCGCAGCTATGCAAAGATTACGAGAACGATTACGCTGAAGTCAACAAGCAGCTGGACAAAATGGGCTATAATATCGGACTGCGCTTGATCGAAGACTACCTAGCAAAATCGAATACCATGAAGAGATGCGCGAACTTCAGAGAAACTGCGGATATGATTTCAAGGGTACGCGTAGCCCACATGCACAGATAATCCTTCAATTCTAGGCTGTATACTAATGAAGGGCTAGGTTGGCTTCAAAATATTCCTCAACATCACACCACAGGTCACGAACTGGACCAGCGACAACAATCAATTCTCCTTAGTGTTTGACGAAAACCCTTTTGCAGACTTCGTGGAGCTGCCAGATGATGGCCGTGCTCAAGATGAGCTATGGTATTCAAATATTCTATGCGGCGTCCTGCGCGGTGCTCTGGAGATGGTGCAAATGCAAGTAGAGGCTCACTTTATTAGTGATATTCTCCGCGGGAATGACACGACAGAAATGCGAGTGTCGCTAATACGATATATCGATGACGAGCTACCCCCAGAGGATGACTAAATATAGACATTGTACTCAATAGATAAAAATTAGCCATAGACCTATCTAACTTGCGCATTTATTTAAAAAAAATTAAGGTCAATCACACGTGCATTGATTCTGATTTTTGAGGATCAAGTAGTCAGGCAACTGGGATAAATCGTGTCAAATGCGTCTCAGCCAGTTCTGAAAAGTTAATAGCAGCAGCAGGCCCTTTGGAAGACAGAACATGCAATAAACACATAGATACATTTCTATAAAACTTGTTGGAACCGCTACAGGCGTGGTAATCAAGGTTGCACCTGTAGTTCCTATTGGTGGTCCTTCAGTGCAGCGTGTTGGTCACTGGCCCATCTGACTCGATATCAGCCTTGCCTTTGCCTAAAACGTCGTTGGAAAAGTGGAATGCCTGAGGTTATCACAGTGCGAAATGGCGAGGATCAGGCTGTGACAAAATTTACGCATCACGGTATAGACATTACGCACCCTATGCTCAGGGTTACGCGGGTGGAGCCCCGCTCACAGTGCTACAACTTGGGGCCCTGTGCGCCATAGAGGCCGCGTCTTTGTCGCGGCTTCAGGGGGGACACAACGCTATGTCGCGCCAATTTTGGCAGACTTGTTTCTGTGATAGGTTCGTGCTCGTAGCCAGTCAGCTCCATACAGTGCCAATAATCTGGTCAGTTCACAGTGCACTGAGGCTTCTTCAACGGGCTGTCCAGGTGCCTGCGTTGCGGCGACCATCTTGGCGCAACTCTGGAGCGCAACTCTGCACTGACACAGAATTCTTTTTCCTTTCGGCAGCTTTCTATTTTCTGGGGTTTTAATTTTCTGGTGAGGGTTTTTGGAACATTCAGATGCTTCCTCTGTTAGTCAATTAAACCCATTCTCACTCATCAATTGTCGTGGTGCAGTGGTACGTATATCTAGCCTCTCGTTTTTTTCCTTTTGAGACTTGCAGGCGGTTTAGTAGCCAAACCCGCCGTACTGTAGCGGCCCTGCCATACCCACGCTCACACATCCGCCCAACCCCCAGCCCCCGACACCAAGTCGCTCTCGATCGTTGATCCTCTCAACTTTCTCTCTCCCCCAAAGGCCCTTTCCCTTTGCACTCGCGATATCCAATCCTTTGGGAATTTTTTATCGAGATTCAAGGAGGCTGTTTTTACTTTTCTTTCGTTGCTCTTTGATCCTCCTCCTGCAACCTCTCTTTTCCTTTTCTACCTCCAAGTTGCCACGCACTTGGGCTTTGCGCAGCCGGTCTCATTTCCGCCGCCCCCCAAGAGGCGTCAACCAGGAAAACCTCGCCTTGAGTCGCACCAAACTCTGTTCCATCCTCACTACACCTGCTCATCAAGTTCGGTCGTAGAAAGGCTTGCCACGTTTCTAGAAACCCAGCGACCACTACCCGGCGTTTCTGTTTATCTTTGCCTCTAACAGAACCCTTTAGTGTTGCAGAACACTCGCCCTCTCCCACAACGCCGGATCGGTCGCAGTCCGCCAAGTGCCCAACCGAAAGCGACTCTAGCCCGCCACATCCATCTTTCATCGATTTACATCCGACGACTCGCCCCTCAAGAAGCGCGCTATTAGCGATCAGATTCTCACGAGTTATTCATTGCTCGCGCTGTCGCCAGACACACGACGATCCGTTACCGCGACTGCATCAGATTGACAGCGACGCCCCAGTCATCTTAGGCACAGATTCTGTTGCCAAAACGCAAACCATGGCGATGAATCCCAACGCCACCATGGCTGCAATGAACCCTATGGGAGGGCCTGTTGGTGGTGCGCCGATGGCAATGATGAACCCGGGCGCCATGAACCCTCAAGCTGCTGCCGCTGCCAACGCCGCTGCTGCCAGGCAGCAACAGCTTAATGATAACCAGCGTGGTGTCCTCAACACTTATATCTACGACTACTTTATTCGATATGGCATGTTCGACTGTGCGAGATCGCTCCTCTCTAGCGATCAGCAGGTGAATGTCCACAAGGATGGCAAAAATGGAGCCAATGGGCTGGGAGACGATGCCATGGACACAGACTCTAAAGACGACATTGACTCGAAGCTACCCGAAGACCTTCCTCCGCCTAAGCTGCCTATGGTAGCATCTGATACCTCTTTCTTGCATGAGTGGTTCTACCTCTTCTGGGACATTTACACGGCCCAACGCGCAAAGGGTGGAAATGGTACTGTTAACCAATATGTCGCACATACCCAGGTTAGTATTGATGCTTGATCGAATTCCTTGCTATTCCATCACCTATACATCTGCTAACTCATTCACCAGCAACAGGAACAGTTGATGCGTCAGATGCGACCAGATCTTGCACAACAGCAGTATCAGATGCAAATGGTACGCAACATGCAAAATGGCATCGGCATGAAGAACAATAACCTAGCGCGTGCTGCCATGGCCAACAACCAAAAGTAAGCTAACCCCCATATTATATCTTGCAACCTCATTACTGACCCTAGATGTAGTCCGCAAATGATGATGGCAGGTGCGAAGCAGAATCCGATGCAACGTGATCCTTCAGCCATGGACGGCAACCGTCCGTCCTCTCCCGCCTCCGGCGAAAACGCTCCTTCGCCCAATGCCAAGCGCCAACGACTCGACTCGCAGAGTTTCAACGGCAACCCATCCGGCAGTATGCCCAACGGGCAACCCGTCCCAGGCATGGCAAATAACAACACGAACATGGCCACTGCGCATCAGATGCTCACTAACCATGGCATTAACCCGAGTTCGTTGACTGCACAGCAGTTGCACAACTTCGCCAATGCACCCCAAGCAGCCCGACTTAAGTCTATTCAAACATACTCTCAAAATCTCAGCCAGCAACAAGGAACTCAGATGGGCAATAAGCCCATGCAAAATGCTGCTGGTGCCCAAAATCAAGGTTCCCCCATGGTCCCCCAAGGCCCGGATGGAGCGGCTCTCAATGCCTTCTACAATGCAAATGATATCGCCGGCCCTGGTGGTATGCGCGCTGCAGGGCCAGGTGGCGCTCAAGCTGCATCTGGCAGCAACCATGCCCTGCAGGACTACCAGATGCAGTTGATGCTTCTTGAACAGCAAAACAAAAAGCGCCTGATGATGGCTCGCCAGGAGCAAGACAACATGGGCGGAGCTCAACCCGGCGGTCCTACCACTGGCCCCAATGGCCAACCCTTCCCAGACGCTTCTCCCCAAGCAGTTCGTGCTGGGGCTTCACCCAACCCAGCCGACCAGGCCAAGCGTGGAACGCCTCAGATGAATAACTCTGGTATTCCCTCGCCAGTACCCGAAGGTGGACAGTCCCGCGATTCGCCCAACCCAGGCATGAACTTTATGCCTGGTCACGTCGACCCTAACATGGCGCCGCACTTTTTCAAGGGAATGGAAGGACAGCCTCAGATGAACGGCATGCGACCTCCCAGCTCGCACCCCGGTCAGCCCTTCAACCAACAGCAGATGATGGCAGCTAGACAAGGTCAAACAGGCGCCCCAGGCAACCCTCAACAGTGGCAGCAAGGCCCTAATGGCCAAATGACTCCTCAGGGAATGCAGCCTGGCCAAGGTACACCACAACAGCGGGCTATGCCACCACCCTCTGCCCCAACCGCGGCAGCAAATGGTACTGGCAACCGAACTACAGCCTCGCCACAACAGGCTGCGGCAGCTCCCCCTACGCCTAATCAGACCACCAAGGCAGCGCCCAAGAAGAAGGAGACCAAGGCTCAAAAAGAAAAGAGAGCTGCTGCCGCTAAGAAAACCGCAGCTGCAAACGCTTCAGCTACCCCAGTAGCCGATGCTAGCAGCGAGCAGGACGCTGCCCCAGCTACTCCCATGACCCCAGCTACACAGGGATTCCCCAAGAACGCGACGGCAACTACTGGTGCTGCCGCGGCGAGCACCCCAGCGACCACCGCCGGTACTGGAGGCCCTGGTATGCCTGGAGACCCAAGCCAGAACACCATCAGCATGGACACTTTTGCCGACATGAACTTTAATGTTGGTCCTATGGAACTGGCCAACCCTTTGCAATCAGGCGATGTCTTGAACGATTTTGACTTTGACTCGTTCTTGCACGATGGTAATGATGGCAACGACGGCGGCTTCGACTTCAACGCCTTCGGTAACATGGATGGCGGCGAGTTGGCTGCTGAATGATGAAAATGTTCTCTGTGTTGATGTCTTGGTACGTGGTGTTATGGACGAAAAAGAGAAAAGGAAAAGATATCCCTTCCCCCCTTCCTGGCGTGACTCTCTTGCGTCGCTGCTACTCTGCTTGTTTTTTGTCTTTTGCTTCGACGGCGGAGATAAACACATTGCTTGTTCTTTCTATCTGCTCTTCTTGGCTGCTCATTGTTTGGCGTTTGATCGCTTTGCGGTTCAGACTTAATAGGGCGTCTTTGTGCAAACGTATTTACTCCTACTTGGCGTTTGTTGACAGCTGCTTTGCTTGTTTTCCTTCGGTTTATTTCGGCTTTTCGGTTCCTTGTCGATTCCATTTCGTCTTGTTAGGTTTTTTAAGGGAGAGGGATCTCATGGCGACTTGACGTTGCTTTCAGGCAGGCAGATAACAATCAATTATCATGCTTCTCGTTGAACGATTGGACGAGACCGGGTATTGGTTGTAGTTGGAGCGTGGAGTCAAACTACGTCCTTTCCCGTTTACCATCCATAACGATGAGCAAAAAGCTTGCCTGTTTCTAGTTATTTTCCGGTCACCTGTAGGCCGATAGATGCCCGGGTGATCGCTGGTATTATAAGTCACATCTTTCTGGTTTTGTGTATTTTTTTTCTTCGTCGCATCTAACTTTATACGCCCTTTGTCCTTGCAACGAGCGAGAATATGAATAAAATTTACGTGCTTTTTAAATTGATGCTCTGTGAGTATTGCAATATGTTTAAGTGAGGCTGGTCTTCAATGTTGGTATGATTTGCTATCAATCATGCGCATCCTGCTGGCTCATCAGATGGCGGGATGCCCTGCAACGCGCCATCGCCAATCCTCTCGCCCAGGTGCACAATGGTATTTTCATATACTCTTGCAGCATCAAGATGCATTTCATCACCTTCAAAGTGCCATTTTCTTCCCATTTCCGTTGAATCTGTCTCAGTGCCGGTTTCATCTCCAGTCTCATTATCAGCGTCAGTGTAGTCGTCTCCACGAGCCTGGCTCATGATTTCAACCATAAGCACGCGGGTCTGTTCTACCAGACTCCTGCAGCGGACCATATCAGTAGTTGTCATACCTGAGCGTAGACCATTTTCAAACCCAGGTAATGACTCTCTCGTTGTGATATCTTGTCCGATCAGAAGTGATGAGAAACAGTGGTCCAGTTTACGTAGCAGCGCGAACGTCGCGCGCGGTGCTGGCGGAAAGGATCGTACATATTGTGTAAAATCGCTGGCCAGCTTAAGCAAGAAAGGTATTTGCAATGATGCTATATTATGTTAGAGGATCATCCGTGCTATGAACATTGGCTTGAGTGGATGCGCCACCTACGTGTTCCGGAAAGCCAGAGTACATTGACTACTCCATCAAGCTCGCTGCAAACCTCGGAAAATGATGTGAATCCGGAGACTGTGTCTGAAGGGTTCGGTTGCCCGAACTTCTTGACGTATCGACGCGAGACATTGAGTAGCTTTTCTTCAACATATCGCCTCACGGTGCCTTCCTTGCTCGATCCGGCATGCAAAGCAGCAGCGCGAGGGTGAGGCAGCTGAGAAGCTGCACCAATGCGCGATGATGAGTTTGACGGTGACGGTGACGGTAGCCCTGTATTCGGTATGAAGCCCCCTGCTTGGTCGCTATCGGCGTCCATCTTCGACACTTTCGTTGGGTTAGGATGGAGTTGGCAACGCTTTACGGTACAGGCAATGCGCCCATGATTGGTCTCCACCCGAGGTGCTGATAGTGATTGCACAGGTGCTGACTATATTCCGTTGCATTGGTAGCTTCTGTCATCTCTGTAACATATACATAGTCATACAATCTTGATATGCATTCTATGCAATTTTGCTTCCGTTTTTGATAGTTTATTTGGAGTATGTGCCATCGGGGATAGATTGAACTTGGGAAGTCAGTGTGCTCGGCGCCAGCGTACACCACTAAGACACGGAGCAGGCGGCTGCTACGCCAAGGAGCCTAACACTTTAATGAGAAAAATCATCGAAAACCATAAATAAAAAGGAAACAATATCACTGGATTTTTTTTTTCGATAAAAATATATAGGCAGAAAGATAGATAACTCTCAAGTCAGCAAGCAAACACCGAATTGTTGCGATTAGTACCGGGTAGCCGGCCTCTCGAACAACAAAAAAGTGGGCCTTACACTCAACACTGCGAATTTTCAAAGCGTGCATATCGCTCGCCATCGATGGTCTTGGTTCTCCTTTCCCCTTTCTATCAACCAAGTCGCACACCATCCGAGATTGTTAGCTACACCGAATTGAACACCAAATCAACCATAAAAATATCACAAAATGCAGCCCAAGAGAATCCAGGTTGAGCGCTCTGGCCGTCGTGCGCCCAAGGGTGTCATTGCTTCTACCTACGATACCCTCACCTCACCCGACAATGCTGCTGTTGTTCGCAGTGTTGCACTCTTTGGCGTAAGATACACGATCTATAACAAACCAGGGAACCCAATCGCTAATACATAGCAGGCTGCCATTGCCGTCCTCTCTAGCTCATGGGGCGAGTTTCTCCTCCCTCCGTAAGCTGCCACGCACTCTCATTTACAAAGCTCATTGACTAACCTGAATCGGCCAACAGTCAGTAAACCACTGTAACGATACTTGACGAATTGCCGCAGTGCGAGACGAAATAGGGCCGCTCGATAAGCGCCGTTCGCCATCAGCGATGCCAATTTGACAACCAGACGACCGGAACAGTCGATGTACCAACATAAAATATAGAAGGCAACAACATGACGGACCTGTATAATAACTATTTACCTTATCATGATATGAATTGGATCAGCGCTTGAGATAGAGCTATATGGCATAGTCATTGTTGGCGAGCCGTGACCAGGGAGAGCAAGTAACAGGGATAATATCCTATGAATATAATTGTATCATTTCACCAAGAAGGGCCAACTCGCACTATCAACTATTCATGACAAGGGAACACTTAGCGTAAAAAGGGCACGCCTTTCTATGGGCCTGGAATGTGCACAGCAAAGTACGCTATGCTGGTGGTGGCGTGTATGACGCTTAGCGTGTGAAGGGATGAAACGAGTTTCAGGGTCGCACATGGCGTATCTGCCAGCACGTCGCTAACCTGTGGGAAGTGCGACTTTGCTTCCTGCTTCGTTGAACCTTCCAATTACAACAGCAGTGAAGATAAACATTTCTCCATAGGAGACAAGCCGGAAAACCGCCTACTGTCCTATTGTATATTGTTCGCCGACGTTACGCCCCTAAGCCTCATGCTGCAATACACACAACAATCGATATACTAGGCGACATTGGCCAACAAGTATCGCCTTACACCACCTATATCCTTTTATTTCTTTTTGGATACAACTCTGTCCTTGCTCAAGAATATCTTCCATTTTTGTCATGGCTACCACCAGCCTACATTCCGTGGCTGCTGGATGGCAACGACCTGGTCAAGTCCATCCACAGCCAGGACAAAAACTGGCAGACCTCGTCTCCAAATTCGAGGGCCTTGAGAAAAAGCCAAAGAGACCATCCGTTCCATCGGAAGTGAAACTTAAGCCTGTTAACACCAAACCGCCTGGAACCGATTCCTTATCTCTGTCTCGAAGTGCGACCAGCAGCTCTCAAACTGGGAGAGCTGAGGCCAAGGATTCAACTCCATCTTCAGTCAAATCACAATCACTGCATATAGTGGGAGGAAAAAGCAGAAAGGAATCGCTACATTCGTCGGGGATTACGAAACTTGCGACCTGGAAGCTCCAGCCTAAAGTCGAGATCAAAGCACCCACCTATGCAAAGGGTAACATGCCAACTTCAGTGGCAGAAAGAAGAAAGGCATTTGAATGGATTGAAAATGGCACCAAAGGTATAAATAGACCATGTGATTTAGAGTATGGTGTATTAACTAGTGAAAAAGATCAAGCTCGAGCTCCCCGTTCGCCACTTCGACCCATGGCCAAGTCATGTTCAAACCTAAGTACACCTACTAAGGCTATCATTTTCAAGTCTACAATATCAATTCAAGAGAATGAGAATAGTACCGGTATCAAAAACTCTCAAGAGGTGCAAGGCCCAAGCGCGCCGGCGGCTCTTGTAAATCAGGAACCTCGTAACACTTTCCAAGACAGTTCCCTTCGACTGACTGCGACGATCTCCGATGAAATTCAACAAAACCAACCTATTGATAAAAATGAATCGAAAATAGGAGACCCGAGTTTGGCGGATATAGCAGGCCTCCAAGAACAAGTTATGTCATCTTCCAATATCTCCACTTCGCCTAGGCTGCCAACCGGCGATGAGCATGTTATCGGAGCCTCTGTGGAAGAAAAAGACACGGATTTAATGCTCATAGAACCTTCAAAAACTCCCAAACATAGTGCTGGTTCTCCTCATGAGACACTCGAAAATCAAACCACAAATCAGGTCAGCACAAGCCCGGCCGCGTCGAGTCTTAACACACCAATATTCACCGAGGATGAGATTGAAACACTGTTCTCTAAGCTAAGTGAAGAGCCAATTTTTGGACAGAAAAATAATCACAACTATATTTGCTCGTCTAAGTCGCATGGAGCTTTGCTGCACTCTGGCTACCAAACCGATGCAGACCTCGGAAGTACTCTCCCACGTTCTGCCACTACAGAGATTGATACAAGTATAAAGCGACACGAACTTGGACCATGTTATCAACAGGAGCTAAGCAAGAGAGAATCTACTCTTGAGTCGCAATGGACGAAGGGGTGGTTTCCCCGGCGGGATCGAGGGCAGAGGCCAAGTCTATCCCATCAGGTGGCACATGCGGATGAGACAAAGAAGATACCTGTTCGAACGAAGGAGACAATTGGGCTTTTTGAATCCTTGACATATAAAACATCAAGTTCAGTGCTACTATCGAAGCCACCACCTCCATCCAGTTTCGTTAGCTCCGAATTGGCAGACGAAATGCCACCACCGACTGATACCCGGATGGACAAGCCGAAGGCAACATCACGCGGATGGTCAGGTTCCTGGAATCGTAGGAGTCAAAGAAGGGGTGCAGGAGTAACTGGAATGGATACTACAAAGCACGATGGTACAAGCCGAAAGCGAAAAACTTGGACCTTAGGGATCGCAAAAGCTGACCTTAGCGACCGTGAGGATTGCCAGCAGATTGATAGTGCTGATGAAGGTGGCCCCAAAACGAGATCGAAGCGAATCATATCCAGCAGGTATTGGTCTGATAGGATAGGGAACCGATCAGAATTAGCTCCTCATGCCGCCAAAACTCAACACGGCATCAGAGAGATACATATTGAGGATGTGACGCAGGATAAAATGCTATTCATGGAAGCAGATATGAATTCCATACAAGTTCCTCGCACGCGAGCTCGGCGATGGTTCTCTCGCAGTACTAAGAATATTGTGTTGGGATCAACCGCCGAACTAAAAACGCCTATGCCGAGAAGAGGGAGCGAAGTACGGCGCATTATTAGCCTGTGTAAGGGAAAGGTTGTTGGGCACTGGCAAGAATCCGAAGACGGATGCAAACATGGAGAGGGACAAACTTGATACACTGTATACATTTGATGGGAAGAGTTGATGGAAAGAGACGACGATATTCCTATAGGCCGAGAGGCTGCATTGTACTTCTGTAACACTAAAAAGCAATATGTCTTAAATGAAGAGGGTGTATTCTTAAATTACACCGGTATTTCCTGCCGTATTCCATAAGGAAGACTCAGAAAGGTCATGTAGTTCCTGTATGATGTTGGCGTCTTGGCCAAACCTGTCACGAAACTAGGCACAATCTCAAGCAGTTTTTTCAAGTGAATTCCTGATCGTAGAACCGGAAGCAAAACGATCAATTTGCGAAAGCTCGAGATCAATAGGATCGCTGATGGTTCTTGGATGGGATATACTTCCTTCGTGATACAATGTCCCGTGTGATCGACTAGTGATTTCATGGTTGAAGTCGGTGTATCTGTCAATCTTGGGTCCAGCAGGTGGCTAGTTTGAGTGTGAAGCAAATGGACGTTTGACGAAGGTTAAAGACACATCAGAAGGAGTTTGGTAATTTGAGCCACTGTTGGCACTTCCATCCAGCATAGAAGAAGCCGAAATGCGTTGGGCTGCAAGAGAACCAAGTGGAAGAATGATGACAACTGATGTAACGGTAAGAGACCCCACCTCAAAATCTATACCTTTGGACCATTCCAAACCAGCGAAGACGGCTAGATAGATTAGCGGCGAATGACACAAGCTTAAATTGAGTCGACTTACATGGTATAAGCATGAGAACACCGTTGGCCATGATGAGAACCTCCATTGGAGTAACTGTTGAGCGATTGGGCAGAATGCCTCGATTTGAAATCATGTGGAAGAGAAGCTTCGCGTTGAATATGGCGCAGAACCAGAAGATAGAAGCGGTGTTCATGATAATGGCCCAGTTGAAGCCCCACGAGAAGTATACGGGGGGGATCAGGGTGATGATTGCTCGATTTTGAATAACAACGAGAGCAAAACGGCTACCTAAAGTAAGAAGAGTCACGATGACTGAAGTGACCGAGACAGTGTACTTGACTGAAGGAGGCCAGAAGGTGACCATGGTCCACGCTTGGCTCATAAGAGCAGCTTCTGTTACCGCAACCTGTACCATAGAAAACGTGGTTGCAACGACCGCAATACGAGTATCAGAGGCTGGGATGTTTCGATAATCTTGGGCCCAAGTCTCATAAAATCGGTTGGCATGAGCATGCATGCTGGTGTACAAAAGACTCATCCTGACGATGGAAATGACCAGACCGGAAATATGGAGGATTGTAAGCAGGCGTCTCAATTTGACAGACGGGGTCATGAATAGGACGACAAATAGCATGACAACCGTCGCTCCTAGCTGCGCTCCGTAGTTGGCACTGGTCGCAAGGTTGGAGTCGTTGTAGAAATCTATGTCGGGTATTGGGATTGCGATGCTTGTTATTCCGTCCGAAGCAAGAATGGTGGCATTTTGCGTATAAGGATCGAAGGAAGATTGAAGAGGAAGCTGTTCCATATTCAGATGCTTGACGTCCAGCGTCTTGAAGTGGATGGAGGCTATTGGGAAGTTGATTGGTGGAATTGAGAAACCAATCCAAGATGGTGTAAGAGAAGACGTTGCCAACTAGTCAAATGAAAGCAGAAATATAAGGAACATAAAATGATCAAAGATAATTATTAGAATTGAAGAGCTAGGCAGAGTCGGCTAGATATATAGGTTGGTGGAAGCAGTAGGAAGACTTGCAGCCATTGTCCACAGCCAACTTGTATGTTGTCACAAAACTGACCACGCTCTGTTCCATTACTGACAATCCTTTTACATTTTAAATGCTTTCACAATCGGAGGAATCCCGATGCTCGCGGCTCGTCTCCTATGCTGAATGGCAAGCTGCCGCATGTATTGTGTACTTGGACGGCTCAGATGGTGGCGGCGGGGCCTGGGGCCTTAGTATTGTTCTTGCGGGGCGCCTTAGTATTGTGGTGGACGGAATTGCAACGCCAGATCCCGTGTAATGCTAGCTGTGGGAGGTACATGTACTTTTGGAGTAAATAGAGTTTTTTGGGGGGATTCTCTCTTTGGAAGATTTGTATAGGATGTAGCCTTGGTTGTGGGAGATGGGTCGGCGCAATGTTGACTAGTCGTGCCTGGTAGAAGCAGCGCCCGCCTAGGTTCAAGGACTCCAAGTAGCGTTTTATAATCAACGTTGCTATCATTTCCAGAAATCTGAATGGAATTATCTTATTCTAGATGCTGTCTTTATGTTTTGTTGCTGCTGCCGCCCAGGCGTGATCCTTTTCTCAGCACTGAGACAAGTAAGTCAGGGTCCTGGTAGCCCAGTGGTGCATTAAAAGCCACGACAACAGAGAACAATGCTAAGCCCACCTCTAGAGGCTGTTTGCTTAATATTCGACCTGTTGCCAGCGGGAGCTTGCTTGCCGCTCGTCGTTCCGCTGCTAGTTGCCGCGCCCCCCTCGATAGGCCATTCTGCATATGTACTATGCCTAGTTAGCCCTGTATTCGTCTACACGCGGGCTGGTAACATGCCCATCCCCTCTCCAATCTTCTTAGCTAGAGCCTTTTTCAAGTACCATTCTCTGGCTAGTGATCTTGTCCTCTTGGCGAAGACCGCTGGTGTGATTTTTCCCTTCTCCAAGGCACGCCCTAGCATAAAAATGGCATCTCCCAGTGCCCGTTCTTCCGCGACTAGCGCGTAGAGTTGATTTGCTACCACGGTTGGTGCTACCAGCAGCTCATCAATATCGGGCTTGGAGTGGTTGCGCGATCCATCAATGATTGCATCTGCCTTGTGCATAGCATCGTGGAGGATGTTAGTGTTCGAGGTTAATACATTTGAAAGTTGAGTAAGTTGGCTAGCCTCTGATTGAAGAGCCGAAATGGCTCCAGTCATGGCTGCACGTTGAGCGTTCAAGCCCGCCATGCTCGATTCATTCTGCTGGCGGCTCTGTTGGCGCATAGCGGCCAGAGTATATGCAAGTTGCCGGAGCAGAGCATCTTTTTCCGGATTAGGAGGAATAGGAGGTGCCTTTACTATTGACGGTGGTGGAATGTCTAGTGTTAGGGGATCATCAAGTAATAAGTCTGCAGGGGGAGGGGGAGGCTGGTGCTGCTGCGGTTGGGTGTTTGAAAACGGAACTGACCCATGGTTATGATATGCCACAGGGTGGCGGCCATGGTCCTGATTTCCCTGAACTGACTGTTCCTGCTGGCTACCCCATGCGCCAGTCTGCCGGACTGGTGTCCATTGTCCTTGACTGTATGAGGGGGCTCCATCCAAATTTTCCACGGCTTGGAGCTCCATGGGTTGATTGCCGTGTATGGAGTGCTGCAATGACGCACTGGGGTGATGGCGTTCCTCTGGAGGCGATTGATATGCTACGGGATGTTGAGAGGCTCGACTGCCAGGCGGAGGTGGAGGCTGCTGATGCGACAGATGGGTTTGTGGGGGGAGAGGTGGCGCAGACTCATATCTTGAGGGAATCCGTGATTGGGGCGTCTGTTTTGGCAAAGGTGGCTGTGGAGGCCCTGCGGATAATGAAGAACCTATGGCGTGGTGAGGCGACTTCGGTGGAGGACGAGGCCCAGCCGTAGAAGCTGACGTGGTAGAACTCAGGTATTCATTCGGCCGTGCTGTCGTATCTTGTGATAACCGGGGAGGAGGAGGAGGCGGGGGGGACGCGATTTGACTCGGGGTTGCAGGAGTTGGTCTGCCTTGTTGTCGCGCAACCACCGGCGGTTCTTTGGCGAATACGTCTGTTAATATTGCCATGAAGTCTTGCAGGGTTGATTTCTATGTGATTTGTGAGTCTTTTTTCATGCAAAAGTCCATATAATGTCAACTTACATCCCAAAACTGCGCCCATCCAACAAGATACGGGTGGTATACTTGGCCTTGCGGGTCAACATGTTGGCCGGGCCGCACTGTCATGGTTTCGGTGGGAGTGACATATATGAGAGGTGGCTCTCGCGGGTAAGCGTGAGGTACCCATACTGAGAGAGGAAATCTATACGTGTTGCCGCGGAAGTTGACGGGTATTGTGCCAGAGAGATGGAGGAGCAAGGCGCTGGAGCCATTGGAAAATGCTGTCACTCGTTAGACCTCCAGTGCGATGTTCCTCTAGCAGTTCGCTTACTATGGACGTCGGTTCGGGGGGACAAAGATGGATATCGAGTTAAAACTTGTGCGACATCGTCATAACAGCGGTTCACATCGTGATATTCCTGCGCAGTGGTTAATTTATGTTCCTCAGAGTTGCTCACGCAAACGTACGCTAGTTAGGACACTATACAGCCAGTTCAGCACGTGCTGCTGAACAGGCATTTTGACAGTGAGTTAAAATAAAATTCAACGGTCCATATATATGGCACTATAGAATTAACCAAGTGAGGCCACAGTGTTGTGCGCTTTGTAAGGTGACGTTGTTAATAGCTAGGCCTCACGAGGTTACGTAGCTGCTGGGTCGCCCAAGACGCGGGGCGGGGACTAGTTGACTTTTGGCTTGGCGCGCGCCGCCATTGACTTACCTCAAGTTTGATATAGGTTAGGCGGTGGCGCCAACATGCCTACTGCATGCATAGGATCCGTAAGTGAAGGTATATTTGAAGAATAAATTTATAGACATGAGAAGCGAAAATGGAATTATAATTGCAGAAACTGGCTAGTACTACATGTTTGCTACATACTATTTAGCTATGGCAAAGCAACGCTCTGAAGATGCCGCGTCGTTCCCCCACCAGTTCGGCGCTTTAATGACTTTGCCTGCACCAAAGGCCAGAAAGATCAGCAGCATGTTGAAATTAAACCCTGCTTCAAAGGCAGCAGCAAGAATATAATTCCATCTTGCCCACAAGTCATATCGGTAGCGGAAAGCCCAGTACATGACGACGAAGCCTCCAATGAAGCGAGAAAAGTATCCAGTGCTGATGTTGCCATAGAACTTTGAACAGGTTGAAAAGAAGATTGTAGTGTTGTACAGATGGAACTTAGCCCGAGGAAACGCTCTGTGAAGCCCAAAAATGACAACAGGAGCGGCGGCACCGACGAGGAAACCAAATGGCACGACCTTCCAGATGTCCTGTTGGAAGAGACGGGCCGGTCCAACGAGAACATATTGAACGCCAGTGGTAAGAGATGTAGCCAGAGACTGACCGGTCCATTGATTTGTGGGGTCCTTTGTAACACCCAAGAGATAGTCTCTCTTGCTGTCTAAAACCCAGCGGATAACAGCATAGTCAATGGGGATGCCAATTAAGGAACCAAAGACCTGTGAGAAGAAGACAGCCTTGGGTGGAATCTTCATGTAATGGCCAATCTTCATGTCTTGTAGATTAAGCTGGGCACGGTACCATGCATCTCCGGCAATGGAGCCGTAGGTTGAAGCGCCGCATGGGTTTTTGAAGCCTGAGATGGCATTGACCATGAGCCCATACCAAAGTTCGTTTGTCGTGCCAATAGCGAGCTGGAAGTTTGACAGAGCATAGAGCCAGCCCAACGGAACGACAACCAGAGCTCCGGTGGCCAGAGCAACAAAATAGGTAAATACTGGGATGAAAAGAAGACCTTTGGCAATGATAACGATGAGGATGACAAACGAGATTAGGAATAAAATAATAAACCAGTACGCCGGAATTTCGTCATATGAGCGCTGTAAGATGTTGAGTTGGTCGGTGTACTGTTCAGTCACTTTCTTCGATGACTTGTTCTTCATGCGCGCGCGGAATTTGGTAATACTCTGCTTGATTTGCGGGTAGCCAAAGAGGCCCATCCAGACAAGAGCCGACGAGTAAGCTGCGTAGTCGAAAAATACGTTCCATAAATACTGGGGTCCAACATATAGTTCTCCATGTTGGTCATATACTGCTTGGTTAAAGGTCGAATCCTTGTTAACCAGCTCCTTTAGCGGATAGGCAGTACCATTTTCTAGACAACGTATTAGCCAATGACCTGTGAGTCACATATAATATAGCTAGTTAAAAAAACGTACCTTGGAAGACACGGTTTGACATGAGCTTGTTGTCCCATTTTGCGAGATGGCCCCATTTTGTAGCAGGAATCAGGACCCAACAGTTGAACACGAAACCGGCGAACATCACAACTTGCGTCCACCATGGTGTGAGGAATAGACTAATGTCTACTCCGATATTTGACCAATCAAGTGATAAGTTGAGGAATCCCATTCCGCCAAACCCAGAGCCGATGAAGTTAGCAGTGGGGTTGTTTGGTGCCACCCAGCAGAGAAAGGCGAGGGAGCCAAGCATTGGGAAGATGTATTCCGGGAGGAACTGCCAAAGAATTACTCCGAGCAATACTAGGAAGAATACCTTCATCTGCTTGCGCGACAAACGACTAGGGTGCTCCCGCTGTTTCTTCTGCGTCTCAAACAGTGCGGATTGACAGAGCCTAATTTAGCGTTATTAGCATCGATCGGGTGGCTGAACGTGGCTTAGGCTTTGACTTACGCTTGGAACCATGGGTACTGGGGATCGTAGATAAGGAACTGGCGGGCCAATGCAGCATACGAATAGCCAGTCCATGTAATAGACAGCATGAAGAAAATGGCTACTGCAGGGTGGACAGGCTGATCGAAATAGAGCTCAGACATGGAGATCGGGGCGTAGCCCAGGTTGTAGGTTGCGCCACTAGCGGCAGAAATGGTGACCAACACATGTTCCTTGGAAGACCATGGTCCTGGGTTGAGCGAAAATGATTTCTTGGTGAACGGGATGCGGATATTGCGCTTGGGGAGGATGTAGGCCAGCAGCATGCCGGCATAATTGCCAGCGATCTGCACGAAAAAGACCGAGTATGGTGCATAGGTGGTTCTGAAATGAGACAACTGGGACAGAAAAGCACCTGGCGCAACGAAGAGAATTGTTAAGAAAAAGTAGCGAAACGTCAATGTGGGCTCGTCGGGATCGTCTGTGAAGCTAACAACGCGGCGAACGTAGGAAGGAATCTCGGCGAGACGTGGGTCATCCTCGGTGACGTCCTCTTCCTGGCCGTCGGGGTTGCGCAAAGTGTAGAGCTTCTTGGCAGATTCGACCTCGATAGCGCCACCAAGATGGTCCGAATCGGAACCCTTTTCTGCGAATGGTATAGGGCCGGAGGTGTCGGTAACGGTATTCTCCATAACTACATTCGCAGTCGCAGTCGCGTTCGAGACTTGCTCAGCCTTGCCTGCCATTTTTACTGAATCTATGAGGCAAGGTACGGTCACAGAGCGTTACGATGTTTTGCTGGTTGCAGACGGATGGTTTAGTGCGAGCCCAGCATATTTAAACCCTAGCTAGAGGAACTGGCTTACCACAACCAACTCGCCGTCCCTGTAGCTATCTACCCCAGTTTGGAAAAGCTTGCTAGCACGCAATTCCCAGGATGGCATAGTGGGATTGATTTGCGCTAACGCTGAGGCTCCCACCTTGCCTGGACCTCACCAATAAGCAAGCTGACAGCCCGCGCCAGTAGCGGCCAATGGCGAATTTCTGCGTCGTAGTGGATCTGTTGTGCTGTTGGGCGGGGGTTAGCACGGACCGAACTTTTGGCGTCAGCGTCGCCAGGGCATCTGGTATTTTTAATCCGTCTCGGCAAGGCGGACAATCAGATTACATCGAGAGGATTGGTATCGCGTGCCGCTCTGCATCTGCACAACGCTGGCTGTACTGATGCATGTCTCGAAGGATCCTGCAGCCACGAAAGCTGCTCCTGATGTTGTTCCCAAAGCTTGCTTTGGTATCGAGCTGGAATAAAAATACGCGCAGCTGGGATACTAACGAGTATCACAGATGATAAACTAGTAAGAGGAAGATAAAATGAAACTCGGTTGGTTCGTGAGAAGCCCTATGAGAGAAGCGCGCCACCACTGGACAAAGATAGCGTTGTGGTGGTGTGCCGCTCCGACTCAGCTACTTGAGCCTTTTTTTCCGGGGCGGTCGGCTTCTGCAGGCAACTCATCGCCTGCGGACCCGATTGGTGAAGGTGAACCCTTGCGAGTTCGCAACGCTTTTATTGTGGCGGCGTCAAATCTTTGTCTCAGTAGCAGCGCTGCCGGCCGTCCGCACTTAAGACCAACCCTTGCACTGCATTGTAAACTACGATCATTACACTATCATTTACACAAACTATAAACTATACACCGATTTTTCGAAGCTACCCACCTTCTCGCATACAGAGGTGCTGGCTTTTTACGTCGACAATGCTGCCATCGATCCCAGTCTTGCACGACTATGGCCTGTCTCCCGAGCACGGATTTCTTCCAGACAGTTTACCGTTGTCACGGCTTCCTGACCCATACTACAACGATTGGGAAGCTATAGTAACCAACTTGCCGGCTCTTATATTAAGCCGAAGGCTCCGCAGCGTCGTTGACCACCTGCCGGTGCTAGGCACAACTGGGTTAGAGCATGAAGTCGAGTGGCAGCGAGCATATTCAATTCTATGCTTCATCGCCCATGGCTATATATGGAGCGGCGATTCTCCCGAAGAACGCTTGCCGCCATGCATAACCGTACCCCTGCTCAACATTGCCGAGCATCTCGATGTTCCACCCGTCGCCACATACGCTGCAGTCTGCCTTTGGAATTTCAAACCGATTTTCAGAAACGAACACATAGACAACTTGGAAAACCTGGCGACATTGAATACTTTTACAGGATCTATTGACGAATCTTGGTTCTATCTTGTGTCTGTCGCCATTGAAGCTCGAGGCGCACCTATTCTCGAACTTATGCTTCAAGCCATGTCAGCGGTACGAGACAATGATTACGAGACTGTAGCAGCCCATCTCCGAACATTTGCAGAGAGACTGACAGACTTGACAAATATATTGCAAAGGATGCACGAAGGATGCCACCCAACCGTCTTCTATCACCGCATTCGACCGTTCTTGGCTGGTAGCAAGAACATGTCGGAGGCCGGCTTGCCGAATGGAGTCAACTATGATAGTGGCACAAATGTTACGGACTACCGACAATACAGTGGCGGGAGTAACGCACAGAGCAGTCTTATTCAATTTTTTGATATTGTGCTCGGCATAGACCATCGCGCTACGGGGGATACAAAGACGGACGATTCGTCACGCAAGAACAGCTTCATTCAAGATATGCGACATTACATGCCAGGACAACATGCAAGATTTCTGGAAGACGTCTCGAGTGTTTCCAATATCAAAAAGTTTGTCTATGATAACAGAGACAAGACTCAACTGTGTCTCGCATACGATGCCTGCCTTGCCATGCTGAGCGCATTTCGAGACAAGCATATCGCTATTGTTACAAGATATGTCATTACGCCATCGCGAGAGTTAAGAAACAGAAGTAGAACGAGGAGTCCAGAAGCTGGACGACAAAAGTTAAACCTCGCTGTTGCATCTGCTAAGGCGAACAATACTCAGAAGGGAACTGGGGGCACTGCCTTGATCCCATTCCTCAAGCAAGCTCGAGACGAGACGGGTGAACCGGCGGTACATGAATGGACCAAAAGCTTCATGAAACAGCCTCTTAAATCTGAAAAATACCATGATTTTGCCCCCATCACTGATGGTGAGGGGTCAGCACCTACCGCAGATCTTGGGCTTCAAGGCCTCGCTGGCTCATGGACGATGGAAGATGAGTTCGGAGGTCTTTGCTCCTACTAACACACACGGGTTCATTCTATCACGACTGTACAAGCTGCCACCACCCATAAGTTTGTTGTGTTCTGATACATAACATATAACATCTTATATCTATAATAAAACCCTAATATATGTGATTTTTTTTTTTAAGGCGCCGTGTCATTTTTTCTTTCAGTAGAGTCAACTCTTTGGCGGTGTTGCTTGATTCGTCCTCGAGCCTTTCCCACAGGAAAAATGCATTAGTCATCACACAAAGGTGCACGATTTCCTGATTCGGGTTAGCGCCTTACCCCTTCCACCAATTCGTCGCGCTTCTCTTTCGGCGCCAGAGCCAGATCTTCTCGAGCTGTTCAGCGCACGCCTTTGCCCATCACCATCTTCCGCATTGCATCATCCCCCGGACTCCCGCGTGTTGGCGCATCGCTTGCGGTGGATTGATAGTTTATATTCGCTTCTATTACCATCTTTGTCCTCACGACATAGACTGGTCTCTGCTGCGCAAGAGTGTGGCGAGAGTTGTACCTTGTTTTTTTCACGTTTTGCTTTTGCCTCCTGATTGCCCTCGACTCGATGCCCACGCGCTTCAGTGTAGGCTCTGCATATAATTAACCGAAGGCTTTATCTGCGACTAGAAACTTCGGATTTGCGACATACACTTTGCACCCTGCTCGATTTTTTGCGCACGAATCAGTGAAGCTTGAGCGCGCCGCGGTCGGATTGAAGAACGCCTCAGAAGTTGCAAGGAACAACGTTGCCCAACATGGCCGACTACGACGAGGATTTCGATTACGAAAACTACGAGGAGGAAGAGTCTGGAATTACCCCCGAAGACTGCTGGACCGTCATCTCGTCATTCTTCGAAACTAAGGGCCTTGTCTCCCAACAGACGGCGTCGTTCGATGAATTCACACAGTCCACAATCCAGGATCTCGTTAACGAGTATTCCAAGATCTCCCTTGACCAACCCAACCCACCCTCTGCTGATGGCCGCAACATCAGCGTCCGCCGATACGAGATCGAATTTGGCAGTGTCATGGTTTCAAGGCCTTCTATCAGTGAAACTGATGGAACAGTCACGTCGTTGCTGCCCTATGAATGCCGCGATCGCAACCTGACCTACGCTGCCCCTGTATACATAAAAATCACAAAGAATGTCTCTATTGCGGTGGAAAACGAGGTGCCTCTTCATGAATTGGACGACTCACAGCATGCAGAATATGCGAGAACGGGCGAGCTACCCAAGCGCTTAGCTTGGGAGTCCGAGAGTAGTGGTGATATGGACGATAACACAAAGTCTGGTGTCTGGAAAGATATGGTGTTTGTTGGAAAATTGCCGGTTATGGTCAAATCTAAGGTCTGTCACTTGAGCCGTGAGCAAGACGAGAACTTGTTTCTCGTTAACGAATGCCCCTACGATCAAGGTGGCTACTTTGTCATCAATGGCAGTGAGAAGGTTTTGATTGCTCAAGAGCGCTCGGCGGCCAATATCGTGCAGGTTTTCAAGAAAGCACAACCTAGCCCCTATACATACACGGCAGAGATTCGCAGTGCTTTGGAGAAGGGATCGCGCCTAATTTCGAGTCTCATGCTAAAGCTCTATGGCAAGGGTGATTCAGCTCGTGGCGGCTTCGGCCAAACGATCCATATGACGCTGCCATTCGTCAAGTCGGACCTTCCCGTCGCTATTGTCTTCCGTGCGCTCGGTGTTGTGTCAGATGAGGATATCTTGAACCACATTTGCTATGATCGAAAGGATAGCCAGATGCTCGAAATGCTACGACCTTGTATCGAGGAGGCATTTTGTGTCCAGGATCGTGAAGTTGCCTTGGATTTCATCGGAAAGCGTGGTAACCGTGACCAGGCTGGGCTTGGCCGCGAAAAGCGTATTCGTGTTGCAAGAGATATCTTGCAAAAGGAAACTCTGCCGCATATTTCTCAAGATGCTGGTAGCGAGACGAGAAAGGCATTCTTCGTCGGATACATGGTGCACAAGCTCCTGCAATGCGCCCTTGGCCGTCGTGAACCTGATGATCGTGATCATTTCGGCAAGAAGCGCCTGGATCTTGCTGGTCCACTGCTTGCAAAACTCTTTCGCGGCATCATGCGCCGCATGCATAATGAGCTCGCCAATTATCTGAGACGTTGCGTCGAGGGCAACCGTCACTTCAATTTAGCTGTTGGTATCAAGCCTGGTACATTGTCAAACGGCTTGAAGTACTCTCTTGCGACAGGCAACTGGGGAGACCAGAAGAAAGCAATGAGCTCTACCGCTGGTGTCTCCCAAGTGTTGAACAGATATACCTTTGCGTCTACTCTGTCACATTTGCGTCGAACCAACACTCCTATCGGACGCGATGGCAAGTTGGCCAAGCCGAGACAACTGCACAATACTCATTGGGGTCTGGTTTGCCCTGCCGAAACACCCGAAGGACAGGCTTGTGGTCTAGTCAAAAACTTGTCCCTCATGTGTTACGTCAGTGTCGGTTCTCCGGCAGAACCTCTCATTGATTTCATGATTAGCAGAGGCATGGATGTTATCGAAGAATATGAGCCGCTTAGGTACCCGCATGCCACCAAGATCTTTATCAACGGTGTTTGGGTTGGTGTGCATCAAGATCCAAAGCACCTTGTTAACCAAGTGTTTGATACTCGCCGTAAGGGATACCTGCAATATGAAGTATCCCTTATTCGCGAAATCCGTGATCAAGAATTCAAGGTATTCTCTGATGCTGGTCGTGTCATGCGTCCAGTCTTCACGGTTCAGCAAGAAGATGATGCCGAAACCGGTCTGGAAAAGGGTCAGCTTGTGCTTACCAAGGACTTGGTGAACAGGCTTGCCGCTGAGCAAGCCGATCCCCCAGAAGACCCGGACCAGAAATTTGGCTGGGAAGGCCTTATTAAAGCTGGCGCTATCGAATATCTTGATGCCGAAGAAGAAGAAACATCGATGATTTGCATGACGCCAGAGGATTTGGAATACTATCGTCTACAGAAAGCAGGTATTGCTGTTGATGAAGACCCTGGTGACGATCCCAACAAGCGATTGAAGACCAAGACGAACCCGACTACGCACATGTACACTCATTGCGAGATTCATCCTAGTATGATCCTCGGCATCTGCGCTAGTATTATCCCTTTCCCTGATCACAACCAATCACCCCGTAACACGTACCAATCTGCCATGGGTAAGCAGGCCATGGGATTCTTCTTGACTAACTACTCGCGACGTATGGATACCATGGCGAACATTCTCTACTACCCACAGAAGCCTTTGGCTACAACGCGATCCATGGAATTCCTTAAGTTCCGAGAACTCCCCGCTGGACAGAATGCTATTGTCGCCATCTCTTGTTACTCGGGCTACAACCAAGAAGATTCTGTTATTATGAATCAGAGCAGTATTGACAGAGGTCTTTTCAGAAGTTTGTTCTTCCGATCGTACTCTGACCAGGAGAAGAAGGTTGGTCTCAATTATACCGAAGTGTTTGAGAAACCTTTCCATCAGAATACTTTGCGCATGAAGCATGGAACATACGACAAACTTGATGAGGATGGTATTGTTGCCCCTGGTGTCCGTGTTTCCGGTGAGGATATCATCATTGGTAAAACAGCGCCAATTGACCCTGAAGCTCAAGACCTTGGAACCAGGACAACAGCCCACCAGCGCCGCGATATTTCGACACCGCTACGCAGCACTGAAAACGGTATTATTGACTCTGTTATTGTGACTGTCAATGCCGACAATGTCAAATACGTCAAGGTTCGCGTCAGAACTACCAAGATTCCCCAGATTGGTGACAAGTTTGCTTCTCGTCACGGTCAGAAAGGTACTATTGGTGTCACCTACCGACAAGAAGACATGCCATTCACCCGTGAAGGTGTTACTCCTGACATTATCATCAACCCTCACGCCATTCCGTCTCGTATGACAATTGCTCATTTGATTGAGTGTCTGCTGAGCAAAGTTTCCACTTTGGAAGGCATGGAGGGTGACGCAACTCCCTTCACAGACGTCACCGTTGACTCGGTTTCCGAATTGCTTCGGAAGCATGGGTACCAGTCTCGTGGCTTCGAGGTGATGTACAACGGTCACACAGGCCGTAAGCTGCGAGCACAGGTCTTCTTTGGCCCAACATACTACCAGCGCCTTCGCCATATGGTAGATGACAAGATCCATGCTCGTGCTCGCGGTCCCCTCCAGATTATGACACGACAGCCCGTCGAAGGCAGAGCTCGTGATGGTGGTCTACGTTTCGGTGAAATGGAACGTGATTGTATGATTGCCCATGGTGCAGCGGCCTTCTTGAAGGAGCGTTTGTTTGAAGTCTCGGACGCTTTCAGAGTTCATGTTTGCGAGATCTGCGGTCTTATGACACCCATTGCGTAAGTCTTGTACATACTGGACTGTCAATTCGTACACTAACATTGATTATAGAAATCTCTCTAAGCAATCCTTTGAATGCCGACCTTGCAAGAACAAGACCAAGATTGCACAGATCCATATCCCGTATGCCGCCAAGTTGCTCTTCCAGGAGCTACAATCTATGAACATCGCAGCAAGACTCTTTACCAACAGGTCAGGTGCTTCGGTACGATAGGAGCTCAGATAGAGCGCGGAGAGTGTCTTCTTGTGGAAGGCTGCAAATTGCCAAAAAGGTGGCTCGTTTCGTTTCGTTGAAAGTTCGTTCTGCCATCTTTTCGTTTGATTTTTCTTTGCGGACATCCAATGGAGTGGAGCAGCGGGGTGCAAAGAGTAATATGCATGTACCAATAAATAGGATAACAAATATAAGGATTCAATGAAGAGAGGACGGAAGCCACACCGGGTGAACATGAATATGAGAAACTATACTGTTGTACTATTACATATTATACAATTATACAAGTGTTATGTAGAGAGGGTCACTGGAGCTGTCTACTTCGAGGCTGGACCATTCCCTTGTCCGCCGGGGGGCGCTGACGGCTCGATCGTACTATGGACAGATTGGTGTCGCTTGTATTCTTTCTCGAGCTCGCGTTGCATGTCGAAATCGAGTTGTCGCTCCTTCTTTATGCGCTGCTGCTCCATATCTCGAACCACGCCTTCATGCATCGCCTGCGAGGAACGGTTAGTGACTTGCAGAACCCGATGTTAAATGCTGTTGCGGCATACTGCTTGCTCTGCTTGTTGCTGGAAGTGGACAAATGCGACTGTCGAGACGGCAAAGAGTGACGTGCCCAGTAGCGTGAGCTTGGAAGCGCGTGACATAATTGACGTGTAGTTTTATATAACTGCTATATCTTTGTACAATATTCTGGACTATTTATGGTGCAATTGAGAAAGCTTCTGTAGCGTATCGAATAAGGAGGCCGACACCGTTGGTTGAAGTTTTGGGACCGAAGTCGTTGGCGAGCTTGCCAGCAGCCCCACTATAATGGACCTTGCCCGCCGCCGCCGTGATGGCCATGGCGACGTCGTCACTTTGACACCTACATCTCTGTATCCCCTTCACCAACCCCCACCCCTTCGATCACCCGCCGAATACCTGCCTATATTTAACAAAAAAGTCGAAAAATTTACCAATCGATTTTATTGCGCGGCCGATACATTAAACGAACAACCAAGATGGTGCGCAAGATGACTTCGCATGTGGTCGGACGACAACAACAGCTAATAGACAGAATAGTCAGCACAAAACTCGGCAGGTATTCAAACTCTGCTTGATGTGAGTTGGTTTATATAAGGAATCACCATCGGATTAGTAGGCTAATGGACTGATTTTAGGCTGAGCGAGAGGCGTCCAAGATTGTGCAGAAAGGTAAGCTATGGCAAGCTTGGGGACACGACTTGAGGGATCAGAGCTAACGGTGAACTTTTCTCTAAACAACAGCTCGTGAATGTAAGTCGGAAGCTTGAAAAGGGCAGAGTTATCCCGATGGCAGACTGACAAGTCCTTAGTCCGCACAAAGCGAGTCAAGGAAGCCCGCGACGAAGCAAAGAAGGAGATTTCAGACTACAAATCGAAGAAGGACGATGAATTTAAGAAATTTGAGGCAGAGGTTCGTCAGAGATATGCAAAATATGCAGATATATCAGGGACTAAACATCACAACTAACTTGTACCACAGCATTCACAGGGAAACAAGGCTGCCGAAGACGACGCGAGCAAGGATGCCGACAAACAAATCAAGGACATAACAGCGGCCGGACAGAAGAACCAGGCAGGTGTTGTTAAGAACTTGCTTTCAGCTGTATTTGATGTCAAGCCCGTTCCCCCCTCGGCGGCATAAGGTTACTCGGCTGGATGGTATATGTAACACGACACCACCGCTCCTGCTCTTCCCTATACCGACCACAGTATACATCGTTATCTTAACTAGCCGCAGCCGCTTGTACGGCATTTGTATTGTAATCACATCATTTGCTCAATTTTTGTTCATTTTCTGTGACGAAGCATGGTCCAGTGTTGCAGAATTCTTGGGATATGATAGATACAAAGAAGGCAGGTTGCGCCCATGTAGTTTTACAAAATATCGATCAGTACAGTGAGCATATCCTTGAGCTCGACAGTATCCTGATCATCGTCTAGTCCATCAACTTGGCTCTTCAGCGTCGCTCTAAGAGAATCTAACCCCTCGTCTCTATCTGCAAGCAGTGATGTGATTAGTTTCTTTGCGCCCATGTCCTCGACTGCCAGCCAAGCCAAAATGTTGTCAATAACTTGCCAAGTAAATAGACCAGCAGTTAATCGTTGCGACATGAGCTCAATTTGAAGCTCGTCGTCATCTATTGCTGAGTGCCGGTTGCCTAGGAAGTCTTGCTCTGCCATCTTGACACGAGAGCTATATTCCCATCGTAGGCTCATTACCCTTTTAAGCTTTTCATAATCCTTTTCCACGAATTTGACTAGTGTTCGAATCCTCTCAGGGGAATCTGCAGGAAGACGGCGAAGCATGTTGGAAAAAATTGTCAGCAAGTGATCCAACTGCCGAGGATCCTTTGTTTTCATAAAGATGGTAAAGAGGCTTTTCAGGCCACCGGCATCGACAAGCTTCAAGCACATGTCGATGCTGCCCGTACCCACTGATGCGTGGTCCAGTAATCGTAAAGCTGGTGTCCTTGCCATCTTGCCCTCCTTCAATATGATCAAACAAAGCTCAAGACCTTCGGCCTCGATAAACAGCTGCTTTCCTTGCTCTTCATCAACCATGCAGGTGAGTCCTTCAAATAGGTTTGCCATGTACTCTTCCTCATCGCTACCGCGAGAAGGATCTCGCTTGCGATATGGGGCAATCAGCTGCAGCAAAATATCCACAGCATTAGAACTCGCAAGTAGAGATCTATTCTCGGGCGACCCCTGCGCAAGTATAGCTATTATTTCAGCTGCATACTGCTTATTCTGCGAAACATTTGCCTCTTTGCGTTGAACACGTTCTAAGAGCCATTGACGCAGACGGCTGTCTTGACCGATGCGGGTTGCATATGCAGATCGTGAGCAGAGGTTTTCTAGTACTCCCATAGCATAATAGACGCCATTACGATCTGACTCATCATCCTCGTTTAGTCGTGAGAAGTTTGAAGTAAGCAGATCAATCAAATCCGCGTCCAAGAGGGCATCTGCGAGCGCATCAAAGTACTCATCTTCGGCAGCGACATCCTCATCCGTAAGCTCTCCAATTAGCTCAATTGCATCTATAGCAATGTCTGTGTTTTCGTGCGCCAGCAAGCCCACTAGGCTGTTAGCTGAACCAAGCTTTACAAAGTCGAGGTAGAGCTCGGGATGTTCTGCGAGGATTGAAAGGTTCTTAATGTCCGCGTCGAGATCGGCTTCGCTCGATATGAACTTCTGGGGTTCACTTTCGAATTTCGCACGCAATTCGGCGTTTTTCGTGATACGTTTTTCGAAGTTTAGCACTGTCTTGCGCAACCAAACTGCATCAATCTTTTCCTCCTTGCCCTCTTCAACTTCATTGACGAATTCCAGAATCTCAGACTCTTGTTGTGTTATTCCTCCGCCAAAAAATCGACCTTCATCGTCATCGCCTTCGTCATTTGGAGGCATGGCTGGGCCAAAATCCTCGCCATTTTCGTCAGCATCCGCGCCACTTGTTGTTGGCTCAACATCTTCGTCGTCGACGCGAGCGCGGCGACTCGAGTCACCAGTGGCGCTAAGCTTGTTAGCTTTATAAACCTCGTCTGTACCGATGGCGTTAATAAATGGCGTCAATCAAGGCAAATTCAAGGTTATCTGCTTACTCGGGTCACGCAGAGTTTCTAGCTTTCTTTTGCTAGGTAGCCCAGACTTCTGCACCAGCATTAGGATCGTATCTTCCAATTCAGAGCAAGAGCGCTTACCTTAAATATATCATCTATGCTGGCCATTGTATTGCAAGCTGCGGTCTTGCATATACCGTTGGCGAAACGTTGTCGTGGTGATTGACAGGCGAAGTTGTCACCGCGAGCTCCGGTCGTGGAGTGAATGTTTTCGGTGTGCAACCACCTGGGATTAGCGCAGCAACCGCTGGTAGTGGCGTGGAGCAGCGGGAATGGCCTGGTGCACCGCAAATCGACCCGCAAACAGAAAAACGAAACAAAATAAATAAAATAAAATAAGGCAATACGAAAGAACCATTATCGATAATCATACGTTGTCATCTCTTCAAATTTAAGAGTAATCCCAGCAGCGTACCGTCAGCACAGGCTTCTTGCAAGCGCTTTGTCTCAGGCACGCTGAGATCCCGCCGCCGCCAGCGCATGTACTCGCTCTTTGAGCTCACCTTAGTTCTGCACCTCTAGTGCGACGGTTCAGGCTCACCCCACCTTGCCGATCGCGGGCCCCCCAAAGTCCCCTGGCCACGAGGTAAGTCTGGCCTCAAGCCACACAAAAGAATTACTCCTAACCGAAGACGTCCTCACCATGCATCTCGGTCTACAAATAGCTGTCTAGATTGGGGGCTCAGTAAATATTTCACCCACGTCAACTGGCGACAAAAGCTGTCCCATCTTCTACCTCTACAGCGTCTCGTACTGCCAGGTGCAAAATCGCCCCTGTAAGCATAATCATCCACCGACAAAGCATTAACTCAACGGAACCGCAAACAATTTGCACCAGCGGAAGAGCATGCACCCGAGCCTGTGCCTAATCAACAACTATTCTGAAGAATATATCGCCTCGAAGTAGAATGCAAACCCCGGACGACGACAACCACGCCGGCAGACGTCCCAGAACTGCCGTCTCGACTACCTCAGAAACCTCACCAAGATCCTCCCCACGATCCCAGGCCACGAGTCCGGTTAATCGAGGGGCACTCCCCAGACGATCATCCAGTCTTAATCCTCTCTACGCGACAGGATTACCAGCGTCCAATACCCTTCAACAGCTCTCATCCACAGAGCCGGCACCTTCTTTCCAACCTTTCCAGCCGCTTGGAGCCAGTTCGAGCGACCCTTCCCTCGTCGGCCATAAAATTTCGAACTCGTTGCATCCATCGCGAAGCGGACTACGTAATACGAATATGCAGTCCCGTCAGGACCCTCGAGGTCACCATGGACACACAAGAAGCCGGTCTTCAAAGAGCAGTGGAGAGCTCGAGAAGGCTCGGAACGCGAAGCCCCTTTCCCAGAAAGCGATGCTATCCCAAGCTCTGCAGAAAGCAAATACTGCTGTTCAGCTTGATAACGCATCTAACCTGGAGGGTGCCCGACAAGCCTACGCCGAAGCGTGTGAACTTCTAGAGCAAGTCCTGTCTCGGACCACAACAGAGGAAGATCAACGCAAATTAGAGGCAATCCGTCAAACATATGCTAGTCGCATTGAGGAATTGGACCACATGGGCCCTTGGCCCGAAGATATGGATAAAGCGCTCCCCGATAGACCGGACAGCGGAGACTACCATGAATCTATTCCCAGTCAATATAGATCTCACAGTCAGGGCTTGCAAAGCAGCTTTGAATCATCACACTTCTCTCCCAACCTGCGTTCACAAGAGTGGGATGTCACAAGCGTCGCCGAGCGGGTCAAACCGTCGCCATCTACTGAATCTGGGTTATTGCAATCCTCCTTTTCTCGACAATCCATCAGGTCCAGGTCTACTGATCAAGAAATCCCAGCACCGCCTGGCTCCAATCGCCAAGATAGCATAGGCCATAGCGGTAAAGCTCACAGGGCTCCGCCTATCTCTGGTCAGTCTAGCCGTCATCGCCGCGATCTTAGCCAAAACTCGTGGCTGGACGGCATAGGCGAGTCGGGAGATTCTACGAATTCGTCTATACATTCTAGGACATCCTCCCTTGGTTATCGCAGGAAGCACTTAAGAGGTGCTAGCGGTAATACTGAAACAGAGTTCGATACTGCTTTAGACGCCGCTATTGAGGCTGCATATGACGATGGTTTCGAACCTGCTGGTTTAGAAGACTATGACCGAAGAGACGATGATGTAGTCGCTAAGGTGCTGCGTAAAGTGGAAATTGCGCGTGAAAGAGTCCGACAAACAGAGAGAGAAACGTATGGATATTCTACCAGTGATCTACGGCAACAACTCAGCAAAGAGCCTCATAGTCACCGCCCTCTATCTAGAGCAGCATCTGGCGGTTTTTACAACGACAATTCATCTGATGAAGAGGAGCGCATGTTAGAGCAGCTTACTCGCGATTACGAAATTAAAGATTACCCATTAGACGGCCAGCCAAATGGAGGGGGCTTGCGAGCTCCGAAACAGGAAACAAGACCGACAAGCAGCCGTGCAAACGCGACACTCAACCACCCGCCTCCATCACAACTACCACCTCTGAGCCTGAACAAAAAGCCTTCCCTTTCCAACTTGGTGGGCGGTCTAGCCCCAGCCGCGCCGCCACCTCAAGCTTCACTGCCAGAATTGCCTATGCCACGGCCTGCTTCTCCTCAGCTAAGTGTCCGAAGCAGAAGGCTTTCTGGTCAGAAGCAGCTCAAGATCGAAACATCTAAACTCTCTTCATCCCTTCCTTTGGAACCAAAGGAACTTGATAGACGACCCTCTATTCGAGAGGTAGATGTCCAACTTGTAGGATTGGAGGATGGGCTCCCTACCAACAAAATGGACCCAAGATTCCCACCATCTATAGAAACTCCCAGTCTAGATGATAAAGACTTAGCGATCGTTTCCCCCTCTGGTTCAAGAGGCAATTCTGTTCCAGAGGACCAGCCGGGTGGCCATTCAGGGTCACCATCCACGAAGCCACTTCGCAAAAACATGTCCTCTTCAAGTTTACGCAGTATCAAGAGTCGAAACATGTCGTTGCCAAACCTAGATGATACCTCAGACATGTCACCCAGTACAATATTAACTAACCCATTCGGCAACGCCAGAGCCCCTTCTGTGCCAACTATCCCAACGCCGTTAACTGCCGAATTTCGCGACGCTGGTGATATGGGCGGATCAGGGATGCACCTTTTTGATGACAGTCTACACCCGCCCATCACGCCACATTCTCCAGTAGAAGTCAGCCATGAAGCTCCTGTGCCACTCGAATACTGTCCTGCAGAGGCATTACTGCGCCCGTTCTGGCTTATGCGCTGCTTATTTCAGACGCTCGTTCACCCTCGTGGTGGCTACGTAAGCACAAAACTATTCATTCCTAGGGAGGTATGGTCGGTGAAAGGGGTCAAACTAAAGAACGTGGATGACAAAATTGCAAACTGTGACCTGCTCACGGCTGCATGTTTAAAGCTTGCCCAAGTTGACACATGTGACGCTGATGCGGTTCTTGACGAAATGCAATCTTTGGAAGGTATTCTTGAGCAAGTACAGGCTGCATTGGCGCGCAAACTGGGCAATGAAGTTGGTGTTAATGGCTCAGGCTCACTCTTTAAAGAAGCGTCAACTGGTGAGAGCGATAGCAGTACGCAGATGCCTCGCTCCGGCAGCGTTTCAAATAAGCCTTCATCCTTCTCATGGCGCCGACTACGGCCTAAGAACTCTGCTGTTAGCCTAAGCAGTGCCTACAACACTCGCACCGCAGCATCAGAAGTGCCCAAAGAATCAGTGGCCAGCGCTTCGCTCCCTATAACACCGCAGCCCACCAGCCGGCCACCTCGTCGTGACATTAGCTTAGCACAGTTTACCGGGCCAAACGCCACCTATATGAACTCTCTTGCACGTCTTTTTGACGCAGCGCAGGCAATTGGTACGTAACTATAACATAACGAACCTGCAACACTCCACAAGCTAACACACTTTCATGTAGATCAGATAGCACGTCAAGTGGACGACCCTGGATTGCGCCATGCCGATAAAACTCAGGTTGGACTAGAATTATGTACAAGACATGCTGCCGAATTCTTTGGATTTTATATATGTCGCTTCGCATTAGCAGATATGGGCTTATTGTTGGACAAGTTCCTCAAACGAGGTACAGAGTGGGCATTGGCATAACTGTAAGCAGCGTTGCTCAAGTATAACATGCATGGTTGTAAAAGATGTACTATTTCCCCGCAGATTAAGATAATCATATAGCGTCTGTAACATTTTTATATTTTAAAACATAAAATACCAGGCATTGTTATAGCTACTAAGCGCGCACTTTACACCATCCGTACTTATCGGGGTTAGGGTCCACATGTACTAAGAAAAATAAGCTCACTCCACGATCACCGTCCAGCTCTCTCCCCGAAACCATAGCATCTGGTCGCCAATTTCCACCCTCCACAGCACAGACGTACATGAATTTTGCGTTAAAGGCTGTGCGTGGCTGGCCTCGCCAGCGACTCTTCGCGCCACGCCATCTTCGCTTCTACGCCCAATCAACATCGCCAAAAGACCTGGAACGTCGAATTGAAGCTATACCAATCGAGAGATACCGCAACTTCTGCATTATTGCACATGTTGATCATGGGAAGAGCTCTCTAGCAGACAGATTACTCGAAAACACACACACCATTTCGATTAGCGATAGTAATAAGCAAATATTGGTACGTTGATGGGAGAGCTCTTTGGCCCCCTGCCAAACTACAGTTATCGCTAACAAGATGTCGCGTTTCGTGTAGGACAAACTTGACGTTGAACGAGAGCGTGGAATTACTGTTAAAGCGCAAACATGTACGATGCTATATAAATATAAGGGATTGGATTACCTCTTCCATCTGGTGGACACGCCTGGTCACGTCGATTTTCGAGCCGAAGTTACGAGATCCTACGCCAGCTGTGGCGGCGCTCTACTGCTGGTCGATGCAAGCCAAGGTATTCAAGCGCAAACAGTATCATACTTCCATCTTGCATTTGCGCAAGACTTGGCACTCATTCCAGTGGTCAACAAAATCGATATGCCGTCAGCAGATATTCCTTCGGTGCTCGAACAGATCGAGACAAACTTCGAGCTCGATACCGAAAAAGCCCTGCTTGTAAGCGCAAAGACGGGGAAGGGGATTGAAAATATTCTACCAGCAGTAATAGAAACAGTTCCTGCCCCTGTCGGAGACGCTTCGAAACCGCTCAAGATGCTGCTTGTGGATTCTTGGTACGACAACTTCAAGGGTGTTGTCTTGCTGGTTCGTCTGTTTGATGGCACCATAAAGGCTGGAGACGAGGTCCGTTCTTTAGGTACCGGCATGAAATACACAGTGGGAGCAGTAGGTATTCAGTATCCTGATGCGACACCACAACGAATCTTAAGAGCAGGACAAGTCGGTTATGTCTATTTCAATCCCGGTATGAAGCGCATTCAGGATGCAAAACTTGGTGATACATTTACTTTCTCAAATGAGGAGAATGTGGTACCGTGTCCTGGCTTTGAAGAGCCGAAACCTATGGTTTTTGTTGCTGCTTTTCCAACAGACCAGGGTGACTACGGCCGTTTAGCTGATAGTATAAACCAGCTGGTGCTTAACGACCGTAGTGTCACGCTTCAGAAAGACTTTTCCGAGGCTCTTGGCGCTGGCTGGCGATTGGGTTTTCTTGGAAGCTTGCATTGCTCGGTATTCCAGGACCGCCTTAAACAGGAGCATGGCAAGAGCATCTTACTCACAGAGCCAACTGTACCTACAAAGATAATACGAGCTGATGGAACGGAGGAGATCATCAAGAATCCGGCATTATTCCCCGAAGCCACGGATGCCAAACTGAGAGGTGCTCAGCTGCTAGAGCCGTAAGTTACATATATATGCATTGCTTGGTCTGGGGATCTTATATACGCTAACCAGCTCGGCAAACACAGTTTTGTGAAGGCTACTATTACAATGCCTGAGGAATACTTGGGCCGAGTGCTCGAAGTTTGTGAAGCAAATAGAGGAGAACAACAAAGCCTGGAGTTTTTTCATTCAAATCAAGTCATTCTGATATACCATATACCAGCAGCTCAGCTTGTTGACGACTTGTTTGGGAAACTCAAAGGTGCTAGGTAAGAGAGGCCCATCTGCGAGACTTAAGAAGTATTAGCGCTAACGCCGGCTTGTGTACTAACTAATAGCAAAGGCTATGCCACTCTTGATTACGAGGATGCAGGATGGCGGGAGAGCAAACTTATAAAACTACAGCTGCTCGTAAACAAACAGCCCGTGGATGCAATCTGCAAAGTAGTCCATGCGTCTCAAGTAGACAGACTTGGAAAGCAATGGGTCACAAAATTTAAGGAGCATGTCGACAGACAAATGTTTGGTGAGGCAAACTTCCCAGCAGCCCAATTATGACCCAATACTAATTACGCGCAACCTCTTAGAGGTAATCATACAGGCAACAGCTGGTAACCGCATCGTCGCCAGAGAAACCATCAAGCCGTTTCGTAAAGACGTACTCGCCAAACTCCACGCCAGCGATATCACCAGACGTAAGAAACTGCTTGAGAAGCAGAAAGCAGGCAGGAAACGACTTCGCGCTGTTGGAAATGTAATTATAGATCAAGCAGCCTTCCAAAATTTCCTTTCGCGATAGCTGAAAAATCCAGCGTGTATTCTTTTTTTGTATTTTAATCACCTGTATAATTGGCAAAATAAATAATAGTACCTTGGCGGTGAATGCATGTCTATTTAATTGTTATTTTCTTTTCTTGTAAATAAAATACACGTGGGTGGTTGGTTGTGGAATCAAAGGTAATTGCATTTTTTGTCGGACATGGTTAGAAACTGGTCGCTTTTTTCTGTAGCGAAATAAATATTCAAAAGGATTAATTAAAATAAGGTGTTGGCCATGGGTGCGGTTTAAAAATCGAACCAATAAAGGATGCACCTGGTGGGGAATATTTTTTTCCCTGCAAAAGATTGAGAAAATGAAGAAAATAAATTACAAAAAGTCACAAAAGTAAACTGGAATAGCCCCATAATTTTCAGAGATGATTCAGCCAAAAAGGGCATGTGTCGTGTGCATAAAATTATGCACGGTTGCATATAACTTTACGAAATCACAGCACCTCACAGGAAGGAAGGAGTCGGGTTCGTAATTAATTGATTGTGATTATACCAACCTTCTTCCGATCTCTTAACTCCTTTGTGCAATACATCTGTCGTGAATTTGTGATGCTTCAACGCGGGCTGGCGTTCACACGACCTCCCGAAGAACTCCGTCTAATTCTCCAAAGAATACTTGTCACCAAAGTACTCCTCAGAGCTACCCCACCTGCGACTACTAGCTAGACCAGAACGCATCTCAAGCTGTTCGAGAGATGCGCAATCTTACACAGTGTGTCTTTGAGCTGTATTTTGTTCGCAGTATCTTAACCTGCCTTTGGCCTAGTCTGTTTCTTGAAGTAGAGAAACACTAAATGAGATGTGATTGTTTAACAGCAGGCTGGCGACATAGCAATAATAGAGGAGCGGATGCATAGACGGCGTGAGCCATGTACTTGGTGGGTGAGCAATACTATATATAGCTTAGCCACGTAACTCCTATTCATCTTGCTAAGAAGAAAGAAGGAGCTGTGTACTCAGAGGTAGGTAACCACGTTAACTTGCCAGGAGAAGGGCACTGGTAGCAGGTGGGGCTTCTTGACCCAAAATCTAAGGAGAGCGTAGCAAGCTTGTGGTTGTCTTACGAGCTCTGACTACTAGTACAACGTAATGTCAATTCCAAACGAGGCCCTCCAGAAGGTAAGTACCATCTTCCACTATAGCAATGATGCCACCATGGCATGAGCAGCATTTAACCTGAGTAGTTGGCGCGCGAGATCGAAGGCCAAGCGTTGGCCGCTCAACAACAGATCGCCATTGCCCGCACCCAAATGGCCGGCAAACAGCGAGAGCAGCGTCTAACAAAGCTTACTCTCAGTGAGCTATCGTCTCTTCCTGATGACACTGTTGTCTATGAAGGTGTCGGTAAAATGTAAGACGATGGTCGAAATGCTTTACCCTCTGAATGAGGTCTGGTATTAGAGGGTTATTAACTATCCATAGGTTCTCTTCGCTACCTGTTACCGATCTACGAAAGAAACTCGACTCCCAAACTAAAGATATCGAAAGCGATGTTGATAAATTAAGCAAGCGCTTAATATACCTGGAGACAACACACAAGAATAGCAGAGACCATATTGAGCAAATGCTACGAAAGGGTTGATCGCGCATGTAATCAATGTTTTGCGCGCAATCCCAACACTACACGAAAAGCAAATGTCCTGATCTCAGAGATTTCGCCCGAAAACGTCAATGGCTTTACACGTGCATACAGCAGCTACATCAAGTCCTGTACATCGTCCGTCGCAAGTCAGGCTCTGAGGTGTACGAGCGAGCCACAGCCAACCGCAGTCGATGACTGCGACAAATAATGATATCCGGTCGATTCATTTAAAAACAATAGGAATTCATTGTCATTACGTCGTTCGCAGAGAACCTTTTTTTCAGAGACGATATACAGTTCATTTAATAGGTCTATCATTAGCGCAAAGTCAACTAGTCATCTTTCATTCTGTGTGCCCCGCACCCTCGCTACCAGCCCCCTCTGTAACAATGGAATTGTAAAGTTAAGGGAAGTCCCGCGGCAGCCCGCTCTGCAAGTTGCGCTCATCCTCGGCGACATTTACAGGTGCCCTGATGTTGATCCTGGTGAGTTATGTCCAGTGTAACTCTTTCAACAAAAAGCCTTAGAAATAGAAAATAGTACAGATAGTCGGCTCCTAGACGCGGGGTATTAAGGACACTCGCTGAATGGACATGTATTGCGATCTAGTCCTGAAACCGTGCAATACTACGTGTGTGGGCGCTTTGAGCAGGCTCTGGTCGCATTATGCTGCCTCTCCCAGCCACTCTGCACCGGGTCAGCCGCAGGTCAGCCCTATATGTCTTTTCTTCGTTCTCCTTCCCCTCCCGCCCGTCTCTCAGCCTTCCCCCTCTTCAACCACAACTTTCGTATTTCAACACAAGTTGCTTCGGCATTTGTCAACGCCTCTTAACAGCCTGGCCGCACCTGGTTACGCCTTACTATTATACATAGTCGGTGCGCTCCATCATCAACTTCGTTTCACTACAGCCCGTCTTGCCACAGTCCTGGCGAGTTTTCTACCTGTGCCATGAGTGACTACTACACTGACGAGGAGGATTTCAACATCCATGTCCGCCGTCAGGGACACTCCCCTGACAGATTCCGCTATGCATCTCGACCACAGTATCTTTATCCTGAACAGCGCACCACAGTTATCGCACGCAGCCGTTCTCGCGACCGCTCACGCGATGCCCGCAGTGGTCCTGCTCCACTCATCATCAATAACAACATTGAACGAGACCACTCAGACTCATCAGATGACGGAAAGTATCGCCGGCGCCATAGTCGCAGCCGTCGACGACGACGATCGTCTTCCGCCTCGTACCGTTCCCGCTCTCGCTCTCGCTCTCGCAACCGAAATGGTGAAATGATCAGTCGAGCTGAGTGGGAAGCCGAAGAAGCTCGTAAACAACTTGAGCAGTTGCGCATTGCTAGAGAACGTGATGAGGAAGAACGCCGACTTACTCGAGAACTTCGAGAAGATGCCGAGCTTCGACGAACTCGTCGAGAGCTTGATACTGTAAAGCGTCGTGAATCGCAGGCCGCCATGGAAAAGCGCATCAAAGAAGAGCTTGAACTTGAGCACTTACAGAAAGAAAAGAAAGCAAAGGCGGAGAAGGAACGGCGCGAGCGAGAGGCAAAGGAGGCTGTCGAGCTCTATAAGCTGGAGGAAACTAACCGTATCGCACTGGAAAAGAAGCGAAAGGAGGACGCTGAGAAGGCGTACAAGACTCGGCTCGAGGAAGATCTTATCAAAGCTGGCCTTGACGAACGATACAGAAAGGCTATTCTGAATGATGAGCCAATTGTAGCCCCCCTGAGACCAGGAGAAAGACCAACATATACCCGCATGTTGAGGAAACATCTGTCTATCGAGACCTTGCAGGCTTTCCACGTAGAGTATGACATGGATGCAGTGAGTGCTTGTCGCATGATATGAGGTAATACTTCCTACTAACATACAATAGTCTAGCGATGAATACGTCATTGTCAAAAGAGTTGTCCCAGAATGGGAACGCAAGCAGCTCTGGAAGCATACCAAATATATCCGCGAACGCCGCCTGCTAGTTATCGAAGGCAAGAAGCATCGCCATCACAAGTCTGATATTGAACTGGTAGTACGAAAGACAGAGAAACGCAGCAGAAGCAAGTCACCCTCTCCTTTGCTCATGTACTTGGCTGGAGCGAGATGAGCCCTGTCTGAAAGATGTTATGATGTACTACTGTACCGACGTCCGTGGAGCTCATCCATATTCTTTGACTGATGAAATTGTTTTTGGATTGAACGCGTGGGGAATCCCATATATGATCGCAAATTTGTTTTTTTTATGCAGCACCAAACTATCTTACATTATGATTGCAGAATTAGTTTACATTTCCAAGAGTGGATTCCAGAGAAAACCTCAACTACGTCCGTATCTCCTGATCAGCTCCTCATAAACAGTCCACGCGAGTGCTGAACTAAGAGCTTTGCGACCCATTCGAATGCCGAGGCCATTCCAGAGCGACCTAAACCCTTCTTCCGATATCATCTTGTACCAAGCCTGCCATATATTCTTGTACTTATTTGGTTGGAGTTGTATACGGGTTTTGACTGCATCAAACGGATTCGAAACAACAGAGCACCCAGCTCCTGCTACTATAGCCGATGAAAAATTGATCGTACTTGCAACGGACGTTCCCATGAGACCCTTCGAGTCTGACGAAGCCACCCAGTGCCCTAAGCGTGTTTTTACCAGTTCGTAGAACAATACATATGTTCCTGCATATGGTGCGTCTCGGATGGCGGTGGCTCCAAATCCAGCAAAGAATCCTCTTGCGCCCTCCACGCGCAGGATATCTCGTGCTGCGGCCACCAGGGACGGGTATGAGTACATGCTAGATTCGAACCGTACCTTAATAACTGTCAATGGCATCAAAACAAAGCCGGCAAATGTTCTAGCTGCCGCACCCGATATCAAGTTTGCGGTGGGCGACAGCGTTGGCAAGGCTGTTGATGCACTCCTGCTTTGGGCGGCGTTGCCACCGGCTTGGAGTTTTGCCATATGTTGGCGGATAGAATTGAGCGTAGTAAAGTAAATTGCAGAACCAAAACCAGTTCTTAGTGTCGACGGGAGGGTTCCCCTCCACAAAGACTTGACAGGATGCCCAGATTGTCGAAGGTGAGTCCACGCTTCGTAAATGGACGTTCGCCCGGATTGTTGCACTCGCGTTTTCAGGAGATCCAGTGGCTGTAGGAGCGCAGCTGTGGCTACGCCTGATCCTAATCCAGACAAAAAATGACGCGCTATAGATGGTGGTGTGAATGTAAGCTGCGCCGTCCTATCCGTCGCGTCGTAGGTGATCCTGACTCACAAGACTTAACATTGACAGGCTGTGCGCTCTGCGGAGCGATTGGCTGCGTACTCATCACTGTTGCCATATTATTTATCGCATAACAATTTTCAACTTTGTTCAAGCAAAAGCGCTAGAGCCAAGATACCACCCAAGATATTTAGGAAGCGATTCGAGGGATGACGCTTCTGAGCCAGAGATCGAAAAAACAGAGAGCTCAGGGTACCACTGCTGACATGGGCAGCCGAAACCTGAGGATGGGCGGCTGGGCCCCGCTCTACGATCCCACTCGTCACGACCTGCAATTATGCTGTTGCTTCAGGAAGATTTCCTCGGTGATCTCCAATGACAGATTCTAAACGTCCTGCCAATTGACGGTGACGTTTTATAACACCGGCCCATTCAGGGACATTGACTGTTGAAAGCAGCATGCTAAAATCGGCACCCAATCTGCCCAGACTCCCTGCACAGTACAAGACCTGGGTTAAGATGCTTTCTCGCGAGGTCTGTTCACTGACAATGGGTAAGTATGTACGCAGGGTATCCATCAACATCTCAACCAGATGTATTGGGAATGTTGATAAAGCGGGTGGCGCGGCTGCGACCGACTCATTGGCAGTTGCTGAGTTGGCACCTAGACTTGTTCCCCCAATGTTCTTGGAGATAGAAATAATACTGAAACTATGTTCTCTGAACACTTCAATAAATCGTTTAAGATATCTCTCAGTCTGTTGACCACCAGCCCAACTGTGAGATGTCTTGCGCTGTCTCTTGCGCTCCTCCTCAGCCAGCTGTCGCAATGGATCCAAGGCTTCCAGTGTCGCAAGCAGATTTGATAATCTGCAAATAAGGAATACCGCCTGCAGGGAATTATCCATATGCATATCAGATATCAATTCCAACATAATCCTTCTCAGCCAGCCGACGGTTCTCAAAGCAGCCGCAAGCTTGAGGTTCGGGGCTTCCAATGCGACGATTAAGTCCACAGCGAGCTGTCGAATCGAGTCATCAGCTTCTTCCAAGACTGAAGATACTAATGTAGATTCCGAATATAAATTTGAAAGGCGCTTGATATGGCTGTAAAGATCGAGGGCTGACGAATAGCCCAACGGTGTTGTGCTTACTGCGGATAACAACAGTGATGGAAGCTCCATTAAATCCACGACGCGTTCTGAGTTTTGCAGTAGACGAATAGCCTTTTTCCTTGATGCCAATAGCTTACTATCACCAGATTTGCTGAAGAGGGACGAAAAATGCTCTGCTTGGGCGTCTAATCGAGGGACGGCATTGGAAAGCTCCGTCGTACGAGTCGCAAGCTCAGGAAGTGTCTCCCGTAGCGTTCCATGGCCAACTGCAGAGGCAACTATAGATATATGATGTCGTTTCGAAAGGGCTTGGACTGATCGTAAAATCGTTTGGGACGTGACGGCAAGTTGCTCTGGTTCCGATTTCACCAAGCTTTCAATTGGCTGTGCCGCTAACTGCTCCAAGTAGGCGAGCGTGTCTTTATTTGCTCTGCTTTCGAGGCCAAGAAAATCTCCTAAGCCCTCGGCCATATTTCAATCAGCGTCTTGCTTATTGCATCTGTTGTTAGGTTGTTTCGTGCGTGGATAGTAGCAGGTGCCAGCGCCAGGTAACGGACGGGGCAGACTTGACCTGCCCCGCTACCAGAGAGCGAGCGCTGCATAGCATATAGCAAGCAAGTACGCACGGCGTACACACAGCGACAACAAGATACTTACGCACTAGACGATTCCCTTTCCATCACACCACTTTTTTATAAAAAAAAAATTTAAAAAAGTAATTTTAATTTCGGGGCAGAAAATCTCAAGGTGAAATGATACAGGGATCACGATTCCAAGGTGTCTTGTGAACGAAGCACCCAGCTCTTACACCTGATCCTCACCACGTGAGGCCGCCCCAACGGTTCTACCAGGCACCCCATCAAGTCACCTCGGCAAGCCGCCAGTCATTCACAGCCGTAAAGCGCGTCGGCGTCTGCCCTTATAACCAACCCAGTCTCGCACCACGCAGCTTCAATTTCCACGTTCCTTACATCCGTACCTGGGGATAAATTTGGTCTGTTTATCACGCCAAGCGATACTCCATTCAATGGAGGCTCTCAAAGACCCATTCCCCCTTGCGCCCATTCCCTGGCTCTCGGAATGGATTCGACCAGTTGCGAATCGCTTGGGGCTCGTCATTTTGCCGATGCATATCCATGAAGTCGTTTACTCAGCTGGCTTCTACTTCTTCGCCCAACATGTTATTTCGCCAATTCTCTCGAACATGTTTGCTGCCAAGCACTACTCCCATCTATCCCGAAAAAAGAAGATCAACTGGGATGTCCACGTCGTGTCTCTCTTCCAAAGCGTCATGATCAGCGTTCTCGCTCTTTGGGTGATGTTCACTGATGAGGAACGCATGAGCATGGATAGGGAGGGCCGTCTATGGGGTTATACTGGCTCATGCGGTCTGATCGCTGGACTAGCGGTCGGGTATTTTGTCTGGGATCTGGTTGTTACCTCGCTCAACTTAGATGTCTTCGGCATCGGTGCATTGGCCCACGCCATTTCGGCATTGACCGCATTCTCACTTGGCTTTGTAAGTTAGCACTGATCTCAAAGCGGTTGCAACCTCTAACACTGACACAGCGCCCATTTGTCAACTACTATGCCTGCAACTTCATCCTTTGGGAAATATCTACCCCTTTTTTGAACATTCACTGGTTTCTAGACAAGGTCAACATGACGGGCACAAAGGCACAGCTCTATAATGGGTTGCTTCTCTTGTTCAGTTTCTTCTCCAGCCGCCTCGTGTTTGGTAACTATTCGGCTATCAAAGTGTTCACAGATATCTACTACACGTTAGGGAAAAACCCCAGTACCCCTGGAGAAGGTGTCCAGATCTTTGTTACAAAGGATACCACCCTGCCTACATGGCTCGCATTGTCCTATGTTACTAGCAATGCGGTGCTAACAACGTTGAATGTGTACTGGTTTTTCATGATGATCAAGGCAGTTCGCAAGCGATTCACGCCGGGAACTGAGAGCCCTGACAAGGCTGGCAAGGTAGAGAAAATGGTGGCGACTGAGGTTGAAATTGATGTTTCCGCTACTGGGAGTGACATGCCAAATGCTCAGGATGTCCGCTCTCGCCGAACATGATAGCGTAAGGCTTTACCACGAACAATTCTAAATGTGAAGATGATGGGTTTATGGTAATAGATTGTGATGTATTTCTATATAGATGACTTCTAATTCGATAGAGTAGGTAGTTTTAATTACTTCATAAAATACATACATCAAGTTCTACTCCCACACTCTATATCATCACAGGCATGTAGTACGTCAACAGTGATAAACGATGCGAAATATATTTACAGATGAAACTTCAAAAATTGGTAACGTATGTACCATTACTTATCTATCTATCCATTAAGAGCCATTCGCGCAACAGCGGTGACGTAGATACCGCGACGAAGTCGGCGATCTAGCTACAACATGAACCACCAGAACTTCCCCGTACTATACATATAATTTTACCCCATTCTGTTCTAGAAAAGGCAGAAGGAGATTCGTCTTGAATGGGATATTTGTATTATGACAACGGTTGGACGTGGACTTATCAACTTTAAAATCCAAAGGGGTTGTCAGGTGCTGTTAAACTGTCAGTAATGCTTTGGACATATTATCAAGCCGCGTAGTTCCTTAACTTACTTGCTTGGGATAGATTCGCCCTGCGTCCGGTAGGTTGAGGGGCTAGTTTCTTGGCCTCATTGGACACACCGAATCGAACAGGTGGGGGAGGCCCTGTCTTTTGGGGAATGAGTGCCTGAGGCTGTTGATGTTGAGACGCGGAGTTTACTGAGTTGTAGCCCGTAGGCTGCATTTGTAAACCGGGCATTCCAGTACGCTGAGGTTCCAAAGCGGGAGGCAGGAAGCTATTCACTGTACCTGGCTGCGTAAACTGCGGTTGTGTAAAAGAAGCTGTAAACCCAGTAGGTTGGGGTTGTAAAGCAGCAAATTGCGCCTGCCTGGTTGGATCTTGGAAAGGGCTTTGGTTTGGCATTCCCGTATACATGGGTTGTATAAACTGCGTTCCATTTCCGACCGGGTACCCAGCAATACCTGGCTGTTGTCCTGCGAATCCAGTCATTGTTGGCTGCATCTGTTGCAGCTGTTGCATCTGAGCGTATTGCTGTTGCATCCGAGCTTGGGCAATATCATTCAAACTCTGACCAGGAGGTGCTACTTGTCCTTGTACCAAACCTGTCATCTGTGGTGCTAGTGGGGCTTGAAATTGCGATTGCATCGCAGATTGAGGCGCAGACGTAGAACGTTGAGGGGGTGGTGGGAGAAGCATCGGTTGATTGGAAGATATGGGACCTGGTGTTGGGCGCTGTCTGGCCAAAGATTTTGGTGAAGATGGCATGTTTGAGAAGAAAGAGGGCGAGGCACCAGGAACTTGTTCATTAGCCGTAACTGCTGCGGTTGTAGTTGATGTTATGGGACTCTGAGCAAGTGTGGGCTGAGGGTCAACCTTCGTTGGCTGGAGAGGCTGCGATAATAAGGACAGCTCTTTCATCGAACCCACTAAAGCAGGTGGTGGTGCTGGTGGTGACGCAGTTTCGACAGGTGTCGGCAGAGGCTTATCAACTTCCGTAGCCTTAACTGGTTTGACACTCCATGCATCGTCTTCGAACCCAGCAGTTTGCTTACCAGTCGGCTTCTTTGAATCCTGAGTGGCGGTATCATCTTCGGGCACGGACTGTGGTTCATCATTCTTCGAAAAGGCCGTCGCATCTACCACATTACTGGTTTGGACAGCTGGGGCAGGTCGGCCTTTTCGCGTGTTGTTGCGCAGTGCACCCCCGGGTCCAGAAAAGAGCCCGCCAGGTGCTGCTTCGCCATCTGCGTTTGACTTGCTTCGATCTCGTCCAAAGCGTGTATCAAGGTGCCGCATAACTTTAATTATGTCGCCCTCGCGTAATCCAAGGGTCCGAAGAATAGTTGCGTCAACATCTGGCAAGACACTTTCGTCCATGGAGTCTTTCAGGAAGGCCTGTGCATAGCGTTCGCAAAGTCCAACTGCTACATCGCAAGACAGGAAGAATTGAAACCAGTCGTACTCAGGCGCTTTGTTCCGTTCAATCTTTGCGCCTGCAGGTTCGCTAGGTCGAGCGCTTGACTTCGCACGTCTAACATCAGCCAGAGGTCTTTCGTCATCCAGCGATATACCTGTAATGTTTTCAACATATTCCAAGTCTTCGTGGGACATTTTTGCGATGGGAACCGCTATCTTAACGCCGTTCATTTTGTGCAAATGAATTTTTCCATCTTTCAAGCCAAGAAACTGGGCTTCAACGCTGAAAGACTTTGATCTATCTGTCCAAGTACGCACTTTGGCAGAATCAGGTTCTAAAATTAACAAGCAGGTTAGTAGGAGCTTACAAACTTATGCGATGAGATCTGAATTGACGAACTTGGTTTGGATCTCGTACTGTTTCCGCTGTCATGTCGACTATTGTCTCGTCGAGAACGTTGCTGATCGGCTGGGTTACCATCTGATCGTGGCGGGAGACTGCTGTCTCTATTTCTGCGAGACTGATTTGAGCCTACCTCCGTCGGTTCCTTGCTGGCGCGGATAGCCTCTTTCGTTAACCTTATTTCTTCCCTGCGGTTCTGTTCAACAGTGGAGGCCACGGAATTCGATTTTCCATCAGCAGCTTCGCTTGGTGGAGTCACCGTGCCAGTAATTTCAATGTAGCTACTAGGCACAACACCTTCTTTTCCGTTCCTGAGGCGGCGAACGTTCCACCACTCTTCGCTCTTTAAGTCGTCAAGGATATGGACCTCGTCCCCGGCAGCCACAGTAACTTCGTCATCTCCCTGCGCCATAAAATCATACAATATATGACCCTTCTTTATGTTCTTCTTGGTTCCGGCTTCGATGACTTCGCGAAGACCCGCTGCCCGTGCAGCTCCTGCAAGTTCACCTAAAGCAGCGACAATTTCCTCCGCCGTGTCTTTGGCTCCAGCGTGGAAATCAATGCTCTTACTTGGGCGTACTAGTTCCATAAAAATGTGCTTCCCTTCGCGAGAGTAGTGGGTCATCTTTTCGGCAGTCCATTCTTGAGGGGGGTCATCTTGTGCTCGCTCCGGGGCAATGAGAAGCGTCCCTGTTACGAGGTTAATACCTAGCGTAGTAGGCATCTTTTTACGTTTCCCCATGACTGAAACCATTTCACTGATATTGTACATGTGAAATCCCCCTGGGTTGCGATACCCTTGATTTGGTTTGTCTTCGTCAGCGGGTGGTTCGCCGTAATCAGTTGACGTTCGAGCGGCATGGTGGGGATGAGGAGGGCGTGGTCGAGATGGTAATGCGGGAGATTGTACTGATTCTTCGTCTGATTCAGCCGCTGGCTCCTCGAATCTGACAACCGGCCGTGTAGCTGGAACTGGTGCCGTCGGGGTGGCCGGGGGCGAGGCAGGTGATTTTCCTTGCATGACGCCGGCAAGTATGGCGGCCGCTGGGTTAGCCGCTTTCGATTGTAGCGGTACTGGGCCAGAATCAGAGGCCGCTGGAGGCTCCTGGTTTTGCTCCATGGTACTCGCTTGTGGTCGGGTGGGAAGAGCGGGCGGGGGTACGTCGTCATCTTCTTCTGCGAGATCTGCCGATGCTGAACTCTCGCTCATGTCAATATAGTTGGAGGGCACGAAGCCGAATTCTCCATCAAGCCCGACGAGAATCCAGTCAGGGTCAGATATATCGAATACTTGCAATATAGCATCTTCCGGGAAGGAAAGCTCCTCGTCCGTCTGTCGTGTGTACTCGTATATCGCTCGGGCGTTACAAACAACAGGCGCCTGGCAAATAGTCAGTAAATTTATATGATATCGGCGTTACCCTTAGTCTCCTGCTGACGCGCGTTTATCGTGCGAAGCACGGTGTCCGATGGTACGCGATGCGCGATAAGGAGTGGGTGGTGCTCGTTCGAACTGGCATACCTCTTCCACATAGTTATGCGGCACTAATCCAGTGGGCTCGTCGTCGTCTTCATCGCCCGCTTTCTTCTTAGCTTTCCACCAGCCATCGTCGCTATTCTTCTCCAAGATATATAGGAGGTCGCCCTCAGCTACGATGAGCTCACCCGAGTCCCGCGGCTCGTAGTCGTAGACGGCCCGGTAAACGCCAATGAAACCCATTCTGGCGGCAAGGGCTTTGGCTTGTGACCTTTGTGTTAAATTAGCCTCCGCTGTTTTCAAGCCGTTGTGTGGATTTCGATGCAGCGGTGCGCATTTATCGAATGTTGAGGTTAGGAGATGTGGGAGGTGTTTGCTGCGCTTGCGTTTTGCGGGCGACGGTGGCTGAGGTCAAGCCACATGGTCACCTCACAGCCGCTGAGCTCTTCAGGCTACTGGCCGGCGTTGACAGGGGTAAGTCCATGCGTCAACCCACGCAACGTTGAGCCAGACCTATTTCTAGCTGTTGAGCAACGGCTTGGCCGAAATACGCGATTGTTATCAGGTCGCTCTGATAACATAATCATCCCAATACTCTTCCAGTTTGCGGTTGTTGTTATTAATATCGTTGTTACTATTTTTTGATTAATTTTTTCAATAAAAAAAAAAAAATAGACATGCCCCTCCGGCTAACCTGTATGTCTATGGCCCCACAGGTACGCGTCAGTATCATTGAAGGGGTCCAGACGTCACCAGTACTATATGAGCATCACAGGAGTATAGCGCTGTACCCAAATCGAATGGTTAAACAATTGCACATGAAATCCAACCCATGATGACCCGCGAGGATATAGCAGCGGTGGCGCAAGCAGAATTGGAGCCGATAATGCATGCAAGGTCTACAGGGTAGGAAGCTCACTACGACCAGAGGCAGCACGTTTGAACTGAGCGCCACGACTGCTACGAGCGCAGAGACAGGCTGAACGAACCAAGCTATGGAGTGTGTTTTACATAGAAGGCTAATTGAAACATCTAGTTATAGCAAACCACGAAATGCACACAGAGAATAACATGCGATAAGTAGCTATTATATCATGAGATCCGTAGCGCTACCACTCACTTGACGCTACGAACGATAACCACGGGCGACCCTGGCCAGGAAAGGGTTCAAGAAAGACTAGCGATAGAGGTGGAACCCAACAAGGACTCTTAGTCCTTTGCGAAACTGTCAAGGTTTTTGAAGCTGCCATTCCTCTGGCCCCGAGTGTAGATCCCGGGGAACATGCGCGGATCGCTTCCAGACAAGTGAAGGTTAGACATTGCCGCTGCACCTAGTAGGAGCTCAGGATCAGCATTACTGGATTCAACATGGGCTAAGTTTGCTGGTGCGGTGGCTAGGTTTTGATGAGGACCCGAGGGTGTGTTATCCGCAGGACCGCGAGAAATTCCGTCGTTTGATGGGTCATACGTCACATATCGCCGGAGCCTATATAGTTAGTTAGCACTGACCACAGCTTACAGGACCTGCAACTTACACTTCTCTCTCCTGTAGAAGGGTATGGTATCTGAATTCTTCTCGGCGGTCGGGAACATTCGTTTTTACCATGCGGTTGCCCTCGCGCCCAGGTTTCTCAAAATCTGGACCTAGCCAGTGTCTTTTGATAGCAGCTTCATAGCCACTCTGTTTCACAGAGTTCTTAGCCAACTCGCACATGTCGACAGCGCTGAGCTTATAAATCTGAGCGGCAACGGCATACTCCTCGATAAGAGGTTCCTTTGTAAAAGCGAACTGAAGAGGATCGTCAGTAGATAGAGAGACGTTCAGGCCTCTCTTAAAGTACTGATGAAACGGGTTGCGCTCATATGCCAAAAACAAGGCATTATTACTCAAGGGGGACATGGCCATGCCGATCTGCTCCAAATAAAAGACATATTGGAGCAATGGAACCTTTCGTAAGACCAAACCGTGACTAATGCTGTGACAACAAAGAGCAGCTACAGCCAAATGCTCGCTGTCGCCTGCTTCACCACAGTGAGGTCTCATGACAAACGTGTTGAAGCCTCGCTTCTTTCGAAAGCTATTTAACGAAGCCATGTTCGCAAATGTGTAGTAGATCCAGTAGCTGTATGGAGGATTTTGTTTGGTATCCCACTCGTTGGGAACAGGGAATTTTCGAAAGAGTCTGCGTTCGACCTTGCTCTCATCATCGACACTATCGAAACCGATAACGCGCTGGAGAAATATATGAAGTTTGGGATGACTCTTCGGGTCTTTCGTCACCTCAAAGAGGGGCTGAAATAGGTTTTTGATGACAGATTCAAAAGTTTCCATGAGACCAGATGCCTTATAGACATCATACAATCTTGGGATTTGAATAAGCCAGCGCACATTGTGCGAGAAGAGTTTATTGTCAACAACCCATGCTGCAAGTTTGTCCCATTCATCAATGGATTTTCCATAGATGGAAATTCGCCATTCGACCATTTGATATTTGCTTGATTCCAAGTCTGAAATTACTTCTTTTGTAATTTCTGCTAGGTAGCGGCCGTGAATGAAGTTATCAGTCTTGAGGAAGATAGTTCTTAGACGAGACTCTCCGATTGGATTGTACTTCAAGTTAAACTTATCAAACCGATGGAATGAGTCGGTGTGAGCCTAGTTAGTAAATTAGTAGATAGCTTTACCGAACAATCCAGTATCAACTTACATGCATGTCGAGTGTATCAATGCTCAGATCATAAGCAGTGAGGTTAATACTAGAAAAGACCTCTGCAAGAGTGAGGTGTTTACCATCCCTAAATAGAACAACCTCATTGGGGTATTTCTTCATCTTGCTTTTGATAAATCTCAGAAGGTGTTTCTGGTTCATACACGCGGAATGATGCACGTGGGTATCGACCTTTCGCACGTTGTAAAAGTCACGATGGGGAACCTTCTTACTGTCCGCAGTTTCCTGATATTCGTTCAGGAGCACGTAGAGGTTGAATTTGCCCTCCAAGTACTGTAAGCGGCGAAAAGCAAAACTCTTGCTTGGGCCATCTGACGAGACATTGAGAATATCCTCAAGATCCATGTAAAACTCTCGGATTGTGGGAATTTTGACAATGGGAGTATCTTTTGAGTCATCGCTATAGACCTGATAGACGCCCTCCTTGTCGAGCTCAAAGACGGTGCTGTCCTCTCCGGGAAGTGGTAAAACATCATCCATGTTGAAGTCTTCTCCGACACCCTGGCCTTCCTTGCCACGAACATATTGTGTGGATTGGCCCTGGGCCTTTGCCGCAGAATGGCTTGACTGCCAAGCAGGCTCTGGCGGAGGCGGGTAGATCTCCCAATCGGGCTGATCTCGGGGATTGTCGTCTGGACCTTGCGCGCTCAGAGCGATGTACTTTCTTCTCACATCGACAATCTTCTGAATATTCTTGGAAATGGCTGAGAGCTCGGCAGTTATATGAGGCTCGGTATCAAACAAACTGTTCAGCGTCAAGTCATTCGTGGTGGCATTAGCAGCTTGAGAAGAGAGCAATGTCTGGCCCCCAGTGTGAGAAGGGGCACCTGCAGGCTTAGGAATTTGAGAAGCCATTGTAACACCGTCTGAAATATTTGGTACCAGAGTTAGATGTGTAATTGAACCATACTTTGTTGCGTTGGTACTTGCCTTCCTCTGTTTCGAAGATGAGCGAATCGCCACCATAGTCTGTAGTAGCGTGTGAACCAGATGCAATAATAGGGCTTCCCAATGGAGTTGATTGAGACCACCCGCTGCTGCTGGAACGAACATCGATTTTACTTCTTTGATAAAAGAGCTTGGCATCGGTTTGGCTCATCTGACGCTCAGCCACTGGGTCATGAAAAGTTGTTCGTTTAGGAAGATCTCGAGGCAACATGCCGTCCTCAAGGCCGCTTCCATTTTCCGTCGATTGCGCATGAGCGGCTTCCGAGGGAGTGGCCACGCCGCTTGTTGCGTCATGTGCTCCATCATCCTCCCAGTCCGATTCGTGTGTGTGCACTTGGTTCAAGTGCTCATTCTCTATTAAGGTTATTAGATAGCTTCACTTCAGTCGACGATCACACATGTCCTTAGATTTAATAGGATGATCGAGAATGAGGAGCAATTACTAACCAGCCATGATGACTTCTCTGGATTGTTGGGATTAGCGACCGCCAAATAACGTAACCCTGAGGCAAAGTCGGGATTGTGTCTTCGTGATCCGGGACCTTGTCTAGCTTAGGGGTTGAACAATGTATATCAACTTAATAAAGATAGAGTTGTATGCTCTAGTTTAACCAAGAACAGGCTATGAGAGTGGAAGCAACTGGAAAATTCATTTCGTTGTTGCGCCGTGGTACCACCAGTGTGGATCGGAGCTTCTCCAAAGCCGGCTTTTGATAGGCGGGGCGAGTAACTGGTCCGAATCCGGGCGGAGGTTGCCGACAAACCTTCTATCTCATTACTGTGGACGGAGGGGGGCGCCGACCACTTAGCGGGTTAGGCCCACTACAAGAAGGCATACATTCAAGTCGATAAATATATTGAATAGAGATGGAATAACAATAAACCTGAGATTGAGGTAATGCTATGCTTCTAGTCTCTTTTTTTCGCCGAAGAGGTGGTGCCAGATCTGGCGGTCGAATCCATAGTGTAAAGTGCGCCACCACCAAACACTAATATGGCACCCGCGATAGTGCCATATGCTAACGAATTCCCGAAGAGCCAGATGCTGAGCAGCAAACTCACAAGTTTACGGATGTTCAGAACAATAGTGACCGTCAGGGCAGACGAAGCCGCAGCCAGTAGGTTGACCCCTCTGATACAGGCGTACTGTGTGAGTACATTGGCGACGACAAATGCCAATTGACTGGGGATTTTGGTCTGAAAGGTGGTAAGGAAAATGTGTGTTCCAGTTGATAGAGGAGCACTGTTGTACAGCCTAGTGAAATTCTGTGCCATGGAGGGCGCAAAGGGTAAGAAGAGAGGGAGAGAGAGGACATGGGAATAGAACAAATTCTCTTTCCACTGAGGACCATAAATTTTGTAGGTCGCTTCTGTGTAAAGCCCCATGATGGCGGAAAGAATTTGAGCAACAAAAAGCACGATGAGCCCAGTGCTGAAGGCAGGACGATCCGAAGATTGAGGCTGGTTCTAAGATACGTTAGCTTTTGAAAAGTAGGGGTTTTTTGTTTTAAAAAACGAAAGAAAAAACGAGGTCGTCTCACTTTTGCTTGCGCGTCGGACCAAGCTGCTAAAATAACACCAAAGCTCAGTATCACGACAGCTGTAATCTGATAGCGAGAGTAACGTTTTCCATAGAGATAGCCCGCAGCCATCGTGGTAATGCTCCCACCAGAGCGAAGGATGATGTGTACCGGTACAGAAATATTATAACTGAACGCATGGTTGTTCAGGACGTTGATTGAAAAGAAGAGGACGATGTTCACGACCCAGCGCCTTAGTGGTACCTTATTTGGGGTTAGGAAGAGCGGCGGCTGCCTTCTATCGAACTGGGCGATGTAACCTGTTATCGCAACAAACAGGAATTGCACAAATGTCAAAAGAGTACCTAGAGAGCCCGTGTTAGGATAGCAAAGTGAGCCTGTATCATGGAGAGAGCTGACCACTCGTGGGTTCAAAACTGCGGTATTTTGTTAGAACTGACTTGACAGCATAAAAAGAAGAAAGCGCCTTACTTGATGATTGATTCCAAGGCATAAACCTATAGTTGGTAACAGTTAGTCTTACAATTGTGCGTGCTTGAAATGGAACAACATACGTTGGAGCAACAGCCACCGAAGATCAAGCCAGTGACTGTGATGGTTGCTAGCAACACAGGACCGAGTTCCGAAACGATGCCGTTGGATTTGGCCTTATCACTTGAGCCATTGGTCTTCGGCATGCTAGCCTCAGATACTTCTTTTCCGTTAACAGCCATGCTTTTGTGTGAGATTGAGTTGGATGTCGTCTGGACAGTCTGTGGTGCAAGGTGACAGCTGGCGTCTCGACTTCTGATGGATGGTAGCGCCGCCCCGTCAACAGCTTGACTAGGACGCGCGCGCCATCTCCACACGCGACGTAAGTTAACTCAACGCGGATGGTAACACGCACTGACGTCAATTGGCAATGTACACATGCTGAAGGGAAAAATATTTTTTTGATAACTGCGACCGCGTACGTGAAGGCACCGTCGACTCTTGTTAGCCAAGCTATGTCCACTCACAAGCATATGCCAAGTCCAAGGTGCAACATGTTTCACGGAATGTATATATATCTTTGGCTCTAGGTCGTAATGTTTGCTTAACAAGTACTTGGTAGGAACATCTCCGGCGCGGATTTCTAAGAAAATATTTTCAAGACCACTGTTATTTCTATTCTCCAAGTGCAAACGCTACTGCTATCTAACCCCCCTTTTCGTCAACTAGACATTGCTTAAATACCAGGGCACCGTCGAGCACCGAGCCTGGTATGCCCTAAATGAAGTAGGCGTAACTGGAAGTAGAATTGAACCGATTATGAAATCGATTTCCAGTACATGTTGTTCAGAGGCTTGCATATTTCGATTGCACAAGCAATGACAGAGAGTTGGGTTGTTGTGAAGGAAATTTGCGAGGAACATGTTCCTAGTAAATTACCTAAAACATCCTTCTAATGAGTGTTTAACCATTACAGGGCAGAGAAGACAAAGAGCTAGAAAAATTAGTGTACTGTGCCACTCATGAACCGGCGGAATAGTGTACTGACATTGTTTGTCGCAGCGATGGCGATGCTGTCTTCAAATGGATGCCAGCTCATGTGTAAGATCTTGCGATTGAAATCGATCTGGTCGGCATCTGTCTCCTTGCGCATTCTCTGGCCACCGGGGCTAGTCGAACGGGAACCCCCCTTCTTACCGTTTGATGTTGGGCTAGTGGGAGCGTTGATTGGTGCTGGAACGCCAACCTTTTTCGCTTTGAAAGCAGACTTATCTGCTTGAAGAACAACCTCCATTTCCTTATCGGGGTCTGATGGATATATCATAACGTTGTTGTTATAGCTTCCCGTCATAACATTCTTTGCATCGCCCGAAAAAACGACTTCAAATTTGTCGAAAATGCTGTCGTTTTCGTACGTGTCACAGAGACGAGGTCGTAGGTGTTCGTGAATGGGTATCGTCTTGACCGGTTGTCGCTCCATGTTGATATCCCAAATCTTTACGGTTAGGTAGTCTCGCGAGAGAATGTATCGGCCATCAAACGAGAACGAGACATCAGAGATTGATGAAATGATTTCCGAGAAGAACGATCTGGTGGACGGATCTTCCTCCTGCTCGAACACTGTAATTGCCCATGGTTAGATGCTATGAGGTAGAATAAGGATAATGACGAGAGGCAAACATACACTTAGCATGCTGGTCGCAGAGGGCACTTTCTCTCATATCGGCCAACTTGATTGTACCCTTTGAACTGGCATACATGAACCAATTACAACTCATAGGATGGAATTCAGCTGCTGTGATAACTTCGGTGAGCTCTTCCATGTTGGCAGGTTTGATATCAACGATGTTGAAGCTTTGATCTTGTATGTTTAGGTTCCACAAATTGATCCGGAGATCGTCGCTGCTGATAAAAGTCTCGCCGTCACTATTGACAGAGATGCTATTAATGTGATACGCATGTGCGTTCGCATAAGTACGGCGTGGAACAGCCGCAACAACGGTGTCGTGGTGTGTAAGCCTCGGAAGCTTCAAGTCAGCAGCATTTCGGAACTGCTGCGTTGATGCTAAGGGACGTGCCGCTCCTGCACCTGTCGCACTACCTCCTGGTGTCAAGTCCTGGGAAAGGTTGTTTTCGGCAACAACTTTAAGCGATTTCTCGAATACTTTCCAGAGTTTGATAGTTTTATCGTTGGTTGATAAGAGGTAGTGTGACGCGTTTTGGCGGCGACACCACTTGATTTTGTTGATTTTTTCCTCAATTTCTAGGGACTTGAGATAGTCAAATTCGGGTTCGTGTGATTGAAACTCGGTATGGAACTTGTACTCGCACGACTTTTTCTGTTGGAGATGATGTTAGTGTTGTGATCTTGGGCTCACCGACAAAAAGCCACAACTTGCCGTCTCGTTGCGCTCAAATAGTACAACGCGCCCGCCTTTGTCTCCGGTGGCAAGATAGTTACCCGTATGATCGAATTCCACAGTAGAGATGATATCGGCTGTAGATATGTCAGCTTCGAAGCTTGTGCCAATAATGAGGAGAGGATTTTCTAGGCAGTAGTACCTTCTGTGATGTCGGCCACGTCCCCTTTATCACCAAAACATCTACACCATGATTAATTTGATGAAGAAACAAAGACCTTACGAGATATCATACTGCGTGAACTTCCATGTTGGCGAGTTAGGCTCGCTGTCGACCATTTTGGCTAATCGCGACGATGCGTAACCTGGCGTAAGGCGGGCAGAGGTCGAAATGTAGTTGAAGGGAGCCGAAAACAATCTCAAAAGATAGCGCGGGCGCTTTAAAATAAATTGGCCTAGTCTTCAATGCAAAAAAGGCCTAGTCGTAAGTGTTTGTTTCGTGTTGGCGATGCTGCACACGCCTAGGTCATGGCGATGGGCGGGATGGAGATGGAGATGTGGATGATGTCGTCTGGCGTGGTGGGTCCCAAGGGCAGCAGCTCCCTCCCAAAAGTCTGCGCACCAGCAGAAGCCTGAGGCGCAACTAACTTGGACCGTTGGATAGTTCCCGCTTCAAATAAGACCTACCTACAGAGCAAACAAGGGAGTGTAGAATATTGTTTTTTTTTTTCGAGAAAAAAATATCCTTTCGCAATTCTGGAATGAATTTATCAGGATCTGCAGCAAATGGAAATCGGCTAGGCAAGCCTAACACTCAATTCCCGTGCCCAAGACTCCAGAAACCATCTAGTAGACGTGAGGAAGCCCAATTCCAAATTACTTATTTGACGTCCCGCTTAAGATTCAGAGCAAGGAAAATTTTCGGACTACTGTAAATGCTGTTATCGTAGTTATTTGAAAAACATTCCATAGCATAACCGATATTTGTTATCTAGATCGCAGCGAGGGGCTCAGGTCAGTCTCCTTCAAGGGCGGACGAGTAGAGCGTCGTCCGAGACCAATGCTGATATTAATATAAATGCCCTTCGGCGATAAATAATATTCAAACTCACTGGAAAAGCAAATGAGGTAATATTTATTCACCTTTTGAAGTAGAGAGATGTATTGACGAAAGGATCTCGGCCGACTCTGCACCAAGCCCAGCGGCTTCGGGACAGTGTCCTTAGCCGCGGATCCGCCCGACATGTGAGAGAGTAGGTGAATTGCAGGTATAGTTATATATACTAACGCATGATCCATTTATTCCTTTTTCTAAAGAAACATTTATTTCGATATTTAAAGAGCAATACTAAACATCTGTCGTTTAATATCCACTAATGAATAATGTCTCAAGATGGACAGACAACGGACAACCTCGGCCAGGGCGGAGTACCAGATGATGGGCACCGGGATGCTAAAGGCAAAGGGAAAGCAACAAAGTCGAATTTTGTCGATCGGTTGCAAGATTCTGGTCAAATGGTTTTAAAATCATTGACTGGAACCCCTTCCGAGCTTGGCATAATTGGGGCCAATAACAAGCTTACTGGAGAGTGCAGTGGCACAAATAGGCTCGAGAGTATGGGTTCAATTTACGCAACTAAGCTGTCACCACAAAACACATGGCATGAGACTTATCGCCAGTCGAAGCACCAAGATGCCAACACATTATATGATACATTCTTGGATGCACCAACTCAAACGCTGCAACAATTGTACCCGGGCGGAGAGCTACCCATTTTATCAATTGCAGCCCAAGAAGCAAGTGATGGGGCTGAAGCCGTCGAGCTTCTTGACAGATTAGAGGACGACCCGTGTAACTGGGAGGAGGAAGACGGGTTATCTTGGGGAGAGGCGGACAGGTGGCAAGCTTCAATTTCGCCATCTGAAAACAAGTGCGTTGAGCATCTTGACTTTACTCCCGCATTCTTTTCTGATCATTCGACTCTATCGGCGGAATCTATAAGCTACTTGGGAGTGTCGGACCTCTCAGAAGCACATCCAACATGGACGCAATATTGGGGCGAGGTGATCTCGTCTTATACAAGTTATGTTTGGGGCGATTTACCGTTTCCTGTTTCTGATTGCCCCATTAAAGATTCTCAAAACACTCCGTTGGTGCCTGTGCCAAGTGGAAGTAGTGCCTTGAGTCGCCTCCGCCAGATATTGGCACATGTCCGTGGTCGTTTGTGACATGCAGGTGCATATGGCACCGTTGCTGAGCCAACAACAATCTATAAGCACAGATTTAGGAACAGAAGCTCTCTCTGTCAATGATAGATGGGATAATTTTTTTAATCGATAAATTTCCTTTCAATTAAGAATAATATAAAACTTTTTAAAAAACTTTTTTTCTTGATGCAGATATCAAATATCAAAACAAGCCGGATCGTGTCAGTGATGAACTAGGCTACGGTACCCCACCACTCCTCTCCTTGAACACAGGTCCGCTGGTTGAAGGTTTGCGCAATATATCATTATCGCAGCGTCTATTTCGAGAATATGTCCAAGTTTACCTTATTTAGTTCGATTTTTACGTTCTTGGTAACAGTTTTGTGCTACCCAGAACCAAGCCCGACTTTTATCTCCGGCTCCTTGGTGCAATTTAACGCCCGAGCCGCTTGTCCGGCCAATACATTCCAGTGCCCAACCTCTCTCGGTGCTGTCTTCAGCGACATTTGCTGCGCGCAAGGACAAAAGTGCGCTCTGGATGATAATAGAAAGCCAGCATGTTGTCCGCAGGGGTAAGTGGTTAGTCTCTAATCGTGGTCCTCGCCAGCTAACAAAGCCTCACCCCTAGTGCTGTCTGCACCGGTATTGCCCCAAGCGGTCCCTCACCGACTATATCCTTTGTGTCGAATTCGTACTTTCCTTTCCCGTATGCCCCAAGCAGCTTTAGCGACCGTGCGGCGTGCTCTTCCGCGACTAGTACATGCTCCAAACAATATCTTGCGTGTATGACGAACCTTCAACATGGAGGGGGCCAAGGATACGCTGTGACAGTGGCTGTTGCTGGGGGCGGCGGTACGACGGTGAACGGTATGATAACAACCGGTATTGATGCGGCAAAAGCAACATCTGTTTGCTCTAGTCTAAAATCCGAGGCTTGTTCACAGGCCGAGGCAACTCCATGCGAGAGTTATGGGGGGAGTTCGAGCGCAGCACCAGTGGCCCGAGTCCCCGGTTACTTCATCGGACTACTGGTTGTTCTCATATGTTGCGGATTCTAAGAATCCCAAGATGCTTTTTGGCATACATTCACGATTAATGAGTCCAATGAGTTCCCAGTATATGTATATTTAGCAAACTTCAGTCAATCACATAGATACAATCAACATTATTTCTCCCACGTCCCAGAGTGCACGTGAACCCTTAACATTACGTCAAAATCTCCCAAAACCTTGACAAATCGTCTACCACTAAAATACTCTCCAAATCGAAGTTGATTGCCAAAAATTGCCTCGCCACGGTCTCGGCAACTTTGAGTCGGCATTCATATTCCTCAGTCATAGACAAGTCCAAACTGCTGGCTGGCCGGTTTGCACTTAATTGACTGAAAATCTGGCGACTACGCTCAACAACAGCGTTGGGCATACCATTAACTGAAGCACAGTACGTGCCAAAGCTCAATGTACATGGACCAGTCTGCAAAGAGAATAGATATGTCAAACATCCCAGTGGATCCTCTGTAGAATCTCTAGGTACTACCTGCATGTGTGCCAATTTTAATCTCGATGGATGAACGACAGGGCAAGTCAAAGCATCATGGTAGTGAGTTGCCAAGATCGAGCGCGGAGCCCTGTTCCCAAGCCTTTGTAAGAAGACCAAGAGTGCCGACATCAATCCAGCACCATCGTCATTGTTTGTTCCTTTTCCGAATTCATCAACTATTATTAGGCTTCGTGAGGTTTGGTGGCAGATAACTTGGTTCACTTGTCTCAAATCGATGGCGAAGGAGCTCTCATTCACAGTGCTGCTCTCCTGAGTCGGTAATCGAGTGAGAATCTTATCGGTAATTCCAATGGTTGCAGATGTCGCAGGAACATAGCTTCCGATATGAGCTAAATATGTAATAAGGGCCACTTGCTTTAAGTATATTGACTTGCCAGAATGGTTGGGCCCTGTAAGAGTCAGTATTGGGCTCCTTGAATCGGAAGAATCGATCAGACAGTCGTTGGGAACAAAGCTTTGAGTAACTAGCTCTTGAAGTAGATGGCGACCGGCTTTAATAACAATTGAGTTATCATCTACCATATTCGGACAAACCAGCTTGTACTTTTCTGCCGCCAGTGCCAACGATTGTAAGGCGTCGAGACTGCCACAGCTCTCATAAGCCGCCTCTAGGATGCTCTCGTGAGAAAGTATGGCTATAGTGAGTTCATGGAAAATCTCTGTTTCTTTATCTGATAAATCTAACCATCAGTAAAGACTCAGCCGTTCTGCTATTGGAGACACATACCATTGATCTCGCTGTGTAAATCACCAAAACGGGCATCAAGTTCCCGCATGTGCTCATTTTTATACATGACGCATTCGTTCGCCTTGAAAAACATTTTCCATTCGGGGTTATGCTCAAATTGCGTCTGCTCTTCGGTGTTTTCATTAATGGCCAATAAAAAACCGACCTGCGGGACGAACAAACACGACTGGACAGCCTGTCGCATCATTACCGGGAGAGTATCTCGCACAGAGTTGACGATTTTTGTTAAAAAGTCTTCTAAGCCACCAAAGAATCTCTTTAAGTCATCCAAGTGCTCGTCTATGCCCGACTTCACCGAAACCTTCGTATCGAACGCTGAATCCTCAAAATCGATCACTCTCCCAATCATGACTTGAATTTCGGACAGCTTGCTCGCATCAAGGTTCTCCAGTATCTGATAACGCATTAGTACTGGATTTGTATGTGGAGGCGATTTATTACGGAAGAAAGTAGCCTGCTCTTCTCGTTTCCTAGCAACGTAACTAGAACAGTCTTCAACTGTAGTACCGTTGATACAAAGCGATCCATTCCAGCCCAGACACTGTGACGAGATTTTCGAGTTGTGTGAGTTGATCCAAGACCCCTCTTTAGTTGCGATACTAGGAGTCTAGAATTGGGGATATGTTTCAGAAGATATGATAGTTGCTTTATCTTGTCGGCATGCCGGGGGCGCAACAGCAGAGCAATGGCTTGCTGTCTTTCTGAGATCTTGCTAGTATCCATAGTAGGCTGCAAAAACATTTTTTTCAGTTTTTTTTGACCGCATAAGGTAGAAGTTAACCCCTTGAAGAGCTCATACACACAGAGTGCCTCCTCATTATTGGAAACCACTGATGAGTTGCTTCTTGTCTGACTAGCAACGACCAAATCAGGTCGGAATATTTGTAATGAAACAAGGGATTCCATACTAATGTAGAGCTGGTTGGGTAGAAAGAGACGTTTTATCTGCTTAATTTTTAAAGTTGGGTTTGTTATTTCGCTGACGTCGGAATATTCTTCAGAGTGTCGACGATGTAGCTCATATATAACAGCTCCAGCACATCCGAGCTATATAATAGTTAGAAAAGAGTTGGTAACTTGCTGCTAAATTGAACCAAGTTACTGAATAGTCGTTATTGATTCCCGTTCTAGATCGGTACCGTAAAAGTTCGACGGTTTGCTGATAACCTTGGTCGGATGTGCTGGGCCAAGATAGACCGTCTCCTCCAGAGTAAGGCGTAAACTCATTTTGTAGATTCTCACATAGTTTCATCAACTGATTTTGGGTGAAACTTGAAGAAAAGTCCGTCGATGGGACGAGTCGTATTTCTGATTTTTCACTACCCGCTGTTTCAGATGTTAGCCATGGCTCAAATAGCTCTACTTATGAAAATGGCATTCCTTGGGTTGAATCTATGAACAATTGGATAAGTGTGTGCAGTTCTTTCGATGCGCGGGCAGAAATCAGGACTATCGTGGGTCGAATATGGTTCAAAAGCTGCTCTACAACGCAATTGTCCCCGAGTCGACAGTCTTCACCAATGAATAAATAGCCGGTATCACTAGCGTAGTAGGAGCAGCCCGTAACCTGAGTTTCTTTCATCGCGATCGCCATAATGATGCTTTCCGTATTGTCTATGCCAATAGCATCCAGATCTGTTGGGTCATGGATAGCTAGCGTTGTCCTATTATCTGCTCCGTCACAGATAGCGGATGCCATTTTTTCCAATTGCTTGACTCGAGATGTGTCCTTAGAAGGCCGCCTGCAGGAAGTTATTTGTTTTTGGATAGTAATAGACTACGGCAGACAAACTGCAAGCGACAGCTGGCAGGAAAACCACGTGCCCTGTGCAACGTAGGAGCAAGGGTAAAATGTGTCACGGTAAATCTGGGCTCCGGTATGCATAGAGCGCACATTTTATAATGCAAGTAGTACTATAACTTGAAAATTTATTCGCCAATCTTCGCTATTCATTCCCATCGGCCGTGTCTAGTTACCGGCGGTCTTTGACCAGTTGATGAATTGCTTTCTCTGAGCTCGTATATCGACAAACCCAGGTCGAGTTTCTAGGTTCGCAAATGGGCTTCCTCTATAATCCTTGTCAACCGACCCTGATCCATCTAAGAAACCTTTCTCGCCCTCTCGTTCGAGCTTGCCTGCCCAAACGTTCCACTGAATTGGTCTGAGCGGTCGCGCGCTGAGCACTAGTCCGAGACACGTTACAAGTGTTGCGAATATTGTCTCTATTGATATATCGATCGGGAGTGATGTGTGGCTAGACTGTTGTGAAAGCGCGTGCTTCGCCATGGTCGATGAGAGAGCTGCATGCTCCTGAGCCGAGTAACAACTAAACAGCAAAATTAGCCCCATTGTGACCGTTCGCCGATATTGAGATGCATACGCGTGTGTCAGGAGTACTAATCCCACGATAGTGACTCCTCGAGAGAGCCATGCCATTTTGACGATGGTTATATGATGAATGTTGGTTTCGAGATAGTGGTTGACCTACTGTGGCAAGTGGCTCGTTGTATGCTTGAAGGTGGGCTCAGAGCTGCTTACCTAATTTCTGCAGATGTGACCACAAACGAAGTATCTTAGTAACATGAGTTGGACTTGCGGTAGTTAATATTAAATTTATAGCTCTCTTCAATTCTGTGCAAGCCTCGGTTTTTCTATTTCTGAAATGCATCTGCCGTAGTCTTTATGGCATGATGTGGGTTGTGTAGTTGGTTAGCTATCTAAGTATCTCGCTCTCAGTCCCCGGCACTAACTTCTCAACCTCCCAGTCATTCTCGACACCCCTCAAATATTGGTTATGGCCACCATATAGGTCAAGATCAGGAATTGAATCCCCAAATTGATCAGGAAATACACTCCATGCAGGCCAATTGGTAGACAGCGCCATAGCTGGTTCGAGTCCAGGGTATGCAGTTTGCATTTGCCCATATGGCAATAGGGAAGGGTCCACAGGGGGTTCAGTGTAGAATGAACCATGCATAAAACCTGTACTAATAGGATCTGTGCCCAATATAGGAGCGTGCGAGCTCAGAGGAGCACTATCCTCGAAATGTGTCTGGGGTTGAACCGACCCTCGTATTTGTCCAACCCAAGGCTGAGGATGGGGATGAGGTATTGGATTCGACCACGTCGGATGATCGTCGTACACCTCTGCACAGTTTCTAGTTATGGGGTTCCCGACACCTCCACTCTCTGTCCATATTGGCCGTTTCCCAGTCGTAGCCAGGGATGGCGCTGTTGTCCGCGATTTCGCGACGACTGGATCGTATCTATAGTCCGGGAATGCTTGTTCATGCATGCGTCTTTCGATCGCCGCGAGCTCGTTGAATTTGTCCACAATATCTCGAGGCTCTTTTGAGCTCCAAGATTCACCACAAATCGAAGATATATGCTGATGGTTGTTTCGCGTACTGTGTGTTTTTGCCACATTCTGGAATGCTTTCCGGTACAGCATAAATGCATTCAGAGGACGTTTGACTTTCCCAAATACACTTGCCTCCTGGCGGCGGACTTCAACGGATCTATGAACAAACTCTGATGCATCCTCAACTTTGATCTGGGGAGCCTCTGCTGCTATGACCGAAAGTGGTTTTGAAAGAGTGCATATAGTGTCTTGTTTTGCGGATGGAGCTGCTTTGTTTTCAAACCTGCGAGCAGATCGTCGTTTTTTTCTGCTTTCTGGTGTAGACGGAAGCCTCACAGGCGAGCCGATATATTGGGTTATAGATGGTGATGGCAGGAAATGTGGTGTTGATGCTCGCTGTGGAGCAGTCGGCCCTATACCTCGACTTGTGGAAGGGATAATCTAAGTGTTTATTAGTTACTGGCGCTTACTATTAAACTAGAACGAACGAACGTGAGACTTTTCCATTGTTCAGCAAGTATAGTAGGATAGTCGGACAAAACCGGTATGTCGTATGCCATGCACCTGGGACGATCTCGAGAAAGGTGTTTAATGTAGGGCGATTATCTTGGAAAAGATTGGGCGTTTAGAATGTTAATATGTAGAACAGAAGGAAGGCGAATGGTTTACAACTATATGTATATCTATATACTATTCATATGGCAACAGTTGGAGCACACCTCGTAAAGTGTTCTTGAAACCTGCGGCAGCCCTACACCACCTCTCGTTTTAAACCAGGCTATGCTTCAGGCGAACAAATGGAGTATATGAAGCAGCAAGGGTCTTAATGCCAAATGGAGTCATTATTACTAGTATGCAAACACACAGCTTGGTGCGATAAAGTTTGCTAGTTGAACGGGCGCCATAAAAGCACCGGTATGTGGCAGCGATTGGATGGTGGCTGGTAATGGGTGAAATGGTTTGCTTCTCCATAGTTTGTACAGTGAAAGACGTATCGAACGCCCTAATGGTTAGCAGACCCAGGTTTGACCAAAATATGGTGCTCAAATAACCATCCTCAAAGCTTGAGCAAACCTGCGACGTATTTTGGCGCTGAAACGATACTTGTCTGCACAACTTGCAAAAGAGCCAGATAAATATTCAATAACAATTACACGAGTATTTAAATACTTTCTGTATGTAGAGCTACATTATCGAAGCTATTTATAATCTCTGGGCAGTGTTTCTGATGTGGTTAATGTTGGCGTCGGGCAGACTAAACAGACAGTTAAATGGTTTTACGCGCGGCATTCAAGAATCAAGACACATTATATATTGTTTAAGTTACTATAATACACGAAAATACACAAGAAAACCGCATGAATGGACACCCAGGCTGTTTTGTTGTATTTGAAGTCTAATCCGCCTGCTGCATTGTTTTTATGTCATGAGCCTTGACATCTGATACTCAACGATCCTGGTATTTACTAGTGCGTAGACTCAATTGAAGGATTTGGTGGGATCGGGGGCGACATATTTGAGTGGGTGTGCTGTATCACAGGTGGTGGCTGTGCCATGTGTGGCTCTCGTGCGGGCATCGCAGCGTCTTGGGATGGTGCCGAGCTAACTGAGGGTGGAGATGATTTCGGTGCAAGTAATTGTTGCATTGGAAGTGGTAAATGGTTATCCGCACGGGGCGCAACGGGCGCGACTGGTGCGGGCGCATTTGTAACGTACGGAGGCAGTACAGTGCTGGGTTTCTGAGTTGGGATTGTAGTATTGGACAATGTTATCGGCTGGTTATTGGCCAGGAAGTCGGCGGGAGTATTGGAAGGCGATGGTTGTCGTTTCCCCAAAGTGTATAATTGTGTTGTTTCCGGCATCATACCGGTATTAATATCGATCGCGACTGTGCTACTGGGTTCCCTAGCACTAACAACAGGGATCGCGATTTCTCGCTCCTTCTCAGTCGCCTCAGGCACACTTCGAATAACAGGTCCCAGAGGTGTTTGTGTGGTCGGTGTCTGGCTTTTGGGTTGTGTGTTGGATAGGGTTGGCTGCACGACTTGGGGCTGGTTTGATGTTGGGGGCTGATTAACTTTCGGTATGTCGATAACTGTTGTAGTAAGTTGAGTCGGCTTCGAGGCTAATTCGGTTTCCAGTAGTGTCAATGGCTTAGTAGAGGGCGGGTTTGTTTCTACTAGTCCTCTTCTCGACTCGGGCGAGGCTGTTGAGCCGCGTGGAGTTTGGTCGTCTTTGTCCTTGCCTGCAGAGGATCTGACCTTGATTTTGATAGTTTTGCGAGGTGTTTCTAGGCGACGTTTGCAGTTGGCACATATGAAGTGGAAAGCGGCATCTTCTGCCTCCATCTCCGTAATACCAATGCATTGGCTGTGCTGCCAAATATTGCATCGTTCACATGCCACACTGTGAGCACCATCGTCAACTTGACCGTATAAACCGCACACGCAATCAAATGTCCAATCTTCTTCCTCTTCATCTAGTTGCTCGAGTGCCTGTTTGTTTCGTTCGATCTCGGCATGAAGACATCGTTCTGACATTCTCATACTTCCATCCATTGGCAAAACACCGTCTCCAGAGAGTTGAGCAAGCTCTTCCTGATGCCGCTTGCGGCGTGTTTCTCGTTCCTTAAGTCTTCTTTCTCTTGCAAAAAGTCGTTCATCACGCTGTTTCTCCAGCTTGCGCTGCTCCTGCTCCTGCTTTTTCCTAAACAGAGCATCTAGTTTCTGCTTTTCTTCTTCCTCTCGTTCGTGCTCTTCCTGCTTCTTTACCTCCGCCTTATTCGCTAGTCGACTCGAACGTTTCGCTGTTGCCATTTTCGCAAGATTCAATAGCTCACGTTCCCTCTGAATTTCTTTTCTCTTGCGGCTTTCCTCCTGTTTCTCTAATATGGGAAGCAGGTGGTCTTCTAGTTGCTGTCGCAAGACTTTTTCGTTCCCGTCGCGTGTCTTACGGAAACCGTTTATAAGAGTCTGCACGTCAGGAAGTGTGATTGCCACGCATTCCCACTTCATTCCCCCAAGGGAAGCATCTGCGGCTTCTTCCGGAACGGCTGCCTGGCTCTCAGTATGCTCCAGGCCATCCTCGACATCAGGGCCTTCGTCAGCGTCGATAGTTCTTCTTCGTTTGCTTAAACGCCGACCGCTTGCATATGATTTGCGCTTCTTCACTGGTTTAATAGGAGCTGGAGGCTCGGGAGCGTCCGATAACCGATATACGCGATTGTCGTCTAGCACAAAATATGTACGATCTTCTCCATCCCATCCATAAGGTTCTATACGCTGTCTCCAGAAGTTAGTAAAAGCAGTACCGGTAAATGTAGATATGTCACGGTTTACCCATGTAGCCTGGTCTTGATCTTTTTGTTCTTCCATCTTGTCTCTGAGTTTCTCTGGGTAAGCCATCGCCCACTGGGTTAATTGTTGCAGGATAATGATCTACCGGCTTTAGTATATACACAACACCATAGTGTTTGATGCAGAAGTACCTTTTGGAACGAGTCCAGATCTACAAAAGACTGGGCAGTGTCTTCTTCAACGGAGCCCAATGGGTTGTTATCGGGGAGGTGATAAAGGTATTGTTTTCGCAATTGATCGTCAAGAATGTCGGTTCTAGTATTAAATCTCAATGTAAGTGACTTATATCGTGGACCGGGAGGTGGAAATCAAAACGAACGTGAGGCCGCGGTGCTGCGATACAAGTTTGAGTAAAGCGAGTGCGAGGTCTGTCAACACTGGCGAGCTTGGCTTGAGGCATTCCATTTCGAGGTCCTAGAAAAAGCATAGTGGTTAGCATAAATACTAGTAGTCAGATGAAGCAATAGAAATAAACAAACCTCAATTTCAATGGACTCATCTATCTTGGCGACTTTACCAAACATGTAAATCCACTGGCATAGGTTGGCGAATTGCCACATGTTGCGCAGACGGTGCAAGGCCGGCGACGAATCGCCGGGCGGCTGCGACTGCGCAACCGCAATTGGATTCGATCGTGATGGCATAGCTTTGATGGACAAATGTGTAGTCGTGTCGGCGCTGCGCGTCTGAGAACATGAAGGCGGAGGTGAGGTTTGGACTACGTTCACGTTTAACTAAAGAATGCCAAACGCAGCGCCGGCGCAAAACTTTGGTGGGTCCCATGTGTTGTGTCGCGTTTGCGGGAGTTGGCAGGCGGATCGCCTCGCAGCCCAGCTTGCGTGTTGAGAGTGCATTGGATTCAGTGTTACGGCGAGGTTGGAGCGTTCCGGACTAGCGACGAAATTTATTGTAAAAAAGGTAAAACCATGGAATTGTAAAGTAAAAAGTAAGGCAATGCACCCTATGAATTTAAAACAAATAAATAAATAAATAAACAAATAAATAAATCTTTTGTCGAGATTACGTCTTCTCGAATTCTGGCTTCGACTTTGTCAAGCTACATTTAGTAAACGGATAAAAATAGGGACTTGCAGGTGAAAGGGGCGCAGTGTGCTCTACAGTGCGTGGGCGAAGCAATGTGGCCTAACACGTGGTGTTAACTGGTGGGGTTCGACAGTGCGAACAGCGCGGTCGACGAGGCGTGTCTGGCAAAGGCATTGAGTGGTAAGCCTCGTTATCTTTACAGGTTTCAGCATCGCTCCTGTTTATTGCGTCTCATTTGTTTCCTACAAAGCACACGTCACCGCTCAGCCGACGTTTGACTTCTTTGGCGCCAAAAATGTACTAGATTCTACAGAAACTCCTAGGTGCCTTCTCTGTAGCTACGGTCGACTGGCGTAGCCTCGTTGGACTACCATCTAGCTGTTTATTCGACTGTAGCCCGCCGCTACAATGCAACCGATCGACGATGGCGACCCCCAGCGACGATGGCGGCAGCCCGAACAAGTCAACTCGTTTCTTCCTGATGGACAATCTGGACTGTCAAGAGCTGCCAACGCCGGCGGATCTACATCAACTCCGGGGGAAGAGGCGGATGAACTGCGAGCTGCCCAGCATGGCTTGCTTCCCACATATACTGGCGGGTATTGGGGCTCATCCAACTCTGATGGCCACACGTTAGGATATACGGCACGCTCAGAATCACCGATTGATTTGGGCGCACTGCAACTTGCTTTACCTCCCGAAATATCGTCCTACTCTAGTGCCTCGCGCGATATGGATTCGACCCTTACACATCCATTTGATAGCATGTCGCCATTTCTTGACGAACCACACAATTTTGACGGTGTAGAGTCGGATACAGAACCGTTGACTTCAGCAGCGCAACCTATATCTGGTACGCTCCTTAACCAACCAGAAACCCAATCCCGCGGAAGCTTCCAGAGCGTATCCGATTTTGGGCGCGGCCGAAGCTATGACGGAAACGAATCTCAGCCAGGAACAAACTACGGCCGCAATTTTGGTACTTCTCTCAATCCCAATGAAATACGTATCTCAAGGTCACCATCACCTTCGCGAGCACTGTCTCGCGCGGGATCCATGGTGCGAGCTATGTCGCAAAGAGTCGTCAACATTAGCGGCGATAATGACGCTCTTAATGATCGCCGCCTCTCCAACACGTCTTCTAGGGCATCTCACGAGGCAACTGTGCCGAACCGTCAGAACTCCTTTGCGTCAATCGGCATCGATACTTCATACCAACCTCATTTACAACCTCCCCGAGAGCATGAAAAGCTAGAATTACCCCTCAGACCGATTCCTCTCAGTGGTCGAAAGCTGCCAAACCCTTTGAAAGGAAAGTCCTTAGGGATTTTCCCTCCCAACAGCCCAATACGACTAGGACTTTGTAATTTGCTAGTGAATCCATACACTGAGCCGGCCATTCTATTGCTGATTGTCTTACAAACGATTCTGTTAGCTGTTGAATCTGGCCCAAGCGTGTTCAGTGATGGCCATGAGCGACCAAAGCGGTGGGCAGGGCGTGCCATCGACTGGGTCATGTTGGGACTTTTTATAGTTTTCACCTTGGAGCTTGTGGCGAGAATTATTGTGTCTGGATTCATACTGAACGCCGCAGAATACAGCAGCATTGATAGAAGGAAAGGCGTGCGATCTGTCATTTCTGACCAGTATAAATCGTTTTTTCAGCCACAACGGCAAAGGTCCGTTCGGAATACTCGAGCTGAAGAGCCACAACCTATCTCAAGATCTTTTACCAACTTTATGCAACATGTCCCAGAGACAGTTGAAGAGCAACAGCGATACCAGCTTGCGCGGCGAGCTTTCCTACGCCACTCATTCAACCGCTTTGACTTTTTAGCTGTTGTATCGTTTTGGATCGATTTCGTTTTGAGTATAAGCGGTGTTGAGGACGCTCATCATCTATACATATTCAAGATGCTTAGCTGTCTCCGAATTTTGCGCCTCTTGGCTTTGACAAACGGTACTGCAATCATTCTTCAAAGTCTCAAAAAAGCGGCGCCGCTGCTCGTTAGAGTTGCATTTTTGATCTGTTTCTTTTGGCTCCTATTTGCAATTGTTGGAATTCAGAGTTTCAAGTCGAGCCTTGCTCGGACTTGCGTGTGGCTTGATCCATTAGATGCAAAAAACCTGTCAGCAGCGGTCACCATTGAAGGCCAGTTTTGCGGCGGCTATCTGAACAATGATACCGGCCGGATAGAACCCTGGCTTGAATTTAGCACGCCTCAATCCCTAGACAACCTCCTTCCTGGCACACAGGATGGTAAAGGCTTCATATGCCCGAGGGGATCTATCTGTCTGCAACAACAAAACCCGTCGAATGGAACTGTGAATTTTGATAATATCTTTCACTCACTAGAGCTGGTGTTTGTTATCATGAGCGCAAACACATTTTCCGATATTATGTACCATACTATGGGATCTGATTACATCCAGGCAGCTTTATTTTTTGGTGCAGGTATCATGATCATGATGTTGTGGATGACCAATCTGCTCATCGCTGTCATAACCTCTTCGTTTCAAGTCATTCGAGATGAAACCAAAGCGAGTGCGTTTACCGCTGATGTTAAAGCGGAAGAAAAGCCTAAGCCTGACCCTCGCCTACGGAAACTATCAACACTTCAGCAGATCTCAGCCAAATCTAAGCCATTCTTCTTATTGGTTATTGTTTTTGGCTTAATCTGCCAAGCATGCCGCAGCGCGCGGATGTCCGAAGACCGAAGAAGGTTTATTGACGGTGCAGAAATAGCCGTGACTGCGATTCTGGATGTGGAGATTATATTGAGATTTGCGGCGTACTGGAGATGCTTCTACAAAAGCCGTCAAAATCTGTTCGATCTTGCAGTTGCCGTTATCACGACAGTTATTCTCATACCGCCCATTCGAGCATCGCGTGCGTACGCTTGGCTGACAGCTTTTCAAATTGTCCGAGTGTATCGTGTTGTCCTTGCTGTTCCGGTTACTCGCAAGCTAATCATGCTTGTGCTGGGAAATGCTTCTGGTATCGCCAACCTGATGCTTTTCGTATTTTTAATGACATTTCTCATGGCAATTTTTGCCTGTCAGCTGTTTAGAGGTGTTATTCCAATCCATGAAGGCGACGAGTTGAATCGAATATCTTTTTTCAGCCTATACAATGCTTTTCTCGGCATGTATCAGATTTTATCCAGCGAGAACTGGACAGATATTTTGTATTCAGTGACATCATACACCCATGAATACAAGACTTCGTGGATTGGGGCCGGATTTTTGATTGGTTGGTTTATTTTGTCCTATTTTATTCTGGTAAATATGTTCATTGCTGTCATCCAAGAAAATTTTGACGTTTCAGAAGACGAAAAACGTCTCGAACAAGTCAAAGCCTTTCTTCAAAGAAAAGAAGTTGGCCATAATGCAAGCAATCTCGCATTATCAACAATATTCAGTTTTGGAAAGAACAGGAAGAAGAAGGATCCTCTTGATTATGGCCCTGGAATGATGGAAATGCTTCTTAAAGATGCCGTGGTTCGCGACTTTCTAGACGAAGAAGGCACCGATCACCATGCAACTCAACAATTAGAGAGAGCAGACCCTATAGACCAGAGTCCTGGTCAGGGCAATTGGTTGAGCCGAATATGGCAGAAGCTCTCACATCGGGTCATGTCCAACGAACCAAACCCATTTTACACAAATATTCGATTTGACGGGCCAAATGACACCTTAGATCCTCGACAAATGGCAAGACAGGTAGTTTCCGCAGCTGCAGCACGCCGACGCGCCCAAAGAGAATACTTGACGCGCTACCCAACATACAACGACTCGCTCTACATTTTCAAGCCTAAAAATAAACTCAGGAGACTGTGCCAGCGACTTGTGGGACCTGCACGAGGCTCCGAAAGATTTGATGGTGTCGAGCCGAATAAAATCGCGTGGTATTCTTTCTCGGCTGTTGTTTATGCTGCTGTTGTTGCAATGGTCATTATTGCATGTGTCACAACGCCCCTCTACCAAAAGGAATACAAAGAACGACATCCATCAAGCGGTACGAACTGGTATGTTTGGACTGATCTGGCGTTTACCGTCATCTTTACCGCCGAGGCTGCTATTAAGGTCATTGCCGACGGCCTATTGTGGACACCAAATGCCTATCTACGCAGCGCTTGGGGTTTAGTAGATGCAATTGTGCTCGTTACACTCTGGATCAACGCCGCAACATTGCTCGTGAACGACTCGGCTATTTCGCGAGCCATTGGTGCCTTCAAAGCCCTGCGAGCTTTACGGTTACTTAATGTCAGCAATAGCGCCAGCAATACCTTCCACTCTCTCATTATTGTTGGCTGGTGGAAAATTCTCGGTGCAGCATTCGTCTCTTTGTCGCTCCTTATCCCCTTTGCCATCTACGGTCTGAATTTGTTCAATGGGCTCATGGTGTCTTGCAATGATGGCGATAGCGTTGAGGCTCTCACACAGTGCTTGGGAGAGTTCAACAGTACACCATTTAGTGATAATTGGCCAATGCTGACCCCCAGGGCTGTGGCAAATCCATACTTCAAGTTTGATGACTTTGGGTCCTCTCTTTTCACCCTCTTCCAAATTGTCAGCCAAGAAGGTTGGACCGATGTGTCGTTTGCTGCACAGTCAATTACGAGCCTAGGAATGCAGACACAGGATCTAGCTGCACAGGGCAATGCCGTGTTCTTTGTCATTTTCAATCTGCTAGCTACCGTCTTCGTTCTCACCCTTTTTATCTCCGTTTTCATGAGAAATTACACTGAGCAGACGGGTGTTGCTTTTCTCACAACCGAACAGCGAGCCTGGTTGGAACTTCGTAAGCTGCTACGCCATATATCTCCTTCTAAGGCTTCCTATCACGAGTCAGAGAAAAGCTGGAAACGTTGGTGCCATAAGCGCGCTATTGAAAAGCGTGGCAGATGGCACATTACAGTCACGTTTGTGTTGGTTATGCATCTGATCTTGCTCATTATTGAGTTTAGTCATGAACCAAAGTGGTGGACATGGACAAGAGATGGACTTTTTATGGCCTTCATCGTGTTTTATGTCGTCAACGTCGCGATTCGTATAATTGGGCTTAGCTGGGCCCGATTTCGCAAGAGTGCTTGGGACCTTTACTCTTTAGTGGTGGTTGGCGGTGGTTTTATTTCGACTCTTGCTCTACTGGGCTCAGAGCAAAAGCGAGAGACGTACGTTCAGCTGCACAAGTTTTTTCTTGTTGCAGTTGTACTGCTATTGATTCCAAGAAATGATGCCCTCGACCAGCTCTTCAAAACAGCGGCTGCCAGTTTACCGATCATTGCCAACCTCTTGGCTACCTGGCTGGTTCTCTTCCTTGTGTTTGCCATTGCTCTCACGCAGGCCTTTAGCTTGACGCGTTTTGGCGGAAGCGAAACAAACAACCTAAATTTGCGAACAGTCCCAAAAGCCCTTATTCTGCTTTTCCGCATGAGCTTAGGTGAGGGTTGGAACCAAATTATGGAGGACTTTGCAAATATCGAACCTCCGCTTTGCGTCGAGAGTTCAAACTTCTTTGAGAGCGACTGCGGTAGTAAGCCATGGGCAAGAGTGCTTTTTGTGGCATGGAACATCCTGAGCATGTATATTTTTGTCAACTTATTTGTTTCTCTCATTTATGAGAGTTTCAGTTATGTTTACCAGCGATCTAGCGGAGTATCTATTGTCGACCGCGACGAAATTCGGCGATTCAAGGAGGCATGGCGCAGTGTCGACCCCGCTGGAACCGGCTACATCAGCAAGGATGCATTTCCTCGTTTACTGGGAGAGCTGTCGGGTGTCTTCCAAATGCGAATTTATGAACCAGAAGATTCCGTGAGACAAATACTTGAAGATGTGCGCCGAGATAACCGCTTGTCCCGACACTCATCCATTATTGCGGCACCAGCAACTGAGATCGATTTGGCCAAACTAAATAAGAGATTGGAAAGATTGGATGTCCAAGCGATCCGCGCACGACGCCAGCGTTTCAATGTCTTTTTCGAGGAAGTACTGGTTGCGGCGGATCCAGATCGAGGTATTGCTTTTACCGACGTCTTGCTCATTTTGGCACACTACAATATTATAAACGATAGTAAGAGTTTAAAGTGAGCCAGCTTATCGTTCATGCCATAGCGCAGCTCCTCAACTAACATCTCATAGGCTGGACGAATTCTTGAGACGACGAGCAAGATTGCAGCGCGTTGACGAAGAGATACACCGCCGTACCGTTCAAGGATTTTTTGATACTATGTAAGTCACCTGAGTGGAAAGCATATTTTATCAATTGTAGGCTAATGTGGACTTGTAGGTATTGGTCCAGAAGATTCAAGGAGCACATGGATAAGAAGCGGGCTGCTCGCATGTCAGCCATTCCTCAGCTCAATCTGCCCGAAATCTTTGTTGATCCAGGAGAAGCAAATGCCCCTAAAACGCCAGTCGAGGCACCTGGACCATCCGACACCCTTCTAACGGTCGGGTCTTCTGCATCACTACACAAACGCTCTGCATGGTCGACTGATATGGCAGCGGCGCGAGCTTCTGGGAATCATCCGCTCAGCCTTCCTCGACTTGTAACACATGGGTTGTCTCCGCCAGGCACACCATCTGTGGCCAGTTTTGATATTGCACGCAGTGACGCGCAAAGTCATACATCAGGAGAAATGTCACGCCGAGGAAGTAACGTTAGCCCGTCGCAGGCTCGAGACATGCTAGATGACTCTGTGTGGGTGCAGAGCATTCGTAAGAGCAAGACCATGCGCAAATCAGATCGAACGTCCTACCGATATGGTGACATTGGGTGAGGGATAAGGGAACTGTGAGACTGAGACGGAAAAAGAGCTGGCATTTCGAGGATCTGTCAGCATAAAGAAGGAACCTGAAATGAGATTAGGAAGAAGCGCATAAGGGCCCCAGGTGGAGCAGAATCGAATGTAAAGCGAGGATTGTGTAGCAGTCGCCGGGTCTAAGTGTTTCAGAGTACCCCCAGGCATAAGGTGGCTCTACAGGATAGCATCTTTTGTGAATATATTTATGATAATTATTAATGGGAATACCGAAAATATAATACTATTTCTATTCTGATAGACATTGATTTTTGCAATAAATTTCCTTGCCAAGGTGCTGCGGGTTGGGATGAGGTCCAAGGCCTGGGGTTGAAATGAGACGATACCCATAATGTATGGCGACCCAAAGCCCAGGATAAGATCCATGGGCGATATTATTGGTCTTAATTGCAAAACAGAGGGTGGTTTTTTGACAAAAGCACACATATAATGCAGCGCAAGTGCTTGGTTTATATGTCAGGAGGCAGTTACATCCCCTCCTCACAGTCCGTGACAAGTTTCGGTTTCGCAGAACAGACAAAGCCGAAACCATGCATAGGACCTGGCATGTGTGTGGAGTAGCAAGCAAAGGATAAAAAAAGAAAATGGGGAAAGCAGGATATATGGGACAAAGGGCTCTGATCGCTAGCTTCGGCAATAGTCCCAACGGCGTAAATTGGGCACCGTCGTTTGAGGGGGGCGCACCGCCTGCAAAGGCCGCCCAGGCGTGTCGCAGGCCCTAGTCAGAGGCTTCTGAAACACGCGCTGTGCACCAGCTGACAGCATCGCGAGACAGCCAAAGCCCACGCCAGTCTCCCTTGGGGTGGATTCGTTATCGAAACCGTGCCTTGCTGACCTGCCGATGTATTTAATAAAGGCGGCGTCGCGCACGCGTATATCGACGGGAGACTAAACAATAGGCTTCCTTGCGTTCCTGGCAGATTCCCTTCTTGGTCATTGGCTGGCTCCTCGATACAAAGGGCACATTCACATTACATCGTCTTCATATTTCGCCTTTTTCACGGTCATCATACTCGATAACCCTCGCTCTGGCTAGCGGCGCCTTTGTACCCTTTCCCAGTTAATTCTTCAATTGATATAATACCCTCCGCCCACCACCACTCCATATCCTACCTCATCGCTCGACTTCACCACGCAGCTCTTCTTTGGCAGGCCAACTAGCTGTTTCAAATAATTCTTCTCACCTCCATCTCTCAACCTTCTTTCTCACCTGCTTCAAAATGCCTTCCTCCATCTTCAACTTTGTCCGCCGTGGTCGCAAGTCGTCGTCATCAGAACGTTCCTCGAGCCGTAGCTCGTCAACATCGTCATCGGCTGACATGTCCACTATATCAGACAATCGCCGCAGCTACGCGAGCTCCATCAACAGCATCATATTCAACCAACCTTCTATGATCGATCACGCTGCTGAATTGGAAAACTTCTCCAGCGAGCTGACGGTGCTGGAGCCCCGACCTGTTGTGTATTGGAGCAGCGTCGAGGAACGAATGGGTTCGCTTAACTTTTAAGCCGCCATCTTCCAATCTTCACACTACTTTCTTCCGCTCGCTTACTCCCACTTTTACAATTTACAACAACAACAACAACAAGGCTCTCTTGGCCTTGTATGTTACCTTTTTTTGTTTTGATTCTGGAAAACGGGTGCACCATGGATTGGTTGGTGCCCGCCGTGGTCTCTTATACTCTACAATAAGCAAGGGACAAAAACTGTCTCAAGCAGTCTATAATGCCAATTTAACGATTTATTCTTCCTTCCACTAATATCATTTTACTGTTCATACTGCACTACCGTGATATGATCAACCGCTACTTCAAACACAGACAACAAGTTGCGCCAGCCTTCAAACGAGGCTGTCGCTCTTGGACGTCTGAGCCCAAGCGCACCTAGTGCTTGTCACAGATGATGCCCAGGCAGGTAGTCTGACATTATCTCGCAACGCAAAACCATAAGTGAAACGCAGTACATGATTAATGCCATTATTCATAGCAAGTCTCTATATTTGGCTGTACCACCAGGATAAAGCGAATCGCGCTCCAAATAAGACGGAAGCCAATGCACCCACTAATACAACTACTACCACACCAGCCATGGCCCCCCGCATATCGAAAGCATCTGCCGTTTCCATTTTGAGCAAATCACTCTGAACTCGCTGGTAGTGCCATTGTGAATCCCTTGTACGCGGTCTATAAGGTGTCAGCCACGGTATCCAAATGCCTCTATCAGCGGCGTGCATTCTCGTGCGTCGCAGCGAATACTTGATTTCGACGACGACAAGCGAGAAGAGAAACGCCACAAAGCTCAAGGCTGTCGTTACGACCTAGAAAATAATCAATTGGGGTTAGTCTGTGTCAGATTATAGAGAAACGTCTTTGACGTGTCTTGCCACTTCGCGACTAGGACGCCGGAAGAGAACGAGTCCAAGACAAGGCGTATCAGGGATGCTGAGTCGTGGCCGCGCAGGCGTTGTTGGCATGCGCGCTAGCAGCTGAGCACGGGAAAAGGAACCAAAGTATACTTGCCTTGTAAAAATCGGCATCTTCTTCGTGGTGTTCTTCCTGCCCTGTCGCTTCGTTTTGCTCGGCAGCCTGGTCCCATTGCGTCTGATCATTACTGGTGTGGAACAGCTCTTGGTCCATTGCAGGCCATGCATGCGGCGGTGATTCTTGCGGTTTCTTAGTCTCCATGGGCTCTGCGACTAGTAACTATTTTGGGGTCTAAGTCCTGCTGCTGTGGAAAAGTCGAGTCCTGTATGGTAGAGGGAACCAATTGATTAACTAGAAACAAAGAGGGTTGAAAAAGGAAGTCGCAAGTATAGATTTTAGTCTTGCATTCCAGTAGTTGTAGCGCCGTTTACATCACCTCCCGAGGGGTCCGGTAAGCGGGAACGGCGGCGTGGGGAAGAAGTCAGCCCTGGCAGGTGATGTCATAATATTGTATTTATTGGAGATAAAAACACTGTTAAATCTATCATGGTTAAGACTGATCGAGTCAATTTTCATGTCGTTTATTTGTTTCAATTTTTCATCAGGATCTAACACCTGATAACCTATGTACATTAACTCCATTTCTCCAGCTGTAATCCTCCTCCCATTTCCAGATGGTCTATCGCACGTTCCCATAATTAAGAACAATCCCGTTTATCGGGTGTTGTGGATGTCCAATACTAGAATGTCGTGGGCGCCGACCTTGGTAAGATCATCCATGACGACTGCCAGCTTCTTCTTCTCTACCATAGAGCTGACCGCGACCCAGCCATCAGCGTCAAGCGTAGTGACGGTAGGAGCACGCTTTCCGGGCGTAATCTTGGTGGCATCGGGGAGTTTTGAGCGCTCAATATTGTATTGGCAAAGTACATAGCGTTGTGCTGTGATGACACCGCGGATACGGGCAGCGATGAGGTCGACAAGCTCGGCGTTGGAAGGGTTCTTCGACTTGATCAGGATCGCGCTAGACTCGACAACAGTATCAATGGCTTTGAGACCAGCGGCTCTCATGGTTTCACCGGATTCTGCATTCGTATTAGCAGGCTAGCCTTTGCGCGGTTCAGATGGAGGCAGTACTTACCGACTAAATCGACGATGCCATCCGCAACGCCGAGGGCGCACGCTGCCTCGACACTACCACTAAGTTCGATGACCTTAGTGCGGATGTTATCAACGGGGAGCGCAGCCTCGCTCTTGGGGTCAACACCAGCCTCAATCTTGGCAAAGTGCTGCAGAGCCAAGTTAGGGAACGAGGTTCCAATCGTAAGGCCCACCAAATCTGACGTGGTAGCATATTTTCCCTTGTCAGGAACTTGTACCTGAAGCTTGCAAGCTCCAAACTCAAGATCCATGACAGTTTCGCAGCCGGCAGCGTTTCCACTGGAGTTACCCTGGCGGTTCACACCAGCAGCATGTTCCTGAACCTGGTCCCAGCCAGTGATACCTAGATCGACACGACCCTGACCAACAAATGTGGGAATGTCGGCAGCAGGGAGGAAAACGAGAGCGAGAGGCAGATTCTTCACGAGGGCGATATCGAGGCGGTTTTCGCGGCGGAATTGGATGTCGGCGCCTTCAAGGAGGTTTAGTGCGGCCTGGTTCAAACGTCCCTCTAAGAGATGTTAGCATTTTGTCTTGGACCAATGCAGTGATGGATTGGAGCGTCTTACTCTTGGGAACGGCGAAAAGGAGGCGCCCTTCAAGGCTAGCGAGAGGCTATTGTTAGTATGTCGTTCTCTGTGCTAGCGAGTACGAAACCCGCGTGGTTTCTGTTGATAGATGGAATCGGGAACGTACTGGTTGACGAGATCCATGATTGCTGTTCAAGAGTTCAATTGCGATATGAATATAACGACCAGATTAGGGTACAAATCGGCGGTGTACAGTGGTGTCGTGACTCTGGTTGTTGATTTCTCAAGACAAAGTGGTGATGCCGCTGTGCTGGCGACTTTTTTTTAATGACTCGATGCCTGAACACCGGTCGCGGAGCTGTTTGGCTGCTTTGGGCTTCTCTGCCCCTCCAAGCACTGACGAGCTTATGGTGGGGCAGGTTGTGGTGCTTGCCTCTCACCAAAGGTTTCCAGTCCACCTTTGGTGCCAACAGATGGGCACGCTGCTCTGGCTAGCGTTTCTTACTGGCTAAGGCCACTTGACACTTTGACACTGCGCTGAAGGTTGGCTACTCAAAGCACCTCACGTTCTAACCGCTTGTATTCCGGTGTGGATACAACCTTGACGTTGCAATTTCTATTTTTTTTTTTTTTTTTGGTTGCCAGGATTACATTCTTCCGTGCCGCTAACAGATCGTCCTCCTAGTTTATCACTCAGAAAGCCCCGTTCAGGGCCTTTGCTGTCCCGTCGCCTATTTTGCTCCCCCTGAGGCTACGACAGAGCAAGGAAACCCTATTGGCTGTGACACAGCATGCCTCTTATCTCAGTTACGCCAAACTACCAATCATGAGAATCAAGGCAGCTCATATCTAAGTTAGAGAAGACAAATGTGAAGGTCTTTGCTCAGAGTCTGTCAGAGAGCTCGCAAAAATAGAAAGCGACGGGCCGACAGTTGACACAGAACGAGTCAGTCAACAGCATCCGAGGCTGGTGGGCGCAGTCTTCTTGCTGCTAGCTTGCTGCTAGCCGAAGTAGTCGTCGTTGGCGTGCCTCAAACGAAATGGGATGGACAACCATACCAAAAGGTTGCATCGGATTCTCGGTCGAGCGATACACCGGGGAAGGCAGACGTATAATACCCGATGCTTCTCAAGTCACTGTTGCATCGGATGTGTGACTGGTCTGCCGAGCAGGTTGTTCCAAAACGAGCAGGTCGTCGTTGCAAGGCGGGCCATCAGACTGACGCCGTGGGAGCAGCCAGGCTGACTAGCGTAGGATTACCAACTATTATGGGTGGACGGGGGCTGCTTCAGTGACGAGAATGTGATCGATGTGATATGTTGGACGAGATGACGGCTGGACTGGGCTTTTGGCGCACCAGGGCTATTTAATTGTTGCCTGACGCCACCAACATGCTTCGACCTTCGGCTCATATCACGGCCGCCATGGCTTCTGGATAGAGGTGCCATTAGCGATCCCCCAGAGACCAATGGATCTTGGCTAAACCAAATGGTGGATAAGGCTATCACGGAGGAGGCGTGCGGGCAACGGCTACTAATGCAGAGCAGCATGTACGTGATCAGCAGAGGCACAGGACCATAGACAAGAACGAGATAAAAAAAGAAACGGCGCAGCATGGCGTGCATCACACCCCTCGCCCAGTGGCACCGCCATACTGTCGGCGTTAATGTTAGTGCCCAGTTCCCACTTGACTCAAACGTGCCACAGCGCAACCTTCGTCCGGTTTTGGGCTTCGAGAAATCTCGTCACAGTTGTAGCACTAACAGTCTCGGCTCGGAGGAACCCCTAGACGACTTAGCCCTGTTTCGCTTTCCATGTCTAAGCCGCTAAATATCCGTACTCGCACGAGTAATGGCACATAATCCATTTACGCACAATATTACAGAGTCAAGTGCATGCCCTGCACCGCACGATGGGCAATGATGTACATACAGCACGGCAGCAGCCGTTTCCCAAGATTCACTGGGCGAGGGCGGCTGCCAAAACGGTTCTAGCGCTCCCGCCCATGGCAGCAGCACAGTAGCGGCGGGGCTGTAGTGGACAAACTGGGTATTACAGTGTGTGTGCTAATGCCCACTTGGTGTGGCAGGAGGTGACAGCCCACAGTGGCCCCGCAGGCACCAAAACACGTCTTACTAGCGGCGAACCTTGCCGCCGGCGGGCATGTCTGGCGAGCGAATGCAGGTGCTTGCGGGCGCTTCCACTGGCTACTGGGGCGCCCGCTGGCACAGCGGGTGTGGGTGGGCTTGGCTTCGTTCTTCCCGCCTGGCTCTGGGTGCTGTCAGTAGCCTTCGCCCCCCCCTGCAGGCTAAGGTTACGTCGGTTGTGGTGGCCCTTTTTCAAACTTTGGCTGGGGCCAGATGCGGGATGCGGATGGATACCCGGGCTCACTTTTTTTTTATTAGCAAACGGTTTGCCCCCTCCGCCGAGATCTCTTTGATCCTCTTGTCTCGTGTAGATGAGGTCACTGGTCTTCTTTCCTCATGGAGCCGACCTTCTTCCTTTTTCTTTAAATTAGTCCCTGCGCCGCAGTCTTGTGAAATCCTTCACTACACGCAGCCTGCCCCCTCTGCTCTCGAATTGCTCTTCGTCTATACCTGCCAAACAAGCGTGGAGCTATCGCCAATCCCACCAACACCCACGCCGACTCCTCCTCCTCCTCGATTTTCGCATTGATTATTTGCCAGCTACGGGCAGCAAGACGTAGCCCGTCATGGGCTCTTCATACGGTCGGCCGGATTTACCGCCGCAGCAGATATACCCCCCTCCACAACCTCCGCAACTACATTCAAGCATGCCGCCGCCCCAACAGACCTATCAGCACCACCAACAGTCCCAGCATGGCCATCCGGCACACCCGCACAACGACCACAGGCAAACACAACACCAAACGCTGCCCAATATCCACGGAATGCATTCTTCCATGGATCAGGCTCCCCACTCTCGTCATCCTCCGCCCCCTCATCCTCATACGATGCCGCACCATCTTCCCAACGCACACCCCCAGATGCATCTCCCAAGTCACCACAGCAATATCGACTCAGTAGGAGGCCCTCCCCCTGGGCATAACGCAGGACCTGTCAGCCACGAGCAGGGTGCTCGAGTAAGTGGCAGCTCTCTGGCTAGATTCTCCAAAGTGGACGAAGCTGCCGGCCGCAAGTACATTCTCGAGGTGGTTCAACAGCCAAAACGTGCGCGCATGTGTGGCTTCGGTGACAAGGATCGACGGCCAATTACACCACCGCCCTGTGTGAGACTTGTGATTTTAGATATCAAGACGGGAAAGGAAGTGGATATTAGCGATCTCGATCCGCTCACCTTTGTTCTGAATGTTGATTTGTGGGATGAAGCTGGATCACGCGAGGTGAACCTTGTGCGATCTGCCACGGGCGGCAGCGGTCCCTCGGCACATAATAGTGGTTCAAACCTGCAAACATATTCATATGGACCTACGAATAGTACGGAAATGAGCCATGGACAGTATCAGCCTCAACATCCTCTTTCTCCGTCGCGAGAGGGAGGCTACAATCCTCCACCACAAGTTGCGTACCCCGCAGATTATCCTCTTCAAAGCGCCTACACTCAACGTAAGTAGAAAGACTCACGTCGCAAATTTAATAGGAGGTACGAGTAACTAACCTAAGCAGCATCACCGCAATATAACAACCCAGCATATCCGTCTGGGCCCGGTTATTATCCCCAGGCTCAATATCGCCAGGACTCTGGCCCGGCGCCGTCTTATAGCCGAGCAGGCTCAGCAGCTCCGTCAAATTATCCCACATACAGTTCCTCAGCCAGATCATCGCTATTGTCTAGCCAGCCACAGGGCATGTCATCAAGAAACTTGATCGGAAGCGTTGCCGTTTCAGCTTTCCGGCTTGCAGACACGGAAAACCGGATAGGTATATGGTTCGTTCTCCAAGACCTGAGTGTTCGTGTTGAAGGTCCTTTCAGGTAAGCTATTAAATTCTCATGCCTTCGGTCCTGAACTAGAAGCTAACTTATGAAGGCTTCGCTTTTCTGCAGTTAACGTGGCCCGAACCAACAAGACACCAAGGGATGGAAGCAACCCACAAGTCAACACTGGGCGAGTACCACTCTTGGCCTCAGGTTTCAGTGATGTGTTTACTGTCTATTCTGCGAAAAAGTTCCCTGGTGTTTGTGAAAGCACACCACTAAGCAAGCGATTCGCGGTACAAGGTGTCAAAATCCCTATTCGAAAGGATGGTGCCTCTAAGGGAGAGGATGATGATTATTATGGAGAATAGGACACTGTTCTATTTATGATTTGGATTTACTGGCGGCAGCCTGTTTCATTTTATGCGTATACCCCCAAAGCAGAGCATCCCTTGACTGCTGACGCTACCACAGCTAGCGAGGATGACTCGGCAGCCCATCCAGGCTCCTGTTTATTATTAGATAACTTGCTTCAATGGAGATGTATAAACCAGCGAAATAAATTTTACTTTAACTCGTTGAAAATGCCACCGTCAAAAACCAGCCGAGTCTGGTCTGCTATGATGTGGTCCCGTCGTTGGTGATAAGTTGGCGCCTACGGTCACACGGGCGCCTTGGCGGGACGGCGCTAACGGTGCTTGTCGCATAGAGTTTGCAGTATACCAGCTGATGCAAGACTAGCCGAGCCCAACATTTGCTAAAAAATCAGCCAAGCAAGCCCTCAACCTTTTATCTCTCTTCCCCATTTCTTCCGTGTCGTCTTGCTCTTTACAACCAGCAGCCAGAGAACTTGTCGCTAGCACCGTATAGGCTTCTCCGCCCTCAGCGACGCAACTACCCCGCCAATCCAGGCCCCTGACAGGAGACGCCTGCCTGCATCAGTCGCTGAATCGCCGCATCGGATCGCAGTCCAGCGACATCGCACTGCACGACAACTCCACGGACGATGACATCTCAAATGTCCTCCCATGGCCGCGGCGGCGCCGGAAACATGGCCAATGCCAAATCCTCTCCCAAAGTCTCGCCAGCGGACCTGCAGACGCCGACGCTCAAGAGCTCCGTGGTCACCACCGGTCGCGGCGGTACTGGCAACATGGCCAAGAACGACGACCCAGCAGAGACGCGCAAGAGACAAGATGTTAACCCGTACGTTTTTCCAATATTGATAGAAAATGGTTCTATAAATTGCAGAATAAAAGTACTAATTATAGCAGCATTGCCCGCCGATACTCCTCGGGAACTCAGCATGCCGGTCGCGGTGGTGCTGGCAACATATTCAAAGAAGACGCAAAGGCTGCCCTTGAGGAGGCCGAGAGCAAGGAGCGTGAACAAGCAATTGTAGACGATGAGCTACTCCCACCTAAGCCAAAGAAGGCATGGATGCCATTCTCCAAGAAGCAGTAGCGAAAGGGCGGTCGGAAGACACTGGCATGATGGATGGGTTGCTATACCAAGTGCGAGGATGTTGGTAGTCTACATTGAGGCTATTGGGAGGATTGTGTAATGTTGCACGGTTGGACTTACGGAGTTTCGATGATTTCAACGTCTTCTGTTGTTTGCTAGCCAGACGCAACGAGCTATTGCCTGGCCAAGCTCTGTGGCTGAGCTAGGAGAGACGGTTGACACGCGGACGGCGAAAAAGTACAAAATATTACGTTCTGGAGGACCGATATATAAGTCTACAGTGGGATGATATCTCCAATGGCGCAGTCACTAATTGTTCATTTTTTTTTAAAACACATTTGCTTCTTTATTCATTTTCTTTACGGCCCACGCTATACACTTTCTCGTTTTCTTCCTTTCACATTGGCTTTGATTATTTAGTTCTTAGTCAGGCGGTGAATCTCCTCAAAGAAATGCTTCAAGTTATCAGGGTCGACGCCGGGGGTAATGCCGTGGCCCAAGTTGGCGATCCAACCCTTGCCCTGACCCTTCCAGAAGCCATCGACCATGGTCTGAACAGCCTTGGTGATACCCTCCTTCGAACCGTACAAGCAACCTGGGTCAGCGTTGCCTTGCAGAGTAACCTTTCTGTCACCACGGACCTTGACGGCATCAGCAGGGTCGTAGAGCCAGTCGAGGCCAACAACGTCGTAACCGATATCGCACATGGAGTCGAGAGCGAACCAGGCGCCTTTGGGGAACACAATCATGGGGACAACGTCCAGGCCCATGCTACGCAGCTTCTCAGGGAGCTTCTGGGCGATGTGGGCAAGGAAAGGCTCAGAGAACTCCTTGAAGGTGGCAGGGCCGAGCTCGCCAGCCCAGGAGTCAAAGACTTGAACGAGCTGCATGCTTGTTAGTACACATACCCACCAACACCATCTGTAGCTTTCAGCCAAGACATACCTGAGCACCAGCTTGGACTTGAAGGGCCAAGTGGTCGACGCAAATGTCAGAGATCTTGTGGAGGAGCTTCTTGGTCTCCTCGGGGTATCTGTAGACCCAAGTCTTGCTCTGCGCAAACAGCTTGGTGCCACCGCCCTCAACCATGTAGCAGAACAGTGTCCAAGGGGAGCCACAGAAGCCAATCAAGGGCACGCGGCCGTCGAGCTTCTTGCGAGTCAATGTAATGGCCTTGTAAACGTAGCCGAGTTCCTTGCCGACGTCCACATCACGGGCCAGAACCTCGGCGTACTGCTCGTCAGCAGGCGTCTTGAGCGGGTCGGGGAAGTGAGGCCCCTTCTTGTCAATCATCTCTACCACCATGCCCATGGCCTGGGGGATGACGAGGATATCGGAGAAGATAATGGCGGCATCAAGCAGGCCGGCGTAGCGCTCGACAGGCTGCAGGGTTAGGGTCGATGCGATTTCGGGATCACGGCAGGTTTCGAAGAAGTCGCGGCCGCCCTTGGCCTCGTGGTACTCGGGAAGATAGCGACCAGCTACATCGATATTAGTCAATGGATTTCCGTCCAAGCCGGGCAGGAGTTGGTCTTACCCTGTCGCATCACCCACATGGGCGGTCTCTCGACGGTCTCGCCTGCAAAAGTCTCAGCAATCACGCATAGGGCGGGGAATGTACTTGCGCAAGCATACCTCGGGCGGCGCGGAGCAGCAGGTCATTCTTCAAAGGGGTGAATTTCAGCTCCATCTCTGCGGACATATCTTTTTTCTTCCTGCTGATTTTCTGTGTAATGGAGGGTAGAATGGGAGAAAGACGAAGGCGGCACGCACGACTTGACACCCCGCCGAATATCGAACGTGGGGCATTTTTGGTCTGCTCTGCAGCCATCCACTCCGGAGACGCCTCGGTCCGGCGCTACTCTCTCTCTCTGCCTGAGCCTCCCAAGGTGCGACCAAGCTAAACGCTAGTGCGAGCGTCCTCCAACGACCTTCCAAATCACCAAAACGCCAGCATTACATTGCGCCAGCGACAACACACACCTTTATCGCATCAAATAACCGTTAATAATTCCGACCTTTCTGATTCGAATTAATAAAAAACACCTTCCACGCGGTCGCCTACCATGTCAACCGAACGCGAATACCAGATCAACCCGATCGTCCCTGAATCCGTCATCCACAACTCCCGCGTTCGTTGGCCTCGTCGCATCGATTCCCGGCCGCTAGCTAATTCCGATTTTTAGGTCCTTTCCAATTTACAATCAATCACAGCCTCGCTATTTGGTGTCGCTGCCGGTATCCTGGGCCTCGAATCCTACCACGGCTTCCTCGTTTACATCGTCTTCTCCATCATCACATCATTTCTCTTCTACGCCGTCAAGATTGCTCCTGAGTCTGTTACAGAAGGCCGCGGTTTCCTCAACACCGGCAGATATTTCCATGGTGCGCTAGACTACTGGACCGGTGGCATTGTTAATGGCTTTTCTGGATTCGTTCTGACGTGGACACTCTTCTATGGCCTTGTACGGGCATAGATAGTTGGAATGAGGGCCGGCGTTGATACAAAATATGGTTAATAATGTTGCATAAATGATTTATAAAAGCTTTCAACTGTTCTATATATGCTTGGGATGACTACTATACTCACTGCGCTAGTCCACGATCTCCATAACTCTTCCCACGAAGCCCTCGAGCCCAGATCTATCCTGAGTTCCGCCTTCCAGCAGGACGACTTTCGAGCCCATCTCAATCCATTCACGGTTATGTAACAGGTCTAGTGATATTTCCGTCGAGCTTTCTTTTGAGGCCTCATCTTCATCATTGAGGCTAAACACGCCCAATTCCTCCGTCGCTGTGTTTCCAGGCTCCTGATCTGGATGTCTTGAGATATGCACGATTCTTGCAGCGGCACGGACGCTCGCTATGTATATATTTACAAGAGAACCTATGTGAAGCTCTTGAGTTTTGCTGTCTTTAAAAGTTGCTGTGAATCCGCTCGCCGCTTGCAAGGACAAGCCAGTGTCTCGCATGTGCTTAGAAGGAATAGCAAGCACCATGCCTCGTCGAATTCGTCGCAGGTCTCTTAGAGACTGCACTTTGTCTCGATCAGATTCAAAGACAAGTCCTATAGAGCCAGCTTGACCAGCTTCAAGAGTCCGGACGGGCAACTTGAGATTGCGTACAGACACAACATGAGCCTTTAGCCACTCCCCTTCGATCTCAGATGCTGAAATAGCATTTCTCATCGCTATCCTGGCTAGCTCTGCTGACGCAGGATGCGATATAGATAGTCCGAACCCGCCGGGGGAAGGGCGATCTTCAGGCGCGAGATCACGAACTTCCTCATCCTCAGAAGGAAATGGGCCAACCACAATCTTGTCGCCGATTGAGAAGCTACCAAATCGAATATGTCCAGACACTACGACACCCGGCCCTCCACGGGCAGTCGCATCACCACCCAAAGCACCGTTTGAGATGGGCAGATTAAACGTGTCGTCAATGTGAAATAAGCATTTTGGCTGTTCAGGATTCAACACCATGCCAACATAATCAGATGCTGTGGGCGCTGGTGGCACGGGAAGACTCTCTAGAAGAGCATGTAGTAAACCAATACCACTTCCCGTTGTTGTGCTTGTGAGAACAATAGGGACAAAGCTGGTTAAGCTAGCAGCCTCTGTAATCGCATTGATGACTGGTTTTACTTTCAGACGGTCCGAGGCAGGAATTTCAAGTAGGTCGCGAGTCGCCTTTTGGTCTGGTTGTAAAATTTTAGGGGTCCTCCCAGCGTCCTTGATAGCACTCAGTACTTTTACCATTGTTTGCTGCAAGGCTGCTTTAGATGCAAGATCCATTTTGGTGATGACAATTGCCATGGGGACTTCGAGATTCAACGATAGCGCGAGATGAGCTTTAACTAGATCAACAGCTGGAGCACTAGTAGCTTCACCTGTTGCAGTTGGCAGAGTCATATTGTAGCTCTTAGAACTTTGCTCCGAGTCATCAGCAGCGATACAAAGAATGCTCCAGTGAGGCGCCCAATTCATCAGTCCCCGAAGAACTGTGCGGCGGTAGCGTGGATGACCTCCAGAATCAGACACGAAGACAAGCCTTCCATCCTCGGCACGATCATGAATATCAGTCCATGACTCAATGTTACCATGTTGGAAGTTGAGGATGGCGCCGTCCTTGTACCCAACAAGCTCCTGTGCAATAGAACTGGTTACGCCTGATACCAGCTCGTGGCGATGCTTAAGCAGACTTAGTCGACTCTTGCCGCGTCCATTATCCAGCGTCCCAGTAGAGAGCGTGCCTAGCAGTGTCGACTTTCCAGATGTTGTTGGTCCAGTCAGCGTTATGCGTAGCTGAGGAGTTGTTGAGCTACCACGGCTTGGGGGCTGGTCACTCTGCGACAGCGTTGCGGCTTTACTCTTCTGCTCACTTTCAACCGCGGCGCCAGACGCATTTCTCGGTTCAAAGCAAGCAGTTACTAGTGCTTCAGCTACCCAGAGTTTGCCACGCTTCTTGATCTGTGTCATTGCCTGGTCCGCTGTGTCGACCAGATCAGCGGTCTCTGTCCATTCACAATCACCAACAATGACCATGCGCATAACTTCAACCGTACAGCCAAGGCTGGCAGCCATGACACGTAAGGTAGTTAAACTTTCGGTCATTTCGTCCTTCGTAAGTCCCACCAGTGTGCCATCATCGGCAACTCCTATTTCATAAAGCGCACCACCCGATTCCTCCAAGCCTGGTACAAGAGGTGCAGGTGTTGTAGAAGCAGTCAAGTCAGCATTGTCATCTGGAAGCTTCGGCATAGTCAGCTGCTTTGAACTGGCAGAGTGATACGGAGAAGACTGTTGTAACCGCCAAAGCAGCTGTGTTGTCAAGTGCTGCAGTCTATGTTGCCGAGGCTGATTCGGCGTGACGGGTGCGGGTATTGGTGCTCTGGATGGCGTGGTTGCATCTGGCGTGCGGCCAGACTTGAGTGCCTTTACGCTGTTGGTAGTTGTCATGAAGTCATATGCGCGACGCGGGCGTAGCAGCAGATGCAGTTTATATTCGGTTGGGCCCTCCTGAGGTTCCGCTTGGAGCTTTGTTACACCATAGTCGGATAATAGGTTCGGGTTCTCCATCGACACATGCGATACTGATGGCGTTCTAGAGGCGGACCTAGATGGCTCATGGGGCTCCATCCAAGGAGACGAGACCTTCGGAGGGTCAGGATCATAAGTAAAGATGGAGGCCATGATTCCGTTTTGATTCTAGCTTGGTGTTCGCAGGTATCAGTAGGGTTGGCTGATAGTAGTAAACAGTAAATATTCGACGCTTTGGTTATGTCGATGTGTCTATTCTGTAGGCAATGGAGTAGAGCCTATATCGTGGGATCATCTTGGCGTACAAGTGTTGAGACGGGGTAGCTTTTAGAACATGTTGAGCGATCTGGCGACTCTTTTGGTGTTGTTTATCGTGTGCCTTGTTTGACGTATTCGGGATAGTTTAAAAAAAATGTAGAGAATAATACTTAGAGGACGTGTTGCGTTTGTTTTCTATGACAATGGGAACCGACGACGGCGCGTTGCAGGAAGATCATGCCGATCGAGTCACACTTTCGGAGGGGTAGCGCGTTTGGCCCTCGCGATGCGGGGCAGGTCCGTCACCAGTGCCAACACCTGGCAGTAGCTGCTTCATCGTGCTGGAGAAGCAAGTGCAGTGACACACGGCCAAATAGAAAAGACCTTTAGGTAATTGAAAAAAGCAAATGAAAACTGTGTATTACAACTCAATATTATTGACCTCATTGTTTGGTGTGGCGGTTTCCGCAAAAGGTCTAGACAATGATACAAACAAGTCTCCAATGTTTGCCTTATCTGAGTGGAGGGCCGCCTCCTCGTGAGCTCTCGCCGTTGACGCATCTATTCGCGACGGAGCAAAATGAAAAGTGGAAAAAGTCCCCATGGTAGCGTCGAGCCTTGTTTGGCTAAAGTAACACGTATAAGCAGGGGCGTGGATTCTTAAGCCCTTGTACATCAGCCAGCACATAGCGCTGCAGAACAGTCCACACAGCCGTTACTCCACCATCAGCTAGACACACAAACTTGTAAACAGCCCTATCCCTTTAAGGACGTTAGGCAAGAGGATCAGATCTTGGTCTGGTTAGAAAAAAGAAAATAAAGCACCTCGGCCGCATACACTTTTGCTCACGTGGTCTTGATCTATCACACCGTTGGAACACTGACGGGAAGCGAGCCACAACAATCGTGCCCAGTAGCCAAGTCTTTTACAGCTGGTGTCACAGGATTTCGCTACCATCACTATATATTCATTACGAGTCACAGAAGTTAGGTATATGACTATAAGCCCCCCTCTAGTCTCTCTCTTGGTTTACTAGCGCTAGTGCGTTTGATATGTGACAAGAGGCTGATAGTCCACTACGCCTCCCATCCACAATTTCAGTCCCTTGAGCAATGACCAAGTGCGGCTTTCTCTGTTTCGTCGAAATTCTATTTGTCTACTAATAATAGCCCCTGCTATGGGAGCGTTAACGCAAGGTTTTAAAAATCATGAGACGGCTACGAGAGCTTAGAGCATATTTGATTGCTTTCATTTAAGCTGCTAGAACCCTTCCCTTACTGTGTGACTTGACAGCTCACACACCTCCCATGGGGTGTGTTTGTTAGTGACTTCGGCTTCTACAGTCTCCGCATCATCCTCAAGAGCAGACACAAGTTGCAATGTACAAGTCTCCCACTTGCCACTTGCCATAAGCGACAAACAATCTCGTTTGTCAAAGGCTGGTCGTTGTCCTTGGTCCAGCACGAGCATCAAACACGGCATTTCGCTTTCCATGAAGCTGAATGCCGGTGGAAGCACATCTGCCAGTGTCCGCCGAAGACATGTGCCTGGTTTTAGTGTCACAGCCGGGAAGTTCCCTGACATGAGCAACGCTCTCAACAGCTCCATAAACTTTGGTTGATTCTCGCACAGGACCTCAAACAGCTGCGGGCCTACAAACTCAAGGCTGTGGCTCCGGGGCCCAAGAATCCGGAACCGGTTTCGTATTGTCACGTCTTTGCTGGCTGCCAATGATATATATACGGAAACATGCTCTGCTGTGTCCCTCCACTTTTGGCGCCAGAGCTTAATAGTGTGGCATTCTGAGGTGCAGTGCTGGCAAATGCGTCCAAGGTTGTGGTGTAAGTGTGGGCAAGTAAATGGTGATCCTTGACAGGGAGCCTGTTATTCCAAAATTAGCACTTATATATTTTATATGGGAAGCATGAAAGTGGAATACCTGAGCAGCATTCATCCATATTAATGACCAATCCATTGCTTCAATAACGACTTAAAGCATCAAGCAACTTGATCGGGCGCGCAACTGAGACAAGGGGTCCTGGCACACGGCACATCTATATATGCCCACCACACGAGCCACTGACTAGGTGAGGGCCCACAGTGTTTGTAAGTTCATATCATCAGTGAAATTTGATCTTATTGGGTCCCGATGCCATGGATTCATGGATTCATGGCTGCATCCTTCCTCCATCGGTCCGCGAATGCGCTGGCTCTTCGAAGCACCGCACCAGCACAGCCAGGACTCGGTCAGGGCAATGTTCCTTTCAAGCTCGCGTGAATCACTCGTACATGCCCTATGATTGTTGCTTACACTACAGAATAAACTCTATTTCTCTACCAAATCACTACATTTTGATGCGGCTCTTCTGGTTCCTTGCTTTTGTGTCGCATTCTAGATGCAAATCATTTGGCGAGCTCGGAGCTGGCCGAAATCGACCCTGCAGCAACTTGCAGATTATATTCTATGGTTGTTCGAAATCTCCAGGATGCGATGGCTTGAAAAAAAGGAAAAACGTTTCGCTCTGCAGATGACCAACGGAGAGTCCCACCAAGCGATGAGCTGGAGGCGTGTAAGCGGGAGTGTGCGTCAACTTGGCGAGCAGCAGGCAGCCTTCTAGTTGAAATTGGAGTAACTACGTGGAGCCTTTGCGTTGCTCTATTCGCTTAGACCATTGGTTTTCTTTGTGTAATGTATTCGAGATGTGCCATTTGTGCCACCGCCTCGCGTGATGCTGGCATGCCGCTTGCTCAAGCTCTGTGTCCAAGTCCGAGTGGCTGAAAACCAAAGAGGGGGGCTACAACGGTCGGCCCAATCTGCAAGCCGTGTCGAATTGGGGAAGAGGGCGTAACAATGACCTTCACCGGCGTGGGCGAGTCCCGCCTGTGGTGAGGTAGCAAAGAAAAAGTGTTGTTTGCTTGCGCAAAGTTTCCCCATTGACTCTCGTCTATCAAGCCACTGACGCCGCTATCATCTTTGTGTTTGATACTTATGGTCAACAATTGGCTGAACGATCTTCAGCCCATGGGCAACAAACTGCAGCCTGTGTTAAACTGGATATTTTAACGCACATCGCCCAGTTGCAGCTGTGAGTGAGGTAAGACGTGCTATGCTGGCAATGGCACCCCTCATTTAAGGAATCGGACACAGACAACCTGACAATCCAACGTAGAGTAGAGGTTTGCTGTTTCATCTTAGCAGCTTCCTCAAATAGCCGCAGACTTGTTCTTAAAATCCCAAGGAATTATTTTTTCACATGAGATCTGTTTCGATACTGTGTGCCCACGATTCGTCTTTAGTTAAGTGGGCAGTTGTCTTTAAAAGTTGGATGCCTAGATAGAATAGATACGAGAGGAGCCAGCCTATGCCTGACGGAGCTGTACATGCAATGACGTAGAGTATCTTTATTTAAATTTTTTCTGGTAAGATTGAGAGAATGCTTTCTGAGGGCTTATTTACCTTCTGATTTAACAATAAATAAATAAATAAAAATATCATCACTACCGACCAAGGGCTGCGACCTCTCTCACACGCTTCAAACTTGACAATACTAAGGCTGCGACGGACACAGTGAGAGAGCAACGGTGACGTTGCCCCTCACCAGCAGCTCCGCCACCAAGAAGCGATACCGTTACCCACTAAAAGACGACCCCATGTTCCAGAGCCAAGGCAGGGGACCAAGAGCAACGACGCCTAATTTTGGCTTCATTCCAACTTTCATCTCCCATACCTCATAACCTCCTCCCCCCTGACTCTGCTACCGAACCTCGCTCTCCCCTCCTACATCCCTCATACAACCGATAATTCTACCACAATGAAGAAGTTTGGCTTTGGCAAGAAAGGAGGCGACGACGGTGAGGATTCGAATCGCAGCGCCCTCTTCGGCGGTCGTAAGAAGGCCCCGCAGCAGTCGCAAGCATCCGACAATCCATATGCCCAACAGGGCGGCAACAACAACGATCCTTACGCCGATACCTCAAAATATGCCAATGTATCGCCGTATCAACAAGCTCGCAACAACGTTGCTGCAGGCGGCGCACCCGGGGCTGGTCCCCAGGGCGGCAACCCTGGCTATGGCTCTGACCGATACGGCTCCGGCGGCGGCTACGGTGGCAACAGATACGAGTCCAACAACGACCGATATGGAAGCGGCCCTGCCCCTGCGGCTAGAGGCCCAGGAGGATATGGTGGCTTCGGCGGTGGCAGAGACGAGCCCGATAGTAACAGAGATGCTCTTCTCGGCGGCGCTCAGGACCGCTACGCTCAGAAGCAGTCTAGCAACACTGGTCCCCCTGGCGGGGCATATGGACAGGCCGGTCAACCCGGTGCAGGCGCGCCTGGAAACAACAGCTACGGTGGTGATTATGGAGGATATGGAGAACAGCGCCAATTGACAGAAGAGGAGCAAGAGGAAGCTGATTATCAATCCATCTTGCAAGAAAAGAGACAGGTACAGCAGGAGAGCGCATCATCGGTCTCACGCTCCGTTCAGATGGCTAGACAAGCGAATGAAGTTGGTCGAGCTACACTAGCACGTCTTGGAGCTCAGGGAGAGCGTCTACAAAACACCGAAAAGAACCTTGATCTCGCGGCCAACCAGAACAAAATTGCTCAAGACCGCGCAGCCGAACTCAAGACTCTGAACCGCAGCATGTTTGCCGTCCATGTTTCCAACCCATTCACCTCAAAGCAGCGACAAGCTCGTGCGGACGAAGAAGTCATGAACCGCCACCGTCAAGAGAGAGATGAGCGTGAGACTACGCGCAAGGAAGGCTATGTGGCTAACCAGCGTATGGAGAACACGTTCCGCGAAATGGACAACGTCAGCATGCAACGCCAAACCCAAGCTCAGCCCCGCAAGAAGAACTATGGCAAATTCAACCTCGATGATGAGGAGGGCGCCGACGAACTCGAGGATCAGATCGACGACGGTTTGACGGAATTGGAGGGCCAAGTGTCCATGATGAACATGGTTGGCCGTGCCATTGGCAAGGAAGTTGACGCTCAGAACAAACAAATTGACAGAATCATGAACAAGGTACCTTCCATTAGTTTACACGATGCCAATACGACTGCTAACATCATATACAGAGCGACGCTGTCGACGATGCCACAAGAATGAACCGCGAGCGCTTAGCACGTATCAAGTAAGCCCTGACGCCGCATTAATCTAAGCGTCAGAGCAGATCAAAATATAATATATATATGGGGGGGCTTAGAGTAGCATTAGACGTTTAAAACATGACCGATTCGGGGGCGGCCGGCGCCAACATTAGCCGTGTCAAAGATAGAAGAAGAGCAGTGATCCCTCCAATAAATTGAATACACTCTATGAAGGATAATACATTAAATTCTGATTTAATATTTTTTGTGATATATTCTTGGTATTATTACTGCCAGAAGATGCAAGAGGCTAGGTTCAGTGACATGCTGATTCTGCAGGCAAAACGACCCATAATTTTTTTCATCGCCAACCTCAAAACTTCATCCATACCAGAGTGATACACTAGCATCCCACACTCACAACCTCAACAATATTGCAGATATGGCCCCAGAGAATACGGCTGAGAGGCCGTCGAAGAAACGGAAAACTCAAAACGGAGCAGGACCGGGCTCCCTTAACATCGGTGGCATATCCATTTCCCTCGATGGCTACCTTGGCGAGACGAAAAAGAAAACACCAAAAGAGCCACAACCGCCGCCAGAGGAGCCAAAAACCGCAGAAAACAAACAATCAACTTCGAATAGTACCAAAAGTCATAAAGGAAAGCATCAAAAGCATGGAAAGTCTTTCCAACCCCGCGGTGCAGAAGATAATGCGCTGCTCAAGATACGAAAGGCACTACCGATTTGGCAGCATCGTGAGGAGATTCAGGCAGCCGTCAGCGGTCCACAGAATAGCGTGGTTGTTCTCGTAGGTGAAACTGGTTCTGGTAAATCAACACAGGTCCCTCAATTCCTCTACCAAGAGCCATGGTGCAAGCGCCAAAAAGTCAAAGTTGATGGCCAGGAAGTGGCTGTTGGTGGTATGGTTGCCATCACGCAGCCCCGACGAGTTGCTGCTACAACACTTGCACACCGTGTTGCGCAAGAAGCCGGTACACCCATGGGAAAGGGTCGCACGGACGGCATGGTGGGATACTCGGTGCGATTCGACCACCAGGTACCCAAGGGAGCCAAGATCAAATTCTTGACCGAAGGAACGCTACTCCAAGAGCTGCTTCGAGACCCATACTTGCGACAATATAGCGCTATAATTGTGGACGAAATTCACGAGAGAAGCTTGGATGTCGATCTATTAGTTGGCTTTTTGAAACAGATTCTCGCAAAGGGTACCAAGAACCGAGGCGGGATCCCGTTGAAGGTCATCATCATGAGTGCCACGGCAGATATTGACGTGATTCGTGGCTTCTTTGAAGATTCCCAAAGCAAGGGTGGAAAGGCCAACGCAGTACAATTCCTAAGCATCAAGGGCAGACAGTTCCCTGTCGAAGTGATACATGAGCCTAACCCTGTGGCGGATATCCAAGACGCTCTCCTCAAGCGAGTCTTCAAAATCCACGTCGAGGAACCCTTACCCGGCGATGTGCTTTGCTTTCTCACCGGCCAGGAAGAAATCGAGATTGCTCAAAAGCTGATTGAAGAATATGCGGCCACTCTCGCCTCCAATGTCCCCAAAATCAAAGCCGTGCCTCTATACGGTCAGCAGTCCATTGAGGCTCAGCGCGAGGCCTTCAAACCCGTCAAGGAACGCTTCACTCGCAAGATTGTGCTTGCCACAAATATTGCCGAAACCTCCGTTACTGTACCAGGTGTACGCTATGTGATTGACGGCGGCAAAGCAAAGGTCAAACAGTTCCGCCCCAGGCTGGGCATGGAATCGCTTCTCGCAAAGCCCATATCCAAGTCCTCTGCCGTTCAACGAACGGGTCGTGCTGGTCGTGAAGGCCCCGGCAAGTGCTACCGCATGTATACCGAATCGTCATTCCAGAATCTACAAGAAACCGACCTCCCTGAGATTCTCCGCAACGATGTCCTCGGCGCCGTGCTAACTATGAAGGCACGCGGTATCCATGACGTCCTCGCCTTTCCGTTGATGGATGCCCCTGAGACAGAAGCTATCGAGCGTGCTCTCGTTCACTTGCACTTCCTCGGAGCACTTGCAGACGACGGCGCCATTACGAAGGAGGGCCAGATCATGGCGCAGTTCCCCGTTTCAGGCCCTCTTGGTGCTGTCCTCCTTGCCGCGTCTCGACCCGGATTCTCCTGCCTCTTGGAGGTCATTGACATCATCTCATGCATCACCTCGGGTGAGGACATCTTCATGTCAGTCCAATCAGAGGAGGGCATGGAAGAGATTGAAGAGATTCGCAAGGAAGTACAGCGCCGAGAAGGCGATCTCATCACCTATCTCACCACTATGCAGCAATACACGGCAGAAAACGCAGACCGTCAGGCATGGTGCCGCAAGCGCAAGATCAATATCCGTAACATGAAGCAAGCGCTCAACATTCGCAGACAGTTGCGCGGAATGTGTGTCAAAGAAAAGCTGCTTGACGAAGCGCCACCCGCAGACCCGCAACCCTTCGAGCCTGTGTCTCCTGAGCGTGCCGAGTCGATTCTGAAATGCTTCCTGCGCGGCTTCGCTCTCAAGACAGCAATGCTAGCCCCCGACGCAAGCTATGTCACCGTCCACGGCAAACACGTTGTGGCCATCCACCCAGCAAGCGTGCTGCACGGACAGAAGAAAGAAGCCATCATGTTCCTCGAGCACGTGTATACCAACAAAAACTACGCAAAAAAGGTCAGCTCTATCCAAGCAGCGTGGATCGCAGAAGCACTGGAGCGATGAGCGAGTGTAATAGTACATAGATTACAAAAATAGTACATAATATAACGAAACCAAAAGAGCCATACTAGACTACTACGCCTCCGGGTCTTCTGTTCCTCTATTCTTTATCGACTGCATCAGCTCATAAAGTTGCGCAATTTGCTCGTCTAAAGCAGAAACACAAGTTAGCATCGTCATCGATCCCGCCCCGTCACTATTTGTATACGTACCGCTCATTTTCGCCAGTTTTCCTTGGTCAATCTTGTCTCCTACCCATGCGTCACCTTCAATCTTTTGCGCGTAGAGCTGCCACTCTGTCAAAAATCCAATCTGCAACCCATCGTCAGCAACGCAACGTCCTCTAAAATCTCCATCGTCCCAACCTACCAAATGCATCGGATTCTCGACTTGACGGTGCGCCCTAAACTCCGCCTTGATATATTCGTCGCCCAGGAGTCGCATCTCAGGCGGTAAATGTTTTCTATGGGCGCGTAGCAGTCGTCTGTACAGCGGGATGGGCGGGAGTAGCGCCATAGCCTGTGGGCGTAAGGGGGACGAGGCCGCCGCGCTCGAGGCCAGTCTGGCAAGTGTCGGTCTCATTATGGTTGAAGAAGCTCTGTACTGAATAATTGCACTGGCTTGCCTTTTCAAAAACTATAAAGACGCTCCTGTCGCTGCGCAATGCCACCGTAAATGGATGAAGCGGACAAGCCAGTGCACATGCCTCGGGCCACTGTCGTCAATTTTCTGGCCCACCCACTCCCGCGATCGCATCTGCCCAAAAAAAAAAAGGTTGCTTCGACCCCTCCATCGCACCTACACCACAAATTCATATTCACCAAACCAGACTCGCAACCATGGCGTTTTCATTCTCCTTTGCGGGAGACGACATTGATGAGACCGCTGCGCCAGTCGCTCTCCCGCAACCTGCGCAGCAATCCGCATTTCCTGTCCAGGGCAAGCCAATGCTGCCGCCAACCCTGCACCACATCGACGAACTCCTCGCCACATTACCGTCCAAGATTGCCTTTTCCGGCCTTCCTGTCGCACTAGAAGATGCAGCAAACTCCGAAATCACTCTCCCTCGCCGCGAGCTCTGGGATGTGCGCTTACAGCTCATGGCTGAGGACGGCAACCCCTCCAACGATACTGCGACCTCTGCATCTTCCGGCCTAGGTACACACGACGTCAAGACGGGCGTATACGAAGGCGGATTCAAATCATGGGAGTCAAGCGTCGATCTAGTCAAAGTGCTTGCTGCCCAAGATGCACTTGCGCCACAATCCAACCCCGTCACTGTTATCGAAGTAGGTCCTCAGTTTGTATTAGCAAGCCAGGTGCTTCAGAAATCTAACAAAGACTCAGCTCGGTTGCGGTACCGCCCTCCCCTCCCTCGCCCTCCTTCAAACCAACACCACAAACACTCCCAAGACCTTTATCCTCGCCGACTACAACCCGACCGTTCTCCAGCACGTTACACTTCCCAACGTCCTTCTTACATGGGCCGTAGCCAATGCTCCTCCATCATGCTACAATGAAGACAACGAACTCGAAATCACACCTGAAGTGCTGGATGCTTTCCGTGCATACCTGGCAAACACAAATACTAATCTATACTTCCTTTCTGGAGCTTGGGGCCCCGAATTCGATACGTTGTTGACAAGCCTCCTGCCCGAGCAGCCAACAAATACCCTGCTCCTCGCTGCCGAGACTATATACTCCCCATTCGCGCTCCAGCAATTCACTTCGACCCTATTTAGTATCCTTAATCACGACCATGGACGCCAAACGATCTCCTTGATCGGCGCAAAGAAGCTTTACTTTGGTGTTGGCGGTTCTCTTGACGATTTCGTGGACACTGCTCGAGCCAATGGCGGTGCAGTCGAGTACCTCCGCGAAGAGACGGAAGGCGTCCGTAGAGGAGTTGTTAAATGTACATTATCACAATAGATACAACGAAACATAAAGACCATATATATAAAATAAAGACACTTCATGACAAGTTTCTTGAACCAGAGATGCGGTATTGAATTCCGTTGTATTAAATCATATTTGGGTATATATCCATTCTCCAAAACGCCAGACGCCCTAATGCTAGTTCTAATGTTCAAACAATGTACAGTTGTCCCTTCAAATCTGCAGCTGTGCAGGTCTGCCGTTACTTCGCCTTCTTCTTCTCGGCGCAGACCGGACAAAACCAAGTACCGTTGGGTTCGCTCTTCAGGCCAACACATGACCAATGGAACCACTCATACGGGCAATTGTCATTGTCGCAAGCGACCATATCGCCATAGCTTACGTTGTGGCAAAGACAGTACTTCTTGTCATCGCCGCCTTCTTCGCCATCGTCACCATCATCGTCTTTTCCGTCTGCTCCGGGGCTGCCATCCTCGCCGTCGTCATTGCCGCTTCCGCTATCAGCATCAGACATGTCACTGTCGGCTGCTGAGGCAGGTGACTTGCGTGCCTTGAACTTCTTCACACGAGCGAGGGACGACTTTGGTGGCGGCTTCTTTCGTCCAATTCCGGTTGGTGTTCCACGTCGGCTTCCAGGTCCATTGGTGCTCTTCACTGGGCCGGCACGGGGCCCAGCGCTGCCCGCGCGAACGACACCATTGGCACCGGCTGGTGTATTTGCCTTGGGTGTACCAGGGCCTAATGAGGAGTGTCGAGCAAGGCCGCTTGAAGTGACGGGAGCGTTGCCCATACCTGTAATCGTTCTCGGGCCGCGCTTCGTACTAGGTCCGGCGGAGCTTTCGCGATGTCGATTCATAATCATGCTAGCAGCGGGTGTAGCGGGTGCCGATGCAGCATGTTGAGCCGCTGCTACCTGTTGTTGTACTTGCTGGGGGGCTGGTGTTTGAGCCTGTGCCTGGGCCTGGCGGATCTGGGGGTTCGAAGGAAGGCGGGCGAGAGTGGCCGTATTAGCATTAGCGTTGGCCACGGCGGTATTGATGGGGGCGAGGTGAGGGACAGTGGCAACCATAGCAGCGGGATTGCTTGCACGGATGGTAGGAACGGCGTGGTTGGCGGCGCTTTGGCGCAGCAGCGACGGGACTTCGTCGGGATCTGTGAAACCGGGCTCTGCTCGGTCGTAGAGGAGCTTGATTTGGATATCAAGGCTACGCAGATGCTTGTCTACGTTCACTTGCAGTTTCCTTGTCATGGCGATCTTGTCTTGCGCAAGCTGATCTGCGCGGGCATATTGTTCTCGAATCTGTGATCTCAACAGATCTTCCTTGGGATTAGGTTCGTGGCTACCGTTGGTTTTGATCCATTTTTGAATCTTGGCATCGCGATCCTCAATCATGCGAACACATTCATGGTACTGTCGGTCTTTGTCGGAAATTTCGTCTTGCATGAAGCGGATCTCCTCGGGCAGGTTCTGGACGCGATTGATCCAGTCATCAAGGATGATGCTGGGGTCAAGAGGCTCTGTTTGAGGCATACTCCCGACAAAGTCGATGGAAAGGTCGTCCCTGGGCATTGTTAATGGGGTTTGTCGAAGACAATGATGTCGCGTGAGAGGAGCAAATCGGGAGGAGGGAGCGAGAGCAACATGGACTGAATGCACGTGTCAAGCCGGGGAGGAGACAGCGCGCGCCAAGCAAGAGTTTAAGGAGGAGTGTAGGATGACAGAGAGGAGGCTGGAGGGGGAGCTGAGCAGGAAAAAAAACTATAGTCGAGGTGGAAGAAAGCTAGACGGGGGGGAATCCACTTGAGTGCATGCAGGGAAGTGACTTGACCGAGCCAAAATAGAAACTAGCCGGGGCTCCAACGGGGTAAGAGGGGAGTAAGAGAGAGGAGGGGTACAAAGCAAGTTGCAGAGGACTATGTAGATGAAAGGATGGGGTGGAATGGAGGGCCAACAAAGCAGAGGCCGACTCGGCCATCCGCGGCAATGTCGCCGGCGCAGTAGCGGCGGTGGTTGTCACGAGCAACGCAGCCAGCACGGGCGGCCACGCAGATCGGGCAGTCTAGTAGCGGAATAAAATGGCAATGCAGGAAATAGAAGCGCGATGAACGAGATGGACGACTCGCTTACCTGATAAAGAACGCCTGTGCCTGATGGAAAATAGATGATGGAAATGCGTGGCGATGGTGGCAAAGCGTTGTGAGATGCGGCAGCGCAAAAGGTTATGAAGGGGAAGAATTTTTGGCCCTGGAGATGCGCCGACATTTTGCCTGTACTGTATTGCACGGCGGGCGCTGTACTGGAAGTCCGCAGCCAGCCAGCCGGTGGGCGCACTGCTGTAGAGAGGCAGCAGCCAGAAAAGTGAATGTAAACCGGATATTGTATTAACTAGAGACAGTAATGAAGCAAAAGTAATGATTTAAAAATAAAATCCTATCAGTTAAATATCAATTGAATACAGTTGACTTTTTTATGACTAGTATTCATCTCAACTTACTCTCCTACAGCCATCATCTCTCACCACCACCCAAGCCCTCCCATCAGGGCTCTATCTCGCTTCCCTACAGCACCATCCAACCCCTCCAGATGGCGCTAAACCCAAAACAGGTCTGCCCCAAACCGCCATCTGCCAGAACACTTCCACTCGCCTTCGACATCTTCAACTTCAATCCTCCCCCAACCAAACCTCTCGCGCAACCCGTCCTAGCCCCGACACAGCTACAAGACGCCATAAAATCACATTAAGCGCTCACAGACACACCGTCACTAAAGCTTCATCCACCGCAGATACCCCGCGTGCCTCTCCAGCCCTGCACCTAGCTCCCACAACCCCAAACCTCTTCCGTCGCCTCATAGGTCTATCGCCACTAGCTACAGTCGCGCTCTCCAACAAACAAACTATCTGGCCTCTCGTGTCAGCTTCAACCGTCCAACATGGACCCTGACGCATACCGCTTCCGCGTCCCCAAACCCAACTACCTCCCACACGACCTCACCACCGACCATGACCTGCCTATTGTGCAAGAATTCGACTCGCGCCCGCTCGGGATCCCGTCCGAGATGGAAAATGCAAAGTACTACAACAAGTGCAAACGTCTCGCCGAAGAGTCCGGCATCACCAAGCCCAAGGGCTACAACGTATCGTTCCACTGCAACCCCGAGATGGAAAAGCACCACTTCGGCATGACGCATCCCATGAAGCCGTGGCGCCTGACGCTATCCAAGTCCCTCATCTACTCCTACGGCATGTCCTTTGCCATGGACAACTACATCTCCCGTGCCGCCACATACGAAGAGCTTGCCACCTTCCACTCCACCGACTACCTCGATTTCCTCGGCACAGTCTTGCCTGAGCCGGTCCCGCGGGATCTCGAGAACCAGAACCCAGATCTCAAATTTAACCTGGGCGGCTCCGACTGTCCGCTCTTTGACGGCCTCTACGACTATTGCTCCATGTCCGCTGGTGGCGCCCTCGACGCCGCGCGCAAACTTGTCTCACACCAGTCAGATATCGCCATCGCCTGGGGCGGTGGTCTGCACCACGCGCACAAGGCTGAGGCCTCGGGATTCTGTTACATCAACGATATTGTCGTTGCGATCCTCGAGCTACTTCGCTACCACCCGCGCGTCCTCTACATCGACATTGACGTCCACCACGGCGACGGCGTCGAAGAAGCCTTCTTCTCAACAGACCGTGTCATGACAGTGTCCTTCCACAAGTACGATCCCAATAACTTCTTCCCCGGAACTGGTGCGCTCGACGACAACGGCCCCAAATCGGAGCAGAACCCCGGCTCACACCACGCGCTTAATGTACCACTTAACGACGGCATCACCGATGAGCAATACGCCATGCTCTTCGACACCATCATCGGCCAGATTGTCGAAAAGTTCCGCCCAACCGCCATTGCACTGCAATGCGGCGCCGACTCTCTTGCTGGTGACCGCCTCGGCCGTTTCAACCTACAGGTCCAGGGCCATGGTGCCTGTGTGGCGTTCTGTAAGCGCATGAACCTGCCGCTTCTGCTCTTCGGCGGTGGTGGCTACACACCGCGCAATGTTGCTCGCGCGTGGGCGTACGAGACTGCGCTAGCTGTTGGTGTTGACGACAAGATCAACGACTACATCCCGTCACACACACCGTGGAGAGATCAGTTCCGCCATGATACGCTCTTTCCTACACTAGAGCAGATTCTCGGTGAGCCCCGCGTCAACAGAAACACCCAGAAGCGCCTGCAGGAGATGATCCAGCATGTCACAGAGCAACTACGGTTCGTTCAGGCTGCGCCTAGCGTCCAAATGCGCGCCATTCCCCCGGATATTGGTGCCGTGAGAGACGACGTTGAGCAAAGGTTAAAGGAAGAAAATGAGGAACGCCACGACCAGATCCGCAGAGCAAAGGAAGAAGCCGTTGGCACAGCTATGGAGTACTAAAAAGACAAGGGGTCATATAGGTGTATCACATTATTCACCGTTTTGCATCTTCTTTATCGCAGTTAGTTGTGTTTGGAGATTCCGAGGTTCAATAATACCAGTCCATTCTTATAAACATCAAACACGCCACTATTGTGTTGGCAATAGAGAGACCAGGCTAAATAGCGTTCAATGCTATCAGACATGATGCTCTACAAACAGTCACCATTGTTGTGTCAGACACGGCTTCACACACTTTGAAAAGAAACACACTGTAGTGCCGTACCAAACAAGTTTCAAAATTTGAAGTTAAAAGCAAAAGCCAAAGCTAGAAGCCATAAGATTCCAAACTACGGCCGAGGCTATTGTCATCTAGAAAGGAACTCAAATGTCTGCTCGACCAAGCCTTAAAAACCAGTGCTACTCCTAGCCCCTGCGGAGCAACGTGGACTTGTTCAAGAACGGCAAGCGATTCATTGAGAAAGCCACTTCGAGCATAAACCGCTACTGCTGTATTACAAGCAAATAGCCGCTGCGCTCGTTCAGACTCCAAGGTAAAGATATACGCATGAATAATCCAAAAACGAAGACATGGCATTCCAAAAAAAAAAATTCAACGCAATCGCCTGCCAATCACAACCTATGCTTCCATTTAGAAGTAGCGAACAATAGCCTTGCCACCCTTAGGAATAGTAGTCTGAGTCAGGGTTAGCACAGAGATCAAAAAGCAACAGCAGAGAACAATTTCTATACTTACAGTGCAACCAGTGGCACTACCGCCGTAGTAGACACCGTTCTTGTAAGAGCACTTGACACTAACATCACCGATGATTTCAACGTTGAAGTCAAGCTTAGCAGAGGAGGTAGGAGCATTGTCGAAGATGGAAATGTAGGTGTTACCGTCCGTGGAAACACTAGTACCGAGGTTCATAGGGGCCCAGTTACCAGCACGGGTAGGACCCTTGGGAGAAACCCAGCGACAGCCTTCAGAGAGGCTGAAGCCCCTAGGGTTGACGTAGTACTGAGCGGAGGTGGTCAGGCCCTTCCAGAAGTAGTAGTTCTTCTGCGAGGGATTGGTAAGAGGAATAGTCTCGCCAGGGTTGGCACCAGCGGGGATGACCATAGACTCAGTGCCAGGGTAGTCAGTACGGCAGGTAGCAACAAACTCGTTCAGGTCGTTCTGGATAGAAACGCCGCCTTCGCCGGGAATGCAGAGAGTCTTGACCTCAGGACGAGTGAGAACAAGCTTGCCGTCGGCATTGCAGTAGATACCGCCGATAGACTGGCCAGTAGCGCCCTGCGAGGCAGGCCACTGAGACTTCTGGTAGCCGTGAGGGCAAGCGTAAGAGCAGGTGGAGCCCTTGCTGCAGTTGTCACCAGCAATACCGGTGATGATCTTGCTGATGGCGCTGCCGCTAAAGAGGGTGAAGCCAGGAAGGTTCTGGATACCGATCCAGCCGTGCATGCCGAGGTAGTCAACGGGGACAGCACCGTACTTGGAGGGGAACTCGGTGCAGTCCAAAACGCCATCAGGGAACGGGGCATTGAGACCGGTAGCACCAGAGGAAGAGGCAGCCTGGGCAACCTTGGGAGCAGGCTTGGGAGCCTCGGAGGGCTTGGGAGGAGGAGCAGCAGCAGAGCTCTTGGGCTTCTCAATGAACTGGGCGCCCTGGTCCTTGGTGGTAGGCTTGGGAGGAGGAGGAGGAGCGACGAAGGTGGGGGTGGTCTCGCCAATGACAACGTATTCACCGTCCTTGAGGCCCTCTTCAGCCTTCTTGTTGTCGACAATCTCGCCAGCAAGCTGGTAGACGACTGCGGTAGGGCCGGGGACGAACTTGGTAACGACATCAGGGGCGGCGCGGGCCTCAATGCGGGAGGCATCCTTTTTGGCGTGGAGGTGCTGGTGGCCGTGACCGTGGGAGGCAGCGGCTCCGACGACCATGGTGGCCGCAAGAGTAACGGTGAAGCTCTTCATGTTCGCTGATACCTATAAGAAGAAATCGGAGTAAGTATAGATTCGCGTAAATCAACGATTCGGTGTTGCAGCTGGTTGCCTGGGCAAATGTTTATGCGGTCGAGGGCAGTAGGCTAGTTGGCTGGTTTCAAGTTGACGGGGAGTTTCAGGCGTCGCGATCGTACCTAATATTGACGAGTTTAAATGTAGAGAATTTTGGAATTCGAGACGGAAGTAGAGTAGTGAGCGTGGAAGCGATCGTTGTCAGGGCTAAAGGAGTGTGGTAGAGAGCACGAGACTCTCAGTTGGAAACAGGACGCAAGCGCAGATGGTGAAGGTGAAGAATTGACGATGGAGGAGAAGAGCCAGAGAAGAGGAGGAAAAGGGAGAAAGGAGCAGGAATCCTTCTTGTTAGCGCCAGTACCTGTGCCTGTACCTGCCTTGGACCAAGCGACGGGGGGGTGGCGGACACCCATCAGCGCCTGTCGCCCAGTAAAACCTGCGCTGGGAATGAACTGAGAAGAAAGACCTGGGCTTTGGAAAGGGGGGCGAGGCTGCGCTGTGATTGGGTGCGTGCCTGGCCCAAAAATGAGCCAAGGAGAACGCTAACCAAATGAGAACAGAGGGGGTGGCTTGATGTGACCTGATGAAATTAATGGTCTGGATAAAAAAAAATACCAAGCACGCAACCGTGCACTCTGGCGCGCTAAGGACCATTGGGGTACTAGTTCTACACTAAAATTACTGCCTGTAGTTACTCCGCAGTACCAAGTACTCTCTGTGTTAAAGGATCGCAAGATGAAGAACAGGAGCCAGACGGAGTTTGTCTTTTCTGTCGATCACGCGCCCGCCGTTTGAGAAGATGCACAACCGCTGCAGTGACAGACTCTGAGCGTGCAGCTCACCTGCATGTTACTTTGTAACCCAAAAAAACGTCCGTGTCTTGCCTCAGATCTTACCCAATGCGCGTCCTGCTCTGGGTCCAGTGCCGTTGCAGCGGCCGCAGTTTGCAAAAGCTTACGCAGGAAACGACGCTGGCGGGCCTTCCAAGACCTAAATGCCCAGAAACCATGAGATATAAAAGAGAACAGTGTGTCTAACATTATTCCCGCTTTGACCGCCGCCTGTATACTCAGATCTGAACACATATTATACGACTATGCCAAAAGTCAGAAAAGATCCCTTTGGTACCTCCGGGTGAATGTGCGTTGTTTTTTTTTTTAGCGCGAGTAGCTCATTTGGCTTGTTTCTTCTGCTTTATTACAGGCGTAATTCCAAACACGCTTTGAACTCCTGATCGAGATCATTTCAAGATAACACTTCTAATATATATTATTTCAACACAACATTATATACTCATCAGCCAGTAGTTCAGCTTTACAGGTTGAAGCCGAAGCCCACCACAGCCTGCTCTGCGTTGCGGCTGCGACTTGTTCCTGGCGCTAAGCCCCATTGGGAACGTGCCTCGTTGGGGGCGCCCAGTGGCTCATTGTACATACTGCTAAGCTTTTCGAAGAAAGCTACTGCAGACTGCTAACATATGCAACATCACATGGGCCAACGCACCCCCTCCCTGCGCGCCAATTTCGCATCGACCAGCGGGAACAGGCATCGTGCAGTGCAGATAGGCTCCTCATTTCGGCAAACACATGGGTAGAGCACACAGCATACAATGTAGAAGTTCACCATCCTAAGAAAGGGGTCGAAAGACGGTAACAAACATCCACTACGACGCCTCAACTGTAGCAGCCGTGGTTATGATATTTTACAGCGACAACGCGGACGAGGCCACGACTCTGTTCTGTGCATCCCTCACCGAGACATACCCGTCCAGCACACGCCGCTGTCCCCTGGGACCATTCCTTCAGGCAGAACAACGCGAACTCACAAAATAAATCCTTTTTTGCTGCACGGCCCGAGGTGCGCGTACAGTATACGAAGTACAAAGTAGTGTCCCATTTGGGTCCCTTGGCCGATATTTCGTCCTCTCCGTCTCGATCTAGCCCCCGTTCAAGAAATGTGCTATTAGCAACCACCCATGTTCGATCGGCTCGTAGACACGAGCAGAATCCACGCTCGTCGGTCGGTGAATGACTGTTCGTGTAGGCCCTTGTCTTCATATGCGTCTGGTAAACGAGGCAACATGTAAGCCTTGCAAGCGACCATCGTAGAAAAAAAACGACCGTTTGCACGAGTAAGGGACAGCACAGCCACGGCGTCTCTGCTTGGCAGTACGAAAGGGCTTTTTTGCCAGGCACTTTGCACGTACTTCAGCTCCATCTACCGTACAAAGTACTATAACCATTAATTGCCTTGCGCCGGGTGAGAAGCCCGTGGTCTGGACTCGACCCCCAAGACAATACATCCCCTACGGTCCACAGCCAGACAAGGTATGGCTGACCATCTCGCTACTGTCCTTAACGGGGACCACCAGTAGCGCAATCCCCTGTGCAAGGATACTCCTTACCGTTGACTTCTCCTTTCTGGCCGAAAAGCTTAATCTCTCTTTATACCCATGTTGTAAGAGTCCACGAACCTCTCCTTAAAATCTCCTGTCGCCCGCTGGATCGTGCCAAGGCCGCCATGTCTCAAGGTGATTTGTTGCCGGAATAGCCTGCCGAGGGTGAAAGATTGTACGTTTCCGCTTCGAGTTGGAGTTACGGTCCGTCGGTTTACGTCAACTATCCATCTGCTCTCTACGCGCTACGATGCCCCCGTAGCATGGGTAGGGCGATGCGTGGCGATGGCTGCGCGTGCATAATGTTTCACGCAACCGCGTGTTACAACACACCCCTTTGGAATGAGAATTACCGTAGCCCATACGCCTTAAGGACGGCAAACGGTTTGCAAAAGACAGTGAAGATTCTCGAAAGTAGTAGTCACTAAGCCCTATCGTCTATCAATCGTATCAAGCGCGCCTTGTTGGTCCATTTACGGGAATTTCCATGCAGGACAACAGGTGCCGTTAATCTGTAGAAAATACGGCGTGAATGCCAGACGTTGGAGCGCCCACTTGCTACTTTAAAGTTGAAGGACTACTGGGCAATGGCGTTGAAGCACCAGCGCGTGGCGAATGTAACCTCGAGGCCATCTCCAGCATCACTTCAACAGCTGGCAAGTGCTATGTCGGATGCGAAGCATGTCGCCTAGCACTGTATGGTTTATACTGTCAATGATTTACACTGATTGCTTCCGTAGAATTACAAGCATTCGGCGGCCCAAACGAATATTGCACAAGTGAGCATAAAGCCACTGCCCTGACCGATAAACACTATAACAAGACTTGTGTATAGCGAAACCTTAAGCTGTCAGAATATGTCGCTTTTGTCTGTTTTCGACAGACCGCGTATCGTTCTATGCTATACAGTGGTGTTGCTGCATGATAAATGTGCAGAAACGAAAGGTGAACAGTGACTGACGGCTGCGTTTGGCTCGCAGCTGGCAGTCCCGCGAGGGAGCCGGAGCCTACTCCAGTTTAACATCTGCAGTCTCTCATCTTCAAGAAACACAATTGCCATTAGACACGCTTACATTATATGGGTGCATACCGACAATAGCAGTGCTGAGTTTTGGTAGAGTACGGAGATGACGCGCAAAGCGACGACACGAGGGCCAGTCGTCTTTGCGGAATGGGTCATTGGAGGGCCAATTATTCCTCTACGAGCAAAAAAAGCAAAGCCTAAAGTGAAAAGCCCACCGGAAGTTATTACAGTAGAGGTCACAACCGACGATGACAATGATACCGATACTCTCCACGTTACTTATCCGCGCTCACGTCGATATGTGCCAGATGGGAACATGAGCGAAGGAAAGAAGGTTCACTTTGATAAAAAGCATACCAAATCGGTTCTAAAGAACGGCGGATCTCAAGTGACTGTGAAAGGATCGGATACCGACTCAACAGCAGCCCCTTCTAGTGATACGTCTGGCGACGAAACATCAGAGGCGTCCTCTGATGCCGAAGGTTCAAAGACTGGCAAGCCCTGTTGTAACTGTTCGAGATGTATAAAGAAGCGCCATCGACAAGAAAAGTGTACCAAGAATACAGAGTCATCCGCGGACGAAAGCGAGACACCCAAATGCGACAAATGCGGCGACAAAGCAAAAGCTGATGAGAAGGACAAACCAAAGGAGGGGGCAAAGAATGAGGCCAAGAAAGACCAAGATGAACCAAATAATAAAAAGAAGAACGAAGAAAATACCAGCAAGAAAAATGATAAGACAAAGGACAAAGAAAAGGATAAAGACAAACCCGATGAGAAGAGCACCAGGGACAAATCAGATGCCAAAGCTGACAAGGCAGTAGACAAAAAAGACGAAAAGACGCAAGAGACGGAGGGAAAGGATAAAGCCACCACCAATGCCAAAGATGACCCTTCCAAAGCCAAGGAACCAGAAACACTCACCCTACCTCCAGGCAAGACTCCAAACCTCATCGCGCCAATCCGTGCACAAGTCGTCCAGACCGAAGCCGTGATTGAAGGCTCTCAGGACCCTCGTCCTAATGCCTTTTACGATGCTGCCCACAACATCATGCGTGTATACTACGGTCCTGTGTACGGCAACCATGACAATCGCTCCTTATACCCTCGGCATGATCCCACCGGGCTACCGCTAAACCTTGGGATGCCCTATCCGCCACACCATCCGTACTTTTACGGATTCAAGGACGGTCCTCCAGCAGCATATCCTATGTCAGGATATCCTCCCCCTCCTCCTCACCCTCATCCTCAGACAGGTCAGCACCAGCCTGCCGACACAGGCAGCCACCGGGGCGCCTTTTCCAAACCACCTAGCGTCCACGACGATATCGCCGGCCGAAGCAACGTCGTGCCCGTGTCCAAAGCCGCAAGTATCCCTTTCGTCCTCTTAAAAAGTCCCTGCTAACAAGCTAATGAGACACAGATCCCGCCCAAGAGTAACCCGTACTACAACAACAAGCGACAGAGCAAGTCTGTCTTCGCGGGATCCTCCCGACACGGTAGTCCGAGTCACACATCACCACCAAAGCAGCCATCTCCTGTCCCAGAGCCACCGCCAGAGCCAACTACCTCAGGATGGGACAACAATACTACTCCAGACAATGGATATAAAGTCACGGCCGGGGCCCAGGACGGGTGGTCCAATGATGCTACGAATGGAATGTCCAGCTGGGACAACAATGCGCAAACAGACAATGACAAGAACAACAATAATACTAGTGGTTGGGGAAATCAACCAGAAGACAACGTAGGGATGCCTGGAGCGTGGCAGGATACCACCATGGCTGCCAGCACAGGCGGCAAAATCGAGACCGCATGGTAGAACTTACAAAGTGAGAGCACTCCAAGTTGTAGCAGCATAGAGAAGATCAGAAGAGACGAAGGGATGAAATGATTTCGCTACCTGCCATGCTACCTAATCTATTACATTTTACCCAGTCCAACGCCGTCTCCAAGTGAAGAGAAAATAAAACAAGTCGCTAAAGAATGGGACAACTACTAAGTGGCCTAGACAATGTCAGCGCACCGCTTCTATCACGCCGTCGCCAACGTCTTCTTCGAAAACCTACCAGATTCTACCTTCCCACTCCAGAATCCACGAGCAGCAAATCTTGAGCCTCGAGCGGACACTCGACGTGCTCAGTAGTCTGTACTTCTCGCGTGCTTTAATGGGCAAGATGCTAGCCAGCCACCAGGGGAAGACGGCCGGATCCCGCGGGCACTCGCCATATATATCGAGTACGTTGTCCGCTAGCCACGGGGCGCTGCGTTCTCTCATACGATCTACAAATTCGAGGGCAAACCGCACCAGGTCCTGCGTCGGCAAGGTATCCAGGTCCTGCAAAATGGCGGGAGGCACGCGCGCGGCCAGCGGCGGGTTGGGATTCGGCACTCGAGGCTGGCCAGTAGCCTCATTATTCAGCTGATCAATGGGAATTTCGAGAAGCGTTACGCCCTGGGTCCGGATACCAGAGACCTGTAGCGCTTCGAGGGCCTCTTCCTCCTCAAGACTGATGTCGTGGATACGTTCTGTCTCAGCGACGGCATAGCCATCGACGGAGCCATGACGAACAACACGAAAGCGGGAGAGCCCAATGGTCTCAATCAGGCAGCGACCATCGGGATAAAACTCGGCATTTACGATGCGCATCAACGTGCCCAACTCGTAGAAGTTGGCATCGCCACTATGCCGCGGCCGCTTTGGCTGCACCATGCCAAACGTGCGGTCGTTGTCGAGTGCGCGGCGGATCATGAGCTTGTACCGCGGTTCAAAAATGTGCAAGAAGGTGGGCATTTGTGGGAAAGCAAGGGTACATATGAAGAGCGGTACTCCCAAATCGTTCCGTCTGGCCGCTTCGTCAGCAGCGAGCATGTCGGCTCGCGCTATCGATTCGGCTTGCCAACACGTTGTGATGATATTGGACAGAGCCTCATTAGCTGGACACGATTCCAGCGTCAGGCGCGGCGAAATGGCCAACTTACGCCGGCATATGGGACAGTATCGAGAGTGGTCGAGGATGCGGTAAAGACATGAGCGGCAGAAGGTGTGGCCGCAGCCAGTGGTAATAGGATCATGAAAGAGAGCGTAGCATATTTGGCAATCCATTTCGCTCCGGCTCATTGTTTGAATATTGTCAAATTCGTCGGCTTCTCGGGATATCTGCTCAACGGCCGTCTCAGCCCCTTCCTTGTCGTCGTCAGATGTGCCGTTTAATTCTGCGTTGTTCCATATTGTTGTAAACTCCTTCAATAGACTCGAGCTATCAGCAACGCCATCAGCATCACTAGCCCGCAAAGCATCGCGCAGATGCTCTGCCAACTTATTCAGGACAACATCTGTTGCGCAGTCCCCAATCGTATGTTCCTTTGCACAATCTTTTATCGGGCAGATGAAGCCTTTTTGTCGCTCAGGGTCAGCCGGATATGAGATATCTATGCGGTCGTATGTCGTCGGCACGCATGCCTTGCACATGGTTCGCCCGCATGGTAGTGTCGTAGCGTCGCGGTACGGTTTGGTGCATATTCGACAAATAAATAAGTTGAGGAGAGTGTGAGGAGAGAGACGGGATGCGGAGGGAGGAGGAGAATCGCAGCCTATTGTATCTTGGTCTGTCATGGCAGGGTTCGGGCCAGAGTATTCCAGCGTATGCTGCTGTTCGTCGAACCGGGAGCCACAAAGCCCAGGCGGCAACGTAGGGCCGGAGGGTGTCGGAGTGTGTGGTTGATTTGATGACATGTAGTATATATGATTTTGCGACTTTGGGTAAAGACAACAGCGGTAGAAGAAAGAACGGTAACCGAGAGCTATCGAGAGAACATGATTGCCGAGGCGTTGGATACAAGAGACGTGCTTGTGTGCGTGTGTGGGTATAAGCCAGAGTTTTAAAACAAGTTAGCCAGTAACGAAGAAGCTCCTAGCAGCTACACACGATGTCGCCAGGTATCCGAATAGTTTGATGAAGTAGACGAAAAGAGCAAATCAGCCTGTGTAAGGACCCTGAGATTCTACATCTGCAAAGGCAAAAAAAAGGTCGGGGGAGGGGTGGAGGTGCGGCGCTTCAGCTCAGTGAAGGGTCACCTACGACACGGATGTGGCCGTAGCCGGGCGCTCCAGCGGCTTTCATGACGCGCTGAGATGGCCTGGGGGTTTGGCGGTGTTGTGCTGTGGCAAGCAATCATGATCCATCAACGGTTCATAGATATCACGTTGCAAGACTACCCTGATCTGTCTGGATTTAATTTTTCGTTTTATTTTATTTTTTCTTAACTTTCTAATCGTCAGCGACCTTGGGCAACCGTTGCGTGGCTCTGCATTTCAGACTTCCTCCCAATTCAACCTAATCACATCTTAGCGCAAAAGACAACTGTTGCAGCGGTCACTCCTTCGGTGCTGGACCCTGTGTTTACTGGCCGCAGGGGTCTGCCGATCCACCCTCAAAACCGAGTGCGTCATCGAAATGAACATCCCATCACCGCTCTGGTTCGCCCCCCTTCCACGGCTATATGCGAACAAATAAGGCTCTGGAGGACTACGTACTCCATCGTCTGACTGAAAACAAGCATTTCGCGGGCGGACCCTATCCGGCTAGTACGATGCTGTTCTGCTGCGCCAGCTTCGCCGGACTCGTAGCGTGTAAGTGCAGCATCCACTAGAGCTATCCTGCGCAGCCTCAGACCTGGAGCGTGCCAGAATTTGGGATATGTGCTATCTTACCCATTATTTCTTGTTTCTTGTGTCATATTTTATTTACACCCTGCACATCTCACCAAACCACCTTATTTGTGGCCCGTTGCTGCTCATCTCTCGCCACAAAAAAATATCTATGACGCAGCTGGACCCTGGATACCACAGTGCCCCGCCGCCGCACTCATCACTAGCTTGGTATTCCCGAAACGTGCAGCAAACTATTGATTTCACATGAAAGGAGCCGATCCATTACAAATACTATAGGTTATTGATTCATGTTAACAAGGTATTTCCTAATTGGGGCTTGCTATTCCTCTTGTAGGCGCTGGCTGAATCTTGCTGAGGCTTCCAGCCAAGCAAGTCAGCGAATACATCAGGTGATCATCCAATCACACCAGGAACATAATTCGTAAGAAACAAATATCCTGAAAAAGAAAACAGGCAACTGGGAAAAAAATGAAACGAAGAGGGGAATCTCGGCCATGAAACAAAAGTCATAACTACACAATGGGGCATGCTACTGCACAAACGCCCATCTGCCTTTGGTCGAAGCTGACCTGCTCCAAGTCAGACGTCGGCCAATGTTTCCAAAGCAAACGCAACTGCAAAACAGAACGCTCACCATCCAGACGCCTGTCTCTACAGTTTGCTGCGTCGCCAACCCGCCTAGCATCAAAGCCTCGCTGCTTGGTACCTGCATTGTGCTATTGTGTGTGATCTGTCCCGCGGGAGTCGGCATAACTTCAGGATTAACACCCATCAGCAAAGCAGATCCAATTACTCCCACCGCAGTCGATAAGAGCAGGCCGGGTTTTGAACGATCTATGAGCCACCACAAGAGTGGGTTAACCAGAGCAAGAGTAATGGATAGCTGCAGCGAGGATGCCCATGCAAGTTTACGCTGTGAGCAATGTTAGAACCAGGATACGTTTGCTGTTTTGTGGAAAACTTACAATAGCAAAAACAATGCCTACAAAGGCTCCAATGGCACGCATCACCAGCGTCCAGTCGCTGGCCGTAGCTGCGGCCCGATCCTCCTCTTCATCTTCTCCGACTTCAGCTTCTTCATTCTCGGTGTTTGGAAACGCCTCTTCCCAGAAAGTGTCGAACCAGGGTAGCAGAGACCCAAGAAAGACACCAGAGACTCCCCAAAACGCCAAATATGTCTTGTTGTACGTGGGGTCGATGATGCCGCTCGATAGCTTTTGTTCGGCCTGAAAGTGTGTGACCAGCGCACCGTATCCAAGTCCTAGGACAAACAGTAGCGACGTCCGTAAAGCTATAGAGAGCTTTGATGTTTCTGTCTTTGTTGCAGCCTCGGCCTTGAAAGACGAGCGGCGTCTCTTCATGTGGCGATCGCGCATGAGCTCGTATGTCGCTTCGTCAACGCTTGGTCGCTTAATTGGCGTCTGAGCACCTGTTCCCCATGGGGTTTCGCCATCTTGGGGCTCTGCGAACCCACGGTCGCCCTTGGATGCTGTAGGAGAGTAAATGCCGTAGAGTGTCGAGGATGTCAAGTTCATGATTGATGGTGGCCGGCTAATAGTCGAGGCGCCAGCACCAGGAGTGTCACCGAGCTTTTCCCATGCGGCGCTGAGCAATCGAGATCCAAAGGACGCATCATTTGGTAGCTCAGGACTCGACGGGTCCTCCGGAGGCGTAGCACGAGTGAAATTGACGTTGAACGGCCGCCTTGGAATAGGCCGGACGATCTGAGGGCCGTCGTCAGACATGGCGGCTCGCGAATTCAGCAGATAATAATATACTGTTGACTGCTACTGTTGATGTCGTTGTAGCTATACTCGGGGGGCGATTGTCTGCTGTGCGTGGTCGAGTCAGCAAGTCAGTATATTTGTTGGGGTTCGTGGCAAGCTCTGCGCTTCCGAAGCTCGCAGTGTGGGTTAGCTTTCACTGCTAGCCTGGGCGGGTCCTGCGATGGAACTCTCAGGTGATGCCTTGCTTGAGCGGCTGCAGCGGAGTGCATAAAGAGACGCGTTGACTTACTGTAGCTAACAAGTACTGTCCCCTAGACCTTGCAGGACGAGACTTTGATGCAGAGGGAGGCGAAAGAGGAGAACGTGCGCGCAACACCCTTTTTGTTCCAACGGCGCGTGCAGAGTTGCCAACAAGGCTCTCTCACAGTTCTCTTCTGTTTCAGCTAATTAGACTTTGCGCTGCACCAATCGGGCCGTCGATGCGGGGCGACCACCCTCTACAGGTGGCCAAGTACGAGGCCAGAATCCCACGGCGGGGTGAGGATGAGACGCTACTGGGCCGTGGTGCGGCCCTATAGACGACTCTGGATTGACAATGGCGCTGAGATGGCGCACCCAATGCAACGGCAGGCAGCGCGATGCTATGGGGTAACGGGTGAGTCGCGACAAGGGCGCCTGCGCAAAGGTCGTCTGAGTGAGTGTGTAATTTTAGAAATACAGTTGCACTGTCGATTGAAACAAAACAAATGCCGGCTGAGAAGATGAATATGAAACTGAAGAAAATAACGGTGGCAACAAATTAATAAGAGTTGGCCGCTGTGAGCGCCTACCATTCTTTTGGCAGCTGCACGATGGGTCGCCACCTGGCAGACAGCTGGCGAGTGGGCGTACAGAATCACATGCAGTGCATCAAATGCAATGCAATCCTTATAGTGCAGTATGCTGACAGCTTCTTATCAACATGCTAAAGGTGGGCTGCAAGCCTCCCTTCAGCTTCTGCAGAGACGGATTTTTTTTTATTTCTTTTATTTTTGGGGATAAGCCAACGGCGTATAAGCAACGTCTTCTGCGCGCGTCTGTTCTCCACGCGATCTTACTGCTACCCGGCATGCGGAACAGAACAACGTCGATGCACTCGTCTGTCCTACTCTAACCCTTTCGTAGCGTATTTAATACATAAATATCTGCTGAACTTTCGTATTTAATCACTTGGTTGTATGAGATATCAAAATTACAATGGGCGCCGCTTGCTATAACACTCACCCTCAATCTGGGCGATAGAGTTATATCATTCGCAAAACTTTCCATTTACAACTTAGTAAGCTTATCATTACAATAACCATGTTTAATAAATTACAACACTAAACGCTCGTATTTTAATTTTATTTACGCAATATCCTACCAGAACGCGCATCTAGTCGCTCTCGTCGTCATCCTCGTCATCATCATCGGAATCCGCGTCCAAGTTCTCCTCTTCGCTGTCCTCAGCACCCTCGGGCTTAGGCACCATGACGAAACCAGCAAGGCAAGTGATTCGATTCTTCGTCTCATACAAGCCAACTTGTTGTCCCAGACTCTCCTTAGATTCCTTGTTCGCTGCAGCGGCCTTTTCGAGTGACGGCACGTCGAGCGTCCAGACGCGAAGGTTTCCATCGCTGCTAGCCCCAACGACATAGAGCCCGGTAGGATCCACAATGCTTCGCAAAACGGCAAAGTCCTTGATGCGGCCAGACACGCCGGCGTCGCGCCCACCAATGTGGCCAATCATCTTGGCAACGGGCAGCTTGTCCTCGTCGTCGTCCTTCTTTTCCGGTGTCACCAGGTCGTCGGCCTTGGTCGAGAATAATACAATGCGGCCATCCTCTGTCGAGACCGCAAGCAGCGACGCGTCGTCAAGGTCGATGTAAGTAAATTGGTGGATCTTGGTTCGGACGCCTGTTCCAGGCATAACGCGACACTTCGGCACACTATCCATGCTGAAAACGATAATATCTCTCTCAAAACCAACCGCAAACTCATCCGCACCATCCACATTGCCCCATTTCAGCTTTCGTCCCTCGCCCGTAGAATGTTTGCCCTCGCTAGCCTCTTGCAGCATGTTCCTCGTGAAGCTGAGCACACCAGCCTTCTTGCCAGTGACCAAATTCCACAAACGCATGCATCGCTCGCCCTTGCTTACGCTCAACATGACCTTCATGCTAGGGTGAATGGCAAAGTCGTTGACGCCCGATGGTGTTCCGCCAAATGGCGCGGTGTCTCCGCTGGGGCGGCCATAAGCCTTGGGAATCGGCGCCTTGATAGTTGTCATGAGGGACAAGTCTCTGATTTTCGTGACCGCAATCGTTGAGTCTTCACTGGATGAAAGGAGCTTTGATCTTGTTGGGAAGCAGAGAGAGGTAATGCTAGAAGAATGGTGCAAAAGAGCACCAAGCTCCTTGTTCTTGGGGTTCTCTAGAATCGGTCGGGGCGCTACCTTAGCCAGAAGGTCGTCGGTTCTTCGCTGGGGAGGATGGGCAGACAGATTATAGACGTGAACTCGTTCGTCAGTGCTGCCCGAGGCGAGAAGCACCTTCTGTGTTTGGCCGGGGATCTTGGGAGAGATGGGCGACACGGCGACGCAGCGGATGGCAGATGTGTGTGCGTTGAAAAGGAACGTATCGGCGAATTGCGCCTCAGTAGATTCTGGTTCGAAAGTAGCAGTAACACCGTGCAGAACTTGATCATAAGAGCCGACAATGATTTGCAGCGTCTCAGGCATGGACAGCTTGGAAGGTTTCGCAGCGCCATTGGTTGTGGACTTCGTCTTTTTGGATTGCGAAGCATCCGTAGTATTTGTGCCCCCAGGGGCATTTTGTCTCTTTCTTTTAACCATTTTTTCTATTCCGGTTGACGCAATTGTGTTGATGAAGTTTAACAGCAGTGACGATTCGGAAGAAAAAAAAAGTTTGGAGATGGAGTTGCGATAAGATAAGCGGCCGGCCAGAAACAAAGTGGGTTGATGTTAGTCTATGGCTAACGTTACACTCATGTGTTAAATAGGCTATGAAGGATAAAAAGAGTTGAAAAATAAAAATGAAAATATGAGATGCAAAAAGTCGTGTTCAATTGATGATTTGTTTTAAGTCATTTGCGTGATGCTTATTTTCATATTCTAAATGTTACCGTAGCACGGGGTGTCGTACTGTATCTATGGGTTTGAACTCTCCATAGCGCTAAGACTAGGAAACCGTTTCGAAAAGTCCTCCAGATAGTCTTCTTTCTGTTCTGATGTCATTTCTATAACAGGTTGACCAGGAAGATCTACTGCAATAAGATGTTCTCTGGCTGGCTTTGGTCCGGGCAATGGCTTTCCAGTGCCTGTTGGGAGACTGTTAAGATGTACCGGCTTCTTAGGCGCAGGAGGCTTCGAAGGAGCTTTGTTCAATGGTGCCGTAGGCGGCGCTGAAACTGTACCAGTGCCATGCGACGACGGAGCTGCAACGGCTGGTTTTGCTTGCGGTAAAGTGTTTGTACGCTGTACACCTGACAACAGCGGCTTTCGGCGAACCTCTGGAGGAGTCTTTTGCGGCTTACTCGCCGCAGTGGCAGCGTCCGAGTACTTGCCATACCCCTCCGCAGTGCGCTGTATAGGGGCTTGGCGCTGGTCATCGCTTAGCAGAGCATGCACTCTATTTTGAATTGTCGACTTGGCAACAGTTACACTCTTTGGACCGGGAGTTGGTTTTGCTGTTGTTGCCCCGCCCATGGTTCGGTTGCGATACTCCAATTGAGCTGCTTCCACCCGTCGTTCTTCATCTTCGAGCTGTAGTCGCTCCATTTCTCGGCGCATCTCTGGGCTCAAGTCATCATCGCTGCTATCTTCATCCAAGCCGATGATTTCGCGCGGGCCATCATCCAACATAATCAAATCTCGCTGCATGGTTTTGGCAAGTTGAGTGGCAGGCTCGCTTGATGAATTATTTTCAAAATGCTTAAACCTATCCCCAAATTGTCCGTCTGACAGCTTCTTGGGCTCCGGCTTCCATTCGGGAGCCTCGTTTTGATTGCTAAGTTGTGATGCTTGCTCTGTGGTGTCGTTTGAGCTGGGTCTCTGTACAGCGACGCTTACAGGTCGTTTTCTGTACGATGAGTTGTCAGATAGCACCGGCGTTATCGGTCGAACTTCAGCTGAAGAGTTCTTGGGACCACTTGGGGGAACATCGCTGGTCATGGTACCGGTAGACACATATCGCGACGAAATCGAAATTGGGCGAGGAGCAGGTGCTGTAGATCGTACGTCATTACCGATACTAGGCTGAGGCCTGTGTGCCATAGCTGACGAATGGGTCTGGGGTGTAGATGAATTGGTGTGTTTTGGTACCGGTGCTGGTGTTGGTTTACTAGGAATTGTCTCATTCTGTACTGGGGTCGATTGCCGGGAGTTTGCAAACGCTGCATCAGCAAGTTTCTCTGCCATTCGGTCATTCATATCTTTCGCAGGTTTCATAGGTGGTGATTTGACAGAGTCAAAATTGAAGTTGCTGCTCTTGTCATGTAGCAACGAAAATTGGTCCAAACTCGGGAACCGAGACGAGGTATCATCTATGTCAGCAGCACTTTTCGATTTTATATCAAGCGCAGCGAAGGGATCGCCGCTAGTAACGGGTTTGGAAGGTGTTTCGACGCGAGATGGTGTAGCTTGCGGCCGTCCTCGTCTCATGGGTATAATGTCTGGAATTTGCTGAACTTCTTTTACTGGGGTAGACACAACAGCACCAACGGTAGGCTGCGATGGCAAGGGCTTTTGCTTCTGAGGAGGTACCTGGCTTGAAGGTGCTTTACCAGGGTATATCTGTTCCTAGTTAGCGTATGACTCAGTGGGTTATGTCTCCAATAGCAGTGGACCGACATCAGGAATAGGCATTTCACGGCCGGCCATAGCGGAAGCTTCTTTGAGGACTTGGTAGATATTCGGGCGAGACTCCAGCTTTTCTCGCAGCATAGATCCTAGATACAATGTTAGCAAAAGCCCTGCTGCCAAAGCTGAATCACATACCAATAAGCTTCTTAAGGCGATCTGAAAATATAGGGTGACTTGGATACCGAAAACTAGCGTTCAGGATAGCCAATTGACCCTGTTCTTCGAATGGTGTAGTGTAGTAACAAAGCTTATAGAGCAACACTCCCAGAGCCCAAATATCCGACTTTTCATTGATGGGCTGTTTGCGGTATACGTCGATCATCTCAGGGCTGCGGTACTGGAGAGTCGTATGTTTTTGAACATCTTCATCCATTGCTCGACACTCTGCAACTGTGGCCGGCGCCGGTCTAGGTGCAGCTGCAGAGCCAAAATCACACAGTTTGAAGCGCTTATTGGCACCCTTGGCACTAATAAGGACGTTTTCAACCTTGAGATCGCGATGTAGAAGTGCAGGCTTCAGGTAATGCATGCATGCAACTCCCTCCGCAATGTCGGTGAAGATTTGTATAATTTCGGGCTCCGTAAGTCGATGCTGGAGTCGAGTGTTCATAAAATCAATAAGACCACCACCGTTACAGAACTCCATGAGCAAGAACACTTCATATCCGCCATTTTTAAGCTCTGAGGCATGCGAGTCAATGTATGTGACTATAGCCCTGTGTCCTTTCAGTCGCTTCATGGTCTCGACTTCGATGCGCATCCCTCGTAGCGACTCCTTGTCGGGAACGGCAACACGTTTCAAAACCGCAACGTCCGTTCCGTTGATAGGTTTTGGTAGCTTAACGACGTACACATGGGCGAAACCGCCTTCCGAGAGGTACTTTTGAATTATAACTCGATGGCTTCCAACTTGAATTTTTGTTCCTGGCGAGAAAGTACCAGGGGGGGCGCCAGCAGCCATCTGTATGTTTGGCGGAGGGCCATGGCGAGCTGGGCCCTGAGGTGGCATCTGGCGGCCGAAGCCTTGACTATGTGGTTTCATCTCGTTGTTTGTCGAAAATCTGTTCAATTGTCTAACGTGATATGGGTTCGGAGGGCCGTTTTGTCGACGCTGCGGTTGTTGATGACCGATGTCGTATCAGAGGGAACAGGAGGGGTGCGTCGAACGAGGAGTCAAGCTGCTGCCATGAGTTTGAAGTTTAAAAACTAAACCAATGACGCGCGAATAATGAATGGGAGGCTACCGCTGCAACTCCCCATATGGCCGAATTGGAGCTAGTTGTGATGCTGTCAATCGCTGGACTTGTGGTGCCGACATGTGTTGCTCAGCCTCCCGGCCAGAGGTTGGCGTTGCGTCAATGGGAGCGGGGGATCGTCGGGTAAACATTGGTCATGAGCAGGCAACTCTCAAGGCTGCCAGTTTAAAACGATCCCGGAAAGAATATGGGAACTGTTTATTGAGACACAAAAAAAGAGAGAAATCCAGGTAAGTAGATCACCGCGTTGTTTGTTGAGATCATTTACAATGTTTTGGAGCCACGGGGCTGGACGGCACGTTGGCGAACCGTTGCGGTCTAGTCCGAGATAGTGACAAGCTACCCCAGATTTGATGCCGGTTTGCGGCCTGAACTTTAACCACTTATTACGGAATATATGACGATAGATATTTAGCTTATCGATATTCTTAATCCTTAATATCGAGCAGATTAGACGCATCTGTCCCTATTGCGTGCCTTGAACGCGCTGGTGTCTGGTCTACCTCCTCCGAAATACTAGAACGACTGCTATCGTCATATTCAGATCTGCATTGAAGTAGAAATCTAGCGAGGCATATCTACATGTGTAGCTAAAAATGGTATCATTTTCAACATATGTAACTGTGCCATGTACTTGGGCTCGTCCATATCCCATTTCACTGTATCACAACCAGTGTCAATGACGTCGACATGCGTCCTGTGGCTGAGGCGTGATACATTGATGCAAGGTGCGTAATGCTAGCCAAGCACTACGGCGATTCTATTTTGTCCGGCACATCCCGTATTCAAGCTTTCCATGCTCACTTAAGAAGCACTGCCCCTCCTTCGGCTTGTTCTGGGCGGCCAATCACTGTTTGAGATCCAAGGACCAGCCAACGTGGACAGGCTGATCCCTGTCTGCCGTTGCCGAGCTTCCGAGTTGTCAACGGCCTAAGCACGCTTGCTCGTCACAACAATGCAGCATTTGCGTCACCCGACCAAGTAGCTGGAATTAGGTCCCTGTCTGTTGGAAGAGAATTTCATACAGTGCATATTATTAAACTGGTTTAAGACAGTCGCCAGTTCGCTGTAGTAGCGACACCTACACACCTACAGCTTCTCAACTCGTTCTAGCTGAGCTTCATTCATCCTCGAGAGCAATGGAAAATCCTTGGAAGGCACTATAAAATCCTGGTCAATGCGTGCATATTGTCTACAATCTTGCCCGTTCTCGGCTCTGCGTTGCCGTTTGCTGATCCAATAGGGGCTATCGGTGGGTAGGCACAGCCCTTTGCAGGATGCCGGTTTAGCCTTGACATCCCACAGCCACCGAGTAGACGTAATACTTGGTACATCGTGCCGCCAGAAGCTATAAAAGGTATTAGCCTGGCACCATGTGTAAGATTTCAGCTACGCTGATTTAAAGCTTGACCAGTACTTCGTTTCGTCGCAGTAAATCACCACCCAATCCAATCGAATCCTCAAACTACACACGTCTCAGCCCGTTCATCTATACCGCCAGCATGCCCGTCGAGAACCAGCAGCCCATCAGTGAGCCCGCCGCTGCTATGCCCGAGGCCGCCGCCCGTACTAGCACTGAGCAGCCTGTAAGTACTCGAATTTGGGAGTGACGCAGCGCGCTAGCTTGGGTGCTTCGAGAAACATATCGTTTTGCGAGTTGCAGTCAGCTATGCACTCAATCGCATCTGGTGTTCGCGAACGTTTGTTGCCAAGACATCAGCCGAGATTCCGGGCCGCCTGGCTGCTGACCCTCGCTGTGGCATTGGGCGACTTGCTGTAACAAAACAACGCCACAGCGGGCGGACATGTCCAGCAAGGCGATGCAAGAGAAGCTCGGCCAGAACCGTACTTGAAATATATGTGAACGATTAGCTGACCATTTATCTCTCTTTCCTCCTTTTAGCGCGCCATCGAGCCCATGACTGCTGAACAACCTCGTCTGCGTGGTGGCCACAACGGCGAAGGAGAGGTTTGTGTTCTGCGAAGGCCCAATTGACCACCTAAGCTTACACTACGTTACAGGCTATCTGCTGCGGTCTCTGCGCCGGCCTGTGCTGTTTTGAGTGCTGCGAGTGCTGCTGCTAAGTAGCCCGAAAGAATAGTGATACCCTGCCATTCCAGTACTGAGAAGTGGATTACCAGCTCGGAGGATCTCGCTTACTACGATGCACTTTAGCTTGAGACAAAGCCAAGTTTCGATTTTGGGAACGAGGCGTGGATCGAGGGTTGTATTTTTGATCGAGTCAGGCCCTCTTAATGAAAAACATACTATACCGATGCAAGCAAGCTTACGGCAGTTGTAGACGTGAGGATTGGCCAGCATTGTGGCTGCACGGGACGAGGAGCCGGAGACGACTAGAACGCAAACCTTAACTTCGGTGCTACACCGCTGGCTTTCGTGTTGACGCGATTCAGACTGGCGATGAAAAGAGGAGCAACCCGGCCTGTATGGTACGATTCCTCCCTCCACTTTGGGAGTAAACTTGCTCACTTAGCCTTCGGATTTAGTTGATAACAGTGGATATAAACCAGCAACACAGTCAATGTCAGCTTTGTCACTTGACTTGCGGCTACAAGAGGTGCATCACGGGCAGCATCCCAGAGTTTGCTACGAGTACGTCGTAGAGGGGCAAATTGTAGCACGCAAAAGTTGGCGGAGTTCCAATGCCACTAGCCTCGTCGGCACTTGCCAATTCGAATACCATACCGAAGTAGCTGGCATCCATATTGCTTATTATTTGTGTGTTGTAATAGTGCTGGCGTTGATTTGCGGCGCGTTTGAGGGAGACTGGAATTTCCCACTTTGTTCGTTGCATGAACGGGGAGGGTCAATGTTGCTTCGGTGGCTTCTGTGCAGCCCGCTTTGTTTTCAGTCGCCAATGGGGAAGCCAACAAGGCACACAATAGGTTGCTGCCCGCCGCCTCGTGCACCCCCGCATTTTTTCGCTAAGGAGCGAGGATGCCCCCTAAGGCAGCCTGTACGTCTAGCGCTGGTGCTGTGGTCGCGCTGTGGCGGTCTCTCAAGTGGAGGCTGCAAGACAAGCAACTACTGCAGCAAAAGGTCGCAGATGCGCCGCAACGGCCCAAGCCAAGGGTGGCGTACCTTTTATCCAAAGCCTCCTGTAGTACACTGTTGATTTAGGGCATGCAGGCTTTCAGCTTGCATCGCTCTCTCACTTGCCTGCCAGGTGTTTGCTCACTTGCCAGGTGTTACAGGTGTCGCGGTCACGGGGCTTTCAAGACCCTAGTTTAGTACAAAGCAAACGTAACGTTCTCTCGTCATCCCCTAACGAGATCCGAGAGACATGACCAGAAACACGCGCTCCAACAGCCTGTCGTCTGTTGTCTCGTGGCACGGGATCGACGATGCATACTGCAGCGCCGCCATGCTTTTGGCCGCGTATCAAGCCCCGACCGCTGCGTGCACAAGGCCGTCGACAACCAACACAAACCTCCAAACGCCGAGCTGCCCTGGAGAGCCATTGAGCATATCGATGGTGTCCGTCGGAGCAAACGGGACAACTTCTCACGCGTCCGTTGCTGGTTGGACGCGCCCAAGGACAAAGGATTGAACTGCCGAATAGCGACAAAGACAGCACGTAGATTGCCGCGGCAAATCGCTACAAGTCTTAAGAGCGAGCGACATACCCCCGGTCTTGGGTGTATGAAGCAGGTTTCTTAATGGTCCTTTTTGGCGTCACCAGCAGTAGTCTACGGGCCACATAGCGCCTCAAAACAAGGTATCTGGAGCCCAAATTAGACCCGAAATGAATCTTGATTAATATTATACGGAGGAACCGACGCCGAGCCCCTCACAAGACCCCGCCTCTCTCCGTTGTTTTTGTGCCACTGGACCCAGCGCCAGTACGCCGCTTGAGAGCACTGTTCTAGGGCCGTGCTTGCTGCCCTGTATTAGAGCTGGGGCGACTCGCTTGGCTAGCCATACATTTGGCCAGACGACAGTCTAGCTCCCCACCACAGTGTTGTATCTCTCTAAGATAGCGCGAGCTTAGGTCCCCGATGCTCGCCGAGGACAATCCTAGATGCAAGGTGAACCCGCCGGCCGTTTTCCCTTGCTAGTGGAGGGATGCGCGGGCTACCTGTGCCCAAACCACCGCGCTGGAATCTGGAGGTTTCTCGGCACGGCGGCCGGTTAGAATGTGGCTTGTGGTAGTTGCCGCTGAAAACTCTATCAGGCGTGTCTTGAATTGAGGGGAAAAAGGGGGGGAAAAGAAGAGGAGAAACGCCGCCGCAGCAGCTGCCGTATGCCCCAAAAGAAAATCTGAACACCTCGCGCGAAATGGAGGCTGAATTAACAGCGATACCCACTGCTCGGCACTGGGCTGGGTGGTACTGTTACAGCGCAGTACAGGTACTTACAGGTGCGGCTGTTGGTCTAGACAGCCGCCTCGGTGGAGCGCTACCAGAGGGTGCCACCCTGTCTCACGTCTTACATGGAAATTCCAATTGCCGTTTTTAGGATGTCTGGTGCCTGGATAGCGCTGCTGTTAGGTTTACACAGCGCGCTCGCCAGTGAACACCCCCAAAGGACCGAGTCGCTGGAAGAACAGGGCTAGCACGCGCACACCCGCTACAAGCCTAGTTGTTTAGCGGGCTGCAGCCCGCAATCTCACAAGCCTGATCCCCTAGAGGCAGCGGCCGGCGCTACCATCCATGCCATCTCGCCGCGCCTCAATTCTAAGACGGCACGCCGTTTTTGTCGTCTCTTCCCGCGGCAGGCTTGTTCTGGCCATGAAGAAGGATCGGCGAAATGACAAGTGTCTCAGCCGCTGGCCAAGCTTTGTAAATCGGCCATTCTATATAACGACTAGGTGCCGGCGGGGGGATCAATTGACAGCTTGGGCCGCCCAACAGCACGCACAACCCAGCCCACACCTTGCCACTATGCGACTTATTCGTGTCAATCCGATAAAACAGTAGCAGAATTGGTACGCCCAGTAAGGGCGAACATGGAAAAAACCGACACGGCCGCAGCCACAATGGCCTTACCCTTCCCCACTCTGGCGCCCCCGTAAGCTTTCGGTGTCAGTTTGCCCTTGTCTGTCGAACCAACCGTTCGATTTTATTAAGCGTTGTAGTATATACCTATAGCGTCTACTTTCTGACTCGATGTTGGTAGCCTCATGAACACTTAATTGGGGCGGCGCGTGCAGGTGGACTTTACTTCCAGGCTTGAGTACCCTTCTTTTACACTGACGATATTGGCTCTCACTGGGCTGCACCCGCATGCTTCCTCCTGCCTTTTACCCCCCCTCCACCAATGGCGTTTGCATTTCTGGATACTAACTCTTGGTTCTCAACCTGTATCCCATTTCACACTCTGCATCTGACACACTATACTCAACATCCCTCAACGCACTCTGAGCGTCAAGCCCCGCGAACTGGTCGGCGGCACTACCTTGCTCGACATAACCCTTGCGGCAACTAAGAGCAACTGTTTACAAAACGCTGTACTATGGATCAAAGACCAGGCCAGGCATCTTCGCAAGATGCAGCAGCAGGCCCCGGTGCTAACAACTCAAGCCAGCAACCAAGTGTATATCCAAACCCAGCGTCGGCGCAGCTGCAGGCAGATCACGCTAGCGTCGAGCGTAATGAAGCCTCTCAGCAAACTGTATCCGGTTCTACTTCATCCTCCTCGAATACGCCGGGAGAATCTGCTCGAAAAGAAGCCACTGTTACGACGGCCTGCTTAGCTTGTGTAAATATGACCCCTCACTCCCACCCCGTCACCAGCCTAGTCTCGCATGGACTAGGTTAGTCGGACCCTGCCGCTCTTTGCTTCCATGCCGCTCTAAGCCTTGCCTTATACGCTCGTAGGCTCTTCGTCCTTGTCGTATAGATCGCCTTCAACCAGTGTTGGATGTCGACAAGCTCCAGGGCCAGGGGCGTCAGCGGGGTCCAATAGCACGCCTCGGCTCCTTCCTTTTCAGCTACTAACTAGTTAACTAGCGCAGTAAACACTTGAAATGCGACGGCTCTAACCCTTGCTCACGGTGCGTTTTGTCAGGGTTTGAGTGCGTTTACGTTGCGTCTCGCAGAGGCTACAGAGGGCCTCGCCGAACCAATCTGCTGAACCCAAACAAGCGACGAGCCACCTCGCCACTAGGAGCCTCGGAGTTTTCACCACATGCAATCGCGGATTCCTCTCTCGCATCTCCCATAGTTCGAGGGAGCTTTTCATCACAGTCTGGGCTCCAAGGTTCTCCACAAACGCCTCACCATTTCGACCAACACGCGCCATCAGTGGGCGAGGGCCAAACAGTAGCTCGCGGTTCTGGGGCAGAGTCGAATAGAAATGCGCGAGGAAGCAATGTTCTTCGCCCCATACCACTTCCGGAACGCTGTATTGACTCGTTTTATCATAACTTTTTCGCCGCGCACCCATTTGTCTTACCGAAGCAGAATCTTTTAACAAACCCTCTGCAGCCTTCTATCGAAACATTGCTGGCAGCGATTCGATGGGTGGGATCACTGTTTCTCCCAGAGGCAGCAGCCATTAGGCGGGAGCTCTACGACACGGTTTATCAAAGAATATACGCCGCAGATACTACCTCGGATGGCTACCTCGTTCAGGCAATGCTACTCCTCATTGTGGCGTTGGACGGTGGCTGTGAACAAGACAAAGCACGACAACTACTCGGAGACGTGGAAACCATTGCGATACAAATAGGACTACACACGAAAAACTTTTCCATTGTAAATGGCCGCGGAATTCCGATTCTGGAGGAAAGTTGGCGGCGGACGTGGTGGGATCTGTTTATCGTTGACGGCATGATTGCAGGCGTCCACCGCGTCACCAACTTCTTACTCTTCGATATTCCCACAGACGTTCCTTTGCCATGCGAGGAGCATCAATATCTCTCAGGAGTACGACCCAAGGCCGATTCTTACCCCGCTGAGAGACTAGATACCTTGCTAACGCTTCTACAGAACATCCCACCACCAATGACACTCGAAGAGCTTGAAACGCGCGACTTTAGTGGCGAAGACCGGGAATTTTCATCCTTTGCATACCGAATTCTTTCTGGAAGAACACTAGGAAAGTTTATGCGCACGCCACCATTCTACGGACCCGAAGACGAAAACGTAGCGCGTATCGAGGCGCTGCTCACCAACTGGCGACTACACCTCCCACAAAACAAGCGCGACGCTTTGCAACACAACGGCCAACTAGACGAGATGATGTTCCAAGCTCATATGATGAACCATGCCACATCGATTCTCCTCCACCAGCAATTTTCACAGATCGATTCGTCGTCGACACAATCAATCAATTCTTGCGCCCCGTATCAGATGGTGCCCGCTGGGGGTGGCGACCTCTTTAACGCACACACCAAGCACACCATTGCTGCAGCCTCGGAAATTAGCAAACTTATAACGCACAGGGTCCCTTTGCTCTCACATACGCACTTTTTCACATGCGTGGTGACGCTGTCATCGATTGTACACCTGTCGAGGTGGTCGCTCTTCTGGATGGCCCATGACGACACCGATCTTCGAGAACAAATACGACTCAACGTCGGCGCCCTAAGTCACTTATCTTCGGTCTGGAGAGCAGCTTCAAACGCATGCGGACAAGTACGATCTGTTGCCCAAGAAATTTACCGCGTCAAGAAGCAGCAGCAGAGCAACTCGGAGTATTGGCTCGGATTCACACCAGACGCCATGATTAACAGCATCGCGGTAGACGACTCCATTATTGGCGACATTGAACGAATAAGCGGCCAAAACAATACCAATGCGCCCCAATAAACCTTCTTTTTCTATTCACTTCTCCGGCACTTCTAGACCCTACGATAGGGTCGGTTGCGGGGAGGCGAATGCCTAGAGGGCTGCATAGACAACCTTCACCCAAAACACTACATGGGCATGACCAATGACGACGCCATAGACGTAACGAACATTTGGAGGAAAACTTGTTAGAAATCCTTTTTTATAATATACAACATAGACGGACGCATATTTAGATCCACTGCATTTCATATAGACTACTTCCCGCCGGGGCCGCTGTGCTGTTGGCGTCCCGAGCAGCGGCTGATTTTGAATATCGCTGCATTTGCCTTGCTATTCTCGCATTTTTGAAGCAACTACAGTCACGAGGGCGCCGATTAGAGTTTATCCCATGGAAAATATTTCCGACTTGTGCTCTGCTGCACGCTGTGAAGCTTCGCGATAAGCCACTCGTTCGACTCGCCCACCACCCGTGCTTGAGTGGGCGGCCGAGCAGACAGCGAGCCATCTCCGACAAACAACCATGAGCTATAAAAGTACATGGTATGCCTTATCCGTGTCGTCTTAACAAAACTGCATGACGGCGGCGGCTAGGTTAAATCTTGGATGAACTACTGCGCTTGGTGGCCGAGTTACAAAGAGAAGAGTACACTGTATTAGCTATTACAAAGTTCTACCAATGACACAAACACAATCATCCCCTCCGCCATCTGTTCTTTTCCCACCAACCCTAATCCTAGCCCACACCAAAGAAGGTACATGTCTTCGCGCGCTGTCACATTAGCGCCCCCCTGCCCAGTGCCCAAAGATCGCCGAACTCCGTGGCGGAAGTGAGAAAAAGACCCACGCATGAGCTAGTTAACTTAGTACAAGCCTTTGACCTCCTAGAGTTTCGTCTTGACCCAGTCGCGAGCAGGTACTTTGCGCTCAAACAGGACGTCCACCTCTGCAGGTGAGCGGTCCTTCATTTCAGGCAAGCGAAAGTACGCCCAGAGCATGCAGAGGGCCGACGTGCCAGCCCAAAGCAATGCAGCCCGAGCTCCCAGCCCCCATCCACTGGGCTTATCTTCTAGAAGGTTGGGCACCAAAAAGAGGTTGCCAATAGAGACGGCGATATAGGTACCTCGGGCGATGGAGTTGGTGGCGGCTTTCATGCGAGTGGATGGGGTCTCTGCGACAATGGAGTAGCAAACTGGGCCGATAGTGAAGTTGTACACAACGGCGAAAAGAACCAACAGAGTGGCAATAGCCCAGGAGACAGCTTTATTGTTCTCCAGGAAAAAAGCCAACGTACCAATCGCAGTGAGGCAGCTAACCTCGATGGCAAGACCGCCGATCCACATGGTACGACGGTTGAAGACTCGCATGGCAGCCATTGAAGAGAGCGTAGAGCAGATGCACAGCGCATACATACCAATAGTAACAAAGAGAGATGAGCTCTGCGAGAGACCTCCCTTTTGCAAGACGTTGACTGAGTAGAAGACGAGAGGGGAACCAACTAATTGTTGGGTCAAGTAGATGACCAAAGCAATCTCGGTGCGTCTCCAATTGGTGCCTCGGAAGCAGTCCACAAAACCCATCTTCTCAGCAGTGTGCTTCTCATGGTTGTTGACAGCGTGAAGCATAGCCAGAGAGCCCTGTTCGTCAAACAAAGGGTCGCGAGTTAAGCGACGGAGGACTTTGAGAGCTTGTTCGTCCTTGTTGTTGCGACTCAGGTACTGAGGACTTTCCGGGGCCAAGAAAACGATACAGAGAAGGGGAAGAAGCCAAGAATACTGGACCAGCATAGGCAGCTTGATGCTCCAGTCATTTTTGATTTCAGAGGTACCTCGCAAGACACCAGCCGAGACTAGCTGGCCAATGAGCCAGAAAATATTGATCATTGTAGTGGCGGGAGCCTTGAGTTTTAGAGGAGTAATGTCGGACACGTAGGGAAGTGTAATTCCTTGGAAGAGGCCCCAGGGAATGCCGAGCAGCATCTCACCAGCAAAATACATATGCAACTTGGGACCAACGGCGATCGACCAGAAGCCAACCATCAAACAGCCAGCTGCCCAGAGGAGACCACCAATAGTGCACCAACGATAGCCGATACGGTTGACAAGATGAGGAGCAAAAGAGAGACCGACGATTTGACCGCAGGCTGCTGCGATGGTGATGGCGGACTGCCAGCTGGCAGGAATAACGTACTTTTCATCAGAGACCTTGGTACCGTAAAGCTTTTGGAATGACGAGAGAGAGAAGAAGCTGGGAACCAAGGCAGTTTCGTAGCCTTCCATGATGATGGGAGCCGCCATCAGCGCAGCCCAAAATAAAGCCATATAGTAATGGCGGATGGTGTATCTCATCTTCATGCTCTGCTCATGGTCGCTGGCTGCCTTGGCCGCCGCGTTGCCGGCAAAGATGTCGCCCAAGTCGTCCGTAGTCGGCACAGTGGCAATGTCAGTAGCAGAATCCTTATGCTCATTCTGGTACATTTGATCTGAGACTACCTCAACAACAGTGTTGGTTTGTTCCCGGCGGCCGAGCTTGGCCCATAGCGCAGGCCAACTTCGGTTAGGCATGTCGGCTGTGGGAGCACGAATGCAAAGAATAGATCCAAGAAGTTAATGAAGAATGAAGAGGGGCAAAGGGGGAAGTTTGTCAAGAACCTTGCTTTGTTGACGTGGGCAAAAGGTGAAACCAGTATCCGAAGTGAAGGGCTGCTACGGGAGGAAGGTGCCATTTATATCATAGCTTGCCAATATACTTTGCTAAAAAGAAAAAGAACGAAAAAAGATCAAACCCCGCGAATGACCAGCACAAAAAAATAACAAGGAAAACCGCAAAGTTTGGTGCGTGTTGATGTATCGTGTTGATGTGCCGAGTTATGCTTAGTTTAGTTCGTGATGCACGCCAAAGTTTACGCCAAAGGCTGTTTGGAGCGAAAATTATTTTCAGCAGTTATCATTTTCATCATGTTTAGTAGCCAACTTTGGTTAGGACGATTGACAGTTGTTGTAGCGACAATCATTGCTCTGTTAACACGGCTTATACGCTATTTTGCACTATGCGATTGAAGCCGGCGGCTAGTGAAGACTGCACCATAAAGGCAGTAAGACTGCTCAACAATATATAGCTGGAATAAAGTGTGTTTATCTTTGTTTCGATTTATAGTTTCGCAATGCGCAAAGCAGTTGATAAAAGTCAGAGTAATAACATGCATGAGAGTGGACTCTGAGGCGACATCTAGATCAGCCGCCTGCGGGCTATACGCTATTGTAGGCTAACATTGCTGGAGCACATCCCTTTCCTTGACGAGTGATTCTTTTGTAACATGTATCGACAGCGCATCGCAGTGCATGATGAAAGCGACTGCTACCCAATCTCACGTAGACTGCAAGACAAGCAACGGGGCGCTGTGGGGCACCCTCTCCACCACTGCCGCCTCGGCTTTACCAGGCACATGCGCCGGAATCACAGCGCATCATCACCATCTATATATAATTACACTTTCTACACCAGACGATTGCATCAGCATGTTACTTATAGGGCTTACCGGATCTATTGCCACCGGTAAATCAACCGTGTCGTCACTCCTCAGCTCACCACCTTACTCCCTCCCCATTATCGATGCCGATGTCCTGGCGCGCAAGGTAGTCGAGCCCGGTACTCGAGGCTATGCCGCCATTGTAAAACATTTTGGCCCTTCCACGCCTGATCTTCTGGTTGAGCCATCAGATACGATGCCGGTGAACGGCACCAACGGCAAAGGCAGACCGCTAAACCGCCCAGCTCTGGGGCGGCGCGTATTTGGCGAGACCGACTCTGTTAAGAAAGACCGAGCTGTGTTGAACGGGATTGTGCACCCCGCGGTGCGATGGGAAATGGCAAAGATGGTCCTGGGCTGCTACTTGCGAGGCTGTTGGGCCGTTGTTCTCGATATCCCACTGCTCTTTGAGAGCAAGCTTGATCGCTTCTGTGGTGTGGCCATGGTGGTGGCTGTCCGCGACCCAGAAGTACAGATGACGAGGTTAATGAATCGAGACGCGCACTTGACACGCGAAGATGCAGAGAACCGTGTGAAGAGCCAGACAGATGTTAGAGTTAAGGCATCTTGGGCGGAAGCCCGGGGCAAAGGCAAGGGTGTGGTCCTTTGGAACGATACCTCGAAGGAAGAGCTCCAGGCACAGTTGGACAATCATATCAAGGCTCTCAAGAAGGCCAGTCCACAGTGGTGGGCATTATCATTGCTTGCATTTCCACCACTGGCAGCTGCAGTAGCTGCGTTTAGGATATGGCAGAATGTTAGGAATCGTCCTGTAGACCAAGACAAGCGCAAGTAGACGGGCAATGCATTTCATTATATTCTAGTTGGTAATCAACTACTTATTATTAATGGTCACTTTTATACTATTTTGCATATTTTCAGCACAGTCACTACGTTGACATGTTGGGAAATGGTGTTTGATAACAAATGGAATCGGCCTTTTGGCCCTTATATTTTGACTATCCGCCATCCTTCAACACTGATACAACCTTAAAAAATTATCCTGCGACTTGATCTTGTTACATAAAGCATCCGTTGGGTGGTGTTTTACCCAAGGGAAAGTCCTCCTTCAATGCAGTAGTTAATGAAATCCACGTCTATGTCCATACGCCGCGCCCTCCGCTACGAATCTTGACAGCTTACGAGCCAAGAGCCATGGCCTTCTTGATCTCAGCAACGGCCTTACCAGGGTTGAGACCCTTGGGGCAGGCACGAGTGCAGTTAAGAATGGTGTGGCATCTGTACAGGCTCATGTTGTTCTCGAGGTTGTTCTTGCGCTCAGCGGTACGCTCATCACGGGAGTCGGCCAACCAACGGTAAGACTGGAGGAGGATAGCGGGACCAAGGTATTCCTCAGCGTTCCACCAGTATGAAGGGCACGATGTAGAGCAGCAGGCGCAAAGAATGCATTCGTAGAGACCGTCGAGCTTCTTGCGGTCTTCCTTGGACTGGCGGTATTCCTTGCCCTGCAGACGTGGTAGGTTAGTCAATGGGTTCAATTGTAGAGGCTTGTTCAACGGCATCAGCTTACATCAGGAGCAGGAGTATCGCGCTGGAGATACGGCTTAATTGACTTGTACTGCTTGTAGAAGTGCGTCAAATCAGGGACGAGATCCTTGACGACGTAGGTATGGGGAAGGGGGTAGATTTTGACGTCGGAGGAGGACTCGGCGGGGATACGGCCTGGAATACGCAGCAGGTTAGCAAAAGACATCAATTGGGGCGTCATGAGTAGCCTCAAGGTCGGCAACACAATTTTCCACGTGATACATACACAGGCAGGCGAGGGTGTTTTGGCCGTTGATGTTCATGGCGCAAGAGCCGCAAATACCCTCACGGCAAGATCTGCGGAAGGTAAGAGTAGGGTCGAGCTCATTCTTAACGCGGATGAGGGCATCGAGAATCATAGGACCAGTCTTGTTGAGGTCGATGGTGTAGCTCTGCAGCTTGGGCTTCTCGGTAGGGGTGTCAGGGTTCCAACGGTAGATCTGGAAGGTCTTGAGCTTGGGAGTCTTTTCAGCGGCAGGTTCGCTGACGCTAGCCATGGAGCGAGCAAAGACGGTCGCAGGACGGATAGCCGACCTGGAGGTAGCAGAGAGAACCCGCGTCGAAGAGCGAAGGGCAGCCATTGTGTCGCGTTGTTTTAAGGCGAGGCCAGAGGTGTCTAGGGGGGGCGATTGGGAGACAAAACTACGCTGCACGAAATCAATCGATTGCAGTCGCGTTGATTAAGTGTCTTTGTGATGGCGGCTGGGACAGACTCGGTCGTAGCGTGACGGAGGAGATGAGTGAGAGAGTTGTTGGCTTAGGTCGTGCTGTGGTTATTTTGGAGAGGTGGCCATCCTCGGCTATTACTCGCTGCAAAGTGCTCGTTTTGGGCCAATCAGGGGCCTGGAATTGACAATTCGGCTCGGAACCTGAATTATGGGCTCGTGAAGACTCGGAACAACTGCGGCGGTACGTTTTTCCGGGAGGGTTTCACTGACGGCGCCAGTGAGTGATGAGCTGTGAGAGATGAAGGTCTTGCGGAGGGATATAAAAATAAAAATAAAAATAAAAAGTAAAAACTTAAAAGCAAACATAAGACTTTTAGCTCTATTTTTATAAAAATTAAAACACAAATAATTGGCTGTACTTTTGATCTTTTGTATGGGCCTAATTCTGTCCTAGTTATCAACACATGTCCAACCATGCGTGTGGCAAACGCTTCCGTCCGCTCTGTGCTGCTTCTTGGGTATGCACCAACGTTTCTTTAGTTATGCTTTATATCTGGTTATTTATGAAGCTGTTTATACTGTACACAGCATATTGATGTGTCTTATGACCATTATCACGTGAGTCTGGTGTGACGAGCGCCGCCTACTGAAATCAACACTCTACTGAAAGCAAGCTCTCATCCCCCATGACTCGGTACATGGGTTGGTTGTTTGCTTCTCTCACTGTTAGCGTTTTTCTGCAGCGGGCTTGACTTGCTCGCACAGTGCAAATCAATGACCATACCCAAACAGGCAAGCCTATCTCAGCTTCCCCGCCCGATAGCACACAGCGCAGTGCAAGTCAGCAAGCCATGGGCGCTGTTGGTGTGTGGTGGTACCCGCTGGTTGGCTACTCACCACTCACCACTCACCACTCGCCAGGCCGCAAGACGCCTTGGGCGAGCACCAAAATAGAGTTTGAACAATGCAGTTATACTTTCTTAGACCTGTAACCTCACCCATCTAGCGGGTGGGTTGCACGGTCGGGCCTTTTCATTTTTGATTATCCTACGTAATATCAACCGAATAAAAAAAGGACGAGAAGAAAAGAAAAAAACTGACGGCGACGGCGAGGACGGCAGAAGCCGAGGAGGCGGGTTGTGCTGTAGAGCTGGACAGGCATATGAGCAACAGTGCGCTGCAGCACATCCTGGAAAGCCCAGAAAACAGCCCAGCAGCAACGGAGGAGGTGGCAGGTCAGGTCAGGCTGATGCTAGCCACCTCCTGTAGCACTGCGCTGGTAAGGCTTGGGTCCGTCTATTTCCCTTTTGAGGATGACTGTGTTGGGACCTTTTTTCTTCGTCCTCCTCTGTTGCTTCGTCATGCCCCTGCTGTGGACAAGCAGTGGGTGTGGGAAAGAGACCGAGAAAGAGAGGAGGGGGGTGTCAGCATACTTCGCACTGGGCTGGGCGGGCTGGGGGTGCCACGGGGATTTTGGGGCTGTTCGTCCTGCGTTTACCTCTCTGGCTCCACCCACTCTCAGCGTCCTTGGTCGGTTCTGGGTCCCCTTTCCGGGTCCTCTGGGTCTCTTCAGCCTACCTAATAGCACGCTAGCCAGTCAGGCTGCACGCTTGCCTGCCGCACTGTACGTACAGTGCGCAGCATCTTGGCTGCAAAATCCTGTAGCGATCCCCGGCATAACCTTCGACGCCCCAGCCCACAAGGCCCGCCTTCGTGCTGTTGGCTGCGTACTGTGATTCCCCTCCCAAACCGTTAAGGGCCAACGCCAGGTAGCACCCCAACTGGATCTCTTTTCGCCTGGTCAGATGTGCGCCGCCGACTCGCTCTTCTTCACTTCTCCTCTGCATCCTACTCGTCCCTACTTTTGCATCGTCGACTAATATTTTGCTTCCTGCCGCCTCTCTCGACCGGCCCTTTTCGCTCTCCATGTCTCTCGATCGCATGTATTAGTTACTCGATACTCGACCATCCTCCACAGCGAAACTCGGCGGCCTCGTCCCCTGGCCATGGAGTTTCGAGGAGCTGCAATGGATTTCGCCCGGCACGCGGCTCTGCAAGTCGCCGACTATGCACGAAGCGTCGATACCGACCAAATTACATTTGCGTTTGTCCCGGCGGCCATTCTCCTCTTCAGCACGCCAATTTATTTCGCTATTCTCCTTCACAATGTACGGAGAGCCCAGCCAAACCCGGCGCTTCATGAGCAACTTGTGAGTCGCCCAACTACCTGCTAGCGACGCCTTCGAGCCCTCCTAACAAATAATTTCTCTTTTCTATCGCAGATTATTACAACATGTATAACGGCTACAGCTATCATAAATGCAGCGATTTGGTACTCTTCTGCCATTCGAAACTCGATCCACGCAATTACCATCGCCATACCCGCAATTTGCGCATTAGCCACGCTTGTCCGGATATTTGCACAACAGGCGACAGGCAAACAGTCATCATTATTATGTAGTGCATGCCTTAGTTTGACTACCATAGGCGATATTACTGCGACAAAGAATTGCTCCGCGTTTGGCGGCGTCATGCCCATCCGCATAGTGTCTGCTATCGCTGTTGGCTTGAAGTTTTGGCTCGTTGTCTTGGACCAGGCCCCGAACAGGACAAGTACTTCTCCTGGCCGACTTCGACGTGTTATTCAACCAGTCAAATCTTACTTTTGGCAATGCTTCTTTGCTCTTTGGATAAAGGCATTTCGACTCAGCGACGATATGTGTGTTCGTGATCTTCCTGCCTTGAAAGCAGAATTTGAACTGTCTGATCTACAAAGATTGTTTCAGCTGGCATGGACACATGGTAGGTTACCCCATCGCCACTTTGAGTGCGTTTTGCTAACTTTGCTTCTACCTAGTTGCAAAAGACAGCCCCTTCGCGCTTCTTATTACTTGCCTACAAGCGTCCAAAAGATCTGTCTTGGTGTCGTTTACGTCCCGCCTAGTGTTCGGCATCTTAAGGCTTTATCAATCGATTTTGGTGCTCCATATTCTACAGGCTATTAACAACGACAAGCTCTCCACCGGTGGTGTTGTGCTCGTCCTCTGCAAGACTGCATCTCTTTACCTAGGCCTCGCAGTAAGATATATGATGCATCGGTTAGCTACCCTTGGCCCATCCCAGCTAACAATAAATAGTTGTCCAACCATATCCATAAAGTCAATCTCCATACCTCCTTGGTCCGGGTTCGGAGCATGCTTGAGTCCACCATATTTTCAAAGACTCTGAAGCTGTCGAGAGCCCATCTGATTGACGCTGAAGCAACTTCGCTTATGAGTTCCGACATCGACGCGGCCGAGGCTAGTCTGCCATTCATAATCACCTGGAGCTCGAGCGTGTTCGAAATAATCGTTGGCACTTATCTCTTATATTGTGCTGTCGGTGACGCGTTATTCTTGGGCCTTATTCCGGTGCTAGCTGTTGTCGCAGTGGCGGTTGTTATCTCTATGCAGCTTAAACCTTCGCAACTAGCCTGGACGAAAATTGTGGATAGACGCATCGCCCTTACAGCAGGTTCTCTTTCACAGCTACAGAGCCTAAAGGTTTGCGGGCTTACCAATATAGTCTCGGATTCGATCCATGATCTCGCTGAAGAGGAAATCAGCGGTTCCCAGTGGCCAGCTCTTTGTTATGCTATGTTACATCTCTTCTTCGAGTTTACATCCCAGGTAGTGCCGCTTATTATCCTGGCAGGAGTTTACTATGGTAAGACCATTGGTACGACCCTCTCTGTTGCCGAGACGCTGTCTACCTTTGCCCTTCTCTCTGCCACCAGCGAGCCAATTAGCAAGGTGTTTGTACAGTTTGCACAATACGGCCCTTTTCTCAACAGCTTCGGCAAAATCCAAACATTCCTCTTAATGGAAGAGTTGGCACATAGCCGCATCACGACTGATGCTGCTGATGCGGAGGACGACAATGAGCCAAGAGAACGAAGACGAGACACCAACCGACAACTTTGTGCCTTGTTAAAAGCAATGGAATTTACCGATCCTCACATAGTTGAATTGGTACAAGCCTCGCTCATCGTTACCAATGGTGATAAGGTCATTTTAGACAGGGTTAACCTCGGCTTGGCACCACGCACCACCACCGTCATCGTCGGCCCTACTGGATGTGGTAAGACTGCATTCATAAAGACGCTTATTGGCGAAATGCCCCTCGACCGCGGCCGTATTCTTATGAGCACAAAATCTGTCGCCTATTGTGGCCAAGAGCCTTGGATCGAAAACACTTCTATCCGTAAGAATATTGTTGGAGGTGATGTGTATGACAGGGCATGGTACGGGGAAGTGCTGAAGGCGTGCGACTTGCGCCCTGATTTCAAGTGTCTGCCACAAGGAGAAAATACCTGTGCTGGCGTGAGCGGTTGTAACCTAAATCGCGACCAGAAGCAACGCGTTGCTCTCGCAAGAGCCCTTTATTCCTGTCAGTCGGTGTTGATCCTTGACGATATCTTCGCATCGCTAGACCAAACAATCGCCGAAAAAGTATTCCGACGACTCTTCTGCCCTAACGGTATTTTCAAACGCTGCGGCACCACGGTTATTCTGGCTACATCGCTATCTGATTATATCACTGCTGCCGACACTCTCCTCTCTATGGATAATGATGGAGGTTTAACTGTTGAAGAAAACCGACAGGTTAACATCCAGCCCGAATATTTGTTGAGCGAGAACGATTTAGAAAACGACGATGAAAGTCCGGACACCAAAAGGCGCTCCGGCGTTCCCTTGGCTCAGGGCGCAATGAAGACGCTGCCCAGTGCTGTCGCCGGAAGTAATAGCCTGCTTCCCCCTGACGGTAATGTTTCAATCTATGCTTTCTTCAGGAGTTTTGGCACTGCCCGCATGGTGGCCGGGCTTCTTGCCCTCTTGCTCACAGCGCTGCTTGTTCATGGCAAAGCCATCTACCTAAGCATCTGGATGTCTCAGGCCCCTTCGGATCGGACATGGTTCGCAGGATATGCTGCCTTTAGTGCCGTATTCATCCTTACTCTTGCCTTAGCTCTCGCTTGTCATCTTGTGTATCTGGCGCCAGCATCATACGGAGTAATGCACCAGAAGCTTCTCTCTAGTGTCATGGACTCTAGACTCGCATTTCTGGCACCCAAGGATAACATCTACATGTTAACCCTATTCAACCAGGATATGGCCTTAAACTCACAAAGCTCTTCGTACAATTTCACGGAAGTGGCTTTTGTGAGCCTCCTTATATTCGTTGAAGGCCTTATTGTTGGTTTTGGTACTCTATACACAATAGCGCTGATGCCATTCGTTATTATTGCGGCATCGGTCGTCCAAGACTTCTATCTCGAAGCGTCTCGAAAGCTGCGTATCCAGGACGAGGAATCGACTCTACCTATTTACAGCCACTTCATGGAAACTGTGGCAGGAATGGAATATATCCGAATCTTCCGCTTTCAGCAATCATCCATGGAGCGTATGTTGACGCTCTTGAGTGTGTCACAAAAGTCACATTATTATAAGTACAGCCTAGAACGATTGCTGTCGCTTATGGCAGATATGGCAGGCGCTATTGTTGCTTTCGGTCTTGTCTTCATCGCTTTGAAGGCCAAACATGCAGTCAGCCAATCTTCCATCAGCTTATCCCTGCTTACTCTTAATCTTTTCCTTGATACTCTGAACTGGTGGGTTAGAGCATGGGCTGGCTTGGAAACCTCTCTCGGCGCTGCTGCCCGCATAAACGCAGTTACATGCCTAGCACTCGCCGAACAGAATGCAGCTAGACAAGTCGAAACCACTTCCGACTTGCCCCCGCATTGGCCCAACACCGGTTTGGTATCCTTTCGCAACGTTTCTGCAACATACAGTGTGGATGACAAGGCAAAGGCTTTGAGAGATATCAACTTGGAGATTGCACCAGGCATGAAGCTTGGACTAGTTGGCAGGTCAGGCAGCGGTAAAAGCTCTTTGCTTTTGGCAATGCTCAACCTTCTCACACATGAAGGTCAAATCTTGATTGATGGCGTCAACATCCGCGAGATTTCCCAACAGACTCTGCAAACAAGTGTGACCTTTGTGCGACAACACTTGTTCCAGATGCAAGGCTCAATTCGTGATAATCTACACCCCTCTGACAAGGAGGCGCCATCCGACGAGATGATGATAGAGACCCTGACACAAGTCGAAATATGGGGATCCATTTTGGCCTTTGGTGGCCTTGATGCAAATATGTCGACTGTCCACCTATCACGCGGTCAAGTGCAGTTATTCGCCATCGCTCGTGCCATTATTCACCACAAGCATTATCACTCATCAATCATCATTCTAGATGAGACTACAAGCTATGTGGATTCAGCGACTGACCAGCGCGTCCAGAGGATCATTGCCGATGTCTTCAAGTCTGCTACTGTGTTAATGGTGGCGCATCGTAGTGCAACTACTGCCTACATGGACTACATGCTTGAAATGGTCAATGGTCGCACGGGTGTGCTTGTCGATCGTGGAACATGGACCCAATCTAATCGTTTGGGCTCACCGAGTGAATCTGCTACCGAGTCAACTGATAGTGATAGGCATTCTATCGTTACGGAGGATACCTACGAGACTGTGGCCTCAGAGCTGTCTGTGGATGAACACCCTATTCCCGAAGCTGATGGCATTGCTACTCCATTGAAGCTACCGGGGGATTCCGAACCTTTGGAAGCGTCTAACGATGCAAGCCACGAACCAGTATCTCCTGCCGAAGAAAGTGACGATGAATTTGCAATTGCCCCTCCAGCAATGGCTTTCACGACCCTCCAACTCATCGACAGAAAGAAGGAGCTTATCAGAAAGTATCGCCGTCAGGTCACCAACGGCCAAACCAAAATCCCGGACAGTGAAAACTTCTCAATTGATGACTTCTTCCCAGATCCTGAATCGCTTATTATGCAAGTGGCTGGGAAATGGGTATCTGGACAATTTGTACGAGATCTACCAGAAGACGAACCGCATGACTCTCCATGTGATGATTTCCCACTTACAAGCCCACCACCATCACCCGCTCGCTGGCGACTCGATAAGCGTGATAGCCAGTCTCGCTCGCAGCGACTTCGCACCGATCTAAAGATTGAATTAGGCGAGGCAGGATCTAGTCAGCCTGGAGGTCTTTCGATGTCCTCTGGAGAACTCTGTGCGACCCTCAGCCCACACAGCTTAACTACCGAAGGTTCACGAAGTCCTGAGGCTACATCGCCTACCTGGCCAGCCGCTGAGTTTCAGAGTATGGCACCAACACGACCTTGCCAAATCGAACCAACACTAAGCGGCTCGGGTATGTCGTTGATTGCGCGTGAGAATCTTCGCAAAATCCCCGTTCCTGGTGACGACTATGAGCTAGATTTGCTGGAAGCTGTTGGTGCAGAGTCTCAGCTAGAGAGTGAGCGTGCAACTAGTCGATCATCACTTCGGTCAGCCATTCGAATTCAGCGACTAGGGGTGAGGAGCGAACGAAAGCAAGTTGCCAAGTTGGCCAAGCAAATCTATCGTTTGCAGCTTATCGAAGCTGAAGCCGCGGCCGGGCTCCACCCAGAGGATTTGGAATCGGACAGCTCTTCAAACAGTTCTTCAGACAGTACTGTGTCAAGCTACGTCTCTAGCCCACTGCCTAGCCCTTCGCGATACAATCCAACACCGGGATATCCAGTGCAAAGTAGCGACGATAACATTTCCACACGTCCTGGATCCTCATCAAGGGCGACGCTTGCGGATGGAGACGACGATGACGAAGTCTTGTTCCTTAAACCTGTCGCCTATGAGCGACCCAAGGACACCAATTCGACAACTCCAGCAGCTACACCAACATCGACAAACAGTTCCACAACTGTAACAGAAGTTGCCAAAGCGTCAGTCGCTGAAACTAGCGAAGCTACTACAAATACGCTGGCGGGCGCCGCAGAGTCAAGTGACAGTTCGGATGAGAGTGATACGGAGATGATGTTGGTGCCAAGAGATGCATTGGGCTTGACCGCATACGACTACTTGGACAACGCAGAATCTGCATATGGTCAGTCGACCGTGGTTGAGGATGACGAGGGTGAAAACTATGGCATGGTTATTCGTCAACAACCTCCAACAGGCTACGATATGAATCGTGAAGGCAATCTCTCACCCACGTCGGCTGAAAGGATGTGGGATACCTATATGGTCAGGTACCCAGAGACCACAACAACAAGGGAACGCCGCCGGCGCCTTGCTTCTCTTAGAGCGGCGATGGAAGTTCATGAACGAGGGCACCGAAGGCGCGTCGCTGAGGCAATGCATGCAAACGCTCACTTCTACATTGAGGAAATGGAGGCGCCATTCACTCCTAGACTGCCTGGCCAAGAGGAGGAGCAGCCTATTCCGTTCTCCCCTCACGGCTACATTGATACGTCTCAGGTGCACCTTCAACAACATGTTGCCAGAGCGCAGCAAAAGGTGCAGCGATACGTAATGCAACAGGCTGAGGCCCAGGACCGCCAGCAGGCCGAGCTGTTAGCTGCTGTTGATGATCCTGAGGCCACAAACCTTCAAGCGGTAACTCTACAGTTCTTTACTGACTGGGAGTCTGCAAGCTGTATTGCGCAGCCGTCACCAGAACTTGGCCAGGATGGGGAACCGCCTACGTCTCCATTTTTAAACGATCATCTCCAGCCAATTATGAAGAAGCGGAAGAGGGCGGCGACAACAGCAACAGCAGCGGCGAATGTTCAAGAGCCGCTAACACGTGAGGAAGGCAGCCCAGCTTCAGAGCCTGGCCCTTCCTCTTCTGTGAATGTACCCGAACCCGATGTGTCATTGCCTGATACCGAGTCGGAGACGAATCAGTCTGCCAATACTGGCGTAGAGGCGGAGCAGACTGAGACTGGGCATGCAGAGGCTGTGCAAGAAGAGAACGGGGAAGTTGAGTTGGCCAATGCACCAAGCCTGGTAGATGAAGAACCAACTCCAGTCAACCCCGGAGGAGTCACTTTGTTGAGGTACCCGGACTTTACAGTTGAGGAGGAGACAGAGACCGCCGAAGCTGAAGAAACACTTTCACCATCAGCACAGTCTGATGAAGAAGAGAATGTGACTCTATCGAATACGTCCACGCCCGCCCTCGCTGACACACATGTTGGCTTGACGGAGCAGGCGGAGGAGAAGGAAGAGACGCTCCTATCGGACACACAGAACGAGACCAAGACGGATGCTGATGATGAACGGGCGGCATAGTATTTTCTTTTACTCGAGTTTATTTTGTTGGGAGTTTTTGAGGGGATTGTATATTTTGTTTCATGACACGGACTTGTACAAACTGAAAGTTTTTTGTACATTGGCAGGCTATTTTGGTTTATTTAGGAGTTTCTATGTACGGAACGGAGAATGCCCGTGGAGGCAACAAGGAAATATGACTGAATTATGTTTATAAAAGCGAATCCACTGTAAAACTTGACATGTGAGATGTATGTGTACGTTTGTGGCGCGTAGTATGTCGATAGTGAGCGATGTCGATATCGATGGCCGATGGTCGATGAGATGTGGTGGTGGCAGGCGATCTTCATACAGCCGCCGTTAGCTCACGTGGGATGGAAGCACCGCAGGGATGCTGTACGCGGATGGGCCCAGGTTACATAGCAGACACGCCTTGTTTATGAGGCGAGCAACAGCGGCCCAGCCAGGCTAGAGCGAAGGGGGTGTGCGTGATGCAGCCGTTGTTCTACTGCAGTAAAAAAGTAGCGTAGCATTGTAGGCGGAGACGGTGTTAGCAAAAAAAGACGAGAGCGGATGCCAGTCTCGCCGAGAGAGCGAAGACCGAGAAAAGAAAGGACAGGGCTGTGTGCCAAGGGGGGCAAAAGGACAACTTGTTTTCCATGTGCTTGTACCTTTGTTTTCATTGTCTGTCGATGTTGCTAATGCTCGATATCGCCATTCGGCCCTGCTGCACACAAAGGAGGGCGCCGCGGGCTGATAGTTGCGGATGGCGTTTTATGGCTGGCTCACCTTGGGGTGAAGTACATTACTGAATAAACCCGTTGAATATAGCGTGCTGTAGTGGCAGCAGACCATTGCGCTATAGCACACTGCCCAATATTACCTTGGCACGCGGCGAGTCGAAAGTAGAGCGCCCTGCAGCAATACAGTGAAGGACAGTGACCGACGCACTGTGGCAGCTTGGCAGAAATACAGTGCACGAGAAACGTACACGCACGGAGGCCAGTGGAGTCGACAGCGCAGGGATGTGCGAGGGCGCACTGTTCTAAGCCTTGGGCGATTTGGGTCCGAGAGCGTGTGCTGCATAAACGTTAGTGTAGAAAAAGGCGAGAGCTATTTTGGTGCACAGAGCCCAGAGAAGTGGGTTGTGGATATGACTTTGATGGAGTATTTGTGCATCACTGGGTCGCTGGAGACGAAAGGGAAAGGCAATAGAGTTTGGGCTAGTTGGTGGGTGCGTTCGTCCAATGGCCGCTGTAGTGTAGTAGCGAGGGGACACATACAATGGGCAACGAGATAGATAGAGAGAGAGATGTTTTGTTCCATGAACACGCGGCTGAGTCGGATACATGGAGCTCGTTTCCCCGCCCGTCTTGGCGGAAGATGGCGACAAAGGACGTGCGCCATGCAACGCCCATTGTTGGTCGCAAAGAACTTTTACCAAGGTGTAGACAAGGCGGATTATAGAGAACAGCAGGAAAGAGGGTGTCTGTGCGGGCTAGCACTATTTCGGCGCAAAGTCGCCCGCTCGATTCGCCGGGGATGATGTGACGAGAGGTGCATACTTGGTGTGCTTGGCTTGGTTGTGTGGTTGACAAGAACGACGACGAATCCACTTGGTGGCAAGGGGCGCCGTGGGGCAGTTAGGTTGTTGGTTCTGGGCTATGAGCTGGTAGTATTGAAGCGGGGAGAGGGTGATGCTTGAGGAAACTTAATTTTGTATGCGTGTGCTGGCGGTGCCTGTGATGGATGTTGGTTAGGCCGTTGGTTGAGTGGACATGACGGACAGGGTAGGTGGGTTGGCTTGCTGGGGGTGGAGAGAATGGTTCGAGGGAAAATGGCTTACCAGGATGATGAATGTGATGAGAGAAGAAAAAGAAGAAAAAGAGGGAAAAGAGGAAGTGATTGGACTGGAGAGAAGGGGTAAGAGAATGGAGCGTATTGGGCGGAGGAAGCAGAGACTTGACGGTTATGAGGACGTCGTAAAGTAGCAAGATACAAAGCATAGGGCTTGCAGAAGGGAGCTCGACGGAGTATGGGTAGAATATGTTGTTAAATACAATAAACATAGAATTATTTACTGTGTCGTTATTGGGCAAGGAGTGTAGATGTATGTCATGTGCTTGTTGGGAGCAGTCACCTTGACCTGGCATTATTTATAAGTTGGCTGCTCCTCCAAACTTTCTGGTGGTCATCAATGCGTTGCCAAGTTTGGCATAATACTGTTTTGTGCATAATTGTTCATAATTCTTTCTGGTGATGCTCTCCCTCGTTTGCGCTAGCTTTAGTAGCTCGCCAATCTGCTGATAGCGTTGCAACTGTTTACAGCCCCCAATCAAGAACAATAACAATACATCAACTCGCCCAAAATAATATCCAACAAATCTTCTTAAATATTATACAATAGTAAATTTCTCTTCATTATAAATTACTTTTTTTTTTTAATACGAGTAAATAGCCTTCCGCACCGAGTCCTTCCACAGCCATTCTGCCCAGCGGCCGCGCAGCACCAATATCCTGTTTAGGAAAGCGGAGCGGGTCGTTCCCTTTTGGCTGCCGTCGCCCCGCGCAACCAGGCGACCCGCCTTGATTTTGGGCTTTGCTTTGATCTGCTCTTGCGGTGGTGGTGACAATGTCCAGCGCAGTATCCCTCAAAACCGTACGAATTTGTTGTTGACGACATCACGAAACATCGCAACGCATCTTTCCCTTTTACACTATTCTACGTACCAAGCTTTCTACTCCACAACCTTACGCCCACTTCCATCTGGATCGCATCGGAAACACCACACCTACACCGCTGAGCTGCATTCCAACCGAGTCTCAGTTGACAAGGCCATTGTTCAGCTTGGCCACCAACATTCCAGGCGCATCGATCCTCGGACTATCTGCCTGAATTTGCATCCGCTAAATTGGTGGCCGGAGAGAACGCTTTAAAAGACGGACGGTAGAGCGGCGTATTTCGAGCGATAGCGTCCACGAATACGCTTCAACATCCGATAACAGAAAGCAGTAGAAACATCTTCTACTTGTCGCCGCCGCTATGGCGCCGGCACCCGAAGAGCTCTCCGCGCCGGGGGCTGCGGTGTACAGCTCCGATACAATGGTTGTCGGGGACGGGACATGGTCCTTTTCCAAAAACACATTTCTGATGCCAAACTTGGTGTCACCAAACTTTGAGACGATGCAATATAATGGTAAGTTGGATGACTGTCGCTAGCTAGTGCTGCGGCTGTGTGCTAACCTGGAACTAGGCATGGGAAACAGATTCTCGACATTGGTACAATATCACGGTCTTATCAAGGCACACGCCATCATGGGAACCATGATCTTCTTATTCATCATTCCATTCTCGGTCATGATTGTCCGATTCTACTCGCTGCATCCGGGATATGCGGTAGTTTACCACGCCCAACTGCAGGTCTTTGCTGCTCTTATGCTTTTGGTCGTCTTTATCCTAGGCTTTTTTGCCGTTGGACCGGAGCGCAACCTGACAAATCCTCACCATGGTATCGGTGTGGCCATCTTTGTGCTATTTGTGCTACAGATTGTTGGCGGTAGACTAGTCCGACATATTACGAAGTCTCGATCGCTGCGCATCATGATCCACCAGTGGTCTGGCCGCGCCATTGCATTACTCGGCATCGTCCAGGTTCCTCTTGGCCTGACACTCTACGGCTCGCCAAAATACTGCTTCATCCTATACGCCCTGTGGATGAGCTTTCTTGTCTTAGTCTACTTTATCCTCAGCTATCGCCAAGCTGGACACCGCGAGCGAATCATGATGTCAGGTGGCCGCTCCGAGGCGGGGCATAGCCGTCTTACAGAGTCCGAGTACATGTCAGACCACCAGGAAAAGAAGCATGGAGGTATCTGGAAGTGGCTGGGTCCTATTGCGGCTATTGCAGGCATTTGGGCTTTGATGAGAAAGAGAAAGGAGCACAAGCAAGAACGCGAGGACCAAAGCTACTACGATGGATCCTCCCGACGCCACGATGCCCAAGATGGGTATTCACGCAGAGACTCCTACTCTTACTATGACGAAAAGGAATCCAACGTTCAACAAAAGAAGGGTGGTGGCGGGTTCTTCAAGATTTTGGGCGGTGCTGCAGCAGCTATTGGTGCTGGCAAGCTGGCATCTAACTTGATGAACCGCGGTAACAACAAGCAACGAGAAGACGAGTATTCTGCCGTGTCTACAGACACTCCACGACGCCATCGTCCTGGTAGAAGCGAAATCAGCAGCGACTACTACTCAGACGACTATGGTCGAGACCGGACCGAGCTGACGAGAGACTCGCGCACAACTGGGCCAACAGCTCCTGGAGCGTCCTATAGAAACGACTCGCGCCGCGACTTTATGGAATCGGACTACTCGTCGTACGCAGGCCAATCGCGGCGCGATGACGGAAAGTCTGGCGCCATGGGTAAGGGACTGCTGGCAGGTCTCGGAATGGGCTGGCTGGCCACTAAGTTTGGCAAGGGCAAAGCGAGAAGAGAGGAGGACCGCCTTCGTGAGGAAGAAGAGATGCGGGCTGGTAACCAAGGGCCGAGATATACAGGAGATGGACACCCATCGCCGACTCGGAGAGACTCCCGCCGGCCGCCGCCAAAGCGCACAATGGGCTACCCTGGCGAATCTGCGCTGTCGTCAGACTTTTCAGAGTCTACTTTTGACGCACGCACAGCAGATACCCGCCCTCAACCGAGCTCATATGGCGGCGGCTCTACAGTCCCTATCCCAACACCAGTAACTCCTACACACGGCCGAACTGGATCAAGAAGAGATACTGTGGCAATGCCTCCCATGCCTTCTGACCCGCATGGGCTCTTCCACTCAGAACTGGACAGCTCGGCCATCTCTGACGCACGACCCCAAAGACGTGCCTCTTCACGAAGACGTGCTGCAGGGGACAAGGCAGCAGCAGCAGCAGCAGCTCGAGCTAGTAGTTTGGCCGCTGATGAGGAAAAGACATACCGATCTGAGCGTGAGCGCTATGGCTCGCCTAGCAGTCAGCCAGTTAGCGTCAAACTCAAGGTTCATGACGACAGGGATCGCAACGTTACGCTGCGAAGGCTAACAGAGGAAGAGGCCATGGCTGCCCGACGACGACGAGATTCAGAAAGCAGCCTGTCAGGACTAGATTCGCCGAGCCAAGGGCGCGGATACCGTCGCGCTTCCGAACAGCGCAGGGCTGAGATGGCGGCAGAGCAACGGGTTGATCCCGACAGACTACCACCGCTGTCACCGCCAAACCCTGCGTTTGCAAGAGGCAAGCGAGCCAAAGACTCTGCCTACTACTCTGGCCAACCGAGCCAGCCTGGTCCGACTAGCTCTGCTCAAGGCTCGATGCCTGGTTCTATGCCTGGCGCAGACCAAACGGTGTCGAGCTTGGGAACACACGAGAGCCACGGAACTTGGAGTGGAATGAGCGCATCTCCCAGCGGCCCTGATAAGGGCAACGAATCATTGGCGGCAGACAATCGCCGTCGACGAAGACAGGAGCGACGACGAGCCGCAAGCAGCAGTCGACCAACGACGGCAGCAGATATGTTTGATTAGATGGTGAGGAAAATGAGTTGACGCAGTCAAGGAACAGTGTATATGTTTTTGAAATGTTTTTTTTTCCTTTTTGGGAATTGTATCTTGCGCTTGTTAAAAGACTAGAATGGGAAACAGGATGGTTTGATGGCGTTGGATGTATGTAACTGTGAGAGCGCCACGCGGCCAGGCGAGCAAATGTCTTGTTGTATATAGTGCAGGCCTTTAGTGATTTTATGAGTGAAAGAATTGACGTGTTATTTTGTGTGAATTTTATGATGTCCTTGGATTTAATTGTTTGCTTTCTGATTGGGGCTGTGTAGGTGGTGACGTTAAGCGGGACGTAAATGTACAGAAGCGTGCTGTACCTGGGCAGTAGTGGTGGACGGTGGGGCAGGGCAGGACACGTTGAGAAACGCGGTTTGGAAACCCCCGGTTCGACCAACTTCATCAGCTTCGCCCAGCGGCATTCTGGACGCAGACGCTGCAAATTCATTCCTTTAAACACCAAAATCAATAAAAACGACGACAATTCACATGGCGGAGTGTCTGTAAATTTGATAATCGACGCGGACAATACGCCAAAACGTGCAACACTAGCTTGCACTACACCACTGGCTAGCACCCTCGCTCCCTCAGATATCCATCCCCTCGATCCTATATCAGATTCTTCACCAACTACGCTGGCTCGCTAGCTAGCTCTATCGCTCGCTCCAATGCCTTCCAAAAACAAAGCATCGTCTGCTGCCGCGAGCAAGAACCCCGAGTACGACGCCATCGCCAGCCAATGGGCCAAGGCCAAAGCCGCAAAAGAAGCTGCGGATGCAGAGGCCAAGGCCCAGGGCTTCTCGACTGCCGAAGAGCGCGCTGCTGCGCAGAAGCAGCACCGCGACCGAGTCAACAAGAACCGCAAGCAGGGCTACGAGAGGCGCTGGTGGTGGACTGTGGCCTTTTGGGGCTGGCTGCTCGTGGCCCATGCCGTCAGCATCTGGCTCTTTACCAGCGGCTTCTTGCTGACGCGCCTGGTGCTCGAGGACAAGGCGTCGTGCGATGCACCGCCTGCAGATAGCAGCTTGGCTGCACTCACTGTCGACGCGGGGTGCTGGCATCCCAAGAAGTTTGACCGTGCTGTCATCATTCTCATCGACGCGCTGCGCTACGACTTTACGGTCCCAGCAGACCCTGATAGTACGCATGCCTTCCACAACGCCTTTCCCTTTCTCTACGAAACTGCGGCCAAGGAACCCCAGAATGCCTTTTTGCGGCCATTCATTGCCGACCCGCCAACGACGACGCTACAGCGCCTCAAGGGCCTTACGACAGGAACACTCCCCACGTTTATCGACGCTGGGTCCAACTTTGCGGGCACTGCCATTGACGAGGATAACTTGCTGATGCAGCTGCGCCAGAACGGTAAGAAGATCGCGCACTTGGGTGACGATACTTGGCACGCCTTGTTCCCGGGCTACTTTGAGGCGAATATCAGCAAGGCCTACGAAAGCTTTAGGGTCTGGGACCTGCACACCGTGGACAATGGCGTAATTGATAACATCTTCCCCTTGCTTGACCACAAGCGCTCCAACGAGTGGGATCTGCTTATTGGACACTGCTTGGGTGTCGACCATGCCGGCCACAGGTACGGTCCAGAGCATCCTGCCATGACGGCCAAGTTGCAGCAAATGGACGAGTTTGTGCGCAAGGTAGCCGCGTCTATTGACGACACCACGGTGCTGATTGTCATGGGTGATCACGGCATGGATGGTAAGGGAGATCACGGTGGTGAGAGCGACGACGAAGTCGAGGCTGCGCTGTGGATGTACTCCAAGAAGCCCGCCTTTGGACGCACCAAGCCCGAGTTCAGCATCCCCCCTGCCAATGCAAAGATTCGTCCTGTTGGCCAGATTGACTTTGTCCCTACGCTTGCGCTGCTGCTTGGTATCCCCATTCCGTTCAATAACTTGGGCAAGCCCATTGAGGAGGCGTTTGCTGGCGTCAAGGGCAACGATTGGGCCTCTCTGGCGGCGGTTTCCAAGATGGCGGCGGCCGGTATCGACCGCTACCAGGACCTCTACTTTAAGGTGCGAGGCATTGCAGAGAGCCCGGCTCAGCAAGCCAGAAGCGCCTTTGTAGCTGCTCTCGGTGGCAGTGCAGGTCAGCAGGCCTACGAAGCATTTAACAAGTTCCAGGACGACGTGCTCGACATTTGCAAGGGTCTGTGGGCGCGATTCGACGTGCCACGCATGATTAAGGGTGTGGTTGTCACTGCGCTAGGTGTAGTTGTTCTGATGCTGTATGCCTCGCGCACAGCTGATGACGAGTACGTTGTGACCAACAATGCTGAGCTCGACTACGCCGAACAGAAGCTCGAGATGCTGGGCGAAAAGGACAGCGATGCTCAGCACCCTGAAGCCAACACGCACCGTGACCTCGTTCGCTGGGCCTGGGATCCACGTGTGCTTCTTGTGGCCATTGGAACCATTTCCATTGCTCTCTATCGCCAGCAGCCACTCGACAGTGCGGCGACAGTCATCCTCAGCATCATGATGGCCAGCGCCGCCACTACTCTCCATAAGGCGGGTAAGACGCTTGCCAATCTGCTGCCAACGACGTTTTGGGGCTGGCTCGGTGTCTTCTTCACAGTCAGCCAGTCGGTGGGCTTTGCGTCCAACTCGTACACCATCTGGGAAGACTCGATCCTGCTCTTCTTCATCACCACGTTTGCCGTGTGCATGGGCATAGCGTCGCTGCGCATCGAGTCCCGCGTCGACCGCACCATGGCCATCTACCACTCCGTCGCGTTTGCCCTGCTCGGCCGCCTGGCCAGCTTCTCCAAGCTGTGCCGCGAGGAGCAGATGCCATTCTGCACATCGACGTACTATGCCTCTGCAACATCGTCCACGTCTGCAACCTGGCAACTCGCCATCCCGCTGCTTGTCTTTGCTACTCTGCCCTCAGTCATCAAATCATTCCTGACACCAACAAAGTCCTACGACGGCCTAGCACCGGCCTGGATCGGCGCCATTTTTCGCTCCGGCGTCTTGCTCGCCGCGCTGTACTGGGTCATTGATGCCGCGGACAACGGCGGATGGTTTGCCAACGCGCTTCCCGCTGGAACTGTCAAGACCGTGAGTGTCTACGTTGCACAGATTGTCCTAGCCATTGCCTTTGTCGCAGGCACCACCGCCTTCATCTGGGCGCCGCCAAGCGTGTCTATCGTCTCGTCCAAGGGCCCGTCTGGACAGCCGCAGATTGCCATTATGGGCTACGCCAACGCACTGGGTGGCCGTTACATCTTCTTGCCGCTCAATGTACTACTGGCGTGTCTGGTGCTCACAAAGCCCATGGGCTTTGGCGCACTCGCCCTGATGATGTGGCAGATCCTCTCGCTCGTCGAGCTGCTCGACCTCAACGGGCTCAAAACGGAGACCATTGGTCCCATTATGCTTGCTGTTCTGGGTAACTTTTACTTCTTCAAGACGGGCCACCAGGCCGTCCTGGCCAGTATCCAATGGGACGCCGCCTTCATCCCGCTCGTTGGCATCCGGTACCCTTGGTCCCCGATTGTCCTCACGCTAAACACCTGCGCTGGACCCATCATTGCTGCTGCCAGCGTACCCCTACTCACCATGTGGAAGGTCGGTCCGAAGCAAAAGGGTGTGCTGGAAGCCTGTGTCCGCAGCGCCGCCGTCTTTGTTGCGTTTTATGCCGTCGAGGCCCTGGCTACCATGGCCTGGGCAGGCCACCTGCGCAGACACCTCATGCTCTACCGCATCTTCAACCCGCGCTTCATGGTTGCCGCGGTGATGCTCATCATTGTCGACCTGTCTGTCATTCTCTTCACGCTTACTGGCATCCGAAGCAACACCCTTGCCGTAGCCGAAGTCTTTGAATGGGCCGACTAGGCTTCTTCTTCTCCCTTTTTTTGTAACGATTCTCTAGTCTCTCTTTTTCAATCTCTTTTTTTTCTGTACTTTACGCATATATAAAACTAATAGGGGGCTTTTCAAACATCATGGCACTGAGAATTTCAAAATCAATAGAGCAAATATACATCAATTAGTAGTTTTTGACCACTTCTACTTATTCTCCATCCTCGCGTTTCCCTTAATTGCCAACCCGCCCTCAGGGCCCTGTATCCAGACATCGTAGCTCCCATCACGTTTATCTCGCACACACACAGACATCTCTTCATTCACATAGAGCGGCGCATGGTTGCGATACGTCAGCGCCTCGACATCGCTTCCCACATGCTGGTTCACCACGCGCAGCATCAGCGCCAGCGACAGCGGCCCATGCACAAGTAATCCCCTATGGGCCTCGGCCCTAGCAAACTCTGGGTCGATATGGATCGCGTGCGCGTTAAACGACAGCGCTGAAAACGTAAACAGATGCTTCGTCGACGGCGTCAGCCGCGCCACTGCATCTGCCGCGTGAGGATCTACTACACATTAGCTCACGTACCAACTATCACACACGGTAACTAAACATACACTTGACGAAGCGCGGCGCAGCTTGTCCAGTCTCGCCATCATTCGGCATAAACACTAGCGTTCGCTTCTCCTGTATATCCCACGCCCACTGGCCGTCATTCTTGTCATGTCCGGCGCCATACGCCCTGTGCACATCCACAAAGACCTTATCCCCGCGCGTCTTGACATCCCCAATGGTTTCTTTACACGATGCAGGCCGCCCGTCCAGCCGCATACGCTCCTGCCACCCTTTACGAAACGTAATCTCGCCACCGGCCCAGAGACGCCGCGGGTACGCCGCGCCCGGCGAATGGTCCAGGTCGGCGCCGTCAGGGGCTAATTGGGAAGGCGGCGTCTGCAGCGGGAAGTAGACGAGGTGGTGGCCCTGTGGGAGCGGCGGCGCGGGCGTCTGAATGATGGGTGACGAAGGTGCCGCGGTGACGGACGGCAGAAGGAGGTCGTTGATGGTAGTGGTGAGAAGATGGGAGGGAGACGGTGTTAGGTATTCAGGGATGACTTTGGCAGGGAGGGATTGAAGGCCTTGGATGTCTGGCGGGGAAAGAGGGGAGGATGAGTAGAAGCGGCGACGCATGGGAGCTGCGGCGTGGTGGATGAGCGCGCGACATGCGCGGCAGGGCAGCGGTGGTGGCATTTTGCGATGTGTCTATAAAGTAAGTCAGTATGATGATGATTGAGCAAGGCTGAGTGAGTGAGTAGCAAGTCGTACATTTATATGCGGCGATGCGTGCGCAGATGGAGTTGCGATATATGCGTGTTGAAGGAGTGACGGTTTGGAGACTGCCGATGCGGTTTCAAAAGGCGGCTCCACACTAACAAGCGGCGGCCGATCACTTTACAGCCGATAACATCACAAAGACTATTTTAAAAGGATAATTTTGGACAGACATGAATATTATTAATTGTTGCTAGAATTAAATAGCCACGCGAGTACGCCGTTGGTCCCATCTAGTCATGACTTTGTACAAGACGCCAAACAGGATCCCATTCTGCTATATATCGACACTGGTCGTTTTTGTTCTTCGTTGCACTCTCGAATCTCTTCGTAATTTTTTTGGTTTTTGGTTTTTCTTCTTTTCGATTCACATCTTTTGTTTGAATTTCAAAATTTTCAAAAATCGTTTGCGTCCATTATATCGTATCGGGCTTTCTTTTTCTGGTCTAGTTGAACGGTGTTGTGCGCCGGCGCGGACCAAGTCTAGCTACACGCAACATTAGGGGTCCGGCAGCCAGGCGCGACATCACACTTATTTGGCAACGGTGAACTCGGTGCTCTTGGTGAGATTGTTGGCGGCAGCCCAGCTGGCAAGGTCAACCTTGGTCTCCTTGACAGCGTGGCCGAGAGCACCGCTGAGGCCAGCCTGCGAGGGGATGGCCTCAACACGGTGAGTAGAGTTGATGTTCTTGACGAGAGTGATCTGGTAGCAAGTAGCACTGCCCTGGCGGGAGATGATGGTGGAGTAGGCCAGGAAGTATTCCCAGATGCGGAACCAGCGCTTGCCATACTTCTCGTTGACCAGGTCCTTGTTGTCCATCCAGTTTCTGTACCAGCGCCAGAGAGTGGCAGAGTAGTGAACACCAATAGTGTCAACAGCCTTGATCTCGAAACCAGCGCCCTCAAGTCTGTCGACGACAAAGCCGAGAGGGGTAGACGCGTCAGCACCAGGGAAAATGTACTTGTTCATGAAGAGACCCCAGATGAGATCCTCGTACTGCCAGGGGCGGCGGAGACCGGCAATCTGGAGGAAGAAGACACCATCGTCGTCGAGCATGTTGTAAACCTGGCTGAAGAAGCCGCCCAAGTGACGGACACCGACGTGCTCTGCCATCTCAAGGCAGGTAATCTTGTTGTAGCCACCAGCGGGCACGGGGATATCACGGTAGTCCATGCAGAGAATCTTGCTCTGCTCCTCCTTGATACCGGCGTTGCGCAGAGCAGTGTTGCCCCAGGCGGTCTGGTTGCGGCCGAGGGTAACACCGGTAGCGTTGGCACCGTAGTTGACGGAAGCAAAGCGGGCAAGGGTACCCCAGCCGCAGCCAATGTCGAGAAGAGACTCGTCCTTCTTGAGCTGAATCTTGTCGCAGACAATGGCAAGCTTGTTGTCCTGGAGCTCCTCAAGGGTCTCCTCCTTGGTGATATCGGAGATAATACCACTAGTATAGATCATGCGGGGGCCGAGGAAGAAACCGTAGAAGTCATCACCACGGTCATAGTGGTCGCGGACCTGCTCCTCATCCTGAGAGCGGCTGTGCATGATGAGCTCGGGAATCATACCGAGGAGGAAGAAGCGGATGAGACCGATTGTGAAGCGGAAGCTAGCCCAGTCGTGACGGTACTCAAGGATGTCAAGGCAGTCACCCTTGAAGTCGACATCGCCGTCAAAGTACATCTCGTGGAAAGTCTCCATGGGGATCTTGTTGGAACCGTGGTACTTGGCGCGGTCAGACTCCTTCTTGAAGTCAAGGTAGAACTCAACGGGGCGGCCGGCGTACTTGGCCTTTTCATTCTTGCGAGGGCTGATGGCGGAGATGACAAGCCAGTAACCAGCAAGGATGGGAAGGTCGAAGATGAGGGCAAAGAAGATGAGGGTCTTGATGCCACCGCTCCATCTCCATGTGAAGTACATGGGGACACCGATAATCAATGACAAGAAGAGGGTTTTGTTGAAGGAGTCGGAACTGGGACCGTCGGCAGGAATGGGGGCATTCTTGATGGTGGGACGCTATAATAGCACCAGTTAGCAGTTGTAATAGCTTGGTAATGTGATAAATGGCTCGCGTGCTAGGCCACTTGGCGGTCCATGGCAAATCATGAGCCAATTGTGCTCTGGGCAACCAGTGCCAACCAGCGGGACAGAACAACAGCTCTAAGAAGCTCACTGTTGTCTCATTTCTGGCATTGGGGAGATGAAGGGCACTTACGTTGGTAACCTTGACACCGCAATCGTGACCGTCGGCAAGAGCAAAAGCATCAGGCTTGGGCTTGGGGGTGTCCACAAAGACAAAGTCCTTGTTACCCCCTTTGGGGGCGGTGGACGAGGACATGGCTCAGGGCAGGTCAATTGACACGCTCAGACGAGTTATTTTGATAAATCTCAGCTCACAGCGAGATGGTGACAGGTTGGATCCGATGGGAGAAGGATGGACACGGGGGAAGGAGAAGGAGGAGAGAAGACACGGAGACGGATAAACGAGGAAAAGAAGGAGGGGTCTGTCTCCAAGCCCAGCTCTGTGCAGACGAGCTACTACAGTACAGCACAGCACAGCACAGCACAGCACACTATGGGCGCCTATAGCAGCCCATAAAATGCCCACAATAGCTCGCGCACAGGGACAGGGACAGGGCCACAGCGGCCCCAAAGAGGCCTAGGGCTTGGAGCTCCAGCGGCCTTCGCACCCGTGGCGGCCGTTTCATTGGCCCGTCGAGGCCATCTTAGTGGGGAACGGGGGGATCGGTTTTCTGCCGCGCTACCACTTTGCTGCTCTGCTGGGCGGTGAGGGGGGCAGGATCGGCCTATGGCCCTTGTCCTGTGGCCAGACCGCTCTTCATTGTGGTGGCTATGGCGGTGATAAGGGAAACGAAAAAGAAATTGGCTGGGAGAGGTGAGAAAAGGGATTTAAAAACAGTAAAGAAAACATGTCCTAAAATGTAAGGTTTGTCTTCTGGTTGGCTTGCAACTCCACGGCAGTCATGCAGCTAGCTCTCCGCGATGTGATAGCAACGTTGTGCTTACCCAGGATTCGCATTATCGCGATGCAGAATCATAGCGCTAATATTAGCTGACAACGGGTCCTCCTCATCTGAGATCCATCCGACAGCTCCGCGGCCAATTGCCATCACTGCTTTGGCAACCCATCGCTGCGTGCAGACAGACTATTATCTAACCATGTGTTGTGCAAAAACCTTAAAAGAATGTCGTATACATTGGTACACCAGGAACAAGAAGCACGGGCCAAGCAAGACACCTAATACCAATGCCAACACAAATCCGTGTATATTTGAGATAAAAAGCCTAGCCCAGAGTCTCTATATAAGGAATACCACACAAAAGTCGATATCTCAACTACATACTGAAATTCTCCCCATAAATAGAAACAGAGATAGGCTATCGAGGCTTCTTGTTTCGACCAAACTCAAAATACGCCCTAGCTCGCCGGCCCGTTTTGTCCTTCAACCGTCGCTAAGCTAAACTGAAAACTTATCCCGGGTCGATTATGGCAGTGTCCCAAACAGGCAATTCGCCGGAGTCATGGCCTCAGAATGAATACACCCTCTAAATCACCATGCCTTAGAACCTTGATGCGTAATTGGGTCATCTTGCCCTATGTTCCTATTTTGTTAGTGTGTGCTCAATCAGTATCCGTTTCCTTTCCGAGTAAGCATCACCAGCGCTTGGACATTTTCCTAGAACGGCATGCTGCCGAATTCGCAAACGAGGCTCGCGCCAATACTTTTTTTCCTGTTTTAAATTGGAGAGATTGCCTCTTATGGTGTGAACCTTTCCTATAAGGGAAAAAATATTGGATTGACCGCAAGGGTCTCGCCACTTTTTACAATGGATAGTTGTCTTCTTTAGGATATGTTCGAGAATAGTTACATGAATCAGTTCTACACACGGTGCCATATGAGTGTAGGAGAGCCCGTCCTGTTCATAGTTTTTTCCATATCAAAATTCAATTCATATTGAATCTTAGATATAGCATAAAAACACCATGCCGTCGATTCTTCCTTTCTTGATGACCATTGGTGGTGCCGCTGCCGCTACTGCTGGCGGCCAGCTCAACGGCTACTGGGTAAGTGGTTACCAACGTATAGGCGCATCACAGACGCGCTAATTCTTTTTACATAGGGCCAAAACGGATACATTTACGACGGTTTATCCGATTACTGTGACACAGGTGTCAGATACGTATCTCTGTCTTTCATCAGCCGAGCACCTGAGTACGATGAGGCTACCGGATACCCAGGTACCAACTTTGCTGCCCACTGCGGCGGCGACTACTATTACAAGAATGGTGCCAAGTCTGGTTGCTCAGTGGCTGCGCGACGATGAAGCAGGACATCTCGTACTGCCAGAAGCGCGGTGTCAAAGTACTCATGAGCATTGGCGGGGTCTGGAACAACGACGCCGACTACCGCGTATCAACAGAGCAAAATGGTCGCGATTTCTCCGACTTTCTCTGGGGAGCCTTCGGTCCATACAACACATCGTGGACGGGCCCCCGTCCCTTGGACTTCAATGGCACACATAATGCTGTTGATGGCTTCGACTTTGACATTGAGATCAAAATTGGTGGGTGCGATGGTGTCATTCCTCAAACATACAGTCTGCTAACTTCTGTCGGTAGACGACAAGCCATATATTGCGATGGTAGACCGGTTTCGCGAATTGGCTCCCAGCATGTTCATCTCGGCTGCACCTCAGTGTCCACTAGCACCACAGTATTTTTACATGCAGGAATTGATTCAAAAGGCTAAGCTTGACGCGTTGTTCGTTCAGTTCTACAACAACGAGGGTTGCGATGCCGTCATTGGCAACTCGAAGTGGGATGACGAGTTCAACTTCAATGCCTGGGGGGATGTGCTTGCTGCTAGTGATAAAAGCAAGGATGCCAAGGTCTTCATTGGCCTGCAGGCTGTCGAGGGTAGCTCGGGATACATCACCGCCAAGGAAATGCAGAACCTTGTCTGCCAGTATCAGGACAAGTCCTACTTTGGCGGTGTCTCTCTGTGGGATATGACCCTTGCAACTGGTAACAAAGTCAACGGAAAGTCGTACGTGGAATCAGCAGTGGACGTTCTTCGCGATGGCTGTAAAGACTCTCAACAGTCCACCATCTCAGCCACTACCAGCACAGTACCAGCTCCATAATCTCTGGTTACTGCACTCCGTAGCCAAGACGTTACTCCCACTTCTACCGCTAGTACTACCACCTTAACAGCATAAACACACGTTAAGATAACTCTTGTATGGAGGAGTGCCGATCCCACCCTACATATCAGTTTAGATATCTATCAGCATCAGCACGTCTCATCCAACGTAGACCACCTAATCAGGGATTGGACGGCTTGAAGCCAAGAAATAACCACCACCTGTCGCTAATGGGCTGTCCGCTTTTTATTAATTGGTCTTCCTTAATGTTACGATTATTCAACGCCTAGGCTTTTGTAGTGGAGTTGCTCGGTCCGACTCTAGTGCAAACTCTGTTCCGCGGAGATTCTGAATATAAAGAACCGCAATAAGTGCCACACGGCTTTCTACGCGAAGGCGCCACATCCGTAGTTTCGCAATTCTACTCCTTTTCTGGTTTAAGCCGTTGGCCTAGCGTGAGGCGTGTCGCTTCCATTAACGGGCGCCCTGTATCTAGCCAAAGCCCTTGCAAGGTAACCGTCCGGTACTTGGGCGTCGAGTAAAGTTCGGAGGAATTACGCCAAATGGCGATTGAGCGCGGCAACCATCGACCAATACTACGGTACAGTACATAGGTTTAATGGTCGCCGGACCCAACAAAGCTCCCCTTGCGAGCGGCCCGGTCGTTTACCGCATCTAAATAGCCTCCTTACCTTGCCACGTGGAAACTGAAGCTAGGGTCTCGTCGGCGTTGGTGCCGTATATTGTATTGTTCTGCAACTCTTGAGGACAACACCAAGGGAAATGAGCTATCGTAGGGCTGCACCTTGTTAGCAACTGCACGGTGCTTTTTAGCTTTGGGCTGGCTTATACTGATAGTAAGAAGTCGTGTCGAGGGGGTTGGTCGCCGTCTCCCACGCCAACACATCAAAGGATCATGGCATGAAATGAAAGATCCACTACCATGCGAGCCTCGATGGAGCACCAAACCCAGGCCTAGGCAGCAGCACTCACGCTGATGGCGGGTGTTCAAGTGAGCAAGGATCCAATAACTCCCACGTCCTCTCTCATTTGCGATATTGACCAATACCATCTTCCCAGCGAGCTGGAATATTACCATACCCGCGTTTGTCGATCACCCATGCAGTTATGCTACCTTGCTGGTCCTCAAGCACACATGCCTGCGATTGGTGTCGATCCTACGGCGAAGCTCTTCTTTGCGCCGCCAACTATAGCCCCAACTCATACTATATTGTTCGCAGAGCTGCCCCAACACAGTTCCCTTTCCAGGTCCCGTTCCACTATGCTGTTGGGCTGGGGCTGCTAGCTTCAACGGGGAGACGGTGGCACCTTCAAAACTGCGCGTTAGCAAGTTACAAAATCGAAAGGGAACAGCCGTCTGTTAGTACGACGGGGCTCATCAGTCTCTGCAGGATGGGTACCATCACACTATCTGTATCCATTGCAACGCACACGACGCACGCCCTGTTTAGTACTCTGTAGCCACCTAAAATACGCTACTCATTCTCTTTCTTCGATTATCGTCCCATATTTCGATGACACTTCCGTCGCCTGAGACATGGCTTTAAAATTGTACACTATTCGGCGAGGCTGGAGTGCTCAAAGTGGACGAGTTAAAGAACCCGCCCGTCCAGGCGGTGGCGCAAACCCACCATTCACGACGCGCTAGTACATGACAGCAGCGTATCCAATAGCCAAAGCGGCGTTAGAAATGTACGTCAAAGGACTAAAGAAGCAGCCATGCAAGGGCAATATAGCCACGGTGATACCAGTTCTTTGGTGGCTATTTCCTTTTTTGGTGGGTCGTTTACCGTCGCAGAGATACAGATATGTAGTCCATCACATGCGGCAGATCATACTCTGAACGGGCTGTTGCCGAATTCTCGCCCGTCCCGTCCCGTATGCCTATTCCGCAAAGTCTCTCGCGGCCCATATCCACGGTAACTATAATTCCGCTTTTTCAGGCTGCTAACTGGAGCGAACCGTCGACCCTATTGACGATGATACCAGGTTGGAGGCATTGCTCATGCATGCAGACAGGCCACAAAGAGTGGCACCCTCCGGATGGTGCCGCAGGGACCCTTCACCGCACGGCGCAATTGATACTTGATCTTGACGGAGCATGTGCAGCAGGCCGCATGCAGCCAAAGTCATGTGCAATAAGTAAATAGCGTAAAGAGGACATAGATGACGCCTCTTGGTTGGATCCTATGCAGGCGATACGCAAGATCGTGTGCCATGGAAGAGTCGGCTCCCCCGCCCTTTCGAGGTTGACACACTCCACACTCCCCGGGTGTTTGGTCTTCAGAGGGTGTGTGGGAGTTCTGGGACGGCGTATGCTATTGTACTCGGCCTCCCCAAACGGTTCGCTTTTATCGTCTGGCCCGAGGCCGACAAAATCGGGACATCAGTGAGCAGCACCGTCGAAATATGCATTTTTCGTGCAGCTTGGAGGTTCAGTTGCTGGCACTGGCAAGTGCACAATGGGCACCTGGCGCGGCACTGTCAAGCTGTCAAGCTGTCAAGCTGTCAAGCTGTCAAGCTGTCAAGCTGTCAAGCTACCCACCAGCCAGGTGCCAGCTTGGCCACTCTACCCAGACCTCTACCATTACCTGTACTCTTTCACTGTTCTCTGCTACTTTTCATAGACTCCGAGACGGACGAATGTGATTGCCATTCTACCGTAGCTACTTAGAAGCCAGCTAAGCGAACTTTTGTGTGTTTACGCAATTGTCTCTCATATCTGACCATCCCTCGCCCCGGCAGATGTAAGAGTGTGGGAAGACGGACAAGGCAAGCAAGCAAGGTCACCCGTGCCGCTTGGTGCAAGGCTGAGCAAACGGCGGACGCCTCAGGTAAGCTTTGTGTGGCCTGCTGAATGCGCGCAATCGCATGACATGATGGAGCGGCAGAATTGCTTGTCCTTTCGTGGTAATTTTTTTCTGACCCGCGACCTAGCGCTGGTCGTATTGGTTAGAAGTGCCCGATTGGAACGCCTTCACGATGTACACAGTAAAAAAACAGGCCGACGTTTACTAGCCTCCTGTGAGGCCCTACAACATACGCTAGGAAATTTCTTTTTACGTTGCAGGGCTCGGCCTTGCGGGGAGGCTACCGAAGCGGACAAGGCTCAACACAACACGGATGCAACAGGGTCATATCTCGCCATTGCTTACCATGAGCTTTTTCAGCTTGGTAAGGGTTGCTCTGTGTGTGCTCTTCTAGAAATGCGGGGCGTACCGCGGCTAAACCTCTACGCGAGCCACTTCATGGAAGCCGCATGTATCATCCAAACAACCCGTCAGTGTCGATTTGCAAGGGAGGGGTGCGGCGTGCTTTGGCTTGGCTGCCGATTTTGCAGGCGGTCGCTCGTGTCTGCCGAGCCATAGGCGATGGCTGCTGTGCGGTGGCCACACCCAACTCACCAGACACCTTGGTGTACCTAGACCACTCTCAATTGGATGCCTGCCCCCGACTGCCCGTCTGGTACAGGTACAGGTCTCTACTGTACTGTACTCTGTGTACGCCCAGGTTGGCGGCACTCACCGTGGCAGATGGCACCAACAAACAGCCATGCTCCCAGTGGAGGTCTCACATTTTGCGGCGTCACTGGCAGTCTTCCTACGGGCGGTGCTCCACCTCTGACTTAGTCTAGCAGGGATGCTACCCGCTCACTTCGCCGATTAAAAGGGTGTTAGTGAGCCGGCCGAGTTAAGCAGGTCGCCCAGGGGAAAGATGCTGCTACCAGAACCGGGAATGTCGCGTAATGATCTTTCATTTACAGATCTTGCATCCGACCACGACCAGCCCTGCTGCACTGGCCCATGTCTTAGAAAAAATTAGGTCACCTTTTTCTTCTAGGCGGCTTCTCCTCTGCTCCACCTCGCCGGTCTGCCGTCTATGAACGCCCAAACTGACGCTCATTTACACTATAAGCCCCAACTTTGTTCTGCTAGTCCGAGAGTCTGGCCGCGGAGGCGTCTCGACCCCCAACCAAATAAGGCAAAACTGGCCCGCTGCCGAGCACCATTTAGTTCCTGAGGTGGACCGGGACGCCCATCCGACTCTCTTACACCTTTCCTCGATCTACGGCTCACTCCAACGACTGCCCCTTGTCCAGGAGCTTGACGTCTTTGTGGCCCCCCACCTCCTCTCTTCTTCACCCCAGACCACCACTCTTGGACTTGCTCTCATCTTGTGGAATGGAACCTGTGCATCGGTGTCTGCTGGGCTTGTTCAGTCACAGGGCTGTTCGGTAGTTATACAACCCCTTCTCAAGCACCTTGACCGATGGGTATCCATCCGGCCATCGCCCAACTTCAATCCATTCAAGCCTACACCCGGGGTCCAATTACACACACCTTGGTGGCCAACACCCGCACGCTTCTTTTCTCGTTGTCTCCCAACTCCCAACGATCTCGATCTCCGTCTGGGGCCTTTGTACTTATAAAGAACGTTGGCTCCTGTCTTGAGCTTATGCTTCTTCCTGACTAGCCAAGCATTGACCTCGAAGAGAACCCTTCTCTCCCACCACCAATAGGTCAATTGCTTCTTGGTCATTATCACCATCCCCTTCCTATTCACCCATACACACACTAACTTTACTGTTGGTCTGACTCGTTCGCCTGGATATCGTTCATCATGCGGGCGTCTCCTGAAGCTATGCAGGAAAGCTGGGAGCTTATGCAGCTAGGCAACCCTATTGTCATACCATATTACGCCCCCTCTGACGACGAGGATGACGGTGACGCTGGACTACCAGCCATCATAACCTACGCCAACAAACTCTGTGCACATGCAAACGTACACCATTGCCAGAACCTAGCCGACTCGAACTCTTCGCTTTGCACGGTCTGTGCTATTGCGCAGGCTCGCGGAGTACCATGTTCATAGAATGACATGAGATATGCCATTGGGCCACGATTGTGCGGCTAATCAACCACGATTGAAGTCGAGGCTCTACCAATGGCCCAGCACTGTCGACCTATCGAGTATTGGGCCAGCACATGAGGCAAAACAAAAAGCCCCATAGAGGGGGTTGCTACACCGCATTACGAACAAAACAATAACGGCCGCATAAAATTACCTGCATAGTCCTTCTGGGAAGGCTGAATGTCATGCAGAAGGACACGATACCTGGAATGAGCAAACACATTTGTACTATTATGGGTGGGCAGTGTGGCAATTCTCAACAAATAGACGGGATAAAATTGCAACCGCTTGCTCTTGGGCGTCTGGAATACAAACGAAGCAGCAAACAGCGGTCACAATAATGGCTGTGCTGCAAAGTAACAAACATGACATAGACTGGGGGGCATGGGGCCATGCGAGCATCGACGGTTTGGTATAGTTCGCTTGATTTGGGGGAATTTTTTTTTCAGCGCAGGAGTTTCTTCTTTTCTCATTACAGCATATACAGCCATTACAGAATCTATTTTTTTAATTATACGCCATCATGTCACAGTTTGCCTCGATTCAGTGCGCACAGCGCGCGGTGCGCGGAGACACGCATGGCGAGCTCCAGCTACACGACTCATGCCCTCCTCGCCAGGCCCGTGAAAGAGGCTCGCTAGCTCGCAAAACGAGGTAACCGAAATACAATAAAGGTAAAAGATGCCGCCTGAGCACTGACCAGCAAGAAACATGCCAAAGGCTAAGCGACCCGTTGCGCACTGAAACTTCCAAGCGTCCCTCGGCATCAACACCGCTATGCATGCTCTTTGAGGCCTCGCAACCCAACTAATACATTACGTTGGTCTGGTGCATCTGAGCCACCGCCAAGCGGCGTGGCCGTGTCATTCATGACAGATACAAAAAAGGGATCAAAAAAAGAAAAGAAAAGAAAAGCTTGTTTTCCGAGCAGCAGCAGGCTTGGTGCCTCGGCGCAGCTCCGTGGCAACTGAAACTGCCGAAAGGAGCGGCAAGCAGAGGGGGGCCCTGTTTACGTTTTTTTTTCATGTGTGGTTATTGGAGGTTAGTGTAGGTACTGTCGTCATCGTCTACTAGGCTTTGGATTTTCCACTCTGTCCAGGGCTGAAGGCGCAGGTTGACAGAGGCCTCTTCTGCGACTTGTCATATTTACGCCCGGCGCCGGGCTCTTGGGTGCGATCTTACATGTGTGCGGGACGGTGGAGGGGGGCGTGTGTGTTAGTTTGTGTGAGTGGCCTTGCTGGGCTGAAGTGGCCTCCACGTGTAAGAGAGGCCCTGACGTGTACAGCACAGCACCTTCGGAAAGAAAAAAAAAGAGTTATATATTACAAATACGTGGTTGTTTATATTAAACGGAGGGCGTCTGTTTGCTAACACTGTGCTCGTTATCACCGAGGCATGTTCGGTGAAGACCAGTATACAGACCGGAGGGGGCGCGAGGTTGATGGCCCGGCCAACCGTTCCTTGAAATCGGCCCATTCTCGCTATTCGGGCTTAACATTGCGTTGCGCGAGGATTAGTGTAGGCGATTAGGGTTCACTTGACAACGATGCTAGAAAGAAACGTAGTCTGGTCTCCGCTATCTATCTAGAGTAGGCGGTCAAACATAACAGCTAATGCAGTGAACAAGAGATTATAGAAAACGATGGTGGTATCTTGGGAGGGGCGGCATGCCGGCATGCAAGCCGCGTTCGGAGAAATAAACTTTTGTAGAAAATGCTTGGGCATCGGGGATAACAAGGCTTGGTGGCAATCCATGACAGGGATTATTGGGACAAAGGCAGCTGGAAAGCGGCGACGACGGAAGCGCAATTGGCGGAAATAACAAGGAAGCAGGCTGCGGGGAACCTCGGAATGAGACAAGAGACACGCATTGCTAGATAACGCTTGGCATCGGGGCTTCTATGTATGCATGAGGGGGAATACGTTAAGTTACAGCGGGCGTGTGTCTCTTCTGGAACTTACCGAGGCTGCTAGTAAGAGAAGCCTGGTTGGTTTTATGTTGGGAGACACAGAACAGGGTAGAGAGCAGCTGGAAGATGGAGTGAGACATGGTCCGTGGAATGCGTCAAGAAAATAAAATGGAACCCCAAAAGAGAGAGTTTAATAAAAAAACCGTCTCTATATTCCCAAGATTCAATCTAGATACCGAGCGAAGCTAAAAACCAAGACCAAACTAAAAAAGTCAAAATAGACTGAGAAAAACGAGATTGCCCGTGTGTGCGAGTGGTAGCCGATCTGTACGTGGTGGCAAGCCGGGGGATAGCTAGCAAAACAAAGATTAAAAAAAAATCAAGACAATCCGGTACTCTAGCCAGAGTACGACCCAGATTTGCAAAATGGCTCTGCAAGTCGCCAAGAGCAGCCATGAACCATGGTCGTGCGCGGATACATCGAGAGTCGCAATTCGCCAAGATGCGCGCGATCGTGCCTCGAGCAGAAATAGTTTAAAAAGAGTGTGTGCGGTAGTAAAATAAAATAGAAATGAATGACATGAAGAAGAAAGCGCATGCCATGGACAAGCATGCTCTTGGCGTTTGCAGTGACATGTTTTTTGTTGGCGTTTGCTTGATATTCCGTTTTGTTTTCAACTGCTGCTGGGAGAGTTTGCGTGGCAGTGCTCAACAGCCCAAAGTGGATAAGCTCCAACGGCGGAGCAGGGGTAAGCCGCAACGCAACACCTGAATCTCGAAATGGACCATTGTACGATCCGCCATGCGAACCCTACCTCAGCATTCGATTAAAACGAAACGAGCAAAAAAAAAAGGATCAAGAATAGCGGTGTGGCCGCCGCGCCAACATTGTGCCGCGTCTGTGTGGGTGCCTGCTTAGAAAGCAATGGCCATGACAGCGGCGAGAGCAGCGCCAACAAGGCCAGACTTGGCAATGTTGGCACCGGCAACAGCACCGCTGGATGGCTTGACAGCAGGAGGCTGAGCAGGGCTGGAGGCAGTGGGAGTGATGACGACAGGGACGCTGCTGGTCCACGAGGCGGTAGGGCAGTAGGTGCTGGTCGAGTTGGTGACGTTCCACTTGGCAGACGAGGTGGGCACAACAGTGGTGGTGTTGTGAGGGATGCTGCTGCTGGTGTGCTTGACGGGGCAGCCAGTGTAGCCGGCCTTGCAGCTGGTGAGCGTCTTGGTCTGGGTCATGGTCGAGACGACGGTGAGAGTGGAGGGCTCAGCAGCGTTGGCGAGGCCGGCGGCGGCAATGGCGAAGACGGTAGAAGCGCGCATTTTTTCGGTGGAAAAGAGAGAGTCGGGAAAGAATTACCGGAATTCTAGGCTGGCGAAAATAAATCTCGAGGAAAAAAGGAGTGTGGATCTTGTCGTGCTGGACGAGCGAAGACGGGCTTTGTTTGGTTGGTTGGGTTGAAAGAGTGTGTTTGGTTGTTTGGTGATGCGAGGAAAAAAGAAGGAGAACGAAACACAAGAGTCGGGAGAGAGAGGACACGAGAATTCTGCTCGCTCAGCTTATCGCACACAAAACGAAACGGGCTGCAGGCACGGCGGCCTGCGAATGGCTGCGGCCCGGTGGGGCTAGATTCAGGGCAGGCCTGCTATTGGCTCTACGCGCTGGCGGCGGTGGAGCTGCGTGCCTGTCTCCGCCTGGCACCAAGCGCCTGCAGTGAACTGAGGCACACTCACACAAGTCGCTGCGCCCCCTGCAGGGCCTGTTACTTGCTTGCTGCCAGAACAGCAGGGTCCCCCAGAGAACAAAAAGTCTTGGAACTAATTTATTTTTTACAAAAGTTGCCCATAATTCATTTCCTTGCACTCTTCTGGCCTGCAGCCTCCCCAATATTGAACACGCGCGCAATCCAAGAGATACCGTTGCATTCTGCCATCGTACGTAAGGGCCAGTTCATTCAGGGTTTTGGTCTGAGAGGGGCCGTAGAATGGTCTGATTCAGGCAAAAATAGCTGGTGTAGAGATCATGTGACGCAGACATGGCCAGAGAGAAATGGTCTTCCGGCCGCTACTACAAATGCGGGTGCACGTACGACACATTCATGACACGCCAGACCCTGCAGATGGATGATGGCCCATAGGTAGGCAACATTATTTTACTTTATTCATTATTATTATTTTTACTTTTAAGTACATGAACCACTCATACAGAGGCAATACAAATTTACAACTGGTCCCATAGTCGGACTCTGTCCGCTGCGTCACCGAAAGACATACAAGGATTGATTACCTGCCCAGCCGATATATTGCTTCGCCAATACAAAAGTACACAAAATAAATGTCAGCCATTCTGGCAAAATATACCCGTATTACATCGTATGGGCACCGGTTAATGCCTCTGACGCACCCTTGGAAAACAGGAAATTATAGATCGGCACATTCTCTAGCCTTTCGCTCGCTGCACGGCTAAACTCCACCGTGCACCCACCTGTAGATCGAGGGAGGACACTAGCGCCAGCAGCTAAGCGTACACATCACTCGCTTGGTGTGTGCTTGGGCCTTCGCCGTCTCAAGACTCACTAGCACCGCCGCCGGCCGATACCTTGTAAGCAAGCACTCACTCACGAGACTAGCTGACGGTAAAGGGTCTGTTGCAGAAAATAGCCACTACCACCTCCGTGAAACTGGTCCATCTTGGGGGTGGCTATCGGTCAAGTGGTGTGAAACCCACGGACCGCGCTGCTCAATGTAGAAGCAATATACAGCGTTGACGTGATGCTTGGCGCCTGGCTCCTCTGCAAATTATACAACACAGAAGATGCATTCTCGGCAGATGCAATGAGGAGACTAACATGCGGAATTGACCGTTATAATGTAGACACTTGGAGGAAAAGCCGTTGCAGTCTATGCCCAAGTCCGGGATGCGACCGAGACAAGTGTGGCAGTCTATAGAAACCATCGCCCGGCGTTTCTTCGCTTTCATGGATCTCTCCGTGAAACATGGAAACTACGAAAACCTGGTCAGATAGAGTAGGGCCGAGATGGGAGATCCAGACAAACGTGGCCGCCCCCCTCGTCTGAATCGTCGGGGAGGCGCGGTTAGCAGCAGGCATCTGCCATTGCGTTTTCAACGCTGTTCCATTCCAACAATGAGGCTTTTACGGATCTTGCCGTAAATAAACGGTATTTATGCAAGCGTCTTGGGTATGGTGAGTTGTCAGTGGATGTGGTGTTGTTAAGGGCCGTGCCGTCGCTACCCTAAGGGTGGGTGGCGGGTGTAGGTATATCAACAATATATGAAGTATTGTGTAGCTCTTGGTGATATTGTATTTACTTGTATATTGACAAAGGGTGTCGCGGTCTGGTTCTAGTACTTTTGAGCTGCTATTTCCGATGGTGGGCTCAAATTGCCGTCGCTGGTGTTTCAAGTCGTTGATGCCGCTCGCCGAGATGGTGAAACGGTTGTGTAAGATAGCTGCTATATACAATCTACCAACAAATACAATCAAATGATGCCAACTGAATTATATAATTCATATCAATAAATTTTATACATTTGCTATCAAATAATTATCAGATGCTACTTCTCCCGCTTGTAGTGTGACGACATCATCGGGTACAGTAGCTCTTGTTAGTACCCCGCCCCCGCCATGGTCCCCTTCTAGCTTGGTGGCCCCTCCCGCCCCTTTCTGCCCGCCACTTTAATTCAAGCTTTGAAGCTATCAACAGCAAACAGCTATTTTGAGCACCGTGTTAGCCGATACACGCTAGTGTACACATACATCCAGACACATCCATCTACATACACCGTCGGCCGGATACGAGCGACCACTTCCATCATGGCAGCCCAGCAGTTTGCGGACGACCCCGCCCTCTACATCTTCACGTCCCTTACCGCTGGTTCCTCACACATTGTCACGGCTACTTCTCGCCTAGAGACAATCCTCCGCGCAAACAGAATCCCTTTCAAAGCCATCGATATTGCCACAGACAAGAATGCCCGTAGTCTATGGACCAGACGCGCTGGCAAGGATGAGGGAGGCCGCATCAGGAAGCTGCCTGGTCTCGTACAAGAGGGCTGGGTTATTGGTGTACGCAGAAGATATGAAACCACAGAAGAAGAGTATGCTGACGTGTCACTGTAGGATCTTGTAGAGATTGATGACTGGAACGAATACGGCGAGCTTAAGCAACGAGTCAAGATTTACTATGACGAGTTTACCATTCCAAACATCAACAACAAGCCCCCCGAGCCGCCAAAGAAAAAGAAAAAGGCAGCCAAAGCTGCAACGGCAATCAGTGGAGTTATTGCTGCTGGGTCTGCTGCTACAGCTGGAGTCGCGGCGGCTGCTGCTGCTGCTGCCACAGAGCTGGGCAAGGATGCTCCCGACGCAGCCAAGGATGCGCCCAAGGCCGCTGTTGACAAGAAGCAGGAGATGGCCATGTCTATGAGATCCATGGCAGATGAGGCAGCTGCGAAGGCTAAGGAAATGAAGCTGAAGAGTCTGCGCGAAAAGGTACATGGAACAAAGGCGGAAGAGAAGAAGGACGTTTCAGACGAGCCACCCAAGGACGATGATGTCAAGACGGACGCAACAGAAAAGGAAACGACCGAAGTCGAAAAGAAGGATGACGCCGAAGAAGCAGTGGTTGACGAAACAAAAGCAAAGTCGGACAAGACCGAGTCTGAAGATGACAAGGCCAAGACTGCTGAGGCAACCAAGGCTGAGTCAACAACAACAGCAGACGCTACCAAGACTGAAGAGGATGAAGATGATGATACTGGGGATTCAGAGCCAGTCGTACACGCAAAGAAAGCCGCTATCGTTGCACCGATTGTGGCGGACGAAGAAAAGGCGGAAGCAAAGTCTGAACCCAGCAAAGAGGTTAAGCCAGCTAGCGAGGCCCAGGATGTGCTCAAGGAGGAGCCAAAGCAAAAGGAGGCCGAAGCTACACCAACGAAGAAGGCCGCTGAGGCAGCTTCAAAAGAGGTCAAACCTACTGTCAACGTTGAACCAACAACACCAAAGAAGACGGCACCATCACATTCAACGCTCCAATCGCCTACCACTACGACATGGAAGCACACTGCGTCTCAGCACAATGCTCTCCGAGAGGCTATTCAAAGTCCTACGAGCGGCAAGTGGAAACACATTGGGGCGACTGCTGCTCCCGAGGATGATGATAGTGATGAGGAAGACGACGACGATGAGGATGAGGAAGAGGACGACGATGATGAAGAGGACGAAGACGTTAAGAAGTCGGCAGCTGCTGCTAAGGATACCACCGCACAGAAAAAGCAAGTATCGAAGGACGATGATGAGGACGACTCCGATGACGAAGACGAAGACGAAGACAGCGATGAAGAGGAAGAAGAGGTGAAGAAGCCTGCACCAAATAAGGCTGCCGCACCAGCGGCAAAGCCGAAAAGCAAGCCAACTGAAGATGACGAAGAAGAGGACGACGATGAGGATGAAGAGGAGAGCGACGAAGACGAGGACGACGAGCCAGCAAAGCCTTCTAAGCCTTCGCCTGCCAAGGCGGCTGCCCCAAAAGCTGCAGCCAAACCGTCCGAGGATGACGACGATGAAGAAGACGACGAGAGCGACGAGGAGGAAACCAAGCCAGCGGCTAAAAAGTAATGAATTCGCATCATAAGCATCTGCCATACGGACACGACTCACGTCACGACAGTTAACATACACATACATACCCCCATTTTTCATAGCACCGAAATCTGAATCATACAAAGTTCAATAAAGAAGCATGGCCAATATGTAGACATACACATACATAACATACAGACTTAAATAACCACAAAATCCACCTTTCCACGATTTAATACAATCCGTCATCGTCGCTGGCTCCTCCTTCCTGGAACCCAGCAACAGCCTTTCCTTTACCCTTTGACCTGCTACCCGGCCTCGTCTCGCCCTCACTATCGCTCGCTGGCGCCGTTGCCTTTCCTTTACCCTTGATAGCCGCCTTGACTGCCGCCTTGATCAAGCCGCGCGACGACGGTCGACTAGGCGGTCTTGCCGGCGCTGTTGCTGGCACCGCTGCCGGCTTCTTGCCCTTCTCCTTGTCCTCGGGAGCACTCTCAAACATAGCCCGCACCTTTTCATAGTGCGCCAGCTCGCCAGCCGAGACACTAGGAATCAGCTCGGCATGGGCAGCGTGGAAATCCGCCTCAGTGACCAGCACAGCCAAGTCCTCCTTGGTGGCGTAGTGGTCAAAGTAACCCGCCGTAGACAAGGGGATCTCACGACCGACATTGAGCGCAGCCAGCTTCGTGTCCACGGCGCTTGCGCACCGCGTTACAGCCTTGAGCATGGCATCAGTGCACAGCGCGTAGAAATCGGCACCGGTATAGTGGAAGGGCAACTGCTCTGCCACACGGGCCAGCGACAGCGCCGGGTCGAGCGTGAACTTGCGCGTCAGGGCCTCCAGGATAGTCTGCTGCTTCTCGTGGGTGTCCGACACACCCAAGTACAACATCTTATCGAAGCGTCCGGGTCGTAGTAGCGCCGGGTCCAGTAAGTCAGGACGGTTCGTGGCGCCAATGACAAACACGCCGCTTCCGCCAGAGTCGTCGCCGCCGCCAGACATGCCGTCGAGCTCCGCGAGCAGCTGCGACACAATACGGTCCATGACGCCGCCCGAGTCACCTTGGTTACCACGCTTGGGCGCCACCGAATCCAGCTCGTCAAAGAAGACAACACACGGGCGGGCGTCGCGCGCACGCTGGAAGACGCGGCGCACGTTGGCCTCAGACTCACCAATGTACATGTTGAGCAGCTCGGGGCCCTTGACGCTGAAGAAGTTGAGGCTGTACTCGGTGGCAATGGCCTTGGCGAGCAATGTTTTACCGGTACCAGGGGGACCGTAGAAGAGAATACCAGAGCGCTTCTTCATGCCCTTGGCGAAGAGCTCGGGGCGCTCGAGCGGCAGCTGGATGGTCTCGGTGATGGCGTCCTTGACGTTGGAGAGACCGCCGACGTCGTCCCATGTGACGTTGGGGATCTTGGGCGCGCCAATTGAGTCGGAGAAGTTCTTGCGCGCGGCTTCGACGGCGACTTCAAAGTCAGAGGCGGTTAGGGAGCGCGCGAGAGGGCCGCCGGCGACTTGGAGATCGCGGACGGTGAGGGGCAGCCCGGCGGTGGGGTTGGCGGTGGTGAGCTTCTCTAGGCGCGAGAGCTTGGCGAGAGATGCGCGCTCGACGACGTCGACGAGATCGCCGGCAACGAGGGCGGCGGTCTTGAGCGCAATGGAGTTGAGGTCGATGCTGGGGTCGAGGGTGACGGCTTTGTTGTCGATGACGGTGCGCAGGATGGCCTCACGCTCGGCTTCATCGGGGGCTCCCATTTCGAGTTCGTGCGTGAAGAGCGCGCGCACGCCGTCGGGGACTTGGTCTACGTCGTTGGTTGTGGCAATGAGCACGCGGGTGTCGCTAAGGATCTCCTTGAAAGATGCCTCGATGCGGTCTGCCGTCAGGGCCTCAATATGCTGGATTAGCAGCGCGCAGCAGTCGGCGCCGCAGCTCTGGGCACGCTCAGCGCGTGTGCGCAGGAAGCCTTCGGTCTTGACGTCGCTGCCGCTGCCGCTGCCTTCGTTGAGGATGTCGTAGGCGTCGATCTGGTATGTGTGCAGACCGACGTCGGCGCATGCGTTCGTTGCCATGGTCGTCTTGCCAATGTTGCGGTGCGTCGATGTCAGCAGGATCGCCACAGGCGGCATCTTGAGGTGGATGGCGCGCTGGGACGTCGCGGCAACGAGGAGCTCGCGGATCTGTCGGCGCAAAGGAGGAATATACTCTTGGGCGCCGCTGACGGGGAGAGCTGCCGGTGCAGACACGGATGCGCGGCGGGGAGTCTGGCGCAGGCCGAGATAGTACGGCCATGTGCTGGAGCTGGTTCCGGGAATGCGGCTGGTAACGAAGCCGGAGCCGTGCATGCCGACGGTCGAGCTGTCGATGCAGGCCACGGAACCCCAGAATGCCTCGGCCGTGCCGTCTTCGTCCTCGTCCGACTTTTGGATCTGGATATGCCCAACCTTGAACCAGGCGACGCCGTCAAAATGCGACGAGCCGCCGTCGGCAGAAGTTTCATCGGCGGTCAGGGCCATGACGTCGTCCACCTCTGAACCGCCAGCGCCGACTGCCTCTTGGAGTGTTCGACCGAGCTGGGAGTCGACAGATACAGCGATGAGGTCGCCGGTGCGGACGAGACGTAGCTTATCGGCAAAGTAGTGCTTCAGGCCACCCAGGACGGCAGTCTGGTAAGCTCGCTCGGCGGACACGGGAGTGCGAATATGGTGGATCGTAATGTCGCGAGCGTATGGAGGGCGCAGGGCGCTTGTGAAGCGAGGATTTGTTCCCTTTCCGTGGTATGCAGACTTCTTGAGCGCCGAGATGCGCACGTGTGTAGCGTTGTCGAGGTTGGCAAGGAGGATCGGCGAGGCATAGGCTGTCGGGCTCGTAGGTCGCTGGACTTGGGACTCGAAGAAGGATGGCCGGCGCTCAACGCGGCGTGAGGTGACGATGCGGCTGACAGGCTTTTGCGAGTAGCCTTCAGGAAGACCGTAGACGCGGACGGGGCGCCAGTTTGCTGGCTCGGCTTCCATTTGACCAAAGCTGCCGAGGCCAAAGGCGCCGAAGCCGTTCAGAGGAGGCTCCTCAGCGAACTCGACGCGCGCCCAGTCACCAGAGAAGCAGCCAATCTTGGACAAGGACGACATGTCGACGTAGATGCGGGCCTCCTCGTCGTCCTCGGTGCCGGGCTTGGGGTGCAGAAGCTCGGAGGGAATTGGTCTGCGAAGGCCAGCAGCTTTGAAGAGCCGGCCCCGTGGGCGATCTTGGCGAGCTGTGGTAGCGGTAAAATTGGAAAATACGGAACCTGGAGTTGCTGCGCCATTGGTCTTGCGGCCACGGACGGTGCCGAGTGTCATGGGAGTGCCGGGGCCCATTGTGTTCATGGTCGAGCTGGTAGAGTGCAGAGCCGGCGCTTCGAGCGAAATCATGTCGTCCATGGAGTCGTCAGAGAGCTCTTCATCTTCGGATCCCGAGATTTCTGTTTCTGTTTCGGTGGCCGTTTCGGTCTCGGTCTCGGTCTCGACGCGGGCGTCTGTCTTGTATCGTTCCTCGGCAGCGGAGAAGAATTGGTCGTTGCTGGTGTCCTCATCGTCTTCGGGCACGCCATTGAGTCGTGAGCTCGAGCTGAGCGACGAAACGCTCTTGTCTGCGCGGCGGTGCACTCTGCCGCGCATGAGCACAATCTTGGTGCTCGGCGTCAAGACACCCTGCGCCACAGGCTCACAGAGCACAATCTTGCCTGGGTTTGGGGGCAGATGAGTGACGGGGTGCGGAGCTAGCGGCAGAGGAAACAGGTCGCCTGTGTGCACAATGGTGAGGCTGCTAAGCGCTGTGCGAAGGGCCAGCGTTAAGCGCCCCTCCGGTGAAGCGTTGGCCACAGCTGCCTTGTTGGACGAAGCGGGCTGGTGGTCGCGGAAGAAGGTTCCCTCGCCGTTTTCGATTCGTTTTGTGAGTTCGCTCTCCAAGCTGACAAAGACTGTCTCCAATGGCACGGGGGCGACATCAAGAACAAGAATCTCGATGCCGCTGCGGCTGTGGCTGGTGAGCTTGGACGGCGCAACTTGCTGGAGCGTGACTGCGAAGCTCTGTAGGGCGGGTGACGACGGCGAGAACTGGACAATGGAGTGTGCGAGCGACGAGGAGCGAACGACAGGCACAACGGACCAGCTTATATCGGTGGGTGCGGCGTTGGGGGTCCATGGGGCAATGGCGACGTAGTGAATGTCGGCGTCGTCACCTAGAAAAGTGAAGATGTTAGCAGGCGAAACACCGAACAATGATAGCTAGCTTTTATTCGTCAGGAGACCCTTACTGTTGCGGAGATGAGGGAACAAGTCCACAAAGAGATCCTCAGAGAGAATGCCCACGTCGCTCTTGACGTGGTCGTCGAGCACGAGGCGCGAGGAGATGGCGGGCTTGTCTTGCCGGCGTCGGCGGCGGCTAAGAGGCCCGCTAGAAGCTGCCGGAGCAGTCATGATGCAGAATGTGAGGTAAAATAGGAACGATAAACGGGGTGTGGCGAAGCAATTGGCTAGAAATGCAAACGAGGATGGTTGGAAAGCTCAACCTGGGGAAATCGCGGGATCGCGGTTATGTCATGTCGATGCGGATGGGGGAAGAATGCAGCCGCAACAAAGCTTCAGGGAGGATGAACCGCGTGATTGCCGCGTGAATTGTCGTTCGAGACGCGCAGAGAAGCTCCAAGCAGCAAAGAAGAGAAAGCAGAAAAGATGGCGATGTTGGCGTTGGAGGAGTTCGGTTCGGTTCCAGAAAGCAGGCCGAGGCATTGGTGGGTTGGCCGAATGGGGTTTAGCGTGGTTTAACCGGAGTTTGGGGGTTTCGCGGGGGAGGCAAGGACAAAGTGTATCGGCCGATTGTTGGCATGTGTCTAGTGTATTAAATATAATTTATAATTTATAAATCAAATGCACTTTACACTTGTATAAAAGATTGTAAATAATTTATTTACAATTTTTCCATCTGATATTGTGGCAGTTGTGGCACATGATGTACTGCGACACGTGAAAGAACGCCGTTGCAAGCCGTATAAGTCAAACCACAGCACCGTTTCTAAGCAACAAACTCGATAAAATAAATATGGTAAAATAATTTCGTCCATCAAACTGGGATAATAACTGGTAAAAATGTGTTGAACGCCAACAGTGAGTCAAAATGCATCAGCCTTGACTCACCGTACGCGGAATAGAGACCCTTCATCTCCCAAAAACCACGTATACGAACAAGCGCCCATTTTTATAAAACTCAATCGGCAACCATTGCGATTACCAAAAATAGCCCTGTCAATCTTTGCAACTTCCATCACGCTTCCATGGCAAGTGCCGAACGTTGGTGGAGAGGCTCGGAAAGGAACGCCTTGGCGCACACCCACAAGCCCCATTGTCTTTAGCCTTGGTTAAGCTTTGCTGGAATACGATCGTATTGAAAAACAAAAACCAGGCGAGTTTTCCATACGGCTTTCATATCCTTCTTCGGACATAACGCTCACTAAGCACCCTCATGGGAGGCAACCGGCGCCAGGCTTAGCCGTTACAGGCATTTGCTAAATTAAACTGTGATCCAATACACTGATGATGCGCATTTCTACGTCAAATATTTTACTTGCTGCTACCAAATTGGCGGCGCCAGCTCATTGTGGCGCTGCCGCTGTGCCATATACGAGTCTCCCAGTGGTTGGCTTGGTTGACATTCTCGCAAGCCTCGTCTTGCCGCGCCGTTGGATCACGTATATGTCCACTTTTAATAACAAAGGACGAAATTATAGATGCTCGGAAAAAGGGTTTTACGTGCCGCCGTGGCACGAGGATGGCGCATGTGGGTAAGTGCCGACGCAGCTATTCCTGCTTAGGGCTGTGTTGTGGACGAACGACACGGCTACCGGGTCCGAAGGATATGACTTGGGCTGAGATGGGCTGATGGGTGATGTGGGAATGTTTATAAAGCTCTATACCGCTTCATCCGAGAGATATCATGTACACACAACACCAATACAGTCACCATGTTAGCCGCCGGACAAGCGATATTTGCGCCAAAGCGTTCCAGGTGGACGTTTAGAGGCCGAGATGTGCTCATCCTTACCTTTATACTTATTTCAATACTGGGTGTTTTGGAACTTTCCGCGGTGCCGCCGTCGAAATGGCGAGTCCTCGGCTCAACCACTTACACGCCAGAGCAGCAGCAACAGCCAGCAAAGGTGCCATCGATTCGTATGTCTCACCACAACATGCAAAATAATAAATACAAAAAGAAATATTGACATATTATAGAATCAAGTATATTATTAAAAGAAGCAACACCAGAGGATAGCCGCATCGCCAAAGTTAGCATCATGTACGGCGACGCAAAGCCAGAATACGAGCAGGCTCTCGCCACACATAAGCACCACAACCGACTACACGGCTACAAAATGCTGATTCAGCGTGAGCCCATGTTGGAAGGCTATTGGACGAAGCCCGCCTTTTTAATGTCTATCGTTCTTCAGGAACTACGGAAACCCCAGCACGAAAGGCTACAGTGGCTATTTTGGGTCGACGCTGACACGATTATACTCAACTATGAGATGCCCATCGAGGCATTCTTGCCGCCGTGGCAGGACAACGACTTGAAAGATATCTCCATCGTTGTTACCAACGACTTCAACGGCTTTAATAACGGCGTCTTTGCGGTCAAAGTAGATGTGCTGGCAGCAGAATTGTTTGCCGGCATTCTCGCGTTTCGCGACTTTGAGCCTGAGACCTATTTACAGTGGCACGATCAAAGTGCAATGCACAATGTGCTAAAGCAGCGGAAATTCGCAAAACATACTGTTTATGTACCACAGAGAGTGCGTTGTTGTAATGAAAATACACGGAGACAAGTACCTGCTAACAAAAGACACAGTGGTTTAATGCCTACAAGCCAGACGAGGGAGGCGAACTAAAGGAAGACCATGTTCGACCCGGCGACTTTTTAGTCCATTTTGCGGGTGTTGCGGACCGAGAGCCCGTTATGCGCGAATGGCTTACGTTGTCTGAGAAGCGATTACCAGAATGGAATGTCCGGCTTTCCGCTACCGATTATCCAGCAGAGATTGAAAGATTTTGGGCGAAATTTAAAGAGGAAAAGGCTGTACGAGACAAGGAAGAAGAAGAAGAGTTGAAACGAAAGGAACAAGACAAGAAGAAGCAGGAGGAGGAGGACCAGAAGAACAAGGACAAGGAAGAGAAGAAGAGCCAATAGCAAGACGGATAAATAGATATTAAACTGTGTATAATACCAATATCTTTTTTCTTTATTTTTCAGGCTATGCATTCATTGCTCGCCTCGGCGTTGTGCGATGTCCGACTTTGGATGCGACCACGGACCAGTCGGCTCCGACATGCCGATATACTGTCTTTCGCATAGCTACCCGAAAAAAGGCGCCTTGCAATCCATTTGACAAAAAACAATTTACATTTTAGTCCCGCACGTAATCGTCTTGTCTCAATATAGCCGGGCAACTGCCATCTCCCCGCGTCTCGGCAGTGCCGGTCCCGGTTAACGCCGCCGCCAGCCCCATGCGACGGCAGCAACCGCACAATCGCAGCCGATCTGTGTTCAGCGGATACCGATATCGTGTATTTATGACGTTTTTTGGAGCTGGGCGGCTTGCTATCGGAGATATATTTGCGATATCAAATGACCTATACACTTACGCAATGTTCGGTGATATCGGGATTCTCGCAAAAACAGAGAGTGTACGTCGGTTGTACTATTGTTTGAGTTCTGTCGAAACCTGGCCGTTGTGTACATGCTATTGTTGCCTTATTCCATCATCCAAACATATCCCCCACCTCATGAGGTTTAGAATGTCTCTTATAGCCTGTATTCAAGGCAGCTCGTATCAGAGTCCAGTGGTTTGCAGTGTTACAGTCACAATTGTCGTACGGGTGATCAACGGGTATGTAGATGGCGGCTGAAGGTCTTCCATGCACGTTTGATGGCTACAAGAACCACCTGCAGGGGATCTGCCGCATTAGCGTCGGCCTAGTCGGGACCATCATCCCAGCTTAAGTAGAAATGCGGTCGGGCGGGGACTAAACAGCGAGACGCGAGGATGGGGACGCTGACATAGGAACAGTATAAAGAGGAAGGATTCAGCTGCAGTGTTTTGCTGGTGTGGATGCTACTGGCTCTTCATCACGCATCGGTCTCAATCCTTCTCTCTATTTTGTCTTTTTTACAATGCACGTTCTCATTATTGGTGGTGCTCTTAGTGGGCTCAGCTTGGCCCAGATGCTGCGCAAGCATGGCATCTCATTTACAGTCTTTGAAAGAGACGAGACGCCCGATTCTCGCTTCCAAGGCTGGGCAATTGCTCTTCATAGGTATACAGGTACTGGTACTCCATGAGACCAAATAGTGTACTAACATGACGCCAGCATTCTGGGAGATCTCAAGGCCTCGTTTCCAGACGACATGCCCGACATGCTCAGGGCAACATCCCATCTTGCGCCGCTGGATCTGCCTGCCCAAATGGCCTTTTACGTAGACGACCACAGCGGCCGTACTGGTGCCGAAGTAAGATATTCCCATCGACCTGTCTTTTCTACCATGTGCTAACTGTAGCAGCACTCCGAAGAGGTGCCCTGGGTGCGATGCGAACGCCGTCGTCTGCGCGACTGGCTGAGTACCAAGATCCCCGTCCAGTGGAACAAGCGCATGTCCTCAATGAAGGAAGATGACTCTGGTGTGACTGTCTACTTCGAAGACGGCACCTCTGCTCGCGGCGACATTGTCGTTGGCGCTGATGGCTTCAACAGCGCTGGTATGTACATCAATCTACTCCTTTGGTTTCACAGCTAACTTTGCAGTGCGCCGCTCCCTTCTGGGGAAACCTCTTGAGGACCTCGTCAACCTCGTCCCCTTTACCAATATCATTGGCGAGGTGACGCTCTCAGGCGCCGCATTTGAGCGACAGCTCTCTCTCGGTCACAGTGCATACCGCTATGGACCGACAGATAGCAACTATGTCCTCTTTGTCGGCCTACACTGCGTACTCCCGGACGGCCTCTCGGGCAAATATTACTGGATCCTTGGCGAACGCGACACTACCGCTGGATGTGCAGACCACTGGCTGCGCACGGCAACGCCGCAGCAAAAGCTAGATTACATCATGGAGCTAACGAAGAATGCACCACCCAAGTTACGTGAGATCCTCGAGTTGACACCCGTTAGCGGCATACAGGCCGAGTTCAAGCCCTGGCGGGATATGGAGCTCGAGAGCTTGCCAACTGGACGAGTTGCGCTAGTGGGCGATGCAGCACACACAATGACACCGTTTCGCGGTGAGGGCGGCATGTTTGCGCTGATTGATTCTCTGGATCTAGGAAAGCGCCTAGCTGGTGCAAAGAGCGAGGATATCGTCGGTCTTGTCAGGGAGTATCATGATGAGATGCTCGCCAGGTCGGGACCTGCGGTGCGTAGAAGCAGAGGCGCAACGGGTAAACCGGATGGCGGTACGCTGCCGACGTATGGAGGAAGAATCCCGACAGAGCTGCCACCAGAGACCATTTCGCTGGCTACTGTGAAGCGGCTGGTGTACTAGAGGATGAATGCAGGCGACTCTAGAATGGTCGGGGGTTGTGAATGGAAGACTCTCTCCGCTAAGAATGACAACAAATAGAAATTCATATAAATAAACAAGCTTTATACAGATTCTCTGGTATTTTTCGCGACTGATGTATCTCGTCTGATGTTGGCGGTGACGATGATTATCACAGCCTTGGTCGTGTTGGTGGAGCCTGGTAAACCATGCATTTACATGTGAAAGACCAATTTTACTCCTTGCTGCCACGAAATTAGCAAATTCTTCAACCTCTTCTCAAACATCTTGAACGATGAGTACGACTTACGAACCTCGCAATTGACCGCTGGAAGAAACACACGGCGCCTTAGCAAGCCCCCCTATCAACATCACCACGCGACACATGAGTGACGACATCGCGCTGAGCGCCATCGACGCCGCGCAAACTGTTAAAAAGCATATTCTTTCGCCTCACCCACTATTTCCACCGCTTCCGACGTACCCGGCGCCAGCAACTCGCCGTAGCCGCCTTCGAAGCCTCTTCTTCCGCGCTACATCGTTCGTTCTCAGCCTCACCTACCTCCTTTCCATTGTGGTAGCCTCGCTCGTCACCAGTATCCCCGGGGCATGTCGCAAGCTCTTTTATAAAGTTACTCTGCGCGATCATCGCACCAATCGCCCGTTATATGCCGAACAAATCAAGCGTACACAAGATCGGAAGAGGCGTGATAGTGCATGGCATCGTCGCGCGTCGGTCACGTCACTAGGCGAGGACCAGGAGGGCACAGCTGAACAGTTCAAACCAACAGAGGGCGGAAAGGATCCTATAGTTTGCGATGTAGGATATTACGCCCGCCGAGTCGGCTTAGACGTGGAAACCTTCAAGGTTGTCACGGAGGACGGATTCCATCTTGACATGCAGCACGTTGTGAATCCCAATGAACCACCTTTACAGAAGAAGAGAATGCCGGTACTGCTGATGCACGGGCTGTTACAAAGTTCAGGCGCATTCTGCTGCAACGATGATGCCTCGCTTGCCTTTTGGCTCGCCAAGGCTAGCTTTGACGTCTGGCTGGGCAATAATCGCTGCGGCTTCGTGCCAGGCCACGAGACCCTGCATACGAGCGACCCGCGCATGTGGGCGTGGAATATTCGCGACATGGGCGTCTATGATCTCTCTGCGCTTGTCGATAGAGTCCGTGAAGCAACAGGCTTTGAAAAGATTGGTCTAGTGTGTCACTCGCAAGGGACGACGCAGACGTTTGTGGCGCTGGCAAAGGACCAGCGCCCGGAACTAGGAGAAAAAATATCCGTGTTTTGCGCTCTGGCACCGGCAGTGTATGCTGGGCCTCTATTAAACAAGATTTACTTGAAATTGATCAATCTGCTTCCGCCGAAGCTGTACCGGCTCATCTTTGGCATGCACGCTTTTATACCCTCTATGATGACGATGCATTCGGTGGTGCCGCCACGGTTATACGGATGGCTAGGATATAAAGTGTTTTCGTTTCTGTTCGATTGGTCAGATAATCGATGGGATCGTGGTCTACGCGATCGACAGTTTCAGTTTGCTCCGGTATATGTCAGCGCTGAGGCGATGCGGTGGTGGCTCGGCCGAGATGGGTTTGCTCGACACGGTTGCATCCTCGCCACGAAAGAGACCTGTCAAGCCGAAGAAGCTGCTGACGCAGAACCCAAAACAGATGGTTTGCAGTCGGATAAACGGAAATCGGCGTGGTATGATGCCCGAGCGCCACCCATGGCGTTTTGGGTGTGTGGTAGAGACGAACTTGTTGATGGCCGGAGGTGGCTGCGGCGTCTGGAGAATGGACGAGAACCGCTTGTTACCGTTATCCATAAGACTGTGATTGAAGAGTATGAGCATCTGGATGTGCTATGGGCCATGGACACCCCGACTCGGGTATTTGAGGAGGTGAAGCAGGTTCTTTGGCGGACATGCCCAGTGCAAGACGTGTGCGTTGTGCCCGAGGGCTGCGAATAGAATAATATGTATATAATCACGAATAATATACTCCAAGGGCTATTGGAACTTAGACCACATCTTCATATATCTTCTGTACAGTTACTTTGATGCCGTGTTCAGTACCAAGCTCCTGCAGCGCCAACCTTTCTTCCAGCAGCCATTTTTCCTTGGCCCAATCAAGCTGTAACCTGAAGCTGATAAAACGCGGCGTGTATAGCTCAAGGCTTGTCCACCAGTTCTCGAAAACAGAAAACTCATCCTTGCTTTGCCACTCGATACAATTGGTATTTCCAAAAGTGTCTTTCAGGGTGAGATGTTCGAGACTGGGCGGTAGGCGTTCGTGTAAAGGTGTCAGAAGGTCATCGGGTGAGAGCCCGATCAGAAATGCTAAAGGTGCCTCAATCGTTCGTAGCTGAGAGAGCGGCCGAAGATTCAGTTCTTTGAGCGCGATAGTCTGGTAGATGGTACTAAAGTAGTAACTCAGACCATGGTAGCCACCAATGTCGAGATTCAGGCTTGTTAAACTATCTGCCACAGGGTGTAGATTCAAGCCAACAGTTTGAAGATCGAGATGTTGTAATACAACAGCAACGTGGCTTTCATCGATGATGGTGGGCAGTACCCAATCCAACGATTGGAGATTCGTCGTGCGCTGGAGGATACGCCTAGTGAAACCCTTGCGGCTAATGATAAGCTTGAGGGATCGCAGATTGATTGGATCCGGCAGCTCCAGTAGTGGCCATGAAAATTGGTGCGGACCTAACATCTCCGTTTCCAAATGTTGTACGGCCGGGAGATAAAAAAAGCACGATGCTTCGTACATATTCCCCGAGCTCCAAGGAGAGTGATTACCCAAATACGGCTGAAAATTGACATGCGTTAAGCGAGAAAAGAGGACCGGCGCATCTTTCAGCATTGCATGAGTATATCGGTAGCAGAAAAGCCTGCACAAGAAGTCAATGTCTCGTGCAAATTGATAAGTGAGCTCGAGTGTAACCATGTTGGGTAGCTGAGCAAGTAGCACTGCTACAAAGGCATCCAATCTACCATGCATGAGACCAGTAATCCAATCTGTGCTATAACCGGCGCCAAAAGGCATAATGACGTCGATGAGTTCTTGGTAATGATCTTCAGGTATGGTAATCACACCACCCTGAAGATGCCTACATGGCCGAGAACCTGTCAGTATCAAACTCCTTACACGGCTGGCAAGATCTGGTCTCCTTGCCAGTTTCTGTATGAGCGGAACTATCTGCACTGGTGGACCAAGCGGTGTCCATTTCAACTCAATATCAGAGTAGAGTGATTCCTGAGCAATTCTATTCGCAGCGCGGTTCAAGCGACACACAGGCACCAGGTCTGGGGTAGATAGATTGCTGAACACCAGCTGCCACACCTCCACAGGAAGCTTGTCCATTTTTATTGCTAAAAGCGTCGTGTATGATTGAAACCAGTATTGTTGTAGTTGGTAAAGCCACACAGATCGTTGCCAAGATGGCGCCACAGGTGAGGGGATCTTGAACCCCCCGCCACGTAAGACATACGTCGTACAGCCTCACCGTCAATTTGATGATATTTTTCTTGTTTGTGTAACAATCTAGCATTTCATGTATTCCAAAAAAAATACAGCTGTAATTAGTCACTCATTCAGTCATTGAGTTAGAACGTCATACGACAGTGCCCATCCCACGCTCGCCATCGACTTGAGCATGCCCTTGCTGGCAATAGACTCGAAGTAGGGGGTACGAAAGTCGACATTTTTGCCGTTTTGCCATTTTCTCATGAGGTTTGCAGCCTCTGCATCCTGGGATGCGTAAGATTCAACATAGTCTCTCCTATCCTGTAGCGTTTCTTGACTGGGGATATCATGGGCAGATTCCTTGGACCATAGCATGCCAGGGAGACGGGCTGCAGAAGCGACGGGCGCAGTTGCTGCGTTTCCCCAACCAACAATGCTGTGAAATATTCAATTTAGCAGAATTATATATTATTTGAAAGATTACTCACCATTTGATATTATTGTTCTCGTCAAAGATGATGTGATTTGGCTTCAAGTTTCCGTGATCGAGAGCAAACAGCGTATTGTCGACGTCTTGACCAAGCACCTTGTGAAGTAGCTCCAGCTGATCAAAGCAATCCTTTTCAATGATCCCGGGAAGTTGTCCATCGCGAACACGAGCAAGCTGCCTTTCGATTCGGTGTTGGAAGAAGGCTGATGCAGTCATGGTCCCTACGGTGAATGGATTAGCGGTCACTTCGGTGAACTAATAGATGGCCAGTCGTACTAGTTTCCATGGTCAAAGAAAGTAGAGATTGTTGAATCTCCGCGATTTGGCCAAGTACTTTCTCTCGAATATTTCGCTTTGGTGTGCTGTCGGTCCACTCCATAGACGAGCCCTGGATCTATTCTTGGACTAGGAACGGGTACTTGATGGGATTGTCAAAAGAGAGACCGAGGCCATGGAGCTTAGGAGACCAAGCAAAGCCTTTTCCTTGAAGGCTTTTCAACACATTTGCATCCATAGTTATAAAGTCGATAATCGTTTGTCAATCACTCTGAGAGAGATGACCGATGCGGACAGACAGACTTGGATGGTCTTTGAAGCTGACCTTGAAGATGTGCGAATTGGCTCCTTGGAACTCTTCGACTGAAAGAGGTTCGTTACTGCCAACGCCAAGGTTAGCAAAGGCTTCGTAGATAGCCTCTAGGCTGAGGTTTTGTTCATTGCACGAAGTCATTGTTATAAGTGGATAGATGCCAATGTACTAGACTTGGGAGAAGGTTGTTTAGAGTAAACTGATGGTGAAGCTGTTCAGTTTCAAAACCAGCTTCGAACTGGGAAGTGTCATATTTTAAGAGATTTGGCTGTCCATTGTCCGCAGACGCCTGTCCAGGTGGTGTAAGTCGCACTGCCATCTGGCACAGCTGCCAAAGTGGGGAAGTTTTTACACCACATTCATGATCGTTGGCCGTTTGTACACTTTACTCGTAGCTTAGCTGACGCATATTCTCTCGAGCAGGCTCATTTAACTTCAACTATCGCATAAAATTATCATGAATTGTCATTTAGCTATGGAATAAATTTTGTATAAATAACCAAAAATTGAAATTATTTCATAATTGCCATTCCTCTTTATCATGGTCGGCGTGAACGTTGTACGACTGTGCACCTCCAACACAAACACGCGCACACGGCGGGTCACTCAGCCCGAGACGCCAAAGGAACAGAGCATTACTATTCTTTGAAGCTGTTTGGAAAGAAAATACCTTAAATGCTTTTATTGGGGATAATACTTGGCATATTATGTCATGTAGCAACCCTTTAGCGTTGGGTTGCGGGCACAAGCTGTATTTACAACACAAAGATACCGATAACCTGCGAGCCTCTCGCTTCGAAAGGCCCCGGGAATTGTAATCAGCCGCAGGACCGACCTGTCTCTTTTTTGAATTATTGAACCTGGCTGCAGGAGGGCGTCAAGTTCGTGCATAATCTGCTGCAGTTCCATTGCCTGTTTGCAGAAACTTGACGCCGAAAAGGGACGCCGTGGCTGCCGCTTGGGTCTTGGTGCCCAACCAAATCGTCTGGTAAGCTGCGGAACTGGGCCACTTGCTGGTTAAAGTAGAGACGGCACCCACCAATGTGACAAGCCTAGCGTGCGTATTTTAGCGTGTGGCCTCTCTTCTTCAGTGGAGCTTTAGGGTGGGCTGCCTCGGTAGGGTGGTGGAGTCTTTTGGCCTGGGGAAAGCGACAGCCGAGAAGGGACGGAGTGTCTGGTTTGGCTAATATTTTGGTATCAACTGCTCGATTAAAAATCATAATGACACTGTTCTAGAAACAAATAACCTGGCTGTAATTTTATCCCATTTTTAAACATCACGTGCATATGTCTAACCGTCACATTCCTCTCATCGTTCACCAGCCCAGCCACGTCCTCGGCTCCATGTACAGCGCTGTGGGGAACTTGGTCCCGGAACCCTGGTAAACCTCCGGCTTGCAGTGAAGTTCCCCCTACACTCGGCCACTGTCGATGTACCCGCTACACTGTAGCCAGCGTTGCTACTTTCCCCGACGGCAGCTTGCGTAGCCGGCAGCCCTGCTTCTTAAACCAGCTGCAATCTGCACTACCCCTCGGCGCAACAGCTCGTCCCGTCCCGTCTTTTTATTTTATTTTATTTTCGTGCTCCCCCTCTTCTCTGCCCTTTTTGTAGCTTTCGCATCTGCGACTCGCTTGATATCTCGCCTGCAGCATCCCATCGAGCTCCCGTCACACCAGCCCGCCCGGTGCATAGAGCAAACATTGCGCCACCATCATGCCGATCAAATCTCTCTTTGAAGACATCCCCATCCCGGACAGCGACCTCTGGTCGTTTGTCTTCGACCGACCCCGCGAATTCCCAGACTCGCACAGTAAGCTTAGCTTCAATTGCGTCGTCTAACGGCGTACGCTAACCGCACCTCGCAGCAATCTTTGTAGACGCCGACACCGCCCGCTCCTACAGCTTTGGCCAAGTCAAGCAGGGCAGCATCCAGTTCGGCAAGGGCCTTAAACATCTCTTTGGCTGGAAAAAGGGCGACGTCCTCGGCGTCTTCTCCCCCAACAACATCGATGTCCCCGTCGTCAACTTTGGCTGCATCTGGGCCGGCGGTATCCCCAGCACTGCTAACCCGACATACACGGCTACCGAGCTGGCCCACCAGATGAAGGATGCTGGCGCAAAGGCCATCATTACGCAAAAGGCCTTTTTGCCGGTTGCTCTCGAAGCGGCTGCCAAGGTCGGAATCCCAAAAGACAGAGTTCTTTTGCTCGGTGATGCTAGAGACCCTTCTGGCACTCACCGACATTGGACCGACATTACGGCTGCCAGCGCCTGGATCCAGCCGTCCAAGACCAAGGTTGGCCCTAAGGACATTTGCTTCATTGTCTACAGCTCGGTAAGAAGCTCCAAGATATTCTCATAGGGAGGGATTTAAAAACTAACTTTTGTTTAGGGAACTACCGGTTTACCCAAAGGTGTCCCACTCACACACGGCAACTTGCTCGCTGGTTGCGCCCAGTTCATGAAGTTGGAAGGTAAATCCATGTACTGGGAAGTGGATGGTGAGCTTGGTGTGCTACCATTCTTCCACATCTACGGTCTTGCCATTGTCGTCAACGCCGCGCTTGTGGCAGGCATTCGATGTGTTGTGGTTTCGAAATTCGACATTGAGCAGGCATGCCGCCTGATCCAGGACCACCGCCTGACTTTTGTCTACGTCCCACCGCCAATCGTCCTTGCTCTAGGCAAACACCCGGTAATCGACAAATACGACCTCTCGTCGCTTCGATTCATCAACTCGGCCGCTGCCCCGGTCAGCCAGGACCTCGTCGATCTCGTCTGGGAGCGAATTCATGTCGGCGTCAAGCAGGGATGGGGCCTCTCCGAGACGAGTCCAACCGTGACTATCCAGGCCATTGACGAGTGGAAACGCTTCGGGGGCTCGGTGGGCAAATTGATTCCCAACATGCAGGCCAAGATTGTCGATCCTGATGGCAAGGAGTTGCCTACTGGCGAGGTACGGTTACCTTGATTGTTCTCTTTGTAACCTTATGCTAACAACCGTTTTACAGGCTGGCGAGATTCTCCTTCGCGGTCCCAACGTTTTCAATGGATACTGGAAGAAGCCCGAGCTCGACAAGGAAACCTTCACCGACGGCTGGTACCGCACCGGTGATGTCGGCTACGTCAATGCCACTGGCCACTTTTATATCACCGACCGCATCAAGGAGCTCATCAAGTACAGTACGTCAACCTCCTCTACCCCTTCGTCGATATACAAATACTAACCATTTACCTTTTATAGAGGGCTTCCAAGTCGCCCCTGCCGAACTCGAGGGCATCATTATTGGCCGCGAAGATGTGGCTGATGTCTGCGTCGTAGGCGTCTACTCCGAAGCCGATGCCACAGAGCTCCCTCGCGCCTATATTGTCCTTGCTGCCGGCCAGACTGCATCCGACGACAAGGCCAAGGAAATCTCCGAATGGCTCGCTGGTCGCGTAGCACCACCTAAGAAGCTCCGTGGTGGCGTGCGCTTCGTCAAGGAGATCCCCAAGTCGGCCGCAGGCAAGATTCTGCGCCGCATCCTCCGTGACGAGGCCAATAAGGAGAACAAGGCACTCAAGGCCAAGCTTTAAACAGGACCAAGCTGTCAAACAAAACAGAATCCATGTCTTCTAAATAAATGTAATGATAATTTATGGTGGCTTTTAGTTATCGGGTATACCCAGCCGTTTTTATACAAGTCTAATGTTACAATGCATTCCACCCTTTTATACAAATGCACCCTTTTCTACCCCATGCGCTCCGCCTCTTCCATCAACTTATCCACGCTAAATCTCTCATCGCCCTTGGCAAACCAATCAAGCAATTCTAATCGTGCATCTGCTCTAACCTTTCGCTCGCCCTCCAGGGGCATACCGTCGTCCCAGCCGCCATAGAAGCGCTGCAGACACATCAACAACCACTTGGCATGCTCTGCCTTGACGCCTCTATCGTCCATAACCTGTCCCTGCATGAGCACAAGGCCCTTCTCATCCGCAAGATCCAAGTGATGTGTAACGGTAGTATGCGGCGTCGCAAACTCGCCCTTGGACTTGTACTCTGCCAACTGCGTAAAGAGCACCGTGGACGTCTTGGACGCGCGGTCAAACGTCCACTGGAGGAAGTGAATCTCAGCGCCCTGCGTCTCATGCGGCACGGGGAGCACGAACTGCGGTGCGCGCCGCGCAATATCCTCCATGGCCTGGTACGTCGACGCGGGGATCACGGCGCACAGATTCTGGGGCGAGTTGGCGTGGCGCAGGCGCCAGATGGCTGTGAGTTCCTTCTCGGGCAGCGTGCGGACCTTGTCGAGATCGATGATGTCGTCAAGACTTTTAATTGCCTTCTTGTCGCCTACGCGGGGCACTGGTTGGGGCTGGCGCGGCGCTGCGGTTTTGGTAGTGGATTCGGGGGCCGGCGGCGGCGAGGGGTTTGTGAATTCGGGGATCTTGAGGGCCTCGTCAATGGCATCCTTTTTGCGCTGCTCCGCAATCTTGTCGGCATAGGCGGTCTTGAGCTCGTCAATGTTGGTGTGGCCTTCGCTCTTGGCTTTGGCGGCGAGCTTGGATTGGTATTTCTCGAGGATGGCTTGGGGGGATTGTGTCGTGAGGAAGCGCACGTCGTGGACTTGGGCCCAGCGGCGCTGTTGGAGAATGCGAGGCGCGCGGAGGGGGCATGATGCCAGGTGGCGAAGGAGAGGAGTGCGGAGGGAGGCCATTGTCGCGGGTGGTGAGGAGGTGATGGCCAGGCGGTGATGTTGCGATGTTGGAGAAGAAGTCTCGATTTTGGAGGTTCGCCTGCGCAAATAGTGTAGTAGCGACTGCAGTGGCTGGCGGCCAACTTTTTAGTGGGGTTGTGCCTGTGGTGCCTGGCATGTTCCACACTTCACGATAGGTCACCCTTCTCTCTTCCACAATAGACGAGCCATGACATGAACGCAGTGGCGTCTAGCTATCAACTACAAATATGTCTCATGTGCCTGCATCCAAGTGGCGATAATGTCGAATCTAACACCGGAGGAACAGCATGTAATCCAGCAGAATCCACTGGGGGATTCTCTGAGCATTGTCGCACAAACTTTGCGCGACGTGGGAGTTGTGAAATTGGCGGACACGCACACGGAGCAGCCAAGCACCAGCGAAACTGAACGACCACGCTTATTCACAGCAGCAATAAGCAAATTGTTTGGAATCCTGGCTGCCTCTGATGCGTCTGTTTTGCTCAATTCAAGAACTGGAAGAAAGCCTTGGATCCGATCTAAGCGCTGCTCGCCCTCGTATACAAAACGAAGGTGGTGTGTACAGCACCTTTGAACCATTGTCGCAACTCGTTCTTTCTCAGGCATCCGATATCGATATCTGGTCTGCAGTCATCGAGCTTATAATCTCTATTGCACGGTCTACCCCGCCTGCTTCAACACTCCCGACTTCCCTTAATTCCGTTACTCCAATCACGCACCTATAATCCGGCGAGTCGCCAAGCGACCGTATTAACCTTGCCAACTGTCTCATAAAGTAGCGTCTGGTTGGTCGCTTTGCTGCAGGCTGAACTGGCGTGCATGAGCAGCCATGTAGGTCGGCGGCTAACTTGGTTGCCTGTTCCCCCGCATGTTCTGTGCCGTGAATCTCCATCTTCCTTTTATTTCCAACTCGGATCGCAAAAGGATCACATATCGACTATAATGAGCAGCACAACTAGGAAAACGAAGAAGCAAAAGGGGAAAGAGAGAGAGGCCATCCATTCTGATCTAAACATCGAGTTTGTTGATCCATTCGATCCTCGAACAACCTCGGAGGGCCTCGAATACCTACGACGTATACTGGATGATATATATAAAGCAGGCCGCTGCTCAATCAAGAAATATACAAAGAGAGCCGATGAAGATGTAGCTGCAGGGGTTCTTAACTCTTGGCGGGGGGACACTCTAAAGAGAGCCATGGATATTAGTGGAATGGCTTGCAAGTGCTTTAAGAGCAAGGACCCGGAAATTCATTGGAGAATGCAGGTTGAATCTCAAGCCATGTATAGGTTACAACGCGAGGTTGCTTGGTAGGTTTATATCGAACGTCTATTATCCTCTAGCTAACCTGTTGTACAGTATGAGATGCGGACAGCGTCTTTGGGTTTCGGAGGTTCAAGCCCAGCCCAGTATAGTCAAGCGTGAAGATGGGCGGCTTCCAGAGGACCGTCCAAATTCCAGAAAAGTGTGCGAATGTGTCCCTGATTTTACCGAGTACGCTCAGCTTTTTTAATTTTCCTATACTTGGATATATCTCTAACACGTATTATGTAGAAACGGGTTGACAAAAATATTTGCTAGTACAGCAGATGCACAAACCTCATACAACCCAGAGGCGCAGAAGCGTATTGGTAAAGAACGCCCTGATGCCGTGTACGGTCTACAGCGCACGAGACGCTTCGAAGAGTTGTTAAGGGGTCTTCCAGAGCCAAACGCTCGCTGTACAATATATGAGAACAACAAAATCATCTTTCCGTTTCGTATTCTAGAAGCAAAGTCTGAAACTAGCAAGGACAACTTCCACGACATAAACAACCAAACAGGGTTAGCAATAAGCGAAATGCTAAACCTACAGATTGAATTATTCAAGTTAGCTGGGAGATCATATGGCGAAAATGTTGGCCCAATCGTGTGGTATATTGCTACACGAGGTGACTTATGGAAAATCCATGTTGCTTATGTCAATATGGTGAAGGACAAACCCCAGTATGTAAGTGATGATAGTTCCAGATATGTATTCAGTGGAAGCTAATACTTTAGCAACGTAGCAAGTTCGTGGAGTCTGGGATGGCTGTGTATGCTTCCCTGAGAGGGCGTTGCAGCTAACTCTCATTGTCGACTACATTGCGGACTGGGCGAGGAAAATCTATCGAAATGAGATAACCGCTTGCTTGGAAACATTTCGACAGAGTGTTGCTCGTTCTACCGCCAGCATCGCGCGAGACACACCGGTTGAGTCACAGGAACATCACCAGGACCATATGGAGCTGAATATTGAAATCAATGGATTTGGTGCCGATACAGACAGTGATCTTTATGGCATCGAGCTCGACAGTCAGTCAGTTGATGGGTGTGGATCTAAAACAAGCGTTCATCTAGACTCTGCTCCCGTCTCAAACAAGGATGATAAACTGCAGATCTCAAATACCGGCGACAGGTTCAAATTCGTTGGTATAACTATTACGAGGGGTATTTTGGATGATCTGTTTCATGGTCAACTGAAATCAGGCTCGTTAATAAATATTACGGATATTTTAGGCGTTATATTGCAACATTCTTTTCAGATGGATGAGATGAATCTGGTCTGGGAATCTCCCTATCTTGACAATAGTTTCAAGAGATTCATTTCAGATATGGCAGACTCTGTCTTTGCCTTATCAATTTACCGAACAAGGGCGTGTTTACTTACTAAACTCACAGAAGTCCACTTTGTCGCTGTCGAGAATGACATAATCCCACTGTTTTGGGGGTTATCAGGAAGAGAACCTCCTAGCCGGCATGGGACACGGTATTTCCTTAAACTTATGGGTTATTTGTTCACCCCCGAACCTTCTCGAAGGTACGGCACTCTGTTTATTGATATGCTTGGTCCACCATTGGCCTTATCCGAATTGGTTATAGGGAAAAGTGTATTAATTGGTTCTGCCAAATTCGATCGCTACGACGATAACAGGATGATTGCCGATATGATAAGCCGAATAGCTTTGAGTGGGCCTGAATTACACCTAACAGAAACTGATGTTATATCACTATGGAATCGCTAGTTTCTCTTCGCTTAGTGTATATGTTCCACGCCAGTCGCGAATCCACGCCACTCGGGAATGGCGTGGAATATATATAATGAAGAGTGGTGTGATAGACATGCCTCGATGTTTCTGCATATTTTTTGTCAGTTAATGCTATAGAATTTTACCCCCATTGACGGTTGTTCTCGATGGTCCATTAATGTACAATTCCGATTTTCGACGTTGATTATTGGAAAGTCTAGTTTGGCGGGGTTGCGCTATCAACGCAAAGATGGCTTATCGCGGAGGCACTTGTCACAGCCCCGCCAGCAGAAGCTTCTCCAAAATCACAACCGGTATCGGCACGTGGGATCAATCACAATTGGATTCTACAACGCAGCGGAATAGCACCGACGTTGAAATTAGCGGCTAAGTAATCAACGACGAGATATTCTTGGCGTAACTTCTGTTTTAACTGGATTACGAGCCACCCTTCCAAGCTTTGTTGCCGCAAGCGTCGTGATCGCGGGGTACAGTTTTCTCTCAGCAGCACGACAACCCCTCGTGGCCGCACTGGAACCATCGCTTCTTCCGCCAAACCCGGCATTGAAGCCAGCTGTTTCAAATGGCTGATTTGCGACAGCTCGCCCTAGAATACGTCCTTGGCGACGATGAAGCCAAGCTGACGATCATCGCCAAGGACACTGCGAGAGGCAAGTCTCTCAAGTCTCCGGCGCCGCCTCCGCTAACCTCTTGTCTTTCTGGTAGAACTCGAATCGGCCCCTGCCAACACCAATCCCGTCGCGCGATGGGTCGAGGCTGTTCAGCCATGGATGCCTAACCGAGACGGCGACGACGAGACTCACGGTGCACCCGACTGGACCGCCCGCGCCAAAGCCCTCGAGTTTCTCTCACGAACGCTGGAGTACCTCGGAAATGATGTCCTGAAGCCCAGTCAAAGTATGAACATATTCTACCCGAAAGTTCTAAGGTCTCGGTTCTAACACAGAGATAGCCAAATTGCTCGTCGCATTCTTCGGCGCCATGTTTGACGTCGACCACAAAGCAGGCATCCTTGCCTCGGCAAGCGCTCTGCGAAAAATCACAGAGATGAAGGCATTCCAACCGTCGAGTGCGATCGATATCTTCGAAAAGCTGTGCTGCTTAAAAGACGATTTTCCACGACAACTTTCCACGACACGACTCGCCGTATACAAGCTCATTCAATCGCTGCTAACGTCTGAGCCGGTTGAGAAAGACATTAAGGGCAAGCAAGGACCCAATTACCAGTTCTTGCTTGATTTATTGCAACTTTGCCGAAGCGAAAGAGACCCGGACTGTCTTATGGTTTGGTTTGCCATTCTCACGACCATCATGACGAAATACGCACCGAGCCAAGAGACGTTGGACGAAGTCTACGGAACATTTAAAGCATATTATCCCATTACTCTACCCAGAACGGCTCAGAGCAAAGTCACTCCCGACGATCTCAAGTCACAACTCCGCGCCTGTTTCTCTTGCAACTCTAGTTTGGCTAAGCATACGTTTCCTTTCTTGGTCGGCAAACTGGATCAGGGCGATGGAGTTACCGTCAATGTGAAGATTGACGTCTTGCGAACGATCAAGGCTTGTATAGAGGAATACGACAAACCCGACGAAACAGTTATCCCCTATGCAGACAGGATATGGGGCAGTCTCAAGTACGAAGTGCGCAATGGAGAGATTGAGGATGTCATTTGGGCTACCCTTGAGGTTCTCAAGACACTGACAACCCGTCTCAAGGAGAATGATCTGCGCGACTATATTCTTAACGTTACTAGAGACTGTGTTGGCGATTTATCTAGCGCCATGTATGCTGGTGCTGCGGGCCGTTTGCTCGTCAGTGTGTTGAGCGCTAGCCCGGTGGCATTTGTCCAAATGGCTGCGCCAACAGTTACCCATATCAAAGAGAGCCTGCGCCATCCCAAGTCTATAACCCACTCACAAGATTTATACAAGATTATTCGAGTCGTCCTGCAGACGAGAATTTTGCTAATGGAACTGCATACCGATACTGCCACACAGAAGGACTTTGCTGCCGTCGACTCAGTCTTCAAGTCTCTCTACCATGATATCTTCAGCTCAGCTCTTGCAAGAGGCAGCAAAGATGGACCATCTGAGGAAGATATCAAAGTCGCAACTGCAGCAGTGCATGGTGCTGGTGCCTTGGTCTGTCAAAGAGCTGCCATTGCTCCCGGCGAGGAGACCAACGATCCTCTATCGCTGCTCCCTGAGAAAACGTGCTCTGAGATTTGTGAGGCATTATTTCAAATCCCTCTCCATCACTACACTACTCACTCCAGCGAGGCTGGTGTGGATGAGCTCATCAACGAGACTACCGAGGCTCTGCAAAAGGCAGTTGTTGCTCACCCAGCAGCCTTTGCCACAACTGTCAGCAAGTTCCAATCACTACTGAAGTCTACACAAGGAAGCAGCACAGAAACAACTGTTGATCTCATTGAAGGTCTTGGTCCGCTATTGGCCTACGTTGGCTGCTCTGAACTGCCAAAGAACGTTGGATACGGCGTTTTCCAATTCTTAAGTCTGTCAGGTCTGTTTACACGAGAGCTCTCTCAAAGCGTAGCCGCTGGCACGAGCCCCAAGATCTGGTGCGCATTGATGGCTGGCCTGGAGAACACTATTAAGTACTACGGTGACGCTCTTACCAAGACGGATGTCGACCGCGAGGCTGCTTTCAATGGACAAGAATCAAACACCTTTGATGCGGACGCTATTTCTAGCAAGATTACTAGTAGCTACGGCTCATTACTTGGACTTGGCGCTTCAGGCTCTGTTGAATATGGGGATTTGAAGTCTACGCTCCCAATTACTTCCGCTGGTGCTCACCAGACCTATATCGAGGTCGGCTACGCTTTGCTGAAGCATTTCTTTAGCAGTGTAACAACCGGAACACAGACATTAACTCTCAGTGCCGAGTTCAACGGTAAAGATACCGCCTCTGAACAGCAGTACCTCCACATGCTCGGTGACTTGGCTAGCTCGTTTATCCACGAGCTAAGCGAGGTGCAGCAAGTCGACTTGAAGATTCATGAGCGATCGCTTGATCTGTTCCAGACCACTGTTAAGCTTCCAGTTGGTGATGCCATGGCTGTGGATGAGACCTGGGAGTGGCTGGTCAACACACCTGTCAATGCTCTGTTCTACGGCATGATTGAATCAACTCGTCCAGAAGTGATTACCAAAATTGTAAGTAAACGACTTCCATGTTTCAAATTCTCGACTAACAGAGAGCAGTTCCAAATGGGCGTTGGCCAGAAGCTTATCCAGGCTGGCGTCTCCCCATCCTCGTCTTTTGCAAATGCCACCACCTCTAGCATCTCCAAATCCGTCCTAAGCATTCTTGCCAACAAGCATAAGTTAGACGGCGAGGATGACCTACTCACCTCTATTGAATCAATAGTCACCACGGGACTCACACAAACTACTACCCATGCTTCAGAAAGAATCGTTTCGTCCCTTGCCGTTGCCGCAGGTTTCCTGCGTCGTTACACTGGTGCTAAGACGAAACCGCTTGTCGCAGCCATTCGCGAGGTCCCTAAGAATGCTGAGCTTGGCTTCAGCCTCGCTCGAAGGTTGGAGATCATTGTTGCGCCACAGAGATTCCTATCGAAGGACAATTATGCTACTGTAAGACCACTGTGGCTGCAGAAGCTGTACTTTGATCTCGTCAAGCCGCTCCTTGTCGGCGCCACAGACCGAGAAGCAACACCTCTCTCTCGAGCTAGCTGCGGCATCGCTGTGCTTGTAACTATGAAGCATATTCCCTTTTCCATCTATGAGGAAGATATCGATCAGATTCTTCGCGTGGCCATTTCCACGTCCCAGACTCTCGGCACTGGGCCAGACACCCTCGCCGCCCTTACTGTCATCAAGAGCATCTTGGCCGAATCTCCCGACAAAGTGCAAGATCATATCCGCAGCTTAATCACCATTTGCACCTCTTCTTTCAGCACCACTGCCACCCATACATCCCCAGAGTGGCTTCCTGCCACCGCTCAGTCTGCTCGCGCCAGCCCTGCCGTTGTAGCGCAGTCTGGCAAGCTCGCCCTGGAGATTCTCGCCGGTCTGCCCCGTCTCTTTGAATCCCGCCATCTTCTCTCATATGTCGGCGATGTTGATCGCCAGCTGTCAATTGCTTGCGGTCACCGCGTCCGTGAGGTTCGCATGTCTGCTAGAACCGCGCGCACCGCGTGGTCTGAGGTTAACTGAAGGGCATTTTCTAAATGATAATGTTAGATCCGGACTGGAGTCACATTTTATATAGTTTCAAAATAAGCACATGTCACAAGCAATCTATGATGCCGTATAGTTTCAAAATTCATCAATTACGCTGACCGAGTATCCTTTTATGTGTCCATTTTTGTTTCTTCTGGCTTAAGCCTTGCGTCTTCTGCTGCCCTCCGCATCACCGGCATCATTCGAGCTGGCAGCGAGAACAGCATCCAACATACCAGCATCCGCACCCATAGATTCCTTGGAGACCTTGACGCGCTTGGGGTCAAGCTTGCCAATGGCGGGAACAGCCGTGGCGAACATTTGCTGGAATGGGATAGCAACGAAGTGGCCGAGCTCGTCGAACCAGCCGGAGAAGGGCTCTGCGAGGGTAATCGTTTGGGCCTTGCCGTTCTTGGGCTTGACGGTAATGGTGATGTTGTAGACGGGGACGTTCTTCTTGGTGCTTGTCGCAATCGTGACCGATTCGCCAGAGGGGGCAATGCCTTCGTATATTACGTCCTTTTCGACATACTGCATCCACAGGGTGAGTCCACCGTTGAGGATGCCGTAGATAACCACCGCGCCGGCTGTGAACCACTTGGTGCTGTCCCAGCCAAGCTTGTAGTCCCAGGCAAAGCAGAGAGCAGCGACAATGAAGGCGCTGTATCCTAATGCGAGGCGCACATCTTGCAAATGGAAAGTCTGTTTGAACTTGAGAGAGTTGAGGTAGTTGGGGATGACGTCGTCCGATGTGTTCTTGAGATCTAGAGAGAGCCACCGTGTTAGCTTCCCGCGACGCGCTGCTACCCCTTCACGACTGTAGCAGCGGGGAGGAAGACAAATTAAACGTACCGGCCAAGTTGTAGAGGGAAATCTTTTCGGAAGCCATGATTTTTATTTTATTCCGAATCGGTAAACAAGAGCAATTGTTGTAAAACACTGTTGGAGGCGTAGTTGGCGATTGCGATCAATCCAGCATAGCTGTCCAGAAAGGGTGGGCCAGTGACGGCGGCGGGTGGCGGCAGAACAGAACCTCCGGAACACGCAAAGCTGCGGGCGGCAACCTCAACCACCACTCCCTGTAGCTTGGACATCATCAACCACGCAACGGTTCCATCGACAGCAATTGCGCAGGAAATCGTCGACAATATGGCGCAGCCTCCCGTGCAGACCCTCTACAGGGATCCCCAGTTATTGTGCGTGCGCCCTATCCTTTTCCGACGCATCCCCCCTTCGAATTGAATACTAACCGGCTGGACAGCTACTGGATCCTAACCCCCATCACGATTGTCATGGTCTTGACGGGTGTTCTTCGACACTATGCCTCCGTCCTGATGGCCATGGCTCCCAAGAAGCTCGAGGCCAAGGCCATGCGCGAGCAGCGATCCCTGGCCCGCGGCGTGGCCCTGCGCAGCAACTACCACGTCCTGTCGCGCCAGTCGTTTGAGGCTAAGCGAGATGTCCTTGTTGCTGGCTACGAGAACGGCGATTACCTTAAGGACAAGAACAGAGGCGATCAGCCCCCGCCTAACCCGCTGTCGGACCCGAGCCAGATGGACGGCATGATGGGCATGATGAAGAACAACATGGCTATGATTATTCCCAACACGCTGATTATGAGCTGGATTAACGCCTTTTTCAGCGGTTACGTTATCAGTAAGACTCCAACAAAAATGGCGCGAGTTGTGTGATGGTGTGTGCTAACCGGCTATCATAGTGAAACTGCCCTTCCCCATTACCATCAAGTTCAAGAGCATGTTGCAGGCTGGCGTCCAGACCAAGGACATGGATCCCCGATGGATGTCAAGTATCAGTTGGTATTTCCTGTGCATCTTTGGTCTCCAGTTTGTCTACGTCTTCCTTCTTGGCAGCGAAAACGGTACGTCTATATCGCAAAGTAATTCGTGGTTAACATTACTAACCCACATACAGCTGCCAGCCAACTCGCTCAGCAGATGCAGGCCCAGCAAATGCCCATCAACCCCATGGGCGGCCCTGGCCAGGACCCTGATAAGCAGTTCAAGGCTGAGGCTGAGAACTTGTCCGTCATCGACCACTACTCTGTCCTGGATGAGGTGGAGGACCGCTTGTTGGCGAGGCTCGGATAGATGATGAACTGTGTAGAAGATATAAATATACAATTGATACAAAAATTACAACGCTATGCTTTTTAAAACCCAAAGTTTGTGACTCCCTTTTTAATCTGCACCGTCCCACCACAGGCATACACCTAGGCCTTCTCTGGCCATGCTGCCCTTGATTTTATACGGTGTCTTGACGGTAGCGTCGTCTAATTGTGTCGGTCCTGCTGGTGTCTGATCGTGCCACTCTTCGTCGATTACTTGGAAGCGGACCATTTCGTGGTTATCATAGAAGAGGCGCTCTTCGTCAAAGTTCCAGATCCAGAGCTGCTCGCTGTGGTTGTACTCTGCTCCTACTGGTAATTCCTCGTACGGGATGAAGATGTCGTCGAAAAAGTCTGTTCTTACATTGATACCGGCTGGTGTTGAGCTGCGTATACGGCCAAGCATGACTTCGCCTTTGAATGGACGAAAGACGACCATGCGGAATTCGACTGCGCGGGGTTAGGGATCAGTCGATAGAATAGGGAAGTATCAAGTTAGACTCACCATTAACGTTTACCAGGCCAGTTCCGTGGCCAATCAGACCTTCTGACGTCCATAAGATATCGTACAGACATATGCAGAGACCAATCTTTTGAATAACCTGCGGGTCATAAGAGTCAGTTTCACTTCGAACAGAATCACGGGGGTAGAGGCACGAACCTTATTTGAGTATTTAGAGTTAATATTGTCTTCAATTGCCGCAATACTTTTTTTCGAAAAGTCGTTCGGCGCAATCTGCACCAGATCTGCGATTTTGGTCTGCCGCAAAGTTAGCTGGGAGTCACGGCGCAATCTGCATGGAGGCGTCGTACCAGGATAAACATGTTTGCAGTTTGTGATATTTGAGTATGAAACGCCTTCGTGTTTATCCCTCGGTGTCCTGCTTGGTGTGATATTGCACTGCGCTGATTTGTTTCGGAATTTTATATTGAGTCGTTCTTGGATGTTGTTGACTTTTGCGAAGCTCTAAAAAATCCACGACCCACCGACGCAGGCGATGACACTAGTGTACAGCTGCACCAGGCTAGCGGTAGCTGATTTTGTTTCGGTGTTCCGCTAGACAAGCAAATAATTTGGCCAGAATATTTAAAAATTGAAAAATGGTCGGATTTAGATTTTCTCCATGCCTTATATTCGTCACATTCACACATATTAACTTTTATTTCAGGGTGACTCAAGAAACTTCCAGAAAACTGAATTTTCACCGCCTGCTGCTTTGGGCGGCGCCTCTGTGTCTCACTGCCGCCACCAACTTTTTGTAGTGTCGCGATCTTGCAACACTTGTCTTCCACTTTCCCATCAGCCATTATCGCAACCGTCACCGCTCCGACCGTTCCAAGCACCGTTTAGACTCGTTATTTTCGCTGTTTCGCTTCCAAGTGGACTTTTATATGTTGCCTTCCCACTGCGCTTTTACCAGACCAGCATAGTTCGGCTGGGCAGCTGCTGTTGAGACAGCAACACCAGAATCTAGGACTGAGAACCGAACCGTCGTCTTTACTATTCGATCCTATACACACCATACATAATGTCTGGCTACGGCTACGGCCCGCCTCCACCTCCACCTCCAACATTAGGGGGCTCATACTCCCAGCCTGGCTACGGCCGTGGAGGTGGTCGAGGTAGAGGCCAGCAGCATCATCACTCTAACAGAGGAGATCACAGAGGTTCCCAATCATATGGATATTCTGCGCAGCCGTACCAGGGCCAGCAACCTGCGTATACTGCTGGCGCATACCCTCCTCCTGCACCTGCATATGGTCCTCAGCAACCCCAATGGCCAGCTCACGGGCAAGCACCTCATGAACATGCACCTGCGCCGCTCTCTGCCGCTAATTATCACCCAAACTTTGCTCCGCAACATTACCCTCCTGCACAATATCCCCAGCAGCCAGCATATGGCCAGCAAGCATATCCTCCTCATTATCAACCGCCGCCGCCACCGCCTGGTCAAGCCCAGTGGGCACCACCAGGTCAAGCAGCACCTCCCCGTGGCGGTCATCATTCTAGCCCGCCAGCAGCTGCAAGAGGAGGATATGATAGGAATCGACAGCCCCCTAGTGGTGGCTATAGGCAGCCATACCCCCAAGACCCTCGCACAAACCAGTACACTCCTCCATCCTATCCCTACTCCGGTCCTCCAGCTCCTCCCTCCGCGCCGCGCTACGACTCTCAGAATAACGGAATGCGTGGTCGTGGCAGAGGCGGAGGTGGTGGAGGTGGAGGTAGAGATCGCGGCGGAAGAGGGCGAGGAGGCCGTGGAGGTCATCATGGCGATCGTTCGAATGCCCCCAAGCAGAACCACAACAATAAACCCAATGCTACTGCCACTGCCCCAGACTCCCAGAAGCAGACATCCCCATCTGCATCGAAGAAGAAGAAGCGCAAGGTCAATACCTTGGGTCTGACACCAGCAGCAGACTCAGAATCAGAGGATGATGAAGGAGAGGAGAAAGCTCTGACGGAACTTATTGGTTCCGAGGCTTTAACGTGAGTTCTATCTATATATCTATGAATTGGCTATGACTAACTTCTACCAGTATCAGTGATGTTGCTGCCTTTATTGCAGAGCGAAAGAAGAACTTCCCCACCAAAGCCCGTCAGGAAGCAAAGAAAGCTGCAGAAGAGGCTGAAAAGCAAGCGCAAAAAGAAGCACAGAAACAAGAAGAGGCGTCCTCTTTGGAGAAGCAGGCGGATAAGTTGCGCCGGCAGCTCCGCAAGGTGGAGTCGTCCATTAAGCGCAAGCGTGAGCAGGGCGACGAAGGCGACGAGCTGCGCGAGTCGTCCGACGAGGTGTCTGACGATGACGAGCCCGAAGTCCAGTCTAGCAAAGCTGCATCGGCTCCCGCAGCGAAACCCACAGATGCGAGGAAGCACTGCAAGTACTATTCCACTGGAGGCACTTGCGGTAAGAAGGGCAAGTGCCGCTTCGTGCACGATCCAGAAGTCAGAGAGGCTGCGATGAAGGAGCGGGAAGCTAATAACGGCCGTCTCACAATCCAGCAGCGTCTGATGCTCAACGATAAGGAACAGGAGGATCTTACGGTGCTGCGATCCATCCAGTATCTCCGTGACAGGGGCATCATGGCGGCGGCTACTAAGCCAGTGGCCAACACCAATGATGACAGCAGCAGCAGCAGCAAAGAACAGCCAGCAGAGAAGAAGCCAGATGGTACGGCGCCAGTGCCCAACCCATCTGTCAGCTCTCTACCTGCACGTCCTCCCTCGTTGCCCGCTCTCCCGCCAAAGCCCGTGGCCAATGGCAAGCCGCAGGACGCGCAACCGGCTGACCAAGAGGCACCATAGGACGGATTGCTGTTGAAGCCGGACGGTAACGCCACTGACGACGCGAGCAAGAAGTAGGAAGTGTTTGCTTATGTGTCCTCGTATTTGATTATCGACCTACTGCTATAGCTTATTTGCATACGACGGAGTTGTGTACTCTTTTTTGTTTTCATGGCGTAGAACATAGACTTAGACATGCATATTATGTATAACAACGAACTTTGAACTCTCTTCATCACTATTATAACCCGATAATCAAGTGACATGTTTCAGTACAAGATCACTTATCTTTCAAAGCACAAAGTAACAACACACAAGGCAATGTCAAAAGATGTATGCTGAATGCCTAATAATCAAACTCCAACGCTAAATGTAGTCCCTAAAATGAACCATGCATCCGTCCTCCTCTACTACCATGACCAATGAGAAAAAGCAAAAGCAAAAAAAGCTGTATAATATCTAGTACAAGTCCTCAGGAAAGAAAATACCCACATCGCCCCTCCTCTAGCGACGCTCATACTGCCTCCTGCGCTCCTCCTTCTCCGCACGAAGACGAGCCTCGAGTTTCTGCTCCCGAATATCCTCGGCACGCGCCATACGCTCTGCCATGCGTTCTTCGTCATCAATGTCGTCCATACCGGCTTCCATGTCCGAGGACCCGTCAGAGACGTACCCGTAGCCCGCGCCCTCGCCCTCATCGTCATCATACTCGATAAAGTCGTCAAGCTCTTCGTCGTAGTCGTCGTATCGCGAAGACCCATTGTGTCGCGGAGCATTGAGAAGGGCACCGCCGCGAGGAGCGTGTGTCTTCTTCGCAGGGTTGCCCGGTTTGGGGCGCGCAGTACCCGTGTATCCCGTCGTTGCAGACGCTGCCTTTTTGATCTTCTTCTCAGGCTCGGCCGGTGCAGACTTCTTTGATGAGCCTGCTCTTGATGCACCGCTGGCTGCTCTGGGGTCTTTGCTGGATGCTGCACCGGGCCGTTTTGACGAACCAGTTGATTTGCCCGTGCCGGAGTATCCTGTCGGTGCCCGCTTCTTGCCAGCGGTAGCTTTGCGTTCCCGCAGCTCTTCACGGGATAATCGGGGTCCCGCTTCGACCTTTTTGTGCTGGATCTTGCCGACCTGGCCCATGGTCGCTTGGGCTCGTTGTGCTCGGGCGAGGATTTCGGCAAACGAGCCCTTCTTCGGCGCTGACTTTTCGGCAGCCGCGGCTGGTCGGGGTTTGTCTACAGTAGATCCTGGTCGTTGTGTTGAGGTAGAGTTTGTAGGTCGTTGTGAGGGTGTCGGTCGGGATGTCGTCGATGGTCTCGAGGTTCCTGTGAATCGGGGAGGTGGCGAAACCCGAGGACTCTTGACGGCTCGGTTCCGCGGGGCATCAGCATCGGCTTTGCGTTTGATAGAGGATGAGTTGCTGGTGGGTAGTCTTGCAGCAGCAGGCGCAGTACTGGCCTTGTCGCCGCTGCTGATTTGTGCCAAAAGATCTCCAATCTAGGCCGGTCATGTCAGCATCTCATGGTATCGTGGCTTCAACGCGTGAGCTTACCGGCATTGTGTATAAATTGCCCGGACGGGACTTATTTAAGAATTTGAATAGTCTGTAGGTCCAGCAGAAACTGTAGACAGAGTATGCTGCTCAGCGCTCATGCAAGGCCGTCGTAATCCTCCACAGGCTGTCGATATCGTGCCTAGAGGAGCCTGCGCATGTGCGCCGAGGCCGCGGGATTCACGCGATAGACGGGGGTATTGGCGGTAAATTTTCTTTTTTGGTGTGCGTAGGTACAGCTGGACAGATGAGTTTGTATGTGAGCCCTTAAAGCAAACAAAATCCTCCAGCGGGCGCCGCGGTGACAAAATGGTAGTTGTGATTGGTAGCAAACGAAGTGATGCTTTGTTCGTCACAACGCCTGTTGGCCCAAAAGCCCAAATCGGCAAGCCACAATCGATGGCCAGAGTGCTCACGTGACGGGTCAAGATCAAATGTGGCTGAGAGCTGCTGGTGTGGCTAGTGTTTTCGCAGGGAACAAAAAAATATTAAGCGGGACGCAGCACACCCCGCCCTAACACCAGACGGGTTTAGCGCTCTCGCCTACGCACAATTTTTGCAGCCCACACAAAATTCTTATGTCCACTTCCTCGCCGTCACGGGATTTCCATCTTCTCTCTCTCCCACACCCAACGACACTTGAAGTCTCAGTCTCCGCCCCAACTCGCGGTTAAAGTGATTGATATCTCGTGTTCCTCTCGAACTTTCAAATGTATGTCGACAAGTACAGTCATTGCATCATGTGCCTGTTGCCTTTCAATTACAGGCAGCCATTGAGTCACGCCGCGATTGCAAGCAACGACACATAAAGGCACATGGGCAGCGCAAAGACTGGCGAAAAAAAATCCAAGCAAATAGCTAACTGAATCCTTTTCGCTACAGACATTCAAAATGAAGCACGTCGCCGCTTACCTTCTTCTCGGCCTCGCCGGTAACGAGTCTCCCTCTGCCGCCGACATCAAGACCGTTCTCGAGTCTGTCGGTATCGAGGCTGATGAGGACCGTCTCTCCACCATCGTCTCTGAGCTCAAGGGCAAGACCCTCGCTGAGGTACGCTATACTTCCGAATTGAAGAAAGATCTGTGTCGACGCAGACGGCTAACATGTGTTTCTGTAATAGTTGATCGAGGCTGGTAGCGCCAAGCTCGCTTCCGTTCCCTCTGGTGGTGCCGCCGCTGGTGGTGCTGCTGCCGCCGGTGGTGCCGCTGCCGCTGCTGACGCTCCCGCCGCTGAGGAGAAGGAGGAGGAGAAGGAGGAGTCTGATGAGGACATGGGCTTCGGTCTCTTCGATTAAGCAACCCATATCGGGTCTGTACTTTAACGAAAGCATACGAAGTTGGGAAAAGTCTGTATCCGGTTGTATGACGGTTCTATCATGTATAATTCGTGGGAGGATTAGTCGGCCAGGGTTTATGCCTGGATACGCTCGGTGCGTGGTCTAGGTCCAGGCTTTGGGAAATAAAAAAGCAACCATGATTTTTTCAAATTATCTTTAACGGTCCGTGTCTTACTGTGAATGATGGTGATTACAACTTGTGAACCAGAGAAATATGCATTTTGAATTAAAACAGAAGGAAACCCTATGTGTAGTATGTACAGGAAAAATTAAGCTTCACCTCCGCATCACCGTTTTGTATGGCAGCTTACTGCTTCTTAACCTTGTTGCTGGGGCGAGGCAGCAGATCACTCTCCTCGAGTAATCTCCAGAGGCACCAAGCGTAGCAAATCATGAATCCAGCAGCACCAATTCCAACATTGGCGACGATCCATAGGTCAGGCTTGTTAAGAGGTGGCGGGACAAAGGCCTGCACCACGTGCCAGACAAGCATCAAGACGTAGAAGCCTCCGTGAAGAAGTGAGGTTGCCCACTGGATTACCAGCGGCGATGTAGACTCTTGGAAAGAGGTGTTCCAAGCCGTTGGTGGTAGACCAAGAAGGTAAGCCCAGAGCAACGTCAAAATAGCATATGGGATGCCAAGGTCGACGCGCTGGAGAAGAGGGAACATGGTCCAGGCACCGAGGAGGTTGGCGAAACCAACCCAAGCACGGTTGTTGCCATTCATACCCTGCTTACCAGCCAAAAGTAGAGTCATGGGCATCAATGGCAAAAGTACACTCTTCTCATGGACCTGGTAGCTGAAAAGGAAGAAGCCCCAGGCTGTGGCGGCGAAAGCCAGAGGCATGGTCGTCTTGCGAGGGCGCATGAAGAGAACGATGTTCGGCGGGATAATGGCCAGTAGAGTGGCGGCAAGGGCTGCCTTTTGCAGTAGGTCGGCAGGATAGTGACGCAGCTTGATGACGACGTTGGCAGCGCACCAAAAGTTGGCGACCTTGTCTTCAAAGAGACCGCGGGCAAAGGGGAAGATGCGATGGACCATCTGCACCAGCTGGACAATAATGGCATAGTACCACGCCTTGGTGTCAACGTAGTCGGTAATGAACGTAAGCAACGGAAGAGGTGGGAGGTTGCCGTTGAGTTCTGGTCTAGCTTCGATGCCGCGGTGTGTGTCGTGCAGCGTACCCAGAATGATGGGCAAAACGAGAATACCAAAGGCAATGATCGTAGTGATGGCAATGCCAATGAGTCTACCAATGTTAACACGAGGATAGAAGCAGCGTCCCAACAAGTAAGCAAAGACGCTGAATGCATAGTACAGCGCCATCTGCTTGAAGCCAAGAGACGCAACAAAGAAGACAGCGGCCCAGCGGTATCGTTCAGCAAGGAGGCTCGACATGCTGGCAACCACGAGACCAAGCATAACCGCGTTGTACTGGAAATGAATGTGGTCAATCAGAATAAGTCCCGGCTGCATGAGAATCGCCACCAGGGCAACATTGCTGGTCCATGTAGCGAGGCCATTGACACGGCTGAAGCGGCGGACAAAGATGACCACGGCGGGAATGTAAATCAGGTACTCGGAGATAATAACGCTAGCGCGCATGAAGATCTTGAGGTTGTCATCATGGATACCGCGTGATGTAAATAGAGCAAACCACGCAGGGTTCAACCAGCTTCCAATCTGGCCGAGCAGCCAGCTGTGATATGCGGTCAGGGGAGGGTAGTCGAGCCCCCACCACTGAAGATCGTGAAAGTACCACTGGGAGATGGGCAGATGCTTGGTGATTTCCATCCAGTGTCGTTGTGCTTCGTAGTCGCCGAACATGGGGGGTCGCTCGAAACCTAGAAAATGATAACTGTTAGCAGATGTATCTAGAGAGCAGGTCGTGCGTGGTGTTTGCATACCAGAAAATCCCCAGAGGCTAGCCGCCCATCGAAACAGGCCAGCGACCATCAAGATCACAGGCAACACCTCCCATTGCGAGTGTGATGGTCTCATGGGCCATAGGAAAGACGCCAACGGGAATGTTGGTGCTCTAACCACGGTCTCGGTGCGGATGCGCGTCTCGCCATCTTCAGACAGTAGGTTCTTGTTGCCCTTGCGCCTAGGCTTGTGAGACGCCGGACTAGCGGCCATTGTATGAGATGTTCGCGTGTATTTCTAATAAATAACGAATTTCCGGAGGTGCATCGATCGGTTATTTTACAGATTGTTCGCGTTGGAGGTCGAGATGCCGGGTGGTGAACAGCGCTGAAGATGTTGAAACAGTGTCGGTTTAGGGGACTGGAGGAAATTGGGCCAGCTAAGCTACTAGCTCAACACAGCTGTTTTCTTGGGCAGCCAGGCCAGGGAGGCAGCTACGTCATCGCTTGCATTTACCCCACGCCTTATCTTTAAATAAATTATAAAATTATTCATGCGATTATAATGTACTATTTAAATACAAATAGCTTCCAATATACATTTTAACAAAACAATTTCTTTCCATTGGCGCGGCGTCTTGCTGCGCTAGTCCACCGGAAATGGTCAACAGCCAGTGACATGAGGGGCGATAAAAGACACTATCGCAAGTCTTGGCCGCAATCCTCCCCTCGTCATACTCACAACTATTGGCTGTTGCAGTCTCGTACGGCCTGTTCACGCAGCAGTTTTCAAAATGCCGTACCCCTTTGTTCTCCCGACTACGTCCAGCTTCGTCTTCTCGAGTAGCTTCACCTGCGAATCTCACCCCTCTCTGCCCCTCAATGCCACCACCTACCGCGGCGTTGCTCGAGACGCCCTCAAGAAGCATAAGCGTCTGCCCCCGAGCTCAAGAGCGGCCGATCTGTCCAATGTTATAAGCAGCCTGACTAGCTACATCCCATATCTTTTGGCGGTCGACGCCGGCGTTAGTCACCAGGTTATTGGCACCGATGTGATAAATGTGGACGTCAAGGCACCGCCGGGCATTGAATGGAGGCCTACCCTCTCTGGCGACCTAGTACCTGGAAAGGAGAGAAATCGAACCAAAATTACTACTCTTGAGCATGAAATCTTCTTTGTCATTTCGTCGCTAGCCGTAGCGTACATCAACACAGCCCGGTCCTGCCTTCAGCCGCTCTACACAACCACAGAAGCATTTGTTGGAACACAGCAAAGAACAGTAGCTATTTCAACAGCCACGAAACACTTACTTACTGCTGCTTCGCTGTATGATTACCTGTCTGGGCGATCTGAGCAGCGTCCAACGGAGGCTCCGTGTGTAGACATTGCACCGTCTACCATTAGAGCCATGAGCTGTCTAGCTCTGGCTGAGGCGACACTTTTAGCCATTTTAAAAGACGACCCATACCCAGCAATTGTTTCTCAAGATAGAAATAAGGAAGATCGAGAATGGATGTACAAGGCGCCCGATATTCCCAAGGTCCGGGCCCATCTTTATGCACGACTTGCCCTCGCAGCCTCCGAGCACGCAGCAAAGGCAGGATCTCTATTCCAATCTGGAGGGAATGGGTCAAGCAAGATTACTCCTGGACTTATTAAATACGCCGATGACTTACGCAAGTCCAGCAAAGCCAAGGCTTGCCGCTTCTTTGGCATTGATGCCGAGCTTGGCGGGCAGACTGGCGACGGTATAGGCTGGCTCCGGGCTGGCCTGCGAGAGTTGGGTGTGGAAGTGCAGGAAGCCAAAAAGGGATTAAGCTTGTCACGATTTAAAAAGGAGTTTTCCGAGAAGCGAGAAGACAAGCGCATTACCAAAGATGGCGCCTGGGGTGCCGATGGCGGTAAGATGGAGGAAACACGAGTGTTGGAGATGCTCGATGCCAAATGGAACAAGATGAACGATACAGTAGGTTTTATATTTGTTTTCTTATTTGCGTATCTAACAGTCTACAGATGAATACACAGCTGGTACCACCGCCAAACCAGCTACTCACACAGATGCCCTCTGGTCGAGAAATCCACACAGTTCCACCATTTCAGGTTCCGCAGCTCGCGCGAGATGTTTTAATGGCAATGCGCCTGCCTCCTGATCGAGAAGAAGACCCAGGCACCTTTAGTTCTGATGATGATCAGGCTGGCGCGATGCCTCCAGTCGGCGCATATCCCGGCACAGAGGGCGACTATTCCGGAGGAAGAAGCTCATACTATTAGCTCCACAGATCATGTACGACTAGTTATATCAGCAGTCCAAATTTACAACCTAGCTCGCCTGGTAGTAGTGACCATGGTGTCGGTAGGACATGGAGGCCCGTCCAGATTGTACGGTGTGCAGTCGGGAATGCATCTAGTTAAGGGTTAGCTCTCACCCAACAGCGGCAGGACATGACTAGCTTAAACAAATCCTTACTCTCCGTACGGTATACCGCAAGAGTTCATGGCATCGATGCAAATGGTTCGTTGACTGCAGTCGGGGTCATTTGATATGTAGTCTGTGCTGAGCACCGACGAGGTTGGCGTGGGTGTTGCTGTACATGGTGGTGCCTGTGGCGCTACTTGGGAGCACGGGTTGTAGCATCTGTAGGAGCATTTAGCGCGGATCCAGGCCAATAGCAGACAGAGACTAACACTTTACTAGTTGCGCCACATTCATTTATAACATCGATGCATACGGTTTGGCAGGGCGGGATGGACGCCAGCGTGGTGGCGCTTAGCATGAGCGTATAAGCAAGCGTGTAGATCATGGCGTTGAGGCGAAACGGTGCAAATAGGGTTTACCAGGCGAGACTCTAAAAAGTCCAAGGAAAAGAAGAGATAGAATGCAGTATTATGCCCAGAATGATATGAAGCAACTTTAAAGCAAAAAGTTTATTAAAACTCTCGTGCAGTTTCCCTCATTCCTTGTAAAAGGGAGCAGGCGCTACCTTTCCTACGCTAAGCTCACTCACTGGAATGCATTTGCAGTACTGTAATTAGTACGTTACAACCCGCTAAGTTACTGCCTCTAGAACCGCTGTAAACTACCGACGAACACCCACTGTAAGGTCCCCGAACCCTTGAAGATCGGAACAATCTGTTTTTCCGCCCCTTAGCTAAGCACGAGGCTCAACTGCCACTTTGGGCTGCCAGCAGGGGCTCCACTACCAGCGGACTTGACTCGCGATATGGTGGAAATTGTTATTTTGGGCAGAGAGGGGGACAGTTTGTTCGTTGACAGCAGAAAAAAAAAAGGTATCCGAGGCTTGATCAAGCAGCCCGTCCTTTCTCTTCTTTATTCCATTGACACCGAGCACTCCGAGGACCCCTTTCTTGTTCCAATACCAGATACAAAGCGCAGCAAGAAAAAAAAAGAGCCGTTTGCTCCGTCTAATTGCACATACATGGCAACGTCTTCAAGGAGGCTCGTCGCCTCTACGCCCTGGTTTACCGCCATCACAGGTTCGTCACGGCCCTCTCCAGATCGAGCCGTCGTTCTAACACGGGCTCGCTGCGCAGCCGGTGGCCGCAATTGCTCACGGCGCACAGGTGCTCTCGCCATGCGCCCCCAGCAAAACTCGTACTCGACAACGACGACGACATCGACATCCTCTCCCAAATTCTCCTACAACATCGCCGCCTCCTTCATCGCCAAAGACCGCCCCTACGACCCCTCCACACACGTCTTCCACTTCAACCCGTATAACAGAATCCAGCCCCCGCGCAACAGGAAGCGCTCGTCCCGCCCCGACTCGGGTCACGATGCCTTCTTCGTCAGCAGAGTAAACGACTCGGGCGCAGTCGCCTTTGGCGTGGCCGACGGCGTGGGCGGATGGGTCGATTCGGGAGTCGACCCTGCCGACTTCTCCCACGGCTTCTGCGACTACATGGCCGCCGCGGCCTACGAACACAAGGGCTCTACGGCGCTCACAGCCAGAAGCCTTATGCAGGCGGGCTACGACGCCGTGTGCAACGACAAGTCGTTATCCGCAGGTGGCAGCACAGCCTGCGTAGCAGTCGCCTCGCCAGATGGTGTTTTGGACGTGGCTAACCTGGGCGACTCGGGGTTCATCCAGATGCGTCTCAACGCTGTCAACACATACTCGGAGCCGCAGACACATGCGTTCAACACGCCCTACCAGCTGTCTATTGTACCGCCGAGTGTGGCGGCCAGAATGGCGGCGTTTGGAGGTACACAGCTCAGCGACTTGCCGCGGGATGCGGACGTCACGCACCATAACTTGCGCCATGGCGATATTCTCATGTTTGCGACAGACGGCGTCTTTGATAACTTGTTCCACCACGATATCCTGAGGATCGTCAGCCGCGTCATGACCTCGGCCAAGGCGTGGGAGGTGGCCAAGTCTGGCAGCGTCAATGTCGGATCTAACCTCGAGACGATTGTCAAGTCGCCGCTCGAGACAAAGCTCAGCCACTCGGTTACACTACAGAGCTTGCTGGCTACCGAGCTTGTCTTGGCAGCGAAGCGGGCAAGCGTGAACACCAAGATGGATGGGCCATTTGCCAAGGAGGTCCAAAAGTACTATCCACATGAGAACTGGCACGGCGGCAAGGTCGACGATATCTGCGTTGTGGTGGCGGTAGTGTGTGAGGAGCCTGCTGCTGCAGCATCTGCTCCTCTCAAAAGCAAACTTTAAACACACATCGTGCCTTTTAGGAAAAAAGGCAGCGGCGTCTCGACGACGATTTGTTTCTACTTACTTCATTGTATTGGTACTTGTTCAGCATGGGACTAAAGGGGGTATTTATTCTTGGAAATTAGACTTTATAAAGCGTAAGCGAAAGTTCAGATAAACTAGCCTGCGTTAATTAGTTGCGTTTGGTTTTGGAATAGAAAATATTACTGCATAGAAAACGCGTTGGAGACTCTTTACTATGACTTGTTGGTCTGGCACGGAGCCGGCTCAGTTTATTTGCAGGCCACGAACTCACTTCCAGATAAATAAATACTTGCTCGCCAAAATTAGATAGATTTCCTATTCTACAAGACATTAATGGATAAGTATGGCCACATTTCATATTATATTCAGCGGCGGATGGCATTTTCCGCTTATTGTGTTTGTCGTTTATATGTGCAGGGTAGCTAGTTTTCAACGGTAGTTTGCCACTATCCACGACTGGCAATCCCGCGATTAGCGCATAATTGGCTAATATTAACCATACCAATAAATCAAGCTGACATGCCGATCTCGATTGGCCTTCCATTGGTCTTGTGCAATTTCAGTGACCGCCTGTCAGCGTTTCACAGCAGCAGCCTGCAAGCGCCTACCCGCTATGGCGCAATCGGGCATAGAATGTCGGAAGCTCCACGTGTAACTCTAAGATGACGATAGCCGGAAGAGGGCAATGCGCGTCTGAAAAGGGCTGGAAAAATATACACAGAGACAAGAGGGTATACAAAAAGAAAACTACATATAAAAAAAGCCGCTGGGTATTTTGGTGGCTTTACTAAACATATCTTATCACATCGTCCCAACTTCGGACCAACGTTGGAAATGGGCTCCATCTGCTTCGGCGGCCGGCTGTGACGCCAGTGGGGTTGCGCCGTGGGGGTTCGGCCTTGACCGGTGACGTCCGCCCCAGATGGTGTGATTGCTTGGCCTAGTTTAAACGGGCGTGTGTTGCGATTCAGCGCGGCAAAAAAATCTTTGCGCCGCGTCTCGAGTCAACCGGGACACCTGGGAATCCAGGGGAATCCGGACATATACATGATTTCTGTAGAAGACACATCTGATGGCATTGGCTCCGTCTGGGAGAGACCATGGGATAACAACCAGGTTGGCATGCCGGAGCGGTGACACCAGGTATGTACACTGGTAGTAAGCCATAATACGATGGCCCCAGCGCAAATGGCGAAATCGCATGACTGGGCTGTGTCATTTCCGTAGGCAAACTCGGCCACCGCTTAGCTTTTGCTTGGCTTGTACCACAGCTAAACCCGACCTGATCGTCGTATGAGGGCCTTAAAACCCCTACTCAGCCCTCGCTTCTCACTTTGTTCTGTCTCCCCCCTTTGCTTTCGTCTCACCTCAACTTTAAACTTGGACACACAATTGGCCTACCTCGCACCCCCAAACTCTTTTGGTCATCTGCAATAGAACCAAGTCAACTTGGCCTTTCGATTCGGTAGCCCACTCCTTTACACCATGTCTGCCCAAGGACTCGCTGCCCTCAACCCCTCTGAGCCTCCCAAGCGGGCCTTGCCTAAAGACAGAGACGATGCCCAGGAGTGGCAAGAGCACCGTTTCTTGATCCAGTCGCCCTACTCTGAAAAGGAGCACCAGCTTGATCTGCAGACGCTCAACCATGAGAACAGGCTGCTGGCACAAGCGTTGCAAAGTCTAGATGCCACCAGAGAGGACTATGCCACTGCGGACTACGTAGACTCGTTCAACTGGACTGAAGTTTTGACTAAGTTGCAAACCCTGGCTCGGGAGTCCGGCAAAAAGTTCCACGAGTCGTCCTTTTACATTGTGGCGTTCCGATCCCAAATCAAGCCGAGCACCGACTATAGCCACCTGGGCGAACTCGACAAGGCTGCTCATCGTGAGGCTGTTGAGAGCGGCGGTTTCCTCAAGTGAGTCATTTGAACCCTTTTGTCTGTTTGCAATCAACTCTAACATCGCCTTTAGGTACTGGTTTGGATCACCTGACTCTGACCTTCGCAACCTTGCCACCTGTGTTTGGAGGTCCCGTGAGGACGCCATTATTGGTGGCCGCGGGCCAGCTCATAGAAAGGCGGCTGCATCCACCAGGTCCTTGTACGCTTACTGGAAGATTGACCAGCACCGCTTGACCATTCATGAGAACGCCGACAGCTGGGAGATTGTTCCCTGGTCGGAGTAGGCGTCAAGACTCAGTGGCATCTTGTGTTTTAGAGATTGCAACACCCCCTCCTCCAATGCCTAAAAGGCTTTTGGAGTCATGAAAGACGAGCATGTATGGCGTTTTGTTTTTAAAAAGAGTTTCGGGTCTGTTTCCTGGCGTACATCATTCACTCATACGAGGTTGACACAACGGCGTTTGTTTGTGAGGCAGTTTGTCTCCCTAGAGAAAAGATTATATACTTCACGCATTAGAACAATTAGAAAATAAAAACTTTTCTGAAATATTTTGGTATTTGTAAAATATTGTCGTGATGATGCAAGAGGTACTGTACCGTACAACTTGTAGTCCTCCCTCTATGTCCCCTGACGCGCACCCCGCATTCTGCCATGTCTGACCGCCTTCTACCCACAACGCCCACAAATCAGCCAAAGCGCGAAAAGTTTCGATATTCACATAGAAAGCCGACTTTCGCCCATATACTCACGCGCCCTGCCCTCTCGCGCTGTTGCCGCACACAAGAATACCGACGGCCAACTATATAAACTCCCCGATATTATCGACAAAATGAGTGAAGCACCCAAGGAGGCGACTTTCCAGGCCGTCCAGGTCGAGGCTCTCGTGCGTCTCGCAAACCCCCGCCCCACCTCCAACTTGCGTTGCTAACAGCAGAAAACAACAGGTTATCACCAAGATTGCCAGACACTGCGCCACCCTTTTCCCTTCGACTGCGACCGGCTCGTTGGTTGGCATGGACACCGAGTCCACGCTTGAGGTCACCAACAGCTTCTCCTTCCCCACGGCCGAGAACACGTCGTCCGAAACCCACCACAACGATGCCTCGATACTCGCTGCTGCCGCTCCTCGCCAAAAGGCCAACATTGCCTACCAGACCGAGATGATCCGTCATCTCCGTGAGGTCAACGTCGATGCCAACAACGTCGGCTTCTACACCAGCGCCACCATGGGTAACTTTGTCAACATGGGCTTCATCGAGAACCTCTACCACTACCAGAAGGAGAACAGCAACGTTGTCGCCCTCGTCTACGATGCCAGCAAGAGCTCTCAGGGCAACCTGACTCTGCGCGCGTTCCGCCTCTCCGAGAAGTTCCTCGCAGCCTACAAGGAGAACAAGTTCTCCACCGAGAGCCTGCAAAAGTCTAAGCTCACCTTCAAGGATATCCTTGCCGAGCTCCCCGTGACCATCCACAACTCTCACCTTCTTACTGCTTTCTTGCACCAGCTTCCCACCACTCCCTCGACGACCGAGATTGAGAAGCCCACTTCCCTTACTGAGGTGAACCAGGAGCCTTTTGGCACCCCTCTCCAGCCTTCCCTCGACAACCTTGATGTTGCCGTCGACCCCTTCCTCGAGAAGACCTGCGACCTTCTCCTTGAGAGCATCGAGTCCCACTACACCGACCTTAACAACTTCCAGTTCTACCAGCGCCAGCTCGGCCGTGAGCAGACCAAGATCTCCCAGTGGCAAGCTAAGCGCAAGGCCGAAAACGCCCAGCGCGCCCTTGCCAAGCAGGAGCCCCTCCCCGAGGATGAGTGGCAGCGCCTGTTCAAGCTTCCCCAGGAGCCTAGCCGCCTTGAGGGCATGCTGAACGCTAAGCAGGTGGAGCAGTACGGCAAGCAGGTTGACGGATTCACGGCCGGCATCACTTCCAAGATGTTTGCTGTCCGCGAGAACTTGCTCCAGTAAGCGGCATCCAAGAAAAAGTCCATTTTTATTTTTTGAAGTGAATTGGGATTAGAACGATGGTATGACTTGGGAAAGAGCATATGTACTCGTAGGCAAAAGGCTACGTTTGAAGTTTATGTGCTGGCTGGGCTTGCATCGACGGCGTTCCGGATATAGTTGATACTAATGAAATCAAACATTGAACATAAAATATGTTGTAACTTGTGCTGTATCTTCTGGTGCTACTACCATTATTGCTATGACGACCCTGGTATAGAGAGACAAAAGTAAGAAAGCCGTAAATGCTGACACCGTCGGCGGATTTAGCTTATTATAGCACATGGCGTTGAGGGATGCTGGACGACAGCCAACCCCGCGATCCGCTTCGGCAGCTTTATACGCTCAGGCTTCTTTCTTAACGTGGCGTATAGCTGACACGGCCTTTTCCTTAGCGGAGAGATACTGATTTTCCGAACGTTCAAACATAAAACAACGTTTGTTTGTATAGACGAAAACATTGTTATATTTTAGAAGGTTTGAGATAGTTACAGATACTATACAAGATTATACGTTTCTTTTGGTAGCACAAAACGTATCTTAATAAATATATACGTTTTTACGAGTGTGTTTGGGCTGTATTTGGAGCGTCGGGAAAATCAGACACTTTCCGCTAAGGTTTGCTGGTTGCTAGCGAAACCCGAGTTCGTTACAAGCTGTACGTACACATTGCAGTAATACCACCGCTCACTCCCTCCACGCAGGCCAAGGCTGCGGCACATCAACCCGGTGTCGAGCAACCACAGCTGACAAGACAGATCAGAGACAGTTCCATAAGCTGTAACTTAGTTACCGAGAAAGTCCGACGACGCCAGCCTGAGCCAATTCCAAGAGCTTCTACAGACCATGCTGGCTTTTAGAGGTCCCCGCAGCAAACCGGAGCCCCTCAGTCCCAAGTTACTCTAATTGCCTGTTTAGTAGCATGTGGCTGTTGCTAGGCACGCCTAAGGAAGAAAAAAAGGACTCTCTCAATTAACTTTAGTCCGCGGCGGGATAGCTTGTGGTGCTAATGGTTGGCTACGAGCGGCCCAAAAGCGGTCGAGCGATGCCCCGCTTTCGTCACTGGGCTACTTTCTCCTCAACGAAAAAAAAAAAAAATAGCGGGCGATAGGCCGGCGTGCCCCTCGTCTACAGCGCTCTGGTCCCCTGTAAGATGCGCTGGAGCAGGCAGGGGCCCCCGCCACGCGGCACAGGCAAAGCCTGCAACCAGCCCCTCTTTCACCGCTCGATTCACACAACGGCCCCCCGGCGCCCGCCAAAATCGTACTCGTACTTGGTGTCGCAGTGGGCAACCCGCACCTTGGTGGTTGGGCTGCTGCGAGCATGGAGGGGTTTTTTTCTGCCCCTCTTTGCCGTCCGCCAAAAGGCGGTACCTTTTTTTCTTAAAACTCCTCATACACTTGCTCTCCCCTCTTCTCTCCTCTTCTTCTTTTCCATTCTCCCCTTTACAGACTCTTTTGTCTTTTTTTTCCTCTCTCATCTTTTCATCCCTTATCCCAATTGTTCTTCTTTGAACTCCTTCTAATCACAATGTCTGCTCCCGCCCACACCTTCAAGGTCGCTGACCTTTCCCTCGCTGCCTTTGGCCGCAAGGAGATCGAGCTCGCCGAGAACGAGATGCCTGGTCTCATGTCCATCCGTGAGAAGTACGCTGCTGACCAGCCCCTCGCCGGTGCCCGCATTGCTGGCTGCCTGCACATGACCATCCAGACTGCCGTCCTCATCGAGACCCTCACTGCCCTCGGCGCCGAGGTTACCTGGACCTCTTGCAACATCTTCTCTACCCAGGACCACGCCGCCGCTGCCATTGCTGCCGCTGGTGTCCCCGTCTTCGCCTGGAAGGGTGAGACCGAGGAGGAGTACAACTGGTGCCTCGAGCAGCAGCTCGTTGCCTTCAAGGATGACAAGAAGCTCAACCTCATCCTTGACGACGGTGGTGACTTGACCTCCCTCGTCCACACCAAGTACCCTGAGATGCTCAAGGACTGCTACGGTGTCTCTGAGGAGACCACCACTGGTGTCCACCACCTCTACCGCATGCTCAAGGAGGGCAAGCTCCTTGTCCCTGCCATCAACGTCAACGACTCCGTCACCAAGTCCAAGTTCGACAACCTCTACGGCTGCCGTGAGTCCCTCATTGACGGTATCAAGCGCGCTACCGATGTCATGATTGCCGGTAAGGTCGCCGTCGTTGCCGGTTTCGGTGATGTCGGTAAGGGCTGCGCCATGGCCCTCCACGGCATGGGTGCCCGCGTCATCGTCACTGAGATTGACCCCATCAACGCCCTCCAGGCTGCCATGGCTGGCTACCAGGTCACCACCATGGAGAAGGCTGCCCCCATTGGTCAGATCTTCGTCACCACCACCGGCTGCCGTGACATTCTCACTGGTGTCCACTTCGAGGCCATGCCCAACGACGCCATTGTCTGCAGTAAGTTGCTGTTTCCCTAAAGCAGACCTAATATCCCGCATGCAATACTAACATACTTTCTCTCTCTTAGACATTGGTCACTTCGACATTGAGATCGACGTTGCCTGGTTGAAGGCCAACGCCTCTTCCGTCCAGAACATCAAGCCCCAAGTCGACCGCTTCCTCATGCCCAGCGGCCGCCACATCATCCTCCTTGCTGAGGGTCGTCTCGTCAACCTTGGCTGCGCCACTGGCCACTCTTCTTTCGTCATGTCCTGCTCCTTCACCAACCAGGTCCTTGCCCAGATCATGTTGTACAAGGCCAACGACGAGGCTTTCGGCAAGAAGTACGTCGAGTTCGCCAACACTGGCAAGATGGAGGTCGGCGTCACCGTCCTTCCCAAGATCCTCGACGAGGAGGTCGCCAAGCTCCACCTTGCTCACTGCCAGGTCGAGCTCAGCACCCTCACCCCCGTCCAGGCCGAGTACCTTGGTCTCCCTGTCGAGGGTCCCTTCAAGGCCGAGATCTACCGCTACTAAGCGTATGTACTACTATCCCGAAGCCCTTCAACCGGACTTGCTGGCGTCACTAAAGGCGTCAGCTGTATCGGGTCTATCTTGTGTTTTCAACAGCATAAAATTTTGCGAGCATACAGGCTTCCGGCGGATATAAGGCGCGAGCTTTTTTGATTTTATTTCCTTTGTTACCTTTATTTGCTTTAACAGGTGTTGATACGGAAAAAGCATTGGGCGGTTTTTACAAAAAAAACCTAGTAGCGCTCTCGCCGGGTGGATAATGGCGTGCAGCCCGGAACATAGAAACGATGTGCTTTTTCAACAAAATGGCGTTGGGTTATTTGGCTAATGATTCCCCCCAAAAATCATACGAGAGACGAAATAAGAATGAGGAAAACGGCCCAGATGCTTGATACGATTCTCTAGCGCAGCTTGGGCTCAAGACTAGCACGGAGAATGGCCCGTCAACCGTGGCCTATTTATTGTTGTTAGTTGACGGATTTAATACTATATTCAGTTGACATATATTACTGCTTTTGATACCCTTTGCGTGAAAATGTATCCTGAGATCTTCGGCTGGGATTGGAATCCATCTATCTGATTCTGTAAAGTTCTATGACGTACTATCGTTGTATTGTAGTATATCCAGTATACCTACTTCAATACTATTCTAATTGCATGGTTCTTATATTCTACGCTGTGAAAGATATACCTCATGGAGTAACCCCTCTCTGGTCCGGCACAATCGTCTTCAGTCTGCCCTCTGTCAGAGCCATCTTCAAGTTATCCAGCGTCCAGTTCTCCATTTTCTTGTCCGTCTCCTGCGTGGCTGTCCCCATGTGCGGCAGCAGTAGCACATTTTGGTTAGCTAGCAGTCCTGGATGAATACGCGGCTCATCTTCAAAGACGTCCAACCCCGCGCTCGCAACGTGCCCGGAATCCAGAGCTTCCACAAGGGCTGCTTCGTCGATGACGGCGCCTCTGGCTGTATTGACAATGACGACGCCAGGCTTCATAAGAGAAAACTCCTTTGTGGAAATAATATGCCGTGTTTTAGCCTGGGACAGTTAGCTACCGTCTTTCCAACCAAACTAGACGTCATGTTGCACTTACATTGAGGGGCAGATTTAAGCTAATCACATCACTCTCCTTTAAGAGCGCTTCGAAGGAGACATATTCAGCTCCGGCCTCCTCTTCAGGAGACAGCTGGTTGCGATTGTGGTATCGGATTGTCATGCCAAATGCCCGCGCCTTGACGGCCATGTTTCGCCCAATGCCGCCCATGCCTAGAATACCAAGCACCTTGCCCTGCGGATCGTGACCGCGAGAAACACCATTGCTCCAGTCTCCTTTGCGGAGAGATACGATGGAAGCATGAAAGTTTCTCAGGGCGCCGAGGAGAAGAAAGATGGCTGTGTCGGCGGTGGCATCGTCGACGGCTGTGGGGGTGTTGGAGACGGATATGCGGCGGGCCGTGCATGCTGAAATGTCAATTGCGTCGTAGCCAGCGCCTATGTGCCATTTAATCAGTTAGCAGGCGATAGAACTGAAACTAAACTAGCTGTATAACGCACCTTCGCTGCATATAAACTTGAGAGAGGAGGGAACAGCGGCAATGAACTCGGCATTCATGGGACCAGTGAGAGGGGTGGAGCGAAAGGCTCGATACGCAGCTACTACGCCATCAAGATTGCCGGATTGAAGCTCAGCAAGCAGCTCTGTTCTGTTGGTAGCCTTGGGCCATATGGGTTCGGCAATGGCGCACAGAGCATCCCATTCATCGCGGGCTCTAGACGTTACTGGTTAGTAGGGGACAGCGAGAGAAATGGTGGATAGACATGCAGCTCTGGCTCGGCAAGGACGAGAAACTTGGGGCGTGAGGTTGACATTGGTAGAGAGGGACAAAATAATATGAAGAAAATAGAAAGATGAAAAGAAAAGATGCAGATGGGAGAAAGAAATCGCCGATTGTCGTTACAGTGGCCGTCATCGGCGGGGATAGGGCGCAGTACGGCAGCATTTGTAGTGGGGGTGGCGCCCTCTACAGCGCAGCAAGCAACAAGCTGCCAGATGCATCACTTGTGACGTTTTGGACGAGGAAAACGTATTAATTGGTGTGTATTGGATGCGGTGGTATAAGCTATTATGTAGATATCGGCTGTTGCCACAAGCCGCCAAGAATATACCTGGTGTAAAAAATGAACGCTAACATACAAATAAAACAAAACGAAAGATCTGCTTTTTCTTTTCCTTCAAATGAACGTTCGAGATGTTTACATGAGCAATCGCCAAGCACCAAGCAGCAGGGCCGCAAAACCAGTACACACACCCATCAGCCACTGCAGCGTCTGGAACTTGACCTGCTCCAACTTCTCCCGCAGGGCCGCCACCTCCTCGCCAATCTTGGTCTCCGTCTCTTTGATCTTGAGCTCCTGGCTGACCGACTCTTCGCGAATACGGCCCTTTTCCAAGTTCAGATCCAAGCGTACTGACGCCTGCGTGCGGCTAATCTCATCACGTAGACGGCTGCTCAGACGAGCCACGTCGTTTGTCAAGCGCTCGTGCGTGTTGCGCGTCGTGTTGGACTCGGTGCTGTCCGCCGAGAGCAGCTCGGAGCGCAGCTTGGCAAAGTCGACCTTTTGCGTGTACGTGGCCTTGGCGGCGTCCTCGCGCAGCACCATGGTCCGCGTCAGGTTCTGGATGCTCTCCTCAATCACGTCGTTGAGCACCTTCATCATCGCGACCGACTGCTCCTCGGTGAAGCCCTCGCTCTCGAGGCGCTTGACGAACTTGAGCGTGTCGAAGTGGTGGTCGCGCAGGCGGGGGGCAGTTGCGGAGAAGGCCCGGCGCAGGATCATGCTTTGCTGGGGAGGAGCTGGACGGTGGATGTTGTTGTGGCTGTTGAGGATAGCGGCCGGGCGAGCGGCGACGAGGTTGTGTTGCAGACGCGCGGGGCGGGCGGCTTGCCAGCTTAGGCGGGGGAGGAGGAATCTGGGGAGCATCTCGGCTGCTGTAGAGGTCGCCATGGTTTGTGCTGTGTAGTGATGGTGGTGATGATGAAGAGCAGTGGTGGTTACAAATTGGCGGTGGTTGTGGTGTTTGCGAGGACGGCGTGGAGGCGAGGACCCTTTTTTTAGTGGAGACGCGGAGAGCGTCGGCACAGCGCTTTTAGTGGGAACATGGGGGAGCGAAACAGGGCCCGTAGGCGGTACCTTGGCTGTTGTAGATAGGTGCCTCTCACTACAATGCGTCAGTGGTGAGGGAGGTTAACAGGTGCAGATTTATATCTTGGAAAATTGGAGTATTATGTCTATTTGGTGACTTCATTGTACATGAGTGACTTGTTTAATAGAGAGAATATTCTACACGTTCCCACATGTTATATTGGAGCTTCATTTGAGCAAACCCGTCCTCCGATTTCGCATAATCTTTCTTTGTGTGGTATATTCTCCGTCATACTGTGCTTGTGCTTACTATTTGATAAAATTTCCACGAATTAATTATAAATAGCTAGTATTTTTAAGATGTCTTTTAGATACATACGCTGGGTGGTTATATGTGCCCCGCAGCCGCTTTCACGGTGCCTCGCTCTCGTGCATTACCATCATTTTCTATACAGAATCATCTGACGGAATTCCATATCATCTCTCAGTATTCTAGCTGTATATAATGTCCCCTTACACTGTTATTATCGAAATTTTCCAAGGTAAAAGTCTCACTTATTGCCTCATGTCACACTTTGCTCACACTCCGAAGCCGGTGCATTGTTCCATAGATATTACACTTATCAATCAGAGAATGATGAAATGCATTTTAAATACTTCAATCGACTTCTAACAGGAAAAGGGAATTCGCCATGTATATTTCTTCTCTGTCACCCAATCCCTATGCTTCCGCTAATCCTGCATCAGCCGAAATGGCGACCGCATTGAAACAGGGCATGGTCGTCAGGAGTGACGATGTCTACGACTACGTTAATCCATTTGGAGACCGCCGCGGGAACGCCTTTTACAGTGTCTGGACTTTTGAACTTGATCACGATGTACTTGTCCTGACGACAAAAGAAGGACGTAGCTCAGCGCCTCTCCAGCTTTGTCGTGATGGATTGCTTAGTCCAGCAGCCTTCAACGTGTTACAACCTCATACGCCTACGCCGTGCCCAACGACAAATACACCAGGGCCACGTTGGAAGCCGGAGATAAGCCCATGCCCACGCAAGGGAGCCTTTCTGGGCCGATTACTGCGTGACTTTGGCTACGCGTGGCGCCATGTTTTGCGATGGCCAATGAATAGTGTCACCGTGAGGCGACTCGCATATGCAACTATTTGGATCGCGACGATAAATTTTCACTTAACAGACCGGATCGGATTTGAGCACGTTAATATATGTGGACCCCATATCAAGGTGACAGATTTGCCCAAATGGGAGGTTCCTATCTCGCCTGTGGTTCAAATCGGGCCATTGTCTTGGGCTGCCTTTGGGCAAAATGTCTCGGAAGGCATGGAAGTGGTACAAAATCATCTCAACAGCACCGTCATAGACCGAGGCCAGGAGCCTATAGTGTATACCATTTTGACTCTGGGGCAAGTTTTCCTTTGCAGAGCCCAAGGCCAACAGGTACAGTGGACAAGAGCCGAGACGCTCTTCCACGACTCTATTACTACATCTGATGCTGCTATCAATATGATTCTCTGGGCAATAGATTCGACTACTCGAGATCCACTACCGACAAGACTTCATAATCTACCCATCGAGATCCAGGATACAATTCTTTACTATGCAACCGTCAGTCCCGTTGCATCTGCCAAACTAGGGTGCGAACTCGATCTGGGGTCTCCATTCCTGTGGCTTGATCAAGGGGGGGAAATAGTCATACAATCAAATAAGAGACATCGGTACGAAAGCTCTCCAGTGGAATCTCAAATCTTCTTTGATGGTGTAATGAGTGGTCTATCTTACAAACGGGGTGGGGTCATGTAATAGTATGTATATATTTCCTTGATGATGTCGTGAACCAGACGGGCTATTTTCGACTTTGCAACCGATAGTACTAAGATTGAAGACGTCTAAACGAATAAACGAATTTCAAGTGTTATATAAAATAAATCAATTTCTCTGCGAGAACAAAAAGAAATTGGTGTGTCTTTAGATATTTGGCCCGTTCAACAATTTCGGCCGCATTGTTTCTTATGTGTAGCCGCTCACTCAGCGGCACCAAGTTTGGCGCTTTCCAGTCGCAAAACTGGATTTCCATCCAATCTGTACCATTGCGTTTACCAGATCGCTCTCGTTATTGGTGTTTTCGCAGTAACTACTGCATTTCTCCAGCGCTGCGGCCCAAGACATACCATGTCGCTGAACCTCCGCCATCATGATGAAATGGAATGAGAATAGAAGCTGATATTCTATTGTTCGCGGTCACGGATGGTTCGAATACCGCGCCTTTGTATTTCGCTGGTAAAATGAAGCTCACAATGACGCGTTAGCACGGGTTTGATAGTAAAGGATCCTTGAGAGTGGGTAGCTATGGCCTCTGTATAACAAGGTACACAAAGTTTCTTTACAAATCAAATGTGCCATATAAATATTAATAAAAGAAGTTTGTTTGTATATAAAGCATAAAATAAATAAAGTTTATGAATAATAATCTTATTATCTTGGTGTTACAGCTTTCTCGACGGGGTTTCGTGGCAACCGCCCAGCCTCTAGTAGCGCCTTGTGCCCGCGTGATGAAGATATCGTTTTGCTAATATCTGGTCTCCCTCAAGTTTTCTTCTTCCCAAACACTCACAGCGGTACAATGGGAAACAATGCCACCGAGGAAGGATGGCTGAGGAAGAAAACAGTAAAGCAGTGTGAAGTATATAAGTAGGCTGATCGCAGTGTGATCCTTCTTGCTTCTCTCCCATCTCCTCTTTCATCACCATTTCTATCCAATACTTTAATAACTAATACTTCAACTTGCCAACCAGTCGCTCCCGCAAACACCACAGCCAAGATGCAGCTCGCCATTATTGTCTACCTCTTTACTACAGCCGTCGTTGCCGTCCCAGCTACCATCTTTGCCCGCGATATTTGCTCTTCTGGCGTCCCGAATAGCGTAGCGCGGTGCTGCACCGTCGATACAGCGGGTGTCGCCGACCTCGAGTGCGAAGACGGTAAGTTCCAATTCAGCCCCCTTTCCTTTGCTTTCATCTAGGCACGGAACTAATTCTCCTCTCCCGTGATAGCCAGCACCGACCCTAACCGCGAACAAGACCTTGGCCGGATCTGTGGTTAACAAGGCAAGGAGGTTATGTGCTGCAGCGTGATAGTCGCCGGTCAGGGCCTCGTATGTGCGCCCGCTTAACCGGTGTTTGCTGCTCTACATTAGCATGAATTACCTTCCAGGATCGGCTCCTTGAGGGACTACAGTAGTTGCGTGTGGTTTTATCCAAAAAAAAGGGGGGGAATTGTCTTGAGAACTACATTCCCCGTCCATTTAGCCTGTGGCATATTGGCTCTTCAATACCAAAACAAAGAATCAATTTGAAAGCGTATACATCATCGGTCGCTTCGCCATGATATCTTTAACACACGAAATTATAAAAACAGAAGCCCTGGACCTAATGCATAAATCGTACAGCCCATTTAGAAGACTCGTCGCTTAGTTGTTGCCTTTTAATTTTAAAGTTTGTAATATTTACAAGATTTCGTTACAGTGAGTTTTAATGAATGCTATTGTAAATAAAGTTTCTTCTGGAATAATCTGCGGTAGAGTAGTTATATCCAATGGAAGATTAATATATTTTGTATCCAACATGACATACTGATTTGTGTGTAGGGTATAGATGTTGAAGTCTCTAGATTATCGTCGTATTTGACTTGTACACTCTCGTCCAGAATAGCCCTGTAACACTACCTATCTTCTAGGTTTTCATCTTTACGGAGCCCAAGGTTCGGCTACACAATATCCACAAAGCCTTACCTATCCTTTCATCTCCTACGTAACTCGATGTGTTGATCCCGTGTTTGTGGCGCACAATGGCGTCCCAAGAACCTCTCGGGCCGCGCCGATGGCGGAAGCCATTTCGTCCTTGTTCAATAACCCTCAACAGTTTTCCATCCGATCTAGAATATCAAAAAGACTTTCTCGTATTGCTGTTAGCCAGCACTTTTGATGATGTTACGTAAGGCGATGAGATACGCTACCGCTGACACGGGACGCGGCCATTCTTCCGCACCAATAAAATGCACATGGGTTAGGCACAGGGCAAGCCTTATAACTTGTTTCTGTCTAGATTCGTAATAGAAATTCCCCTCTGAGCCGTGGTGGTCCCGGTGGTCCCAGTGGTCCTAAATCATTTGACGGGCGGGCATGCAATGCAACGACGGCACGAAGCCGATCATTCTTTCGGAATTCGATCCCGCGGCCGCCCTGACCGGCAGATATATTACCAGATGGAAATAAGTGCTGCATATTTGGGCTGAGCGTGCCGAGCCGATACCGCAGGTGTTGGTGATGTTGAGAGCTGAACACGGGACGGGCAGCGAATAAGATGGTCCGCGGGCTGCATTTCCAGCTTCACCAGACACCAGACCTTAATGGCCATCCGGTCTTCATAGTGCGAATGAACGGCGACCGAGAGAATTTTCTCGCCACGCGGCACTTGTCTGTTGATTTGGTGATGCGGGTGTAAGCTGCTGTTTGGATGATGCCATACTGACAAGAAGGGTGACTTATTCGTTGTAAACGTGTATAAATAGACACCATTGGTCCTGATTTTGAAACAGAATATCAAAAACAACAGATTCATCTCAGACAAACATTATTCTTACTCTTGTGAGCTACTCAGCATGGTTTCCTATCTTGTGCCAGTCTTAGCCACTCTTGTTGGCATCTCTGCCGCAGCCCCTTCTCCTCTCCAGCCTGAGATTGCAAGCCAATCCGGGCAAATCAACTCCTCTACTGTTGATACCTTTGAAACTCGCAATGGCCCTGCTGCTCTCGCGGCCGCTTACAGCAAGTTTGGCATCCAGGTACCTCCCTCGCTCTTGAAAGCCATCGATAGCCAGGCTTCCAAGCGTGGCCTGCCCAACTACAACCACAACCAGCTTGCTTTTGGTGTCGGTCTTGGCTCTGGAGGCCAGGGTCTGAACCTTGTTTTCGATACTGCCAGTGCGGATCTCTGGGTCTTTTCCACCGAGACAGATCCCAATGCCACCAACGGCCATAACCTTTACAACCCCGGTGGCAGCTCCAGCGCAGCCAGACTCCAAGGTGCTACATGGAACGTGACGTACCCTGACGGAACCTCTGCCAGCGGCGATGTCTACTCTGACTCGGTGTACTTTGGTGGTCTTTCTGTCCAGAGACAGGGTGTTGAAGCTGCCGTTGCCGTCTCGCCATACTTCGCTAATGCCCGCATGGACGGTGTCCTTGGTCTGGCTTTTAGCACGAGAAACACAGTCAGTCCTCAGAAGCAGCGCACCTGGTTTGAGAACGCACAGTCCACGCTCCAGAACCCTGTCTTTGGAGCTGATTTCCGCCCCAACGGCTACAGCTATGCCTACTTTGGCCGTATTCCGTCCAACTTTGGAAACGGCTACGTTGCCTCTGTCGATGCTGCTGAAGGACTCTGGAAGTTCCAGAGCGGTTCGTCGACTGGTGGCTCGTTCCCAGCCATTGTCGACACTGCTACGTCGCTGATTCTCGCCAACAATGCTGTTGTTACGGCGTACTACAAGCAGATCCAGGGTGCCAACTTCAACCAGGCCCTAGGCGGATGGGTGTTTAACTGCAACACGCGTCCTCCCGCCTTCACGTTTACCGTTGGCACAGGCTATATCAGTGTGCCTAGCGCCTACATGGTGTATGCCCAGGCAGACCAGCAGCAGTGCTACGGCAGTCTTCAGGCTAACGGTGGCCTACCGTATACTGTCCTCGGAAGCCCTGCCATTTGGTCTTCCTATGTGATTCTGAACCTCGGAAACACGGGCAACCCCAGTGTGGTGTGGACTCAGAAAGTGTACTAGCGGAGTTTAGTCCGGGACTAACAACGATGCAAAAGTGCACATGGAAAACAGCCTGAATAGGATATTGTTGCAAACCCAATGCAATATAATTAAATAGTAGGCCTTTGGGCTTATAAATACAGACGATCTTCAATTGCCGTGCACCACCCATTACGTACTAGACATTCAACATTAACGTTTGCTGCTATAGCCTGCCATCAACACATATAGCTTCTCCGCAAAACGGTCCGCCGTCTGTTCTAAATAGGTTATTCATCCCGACGCCACAAACCTAGTGTACATAAAATATCAAACTGAAACACAGTACGGCCGATAACTTAGCCGAGCCTTGCGCATCACCGCATCAGCTGGGGACCCAGCGTCGGTATGCTTACGGGCCTAGCAAGACGCCACTAAACTCAGCTTTGCTGCAATGGACGGCTTACATTCCTACTCGGTGTAAAGAGCCGGGAACAACACATACACCAAACCCGCAGGAAGCGGACGCGCAAATACAAATACCATGAGACGTACCCCGGATTTCCATCCGGCCTTTGATATCCGCCACCAAAAACGCCCAAAATGACCGTTATTCTCAAGACTCTAGCCACCGCCGCCGCCCTGGCCACCCTGGCCTGCGCTGCTCCCGCTCCCTTGGAGCCCCGCGTCGCGTGTGCTTCAGGCCTGTACATGATCGTCGCTCGCGGATCCAACGAGCCCGCCGGCGAAGGCCGCATTGCTGCCGTCACTTCAGCCGTGAAGCAGCAAGTCCCTGGCTCCAGCAGCGTGGCGGTGGACTACCCTGCGTCCATCCTCGGCGGCACGTTGTACCCGGAGTCGGTGGTCAAGGGCATCAACGACGCCAAGAAGAAGGTCCAGGACTATGTTGCCGCGTGTGGAGCTAATAGCCACATTGTCCTGCTGGGATACAGCCAGGGCGGCAATGTCATGTCGGATATGCTGGCTGGTGGTGTGTTGAAGCCGGCTCCCCTGGACACGAGCTACCACAAGTACAGTAAGTGACTTTATTCTTCGTTTTGTGGATGACAGAAGCGAGTCAATGCTAATAAACTGTGGTATAGTCAAATCGGTCGTCACCTTTGCTGACCCGACCTTTGTCGCCAACAAGACATACGACTACGGCAGCAATGCCCACGGCAAGAACGGCATCTTTTCGCGCTCCGGTAACTCCGGGGAGATGGCTCTGCTGGATGCGTACTCGAGCATCATGGCTACCTACTGCGATGTCCATGATGCCGTCTGCGCGAGCGGCGATTCTACCGCCGTGCATGGCGTCGAGGTTGAGAACCACACGCAAGAGGCCATCAACTTTATCGTGGCTCACAAGTAAATGGTATTAGCTTGTATATCTTTCACACAAAGTACATAGGAAAACAAAAAGTTGTATATACAAATACGAAAAGTACAATACGTATATGATGGCCAGTGTAAGAACAGGGTTAGGGTTGTGGAGATGCTTTAGTAGCTGCCCCACGTGATCGACAAAGCGAAAAGCGGAACATGAACAAACCTCATCAAGAGACTGCAAAAGCACATCTAGATTAAAAAACAAAGAAACAAGTACTTACTACACAACAGATAAGATGCAGCTTAAGACAACTCAGCGCATTGAGCTGCCCGCCACGGCAGACATGCACGTCCACTTGCGCCAGGGCGACATGATGAACTTGGTTGTGCCCACGGTTCGCCAGGGTGGTGTTGATACCGTCTTTGTGTAAGTGGTAGACAAAAAGAATGCTGGAGAGAATTGTATGCTGACTAGATAGGATGCCTAACTTGGTGTGTGATGTCGTATTGAAGTGTTGCTGGAGTGGCTGCGCTTATACGAGCGAGGCTGTTACTAACTTACCCTAGGCCCCTCCTCTGACTGCTGTCGACAAGGTGCGTATTGAGAAGTGTTGAAAGCTAGAAGCGAGCAATTAGCTAATGGAACCAGGTCCTCGAGTACAAGGCCCAGCTGGAGGCTCTTGAGAAGAATGTCCACTTCCAAATGTCCCTCTTCGTAAGTCGCTCACGTGTGTACTGGGGGTGCACGCACACGCTGAACAATGATAGCTTCACCCTCTTGTCACTCCCGATGTCATTGACCAGGCTGCCGCGGCTGGTATCACTGGTGTCAAGCTCTACCCCCAAGGTTAGCTTTCTTCACATTTATACTGATTGATAGAGACCGTGCTAAAAATTTGGTGTTGCAGGTGTGACCACCAACTCCGAGAATGGCGTTGCCGACATCACGGCTTTTTACCCTACTTTCGCTGCCATGGAGAAGCACGATATTGGTATTTGTCCCCTTCAACCGTTCTTTGATGGAAATTCTCATTAATTGTCCAATTCATACAGTCCTCAACATTCACGGTGAGGTCCTCGAGGCCCTTGCTCCTGAGGGTCTGAGCCTGGAGGAGGCTTTCCTGCCCACCCTCAAGACTCTGCACGAGCAGTTTCCCAACCTGCGCATCATTGTACGTCTTCCCAGGCTTGTAATATGCGCCACCAGTACTAACAATCACAGCTCGAGCACTGCACCACTTCGGCTGCCGTCGAGGCTGTCCGTGCCTGTGGCCCCAACGTTGGCGGTACGTCAAAACCCGCTCGAAGAAGAGTGAACAACGGCTAACTTGACTTATAGCCACCATCACCGCCCACCACCTCTACCTCACCCACCACGAAGCTTGCTGCGACCCCTTTGCTTTCTGCAAGCCCATCCCCAAGAAGCCCACCGACCGCGACGCCCTCGTCAAGGCCGCTGTCAGCGGCGAGACCAAGTTCTTCTTGTCAGTGTCCCCCAGTATACTTCCTCTCTGTTTCCTTGCTAACGCCCTCATAGTGGCAGTGACAGTGCTCCCCATCCTCTCGAGTCCAAGACTACCGCTGAGCAAGGCAAGACCCCTGCCGGTGTCTTCACCCAGCCCTACGTCACCCAGCTCGTCCTGCTTGCGCTTGAGGAGGCTGTCGAGCGCGGCGTCATCACCGACGACGACATCACCCAGGAGAAGCTCGAGGGCTTCCTGAGCCGCAATGGCCGCCGCTTCTACAAGCTCCCCGAGACTGCGCCGGGCAAGATTGTCCTGGAGCGCAAGGGCGAGAAGATTGCCACCAGCATCAAGAGCGAGACCGTCGAGGTTGGTAACTCGCGCGGCGGCGATGAGGTGTTTACTCTGACCTGGGTTTGAGGCGTTTATACGGGAGAGATATAAAAAACGAAAAGTTATAGAGATTGATGAATGCAAATCTTTTGATTTATATGATGTATCCTATCCTCGTAGACGGCGGCGTCGCTTGAGGGATGCTGGAGTAGGCCCTGTCCCCCACCACATCTCAAGGAGCTCGTCGACGGATTTGTTAACGGGCATGGTGCCGCCGAGCTCGTTGCTGCCGTATACAGATCGAGTTATATCCTGAAGTTCCATAAAGTCGCTTTCTAGCAGACACCATAGCTCATCCGGGACGACCTCGATAGGGACCTTGAACACGGGCTTGTACCAGTTTCGTGGATCGTGCGGATCGTCGGGATCAGCTGGGTCTTCCTCGCCATGGGGATTGACAGACTCAGTCTGCATGACGGCGAGTAGGAAAGGTGCTCCGGCTCTCCAGTAGCGCGAATCTGTAGACGGGAAATCTGCGTCGGCAAGCTCCAGAACAGAAGCAACGGATTGGGGAGTCGCGCAGAGAAACGCCGTCTGCTGCATTCCGCGAGGAACCTTGTCGCTGTCTAGCATCGCGGTATATCGTTTACGAAGAACGTCTGCTGTCGCGCCGACAAGAGTCTCGTCCTCTACCCACAGCAGGTTGAAGCAGCTCCTCGCTGATGCCACGGCTTCGTACTCGTGCTGGCGATGCCTCTGGACGACGTTATCAAAAGGGACATTTAGAATATCATCGACATTCTTTTTAAACATCTTCCACTTTCCATCGTCGTCATACAGAGTCGTCTTGAATGCCACAAACCCAAACGGCTGCCCCTCATGCCGCTTCTTCCATGTTTTGATAAAGTCTGGCTCGCGGAAGTCTGGCGGCGGCGCACCGCTGTCAACGAGCGCCTGTTCCTCGCGCCCTTGTTCAATTTTAAACAAGTATGATGCCATCTCATCCACCCCATCCTCGCCTAGCGCTTCACGGAAGCCATTGCGCAGCTTGTCCTGCTCATCTTCGGGCAGGTTGAGAAAGCCGTCGTCCAGGGCGACATGACGCTCCCAATTCCAGCCAGGAGGCCAGTACGTGCTAGAAGCATCCGAATATGGACAGGGCGTAGGGACAGGCTTTCTGTCAGACTTTTGCACCATCCTGACTCGGTTTGGGGGTTTCCGGGCGTTGTGCGTGAGATGAAAAGCTACGGAGCCGCTAAGCGCGGGGCGGATAACTCTCTACAGCGACAGCAACGACCAGCCATGATGTCACAATGCTACAGTGCGGGTCGATGGTGCAGGGAATCTCTTTTTAAGCTGGATCGAGAGATTATCAACAGAAATGTAATTTTTAGGAAAGATGAATAGCTGCTGAATGAGGCAACGAGGGGTGCTGTAGCCAGAACGGCAAGACTGCTGGCTGATGCTGACGTGCCGGGATGACGATCGGGATTCGATCGCTGCAGAGGTCCGCGGGGCCTTTTGATCGATGTTTTAACTCGGCAGCGCGCCGCCTTCGCTTGTAGATGGTAGAGTTACATTTGGACAATTGTTTCTTTTTCAGCCGACGAGATTCTAGTGTCAGCTGCTGCCAGGTGTCTGCCAGGTGTCTGCCAGGTGTTTGGTGCCAGGTGACAACAACTGCCAGCCAGATGGCAGAAACCTGGTAGCTTGCCAGCCAGCTCAATTTCACACACATCCAGCAAAGTTCCTCTTAACATAGACAAGCTCATTTCCTTTACAGATTATTTTTCATAGTATTCACCAAATTCACCAAATTCTCACTGCTCGATGCTTTGCAGCAGCAAGTGGGAATACTTCCACCCTGCCTAACTGCAAGCGTGGGCATCTTTGATCAGCGCTGCCTACAATTCTAACCCAACCTTGAGACTTCTACTGAATACGCAGATCTGCCCCGAAATAGAGATTTACAGCACACAGTACAGTGTTTGCATATCGCATCAGCTACTTGCAACTCGGTCTACTGCCATTGCCCGGCACTTCTAATACACCACCAACCGAAGGGCCGATGTGATCGCCATGTCCTCACCTTAACAAATCACCACCCAAACCACACCAAACTACGTCAACACTCGCCCACCACCATGTTCCGCCACTAGTTTTCTTTGACTTCCTTCCATTTTTCCAAATGCAACCCTCTGGCCGTTCACATACTCGCGTGGCCCAGGATCGCTGCCACGTTCCGCGCTTGTCCCAAACAGGCAAACGGGATTGGGCTTCTACTTTTGGGTGTGAATCCCGTCTTACATGAGCGCCTCGCTGCACCGCACCCCAGATGCCCAGCCCTTGGGTTACGTATTGTCCTCGTAGACTTTCCCGCCGTGGCGCTGCGCTGATCGCAAGCCAAACGGCCGGTTTTATCATTCCGATCGTTCCCCCCCAGCCCGCGCAGCCCAGAAACGGACTTGCGATGAAACCGCATACTCCAAACACACACAAGCTTGTTACTTTCTCCAAGCCCGTCTACGACTCCAACTCCAATTGGTAAACCCCAAATCAAAGGCCACTTTTTAAATTTCCGAATACCTCGTTTCTTCGTCTTCTTTCATGATGATGGCTGCTAGGCCGCCGACTAGCGCTGGTCCTCGCCCGCTCGGCATCGCAGGACCAGCCGGCTACGGCCAGTCGTGCACAAACTGCTCCCGCGCAAAATGCAAATGCATCTTGCGTGCAGAAGGCGGCGCATGCGAGAGATGCCATCGTCTTGGAAAGGATTGCCAGCAAATGGTGACAGCGAGAAAGCGCACCGTCCGAAGAACGGCGACATCGCGAACCGCACAGCTTGAGGAGAAGCTTGACGACCTCGTTTCTATCCTCAAGGGAGGGCACCAGCCAGGAACGTACGAGAGCATGATGTTTACAGGCACACCGGACTCGACAAAGAACGGCATCTCAAGCACCACGGCTGCCTTGGACTCCCTGGCTGCGGCCGCCACCAACCACCGCCAGGTCAATGTCTTCTCGTCGTCTGAGGACTCGGAAAACTCAAGCCGCAGTCAATCGGTGCAGGTCATGGAACCAAGTGCTGAAGAGGCCCAGACATTGCTCAATCGCTTTCGCGGGTGGCTGCCAAACTTCCCCTTTATGCATCTACCTGCAGACGTCACGCCGTATAACATGCAAGAGGAGCGGCCGTTTCTGTGGCTGTGTATCCGAAGCATTACGTCGACATCGGGAATGCAGCAGCGTGCAATGGCAGATAAGATTCGCCGCGAGCTGGCGGAGAGGATTGTGGTGAATTCAGAACGAAGCATGGACTTGCTGCTGGGCATCATCACTGTGCTGGCGTGGTAAGTGTGGCATGCGCCCGGAAAAGTAACCACCGCAAAATTCTAACCAATTTTTTATTTTAGGGCTACGCTGAATACAGGGCCTCGCATGAAGCCTTTTCTTATTTTGTACTCACAGCTCGCGGAGACGGTTATTTTCGATCTCGGCCTGCTACGCTTCCCTAACGAGGAGCACGTGTCCGCCATGGGCAAAGTGTGGGCGAGAAAACTAACAGATATCCGCGAGCGAACGTATGAGGAAAAACGAGCCGCTATTGCTCTGTGGTTCCTTACATCCATGTAAGTGGTCTTTTTTACCATAAAATTATTTAACCGCACTTTTTGCTAACAGGTTCCGCGCTAGATGCAACGCATTTACAGGCAAAGTGGAAACGCTCGCGTGGACGCCACACTTGGAACACTGCCTCAAATCGCTTGAGCGAGCAGAAGAATACGTCGGCGATGGGATTCTCGCTCTCTTTGTGAGAATCCAGCAAATCTCCGACGAAGCCAACAAATGTCTGGTGCAAGACCTTCTCTGGAGCGGCACCGAGCCCCGCGAAACGCCCACCTACCTACACAAGGCACGCCTACTCGACGGCATCAAGCACGTCCGTGAAATTGGCGCGTCTAAATTCCCACTAAGCTGTAAGCACAAGCCTTCCTCGCCCAAACAAAACGTCTTACTGTTGCATCGGTTTCCGCTGACCTGACTTGACCCGCTCCAGACACCCTGACGTCACATTTGCTGTCGGCAGAAGCGCACATCCATGTCATCGGGCTCTTCTCGAACCAGCCCATGCCAGACGAGCGCCGCGTCGAGGGCATGTACCAGTGCCTACAGTCTATCCGGCTGTGGTACGACGCCTTCTTCGAGCGCCCGATCCACGAGATCCCCGCGCTGCCCTTCTCCATCTACATATCGCTGTCGGTCATGCAGGTCATGCTGTACCGCCTGACGGTGCTGGAGCACCCGATGTGGGACAAGAATGTGGTGCGCAACACAGCAGATGTGCTTGAGATTCTCGACCGCATTACAGAGGTTTTCCAGCAAGTGCCCAACTTGTATCCCGTCGTGAATGACACGGACGGATCGAATCTGTACATCCACGGCGCACGACATCTCAAGGCGCTGCGCGCAACGTGGGCGCCCACGCTCACAAACCACATGGGCAGCTTACCTACGCCCAATAGTCAGCAGGCCATGTCCATGTCGCCGTCGCAGGCGCAGGTTACGATGAGCATGAACCCTGCCGGGCTTATCGATCAGAGCCAGGGGGCTGCTGACTTCCAGGATATGGCGTGGATTGCGGACATTTTTGGGCCGTGGGAAATGTAAACGAGGCGAGATGAACGAACTAGCGGCGTTTTCTTTTTATTTTTCAAGGTGTTGGCTAGGCTGGGGTAAATGGCGTATGTGGGTTGTATAGATACTCTTTTGACGGCACCGTTTTTATCAGGGTAAATTAGCATTTGTATGAGATTTGAATTTCCTTCTAGAATGGTTCCTTTTGAATGCCGCTCATGAATAAGAGCGCTGTAAATTACCCTCAAACTGCCCTATAAAATATTCCACAGCGTGTTCTAATGTGCTGTAGATGCAAGAGAAGCCCGGGCCTCCGGCGCCGAAAAGGGAAACGAAAGCCGCTCCGGGATTCTGCGGGGCCCGCGGTTTGACGGCCACTTCGCCGGCCGGAGCACCGGGATTCTCAACTCCGAAGTCCTTGCTGCCTCCAGCACAACACTTTCCACTTTGGGAACCTTCGTCTAAATGATGACAGTGTGCTGGGGTCAGCCGGCGTGGACAAGGATGGGTTGCACTGCAGATTTGCCATGCGGACAAAAGATTTGCGGTCCAATATAAGGCCTGCCCCCGTGGCTGCCATGTGTTTCTGAAGAAAAAAGAGACGAACCTATACATGTCGACCCTCTTTTGTCTGAGACACATACAAAGTTGAACATTCATTCCACGACAGCAACACTTACATCGGGAACCACATCGACGAAGAGAAGATACTCGCTTACAGACAAACGCCTCTGTCATGTCTTCGCCCACGGAGCAGTCGCCGCCCTCCTCCCCAGCGGCGGCAGACCGCAAACGCCGCTCCCGCGCCGCATCTACATACACAATCCCTCGCGCACCCCCCGCCGTAGGCCGCTACCGCGATGGCGGCACACAGACTGAGCGCAACAGCGACATCTCGCCCGCGCTCACCATCGCAGAGACCCTCTACGCCGAGGGCTCACATGCTGACGACGCCCCCAAGTCGAAGCAGCTCGACGAGGAAACATACAACATCCTCAACCGCCCTGCCACAAAGAGCTCCCCAACTCGCCCGTCTACTTCCCGCAAAGTATCTGTCGACGGCAAACGCATGTCGCTGATTAAACGTATGAGCGGACTTACAGAACGCATCGCCGGCCCGGATGACGATGTGCCCCCGATGCCGCCTGCTTTCCGCATGGTCGATGGCTCCATCTTTATTGATTTCTCGCCGAACCCGCGCTTGTCGTTCCGTGCGGACTTGGACAAGTTTGGGCCCGTGCAGGAGGTAAATGGTGAGCAGTCGGACATGGAGATTATGACGAGCAGAGGAGGTACGGCGGGGGGCGAACTGACTGATTCGGATGAGAAGATGCCAGAGATGAAGAAGCCGGAGACGGCGTACATTGAGGGCTGGAAGCTGTGGAGTGTCATGTTGTCGCTGACGGCGGCTAGTTTCTTGATTTTGCTGGATAACTCGATTGTGGTGACGGCTATTCCTAAGATTACGTCCGACTTTCACTCGCTGGGAGATATTGGATGGTATGGTAGTGCGTACAGTTTGACGAGTGGTTGCTTGCAGCCGCTGACTGGTAAGCTTTACACGTATTTGCATGCAAAGGTGAGTTTTATCTTGAAATGTGGTGAGATTGAGTGTGAGACTAACTTCTTTGGTAGTGGCTTTTCCTCGGATTCTTTGTGCTGTTTGAAGTCGGTTCTCTCATTTGCGGTCTCTCCACTTCGTCTGCCATCTTCATTGTGGGCAGAGTCATTGCTGGTCTCGGCGCTTCAGGTATTCAAAATGGCAGCATGACTATTCTTGCTGGTAGCGCGCCGCTGGAAAAGAGACCGATGCTTTCGGGTATCATGATGGGTATCTGCCAACTTGGTCTCGTCGTTGGTCCCTTGATTGGTGGTGCCTTTACCCAATATTCCACTTGGCGATGGTGTAAGTTTACTCTCAATCTTTGACCAAGTTTCACCCCTAACGCATTACAGGCTTCTACCTTAACCTCCCCGTTGGTGCTATTGTCGCGCTGTGCCTTGGCATCATCAAGGTTCCCGACTACCGTGCCCAGCAAGAAGTTCACCCAGGCCCTCTCACTCTCAAGAAGCTCGATCTTCCGGGCTTCGCCATCTTCATCCCCTTCTCCATCATGATGCTGCTTGCTCTTCAATGGGGCGGCAACGAGCATGAATGGAACTCGCCCACCATTATCGGTCTTCTCGTCGGTGCCATGGCCAACTTTGCCATCTTCGCCGCTTGGGAGTACCGTGCTGGCCATGGCGCCATGATTCCGTTCCCCGTTCTCAGAATTCGCCAGATTTGGAGCTCGTGCCTTACAGTCTTGGTCCTGGTTGCATCCGTTATTTGCACAGCTTACTACCTTGCAATCTACTTCCAGACCGCACGCGATGCCTCGCCCTTCCAGGGTGGTGTGAACATGGTTCCTGGTATTCTTGCTCAGCTTCTCTCCGCCGTCTTTGCTGGTGGCTTCAGTAAGTTTCTTATTTTCTAACGACCAATTAAGCTGTTTGCTAACCCATTGTAGTTGAAAGTGCTGGCTACTATCTCCCCTTTGCTCTTTTCGGCGGCATGCTCGCTACCGTTGGTAACGGCTTGCTCAGTAGTCTGCAGACTGACACATCGACTGTCAAATGGGCTGCTTTCCAAGTCATCTCGGGTCTTGGTCGTGGTATGGCTTTCCAGGTGCCCTACTTGGCGACCCAGGCCCACGCTCCTCCCGCGCAATTGTCTGTCGCGATTGCTATGCTCACCTTCTGCCAGACATTTGGTACTGCCGTCTTCCTGAGCATCTCCAACGCCCTGTTTAACAACAAGCTACGATCTGAGCTTCAGTCTCTGCTGCCGACACTCAATGCCGAGGACATTATCCATGCTGGTGCCGCTGGTGTGAAGGATGCTGTTCCCAAGGAGAGTCTGCCTACAGCTCTGGTGGCATACGTTCACAGTTACCAAACTGTCATGTACCTGGTTGTAGCACTGTCTGGTTTCGCTGTCATCTGCTCCTTGGGCATGGGATGGACCGATATCCGCCCCAAGAAGCCCATTGTAGAGGAAGAGAGCCAGACAACAGAGGAGATCAAGGAGAAGGGCTCCGAGGAGGAGGAGGAGGCAAAGGAGTAGTTTTTTATCTGCGTATTTTCTTATAGGGCGTTTCCTTCTTTTTTGATCTGTTTATTTTGAGGCAGCGTGTACAGAAGACGGCAAACATACTCTAAATAATTGGCTGGGTCGTTTTTGGCCCAGCAATGTTCTTACGAGACACTAGTATATATATTAATGAATTCAACGACATTCATTCACTTGATATTCTTACCATTTGACTTGTTGAGATTTGATTAAAATAAGATAGTAACTTGTAAGGCTGTATTCTCATGATCTTATCGTTCTATAGTAAGGCGCATGCGTATATGCAGTGTGATGCTATCGGCTCCATCACATCGTGAAAATGTCAGTTCGTTAAAGACCCATTCAAACGGGGCTGCGTCTGGAGTCGTTCCTCCACATCGGCTATGCATAATAATCTCATTAAATTGCCCACCAGGATGCATGGAGCTGTTCTAGAAGGCGGGACGGGGTTGACAACGGAGTTGGAAGTGGTGGCGGACCAGCATTTCCGACACGGAAATGACGAGCGATCGGGTGTGCATTAAAGCGTATGAAACATGTTCAGGGTATCTCGATATGTATATTATAAAACAAAAAGCACCTCCAGCATTAACAAACAATCTTGTAGAGGGTTTTCCACTTTGGCCAAGATGCCTTCTCGGCCTTTTCCTGCGCCATGAGAATCGGCAAGTTGAACTCGCGGCGGCCTGTATGGATGTCGAGCTCTTGCATCGTGACGTACGACGTTCGGTAGTAAAACTTGTGCGCCAGGTAGAAGATTAACACGACAGGGGCGCCTGTCCATTTCAAAAAGAAGTTTTCCGCAATGTCCCGCGCCGTCTTAGAGTCGGCGTCGACAGGCGATACGCCGACCCAAAATTGCGTCACGACGATCAGGCAATTTAGAAACAGGCCGACATATGAGCCCATGATGCCCACCTGGGATTCAAAGGGCAGCTCGCTAGGCAGCCGGCCAGCCGCAGCCCAAGCATGTCTGAAGCGGATATGGCACAGACAGATGGATCCCCAAGTGAAAACAGTGGACAAACCAGACGCTGTAAGCAGCCAGTCCAGAACAGTCCGCTCGTCTGTAAGATTAGCAAGATAGGACAGCAGTCCAACGAGCAAAGCGACGATAATGGCCACGAGCGGGCGTCCTTTGCGGTCGACGTATCCCAAGATCTTGGGCGCTTGGTTTAAATCGGCCAACGCGGCGAGTGTTCGCGTAGAGCCAAAGACGGCTGAGTTGCCGACGGATAAGACGGATAGCAAAATGACGGTGTTCATGACGGACGGGAGGACGTCAATGCCGGCATCTTGAATCGCAATGACAAATGGTGATGCATTAGCATCAACATCGCTTTTGCCACCAAGCAGGTTTGGGTTTGTATATGGTACGAGGAGGCCAACAAGTAAGAGGGCCACGACGTAGAAGAGCGTGATTCGCCAAAACACCTGCTTGATGGCCGATGGTAACGACTTTCTGGGCGTCGCCGTTTCTGCCGCCGCTAAGCCTATTAGTTCGGTACCAGCAAACGCGAAAGCCGCAGTAGTGAAGACGCTAGCAAGGCCCTTGAATCCATTATTGAAGGCGCCCGGGTTCTGCCAGTACTCGCCGCCAATGTATCCGCGGTCTTGGGTGCCGCCACAATTCAAAACAATACCAAGCAGACTAATTTATTAGTTTTTGAATACTTTTCTGACGATAGAATCGACTCACATGAATCCTATAATGGCAATCACTTTAAACATGGAAAAGACGTATTCCGCCTCGCCGTATCCCTTGACACCAAACATGTTGATGGTAACAATGATGATCAAGAAGACGGTGACAAAAATACTGCGGTTAATATTCAACCCCCAGTATTCAATTGTAAGTGACGCTGCAATGATTTCGAGAGGCAGCACAGACAGCCACTGCAAAGCATAACTGTAATCCCGTTAGCATGATGGGCACGCACACACACGCCAGCCACAGTGTCAGCTTACTTCCAGCCCATGGCGAACCCCCACGAGGGGTCCAGAAAGCGAGTTGACCACGACGCAAAGGACCCCGCGACGGGAAACGCAACGGCCAGCTCACCCAGCGCCTGGCATGTACAGTAGAGCATTAGACCGACGGAGGAAAACGCAATCAGCACCGATGCCGGGCCACCCGTCGCAAGAGCCTTTCCGCTCGCCACAAACAAGCCCGTACCAATAGAGCCGCCCATGGCAATCATTTGTAAATGACGGCCCTTTAAGCTGCGCATCAGGCCGCCGGTATGGGCGCTCTCGAGGGCAGCCAGGCGCAGGTCGTAGTAGTGGCCGGGCCGTCGCGGCTGGTTGTCGTTGAGGCCGACATGTTCGCTGGGGATAAAGGTCGAGCTGGGGTCGCGCTGGAAGTCTTCTAGGAAGCGCTGGAATCGGGACGGTCGTTGAGGGATAGGTTCTAGGTCGGCAGCGAGGTTGCGCGGAATTCGCTTGGAGTGGGAGGAGATGGAGGAGTTGGCGGACGGTGAGGGCGAGAGATCGGGGTTGTGGGTGGTTGGCGGCATCATGGCCGCAACCTGTGGAGGGGTGGTTGCTTGTATAAGATGGGTGATTGAGCGGTAGCAATTTTGAAGGTGTTGCGGTTGGCGTTGTGATGAAAAGCGACAGAAAGAGAGGCGGTGGTGCGATGATGGAGAATGGTGGACGTTTTGGTGAAGACTGATAGTGGTGGTGTTGGGCTGAAGACTGGGCGGTGGCGTGGCGGCTGTGTGGATAAAATAGGCCGCGATTGGGGTGGTATTGGTGGGAGAGAACGGCGACGTGGATGCGACGCTTGTAAGATGCCTGTGGATGGAATGGTTGTATATGTAGTGAAAATTTATCAAAGAGATAACTGTGAGTGTAATTTGTAGTGCTTTGAATATTTTGTTGCTGTATTGGAACACAGTGCCGTGAGAAGACTATGCTGTTTGGCCGCCTGTAAGCTGGGCTGATGCCGCAGCTGAATAGATTAGATAGAGGCGCATTGATCTGCTGCTCAGCCCGTGGCGCTTCAAATTAAACAGGCCTAATAAAAAGAAGCGGCTATTTTAGCTACCAAGGGTCGAATCTGTTGTCTAAATATATTTGGCATCGCTTAAAGAGCATCTTGAGTTGTGCCACAATGGCGTAGTCCATAACCTCTGCTGGCTCATCTTCCACTGACTCAAGATCAATCACGACAATGCAATCACCAGATATAATAAAGTCACCAAGGTGCATATCTCCATGGCATACACCAAATGGCTCCATCTTCCGAAAAGCCAGTTCGACCTTGCTTTGAAACTCTTCGGCTGGCATCGGGCAGTGCTTGTCTTGCTTATGCGGCATGACGCCGTCGACGTATGATATCAAAATAGACGGTGTATATTTGTATATAGCCTCACCCAGGTAAACAGGTATTGTGTCTCCTTGCAGTGATTCTAGACGTTTATACATGGTCTTTTCATTGTCGAATTCGTCGTCCCAGTCTGGTTTCAAGGCCTTGAGGATTACCGTGTCTGGTAGAAAGTATTGTGGGACTATTCGGCAGACAATAGATTGTCTACACGACAGTAGATGGCCGATAAAGCGAATAATGTGCTTTTGACGGCTCGTTCTTGTCAACTCGAGTGGTAGAATATTGGGGTGGTCTGCATCCAACAGATGGGTCACCGCGCTAAAAGAGCTATAGCCAAAGAGCACCGATCGTATAGTTATGAGTTATATTGGGTGGGACAAAGCGTAAAGCAAATACAAACTTTAATTGGTCGTGGAAACGACGAATATTGATGGTTATTTATATCATATTATGGATTGATAGTTGGAGGATATACGGTTTGCTTGTGAACGAGAATCCCTTGCAATCGCTACCCGTGAACACGTAAACACGCGACCTGGCGGCGCACCCATCATGTGATAGCACAAGATGATTATCATTGTGAATAATTAAATATTATTTTAGATATATCATGTCGTTCTAGGATTTATTAGATATAGTTTCGGCGGTTGATGCTGTCTCTAGACGTAGGTGTCAGCAACTTGTTCATAGGTATTAAATTACCATGGGCAAAATCTATTATCCAAGTATAGCGCCATGCCATCCATTCGAATACGTTGTCGTGCTGATAACCATGAACTATGAAGGCTTGATGGAAGAGTCTGCGTAGGAAAGCGGCCGAGGTCTAGGAGGTCATCATTGGCCTGCGCAGGTGTGCTACCGGAACGTCCCCGCGCGCCTCAGCAATAACATCGTCTTCCAAGACTGGCACGGCATCAAGTGGATCGAGCTCATCTATTTTATCCAAAATTTCCGGTGGTGGCCCAGCCCGTAAAACCGCCTGTATGTCTCCGTGTGGTGAGAACCCTGCAAAATGCCAGCTACGCGGAGCGCTTTTCCTTTTCCATTTGGGAATGTGCCAGTGGCGCCGTTCAAGCAGAGCAATGAGTAGTAATGTAGGCGCATTTAGTGTTCGAATGAGGAAAACATTGACTGTGTGGAACTGGCGACTCGATATCATGAGCTTCAGCGGAAGCAAAAGGGCCAGAGCAGCGATGTTGAAGGGTGGAGGGTAGGCGAAGATGGAATCGCTCTTAGCGCCTTCAAAAGTCAATACTGTACGACGAAACTTGATCTCTGCACCCTCGTTTGCAATTATCCGTGAGAATGTGTTGGTGAGCATAGCGACCAAAATCGTCAGAAACAAGGTGTTGCCCAGAAAAGCGAATCCTATCATGAGAGCAGGGCCTAAAACAACGTGAAATGTCGTCGACTCTCCGATACCTGTCCCATCGAGACCAAACCAAATCCACAGCAACCATTTGCAGACAGTGGCCCAGGTAGGGAAATCGCCACTTTCAAGTTGTTCGGCGGTGATAAGCCATTTCAAAGCAAGGAGAAAGCCTGTAAAACACCAAAAAGACAAGAAAGTAAGGACGGTGAAGTCTTTGACCATTGCATGCAGCGAAATGAATATAATGTTGTTGGGCATGAGGCTGAACGCGCCTCTTGTGAGCAGAATTGGAGCAGCAATGCAGAGAACTTCGAGACCATGACCGTTTGACAGGTGGCCTTGATACATGTCGAAAAGCCGAACGACGGAGTAAATGCCATACACAGCCAAGAATGTGATGTCTAAGAACGACCAAAGACTCTGTGAGTGAAGTTCCCAGCCATGTTCGATGATGGCGGCAAACTCCTGCAAAGTCCACCCCGCTGTGTAAATGAAAAAGCACACTTCCCACGGGCTTATTCCGTTGGCATGCCTGTTCATCATAGTCATCGTGTACAGTACCAGAAGCAAGAAAAATTGAGCAAGTTCAATGATGGCTCTAATTCGCGGTACGATCAAACGACGATGGTTCAGGATTGGGACACGCTGTGGGTTGTAGAGGGAAATGGGGAAGTGCTTGAAATGGTCTGGAAGAATGTCGATGAAAGAAAGTGGCGTGTATACAACTTGACCATAGTATATGGCATCAACAACCTGTTGGCACGCGGAAGAGCTGATGAACAGCTTGCTTTCTGAGAGAATAGCCAGCTCGAGTGCAGTGAGCTTCCTCTCATGACCTCCACGCTCCTGGATAGGCCACTGTAGATGGCGCCACTCGCGCTCAATATGGTTGGGTGCATTCTGAAACGGGTCGAAGCCTTCAGCGAGGATCTGGGCAAGCAACAGGAGACCAGGCCGCCCAGGGTTATCTTCGTTGAACCGACGCAGAACCCGGCTGGCGACGAGTTCACATAGAACAGCACGGGCGACGTTGACACTCTGGAATGCGAGTCCTGATTGATCGCGCAGAAACGCAATCCGATTGACGAGTAAACAAAAGACTAGGGAAATGTATTATGATTAGCAATCCAAACTCGGTTCTACATATGCGTGCTCTACCTGTAGAAATATCGTTTGTATCATAAAGTCGATCGACGAGCGGCCTCACGACAAGCGCATTTAGTCGGGGCTCTCGAAAATGCTCCACTGTATACGGATCATCTACGCTAGGTGAGCTACTGTCTGGAATTCAGATGAGGAATAATGGAAATTACCGATGCTGGCGAGCACTAGTCGCCTGATTCTTCAATAATAGAAATATCAGTATCCAAGGAAATGCTGATGGAATTATTGCACTACGAACCGATGGATGTTCAAATAGACCGGCATCGTGGAGGTAGGACGAACCGGCGATGAATGTGCCAGGCAAGCATCTGATTCGACGCTTGCTTCATCGTCTGCATCTTCATCATTGCTCAAGGCATTTGTCGAAGGAGTCATCGTAGGCTGTGGTTGAGAACATGGAGGACGCTGGTAAGCAGCATGCCGGACGTTAGAGGGGAAACCGCCTCTATCTACTGCGACTGGCACGTGAGGCAGCCCATCGCATCTCCACATGTAGCAATAAATAGCACGCACTCGCCGCAATGCAGTGCATCAGAACGGAAAGGGAAAATGCCGCACGCCCCGAGAACGACGCCTCTGGCTTGATGATGCGCATGTTCAAAAGGCGACTTCTTCTGTGGCACGCACAGCTGCAAGTCTTACGTGACCGGAAGCGACAGCCATTCAGCTGGTAGGATACTTCAGATTATCCAGACATCATTTAGCCATTCCTGCCAGTTGTCTCATGCTCTTGCTGGTTAGATATATCGTTGAACCCTAGTAGTGAATTGCGCCGCTATTTATGATGGCCACGATAAATGTTTCTCTTTTCTTGGTACTCGTACGCGCCAAGATTCTCAATCTCAGCTATTTTACATTACAATGTATTAGAATGGCGGGCGACTACTGTGCTCTGCAGTGCGTGTTGAATATCTAAATAAAGAGTCATAATAGTTGGAATAGAATAGTTGGAATTAGAAACAAGAAAATAAATAGCGAAGAGAGCAGCAAAAGTATCAACTTAATGGAAGATTGTAAGAGACAAAAACGGCCAGCATTTATATGTTGTTCTACGATCGTAGATTAGAGCAGTAGAATCTAAATATGTTGGTACAGCCATTGTAGAAAGTTGGCGACTTGTTCAATACAAATTCTTTTAGATTTTGGCTCAGCCATCAATTACGTCACTTAACGAGTTACGTTTTGCCCTACCACGAGACCTCCTCTATCAATTTGCGATGACGAACATGCTATCATCGCTGGTACTGGCTGCGTTATCGGATGTGAACCTCGGGAGCATCTAGAAGCCACCGTCCAGTCCCGTCTTGTCGTGTGTTAAAGATGTCTTCTTGCTCTGATATATAGTCGATGCATGTTAGCTGGTCGGAAGTGGTTTTGTTTTTTTCTTCTTCCTTCCAGTGGACAAGTTGATTGATATCTTCTTTAATGCCTATTGTAAAAATAACCCATTAGTACAACATCCCGTTACAAGGTCCTAAACAAATAACGACTAACCAGAGATGACATCGACAATTTTTTTCTCATTCTCCACAGCCGCTGGGGGGATGCGAGAGAGCAGATCCTTTGTATATACAGCCGCCGCCAAAGCTGCATAGCCTTGCCAGTCGTTGTTTTTGTGCGAATCAGAATAGTCGCGTATACCGCGAACGACTAAGCATGGAAAATCGTTCATTAACCCCGCCGCTTCCATCTCAAAGCAAAGGACACCCATCTTTGCAAGCTCATCTCGACGCAACGCATCCATCATTAGCTGATTTGCTGAAGCGATGAGGCCGTAGTGTACCACGGGGCTGTGTGGCCGTTTTGTGCGTTCGGGTCGCGATACAGTGTTTGATGGGTCTGTGACGCAATTTTCGGAGCATAGAGCATCTTCATCTTTAGGATGGACGAAATTGCTTCTATATAATATGTCGGCGCTCGCGTCAGGCCGACTGAGTTTCTCCTTCAGCTCTTCTTCCTCCTTTTCAAGAATACGATTGATAGCCGCCTCAAGAGTACCAGGCTTTCGTCGATAGTCAACATTGAGGCTCATTATTGCTGCAAGTAATGCTGTTGGCGGTCGATTTAAAAATCCAGTAGTCCGAAGGTCTTGCTCCTGAATCATCTTGCCGAAGTCGTACTGGAAGACACCACCCTTTCCGTCTCTTGGAGAGCTGACTACAATATCACCAAGTCTGATACCCTTTTCCGAAGTTGGAGCCCCGCCACCAATGCCAACCGTGAGACCAATTGTAACATTGGGAAAGCTTCGCAGCATGTTGGTGGCGACATTTGTTGCAGATGATAGGCCGTTTGCGCCGTCTGGCAGACAGGCAATAACCACATTATGGTTGGAAATCTTTCCGAGGGTGTATGTGTTCGTGTCTTTGATAGAAGGCTGGTGATTTAGCATTGGATGTTTCTCGTCAAGGCAGATTTGCGCGGCAAGATATTCTGGCTCAATAGCACAGATCCATCCGACGGTATAGTCATTGGGATTCGACATGTTGGTCGCGGCCCAGGGACGTAGGGGAACTTAGTGATATATATGATTTCCCGGCTATATTGTACAATAGTCACTCGTGATTCCGATGCAATAGAGATGTAACGCTTCAATACTTGTTATAAGGTGTTGGTTGATGTGTAACCGGTGTGTCGGTGGGGGCGGCGTGTGATGCAGGCCATATTGAAAAGATGTACAACAAAGGCGAAGCTGGGCGAATAAGCTAATGCAGCAGGTTACTAAATGCTGTACGAGGCCATTTTATAGGGACTATACATGTTTGTAATAAGCCTTGACTGAATGAAAAGATTTGACACCTTCACTGCACATCGTACGGCTGCGCCTTCCTATAGCTCTACAATTTAGGATACTAAACATAATTTAACATACTAGAGGCAACTATTAAATTAACTAGCATATTTCTCCCTCTCTTGAATAGACGGCCAGCGCTTTACTTTAAACCTTGGTACCTGAAAGCGTATTGCTAACTTAGTGTAGTAGAAAGCGCAGGGAGACTTACTTGCCTTGCTGCATGCTCAGGCAACTAGTAATCCGATAGCTCCGAATGACCCTTCAACAGTAGATCGATTGCCTGGATAAAATAAAAACGAAAAAGTCGACAGCCGCGCGGCAGCCAGCGACACCCGGTGTACGAAAAATTGTGTTTGTAATGCTGGGACTCGTCCGCGGACCTTAACGGGGCAATCAGGACCCGTATGCCGATCTCTGTTTTCGTGCTGGGCGATGTGAGGTGTGGTGCAGGTGAGCGCCTATGACTCTTACGCAGACGGGCGAAGTCGGGTATTTTGAAACAAGGCTCGTTAAATGACTGAGCGCTCGTTTTTCTTTTATGTGACGTGTATTTTACTTTAATCTGATTATTTTTTATTATGTGTTTTGCTATTGGCCGCCTGGTTTACGGCATACTGCACCTGGTTTGTGATTCGAAAATCGGACTCGCCAAGTCCCGATGTCCGTATGTGGATCCGCCCAAATAGGAAGTGGCGCTTTGACTTTTGCAGTGGTTACGGCCGAATGGCGGACACAAGTCGGAGTTAGTAGCAAGTTCCAGGCTGTTATCTTTTGGATCTTTGGCTAAATCAGGAGACAAAAAGAGAGAATTGAAAAGAAAAATGTGGTTAGTCATAGCAGGGGGTATAAATAGCGAAATCACACCTTTTTGTCTCCTTTTGTAGGGCTGCGGAGGAGGACTGTGTACTACACCGCGTTATGTTTGTGATGTTGCTTGGTTGCGGTACACTGCGCCCGGGCATGTCTATTTTCCGAAGTATAGCACAGCACCAAAGAAATCTGCACAAATTGTAAAATATTTTATAGCGGTCAATCAAGACTTCAGCTAATACTATAACATCACCTGTATCGTAAAATAATTTTTAATTTACATTTAACGTATTGTTGCGGCCACTGAAAAATACAAACACAACCTACACCAACATCTTCCACTGTCCGAAGCCATGCGCTCGGGACCGAAAGGGTGACTCCTCCGCACCCGTCGCACACAGTTGCCGCATACAGCGGAGTTGCTGAGCCCGGGTGGGCAGCTTAGTTGCCCCTACAGCGGGCACCGTTGGTGTGGTGGCCGCTAAACGACAACGACCGCTATGAACCCACCCGCAACGCCCTGTAGCGTGACGCTCGCTGCTAGTGGAGTGCCGCTGGTGCCGCACTATCCAGTGACGTGGTCGCATCGTTTGCGGCGGCCTTGTGGCTGCCCGGCCCCCGAGCCGCGTCCCTTTTTTTTTCTTTTCTGCGGACTTAACAATTTCTAAGCCCCGCGTGGCAGGCGAGAACAAAGGAAACTGATTCGAGCCAACGAAATATTAATATGACTCTTGCTTCCCACCCAGATTACATTTTTTGTTCTTGATTTCCCGTACATCTTGACAATCACACAACATCAATCTACTCATTTGTTAGATCGAACACACTTGATAAGATCGACACAACCACACTATGTCGGCACCATCTCATCTCGACTCTAGCGCCCAGCGCGGGCCGCCCTCCACTAGCGACTTTGACGACAAGTCCGATATGCACGTTGTGCCGCTTGCTGAGAAGCAAGGTGTTGTAGCGGATGCTGCTGCTTCTTCCTCAGAAGCTCCCAAGGAACAGGAGGTTATTACAGGATGGAGACTGAACCTCGTGTTTGGCGCTCTGGGCCTGGTTGCCTTTCTGATGCTCCTCGATATTTCCATTGTCGCTACCGTATGTTCACCACAAACCACAAACGTATACACAATATAGAGGGATGGAAACTAACACTTTTTGTAATAATAGGCCATCCCACGAATCACATCCGACTTCCACTCGCTCGAAGACGTAGGATGGTACGGCTCCGCATACCTCCTTGCCAACTGTGCCCTGCAGCCCCTCGCCGGCAAAGTCTACACACACTTCCACTCCAAGGCCGCCTTTCTCGGCTTCTTCGCTCTCTTTGAACTCGGCTCGCTTCTCTGCGGTGTCTCCAACTCGTCCAAGATGCTCATTGTCTCCCGCGCCATTGCTGGTATGGGCGGTGCCGGTCTCATGAACGGCGCCCTGACCATTATTGCCGTGGCTGTCCCCTTGCACAAGCGCCCCGTCTACATGGGCGGCATGATGGGTGTTGCACAGATGGGTGTTGTTGTTGGTCCCCTCCTCGGTGGCGCTTTCACACAGTACACTACATGGCGCTGGTGCTTCTACATCAACCTGCCCATTGGTGCTGTCGTCGCTCTGCTGCTCATCCTCATCCGCATCCCCGACAATGTCAAGACCCGCACCGAGTCTGTTTGGCAGACTATCCTCAACAACTTCGACTTGGTTGGCTTTGTTCTCTTTGCCCCCGCCGTCATCATGTTCCTGCTTGCCCTTGAATGGGGCGGCAACACCTATGACTGGAACAGCGCCACCATCATCGGTCTCTTCTGCGGCGCCGTCGTCCTCTTTGGCATCTTCATTGCCTGGGAGGCCCATGTTGGCGCCAAGGCCATGATTCCTTTGAGTCTCTTCAAGATCCAGGCTGTCTGGGCTGCCTGCGCCTACGTGTTCTTCCTGTTCTCTGCCATGCAGCTCGTCGTCTACTACCTGCCCATCTACTTCCAGGCCGTCAAGGACACCTCGCCTATGATCAGCGGTGTTGACTTGCTGCCCAGTATTCTTAGCCAGCTCATTGCCACGCTCGGTTCTGGCGCCCTCATCACCAAGATTGGCTACTACTTACCCTTTGCCGTCCTCTCGTCTATCGTCACCACTATTGGCCACGGCCTCTTGACGCTGCTCGAGCCCAACAGCTCCATTGGCATATGGATCGGCTTCCAGATCGTCGTTGGTTTTGGCCGTGGTCTGGGTCTGCAGACTCCCTTCATTGCCCTGCAGAACAATGTCGAGCCCCAGCTCATCTCTATTGCCACGTCTACCATGACCTTTACACAGACTTTCTCTGGTGCCGTCATGCTCAGCATGGCCCAGACCGTCTTTACCAGCAGTCTGCGCGAGCTTATCCCGCAATATGCTCCTGGCGTCAGCGCCCAAAAGGTCATCGCCGCAGGTGCCACTGGCGTCTGGGCCACCATCACGGATCCCACACAGCTCGCCGAGGTGCTTGTCGCCTACAACATCAGTATCCGCCGCGTCTACTACGTCGCCATTGGCTTCACCGGTGCCTGCTTCATCATCTCATGGTTCCTCGGCTGGAAGGATATTCGCAAGAAGCCCACTCCCAAGGCCGGTGCCGAGCAGGCCTAGACACCCAAAAAGGAATGACCACCACTCTACACTAGAACATTTTGCATCAAGCCACGGCGTTTTCTGTATTTTTTGTAACCGGATATATCCACTCTGTTAGATTTTTTAGACAAAAAGAGGGTCTGCCTACAATAAGGCCATTAATAATACATATAATTTGACACCACTTTTTGCTTCTCTCTTTTTTTCAGCTCTGTGACTCTTACACGCCAAAGGGCGCCGTTGACGGACTGACCCCATCTCCAACCTCCGAGCTTTAAAATCTCCACCAACAAGGCTGTTCGCTAGTGCGTGCAGTGCGTGCAGTGCGTGCCGATCGCTCGGTTTAAAATATTCATGGTCCCCCTCTTTCTGTATGTTCACGAAACATTAACTCAACTCACACACAGCAAACATGGCCATCAAGACAGTCGGCTTCCTCGGCGGCATGACCGCACACTCGACGGTGCCCTACTACACACAAATCAACGAGCATGTCGCGGCCATTCTCGGCCCGCCCAACTGGGCCTCCATCATCATGTACTCGTTTGCCTACGAGGAGGCCAATGCGCTCTTCATGGCCAACGACTGGGCCGGCGTGGCCGCCAAGTTTATCGCAACGGCTAAGAATATGCGGACAAGCGGTGCGCAGGCGATCGTCATTGGGTGCAATGCTGGGCACAAGGTCTTTGATGCGCTGCAGGATGCCATGGACGTGCCGGTGCTGCATATTGCCGATGCGACGGCGCAGACGGTCCAGAAGAGAGGTATTAAGAAGGTTGGGCTGCTGGGCACAGAGCCTGTGATGAGGGATGACTTTATTAAGAAGAGGCTGCTGGAGAAGGCGGAGGGTCTGCAGGAGGTTGTGGTCCCGGAGAGCGATGAGATTGATCATTTGCAGAATAAGGTGATGCCGGAGGTGGCGGCGGGTAAAGTGTCGGAGGAGCAGAGACTCTGGATGGTGAATATGACGAAGAAGTTGGTTGAGAGGGGTGCCGAGGCGGTTGTTTTGGGGTGTACGGATTTTCAGTTTATTATTAAGGCGAAGGACGTGGGTGAGGGTGTGCTGATTGATACGATGGAGGAGCATGCGCGGTATATTGCCGAGTGGTCTGTTGGCAAGATTTAGGTCCAGATGAAAAATACAATAAAAGCAGTTTAATGTCATTTTAATATCATTTCTTATAGGAGAATGTCCTACATATTTTAGTTGTGTCAAGTCACGTCCGGCTCACCATAATAGCTGTATAAGCACTATCCATATACGTCATTAATCATTCATTCTAATATTATACTGAATCTATATCCATTACGGGTTCACTGCACTCTGAAAGGCTCCAATCTTCCCATCCAGCCACTGAAACAGCCCGGCTGACCCTCGCTGTGATGTTCCCTTGGCCACGGCGCCCCGAAGCGTTGCAATCGCCGCTGAGTATGCGCCCAACTCCGTTTTGCTTGCATCCTCAACATCATCATTCCCATGGATTTTAAATGGCGCCACACTAAATAGACTATTGTAGCGTCGCTGGCCCCGAATCGTGAGCCATGTACACACACCAGCCAGGATCTGCTGCACCATCCGCGCCAGATCGACAGGATGCCGGCCCTTGACGAAGAGGGACGTCTGATTAGAGGGCATCTCCATCCATTCCACCGTCCGTACGGCATCTTGAGCTGCCTGCATACTCTCATACTCGATTCGCATTGCTGCCGCTTCGGCGTCAAGTCCGCCAGACGAGGCGAGCCCAAATGCATCCGCGCAGCTTTCTATCTGCATGTAGCAGTTTGTCTCGAGTGACCAAAGTACTAGTCTCTGCAGATCTTGGTACTCGTTGGCTCCAGAGAAGCTGTATGGGATGAGTCGTCCGCTACTATCTGTGCGACGCTCAAGGTACGGTGCCCAACTGGTCGCGCGCCATCGCTTCAGCACTTCATATAAGCGATAGACATCTGCGGCCTTGATGCCGTTGCGCCGGCACGCATTGGGGCACAGCGTCTTGAAGATGTCTCGCGCAATAACCGCCAGCGATAACACAGCTTCCAGATAGTTTGTAGCGTCGGTTCTCTCGGGCAATAGTTCTTGCGATGTGTCGTAGTCATCTGGGATACGCGACATGGTGCGCTTATCAAGACATCGGAAGGCATCTAGCCCAAACACATGCCAAAAGAGCAGAATGCGACGCTCCTCAAGCCTTGTAATTGGCATCAATGAGTCTCTGTGCACCGTTCCCTGGTACCGCAGCGTCAGCAGCACCAGGGACTCATGGCTCAGATACATCTTGTCCAAGTGTCCATGACCTGAAGGATCCCGCGACTCGTCATATTCAAATTCCACCATGAGCGCCAATGCCTCAATATCGTCCAACCGTATATCGCCTCCGCCATTCTGGCTCTCCAAAAAGGCACTTTTGAATCGATACGCCAGTTTCTGCTGCATATCCCACCGCACACTATCCTCCAAATCCGTATACACCACACCACACGCCGCAATCGCAAACAGCAGCGCTGGACTACACTGCCCAGCATGATAGTCTGTCCAAAACGCCTCCTTGGAAACAATCGGCAAGCTCACCCACGCCAGCGCAAAATACGCCTCCAGCGCAGCAAGCACCATACTCCCATCAACGCCCGAACTCCCCCATAAATCAGCAAACACATCCTGGCCCGGCAAGGGTATCTGCACAGGGTACATAATCGTACTACCCGCGTCAGCCATGCCGTTAAAGTCAAAGGTATAGTCGCCCGTAAACACCTGGTTCAGAAAGAGAATGTTCTCGGAGCTTAGATCGAAGAGCGAGCTGGAGAACCACGGCTCCGGGTCCAGATAGCCCGAAAGGCCCGGCGCTGCAGACGGCGCTTGCGGCGATGGATGCCGAGGGTCAGGCGCAGCGGGAGCAGCAGCAGGCGCAGGATGGTTTTCTTTCTGGCGTCGCTTGCGCTGGATTCGTACATCGTTGGAGTCGTCGACCTGGCAGTCTAGCGAGCGGATTTCGCACGCGGTGCAAGTGGGTGAGGCGTGGCCGGCTTTGGCGATGAGGGCGCGGTCACACTTGATCTTGCGGCGGTGGCAGAAGTCGCAGGCTTCACGCTCCGAGCCACGTTTGAGGTGCATTGCATCGGGGGTGGAGGAGGTCTTTTTATGATGCGAATGAAAAAAAAAAGATATAGACGGCGATAGAGCGGGAGGACGGGAGTTTAAAGGGGGAGAATGCGGAGCGGGGGTTCCGCGGCGATTAAGCGGGGGATTCACGGGGGTTCGTGGCGGAGGATTGCGCGGCGCTGAAATGGGAGGGAAAATATATTTTGGAAATATATATAAAGATTGCGGTATAAGTTTGATGATGAAAAAGATAAAATATATTTATTTCAAACAGTGTAGCTCAAGATGGATGATACTGGCGCAGCAACAACAAACACCACGGGCCCAGACGGGAGGCTCAACCCGAATGGCGTGGGCGCACTCACATTTACACCGGAACTCACGCCCAATGTCGTCTTTCTGGTGCTCTTCATTGCTCTGATCCTTGGCCAGATTGGCTTGGCTGTCAAGTTCTGGAGATACTATGGCTATGCGATTGGCATGATTGGCGGGCTGCTGCTCGAGCTGCTGGGCTATGCAGCCAAGGTGCAGCTTTCCAACGATCAGATGAACAAGAATGGCTACATCATGTACGTTGTACTACTCTTTTTTACCATTTTGAAATCACTAATACGGATTGGACAACTAGGTACATCATCGGCCTGACACTCGGCCCTACGTTCCTCTCCTCCTCTCTCTATCTCGGCATCAGCACGCTACAGCGCAACTACCACGGCGCCAAGTTTCACCGCATTAAGCCGCACATCTTTGCCACGCTGTTCATCCTAGGCGACTTTCTGTGCCTCTGTTTCATTGGCTGCGGCGGCTCGTTGGCGGCCATCTTCGCAGAGAACCCCATTGGTGTCGACCTCATGATTGCGGGCTTGGCTGTGCAGGTGCTCTTTACCGCGATTTTCTGTCTGCTGCTCTATCTCATCTACCGCAAGATTTACTGGGAGTTGAAACAATACGGCCGCCATTGGTACATGATTGGCGCGGCTGTCGCAGCAGCGTGTCTGTTTATCAGATCGTGCTGGCGAGTGGCCGAGCTGAATGGCGGCTTCAACGGGCCGCTGTCATCCAAGGAGGGGCTTTTCATTGCCTTGGATAGCGTACCGATCAGCATCATGTGTATTCTACTGACCATCTTTCACCCGGGCTTTTGGTTTACAGAGAAGCGCATGGGACTACCCATGTACAAGGAGAGGCGGGCATCCCGTGCAAGGCAGTGGCACGGCGCCAAGTATTGAGCGCGTAGAAGGACCATAGCTTGTATTATTATATTCTGTAGTTGATTTGTTTTTAATGCAATATAAATAGACTGATTGATACTTCTCTTCTTATATAGATACATCTTGCATCTTCCCACGATTTCCTAACGACTAACTGCCGAGAATAAGCAGCCGCCTCATAGAACTTAAATTATTAATAATATTAATAATATAAAGCCAGTCATATTAGAAGCAAAGGATACTAAAGTTCCAACCGCTTCTCCGATAGACCTTGTATTTCGCGCTTCAAATTCTCCCTTGCTCGTGCTTCCATACCGCTAAACGACGACGAAAAGTAAAGCTGCGGCCGTTCCAGAAACTTGGTCAAAACAAGCGATCTGCCGTTTCTGTAATTATTCCAAGACATATGGTTATACTCGTGTCTAATCTCGCCAGCGTATTTCGCATACGCCGGTGCCGCCCTACTCAGAACTTCCAGATCAAAGTCTAAAAATAAGCGCAAGTCGCCAACATCCGCCTGATCTTCATCGGGAACAATGGAGTGGGTAATTGTGGCATCAATATAACGGACAACTCTATTTTGCAACCGCATATCCAGCTCGATCTGCGAGGCAAACTGTCTAAAGACGACCGCAGACCGTTCCTCGTTGTCTTTGAGGCGGGGATCGTACACCCAGTCGTGAAAGAATATGGCCAACTGCACGGCATTAAGATGTCGTATCTCGGACGCGTGCTTCTGGCAGAGCTGGAGCATGGCGTAGATGTGTTCTTTTGTGTGGTAGTAGCGCTGAGGCTCAGAGTAGGCTTGGATCATGGCATCGGCCCATAGCACGCGCACATCTGGATCCGCGCCGAGTCGGTGCAGCAGCGAATCAAATGTTGTCTTGAGATACTCTTCAGTGTCCGTCGCCATGATTTTTCGTTGTACTTTGTTGGTGGTGTTGATGTATTGACGTTGGTGTGAACCCTTCTAGGCAGCCACGACAATCACTGTGAGGCGCCACCTGGTTAGTTGCTGTTAGAGTAGGTAAGTTGGTTGGAGTATAAGTTACACAGTAACAAAACGCCTTTGTTTAGTAGCGCAACCGTGAAAAAGTTATTTTAGAATGAGCTATAATTACTTAGAACAGTGTAAATATTTTGTTTAGATATAGTTATACATAATTAAAAGCTAGCCTTTGCCTGACACGCACACCATTAGCTAGCCTAGTTGAAAGCGACTCTGGAACAAACAATAATCACGCTTCCAGAAGAATTAATAATACTTGATTAAATATAATTAGAATATATGGAATAAAATTATTAATAACCAAATAGCTAACGTTGCGGAATAGTGCAGTCTATAAAAAGAAGACGTGTGAATGCTTCGTTCCGCATGCCTGTGTAATAAAAGAGCTTTGCCCGGAACACCTAAAATGCCAATAGACCTTAACTAGTAAGTAGTGCTAAGGTTATAAACAAGAGAAACTTGAGCTCGTAGTAGAGTAGAATCCACCAGAAAGTCGGCGCCGGCGAGAAAGCCTTCCTCGAGGAAGACATCTGCGTCGGGATAGAAGGTATCTCGGCCTGGCACTTGGTCCGAGGCAAAGATAACAAGGCCCTGCTTAAAACGTCTCCAGTTATTGAAAATGTCGCCAGTATCTTCTTGTTGAAAGAAGCGAGGAGTGAATGCTGCTTGAAGGTGGTGATGGAGGAAGTAGAAAAAGAACTTGAGCTCCAAGCGCGGTATGTAGATGCCTTGTCTCTCAAGACGCAGTCTCGATTGGGCGCTCGGTTCCGTGTCTGAGTAGCGTCCATCTGATCGTGTCGAGGAAACCCATACTCGCTTGCAGTAAAGCGGAGCTCGGCCGCTACAACCATCTTGTGTAGATGAGACACAGTTTGCATCTCTTAGACGTCTGGCCATCGACCATAACTATCCAATTGGGACAATGGGATATTGACATGCGGCAATTGGCCATTGGCCTGCTCATCGACCACGTGTTTATTTGCTCGAACCTGTTGACTATCAGAAACTGTAGTATATAGTAACAAACGAATAAGAGAGATGGACTTGGAACCTCTTAAACACACCGTGATAAGCCCTAGCTCAGTAGCAGGCATATCTTTTTGAACAAGGCGCCAGGCTACACGCAGCCCGGCTTGACCTGTATTCCAAGCATCCCGCATATGTTAACATGTAAGTCCGAATGCGAGACCATCGTCTAGTGTCTGGCTTAGCTTCAGTATCTCGATAAGGAGCTCTGGTGGCGCTGATTGCGAAAAGAACTGAGGCATTTGCATTGGCAAATTTATTAAGGAAGCAAAAGAGCAATATAATAATACGACTGACCTTATAAAGCTATATTGTGACCCACATTGTTGTAATCTGCTTGTAAAACACTAGGCGAGAGAGGCAGCAGGAGTAACGCGTTAAATCAGCGTCTAGTCTGGTACGTCAGCTAATGTTCGACTCAGACGCAGGAATCTCAACAAGAAGCTCGGAGCATCGTTGTTTGATAATAGAGCGCACACAGACGGCTTACACTGCAGAACCTGGGCGACTTTGAGATTGCAGATATCATTGACTTGGAAAATATTTCATTATTTCATATGTACTATAGATATATACAAAAAAGGTTGTGTTTACATGTAACTCTTCAAATATGTACTTTGGGTTTTGTTGGGTTTTGTTTGACTTGTTTAGTTGGTGACGATGCCGCAGCTGGAAGGGTTGCTGTCGCAAGTGCACTTGGAGCCAGCAGAGACCCAGCCAGTAAGACGGTTGGCAATGTCAGAGGCGTAGCAGTGGGTAGCAATGCCGTTCTGGAGCTTGCCAGTGGAAGAGACGGAGCCCGAGTTGTAGATGCGGGCAGCGCGGTAGTAGGCGCTGACGTCGGACTTGCCAGACTGGTTGATGCAGTTGGCGAGGCCGTCGCCGTCGTTGGTGCCGGCAGTGCCCTCGGAGATCATACCGTAGATGGCGTTGGAGGGGCAAGGGTTCTGGACCTTGCCGTTGTCGTTGCAGGTCCAGTAGCCGTTGTGGTCCTGCATCAGGCCGGGGTTGCGGACGCCGTAGTTTGTGGTGGGAGCGCGGACACAGCCAGCAGACTCCTGCATGATGACGGCGAGAATAAAGCGGTGGTCAACACCGGTGGCCTTGGCGGCAGCCTGGATGCCGTCGTAGATGGCGCCGACCTCGGGTCCAGAGTCGTTGGCCTGGCCGAACTGGCTGCAGCCGTTGAACATGGTGTTCTTGTAGTTGTTGAACATGTTCTCGAAGGACACCCACTTGTCCTTGCCGGGCCAACCCTGGCCAGTGGTGCCGTCGCCAGAGTAGTACTTGTAGGAGTCGGTGCCGGAGCCGATGCCGTCCTGGTTGTTGATGGTGCCGACGTAGTTGGAGCCAGAGACCTTTTCGCCGGTGGCGCGGGCCTCGAGAGCAGAACCCTCAGCAGCGGCGGCGGGCGAGGTGCGCGAGGGCATGAAGTTGCCGGAGCCCTCGAACTTGGGGGTGTAGACGGCAATCTTGGCAGGGCCGTCGTTGAACTGGGCGTTGGGAGCGTAGGGAGTGGCAACGGCAGAGCCGGCGAGAAGGGCAGTGACGGCGGCGAACTTGGTCTGCATGATGGATATGTGTAAGTGAAGAAGAAGAGGAAGAGGAAGATGTGTGTATGTCTGAGAGGGGATGATGGTATAAGACAAGATCCAATATCACGGACTGGAGGGAGCGAGACAGCCTCTATTTCTACTTTTTGGAGGAGCACCTCTTCGGATATGTAAAGGATTACATTACAATACCCGCTATCGCAGTAGCTGGAGCAGCAGCTGCAGCTAGTCGCAATCTGGGCCTTGTGAGAGGATCTAGAACCACCAATGAAGACGAAGCTGCCTGCGCTGCGTGCCTCATACTCGCAGCCTCATCATCCGGGTCCTCCTCCTTCCCATGGGGTAATTCCTCCTTAGCGTCGCTGTCAGCCATTGTAACCCTCTGCCAGTGCCTGCATTTCCCCCCTGCAGCAACCACTCACCTTGCGACGTCGGTGCAGGTGGTTCCTCTAGCCTAGCCTCTGCGGCTAAAGCCTCTCCATTCGTGAGCATCCATTGGCGCGATTTCATCTTTCCCCCAGAAGCCACAACTGGCCCCCCTGCCCACCCAACTAAACGTTAGTCTACACGTTAGCTCCGGCATATCTTTGTGCCAGACGTCGCAGATCCCCTTCCGTAAGCAACTAGCTCTGCGGTAGCTGCAGCCATCCCCATGGTCCTCGGCCAATCCGTCGGCCTCATCGGGCGTGCCGTCAAGGTTAGGGTTACCGTTTTAGGCAGGTCTGCTATGCAATGCAGTGCAGATAGTGCAAAGTGGTGCGAGAAGGTTTGGGCTTGTTTCTTCAGCTATTTTTGAGTTTGAGACACGGCTGCGCGCGCGCCCACCCACGTTTTTCTTAGTACAGAGACAATGAACGGGCCCTCACAGTAGCGTTGTATCTATGCATTGTTTCCGGGGCACGTTCACTCTAAGAAGGGGGGACACGAAACTTTCCGTCTGTGTGCACCAACCAGCCAGCCTTGTTGAGAATAGATTCCACACTGCGTGCAGACAGACACCAGGATGGGAGGGATTTGGGCTTACATGGAGAGAAAAAGCTGGGGCGATGCAACATGATTGACTAACACGCTTGCTGCTCTGGCCTTATTTCTCCGCCTGTCGCAGCGCTTCCCGACCTGTCTTGCCCCAGCATTATCGGCGCGGGGCTTCCCGCAGGATCCTCCGCCGCAAGTTCGCAGAACGACGCGAGCTGACTTGCGAAATATCTCGCTTTATCCAGGCGGAGGCAGGCCGTCGCCGTCCGCCGCCGCGACGTTGCAGAGGGCCGTCGGCAGATCATCACGGCCGAACACCAGTTTTAGTGTAGTCAGCCTGCGCGTTCCCGCATCTACAGTAGACCTGCCGCTCCTTTCTCTTCTTGGAGCTTGCGTTGCCTCATCGGACGCAACGTCGCACTGCAGACGCCTTTTTTTTCGCTGGGAGTCCCTTAGCGGCGTATTAACCCCCGTGCAAGGTGTTTGTTCGGCCCTATGGGGCGGCTAGGAACGTGTTAGCGACGTGCTGTTCCAAGTATTTCTGCATGTTTTAGTTTGTTTTAGTCTGTTTTAGCAGCATAGAGTCCACTTAGTTCGCGGTGTCATATCTCGCTAGGCGAGCTGGAATGGGCTTGGCCTGAGGTTTGGGGGCCGGCTAATCTGTAGGGTATGGTAGTTGCCGTGGTTCATCGGCACCTCGTGGGCTTAAAGAGTGAAATGAATTGGCGGAAAATTAGGAGTAGTGCATAAAGTATGTTTTCTGAATTAACCGAGATAATTTCTCCGTATTAGTACGCGTAGTGACGCTAAGATATGAGAGAGATAGTCTACGATATCTGCCCATTTGTTTGGGGGCCACGGTCCGCCCTCGGTTGCCGTGTTAAATCCGTAAAATACTATAGCAGCAATGTGGTATAGCAGGCTATGAAGTACTAGAGGACGGGAGTGATTACATAGAAATGGATCATATAATCATATGACTGCATGGAGAGCCGCATGTTTGTTGAGCCGCATGACAGCAGGGTCAGCGTGTTCGGTGCTCACTCTTGGCCAAGTAAGGGCGACATAAATTTATTTTGGCCTATTGGAGAGTGAAAACACTTTAATATTACTTCAAATATTTGTTCATATTTATGGAATGTTTAAATACTTTATTTTGAGCTATAATGCCTCGCCGTCGGTGTTCACCTTATCTAGTCTCTACATGGCTAGTATATAGCCAGCCACGCCTAACACGGCACAAATCTATTCTCATGATTTACGATCTCAAGTCATACTTGTAATAATACCACTTATTTATCAATATTTATAAAATATTTTAAATAATTTTGTTAGATTTGCATCGTGAATATCACAATCTCCACACTAGCACATGCATGCACAACTACCAAAATTTTGACAGCTCCTCCTCACCTACATCTTCATCAACACTACAGGTATGCGCTGGAGGCTCGTCACTCGCCGCACAATACCACATCTATTCTCATCATTTCTACGAACACGTTCCATTTATAGGGCCACTTCCACCGCCATGAACCGCCCGCGCAACAAACAACCGCGACCCAATCGCGATGGTGACGGTGGCAACAGCGGCTCAAGAGGAGGCCATCGAGGAGGCTATCGCGGCGGGCGTGGAAACGGTCAAGCCCGTGGAAATAAGAACTGGACGCCTGGAACACCACAGCAAGCAGCCGGAACAGTTCCCAACATCCAAACAGTGGTCCCTGGTGCCGCCGTCTTCATCATCCTCAAGGACGATCAGCCAACTGGCCAAGAAACAGCAGGCATTGTGGCCCAAGTCCTTACAAAAGGCAATCACCCACGTGGAATCAAAGTACGCCTACAAGATGGCCAGGTTGGCCGCGTACAAAGAATGGGCACGGTGGATTCTTCACAACAAGACGCCAGCTCGGGCTATACAGGAGCAGCCTCATCGTCAAGACCTCCCCGTCGGGACTTTAGTCACAAGTACACAGATGTTCGGCTGGACGAGCACGAATACCCGTCCGAGCTGCCGACGAGGAGCTTGGCTGACTTTATGCCGGCTTTTCGAGATCCATCGCCGCCGCCGCCGCAAGCCGCCACTGGACCTGTGATCAAATGCCCCTTTTGCGACGAGTTTGAGGGCGACGAACCTGCTGTTACTCATCATATTGACGAAGCGCATCTGGCCGGATGAAACCATCCTTTCTGGTGCCAAGGTCCCGCATAGAAAAGGTCTCTTGGCCGAGCGGCTACTCTGAGGCTGAGCACAACGTCATCACTTTCATCATCAACCAACACAGGTCGGCGAACTGAGCACTACCAAGTTGGTCTTTGCCTAGTTGTTTTGCTGTGCCTGGCCAGCTTTCATCCAATTCTGGCAAATATAGCTCAAGACCCAAAAGTTTGTGGGGGAGAATGCTACTGCTCCACGCTAGAAGGCTATCGCCAGAGCGAAGCTTGGGAGCTTTCCAGCTTGGTTAGCAGCCACGAGGCATACCGTTGCATTGCGGAGAGGAAGCCGCAGGTAGCTGGGCGAATGCCGTCGCACACGAGCGAGCAGATCTCCTGATTAACGTGCAGCGCATTTGCTCAAAAAGGTGCACGACCACACCCGCCAATCTAAGCTTGTTTTTAACCTTGAGGGCTTCGATCCTGTAGTTATAAGTTGGCCGTGCCGTCCCGTTGTTTCAATAGACCTGAAACCATCTCTCATCATCAAAAACGGAAATACCACAAGTGCTTCTACTCTACAACAATGTCCCGAGCGGCTTTCGCACAACAATGAAGCATGCCCCAAGGAGCATGCAAACCTCCAGGCGGCCGCGAAGACTGAGCCCAAGGACAAGACCGGCCGTCTCGTAGCCAGAGACAGCTACATTGTCAAGACATATGTGCACATTGTTACCAGTACTGCAGCCGCTGCCAGGGCTATCACGGTAAATAGAGTTTCTCCTCCCCTCTCTGCCCCGCGCCACTGACCTTGGAATCTAGGATGAAACCATCAAGAAGCAAATCAAGGTGCTCAATGATAACTATGCCGCCACTCATGCCATCTTTGACCTCAAGGGGACCACTAGAAGTGTAAATGCTACGTGGGCCACCGACTACGATGAGGAGTGGATGAAGCGCGACCTCCGCCAGGGCAACTATGCCGACCTCAACCTATACTACCTGGAGGAGCTCGAGGACGACAACTTGGGATACTGCTACTACCCCGTTGCCCATGCCAAGCCTGGAACCGATGACTTTGACTTGGACGGCTGTGCTATGCGTCTCGACACTCTGCCTGGTAACAAGGGCGCATACGGTCTCGGCAAGACAACGACCCACGAGGTTGGCCACTGGTTCGGCCTCGCACACACCTTTGAGGGCCGCTGCACGAGCCCCGGTGATGAGGTTGACGATACGCCCGCCCAGGCAAGCGAGTCTTCAGGGTGCCCGAAGGGCCGAGACTCGTGCCCGACGCTGGGTGGCCCGGATTCTATTCACAACCACATGGACTACAGTGACGACTCGTGCTATGAAGGCTTTACTGTTGACCAGCAGGCTCGCATTCGCAGCATGTGGTACATGTTCCGCGCTGGCAAATAAGTAATTGGCTTTGCCACTGGAGCACATATTTCTCTTTCCGTTTTTCCGTTCCTCCTTTGCTTGAACGATGAGGGATCCGGCGTTTTCTTTGGGACGTGGTTTGGTTGTAAGGCATGGAGTTTTGGTGGTGCATGAGTGATGGGTGAGAGAGCGTATCCTGGAATGGTGGGTATATAAGTTGGTGTAAAGGCATCAATAATTTGATGAGAGATGATGAATTCAAATTATATTAAAGTATATGGACCTCTTGTTTCATTCTTCATGATTGTTACACCATCATTAGGTGTGTTGCTGGGGCCATGTGAGAGTACAGTCCGCAAAACACTTTTATCCACTACCCGCCACCCACGCAATGCATAGACCGTATCTATCTTCATGAAGCATGAGGCATGCCCTGGGCCCCCGTCTCCAAAAATATCCCTGGCGGTGAAAAGGCCAAACTTCGCAGCACTTCTATCGTCACAAAGATGCGCGCAGCTAGAACAAGCCCAATGTAAATGACATTAAGCAAAATGAAGAAGTTGGTCACCCACTTCTGTACCGCTAAAAACTTCTTGCTCTTTTCAGCTTTGTCTCTCCAAAGGAAGATGAGTGCAAATACAGGCGCTAGCAGCAAGCCCAGTGGTGTAATAGCCGCCGTGAGAATGGAACTTATGTGCCAGAGCAGCGCCTCTTTTTCACTAGGAAAAGCAAAGTTCCAAGCAATGCAATGGATGGCACCAAACACCGTGAGCGACAAAGCCGCAGCACTGACAACATGATCTGATCCGGTTGATGACCGGTCCTTGTCATAGTGAAGCGCGTTGTTTGGAATCCAAAGCGTCGTTCGTGTCCACCCGAACGTGACGGGAGCGGCGAGGGCAATACGCGCCATCTCTGCTGGAGTTGCGTATCGGGCAGCGGGTATCTCGATGGAGTATTGGCAGTCCTTTGGCTTGTCTAGCAATAGGTAGTATGTAAGGGCGCTACAGATGGCAAATGCAAACGTCATAATCTCGAGCTGTGTGGTGGGCAGCTGGGACGCCAAGCGCGATATAAGCTGGACCACGAACCAGAGAATCTGGAGAATCGCAACAATCTTGACAAATGATTCGCCCTTGTTGCGGTCATCGAGATCGTCCTCGTGGATGTTGGGCAGCGACGCAATAATCCCCATCTGCCGCGCTAATAGCAACTGATTCGCATCGACGACCCATATATCCTGCTCCAGAGCTCGAACATTGTGCCACCAGGCCTCATATGATGTTTTAAATATAGCCTTTTCTGAGTCACTGCTGAAATAGCCAAAGTCTTGCATGTTTAGTACCGTCGTTGCTGTTGCCAGATTCTTTGCATCTCGCGCCCAGCCTGGCTGCCCATAGGAGGTGCTGCTGGTGTCCTCGAGCACTTCGGTATATCGTTTCCTTTGGCGCGCAAACTTCTTGGCGATTTCTTGGAATGATTCCTCCTCAGCATTCGGCTCTTTTTTGTCCTGTGGAGCGACGGCTGTTTGATCTGGCAAAGCATTCCCCTTTTCAACGTCCACGCTGGCAGGCCCAAAGTCAGACACTGCGTTGCCAAATTTAATAGCAAAACCACCCATATGGGCGAAATAGGAATGCGTCCGCGTCCAAGGGACTTTGTCTATCTGGCTCATGTCCGCGTAGCCAGCGGCGGCACCAGATACCGACCGATAGTCGGACCAAGCCTTTCCAAGGGTCCATTCTGGCGCAAGGACGTTCCATACAAAAATTATAATTTTCCACCATAGGCGCAGGATGGACCGCCGGGTTTTCTCTCGCCAGGTTCGCGCGGCTAGCTGACAGGGCACATTAGGGTGTACTACTGACCAGGTGCAAATGATGAGAATGCTTAGACAGCCCCAGACAATTTCCATGGTCCCCCGAACATTGGGCGCACTGACAAACGTATATACACCATCAGGTAGGGTACAGTTGACGTTGAATTGCGTCATGGTGGTGATTTTATGGCAATGTCGGCGTAGGGGATGGTCCTGCAGTAGCTGACCCTATGTACTTGAATATAGCAGAAACGGACGTTGTGTAAAAGTATGTACTACAGAAGGCTGACGATGCTGCGATGTAACATGGTTTGCAACGCGTGCGTAATAGAGGGTATTGCCATTTCGAGTCTGGCGGTGGCGGGAGAGCGACCTGGCTGCCGTCTTATAGCGCTGCTAGCTTCGATGGCACTCCCGCGATGCATCGCCGCGGCAGTCTGCCTCTCCATTCAGCACGAGGCGCTTGAGGCTGAGGAAAGCTGAGCTGCAGGCGCCGGCAAAGTGCTGCCGAATGTCGTGCCTAGGATGGGATGAGTGATCGTAACTCTAATTTAGCCTGTCATGGTGCTGCTGGATACAAATTTGCAGATGTCTTTTTCCGGATTTCGGTTCTTCTGCATATAAATATAATATGCAGCTTTGCACAGACAGGCAGGTGTCTCTGTGGTCCCCCCTTTTGTTTCATGGCGTTTATTTGTATCGCGCCCAGTATATGGAACAAAGATCTCTTACTCAGCTAGGCAGGGCTATTGTCTTTTCCATTTTCATTCTCGGAGCAAGATAAGCTCCGACCGTTAGATATACTGCTTCATGGCAAGTTTTGTTGCCAAGTCATATCAATGTAGAGATAAACCAGGTACAGCGTAGCAACCCGTTGAATTCAGGCACGGCGTTGGGCGTGTGTTCACGTGCCTGCTGCGTTCCCCATTTTGCAAGTACAGTACGTACCTGAAGAAGCAACCCCCCGGAGGCCAGGTTGTTCCGAAGTTCAGCCCGCGCCCCTCCCCCAGTTATTTCTACAGTTCGCACCAAAGCAGGCAGCCTATCAACGCAAACGCGCGGACTGCCCCATAAAATTGCCCTGGGCTACCAACCAAGGCCCAACCAGCCAGCCGCAGCACCGCGCAGCGCAGAATGACAGGTAAGCAACCTCTCCTGACGTGGAACCTCTTGGACCTTCACTTCATCATCATCATCAAAACCACCCCTCCCTTCCCCCGTACGTTCAACTCCGACCCGCTCGCACGCGATCACGATTAATTGGTTTCTTCTGCAGGTTACAGATACGATAATCTTTTTTCTTCCCTTCTCTCCTCTCGTTCGACCTCTGCCCCTTTTTGTTTTCGCGCAGGGCCAACAGCTTAGGGCTACGCAAGCTCCCGACTTGTCCGACCCCTAATTCCATCCCAACAGCATTGTTTTCCGCACGCCATCTCGATTCTCGTAGCATACCGCTGTCGCTATAATACCGCGCTTTGCGCCCAAAGTTTTAGATATATATTCTGCACGGAACCATGGCGCCCTTGCCCATCAAGTTCCAGGAGCTGGTCCAGCTCGCCAGCGTCGGCGTTGACGCGCAGTCCATCTCCTTCAATTCCTGCGTACGTTGGCCCCCCTTCTCTACTCTGCTACCCAGCAGCCTGCTCCAAAAGACTCAATTCTTGCTAACATTTCTTCTTCTTGTAGACACTCGAGTCCGATTCGTACGTGTGCATCAGAGAGAAAAAGGACGAGGCTTCCCAACCAGAAGTCGTCATCGTCGAGCTCAAGAACGGCAACAATGTTACACGCAGACCAATCAAGGCCGACAGTGCCATCATGCACTGGAACCGTCAGATCATCGCCCTCAAGGCCCAGTCAAGGACGCTGCAGATCTTCGACCTCGACCAGAAGAAGAAGCTCAAGTCGTGTACCATGAACGACGACGTCCAGTTCTGGACCTGGGTCAGCGAATCTACGCTCGGTCTTGTCACCACTACCAGCGTTTTCCACTGGGATGTCTACGACGATGCCCAGGAGGCTCCCGTCAAGGTCTTTGAGCGCAATGCCAACCTCAATGTTTGTGGATCCACAATGACCCCCCCCTCACCCACGTCATCCCCCTTTGCTAACCGGCGTCTTTTTAGGGCTGCCAAATCATCAACTACCGCGTTAACGACGAAGGAAAATGGATGGTTGTTGTTGGTATCTCCCAGCAGGGTGGCCGCGTTGTCGGTGCCATGCAGCTCTACTCCAAGGACCGCGGCATCAGCCAGGCCATTGAAGGCCACGCTGCGTCGTTTGGCTCGCTGCGCCTCGAAGGTGCTCCCCAAGATACCAAGCTCTTCAGCTTTGCTGTCCGAACAGCTACCGGCGCCAAGCTCCACGTCGTCGAGGTCGACCACGCCGAATCGAACCCCGTCTTCCAGAAGAAGGCCGTTGATATCTTTTTCCCTCCCGAAGCTACCAACGACTTCCCCGTCGCCCTGCAGGTTTCCCAAAAGTATGGCGTCATCTTCATGGTCACCAAGTACGGTTTCATTCACCTCTACGATCTTGAGACTGCCACTCTCATCTTCATGAACCGCATCTCCTCCGAGACCATCTTCAGCACTTGTGCCGACAAGGACTCCGCCGGTCTTGTGGCTATTAACCGCAAGGGTCAGGTCCTTTTCGTCACTGTTGATGAGAGCACCGTTATCCCTTACCTGCTCGACAACCCCGCCAACACCGAGATCGCTATCAAGCTTGCCTCCCGTGCTGGTCTCCCCGGTGCCGACAACCTCTACGCCAGACAGTTTGACCAGCTCTTCAACGGCGGTAACTACCTCGAAGCTGCCAAGATTGCTGCCAACTCTCCTCGTGGCTTCCTCCGAACGGCCGAGACGATCGACAAGTTCAAGCGCCTCCCCACCCAGCCCGGTGCCATGTCCTTCTCCCTGCAGTACTTTGGCATGCTCCTCGACAAGGGTGCGCTGAACAAGCAGGAAACTCTGGAGCTCGCTCAGCCCGTCCTCCAGCAAGAGCGCAAGCACCTCTTGGAGAAGTGGCTCAAGGAGGGCAAGCTTGACTGCTCTGAGCAGCTCGGTGACATGGTCCGCCCCTACGACGTGAACATGGCTCTGACCATCTACCTCAAGGCCAATGTTCCCCAGAAGGTTGTCGCTGGCTTTGCCGAGACTGGTCAGTTTGACAAGATTCTGCCTTACTCTGCTCAGACTGGCTACAAGCCCGACTTCATCCAGCTTCTCCAGCACATCATCCGCTCCAACCCCGAAAAGGGTGCCGAGTTTGCCACTGCCCTGGCCAACAGCGACCAAGGTCCTTTGGTTGACTTTGAGCGCGTTTGCGACATCTTCCAGTCTCAGGGCATGATTCAGCAGGCCACCGCTTTCCTCCTTGACGCCCTCAAGGACAACAAGCCTGAGCACGCCCGTCTCCAGACCAGACTCTTGGAGATGAACTTGATGCACGCTCCCCAGGTTGCTGAGGCCATCTTGGGCAACGACATGTTTACCCACTTTGACAAGCCCCGCATTGCCCAGCTTTGTGAGCAGGCTGGCCTTCACCAGAAGGCTTTGGAGCTGTACGAGGACCCCGAAGCTGTCAAGCGCGTCATCATCAACATTCCCGGTCAGCCCAACTTCAACCCCGAGTGGTTCAGTGAGTTCTTTGGCAAGCTGTCTGTTGAGCAGTCGCTCGACTGCCTTGACGCCATGATGAAGCACAATATCCGCCAGAACCTTCAGTCTGTTGTCAACATTGCTACCAAGTACTCTGAGCTTCTTGGCCCTGTTCGTCTCATTGACCTCTTTGAGAAGTACAAGACCTCCGAGGGTCTCTTCTACTATCTCGGCAGCATTGTCAACTTGTCTGATGACGCCGATGTTCACTTCAAGTACATTGAGGCTGCTACCAAGATGGGCCAGTTCAACGAGGTTGAGCGCATTTGCCGTGACAGCAACCACTACAACCCCGAGAAGGTCAAGAACTTCCTCAAGGAGGCCAAGCTCCAGGAGCAGCTTCCTCTCATCATTGTTTGCGACCGCTTCAACTTTGTTCACGACTTGGTTCTCTTCCTCTACCAGAACCAGCAGTTCCAGGCTATCGAGGCTTACGTCCAGCGTGTCAACCCCTCTAGAACCCCTGCCGTTGTTGGTGGCTTGTTGGACGTTGACTGCGATGAGAATATCATCAAGCAGCTTCTGACAACTGTTAATGCTCAGGAAATCAACATTGATGAGCTTGTCTCTGAGGTCGAGAGCCGCAACCGCCTCAAGATCCTCCTCCCCTTCCTCGAGGCTACTCTCCAAGCTGGTAACCAGCAGCAGGCTGTCTACAACGCCCTCGCCAAGATTTACATCGACTCCAACAACAACCCCGAGAAGTTCCTCAAGGAGAACGACCAGTACGATACCCTCACCGTGGGTAAGTACTGCGAGAAGCGCGATCCCAACCTGGCGTACATTGCCTACTCCAAGGGCCAGAACGACTTGGAGCTCGTCAACATCACCAACGAGAACTCCATGTACAGAGCTCAGGCCCGCTACCTCTTGGAGCGCTCCGACAACGAACTCTGGTCCTTTGTGCTGAGCGAGAACAACATCCACCGTCGCTCTGTGGTTGATCAGGTTACTGCTACTGCTGTTCCTGAGTCCACCGACCCCGCCAAGGTCTCCGTTGCTGTCGCTGCTCTTTTGGAGAACGACCTGCCGCTTGAGCTTATTGAGCTCTTGGAGAAGATTGTTCTCGAGCCCTCACCCTTCAGCGACAACCAGAACTTGCAGAACCTTTTGCTCTTCACTGCTGCCAAGGCTGACAAGGGTCGCGTCATGGACTACATCCACAAGCTCGACGGCTACAACGCCGACGAGATTGCCACGTCGTGCATTGACGTCGGTCTTCACGAGGAAGCCTTTGAGATCTACAAGAAGGCTGACAACAAGTCTGCCGCCGTCAATGTCCTTGTTGACCATGTTGTCAGCATCGACCGTGCCCAGGCCTACGCTGAAGAGGTCGACATCCCCGAGGTTTGGAGCAAGGTTGCCAAGGCCCAGCTTGATGGTCTTCGCGTAACCGACTCCATCGAGTCCTACATCAAGGCTGAGGATCCCAAGAACTACGAGGAGGTCATTGAGACTGCCACCCGCGCCGGCAAGAACGAGGACCTCGTCAAGTACCTCCGCATGTCCCGCAAGACTCTCCGCGAGCCCGCCATCGACACTGCCCTCGCCTTCAGCTACGCTCGTCTCGACAACCTCCCCGAGCTTGAGGACTTCCTCCGCTCTACCAACGTTGCCAACATTGAAGAATCTGGTGACAAGGCTTACGAGGAGGGTCTCTTCGAGGCTTCCAAGATCTTCTACTCCAGCATCTCCAACTGGGCCAAGCTGGCTACTACCTTGGTCCACCTTGGCGACTACCAGGCTGCCGTTGACTGCGCTCGCAAGGCCAACAACATCAAGGTCTGGAAGGAGGTCCACGCGGCATGTGTTGGCAAGAAGGAATTCCGCCTTGCTCAGATCTGCGGTCTCAACCTCATCGTCGATGCCGAGCAGCTGCAAGAGCTTGTCAAGGACTACGAGCACAACGGCTACTTTGACGAGCTCATCAGCCTCTTGGAGCAGGGTCTTGGCCTCGAGCGCGCCCACATGGGTATGTTCACTGAGCTTGGTATTGCTCTTTCCAAGTACCACCCTGAGCGCCTCATGGAGCACATCAAGATCTTCTGGTCTAGAATGAACATGCCCAAGATGATCCGCGCCTGCGAGGAAGCCAACCTCTGGCCTGAGTTGGTCTTCTGTTACTACCACTATGACGAGTTTGATAACGCCGCTCTCGCCGTCATTGAGCGCCCCGAGAACTCTTGGGACCACACACAGTTCAAGGAGATTCTCGTCAAGGTTGCCAACTTGGAAATCTACTACCGCGGTATCAAGTTCTACGTCGAGCAGCACCCCTCGCTGCTTACCGACCTCCTTGCTGCTCTCACCGCCCGCATTGACGTCAACCGTGTCGTCAAGATGTTCCAGAAGAACGACAGCTTGCCTCTGATCAAGCCCTTCCTTCTCAACGTCCAGTCCCAGAACAAGCGCACCGTCAACGAGGCCGTCAATGACCTTCTCATCGAAGAGGAGGACTACAAGACGCTCCGCGACTCCGTCCAGAACTACGACAACTACGATGCTGTCGAGCTCGCCAGCCGCCTGGAGAAGCACGATCTCATCTTCTTCCGCCAGATTGCCGCCAACATTTACCGCAAGAACAAGCGCTGGGAGAAGTCGATTGCCCTGTCCAAGCAGGACAAGCTCTTCAAGGACGCCATCGAGACTGCCGCCATCTCTGGCAAGAGCGACATTGTCGAGGACCTCCTCCGCTACTTTGTCGACGTTGGTCACCGCGAGTGCTACGCTGGTATGCTGTACGCCTGCAACGACCTCATCCGCCCCGATGTGGTTTTGGAGTTGTCATGGCGCAACGGCCTCAACGACTTCACCATGCCCTACATGATCAACATGTTGGCTCAGCAGACCAAGGAGATTGCTCTCCTCAAGGCCGACAACGAGGCCCGCAAGGCCAAGGAGAAGGACCAGGAGGTTGTCGAGGACAACACCCCCATTCTGGGTGCCTCGCGCCTGATGATCACCGCCGGCCCCAGCGGCACGGCATCACCCGCTCCCTACGGCCAGGCCAACGGCTTTGCTCCCCAGCCTACCGGCTTTTAACTTGCACACGGATGATGACTTTTTGAAGAGACCTCGGTAGACGGTGGGATACATATTAATTATTTTCCAGCCGCCAGTCCAACAGCAAAAGCAGTTGGTGCTCGTTTTGTGATGATGTACGAGCTATCACTGTCTTTTGTTAAGTGGATGGGTTGCGCTGGAGTTTACGAATCTTGTAACCATAGTTGCACGCTTTGTTTTTGCTAGGCAGACGACAAGACGGAGGAGCATATACCACGAACCAAAAAACCAGTATACTTTTTTGAGCGGCTTCCCTTGTGAAGGGTTCTTGCTGGAGACGGTGTTGTTTGCTGGCCTCGGGAGGGACAGTTAGGAACATTCTATCTATATAGGGCCCGGAGCAGGGGAGAAAAGCAGGATGCCATGGATGAGCAGGCAGGACAACTTTGTGTGGGTTGTTCTGGCCTGTGATGCGGAGGGGCGTCTTATTTCCCTTTTTCAATTTTACGAGACGGATACGTTTAGTTGTCTGTATGATAGTTTTCTCTTTACTTGAATTTAATGCGTTATACCTTAACTACTTTTCTTTCCATGTGAATTCACCAGCGTGTCCTTGATATGTAATACATCACTGCTGTATCTCTACTAATAAATTATGAGTGTATTACGCTTGTAAACTTTGTGTTTTATAATCGCGAGTCAATTGTATGTGTCTACTACTCATGCCGCTATACTATACATGCAAATAAGAAAAATCCAAAAAACGAAAAACGAAACAGTGCCAATAAGAAACATGAAAGCAAAAAATCGATCTACAGCTACATCTACTACTTCTTGTTCGGCACCGGCGTGGGGTTAGCAACCTTGAGCCACTCCCCGTTGAACGCATTAATCAGCCAGTTATTTAGCTTCTCATAGACAATCGTATGTCCATTGTGAAAGTAGATGCCGTGGTCCGAGTCAGGGAAGACATGGACATCGTAGTTTTCCACGCCCGCCATGTCGAGGTCATCCAGCAGCGTGAGGGAGTTCTGGAAGTGCACATTGTCGTCTGCAGAGCCGTGCATCAGCAGGAAGCGCTTGCTGTCGCCGAGGGCTGTGGCGTTGTTGATGCTCGCCTTCTTGTATCCCTCTGGGTTGACCTGCGGCGTGCGCATGTAGCGCTCCGTGTAGATGGAGTCGTAGAAGCGCCAGCTGGTGACGGGCGCAACGGCCATGCCATACGAATACGTGCGGCCCTGGTCCTGCTCGAGCGTCTTAAGCGTCATGAAGCCGCCGTACGACCAGCCCCAGATGGCTAGGCGCGACTCGTCGACGTATGGCAGGGATGCGTAGTATTGGCCCGCGGCGATGTGGTCCTGTGCTTCGAGGACGCCGAGCTGTGAGCGCACGCCGACGCGGTGCTTGCGGCCGAGGAAGCCTGTGCCCCGAGGGTCGACGGTCACCACGACGTAGCCGAGGTTAGAGGCCACGTAGGACTGGAAGTCGACGGCGAAGCGCTTCGTGACTTGCTGCGAGTTGGGGCCTGAGTACTGCTGGAACAGGACGGGGTACTTCTTGTTGATATCGAAGTGGCGTGGGCGGCGCTCGACGTAGTTGACGGTGGCGCCGGTGTCGAGCTCAATGGTGCCGTACTTGAGCGTGGGGAGCTCGTGTTTACGGGCGCGGTCGGCGAGGAGCTCGTTGGCCTCGACGGTCTGGTTGTAGTTGATAGCGAGGGATGGCGTGGAGATGACGCGCTGCGAGGGGATGCGTGGGCCCTCGTTGCTGAGTAGAGCGTAGCCGCTGCCAGAGGAGAAGGACGCACTGTAGTATGCCTCGACGGAGGTATCAGTGAGGGGCTTGAGGTCAGTGCCATCGAGCTTGACAGAGTAGACATGGCGCTGAATGGAGGATTCCTTGGTGCCGATGAAGTAGACGAGGTTGTTCTTCAGGTCAATGGCTGAGGGCGCCTCCTCGACTTCCCAGTTGCCAGATGTGAGCATCTTGGGCGTGGCGTTGTCAAGGGGCGTGTAGTAGCCAATGTGCTGGTAGCCGTTGTTGATGACGGAGTCGACGTAGCCATCGCTGGGGCGGCCGTTGGCAGGATCAGCAGGCACATAGGACATGGTGTGGGAGATTTCGAACCAGCCGCCGTCAATCTTGTTGACATCGATGGTGTTGACCGTCTTGCCACTGCGGGCGGGCACGTCTACGAGAATGACTTTAAGGATGTCGCTAACACGGTTGGTCTCCTTAACAAGGACCTTGTTGCCAGCCCAGAGGATGTTGTTAATGATGCGGTCGTCGCCGGCAAACTCGTCGCCAATATTGACGGAGAAGACGTCACCCTTGGCGATATCGTAGAACTGGAGATCGACTACTGGGTTGTGCGCGCCGGCCTTGGGGTACTTGATCTTGACGGTATCGGGGTACGCTTCTTCTCCAGGGGCTGGCTGCTTGCCAGAAGGACGAGCACGGAAGAACTCGACAGGAAACTCGGGGACGCCCGTCTCGTTGGTTCGTAAGAAGGCGAGATACTTGCCATCTTCGGACCACCAGGTTGCACTGTTGCCGGAAAAGACCTCCTCCTCGTAAACCCAGTCGGGAATACCGTAGAAGAACTCTGGGCCGCCATCGTGGGTGATTTGGACCACCTTGTTGTCGACAAGGCTGCGGATGAACATGTTGTTGTCCTTGGTGTAGACAATGGCATCGCTGCGAGGGCTCCAGGTTGCTAGTTGGACACGGGCACCGTCGTCAAGCGGGACAAGAGGTTCGACTGCCTGGGTTTCAACGTCAAGGATATAGTAAATGGCAGTGAAGGAGTGACGCCAGTTCTTCTGCTTTTCTACTCCAAGAAGAACCTTTTTCAGGTCCGCACTAGGCTTTACATAGGTGGCATAGTGCTTCATACCCTGGTGCTGAAATGCCTGATTCTTCATAAGCGTCTTAGCAGCGAAGATGTCGGCATGGTTCTCGGAACCGCCCTTGCTGGCGCGCACGTCCTCGACAATCAGATAGTCTTTGTTGCGGGCGTTTTGCTCCAGCATGAGGCCATCGCGGCCGTCGGGACTAGCAATCCAGCTAATTTCTTGTGATCTGGGAGACCAGAAGCCACCCAGCACTTGTTCGAGGGTAATGGCCTTGGCAGAGCCTCTGTTGCCCGCGTTAGGGTCGTGCTCATGGTCGCTTGCGTGTCGGTATCCGCCAGTGAAGACGAAGAGGCCGAGCGCAGCAGCCCAGCCAGAGACAAAGAGTACGGCAACAATAATGACGAGCTTCTTCATCTTTGTGTCCATAGGCTTGCGTGGCACGTGCTCTCGTGGCAGGAAAGGTCCTGTCTCGGCATCGATGCTGTCATCGTCGTCCGCATCGCGATACGACACGACGGGGGCGGCGCCCTTCTTGCGGTCGGCGGGGTTCTTTTCCATCTCTTCCTGGATGCGATCAAACACAATGCTGGTGGTGGAAGCAGACGAGAGTGAGTCGATCGACACTCGGGAGTTTTTGCGCGAGGACGTGGAGGAGCCTTCGCCGGCGTCGGTGGTTGGCGCCATCGTGGGCCGAATTAGCCGTGCTCAAGCAGGCTGAGATAGGAAGGTCGGTTCGGGATCGTGGAGGATGGCGGGTTTACAGTTGAAGCATGGCGGTGCGGAGAGAGCTGAAGGCGAGACCGAAACCGAAGTTGGCGGAATGATGAGAGAATTGAGCGAAAAATGAAGCAGCAGCAGCGTGGCTGGTGATGTTGCAGTGCAAGTGACGCTGGCAGCGTTCCAGTCGCACCACCTGGCACGTCTGGCAGCTGGCGCACTTAGCGGAGAGGATGATGGCTGCTGAACTAAGCCAGATTGGGTGTTGAATAGCTACCCGGGAAGCGATGCGCTACGGCAAATATAGACGGAGGCAAAGAGATAAAAAGGTAATTGAGATTTTTAGAGAAAAGAATATAATTTTCACTATTGTAGTATGCTTTCTATTAAATAAAAATGATGGAAACCCGTCGACTGTGTGGTGGAATCTGGACCCCAACATGAGACGCTCATCATCATGCACGCTGCGGTGTGCCAGCTGGCAGCCGGCCCTTTGACACAGCCTCCGTGTTTGAGAAACCAGATAATCTTATTTCATCATCTGCAATATTCACCGATACGCAACTATATGCACAGCAAGGTGTATCATTATAGCTATAAAGTCTTTCAAGTGATCCAGGACCATGAACACGTTTGTCGCTCCACACGCTAGCTGCTGCCTGTCGCAGCCTTGTTGCGGTACGAGGAAATGCATCCATACTAAACTCGCAACCCCTCTCTTTTTCCTTTCATACTAGAGAGAAGGAAAGATCTAGCTATTGACGAGTAACTTTTGGCCAAATAGTCGTTCTACTGCTACCGGCGCAAGGACAAAGTCACGCTTCACCATTCTATGCTCTTGAGCTCGAGACGAGACGCGTTTTCATTACCGCCAGTGCACCGTGCAACGTCTTGGCTCACTCTTCCAAACACAATTGTTGTCTAAAATGGATGAAACTGAGAATAGAATTGAATGGGAAGATACTGCTGTCTTTATCGAACATGTCGACATCAACGACAGCGGTAGCACAATTGAGCTCTTGCCCCCTCACAAAATTGATGACATCCTTAGAAGACTCGGCCCAACAAAGTACCGAGCAAAAGGAAGCTGTTTCAATAAATATCTAGAGGCTCGCATCCCGGGAACTGGCCAGTGGATACTAGAATCTCCAAGATATCGAGAATGGCATGACAAGGAAGAAAATGGTCTACTATGGATCAAAGGTGAGAAAATTTCCTTTAATGGATGCTCTCCCACACTCTAACCACTGACAGGTATACCGGGATCTGGCAAGTCGATTCATGCTGCTACTGTTATAGAGCAATTGAAGCAAGAAAACACTCCCGTATTATACTTTTTCTTTGTCCAAACTCTCGATGCCAACCAACAACTCAAACTAGCTGTCAATGATTGGATAGCTCAGATCTTACGATACAGCACGCATGCACAAAAAAAACTGGAAAAGGAGATATCGAAATTTCGTGACTTGTCCTGGGAACAGCGATGGGAATATTTGCAATTTGGGTTGCGCCAAGTCGCAAAAGCATACTTGGTCATTGACGGGATTGATGAGCTAGACCAAACTGAGTCCAAGCGACTTCTTGAGCGGCTTGTTGAGCTGCGGCGTTATCATCCGATAGCGTGCTACAAGTTATCCAAACATCATATCCTGCAGCCACCATTTTACAACATTTGGTGAAAAGTGGCTATGCATCGCTTTCTAAAAAAGTCGCTAGCTCAACGACTATTGCCGCGTTGAACAACTGCGAACGTGTCCGTGCTATTGATGGATATCAAGGCGACGCAATGCCGCTACTGATTACAGCATGCAGGAGAGAAATTCCAAACATGGACGTTCTGAGAATCCTTGTAGAGCATTTCGGTGTTGGCGTAAATGAAGGGCTATCAGAAAACTCTTGGCAGGCATCTTATTGTAGAGAGGAGATAGCTTCACCTTTACATGCACTTGCTATGGGAGGCCATTGGTGGCAGGTATCACTGGCCATGCCATATCTCATTGCCCATGGAGCCGATGTGAATATGAAGATTGGTGGCAAAACAGCATTGGAGGATGTGCTACGCACTGTGTCTGCTAGACCTCTGACTGTCAGCGAAAGGGCCGTTCAAGTCCTTCTTGAAGCTGGGGCAGATACAACGCCGTCTCATAGGGATGGTCGATCTTTTGTTTCTAGCGCCGTTCAGCACATTGGAATCCTAAAGCTGCTGCTGAAACACAATGCTAGAGTCACCTCACAAGATCTCATTACAGCAATTAAGTATCAAACTGTTGAGGGACTCGAAGCTTTACTGGAAGCTGGAGCGGATCCTAATAGCGGCGACATTTTGACTGACGGGCCCGGGAATGATCCATCTCATTGCGCGCAAATCGACCAGCTTCCACTGTATCATGCTATGGTATGTGGTGCGAGCGCGCCATGCAAAATTTCCATGATGGAGCTCCTGTTGGCCTACGGTGCGGATCCTCTTGCGAAGTATAAAATGGGTACCATTTTACACAAATGTTTTGAGAAGAAAGCTGGCTGTCCTCTTCGTTGGCTTCTGGAACAAAAGATACCTGGGCTTGACCCGAATATAACGGATGCAGATGGTGTCACACTTTTCCATTTAGCATGCCAGTATGAGTTGGAAAAGGAGAAGTTAGAAGACGGACAAGGAGAAGTTACGTATCGTCGTACAAATGACAAACCAACACCAGCAGAGCATCTTTTGCAGCTGGGAGCGGATATACATGCCACAGATATCCATGGCTCCAACTGTCTACATCGTCTTGTAGACGCCCAATACGAGCACTGCGACTTGTCAATGATTAAACACATAACTAGAGCGGCCCCCAAACTCGTCAATCAAAGTAACGACCAGGGCAAAACACCTTTGCACTTTGCTGTTATTCGCCTTGAGTTCTCTGGCCTAGAGGTTATCAACGAGTTACTAGCAGCGGGAGCGGACGTTGCAGTCAAAGACGCTAAAGGAAACACGATGCTTCACTATCTGTTACGGAAAGATTTCCGTATTAATAAAGCTACCGGAGAGGTCGACTCAGCACGACGAGTGCTTTTCGACCGACTTATGGCTATGCCAGAAGTAGACATTAATGCCACCAACGACGAAGGTGAGACGGCCATCTCTCTGTATATGCGTCGCGGAGTTGGGAGATGTATCGAAGCAAAACATGAAGATGAGACAGAAGAAAACAAGAAAACGTGGGAGGCGGCTGTATTGGATCTGTTTGACGCCAACGGCGCGCAGTGGGATGTGCGCAATGTCAACGGCCAAACATTAATACACGCAGCCCTAGACGGTTGGGGATGGAGAACCCACGATAGATGGCCTATACGGGTAAAGTACTTGATTGGAAAGGGCGTAGATGCTTTCGCAAAAGACAAGGATGGCGTAACGGCAAGCAGCAGGCTGCGTTCTCTCCGCCAGGGGAGGGATTCACAGTTTTACACGCGTGAACAAGATGTGCTGCCACTAGAAGATATTGATGGGCTTTAGCACTGAATAACAAAAGAAGATAGAAGAAGACGCCGCGCCTGCTGAATAATTCAGCTGTATGACGGTTCAACAATAACGAGTCGCAAGACGATTCTCACTAGCAATTCGCCGACGTTCATATACAATATATAAATTTACAGATGATGGTATCGCTATCAACTTGAACAAGAAAACAAAAACAAACACCCCCCGGCTTTCATCTCTCGACAATGCTATACCAACTGTGGTGGGGTGTTCACCTGCTCGTCAATCTTGACTACCTTGACCGCTGTACCATATGCCGCTGTCTGGGCAAAACCACCAGACTCGCTCGCATCAAAGCGGAGGGCAATAATCGCATTCCCTCCGCGCGCCTTGCACTCATCCACGACGCGCGCGATGGAGTCGTTGCGGCAGCTGTACAGCATGCTTGTGAACCAGCGCAGCTCACCACCCGCAAAAGACTTGAAGACCATGGCTAGTGAGGCGCCAATATTACGCGATCGGACAGTGATGCCGTATACGGTGCCGAGCACCTGCTCGATTTTGTATCCGGGAAGGTCGTTCATTGCTAGGCGGTGTTAGTCATGCTGTATCGTCTTTCTTAAGTTAACATGGCACAAACTCGTAGTAACAACGCCTTGTGTCTCAGTGAAGCAGTGCAAGTCGGATAGCTGCGGAGGGATATTGGCCGGCTCATCGAATGGAGGCTGAGGGCCTTTCTTAGTTGTTGGCGACATGATGTGCTTTTGTATTGTGCTTTGTGGTAGTTGTTTTTTTCGTGGCAAAAGGCGTCACTGCAAAAGCGAGAGCGAATGATTTACTCGACAAAAAAATACCAGAGGACTCGGAGAGAGGAGCTTCTTATAGCTTTCTCCAAAACTATGACCCCTCGCTTCTCCAACGCCCAGCTGGTATGACGTCGGCGATGGCCATATTAGCCGCCTCCGCCCGACCAGGCACCGTTGCGTCGCTCGCTCGCCGTACTATTCGCACCTCAGCCGTATCCATCGTATTTCTCCACCCGATCGCCGAAAGGTTCTTTTGCGGCTGCCACTGGGGGCGTGGCGGTGCGGCTGGTTACGGGCGGAAATACCTTGCGCGAAGGGGTCCAGCCAGTGTTCAGTGTCCCGGCACCGGCAGGCACTGGGCATGGATATGAGATGGGGCGACCAGCAGGGCTGAGCAAAAGGGTAGGAATCGCAATGACTCAACTTCGTTAGGGGTTCGGTTGGGTTGCTGCTGAGCTGGAAAGGGAAACAAAGGGCGGCTCAGACGTGACTCTCCTGACTCCTGCTATGCGATGCGGGACAATATGTTCCGATAGTATGGGCAAGCGCTGCTTTTCTACCTTCACTACGTTCTCTCGCCATTCCATTGCTAACCGCATGAAGCTTTGCTACTCGGTGTAAGCGCTCGGCCCACCGTTGCATTGTATCGGGCGACAGCCGTTGGCAGCATACCAAAGCCTTTGACCGAACTTTGGCAAACAAAACCCCTTTATGCGGCTTGAAAAACATCATTGGGTTAATTATATGAGTGCGAATAATTTATTTCACACTGATTTTGCCGCCAACCTACTCTCTCGGCTTCGGCCTCGGGCCACACGCGCAGCCTCGGAACTTCTCCGAACCACACCAGCAGCGCTAGTGTCCTTGACTGTGACCAATTATTACCAGCTATTTCCTAAGGATTCAGAAATTTAGCTGCGCACAGCTGAAAACAACCCGTCCGCCACGGCCCAGCCTGATTTTGTCTAATGAATATCTCTAACCGCTACTTATATGCGCCACCGCCCTCATCGAACAATGGCCAGCATGCTCGGTTCATTGCCGCATCTCTCTTGCAACAAGGATGGCGTCATCATCGGCTGACTTGGAGCAGCAACAGCAGCAGAGCACTGTGACGGATACAGATGTCGAGAAGAGTGTGCTGTCTACGGTCCCCGATCCAGATGTGGTCGACTTTGAGGGTCCTGATGACCCTATGAATCCGCTAAACTGGACGACTTCGAAGAAGACAGTAGTTGTATCTTTGGTCTCTATCCTTACATTACTCAGGTATGCTTTCTTAAAGACCGTTTTACAACAAAATCGACGCTAACGACGCGCTAGCTCGCTGTCATCGTCGGTCTTTGCCCCTGGCATTCCACAGGTTATCCACGACTTTGGGTCTAAGAATACCTCGATTGGATCTTTTACACTTACAGTTTTTGTTATTGGCTATGCTTTTGGACCACTGGGTATTGCACCACTTTCTGAAATCTACGGCCGTACACCGGTGTACATTGTGTCGTGTGTCTTTTTCGTCATCTTTACAATATGCTGCGCCATAGCCCCCAGTCTTGCATCTCTGATTGTGTTTCGACTACTAGCGGGCTTTGCTGGTAGTTGTCCACTTGCTCTGGGTGCAGGAACGGTTGCCGATGTCGTGCGTCCGGAATCGCGAGGCATCGCCATGGCGGCTTACACGGCGGGCCCGCTACTGGGGCCCATCATCGGACCAATTGGTAAGTACACAACGATGCAAATACCGGTTATTTTAACTGTAGATGCTAATTTGTATAGGCGGTGGCTATCTGATTCAAGCCCAGGGATGGAGATGGTCCTTTTGGGTTGTTTCAATGGCTGTAAGTGACTATCTTTTGATATACACGAAAACAGAGCTAACATGGGACAGGCTGGGCTGGTCCTCATTTTTACCGTCTTTTTCCTCGACGAGACCTATAAACTTGCGATTCTCAACAAAAAGACAAAGAAACTCCGCAAAGAAACAGGCAACGAAAACTTGCGGAGCGTATTGCACACAGACTTGACGCATGCGCAAGTGTTCCGCATCGCCATTGTCCGGCCCACCAAGATGCTCTTCATGTCGCCCATCATCTTCTCGCTCTCGCTCTTCATGTTTATCCTCTACGGATACTTTTACCTCATGTTTACTGCCATTCCCGGGCTATTCCAGAACCAGTACGGATTTTCGCCCGGCCAGGTCGGCTTGACCTATCTCGGCCTCGGAGTCGGCTCGTTCGTTGGCCTGTTCCTCTCGGGCGCCACGTCAGATCGACTGGTGGTATACCTAAAGGAGAAGAAGAACACCGAGACCAAGCCAGAGTACCGTCTGCCCGTGCTTATTGCCGGTACATGTCTTGTGCCTATTGGACTGTTCTGGATCGGCTGGACAGCACAGACCTTGCAGCACTGGATACTACCTACTATAGGTACAGGTATAGTCAGTGTTGGTGTGACACTGCTCTTTGTAAGTCCTACTGGCATGACAATACATGTAAGACTTTATGCTAACTGCTTCATAGATGGCAAGTACAACATACTTGATTGATGTATACACGACGTATGCGGCCTCTGCTGTCGCGGCTAGCGTTGTGCTACGGTCTCTTGGTGGTGCATTGCTGCCTCTTGCAGGCGGACCGATGTTTGAAAGACTCGGCCTCGGATGGGGAAACTCGTTGCTTGCATTCATTGGTCTTCTCATGATTCCCGTGCCCATTGCATTTTACTTGTACGGAGAGCGGATTCGGCAAAAGGAAGCCAAATCTATAAAATTTTAAAGTCACGATTTACGGATGAAACAAAGCATTTAGTTTATAGCATTATATTCAATTCATATACACAATTGACTCATTAATTCAGTTATCAGAGGCTCACTTGCTGCCTTACAAGCCAAGAGAGCGCATCACGCCCTGGGCACGCTTGCCAAACTTCTTGACACGCTTAGCGTCGCGAGGATCCAAGTGGACCGCGCTCAGCGAGCGTTTGCCATTGCTTCCGTGAACATTAGCGGCCGTGATATTACCGCAGTCAGGGCGCTTAAGCTTGTCACCAAAAGTGTCGGCAGTCCAGAGCAAGACGCCATTGGTCCAACCAAAGCCCTCGACGACCTCGTACTCGCCACCACCACCAGCGTGGTTAGTCGAGTTGTCATCGTACTTTTCAAACATGATGCCGACATCCTGCGCAGACAGACCCGACAGCTGGGGTGTAGCAGACGTCGAGCCACCAGTGGCATACCACGTGCAAAAGGTCGAGTCGAGGTATCGTTGGCCCAGACGCAGCGCAAGCTTCTGAATGTCCTTGTAAGCTGGATCCTGGTCGCCAAAGGTGGCAGGCGTGTTAACAAGACCTTGCATAAGAACATGCATCAGAGGCGGCCACACATTCGGCTGATCCCACTGCTGTCCTGTGCGGAGGTTCGTCGAAGGGATACCGCCCGCCTTGAGATCAAGGTACTTTTCGACACGCGCAAAGGCCGTCTTGACCGCGTGCGGGTTATGCTTGATGTAGTCGGGCGCAGCACCCAAGAAGAACGGGTAAAACTGCGTCACGGCAAACAGCTCCTGCTGGCCAGCGGGCGCAGTAGCATTTTCAAAGGGCTGAGTGTCCGCGTCGCCAGGGATGTAGATATGCTGGGCAGACGACGAGATGTTGTAGTCAAAGTAGCTGTAGAGCGTCTCGTTCCAGAAGACGGCCTGGATGGCCTCACTGCGGTTCGCTGCCTTTTCGGCCCATGCGGCGGCGGACACGCTATCGCCTGTCTGGTTGTAAAAGTGCGCGATGGCGAGCTCGTTGCCGTACAGGATGGAGTTGATGTCGACCGAGACAATGTTCTTGTTGTTGAGCGAGCGCAGTGGGAAGTAGACGTCGCGCTGGGCGTCACCGGGGTTGGTGGCCCACTTGGCGACGCTGTAGTCGAGGCCGGACTCGGCGCCCGTGGCGAGGTTGGCGTAGAGGAGCTCCTTTTCGGTGTCGTTGAGGGGCGTCTTGACGGGGTAGATGATGCCGGACTCGGCGTAGTAGGAGTTGTTGTTGGCGGTGATGTAGTCTTCACGGAAGGATTCTGGGCGTGGCTGTGTGTTGGAGACGGCGTACCTGGGAGGCGCGAGGTGTTAGCTTCTGTTTCATAATCTGGAAGATATGGAAATGAGAGAGAAGGATAGAAAAACTTACTGCTGCAGAGTATACGTCTTGCCCGCGACAGTCACGTCCACGGAGCGATTGCTCACAAAGAAATCGTGCTCCTTGACAAGCAAAGGGATAGCGCGTTGCAGGATATCCGTGTCATTGGTGTGCTCGACATAGACTTTGACCATTTGCGAGAGCAGAGGCGGCTGTGAGCGGTTAAGGTAGTAGACGCGGGCGCCGTTGGGGACGAAGCCGTACTGGTCGACAAAGTCGAGGAAGTTCTCGATTGTGTTTTTGGTGATTTCGATAAACGAGCCACCCGTGCGCACGAGGCCCTCGACAATCCAGTACGAGTCCCAGTAGTAGGGTTCGCGGAAGCGGCCGCCGGCGACGACAAAGGTGCGGTTGACGGGCAAAAAGCTGTTGGGGCAGTCGGTGCAGTTGGTCTTGGAGCCCTTGTAGGAGCGGGTGAGGTCGGGCCAGATGTCAATGACCTTTTCGACAAACTCGCGGACCACGGTGTCGTTGAGCTTCTTGGTGAAGACGGGGTCTGTCTTGAGCTTGTCCTTGGGGACGGCCTCGAGCTCGCCGCCAGCGTCGTCAAAGTAGGCGGTAAGGAAATCGTGAAGCTCGGTGTTGTTAGTGATGGGTTTAGAGAGCTTGTCGAAGGCTTCTTGGATTTCCTTGAGGGGCTTCTTAGCTGGCCTGTCATGTTTGGCAGCTAGTTAGCAAATAAAGCTTCCGAGTGAAAAAGGGAGGCTGCAGTAACAGCAACAACGTACATGTCAACAAAGGTCTTGGAGTCGGAAAAGGGCCGGGCAAGCTCAATCTCCTTGAGAATATCGCCATGGCAGTAAATTGGCGAATCGCAGGGCGCAATGACAGAGCCATTGTGGTAGAGAGCAGATGCTGCAGGCAGAGCCACGAGGGCAGCTGCAGCTACTTGCTTGAAGGAAGCCATTGTACAACGAAGGCAGATCAAATCAATTGGGATGTTTGTTTGTCCACTACGTTTGAGGGAATAGAGAAAGAAAAAAAAGGCAGCAGCTTAGGCTTCTTTATACATTGCGGCTAGCCCGAGACGGACAAGGCAGAGGAAGCACGCATGGTTGGGGTAACGCCGATGATGACGGCAGAGAAGGTCCACTGGACAAGCCACGCCAAGAGCCAGATAAGACTGGAGAAGAGGGAAAAAAAGAAATCAAGGCAGGGCTGCGAGAGAATTGGGCGTTTGTAAGAGGCTAAGCTGGCGTTGGAGAGGGCCGAATTCAGTGGCGGGGGCATCTGCGTCGGGCTTAGCGTGGCTTGGGTGTGTGTGTGTTGGGCGGGGGAGGCTTTGTCAGTGAAGAAATAGTGGTGGATGTATTGGCAGTAACTGTGATGGCATGAAGATGTTAAAAATCATGAAGATAGATGTGATGTATAAGATACTATAAATAATTTCAAAAGAGTTTTGTATATTTATCTACGTCCTTCAAAATTCACAGAATGATAGACTACTCCTCTTGGTACTGGCTGCCCAGGTTTTAGCTGCAAGGACGCCCTGTGGGACCCCCGCCTGTAGCGGGGAAGGCGACCCGCTGAACAAGCACGCCAACTCCACTAAAGTAACTACAAGGCCCGAAAAGAGGAGGGGTTACCAAGGAAAAAAGAGAAGAGAGAGTACAAACATGGTCTGGGCAATGGAAAAAGAGGATTCATACGAGGCTTTATACCTAAAAAGAAGAATCAAACTGAACACTATGCATCATTCAAAATGGGCAATTCTACTTGTACTTGTACTCATGCATGTCTTTGCTGGCAAACTCATGTAAGCACCAAAACAAGACAATGACAAACAAGTAAAAAGCACCAGACAGATATGTATCTACCTGCAAGCCACACTTGTCGTCGGCCGTCCACATCAGCCACTACAGTAGCAGCCTACACGGAAAACAAAAAAACTCGTTACGCTACTGCAGCCGGTACGCACAGCAGTACAATGGGCGCCTGATGTCAGTGGCTGGGGCTGCCTGTGGCCTGCAAATAACGGCGGGTGGAACGCTTCCAGAACGCCAAACTAGCTTTTCGGTAGTGCGCGGCAACCTGCACTGCACCGGGGCAACTCTGTCAAGTCCCGCCAAGTGGCCGAAGACACGCCGGCAAAGGACTCCCCAACAAAAAAAACGCATGTATTTTTTTATTCAGCTTCTCTTTTTGCTACATTTATCGTACGGTTCAATATAATCGGTGATTGTGGAAAAGGGCCGTCTTTGCAGCCGCTGCTGTTCCAGACTCGGTATGCATTGCGGATGTGGACTGATAACATCCCAGACTGTCAGTAGCACGAAGATGTCAAATCTAGACGATAGATCTAGACAGTAAATCTAGAGTAGTATATGAATCTATATAGACACCATGCAAAAAGCAAATCAGATTGAATATATAAGAAAAGAAAAAACGGACACATTATATGATCACGCTTTGATTACATGTATGGCTAGCCCTGCCTATGCATCTACTTCTTAAGCACCGCATCAAACACCTTTTCCAACTTGTGCAGCACAGCTTCCCCATTCGCAGTAACCTGATAATGCGTAATAATTCGTCCACCGCTCGCCGCAATACCCTGCTCCTCACACAGCGCAATAAACTTGTCCGACTCAACACCAGCCGCCTCAATGTCAAGCCAGGCCATGTTGGTATGCACCGGATGCACCATCGTGCCGCCCCTCGCAACCCACAGCGCCTCCACCTTCTTCGCCATGGCATGCGTCCCAGGCAACAGACCAGACTGCCCATCCTCCGTCAGCCCAAACGTCTCGTCGACAGCAACGCGCGCAGCGGCCGTCAACGCACCAGGCTGCCGAGTGCCGCCGCCCATCATCTTGCGAATGTGGCGGCAGTGCTCGATCCTCGCCTTGCTGCTGACAATGATGCTGCCGATAGGCGCGCCAAGGCCCTTGGAGAAGCACAGACTGACCGTGTCAAACTCGGCGCACAGCTCCGACAGAGTGCCGGCCTTGGCGGCCACGGCTTCCCACATGCGCGCGCCGTCGCAGTGCAGTAGGATATTGTGCTCGCGGGCGTACGCGGCGATGCGGCGGACCTCGTCCTGCGGCATGACCATGCCGTTGAGTGTGTTTTCCAAGCTGATGACGCGCGTGGGGCAGTAGTGCACGTCGTTGCTCAGCTCGACGTTCTTTTGGATGTCTTCGAGGGTCAAGTGCGTGCCGTTGGCGGGGACGAGGGCGACGACGGTGGCTCCGGTGTGCGCGGAGACGCTTCAAGTCCGTTAGTAGAGAGTCTAATTGACATGTATAGCTTGAAATGTATGTGTGAATGTACTTACCCGCCGGCCTCGTACTTGACAATGTGCGAGCGGTAGTCGGCTATCACGCTGTGCGGAGCTTGCGTGAGCAGGGTCCGGAGCGAAACTTGGTTGCCCATGGTTCCGGAGAGCACGAAGAGCGCGGCCTCTTTGCCAGAGAGCTTGGCAATGTGCTCCTCGAGGTCCATTGTCGTTCGGTCCTCACGGAAGACGTCGTCGCGCAGCGTGCATGTCGTTATGGCGTTGAGCATGGACTGCGTGGGGGTGGTCATGGTGTCGCCTGTCGCGGCGGGTTAGCAGGAGAAACTGAGATGAAGAGAAAAGAACGTACTGCGGACATCGAAGCCGCCGGCGCCGGCAGAGCCAACCCAGGTATTGGTCGTGGTGGCCATTGTGTCTGGTGGTGATGTTTCTTGTCAAGTTTTGGAGAATGCGGGGGCGGGGCAACAGCAGTAATTTTGGAAACGAGGTTGGATGGATAAAGCGACCGGGTACTGAGCAGAGGCAAGATGCGCGCCAACGGGATATGTCTACCACTTTTCAATGATATTTAATATTTTCGGATGAATCTCGATGCGCAGTCTGTTGGCAAGCTGGTCGTTCAAGACATGTAACTTGAAGGGCGCACACCGGATATCTACGGCTGCTCGTGCCGTGGGCTTGCGCTGTCGGCCAAGCCCCACGTCGAGGCAAAGCAAACCCACATGATTTCCCCAGACGTGAACAAAAGAACGTTGATTTTATCCGACGCGCGGTGATTGTTTCGGTTTCGGTTTACTCGGGGCTTGCAAGGCGGGGTGTAAGTTGAGTCTTTGACGTTGGTGAGATCCAAGGCTGGCACATCGTGAATCTGGTTCTTGGCCTCCGAAGCCGGCTTTGAGATAACTGCTCACCAACGGCGCACTTGAATCTAGCCAAAGAAATTGTTCAAGTTTTTTCTTATTTTCTTAAAAGCATTATCAGAGTTTTTATCAATTTCTAGGAAGTAATGTAAAGAGAAGAGTTTCTATCTCTATTAATATCTAGTTTATATGTGAACGCTTCACGCACCTGTACTATATCAACATGCACAAAAAATTACTACAAAAACAATTAAACGATAAATAATGACATTAACAAATCAATAATCTATCAAACTATCAATCTTTATGCTTCTTTACATCATAAACTCGTTATATATGGTACAAATTTATTTTCACGCAGTGTTCACTTCAGGTGACGCGTGCTTCTTTACAGGCACAGCTGAGACCTCCTCCGACATCAATCACATTACTTAGCAGCAACTACACCATTATTTTATCAGAATAACGCTACTCAATAACTATTATATAGCATATGCTATCATTACACCAACGATACACTAAATAATAGCAACACTACATTCATTATATTAGAGATGACGCTGAGCGATACGCAGCCGAAAGTGATACAAGAGTATCCGCTTCGTGATGCGCTGGCAGCAGAAGCAGCGAAGTTGGGGAATTCAACCACGACAGATGAAAGCTGGAGAGAGAGCATTATCAATGTTTTAGCTATATTAACAGCCTCGCTAGCCGCTCTAAACCTTCGTGTTGTAGATGATGGCGACTATGTGGTTGTTAGGCTGTTCCCAATACGACGAAGTTTGTATGAAGGCTCGTTTGAATTATCTCAACTTCAACGGCTAGCTGACGCCGTTGCTGCCAACTCTACTGATATTCAAACGTGGACTGCTGCAATCGATTTAATTGAGAGTATCAACCCGCCAATACCTCCCTAAACCTAGAGCCTTACTGCAACTAGGTACGGAACGCTAGTCAAGTCGAGCTCTAGTCAGATAGATAGCGGCAATCGCGACATTACTGATCCAAAACTCTTTGATGAGATTTCAGACTGCACACATAGGAACATACATGGTTGGGGGATATGGTCATGATTGGGGCGCCACCAGGGGACCCGCCGCTCCTATATGATGATATTCTTGCGGCTTATGCTGAGGAAAGAGAGGTTCTGTAATAAAGAGGGGCATGAGCTGTGTTGTCATGGATTTAAACTGCGCTTCTAGGGGCATTTTCATCGGAAGTGGAGCAGGAATGCGTATCGGGGGTCGGAATAGATGCCGGCATGCATTTCGGAATATCAAGCCATTACCCCGGAACGGAAGCAAGCTATGGGCTAGGTGCTATTTGTATCATTTTACTAATTTTGTAGATACGCATAGGTAGAACCAATATTATGAGTTTATACCGAAAAGTAGTTAAGCTCTACATGTGTTATATGGTATCGATGATTCCGACTTCCACAACACTACCGTCGGTATCGGAAATCCACCATCGGAATAGGTGTAAGCCATCGCACAAAATCTGTAAAAACGTACTTAATCCAAGGGCTAGCTGCACAATCTTGATCATCCAATGCATATTCAAATTCTCAATACCGATATTCTCTACCCCTTTTCCATTCACTGCATTCGCTACGCTTCCATCGTCGTTGGAAGGAGGTGGGCAGGTCCCGACGCTCCGGGAGCAGTGGAGATCGTCACCCGTGGCGCGTGCCGATGCCCAATTCCGGGGTAGCGTACTGCGGGGGATACCACACTAACAGGAAGCCCCAAAACAAGGCAGAGAACACGGGCAGCTTATGTCGGCTACATGGCCATGTTGCTCCTGTCAAGCTGTCATCGGAATACAAGGCAGGCCCAGTATTAAGGTCTGATCGTGTGGTTCTTGTACGATCCACTTGGAAAATCTGGGGTAAATAATATGTAGCGAGCCGGTGTATTCTTCGCCGTAGATTCCGATGAGTTTTGCTCCCTTGTTGGAGCAGATACAGAGCTGCTTCTCACACCACATTTTCACATCGGAACCGTCTTTCCTTACCGCATACCGGGAGATAACACCATCTCCCTGACACCCGTGTGGCAGGTTGCCGATCTGAATTGCCGAATGTGGTTGGCCTGCGTCCCAATGGCTGGCTAGCGGTTGGCGCGAACTGTAAAGCCACTAGTTCCGCTGCGACGGTACGCGATGTCTTATACGGCGATGGTGCTGGGCGATTGTTCGTTCTGGGCCTAGTATCCCGGCTATACAGCATGCCGTCGTCATGATCTGTTCGATAGCTCCAAACGGGAAATGTAGCTGCCGACAGCTTAAAAAGTAGTCATGCCCCTCTTGTGCGCGTATCTAAAGGGTTGGTGTCTCTTAATCTGTGCTAGAATCAATTCGAGGTTGCATTCTCTGCTTCTGTAACAAGCAATTTGCCTTGGTACGGCTTCTCATCTTCCCAGCTTGCACGCACACACACACCACAGCCATGAGCAACCATGATCTAGAGTCTGGCCAATATGCCAATGGCCTGCACAAGGTCGACAGTGAGGCCAGAAACAACTCGCTCACACAGACTGTAACATTGTCGCCGGAGCAGTTTGAGCGCATCTATCTCGGCCCGAAAGGCGAGACGGCTGGCGACTTGCGCAAGCGTTTCGCTAACCCGACGCCAATTGCCATCTGTGGCTTTGCTGTTGGCCTGCTTCCATTATCTGTTGAGTTCAGTACGTTTTCTTGAGACAGTGGTAACGAATTGTTTGATTAACTAGGCTTGTAGTGGGCTGGAGAGCCTCAGGTGGCACATTTGGCACCGCGACGACAACCTGCAGTATCTGGTTTGGCGGGCTTCTTCTCATTATCGGCGGCATTGGCGAATTCCTCTTGGGCAACTCGTTCCCGTGTCTCGTCTTCTTTGGCTACGCTGCCCACTTTCTGACCTTTGCTACGACCTTTATGCCGTTTTACGGCGCTGTTGCGTGGAACGCAGTGGAACCTGGCAATGCGTTTGAGCCTGGTCCCAAGTTCAGTGCTGGATTCGGTAAGAATATAGCTGTTCAACAAGACTTGGATTTATATGCTGACCGTGTTTGTAGGCTTCTATCCATTGGCACTCGGAATGCTGTCGCTCGTCTTCCTGCTCGGTTCGCTACGCACCAACCTTGTCTTTGTCATGATCTTTGTCTGCGCCATCCTTGGCTTCTCTTTTGCTAGTGCTGGTCTCTTCTATGGTGCGGCAGGAAACATGGCGTCGAGCGAGATGTTTGTCAAGGCGACCGGTGGTGCCTTTTTTGCAGCCGACATGCTGGGCTGGTACTTGCTCTTCGCCATTGTGTAAGTCTCGTTTCCTTTTTCTTTGCATAATCGATATAAATATCAGTAATAACATTTGTTTGTCACAGCATCGCCATCATGGAGCTGCCTGTTCCCGACCTCCCCGTGTTCGACCTATCGAATGTGATCAAGGCCAGATCCCGAGCCAAGCAAGAGTAGGGCGGTCCGCGTGCATGTGTTTTGCGTTTCGATCGATACCAACTAGTATTCGTTTTTTATAATAGCCTGCTTAAGGGAGATTAATAGAGTCAAATTTATTAATACGAAGAAATCACTATTGGTTGGATAACATAACAAGGTTTTTCAAGTGGTAAGCTTTAGTGGTGCTGCCAACGTTATTAGCGACAGCCGCCAAATGGCAGCCACCTGGCACAGCTGTTCATTTGCAGAAACTTTAACCAAAATTTGAATAAAATAAAGGTTGGCCCCTTAATCTTGAATACTGAGCTTTTCCTTCATTCTTCAAGATTGCCACTTCGCAAACCATCGTTGTCGCAATGGCTTTGGACCACCTCCCAGCCGAGTTACTCATCATGATCGCCTTGCTTCTAACTCTAGACCAAAAAGACGTCGTAGCGTTTGCTCACACCTCCAGGGTCTTATATGCAGCGGGTAGCCATCTACTAGTACACAAAAAGCGATATTGGACCAGGGCATATCACTGGGCCGAAATAAACGAAGATGACGAAATGTTAAGGTATCTTCTGACGACCAAGACTTCATTTACAATGGCACGACTGTTTATGGCAATCAACCTGGGACATCTGGATGTCTTGGACGAAGTGCTTAACGAACCCAAAGTAATACAGGACCTGCTGAGTCTAAGGGCCTTCGACGAGCACCCGCTACACTCTGCTTGTAGCATTTCCTCCATTGATGTTATCAAACGGCTTCTACGAGTCTCCGCAGTCGGCCTGAATGCTTGGCCGGGCAGCCCCCAACGACACTGTCTCAACGATGCTGCAAGAAACCACGAACGACCCGAAGTCACATCGTTCCTACTGGAATCTGGTGCTAAGTGGACACCGCCAAATAGTGTGTACTGCAGGCCAGTTTTAACTGCAATCGAACATGGAAACCCAACGGCCGCAAGGATTCTCATCGACGCGGGCTTACCTTCAAACTTTGACGACATCTACTGGGACATAGCATTGAAGAATCTATGCAACCGTGTAAACCGCAGCTCGGTAGACATGTCTGTAATCGAAAACCTCGTCGATCTGATCCCGCTGGCACATCTGTTAGAGGCATCCGTTAAGACTGGGTGCATTGATATAGTCGAATACCTACTGAAAACACAGCGCGACAGAATTTCAGAAGTGATGTCTACAATCATGTCGTTTGTAGATTATGAATCTTCTCACTCTCCCGCACTCGATATCGTCAAGCTGCTAGCTGCCGCCGGCGCACCATTTTGCCTTCTATCCGATACGCGGCTATCAACGCCAGCGCACCGCGCCGCCGCTAGGGGTGACAAGGCCCTTTTGGAATACGTTTACGACAAGCCACTGAAAGGCATGACTCCATATAGGTATTATAATGATTTATTGGCTGTATCAGGGACCCCTGAGATTCTGCAGCATCTCCTCGACATAGGTTTCGACGTGTATACTCTAGACGAACGAGGCTATCCACCGTTGCTCCAGATGTTAGGGGACTGGAGCTGGGAGTTAAAAGACACCTCTACGTTTATCGGCTTACTTCGGATACTTCTAGACTGTGGCGCCGACCCCAGCTTTACTGCAATTGATTGCTCAACTGCTGTGACACGCTGCTTTTGGTTTGACCATTATGGAGAGTCCTACGCCAGACCATTGGAGATTTTTGAGCTTCTTTTTGAGCATGGTACGACTATTAAAGCGCCACAACCAGTATGGGAAAGAAATGCGTATCCAATGACGTATTGTGCGCATAATCGGTCTAGTGATAACATAGCACGGATGGACTTGATGTTGCAGAACGGCGCCATAGTTGATTTTAGGGACGAAAACGGCAGAACGCCACTCATGCACGCCATAATATATCAGAGCCACCAGCGCTACCCGAGCCACACGGTTATTCAATATCTTCTGGCGAACGGGGCTAGTCTTGCCGAGAGGGATAGCCAGCAAAATTCGATCTTATCAATGGCATGTGGAACCGACAGGCGATCTCCAGCGTTCATTACCACGGAGATCTTTGAAATGTTGCAAATGTTAAAAGCGGGAGGCTTAGATATTGGCTGCATTAAACACGAGGATTATGTCACTCTAAGAGTGACCAACGACATCAGGAATGCCACTAGGGATGAGATTTTCCTTGACGTAGTATCTACCGACGCGTCGGACGAGGAATAATGCAAACCCGAAGCGGTGGGATCTAGTCTTCCAAGCCGATAATATAACGCACGTCGTCTGCAATTTGGCAAACCTGGTGCTCCACTGATTCTCTTGTATCAACCGTGATCTTCATCTCCTCATGCAGTGTCCCCCAGCCACGAGGCCGTGTCTGCAAACCAGCCAATCCTGGAAATCGGCTCATGAGCTCTGGATTTAGTGGCTGAAGAATAGGCAATTCTTCATGTACAGATTCTTCTTCCTCATAAAGCTGGATGAAAATCACACCAATCCCATACTCCCCAACAGCGCCTTGAATGGCTGTCCTATGCCATGCCTCTAGGTCTGGCTGGGTCAGCACAAGAAGCACAGGGTTCTCCCTCCTGCGCCGTTCCTCTTCTGATATCGTGAAATGCGCATTTATTCCCCTATTCTCGTTCGTAGCTGTAGCGACTGCTGGCTCAAATATACGGCTAGCGACAGACTCTGGCCGCGATGACGCATTTGACGCAACAGAACTCACAGAACCCCGTCGACTAGTCGATGCCGAACCACCAAACCCAGCGAATTCCGCCGCTGCTGGTTTAGACTCGTCAGGGAACAAAAGCCCCGTTCTTGTCATCTTGGACAGCCACATTCGCTGGTACCGCTCCTTGTTTGGTTGAGCGCCCACAGAGGCAGCCTTGGCAGACGAACTGTGGATGCTGTCGCCGATGTACTCTGGGCATGCGAAGATTTTGGATAACTCATTGGCAATGGATAGCTTTCCGGGCGTGGATAGTGGTGCGGCGACAACGAGAATGTACCTGGCTGGCTTGGAGGTTTCTAGTGAGACGGGCCGTGACGGGAGGCGATGGACGAGGGCTTGAGGAGTTGGCGGGCGGATGAGATCTGACATTTTTGGTGCAATTATCTTTAGCAGATGAATGAACTTTTGGTACATATACAAAACGTTTTTATAAGAAGATGGCGAAGTGACTTGCGGGGTATACCGCCGGAGCCTTGTTGACTGTCAGTCCGCCACGCTTTGAACGTGGGCAGTGTTATAGACTAACAAGCCATTATATGGATAATAGCGTTCGTCGCTGGCGATCATGGCGATGCTTGAAAAACGGGCGCCATTGAGATGCGGCGACAACGGACCGACGAATACGGCAGCAAGCCCATCAGCACTAACCGCCTTGCTTTTGCCTCTGTTATTCTACTCCAGCTTCTTGGCGATCTTATAGCGCGGTTTTGTCCTCTCTTTTCCCTCAATATATAACTTACCGCTCTTCTTCATTACCATTCATCACTGCTAGAAACCACCCAAACTTCCATTCACCCTGAAACCTCCATGCACGCGTATATATAGACGGAGACAACCAATACAGTAGCCCATCGCCCACCAGGCCACATTACATGCACGCCTACCCGCATTGGGCATGAATACGCGATTCGCCCGCAGCTTGCCACGCAGGTCTCCGGCATGCGTATTACTTACTTTCCCACTGCCTGCTTTTGTCGCGGCTGCTGCGACTGGAATTAAAACCAGGCGATAACGTGGGGCATGCGCGTGTGCTGTTTGCTTATGTCGCGCCGGTAGTTGGCTCTCGCTTGGCCGATGCACAGATGAGCTGGCAAAAGCACGCAGATATGACGGTGCCCGGTGGTGCGTTGGCCATTATCCCGGTGTGGCTGATCCGGGGCCATGCTGGTACTGCTGTTGCTACCTTTCCTTTTCCCTTCCTATTTTTGTCTTCTTTTTCTTTTTCTTTTCCTCATTTCTTTATATACTCGCTACTTCTACTTGCTTCTACGTTTTTCACTCGGCACAGAAGCGAGAGGAATATTGTCATTCATTTCACTGCCTGCTCCTATGAAAACGCCCGTTGTCTCCCTGCAACAACAACACCAACACTCATCACCATGTACTTACTCAGCTGCAGCATTCTCTATATCGCTTCCCACAACCGAAAGAAAGCACGCAAGCACGCAGCAAACAAGAACACAACACAGTATCAAGGAAAGAAATCATTATTCATATCTCATCGCTTGCGGAATCCAAAAATATCGCTCCTCCACGTCCGGTTGAATTACCACCAATCCCCGGAATGCCAGTCTTTCCGTACCAACATGCGAATCAGATAAAATGCCGAGCAAAAGAGAAAGGTAAATACATGGCCAGCGCCAGTCAAAGACATCAAAAACAACATGCCGTCCATTTCCGAACTATGCTAGTCTGTTGGAGTAAACTAGCCTCGGTCTAGATGGTTTTCCTCCATGCAAAAACAAAAAAAAACAAAACATGCTAACAGGCGAGAAAGGAAATGCCAACATTTACGGCAACGAGGCTCTCCAGCAAGTCCAAAGCGACGCTGTGTCTCTCCCGTGAAGGAGATTGTCGGAGCGGTAAGTCTTATGCTTCCTCGTTGCTGTCTGGGGTCATAAATTCGTGAGAGGGGAAAATATATATCAAAGGAAAATGAATGGTCGGCCGCCCTATCGATAACCGACCTCGATCGATGGGATGGCGTCGATTGCTGTCGTGGTCATGCTACTGTCGGGAGCATATTCACTGGATCGTTCGCCATTTCATGAGAAAGTCGACAACTGCGCGAAGGTTTGTTTCCTCTTTGGCACTGATACCGTAGCAGGATACTTCTCTACCTTGGATACTCTTGAGGTCGAGTTCGTCAATCAGTTCGTCGACAGAGAGCTTCTCGTCTAGATCCGTCTTGTTGCCGAGGACTAAAAGAGGTATACCCATGAGCGATTCTCGGCTCATCAGAGCGTGCAGTTCGTCTTTTGCTTTTGGTATCAGGGGCAAATCGGCAATATCGACGATAAAGACAATCGAGTTGACACCGCGGCAGTATCTCTCCCACATGGTTCTAAACCGTGGCTGGCCGCCGAGATCCCAGCATTTTAATGTTACGTTGCCGCGGACTACCCGCTTCATATTTACGCCAACTGTCGGGATCGAGCTATATCATATCGTTAGCATCCGGTCTATCCTTGCGTATCGTCTCAAACACCATTCAGCCAGTGTCGACTCGAGGAAAGGAAGCAACATACTCGACCGTGAATTCTCCGCCCTGTTTCAAACAGCTGTTAAATATGGTTCCCGGGCAAAAGGTTTACGTTGGAGGAGGAAACGTTGCAAACTCACACTTAATACTCGCAGCAAAGATGTCTTGCCAGCATTCTGCAACCCGATCATGGTCACCTCCATCTCCTGGGCCCAAAAGGTCCGGATTAACCAGTCGTACACTTTCCGAAACAGGCCAGCCATCATTATTTCGCAAGCAGGTCACCTCGATATTTTAAATCTATCGTCAGGTTGAACGCATATATTCAGCGCCTGGTGCGTGAGCTGCTGCCCTGGTCGACCGGATGGTACGCGCGTTTGGAGGGGCTCGTTGGTCGGCGGCTACTGAGGATGTGCTTTCTTTTGGGCACCGCAGGCAAGATGCACGAAACTTCTTTGCACGCAAAGCTTTAAGAACCAGCCACTAATAGGAGCGCCGCAGCGCTTGGGAAGCCGAGATCGTAGAGTAGTCGGGTGTCTGGACGAAGCGGATGACGGGCCAACGTAATAGCTTGTGACAGCACAGGACCTTCTCTGCGAGAACGCCAGACAGAGGTAAGGAAAGGAACAGGCCACGTCAAAGCAGCAGAACCTCAAAATAAGTATACTGGAGTCACCGTGTCCGCGCAAGCAGGAGGTACCGTGTTGCAAGAAAGCTGTCGTTGGATGAAGAGAAAAGGCTCGTCAACAAGAAAGAGACGAAAAGAGACCCCACCTGGCGTGCGGGATGATGGCGGAGACGGGGCAGGCGCCAAACCAAAAAAAACAGTGCACGGGTTTCTGGCTTGTAGGCGGGGGAGGCAGCTTGCGGGTTGCCGCTGAAGAGGCCTTGGGCCACAGCGGCACCAGCCCCAAAAGAGTGACTTGATAGGCTGCTTGTACAGCTGCTGCGGTCGCTATAGACGAGCAAGCCGCCCGCTGCCTAACTTGCCAGGCAAGCCAGCTGCAACAACTGTGACAGCTGCCAGAGCTGCCTTTAACTCACACTGTATGTCCGGTTTACTTTTGTAGACCGAGCCAACCGGCCAAAATGGGCAAAGGAGGCGGAATATGGCAAATACAATACACTGCATGGCTGGCCACCGCGAGAAATGACTTTTCTTTTTTTGGTGGTTTGTACCAGTTGGGCAGCCGCCGGGCCGTGTGCAGCCAAGTAGCAGCCGCAGCAGATACCTAACCTGGTCCTCCAGGCTGCTCGCTGCTAATTACTCCTAGTACCACCGCTATTATTACAGGGAATCTGCTGCACTGTACTCTAAGTTACTGCACTGTACGTGCCTCCTCCAACACCAGTGGTTGGTGTGGTGCACGCTAGCGCCTCTACCAGGTGCATCATCAGCGGACGCTACTGTACAGTGCAGGCCCGCTAAGCCCTTTCCAAGCACCCGGCAGCCCTCCCCTGGGCGGCCTTCCTCTTTTGCATCCAGTCACCAGACCTCGGATTCTGTGCCTGTGTCTCTCCAAGCTTGCTTGTTGCCCATCTCCCGAAGCTTTTCATCTCCCGAAGCAAGCAGCACTTCACCAACTAGCCAGTCCCAGCGTTCAACCAACATGTGCCGCTCTCCCCCCGCCTCTGCCCAAGACAAAGACCCAAATGCAACGCAAGCGTGGTGGTGCAAGGCGTTGTGCGCAATTACATCATCCCGCTGAGCTCGACCAGTCATGGCTCAAGTTTACCGGTTTAGCGCCCGTCCGATACACTTCTGGGCACGGCTTCAACGGTGCGCCCAGAAGCAAATAGCATGCCTATGGTGCTGCCAGTCCCCTATGCTTGCGTTGTGGCTACGTGAGGCTGAACCCCAAAGACGGAAGCCTTTCCACCCTGTCGGCGCCAATTTACCCCTCCAGTAGCAGCGCTCATACTGGCAGCAGTAGCAGCTAGGTTGCATTACCCAGCCAAGCCGCCTTGTCTCTGATGAAGGCACTTTTCGGTCAAGGTCTGGGTCCGTACTGAAGCCGGCTCCGCCGCAGCTTGTCCCGTCGCCCGGTGTCGGCCCCGTTATGGCAGGGCAAACATCTGTGCTAAGACAGATATTCAAACCAACGGCAGTTGTACTGTGTCCAATACAACGGCCAAAAGAACTTTGTCTGTGTACAAAGAACCTACGCAGCTTCTAGGCGGCCGGTGCAGAAGCTGCACACACTCCTATGGCTGGCCGGTGTCAGCAGCACCTCGCCCCGGCTTATCTCCTCCGACAAATGCCCCTCTTGGATGCTAACACGCACCATCGCCAAAAAGAACACCTGCATGCTGCGAAGCTGCCTGCAGATATGGTGGTGGGATGCATTTTCAAGCTTCAGCCGCCGATCTGGCGTCGAAAGGCAACAAAATTCACGGACCTTGCGACGCACGCAGGTTGCAGACCAACGCCTGCCGCAGAAATGACCGTTGGGCTGCCTGCGCGCTGGACTGGTGAACCACCTGATTGATTGATGGACTAGGTTGGTTGTGTGTAGATGAGGCACCCCTGCTCGACAAATGTTCCAGACAGGCATCACTCTCTGCCTATATTCGGTACATAGACGCCACACACAGCAGGGTAGGCGAGGTCGACTACATATACCCGGCTGCTCATCTGCTGCACCGGTGCCATCGATATTCGTCATCAGGCGGCGATATGCATTATACATCACATTTTCCACGGCATCACGAGCGCGGCCCATGGCGGTGGCCGCCTTTCGATGCTGATGCAGCGTGCTTGTATGCAGGTAGGCGGGGTTGCCCGAAAGCCACTGACTCTGATTGTCCGTAAAAGGAGCACAAAATCGCAAGACATGCAGGTGCTTGCATAACGACGACAGATAAATTTGTGTCCATCATTTGGAGCGTTTATGAAGGTGTGTGCAGCTGATCCGATACTAACGCTTCGCCTGTCGAGAGACGGCGCTGGTCTGCACTATCCACATACGGGTCTTATAATTCATTGGTATTTAAGCAAATGTTTCTAGCTGCACAGAATCGTGGGCCATGATATGCTACCAAAGCAGTCACTTCAAAAAATGACATGCTAGGCTACTATTGGGAAGACAAGTAGTGGATACGTCATCACGACCATGCCAAGAGCCACATAAATACTAACCATGAAAGCTGCTGGCTTTCACAGTATGTTTGAGCAGAATACTCAGAGTATTGCTTACTCAGACGTAGGAAGGTTCATCTGTAATCACTTTTACTCAGGACATGCAGCTGCAAATGCGCTGGCCGTGTACTCGCAGGGCTTAAACTAAGCGACTCAAGGACAGCTTGTCGACGTATACCAAGGCTTGCTTAGATTCGTAAGAGAGGTGAATGTTACATCAATATTTTTGCAACATTCTTTTGCAATATCTTCGGCCATAAAGCGATACTTGAGTACGTCAGTGTCCATGAAGCTGCCCAGGCTCCGCACACAGAGACGGTAACTCCGTGATCTGCGCGTATAGAGAGCCTTAACCACATTTTTTTTTAAAACAGCTCCCGTATTCAAATCCACAGCGCTCTGTAGTCCATCATCCGATTCTCACTGGCTTAACCACAGATCTACTCGCTTGCCTTCCAATAGCTCTGTTTTCAGGGTTCACCTCGAAATTAACGCGGACAGGGTCCACGTGATTTACTGTTGTATAATGGGTTATTTTAAATAATTACAAGAGTTTTGATTTCCAGCGAAACAATACATAACCCCTTCACTCAACATAGCCCAATGTCCCGTTCTTGGTGATTGTTCTCCAGGTTGGGCTGTCTGTGTACCATGACACTAGAAATATGTAAAAGAAGATGGGGCGGTGCGATGATGCGCAAAATACGAGATTTTAGCTTAAACTGCTGTGTATATTTAGAATATCCACTAGACCCTGGCCGCGCTCGTATTATAGTATCATCGCAGCCTCGTCGGCTTTGCGATCAGGCTGCACCGCCATATCGCTACTACGTCATATGGGTATGTTACATCAAGAAGTTGTGAACTTGGAATAGTATAAAAATGCAGCTCTTTCTTCTCTTCATTCCAATCTACTACTCTCATCATCATCATCACATTCTCACTCATTCACCACTCTATCTCTTCTTTCTACTCTACACTCAGAATCAAAATGCACTCCCTCACCACCGTCGCTCTAGCTCTTGCAGCCTCTACCGCTACTGCGGAGCTCACCACCGGCCGTGCCTTTACCCTCCAAGCTCAGTTGGTGAGCTGGGGCTCCAGCAGCCCGAGCATTGACAAGTTTGGTCTCTCGGTCGACAGCCGCTCCGACGCTGCGCTCACTGTCGACAACCACGCTGTCTTTGCTTACAACGGCACTGCTGAGGATATTGAGAAGGGACTGTCTGGCATTGTCAACACCCAAACCCATAAGACCCTCGGCATTAACAACTACCCCATGTACACTCCTAAGGACATTGCAGAGGCCCAGCCTCTGCCCGATGGCACTTTCTACATCGACCCTCGCCACGGCACCACCTTTCAGCGTGTCTACCTCTCTGTACCCCAGGACCCTTACTCTTATCTGCTACCCAACCAGTTCCTTGTCAACAAGGACGGCAACACGAGATATATCCATAACGGCGACGCCATCTTCTACAATGTAAACCAGGACAACTCTACACTGGCTGAGGTCCGCCTCTATCCCGTCTGTGCTGAGCCGGCTGAGCATACGTTGGACGGGCTTACTACTATTCCTGTTCGCTGCTACCGCCCTGGTACTCAGCCCGGTCAACACTAAACCAGTTTTGACGAATTGTGGCTATATCAGCAACGAACATACCTGTGCATAATTGCAATGGGCCGGCTTTAATGAGAACGGTAGACATAGTATATAAACTTAATTTAGATTAGATCAGGAGAAACAAAATACAATAATCAACTTAATTATAAATACTCTCATAATTATCACATTTTCTTTTTACCTATTCTTTTGTAAAACGAAAAGCGGCAGCCACTACAGGTTAGCTACAGCGTTTGGGGTCCAAGCTTGATCAGGCTGAGGGTGGAGATGTCAACGGTGAGCCCAATGTAGTAGGTGGCTTGCCGCGTATAATTTTCACCATGACTATTTCTCTTTTCTTTTTCGTCAATTCTTCTCTCCGGTATACTCTTCATCAATCTCCAATTACATCCATGGTCGGAATTGTCGACCTTCCGCCCGAGCTGCTGGCGCACATCTGCTCGTTCCTCTGCAGTCACTGTGACAGCTCTGCGGATGGCGGGCCAGGACAGCCGGAGCATGGGCGCACTGGCTTGCAAAGCCTCCTTCTTTCTTTTCAAAGGCTTCGAGTAGCTGCACAGCCTTTCGCCCACCACAAAATAGACTGGTACCATCCTAGTCGGAATACCTTGCTAGTCCGCCGCCTGGCTAATCATCCTGATCTCGCTCGTCATGTACGCTGCGCCGAGTATGGATGGCCGTTTCGCGTCAACGACGACATGCGAGACGAAATAAGCGACGCAGAATATCTAACAGCAATAAAAGCTTGTGATTGGAAAACAGCAAGTACTCTTTTTCTGCCACTAATGACCAACTTGCAGTCCTTGTGATTTATAGGCGGAGAAGACAGTGCTTCAGTCGTCTCCAACACTACTAGAGTCTTCAAGTCGACACTCCATTTAGAGAAGTTACGGTAGGTTAGAGTTGAGTATGAACCAGACCGTGACGCGGAATCAGACAGTGGGAGGTTTGATCTTACAAGCTCCCCACTACATGAAATTCTAGCAGCAGCGCCTTACACAAAGGAACTGTGCCTCCGGCTGTTTACGATCCCGTTGAGCGTTTCTCATGTCAACCTCGACCATCTGAAACCGGCTCTGGGTAGCTTGCGCTCGTTGAACATTGACGACGATTGTCTTTATAGTGCCCTATTTGGTTACTTGAAAAGGTGGATAGGCATGTGCTCAAATCTTCAATCTTTCAAATGGTATGGAGACCGATTAGACCATGGCACGAGGCCAGCGAGCAGCATTATGGACGTTTTGAAACCGCTGGGTGGGACTCTGGTAGACCTGCATCTCGACTTTCTCACGTCAATACAGGGTCATATTGAGGCGGGCGATTTCTCTTCATTCAGATGCCTCGAGAAATTGACTCTCCCTACCACCATGCTTTGCAAATATCCGAAAGACCCTGCGTGGGAGATTGGTGTCGGATGTGCCAACAGCCTAGGCAAAATTCTACCGTGGACTGTAAAGCGGCTCACTCTTCTTACGTATAGCCATGACTGCCACGCCTGGGGGCATGCCATGGACCTCAGCTATTATTGCCACGATGGGGATTTGCAGCTCAAGCGCCTCCGAATGGATGTCGATGGGTGGGCGTGGAACGAGGACGAGGACGATAGTGGGTGTACTGGTTTTAGCTTAGACTACCATTGTGGCCCGACGGGATTGGTTTTACGCGATTGGTTTTTCGGAAGCAACGCCAAGGTACAAATTCGTTTGGAAAGCTACCGGTTCCGATTCACACGAACGACTTGGTCATGGTGCGGACCAAAGGCCTGGTCAGAGAGCGAGTCGGAGGCGGCTTCATTCACCAATTCGAACGTCGATGGGGCTTCGGAGAGCGATCCGGATAGTGATCCAGAAAGCGACGAGGAAATTGAGGAGATGCTGCATGCTTAATCCACCGAATAGTACATGATTTATAGACGATAATATATATAGACGATTTTTTTGGGGGCTGACTTTCCCGTTGTAAGATGTTGTAGATGGCAAGCTTTGGCAGCACCCGCCCCCAAAAATTGAGGCAGCTTCTTATCGATAGCCGTGTCGCTCATGTGACCCGCTCTTCCCAGCATATTTTTTTTCTACGATACCGATAACAATCTTTTTTTTTCCTTGCTGGAGACGTCTTCACCCAACCGTCGGATTTACAAGCAGACTTTTCTAGCTTTCGCCAATTTCTATCATTGAGGGTTGCGATCCCCTGGCGGAAATTATACCAGTTCTTCTTACAATTGAGAATATTAATTTTTCATTGCACTTTCCGACGCCTCCATTGGCTGCAACTAACCGTAACGCTGCCTAGCCTATGGTGCAGCTCTCTCCGACAACCTGAAAAACTCCTCCATCCTCCCGATATACATACTTCACATACAAAATGGCGCCCTCAGCAACAAATACTGAATGGGACCACCAGTTCAACACCTTGCGAAAGCATGATTTGTTCCAGAACCCCCCCAAAGATCACACAGCGTACCCTGCGCTTCAGTTAGCCGTCGACCCTCACATTGAGTCCTTCAATGCTCTGTTTGACGCCAATGGAAAGGACGGAATCATCTCACATGGCCTCAAGGATATCGGCGCCAAGGTGTTCTTCGATGGCAACGACCGCGACGGACCGGAGGGCAAGAACCGCATCGACATCCGGGTCAAGACGGTCAACCTGCAAAGACCACAGGTTCCTCCCTCCAACAAGCTTGCTCGCCACAGAGAAATCTACCCCGCCGAATGCCGTGAGCGACATGTATCTTACAGAGGCAGACTGTCTGCTACCTTTGAATACAGCATCAACGGCGGCGACCCGCACGAGTTTGTTCGCGAGCTTGGCCAGGTCCCCATCATGATCAAGTCAAGCAGATGCCATCTCGAGAACAACTCGCCTGCCCAGCTTGTTGACCGTAAAGAAGAATCCGAAGAGCTCGGTGGCTACTTTATTGTCAACGGTATTGAGAAAATCATCCGTCTTCTCCAGGTCAACAAGAGAAACTTCCCCATGGCCATCAACAGACCTAGCTTCCAGAACCGTGGCGTTGGCTATACATCTTACGGTATCATTGTCCGATCCGTCCGACCCGACGAGACGTCGCAGACCAACGTCCTCCACTACCTCAACGACGGTAATGTCACTTTCCGATTCTCGTGGCGCAAAAATGAATACTTGATCCCCGTCGTCATGATTCTCAAGGCTCTCGTCGAGACCAACGACAGAGAAATCTTCGAGGGTATCATCGGCCCCATGGGCTCCAAGGCTACCGAAAACACCTTCTTGACCGATCGAGTCGAGCTTCTGCTCCGCACATACAAATCTTTCAATCTCTACAGCAAGTCACAGACCCGCGCCTATCTCGGCCAAAAGTTCCGCGTCGTCTTGGGCGTTCCTGAGACCATGTCCGACTATGAAGTCGGTACCGAGTTCCTCCGCAAGATTGTCCTTGTCCACCTGGGCAACGTGGATGTTACTGAGAGTCAGGACGCTGACAAGTTCCGCATGGTGCTCTTCATGATCCGTAAACTGTACGCCCTGGCTGCTGGCGACTGTGCCGTCGACAACCCCGATGCTGTCCAAAACCAGGAAATTCTTCTCGGTGGCTTCCTCTACGGTCAGATCATCAAGGAGCGACTTGATGAGTTCCTTGGCGTCAGTGTTCGCCTGTCTATTCGAGAATTCTTGCGCCGCAACGCCGCCGTCACTTTCACATCTGAATCGTTCAAAAAGGAGTTCCCTGCCAATATCTTCCGTAAAGCCAACGAAAACGTGGGTAACGCGCTCGAATACTTCTTGTCCACGGGCAACCTCCAGAGTCCTTCCGGTCTGGATTTGCAGCAAACTGCTGGTTTTACTGTCGTGGCGGAAAAGCTCAACTTCCTGAGATTCATTGCTCATTTCCGTATGGTGCACAGAGGTGCTTTCTTTGCTCAATTGAAGACCACTACCGTCCGAAAGCTGCTCCCTGAATCTTGGGGTTTCATGTGCCCTGTCCACACTCCTGATGGTTCTCCTTGCGGTCTGCTAAACCATTTGGCACACAAGTGCAAGATTATGACGGAGCACATTGATGTGTCCAAGATCCCTGCGCTTGTCGCAGAGCTGGGAGCTGTTGAGACCTCAACTGCTACTACTGCAGAGAATGTAGTCGTCATGCTTGACGGCAAGATTCTCGGCTGGTGCACTCCTAAGGAGTCCCTTCGCATTGCTGATTGTCTTCGCTACTGGAAGGTTGAGGGAAGCCACGGCGTTCCCCTGCATCTTGAAATTGGTTACGTTCCCGCCTCTACTGGCGGTTCGTATCCTGGTATCTACATGTGCTCTACTCCTTCGCGCATGGTTCGCCCTGTCAAGTATCTGCCCCTCGCTAAGGAAGACAGCGTCGGCCCTTACGAACAGCCTTACATGTCCATTGCCTGTCTCCCTGAGGAGGTTGAATCCGGCATCTCCACCCACGTCGAGTTCTCTCCCACCAATATTCTTTCCATTCTCGCCAACATGACTCCCTTCTCCGACTTTAACCAATCCCCCAGAAACATGTACCAGTGTCAGATGGGTAAACAAACAATGGGTACTCCCGGTACCGCCATTCGATACCGTACCGACAACAAGTCTTACCGTATTCAAACCGGCCAGACACCGATTGTCCGCGCACCTTTGCACAACACCTATGGTTTTGACAACTTCCCTAACGGCATGAACGCCGTTGTTGCAGTCATTTCTTACACTGGTTACGACATGGATGACGCCATGATTATTAACAAATCTGCTCATGAGCGCGGCTTTGGCCACGGTACGATTTACAAGACCAAGAAGATTTCGCTTAAAGACGATTCGAGAACGAGAGCTACAAAGAGTGTCACCAAGGCCTTTGGCTTTGCTCCCCACGGCTTTATTAGCGACAAGCACCAGGGCATGCTAGACGAAGATGGTCTCCCTCACGTTGGACGAATGCTCCAGGAGGGTGATGTCATCTGCGCCTGGCACACCGTCACACAAGACTACAATGGCAACCTGGTGAACCTCGACGGCATTACGCACTTTGAAAAGTACAAGGATACCGAAACTGCCTTCATTGAGGAAGTCCGCCTCATTGGTGCCGAGACTGGCTCCGAACCTCTACAGACTGTGTCCATCAAGTTCCGCGTTCCTCGTTCGCCCGTTATTGGTGACAAGTTCTCATCCAGACACGGACAGAAGGGTGTTTGCTCGCAAAAGTGGCCTGTCGGCGATATGCCCTTTTCTGAGTCGGGCATGCAGCCCGATGTCATCATCAACCCTCACGCTTTCCCCTCGCGAATGACCATTGGCATGTTTGTCGAGTCTTTGGCCGGCAAGGCCGGTGCTCTTCACGGCTTGGCCCAGGACTCCACTCCCTTCAAGTTTGACGAGAACAACACGGCTGCCGACTACTTTGGCCACCAGCTGATGAAGGCCGGCTACAGCTACCACGGCAACGAGCCCATGTACTCGGGTATCACTGGCGAGGAGCTTGGCGCTGACATCTACGTCGGTGTCGTCTACTACCAAAGACTGAGACACATGGTTAACGACAAGTACCAGGTGCGAACAACGGGTCCTGTGGTGCCTACCACTGGCCAACCCATCAAGGGTAGAAAGCGTGGTGGTGGTATCCGTGTTGGTGAAATGGAGCGTGATGCTCTGTTGGCCCATGGCACGGCCTTCTTGCTGCAAGACCGTCTGCTCAACTGCTCGGATTACACCAAGTCCTGGCTATGCCGTCGCTGCGGATCCTTCCTGTCGGTACAGCCGACCGTTTCGCAGTTTGCGCCGTCCAAGAAGAGGGCCCCAAGCATCGTCCGATGCCGCAACTGCGCCACCAAGCTCGATGACACAGAGGGCTTGGATCTCACAGAGATTCAGGGTGAAATCTGGGAGGATGGCCTCGGCAACAGCTGGGTTGGCGGCGACCACACCACCCAGATTGTGGTGCCTGGTGCGCTCAAGTTCCTCGATGTGGAGTTGGCAGCCATGGGTATCAAGCTCAAGTACCGCATCAGCAGCGATGACGAGCCTAGGAAGGGCAAATTAAAGTCAATTGCCTGGCCCACTGCCAAGAAGGGCGAGTAAAAGTCAAGAAGAACAGAAAGACGTGTGATGATTACGATGGACGGGGAGATGGAGAGAAGGAGGTTTGGGTTATGAAAACGAGTCCTTGTATATATGGAAGCAAACATACCTTGTTAGACTATTAGCATTTTCAAAAGCAATACGCAATATTTTATTTTTACATAGCATTGTCTCTCGTATTATCTTGGTGAAGGTAGATGACTCTGTCCAATGATCGGATGAGGCGGCTTGGAGAAAATAGGATATGCCGCTATATCCGAAACAGATACCGCAAGACAGGCCAAGTGTAACCGACTAAATCGAATCCTCTGCAGGTTTGCGTTGCTCAGTGGCGCCAGCCTGCTTCGCCTGCCCTACGTCGGAGTTCGCGCGCTGGCCGAGAGACGCGGTGAGGCACACGTGAGGCCTGCCAGCTGCCAATATTTCGGCAGCAGTATTCTTGCCACCTGGTGTTGGCTGTCTTCTTCCTTCCTTATACAAATCAACGACGTGGAATTATCAATCCAGTGCTTGTTGCTCGGATCGTTCTATTATTATCTCTTTCATGACGTCCCTTTTGACGAATCATCTACATATACCTCCACTGTTGCAGTCTACTACGCTGCTTAACATTGACAACTCCTTTAATTCGACACAAACTCCTTTTTTCCTCACAAATTACATTCTTTTGTGGAATATAGTCGACCAAGTTATACTCGTCTAATTCTCATCTGAAAAAACACTCGGCACAATGAAATGGACCGTTCTCGTTACTATGGTGGCTTGTTTTGGTCACCACTCACTGGCGCAGACATATGACTACGGTATCGATACGAGTCACTTCGCTAAAAGACAAAACTCTGCTACTCGAATTGTAGTCGGCAAGCTTCCCTTAGCTGCTGATGGAAGTATTCCTGTTCGACCAGACATCCGAGACCTCCAGAAGAACAAGTACGCATGGGACCTGTACATTTTGTCTCTGAGCATGTTTCAGTATATTGGACAGGACAACCCACTATCATTCTACCAGATCGCTGGTATTCATGGCGTTCCGTTTAAGACGTGGAATGGAGTCGAGCCAGTTGAAGGGGCTAGCCAGTCTGGATACTGCACGCATAGCTCTGTGCTATTTCCCATGTGGCATCGGCCCTATCTTGCTCTCTACGAGGTATGTACATACAATCTTCTAGTAAGATGTATTAACTAACGGGAGCAGCAACAACTATATAAGCTGGCCAACGGGATTGCTGGTCTGTTTCCGGACCCAACCGAGCGGGCTCAGTACCAGCAAGCCGCAGCTACATTCCGAATACCGTATTGGGACTGGAGCATCATGGCCCCCCAAGGACAGACGCATCTCCCAGAAGCCCTCTGGAGCCCATTGATTTCTCAATACGGGCCAAATGGGGTACAAAATATTAGAAATCCGCTCTACTCTTACGTTTTTCATCCACTTGACGTCGCTGAGCTCATATGGGACCCAGTAAGTACTAATTCAAGGTCCGCACGACTATCTTACTAACTGTAAAGATTAACAAATGGAATGAAACAAAACGCTATCCAGACATGGGTTTTAGTAAAACGGCGCCTCCATCGAAAAACGAACAAGCTAGTTCAGCCCTCTTGGCTAAGCTCCCTGAACTCCAGCAGCGCCTCTTCACCCTCTTTTCAAATTACCACGATTACAACTCTTTCAGCAATAAAGCTTGGGCAGCATCTCAGAACCTGTCTACCATGGAATCTATTGAGAGCATTCATGATGTGATACATGTTGTCAGCGGCGGTAAGGGCCATATGACGTATGTCCCTCTCTCGTCATTTGATCCTCTCTTCTTTCTGCATCACGCCATGACGGATAGACTGATTTCCATGTGGCAAGTCTTAAACCCTACCGCGTGGGTAGCGCCCATGGCTGCAGGGGAAACTACGTATACCGTGTTGAAAGGTACTATCGAAACCTCGACTACACCATTGACCCCATTCTTCGCATCAGTTGACGGTACCTTTTGGACGTCCGATACATCTCGTACCACAGAGACATTTGGCTATGTATACCAAGACGTCGGAGCGCATGCCAAGTTTAATGAAGAGTCACGCCAAGCATTAGTCAAAAAGATTAATGCGTGGTATGGTGGCTCGAGCCCAATGGGCCTCCGAGCAAAGGCACGACAGTCATTGACAAGCAGGTCCCTTTCTCGAACACGAAGCCGGAAGGCTTTGACATCGAGGTATCGTCCAGACATCAAACTGAATGCAGAATCCCCAGCAGTTGATGCTGCTCTCACCGACGGGGAATACTTCGAGTGGATTGCCAATGTGCAGGTCAATGTAGAGGCTCTCGACGGATCTTTCACGGTACATTTTTTCCTCGACGAAGCATCAGGTGACGGCCGCAGTTGGTTTACCGATCCTAATCACATAGGCTCTGTGCCAATATTCATCATGAATCGCAACACCGGATCCCTGGCCAAAGTATCTGGGACTCTGCCGTTAACGACAACACTGATGAAGTTGGTATCTGTGGGGCAAATTTCCAGTCTATCAAGTTTAGAGGTCGTCCCATTTCTACGCGAGCGTCTGCGGCCTGTTGTTTTAAACAGGCAAGAACGGCAAATCCCGCTCGAACAAGTTGAGGGCCTGCAGATCGACATCAGCAGCTCAAGAGTAACAATACCGATAAACGACACAGAATTCCCCGCCTGGGGAAGAAGCACACACCAGTTGCATCTTTGGAGGTGATGCATTAATATCAGTTTCTCTTCTTTTGGAGGATGGTGAGTCTCACATTTTTTTTAGCTTCCAGAGGAGGAATATTTTACCACATTGCCGCTTATGCCATAATGTACTTAGCATAGCTCCATTCGTATCTAGAGTTTGGATAGTCGACTAATATGAACTAACTCTACTCTATCAGAATTTTTCGAACCCCAGTGACGAATGAATTGTTGATAATCAGGGCAGAAGGGTGACGAGATTCTGCTTGGAGCACCTTTGGAGAGGGAATTCAAGCTTGCCCTCAGTACCTTGCCTCCAAGCCGAGGTAATTTTCATTACTGTGTATTGTTTTAGCCCTGGTTCATTCACTTGGTTTAGTCCAAAGACCAGTTTGTATTAGTAGTAAGTATAAATTCAGGCTAGTTATTGTTTTTCGTTAACCATTCCTTCTTCAACCCATATGCTCTCCTTGCAACCAAAATAAATGCCGCTACAGTCCACATGCCCTGACAATGGTGTCTAGGCTATGTTGCGTTTTGATGATGGCGCTCAAATGCCCAGCAGCTTTCCCTGCGCCATTGAATTTTGTAAAGAAACCCTTGACTTCTTCTGTGAACTTCCGCACGTCGACCTTGCCCTTTCGCAGCATACCTTCTGTATCGATGGTCTTGAACTTGAATCCGTTGCGCGCCTCCTCGGCCGTGATGACCTCGAATCCCTTTGGCTTCATATGCGACTCAAACGCCTCATTGACACCGTTAGCACCAGCAGCCCGTCTAGCATCAGCCTGTGCGCCCATGGCGTCCTGGACTCTCGTCAGGCGATCTCCGGCAATCTCCTTGCCCATTGCCTTGAGCTTCTCGCGGGCCTTGTGCAGCTGATCATCAGCTATGTCTTGCAGAGTATCCATAGCGCGGTCCCGGATCTCCTCAAGGATTTCTGTTACGTTGCCGTTCTGGAAGAGCTTGAAGAAATCGACAACGCCGCTGAAACCAGACAGGTCGATTTGGCGTGCATACTCGGCGAGGTCGGTGGGATTGTCGCCGATTTTGGACCATTCTGTCTTGGACCAGTCGGGTTTAGTGTCAAATTCCTTGGGCTTGCCTTTGGGGACCTTGCCGTCAGGCCCTTTGCGAGGTATCTTTTTCACCCTGACGACGTGCTTGATAAAGCTTTCAACGTCACACGCGGTGGCGTTGGATGTGTGGCAACCGCGAGCGAGTGTGGTTTGGCCGAGGCCATAAGCTTGGACCTGGATACGGTAGATTTGGTACAGGGAGAGTGCTTGGAATTTGCCAGATGCGAGGGTGCTGCAGAGTGCAGAGGGGGCGAGGGTGAGGGCGGCGAAGAGGATGCTTGGAAGCTTCATCGTGATAAACCCACCGCAACGCTATATGGAGAGTTTTAAGGTGCTTTCTAAGAAATCAACGAAGTAAATTGATTGTATGAATGAGGTACAAATGGTGTGGACTGGTGAGCGTTAGATATGGCGTTTTCTGTTCGATGTGGCGGTCCAAGGTGCTTTTGTTCCAAGCCCGCAAGTGGTAAGCTAATACCAAATGAATGGACTAATACGGACCGTCGGCTTACTTAAAATGACTAGGTAACTAACATAATGACTTCCATGGTTCAGGGAGGCACTATTCCCGAGCCAGGGTTGTTTGAGGCAGCATGTGTTTCACTCGGAGGACCCGTCCGCACGCAGCATCAAAGATACTGGTCATGATGTCCTACGCACGACTCGCTTTTACAGAAGATGATTCGTAACTGGTCCATTCTCAACAGCTTTTTTATTCTATTCTATTTTAACTAACTACCATCAGAAGTCCACGGTTTGGCATTTGCGCTGGTGCGGCACGGCTGAGACAGCACTGAGACGATATGGCGACGGCGGGTCTGCTCTTAGCGCGCCTGGCCCACTAGCCGTGGAGGTTACCTTATCGGGCAATTGGTTGATTCCCCCGGTCAGAGGCCGGGTTTTGCAACAGAAGGAAAAGCACGGGCGAGAAAACTCGAGAGAAAAGCTAGTGTGGTTTGATGGAAGCCTCTTGGTGCGGCGTCTCATGTTATCAGGCCGGTCACGCCAGTGCCGCAGCTTTGACTATGCAAGTGATCGATCTGAATAACCTTGCAGGGCTTCGGATGGCTTTCCGAATCCACAGCTGGAATCAGTCGTTGGTTATATATCCCCCAGACTTCTGTGCTCTATACAGTACTCTGTGCAAGTCAATTTTGACGCTGGTCGTCAGTCTTTCATTCTCACCTTAGTCACTCGTTTTCTTTACTCACTTCTTCACCATGAAAGTGTCAGCCCTTTTCATGGCCGCAGCGGCTGGCCCGCTGCTGGTTCTGGCTCACTTCACAATGCCCAAGGGACCCGTGGGCACTGCTGTTCCATTGCCGCCAGGCAAACCACAGGTATGTATACCGCCAAAACCTATTTATTCGAAACCTGCTGACTATTTCTTCATCTAGCCTGCGCCGCCTTATGCCATGGGCAAATTCAAGGCAGCCAATGGTGGTGTCCCGGATCAGGGGATTCTCAATGGACCAGTTTTGCAGCCACTCAACTCTACAATGCTTGCTGCTCTTCACAATGGTCAAGATCCTTCCAACGAACAACATGCCCCATCTCCTGTCCCCAAGCCTATCAATCATGCCGTTGTGCATCATCCTGCTCTCAATCAGTCTGTCCTCAATCATACCGCCGTTGGGAACAGCACACTTGCGCCCCGTCGACCAGACTATAAGCCCTGGTGGGTGGTGATTGCGGAACACTCTAAGATGCCCCTAGCTCCCGAAGGATACCAGTACTACCGCAACATCAAGGACTTTGGTGCCAAGGGCGATGGTGTCACAGATGACACAGCTGCCATTAACCGTGCTGCTGCTACCATGAGCAGCGCCAACCTCGACCACACTCGATGTGGTGAGGATTGTGGTTCTACCTCAGTCTTACAGGCACTTGTATATTTCCCGGAGGGCACGTACCTGGTATCCAGTCCCATTGTACAATACTATCATACTGTCTTCATGGGCGATTTCAACAACAAGCCCGTCATCAAGGGCTCTGCCAACTTTACCGGCATCGCCTTGATAGACAGCAATGTCTATGTTCCCAAGGGCGGTGGTAGACAGTGGTACTACAACCAAAGCAACTTCCTACGCCAAATCAGAAACATGGTCTTTGACATGACGGGCATGAGCAGGACCAATAAACAGGGTGACCAGGAGTATGTTCCGACGGGAATTCATTGGCAGGCTGGTCAGGCGACAAGCATTTCCAACTGCGACTTCAACATGCCCCTATCCAGCCCCAATGGCACTGCTACGGCGGTCGGTATTCTCATGGAAAACGGCAGTGGTGGCTCTATTAGCGATTCGACCTTTAAGGGTGGAAATATTGGCTTGATTGCTGGGTCTCAGCAGTTTACTGCCATCAACCTGCAATTCAAATCGTGCCTGACGGCTGTCAAGCAGGCATGGAACTGGGGCTTCACATACAAGAACATTTACATTGAATCCTGTGCTATTGGATTTGACTGTATTGGAGCCGATACCTTGCAAAATGGCGTTGGATCCATCTCACTGCTAGATTCACACTTTAACTCGGTCCCCAACGCCATTACCATTAGCGAAAACGTCACGCAGCAGCCGAATCTTGTTCTCGACAACATTCTCATCGAGAAGGTCGGCGCGGTCGTTGCTGTTCCAGGCAAGGAAACTCTTCTCAAAGCCACAACGCAAAACACAAAACTCAAGCAGTGGGTATCCGGATACCAGTATCTTGTTGGTGACGCTGATGGTGATGGCGGCAAGCGCCGTTCTGGATTCATCGATCCGCCCATCAAAAAGCCTGCTGGACTCCTGGACAAAGATGGCAATTACTTTTGGCAGCCCAAGCCTACATACCAGCAAACCCCAGAGAGGCTCATGAAAATGCTTACCGATGATCCTGAAATCAAGCTCGATGGTACGGGAGATCAGACGGAAAGAATCAATGCGTTCCTCAAACAACATGTGGGCAAGCCTATCTTGTTCCCTGCTGGCATCTACCAGGTCAAGGGCACCGTCTTCATTCCACCCAATTCGGTCATTATCGGCACCAGTTGGAGCCAAATCAGAGGCACTGGTGACTACTTTGCTGACGAGAATAACCCCAAGGTCATGGTAAAGGTTGGAAGCCGCGGCGATCAGGGCAAGATTGAGATCTCGGACATGCTCTTCACCGTCAAAGGCAACACAGCCGGAGCGATCCTCATGGAATGGAACATCCGCGACGGCGGCCAAGGTGCCGCCGGTATGTGGGATAGCCATTTCCGTGTCGGCGGTGCTGCTGATAGCGATCTTCAACTTGCCAATTGCCCCGTTGGCAAGATGAATAAGAAGTGCCAGGCAGCCTCCATGATTATGCATCTTACCCCCGGATCCTCTGGTTACTTTGACAACATGTGGCTCTGGGTGGCCGACCACGATCTCGACAACAAGGCCAATGCTGACACAACACAACAAGTCGACGGTATTCCGCGGAACCAAAAGTCACAGATTTCTGTCTATTCCGGACGAGGCATGCTGATTGAGTCTACCGGGCCAACTTGGTTCTACGGCACAGCTAGTGAGCACAACCAGTTGTACCAATATCAGCTTCACAAGACATCCAATGTCTTTTTTGGCCACATGCAGACTGAAACACCATACTATCAGCCGAATCCTACTGCCCTGGAGCCCTACAAGCCTGGAAAGTTCCCTGCCGATCCCAACTTTTCGCGCTGTGACAAGGACGACAAGAGCTGCAACACCGCATGGGCGCTGCGCGTTATCGAGTCTACAGATATCGTCATTTACGGCGCTGGATTGTACTCTTTCTTTCAGGATAACAAGTTGGGGTGCACAAAGGACGAAAGCTGCCAACAGAGTATGGTGGAGACAAGCTTTAGCGAGCGACTGTGGATGTACAACATCTTTACAAAGGGCAACAAAGAGATTGTCAGTCCACGAGGCATTCTGCCGAACCTCAACTTTGACAATTCCACTCGCAATGGGTTTACTAGTGAAGTTGCGGCGTGGTTGCCGCTTGCTCTGGGTGGCGGAGACTATGGCGACGACTCCATCAATTCTGGTGATGACGATGACGGCGACGAGGACCAAATTGAGGATGCGAGTATGTCGGTGAAGTGCGATCTCGGTAGGGAATTTAACTCGCTGGAAGAGTTGGATGCTGCTGCGGATATACCGACGGACTGCAAAACCATCATGGCGGCGAAAACAATGGCGAATATCCTTGATCATGTGCTCGATGAATACAAAGAAGTCGACAAGGGCTATGACGATCACTTTGGATATTACGAGACCTATATGAATCATTTTGCTGAGGAGCAGATCCCAGTCGGTGCTACCAAGCACGCCCAATTCTTCGACTGCGTAGCGAAGGGCTACACGAGTGGTCCGTGTGATGCGATGTTGAAAGAGGTCAACAATGATTCATTCGATATGGCATGGACACTACGAGATAAGACTGGCTTCCTAGACGCCATGTCAAATGAATTCGGTATCCTCGAGAATTGGATCAAGTACGGAGTGGATGGGACACCATTGCACTGTTTCGGAAAAACGGGTTCGAGCCGCAAGGACCCAGGCAGTGACGAAGTAGACGGTTGCAAGAACTCCCAACGAGTTAAGCGCGGCTTCCCCCAGAAAGCTGACAATATCAAATTCCCCAATCCCAAAGAGGTAATCATGGGTGCGGGGAATAACCTCCAAACGCTACAAATCAAGATTGCAGCCACCTACGCCGACATGGTCCTGGGGCAGTGGAACGGATCTTACGCAGATGCCGTGGAGGTTCTGGCCATTCCTGTTGGTCTGATGCAGCAGGCAATTGAATCTATGAAGGACGTCAAGGCAAAAGCCAAGGCTGAAGAGGAGGAAGAAAAGAAAAAGTTGACCAATCTGATTCTGACGATCGTTTTTGCAGTCGTCCCTCTTGTAGGCGAGTTTAGTGCCACGGCCTTTGGATTTGTTGGAATAGCACGACTGATTGCTACTATTGGTCAGGTCGCAAATGCGGCCTTGATATCAAGAATATCGTGGACACTCCGGAAAGTGCGCCGTTCGTGTTGATAGGAGGCATCCTGGGCCTAGAAGGCTTAGCGAAACCACGCACCGCGGCCGGCCTGACGTCGTTGAAGAGTGCAGAGGGGGTGATGACAAAGGCGGGCAAACTGGGTGCTGTTGGGCGTTTTGTAGAGAAGAATAGTGGACTGTTGAAGAATATTGCAAAGGTATGCAAAAAGTAGGGACATTGGGCGGCGCGTCAAGGAGGGACTTGGCCATAGTCGTAGAGGGGCTTTACAAGACATGTAATATAGAGTGAGAGGATTGTACACATATAACGGGTTTTTACTATTTGGGCGTGTTTTTTTGGTAATACAAAATGATGTTATATCATTGTGTAATAATTTATTGTGTCTAGTGCTGTAGACATGATATCCCGTGTAAGTGAGAGATATTGTGAAGAATATCTGCCACGCAACGCAGACTCAGCATTTCCTTGGCAAACGATATTCATTTTAGGTAAATAAAGTCCAGTTTTCATCTTCAAACAATTTTTCATTCAAAATTCTGAATGTCTGCATTTTCATGCATTTTACTAACGCTTCACTGTAGGGCTACCGGTTATTACCATTTGCAGCGCTGTCATTGGCTGGCCCCACGACTACAGCCCGCAGATGGCACCTGGCACAACCTGGCGGGCAGCTGTCACAACCTCCGGCTTCGGTGGCAGCACGTGATTGCAACGGGAAAAGTTGACTACAATCGCCAATCTGCCGAACTGATTAGCACTCGCCATCACCAAAAGCGATATTTTTCAGGGCCTGCGTTTTCCAATTCTCACACAGCATGTCCTACAGAGCAGTAAGTGTCGTTTGCACCGCCCAATTTATACGCTACTCCTAACACCGCCGCAAAGGTTGCGGCCGCCGCCCCGTGGGCTCGCGCCGTCTGCAGAGCAAGCTGCTCTCGCATCTCGACAACACAGCGTCTGCTCGCCCATGGCCAGCGCGCCGTCCAGGCCTCGTCTGTCTATCGACCAGCCAGCTACCGATCCATTGCTTCGACATCCACAGCCCGCGCCGCCGTCGCCGATGACGCACCGCTGCCCTTTTCGTTTGTCGATATCCTCGCCGACTCCAAGACTACGCCCCAGACGCTCACGGAGAAGATTGTGCAGAACCACGCCGTCGGCCTGGCAGAGGGCAAGGTCGTGCGCAGCGGTGATTATGTCCAGATCAGACCGTACCGCTGCATGAGCCACGATAACACTTGGCCCATTGCTAAGAAGTTTATGTCGATTGGCGCCACGCAGGTCAACGACCCCAAGCAGATGGTGTTTGCAATTGACCACGATGTGCAGAACAAGACCGAGGCCAACTTGAAGAAGTATGAGCAGATTAAGAAGTTTGCTGAGACCCATGGAATTGTCTTTTACCCTCCTGGTCATGGTATTGGTCACCAGGTTATGGTGGAGGAGCTCTACGTGTGGCCTGGTAAGCTGTGTGTTGCGTCGGATAGCCATAGCAACATGTACGGCGGCATTAGCTCGCTGGGCACGGCGCTTGTTCGTACGGATGCTGCCTCTATCTGGGCGACTGGCAAGAGTTGGTTCCAGGTGCCTCCTGTGGCCAAGGTAACGCTGACTGGTGTGATGCCTGCCGGTGTCACTGGCAAGGACGTCATTGTCGCGCTGTGTGGCCTTTTCAACAGCGATGTGCTGAACCATGCTGTTGAGTTTGCTGGCTCGGCTGAGACCATGGCCAGCATCGACATTGACAACAGACTCGCCATCAGCAACATGTCCACTGAATGGGGCGCCCTCTCAGCCATGTTCCCTATTGATCAGACGCTTGAGCGCTGGATGCGCTACAAGGCCACTGAGGCGGCCATGATGCCGGAGCGCTCAACATCGGAGCGCATCACGCATGAGAAGGTCGACGAGCTCTTTGCTAACCCCATTGCTGCTGACGAAGGCGCCCAGTATGCCAAGCAGCTCTATCTCGACCTCTCCACCCTCTCGCCCTACGTCTCGGGCCCCAACTCGGTCAAGGTGTCCACGCCGCTCAACGACCTTGCCTCGCAGAACATCAAGGTCAACAAGGCCTACATTGTGTCCTGCACTAACAGCAGAGCGTCGGATCTTGCTGCTGCCGCCAAGGTCTTCCAGGACGCTGCTAAGGCTAACGACGGCCAGGTCCCCAAGGTTGCCGCTGGCGTCCAGATGTACATTGCTGCTGCGTCGGCGCGCGAGCAAGAGGCCGCCGAGGACGAAGGCAACTGGCAGACATTGCTCGATGCTGGTGCTATTCCCCTGCCAGCATCTTGCGGGCCTTGCATCGGCCTTGGCACCGGTCTTTTGGAGGAAGGCGAGGTTGGTATCTCCGCATCGAACCGTAACTTCAAGGGCCGCATGGGCTCGAGATTGGCCCAGGCCTACCTTGCCAGCCCCGAGGTTGTGGCCGCTAGTGCGCTCAACGGCACCATCTCTGGCCCCGGCACATACCAGGTCCCCGAGAACTACCAGGGTGTCGACTACGGCTACGGCACCGGCGCCGCTGCCACCCCTGCCAGCGAGCTGGGCAACGCTCTGGAGCAGCTCGAGTCGCTGATTGGCCGTCTTGAGGCTTCGGCCAGCGGCGAGGAGTCCGAGTCGTCAGAAACAGCAGCAGCAGCAGGCACCAAGATCCTGCCTGGCTTCCCTGAAAAGATTACGGGTGAGATTGTCTTCTGTGACGCTGACAACCTGGATACGGACAACATCTACCCCGGCAAGTACACGTACCAGGACGACATCACCAAGGAGGGCATGGCGGAGGTGTGCATGTCCAACTACGACCCCGAGTTCCGCACCATCACCAAACCCAGCGACATTCTAGTGTCGGGCTTCAACTTTGGCTGCGGCTCCTCGCGCGAGCAGGCCGCCACGGCCATTCTGGCTCGCTCCATCCCGCTTGTTGTGTCGGGCAGCTTTGGCAACATCTTCTCGCGCAACAGCATCAACAACGCCCTGCTGGGTCTCGAGGTGCCGCGCCTGGTAGAGCGTCTGCGTGCTACTTTTGGCGCTGACGGTGAAAAGGTGCTTACTCGCAGAACAGGCTGGACTTTGACGTGGGATGTGGCCCGCAGCACTGTCGAAGTCCAAGAGGGCGAAGGCGGCGATAAGTGGGAGGAGAAGGTTGGCGAGTTTGCAGAGAACTTGCAGGAGATTGTGGCCAAGGGCGGTCTGACGGACTGGATCAAGGCGGAGATTGCTAAGAAGGCGTAAAGAGGAGGAGTGGAAGATACCATTGTTGAAAAAGTTTAATGGGGTTTTTTGGTTGTATTATAGAAAGTAGTAAAGCAGATGCATTTTCGTCTCTTCGTCACCACTCTCACATGCTTCCCTCATGATGCGCATTGTAGGCTCACCACGGATAATTCAAAAATAAAATAGAAATTCTCATAAAAAGAATCAAATTTTATTCTTTTCCATCCCTTTTTTCTTGTTATCAACCCCGCAATGCCTTTCCCCCCGCCCACCTGTCAACCGTCAAAGACAGGTAACTGCCCACGTGCAGAATGTGGAGATGTCCCCGTCGGGCATCAATTCAAACCGCACTTTATCAAAACCACATCGCGCGATTTCCTCTTCCTGGCCACCAACACGCTCATTCTTTGTATCTACACCAATTTCTACTGGCTACCAAATGCGCCAATAACACACAACGCCGGGTTCTTCTCCTCCCTCCCCGCCAGCCATCATGGCTACCATCACAACTTCTTCTTCTTCTACTCGCCTCACATCTCTCCCACAAGAACTCATCCTCTGCATTGCCGCCTTCCTCGCCAACACAGACCTCAGCCGCTTCTCCCGCACATGCAGAGACTTCAACCGCTACCTCAGCCCCGTGCTCTACGCCCGCGACGCCAAGCTGCCCCTCAGCCAGGCGCTCCAGTGGGCATGCAAGAACAGCGAGCCCGGCACCGTCACCAAGGCCATCGCCGCCGGCGCCGACTTCAAAACCGCCGAGTTTGAAGGCTGGGTGCCCCTCCACCGCGCCTGCTACGAGGGCAAGATCCCCATTGTCTCGGTGCTGCTCGCGCACGGTGCAGACCCCAACCAGCCGGGGACATCCAAATGGGGGCCTCTCCACCACTCGGTGCTTTCGCACAACGCCGACGTCATGGCCCTCCTACTGAGTAACAGCGCAGACCCCAATGTCGCCACCGTCATAGGCGAGACAGCCCTCCATTTTGCCTGCGGCGAAGGCAGTCTCCCCATGTTCACCCTCCTCCTCAACCACGGCGCAGACCCGTGCGCGGCCACAAGCTACGGCACCACCCCGCTACACTCGGCCAACCAGTTCCGTGATGCCGGCCCAGCCGTCGTCAAGACGCTTCTAGAGCGCGGCGCCAACGTCGAGGCCCGTCTGGACAACGGCTTCACGCCTCTCCATGAAGCATGCCGCACCGGCTCGCCCAGCGTAACCGCCGCGCTGCTCGACCACGGCGCGGATATCGCATCGCGGGCGAATCTAGGCGAAACGCCACTCCACGGCGCATGTCGCGCGGGGTCTGTAGAGACGGCGAGGATCTTGCTGGACCGCGGCGCAGACATCAATGTGACGGATGCGAGCGGCGAGACACCGCTCAATCTGGCCGCGTTTTCGCAGCGGTTGGCTGTCGTGGACATGCTGCTGGCGCGCGGGGCCGACCCGAATATAGCGTCGGAGCGCGGCTCGACGCCGCTGCACGCAGCGTGCATGTATAGCGATGTGGCGATTATGAAGGCTCTGCTGGGCGCGGGGGCTGACCCGTCGGCAAGGACGACGCGCCAGGAGGCGCCGCTGGACTTGGTCTGCTGCGGGTTCAAGGATAGCGTGGATGCGGCGCGGACGCTGGTTGCGCATGGGGCGGATGCGAGAGCGCGGGGACGCCTGGGGATGACGCCGCTGCATAGTGCGGCGCGGACGGCGCATCGCATGTTGACGGAGTATCTGGTGGGCATGGAGGGCGTGGATATCAATGCGCGGGATGATGAGGGGGTTACGCCGCTGGGGGTTGCGCCGTTTGGGAAGCGGCATCAAGCTGTGAGGCAGGTCTTGGAGGAGCATGGTGCACAGTAGATGTGCGAGATGTGTGTCAAAGATGTAAAATGGATGGAACGATATAGATGGAGAGGGTACTGTATATAACAAAAGGCAGATACTGCGACTATGAACTGCTACAGAGGTGTCACGAGGCTACGAAACGAAACATAATGCGGTTTGACGGTTTAAGAAAAATAGATAATATTCATATGTCATCAGCTCTATCTGTGTGTTTGTGCGTGTGTGCGTGTGTGTGTGTACTAGGCACGGCGTGCCACGTTGCGTACGTGTATAAGCCAGCATCATCTGTCCAACCCGTGTCTACTACTACTACCAATGATTACGGGGAGGAAAGATATGTAAGAAAGAAAAAAGGAGGAGCAGCCGTAGCGATAGTAATGGAGAGGGCGGCAGCACATGTCCTGTCTGTGACAAAAGCCTTCAACGCCAAATGTAATGAGGAATTCCAAGTCCCAATAGCTGCTGCTGCTGTTGCTGCTGCTTCTGTTATCGTTGTTGTTGTATTCGGGAGAGAGGTGGGCGCGGTTGACGCAGGTATGTCTAAATGCAGTCGTAAGGGAAGCCTCTGGATGAACCCAAAAAAGGGTTCGTGGTGTATATCGTGCGTGGTGTGTGTATGCTACTGTTGTACTAGGGCATTCAAACAACAGTGTTCTTGGCAACAACCTCGCGGGCGTAAAATTCAACCAGCATGGTTCCGTACGCCTCAAGGTCCTCCACGGGAATGGCCAGGCGGAAGTCATTAAGAATCAAGAACTGGAGCTCGAGGTGGTTGAGTTCGGCAAGTGGCAAACCACCGACCTTGGCGTAGCGCGAGTTGGTATAAAAGACATCGGAGAAGAACTTGCTGGCGCACGTAACGCCGGCAATAATCAGACGATGGATGTTGAAGCTATCGACTACCAAAAACGTCGGCCCGTTGTGCGACGGGTGGCGCTCGCTGGCCATGGAAATACGCCGCGATTCGGGACGGCTGGGGCCCGAGGGTGTGTCTACCATGGACTCGTCGTCGTCGTCAGCAAGATCATCATCGTCCTCTACTACAACGTGTTCGTCTTCTGCTGGGGTCCCCGTGAAAGGCTGGCCATTGCTGGCGGGCGTCGGTCGTCTGTCGCTCTCCGTCTTGACTACCAGCTCGTTGACCCGCTCTGTCATGCGGTCAAAGTAGACCAGGAGACTCAGAAACACCTCATACGTCGTGGGACAGTACTTGTGTATGCGGGCCAGGTAGCTAAGTATCGTAATGGCAGGGACGTTTTTGCCGTGAAATGCCAGTACCGAGTGGCTGAGCGGGCTCATGGACGAGCTGCCGCTCGAGTCATGGCTCTGGTTCGCCTGCTGCTGGTGCGTCACGTTGCGCTGCATGGCATCGTGCTGGAGGTCGTTTGTGGTGGTGATTTTGGTGAGGAGTGCCGCTACCATCTCGATGACGTCGCCGATCGGCATCTGGCTAATCTCGTACTTTACGTCCTGAGACGTCGACCCGGCGGGCGTCGTGCCGAGCGTCTGGTTGCGGGCCAGACTCTGGACGTGGGCAAGGTCGCGGATGTGAATGACGGCATCTTCGGGGATGACGTGCCCAGTAGGCGCCTGGCGCGATTGGAACGTAGGGTCTGAAGACGGATTGCTTCGTCTTGCGGCGGCGGCGGCCGACTCGTCTGTCGGTGGCGAGGGCTGCTGCTGCTGTTGCAGTGGGGTCCCCGTCTGCTGTGGTGCTACTGTTGCCGATGCTGCGGTCGAGCTGGCGACATTTTCTATATGTTGAGATGCCATGTGTTCAGCCTTACCATTAGCCGCAGGCGGATTGGCAGACGAGGTAGCTGGCGAGGAGAAGGAAGGGGGAGATGGGAACTTGGACGCTCCGGCGGACCCTGTCGAACCGGGCACAACAGCGGCGGCAACGGTGGTGGTTGACTCCTGCGTGCTGCTGGGGGACGGCTGGGCGTAGGCGGCTGGCGCCTTGGAGGGTTCGTGTGAACCAGATGAGGAGCGCTCGTCTTTGGAGGAGCGCACGCGCTTGGGGGACGGGTGGGAGGCGTCGAGAGAGGACTGAGAATGCTGCTGCTGGAGAGGCGACTTGGACCCGGTAACCATGGTATGAATTCGGGACAGATCGGAAACGAAATCACCGACTACTGTAGCCATCTCATCGTAATCGTCGTCAAGTGTAGATAGAGGTCGCAGGCAGGCAGAGGTTGTTGGTAGACGCGGGACCTTGGAATGAAGAGCGCAATCGGTCTTTTTTGTTTTGTGGTGGTGGTGCTGTAGAGGCGGAAGGCAGCGACGAAATTAGTAAAAAGAAGAGGACACGACCAACGCCGAAGAATAAACGCAAACAATAATCCTGGTGGTGCTAAACAGACAATGAAGACAAAACAACGGCCGGTGGGCAAGAAAACAGGAGCGTTGGGCCGGAAAACAAGGAATGATGATGATGAATGGGTTTTGGTGGCGGGGAAAGCAGGAGGGGAAGAGGAGGAGAGAGAGGGCAGAAAAAAACGGGCGGCCAAGCCTAGAGCACGGCGCTGTAGCGGTAACGGGCCAGAGCGCTACAGGAACCCCACAGGGGGCACTAGATGCGCCTGGAGACACTGCCCGGACGGCCCCTAACAGCGCTGTAGCCGCTGGTCTTTGGAGGGGTGCCACCACCACCCGCCGGGTTGGATCGGGGCGGGGAGTCACCGAGGCTTTGGGTTGGTCGCCCTGCCTGACACGCGGCTGCTCGCCTCAAGCGGGGAGAAAGCACCAACAACAGCAGACCAGTAAGCGGCGGCACGGCCGAAACTCTGTTGGATGACAACTGACTTGGGGCGGTCAGGGACACACGGGCAAAGTGTTGGGCGGATAAGACGCACGTAGTCGGCGAGTCATCGCGGGGATGTCGACAGCCGATGATTTAAAAAAAGAGACAAAGCGCATGCGAGTCGCCGTAGTCTTCTTTTTAAACATCGTCCGTCTGCCAGCAACATCCCGCTCTGCCACTAGCCTGTCCGTCCTGCGCTTGTCTCTTGATCGCATCATATGCACATGTCCCGCTAGGCGCCACATCGTCCTCCCGTGGCCGCCAGCAGTTAGACAGGCAGGTCGAGGCCGTTTGTCCAACGATGCGCTAAGCAGCAGCAGACTATGCTGGCTGCCTATCTGCGCTGGGAAGATGTGCGTGCGTCGTTGCGTGCAAAGGCCGTTTTGTGTGTCTGGTGACATTCCACGTTGGATCCCCGCGCCGCCCATCCACTTGGGATAAGGCAATATGCACAAAGGGCCCTCGACAGGACGCACGTGAAACGCCGCAACGTCCAGATGAGCGAGGCATAAGGAAGGGTCCGTCCCGCGAGAGCGATGACTGACTATATGTGACGAGGGCGGTATATCCGAAAGCGAGCGGGCGGCGCAAAAATAAAACGAACAGAACGAAATAGCATAACCAGGATATCAATGTATAAAACTGACTTACCAGATCTCTCTCGAGAGTACGTTTCGCAGCAGCGCGAGTCTCTCAGATATATATGGCAGGACGGAATGCAAGCAGCAAGTGTCCTTGGAAATCAAGTCGTCAAGCTGTCCGTCGAATCGTGCTCGTGACGTAGGTGGATGGATGAAAGTGTGTATATGGCTGTAAAGTCTGCGATATGCTCCAGGATACCGTTCTCGTTGTTGGCGTCAAGCGATGAATGATAGCTTATATCCTCGTCCTCGTGCAATGTCTAGTCGATGTCCAACACTATCTTTCTTCTTCTGTTTTCAACCGTAGCTTTCGGAGAAGCAGAGCAATGGCGTAAGCAGCGACTTCCAAGAATAATCTATCAGTTCGGACCGTCGTATCGATTTCTCCCTGGCGTTACTTTTTCACCGACTTAAAAATAGTGCCTGGCTGGCCGAGCCCGCAGCGTTGTCGTCGGGCGATAGAAGCGGCGTCAATTGGACGCAGATGGCAATTGCAAGTCCACGTAAATTAAAATGCCGGCAGAGCAAGCATAAACATGCAAAAAGAAGAAGAAAGAAAGAATCGTTCCGCCGATGACGCTACCGTGTGGGAAAAAACGTAACCTAAAAGCTCACCCTGCTGGCTCTCTGGGCTTGCGCTGCGTGCAGAGCCGCCCTGCCACCCAGATCCACGGCCTAGGGCACGTGGGGTCGCTGTGGCAGCTCTACGGCGCAGGCCATCAGCATCACACCACGCAGGTACAGGCGGGCCACGGTGCGGGAGCGAGCAGCTAGCTTGGCCAGAAAAACAGTTACAAAGGGACCACGTTTTTGTTATTATTGCCGTGTAAAAAAGAAGAAAGTCGATACAGCGCAAGTGAGGCCTATCTGGTAGTGGATGGGATGGATGGAGACACCTGCTACAGTACCTACACTAGTATCGTCACCAACGTGTATCATAAAAGAAGAAAACCTACAGTATACTCTACGGCTCGGTACATTAAAAAATACCCAGTCCAGTCTTTAGCCGTTCTTGTTGGCACGTTCCCCAAAGACGCGCTTGTTTAATTACATGCACCACGACCACCACCATGCATGCACGCAGGCAGCCCGCTGCATACACCGCACTTCTCCTGATAAACAACCCGGCAGGGACTTTGTACACTTTTTTCTTTACTAAAGGCCTCGGCACGTTTTCTTCTTTTCAATTTCTTATTTGCGTCGTTTGTGTTGCGGCTATCTATCTGCTGCTGCTCCTCTAGTATACAATCACGGGTTTGCCGCACTCACATCATGGCTGGTTGCAGTACAGAAGAAAAAAAGGTTGGGTCAGGGATTTCTCTTTTTTTAATTGTATCATCGTATTCCGTCTCTGTAGCCGCTTTATAACGCGCGCTCGGCATAGTCGGTGTCGGGCAGATACAAGTGTCTGTCGGCACCCTTCTTGGTCAACACCACCATGCGAATCACACCGCCAGAGCTGCCATCCCACTTGATGGCCTCTCTCAGCGCGCCCTTGACAAAGTTGACGGCATCCTCCTCCTCCATGTTCTCCTTCCAGTTGGCATCGCAGTAACCGTAAATGTATGTGGAACCCGAGCCGCCAATGGCATACGCCTGCTTGTGCAGCGAGCCTCCCAGAGGAATCGAGTAGACTTGGCCGCCGAAGCGCTCATCCCAGCCGGCAATAATTAAACCAGCCCTGCAGATCCCATTTTGTCAGTAATATGTTTAACCATCCCTTGGGTGTCACTCACGATAGGCGGTCCTTGTTGGCATAGCACATCTCTTGGAATATCGAGGCGGCTGTCTGTGTCATTGGCGGCTTGCCGCTCTGCATGGAAAAGAGGCCGAGCTGGTACTGGACAATATCGGCAACGGCTTGTGTGTCGGCGGCGGAGCCGGAGCGGCAGCACCAGATGGTATCGTGGACCTTGGTCAGCTTGTCTGTTACTCGGTTGGCAATGTACGAACCGGTCGTCGTTCGCGAATCGGCTCCTGCAGCGTTGTTGTTAGTACTCATGCGCAAACGTATTACGGGTAAACTGTTATCGTACCAAGAATGACTCCGTCCTTGAATGTAACGGCCATGCTGTATCCTGGTTAGCATCGTTCGTCGCTCGTGCTGCGTCGTTGAGGATCGAGCCTACATCGAAGTTCCCAAGCTAGAGAGCACAGTTAGCAACCTATATCCATCGTCATCAGACACCATCCACTTACTTGACCTCGCCCTTCTTCAATCTATCCATATCGACATGGATGCCATCTGCAATGCCCGTTAGCCTAGCATGTCACAAGGTGGCATGCTCTCAAGCTCACCTTCGTTGAGGTTGCCGCTGCGGCCGTACTCCATGACTGCTATATGTGTTGTATGTGTTAATGTGCTGCGGTTCGTCGTCAATTCGTCTCTCGCAATGGATGCCCGTGGCTGTGATGTGGTTTGTACGTCTTGATGGCCGCCTGAAGCTCCAACTGTAGCTCAGGCAGCTTAGGACGCGCGGGCAACGTCGAAGCTCACTGGGCGTCACGTGATGCAACCTCGCCGCCCTGCGTCCATCTGTCGTCATCAGCCAAAAGTGGGTGGATTCTGTAGATTGTAGATTAGATTTTCTAGTTGTGTGTTATAGTATATTTAGTCACATTTACTTTTTTTGTCTTTTTTTCTTCTCGTTTTTGCTATTAAACTTTGGACTGAAGCAGCACCGCGCGCAAGGCCAGCTTGCCGGGGTGGCATCGGATCCGGCCCCACTGGCTGGCGCAACCTGTGGCATCATTCTGCCACCGACGTCGACCTGGTTGCGTCCACGTTTCCTAGACTCTTCAACATCGCTACGTCCTCCTTTAGACACAGTCTCTACGCAAAAATGGCGCGCCGGCAGCACCTCACCCTGACGGTGGTGCTTGGATTCGTCGTCTTCCTGAGCCTTACCTACTTCTTCGGCTCCTCATCCACAAATCTGCAACGAGGCAGCTACGTTCATGGCGCAGCTCCAGATGCCAAAGTTGCGCCCGGCAGTATCAAAGCCGGCCATGACAAGGCAAATGTCGAGGCGCCTAGAGATAGCAAATCAGACTCGGGCTTCAGCGTGGACTTTGATAACCTGCCGTCCCTGGACGGCGACTCCATTGCCCCCAAGCTTGAAAATGCCACATTAAAGTCAGTATATCTCTAGGTCAAACCTGTCTAGATGGGTTTACTCGTTATAGGTTTCATATTCTAACTATATCCTGCAGAGCCGAACTTGGCCGCGCTACTTGGCGCTTCCTCCACACCATGGTCTCTCGATACCCCGAAAAGCCGACACCTGACGAGCGCAAAACGCTAGAATCCTTTTTCCACCTTTTCGGCCGGTTATACCCTTGCGGAGACTGCGCTCGACACTTTAGAGGTCTCCTCAAACAGTATCCTCCTCAGACAAGTAACCGCAATGCAGCCGCCAGCTGGTTATGTGCCATGCACAACAAAGTCAACGTGCGGTTGGAAAAGCCCCAGTTTGACTGCAACAACTTGGGCGACTTTTACGACTGCGGTTGCGGCGATGATAAGAAAGATGGCAAGGGCGGTGACAAGGCGGGTAAGGATAAGAAAGCCGCTTGAAGCGTCTTCCTCCTGGTAGGGTGGGACTAAGTGTCCCCCTGATGCTGTAGAACTCGTATCATTAGTAGATTTGGTTTGTATTTTTGGCGCAACATTGCATGGCACAGCGGTTTTCTGGTTTGGATATTGTATTCGTAGGTATTTATCATATTGTATAGCTATAATATATGGTTAACTCTACTGGTTGTTGTTTGCTGTGCTGTGGCTGTCAATATGATGGCTTTGGCGACCTGACACTGTCAAAGTGCAATGGCACTTATTATCAGTTTTTGGTTTCTGTATATTTCTTGCAGTTTCTATGCGTCTGTATCGTAATTGGTTTCTTTTGTTTCCGTTTTCACCTTCCCTTTGGCGTGCAACTGGCATATTATTTTGTACGACTGTGTGTTGTACTAATATAAATATGTAGGAATATATCAACTGCCACATTGAAATTGCACAACATCGTAAAGTAGGACAAAATTCGAGATCCAGTACGAATAAATAGCATCATAAGCCACCCGGTATAATAAATAAATACAAATATGCACTATTGCAGCCACTCTTGGACTATTTAGATAGTTGATTGTTCTTCACGATGTGATACCCTAGACACCTCGACAGCCAGAAACCGCCCCTATATCTGATACAGTAGGTGATAATATATATCTGACCCTCATATATTCAATAAAACATGGTATTAATGTAATTTTGGCGATTTAGTTAATTTTAGAAAGTTTTCATACATTTTGGCATCCTATAAGACACGTCTGCTACCAACGTAGACCGACTGAGATGCCGTTGACTTACACCAAATGCACCCTCCCAGACTAGTTGTGAAGAGGCACCATTTGCGTGTTTCACTACGGCAAAAAAACAAACCCGACACAATAGCAACAAAACGATGTTCAAGCCGCAAGCGTCCCATCTGGGGGCTCATCTGAAGTGATTTGCAACGGAGCTAGGGAGGTTTGCGACGCCACCACCCACGGCCCGCCAGAACGCCCGTGCGAGCAGACAGAAGTCGACTAGCTCAGAAGTGGATGCAGGAGTAAGTGTCACAGGTGACTAGGAGGAGAGCTTACGATCTGCAGCTTGCTAGCTACCATTCGCTAATTTCTGGTGCCGCAGCTGTTGTTGCTGAAGACTGCGAGGGCAGCAGGTGGCAGGTGAGTTACACCGGTGTCTCAGTATGCGGCGAGTGTAGGTGGGCGCGAAACATTAAGGGCAGAAAAGGGCAAAATCATGAAACGTCATCGTCTTGTGCGAGAGGCGCAGCAGCTACCACACCATCGGCTATTAGGCCAGTATACATTCCTACAAACTGGTCGAGGGGGCGCTTGACGAGAGCCGAGTCCGCCAGTTGTTGGATGGCTGACTCTCACGGACCTTTTACGCCCTGATGTGTAAATCCCATCAATCGTGGCAGGGCGGCTCAGGCCGTGCCCATTAACTTAGTGATGCCTTGTTTCTTTTTTTAAGAACTGCCATTTATAAGGGTGGTGGGCTTTGCGTAGCCATGTGATGGTAGCTTACTGGGTTTGTGGGCTGTGACTGGCCGCCGTAGGGAATGGGAATAGCAGGGATTACGCGAACGAGTCGAACCAGAAAAGCAAGGCAAAGTAAAAGGACCCTTGGCGAATTCGTCGCTTGCGAAGTGCATAATAGGCGATACAAGCGAAAAAAGAGGGCAGCTGGACCACGGGCGGCGTGTTGGTGGCTGGCTATGTACATATCCTCCGAGCAAAAGACAATCGGAAGGCTATGACGCCGGCGGTTTGCGATTGCTATTTTGTCTTGGGCTGGGCTGGCCTACGTAGAGTCAGAGACACGTGGATTAAGGGCATTGCTGGAATGGGCAAGTCATGTACAGCAATGCATACTGGGGAAGAAGAGACAAGGTATAGTGGGCGATCTTTACCACAGCGCAAAAGGCGAGGTCTGAGAGCCGCGACGTAGCCGCAGCATAAGCAGTCATCAGCAAGGGTCTAAAAAAAATTCACTTTGTACTTTGTAGAAATCAGGGCTCAGGCTGCCAGCGGCTCATGTGGAATGGGGGACCAAAAGGGTGTGAAGGAAGAAGAATTTACAATCGGTGAGGCTGGGTGAGGGAACGAGCAGCGAGGCTGCGTTGTCCATTCGAAAAGACCGGGGTAGGGCTTCCACAGCGGTGTAATAGCGGGCGGGGAATATACTTTCTTGAATGGAGTATTCACTGAAGAATTCATCTTTTTAAAAAACAAATTCATTTGAATTTTATAAATCATTTTTTTCACCTTCGTTTGCCACCAGCGTTCCAGTCCGGTGTGCGCTCGGACAGGACGCGATGCCGAATTGGGAATGGCCGACATGGCGTTTTCCCAAAGCGACTGCTGGAATACAGGCTATCGGCGCTGGCAGCCTTGCCCAGAACACCACTAGCTGGCCTAGCTGCATGGAGAGTAATGCGTGGCGTTGGGCTAGTTGAGCTGTTTTTAGTAGCTGCCGAAGAGCACATGAGGCTGGACGGGCTGTCTCGTTTGCCGAAAGAAGCGATCAAAGCGAGCTAGCATTAAAAAATGCAGGAAAATAATAAAACAAGTTAATAAAATAAAAGAATATCGAGTGGCGGGGTGGCGAAGGCCGTCTTCTAATGGAATGCATAAACTACTGTACTAAGAGACATAGGATGTGGATGGCTGCGCTTAGCGGCCGGCCCGAGCACGCGCAGCGCCGCCATTCATTCAAAGTTGCCAACTGGATATAGTTGTCGAGTTACCAACGAGACTACTACAGGTAGGGGCAATGTCAGAGGGAGAGAAAGCATGTTTACAATTTCCGTCTTTGGAAGATAGCAGAGTCGCACCGGAAATGTCACCACCACGCGCTGGGAAATATAGATGCAACACCCGCGGACAGGCCGCACGAGTCACGGTCGCATTGTGCAATATCGCATCGTGGCATCGCGCCGCGGATGCTAATCTTGCCAATTCCGCCAGCTAGTCTGTTTTTTTTTTCCAATGCAGCTGTACGACGTGGTAATCACTCAAATGTTGTCGGTCTTGCGGAGGAGGCCAATGCGATTGCTACCGTGGTACCAGAAAGACTGCCAGAACCACGCCCGAAATGCGGGTAGCGGTTTGATTGGCAGCGGAGACGATGCAAGGTTAAATGGCAAGCGTAGCAATGCCTTGATATCACGAAAAAAAATATAATAAAAGAATTACCGAAAATTGAGATATGCCTGCACTGCACCTTGTCGACGTCGCGCGATGCTCATTGTCCGATTCGTGGCAAGGCTCGCCAGCACTCTGCTTGACTTGGGTGATATGGAGGGGGCGTGCAAAAAGGCGCGATTCAAGAATAGAAACCGGCTAGCGCAGAGTCGCCTGGAAAAAGAGGGGGACCCTTTTCTGCTGTGAAAGTGCAAGCAGGCTGCGAGAGCACGCCTTTTTTGGTCACTTTCGTACTCTTTTACTGTACTTGAAGGCTGGGTGCTAGGCTGGGCTGACCTGGGCTTGGACGCATACCAAAAATGCGCTGTAAGCTCTCTTCCCACGACCCTTGCATTCCAGCCGCAGCAGACCACCGTGATGGAATTCTAGTCCCCTTTATTCCGACGTGATCAAGTAGGCGGAGCCATACAAGCATTAGTTTCTAAAAAAAGCAAACTGGTCAGGAGAACCACTTCGTGGACAATGGCAAAAGCAATGAAAAAAGAATGCAGATGCAAACCGTTTTTCGCGTCGGAATGCCACGAGGAGGCGGGCGTCGACAAAGTGCCCCCCCTAATACTGTGCGTGCACCCGCCGGTGTCGATGCCGATTGTCTCACCATGATGGGCTGCCGCTCGAAAATAAAAAATAGAAAAAAATATAGTAATTAAAGAAGCAGAGAGAAGAAGACCCGAAATTGGCCTGTCACTTCACCCGGGGACAGCTTTTGCTATTGCCGGTCCTTTGACAGCGGCCGTCAGGATAAGCAATCTCATTTGCCTAGGTAGGCCATCGTCGCCGTTGCAGTCGCAGGTGGTGTGCTAGCAGCTGGGTCAGGCATCTGCTTGTGTGTTAATTTGCTAGACGGGCTGGTTCAGGAGACGGACGGCAGACAGCGAGCGATACTACGGCAGCAGCAGCAGCAGCAGTATAGAAAAGAGTAGAAACACTGTATGTGCACGCACCGTACGGCAATAGGCAAAGCAAGCAAGCAGATGCTCGAAAAGAACAAAAGCCACCAAATTACACGGCTATGCTGCAGCAACGGGTGCTTGTCTGTCACACCATCTGCGCGGGCGCTGCACGGTGAACCTAGCTTACAGCACGTTTTCTTTTTTAGGGTGCTGTAGCTTAGCTGGCTGCCTTGCTGGCTGCAGCTTGTGCTTACCAGCAATAACCGCAACGTGCAGACCAAAACCAGCACTGTGCAGCAGCAGCCAACAGCTGTTTTTTTTTCGCGCAGCCGAGCCCAAAAAGAACGGGGAGCTGGGCGCAGACGCGGGTAAAGTGGAGATGCGGCAAGGGGAAGCAGCCAATCACGACTGTCTACTCGTGCCACTACCCCTGGCAAGCCACCTGCAGGACTGCAGAGCCCAGAAAGAGACGAGTGTTTGATGTTTTGATGGGCGGGCGGCCGATCTTTTTTTCTTTATGAGCTTGGCTCCGCGGGCAACTCGTATTTTGTATTCAGAGCAGACGAGATGGTAATAAAGAAGTACAAATATTCTTTTTGAAAATTTCTTAGTGCAGGATCTGAAAGGATTTTTTAATGATAAAAACTTACATCCGTCTTCCATCGGGTGATCCTTCACGTAGTACTGTCCTTTTTTCTATTTTTCTATTTTTTTCTTTAATTCTGCGCGCCCCATTTTGGTAACCTTCAATTTCCACTGGCTCCACTGGCGCTGCACTGTGGTCGGTGTGCCACTGTGCTGGTAGTAGCCTGCGGGCGGCTGGGGGCAAGGGAACGCTCCCACCTGTAACAAAGACCGGGCTCTGCTTCAGTCGTCAGGCAGACCTGTGATATTTGATTTGCCCTGGCTTAGATTGCGCAGCTGGATGAAGTATATTTGTTTACTTTCGTCGCAGCTCACTGCCCGTGGATGTGAAATTGGAGGAGCATTTATTGGTGTTCTACGGTGAGGCGGGCTGCAAATAAGCAAGCAAGCACAGCAGCCAAGCCAAGGAGCAAACGCCAACTACCGCCCGTGTAAGTGATGAGCAACAGCACTATGGAAAAATGGGAATAAAAGAAAAAACGTGTTTGGCACTGTGCTATTTATTGTGTACAAAGTGCAGTCGGCCTAGGCGTTCCCCGCCGGCGCCCCAGGTGCACGACATTCAGGATAGCGCCCCATTCCTCTGGCCATCCACCGAAACCTCTTCTTTGTCGAACGCCTGTCTTGGGTTGTCTCTGGCCGCGTCGATGCGTGTCTCTACAGCGCAAGAAAGTGTTTTTGTGTCTTGCGTCGTCTGCCTCTCGTGAATGACTTTAATAGCTTGGCCTTGGAACGTGGAATTTTTCATCAGGTTTCTGGCGGTTCTTCTCTTTATCCCCTTTCCTTTTGTTCCTGGGCTAAGCTGCTGTGCGGTCTGGTTCTCTACTATCTCCTTTGTTTCCTTTCTTCATCATCGACTACGATACTATATTCCCGTCGCTCTTTTTTCACAGCATCGCATCCAACTGAGAACCCTTTGACGGACTACGACTCCCCGACGACACGGTTCCATTTCCACCCTGCTTGACTCTTCTGGCTACACGATTTACTGTCGTGACTGTTCGCCCTAAACCAAAACGAGTACTAAAAACATCCGAGCGCCCGTTCTTCTTCGCACCCTGCTTGCGTTTTGGCCGCTGCACTATTCCCAGCTTGGACTGTCCATCCCTCCCACCGTAGAGAGAGAGGCCCGAGCACGCTGCCAACACGGCTCGCGCTGGTTGTCCACCTGCCCACTACTGTACGTACTGTACAGGACTGTGCTGCTACTGCTGCTTTCTGCTGCCACTAAACCAGGCTCGCCCCCCTGGAACCACCACCCACCACCCCCCGGGCGCCGCACGCACACTGTCCACTTTTGCCTATCGCCCAACGCACACACCCCCAGCACCAGCGCCGTCGGCCCATTCTGCTCGCTCCTCTCCTTTCCCACCCAACACTCGATCCTCCTCTTCCTCTTCCTCCCCCCCATCCCGACCAACGACCAACACACCGCAAAGCAAAAGCCTGGTTGTGCGGATCTTGCTTTCCCTTTCGCTCATTACTACCCTCCTTCGCTCTCTTTTGCTCCTCTTTTTTTCTTTCCTCTTCTTTTTTGTTCTTCCTTTTCTCATCTTCATCCATCGCTCTTCGGTCCGCATCCCCTTGCCGTCGACATCGCAAGCCTCGACAACCTCCTCGCCCTCTCGTCCCTGCTTGCGTGATTTGTCCTCGACTTCGCCTTCGACACAGGACATCTTCACCAGCGGCAGTCTCTTTCGACATCCACCGACCCAGTACATATCGGTGCCTCGTCGAAAGTCGCTGAATTGCTTGTACCTGGGCGGCTCGTCTCGACGTACCGAACGACGCAATTTTCTTTTTGACGACCTGCTCGTCTCGACACTCTTTTCCACGACGCTTAGAATTCGCGACTCCTGTCGGGCCATTCTAGCCTCCATTCGCTCTTGCATCTTTCTGTTAATCTAAATAAAGGAAAAATACAATAACCGCAGTCATCATGGCTCCTACCAACAAGGTCCTGCTCGCCTCCGCCCTGGCTCTGGCTTCCACTGCCTCTGCCGTCGCCCCCGAGCACCCTCGCATTTACTACCCTCATAAGGTTAAGCGCACTGGTGAACAGGCCCCCGAGCGCCGTCAGTTTGGCAACACCGGCTTCAACCTCGCCGACTTCTTTGGCCAGGCTAACCGCGGCGGTGTTTCCCCTGCCCAGGCTCCTCCCAGCAGATTCCAGCAACCCGACAACAGCAACAACAACCACGGACAGGACTCTACCAACCAGGGCGGTCTTGGTGGCATCTTGGGCGGCATCTTTGGCGGCAACGACGACGACGACGTTGTTACCACCGTTGTCATCTCCAAGACCGTCACCGTTCCTCCAAAGGGCACTGGCAGCCAGCAGCCCACTGTCGTCTCTCCCACCAAGAAGCCCACCAGCAAGGCTAGCCAGCCCCCCCAGTCTACCGACAAGAACACCAACACGGGCATCACTGTTGGCACTTCGTCTGTCGATGTGCCTGTTTCCAGCCCTACGCCTTCGTCTACTAAGCCAGGCGGCATCATTGCTACTCTCACCAGCCTTCTGGGCAACGACCCCAAGTCTAGCAGCACACCTGGCGCCTCTCAGGAGACCTCCACCCCTGCTGGCACTTCTACTTCCAGCGGCACCAGCTCCGTCATTGCTACAGACACCGTCTCGAGCAGCAGCAAGCTCATTCCCTTGCCCACGAGCATCATCTCGATCCCCACGTCCAGCTCTATCGTCACTATTAGCACGCCTCCTGACAACACTACCATCAGCACGCTTCCTCCTCCTCCCAGCAGCAGCACTGCCGTTATTACTACCGGCAGCCAGCCTCCCCCTACGTCCAGCTCGATCGTAACTGTTCCTACGTCGTCAGTCGTCACTTCCAGTTCGACCGTCCCTGACAACAACAGCACGATTGTCAGTGTTCCTACCACCAGCCAGACCAAGGTGGTGCCTACTACCACCCCCATCGGTGGCGACAACAGCACCTCGGTGGTTGTTCCTACTAGCCAGCCAGTTTCGTCTCAGGTGCCCGTCGTTAGCAGCACGCCCACGCCCACCTCGTCTGCTCCCGCTACTTGGATCCCTACCACCATGGTTATGGCGCCCAGCACCATGTCTTCCTTCATTGCTCCCAGCAGTGGAACTAGCAGCGAGACCAAGTCTGCTCTGCCCACGGACGTGCCCAAGAACATTGTGCCCCCCAGCGGTGATGACAGCAACAAGCCTCCTCCCAAGGGCACCGTTGCCATCCAAATTGGTTTCTTGTTCCAGCTCAACTACAACTTTGTGTCCACCAACGCAGATGCTGCTGCTCAGATCTTCAACTACCTGCCTCCTGCTCTTGCTGGTGTTGCTGGTATTAGCGCCGACAAGGTTCCCGTCACCAAGCTGGTTCCCTTTGACACCCGCCGTGACCTGGGCTACATCACCACTCTTGCCAAGGTTAACTGGCCCGAGTCTCAGCTTGATGCTCTCAAGAACGCTCTCTGGGAGCCCAGCTCTGCTCTGTACAACAACGAGCAGGGCATCGTCCGCAGCTTGACCGCCATCATCAACCCCAAGATTCCTCTGTTGGCAACTGGTGACGACAACGGCTCCAGCGGCAACGGCGGTGTTAGCGGCACTGGTGCTGGTGGCTCTAGCAGCGGTGGCGGCGACCCCTTCCAGTCCAGCGGCGATGGCTCGTCCAACGACAACTCCAAGCAGAAGGCTACCACCATTGGTATCGCTGTCGGCTCGCTCGGCATTGGTGTCATGTATGGTGCTGCCATGTTCATTGTCGCTCGTCGCTACAAGCGCAAGCGCTCTCTCCGCCGCGCCAACGCTGCCAACGATGCTGCCTCTGCTGAGATGCAGTACACTGACAACGGCAGCCCTGCCCTGATGGGTGGTGCTCTTGTCAGTGCGCAAAACACCTCTTATGGCGGTGTTTCCAGCCACAACGGCCCTGTCATCTCTAGCCAGACCAGCACTGGTGGTCGCAGCAACCCCAGCGACGCCCGCTCTGCCGGCATCTCCCACCCTGTTGCCACCGAGAACTCTCTTGGCTGGAGCTAAACGGACTTTGAACATTGGGAACTCTCTTGACTGAAAGCTTCCTCCCCCACCTGTACTTATCTGTCGCGGGGTACACCTTTTTCTGTAAATGGCCCTCGTTGACATTGTTGTCTGCTCGAGTTATTTTATCATCTTTTACCACTTTCTTATACCCAAGGACGGCATGTTACTTTTTTGATATACCTCTAAGGGTCGGCCAATCAGCCCCTTTTTGGCATCTGCCATGACGAATGATGTATGCGCGCTTGGTTTTTACTTTGATTTTGCATCGCCAGAACATCTCTGGTACACAACCATTTGCAACGCCTATGCAGTCATGGATAAACAGATGCCTGGGGCAAGCTGATTGGCGATTCGCGGCTCCGCAGCTGCACACCCCTTTTTTGGCATCTTAATATCTCATTTTTTTTTGGATTTTATTTTTGGATCTGTATGGATGGCATTTAGAAGAGGAAGAACGCCCCTTCTCTTGTCTTCTTTGTCAGGGGAGGGAAGGGTGCGCGCCTTGCACCGCTATTTGGATACTCTGTACGATTTGCATGCGTGGCAGAGTCGGTTATGTTGGAGAAGGCAAGAACTAAAGAAGATAAAAATGTACATATATTCTTTGGCTAGCTTGATGAGATGCATACAACTGATTTGTTTTATTTGATCATCAGGCCGCGCAGGAGCATACATGACCGGCTGTGCGCTGTGTGTCGAGACTCTACCATGCCACCTTTTTATTTCTTATACACCCTGCATGGGGCATAGGCAGCAAATAGAATGGTTGCATACACTTTGTGACATCGTGATTAGAAATGTATAGAAAAAAAACTCTTTTGTAGAAGGAGTCTGTCCTGTGTAGGGCGTACTTGTACAGTCTGACTTGTCGTGCGTGTAAGTGAGCCAAGGCTATCTTGTTCTATGGAGGGCGCTTCCCCGCAAAACAACGACATGCCATCTCTCTCTTTACATCCAAGTCCAATTCATTTATTCTGTCATCTATAATTGAAATATATTCCATCACGGAATTAAAAGAAACAACCATGTCTCCCCCAGCAGCTACAGCGACCACCACTGTTGCGCCATCCATCGTAGCAGCTGTGCCCGTCAAGACTGCCGTCGACCAGCAGCAACTGCAGCATCTTGATGAGAGTGACCATCTCCATGAACTGAGCTTTGGCCCTAATGCGCTTTCCGGTTCGTTGTGACCTACTTACCATTTTCATGCTCTGTTCTTGTTGGTTAACGCACAGTTGAAAGGAATCCCCCGCTTCGTCTCGTTCCATGAGCACAGGAAACACGTTGTCACCCACATGGCCGCCACCTTTCGCAACTGGGCTCGCTGCGGCTTCACAGAAGGTATATCTGGGCACATTAGCGTGCTAGACCCCGAGTTTCCGCAGCTCATGTGGATGAATCCGATTGGCAAGCACTTTGCGCTGCTGAATGGCAGCGACATGCTGTGTCTGCGCATCGCGGATGGCCAGTTTGTTGGCGGCAGTAAGGTATGCGTCCTTCACATTTTCACTGTTTCTAGCTTTTTTAATATTGGGTTTGACTGACTGACTGATGAAACACAGACACGCCCCGTCAACCGCGCAGGATACTACATCCACTCCGAAATCCACAAGGCTCGCCCCGACGCCCACGCCATCTGCCACGCCCACACAATCGCCGGCCGCGCATGGTGCGCATTCGGGCGTCCGCTAGAGATGCTAACCCAGGATATCTGCGACTTGTACGGCGTTATCGGCTGTGATAGCGAGTACACGGGGCTAGTTACGGCGAGCGAGGAGGGCAGGCGGATCGCGGCGGTGCTTGGACCGCGGGGGAAAGCGGCGCTGTTGCTGAATCATGGGGTTGTGACGATTGGTGCGACGGTGGATGAGGCTGGGTTCTTGTTTGGGCTGGTGGATAGGAGCTGTGAGGTGCAGTTGAAGGTTGAGGCGGCGGGGTTGGCGAAGAGGGTGATTCCGGAGGAGATGGCGCGGCGCAACTTTGAGGTGGCGAGTGGGAGGGATTGGTTGTATGAGGAGGCGCAGCCGGATGTGCAGTATGAGATTGTGATGGCGGGGAGGAGATTTCAGCGGGTTTGGAGGAGTTGAGTGTATGTGTGGATGCTGTGTAAGTGTGGATGAGATGGGACGGGAGGTTGGCTTTGTTGGGGTGGAGGGAGGCTGGGATATCTCTGGAGCGATGGGTAGAATCAAGAGATTTAATCTACATTTTTATCTGGTTGTTTTGGAGTGTGAATGGTGTGTGTACCGCTACCTGATAATGGAGTTTAGAATCCAATATAAGTGAAGCTTGGCGGAAATGGAGCTATTCGTTTGCAGCCTCTGATGGATGGAGTTCTGAGTCACAGTGCCCGTTTCTTCCCTGGGGATGAGTTGGGATCTTTATATAAAATACACATTGTGGAAAAGGTTCTATTATTTGTTTGATCACATCTCAAGGTAGAGCTTTCAGCAGTGTCCGTCCACGCAACCACATGCCAAGACAAGTGGAAAATCTGAACTCACTTCTTCTTTTCCGTACGAGAACAACACATCGCATATATAAATTTCGCATTTAACATTCTCTTGAAGGATCTCCACGACGACGCACAACAAGGACCGTATCCCGTGGGAGACCCTGCGGAAGTATACAAGACTGCGCAAGGCCAACACGACCGGTTCCCAGCCAGCCGACGTACTAAATACGCTTATAAGCGCTATAAAAGACGTCCTACAGCAAGATATCCTCGAGGAGGCCGCCAAATATCAAGAATCCGAGTCAACAGCAACCGACACCAAGGAGACGGATATCATCATCTCGGACCACGCCGCGCTGCGCATCACGCCCATGGTTAACCAATGGCGCACAAACATCTTCTTCGCTGACGGCCTAGGCGGGATCTTGGAAAAAGGCGACAAGAAATATCGCAAGTGGAAAGATAGGCTCTTTCGCGCCCCGCCTGGCTTCTATGCTATTGATTATACGGCACGGTACAGGTTCGATTCGGTAGAGGCGCGGGCGGCTGCCATCAGCAAGAGACTTAACAGGGATGTTTCGATGCAACTTTGTACGCATGATAAGGGATTCCGATGCAGGTGCACCCTTCCACGATGTGAGAGAACAGTTGCAGCATTCTCCCGTCAACCAGACCTCTTCCAGTGCGGCGACTTTATGGATGCTTGCGCGAAAGAATACTTTGGGGCCCTGGTGCTGCAGTCACTCATTTTATCGGGTGACATGGAGCCTTTATATCGTATGAAGAATAGACAATCCAACGTCTTTAGTTGGCATAAAAAGGAGGAGTGCTGTTGCGAGGTACGTTTACAAAGCCGCGGCTACGGATTTGCCTGCCCTATTTCAACTTTCAATTTCTTCAGGTCTCCTTTAGAGCAAAAGCCTAACATGTTGCAGTATACCACACCAACTATGGGATGGGCATTTCTCCAAGCGACTTGTCTCTGGTCGTATGTGGTCCTCAACGCTCTGTTGGTGCTCAGTAACACGCGGTTTAGGAATCCGTTGATCAACAGCAAAAACTATCAAGGACTGGCAGTGTATAAGATGCTACTGGAGCGGACAAAGAATCAGGACTACCCTAATAGAGTGCATCAAAACGTCTATAGTAGCAAACCAGAGAAGCCTAGCTTCTGGGAGCACATCCCGCTGCCGTTTAGCGCCGAAGCGAGGCAGGCTGCTACCCATGTGCTATTGGCAAAGGGTCTGCCGAACGAGATTGTGCAGCATATTCTGCAGTATATCGCCCAGCCTGAAAGAATTCGCATTGAGGGTGATCCGCTGCGCTTGACTAATAGACCAGCGATTAAGCAGTACATGGAAATGTGTTGGAGGGTTGTGGTGCGATGCGGCGTGTTGACACTGGGTAAGATGCCCAAAAAGTACTATGCTGTTGATGTAGAGACCATTTTTACCGAGCTAGATGCTAGGCTTGTGGAAGATGGGCTGTTGCCAAGCTTGGTAAGCCGTAATTAGTTAATAAGGGCATTTATACACAATGTATAAATATATATAAATCCATAGATTTGGACCCATCGGTAATATATATATCTACATGAATGTAAATCTAATTGCATATATGTATACGTCAGATTGTCTATATTTATATGTTCCGTGCCCACACGCTAGAGCAGTGTTATGGTATCTAAGGCGGATAAAAGTATATGTTTGCCTGTACTTGTCCGATTCACCCTGGCGATAGCCCAGTTGTCTGGATGCATTGAGAGATCAGTCGTATACCGGGGCATGGCGCAGGAGATGACGGCGCCGCGCAAGATTGGTATTGCGTCTTCACGAACCGATTATTCGTTGATCTATCCACCGTCCCATGGGCTTTTGGGTTCACTGGGCGAGCTATCGACCGACAGTTTCCACGGGACACCATAGCGGGAGGTAGCCACGGAGCGGGCGATATTCTTGGAGTTGCAAAACTCAATCCGCGTGTCGGGATACCACCGCGTATGCTTGTCGTCTGGTTCTGCAATCAGCTGCCATGGCCCATAGGTGCCAGTGCCTGTGGCCCACGTGTAATACATTTCTTCAGAAGTGTACCTATTGGCGCCTGGTATCAAGAGAAAGCTTGAATCTGCGTCCCAGTGGCCATACGCCGCAACCCAGCGCGCGCCGGTGATGTGCTTGAAGAAGAGATTCCACTGCGACCAGCCTATCCGCGGCTCCCAGTATGCGTGGTACGTAAGCCCGTCGCGATCGACAGCAAAGATGTCGAGATGGTCCCTGCGCCAGGCTCCTGTGACGGGCGCCGCGGGAGCCATGAGATGTGCCTTGCCGGCCTTGTCCTGGGCAGCCACAAACCAGGCGGCCCATCCCGTCTTGGGCTCCCAGTACGTAGTCCATACACTACCGCCGCGGTCCGTCACAAAGAGATCAAGGTGCATGTTGTCGCCACCGCCGCGCCAGAGCGCAGTGACCTCGGCGCCGGGCATCATGCTCACATCGCCAATCTGGAACCAGCGGCTCCATTCCGTCGCGGGCTCCCATCAGGCCGACTTGACACAGCCGAGGGATCAACAAGGAACATGTCGAGATGGATGCCGTCAAACGGAAAGTCTGCATTCTCGCGCCACAGCGCCGTGACCTTGGTCGATGCCGTGACGACAACCGGTACTATTTTCGCACAGAATGGGGGCCATTGAACCACAACACCATCCCTCGACTGCAATATGGACAAGAGATGGAAGCATTACACTTTGGGTCTGAGCACCAGGATCTATTTCCCACGCTGTGGCTCGTGGGAACGGATAACAAGCCATACTGGGCCGAGTTGGGGGTTCGCGGTAATGTATAAAAGAATCTTCTGTGAAGTGTCTCGGGTAAAGAGAAATATAGCAATAAACTTACGCTGTGTATGTCATCTTTACAGCTTACAGGTTGACGTAGAATGACCTAACGGGCAGGTTACAAAAGGATAATATTAATAATTCAAAACATTTTCCAAGTCTATACTCATCTACTTATTACCATATTTACATAAAATCATAATTCTGCTTTCGGTGGTGGTAAGCTACCCATTCATACACTATCTCACTACGTCATATTGCGAATTGGCGCCACCCAAACATCCTCACCACCACTACCGTCTTCCACCATCATCACGCCAATCACCAAATTCGTTACGGCCCCCTATCGAGGCTTGCCACGACGTATCCGATGCCTCTTCACTGAATAAAATGCGCTCATCAATCCTCACATCTGCCTCTCGCCCTTTTCTACGCTTCACCACAGCTCGCCCTGTCCACGCCGCCCGCTGTCTTCACCTCGCGCCACCGTTTCTTCTTGACGACTACACGCCGCGCTATGCGCTGCTCAGTTCGCGCGATGCAGCCCTGAAGAAGTCAAAGGCGTACGCGCACATGCGCAATTGCAACCTCTGCCCGCGGCTCTGCGGCGTCAACCGCTACGAAAAGACGGGCATGTGCATGATTGGCGAAAAGGCGAAAGTGAATGTCATAGCCCCTCATTTCGGCGAAGGTGCGTTTGCCCCTCCTTTACCAAAAGAAAAGGAGAAAAGGAGCGCAGTTAGCGTGACTGCTCTGTTCTTTGTTGACTGTTCTTGCTAACCCTCCTGTGTAGAACCATGCATCCAAGGTCACAACGGCAGCGGCTCCGTCTTTATGAGCGGCTGCAATCTGCGGTGCGTATTCTGTCAAAACTACGACATCTCGCACCAGCGTAACGGGCAGGATTTAACGCCCGAGGAGCTTGGTGAGTGGTACATCAAGCTGCAGGACATGGGCAATGTACACAACATCAACATTGTCACGCCAGAGCACGTAGTCCCCCAAGTGGCCTTGAGTATCTTGCACGCAAGAGATCTCGGACTAAAGATCCCCATTGTCTACAACACGTCGAGCTTTGATTCAATGGAGTCTCTTGCGCTGATGGACGGCTTGGTGGACATTTACTTGGCCGACTTCAAGGTGTGGGAGGCCAGCACGTCCAAGAGACTGCTCAAAGCGGACGATTATGCCGAGACAGCCAGGGAGAGCGTGATTGCTATGCAGAAGCAGGTGGGCGATTTGTGTTTTACAGGAGACGGTGTAGCAAAGAAGGGCTTACTGGTGAGGCATCTGGTCATGCCGGGGAGACAGGAGGAGGGCGCTCGAATCATGAAGTTTTTGGCAGAAGAGGTTTCTACAGACTGTTTCGTCAACATTATGGAGCAGTATAGACCGGCTGCACACGTGGGGAAGCCCAGGCGCGGTAAAGAGGGCGAGCAGCGCTATCTTGATATCAATAGGGCCATCAATGAGGGGGAGATGTCAGTGGTCAGAAAGGCAGCAGAAGCGGCGGGACTGTGGCGGTTTAATGATCCGCCTCGCCATGATGGGTTTGCCATCTAAAACACACACGACTCTCTTTCTTCTTTATCAAGAAGTATACAGCTATGACGGGGCTCTATTAACGATGCTACTCGACGGCATACACATGGTTTACTTTACGCCAGGCCATACCGAAAAATGGAGTTTAACACACTTGAATTCAATCTATATCACAAACTCAAAGCCCCCAAGACGCAAGCTTCTTTTGGCCCTCATCTGTAAACAGCAGATTACCACAGTTGTAACCCATCATCAACAGGGCCGGGTATCGCCAATGGAACCACATGGGATGCGCCTCGGCTCCAAAGTACCCAAAGTAGTGATCCAAGCTAAAGCACAGATAATTGCAGGACCCCAGCACCAAGAAAGTGAGGAGTGTGGTGAACCAGACGGCCTTTTTGCCGTAGTAGACGTCGACAAGGAAGACATTGGTGATGCCGCCCAAAGCGCCGCCCATGCCGAGCGGGCACAACACCAGTGTCCAAATCATCTTGTGGATGAGCTCGCGCGTGCCAGATATGAAGAGCACGGCCACGGCGAGTAAAAATATTTCGACCGCGAGGGATGTGAGCCAGAAGAGCAGGAAGGGTCGCAGGTAGAGGATGCGGCGCTTGGAGGCGGCTTCTTTTTCAGCATCGCTAGATGTGATGAGCACTTGGTATTGTGGGAGAGCGCTCATGTTAGGATGGTAAGAGGTGTATAGGAATTAGAAATATGAGCGAAGACTTTTGTTGTCAAGTTTACTAGCTACAAGATTCAATGGACACCGCGTGTTATTTATAAGACGACATCTCCTCGCGTTTATCATAAAAGTCCGATGAGCGAACATGTTTCTTTGTCTGTTAATTCCGTCCGATACTTCCGGAAGGATTTTTTATGTTTCCTTTAAGAAACACCAAAAACCTGTTCTTGGAGATACTCTCCCACAACTTATGGATCTCCATCGTCTCTTGCCGAGGCGCACTACACGATGTCTGTGGAGATGGTGGATTCAGCCACGCGATCAAGCCGAGGGAAGACTCCACGGACTCGGCCAATAGAAGTACACTAGTTTCTTTTCTAAATACCACGGTACTGCCACCTCCGTCATACAAGCTACACTGTCGGTATGTATATACTCCGTGTTGGTCTTTACGTTTTCCGCCTATGAAACTGACGGGATTCTGCTACTTTCCCTAACGGTGCTGCTTCCAGGCCTTTTTCATACGCTCAATCTAGCCTAGTGTAAACGGCTGTGTCTTGCAACGACTGTTACAGCGTTAGCAGATTAACTCAAAGTGTTTTTGTACAAGGTTACCAGGGGATCTTACTCAGATGTATACTCCATACTATTATGTATCGGGTCCTTGCCAGGCTTACCAGGACAAGTATCCGGTTCATCAGTGGGACACTAGTATACATCATTCGGACTGTTCTGTTGGGGCGTATCGTCCACGTAGTCGCCCGCGCCGTTGCAGCTGTTTCCCTGGAACGTGTGGTACGGATGAACCAGTGCCCAACTTCATGCGAAGTGACGCGTCCGATGAATCTGTCATTGACGTTGGGCGTTGTCCCATAGACTTGGACGCAGCCATCGTAGCTGTAGTCGTTGGGCACTGGCGATACAGGGAAAGCGCAGACACCGCCAAACCTGGTGGATGATAAAATGTAGTATAGATTGAGAGCACTGTACGTTCCTTTGCGTAGCTTCTTGGCCATTTCTCGATTAATCGCCATCTCAGTGTCGTGCCTGGCCCATTTCGGGTTGATGGTCCAGTCGATGTTCTTGACTACAAAGGAGAAGCCGGTTTCTGTGAAGTCGTCATTGAACACTTTCATCTGCAAATGTAGATTTTCTCTCTAGTCACTGTCAGTAACTAACCTTGTGCTCTTTGTTTCCTAGGGGTGGAAGCTCTACCGAGATGTATCCGTCTTCAGTGGCATTGGACGCTGCCACCACGTGAATGTACGTATCGACGACAATACTTTGCGGTAGATCCAAAGAAGAGATATGTTGGTACATTTCAAAGGCGGCCTCTGCAACCTCGACTGGCTCTGACTGCGAACCACAGCCACCAACATCGTGTGACGAGGTTAGCGGTGTCGCCACCACAACAGTTTGTTGAAGAATAAACCACAATCGCACCATTTTTTTTAAATGGTATTGAATAACACAGTAGATAATTTGGACGGGAGTAGGAATTGGCCCATCTATTTAATTCTAAGCTAGACCTATTTCTAGCCGTACTTTGTAGACACTGGTGTAGCTACATTAGGTAACATTTAGGAAACTTAGGACACCACAGTAGAATAACTCATCTGTACAGTCCATCACTTGGCTATGCTCGTATGGATGCGCGAGATTGCCAAAACACATCCAGCGGAGCATCTTCATTAGAGACCTACCCGCCCTTTGTACTCCGGTAAACCTGACACTGGCACCGTCGGCGCCAAATGTAAAAGTTGCTTTCGTCATCCGCGTCTTTCCCTTCATAATGTCCTCCATCCAATACAGAATGATACATGGAGATTCGGTCACGGGATCAAACTCCGCCTGACGTCTTGTAGCAGTCTTGGACGCCTCAGTGCTATACAACTCACCACCGCGGAACGTGTGGTCGAGCATGGTATACAGCATCTGAGGTGAAATATGGTCTCGAAGCAAAAACGGCTGATACCAACCGGGAGAACGCTGAGTCTCCTCCAACTTGCACAGTTCCATATACTCCAATGATGTATAAAGATCCGAATCCTTCCATTCTACCAAGTCGTCGTCGTCTTCGTTGTCGTTGTCGTCCCCATCAACCCATTTTAGTCGTCCCATATGTCGTGTTTCCCATCTACCTGGCTGAACTGGGAACAATGTCCAGAGGGTTGCGAAATAGTCCCTGACCATGTATGCATCGCTCGTGTATGAAACAAGACATGGACGTGAATCTAGTGCCCCGGCGTCTGGGACATCGTAAGAGTTCCAATTTTTGGATCTAACTTCGTTGAATCCGAGCAACATCTTTCTATCGGTCACTGGGATGCGTTTAAAAACATTCCACAAATGGCCAGCATAGATGCGCTTTGAAGGCTGGTCCCATTTCTTGTTGCCGCTCAGCTTACCACACGCTTTAAGTAATTCAGAAAACCCATTCCAGCGTTGAAAGATGCTCTCGAAACAAAGCGCAGCTCGGTGGTCAGCTGATGGTGAGAATAAATGGCCAAGCAAATCCAGCGCCAATTCGCTAGACTCTGCTGTGCCCTTGTACCGCACTACAAAGCACCAGTTCTTGTGGTCTGAGAATTCTAAGACGGATTGGCAGCCTCCTGTTCGACGTAGAGTGTAGCCCCAAGATTGTTTGCCTACATCAAGCGATTGGTCTAAAGCTTCTCCAAACATACAGAATAGGCGATAGTGTAAATGGCCCGCTGAAATCAAAACGAGAGGGTTGTCTTCTTTGAAACCGGTCTTTCGGAGGCTCATATGCATGGTCCAGCCGGATGGTGAAGGCTCTATTCTGAGATCATCACGAAACCAGCGAACCGGCAGTCTCTCTTCGTTTCTATAGTCGACTGTATCTTCAGCTATCGAAACCCAGTCGAGCTTGAATTGGCGGATTCTGGCCTGCTCATCCACGTTTGGTGTGGCCATCGTCTTCAGAATTGGGCCTGGATGTTGATTGTCCATCTTCATTTTTGTAATGGCTGCATTGAGATAATAGCTGCGATCAGAGACACGCATCTTTTCAAATGCTTTCAAAAATAGCTGCAGCAATGCATCAGTTCCTCTTGCGTGATGCGCAGCGTCAAAGGTATTGAGCAGGAGACTCAAGCTTCCAGTATGCCCAGCTCTGCCTGCCGCATGCATTAAAAGCGGCGTGGGATCTCTTTTGACAAAATCGTCATCGGCGCGGATCAAGTCAAACAGCAACGCAGTACTGTGAGTGCTCATGGCGAGATGGAGCAACTTATCTCGCTTGCGAGGACTGATGAATTCGTGTATCCGCTCGTATAGTGTTCTGATAGCTTGACATGCGTGTAGCAGCGTATTGGTACTGTCCATGGATTTGACAATGGCAACTAGAACCTCTAGTGGAAGATCCATGAGATGCACCATGGTGAGCACGGTTCGCCGGAGAGAGCTCCACTTATAAGGAGGTTCCAAGTATTAGAAATGCTAACGGTATGATTAGCAAACAATTAACTGAACGAATAAACAGACTGGGCAAATGACTTACAAAACGAACCAGGTGAATCTTGAGCTAGACCAAGTTTTCAATGAAAAGAGGATGGCGAAGGAAATAGAAAGAAAAGCAGGCGAGAATAGAAGGTGAGCGACCTGTGAACAAACGGAAGTCACAGTGACAACCCATATCCGTACTGTGCCCTCACCGTGCATGCGCATCTGGCAAAATATTCAGTCTACGTTCACTTTATATTTTTATATTTTTTCGTTTGTCAGCACTCCCTTGTTAATTATCATCACCAAGCACTTTTGATTCCATTGCTCGAAATTGGTGTGAATAGAGCTAGTGTATTGGGACACTAGTACGTGAGCTAGATTTGGCTGCGAGATTGCCATATTTGTTCATATCTACCCTGCTTATCAAGTTCATCTGGGCCATTTCCTTGATTAAGGTAAGCCGAGCCATTCTGCGTATTGCGGTTGCATAGCCTAGATGCTGATCTGAGACGAATTGGTAAGAGGGTCGCCAGTATAAGTCGAATTGATGGTCGTTATTATAAGTTATGAACTATTAGATTGCTCTATCCGGGATAATACAGTGTCTACTGTCACCCCTAGTGCCGTATTTGTTTCTAGATCGACATCAGTCAAAATCCCACGCGGAGAATGTAGAGAGCATACCGTCATTACAACTTTGTGTGTCACGAACACCCATCCTCTGGCAATTCTGCAAAAACTTAACCTCCGGTTTTCCCTCTGGGAGTCCAATGTCACACATATTCGTCGAGGTCAAATCGCATCTGCGTGGAAAAGCGCCTACTCCTAAGCAGGCTTTCATAGTTTCTTCATAGTTACCACAGGAGCGCAACGCCGCAAGGGTGGTAGCTGTAAAAACGGAAAGAAAAAGCATAGACTTCATGGTACATCAGCTATATTCCGGCAAGTAGTAATATGTAGCGCTAATAGCTAATCCTTGCAGATGAAGATCTTTGGGGCACTTTTACCTTTTATACTTGACGCTGTCCTCTGAAGTATCTGTTGGTTACTCCGAGACATCAAATCTAACCGTTGTGCCATTTTTCTTCGTTGCTCGTTGCCACATCCTTAGATTGATTTGAGATACTGTTTTAGCTCGGCAATTCTATAATGGGATATATTTCGATAGCAACTTGAAGCGTCATTGCACTTGTGCGTGTATACTTTAAGGTAGCTCTATCGCAACCAATTCTGTTCAAGAACATTGTTTCGTGAAGTCAGTGTTTTACCATCTTTGTCGAAAGAAATTTAGCTAGCGTCACTATGGCAGTTGATATAATCCTTTAGACAAAATATAACCCAATAGCAAATAGCCAGATAGGTACGTAGAGATTTCGATGCTGTTATGTCCGGCCACATTGGCCGAACGATCGAGAACCGCAAGTCATCGCTAAAAGGTACTCATGATTTTGCCCAAGAACAGGATCTAGATCTGTGAGACTGACACGTCTAGGAGAGAGCAAGGCTAGATGCTGACTAACTGGTCTATATCGACGAGAATGGTTGTAATACGAATGACGGGCTTGCTAAGCTTCATACCGCCCCCTCAGCTGTGCAGTGTTTGAGCTCCGTATGTTCGGCTATGCGTTCAACATAAAAAGGATTCTAAAAGCTGAACTACGTCGTAATAAGGGGGACAGCCCAAGTTAATGAATGTTGCCCGCCGATCACGATTCAGACGATCCGAGGGCTACGCGCCTCACCTTCGCCTAACGATTACAAAACAATGATATCATTCCGCTTATATAACGATTTATGTTTTGGGTAGTATGTAACGACGCCACATTTCAGAGACGGCTTGGATAAATTCAATTTTTCACGGATGCACTTACAAAAACATAAGACATTAATTTCAAGTGGGCAGGGTGGGCAACAGAAGCAGAATATAAACGCAGGCCCTATCCTCTGAAGAAAGCTTCGACAAAAATTCACGGAGCTTTATCTCGAATCATATAATTTAACATGCGTTGCAGTATTGCTACTATCGTTGTCGCCTTGAGCGTGACAACCGCCGCAATCAATGTTCCAGAGGCAGTAAACAGCATTAATGCAGCTGCCAAGGGTGCAAATGCCGCCAAATCTCGCATTTCCAGCGGTAAAGAAAATGTTAATGCGATCATCCCTGTAAGTCTTTTATAAATTCTTTAGTGGTTATTGCACTAACGATTGCTTAGGGAATAATGGCAAACATGAAGCAACTTGTCGACGTCATGGTGACTAAAAGCACGGCAACAGATGCCGAGTACAATGCGCTATCGAACCAACAGCGTCAAGCATTAACTACGGCTTCAATCAATGTACGTGGCGAGACCAGTAACCAGCAGCCGTCCTTTGACTAACCATGTGCCGCCAAAGTTCCTGGATTCACAGCACGCCCTCTTTGGCTTGCTAGATTCTTTGATTCCAAAGGCTGGCAAACCTAGCCAGCAGAACAAACCCCGCGATCTGGCAACACTACTTCGTGAACCAGTGAAGGGTTGCAAGCCGGCATTTCAAGGGATTGAAAAAGGCGCTAAATGTGCCCGGCAATATATGATAAAGGCCGCAAAAAACGCTGTTGCAGGCTATACCCCGGAGCAGCTGAAAGTAGCGAATGAGGAGGAGGAGGATATTGAGCATGACATCTTTGATCTTATATATTACGGATCTCATTAATTTCAAGGCTCCATTATTTGCATTTAACTTAGTGGCGTCTCTTCCTCTTTCACAAAAATGACCCTTCATGCACCTTATTCCTGTCTCTTATACCAAATCGAATCAGGAAAAGTATTGAGGTGCTAAGTTGGCTATATATATCACCATAGGGTGCTTACGGTCAAAAGTACTCTATTAATGATGAAGACAAGTCGACATACCAAAAATGACATTGTTTGTTTTTCGGTGTGCTCGCTTGTTTGCTTCGACGCCCCAAGAACAGCAGCCCGCCGCCACCACCAGCCGCAGCGCATTGTACAGCGAGGGAACGAGACTAGACGAGCACAAAGCATGCCAAAAATGAAAAAATGGCACTTTCTGTTCTGCGGGCGACGTCAAAACGAAATTCATCAACAATGACACAGCTCACCGGTGGCGTGGGTTAAGGGGTATAATACCAGCTGCCCTCGAAGACGGCGTCTGCACAAACTAAAACGTTATTAGGAGACGAGACAAAATACTTTACATAAGTAAAAGATCCTCTATCATGACTACATGAACCATCCCTCCCCGAACTACCAAACACCAATATAAAAATGGCAGACGACAACCATGCCGCACAGCCCTACATGGTCACCATTGACGAAAACATACCCTGGCAATCACCACACGAGCTCAACACTATCCCTGCATACAACTATCTCTATAATAACACCGAAACACCTCCGACGACACGACGATCACAATCTACAGCGTCGATACTACACCCACGAGCCTTTGAAGACATCTTCTTTGAACGAGCATACCTCCTGACAACACTATCCGCCCAGAAACTGCGAGTTCTCGATTTACTCCATCGATACGCACGAGCAGACTTTGAGTTGGCAAACAATTATCCCGGCCAACAGAAAAGAAGTCTTCGCAAACGGCGATCTCTGCTGCGTTGTAAATGTGACGAGGCCATCCAGCAAGAAATGAACCTGTCAGCACGCCTGAACCAGGTGGAAATGGAGCTTACCAGTCGAGAAGAGAGAAACAAGCTACGCGAGCTTCTTCAACAGCACCCACAGCAGATAATCTACATGGAACCGACACCAAGTTTAGCATATAGTACTTGCACTGAGAGTACATGTGAGACAACACAGTTCAGCCTGCTCGATGCACGGTCTCCGGAATTCATACCGGCAGCGAAGCCCACACTACCAACCATCTCGATAACTCATCCCTCAGAAGATACAGAAACCCTACTGGACGAAAACGCACCCGAAATAGCAGTCTTGAGGGACAGTGTCACACAATCACGGCGCTGGAGCCTTCAACTCAGCAAACCAGATTGGACAGACGACTGAATACTTGAAGAGACGGTAATTTGGTATTATGCTTCTGTACTATGCTTCGCTGTTTCAATATATATAATAGTCTATCCTCATCTTTCTTTCTTTTGATATGCCGCACTATTCAAACTCGCCAGATGCTCCATTATCGAAGCCCATGTCCTTCAGAGAGAGTCTCTTGCTCTTTACATCCGATGCAGAGGGCGGAGGAGGCAGCGAGAAACCACCACCTCCTGATTTCGACGGCGGCGGCGGAAGAGAAAAGGAGCTACCGCTGCTAGCAGTCTCAAACGGGTCGTCTTGTCGCTCTGGCCTTCGGCGGCCTTTAAAGTTGACCGTGATGGTCTGTCCCTCCTTGAGGCTATAGTCCTTCTTCTCATCGGCCTCTGCATTCTTAGCCTTTTCTGTGGCCGCAGGGTCCGTTATCCAGCCAAGTGTCTTGTAGGCCTGCTGCACAGCCACCGAGAAGTCAAAAGCATCAGAGCGGTCCTCGAAGCCGATGCCTAGGAAAGCCTTGCGATTTGCCTCGTCTCGCACCGTAACTGCAAAGAAGCGTGAGCTGTCCGTGGCTGGTTCGATTACATTTGCATCGGCAAAGGGTGCAGCCACAAAGAGCTCGCCCGAGTCGGCATTTTCAATAACAAGGTCTACTTTGAAGGTCGACGGTGACGAGGATGTCTCGAGCACGCGGATGCGGCCTGTGAAGATTTGCTTGCTGGGAGGAAGGGTCCATGTAGCTGCTTTGTGGCCCTGCATCGAGGTCAAAGGCGGGATTGTGTAGACATGGACATTGGGGACGATGAAGAGGATGCGTTGGATGCTATCCTGCGGGAGAGGCCGCCTGGTGACGGGGTCGAGCTGCTCCATGGCGAGTGGTAGTGGTGCTTGTTGTAGTAGGATTAACCAGTATTGTAGGTAGTAGAAGATGCTGAGATGTGCTGAATAATAAAATGCAGTATTCTATGGGCGCGGGAAAATATCGCTATATAGCCGGAGATGTTGGTAGTGATTAAGCTGTGGTGGAGGTGAGCGGAGGTGAACACGAGCTGTCTGTCCCCCAGCTTCTTTTTTGTTTTAGCGCCTGCCGACGTCATCTTTAGGCGGCACAGGCCCCTGAAGCTTGCCCCTCCATTGTCCCACTACAGCGTGTGCTGCAAAAAACAGTACCCCGCCATCCCGACGCCCGCCCGCCAGAAATCGTGACTCAGCCAAATTTTCCTTCTTGCTTCACCACCACCCATCCGACATCACACCACTACTGAGCTCGACACCAGCAGATTTGGTACTGTATCCACTGCCCACTGCCAATACCTTGTTGCACGTGTCATAATCACCACAGAGATACACAACACACACAAACACACAATGGCTACCGACGCCGCCACAACGTCGTTGCCGCTGCGTAGCGCAACCACCGCCAGCACCTCCGACTTTGAGTACGTCGATTCACTCGCATCCCTTACACTTACAAGTCTCTAACCCCTTCCACAGCATCGTCGGTACATACAACAAGCTCCTCGCGTCGGACCCCGAACTGACCAAGCCCGTCGCGGCCATCGAATCCCTCATCGAGCTCCTCAACACCGTCCCCTCTACCACCGTCTTCGAAACCCTCGACACCGTCAAAGCCCACTCGGACCGCCTCAAGGCCTCCGTGTCCAACCCCGTCCCTCTCACCGCCGGCACAGACCTCTTCCTGCAGTACCTCATGACCTCGCTTAAGCAGCAGGACGGCAGCTCCTTCGACGCCGTCCGCCACCACCTCATCCGCAACGGCAGCCTGTTTGCCAGCCGCGCCGTCGCTGCGCGCAACGGCATCGCAGAGGCTGGCTGGCGCTTCGTGTCCGAGGGGAAATGCGTCCTCACGCACGGCGCCTCGCGCTCCGTGACGGGCCTGCTGGAGCGCGCTGCCAAGGAGCTCGGTGCAGGCAAGTTCCGCGTGGTGTATGTGCGCGACGAGGCGAGAAAGGCTGAGAGTGACGATGTCGTGCGGGATCTGCGCGCAAAGGGTATCCCTGTGGCGGAGATTCATGATGCCGCGATTGCACATGTGCTGGGGCTGCTGCGACAGGTGCACATGGTGATTGTGGGTGCTGAGGCCGTGACGCAGAATGGTGGTATTATCTCGCGATTGGGCACGTTCCAGATTGCCCAGTTGGCGGCACGCGCGAAGATCCCGTTCTTTGTGGCTGCTGAGACGCACAAGTTTGTGAGGAAGTTCCCGTTGGACCAGCGCGATTTGGGCTTTGACCAGCAGGTTCTCGACTTTAAGCTGGATGGCGAGAGCGCGCAGCCAAAAGACGCTGTGGATTATACGCCACCCGACTTGATTTTCAACTTGATTACAGAGAATGGCACGCATCTGCCGACGTATGTGTTTGAGCAGCTGCTTGATATCTATGGAAGCCTGAATGGTTAGACGGGACGTTAGAGAAGGATAAAAAAAAGGAGACATGATTTTTTAATGATATAATATAAAAGGCGTTTTCACACGATGTATCTGGCCAAAAGTGAGAGTGTCTTTAATGAGAGTGGTGTGTATTCAGTTATGCTAAGTCATATATCTGTTACTACTAGCGCGAAAGACCAATCTGGCGCTTACAAAATAGTAAAATCAAAGAAGATATCGTATCGAGGCGTGTTAGATATCACGGACAACTCTGGCACCGGCCCACGCATACGGATAGTTGCGCTGGTACCAGTTGACAAAGCTCTTCCTGCCCGCCACACGCGGATGCGTGGCCCACGACCCACCCAGGACGACATTATGCTTGCCGTCAAAGAAGTCAGCCGTGTACGCAGGATACAGCGCCATGGGCTCAAAGCCCTCGTGGCGCTCGAGCGCAGACGACGTCCACTCCCAGACGCCGCCCATGCCGGCCTGCCCTGCCAGAGAGCCCCCGAGCGCAGTCACGGGCTGCGGGTGCCAGTGCGAGAAGCCCGTGTTGGTTCCGGACAAGTCGACGTACAGCGAAGTGCTGGTACCGCCGACTTGGGCCTTAGCAGGGTGTTGTGGTGGTGTTTCCTCGACGCCGTCGTTGACGAGGTGGCTATAGAAGAAGGCAATATGTTAGTCAAGACCCGGAGAAACAAGAATCAGATGGGGGAATCTTACGAATTCACAGCAGGGACACGGTTGGATAGCTTGCTGCGGTTGAACTTTTCTTTTTGCAGCTCCGAGTACCGGTAAATACTGCGTGCTTCTTCCAGTGTAGGGATACGGCCGCCGTTGTACGCAGCGCAGCCAGTGAGCTCGTCGTAGGATGCAAAGACAGGCCAGTCAAGGGCATATTTCAGCGGGATGAGGCCATAGACTGTGCGCACTGCCTTGCCGCCAATAAATGCCTTGAGGGGCGTCTGGGGCGATGGGTGACCGTTGGACAAGCTGCTTGGTGCGGCGGCCGACTCGAGAGTCGACCAGGATGCGGGAAGCTTGTCGATGCTAGAGGCGACAAGGTACTCGGCGTAGTCCTGGTTGGTCATGGCGCGGCCTTGAGCTTGGAAGGCGGGAACTGTGGTTTGTCTGGCGGGCTTTTCGTTGTCCCTAGGATTGTGTGTCAGTAGAAGATCGTATAAAAAGAAGAAAGGACGTACCAGCCAAAGGGGCCTGTGAGGGTGAGGTCGTTCTCATCGTCGTCCATGCCAATGGTAATGGTCTGCTCAGGGACATGGAACCATTCGTTTTCAACACGCAGCTTCTTTGCTCGCTCGGCCAGCGCGGCGAAATCGGGAACGGGTCGGTGCGAGGGAGGGGAGATCCTGTCGCTCTGGAGCATCATGTACAGCAGCGTCTCGAGGTGCATAACCTCGTGCTCAAAGCCGACCCAGATGCCGCGACCAATGTCCCGCGCAATGTTGTCCTGACCACCCTCGTAGAGACTGACGAGTCGCTGGCGGACGCGGTTCTGGTATTCCAGAATCTCCGTCACAGGAGGCCAGTCATCAGGGATGATGGAATGAGCATGGCAGTGCTCAGGGTTGTCGACGTCTGGGTCGATACCGCGCTCAAAGATTTGGTAGTAGCTTGCGGGCTCGGTAGGTGGAAGCTTGGTCACCTTGTGGATCTGAATATCGAGAAAGGTAGGGATGTGGCCGAGATAGAAGATGCAGGCGTTGCGAAGCTTGATGGGCTTCTCTTCGAGCTCGGCATCAGGAAGCATACGGCGTGTTACAATATCCCAGACCTCCCACAAAGCCTCCCAGTCGGCAATTGTTGGCAGGGATTCAGGTGCATACTGAGCGGGCAGCTTGCGGAAAGGAAGATTGGTGCGCTGGAGCATGTGCAGACCATAGTCGTTTGTCTTGCGCCAGACTTGACGTTCCACGAGGCCGGCTCGCTCCCACAGCTGCTTGGCACCGAGGGCGGAATACTTGAGGCTCTGCTCAATCTTGATGCGTTCGTCGGACTGGACCGTATAATCCAGGACTTGGGTCTCCTCGGTAGGCGAGAGGAAGGCTTGGTGTCTGCCGCCCTCGGCGTCGTAGACGTATTCTCCTATCACCTCCCAGTCGTCAACATGGAAAGCGGGCTCCCCGAGCACGTCGTTAGCGTGCGTTAGGCCATTTTTAATAAACTGGTGTGTGATTCCGTGCTTGTCGTTGTACGCATGGTACACCTTGTCTGGGTTCATGGAGGAATCCAGTCCCACTAGCACAGTATCCGTCGTCTTTAAAACAGTGGCAAAGCCTTCGAGGAATTCACCGGCTTCCATTCTGCCAAAGTTGCCTGTGTTTTTGTTAACCAAACTCTCGCGCCAAATCACACAGAAGAACCCTTCAACGTACCGATGCTAGATCCAAGATGGATGAGGCAGATGTGCCTGTCACTGCCCGCCTGTTCCGCAAGCCACTCCTTTCCATCATCATATGTGCCTAGAAGACCATGGCACTTGACATATTGAAAAGCAGGGACTTGTGACAGGGTTCGCTCGAGCTCCTTTTGGGACAAGTCGAGGGCGTAGTAGTCGACATGTTTGGCTTGTCGTTCAAAGGCGTCGAGGAGAAGACATACTTTGCGGAGGTTTCTGCAAGTCAAGGTTAACTCCAAGATCATGGATGGCGATTGGGTTCCGAATCGCAACGGGTGGGAGAAGAGTGAGGCTCGGCAAGCAAACGAGAAACAAGCAAAACAAGAAGCGCTTAGCACGGTACACACCCACTACCGAGCTCTACGATAAGAGAGCCAGCTGGAACTTTAGCGGCGATTTGATCCGAGTACTCAGTCAAGAGCTCAATCTCGGCGTTCGTCAAGTAATATTCGTCGAGATAGGTGATCTATAAGCTTGTGAGCAAAACCCGGCACAATCAGCGCATTCTGAGACAGGAATGGGCAGTACCTCTTCAAAGAGCTGGAGGCCCTTTTCATCGTAAAGTAGCATAGTGGGCAGGCTTCTCTGTGCCTGAGACGGGTTCATCATGGAAATGATATCACCCTTCATGTCAAAGTCGACCTGGCCATTGCGGATATCGACAATGTCCACGGGCAGCTTGCGAGGGTCCGAAGCGGGCGGCGCAGTGGCAGTGGCAGTGACCATTGCGGGAGCCATTATTGCAAGCAGGTCGATGGATTCGGTTGCGAAGTAAGAAAAAAAGAAGAAAAACAGTGCGATTGTTTGAAGATGAATGGGTTTGTTTGTGAGCTGAGGTTGATGATGGTGACGGAAAGTTTGGAGAAAGGTACGCGCAAACCACTTATAGGTGGCAGCGGGGAGGAGAGAGGTGCGATAGTGGACGGCTAGCGGATTGGGGCGTGCGGTAGCGTCCACTATAAAGACAATGCAACCGCAAAACCAGAGGCTTTCTCTTTCCTTCTTCTTTTCAAGAAAATAAAGATGAGGGGCTTTTGCGGCTATTTTATCGTCGAATCCGGCATATTCCTTGTTTTATTTTCTGGAGAGAATGGTCCGAGGGGCTGCGCAATGGCAAAAAACGGGTGATGCGTTTAATGGACTACGTCAACCGGCATTTGGGCTGCTTGCGCGGGCGCAGGCTGACCAGTGACAGGCGCAGGATGGGACACGGCAAGGGTGGCTACAGCGATCACAGCGGACTTTGTTAACGGGCGATAGTGCGCTACAGCCGCTGGGACAGTGAAACAGACAAAACAGTACACAGAGTTTGTCTATACGCAGGTGCTGGGTAATTAGCGTATAGGATACGGAACGGCGGAGCAGCATTAGAAATCAGCTTCATTGATTCCAGGTGTATCCATCAGTAAAAAATGTGAAGCCACTACAGCAGCAGCTATAGGATAAGGTGTGTTAGTGGGCGGGCGATCTCCAGCCAAGTACACCCTGCATACATCTCACCGCAAAAAGGTACCTGCATCTCGCACGCTGGATCATCTTCGTCCTGAGCCGCTGCGGCTCCTCTCGGCTGTCCGTCACAGGCATCCTCCGCATTACGCTAGCATTTTTGGGTGGTAATCCATGCAGGATGGCTTCCTTGGTAGAACGAACAAAAAGCCCCCGCAACAAGTGCCTTGATAGTGGGTGCGGCTGGGTGGTCGCTGGGGCCTCTCGGAAGGTCGGGACGCCCCAAAGAGGGGCAGTTTTAGCGGATGCGGGGGCGGGAATTATTAATTATAGCGGCTGAAAGGGCATTGATTCCAAACGCTAACAAATCAGAGAGCTGTGAGTGCGGACTCCTGCCCAGCCAGGCTGTTCAGCCGCTGTAGTCTTTTGAATGGAAATTAATACTCGGAATGGAGTCTTGTAAAGAGTAAAAATGGATTATCAGAATGAATTTTCTTCTTTTATCTGTGGGCACATGTGAATCTCTGTATCAGCAAATCTATGATGCAATCTATGCGGCAACCGCTGCTAACCTACACACCACTACTGAGCCGGGCATATGCTGTGTAATATACAGCAGACGATGTTTAGATGGACGTAATATAATCTTTTTATTGAAACGCATAAAATGGTAGCTACTATAGACCCTTTATTCCACTCCAATATTTCCGTGCTGCAAAATATTGCTTCATTGATAGTCATAGTTAGGCATCATCATTACCAGTGTCAACGATGTCCACTTGACCTACCAGTCGAAAAACCCGTTCTATTACCTGACGTGCATCCTCTGAGAAACGGTCGTCTCTAGATGCAACATCATTCGTAGTTTGGTTTGACCGTGTCTCGGCCGTCCTTTGTAGTAAACATTTGACTTCTTCACAGAGGTCAGTGACTCGCGGATACTGACCATCCCAACACTTGGCTATAATCCTATCAAAAGGATCTTCGGGGTTGGTTGCTGGGAAGATGCCATCAAGCAAGCGGTCTACTCGATCACGTCCCTCAATCTCAGAATACGTCTCCATGCCTCGTGTCATGTACCAAAAAAAACCATCCTAGTGCAAATTGCTCTGAAACTGTCCCAGCAACACCATATGCACTTTGGCGACTAGGCTGGGCGACAACTGGATGACAACAGAGTGACCACCAACCCCATAAATGCACGATCCACGATAGCCCAGGAGCAACCTATTAATCAACGGATTGATGGCTGTCCCCCC